AAGGATTAGAAGGCTTATCTAGATAACTATAGATAATATAGAGGATTATAACTCCGAGAATCTTACCTCTAATAACAAGCTAGATATAGTAGTAGCTAGTATTATATAGAGTTTCCTATTTATCCCTAAGGAAATTTAAGCTTAGGTATAGTAAGTATTAGGATAGTATTTTATTTCTATAGGCTTTTAGTAGTAGTTCGTTTATTTATCTTTAACTATTTTTTATATATAACTATTATATATTTAGAACCTCTTTTAATTTCTTTATCTTCTATAAGCTTATATTAATCCTATAGCGTTTCCTATATTGTTCTAGGATACCTATTAATTATATTTAGAGAGCTAGCCTTTCTATTTAATAAGGAAATAAGGTTCTCCCCTAATTAATTTCTTCTCGCGTACTTCTTTAACTTTATACTTATTATTATCCTCTAATTCTAGTATTAGTAGCCTCTTATTATCCTTCCTACTTAGTTTTCTCTAAGGTTCTAGGAGGGATATATAAAAGATATTATAGATATAGTTATACTACTAAGGTAAGCTTAGATAGTAAGCTTATTTACTAATAGGTTATAGGACCCTAAAAGGGCCGATAAAGCAGAGTACTAGCTTTCTACTCCCTTTTAGTTTAAGATATTTAGTAGAAAGGCCGACTAGGTCTCTTCTTTTAAACTATATTAGTTTATAGGTTTAGTTATAGTACTTCGTTATAGTTTTAGCCGCTTTTCGCTAGTATTCCTATAAGTTCTATTAAAAGGCTTTAAGTTTCTTAATTCTTATAGATACTACCGGGACCTTCTAGTAATATATTTCGCTCTTAAAACGCTAGTAGAAATCTAGTAAGTAGCTAAGTAATACCTAGAAGGGTAATATCTTAGTTATTATATTTACTATATTATTATATATAAACTCTATATTCTTTAATAGCGGTAGCTAGAGTACCTAGTTTTCTACTATAAAGTATCGTAGGTAATATTTAGTTTATCCTTTCTATTTAGCTATCTATTTATAGGTAACAAGCTACTAAAAGCCTAAGCTAAACTTAGGATTAATAATATAATTTTAACTAGAATTTACTAGTAAATAATAATCCTCGATCGGATATAATACCCTCTAGGGGCCTAAACTATAATTTAACTTTATTATAGAAGAGCTCTATAAGTTCTATAGTAGTAATCGTTAATAAAATAGCGAGGAATAGTAACTATTTCGTAAACCTATCTATAATAATAAGGATTATATTAACTTATTTACTATTATATAGTATTAATAGAAGGCCTATGATAAAGTCTATCGATAATTTAGCGAAAGACTTTACTAGGATTAGTAAGAGTTTAAGTTCTATATAAGGTTTATATCTTTTTACTATAATACCTTAGTAGACTTAATAATCCTATATATACTTAGTAATATCTTAGTAGAGATTTAGCTAGTAGTATTTCCTTTATATTAGCTTAAGGGTTCTATTCTAGCTAAAATAGCTAGTAAGAAGATTATTATAATAAATACTTAATAATATAGTTCTAAGATTAGGATATATATATTCTTTAAATTATAAGAGACTATTAGGTCTAGTACTCTAGCCTTTTTATCCTAGAGTCTTTTACTTAATAATAGCCTTTTAGCGCTAGGTCTCTAGGTCTTCTTTTTAAAGTTATCTATATAAGTCCTTAAGATCTATACCTACTTCTATAAAGTACGCCTATTCGGAAGTATAAGCTAACTATACTTATATATTAGGGAGATAGTATATTTACCTAAGCTCCCTCTAATCGATTATACTAATCGATTTAACCTTAGAGAAAACTAAGTAGGAAGAATAATAAGAGGCTACCGATACTAGAATTAGAGAATAACGATAAGTATAAAGTTAAAGAAGTACGCGAGGAGAAATTAATTAGAGGAGAACCTTATTTCCTTATTAAATAGAAAAGCTAGCCCTCTAAATATAATTAATAGGTATCCTAGGACGATATAGGAAACGCTATAGGATTAATATAAGCTTATAGAAGGTAAAGAAATAAAAAGAGGTTCTAAATATATAATAGTTATATATAAAAAATAGTTAAAGATAAATAAATAAACTACTACTAAAAGCCTATAGAAATAAAATACTATCCTAATACTTACTATACCTAAGCTTAAATATTCTTAGAGATAAATAGGAAACTCTATATAATACTAGCTATTACTATTTCTAGCTTATTACTAGAGGTAAGGTTCTTAGAGTTATAATCCTCTATATTATCTAGATAGTTATCTAGATAAGCCTTCTAATCTTTATAAATAGTAGATAAATCCTATAATAGAATACTAGTTTTACCTAAGCCTAGAATATATATCAATTATCTCTAGGAAGAAGATAGAGTAATTTCTTCGAGTAGAATAACCGCTATTAATAGATAGAAGAACTATTAGGAGAAGGAAGAATAGAAGAAAGATTATATCGATAAGTAGTAATAGTATCCTAGTAAGTAGTAGTAGAATACTAGCGATATAGGATAGATACTTTAGTATCTAAGATATAGTTAATTAATAGAGGGGTATCTATAATTAGAGATAGACTACCTAAAGGTCTAATAATAGTCTATAAGTAATATATATACTAAAAATACTTTAGTATAATCGGTACTATATAGATAGTATAAAGATAAGGAGGTATAGTAAATAAAATATAGATAATATAATAAAGAAAGAGTAATAATAAGAAGTAGAAGAGAGAAGGTAGAAGAGTATTAAAATAAAAGATAAGAATATAAAATAGAGGATATAAATAAAGAAAGCTCTCACTTCTATAGTATAACCTCCTTTATTTACTTTACTTATATAAGGATTATAGCCTTAGAATTTAGTCTATTTATACTATATACGCCTACTAACTACTTAGTTCTCCTACTTAGGGTAAGCGGTTATAGAGGGAGGATAATTTATTATATAATAATATAATATAAGGCTATTCCTAACTTTACGCCTTAGGTATTAGTTCGATACCTTATTAGTTAGGCTTTGTTATAATAGCCCTACTTCTCCCTAATATAGATATATAACCTATAAGGCCCTAAGGGTTCGGTGCCCTTCTATTAGGGATTCGTGAACCTCTCTTCCCTATAGCCTTTACTTACCTCTATTATATATAGGCTATATTAGACTATATATTATAATATAATCTATCGTCTTTACTTTAGTTATAAGGGAAAGCACTAAAGCTTATATATAAATTAAGGATTATAGAGAGATCTATGATAGCAAGAAATAGTGTTATGCTTTCCTTACTTGACGTTTATCTTCCTACCTAGTCGACAGGCTTTCTACCCTATACAAGTAGTTATTCTCTAACATAGTAGCATAGTATATAGTAGAAGATAGAAGGTAATACTAAGGAACCGTGTTTTAGATAGGGTGTTTAGCTCGCTAGTGAATTACATTAGTAGTTCGCTACTTAGTGATTCGCGTGTTGCTATTCTATTAGAATAAAGTTTATACGTTCTATAGTTCACGAAAACTTCGTACCCAGCCGGGATACAAAATCCCTATTTCGGCTACGCTTGCTATCGCTATCGCTGACAGGGGCTTAAAGCCGGTATCAAACGATAGAGTAGGAAATTAGATTGTTTTTGAACTAGATCTAGAGATTCTCGGACCTCTAGTTGACGAGATATCACAAGGAATCGATCCTGCTAAGAGACAGTTGTTCCTAATCTAAGAATATACCTATAACTAGGAATACTTAGTACTTATTCTGTTACTGCTTCGTCGACTATTTACGTTAAATAGTTAGCGAGTACGTGATAGGGAGTAGCAGATTTCCACACTGGATCTGATCGTGTCATATGATATTGCAACATGAAGCTATTCCCAACTTCACGCCTCAGGTGTTAACTCGACACCTTATCAGTCAGGCTTCGTTATGACAGCCCCACGTCTCCCTAACAAGGATACATGACCTACAAGACCCTAAGGGTTCGGTGCCCTTCCATTAGGGATTCGTGAACCCCTCTTCTCTGTAGCCTTTGCTTATCTCTGACACATAGGGGCCACGTCAGACCGCATGTTATAATGTGATCCATCGTCTTTGCTTGGTCATGTGGGAAAAGTGTTGAAGCTTGTACATAAATTGAGGATTATAGAGAGATCCATGATAGCAAGAAACAGTGTTTTGCTTTCCTTACTTGACATTTATCTTCCTACCTAGTCGACAGGCTTTCTACCCTGTACAAGTAGTTATTCTCTAACAGATCGATAGGACAGGTTTTGCTCTCCTGCTATCTAGTGGACCATCTAGTCTTTCGGCTGCCGTTGCAGCCCTCAAGACCCCATTGGCGACTATCATACGCTTTGTGTTAGCTCTGAATTTCTGAATTTAAATCATCGGTGGGTGCATACAATAGGCATTGCAACACCTGGCTCTGGGCTTCTTGTTCGGCCCGATCAGCATATCATAGGAAACGTGGCGTCTGTGGAGGTTGTGGAGCGACTTATTGCCGCTTGTCTTGGTTCTTAAGCCATCTTGCTAAACACTTTCCAAATATCGTCTACATACCTCTTCTATATATGGTTCCCACATTGCAAGACAGAATGATCAGCAAGAGGGCTTCCTTTCATTCTCTTCTCCGTAAAATCGATCATCAATCAATTCAAAAAAGGGTTCCGAGTTACAGAGAAACGCGACCGGATTTGATTTCATCCTACCCTCCAGGTAGGTTCTGCAATTGAAATGCAGCTCCAAAACGGTTGCCACCGCAACCCAACAAGGCAGAAGTTCCTTGTACTCTTCTGTATTGCTGCATTATTTAGAGTCATCAGGGACAGGTCAGTTCCAGTGACCCCGGAAATGCGCTGCAAGAATATTGAATCCATGGGATCTCCACATCCCCGGTACCCTCCGCCCTCCCACCCCCCAGCCTTTTGGAAATCGTACATAAACACAGAAAGACCAAAGATGACATGTGCAGCACTGATTTCCCATTACAAGTTCATTACAGCCTAAATCAAAGAGCATCATGGGCTCGACGTTTCAATCCCGGGGTCCGCCCTATCAGTGCACCCGAAAACCCCATACTATACCCCCGTCAACGATACTGGCGCCGCACTCGATCCGGGCCCCGAAACGCCCACCCTCTTCCGACGACCCCAAATTCTCAATGTTACCCTGAAAAAACGCATTATTGAGGTGCCGATGTGCATGTTCTCCGCAGATTCTGACCCTCAGCTCCCCAGATGTGGGTGCCTTGACAGATTTTCACGTCGCTCATCTGGGTCATCTCGCGACCAAAGGCGTTGGCCTGGTGATGATTGAAGCGACGGTAGAGCAGCTCACTGGAAGGATATAGCCCAATGACTCCGGTCTCAGGCAAGAGGTGACCGATTCCGGCCATTTCAAAGCGCTTCTTAGGTAGTGGATATCGTTCATAGCCAAGGAGCCAAAGTTGGGATTCAGCTTACCCATACCGGACGCAAAGGGATTGTCGTCACTAGCCAGGGGAGCGTAAAGCTCCCGTCAAAGCCGACCAGAGTGTTGATGGGTGGCCAGATGACGTGGTCGCGCCGACGGGAGGTGAGCAATTCAAATGGGCGCCAGGGAGACGAATTACTGGGATCCGAGAGCCATGAGTGTTGACGAGATCCAGGAGCTTGCTGTGCCGTTTGCCAGGAGTGCCCAAAGAGCCGGGGTGGCCGGTGTGGATATTGTGGAGTTCCATGGTGCGCATGGTTATCTATTTCATGAATTTATCATTCCTGTCACGAACCGCCGTAAAAGATCAGTATGGCGAAAGCTTTGAGAATGTGCGTGATGTGACAACCGCCATCCGTGCGGCAATTGTGGTGTTCCACTGTTTCCCCACATCAGTGGAACTGAACGGCTGGAGCACACTCCCATCGCGGCAGACACTGGTAGCTGGGATCTATTGGCATCCATCCTGCTCGTTTCGCGACTTCCAGAGATGGGTGTATATTTGGTAGACGTGAGCTCGGGTGGAAATCTCCAAGAGTAACGCGTGCAGCCTCATGGCAATTACCAGATCAATCTGGCGGGATAAATTCGCGGTGCAATTCAAGCCGCGGGGCAGAGGACCTTAGTGGGTGCCGCAGGGCTGATCCGGGATTCTGAAGTGACTCGCGATGTAGCTCAAGGCGCGGATCAGACACCTTCCAGGAAGGAGGGCCAAAAGGAGATGTCGTTTTAATAGCCCTTCAGTTCTTACGAGATCCAAACTGGGTCTTTACCACAGCAGAGAAGTTGAACGTCCGGTTGTCGGTCCCATCCCAATTTGGCCGAGCACTACTATATATAATGTGAGAAATCGAGCATCCAGGGGCGTACTTCGCGCATACGGTAGGGTCCCCGGAGGCTGAAACTAAGCTATTATCACCGTCTGAATCTAGGAACTGCTGAGTGCGCACCAGAAAATGTTTATACGTCCCGAAGTGTGGCTAAAGAGATAGAAGAACACCGTCTAAAAGACAATAGAAAAACCTTCCATAAGGTCAAGGATACGTTCTAAAAATAAAACGGAGCCAGTTCATTAAAGCAGCCATGATTCAAGCTACCAAACTTAAGTAAGAGATTGAAGTGATACATGGAAATTCTCGGTCTTATGCGTCTAATTAGGGTTAAGTTACTCTGCGCCAATAGCAGAACAGCTCACTTCTGCCGCCCATTGTAAATTTTAATAACAGCAGATTAGAAGTTTGGATATTCCTAGCAGATGAAGGAGAGATGGGGGAAGAGTGTAAGCGTGGTAGAAGTAAATTGACTGCGGCAGCGAGCAGTAAATTTCTCCAGCTTTCAAGCATTAACGCTAGTCCTAGATTCAAATTCAAGAATCTTGAAGGCCGTCTTACTTGATTTAGCCAGCAGTTAGTTTCTCGTGAAATTTCTTTCGTATATAAACCCCTAGCTCTCTTTGTATTTGCTAAGGGCTGCAGGAGACGGAGTGCCTTGCCATATCCTGCCCAGTGTTGGGAAACATTCAAGGCAGATATTGTGTCTGGGAAAAGGGGTAGAGCTTTCAGCATGGTATTTGAATAGCTTTCCATCCTCACGGAGGGATTTATAATCCCGAAGATCGGGAATGGGGTCATAACCCTTTTTTCAGTCTTGCCAGAACTGTGCTAGTAGATTCAGTGCTGCAAGGAACATGGGTTGAAATGATCCTAAGGTCATACTGGAAACGAACTGCTTAAGTTGATGTGCAGTTAGTGTCTTTAGTTAAAAGAATGCTTATCGCACGTGCTGGGGTGGAATTAAAGATCATGACAGACTTTGTGGGCGGAGAGGAACCGAGTTATACATGAATATATTTAAATAACACTATGCTTCTCTTGATGGGTAGCATTCAGCAAATATAAGTGAAGCAGTATACGAAAACATCAGAGTTATTGAATACAAGGACTCTGCAGACTGAAAAGTGTCATGTCGAGAAGTGCCCATGCTGCAAATGATAGAGACAAATTGGCAAATTATGCACGGCTAGGGATGCTCATGCATCCCCTTAAGCAACATGCAAAGAATGAGGTATATAAATCAAAACCCATAGCGAACCAAGAGCTAGGACGATGGCCTAGTAGTCTGAAGCAGGAGTAAACATTGGGGCTACTATGAAGATATGTAACCTCACACGCAAACTATCGCCATCGAGCATAAATTAGACGGTTAGCCATTTCTCTGAAATTTAACTTGTGCAAAAGACAACCAATTTTTTCGCTAGTGTGACGATCAGCCCCAACATAGAGCTTTCGTGGACTTGACGCCGTACCTGTGCGAATTGGTCTGATCTAGCAATACGGGGCAGCATGATCATACTCTTGCATGATGTAACCAAAGTAAAATGATTGCCGACCTTTATTTGAGTATGTCTGCAATAATTTGAAGATTGTCCAACCGAAATTTAATATTGTACTCCCCCAAACAAAAAGAAACAGTGTGTCGAAAAAAGGAAGGAATAAAAAAGCAAAGAAACAAAATGAACTCGGCCGGTCGGTCCTTCTTACTGTTCAATGATTAATAGCTCACAGTTACTCGAGGACCTGCCTAAGGAAAAAGGCATCTTTCTCCTATCTATGCCAAGTTATTAATAACATCTCGGCATAAATAAGCTCCTTAACCTGCAGTTTTTCACTTCTTTCTTCAACAGATCTAATCAGAATCCGAGTCTTGCAACCATGCAACCGACTATGCAACAGACAATGGCTGGTAATGCCTCCCAGTCTTTGAGCTATAAGGTTTTGAGTGAATTCCTCGATTTCTCAGATGAGGAGCAGAAACTCTGGTGGCACAGTTGCGCGCCGATGTTTGCAGAGATGCTGCAAATGGCGGGATATGACCTGCACGATCAATATAGATTCTTGGGAATGTGGAAGAAGGCCGTCATTCCCTTTCTGGGGCCTTATCACACCAACAGTCGTGATCGGTGGCTGAGCATCCTCACTCGGTATGGAACGCCATTCGAGCTGAGTTTGAATTGTTCTCATGAACTAGTACGATACACATTCGAACCTATCAATGCGGCCACTGGAACAGCATCAGACCCATATAATACGCATGCAATCTGGGAGAGTCTTGCAAAATTGTTACCTCTCCAGAAAGACATTGATCCCCAGTGCCTTGAGCATTATAAGGGCGACCTCACTCTCAATAAAGACGAATCGGAATTCTTGTCCAAAAACGGCCTTGTTGGAGGTGCAATCAAAACCCAGAATAAACTGGCACTCGATCTAAAGCCAGGCGGCCAATTTGTTTTGAAAGTGTATATTTATCCTGAGCTAAAGTCTATTGCAACGGGCCGATCTATTGAGTCACTTATGTTTGAGTCTGTTCGTCGCCAATCACGGCTTTTCCCAAGTCTCCTCAAGCCCCTCTCTGTGCTAGAAGAATATGTTCAATCTCGAGGAAGTAATAGTACAGCCACCGCGCGGCTGCTCTCCTGTGATCTCGTCAGCGCGGAGAAGTCTCGAACCAAGCTTTATTTGCTCGAACGTATGGTTTCTCTTGAAGCAATGGAGGATCTTTGGACACTCGGGGGTCGTCGCCAGGATGCTAACGCTATGGCCGGGTTGCGCCTGATTCGCGAACTGTGGGATCTTCTTCATTTCCCATCCGGAAAACTTGCTTACCCAGAGGAATATTTGCCCCTTGGAACCCGCCCTGACGAACAGCTCCCCCTTATGGCAAATTACACTTTGCACCCCGATGAAGATATGCCAGAGCCGCAGGTCTATTTCACAACGTTTGGCATGAATGATATGAAAGTAACCGATGCTTTAATCGAGTTTTTCCAAAGACAGGGATGGGACAGAATGGCAGAGACTTACAAAGACAGTCTCATTTCATACTAGTACGCTAGATCCATCCTGAACCTCAGTGTACAGACATCTTTGCTGACAGATAATTCCTATAGTCCGCATGAGAACCACGAGGATGTAAACTATATTCATGCGTATATTTCATTCTCTTACCGGAAGCAGAAGCCCTACCTGAGCGTCTACCTTCAGTCATTTGAAACGGGAGATTGGCCACTGTGTAAGTTCCAAATCGAAATCCACATGTAAATCAAATGTTGGTTCTAATGAAAATTACAGTGCAAATGCCCATCCCCGTAAACAACGGCAAGCCCATCTGCTTGGAGCAGCCGATTACACCCCTCGAGGTTGATTCAAAGCTGGCGAGTGGTTACCAGGTGCCTGTAGCAGAGGTGCGGAATTAGAATTTCTTGGCGAAGAAGGGAAAATATGATAGCATGGTCAAATTCCAGAAACAATGGACATATAGGCTGCGGTGTAATCTAGTCGGATGTTAGACTGTTATTCAGGTCGGGTCTCGGGGTGACAATTTCTTTCTTCTAGTTTGTGTATCTCACCTTAAGAGAGTCCCATGACTTCAAATATAGGACTTCGGAAATGAAATTTCAATGGAGACTACCGAACTATAGTACGAAAACAAAACGAGCAGCATTTATTTGATAGTTGAATTTCAAGTCCCATATTTTTGCCCTGTTGATGTCCTTCATTTCTTGGAATCATGGGAAGGGCGTAATTACCAGATGAAGGGATTTTCTCCCCGATGACCAATTTACAAGTCTCTTCTTTGAGCTATGATCAACATGAAAGACCTACTTATCTGTTGTTTGAAGACTCAATAAGTCAAATCTCAACATCAGTGCCCGTTCCCTTTTCTTCCTTCTACGTCCTTTCCTTCTACGGATCAGTCCTTGGGTAGACTATTAAGCTTTTGTCCCGTGAGATATCGTATGCACTTCAAATGGTTTGGAATTCAGTTTGAAAAGATGCAAATTTATTGTCGATTATGAATTTTCTACCGAAAGACATGTTTTATGTTAAGATAGAACGAGATGTTTATTTAGTACAACAGGCAGGACTTGGCTTTGAATTTTGTTCACTCGGCGTGCTGGTGTCACAAGCAGTGTGATCTACAGTCGCAACGACCCGGCATCGCCTCTCGGTGTCGAGCTAGACTGTTTATGCACAAGAGCTTCAGCTCCATCTCGCACTCGTTGCGCAAGCTCAGGGTGAACTAAACCCAATGTGTGGTACACCCTCTGCCGGACATCATCCCGTGTCATAGATACAGACTCAACAACATTCTCGACCATTCTGTCCTGAAATTTCTGGTCGCGAAGTACTGGGAGTCTGTCATAAAAGTTCCCAGGGAATTTATAGTCATCTGGATTGGGCTGAGACCACGACTTGGAAGTGGTTTTTGCGAGCCATTCCGCAAATTCGGGCCCCAGGCTTTCCGTATAGGTCTGGGTCTTGGTAATTTGGTTAGGGGCACTATGATGATGACCCAGTCGATATCGTTGTGCATCAGGGTACGCGAACATTCGAGCCTGAAGGACAGGGTCTTCTGAGGGTTCAATACCAGGAACTAAGTGCGAAGGGGAGAAGGCCAGTTGTTCAACCTCAGAAAAGTAATTCTGAGGATTGCGATTCAATGTAAGCTTCCCCACTGGCCGAGATGGAATAACAGGGATACTATCCGGGTAGTTGCCCAGATTCCAATGTTTAGTCACGTCAAGAATATTAAAATCAAGACGGGGAGCATCCTTTGGATCGATGACCTGAATATTCACCGTCCAGGTGGGATTGTCTCCCCGCTCAATGGCCTCAAAAAGATCTTTGGTTGCCTGGTCGGGATCAGTTTCTGAGCTGAAAGCCTGCTCGCCCGTCTCGAGATTGGGCCCCTTATCCGAGGACAGGAACAGATGCACGTATTTGAAGGAGCCATCTGCCTTGACCCATTTGAAAGCATGGCCTGTGTAGGCGCTGAGATTGCGCCAGCTAAACATGGTACCAAAGTCACTGAACTGGATGAGTGACATATGAAGGGCTTCATGATTCTCCGTCAAGAACTCCCACAGCATATTCGGATTCAAGAGGTTGTTCTGAGGATCCCGTCGTTGAGCGTGCATGAGGTCTGGAAACTTGGCAGGGTCTCGAATGAAGAATAACGGAAAGTTCAGGCCCACCCAGTCCCATTCACCGTCCTTCGTGAAGAGCTTGGTCGCCATGCCCTTCAAGTCCCGGGCACCATCGGCAGACCCGCGCTCAAGGCCAGTGGTAGAAAAGCGAGTAACACAGGGTATTTTTTTCCCGACCCCAAGGAGAGCATCAATTTCGCAGACATCGGATATGTCGTGAGTCACCTTATTGTACGATCAAGATTAGAGAAGCTAGATCTAATGGAAAGAAGGAAACTCACCTCAAATACTCCATATGCTCCAGCGCCCTTGGCATGCACAGGCCTTTCCACAATTTTCTCACGATTAAACCGTGACAGGCTCTCAAAGATCTGGCTTTCTCGGCCCTCGGGGTACTTTTCATTATTCAATGGGGCACTCCGGTGTGCCATGACGGGGCAACCCGTTGGATGGAGACCGGTACTTGCAGTAGCTACTGACATTTTGGGAGTGGAAGAGTGTGAGATTGGCTGAAGAAATAGAGATAAAAGAAAAGATCTGTGGTCAGATTGAAATACTATCAAGAATAAGGTGGCGATCGGGTCGATTAAGTACAGTCCTCAATCTCTGTGGGCTTTGTTATGGGCTTGGATCTGTTCACTTTCCAACCACTGGACTGAAATTGCTCAGCAAGGAAAAACAAAGGATATCAAACTAAGACAAACTGTTACACTTCAGCCTGTGAACGTATGGCTGCGTTGTGATTACAAGAAGGAAAAACAAAAAAGAGGTGTTATCCAGATAGAGAAAAAAAAGCAATATGATACTATTCATAAATTGCACTCTGATAGCTAATATTCTTTTTCCGTGTAGCTCTTTACTTCCCCACTTCCCCTGCATATTGCATGATTGATATATCCTTGTGTTTCCTTATGCACCCACTACCTATGGTGATCTACCATTGCCATTGATGAACTCTATGGCGTCTCTGTTGCACGGATTTCCCTATGAGAATTAATTATTTTGCCACATGTATCACAGACTCTATATATTGCCATGTTTATAATATTGCTTCTGTGCGATACAACCTTGGGCTTTTGCAGACACAACTTCATACTAGTTTGGGCTGGCTATGATCTTGGGCCATAGGCACTGGAGGCATTATGCTCGTTGACGCATTTCTTATCATGGTGCATATGTGCCTTGAAATCCTTGAAAGCGTAGTGATTGGAGGTCTATATTTATGATAATATCTAGATCTATTCCCTGGAGATATCAACTGTGTGATATATCATAAAGAGCAGAGGGCTGGGAGGGGGGGGACCTCGAGATATGCAAAACATCAGAACTGGCACGAGGTGAAATAGAGCTTCCAACCAAAGCGATCATTTCTTTTATGTTAACTACGTATGTTAAGGAAGAGCTGAGAGGGCATAAGTCGAGAATCAACCCCATATATGCGGCGTCATTAGAAGAGCTCTTCCAATTACTAACCTTAAATATAGTAGTTAGACAAGAAAAAGAAAGCTTCTAAATACTGGCCTCTGTAGCACTTGAAGAGGACGCTTTTGGGAAGCCTGTTCAATATGAAATGTCCTTTACGAAAGGAGCCTTCATATATATCACAATATGTATCAAGGCTATTCTTAAATTCAAGCATCGGTGCTAAAAACCTCAAAATTCGAGCCAGGACTGATTGGATTACAAGCACAGCAAACCTGAACAGCTATTAGTATCGATAATGGCAAGTGTTTTATCGAGAACCTTTGCCATCACTGGCGGTGCATCAGGCATTGGGGCTGCAACATGCTGCCTTCTGGCTGAACGGGGTGCAGCTACCATTTGTATCGGCGATATATCTGGCAAAAACTTCGATCAAATCAAAGAATCGATTCGCAAAGTCAACCCCTCGACCATAGTCCATTGCACATCCCTTGATGTGACCTCCTCGGATCAGGTTAATCGCTGGGTACAGGATATTGTTTCAACCTTTGGAGCCCTAGATGGAGCAGCCAATATCGCGGGGCTCGCTCAGGGTGCTGGCCTGCGCCAGTCCCCAACTCTTCTGGCAGAAACAGATGCAGAATGGAGCAAGGTATTTAAAGTTAACATGGATGGGGTCTTTTACTGTACCCGGGCAGAGCTGCAAGCCATGAAAGACCTACCTTCAGGTTCTCGAAGCATTGTTAATGTCTCGAGCATCGCGTCACTTGTTCACATGCCTGACGTGTATGCTTATGGGACCTCAAAGGGGGCCTGTGCCTATTTCACGACATGCGTCGCGGCCGATGCCTTTCCGTACGGCATCAGGGTAAACTGCGTTTCTCCAGGTAAGAACAATCCTCACTTTCCAGCCCTGTTTATCTTTCAGATTGGTTCATAACATAGATAAATGAGGGTTCATCATATTTCATGCAGGAGCAACGGACACACCACTCTTGCCAAAGTTTATGCCAGGTGCAAATACCCTTGATGAGGTTAAGGAAACATATAAGAAAGAAGGTTACAGCGTGATCGCTGCCGATGATGTGGCAAGAACCATCGTTTGGCTGCTCAGTGAAGACTCGCAGCCAGTCTACGGAGTCAATCTGAATGTTGGTGCCGCGTTGCCCTAGTGCTAGCTGGCTCGAGCAGGGGAGACCAGACGGCACGGCCCTTTTATTGGCAGATTATGGAACGAGACTCTCCACCATACCATTTTTTCTTGTCTCTGAAAGGCTCTCAAGAGCCTGTGAAGGCGATAGCGCATATGTAAGGAAGACCTTAAGATTTCCAAGGTGCACGCCTGTTAAAAAGACTCCTCTGGGAATCGAACCGTTCATTATGAGCAATACTTGATGGGGTAATCTGGGAAAATTGAAGGTGAATTTCATTAAATTTCATTGAAAATGCCATTCGTAATTCTTTGCTCCTCAGACGATAACATTAGGAAGAAAGCTGTATTCAGCTCCTGAAGTACTGTGGCGTGAGGCGGAGGATGAGAGGAAAACTAAGAAAGAAAACACTCAAGCCTTGGCGCAGATGGGGAGAGCATTTAGAAAAATAGGGTTGTTTGACTCTTCTGCCATAGAGAGTAAGATGCAACCTTGAAGAGGAGCACATCAAGCCAAGACTTATGAAAATATTGAATCAAAGCTAAAGAGTCTTGAGGATAGGGTGCGGGGCATGTATGATAGAGCAAATTCAACTCGCAGAGATGTAAAGAACTGAGTAGGAAGAGAAATGTCAGGCATAGGACGACAAATGAAGGGATAATTCAAGCACAAACCGTTGTTGCCTCGTACAAAGGCGTCTCCATAGCTGCGGCGATGCTTGCCATTCACGAATTCCTCGGTCTTTTCAAGGGCGATGTTCATATAGCCATCCACAGATTGCAGTTCGCCTATCGAAGAGATTAGCTAGACCTTGACATGAAAGATCTCCCTGAGGATACCCTTATAAACTACGCCTGAATTGAGCTTGACAATCACCGGGGCACCGATGATCTCGCTGAGGAAAGCCGAGGGGTCCTTGCCCTCCGAGGACGAACCGTTCTCCATCTTTCTCCTGTTGCCGCTTATGACGCAGAAAGGACTTGGGCTGGAGGACCAGAAGTAATTTTTAATTTTTAGCCGTTTAAATCAAGGACCAGCTGCCTAAGGGTCATATGTCACATACCTGGTGGAGGATGAGGTCGGAAGCCAAATCCTCGCGTCCCACGTCGATAAGACTGCGAAGGCGGTGAGGCGACTGATAGATGGCGTCCGCATTCGCGTAACAAGACTTGGACGCAGCGTTGAGGACAGAGAGGAAGAGAGAGGGATGGCCCTGCATCGGAACACCGGTTCAACTTGCTCGCATCCGTTCAAAAAGCGCCGACAGAGCAGAATACTGAGCAAGGGTTTTGCTTCGGGCGACTCACGCTTGACACATTTACACCACAGCTGCTCTCACACTTCCTACCTATCAATCGATTCCAACCTCGGCCGCAACCCACAAGGCGCCATATATTTTTTAGATGGCGACACGATCCTTTTTTAAAAAGCCAACATTGGCAGGCCAACGGGGGGACCCAACAACTGAGTTTTACCGGCGGTCAGAACAAACATACTCCGATATTGTTGCGGCAAATCGGGAGGCGCGCAAGAAACAGAAGGATGCGCCTGAATCTCCTACGAATAAGACCATTGATACTGCTCGGATATCCAAGCGGCGTTGCATTTCAACAGAAAATAACGAACAGCAGGGGAAGGCTATTGACGTCGAATCGCCTCAGGTCACCGAAACTGGCGAACCGAGGGAAGAACAGGATGTCCCTTCCAATTCCACACCGGAGACCTCTAGCAACCCAGACATTGTTAAATCTGATCAAGAAACGCGAATAACAGACTGTTCTTTCGTACCAGATCGACCTTCTTCATCTCCATCATTCAAAAAGATCCCCCAACTCCAACGATGGACTTGAACAGGCATGATACCAACACGAACGACTTCCGATCTCATGCGAAGTTACCTACAATTGCAGACACTCCCAACCATTCATCACCCTCCTCCATGGATGATCCGACCGTGCAGATTCTCATAACATCCGATATACCTAATACGAAGCCATTACTCGTCCACCGGAAGATGTCTCAGGGACTACGAGAGGTTCGTTTGGCATGGTGTAAACGACAGGAATTCTCATCAGAAGAAACATCATGCGTCCATCTCACCTGGAAGGGCCGGAGGGTATTCGATGTTACCACTTGTAGAAGCCTGGGCATCAAAACGGACAGGAAGCCCGCCCCGAACTTAGTTGATGATGACTTGACTACAGGGCCATCTGAGCTGCGTATTCACATGGAGGCAGCCACCAATGAACCTCTTTTGCTCAAGCGACCTGGCTCTTCCCCAGATATCGCTCAGTCACTTCCAGTCCCACAGGATGTGCGAAATGAGCAACCCGAATCGATGAAATTAGTTCTGAAGACTCCTGGACTCAAAGATTTCCGGATTAAAGCGAGGCCAACGACCTTGGTATCGAAGCTGATTTCAGCATTTCGAGGGCACCAGAACATTCCTGCAGCTCAAAACATTGTCCTTCTATTCGATGGTGATCGGTTGGACCCTGACGCGTGCCTCGAAGACTATGAGGTCGCGGATCTAGATATGGTGGAGGTTCAAATCAACCCTCGCATCTCCAGCTAGATGATCTTCATTACTGAAACAACGGTGTGTACTCCCGTAGCTAGTTTCCGCGAGATTCAATATTTTTAAATCCTCACTCATGACCTGTCTGGCTCCAATTGATGGTTTTTCATACCTGATCTTCATTCAAAATGGGTGCAAGCGGCATGAGGTATATGGTATACCCATGCCAGAGTAGACTTCCTCCAAGCTGGCCACACTGCATAGTGGCTGCTCAGGTTCTTGTCTTTTTAATTTTGAGTCATGTTTCCGACCTTTCTGTATATTCACAATTACGTCGGTGAGAGCAGACCGTCGAATCGAATAAACCAATAATTCGCAGTGTCAACTGGTCTGGAATGTAACTAATTTTCCAGGAATGTCTGGATAAGCACCTTCTCTGTACTTCCTTATCTATGATAGATAAGGATCACATGACGCGGGGCATGTATTTTTTTTCTCTGGGACACCTGGACCTCGCGTGTAGGTCAGGTTTATGCTGAATGACCACATAAACATCCCTTACAAACAATATACCGAGCTGTCCAAGAGACTCAAATTCCCTGGTGGAAATTTCTGGTCCATTCCGGTGAAGAACATATCTACGTTTCTCTACTAGTCAAACTGCCTCCTAGCAAGACATAATCAGCTCGACTCGTGACCATGAAAGTCATCACCGCCAATTTTGTGACCTGTGCAGTCAAAGAATGCAAGACTTCACCATTGTCCTTCCCTCTGCATTTCCATGATGCTGAATTGGAACTCCAAGAGTTGGAATTCCAGCCCGAGTTTATCCGCAATGTGATCTCCCGCATTGATTGGAATGGTCTTCGGACCACTGCGAACGAGGTATCATATCTCTCAATGGCGGTAAAGTTTTCCTCGAACTAATCATAAAATTATAGCTAGGATTCCCCAGTCTACCAGAGACGAAACCAGAGGGAGACGCTCTTACGGATGAGCAGACACTGAAAGACTTGCACCGACTACTCTTGGAGACCCAGGTTATGGAAGGCAAATTGGTCTGTGGGAACTGTGGCCATCAGTATGTGATCAAGGAGGGGATCGCAAATTTTTTGCTTCCGAGCCATTTGGGTAAGAAACCATTCCTTAGTCTTCTACCTCGTGGGCGGTATTAACAACCTTAATAGTTTGAGGAGTCTGACGCCTTTTGCGTGTATTCATTTCTATTCGATACCTCACCGATACCCCTACCTACCTACGAACAGCCAAAGCAAAATTCATGGGCGCAGATGAGTCTCCTCGCCGATCCTGCCCTAAAAGATGTAATAGGCAAGATAAGGCAAAAAGCACAATACCAAACAAAACAATGGGGGCAAGAAATCCTGGGATTTTGTATAGTGTACATGGAGGATTGTGGTGCTTCAAATCATAGTTCCCAATAATACAGGCCTTGACGCTCCCCTCTCCCGAAAACGCCTACCTGGTCAACACCATGCAAAGAAAAGGAAAGACATGTTTGAAAAATAGTGTATTCTCTTAATTGAGGAAGCCCTTGCAGCCAGTTGAGCCACACAAGCAAGGAATGCGATCGTCACTGTCCCATTCACGTTCAAATTTGTAATCGTACGTGAGCTCTTCATCTATTGGAGCAGTCAGTATGCATGGGCTAGTTGGTCATATCGACGTTCTGGGCACATACCTCTTTCGATGTTTCTGAGTGCGTAGATCACAATTCGTTTGCTACCATCGACCTTGATGATTTTTGCAGTGCAGTTTGGTGTGCAGCTGTGATTGATGAATCGAGCAATGCCACCTCGTTTCGTAGCATCGATGACTGTGTTTTCATCGATGCGGAAAAGGTAGCTACTACCAATGCCGCTTTTGAGATATCGACGTTCTCTCATATCCGCAACCTGTTGCCGAACCTTCTCGCCCACATATTCGATAATCATATCATTGGCAGAAATGTCCTCTTCAGCATACAATCCCCAGTTATGGATAGCAGAGCGGGCAAATCGAACAGGCTTTTTCCGCTTTTTGAGTTGATTGAAACGAAGAACATCTCCTTCGCCACTGGAGGTAGGAAGTGCTTGCTTCTGCGCATTAATGTCGGCAATAAGTCGACGGTTATTAACACGGGTCGAGCGGGATGTTGATTTTGAAATGGTCTTCGCCGCAGCGATTCTGGCAGCTTCAGCCGCAGCTGCCTGGGGGTCTGCCTTTGCTTTGGCCTCCCGCTCTTCTCGAGCCTTTTGTACTTTGATTCTGTGTGGAAGGTACTTGGATTTTTCGGACTCGAGAATCCTCTTCCGTCCTTCCGTCCGAGCAGCGCCAGTGTTATTTGGAACATAGTATCCGGTGATCGCAATAGCATCATGTGTTGGTCCCGTCGGCTCCAGCTGGTTGAGAGCCTTGATTTCCTTCTGTCGCCAGGCCCAGGCGGCAAGATTGCCAACGGCCGATGCAGCCTGATCGTGCAAAACTTCCCGAAGAAATCGCATGTCTTCATCATCCTTGACCAGGTGCTGCCAGCCATGTAGATCCAGGAGAAGGGATTCATCGTCTTCCACCGTTGCTCGTGGCTCATGCTTGGAGACACCCCACTCGATTTCAGTTCTTGGCTTATCAAAGGTCTCTTCTTCCAATTCTTCTTCAATAGAAGGGTCGCCGCCGACGAGTTCTTTGGACGGGCCGCCGAGCTCAGAGCGATTATCTGTCGCCAGTTCATCCTGTGCCGGTAACTTGGCTGTTTGTTCTCCAGCAAAATCTGTATCGAAGTCGGTGAAGGTCTTATGATGTTCATCCGTAGTTGCTTCCGGGGGTTCGGCGCCGAAGAGCTCAGCATCCTGTCTGTGACGTTTACGAGCCTCCGACTCTTCAGTAAGCCTCTTTCTCTTGCGTGATAGAGGGGACAAGGCTTCCGTGTCTATGGAAAAGCCATCCTTTTCCTCGTCAACTTGTTCGTCCACCTGTGCCTCGCTCACTCCAAATGATTCTAGGGCGTCTGATGGATATTCCTCGTCCTGATCGGAGGTCGAGGACTCGGAACTTGCGCGACTAGGCGGCCGACTGCTTCGTTCTTCCGTGTCTCTAGTAAGAGGGGTTCGCCGATCATCATCTGAATCCTCCTCGTCGTGCAGTTGCTGTAATCGATGGTAAAGAGGGCGAACCTCCCTCTTTCGAAGGCTGACGCCGCCGTTCGTCAACGAATGCTGCTCCCGCACGATCCAACCCGTGGGCCTTCCGAATGCGTGGAAGGGCCAGGACATTAAGATTGGATGATCGAAGAGGATCTCGCGCATTGGAAAGCTCAGAACGAGGGTCCGGAGTGCCTAACGTGCTCTCTGTACCAATTCGGAAGGTTGGTTGTTTAGTTCCTTCAGGTTCCCGTATGCCTAACTTTTCCCGCCTCGCTGCGTGTCGGCTCGGATCAAGGTAGTCATACAATGTTGGGGCTGCGATACGGGACTTGACATCTTCGAGAAGTTTGTCTCTTAAGTCCCGAATAATAATCGACAGCACTTCTCGGCAAGGATCCATATCAATTGCACGCGCTTTCTTTTCCTCCTCCAGATCCAGTTCCGCTTCTTTCTTGACCCTCTCCTGGTGGGCTTTGGCTTGCTGTTCCGCGCGAAGACGCTCCGGGCTCGGACTGCGTACATAATTGGGATTTCCATAGGGTTGGCTCTCCATGTTCATGATGTAGGTAAATAGGGGCTGCATATGACACAGCCGATAGCAACGTTCGGTTTCTTCTTCGCCTCGTCGGGAATTTTCGAAGATAATATAGTAGCCCGTCTTGTCACAGCGAATGGCTCGGTGATTGAACAGCTTGAGTCGCTTACGAAGATGAGGGACCGTTGTACTGAGGACAGGGACGTAGCAATGGGCGATGAAAATGTAGGGCTCGCGCTTGATCTGGCTTAAGATCGGAGTGTCTTCGACGAGGGATTGAACTGATGGAGATCGAATGCTCGCTCGGGGTCCTTCCGGAATCGCCAGCCCGGGACGCATGGCAGAGCGTCCGGAAGGGCCTTTCGGTGCGGATGGTGGCGGTTCATTTTTCCTAGTCTGAGGGTCAGTTGGTCTTGTCTCGGCTGAGGCGATTTTCGAGGCCGCCAATCGCTGAGTCTCGATGGTCTTGGAAGCCATGCGTTCTGATACAATCCCATCGCGATCTAGCTCAACACGAATCCTGCGAGTCCCAATACGCTGTTCCTTTTTGCACTCGAGATATGCCCGCCTTGCCGCGCTGGCTGCTGTAACGGGGCCACGCCCGCGAGACGAGGTGCTGTCTTTGTATTTGATGGAACAGATGCCCAGGAATCGTCCAGTAATCGGATCGGTCCGGTTGTTCATTTCCGCGATGTCACCAAAACTCGAAAAAAGCGCGCTAATCGGAGCGATCGGAGTAAGAGGATCGAATCCGGTGACGACCACCTGAACCGGCGGCCCAGGTCCAATACTAGTCGCGGCATCATATGGCCATATCTTCAACGTGTATGGGGCCGGGCGGTATTTGGTCTTTTGTTTGCAGCCTGATCCGCGGGTATAATTGGCGATCCCGAGGCGTGGGTCGGGAGGACCGGACTGGCCATTTGTGACGATGTCCACATACTCGGGTTTCCGTCGCCTTTCTTTGGACCCTCGCTTGTCCAGATCTGGGTCATAAACAGCTTTGCAACCCCCGATCACGATTTCTTGACGGGGTTGAGATTGGGACTGGGGGGTTGGCGGGGTGTGAATAGGCGTCACCGACGTCTTGGTGGGTTCTGCGTGTAAAGTAATGGGTTGACTATGAGGAGAGGATGTGTCTATTGATTTCGGTGGTGGACTGGTCGCTTTCTGGGCCGGAGATGACTCCGCGTTGGTGAGCGGTGTTAGGGTGTCGATATGTGATGGGGCCGGCGGTGGGGGATGAGACTTTGCGATGATCGCAAGATTTGTTCCATTGGACTCTGTGGAGTCGGTTGGCGCGGTCGCGACAACGCCTGGGCCGTTGGATGGAGGTGATCTGGTCTCTTCGTCACCCGCGGGTTCATTTGATGCCCCGCCAGTTGCGGAAGCGCTGGACGCGGTCAACAGCGCAGGGTCGGGCGCCGCGGGTTCACCATCAGATCCTTTGATTCGCCGTTCGCCAAATTGAAAGCGCTTCTGTTGAAGGACCGATGGTGCCGTGGGAAAAAAAGTCCGCAAAGCCAGCTGAGGCGCGTGACATGGTGAAATGTGGCTATACGCCCGGAACGACCGCGCAATCAGCTGGCAGCATCCTTGACTCCAGTGTCCTAGTCCTGACCCATGCGACTGGAGAGAAAATATTCCAGCCCGGTGACAACCAAGAAGGAATGAAAGGAAAGAAAGGAAGCGAAGGACGGACCGCAAGGGGAGGAAGCGAGGAAATTCAGGCACTCGTTGAAAGGGACGTTTTAACGCGAAGAGCGAGTTTTGCAGGGGAGAGCGGACGCGGTCGAAAACAGAAGGCGGTGAACTTAAAGGGGAGGCGGTCTGAATGAACGCTTCACTTTGGAGTTTCGGCAAGGGCAAATAACAAAGCTTGGAATGAATGAAGACGAGAGAATAATCACTTCCTGGGCGTGCTTGAGACTGCCTGGACTATGCGCAACTCACATCCTACAACTATTTTCTTCGTCTAGAGAAGGTGTTGCTGAACGCGTGGTCCATTGAATAATGATGGTAATGAATCATTGACACTTGACCCAGAGCCCGTTTCGGGGTACTCGATAAGGAACATCTAATGTTGAAGGATTTCAGACTTCATCTACTTGAATTTTGGCCATCCATTTCCACTTTGGGTGATATGGATCTTGTGTGCGCCTTTACGACAGTACCCTGTGGTAGTAGAGGGCGTTCTTCTCTTTCGATAGTTGAGGTAATGTGGATCGAAGATCTTCGATAGCGGATTGAACCGCTTCCCCTCAGGCCCCTCAGGCACCTCATGAAATTTCCAAAAATTTAAGACTGCCATTTAGTGTCGGGGGACCTCGCCATCAAAAGTCGCTCGCCGTTGAGAAAGAGGTATTCAGCATGGCCGGTCGTGCCGAGCGGCCTTGAGGAAGGGGTGTGGCTGAGCCGTCAGAGGCAAAAATAGAATCAACCGCGGGTAAAGATTGGAACTGGGGCGGCAGAGACCGTACCAAGGGGAAGCCCGGGCGCTGGGAATGGAATGGGACTCGGCAGCAGTCGTAATAATCATAATAATAATAGCAACCATCCTAATAATGGGTCCAACCCAAAAACCAAACCAAAACCAACCACAGTACGCCTAGCGCCTAGTCGCTGGGGTTCTGTTGTTCCGCCATCACACTATCTCGTCGAACCGAATCATATTTTTTCCCCCTTGGTTAGTGGACCGGGTTGGATTCAACATCCTGTTCATCCACCAGAGATCCCAGTTGGTTCTCTTCTCGCCTAGGCGGATTCGTTTGTGGATGGGATGGGAGTTCTCGTTTCTCTTTCCTTTGCCCAGTAAAATTCAATTGTTCCGATAAAAATGGGGCTGCTTTCGCTCCTTCGATGTGAGAGAGCTCTCCAGGGAACACTATCACACTGCCCTGCATGGACCGGCCTAACAGGAGAAATCGACGAATCTTATTGGGGCTCGATGCCACGCCTGAAACCCTGCCGGCGCCCATCATACCCAGTCGGAGAGGTCTTTTGTGCCGACGGGGGGAGCTCGCATGGCGAAAGAGCAAAGATAGGATGTAGAAACTGAGGCGACCGAGTCGGGTCGATCGAATGTAAGGCGGTATCTATTCTTAGAGACCGGATTGGTGATACTAGTGAGCATTCGAGATGGGGTTGGAATGACCCCAAGACATTGTTAACATGTAGTCCATCACACTAACATCATAACATCCCCATCACATAACGGAGCTTACTAGCACCCAATCAGACAAGCCCATGCTAGACCATGCCTGGAGCGAGACCGAATGGAGACCTGAAACATACCTCCATCGTTCAATGACGCGACCGTCTTCCGTCCTCCGAACCATGATCTGTGTAATGAATGGATTTTTGAAGACCACCTTCGGAGGCGGGTACAGAAGGTGCCCCTTTCTCGCACCAATTTTTGCCCCCCTGTGGACAAGATTATGTTTGTTGTTATTCATGGCAACAGAAGTGGGGTGGGGACCGTACCTGGCCATGGAAGGCAAAAAGAGGTGAGACAAGATCGGTGACGGGGCCGACGGATTGGACGCATTGGCCCGGCAGCTGCCCTGGTGGGTCTCCCTTAGAAAGCCAGAGAGCCACCTTTGGGTAGGTTTGGAGGGGGGCAACTCTTGGGATTTGAAGAATTCTGAAGATTCTTGGAGGGGTTTGGGGGAAGAGGGGGGGAAGGCATTGGGGTGGTTGAGAAGGAGACGAAGAGAAAGGAAGTGTAAAAAAGTGAACAAAGAGAACGAATTAGACGTTGTCACGGTACCTGAAGAGTCAAGAGCCAAAGAGGTGGTAAAGTTCGTGGTGGTCAGTCACGACCGCCAGTCCCGTTGTCCCTGGTAATCGTGGCCCCTCCCCGCTATAAATACGATTCAGCCTCTCTACTCTGCAGCTTCTCTTCCCCTCCTACTTCTACTTCTCCTTCTTTCCCGTTCCCTCGCTTTACTCTCTCTCTCTCTCTCTCTTTTCCCCCTTTAAATCCCTGTTAACCCGGAACTTAATTCCAGCTCTCTTCTCCCCGATTCATTCCCCCATTTCCTTGTTTCCATCCTCCTTCATCATCCATCATGTGGTAACGTGGCTCCCTTCTTCCCCGGCCGATTTGAGTGCTCATTCTGTCCCAGTGGAATCTTCGGTTACATTAACTATCTGGTCGAGCGGGACCGCCAGTTCATCATTAACACCTTGCTCAATGGTAAGTCGTACTTTTGCAGAACCTCTGGCCTCTCCTGTTACCCAACCCTCCCCACACCGGTGGCAAAGTGGGATCGGCCGCTAACCAGTGTCAGGCCTGTCGAGACTGGAATACCGTGGCTATGATTCGGCCGGTATGGCCGTCGATGGTGACAAGAAGAACGAGGTCTGCGCTTTCAAGGAAGTCGGCAAGGTCGCCAAGTTGAAGGAGCTTATTGCCGAGAGCAAGCCGGACATGACCAAGAGCTTCGAGTCCCACGCCGGTATATCGCACACCCGTTGGGCCACCCATGGCACACCTTCCCGCCTGAACTGCCACCCCCACCGGTAAGTGAAGAAGAAGTTTTCAAAAAACACGACCACCAAGGGCGGGCCACGGACTGGTCTTGGCTAACGCTGGCTTTCTTGCGCTCGTGAACAGATCCGACCCCACCTGGGAATTCGCGGTCGTCCACAATGGTATCATCACCAACTACAAGGAATTGAAGGCCTTGCTGGAGACCAAGGGCTTCCGATTTGAGACCGAGACCGACACCGAATGCATTGCCAAACTGGCCAAGTACCTGTACGACCAGCACCCGGACATTGAGTTTACCGTCCTGGCCAAGGCCGTCATCAAGGAGTTGGAGGGTGCCTTCGGCTTGTTGATCAAGTCGGTGCACTACCCCCATGAGGTCATTGCCGCCCGGAAGGGTTCCCCCTTGGTGATTGGTGTGCGAACCTCGAAGAAAATGAAGGTGGACTTTGTCGATGTGGAATACTCGGAAGAGGGGGCTCTTCCTGCGGAGCAGGCCTCCCAAAATGTTGCCCTCAAGAAGTCGGCCACCAGCCTTCTCGCTCCCCCCGACAAGTCGCTGTTGCACCGTTCTCAGTCGCGCGCTTTCCTGTCGGACGACGGGATCCCTCAGCCCGCCGAGTTCTTCCTGTCCTCTGACCCCTCCGCCATTGTTGAGCACACTAAGAAGGTTCTGTACCTGGAGGATGATGACATCGCCCATATCCACGAGGGCCAGCTGAACATTCACCGTCTGACTAAGGACGACGGCACCTCAAATGTTCGCGCTATTCAGACCATTGAGCTGGAGCTGCAGGAGATCATGAAGGGCAAATTCGATCACTTCATGCAGAAGGAGATCTTCGAGCAGCCCGAGTCCGTTGTCAACACCATGAGAGGTCGTCTGGATGCCGTCAACAAGAAGGTGACTCTGGGTGGTCTGCGTCAATACATCTCTACCATCCGACGCTGCCGACGTCTGATTTTCATTGCCTGTGGTACCAGTTACCACTCCTGTATGGCTGTTCGTGGTGTCTTCGAGGAACTCACGGAAATTCCCATCGCGGTTGAGCTTGCCTCTGATTTCCTGGATCGCCAGGCACCGGTGTTCCGCGACGATACCTGTGTGTTTGTTTCCCAATCCGGCGAGACCGCAGATTCGCTCATGGCTCTTCGATACTGCTTGGAGCGAGGCGCGTTGACGGTCGGTGTAGTCAATGTTGTCGGCTCCTCCATCTCTCTCCTCACTCACTGCGGTGTCCACATCAACGCGGGTCCCGAGATTGGCGTGGCCTCGACCAAGGCCTACACCTCTCAGTTCGTCGCCATGGTCATGTTTGCGTTGTCCCTCAGCGAGGACCGTGCTTCCAAACAGAAGCGACGAGAGGAGATCATGGAGGGTCTCGGCAAGGTCTCAGAGCAGTTCCGGGAGATCCTGAAGCTCAATGATCCCATCAAGGAGATGTGTGCTAAGTTCTTCAAGGACCAGAAGAGCTTGCTTCTGCTCGGCCGTGGTGCCCAATTTCCTACCGCCCTTGAAGGTGCGTTTTTTAATCCCTTCCCCTTTCCTGTTCTTCCATGGAATTCCCCCCATTTTGATTGGTAGCAAGCAATACTGACATGAAATTTTTCTGGTTCATCTTAGGTGCCCTGAAGATTAAGGAAATCTCATACCTCCACTGCGAGGCGGTCATGTCCGGTGAACTGAAGCACGGTGTCCTGGCCCTAGTTGATGAGAACCTGCCTATCATCATGATTCTTACTCGTGACAATCTGTTCACCAAGTCCCTCAACGCCTACCAGCAAGGTGAGTGTTTTGTAAAACAATGTTTTTGATCTGGTCAACAAGAGACTAACTTCGTATCTCAGTGATTGCTCGTGGCGGCCGGCCCATTGTGATCTGCAACCAAGATGACCCCGAGTTCTCGGCTGCCCAGACCGAGAAGATAGTTGTGCCGAAGACCGTGGACTGTCTTCAGGGTCTGCTGAATGTCATTCCCCTGCAGTTGATTTCATACTGGCTCGCTGTCGGCGAGGGTCTGAACGTGGATTTCCCGCGTAATCTGGCCAAGTCGGTCACTGTGGAGTAAAACGGGGTTGACCCAGTCCGATTTTCTTGGACGTAGACGACTGCTATGATCTCTTTTATTTTTAGGTTCTGTTTCTTGAGCTTTAATCGGGGAAATGTAATCCTTGAATCCCATCCTTTGATTCACCTTGTCTCATCGTTCTGTTGTGTACTGCAGTATATTGGTGTCGTGAGACGCCCCCGAGTATCGTGGACGAACGTAGTCATGCCGCGCTCTGGTGTGATTTTGCCGTATTCGGCCGCGGCATTCCGCCTTCCCCCGCCTCGAGTCTCAATGCGGAACCGACGTTTCTCGGATGTTTTCGTCTCTCCCCTCCAATTCATAAACCTCACGTTTTGGCCGGAGTGTGAATTATCTATTCGGGGAAGCAATCATACCTTGACATACACACTCTTAAAACTATGACGTCCATCAAAGGTCCCGGAGCTGCCCAGAGCTTCGATGGTGAGAAAGCCACCCCCACCTCAAATTCCCGAGAGACCTAAAGTTCGCCTGGACTGACAGTGATGCATTGCTGGTTCATACAGGCTCGGACTTGCGCATTGCTATCGTTCACGCACGATGGAACACTACCATCATCGATCAGCTTGTGGCGGGTGCGAAGAAGAGCTTGTTTGCTGCAGGCGTGACCGAAGACAATATCACGATTGAGACGGTTCCTGGCAGTTACGAATTGCCCATTGGTGTTCAGCGGTACGCCTGTTGATGATTTTACGAAGTGCGATATGATATCACAGGACATTTCTAATGCTTTCGTCTCTTGGGGCGGGGTTCCAGGTTGTATGCGGCCTCCCAAGTCCAAGCCAGTTCGACCGGCGAGGGCATCAGTGCCACCGACCTCCTCTCATCTTCCACGATCGACTTGAGCAAGTCGACGACCTCAAGCGCCCCGAAAAAACCCTTCGACGCCATCATTGCTATCGGAGTTTTAATCAAGGGCGCCACAATGCACTTCGAGTATATCGCTGACGCTGTCAGCCACGGTTTGATGCGGGTTCAGTTGGATTCGGGCGTGCCTGTAATCTTTGGGCTGCTCACCGTTCTCACTGAGGAGCAAGGCCTGGAGAGGGCTGGGCTGGGCAAGAACGGCATGCATAACCACGGTGAAGATTGGGGTAGTGCTGCCGTGGAGCTCGGTGTAAAGCGACGAGACTGGTCGGAGGGAAAGATTGTGTAATCATGCCGGAGTCGGTCTTTTAGAAAGACCTGAGGAAACGATGAGCCGTACCTGGTCTCCTACGTTGGGGTTTGGGGACAAAAAAGAATCAGCTTTCCCGGGTCAGTTAGTTAATCTTGGAGGTATTCGTTCATAGTCTGGTCTATTACACGTTCACTGTTCCATCTGCTCCTCTTGTCCCCTATCCTCTTCCTCCTCGTCGTCATCTAATGCCCGTCTGGCTGCCCGCTCGGCTTCCTCTAGGATGTCCTTAGGCACTTCCTCGTGTCGGCCCTTGGTTGGGCCATCGAGCGAGCTGATCCATGTCATTTCCAACTCGAACTCCTTGTCCTTACTGTCCTCATGTGCCACGTAGATGATTCTTGCGGCCTCTTTGACACCTTGCAGCAAGGAAAGTGTACCGGAGCTCAGATCTAGTTTCTCAAGTTCAGCCTTGGCCGCCTGGCGGCCTTTACCGGTGGCCGCACCATAATAACCCTACGCAGAGAGTGTCAGCATGAATCAGCCAAGCACAAATCGGAAACCATACCCAGTAAAGTCCACTAGGCTCAATCATGTACAGACCAGGGCCTCCAGCCTTGGTGCCCTCGACCTTACCGCCCGCGCCAGACTGGGGACCTGAGCCGACCTGTCCGTCAACCGCAAGCTCCGCTTCGCTATCCCAGCCTCCAACAATAGATGCCACACCAAATGGCCGTACGCTTGAGTAAAGGGTATAAGCTTGTACGTAGCCTCCGAGGCGGTTCGCGAGTGCGGAGGTGGGGATGGGACCTTTGTAAACACCTCTCCATGAGGAGGCCTCGTCTCTGGCCCTGGAAACAAAATGGCGCCCATCGGGAACGAGTCCAGCCGATACCTTTAAGAGGAAAAGAAGGTTAGAGAGTAAAGCAAGAATGGATGGCCGGGGGAGCATAGCGAAGCGCAGGGTTATGAGATGACGGTGAAGCTAAGGGATGTGAAGAAGGGGAGATTGGCGGTCTCACAATACCAACATGGCGATCCACGGTTGCAATTCTCTTATTCGCACCAGGCTTAAGAAGTTTGCTAGTGATGATTTTCTCAACGGCCAAGACGACTCCGTCCTTGCATCGAATGCCAATAGCTGTTCCTCCATTCTCGACGGCCTTCACGGCGTACTCCACCTATCGGGATAGATTAGCGGATAAGGCAGTTCGGGGTCATAATTGTTGTATCGAAATATTTGACAAAGGGTTCGTACCTGGAAATTGCGGCCATCTGGCGAGAAGACCGAGTTGGATAAATCGTAACCTGTACCGATAGACGTCTAGCACATCGGTTAACAATCGGTAGGAGTAAAATCCAGGGCGTCCGTCCACTTACCATGATTATGTGGGTATGTGAACGGTGTAAGAAGATTCCAAGGGCACCGGTGGCGACAGTTGGGAAGAATGAAGTTGGGAAGCTGGAGGAGTGCTAGGACGCGATGGGGAGAGCTCTGGGATGAAGCTGCGTCACGGGGCTGCCTGGATAGTCACCTGACCATGAGGGCGAGGTGATGGGCGGTTGGGCGCTTGTGTCGGCTGCGTTTCGCGCTTGAAGATGCGGCCCAACAAGGGCTCTCTTGGGCACCCGCGGGGTATTCAAAGACTTGATGTGCCTTCGAGACCGGAGCTCCTTTCTTTCCTGATATCCATCTTGTCTTCTATTCTTTATTCTCTCTTCATCATCTGAGGAGTGTGCATTTGTGTCTGTCGCTCTGGTCTCGCGTTCGCTGCTTTCTCTTCGTTGATACCCTGGATCCCGTTGCACTATAGTTCGAAATCCCCTGTGGCTTTGGGCTGTTCTTTCCCTTTATTAATCTCTCTGTTATTTCTGCTATCTCTGCTCCTCGCTGCTCTCCCCCTTTATCTCAGCTGTCTTCCCATTTTCACCATGTCATCCTCAATTCTACACCAATGTCCATTTTGTGGGCATCTTTCCGACATTTCTCTTGCCCTGGCTGCCTTCCTCGAGAACCCCCACTGTAACCAGGTAGTCTTTGCCTGACCCGATCTCTGTTTCGCTGCTCCCTAACATTCAACTTCTATAGTGTGGTCTGTCGGTGTCCGAAAGCCATGGGAAGTTACAAGACGACCTCTCGGCGTTGTTTGACAGGCAAATGACGATGGGGTCATTGCTTCCACCCCCGGAGCAAACCCCTGCGGCCACGCAGACGCCGATCTCCTACATCTCCCAGCATTATCATCATTCGTCCCATGTAGTTGCCCCAAACCCCGGTCCTGCCCCATTGTCGACTTCGGTTGAAACCGAGGACTCGGCGGTCCATGATGTCTTACGGCAGTGTGGTCTTGACCCCAACGCCTTCTCCGTGAACCAACTGGACCTCTTCAAGAATGCGGATGCGGAACAGCAGAAGCGTTTGGTTCAAACCTGGCAGGTATATTCTGTGCACGAGAATTCCACGCTCACCCAGGACATGGAGATGAATGACTCCACGAATGACCAGAAGGATGCCGAGCCTTACATGATGTCTGGCTATGAAATCATCCCCGAACCAACCGCGAAGAGCCCTCCGAACGAGCCTACAACGGGAGAACCTTATGCTGCCTCGACGGATCCGGTGTACAAGAGCCCCCAATGGTGGGAGACGGGCCAGACGGGACCAATGGAGTCTCAATACGGGATATTCGAGGAGAGGAACCGATATTTCTTGACGCATTGTAGCGTTGCCCATTCTCACTACTAATGTGGATATATTGAACACGGTCTCTATTGGCTCAGTTCTTCGATAATATGATACCCAGATAGCTTTACATAGTTCAAGGCTGGATCGATTACACAGTGCCGCCCTTTATGATTACCGTAACCACGACTTTCCTTGGGCAGACCATATTTGCCAGCACGCCCCATGACACTATAGTCCGTACTCGAAGAGCCTGCTAACCCGGTCTCGACCAAGGCGCGAATGACGCCTAAATCTGTACATATTAATCATGTTACGATGCAAAGCCAGCCACCTGCTATGTCCGAAAGGTGAACACAGCGAACACACAATCAAAATAAGCCGTAGGATGCCACAACTTTACGTAAACGTGTACGGCCCTCTTTCTCTCTCTCTTGCCCTTCAATTTAGATAGGTCGAAGATGAAGCATCATGTTCCTAATGCTAAGACTCTTTAATGACTGAATCCGAGCAATACAAGTAGGTTCATGTTATCTGGGAATTTGAAATATCATAGGTAAGAAAAATAGAATTTTTGTGTACAGTCCCATTCTTCTAAATATTGCATCTTTTACCCCTTTTAAAATATGTTATTCTGCTAGGCTGCCTATAAGGTTAGCACTCTCCTGACGCTAAGATGCAATTCTTCCGTTTTATTCTCACGTCTATAATTGTTGCTTTTTCTCCTACTACAGCTATCAATCAACCAATCAATCAACCAATCAATTAGTGTTCTTCTTCCCGTTGGGCTTTTTCCATTTAAAAGGTGCTATGCAGGGATTTGTGTCTTCTGGTTTCAAGCCCAGTGCGCATGACGGGAATCACCAGGTCTATTTATCCTTTTGCTCACATTAGTTGCTCATTAAAATAATATTATAGTGCCTACATTATATAATCAATCTCGACAAATATCGTAAATATACAATATCACAGCGACAATATGTCACACTACGCATTACGCTCAATGCAGCTCAAGGAGCGACGGTGTCTTCACAAAGTCCTTGCCCTTTAGCGCTAAACCTCTCTGATATTGATATCAAAACGTAAGCTCAGTCGCTGAAAGGCTTCAACGGTCTATAGAATTTGGCTATTTGGAAAGCTATATATTATGAAGCTTGTGAGTTCAATTATTGCGTCCAAGGATAACGCTGGCCTACTAGTTCCACGACAACAGGAACCCTAGGTACACTAAAAGGCGCCGAGATCTAAATCGTTTTCGCTGCGAATTGAATGCCTATCATAATCTCTGTAAATTCGGCGTGTGCAAACGAGGCGTTTTTCCCGCTTTTTATAGCTATATCGATCGAGTTGATCTGTCAGCTTTTTCCCCCCGCTTAAGCATTTCGCCGACGATAAATACTAACTTAGTACGATCCTGCTCGAATCTTTGCTTTGTGCTGAAAGACTAGATAGCGAAAACTATTCTAAAGATCTTTTTCGCTATACTATTAAGAGCATAAAACAAATCTATAACGCTATTATCTACTATTATGATATTTATCCGAAGAATATACTTCTTGTATCTAGCACAAAGATTGTTTAGGTTAATTTTGACATTGCGATAATATTCAGTAATTTAGGCCCTTACGGAAAGGTACATTGCGATTATGAAACCAAAATCGTCGAAAGTTTTAGAAAGCTAAAAATAAATATCAGAACGACGATAAGAGATAGGGTCTTCTACCCAATACAAAATATTACTAAAAAAAGCGTTAAACACGAATAACCCGAAATAGTATAACATTAGAACGTGAAATAGGTGTTACGTAGACGCGATACTCTTGAACACGATACCCAATCGTGTCTTCTCTATAAAATTACCTTAATAGAGGAAATACCCTCTAGTACTATCTTTATATACTTATCCCCGAGGGAAGGTATAAAACCCTTAGCTAGGATGCTCTTCGTATAATAACTAAGATATCTTGATATACGCCTCTAGCTAGGTAAAGAACTCCTCGATAGGTTTAGAATCCGGTGAACACGGCGGCTAGTATGGTAATTTGACCTCCCGCGTCAGCATATAAGATCTTGATCTAGCCTGAATGATGGAAAGATATATTATCCACAACAAGCACGAATTTTGGTTCCGGCTACTCCTACAGTACTAGAGAAGCTGCTTGATAAGCGATTTGAGGAGCGTGGTCTCTACCATGAAGATACAAGACAGAATGATACCGTCTTGGGTCTTCATGGGCAGTATCTAGAAGCTTTGACCGCGATAAAATCTCGATACTTAGACTAGTATCATGCCAAGTAGCGACTAGCTAGTCCGCCCATATCTCATCCTTTTATTATATCCGGATTTATTACAGGGATATAATATAACCAAAATTAGATAGCTTATACTAGTAGAAATCTAGTGGCTCGGGGTTCTATTCTTTATCTTTCTACTATAATTTCTTTCTTGTCTAGCTAGCTCAAGAAAGAGCGCGTTGGATACTAGATTACGTTGAAGAGATAATTATCTTCCTAAAGGATAATTTCAATATATTGCTATCGTTTAGGCCAGGCTTTTCGGCGAGGTTGTCATAGAGGACTTCAAGTATAATAGGGGTGATACAGTTGTCAACGGACTAAGACTACGGGATATCATCATATTGAGTATCTCATTCTATTGGATCCCACAAGTTTATAAAGCACCCTAATATACCGACATTATACTTTCATTCTTGTTACCATGCACGCCTAGAACACAATTTTCAATACAGAACTAGCTATATAAGGTTTGACGTATGATGTGACTACCGTTTGAACAGTTCCTCTCTGTTTCCTAACATAGAAGGCAATAACGGCCGGCACGGTTTATATTTGTGTATCCGTACATCGATAATCTTGGATCAAAGGCTACCATCGAGGAGAAAACAAAATCACTGGAAATAATATGTTTCCACACCTAGATAATCTGTGAGAGATTGCAGTATTATTCTTCTCGATCCTTCAGGGAACAAGAAAAAGAAGATAATAATCAAGGTAAGAGGCATGTATGGCCAGTCACAAAAGAGGGTTCGCCATGTTCACTTCCCGGTAAGCCTGACGACATACATCGGCCTGCTGATCATATGATATATGAGGGAGCGAATAAAGTGCCGAGTGAGAGTGTTTAAAGAAAACAAAGAAAACAGAGAAAACAGGTTGAAAGGAAAAGGCAGACAAGTCCACCGCCAGTGCTTGATGACACCGAGCTTTCGAGAATATCAAATCGTGTATGATGTCTCTAGAGAATGATTCAGTCAAGGCGTCCATCGCCAAATGAACAGAGGGAGGGGGAAAAGATCAGGTTACCTTTATTCTTCTTCATCCATGGCAGCCATGGCTTCGGCGAGAGCATCAGCAGAGCGCTGGACATCCTCCACGGCCTCAGCAGTGCGCTTGATTTTAGTGCACCCCTGACCGGGGTGAACGCACCACTTCTGAAGGGCCTCAGGGTGAGCCTCGGCCATAGCCTCAGCCAGCGCATCGGCCGAACGCTTGACCTCACCGGTGATATCGGCGGTGCGCTTCATCATGTAGCAGCCTTGACCGGGATGGCCGCACCACTTCTGCCCAACACGCCTAGCCGCCACATTGGCAGTAAGGGCTGCCATGATGGCGATGGTGATTGAGATAAACTTCATTGCGAAGATAGGGTAATAAGTTTGAATTGAATGGTGAAATATTTTCGAGGGCAATGACTGAGAGGTAGACGAAGATCGTTGAACGGTAGTCGTAGAATGGGAGAGGAGACATGGCGATTGAGAAGCATTTATAGTGATTGTGGGAGGTGAAGAGCGTGTATCAACATCTACGATGGTCTCGTTGCCTTACCCTGTGCTTTTCGTAGGTCTATAGAGTCCCTAATCGGGTATAGTGTGATTGGGCTCCCATGTAAGATTTCCTTTAATTCTCTGCTGCTAGGCTGTCCAATATCCAATCAAATGGATCAACTCGGCATTCTCTCTGGTCTACAAGGACTATGCCTTGGGATCCTGCCAGGGTCCATCACAGCTGCCCCAGCATCGTGGAGTGGTCGAGGAGTTGGAACTAATCAGCAAGACAACCTGGGGGATTAATCTTTGTTCAGAGACCAGGCAATAGAACCTATTCTGGTCCCAGAAGCGTAGATGACCAGAAGCCGCTCAAGGCTCTTAGAAAGAGCAAAGGAGGTAGCGATTGCCCGAAGAAGGAGTCAAAAGGAACGACGAGGAGGCCAACGCGGCCAAGTCTCATTGTTCGAGATAAGATCGGGCCGGGGCTGCGCAGAGTCGCGCGATGCCGAGCCCATCCGGGCCCTTTTTTTCCGTTCCCTTTCTCCGGACACTCGCTCCAGTCTTTGCCGCCCTCTCCTCCTGCCCCCCCTCCCCTGTCCAACCTCCTCTCTTCTTGATCTTTGACCTCACTTTCCTCTATTTTTCTTTGTCGAAGAATTCGAGTCGAGTCAAAATGTTCTCGCGAACGGCCCAGCCAGCCCGGGTAGGTGGTCAAACCCTTTCTCTCGCTTCGCGCCCATTTCGCAACCCCCGAAGCTAACCAGGTTCAGACTCTGCTTCGCACTGCCTCCGTGGCTCCCTCCGTCGGCAGCTCAATTCCCGCTAGATGTACGCTACTATCTCTTTGAGAGATCCTTTCCGCCGTTTGCTGTCGACTGTCAGAATATTTGTCGCTAATTTTTCTTTTTTCTTTTGCTTGCGATCAGCTTTTGCTAGCGTTCAGTCGGACATCTTCAAGCCCACCAAGTATGGTGGCAAGTACACGGTCACTCTGATTCCCGGTATGTCTTGGGCGCGTCGCGATGCGACCGGGGTTTGCCTCGTGGAAGGGAATCAATTGGTTGCTGACGGTTTCCAGGTGACGGTATTGGCGCCGAAGTCGCCGAGTCTGTCAAGACCATCTTCAAGGCCGACAATGTGCCGATTGAGTGGGAGCAGGTTGACGTGAGCGGTGTTGACACCGGCAACAAGCACTCGGAGGAGCTGTTCAAGGAGTCTTTGGCTTCGCTGAAGCGTAACAAGCTGGGCCTTAAGGGTATCCTCCACACCCCTGTGGAGCGATCGGGCCACCAGTCCTTCAATGTTGCTCTGCGTCAGGAGCTGGACATCTACGCCTCGATCTCCCTGATCAAGAACATCCCCGGCTATGAGACTCGCCACAAGGATGTCGATCTGTGCATTATCCGTGAGAACACCGAAGGAGAGTACTCCGGCCTGGAGCACCAGTCGGTGCAGGGAGTCGTCGAGTCTCTCAAGATCATCACCCGCGCCAAGTCCGAGCGCATTGCCAAGTTTGCCTTCAGCTTCGCCCTCGCCAACAACCGGAAGAAGGTCACTTGCATCCACAAGGCCAACATCATGAAGCTGGCCGACGGTCTCTTCCGCAGCACCTTCCACAAGGTCGCCGAGAACTACCCCACTCTGGAGGTCAACGACATGATCGTGGACAACGCGTCTATGCAGGCCGTTTCCCGCCCCCAGCAGTTTGACGTGATGGTCATGCCTAACCTCTACGGTGGTATCCTCTCCAACGTTGGTGCTGCTCTCGTCGGTGGTCCCGGTGTGGTCCCTGGCTGCAACATGGGCCGTGATGTGGCCGTTTTCGAGCCTGGCTGCCGTCACGTCGGTCTCGATATCAAGGGCAAGGACCAGGCCAACCCCAGCGCCATGATCCTGTCCGGCTCTATGCTGCTGCGCCACCTTGGTCTGGATGACCACGCCAACCGTATCTCCAAGGCAGTCTACGACGTGATTGGTGAAGGGTAAGTTTCATCAATCTTGCATTTTGGTTCTTAAATCCTTGAAGTGTAGCTTCGACTAATTCTTTCTACAGCCAGACTCGCACCCGCGACATGGGTGGCCAGGCTACCACTCACGAGTTTACCCGTGCCGTCTTGGACAAGATGGAGGCGGCTCTGTAAATTTGACCCTCATAGCCGACATTCCTCACTGCTACGACGGGAGATAATCCAGCCAAAACCATCTGGGCTTGATGCTGCAGATGCTAAGTCGGTTGGAGTGATGCTCCATTATGTATTATCTTTCTTTCTATTTAGCTCGCAATGTCTTCTGGCAATTTATAGCAATAGACAATCCTGTTTCCCAAAACCTCGAAAGTCGTTTGACGTCCCGGAGATATCATGCCCTGTATATTTTGGAAGATAACTACGAATATGCCATGTCGCACGTAAGCGGAAGATACCCACTGACCAGAGCAGACCGTACAGTGCGTATACTTGGAAGAAAGAAGGCTTTTTCCTTAAGTTGTACTTAATTGTAATTGGTGATGTTGTAGGAAAACAGATATCGAATCTGTCATCGCTAAATATTGGCACGCACTCACACTCACATAACACATCTCGTCATATGGAGGGGGCACTAGCGCCTGAAAAAAAACTTTTTTGTGTGCAGCATAATGGCCAAATCCTGAAGAAAGAATTTCCGAAACTCCTCTGAAGCTGTCAAACAGACTCCAGATCCTGAGATTAGGGTTTGGTAAAGGACGGGAGTCTTTGGACTGCTATAACTTCAGAACCATGGCCTGCTTGTCAGCTGGGGTTTTTCAAAGCGCCGTCCTCACCACCGGTCCCACTATGCAGATGTAACGGGTATCAGCGTGTGAAGGGTATCAAAGGTGCATGAGAATATGTCAAAACATGCATGGGAAAGGTTGATCATGGCGTGGTCGATTCGCCCGACGAGGCGGTGGCATAATGGAGAGATCAAAAAGCGGTACGTCTTTTCCGGCCAGTATATTTGGAATTGTGCTTGACAACCTTTCCTTTCCTTTCCATTTGCTCCTTCTTTTTCAAGATCCACGCTCTGTCGCCTTTTCGGGGAGGACCTCTGGCGTGTTTCATCTCTGCCGCCTTTCGTCGCGCGTCCAAGACGTTGACATCGTCCATGCCGTTGACGACACCCGTGATATCACCCTGAAGACCACCACCACCAACAGTCAAAACCAAGTACAGCTTGCTATTCTTGGTTCCCGGGTCATCCTCAAGCATACCGGCACCGAATCCAGCTTTGATAGCGGCGCCACTGATCATGCTTCGCTGGACATCGTTTTTCGGATAGAATTGGCACACCGCGCGTCCACCACGGCGGAGACTTGCGTAAAGGCCCTCGAAAAATCGCTTGAGACGACCCTCAGGGCTAACGTCACTCGTCTCGGCGTTGCACAACCATTGAATTGCACTGATGCTGATCGCGGCATCAAATGAGCCAGGTCGGAAAGGGACTCCTTGACCAATATCGGCAAGAAAGAGATCGCCCTCAACTTCACGTTGAAGAGCCACGTCCAGCATGCTTGGAGCGATATCCATGCCAACCCAGGTGTGTGGTCCACCCTCGTCGGGAGGGACTTGAGACAAAATCTCGCCTGAGAGACCGGAGCCACACCCAACATCCAGAATAAGCGAGGGAGATTTGAGATCTAGGAGCTCAAGAGCTCGGTGGGTCATGTCGGCTTGGATATTCCGAATACGCGACGACGTTGTGTATTTGCGGGATTCATTGTCATTGTAAAAGAGATCGGGCGGGCTATTTTGAAGCTAGTTAGCTCTTGGGTCCAATTGAGAGTTGCCAGGAATACAGCGCCAAGGGCATAGGAAGGATGAGAGGGCATGACCATACAGAGTATCTTCTGGGCGCGACATGATGGCTTGGTTGGAAAGTGTTCAAGCGGAACTGCAATCGCAAGATAATTTTTTGGGGCGGGGTGGCTGCCTGAGGCAGCAAGAGGTTTGCCCAACGCGTCACTGTCACTTAACTGCGACTGTCGCCGCAAACGCGGTGACACCTGATCTCTAACGGGCCTCCAACTCTTTCCTCTACATTTGCTGCCTGTCCCGATTCCGCTCCCGATCTTCCCAATTTCTTTGCTAACGATGTGGATCCTGCCCTTGGTAGGGTACCTGGGGTTGATTGTTGGGTTCGCTTTCCTCACTCTTGCTATTGGTAAGTTGCCTTAACCTCCGGCTCCTCCACAGTCTCTTCCGAGAGAGATTCAGCGAAGGGAGAGGACCCATTGAGACTGACTTTGATGTAGCCTCGGGACTATACTATTTATCGGAACTCGTGGAGGAACATACCGTTCTTGCGCGCCGGTTACTGAGCCGCCTAATATACGGCATAATCGGGCTCCAAGTTCTACTCGTCATTATCGACCGATTCCCTGTCTGGCTCTCCCTTCTCAGTATCCTCTCCCATCTTGTCTATGCCAGCAATCTACGCCGCTTTCCCATCGTCAAATTATCCGACCCTGTGTTCATTCTCTCGTGCATTTTGGTCCTTCTCAACCATTGGCTTTGGTTCCGCCATTTCTCGAAGCCGCTCCCTCCTTCCCGCCGCACCGATAATAACTGGCGCCAGCCATACCAGGTTGACTATGCAGATATGCCATCATTTTCGGAGGTGGCCTCATATTTTGGTCTCTGCGTTTGGTTAGTGCCATTTGCCCTCTTTGTTAGTCTGAGCGCCGGGGAAAATGTTCTACCCAGCATGGGATCTGAATATGCCACTGGAGAACATTCCTCATCTGGGATGGGTCACAGTCATGGTCCATCCGATAGCAAGACGAAGAATAAAGGGATGGCAAAAGCATTGGTAGACAATGTGCGTGATTGGGCTCGAGAGAATGGGGAACTCATGGGGTTCTGGCGCGGTGAGCGTACTCAACGTTTCTAAAGCACAGAGCGGAATGATATAATGAATTGATTTGGCATTGATTTCAAATGAGAGAAGCTAGAATATAAAGAAAAGCAATGATATATCAAAACAAAGAGAACGCGGAGCTGTGCTGTTGTAGATTCAGGGGACGAAGTCGCTGAAATTCCAGCGTGCCACACACACCACCAGGAAGGCCAAAGAGCCTAGCAGTAAAAGAAGGAAGATAGAGGAAAAGTGGAGAAAGTTGAAGGGGTATAACGGTTGATCAGTATCATAGTAAATGAGAAGAGAAAGAAGAGAAAGAAAAAGAAAAACAAAGAAAAAAGAGGGCTCCAGGGTGAACCAGTGGAAATAGCTCCAAAGTCCATCGACCTCCGGTATTGCAACTTCATCCTAATTACCATTATCATTAAACATTCCCTCGCGACTGTGCTGGTGCCAAGTGGGTAAAATCGTTCCGCGTGCAATTCATGATCGGTCAGAGGGTGTAGAGTTCCGAATTAGAAGCATGATAGCAAAGGTAGGGAGAGCAAGATGGACAGAACAGCAAGATCCAGCTACTGTTCAAGTCATTTATTTATTGCCCTGGTAAACAGAAAAGTCTTCAGATGCTAGATGCTGTCAGTTGACCTGGAATATTGAATGTTCAGGAACGCCTTACGCACTACTTTCCATGAAGAGCATTGAACTCTCGCGTCTCTTTGACTTGGCCGAGCGAGTGTCATCCTGGCCGGGAGACAACATGCTATTCAGGGAAGAGAAAGGGCCCGAAGCTCCTGGGTGTTGATTGTATATCTCTGGCCTATAACCAGTTTGATCATAAGAAGGCTGCATCGAAACAAAGCCAGCGTCGTGAGCAACTCGAGAGGGGTCTCCATTTGCACTTTCTCCGGCCCCCCTGAATGAGGTTTGATTATACGAAGGTGTTGGGATGTCGGTGAACATCTGATGGCGCGGGGATCTAACATCGTCGGGTGATAGGCTGTGATCGACAGTCAACTCCACCGTCGCCGAAGCCGAGCCAGCATCGCCGAAGATACTATCAAAGTCGGTCAGAAACATCGAGAAGACTGGTGCGGGAATATTGAGGGTCGGTGCAAAAACAATTCCAACGTTTCTGACGGTCATTTTGTTCACATCCGAGTTGTTGACGATCTCAATCAAAAATAAGGACAACGCTCGTAGCAAGGAGAGATTCGGCTTCGGTAATCGGTGAACCAGGGCATTGAAGGCGATGACCTTGTTCTGCCGATCATCGAGTTCTGTGGGAACATATTAGTCACAAGGTTAAGGAGGGTTATAGGAACCAGAGTGAAAAAATTGACTTACCAAGAACACGGAGAAAATCCAAATGGAGCTCTCGCGTTAAAACTGTAGTGGGGAGTTCACGGAGGTATTGCTTGAAGAGAGATGCAACGGCATGAACATCATAGTACTGATCTCCAGCTAAAAAGTCGACATCGCCTTCGGTATTGAAACGCTCTTTCAAAGCTTTGATCACCACATTGGAACCGCTTAAACGGAAAATCCCTTCCTCAGACGCTGCATCCTTCGCCTGCAGGTATTCGATACAGCGATACACCACAGCAGGTAGGTCCACATCCACATCTTGCGGTGCACAATCCTGCACGGCTTCAGCCAAAGGAATACCGAAGACAGGCTTGACGGGACCTTTTCGTTCAGCCGCTATACTGTTTGCAGTGGATGAATCATTGGCCTGTGCAGCCAAGTCAAAGGACGATCTGGTGCGAAAACCCCAGATGCTTCGTTTCTTCTCCTTTGTTGACGTTGTCTTGTTGCCCCAAGCTTCCACGTTCTGAATGATCGCGCCGTTTGTAGGACCAGAAATGAGTTTGGGAGATTGCAGAGGAGACTCAATTGAGGACTGATTTAGTTCTCGAAAATCAGTCGAAAGAGCGGATGGCATGCGTGGTGAGCGGGGAGCCTGGTCAATGGATGAGCCAAGAATGGGCGGTTCTGCAGCTATCGTGTCATCAAAGCTAAACCCTTGGACGGGACTGCTAATGTCTTGGTCAGGGCTTTCGACCCCTCGACCTGACCGCTTGCTTCCACTATTGGACTGCACCTTAGACTTGGTCGCAGGAGTGGATGATTGTTTCCCTTGACCCGATGGCTGACTCTTCGACAATTTACCTCGGCTTTCATTGTCCGAAGAAGGAAACTCCACATACTCCATGAGGGCATCTACCCAGGTATCGCGCTCTTCGTCACTTTCTGCGCAAAGCACATGCCGCACAAGGGCTGACGAATCCTTCTTTTTGGGCTCTAATATCAGAAATGCATGGCGATATTGGTTATCGGAGTCCTCATCAGCACCAGGGGGCGAGCTGCTCTGGCTGCTGGAATTCTGGGACTGCTTTCCAATCTGGGCATGGTTCAGTTTGATCGTTCCCATATGTGGGCCACCTGGAGACTCGTAATATTTCAATTCGGGCCCGTGAAGAACAAAATAGCGTGCTTTCCAACCGCCAAAATTCTTGCCTCGTTTGGTCAAATATCCTTCTTTTCTTGGTTTCCCGTCTGGGCCTCGAAGCATGTCGGGTTTCGCTTGACCATGACTTTTCAGGAGACTAGTCTCGTCGTCACGAGGTTCAATTGCATCATTGGTAAGAAATTGGCAAATCACTAGTGCGCCTCTCTCATCCATGGGGGTGTCCAAAAGGTTATCGAAATAAGCATTCAACGCTGCACGCCGCGCATCAACCTTTGCTGGTGAGTGGCCACTGAAGATACTCCGGTCCGGTAACTTTCCGGAGAAAGCAGTCAACTGTCGGATTTGATGATCCAACTGAGGTAGAGATGCAATTACTTTTTCAACTCGCCAGAGTTCTGCCATATCAGATCGAGAGATGACGCTGAGAGTGAAAACGGGTTCCTCATCCAGGGGTTTCGAAGCCATGTAGCTATTTCTGGAGGGTCGCAGTCGTGAAGAAGACACACGCACCTGAACCAAAGGAAGTGCATTCGGCGACAGTAGTAAGCCAGGGTATTCATCTGAAACAAGTCCCTGGTAGATCACAGGCTCAGGAAACCGTGGAGATTTTGGGCTGTCAATTTTGACTGTGGGGTCAATAGAAGGTATCGAGCCCTCGGGTCTTCCGCCTATGGCTTGGGAATCCGGAGGAGAAAAGTTGGTCGGATAGTTCGCCATCCGTGGCGTGATAGGCATTCCGGAAAGGTTGAATGCTGCATGGGATTGCATGGGAGTTGACATGTCCCTCGGCATCCGAGGTAGGGGTGAACCAATCGGTCGGTCCTCTGGTCGCGGGCTCATTGGCAAGCCGGGGCTCAGAGGGCCGGAGGCATTCGGGCGTGGAGCCAAACCTGCGGGCTTGGCTCGGGAGGTCAAAATGGTCCCCATAGATCCTATTCCGCTGATATTTTGTGGTGGTCTCGCTGCTATTTCACGAGGTACTGTGACCGGGCTGGCAGATGTAGCATGACTGCGGGAGCCTCGAGAAGTCTCAAGTTTGCCGTTTTCCAGAGATCCATGAGCATCTATCTCTCTTGACAAGGCAACTTCGCGATCTCGATCATCTTCCTCTCGTGTCTTCCGCCTCCCCGATCCATGCTGGATTTTCCATCTTCCTCGCCGTCACCGTAATCTGATCCGGAGTCGGGGCCTGCGGGCTCCGACTCGGCAGCGTCACGTTGTCGTAGATTCAGAGGAGCTGGCGGTGGTTTGCGAGTTGGCTGTGCAAATCTTGGAGAATCATCGCCTGGAGATGAGAGATCCGTGCCCGGACTAAAGCCCACTGAGGCGCCTCCCAGAGGCACTCCGGACGTTGTAATAAATGGGACAGTAGCGGATGGCGCAGCCCGTGGTCCTTCATTATTTTTCTTGCTCTCCAATGCGGATTTGACATGACTTGAAGATGAGCTGTCTATATCGACTGGTATCGTGCGAGGGGTGGCAGCTTCAACCGTGGGGAGTGGCGGGATAGAGTCTTGCAGCTCTTTAAATTTCTTCTTGTATCTTTCCTTCTCTTTGAAGGCACGATCAAGATCCTTGTTCAGACCCAGGATGAGCGTCCGCTGCTTGTCAACCAACTTCCACAGCTGTGAGTTTTGAGAGGCTGCTTGGTGTTTTTCCCTCAGCAGATGCACGATAACAGCCTCTGGGGAACCGGCGGCGTTGATGAGGTTGCTGATATCCGCCGGACTGAGGGCGTTGGCATCGAAAGTCGACTTTTGCGAGGCGGAGGACAAGGATGAGATAGCAGAGTCAATCGAGGAGGTGCGAGGCATGACTCGATGGGTCGGACGGTCTCCGGGTGCCGACAGCACGGAGCTGACAGATGGCGATGCGGAACGATCGGCCTCGGCCAGCCCAGGCGGTTTGGCAATATTCGCATTCGTATCTTCAGTCCGGGCGGAGGACTCCGCTGCCTCCGGGCCGGGCATCTCAGCTGCTCGAGGAGTGGTCTGGGTCAGGTTCGAGGGAGGTGTTGGAAACGGCGCATTCGCGATACGGGAGACAGGCGATCGATTTTGGGCGGGAGATACGTTGGCGCTCGATCGCGGCGAGAGTGGGCTTTGAGAAGCCGACGAGTCGTCGTGGTAAGACCGAGGCAACGAGCTGGTGTGCAGAGGGGAGGGTGAAATATGGCGAGAGCCAGGAGGCCCGGGGCGCGACACCACGTCGGATCGCGTCAGGTAATCCCGAGGGATGAGACCGCTGGTCAGAGGCGGGTGTGTGGAAGGTTGGGATCTAGACGCCAGACCAGGCAGATCCTCTTCACTACCTCGCCGTTGCGACATGATTCAGTCGAATCAGCATCAGAGGGGTCTTTTGGGTTTTTGGGGAGGGGGCGGAAGAAGGGACCCAGGAGGGGGGCGTGGGAGGCGGGATAGCGGGTCCCCGGGAGCTGAAGCTTGGGAAAGAAAGGGGGTCTCAGCCAAGCACGGGGTGTTCTCTTTGTCTCCCAGCACCGCTAGGTGAGGTTGGACGAAGCAGAGGATGAACAGGGGAAAGGGAGGGGGACGGAGGGGTGGAGAGGAAGTTGGTTGAGAAGTTCTACGGAGGTTGGTTGGGTTTTCCCAGTCTAAGTATTATTTCTTCTGGTTCTTCTGTTGACTCGCGCCGTGGCGGAGTCACAAAGATGATGATCGTTCGTGACAGCCAAACCGAAAACGAGTCATGAAGCGCTCGGGGAGGATCCGCTTTTTCCCCTTGACTTCGGGGATTTTTTGATTTTATTTATTTTATTTTTCTTTCTTTTCTTTTTAGTGCGTAGTTTTGACGTTTGCTTTTGAAGTTCTATAGAAGACGGGGGCTATCAGGGGCAAGGGGAATATACCAGGAGGCATGTCGGTCAAATAGATTGATGATAGCTGAACTTAACGAAAGAAACCAAGTAGGATCTTGAAGAGAGATATTAATAGTCTCGGATATTGGTCCCTGAGAATCGCCCCTGTGTCACACTCGATCTGTTATGCTTACTGAACGACATATACTAGACTGCTACGTTACAGACTGCTTGTCAACGGCAGAAGACCAAAAGACAATCTATGGTTGATTTTATTTTGCAGCCCACTGGCTAGCAGAAGAAACCATCTCAGCTCCAATAATTGTAATTTGAAAGTAGATGAGAAGGTGCTTCAGTACATTTGATATCGTATATCGGCTATCGAATATTGACGGAGGAGACCCTAAGCGGCCCTACTCTTGCTTGCGGTAAGCGAAAAATAAGTGCTTGAGGAGGTCATCTCTCCCTCTGGACTGAGAATCTGGAGGGCGCTTGGCCCGTTGGTACATGTTGGAAGAATGGAGACAGAGGTGGCAAATGTTTTCGCTCCACAAAATGAAGAAGATAAAACACCCCCGAGACTCCACAAATGCAAAGAATGAACATCAAAATGGCTATGATACAGACCCTTCCAACGCCAGCAAGAGGACCCCACCAACACATGGTAAAGCCCACAGAAATGTACAGGATTTATGCAATGTTGCCTGCCATGCCCATGAAAATGGCTTGGGCGGCCAGCTGAAGAGACCAGAACCCAACTTTTTTAAATCGTCGCTTGCGGGCTTGTTCGTCCACTACATCTCGAGCGAACGCATCGTACGTCTAGGTAAATATCAAAATTAGTATGCGAGAAACTCAAGTACAAGTACTGCGGCGGAAAGCACGGGAATATCAGAGGGGATAACTTGGAACTGACCGCCGCTGATAAGTCATCCATCAACGCACTGTCGAAGATCGTCCAACTTCCATCAAAGTCACCAACCCGCTTGACAAGGCGGCAATTGATGGGGATAAAAGTACGCTTCGAATTGATGTATGCGACGATAGGACGGATCAACGCGTTATTGATATAGGAAAGGTCGCGGGTGAAGATGGGGACCGCAGCCCGCACGTTGTTAAGATGCACACGCAAGTCCATCACAAGAAACCGCTTGTCATCATCGGATAAAGAGCCAGAGTCCTCGAGAGATTGCTCTGAGAGAGACTCGGGGTACTGGTTCGAAGTGACCGTAGCTTCCAGCCGGTCGTAGAAGTCGGCCATGACTTTGGCCAAACTTTCGTCATTTTCGGCGGGGAGCATGATATCGGCTACAATATCCACAGTCCCCTCGTGAATCCATGAGAACGGACCCTGAACACCTCGATTCAGGTGGTCAATGTTAAGGCCATCCACTCGAATCCGGTTGTGTTTCTTCCACGGACTAGACTTGCCATCGTCTTCCGCCCCTTGGTTTGACCGGGATCCAGTGAAGCCATGGGTTTGGTGAGGATGAATGGTGAAAAGTGAATTGTCGAAAGATCCTGACATCATATTGGCAGAAAGAAAGTCATAGAAAAGCCACTGTTTCCGTAACTGAGGGAGGTCGCAGGAAAAAATGCTGACAGAGAAGGGTCTGAAATTATCTGGTTGGTAGATCGAAACCAATACATCGTGCATTTTGAACGAGTCAATCTCGAAGTCACCAGGATTATGCTCATGTCGGTAAGATTTGGGATCGAGGTCTTCTTCTGGCCAGAAGACATGCCGACGATCAACAACTCCCCGGATTCCTTTCACTTCCACATCCCGGAGAGGACCTTTTCCGTTGAGCCACTTGGCGAAAGACAATGTGACATTGACTGTCTCGATTGAGAGGTCAAATTGAGTATAGTTGGTATCTTCCTCTTCAAAGTCAGGCGATGAATCTTCAAGTCCGTGTTCCCGACGCGCGGCGGCGGCGGCAGCAGCAGCAGCAGTTGTTGGAGAACCTTTACTGACATGTCCAGTACCCTGACCGGGACGTCTTGAAACAAACACATTTTTGAACGTAATCACACCATTTCGCCACTTAGGCACAATGGCAGATTCGAAGACAACCTTCACTCCTGATGATTTGGTAAGATAGTTACCAACCCATCCAGCCAAAGTTTCTAGAATCAAAGTTAGTCTCTTTGTGTAGGTTGGCCGCGCAGAGTGAGACACATACCTTGTGCGAAGACGGTATTAATAGCAAGGATTAGAAGTGAGAAAAATGTTGTAGTTCCGACCACCACCCAAACTACATGACCCAGCAAAACCCATGAGAAAAGGGCTGTGATTTCATCCAAATTGAAAGGCCGAACACTTCGTATGGAGAACCACTTGAATCGTACTTTCAAACGAGACCAGAATCCAGTTGCTGCAGCTAAAAGCTCCTCTTTTGTTGGGCGATGGAGATGTGGCATGTGCGGTAGACGATCCATCAAGTGGCGATTAGATGTTGGTTGGGCTGGGTGTTGGGATTCAGACGCTTTACGAAGACCGCCGTTGGAGGACCCGGTGTCGGACTTTTGGATTTTCTGCGGAGTATCATCGTCTTTCGAAGGGTGGGAGCTTTCTTGGGCGGGTCCTATGGATCGCTGGTCATTTGGGGTATGCAACGGTCGCTTCCAGATATATTGCGCGGTAAGCTTGTTGGAGGATATAATACAAGCTGCGCTGGTTTCTGCTGCCGTGGAGCTAGGAGAGATCCCGAGAACGAAGAATCCTCCAGATGCAACTCGGCGAGTCAGATGGGTGGGCTTTGCGGATGGTGTTGATAACCGCCGATGACTGGCGAAAAACGAGTCGAAGACCCTGCTTGAGATATTCGGGGAAGAGACGCGATTCGGTCGTATGTGGCCCATCAAAGGATTTGTCCTCCAAAAATGGGCGTAGAGCCGACGTCCGAAGTTCGCGGACATCCTGACCTTCACATCATGGGGCTTTTGGGGGAACAGGAGTGCTTTGCGAGGCCGAAGCTTGTCATGGCGGATCGGGATGAAATCATCGGGTGTTTGTTCCGTTTGCACCGAAAAATCCGGCCGCCCACAGTTTTTCGGCGAGGGGCCCGCCACCGATAAATTCCCTAGATAATTTCTATGATAACAGATTTGCCGACTTTTTCTTGAGAAATACACCTTCACCATGTCTGCCCCGACTGCTCTCCGCCAACCGGAAGTCCCGACGGTTTCGCCAATGCAAACTATAGGTGAGTAGAGTCTTGCAATTTGCGACTTCCAGAATTTCAGACCGACGACATCGCACTCACACACCGTTAGACCAGGATGACGAGGTCTTGATTGACGCGCAAGGAGCCGTCCAGCCAGATGCTGCGAACCCTGTGGTGGATGCTACCGGTGACAACGAAATGCGTATCGACGAGGAAGGACGTCCCGTGTTCACGCCGGCGAAGGAGACTAGTACTGCCTATCGGATCGAGTCACGAAAGGTTCCTGTCCCGCCGCACCGAATGACACCTCTCAAGGCAAATTGGACCAAAATTTGCCCTCCTATTGTCGAGCATCTCAAGCTGCAAGTCCGCATGAACGTCAAGAACCGAGCGGTGGAACTGCGAACCTCCAAGTTCACTGCCGATGTGGGCGCGCTGCAGAAAGGTGCCGATTTCGTCAAGGCCTTCACCCTCGGCTTTGATATCGACGACGCAATTGCTCTTCTGAGACTTGATGATCTATATATTGAAACATTCGAGATCAAGGATGTGAAAACTCTCAACGGAGAGCACCTGGGTCGTGCCATTGGACGTATTGCTGGCAAGGACGGCAAGACCAAGTTCGCCATTGAGAATGCAAGCCGAACACGAGTTGTACTTGCAGACCAGAAGATCCACATCCTAGGTGGCTTCAAAAATATTCATATTGCTCGAGAGGCTATTGTCAGCCTCATTTTGGGTAGCCCTCCGGTGAGTCTTCCCAACGAAGGCCTTTACGTGATTCATCTAACACTGAGCAGGGCAAGGTTTATGGCAACCTGCGTACCGTTGCTTCACGCATGAAGGAGCGCTTTTGAATTCAACATCGTGAGATCGATTTCTGGCATGGTTGGGCGTTTAGGTTTTACATATTAGGGCTTTTTAAAGATATCTTATACGCGTTACGACACCAAGATGTCAAATCTTGACCAAAAAATCTCAAACAGTTTCTCTGAATAATCTTGGAGCCAAGTGCTTCATTGGAAAAAAAAAATAGTTTCATCTCAACCTTGTAATAGAAGAGTCTAGTAGATCGGTCACTCCCTTAATCCTTCTTCAGCGGGTGGTACACCTCCTCGATTCCATCCCGAGTGATAATCATAACTTGCAAGTGATCGCCAACCTCGATATGCCGCTCGACCGCACTTGTGAAGGCATCCCGGACAAGCTGCTTGACAGTTTCTTGTGGTAGAGGCTCGGGCTTCTTTGCCTCCAGAGCATGTCCCTCCCCACTGCCAGGGATATATTGGTTCTTGAAGTTGACCTGGTTGTCCAGGAAAGGCATGATCAAGCTGGCTGCAGCACCAGCTGCGCGGCATTGCTCCCGCTCATATGAGCCAACGGGGTCGTAGCTATACAGCGCTCCCTTGCCTTCCTCATCCAGACCAGCCAAGATGGCGTGTACGTAATAAGGGAAAAAACGCTTCTGGTATAGGATTGTTGACAACCGTTGGGCGCAGGCAGAGACAGACATGGACTTTCCGTGCTGGTACTTGTACATCTTCACCACAGCATCCAGTCGTTCCTTTAGGGCATTGCCATCCGCAGCAAATCCCACTACGGAGAGAATGATATGAGCCCCTTCGCCAGTCTCGTCGTCACCGCCGATCTTGAAGACTTTAGGAACCATGCGGGAGTTGATATTGTAGCCGGACGTGGAACGGGTGTCGCCCGCAAGAATGGCGAAGTCGGAGCCGGTAATGCCCAGAGTTGAACCGCCGTTGTCGGTATAGCTAAGAAGATAATGAGCTGAGGAATCACGCGCGGAGCTGAGGGTTATTCATACGGGTAGAATCCATGTTGCTTGACGGCACCTGCAGCAGTGTTGGGGCCAGAGAAGGAGTATCCGATGGTCTCACCACCAGCCGGGCGGTCCAGGAGCGACGCCATTATGAGATGGAATTTGGTTGATGACGGAGATTAAATGAGTTTGAATGACTTTGATGAAACGGCAGTGAAGAGAAAATAAAGGGCAAAAAAGGTGGCGGGTTGTCGTTGGTGATAGCTATGAAGGTTGCTCAGTGACTGACGCGGTGCTGTAGCTGCCTTTCGCTTATGTAACGGCGGAGCGGAAGCTCAGGCTCAATGGTCTCAGCGCCTTTCCCAATCTTGTCCAAGTACGAAGACTTTCATTTCTCTTCTCTTACTCATTGACGCTGGCGGTAAGCGAGCCAAATAGCTGTATAGCTAGGCAATCACCGGAGAGATCACCGGTTTTGTAACCATCTTGGTTTTGGAAGATTCGGTGGAAATACTACTTTGGGTAGTGCAAGTCCTCATCATGCTGGGCCTAGGCGCATACGACAGCAGCAGTGAGGAAGAGACTGAGCCCAGGCGCTCTAAGGTATTAAATCTCAGCACTATGGATCGCAACTTGGCTAATATTTTATTCCACAGCCCGTGCAAAATGCTCCGATTGTGGCGGAGGACAGCGTGCCGAATGAATGTGAGTAGTTCTCCCGAGTTCCAAACCCATGCGAATCTGATATTGACTGTTTCCATTTACACTATCTAGGTTCTGTTGAACTTGCGAAAAATCAATCTCAGCTACCAGTCAATGTGACTCTCCACGAAGTCACCGGCCCTGTGCTTGGCCCATCATCTGGCCCTGCCCCCATCGACAGCGCCCAAGCTACCGAAGGCCCTTCTGCCGATGGCCACACTTCCCCTTTCTCCATATCGCGAGCTCTAGTGCAGGATCTAACGCTTCCGCCGGTACCTAACCTGGATATTCCGCCCTCTCCTCCCGGGTCTCCGGACCCTGCTGCCAATGCCAAGTTCGAACATTTCCTATCACTCAAAAACCAAGGCGTACACTTCAATTCAAAACTCGCAAGCTCATCTTCGCTCAGAAATCCCAGTCTCTTGATGAAAATGATGGAGCACGCGGGCATTGATGAGCAAGCGCAATATCACGCGTCCTTGCCCTCCGAGTTATGGGATATCACGAGCCTCCCCAGATGGGGCTTTAAGGATGAGCTTTTGAAGACTCAGCAAGAGACTCGATGGAAAATGGAAGAGAAAAAAGCTACTGGCCAAAGATCCTCCATAGACTTCGTGTCTGGTTCAGGGACGAAAGGGAAGGTCAATCCATGAAACTCGCGTGGCAAATCCTCCGAGCAATGGGAATATTTCGACCCTTTTCTCACTCCGCCCACTTCCCTGAGATATCACAAGTGAACTCAAGCCAAAGGATTTCATAGGGCCTTGAGAGACCTTCATAGCCGTGCAAAGATAACTTGTGTCTAATCTTCCATTATGCAATGCGAGAACGAGCGCCAAAGGCAGCATTTCCTCGAACAGGAAAAATAGGGGTCTTTCGTGACATTCTCATCGAAGATCCTTGGCTAGGATGGCTTATTGAGACTAATTTGCGGGGAAAAACTACCACCTGTAATGGTGCAACAGTACAGTTGGCACCATCACACAGTCACTTGGTATATAATGGAAGATACAGAAGATAACATCATACACAGAAAAACGGGCATACTGCTCGTCTCGAGGTCAAGCTCCGCCAGCACCGCCGCCACTCGCGGCAGCCGAATTGTTGCGTCGTCTTAACCGCTCATAGAGACTGATACATGAAATCAAGACCATCGTCTCAAAGTTTTCTCCATAATTCTCCTGGATCTGAAGCCTCCCGCACTTCGAAAAGGACCTCTCCCGAGTAAAGACAGCCACCACCTTCTCAGTCCGCGCATCGATCAACTTAAAATTGCGCATATTCAATCTGAGCGGCTTGGCACCGTCCGCGATGACACTACGTGTGCGCTTCCAGAGAAAAGCCCTTCGCTCGCTCTGATCAGGTACTATATAGCTGGGAATCGTCATCTCGAACCGATGTCTCGGATGCAAGGACCGGTCCTTAGTCATGTCCTCCCATTGAGCATTGTTCATATCATTGGGATCCCCTAGGCACAGTTTATATTGACCGGACAGCTTGATGAACTTGGCTGCCGCCACCACGGGAGCTTGATCGCCGGTCCCTGCGTGTAGAGTAAGATCAGGTTTGTTGCGAGTGAAGGAAGAGATATCGCCATAGTAAAGACACTGGTCATCGGTCGACTTGACTTCATAATGGCGACGGAAGGCCGGCTTGTAAATATCGAATAAGCGCGAGGCACTATTCTCGTCCATCTCGGGATGTTCCGACCCAGCAGAACCTGATCGTGACGAGGCGGATGATGCGGACATGGTGGCCGGAATTAGACGATCAAGGTTCTGGTGAGGACAAGTTCAGGTAGTGAGAAATATATAGAAAAAAAGTTTAAGGACGATGACGAACCATGCAATGCAGAGACCCTGTCCGTATTTATCAGGCCTCCATACCATGTTGCTGCAAATGACGCAGGGCGACCCAGGAAACGGAATGTGATCGCCGGATACGAAGCTTCTTCTTCTGGCGAGGCGGAGCATCGGGCACCCGCCCAGGTGGAGGCCGACAGCACACGACTCATCTTCAGTTATCGGCTACATTTACGCGTGGTCCAGTTGCACGATAACATTCACAGGTCCGAACAAAATTAGAAGAGGATTAGAAGACAAGTCGATATATACAGGACCCTTGAAGACTCTCGCCTTTCGATGCCCACCTAGACTTAGATTGCCTCATTGAAATCCTCACATGGTGTTCTTTGATCTGCGAGTCTGTGCATCATCAGAATATCAGAGTTGAACCAGTAAGACTATGTAATTAAGAGAGAAGGAAAGTGGAAGAGATCCGATATACATCTCCAGAGAGCCCTAGAGTACTTCACTAAGTATTACACCTAAACGCGCGCGTAGGTGCTGAGTCAGCCGCGGAGCTCCGTCAGCTCGCCTGCCTAAGCTCCCCCGGCGTCTTCACATAGATCCTCGTCATCGCTTTACTCTTCTCACTCTCTTCTACTCGACCGCTCCGTCTATCGTCTCCTCATATTCTCTGCCCTTGTATCACACTTGCTCATCATGGACCACTTTCCGGGAACCTGGGGCCGCGTAAGTCTCACCGTACTCGGAGGCTGGCTTCGCTTCTCCCCCATTGCTAACACGGCCTGCTACTTCTAGCCCCGGAACGATGTCTACGGAGCTTACGATCCCTCATATCTTCAGACCACTGGTCCGAAGACACACACCTCATCACCAGCCGTGACGGGAACATCGGTGGTGGGTGTGAAGTTCAATGGTGGTGTCGTACTGGCCACTGATAACCTAGGTATGTTATCAACCCCTACCTCATAATCCCGTAAGATCTGGCTCTGACGGACCCTCAACTGGGGCTCTAGCATCGTATGGATCACTGGCCCGTTTCTCGGATGTCAAGCGGCTGCGAGTCTTTGGCGACAAGGCTGTTGTGGGCTTTGGTGGTGATGTGTCCGACATGCAATACATTGACCGACTCCTCGAATCCATCGATATCCGCGAGAATTATTCATCCAACGGCAATATGCTCAATGCCAAGAACCTTCACACCTACCTTGCCAAGGTATTCTACAAACGACGCTCTGAGTTCAATCCGCTGTGGAACCACATCCTGGTCGCAGGCTTCGACGGGGAGGGTAAGTCATTCCTCAGCTCCGCCGACTTGTTGGGCACCACATTCTCCGGTCCTCATCTTGCAACCGGCTTTGGTGCCCACCTTGCGGTTCCCATTCTGCGCCGTCTATTTCCGGAAGAGAAGCCAATTGAAGAGATCACTCGGGAGGATGCCGTGTCTGCACTCAAGGATTGTTTGAAGGTTCTATTCTACCGGGATGCCCGGAGTCTCGATAAGTATTCGATAGCCGTGATTACCCAGGATGGGATCGACCTGAAGGAGAATGAGCAGCTTGAGGGGCAAAGCTGGGCCTTTGCCGAAAGGATCAAGGGTTACGGTGCCCAGGCCGTTTAAATCCCCAGATTTTTCTTATGTTCTCTCCTCCCTCTACTTATCTATATGAAGAGCTTTATGGAAATGATTGTTTATCTCAACTAAAAAAAAAAAAAAAAAAGATATCATAGACCAAGGCCACCCCTTCCAACCCTTGGATCGTAGAGGATATAAGTGTATTGCGAGAACAGGATATTTACACAATGGCCAGTATAAAATGACATCTCTCTCCGCTGGCTCGACATGAATTACAGTTTAGGGCCAGGCTTGTCATAGACCACACGGTTGGTGCAGGAGCCCACTCCCTGCAACGATACCTGCACCTGATCCCCGTCCTTTAGCCAGAGAGCTGGCTTGCGACCCATGCCTACACCTTGCGGTCTTGATGATCCTCCCGAGTTAGCGAAGAAGGAACTTAGAAGAAAGGGAAGAGGCATTAATCTGGAATAAACTTACGTTCCTGTGAAAATCATGTCTCCGGGCAGGAGAGTAGTTCCCTGAGACAGGAAGGCGATAGTCTTCGCGACCCCAAAGATCATGTCCTTGGTCGAGGAAGACTGAACAGTCTGGCCGTTCAAAGTCGTCGAGATGTGCAGGGCATTCGGATCCGGAATTAGCTTGGAGGAGACAATTCCCGGGCCAAAGGGTGCCCAGCCGTCGAAGCCCTTGCCCAGACCCCATTGGCCTCCGCCACGCTTGATCTGCCAGTCCCGATGGGAAACATCATTGCCCACAGCGTAACCGAGCACATAGTCCAGGGCCTGGCTCTCGGACACATCCTTGGCCGCCTTGCCGATGATGATGACCAGTTCACACTCGTAGTCCAGGCCCTCGCCCTCCTGGGCAATTGAGGCAACAGGGATGTCATCCGTGGGCCCCGCAATTGATGTGACGGGCTTGAAGAATAGCACAGGATACTTGGGAATTGGCAGGTTGGACTCCTTGGCATGCTGCTCGTAATTCAACCCGAGGCAGCGAACAGTGCCGATGTCCTTCCGTGCCAAAGGAGCAAGGAGCATGCGCACGTCTGCAATCTGATCGGTGACCTGATGTTGACCGAAAATATCGCCCTGGATGACTTTGGCCTGGGTGGCTTGGACAATATCACTCACCCCCGGGGGCAGAATGGCATCGCCGTAGTAGATCTGGCCATCCTTAGCTAGGAAGCGAACGAGACGCTAATGGAAGCATTAGCGATCATGCCTAGTGAGTTCGTAAGGAAAAAGCAGGATTTGCGTGGGGGTTTGGGGGTTTGGGGGGGGGGGGTTGCGTGGAGGTGAATATTCAGTTACGCAGTCGCATTGACCATTTGGGGGCAATTGGCCGGGTGCCAATGGTTACACTTACTGAGAAGCTGGCCATGAGATATATGTGTGGTGGGACTGAAGGAAAGATTTGCAAAAAAGACAATGCTGGGGTGGTATTTGAATAAATAGAGGTGACGTGACGCAGCGATAAGATGACAGGATAGAATGTACGGGGTAGAGGAGACGCGGTGGTGGGGAATATATAGAGAGAGGTCTTTCTCCTCATCCGTCACAACAAAACAGGAGACTACTTATGATTACTAAACTATAGAAATACATATATATATATGCATTGTAATCGCTAGTATCAACAAGTCTTCTTATCACTGGTAATTATTCGAGTCCTGAACTCCCTGCCATGACTGTTTTCCCTATCATTTTGTTGTGCCGGTGAATTGTTTGTCGGCCGGGAAAACCCAAAAAGTGGCCCCGGCGGAAAACGGAGCGAGTCGCTCGGCTTCCCCAGACCCAATGATCAGCTTGCTTTTCCACCCTCCTGCTTCTCATGGCGCGGCTCTCCGGTCTCCAGCGGGACGTCTTGTCCCTCTATCGACAATGTTTGCGGGAAGTCCGCAAGAAGCCCTCGGTATGCGCCACCCCTCTCCGCTCCTCTCCTCCAACTAACCGTCTGTTCTTTTGCCTGGGACAGGACTCCCAACCCAACTTCAAACGTTATGCCCGGTATGTCTTGTTCTCCGTATTGTCGCTACTGTCGCTATTGTCTTTCCCGCTCATCGGTGCATCCCGGCTGACCCCCCGAGGCGGCTCAGTGCGGAATTCCAAAAGCATCTCTCGGTGAATAAGAAGGATTTTGGCACCATCGAGTATCTACTCCGCAAAGGCCAACGCCAGCTCGAGATGTATGCGTCCCCGGGCATTCGCAACATCCGATGAGCCAGGTGTGCAGACTCTGCCGGACTCCAAGTGGCTTCCCTTCCGTCCCTTTCTCGTGGCTCTCCTTGTCCTTCCTGTCTGGTCAACTAGTGCGTGTCCTGGATGGCGTATTCACGATGCCAAACCGGATCTCTGAATAAGACCTCTTCTCGTTTGCTTTGCCTGACATCCGATTCCACCCGATGATTCACGCGACGACGACTGTCTGGGGAAAGGTCTGTGCCTGGGCCTACGTCTGGGAAGGAGGTTCTCTGTACAGGACCTTGCCGCTGCCGCTCGTCATCGGAGCAGTCCATGTCCTGGTCTTTCCCCGACCCTTGTATATTACGATCTACGATGATATTTGCTGCAAATATCTGCATTGGCATAGTGAGGTCATGTAAAATAGTAAAGTTGGCTACATCGTTATTTGCAGTACTCAATCCCAACTCTTTCCAATTCCATTTGAAAAGTTCAGCGAAAATACAACATTTACCAATACCACATATCAACAGCTACTATGGTACAAAACTATGCAGTCATCGTTAACTCAAATACTGCTCTTCCACAATATTCATGGTACCAATAGAATTGATTACCTCAGCATTTACCAAATTAAGTAAGTTAGTTCCAGTCCTCAATTTGGATGACTGGTAACAAACCGAGAACATAAAACAAACCCGAGCGATACATTGGCTTAGAAAATTTGGCATCTAGAATATTCCTACTCCCAAATAGTCAGCAATCATGCCCGCTGTGATTACCTATGGCTGGTGGTCGAGGGTGGGAGAACGTGCCCGAAGCTCCCACCGCCTTCTGGACGCTTCGGCCACCATCAGTCAGCTTCCGTGATGCGACCAACCAGCATGTATATAATGCGTGAAGTGGCCGGACCCTGAAGAGCATCATTCCACTTCAGATCAGATCTTGAGATTCTACAAACTCTCTCACTCCTACAAATCCTCAAGTTTTTCGCGCCTTATCAGATTCTTCTATCAAATCTCGCCATGGCTTTTCTGTCGTGCTCCTCCGACTTCTCGCCGCTCTTCCGCCTGTTGGATGATTACGAGACCCACTGCTCCCGCTCCCGCCCCACGCCAAGCACTTCCTCCACTGTCCGCCGCCGCGCTTGCTACACCCCGGCCTTCGATGTCCGCGAGCTAAACGACGGCTATTACCTGGATGGAGAGCTGCCGGGAGTGGACCAAAGCAACATTGAAATTGAATTCAGTGACCCCCACACCCTGGTCATCAAGGGTCGCACAGAGCGCAACTATCAGCAGCAGCAGCAATCCCAGCAGACCACTGAAAGCTCAAGTGGCACCACTTCACCGCGATGGCGCCAGCCGACAGTTGAAGACGAGGGCGAGGAGTCCGATTCCACCGATACCGATACCGTCGACTCTGCGGTGACCTCGAGCAAGCAAAAGTCATCGGCCGACCAGCCCCAGCCCACTACCACAGCTCACTTCTGGGTCGCGGAGCGGTCAATTGGGGACTTCCAGCGAACTTTCACCTTTTCCGCGCGAGTGGATCAGGATGCTGTGCGCGCCAATCTGAAGAATGGCATCCTGTCCGTCGTGGTGCCCAAGGAATCGGCGCCCAAGACGAAGAAGATCCGCATCCAATGAAGTCCAGATGCGTAAGATCTAACTTTGATGGCCCAAGGGAACACGGCTTTTGCATGAACTCGATTTGCATTTTTTTTTTCATTTGGGAAGCTTGGCGCGGTAATACGGGTTTCTCTTTCTGCACAAACTCTTGACATTTTGTATAATTCCTATATTTACTGATAATTGACAAAGAACCTCGCATATTGACCGGAATCGAAAATAAAAATCGTAATCTGAAATACACTCTCATCTCACTTCCATGCTATTCCTATTTCCTCCGTATCTGACATGTAAGATTCATTTCGATCCCGGCGCGCTTCTGCTCGGCACCGGGGTGGAGATGATAGATAGATCCTTCACCTCATTGCCCTTCCCCCCGCCGCCCTGCAGCCTCCTTGCGTCTCAGCGCAGCTGAACGAACCACCGAGTCCACGCGGTGAACAAGGTGCCACATGGCACTACTCAGCTACCTCTTCGCGGCAGATTGGAAATCGGGCAAGTAGGGACGAGGACCGGGGACCCGATTGTGTAGTACACATGCGGAGTAGATCGGGGTTATCGGCGAAGAGCACCATGATTGTGCGTGGCTTTTGGAGAACGATATCGTGGTTTTTTTACCTGGCGCTTCCGACACCAGGGTGCTAGCTGAATCATGATTAGCATGATTTCCTATAGTTTACTTCTTATCATTCACGTGGACTTCCACTGCGTGATCATGAATTAATTCAAGAGTGTTTGACTGCAAGCAAAGGGTTCTACGAAAAGATGCAGACTATTCCTTCATCTGATCTGTCCGCTTGTAACTGACTATTTAGCTCTAAATTTCCGCCTTGATCTCAGGACGCTGAAAGTAATTACGCAAATGACTTGAAAAGACGACGGGATATCTCTTTTGGAAGCCTCAAATTAGAAGAAGCGACTATAACGGCACGGTATATTTTTATAGGAGGCGTTCTATAAACACGCACAGCAATAGTAATGCACAGGAAAGCGCTAAACCTAGATCAGCACGCTAAACTATTCTGCGTAGTTTATTGTCACCCAAGATTATGAACGGAGTACTCTATGCAAGACGCAGAAGTAGGTGTAGACGCAGACACTTACTCTATGCAACATACGCAGTACCATCGGGACAAAAAAAAGTAAAGATATTAGGTCTCGTTGATAATCGTTCAAGTAAGAAAATCTGCTCCATGAACCAAAATGCCCTCCAATTGCTTGGGAAGCCCCCATGACGCCCGTATTCAACGCCTAGATAACAACGCCAAAGAGGGTATACCAACTCAAGGACTCCAAACAAAACGACGTAGTGAAACTAAGAAAAAAAGCCGCAAAGAGATCCTGCACAGCAACACCGCGTGACTTTTTTGGAAGAAACAGAAGAACGACCGAAATGATAAAAAACAAAGGGGAAAAGAAAATCACAACGAAGGTGGTTAGATCAACGAGGCTAATGACACCGCTATACACAGCCAGATTACTGAAGCGCGTAAGCAGATTTTGTGATATAAACATCAGGTGGCGGACGGGTCTTGGCCTGCTTTCGGCGAAAGTCCTGGCTGCGACTGCGAGGCCGGCCACGATGGGGCTCCTGGAGGGGAAATTCCTCATCTTGTGCTTCTCCCGCGAGTTGATGATCGGGAGATAAAATAGTGGGCAAAGGTGGAACGTCCATGCCCGGTTTTTGGGACCAAACCCGGCTCCCAGGTCGGCTGCGTGAGCGTGAACCATTGGTAAGCGTTTCAGAACTGTCGTTCATATAGCGCTGCGAAGATGATCGGTAAATTTGCCCTGAGGTGTCAATGCTTGGAAGTTGTTGGGCACCAGGCCTTGACATAGCCGAGGTGTGGATCATGTCGACGATATCGGTTGAAATGCGGTCAGCATAGAGAGGCCCGCGGGCGGAGGCCGATTCCTCTTTCCGCACCTCGAAGCGGGAAGGTAATGTAGTCGCGATGACACTTTTCGTGCCGAGATAGCTCTGCTCCGGGTACTCTGTATACCGCGGAGCACAGAGCGAGGATCGGCGCGCCTTCAAGTCCGGAAGGGGCGGGGAGGCTGGGCCGCAGGGATCGTACCAGCGACCAGAATTGGGGCGTGGTCGAGAGAAGTTCCCAGGCTTGGCATCTTGAAGGCTGAGGTGGCGCTGGATGGTCTCATTTAAGGGGGTGAAGGGTTGATCATTTGTGACCCAGGGGGTTCGAGCGCCGTCTGTAGTGCAGGATCCCGATGTTTGAGAGTCGAAGGACTGCCGCGTTCGACTTGGTTGGAAAGAACGAACCGAAGCCGCCGAGCTATAGCCACTGTCGGACTTGTCCAACGATCGCGAAGTGCGTCGGTCTGGGTCCACCTCCATCAAATCCTTTTCCCGTTGACTGCTGCTGCGCTCGACAGACATTTCAATGCCTTCGTCCTCTACCTCCCCGACAAGAATAGACTTGGAGCGGGTGGTTATCCCAATAGTAGGGGATTTCTCAAACGAGAACGGGCTGCCCGGAGTGTCGTCGGACTTCTTCAAGTCCGGCAACGTCGGAATATCTAGTTTGGTTCCTGTTGGGCGCGCCGTCTCAACATTCTCCAGTCCCAAGCCCGCATTCGTGATGTGCGACGGACCCAAAGGAGTCCGCTCACTTGGACAAGGGGAAGCAGACCCGTTAACGACCCGTAGAGATCCCAATTTCAGAGCTCCAAGCTGGGTGTATCGAGAGTCCGTAGGGCTATTCGGGCGAGCCGCAGCTGTCGTGGGGAGGGATACTCGATGACGATGAGGCAAGGGCCAGTGTAAGACTTCATCCAAAGAGTCATGATCTGGCTCTCCAATTGGAGATGGCACACGACGAATTGCGCTCGTTGTCCGACGAGTCGCGACCCCCGGTCGAGTCAGCAAAGACCGTCGGCGTGTCAGGGAGAAGCGTTGGTTGCCAACAAGAAAGTGAGTGTTCGAAGACGTGGGATCATCGAGGGCATTCTCATAGATCACACTATTGTGTCGCTGGAGCGGAGTTTGAACCGAATTCGACCGTCTTGGTTGCCGCGGGTTCATAGATGACCGTGAGGGCTCGCCAAAGCCCCCAGGATAATAGGACGCTCTTCGAACCGAAGGACTGGCAGAAAGAGAATTTGATCGAGGCGAATATGCATCTGGGACCCAGTCTACTGGAGATGAGATATATGCAGTATCCCCTTGCTCTGGAGAAACTGGGTCGGGTTGTATAAAGGTTGGGGAACCATCTTTCTTCTTTGACGGGCTGGTTCTGACATCCGCAGAAATGTTTGATCCAACCCAAGGGTTCTGCCACCCGATCAATCCTGTGGCCAGCTCTGGCACATCATCCTTTGGACGGGACGACTGGGGCGTGCTAAGCGCAGCGAGCTTCCGCGTCAATGGTTTTGATAGTCGATTGGTACGGCGGGTCTCATCCTTCGACGGGCTCGATTGTGAATTTCCCATGGCTTCGCCAAAAGCCAGGAGCCTCGGTGGATTGCGATTGCCACAGACTCAAGGTCGCAGCATACGCAGCATGAGGCGACCGAGCAACGTAATATATCAGATGGATCGAGGGCACGAGAGGTCACTTGTCACGGCCGGAATGACCTGGTACAGGTTTTCTGGGGCTGACAGGGCTAGATTAGATCGGAACCTGGACAATTGACGTCAAGGCCCACGCCGTGATTGCTGGGGAATCGATCCGAGCCCCAAGCCTGTGCTCCCGCCGGGTTTGGAATTGAGCGTGGGATTGGCGGCTGAAGGCTTCCCGTGCGGAGATGATGGAGGTGAGCCGTGTTTCAGATTGGAGGAGCCCCCCAGTCGTCGGTTGGACGGGAAGGCTAATATGTTGCGAGGGATGACGGAAAGGGTGGAGAGATCGCGAAACAATGACGTTCCCCGAAGCAAATGGGAAGTGGAGGAGGAGAGGAGGGACCTGGGAGGGGGGCGTCTTCACAGTACCACCAGATCCTTTGTTCACCACAGCCAGCACAGACGATCCGGTTTCCTGTAGTGTTCTACTTCCCGAGTAGAATGGGGTGGTGTCCGAGTCCAGCACGAGTCCGGTCAGCAAATATAAACCTACAAGCGAAGCTTGACGAAGAAGCGGATCAACCGTTCAGGACGTTGAGCCCCGTCAACAATAATTTGTTGATTTTTTTTTTAAAAAAAAGAAGAGCAAAAAAGCAAACCAGAAACAAGCAACGAGGTGAGGGGTGGACAGTCCCATATAGAGAGCGAGGGGTCGGGGAGGGCGGAATATGGCCAGTACATAAAAGTCAAAGTGGAGTTGAACGGGGGCAGTGGGTTCGGGGGCGGGTCAGCCAGCGGCCATGCGCTCTGGGCAGGAAAACCGGATGCGTCCTTTCATCGCGGTGACTTGGCTACCGCCAGGATCGTTCCCGGGAGAAGGAGGCCGACAGGCAACAGGAGAGGGAAACCCTGCCATCTGATAGGCACGGCGGACGCGCTGGCGCTGCAAGCGGAACCAGGAAGTGTCGGGAGGAGCCAAACAGGTCCGAGCTAAGGCCAGCTCGACGACGGGACCAGGTACGGCCCGCCGAGGGCGGTCCCCGTGGTTGGTTGTGCGGGGACTTGGGAGGGTAACTGCGATAACTGGTAGGACCGGCAGGCCTGTGAGGCCGCCAGGTGCACTGTTAGATGTTAGTTGGTGCGTTCCATCTCAACCTCGGCGCTTGGTGGTCGAGAATTGTTCGTCTTCCTGTGGAAGATCGAGGATCGTCGTGAAGCGGGACGAAGCTTGAAGCCGATGCTGACGTTTGATGGGGGGAAAATTGCCGGGGGCGGAGAGCACAGGTACCGTACCGTATGTGCGCAATGCATTGTGTGCATGGACTGAGTGCGATAGCGGTGTATCAAGGGTGTATCAATGGTATTCATCTGGTCAGCGTCACAAAGACATTGGCGATCCTTGTTAGTCTTCCCGCAAGCGGATGTGATGAACCAAGTCTTTTGTTGCGACTGCTCGCCGGTTCGCCTGTAAGGAGTCGATCGGCTGGTGATGATTATTCTTCCTGATGATATGAATTATAGTAATATTGCCTCCGCTCTGGGCGCATCGGTTCCTGCGACGAACACCATCCATACTTGGGGAGAACCACTACACACTAGGAGGTCTCTGTCGAGTCCTCTCTACGACCGCAACAAACATATAATATTACAATCTTGGTAGCACATGGAAACATATAGCAATGGAGAGTAATCCCATCTATCGTAATGACTCCAGCTCCTTCTCCTGCGTCTCCTATGGATCCTACCACAACAACCTAGTTGGACAGGGGGGGGGGGGGGACGAGGACGAGACTCGAGTCTAGAGTCCGCCTTGCCCGATCTATACTCGATGTCCTCCGTCCATACATCACGGAGTTCCCGTGCTATTCGTTGGTCCCTGCTACCGCTAGAACAACCTTGAACCCTCCCTCGAAGGGCCTGAGATCCGCCTCATCGAGAAGTGACGAAGGTCTCCAACTTGACGACACGCGCGCGCTCGCTCTCTCTCTCTCTCTTCACTTCATGATGTTCCTCCCAACTTCTCGTCAGCCCTGTTTCAAGTCTCAATCCTTTTGGTTTTCGCCCCCTCTGGATGTTCTTCTGCCATTTTTTGAATCTTCAGCGCGTCGGGTGGGCGATCTCGGCGGTACCAGAGTGACCCCAAACTATCCGACCGGGCGCATTGCCTTCACATCCTGGGCTTTGTTGGTCAAAACCCCGATGTGACATGGCTAATCTCCCCCAACAACCCCCATTGTGTTGCCGCCTCCGCCACCCCCGAATCCGGCGTCCGGACGTCTTTTTGCCCCCCTTCACGGCCCTGGGCCTCCCATTGGCCCTCTGACGTGCAACGGCCGCAACCATTTCCACCCACTTGGACTCAGTGATCCCCGATATCCTCCAGAGCAACGTTGTGAAGGGGCTTTTTGGGTCCTGCCGAACTCACCCCTCGTCTCCCCACACCGCGACCACCGAGGGCCTTTGATCACGGACCACTCAGCTTTCTCCACCGCACCACACGCCCCCCGACACGTCGCGCGACGCCTAAGCAAAAGCGGCTGCATTCGTTGACTCCTCTTCAACCCCAGTTGACAGCAGAGCGCAGGCCGAAGTGTGGGTCATGCTGTGCAGCCTGTCCGCCTTCCCGTTCTTGACCGCGGCGGAGTTCGAGCGCGCCTGTCGAGCGCTGATCGATCGCGCCGACAGGGCCGCGACCCCAAAAGATGGGGGCTGGCCCGCCAGTCGACTCGTCACACAGGTATCCCTGCCGTCGCCGTGCATGAACTTTTCTTTTTCTTTCTATATTCAATAATTGAAGGTCTTGGCAACTGACGGAGGGGGTTGCAATACTCCGCTCAACATTTAGAATGGTGTTACTAGCCTTAAACTGACTCGATGCATCCCCGTCGCCTTCACGGACACGGCCGAGGAGAGCGAGTCGAGGATCGACCGACGAGATCGGCGAGATGACTTAGACGAACTAGAGGAATTACAAAGGCGGGAAGAAGAAGAAGAAGAAGAAGAAGATCGGGTCTGCAGCCGTCCGCAGGGATTGATTATCAATTATCGATGAACGGTCCTAACATTTGCCTGCAGGAAGCTCTCATCCGGACCGACCTCCACCCTAATTTGCAAATAGATTATGAGGTTCTGCTTTCTCCCACGTATCAAGTCCCGGTCCTGTACTTCACAGTTCGGTGGAACAACCACCAGGGCCCCCTGGGGCTGGAGGCAGTCTACCAATATGTGGTACCGGAGCCGCACAGAAAGAAATTGCAAAGCGTGGGTGTTATGGGTGGGATCAGTTGCGGTGTAGGTGCCCTCTCAATAAAATTGACACTGCAGAGGAAAAGTCTCCCCATTGGGGGTTCAGGAGCTCATGTTCTCGTAGTATCTTCCAGAATCTGGCGCTCCGGCCTTTTTTATTCATCCATGCAACACCGCAGATGCGATGGCACAGATTGCAGACGCACAGAGCATCACTCCTTGGGTATATCTTCTCATCTGGCTCGGTCTCGTAGGCCCTTCCGTGAACCTGCACGTCCCACGCGAGCTTGTTGCCTCCGATAGTACCAGCCCATCTTGAAGGCAGAATCTGGTACCGGCAGGGAAATGCCAAAACGAAGCTCTCCATTCCCATTGCCGCCCTTCCTCGAGCTTCGGTCACTTCCCCGCATGGACCAAATCAGTTGGGGCCCCCCCTTGGAGTGCGTTGCTTAATCCTCATCAGAGGATGCTTCCATGGGCACGTCGCTGTCTTCCTCCATGGGGGCTCCCTCTTCGTCGCTCTCATCCTCCCGAGGTCGCTTGACACCATGGGCGTCTCCGTTCATGTCAGTCGCGGGCCGTGCGGGGACAGCGCCCGGGGGACCACTGAAGATAGACTTCTGCAGATCCGTCGAAACTCCGCTCGGCCCAGCACCGACGGCAGGTGGATTGTATGTGCCACGAAGTTTGGCAAGGATTCCAGAGGTACCTTTAGCATAGACGATTTTCTAAAAGAAATGGTTAACATTGACAATGTCCACCGATTGTGAAACAAGCGATCAAAAAGAAAGGCATACCATCTCCTTGCCAAAGAAGTCAAATCCCTGAAGAGCGCGCATTGCCTGTGTGCTAGCCTGGACGTCTTTAAAGACGATATGGGCCTGTCCTCGCATCTTGTTCGTTTTCATGGCCACTACATCCAGGACGGTGCCATATGTGGAAAAGAGGGTGTAGAGGGACGACCGTAGATCATGCTTGCGGAGCTTATCTGGCAAATTTGTACAGTACAGTCTGAGGAGTGTTAGCATCAGATACTCAATCAATTGCGACTGACAGGTGAGCTCACGTTTGGTTAGGAGCACCGGCGGTCTTGCTGTCAACTCCTCGCGAGGGGAGTGCCTTGGATGCCATAGTGGTGAATGTTTCGGGAAGAATTGGGCTATTGTCTTGATCGCATGAGAGATTAAAGGGAGAAGGCGGTTGGTAGGCAGGAGACCGAAGCTTATTGAGCGCTCCGCAGAAGAGGATGTCCAAGTCGCGAGAAAAGAATCAGATCACGTGAGAGTATTTATGGTATTATATAAGCGCCCGGCGTCATCGCCTGCTTCCCCGTCCCCTCGTATCTTGGTCCCCTCATCTCCTAATCCCCTCATCGACGGTAGAGAGCTCCTCCTGTCGCACTCTTCCCATCATGGCCGCGCCACAAGTCCACCATCTCTTCCATGCCCCAATTGCTGACCATTCGTTCTCCTCTGATAAGCAGACGCTTGCAGTCGCTCGGGAGAACAATGTAGAGCTGTACCAAGCGTCAGGCAGCAAGTTCACGCTGAGCGATGAGCTAAAGGGCCACGAGAAGACCGTGACTAGCGTTGATATTGCTCCGAACAGTGGTCGCATTGTTACCTGTTCACAGGGTAAGTTGCTTCTGCATTCAAGCATGTTGTTTTATCAGTATGATCGCTAACAACCCCCCGACTCGCTCGAACAGACCGGAATGCCTACGTTTGGGAACAGACCCCTTCTGGCTGGAAGCCCACCCTAGTTCTCCTTCGAATTAACCGAGCTGCTACCTTTGTGCGATGGTCGCCCTCCGAGCAGAAATTCGCCGTCGGTTCCGGAGCTCGCGTGATTGCCGTCTGCTACTTCGAAGAGGAGAACGATTGGTGGATCTCGAAGCACCTGAAGAAACCCATCCGGAGTACCATCACCACCCTGGCATGGCACCCGAACTCGGTGTTGCTGGCTGCTGGCTCTACCGATTCCCATGCGCGCGTGTTCTCGAGTTTCATTAAGGGAATTGACCAACGCCCCGAGCCGAGTGCTTGGGGCGAGCGTCTTCCATTCAACACAATTTGTGGTGAATACCTGAATGACTCCGCTGGCTGGATCCAGGGTGTCTGCTTTTCGCCGAGTGGCAATGCTCTCGCCTTCACCGGACATGACAGCAGCGTCACTGTTGTGTACCCGAGCGCCCCAGAACAGCCACCCCGGGCGATGCTGAACATCTCTACCCGTTTGCTGCCGCTTAACAGCCTCATTTGGAATGGAGAGAACGAGATCATTGCTGCTGGCCATGTACGTCTCATTTAGATCACCATTAAATGCTATATAGGTCATGTGCGCTAACCAGAGATCACAGGACTGTGAACCTTTCCGCTTCCAAGGCGATGAGAACGGTTGGCAACTCACTGGCTCTCTTGAGAAAAAGACCGGTGCAGGAGCCGCGGGCGCTCGCGAGGAATCCGCCCTTAATATGTTCCGACAGATGGACCTGAAGGGTCAAACTCAAGCAGACACCAAGCTTAGCTCGACCCACCAGAACACTGTGAATACTGTCCGTGTCTTCGAGGAAGCCAACGGCCAGGTGCGCTCTTTCAGCAGTGAGTCGATTCTTCTCCGATTCTAATATTTGAAAACGTTTTAACTAACCTCGTCTTCTAGCGAGTGGCGTTGATGGTCGTGTTGTTGTTTGGTCCACCTGAACATTAGATTAGCCGTACATAAAATAAAGTTCTTGACCAGAACTTGAAATGAAACATCTTACTTCAAAAGTCTTCAGCAATCATAATTTTCACCCACTTAGGCTCACTGGCTGTATCATCTATCAACTCTGCGTCTTGGGTTGTATCATCATCCGACCTCATTTCCCCAGGCCGCGTGATTGCTTACATAATGCAACAAGCTTTCCCCAGATTCTCCACGGCATGAGGGGATCCTCCTCAGACACACTCCCAAATATGTTTCGTCTCAAGGGCCTAACGCAAATATGCCTGGCATATTGGTTTCTAGGTGTCTCTGCGACCCAAACACAGCCTTATCCAATCTCTAGTGAGCTCTTCAACTCCCTCGAGGAGCTCTCGCGTCTCGTAGATATCTCCTACTGTGTGGGCACGACCGGCGTGCAGAAACCATTCCAGTGCCTCAGCCACTGTGAAGATTTTCCTCACTTAGAGCTGGTAACTGTGAGTACTGAGGCTTGAAGCCATATAAAGCCTGAAACAAAGGCTATCTCTAATTTCATCGAGCTTCAGACCTGGAATACGGGCGTGCTTCTGTCCGACTCGTGTGGCTATGTCGCACTATCCCACTCACCCGCACCAAAGCGCATAATTATTGCATTCCGAGGCACATATTCTATTACTAACACGATCATCGACCTGTCTGCGTACCCGCAGACTTACGTGCCGTACCCTGATGACGAGGACAATGACAAGACCAGCAACAGCAACAATAACGGCCAACGGTCCTCAAAACTACGGTGCGAGAACTGCACTGTGCATGCCGGGTTCATGGAATCATGGCTCAACGCTCGCAGTACCGTGCTACCCCATGTATTCAGCGCTCTCGAAGAACACCCCGACTACGAAGTGACCCTGGTAGGCCACTCCCTCGGCGGGGCAGTGGCGGCTCTGGCGGGTCTGGAGATGCACTTAAAGGGCTTGAACCCCCAGGTGACGACCTTCGGCGAGCCGATGATTGGCAACGATGCGTTTGTTAAGTTTATAGACAGGCAATTTCACCTCGGGAACTACAGCAGGCCTGCAGACGATCCAGAAGCATCGCAATTCCGGCGGGTCACTCACGTGAACGACCCAGTGCCGCTATTGCCACTCCGCGAGTGGGGATATGCACCACATGCAGGCGAGATATTCATCTCAAAGGCTGATCTGGCTCCATTAGTAGAAGATGTGCATATATGCTTGGGAGACGAAGACCCTGGATGCATTGCCGGGGCTGAGACGCCGTCTGTGCTTCTAGATATGTACCAGGACGTGAATATCCCTCTCGACATATTCAACGTCCGACTCGACCCGTGCGCTTCCAATACAGGTGCCAAAAACAGAGATTTGACACAGCAAGTCATCCTGGGGGAGCAGAGAGTGTCAGAGGGAGCTGGGTCAGCGAGCTGCGCTTCCCAGGATAGCACGACGGCGCTGTATCCGCGACACTGGGACTGGTCACTAATTCCGGCGCAGTATCGCCTATGGGAGCTTTTCTTCGCGCATCGAGACTATTTCTGGCGTATTGGACTGTGTGTACCTGGGGGAGATCCTACTGGGTGAAAGGGACGCAGGCCGGAAGGGGATGTTACTTTGACCTCTTTCTCAAAGAGACTGGATTATTTACGGAGCAGTCGGTGATTTGCTGGCTGTCAACTCGGAAATAGATGCTGTATTATCTTACTTTACTTGGTCTAGAAGAATAGGTCCTTAACTCTATATCTAATCTAGGAAGTATTTATAAGAACGATCAAGTGCTGGTGTAGTATGATGGGAAAATGCTATTCCAGAGATCGGACTCGCAGGATAGTCATGCAAGGTGAGTTGAGGAATAAACCCAGCGCAAGAACGAAACCCATGGCCCAATAATGTTCGCGCTACCAGGAGGAACGATCAATAGTAATGATAGCAGCATCCATTCATCAACAAAATCTTTGAACATGAAGGGCACGAAATATTTACCTCTATGAAAAGCTCGTTCTGACTTCTTTAAATGTATTGCTCTTGTCTGAAGATTATTGACTATTCTGAAATTTCTCATTGATATATAAAAACGGGGAATATGTTGGCTGTGTTTCCATACTGCAATCATTTTATGCTGCCTAGTCTCACTTATCACTTGGAATCTTAGACTTAGTTGAAGCTGGAGGTTTTTTTTTTTTTTTTTCAAGTTAAATCGGCGACTTGAACCTTGAAAACAGAAAAAAAAACTAATTTGGTCAGAAACTTGCTGTTTTTTATGTAGACCGCTCCGCTGATAGATGACTAACCGGCGTGATATGACCCGACTTAGGTAATCGCGGTCCCCACGACACCAACATAGAGAGCGCCAACGATAGTGACGTGGTGCTGCTGCCTATGAAGTCCGGAGGTGTCTTGTTTTGCAATATACCGGTTATTTAAGTCTCAATAAATGCTCGACTCGCCAACTATCAACCCTTAATAACGTTCATTATGGCGTCGGACTTGCCGAGCCCCGAGGCTCGTGAGTTGAGTCTAATAGGCAAGGTCGAATTCAGAATTGCTATGGCAGACACCGACGAAAAGCTTCAGTCACTCCTTCAGACCTATCTGGCCCCTCTGCTGCTAAAGCTTGGGTCGGAAAGCGTTGCGGTTCGCAATAAAGTGATTTCAGTCTGCCAACACGTTAATGCCCGGGTCAAAGCCCCCTCCATCCAACTACCAGTGGCGGCGCTTTTGAAGCAATTCAAAGAACAGAAGTCTCAACTGGTTCGACATTTTGATTTGATCTACGCACAACAGGGAATTGACCGGCTTGGCTCAGAAGCCAGGGTTGACCTTCTACTACCCTTGCTTCAGGGGATCTCAGAAATTGGGACCTCCGCTAATCAGGGTGCCATCGTGTTCAATCTGGTGTTACGCCTCTTGCCTCTGTTCAAGATACCCCCAAAGGGCAGCGATGAAGATCAAAAGCTGAGAGAACGCTTGGGCTTGTCCGACGAAGATACTCAGTTCTTGTCCTTCTGGCTGACTAAACTCCTTCTCTTATCCCCCGCTGCGGCAGAGGCTCGGACATGCCCTGGTTTATCTCCCAATGAATACACATTCCTCAATAAAGATGCCCCTGTGAATGAGACTTGGAATCCTGTTGCGCCGGGGGGTTGAATCTGACGGAAGTCAAGGTGGTCGCCCTTCGCTTCCTTGGAAGCGGTGCATTCTCTGACAAACAACGCTTTTTACCTTCTTTGATTGCTTCCGCCGATTCGAATTCTCGTTTAGCAGACCTGGGTGATGAGACACTGAAACGGTTCGCCGTCGATCTTGAGGATTCAACTGTCATCGAGCAACTATATGATTTGTATTTTGGTGCTGGGCGTGCTGATGGAGCGCCCCCTGCCCGCATGCATCTACAAGTGAAGATCCTCGTATTCCTAGGGAAATCTATTAAGGCAACAGAAAATATCCAGAGAATCTTTACATTGATTGAAGATGGGCTACTATCAGACGCTGCGAGGTCTTCTCAGGGATTGCAAGCGTCTAAACTAAGAACTCAAATATTCACGTTCACTACCTGGGTTGTTCGCATGGGCTCTCCTTCAGATCTCAAGCTGATTGCACCGAAACTGATTGCAGGATTGAAGGATTTCATCGAGTCCCAGGGCTGGCCAAGTCCTGCCGCGAGTGGTCAGAAACTACCTGCCACAGATTTGAGCTTGCGGGGGCTTGCCTATGAAAGCATCGGTATTCTGGTCCCGAAGGTCGACTTTCGAATGCGAGATGAAAATGGCGAGAATTTCGAGTTTGATCTAGTGCGATGGCTCTTTACATCACTTCGATCCGACGACTCCAGCTCGCAGATGTTTGTCAGCATCGACCAGGCCCTCGGGAGCATCCTTAATTCATCATTGGAGAGCCATGATAAGGAATTTCAGGACCAATTACGCCCGTTTCTGGTTCACCAGATGGGTTTGCATTCAGGAGATACCGACCCTGATACTGGATTCAACGTGGTCCGCGGTGTTCAATATGCCGCCGTTCGCCTTGCCAATCGGTTCCTCCCATATAACGATGTGGTAGCACGGTGGGTGGATCTAATGGCCATTGCACGTGGGCCGGAAAGGCAGCAGGAGATTGTAGAGGAGGGCAACAAGGGCCTTCACCCTTACTGGTTCCGACTCCTCAACCCCAGCAAGGACAAGAAATGGGAGGCGACTTCTGCCATTCAAGAGCGCGACGAGACTTGGTTCGAATTCCCGAATTTTGCTCAAGCCACTAGCTTTCTATTTGGGACCGCGGAGAAAGATGAAACCCCTATTGGCCATAATGTACCCAATCAACAGCTCCTCGCAGGCCCGTATCGAAATGCCTTTGTGCCTGCTGTCTCGTTTCTCCGCAATACACTTCTCTGGGAGGCATTTTCTGCGGCTGGGGTCCTCACCGATCTTGAGCAAGACTGGGACTATAAACTCGAAGTACAGCTCTCCACCAGCGAAGAGGCACGATCGGCGGTCAGACAGTATATCCACAGCTCAGCAAAGGAATCTGTCTTTACCTTCCTATCAGGAATGCTTGATGGACTTGCCAGAGAAGATATCACCGGGCTCCGCCAATGCGGCATCCACTTCGTGGAGATCTGCTCGCTGACACCAAACGACGTTATTGAGAAGCTGATTTTTCGCGCAAAATCATTGATTCGACCAATTTTCAGCAATGATGAAGACATCCAAGTCTCCTCAGCGCGAGCTTTTGGCATTCTTGTGTCGCACCCTTCCGTCAACAATAACTTACTGGGCAGTTTTGTGGATGATCTGGCTGGGACCGTCGAGTCGTGGAAAACCACCGTCGGCGAAGCTGCACTTCGCGTTCGTGGGGCAATCCTTGCATATTCATATCTGCTTAGCCGACTTGCATATAGAAGCCTCATTAACAAGATTCCCGACACGCATCTTAAAAAGTTCATTGATACAATCCTAGATATCATCGATACTTCTCGCGACACACTTCTTCAGCGCACTGCAGAACTGGCTATCGGCCAACTGAGTCTGTCTGGAATTCTTTCGTACCAAGCCCTTTCCGAGGATGTCTGGAAGAAAGCGCAGAAGAAGCTTTTGACTGATGCCAAATCAGAGAATGACATTCCCATCTCGGCGCTAGGTCTCCTAACACTACCATTCTCGCGTGAACCGTCAGATAGCTCTTTGTTTAGAGAGTTCTTAGACTCCATCTATGGCCTACATGGAATAAAAAGCCCCGAAGTTCAGTTCACAATCGGCGAGGCGCTGAGCAACGTTGCGGTTGGATGGGATTCGCGAGCGTTGATTTCAGACTTTGATGTGGATGCAGAATTCCCTCGCTCAGATGTACCACGCACGGTCTTTTCTGAGGTCTGTGACAAGGTCATAACCGACTGTGGCGCATCCAAGCCCTCATTACGCAAGGCGTCCGCCATATGGCTGCTTTCTCTTGTGAAGAATTGTGGGCACCTCCCTGAAATGCAGGAACGGTTGCGCAGGTCTCAAGCCACCTTTACCACCCTTCTGGGAAGCCGAGATGAGGTGGTGCAGGAAACAGGAGCGCACGGTCTCAGTCTGGTCTACGAGATCGGCGACCAAGCCCTCAAGGATAACCTGGTCCGTGACCTGGTGGACTCCTTCACAGCCACCGGATCCAATCTCGGGGGTGGCAATGTTACGGGGGATACACAGCTATTCGAGCCGGGAGCCCTGCCGACTGGCGAAGGCTCGTCGGTCAACACGTACAAGGACATCATGAACCTAGCCGCCGAGGCTGGCGACCCGACCCTCGTGTATCGGTTCATGTCTATGGCCTCAAACAACGCTCTCTGGACGAATCGGGCGGCCTTCGGTCGATTCGGCATCAGTACGATCTTCTCCGACTCTAGTGTGAATGGCTATCTCGCCCAGAATCCTAAGATCTACCCCAAGCTGTTCCGGTACCGCTTCGACCCGAACCCAAATGTACAGCGGTCGATGAATACTATCTGGCAGGCCCTCGTCAAGGACCCCACCGTCGTCATCGATACCCATTTCGATCAGATTATGGAGGATCTACTTAAAAGCATGCTCTCGGGGCGGGAGTGGCGTGTTCGCCAGGCCAGCTGTACCGCCGTGGCGGATCTGGTCTCTGGTCGCCGCCCAGAGAAGTATGCCCAATATCTCGATGAGATCTACAGCAAATCCTTTAAACTGCTGGATGACATCAAAGAGTCCGTGCGCGTGGCGGCTCTCAAGCTCTGCCAGACGATCACCAATTCGGTGATCCGCACCCTCGAGACGGGCGGCACTGAGAAGCGCGCGGCAGCTCTACTGGGAAGTGCTATTCCGTTCCTACTTAGCGACAAGGGGCTGGACTCGAGTGTCGAAGATGTCCGGGGATATGCCATCGGGGCGCTCGTGCAGATCATCAAGAAGAGCCCTGGCAACCTGCTACACCCTTTTGTCCCGAACATCCTGGAGAAATTCCTGAGCTCGCTCAGCTCGCTCGAGCCCCAGGCAGTCAACTATGTCCATCTAAATGCGGACAAGTACGGCCTTACAGGGGAGGAGATTGACAAGATGCGCCTGTCCAGCATCCGCACCTCACCGATGATGGAGGTGATCGAGCGGTACTTGATTGACCATCTGGACGAGACGAACTTGATGGAACTGGCCCCGAAGCTGGAGGAGACCCTGCGGTCCGCTGTGGGCTTGCCGTCGAAGGTAGGCTGTAGCCGGGTGCTGGTGCTGCTGAGCATGAAGACGCTGCTCTTTCGCCCCTACGCGGACCGGTTCATCCAGCAGCTCTGCAAGTACGTGGTGGACCGCAATGACACGGTCAGCGCATCGTATTGTACCGCGCTAGGCTATCTGATGCGACTGGCGTCAGATGAGCGGGTGCTCCAGACAATCGAATACGCGAAGGGCCTGTACCTGAACGCGGAGGATGCTCGGCCGCGCACGATCGCGGCCGAGATACTACAGTCGTCGTCGAAGCTGGCCAACGACCGGTTCCTGGCCTTCGCTACGGCGGCCCTGCCGTTTGTGTTCATGGGTAAGCACGATGCGGACGCGCACGTGAAGGAAGAGTTCGACCAGACGTGGCAGGACAATGTGGGTGGCAAACGGGCCGTGTCGCTGTATCTTCGCGAGATCGTTAGCCTCGTGGCGGAGAACCTGGATTCGGCACGGTGGGCCATCAAGCACACGGCCGCACGAGCCATCGCCCAGGCGGTGCTATCGCTGGACCCGGAACTCGACCTCCCCACCGCACAATTGGTGTGGCCCGTGCTGGAGAAGGCCCTGTCGGGTAAGACCTGGGCTGGCAAAGAAATAGTGCTGACGGCCTTGGCCACTTTTGCCCGCTCCGCTCGGGCATTGTGGTTGGCACCCGATCAGGCTGACTTACTGAAGGTACGTGAACAGAAGAGGGTAAAGGGTGAACCCCTGGGGGGGGGGGGAGAAGGGGGGAACTAAACGAAGGGCAAGGCCGATCATGATCATGGATGATTGTGGATGATCCGCATGATCATTGAATCATGTTCCCCGTTCCATTGGGCTAGCCTCTTCCGGGTATTCGTTCTGTTATTCCTTGTTTTTTTTTTTTTTTTTCCAGGCTTGCCACTTCTTGGACTATTTCCTATCTGGGCTATTTCTCCTTTCCCCCCCCATAATTCTTTGCTGCGAACTCAACTCACTGATCTCGGTTGACGATGACGATGAGGATGATTATGATGATGACTTGAACCACCAGATGCACTAACCCCGCCTTTTTACCCTCTCCAGACCATTGCCGTGCGCGAAGCGAAGCGAACGAATGCTGCCTATCGACCACATGCGCTCCGAGCTCTGGGGCAAATTGCACAGGCTCGCGAGACGGACTGGATGCCCGAAGCCCTCACGATCGTGCCCCCCGTGATCGAAGAAGTGTGCGACGAGGAGGATGCCGGAGATAAGATGGAAATTGATTCCGGCGGGCGAGACTCGGAGACGCTGGCCGCTGCGGTCGAGTGTCTGCTGCAATGCCTGAACCCCACTACGGCCGGGTCGGACGAAGGTTAGTGCCACGCTTTCTCTCTCTCTTTCTCTGTCTCTCTGTCTGTTTTGAGTATGGTGTTGCCTGTATCCGTCTGTGGTGTATTTGGTGTATCGTGTGGGCGGGGCCTTTTGCGTTTTGTTACCACCCGGATTTTCCCTCTCTCTTGCCTTGTTGGGGGACGGGTAGAACCACATCCCCCTAGCGTCCGTTCATCTGCTAAGCCTAACCACAGTGCTGGGAGGATACGTGCGACAGGTGATCGGTCCGTTGGACCAGGCCCTGACCCACGGAGGACGACCTGTCGTCAGCACGGCCTACCAGGAGCTCCATGCATTCTTTGTCCGGATGGATCGCTGGTCTTCTGCTGCTGCTGCTGCTGCATCCTCGACCTCACCCTCGGCCGACCGTGCTAGCATTGGTGAACCGGTGGTGGGGCCGATGACGGCCCTCGCCGAATTGCTCACGCGCGACCGGGATGCGGTCGAGACGGTGCGTAAGGGTCGCGCGGAAGCGATCCTGGCGTTCCTGACGTTGCGGGCATCGGTTCGCGGCGTGCCTGGCGAGCTGGGGGCGGCGGTGCGGGTGTGGAGGACGAGCGAGCGATCGAGTGTGGTGCAGCGCCTGCTGGACGAGGCGCTGGGGCTGATTCCATAGCGTCGGGGCGCGCGAAGGGCCCGGGGTTGAGGCTTGAGGAGGGGGGGGGGAAAGAGTGGGACGGAGTCTCCTGGTTGGACTCGTAAGTGTTTCGAGCTACCGGTGGTGAGCTGGGAGTGAGCGCATCGTGAGTCGCGATAGGGAGGGTTCTAGATCCGGGAATTCCAAATTCTTGAATTGCGAAGGGAGGGGCCAGAGTATCCAACGCGTTTCCCGGGGTTTGAAGGGAGGGCCGACTACGGTCCTGTCGTTCTCTTCTTTCTCACTCTCTCTTTTTTGCTGTGATTTGGTATTGATTCGTTTTTATTTTTTATTTTTATTTTTTATTTTTTTTTCTCGGTCGGTTTCAGCTTGAGATTAGGACAGCAGCTTGGTAGGGTTGGTTGGACCTGTACAACGTGGAGCACTGGCCCTGGTTATTTCCTATTTCCTATTTTTTCACTATTACCTATCGTGGATGGGTTAATTAGAAGGCTAGGATTGTTTGACGATAGACTTGATTTTTCCTCTTCACACTAGGGAAAAAATTATGGGTTGTATAGGCGGTAATTCTCTCTCGCTCTCTCCCTTCTTTCCACTCTCTTTGGCCCTTTTCCGTAGCAAGAGGGAGAGCACCATTCCACCAACCCATTACCGAGTCCCAATGAGGCCCGAACGGGGTCCCAACCACGTGGTGGATCGACAAGGGTGTCCTTGTGGATGGGATATTTTTAATTCTAGTTTAAATCGGTGGGTTCACGGCCGTGATCGTCTCCGGGCCTAGTGCTTCGGGTCACAATGCACAGGGCAGCGCGAAAACGCGGACTATTGTCAAGTTGTCTAAGATCTAAACCCAAAGGAGCGGGCACAACCCTGCAAGTCAAGCAAAGAAGTGCGAAGGGTGGGAGGGTAGAGGGGATGCGGTTCTGCAGAAACACGAACTAGTGAAACGCCACTCGCTTAAGTCTCGGTCAAGTCCGTGGTATGCGGGCCTGTAGCTGATTTACGGCTTCTGCGGCTTCTGCGTACAGTAGCTTGGTTTTTTTGGGGTGGGAAAAGGGTTTATAGTTTTATGGTTTTAGTGGGGTTCAAGGGATTCACAGATACTTGTCTGGTTTAGGGATAATTTGCGATGTGCAGAACCCGGAGGAGGGGGAGCCATCGAGAAGAGAGGGTGTAGGTGATAGAGAGAAAGAGAGAAAGAAGTCTAAAATATAACCCCCTCAAACCGAAAACCCATGAAAACCAAAACGAACCTAAAAAAGACCCAACGATCCAGACCGGCCTGGCCGGGCCGATCGTACTCCTCCCCCTTCCCTGCGGCCTTTTCCCCAGATGTGCATTCTTCGGCTCCGATCGAGCGTTCCCTGGTCTCCTCGTTTTCGTTTGTTTTTCCTCTCCGTTCCTCTACACTCTGCTCGAGGTTCCTCCGGTACCTCCCTTCCCCCTTTGGGAGGGGTGGCCGGGCCTCTCTCTCTCTCTCTCGCTAGGGCTGGGTTCTTCGGCGACGTGTCCCTCAGCCAGCCCCCGAGACTCGGGTCATGCTTTGCGTGTGTCCTCGAGTCGCCCTGGGCCCCCCGACTAGGCCACTGAGTGGGCCGTGATGGGGAGGGAGAATTCCCTGGCATCCGAAGTCTCGCTATCATACATTCTTCCCGCTGGCCCGCTGGGCAATGCCGAACTATACCCAGCTCCCTACCGATCTCTCCCTTTCCCGCTCTCCTTCACCTGACGCTTGTCGCGTCGTGCACTTTCCGGACGAGCGCGATGCGCTCCGGAAATTCCAAGATCGAATCCCGTCTAGACCTGTGTTCAGCCCCAGATGAGGCTTTGAATCCATCGGGACGGGAGAGAACCAGCCATTCTCCTTAAATCTTAACGAGAAAAAAAAAGAGGAAATGATAGTTCCATCCTGAAATGATAGTTCGTGTCGCGGGCGTAGCTGCAGGAGGCAGCAGATGGCCGCATTAGGCAAGAGTTGGGCCGCCCGACAAGTCCAAAGCCAGATCGCGAAGGGAGCGAGAGGGCGCGCAAGAGTGGAGAGAGAGAGAAAAGCAAGGTGAAGGCCCAGTCGACCATGTGGTTGGCACCTGCATGCCATCCGGTTAGCGCTCTTTCCGTTTCGTTTTTTATTTATTTTTGGTGGTGCTTTTTGTTTTTTTTTTTATGGTTTATGGTTTTCCTATCTATTCTATTTTGTATTTAAAATATTGTGATATTTTTTTTATTGGGAGGGGTGGACTCCGTTCTGTGTTTTTTTTTTTTTTTTTTTTTTTCTTTCTTTTCTTTTGGGCGGGTTAGCAGGGTATTTTCCGCGCTGGGAATCGGTATTTGAGCAGAGCGCGCATTTTGTAGTTCGACTCGGTTTAGGCCGTTTTTTTTTTGTGGTAATCGGCAGTTCATACAGCGCGTACACTAGATACCTTAGATACCTTAGATACCTTAGATACACGAGATACGCTAGATACAGGGTATGCGCCGTGGACGTCGCTAAGCCCAAACCTGCCCCGGACGAACCGGATCGTAGGCTCGTCTGGTTCCTGCCGGTTCCCTGGGATTGTGAATTTCTGGGTCTCTGGCCAACTTGGCTCTTGCTTTTTCGCATCCGAGATTCCTCCTCTCTTTCCCCACGCCACCCGTCAAGCCAGAAAGGAACAAGGCTGCGCCCGCTTGAACCATGCCGTACCTTCGCCAGTCCACCGGTGCCGCCTGCAGGGTGCTCTGCATTTTCCTGCTCGTGATGTGAGAACCTACATAACTTACCTCCCTTCCCACACCACCCACCCCTTCGTCGCTTTCTCTTTCGCGACATCCAGACCCTCCAAGACCTTTCAGACCTTCCAGACGAAATCTGCCCCCTCTCGTGACTCATTGACCTTCATTACTTCCTCCCTCTCTGCTCCTTGATCCTTAATCCTGCTCTACCGCCCTCTCTCTCTCTCTCTCTCCCCCGGGTCTCCATCCTGCTCTGTTGTTTTCCCTCCTGCCCCTCGCCTCCGCTCCTCCGCATCTCAAATACCCCAAGGTACCCCAACTCAATTAGTGATCGACACTCCCACATCCACCCGATCGTCGATCCCAAGAGCCCAGAAAACAGCTCCGCTCTGAACGGGCATTTCTGCGCCGGATACGATCGCCTCGCCCGCATTCGAGATCTCGCGCTCTCGGGCTCCCGTCCCGTTGTGCTACCGGCAGCCCCTCCCCTCCTCATTGAACTGTACAACGGTACGTATTCCGATCCCGTCCGCCGCCACAGCGCACACCGCTGATGAACCGCCCTCCTCTGGTCGACAGTCCTCCCTCTCTCAGGCAGTCAGTCAGCCTTATGACGGTCACCAGCTTGGTGATGCAAAACCGACGGGGTCATGCCTCCGCCAAGCAGCCCCTCCGTCTCCCCATCATCGCTCCCAAAGAAGAAGTCTTCAATGGCAAGAATGAGAAGAGCTTGATTGCACCTCCACGCATTCGCCTCCCTCCTCGATCCCGGACGGGTTGTTGGTATGTTTCTTTTCTCCCTCTCTTTTTTGCGTCATTCCTCTTTTCTCCCCTACAAGCGCAATGTATGAAAGAAACTGTTCGGAAGCTAATCGCGCTTTTTTGGCCCTCTCTAGGACATGTCGGGTGAGTTCCTTCATTCTTTTTCCTATCACACTGCAGGGACAATTCCATTGATGTTCGTTTGTTTTGCGCGCATTACAGAGTCGAAAAGGTACGTCGCGCAAAATTCCTTTGGCCCCATAGGGGAATTTCATGGCTGACCCAGCATTCCTGTCCAGTTAAATGCGATGAAGGTCACCCACAATGCAATGTATGGAATTCCTCGGCTTGCCGCTCCCTTGGCCCGTGCCTCTGGCTTTCGTGGTCTCGAACAGAACTCTTCCTGGAATGATGGTGGATGGTGCTCACATTTTTTTTTTTGCAGCAATGTGCTCGACTCGGCCACATTTGCGACTATCGGCCACGCCTCGCCTTCCGCGACGACACAGCCCGCATCATGGGCCGGATGGCTGATGTCAAAACTGAGGGAAACATCGTCTGGGATCGTAAGCGGGTTCTTCCTCTTGCTTGTGGGCGAATGGCGTCTCTAACGTCGGGATAGTTTCGTCGCCGGCGTCCAGCGAAGATCGCTCGGACTATTTTTCCACGGGAGATTCATTACCGCCCTTTTCCCTCCTGACGTCGGATGAGGATCGCGAGAGGAAAGCCGAGACCTCCAATCCCGGGACTTACCATGTGGTCGTGGTCCCGGACAGTTTCTCTACCCTCCCGGAGTATTCCGATGATGCCACCGAGAAGTCCAATGTCATCGAATCCATTCATTCCGTGACGAGCAGTCCCATCAGTGCCGTCCCGTCCGAGAGCACGGCCGGTGAGGACCCCAACGTGGTCATCCTGAAGACCTTCGAGGACGTCACCCGGCGTTCTTCCTCCACGGGTCGGACATCTCGAATCTCCCCCACCTCCGAGATTTCAGATCCCTTTGGATCCCTTTCTTTATCTCCCATCCTCGATTCTCTCCCTTCCCCAGTCGTCTTTGAAGACGATCAATTCACTTTCTTTGACCAGCGTCTAGAGCAATCCAGTCACTCCATCCAAGACTCAACCCTCTTTGCTCACTTCCGCCATGTGGTTTGGAAGCAATTATTTCCTCATGATCGTGGGCTAGATGATACATATGGGTTTGAGAGGAATGGAATGACTTTAAGTGTCGACTTCCTTGGACGGGAAGCCGCGCATTTCCCTCCCGTATGTTTCTCTCCATCGATCAATTCTTTTCCCCTCAAGTTGAGAGGGCGATCCACTGATCTGTTCTTGTTCCTTATCTTATAGCTCTCTCATGCGATCATGGCTGTCTCCGCACTCAGCTTGTCCCACAGTGGCACAGGGCAGAATGTTGATGCGCTGCAATACTATCAGCAGGCCTTCCCTTCTCTTCAGGCTAGCCTACGGAACAACGATGACCTTGTTTCGGATGGACTCTTTCTCACACACTTCTTGCTACTAATTTACGAGGTACGTGCACGTGTCCGTGCTTCTTTCTTCCCCCTTTCTTCTATTCGATCCTCCATCAAATGCTGACAACTTCTCTTTTTGCTGTAGGTAGCAGCAGCTGAGCCCCATGGCTCTAACCTCTGGTCTCACCATATTTCTCGCCTGCTCCATATTTCCTTTCTCCGACGGTCAAAATTTGGCCGTGAACCTCATCCCTTTATCCTCTGGTGGATTTGCCACATTGACCTCTACGCCCTGCTCAGTGGAGCGGGAACGGGAGAGTTTGTGCGGGCGATTATGGACCACCAAATGCTGCCTGGGTCCGAATGCCTGCTCTACCCAGCAGTTCCGGAAGGATACAGCGTGATTTATGCCGATGAACACGATAGTCTCCCCGCAATTATGCGTCTCTACGCCGAAACTTTTACCTTGGCCGCCCAGCTGGGGTCTTTGGCCTCTCAGCTCCGTCAGAACAAGCAATCCGCCTCGGCCTCGGAATTCAACCAACGATCGAAGGAAATCGGCTCCCTCCGCCAGGCCTTGGCTCGGCTCTGGGAGGCATCGGACATTTCCTTCTACTTTCAGCACCAGGACAGTCTACCCCAGCGGTCCCGGGAACTCTTGCAGCAGGTTTGTCTTTCCCTTCCCATATATTCTCTATTATTATTTTTCATGACCTGTGATATTCTAACATTCATTTTGGTTCCAGTCGGCTTCTCTTTTCCATGTATGCCAATTATTCTCCTACAGCAGCATGTGGCCCGGCCAGCGCCTTGAGTCTGAGTTTACCCCGGATGGCGAGATCGATCATCATGCGTCCGAGATTTTGCGCATTGCCGAGCAGACGACCTCAACCCGCCGAGCCGACCGGCACTTCCTCGTTTTCCCGCTCTTCCTGGCCGGAGCCACGGCTTCGGCTAGCGGGCTCAAGATGATGGCGATGGAATTGATGACCGGGATGGAAGACGAAGAGGACGGAATGGGGCGCAATGCTGCCACCACCCGGGCCATTCTCCAGACGGTCTACGAACGACAGCTGGAGCGATTGATGCGTGTTGGCCACACGTTGGATGTGGATTGGGCTGATTTGATGACCCAGGAAGGATTGCAAATGGTCAATTTTGGATTCTAATGTAGTTGAAGACATCGAGCCGGGACTCGTTCTGCCTTTTATCTCTTTTGTTTTTGGTTTGCTTTCGTTGGGTACTTGGCGTTTTCTCGTGGGCATCTGTTGGGTCTGTTGGGCATCTAATCCTGCGAGCTTTTTGTTTATTTTGCTTTTTTTGGGGGGGGATGGGAGCGAGCCTATTATTTGATCTTGGGAGGATATGGGCTTCGGATTTTGTATTATTCGCATGAGTGACGATGGATGGATGTACGCTTTGTATGTATAGAAATTGATGCTTGACGTGCCATGGAACCGTGTGGGTCCTTTCCCGAGCCATTCTTCAACTGAGGTCTAAATTAGTACGTGTACCAGTTTATCTTACTATAGGGTGGAGATGCTTTGCCCATCATATTCAGTACCTTGCTGACTAGGAAATAGTTCAGCCAAAAAAGTTTCTACAGGGCCAAATATTGATTACATTTACTCTGGTGTTCTGGAGTACGCGGCTCGCTTCTGTGTCCCGGTCGCTTGTGGAAATGAGTCAATCAGAAAATAGCAATGTTGGAGTTATCAAAGCTGAGCTGCATGGCGCTCTTAGGGGTGGGGAGGCTCAGGTTGACGATCGGAGACCCCGGGAGGCCTATATAACCGATGGTTCTGACCGGCTTCGGCTGGCTGGCTGGCTTGTCTCTTTGCTGTTCTCTCTACTTGACAGGTGTGTTCGTGACCTCGCGAAGCCCTGCACAGATGAAACTGCATGTTACGGCCCGAGCCGCAGCTTCGAGGGTATACCATGTCAACTCCAACTCCCCGATAGTGTTTCGTTCTACCGGGTTCCCCCGCATCTCGTGGACTCGGAGCTCGAATATCGTCTCACAGACACAACCGTGCAGCTTGACCTGGTGTCACGGTTTCGCGAAGAATTGCCCGTTCCTGCAGCCTGCCTGATTTTCCCCACAACCGCCACAAAACGACCTCCGGCCCCCAAAACCCAATAACCTAATGACTCCACATTGCTGCAGCTCCCCGTCATTCCCTTGTCCCACGGAAATTAAGCAATCTCCATTTCCTCAACCTCGTACTACTTGGAACATACCAAATCCTGCCGCCACGTCAACTTGTAATTCTTCATGTGTCTACTACTTCAGCTTGTATCTAGCAACCATCTGACCATATTGATTCTGCAATAAATCTACATTGAGATTTAGCGAGTGCAGTTCCTATATCGCTCTTCACTAGGGCCATCTCGGCCTACACGTTCGGTCAAGGTTGGATCCTCACAGTACCACCGTGGTACCTGGTAAGCCCGACTATCACTGTCAGAATTCTGCTGATGGCCCATTGGTCATTGACAATATCAAACACCTGGCGGTGCTGCTGACGACCGACCACGCCTCCTCCATTGACAGTCAGATACCGAGACTGTGCACCATCATACTCCAAAAAAATACATCCTCGACCACTTCCTCCGAGCCCATAGGTATAGCCCTGAAAGGCATTTGGCCGGAGCCCGTCGCAGGACTGCTGTACTTCTCCAGCTAGATTGTCCCAGTTGTAATTGGGACCTTTGCCTTCGAAGGCGAAGAATGGGTACCCCGTTGCGACGTTAACGGCTGCAAAGTCAAGACGGACGCCCTGCGCTGTCTGTACCAATTCGGGAGCAAGGATAACTCCAGGAATTGCAAAAATCGTGCTCACAGCAGCCATCCAGCCACCATTAGCAACTGATTCAGGCCCATTCGCCATCCGCTGCGCCACAGCATTCGTAGGCCAAGCTGCCATTGTCTAGGAATTCCACTGCAGTCAATAAGAGAAACAAAGAGATACTGAGATTGAACAAACCTAGGTGTTTGGATTTTCTGATATGTACGACGGATTTGATCTGTGTGTGTACCTGGTGAACAAGAATTGACGGCTGGCCTTTATATATCCCAGCAATCATTGCTAGGGAGGTTTTCCTTGGCTCTGAAACGAGGCAGCTTGCATTACAAGCTCGGTGCCAATTGCCTTGTTTTTTTTTTCCCCTTTCCTCTCTTTTCGGCTTGTGGATGGCTCAAAATGAGTGGCTAGCTGAACGCTGAACTGAGAACAGAGTGGAGCCTACAGCGTCGCAATTCAGTCTGCCACTTAGGCGGTTTTGTTGGAGAGGGTTGATCACGGTGGTAAACAGCAATTGAATCGGCGTGTCCGTTATACATAAATGTGGAGAGAGCCTGAGACAGCATAGAGCTTTTACTAGAGATAATGGAGACAAGTGAAGAGTGAACAGTGAATGGGGTTGCAAATATTGCCGATTGGTCAATTATTCGGATGGTTGCTCTACATTTCTCAGGACCTATGATCTCTGGGTGTTGATATGGTTAGTTGTAAAAATGGCTGGGTAAGCGATCATGAGCCAACAATGTACATCGATAGTCTTGGAAGAGTGGAGAGTAGCGAAGCAAGAGGAGACACAATGGACCTGGAAACGCGCTTGAAATCTCTATCCTGTTCAGCCAGCCAAATCCTTCAGCTAGCTTCATCAATCCAGGAGCTTTCCATTTTGGCATGTTAAATCTATTCAGCCACGTAAATATTAGCCTGGGGCCTGTCTTGCAAATACTATATAAGACTGCCCCTTTGTTCCAATCTCAAGAAACAACCATCTTTCAGTCCTATCTCAACCATCATTCTCTCCTTCGCCTGATTTTCCCATCGGGGACTTTGTACAAAACAAGCAAGCCATCACACAATGCCCACTACAACTTATACTGCTATTACTCAAGAGGAGGGTGCAGATCTTGCTACCCTCTCAACCAACCACTACAATCTTCAAGTTGCCAAGTCTGTCTCCACACCTGGTGGAAGCCCAACCTACAATGTCGTCTACAGGTCCTCCTTCTTGGCCTATAACATGAGTGTTGCATGGACTACAACCTATGGGATTAACTGGACCATCGAAATCCCAACTCAAGGTGCTCAGATTACCTACGCCGGCAGGTGGCAGAGCTGCGCACTGGGTCAGTCGTACGACTTGGATCAAAAAGGCGAATGGGTTGCCAATCAAAAAAACCCTTATGAACACAAAGACTCGGTAAATGTCGGTGGAAACCATTACCCAATACCCGTCCACATTATCGTTGGCGTTCAGGATCCTGCTACTCTGAAGTGGACCCCTGTGAGTATCTGCCCCCGATTCAGCCTGTTATGTTCCTAATTTGGTGTTTGAAAGATCTGGCTCGCCGATAATGCCCTGCTCGTTGGTGGACATGGTGAGTATATGCCCCGACAGAGTGTTCGGCTCTGGTTTGAAGAAGGCACCAAAACCGCAACTATGATAAGCACGCAGGGTACAGAGCCCCAGGAATTCGATATGACATCTACACCTCTGTTCTACTTTTCCTATGCCACCACGGAGGGTAAATGGCGTGCTCCCCAGCCGGGTCCCTTCTTTTAAGGAGTACGGCCATTTTGTCTGTTTTCCCCCTCGCTGCATCTTGGTGTAAAAGTGGCCATCAGCAGTGCCGAGGAAGCACTGGTGGTCGATCGTGGACTGATGGCCAGGGAAGGATCTATCTACATAGAGTCAGAAGACAATGCCACTCATTTATGCTATTCTTGTCTAAATTGTCCGTTCTCTCAAACCGAGCTTTTCAATGTTTCTATGGTGAATAAGTGACTCAATTAGTACAGTATAGTAACCGTATTCTCGAGAGCTTCAGGCCGCTAGTATGACGGGATTTTATACGTATGGCAAAAAAACACCAATCGTACCAAGGGAACAAATGGTGCTGCTGGGCTCCTTGACCGGGTTATCATTCAAGAACGTTTGATCTTGGCACTTGATTTGACTATGGTGTCTGCCCGTGCTGGGATTTAACGAGCCTGAGCCCGAGCCTGAACCCGAGCCTGCTCATAAAAGCGGCGAGAAGTGCGTATGTTGTAACGGGCCTGGGCGATACCCGGGCGTTATGGGGACGCGGTACTATACTTCCCAACTAAATAATCCCCACTTTTCTGTGGTGTTGTTTGCTTCAGATCACCCATGATTTGACTCTCGCGACAATCCAGTGTTATAAGAGTTCCAGAGAATCATAATCCGAAAATTGAACCTCATAGAGCTGGAGCTTCCCCCCTGTTCTGTACTTGGTGCACCACATGGCTTTGACTGCAGAACTGTCAGCCAGTCACATCTGTGATGGCCCAACCTCGTCACCTGCGGGGTTCGGCGTCTCGCCCAACTCGGCGCCTACAGGCACCAAGCAATTGGCAACTCCGACCAACTTGGACCTTTGACTGTTCGAGAAGTCCTCTTTCTCTCTTCTATCCATCGCGCTCTTCCTGTCCACCATCCAGCCCCGTTTGCAAACCTGATTTATGTTAATTTCCGGCCCAGATCCAACGCCACCGTCTTAGTGTCCGCTGCCCCTCTTCCGAACCCCCCCCCCAACATCGATCGGCGCATCTACCGCCGTGATTGGTACCTGACGTACTCTCACTTCTGCATTCTGCATTTCCTGCGTTGCGTTGTTTTCATAGAGTCTGCGGTGCCCGGTCCTCTTGAGAAGCCGACAATATGAATCCCGGCGAGAGCCGTGGCATCCATCCCGAAGGAGAGCTCTTCCTCGATTCGCCTACTGTGCCTGAGCAGAGCACCGCATCGGTGGTCGAACCGTTGCGCATCAACAAGAGAGACTCAGCCTCACCACCGCTGTCCAAAACCAGCCCGCCGCCGAATCCCTTGCCCTATCCCGATGATCGCCCCCGCCCCCAGATGCGATCCTCAAGCTCGAGCGATGGCCGTCCCATCGATAGTGGGCGGTATGGATCGCCGTCGCCAGCGGGTTCTGGTTCGGGCTCTGTGACCCCCGCGGACTATCCTTCAGCTTTGCGGCCGCGTGAACCTCGAGTCTCCAGCTTGACCGAGCGACGAGGAACCGGGCCCAAACCTCTACCGGACTCGCCTGGTGCAGATGCCCCAGACCCAGCAGCGCTCGCTGCGAGGCCGTACCCAGCGCCGCCCGCAATCCCGGCTCCTCTAGCAGATCGGCCATCAGACGGAGGCCACCAGCGCCAGGGCTACACTCAACCATTTTATCCACCTCCCCAGATTGCAGCCACCTCGAGCCTCAAACCTCCATCAACAGGACTTAATCGGCTCAGTTCCACCGCATCCACCTCGACAACCCGCGCCGAGCGGGGATCGCCCCCTCCTCCGGAAACCCCTGTGACTGGGCCGAACCCGCAGCCGACCTCAGATATCGAGGCTCGTTACGCCGCAGCGGGAATTGCAGGCTCGGGGACACTCGCGGGAATCCATTCGCAAAGTGCGGCGGCGCAAAGGCGTGTCCAGCAGTATTCGGGACAGCAACCGACGTATCAGAATCCGCCTCAGCGACCATGGACCCCGACCGAACAGCCGGGGTCCCAACCCCATGGTCCGCCGACAGTGTACCAAGGCGCGGAAGTGGTGAGCGACAACGAATCCGTTACGTCTCATCCGGGCCAGTATAGCACCCCATCACCCCAGGATCATTATGCACAACCGATTCCCCAGCAACCACAATTGCAATCGCACCAGTCGCCGCCGCCGTCTCAGCAAGAACAACAACAATCGAGGATTCCAGCCAATGCACTCGAGCAGGATATGAATCGGATGCGTATTAGTTCCTCCCCTCCTCCGGCCTATTCCAGCGTCTCGAGCCCTACACCATCCAACAACTATCCTGTTGAGAAGCCGAGCAGTTCTGCCGCTGCTGCCGGAGCGGCCGCCGGGGCTGCTGCTGGAGCGATGGCCGCACATCCAGCCATTGCCAACCAAGCTCAACCTCACCCATCGGCCTCCCCAGCCCCATCAGCTTCGACGCAGGATCATCCTGCTTTCGCAAATGATCCCCGGCAGCAATCCGATGCCGGACCATATCCGCAGAATGCCATGGCCAATGGCCAAGCCAATTATCTGCAACAGCAACAACAGCAGCAGCAGCAGCCGCCACCGCAGCAACACCAGACAGCAGTCTCTTCATCCGCACCCACCGGACCATCTCCTGCATCGCCTCCACCCCTGCCAGAAGGCTGGATTGCCCATTTAGACCCAAGTTCGGGTCAGTACTATTATATCCATCTTCCGACCCAATCGACCCAATGGGAGTTTCCAAAGGGTCCCACGCCCTTGAATCTCCACGAGGCGCCTTTATCTCCCGTGGGAAGTGTGTACACCAGTCACCCTTTGGCATCTCCCGGGTTGTCGGCTTTTAGTAAGCCCTTGATGTCCCCGGGAATGCCGCACACGCCCGGTTTTGAGAGCCTGCAATCTCCTATGTCAGGTTTCTCAGGTCCACCCCCGAGCAGTGGGGTAGATCTCTACAAGACCGCCCCGACAAATGGCGTATACTTTGGCCCTTATCTACGCTACACTAACATGGACCTTGAACGCGGCGTCTGGATGGGCTCTATTCTATTGGTGACCGACGCGGCTCAACCGCCGACGATCCACATCCACCAGAGTGTTGACCTCTCCCCCAACCCGAGACAATTGAAGGCAAACAATATTGCCGCTCACCAAAGGTGGACTTTCTACAAGTATGAGATCGATATCCAGATGGATGAGCATGCTCCTGCGAAATGGACCTATGCGATCACCTCGCATCTTGGCTGTACCCGTTACGAGTTCCTTGTTGCGGGGCGATATGAGACGAATTGGCGCTTCATCGCTACATCAGGAAACGATTTCTCGCTCAATGTCAATGCCAATGAACGTGCACGTCTTGGGGGCGTGGGTTTCATGTGGAAGGACGTCATGCAAAAGCATATTGAGATCGGTGGTTTCCACACCCAGATCTGTCTCGGTGGCCAGATCTATGCGGATCGGATGTGGAAAGAAATTCCATGTCTAAAGCAGTGGCTTGCGATTAGTGGGAAAGAGGCGAGGAAAAACGCTCCCTGGACGGCTGCAAACCAGCAAGACGTTTCCCACGCTTACTTCCATTACTACACCAGCCATTTTGATCAGCCGTATCTGAGGGAGTCTTTTGCGCAGATTCCCTACATCTGTCAGATTGATGATCATGACATGTGCGTCTTGTTTTTCCCCTCTTCCCATTCTGTATTCCTGACAAGGACCGTGGCTGATGATACTTTTAGTTTTGATGGATTCGGCTCCTATCCCGAGCATATGCAGTTCTCCAACATGTTCAAGAACATCGGCCGGATCGGTATTGAGATGTATCTCCTCTTCCAACACCACACTACCCTCGATATTCTTCGTAATGTTAACAACGACACCGACCTCTTTACTATCACTGGCACTGGCTGGCACTTTGTCAAATACCTGGGCCCTGGCGTGGTAGTTGTTGGCCCTGACTGTCGCTCCGAGCGGAACCCCCATCAGGTGATGGCCGGTCCGACATACCAAGGTCTTTTCCCCAAGATTGCAATGTTGCCTCCTAGTGTGCAACACTGCTTGTGGATGATTTCTATGCCGCTGATTTATCCCCGACTGGAGACCGCAGAGCACATTGCTCAGACTGTTGCTACAGGCAAGAGGGCGGTGACCGGTGCCTATAATGTGCTAGGCAAGGTCACCAGCTCGGTGGCTGGTGTTGTCGGAGCCAAAGATTTCGTGGGCTCTGGGTTTGATTCGGTCAAGCGTGCAGTTGGCAAGTCTGGACTCATGGGTGGTATTCTCAGCCCATTCGGCGAATTCGACCTGATGGATGAGCTGCGTGATCAATGGACTCACGAGTCAAAGGTTTGTCAAGCTCACCGGTTCAAGTGCTTTTCTATTCTTTGGACCCTTTCTAAAATATTCTGTTTCTTAGGACTTGGAACGAACCTACCTTATTCGCACACTCCAGGGCATTGCTCACCAGAAGTCACTTCGTATGACTTTTCTCTCTGGCGCCGTCAACGCCTGCGGGGCTGGCCTCGTTCATGATCCTTCTCACCCGACCGACCACAAGACCATGTACCAACTCATTGCTTCCCCTGTTGTCAACACTCCGCCTCCGTCCTACGTCCTGAAGCTCCTACACAGTAATAGTAAACCGCTGTACATTCCTGCCAACGGCCATCGCTCCTCATCCCAGCCCACAGACACCAAGGAGGACATGATGGAGATCTTCCAGACAGATGTCACCGGACAGGCTCGGGAGCACCGCAAGCTGATGGCCCGGAGGAACTACGTTGCTATCGTGGCTTATGACCCGGAGACCGTCCCCTCTACACCCTTCGGCCAGCAGCCTACACAGGGCTCTAAGGGGAAGCTGAGCTTGGCTGCTGATTTCATGGTTCAAGGCGATGGCGCATATGCCAACGTCGTCAAGTATGGCCCGGTTATTGTGCCGAGCCTGGAACACGGGAAATAAAAGCTCCAGCTGTGCTGGTTTTAGGGAGGGGAAGGGAAGAACTTCTCTTATTTTTGATGCTGCTTTTCTTCTTCCCCCTCTTCTGCTCTTCTCTCTTGAAGCGTGTTCCCCTCTCTCCAATCTTGAGACTGAATGCCTTGTTCATTCATACGAATTTGTCGATGACTTTGGCTTCTTCTTTGTTTTCTATCTCCCCCTTTCCCTTCTTCGCTCTATTCATAGCTTTCTTTTCTTGGCTCAATATTATTTCGTGTCTTCTACATATTGCCGACGCGCCTCTTTAGCTGCTCGTACCTGTCTGTGCGCTCATTGAATGATTGTAGATACGGGTTATTGGTTTGGCTTTAACATCTTCCATATTCTCTTCCATGCGTGACCTGTGTTTGAATCTAGGAGTCATCTCAGGCCTGGGGATCTCTGTCCATTCCTTTCGCTTCCTAGATGCATTGAAACATATACCGAAACTTTATGTTATGACAGCTTTTATTGCTCCCTTGTCTCATACTAATTTGCCTCCCACTGGCTCCCCCAGTTGTTGTTACTGCTCCTGGTTCTGATTCTAATATAATTTAGGAAATTAGATTCTCTCAGCCGCTTGGGAGAAAAGAAAGTAAAGCATTTGCTAGGCCGAATCTGCGAACGACAAATATTTGAGCTAATTAATACAGATAGCTTGTATAGTACTCAGTGAATACGAGACTGGGCATGTCCATATGTCCTGTTTGTCTTGATTAAGATTGCTCTCTGCCCCTGTTAGATGGTCTCTGGAGGTCTCCTGGTGAGGAACCTCCATCCACCAGGAACCATACCACCTGATATCGCTATATAAGAACTTCATCTCATAGAGAGTCATTTGACATACACAGCACGATGACCTTGACTCTCCGCTAAAGTAGAATTTTCTAATGGGGGCGGGGTGCTCATCCATTGAACTGCTTTCAATTATAAAGTGCGAGATAGGTGACGCAAACAACCTTCCACTCTTCAGCTCTTGACCTGTTTTCCTCTAGTATTTCGCATGGTCAATACTGTAATGATGCTCGAGTCATTAAATTACTTTATTGAAAGTCTTATCTACCGTTTTGGTCCTCTGTATCAATCCAATCTCGATACCTCACACCTCATAAAGCTTTCCCGTTGAGAGAGACATCCGTCAACCACGAAGGACGGTAAACAACACAAATTCTTTTGACCATCTCGCAATTGATACTGGTTTTCTAACACCTTCTAAGAATGACTGCATTAGATAACTCCAGCACCTCAGGCCCAGATTTATGGGATGTGAAAATGTCTGCACAGGTTTTGTTGCAGATCGCCATGGAGGCTGAAAACCTGCAGGAGGCCGAGAGTAAATCGGTCCTTGGATCCGTGGAGAATGCAAACATCCGTTCGTTCTGCCTGCTACCTGTCTTTTATCTGGAAACTTACATCTATAAAAGCCTTCGGTCTCGACCCCAACTTGAACCCCGACTTGAGTCTCTTTCCGGCCAGGGAGACACGAGCTGCTTCGGAACCAACTCTACGAGACGTCGACTGGCGCGATGGACCCAAGGAGCTCCGAAATGGGTACCAGCGACGAGCTGCGATGGGCCAGCGCAGCGGAGAGACTGCCCCCAAGGGCCAGGAGTGCAAACGGTGCATCCGAGAACATGGTGTGTTTAGGTCCTGCGTTGTCTGCACTGTGGATGGAGAGCTCCAATTTGGCGGTGCTTGCATGAACTGCGCTTTCACCAAGGAAGGCTACCGGTGCTCACTCCGTAAGTCCGAATCTAATATGATTTGAAATTGATTATAGTTCATGCTTTTCTAGGCCAGCGAGACTTTACTGGACTGAATGTCACCCTTGCTCCTTGGGTGTTGGCATACGTGGCCAGCAAGAGTCAAAGTGTAGTTCCTCCTAACAACAACACGCCTACGGCCGACGAGTTTGTGAGTATATATACCTTCAAGCTTTGCCAATATCGGCCTGTGGTGCATATCCTGATTTCAATCATTACAGGAAACAACCATAGCCCCGAGAGAGGTAGCAGATGTGGCACTTGACACCTCAGATCTTGCAACCGCAAGTCCTTTTCTTGTTTGGCCAGGTGGCGGAGGGCCCTCCTGGGCTGGACTATGGTACACCTCGCCATTCGAACATCCAGAGCACCTCGACAGCTTGGATACCCTCTTCCGCATCCATATCGAGCTGTCACAGGTTCAAGCTCGCGTGGCGTTCGACCTGGCCCAGATCCACGAGACCCTGCTATGTGCACAACAGAATGAATTTGAGGGTTCAATTGAGGAGGATGATTCGGAGACTTGATATTCCTCAAGCTCCTCACAGCGACAAATTGTGAACATAGTTTTCTCCCCGAATTCCAAAGCATATTTTTTTGTATCATCCAACATGGAGATGAAGATCTGATCGAAAACTATACTCAATCTCAGTTGCTCTTTCTTTTATTACGACTGCTAATAATCATGATATCGTTGTACCATTGCCGACAAAGATTCTCATCTACAGATCACAGATTCGTGCTTCATTCCGTATAGGTGTTGCAGCGCTTATAGTTACAGGTCATTAATGGTCATAGCTTCGTCTCGTCTTTGCTCGGCAGCGTCACCTCGCAAAAATCTATCCACTTCTCTCTGTGCATCAGCCGAGCGGCCGTTGTCATCTTTCTGGGTCGTGTTTCCGAAGAGACACTGCCACAAGTCATCCTTCTTCACTAGCTCTCCACCCGATGCGCCATTGGTCATCAAATTTGTCAAGGTCGCATCTTCCATTTCCATGGAGTTAGCAGAATCGATCGCTGTTTCGGTCAAGTCGTTGATAAGCACTTGATCTTCACCCGGGATTGCGGCACGGGCTTTCTTCTCCTGTTTCTCTTTTGCCAAGATATGGGCAAGTCGACGGGTAACCGAGAGGTCGTAAATGGATTCTTCCACAGTTCCAGAGACCAAGTACATCCAAACAGTTGTTGGTCGATGCTGGCCGATTCGATGGACTCGAGCAATGGCCTGAAGTTCAATTGCAGTGTTTATTAGCGGCTCGCATAGGAACACATGTGTGGCATTGATCAAGGTCAACCCGGATGACTGGGCTTTCCCGTGCAACAAGAAGCATTCAATCTGGTTTCAAGAATTCGATATCAGTTCACATGTCTTAGAGAGCAATTTATTTCGCAGCAACGTACCGCGGGATCCTTCTTGAATTTCTCAATGCCATCTGGCGCGTCAACGCTACTGTTGACGATCCCAAAGCGGCGGAAAGCCCTTTGCAAAACAACCAAGAAGTTTTTGTATTGAGAAAACACAATCGCTTTTGCTCCAGGGTCATGTTCTCGAAGCCAAATGATATGCCGGGCAAGTGTGTCGATTTTGGTACCAAACGAGCCATCGAGGTCGATGGTTTTGATCTGCTTCAAGACTCCCGAGCTGATGTCACTATAGATGGCATTTTGCGAATGCCGCTCATGATCGAATTTGACCGGGGATTCTTCCTGCTGCACGACGAGATCTTGCGGCTTATATGTAATTTGGTGAAAGTCCCTGAGTTTCAGAGGTTTCTTGCATATTGGACAAGTGCGATGTTGACGCCACCATAGTCGCAGACAATCCGTGCAATACTTATGACCGCACACAGTCAAGACGCCTAGATATATCAGCCGGGCACAGAGCAATCAACGGCTTCCTGGGAAAATCAATAGCTTACCAATTTCAAAGCTCGATTGGCAGATGATGCAAATTCTCGAGCTATCTTCCGAGCCAGACTCATCTCGCAGATGGATTAGATACCTCCTCTTGGCTTTCAAAGATGAGATCTTGCTCTCAAGATTTTCTTCTTGCTTCAATTTTGACGCAAAAACCTCCTCATCTATTGGCTTGCCAGCACTTTCTTCGTCATACGGTGCCACGGTATCTGAGATTTGTTGCAGATGACGATAGTACTCAAGCCGATTGTTCATCGTGTCACGAAACATTTCTACCTCCCTCTCCAGGTTGGATGATATTTTCAGGTGGTCAGCGAGCATTTGACCAGCGTTCTTCAGTACCAGTCCGACCATCTCAAGTTCTGCAGAGGCACGCGAACTCCCGCCAGCGGCTTGCCACTCGAGCGAGGTTGTCAGGCTACGAAGTTCACTTACAATGCCGCGAAGCGACCCAAATTGCGGATCCGGCATCAACTCGCTGCGGGTGTTCATAATAGAAAGAAAAAGCTTTGGGGATGGGCCTTCATCTTTCTGTGCTTGGATAATGCCGGCTTTGACCTCATGAGAAATGAGGACATTCTTCTGGCCGGTGAGAGCGTCATGGCGATCAGCATACATGCACCGCAGTGCTTCCATGTAGACATACATCTCATCTTGATGTTTTGTCGAACGCTCATATTCATTGCCTTCCAGTTCGGCATCGTCTTCTTGATCAATAAGCGACTGCGAGACCAGCTTGATCATGACATCGCGCCATTCATTATACTGCTGCGCGTGCTTGTTCAATGCCGCACATAGGTCTTCAAACTTGTTGAGTATCCGGTAAGATTCAAGACCTCTGCTATAAAGATAAGGCTTCATTTGTGTGATATGCACAAATTGCTTGTTTCTTGTCTTCTCTTTGATGGTCTTCATGTATCGCTCCACCTTCCGGGAAATATCTGTCAGCATCTCCTTGCGGATCAGTTTCGCGGCTTCGTATCCCTCCTCTTCCTTTTTCTCAAGGAGCTTGAAATCTTCGGTGTCAGGTTGGGTGAGACTGGTATCCGTTTTAATCTGATAGTATGCATTCGCAGTGAAAAACACAGCAATGTGCTGCACCTCCAGGGCCGCACGCAGTTTCGAACGACATTGACCGATGCGGCTATTCTTGTCTGCCTCTTCATTCTCATCATCACTAGAATCGGGCGTTTCTTTGATGGCTTCGGCCCCATTCGTCATAGCGTCCTTATTTTTAAGACGTTGCAAACGAAGCTGCTTTCTGCTGTCATTGACCAGATGGGTAGAATGATCCAAAGCTGCTTGCCAAAGCACTAGTGCTTCCTTCCTACGCTTAGCATTCTCAAGCAGCTGTCCGCGACGGAGCTGAGATAAGAGAAGGGATCGCTCTTCCGTGCGGATCGAGGTATCAGTGTTCTCAATCATGACTTCAAGGACTTCGTCGACGGTGCGCAAAGGGCCGTTTGCTGCACCCAGCGCTCGGCGGTTGCTTCCGCTCACCTCGGGATGCAGGCAAGTCTGACGAAGTCTGGTTAACCAGGTCCGCATTCTTTCAATGGTTCCTGGGTCCTCCGGATTCCAATCACCCTGAAGGGGATTCCCGAATGCATCAAGCCCGCATTGCTCCGTCATCTCTTCGAAAAGTTGGCCATAATGCTGCTCCTCGACTGCAGTAAAAGGAACCGTGATCACAATTCGCTTCTGAGGAGGCAAGCGTAGCTCATCACGGACACGATCCTTGCTGTGCCTGAGCGCAATTGCATTGATGATGCGGACCAGATCCGGTCCAAAACGGGAGTACAAGCGTTTCCATAGCGCGCTCGAGTCGCAAAAGGGTCGATACTGAAGAAAGAGCAGGAGCCCAAATAAGTCATCGATATCCTTGCGAAGTGGCGTGCCCGTCACTGCCCAGGCATTCTCTCGTGGCATTAAGCGGGCCACCTTGGCTGCATTGCTGACACCGCTCTCGATCATCTGAGCTTCGTCAAGACAAACGCGCCACCACGATATCCGCACCAAAGGCGTCTTCCGCGGCTCGAATTTCTTCTCGTGCCGAAGACTTCGTTTTGGTGTCGCTGCAGCATAGTGGATCTCTCGAGCAATTACGTTGTATGTGGTAAGAACGACATCAAACTCGGCAATTTCTTCGATGACCAGATCGTCTGAGTTCTCTTTTCCTCGTCTGATCCCCTTATAGTGGTGAACACGTAGCTTTGGGGCATGTTGTTCAAGTTCTTGCTTCCATTGCTCCAGGATAGCCGGTGGTGTGATGATCAAAGTAGCGCCTGATTTCCTCAGCCCATCGGGGTCAGATTTAAGTAGATCATTGGCGGGCCGTCGATTCAAGCTGATCAAGGCAATCATTTCCACTGTCTTTCCCAACCCCATCTCTTCTGCAAGAATGCCACCCCGTAACAGGTAAGCGGCATCTCCCCATTGGGATATCTGGGTGGTGATGGTCATAAACAGATGACTAAGGTAACAGGTATTTCCATTGGCGTCAACCATTTGCTTGAATGATGTTGGAAGCCCATTAGGCAATGGTCTTTCTATAGGCACAACGCTCCCATCATTTTGAAGTTTCATTCCTTCTCTCCACAAAAGCCAACGAACAGCTCGTCTCTGGAAAGGGAAAAGATCGCAAACAAGGTCTGGGCACTTGATATCTGCTGAAGCGCTTGCGGTTTTTTCAGGAACGTGAACACTATCATAGAACTCACGGGGTGACCAGCCCCGTGAGAGTCCCAGTAGTTTCTCGCGCCGGTCATGTTGTCCGGGATAGCCAGCCGGGGGCCCAAGGGGCTCTTGCAAGCTATACCTTGCAAAGACCTCTAAGGCATGGTCTTGTAAACGAGCAAAATCTGGGCTTTCAAGAGAATCCCTCCAGAGTGCGACGACTTCTAAGCCAAGGGACTTGTTATTCGATCCAAGAGAGATTGTGGCGTGGTAACATGCCATCGGAGGTCGATTAAAGTACCGATCAGCGCAATTTAACCCAGTGACATGTCTCATATGCTCAAAAAATGATACAAGTTGTTTTTCACGGAATCCAAACGAGAATATTTTATTTTCATCAGCATCAACAGTCGTCAAATGAATTGTAATAGCATCTTCGCTGCGCTCAGAATACTCGGATTCATCAGGTATATGGGCGCGCAAGCGAGAGTCTTCGACTTCAACAAGGACAGGAAAGCGATCGGAAGAGCTACTCGAGTTGTATAATCCATGATGTTCTGATTTGGGTGCGTTCTCAAAGTTCTGAAGAGAAGGTGGCAAACGATTAGCTGTGCCACGCAATAATCGCATACCGCTCAAGACTTACCATGCGCAGCACTAGCCGAGCCAGTGGGATGTAGCCCACGGGTGTTCCGGTGCTAGATATACCCTGCTCACGAATCAGGCTAAATGGACCCGACTTGGTGACTTTGCGCCGCTTCGTCGGACGGTGGTCACCGTTGACAACATTGATCTGGTTCAGCGCAGAGATCAGAGTCTCGGGCACCGGAACTATATGAGACGAGACAGATCAGAAGTCGGATTCCGATGATGCAATTGGGTACCCGGAGAAACATACCTGGAACCTTCACCTCTTCTATGACCGTGCTCATCGTGAGTTCCAGTCCAGCAGACTTCTTCTACTTGAGACGCCACGACGAGGAGCGATGGAAGACGCGCGATTGCGAAAGCTGGGGTCTTATCTCATAGTCACGTGGAGATAGGCACGTTCTGGCCCGAAACTAAGCGCCGTGGGATCGAGAGAACTACGTAGTGATATCAACTTAATGCAAGTGTCCCATTCCTATCCGATGTATGGCAATTTCGTGCGTAGTTCGCTCCAGAAATGAGTAAATTTTCCTGTAAATCCCAGTCGACGTAAATCTTTTCAACTCGCTTCGCCTTGGCAGCGGCTAGCGGCTCCCCAGACCTGGTTCTAGCTCATGCAGATCGAGCAGTCGCATGGAGGCAACCTGGAGTCATGAGAGATCATGATGATGTCGGCCGCAAAATGGGGGATGACTCTCAGTGCAGTTACAAACTTTGGGTTTTGTTTTAGAGAGAAAATGTTGTGATGACAAATCGAAGCTAGGGTGGTTCGAAGCCCGCGATCTGTTGGTGGCGTCCCGCGGTATACCTCAAAGATGACTAGATGGAAGTCCTCATCTCTCCAGCCTGCCATCACCATCGCTGGAAATTTCCGCATTAGCAGAGCTTTAAGTCGTTGTACTATGTATTTGTCGGCAACTGAGTACAGCATGGCGGTGAACAGCATGGGGGAAAAGTTGCTTTCAACCCTGTCATACTCAAGATTGTACATGAAACGGAGCATAGCTTCAATAGTGTAAGGTGGATCGTCATTAAGTCGGATCACATTCTCACTGGTTTCCTATTCATATGATATGAGCATAGCTCCTGGTAATACTCCGACGAATCAAATGCTTCGAGCACCATGTTACCTTCCATGAACGCTTAAATAACGCAGAAAAGTAGACAGACTGCGCAGAAAGTATAAGCTTATGTACCTTGTACTCCTGATCCTCGATGACAATCTTCATGTCAGAGAAATCAGGACAGTTGAAAAAGCTGCGGATATCAGAATGGTCCTGGCTGCCTCTGTCAAGAGAAACTCACCTCCTGATACCGAAGCAATAATCATCGCCTCCATTCATCTCACGAAAGGAGCGTTTCTTTAAAGCGCTTGAGCTCTGCCCATCGGTAAGTGATAATGTTTCAGACATCCTAATTGATGTGGAGCTCAAAGGCCCAAGGTCAGAGATTAGAGAGGTGAAAAGAATGGAGAGTTGGACAACTGTAGAAAAGGCTCGATTGAAGTGAAGGCATTTAGTGTCTGATCGCCGTGTGTTTAGGAACGTGATGAATTTAAAATATCCACGAATGCGCTCAAAGACAAATTAAATCCAATACAGACACAACTTCCGATACACGATACGTACACCATCTGAATCTTCAACTTTTTCCTCCAATATTGCTTTGAAGCGTTGTACTTCGGGATTTGTGAAACCACACCTTGAATAAATATATGAAACTTTTCATTTTAAGTGGTTTCCAGGTGGTTTTCATTCAAAGCCATACGAGCCAGCCCAATCTCACTTGCCAAAATGCGTTAGGCAGCCCTGTCAAGCCTCAGGGTGCGGAATTTCCTGGACCTCTGCCTAGCATGCTCCTTACGCTGCCCCGTCCCAGAGTATTCGTACTGTGAAATGCGGATGATAAGGTATTATCACCAGGATTGGTGTCATAAACTACGTTTCCATTCACAGCACGGGCAGATCTTGAGTAGGATTTTCCGTACGCAGTACCGTGGAACTCATCTGCGGTATTGCCCGATGAGGTGGCGCTTCCACTGACTGACTTATACCGCGCTTTGCCCGACTGAGTTGTGTGCAGCTGTGACGGTCCTGAGACGAGCGAGTAAGTGGAGATTCCAGGGCCGCCTGATGACTCGATATCAAGGCCTCGCTTCATCCATGCGTCGATTGTCAATGAAGTATCCGTAATCCCATACGTTGCGTTGACCAATAGTGGGTAGCTGAAGGAAGTCTTATTAGACCCAGATCCGTTCCCAGATTCACTAATAGTGAATTCTCCTGAGGTGAGCTGCTTATTGACTTGGCTGTATCCTTGCTGATTGAGGTATCCATAGTTTGAGAAGGACAATGTTTGGGACCATTCAAACTGCGAAGAAATGGTCTTAAATGTCCTTTCTGCCACCACAGAATATGACAGGGTTTCATTACCGTCAGTATTGTTCTGCACAAGGTTTCGAGTGACAGTGAACTTCGGCTCTGGTACCTCTATACGCGGGGCGGCGGCAGCTCCGCGAGAACTCAGGTCTTTGGAGGAGGTGGTACTCTCAGTGTACAGAAAAATGTTCCCGGTAACCACCCAATATGAGCCGACGGTGTTTGCTAGAGTAGCGGTTCCGTCATTGGAGATATTCAACCCAGTCACTCGGATCTCGAAGGAATGTTCCTGGCCATCTTGGAGCATGGGCAAAAATGGCGAAATGTCTATCTCTGGCTGCCGAAGGTCAAAGGCATCGATACCGACGATTGGGCGCCAGAAGCCCGGGGCGACACCACCGGTGAAAATAATAGGGAAAGGCCAGACAAGACCCGCAAGAAGACCATCGATGTAGAGTTGAATCTCTCTGAATGGAGAAAATCCATATAGCTCTCCCACGGTGTTGGTAAAGTCTTCTGTGTCTTGGGTGAAAACATTCGACCACCAGAACTCTTCCTGGGACTGTCCGCAAGCAGAAATTGCAACAACGGCACGCGAAGCCGCATCAGGGATCACATATGAGACTGTGGTATTGTCAGTTGGGACGTTGAAGGCGCTAGATGAATTTGACGCAGAGTTCTTGGCTGAGATGGGCAAGATGATGTCTGCAGTTTTGACATTCTTTTCATAGGAAAAGTGGGCGGTCAATGTCGCATTGAATGATCCAGTATAGACGTCAGTGATGATATTGCCAAGGTCAAAGATCAAGGTCTGTGATTGTTTCCATAACGCTGTGTATTGTGACATATCTTTGATATAAGTCCATACGATTCCCGTCGTGGTCGGCTCGGCGGTCGAGGTTCGGAAGACTTCATTATCTCCCAAGTACATCAAAGCCAAGCGATCATACTGGCGACCACGAGACGTCACTGTGAGATTGATTCGAACCGTATCAAACTGGCAGCTTGGCGGCTCATAGAGACCTGCGCGATATTGAAATCAGAGACTGATTTGACAATCACGAGATCATTCGTTCTTACCAACAAATGGTTTCCCATAGCTTGCACCAAAGACGTGGTCCATCAAAAGCATGTCAAGATCACAGCCATTTTCCCCATGGGTCGCAAATGAGACAGGTTGATATACTTGGAACACATTTAATAAGCTTGTTGAGTCTGATGCTTGGGTCGAAGATCGCTCCACGGCTTGGTATCCATCGTGAAGGGCGCATATGAGACGAACATGCCCGAGGAGCAATAAAAAGCTCGGTATCATCAAAAGCATAGCCATCATGATCTTCGTACTAAACCCAAGGTATGTAGTCCCGGTGAACTTGTGGTTTTCCCCAAGGTTTGTAGTGGAGTTGGTGGGACCTCGACCTTTCACCACACTCAATATTTCTTGTTCGAATTCTCTAGAAACTTGAGGTTGTGCACTGTTCTGTCTGGATCTTGACCTCAGTACCAGTACTATACTGGCCGTGGTCCACAGTAATAGAAGGACGATTGGGAAGATCGCCAACTGATGCTTCGCGGGAGCGGGGATCTTTAAATTGCCGGGATCAGTGAGTCGATGGGGCAGCGACGCTAGCGACGACGGGAATGATATTGCAATCATCTTGGTGCAGGCGGCGTGTTCAGGCTAACGGGGACTAAATCGTGGTGCTCCGCATGGGAGATGCAGCTATCACGGCTGATCCCGCGAGACCGCGTTTACCCCTGAAGATAAGCTCAAGGGGAAGGTGCAGGACTCCCGGACATTGCAGGGCCATCGGGACTCGCTTGGAGCCCGCTGCATGTTTCCCCTCCGAAATGCTGAGCTCGTTGATTTAATTTGCCCAATTGGCGACGGCCGGCAATCGCTCTCATTAACGGGCACTGAGAGACCACAATCGGGTCTTTTCAATACTACAACCCCCACTTTTTCTACCACTCTCCATGTCGGGTTCTCGGAGGAGCGACGGTGCTCCGGCAGGAGTAGTAGTCAACAAAACATACTCTATGATCTGTAAATTTCGGGAGAAGTTTAGATAACTCGTCATTATGTGGCCATAGATAGCAGAGCTCGGCGAAAGAGGCCGCCACTCTAACCAACCATATGCAGGACGATTTATAGAAGAATCTCAAAAATGAATAAAGGACTAATAAAACAATGATTTTCTAACCCTATTCGAGCTCTGGGAAGAGTCTGAGAAGTAGAGAGGAAGTGTTCCAAAAATGTACATAAGAAAGATTTGATGGAAGAGACTCCGGTGTCTCGTGTATTAAAAACCCAAAACAAAGCACTCCGTAGCCATGCACCCCAGACTTTACAACAAATGCAATCACATAAACAATCTCCAGGCACCAAGAATCAGGGCAGCGGTACCAGTACAGACACCCCTAGAAAGAAAAAAAAAGTATTAGCAGAGGTCATTGAGAAGACAAAAGAGGTTCAGGTTCGGAAGTCATACATTAGCCACTGCAAGGTCGAGAACTTCACAGCCTCCACCCGTTCTCGCAAGCCCGCAACTTCCTGTTCGATACGGGTCTCGGTCTCCTTGATTCGCATTTCCTGGCCGTTGGCCTCCTCGCGAATGCGACCTTTCTCGAGGTTCAGATCCAGGCGGACCGAGGCCTGGGTGCGCCCAATTTCGTCGCGGAGACGCGAGTTCAGCTTGGCAAGGTCAGCAGCAATTTTCTCGTGCGAGGAACGAGTCAACTGGGCCTCGGTTGAATCGGCATTCAAAAGTTCGGAGCGTAACTTGGCGAAGTCGACTTTTTGTGTATATGTCGATCGCTCGGAATCTATCAGATATTTGTTAGACCCGCTTTTCAACAAAAATTGACGGTGTATATGAACCTTCTCGCAAAACCATGGTGCGTGTGAGGTTCTGAATCGACTCTTGGATGATATCATTCAAAACACGCATCATGGCAACGGATTGTTCCTCGCTGAATCCCTCGGCCTGAAGCCGTCTCACAAATTTTAAGGTGTCAAAATGATGATCTCGAGGTCGCGATGGAGTCGCATGAAAAGCACGCTGGGCGGGTTTGAATGTTGCAACGTAAACGCCATTATGTCGAATAGGACTCGCGGGCGACTCGGAAGACGGGAGGGGCGCAGTGGAGGTGGAGGATCGTCGAGGGAGAGGGGACGAGAACTGATAGCTGCGAAGAGCAGTGGAGAATGCTCGAGAAGTCTGGTGCTGCGTGTTTTGGGTCTGAATTTGCTGGCTCAGAGGGCTCCAGCCTTGGAGGTATCGTTGGCTCTGCCGGTTTGCGAAAGCAGGACAATGGGAGGGTGGGATAGAAGGGCGAGAGGATGAACTATTCCAAGTTAAACGGGGGAGAATGCTTCTCGGCACCTCCGCGACATGTTTTGGGGGAGCCATGTCGCGAGGTATTCAGGGCGGATGAAGATTTGAGGTCGCAAGAAACGGGCAGTGACGCAGCCGGAGAATTGAATGGATGACTAACTGGAGAGCCGGAACTCGCCGTAGGTTTTGGAGGCGTCAGCGGGTCTGAAGCCACGCTCTACGCTAAATCCGTCCGGGGGGGCAACCAATAGAACACTACTTCCCCCACGCGTTATGTCTAGTGATATCTACATGGGAACTCGATGACCCTTGTTTGAATGATGCTGAGCAGTTTCAATCTACCAAAGGAATGAATATATATATCAATGGTGAAAAACATAATGTTTTGGTGGTTTTCATGGTATTAGTGTTGTGTATCACCCGGTAAATTATTTTTGGAGTAGAGCAGATCCAAAATAGCTAGTTTCATCAATTCGAAGCAGGACACACAAGGGCTAGTATTTCATGCTCTGATACTTGGTCGTTCATTCTTGAGAAAGCCCAGCCTCTACTTAAAGGTCGAATATCTCCTTCAGCTGCTTCATCGTATCATCAGGGCCCTCCACCGAGTGTCCGATCGTTCGGGGGTCGGAGTAGATCTCGTAGTCATTGCCACCCAGGAAGCACTTGTCACCGAAAAAGTGAATGGTCTTATAATCAACCCCAGAAACGTTCTTCTCGGCTGCAACATGCTGTAGGCAGTAGGTCTTGTCCCAACCAGTGGGAAAGACATCGAAAGAGATCTGACCACCGATGGAGAAACTGTCGCAAAATCATGGTTAGAATTAACAAGTCATTTCAAGTAATGTGAAGGCAGGGGTGACCTACGTCAGCCCATAATTCGGAAACTCCTTCTTAAGGGCCTCGACCATATCTTTGCGGATGTTGTGGATCTTGTCATAGCTAATAAGGAATTTGTGAGTTAGGTTTCAGGTCTCTGGGCCAGTTGAGAGGATGAGTCGATTCGTTGTCAAGGGTCAACATACGCCTCGAACTCGTTGCGCTCTTCCACGCTGGCATTACGGCCAATGGGGCTAACATTAATCATGCCATTCCGGAACTCCACAAAAGTACCACGCTTCCTGGGGAGCTTGGTATTGGAAATATATTGGAGACAGAAGTCGGCAAGATCTTGATACTTCTCCTCGCCCAACCACTGAATGAAACTGTTGCTCGGCAGCGGTTCGCCCAGGCGGTAGGCGACGAGGCCATTCTCGGAGAAACAGAAGTCGAACAGGGTGGTCACATCGACGGAAGCGGATCCCAGTTGCTCCTGCTGCTTTACAAAGTTTGAACCGCCCACCTAAACGAGATTAGAGGGAGGACATGGGAAATTTATAGGGCCAACGGACATATCCAATGGCGCACTTGTGTCGCAATCGAGAGAGCAACTCGTGCATTTCTGGAGTCGCAGACTATTCAGATTGAAGACAAGGATTAGCAATGATCGGATATTTGCTCCATAGAGTTTTGTATTGTTGCAACCCACCCGCCGCGCTTTGCTCAGCGTCTCGTCCACATCAAAGAGGACAATGGTGCCCTTTAGAGGACGGTTCTCCAGAGTAGGATAAACACTAGTAGCAGTCGTCATTGTGGAAATGGCCTCAAGTCCAACTCTATCTTCAAATCAAAACTTCAGGAGGAAACAAATCGAGGCCCGAAGGATAAATATAGACCTCGACTGAAGGGTCCTTTTGTTAGACCGCAAGCGGCAAGGTCCGGGTCGGGTGGCTAGCGTGGGCATCCGCCCAGAACAGAGGGAATACCACTTGAGTTTCCGGCCAGAGGCCGAGAGATTCAAAAATGAGAAGAGTGGCCCAATCGAGTGTCTTAGTCTGGAATGTCCACCGGGGGGCTCATGTTCTTGTGCATGTTCTTGTGCATGCTCTGTCACAAAATTCGAGGTTTGGGCATGTTTTCGTCGCATCTAAACGGCCTTATCAAGTTGTTATCGATAAGATCGATCCTGTGGGTTGCGATCATCTTCGCTCTTGGCTTTTCCAGGCCTTCCCCTACTCTCCAACCTACTGGGAGTAATTGATAGAAACCTAGCACTGCAGTCATCGGTCGGGTCTTGTTCTTGTCTTCATATCTACATATTCCATTTAATTACAGTCATTAGAGCTTATCAATCCCATAGACAATGTAAAAGTCGAAGCCTTCGTCCTGCTGTGACCCACTTATTGTGTCTGGGTCACGGAGTGTCCAATAGTGCCAACGCCAATCCTCCAGAACAAAACTCCAATCTCTAAATCATGTGACAAAGCCTAGCGTCCCATCGTGGACTGGAATACCTTGGCAGCCAATTCACTCAGGAGTCGGGTCCGATCTGGCTGTGGAAGGTCCAGGAAAACCTCATAGACACTTTTCCCCTTGGCGTCACGGACCGCACCCAGACGATTGCCGGCCACTGCGCCCGCGAGCGCACCGGGGAAGTTGCCCACGATGAATCCGAGCGCACCGCCACTGACCCCCCCAACTATCGCCCAGAACCGTGATGTTGGACGAGTCCGGCCTCCCCCTTCCTCCTCCGCCAGGCCCTCTTCCCGCAGCATCTCCTCGAACACAGATCCGAACTGGTTCGTGTCGCGCTCCTCCCGATCGCCGAAACCGAAATTAGACCAGGAGAAGCCACTGGAACCGCCATGCGGGACCTCCTCATCCACTTCCTCATCCGCCGCTTCGTAGGCCCGCTGGGTGTCATACTCTTGGCGCCGAGAGGGGTCTGACAAGGTGTAGTAGGCGTCGTTGATCTCTTGGAATTTCCGGGTTCGCTGGGGTCGCTCCGGGGAGTCTGCGGGGACCCGATCGGGGTGAGACTTTAGGGATTCTCTGTGAAAAAAAGTGTCAAAAAAAAGTTCCGACTATTGCACCCTGTAAGAGGACGAAGTCACGATCGACAGATGGAAGATCTATGACATGCCGCGCGCCGGACGGGGTGGGCATTTACCTTTTGTAGGCTGTGCGAATCTGCTGCTGGGTCGCATCACTGGACACGCCGAGGATCTTGTCTGGAGATTGCATGAGAAGAGCCGACTCTTAGCCGGGGATGGGAAGTAAATCTTACAATAATCTGGAGTATCTAGATCGAAGAAAAAATGATCAGTATTAGTGCTTGGATCTGGAAGACTTCTGGGAAACAAGAAACATACTCGACATGGTGATACGAAACACTGGAAAGGCGTGGTTAGACGTGGTCAGTTGAAGTGACTGGAGGCCAACTGTATAAAAACAGGGCCGACGCCAGTGACGTATTGAGGCCTAAGGCACTAAGGCATGATCCAAGGTTCGGCCGGATCGTGTTGTGTCGCTTTGATAGGCCCAGTTGGCGATATATCGGGTTGGGTGAGCCGAGCACCTGTCAGGAATTCCTGGCGATCAATCCGAAGGGTTTGTCGTGGGTGCTTTTGATCTTCGTTGAATCTATGAAGTTCACGATTTTCCTAGGCTAGACGCATAACGCTATGTGTTGCGCTAGCAGTGTCTCCGCCTACCCACAACGCGGAAGCGTTGTGGGTAGGCGGAGACACTGTAGTTAGCTTTTGATCAGTTGATCCGGCTGGACTGGTAGGGCCTCCTAGGCTACTTGAACGCTGGCGTAGAAGAGTTTAGTCGGTGGAAATTTTCATTGTAATCTACTTCACTGTAGCTGTCAAGTGGTTATAAATAGCAACCTTGAACCAGCTCTTGAGCTAAATCTATTTTGAGTATGAATCGGTGACATCATCGTAAATGGACCATATTAGAGTATAGTAATTAACCTTACCATTCAGTCCTTCTCGTAAAGATAGAATCTTGACATTCCATCAACCCACAGTTTCAATCAATATCTTACTAGCAAATTTGCGCATAAAAAGTCTGGTTTGGATTATCAATGAGTAATGATGTCTCTATATGAAGAAACTAAATAAACATTACGGAACCCCTGAATCAAAGGTTATGTTAGTCCTCTAGGGTCCTTTCATTATAATGAGTTAATTGAATAGCAGAATATCGACCCATCTTTTGTCATAGGAAAGCTCAGAGTATTCTGGTGAATTCTTGTTTTTATTCCTAGCGATAGACACCAAGTTGAGATTTCGTGACTTTGGCCATCTTCAAAGGCCACGATACTTCTGTTCATTATTTTCTAAATCAGTACGTATATGAGTACACTCAAATCGTAGTTTTCTCCTTCTGAAGTCAAAAAAAGTCAGTAGCCATGATTCCTGATCTTAGAGTGTTCTCAGGGAATCAACTGAGGAATTATACTACAGGACCAGAGAGTCGGGAAATATTGTTATTGAGCCTAAAGCGTAGGTACCGGTGCTGAAGAAACCCCAGAGCTTGAGACTGAGATCTCAAGACCTTGGGGCTCTAGGATATGCTGACAATCTCCCTTATGACCACAAATATTGCACAATTACAACTTTCCATTGCTTGAACACCTGGGGACTTGAAACGCAAAGATGGTTATTAGATATAGCCTTCCTCACAAGAGTCTCAGCATATCTCTTCAGTGTTCAATTAAGCTTACCTAGGCCAATATTCCAGGCGTTCTCTCTCAGCCTTGGAACCATTCAAAAGATTACGGTATTCTATTGCCGATGGGTCATTGCTAATTTAGCACGCCTTTTACACCATTACGAGGTCCGTTCTCTGGCACAGTATAAATTGGTGCTGCTTGGCGAAGCGGGCTCACAGACATACTGTGCATAGCTTTATTGCCAGTAGGATCTGAAATTCCCTATCTGGGAATTTTGAGCGTTTCCCTGGGTGCTTTGGTGGCATGGTGTGGGGTAGAAGACAGTGTTTGACTCGTGAGAAGTGTGTTGTTGGTAGGATTCACGGAATGTAGCTATATTCGGACCCAAGCATTGTCTTTGGAGCTGGGTAGTTCAATTGAAAATGAATGTATACGGGTACAGAAAGTATTCTGGCGACTATATAGTATCCACCAAAACCACCCAATTCAGGACTGTAACTAATCGCGAGCCCATCTAGTCACCTTATAAGTCACGTGATTAACAGCATCCGAGTCCTGCTGAGCGGTCAGTGGGCGCCCACTGAGCGTGTTCTGTAACTTGGCGACCCTGTCTCACCTGTCGCACCGAGTGGTTGGGCCCAGCCACCTCAATTTATCCAGGGGCAGAAACCTCCCGTACTCTGTACTTCGTACCCTAGTTTCATGTCTCTATCTTGATTCAGTTCGATCAATTTGCCCTGATACCCATCGACGACGGGTATATTCCATTTAGTTTTCTGTCACTCCCCGCCACACAGCAAATTGCTAGTGGAGTACATTACGCACCGGCCTAGACCACATATTGCGCATCGCTGCAGCTCCTAGCGGCTGACCTGCATCTGTCTCTTTTTCTCACATTCAATTGCCACACAGCGACCAGAGATTTCACCGACAAGGCTCTCGAGGGGTTGTTGGTTCAGACGAAATCTCTTGCGATCGTGTGTTTACATCCCCATCTACTATACGTGGCATACCATCTTCTAACAATCCGATCCGTGGGACAGCGAGAGCCACAACCCAACTGGTGATCCACTCTTCCGACATCCGCCCAGAAACCTCTCCCAATTCTATCAAAATGGGCTGGTTCGACGGCCCTTCCAGATCGTCTTCAAGGGGTGCCTATGTGCGTCGACGCAGCTCTCCCGCTCGCAGTAAGACTGGCTATCATTCAACCCAGCATTCGCGACACTCGGCCCCGTCTATTTTCTCTCTCGGTCGTGGGGGAAGCGGAGGCCGATCGCGAAGCCCCTCAGTCTTCTCCTCCTTCTCCTCCTCATCGCGACGAGCTCGGCCTCGGGAGGGATTTGTCCAGCGTATGATTCATGCCATCAAGCGACTCTTCCGTGATATCTATCGCTACGCCCGACACCACCCCATTAAGGTGTTTCTGTTAGTCATCCTCCCACTGCTGACGAGCGGTGTCCTGCCCAAGTTACTCGCCATGATTGGCATCCGCCTGCCTCATGGCATCACGAGTGCTCTCGGGGGCGCCGGCGCCGGCGCGGCGCGGGGTGGATTAGAGGGAATGGGGGGCAAGGGCCTCTCGGAGAGCGTCAATGGCTTGGTGAGCCTGGCGAAGATGTTCGCCTGAACGATTCGCCTGTCAATCACGACGTCCACGCTTCTTCTCCAATTGCAGATCCCAAACCACACGGGGCCACTCCATATAACGACTGTGACGATCAAATCGAACCCGGTTTCTCTTACTTCTGATTTTCTGTCCCTTCCACCATTGCTTGTCCATTATCTCCCTCCGCTAGTCTTTCATATCCCTCTAAACTGTTCCGATGTGCCTGCCATATCTCCTGTACCATGGGCGGCTCGCTGGTCCTCAAATAAACTGCATCCTTTCCACCGCGAAAGCGACGGTTCTGTAGCGAACCATTGAATATAGTTGCGAATTCGAATGACCGAGGAAGAAAAAGTAAACAAAGCTCGTGGGGCATCCCCTCGTCCCCTTATAATCCCCGGAGTCGGTGAGCTATCAGTGCCCAACGGTGGATATCGCGCCCCCTTCCGCCCCCGTTGGACTTCCCTACATCGGACTAGAAGGCTCGCCGACCCACGTTCACTGGCAACGCGCAGGGTCCCGCAGGAGCGTAGACGTGGCTGGGCGAGTATCCTTAGTCAATCGAATACTGGCCGGGCTTGCATTGATCGAATCCTTTGGCTATATTAGCGATCGCCTAGCAAGAAAGATGACACCGAAATCTTTACGGCGTACCCTGTTCACTTCGGCAGTAGGTGGTGGCTCTTGTACTCTTTGATGAAGGATATCGCGCCTCTTGCGGTTCCTGGAAAGGCCACCCAATGCCCTATACCATGTCTACCCTGTACAGCGTGAGCCCCTCACAAATCTCAAAACGAGCTGCAGTGTAGCACAAAATCCAAAAGAGTCCTGTGTGGCTGGAAGGACAGATTCCGACAATACTTAAAACGATGTTGAAGTCACGACATTTCTCTCTGATTCCTTCACAATCCTAACGTGATCTGGGCACGGCGGTGGACTGAACTCGATCTATTCTTTTACAGTAATCATTTAGCTTTATTTTTGTTCTTTTGGCTGTCTCCTATCAAAACAAATCGCCAAACAAGCCAAACGGCCTTGGCTTCACCCCCTTCGGAAATCACCACGACGATGCAGGACGTGAGATCTATGACCGCTGGTTACGTTTGGCGCGTCGCCGCGTCGCCGGCTTTGCCGTTGCTGTCGTGCCGCTGGTCTCTTCAGCCAGCAGCTCGTCTGCCGGGACGTCTTCCTCCCCTTCTGCGGCTGACGAGCCCAAGACACGACCAAGCGTTTGGTGGTAGCACCAAATAGGCAGCTTACAGACCATGGTGTCGCGGAGGGTGGGCCGGTGGATCTCGTCAATATCGAGCAGGAACTCCTGGCGCTCGCCGTCCTCGGAGTCCTCCTCCAAGAAGACATTGCCGGCGGAATCGACAATCAAGACCTTGCCGTTCTCGGCCATGACGCGCTTGCGCTCGCCAGCCGAGACCACAGGCTGCTCGGTCGGGGTGGCGGTGCCAGAGCTCCGACCTGCAGCGCGCCCGCCCTTCTTCTCCTTGCGGTTCTCCTTATCCATCATGCGCTTCTGGCGGCGGTTCATGGCGACAGCGCCGCTGTCAGCGGCATCCGGGGTCGGCGCGGGGGCACTGACATCCGCATCCACACCGGGTATACCTCGCACGCCGAGCTCATCGCCCCAGGCGGCGCGGCGCGCCTGGCGGATATAACGATCGACGAATTCACGTTGGCGCTTCCAGCCAAGAATCAGGGCGCCGTAGTGGGCCGCGCCGCCGAAGACGAGGAACAGACCGAGCAGGACAGAGCCGAGACCGGGGCGGAAGCGGGAGTAGTAGTAGCCGGTGCCCTTCCACAGGGGGAAGCCGTGGCGGAGGAAGTGGTCGTAGCGTTCGCGGCCGGGGCCCTTGAGAACGTTGGCGACCAGGTTCAACCGGGCGGAGCGGGCGTTTGCTTCCTTGATGGCGGCATCGACCTCGCGTTTAGAGGGGCCCTTGTTAACGTGGACGCCGGGCTGGGAGGACTTGGCCTTGGACTTGTCCTTGGCGTAGTTGGCGATGAATGAGCGGCGGACCTTGTCCGGGTGCAGATTCTTCGACTTTTTGCGGTGGGCCTTGACAATTTGTTCTTGGTTGGCGTTCGGTCGGACCTCGAGGAAATCTGGCCAGAAAGTCAGAGACGTGTCATTCGCCCTGGGCGGCCCTGGGAAATGGCGACCAATGCCAATGCCAATGCATTGGCATTGAGGCGAGAGAAGGGAAAGGAAAATGGGAGAAGGAGAGAAGGATTAAAAAACAGGAGATTCTGGGTCGATTGGATCTTGGACGTACCGTAGAAAGTCACATTGGCTCCTTCTGATGTGGCCAGCTCATCGCGCAGTCGAAAGATTTCATAGTCTGTCCAAGCGTATCATTAGACGGGGAGATCCAAAAAAAACAGGGGGAAGACGGAAAGACGAGAGCAACAAGAGGACTGACCTTCCTTGGACCATGCGGCTACCACGCCGACGAGGGCCAGCAGCAGCAGCAAAGCGAGAGCCTTCATCTTGAGGGAGGATGGAGCGGTCTAACTCCCTAACGCGATGGCTCGAGTGGCTCGAAGGGCGCTCGAGTGGGGGAAAGTGGACTCGAGGCGGTGGACGATTGCTTATTCACCCTGTGAACGAGTGACGGCGAAGTGGATTGGCAATCAGGCCCAGGAAACACGAGAGCCCGAGATCTGAGGTCTGAGGGGTGAAAAAGCGGTCGGCCATCGGCGTTGTGGACTGCTCCACTGCATCGCATTCGACGTGGTCCAATTGAGTCCCGAAGGAGGGGGAAGTAGGAAGAGGAACGGCTGGTTGAAGCCCTGGAAACAGGCCTGGAGATCTGTGTGTCTGCGTGTCTGTGCTGCAGTGCGCTTTTCTGCCAGTCGATGACTCGACTGGACTGGTCCACTGGTCCATTTTGCTGGGCATCTCGAAGTTTGCAATGCATTTCGTTCGTCTGGATAGTCGGATGGATCATAGTAATAGATTTACAGTACTCGCAGCAGAATCCCATGTACCTCATATCAGTCCCCTCCCCCCGCGCATGAGACCCGACGAGTCCGCTTCCTTCCCCTCTCTACACTCTTTTTCTTTCTTCCCACCCTCGCTCGCACGCTCTCTCTCTCTCTCTCCTGGATCTATCTGTGTCTTGCATCTGCTCGGTGGACCTGGTGTGAACGGGAATGCGGGCGACCCAGTAAATGCGGACGTTTCCGCAAACATAAACAACAGACCACAAACGGAGTATGGGACGCCCCATCCAGTGGGATCGCTAAGAGGGGCTGTTTCCGAGCACTGGCTCCTCCATTCTTCCAATCTTCCAATCTTCCATCCTTCCATTCTTTCCTAGCCTCGACTCTCTCGGTTCGGGTCTGTCATCGAAGTCGATTTCAGGCGTGTTTGGGTGCCGGAGCCCCCAAACCGGTGCTGACCAACGCGAAAGGGGCAACCCGCCGGCAGAAAAAAAGCGCCTGCCTTGTCTTCGGGCCAACTTGACCACTTCACACCTCACACTTCCTCTTCCTCAACGCCTCCAATTTCTTCTCTCCGTCTTCTCTTTCTCCAATTCTTGTTTGGACAACCATTTGTTCCCCAGCAGGAGTCCTTTATTTTCCGTCATGGCTATCCAGATCCCTATCGACGCGATCACCTCGCGGTTCGGTGACCGCTTCAACAGCATCCGCAGCCAGTCCCTGAGCACCCGCTTCGCCAACCTGCGTCCCGTCTCGGAGTTCCTCGACCTCAAGCGCCTGTCGAAGCCGGCCAACTTCGGCGAAGTCCAGAGCCGCGTCAACTATAACCTGGGTCACTTCTCCAGCAACTATGCCGTCGTCTTTATCATGCTCAGCATTTACAGCCTGCTGACCAACTTCCTGCTTCTCTTCGTCATCATCTTCGTCACCGGCAGTCTCTACGGAATCAGCAAGCTGAATGGCCGCGATCTCGACCTTGGGGTGCGCCGCTTCAACACCTCTCAGCTCTACACCGGTCTGCTTTGTGTGGCCGTGCCCCTGGGCTTCTGGGCCTCGCCCATCTCGACAGTCCTCTGGCTCATCGGTGCCACCGGCGTGACCGTCTTTGGCCATGCCGCCTTGATGGATAAACCAATCGAGAATGCTTTTTCCGAGGAGGCGGTCTAGGTGGTCGGCCGCGAGCTCCTTTCGATATGCCCCGATGGGGAAGACCACCGGGGGCACGACCGGGGAGATACAGGGGAGGGCGCGCGCAGTGGGAGGAGGAGGCACGAGTGGAAGAGGTCGAGAGTGAGGAAGACGACGACGACGTGTTTGGACGGGAGTTGGTACGGAATGGCCGCGGAGGCTACATGCGGCAATTGGAGTATGGGGGCCGGGGCCCGCGCCGGCGGCCCGTGGAATATCAGGATTGGACCGACGAGACGGAATCGGTGGAGGGCGGAGACTTCGATCTGTACGACCACGACGATCGAACAGTGGCCTATGCGGTGCAACTCGCGATGCGGGACAAGGAGGATCAGTTGGTGGAAAAGGCGTTGGAGCGCATCCGTCGCGCGCAGATGCTAGGAAAGAAGAACGTGCGGCTCTCGCAGCGCGAACTTGATGCCCTAGAACGGAAGCGTCAACAAACAGACAACCCCAGTGGGAACAAGCGCAGTCAACCGGCCGGAAACACAGCCAACTCGCGTCCCACCTCGTCACGACGAAGTGGAGCGCCCGAGCCTCAACCTGGGCCCTATCCATCCTTCGCGGCTGAGGCCGGTTGGGGGGCTCCCCACGGACGACCGACAAGCTCCTCGTCGGCACGTCCGCGTACCCCGACAATGCAGTCACTCCGGCCGCAACAGTCGAATTCCCCGCTCCGCCCAGCCTATCCACCATTTTCCGACCGTCCCTCTTCTAATGGTCGCCCGCAGTCCATGCAGCAGCCGATATACAGCCGGCCCTTACCGGATGATCCTCATTGGGCACCTCCGTATTACAATCCGATGCAGATGAGTCCCTACGGGACCGAGCAGCCTCCGTATCAGCCGGGACTCCCCACGGATCTTCGGGTTGGGCCCCAGAGTCGGATGAGCTACCCCTTGGAGATGTCCCCGATTCAAGCTCAGCATCGCATGTCGCTAGATGGACGGACCTCGATGGCTGCCTCGAAGCCGCGCGGGGCTCGACCAGGTACCGAGATCGAATCGGAGGAGCTTTCCAGTGAGGGAGAGGAGGAAACCGAAAGCAGTGAGGACGAAATTCAGATCGTGCAAGCCAAAGAGCGCCAGGGTCCACCGGGTCTCCAGAGACGAGCTGTTTCTGGAGGCAGTCGCGGTGGCCGCTCGCGAAAAAGTCGATGATGCAGTGCCCAATAACCCCCTAACGTGTCTCTTGTTGCCCTCTTAATGTCATTTTTTTTCTTTTTTTACTATTGCAGGCTTTCTCATGTTTCCTGTTTCTCTTATTCCCTCCTGCTGTTCTGTTTGTTTCTTGTCCATGGTCTCTTATGGTGTCTGCTCTCGAGCAACATGTGTCCTACGGCGTTTGATAGATCGGATCCCACGTGAATAGATCCTCAAATAATGCATACCACATTTTCCGCGTCCATGCTGGAGTTGATGTCCGCCACAAAGACCCCTATCGGTGCTGCCTGATATGCACAGCCTAGTCGTTCCGTCGTTCACCCATCTTCCAGATTGCGGTGATGCTCTGTGGAGTGGGGCGCATTACGAAGACTCCAAGGCCCGGAGCCCCGAGGATCCGCGATGCCTTGGCAGACGATGACGTCGGTTGAAGTCACGGCAGAGAAAACCGTCCTCCAGTCCTTGCAGTATCGCAGAGTTGCTGTCTCAACCTTCCAAACTTCTCCCACCCCCTTCCCGGGAGAATTCGCCGTCTCTGCTTCTCGTCCAACCTTCCACCCACGCCTCCATTCTTAAGGTCACCCGTTAATTCAACGAAACCCTTCGTTATCCGTGCGCCCTGAAATTCCTCAGCCATCCGTGCGCCACAACAAACCGTATTATCAGACACCTTAATCTTAAATTCTCAGGCCGCCCGTCGATCGCCTTTGCGTGTGGAATGCCACAGTCCTGTCCCTGAGCGCCCTGTGTTATACATAAAAACACCTCGCCCCGTTTCGAGTAAGTCGCGCTGGTCAGACCCGTCCAAAGAATTGTGCATCCTGCACGCCCGATCTGGTTGTGCCGCCGTTGAATCCTGGAAGCGTCGGGTTGGTCCATATGCGCAGCGACTAACTCAACAGACCCATAGGTCGTTTCATCTTGCCCTTGCCAGTAATCGGATCGCAAAATTTCGCCTGGCTATTTGCATTGGTGGCACGAAGATCCGCGCAGCAGTATTTTCGATTTCAATACATCCATACCATAGCCACAAAAGGTACTCAACCGGAGAGTTATCGCAAACATGTGGATTATTTCATTCTGGGTCTTCCCCGTCGTATCGGCCTGCATGTGGGTTGGTAAGTGTATCCCCTTTTTTTAATTTTCGAGAGCGCTCGTGTTGGTTCGGAATCTAATCAGATCCCCATCAGCGATGTTGATTGCCATGATTGCCACATGGGCTAGGGATGGCAAGCCACACTACCCCAGTATGGAGGCGAACCAGACGATCGCGTAAGTATCTCTTCTCTTCCGGCCCTCAATATCCCACTGCGGGGTCTCAGGATGGTAGATGGGGTTTGGATTGCTGACTGGACGCGGCTGCAGGTACATCTCGGATGTTGGCGCATTTGGTGCAAAGCCACTCTTCATCACAGGCAGTGTGATCACCGTAGTGTTTCTGGACTTGGCCTTTTTGTCAGAGCGATGGCTGCGCCATGCGGGCCAGCTAGTCCCCAACAAGGGCATCTTCGACAAAGCCTGTGCGATCCTGTCCATCTTCTTCGGTATTGCGGGTGCGCTCGGCCTGATCCTGCTATCCATCTTCGATACCTACCACCATCCTCGTATGCACGATGGCTTCTTGGCAATGTTCATGTAAGTTCGTGTGGTCCTTATCTCGAATCCATCACACTATGGCTAATCAAACTCCCCACTCTCTCTGGGGCATTGCAGTGTCGGATACCTGGTCAGCGCGATCCTGATCTGTGCAGAATACCTGCGTCTCGGAATCTTCTACCGCTCACAGCACCGTATCCTGTTCGCCAGCTTCGTGATCAAGCTCGCCTTCGTGATCATCGAGATCGGCCTGGCAATCGGCTTCGGCGTCTGCATGAAGAGCAGCGAGAAGTCAAAAAAGAATCCCGGCGCGATTCTCGAATGGGTGATTGCTTTCGTCTTCACCGGTTATATCCTCTCATTCGTAGTCGACCTGCTACCATCTGTCCGCACGCGCCGCCACATCCCACAGGGAGAGAAGCGTCTCGAGATGGCGCACGAGGGACCCAATGCGCCGCATACAACTTCGATTGAAGAGCCCCTGACGACCGACTCGGTTGGTCCCAATTATTACCGGGGTCAGCGCGTCTAGGGCAAAAAAAGAAACAAGAAACAACCAAAAAAAAGACCGAAAGATTTCGAAGAAATAGAGGCAAAAGAAAAGAGAGCAACGTCTATAAGGCTTCTCATACGTGGCGTTATCTAATCTGTTTTCTGTTGTTCTTTTCGCCTTTTACCACGTCATGATGATTCCGCCACCTGATAGCATCTTTTGGGAAGTTTGTTTATTCATATTCCATGTCCATATACTTCAAGATCCGTTTTATTTTGTGAGATACCTACCTTATATATCTGTGCGCTTTTGTTTCCGATGCACGTTGTGTTCTTGTGCTGTACATTACATTCAACTGGTTTTTTTGTTGCTGGCGCAATAGTTCACGAGAGAGGGAGGGAGAGAAGGAGGGTGACGGTTCCAATAAGAACCCATAATTAATTTCTTCATATATGTTCTCTTTCTGTCGAGTAGTATATACGGACAAACCTGATGCCCGGATAGTGATCATTATCATATCCCATCCCAAAATCATGTACAGAAACAGCAGATGCAATGCCGATGTGCCCACGGCGGATCCCAAAAGTGAAGAAAAACACAGATACACTCACACTCACTCACTCACTCACAAGATAAAAGCAGGGGCGCCAGAATGTCGATGTACAAAATGACAAAATAGCCCTTCCTCCAGCCATCCGCCAAAGCAAAGATGCAAAACATAGATGCAAATGCCCGGAAGTCGCATAGACCGCCAAAAAAGGAAAAAGAATAAAAAAATATAAAAGACCAAAAGAAAGCTCCAGGCTTTTACTCACTCCTCCCGAAATCTTGCTGAATCACTGAACCAAAAGCGTCTGTCGAATCTGTTCTTGCATCGGCGCATCGACCCCAATGCCCGCTAAATAGCTCTGCACGCCCCCGTACTTCTCTTCCAGATACGCGGTGATATCGTCGATGAAGCCCGGCGGGCAGCGCGTATAGTCCTCGTCCAGGCCGAGGGCACGGATTTCGCGCATGCGCTCCTCGAACTCGGAGATGAGCTCGAGTTCCGAGCGGGTGTAATCGTCCACGAGCGCGGGCGCGGAAATGCCGGCAAGTAACAAGGCCAACAAGACCACCAGGCCGGTGCGGTCTTTGCCCTGGGTGCAGTGGACAAGTACTGGGTAGGACTGCGGGGTGGCGAGTAGGGCGAAAATGGAGCGGAGCTCGGAGGTGCTGGCGTCGAGGGTGTCCTTGGCGAGGCCGGTCAGGCCGCGGGGTTGCATGACCTGTTGGCCGATGATGCGGAGAGCATCGTGGCGGTAGCCTGCCATGGCCATACCGAGGACTTTGCTGCGGGAGGGTGAGTCGGAGTCGAGTAAGGAGGGGAAGTGAGTGGGGAGGGAAGACGGCCGAGGGCCGGCGCGATGCAAGGGAAGCAACATAAAAACATATATGAGATGCCCATCAGGGGGGAGAGGACGCATACATGTAGGTGTACCAATCGAGCTTGGCTAGCAAGGCCCGCTCGAACCCCTTGCCTGTTAGGCTGATTGGGGCGCGGTGGGAGTCGGGGATCTGGACGAGGTGTTCATCCGCGTCGAGCGGTACCGGAGCGGCAGTCAGATCGACCTCTTGAGCGCTGTCGTCTGTCGATGCAAGCTCGGCGCGGCGCTTGCGAGTGGCCATTTGATGCTCTGTTCTGAAGGATGGAGAAGATTAGTCCGAGTTGCGGTTGTAGTCCTGAAGGCTGAGATTTGGACGCGACATACTGCGATCGAAGGTCGATCACGGTTGCAATGTGCAAGTCGTCGGCTAGGCGCCGGGTATCTCGTTCGGAGGCATCATCCAACTGGGAGCCCGTTAGCAGCGCTCTCGGTCTCAGCGGGCATAGAGGCAGGCTTTACCCGGGCACTGCGAAAGAAAACGCCTTCTTTTAGGATCCTGCTTAGATCTCGGTCAGTCTACCGCGAACGGACATTGGCAACTGGCACTGGACATGACTGATAGATGACCTATGACATATAACATATGGCACCACGGTCTGGGGATTTGGGGATTTGGAGAGGGAGGTGAAGGGGGGGAAAAGAGAGGTCGACAGGTCGAGAGGCAAAAGAGGCACGCACTGGGCACCACAGAAGTGGTTGATCGTCCGGCCGACATCGCGGAAGTTGATGATGTTATCGAAAGGCCGATCCGGCGAGTCTAGATCGATACTGGAAGAACGCGCCATGGGGGGGTGGAAGAGCAAGGATTAAGGATTAAGGAGTTGGGATTAAAGAACGTATTTACACAGGACCAGACGAAGCGAGTGAAGGAGCAAAGGAGAGTCCAAGCAGTTGGAAAGTTGGAAAGTTGGAAAGTCGGAAAGTCGAAAAGTCGAGAGCGCGATGAAGTGGAGAAGCGCTGTGACTCCGGTTCAAATGGCGGTGGCCGTTGGGCAGGAAACTGGGTCTGGTCCCTGCCAACACCGCAACTACCGACTTGGGATCAACTGGCACATCCACGAATTATCAACAAGTCCAATATCGTCCACTTCCTGCGCCAACTGCTTGCGCGCAGGGACCCAACTTCCCAACTCTCCTCCAGCTCCCCCACTCTCCACTTCTCTCACTATTCTCTACTTCTCCCTTTCTCTCCCATTCCACCCCGACTCCTCTTCCCAAATGCTTTCTACGCATACTGGCTGCGATCGTCTTTCCACTGGGGCTGCAGATACGTCCAGTCGTGGTTAAAGTTGAAGCCCGTCCGGTACGCGCCGTAGGCCACTAGCTCCACTTGGCTCAAGGCGGCGCCCGCGTCCGTGAGCGCCCACAGGCTGATCGCCAACGTGTTCTCGCCTCGGTTGTTGATGATGCCCGGCGGGAACGGGAACAGCGTCTGGGGCCCGAGATGGGGCAGGTAGTGGCCGAATTGGTACCCGTTCATGAATATCTGGACCACGGCGCCGCTGCCGTCTGGCGCATCCAACTGCAGTCCCAGCGGCACATCTAGATCGTCGTCCAGCGCCAAGGTGAACGTCGTCGTGTAGAACCGGCCCGCCGCCTCCGTCACCCCGTCCAGGGGGCTCTCTGTCCCGGCGCTGCGGGGTGCCTGATACCCCGGAAGATGCCAGCCCATGCGCTCGCCGTACAAGCCTCCCTCGTTGAATGGTCCTCGCACCGGATCGATGTTGGCCTCGCCGCCTGCATTGCCCTGGATGCGCCAAGACGTGAAGTTGCCGCCCCCGAGGAGAGTTCCCCCTAGGATCCCCCGCGGGTTCTGAGCGCCCGCGGGCTTGACATTGTCTTCGTCGTGTCCGGTATAGTCCAGGACGACGGTCAGCACGTTATTGGAGGCATGCAATGTAGAGCTATTAAACACCAGCACCGCGGATGTCGAAGCAGAATCAGGATCGCCCAGGGCACCACCCACATAAGCGCCGTTGAGCCAGGCAGCCCATCCGGCGGATGCGCCGTTCTGCACCGTGATATTGGCTCCCGTCGCGTTGCGTCCATCAAAGCGACCACGGTAGATCTTGGTCCCCTGATGATAGCCATAGTCCCCAGAATAGAGCACCGGGAGGGAGAGCGGGGTAACTGAATTGACCGTGGTGCTCTTGTTGCAGACAGTCCACCGCGAGTCATCGTAGTCTGGCTGGATCTCGGGAAGTGTGTCTTGACTCTTCCAGGAATTCAAGGCTGGCAGAGTAATTTTTGAATCCTGGGCGCCTGGTGCTGTACCCACCAGGCTGCCATAGGCGGTCTTTTTCGTTTTGAGGGCCTTGCCATTCCATTTGATTTTGTTGACCTTCGAATTGCCAGGGTACACCCTAATTTGCAACTCAGTGTCAGCGAAGGAAACTGGAGATGATTGTATCTACCCCAAGGACCGGGGAAGGAACACTTACTCTAGCGATGTAGTATTCGCATTATCACCCACCAGGCTCACGGTGTCTTGCTTGATCGATGCCTCGCGCACCAGGTAAGGACCAATGGCTAGTATATGCTCGCTCGGCGACACATTGGGATCTGAAGTCGTCGGCACGGCGAAGAAATTCCACGCGGTCTCTTTCTCAAGAAGGTAGATCAGAACCCCGTTCGAGAACTTCAGGACGGTCGTGCCATGTGTCTGAGTGTACGAGTATTGTGTTCCATAGCTGGCCGACGAGGTTGTGACAGCCGAACTGCCATAGGTCTTGAAAGTCAGATGGGACGGGGGGTTCTTGAACGCAAACACTCCTGTTTGACCCTCAGTTAGATAGAGCACGATCACGTCCACATCTAGGGTGGCATAGGTCAAAACTTCTGCGGATGAGAAGAGGAGACTAGACTCATCGCCGACTTCGTAATCGGTGACGATGATCTTGCTTTGTCGGCCATCAAGCTGAATATCAGGGATCGAGAGCGCGCCTGTTTCACAATAATTAGTACGAGAGAATGGCTCCTGGGGGATTCCAGGATTTTTCATTGTCAACAATACGACATACCAACGGAAGTGTCTACATTCAACGAAAACGTCGTCACGGCGCGCGACGAACTCGTGGCGTGCGCCACAACATAAAAGCCCGCATCGGTGCTCGGATTGCGCAGCGCCCACGTATAGATGCTGGTGTCATTGGTGTAGCTGGTGCCATTGCCTTCCATCTCGGTTTGCAGCAGACCGGATGAGACGCGAGTGAACAAGCCGATCAGCTTTGTCTGTTTCAGTTTATCCCGGATCTCGCGCGTCTCGCGCAGAGGCGCAGCGTAGTCGTAGGAGGTATACACCACGGGTGCGCCACTATGGCCCCAGTTCGTTCCGCCAAAGACCATATACAGACTCTGCAGCGTGACCCGCGAACCAATGTTGTTCTTGTAGTAGACATCTGCAAACTCGGGGGATTGCTCGGCAGCACACTGATCGTAGAAGTAACCGCCCCAGTTTTGGAAATACCCGCCCTCGAACTCGGCTAGGTACTCGGGCTGAGTGAACGAATAGTTCTGGAACCACTCATAGTACGTCCGCACGAGCGTGAAGCCCGAGTCTGGGTTTGTACAGGACAAGCCGCCGGGGTACGAGTCCAGGCCATAGACGTTGACGGCGCCGCCAACATCCTCGTAGTCCGTTGACCAGCTTTGGCTTCGCATGCCCTTTTCGTTATGCGTGCTGGGCACAACAATCCCGGCATCCTCAAAGGCTGCGGCAATCTGCTCCATGTACAGCACGAGCGTGTTGTCCGCTGAGTGCGTCGTCTCCTGGAGTTCATTTTCGTGCTGGTTCAGGATCACCGGGCCGCCGTTGGTGATCTGGTTGTCGGCGATGATCTTGCCCACCTTTAGGATCCACGGATACCACAGGTCATAGTAGGAGGTCGCGCTCGTCCTCTCGCTGCCCATTTGGCCATTTGATGCCCATAGGGCAAAGCCGCCGGCCGATACCTCTCCATTGCAGTAGGGACCCGCGCGGGCAATCACGTATAGACCGGCTTGCTTGGCATAATCGAACACCCGTTGAATATCATGGGCTCCATTTTCAAAATCAAATGTACCCTCCGACGCGGAATGAAAGTTCCAGAAAAAGTAGACTATGAGGAAAAGAAAACGTTAGCCTTAGTCCCCATTGAAACTATGTCCCACCCCAGGCCAGCAGGACTGAACTTACTGGAGACCGCGTTGAATCCATTGGCGCGCAGTTTTTGGAACACATCAAGCCATAACTCAGGTACCGGCAGACGCTGGTAGTGAAACTCGCCAGAGAAGACGAATACCCGCTCGCCCTTCACCGAGAGACTATATTTATCCCAGGTAACCTCGGTTGTCTTGCCATTGTCTGTGGCCGCGACCAGGGCCGACCATACGCTCAACCAGCACAGAGATAGAAGGCCCAAAATACGCATTGTCTCGGAACTCTATGGACTCGCTAGATTGAAGTCCAATGGGCTCATTCTATGTTGAGAATGCCCAATATAAACTCATGTTGTGGAAGCTCTTGTGCCTCGGGGATCGCGGTAGCAATACCCCGGGGGCTTGCGGGGATTGGTGGATGTTTTCGTGAAGAACGGATGACGCTTTGGGCAATTCTCCAGGACAATGCGGGGGTGCAATTTGAGTGTTCAGGGGTCTCCAGTAGCGGGGTTGCATTGCCCTGAATAAAGACTCCGAACAAGGCTCGCTTAGATGGAAGTAAAACTGGCGTTTCTTATAGTTGGCCCGCCAGCCGTAAGGGCCCGCAGCATAACCAAGCCGTGAGGCAAACGATGGCAACTCCGTCGAAGATGGAGGAAGAGGGGAAAACGAGTGATCTGCCCCGTATACAAGACTTGGAATGGACTGGGATGACAATTTAAAATGGAAGGCATAATAATAGATGATCGTATATTTCCCAAGTAGACAACGCCATTTAAATCCCAAATAGAATCATCCTCCGTCCCCGAGCGCCGGAGAAACCACTCCCGTACAAGACATAACTAAGAAAACCTCATAAATAAAAGAAAACTCGTCAAACACTCTGAACTAAAATGAGATTTACAATAAGTCACAAGAAGATGAAAATCACAGATCTTCAGAAAATCGCGACTCCCGGCCAGTGCTGACTGTGTCTGCAAAAACAGGAGGAACGGGAAGGCCCTGCTCGATGGCACTGTCCCGCAGGCCTTGGAGCTCGGGGCCAGCTTCCTTAGACTCGGAAATAACATCAGAAGTCGGTTGTTTGCTGGTGGCTCCATTGGTTTTAGACTCTGGATTGCGGGAAACGGTCTTCATAAAGCTCCGCCGGAGGCGATGCCTCTTGCCCTCGCTGGAGCCGTTTTGTTCAATTTGAGGGTTGTCTCCGGACTCTTCACTGGTAGTCTTGGTCACTTCAACGTTGCCATTGGTATTATTGGAGTCAAGATCAGCTCCAGTGACCGGGTGAGAGCTCAGCGCCGCTCCACGATTCTCACTTCGTCCGCTCAATGCCGCGCCTCCTGTGAATCCGATTTCGCTATCGGTGTTGAAATCAGGACCGGGTTGGTGGGGATAAACAGGCTGCGGCCCACTTGTACGACGAACGAGTCGATCGCGGAACCAGGTCTTCAACTTCGAATCTGCTCGTGGGCTAGTGATGGGCTGAACGGTGTGCATAGCTGACACTCCTCCCCCAGTCGCAGCAGCATCCCGTGGGATGGAATGATGTGTGGCGAGGCCTGGCTGCTCATCGGACTCGTCAGAGGGATACACAATCCTCACAGGCGCCGCAATAGGAGCAGGGCCAGCCGCCATGACGGGGGGCGCAGCTGCAAGGACCATCGATGCACCGGCTGCCTCTGGTTCATTGGATGCTGCCTGTATTGGTTCTTGAGTTTGCACTTGAGGTGCCTCTTGAGGTGCCTCTTGAGGTGCCTCTTGAGGTGCCTCTTGAGGTGCCTCTTGAGGCGTCTCTTGGATTACATTCCTCGAGAGGGCCACATTTTCAGGAGCGACGAGGGCTCCCTGGGCTGATGGTGGCTGCTCGGTGGCTTCTTCAACGGCCTCGGCAGTATCGGGTTCTGGGACAAGAGAAGCTTCTTTTTCTTCTTTATCATCGACCTTTTCTTCCTTATCATCCACTTTGTCTTCCTGTGAGAGCTTACTCTTCCGCTTCCACATGAAGACGGGGAATTTCAGTCCTCTGCTGTGTCGCTTTTCTGAACCTGTCATATTTATTAGCTCGTGATAAGAGAACAGCCAAAGAGATGGCGGCCTGCTCACCTCCTTCTCGTCCCTCGGCCGCCTTCAGGCTGGCTTCACGCTCTTTCTCTACAGCAGCACGTCTCTGTTGTTCCTCCGCATCAAGACGGGCCTCCAGTTCCTCCGCTCTCCGTCGCTCCGCTTGATCAGTTATCTCATCAAGTGCCGGCTGAACCCGGGAACGCGCAACTGCCTCGATGTCGGCCATTTCCATGTACTTGTGTGCGCCGAGATTGATCCGATTTCCACGTGCACTGTCTGCCTCCGCAGCCTCAGCTTCTTGTCGAACGCGCTCCCGAGCTGCCTCATCCCACTGCTTTTGAACAGACGGTGGTGCTCGGCCGGTGTCGGAGTACATTTTCATCTCCATGTCATGGATTGTGGCATCGACATTGCGGCGAGCAGCCGCCATAAGGAGGTCCCGATCCCTTTGTCTTTGCTCATCTACCTTGTGCATCTTCGTTCGGAGACTTGACATTTGGTTGCGAATATGTCTGGACTGCTCTGCATCCACCTGGGTGGAGTCAGCATCGCTGGAAGTTCTCTTTCGGCGACTCGCCAGCCGGGATCGTGGAGGTTGAGGAGTAGTCCCATAGTATTGCTGGAGCTCGGCATGTTCGTCTCGCATACGCGCCAACTTCTCTGCAGCACGCTTCTGGGCAGTTTCTTGCAAGGTTAATGCTCGCTGCCCGGCAGTGCCTCCTGAAATAGTAGCAGCCCTTCCCAAGCGAGACTGGTTTTGCCCTTGCTGGGCTGCAGATATCGCCGGGTCGAGTTTGCTCGATTCGCCAGTGGGACCGGTGATATCGTACATGTCTTTTGCCATTACAAGGGCTGCGGCATGAAGAGAATTCTTCCGGTTCCGTGCCACTGTTTCGCTTGCAAGAGGAGGCGATGAGGTATAGAGACGGGGATTGGTATTGGCGAGGTGGGTGATCCGGCTGGCTTCCATCGCGCTATCCAGATGCCCCAGAGGTTCTTCCCCTTCGGTTTGAACACGATGCGAGGCGCCTGCTGCAGAGAGAGCATATGGGGAGTCGGAGGCGATGACCGGTTGACTCGGCGCAGAATCCGATCTCTGACGGGTGGCATAAGCCCCCGTCGCAGCTTGGCGCGCCTTATCTTGCAGCCGGCTCTCCTGCGCTGAGACATCCTGCTTATGGCTGGCCTGGGTCTGCGACGCATTTGCCATGGCCCTCTGCTCCCGCACGGCAATAATCGCTGCTCCTAGGCCCTCGGCGCTGTATTGGGTGCTGGGCTGGGGTATCTCGAGAGGGGAGAAGTTCTTCACACACAGCGCCGCTTTTTCGGCCTCGGTCAATCGCCCCGGGCGCCATACTTCGATCGGTTTTTGGTTCGCATGCGCCAGGGCGGCACCAGCAGAGGCATGGCTGAGATCTAAAGCGCCGCCGGCTTTTCGTTGATCTGCAACATCGAGCATCTCCTATCAGTATCGCGGGACAAATTTCAAGAGAATTTTGGGATTTGCGATCGCGGGGAAGATGGGAAGGAAGGGAGGGGGAAGCTCACTCAAGGATGGGAGATCGGCTTCGGGTGTATCCTTAACAGACGCCTTGCGTCGAGGTTGGACGGCGTAGAGTGCAGCTGTAGCGGCTGTTTCAGGCACACATGAAAGATCAGAGATCAGTGCACCGTCTGGATGGAACCTATGCGACGATCACCACTTACCGTCGTCGGCTAGTCGGCCGGACCGAGGACCCGCAGGCATTTGCGCAGTTGCCATGATAGATAAACAGCCGAACAGGCAGATCTACATTCCTCACAAGAGATCGAGGATGACGAGGACGTGGAGAGAGGAAGTTAAAGGGGGAAGAGGATGGGATGGAAGGCCGGAAGCTTTTTGCAACCCGTGACGTCGTCGGCTGCATCGGAGGATCCATGGTGAGGAAGCGCAAAGACCATTGCATCATCGTGTGAAAGTCAATCGAGCGATGAATCAATGAGAAGCGGTGCCCTTGAGCGGGGCCAGGGTAGCTCCATTTCCGCTTTCGACCGTCCCCGGTTTTTGTGGTGACGTGGGGACTTTTTTGAGAACGGGTGGGCCCTCCAAGGGAACCCAAATGAGCCCAAGTGGGACTCGGCGAAGAATTCCTCGGGATCGCCCTCAGATCATGTGCCTTTTCAGCAGTTCGCGCACGTTGTGAGGTTTTGTGTCGGTTCCCGAGTTGGAGTTAGAGTTTAATGAGTGGGAAGTAGAGCATCGCCCTTATCGCAGTCTTGGTGTGGGCTTATCATGATCTTTATCGTCAGTCTTGACAGACGCGATAACGATCGACTCGGCATCCCATATTCATCGGGAGAAATATGATGTTATACTCATGTCATGTTGCAACACTCGGGGGGAAAGCTTCCCGGGCAGAAAAAAATATACGATATCTCATCTTGAAAGGCTCAGAACGAGTAACACGCATTCCCATTTCTTGGATATATCCACGTCCCTGGCCTGTTCCGATATGACCTGATGACGCTATTGATTTGCAGTGCTGTTGGTCAACCCCGAAACTTGCGCCTAAGCATGGATCCAGGGTAGTAACTCGATCAATAATAATTAGTAGCAACCCACATGTTCCATTCATTGATCTCTCGGTTCGGAACTGAATATCTGGGGGCATTATCTCTATAGGACGAGTACGTTGTAAAAGGTGTTTGGTAGTGAGACTAGTCCTCCTCCGGCGACAATGATAATCAAAATCATATATCTGATGGTTAGAATCGTTGACTAGCAGAGTATTCTACAAGCTACTATACGGGGGCAAACGAGTATAGATCCCATTGAAGTAGCTACACAGTATTTATTCAATATTTATGTTGGTCAATTCATATGACTACATCTGGTTATCTCTTCCAACATATGCCGCCCTTGTTGACAGGTTCTGAAGTCAGCAGACGTTAAACCTCACAGGTTCATGCTTTCCTAGGTATTAGCTGAAGTTGAAAGAAACAACGAAGATTATGTGACCTACTTGATGAGAACTGTTTTTGGCTCAGTAAACGCTCGCAAGGCCTAATGATTTTGGTCAGAAAAAGCCTGAAAAGCGAGGATTTGAGATGGTCATGTCTCACATATTCACCATACTCTCTCCCTAGCCCGGATGCCTTCTTTCCCCCAAAGGGAACCTGGACATTCATCTTCTCGGAAATTAGAACCGAATAGCGATGGAGGGTAGCAACACAAAGAAATACTCACATAGCTGACACAATTCACGCCAACGACGCCAGATTCCAATTTGGATGAAACTCTCAATGCCCGATTGACATCTTTCGTGAAAACACCAGACATTAGACCGTATTCGGTATCGTTCGCCATTTTCAGCACTTCCTCCTCTGTCTCAAAGGTCTTGACCACGGCCACCGGTCCAAATATCTCATCCGTATATATTTGGGCATCTTTCTGGGGATTCAGAAAGACAGTAGGTTCAATAAAACAGCCCTGGTATCCATGACGAACACCACCAACGACTAGCTCTGCCTCAGTCTTGCCTCTTTCAATCATTTTAGTGACACGGTCAAGTGCCCTTTTATCAACCAAGGGCCCCATGATGGTAGCTTTGTCTAGAGGATCGCCGAGCTTTTCCACTGCCGTTCGCATACGCTCTTTATACTTCTCAATGAAGTCTTCTGCTATGGACTTTTGAACGTAGACTCTTGTTGCTGCAACACACACCTGACCAGATCGGGCGAGTATGGCATTTATAGTCCTTTGGAAGTTAAAAGCAAGCCTCTTAAACTCATGCATAAAACAAAGCAACTCACCAAGTAAGCGCATTGTTCAAGTCCGCATCTTCGAATACCAGAGCCGGACTTTTACCACCAAGCTCTAGTGTAACGCGTTTTAGATTACTTTGAGCAGCAGCAACCTGAATCTTCTTCCCAGTGGCGACACTGCCCGTGAAACTTATCTATGTAACTTCAAAATCAGCATCAATCATTTTAACAGGAGGCCAAACAAGCGGCACCTTTCGGATTCTCATATGACTTGATAGCATTGCACCAGTCTCTCCTGCACCAGTGAGAACTTGAAAAACACCCTTAGGAAACCCGGCTGCCGCAAAAAGAGGCGCGATAGCTAGGGAGCCTAACGGGCTCAGTTCGGACGGTTTGAGGATCAGCGTGTTGCCGGTTGCCAGACACGGCGCAGCCTTCATCATGAGAGTGGCCACGGGCGCATTGAACGGATTTATTCCAGCACACACCCTGAATATATCAGTATCCTGAGCAGCCTAGTGTGCCTTGCGGACATAAATGGAGATAATTTGTACCCAATTGGCTCGTGACGAACAAGCTTCACAAATCCATCATCGTCGGGGAAGTAGTCGCCTCGCAGCTTGTCGGTCCATCCCGCTGTACATAATCAGATCTTTCCTTTTCTTAACACGAGGACTTTGTACACCTACCGTAGTACAGAAGATGATTCATGATGTAAGTTTTTTCACGGGTGGGAATAATCGACACCGGGTTACCTGTGCTCTGTGCGTCAAGGGTCAAAATTTTGACCAGGCGGTCATCTTCATCAAGTAGATCTGCGAGCTTTCTTAAACAAGCAGATCGTTCACTGGCCGTGAACTTGCTCCATGGTCCATAGAAAGCCTCTTCGGCTGCAGTGACAGCCCTATCCACATCGTTCTGGTCTGCGATTGGAATACACTCGGAAACCACCGAGTCGTCAGCTGGATTATACAGCGTATAGGTTTTCCCGGACTGTGCATCCACATATTCGCCGTTGATATACAGTTTGGTCAGCTCGGCTGCCGTGGGAATGGAATAGACTGGAGAAACCATAATTGAAGAGCTGAAATAGATTCTATGGACGTAGACTGAGCGCAATACGATTATGGATGAGATTAGGATTCCCCATTTTTCTAGAGCTACCCCCTCATCCTTGTTCTCTTGGCTACCTCGGATATTGGCCCCCCTCGAGATGGAGATTTTGACCGAAACCCCCGCATCTCATGCGTCCGATGTCTAGTCATCGGTCGGATTTCGTGGCGGGTTTTCATCACCCATGGTGACTTGAAAGCAATCGACGGATTCCCTGCATCTCCACTGAAGGGCCACTGAATCTTATGCAACTACCTACTTTGTTTTATTTAGGCTCCTTATGGTATCTAGTCCGGTTGATATACTTGCAAACATGAGTAACGAGACAGAGACTATGCAAGCGGTGGTCTATGAGGGTCCCTTCAATATTGTCGTGAAGGAGAAACCCAAGCCTCAAATCATTGATGAAACCGACGCGATTTTGAAAGTACATGTCGCAGGAATATGTGGGAGTGATTTACACATGTATCGTGGCCACCAAAAGACTACCACTGGGCATATAATGGTAAGAAATCCGGAATATCAACTCACTAGCATTTCTGATTGAGAGGCTAGGGACACGAATTCATTGGGACAGTCGAGAACGTTGGATCGGCGATCTCGCGGTTCAAGGTCGGTCAGAAGGTCATGTCTATCTTCTCTCCTATGTGGTATGCACTCGATTTAGAGGTCTTGGATTTGTTGATCTCACTCACGCGCTACATTCAAATGGCTAACCTTGGCACAATCAGCATGAATTGTTGGTTCTGCGAACATGGCCATACAAATAGATGTGTCAACGGTCCGTCTTTCGGAAGCATGGCACTTGACGGAGGACAGGCCGAGTATGTCCGAGTACCTTTCGCCGACAGCACTCTCGAGTTCCTTATCGAGGAAGTTCCCGAGGAAATGATGGTTATCATGTGCGATATCTTCCCGACAGGTTATTATGGGGCCATGAAAGCCATCACAAAGCTGATGCGAAACACTGACACGGCAGAGTCCATCATGGGAGGCACCTTGCATGCGCCGTCCGCACTTCGACCCGCTTTCAAGAAGATCACTCTCGACCAAGCAGTTGTTATATGTCTTGGGTGTGGACCTGTTGGGATATGTGCCATTCTGACAGCCAAAGTGCTTGGCGCAGGCACGGTTTATGCCGTTGACTCGGTTGATGAACGGCTGGCTCAAGCGCAGAGGATGGGAGCCTTGCCCTTGCAGTTGGGAACCGATGATATCCCTGAAATTGTCAGAGCTGCTACCGGAGGTCGTGGGGCTGATGCTATCATTGAAAGCGTCGGAAATCAATCCGCGATGCGGCTGGCCATCGATCTGGTGAGACCATGTGGTATTGTTTCATCCATTGGTTTTCACCAATCCGAACTACCTTACACGGGATTTGAGGCCTATTCCAAGAATCTCGAGTCTGTTTTTCCCTGATATTTTATCGGAGTAGATTGAAGACTGACTCTTAGTATAGTATCAATATGGGAAGAGCCGCTGTACGACCGGTTTTTGGGGAGGCGCTCAAGGTCTTCGTAGACAATCAGGATAAGTTCACCGACTTTATAACACATCGCACGCCGCTGAAAGACGCGGCCATGGGCTATGAGATTTTTGAAAAGCACCAGGCTCGCAAGGTAATCTTGACTCTTTAGGAAGTAAGGGGTCTGCCGAGATGCTATGGTGAGAGCCAACAACGTTTTTTTCTCTTCTGCTTACTATTGCACTATGGGAGTGGCTAGCATGATGGACTTGATATGTGTGAGGTAAATCGAGTCCGAGATGAAGGATTCTACCAAACTATTTGGCAGTCCAGGCTTACTCTTATATCCACCCTCCTTCTATCCGGATTCTCTTGTATTATATTATTCTCTACGCCCCAAGGCTTTACTTGGATTCTATACAGGTATTGCTTCGCTATTTTACTATATACATGTATCCAAAGGAGATGTTCTTGACTTCCGCTGTGGATGGCCATTCAGACCGGAGACAATCCAAGTGCCGTCCCCGAGAGGTATGAAGTTGTCTCCCTCGCGAACGTGTGCATCAAAGCGACCGAGTGGCTTCCCCGTCCGCAAATCGACCTCATAATAATGATGCCACTCTTTATCGTCCAGCTCGCCCGTAATCACGACTACCGCAATATCGGAATTGAGAAAGCCACCGCTCCAGTCTATTAACGGAGGATCATCTTCGTCATCGTCGCCGTCGTCGTCATCATCATAATTTCCAGAGCCGAGAGCTGTGACAGATAACTTCCGAACCACTTCGCCACTGGGAAAGGCGTGAAAAGCAACATCGTACCGCCCGTGGTCGACGGTCATAAATAACTGACCATCCGACGCAATATCAATCAGAGCCCGATCATCCCACGGATAAGAATACAGGTTGATGCCGCTATCAGCGAGGGCCGCACAGAACAGGCGCACCCCGTCCTGGCCCTCACCTACATCAAACATGACATGGCGCCCATCGGAATGTGGAACAAGGAGGCCTCCCTGCCCGACAGTGTCGAGCTCGACTTGGGCAACAACCTCGCCGGTATCGGCGCGCAGGACGACCAACCGGTCGGGTCCACGGCTTGTCATTGCATCAGGCCGATACAGCCACACAAAGAGCCCGTCAAGGGAGAAGATGCACTCAGTCCGGGGTAAGCGCTCGGTCGTGTGTGGCGAGATATCGTAGCACCACAGCAGGCCACCATCCTGGCCGAGGCACCTCATCTTGTTGCGGGTTGAATAGACTATCCGGATGAGATCAGGGGCGGCTGCCTGACTCAATACCTCCTCGTCAGCTTCAATTGGGTAAACTGTGACTGGTACTGGCTGATCGAGGATGTTAGGGATCTGGTAGACGTGCAATTCCCCATCTCGACAGCTTGCGATCGCAGGTTTCATGATTTGATGGTAAGGGCTGGACAGAGTAGACGAGCTGGGCCAGGCCGTTTGCAGAGACCCTCACAAGTTTCAATCGTGACTGCCAGAAAGATAAAACGCGTCCGTCTCCATCAGATTGTAGGAGCCTTGCGCGTCTTAAAATTCTGTGCAAAATCAAGAATGATGTATGGAGTATGCGTCTGTCCCGGATACGAGCTTTGATCGACAGCTCCATTTGAGGGACCCATTAAAGTCCATCTGGGACGTTGTGATTGACCGGAATACACGAGATACCCATCCCATTCGGCTTGGTGGAGCATCCTCTTCTGTATATCATCTCGTAATGACAGCAGGAATTGGAAGTTCAAGAAGGGCAAGCACGGAGGTGATTATGTCACCCATAGCACGAGCTTGAACTTCTGAACTTGCTCAGTTCTCAACCACACCACTTCCAATCTTTCCCATCAAGCCGAGCCCGGGCCCCCATCCTTGACAAGGTATCGCTCAGTGGGGACTTCGCAGCTCTCACAAGGATGGCCAAGACCGAAGCCCTCGCGCTCGGATACGGTACCGCCACGATGAACATCACAGCCCAGATCACGGCTGGTTCAGCGGATGAGGATAATCAAGTGCTCGAGGCCGCTTTTTCCGAGAAGTCGGATGGTTGGGGCTTCGCGATGATGTTCCAGCGAGACCTATTCGCAGAGGAACCGTGGACGGGGAACCCCCAATCCGCCGATTACTTTTCCGATAGCTATTGCATCACCTTGGGAACCGGCGAGACGGTGTATGGAGGACTGGAGCAAGTCTCCTTCTCGGGCACCCAGGGCACGTTTGACTTCTCACCCTCGGCGGCCACCAGCCTCCACATCGACCGACACCTCCTCGTGGAATTCAACGTTGCCGAGCAGGATCTACGGCACTTTCAGGCCGTGCTGAGAAAGGTCGTGACATGGGGAATGCCCTCTCAAGTTCCTCGAATGAATGGATTCGATTGATGGATCGGTTCTTTTTTGTGGTAGAATAACACATACCTCTGGTTCCTGGAGCATAACCGAATAGAGAGGGACCATGAGGTGGATATCATACCTTCCTAAACATGTCATAAAGCTGCTATAAGAAACACAAACACGTATATGCTTAACACCAAATGACCCCCTGTGCCCCAGTGGGATCTCGTGACGTTTTGGTGTGGCGATTTGGGTGGTGGGCACTAAAGTCTGTTGCGTGGCTGGTTCGCCAGCACCGCTGGGTCTCTGGCACCTTGGGGCCGATCTTTAGAGGGGACGGCGTCTGTTGAGGAGCCTGCCTGCTGTACATTCCGAGGTTCAAGTCCTGGGTTGTGGGGCTAATTTTTTTATGCATTTTGCTTATAGTTGTTCATCGTGGTGACTTGCAGGTTGGCTCACGCTGGGTACCCGGCATGGTCCTCGGGCCCAGATGAAGCTATTCGGAGTACGTACCAGATACATAGCGCCGGTGAAGTCGACAGCCCGGGTTCGAATCCCCTCTGGAGAGAACCGGGATATTTTGGGGGTAGCTTTTTTTATGTTTCATTCTTGGTGATCTGTACGTAACTGATATCCAGCAAGCTTTAGTGACTCTTTTTGGTCACTACACGAAGCGGGAGGTACGAGAGGTACGGGACACGCTATAGGTCGATAGGCCGTAGCAATCCAATACCTCGGCAGCCTAAGACTTGCTTATGCCAAGCTTTCTGCCTAATTAGTTGAAGGGAGCTTCTCCCAATTCCTTTCTACAGATGACAGCGGTCATCTGCACGACCCTTGCGAGCGCGCTCATGAGCTTATGATGTCAAGTCACATAATATCCAAGATTGGTCTTCTCTTATTTGTACTCGTTGCCATTGTCGCCATCACATCCAACTATCTATCGACTGGCCGCTTCCTTCCCATCGCCATTAACAACAATTTTTTTCACCGACGAACAGTAATTTACGATGACTCACAAGAAATCTCATGCCGCCCAGACCCTCCTCCATCGACGACTCAACGGACTGATTTCGGCGGCAAAGGATGTATGATCTACGGCTACCCCTCCACTGGCGGGGTTCTCATCAAAGAGGCTGATTATCTTGACCTGCTTTTCCTATCGCTTCCCCGCTCTCATGAGTCACAGCGCTCACCTAGTGCCGACGAGGAAGACAAGTTCTGTAATCTTCTGCGACGGACTGGGGCGACATGGTGGCCGAGTAAGATGACTTGGATGATGGCGCAGCTAGGCTTTGAGAAGACCCAAGAACAAGAAAAGGTGGTGGTATTTGGGTGGCCGATGGATGGTGTGGGGGTGTGGGTGTTGAGATATGAGAATGACAGTCAACTGCCAGAAGGTTTTGGGAGAATCAGTTTTGCGATGAATATGGAGGAGAAGATACAATTGATGAGAGAGTACGGTGCTGCGTTTGTTGAAGATGTCACGCAGGTGGAGGAACTTCATGATGGCTCCGTTTTGAAGCCTACTAGTCTTGGGATGGGTACGTGTGGAGCGGAACTTCAATCTCCGACACGCAGTGCCGTAGAGGGCTCAGGCGACCTGGAGACTGAACCGCCGCAGCCCATCGCATCGGGAGAGCCGTAGCCGTTTTGGCCTTTCATAAACTAAGAGAAGCTCTCGGCAAGCAAAAGATAAACATCAAGCCAGACCGGCGCGGAGCTGAGAACCCTTAAGGGTCATTCCAATTTGGTCCCGACGGTCTTATCAAGTAATGTCCATATGGAGCTCAAATCTCAGTGGAAACCTGGCTTACCTGTATATACCATCGCTGAAATTGCGGATTGCACAATGGAATCGCGTACGTGCCAAAACAAAGCAATTTTAGAACTATCACGGTCTGTGCACGTCATCGAGTCCGTGCAGGACACGCAAAACGCGGCACCGGAAAGCTTGGCCTCGATCACGCATATAGTATACCAGTATACCACCTCTTGGCTTCACACCCAGCATGCGCCGCAACGCGCACTTCCGACCAGGTCGGGAGCCTCTCCAGAACCATCTAGGCCTAGAGTTGCGCCGCAGTCATGTTTCTGGGCCCTTGCCCTTCCTCAATCCAACCCAGGCGCGCTTCGCGCCCACTCCCGCAACCCTGGGACAGACCCCTGAGGAGACGCCGGACCAGTCACCAGCACCTGTCGCAGCGGCTCCCAAGCATGTCGAGCACCTCTGGCGTTCGCGTGACAACCGCAAGGGGCGACATGCGCTCCGCGTCGATTACTCGGTGCCGGCACAGGAGACAGGGTACACGGCCCCGCCGCCGACATCCACCTTCAGCGCTGCGGCGCGGGGAATCGTGCGAATGGCGACGTGCGTGCCCTACTGGGATGTCTCATACCTAGTTGCGGTGACGTTCACGCTGGGATCGGCGATCTGGATTATCAACGCCTTCTTTGTGTGGCTACCGCTAGAAGACCCAAGCACCAATTTCCCCGGCGAGTCGCTGGTGGGCGGGGGCGTGAGCGGATTCATCGGCGCCACGGTCTTCGAGATCGGGAGTGTGCTACTCCTCCTGGAAGCAGTCAATGCCAACCAAACAGGCTGCTTTGGCTGGGCACTAGAGACCGAATTGCAAAAGACCGAGGCGAATGCGTCGGAGTCCGCCGTGGCTGAGGTGAAGCCGAACAAGGACGAGTGCCAACACCACCACAGTAACAAGCGGAATCTCGTAGGGGCGGGCCGGCCTCATCTCGGGCACAGCCTATCCCAAGTAGGTAGTGCGGGCTATGTAACGTCCTCTCCAGACGGCAAATCGTTTCGCTGGATCCCGTCCTGGACTGAGCTGCGCACACACTACCTCCACGAACTCGGGTTCCTCGCCTCATTGATCCAGTTCTTCGCAGCGTCGATCTTTTGGATAGCCGGGCTCACGGGTCTGCCGGGGATCATCGACCATATGAGCCAGCGCGTCACCAATGGCGTCTACTGGGTCCCGCAGATCGTCGGCGGCACTGGGTTCATTATCAGCGGGTTATTGTTTACACTCGAAACCCAGACCAAGTGGTATCGACCAGCATTTGGTGTGCTCGGCTGGCACATTGGAGCGTGGAATTTGATCGGGGGCATTGGCTTCACCCTCTGCGGAGCCCTGGGACCCGCCACCAGCGCATCCGGGGTGGAATATGAGGCTGTATTAGCTACATTCTGGGGATCCTGGGCCTTCATGATTGGATCCACCATCCAGTGGTATGAGAGTTTGTCCAAATATCCAGTCGAGAAAGAACATACGGGCCAGGTAGTGATGAAAAACAAAGGGTAATCTTCTGTACAGTGTGCATCCTCCTTTGTCTTTTCGAGGGCGGTCGAAAGACTTGACCACGTTCTTACATGAAATGATCTACCAAAGCAGAGGCTACCACGATCTGCGGTACATAATGCACTTGATATCAACTAGATATAACAATACTCTATAGCTCATTATCGTGATTAAATCATACATATTAAAAGAATCCAGACTTCATAGTGTGGCAAGACTGATTCTCCCCCTCCCCCGGATCGTTCCTAAAAAGATACGTTCGCAGAAGCTCAATTACCAGAGACGCAGCATTTCGAGGATATCATGTCGTGCAAAAAAGGCGCGGTTCCATTTGCCAAAGATATCTACCGTGTAAGGTCAGAAATGTCGGATAGTTCAATTTTCTTTTCACCGTAGACTTACACATGGGAATACTCAAACAGCAGATGCCGACCTGAATGCTGCCGAGGACGATCATGGTGTGTTTCACACCACCATAGGCCATCCAGTCATAGGCATAAAAGGTCAACACAAAACTGAACATATTCTTGAAGATCAGCAGACAAGTAAAGGCCTCGATGGCAATTTCCCCTGTCATGAAGTTAGCTTTGCTTCCCGAAGCAGTGGGGTTCAGATGGGATCTCGTACGATGGGCATCAACAATGTAAAGCGAGGCAGCGACAGCACCCATGACCATGCCGATGATCAAGAACGCAAAGAACACATCTGGTAACAGCCATCGATACTTTGTTGGTTCACTTGCCGTCCATCCGAATCCATAGAGGCCCATACAGGCAAAAATGAGCTGAAATATAACCAGCAAAATTCGGAATTCGGGCTCATATTTGCCGCGGTTCAGCTTGACCATGATTTTGGTCAGAAAATCTGTCAAGAGACCGGATAAAACAAGGCCAATCAACGAGCCGACGAAGGCACCGGTATAAAGATATCCTGTCTGATCCTCGTGAAACCAGAGGGGTGGACCTTCAAAGACCAAGGCTATGATGACGCCGATGAGGACTGCCCAGCCAATAACAACGCCCTGAATCAAACAAGCCTGTCATTTGTAGTTAGTTCTGAGTCTATGAACCACGGAGGGATTAATGGCCTACCCAGAGAATACCAGGGTGCAAAAACAGAGGGAAAGGACGTAGGAACAGCTTCCAGAACTTCTCATCTGTCTTCCGCCCAGTAAACGGACGAATTGATCGGAGGAATGAATCCTTCTCTGGAATCGGTGTGGCGGATATCTCTGTCCGGGAAGTACCATTTAAATTACTGCCACCGCCATTTTCAGAGTCTGGAACAAAGGCTTTGGATTCATCATGCACCGCATCACTGCCCAGAGGTAATTCAGACTCGGTAGACTGGCCACGCTGGGTCTTGTGCTTGAAATCTGTGTTCAAGTAGTCGGGGCGTCGGAATGCCGTTTCAGGCACGAAGAAGATCATTAGTGGCAAGGAAGCAGCGAGAAAGATGGCGACAAAATTGAAAGACCATTCCCAACCCATCGTGACAGTCATTTTGCCTACAATGACTGGAGTCAGGAAAGCCGCACCGAACAGAGCCACATTCGAGACCGCCATTCTTTTCCCTCGTTCCTACAATCCGCAAATTAGCCCCAGAATGAAAATTCAGGCCTGAACGGTGTCCTTCGAAACCTACATGGACAAAGTAAAGATCACCGACGCATGCATTCACCAAGCCTTCGAATGGAGCCAGCGCAACTCCCTGGAAAATCCGAGCCCACAAAAGACTTTTATGATTGGTGCCAGTGGCTCCAGCCCAGGCACAGCTGACAATCATCAAAACATGCCCCAGGAGAAACAGATGGCGCTTGCCCCAGACTCGAGCGGTGGGTACGATGAGAATGCCAGCCACGCCGACACCACACAGATGGTAGCCCGTCAGGAGGGCGGCTTCTACAAAGGTGATGGACTGAACCGATGCAATTTTAACTGTATTGGCGGCCATGATTGAGGTCAATGTGGTGCAGAGAACAGTCACGAAGGACAGAATGCCGAGAATCAGATCGCGTCTCCATAGCGGCCAATTCTATTGTAGTCAACCATCGTCAGTTCGTAATTCTGAGACTGTTGATGGTCTGTGAATGGGGAGGACTGGGAGTATTGCGCCTACCAACGGATCGTTGGGATCGTCACTGGGCTGCGGGACCAGGATTGTCGGTTCCTTGGTCGTCCAGTCATGTTTCAGGTGGGAAGTATCTGGGGTGGTTTCGCTCGCATTATCCTGCTCGTAGATGTTCGAGGTTCCTGGGGCGGTTCAAATGCGTTCAGTTCATTAGCTCTGCAGCTCTCGACCACCGAGCCTCTTGATCAAATTGGATCAAACCTACCTGGGACATCCACCTGCTTCGTTTCTAACACTCCCAAGCCCATGACTGTGGTTGCTGAGCAATGCGCTCTGGGATGGTGCTTCGTTCAAACTCAAGCCGTCGAAAGAGGGTCAACAAGAAGCAAAGACCAGACGAGGTGCAAGCACTCAGGAGGTTCAGTGGGCATTGCTCGCTGGCAGCTCAGGTGACGAAACTTCAGAAAAGCAACGCCCCGCTCGAGCATCCCACCCGGCACTTCGCGATATTCTCCTTCAGTCGGCGCGAAAGAAAAACACGGACAGATCGCAATACCTTGTACAAGGTGACCCAAAGTGGATATTTGCTAAAGGACCAAGTTGACCGGGCCCCGCAGGCACCCCAACAGCCCCCAAAAACTAAGCCCTGGTCGGACCGACCAGGCTCAAACACAACGGAACGGGGCTATGTGGTGTTCCAGCCGACCTCCTCCCTATTCCCCTCGATGCGATTGGTTTACCCGGGAATGGCAATTTGCGACGAGGATTGGTGGAACAAGATGATCGTGCTGCAGACTACCCCGAATTTCTTGTCCGGCCCGGGATGCAATACCCAGACTCCTTGTTATACTCCGGTCCTCTGCGAGTCTCGTCCGGATGAAGGTGAATGGACGAAAGTCATTTGCAAATAAGGTTCTCCTGGGGAACACGTCCTCGAACTCGAAACTTTCTGTCCATTATCTGCGCTGGGAAACTTGTGCCGAGCTATCACATCTACAGCTGCAAGTGAATTCCCCTGCATGGCTGATCCATTTTTTCCTCTGAACATCTAACGCCCGCGTAATCCTTTCCAGGGTCGGTAACGCTATCATGAGCTGTGAAGATTCTCGCACTCTCTGCCTGAAATATTCGAATCCAACATCTCTCAATCTCCCCTCTGCCCCCAAACCCAAGCCCAAACCCAATTATCTAGAACCGAATGGCCCCACTGTGGAGCTACGGGGGGTCCCGAGCGCAAATAGGAGCTGTGGATGGCTGTGCCTTTACCACATCCAGGGCGTGTCATTATTAATTGGGCAACCAAATCGATCATCAGAGTCTAGTTATATTTAGGTGATGTTCTCGCAAATGAGGCTTTGCGTACTTGATCATGATCGATTAGCTATCCGATAGTTCCGGCAAAGCCTTCTATAGCGACTAATTGTGACTAGCTGTTTCATCTGAGCTCCCCAAACCCGTAGTCTGCCTATATATAGATAGACCCTTTGAGATAGGGTTGGATCCACGTCTACCAAAAGATGTCGGCAAGCACATAGTCTTCCAAAGCCAATAAGTGTCTACCATTCCTTGAAAGATATCCGTTTTGTCGGTAGCAAGATCTTCCCGAACCTCTAATAGCCCTCCAATATAGCTTAATATAGCTTAGAATGTTAGAGCTCAGAAGTATTCCGCCCCTAAAATGATGACGCCCTGCTGCTAATTCCATCGGAATAGTGGAGACTTAATGCCACAGCCCCTACCTAGCCTCAACCCATTGAGGGTCGGCCCCATGGAAGTTGGCGCTAAACGTGATGTGCGGCTGGGATCTCTACAGAACCGAATCTCCCTAGAGAACGAAGATACGCAGTACTCTGTACACATCTTCGGACAAATGGTGTAGGATCAGGTACTCCAGGAGGAAAAAGTACAAAATACATGAGGGTGGGATCACCACCTGGAATCACTGTTGATCCCGTACATCATCAATCAAAAACAAGGTTGACAAGATGCGGGGAACAGGGCTTCACGTAAAGGCTCAGGAGTGGAGGACCCTTGTTGGCAGCTAAATGACCAGTCACCGGGGGTCTAAGCCCCATGGTTGCACAGCGGCCAATAGTGGCTCCAGGCGGTATATACAAGTCCCGCGAAGTAGAGGCCTGGCTTTGACAGCCCCCTAGGCCGGACCGCGTTCAGCTGCAGCCTTTAGAAGAACTTTCTAAGGGAATAAAGTAGCGTGGTACGAACCTGGGTGGTTTTTTTTTTTTTTTCCTTGCACTTGCATTTTCCTCTCCTGCACCTCCAACTTCAACTTTCTCCTCCCCCTCACACGCTCTCACATCTCTCAGCTCTCAGCTCTAACAACTCCCTCAAAACACCATGAAGCTCACTCAGATTACCCTTGCTGCCACGGCCCTGTTTGCGACAGCAATTGCCCTGAGCCTCGATGATCTGCCCAGCTGCGCGGTCCGTCAATACCCGCCATTGCCCTAAACTTTGCAGAGTCTGTGTCTAACGAGATGCTATAGACAAGTTGCGCCACCGATGCAATCCCCGCCAAGTGCGGCATCGATGTCGAGTGTATCTGCTCTGATTCGTCCTTCCTGAGCGACATTACCTGCTGTGTGGCGACCGCCTGCTCCACGGCTGACCAGGAGAGTACGTGATACTATCACAAGTCTTGATATGTTGATGCGCAAATCGCTGACTCCTCTTTCCAGCTACCCTCAAGGTCGCCAAGAGCATCTGTGCTAGTGGAGGTGTGACCAACCTGCCCACCACCGTCGCCTGCTCCAGCACTGCCAGCTCCACCGGCACCGAGACCAGCTCCAAGACCAGCTCCAAGACTGAGAGCAAGACCACCACTGCCACCAATGCTTCGGAGACCACCCTGACCGGCTCAGCCACTACGTCTGCTGCCTCGGCTACTGAGACAGGATCCTCGTCCGCTGCTGCCTCGTCGGCCGCTGCCACTACCGGCGCTGCAATTTTGGGACAGACCAAGGACTCGTCTCTGATGGCTGCCGCCGGAGCTGCTGCTGCTTTCGCTGTCTTCCTTTAAAGCTGCCAAAGACATGTACCACTCGGTATTGTTACGAAGACAACTCGAATATGACTGTTAATGGGGAAGTCCTGGGTTCTCCGGAAGGACTTGGAGGACAATCCCATGGAGCTGTTGTGAGGAAAGGAGTCTTGAAAGGGCTATCGACCTGGTCTATGCAATAATCATGATATTTTTTAAGCAAATGGAACCCACATAATTTATCTTAATCTTACACCCTTTGCAGCTGCGTGAAAGAACCCGAGAAAGTATATTTAGTGCTCGCGGGCATCCTCCAAAAGCTTAGTCAATCTCTCCTGTCGTTCCTCGCGACAGGTAAAGAAGACCTGTAAAAAGAGAGAAGAAAATTAGCATCTCAGCCGATCCACACGTCGCAAAAATTCCCCGGATCCGTCCACAAAAGGGGTCCAACTCACCCAGAACCACACCATCATCTCAATAAAGGTAAAGGTGAAGACGACACGGTTCTTCAGGATGTCCAGACCGGCGGAAGCAATGGTCGCGGTGTATGAGGATAACATGTTTTCAGCCCTGCTCTGGTAGATGAAGAACGCGATGCCGCCGTGCAGAAAGAAACGACACGCGGCAACGCCGATCCAGACGTTCCAGTACAAGATCAGCGAGCTGGTGATGTACTCCGGGAGTTTTGCAAGAACCTGGAGGTCCTCCGCGGGAAGATTTCCATTGCGGAGAGGCCGAATATAAGGCAGGGCTTCGTCCAGAGCTTCGCGATAAGGGAGGGTGAGAAGCAGAATCAGGTCGATGAGCGCTTCACCGAACAGGGGAATGGCGCAGAAGACGAAGGGGGATTGAACCGGGCTTGATGTGGTAGGGAAGTCCTAGGTTGCAGTTAGCTCTGTAGAGGCCAATTGATTACCCCCGGGCAGTTGAGAACAGATGGGGTTGAGAGGGCTCATACGATCTTCATGGCCTCGCCCATCATAAACACCAGGTCGGAGTCGGTGATGTACTCCGGGTTCTTGAGCAGGTACCCGGCAATCACGACCAGGAACACGGCATGTGCCTGGATCAGGGTTTTGGAGGAGATAAGGACCATGTTGAGGGTTTGGGGAGGTGATTTGTGGTCCTGAGGGTTGACGGAGAGAAAAAGTGGCCTTTGAATGGGAGGCAGCCGAAGTCGCGGCGTTAACGGCAAAAACATGTGGGGAACTCGACGCTTCTCCGGTTGAGATTCCCGCCATCAACCTTGAATCGCAAGTCTGATAACACGACGCGCGGGGGCTCTGACTCGATCATATTAATTCAGATTGCAGGTCAATCACTCCTCTGATCCTACTGCCCCCTCCCCCTTTGACGTCCCTTCCACCGTGGGCACGATGGCCGAGCCCCGCTTCAACACCGAGCGCCATGTTAAATATTATCTGCGATGCCTCAAGACCTTCCTCCCTTCGGCCTATATCTCGAATGATTCCAATCGCATGCTCCTTGCATATCTCACTATCTCTGCGCTAGATGTTCTCGGCGTTCTCCAAAGCAAAATAACCCCCGAGGAGCGACAAGGGTACATCGACTGGCTTTACCATTGCCAGGTCCCCTCCGGTGGATTCCGTGGGTTTTCTGGCACCAATTTCGGCGAGGACAAGCGCACGGCTGAGAATGAAGCTTGGGATCCGGCCAATGTACCAGCTACATTCTTTGCGCTGGTCAATCTACTCATCCTCGGAGACGATCTCTCCCGGGTGAAGCGAAGGGAATGCCTCCAGTGGCTCCCGAAAATGCAACGCGACGACGGAAGCTTTGGGGAGGTGCTCGGTCCGGAGGGGAAGATTGAGGGTGACAGTGATCTACGTTACTGCTGTTGCGCGTCTGGCATACGGTATATTCTCAGAGGCAAGAATGGCCAGGGCGTCGAGGACGTGCCCGACATTGACGTGCCGAAGTTCATCTCATTTATCGAAGACTGCCAGGTACGCCTTCCATGAATTATGACTATCTCTTGGAATTGAGGTACATAGATAGTGTTGACTTTTTTTGTAATCCATTAGAGCTATGATGGTGGCATGGCCGAATCTCCGTTCCGCGAGTCCCATAGTTCGTGTCCCGACTGATCTTGCTCCCTGCTGCGAATGATCTTCCTCACTAACCGACTCAGGTGGCCACACATATTGCGCAGTTGGATCTCTAGAGTTTCTGCGTCGGGCATCAGAAGACATCCCACCGGTTCCGCTGCTAGCTCCCGGGTCGAGGAAGTTTGAGACGCTGTTGGGCTGGTTGGCATCCCGGCAGACACACCAGCTACTTGGCGAGGAGGATGAAACCGAAGACGATGGGGGCGAAGAAGAAGAGGAGCAGCGCATCCCTAAGGTCGAGGCTGGGACAGAGACCCAGACAGAATCTGTGGAAAAGCTTGTCTCCGAGCTGTCAAATATGACACCAATCTCAGGCGAGATGATCGCGTGCGCTGGATTTAATGGGCGATGTAACAAATTGGCCGACACCTGTTATTCGTTCTGGAACGGCGCAACCTTGATGGTAAGTCATGTTGTTCACGGACTATATCGTCAAGCACGTCAGCTCACAGCAAATACAGATGCTGGATCGATATTCGGTGATCGACGATGTGCGCAATCGACGGTATCTTTTGGAGAAGACGCAACATCTTGTTGGTGGCTTTGGAAAGGCGGTCGGCGATCCCCCCGGTAAGGCGATATGACGTGCCTGTGGCGAATCCCTCTATTGATCTATTTGTATTTACTGACTCCGTTATTTTTGGTTCAGATCTGCTCCATTCATATTTTGGTATGGTATCATTGGCGTTCCAGGGGGAGGAAGGACTGGCTCGCGTTGATCCCGCGTTGGTCACCACGGAGCGCACCGTTCAGCATCTTCAAGCGTTGCCGTGGCATCGGTAGCGAGTTCTTCTCTTTGCAATCCCGTTCAAGCGTATATAGACATTTATATATACATACTATCATTCATTGGAGTGCTGAGATACATAGTAGATATCAAGCGTGCAATCAATCCCTTGTTTCTGTTATAGGACAACCGATATTCAAGGTAATATTTGAGATTGCTTCGGATCCGAGATGTACTCGTGCCGTGGGAAACCGGTAATCACAGGAGTTTCTCCTCTCTGTCTGTCGTTGATTATCATCGATCTTATTGTTCGTAGCGAAGAAGAGAATCCCATTCATCTGAACTCACTCTCTTCGGGATTCAATATTGATTACTCATGCTTCATTCATCTTCCTCCTTGCGTAATTAACAAGCCCCTACCCTACAAGTATGATCCTTACCATGAATGCCCTCCTCGGCACTAGATGGTCATTGTATCCTCTCAGGGGATTGATAAGCGAATCATGTACGGTGAGTCGAGGATCTAGAGCTATACTAGAACTCTCGGGGATTTTGTCTATTTATACTGTCAGAGCTAGCATCTTTCTAGTGGGATCCGTATTTGGTTCATGTTCTAGTTGGTAATTCTGACAGATGCACTTGTATGGTCCTATTGAGATACTTACTCTACTGGATTTTTATTGTTGACATACATATATATATCTCTCCCATGACAAAAAAGGAGGACTTGCAAGCGCGGCCGCTGAACCTTGTAAAAAGATGCCGAGGACTTTAGATGCTAATAGCCTATGAATATATATTTAATATTATATTATCTACAAATTGATTCACTTACCATAATGATGATAATATACACACGTAAGCAAAAAAAGGGGAAAAAAATGAGGGACGGGCCGGGCTCGAACCGGCGACCTTAAGATAGTACATAGCCTGTAATATACAGGTTTCATTGCAATCTTACGCTGACTACCAACTGAGCTACCGCCCCCTTCTGTGAAGCTTGGCAGGTTCGAATGTATGCGGTTTGTATATATAAATATAGTGGTAGATGTTTTCATTATAAAAATGAATGTGGATGAAAAAAAGTGAGGGACGGGCCGGGATCGAACCGGCGACCTTAAGATAGTGACTTATCTGATAATTACAAGAGAAATGTAGTTTTCAGAACGTTGCAATCTTACGCTACTACCACTGCGCCACCGCCCCTTCTTTGATGATTGGGGAAATAAAAATAAGTATAAGACGTCGTCACAAATCAGATAAAAGAGCGAGACCGGAAAACCTCCTTTCTACTGTGTGGGCGCTTCAGGGCGGCCGCAAAAATATTGTATATAACTACCGTACGTGCGCACCACAATAGTGTTGCCTAAGTATTTGCTTCATTTCGTGTATTGCCAGGACATCTGGCCTTGATCCCAAACATTGAGATTCAGTCTCTCGTCCTAGTCTATCATCTCTCATGACGCTATTTCACTGAAAGGTCAAGATGCTCTCATGAACAAACAAAAGGGGCCAATATATTCCAGGCATGATCATTGGCAAAGTACAGCCTAGCGTGTGTCCACAATCTACTCCATTACGGCCTGAGAGCTGCCGGCGTGGAAATGTTACAGGGTTGGGATGCTATTATTGCAACGCGGGACCAGGCCTTTCCCTGATTCCAAGCCCCCGGGGCACCTTTGGCACTCCGGAGATGAGCAGCTACGACGAGTAATTAGCTGGCGAAATAGATTGCTGGGGCTGAGTAATTATGCAAACCGGGTTCAAGCCACTAGTGAAATACATTACGCAGTTAGTAGTAGTATTATTAAGTTCTTCTAATGTGTCTTAACGGCCCAGGAGAACGTTCCACCCAACTCCACCCGGTCCACGTTCCCGTTGACGTCTTGGGACCTTTTGCACCTTTGGAACTCTGGACCTCTGGAATCTTGAATCCCGCACACATTCCTCTGCCACCCTTCCTTCTCTACTCTCGACCTCCCAACCTCTCGACCTCTTCGACGCCCGACGGCTGGACATCTCTCCAACAATTTTGTATCCTCCGCTAGATTGATCCAACTTCCCGGCCCACCCCCTTCCGCGTCCCTTTGAATGGCAAGACCGCGCAACCTCCTCCCAATATCTTCCCTTCCTGATACGCGCAGAGATCTCCGCGGTGGACGGCAATCCCGGAGATCGATCATAACACATGCCGCCCCGGACGAGAGCGGGGGTGCAAAGCCAGAAACAAAAGGAAAAGGTGCGTCACTGGAGTCTGCGGACTGGCTGGAGCGCCATGACGCCCTTCCCAATCCATCGGTACCCAAAAATCGGACGTGTAGACTGACTGAAACGCCGTCTCTTCCGGCCACATATGATGACAGCTTGCCAATTCCTACAATGAACTCCTCGAGTAAGCTCCCGCTTGTGCCTCATCTCCGGCATACCGCCACTAACGCGCCCCCTCCCGTAGGGAGTTTTCGTCGAAGGACCTCCGGAGCGTGGGAAATTACACCCTTGGGCGCTTAATTGGGAAAGGCTCCTTCGGAAAAGTCTATCTCGCATCGCACAAACTCACCAATGGTTCAAAGGTAGGTGAAATGCGCGCTGGAAACGTGCCGTGGGAGAGATGTACATCATGGGATCAATGCTGATACGCCCTTTGTTAGGTGGTTCTGAAGTCATCGAGCAAAGAGGATACGAATCTCGCGCGCGAAATCCACCATCATCGCCAGTTTCTCCATCCCCATATTGCGCGACTGTATGAAGTCGTCGTGACGGAGAGTTTGGTATGGCTGGTGTTAGAATACTGTCCTGGTAGGTGGCCAACGCGGTAGAAGAGCGTGTCGCAAAATCAAGCAGGGCACGAGAATAGAACATGGACTGACACCGTCGGTTCTCCAGGTGACGAGCTGTACAATTACCTCCTCCGACATGGCCCTCTCCCCGTCGAGAAAGTGAAACGAATCTTCACTCAGCTGGTGGGCGCGGTCGCCTACGTGCACAGCAAGTCATGTGTGCATCGAGACCTCAAGCTTGAGAACATACTGTTGGACAAAAATGAGAATGTCAAGCTCTGCGACTTTGGGTTTACCCGCGAGTATGAAGGCAAGGCCAGCTACCTGCAAACCTTTTGCGGGACAATCTGCTATAGCGCCCCGGAAATGTTGAAAGGAGAGAAGTATGCCGGCGAAAAGGTCGATGTATGGAGCCTAGGTATCATTCTCTATGCGCTGCTGGCGGGCGAGCTTCCCTACGATGACGACGATGACCAAGTCACCAAAACGCGAATCCTTTCAGAGGAGCCCATCTATAACGAAAAATTTCCGGATGATGCCAAAGCTCTGATCAACCTCCTTCTGTCCAAACGGCCATTGATTCGGCCTAGCCTGGACGAAATTCTTGCTCATCCATTCCTCTCCGAGCATGCTCCGGATCAACTAGCGATTCTTAAGATCCCCGGACCTTCACCGTTCACCACCCCCTCGAGAAGACAACCCTGCAGCGCATGAAAAGCGCTGGGGTCAACATTGATGAAGTCATTGAGAATGTTCTAGCTCAACGATGTGATCCCTTGGCTGGATGGTGGGCACTGTTAATCGAAAAAGAGCAACGCAAAGAGCAGAAGCGCGAGCGGAAACGCCGGGAGAGGGAAGTCGAGGCCAAAAATCTCCGCCGGCTGAGTGCTGCCAGCAGTCGATTGGAGAAATTATCCTCAGCATTGGTTGAGGTGGATGAAGAAGGCCAAACGACCTCTGGCGCTCAACTGCAGGATCGTGGCCGCCGTGACAGACGAAGCCTGCCATCGCAGCTTGCAGTTCCCGAGCTCCCTGCACTCCCAGAGCCACTTCCTGGGCAGGCATCTGAATTGAGCACTTCACCCCTACCGATTGATAAAGATAAGGATGCCCGGTCTGTACGCTCGAATACCTCAGCCTCGGCTTCGGTTCGCCGACGCCCGGTTCCACCTCCCAAAGATAGGCGACGATCAAGGCCAAGCATGCTGCATGTTAGTGCGTCCCAGCCAGAGCTTGCACAGCATCATAGTATCTGGCGTCGCCGCACCAATCGACGGCATAACCCGATCATGAGCCAACTTGCGTCGTTGAAACATTGGTTTGTTGAATCTGCCAAGAGAGCCAAGTCCCCTAATGCGAAGTCAACTAGTTCGCGCAAATTCCTGGCAGAGAAATTCAGCCCGGCAAAAAGCCAGGAAAGTGGGAAGAAATCTGCCGCCTTACCATCTCCTGTAGGCAATACTCCTGGAGAGGTGATGACACCCACTCAAGTCAAGCGGATCTCCAATGCAAGTAGTCTGGCCCCTAGTAGTGCCTCTTACCGTCAAAATCGGCATTCCTATCCTCGCCAGCCTCGCCCATTAAACACCGGGCATTCCAGCAACCGAAACTCACTCTCCCCGTCACCCATCACGCCTCGTGGTTCATACCGGCGCTCATCAGCGGGCTTGCGTGGCCGCAAGTCAACATCCTCGTCCGTTTCGTCCATTCGCAGCATCCATCACACTCGCGCCCATTCCAAGGCATCCTCAATCTCCTCCAATAGCATTGACACTGTTTCAACACCAACAGCCAGAATCTCGAAATCTCCTCACTCCTCTATCAAAGTTCTGCCCACCACTCCAGGCCCCTCCGCTCGCTTTCCCAGCAATATTCGACTTGTACGTGGCTCCAGCGGGACACACAGGGACACGGGGGATATAACTGGCCCGATGCAGTCGTTCAATGAAACAGCCCCATCTCCTTTCCTCTATTCACCGTCTTCGAGCCTGGTGTTTGCTCGTCGAAAGCGATCAGCGTTCAAAGGTCCTATGATCCATACTTCGAATCTGCTCGTCTCTGGCGGTGTGGTTCATTCGCCAGTCCCTGGACAAGCTGGAAATAGCGGTGAGCCAAATGCCGTTCAGGGACGACCTGCCGCACGAAAGAGCCAAATTATTGAAGAAGAGGAAGATGACGAGAACTTTGAGGAAGAGATTGAAGAGGTTGACGAGTTTGATGATCTGGAAGAAGACGCCGAGACTATTCACGCCATTGAAAGTGAACAACACAAGGAGGATGTAGCTCAGGAGCCCGCTATCCAGGCCACGGATGCTGGTTCTCCTGTGTCGAGCGGCAAAGCACTCGACCCTGCCCCTGAGCTGGACACTGACAGTTCTCCGAGGCCTCCGCGATCATCTTCCTTACAATCTCCACCACCCGAAGCGGCGATAGCTCTCGCCACGGTGACCAAAGAGTCGACAATGACTGATAATTGTGATAATGCCACTTTGAAGAAGACCTCAGAAGTGACTGGCGACGTGGAAACCATTCCCGCTACTTCTTGAAAAAAAAGAAAGAAAAGAAAAAAAAAATCTTGCTTTTGCATTATGACGCGGGCGTTCTTGCAACTTCCCCCACGATTCCCATTCTCGCAATCTGTTAGACGATAGAACTGCTCCTATTCTTGACTGACTGTTGTTTTTTATACCCCACTCGTGTGTTCGCGATCCATCCACAGCATGTGTTCCTTTGCACCTCATTTCCTTGCTTCCTTTCCCCTATGCCTACTAGCATTTCCAGGCAGTCTCCAGTCGACACCGTCTACGATGGCTGTGACTACAAAACGTCTTTGCTGTATACTCTCGCTCTCTCTCATTTCCTTCATCCTGCTCAACTACCCTTTCCCTGCTCTCCCGCTTCAAAACGCGATTTTCTCTCTATCGAGATTTCCTATGATTAACTTCCTGTCTTTCCTCACCAGCCCGTGATTCTCAGATGTCTCCTTCATTTTCTTATTTACTGGCCCATATTGCCCATATTGCTTCTCTATAGAACGCTGCGTCTTTTTGACCATCGGCATCTTCTTGCCTGCATAATGACATTCTGCCCTGATCCAGTGCGCTGAGCACAAAATACAATATAAAACGTGCTCTTTGAGTTACCTTCAGTCCCTGTACAACTTGGGTCGTTGAATTTCCACAAAGAAAGGCAATGTCCCTTGATCTTGATACCATCGCTATTTAGAAGAAACACTACTAACTTACAGACCTCTGTCTCTACTCGGGTCTCTATGGTGCCATTGATAAAAATTGCCAGTATGGTTCTATCCCAGCGTTAAGCTATCGAAATAAGCCTGAAAATGCCAACAATCCTAACACCATAACATAAAGCTACTAACTACTCACTCTACCGCTCCAAATGGACCGCCTCACCGTCCTTGCCCGCCATATTTTCAACAGCAGTCTCCTCGTCCTTGGCATTCTGATTCTGCAGCCCCACAGTACTCTCTCCAACCTTGTCCACCGTCTCCTTGTATGAGGGAACGAAGTTGACCGCGACGGCGTACGTCCAAGCAACGACCATGAACTAGTTATAGTATCAGAAACCAGAAGTCCAAAAAGCCACACAGCCCAAGCCAAGCATCAAAAGAAATAATCAATAACATACCATAGTCGGCACGATCATCGCAAAGCCCGTATTATTTTTCATATCAGCAACATGGCCCAGAATCGGGGGTACAACGGCACCGCCACACACGCCGCCAACAATGAATCCCGAGCCACGCTTATAATGGCGGCCGAGGCCACGGATGCCCAAAGCGACGATGGTTGGGAAACAAACGGATTCAAAGAACAGGGTCATGAACAGCATTGCTAGACGGCGGAGTCAGTCAGACGCTCAAAGCGCGCGCGCGCTCCTGGAGACGCAGGTCAACTTACCAATGCCAGTTTGGTTCCGCTGGGTGATGGAGGCGGCCAGAAAGGCCACACAGCAGGAAAGATACACGCCGAAGACGTAGCGGGCTTTGGTATACTTCATCATGCCGGAGCCGAGGAAACGGCCGACGGCGAAGGCGCCCTGCGCACCGGCAAGAAGCTTCGCACCCTTGGCGCTGTCGGTGCCAGGCCAGGTGTCGACGGCGTAGTTGATGAAGTACCCAGCGATGGCGACTGGAAAATCTCGCTTAGCATGACAATTTTGCTAGGAAAGCAGGCGCGCCGGGAAGAAGGGGTGTATGGGGAAGCAAAAGATAAGAATCTCTTAGTAGATGGATGACATACCCTGGGCGCCGGTATATGTGAACTGGGCCAAGGTGGCATGGAACAGCTTCCACTGCTTCCAGAAAGGCTTATCCTGCTCATCGATATGCGTCTCGGCTACCTGGAACGCCATGTCCTCGTCTGTGACCTCGGGGATATTCGAGACGAAGAACACTGCCGCCAGGCAGAAGACGAAGATGCCAATGGCGAGGTAGACCCATTGAACACGCTGTAGGGCGGTGACATTGTCCGATGTCTCCGTGAAGAAGGCATACGAGCCCAGCACGGGGCCGACGACGGTGCCAATGGCATTGAACGACTGCGCGAAGTTGATCCGGATCTCAGAGTAACGGGGTGGGCCGCAGACTAACACCTGTTAGCATCCAAAGCTATGACTCAGTCCTCAGGTGAGAAGAATGCGCCACCCCAACCAGGAGACGTACCAGTCAAATACGGATTCGCCGCAGTCTCGAGCGAGCCCAAGCCAGAGCCAATAACGAACGTTGCGCCGCAGAAGCCGCCGAAAGACTGGTGCAAACCCGCCGGCCACATACACAGCGCGCCGATACCGTATAGCGTCAGCCCGAAGATGAACACGGTCTTGTAGCCGAAATTGCGCAGGATCCAGTTTGCGTAACCCAGCGAGGCGAGGGGGTATGCGCTGTGGCACGAAGAAACAAAAATACATCAGCCTTGCGACGGGAACCTGAGCCACGACCAGATAGATATTCGCGGGTGGCTGCAGCCAGCCACAGAACCCGGACGGGAAATCAAAACATACCCGAAGTATGCGGCTTGGAGACCGGCAGAGCGCGTGCGGTCAATGTGCAGGGTATTCTGGAAATGCTTGTTCAGGGTATCGAGGAGGCCGTATGCGAAGCCCTAACCGGGTGCATTGAGCAACCGAGGTCAGCTTGTCAAGCATAAATTAGGTTAGGGCAACTCCATACCCATAGGAAGAAAAGGATTGTGACGAGACTGAGCGGCCACAAACTCTGGCGTAGAGTTAGGGTCGCCGCGGAGGTTGTCTTGCGGTTATCGACGCGCAGACCGGAGCGATTCTTGAAAAAGGCCTTGAAGCCCATTTCCACGAGGGGGCAGTCCAAGAGGACAAGCGAGCTGGGACAAGACTCGAGAGGCGAAAGAGATCGGGAAACTAGTCTCCAGTCCACGATGTAAGTCCAAGCTCAAGGTCTAGTATAGCGGACCTCCGACCACGAAAAGAGAATTCGGACACAAGACCAACACAGCGCCGGAGCAGACTCGATCAACGCCATTTAAACAGACCGCAAGGGCGCGCCATCCTGACCTGCAAAGACAGGGTCGCACCAGAATGCGACCTTAATTCGATGGGGTCTCCGCATCTCCACAATCCGGGGAGACCTTCCCGCCGATCTCTTCCCCAGCCTGGGCACCAGCGTAACGACCCGCGTGCTCGGCCAATACCTGCCAGTGCGCAAGACCGCGCGGAGGTACGTTTCGGCACCGCGCAACTCTGTTTTCGACCGTGTTCGAAAGGAGGATGCGGGGTTGAGGTTGGGGGGTTCGAACTCGGGAAAATCCCTGCCCGTGGGTTAAACAGGTCGCCTGGTGGCGTTGGGGAGCCGGGGTCGAGGACAGGCTTTGTAGGGATGTTCTTCCAATGATGGCACGGGGAGGGTCGTGAGTTTGATCTTGGCAGGTTGCCAAGTGAGGATGTTCGGGAGATTTCATACCGCGGATGGAGCTACGGAGGACAAGGATAGGGCGAGAAATGGACAGCATGCATGGCCAACCGATTCATTTGTAGTCTTCATCTATGAACATCATGATATATCGACTCCAGGACATGCGGTCGTCTCTGGAGATACCCAGCACCATTGGCCCGCGTCTATCGTGTCTTCTATGCAAAAAAAAAAAAAAGCAAACAGAGAAAAACAAATCAAAGAACCCTCCCTTCTCTTTCCTGGTATATCCCAGAGTCATCGGGTCATTCCATCATTCTCTTAGGCCCGCTTAGGCTTTCCCACGCTACCGTTTTGGGTGACGGGGGCCGTGGACACATGAGAAACGTACAGGCGGCGCTCGAAGAACTTGAGAATCTCATCGATCAAACTGAGAGATATATTAGCACTTGAAACGGAGTTCCACAGACGCTCAGAGGAAAGGGAAGGGGGAAAAAGACTTACATGACAGGAGCGCTGATCGCCAACACGGCCTGCCACTCGATCAGATTCAAAGGCACAATCGCAAAGAGTCCCTGAAGGAAAGGAATGTAGAGAATGGCAAAGTGAAGGCTCATCGACAGCGCAATAGCATAGATCAGCATGGGGTTGTTGCCCAAGAAGAAAGTCAGGAGGGACTCGCTGGACGACAGCGCATTCATCGCATTCAGCATCTCAATCACGACCAGAATAGAAAGCGACACGGTCGAGGCAGACTTGGACATGTCGTTGCTGAACATTTCGCAGCCAATCTCAGGGAATGAAGCAGAGCAACGGTGGAAATGCGTCTAGAAAATTACCCGATTGTCAGCGGATAAAAAAAACCAAAAGGGAAAAAAGACCCGATAAAGGCCCGGAGAGAGGGAGGGACAGAACGCCCATAGCTTGAAAACTTACCAGCTGGTAGAAAGAGATCTGTGGGCCTTCGGGGTTATACATGAACCACCATACGTAACCAAACACAGTGGCAGCACCAACATAGATGCCGATCACCATGTAACGGAACAATAGCCAGCCTCCAACAAGTGCCTCGTCGCGACGACGGGGTGGGCGTCTCATAACATCGTGATCAGGAGGGTTGAAGGAGAGAGCAGTGGCGGGAAGACCGTCGGTAACCAGGTTGACCCACAGCAGTTGAACCGGAATTAAAGCTTCGGGCATGCCCAGGGCAGCGGTCAAGAAGATAGATACGACTTCACCGATGTTGGATGAGATAAGGTACCGGATGAACTGCTGGGTATTGCTGTAGATGGAGCGACCCTCCTCAACAGCGACGGTGATGGTGGCGAAGTTGTCATCGGCAAGGACCATATCAGCGGCCAACTTGGCAACGTCAGTACCAGTACCCATGGCAACACCAATGTCGGACTTCTTCAGTGCAGGCGCATCATTGACACCGTCACCGGTCATGGCAACGACGTGGTTCATAGATTGGAGGAGATCAACCAGCTTTGACTTGTGTGCAGGTTCGGTGCGGGAGAAGAGAGACGCGGTCTGAACGGCCTTCAATTGCTCGGCTTCAGTGAGGCTATCAAACTCTCGGCCAGTATAGCTCTTGCCCTTGAGGTTCTCGTTGGTTCCAAACACGCCGATTTGGCGACAGATAGACTCGGCGGTGTTGGGGTTATCACCAGTGATGACAATGACGCGGATTCCTGCCTCGTGGCACTTCTTGATGGAGTCAGCCACCTCAGGACGCGGGGGTCGAGCATGCCAACCAGGCCAATCAGGGTCATGTTCTGCTCGAGTTTGGCATAGTCCTCAGAGGTCTCGGCCTTCTTCAACAGGGGGTTTCCGGAGATGTCGCTCACGCTGGCAATAGCCATGACACGGAGACCGCGGTTACCATATTCGACGACTTCCTCGGAGAGCAGCTTGGAGTGGTTCTTGGTGAGAGGCACACGAGATCCATCGGCACCCTGGATAACATGAGAGCAGCGCTCCAGAATGGTCTCCGGGGCACCCTTGACCAACAGCTTCTGCTCCTTACCCTTACCAACGAGAACGGACATGCTCTTACGGTCGCGAGAGAACTCGTAGGTAGCCTGAAGAGGAAGACGGGATTCGTAGTGAGCACTGGCAGCATGGAGGCGCTCGGAAGCAGGGAGACGGAAGAGCTTCTTGTTCACAGCGGAGTCGGTGGTACCAATCTTTTCGACGAGACAACGAAGAGCAGCCTCAGTGGGTTCGCCAATGTTGGAGAACACACCGGACTTGGCGTCGTGGGCAAGAGTAGCAGCATTACAGAGAGCAGAGACCTCGGCCAATTGAGCAACAGTTGATGAAGAGACAGCGACGTCCTCAACAACCTTGCCATTGCGAGTCAGCTTGCCTTCGGGAGCAAAAGTAGTACCCTCAATATCAATCTCCTCAAGGGCATCGCCAGAGCTGGTCAAGTAAACAATCTTCTCCACACTCATTTGGTTGGTGGTCAGGGTTCCGGTCTTGTCGGAGCAGATCACACTGCAGCTGCCCAGTGTTTCCACCGAGGGGAGAGAGCGGACCACGGCGTTCTTCTGGGCCATCTTGCGAGTGCCCAGAGCCAGACAGGTAGTGATGACAACAGCGAGACCCTCGGGGATAGCGGCCACACCCAGGGAGACGGCAATCTTCAGGTAGTAAATGGCACCCTTAGTCCAACCTCCGAACGACGGGTCATTGAAGTGCTCAATGTTGATAACCCAAACCAGGACGCAGATCACGGTGATAACCTTGGCTAGCATGTCGCCGAAGTCATTCAACTTCTGCTTCAATGGGGTTGGCTCGGAAATCTGGGAGGTAATGCTGTCGTGAATGTCGCCGATAGCGGTGGATCCGCCAGTTAACACCACAAGAGCTGTGGCATGCCCGTTGACTACAGTGGTGCCGGAGAAGAGCATGTTGATCTGATCCTGCTTGACAGCCTGGCGGTCCTTGATGATCCGAGTTTCCTTACTGACACTCTCACTTTCACCGGTCAGAATGGCCTGGTCCACGCGGAAGCTGTTGCTGTGGATAGATAGGAGTCGACAATCGGCCGGGACGCGGTCTCCGACAGCAATCTGGATCACATCACCGGGTACCAGCTCCTCCGCCTTGACACGCTGAGCTTTTCCATTTCGAACAACCTTGGCCTCATTGGCCGAGTATTCCTGCAGAGCGGCGATGGCCTTCTCTGCGCTGCTTTCCTGGGTCACACCGACGACGGCGTTGAGGATCAGAATGGTCAGAATCTAGAACCCGGAGAGGGAAGGCCAGGGTTAGTGGTTGAGGTCCAGATCGAGCACCGGGGGGATATCGGCGAAAGCACGTACCACAACTGGATCCACAAAGGCAGTCCAATCGTCTCCTTCTTCAAACAAGGCCAAAACAAACGAGACCGCAGCAGAGCCCAGCAGAATGAGGACTAGCTGGTCTTTGAATTGTTCCAAGATCAACTCCCACATGGGGGTTGGGGGCTCTTCGGCCAGGGCTGGAGAGAGAGAGAGATTCGAGTCAGCCTCAAAACGCCTCTATGCGGTTTCATCGGTGGGAATGGAGATAGTACTGACCATTCGGACCATATTGCTGTCGGGACTTCAGAACCGCGTCCGGGGACAGACCAGTCTGCTCAGAGACATGAAAATGCTCCAAGGCCTCCGCCGGCGTGTATAAAAAGGAGTTCTCCATGGTGGAAGACTCTTCCTCCGGTCGAGGATGCAATTGATGGAGGGGGAAGGAAGCCGGGGCGAACGATGCTGCGGAGAACTGGGGAAGAAGGAGAGGAAGGAAATAAGGAAAGGGATTGAAAAGGAAAAGGAAACCGGATTAGACAAGCAGATACATAGGTATCACCGGTGGCCAAAAGTCGGAACGGGCCCCAGCGCGCGAACAGGGACAAGTAGCGTCGTAATATATAAGCCGGGATTTCTTTTTGGACGATCGCGAGCGGAGACAACAACGTGTTCTCATCCAGTTGAGTCCATCCCCAGGCGCTGAGTCAGCAAGGGGCCACAGGGCTGAATGACTAATGAACCCTCATCCACTTCGCGCAGGCACTTGGTTGACTTGGCCCAGTCACTACGAGCGCTGAGGTCTGGATGCGTTCCCCTACATATCCTCGGCATCCTTCCTGGCGGCATCTCGGTGGCCTCACTTTCCGGGGATGGCGTCGGGATCAGCTTTGACCTCGCAGTGATTTGGAATGGGCCACCTCCTCGTCGACGCAGCTCTAGTGCGGCTCCCTGTCCCTGCGATGTGGTGTGCCAGGGGTCCCCGGTATCTCTGCCGAGAATTGCGATGAATAATTACGGGCCCCTCTTGCCCCCTCTAGGCTGCATCGTTCTTGTGCCTATCGGATGCAGCCAGTGGAGTTTCCTCTTTCGCTTGGTCAAGACGCTTCTCACCCGAATGCTGTCATCCGGGCCGTCGATTTCTCTCCGATGACCATTTCGTGGGCCTGGCTTGGGCAGGGGAACCCAAAAACAGCCATCCGGGCGGATCCCATTATCCCCGCTGTCTCTGTCTTGATCTGGCCTGGTCTTGAATAGAGGCAATGGCACCCAAATTGCGCCTCGATCTATGTAAATTCTCTTTTGAATATAATCCCCGTATTCCCTTTGCGGTTCTCTTTTGGTGGCTGGCGGAAGGCGGTTTTCGACTCGGGCCCCTCTGCACACAGGCTTTGTTCCTTTTTCCTTTCCGCGCAATGGTTCCATGGACGATCGGATTTGCCCTTTTACGAGTGGGACGAATGCATGATAAGCACGCTAAATTTCTCCTTGCGTGTAGGGCTGAATCTAGCTCTGCCCACAGTTGCATCATGGTAAGGCCCTCCTCCACTCGTCAGTGGGCCGACTCTCCCTCTCGGAGGCAAATCACGGTGGACGATGACGGTGTTGGTGATTGGATAACTTTGACTAGCTTCGGCATATAAGCATAATAGCACATGGCAAGCGTCGATAGAGGACGTCGCTTGTTGACCCTATCCATTCTATACTTTGTGAGGGGGCTCTGGTAAACTGGCGGGATGGGGTTAAACCCGCAGCAGCCAGTCGACACGAAGCTCCATCCTGGCCATTGTGCAGATCCAACCGGACCAGTCCAGCGTAGGGTGAGGTGGGGGGGAGCACTCGAGCCTGGTGCGACGTGGAATGTTCTGCAGATGAAGATCAGACTGTAGTTAGGGCAGCGGAAGTATCAACGGGGGCCGGGGACGCATCATGATTAAACCCCATTGTCCCCGTGTCCGCCCCGATCGGCTGCTGGTCGATATGTGCAGTGGATTCACATCCTCCATGGCCCTCAATTTTGTCGATGATTGACACAATCATCCGTGGACCAGAGCCCGGATGATGTGTCGTCGAGCGGGCTGGCCACTACATCATCGCCAGTCGCCTTGTCAAAGGGTGCTGGAAGGTTCGATTCCGTCATTCTCATCGCCAGACCTGTTCGTCCCCTGCACCGACCCGATTTCCAGCCTGGACTACTTGCCAGTGCGAGACCAACCTTTTTAAAAGTCTCCATCGAGGACGATCTTGTATGCTCTCCACGCAAGACATCTTGCGTGGAGGGGGGGACCTGAAACGGGGATTTAATGTCTGGTGTTTGAGGTTTAGTATTTCGGCGTATTTGAGGACGATACGGTACCGCAAATACCATGAAAAGCCGCAATGGCAACAGTAAACAGTCGTAATTTTCGTTCTTCGTTTCTCGTCATGTCCCTCCGATGAATAAAACGCACAACGACCAGGTTCTCATCCGCTCGGGCTGATTGGTTCCTGCGATTGCAGCAGGGCCCTAGAGCCTCCAGATCATGAGGTTTTAGACGGATCTCAGAGGGCTGTGCTCGGGACCTTCCGGACAGAGACACAGAATACAGAGGCCAGCCAGAGGACCGGCCCCGGGCCGTATGGTTCGTTCTGCGTCATGGCAATACGGGACTCCTGCCCAAACGTACCCGAGCAGCCAAGTGCCCCCAGCGATACAAGTACCCAGTACCTCCGTTCCCGTACTACCGTCCCCCTTTCCTCAAGTAGAGAGTACCTCCATACCCGGTATTGTTATGGTTCCCCCCCAACTGGCAAACTGATGGCACTCCCTCACTTCGCTGGAACTCCATCTCTCCTCTCTTCCCCCCCACTTTGCTCCTCTCTAACCATCATCTTCTCTGCATCCCCGACCCTCTGGAATCTCTCAAGATCTAATCCCACTCTACCCTCCCAGCCATCCCCGTCCTATTCATCCACAATCACCATGGGTTCTGAGGTACGTGCTTGCCTGGTCGTTACCCCTCTATCGGGCGCGCTCTGAGCTGTCACCGCCATCGCAATCCCACGCCATTTCTCACCCTCCCCTCGCGCTCCTCCCCCTCTTTTTTTTTATTTTCGGATATTGGACACGTGCTGACTCGCATCTTCACCATGCAGCGTGAGAAGTAAGGACAGGATCGACCCTCAACTACCGTTCCCCCTCCCCCGGATGACAGGACTGACCCTCATCTCCAGCAAGACGTTCCTCGCGAGGCTCTGCGAGCAGGCCGAGCGCTACGATGGTAAGACTTGATGTGTCTGGACCGTCATCGGAGAAGATGAGCTAACGCGATGCCTTTTTTGTTGGTAGAAATGGTTACCTACATGAAGGTCAGTGTCGCATCATGAATTGTTTATCCCACCGGCATCATCGCTAACCGTTCGAGCAGGAAGTCGCCAACGTATGATCATCTCTGCTCTCTGCTCCCATCGACTCGATCGTTGCGTGATTGACATTTTTGCTCTCTTTTCTCTGTAGATTGGCGGCGAGCTCACTGTCGACGAGCGCAACCTGCTGTCCGTCGCCTATAAGAACGTTGTCGGCACCCGCCGGGCCTCGTGGCGCATTATCTCCTCTATCGAACAGAAGGAGGAGTCCAAGGGCTCCGAGGAGCACGTCACTATCATTCGTGATTATCGCCAGAAGATCGAGACTGAGCTGGAGAAGGTCTGCCAGGATGTCCTCGACGTCCTGGACGAGTCCCTGATCCCCAAGGCCGAAACCGGCGAATCCAAGGTTTTCTACTACAAGATGTGAGCGTGCACCATCTCGTCTGCCCAATCACTAGGTTTTCGATGTCTAACGCCCCACACAGGAAGGGTGACTACCACCGCTATCTGGCTGAGTTTGCCTCTGGCGGCAAGCGTAAGGATGCTGCCACTGCGGCCCACGATGCCTACAAGGTATGTTCCGACTCTCTGCTCTCCCGAGCTCTTTGGGCCTTCACCCCCCTCATGTTTCCCTTGTGTGTCTTGGGAGAGGTAGTTGACGGACAGCTACTGACTACTCGTACCAGAATGCCACCGATGTTGCTCAGACCGATCTCACTCCCACTCACCCCATTCGTCTTGGCCTCGCGCTGAACTTCTCCGTCTTCTACTATGAGATCCTCAACTCGCCTGACCGCGCCTGCCACCTTGCCAAGCAGGCCTTCGACGACGCCATTGCTGAGTTGGACTCCCTCTCCGAGGAGAGCTACCGTGACAGCACCCTCATCATGCAGCTCCTGCGGGACAACCTCACCCTCTGGACCTCGTCTGATGGTAACGAGGGTGAGGCTGCTCCTAAGGAGGAGAAGCCGGAGGGCGAGGCCGCTGCCACCGAGGCCCAGAACGAGCAACAGCCCGAGGAGGCCAAGCCCGCTGAGGCTGAGTCTTAAGGAGGAAAAGAGAGCTGTGACGCGAAGGGGTTTCGCGACGAGCCGTATGCCGAATTGGTAAGGGGGCGTTCGCATTTCTTCCTGGAAGTGGTTATGCAAGTCGCTTGTTTGTTTTCACCGCAGCGTGGCTTAGTTGGGACCGGCACCTATCTTCTTGCACGTGTTCGGGACCGTGTGGGTCGGCCGGCGGAGTTTGATATTCGGTTGACGCGAGCGAAGAAAAGGGGCTGAGTGGAATTTCTCTCTCTTTTATTGTCTCTATTCCCACTCCAGCACGATTCAATGTGTTTATTTTCTAAATTCACCTGGTCCCTATCCCCACATATGAGCGCCTCCTTCCTCCCCTCCTCCTGGGACGGGGTTGATAAACAGTAAAAGATTATCTGTAACTTTGTAGATATCGGTTTTTACCCCGTCTTGCATTTCAGTGACGATTAGAAGGTTAACAGCCTCGACTATGAACCTGTCCATTATATCTCCGGCGAGTGTTAGCCACTGCTGTATTTGAAGAATATACTCAAGGGTATGGCGAAAATGGCCTTAAGGGCATTTATCATTTGATATAGAACATGTGATATCGATTATCAAACAAAGTTTTCTTCAATTTATTTCCTTTTTCCCTTGATAAAGCGAGAGAAGTAAGCATGGTTTCCTGGGGCTCTTCCCCTGTTGTCCACTGCATGTAGTCCATTCTATAAACACACGCCTTCATATCAAATTCCTGGAACAGCCATCTCATCCAAGCCTCCATTTCCACGCCTAGTACGCCGCCTGTCTCGGCTTCGAAATGACCAGTCATTGTCACAAAAGCTGAAGTTGGGCGTATCAATGGGGTGTCTCAGCAAAGTATCCGATAAATATCTCTGGGGACTTTGTAGGTCGAGAAGCTCCCCCGAGCGAGGGGAAAGATCTAGACACACAGGAGCAATCTAACGGCGGCAAACTAGGTCGAACGAATACTATGCGACAGGAATGCCCAATAAGTGACCCGTCTATTTTTCCAAGGCGCCCAGATCCTGCTTTTTGCTCGTAATTGATATAGTTCCAGATCCACCACGCTCACCAAGTGGAAGAACTTGCCACTCTCCCGGCTTCTATAGATATGCCTGATCTAGATTTATCGTCCTGGCCTGGGCAGCAGAGTACCTGAGAAAGACTCGACTTGAAACGATAGGGTTCAATTGAATCCAGGAGGACGAGGAGAATGATTCAAGTCTCGTCCCAAAAAAAGCCAACACGGCGAGCCTTGATTTCTCATTCCCACCCCTCCAAACTTAGGTTGTTGTCTGCGCTGTAGGCCAAAAAAGGAGTGGTCGATTATCTTCGGAAAAAGCCAGACTATCCTGCTGAATACAAACCACAGCAGCCTCGAGTGTTGACCATCTATACATCTCTACCTCCCACACTATTTCAAATACACCCGTGTACGTCCTCCTCCTGTGGTGACAGCTCCCCCTTCCCCTCGTCGTGGTTCCGGGAGTGGAGCGAGGCCTTGTGAGAGTCTCTGGGGGAAACGGGGAAGGGTAGGTTTACTTGTAGATGTTGATGGTGCCGGTGAGAGGGATGAAAGAGAGCTGCTTTTGTCATGTTGATTTTGTTCTATGTTTATTGCTCATGCAAGGGAGAGGCGGGCTCAAAGCAGATGAAGACAGTGTACATGCTGGGATTCGAGAGGAAGAAAAAAAAGAAATATTGCATTGGACATCAGGACCAAAAGCCCAGTATTCCGTGAGCAAAAGTATACAGGTAGAGAGCCCCGTTCCGGTTACACAATGTATATTCTCAGAAGTCTCTCAATCCAAAGGGGAAGAGGGAGGAGGGGATGGGAACATGAATAGCAATGAGAGTCGAAAGAAGAGAAAAGAAAGGAAATACTGATAATGTCGTCTATCACATGAAATCATCATCTCCAAGGCCATCATCTCCGTCATAAGCAGTGTTATCAATGTGGTTGTCACGGTTGGCAACGAGAGAAACCTTAGTCTTAGCGGCCTTAGTCTTCTTGTTGCCCTTGTCCGCAGCACGCTCCTCACGCATCTTTTCGTTGCTAGCGGTGGTCAGAGCGCTGGCAATCTTCTTGATCTCAGTACTGGGAAGCTCCTTAACCAGGCGGCGGGTGAACTCCTGGGCCCAGAGGGCGTAGTGGGGCTTCTTGGAGTGCGGCGTGATCAGCGGGATCAGAGTATCGGACAGACGGGTGAACTGGTCCTTGGTGGTGGGCTTGAAGAGCGCCATCGAGGACAGATCGATGGAGTTGGTCGGGTCCGCACTGTCGGTGATGACGACGGCCTTGGGCGCGCCGCGGTTGCGGTTCATATCGATACTGGCGAAGAGGTCCGAAGCGTGCTGCAGGTCGGCGTCCTTCTCGGTCCGGCGCAAGCGCTCACGGCGCTCACCCTCACTCTCCTCCTCGAAATCATCCTCCGCATCAGCATCACGACGGCGCTGCTCGCGGTGCTCTTCTATCCGCTGGGCCTTGGTCTTCTTGTTGGCGGCGGCAGCAGCCTTGGCCGCAGCCGCAGCCTCCTCGGCCTTCTTGGCCTTCTCGCGCTCTACCTCCGAGTCTTCGGCGGCATCCCAGGAGTCAAGGACCTAATTATAAAAGAAAAGTTCCTATATTAGCGTGGATTTCAGGCGACAGATGTCTTATAGAATGCGCAGCGAATGAGGTATCCAGGGTGTTGAAGATCCTTACATCGTCCTCTTCCTCGTCGTCGAATCTGCGGCGGGGAGCAACAGGGGGAGGCGAAACGCTCTCCTCCTCATCATCTGCAATAGAACCAAGAAATTAGACTATCAGAACTAGGAGCACAGGAGTACGGGAGGGAGCGAGGAAGATAGCAGATCAGATCTAGCCAGTGATCACAAATATCACGGTGGCGGCTCCGCTAGTGGCAGAAGGATAAAGGATAAGAAACATACCCCACTTTGAAGGCGCCATGCTGGGCAAAAGAAAAAACTTTTGAGATCGGGGCAAAAGGAGGGCCCTAAAAAGGATGCGCTACACGCAAGAACGAGGAAACGGGAAAAACGAGGGGCGAGCCCGGCGATAGTATGCTACTCCAACAATAGAGGGGGAGGGCAAATTTTATGTGGGACACTTTATCGCCGGCGGGATGAGAGCCACGTGATCCGGGCTCATTGGTGCCCGACAAGCATGATTCCTGAGATGTTACAAAGTGGAAACAGTGAGCGAGGTACTCGTATTACGTACAGGCAAGGAAATTATGAATATGCTACGTTTGCGAGATATGATTTTTTTTGGTTGAAATAGTCTCTTTCATTTCAGAAAATCTTATTAAGGTTCATAATCATAACTGATGGCGTTTCTGTAGACATACTCCGGCCACCTCAATTTTGCTTTTCCCGCTCCACCTGAAGCCTGCACAGTCATAAGCAGAAGACTGGATTTACAGGTTGACGGAGGTGCGGAAGTTCTTGCCAGCGTAGATGGCGTTCTCACCGAGCTCCTCCTCGATACGGAGGATCTGGTTGAGCTTAGCCAGACGCTCGGAACGGGCCGGGGCACCGGTCTTGATCTGGCCAGAGCGCAGACCGACAGCAATGTCAGCGATGGTGACATCCTCGGTCTCACCGGAACGGTGGGAGACCATGACACCCCAGCCGTCGGCGTAGGAGTCCTTGGCAGCCTGAATGGACTCGGTCAGGGTACCGATCTGGTTGACCTTGAGCAGGAGGGCGTTGCAAGACTTGAGCTCAATGGCCTTCTTGATGCGCAGGGGGTTGGTGACAGTCAGGTCATCACCGACGATCTGGAAGTCGGAGGTCTTGTAGAAGTAGCTCCAAGCCTCCCAGTCATCCTCGGCGAAGGGGTCCTCAATGCTGACAATGGGGTACTTGGCAGCCAGCGACTTGTACAGGTCAGCCAGCTGCTCGTAGGTGAGCCACTTGGTAGGGTCGCTGTCGGGGTTCTTGAAGTCCAAGTCGTACTTCTTGGCATCTTCCTTGTAGAACTCGCTGGAGGCAACATCCATGGCGATGGACATCTTGCCAGTGTAGCCGGCCTGGTCAATGGCCTCGGCGATCAGGTCCAGAGCCTCCTCGGCAGTCTGAATATCGGGGGCAACACCACCCTCGTCACCGACGTTGCCAGCAGACTGGCCGTACTTCTTCTTGGCGAGAGCCTTGAGCTTCTGGTAGACCTCAGCACCCTGGCGGAGAGCCTCGGAGAAGGAAGGAGCAGAGCTGCCAGAGTTCAACTCGTCAGTGACTCAATTTCGTAGAAAAAATGATAATGCACAAGCCAATGAGCCGCGGGGGACGAGCAACTTACTCAGGGACAATCATGAACTCCTGGAAAGCCAGACGGCCACCGGCGTGGGAGCCACCGTTCAGGACATTCTGGAAGGGAACGGGGAGGACATAGGGCTTCTTGGTACCGGCAAGGTCGGAGATGTGAACGTAGAGAGGGACACCCTTCTCAGCGGCAGCAGCCTTGGCAACAGCCAGGGAGACACCGAGGATGGCGTTGGCACCAAGGTTGCCCTTGTTGGCGGTGCCATCGAGCTTGTTGAGGAACTCATCAACCTTGGCCTGGTCCTTGACGTCGAGGTTCTCCTTGATGAGAGCGGGGCCAATGGTCTCGTTGACGTTCTTCACGGCCTTGAGGACACCTGTTCACCAATATGAGATTAGTTTCCTCTTCGTGGAGCTCTCGACACCAACGGGGTTAGGGATTGCCGTCACTTACCCTTGCCGCCCCAGTGGGTCTTGTCACCATCACGCAGCTCGACAGCCTCGTGTTGGCCTAGACTCTTTCATTAGCATCTCTGTCATATCTTTCATGGGCATTGGAGAATTGTCCGGTAGGCTAATTAGGGCCCAAGACAAGGTAAAATACATACCAGTGGAGGCACCGGAGGGAACAATGGCGCGGTGCAGACCGGTCTCGGTGACAATATCCACCTCAACGGTGGGGTTGCCGCGCGAGTCGTACACGGAACGAGCGTGAACCTTGGAGATAGGCATTTTGCAAGTAGGAGAGCTGATGAAGAAAAAGATCAGTCAGGTTGCAAGAAAGAAAAAAAAGGAGAAAAACGAGCGGCCGCGGGCGTATTAAGACGAATGTAGCGTGTGACTAACGGCGGGGGACGAGGTTCACCGATGACCCAAAAAGACACTCCGGACGGGGAGGGAAGAGAGGGGAAGCTGATTTGCTTGAGGGCCAACAAATGCGGATGGGGCAATTGCACACGGCAACGGTCACCGGAGCGCTAGTTGGGTACCTTTTTCTGCTTTGCTTTTCTTGGGACTTGGAGTGGAGGGAGAGTTGGAGGGGCAGGAAAGGAAGAAGTTGGGAGGGGCAGCAGATGGCGGGGTATGATGTAGCTAGCCAGCAACACCAGAGAGCCGGGGTTCTAAACACACCTTCTTTAGAGACGGAAGTAAACAATGAACAGTGCAGCAGTGAGGACACGGAAATGCCCGATTCTTTAAATACTCGTCCCGTCTCGACCCCGGGAAAGGTCAAGCTGGCCCTCCGATTCTTTCCAATGCGGCAGTGGGGCTCCCCGGCCATCACCAGCGTCTGCTGGCTAATCCGACCGTCTGCGGCGGGCGGCCCCTACGAGATCTCCCGTACGCCTCGGAAGCGTCTGGGGGCTATGATGTGATCTCCCGGGCAGCTCGGGTCTGCTGTCTCGGGTTGGCTCCCATCTGGCCTGTCGACGTAATCATGGCCTTTTCGGTTTATGGGGTCTAATTCGGGGGTGGTTCGAGCATATAGAAGCGGTACTGCCTTCCTTTGGAGGACTCTTAAGACTGGTAATACGGAATATCATATGGCCTCTTCTCCCTACTGATTTTGATTCAATACAATCCAAGTCTGCAAATAACCCGTGGCAGAGCAATTGGAGCAAAGTGGTTGAGGTGCAGGTCCAACCAACGTCGCATCCAATCCGTCCGGCTTCAGATGCATGACGAAGACACATCCGGTTGGAGGCCTGCTTTTCAAGGCGTCGACTGAAACCAACAATTAGTTATGTAATCAGTTGGGGCCACATGACCTTGATGCCTTGATGCCTGAATAATTTTCATGCCATACATTTGAGGTGTCAATAAGTCCACTCACGTGATAAAATATGTTGACAATGATGTAAATCACATGACCATATCAGCGCGTGCGATCATGTGACTGTCGTGGAAGCTCCTCGACAGGCGGTGCTGGAAGCTCCCCAGGTTGCGTCCGTTGTTGTTCCCACCACTTTCGCTATTCCATCATCCCGCTGTTGGCATACAGAAATTATTCACCTTCTGAATCCCGTCTCCTCGACCTTCCGTGCCTCTTCTCACCCTCGTCTTTCGTGAATCGATTCGTCACCCCCATAATGGACGGCGCCAGCGACCCCGAGCGGGAGCAGGCGCTCGACGATTATAAAAAGAGCTTGCTGGAGCTGCGAGAATGGGAAGCCAAGTTGAAGTCACTCCGAATGGGCATCAAGGATCTTCAACGGGAGTTTGATGTCTCCGAGGAGAACATCAAGGCACTCCAGAGTGTGGGTCAGATCATCGGCGAGGTATTGAAACAGCTGGATGAGGAGCGATGTAAGTCGTACAAGAGGCTCCCCGTACCTCATGATGCTTGACCGGGCGCTGATTCATTCGATACATCACAGTTATTGTCAAGGCATCCTCCGGTCCCCGATATGTCGTCGGCTGCCGATCTAAGGTCGACAAGGCCAAGATGAAGCAGGGCACACGTGTGGCACTGGATATGACTACACTTACAATCATGCGGATGTTGCCTCGTGAAGTGGATCCTTTGGTCTACAACATGTCTTTGGAGGACCCAGGCCAAGTCAACTTCGCCGGCATTGGTGGTCTGAACGACCAAATCAGAGAGCTTCGAGAGGTTATTGAGTTGCCATTGAAGAACCCAGAGCTGTTCCAGCGAGTAGGAATCAAGCCTCCTAAGGGCGTCCTGCTCTATGGGCCTCCGGGTACTGGTAAGACCCTGCTCGCCCGAGCAGTGGCTAGCTCGATGGAAACCAACTTCTTGAAAGGTGTGTTCTTCCTGGTCCCTGCTTTGACTTGTCTCTCATCTTTAATGACCTGACCTGTCTCTCTAACATTTATGTTGCTTGTCTCTAGTGGTCTCTTCCGCCATCGTGGATAAATACATCGGTGAATCCGCTCGTCTGATCCGAGAGATGTTCGGCTACGCCAAGGAACATGAGCCCTGCATTATTTTCATGGACGAAATCGACGCGATCGGTGGTCGACGTTTCTCCGAAGGCACATCGGCAGATCGTGAAATTCAACGAACATTGATGGAGTTGCTGAACCAGCTGGACGGATTCGACTACCTAGGAAAGACCAAGATTATCATGGCCACCAACCGACCGGATACACTGGACCCGGCGCTTCTGCGTGCCGGTCGTCTGGATCGCAAGATCGAGATTCCCCTACCAAATGAGGTTGGCCGTCTGGAGATTCTCAAAATTCACTCAAGCACGGTCCAACTGGAGGGAGATATTGACTTTGAGAGCGTGGTCAAGATGAGTGATGGCCTCAACGGTGCTGATCTGCGTAACGTGGTGACTGAAGCGTGAGTAGCCTCGTTGAACCCAATGTCTACTAGTAATCATGTCGCATGTTTGACTAACTGTTGTGTCTAGGGGTCTGTTTACCATCAAGGATTATCGCGACAGAATCAACCAAGACGACTTCAACAAGGCCGTGCGGAAGGTGGCCGAGGCTAAGAAGCTGGAGGGTAAACTGGAGTACCAGAAGCTGTAATTTTATCTACCGCTGGGCGAATCGCCCCAGCGATTCATCCTTGTTAGAAGATCCGCTTTACAGAATACCATGCATCATGCACCCGGAGCTCCAAATCCCGATTTCTCCAAGCGAGGTGATTACTTCCTAGAGAACCCGCCCACTTGCGTAGCAGCAGTAGATTCAATTGTTCTGGCAAATTTGAAAAACCTGAAATCTTCTGTCCTGAGGGTCCAGGCAATGACGGTGATCAGTGATTTGGCCCGCCGAGCTGCTCAGCTTTCCTGTTTACTCCACTTTCCCCAGCGGCGACGTTCATCCCTGACACCACTTCCATCTTTCCTACTCTTTTCAAATTTGGCCGGAGAATCTACATTTTGATTAAAAGGGTGGGCTCTTAAGAACGAATTTCCCCAATTTTCGGAGCCATATTCCCCCGATTGCGCTCTCGGGAAAGTTTGGTCGAAGTTCAGCACACGCTGGCATGTTTCGGGCTGGCTTGTATTAACGTCCCGAGTGAATCCACGGCTTTCAGCCCGAGTACACAGAACCGTTAGCAATTCCGAGCAGGTATACGGGTCTAATTATCTGAGGGTGTCAACTTGAACTTCATACTAACTGCTTTTTTGTCTATCTTAGCTTTGTCGCAAGATCTCGCCCCGCGCATTTATCCGCCACCATTTGCCTTTCGAGCGGCACTTGCACCAAACCGGACACGTTGCCTCACAGCTATATCCTATGATCGCATGCTAGGTGATTGCAGGTCAGACACTTAATTGGTGACAAGGACAAAAGGAGTCTTGACTAGGATAACCATGTCCTTCCAACCACAGCGCGGCGTCCCCTCCTTCCAGGCTTCCAACGTGTACCAAGATCCCCGCGCTCGCGCCAACCAGAACTCTCAGGGCCTAGCTGGACTCGGCATCTCGAATAAAGTTGGCGGATTCTTTGAGCCCGACCGAACGCTACCAATGTACAAGGATAAACCGTACTTTACCCCCAAGCGCACAGCTCCCCGAAAACGATGGCGGCCGATATTTGTCCTAGGTCTGTGCGCATTGGTGTTTCTGTGGTACTACAAGACATCTGCGCCAGTATGGAAAACTGCAGATCTAGGGGAACCCGGAGTGGAATTATGGAAGTGGTCGCAGACTTTGGAGAGTGAAGCGCCGTCAAAGGGGCAGGTCGACTGGGCTGCGCGTCGCGAGAAAGTTCGGGATGTCTTCAAAATTAGCTGGGATGGCTATGAGAAGGAGGCATGGGGTAAGATCATCTATCAGAACCCAGCTGGAAGCCTGGCGATACTCATGCCAATCTAGGTTTCGACGAATATAACCCGGTGTCGGGCAAGAACAGAAACATGGTCAAGGATGGCATGGGCTGGATCATCGTTGATGCACTTGACACCATGATCCTCATGAACCTCACTTCTCAGGTGCGACATGCGCGAGAGTGGATTTCCACATCCTTAAGATACGACCAAGACCATGACGTGAGCACATTCGAGACAACAATTCGCATGTTGGGAGGTCTGTTGTCAGCACATTATCTATCGACGCAATATCCGACTTTGGCGCCCATCGCAGACGACGATGTCGGTGCTGCTGGGGAAGACCTGTACATTGAGAAAGCCACTGATCTAGCAGATCGATTACTCGGTGCCTTCGAGTCCCCCACTGGGATTCCGTATGCGAGCGTGAACTTGAACAAATCGGAAGGGTTGCCTTCACATGGTGATGGCGGTGCATCGTCTACGGCGGAGGCAACATCGATCCAGCTTGAATTCAAGTATTTGGCCAAATTGACTGGTGAGGCCGAATATTGGAAAGCTGTGGAGAAGGTGATGCAGGTTTTGGACGAACAACAACCCGAGGGCGGCCTTGTCCCAATCTACATTCATCCCCAAACGGGCAAGTTCAGAGGCGAGAATATTCGCCTGGGTAGCCGGGGTGACTCGTACTACGGTTCGTTTCAACTGTGATTTTCTCAGGGTGCTATGCCAGGCTGACCTGAATTTTTTTTCTTTAACAGAATACCTTATCAAACAGTATCTACAAACATCTGAACAGGAACCTGTCTACAAGGAAATGTGGGATGAATCCTTGCTAGGTATTCGAAAGCATCTACTTGCCTTCTCTAAGAATGCGCAATTGATGGTCCTGGGAGAGCGTCCTGACGGCTTGGGCGGTAGTCTCTCCCCTAAGATGGACCATCTAGTATGCTTCCTTCCCGGTACATACGCACTAGGTGCTACAGGCGGCAAGCCATTATCGGAGGCAAGAAAGTCCCCCGCCTGGTCTCAGCAACGTGAAGAAGAGATTTTGATCTCTCGGGAATTGATGAAGACCTGCTGGGCCACTTATTTGGCGACAGCCACAGGTCTTGCGCCAGAAATTTCTCATTTTATTTTGGACAGCCCTCCTGTGATGATGGCAGACAAATACCCAGATCCCAGAACACCGTCTGAAGCTGGAGTACCACATGAATTACGCTCCATCTCTCAGACATTATCGCCCCAGGCTGACGGCTCTGAGCCATGGCGCAATGATATTGAAATCCACCGCATGGATCGCCATAATCTCCAGCGGCCGGAGACAATTGAATCTCTGTTCTACATGTACCGCATCACTGGGGATGAAATCTACCGGGAGTGGGGATGGGATATGTTCAAAGCCTTTGTCAAACACACTGCTGTAATCGAGAACGAAGGCTCGGACATCGAAAATGGCAAAGTCCAGACTGTAAAACGCATTAAGGGCTTTACCTCGCTTTCCAATGCGAACACTATCCCCCCGGAAAGACGAGATAACATGGAGAGTTTTTGGATGGCCGAGACGCTCAAGTACTTCTACTTGTTGTTCTCGGATCGGGGTTTCATATCTCTTGAGGACCATGTTTTCAATACCGAGGCGCATCCGCTACCTCGCTTCAAGCCTACCGGTGAGCTGAGGACCGGCTGGCAGCGAAAAACGAACACACAGATAGAACAGTAGCACCTAGGCGTTTTTTTTTTTGAGAAGTTTAAGTTGGATTTGTGAAATTAATTTTCAACAGGCACTGGAAAGCTTGTTGATTGTGACATACCCATCCATACATCCTATATACGTGTTATCTGCTATATTCTATCGTTTATGGGATATCGGAGCTGTTAGAGATGTAAGCTTAAAAGGAGATCTTGGAATCTTCAATTTATAATCGTCAGAAATGTTGATTCGATAACGGGACTAATTTTACGTCACAAGCTCTATAAGGGCACTCGATCCTCTTATGTACATCAGGATTATGTTCTGGAATCAGAAACGACGCAACCAGCCATTCTATTGATTACAAAGTAACTTGACCAGCCTCCTCGCGTTCGAGAGCAGCTTCAATGAGCTTCTTGAAGCCAGAAACTGCATCTTTGAGCTCGCCTGCCGTCAGAGCCTCGTTATCACCGTGTGCAACGAAGATGGTTCCCGGTCCATAGAGATACCGCTTAACCCCTGAGCGGACCTTCAGGTTCGGGACATCGGTGCCATAGTTGACAGGAATCACATCAAACCCTTCCACATCAGTATCTAGGTCCTGGGGAGAGTATGACTCGGAATGAGTGGAGAAGTCAACAATGACCTCGGCCTCGACGTCACGGGTCGCATTTTCCACGGCACGGCGGATGATTTCACGTGCTTCCTCGGGCGTCCCAGCTGCCAGACGGACGGCGACGTCTGCCCATGCTGAAGCAGGGACTACATTGGTCGCGACGCCTGCGCGGACCACGCCAATGTTCAAGGTGGTAGGGCCATATTTCGGGGAGGAAGGAAGGCCACCCTCGCTAACGGGTATATTGCCCAGCTGATCCACGCGTGCCAGCGCAGGGATGATGCCTGAGACAGCGCTGGTCCCGAGCCAAGGATAGCCCGAGTGTGCGGCCTTGCCGTGGGAGAAGATCTTAAAGCCGAGCATGCCCTTGTGTCCAGAAACCAGGGATGCCTCTGTCGGCTCACCGAAAATGACGGTGTGGTATTCGCTGTTGGCGTTCAGGTCAGATTCAGAGAAGGTCTTCATGCCGTCTCCGCCAATTTCCTCGCCAACGACGAAAAGCAGACCCAGTTTCGCATCCGGCGTCTGCTGGAGGGTCTCGAGCACGGCAAAAACTTGCGCCGCAACACTACCCTTGGCATCGACAGTACCACGGCCAGCTAGAATGAGATCATCAGATTCAAACTGGTCAGGTTGGGGCTCGTGGGCTGAGTATGGGATGAATGGGGGGACGGTATCAATGTGGCTGGTGACGAGGATAGAAGGAGGCTCTGACAGAGAGGACGGGTAGGCGTAAATATTGTAACGGGGCTTTGCAGGTTCTTCGTCATCGTCTTCCTTGTTCACTGGGGCGACTTTCTGCTTAATGACAGTGAAGTCCTTCGATTCGAGGAACTCTGCTACGAAGATGCCGACATCGTGCTCATTGCCGGAGATGGACTCAATCTCGACCAAATCCCGATGGAAGGACAGAAGGGAATCATTGCTGATCAGATTATCCAGTCCAGATGGCGAATGAACGTTACTGCTACCCTGCGTAGACAGTATCGAGTCACCGATCGGCTCTTGTTGTCCGTATGCGGGGTGCGGAGAAGCTTGAGCGGCAGTGATGGCCGTCGCGACGGCCAGATACCCGGTGAGCCTCATTGTATTCCAAACGGACTATGGGAAGCTGTAAGATGACCTGGATTGTGGAATTCACAGACAGGCACTCTGTTCTTCCCTGCTGGTTGGATGGGGTATCGAGCAACTCTCTTGCAGCGCATCGGACGCTGATCCCAGAATGGTCACGTGAGCCCATGTTACCTGAGAGCGGAAGTCGGCACAACGGAGATCGTTTGGGCAGGATGGAAATAATTGCATCGGAGGAAAGATCAATAAACAGTGTATGTCCTTGGTGTAATTTATTCACGATCTAGAGTACGGTTCAAGAAACTCAAGTCAGAAGATTTCATCAACGTAATAATGGCGGGGGCAGCGAGTGAGGACTCTCGGTCATAAAACATACTTCGTTCTGGAGTCGGCCGTACCCAGATCCTACCGCTTGGTAATTATTTTCAATTCCATGGATTAGGAACTACAAATGACACAACTTTTTTTTTATAGCCAAATCTTCTCTTACCCGTACCAACATTCCGTCGTGTAGTTTGAAAGCCTATACAGTACGGTGGGTAGATCAGCTCTAACAGACTCCCATATTTGATCGGGATCCAGTGAGATAATATAAATCCGTAGTCTGGACAAATTAAATCACCTCACAATGCTATGCAAATTCTGGAGTCCATAATAATTGTGATCGTTGCGACGGGAAGACCGGGAGGAACCAGTGAAACAGGACTATATGGCTGACGCAAGTGGAGACAAGATAAGGTCCCACCACAAAAATTAGACCATGCAATGCTTAACTGGCCTCTAGTAAAAAAATCATCTTGGAGTGTGACGTGGTCTCTAGAGCACGAGAAAACGGCATCTCACAACCCGGGAGAGCATGCCGAAGGGGGACAGGCTGATGAATACTCCCTTAATCGGAAATATCATTGTTACACTGAAGGTCTGTCGGGCTGTCAGAGATGATAAATCTGCAATTTTTATTAGGTGATTTTCTTCGTGAGGCCGGGTATTGAAGTCTTCACGTAATGGCATGGATTGATCCATCAGTACTTATGATGCCAAATCCTAGCATAAGGATGCCCCCACCGTGAATATCGATCAGGTGGGGACAAAATAAGCCTTCATCAAGCAAGGATCGGCAAACTACCCGAGTCGGGTCACGTATATCCATGATGAGCAGAACAAAGCCTGGTTCAATTACCTAGTCTGCCAGTCGCACTGCCAGAATTATAAATTTGGGATATCCGCCCCATGATGACTTCAGAACATCATATCCTACATTCCACATTCTTCATTCTTGCATACTAGCATTGGCCTTTCTTCTTGCATTCAAATTGAGAACTCCTCAGAACACGTCAAATGGAGCCACAGGGTAAAAGATTGCTCTCAAAGACAGTGGATCATGTCGCTGAAAATGATCCTGGAAGACTATTTGCAATCATTCCACAAGGACTTGAGGTATCCGATGGATTCTTGAACATCACGATGAAGGATCTGGCTCGGGCCGTGAACTTTTTGTGCTGGTGGATCGAGGATATCATTGGGCGCGCAGAAACAAGGGAAACACTGGGATATATCGGTGCAAATGACATCCGCTACTGTATATTTCTCCTTGCATGCCAGAAAACTGGTCACCAGGTATGAATCACAGCGTCGCCTAGGCCTGCGGACATGCTGACTTGAAAATTGGAAAGTCCTTCCTGCCCTCTACTAGAAACTCAGATGAAGCTCATGTTCATCTTTTGAAAGCAACTGACTGTACCAAGCTCTTCTTTAGTGAAGAGCGAAGTACCCGAGTCCTTGATATCCAAGGGCTTTGTCCAGATGTTGCAATTTTCCAAATCCCGACAGTTCAACAAATTCTTAGTGATAAAGCAGGAGGACTACATCCGTACCGTACAAATAAGTCGTTTGCTGATGTTGAGTCCGAAACGACTTGCATAATTCATAGCTCAGGGACCACAGGTAGGTTTTGCTCTTTCTTTCTGTTCTTTTCTTACTAGTGATAACCGAATATCTTCTGACAATCGAAAATTTTAGGCATGCCTAAACCAGTCTACATGAAGAATGGTTTTTTTGCAGCCATGGATGCCATAGCGCTGTTGGATTGGCCCGCAGACCGCCAGCCAAGCTCATTTTTCTACATGACCAACAAAGATCCCGTGCTGGCTACAACGCCATTTTTCCATCTCATGGGTCTAATATCTTTTGTATTCTCAATATTTCATGAGGTTCCTATTGTCATTTGTCCAGATAAGCCACTATCAGTAGACCACTTGGTCGAAACGATGCAAAATGTTCAACTGGCTGGAGGGCTGTTCCCCCCTCTGTTCTCGAGGACATCAGCTATTCTGACAAGGCAATGAAATGCCTCCAAGAACTCAAATTCGTATCATTTGGAGGTGCACCCTTAGCCCCTGAGACCGGTGAGCGTCTGAGAAAGTTCACACAAGTGTTCCCCGTCATTGGAGCTAGCGAGATTGGCTGGATTCCGAGCTTTGTACCGGAAGATGCTGCTGACTGGGGATATTTTGAATGGAATCCTGCATACGGCATTCATATGCAAGATACTGGTGATGGACTTTTTGAGATGACGATTCCACGTCACAAGGATTCTTTGAACTTCCAGGGCATTTTTCACACGTTTCCTGATTCCAATATCTACCGGACAAATGACTTATACACTCAACATCCCACCAACCCAAATTTATGGAAGTTTTATGGCCGTCAGGACGATGTGATAGTTTTGAGCAACGGCGAGAAGTTCAACCCAGTCACAATGGAAACAATAATCGAAGGACATCCACTGATTTCAGGAGTAGTTCTTGTTGGCCAGTCCAGATTCCAAGCAGCTCTTCTGGTTGAGCCCAGCCACGATGCTCCAGAGATGGACTCCAAAATTTTTCTTGAAGAAATATGGCCCACAGTTCAGACTGCTAACCAGTCCATTGCAGCCCATGGCCGAATCATGAAGAGCAAGATTGGATTTGCGTCGAAGTCCAAACCATTCAAGAGAACCCCAAAAGGAACAGTACAAAGACGGGCGGTACTTCGAGATTACGAGAAAGAAATCAATGCCATTTATGAGGCTGCGTTAGAAGATGATTTCACTCATGCTCTTCCAAAGGCCCTCGATTTGGCAAGCATTACCGAGTATACTCGTGAAATCATTGTGAGGGTTTTGGAAAAGCCTGATATCTCTATTGACCAGGATCTTTACTCCGCCGGCCTTGACTCTTTAATGACCATTCAAGTGGCTAGAGCGTTGCAAAAAGGGCTACAACAGCGCCAAACGGAAGTCAGACCAGATGCTGTCACCTCCCAGAAAGTGTATGCCCATCCGACAATCAGACGTTTGGCCCAGTTCCTCCACAAAATAGCCGAAGGAAAGCTTCATGAGGAGGTCTCAAGAGAAGAGAAAATCAGAATGCTGGTGGAAAAGTATACTGCCGATCTTCCCAACCAGCAAAATTGTTGGCAAAATGGTCCAGAAGCTCCCTCCGTGGTGATTCTGACTGGCTCCACTGGATCGCTTGGGACATATCTACTGCATGATCTCCTTAAGATTCCGTCTGTTTCCAAAGTCTACTGTCTGAACCGCTCAGATGCCGAGAATCGCCAAAAGAAGAGCCTTGATGAAAAGGGACTACTTGGGGACCTTGAAAACTGGACTCATAAGGTTGAATTTCTCCAAGCATCCTTTGGAGAGCCAAGATTTGGTCTTGTCCATGAAAAATATCAAGAGTTGCTGGATTCAGCTGATACAATCATTCACAACGCATGGAAGGTTGACTTCAACCACTCAGTTGAGTCTTTTGAAGATGTCCATATCCAGGGTGTTCGTCGCTTTGTTGACTTCAGCTTGGAAAGCCGGCACAAAGCCCATCTTCATTTCGTATCTTCTATTAGCACCGTGGGTGGATGGCAGCCCGAAATGGGGGCTCTGGTACCGGAGCTACCTATGGAAGACGTCTCTGTGGTTCTCCCTCAAGGGTATGGCGAGTCCAAGCACGTCTCAGAACGTATTTGCCTAGAAGCTTCTCGACAATCTGGCATTCCTACAACTGTGTATCGTGTCGGTCAAATAGCCGGTCCAACCACCCCTAACGGCCAATGGAACTCTCACGAATGGCTTCCAACGATTATTACCACATCGAAAGCAATGGGTAAGATTCCAAATAAGTTGGGATCTATGGTAGTGGACTGGGTTCCAGTGGTAAGAACTTTCTTTCTACTACCAACTGTTCAATTTATCATCTGCTAATTACATAAAAAGGATACATTGTCTTCAATTATGGTCGAGATAATTCACGACCGCCACGGTGATAAATCGGAAGTTCCTGTGGCAACATTCCATCTCACAAATTCTGAGACAGCATCATGGTCATCATTGATCCCTGCGATTCAATCTAAATACCATGTTGATCCAGTGGAATTCTCCACGTGGGTAGCAGAGCTTGAAAGCATCCAGAATCCAACTAGTGCAGATGTGAATGAGAAGCCCGCACTGAAGTTGCTTCCATTCTATCGTGGTCTTGTTGAGGAGGGCCATGCAGCGATGTCAGTACCTCTCGATGTTCAAAGAGCGAAAGATGCAAGTGCAACAATGCGATCGATGGGTCCCATCTCACCACAGTTGATGCTAAACTGGTTAGAACAGTGGCGGTTTTAGAGCAATTTAGAGCAAGACCGATAGACTTCAGAAACTTCAATACATGATGCATTCAAGCAATTGATCTATATATCATCGCATAGAGTGTTAGGTGCCCATATGATACAACACTTTAAAAAATTCCAAAACGAGTAAATGGAGGACGGAAAGTGCAGCAGCGTATTCGCTTTGACAATTTCATTATTCACCATGCAAGCTCCGGTCTACTCGTACAGTTGGCGGCTTCCAGCTGTGAGCAGAATTTCTCCTCCTCCACCAACTTTTCTGTCATGTTCCCAGAAAGCTTTGGAAGAGCAGGCCAAATCTCTAGACCCCCTTGCTGCTCTTCTTTCTTTCGATGTTCCATCAATATATCTCTCACACTGCGTTGGAAATGAATTGGCCCCTAAAGTTTATTGTAAGTCCCAATCCTTTGATACATGATAGTTATCAATACCTTTTCTTTCGTAGGATGAAGTTCACCATTCACAAACACGCCCCCACCCAGATTACCCTGCGCGCCCACACATAGCTCCTTATCTTCATCAAGCACTTGCCGATAAAAGTCATTGATATCTTCGAACTCTTTATCTGTTGCGTCTTTGTGTCGATACACTTCGTTTTCAATCTTGCTCAACGTAGCTGTCACCGGAATCATACGTTGAATGTAAAAGAATTTATCACTTACTTGTCAGCTTCGTATCGATGGGGGTACGGGATGACACTTACGTGACTGTAAGCGAAGTAGTAGGAAAGAAATACGTAATGGCCCGCTTGAACTGGGAATCAACCTGCTCCTTATTGAAGATATGATGCTCCATGTATCCTGCGTTGGGTTCCACACGGTATCTAGGGAGATCGGAAACCCCACTGATGAGCGGGTGGGAAGTTGCGCAATGATAGCACTCATTGTAATTCTCAATAACGCCTTTCCAGTTCGCATCCAGGTCCATTTCCCAATAATGGTCAAAAGTGTATTCTCCTCGGAAGTCAAAGTCTTGCATTCGCGGCTGCTCATCAATATTCTGGAATTCGTCGTCCCACTTTACGTCTGGATCACCTGCCTGTAGATTCACCCAAACGAAGCCGGCCTTATCGATGTGCACATGTACAGGTAATAATCCATGTTGACTCTTGTCGAAATCCGGGACAGTTTCAAAGCGAGGGGCCTTTGAAAGATTGCCTTTAAGCCCATAAGACCAACCGTGATACTTGCAGCTGAGAATCGAGGCTGACCCCGATTGAGACTGCACCACTGGAAATGCACGGTGTCGACAGATGTTGTGGAAACCATTGATATTTCCGTCTCGATCCCGGACTAAGAAAAAAGAAAAATTTGCAACGGTGAAGGAAAGGAAGTCACCTTGCTTGGCGAAGCGGCTTGAGTGTGTGAGGAGAATCCATCGCTTAGAAAAGATAGCTCGGCGTTCTAATTGATACAAAGCCTCAGAGCGATACCATGATGCAGGCAAGCCACGAGGAGGATCTTTCTCTGGGCTCTTTGATGCAAAGCCAAGTAGTCGCCACATTGTGAGCGTAATTGAAGCCAGATAGAAAAGTGAAGAAGCCGGTTACTTGAGTTGTAATACACCAAAGCTATTCAAGGTGCCTATATACGACATCACTGGAGCGGGGAATCAATTTTCAGAAATGGGGACCAAGAATGGGGAAGCGGGGAAGCTTCTTAGTACATGCTATGTCCGTATCTATGAATTGAGGGTTGCTTAAAGCTACTATAAACCAGATGTATCAAAAATGGGGGCAAGTGGACCCCCCTCTCGATAAGCTGGGATTTGAACTCGGAATCTCGGCTCAAAGCTTGGACTCAGATTTGTCTATCATTTAGATTTAGATTTGCTAATTGAATCATATCTTCAACTTGTAACACTAGCTATAGTCGAGACTCTACCATGTCAGTTCCGTGGAAGACACTCCAATGAAGATCAACCTATAACTTGTTAGCGGAGCTCAAGGACCAACAGATAGAAAACCTACATCCGCAAAATGATCATATCCTAAGAGTCGTGGTGCCAATCCAGGATCTCTCCAAGCCAAGGCCTCTCCTTCAGGAGTGGGAGTCATCTGCATCTTGCGATCCCTTTCTTGTTGCTCTGGTCCATCATGTAGGTGATACAGGTACTGCTGAATGTTGCCTCTCTCAACTACCATCTTTGTTCGTTCCTTGCGACACCGTTGGAAGACAGATAGAGCGTGCTTCTTGGCGTTCAAAAATTCCGGTGAATTCTTCGTGATGTCAGGGCGATCGGGGAGGCGCGACAAACATTCGCCAAGGACAGCGCCATCTTCGAAAGCCATTCCAGCTCTAATACATCATTAGAAAAGGGCCATAGAGGATAGGGACAGAATCAAATACCCCGAGGCTAAATAAGGCAAGGTAGCATGAACGGCATCTCCCAACATTATCCACGCACCCGATGGATGAGCCCAGTCAAATTCTCCAAATCGGATACAAAGCCTCCATTTCTGCACGGATTGGCAAAGCTTAAGTAGCTTCTGAATACTTCTTGTTGTAAGCACATTTGTCGTGAGCAAGAGCATTATGAATAGTTTGCCTACCGTGGATCCCATCCTTCGAACAGCCCACACATTTCTTCCACGTTTCCTTCGATTGTTGATGCCAGCGACTCTTCAGGAATATCATCCGGAACGAGAAGTACCATGTTGAAGAGATCTCCATCTCGGAGTACGTAGTTGACTTTTAGCAGTTAATTAACCATCAGTCAAACCGAAAACCAAGACTTACCGGCGTGAGCATCAGGACCTAGCCAGTAGTTTACCTGAGGATCGTTCACGAAGGGGGCTAAATCAGGATCTTTGCGCATCTCCTCGGTTGACAGCAATAAACGATATGCGAGATCCCCCGTCTTGACTGGAGGGTCACTACGATCAAGCAACACCTCGGTCAATTTCCCAAAGACACCATCTGCACCGATCACCAAATCACCTTCCCACTCTCTTCCATCTACCGCGATTGCTGTTGCGATGGCTCCATCGGCGCTCACACGAACATTTTCGATACGCGCATTGCACGTCATTTGTACACCAAGCTCCAATGCCCTTTCAACGAGACATCGCTGGAGATCCGCACGATGAAAATCCCGATACCATGTTCCAGGGTATTGGCTCTCGGACTCATGGAAGTCCAGAGATGAGATTGAATTTCCTTTCCACCCAATAAAATTGCAAATGCGTGGAGCGGTCATGTATGGTGTCAATGCCTTTTCCAGGCCCCAGTGCTGGAGGACGCGTGAGCTATTGGGGAGGACCTGAATGCCCGCGCCAACCTCTTTGATCTCTTGAGTGGCCTCGAGAATATGGACCGAATGTCCTGCTAGAGCACAGCTAATCGCCGACCCAAGACCGGCCAAACCTGCCCCAACGACCAAAATTCGAAGACGGCATGGCTCAGAGCGAACTTGTTGTTGCTTGATGTGAATACGGGGGGCCATTGCGGATGAACGTATTCCAGGTGATACAGATGTGGGGTTTGTATTAAAACATTGATCCCGCCCATTTCTATATCACTGGGGGTATTTATCATAGTGGTTATGGGGAGGAGATTCCGATGCGCAAAGATGGGGGTTAGCTGCAGTGCTCGAACCGCTGATATCCGATGCTGCAAAGATGACTATATCTGAGGCACAGACGGCCATCGGCTGGTGAAATGTGGAATACTGTACATCACTGAATATTGCATTCAAACATTTGAACCTAAATCATGTCAAAAGTAGGGACCTGCCTGACTTTCATTGAACCCAGCTAACAGGTCAGTTTTCACTACACGGCCGGACTGCCTTAGTGACGGGTGGTGCTAGGGGCTGCGGGCTTGCTTTCGCGCGTGGTCTGGCAGAAGCAGGGGCAAATGTAGCGATCTTTGACGTTGTAGATCCAGAACCTGCATTCCATGCTATTGAAAAAGATTATGGCGTCCGAACCGCTTATTACAAGTGAGTGCTCTATCAGCGCACGCGTTCAATGGCTAACTTAGAGAAAGAACCGATGTTTCTTTACAGGAGTCCCTTGAAGCCGGATTCACGCAGTTCCAGAAGGATTTCGATAATGCCCTTGATATCTGTGTTCCATGTGCTGGAATCAATCGCCACCTTCCGTTCCTTGATTTTACATACAAGGACCACCATGACCTGGTATCCATCAACGTTCTCGGGCTATACTTTACCGCGCAGCTTGCTGCAAAGCAAATGATCTCCAATGGAACAAAGCATGGTAGTATTGTGTTGGTGGCGAGCATGGCTAGCCACATCGCCGTGCGCAGCCAGCTCTGTAGCGCGTACTGCGGTACCAAGGGAGCCGTCCGATCAATGTGCCCCGCCATCGCAAAGGAGCTGGCAGAATACGTGTGTATACGAAATATAAAGACAATTTTCAAGGCTAATTGCAGCAGGGCATTCGAGTCAATTCTATTTCGCCTGGGTATGTGCGAACCGAGATGACTGCGGCTGTAGGTTCCACCCGAGCTCAATCCCTCTTTTCCCTTTCTGAACGCTAGGCTAATTGTCAGTTCCCCCATCTTATCCAAAGTTGGGAGTCAGATGCAATGAACGGTCGTATCGCGGAGCCGGAGGATATAATGGGGGCATGTGTATTCCTCGCCAGCGACGCCAGTGCATATATGACGGGGCAGGATATCATTGTGGATGGGGGAGTTACCCGATGGTAGCGGAGCTGCAGGAGCTCAATCAAGAGTGGGGGTCTTTACTCCGCATCTCCAAGCTAGTCGTACTTATAATTTATGAGCTGCATATTAGTGAGGAGAAATGGAAACTATTCAATGGGAACAAAATTCAGCATAATTGAAAACATGGCACCCGGTGCAGACAACGAAGGGTATAGTTCCGGTGGCCCTGCCGACGCTTCAGCTACGGTCGTTGTGGTCGGTGCCGGTCCTTCTGGGCTAATGCTTGCGTATGTATACTCCTCACATGTAGAGACATATTTCTGATTCTATACAGTTGCAATCTCGTTCGATTTGGCGTTGATGTAGTTCTTCTCGACGACCGTCCCGACAAGACGTCCACTGGTAAAGCAGATGGCATGCAGCCGAAAACCATCGAGACCTTCAAACAAATGGGACTTGCAGATACCCTGATAAAACGTGCCGCTCGAGTATATGACATCGCATTCTGGGTATGTCTTCCATCAGTTCAATATCTCTCGCCTTTTCTAAAAATCCCAGCAATCAAAGGCAGACGAGCCACTCCAACGAACAGGGCGCCAAACGCATTACCCAGAACACCTTGTCGGGGCCTCTGATCCTTATATCCTTCTTGCACACCAAGGCATGATAGAAGAGGTGTTGATTGATGACATGGAGTCAAGAGGAGTCTTTGTTAAGCGAAACTGCAAGTTCGCTTCCTGCTCACGAGTGGCTGGTACCAACAAGTTGGATATTGCATATGAAGATTTATCAACCAACGACCTGAAAACTATCAGAGCACAGTACCTTGTAGGATGCGATGGCGCAAGGTCGAAGGTGAGAACATTTATTCCGGATGCTCAGTTGGAGGGAGAAATTACCAATGCTTCATGGGGCGTGTTAGATGGTGGGTCTCTGTTCCTGCATGTCTTGGATAGATGCTAAAAAGCCTATAGGCGTCATTGATACCGACTTTCCGGATCTTTGGAGTAAAGTTGCAGTGCGGTCACATGTCGCTGGCTCTATTCTTTGGATTCCTCGGGAGCGAAATATGACCCGATTGTATGTCGAGTTGAGTGCAACTGACGGCGACCGGGTAGACCGAGCTAAGGCTACCCCGGAGTACGTTATGCAGCGAGCAAGGGAGGCGATGCACCCGTTTCGGCTAGAATGGAAAACAATCGAATGGTTTGGGAATTATGTAGTTGGGCAGCGTGTGGCAAAGCATTTCATGGACTCGGAAGCACAAATCTTCATTGCCGGTGATGTACGTTTCCTCCCCCCCCCGGTTCCATTAATGCTTTAGATGTGAGAATTCTAAGGAATGGACAGGCTGGACATTGTCATTCAGCCCTGGCAGCTCAAGGTGCCAACACAAGCATGCACGATAGCTTTAACCTTGCGTGGAAGCTTAATCTTGTCATTCGTGGACTTGCCAGGCCATCGCTACTATCCACATACGAGGAAGAGCGACAGAAAATTGCCTATGACCTGATTAATTTCGACTCGGAACATTGCAAAGCCTTTGCACAAGGTGAAGCTGCTCTTGCCAAAAATTTTGATGACAACATTCGTTTTATTTCTGGAGTAGGAGCAGAGTATTCCCTAGGAATGCTGAGCCGAGAAAAACGAGTCCAATCGACTCGCCTCCATCCTGGTGCTTTGCAGCTTCCAGCTAGAGTGACCCGATATATCGATGCCAACCCTGTGGACATTCAACTCGATATTCCGATGCTCGGGCAGTTTCGCGTTTACTTCTTTGTTCCGGATCTTCGTAGATCCTTGGAATTTCTGACGACAATCTGTGAAGGACTCGACCATTCCACACCCCTAGGGAAATTGTCATCTCGAGCAAATCAGTCATATGCAAATAAACCCCGAGGAGCTGCTCCGGCAGATGACTTTCTACAACATCAGAGATACCTCACTGCATCCCATGCTTTTACATATGCAGTCGTGACCCAGTCCTTTAAGTCTGAATTCGAGATATCGGATTTGCCTCAGATATTACAAGATAGTCGGTGGAATATGTATCTCGACGATGTGGATGCCCCTCGTTGTACTCATAAATGGTTTGGGACTATAGAGAGAGGAGAAGCCGGAGTGGTCATTGTGAGACCAGACGGATATGTTGGCGGCATAGACATCTGGGAGTTGACGGCAGGGAATGACGCTGGAAAGTGGATTGAAGACTATTTTGCGTTTATGATATAGTGATTATCACTTTTTAGACCTTTTCAATTCTACATCCATTACATCGTCTTTGTGAATCTCGCTCTTTAAGCTCTGCATACACTTAGGCCTCCACAGAGAAATTGCGAGGAGTTCGAAACTGCTGTGAAGTTACTGCTACCTCTGTGGATCTAATGCAAAGCTGCGTTTTGCACACAAATGCATCAACGACGAGAGTGGGGGGAGGAGGCAAGGTGGAAGTGCACAGCAAAGCATTATAGTGGGGGTGAGTAATACGCCAACTATTTCCTTTTTCGTAATGATAATATAAGTGGATGGACGGTCATCCCACTATTATCCCACTTTTTGTGACTTGAATTTATATAACAAAGGCATTCATGTCCGCCGAAAGCAAACCAAGTTAGCTTTAGCTTACAATTACATCAAAATGGGTTCGGTCGACACTACTGGATCTCTTTTCCAACCGCTCCGCCTAGGTGCTCTTTCACTGAGCCATCGCGTTGTCCAGGCTCCATGCACACGTATGCGATCAACCAAGGAGTCTGATGGAGTTTTTGTCCCCAATGATCTCAATGTCGAATACTATTCGCAGCGTGCTTCGCCTGGCGGCTTGATGTTGACCGAGGCAACGCCAATCAGCCGGCTTGTAAGATTACTTGTTATAACTTGCCTTGAACTCAACTGACAATTCAGGCTGCTGGCTATCCAGGAGTTCCCGGTATTTTTACGCCTTCGCAGATCGCCGGCTGGAAGAAGGTTACGGACGCAGTGCACGCCAAAGGCGCTTTTATCTATTGTCAGCTGTGGCATGTTGGTCGTGCGACCGTCCCTGCCTTCCTCGAGGGAAAGCAAGCTCTTGGTGCGAGTGACATTCCAATCAGTGGGAAAGCATTGGACGGCTCTGAGTATGCTGCCACTCCTCCGCGGCCTATGACGGTGGAAGAAATCCAAGAAGCAGTGAAGGAATATGCTGCTGCATCGCAAAGGGCCATCGAAGCAGGATTCGACGGAGTTGAGATTCATGGTATGAATCGCCGATGCTCTAGGGAAAGATGAAATCAACTGAATCGTATGAATAGGTGCAAATGGATATCTCCTCGATCAATTCCTCCACGATAACGTGAATAACCGCACAGACGACTACGGTGGCTCGATTGAAAAGCGCTCCCGAATCGTTCTCGAGGTTATCAAAGCAGTTTCCGAGGCTATCGGAGCCGATCGAGTAGGCATTCGCCTCTCGCCATACAACTACTTCCAAGACACCCGCGACTCCAATCCCAATGTTCACTGGCTATCGCTATGTTCTCAAATTGCTAGTCTTCCTGCGGAATCCAAGCTTGCATATGTGCACATGGTAGAGCCTCGTTTCGACGAAGTGTTGGATGAGAGTGCCAAAATTGATTCTCTGGCCTTGGAAAGGCCATCATTGGACGTGTTCCGGCCAACTCTGAAGAAGGGCGGCATTGCCTTCCTAGCGGCAGGAAATTTCAATGCAACAAACGCGGGACCAAAGTTGATTGACGATGGCGCAGATGCTGTGGTATTTGGCCGGTTATTTATTGCTAACCCAGACTTGCCGCGGCGATTGAAGGAGGGATTGCCTTTGAATTCGTATGATCGCTCAACCTTCTACGGAGCGGATCCACCCGAGAAGGGATATGTTGACTACCCTTTCTACAGTAAATAAATCTCACTGGTCTAGAATACAGAAGTGATTTTCATTACACTATCAAGACAAAGCCAATAATACCTTCATTGCATCATGGACTACTGCCCAGCGGACAGTTGCTAACTGCTGTGCCATTGCAGCGGCCAAGGGCTTCGGATCGTATTTCCCTGAAAGTGCCGCGAGCTCTGTTGTGCTCGGACAGTTGGTCATCATCACAATCAAAGAAGAAAGATCTGTAGTTATTCGGCTTCTCGACGATGAATAGTCCATTCCTCGGTGAAAGACCCAACATGTCAACGTAGCCAAATATAGACACCAGGGGAAGTGAAAGGCATCCGTCTGGTCCCAATCATGGAGACTGAGTACCGCATCTTGTAGCAGATGCGATGCATGTCGAGCAGCGCCCGCTGATGCTCCAGACTCCTCATGAAGCCAACGGAGAATGCTCCGTTGCGATCTTGATTGATCAGCCGAGGTGACATTTCGACCCAATATCTGCATAGCCCCCGCGACAATTTGCAAGTCCAAGATTTCTACATTCAAAGCCAAGCACGCCGCATGGTAGAGGGCATGAGCAGCCATCTTCAAGCCGGTGAATCGCCGTGGATCTGCTGTCTGCGCTAGCTTCATGGCAAGACAATCCGCATCAAAATCCACTTTCCATAAGTCATACGAGCGGCTCATGCGGGGAGTCCAGGCTCCTACTCGCTCTGGTGTTTCTGAACGTAATGTAGTCTGATCACGACGCTTCAAATCTGCAGAAACAGACATAAGTCCGTGTAGAATAAATGTCCGGGCAAATACATTCAAGTCTCGAGGTCGAACGATAGCTCCAGGAGTAATGTAGCCTTTGAGGACTGTGAGAAATGGTCTATTTGTCTCACGAATGGCAAATTGAGCCCACTCTCGGGCCGAGGATGCTTCCCACGCAGGCGCACTGCAAGGCAAACAAGATCTAATCTCGAATGCAGACATGCAAAGAGACTGTGAGAAGAGAACAGCATGTTGTGTATCCCACATGAAACAGTGCATCGCCAAACGCTTTCTCTGCTCGGCATCCATAACTTGGTGCCATGCCTGCTCTACGTCTGCAGACCGAGCGAGATGAGACATATCCTGAATGCAACATGAGTTGCTGCGACGTATGAGTTTGATTAACACGCAGTGAAAGAGCTGCGCTCGCTCTCGTTGTTTTGGACCAGCACGCAACTTCCCAAAGCAATCAATTAGAAGCATTGCCTGTAAGACCCAGAGATCAGGCTGTGGTGAAAAGTCCTCATGACATAAAAGTTGATTGCGAAGTTTGTCGTGGATTCCCACTGCGAGTTGATGAGCTTCACGAGTGCTATATGTTGCCCCCATAATGAGGACTGCTGCGAGAAATACGGGGTCGATGAGTTCTGGATTGAACGTTGGCTGGTGAATCAAAGGGTACGTAACATTGAAGCGAGTGAAAAACAGATCACAGTAGCCTTGCAGCGCCCCCAATGTGAGAAGCGGGGAGTCCATAGCCGTCGGTTGGCCATCAATACCCATTGGTGATGTCTGTACGATGAGAGATAAAATACCTTGCCGAGTAGCTTCAGATAAACGTGGTAGGCGTGGTGGAGGGTTCGTGCCCAAGAATGAAGTCCCAGACATCCAATCCATCTCTACAAGATCAGGCGTAAGAGGGGATAAGACTTCTCGTGGTGTTTGCTCTTTATGCATCATTGAAGCAACTTCTAGAAGTGCCGAGGGGCCGTCGTACTGATCCATTCCTTGGTCATATTGTTCGTTCAAGGCATCAGAGAAGGGTTCTGCATCGAATCCGAGGGGGAAATCGTAGTGATGAAAAGCATCGTCGAGGGAGGTGACATCGAATAGCCAGTTGTAGTTACAAGTGGCCGCAAAGGGTAGATTAAAATCGGTCGCTGGTTGGATTAGTAGAATTCCTAGTAGTTTCGAAGGGAACATAGACTCGTACCGGTGTCCATGCCGAAGAAATCCCCCATTCCATCAAGTGCAATATTGAATGAGCCATCGGCAGCATCAAATTGACCTGGGATTGGCTCGACGTATGGTTCAAAGGGACCGCCTGGCATCATGGGCGCCAAAAAGGGGTCATTTTCATCAATCGACAAAGTTGGGTCAGTTCCAGAAATGGGGGGTGATAGAGGAGCTTCGTTGATAGATTGTTCTTCCTCTTCTACCGGATCTTGATCGGAGCTTGACGAAGAGAACATGGGGCGCCCTGCCGATCGCATTTCTCGTTGTGAAGGACGAACAATTATAGTTCCATCGCGAGCCCTGCGTGTTCTTTTCCTAGTTTTCAAGACTCCTAAACCCGGCCCCCCGCTTCTTCGTCGCGTCTATCATGGCGCATCATATGCCGGGCTTTGTCATTTAATTAGAAGGTCAATCTAAAGAACGACTACTATGGAAGTTTCCCCTTACCTAGCAGATCAGGGCGTTGAAAATGAACAGAACAGCGCTCACAAGTAAACCCGTTACGTGGCTGTTCATGGTTCAGCGCATGACGACGCAAGTGCTCGGCGCGAGTGAAGCTTTTAGTGCAGCCTGGATAATCGCACGCGTGGTTTTTCATGGTGCTTGAAGCTCATAGGGGGAGAAGAATTCTTTAGCGGAAGCTCTAGGGAAATCCTCGTAATATGATGGAGGGAGCGTCGGAGTAAAGACCGATGTCGCTGATAAGGATGCGGGGGAGACCAAGTGATTGGTGTCACTGATCAGGTTGATATGCTGCCTATCGGCCATCGCATGACTAGTGGTCCGTAATAACACAGGTAAAAGCAAGCAGAATTCGAGATGCGGAGAAAGTGCCCTCCGATTGTCATTCATCAGGTCAAATTCGATGTGAACTCAACACTTCGCTATATGGTTTGAAGTTCAAGTGCTTTACAAAAAGTACCGCCATTCTAGACTCTGGGTGCCTTCCTTGGCCTGGCTAGTGTCAACTTGATCCTCTCGTATTCTACACCCCTGTTCTCGGTCTCGACGACGATTTTCCAGTCGCATCCATACTCCTAGCCCCGTGACAAAAAGGATGCAGACGGCGTTACAGCAGCAAGTTGCAGTCAAGGTTGGGATATATCTATGCAAATTAGCCAAGTGTCATTGCTAATTTTTTTTCCGTTTTGGTAGAATGATGTATCGACTTACTTGGGAGCATATTCAGTTCGGAAAGTAGCAGCGCTCAGAACGCCAGCAAGATTCCCTAACCCGACAAAGAATCCGGTATTCGCAGCCCGAGAGTTCTCATGAATGTTGTTGTTATTGTGCCAGGCGTGAACAAGACATGACGGGATATATGCGCCCGCTGCCATCAAGAAGCATGCAAAGTAAGCTACCCCTTTGTTTTGCAGGACATCAATAGTAGCCAAAATGATCATTCCCACCAGGGAAACTACCAACGAAAATACGATATGGAAAGTTCTCTCGCGGAAATGGTCAGACGACTTGGCAACACAGAGTAGCACAATGGCACCAACGAGGTTTGGTGCGACAGTCCACAGATTTGTTTTGATAACAGAATAGCCTAGACGTTGAACAATCTGTTTCAGTTAGAATCCAAACATTTACCCCCGTTATGACAAGAAGACCCACCAAAGGGAAGAAATTCATCGCAGTTGCGTAAGCAACTGGATATGTGAACGTAATAATACACCAGATTGGAAACTTCCAATCATTCCAAGATCGGAAGCAAGCTTTGAGGTCAAACCCCGTGTCGACCTCAGATGATGAGTCTCGAAGTAATCTAGCTATTGCTGCTTCTTTTTCTTGCGAAGTCAAGAACCATGCTTTTTGTGGCGTGTCGGGCAGGATGAAGAATCCCAGAATACCAATCAAAAGTGTCATGCTACCTTCAATTATGAACAGCCATTGCCAGCCTTTCACTGTAGGGCTGTCAATTTGGAATACACCGAATGAAATCAGGCCACTGAATGCCGATGCCAGTACAGCGAATGACTGCATAATAGCAAGGCGGAAGCCCATTTCCCCCGAGTATAAAACAGGGTCAAGTAAAAGGTCGCCCCAGCGAAAAACCCGGCCTCAAAAACACCCAGAATGATCCGAATGGCGAGGAGTGACCCAAATCCTTTGGCTGCACATTGACAGAGGGCAAGTATTCCCCAAGCGACAGACACTGCGCAACAAGAGCATATTAGTATCACCCCTTCTCTCCATGGATATCTCTTCACGAACTTGATGAGAGCGTAAGCCGGCCGGAATATCGTTTCAGTAAGAGATTCCACGGTAGATCGAATAGACCAAATGGGATATAGAAGAGAAGAATGAGAAGCGAATAGTCATTGCCACTGAAATTCAAATCTTCATCAAGCCCATCGGTTTTCGCGTTTGCCAGATTGCTCTAGGTCGGTTAGCATGAATGGGACTACTAGAGGAGCAGAACATACTCGATCCATGCAATCAAAGAAATACATCTGTTGATGTCAGTCACAACTTTTCTAAGCTGCTCTTGAAATTTCTCACTAGGCATAACATAGGCAGCACCCAGAAATCCACTTTTCTACGATACAGTCTTTCCGCCTCATGGTCGATATAGATGGAACTTCGTTCCTCCATATTGGCTTCGGAATCCGATGGCCTCTTCATGATCGCCAAATTACTTTGTGTTGGCCTAGAGGGGATATGATTCTGTTACTTTAGATCACACATGTTTCCCAAGGGCGGTCATGCGAATGCTTATTATAGTTACTCCCATCCCTTGCATCGTCCGGTTGTACTCTTACTCTCCAACACATTCTCGTCTCATATCTACAAGGTACAACATTGGGTTAAAAAATACAAGTAGTCTGTTCTGATTGAGACCAATGGTTGAGGAGTGAGATAACACCCCCTGTCAAGCCCAGCTTTCCCCGCAGATCGTCTTATCAACGGGACGGGATGAATCAACTTTATCACCCCATTCTTGACCAGAACCCCCACCCTCAGGAAGTCTCCATCTTCATCATCATCAGAATGTACAACGCTCTCTTGAGCTTCGGCATTCTGTCCGAATTTTGGAGGCCGTGAGGGGATTCCGTTGATGTTCACGGAAGATATATTCTGGAGAATTTGTTACAGCCCAATTCAAAGCGCCGCAATTCCACGAATATCCGCAGTGAAAGTACAACAGATACAATGTCGACACCATCAGCTCCCCCGATTCTGGACTTCTCATCATTCTATGGTGATGATAGTGAGGCAAAGGCGAATTTGGTAAAGCAGGTGCGAAATTGTTGCCATTATAATGGATTCTTCCAGATTACCGGGCATCGCGTCCCGCTGGACTTGCAGCGACGCGTCATGCAATGTTCGAAACGCTTTTTCGACCTCCCACTGGAAGAAAAGATGCAAATTGACAAAAGTATTTTTTCATGAATCACACTGAATCAAGAAAAGAGTCACAAGCTAACCAGATAGATTTGAATACGTTCAATCGTGGCTACGAGCTTCTCCGATCACAAATGCTTGAAGCGGGCACCGGCCCGGAGCTCAAAGAAGGACTCTATATTGGCGAGGAAATCCCAAAAGACCATCCGTATTTTGTACAGAAGAAGTTGAATAGTGGACCGAACCAATGGCCACAGAGCATCTCGGACAAGGAAGAGTTTCGCAAGACCACAATGGAGTACTACCACGCAGTATTCGAGCTTGCAAAGGATGTCCTAGGTGTGGTGGCTTTGACGCTAGGTGTAGATTCAAGCTTCTTTGAGCCTTTGACTTCAGGTGCAGTGGCAACCATGCGTTACCTGCACTACCCTGCGCAGCCTAAAGACCAAGACGAAAAGCTGAATCGTGGGATTGGCGCCCATACCGACTTTGGCTGCGTTACTCTGCTTCTACAGGACGAGATCGATGGATTGCAAGTTCTAGATGTACCCTCTGGTCAATGGCTCGATGTCTGTATTTCCATCCATGAGAACTCTTTCTGTGCAACAACTAATAGGTATCGTGTCTAGGTCAAACCAGTCGAAGGAGCCTACGTTGTGAATCTTGGAGACCTTTTTATGCGCATGGCCAACGACAAATACAAGTCCAACATCCACCGAGTGATAAATAAGTCTGGCAGAGAGAGATATTCGATTCCTTTCTTCTTTAGTGGAAATCCAGATTACCTGTGCAAGTGCCTTCCCAATTGTTGTGCACCGGGTGAAGAAGCCAAGTATCCACCGATCACGGTTCAGGATATGGTGACTGGAGCCTACAAAGAAAGTTATGGTCGAGCTGAGAAGTACAAAAAGGAATTGGAAGCGCAGAAGCTAGGTTCAGCGCCGCCTGTGGCTCCTGTGGGTGCGTAGCTGTTCATACACTGAATAGGTTGAGATTATGTGACATGTATTCTGCTTTTCTTTGAATGCTATGAACTAGAATGCTCCCAAGAATGCTGCCAAGAATGCTCCCAAGACTATGTGGAATATTGACATATTTAACTTAAGCCAATGAGAATTTCCCACCAAGTAACATATCCTAATTTCCTTTGTAATGAACGTACTAATATCCGAGACAAAGATTGAGGATACCGTTTCTCTTGCTATCCTTCATCATAACAGGTCCAAAAGTGGGGGAACAGACCGTAGTCCACGTTCACCCACCCTTGTTATCACCTCCTGTCATCAAATTGGCCGGCATGCTATTAGCTGGTGAGAATTGTAAGCATCAACCGAAGGTCTATAGGAGAGTATATGAGTTGGCTGACCTGGTTACAAAAATTGAGAACAAAAAGAAAAGACAAATCGAAAATGGATGAAATAAGACAAGATAATAAACGTGAATTGCCTTCCCAGACCCCTTATATTGACGAGGATGCTGGGAAGGTCATTGCGCTCGACGACAGTGAGGTCGAGCAGTTCTACGGCTCGTCTACCACCCAAGCATATCGTCTCAAATCTGAGTTGATTGGGAAATGTATGGAAGAGATTGGAATGGGAAAGTAAGCTAATGAACAATAATTTGCATGACAAACTTCTCACAGAAGCAGGTTTCAATGGAAATTGTTTGTTGTCACTGGGTTTGGATGGATTGTGGACAATGTATGGCCTTTCGCTTTTTACGATGAATCTCGATCCTAATCCACCATCACTTTTTAGTTTGCATCCCAAGGCATCGGCAGTGTCCAACCTCCCATCGAGCAAGAATTCTCCGATATTGTTCAAGTGAGCTATAGTTCAGTTGCATATTATGTCGGGCTTATTTTGGGGGCCTCCTTCTGGGGCATCTCCAGCGATCTGGTTGGTCGTCGGCCTGCATTCAACTGTACGCTCCTGATCGCAGGCATATTCCTCTGCGCCGCTGCAGGGTCTACGAACTTTGTAGCTTTTAGTGCTCTCTGGGCTGTCATTGGTACCGCAGCTGGCGGAAACGTTCCTGTGGACTCGATGATATTCTTGGAGTTTGTTCCGGGCAGGTAGGTTGTCTCCAACACTCAATTGGGCCCTGTGGCTAATTATCACAAGCCACCAATATCTCCTTACAGCTCTTTCTGCGTGGTGGAATCTAAGCCAGTTGATTGTGTCCTTGATTGCATGGGTCTTCTTAGCCAACTTTAGCTGTCCCACAGACGCAACACCGGAGACTTGCCCGCGTCGCAACAACATGGGATGGTAAGCAACGAAGATTTCGTTTGAGATTTTGAAGCCTGATTTTTTATTATTAGGAGATATACTATGATTACCCTTGGTGCTCTTGCACTGGCATTTACCTTTATCCGAATATTCGTCTTTAAATTGCCCGAAACACCAAGGTTTCTTCTATCTCAAGGAAGAGATCAAGAGGCGGTTGATGCTGTGAACCATGTCGCTCGACAAAATGGCAAACCGGAGCCTTTGACCATCGGGATGCTCCACGAGATTGACGCCCGGCTGGGTACTCCTAATGAAAATTGTAATCGACCTGGCCTTTCAACCAGAGAGATCATCTCGGAGAATATGCAGGCCTTCAGGGGCGAGCATTATCGAGCTCTGTTTGCGACCAGCAAGCTATCCAGACATACTGTCATTATATGGGGCATTTGGTTGACAGTCGGTACGTTTGATTCACAGAAAATGCTACCATTAGAGTCTAATTTGAATATTCGTCGCAGGCATCGGATACCCTCTGTACTTCAATTTTCTCCCGTCATACTTAGCCACCAAATTCACCCAAGACTCATCACTTTATCTGACATATCGCAACTACTGTATCACCTCGGCTGTCGGTATTGTGGGTCCACTGTCTGCAGCGGTCGCGGTGAATACACGGTTGGGTCGCCGCTATATGATGGGAATCTCCGCGATAGTGACGGCTGTATTTCTCTTTGCCTATGTGGGAGTCAACAACTCCGCCGCCAGCCTCGCGTTCTCATGTGTGACAAGTCTGCTGGCGAATTTTGGTAATTTTATGCCTTGGCAAAGAAGAAAATGAGAATCAAAACTGACATGCGAGCTCAGAATATGCTATCATGTACGCCTTTACTCCCGAGTCCTTCCCAGCTCCTCATCGAGGCACCGGAACTGGCACCGCAGCGGCACTCCTTCGATTGGGTGGCCTGGTCGCGAGTCTTATTTCATCCCAAACTGGATTTACCAGTGCTCCGATATATGTCAGCGCCGCTCTCTGGGTGGTTGTTGGACTTTGTTGCATTGGTCTGCCCTTTGAGACTCATGGCCACGATGCATTGTAAGAGATATCTTACGATGTGGCAGAGACACAAGTATCGCTGGGTCTCTTTCAGAGTGAGATTGACAAAGAGTCAGATCTAGGTCAGAACTAAAGCATCATAGTAATTCCGTTCTGGTTCAAGTCCACGTCGCGAGATTGAAAATACGTATGTAATTGCCTTGAAAGGTTATCAACAATTCAACTTCAAGTCTGTACCGTAGTATAGTAAGTAAAATCCAAATGCGTTCTCATCATCAAGATATTTGAATGCAATAGTGAATTGACACAGTTGCGTGTCAATGAGCTTTTCAATATAAGATCCAGAGTAGCTCAAGTCGTTCCTAGTTGCAACCACCCATCATTGAATGATCTAATTGACAGGGCGATATCTTTTCCGGAGCTCTTTAACTGCAACCTGATCTGGCAAAGGTTGAGTCCGTGGAGACCTGTATTTAACGTCATTATATTCCAATCGAGGGCAAATTGATCATTTGTCAGCTTCATTTGCACGCCTAGTAAGAACTTTGATGTTCTCTTCCCCCAACAACGTAGCGGGGCGTACATCTGCAACCCGCGAAAACCCCCACCCTTGGAAGAAAGAGCTCCCCAATAATGGGGGAGAGAAAGGGGATACACTCGATAAACGGAGCGTGAATCTGCCCCTCTTTTACCCCTCTTAAAATTGAATATTGGAGATTTTGCGCAGAAAGAGCGGGGGAAATCGGTGCTTTCCGCTTAAATCATTCTAATATCACCTCTCACAGCGCCGTCCTCGACCAAGCAAGTCACTGCGCTCGTTCAACCATCCTCCATCCCAATAATCTAAGCTCACCAAACAACAAGCTACAAACATGGGGAAGAAGCGCGTTCTGGTTGGCTACGGTGTGGACATCGACGCCGTCGCCGGCTGGCTCGGGTCCTACGGGGGTGAAGACAGTGTCAGCGATATCAGCCGTGGGCTCTGGGCTGGGCATGTCGGGACGACCCGGCTCCTGAAGCTGTTCGAGAAATACAACATCAAAGCTTCGTGGTTCATCCCGGGCCATTCGCTGGAGACGTTCCCGGAAGAGTGCGCACAGGTGCGGGACGCCGGGCACGAAATCGGACTGCATGGATACTCGCACGAGAACCCGGCGAGCATGACAAAAGAGCAGCAGCGGGACATCCTCGACAAGACGTACAAGATGCTGACCGAGTTCTGCGGCAAGCCCCCCGGGGCATTGTCGCGCCGTGGTGGGAGGCCAGTGCGGAGATGGTGGAGCTTCTGCTGGCCTACGGCATTGAATACGACCACTCCATGTCGCATGAGGACTGCCAGATGTACTGGCTGCGGACAGGCGATTCCTGGACGAAAATTGATTACAGCCAGAAGGCGGAGACGTGGATGAAGCCGCTGGTGCGTGGGGAGACCACGGGCTTGGTAGAGATCCCGGGTAGTTGGTATATCGACGATCTGCCACCGATGATGTTTATCAAGAACTCGGCCAATAGTCACGGGTGGGTGAATCCGCGGGACGTGGAAGATATCTGGAAGGTGAGTTGTATCCAGGCGTACTCAATTGGGATTCTTGGATAGTTCGGCACACATACATCCTTACTCCTCCCTCTCTCTCTCTCTCCCTCTCTGGGATACCCGATTGACCCCGGGGACACCCCGCAAAGGTGTCCCCGAGAAGATTGAATTTGAACAGATCAGAGCTGACCAGGGACGGGGATTCATTGGTGACGTTTCAGGACCATTTTGATTACTTCTACCGCGAGTACGACGAGTTTGTTTTCCCCATGACGATCCACCCGGATGTCTCTGGCCGGCCGCATGTGCTCCTCATGCATGAAAGGTGAGACAAACCCCCGCCGAGAGGATGAGAGGCTGCGAAGCCGAGGCTTGCGCCGAGCTAACATGGTGTGAACATGGATCGTTGACGGTTGCAGAATCATCGAGCATATCAACAAGCACGAGGGAGTGGAGTGGGTGACATTCGAACAGATGTGCGATGAGTTCAAGAAGGCCAACCAACCACCTCTCGGAGCGCAGATGCCCGCGACGCGAGAGAATGTACCGACTTCATCCTCATGAGGAGAGAGCTATTTAGATTATTCTGGCCAAGTCTTGTGTGAATTTTGTGAAAAAAAAAGAGTTGTCAGTTGGTATATCAGGTTCTTGCAATACTCCGTTGACGTCACGAGGTATAGGCGGAGATCGCCCCTAGGCTAGGTCAAAGCAATCTATTCATAGTTCCCAAGATAGATATCAGCAGCATTCCAGCGCTCAACAGATGGATATTTGAATCGCAACCGATGACACCAAATCTGAGGTGAGCAGTGCAGCATATCGCTGCTCCCGCCGATCCTTGTCGATAAGGAGCTGTATAGACCACCAGTTGATATCGTGACCTTACGAAGACGGTAGAAGCCAATACACTAGACACTACAGACAATCTCACAAGACTAGAATACCAAGGGGAAGAATAGATCCATAGAATAAGCACATGCATATTGTCATCCGAATAAACAAGTATCCAACAATCCCACTCGCCGCTCGTTCTACGGTCCGGGCTATTGTTTCTCCCGTTGGCTCTCGTTTCGAGTTGGCCGTTGTTCTTTGTGAAGGCCCCACACGATTAGGTTTGCACTCACTTTTAGCCGATCGCCAAAGTGTGTGCCACTGTGGTCCACGGGGAGAAAGTGGCCAATATTCAAGGAGGTAAATAAGGAAACGATGAGAAAAAAATTGGAATTGTAACTAATTGCAAACAAAAAAAAAAAAAAAAAAAAAGGCAAAGAGGCGAACTGCCCCCCCAAAAAACCGACTGATTTGATTACGACGACGTATCCGATTCTTTTAGCCGATAATCCATGCCGACCGCCCGCGCACCGGCGGAACCACGGAAAAGCACAGCCAAACCCGGGGGGAAGAGGCGGCCCCCATCCATGGCCCCAAGGCAAGGCCCCTTTGCCTCTTACGCAAGTTCCCCTTGAACGTTTTTCTGGAAGGTGCTTCTATCCAATCATCAGCCAGCTGTGACCATGCTCCCCGATTCCCCGAAGTCTAAGGACCTAAACCATGTGGATCTGACGTTCTGGCGACAGAGAGCCCAGTAAACTCTTCATGGGAAATGAAATGGGATGAAAATATGACAACAGAAAACGGGTCACGCCCAAGGAGGCAGAAAATGAAGTGAAATGTAGTAAAGTTCTTGCTGAAACGGAAAACAATCTGATAAACCAGTGAACCAGTATCATCGTCACAACCTCGATGTCCAGAATCTCTCCCCCCCCCCTACCTCTACAAATATGCCTATAAAATATACAGATGCTATACAGAGATTGGTTGCTGCTGATGGATACGACGCTGTCGCAGACCGAACGGAAGGGTCCGCCCGAGCTGATATGGCATAGCTATCGACGAGGAAGTGTCGACTGCAAAAGAGCAAAGTAGTAGCAGGGGCAAGTAAGACAAAATCCCACGGCCGAAATGCCGGCCTGACGTACAGGTCCGACTCTGATCGGACTACATTTGTGAGAGTCGGGATAGCATCGTCGACGTCGAGAAACCATCGTGCAACCCTTTCGGTCTTCATTGTCAGATCGGTTTGTTCTTCCTCCCATCCACTGTCTTCCCCCCTCCTCCTTTGTCCTCGGAGTAAGGTTCTTATGGTGTCGGTCAAGGGAGGGGGAACCGGCCAGAACTGTGCCCCATTGCGCGACGGGACCACGCCGTGCAACCTGCCAACCGGTCCCTGTCCCTCGCCGTCTGTGGTCTCTTCGTCCGCCACGGGCGGATGCACCCTGGCAACCCTTCCAAAGAAGCCGCGGAGCAGCAGCAGTCGAGCACAGACCCCGGGCGCAATGACAATGGGCCAGGGACTCATGTCTCGAAAACAATCCTCTGGAGAGGGTCGCTCGGTGGGCTTATGGCATCATAAGCGTTCAGCGGGGACTCCACCGGCGTAGTCTAGACGCCGCCGATCTCGCACATAGTGCTCTCTTTTTTTCCTGCTCCTCGCTTGGTCGACGATGACGAGATGGTCCCTGGTTGGAACAGGTTCAAAAAGGGTCCTGAGAGGGTTTGAAAGTCGTACGGTGGATCTGATACACCGCGCACGCCGTGCAGCCCCGTGTAGCCGTTGTAGAAGCCCCCGATCCAACAGCATACCAACATCCCAACCAACACGGCAACACTACCAACCAACCCCCACCCACCGCATGGCCTGGACCGTAGACCGTGAGTCAAAGGCTCGAACCGAGAAAGAGCCGTTCTTTCGCTCTTTTGCCCCTTCGGCTCAAAGGCTGTTCCATGGTTGAAGTTCGCTGTCAACCACCGGAACCCAACGGAGTAGATTTTTTGCAGCCGGCGACCGAGGATCGGCGAGTGTCGCGTGTATCGAAACAAAAAGAAAGGCGGACCAGAAGAGTAAAGCGGCTCCACTCCAGCGTCGGCAGCCCACTAACGTTACTGTTTTCCCGGGGCGTTTTTTGGATCTTGGGGGTTTTGGGGGATTTTGAGTGGTGGAGAGTTTCGCTTTGTGAGAGAAGGAAGGTCTAGGTTCTGAGGCCTTCGATCTGCTGACTACCACCACCACAAACCCTCAACGTTCTCACCCTCTCTTTCTCTCTTTCTCTCTCTTTGTCAACGACAACCATCTCCTTTACCTTCAACTTCACGCCAGGACGACTCATTTCGCCCAAGCGGGGATCCCCCCTGCCAGCCGCCTTATCACCGGTCCGTTTGCTGATTTCCGTGGTGGTGAGTAATCGCGCCTTTTTCCTGCCCAGCCAGCTGGCCCAGCATCCACCAGACCTTTGACGGTTTGGCTGCTTGGTCGGGTTCTGGCCCACGTCTGCGCTGGCTTTCTTTTTCTCACACCTTTTTTCTTCTTCTTTGTTTCTATTCCTTTGTCGCCCAATAAGATTTCTTCCTTCTTTGTGACTGTGGTCGCTCACCTGTGTCCTCGCAGTTCCCCGGCCGTCGCTGCCTCCATACGGCCCCCGCCCTTCTACCAGCCCACCATCACACCGCCACGTCTCATCGTGTCTCATTGTGTTGCGGGACCCCGTTGGGCAATCAAGATTCGACCTTTGGCGCTTCTTGTCGCCTTCGCTCATTAATTGAGCGTCTTGTCTCTCCTCGCGCGCCCTTTTGATTCAGACCCACCTCCAATGCTTCACAGCTACCGTTCTCATTCCTACCAGCCCCCGCGACGCCCAGCGGCCTCGCCCTTTGCGCAATGCGTAAACTGTCTCAGATCATCGACGCGCCACGAGAGTCCTTCGACGCGATGGACTCTCCCCGCCTTCCACAGTCGCCTTTGACCGTGAATACTTCTGCGCCGGCTTCGCCTGCTATTTCTCTCTTCTCCGCGACAGGTCATAATCGTGTTTCCAGTTCGGTTTCTTCACTTGTCTCTGCCCACGGTTTGGGGAATTCTATGGACAGCCCAAGTCGAAGCCACCTGACCGGCGTCAAGGAAGAACCCTGTGGGCGAGACTCCCTCGAAGATCAATATTTCCGTATGCTCCCTATCTTCTTATGACGCATGCCCTCCAGCAGGGTCTCGCTAGAAAGGCAACTAACTCAAGTCGTTCTACCAGAGCATTTTGAATGCAGCACCATAACCGATGAATCTTATTTTCCTATGGATCCCGCGGATAGCTATGATCTGAGTGATGCGGGCATGGACCTTTCGAACTCAACGAAGAAGCGACACTCGGACAGCTCATCAATGAAAGGCGCTTCCCGCATCAGCTCCCGCATGTCCACGGTCTCCGCCCGGTGGAAGTCGATGCGATCGTCGGGGAGCCCCGAGCGAGATATTTTGTCGGGCGATTTGCGGTCCCGCGCGAACTCCGCGACCTCGTCCATCCTGGCCAGCCCGGTTCTGGCGAGTCCGATCAGTCGCATTGACTCTCAAATTCCCCCGTCTCCCGCCCGGACTATTTTTGAAGAGCGCATGAGCGATTCTGGCGCCCGCCCGATTGACATCACTCGTGCAAACAGCCTTAGCCAGGAAGACAATGATGGCCAACAAGCTACCACCCCGCTGCTTCCTCCCGTGTTGGGCGATGATCCCACCAGTGTGATCGCATCTCGAGTGCAATCGCCCCTGCAGTCGCCTTCCGTCGCAGATGTCAGCGAGGGCGCCCATTATTCCCGGTCCTCAGACCCCCGCTTCGTTGCTGTCACCGGTATTCCCTCTCCTCCTCTCTCCTCGAAACCCTCCATGGCCTCGATCTCCCGCCCGCGCGCAAGTACCGTTCGCACCGTATCGGGCGATGCCCCTTCTACACCATTCATGCTATCAGATCCCAACGATGAGTGGGCCAACAAGCTCGGTCACGCCAATTTTACAATCCAGCCCGAGCCGTACTCTCCCCCGCTTTGTGACATTGAAAGCTTCCACCAGCTTTGCGCAGACTGGAACATTGCGCGCTGCAACTTTGCCAAGCACCTTGTGCGCACCGGCGAGCACTACGGTGTCACCTCGAACATCTACAAGTTGACAGGGGAAAAGTGGAACTGTATCGACCGCGAGTGGCGCACCTGCCACGAGACCATGCTCAAACATATTGGGGCTGTGGACGGTGTCGCGCTTACTCTAACACAGTCCAATCTGTATCCCTGCGAGCAAGTACGTATTCCACGACTACATGACAATGCCAAGTTTCCCGAAATGGGTGACGAGGACATTGTCGGCCCGATGACAGTCGCGCCGGCCAACGAAATTGTTGGCCCATGTCGAACTAGTTTTCTCAAGAAGCGTAATTTCTTCCGCTTCTTCCAGGATCTTGTTTCGCGGACCTGAGCTCTCTCAGTTATTTCGCATTTCCTTGTTTTCTTTGACGTTGCCTTTCGGCTTCTTTCATCATACTCATGAGCGAACCACCTACGATAATGACCCCCATAGACTTTTGCTTCTACTGCGCGATGTTGCCTCGTCGAGGCATTTTCATGTTTTGTTCCATCGAAAGTCCTACGCCTGCATCGTGTCACGACTAATGTCTCTCTTTTTTTTGTCGCTTACGAATGACTCTTATGACTCACGACCTGGTCTGCGACTACTGTTCTCGCGCCACGTCATGCCTCTCCTTTGTCTCCTTCCCTTTCGAGTCACTTTTTTTTGGTTATTTTTGGATATTCCCTGCCGTGGATCTCCCCCATCTCCTCGTCTTGAGCCTTTTCCTTCCCATGCTCGACGTGGGACATGGCCAGTCTCTATGGATTCCAGAGATGGGTCTTCCGGTTAATGGGGCACTAAAAACCCCGTCCATTCCTTGCTATGCGCCATACGATATACCCACCTATCCATATTGGATCCATATGTACCCGATAGACTCACTTTGTTCTGTTTTGATCTTGGGCTTAGCTCCCCCTCTTGAATCCCTTCAAAGACAAAAAAGCGATGGTCTTGTTGTATGTATATATCCGGCGTCTTTGTTCCACGCCTAATCTCGCGGTAGACAACGATGCAGCCTGTACACAACACACATAGTAACTTTGACTTTATTTCTATTCATCTTTTCACTCTGACTCTAAACACTCCGTATTGCAAAACCCCCAGTCTGTACCCAAAAAAAGAGGCAAAGCTAAAGTTCTCCTCGCTCATGTTCCTGACCTAAGGCAAAACGTGTGACTCTTACAATCTATCTCACCTAGTTTTACCTGCAATGCACACACATCTGCCGCCAAATCACGACTCCTGCCATGTGCTTTGCCAGACGTCATCACACGTGGAGCCACGTCAAAGAGACCAAGACAAGAGCTTATCAGATAAACCATCAGCCTAAGAACTCTAAACGAGCTATTTCCAATCATAAGTATCGTAGGTGCCTGGCGGGAAGTCGGTGAGTGCACTGCTGAGTTGTCAGGCTGACTGGCGGAGTGGCGGGTTGTGGGGACTGTCTACGAACTCAGGGACCGGAAGTAATGGAAAAGTAGGAGAGGTATAGAGAGGTATTGAATTGTGGGCAGTATACGAAACGGGCCCTAATAATACTAACACCAATGCAATCGTGCCTCAATCGGCAAGAGTGGAGAGAAGAGCCAGATGCATTAACGATTCCCGGTCTCAAATCCAGTATTGTCGCCACAGCTTTTTCGCTTCCTCATCGCCTTGGAATTGAAACGGGACGGGGGTTATGTCGTCGAAGCCCTCTGCGAGAGTGGGCTCCTGGTACCGGCGCGCATAGTCGCCGAAGGCAATGCCCGGAAGTGACGTGCGCGACTCGGGATTCTAAGTCAACAAGGTACGTGTCAGCGTGCCGCATGCAAACATCAAGCTAGCTACGGCGATGGGAAATGCCGGCCAGCTTTCCATCGCGGTCAATCTGCATAGATGGGCAGGGGTACGAACCAGGTCCTTGTTCGCGGCCCGAACCGCATTATTGTGCCTGCAGAGGTCGGGCGGGGAGAGAAAATGAATGCAGCGAATTGGCACGTGGAGCTCCTTTGCAAGAGCGGTCCAATAGGCGCGGGTCTCGAGATTTGCATTCGTGTTGTCTGCGTGGTGAGTTGTTCGATTAGCCTAGATTGGCAGGGGCCCGCCGAGGTCTGGGGTCGGTGCCCAACGGCGTATGCAAGAGAGATAAAGTGTGACTCACCAACAACGACCGAAGTCTTTGCTTCGAGGAGTTCACGGGCAACCTTGAGGCATTTTGGGCGCTGAGTCTGTCAGCCATTGGACATGTCATATCATTTGCTTGGGTTGGTTGATGGTTGATGATTGATGGGGGAGATGAAGTTTCCATACTGATTTAAGGATATCTTGGTTGACCCGTTGGTATCCTAGTGGCTCTAAGTGGTTCCAGAAGTATGTTGACTTTCCAGAGCCGGGGCTGCCACAGAAGATTACAAGCTCAAAGGGGTGTTTGCGGGCAAAAGCTGGGGCCACTATGATAGAAGTTATGGTCAGCAACCGTCGTGCCACAATCGACGGCAATCACACAGGGCATGACCGCGAGATTCCCGGGCCCTTCAGTAGTCACGACAGATACCAGATCACTTACCAGGAGAGCCTGGCTCTGATTTGATATACGACGTCGGATCAAATAGATCAGCGACCTCCACTGCTGGCTGGTTGAGGAAGAACTCCTCGGGGGTTTTAAAGTTCATGCGGGCATTCGTCGCAAAACCACTATGGTTGAGTCAGAAATCGATTGCCTTCGAAACGGCTTCTCGTAAAGACATACCGATCCACAGCAGAATGATCTCCCGGTCGTCCAGCGGCGTCGCCTACAAAGAACGACCCCTTCAAGTCGACCCCAATAACGTCGAGATCATAGTCGTCCTGAAACTCACGCAACATGCCCAGCCGAGGCTTGCGGTATTCTGGGTCTGTTGTGGCCGCGTACACGCTCATTGGGACTTCCAATTCATTCATAACGGCGGCAATTTTCTCCTTAAACATAGTAAGGCTTTTCGAGTCGCTGTTACCATGCTTGATATCTTTTTGAACACTGATCTTTTTCTGGTTTGAGAAGATCACAATTTGAAAGCTGACGAGATTCTGTTAGGAACATGGTGCATCTCCCTCGGATTCACGAGCCATCAGAACATACCCTTCGGAGCTGAGCTCCCGAATTTTGCTCGGGACTACTGGATTCCACCATTGCCAGTCTGTAGCAGATCTAGGGAATGTATTTCCAGACTTTGTCTTAATCACAGTTGAATCCTGCCAGCCATAAGGTCAAACCGATGTTCCTATACTCCATACAAGACGACGACTTGGGATTTCAAAGCAGAGGATTCTACCTACCAGGTCAAACGCGGCAACCCTCCGATCCTTCTCCGGCAGTTTCTGAGTGCCTTTGACCGGGAGATACTTGCCGATGATCAAGCTAGTGCCTAGCACCCGCCAAGTGATCGGCTCCGGCTTCTTCTGGGATGCCGGGGTGAAAAAATTGGCAACAGATTTCTCTGTGGGGGATGTGCCATCAGCATCCGGGTCACGTCGGGTGTGATCCCAGGCGAGCACTCACTGTTGACTGACGACTCGACCTTCCGCCGGAGTGGAGGTGGGGAGATTGCCCGAGTGGGGGAACCCGTCCGCTTGACACCCCCTCGACCATCCTGAAGGCTTTGGTGAAGGAAGACGTTGTGCCGGTGGTCTCCTGATTGTTTCAGGGTGTGGTTCCTTCCCAGTTGCCGTACATCGGTTGACGCAAGTTGTAGTTGGTGAGGTCGCTGGTCGTCGGAGAAGCTGACGCGCCGACACACGCGGGAGCTTCACGAAGTCACATGGTCTCGTCTACCAAAAGGGCAGTCATTAGAATGTACGGAGATCGCAATTACGACAAGACAGCGAGAGAATGACCCAGATAACTTTGAATCTGTTTTGAATTTTTCTTTCTCTTTTTTCTTAATTGATAGCTACAATTATATGCATCAAGGCTGCTTTTTTTGGGGATGGGGTCCGCTTCGAAAATGTACTACAAACACCGCAAATTCGCTGGAGGCTGCCTCTCCGGGTATCCATGACAGCCGACAAATAACCATGCGGCAGGGCTGATGGCTGATGGCTGATGGCCGATGGCCGATGCCCTCACCTTTTGATCGCCTATCTCTACTTCGCCCGAGTATCCAGTGACAAGCGATCCGCTTCTTCCAGGCGCACTGACGACTTGAGCTGTTCCCGCAGTCCAAACAGATGCTGGGAGGCCTTTTTCATGGTCTCCTGGTTAGTCCCATCCTGGACCGTAATCGACGCTTGCAGCACATAACTGCCGCTCTTTTCTAGCGGGGCCATGCTCTGGAAAGAAGGAAGTTGTCGCCGGGGATCCCGCGGCTCCTGTTCTCCTGTCGGGTAGTGCAAGACCCGATGCAAGAAGAGCACGATGTCATTGTGAATGAAGACGTGTCCTTCGACTACATACTCCGTCACAAAGCTGAGAGGGGTGGAAGATAAAATTAGCTTTGCGCCGGCGATCATAAGACGGTGGTCTTAAGCACGCCACTCACCTGTAGCCCCACGCATTCATGAGTGGCACGACGTCCCCAGGAGGCAGCGTAGCGGTCGCCATCACGCGGGCCGTCACGCCCGAGCGGGTGCCCGCTTCAGGAATATCTCGGAATTCGAGTTTCCAGGGCTGTTTCTCATGATCATAGACATGCTCGGTCCGATTTTGCGACTGGTCGTGGGGGGGTGGTTTGACTTCGTCGGTCCCCGCCATCTGGGTATCGGGGTCCGGCGCGGAGACGGGGGCGGGCGCAAAATCTCTGTCCACAACGGGGCCGACCACCTGGGTATAGAACATGCCACCGTTGAGGAGCTTGTTCACGCGTTGCAGGTCGCCCGATTGTTGCAGATCTTGGCTGCCACCCACCCGGGCGGATGCCATGCCGGGTTTGCGATGGGCCTTGAAGATGAGCCGACGCTCAAGGGCGTGGCGAGGCTGCATGGCCGTCAGTCCGGCCAGCTGCTGGACAAGCTCATGGTGCTTGTGGACCGGGACCGAGGCAAACAGCAGGAGCTCGTGCATCTTGGGACGAGCAACCACCTGTTGCTGGACTGGGGTGGGTGGTTGGATGGTTCGAAAGTGGGTGCGGGTGAAGCCGGGATGTTCTTAGTCAGGGTCCAAGCTTCCAGTGGCGCGATCCACGCTTATCAACTAAGATTCAATAATTATGTGTGCACGCAATTGGGTAATAGCTTGGGGTTGGTCCTTCCGAGTTGTGCCCCCGCCGATTTCACATTCAGCGACTTTTGACCGAGGGATCATCCCAGGTCCCTGCAGCGATGACCTGGACCCGAACCTAGTGTTTCGCTGTCTGCACGGGGCAGAAGATTCTTTTTTGGCTCTTTCTTCTTGCCCGTGGAGTAAGGTTGGCGGAGTAGGGAGGGAATGTGTGTCAGCGAACCGAAATGGAGAGAATGCTGCGGGGCGCAGTTGGGAAACTGGGGGAGATCCGATCAACAGTCGAAACTGGTCTCAACCCTATGGGGGAAAGAATAGAATGAGATCGTAGGGAGAGGCAAGAGAGGTGATTGGTGCCACGGTCATGAAGGATGGAGGATCCTGTCGAAGCCCGAAAATGGGGAGGGGGAGAAGCTTTCACCGGGGGAGCTAGAAGGGTAAAGATCGGACATGTCGGAGACGCTGCACGCCGGGAAATGTACTTTGGTCTAACGGACGTGCGGGGGACAGGTTCAAGGCAGGGAGAGGGAAGTATACTCCGTACCCGGTAGTCTGCAGACCGTCGACCTGAACGAGGAAGTCCAGCCTCGATGTGTAGTGGCCTGCAGGGGGGAGGGTGCACATTGTATGCCGCGTCGTCCCAGCGAGGTACGATGTACAATGTGCGATGTGTAATGCGCAATGTACTGTGTCGCAGTCGGACTGTCACGGACGCTCCGCGGCGCCGGCTTCCAATAATGAAGGTCGGTGGTGAGCACACACCCTATGCCCGGCGTTTGAGCATTGCGTGACAAGGAGACGTTTAGCCAGGATTGGCCCGAGCCAGTTAGTCAATCGAGTCGCCCAAGTCGCCAGCTCCAGAATTACCCGGCGGCTCGTCGGCGCCGAGTCGGCAAGTCCTAAAGCGGTAACGGGCCCTCTTGCACGTCCTCTTATCTTCGCCCGGTCTGCCCTTTCTTCTTCCCCTCACCACTCCCCCTCCTTCGACTCGCTCATCCTTCATCTGTACGATTATTCGATACGTCTGGCTTTCGCAGCTCGCCCTCTTTCAACCCTCAATCGCCCTGTTCAACGCGTTGACGTTACATTCTATCCGCGCTCTCGTCGCGTCTGGGTCCCTTCGGATACTACCGGACCCTCGAGCAAATCGATTTCGCACACTCTCCCCCCGTGAAATCTACCGTCCACCTTGACCCCCAACCACCCTCTTTCTCGACCCTCTCACATCCTCACATCCCTTTCTTCCATCACAATGCGTGCTACCTTTGCTCTGTCCAACGCCGCCCGGACTCCCCTGATCCGATTCGTCGGCAAGCGGTCCGTCCCCAGTACGTGAAAAAAAAAACTCCCCTCTCCCGGCCGGGAGCTTCCCCGTCCCAATATGCTCCCCGCGGACCCGAGCGTCCAAAGTGCCAACGCTTTTGCTAACCGCTGTCAATCTACAGAGACTGTTGACCACACCCCTCGTGTCCACCCGGCCTCTCCCGCAGGATCTCTTCCCGACTCCTTCGCCGCGTACCGCGCAAAGGCCCAGCAGCACGGTCCCCTCGGCCGTGCCTCGTTCGCCAGCGGCATCGGTGGCCAAGCCGGTGCTTCCTTGGGCCCCATTCGTCCCCGAGCAGGCGAGTTCTTCGACCGCGCCGAGCTTCCCGCTCGCTTCGGCCGTCTCCCCTGGAGCCAGGCCGAGATCGACGCCGTCGAGACCGGCGGCGCGAGCATGTTCGCGTAAAATCTTTACCAGCAGAGATTGTGGTTTTATGTACACCATGAGCGACGGGGTACAATTACTCTTACGATTGAAGTGACGGGTGGTGTGGCAAGCACCAGGCCTGTTGATGTCGATTTATGCGACCGTGGCTTTTTCGAAGTTGGGAGGGGACACCATGGAAGTTGATCTCTCGAGGCCACAATTCACGTGTGGTGACCACTCGTCGCTCTCGAGCAGAACTTCTCCATGACCCTCCCTTGATCTGGCCACTGGTCCGCTGTCCGCCGCAAGAAACGCACTCCCTCCGTCCTCTCCGTCTCGTGGCTGGTACGGGCGTTTTTTGCTATCCCTTTTTGATTCATTAGGTTCATGCCTTTTTTTCATGTTACCCGAAACTGGCGCTGGTGGTTGATTTCTTTTTTTTTTGGGTGTTCCAATCATTCTATATTTTCTAAGCGCAACATACGGCTTCTCGTCTTGATGTCTGAAAAGCGACGTGCTTCTTTTGGTTTTATTTTCATAGATTCTGGGTTCTGGGGACTTGGGGGCTTGAAGACCATTCGTTTTGATTCAACTGTGACATATTTTTTTGCTCTGGGAGCAATTTGAACAATGGAGATATCTTCTCAATCATATTCTCCAACTCGATCGCTTGGTCCTGTAATCTTATGTATTCGGGGATATACCGTACGCAACTATTCCATCTCAGAGCACATACCTGCGCCTCTTATCACTGCCCAGCCCTCATCAAAAATTATTATTACTTTTCCAGTTATATTCGTTGAGGTCCGAGTGATGAGCAGTAGCAAATTGCAAAATGCCAAGAAGAAAAAAAAATGATAAGAAGATGTTTCTTGATATTGTCTTCATGCTCATTCGGTAACTTTCAATAGTATAAGCTTTTTGACATTAACTCAAAAACTGATGGGAAAGTATTCTAATATTAACGAACGACAAGAGTGTTGAACTCTTGACATTTAGTGTGCTGTACTGACGACCGGACTGTCCAGGCAGATCTTATTCATCAAAACAAATTTCTTTAAGTCGACCCCCTTCAGCGCAGGGCTCATTCTTGAATGATAAAAAAAACTCCTTATAACCCGACATTTATGAGTCCTGAGCCCCTTATGGCGGCCTCACATGATTTTTCAAAGCATTATCAACCTTTCCTGTCGCAAGTAACCGTTGAACGATTGCTTCGTGTCCCTTCATCATAGCATAAAACTGTGGTGTGTGACCAGCCTTGCACGCTAAATCAACACCAATCCCCTCTGTTTCAAGAAGCAACTCGACAACAGTGTCACAGCCATACTCAGCGGCAAATGAGAGTGGTGTCCGATCACAATTATCCACCGAGTTAACATCAGCCTTCCCCGATGCAAGCAACAACCCAACAATAGCTTCGTCGCCTCTCCACGCTGCTAAAGACAGCGGTGTGAAATTCAAAGTCGCTTCTTTCAAATTAACATCAATCTTCTCCGCTGCGAGCAATAGCTTGACAACAGCGCTGCATCCTTCATGGGTGGCTAATAGCAACGCCGTCCTATCGCGGGTATCTTGTAGGTTCACATCAATATCATCTGTTTCCAGCAACAGCTCAACAACAGCAGTGTGTCTTTTCTTAGCGGCTAATAGCAGCGGTGATTGGCCATTATCATCCGTCAAATTCACATCGACTCCTTCTGTTGCAAGGAGGAGCCTGACAACAGCTTGATGCCCATTTGCCGCCGCATAGGATAGCGGTGTATGGCTGTTATCATCTATTGAATTCACATCAACTCCTTCTGTTGCAAGAAGGAGCTTGACAACAGCTTGATTTCCATTTGCCGCCGCATAGGATAGGGGTGTCTGACCAAAACTATCTCTTGAGTTAACATCAACCTCTTCTATTGTGAGCAACAACTCAACAGCAGCTTCATTGCCTCTCCATGATGCCAACGACAGCGGCGTGAGATCGAGTTCCTCCGAAGTGAGAATCATGTCAGATGCTCTCCCTACCGAGAGTAATTCCTGCAATATTTCGACAAGATTCCAGATAGCTGCTGCGAATACTGGACTGCCAGAATCCGAACAACAGAATGATGCAAGATACAGAGGGTATGTCTTGTCTATGCGAAGGATCTCGTTGAATCTGGGATCCCCACGAAGCCAATTCTGGAAAGTTGTGGAGCCTGATCCCTTCAAGAGCCAGTTGATCAACTGGTCGGAGATCCCGAGAGTTTGACGGTCTTCTTTACTCAGTTGAATACAATGTTCTCCCCAGTACCTGGAAGCATACCAAAGGAACGCGTCATGGGCCATTGATGCTTTATATATAGCCCATTCACAGGAATACGTATACTGCAAACACGTCAGGGCGAGCTGGGCGTGGCACTTTGTATTGCTGTATTCCGACCGATGCTCTCCTTGCAAGTAGTCTTTCACTGACACATGAGCAAACTCTAGTGTTTCATCTCTTGTTTCAACGAGGAAATCCCGAGTCAGCTCCCTAATGTATTGTGCATCAACTGTTTTGTCTGTGACGACTCCATTCTCCCTGAAAGCAACGGCCACTACAATGGTAGTAATAGAAAGGGGGCAGATGCTGCAGAGGACAATCTTGTAGATCTTGCTTGCATGGATACGCTCCAGGTCGTTCTCGGAGGTATTGCGCTCGAAGATATCATTGTAAGCAATGCTCAAGTCTTTTTCGTCTGCAACAGAGCTAGTGTTGAGTTGATCTAGATATTTCTCAACGGTGTCCCGGCGGACAAATGGGGTTTTCCGATTCAAAAAGAAAGAGAGTTGCAACTGGACCCAGATAAACCTGAAGATATGTTAGCTGCCTTGAAAGCTACCAGCTGTCGAGGGACTTATCGGACATTCCGCCTGCTCTCCTACCGAGAATTTCGATGAGCCGAGTCTCGAGATCTGGGTGTTTTCCTTTCAGCAACCTCTCGTCGTCGTCTCTTTCGTTAACTTCGGTTTGAATATACGTGATCATGTCAGTTTCCGATGATGATTTAGTGAGGTTGATGATCACCACGTTCGGGATTTTCTCATCAACGTGAACCTCGTGTCGACTGGACACGAGTACCTCAAGTCCGCCCGGGATGACTTCAGAAGCATCTTTCAGGGCCTTTAATAGCGTCTTCGGCGCATCACACTCATCCAGGGCATCAATGATTATTCTGAGCTTGACTCCCGATCGAACTATTTCATGCAGCAATTCATTGCACGCTGCGAAGGAGAGCGGTTGCAAATCTTCTGAATCTCCTCCAGCGTTTTTGTAAGTATGTAGTAGCTGCGTAGATATCCTACCATTGACAGGGTCATATGCTGCCTGTCGAAGGAGCGCCCGAAGCACTGACTGATATGAGTGTTTGGAATTTCGATCTGCTCCTCTGGAGCAATAGAAGTAGGCCAATCGGTGACCGGGGTACAGAGAAGCTCTGTCCAGATGCCATTGGGTGATTCGAGTTCTACAATACAATAATAAGCTCTCCTCATCAAATTCCATCAGAAAAACTTACAGTAGAGTCGATTTTCCGGTGCCGGCTGTCCAACATCAGCTTCATGTTTTGTCTAGCATCGGTAGAGAACACTGACTTGTACCACGGAGCCAAAGAAATCGGCTATCAGATGTTGGTTCTGCCGAAGACCAGTCTTTGAATTGTGGAGTGTTCAACAGCCATTGTCCGCACGTTCGGTACTTTTGGTCGACTCCGGTCCTCTCAAGAGCGTCATTGTGCGCGGTCTCTGGTCGGTAGTCCGATATCCACTTCTTGACTTTCCCGTGCTGGTCGACTGCTATCTTGCAGCGATCGAAGGTATTTTTTGCATTGGTATGATAAGTACTGATATCCCTGATTTGGTCTTTCCACGAAACTGTTCTGATGTGGTTCATGACGACTCGGGCTAAAGACTGTAAGACAAGCATGGCCTAGTATCCAGGGAAAGTCATACCTGCAAATCCATCTGAGACGGTATCCACCAATTCGACTTCTAACTCGAGAACCGCAGCATACAGCTTGATCAAGTCGGCCTCTAGATCGGTGAACTTATTCGAGGCATCACTTATATCGGTCCGTAGATACAAGGTTTCAACATTTGCCCAGTAACTCAGATTGGAGGCAACAGAGTCTAGGTCCCGAAGCATTTCTCGTAGAATTTCTGGTTCGTTCAAACATGCCTATTGACGAGATACTTTACATGAGCTGGGGCACCTGGTATTCTCAGTGAAAAACAACTACCTTCAACACCGTGCAGACGCCCCGCACGACTATTGGTGCAATTTTATGAGGATCAAAACTCGCAGCGGCCACTGCAATGTTTTCGAAGAGAAGGATGGACCTAATGGTTTTTTCAAACCCTCCAGCCCGTCGCTTGTCCTCTCGTATTTCCGACTCGGGGAATTTTATCAAGCTCTGAGGGTCATCTTGGCTCCAACTCGTGTGCTTAATTTTAATATGCTCTAACTTCTTGTACACGCCGGGCCGAGTGTGTTGCAAACTCTCTATAGCCCGGGTCCAGCAAGAAGATTGTGGCTGTAAGTTCTCATGTGAGTTCTCAGGGGAGCCCTGCAATGAGGATTCATGGGGGCGTCGGGTCAAGACGCGGCGCTTTGGAAGCTTTGAAGTAGACTTAGGCCGACTATCGGGTACTATCCTTGGGCCGAGATTGGCAGAAGGGTCAGATTTGGGCTGCGAAGCTGGACTGCAATATTTGAGTAAGGCCTTCTGAAATGCCTCTCCACGACTTAGGGCCATGGTTTCCGCGAGAATCGCAATAGTAGGGGTAGAAGGGATGGTGGAAACGGGAGGTGATGCGCAAACGTCTCGAAAGATACAGGGCGCTTGCGGCTGACGCCTACTGCCAACAGTAAAAATAGTAAATATGCATGCTTCAGATCTGTGACTTACCCCGCCCTGGTGTAGGCCACAGCAACAACCTGCCGCGCTCATTTTTGCTATGACTGATCAGTCCTTCCTGATACAGTATTAGTCCAAAGTAGTTATACCTCTACACTCTTGCGATTTCTTTCTGGGATAAGCCCGAGATAAGTTAATTTACTCTGGCTCCCCATTTTATAGGTTCGGCAGAAATGCAATGGCAATGTTTGATGACAAATACATAGATAATTCGTCGTTATTATACTATAATGCACTATATAATCACGTAGAAACAATTTAGCGATCTTTTATGATCGCTCAGCTGTCCTGTGCCTTCCTGCCTGACCTATGATGTCCTTTCTTGGGGTTTGGTGGAGAAATAAATACCGTGGAATATCGTGTAGGCCTGGCCTTGGTTACACTGGTTCCGGGAAACAGCATCACTACCTATACTCTTTCATTGTTCCTCGAACCCTGACACTAATATACACTAATCAATATGAGGAAACATGTAGGAATATTAATTTTCTGATATTATACAAAGACCGACTCATACAGAACCAATTTACATGACGACGCATTAGACTATGTAGGGTGTATTGCTGGTGAAATGCAAACATCTCAAACAATTTACCAGCCACTCGTGGATCTCCGCACCTGTCATTCTCTCCACATAACGAAGGGTCTTGGTATGTTCCACGGACGAGATACTTTGTTTCATCATGACATCGAATTCATTTAGTGGTCCCAACAATGGAGCGCAGATTGCGGTCAACTACGGTCCAATCAATCATGGCTTGGGTAAGCCAGAGAACCGGTTCAGATCAAAGTCCACTGACTAACCATCGCTTCCCACCTTCAAGCAACCGAAGCCTCCTCTGGCAGACGACTTTGTCTACGCGACCTCTTCATAACTAATCCAAAGGAGGATAAGAATGCATTGAAACGCAAGAAAGGACGCCATGCTGCCGGAACCTGCGAGTGGATACTCCGCACGGAAGAGCTTAATGCCTGGCTTGGTTCGGGACTGACTGTGGGTCCCGAGCGCCAGACGGCCCAGGTGCTATGGCTCCATGGTCCCCCAGGAACTGGGAAATCGATGATGGCCGTGTACCTTGCAGAGAATCTGCCGACAGGCTTGTCCACTGCGGATGGGGAAACTCTAGTCTACTTTTTCTGTGACTCAGGCTTCGATACACGGAAGACCGCGACTTCGGTTATTAGAGGGCTGCTTTACCAGCTCGTTGAGCGGCACGAGAAGCTCTATGATTATCTCCTACCAAAATACAATACACGTGGGGCAGAACTGTTCACGTCATTCGACGCCCTCTGGGATATCTTCATAGCTATGATAGCGGATCCAATCACGGGCCGAACATACTGCATCATTGACGCTCTAGATGAATGTGATCGAGAGTCGCAAAATCTTTTATTACAACAACTTGAAGAATCATTTCAGAGCCAAAAAGTCTCACCTCATCTCCGGATATTGGTCACCAGTAGGCCATATTCCGAGATACGCGAAACCTTGCAAAGCTTTCCGAATAAAGATCTGGCTACTTTCCCTCAAAGACAGAAGGATATGGATCTCTTTATCGATGAAAAAATAAATGACTTAGCCGAAAGAAAAAATTATACCGAAAAGATCAAGACACAGATCCGCGAAATCTTTCGAGAAAAGTCCGAAGGTACTTTTCTCTGGATTGGCTTAGCGTATGAGGAGCTTAAGGACATTCCTTCCCATCGCGTCATCCGCGCGTTGCAAAGTATGCCGCAGGGACTCATCAAACTCTATACAAAGCTTCTCGAGATGGCTTTGGAACAGAGTGAACTGAGTGCTGATGAAATTCGACACCTCTTGATTTGCGTGGCTTTGAGTTCACGACCACTAACTGTGTCGGAACTCTCCGAAGCATGCCAACTACATCTGGACGAAGACGACCGTGACACAAGGCTCCAGTTCACTTACGAGTATATCGAATCCTGCCGCTTGATGATCATTGTTCAAGACAAGAAGGTGCTTCTGTTGCATAAATCAATAAAAGATTACCTAGTTGGGGATAGCTCGAAGCATTTTATTCAAAAAAGCGAGGGTCATGCTTTACTTGCTTATCGCTCTATTGATCTCCTCATTCGGCAGTTCCACAGCGAGAATCGACCATATACCCCCTTTTTAGACTATGCTGCTCAAGAGTGGGCTAACCATGCGCGCATGGCTGAGTCGAATTTCAAGGTCCATTCTCCCCAAGCGGAGTTTTTCCAACTCGATTCTCCTTGTCGGGAATGGTGGCTGCAGCAAATAAGAAAATGGCCATTATATGGTCTTAAGAGAATTCCAACGAGGTTCTCCATATTTCACGTGGCTGCAGAGTGGGGGATTTGCGCTTTACTGGACCCTGGCACCGAGTTAGGAGCACGTGGAACGGACGAAGAAAAGTCGACTTGTGCTGTTCATGTCAATTGCAAAGATGATTCGGGTATGACGCCTCTTGAATGCGCCGCGAGGTCAGGATATCCTAATGTTGTTATTGCCCTCTTGAACTGGGGAGGGAGGGTTACAAGGCAGGTGTTGAAGGCTGCGGCTAGGAATAGGGAAAGCGGCAAAGATATGATGGCACTCCTTCTTCACCGCTACGGAGACCAGATCACTATTACTGATGAGGTGTTGAAGGCTACGGCTAGAAATAGGGAAAGCGGCAAAGATATGATGGCACTCCTTCTTCACCGCTACGGAGACCAGATCACTATTACTGATGAGGTGTTGAAGGCTGCGGCTAGCAATTGGGAAAGTGGCCCTGACGTGATAGGACTCCTTCTTGATCGCTACGGAGACCAGATCACTATTACTGATGAGGTGTTGAAGGCTACGGCTAGAAATAGGGAAAGCGGCAAAGATATGATGGCACTCCTTCTTGATCGCTACGGAGACCAGATCACTATTACTGATGAGGTGTTGAAGGCTGCGGCTAGCAACTGGGAAAGTGGCCCTGACGTGATAGGACTCCTTCTTGATCGCTACGGAGACCAGATCACTATTACTGATAAGGTGTTGAAGGCTGCGGCTAGCAACTCGCAAAGCGGCCCTGAAGTGATAGCACTCCTTCTTGACCGCTACGGAGACCAGATCACTATCACTGATGAGGTGTTGAAGGCTGCGGCTAGCAACTGGGAAAGTGGCCCTGACGTGATAGGACTCCTTCTTGATCGCTACGGAGACCAGATCACTATCACTGATGAGGTAGTGGAGGCTGCGGCTAGCAACTGGGAAAGTGGCCCTGACGTGATAGGACTCCTTCTTGACCGCTACGGAGACCAGATCACTATCACTGATGAGGTAGTGGAGGCTGCGGCTAGCAACTGGGAAAGCGGCAAAGATATGATGGCACTCCTTCTTGACCGCTACGGAGACCAGATCACTATTACTGATGAGGTGTTGAGGGCTGCGGCTAGGAATAGGGAAAGCGGCAAAGACGTGATGGCACTCCTTCTTCACCGCTACGGAGACCAGATCACTATCACTGATAAGGTGGTGGAGGCTGCAGCTGGTAACAAAGACTTTATGACACTCCTTCTCGACCGCCGGGATCACCTGATCACTTTCACTGATAGGGCTAAGGTGGTGAAAGCTGCAACTGGTAACTAGGGGGTGGGGAGGGTGGGCAGCAAGGACACACGAGAGAACAACTCCGTCCTGGGCAAAAGTAGGAAATATTCGATACTATTGATCATAGTAAAATTAGGCCACTTGCAACAAGGTCTTGCCAAGTGGAGCCTAGCCTGTCCGTCTAAGCCCAACCCGTCTATCACATCCAGAGTCATCGACAAATACCAGGTGATAGGATTCAAAATCGGGCAGAGTGTTTAGAAAATAGTCTCGTAAATCGGCATTCTGCTCCTTAGCATGTTATCGCGCAGTCTTTTTGGACCAAAATTTGGCGACAAGGGCTCTTCGGATACTGGAGGTTGTGACCAAGGCCTGAAGCTCGTCCCAGAGGAAGAGAGTCATCTCATCCAAGTAGAAGCCAGGCGTCTGAGATAAATAGTCGTAGAGGGCTTCTATCATTAACGACGTCATAGTAAATTTCTGTCCTATTCGGGTTTGGGGCGCATAGATGCTTCCAAATTGCCGCAAGTTTCTGTGAATATTGATTCTCGTAAGCTTCGCATATTCGGCTTCTTCGGTTATCTGGTTGGTAAAGGACTGGCTCTCTATTATATCACGAATGGATGGAGCTTCGCCTGAGGGAACCTTGAAGCCATGTGCAGAGTAGTCTTTTGATAACGGACAACGGGCAGAATAAAGGGCGATAGTAAGAAAGTGGAGTGATGCCTGGGAGGAGAAGTGGTATGACGTAGCACTTGGATGGTGGTTCGAAATACAAACATTTTTGCCGTCTCACATCTATATTGTAACGCATAGGTCTCTTTTTTCAAAACAATCTAGAGCTAGGCTTCAGCAAGTAGATCTAATCATAATTTTAACCTTCAAATTCATTATCCAGCAAAGAGAAGAGTTTCGAGGTATAACTGATTTCGAATCTTACTGTATAGATCAGTTAAACCTGGTCTTCAGAGCACATCAGCATTTCACTGTATCCATGTATTATCGCAGTCTGTTCTGTGCAAGTACAGAATGGTTTGAAATCAGTCTGGCCTTGGTGCGAGCGGATAGCTGTGCAGTGGGAAAGATGATGTTTCATTTCTTACGAGAGAAAGATGACATCTAAGCTAACTAACCTAGTTAACAATGAAAAGGGGATAACATAATCATGCGGTAACAGGCCGTGACCTTGAATACGCTGGTCCCCTTTACATTCCTATACTCCTTTAGTTAAGTAAAACTCTAATAGAATTCTCAGAAGCATTAATTTCATACCAGACGTAAGTCTCTTGAAAGCACCCATTTTGAATGGTCGGGCTTGGCTTCTAGAATCATGGCCCTTCGCTCGGAGAAGCTGTTGATCTAACGATGGCACGCGGCAATAAGGCCTCTAGGCTGCCCTTCTTTCCTAATGTGTGAACACAATACATTGAATTGACTAGATTCATTTAATATAAGTATTCCATTCCGATTATATTCCGAGTTGTCAGAACAGTCTCGCCGAGCGGACCTGAGTGTTCTGAGACGTTTAGAGTGATTACATAATAATCACACGTCTACCCCAAGCGCTCCCTGGACGTGCTTAGATCGCCTCAGGGATCAAAAATAGCGCTTCGTGGGCACTTTCACGGAAGAAGAAAGCCACGTTTGGGTTTCAGATCTTTAGTAGGTAGACAGGTTCGCGCTGCGCAGTCAAAAGCAGACGTCAAATACTGGAGGCGCTTCCCCACACGTGCCTCCTTAGCCTCCAGCCTCGACCAGCCAGCCTACTGGGTCTCTGGCGCTTCCGCAGACCGTCAACAGCATGACTGCAAAGGCCGAGAATCGCTTGACCTTTCAGGAAATAGACAATGCAGGTCATCCTGCTGTGACCTATGTCTATTCCGAACAAGATGCGTACTCCAAGCAAACGGTGGGCAGGGTGGATATTCTGGTAAGCGCATCTTTCACATTCGGCTGGCACTCCCAAGGCACTACCGAGGTTTATACCTGCTCGGAAGTATAATTTGATAAAGTTGCAGCTTCACTGGTGATGCATAAGATTCCATGTCTCTACTATGGCTATATCGTGCGTTTGATTCAAACCCCTCGGGATCTCGGTCTGGTAAATGCCACATTGTTTCAACGTTTAGCGCAAGCTTCGTCTCTGAGGATCCTGTGTTTCGTGCTTTTTGCTCAACGGGTCACAAACATATATCATCAAGTCTTCCCTGTCGTTAAATACTCATGCTACCGTGCTTGTGACTAATCGAATTTGATTCACCTACGCCAACATCATGCCTTCAAGCCAATTACCGGTTCTATATCGTGACTGACAACGGTGAATAGAACCCTCCGTCCAGCGCCTTGTCATGGTCAACCAAGCCCCTCATCAATTATCTCAGCGATGTATTCCTACCTACTGGCTATCCACAAAGTGTGAGCGATGACTATTTGCCGTGAGTATGAGAGTGAAGCGTGCCTGACCCGTACTTTATTATCGCTTGATTGCTTAAGCCCCTCATCTTCCTCTTCCTCCACGCCAAACTAACGAAGATCTATAGATACCAATTATTTGTGAGTCTTCCAGCATCTAACTTCTGGACCACAATCCTTTAGAGTAAATGTGATCAGTATATCTGATCTACTCAATACATGAGTCACCAATGACTTAATTCTGAGCTGACATCCAATGCTACCACAAGGACTCATTACAAGCTTTCTGCAGTTCGATAGCAGGCTTACTCTCTTCACGTGCTGTTCTTCAAGGTCTGTACACCACCTACTCGTCATATAAATTCAGATCTTAACCGAGATAGGCGTCGGTGTGGGTAATGCTGATGCATCTCCAACCTCGGCTCTGCTTCTGCACATCTTACAAGACTCATCTGGTCGAGTAGCGACAATTCTCTTCGCTCATCGCGTCGGCACCGCCCTCGAGCCAGAGTGCAAGACTTACCGGCTCGCGGCAGACGTGTTCAACGACTTCGCCATGATCCTCGACTGTTTATCGCCCATGGTTCCAGCGGGCATGATGCGCGTATCAGTCCTCAGCACAGCAGGCGTCCTCCGAGCTCTCTGTGGCGTCGCAGGCGGCAGCTCGAAAGCAAGTCTGAGCGCGCATTTTGCAAAATGGGGGAACCTGGCAGAGCTCAATGCTGTACGTCCCGTTTGAACCAGTAATCAACTTACCTTTTCTGGTAGGAGATAGGCGAATATCATGGCTCACGTATTCACACAGAAAGATTCATCGCAAGAAACGGTCATATCGCTTCTGGGTATGCTGGTAAGAGCGTTTCCCTCGAATCTTAAATATCAATGCGTATCGACTCCCCGACCTAAATCTCACCCCTTCCAAAATAGGCCGGATCAGTCGTCGTATCCCACGTCACCAGCTTCACCACAACCTGGCTAGCGCTCCTCATTCTCCTATCAAGCCATCTCGCCCTCAACTATGCCGCCGTTCGCGCGGTTCAAATGACCAGTCTAAACCGCCAACGAGCCAATCTGGTCCTCTCCACCCTCCTCGCCACCGATCCAGCCATTAAGCCCCAAACCCTTGCTCTCCCCTCATCCCCAGCCCCAACCTCAACCCACACCCCACAACCCCCATGGAAAGTTCTCAGCCCAGCCGAAACCGCTCAATATGAACACATCTTCCCCCGCGCCGACGCCCTGCACTGGAGCTACCCCGGCACCACCCACCAGCACCTCGGTACAGCCTCAATCGGGGCCACGCTCGCCACATTCATCCAGCACGCGCGTGCAGCGCAAACTCCCCTCCCCGCACTCCACTCTCTGTTCGCTTCTGAAGCGCACCTCCTCGTACTGTCATGGCAGCGCGACCGGTGGCACGCTACTATCCTGTTGAAGAAAGGATGCAGCGTGCGTGGGCAACTGAAGGGCTGGACGCACGCGCTGCTTGCGGCGCGGGTACTGGGGGAGTTACGTGGAGAGACTCTGGATGGGGATGCGATGGTGGGAGTTCTTAGGCGCACGCTGGAGGTGCTTAATGCAGGGGCTTGGTTTGAGAGGGCGGTTGTTGCGCTGGAGGAGAATGGGTGGGCGGTTGATATTGCAGCGTTGGAGACGGGAAGGGGGGTGAGAGTTCTGTGTTAGGGATTGGGGAGAAGTTGTGCGTGTGATGTACTATTTTGATTGCTGATTAGGACAGGCAGGGAGGCGGAAATGTGAGATACAATTCACTCCACGCCTCAATGGCACATTTCAGGAGATATGGATTCTATATCACGAATCTCTAGGGCTCTTTTGTGCAATAACTATTCGCCTTCCCCACCTCTTGTCTTCTATTGACGTCTACCGCACTAACCAGGTCTTATAACTATTGCACAAATGCTCTAGAGGCGTTGTGCAATATAAGATGACTTTAGAGTCAGCCAACCAACTATATGGCAGGAGGAAATGATATGCAGAGAAAATATCGAAGGATTGCCATCCTCCTTCTCCTGCTCTATGAGTATACGCAGATTGCAGAGAGACAGAGGCATTTAATTCTATCAAGTCCAGCGATACCCCAACTGTCCCTGTCCACCTCCTCTTCATCTCCACGTGCCTCGGTGACGACATAGAACGCCAAATCTACCCACAGCCCCAATCTGAAACGCTGTCATCAGATCTGGCCCCCGACACTACCTCTATCTCTCCCGGGGGAAAAAAAGGCAAGCTATGGATCTTACAGGCACGCTCACCACCATGTGCTTCTTTCCCATCAGCCCCCGCAAACTCTAATTGCGGTGGAGGCGGTGCACGCTAGTACGATACGGAAAGATATGATGGGAGATTGTAAGCAGATACAAGAGGCTCTGGGACTCAGATCCTAGCTTGGTCAGAAGAATCGCAATACTGGTGTGATATTCAAGGTCCTCCTAGGGCGGAGAGATGGGGGAGGGTGGAGGGGGTGCCGTAAGGCCATAAATATAAGTTAATGAAAAGCCAAAGAGATACAAAACGCCCGTCTCTCGTCTCATAGGCCCGAAAAGGTAGTGATGAACAGAAGAAGAAGTACTGCCGTAGTAGCAGTATAGTCTCGAATACATAGAGTCAGTACATTGCTCATACACCTCACATAAACCTTGGCATTCTAGCGCCTTGGGGTGATTTGAGGCAGGAAACAGGGTCCAAGCGAGGCCCCCGATTCCTCAATTTAGATTTAAGTCCGAAATGCCATACAAGGGTTCTGCTTATTTCCATACCGGAGATATACGAAGAGAAAGCCTTAAGTCGGTGTCCGTATATGACCAGTCAGATCTAGATGGATGACTCTCCCAGGAGCGATATAGAGGCTGCTGACTGATACCCTATCAGGCTTCTCAGCCAAGTTTTTTTCTTAGGTGCAAGGATACCCAAGGAAAAGATTACCCAAAGAGTGACGAAAAAATTGCCAGATGCAATACAGCAATTGCTTGCTGCCTAGCCTTCTGTGGGTTTGCTCTGGCCTGCTCAGAGGGGCAGCGAAACGCCAAGAGCAACGAGGCCGGAGACGGCCCCACTATACGGAGTTCGGAAGATGAATCAAAAGTACAACTACACAGGGAACATGTTGTGAAGTGGGTATCAAGTCTATTGATCCAGGTGACCGAGGTAACGGCACCATCCTATCGTGGCAAGCTATCGACACAGATCCACCAGTGCTGATATGCAAGAGAAGAGAGGTAGACAGGAGAAAAAAAAAAAACGCCCGAGCCGACGCAGATCAGATCATGATCTGCGAGACTCCATATCCAGTCTATGTATGATGGAAGCCAAAAGAAAAGGGAAAAAAGAGACCTTTCCCCAATTTGGGAGAAACGGACCAGAGAAGACAAGACATCAAATGCTCGCTGGTAGACGGCAAAGACGGCTGCAAGAAAAAAAAGCCCAAGACAAGAATGAAAAAATATGAAACAAGGGAAATGAACAACGCCGGGTTCGTATGCTTTCGATGCATCATGCTCTCATACACCGCCAATGAACGCTAACAAAGGATCGGATCGGGTCATGTGAGATGCGTTTCCGAGAGAAATATGGGAACAGGAAAGAATTCATGTCAAGTTGAGGGTCGATGAGAAGATTGTGATCGCGTATATATATATGTTCGAGTCGTTGAGAAAAGAGATATTGAGTCGTGGAGAAGTGCGACGTGCGTAAAAAGGGCGAATTTTGAATGTCGTAGACACTTGGGAGAGAGAAAAGAGAAGAGGGTATTTGGATGAAGAGGGAAGATGATCAGGGAGAGCGTGCCTTCTCTCTCTTTTTTTTCTTTTCAAGTCGTTTAGTCGTCGAGACCCAGGATTTTAGGGTCTCGAGAGGCACCGCTGCTGCCGGCCGATCGCTTCTTGAAACCCAGCTTCATACCCATCTTCTTCCAAGGGTTCTCGGTTCGCAGCCTAGGGCTGTGAATAGGCAGATGCGGCTCACTGGCCGGAGGCGTGGTGGGTGGCGTCATCGGCTCCTCGACAGTGGGGCTCGACTGGGGACTAGAGTCGTCTGTCAGAGACACAGACTCTCCGCTGGTGCTGAGGAGAGCACCGGAGGCCCGTTTGCCCAACGCCTGAACGGCCCCCAGCGAGATGGTGGAGCGGCCACCGGCCGTAGCGGGTAGATCCTTGGTGGAGGACTGGGGGGAGATGCGTTTGCCGCGCGAAAGGACTCGCTTTACCGAGTTCTCATCAAAGCTGGTGCCCGACAACGCCATGACATCATCCGGGCCAAAGGGGGGCCCGGAGTGTGCCATCATGGCCGGGGAAGTGGTGAGGCTGTTTAGAAAGGGCAAGAAGATCGATTCCTCCATGAGCTCGTGGATACGTTTGACGGCGGAATCGAGGGTCTCGGGGGCCGGTGGGGTGGTGACGTCGCGATAGTGAAGGAGGGCGTCCCGAACTTCGCTGGAGAGATTGATCTCACGAGGGGCACCGGGGAGGATGTAGGCCATCAGGAGCCGATGCCACAGCATGCGGAGATGCTGGGCTTCCGGGGAATCCGGGACAGCCAGGACGGCGAGGCCCAGGCGATCGACAACGGCATCGTATGTATCCCGGTAGCGGTTGGCCTCCATCGTGAATTCGAGGGTCTCGAGGCAGTGGTTCTGGGAGAGATAGGCCATGAACGCGGAGAGCGTATAGGGCGGTGCGGCGGTATTGGCCAGGACCTCATTGAGCGTCGGGCGCATCGGACAGAAGGCTCCCGTCGAAACGGCCAGGCTGACCGGTCGGGAGCCAGATGATTCCATCTCCTCGTCCGAGTCGCTATCCGACGAGGTGGGCGACAGTTCGGGGGTGGTGGTTGGGGAGGAGGAGAAAGTCCAGAAGAAGGCGGGCGCCAAGGTCTTCTTCTTCAGCATCGCGTACAACTTGTGTCGAGATCCCTTGACCTGGGCTCGTTTTTTCGCCGGTCCTCCCCTCAGTGCTGGGCGAGGCTCCAGCGTTGATGATGGGGCCGGAGAAGCGAGACACAGAGACGGCAGAGGGGACCGAAGGGACCGACGGGGAGAGGTCCAATGTTATTGATGGGCGAGGACGTAGACAGGGAATCGCATTTGAAGAGAAGAGAGAGGACGAGAAGTGGAAAATGCAAGAATCCGAGCAGAGAATGGTGGAGAGAGGGGGGGGGGAGGAAAGTATTGGTATAGTATATAGGAATAGAAGGAGAAGGAGTAGTAAGAGACGGTTGATGGAGCCAGAGAGGGCGAGCGGGTATATGAGAGAAGGGATCGATAGCAGAAGGGAAAAGGGAGGCCCACTTTTTCCACCTTTCTGGAATGATTCTGGGCCGATCGCGATGACGATTAGTTGGAGGAGACTTGGAGTGGATTTGGCTCGACCGGCTTTGACTGGTTCGCGGGGCTCGACTGGGTTGTGACTGGATTGACTGCGAGGAGGAGGGTGGAGCCCGTCGTATGGCGCGGTATCATCGTGTATCGTTGGTTCCACGATCCTCCTGGGCTGATCGGGGTGGCGACTCCTGGCCGAAAGATCCAGTTCGTCAAGGCGATGACACTCCCGATTTCTCGCGAGAGAATGTATTTCGGGAACTCCTAGATACGGAGGGAGATACGCGGTGTATAGAGGTAGGGAACTATGGAACTATGGGGAGCATGGAGTGTATAGCGGGATCGCGGTATATCCCTGCCTCGGACGGCCTGTCCTCTGTGAAGGACGATGCGGCAGCACACATCCAAGACACAAGGTCCCCCCGGGCCGATTCGCAGGATTCATGGTCCTGATAGTTTCTGCTCATGTCCAACATACAAGAATGTTGGGTTGGATGGGTCTCAGACCAGATAGACTCCTTCTATTGCCCTTCCAAACCATGAGGGTTACGACAAGCGCCGGGGCGCAAGGGATGGGCCACCCCTGCATTGCAATCATCCTACGCAATACTACTAAATACTACCAGTGATGTTGGTTCCACATCCGTCCTGTCATTGGGGAGACCTCTCCAGTCCTGTCCTGTCTGTCCTCCGTCGTGCTTGAGAGGGAGGGGGTGATCAGGGCGACTTCTGGCATGGAAGGCTTCTATAGTTCAGCGGTCACACCATGATCACCCTCATCCCTCCATTCCCTCTGGGCTCTGGGTTCCATGCAATGATTGCCTGTTACGAGAAGAATTCGAGCACTCGAGCATTCATGATTCGTGCGTAACTCTTGATTCTTATTTCTTTTGCGGGTTTTCTGAGTTGTTCTAGAAGCCATTTGCCCCCGCCCGCGTGGCGATGGCTGACTCGTACAGCTTCAAACTGGCCTGGGTACTTAATTCTTGATTATTTGATCGGACATTTTGACTTCGGCCTCCTGCGCAATTTTATCGTCATAGAACTGTTCACAGCACCCTGGAGAACACCCCGCGCACCCGCTTGCACCCTTCAGCATCCTGCGCCCTACGTTCTACACCCATCCTTCACCCAAATCCCCCCTAAGCCCCCAAACCCCGGAGCACCCTGAGCGGCTTGACAAGGCCGCCAAGGGGAGAGGAAGGCTCCAAGCCCCATTGGCGCGATAGGGACCAGGGCCCCCAAACCCGGATCAGCCGAGCAAGCCTCAAACTAGCCCACTCCACTTTCTCTTTTTTTTTTTTTTTTTTTTCTTTTCCCTTTTTCTCTTTTCTCTTTTCGAGACTCCACTTTTCTCAATAATCCAAAAGGATCGCCCAATCTCCAGGTGCGATGGGCCCACGCTGTCCAACGCAACAACGCTAAGCACGCCATTATCCGGTCTCGGAATGTCAATCCCTTCCTGTAGACCCACGGTTCAACATGGATCCAGACCCAATCACTGCGACTTCTGAGACCCGCCGCGCAGGCTTCTGTAACACATCCCCTTGCGTCGCCGTCACGTCATTTTCAGCGACCCCAGGACAACGTTCGACTGTGCTTCGTATGGTCCATTAGACTATATACTCTTTCCGGGAGACCCTACCTTGGATGGCCCCCTCTCCCTCACCTCGTCTTAGCGTCGTGAGGGCAGGATGTGCAAAATCGCCCTGTCGATCGCTCAGGAATGGAAGCTGGGTGGCATTACGATGACAGCACGCCCATACCTAACACAGAAGTAGGTCGCCTGGTTTGCTCTCTGCTTCCCTCCTGGAGCCTCAAGCCAAGCCCGCCAAAAGAGAGGCTGTGTCCTCCTCCGACTCGATCGCGACCGGGAGCTATATCAAGCGATCCCAACCGGGACGAGGCTTTTACAATTATTTCCCGCAAACAAATAGTGCCTCTCGGGGCTCTGTCCCGGCCATTATCAGCACGCTTCATGAAAGATCCCGGAATGTATCGCCGGTGTGGCTGGATATCTCTTGCCCCCCTGGCGCATCGAGCAATGCCATAGAAAGTCGGGAGAAAATCCCGCCATTCCTTCCTGTCTGCAGGTTGTCGACCTCCAACCTATTCCAGTAGTCTCTGAGACTGCCGTCTCCCCCGAGGCTCGCCCGCTCGCTCAGTGTTGAACCTTGCCAGCCCAGCCGCCCTGGGTTCAGCCCTGGACGCCCCGGACACGCCCAAAGCATTCCCCCTCAAAAAGGGCCCGACCATCCAACCAGAAAAACCCGCCCCAACGCGACCGAATCTATTTTTCCCCTGAAAATCCTCGTTCGACTAATATATCCGCCTGTCAATATGCGGCTCATCGTATATCTTCGATCGCCCCGAATTCCGACTCACCCCGACATGTCAGTGTCCCCAGCACCGGTCCGCACCCACGAAATTACCACCAGTACGACGTCCGGTGGCGGCCGAGCCCGCCCAGACCTTCTAGAATTCTAGAATCCCCGCCGAAAAAAAAAGCCCGGCCTCCCCGTTACCCACGATCGCCACAGCCGGACAACCAGAAAAAAGACGCCTCTTTTTTTTCCGTCCCATTTTCCTTTTTGGGACGTCCTTTGTGACAGGTAACACGTAACAGGTACGGTATCCGCCGAAAGACCCATCCATGGGTTTTCCTTTTTTTCTTCTGAAGCCTGACCTTGCCACCAATTGTCCATGCCCAATAGCGCCGGTGGCCTCGCAGAAGGAGTAGAATCATGGGAAATGGACCTGGGCCAGAGTGTTTATTTTGTCTTTCTTCCAGTGTGTTTCTTTTGTTCTAGCCCGTCCGAGGCCTGATTCTGGCTATCGGATCTTGCCACTATAACAACTATACTATCACGGGACCAGAGACTCATTGTAGAGATTGGAAATCCTACGTATGTGTCCACGCATCTAGTCACGCTATCAGAGTAAAAAAAAAAAAAAAAAAAAAAAAAGAGAGAGAGAACAAGGAAAAAGAAAGAAGAAAACTATAGGGTCTTGAACCCTCATCCACACCGATATAGACCATGAACCACCCGGAGTCCTATGCTGTCCTCCGCCGACGTTCTCGTTATCAATTCCTCTCCGTCTGCCGGCCCGACCTGCCCAAGACCGGGGCAACAGAGTCAGAGTCGGTGAATCGCGTCATTAGGGCCGACTGCAACCGAGCGCCAAGAGAGTAGGCTCCACGGGCGTTGCGGGGGGGGGAAGGAGGGAAGGGGGCGCCACTCCACTCAGGACAGAGAAGGACTAGGGCCTAAAGACTGATAAGCCGGGGATTGGGCGTTCGACTCCGACAGCGGAGACGAGAAGACGGGCGCAGTGACATGGTACGATAGGAGGGGGGGGGGAGGATATGGTGATATGGTGATATGGTGATATGATAAGAGATTTGAGCGTCATTTCCTATGTAATCGCTGAATCTTTCGAGAGAAACAAAAAATAACAGAGAAAGTTAATTCGGTCGTACAACAGGCGCCGTCCCATGAGTGCATAGTTTGTGCCAGCCAGTCGCACAGTTTACAGAATTGACAGAGCTAATAGAGTTTATACAGATATAGAGAGATGCGTGGTGAACCCCAGTGTGCTGCATGCTGTCTCACTGTATGGGACTAACTCCCGTGCTCCGTCGTACGTACAGGATCTAGTTTCCCCGGTGTTTCTTTTAGTAGGGGATAATAGGGATCGACGTTACAAAGTTAAAATGCATGCTCAGATGAGCCAGTGCAGAACTGTATCTGAGAAACCCCAGCGTCTCGTCGCCGGGGGAGGGTGAGGTCTCGTCGCGACCGCGCGGTCCTGCATCGTCCCGCAGTCTAGACCAGCATGATGGCATGATGCACGAGTCATGCCGGAGGTCGGAGCTTGGGTCGTATGTCCTGCCATTGGTGCACAGATGCAGGGAAGGGGTGGGGGGAGAGGGTTGAGCAGTCTGCAACGGGGATTCTGCAACGGGGATTCTGCAACGGGGATTCTGCAAAGGAGAGAGCTGTGGAGGTTAGTTCATGCTGGATGCTGGAATGCTGGGATGCTGGTGTTCTCGGCTCCCCCACGGCCCACAGGACTCCGCGCATCTCCTGCATCTCCTCGAAGAGATAGTATCAAATCCCCTCGAAATATGAGCCATCAACCCCCGACGACCGCTGTGCACACCCTGTCCACTAGAGATCCAAGCTCATCTCCAGGCCGAACTGTAATGTCTGGGCAATCTGCACGCCCTAGCATCGCGAGAAATCCACCCCAATGAAATGCACCTCAAAAGAACAGGGCCCCACGTACGGAGTACAGAGTACAGAGAATGGAGTGCTGGACGCGGAGTCCACCTGTAGTTTTTGGTTTGCTCTTTCCCTTCGACAGTCTCCGTCAATCTGTGCTCCTTCTGCTCTGCTGTCCAGGTCCCACAATTCCCCCCGACCAGGAAGCACGGCGACCAGGATTTCCCCACCTCGTATGAAATCAACGCCCTAATGCCAGCTCCAGCCCTCGGACCTCTCGGCTAGTGCCTCGAGAACGGCCCCGTCGGCTTGGCTGCTAGAAGGAAAGAGGGGAGGGAGCGCCAATCTCACGTCGCTGTGGTCTTGCTGGCCCGTTTTTCCTTTTTGCACCCTTTTCCCCCGCTGTTGGTGCAGTACGGGGTACCTTGAAGGCTGACGCTAGTTGTTGGGGAGTGGGACGGCCTCGAACCTATCGACGACAGTCGACCTGTGGACTCCCTGTCCGCATGTCTCGTGTCCAAAGTCGGGTGAGGAGTCGAGTACCAATGTCAAATCCTGTGAGGCGAGGGCCAATTGCGATGCCAGAATAGCCGGGGAGAGGGCGACAGGGTGTTTACGAGTATCACACGATACGGAGCACAGAGTACGGAGGGGACAAACCCTCTTTCCTCCCCCCTGCCGCGTGTTGCCAATAGGAAAGGAAGATACTGGGTGACTATGAACTGCTACTACTGCTACTACTACTGCTACTCCTCCTCCTCCTCGGACTCCCAGGAACTCGGGCAGGAGCAACTGGAGTCAATTGGCACTAAGCAATGGCAGGACCCATGCATCGCTATTTATGGAGTGTCCATTCCTTGATTCTGCATTAAACCAGTTTGCCGATGCAGGTTTGGTTTGTATAACGGATGATTGCGAGGAGAACGGGTTACACAATGGACTACACGGGATCTCAGATGAGGTCTTGTCTTCGCGGCCATTGCGTCAACACAGGCCTGCTCTCAGTCTCCAGTCGGCAGATGAGTGAAGAGGGGTTCGGTAAGAAGCTTGGTAAACGAGGGCCCACGTTACACATGATAGGCAGTAGTAGACCGCGCACACTCGAACAGAGAAAGAGAGGGAGCGAGAAGAAGAAAGACGGCCAATCTCCAGCCACTAAACTTCTCCACGATCTTCTTGCAAATCCCCCAGCCGCAACACACTACTCAATCAAGTCAAAAGATGTCATGCAGGAGTCTTCGGCAATGTATTTTCCCGATCGCTACGTAAACCAAGCCGTCAAGTGTGGCCCCAAGAATCTTCTTCCAGGTACCATCTGATCACCACTGTCGGAGTGGAGTAATACTCACAGTATACTGTATCGATAGCCAACACGGTCCTCCTACAACAGAACAGGATTCCTCAAGCCAAAAAAAAAAAATTCAAAAGGAACAACAAAGATCCAATGACGATCCCCTGGTCCAGACCTCTCACATCTCTATTTACTATTCCGTGCCAAATTTCCGCTTCTCCACTTCTCCCCGTTCCTCTCCTTCACCAAAACCTACAGCCTCACTAAACTCGCAAAAAGACTCCATTCAACCCAAACAGCAGTGCACTTGGGTCCAGCCCAAAACAAGAGAAGTCGATCAACGGGACGGCCGAAGCCGCTGGGATGACCTCATCCGCCCCACTGTATCTCGGGCCAAAATCTTGATTTCCGATAGAAAACAGGCGGCCCCTCGCGATCCCGCACCCGGACGGTAACGCGTACCAAGACAAAACATCCAAACAGTAATTTCCAGAAGAAAACCCCACGTGGATTCGTTTTCGAGCGTTGTTTGTTTTCATTTCCTCTTTGCTGGAGCGCTGACTGGCGCAGTGGAGCCCAGAGCACACACTGTTGGTGTGAAGTTGGGTGCCGGGCGCTACATGAAACACGAGGCGAGCACGTGTTGGCTTGCAGCGTGGCCGAGTCTCCAGCAGTGGAGCATCTTTTCTTCTTACCTCCACCCGTCGTGGCTTGTTTGGAGCGCAAGCTATGCATTCGACTGCCCCCCATCCCCCCACCACGCAGGCTTACTGTAGGGGGGAAGGGTGCGGTGGCCCGACGGAGGCTTGGCAGGTTAGCTTTTCGAGGCAGCCGCAGTAGGGGCTTTGCTTGGCTCTGGTCTCGCCCATGAGCGAGGCGGATCTGCGCGCGCGAAGAGGGTGTCCGTGTACTCCGTACTGCGCTGGGGACGATGAGGTGAGGCACTGTTGTGGTGCTACGACGCTGGACGTCGCTGGGGGCATCGGAATGACCCTGCATGGGCATGGGCTAGTTTTTTTTTCTAAAGCCCGCGGTGTAACGGCGGGATGGGGATGTCTTGGATTTTCAAGCTTTTGAGTGCTTGGACGAGGAACAGATGGAGCCCAGGTAATTAGACTATAGATAGTTGACTCAACTAAAGTATGATTCCGGTCGTTTACTCGGTGCTGAGACCGTCGAGACTGTCCCGGTCTGTCGAATTCTAGGTCTGTCCAGAGGGTCTGGAGTCCAGTTCGTATTCGAGGGGTCTAGGTTGCGACGACATGACAAGCTATAGGAGATTTCTAGGATGAAGGTTGTCTCGTGGCATTAAGACTTTTCGTCGAGGCGTCGTTTATTGGAATGTACGCTTGCAGGGGTCTAATTAGCCCTCAATTAATACCAGGCAGACTGGCCAGAAGGGGGATATCGTCATGATTATCTTGGCCTGGAGAACTGACGATCACTGCAATCAATCGGAGCCTAGAACTATATCTGGTATGACCCTGATGATCACAGTGCAAGATGCCACGACATTGAGCATGTACCCATTGTCGAGGGTGATCACAATGAGATACCTGGATAAGTCTATCTCATTGATCATTGGATTTCTCTGAACGCCGTGCACTATTTGAGTGCCCTGCTGTTGAATCATGACAATCCCGCAGGAGGCGGCACTCCAATTGCAGTGTATTACGCTTTATGCAATTTTGGCCCAGCTGCTTGGGCTGCTTGATCTTGATCCGATTGGAAATCCAAGATGTCCGGATCCAAATCTTCACTGGGCTATAGAATAGAATACCTACGAGATCCTCTGATATCTGAATTCGAGACCCGATACACTTGATATGCTTCCATGATCCATCCCCAACCTGCAAAGCTACTTCGTCACCCAAAAACTAGCATCATACCCGTCCATCAGCTCGGTATACTTTGCTCCCGCTGCTACCCAGCCCTTGATGCCTCCTTCCAAGATCATACTCGTCATCGATGTATCCTGCACCTGGCGCAGATAATCTGCAAACCACGCTGCTGCGCGCGGACCACGGCCACCACAGGAACCTATATCCCAGCAAAAAGAAAAGAAACAAAGACCAGCATTAGATAATATCCCGTGTCCCTGGACTCAAGATAAAAAATCGAGCTGACTTACCACAGTACCAAATCACATGATGGACACCACTACTCGCCAACAGCGCATGCACCGAAGCAAGTGTTGGATACAAACTGTGCGCTGGTAGATTTATCGATCCCCGAATTGTGCCGCCCTGCCCAGACACCGTTAGTCTCCCGGATAACCAGATATACATTTCATTTGTCAATTCCATATATGCGGGGAAGGAATGGCCCCTTGGATCTACAAAACGGGGTACCCAGTTGTACTCTGTACCTCGAAGTCAGTGCGGCGCACGTCCACCAACACGAAGTCCTGTCCGGGCTTCCTGCCGGCCTGGAACCACTCTAGTAGTTCGTGGCGGGGTAGCGACGGTGCGACGGACTCGGGGGCCGGATACGCATCGTACCAGGGGGCCTCTTTGGGTGTTTCTGTTTGGGCCATGGGGAAGAAGCTCTGAGGGTGAAGGAATAAGTTCGACCGGGGGAGTAGTTCCGTTGTCGTATTATCGCGGCCTAGAGAACAAGGATCCGGACTGTTAGGATATTCTGAGCGAGTGCGTGATTGGTTTTTTCTTAAGACGAGCTAGCGGTGCATCTGGTCACATGGTGACATGTCGCGGTCCGCCGATTGGTCCGATAACTGCCGGGGCTCTGATGAAGCACATCCGGGAATTGCGGGGAAGGATTCATGCTTGCTTCGAGTCCCCCCGAAGATCTAATTCTTTTGGAGCAAGACTACACGCACAGCTCTGTGAGCGAGAACAAACTATATTTCCCCTGAAGGCGAAGACCAAGGTGAGCATGATAACGGGTGTATTACTTCCCCTTCGAGTTCAATGAAAACAGATACAAACAGGAAATTTATTGAAGAATTGTCCTTCACTCACATAGGACATACCGGGATGATCTGGGTAGGCCAAAGATACGGTGCAGGTTGGGAAGAAAAAGCGCTGGTCAAGACCGTGAGGAAAATAAAAAAAATTCAACGGCTTGGAGCATGTATTGAATTGCCGAAGCAACACTTGCCGCGAACGCAGCAAAGGAACAAGTGCTAAAACCCATGCTCGGTACCCTCCAAACCGCGAATGAGGCCATGAGACAAGTACTAGCTAAGCTCTCTATAAATTACTGGAGGGTTCAATCGAAACCCCCGGTCGGTACCTGCGATATCTTGAGCCTATCACTCATTGCGACGGGTTTTCCTAAAGACCGGAATCCCAGCATTTACAGCGCTAAACCTACCCCAATTCCCCAGACGGCACATCCATGCCCTAGAGAAAGATATGACACATTCTTCACACAACCTATACTATCATCCCATGCCATCATCCCATACTATCACCCCATGCTGTACATTCAATGTGCCAATGAGGCCCTTTAATATCCTTGATATGTAGTTGCTGTCTCCCTGTTTTGTAGACATCGTACATCTACCCCTCTCATTTTAACCCTTTGATCCCGCTCAGCAACAGCCCTCTGGCAGATTCCACCATCAAGGAGGCCGGTTTCTTTATCGCCCATCCGTCGGTACATACTTCTAGGACTGAAATCCCGAACACGGCAGAGAGCACCACTCTCTGTTCGCTGACCTATCAATGGATGCTGCACTGCTGCCAAAATGGCATCGATCTACATGTCATCTCGTTGCGGATGCACCCCGAGCTCCAACCAGAAGAAGAACCCTCCCACCTCCCCGGATGTTCGGTTGATAATCGGGCGCTCTTGGTGGTGCTAGCCCCTATGTCCTGGGGTTTTAGGATTTCCTAGTTTGCTAGTCTGCATAGTTCTGCGGGTGTGGCGAGACATATCGTCACGTATGACGAAATAAAAAGGTGAATTGCTGGTAGGTATTGGAAAAGGGGGACCCCGCTGGCTGCTTGTGCTTGAAATAAACTCTTAGATGTGTTATGTTCAGTATCTATAACCAGATACTGTTTATCCTGACTAGAGTCCTAACTAAATACCCACGCGTCATACAGCGCAGAAGGTTGAAAATCTGTTCAACTGCCATAGTTTGATAGCAAAGATCTGAAAGGAATTTTGGATGGAGCATAGGTGCAGCAGTATAGACAGGAGATAGATTTCACCTGGGAAAGGATCAATAAGGACCCCGCAAGCTCGGCTTTTCTTCGGGTCAGCTCGAACATACTCTATTCTGTGCAGCGTTAGCATGAGAAAGGCCCCTCTCACCCCTAACCACTGACTTCAATGTCGCCGCCCGCCTCAGTCATGTCCACGCCAGCTGCCTGGTCTGGGAGCCCCGACAGTCCGGGCCGCTTGGGTAACATCCAACGCCCCGCCGCTGCCTAATTCGATGATGATTTCGCCCTGTCGGCCAATCAAGTCCGCTTAGTGTTGAAGTCAGTCCATCGCAGAAGAATTGATGTATCCTGGTTGGAAAGGAAGAAGGAAAATATACGCCGTATTACCTCTCTTATAGCTTGGCGACGAGAGGATTACCGCAGCTTACCCCGATACTATCGTACCATGGCTGGAAGTAGAGATCAGAGACCTCGTAGCCGAAGGCTTGAGGAATGTGCTCGGTCGAAAGGTACTGAGCGAATGATCATCAGTCAGCTAGCTCGCCGTAGCGGGGTTATACGAGAGGGTAGATTTCAGAATTCAAGATATGCGGATATGTAGGATTAGGAGGGTGTCTTTTGATAAGGGGATTTTGGCTCCATTGAGAGAGAGAAGGAAAGATTAACGTTGCTGGCTTGCGGTTTTATGAAGAAAATTCCCTGTGAAAAGAAGATATACGCTCCTCCTTGCCCATATCTACTGGTCGTGGCATGGTCATTATAATGTCACCAGAAACGACGTACCTGTATATATTCACATACAAGGAATTTAGGGAGCGGTCTTGGTCATCTCATTGATAACAGCAGGGCTAATGAGGTCAGATTCTGCATTGTTCTTCTGCTCAATCTTTAGTATTTACTATGTCACTCTCGCATACACTTCGTCCCAAAACAGGTGAGACCACCTACCTCTTCACCTGATTCTCTGATTAATGCCAAGATTTGCTTGTTGATGTTTGGACTCACCCCTGAAGGTCAATACTGTGCCTTACTGCCTATTAAGAATACGATGCTATGACTTGAACGCTACCCAGACAGTTTCGGTCCAGCTAAAAGCTACACCACACAATCTCAAGGCGTGAATTGAGAGTGAAGCGATCAAGAGTTTTTGCCTTGCCTAATTCTATGTTTGAATGGTTAGAGTAGAATCTAAGTACGTATGACAATCATTTTGTTCCGAATTAATAGGTGCAAAGTTTAGAGAAGACACGCGAAGCCGTTAATCCTCCTCCCTCCCTCAAAAACGAGACTACTTCCAGCAGAGAATTTGTCCATGTAAAAACTCGAGTCAGGCATTCTCATTGTTTATGAAGGCCGCTGTCTCTATATTCCCCAAGTCATCTTGAATGGCAAATTCTTCCCGGATGGCTGTTCTTGGAGACCCAGATGACCCGGCTCGATATTAGAGCGAGCCACCGCAGTATTTACTCTGTCTGGACTGCTTGAAATACCATGATATTCTGCGCGTTTTCAGTCTCCAAACTGAATCCAGCCTCTTTCGCTCAAACATGGAGTTGGCTCTCTTCTTTCGAATAAGTCACCTTGGCCTGCGAGAAACAGCCTGGGGATCCTGCTACGGGTGGCTCCGTAGGATCGACTGAGACCGGTCGTTCGTTTAGGAAATGAACGAACGAAATGGTAACTTGTGGAGCCAATTCCCTGAGAACTGGGCATGCTGAGTTTCAAGGTCAGGGCTGGCATCAAATACAGAAATAAAGGTATTCTTGACGTCTCTTGGCTCTTAGTAATGCCAGGCCAACGGCTGAGCTCCAGGATATAATGGTGAAGAATCCAGTAGAAAGACGATGTACCTATTCATACAGAGCCTTCTGATATCTTCCAGGAAACGGTATCTAGTCTTGGAATCTTCCAGTCTCGGACTCCCTGTTCAATCCATACTGGTATTATGCCGAAATTGAAAAATAAAAATAAAAATAAAAATAAAAAACATTCCCTTGTGTAAGACACTGAAGGCAAGTACGATTATTACTATACGCCTGGTGCATAAAGGCACATATTGCGAGGCTGAGGTTACGCTTTCCGAGTCTGCAGATGGATTGTCTATTTTTATCTAACGTAGAATCACTATCTCGTCGTGGGTTATGATGACTAGAGTGGAGCTATCTAAGGCAGTGCTTTCAGGGCGCCAGGGATCCGTTCACTAAGAGATTCCTCGAGATTAAATTCCTATCGCAGCAAGTAGCCTCTACGATCTCCTATACAAGCCGTGCCCTCTTGTAGATGAGATCGCAGAGATATCCATCCTTTGGGGGAGACTAGGTAGAGTGTTATCTCGTTTCAGCCACTCGGAGAGTTCAAGCTCTGCAGGCTTAGTAGAGAATTACGAATTACACCCAATCTAGGTCAGAAGCTAGGGACGTTCCGCTAACAGGGATGTCGCGGGACAATATCCAACATCGCGTAGCCGAGCCTAGTACGCTGGGACTAGAACAAGAATCACCCCTGTGCAATAGTGCTGTATCACCATATCATTATTACACACCCTTGACATCCAAATCCAGATCCTCCCAACGCCCACATCTACACTCACCCGTGCAACCAAATCGCCCCTCAGCAACCCCGGCGATCCGTAATTGATCATCCTCGCCTCCCCCGCGCCCTGTCCACGCCCTCCAGACCATCAACACGAAACACAGCCACGCCGATCTCAAAGCCCATCAGCCCACCCACCCCGCAGCGCCCCCAAAGTGCGAATCAGCCAAGCCCATCACCCTAAGGATCAGCCCCGCCACCCCTCAAGCCACCCAGCTGTGGGGCCTGCAGGCTACTAGAGGCGTGTGACGCCCGACGGCGGTGGCAGCCGAGGACCCGGGTTGGATGGGGTAGAGATGAGGGGGCCACAAGATGACGAGCCGAAACAGGCATTGCAATCCCGGGTCGAGCCCGGGTGGTGATGGTGGTGGTGATGGTGGAGAGCGGGACATAGACTGCATGGTCAAGGGTGCTTGTTGGGCGTCCGGTGAAATTATGCACACTAATTAGGGCACCGTTTGGAGATGTGGACAAGGGGTCATATAGCCAACATAGAAGCCCGCCCCGAATCATGTCTCGTAGGAGAGCACCGGCGTCGGGACCAGGCCCGGATGCGGTAAAGTTCCTGCAGATAAGGGTGATATGCGACCAGGGGGTGTTGGGGAATGTGTGATGATGTCTGCATCAATGGCGTTGCCATCGGCAATAGAGACGATCCTCGTCAGTGAGAGGACTGGTGGCAGCGTACGATGGGGGATGTCCTAAACGGACTGAGCTGGTTACAGAGTGACAGAGGGGTAGGTCGTCTACCGAGTAAAGTAGATTATAAAGTGATATTATTATCCTTGGTCAAGATGGCAAATCTTCGAATATCAAGCTCTATTGAGCGGGTAGGCCAAGCAAATGCCAAAGTTAGCGGGCACCATGCAGGGTTTGGACTCCATGCATTTCTATATGAACAATCTACCACCGAAAGCCCGACCAAGATCAAATGGCCAAATGCACCAGAGGTCTCCATGGGACAGTCTAAAATAAGCGCAGACACACTCAAAAGGAATATATTAAAGACACCTACGTCTGAAACCGTTATATACGCTACACAAGTGCGTGTAAAACGCTCAAGTCGACACAGAAAAGAAAGATCAGAAAGAGAGAACCAAGAAAAGAACAATGCTGTCTTATGCCAAACACTACCAGTAACAAACAAGAAAAACTCGCTTCTGAAACAGAGCAAGGACAGAAGGAAACAAGAAACAATGAGACGATTATAGACACGGGCAGTAGATTCAACGGGGATGAGGAAATAGCAAGTGGACACTGAAGCATAAGGAAGATGGGGGGAATCGAAAGAGCAGGAGAATATATGTAGAAAGCAATGCTTTCCACGAAGGGAAAATGCCGCAGATCGCACAGCCCATGCAGTGAAACAAGGCTCTTTTGCACCCAGGAACGAGAGGGGTGGCAGGGTGGATATCGATGAGGATGATGGCCAGGTCGTGATGAAAAACAGCTTCGGCATGATGAGAAAACAAAGACAGTCCCCAAATTAAATCACAAGACATTGAACATCAATGACGTTCATGAGCATGATGGGCTGTGGAATCGGCAAATAGCCACATGGCCTGGATCGAGATGAATCGAGCCCTCGAATTGGGGGCAAATTTCCTCATCCACCATTCGTGAAGATACGGTCACCAGAGATCGGAAGAATTATCTGATTCCTGGATCTTTTGGGTAGTAGTATCTCATAAAAAGCCTCAATCGACAATCCCTGATATCCCAAGGCTCAAGCCAGCCAAAACCCGCCTAATGAACAGGCGGACCGTGCAGATTTATCATGGCAGCAAGAGCAGATAACGCAACCCGGCAGTCCACGACCTTGCAAAAGCATGAGATCCTGTTATTAGGCACAGCACACCGGCTATATGACGAAAAGCCAAAACGAAAAACACAAGACAGACAACTCGCAGGTTCGCCGTTCCAAGCCGTAGCACCGTAAAAAGAGGGATGAGACATGACATCAATGAGAGAAGGTTTCTTCCCACAGTCAAAATTGTAGGCTGAAGTGTTGAAAGGGAAGAGAGAGGGGCCTCGAGAAGGATGAGAGAGAGGACCAACAAGAAACAAGTGTCGAGCAGTCCATAACAAAGGACCGACAAGCTTGAAGCATTGACCAGAACGAGAGTGATTAGAGGCAATCCCATGCCGACCTTTTGGGGAGAAGGTCGAGGGAGAGGAGGATCTTCAGCCATTTTTTAAACGTTCAAGCGAAAAGAAGAAAAAGGGCTGCCAGAGAAAATCGCATTCAAAAGCAGGATTTGCAGAGAATGAAATCTAAGACCTTTCTAGAGAAGGGCTTGTTCACGTCAGAGTCAGTCTGATCTCCATGTGGATGACCTGGGCTAGTAGCGTTCTGTGGTTGAGCGCTTCCAAAACGGCCGGCATTCATGTTTCCGTTCCAATTGTTGTTCCCCTTGGTGGCCACCGAAGTCCCGGGTTGGTTGCTAAATTGAGGTTGCATGCTAGCATTGCTGAGCCCATATTTACCAACATCAGCGGCCGCGACGACACCGCTGCCGCGATTCTTATTCCCTTTCTGCACTCCCTGCTGCTGGCGTGCATAATGAGGTTGCTGGTTTCCCTGGCTTCCAGAGGGCTCCTTTGGAAGATCCTTATTTCTGAAGGCCTGCTGCGGAGTGGATGGTGACCGGTCCTTTGCACCATGAGCATAGCCTTGGCGACTACCTTTTGGGCCATTGTTATTGGGGTTGGTGTTAGTGTTGGTGTTGGGATTGCGAGATCCTGTATGTTGCGGTGGTAGATATGAAGACTTATGGTCCCATGGCTGGCCATCGTTTAGCTTCGACCAGTCGAACTCTCCATCATCAACCTCGTTGGCATTTTTGAGTGCGAGCGCGAAAAGCTCCTGCAGGTAGTCATAGTCGGGGGTGTCCTCGAAGCCAAGATTGCGCACATAATCCAAGTATTTCAGAAACTCTGCTCGGGTTAGTTTTTTGAAGTAAATTGGACATAAGGAAGTGTCGCGGACTTACCAGGAAATCCTTCGCAGAGATCTTTGATTGGGGTAGTCTGCTTCTTCTCACCAATCTTCTCGTACTTCTGCTTATTAGTTGCAGCCTTCAATCCTTGCCATGGCAGGCCACCCCTCAAAAAGTACATGAAAACGTGTCCCAAGGCTTCCAGGTCATCACGTCGTGATTGCTCACGGCCCAGATGTGTGTTGATACTCATATACCGGGCGGTACCTGACAAGGACTTGCGTTCACGGTATGGGATATGTTGCTTGGTCTTGGGGTCCCGGTATTGCTTGGCCATGCCAAAATCGACCACATGGACAATATTCGGGGTCTTGGTGGTTGGGCGGCCAATGAGAAAGTTATCTGGTTTGATGTCACGGTAGATAAGATTTTTCTCGTGGATGGTCTGCACACGCAACAGCATTTGCTTGGCCAGCATCGCCACAGTCTTGATCGAGAATCGGCGGTTGCAGTGATCGAAAAGGTCCTCGAGACTTGGGCCAAGAAGGTCAATGACAAGAATGTTGTGCAGACCTTCCTGTCCAAAGTAATAGACATTAGGGATACCAGCTGGGGTGGGGGAAAAAAAGGAAGAATCAGTAAGGTATGGCCAGGCGGAGTGAATCATATCCGAAAACAATCTCAAGACTTACGGCATCCAACTAAGATCTTGTACGTTCGGTACTCGTCACGCAACTGCGGAGCATCGCTCTTTCGGGGTTCCTGGTGCCGTTAGTATCCGGGCCTCTCTGCTCAGCACGGCAAAAGGGCGGTATGACATACAAATTTGATAGCCACCTGCTGGTTGTTCAAAAGGTTGGTGCCTTCAAAAATCACACCAAAAGAACCTTCACCGATCTTCTTGCCCACTCGGTAGTGGACACCCACTACATTCGACGAAGAGGAGGCCATGGTCGCCAGATGTGCGGATGATGGTTCCAGGGATCAAACTTTCGATCACGAGGCACTGGCTTCAAGGACGCAGGCACGTGATGGTGCACTTGGGATCTGGACCAAGCGCCGTCAGCATGAGATTCAACAGGTTCATCGACCGCGGCCGGGAGTTGGCCGCGGGTACGTTGACCGCAGGAGCAGAGCAGGATACCGGGGATTCTCACCAAGCAATACTGCGAAACTTCAATTGGAAGATGCTAGGGAGCAAGAGAGGCCGGTCGAGGTACCGGTACAAGTAAAATCCAAGAGAAGCCGGGTGATGTGAAAATGCAGGATGAGATGACGGTCGGTGATGAGGGCGTCAAGGTCTGGGGCCGTGATACAGACCGAATTGGGACTCGCTGGGGCGGAATTGGGAAGCTGGATCCTTCAAAGCCACGAACTGGGGGTTTCAGGTCGGGAGCGAGTCAGCCTGAGCGAGTTGCGGACGAAAACGCCGAGACCCGAAGAGAAGAGACACGAGAAGGGAAAACAGCCCGAAGTACTCGACTGCGAGTACGAACGGTCGCACTGAAGCAGCTGAGCAACGGGTTTCCAGGGTTGGGAGGGAGGAGGAAGGGGGTTAGGGAAGGGAAGAAGAGAAGGGGAGAAGTTGAGAAGGGAGCGGAGAGTATTGGGTGCGTATTTGGTACCCGCTGCCTGCTGGGGGAAGCCCGGACTGGCGGTCGCGAATCGTAACAGACGGTACGACATTACCGAGCGTTGAGCACCGGCGAAACGAGCGAACTGGCGAACTTTGCGGCTTTTCGGCGTCAAGTTACCCTCGCTCCCTGTTGCTCTTCTGCCATCACGCTATAATCGCTATAATCGCTATAATATCACCGCAAGATTACTTCTTGTTTTTCTCCCACCTTCTCTCTCCTGACCGAGCACACTGCAAGGTATGATCTCAGGGCCAAACCCTCTTCCTCCCTACGCCCTCAAGGACGGTAAAAAACCTCGGAGGCTCGTGAAACGCCCAATGCCCTCGAGCACATCTTAGCCTATCTAGCCTACAGTAGTCGATCCTCGTCCCGCAGTCGTATCATAGGCCGACACAAATATAGGCCGATCGACCGGCAACTACGCGCTGGGCCCGGTGTTTAGTCTCTCGCTCTCTTTAGTGCGGAGCTTTTTGACTGGGTGCTCGCTCTGCGATACAGATCCTGTCGGCACCGGGACAGGGACGGGAGCTCTCGGGACACGATTCTCCATATCCGGAGTTGGAGAAAATGGACTTCCCCCTCTATTCAAGGGTCCGTATTTGGTATGTCTAATTCCCTCCCCCGAAACAATGCACATCGGGTTAGGCTAGGGGGGAAGTAACCATAGGTCATTAGGGAAGGGGATGTGAAAGGGGGTTTGATAGGGGCGGATCGCGTCCAGGCCGAAGTGGCTGGTACATCCGGTAATTCGGTAAGGTCGTAAAGTGGCAAGATGGTAAGGTGGTAATTAAAATTGGTAATTTTACTTGGTGTGTTTGGCCTCGTTACCGCTTCCCTCGTTTCTGAGTTGGCGGGACTGCGTCCTGTTCTTTTCTCTAGGTTGGGGCCGCGCTGGTTCACTGGTTCACTCGAGAGGACCCGTTGTTCCCCGTCGTCTGAACTCGGTCTGGAATGCGCTTAATCCAACGGTAAAATTACCGTCTTGGCGTCTCCGCTGCTCCACGTAAATCACGATGCGGCCGAGGAATCAAAGCAGCCCAGACAAGCCAATCTATATAATGCACCCCTTCAGTCTATCTGCAGCTACAGATGACAGCTGTCATGCAGACAGCCCCCATCTGCTGTCTCTCTAGATGGCTTACTGAGCCATATCTAGGGACCCTGGGCAGCCGGACAATCTGTCGGCGCATTCGACACGTCGGCGACCCACCGGAGCGATCGCTTGACGCTACAGAGTGGAACAGGAACGCTAATACAAGAAGACGGTGTAGACAAGATTCAAGAGACAAAAAACCTGGTTCAAGGGCTCCACGATTTCAACCGATTTCAATTAAAGGGCAAGACCAAGGTCCGGACGTCGGATTCCAAAAATCATCATTAGATTTCTAAACAGCAGTAGGAGTACCTCATCATAATACAAAGCCCCTCAGTCGGGAGTCGGCCGGCAAGGAAGGGTGCGGTGGCAGACGCACAGCAGGACAGTCGTCTATTCGTCGTCGGGCACATCCTCGGCTTCACTGCCGAGCTCCTGTTGGACAAGATCCTCGTCGCCATCGCTGACCTCGTCCGCATCCTCGTGGAACTCGTCCTCGTCGTCATCTTCGTCGCTGCTGGACCCGCTGCCTTCACTTTCACCCTCGCTGCCCGGGTCATAGTCCTCTTCCTCCTCATCCTCCTGGTCTTCCAATTCCCGTTGAGCTTTCTGCAGTTCACTCTCGTCTTCACCGGCTGTGCCCTCAGGAGCAGCGCCCTCCTCGTTCTTCTGGGCGCCATTGACATTGTATACCTTGGCGCGACGCGCCTCCGCCAGACTGGCATCTTGAAGCCCGTGGCGTTTGATATAGTGATCGATGCCGCTGAAATCAGCCTGGTCGATCATCGAGAATTCGAGTTCCATCGTATCTTCTTCAGAACCTCCACTGGGACGAGCAAGAATATTGAGGTTAAAGGTGCGCTGCAGCACAGAAGTGTACGAGACAGATTCGATAGTGTCAAAGGAAAAGAATAGAAGCGGCTTCTTGAACGCGAATAGAATGCCAGTCGAAAGCAAGAATAAATAGCCTAGGGATCAATGGAGTATCAGCAGGTGGCCCAAACCAAGCTCATGGATGAGATCGGTATCTCTTCTGCGCTGCTCAGCCAAAAGCGGGCATACCTTCTTTGCTTCCCCGGAAAGCCTTGACGTGATACGCTTTCTCGCCCTTGCGGTGCGCCTCGGGCATAGCGCTAACAAACTCCCTTTCATCGGGTCGCACAACATTGGTAGTAGTCAAGTTTTCATTCAAGATCTTTCGGATCAGCCCCTCGGCTGTTTCGCCGGCGTTGTTGCCAATCTGTTGTCCTGACCCGGTGAAGGCTGCCTTGGCCGGGCCATCAGCCACAGTAAAGACCATGGCTTCAAGCGGCGTTGTTCCCTCAGGTGGTGGTGTAATTCCATCGGCGTACTCGGGAATGATGCAGAAGTTAAATTGCTTCTGGGTCTTCTCCGGCACAGGGAGGCACAAGGCGTGGCCTAGCACACCAACAAGTGTATCTTAGTTTCCGTCCATTGATAGCAAGAACATAGATGACACAGAACGTAGAGCCCAAGGGACCCCGGAAAAGTACTTACGAATTCGATCCATGGGAACCCCAAATTCCACCTCCTTTGTAGTCTGGTTTCTCGCACGAAGGTACCTGCGCCCGGCAGTGACTTCGAGTGTGAGCTTCTTGCGTTGCGGCATCGCAAACGAAACGTCTTGCACGTAGAATTGTACTGCGTCATCGACTCCTTTCACATCAACCGACGCCTGCGCCGTCTCCCCAGAGTCCCCATTTTGTATCTTGCGCTTCTTTGCAGCCGGGCCATCGCTCGGCGGCGGCACGAGCGGCAGGGAAGCAGTGTTCGCAGTCCTGGCCAGCAGGGTACAGGTATATCGGGCGAGATCCTCAAACAAAGGCGTGTGCTGTGGCGTGCTGCCTAAGCGATCGAATCGAAGAGGGATGGTTAGTGGCTCGTTCGCAGGGTCATCGCGATCGTACAGGGGATTTGACATAGCTACGCCACTGGCTACGCACCGATCGCATCGTAGACTCGTTTCTTTAGCGAGGGCTCTGTCGCAAATGCCTCCTCGATCGCAGCGATAGGCACGCTGGCAGAATTGATTGCAGCGAATGCCATATTGAAATGCGACTGCCCAGATGGGAGAAAGCAGTGCAGGGAGTATTCGCCGGGCGGGAAGTGTTAGAAGTTGAGATCAAGAATGGTCGAAGATGCGGAACCGCTCATCATGCTCCCCTGGTGGGCCCGCATCATTGGCATTTCTGTGCTGTATCAGACATCGACTTTCCTTTCGCCATAGCTAGAGAATTTCCGGACACAAGTTGGTGAACTTGAAGATGTTGTCAAGCTAAATTTTCCTTGATGAAGAGGTTTGTATGCAAATATCGAGACTAGAATACAGTAGGGTTTATACACATCGCTATCCTTTAAACAAAACAGCCCTTCGTTCGGCTCATCCTCTCCACTAGCTCAAGCAGCTTGCTTGGCTTTGGCCGCCTTTTTCTTCGACTTCGGAGCCACATTCTGGCTCATGAACTGTTCAATGAAGTTGGTAGTCTCCGAGGCCATAATCGTATTTCCGTCCTCATCCTGCTTAGCCTTCCTAGCCTCAATGCTCTTCTCGATCTTCATCTGACGATATTCTCCAGAGGGTGTGAACAGGTTCTGGCTTGAAAGGTATTCTTGGTAGTATTCCTCTACAACCTTCTTTCTCACGTATTCTTCATCGTGGCGTGTTCGGAATCTGGAGAATTTGTTTCGCAATTCATCGATGATGGTGGAGGGGAAAGGCGGGTTATCCAAAGATGGCACCCAGGTTGTCTCATCGACTTCCTTGCGCGTTGTGTCCACCTCGCTGTCATTGGTGTGTGGCTCCTCCTCGGTGGGCCAGGGGATCTCAATGTTGAGTCCAGAGATGTAACGGTTATATTTTGGGAGTTTGCTGTAGGACGGTCGCTCGATGCAGGTTCTGCCGGCATAAGCGTGCTGTACGATGTGGTCTTTGGTGCCTTCAACGGAGTCATCAAGCGCAACGACGAGTCGGACGTCATCCATCGGAACAGGCATATTCTGGACAAGAACGTCGGTCTTGATTCCCATAGAGGCCTTCGCCCATTCTGGGACAGTAATCTCGGCCTAGGTGTGGCAGGTCTGTTAGTGGATTCATTCGCAAAGAATGGGACGGTCGGCTTGTAATGGGACCATATGGTAAGGCGAACCTGGTTGATACCCTTGATCAGGACAGTCTCGCTCTCCTCATTGACCTGCACAACCTCGTTGATTTTTCCCTGGTCCCGGCCTCGAATAACACAGACTCGGTCTCCCGGAGCAAATAGAATAGCCGATCGGCGTTGGTGTGCTGGAAGCTTAGGAGGGTGCATCAACGCAGGGTCAAGAGCACCAAAGGTGGTCGCCTCCAATCCGGAATCGCGTTTAGGGGCCAGGTCGCCCTTTTTCCAGTCTTCCCAGCGAGCATGGCGTGCGGCCTTGAGGTTGTCGCTCAGTGCCTTGTTGTACTCCTTCTTTGTCCGTAGTGTGTCCAACCGATCGACGAGATTCTCCTTCTGTTTGGCACGGAAGGCCTTCTTCTGGGCCTGTTTTCTGGCCGCAGCTGTCCGCTGGATAATTTTCTGCATTGTTGAAGAATTGGTGGACCAGCAATGGCTGGCTGAAAGATGCTGTCCCCAACCTCGCAACTGCGCGGACGGAAAATTGCGGCCGCATCTCGGCAGCCCACGTGACACAACTCCAATCACCAGATATTATGTAAACTGAACTATCACCTCAACAAGCCGCTGGCTGGCCGAACCAATTTTGCATCCCTGAATATATGCCCATCCTTTCTCTTTTTTCATTTGTCTCAAAGAGTGACACTTGGAATATATTCTACCCAAAACACTATTTGATCCTGGTTCATTGCCTCCTCATTCACGTGTTTGGAGATTTCCACTTCCCTACAGTGTTTCCTGTCGGAAAGATTGGAAGATTAAACCTGGAATATATATCTCCTTTCGACATATTTTGAAATACACGCTTAGTTTGTAGCAAATTGCTCAAATTATGTTATTTTCAATTAAGACCATGCTAATGGTCTTGTAGCAAACCCCAAAATGACTGTAGACGTATATTTTAAACCCGATGCAGATGCCTACGCAAATCTACATCAAATGAAACATCAAAAGATAGAAATACTAACAAGGAATCTCTTTAACAAAAACTGGTGACTAAGTTTTCGAATTATCTTGAGAAGAATACCGAAAAAAAAGGAAAAAAGCTGCGCTTCGAACCCAAATATGTAGAGAGGCAATGAGGATTACCATGTGGAGAGTATATGGATCTAATGAAAGATCAACCAAGAAACTCACTAATTAGTTTATTAACAAGATATATTAATGGGCATTTCAGACACAGATGTCAGAAAAACACAAAGAGTTGAGATTATTATCTTGGATTATTTTGTTCACAATCATCCAGGTTATTTTGAGGTTTTGAGATTGATAGACCGTCTTTGTTTTGAGTGCTCGGATACTCTGCCTCAGGTTTCATCTTGATATGGTGATCAGCGCACAAGACAGTGCTTTATAAATGCCCAATACCATGCCATTATGAATGACAAAAAGAAGTACAGATAATACAGATGATTGGAGATAATGGTCAAATCAAAGGTTATTGACATCGCATAGTATGGGTGGTTTACAGCTGGAGAGCCAATTGCGGGCCGGTTCCCTGTACCACATGTGCGACTGTCATCGGAACCGGACTTTCCTCACTTCCGCCCCCTGCCATAACAAACTCCCACGACCCCACGACACGCCCGATATTCCAACCCCCACTAAAGAAGTATTCAACGAGCTTGGTGGGGAGCATCGGACTGACGGACTGGGACTCAATTATTGTCTGACAGCTACCTGTACCGACCCTCAACCTCCTATTGCCTTGACACAGAATTGGTGACCCCGCCAGGTAAGAATTACCGTCGGACTTATGAGCTTCCCGATCGCGGAGGAGGTCGCGAGCCATATACTTCCCTCACCTGTCGACATGGATCCAAGCTAACAAATGGCTCTGGGAAGGTCTGTCGCAAATTTGTGGGATTTGGAGGGTCTGTCACCAATCATGGCTCGTTTATTAACTCAGCGACAAGCTGAAGAGCTGTAAGTATGGATGCGCTTCGATAGAGAGCTCGAATGCCAGCGCTCCAAGCTAACCTGAAGCATACTTATAGACATAAATCCATGATCGCATACTTTTCTGCAAACGATCTCCCGGAAACTGCCGCTACGTTACGAAGAGAGTTGGGCATCCAAGAACACGACTTTGACGCCGCGGCAGAGAAGAAGTATGAAACGCTGCTAGAGAAAAAATGGACCAGCACAGTCCGTTTACACAAGAAGGTTAGTCTTTATTGCGCATCACGGAGATGGCCTGAATTTCTTCAATACGATCCTAATTTGCCTATAGATTATGGACTTGGAGTCTCGGAACACAGCCTTGCAAACCGAATTGGACAACGTCACGCCTACATCCCTCCTCACACGCAACCGAGACCCCAAGTCCTGGCTTCCTCAACACCCTCGGCACTCATTGCACTCCCACCGTGATACCATAAACTGCATTGCTTTTCACCCCAAATACTCCTCAATTGCATCCGGATCCGACGATTTCACAATTAAGATATGGGATTGGGAACTTGGAGAACTGGAGATGACACTCAAGGGCCATACAAGGGCTGTTCGCGATCTTGATTTTGGGTTACCCCAAGGAGTACCAGGCGCTCTATTGGCCTCGTGCAGTTCTGACCTGACCATCAAGTTATGGAATGCGGCAGACGGATATAAGAACATTCGGACTTTACAAGGGCACGATCACATCGTCAGCGCTGTCCGTTTTATACCCAATGGAAGTCTGCTTGCTAGCGCAAGCAAAGATATGGATGTGAGGTTATGGGATGTGACAAATGGCTATTGTGTGAAGACGATACAGGGCCACACAGCCTGGGTGCGAGATATCTGTCCATCAATTGATGGGAAGTTCCTTTTATCTACTGGAGATGACATGACTGTTCGCTTGTGGGACATTTCAGCCAAGCCAGAAAACAAGCTGGTCTGTTTTGGTCATGAGAACTTCAACGAGTGCTGCGCTATTGCGCCACCGAGCTCCTATCGCTATCTTGCACCTTTGGCCGGATTGACGAAGGTTGGATCCCCAGAAACTACCGCCGAATTCATGGCGACTGGATCGCGTGACAAGACTATCAAAATATGGGATGCCCGAGGCACGTGTCTTATGACGCTTATAGGGCATGACAACTGGGTACGAGCAGTTGTTTTCCACCCTGGTGGCAAATACCTTCTCTCCGTCTCAGATGACAAGACAATACGTTGCTGGGACCTGAGCCAAGAAGGAAAATGCGTGAAAACACTCAGAGATGCCCATGAGAGTTTCATTACTTGTTTAAGATGGGCTCCCGGGCTAAACCAAGGCCAGCCCACGGACACAACCGGCGCCTCCGGGGCACAATCATCAGAAGGTGGTGACCTGAAGAGTAAAGGGCCCGGGGAGATTATGTCCGATTCGCAGATTCGTTGCGTCATCGCTACAGGTGGCGTTGACCAGAAGTTGCAGATATTTGCGGGCTAGTCAAACGATTTCATGATTGCCGAGAAGGAAGTGACGTCTGCTCGTTTTTACCAGATAGCGCGAACATACCCCTGCTGTTAGTACATTGCATAAGATTGATAGAGATCTTAGAGTAATTGAAATGATCTGCACGTATATAAAGAGGCTTGACTCCTTTATATCATTCTTTTTTTTAGTGTTGTTCTGTGGGGCATCTTCAGATCGAAAGGAACTAGAAAATCTTGGATATCAAGATTTCTTTATACTACATTCATTCTATAGAAATTCTCGCGCCCACCCAAAGGTGGAATTTGAAATTAGATAATTCATTCGTAGTCAAAGATGTAAGGCCATTTCACCAAAAGCCCTGCCCAATGCTTTCCAGATTGCCCTCATCGATGCTCGGATTAAGTATTGACTGGTCTCCTCCCAAGAGCATGAGATTGTTCCAATATCGATTATAAAAGTCCACGACATCAGTCGAGCCGGAAAAATCCATGCCACTGGATTCAGGAGCCGCGTCTTGGCCAAAGTAGAAAGATGCATCCATTAAGTCGACGTCCAATGATGTGATTTCGGTATCCAAACTTGTGGAGGGGCTCTGGTACTCTAGACCCTGGGCTGTATGAGGCTCTTGATTTGCTGTTCAAAGTGAGCTTCAATTAAATAGATGTTGTTTGAATGGACATAAAAGGAAACTTCACTAACCAATGTGTTCAAAATTCCCAGATGTCAGTTGTATGCTCAGATTTTCACCCAGAGAGGGAATTTGCTCGGGTGTTTCTCCATGTTGCATATGGTTACTTGAGACTTTCAACATGATATGAAGAGCCTCGGCAGTCTTCTGAGCTTCTCTAGACTGATGGCGCAGCTCATTCCAGATATTATAAGCTCGCTCAATTTCCCGAGAAAGCTTCCGTCTTTCTTCCAATGTAGTCTGTCTCTGACTGGAAGATAGATTCTGTTTCAGGTCAAAGCGAGATTGGCACGAAATCTCTAATAAAATGATCATAGCTGCTGAACGGAAGTGTACAGCGACAATAGGCGAGAAGAAAAAAGAAGTATAACCCAGTTGCCCTCCTAAACTGCTCGCGTCGAATATATCAGACTGATGTTGGAGAACTGTTCGTGCAGCATCCAGGCAATCTTTTCGAGAATAAGCATATGTGGGATTCAAGCGCTGTTGGGCAAGATACCGCCGATGAAGATCACAGCGTGCTTTTTGATACATGAGATTAATGTTGTAGCGGTCCATAATCAAATTCGGTGAATCTGCGATTGATTCAGTCAAGGTACGGAATTTAAGCGGAAGAGGAACAGTTGCATGAAGCTCTTTAAGCTTCTTGTCGAGATGCAGGACTTCTTGATAGGGGATTCCCCTTGCAGAGCAGACCTTGCTGATGATTTCTGCATCAGCAAACATGATCCGGTTGAGAACCGCGGGAAATAGAATGGGCGTTATTTCAGTCTCTGGCCTAGGAGGCGGCAATGATGTCGTCAACGGATCCAAATCTGTGTCATTTAGATTTCGGGGTTCTTGGGTATCAGATTGTGCTTGAGCTGTAGTCGGTGGAAGGCCTGCTTGAAGAGAGATATAGTGATCTAGAAGGCGGAGAATCATCCAGACTCGGCGGCGCATCTCTCCATCGAATGCAGAGATCTTAGGATAGTGCTTGGAATCTCGATGATATCCACTGTGGATTGCCAGCCTAGTGGCTAATCCAAGTAGAACTGAGGGACCAAGATGATTATCTGGACTCCGCAATATTTCCATAGCCACACTAAGAACGAGAGTTTGCATCGTGTATCTACCGGGTGATGTGTAATGTGACATGGTCAAACATTGTGAGGCGAGCCTGTGGTACTCAGCGAATGTTTCGGCGAGTTTACCATCTTCTCGTCCGGCTGTTGAGAAGAGTTGCAAACCTGCGCCAGCGCATAGAATGCTAAATAAGAACGCAAGCCAGTTGATAGATGCTGTTTCCGGGGTTTTCCAAAACTCGGCATACTGAACAGAGTGATGATGAGTAAATTACTTGAAAGCTGGCGATAGTATGATTTACCTCTTTTGTGAATGTTGGAACATGCATGAGAACTGATTGCTCATTAGTTATTTTCTAAACGACTGGAAAAAAGAGAGGAAAACCAGACATACCAAGGCTGGATTCCTTTGAGTTCAGATACAGCGATATCAACCGGTCTGCTACTGGCCGCGAAGGTAATGTGCCCAGCAGATCGTTTTTGGTAGGTGAAAAAGTGTTTCCAAGCAGGAGAACTGGGCCAGAGATCTGCGGCGCAGAAAATTCTTCCTGTTCATCTTCTGGGGAGGAATCTTGAGTTATTTGGAGATATTCCTTCACCTCCGCGATCTACTTACATGGTTAGCCAAGCAGTCAGACAACCAAGAAGATCAAGACATACTTGATTCAGCACGGTTTGCCAATGGGTTGGGTTCATATACTGAGTCCCGTCTTGCCTAAAAACCATAGTCCCCGGATAGTCCGTTTCTATTTCTGAAGAACCTAATTCAGCGCTTAGACCAGGTTGGGTTTGCCGAATGCATGGCTCGCAATTAGGGTTCCCTATGAAGGTTCCTTGAGCTTGAACATTGACCGCCGATAACTTCTCAATGTGAGCCTTGATCTCTAGGAGATGATCTTGAATGCCTTGCGATTGCTTCCTGGTCAATCCCTGGGGGCCAGTGAAGTGGCACATATACGTCCTATTGTGCTTAATGCAATTATCACAAGGTTGCTGTCGATTACATTTCAATCTAAGCTTGCAGTCAGCTTTTTGCTATGTTTCCACCTGAGACAATGGCAACCAAAGTCTAGAAGCGCTGCAAGTGGCAGTACCAAAGCCCAGGTAACGTTGCGGATACTCAGCAGAGGGGTAGGAGCCAAAGGCGACACGGACTTTTTCTGACGGCATATGACACAAGACAGTTTAGGTCTCGGTTTTCTTTTCTTCACCGACTGAACACCCGGATTTGAACTATTAATTAAATCCGCAGATTCCATGTCAACTCATTCACGGCCAAATAAGTCCGTGAAAAGCACGGGATGTCAGGCGTGGAGGGGGATCCGACGTTCTTCGTGTTCGATTTGGCCACAGCCTTCGTATCATTGGACCCTTACCATAGTCAGTTAGCTAATCGAGCCAACTAGCCGGGAGGAGCCAATGGGAGGGCGTAAACGTGCTCTTAGCGCCGGACATATTGGCACTAGCGTCGGATTTGTTCTGAAATCGCCAGCCTTGAACCCACTCGGACAAAAGCTTTGCGCCTTCGACGATCTCCGGGTGCATAGATTGGACAGCTATATAACATAGATAACACCGTTGTGTTACTAGCCACGATTAGACCTTTTCACGCCATCCTCAAACTCTTCATTTAACTTCAGAAAGAAACTTCCAGACTCTATTCTTATTCCTTTTTCCCTCTCGGCAAGTTCAAAACTAGCAAAGCATCTTACATCCGACCCAATGCCAAGCACTCCAGCACTCCATCCGGGAACGAGCGAGGGATCTTACGAAAATAGCCCACAGCAAAGCTGCTTAGGGTGGGATTCATTTACAGAAAGATCGACCTCGTCAGGCATCTTGACCCCGGCTGCCCTTGCTTCGAGTTGGCCCGACTTAATTTCTCAGCCCCCTTCCTATAATCTGATCACTCAATCCGACCTTCAATCATCACCATTGTCTGTAAACCCGGTCATTATGGACGCAAACTTGTTGGAAAGCATTGCATTCAGTCTTGAACAATTCCCCCCGGCTATCAATGATGCAAATATTTACTTCTCTCCAAATGGCCCCTGTCCCAGCATTGTCGAGCCGCAAGGCCAAAACATTCTCGATGAAGCTTTCCCGAACACCTTAAATAGGCAAAGGAATGTCCACATCAGCAACGGATCGATCACTTCTTCGGAAATAAGACCTTATTATTTGCCTGTTCAACAATCACAACATTTGATTTCTTCCACATTCAAAAATTCCAAAACTCAGAGTCTGCAGCCGCCGCGACCAAATACAATAAAGACAGCCAGAGATGCCTCAGTCAGAAGCGACAGTCCTTCCTCTCAGGATTCAGATGGGGATCGGCTTCAAGAGAAGCGGCAGAGAAACAAATTGGCTGCTCGCAGGTTACGCCAGAAGAAAATGGACCGTATGTCCGAGCTAGAGTCCCAGCTTGAAAAAATGACCAAGGAAAGAGACGAGCTAAGGTTAAAAGCTGCCAAGTGGGAAGGAGAAGTTATGGTACTAAGGCAATTATTAGACCGAGACACCGGGAAATGTTCTTGATCATGATCGAGTGATGGGGGGCTTTTTTCTTTTTCCCTTTTTTGCCCTTGATATGAACCAGAGATACCATCTATGTACAAATACATACCAGGATACCAAGAAATCCTTACGAAAAGAAATTCTATTCCGCCAGGAGATACAACCCACTTCCCCTCTCCCATACTATTGAATCCTCTCTATAACTTTCAGCAAGTCAGCCATCAGGCCCATGGCTGTGATTTCTCCACCACCCCCACCGCCTATGAGTACCAGTGGATTGGCGCCATATCGTTTAGTATATATGCTAACAATCTGGCTACCCCTTAGGTTGGCAATGGGGGTTCCCTTGTCGACTTGCTCGAGGCTGACCTTGATAGCCTTGGTCGAGACATCAATGCTACCCAGATATCGAAGAACTTTGCCTTTCGTCGCGGCTGCGCTTTTAGCTTCATCCATTTGGGCGTCAAAATCGGGCAGCTGGCTCATGAACTCTGCAACTCCTTCAGTTGAGGATGGAAGTGACGATAATTTGGCAGGGATAAGCGACTCAACAGGAAAGCTGTCTGGGTGATCCACTTCAAGGCCGACCACTCTTGCTAGAATGGTCAGCTTGCGAGCAAAGTCGAGACCATTCAGGTCATCGCGAGGGTCTGGCTCGGTGTGTCCAATTTCTTTGGCGTGTGCGACAAGAGAGCTCCACTTTACGTCTGATGTGCCGCTGGGAGGCATGAATTCGCCCAGCAAAAGAGAAAGGGTTCCAGAAAGAATCCCTTCAATTCGGACAATTTCATCGCCTGTCACTAATAGGTCTCGTAAGGTTGACAGAACTGGAAGAGTTCCGCCGACCGTGCATTGATGGTAGACCAGCGCATTGCCCTCATTTGCAGCGGCGAATATTTCATTAAAGAGCGTCGTATCCTTGGAGAACCCTTTTTTGTTGGGAGTTACCACCGATATACCCTTCTTGAGGAAGATAGGATAAGATTCTGCTATAGTAAGATCGGACGTGGTATCGACGAGAATAGCGCGACCTGGCGCAAGACTCAGGTACCTTGCTATTTCGTCTGGGGGCAAGGGACCCGACTTGATCAATGATGATGTTTTTTCAGCGGCTGCCCAGCCTGAGAGGGGTAGTGCAGGCAAGTAGGCTGGCTCTGGGGCATAGAGCGTTTGTGATGAACGGGCGAGAAGAATGAGCTTCGGGGGATTTGGTAGCCGTTCCAATTGTTCGAGAAAAGCACTTCCAACACCACCCACACCTTGTAATCAGCGTTAGTAATGACTTCAAAGTATCTATTCATTGAGGAGAAACATGAGTTGCATCATACCGACTATGCCAAGATACACAGGACAACCCATATTGGACGGGGTTTATGGGCGGGAGAAAGGAGGATGAAGCTTTAAATCCTGGTCAATAATAATAGACTCAATAGAAGTATTGTGGCAGTTATTCGAGATTTTTGCCGCTAAAGTGTGAAAAAAAGGGTTGAAAAACGACCTTTGAACATGCAATATCGGATGTAGACATAAATAAGAACAGACGGCAGCTTTATGATCGAATAATAATTTTAAGCTGATTCGGTTGATGAGTCACCAAGCTGACTTGCTGGCTGGCAGCCCTCATCCAACCCCTTTCACGAAAAATTTATTCACGCTTGATGCAGTTACTTTGTATCAAAAGCCCAAAAATGATTAATGAGTGCATATGGATTTCTTTGCGGACGAGGCGAGTTGAAATTTTGGGTTCTCCTTATCTTATCTCTCCCCATCCATCTTATCCCTAATCAATGTCATTAGTTCATGACTCAAAGCTCAAAAATCTGTAAATGTGAAGTAGAGGGACACTTCTGGTTCAGAAACGTAAAGTTTTAAGCTTCTGCAGAACTAACACCAGATCGCAATCGGACTTGCCGTGAATTTTTTCTCCAGAGATACTGAGCCGCATGCTCGGATTCAACAGCTTCAGCTAGAAATGATCTCCATATTGAATGCTCTATTGGTGTGAGACGAGCGGACTCGATGAGATGAAGGACTAGTTTGGACTTTCCAGATGATGTTCCTCTATTATTTGACTACTGCAAAATGGGTTGGAAGGAGATGATTGCAATCTATGCTGTGTTTATAATGAGAGAGATCTTGGGCCTCCGAGTCCATGTCGTACGTAAATGTGTGACCACACTATTCTACTTTTTCAGTATTTCAGGGACTTCTCGCCAACACTGTCTTACGCGCAAGGTCAATTCGTCCCAGGTGAATGAAGCCTGTCTCACTACTAATATGAATTCTCCAACGCGAATGCCAGCAAGCCAGACTACGTTGCTTGAGAGTTCGAATTTGAGGAAACCGCGCTAGAACAACTAGAGCGCCAACCATAATTCTGGCCCCCAAATGAACCAAGCGGGGTATCCAATTTAGGTGGGATAGTAGAATTTTCAAAATTTGCCGCCTACCAGGCAAAAGAAAAGGATTCATGGGAAGCGAAAAAAATTTACAAAAATGTAACTCCGATAGGGGGAATCGAACCCCCGGCTGCCGTGTGAGAGACGGCGATGTTAGCCACTACACCATATCGGACTGTGCCTGTGAAATACTTGTTCCAGTTTAGATCCATAGGTTTGGGTTTAGCGTCCCTTGTCTCTATGTATTGCCGCGCGTGGTTCTATAAAGCCCACCTCACACCCCTCTTAACGTTCTGCTCTTCTCGATTGTTCACTTCCCTAATTGCCCAGTCGTCATCTATGCACTGATGAGGCATTTTTCCTATTGATCAGGACCGCCGAGCTCCGACCACCCCTGTAGACTGCGCCGCTGTCGCCGCCGTCGCCGCTTTCGCGCTTTTGGCTTGGCCCTTCCTTTAGCTCCAATTATTAATTACGCTCGAGATACGACAGTTTTCCCTAGAGCCGTCGCGTCAAGCGGCCGATCGGCCTCCTTCCCTTATCCGGTCTATTCAGGTTGATCGTGGAACTTATACGCTCATGCAAATATCGTTCGCTGTTTCCGGATCATAACCTTCATCGAGATCGTATGTAACGTCCGCTGGATATTAAGTTTCCTATACTAGGGCTTAAAGAACCGTCTAAGGGTCCAACAAGCTGTTCTCGTCGACCTCTTTGTGTGCAATTTCTCTCTCTCTCTCTCGCATACTACTATAATCACCTCCCTGATACTATAGTCCTCGCAGTTACGTATATTCGGTATCGGCCACCGGGACGGTTCTCGAAATATCATATTTGCAACTTTATCTGTCTGCTAGAAGTGATATTATCCCTCACAATAATATTTAGCGAGCTGTGGGCTCTTAAATCCCGCCTCCAAGTGTCCTTGCCGTCCTAGGACCACACATCTCAATAGCCTCACGAGCAACGACGGCTTCTCGCACGCCGACGTGGAAGCGCTTTATTGCTAGTTGGACTTGAGATCGATTAGCAGAGAGGATAGCTCCAACCGGCTCCTACGTCACAGTGTCATATAGATGAAGCCGAGGCCAGGATGCTTGTGTTGCCTTTTCAGTGATGGAATAGTTGGTGGGTAGAGTCCGATCAGCGCATAGACGCAGACAAGGCGCACACATCCGACACTATTTTACATGAAGCTATTGTTGCAACTATTTTTGGGCGACCTCCACATGACGTGGACTGCAGCCAATCTTCCTTGGGTTTCCGGATGAGGGGCGACCAGAGCAACGTATGAGCACTATGCCGGCGGTTGCTCGTCGAGGGGGCCAGGAATGAATGGCAATCCGAGCCTGGTTGATACCGAGCAGGATGGCCTGTTCTACGGTTGAGCATCCAAACGGAAATCCTTCTCGTGCCCCCTTGGCGTTTAATGATTGGCAACCCGAGGCTAGTTAAAATGATAGGCTGTGTTGGCTTTGTTGTATTTGCATTCTTCGCCTTATCTTGAATCTATGCTAGCTTTTTCTCCCGAGCACCTTGAGGGTTGGCCTTGGTTGATAGGTATAGAATCATATGCCTCACATACCGTTCGATCTGATCGTTCATTATTCTCAATATTCTCAATATTCATATTAAGTCAGCATCGATCACCTCTTTGAGAGGCAATTTAGCACTCGCTTAATACCGCCTCAAGTGATGTCTTGTGTATCTTCCAGCGACTGTGCGCTATATTACGTCCCCGGGATCACCCCGGCGGCGAATGTTTACGAGGATATATACTAGAACGGCTCGAAGGTCTTTCTATTTCCGATATCTAATAATACCCACCCTCCGTATGTGTATAGTGGTAGACGGGACTACTTTGTCCGCATTGCTCCTAAGTCAACTCCCGACTCTGTATCGGAATTGGCTCGTACAACGAATCTAGAGACCTTCCAAGATGGCTCGGAGGCCTCCCGATTTTTAGCATTCGATAATTCTCAGCCTTCTCTCCTGATTGCCCCTATACCCAAGCCCGCCTCTCGGTTCGGGATCGCTAGTGCTACGAACCTCGAAATCGACCAGAACCATGAACGCTTTTCCGTTCTTAGTGTCCGACGATTCCAAGCCTCTTCCTCCGTATACGTATAATAAGGGCCTCGTCGAGTTTTTTAATATGATTTGTTGTCATAATGAGAACACGATCATCTGGAGAGGCCACTCCGTCAAGGGCTTTCAGGAGACCAGAAATGGTCACTTCAAAGCTTGACTCTTTCGTTTGATTTTGATCAGCAGTGTCCCTGCTACCCATACCGGCGGCATCGACATCCTCCAAGAGAACCATGCAGTGAGGAGGTAGCTGAGCAAACAACGTCGTTAACTGGCTATCGGAGAGTCCAGTCAATTGAAGAGTATAGATATTCATCTCAACTTCTCCGGCTAAAGAAAGCTGAAGCTTGATTTACCGGTTCTTGAAGGGCCAAATAGAAGGTAGCCGCGTTGATAAGCCAGACCTTTGTCGGCGTACCACTGCTGGGTAGCTTTGCTCAAAAAGTCTTTCATATCTCCGAAGAGGTCATTTTGAACCTGTTTATCCATGATGACAGTCGACATGGGCCTCATCGCCCTCTGCCAGGTGTTTTTCTTTCCAGTCCCCATCACGATGCTCAAAGACTGTAACTTTTTTGCTGATATTCTGGAGACAATTTCCCCGACACTCCTCGACTAGCTCCTTTAAAATTGTTAAATACTACCCAATGGAGTATATGTAGATATTTTCTTGGTCATCTTTGATCGCACAGTGAAGGATGAGCAGTAGTCCACGAAACCATAAAGGGAAGAATCCGTCCCAGGGCGAAAAGCTGACGGCTGTTTTCTTTCCTTGGTGCGGAATACGGGTTCTTTTTGGATATCTCACGCGAGCGATCAACGAGTTTGCATTATGGACAAAAGGCTGGGCAGACATACAATCGAGTCGCATGTCGTATGCCTCGTCGTAGTAAGAGATGTGGAGAATCGAAGCTTTGGGCTGTTAGACTATTCACAGCTCGTTGATGGAAAAAACTAGTTGAAATGACTTTCTACAAGGTCCCATACATAGCCAGCAGCATATCAAGTGAAGAATACAAACATTGCTAAGGTATAAAGGGGTCGAGTGCAGCTGTCCAGGTTAACGGCAAGCAGCTGTTGTACGAATGCAGAGGCCATGCTGAGACCAGGGAAGAAGACATTCAAAATTGACATTGTCGAGGTCTGTGGGTAAGACTAAAGGCATCTTGAATGCGCTTTGTTTCATGAGGCCTGATGATCTCCTCCAGGGACAAGACAATGTGCTGTCGCAACTCGATCGTTTGAATTGCCGATATAAGTTTTGAGAAGGACCCTTCGACAGTGAGAGACTCGTTTGTCTTTTTGCTTTCCGCCATAGGCATGTATTTCTAGCGTGAGTCACTGCGTGGTCTGACACAGCCTCGCGCTAATGCACGGGATTTCACGTTTGCTCAAAAAGATTAATTGGGTACGAGCGAACAGATTCCTTGCCCCCCTATCCCGAAGATGCAGCTCCACATGCATTCACCATTGGCTCATTTTCCTTGTTTTGCCATGAGGGTACATGAGTGGGGTATGATGGGTCATATGGCATGGTAAAGTGGTCTTGAATCTAGTCACGCATGGGCTTTGAAAGAAAATTAGGCACAGAAAAGTTTTTTTATTCGCCGTCCTGGTCAGTACTACATCTAGACTTGTTTTCCAAGCTGTAAGCTGTTGGCTACGTCAGCTATCAATTTCCTTCTCAGCGCCTATGTGAGTCTGTCTGTTGCTGTAGCCCAAAAACCTTGGCACTCAATAAAACTTAAAATTTTTATCGTTTGCTTGTCAAGTTGGTAGCCAGTCCAATATAAACCTAACTTTATTTTCTATATGATTGGAAGGAAGATCTGAAGGAAGATCTTTCATTGAAAATCGGGAGGTCACTTAACCATACAAAAGTTTTCTTGCTATATTCCCTTTCGATCGAAATGGCTTCAAAAACGTTTCGATTCTTGACGGTCACCCAAGTTCAGCGACTTCACGCTAGATTCGTCGTCGCAAATGCCGTTCCAACCCAGCCAGGCATGCTGGAATCTGCAGCTGATTCGCCGAAGAACATGAAGCATTATGCGAAACAGGAAGACATTTTTCAGCTTGCTGCGAACCTTGCTGAGAAAATCATGAAAAACCATGCCTTTCAGGACGGCAATAAGCGTACTGCCTTAATGGCCGCCGATATGTTCTTGAAGATCAACGGTTACTACCTTCAGAAAGTGCCATTCGCGGATGATTTACACAACAAGGATCTCGCGAATGCTCATGTTGTCGTGGTTACCAATCAGTGGACCGCTGAACAAATGAGAAACTATTACAAGACTGTCGCAGCGCCTCTCAACTCGGTGCATGGACTATAGAAGCTTGGCACCCGAGCACTAGTTTTATATACTCCTGGAAAGATCGTCCACATTTTGTACGGCTTTTGGATGATGATCCGAGTAAGACATACGATTTAGTCCTGCGTGTGGTTCCTTTCTGTCAGTCTTTTCTTTGGATTGGAGGGGAGTAAGCTCCGATGAATCATGATGTTAACCCTCCTTTTTTTTTGATGCTTGTTCGAGTACTATACCTACTATGTTGTCTAGTTGAGACCGCATTTCTTTACACCTTGCTTTAAGCAATGGCATCGAAAAATGAATAGATCAAGTCGTACGTATGTAAACGATATTTGCATTTTTAAGAGACCCTTGCCCTCAGTCATGAAATTTCAAGAGTCTATGAGGATATTCGCTCGATTATTATTTACCATTCATTCTCCTGAGTCTCAGTCTCAAATAGCAAACCATCTCCCATCTGGTATCAAACAATACGCAAGATAGCTACAGGGGAAAAAAACTTTGACATCACATATCCTTTAGTTGCTGGAGAACGTTTTCTAAGTTTCGTCGACTAGCACTTGCATTTTGGGCAAAATTGGCTAGATCATCGTTATGGATTAGTAGTCGTAAGAGAGGGAGGATTGGTGACTGAAATATACCATCAAGAGTGTCATCTAAAACTATCTCATGCATCTTTCCGCTCATGAATAAAGTTGCAGGGCTTGTATTTGACTCTGCTTGGTGAGGCATTTATTGAGGGACATAGAGTCGGGGTAGCTTGACAATCCTAGCATGAAAAAAGAGACTGTTGTTATCAGCTGTACAAGGCTTTCGCACCTTAACGACTTACCCAAACCAAAGTGCTGCGAATCATGAAAATAAGTGAGTTTACATCTGTCTTCGGAAATAGCAGCAGAAGCAGAAGTAAAGGGGCTAGCAGCGCAGAGTGCACTGCCAACACCTGGATCAATCAAAACGTAGGTTTCTCCTGGGTTACCAATGATAACAGGCACCTTTCTAGTAACCAGATCACCTGTCGCATCATAGGCAGTGAAATCAGTTGTGACCCGATGAAAATATCGCGCGGTATTGGTTCAACTGGTGCTGCGCAGGGGAGTGAAGGACCGAAAAGCGCAGCGTAACATATCGGGTCTGAGTGAACAAAGAGTCAAGTAAGTGAGGAGACAGACAATAGCTTCGCATATAAGGTGTACAATGATCCCTGATGGCTGCGGAATAAGTATGGATTAAAGAAGCCTGTAGCCGATGCTCTTACTGTCGTCTATTAAGAAGCTTGGTCTCGGCGCAGAAAAATAAATATGCAAATTGGGAGAAGCTCGACTGGTGTGCTGAGTCTGGTTGTAGTAAGCCTTCTCCTTTGGACCAAGTTTTGAAGATGGCTCGGTCGGTACATCATAGATGTGCAAAAAGGTCGTTGATGTGTATGATATGTATTCGAACGGTTCTCATCACGTGCTTGGATGCTTGCAACCTGGTCAAACGCTTGCTAGTATAGCTACATAGATTGGAACAAGATTAAAGGAGTGGAGCCAGTAAAGGGAATGTGTTTTAGCGCGGGAGCATCCAAGCGGCAACTACACGATATTCATTGGTTGGAACCCGCCAACTGGGGCTGGTGCGGGAACTTCCGTGCGGCGAGCGATCTTGGCACTTCGTTGTCGCTGCTCATTGGCAAGTTTGCCTCCACCAGCGCCTACAATGCCCGGCCGTAAATGGAGAAAAAGTGAATATCACATGAGTCACTTACTGCATTGGGTGGCTTTTGTCCACCGCATGCATACCTCAGGGCTCCGACGGTTTCTAATCATTCCAAATAGGCGCCGCTTTCATGCGTCAGTGTCCCTTTTCTGTCTTCCATTCTACCCGCTCTACTTTCTCTTCCCCGATTGCCAGTAAACCGGCGACTCGCAAGCTTCTGCCCCCTCTCGAAATGATCTGTGCACCCTGGTGTCCGGATACACGACACCGCAACTGAGCATGACAATATCAACGACCCAGCTACGTTTGGGACGACTGTTGCTCGTGTTCCTTGGGGTACTCGCCATCGCCTGGAGGTTCTGGCCATTCCCGTACAAGCCTCACTCCACCACCCATCCCCAGCAGGCCTGGGATGACCTTACAGCCATTGAAAATCAGACATTGGGAGTAAGTATTATTTGACGCAAAGGAATGGTTTCGTCTTCTCACAAATCTGCAGTTTGGGAAAGTTTTTGCCATTAATCTGCCCAGCCGACCGGATAAGCGCGATAACATTGTCTTGGGCTCGTCTGTTTGTGATTTCCTCGTCGATTGGATCGATGGTGTGCTCCCGGAAGAAATTAACCCCAAGTCCTATCCATATGTTCGTCTCGAATATTGTCGATTTGTCGCTATGGACTCGCTAATAATCACTCAAATCTAGAATTGGGATCAAAGCCACAAGCCGACTGAATACGCTGCCCGTCGGGCGCATGTCAACGGAATGAAACGGTACATAACAAACATCCCGTTCAAGGAAGTGAGCCAAAGTGAATGCTGATAACGTATTAGTATTGTTGAGAACAGGATAGGAAGCGCAATCATCATGGAGGATGATGCTGACTGGGACGTCAATATCAAGGTACAACTTCAAAACTTCGCCCTCGGGGTTCGGGCCCTCCAAGGCACGTATGAGAGTCTGACTACCTCCCCATACGGGGACGATTGGGATATTCTCTGGCTCGGTCATTGTGGTATCGAATGCAAGACCGACTTGCCCTTCTATCAAACCCCGCATGACCCTACTATTCCTGAACCTCGGCATTTCCTTCCCTACTGGCGTGATACTCCTCCAATTGAACGACCGGACCATGCCCGGCTGACTTGTACTGCCAAAGATGGTGTATGCTCAAGCATGTATGCTGTGACTTATCACGGCGCTCAGCGGATCCTTGCTGCACTGTCAGTGAATCCTTCCGGCCTTGCCGAGGAGATCGATATTGGTGCGCAATTCGACGTGTCTCTAGGCCGCATGTGCGGGAATGGGTATTTGCGCTGTTTTGCACCATATCCTTCCTTGACAGGAATTTTCCGTCCTGCTGGAAGCGCAGAGAAAGTATCTGACATTCATGACGAGAAGGGAGAAGCTGTGGGTTTTGCTAGTTGGGGAGTACTATACAGCACCATGCTGAATGTGAAGCAAATTCTCAATCGAGAGCCTGTGCACGCAACATGGGATGACGTTGAGAGGCCACAGGTTGTTCCACATACGATCCCCATTGGGAAGGGCTCAGTTTATACAACGGGACAAGAGGGGCAACGCGAGATTGCGTCGGTTGCTGTTGATGAGGAACGACGAAGTCATAGAGCGACACATGTGCGTATATAGAGTGGCTGGCCCACATGAGCGATACCTTTTAATTTATGTCTCGGACTGCTTCTTTCATTATTCTGACGTGATTTCAACATATAAGGAACACTTTAATCTATTCTGTTTGTTCTTCACTTAGTTTTGTCCCATCTGATTCATTTCTCTAATGAAATCTCTTTTTAAAACAATCCATCGAAACTGGGTTGTATATCCACTCCATTGGCTATCTGAACATATCCATATTTGCAGAATTAATGTTGAATGTGGATTGCGGGTACTGCCGCAGTCTAATCAGGAAATTACGCATGAGCACTCTAGGCTTTAGTATTCAGCCTACCTAATGGCCGATGGTTCCTCGAATTTCCATCTCATTAAGAGAAAACAGCGGATTGGTGAGATGAGATTACCCGGAAGTGCAATGTATCATGCAAAATCGATATAAATCGAATCTGAAAGCCAGATAAGTTCGCCTGACTACGAACCCGTTGCCTAGCATGCGAATCTAGACGCATCCACCTGTGTTCTTTCAATAAAATCGCCCCTGTATAGCGGGGCTCCAAACTTGCCTTGGGCACACCCCGCGTCGGACCTTGTCAACACTAGCTGTTCGTTGCCACAAAAATGATCCAGGTCACACTACTTTACGATCAAATTATTGATTATTGATTTATTGATTGATTCACATTCACGGGTTTTGTCAATGTCTAAGAGGATCTATCTACCGCCTCTACGACGTCCATTGCTAAGTATACGTGAAATCCGAAACTTCATATGCGTCACAATGTCCACTATCAACGTCGAAACTGGAAAATTTGCATTGTGCCATCTTACCAATACTGTTCGAAAAAAAGGCATTTTGTCCATCAAGAATTAAACTCGCAGTATCACTGCAGACAAACGTTCTCAATTCTCCGGAGAAATGAGCTGTAGATGATAACGTCCTATTAGTACTTATACTATTCATAAATTATCCTTTGTTTCAACTTACGATCGCAATTTCCATCATCGACTTCAGCAAATGAGTTCGGTTGCTGACCATGACAGTCCCATAGTTTATGATCATCGTCACCTATTTCGAAATAGCAATTTGATCCATCGGAGGAAAGCTTGATTTCAGCGATAACTGCCGATGTAGCGACTGTTGAGCTAATACAGAGGCTAGCAGCTAGAAAAGAAATAAAGAAATGCATGTTTGGCTAAAGGGATAGAGTTCTGAGATTATTAGAAAAGAGGATATAGGATCTTCATATATATACCTGATTCCGGAAGAGGGACCCCTTTTTCTTCGCTATATATCTATAATTAGTCGTAATAAATTTCCAACGTAAAGTTCATTGATTCACTTTCTCCTGGCGCATTTATATAATAAGTTAGTTCTATAATGAATCTCCAACCAACATAAGTGGATTTCATTAACTTTAACTCGCCTTCTCCTGGGGCGTACGTCTATAATAAGTCAGTTGTAATGAATTTCCAACCAACACAAATGAAGTTCATTGGCTCGCTTTCACCTGGCGCGTATATGTATAATTAGCTGGTTATAACAAATTTTTAAGCAATATGAATCGAGCTCATAATGCAAAAATATAATATAGATATTAGTTGATTAGACTGAGTTGAATGAGACTGTCGCTTGGCAAAAATCGAATGTCTGCGATATCTCGACAACCACGGGCCCAAGGACATTGAGATATAGTTTAAAAACCAATAAAACTCGTAGCGCTAGCTTCTGATACTAATTCCACATTATTCTGTCGGTAGTAAGGTAGGTTCATACAGTCCCCTGTGGCCCCTAAGTCTATCATCACTGTGGTTGTTTGATAATTTTAGGTTAGTTTTGATCGTGAAGTGAGCTCCCAAGTCTGTAGCTGCAAGCTATTTGAATTCTTTTATCCTCCGATTCTCAACCTAGAGTCTCCGAATATGAGGGTTTCCATCGCGGTTTTTTCTCCCAACGTAAAGGTCTTGGTTCAAGATTTCGCTTTGACCTTGCCTGCGGCGTGAAGCAAACTCCCATGATCGTAACATCTAATGACTACCCTGAGGTCCTGCTCGGGGTGTCGTGCATATCCGATGTAGGCAAAGGTACAAGATTAAAGGAATACCCGCTTCTTCGCCTGCTTGTATGGTACGCCGCATATATTTGGAATACAGCGTCGTAACACGCTATTCCAGGCTCTCAAGGATATTCAACGCCCCCTGAGAAACTCAGATAGCGAGAAATCTCATAATCGAATATCTCGATCTATTGCATCACTTCTTTAGATGCCCATACTGTACCCCTTCCGGATTGTCAAGTTTTAATGATTGAAATCAAATAAATCGTCTAACTTTTGCTTACAATATAACTTTCCTACTGCAGAGAATCCACTCTCCTTATTATTTCCCTAGTTCGTAATTTCTCATGCTACACGCTGTAATTTCCATTTTTTGAAGCACAATATTTACATTTGACTCATCTGTAATTTACTCGGGTCATCACAGAGACTTGATATTTAGCTTAATATGCCCGGTATCACTTTCTATCGGGTCTGGAGAAGAAGATTCTTTTCAGGAATACGTCCACTCGGTAAAATCAAATTGTGCATGTAAATGTCAGACTTCGAAGTATGCTTGAAACTTACTGGATTTCCAAGCCAAGCCAATGCCAACAGCATTTTTATTCAACATTTCCCACGGATACAAAAGACGCAAAATCAAGGTCAGCCATACGTAAATTTGAAAGAAATACGGCTCACATATGATAGGTAGTACCTGCAAAACAGAGCGACAGATTCTCGTGAGGGATTCCTCACGAGAATCTAACAACAAGGGTATATGGTTACATCATAGCCCAAGATACAAATGGCTTGGCCCGTGACCAGCGAAGGGAGTCGTGTTGTTGTAATTAGAAGTCATTGATTCTGTCGCAATATGCGAGGTTGGATGTCCTGGGAGCGCCAGCTCAAATTATAGGGGAGAAAAAAGTATGGGATATGATTGACTACCAGCTCAGTGGGGCAAGGCCTAGAATGGTGGGCTAGCATTGTCTCGTGAATCACTACATGAAACATACCCCGGAAAAGGGTCCAGGTGGGCGAAGAGCAAGGGTAATTGAGTTGGTTGGTGTTGGTTCAACGAATCCACTTCATTGATGCCTGTTGGTAATCACGTTGGCTAATTATGATTAGTAGGATCAGGAAGGAGTATTGACTTGATTTTTGGTTGGTGTTGGTTCAGCGAATCACCTTCATTGATGCCTGTTGGGAATTATGTTGGCAAATCATGATGACTAGGATCAGGTGAAAAGGGAAACGATGATTAGCTAGTGGAGCTCCTAGTAGCCAAATTATCCCATATGAATGTGACTGGGCTTATATTAGTTGTATTATACACAAGATATAGGCGCAATGCTAATAATAGGAGTTTGGAATTCCTTAGTTGATATGTCCCTTTCTTGTAAAGTTCAAAGTATTTAAAGGAAACCTTAATGCGCTTTTTTTTACATATCAGTATTTGATAAGATCTTACGTTGAGATGTATCTATCTACCATCTTGTTGGTCCCTAGTATCCTCGCTATCTTAGCTACTGCTCAAGAAGTGACGATAAAGACCGAGTAAAATAAGTATCTTGATCGAAATATTTGCTATCTCCAAGCCGACTCACTTTATGGCTGCTTGGAAACAACCGATGAATGGTTTGCAAGTGGTCTGGGTGATGATCAAGACGATTGCTTTTGTAACTTAACCAAAGGCAGCTTAACAAATGAAATAAATTCCAATGGATACTTGCCTTTTATAGCATGGACAAACTCCCCTGGCCTGCTTGATTTACCAATCTCAAAACGTGGTGATGGCATCAGTCTGAAACTTCATGATGAATCCAAGATCACCTTTGTGGACACGGGGAGTAATATTGTAGCAACATGTGATTTGGGGGTGATGAAGGAGGGCGATCACTGCGAGCCAGTAGAAGAGTAAGTATTGTTGCAATTGTAACGGTATGAGAGGTGCTAGAAGAGCGATATATTCATATGAAGAATGAAAGAAAATGAAGGATGAGAATCGACATGTTTTAACCAGTAAAGGGAATTAGGAGTTACTCAAATCCCGATTACTGCCCTAAGCGATACTATGCATAGTAGTGCATTACGTCCTATGTACGTTTTCAGCCTGAATCAATTCCGAATATCATCGCCGACCTTAGTTGCTCCGTAACAGAAAGAGGTAGTATGTCTCTTCTATAATAAGCTATGAAGGATCTAGGAAAGGCGGCAACACAGGACAGAATACACCCGCTTCTAGTTAAGTTAGTAGGAGTCCTGGCTCCACCCAGGACCCAGGACAGCTTCCAGGCCCCAGGCCAGCCTCCCAGATGCATGTTTCAAGCGGCTCGGGGCAATACGCAATACGAGAAACCCGAATGGTTGGTCTAGAGAGAATTGGCGGTGGGGAAGGGAATCTTCTTGGCAGATGTACGACGCTGGAGTTGGGGGTGGCTGCTACTGGGGTGGCTCTCGGGACACACACTGGAGAACTCAACGATGGAATTATTTTCGAACCGTTAAACGAGAGAGCATGATTACTATTATTCCGTAACTCCGTAGTGTCCGCTGCAAACTCAAAAGGTCTAGAGACTCGCTGAACTAGCGTGGACGAACAGCTGTCGTCAGAAGGAATGGAAGTGCAGGAAGCTATCGGAGCGATCATCCCGGGTTAAGCATTCGCGGAACAGGCAACCATACCGCGTATGATCGACACGATGCTGGCCGCTTTTCTTTTCCAGGAACAGCATTCATCCAGCCGAAATACATGTTAAAAGCGACTGGAATGTATTGCGGTTCGCGAATGCGATCAGCTTGTCGAGAGCAGCGACAGGGGGAAAAATTGATCATAGCAGGTATATTCTTTGCCTGCACATAAAAAACCTTCTGTACGGGGCCAACAGCGTGGCTACATGTATATCCACGCACTGAACATGCGGTGTATCAGGATAATCGAAGCGTTGGCAGTATCCATACTATCGGACTGCCGGAGCACATCTATGCGAGTCCATGTATTTCCATCGTCCTTCAGACTCCATACAGATTGTCGAGGATAGGCAGCACCTAGGCGCTGATCACGGATCTCATCCTCCACATGCCTGTGATTTCGGAATATCAGCTTCAGCCACATGTGTGACTTGCTCCGACCGAACACGAAGCGAAAGGGACGACTCTCGGAAGACAAGTTTGGGGGATGGACCCAAAATGGACGAGGGCACAGACAGCCAATACCCCATGCGCCTCGAAACTCCCCCCCTGAAAATGAGCATTCGAATCCAAGAGAACCTGGGCAGTGTCGCAACGAGCAGTCTTCGTGGCTGAGACCATGGTCCGACCGAGACTGATTCACCCGGGCAATGGCCAAGCCACACACCAGATCAGATGCAATGGTGTGTGATGTCTGACGGGTAGCACTGTCTGCACTGCATTGCCCTTGCCCCTCCCCCCCTTTTTTCCTCTTCCCACGGAATGATATCAGATCCCCCATGCCTTCCGCCTGGTTTGTTTTCCAGGCTCCAGCCACGGTGGCTGTGTAATCTTGGAAAGGACAAAGGGTGGGCCGGTGGGATCCCCTGTGACGCGGATACTGACCCGCTCAGCCACGCATACTCGTACCGTACCCCGGTAGGGCCAGGTATTGGTATTTCCAGGAGCAGAAAGCCCCGAGATCGATCCTTGTCTCGGACCCTCGGAGCAACAGTCGTAGCGTGTCGATCAGAAGGAGCGGACAATGCCAAACATGCTCAAGATGCCAGGAGAGAGAGAAAGAGGGACGGATTACCCGACCGAACGGTAGTGGAGGAGTAATATCGGACTTGGCGATGGGGAAACAGAGGAGAGTGGCGGTTGTTGCAGTATTGCCTCCACTGTCCGATCCAAATATGGGGGTCGGAGCTTGGTTGAACAGCCTTTTTACTTGATAGCTTTCCTAGGGAATCCGAGCTTATGCTTTGGGTTTTTATTCGCACTAATTGGACCGCCCGTTTCTTTTTTTACTTCCTTTTTTTACTTCCTTTTTTTGGCTTTAGAAAAGCAAAACAGAAGATTTGTGTATATATGAGAACAGGATATACTGCGGTGGCATCTGACGCGGTGTCAGGAGCAAGTCTCCAGACGGTGGGAAAACGTATATGCGAAGGTATATTTATATATGCTCACGGCAGGACCTCGGGATTGAGTTTGTGAATACTGCATCGTTGATATCATATCACGGCGATCTATGACCATGATATACGCTAAAACGGACAGTGGGGCTGGATATCAATGGGCATCTTAACTCAACAGAAACCTAGACTAGACAGGCATTTTGCCGTGCATCACCGGGGAGTCTCTCTCTCGCTTGTCCTGTACCTGCCCCCTTCCTCCTTGGGCAGTCCATCACGTGATGATCCAGGGGTCTGATCCTCTGAGGCTGAACCGCGACCCCCCAGACTGAAATATACTCCGGCGGCCTGAGAGGCCTGAGGACTTGGAACTTGTGAGACTCCGGGGCGCTCACAGCAACGCGGCGACATCTTGTCCTCGGTACAGATTTTCTGAGGAAAGCCTCCCCACCCGGTAGAAACATAGTCCGTAGAAGGAACATTGATATGAATACGGAATCCTGATTACGATCATGGCTCCTTCACATCAATGGGCGTGGGGATTCTATAGACCGAGAGACCTCCCGGCGCTCTCCCGGGGTATATGGGTATAGTGCCCTGCAACGATGGGAACAAATGATAATGGCTATCGTTGTAGTATCCATGCACAAAGTGGCTTCCTCAATACCGAGGGCGAGCGGAAAGCGAAAATACCGGCCGAAATGGGTACTGGGCACATGGTTGAGAGATACCGACCGCCTCCTCAAAATAGGGCATCGGCTGGTCACCACAACACGCAATGCAGGGCTGGGCAATACCGAAAATACAATACAACAAATACCCTGATCGGTCCACTTGCAATCTTCCGTAACACGCTGTCACCAGGCACTCGTGGTTCACCCGCTTCCAAAACTTACTAAACTTACTAAACTTACTAAACTTACCATTACGCGCCAGCTCCCGGCGATGACACACGCGGATACCATCCAGATACACGATACCATCACTCTGTACTGCCACCGCCCAGGAGTCTGGCCTCTATCTCTCCTCCACCTCCAAGTCATCAAATATTCTTCCCATCCCCATCGGACATCTACGTGCTTTCATCCTCTCTTTCTTCTAGCTCTCGCTGCGTGCACTAGCTGGCTCTGTGTCCTTTGATCCTTTTCCGTGACCCTACGCCGTTGCGCCTCTTCCTATCATAGTACGGAGATCACCCTTTTCCTTTGGCCCTCTCCTCACCTCCCGACACACCCCCCCCTCCGGCAGCCTGAACCTGTCCCTTTCCCAACCCTCCCTACTGGCATATCTTCCCCCCTCCCCCCTCTCTTTTATCTCCAACACGTGCTACCTCCCCGAATCGCATTTGTCGTTGCGGTCTCCAACCCGACTATCACCCCCCTTCCCCTGAATTTTCCTTTAGGGAACTACTTCCCGCTGACTCTTCGTTGCGTGTCAAGATGGCCGAGATCCGTCGCAAGCTCGTCATCGTGGGCGATGGTGCCTGCGGTAAGACCTGTCTGCTCATGTAAGTACTCTGACATCAGAAGCCCCGACTCTGCATGCCCCTTGATCCCCTTCCTGTCGACCCGCAAACTTACCAATCTCCTTCGCAGTGTTTTCTCGAAGGGTACCTTCCCTGAGGTGAGCTTTCCACTGGGCCCCGACGCCCCCGAACTCCAATCTCCCATCTTCGCTATCAGCCCGAACCCAACACATGCTACTCACTCCGCTCCCCTGTTGTGTTCATCCGCCAAAACACCTATCTGACTATGATGCCGCCAGGTCTACGTCCCCACTGTCTTCGAGAACTACGTTGCCGATGTTGAGGTTGATAACAAGCACGTTGAGCTTGCTCTTTGGGATACGGCTGGCCAAGAAGATTATGACCGCCTCCGTCCTTTGTCATACCCCGACTCGCACGTTATCCTGATCTGCTTCGCTGTCGACTCCCCCGATTCTCTCGACAACGTCCAGGAGAAGGTGGGTGCTTAGAAACCAGAGACCCATCCCTTTTAAAGGGAGGGGGCCGCGAACTTCTTTATTTTTATCGATCGCAGGACCCGGGCTGACGTGGTCCTTTTTTATAGTGGATTTCCGAAGTTCTCCACTTCTGCCAGGGCCTTCCCATCATCCTCGTTGGTTGCAAGAAGGATCTGCGCCACGACCCCAAGACTATTGAGGAGCTGCACAAGACCTCTCAGACCCCCGTCACCGCTGAGCAGGTACGTTTTTGATCCCTCTCTCACAGCGTGATCTGCATTGCGAGGGCCAGCTGGCTAACGCGCTTTTGATTATTAGGGTGAGGAGATCCGCAAGAAGATCGGTGCCTACAAGTACCTCGAGTGCTCTGCCCGTACCAATGAGGGTGTCCGCGAGGTCTTCGAGGCTGCCACCCGTGCGGCCCTCCTGAAGGTCGGCAAGACCAAGGCCAACAAGAAGGGCAAGTGTTTGATCCTGTAAACTACCCCAGCAACCCGGCGCTCCGGCTCGAGCGAAAGACAGTCGATCAACAGCGGACATTCGGGGCCAATTTGGACATTCTGATTCCCTCCCCCGGAAAAAAAAAGGCGAGGATTGGGGGGGAAGAGACTACTTGGCCTGCATACGAGGATCGTGGATAATGTAGGATCTGGGTGCCTCAAGTCATGAAATCTCCATTTCCTTCCCCCTCTCCTTTCCCCTTCTCACAAATTCCCCCAATTCCCTGCCGTTGGTCGCAGATCCTTGTGTTTCTTTTTGCCTTTATTTTGCAGAATTTGTCTAGGGAGGCGTTGTCTTCATCATAACCCTGTGGGCTTTTCTCTTTTTCCCTATCCCCTGTCTACTCTTCCCTGCTTCTACCTGGCCCTTTTTTTCAATCCGATACCGTGGATCACAAATGACAAAGTGCCCCAAATTGCGCGGCAGTATAAACCATAAACAAACCAAACCAAACCAAACCAAAAAAAAAACCAGCGACCAAGACGTGTGTCCTCAACCACCGGAATGGTAGCGCTGATCTGTGGACTGGCGCATCACGTTGGTATACACGTTCGTGCCTCTTATGCTCTAATTTCATTTCGCCTGCTTCCCTAATATCCCGTTCCCTTGTTTGAACCTCTGCGCCCCCCCACGTCCCCCCCCTTGTGTGATGATAGATTCTCGTTCCCCTTCAGATAATTCCTTCCCCAGCAAAGAGCTTGTCTTGCCTTCTTCCCTCTTTCACCTCCCCCTTTAATTCTATGATTTTATTTGAAGATAATACATGGAACTTCTCCTCAGCTTGTTTTTGCATGTATTCTCCCCGCTCACTACAACGTAGACTTACGAAAAACGAACAACAGTGAGAATCTAGCCCCAGCTACATAGATCACCGTCAATGACGCCCCGATTTCTCATTGACATATTTATATGTATGGCCCTAGACCCGCAAGATACTAGATGTACATCGAGATATACATGGTATCGCCACATGAACCCCGAAACCACCACAGCACAGCACCCCTATGTAAACGCAAAGACCCGGAGGAGGCATCCCGCGACTGGCTGTACAGACAACTGATCAGGGGCGGGGGAAGATGGAAGAAAAAAAAAACAAGAGAAAATGATCATATGCAGACAGGAACGGTCGGAATAGCCCGAAAACCGAGACCCGAGAAAGAAGAATTGGGATGGTCACCGGTTCAAGCTTAGTAGCCCCTCGATATACCGTCGTGCGTCTATCCCAAGGCCCTCTGCTAGTTTCGACGGAGTGATATCCTGAGCCCGAGGCTTGGATGAGGCTCCGCCGAGGTCGCGGAAGAAGCGGGCGCCGCTGCTCATCCGGCCATGACCAGAGGGGGAAATATAGTCACTTGCTTTGCGGACGAGAAAGGCTTCCTGGGGCTCTGGGGTGGGATCTGAGGAAGGATGGTGGGTGGACTCCACATCCAGGGAGGAGAGGGCTGTAGATGAGGAGGCGGATGAGAGTGCTGGTGGGAGAGTTGAGGGATTGGTCTGAGGGAGGCGAACCCAGACGATCCACCATCCGCGGCTGGTTTTGCATGTGCGTTCGAGTTCTTGCGGGCGTGAGCGGGTGTCAATGTATGTGCTCAAGAGGCGATGGTGGATGACCAGGCTTTCGACACGCGACCATTGCGTTGTACTCGGTGGTCGGGAGGGTGAAGGAGAAGGCGTGCGTGGAGTGTGGGATGGGCCCTGAGGATGAGAGGGGCTGCTTAGGCTGGGGATGTTGGGGATAGAGGATCGAATGGTTAGGTTTGATGGATCATAAACGAGGTCGTAGACAGGTTGAGACCGAGTGGAGAAACGCTTGCTTGGATCTGTGGCGGTCTCGTGCATGGAGATGCGTGAAGCGGCAGTTTGGGGAGAGGTGGATGCCACAAGAGGTTTTTGGAGGGGGCCTAGTTGGTGATGAATGCTTGAGTATAGTGATGGGGAGGATAAGCCCGGAGTCTCCGGGTCGAAAAGGAAGGTGAACATGAAAGGTTGATGCTATTGAAACGTCAATTAAATGAACAAGGAGATGACAACGATACAAGACTTACCACATAGATGACTGCTTCAAGCTTCTTCATATTCTCGTCAGGAAAGCCCGCCAGACGTATATGGAGAGACCGATGAACTATACGGCTCTTTTGCTTGCCGGTTTCTAACTGAGGCCCTGGAGTTTCTTCGTCCAAGTCGTCTAGAGTGTCCAGATCGTCACGAGGCCCAAGCACGAAGTGACCAGAGGTGCTGTTTTTTGTCTCGTTAGGATGATCTCTGGACTGTAAACCATTCGCAATTGGAAGTAATGCAGTATTAGAAGCATGCGTGTTCTGCTCCACATTGGTGACTGCTTCTCCGGGTTCACTGGGAGGCGAAGCCAAGGAAGATGGGGTCGCGGACTTGGAGAAACTCCAGGAGGAACCGTATCCAAGAGTCAAGTATTTCATGACCGTGTCAGTTCCAAAGGTTGGCTTATCCCCTTCTTGATCGCCCCCATCTAGTGAACTGTCGATCTCTGTTTCTAATATAGCCCCCTTCTGATCTTCCGGAATAGATCGTGGCGCCGGCGCAGCCATCACAAGTGGACGAGGTATTCCGGGCGTATGACTGCGCTCCGGCGAGGAAGGTTGAGCTTCGCCTTGGGGTACGGATGCAGTGCTGGCTTCAGCAAAATGCTCTCGTTGCTTCCGTGGTTTCCTTCGACGTAGTGAACATGGATCGCGCTTGATTCCATATGCTGCATCGCCATACCGGTAGACCGTTTCTATCCAGTGAGATAAGTGTGCCAAGGACTGCCTTGAGATAGCGCCGACGCCTGCGAAGACAATGCCATCGGTAGGCCGAGGATCAGTATCAGAGCCTAGCCACGCGCTGTCGCCATTGCTTTGGATGGCTGGCGGCGAGTCTCCAGCTTGTCTCGGCAGGTCGCCAAACCTCGAGACAAGTAAATCCACCAGCCCATCTGTCCTGTGAACAAAGTCTTCGAGAACTTCCCGTTCACCACTCCCCCACTCCTCCTCTCCTACGCCAATTCCCAGTTCCCCACCTGCTGCAAGTTTGATTCCGTTATAAATCTCGACGATAGGGTTTCCTGACAAGAGTATTTCCCAATTCCACGCAAATTTCTCCCAAAATCGCTCTATGAATAGACAGAACGAGGACCTGCCAACGCGGCTATATAGTGCGCTCAAGGAGAAGTCGTGGAGGAGAAGGAATGTCGAATGCGCACGACGTAGCTGCTGGATGAACAGATGCGGGGGGCCCATTTCCCTTGCTGAATATTGAAATGAAGAAGTCCCGGTATTGTTGCTTGAAGATGTCTGGACGTCGGCAGGTAATCGAGTAAGATCGACAGACTATCTTTGGCTCAGCTATGATTCTTTGGCGTTGCGGTTGTAGTCATGCTTACAGCGACAATCCACCAGTCCTTTTCTAGTTCAAGCACCATAACGCGTGCCTTATCGGTCTCGACATATTCCAGGGTTTTACCCGACGAGAAATTACTATATAGCAGGCCTCGTAAGTTTGGTTCGCAACACAACGCCGGGAAGTTATGCCCACCTCGCGAAGTTCACCATTCCCTGCGCCAAGCCGATCTGGCGCAGCCTCTCGTTTTTGTCATCACCGGACCGCTTGTTATCATCATCCCCAGCACCCGAATCCTCGGCACGATTGAGGTGGTCCGCTCTCGAAGTGTAGAACACGATCTGGTCCTCTAGTGTCTCGTCGGTGGGGCCGAGGGTTGGGTTGTAGATGGCAAGGAAGGAAAGTTGCGCGGGGATCGCAGAATCGGTCTCGAGTTCAGGCATCGCATCGTTAGTACTTGCAGCTTGGATCAAGCGATCACAAAGCAGCTCTTGCGTGAGTTCGTTTGCGATCAGGTCGTGGAACCGATGATGTTGACACCGTCACGTGGTGCCTTATCGATAAGTCGTCAGGTCGCGCGAGCAGCGAGTGGCAGCTCCGGCGGACTACTGCAACTTTCTTTAACCAAAAATGTTCGTGGTACGAGGGACCAGTACATGGAGCCTTTGTAGGCACTCATATGACAGTAAATGGCCTGTTCTCAGGGGCTATTCCACAAAGTCATATGATCCTCTCCGGATTCTCTTTTGCGGCTCCGACGATTTCAGCATTGCGTCCTTAAGAGCTCTCCATGCCTATCATTTGAAGCAACCAAGTCGAATCGCCTCCATAGATGTGGTTTGTCGACCAGGTAAAAGGGTCGGAAGAGGGTTGAAAAAGATTCGAGAGGGTGAGTGATCGATTGGAAGATAATTTAGTTGCTTCGACGCTCTAAGTATAATACATCCAGTACCGATCAAGGAGGTGGCATCTGCTCTTTCACTCCCAATTCATGAAATCGATACATTCACAGGGTGGACGGTAGGGCTAACTTCCTCTTTCCATATATTCGTGCTCATTTTATTAGCCCCCTGTCACTTCAAATGGCCCTGTCAATTTGATCATTGCCGTCTCCTTCGGTCTGTTTGTCCCGCCACGGATTCTCAATGCTGCCAAATATGGGGGTTTGAATGTCCACCCCTCATTGCTTCCTGAGTGGGTTCATCTTATAGACCGCTCATGTTTTTCTTGACGGACATTGATTCATATCTCCCAGCTTCCGCGGCCCAGCGCCCCTGCACCATACTCTTTTAGCAGGAAGAACGACGACTGGTGTAACACTTCAGACACTACACCATAAGAATTTTGACCATGGAATAATTATTTCTCAAACGCCGCCTCCTGGATTCGATATTCCCAACCCAGAATCCTGTACTGTACCCCAGTTACTGGATCTAGTTGCACCGAAAGGAGCTCAATTACTTGTGGATGGTATCAAGAACGGACTTTTTGTGCCACCATTGAGAGACGCTGGATGGAGCTCCCATGAAAGTGAAAATCCACTCATACATGCTGCTAAAATCAAGCCCGAGGACCGACACGTTGATTGGGCCAATTGGACCCTAATGGATTTCAATCGTTGTAACCGAGTCCTTGGGTCTCTTTGGAGCAAGGCTCTTGTTTCCACGAACCATGCAGATGGAAACCCCTCCTTTCAGCAAAAACGGGTAATTCTGACAGACATTGAGGAAGTTGATCCACCTAAAGGATCGGAAATTTTCTCGGTTGTCCCAGGACTCCCTTTCGTGAATGCCCCTCGCCCGGTTGAGCCAAAAAAGAACCGAGCTCTTTATGTGTTTACTCGCGATAGCAAGGTACTGCGTGTCAATCAGATGAAAGTGGAGGGTGAGCCCGTCGCCGAGGGACTTCGCGCTGCAATTAAAGCTCGCATGTTCGGCGACCAATCGTTTCGATCCGGTGGTGCCGAATTTACTACTTTCCGCAATCCTCTTACATGAGAACGAAGGGAAAATGTACAAAATTGTTGTATTCTATCAATATTATACCCTACAAATCTATGACCTGGACCTATCGTGCAGATAACTTTTGTACCCTAAAAGGCTAGCTGCACTTGAATGGTCTGATTGTTTGATATTATGGAAGCCGAATAATATTTATCAGATTCCAAAACCAGAATCTAAAATTTATCGTCAACTTTGAAATGCTCTCCGGAGTATATCAGAAAAAGGGGGGAGGGGGGCTCATACCGACTCGGACCGCTTGTCCTGTCATAGAGGAATTCTTTGCAATGGACAGAAACGCGTCCGCAGTGTCCTCAACTTCGGGCTGGAAAAAGAGATGTGAGAACAGAACATAGGGGCAACAACGATTGCGTTCGACTTACAACATGCTTGAGAGCTGTCGATGATGTCCAACCCTCGATCTTCTCAGGGGAGAAGCGCTGGCCCTAAAGTGCTGTCAGTCATTTGATCAGGTCCCACTAGCATATAAGAATTTCGATACCCATTCAGTGAGCAGGAGGCCGGGGCAGACAGCGTTGACTCGAACCTTAGGGCCCTGTGATTTTGCTAGACTCTTCATGAGATGGATTGCTGCATACTGCATTAGTAGGGCATTCTTCGGTTTGAGCGTATAGTGATTGACGTACATGCTGCCTTAGTCACCGCATAAGGCAAACTGCTTCCGCTGGGAGTAACGCCCTAGCATTATGACACTATTAGCAGGCAATTTTTGATTGTCCATGGTGGTTTCAGAACGAACTGCTACAGATGAGGTGATAATCATAGCACCACCCTCTGGGTTAGCATTGAAGGTAGGCAAAGCCGCCTTGAATAGATGGAAACTGCTCTTGACATTGATGGTCCAGCACTTTTTTTTTTTCAGTCAGTATATAGACCATATATCAGGGTGTCCTGCCAAATGCACCTTGTCCCAGTCATCATCATCCATGGCATCCAGGTCACTGAAGTTGGTCATTTTTGTCCACCCCTAACTCTCGCATTAGTAAAAACCGGGCAAAAAAAAAGCAGATTGCTCTTACGGCATTTGAAATGATAACATCCAATCCTCCTAGCTGTTCAATGGTCGAATCGACAAACTTGATACAATCATTCTTGTTTCCTGCGTCCTGTATCCAAGTTCAAAATCATTAGCAATTCCATCAGGTCTCAGCCTCACTGAAATTCCAGGAGCTTAGAAGTAGAAGCCACATACGCCCTGGATAACAATCGCCTTCACATTGTACTTGGACGAAATCTCGGATGCAACCTTGTCGGCAGTCTCCTTGCTCGACATATAGTTGATAGCGATGTTGCTTCCTTCCGCGGCGAACTTATGCGCGACGAGAGCACCGAGGCCTCTATATTGAATTGCAATGAGCTAGAGATTTAAACCAGAGGGAATGCATGATTCCCTTGCATAAGAGTAGATCTTACCGCGAGCCACCTGTGATCAGGACATTTCGGCCTACCAAAGAGTACGGCATGGTTGATGGATTAGACAGTCGAGACGCTCTTCATACAAAATGATGAACTCAGTCACCTTATGAATAGTATCGCCCTGGACCCAGAGGAAGATTTTGATAATTCTTAGAAGTTTGTCACCGCAATGAGGGGAAATGCGGGGTCAGTTACGTGATGCTCGAGAGACGCGGAAGATAACCAGGACTGGCGAGATTGCCGACGGGATGAATTCCGATGCCGACAATTTCCCCTCCACCTCCGGGTATATAGTGTTGATAAGTCCGACGGTCTTCTATCTAGACTGAAATTTATATATGGCTACAGTATGGATATTCCTAAGAACGATGATAAGAGGTTGGTTACCAGATGGGGCTTTTCCTTAATCCCCACATTCGGTATGTGGAGGAGGAAAACTCCCGCCGACTCAAGCTCGGCATTGTCGCCCCCGAGTACGAAACGGATTTTCAGAGAAAGCTTTGTATTTTTTGCCAGTGGAAGGTGATTTTTTTTTTTGGAGAACTGAATGTCAAAAAATCAAGCACATGTATATGTTTCGTAAAAGATTAGCGTCACCCCGTGAAGTTTAGAGGACAACCCAGCCAGCATACTCGGTTCTCTTCATTCCCGGCCACGCTCGCCGTCCAGCCAGGTCGGGCCATTGGACAAGAAACTTGTCAGCTAACGGAAGCAGGATGACTCCAGATGTGCTCAATTTCTTGACACGGGCCCATGATTCCACGAAAACGGTCCGAAGCCTCGACACTTGAGGCTTGGACTGACGACCAGTGACCCATTGGGGAATAAAAATGCAAAAACGAATCACTTTAGCGGCGAGTATCATACACACAGCGACTGCCGGGCCGTTGGAAAGAATAATATCGGGGTAAGGTGAGGGGTATTTCGCAGGAAGGGGGGTCAGGTCGGGGTGTCGTCGGAGAAGGACGAGGATACACGCCCAGAAGCATTGAAGCGTCGAGAAAGGAGCTGTCCAGTATGATTGATGCACCCTGCGTGCGCGTGGAATAGTTGCAATGCTATATGAATTTCCCTCCTTACTATGTCTCGCTTCGAACTCGGCGGCTTTGACAGCGCTGAAGTTGTCGCCGGAAGTTACCACGTAGGTTCGATGAGTGTAGGCCGGAAAGCCGAGATTCTTTTCTAGCATGTAGAACATTTCCGCTGTGTGACCACCGCTGCCCAATACCACGAGGAGATGGACAGGTGTGCCCCTGTGACGAATTTTGGGTATCGGGGAATTGTGGGAGAGGAATAGCGAAAGGAAGATGGCCTAGGAGAGTCCAAAGTCAGTACCGCAGTCAATGTTCATGTCATGCTCAATTTGAGATAGCAGCCATACGAGGGGTGCAAGGAAGCAGAATAGAGCTGCGGGGACCAGCATCTGTAAGAAAAGTCCCCAGAACATCTGCTCTACAGACGCCATGATGTCACTGCCGGGAACGACTCGGAGATGGTCAGGGTGTGTCGGGGTTGCTATGAATGAGGGTGCATTTTTGATGGGTAAGAGAAAGGCCGGAGGGCGATTTCAAAAAATCTCAGGTCAAACGAAAAACCTCAGGCCCAGAAAGGCGGGAAGCGTTTCTTTTGGGCAAAATTGAAGCCGTCGCGTCGCAACACCGCAACACGTGCCGAGTGGTCTGTGCAGCCCGGAGTTAACTGTTTTACTTGATTATTATTTCCTCGATCTCATCGCGCTCTCCTCCCTTGATCCCCACCGCCACAACCCTCCTCAACATCCTGATCCACATGTTATTATGAAATGGCTCTCTTTTCCAAACGTCTGACCTGCTTTTATTGTGGGCGGCGCGCGACCAAACCCGTCCGTGGGCCGGTGCACAAATTCCATTGCGAACATTGCGAGGCCGACAACTACCTCGATCAGGTGCGCTCAATAATTCAGTTGCCAGACTCTGCGGTCTCAATACTTACAGATTTTTATGACATTTTAGCATGGCGATATTACCGATCCCCCGGCATCAGACACAAATCCAGAGGGTCTCGGACCCGACGTGTCAAGCCCGCCCTTTGAGTCAACCGAGTTTCGACGATCAGATCTGTTTTGTTCACAATGTGTCCGCAACCAACATCTTCTAGCCACCACGCTAGCCTCGTATTTTCCGCCACCTGATGATCCTGAGTACGCCGACTATGAGCGCGATTATCCCCAATTCCGAAAGAGAGCAGAAGACCGATATCCACAAGTATGCTCCAAATGTGAAGATGGTGTGCTCAAAGAAATTCGGAAGAAGGGGTATGAGGCAAAGGCAGACCACCTTCGGCGCATGATGGATCAAACAAGAGCCAGCAGAGCCGCGCGAATGGCGAGAAGATACAGTTGGCAAAGTCTACTCGTCTACGCTGGCTCTATCGGATACTGGAGCAGCGTGGCCGGTCAACTTTCTTGGGATGTCATGAGTGCTTTGACGAGTCCTCATTCTCTGGAGCATCTTGGATTCTCTGATGCATACAATGCTCCTTCGGTATCTCTCTTGTCTTGCATTACCCGAACACGACAATTGCAACGTATTCCCGGCGAGTGTTCCGTCGACCTCGCGCCTCTTGCGGGCCTTTCACTCGTTGCCGGAAGTCTCTCTATATGGTGGAATCCGAAACTGCGCATGAAGGTTGAAGGGCTCAATGGTAGATTCGCCGGGCTGGGAGAGTATTACCAAGTGCAACTCATAGTGCTTGTTGTGCGGTGTGTATTCTGGGCATTGCTTAAGGACCCGTCGACAAGCGGAATGGTACCCACAATGCCTCCGGCTTTACATATGTTCATGATTATGTTCACTGTCCTATCTGTCGTTGTTTCCCGCCGTGTCGTTCAATATGATACTCGACCTTTGGTGAATTGGTCAGACAACTCTTGGGAACGACCCTTAAGAAGCACGGAAACATCTCCTGCGCCCGCTTCTCCTCGCGGACCTGCTAATACGACTCCGACCCTGGGCAATGGCTCGATTGACCAACCGTTTCCCATCCACAAACTGGGCGAAGCTCTTCCCTCCCTAGGAAAAGGAAAATCGCCCGCCGCTATTCCTCCTACTCCTCCTTCAGAGGTCGAAGATATGGATTGGACTCCCTCTGCTCCCCAGAATATCCAGCCGACAGTGAGTGTCTATCAGCGGAATCGACCTTCTGCGTTCGATGGGCCCTCCCCCTTTACCGGCAAGATCCCCGCCGCGCCCAAGCCACCGGCATGGAATCTTCGCGCTCGGAACTCGACAAAACCAATTGAACAGGTTGTCACACCAAATCCGTTTCACAGAAGTCCATCTCATCCCCCCAATCAGTGGCAAATGAAAAATGCAAGCCCCGAACCTGTTTTCAAGCCGCCGAGGTTTTTCCCAACGAGTGATTTGGATAACTCGACGGGGCTAGAAGCTCTGTTTGATCGTACATTCAACATTGCCTCCAGTGACGAGCCTCGACGAGATTGGAATCAATCCACCTCTAACCTGGTATCCTACTCAGAGTCCTCTGGTTATCTCGTTTTCCAGTATCTACGACTGATCTTATTGGTGGGCTCTATGGCAGCATGGACCTTTTCACAAAACCACCAGCTTTCAATTCCCGGAAATTTCATTGAAGCCTGTGCTCTGGGCAGCGCAAGTTTGATTGCTGGCTTTGCGCTTCTAGAAGCTGTGAAAAGACCTCTGGCTTATTGGAACGGAAAAGAAATATTGGTTTCTATCACGCAGCTCGGCGCAGCCGTTCACCTCGGGGCCCATATCCCTCAGCCCTCCTACGACCGTGAATATTTTGATCGTTACGGAAAGATGCTCCTTGTCTTCATGGCTGTGCAGGAAGCCCTTGGACTGTTGGCCCTTTATCGCACTCCGGCGCCCGCTTCAAGCCCCGAAATCCAGCAACCAATGAGCCCCCTTTCACCTCAACCTGGATCTCCACAACAACTACCCTCAAATAATGCTGCTATTTCTTGGCCCTCTCGCAAATCTCCTGTCAACAATACCCAGTCCTTTAACATGCAAGCATCACCGCCTCCGCTCTCTTTCACGTCTACAGCTGGGGGTACCAGTTTCTCCTCTGCGCTGTCATCGTCTTTGCCTCCTGCACCACACTACCAAATTTCTTCCTCCAACAGTTTCAATCATTTTCCGACGCCTCGCAACAAGAATCCTCACAGCTTCACCATGAGTGAGCTCAAGGAAAACGAGCCACCCTCAGATTATGATCAAGATTCAGATACTGAGACGATTGCTACCACAGCTACCAACCGTACTGATGCTACCACCCACAATATTCGCTATGGACGATATTCCAATTTGGATTTCAACCCAGCTTTCTCTCCGAGACGGAATGAGCTTGGTCCAGGTATCGGTGGTCTGAGTCTGGAAGACCGACCTGTTTCCAAACGCGTCACGCGTAGCCAAACGCAACAGGGCCTGACAGGTCGAAGAGTACCAGGCCGACTAATCAGATGATTTTTACTTGCTTTCTTTTGCCTCTCGTTTTGCTCTGCCTCCACCTTGATTTCGTTCTATTTTCTCGTTCATTCGTGTCTTCTTTCTATTATCCGTTGCTTTTCCATATCTCTGATCTGCATCCTCTACACATGCAGGAGATAGATTGTCCAATTCTGCGCAAAATTTTTTTTTCTTTTAATATGGATGGGGGTATTGGTTTCAGCGAACATCACATTCATAGCGGCGCGATATTTACCTTTCTGGATACTTTTCTTGCCTCTGAGACCGCTATACATACCTTGCTCGGAGGTTTATGATGTATATGAATTGATGACATGAGCAACAATGTGAATTACATATTTCATTTTCGCCACTGGAATGCTGCACTGTTACTTTTTGATGTCTCTTGACATCTAGCAAAACCAAAGTCTACGTCATGAGCCTCGTAGTATCCATTTTTAAATTTCACCAGCAGGAAATGCGTATAAATTAGGTCTCCTCTTTTGCTGATTGGAGGAATAATTTAATTCCTCCATTTCTACGAGGCTCAAAAACCAACCTATATCGGAGCGTAGCAGTCTGTGATTAATAGATTAGACGACGTATCATTTCAATAGACCCATTCTGATTGACTACTTGACAGCTTTCCCAAAAGCCTAATAGTAACGTTCTACATGATATCCATTTTCTCGTTTGTTGAATTGAGTCGACAAGTCGTCTCATCATCGCTTCAGGCCTGATTCACCATTATCTAAGGAGCGACTCGTTCGACTCGGGACTCGGTCGCTTTGCCTGCATCCTCAGCGCCGATATGGTGCTCTGGATCCTCAAGTTTCCGCTGGACCAACTCGGTGACACCAAACAGGTCGTCCATCTTCTCAAGAGACAGTCCTGGCAGAGGAGCACATTAATATAAGGATATTTCTCAGGGGGCTTTGGTTTTAAACTTACCCTTTGTCTCGGGAATGAAGAACCAGACAAAAACGCACATGGAAAAGCAGAAACACGCGAATATAATATAAGTTCTATCTTCGATCAGCAATGCATACCAAGTTAAAACATCCTACACTCGACCACACTTACCCATAGCCATTGGACCCAACCGTAGTCAACATGACGGGAACCGCCCTCGCAACAACAAAATTAAACAACCATTGCGTGGCTGCTCCAAAGGCAACATTCATAGAACGCAGCCGGGCACTTGGAATCTCAGAAACATAAATCCAGCAAACAGGCCCCCATCCGAATTGGAAGAAAGCTGCAAACAGGAAAATGCAGACAAGAGCGACATAGCCGGCGGGGATAACAGGTGCCCCCTTGACGGGCGGCGCAATGCGAACGTACAAGCCAATGTAGAGCATTGCTAGACCCTGTGCGATAGATGTCCAGAGTAGCGAGCGACGACGACCAAGGGAGTCAGCGACAAAGATGAGGAAGACCCCACAGCTGACCATTTTGACGATACCGTACACCCCTGTTGCGAAAAGGTTTGTTGCGTTTCCCTCAACACCGAGCTATACCAACCGAATTAGTCAATATCAATAAGACGAGGTATTATCTTTCTCTACGACGGTGTTAAGGCACAAGAGAATTGAAGGAGCTTCCAAGCTTACGTTTTTAACTTCATCAAGGTTAGCGATACTGGACCCACGAATTCTTCGGTAGAGGTGCACTTACATATTTGTGGACTGTAATAATTAATGGCATTGGTTCCCGTCATTTGCTGGCAAACCATCAAGAAGATCGAGATTAGAGCACGCTTTCGGTTTCCCGGAATAAACCACATCTCTCTCATGAGATCCCAGAATCCGGAGCCTCCTATAAGGGCTCGTTCTTGTTCCAGTTGTGCGGCAATAGCTTGGAACTCTTCCTCCACATAGGGGTGATCCGACGGAAGTGCCCGAACTTTGGACAGAGTCGCTCGTGCCTCTTCCCATCGATCCTGCTTGGCTAGCCACCGAGGGGATTCATTGCAAAGAAGCATGCCGACGAAGAGAAGTACCGCCGGCAAGCCTTGCATAGCTAAAGGAACGAGATACATTGTTGAGCCGTCCAGATGTAACAAAGAGCCATAGTTGATCCAGAATGCCAGCATAATACCCATTGTAATAAAGAGCTGGTAGAGACCGGTGAGGCCGCCCCGAATGGCGCGAGGTGCATTCTCTGAAACGTAGAGAGGGTTAATCATCGAAGCAGCTCCGACTCCAAAGCCGGTAATGAGACTGGGAAATTCGAACCCAGATTAGTGTTATGTTCGGAAGCTTTGGCAGTAAAGAGGGCATACCGTCCGATATACATGGCCTCGAGATGTCCACTGGCTGCAGTTTGAATAACAACTCCAATCACTCCAGTCAATGCAGCCCCAATTAAAGCTTTTCTTCTTCCCCATCGATCTGCGACTGGAGAGGCTATGAGAGCCCCAAAAAAGCACCCAGCCTGCAGCGTAGAAACAATATTGGCAGACAGATTGGCCTGAGCAGTAGAGCTAAGGTTTGTCAGGCCATAAGTGCTGAATTGCAATCATTTATTAGCCTTTCATGAATTCACAGATGCTATTGAGAGTATCTTCTTACGATTGAAAGGGAGGCATAGTGAGTACTCCACCAATGATACCGGAGTCCATGCCGAATAGCATTCCTCCAAAGCACGCCTGTTAAAGATCAGTCTTGATCATGATCTGAACATAATTATGGAGCCCGTACCGAGCAGGCTAACATATAAACCCTCCATCCGTAGATTTCCTTGGGGTCAGTTCTCATCGCATCATTGCGAACAATCTTTTGTAGTAGCCACGACATTATGGGAGTACAGTGAGACTCGGACCCCACAATGAAAGAGATGAAATGAGAAAGGCTTGGAAAATAAACCAGGCCAGCTGGGAGAGATGTGAGCCGAACGAGATGGTTTAAAAAGAACCAATGTCTCGCGCTAATATAACAAACGGACAGACTGCGCCGCTATCTTTAGGAGAAGGTGTCATCCGCGCCAGCTCTTCCTTGGCCGTCTTATGTGGCCTATAAGAGGCGGGATAGGCTGATAGACAAGGCGAGGAGACGTGGGGGAAAACCTCCACGAATCCAAACCTGCGCTGCGCGATCGAGGAATACGATCACCACATGGCCCGGGCGGGTACTGCTCATGGACCGTGTGCTTTGTTTCTCTCCAGTTTTGAAGGCGGGGATGTGGGGGTTACAGAGTTAGAGTTCAAGGTAACACAGGCGGATCACCGCACGGGACCGTCCCCAGATACGACGTGGTAGTCTTGTGGCTAGGGAGCTAGGCAGGCTCAGTAGCCTGTATGTACATTTTGGCTATTGGAACTATATTAGCCGACAGTCTGGGCGATCTTTGCTGACTTGGATGCTGTTGCGGGGAAGTCACATAGGGTTAGTCTTGGCGGTCAGATTTTTTCTTGAAAGCAAACAAGGTCGAATACGCAATTAGGAAGGGAGAAATAAAGTGAGTAGAAGGAGAATAAATCTAGTCAATTGATTTTAAGGATGAAGGATAAGTGTCAGGTAAATTTTCTTGTCTCTCGAGAACAAATCAGTGTGCCAAGACAGATCTGGCTTCCCATCTTTCAAGCACTTTCACTATGCCTGAATGCTTGATTAAGTGGTTGCGACATTATTTATTCATAGGCATGCCTTCATGCTTATTTTCAAATCTAGATACAACACTATTGTAAGCACTAATAGCAGAAGCTGACACCAGGGGAGAAGATGTGAATAGAGAAACACCTCTTTTGGTTACCCTGTGTATATCGAAATTCAAAACAAAAAGCGTTCAGACTGAGGGACAGCACCATTCACACTCAAGCAAATAGAGGCTCCAAAAGAACTGCAGGGATTTAGGTATTTTCTGCATGGTCTATCAATTTGCAATTTGATACGATTTCTTCCAAAAGCGTACAAGTTCCAAAAAGTCAAAATACCAAGAACAGCCGCTGATATGCGGAAATATACATTCCACCAATTGAAACCTCGAATTCGCATGTAGTTGCCTTCAAAAACGTAGTATATTTCTACAATCAACTGTGTTGTCAGAACAAAATACTACTATGTGCCATTCTCACTATTTTCACATACCGAGAGCTCATGATCGAAAGTGCCGTATTTGTTAAAATTGCGACGAGAGGGGAGAGGAGGAGCAGAGGGGTAACCTGGTTATCCTGAAGCAGAGAAAACGAGGCGTATATGGCTAGAGGGGCGCTTGAAGTCAATTTCAATATACTGGGGGTGTGCAGTTCGGTTAGGGAATTTATGCCGAGAAGAAGAAGAAGTCGAATAATACTACGGGGACCCACATATCTCTATATATTACTGTACATCCGCCCATTACAGGGATACTCGATTCCTTGAATGTTTTGTATAGTATCTGGGGTATACTCGGAAACCAGCGCCGTAACACGCTAGTCAGCGAGACAGGAGATGATCAAAAATCCCGACCAAATATGTTCTCGCGCAACAGGCCTGAAATCTTCCTTTTACTGTCCTATTTCTCATTTCTGATATCTTCAGCCTAGATACGCTCTGCCGCTCTCATGGCATTCCTAAATTATGTTAATTCTTCGTTAGTTCTCACAGTGCCACACGCACGCCTGCTGTGGGAGACAAGCTGATAGTGTATGTTTGGCGTTCTGAGCCAACTGGGCCAGTTTGGACCCCAGAGGCAAGTCGCATGTTAGGATACGCCTGGAGAACTCGGATAATTGCATAGCTGGCTTCCATCAGAGCGAAGTCTTCTGCCTAGGGCTTTAGATCCGACATGACATCGAATGACAACAAAAGATATGTACTTACTTCCAAGACAGAGCCTTGGGCCTCCGTTGAAGTCAACAAACCCTGCTCCCAGTCGTGCCTTTTTGATCAGCTCTCCACTTTCCCAGCGCTGTGGGCGGTAGACTCCCGCGTCTGGTCCGTATATTGATTCAAGACGATGTAGGTGGTAGAGAGAAAAGGCGATTCCTGAGCCTTTGGGCAGCAGAACTGGTGAGCGACCGTTTAGTCCACCGCCACGAGGCAATACTGTTGTTTCTTCGACAAAGCGAATATTCATGGGTAATGTTGGATACAAGCGTAGGGCTGCGAGAGGTTAGTCTAATGGATGCAGGATAGGAAGGATAGAGAGATAAGATAAAGAAAACCAAGGCGCACTTTCGTTCAAACAGCACCGGAGAAACGACAGCCTCTGAATCTGGTCCCGCGTGAGAGGGCTGTCCGTCGGGACAGAAGAGATCTCTTTGCGTAAACGCTCTAAGACGTCCGGGTTACGAACTAGATGAAAGCTGTTTAACGTGTTAGTTTTGTCCATAGCAAGTGGCTAGGCCTGAAATTGAGGCACACGCACAAAGTCCAAGACAAGAGGCTTGCTGTAGAGTCCCGCCCAGCAACAAGAATGTGCAGGAGCTGGTCACGAACCAGGTCAAAGTCCTGCATCTCTCTCCACAGGTCAATTATGAAGGGGTATTTCTCGGCGGCCGCGTCCTCGCCGAATTCGTCTTTGTATTGGATGGCCTTGGACGCGAAAAAAGTTGCCCAGTCACGCACCGCTGTGCAGGCCTTTCTGAACCTCGGTGGGTTGTAGAGCCAGGCACCGTCCGCGAGTCGGACGCGGATGCCGACTACGAATGACGCATAGTCAAAGTTGTCTCGGACAGCATATCGCTTCTCTGCATCCATGTTGCTGCGCGGCTCGCCGAAGAGGAGCATCGTCGTAGTGTTGAGGGTGAACTCATACATGTGCGGCTTCAGGTCCACGACACCATCGACGGCAGAATTTCTGATGTCGGCGACAAGCTCCTCAACGTGTTCCATTAGTGACTGTGGGGTCTGCTTGTGCACACGGATAAACTGGTGACGGATCAGTTCCCGAGAGTGTTTCCATGCAAGCCCATCTTGTGAGAAGATCCCCTCCCCCAATAGCGGAAACGAGGCGAGGCGTCGGCTACCCAGGCCGTAGTCTTTGAAACTTGTTGAAAGAATCGCTTCAACGTTCTCAGGGTCCGTGGTGAAGTAGCCTGTGAGGCCAAAAAGGTTGATGCGGCAGGTGGCTGCGATGTCAAAGTACGGAGTCAGTTGTTCAAACGTGTGCTCGCCAAAAAAGATCTCGTACTGTCGTTTGAGAAGATCTAGAGCCAGGGGCCACTTGTACGGAACGAATGGAAGGACGGGGGCGCAATTATACTGCTCGGACATTGCGGCTTCCAGCTGCCGAGGACAAATACTGTTAGCGATCAAGTATGCGGACAGGCATACTTGCGGTGTCCGGTATTTGCCTTCTTCTGGCTTCGCCTATATATATAGAAATACAAACAAGCGGCCATGATAACTGACAAGACTATCAGGTACAGGCTAGCATGTTGGTTAGCCTGTAATGACGTAAGCATGTCGGAGTCGATGAAGTTAGGATGAGAAGTCGCGTCGATAGGTCATGAGTCTGGGAGATCGATACAATTCCGTGTAGGGAGCAAAGGAAAGTGTATTTTGAAATGTAGATTGGGCAGCAGATCGATGCTGACTGCTGGCGGTAAACGACTCCCTCGTTCTGCCGCTTCGTGAACTGGTTGGTTCCTGAGAGGCGTGGACGAAGTGGGTCTGTAATGAACGCGCGGTCTTAAGACAAGTTGTGTTTGTGATGTTGAGCCAAAAATTATTTAAAAAGCGTGCTGGAATAGGGCCTCCATCTAATATAGCAGCGCAGTACACACACGGACGTAGATTACGATACTGAATACATTTCCGCGCAATCCTCGCTTTATCAGGATGTGGACATCCGGTATGACTCAGCGAGCTACTACTGAAAGATAATCAGAAATAGGGCCTTTGTATTTGCATAACAGTACGACCCTGAATCGGGGAAATTGGATTCTGCGACCTCATCATTTACACAGTGGAGACCCTTGGCTAGCAGCCCGGTATCCAATTGACGTACCCGCAATTCAAAGCTTATTTTATAGTCGGATGGAAAATGACTGCTCTTGGCGTTGAGTTCAACTCTTTTGCGCTGTTTTGGTTTGACTTGGTTGTATTTATTAAGATAGAGAGAAGATCAGGATGTTAATGTTGATATTATTTCAGTGTGCGCTTTTTTGCTATCCGATTTCATGTTTCTGTATCGTAAATGAGGCGTGTCTGTGAAGAAGGGAGGAAATTACGAGGCTCCAAAGGCATGGAGCACCATGGATAGACTGGAGGTGTTCTTAGTGCCGTAGAAGTCACCTGATGGTGAAAATGAGACTTAGGGCCAAGTTCATCATCATTCTTGACCGAACCCAAACACTGTGCACGGCGGGTTAACTATGACCTCTGCATCCTTTGAAAATGCAAATTCGGGATTCCAGGTGGGGGTCAATCAAGGGCCGATATACATTTCACAAGGTAAGTTTCCAGCCTGCAAAATAGGCTCAGGCGCTTTCAAAGCTTGGCTCACAATGGTTTCCACTTGCTAGAACGATCAGAACCCCGCTTCGAGCCTCTGGCAGCCGCTCCGTTCCAGGGAGTCCATCAGCATGACCTAAACTTTGTTCGTGATGGTTCCCTTGTTAAAAACAGGTATTTCTCCAACACCCGACTGGTCAAGAGCTATTTTTCGGGCAGAGAAAAACAGCTTGATATTCTCAAGATGGCATTCCATGACCCTATGCAGGCCAACCAGCAGAGATTTGTCATATATGGGCTGGGTGGATGCGGAAAGACGGAGCTGGCCAACAAGTTCGCACTTGACTTTCGGCATCGCTTCCTGGGTGTCTTCGTCGTTGACGGGAGCTCCCAGAAGACAGTGTCGAGCAGCTATGCTGAAATTGCCGCACGGGTTGGCGCGCATCCAAACCCCATTGCCGCTAAAAGATGGCTAGAAGGTTGCGACCTTCCATGGTTGCTAATTATCGACAACCTCGACACGGATCATGTCGATATCGATGATGTTCTGCCGGCAGCTACAAAGGGCTGTGTTTTGATAACAACACGGAATCCGACCTTGAGGGTGCATGGAAACACAGGGAGGAAGAGCATCGAGTTGGGAGCTCTGGACCTCGAAGAAGCGGAAACTTTCCTCATGAAGGCTGCTGGGCAGTCTAATGTTGCTCCCTCTGATAGACGGCATGTCCAAGAGATCTGTCGTGTTCTTGGGTGCCTGCCCCTGGCCCTTGTTCATGCTGGAACATCCGTTCTCAAGGGCATGCAATGGTCACAGTATCTGTCATTTTACAACGCCCAGCTGGAGACTATCAAAGCCAACCACAGCCGAAGGCAGACCAAAAGCGACGAAAACGGCCTCATAGATTATGATGACGACGAAGACACCAGCTTTAATGTTTTCTCGACATACGAGGTTCTATACGAATCGCTGGAAAAGTCGCGCCAGAGGAATTTTCGGGATGCCGTCGAGCTTCTGCATGTTTTCTCATTTTTCCACTTCCAGAACATCCGCCTTGAAGTGCTGATCAAGGCGGCCACGAACCAACTCAAGGAAGACGCAGAACAGAAAGTCATTGAGACAAACCAGAAATGGCAAAGGAATATGGCCAAAGGGGCAAACCCACCATTTCAGTCCTTCACTGCCCTTTTTCGAATGTTGCGAGCTTTCGCGATTTGGAAGTTAGCAACAGGTCCTTGGCCTTTACCAGCTGTGCTGCGCAATCCAGATGGTCTTCATGTGGAGGCTTTGGAACGCCACATCCGCGTACGACTCAGAAATGCTTTGGACGTGCTCATTGAGCGGTCACTCGTCTCGATACAAGACAGCACCGATGGCCACTATAGCATGCATAGCCTTGTTCACGAGTGGGTGCGAAGGCGTCCAAAGATGCGTACGACGCACCAGGCGTTATGGTGCCAGGTATCTATGACCACTCTCGCGTTAAGCATCCCACGGCCAATGCTTGGCGCCACAGCAGAAGAGACACAAAGCGAGGAGGAACGCCGTAAACTGCGCGAGCTTCTGCCCCATATACTTCACGCACTCGAACGCAAGGAGGCTCTCGACAAAGAAATCATGCAGAACGCAGAGAGGGCACGATACACTTGGCTGTTTTCCAGTAGGAGCAAGAGCACCTACAGGCGTCTGGAGGCTGAGCAGGATGTGCGGTTTAGCCTCGTGTATGTGGAGACGGGTCGCTATGAAGCTGCCCGAGAGCTTCAAGAGCGTGCATATGGGTTTACAGCAAGCCGGCTTGGCCGCGACCATCGTCTCGCGATATATCTGTCCCTCTTGTTGTGCCAGACTCTGTTTTCCATGTCAGAGATAGCGATGGCATCTAAATGGCTGCGGGATGCTTATGAACTCTGCAAACAGTCCTTCGGTGAAGATGATCCACTGACGCTGGATGTCGCAGATAGCCTAGGATCTTGCCTGCGCGTGAAGGGTAGGTGGGTAGAAGCGAGAAGTCTACACACTGCTACTCTAGCAAGAATGAAACGCATATATGGCCCAATGCATGTGAAGACGCTCAAAGCGACCCTAAATCTGGGGCAAGTGTTGTTCTGGGTTATGGAATATGCTGAAGCTACCAGCCAATTACGAGCGGCCTGGACAGGCTTGCGTACGACCCTTGGCGAGGATCACTTGGAAACATTGGCTGCGCTTCAGGAGCTAGCCATGAGCTACCCGCAGCATGACGAATTGGTCGTAAATGCAGATGATAAAGAAGAATTGGAGGAAAACCTCGAAGCAATTTCGTTTGTATACGAACGGCGCAAAACGAAGCTTGGGTCCGAGCACCCCTTCACATTGCTGGCGATGCTACACTTGGCACGCCTCAAGTCGGCAGTGGGTGACCATGTAACGGCTGAGGGCATGATCCGCAATGGACTGGAAATGGCCAAAGGCAGCATTGCCTCAGACCACGTCGGCATGATTATGGCGCGCACCATTCATGCACAGGTACTGACGCGTCTACAAAGGTACAGTGAAGCCGAAGCCTTGTTTAATGAACTTATAGACAAGGCACTGTACAGTAAGTTTGTGGACGAGGACGGTGATAGCACAGACCGACTAAGTAACATTTGGCTTCTCGCAAAATGCTTCCAGTTGCAAGGCAAGAAGCAGGAGGAACTGGCCACATGGAAAGAGTTTCTTGCCAGTGCAAAGACAATTGGTGGGCACGGCTTAGGCTTAGAACATCCGAGGATACCAAGAATAATGGAACGAATAGCTGAAATTGAACGGGGAAAATAGGTTACGCCGTTGATGGGCTCGTGGCGGCGGCTCCGTTATGACAAGATATTACGATTAGTATCGTTAACAGTGCTACTGGCATATAAGGCTTAAATATTAGGTGTGTTCTGTTAGTTATTCACCTCTAATGTCCATCTTTTTGAAATTTGTCCACTGGTTTTTATACCTTTCAGATTTAAATTTTGCATTTTATTCAAAATATCACCACTTAGTTTGGCGCATCAGCAAAGGATATTTGTTCAAGAGTGATGTCTAGCTTTTTGTCGTGCTTGATCGGGTGTTTGAACTTGTCGTGGTGGCGTCAAGAGATTGGAGTTCGACATGTATATTCTCTCGTTGTTTCTGGCACGTATAGTTTAGTGGGCTGATCACCAAGGTTGACACCGCTTTTTTTTTCTTTTGCTAGCGTTCCTTATACTTCTGCCAGGGCTCCTCGGCACGTCCTAACTATTCTCGCAGCGTTTTATATGCGTTGATCATTTTTCGCTTGTGACTTATTGCGGAGCTCCGTGATTTCCTATCGCAACCTCGAGGTCTCTAAATGCTTAGCCTCAATCTCTTGCTGGAGGTATTTGTTGAAGTTTTTGGTTTTAGTAACTATGTCCAAAATCGTCTGCAGGATGGCATGCATTTGCCGTTCCCCTATGACGCTTATCGTGGTTTCCGGTCGCTTCCTTCTTCCGGTCTCAAGCATGTGGTGTTCGCGCTTTCGTGCTTCGGCCCGGCGCGCGTGGTGGGTTGGGTGCCAGTGGAGCGATCGGCATTCCCATAGGCTCGGGTGTTCCCTCCCGCCCCGTCAGCTCTGCCCCTGGAGACATCTTGCTCTGGTACACGTCGATTTAGGATTGAGAACCCTAGAAGCTATCATGGCGATCGCCAACGCATATTGGTCCACGAAGAGGAGAGTCTTAGGTTGAAATTTGATTAGGAAAATAGATGAGAAACTAATTTTAATGTGAACAGCATGGTCGACAAGTTGTCAAGGCCCGGTCGATAGCGTTCAAAACATCTAATACTAACAACAACTATGAAGTTTTACTTTGTCTTGTCTTCATTGTCTGCTTTGTCCTCTGCATCACTTGACAACTCTGCCTGCACTTCCCGCACAATCGCCATAGTAATGTCCGCGCTGATTGCGGTCAGAACATGCCACCACCCATGTAGCTCCAGGATCCATGCCCATGGCAACCCCATCTTTGCCCTCAAAAGCCGCAGCTCAGTGCAGAACTCGAGATCCACATTCCAGAGTCCATAGCCTACTAGAAGCAGAATGAGTGCCCTGCGGCTGCGTACCCGCCACTCAGCGCACTTCTGCGCTGGGAAGCCGGGAACCCTCCAATGGAAGAGGTAGTGGCCACGGAGAGTAATCAGGGCCAGGACGGTTCCAAACGCAATGTAGTGATACAGGATATTTGCGGTCCAGATATAGAACGCAGAGAAGAGCGGGAAGACGACAGCTAGACCGACGCGGACCAGCCTATTGTACCCTGACGTGCGCTGAACGTTCAGTGAGCCTAGAAGCAGTGACCAGGCTAAGCCCAGCATTGCTAATTCATCGGCAAATTGCATTATCTGGCGCATAGATGCGTGGAAGAGAAAGGATCCAACACCCAACATGAACAGTGACACAGCCATAAAGTCGACCTTGGGCGCGAAGAGGCCGAGGCTGCCTGGACCGTACATGTAGCGAAGGGCAAGGAAGACTAGTGAAGTAAGCTCTCATAATTCCCGACTAGATTTACACAAACGGCAACGTACCATATGCGAGGTTGGTCAAGGAGTTAATAAACTCAGTTAGATAGGCCGATATGGCGTAGTCTTCTTCGCAGAAGCTTGGTTGATCATCGTTAGCTCTTAATCGTACTTTTCCTACTACCTGAACAGTAGCCGACTTACTTCGCTTTGCTTGTCGGAGGGCTCCACATCCCATTCAAAGCGTTGCGGTCGCCATAGTAGTGAATGTTGTGGTGTCCCATGTTGAGATCTTGACCTTAAAGAATCCCCTTCTTCTCCTTGATTCCAGTATCGTTGTGTTATTACTGTTGCTCTTTCGTTGGAAATTCGTTTCAGTGGAAAAATCTGCCGTATCATAGAGGAGGAAATTTTAATTAAAGGAGGAAGCCAAAAACAATTTGACACAACGAGAGAGGGGTAATGCGGTGTAGGGAATATAGCTTGAAAAGTAAAAATTTTGATTGGACAGCCAAGAAGCACTAACGTATCTATCATAGTAAATGCATATATTATTATAACTTCATACCTCAACACTGTAATAATCTAAAGCTAGATATTAGTATGCTATAGTCTAGATCGTATCTATAATCTATTTTCATAGCATAAAACGGGTTACAAATATATATCATAAGATACATAGATTCTAGATGAAATACCTGAATGATAATGTATTATATATTACTATAGTAAATAACGTGTTTCACGAGTGAGCCAGCCACCTCACCAGAAACGCGTCTCCTATCTTCCACCTACCACCACACACCACACACTATGCCACCAAAACGCTCTGAAAAACATTCAAAATCGCCAGATAGGGAGGGTAGGATTCTACTAGCAACTTGTTTTATTCAATTTAATTGGGCCTCCTGCAGAAGTCTTTCCTTATACATGGAGTATATCATCTCTCTACACACACTACACTTGATGATACGGCGATGTATTATGGGTCATTTGAAGATGCCAACACCGCCCACATTTTTCGACTAACCAGAATATTTGACAAAGAACTGAAAAACAGCATCATGCAGCTCCGGATGAAAAAGGGCGAACACAAACAAACAGAGGATTATAGAGATACCTGTTTCCATGGCAAGAACTTCCGCAAGTAATTTGAAGAAGTGCACCCTAGCTGACCACGGGAAGCTATGCCAGGCGCTCTTCAGGCTCATAGATTCATTTCCTTGTACAGACGCGGCGACTCGAATAAATATAGCATATGTCGGAACAACTGCTCCGAAGTAGAGAATCACAATAGTGGTAAAGACGCAGATTAATTGCGTAGTTTCCGAGACCTCTAGCTCTTCACCCAAAGCACCTGCCAACTTAATGAAGTAGACAGGTAGGTAAAAGCAGATACTTGAGGCGATACTATACAGTAAAATTGCTGGGAAGGCCTTATACCATGCTGACCGTGAAGGTAGGCGACGGTAGTACGGATGATCCAAGCGTTGGGTGAGAATAGCGTGTATGTTACCTACTTTCAGACCCGAAAGTAGTAATTCGGCTGTCAGATTGAGAAGCACACACTTCAGTAGACTAGATCCCTTCGTAGGAAATCTAGATAAAAATATAGTCTTGACTAGTCGATGGAAAATATAGATTGGAAGACCTCGAAAATGCTGCCTGGAGAGTGCTTGTGCCCTGACATTCGGTCTTTGAGTCGCGGTCAGTGTTGCGAAGACACACCCGTGGCTGTATACGGCCTGTTAATGATTAATCTCATCATTTAGTATGAATTTCATTTGTAATCTCTAGCATTGCCGTCGAAATAATGATCGAAATAACGACATACTAGAATAAGCCCAATCAAAGCCCCAGCCAGGATCAGTAAAAGGGGCACATTGATAGCCGGTGCTTGCTGACTCTGATAACCAAAAACAGACTCGCCCTTGGCTATATCCGTTGACATGATTAAACAATGGATTCAACTGGGTTGAAGCTTTCGTTTGCCTGACACCGAATCGAACCTGTTGGCAGCGCCTTTACAGTCAAGCCTTTGTATCAACAGGAGCTGGATCTGATAGCAAAATAAGGCCTGGATAGAGCATTTGAAAGCTAGAATTATAACTGTAAGCCCCTGATATCCTCGTTTGTGCAATTGGGACGAGGGGCCGCGAGACCATTCTTAATGAGGGGAAAAGGTGGGTGGGGGAAGAACAGGTGAGTTGCGAAGAATCTTGAAGTTGAGAGCTACCCAGCAAACATAAGGAGAGAAAACTCCAATAAAACTAATGAGTGTTAGGGATACAGAAAAGGAAAAAGTGGATCTACTAGGCTTGATTGTGAACAATTTTCACTTGCTTTCGCGACCTTGGGGCTAGCCGTGGCTTCTTGCCCACAAGCGTTTGTAGGTATAGTACCGAACATAACTTGCATGGTCTTTGGGGGCCAGCGGAAAGTGGGGCCGCCCCCACGGCGCCCTTGCTATAGTGGGTTCGCGGTCTGACACACGCTATTTGCAGCTTTTCTATGGCTCTTTCTCGAGACAAAAGTGTAACAGCGCCGAGGCATACCTGGGAGAAAACCGAGTTTGTCTTCGATAGTGTTCATTTTTGGCCAAGAACAGCGAAATCTCCCGTAAAAGGCCAGTCGTATCCTCAGTTGTAATACATGGAGTCGCAAAGTTTTGTCTGTCAATCTCTGGACCTGCAGCCCATCGAGTCTCTCACCAGACGCTAAAAACTGGCTAAAGCAAACTGCCATCCTTGTCTCCCTGGTATAAGAATGTAACCTAGGCACTATCTGGAATTGAGGAGGTCAAATTGCTCGGCCAACGAATATTGGATTCAAAAATGGTAACTAAACAGTTCTCGTTCTAACCCCGAAAGATCACTTCTCGGTGAGCATTTCACCGCAATATGTGCATAAGTATGATGGGATTTCATCTTGCTCTGGTAGAACAATCAAATAAATCTAGCACAGAAGAAAACTGTTACATAAAAGAGAGAAAAACCACGAATGCCGATCTGCTTTCAGAGTGCTCAACATTCTATTTTCATTCTGACATCGCGACTTAATTCACCTGAAAAACCATTCAATTAGACTCCTTGATAGTAGTGATGCTATATTTTGGTCTGCCCGTCCTCACAAACTTCGATTCCACCACAAGTCAATCAATCTAGGCTCTCGCATCAATCCTCATCCGATACTATCATCCATGTACAATCCCTGTTCGGCATGATGAATAGCACTTTGCCCTTTCAGACCACTTTGGTCCTCAAGCTCGCATCCGATCAGGCATGTAGTCAGTGATCTACTAAGCACTATATCGCGAACGAACTTTCGAGCAGCAGGGGGCAGTTTTGGGGTCATTCCGCATTGGGGTGGGGTGTTCGTGCACAGGGCGAAGCCAAGTTGGTGTAAGTCGTAGCAAAACTGAACTTGAGCGGCGGGCGGTGGTAATATAGGAGCAAATTCTAGAACAAATTAAAGAGGAAGAAACAGGTGAAGCTAATTTGAAGCGGCTCTGTGTTCTCCTCAATGAGGTGAGTCTTGAGGTCAGAACTGTGATCCCAGAGGGACCACTAAACCTGTCTTACTAGTCCGAGACAAATCATCCTGGTAGCATGGTAAAACGTATTCTGAGAGCCCGCGAAATAGAAGGTTTAGATTGTCTAATGTACATTGGGCCTGACGATTGATTATGGTACATAGTATTTTATGTGGGATCAGTGACCCCCAAGTAGGTTACCCAGGTACCGGGCCAACTCCTGGACTAGAGCACTGTCAACACCATCACCAGTGTTCAAACCTTGCTTTAACATCTCAGCCCAGCGTTCGATGGTCATTTCATGCAACCTCTGTCCGTTCAGGACTTCATGAACACGCCGTGCCTGGTCAGACGCTACACTCAAATCTGATGAGATCGAAATGTTGCTTTCAATAATGGTGCCATGTTTCAAACGAAGGAAAATGCGAGTCTTTCTGTAAGTCAGCATCTCTCGCTTGGTACAATCCACACGTTTGATTTATCGAAACTCACCGATGACGGCAATGAGGGGGGCAGCGGCGGGCGCTCACGAGGATCCTCCTCAATTGGATATGTCGAAAATGTGAATTGCGGTGTTTGTGTATACTTCCACTCCAGTGACTACCATCGACAGTTTCAGCAAGTCATGTATCTATCAATTGAAGGGCAATACATACGCGCAATTCGGCAATACCCTTGCCAATTTCGGGAATCTGCTCGCCATGCATCTCTCCCACTGTTCCAGCGACCCAGCTGTCACCGGCGAAGATCTCCGGCTCAATGGCATGTGCGCGTCGTGCCCGAAAGACGGCACCCGAATCGACTCCATACAATCGGGCAAACTCGTCGATGACATTGTCCATTACCCCCTGCATGGAAAAGAAAGAGTCTGCCAGCGCATCCGATACATTTCCAACTGGTGACCGAACACTCTCGACTCCTTTCGCTTGGATATAACCACGCGCCGGGGAGCGCAAAAACCGGCCAAGATCATGAATATTGGGCGAATCTAGTAAGCAAGTACCGTGGTGTAGAGCGCGGTGGCGGGTCAACTTGAATGCAGACCCGGAGACTTTCCGAAAAGGAGGCTCATTGTTATCCTTGCCCGCCTCTGATGGGAGCATGACAATGTCGTGTCGTTCGTTTACGTTGGTATTGACTGCGCCGACGCGGTGCAGTGCGCGAACCACCATTTCCGCATGTTTATTCCGTGTGAAGGGAGCCCGCGGCGATATTACACTATAGTTGAGGTTTCCCTCATCATGAAAGACAGCTCCGCCGCCCGAACGTCGTCGGACATAGACAGCTGCATCGTCTTGGCCGGCCCCCCGGCGACGGTCATTGTAAAGCGTTCGAAGGTCGGTCTCCAGCCATGGATTCTGATTGCGACCGATCACAACACATGGCTGATTGATATAAAGGAAAAGGATGCTGGAGTCGGTCGGGGCATTTTCTAGCAGGAAGTGCTCGATCGAAAGATTGACGTAAGGATCGGTCGACAACGACTGGTAGATTTGGTGCTGGGACTCCGGCCGTCGGGCGAGCTCAGCGAAGCGATGGAGAGGATATGAGGAATTGTGGCGGATTTGGTAGCTCGCACCACGCAGCGACGAGGAATAGCATCCTCGAGCGAGCATTGGGAAAGGCGCAAGGGAGTTGCATAGTTGGATGGGCGCACAGCACGCGGCCGATAGTCGGGCGCGCTAGGCCCAGATAGGAAACCGTCGATGAGTCGATTTTCGGCCTCTTCGGGTTTCTTACTTTTTTTGTGTCGCATCAGTCTATCCCTGCAGCTGCTATATTGCGTATCTGCCCTGCCAATTGAATTCCGAAGATTCGCTCATTCTCCCCTTTTCCTCTCACTGCCTGCGGACACCTATCCAGCCGGATCCATCCACCATCATGTCGACGTGGGGTGAACATTTCCGAGTCACCACGTAAGTTGCCCCTCAGTACTACAACTTCGTTCATTGCTCACCACGTCCTTAGTTATGGCGAGTCGCACTGCCGCTCCGTCGGCTGTATCGTTGACGGCTGCCCTCCTGGCATGCAACTCACTGAGGATGACATCCAGCCCCAGATGACTCGTCGTCGTCCTGGGCAGAGTGCCCTCACGACCCCGCGGAACGAGAAGGACCGAGTTGAAATCCAGTCAGGCACCGAGTTTGGTATTACACTGGGCACACCAATTGGAATGATGGTCCGTAACGAGGACCAGAGACCTAAGGATTATGGTAACAGCACAATGGATCTGTACCCTCGTCCCAGTCATGCCGACTTCACCTACCTCGAGAAGTACGGCGTCAAGGCCAGCAGCGGTGGCGGCCGCAGCAGTGCTCGTGAAACCATCGGTGAGTTACATATCAATGACCTGTAATAGTAGCGCGGTTTTTACTGATAGATTTCCCTCCCAGGCCGTGTCGCTGCCGGTGCCATCGCAGAGAAGTACCTGAAGCTTTCGCACAATGTCGAGATCGTCTCCTTCGTCTCCTCCGTGGGCAACGAGCACCTTTTCCCCCCGACCCCCGAACACCCCACTGCCTCAACCAACCCCGAATACCTGAAGCTGCTGGAGACGATCGACCGCGAAACCGTGGACAAGTTTGCCCCCATCCGCTGCCCCGACGAGGAGGCCTCCGCACGCATGACCAAGGTTGTTGAGCAGTTCCGCGACAACCAGGACAGCATTGGTGGCACTGTAACCTGCGTGATTCGCAATGTTCCGGTTGGTCTGGGTGAGCCGTGCTTCGACAAGCTGGAGGCCAAGCTGGCGCACGCGATGCTGAGCATCCCCGCCACCAAGGGCTTCGAGATCGGCTCTGGCTTCGGTGGCTGTGAAGTGCCTGGCTCCATTCATAACGATCCGTTCGTGGTGCAGGATGGCACGACCCGCCTCACCACCAAGACCAACAACTCCGGCGGCATCCAGGGTGGCATCTCGAATGGCGCCTCTATCTACTTCCGCGTCGCTTTCAAGCCCCCGGCGACCATCGGCCAGGCCCAGACCACCGCCACCTATGACCTGGAGGAAGGTGTCCTCGAGGCAAAGGGTCGTCACGACCCGTGCGTGGTTCCCCGCGCCGTCCCCATTGTCGAGGCTATGTCCTCACTGGTGATTATGGACGCCCTGATGGCGCAGTACGCGCGCGAGAGCGCAAAGAACCTGCTCCCGCCGCTGCCCAAGACGATCCCCACTAAGCCTGCTACCGCGCCCAACGGTGCGTAAGCCGTAAATAGTTTCAGTGGTGTTTTTTTAAAGCGACAAAAAAAGGGGTGGCGGTATGCAAACGCCTAAACACTCATAAATTTTCCACCATGGGGCCCGGGAAAAACCATTTTCTATAGATATCATTTTCCAACTGATTTCTTGTCTTCATCTGACCTTGACTTCTTTCTGCGCGGAAGTCTGTTTCGGAATTTTTCTTTTTCATCTTATATATCCTCGTTGCCCGCTTGGAAGGGCCAGATACAAAATTGTTAAATGATATGCATGAGCAATGATTTCATGAGATTATCTCTCTTACTTTCTAGACGTAGACTGACAGAATTGGCTTTATCGACTAGATAGCCTCTTATCAAATGTGAAATCCTTTAATTATACAGATTGAGGTTGAAAGAAGAGCATCGTCCAATTTGCAATGCAAGTACCTAACTGCGTTATCTGAAGAAGCATCAATTCATATGGTCCGCCTCGCTCTGTACCTGGGATTCGGGCTCGTTTCAGAAACCAAAAAGCAGACAAAAAACACATAGGATCGATCGTTCAAGAAGCGAGACCAAACAAGACCATTCAAGCCATCAATCATGATCACATCGCCATTCGAGAAACAAAACAATCTCGTGGATATCGAACAAAGTAACGACTGAACAGGCTAGGAGAAGGAAAAAAATCAAACAGAGAGCAACGCAAATGAAAAAAAAAACAATCCATATCTGTGCGCCAGCTAATAGAAACAAACGACCATGCCACAGCCTTGACAGCGTGAAAGCAACGTCTTGTATACAATCTTTTTCCCGCTCCGAAAACGGCCAATCAAAAGTACAAGGAGAGAAAATAAAGTATACTCACTCAAGCAGCCCTTAGCCGCTGACTCGGCGCGGCTGCATTGAATCGGAAATACTACGTATGCTGCGGCTAATTGAACGCTCGGAGATGTTGTCCATATCTCGGGCCGAAGCGTTCACGACGCGCAGTCTTTCCCGCGGGACTGTGTATGTCATCTGAACCTGGCGGCCTTCGGCGGCGCCTTCGACGTCCCAGTCTTCCTCGTCGCAGGTCTCGTCGTCGCCGAGGTAGCCGGGAGCGCCTAGGAAGAGATCGTCACGGGTGGATCGGGGCCCGCCGAACCCACCATCGGACAGTCGCTTCTTCGCGTTCCAGTCTCTGGCGCCTTGTTTCCGCCGAAAGAGTTCGGCTGAGGCACTGACTGCTCGGCGAGGAGTACTCGCGCCGCTGCTACCTGGGTTTGTCCCGCTGCCTATTATAGTGCTGCGACGGTCGATGCCGGAGGCTAGATATGCGGTGTCGTCAGATTCTCGCTGAGTTGTTGTGCCACGGCGGGTGAGGGTGAGCGCACGTCGCACGGTTTGGAGCATCCAATCTGACGCTCTGGGTTTCGAGGCTGAGGGTAGCTTTGAGGGTGAGGATTCGATGGGCGTCATGGGAGTGATAACTTCACTGGCGTCGTAGAGGAGGGAGTCATTTTCCGTCTGGCGCCGGGAGAAGGTGGAGTGAGCGGTCGAATAGGAATCTGCTGAAATGGACTTCTCAGAAGGTGCCATGCCATCCGGATCGCTGTGGGCCGTTTCTCTGCTGTGAGTTGACCCTGCTGTGATATGCTCGAGAGAGTGGCCACCATTGCTACCCCAACTCAAGGGCCGGTCCACGAGAATAGCTCGTGACTGGTTGACCTGCCCAGTTGGTCTGGTAGTGGCAGAGGAAAACGAGAATGCGGATGAATCGGATAAATTAGTCGACGTTCGGTCACTCTTTGCTGGGGAGACACGTCCATCTGTATCTAAAGACCCGTTTTCCTTCCGACGAGTATAAAACGGGCCTAAACCCACGCCAAAAATGGTGCTTCGGGGAGTAGAGAACGGTGTGTCTGAAAAAGGATCATCTGGATCTTGCACCGTGGGCTTCCCGTCAGCAGGAACTGTTGCCAGAAGTCGTTCCCGGAAATTCGCTTCGTCCTCCTCGCGCTCATCAATGGGGTGGATGTCACTTGTGGCATCACTGCGGCGATATTCACTATAGATTGACATTCGGTAAGATTTTTGTTGGCTCATTGGGCGACTGTTTTGACTTGGACTGGAAGCATCCGCAAGGAGACCCGTCTGCTCTGCAGTAGTATCGCCTTGGTCATTCCAAGATTCCGGGCGAGCGGTGGCATGCCGATTTCCAGACCAAGGGTAAATGGCACCAGGGTCTAACTTCTCGCTCATCTGTGAGCTGCGGATGCTGCTCGCCTGGTGCGGATCATCTCGGCCCCAGAAATGAGCCCGTTCGGCTCCCAGAGCCAATTCACGAAGTTGTGAGTCTCGCTTGCTTCGGACTGCCCGTTTGCGATGGTATCTCCAGGCACAGAGTGCAATAGCCAAAACAATGGGGATTCCAAGACCCAAACCGACTCCTAGTCCCGCTTTCTGCCCCGTAGATAGTCCGTTGTCTGTTGACGCTGATTTTGTTGTGGAGGCTGCGGATGGGTTGGTGTAGGAGGTAACCCAAGTGTTTGACGTCGTATTGTAAAGATAAACCTCCGAGTTACGCTGTGTGGAGACTGTGGAGCGTTTTAAAGATTGTTTGGGAATTGTATAGCCTCCGCCAATTATTAGCACACCCCCTGGAAGCATGGACACAGAGTGGCCGAATATTCCCGTTCCGTCTGCGATCCCTACTCCGTCTGAAGATGGTGTTGTCCATGTCCATTCGCCGGAGCCACCATAACCATCTCCAATCTCCAAGACTGCGAATTGAGGATCAGCAGGGGTAGAAGTATCCCCCACCCATCCACCAACCACAAAGACCTTTTTTCCATCCTCAGAGAGAACTGCAGCATGGCCTGATCGAGGCTCCACCGTGACTCCATCTCGTACAGCCAGTTCCGTCTTAGGCTTGGTCTCCGAGGTGATGGTCACAAAGCTCCAACTTTCCTGCGGCACCGAAAAGATTGCTAGTTGAGACATATTCAGAAAAGCTTGTTGTGTATGGCCACCAATAAAGAGAAAATCCTGCTGGCTTTCTGTGGCTGAATATGTCGCTGGGAGCGGGACGGCTACCATTCCTGCTTCTCGGACTGGAGGGGCACGATTTCCGGTGATGGTCGCGTGGTACTGAGTGTCATGGAGGGAAGCCGAGTCCAGAAGAACCATTGACTGGGAATAATTTGCAGCCGAAACCCATGTTGAATCCGTAGAATTCGCGAATGGGCACATGCCGCCGAATGAGTAGAACGCCGTTTCGGTTGAGTTGTTGGATGCAAAAGTAAACCCCGCTGCTAGGTAATTTGGACGTGTCCATCCTTCACCTCGATTCACCGTTGACTGAGACCAGGTGCCGTTGCCGATCGAGCTGGTATTATCGGGGTGGAAGCGCCATAGAGTGCCGTTCTCAGAACCATCGTGACAGTTCCCGGCGTAGACCGAGATGATGCCTTGATCATCGATGACAGGGACGAATGCGGAGGTTTGTTCTGTACTTTGGAAGGGGGTCTGCTCAAGCAAGGTGTGATAGGATGGATTGGTGGTGTTGATGCTGGTGGATAGATTTAGAGAGAGAAACTCGGTCTTGCCTGCGGTGGAGCTACTCGGTTGCAGAATCCATGCAAGAGAATCATTATGTTGTGGGGAGAGAAAGATGGAAGAAGCAGTATATGGAATTGCCGTTGAGGAACCGACGAGGGCGAGTACAAGCGCAGTGAGGGCGAGCGGACTGCGCTTGATCTGATGGGGCTCCATCGCGTTTGCGACTGCAATCTGAGACACAATCAAGGAGAAGAACACATTCCAGGATCGGCGAGCATGGCGCCACGCGAGTGACGTGGGAAAGGGAACACGAAGAAGGGGATCTCAATTCCGCCAACTCGGACTCGACATGATGCGATTCAGCTTGATAGAGATGTGGTCTCAGGAGAGAGGGAAGAAGAGAATACGAGATTGTGAGTTGAAGTGTGAAGATGATGCATCACGGGGACTACACTAAACACTAAACACTTCACACGCCCCTCTCAGAGTGGGCGACAGCTCCAGGCTCCAGACAAGCGCATAATCCTGGGCGGGCTCGATAGAAGACCTCGACCATCCCATCTGATTGAGGAAGGCCAATCATGCTGCTCAACCAAATTATGCTGACGGGGCTGGGGTCCGTCAACAAAGAAAATGCAAGCCAAATCAACCAAATAGAGTGCCGAGCACCAGATCGGCATGCGATATCTCCGTTGCTCGGGCAACGAGCTTGGGAGTGGCGCTGGGGGGCACGGCACGATTGCGCGTTCGCAATGGGGTTACTGATGCAGGACACCACCAAGTCATATTGTTGCATCAGCGGCAGCATTTGGACGAAGCGAATATCATGGAATAGATTGCAGTGGGTCGCATACTGAAGGCAATAGAGTGGCGCGCGGCGTGTAACGTTAGCGAACAGGGCACAGTCCTTCCGCTTCCTACTAGCCGCACCCGCCAATGCCACCATCCGGCAAAACCAGCTTGGTGTGGGGTGCAAGAGAGGAGAAGAGGCACGATCGACAGAGTTACAGATTCAAGAAGCCCGAGAGAACAGGAGAGAACTGATCTCAGATTTGTGACTATGTCATATGTGTATTTATCGTACGTATGTCGATATGCCCTGGATGTTTATTATTGCTTACGTAGATCGTTGATAGTTTGATGCGCCCTTCCTTTTTCTGGGCTCCTTCGAGCATATTGGCAGTTGGCTCTCGATCCACATGATATAGCTTTTCAATCCTTGCCAACCAAGCAGTTCTGTAGTAGTTTCCTAGCATTGGGTTTTCACATACCAAATAATATGATCTTTTGGATAATATTCATATGCTAGTATGCCTTTCATTATGAATTATCACTGCCATTGGTTGCACTACTTACTTTGACTCCTTCTCTCATAGTCTCAGATTATGAGGTTGAAACTCAGCTTGAAATGGTCGTTGAGAGAAAACATCAGTACAGAGCTCAATTTAGACCTGGACTCGCATGCAATTGAGTCGCGGGAATGCTCAACCTATAGAGACATGAGGACCTACCCTAGACTAAGTTTCGAGATCAATGATAATCTGTATGGCTTGTTTAGAGCCACGCTTTAAAACCTGAGGACGCCGATTCCAAGACCCTTTACTTGAGAAAACGTGTTGAGATTTACTTTTTGGTGTCTCCATTTTCAAAAGTGCCGGTCCAATGTCGGGTCTGAATATGCATACGAGGTGACTGCGGTTTTCAATCCCTCTCATTTCTATCCTGTGACGCCAAATTAACACCCTTCCGCTCGCCAGCGAGGGCAGCACTATACTCTGAGAACAACTTCAGTCTCGTCGGGGCTGACAGACCACAGAGGCTCGAGTCTGGTAGAATCTTTCCTCAATTGTATTGGGGCGACGAACGCAAGCTCATTGCTCTTCACCTCACCATCAACTTAACATCTACCGAACGAATCTATGGACCCCTGGCAAAAACTTCAGAGTGCAAAGACGAGTTACGGGACTTAGAGCGTCTCCTCAAACAGTACTCTGAATTGAGGGTACTACATCCATTTGTTCAGTCACACAGTATGAACGAATTGGCGCAAGGAAGCCAGTGTCTTGCCCTGTCCACTCGAGATGTGATTTGTGAGCCCAACAAGCATTTCAGAGGCATTGCTTCGCTTAATGGGATTGTTGTTCGGATTGTAACGGGTATACACCCCTAGCATAACGAGTGACGAAACATATGATAGAAATTATGAAGGAAGTTCTGCCTTGTTTCTCGTAAAGGAGGAGACTGCGAAGAGAAGTTTAGTCCTTGTTGATATACAGTATGGATCTAAAGTGGATACATAGAGTGCTTTGTCATGTCTTGTATCCGCAAAGATAGATACTTTATGCCCAGTTGCCGTTGACGGTCATTGCGATGTAAAGGAAGGAGGAGTCGTGAGAGAAGGAATGAAAGCAATAGAAAAAACAAATAATAGAGAAGATGCCCGATATTCTATGATCACTATCATATTTCCTACCACGCTTTACAGAATTTACAGTAGGCGTGTAGGGAAGTTGAGAAAGTGGGCGAAGGGGAACCACATACTTCACTAATATCACTGTCGGCTCGTGTTCAATGTTCTGTGTAGCGGGTTCGTAACGCCTCGACTGCCCGGCCACTACGAGCGCTCGGCTTGGCTAATTCACAATGAGGCCAGACCCATGACTAGACCCTAAACGGATTCAACTGCACGCTACGCATCAAATCAAATGCGGAAAGGGATGAGCTTGTCTAGACTGGCTCCTGGTCAAGTTTTCAACTATTTTTGAACTTGCTAGGAGCTTATAGGGCCGCTATTCTGCATACCGGACTAGAAATCTATCAATGGTCTAGATGGAGTGATGAGCAGCCCGCAGGAAGCAGTGTTAGGGTTGGATCTTGGGGAGATTAGCATCCAAGTTGCCGACCACCTTCTAATGCTACCTACCGCGGGGCCAATCGCTTTGAAGGGAGCGGGTGAGCGTGCATGCTGGGCAGTCCCTGCGCAGCGTCGCATCTGTGGTGATATGGTCCATGTACCTGTCCATCGCGCGGGCCTTCTCAGCCGGCCATGCATGTCAACCCGAGACTTAACCTCATCGGTTCTGGTGCTGGTATTAGGCGGGCAAATCAACTCCGCGCAGAGCCGATAGTGGCTAGTCAGGGGCTTGCAGGTTCTGAGATACTTTTTTCTCGTTTCCCGTTTCTCATTTCTTTTCGTCTTCGCTGTTTTGTCGGCAAAGCACCCGGGGCCCCGAAGCTGCTAATGTTGGCGAGCCAGATACCCGGGTCTTCGATACGAGCATCGAACAAGGGCAGTGTCATGGATCAGAGACAAGAAAAAAGCAAGCGGAACCAGATACAAGGAAGATGGAACAAGGAATAAGGGCTAGTTCGAACCGCCACCCGAACAAAGAATTGTGCCATGTATAGTTCGTCCACTATTGAGTCGCCAGAACAAGGATAGCATGCGCCTCTACGAAACCGTCATTCTGGCCGAGTCCGCCAACGCTCAGACCATTCTCCTGGGGCCAACGAAAATGCATCTTTTGCCGCCCGCAGTTGTACTCTGTCATACTCATTCTAGTTGTGGTTGCCTTTTCTGGTCAATACAATTTTTGTTGTTTTGGCTTTCCCCCTCATGCCTGGTCCTCCTGGTCTTCCCGAGATAATCAACACATCCATCCAACCAGCATTCTCCGTTCATCTGAAGCCAATGCATTGGCATCCAGATTGTGCACTCTCCATCGTATGATCCACCAACGACCTTTTCTCCGGTCAGCTCGTCAATTCGGGCCGTATCTCCATCGGATACATGAGAGTCCATCGCCCAACAGACTGAATCTTGGTGAACAGCGCCCGAAAAAAAGAACAACCCCTGCCTGTTGATAGGTCTATTCCTGTTGGAGCACCGCAGCCGGACTCTGTACATCGACAAAGACAGCCATCGTCCAATCCTCCCCAATGTGACTATGTAATACCAGTGGACTGAACTGAGCATGGTCTCAGATACAACCAAATAGACAGCTAGGCATAGGGCAGACATTTCCCAACGCCCTCATAACAATCTTTCTCGAGTACGTGCAAGCCTATCTGGCCATTCCGGTGCCGGAAGTATACACCGCGGAAAAGACGGACAGAGACTAGTGTCTAATTGCATTTCTCGCCGCTAGACTAGCCAATAAGTATGCTCCTGTAGTCGTCGCGCCACCAGCTCGGGCCCCAGATTTCGTATTACTCTGTACTATATAGTGATGCTGCAGACGACGAGGGTCGCGAATATCACGACCATGCGAAGAGCTCTGGGTATGCTGTTACAATAATCTATCGAGACTTGATATCTAGATTTGTACCGCCTGAAGATCAGAGAGTGACGACCGAGTGAATGAGGATCCAAGCGGTGTTCTGGGATGGAAGTTGAGTTGCCGGATGCTATTGGGGCCGTTAGTTGATATAGCATCCCCCGCAATGCATGTTTTCCCTTTCTTTTCTTTTTATTTGCTTTCTTCTTTTGCTGTCTTTGTGTGCAATTTCGTTCAATACATTACTTGCTGCCTCTTCCTTAGTGCTCTCTGTTTTTTTTTTTTTTTTTTTTTTTTTTTTTTGGTTGGCTTGTGCTTTGTTTCTGGTTGAGTGCTACGCATGATCTTGGCTGGGCCTCTTGCATTTTCTTTTTGTATATCCAAATACTAGCTAGATTCGGGAGTCGGTAAGGGCTTTTTGTTGCAATCCCACCACTAGGAATTATTGAGCCGTGACTTATCTTTACACCTCCCATTCAAGAGAACATCATACCCACCCAACATCTATCACCTAAATCTCCCGGGCAGGCAAAAGTCACAGCCCTATACTCCCCTATACTCCCCTAACCAAAGCCCCACCTCCCTTCCTTTCCACTCGATAATCACCCCATGCCGTGCCACCTCCAAGACCATTCCCCTCCCCAATATTACACCCGTGTCTGCGCACACACCATGTCCGATTGGAAATCGGCCTCGGTAGACGTTAATACAGACTATTAAGATGACAGGATCCAGCACGACCCTAGCACACCCGGGAAGAAGGAAGGGGGAAGGGGGGATAGGCGGGACGCCCGCCCGCCTGTGTCACCCAGCCGGGGCCGGGGGGCCTTTGGCCAGCGCCGAGCTATACAGATCAAGCCGGTACGAGCGATTCGCTCCGGGCTCGTCTGCCCGAAAGCATGGGGGTTGGGGGTGGAAGTGGCGCGTCCCAGGTCGGGGGTTCCTATGGACCCTCCTCGTCTTGGCTCCTGCTCTCCCTAAGTCTCCAACGTCAGACGTAAGCTCGCACCGGATTCACGGATAGAGAGAGGGGGGGGGGCATTTCCTGGGGTTTGGGGCCGTATCCGCGGGCTGGGCTTGTCGGATGCAGTGGCCGAACTTGCATTTGCGGGGTTTGAGGGGGGAAAGCTAAAGTCGAGAGGTGCGCTGAAGGGGCCCAACCTGGAGACACCGTCTGCGCGCTAAGGACGAAGGAAGAATTAGTGGTTTGGCTGCTGGTTTGGTTTGTTTTCTGTGCTAGTTTTCCCGCTTTTCGCTCCCTCCCCCCACCTCCTCCTTCTTCGTCTTTCACTAGGTATGGACAGAGCCCTAAGTATGATATTATGATATGATTGATGCACATGCACATCAAGACGCGATGGGCGAATTGGGTGTCGTATTTACTCAAACTACTCACAAGCAAAAGGCGGGAAATGCTTCCCAAGTCCCAAAGTCCATATGTCCAGCCTGGAGGCCACCGGCGCATTTCTGACCCCACGCGCAAATGGCTACCCCGGCCATATGCGATTCTGTTTCGGGAAGCAAAAGCGATCGTGTCTCGGACGTTTCCTGTTCGATCACCTCTGTCGACCTCAGACCTCATTTCTCCGCGAGAAAATGACTGAGTACCTACGCTAGTCATGTCTATCCCCTTGTCTGTCCCCTTCCCTCGCTTCCCGTCTGGTATCAATCTCCCGTGTAAATCTCCGTAGTGTCTGATAGCTAAGGTGGGTAGATCCGCTGCCAGAACACTATTGGCGGAACCAACCCCCCCCCCCCCCCCCCCAGCCAGGAATCTACAGTAATTTCAACCCCATGGAGATTTGCACGCCACGCCCGAATAGAGTGCGCCAGCGCCAGGTGATCCCATCTTGGACCCGGTGTAGGCCTGGAAAGCCATTCAGCGGGTTGGTCGGAATCGCGCAGCAGCGAGGCAGGTCACATCCTTTTTCGTGGGACCCTGGGCATCTTACTGTCCATGGCTTCCAAACCGACAATGACTCTTGCACTGGGGACTGGGGTTCGGCGTGCGCATGTATGGACGGAACATCTTCCGCTTCATGGTTGAGTCGTGATAGGGTTTCCTCTCTTGGAGCGTGGTTTATGAATCTGGATATACGTAGATGGATAGATAGGTTTCTATATACCGTAATTGTATAGCCATCGCATCGAGATCATCGACAATAACAATTCTCCGTGTCTTCTTCGATTCCCCAGCAAAATCCCTATTTATCTTCGAGGGAGAACAAAATCCCAGTAAAATGCAATTAAAGAAGGCTAATTAAGGGCCCAGACCCTCGCATGACGTAACCGCGCTGGATCCGGCGTCAAAGTCGCGCACGGACCGGACGCTCGGGCGCCTGGTCGAACATGACTTGCTGGGATTCTGACGGGGGTGGCCCTCTATGTAAAGTCTTGGGGGGCTCTAAAGGAGCATCTTGCAGAACGCCTCTCGGAGGCTTTCCAGGCCATCACGGGCGGCATCGCGACCCTAGATCATATACTTCCTACGCCCTATCTCTACGACGTGTACAGTAAACTTACGGCCAACCAACCAACACAATCTGTAAAAACAGCCAGAGGGAAGAAAAAAAAGAAAGAGAGAAAGAAAGAATAGCGAAGGCCCCCCACAAACGGCTGCAGTCTGTAATCGACGCTAAACCCGAACCCTTTGCCTCCCCAAAATGTTCGAACCGCTCGTTGGTGCCCAGCCGCACTGGGACGGCTACTGCATAACTCCCCTGCAACAACCCCTGGCTGGCTGCCGTGTCCGCGCGAAACATTAGCGTGGCCACCCATCAGAAGGCCCCCCAAAACAGGCCGGACAGGGAGATCCATAGCCCGATGAAGAGCAGGTTAGAACGAGAGAAATCCTCGCCAAGATGATGGAGTATAGGGAGAGTAAGACGATCAGGCACTGTGAGAGGGATCAGACAATTCTCTTGGGGTTTCTCCCCACACCCCTCGCTTTTTTCCATTTACGAGCCCATTTCCAACAGTCTTCCAACAACTTGTGTGAGCAGAAGTTAAAATTTCTGGCCGGGGAGCTGAAGTGTCGCGGCTGAGAATGCTTTGGTTGGTTGGCAGTCGTGATAGGTAGGGCTCGTTCGCGCTTGGGGAGCCTGGAGTGTCAGCTTCAAGCGACCCAGCTTGTTGGGGCACTGGGCGCCAGAGGGTCAAGAAAAGGGCATGGACACTGCCCGTGGACGAAACGGGCTGCTCAACGGATCATCCATGTAAAACCGGATTGTCGACAGAATAAGGACTAACTTCACCGACGGTGGCAACCATGGGTCGTGTAGGACAACGTGCCTTCGGTTGTCGAGGATCCCAAGCCACACCGCGATACATGATGGCGACATTGCTGGGAATCCGGGAGAGGCGCGAGAGAACGGGCCACTGCTGGGGCCGAATATCAAGACGCCCGCTGCGTTTTGATCCTAGTTTGATCGCTGATCAAGAGTGAGCGAAAGGGGGGGGGGGGGAGATTGTCGAATTGCCGAATGGAATGGATCCACAACTTTGATGCCTCACGAGAGGCGAGAGGCTCACGAGAGAGAGAAAGGGCTCGTGAACTTGGATTTGCCTCCGCAAGTACCTCTTTCTGGGGGGGGGGGGGGGGGGTGTTCATTTTGCGTGGCTCAGGACCAGCAGACCAGCACTAGGGGCACGATGTCGGCTGGTGTTCTTCGTACGGAATAGAAGCAGAGCAGGACCGAGTCCTCGACGTAATCGGCGCGAACTGCCCGGCTTGGCCGCCACTCAAGACCAAGACCGATTGAAGAGAGACACTAATGCTGCGCCTCCTTTCTTTTTTTCATATCTTTTTTCTCGTTACCCCTGCCGAAGTAAATCTGCATATCGACCGTCTTGGAGAACGAGAACAGAGAAAAAAAAAAAGAATCGAGTATCGAACTCTATGCGACTAAGACTCAGTCCTGATACTCATTCTGCTCACGGACCATCGGAGTCCCGGCCGAAGCAAATGGGCCTGGTCAAGCCCCACCGTAACTTTGGGTTTGGGGGTCGGGACATGGAGACATTGGGTTTGGACCATTAGAGTCCTGATGAATAGACTCTGATCCGTTGAAAGGACTAAGGCTCGTCAGCGAAGAATCCCTGCGGCTGGCGAGGCAGTTTCGTAGTTCCCATGAAGGCCCGAAGTATAGGAGAGCAGCAGTCCGTCGTGTCCCGTTTTGCCCATAGCAGAACGGCACTAAGGGACCACCCCCATTTCTATTTCCATTTCGGCGCGTACTAGAGGGCTGGGATTCCAATAACGGGGGTTCTTATGTTTGAGGATGGACGGTTGACCTCGTTCCCTCGAATGAAGTCTGTCGCGCATGGTGCCCAAGCCCAAGCCAAAGTGGTAACAGTGGTAAAAGTGGTAACAGTGGGAGGGGAAAGCGTCATTGGTATTTTACGGGGCCCTGGGCCGATCTTCGCTGTGCCCTCGATTCTTCCGGGACCCAACCTCCCTTTCCTCCTTTCCCACTCAACCTCTCGACCTTCTCGACTCATCCGCTCTTCTTCTTTTCTCTTCCCCTCGGTCCGATTGATTTCTCGCCATTCATTTGGAGACATTCCTTCGATTGTTCAACCTGACTCTTCGGTCGCTCGGATTTCCCGCCTCCTCTCCCCTCCCTAACTTCCCGCCATATTTATAGCATCGACCCCCCTCTCCCAACTGTCAACCGCCGCACTCCTTTCCAACCCCCTTTCCCCACGTGTAGGGAGTCGCCGAGTCCCTCGTGCTGTAGCAGGTCTACCCACCCGATCTCTACGATCCGCCTTTTCGCACCTCCCACCAACTCCCAACACACCACACCTCCCACAGCCGCTGCCGATCCTGTCTGGTACATTCTCGGTTTCAAGCTGCCTGTCCGCCCGATCGCCCGCGCCAACTCCTTCACGCAGAGAAATGAAAGTTCATGCGTGCTTGTCATCCGAGCTTTTCTCGAGCTCTCCTTGAACCCGCCCAAGCTTGAAGGACAAAAGCGTGAAAAGGATGCTTCACTGCAATCTCGGCACAGCTGGCCCGCACACCTAAATCTTTTCCTTATAGAACAAAGCAACGCGCCGATATAAAAAAAGAAAAAAAGAAAGAAAGAAAAAGAAAGCGTCCCAAAGAAAGATGAAAATGACGGAAAATCAATCTTCGATGACTGGTCTGGAGGAACCGGACCAGCTGATGACTCGGCATGCCCGTGTCTCGGGAGACTTCAAGCGGGATCCCACCGGGTCCGATGATACCTCCCAACCCACCATGTCTGTACGAAACGACCAGGCTGACCTCCGGAATACCATCACCGCGACTACGACCACGAAACAGGCTCCGAAACCGTCTGCCGCAGCCGAAATCGCCGAGGCCCAGGCGACTCTCCGTCAAGCGTTTCCTCACGTCTATTCGTCGCGCACCCCCTCGACTCGCTCCTCCTCAAGTTCATTACAAGCGCTGAATGAGGATATCGTGGTCGATGCCCGGTCGGAGCTCGGTAACCTGGGACGCAGTCCCCGGAGGTCCTCTCGTCACTCCGACCAGACGCCGGAGTATCCTGTCTATCCCGACCAATCCTATGCCTCTCTTCAGTCCCAAATTCATCCCACCTGGCAACCGCCGCACCTCCGGTCCCGCAGCTCCTACCCCTCTCAGGTTGATTCATCAGTACCTCGATTCCCTCGCGTCTCCCGAACAGCCGGCAACACCCCCGTCTCGAGCCCAGGGCTCTTCTCTATGCGGAGCCCTCGCACTACCCCGCCGCTAGGATCCGATGATGAAGGTTGGATTGGGAGCCCTTATCTGCACCCATCACACCTGCAACCACCCAAAGAGACCCATACCGCCGAAGTCGACCGGGACTTGGTCACCGGAAACAAGCTGATCAACCAGTACGAGATCCTCGAGGAACTGGGACGGGGAGAACATGGCAAGGTCAAGCTAGGCCGACACGTCAGCACCAAGCAAAAGGTGGCCATTAAAATTGTTCAGCGATACTCAAAACGTCGACGATTAGGCAAGTTGGGTAACCCGGAAGACAAGGTGAAGAAGGAGGTCGCTATTTTGAAAAAGGCACGGCATCCGAACGTGGTCAGTCTGCTGGAGGTCATCGATGACCCGAACCGGCAGAAGGTCTACATAGTGTTGGAGTATGTCGAAAACGGCGAGATTGTCTGGCGGAAAAAGGGACTTCGAGAAATTGTCCACGTCGACCGGTTGCGACTGGAACGAGAGAAGTCCGGAATCCCAGATACCCCAGCCTTTTTGGAGGAGAGCAACCAGTTTATACGGACGGCTCAACATTTGCGTCGACAACGGGAGAAGGCACGGGAACGGATTGAAGCGCAGGCCGCAGATGCCCAACAAGGCCCGATTCCCGCCTGGAGTCTGGAGCACGGTGCCGATACATCGGATGAAGAGGAGGAGGAAGAAGGGGGGGGGACTGGGGCTGACCATTCGGCGAACATCCACACGTTCAACTGCGGTGCTGGATGAGAGCTCGCCGAGTCAGTCCTCTTCCCACGACGCCGCGCTGGCTGCGGTAGAGGGCAGCATGTATGGTGCCTACACAGACTACCCTTTCGAACGGCGTTTCAGTACGGCGTCAAGCAGCTTTGGCTATGCCCCCTCCGAACCCGAGTGGTCTGCAGATGGGGATGACACGTCGTATGTGCCATGTTTAACCATCACTGAAGCCCGGAACGCTTTTCGGGACTCTGTTCTGGGGTTAGAGTATCTCCACTACCAGGGTATTATCCATCGCGATATCAAACCCGCCAACCTCCTGGTCACTAGCAGCCACCGGGTCAAGATCTCCGATTTTGGTGTGTCATACTTGGGCCGACCCATGCGGGATGAGGAGGAGGAGCAGGTTGACGAGGCCAATGCCGCCGAGTTGGACGATGCCCGTGAACTGTCCAAGACTGTTGGAACTCCTGCCTTCTACGCCCCCGAGCTTTGCTACACTGGGGATGATTTTGAAGATAATATTGGGAGCATCCCTAAAGTCACCGGCGCTATTGATGTCTGGTCTTTGGGTGTCACCTTGTATGGAATGATTTTTGGTCGCCTCCCCTTCGTCTCCGATGATGAGTACAGCATGTTTCAAACGATCGTGAAAAAAGAGGTCTTTGTCCCTCGCAAACGCCTTGTGCCTGTCAAGGACGACTCGATCTCAATCTCCAGCCAGCGGAATTGCCGCAATACTGATGAGCTGATATACGAGGAAATCGATGACGAGCTATATGATCTGCTGCGCCGCCTGTTGACCAAGGATCCGATCAAGCGAATCACATTGAAAGAGATCAAGCACCATCCTTGGACTCTGTACGGCCTGCCCAACCCCCAGGCCTGGGTGGAAGAGACCGATCCGGGCTACCAGAGCAAGGGCAAGAGGATTGAGGTCTCAAACGAAGAGGTCACCAGCGCTGTCAGCAAGGTGCCCTTCATCCAGCGTGTTCGCTCGAATGTGGCGAAGTGGTTTTCTGGCCGGTCTAAGGACAAGGAACCTCGCAAGCGTAACTCGAACAATTCGTCAGATACCTTGTCATCCGCTTCGAGTATCAGTACCTTTGGAAAGAATTCACGTGATAGCCGTCGATCGAGTCTACGAGGCGACGAGGAGATCTTCCGATCCTATAAGTTCGGGACGCAAGGCGAACATCCGCTGGCCCAAAGTGTCACCGCAAGCCCCGTGGACGAGGAAAGCTGGGCATCTTACTTCGAGAATGCAATCCTGCCAGATAGCAAGTTGACAGTGGCCCCAGCTCCAGCGCCAGCTCCAGTGCCGACTGTGACACCCAGGCCGGCACCTCCTCGGCGTGCTAAGTCTTCCATGTCCACCGCTGAGTCCACCAAGACGGTCACGCAGTCTAACCTCGAGTCACGCCCACGGACTGGCACACCTTCCATTATCGAAGCTCTTGGATCCACCAATTTTGGAAGCTTGCTCTCAGGCGCTAGTCGACGAGTGTTCACTTCGAGTCGCAGTAGGCGTAACTCTCTTGCCGGAGAAACAGCCTCTTTGGATGGAGAGCGTCATTCCGAACCCAGCCTTGCCGTAAGCAATGCTTCTGCTGTTGGCCAAGTGCGATCGACAGGCCTTTGGAACGCCGAAATTCCCTCTCCCGTAGCGGCTTCCCCACTCTCCGCCCACCGACGAAATCGATCCCAGCAGCTCACATGCAAGTCTTCTGCGGAATCGTTCTATCTCACTAAAGAGGCCCTTCAACGTCGACGGCGGAGTGACTTCGAGCCGGGTGCGGACGACGGTCTGGCCCCAAGGGTGGATTACGCCATGTACTCAACTGATTCCCTTGCACTGCCTTCAGTGGCTCCGCAGGCGGACCCTGGATGTACTATCGACCAGCCAAGTAATGGCCTGACCAACTCTACGCCTTCTGCAGCGACCATGTCCTCTTCGTCTGCCGATGACTTCACCAGCGGCATGTCTCAGAGTGCGTCTCACCCCAGCATACCGTCCGTGGTTTCAGGTGCCTCGTCTCTTTCTGGCGATGGGCTATACCTTCAATCTAAAGATAAAGACTCGGACGACTCGACCTCGGTGCCGTCTATCCTCCGTACCGGCGAGACCGTGAAAGCCCGGCGCCCCGGCTCGCCTCGTCCGTCCGAGGAGGACGAGTCACGGTACTACTGTGATGACGAGGACGAGGACGAGTCTGAAGACGAGGGGCTCGTGATTGGCAAAAAGAAGCCGGCCCCTAAGCCAGCCACTAAACCACCCGTCCATCCATAATCTATTGGCCTGCCGTCACCTCGCCTTTTCTCGACTCCATCCTCCTTTCGATTCCTCTCCTCCAACTCGCCCCCTCCCCCTCCCGCGCACCTCCCCCTCAATTCGGCACTTCCTGTACACTGAGAAGCTGTTGTATATCACCTCCTTTTGCTTCTCCCCCATTTTGCTCGCAGAGTCCCTTGTGGAACTTTCCCCGCCTCCTAGATTTGTTGACATCCATTCTACATGACTTGTACATATACATTTCGCACCCGGAGAGTCACCCCAGCGCGAAATCACTCTTCCTTTTCTATCAGCCATGCCCATAGACACGGGACGCTACGCCGCCTATGTCTTTCCAAGGCATCGCTTGCCCGCTTCTCCCCTTTTTCTTTCCCTTCTCTTCTCTCCGATTCGCCTGCACCTACCCTTCCATCGAGGAGCGTGCACGCATCGAGATTTCTCTATTTACCGCTCTACTTGTATGTCATGTTGAGGCAGAGGGATGTGTCTGCGATTTCTCTTGGATTTCTGCTACGGATGCCTGCATGATGCATGACTTGCTGGGCTGGGGGCAATCGTACCAACCTCCCCCGTTTGCAATGATCAGTGATGAAACGAATAATGGGAAAAGAAAATCCAATTCTTCTCGAGATGAATATAGCTTGTTCCTTCTCCAACCCCCACCTTTAATCTCGCCTCGCCCCCTTCGCACGATCTCCTGACTAGGCCCTGCCGGCCCGGGCGATCTAATAAACAATCTGTAGCTCCGGCGGGGTGATCGATGCGGTATATCGGCTAGAAATTCAGTCTTTCGTCTGCCCACGCCAGCCATATTCTCGAATGAGGATAGGCTCTGAACCTTCTTCCACCAATCACCCGCGGAGCCCTACTCAAGTAACTATATCATGCATCCCTCCGATGAAGCCCCGTGGCCGTTCGGTTCGCGCTTTTCGATCACGGACCATATCTTGGGTTAAAAGCAGACGAGTCTGGAAATCTGGATAAAGAATCCGCCGTCCTAAATTGCGACTTCCGGGGAAGATGGTCAGATATCTCCCGCTGGGGCTGGGTTTTTTCGGCCTTCATCAGTGTTCCATGGGATATTTTCCATCTAGATATTCCGGACCGGGAATATCCAAGGACACCACGATAGATGGAACTAGCCAGCCAGGGCTGCGTCGGCAATGAACAAATTCATGCCGTTAATCTATTCCACTATATTAGAGACGTCTTCGACCCTGGCCAGTTTAACATCGCTGACGACTCCACCGCCACTAACCCGCACTCTTCAGGGAATTTCCCCACAGAGCCACCTCGTCACGCCCGGTGTTTCACCGCGCGTACTAAACCTAAGCCGGGCCTCCTGTCCGGACAAATCCATCGACTCACGCCCAAATCCAGCACCGGGACACGGAGCGAAGATGGGCAATTCTCCCGTCCGCCCGGTGGCCCAGAGGGAGAGCATCTCCGAGACGGCCAGGATTCAAAAGGAACGGAAACGAAGCTGAACCCGGGAGATCTGGGTCTACTCTTTGCTTCTCTTTATTCTGTGCCCTAGCGGTCTCCTCAAGCTAACCCCCTTCTTCTCCTCTGAATAAGAAACAACACGAGCTACGGCGTCGTTCTTATCTGTCTCGACCTCATCTTCATCGCCGAGCCAGCCGTTCAGTCAAACAAAGAATATTATAAAAAAAATATCACAACTCAAATTTCCCTAGAATGCGATCATCGGCCCTCTTAATTACCGCAGCCTCGCTTCTGGGCCCGGCGTCTGCGGCGCTGTCGCTGCGCGGCGCGGATATTTCGTCCTTGATCGTGGAGGAGGACGCTGGTGTGTCATATAAGAATCTAGCTGGCACGACGCAGAAGCTCGAGGTGATCCTGGCAGATGCGGGTATCAATTCAGTGCGGCAGCGCGTCTGGGTGAATCCGACCAACGGCTACTATGATCTCGATTATAATGTGGAGCTGGCAACACGCGTGCAGGCACAGGGCATGACAACCTACCTGGACCTGCATCTCAGTGATACGTGGGCGGACCCGAGTGACCAGGTATGTAACCGCGCGTGCGCTGCTGTTGCCGCCGCTTCCTATATATACATCGCTTCCGCGAGTCATTATGCCCGCTGTGATTCTATAGATCTTTCTAACGGGCTGTGTTAGACGACGCCGTCTGGCTGGTCGACCACAGACCTCGGCACGCTGAAGTGGCAGCTGTACAACTACACGAAAGAGGTCTGCAACACATTTGCGGAAGCCGGATTGACGGTGGACATTGTATCGATCGGCAATGAGATCCGGGCCGGACTGCTGTGGCCGTTGGGCGAGACGAGCAGCTACTACAACATCGGCGAGCTGCTGCACTCCGGGGCGTGGGGCGTGAAGGATTCGGACCTGGCGACGACGCCGAAGATCATGATCCACCTGGACAATGGGTGGTCGTGGTCGGAGCAGGAGTACTTCTACAACACGGTGCTGAACAGCGGGTCGGAATTTGTGTCGTCGGACTTTGACTATATCGGCGTGTCGTATTATCCTTTCTACAGCTCGAGCGCGACGCTGGCCTCGCTGAAGACCAGCTTGACGAACCTGTACTCGACCTACGGCAAGGACCTCGTGGTTGTCGAAACGGACTGGCCGACCTCGTGCCCGAACCCGGCATACACCTTCCCGTCGGATCTGAAGAGCATCCCCTTCTCAGTCGCCGGTCAGCAGACTTTCCTGAAGGACCTGGCCGCGGTGGTGGAGGCTGTCACGGGCGGCTTGGGTATCTACTACTGGGAGCCGGCGTGGGTGGACAACGCGGGCTTGGGCAGTAGCTGTGCGGATAACCTGCTATTCAGCTACTCGAATGACCAAGAGCGGGCGAGTTTGGCGACCCTGGGTACCCTCTAGTTTGTGATTTGTTGGAATGGGCGATTGAGCACGCTGATGCATACAATTGCACTCATTACATAGTGTCAAGTCCTGAATAGTTCGAGCGCACTTTCTACACTATTTCTTTCTTCTCTTTTTTTTTCCCATCAAATGACCGAAGATGTCCCGCTCAATGTGCTTTTTTTTTTTTTTTTCTCGTAGGATGAGGATAGGGGATAAAGTATGTTGGAACTTCCAGAAGTATAGCAGTATAGAGGAAGATCGGCACAAAAGTACCAAAGGACTGCGTGCTATATTGTTCAACCAAAATCATGGATACCGCCCCCACTTTCTGATGGTCCGAGTCAGTTTCTCCATCCCTTCCTCCCTCTCTTGCTTAATCCCGACATAGCGAAGACGGAGTCTAGAATGCGCCCTAAGTTCTCTGACATCTGACGTGACGAGTTGTGGAGGCAGACACGTTGTTGGATTTAAAAATAAGGACTTATTTTTGGAACCCTATTGCTTGACTGCTCCAAGGCGGCTTGGGAAAACTTCTACGTCACATCAGAGCGAGTCTGCCTTGCCCTAACGCTGACCGTCCTCAAACTTGCGGGCGAATCAGCAGCCACCCGCATTCCGAAACCCTCGGTGGTCCGAGTCCCTAGCGATACTCAATCGGGCTTAGACGCGACTGGAAACCGACTGGAAACCGACTAGAGAAATGGAACAGGAGCCTGGTGGCCATGCTGGAGACCAACTGGCAAACCGTGGATGAAACGCAGCTGCGTGGCTGTGCAAACACAAGCTAAATCGCCCACTGGGCTGGGTTTTCCCCCCCTCCCCTGCTCCACTATTGAAGCATTCAAGGTTTCTGCGCTGGCTGCCCGCCTTGTGTTCGGATGTGGGAAACCTTGGACCCTGTAGACTGGTCGGGCCTCAATGTCTGACGGTCTCGATATCTCGATATGCTGACTTGGACGAGCAGCGAATTGCAACAGGGCAGCTCTAAGAAAAAAAAAAAGAGGGTCCGATCTGTTTATCAGGAGTGGACACGGCGAATGCAATGGGGGGGGGGAAGAGTATACTAGTACCTCCAGTCAGCCCGGGTTCATTCTGCATGCTCCATACGGTGAGACTCCCCCAGGGGGGCAGAGTCTCGAGGTTCTGGTGGGCCATCAGCACGAAGAACAGCCTTAGGGCCTAAACCACCCGAACTCGAACCCAAAAGCCCCCCGAGACGACGTCCGATCCCAGCAGTGCTCAATCAGGAAACCGCACCTGAGATTCCTGCCCCAGACCGCCTTGCGCACGTGAAGTGGCCGAGTCCTCGTCTGGTCGTCAACTTCGCATCTGGAACCCTACTCGCCTTCAACCTCCCGATGATGAGAGTCCTCGTCAACCGTGAATGAATGTTGCGCGTTGGTCGCTCTTGCTTGTCTTCGACTGACATCGTGCTCCCTTTGAGTCTTCCTCTCCGCTGTGGGCTCATTGCCGCCAATCCACCCTAGTCTCGCTCTGACCACAACTTTCGCGCTTGCGGCACACCTACACCCAGAACCCAACGATCCAACAGTTGGGTGTCACCGTTTGCCCTCCTCTATTCTCTATAACCTCTTTCCTGCCAACGCTGCCAACGCTGCCAACGCTGCCAACGATTCTCCTCTCTTCTCCCCCTGCCCCACTGGACACATCTCTTTTCCCTTTCCACAGCCTCTCATGGCGTCCCACGATCATACTCACGCGGGTACCACCCCCGCGGAACTCAAGCATCGCAGCGTGAGCCCATCTCCCCACGTTCAACAACAATACCACAATCCTACCCCGGGCCTGGGCTTGGATCCTTCCATGTCGACCGCATTCGCCTCGAATCCCTCCTTCAACAACCAGAATCCGGATGCGAATGTCGCCGGCACCGACTCCTATGGCTACTCGGCCACATACCTTTCTGCAGCCCCGCCAGCACAGAGCCTCGCGCCCCCATCTGAGCCCTTCCCGCCCACCATCAATACCAACAACCTCGCAATGTCGCAGTCATTCAACCCCGCCCTGGTCAATCAGCTCGACCCAGGATCCTCAGGTCTGCAACCTCCGCATGGAAATGAGAATTTCTCCAATCTCTTGAATTCCAACGCGGGAGGGGAGCTGGACTTTTCGGCCTATTCCAACCACAGCCCCAACAGCACCAGCGCATCCGATTATGACTCGTCACTCCTGTTGGATCCCCAAATGCACCAGCGCCCGCAGCCCATGCACCAGGCAGTGAACCCAGCCGATCTCGTCAGCCCGGTCTCCAACCACTCCGCATCATCACGCCCATCGTCGCAGGACCCCCACCAGTCTTCACCGGGGCCCATGTCCCCCCCCGGGTCTACCCCGGGTACCTATTATACCCCGCAGCATTCTCGACACACCTCGCTGGACCCGGGCATGGCCGCTTATCTGAGTGCGCAATCAAACCAAGACTGGGGGTCGATGATGAACAATTCCGCATTCCAGAATCACCGCCGAGCGCCGTCAGAGGTGTCCGAAGCATCCAATCACTCGCCATATCTATCTCAGCACGAGTATGATGGCATTGAGAACAATGCTTCGCCATCGCTCGCCCCGCAGAATGACCCTGCGCTATATGACAATGCCCTCGGCATGGAACAATTCACGCTCTCTGAGCAGCAGCAGCAGCAACAAGGTTACAGCCCGCTCCACAGTCCATATATTTCCCCGCGATTGATGCCTCAGCAAGGGGTCGAGATGGTTCCCAACGCGCAATATCTCACTTCGAGTGTCAATAGCCAATTCCCTGCTGCGCCGACCGATATGTATGGAATGCCCGCAGATGACATGGTTGCCATGAATAGCGGTGCTGCAGACATTGGACAAGCATCTCAGATGGCACCCCCTTCCATCAACGTCGAGTTCGCTCCGCCGTCACGAAACCCGAGTTTTGGTCCTTCCAAGCCCGCTACTGACTTGGATTCCCTGAGTCCCCCCGCTATGAGTGAGTTTGTCAAACAGACTTAATCCTCTTGGTTTTTGCGACAATACTAACTAGAGATATAGGGTCTCGCGTGCGCAGTAAGTCTGATCCTTATGCACACCCTGCTTCACGCTCGAGATCGCAAGCGACTTCATCTACAAGCCTCGAGGCTCTTGCCCCGACATCTCCTCGGTCTTTGTCACCCCCACTCGCGTAGCAACCCCAGCTCCCGTGATCCATCACCGTCAAGATCCAACCGCCGCCTATCAACGTCATCTATCGATAGTCGCAACTATATCTTGGATTTGGCGGATCCTCAACGCCCCGGCGCAGTCCCTGGAGACTCGAAGCGTGTGCAAAAGCACCCTGCCACTTTCCAGTGCAACCTCTGCCCCAAACGATTTACTCGCGCCTACAACTTGCGCTCGCATCTCCGCACCCACACAGACGAACGCCCGTTCGTCTGCACTGTCTGCGGTAAAGCATTTGCCCGACAGCATGATCGGAAGCGTCACGAGGGTCTTCACTCCGGCGAAAAGAAGTTCGTTTGTCGGGGTGACTTGTCCCAAGGGGGGCACTGGGGTTGCGGCCGTCGCTTTGCCCGTGCAGACGCCCTCGGTCGACACTTCAGATCTGAAGCGGGTCGGGTGTGTATCAAGCCCCTTCTCGACGAAGAATCTCAAGAGCGCGAGCGTCTCCTACTCCAGCAGCAACAGCAGCAACATCAGCAACAGCCGACTGGACACCTCCAGCCCGTTCCGCAGCCGCTGGTTATGCCCGGTGTTCCAGGTATGGACGGTCAATCTTCTGGCAATTTTGTCCTACCAGCCGCGCTTCTCGCGCAATACCCTGCGCTACAGAATCTCCAATGGGATCAGATTGCTGCCGGTGCCGATGATCCCAGCGACATCGGTGGCCGGAGCAGCTTCGATGCCAGCTCAGGCGGTGAGTTCGGGTTTGACGAAGACGAGTCGGGCATCAGCAGTGTGTCAGGCATGAGTGGAGGCTACACGAACAACCAGGGTGCCATGTACGGCGTCAATAACCAGGGTCAATTGCTTGGCGTTAACCCCGGTGATCCTGGATACCCGGACCAACAAAATTGGAGTTGATGACGAATCTCTGCACTCGTTTATACCTCGTTTATACTCCCCCCCCTCTTCTCCAACCCCCCACCCAATCTCATCTTTTTGAATAGATGGGAAAAGCAACGGGCCTTATTGGGAGGCTCGGCCTTTGTCTGGGCTTTTTTTGGAGGCTTTAAATTTTTTTTCTTTCATCTTTTCCCTTTTCCCTATTCTTATATCCCCCTTTCTTCTTTTCTTCTTCTTTTTCTTCTTCGTCTTCTTTCTATTTTCCTTTCCTACCTTATGCCTTTATAGAGCTTCTGGCGTTCAGATATATGGTGGGAGAATTTATGTGATCGACTGGTTATTTGCCGAGGCCGGCAAATATGATTTTGGATTGATGTTCTTCGTTTTGATATCTATAAACTGGCATTCGTTTGGTTGTCAGTTTTGGTTGATTTTATACCATTTTGACTTTTGACACCTAGGTCTCCTGCACCTATTTTCTCACCCCTTGGCTTTCTTTTTGGTGCTTCTTTTTGGTTTTCGCTTCTTCTTTTCCCCCTTGCCATTTGTTTCTCCTTCGGCAGGAGTTTGCCATTGTGATGATGCATTTGATGATTCTCTTTGCCCCTCTACCATACCCGTCTGCTATTTTTTCCCTCGAGTTTTGATGATTTTGTTCAATTCTGGATATATCCCTGACTAGGAGTTTCTACATACCGTGCTATTACTGCATCATGAACAATTTGCAATCGACATCGGATGTCTACCGTTTTCCTCATCTGTTTTCTCTCTCTCTCTACGAGCGCTACACAAAACTAGAGATGCATATCATAGAAAGAAGGGTTCCAGTCCATAAGGGCTTTGTAGCATCATGTGATCTAATATACGAATACTATTCCTCCAAAGACTATGATCTAGAACCTCAAGACTCGGGCATGCTTCACGACCTTGTAAGCAGGCTCCAACAACGGTACCAACATGTCAAATTTAACGAGTGATGCAAGTATTCATCTATACCAGAAGAAACCAAGTGAGGAGAAAAAAGGGGGAATGAATGCAAAAACAAAAAATGGGAAATGTGTACGGCAAGCCTACCGCGATGCCCGGACCAACTTCTGCACCTGGTCCAGCCACTTGCGCGAGAACTCCTCCTCGGTGAACCGGCGCGCGGACCGGCGCGCCCGCTGCCTCATGGCGACCTTCTCCGGCTCCGGCAACGCCAGCGCGGCCTCAAACGCCGCGGCGAACTGCTCCTCCGTCTCGGCGCGGAACCCAGTCGCACCATCGCCGAGATCAACGACGATGTCCTCACGCGGGCCGCCGGAGTCGTGCGTCACGCAGATTAGGCCGGCGGCCTGGTACTCGACGACGCAGATACCGAAGTGCTCGTTCCACATGGCGTTTACGCCGACGGACGCGGAGCCCAGGTGCGACAGCACGGTGGGCCAGCTTGCGTCGCAAAGGAAGGTGGTGTGGTCGCGGATGCGTAGCTCGTGCGCCAGTAGACGCAGATTGTAGATGTGGGTTTCGTCCGGGCTGGAGTGGCGGACGGAGCCGATCAGCACGAGACGCGGGGACGGGAGATTCGCGGAGGCTGGATTGCGGGCACGCTCCTGCAGGAAGCGGGCGAAGGAGCGGAGGACGAGCGGGTGGTTCTTTTCTGGGCGGAACTGGGCGATGTATAGCAGGGTGGGCTCGCGGGCTTGTTCGCTGGCTTCGTCAACGGCGATGGTCGATTCGAGCTCGGAGACAGCCGTGGGCGGGAAGACGACAGCTGGGGAAGACGGGGTCCCGCTGCCATTGCTGGTGGTGGTGATGATGGAGGAGGAGTTGCTGCTGATGCTTTTGCGGGTGCCCCAGAGCTGGCGGATATGTGCTGCTGTCCAGGACGAGTTGCACATCACAACGTCTACGTGGCGACCCACCCAGCCGTACAGCTGAGCGAACAGTTGCCAGTAGTATCGCTTGATGTTTCCCTTTAAGCCTTTCCCAGCGCCTGAGTTCATGCCCTTCACACCGGTTTGGTCGTTGAGAGAGTCGAGCATATCTGTCGAGATGGTCGGGTAATGGACATAGGCTCCGGTGGGCACCGTGGGGAAGAGCCATTTACACATCGCCAGAGTAAATGCATAGCCCATGGTATCGATGAACACGTCTGGCACAAGCAGCGTAAAAGCATCGTATGCAACAATCAGGGACCCAAGCGACTGGCCCAGCAGTGTCATGTAAGGATAGGAGCTGCTAACAACATACTTGCGAGTTGTCAAGTAAAGCAGGACCACCGTCGGAGCATGTAAATGGATGTTGAATCGGTTTTCCACCCGCTCGAGCATGGTCGCCTTGTTCACCTCATGGTCACCCGTATATATGGCGCAAATGGCCTTTGGCCAGCGCTTCTGTGTCGCGCGCACTGCTTCCCAGAGTACACGTTCCCCGCCACCGCCGGCATTACTATAATGAAAATAGTCAGCATTTCCCAAACAAAACAATACCAATAAAAAGCAAATAGACAGGAGGCAGTGTCGTACCAAAATGGATGGAAGAACCCAATAACCCCATCCCACTCATCTGAGCTCGCACCACTGTCATTGCTGGTGCTGGTGCTGGAGGTTTTAGCTCCACTGGGAGCTGAGCTGTCGACCTTCTCCCAGTCCTCGTCCTCGCCCTGGCTCCGGGCCAGCGAATGAGACGACGTCTTTTGGCGCAAAGCGCGAGCCTGTTCATCTTCCTCTGATCGCGCCCGCGCGATCACGTATTCCCGCCGAGACCGTGTCCGTCGGCGAATCAGCCAGCCCACGCCACGAAAGACCAGCCCGAGGACGGCCCCCGCAAGCTGCGGGAGTAGAATGGCGGTCGCGGCAAGGATCAAAAGCGCAATGATGGCGGTGGTCAGGAAGGCCATGGTTGCGGTGAGCGTGGGGTCCTAAATGCCGCGCATAGTAGGAAGGATGAGGGGAAGGAGAGAAATCGATATAAAGTTCAAGAAGTCAACAAAATGTCCCTGTTCTCGTCTCAGGTTCAGATCAGTTGACGTGTTGCATGTGGAGGGCGTAACTTACATACGCGTCACATGATGGGGGGGGAAAGATTTCCCCCCGACGCTTTTCTCCGCTCGGAGGTCTTGCGATTGACCTTCTTCCCTGCCGCCATTGTCACGCTGGAACCTCACCGGTCCCTGCTGGCGATGAATTTCATTCGTTATTCGCGGGCCTTGCGAGCTCCCCGAAGAGCCCTGCCGCTGGCGGCACGCTCGCAGGTGCGACACTTCCACCCGACCAAACCGGCCCAGCTTATCAACGAAGCATTGGATGCCTCCGCAGGCCTCATTCACGGCGTTCACTCGATAACATACCTCCCATGGGTCGCCTCAATCCCACTTACAGCTCTCCTGGTGCGAATGTTCGTTGGCCTGCCTACACAACTATTTACCAAAATTCACACCCGACGAGAAAGAGATATGGGACCGCTGGTACAGTCATGGGCACACTTTCATAATTCGATGTCCCAGCGCGGAAACCACAATTTCGCCACGGCGATCAATGCCAGACAAGACGCGGCACGCAAGACAACGGCGGTTGTGGAGAGACTACGGAAACAGCGGGGTGTGTGGAAGATCGCACGCTTTACTCCAATTCTTCAGCTACCAGTATTCATTTCGCTCATGGAGAGTCTTCGAGGAATGTGCGGAAACACCAGTGGCCTTGTCCCATGGCTTCTGTCCTTGATTGAGCCGACTCAAGAATCTCTTGACACCGCAATCAAGGCCCTCCACCTCACCGTGGAACCAACCCTGGCGAACGAGGGCGCACTATGGTTCCCCGATCTCTTAGCGGGTGACCCTACGGGAGTCCTGCCGGCTCTTGTGGCGGCTTCAATCATATTAAACGTGCGAACTGGATGGAAAACAACGTCAAGGGAGGAATTACTCGACATGCCGAAGCTTGACATGTACCGGTCTATTACCTTCAACGGTTTGCGCGTGTTCATCCAGGTTCTGGCGTTGAACGTTGGTCTTTCGGGCTGGTACTATGAAATGCCAGCGGCGCTCATGATCTACTGGATCAGTAGTACCAACATCGCCACGTTGCAGAGTTGGATTTTGGAGAAGAAGATGTCCTCACGCTCGGCTTCTCCCACATTCTCGAAGCGCTACGTCAGCTTTGAGAAGCCCGGTGTCTCGGATCCTTTTTTTACCAAGTTACGCTGAGTAGCTACATACGTATGTTGTGACTTGGCAATCAAGTCCGATGAGCTCGTCTCTTCAATTCCAACTGTCTTCTCCCTCCACCGAGCTGCAATTGGCTCCGACAGAAAATGGAATCATGACCAATAGACGTTATCATGAAATGGCGGGCTCGGTTTTGTGCGCTATCTATTTCTGAACTGAGGAAGCCTTGACTGGCTCTTCGATGACCCGACTAACACTTCGAGGTCTTGTAGGCGGATGCCTTTGAGGATCCACCGCCACTAGGAGTTCCGGCAAGTCCTGACCCGCAGTGTCGACTCTGATCTCTATATTTGGACCAACCAAAGGCATTGTCTCTCGAGGACCTACTTTGCTCACCAAGCAATCAGGTCCGCAGATATGTAACATAGAAATTTGTATGAATACTATTGATGATGGATATCAATCAAAGCTCGAAGAGAGAAAAAAGTAATAACATTTATGAGCAAACATTCCTTGTCTTCCCATCTTACAGTAGGCTTTCGTATCTATGTCTTGGGACACTTGAAATGCGTCTCGTATATAGCTTCTTGAGGCCTTAAATGAACAAGCCGTGGAGAGCTCAGAAAGTTCACATTATCTTAATTACATAATAATTAGATAGGTAAGGATCTGTACAGAGTAGGATATCCAGATAAAACCAGATGAGGAACATTAGCCATGTTACAGGGCACGTGAAATTCAAGAAAGCTTTGTGAAAGCAGGATATAGAGGGATCTAGTTGACCGGAAATGGTCGATTCGTGTGAGCTAGTGCCAGTGATCGCCTTCGCCAGAAAAACGGCAGTCTGTTAGGGTATGACGGGGAGAGTAAAAAAGATTTTACAATTTCGCCTTAGGAGGCTCTTCCGAAGCACTGGCTTCCTGGTTGACCTCCACGGTTCCCGTACGTGAGTCCGGGCCTTGGCCGAAGAAAATAACCTCAACAGTTACGTCGTCGCTAGAGGTGCTATTAGAATGTAATTTAAAAGGGGGTGCAAGGGGATAGACATACCGATAGCGGCGAGAGTACGGGCTGGGTAGTGTCAACAACGCACAAACCATATCCTTATCTTTGCCTCCCATAGCGTTGCGCACGAGATGCGTTGCCGCATTCTTATCCTCGACAACAAATCGGTCTGCAGCACCAGAGATATCGTACTGTTGCTGGCGGATGGGACGGCGTTGGCCTTCGGTAGATTCTACCTTCGCTGGCTCCACAGGCAATTGCTTTTGACCGTCAAATCCGAACCAGCTCTGCAACCAGGCTTTGTTAGAGCCACCTCTGCCAGACTGCTGCTGCTCCAGCCACTGTCCAACCAGCCCCACAACTTCCTCATTGCTCAACATTTCCCAAAGACCGTCAGTAGCCATGACTATAAAGTCTCCCTTGGAGGGGTCGATTTTGGTGGTGGTGATGATTGGCTCCGCGGTGACGTAAGGGGGTGTCTTCAAGAGGGGGTGAGGAGTGCGGCCAAAGAACTGTTGCTTGATCTTATCCTGAACTTCTCGGCTCCATTTATAGAATGCATCACCAAAGGCCCGGCTGGGCTCCAGACCGCCCAGAATACGGCCATTTCGGGTAACATAGGGCTCCCCAGGATGCTCTGCACGTAATCTCTCCATTTCTGAAGGTGTGCCACCAGTCAAGTCTTCAGATAGTGCTGTGGCAGTCCATTTTCCATTGGGACCTCGACGGCCAAGGACTGCACGAGAGTCACCGGCAACCGCAACCTTGAGATCTTTAGATTGAGAGTCATAAAAGCTCAGAAGAGCACATGAGCCAGAGAGGGCTGGTGCAAGGAGCTCAGCTGCCATACGGCGCGACTTGGACTTGAGGACTTTGTCGACACTCTCATGCACAATATCGTGATCAAGACGAACAAACCCCTGCTTAATAGCGGCATCAATGGCCTCGGATGATGGCACTAATGCTGATGGATCAGCAGCAGCAGCTTTGTAAGTGGCGTTTAATTCCCGCGCAACGTAGGAAATAAGAACATTCCGTAATTTGGCAGATGTCGTCCAGCCCCTGCTTTGCGATTAGTGCAAATTACTGACGTTGTGGTTCAAAAACTACTAACGAATGGCCATCAAAGACTGCCCAGAACATCCAATCACTACTGGCATCTCCATTTGTATTGGCTGCCACGGATGATGGAACCTCGACGATCTTCTCCGCGTGGTCGTCCTCAATGGGCGAATTACTTGGAACCTGAACAATATCATACCGAACCACCCCCTTCCCACGGTTTACCAGGTATGACTCCTCATTCTTCCGGAGCTTCTCGGTGGCTTGTTCAGGGGTCAACATATTCAGAACGCGTCGGTCCGAGTCGTCGGTATTCTTCGAGAGTGGTTGGTCTCCGGATAGTGTGGCGGTATAAAATTGATCGTTGCTCACTAATAGAGCTCGACGGGCCGACTCGGATGGATTTTCGGCGTGAGCGAATGTAATTGCACTCGAGGCGAACCCTCGAACTTGAGTTACTAATGACTGGGTGCTGCCGTCGCCTTGATAAGCATACCATGCCCCGGAAGCAACAACGGTCGAAATGACGGCGAGGGAGAAGTTGCGGAAATACATGGAGGACTGGAGAGCAGCTGGAACGAAAAAAGGGCGTCGGCTGCCCGAATATGAGCGCAAGCCTCGGACCGAAATGTGAGAGAAGGACAGCGGGCACGGGCGTTTAGCGGCGACTTTCCATACTGGTGCACGCCGAGCAGTACGGAACGCCTGGACAGTCGCCGGACGCATTGATTCTGCAGAATATCAAAGAGCCACTTATTCTCCAGCGAAGCTCGATGTAATTTTGAACTGCCTTCAAGGCGGCTCTCGATCTTCAAGGCGATGGATCAAAGGGACGGTTGCAAGGCGCGGCCGCGCGACTTGCTGTCAGATAAGAGATCACGTGTTAGACTACAGATCAGGTACGACACTAGTCCCGATTGGGAGCCCTGTCGTCATTCCCCGCGGAATCTTTTGTGGTTTTGCGCTTCACTTGCTGTCATCTCAGAGCTCATTCATTCGCTCTCTGCGCCGTGGGTGAGTGGTCGTCATGTCATCTCGTGCGATCCGGAAGCTTCAAAAGCTGCGCGAGCAGGAGCTGCTGCAGGAACAAGAGCAGCAAGATGAGTCAAGCGACGAGGAACCCCCACGCCCCACCAAGCCCAAGTTTAACGCTTTCGATCTGCTGAACGCTGACGATGATGATGACGATGAATCCGAAGACGATACCCAGGAAGCTGTGGTTCAACTCCCTCAACCCGACCCAGCGCCCATAGAGCCAAAGAACGCTAGCAAGAAAAAGAAGAAGAAGAAGAAGGCCAAGGCGACAGCCTCTGCTGAACCAGGTCGGGGTCAAGCAGACGATGCAGAACTTGACGAGATTGACCAAGCTTTGAAGGACCTTTCTACTGACGGACAACCGTTGGCTAAGACTGGATTGGCGCCAACCAGTGGTGATACTTCTGGTGCCTCGTTTGCTAGAACCAGGGACGAATTGCTGGCTATCGAACCCAAGTTTCTGAACGCTACGAATGAGATGAGACGACTTTTTGGAAATGTGGTCTTGGAAAACTTTGACCAACCCGCAGATTCAGGAACAGGTCGTCGGCGAGATCGAAACCAAGAGATGGTCGATCTTGGTCGCGCCTTAACGGGGAGATATAGCCCGGCCAGCCGTGGCCAAAGCCTAGCCGGTGTCACATTACGACGGAACACCTTGATGCAAGGCAAGGATGAGTGGCCACGATCTCCGAGTGGAGGTCTGGGTATGGAAATGGTTGAGAAATTGTCTTCAGGCGATATATTATATCGTATTGTCCACAATGCAGCCTATGAAGACGTTCAGAGACAATTCGAGCTTTGCGTTGAATCAATGGATCCTCAACGTCTTATCCATCATCTCCAATATAATCCATATCACATCTCCACTCTTCTTCAGGTCTCTGAGATTGCAAAGCATCAGGGTGATCACGCCGTTTCGGCAGACCTCTTGGAGAGGGCTTTATTTAATATCGGACGCTCTGCGCACTCTTCCTTTAACAGTCGTTTGAAGGAAGGCCAGGCAAGACTGGACTTTTTGCAAATGGCAAATCGAGAGTTGTGGCTTGTTGGGTGGAGGTATATCGCAAACTTGGGAATGAAAGGGACTTGGAGGACTGCCTACGAATGGGCCAAGCTGTTGTTAAGCTTGAATGACTCCGATCCCTACTGCATTAAGTTGCTGATAGACCACCTAGCTCTGCGAGGCAGAGAGTACTCCCATTTCGTTGATCTTTGTACTCAAACGCGATTCAGTCGCGATTGGGACAATTTACCCAACATCCAATGCTCGTTAGTCATGGCCTATCTCAGGCTGAACAAGCCTAAGGAGTGTCGCCAGCAGCTTCAGCGTGCCATGTCTCGCTACCCTTGGATATTCAATAGGCTAGCACAGGAACTGGACCTACACCACATTCCCAAGCAAATTTGGGGCAAGATGCCCCCGGCGGGTTCCCATGAACTCCTTACTGAGCTCTACATTTCTCGTGCGAAGGACCTCTGGAATACACCTGAGACTGTTTCTCTCATCGTTGAAGTTGCAGATACTCTTCCTGATGAACCGGAGCCCATTGATCCTCCCGATATCACTTTGGATATTGCTCGTCATGTGGTTTTATCCGATATCCCGAAAGTAACAACTCATCTTCCCAACCGCTTTGTGTCTGGACGAATGTCCGCTTCAGACCCTCTGCCGCCGTACGAGTCCGAGGCTTTTCGGCAGCAGACTGATCCAACACCATCGTACCTGCAACAGCTTCCAGAAGGCAGAAGACCCCAGTGGCTTCGGGACCTTCTTGACCAGTTGAACAACGGTGGTCTCCATTTCCCCGGATTTCAAGGGGGTGATGGCGGCGATGGAGGTGCAGATGGCGAGAACATGTCAGAAGATAGCCCCGATGAAGCTCAGCCCAGCGGTCGAGCGCGTGCCCTAGCCGGTGATCAGCAGGTCCTCGAGCAATGGCTTCTCTCAGATGGATTGGAGTCTCTGCAACTATTCCTGCACGAGTACGGTGTTGATCGAGGCAATTGGGGAGATGTGGTGGACTACGCTCCTTTGACAGACTACCTTGAGGCCCTTCAGGAGATTCAACCTGAGACGTCTCGACAAAGGTTACTGCGCGGGCCGATACAGGAGATTATTGGTGACTTCGCGGTGTCTATGTTGGAAGACGAGCTAGAGATGATGCAGGAAGAAATTGCGTCTGAAAATAGTGCTTGAAATTGGGTCTAGCTTAGGCCATCAGCCAGTTTGAGACAGCACAAATTCATACAAACACATAACCCTTGAAAGCGCTCTATAGAAACTTTTGAAATTGCATGCCAACATCCCATTGGAGTCTTTGAAGGATAAAGGTTTGAGATGAGCAGTAGATAAATACAAAGAGCGCTGAATCTCGGGCGTTGTCATACCCTGAGGTTATGAGCACCCTTCGCGTATCTTTTTCTATCTGATAAAGTTATGTCCCTTCTATTAATTTCAGCTTCATTCAGCTTAGAGCTTGTCCTGGAATCCAACCAATTTTGTTTTGCTCTACTCAATGAATGATAAGAGACATCGCGATGGCTTCCTTTTGACAATAATGATTGCCCAAGTCCTCTAATTTTTTGATCAGGCTAAAAAAGCTCTGTCATGCCGACGTTAATTATAAATACAGATAAATGGACTCCTTACGGCTTTTGAGCCTTGCGGGGCAGTGATCCTAACTGCGAATGTTTCACCAAAGTAACTCCGGCGGGGTGTTGATCTCTTCCAATTCTAGCATAGCATACTCTTGTTTGGAAAGTGACTCTAGAAAGTATAGTTTTTATTTTTTGAGCCCTATAAAGACTTATTGCTTTGTTGACTTCCATCGAGCCTTTAAGAGATAAGTTCACATCCTTTACTTGGGTTTATAGTAGGGTAATACGAGGGCCTATTTTCAGTGCAGCTGATTTATTTCTTCTATTTACCGCCTCTCTGATGTTACTAACCAATTTTAACAATATCTATAGGGAGAATATCATTGTGAGAAATATCAGCAGTATTTATCTGGTGCCGAGGGATATAAACTGCTATCGATGATTGAGAGGCAGCCGAAGTGCATCTTATATACCGGAAATAGAGCTTTATATTAGATCAATAGTTGGCTGGCAAGCGCTGAGAATATTTTAGACCCATAGTCTTGCAAAAGGTGTCTTAGTCTTACTTTGGTTGGTCGGTCGAGGCCAATCTGGAATTTTGATGTGGTATGCCATGTTAGTCTCAAAATTTACCACCAAATATGAATCGCCAATCTCAACTAGCTGGATATCATGATGTTATAAAATCAACCTACATGGTGCCGTTCACTACCTGCATAATTTCTTTTCGGGTCTGCCAAAATATTGAAACATCACAGTCGTCAGTCGTGGGGCTTAATTAGTTTACCCAGATGTTGCGGGGCACCCCATTAGTGGATGATCTTTAAGATCGTCGGTTTCATTGCAGCTCGGATAATTTTTACTGTGCATACTGGCTCTTTGTTATCGGCTAATATATTAAAACAAATGCAGATCTTTGGGAAGAGGATAAAATATGCGGCCAACTGAGACATCCTGCTACTCCGTACAAGTTATAAATTCACTCCTTACCCCCCTAGAGCAAAATAAAAGAACCGTTCCACAATTCATGATTTTCTCCATTACATTAAGAAGAAATCAAACATGTATTCTCCATCACTTTTTCTTATTGTTCTTCCATGCACGGCATTGGCCGTGTCAGGACACGGAGTGAAACTTGCGAAACGCGATACCACTCTCATTCCAACCACTTGTTTCGATTCAACATCCTCCCTAACCGATTACTTTAATTATAACTATCCTTGGGGTGATACACACAATGGGGCTGCTATTATGAAGAGTTCAAATGCCGTGATCTCGACTGCCGGGACCTTGACGTTGAACGCCACCTACACGGGTGCATCCGACTACGCATACGACTCTGGGACTGTTTATGCAAAGCAAAGTTTTACAGTTGAGGCATCTGGTGGCCTGGACTTCACAGCAGATTTTATCGCCCCGGTAGATCAGGGCACATGGCCTGCTTTTTGGCTGAACGGGGTAAATTCATGGCCCCCTGAAGTCGACATTGCCGAGTGGAAAGGGACGGGAGACATTAGTTTTAACACTTTCAATACCTCAAGTGAAGTGGAAGCTGAGGATGTTGACTATCCGAATCCAACCGAGTTCCATACTGTCCTGGCCGAGCTGCGAGATGAGAACGGCAGCGATGTCAGCATCAAGTTCTACCTAGATGGCTCCCTCATTACTACTCAATATGCCTCGGGTCTTGTTGGGCAGCCTTTAAATTTGATCATTGATCTACAGATGGAGGGCAGCAGTGGTAGTCCCGGTCCAACTGGAAGTAAGTGAATTGATGCTGTTCTTTTCTCCTTAAGAAACAGCGATTTACTAATTTAATTCTTTACAGCAACACTCTTTCAAATCAAAAATCTGCAGATTACAAGCCAGAATCCCTAGAATGGGTCTTACTCAGAGAGGTTTAGATACATTGTAGAAATCTAGCCTGATACCTAGCAGTCCCTCCTTTCTAGGCTCTCCTATATTTTCAAATTAGTAATACTTCGTAAGGGCGATTATTTTTCCTAATTATCATCCCCAAATGGTCACTGTTATGATACAAGGCGGGCACACATCAGGATCCAACCCGCATTGTTGGAACCAATCTTCAAGGTACGTTTTATTTCCACCCTAAAATGCTTACATCCCTAATTATCAAAATAAACCAATATTACACCAAGGCAGCATTGAGAATTATAGTGTATCTTTAATATGCAAAAAATAGTCTTTGAAACGCTAGCAAATTTGGAAGCTCCCATTCGACAAATACGTCAAATTTTTCGTGAGGTGGGTATAGGAGGGAGGAGGCTCTCAGTACTCTAATATCAGTGTAGGCATCCATCACATATGGCAAAGTTAGGCATTGTGGGGCAAACCCAACAGACCTTCCTTGGGAGTCGCTAGCGCCGGACAACCGGGCGTAAGATCGGAATGAGAGCGCAAAAGGCGAACATATCCGGCTTGGCAGGGCAATCAACGACCACGCCAACTCAAAAGGTATTTCGCTTAGGAGGTCCAAAATGAGGCTTAGGTCGGCTTGTCCCGCCAGAATGGATATCTGGTATCCTATATAATGGTACGTGAAGATAAGACGCATATGCGGCCAAATCGACACCCCTAACTCCTATCTATCACGCGTCTTTATGGCTAAGAGCTCGAGGAACGACCAACCCGAAGAAAGCATCATTGTTGCGGCTGAACAGGGCCGACTGGATCTTGTTACAAACCTCTTAGAGAGCGGTGCTGACCCAAATACCGTGGACGATATTGGAACTTCGGCTCTTCATAATGCAGCAAAAGAAGGTCATTGGCATATTGCCCGCTTGCTTCTCGAGAAGAATGCTTCACCTCGCATCCTGGATGGCCACAACGTAACGCCACTCCATCGGGCTATAAAAGCAGGTCACACACAGATCGTTCGTTTGATCCTTGACTGCGATCCTACTATATGCGAATCGGTTGTCGACCCAACTAAACTCCTTTGCATCGCAGCAAACTGTGGATACTCTGAAATCACTCAGATCCTTCTGGCTTATAATATCCCCTCTCTAGACAAATCTCCAGGAATCACAGCGCTGCATTGTGCGGCTAAATGTGGGCATAGTGATGTCTGCGATCTCCTCCTAAGGCACGACAAGTCTCTAAATCGATCGTTATGGGACTGAATCACTGGGCCCAGTCTAGAAGTTGACACAAAAGATTACACTGGAGCAACACCTTTCCTTTACGCCTTCGAGAAGAGACATCATCGGACCGTGGAAGTGTTTTTACGGCATTATCCAGATCTAACCAAGGCATATGATCAACACAAGGTACTGCTCTTCCACGAAGCGGTTAGGACTCTAAATATTGAGATGACCAGAATATTTTTGGACAATGGCGCGGATATCGAAATGGAAAACCGCAAGGGAAGCAGACCCCTACACGTGGTAGTCACTGCCAGCCTTAATTATTCTCATTATTCAGAAAATTATTTGAATGAGATTATCGAGATGATTCAGTTCTTACTGGCGCGTGGTGCTGCGGTCGATGTCAAGGACAAGGATGGCTACACTCCTGAATTTCATGCTCGAGATCCGAAGATCAGAATGTTATTGCGCAACCATGAAGCGTCAGGAGGCGATCGAAAGCTAACATTACCGCAAACATCAGCTCCGCCGCCTGAATATAAGGAGTGATTTAGTCAAATACAAGAGAAAACACGATCTCTAAAACAAAGCCAATACTTAAACAATGTCGTGGCTATCGTTCTCTGCAGGATAACTGATATTTGGTGAAGTAATAAATAGCCGTATTTCACCGTTTCTTCAACGCACAAATCTTCCAAAATTTCACCAAGTAGCTACCAAAATATCTAGTACATATGTAAATTACCCATACAGAGTAGGACAGGACACCAGATCCTGGCTAAAGAATACGTACATGCATATTATCTGAAATAAATCTGTATTGCCGAAAGAAATCTTCATCAACTCGTCTGACCCGTTTACTTTGATTGTCGTTTTTATGAGCATTTCACAACTAAGCCCAGATCTTGAACCCTGCGAGCAAGATGTTTAGCATCATAATCACACCAGGGAAGCTTCCAAAGGACCCTTTGCTAGCGCTCTTTCACATTTCGCTAATACACTACAAGCAGCTAGACGATATATCTCTAAGGGCTGTCTAGACACGGTACGGAAGTTCGATACCTCGCTCTTCGGGGCCGTTAGTGCTTCAGGTACATCGAACTCATAAGTTCTCTACCTGCTAAGATGTTAATTAAATTACCTACTTACATAATTTTCGCGGAAAACTAGCTATACTAGTTGAAACAAGAAACAAATTTAAGGTTAAGTGCATTAATCTAAAGCTAATAGGATGGGTTCGCTAGAACAATACAACGATATTGACGATGTTCTTTTGTATTTCGCCAGGTTTTGAAACATCGACAAGGTTGGCTCAATCCTTGACATTCTCCTTCAGTTTCCCGCAGGATCTATCTATTGATTTGTATTGCTTCGCGTTGTGATCTAAAGATATACCAGGGAAAATATTCTGCGATTTCTCAAGTCGACCAAGGGTTGTAGTAGCCAGTAAAGAAGCAATATCTGTCGTGCCGTTTGCGGCTAGGACGGAAATCTCGTCCCGATCGCGAAGGACCTTGTCGATTTCTGCTGCTTTGCCAGAGACGTACAAGATGCGGGCGATCGTTGCGTGGATCTTTAGTAGCTCAGGGTCTGGAAGGGCATAGCGAGGATCATGCTGATAGAAAATAACGCTAGTCTGCTCGAGACGGGAAAGAAAATTTGGCCTATAGCGTTTAATTCGGTACGAGTGTTCAATGTCCGTGGCCTCGAGTGCAAACAAGAAATTTCCGAATTTCTTGTGTAGGTCTGCGCACATTGTGATCGCATTGCGGTGGTCATTAATTGACTGATAGTCAAATGCGATCCTCTGTTTCAGAGAAGGGAAGCAACGATTTAACATCACCCAGATAACGGCTTTGTCATGAGCTTCCTGGTCATCCTTCCATGATCCGAGAGAAAGTGGAATAATATGTGCGCATTCAGTGTTCTCAGCCCGAGTTGTAAGGTCGTCACGATCTACGGTACTCTGTTCCCTGAAGCCCGTGATCACACATTTGTTTCCATCCCGCAGGAGACACTCCCTCTTTAGGTATGCTTGGCGATTAGAGGAATCTGTCATTTTCGCCAAAATGTTCTCGATCGATTCTTCCATGCCAGGACGAGGTGAAATACTGATATCCGGCGTGGCTCGAAGAGCCTTGAACGGAGTAAGTAGATGATTCACCAACGATTCCGCGTGTATGCGAACATCTTCGTCAGTGTTAAATGACCGAAGGTCAGTTTCGAGATTGGATTTGCCTTCTGGTGGCAGGAAGTCGAGAAAGGCCTTCAATACTCGCACAGTGTCATCCGTGCTACCTCTGGCAGTGTATCGATTCAGGCGATCCATTGTGAGGAGGCTCTAGACTCATTAGGTGTCCGCTCATCCTTGCGACATAACACGGAAAGACAGGTGCATTGGGCCCATGACAGAGGAGTCCTAGGACCCGGGTGCCGAAGTGTCAGGCAGAAGGGAAAGATAAGATGATAGACCGGTGATCGACGTAAAACACGATCGATGTGTCCACGGTCATTGAGTCACGTGATCCATATGACCATGATCGACGCAACCATGTGGTGCAGGTCAAGTATACAGGGGGAGAGCGCAGATGAGAGAGAAATGAAACGAGGACTTACAGATTGGTAGTAAATCAAAGAAGATTTCAGCTTCTCGGTTTCGGAGAAAAATGCGATGAGAAGTCTGAAAGTCTTGACCACAAGGTCTGGCGTTAGATGAACGCAGAGAGCGGATGTGAGAGGCAGTGGTGGAACGGCAAGGAAACGGTGAAATGTGCTGACAAGCCTGGTCAATACTGGTTAGGAATTGTCGAATTACAGGGTGGAGAAGAACTTGGTGATGGAGCGATGGTAGTGGCTGAGGAGGTGGGGAGAGAAAGCGACCCTGCCCCAATAAGAGTTTGTAATTCTGCCATCATCTACCGCCCTGGCTAAACATCGAATAGGATGGTAAGTACATATTGTAGGTATAATGTAGAAAGCATGGAAAACATCATATTCACCTCCATCCGAAAATGTCAATATAGTAGGATACGGTATCGGCTAGGGAAACTGGGATCAAATAGAACGAGATGCTCAATATGATGATGTCTTAGATGACTTGACTATCTATGTGTGTAGGCGGGGGAATGTTGAATATCCTCTGCCTCGCTGTCTACCTGGGATACCATACAAAACACGTAGGAAATCGAGTATCCATGTAACAATATGACGCACACGGGGAGAAGTGGGTCTTAGCGGTATTATGCAGTCTCCCATCTCGACAACATCAAATGTTGTTGTTCCATAACACTAGTAGTCGCAGTACGGCACTTTTCTGACCACGGTCAAAATATTAGTTGTCATAAATTACTTATATGTTAACCCCTATCTTTAACCCTTGAGTTCTAACTGCGGTCAGAAAACTAGGCTAAAGATTAATATAATCATTAAGGCCGGCAATGGCGGTTTATAACGGTGCTCGCCGGTGTGCTTAGACTATTGTGATCCGGAGGATACGAGTGTTTACATACGGAGGTTTTTGCCTATATTTACCGTCTTTTATTTACTATATCTACCATATCCTTAGTTACTAGTTTCTAATATCATGCAACTTCCACCTACCGTCTGGACCACACTATACTATGTCTCCTAGTCCCTAAGAGCTTTCCTTTTATGTCACTGAATACGCTTTTTTGTAAGCCTACTAGATAGATACCTTTAAATTTAGGCCTTTATTAGAGAGTAAAGGGAAATATATAAAATATAGGCGAAAGCTATATATCTTATATAGTTATAAGGCACTACTATATTTGCTTTTTTAGAACCTGCAAAAGCCTACGGGCCTACCGTGGGCTTAAGGACCGGGCCAAAAGCCCAACCTATTCGGAGGTTAGGTTAGGTTAGGCTCGGGCCCGTGTAGGCTTTGGCGATGTCTACTACTCCTTATATGATCAAGCAGCTTAGCAAGCAAGTATGATCTATCCAAAGCTCTACTAGGCAAGCGCTCGCGGTCGCTAGGAAGCCCTACAGAGCGTGCGTTAGATCAATTAATCAAAGGGTGCTAATTAGCGATGCATAACGAAGCGCTTCTAGCGCAGGAAGCTAGGGATTTACGATAATTCAACGAGAAGAAGCGTCAAAAACGCACACATTCTATTCGCCAGATATCTAGGAAGCAAGGTTCCACAGTCAGCGAATCTATATCTCTAGTTTCAACGTTGCCAGCAAGCGTTGAAGTAATTCAAAACGATGATACAGAGCTTGCTCAGCAAGCTACTGAGGGCGCTAAGCCTACTACTAGGCGTGTATTTCAGTGTTCCGGATGTGGGAATATAGGGCATAAGATTACTCAGTGCCCTCGTAAATAGTTGAATCAAATATCTAGTGTTTTGGTGGAAAATAGTGTTTTCAAAAAGTAGTAGGTGATGGGGTGCGCAGCTCACTAGTGAAACACGTTAAGCTAAAGCTATTACATAATCAGATGATGATGGCAGCAGGTGGTTAGATATTATGCATTCGTGGATAAAATAGGTTCCCTTTCAGAAGTCTCCAATGAATCGAAACCGCATTGTTGGACTCAGGTATGGCCAACTAAACAGTAATGTTTTTTAGTAGTTTGTGACGGATTTCCTAGGTGCTTATCCTGGCCTTAGTTCGGAGAGCTGCGGTAAGGTATCTATAGTTCAAGGTACCCCGCCTTGCTCTGATGTTCCCCTATTGAAGAAATAGATCAGTATTAATCGAATGTCTTGTTTGGCTCATTTTATGGCTCTACTTTATAGCTAACAAACCACATCCTGGCCTTCAACAGGAGTCGCGGACTGATTTGTTTGTTGGTATTAAACCACCTATCAATTTTTTCTCATGGGCATCTCTGAGGATATTCTCTACTGTGTTCAAGCTCTATAATTGCACCTACTTGTTTCACTTTAATGGAGCCACTATGTTGGAGCGTGACTGGCGGACTGCGAACATTGGGTTGCTTCAAGTCGCGTGGCCTATCCAACTATTATATTCGCCAAGGTAGAATTCTCTTTTTCCCTTCGTGGAAAAGGGATATCTCCTATTTTAAGACTGCCAAATCCTGAGTTGTTAGCTATCCATAGGTCCCACTAACCTTGATTCTCACATTGGCTGCATGACTCCGATAGACGTGCATAGGCGCTAAGGCCCGGGCACAGCCTGCGTCACTGACAGGCTGAGTCATCTATCGTTTCACATCTGCTCATGCGCTAATGCAGCACGAGAATAAAATTTTTTTGCGTCCTTATCTTTAAAAGGTGCTCTTAGGCCCCTGGGGTGATTTTGGATTGCTCTTGGTACGATTGGAGCCGACCACACGACCCCGCGAAAGCTGCCCCGGGTGTGACTGAAATCGATTGTGTCATCGTATCCATCGAGCCCCGACCGCAATTTTCCTCAACTCCACTGCGCTCTCCTCCAAGCACCGCGCAGTAATTGCTTCTCACGCTGTTTGCCATGACGCTTCCAGAGATGGCTAGCAGCATGGCCTTTGACGGCTCTCTGCCTCTCACTGCCCGAGAGGCTGCATCTGGTTTGCTGGGCTCAGTGTCTATGTGTTGCTGGATTTTTCTACTGGTATGAACATCACGAGATTTGACCGCGTCGCCCCGTGCGCAGGATGCAAAATTTTTGTTTTCGCCCCTCCAGGAGTACAAAGAAAAGCTTGTGGGGAGATTGAAAGCTGTACAAAGACTCTGACTCGTTTCTTTTTGCAGGTTCCTCAGCTCATTGAGAACTATCGCAATGGCAATGCGGAAGCCATCTCGCTGCTCTTCGTTTTTGTCTGGTTTATCGGCGACGTGACAAACCTGCTCGGTGGTGTCTTAGCTGGCCTAGTGCCCGTCATTGTCGCGATTGCAGTGTACTTCTGTATTGCGGATGGTGTTCTAATTGCCCAATGCCTGTACTACAAAGCGCGCAGCTCCCGTCGTGACACATTTCACCATCGCCGGCGCTCATCAACCGAGACACCCGATCCCACCACCCCGCTTCTTGGCCGGCGATTCAGCGACAGTGTTCCACAAGGACGCCGGCGCTCATCTGGCTCTCTGCGTGGCTACCAAGGTGCTGGCCGACGCGAGAGTCAAGTGGAAGACCCATTGGCCAAGATCGTGGAGGAAAATGAGTATGGTGGCAAGGCGTGGATCAAGAATTTTATCAGTGTGCTTGGGATCTTTGTTGTCGGCATGGCCGGGTGGACTATTGCCTGGAGGACTGGCGTGTGGGAACCAGCGCCGCAGGAGAACACCAAACCAGTGGATATGGCAACCGGAGGCCAGATTCTGGGCTACGCGAGTGCGGTTTGCTACTTGGGGTAAGCATAATATGCCATCGTCTAAAAACGCGCTGAGACTGACTTGGACATAGGGCGAGATTGCCTCAGATCTACAAGAACTATAGTGACAAGTCCTGCGAAGGTAATTATTAACAACTAGGGAGTGCAAAATGTTTGAGCTAATCGACATTCTAGGCTTGTCGCTTCTCTTCTTCATTCTCTCCCTCCTGGGCAATCTCACATATGGTGCCGGTGTACGTTTCCCCTTTCAAAGCTTTGTCCGTCAATATGTCTGACTGTTTCTGGCATAGATTTTGTGCCATTCTACCGAGAAGGAATATGTCATGACCAATCTTCCTTGGCTGATTGGATCTCTTGGCACCATGGTTGAAGATGTTGTCATTTTCATCCAATTTCGCATCTACGCTATTCAGGACGATCCTCTTGTAATAGCTCCTTGAGTTGACGTCTTCTCAAGCATATGCAGTTGTCGTCTTTCATTATTTCGTTTATTATTGATGTGACATAAACTCAGTCTGGCAGAGTGAGGAGGTTTCTTGGAGCCTGGATTTCATGGAGTTGATAGGAAGAGCATGGCGGCTGTTTCCAGCATGTTGATAAAGATGCAACTGTACATAAAAAATAGCATCGAATCATCGACTTCAGTGGCTTAACTAACATCTCTCGAACCCCATTGAGATCCACCTGGTATGCAGAAAGCCCCACATATAGATACAAACAGATCAATTCAACTTCGAATCAACAGCATTACTCTCAGGCAGAACACAAGAAACAAACCTCTCGCGGCTTTAATTGTGACGTTCTATAGATATACAGCTTTGGACATTAACCTCGGAAGGATATCACACGGGGAGAATAGAAATGGACACGTCAAACAGATATTCGCAGATAACATCGCAATTTTGGCCATCTCCACGAACAATACATTGGCCTCACGAGCAATTTTCAAAGGTGTGATGGCATCTTGTCGCAAGTCCAATTCTCATGTTTTTTTTATACTTTTTGCGTCCCCGCGCATTGAACTCGTTGAGGCTATTACTGGTTTCTTCAGATGAGAAACATTCAACTTCTCCGGAAATCAATTTTGCTTTGAGGGAAACCGGCGTAAAAGACCGCCGATGAATGACTACCGAGAGCCAAAGACGATTGCGCGGCAATATACGCCGATGAGGTCTCTCAACTGCCATATCGATAAAAACGCTTTTATAGCAATAGATACTGGGTGGTAAAGTCCACCTCCCCCCAAAGTCAGCTAAGTTTAGGATATAAAGCCGCGAGCTGATTAATGATAAAATTTACATTCTCTTCTGGTACTACAGCTAAAGAAGGTGTGTCGACCTTCTAGCAGCGGTCCAGAGCAAGACTTGAGAGGCTGCTAGAAAGAAAAGTAGTCCGAGAGAAAATCCAGAGATACGGTACGTGGATTAATGGCAACTCAGCACGTCTATCTCCCGTGCCACGTTCGAGGACTCCCTACGAGTTTGAATTTTTGTAGCGAATGAAAGCGACATGACATCGAGGGTCCAAAAAAACGGGGGTAGGCAAAGTGTATAATTACGGGGTTCATAATGGTCCATTGTCCTCCTGTCCCGATTCTCCCATCGAAACCCTCGAAGCAGGCCTCAGCTAGAAACTAGACAACCGAATAGATATATTCTTGAAAAGGTGCGAGGGCGAGGGCGAGTCTTATATGTTGGAGTCGACGGGAAGGGGAGATTCGCGACGCATTGGGGTGCTGAGCCTCAAACGGAACGCCTGACAGATGCAGTCCAATCACAGGCCTCAAAATTACAATGTCCATTGGACGGAAAATATTACTACAAGCCCGAGGAAGCAGAATCACAAAGCAATTCCTTGGCTCAGGTTCTGGTGGAAAATACAGCACGAGGGCCAGACCTAACAGACCTGGAGCCTCCATAGAGGAAAAGCCAAGCATCACATCATGCAGCTCTACTTGCCAGACTGGAGGCCAGTCATGGCAAATCATGAAAGAAAAAAGTGTGCCAAACGTCTTTCTTCAATTTCCCTATAATCCTGGAGCAACAATAGTTTCGGGATCGCAGCGGCATCCGATTGAGTCTATCCTCTGTCACTTGGTGACGCAGAGGCACACTGAGCACCCAGTCTCCATTGAAAGTCCTTGTCCGTTTGAATCTTTTGCTATTTTTTTTTTGGGGTTCCCCGTGATCTAAATCTTCGTAGCCGGGGTCGTGGAGTATCGAGTACAAGAGAGAATCGTCGAGGGAGCCGGAAGGCGAAAGCGGAATAAAAGGTGAGGGAAAGAGCAAAAGGGAAACGACTTCATATTCATTATGGTGAAAATGCTTAGTCGAACAGACCGAAGCCCATGTCCTCGTCGGACTCCTCCTTCTCTGTAAAGGGGTCAGCATAGACTCATTTGTGCGAAGGGTTCACTTTGGCAAAACTCACCCTCCTCCTTCTCCTCAGCGGGAGCGTCAACGGCGGCAGCGGCACCACCGGCGGCGGCGGGGCCAGCGGCAGCGGCGGGACCAGCAGAGCCGACGTTGGTCAGGAGATCCTTGATGTCCTTGCCCTCGAGAGCCTGTGCAAAGAAAAAAATTGTAAGTCACTGAATTTTGATTCCGTGTCGCATATCAACGAAATTTTGATGAGTCGAAGAAACTCGCAAAAAATCGAGTTCTCTGGCGCAAGTAACGAGGTATGTTCGAATATTTACCTTGGCGAAGATGGAGGTCCAGATGGGCTCAACCTCCTGGATCTTAGCGGCAGTCAGGAGGGTCTGGAGCTTGTCGGCCTATATTAAGAAATCAAGGTCAATTGTTGCTCAAATTTTTTAGTTAGTGGCGTTGATCCCAGGATCTAGTATGGCCATCTTTCCACGCGATCCCAGCCCCCGTCTAGGGAAGACTGAAATCTCGTATCGCGACTTGTTTGCCATCCATCTCGAATTCCAACGACCACGGAGAACGAGTCAACGTACGGTGACCTCAATGCCGTCATCGGCAAGGATGAGAGCGGCGTAGGAGCAGGCGAGCTCGGCGGTAGACATGTTGTCGACGGGGTGGTGTTGACCGGACTGGGTGTCTTGAAGATGAAGATGGGTAAGGGAAAGAAGAAGAGAAGTGTGTCGTCAAAGGCCTATCCGAACAGGGCAACCGCCCGGCGTGTGTGGGAAAAAGCCCTCGCTTAGGGCTTGGCCTGATCGGGCTTAGTGCTTTACCCCTCCCGTGACTCAACGACTACATGGCGCTAGTCTTAATCCGGCCAAGATCACTGATGACATAATCCCGGAGTAATCAGCCCGTATCTGCGATATCAATCGATCCCGAACTGACATCACAACGTGTGGGGTTTCGATAGCTGCAGTCTTTTGAGCCTGTATCTTGAAAGCCGTTCTTTACTCTGTAACTATTTTCCATCTCAAAAGTCCCGTCCTACCCCACCATCTCCGCCATCTCTGCGCCTACGGCCATGGAGTCCCCCGCTGTCCCCGTCCCGCTGGATCCGCGGGAGCAGCCGATCCTAGAGCGTTTGCTCCGGACTCGCGACGCTCTCCTACTCCTGAAACAAGACAAGTCTTCTTATATCAAGTCTCGTGATGTCCTCCCACTCTATGAGGAGGTGACAGGTGAAGTGGAAAAGCTCAATGCTGCCCGCAAAGAGCAGGAGCGCCGCTTGATACACAACCGATGTGAGTTGCCGAAACCACCGCATCTGCGCCGCCTGGGAAGTTACTGATGTCCGATACGTTCTAGTGGACTATGTCTTGGATGATTGCTTTCAGTTAATATCGTTGCTTTTCTTGACGGTTGGCAGGAACAATGAAGCTCCGGCAGTGTCAGTTGTCTTCTTACCCCGCGATCCTTCAAAATTTACTAACATCTGGTCCAGATACTCGTTGGCAACTACAATTCAGGTGAATACATGTGTTTTTGAATCTCTTTTGAATCATTTTTATACTAATATCATTCTCCAGCGCCTGGTGGATCACCTCGAGGAGGCTGGTTTTTACAGCTCTAAAGATCTCAACTCAATCACCAAGACCCTCGAGACAACCCGAGAAACGCTGGATCGCGGTCGAAATACCTATTCTCCAGCCCTTCTCACTCTTCTTGAAAGCCGACTAGAACAATGCCAGCTCTCATTGGACAAATTACAGCAAGGACTTGCGGTTCTTGCTCCTGGATTGGTCCAGACACATGAGACATTGGTTTCTATCCTGCGGTCCACATCTGCAGTCAATACTCGCTCAAAGGTATGTAATCTAAAAATATATTGAATCTCCGCCTTTCGCTCCTGCTGACTTGTTTTCGACGTTAGTTCTCGGCTTCAGAAGTGAATAACCTTCGAGAGCAGTTGAAGAAGATCGAGAACGGTATGAAGGATGGCAAATTTGTGGACGCTGATGGCAACGTTCTTGCTGGATCGGATGATCTCAAGTCTCTGATGGACCGGTGTTGGAAGTGGACTGAAATTGTTCTTGAACGGTATGTCTTGCATTTGCTCTGCTAGAAAACCCCGATTCCTAACCCCACCCACCACAGTGAGGGCAAGATCCACGAACGATTCCAAGAGCAGTATGATCGCCTCCTTGAAATCCGGAATCAGCTGGATCGACTGTCCGTAACACAAGCATGGTCCCTTCGAGAAACAGACCTGTTCGGATATCAGCGCAAACTCGATCGAATCGATGAGGCACGGGTGAATGGCAACTTTGTCGACTCGGAAGGCCAGCCGGCTGATCTTCATGCACAACGGGTACATCTTCCCATAACGCTCCTCTCATGGTTTCTATGCTAAGTCACTCTACGTTTTAGACATTGCTCTACCTCATCCGACGCAGCTATGCGTACATCTATGCACTCCTGATTTCATCCGAGCCAGTGTCGGAGGCTTTGCTTCCGGTTTACAATCAGCTTCAAACTCTCCGTAGATGTCTGATTGAAGTCAAGGACTCCGGAGGTGTGTCAAACTCGCGTGAACTCTATCCTTACAGTATGAAGGTATGATCTGGTCTTTCCTCTCTAGCTCTTTGCATTTGCTGATCAAGGCAGCTTAACTCCATTGATAACATGCGAGTTGACGGGAAATTCTATGTTGGCCCCGATATTCCCGAGGGTCAGGGGAGTGTAAATTCCCTGCTTGCGGAATGCTATGATTTGGTTTGGGAATTACGGGCTGCCGTGGCCGACGAAGATACACAGTCCTAGGCTACTCTGCTCGGTCGAAGCACGCCTCTTTTTTCTATTTGACTGTCTTATTCCTGCCTATGCGTTTGGAGGACTGGCTATTTCTGAGACGCCTTTAATCTTGCCATTTTACTGTTTCACTTAATGATTTTCTTTTCTTGTCTAGTACCTGCTTTTTGATGACACCAGGCGTTTGACGAGGGCAGACACTAGCCTACACGGGCACTGGCATTAACCATGGAGGGCAAGCACAAGGTTCCTCATTAGTTCTGGATATGAATTTATTTTGACCCTTGTTCAATATCTAAACTGAATTTCCTTGGTAGACAAGCTGCCGTTCAATACATTATTGAAGTTAATCCTGACTGCGATAATCCCAGATCAACATTATCGTGGAGAATTCCGGGCTTGTTGATTTCCTTGATGTTGGTAAATGATATGGTTTTGTAACCTTATCACTCCACAGATAATTCGCACGCTTTCTCATAATCCTTGGCAAGTACTCATTATCATCGGCCCCCATTGAGGACACAGGCCTCGATCTTGGCCGGGCGCCTGAATCTCAAGCTCAATACTCACCACGTCGTCAAGGATGAAATTTTGAGGTTCGAACATGCTGTAATCTCAGATATTTTTATTCATATTTATGCCGTCTCCTCCTCATTACGCTCAATATGCTGTCTCATTTCTGCCTTCGCCATATCCCACCTCTTTTCGTGGCCACTACGACTACGTTCGGCGGGCTGCTACCTTTTTTCGATGCCGAGTACGCGATTCGAGCATTCGGCCTTCCGCGACATGTGGCAAGCTCTCGGTCGGCTCAATCGGTCATGCTCACAAGTGCAGCCCGTATCTCAGCCATCGGATATGCTTTGTTTCTATTCTACTTTCAAGGGAAGCTCAGAGAATTTGATACACTTCTGTCGGTCCTAGGCTATGTCGGCCTTGTCGACGGCTACGTCTGTTGGCGTGAAGGTGTGCCTAAAAAGGGCGTCTTTCGAGCAGTCTCTGGTCTAGTGATTGCGGCACGGGGCTTCCTGGGGTTAACCACTGGTGTGCATTGAAAGCAATTTTCTTTCGACCTTTTTCTTGGTGATGAGGACAACTTTATTGTTGCCCTAATGAAGACAGGGGTGGATACACATTGAAAACGACTATATTCAATGACATAGCAAGGAAATGATTCAATTTGTTGCTATTTAAGCTAAAGTGATGGGTTGCTGGCACAATCAATATAGTTGCGTATTAGCTATTCCAAGCGAAGATGTATCCTAGCAGAAGCAGGGTTTCGTATTCGCCAGTACTGTGAGAGTCCGAATCTATCGGGAAGAATTCCAGATCGGTCATTCTAGAGCTTTCCACAAAGTTGTGCGCCTGTAGACAGCACCCACAAGCTGTGGTACAGTGTCCTCGGTTCTCATCACGCGTAGTGTCCCGCAGCTTCTCACAACAGCCACAGCTTCTCGCGCAGCAACCTCCCCGAGCCACACAATCCTTCTTCAGCCAGGTGTTCATGTACCAGTCTGGATCTTTGCAGAGAGTTTGAAAGGCTCGGCAGTGAGGCTGATCCAAGAATTTCAACTTCAGCATGAAATACTGCATCCGGTGGTCCCAGTATCTTTCGTTAAGAGATTTGAGTTCATCTTCGCAATGAGCAAGATGCATTTTTCTAGATCGCTCTTCAATCACCAGAGTATCTAGATCTTGCACGGTCTCCTCATTCGACAGAAGGACGGACGCTGGTTGCAAGGCCTGAATCTTCCGTCGGACACAGATCTCTCGCTGGATGATCCATCGGCCTTCGATATTTTTCTCGATCATTTTCCGGCACCAGACAGACCCAATACTTGGGAATACAGAGTGGACCACAAAGCGCAGGTGTTGAGCCAATTCGACACAGCCATATCTTTCTAGTTGCTTTTCCACCCACTTCCAGTCGCCAACGGACATTCCATACTTGCGCGAGTTATTGGTCAACGTCCCGAGCAAGGCATGCTTCTCATCGGTCCCTAGGTGTGTGGAGGTCAACGCATTCAAAAGGTTCTGAGGTCGATCAGAGGGCCAAGCGAGTCTGTTCATCGACTGCAGGTGGTATTTGACCCAGTTGGGATCGGAAGAGAGACACTTGGATTGCAGGATCCCCATATTTTCCTTCTTTCTGTCTGTTTGCTAGGTAAATGTGAAGACCCAAAAAATTCCTGTATTCCTGGGAATGAGATGATAATCTTGAAGATGGGCGAAGTTGGGTTCCGAAACCATTTCGAGACTACTTGCTCGCATCATGGCCATGTCATAGTTTCGTTCTATCCATACACTGGTTCGGCCCACGAGATATTATCAGAACCGGCGTCCTCTATGCCCTTGCTAATCCTCAGTCACAGTTATACTGACCCCATTAAAGGCATTCGAGCAATTTGAGATAGCCAATCTTATACAAATCATGATAGAGTCCTTTTTCAGCCACGTTTTCTACATTCGTCGTGCAATGCACTCGGCTTCCCCACAATCTTTGAAGATCCCGGTATCGGCGCAACCGTGAGCCAATCAAGGGCAAGACAAATAACGAAAGCCTCCCGCGAAAAAAAAAGCCCTCCGGACTTCAACCTTGCCTTCTTCCCCAGTTTCCACCCCCTCCACAATTGAAGATGGTGAGCCAACTAGTATGGCAGCGGGCTGCCGCCTCTCGCAGGGTGCGTTTGGATCCGAATTGATATATTGATGATCAATGAAACTGACCTTTGCAGCTGGCCGCACGCTTGTCCCCACAAAGACTCACCACCCGTGGCCTGGCCACCGAGGCCGCGTCGTCCCGGATGCCGCCCTACCCCAAGATTGTCCGAAACCTCGAGCAGGTCCGTAAGGTGCTGGGTTCCGACCGCGCCCTCACTCTTGCGGAGAAGATTCTTTACGCTCACTTGGACAACCCGGAGGAGTCCCTCCTATCCGGCACCAACAATGGTCGCGACATCCGTGGCAAGGCCAACTTGAAGCTGAAGCCCGATCGTGTGGCCATGCAGGATGCGTCAGCCCAGATGGCTCTGCTTCAGTTCATGTCGTGCGGTCTACCCTCGACTGCCGTTCCCGCCAGTATTCACTGTGACCACATGATTGTTGGCGAGCGTGGTGCCGATACCGATCTGCCGGCCTCGATTCAGGGTAACGCCGAGGTGTTCGACTTCCTGGAGAGTGCTGCCAAACGCTACGGTATTGAGTTTTGGCCGCCAGGTGCTGGTATCATTCACCAGAGCGTTCTGGAGAACTACGCTGCTCCTGGTCTGATGATGTTGGGTACCGACAGCCACACCCCCAACGGCGGTGGTCTCGGTGCTATTGCCATTGGTGTCGGTGGCGCTGATGCCGTCGATGCCCTTGTGGATGCTCCCTGGGAGCTGAAGGCACCCAAAATCCTCGGTGTCCGCCTGGAGGGCCGCTTGAGCGGCTGGGCCTCGCCTAAAGATATTATCCTACACTTGGCTGGCAAGCTAACCGTCCGTGGCGGTACTGGCTTCGTCGTTGAGTACCACGGCCCTGGTGTGGAGACTCTGAGCTGCACTGGTATGGCCACCTGCTGTAACATGGGTGCTGAGGTTGGTGCTACCACCTCGCTTTTCCCCTTCTCTCCAAGCATGATTCCTTATCTGGAAGCCACTCACCGTGGCCATGTTGCCAAGGCCGCAGCTGAGATCGCTGCTTCTGGTCCTGGTAATTTGCTGCGGGCTGATAGCAAGGCTGAGTATGATCAGTTGATTACTATCAACTTGTCGGAGCTTGAGCCTCACATCAACGGTCCTTTCACTCCGGATCTGTCGGTGCCGCTGTCCAAGTTCGCCGACACTGTCCGCGAGAAGCAATGGCCCGAGACCTTCGGTGCCGGTCTCATTGGCAGCTGCACTAACTCCTCGTACGAGGACATGACCCGCGCCGAGGATCTGGTCAAGCAGGCATCCGCTGCCGGTCTCAAGCCCAAGTCCGATTTCTTTATTACCCCGGGTAGTGAGCAGATCCGTGCCACTCTCGACCGTGACCAGACCCTGAAGACCTTCTCTGAAGCCGGTGGGGTTGTTCTGGCCAATGCCTGCGGTCCCTGCATTGGTCAGTGGAAGCGTACCGACGGTGTCCCCAAGGGCGAGAACAATGCCATCTTCACCTCCTACAACCGTAACTTCCCTGGTCGTAACGATGGAAACCGCCAGACCATGAACTTCCTGGCCTCTCCTGAGCTTGTCACCGCGCTCGCCTACTCTGGCAGCACTACCTTCAACCCTATGACCGACTCGCTTACCACCCCCAGCGGTGAGACCTTCAAGTTCCAGCCCCCCAAGGGTCACCAGCTGCCCGGTGCCGGTTTCGAGGAGGGCAATCCTAACTTTCTGCCCACCGCCGCTGTCCCCGATGCTACCTGTGAGGTCATCGTGTCTCCTACCTCGGATCGCCTGGCCCTCCTGGAGCCGTTCGCCCCCTTCCCCAAGTCCGACTTGGCCGGCCTGCAAGTTTTGTACAAGGTCAAGGGCCAGTGCACCACCGACACTATCTCCGCTGCCGGACCCTGGCTCAAGTACAAGGGCCATCTCCCCAACATATCTGCCAACACTCTGATCGGTGCTGTTAACGCTGCCACCGGTGAGACCAACGTTGCCTACGATGAGAACGGCGCTCCGCACGGCATTCCCGAGCTTGCTGAGCAGTGGAAGCAGCGCGGCATCGAGTGGCTCGTTGTTGCTGAGGACAACTACGGTGAGGGCTCCGCTCGTGAGCACGCTGCTCTGCAGCCCCGTTACCTCGGCGGCCGCGTGATCGTCTCCAAGAGCTTTGCTCGTATCCACGAGACCAACCTGAAGAAGCAGGGTGTCGTGCCGCTGACCTTCTCCAACCGCGAGGACTATGACCGCATCGATGCCTGCGATGTTGTCGACACTGTCGGCCTCTATGACGTCCTGCAAGCCGGTGGCCAGGGCGAGATCCAGCTGCGCGTGACCAAGAAGAAGACCGGCGAGTCGTTCCTTGTCCCTGTCCAGCACACTCTGAGCAAGGACCAGTGCGGCTTCATTTTGGCTGGTAGCGCTCTCAATCTGCTGGCCAAGAAGGCCAACGCGCAATAAATAAAGAAAAACAAAAACAAAAACAAAAGACTGTGAAGTGTGTCTTTGTCAAAACAAAAAGTCTGTTTCGGTCAGGAGTTGTTGTGCCGGGCTGAGGGATGCATTTCCTTTCTCTTTTTTTTGATATATTTGAGTAATGGCACCGCCATTGCTCACCCACTTGTACTTGGAGATTAGAATTTGTCGTGTTCTTTGCGGTCTAGATGATATCCAATGTGATCTGTATTCTACTTTTGTCTTCTGTCCATTTATTTGATAACGTTTTAATTGACCAGATAACAAAGTTGTCGAGCATCTTTTTTACTTCGATGAATGTAATAATTATGGCAAATTTCGACCCTTCTGGAAGATTACGGTGTCATCGACGCCCTTCAATTGACATACCCGGATTTTTGGGGGGCTGGGGGTTACGCTCCCGCTCGATGGTATATAAAACGGGGCTCTCGCAATCTGATACCTCAAAAGTATGACGCCTACCTATGAATCCCCAATTCCACAACCCGCTTTACACCGCACCAATGTCGCCATCTATCAAGGCAGTCCCGGCGAAGCCCTGGATCGAGACGCCGTTAATTGAGTCTGCAACATTATCCAAACTCGCAGGATGGTACGGAAATCCTTCTTCGCCTACTCCAACACAACCTGACCTACATTCACAGCAGAATCTTCCTCAAACTCGAGCTTCTTCAGCCTTCCGGCTCCTTTAAGTCCCGGTAAACATAAACTCCTCACCACACTCGCAATCCCCAAGCCTCCCAATTTCTACGCAAAACTAACAACTCCCCGCCCAGCGGCATCGGCAACCTCATTCTCGCCGCAGCCACCAACCCAGCCAACCAGCACAAAAGCCTCCACTTCTACAGCTCCTCTGGCGGCAATGCCGGCCTGGCCGCCGTCCATGCCGCCCGCACCCTAGGCCACCCCTGCACCGTCGTCCTCCCCACCAGCACGAAGCCCCTCATGCTCTCCCGGCTTCGCGCCGCCGGTGTCACAGCCGTGATCCAGCACGGTGCGACCTGGGCCGACGCAGACCGGTACCTGCGCGCACAGTTCATCGATGATAAGGCGGCCGCCGCGCACGGGCACGTAGCCGTTTACGTGCCGCCGTTCGACGACCCGCTGATCTGGGCTGGCGCGGGGACGATGGTACCCGAGATTGCGGCACAGCTGGGAGGCTCAGCTACAGGGGGCGCGTTCCCAGCTGATGCGGTGGTGTGCAGCGTCGGCGGGGGCGGGCTGGTGAACGGTGTGATCGCGGGGCTGTCGGAGTATGCGGACGCGAGTGGGCGCGTGGTGCAGGTGGTTGCGGCAGAGACACGGGGGGCGGACTCGCTGGCGCACGCGTTGCGGGCCGGCCGGCTGGCGAGTTTGGAGGGGATCACATCGGAGGCTACATCGCTAGGGGCACTGTGTGTGTCGGAAACGACGTTTGAGCATGCGCGGGCGCCGCCGGAGGGGATGAAGGTCGTGAGTGTTGTTGGGACGGACGCGGAAGCGGCGCGGGGAGTGTTGCGGTTGGCGGATGAGATGCGATTGGAGGTGGAGTTGGCGTGTGGGATTAGTCTGGAAGTTGCGGTGGGAGGGCAGTTAAAGAAGTTGGTTCCTGGGTTAGGGCCTGAGAGTCGGGTTGTGGTTGTTGTTTGTGGGGGGAGTAATATCACGGCGGAGATGATTACGGAGTATCGGGCGAGGTTGGAGGCGGGATGGGAGTAGGTCGGTGTTGGAAGCCATTAGAAACATTTGCATAGCGGGCATGTGTTTATGATAGGATGATTTTGCTTTTTGATAGACTATTTACCTTCTTTCGCTAAACTTGTCTTTTATTTATTTTTTGATGTTGTTTACTACTCTGCTCATTTGTTTGAAGAGCTCGGAGGCAAATATATATATCTGAGAGCATTCCAGGCCGTGTACTATAATGGTTATTCTTCAGTTGGGGATTCAATAAGTGTCATTTCTCGTGTATACAGCATGTAATAGACTCCATTCATAATCATCATAGCACAGCATAAGATATAATAACATGTCCAAGTCTAAAGCTCGAGGCAATAATATGCGAGGGGCAAAAGGGGAAGCAAAAAAACAAACAAACAAGAAAATCGGCCAACGCTCAAAGACACGTCTCCCCCAGATCCTATCCCACGGGACATCTAGCAAGAGAAATAACAGCAGAGGAAAGCATCGTGGCCGCAGGAGCCCATATTAAGCCACCTTCAGCAACCCGCTTATTCGCTATCGCTGGCGCTGTCCGAGCCATTGCCCTCGTCATTCTGGATCCCCTCCGCCAAGATGTACTCTGTCTGCGCAAGTAAATTCTTGATTTCGGGCTTGTTGTAGACTAGATCGGCCGGTTTTTGGCCATGCTTGTTGCGTACGCGTGGGTCACAGCCGGCCTCGCACATCATCTTGATCATCTCGAGGCCCAGCTCGGCATCCTTCTCATTGGCGTACCGCACGGCAGTGTGAAGCGGGGTGTCTTTGTCCAGCCGGGTAAGTGGGTCACATTCAAAGAATTGAATATCGAACAAAGCATCCATCACATCGTCTGTGGGTAGAATTATGGCATTAGCGGCGGGGAATTGTTGGGAGGGAAGGTTGTAGGCAACCGGGTAGGAGAAGACGTACAGCTGCCATATGAGGCACAGACGTGCAATGCGTGGTTTCCCAGAGGATCGGTCACTCCGTTGAAGAATTCGGCCACGTCTTCGTTTGACTTGTCCTCCATGTCATGCAGAACTTGCTCAATCAGGTGTGGCTGGTCACGTCGGCAAGCTTCCACAACCAGCTCACGGGGGAAGCACCCTGAGGTTCAAAAGGATTTTAGCAGGGTCTTCAGGAGAAAAAGCAGGATCCATGCGCTCACCTGATCGTCCGCCATTCTGTCTTATATCTGGAATTCAAGGTTTCTGTGAGGTGTAGAGATTCAACCTGCACGGGTTCAGGACGCGGTAATCGGGTGATCTGAAACGTAGGCAACCGGGCCTGGCAAAGTGGTGGGGTGGGAAATAGATGCAGGATAATACCGTGCAATTCTTGCAGGGTAGCGATATGTACACGTAAAAGGCTGAATCAAAGCAATCGCATTCGTTCAAGGATCGAAACACCGCCTAGCCGCTGCTTTCCCCAGGGACATCCCACGTCCGGATCATGTGATTTTCCGAGTCCCCCGCCGCTGCAGTTAGCCGCGCGCCTAGCTCTTCCCGCCAGAAAGAGAGAGTTTTGAGAATTGTACGAGCTTCGAGCCAGCGAGGCGATTGAAACGCAGGGATTCGTTCTCTCCGAGTCACCCCCGACCTATACGTGATTTGCAGACCTGTCCACCCGTGTGTGCCAGCCTGAAGTCGTCGATATGCCACTCCTCTGTCCGTGACCACCCCGCTGCACGAATCCGCACGAATCCGCACGAATCCGCATGAATCGCTTGCCCACCGATGACTGAGAGATGACTGACCCTCTCTGATTTAGTTTGCCCCAACTGCAGCAATGTGCTGACCATATCGCGCGCGGATTCTACCAACCAGCACCCGATGGGAATCAACCGGTTTGAATGCCGTACCTGCCCGTACCAGGATGTCATCCCGACCGGCCACGAATACTACGAGAAGTCCGAGGTGAAGGAGAAGGAGGTCGAGGGAGTGTTTGGTGGCAAGGAAGAGTTTGCGAACGCCGACAGCATTGGGAGTGAGTGTCTTTTGGGGACTCTATCTTACTTTGGTGGAACATGGTGGCTGACTGGTCCTCTCTTTTCTTCACTACAGCGCAATGCCCTGCCGAGAAGTGCAATGGTGAACGTGCATACTTCTTCCAGCTGCAGATTCGCAGTGCTGATGAGCCGATGACTACATTCCTGAAGGTAAGTCGAACCCCCTCCCCCCCTTACCGTCCGCGCCGGAGATCGCGTGCCTGACAGCTTGGCTAGTGTACAACCTGCGGTGTCCGGTGGAGAGAGAATTGATCGCCTCCCCGGGCAGCAACAGCCGCGATCATGTCGAACCCGGCCATTCTTCGTGGGTGTAGGTTGTGTGGATGTGTGGATGTTGATGTTAAGAGGCAGTGGAAATACCACGAAGGGGGGCCGAAGGAGGGGTATTGTTTCAGATACAGCGAGAAAATGGCGCATGGTTTGCTTCTCTAGCAAGGAGGGGGGGGGGGGGGGGGGATTATACAGGCGTTCCGGGCATTACAATTTGATTACTGCGAGCACATGATGATCATGGCCGCCATCAGCGAGTTTGAGATACCCAAAATTTGATCGACGTCAACGCGAGCAAGATCCGCGCACGGGTTCCCTAGCGGTCCGCTGTCTGGCAGAAAACACAAAAAATAGGGCATCCGGCCATAGAATATTGGGTTGGATTCAACCACGGATCCCCACCGCGTCGGGAGTCATTGACCACAGAGTGGAAGAGTATAGCGACCGCACGAGGAATACTGCGCCTGGAGACATGGTCTGGATGATTGCGCCAGTTGGAGCCCGCCAATAGCTACTCGGCCAGATTGAGACGCCGATGAATCAGGCATTGAGTTGTCGAGCTGGGTTCTAGCTGTGTACATGTTGTACCATATGGTAATAATCGTCGCGGGTGGCTACCGACAATTGATCTCCACCAACGTGGGTAGATAGGTATACACACCATCAGTCTAACCTGGCCTCGGGATGATCTCAATATAATGGGTTGCATGATAAATCGCAAAATCGCTACTGCTAATAATAACCCTCCAGGGTACATCCATTGTCATGTGTACGGAGTACTCGGTATCGATTATTCATTATCCCATGCTAGCCAACTTCAGTTTGTGATGTGGCAAAAAACAGCCCGTTTCCACTGCACAACATTGGTGAAATCATCCCGGTGGGGCAGGTTGGCGGTGACCGCGAGAGCCCCTCAGCCGCGGGGGTCAGATAAGCCCGACCAAAAAAAACTCTGCTCGAGCTATGAAGTATACGACTACACTGCCACTAGTAGTGGGGGCAGGTTCAAGCACAAGGGGGGGAAAATGACCACCATAGTTTTAGTTGGTCCTAACAATCATTCTGATCTCCTGGAGAACGAGGAAAGATGGCCCGATGCGACTGCGTTGCTGCCCAGTCTGATCCTAGGCCCAGTGGGAATGAACAACACGGGCAAAAAGAGTGGGCTGGAGGGGGCCGCCTTCGAAAGAAAAATTCGCAGCGAGTGGATCCGGGTGGGCTGGTAGGGAACCAGGGAAACGACAAGAGGCTGGGAGGTTGCGAGTACCTGGGTGCTTTGCGCAGGTGGCATAGTGGGGGGAAGTAGAGGGTACTTTGGAGGGACTGGAATCCACGCTAAACAGCCCACTAGACAGCCCACTTCCACGCAAAATCTGCGATGTGCCCCGCCCCGGCCCTTTTGCCCTCGAGCCCGCCTCAGTTGGTCCAAAGGTCCAAAGGTCCAAAGGAGAGCCCGGCATGACGGCGTGACGGGCGTGTGGCTGTTACTTGAGAAGTGCTTGGGTTGAGAACCTTGGGACCCCCACCTGCCCAATCGGCACACGCACTTGCCCTGTAACAAAAACGAGAAAAAAAAAACGAAAGAAAAAAAAAAAAAAACTAAAACCCAAAACCCCAAAACCCACAAAAACTCGCCTCGCTTGCCCCTCCATATAAGGATTTCCCCTCCTCCCCCCTCCCACAAAAATTTTTCTCTTTCCCCCTCGTCCGCATCAGTACGTATATCTTCCCCTCCCCCCTTCCTTCCCTCTCTTTCCTCCTTCATCCTCTAACCTCTCTCCCATTGTTCAGTACCTCTACGCACGCCGTAGTATCTGAGCAATTTCACAGGATCCTTCTAGTATCTTCCAAAGAACTACAAGAATTCATTCTTAACCGTCACCATGGGGTACGTTTCTCTCACTGGCGTCTGCTCGTCGACGCTTCATCGCGAGACTCAGTCTCGCAGCATCCCAGATCATATCAACTGACTCGTTTCACAGTAAGGACGACAAGACTCACATTAACATCGTCGTTATCGGCCACGTCGATTCCGGCAAGTCGACCACCACCGGTAAGCCGCTCCCCATCAATCCTTGATCCATTCTGCTCCTCTTCTCAGAAGAGGCCTGCTCTGTCTCGAACAGCGGCTGATTTTTCAATCACAGGTCACTTGATCTACAAGTGCGGTGGTATCGACCAGCGTACCATTGAGAAGTTCGAGAAGGTATGTGGTTGTCCCCTCCCCCTCGAGTGGGGCATCAGATTTTTTCCCCTTGATACAAAATACTAACCCCTCCTCACAGGAAGCCGCCGAGCTCGGTAAGGGTTCCTTCAAGTACGCCTGGGTTCTTGACAAACTGAAGGCCGAGCGTGAGCGTGGTATCACCATCGACATTGCCCTCTGGAAGTTCCAGACCGCCAAGTATGAGGTCACTGTCATTGATGCCCCCGGTCACCGTGACTTCATCAAGAACATGATCACTGGTACCTCCCAGGCCGATTGCGCTATCCTCATCATCGCTTCCGGCACTGGTGAGTTCGAGGCTGGTATCTCCAAGGATGGCCAGACTCGTGAGCACGCTCTGCTTGCTTTCACCCTCGGTGTGCGTCAGCTCATCGTCGCCCTGAACAAGATGGACACCTGCAAGTGGTCTGAGGACCGTTACAACGAGATCGTCAAGGAGACCTCCAACTTCATCAAGAAGGTCGGCTACAACCCCAAGAACGTTCCCTTCGTCCCCATCTCCGGCTTCAACGGTGACAACATGCTTGAGGCCTCCCCCAACTGCCCCTGGTACAAGGGCTGGGAGAAGGAGACCAAGGGTGGCAAGGCTACCGGCAAGACCCTCCTCGAGGCCATCGACGCCATTGAGCCCCCCGTCCGTCCCTCCAACAAGCCCCTCCGTCTTCCCCTCCAGGATGTCTACAAGATCTCTGGTATCGGAACTGTTCCCGTCGGTCGTGTTGAGACCGGTATCATCAGCCCCGGCATGGTGTATGTATCCCTAAATCCCCTTGGTCCTCAACCAGTTCACTAACAAGCTTGACAGTGTCACCTTCGCCCCCGCCAACGTCACCACTGAAGTCAAGTCCGTTGAGATGCACCACCAGCAGCTCAAGGAGGGTACCCCCGGTGACAACGTCGGCTTCAACGTCAAGAACGTCTCCGTCAAGGAGGTTCGCCGTGGTAACGTTGCCGGTGACTCCAAGAACGACCCCCCATGGGTGCCGCTTCTTTCAACGCCCAGGTTATCGTTCTGAACCACCCCGGTCAGGTCGGCGCTGGTTACGCTCCCGTCCTCGATTGCCACACTGCTCACATTGCTTGCAAGTTCTCTGAGCTGCTCGAGAAGATCGATCGCCGTACCGGCAAGTCTGTTGAGGACTCCCCCAAGTTCATCAAGTCTGGTGACGCTGCCATCGTCAAGATGGTTCCCTCCAAGCCCATGTGTGTTGAGGCTTTCACTGACTACCCCCCTCTTGGTCGTTTCGCCGTCCGTGACATGCGTCAGACCGTCGCTGTCGGTGTCATCAAGTCCGTCGACAAGAGCGCTGGTGGTGCCGGCAAGGTCACCAAGGCCGCCCAGAAGGCTGGCAAGAAATAAACGATTTGCGGATGATCAGAGATGCCGTGATGAATTTCTTTCCCAAAAACCTTCGCTGGATCGAGCTAGACTTTGCTGTGTAGTTTAAAAAAAATAGCTACATACAGATTCGTGACTCAAACTCTTTCTTCACAGTGCCCCGTAATGAATAGAACATATTTCCTAGATCCTGCACTAGCAGTATTTCTCGCGCAACGCATCGAGCTTTGTGCTGATTCGTAAATCTCTGTATTGGGGTCTCGCCTGAGTCACCTTCCTTGCGAAAACCCGGGAAATCATACCACTTGTGCGTTGAGCTCATACCATCTGTGCGTTTAGCTGAAGAAACAGGCTTTCTACCTCGCTTTGGCAAGTAGAAGTGCTGTTTGCAAAACAAGTGTAACAGTATCTTTGGTCGAGGCTGAGACAGCCTGACATACTAAGCATGTGAGCTCACAATAGTTAACCAGCATGTACACAGACGTTTTTCTACCCTTATTACCGAAGTCAGGAAGGAGGTCAGTATGGTAAAGTCCCTAGAGTGGATACTTCTCATGCGGTTGCAAAGCAACCTCGGTGTATTATATAGATATACGTATGTACACCACCACTATCGTTGAATCCTTTTCCTTCCTTGTATTACCATTGCGTGAGGTTCATTCAAATCCTCCCTTGCGAAGGATGGTAAATAGTTGTAGATATAAGGAGAAGCCTAGCCCCCAAAATCGATCTTACAGGAGTAGGTAGGTATAATATGAGTGTATTATCGTTATACTATGTTATTTTATGGTATGCTACTAAAATAATGGGTCAAATAAGTCCAATAGTCCAATATAGTTGATTTGGATATAGAGTGCCCATGAACACTTTGAGGCCACGGGTTACAAGGCCTATTTGCGCCTTTCATCGGCACCGGTTTCGTTTCAGGTACCTTTCGACCCATTTGAAGCTGGCAGGTGGGCTTGAGTAGCATGCAAACTGAATTTCTGACAGCAGGGTGTTTCTTGGTTTTTTTGGGCTTGTGATCTTGAATCTCTTATCGATTCCGATTATGGGAAGAAATGGACGGTGAAAGACAAGATAGAAATAGGAAATGAGAGGGTCTTCTAGAGAATAATGATTTATGTTAAAAGTTATAGTACATACCTGGACTAGGTTGAGAATATCAATAGAGCATAGCAAATGTTGATTTTGAACATAAGATCTTAACGGGCAATGAAACTCGAAAGCGAGTAAACATGTTCAAATTTGGGCAGAAGAGGTTATGGAAGACAACAAGATAGGTTGGTTTCAAATGAGGTAGGTCCCTGTGGTGATTTAGAGCTATTTGACTACCTGGAGAGCTTTGAGGTGTACTTCATGAAGACAGGATGTCTATGAGGTATCGTAGAATCGGCATCTCCATAGTACCTGCTTGGACTTATACAATCACCTCCAAAGCCTTCGTATAGTCCTTGTAGACAAGGCATCCAGTCAAAAGAACTTGAGTCCCTTAGCATGAACAGAATCTTCGAAGTGGAACAAGGATAAAAGCGAAAAAGGCCTTTGTGTATTTCCTGGGTATCAATCAATAGTAATAGGAAGGCCTTTGGTTTATATCATCTTTCCAAGGCAAGGCCAACAATCAACGGCGAAGAGAATCAGCCTAATCACTGTCTTGTTCTGATTCTGACTCTTCCGCAGCATTCGTAGCAGCACGCCTTGAAGACCGTCTCGGTCCCTCATCAACTCTCTGCTCCTGCTCCACCTCCTCTTCCTGCGGCCGGTACACCTCCGTAATCCCAAGACTCCTCCTCAATTTTGCCTCAAACTCCGCTCTGTCCTCCCGCTCCGCCTGTGTACCATTCCCATCTCCCTCAGAACGCCCATAAACCTCTCTCACTAGCCCTGCCACACCGCTCGTTCCGACCTCGATCTTCCCTCGCGGTCCAACCGTATACTCTACCCGGTTCTCGTCGCCATCTTTTTCCTCATGGCGCACTAAGTATCCCTCTCGGCGTAGCCGCGCCATGACTTTATCCTTCCGGTCGAACGGTGTGTTTTCGTCAGCGTTCATCCGCGCGAGGTACCGATCGAGCTTGTGTTCCGCCAGTGAGCCTCCATTCAGGGTGATCACTGAGATTAAGAAGGTGTATATAGCTGTGTAGGCGCTTTCTGTGCTGGTGGAGGGGGCTTTAGGCGGGGCCAGGATGGACATGTTACGGTATTTTGCGGGCAGAGTACTTGTTAGTACCCAGGATTTGTTGGTGCTGGAGGGCTTTTCGGTTTTTTGAGCGGCTATGGTTGGTTTTCCCTCGAGTTAGTCCTTTGCTTAAATGCAGCTGGAAAGTGAAAGGCCAAACAAGGAGCCTGGGATTGGGAAATACAGATGGCCGCAAAGACGAAGGCGCATGGGGATGTTAAGTACTCACCCCGCCGCTGTGTGATTGTTAATTTCTCTCTTGCTGGCAGCTCCGTCATCTCCATACCAAATTTACTGCGCAAGTGTTTCTGTGCTGTCTCGAAGACAAGCTTGAATTGCCGCGATCCCTGCTCGCCGAGGACTTTGGTGCTGATGTCGGGCCGCCGAATGGGCAGGCGGGCATACTCGCATGCGAGCGCGAGTCGCACCATCTTTCTCACCATGGCATCTGTATTTGAAGGGGCATCACCATCAGAAACTTCCGCGTCAGAGTCTGGTGTACTGCGAGGGCGCTGGTTTCGTGTTTGGCTTCCGGGCGAGTTAAGATCAGTCTGCTCGAAGCCGGCATTTGAATTGCGTGAGTAATGGTTTTATGACAGACATGCGGGATATTTACATACCGCGCGTCTTTTCCGGGCTTGAGACATGACTTTGACTAGCTTGTGGGTATGATATCTTGATTGAGTGTTGAAGTGGTGGAATAGCGAACTCGACTCGACGCGACGCGATGATCCACCACTGATTTTGCCATTTCGGGCTAGCGAGTACGTGCACGTGCTCTTATCTATGCCGAATTCTAGGACATGGATACCTGAGAAGGCAGTGCATTGCAAACTCAAGGGTTTTCACTTTTCTTTTTTTGTGTGTGTTTCGAGAATAGAGTACTGTAGAAAGAGTCTTGTATTTCTGGAGCCTGTGCTCAATTATTGAAGCCGAACAATTTTTTGAATCATGTCAAACTGTGCAACGAATACATAAAAACATATATCAAGGAGCAACAGCAACCAAGAATACCACAGAACACCGAAAGACAGTATAACTAGAAAAAGAAACACGCGACGTGCACAAAAATCAAAAACCGATCGCGAAAAGAGGTATTATTTTCTCTAAGAATAAACGACGATAAACAATGCTGAAAACAACTTGACAATCTAATCAGTGGTTGGTCTTCTCGTTCACCACCTCCTTGGCCTCCTCCTTTGCAGCTTGAAGCCAGGTAGTGATGTAGGCCAGGGACTCTTGCGAGAGGAGCAGGCTAGTAGTGATGACAGCCTTGCCGGAGGCGAAAAGCCCATCGCCACCACACTTCTTGTACTCCGAGCCGTAGGTGTTGAAGACATGGTGCTTGACATCACCAGCAACGCGCACTGGGTAGCCGGCAGTGTTATAGATGGTGCCGCGGATCTTTTGGGTGTCTTCACGGATGATGGGGAAGCGAGAGTCGATTCGGGTCAGACCCTGATCTCCCAAGGAGTCGGCGCGGGCCAGGTAGGGCGCCACATAGCTGTAGGGAGTCGAGAAATAAGGCAGGACCGGCTTGGCCAGGCGGACATAGCCCTGGTCGGCGTATTCAATGGACTTGGCACCATATGGGTTGCTCTTGAAGAGGGCGATTGAGTCGGAGACGACAGGATAGGAAGTGAGGTGCTACAGAGAGTAAGTCAGATGATGGGCAAGTGATGACGGTAATGATGAAGAGGATGGTGAGAAGCAGCCGGTCTGATGGGTGTCTTACGTTGAGGAATTGAGAATGGACCTTCTCGCCGTTGACGACTGGTTCGCCCATGGTGTCGGAGTTGGCGTGGGGCATGAAGTCTGGAAGCAAGAGGACGATGGAAAGAGTGTAAGAGAAAATAAAGGTCTCACGCAGCACCAGTGGCACAGAAAGGTAGGAAAGACAGAGTGAGTCTTGGAGTAAAAAGGAAAAAACTAGTTACGTCGAGGTGGGCTGTATATAGCTTTTTCACATGTGATTGCGCCCTCATTATGCAATTGGCCTCTCGAGGCCCCAGCGCAATCGCATCATCTGTGCACGACCAGGGATCGCGTTCCCGGCCCGTTCGATGTACTCAAAAGGCCTAGCTACAATTGCGATTGGGTTTATCGGTATTTTTGAATTTCATTTATTCTGACTCGATTATGGAGGTGATGGTGATTCGTCCCTTCCTTCTGGTGCCTCACCGTACGTTTCCTGTTGCTGCAGGCGCCCCTGGCACTGTGGACTTTCCTCAACCTGAGAGAAGATGCCCAACTGTGCTTCCGATCATGGGCTTTCTCAGTTACGCAATTGCCGCCCTCGTCAAAGTTATTGGCATCCATTGACATGGATTTGCGACCATCTTGATAACGCTGGTCTCGCATGTGATTGCGGGTCCAACGTCGACGCATTCAGCGGGATCCACCAAAGGTCCTGTCCTTAGCCTCATTCCAGACCTGCTCATCCATATTCTTGTCTGCTTCTTCGTTTGCTCATGATATATCCGGAGATGCTTGACCCGCATACCCTGCGAGTAACTCGAACCTACCGCCCGGAATTGCCTAGCAGAACAGTGTTCGAGGCCTGCGTCCCGCCATGAACCTTGTTTCAGTATTCGTACCCCCACCCTGCGCGCTCTCGATGTCAGTACCTATCCGGGTCGAGGATGAGACTCTCTTATCAAGCCATGGCAGAGCCTGCATGCTTTAGTTCTGCTACTACCAGTGTCTAGACGGCCGTGACACATAGCGGACCGGGGTTGACTTGCTCATCGCCTGTGAGCCCAGCCTCGCTCCGCTGCATCTACGTACCCACCTGCTCTGGCCTGAGCGTAGCCCCCAACCTAGCAACGGCCTTGTGTGTCCACTCAGAATGTGTAGAAATCTCCCTCGCTGGCACTGGCGACCAGGAAAAAAACGGCCCATTCGAAGAAAGAGGGGAAAGCGTACATCTGTTGCGACCAGGATTCTGTTTCGCAATACTCTACAAGGTCCTGGCCAGGTTCGCGATCGGCCCCGGGACTCTGCGCGCCGGCGTGCCAGTGGCAAGCCGGGTGATTCGTTCTCGAATCATCCGATACTCGGCGATTGGCTCTCTTTGCTACATTATGAAATGGTTGGGATCATGACTGACCCTGGGATATGGACTTATTTTCCACGCGCGAGAGATTCGGTTGGTCAATGGGAAATTTACCTCGTGGGGGAGGGGGACCCCAGAAGGACGAAGAGGCGAAACGCTTCCGAGATTGTTTCAATGGTACTTAGTTATTTCGTAGATAATTTTGTTGAGAATGCCTACTGCCGTCAGCATAAACCGGATTCGCCCGCGGATGGTAATGCCCTTGTGCAAGCACATGCTCATTATTCCCTCCGTACACATCATAGAAATGTGGCTAGTTATTCGACTTGCGAGGTGCTTTCAATTTCTCAAAAAAATATCCCATGCCAAATGGCAAAGAGTAATCATTTGGTCGATCCTGGTGGCAAGCCGATGGGTTAAGCTTGTGCCCTTGTAGATCTTCGAACAGCGCGAGCTGGGCGGAAATGAAGGCGGTTGAAGCTACGAAAGTACTATTTGGTGGAATAAAAAAAGTTAATTGGACATATACTAAACCGTCGCGCGGTATTTTTTCGCTTTCTTTGTACGTAAAATGTTCCGCAGGGGCTTGTCTCATGTCATTGAGACGGCTTGACACTTCTCTGGCTTCCGATTCGCTTTGTCGTCGCAATCCCATGCTGCGGACAATCCTTTCTCAACGTAGTCGCTGTGGCAAGTTGCGCCACTCGGTTGCATGTTTTGCAGCAAGTTAGCTTTCACAAGCACATATGTGTATGATGTATAAAAGGGGCCTACATATGTATGAACCTAGGCAACGGAGAGGTACTAATACTACCTGCTTGAATTGTCAATGGAAGAGGACGATCGAAGCCCACGTTGTCGCGGCGTTGTCGCGCTGGTCCTATCAGAGCTCTGTGTTGATTGGTGGCGGATTTCTTGCAGTAGCTTTTCTTCATTTCTTTACCCCCCGGCCAGAGGTTGTATCTCCGCTGCTTCTTTGCAGAGCTTACCGCCAACCGCGGAAGCTTATGATATTCTTGGGTTGTTCGAGTTTCCAGACTTTTCACGTGCAATGTTCGAAGATGTGACATCCATAATAGACATGTTTCATTGTCTCACGGTGTAGTTGAGATAAGATTTGAGTTGATCACATGGGATGGAAGCCACGTATCACCTGGACTTCTTTACGCTGGAGTCTAGTTTGACGTTAAGCTACGGATCAGGTCGACGATGTATACTTAATCAGCCATGTCAAAGCGATAGGAAGCATTCGGCTCCATCTGGGGTAGCCTATATGTAACGCAGGTAAGAGAGTAGGGACTTAGAAACGAAGGTTGTAGATGTGACGTGGATGGCGCATCTTGAGAGCGAGGAAGTCACCAAAGGATCGAATCTTAGTAGTTGGGAGAAGAAGTGGGGGAACGTGGTGACGAGCATGTGAAGTAGCCACGGTAGATGCAAGTTGGAAGTGGACGAAAAAAAGTAATTGTTCATATTTTCCATTTCATTCAGACGGACGCCAGTTCTTGTGTGGCGCCCCTCGTTCAAACTGGAGTTCATCGATACATTCCCGATTTCTGTTTCCAGCTATGGTATAAGACTTCCATCCCACTACAGGGATCGAATGTGCTCGATGCTTTTTTCCCCTCGCCTTCACCTAGACCGCGCGCTCAAAACGACAAAACGCCCGAGTAACCGTTTAGAAACCTGCAAAAACACCAGTTAGTCAAAGACCCTTTCAAGACTGACTTGGCGGAATCCCCATAAAAATGGAAAATAGGCGATGGGCACGTACGCAGAGGAGTGAAGAACCAGCGGTTCTTGCCGGAGGTGTAGCGGTCCTCCAGGGCCTTCTTAACGGTCTTCTTGGCATCCTCGCGCTGGGAAACCTCCTTGAAGGTCTCCTGGGAGACAACACCCTTCAGGCCCTCAAGCTCGAGAGTGTAACGGGTGGGCATCAGGTGGTTGTAGTTGACGACCTTGATGAAGGGCTTAATGCGGCTGCGGCGGTCGACAAGCTTCTTTCCCATGCGGCGGGTGACCTTCAGGGGGTAGCGCTCGATACCGGCGACGATGGCGTAGGGGAAGGGGTGCGCCTTGGAGCCAGAGTCGTTAGGCTGGACAATGACGACCTATAAAACCGAGAGAAAATGCGCTGTCAGTCATTTGAACATTGGTGGTGCGTTTTCTTCAATTCCTGTCGCAGTTGGTTTCTCCAGAATTCCCTTCAATTCATTGCTCGACCAGAAGCCTCCTCTTCCTCATGCATTCTTCCTCTCTGCAATCTCTGCTATCTTGGGTTCGGAAGGGAGTGTAATCGGTGTTGTCGTACCTTCTTACCGGCATAGCGGCCACGGGTGATGATGGCCACACGGCCAACTTTCATGACTGTCGCGACACTCACGTTAGTATACCATCATATAAACTCATCAGCGGGCTCAAATACGTACACTTCATTGTGAAGGTCCCGGTAGGCGGCGAGGTTTGGCGGGTGGTTTGTCGGAGTACGGAACAGTCGAGATCGAAGTGTTCGTTTTTTCGCTTGGGCGGGCAGAGGGCTCAGGGCAAGCGTGATTTGTGTGCTACCGTGTGATTGGGCGACTTACCGACTGGCGGGACACTAGTCTTATCTCGGCATATTTCCCCATTTGGACGGACAATTCGATTTCCTGGAGTTCCCGGAGAAAACTATCGCCGCCCGCTCCTTCCGGGTCTCACCGCCTACGTTGGGTTTGTTTACCTGGCGACGGTCGTAGTTGCCCCGTTGCTATGGAGCTTGATGATGTGTAGGCCGCGTAGTGGTTCTTCTCCACCTCCACTTCCTTCTTGTTATCAAGGCGATCTCCCGGTGATTGATGCTTCCTCACCTTTTCACCGTCTTTTCCACTGTTGCTTTTGTTTTCTAGCGATTCCTCTGTGGTGTTGATATGCTTATGCTTTGACGACCCTTGTCTTCACCCTTGCGCGCATTCTCGAGATATCACATTCCGTTCTAATTTCCTGTCAATACCTTTCTGAGACATCTTGACTCCCTCCACATCTGAAAAGCATCATGCAATCCCAAGAACGGGAATCTTCTTCCCGTGATCGGGAACTTGTTCGGCACCAAGGCACTCAGCTTGAGTCTGCTCGATCTTCAGTTCCAATGTACGTTGTTGATCTTTATCTTATTCCTTGACTGCACAGACACCATGTCCCTTATAAGTGATTGGAGACTGTCGCTAAAGCGCCGCAAACGCAGGTGGGACAGTTCTGATCCCGAGCGTGCACCCCCGCCGCTTCCCTTGAACCCTCGCTCCATGAGCCCTGCGACCAAATCAAATGTGTCGCCCAATGTACAGGCTATTGCGGCCAAGTTTGCCGATAAGCCCAATGAAAGCGCCCTCAGCTCCTACACAACAAACCCTATGCCCAATAAATCTTCTTCACCAGAGCGGTCTTTGGTAAAAGGCCACTATCATAAGCGCATGCAGTCCCTGCAGCCTGCAGACGCGAAGGGTGATGCGCGTTCCGAGTTCTTGAATTATCTCGAAAGCCGGTCACCAGAGCGGTCTCTTCGCGCTACCATTGTTGAACCGACTTCTAAGCCTCAGGACATGAACAAGCTGAGCGGTTCACCGTCAAGAAACCAATCCGCGGAACCGCAAATCCCCAGTTATGTCTCCAACCGTTACCTATCAAAACCTATTCTAGGAGAAAGTACTCCTCCATCTGCCACCATGCTGGCCCTTCAGAACATGCAGCTTCCATCCGAAAACGACTCTCCATCACCTTCAAAGCCCCCAAAGATGCTTACCGACCGCCCTGCCACCGACATTCAATCGCATACCATGGGTACCCTGGCATCGCAGATTCACAGTTTAACCGACATTGCAAGCAACTTGCAACGTGAAATGGCGAATCTGAGCCGACGAAGTAAAGACAATGCAACCGATCTAGTCAGCCTCAAGGCTGCCACGAATGCCCGCGACGAGGACATTCGGAAGAGCTTAAAGGAACTCAACTCTAGTTTGAGTTCCAAGTTTCTGGATGGTGATCTTACAAGGTTAGATCTCAGTGCTTTGCTGAAGTCTGTGGACGGCCCTAACCCTAGTGAACCGGATAGTTCTCCAACTTCCAAGCGAAGCTACTCCGTGCCTCGCATGCCCAGTCCTAATCCTTTTGCCGCTCTCGATCGAGATATATGTGGTTCGCCCGCACCAATTTCCGATGGTTCTGCCAGCATTGCCTTGCTCGAAAAGGTCCTGCGCGAAATGGCCACAAAGGAAGGAGAGGAACGACTTCTGGAGCTTGTTGATGAGATCAAATCCCGACCAGCTGCAACACCTTCAGACAAGGATGCCGACACGAAAATTACTAAAATGCTGGAAGAGATCCTGAATTACGTCAAAGAAGATCCGTCAAGCAAGGCTCTCATCCGATCCATGCATGCAGCTCGAAATGCTCCCATGAACGATGCGGCCCCTGAAGGTTCTCGTTCGATCTCGACTGGCTCGATTGATCCCACCGCCACAGTGCGAGCTCTCGATGTGCCGAAAGGCGACATCATAGATAAGTCCATTGCTGGCAATGCAGACATAATGGCCATTCTTGGCAGTGTTAAGAACAGTGTCATCGAAAGTGGTGGTATGACAAATGGCGTCAAGGCCCTGGTTAGAGAGCTACGCGGAGAGGTCCTTGGTATGGGGCGTGACTTGGCTCGCAAACTGGAGGACATTGAATCTATGCAGACGAGTGATGAAAAAGAGCAGCACCAGCTACCTACTCCTCAAGAAATCTCTGCTGTTGTCAACGAAAGTCTGTTTGATCTCCGAGAGCAGCTGGCTGCCACGATCAATGAAAGTCGCGAGCATACCAATGCTATGTCCGAGCTTCGATCATCCTTGAACAAGGCGGAGATCTACTCTGTTGTCAAGAAAGCTCTTGATGAGCTTGAGCTTCCCCAGCCTCAAATTGCTGAGCCTCACGGTCCAGTGATGGAGAAGGAAGACATCCTCGAGACCGTCCGCGAGGCTTGGGAAACCTACAAGCCTGAGATTGAGCTTCAAAACTTTGGACTGGAGCGTGACGAAATTTTAGAATGTCTCTCCGAAGGTCTCAAGGATTACCAGCCAAAGCATGACCGAGCCTTGACTTATGAAGAAGTTCTTGCCGCTGTTCAGACAGGTCTGCAGAACTTCGTTCCCCCTCAGCCTGAACAGCTGCCTGTGATTACCAGAGATGAAATAATCTTGACAATTCGTGAGTGCCTGGAGAAACCAGAGTCAGCCTCGAGGGGTCTAGATGAGGAGCACATTGGCCATCTTCACTCTATCCGTGATGACATTCTTCATGCGATCGCCGAGCGTGCACTTCCAGACACATCGTCCCGTGGCCTGAGTGATGAACACGTTGATCACTTCAATTCTATTCGTGATGACATTCTCCATGCCATTGCACACCAGTCAGTTGCGAACACCTCATCTAGAGACATTGATGAGGAACATGTGGAACACCTGAACTCCATTCGCGACGAGATCCTAAATGCTGTCACTGGTTCTATTGCCACACAAAGTATGCTCAGTAAGGAGTCATTTGATTCCGGGCTTGGCCGTGACGACATTGTGAGCGCCATTTCCGATGGTCTCGAGGCGCATTTCACAACGGCCAAGGAAATGGAAGAGCCACGGATTTCTCGGTATGATGTTGTGAATGCTGTGAATGATGCTTTCAATGCTCAGCAAGCGGCGCTGAGCATCAGTAGCCCGTCAAGCATCTCTCGAGAAGAAATCATGGCTGCCATTGCAGATGGCATTGAGCTATCTAAGGGCAACGAGTCCGCCCTCAGCACCCAAGTTCAGCCGTCAATTTCCAGGGACGAAATTTTGGAAGCCATTGCCGAAGGCATTGAGAAGTTCCAGGAGGCTCAAAAGTCTGCACTAAGCACTGATGTCCAGCAGCCAAGCATCACTCGGGAAGAGCTGTTCAATGCTGTCGTTGATGGTATCGAAAGCTCGAACACCATGACTCGTGAGATTGAATTGAACAAGGATGATCTCATGGAGGCTATCGGAGCCGCTCTCCAAGAAGCAAGTTCCTCTGCCAATTTAAATGTCGGCGATCAGGTGATGGAGCGTCTTCAGGATGTTGTAGATGGCATGAAGGAAGAATTTAAGCAATACTCTGCCGCCAACGGCAAAGATACAGAGCAAGTCCTGGATGCCATTAAGGATGGCCTTGATGTCGTTAGGCGTGAGATCGAGTCCTATGTTGCGACTACTTCAGATGCTTCTGGCAAACACGAAATCATCGATACCGTCAAGGAAGGTTTCCGACTTCTCCAGGCAGATATGGAGAAGACAATCAATGATGCATCCCTGTCAAACGCCCCACGAGGCAACCCGGATACTCCAGAGCTTCTGGACGCTATGGAGAAGGAGTTCGAACATCTCCGTACAACAATCGGCACTCTTCTGGTTCGCGACAATGGCTCGAACGAGAAGGACGAAATTCTCGATGCTATTCGCGATGTGGCTGAGCAGCAGAAAGCTAGGGCTGGTGATGATCAAGTGCTTAATACACTTCGTGCAGAGTTTGACAATATGCGTGAACGCATGGAAATGAGCGTTGTTCGCGCTGAGCCAAGCTCTGAGAAGGAGGACATAATCGCTGCTCTTCAAGAGCACTTTGACAATCTCCGCGAAGAAACCCTGTCACGCAGAGATGGCGCTGAAAGCACTATCTCAGCGACGAGCGAGCTGCTTGATGTATTCCATGAAAACATGGATGCTATTCGGGATGATTTAAAGAAAATCCTGGACAAGCCTATTGATTTCGATCCATCCGAAATCCTCGACACAGTCAAAGATGGACTGGCTGATCTCAAAGTGGACATTGATTCTTTACGCCAGTCTCAGAACGAAAGTGATATCGCCGAGACTACTCGTGGAGGGGAACTCATGCTGGCCAATGAGTCTCCTGCCGGAGGCGATATCGAAGGCCTGAAGACCTTGATCACTCAATTACAAGACAAGGTTGAGTCCATTGATTCCACTCCCCGCGCTCCAGAGCCCACCGAAGATTCTCTCAAGCGAACCCACCTCGATGAATTACTTGTGGCCATCCAGGAAGTTCAAGTCGCCATGGGTGAGGTGGGTTCTAGTCGAGATCTGCACGAGAACGCCGCTCGCAAGGAAGATACCGACGCTATCCAAGATATGCTTCTCAGCACTAAGGCCCAAATTGATGAGATGGTATTCCCTACTCCTGATGAGATCGCTACGTCCCAGCAGATTGGTGCTCTCGAAGCCATGGTCAAGGATGCCAAGGATGCCATTGCCGACTTGTCTACTCGCTTGGAAGCTGATGCTCCTACCAAGGCTGAGATTGGTGCCCTTGAAGGCCTGATCAAGGACGTCTGGATTGCTCTGGATGAGATGAAGGGCAAGACCAAAGAGGGCGAGGAAGAAGGCGAGAATGCCGATACCGACAAGCTTCTCAAGTCTGATTTACAAACAGTGGAAGCTATGATCTTCGAGGTCAAGACTCAGATTGATGAGCTGAAGCTTCCAGATGTTGAGACTCTCCCTACAAAGGAGGAAATACAGGAGTTGTCATCGATTGTTACCGACTTCCGGGAGAAGATGGAAGCCAACAACGAGATGACTGCTCAAGGCTTTGAAGCCCGCAAGGTTGAGCACGGTGGTCTTGCTGAGAAGATCGACGAAGCCAAGTATGTCGTTGGTGAACTCGGTGATGAACTCAAGAGCAAGCTTGATGGTAGCAACGAAGGTCTTACTGAGCTCAAGCAACTTCTCGAAGGCCTCGCTATTAGTGCCGAGAATTTCTCCACTGTGGAGAACATCAAAGAACTCACCGATCTCATCAACCGAGAATTTGAACGGGCTCGTGGTGAGGAAGATGCTGCCAAACTTGATAAAGAAGAACGGGATGCTGCTGCCATGGTCAAACACGATGAGGCCCGAGCGGCCATTATTGTGGAGCTTGGAGCGAAGATCGATGAGAAGATTGGCGAAGTGATGGCGAAATACGAGGATGCCCATGCATCATTACACTCCAAATTTTCTGAAACCGAAGAGCGTGATATGGCCCACACCGAGACTGTCATTAGCACCAAGGCTATCGCGGAGGAAATCAAACTCGTTATTGGGGCTATGGGCACCAGTGTCAATGAAACATGCGAGCGCATTGGTGTCGATACGAAGACTCTTTTCGAGAAAGTTGACGAGTCTTATACCCGAATGGAAGAGATGCAGAATGAAGTCAAAACCCAACAGGAGCAATCTCGGGGCGAGACCGAGAGGGCTGCTGCTGCTACTGAGCGGGTGGAGACCAAGCTCCTCGAATTCCCACCCCAACTTCTGGAGACTGTGCAAGAAATCCTGAACGTCGTGAATCAACATTATGACCATTCGCAAAAGTCGGCAGAGGAGGTACGGTCGGAATTGACTTCCCTCCCTAATGTCATCCCAACAATGCTTCCTGCCTTGCCTCCTCCCGAGTCATCCCGTGATCTTGATGACCCAGTTCACAACAAACTCAACGATCTTCTGGAACATGCCAAGAACAACCCTGTCCAAGAGATACTCAGCACCTTACTCGAACATTCGAAGAATGAACAGCTTCACGAAAAGCTTGATCGTGCTTTGGACCAAGGTTCGGGACCCACTGATCAGATTTACGAGAAACTTGATCAGCTCCTTGACCAAACTATCAACGGGAATGGCTCTGTCCATGAGAAATTGGATGCTCTGCTCAGTCGTCCGGCGACCAACCCAGACTCCGAACATTCTGTCACTCAGATGATGAAGTTGGACGAAATGCACAAGGACATCATGGAGAATTCTCGCCGAATGAATGAGATGTTTGCTGCTCAGTCTGCCTTAGTTGCAGAGGACACCGAACGTAAGCGCCGCGAGGCTGAGGACGCTGCCATTGCATTGGAGCGCAGAGTGGCGCAGCGAGAGCAGGTCGAAGCCGAGATCGTCGGGTTGCATGAGGAGAAAGACTCTTTATTGAAGATGATCCACACTCTGAAGGCCGAGAAGGATGATCTTGTGAAGCAGAATACGAAGCTGAGCAAGGAAGTCTCGGGTCTTGAGACCGCTCTTGAGATTCGCCACGAAGAGATGCAACAGATGGAAGATCGTGCGGATGGCCTGGAGAAACGGATTTTGGAGGGCGTTCTTGACCATGCCCGCACGGTGCTGTTGAGCCGATCGAACAGTATTCAGGCAATGAACTTGAAGCGAAACCGAAGTGCGCGCAGCTCTCGTACGCGTGCCCGCAGCCCTAGCGTGGTGAGCACCACTAGCACTGCCCGAGAGTCCAAAGATGCTCGCAGCCTTCTTGGTAACGGAGTTGGCATGGCCCTCAAGCGCCGGATGCCGAACAACCTTCAAGGGGGACCGGCTGCTGTCCAGCCCAACATCGGAAAGGAGCGCCGAATCCTCAGCTTAAGCCATGTTACTGGAAACCGGGGTGCAGACCGACAAGTGAGCGCCAACAGTGGCATCACAAGCCTCAAACGCAGTCATTCCGTCAAGTCCAATTTTGCTCTCCGCAAAACTTCACTGCCGAGCCGCACCTCCATTGCCAACAAGGAAAATGAGTCCTTCCTGGAAGAGGAAGAGCCCGAGAGTGAGGCAGAGAGCAACGCCGGCACCGAGCGTCGAACAAGCTACGCCGGCACCGAGCGCAAGGCCAGCTATGCCGAGACCTGTACCGATAGTGTGGTGACTGGAGTGACTGAGAGCATTGCATCAACTGATCGCCGTACTAGCGGTATAAGCACTGTTGATGCAAGCACCATTGATGGACATGACGAGTCTGACAGAGCATCCGAATCAGATGATGATGATGATGCTCAGACTGCCCGTGAGGACGACGATGAAGAGGATCCGGAGGAAGAAGAGGAGGGGGAGGAGGCAGGGGACTCTGAGACCGAGGATGAAGACAAAATACAGGATGCGGTGGATCAACAGCTCTCGGAGACTGCCTCTGCCATGGAAGCAGAAGTCTTGAAATTGTTGGCTCCACCTACAGACAGCGGCCTTGGTACCGAGTTGGTGTCTACCTAAATTTCTATCTCTTTGAGCCCTTGGGAGTTGAGGTTTTTCATGTGTTTTCTTTTTGATATACCACTTTGTGTGTTTTTTTATGGCCCTGTATGACTTCCTTTTGTGTTGAATGAATGAACTATTATTTTCGTGCATATGTATCACTCGTAATGGTCTTCTGCCATAGTCATATAGTCTCGTGTAAATCCATATCGCTCCATCAAGCCTATATGGGGCCATAAAGAATGCATATAGAACCCGTGAACCCCAGGTTGGCATGTGGTGTGGTCACCTGCCCCGATAGGAAGGAGGTCAGGTGATCTCCCAACAGATCTCGCTGCCTCAGGCGCTGCCGAGGCCGCCTGCTCCGGAGCTTCACTCCGTCCTCTTCTTAGTCTCTCAGCTGTTGCGCCTGAAGCCCCCTTTCGATACAAAAGGAGGCTGGCCGGTGCACTGGACAGCTTGATGGTAGATCGGGAACAAGACTTTGCGTCCCCGGTATAGATACCCACCACTACCTTCGACCCCGACCCCGAGCTCCCCACAGCGGGTGATAAGAGCTGGTCGTCGAGGTACGCGCCGACAATGCTCGACCCTCTGGGACCCCCTCCCGCCTGGCTACAGGACTTTATCAAGCCCTATGCCCTCAAATTCAACAGTCCGACTCTCACTGAACATATTCATGAAGTCATTGGCGCCTTCATCTTTTACCAGTTCATCCACTCGGTCATTTCCCCGTGGCTGTCGCCGATCTTGTTTCCCCGCTCCTATCCCGCTCTCAGTGCCCGCACCAAGCTGAACTGGGATATCCATGTGGTATCTTTGATCCAGAGTGTTCTCATAAATGTCCTCGCACTATGGGTCATGTTCGTTGATAAAGAGCGAAGCTCGATGTCGTCCGGCGAGCGCGTATTCGGGTACACCGGCGGCTGCGGCTTAATTCAAGCCTTGGCTGTCGGGTACTTTATTTATGATCTGATTGTGAGCGCGGTCCATCTGCAGATGTTTGGCATCGGCATGCTCTTCCATGCAGTCAGTGCGCTGTGGGTATTCAGTCTGGGCTTCGTAAGTTCTCTTGTTTGTTTTTTTTTCTCGATATACGGCGCCGATCCGTTTCTGGTTATCGAGATTAGATTGTTGACACTTGCTTCGGATCTACAGAGACCCTTCCTCAACTACTATGCGCCGGTTTTCATTCTCTACGAGCTCTCTAGCCCCTTCCTCAATATTCACTGGTTCCTTGACAAAGTCAACATGACCGGCAGCCGCGCCCAGTGGTATAACGGCATGGCCCTCCTCTCGGTCTTTTTCTGCTGCCGCCTTGTTTGGGGAACTTGGCAAACCGTGGTAGTTTACAGGGATATGTGGTTTGCTCTGCAGCAAACGTGGTCCGCGTCTTCATCTCCTCTGCAGGGTCCCGTTGACATTAGCGCGAATGTCTTCCAAATTCGCGACGGAGGCATGTGCATCGACGAGGCCTGCGCACGTGCGAATGCTGAGATCGCTCTCTTCAAGGACCACACCGCCGCCGGTGTTCCTACCTGGTTGATCGCGACCTATGTCGCCTCAAACCTGATCCTGAATTTCCTGAACTATTTCTGGTTCTCCAAAATGGTCGAGACCGTTCTCAAGCGCTTCCGTGGTCCTGCGGCCGGTTCCGGAGCCAGTGACAAGAAGACTGATGAGAAAGCAGAAAACCTTGAAGAGATTGCCCAAGAGATTATTCTGGAGGCTGCTGCCAAACTGGAGCAGGAGGAGAGTGCCGTCTTGCGTGGCGAGCTCCCGCTAACATCGGAGCAGATCTCTTCGGCGATTGATGGCAACATTGGCGAGGAACTACGCCGGCGGAGAGCGGAGTTGATATCTAAGGTGCCTCTGCCTAGTGCATGAGAGTTAGACTTGGCGATGGATGGAAAGAGACGAACGAGAGTCTCAAGACAGCGGGGCAGCTTTGGTTGGCTTTGGTTGCATCTGCTTGAAACCGGGTTTGGACATCACTTTTGTGTAGGTATCGCTCATTCTGTCTATTATTGTGCTGCAGTGCATCATTTTGGATCTGAGTTGGTGTAATTGTCATTTTACATGCTGAATACATATATCCTTTTGCCTTGTATGATTATCTCATCGCTTCCTATAACCTCTTCTCTCAGTGGCCTTGGCATGGAAGACCCAGCTAAAATCCCGTATACACGTACCTTTCAGTCTGTCTTCATGCTATTATGTCACGCGGGTTGATGGATGAACAGACGGATCATCCTGGGATCGCTTAGGCCGAATACATGTACCTCATTCAGTATACATAGACTGCACAAACCTTAAACCTAGCTCTATCCATTTCGTTCATTCCCTACACCCGTATCAAGATCTTCACTGTAAAATCACTTCCATTTTAAACTACCGAATGAGTATCCCCTGACGAGTCTACCGAGCAAAAACAATTTCTCTCTTTTTTCTACTGCAATTGTCACGATGTAGCTTCTTCATAGTTAGCTCAAGCATTAGTCAATTCAAGTGTTTTGTCTACGCGCTTGAGAAACCAACAACATTCGAACACCTGAGAAGACATCGATATTGTACAAGGCACTCAACAGTTTATACATCACTGATATCATCCCGAACATCTTCCACATGGCTATCAATCACCTGTGGTCTCTTTTCATGGTGAGATTGACTCGCTTGCCGCTCTTTCATCCGCTCCATCATTTTCTTGGCGAAGGGAGACCTCTCACGAATAGCAGGGCCGTTCCGGTAAAAGAAATAAATTGGAACGGTAACCAAAACCGAAATGCACGCAAGGATAGTCGAGGCATATTCATAAGAATGGGTCGGACCGATATTTTGAAACATCGGGGTCGAATACATAGCTGCTATGCCTGAAAGGAAATCGCGTGCGAAGTCATTTCCTCCCGTCGCAGACGCTGCATACTCACCGTAGGCGGCAACGGTATAATCGATTGAAGATTGATATATCGAGTACTGTATCACAATATGTGTCGGCTGGGATATGTAAGATGCAGTATTGGGACTCTTACATTTCCGATTCCTATCACCGCTGTGAAAATCATAGGAGCAATCCAAGGAACATGAGGTGGCCCAAAACTTGTCCAGGCAAATCCAAAAAGGCCAATCGGTAGACATGGTATCACTGTACAGTGAATAAGAATTTGCTTCTGGCCTAATCAACGTTTGTCAAATGATACCGTATAATAGCCACCAGAGCCGTGCTTCTGGAAGAACCGACTCTGACCCGAATTTTTGCCGCCTCCGTCTGAACATATGAATGGATGGCAGGAAGGAGAGATAAGCCAGAAAATAACCGACAAGTAAACTAGAGTAGCGGTCCGCTATCAGTATGAACCTGGACCGTGGAAAGTATGAGAGTTAATAAGAAAGAGCGAATGCGATGTCGCTTACGGGATAAAAGCGAGGCTAATTTGAATCGTCCCAAACCCCCACTGCTTATAAACTAGTTGGAACCCTTGAAGAAATGTAAAGATTAACGAATCACTGAATCCACTCAAGAGGGAAAGCCACATCACAATAGGCTCGGTGAAAAGCATATGAAACGGTCGAATCCAAACCGTCCATATCTCTCGCGGAGAGAGAAAAGCCGTGGAGCTCGTGCGGTCCCCAGATATTCGATTCGCCCGCTTTGCGTCTCTTTTTTGCTTCCCTGTCAAGGATGATGGTAGCTCTGGTTTCCGGGACCAATATGAAATGCATCAACTGAACTGAGCCACCGGCGATGAGCTGAACCCAGAAGATCCAAGCTAGTGGCTGCCGTACTTCCACAAAACCACCGACGACAGCTCCAACGACTGATCCTCCGACAGATGATAACACAAGGAACGCAACGGCATATTCTTGATCATCAGGCTCCCACATATCTGCAATGACGCCCAGGGTCACTGAACCTCCTGCCGTGCTCAACCCCCCAAGCAGACGAACCACGACATAAGTCGCGAAGTTGGGTGCAAAGGCACAGGGCAATTGCCATATATTGACGAGAAATAGACTGAGTTGTTGTGTGGGCCAGCGCCCAAGCTCCTCGCTCCACGGCGCCCAGAGTTCGCATCCGAACGCGTAAGCGCAGAGAAAGGTTAACTGGGGAATCCTCGCAACTTGTTCGCTGACATTGTGCTTCTCGGAAATCTTCAGCACAGCGTTGGCGTATAGACTTGCATTGAGATTGATGGATATCTGGATGCAGAACATCACGCAGAGAATCATCCATTTCCTCCAGACGGGAAAGCTGTATCCGAGCTTGTCATAACAGGCAGCTTCGGTTAGTTCCACTTTATCGCCACTTGGCATGGGATTTTCCTCTTTGCCAACGTGGTTTAAATCCTGTCCTGGTTGTGACGAAGAGATTGATCTATCATGATTGGGGGCTTCGCTGATTGCGTCTTTGGACGATATAATAGGAGAGACCATGATTGGGACTCAAGTGTCACTTATTGACACATTGCGCATTTCAAATTGAAATCAGCCACAACCGCATGTCCAGAAAACTTATAGGGTCCTATGAATGTCCCGGTCGTATATGTCATCGCGTTGAGGATATTTATGACGTCTGTGGAGATCCCGAGCCATGGAATTCTAGACTGTCTAGTGTCTACCCCGGAGGGTTCTTTATTTGTTTGGGCGATCCATTCCTGGCGACAAATCATACTTCGACAACAGATCAACATTTCCTCCATCATGATCTGTGGCTACGGTTTTCATTGGGCGCCAAGGATACCATGAAAATTGAGTGGACGGCTGCCAAAAAGCCGAATCGCATACGATTTGCAAGCCGAAAACCGATCTAACCAGTTTTTCCCAGGCCGCTCACGGGGACCAGAAGCCGGCAGTACCTTGTCATCTCTGAGCCTGAACACATTCATGGAAGCGAAGACGGCCAGGATAGGAAAGCCCTACCCACCAGACATTATGTGGTATATATAGCTGCGAAGTTGTCCCTGTTAACAAAAATTAAATAACCAGATATACAATTTATAACAGAACTCGGTTTCCCACACCCTTGCTTATTGACAAAAGCCTGTTTTCGGTCTGTCTTCCACTTTTGAAACCGCGAATCTTGCTTGCCCTTCTACTACAATTTGTATGACAAAATCCGAGTCAAATCAACCTACATGTAGTAAGCAAAACAAGGGGAAAAAAAGGACAGACTTGAATCGCACGCCATGCACAGCAGCAGACTGGACTCCTCTTTCCCATTTCTGTCAAGAACAGGAAACAAAAGAGCACGCACAGTAACAGTAACGCTCGAGTCAAATTGTAAGAAGAGATTACAGGCAGCATGATTTTACCATATAGCACTTGAAAAAGAAGCAATTTGTGAAAAGAACTAATAAGAGCAGAAGAAAAAAAAACAGAAAGTATAGAACCACAATAGACCAAGAGAAATCTCACATTGGTTGAATCTTTCGTTGCGTGTAAGGGCCATTTGAAAAAGGATCAATCAAGCATAATTCTTAACGAGAGAAGAGGACAAACAACTAGTCAGTTAAGAGAAGCGGCAGTCAGCCAATGAGATAAACCATGCACAGACGCAAACGCTTGCGCAAAAACAGTCTTGAATTATTCACACAGTCTGGTCATTCGAGGTAGGGATCTTTGCTCTGCCTCAAGTCTATTAGAATAAGAAGCGTGACGTAACGTAACGAATGTGCGGTCTGTCTATAACAGACCCAGGGTATGGATTCTAGCTTGAACAAGAGCAGAGGCGGCTGAGTAGTACAGGGGGATATGGGCAAATGTGGGGTGAAGAGAATGGATAAAAAACAGAACGAAGAGAGTTCAACGCAGAGGTAGCAGACATGACCAGGGGCATAATTTTGAATAACAGCCTGAAAGGGGGAAAAATAAGACAAGGGAACATTCTTTCGCAAAAAAGGAATAGGAAAAAAGAAACGTGACGGTTCTGGGGATAGCAGGCAGTAAATCAGGAAACGAACAAACAAGAGATAGGGGAAAAATCAAATATCGAGCAGGTCTAGGAGGGCGAAGATCCTTTGGTCAAAAGGCCGGGGAACAATGAAAAAAGAGGAGACGGAGTTCGAGGTGTAGTGAAGAGTCGGATAGTGACGAATTGTACAGAGAGTAAAGCGGGGGAGGAGAATTAAGGTGAAAGAGAGGTCATTCAGGAATTAAGCGAAAGACCCTGGAAGCGGCCAACCCACTCGTTCTGGGCAGGATGGATCCGAGCTGCTCCGTTAGAGCCGGCACTACCACCAGGATAGTCAGAAAAGCCAGTCTCCAGGGGGCCAAAACTGGTAGGGGAGTAAGGCGCGAAAGCATCTGCTTGTGCAGCCTCAACCTGGTGGGACGGCTGTGCAAATTGTTGGTACGAGTCGGTAAATGCCGAACGAAGCATGCCCACTGGATTGGCCATTGCCTCACGCCCAGTCTCAACCGTGTCCCGAGCACCGCTATAGGGTGCTCGGCCGTCATGCTGATGACGGCGATCAGTATGCGGAGCATCTTGATTGTAAAGCGGGTTCGTGATGCCGCTGGGTGGTCCGGGAAGACCAGCTGCGGGGGGTGTCACGAAGGAGGCAGGGTTGATTGCAGACATCCAGATCCGGGTCTTGTATATCTTGAACAGATCCGTGACCAAGGAGTTGAAGTTGATATAGGAATCGGCAAAATAGTAGAAGGTGAGCTTCTTCCAATCCCTAATTCAATATTAATTAGAAATCACTCTTGGAAAATTTCCTCGACGTATCGCAAACTTCAACCTACATTTGGAACTCGGCATCCAGGATTTCCATATTCAGCCGATGCTCGGCTACTTTTTGCTGACAGACTCGCTTTGCTTTAGCCTCATTGCCTTCTTTATCGCGCAGAGTGAGAATCTCGTGGTTTTGTGCAAGGCGCTTGATGAGTTTGGGTTTGATGTCTGTGGTGGTCTCTTGTACGCCGTGCGCATGGGGACCCATGCCACCAGTGGCACTGCGAGCATTCATACCCGCACCGCCACCGACGTTGGAGCCCTCAAGTTGTCCTTGACGAGAGAACATCATGAGCCATTTGTAATGTTCCTCTGCATATTGCTGTTTGAGCTCTCGCGCTTTCTGGAGTGACACATTTGCATGTTGAACAGTGCCCAGATCGGTTCCTCGGTCCGCCTCGACGATGACGAGATCTCCTGCTTTTACTTGAAGACCGGTATCTTCCTGGATATAGAACACATCGGCGCGGTGACATTTAAATGTCACAATATACAACAGCTGGTTCTGATGGGCATGAGACAAGGCTGGAGGCTGACGGCCATAAGCGCCAGACATAGCGTATTGATTGAGTGAAGTGGGAACCCCAGAGGATCCATCACCCCGCAAAGTCTGTTCACGGGAGTAATAAGATTCTTTAATGACAAGGGATCAGTTTCATAAACATAAGGGGTCTATTAATAGAGATTACTCACGAGATTGCATCGACGGGTTAGAATAGTCGTTGATATTTCCATACCCATCATCACGTTCTGCAAGACCAGCGCGAGGTGTTACAGTTACATGAGAGTCAACCGAGCCGACAGACGTATGACGCATGGGAATATCGGCGAATGAATGGCGACGGCTCTGAGGAATATCCGCGACACCTCCGAAGCCGAGAGAGGTCTGCCAATGAGCCTTGCGAACGTTCTCGAGCGCACGGTTTTCCAAGGAGGAGCGAATGAAGAGAATTGCTGCTCCAAATTGGCGGAATGTTCCGAGAAGCGCCGTCGTGGGTTGCCGCGCATGTTGCCGTAACCCTGGATGTCCCGTAATTCTCCCAAATCCTCGACTGCGAGATCTTCCTCCGGAACGCTGCCTCGGATCCGATGCAGCGAGTGAACGCCACCGGCAACAGATGCGGAGGAAGAGGCACGATCCCGGAATCGATTATCCATCTGGCCTGCGGCAGCCTGGCGTAGCATTGCATTTTCACGAGCGAGCTGCTCAATTTGTCTTGCCTGGCTAGCGGAATAGTTGAGATCGTCGGAGCCACTGGGACTTTCATCACCATCGTCGTCTTCTCGAACACGACCAAGCATGGCCGGATCATGCCCCAATTCACCCAGCACACTTGGCCGTGAAGCACGAGGCTGAACGGAGGACATCTGGCCTGGACCACGAGAACGACCACCGGGGTATTGAGCTCCCGGCCCGGCCTTGTTTGCCATCATGCCAAGGAACTCAGGGTCCATCTGCCCGACGGAATAGGACTGGGAGCGGTATGTTTTGGGAGTCGGGTGAAGCGGGATCGAGAAAGGGATGGCTGATTCGCCAGAGATAGTGCGAGTGATCGGGCTGAGCATTTCCTCTCCGAGGGAGCCGCTGACTGGCGGGGGGTTGGTCATGGTTGGAGAAGGCACGATTTCGGAAAGTCGTGACGGAGGTTCCTTACGAGACTCGGTGTTCCAGATGCCCGTGCCCCATGGAAAGGTGCTCCCTCCAGGTTGGTTCCAATTGAAGGAGCCGCTGAGGCCGGGGCTGGTGCTCGACGCCCATGGTGCTTGATCGGTCGAGGGGCTCGCGGGATTTGAGGGTGCAGAAGAGAGAGGACCACCAGGTAGAGAGTGCTTTCGCTGGACGGCGAGAGGCACTTCATTCAGCCATGAGGTCCGTCGTACAGGCTTAGTCGCGGGCGCAGTAATGGTCTGGGTGAGAGGGACATGATCGCCGTCATCGTCGGATGAAGCCAGTGCCTCGGAATCGGGTGTCGAGCGGCGCACTCCAGGATGACCCCTCTCTAGTCTGGCAGATGCGGTGGCTCCCGAGACCGGCGGCGTGCTGGCCTGTGCTTGTTTATTGAATGGCGCAGCCATGATATCTGGTGGGAAATACTGGCATTTCCGTTAGCTTCGAACCTCTCACAGAATCACACACAACGCGCGGGGCTAAAGAGGCGAGGCCAGTGTTAGGGGAAGGGAGGATGGGGCAAAGCGTCAGGGTAGGACGAACTGTAATAGGGGAGACTTGAATGGTAGTAAGGTCACTGGTAAGAAGCCTATACCGTATCGGCACCTATCATGCCAAGTCAAACACACGCGACAAAGCACCGGTCTTTGTTCCACGCGCTCGATGAGGTTGGAGAATAAAAGCCAATCTCGATCTTATGAAGACACGATGTGAAAGGCTGGATGGATGTGCTATGTGCAACAACACTGGATGAACAAGAATGTCAGTCATCGCCTGGTCATGATCGTCAAAGAGAAAAAAAATAGAATAGAATGAAGACAGAGTGATGGAGAAATGATGCTCAGAAGAAAATTGATATCGTGGAGAATTAATTGGATGGGCAAGAGGCACGTGTTAAGTGACATGATGAGGCTCATCATGTCAAAGCGGGGAATCTCCGACTCTCCAGCTCTCCAACGTGCGAGCGCAGCGGACGGTTTCAATTGGACCGGCGACGGTACACAAACACGACACGAGAGTCTGAACACGGCGAGTCGGATGAAGATCAAAAAGCAAGAGACAAAGGGTAGGGTACGTCGGGCAGAATCGCTTTTCGGGGACAAAGAAGCCAGAGTCATCGATTCGCGCCGCAGCGCAGCATGCGGCGCATGCAGTAAGACAAGGCGACAAGTGAAACTTGGCATATGTGCCACACCGACTTCTCGAACACGTACCTGGCAAGATAATCAATCTAGTATGAGTCTACCTCGATCCGCGGCTGCGGGGGGAGGCCGCCTGACGCCGAGGGAAATGGAAGAAACGCAGAGAATGAAAGGAGACAAGGAAAGGAGCCGTGATCGTAATGGTATCTGTCGCAGGCGACGCGGTTTCCCCCTGATGTGTGAGCCGGGCGCATTCAGGGACAGGCGGCGGACACGGATTGGGGATGATGGGAGGTCCAGATCCTGCGCGACTCACCACTCTAAGGATATTTCGGTCTCTCACGTCGGGGAATATCTATCACAGAATCGATGCGCCAGCGTGGGTTTCGTGGGTCTCGTCAAGTATCGTCGACTCCTTTGCAAGAATTGTCTCCAGGAGGAGGGGGGGGGAGGTTCCGGAGGGGGGAGTGAATGGTCCGGCGAAGCGACCGCGTCGAGGTCGATTGGAGGCGGCGCAGTGAGCGAACCGACTTAGTTGGTGCGCGAGTAGCAGCAGGGGGGTGGGGGAGGCCGGGTGGTCACCAGCAGCGACCGGGGGGCAGGGTGAGAGGGAGACGGAGAGGGGAGGAGAGAAATGCGCCGTCGCTGAATGGAGGTCGCGTTGGTCTCTGCCTTATCTCTTGTGCTTCGTGTGTCTTTTGCTCTTTGCTCTATCGATGATTGATTGATCGCCACCGGTGGAGATGAGCGAATGCGCTCGGAAAGGCGTGAGGGGAGCTTTGGTAGCGTGACCACGGATGACGTTGTGGAGCAACCGAGACCCTTCAAGGGCGGCTCATGGTGTGGGAGGATGAAAGGTAAGCGAAGCAAGAACAGAAAAGAACCGAGACGATTCCGCGGGAAGGGGGAATGGATGGCACGAGGTGGAAGAGGGGAGAAGGAGAAGGGAAGAAGAGAGTCGTGGTCGTAGAAGTAGGAAGGGTAAGGCGGGGGAGAGCAGGAGCGATCCCAGAGTCCGTGGAACTGGGGTAAAGTGGTAAAAGTGGTAAAGTGGTAAAGTGGTAAAGTGGTAAAGTGTAAGGTGGTAAAAGTGTACGGGGGGTAAGGTGGTAACTGGGGCAGGGAAGCTGGGAAGCTGGGAAGCTGGAAAGCTGGTACGGCCGTACGGCGGAGGACAAGAGGACGCGATGGGTACAGCTGTGTACCAAGTGGGTTCTGATGGCACGATAGTAGGATAGTATGGATAGGAAAATGGTATGATGGGTATGATGGTATGATGGTACAATGGTACAATGGTACGATGATACGATGATACGAAAGGACGTCGAACGGTCCGTGGTCTCGGACGGGGGTCGTTGATTGCCCGTAGTGCAAATGGCCGGTCAAGTGCCCGTCAAAATGGGGGAAAATGGGGGGTGGGAAAACCACGGATTTGGCAACGTCGCCCCGAAAGAAGATGTTCAGGTTCAGGGGACACGGACCATCTTCCTTCTCCCGCAGACAGGAGCTCTGCCAGCCTACGCGAGACTCCGCTACCCTTCAACGCAAGACCCCTCTATATTCGACACGAACGGACACGGAGGATAGAGAACGAGCATTCCAGGGCGATCGACGTCTACCGTTCCCCCTCCCCTCGGCCGCCCCACGCTTCCGCGAGAAATCCCCGAGTCCCCCGAGTCGGCCAGAGGAAATGACACAAGAGACCTGGAAGTTCTCATGAGCAACAATGGAATTGAGATCCCCCTCAAAAAAGTCCACCTCGTGGGGATCTCGAAGCCCCTGATGCTGGAACGCGAGACCGAGACGATTTCTCCAGATCCAACCACACCCATCGCCATCCAGGGCGCTCCATAGGCCCAGGCCGTGTCCCCGGAGCCACTAAGGCCTGCAGCGGAGCCTGGGACGGGCGGGTCTCTGGGGTTGAGGAGGCCACAGCCGACGATCATCTGGGGGTTTCACTGGGCAAAGCGAGACGGCGTTAAAGCCGCCCTGCAGCCCCCATGTCCCAAGGCCCATGTCAAAGCGAAACCCCATGCAGCCCCTGTCAGCCCGCAGGAGGGGCAATTATTCGACAGCTGTCTGATTGGGCTGGCTCTGCTGGATCCGTATGATGATGCCAAGATTTCTCTGTACGAGTCTTTTCTTCGCGGTTCCCAGATGTACGAAGGAGGGTACGCGAGTGTCGAAAGACCATATCCGCGATGCATCCGCATCTACCCATCTATCACCACGAGTAGGGTAGACACTCCCCGCTATTGGTATCCCATTACCTTCTCGAGCATACATGCCACCAGATCTCGCGGCGATCATAGACCGACAAGCATCATCAAATTTAGTTCACTACGTACGGGACCTTGTTTTGGGGGGGGGGGGGGTACATGAGGCAAGATCCTTGCATCGGCCGGACCAATCTCGATGTCCCCTCCTTCCCTCTCTCGGTTTTTCTATCCCGCATGGTCAATGAGCCGGGTCGCGCACACACACACATACACACACACGTCCCCCCGGTATATACCCCTATACCTATACACCTCTCCATGCAGGCCTACGTGTATACGTTGCGGGGGGTTCTACCCCCTACCTCGGATAATGATCATGAATTGATTGCCATCCCCCATACCTGCTCCCTCATTTCGACTCATTAACCCCAGATCCGTCTGCCCCGACCTATTTCCTGCTTACATCCCTACTCTATCATCATCTGCACGAGGGCCGGGCCTTCCTGCTTTCCTGCCAGTGAAAAGTCGGCAATACCTCCAGAATGACGCGGGCACTGTTCACGGGACAGCTGTGGAGGGGCTCAGCCCAATGAGGCTTGTTCGTCTTCCCCCGGCTGCCCCCTCCTTTTCCCCAGAGAGGGGCCGATCCTTTGAGATGATTTGCTTTGGATTTTGCGGGGAGAGCTCCCTCGCCACGACCCTCCCCCCCCCCCCCCCTCCTCCTAAAAGCACACGGTCCAATACTCGCCCTCGTGAGAAGGACTGGGTTGAGGATTACATACATATCCCCGAATTCTACCTATACCGGTACAATTAATACCTAGAGAGTCAATTCCTGGAGTCAATCTTAGCTGCTGCTTCGCTCTCAACGGTCCAAAATGCCCCCCCTCTCCCCTTCGTCCCACCTCGTCCGTCATACAAGTGCGAGCGAGGTGAACTCAAGCGCTGCCCTCAGCCCCAACCTAAATTTCACCGCGCCCGCCCTTGTTTCCTGCTACGCGGGACTGCGCGAATCAATCCGCGCCCCGAGCTTCCGGCCTGATTGTCGCCTGTCCAACCTCCGTCGTACTGATCGAGAGGACTGTGCCTTCGCTCCCTTCATCGACCTCGAGGCCCGATGGTGGCAAAATTGGCAGCAGCTGGTAGGTGTTGGGTGAGGGAGGGGCCTGTTCCTAAAAAGTACTTCTAGAAATTCTAAGACGCCCGCGTATGGTTCTCTATTTGTCATGACCCTTCGCTCATTCCTGATAGGTTTGCATTGATGACTGGCAATGGAACTCCAGTAGTGGGATTCGACATGCTATCTCACTCCAGGGCTGGAGGTCTTCACTGGGTAGTAGAGAAAAGAAAAACGTTTAGAGGTAGATATCGATTGTGGATTCGGGAAAAAAAAAAAAAAAAAACAAAAAGGGCTCGGAGAGCTAACCGGGACCCAGGTAGGTTTTTTTTAAGTTATAGAATGTCACGAGAGGTCTAGTATAGACCCATATCCCATATGTCCTTCTGCTGTCTTTTTGTCGCCTCCCACTACACTTCCACCACACCCAGCCAAGATTCGTCACGAATCGCCCTCAACCAAGAATTCAAGAATTGAGAGGGAAAAAAAATTAAAGAAGCTTCATGGTTCATTCCTGGAACCTCCTAAGCTCCGTCAAACCATCCCTCTCCTCCGCCTCGTCCTCCTCTTTGACCGCGATTTATTACGTGCGCAATCCCGGCCACGACCATGCATGGCCTTTCCCCCCTCCTTCCTCTTCCTCCCCCACAAGCACAGAACTATAACCGTAACCAAAAGACCCCCGTAGAATGATCTCACTCCCGGTCAAGATCCCAATGTCCTTGATTAATCCTCAAGACCCCCTACTCTCAAGCCCACGACCCTGTCCTCCAGAAACCCTCCCTCCTCCTCCTCTCTCCCCAACACCTTCAGCGTTCCCAAATCCAAGCACGTCGAAGGGGGAGAAAAGGCTCGGCCAAAGAAAAACTGCTCACGACAGCGCCTCTCTTGGTCCTGCCACACACACACCTGGTCTCGACCGGCTCGGCCTATCCCGCGAGGTCCAGCCTCCGGGGGAGGGGGGTTCTGTTGTTATGTAGTTGACGTATGTGGACGGGTGCGATTGGGCTGGCTTGGGAAGGGGACCCAGACACCTCGGGCCCGAAAAAACCGCAGCAAACAATCGAGGCCGCTGAGTGGCTTGCTCGCGCCACCCCCGCGGTGAGCTTTGGTGCTCTAGAAATCACTGCAGAGCTTCGCGAGCATTTCGCGGTACGAGTGCGGGGCCCCCGAACACGATTGATAGCAGCGCATGGACGGGGCGGCTGGATATACGAGCGACTCTGGTGGAGGGGGGGCTTCTCTCCAGGCGCGGGCGAGAAGTAAGAAAGAGGGAGAGAGAGAGAGCGGCCTTGACGTGCTGTAATTCCTTTCACTGGCTCTGGTCACGCTCTAAAGCCCCGCGTTACCTGCAGACGGGCCGGATTCCCCTCCACACTAGCAGAGCCCGACCCAAAGGGACTGTTTGTCTAGATCGTCGCCGAGGTTCCTGGAACGGTGGCCGCTTTTGGGTGGTGGGGGGTCTAGAATTATACGATGGAGTCTAGGTCTGCCGGTTGGCGTTGGAGGGCATGGACAGTCTTTCCCTCCGGGCGTGCATGGTTCTAGAGCCGTGGATAAAGCATGGATGGCAAGGACTTGGGTCATGCGCAGATGGGTTATAACTAATATACAAGATTTTGGGAGACACAGATCCAAAAAAAAATAAAAAAATCAAACAAATAGGCGGTGGGCATCGGAAGCCCAATGCACATCCGGAGAGTCGTCAAATATTCCCATGGAATGACCGATTTGCACCGCTTACGGCGCATTGTCCAGCGCGCTTGAGGCCGTGGCCGCGGCACCCTTCTGCTGGCGCAGCTTCTCCTCGAACTTGGCGAACTCGTGCATGGAGATCTCCTCCTCCTGATCCATGACCTGTTCCACACCCTTGACCTCCTCGATCTGTAAAGAAAAGAAACTATTAGTGATTCGGCCAAAGAAGAATTCACCACCACAACGCCAGTGTGAGACTCACGTAGTGCATTAACATCGACTCAATACCATTCTTCAGAGTCACTGTGCTGGAGTCGCATGTCCGGCAAGCGCCGCGGAGCTTGAGCATGACAATACCATCCTCGAAGCCACGCAGCTCGATGTCACCGCCGTCCTCCTGGATGGCCGGCCGGATGCGGGTCTCCAACAACTCCTTGATCATTCCCACAACCTCATCGTCATCTTCGTTGAAGGCAAGCGAATCATTCTCGCCTTCATGAGAGCCCTCGGCGCCGTCGGTCTCAATGGTTGACACGATGGTCTCACCGGCGGTCACGGCCTGAGTGATTAAGCTGAAGACCTCCGGCTTGATGTGCGCCCAACTGACATCGCTGGCCTTAGTCACGGTGATGAAGTCGGCGCCGTAGAAGACGGAGGTGACACCTTCGACATCAAGCAGTTTCGCGGCGAGAGGGGACGGATGTGGTGCGGCGAGGGTGGAGCGCGGGGAGAGGTATTCGAGGAAAGTGGTGGGAAAGTCCTCGGGGAGGACGCGATGGTTAGGGATGAACTTCAAGGCCTATGGCGGGGGGAAGAAAGCAATAATGTTAGAAGGTATGGCCATGGTGTATTCTCGCCGCAAAGGAGGCGGAGAGAGAGGGGGGCCAGATAGGTGCTCACATCGGGGTTGGGTGTGTTTTCCGTCTGGATGAAGATCGTTCGCCGGCTAGTCGGTGACAAGCCGTTCACTCCACTCTGTGCTACAGGCTGCTGGTGCGGCCGTACTGTCGGCCGACGACGGGTCTCAGATGCTGTAAGAGTAGGCAGCCGGGCAGCACTAGAAACATTCCGGTAGATACTGAATCCCGCGGGTCTGGTAGTTCGAGCGCAAGCCTCGGAGGATGGGATGGCCCACCGAGCGCCAGTAAGCGCACGGCGGAACATGTTGGTGGACGTGGTGCTCATTGACATGACTGAAAACAGAATCTCTGGGCTATGCAATGCAGCTGCCAGTATGTTCAATGGAACAAAAGATGTTTATCAGAAAAAAAGCGCTGAGAGGCGCCGGAGCGCGGACTCTGACGCAATGTCTGGGTCATGTGACTTCGGAGAACGGTGAGATGACAAATCGGCAGACCCGGCGGCCCAATAGGAGAAGACGTTTTTCTCATAGAATCTGCCGATGTTCGGAAAGCCATAGATTCATGGTCATACACCTTGCTCGATCGCCTGACTGAAAAAAGCAGTGGCTAGGGAGTCCAATTCATCTCTTGTCCATATTTCCAAGATCACGGTCTACATCATTCGGCAAGATCTCCTCAAGCAGAGACCCTACATACTGTGACGTAGTCACTATATTGTAGATGTATGCCAACCATCTTAGTACCATCAACCGGAGAACGTTAAGATTATACCGCGTGGATGCCTTAAGAGCGATTGTGTTGTTTGGGTGTCTTCCCGCCACATCTAGTTGTAAAAGGCGAGTCATTACCTGATTGATGTCCAAACATGTAATACCATAGACATGGTAGTAATCAACATCTTGTCTGACACTTGGGGCAATGGTACTATGTACAGATTAAACGTCACAGAAAATACATTGGAGACATGTAATCTCAAATATACATATATCGTATCTTTGGGTAAAAGGGGCCAAAAGACCTGAAATGTTACATTAGTTGGCCTCTGACTCTGGGGAAGAAACCTTTTTCCCAGTAGCAGCTTCATATTTGGGCCAGATCATGTCTTTCAGAAATGGGGCAATACCGAAGCCCAACCGGGGAAGGACCATGAAGACAGACTGGCACCATCGGTGCTTTTCCGTCGCTCCCTGGCTGTGGAAGAATTGTGTGGCTTGACTGAAGGGAGCCAGTAAGATCTGAGCTCCCATCGCCTTAGTTTCTGGCTGGACAAGAAACTTGGCCGAGCGGCAGATTAGGTCTGCATAATGCTCAGCTACATCGACCAAACTTTCGGGAGACCCCGACGGCCAGATCACATGTGACGGTATCTCGCGATCTAAGGATGTAACGTCCCATATTGTCAAGGAAACACTGTTACGCGATCGACCGAGGAAGATGAGTAAGTCGTTAATTAGTGGATAAAGAAGGATGAAGGTGGTCCACCAGAGTAAGTGAGATTCTGCGCAGGTAAGGGAAGGAAACTCAATGACGCTGGAGAAGAGGTACTGAGGGATAGAGTGGTCGAGGTCAGTCCAAAAGGACGACTGGTGGGGAGAAGACCAGGGTGTTCCCAGCTTCTCCTGCATTTCGCCATAACTATAGTCGAGTTGGTCTCTCAAAGAAAGGCCACGAGATAACAATACTTTTGCCGTATTTTGGTCCTGCAGAAGCCGAGGGACACCGTGGTGTATAAGAACGTCGATCTGTTCTATTAATTCCGAGCATTTGATGATTAAGTCGAGGATATCATCGACCGGCTGTCGCCATGGATTCTCTACTGGCGGGGCTCGCCAGAATTGATTATAAGAATACACTGATTTTCGCATGCCAATGGCATCACACACCTGGTGTATTGCCTCTTGTTATTCTTTGTTGCAGAAATATATCGAGATTTGGAGATTATAAACTCACGGTGACAAACTTCAGCTGCCGGCAGAAGAGATGTTCAGACACACTAGGTGGATTCGGACTTTCGTATTGAGCCAGGATGGCATTGCTCCCTTGAACGTGGGCCAACCATGCGCGGAAGCCCAGGGGGGACGAATTGATTAACTGCAGAATGGCATTAATATGTATATCCCTGGAAGAGAAGAGAATTTGCTTTCTTCATTGGAGGCATGTACCTCATATAATTGGAAGATGACCGTGGCAAATAACGAATCTTGACCACATTTGCGCCCTGACTGGATTCTACTGTGGACGATCTGCAACGCTTCTCCGTACAGCCTCGTGCTGTACACTAATAAGTCCGGATCATGTTGGCGCTTGGCTAGAAACGCGGCACTGAGGGCTGTGATAGCCTTGTCGAGGACTAGACTGCTGCTAACAAAGAGAGGAAAAGTATCCTGCAAGTGCGTGACCGCAGCACCTTTCCCGTCCCGAATTTCTGCCGAAGGTTCGAAGCAATCGATGAAGTTTGCGACAAATTGCGTTCGCACTCCTGAATTGACATTGAAGTGGGAAATATCCAATTGCGTCTTAGGCAAGCTGGACTCGACTGCTTGGCTAGTTCCCTTCTTGACAGGGTCCCGCGACCGCCGGAACAGGATCTTGTCGTATTCAATTGAATTGTGGATGAAAACATAGTTCCTTTCATATCCGGTGCAGACGTGGCCGTTCTTCAGGCACCGCATGCACTCGGGCTTAGCTTCATCGCACTAGACAAGGGTCAGGATTGGGATACTTGATCTTGGGTCACTGGTCCCGCTGGAAATCGCAACCAGTCCACCCGAGCAGACAGGCAACCCCTACCTTGACTTTCCTCCGACGGCAAGTATTGCAGCCTTTGGATTGGTAAGGAGTACCACCCATTTCAATGGGGATGGATGCGATCTCCGCGGGGGCTCGGTACGCGCGGATAATCCATTAATAACGGGGCGCAAATAAGCAGCGTGCTAGCTATAGGCTAGGCTCAGTACGAGTTTTCAATCAAACATCGAACATTCGGCCAGTAGTTTCTTATGCTGAGAGAGCACGTCCTGTCGAGATCATGAAGCTAGATCGTCACGTGCAAGCCTAAAACGGGCCCCGCCTGATAAAAGCGATCGAGCGATCAAAACCAAAACGAACGGGAAAGCCTAGGTTGCGGGGCGTTAACGGCCTAAGGCAGCGATCCGCAGCTTCTTTCGATTTTTCGTGATGCGGTGTTTGCACATGAGTATATGCCTCATCCTTCGCTCTCTGCCACCCGTCTTGGAGTGTTGATTGGCCCAATGTGATGCGTCAGCTCCGAGCGTCTCCAGAATTTACCTGACAAGATGCCTGGTTCCTGCGAGGTGTGTTCGTCGGAACCGTCGAAATATCGCTGTCCAACATGCGCACTGATGAGGTACGACGACAACTACCTCCCTCCGTGGCCTGAGACCATATTCCCCCTACGCCTTCTCGATAGTCTTGCTGATCCAGTGCACCTTTAGTTGCTCATTGGCCTGTTCGCAATCTCATAAAATATACTGTGCCCCGAAACCCACCCCGTTGAACGAGGATCCAGCCCAGCCGCCCGCGGCCGACGCGGGCCATCCGTCACAGCTTCAAAACGGTGACGCTTCTCCGGCACCCACCGGTAACCCGGACAGTAAACGAAGCCAGGAGCCCCCCATCGCCGCGGTCGCAACTTCATCGGAGCTCCAGGCGCTCTTTACCCGGTATCCGCAGCTGCGCGGCCAGTTGCAGGAGATGTACCAGGCTACACAGGAAGAAGAATGGCAGGAGTGGTATACCCCGCCCACGAGAGGTCGGCCCCATGGGCGAGGAGGAAAAGGACCCTCGCGTCGCAGTCGAGGTCCCTGGACCACCGAGAAGGGGTTCAACCGCGGCCTGGGCAAGGTGCGCAAGCTCCGACAGGATTGCGAGGAGGGCTCGGAGACAGGTGTCGGCGCGGAGGCTTTCATGGCGTTCCTGGCGCTTGTGAACCAGGACCACCTAGCTCCGGGGGTCTCGGGATAGGTCGATCTTGGGGATAGCTCTTCCTGTTTGGTTAAATGGTTGAGAGACCAGGGTACATGACTGGTATCGCATCGTGCCCCATTGGCCACAGTTGTCGGTTTAAATTGAATTACTCGCATGCTCATTGCTGGACAATGAATTGAAAAGGAAAAACTGCAATATACCAATTTGGGAAGTCGGAGTTATACTGTGTCTTGTGTGACGACATTTGCGGTTCTATAGGGTTGAGGTTACCCTTCAAACTGGTGTCCAATGCGGGCGAATCCCCTCTCGGCAAACACCTATCAGCCAAAGGAAGAAGGAGGGGGGTTATTCGAACTAATCTATTCGATCCATGGATTGACATCGCTTATGGCTAAAACGGGTATATTCGGTACTACAGTAGTGTGTTTGTGTGTCCTCCGTTTGACGTCCCTAGTGCTGTCGTAATCCTGGACAAAGTACGAAAACTGGGGTCCAAGCTAAAGCGCGAAGTATGCAGAGGAGCCAAGGCGAAGTACGTACTTCTTGCGGCTCCGATTTCAACAGCTCAACTCGACAGAGATACATGTGCGGTGCAGTTGTACGACACCTACCCTTTAACGGGGGAGCCATCTATTCCGTACATATGTCCCATCATATGCCTATTGTTCATCCCTGGTCTGACAGCCAGCCCCAAGACTAAGGGGAAGTAACCTAGCATCCCTAGTGGTTTTAGTGAGCTCACCTCCTTCACCACAACCGAGGACCTGGGTTCAGTGGGTTCCGTTAGCCCCTTAGGCTGAAATTTAGCGTCTCTCGCCCAAGGCGGGCCCCCTTTGGGGCGGAGACTGCACGCGGCCAGGCCCCAAGAGACCACCAACGAGCGGCAGAGAAACCACCGCAAAATTGGATACTCCGACAGCACTGGTCGCACGGGCGCCGCCAACTTGACGAGTCGAACGTGCGGGTACAGGACACCCAGCAGAGACCCTCTCAAGGGAACCGATGCGGCTCGTCTGGTTGGCGCACTGGAAAAAGGGAACACCGTGGAGGATTGAGGAGGAGCCTGAGAGGCGAAAAAAGGGGGCCAAACGAGAATAACGGACTGTTGATCAGCTAGCTGGTATGTGCTTTCTGCACAGCGTGAATGGCCCCCCTCTCTTGCACTCTTGTCCCGAGATCCTCAGGGTAATGGGGTTCGGGGGGATGAGGTCCTGCAGCTTCTGGTAGGTGGTCGAATGAGCGAATCCCACGACAAGATGCGGTTGCTGCAGCGTCATTGGGGGCTTGGCCATGGAAGGGAATCACAATTCATGCGGCGCATCTTTCACCTTTCACGACGCATCGGTGATACCTGTCGACTAAGCGAGTGCCCCGAGGTTCCCGATGCCCCTGTCAGCTATGGGCGATTTGGCGGTGGCGCCCCCCACCGCCAAACCGGCGTTGACATTGTAAACAATTGCTCCGGAGTCTGGAATCTGGGGAGTCTGGAAGACGCCGTCCCACGTAGTGTGCGAGAGACGTAGATGCTGAAGAAGCTGGAAGCACGGTATGCTTGCCCGGATGCATGGATCGGGGAGACTGCAGGTTCCATGTGCCGAGTTCAACTGCAGCTCTAGTTCCAGGGCACTCCCAGGGCTCCCCCAGGAGTTCAGCTCAGCTCAGGGCAGCGGTTAGTTGAGATGAGTGGACGATCTGGAGTCGATGACTCCGCCGATGGGGGTTGTCGATGGGGGAAATGCCAATGAGATGCCGGGGTTCAGCTTGGGTGAGAAACGCGGGAAAAAAATTGGTAAAAAAAAATTGCAAATATAAGACCCAGTCTAGAAATTTAGAAAGTACTCTCATAAAGGGCCAAAGATCAAGAACTAAAGATCAATGCTTCTTCACTCGCCGTGATCTATCGACTGGATCTTTGTTCCCTAGATTTTTATGTGATTGACCGTCTGGTCCGTTCCCACGGTTCCTTCGGGCCCACGACCATCTCGACCACCACTCGACCATTTCAACCTCGTGAGCTCAACCCTCCCCCAAACCTCCCACACCGACCAAGCGAATCGTTAGCCACATGCGGGACTAGTATATTCGTTTCCTGTGAACCCTGTGAATCCGACTCGGTCGATCTCTCGTTCGGGGATGCGCTAAATGCCCTCATCCTGCGACCGATCTTGATCCCTGCTACTTGCTCCCCCGCCAGAAAAGAAGTCGACAATGGATATGCTGCAGGGTGCATCACTCGAACACGCCCAATAACCTGACCGCCAATTGTCGTCGGCTCACCAGGCATCGCTCCCGATTCCTCATCCGTCTTCGCCATGACTTCCCAACAGTTTCGCCGCGAGCGGGCCTCGAGCGATAGAGCGCAGGCGATGCCGGCCGGGGTCCCGCCTCGCCCCGGGATGGGGAGCCGCACCTCATCTGCTCCAGCAGGGGGATTATGCAAAATCGATTCTGGCTGGAAACCCAATGCCGGCCCGAGGGTCGGACATGCTTTGGTGGAGGAGGATGAAGGATCTCCGGGGACGAGCCAGGACGGTCTGGCTCGCTCACGTTCCCGGCACCGAGGCGATGAGGTGCGTATCTGCAATGCTGAGAGATGATTTTGTCTCCTCCCTCCTCCCCTGATGGACTCACTCTGGAAGCGGATGACTAACGGCCGTTTCTATTGTTCGTCTGCAGGAATCCTCGAAAACCAGCTTACCGGAAGTGACGATTGCTGTGGTGGGAGAAGAGAATGCCGGCAAGACCAGCTTTATTCGATGCGCGCTCGATATGAAGGCCACCCCGTCATCGGTGTCGACGAAAAAGAAAATGTCGCTGGACGGGGCGGTTTATATTGTGCGGTTGCTGGAGCTCGAGCTGCAGACTATAACTCTCAGTCATGATAGGAAGATTGGCTGGCCACGGATGGGCAAGGATAACGCAGTCCCGATCATCGACGGCGTTCTGCTCTTGCATGACGCCACTCAACCGGATAAGCTCGAGGAAACGGTCGCCATGGCTGGTATGTAAAATGACCGCCCCTTCCGTTAATGTCCATCAAGACTACCCCCGGCAGGCCGAATGCTTTGACAGGCCGTCCATCTCTTGACCCTACGAAGGGAAAAAGAAGGCGACGGGGGTTTGTCCTGCATTTCTTTTAGTCTGTTTGACTGACACCGGGCATAATTATAGACGCCTTGGAAGCATCGCCTCTTCCATTCCTGCTGGTTGCCTGCAAATGCGATTTACGCCCGGAGGATAGCGAACTAGGTGCGATCCATGACCGATTTGAGATCTATCGAACTTCGCCCGAGTCGCCGCGGTCTCAACAGATGTGTATTGCACTGGTTCTGCGGAACGTTATTGCCAATAGAACTGGTGAGTGTAGAGTTTCCGTTTATTCCTCTTCTCCTTCTCTGCGAACCTTGTATGAAATCGGTGGTTGTTTGCCTGAAGCGCCGGATGGGTTGATGGGTTGATGGGCAATAGGCTGAGCCTTGACCCCCGTGGCCGGACTAAGTGGGTCGCGGGACGAACATTCGCTACCCTTTTCCCTCTGTCAGAGTCCACCGATCGACACAAGGCGAGCCCCGACGAACGAGGAGAATGTCGATAAATTCGTGGCGTTCCGCTATCTTTGACTGACTTTCTCCCTTCCAGCTTTCGTGACTGCTGCTCCTCCGAACCCCCCCTTGTCTGCCCCTCCCCCCGCCGAGGACGACCACAAAGTCTTTTCAACCCACTCCTCCTAACGACTGGCATCACACCCGTGCCAATTCCGAATCCCCTACCGCCGTTCTTACGGGAGCCGCAGGCGGCTCATCGTCGGTCTCCGATCGAACTGTCGATGGGAACGGTCGTCACCGTCCGCCCACCGACCATCCCTTCCCCTCCAACCTGGCGCAACAGTATGCTTCCAGTTCGTCTCGAAATGCCAGGAGTAATTCCCAGCCAATCCCCCCGCAAACTCCTCCTTCTGGGACGCGGCTGAATCCACGTCGACCCTCTGCACAAGGAGATTACTCTCCAACCAAAGAACACGACCGCAAGCAACTACAGACCGCCTGGCGGCATAGCGGAGGCTCGGACGCCTTTAACAGTTTTTTGAACATGGACGACGAGATGGAAGAAGGTGGACAGACTGCTAGCCCCCGCGCTGTCGTGCGCCCCAAGCCGAGCAGCGAGAGCAATTCCAGCGCAGAAACGGGACTGAGCTTTGATGAGCTTGTCGATCGTCTTGTCGCCCTGCCCATGTCGAAGCAGGACTCGAAGTTTGGATCCATCTTCCTCTGCCTTTATCGTAAATTTGCTGCCCCCGCGACGCTTCTCAACGCCTTGATCAATAGGTTTGAGAAGAATGAAACCAGCAACGTTGATCAACTTGCTCGCATGGTCGATCAACTCCGACTATTGAACGTGGTCGCCTTGTGGGCCTCTGAATACCCTGGCGATTTTGCCTATCCTAAAACGCGGAAACGCATTAATGACTTTGTCACCACTCTTGAAAAGAGTCATTTCTATATGTTTGCAGCCAAGGAGATCGGTTCTTATCTCGACTCCAATACCGAAGACGACGACGTGGGCTGGGCATTCCGCGACGGCGATGTCGATGAATCCAGCCTTACTGAGACATTTTTCGACAATTCAGGCCGCAGTTCCCCAGTCCCCTTCCTGACTGCCACATACGAAGATGAGGATGAAGAGGAAGAAGACCCGATTTACCACATGAGCGCGCTAGACCTCAGCGACGGACCGCATGATTCCACATCGCGTCTTTCAGGAACCTTATCGATTTCATCTAGCACCGACAAACCTTCAAGCACACTCAACCAATCCTTCACAATGTTGACTTTGGAAGCTGCGCAGAAAGAATCCCTGCGCTTGGAATTGACATGTCGAACTTTACTTGGCAAAGTCCAATGGCGTTACTTCATGGAGACTCCCGATGAGGAATTCGCCCGTGAATTGACCCGTATCGATTGGGTCATGTACAACTCCTTCCGGCCCCGTGATCTCGTGCGCCATGTGAGCATCTCCGGCATGGATAAAGACAAGATCCGAAGCCTCCACAATGTCAATCGGATGATCAAACAATTCAATCATCTAGCATTTTTCGTGGCGAGCATGATCCTCCTTCGGGATAAACCTAAGCATCGCGCCCGGTGCTTGGAAAAGTTCATGTCTATCGCAGCGGTAGGTCTCTTTGTTCTCAACTCTGATTCATGCTCGCTCCAAACTGACAAATACGACTAGAAACTTCGCCGCCAAAACAATTACAATGCTCTAGGTGCCGTGATCGCCGCCATCAACGGCACGCCGGTCCTTCGATTGACCCAAACTAGGGAACTTATTCCTATTGCAACTCAAAAAGAGTTCATGCGGTTGGTGATTCTCATGGGCACTCAGCGAAGCCATTTTGCCTATCGGCTTGCATGGGAAAATTCGTTCTCGGAGCGCATCCCGTTTCTTCCTCTGCATCGCCGCGATTTGGTCTCCGCCGAAGAAGGAAATAAGACTTTTGTGGGCGAGAACAAATCTCGTATCAATTGGAAGAAGTTTGAGGTCATGGGCGAAATCGTCCTTGGTATTCAGCGCAGCCAGAAAACTCCTCACCCCCAGGCCCAGAGATTTGACGACGTGGAACGGTTAATTTTGGACTCTAAGCTCTCCGGTGATGAGGAGGTAAGCCACCTGTCCAGCCCTATCACGACTTCATCTTTTCAAATAAAAGAAAACTAATTTGTGCATTTAATAGGACCTCTATGCCCGCAGCATGCAAGTCGAACCATCGACCGGCAGCGAAACCGGGCGAAAGAAGTTTGGTTGGCTACGTGCCTAAGCCTTCTGCCCCGGACCTTTTTTCTTTCTTGTTTTTTTTTTGGAGATCACACACCCACGCTCATCCAAAACGTTCCAAATCACTGCACAGATGTTGTTTACATACATACCCTTGAAACCTAGTTCCCACCATACCCCCTCCCCCAATCTCATGTCGAGACGCTTATGATTGATCTTTTGACTGTTATTCTTATTTTGCTTCCATGCTTTCTGGAACAGGCTCCATGGCATGACTGAGATGACCCTGGGAGCAAAATGTGATCGAAAAAGGCTCCGCTACGATGCTTCTTTTTCTGTATATAGGAGTGCACTGTTGTGGTAGTGGTGATCGTCAGCCGCGGTGCGGAGAAAATCTCTACCTTTGGACATAGTATATTCTTGATATGACTTCTACTCGTAATATTTACGTTTTCAATCCGCCCAGACCTTACCACTTCCGTATCGTACTCGTACATGCTTATGATTTATTGATCGGATCCCTCGATCCCAGATTAGCGGCAGAGTCTTCAGGTAATCCATTATCACGTGACCTTTACATCGGCTCCGGCGAACGCTGGGACAAAAGTCCCCGAAGATCTCCAAGACCATCAGACACCTTGAAATCAAATATCTTCCCAAAAATGACGAAACCCCTTACCCACCAAGCGCGCTCAACCTACCGTGCGCTCCTCCGCGAGCTCCCTGGCCGCAAACTAACTGCACCGTCTCCCCTCCACCAACGCCTACGTACGCTCTTCCGCCCGCAAGAACAGACGCCCTCCACACCGGCCTGCCCATCGCAAACCTCACAATTTGCCAACACATCCCATTCATCTGAAGTGCCTCTCCCTTTCTCTATTCCTACCAGCGCAGAAGACCAGGCCATCCGCCTCCAGGAGGCCAGCCAGATGGCGCAGTATGCGAAGGCGCAACGCACGTACGCCGCCCTGCTTGAGCGGTACAATCCGGGCATGCACCTTGAAGAGGAAGAGCGCATCCGATTGACAGCCCGGCGAGTGGGCTTTGACTTGCCGCAGCTGCATAATGCAGAGGGCGAGAAGCCAAAGGAGTAATTGGGTCTTTTGATCCTTGTCCGCTTTTCTGATACCCATCCTGGGGGTCAGCATGTCAGCAGAGCACCGTGTTTCCGTCTTATTCTGTCAGGGTCGTGTTGCTGTTGCTATCGAATCACGGATCGAGAAAAGATTAGTGGTCCGTGGGGCATCTAGCTGAACTGGATTTTTGTCAGGTCTGAGGCTGGTACAATATGGATTGGAGCTTGTGTTCGAGGAGCATATATTGAGGTTATTAGGGCGTTTGCATTATGTACAACTGTATACTATTTGAGATATTACTGCAAAAGAACATAGAAGTATATTTGAAGCATGTATGATTTTCCTATAATCTTCTGAGAACAAAAACACCAACACTCGGAAGTTGGATATCTGTTTATCTGCATGAAATCGGCGTAAAATCCATGCTTTGGGCCAGTCATGACATTTATTAAGCTGTGGGTTGACATGGTCCTATATAAATCTGACAACGGAGGCCGAGAGTTTGTCCGAGCACATGTCGGTTGGCCAGAGGAGGTATGGGGACTTCTGGAAAAACTGCTCTAACCCAATGCGAGGGAAAGCTTCCTGTCCCGGAGCTGCGGGGGTATCTCCTGGATGGAACAATGTCCTAGGTGGATCTGCGGAATTCTCACCATTGCGGGACGGAGTGAGTTTGGCGATGGTGGGTATCGGCTAGTGAATACCTTCAGGGCTTCTTCAGCCGTCAACTGTTGGTCAGCTGAGTCCGCTCCATTTGCCTCATCAGCGTCGAGCTACTCTCCTCATCCTCCATTCCGACGCTGAGTTCAATCGCGGTCTTGGGGCGGTTGCGATTAAGTCCCTCCAGTAGCATACATGCCTTGCAGATCGCCTGACTAGAAATATAGCCGCAGCGTTCGCAGTGTCTTAATGTCTGTTTCTTGACTGTCTTCTGGCTGGAAATGGCTGACTGCTGAGACTTGGGGAAGCGAATCTCCGTCTCGCGGGACGCAGCCGCTTCATTATCCCCGATTTCCTTCTCCATCGCCGCCATTTCACCACCGCTGGTGCGGCCGTTCGAACTTCCACAGCCGCTAATCTCTTCATCGGCCGTGGCAGAGGGCCCTGATTTCTTGTCATTGTCGGGAGCTTCTCTCGGTACGAGCGCGGCCATGTCCTCGCCACTTTTGACAATATCGAGAATCGAGCTTGGGCGGATTTTCTCGAGATCTTTGATCAGGGTACGTGCGCTACCACGAAATGCCTCGGGAGAATAAATGCACTCGGTGCTGAAGTAGTCGAGCTGTCGGTGGTGGGCGTACAGGACGATCTCCTTCTCGTAGGCGTACTTGAGCGGCTTACTGCGCTTCATCTCGGACGCGCCAGAAGAGGTTACGATGCTGGTTCCGCGAGACAAGCGAGGCAGATCGCCACGCAGCAGGTTCATCATGACTGTCTCGGCGACATCGTCGGCGTTATGCCCTGTCACAACGTGATTGATGCCCAAGCGCGCAGCGCCCCGGTCAAGTGCCTGGCGTCGGAACACGCCGCAGTACGTGCAGTTGCCCTTCTTCCCAATCTGCTCCACTACCTGGTCCATTGTCCATCCATATAACTCGCCGTATCCCAAGATCTCGAGAGGCATGTCGTACTGGACGGCGTTGCGTTTCACCGTCTCCAGGCTGTCGTCGCGGTAGCCCTTGATGCCCTCATCGATGGAGAGAAGGCAGAGGTCTAGACCGTATCCATATCGTTCATTCAGTGTTTTCATGACTGCTGCCAGGACAGTGCTGTCTTTGCCGCCACTGGCGCCGATCGCGACTCGTTCGCCGGGATAGAATAGCTTTGCGTTGGTTACAGTCTCATGGACTTCGGTCTCGAAGACCTCGAGGAAACAGGCGCGGCAAAGTTTATGGCGGTTCTTTGGGCGGATGATGACAGCCCGCGCCTCCTTGCAGTTGAAACATGCCGTCGGAGCCATGGTGGGTGGTGGTTGTCAAGTGTCAAAGTCGGGGTTGTGAGGGGCAAAAAAAAAGAAATTCTGTTTCCCCGCGGTGGGCCCGTCCCGTGGCCAACTGGCGGGTCTGCTGTATACAAACTCGAGGAACCAGCTTTACTAGGTTTGAAGGAAGGGGCTGGCTTTGATTAGATACATTTAACGATGGATTAGTGATTGATAAAACAAAGATAACTCTAGATATCTCGCTGAGAACTATCTGAGTAGTTGAGTATAGACATGGAAGAGGATCAAAGTTCTTTTACTTCGGACTTTTGACAAAGAATTATAGACTCGGATCAACATAAACAGAGTTCACAATAATTTGAATATCAAGTCCTACCCATACCGAGAGTTTTCTTTCTGTTTCTTTTCTTACAGAATCTCTCAATTCCCCATTTAGTGACCGAGAACCTTCTCGTTCAACAGATCCACATGGTGGGCGGGTGGGTTGCCTTTCCTACAGAACAACCCAGCGGTGCACGCGGGCCACTTCTTCTTCTTTGCCATATACTTCGCCATATCATGGATGTGATGACGCCGTGAAATCAAAGTATGATGGTATGGCTTCGATCGATCTGCGTACAGTTTGAGATTCTCTGAATTCTCCGAGCTTAACGTCTCAGCGACCTGGTCTGTTTTATCTTCGGCAAAGGCGAAGGATGTCCCGATGATCTTGAAGCTCCTGGCCAACTGGTGCATATTGACTGAATGCCAGTCTTCTTTGACCCAGACAGGCTTCACATTCCAGGGTAGACGGCGCTCGCGCTTGAATGCATGCCACCAGTCCTCAAGGCTCAGGCGGCCCTTCTCTCCGCTGACGGCATGAAGACATCCGCTTGTCCCTAAAGCGGTATGTACCAGCAGCCGATCAGCCACCACATCCACCGGAACCTCGTCAATAGTTGCTTCTTGGTCCGGATTCTCGCATCGCGTCGCCAGGACGATTTTCCGGCCAGGATGTAGCGCATAGGCCGCAGCACAGGCTGTGGATGGCGTTGAATAGGATGTGGCAAAGCCATGATATGGAAATTCCTCAGCAGGGCCAACAACGGAAGGCCGGATGATTAGGATCTTGTCTAGTGCGTCCTTTTCAGCGGCTCTTTCTAGAACAAGTCGTTCTGCCAGGTGTTTGGCGTATGCATACGGCCAGGGGAAATCATGAGCCTCGTACTCGTCAGATGTGCCGTCTTTTTGGACTTGTCGCCATATATCTGGTGCATCTTGAAAGGGGCTTTTATTCTCTCGACTAAGGCCATAGATTTTCTCCTCCACGGTCACGTCATGCGACTTGCTAGTCGTCCACAGATGGGCGTTGACATATGCACTGGAAAGAAAGATGAATTTCTCCAGATTGGGGAATTTCAAGGCATAATTCGTCAGACACAGGGTTGGGGCAATGACAGTATAAGAAAGTTCTCTCAGCGAGTTTTTCAGCGCAATTGAGGCTGCGGCATGAATGATGATATGAACAGTCCTTTTGAGCATCTGTAAGTCATCATCGGGAAGATTCATCGTCGCTGTATCGCCCAACTCGCCGTCCAGAATCGTCATGCGCTGGCTCTGGGTGAGAACATTGGCAAGTGGTTTTGGAAGCATGGCGTTCCATTTTTCCTGAGCTTTCCTGATTGAAGACATGAGTATAAGACACTTTTTTGTATTGGGGTTCTTGATTATTCCTTGGAGAATCATACGTGAAACCTCCTCGACAAAGCACATACACATGCTTTGGAGTCGACTGGGTCAACAGTCGATAGAGGACTGTCGTCCCTACGAATCCCGTTCCGCCTGTGACAAACAGGATTTTACCGTTATAATACTCCCATATCATGACGGGTGTAGGAAATACTGGATTTTGGTTCCCAAGATTTTGACAGAAAGCGAGGGGGAATATGCATACATAAGAGGCCCATTTTGATAGGAGCTTCGAGTGGGTCTTGCGGCGGAATATATACTCGGCGAAAGGGACCCCAGAGGCACTACTAAGAGTTTGACAAGGGTTGGGAGGCTAGGATTGTGCACAATCTAGGTCTTCAGACATCAAAATCCGGCGGCAATCTAGTTCCAATGTGCCCAAAAGAGGTCGCATGCAGAATCTGCAGCTAAGGTGAGGGGAATGCAGGTTGTGTAACCAGCATCGCAGGGATCTCCCTACGGACACGAACCATTCAGAAAACACCGCGCAATCCACCTCAAAGCTTTGAGATATGAAAAAGGCAATTGATTGCCTCGGTGCATCACTGCAAATTGGGGCAGTGTTGCGTTGTCAGATGCTCGGGAATCCCTCCCTTGACCCCGAGGGAATGGTCCTGTTCGGGTTGCTCAAGGTTCAAGGGCGCTTTAGGACCGTGATAGACAGCAATGCCTTGTTTTTCTACAGTACGATTGAACGCAAAGGCCGATACGAGGTTTCAAACACTATGCTCAAATTTATCACGTTGATCAACGTGATAATTCCGTTTGGCAGAGCATTTGGTCAAGTGTGGATAAGAGGTTCACCGCTGCAGCAAACAAAAGTGGCTGGCCATTCGTACAGCACGAGACCCCGGTACTTGAAGATGATCTAGGAGATTCATGTAGTCAGTGAAGCAAACGTTTAAACGCAAATCAGATCCTTGGAGAAAAACACAAGAAAAAATTCTTCTCTTGTACATTGAAGATGGCTGATAATCTTAGTAGATCAACCACTGGATATGAATTTCATAAACATTATGATGTACCCATCATAGACTTAATTCACCTATATGTTTGGTGGTGACGAAATATTTCCCCGCGATCTAGAGTCTGGCTTGTCATGTTCCACAGAGATCGTTCCCGATGTCATTTTCTTTCCCTTCTGGGAATAAGAGCTATTTTGCTTGAAAAACCAATCATCCAAAGTCATCTCTTCAAAGACAATTCGATCGATACTATTGGTTTCTAGCACCATAGAAACGTTGATTTTTGAAGATAAGACCTTGCTACCTAATTTTTACGCTCGGTCCCTTGAAAAGGGGTGCAGAGCCCTCTGGATATATCATCTACATTTTCCTTGAGCTAGAAGAGCTAGCGATTGCAGTCAGGAGGTATTATTAGGTTCCATAAGACTAATACTGTCACCTGAGTGTCCACTCGAATGTATGAACCTGCAAGCTAGTATGAAATTGCGAGTTTCGTGTATGTATTGACCTAAGACAATGCCGACACAGTGTTCCAAATAGAAGATGCTGACACGTTGATACCATTTGAGACAGATTGTCATCGCTATCCATTCTGTTTTGATGCCCTCCTAGCGAATATCCGCGATCAAAAAGAAGGATTGCATTTACGATTTATCCTCATTAGAGCGATTACCAACTCGTAAAAACTTCTGATGGTGCCGAGATAGACAGGTGTGATTTCTTCAGAAGAAAAGAAATCGATTTTGGGTCTGCTATGGCAAAGGCACATAATAGCAGATGTCTTGTTTCAAAGTCTTGCAGTCAAAATAATGTATCGGTTTATTTGTTGGAACAGGTAACGATCCCGCAGGGAATCGCTAAGAGCCACCCTGTCTGGGCGCTAGTTAGGGGAAGCTTCTTCTACCCGAGGTCTAGAATGAATAAGATACTCTGGGGAAAGACTGCTGGGGCCACAGATTTCGCATAATTTACGTCTAGCTCCCCCGCAAAAGCGTTGCGTGTCCTACCTGGAGTCTAATTCCCCTTTAGCGGGTGGGAGCGCTTGAACGAAAAAGTCAAGTCCTGCCGACCTTATCAGCCCTGGTTCCCTCTTTGACCCTCGGCCTGTGACAACCCAATTAGAACCCCCTCCCTTCCCAGAAGCAGTGTTGTAAACCGTAGCTTTCACACTTGATTATGAAGGAATTTGGGCTGTCCAATCTGGTCTTTACCAACGATATCGCAAAACAACTCTTTAGGTAAAGTGACTATATCCCCGACCGAGAGAACTGACAGATTGACCGAAGATTTGAAGCACCGCCCAATAGAGACTAGAATGATTCCGATGCCCCCCCTGCGCCAGAACAGAACTTCCTGATTTTTCTCCGTCTGGATATATTGCGTGATGCCGGCCAGAAACCCAGTGAAAAGAGCCTGTGATCAGTGCCACTTGTTGAAGGAGAAATGTCGACGATTTAATAGTTCGACCTCCTGCGAGAGGTGCTCTCGACTCAATCAGATTTGTCGGACAACCAGAAGCCTGGCGAGGATTGGAAGAAAGTCACAAGTCTCAAAAAAGGTTTCATATAACCTTCCACCTTCAAGCAGTCTTCCAGTCGGATCCAATAACTCGCCAAGTCCCCAGTCATATACCACAATTTCTCCCAAGCTCCCCAATTATCCGGGAATAACTTGCAACCCAGCAATACTTTCCGAGCTGGATGATTGGGAAAGACATTTTTTGAATCTAATGAAGGATATAATAGACTCATCACCTCTGGACAAGTTCCTCGTAGGGCCGAGTTTTCGTGATTCCCATCATTCTTCTTTCCTTCAAACCCTCATTCAGCCCTTCCCTGTTCTAAAAAACGCCACCGTGGCCTGCGCGGCTGTTTTGTTTGGTGACTTATATCCGGAGTTCACCAAAACCGGAGTAGAAATTGGCCATAGACGAGCTGCTTTGGCAATTTCATCTCTGCGATCATTTACAATTTCCAGCGAACAGGACTTGGTCACAGCGGTCATCCTGGGCGTGGCAATGGTGACTTTTGCGATGCATGTTGCTGATGGCCAGCCCTTTCTAATATCACATTATACTCTAAGCCTGATCAAATCGCAGTGCCCGGACCTATCAGCCTTAGACCCGTCAACGATGGACATGTTAATGTGTCTAATTTGTACAGAGACATTTGAATGTCTCTTACTATCGGAGCTCCCAACAATCAAAATCGAAACCAACAAAAGGGACCGTGTTGTTGATCGCTACCTAGGACTAAGCTCGCCCATGATAAGTCATTTTTACGACATTTGCCAACTGAGCAACTCTCTGCGACATAATTTACGAACACCAAGGAGCTCCGACGATATCGAAAAAAAGATAACCGAAATACACACAGGTGTAGACGGGTGGCAACCGTTACCGCCATCTGACTTCTTACAACGATTCACGCAGGCTGAGGTAGTTGCAATGCTTTCCCAAGCCAAGATACTCCGACTGGCCGCTTTAATCATAATCCATCGCTTGCGTCATCCCTTCGGAAAGCATGACGAGGAGGCTTTGATATTGTCCAAAACTATGATTGCTGAATTTGAAATGGTGCTCCATATCACCCATCGATCCTTGCCATGTATATCACTTGCGTATCTAATTGCCTGCTGCGAGATCAAGGAGAGGGAAGAAAGACGACAAATTGTTGAACAGAGCAATCATATTATAATGTTTTCGAAACAGTCGCGCGTGAGGTTTCAGACTACTTTGGACTCAATTTGGAAATTAAGGGATGACGGGAGCAAAATTTATTGGTTTGAGATCCCGGATTATGTGCACAGAACGGAAATACATTGACTCCAAGTTGATAAACAGGGGTTGCATTCCAGAAGCAAGCCTAAACAGTACGGCGGCCGATCTGGTTTGCTGCCATCTTCTTGTAGCTTGCTGCAGTTGCAACTCTTGCCTTCTTCCCCCACACTAGTAGGGGCACTGGGATCAAGTAAAGAACAAAAGCGATAACCGCACAAAGAATATGAAGATTCTGCATACCCATACCGTTAACCCATGGCGTGAGAACGAAAAGGACAATGACGGAAACGATATTTCGCATAAAGATCACGCCGACCAAAGCATCGCCAATTATCTGGTTTCAAAATGGATTAGGACACGCTCTGAGGAACAACTGGCAAATGAACCTTACATCCTGATAGCAATCCATCAAATATGATAGAGATATACCGCTAATGGAAGATAAGACGAAGCCAAAGACTCCAAAACCAACAGCAAGGCACGACCAGTTCACCCCCTAGAATGTATTAGTTTGCTTGTGGTTAGAAGAGGGGACTTCGGTATGAAACATACATAGGCAAGTCCAAGCCCAAACATCAGGATTGATGCAGGACCCAGAACAGCGGCCGGTAAAGCTAGCCATAGTCGCATTTCTGGTTCGTAGATGCCGCCATTCTTTTTAGACAGCCATAGGATCGACTTGTCACTTAAAAAACCACCGAAAGGGAAGCCAAGAACAGCACCCACAAAGGGAGCCAGATTCATGAGACCGATTCCAATAGCATCAAAATTGTATGGCGGCAGCAACATGTAAGTTGCTTGAAGAGAAGTCATGATCGCAAACCAAGCGAGGGTAGAACCGTATGTGATAGCAGCATATGTCACTGCCGGGAACGTCAGAAGGGTCAAGATGGGCTGCCAGAAGTGAGGCAAAAGAGACTCGTTCGTGACTGTCATAAGAGTCATCCGTTCCGAATAGGTTTTAGGTTTGATATCGATGTTGATGGCAACTGGAATCGTCAACCGCTCAGCAGTAGGGTCATCCGCTGAGATTTTATTTTTTGTCCCATCGCCAGGCACGACGGAATCGCTACCTGACAGAGGAGGGATGCTTTGTCCATCAAGAACGGGGACATATTTGGATTCCTCGAAAAGGAAAATGACGCAAACAAGAGTCACGGCGAAGAAAATGACACACCACCACCACATCCAGCGCCATCCTTGAGAATCCACGATATATCCCGATGCCACAGGGCCCAGGAAAGCACCTGCTGACTGGAAAATGACAAACCATTCGTTCATAGTGGCATGTTGATGCACGAAAAACAGGTCCGCTACAGTGACTTGAGCCACGACTTCACTGATGGCGCCCCCAAGTCCCGAGATTAGATTGGCGCCGATGAAACTACCCACAGTATATGTTTGCGCTTGCCATATACACGAAGCGAGTTGCAGAGCCGTACTGAACAAATAGATTGGTCGGCGGCCGTACTTGTGGACTAAGGGGATGAAAAAGAAGCATCCAATTGCCAGGCCGCCGTAGTTAACAGCAGAGCCTGCATTAAGTATGTCTACCGAAAATCCAAGCTCTGTTTCCAAGGGCCCCCAAGCTGTGAAGCCGATATCAAGCTGAACAAAAGTCCAGAGAACGAAGAAACTGACCAACGTGTAGTTCAGAATCTTGCGAGCTTTAGACCAATTGAGGGGGTCATTCGGATCGGCAGATGGCGTAGGAAACAGCACAATTTGGTCTCGGGCTCTATGAACTAAAGAGTGGTTAGATGAAGCCCTATACGTTTGAGACTTAAACAGGCATAATCATACTATCCTCTAAGGCCACCGTTCCCGGTGCCCAGAAGCTCTCATCATGATCATCTTGCTCGTTTACCATGCCTGATGGAAATTGGGGAGTTGTGAGAGATATTTCGATTCAATCTGCAATAGAGTAAGTCCCGGAAGAGAAGACTGACATGAATATTGTCCTTTCCACGAGGCCAGTAGTGACTTTTAAGTCGAACCCGCACAAGGTTCAACCTGAAGCATGCGGGGATACACTTGGGGGAGGGGGTGTTATCTTTGCCCTCGAGTCGCGAAAACAAGTGTGGGGATATCCCGGAGAGGTTGATACCGATTGATCGAATCACAGTGCGTAAAAGAGGCCGGCTTGGCGTGGTGTGCCAGAACACAGACTCCACCCCCGCTTATCTCGCCGGCAAACACTGGTTGGGGATCAGTTGCGAGTTGAACCAGGCGGACTTTATTCCGCAGAGAAGGCAATAAAAAGGCTTGTCACCTCCAAGAAACGGCTTCTGCTGCTGCCTGGTCTATCTGCCGAGGCCCTTAAATAGTTTATTCATTGGAATTTTGTGACATGAAGAATGTGATAAGGGGGAAAGAGATCAAATATTCTCATCCTTGTTTCCGTTCGGGCCTCCCCGAGGCGCCTGTCATCTCTCAGAGAGACCGTCCAAGTTCTTCGTCATTCAAGACTACACCATAGCAGAAGCCATGAATTATAGACGAATTCTGGAGAATGATAATTAGTAAAAGTTACGTTTGACTTGGTAAAAATTTCCAGAAAAACGAACTTTCTTGCCATACTACGCCTAGATCATTTAGAAGTTCTCCCATGATTCATAAAAGGGGTATCAAAATTGGAGTCCTTAGAAGAGAGATTGTAGTACGTCAGGCCTTACTGGTCGCTCTGCCACGGAAGGGGCGATTCATCTCTGAAATCATATGAAAAGACCGCCTGTGTCGATCATTTTTGGAGTACCCGTCGTTCCCTACAATGGGCTCATCTCCCAAGCCCAACCAGCAATTCAAAAACACAATAAGTATATCGAGATTTGTAGCTGGTATGATTTGTCTATGAAATTGGTCAAAGACCTGTTTTGCGTAGGACAAGAATACAACTTACGATGCCAAGTGCTAACATTTTCTCATCTCTTCCGGCCAGATGAATAAACATGATTAATCCCCGGCGCAACGCATAAAGTCATAAAAATGTCAGCTGCAATGCTCGAGAACAGGTGTTTCTTGATGATCACAGGGGAACGACCAGTGCAGAGAGACCTTAATTTTGCGCGGTATGTCTTATAGCCTCGTTAAGTTTCTCTGCTAGATTTCACTGGTACTTGTTTAGGCCGATATTCAAGACTAGCGCAGAAAATCATTGGTGGCTGGGTACTTTGCGAAATCGTCGAATCTTGAACTTTCGTCAAAATAGGCGATCCTCACATATCATGAGCTTTCCTGACAAATACTGCCGAACGCCCCAACCACGATAGCCCAGCCTCCAATGGGAGGCCGTTCAAAACAGTTGAAGGGATTGAAGCTTCATGGATCACCTTGACTTGCTCCAGCTCAGGGATGAGAAATCGCAGACGCAATCGTGGATTCAAACCCGGCAGTAGCTGTCTCAGTCACAGCAACCTGAAATTTTCTCAGGGTGCTGGATCGCTGAGACTGGTGAAAGAAAGGTTGGAGGGCATGTCATATTCAACCAAAGCTGACTGTGCAATGTTCAAAGGATGATTTTTATCTGCCAAAGCATCCCACAGATCAGGCTTCGTCTCCTTGATGTGAAATCACGCATTCGCCCACTATTATAAAGAATGATTCCTGTCATCAGATGTCTAGTTTCTAGGTTGTAAAACTCAACTCAAGGCACAATACAAATTCCAGACTTCAATAATTTTGCCTCGCTTGACATAATTAGGAACCTGGATGAAGTATAGAGGCGACACCTGAATTCTTTCAGGATCAATATCTTCAGTAACCGAGAAATGGGCAGGAAAAGGAATAGAAATTCGAATAAAACCATTTACATCACTTCAAAAACGCCACGTCCTAGAGGGTCTGGTACTGTTCCCCTGGACAAAAAAAACTAAACTGCCGTCAAACTGTTACAGTACTAGTGAGACACTTTCGTGTCTTGTTTAAACACGTTATTTGCCACTAAAGCTGACTTGTACCCAAAAAGATAGTAATGATACAATATTATTTTTCTATCAGATTTGCACGGCGATGACAATCTCTGACTATTCATGGAGCCTAGTGGCAAGTCAAATCACCATCACACCTCTGTAGATCCTGAAGAGTTCATTTCCGCCTCCTGGGCTGCTTTACCAGGGGTATCTTGAACTGCAGGCTTAGATTCCAAATAATTTAATACAAGGACGGCTAGAATGATATGAAGAAGGCCTAGTGAAGTTAGCAATTTATAGTACTGGAAAAAAAGGTTGACTTACCAAAAGCACAACTCATATAGGTATACCCAATTGTTTCCTTGAGAAAACCCCCAATTATCGGACCGATCATCATCCCGAGTGAGGCGGAAACTTCTATCATGGAAAAAACGCGAGAAAGGCCACCTTGAGGACCAAAAATGCCGGGAGTTCTGGCTTGATACTCCTTGACGATAGCTGCATACTTCCATTAGTGTCACTTCATTATGGTGCGATATAATAGTGAAGACTCACTGGAAAGCTCGGCTGGTCCAATGGTCGACATGAATGGCCTCAATGCCCCAATAGCAAGAAGAGACATGATGTAAAGTGCCCGACCAACTTCTTGTCTGCTAGCCCACGGAAAGTGCTTATTTCCAGCAACTCCAACTAGCCCCAAGAATCCTGCCTGTAGAGCTAACGAGATGGCGGCAGGGAATTTCGCCCCAACAGCGTCACGGACCCAGCCAGCAAGAGGACCGACAAAAAGCGTCGGAAATATGAGACACGAAAAGAGCAGTCCAGCCATGCTAGGACCCCACTCAAACGTCTCTTTTACATGGAGAGGCAGTGTGGCGTGAAAGCTTGTGCTCACAGTTGTACTCGTAATGCCCACTAGAAGGAGCGTAAGCACTCGGCCATCACAGAGCATTACCTTCCAGAAGTTCCGTAGGGGCATTGTCGAAGGATCTTCCCGATCAGACAGCAGGCCTGTAGCCTCTCCAATAGCTTCAGGCTCGCAAGATTGCTTAGGTGGAGGATCGACCATAATTAGACGTGCGATAATGTCCAGAGTTAGGACCGCAAGTGGTATAGACCACATTTGCCAGTACCCTGTATGTTCTAACAAGAACCCCGACGCTATCGGCCCGGTTAGCATCCCCGTGTTTATGAAGGACGCCATGATGCCCATCACTGCACCCAATTGATTTTCATCGACGACTTCTGTCACTGTTGTTAAGCCGACAATCCATACTGTAGACTCGGCTATGCCCTGTAGAAATCGGCCGATAAAGAGTACAACGATAGAATGCGCGCTGGCTACCATCAAAGTGCCAGCGATGCACCCGATCATTGAGCATAGGATTGGCATCTTGTGGCTTTTTATTTTATCCGCAAAATGTCCAATAACGGGTCCTGAGACAACAGAGATGGCTCCATGGAAGGCGAGAACAGCGGAAGTAAGTTCCTGAGTACGAGATGGATTGATATTTAGACGATTTTTGATCATGTATCCCAAGATAGGAACAATAAATCCGTACATAAATGTCTCTAGTCAATGTTGATTAGTGGTTCATACCAATAAGTTGGAGAGAGAACTGACCACTAAATAAGGCAATAATGATGATGGAGATGGTGAACCATTTCGAAGAGCGCCATTTCATGCCCCGCTCTAAAGTCTCTCTCTGCTCCGTATTAGAGGCGCCCATAGGTACAGATGGTCTTAGAATGGGTTTCTTGCTCATCAAGTCTCCCACAAGCCGAATTCTTGGTTGAGAATCTGGGTATCCAAAAGGCCGACCCGCTCACTCACCGGCATGTAAGAAGGAAGTCGTCATTAGGGATTGGAAAAAATAAGTGCGCATGGAGTACGAGGACAGACTGGTAATCTATGACCAGAAATACTAGCTGCTAGTTTCAATTATTGAGACATGACCCTGGCCCCTTGTGAGTGGAAACTAGTAGAACTCTAGCGATCTTGCATGAACTTCATGCGGGGTCGCCCATGCTGCATGAAACAAAAAAATGATTTACGTAAAGATCCAAAATTCCTGATGCGCTAAGGAGCTCTTCCGTGGCGGGAGTATCCGCAAAGCAAAACGAGATCTCCATGCTGCACGAGGGCTCCAGAGGTTCGAGATCTACTATTTCAAATACAGTAAACTCAAATATTCTTAAAAAGTTCCCTACGAGGATGATGAATATCGATTGTCTGAAGCTCAGGGAGTTGATTTATGGACAAGGTTTGTAAATCGGCGACGATAATTCGTCTGGGATGGATGGATCGATCTCTGTCGCAGGAGGCTAACAAATGTTACTTCATGATGCTTCTCTGTCTTTCGGTACCGAATTAAATTGGCAACATGATCTGTAGTTTTTTTTTTTTCAGAAAATTCATCCCTCTTCTGGTTGTTCGCCGGGGCATGCTGGTGGACCCGATCTACCTCTCGGCCTGCATCCAGCCGAGCATGGTTCGGTTCAATCGAGTCTTTTAGCGGGGCAAGGTGGCTGACAGCTGAAAGTTAGCGCGGACCAAGGTCAACCTACTGTAGGACAATGTTCCACTCATGATTCGCTAACAATTCCGATCTTGACAACTTGAAACCCCACATGGTTGCGGGCACTAGCACAGGGAAAAAAGATTGTGATAGCTCTCGCCGGCCCACCTGTGCTGACACCTTGAGACATCTTCTGCAGGAGTCTGCAGTAGTCGGTGACGTGCTTTTGTGGCTCCCTGATCCCGTCCCGGATCGACGAGACATCCTCTTATTGACAGATTCTAGTGCTTACCTCGGTTGCCTGGATATCTCGGAGAAAACTCGTGCCCGGAAATGTCCTCTCGCCCAGCTAAAGAAGCGGTGTGAGGAGATGTCGCCACAATAACAAGCAGACGAGATTTTACAGGGTCTCTTTCAGCTGCCATATGCGTGGTAATTTCCGCATGTTACTTGACTTGGCCGATTCTTCACGTGAAATGTAGGTGTAACCCTCCCGAAAAAAGTTAGAATAAGATTTAGGTCCTCGTTTGAAAGTATACTTTCAGGGCACTGGGGCAGTTACACACACATCGTGGCACATTCGTTGCTTTGTTGACTTTGACATTTTCTCCCCCACCCCAAGGTCCGACGTGACAGAATTCAAAACAAAGATGTGAGGATTGATGAGAAGAGGATCTCAAAATACAAGGCTATGGCCGCTATCACATGACCCTAGGACCCTAGGACCCTAGGACCCCAGAGCTACTGCTTCTCCTTTTTGGCATTGGCATATGTCTGAATAGATGGGTTGATTCCATTCTTTTTTTTTGCTATCATAAAATAGTTTAATATTGAATTTTTAGCATTTTGACAGTCAATGAAGCCCACAGATCCAGCCGAAATATGTAAGAAAAGTTCCACCCACAAGGGTCTATCAAACCTGTACTGAAGATGAAAATACAAAAATATACTTACGGTTGCCTCATTACTGAAACCATCCAATACGCCCCGGTGGATATAGCACACAACCTGTCCGGGCCACATCTCCAGATTCCAAGTCCCATGAATTCTCCACCAATGACATGGAATGTTCCAACCATATGGCAACGACCTGGAGTAGCTTCTGGGCCCAAAAAGACATCATAATATCGCTGACAAATTTTGCGCTGTACAACATACGTGGCGTCCTTTTGGTTTGTTTTCGTAGATCGCATGAGTTCAAGTGTAGCCAGCCAGTCGGAGTTGCTGAGTTCGTCGCCGAACAAGATTCCGCTGCCCTTACCTCCTCTTATGGGCTTCAGGATATAGTCGTCTTTTAGAGTTCCTGAAACTTGACAACTTTTCAAAAAGGCAGCAAGCTTTGTGGAGCCTGGCAAAATTGTAGGTGTTATGCCTTGATCTAGGCGACGTGCCTGATCAATAGAAATGACCCCTCGTGATGTCAAAGATTCGAGCTCTTCACGAATAATACCAAGCATTCTCTTGTCATGTGCAAGTAAAATGGTCCGTATATCGTTGAAGCATCGCAGACTGACTTGCCGTTGCATCTCTGGCTCCAGAATACGGAACTCCCGCTGGTGAAGCTCAAGGCAAAGCTGATGAACGTCTTCAACAAGTTCTCCAGACTCGTTCAAAAAGCTGTCAACGCCCTCAGTTTGAGCAAGACAACAAAGTTTATATCCGTTTAACCCAGCGGGATCCGGAACGAGACGGAGATCATTCGGATCTATGAGTCGTAGTTCCAGACCAAGTCTTTCCTTGGCAAACTCGATGAACATGTGGATATCAATTCCGTGTTCTACCCCTTTGACTAGATGCAAAGGCAAATTTGTATCAAAGAGTCCCAGCAACCCGTTCAAGACCTATGAATTTTAGCTTCTTGTACAAATACCGGCTAAAGGTCCTCAATATCTTACTAACCGCGTCAGCATTTGTTGCGTGCACCATCTCTCGTTGTTCAACATCGAATGTCGAAAGTGCTTTCTGGCCAAGCGCAACAAACATAAAGCCATTCCAGCAAAACCTGGCGTTAATTTCACAGATTCGAAAGTTCTCTGCACCGGTTTCATCTTGTTCCACTAGGAAGTCCGGCCTCCAAGACCCCTTTCGTTCACCAAAGGAACGATATAGGTGTTGATTGCCATTTATCCACTTACATAAAACAAACAGTTAGTGTACTTCCATCTTAGATACGCAGGATAGGAGAATGCCTGACTCACGCGTAATAATTCTTCCTCTTCTGGTTCTAATGGCATACGTTGAGGAAATCGGGCCTGTTCATCGGTGAACCATCGGTCAATGATGTCTTGAAGTGCTAAATCAAGGGCCTGGCTCAACTCGCTTAGCAGCTGTTGGTGACGGCCGGTGACCAGCACAGGATGGGGGGAAATTGAATCCAAGGCGCCAGCCGGCCAAGAAGAGTTCCACTTCTTCAGGCTCAAGAAATACCGCTCATGAGATTTGACACTAGTCTCGACGTCAAATCTTTCAGAGGGATTAAGTGAATAGTCTCCATCATCTGAAAGACTAATCTGATGAAGGCGATCCAGTTGGGGGGCTCGCATTTTGAGGTTGCTCTTGTATGGAAGATAATTGTGAATAGAAAGGTAATGAACCCTGTTCAAGTCGCTCCGGGATTATTTGTAAAGACTCAGTTGAGTAAAGTTATAGGCATCGCTGGTTTACAACTCGTAAAGTACCAAGCGAGATACACGGGTACACCGATACCAAGAGACGCCAATGTGGAGACCCTCAGCCAATGTGGGCCGGATTGCATCTTGGTGCTGGACGGTATTATTCGTGTCTCATCAGAAAGCAACTACTGTATTTACGGAGACATGCAATCCTTTAAAAAGAAGTATAGGAAAAAAAAAAAAAACTAATGTAGAGAATGAATGATTTCTCTCTGTCTTGGGACGTCTCATCTAAACCGTGTCGCATTCCACCGGACTCTCCGAAGATGGCGATTAGGGTCTCGAATCTCATTTCGCGCATGCAGCCACCGTCTGTTATCCATCATAATAATCGAGCCACGATGTAGTGTCTCGGAAGTCAAATGAAGAACCTGTTCTTGGGCCTCTTCACTGAACAGAGTAGACTTCAGTTCGTCCAAGGCTCGAGACGCATCTCCGGTCAGTGGAACTGTGATATCCTCCCGAAAACGCAATTTACTACCAGTTTGAGAACTTGATTTTGCTGCTAGCAAGCTTCCAATAATTGAACTCTCTTCAGGGTTCTTTATAAACTCGGGAGGAACGTGGATTTGATAGTTTGGGCTGGAGAGGCAATTTCGCGCAAAAGGGGACAGTAGTCCAAGCAGCCGGTCAGCATTCAGCACTGAGAGCGTCCCACCGCCACTGCGATCTGGTTGGATAACCTGGAGCGCAAAATATTGCGGCGGGTTCTCTTCGTAGCTGCAGTCGGTGTGCCAGTCAAACCGGTGCATTGTCTCTGATCGGGCTTGGTGATTATTGCTTTGGAAAGTTTTCGAAGGCCGCACGTCCCAAAACCAGCCACGCTCAGCACTATGGGTTATTGGAAGTCCATGATGGTGATTTTGATGAAGATTCAAGATGAGATCCCGCAAATAGAGGCTGTCATCGTCGGCAAAGCCCAGTTGCAGTTTTAGGACCCCTTTGGCTTCGAGACTCTCGTGGACAGCTCTCAAATGAGACCTATCACGGGCCAGCGTTGGATTGGCTACATCGATGAAAGGAATGGGACTTGATATACCTGAGGACCGTTCTCACTATTAGCATATTTTGGACAACCAGAAATCCAACGATGAAGCATAAGAAAAATAACTCTTACAGGTTGAGGACGAATAATGGCTTCTCGCCTTTAATGCAGTTGTTCGGAGACCTTGAAACAGATGCTGCATCTTGCACGGATACTGGCCACGATAGAAGAAAGTTGATTGCCCTACAGAAGGTAACAGTCAATTTTTAACATGAGCGGGCTGTGTTCTTTGGCGGGTCATTTACTATAACAGAAGTGCAGCCACTGCAAGATCTTACTATACCGCCAATGTCAGATCCCCGCTATGGGTCTCTAGCTGGAAATTCCACAGCTCTAATAATTCCGATGTGTCATTCATATGTATTTAATAAATAGTTTAGTGGGGAGAAAGCATACACTAGGCTGGATCTTGCTAGATAATATCTTTCGGGTTCGCTAGTCAAGGAGTAAATTACTCCTGCATATATAAATGCACATTACCAAAGCTATCTTACATAAGGATTATCACCCCTTGTCATTTGGTATATCGACTCATATTTTATTCAAGGTGCTGCATCATAAATACATAACCGTAATGAGCAGTAATCTAACGATCTTTAGGATACTTTCCAGCTTTTTGGTAACCTATACGCAAATCAGTGCAGGATTTTCGCCTTGTAACACCTCATAATTTCGAAAGCCATGCCACTTGTCCGATACTACGTTGCATGGCTAATTAGCAATCTTCTTACAATATCCCGGTCGTTAATCCCTGCAAAGGGCTCTTACAATTTGATCCGAGGCTGGTGTTTTACAAAGGATAACGAGCGATAGATTTCTTGCGATCTTCACTGGCACTAAATATGTTCGACTTGAAGAGCTCCAGAGCCACTCATGAGCTGATCAGTTGAATCTATCCACAAACTTAATGATTTTATCCCCAGTTCCACTGCGCACAAATTTATTTCTGTCATCCAGAAAGGTCACAGAGAGGCGGTTGGCGTTACCTGAATAGGCATTGAAGAAAGTCATGATGCGCTCTGAAAGACTTTCCTCGGACATCAAAGACGAATTGTGTGATGATCGAAAAAGACGTGTTTCAATGGTGGACCTTGGAGAGGAATCCAGCCGGTCCAAGATCACCTGCCACTGCAAAACACCGTATTCTTCACGACTAAGAAGTGCAGCAAGGCTCTCGAATTCGAAATACATTCCATCCCACTCAAAGCTGAAGCGACGATCACGGCCATAAAGACGGAGAACGCGCAGATATTCCCAATCAGCCTCGGAAATCATTGATCGAGCAGTTTCTGGCAAGAGATGAATTGAACCAAGGTCCCCAGTAACATAGCGCACGAGCGGGTTTCGAAGACGATGAAGAGATGTCTGAACAATGATTCCAGGCTCTCCATCTGGCATAGCACAAGGGTCAGAGGTTGAAGAAATACCTGCATCCGTAGTTGAAGGGTCCAGAATCTCGACTACCATTGAACGAGTATCAAAAATGAAATCTTGCAAGCACTCAGGGTCTTCACCCTGCGTAATATCTGGATTGCCGACTGCCCAAGGACCAGCTTCGGCGCTGCCATAGATGGAGTAAATTTTGACGGTACCCATTATCTCCAGAATGAATGATCTCTGTGCAGGAGTCATCATTTCCGAGCTGTAGATGATCTTTTGGATATGAATCCGATCTCTTTCTTCACGAGAGAGCGTTGATATGTAATGGACAACATTGATGATTTGGCTACTTTCCCCGGCAAGCACATTGACATGATAATTGATCAAAGTGCTGACAACCTCGGGTTTTGACATATAGGGGCCACCACCCAGAACACTAGCTCCACCCATTTCACAAATCTCTGCTATGAGATCCAAAGACCTATGTTATTAGGTTAGATAAACTTCATTTTTTGGGGATTCGATTGTCTAATACTTGCCTGTAGAGATGTCCGACAAAGTGTACACTTAGGATCCAGTCTGTTTCTTCCACAATTCGGGTAGTCCTAAGAAACTTGCCAAAATGGGCCCGGTGCCGGCGATTTTCATGCACATCTGTGGCAAAGAACAACGGGGTACCTCCAGATCCGCCGCCGGTTGTGCTTGTATAGCAGCTTCGACGATAGGTGTTTAGGGGGCTCAAATCATTGACAAGTCGATCTATAACATGATAACTTCTCTAGTCAGATAATTTCTTGAAGGTTTTTCAGAAATACATACAGATCTTTTTTTCGCAATAAGTTCTGGGGGCTGAGAGCGACTTTCTCAGTATCACGTTTGACACATTCGATAGCTGCCTTTACCGTCTTTGTATCAGGCGGGTACTTGATGTTGGAGACATAGAAGGGGTGAATATTTGCAATAGCCAATATCTCTGGCAGCACGTAGGGATCTGACGCCATGATAAAAAGGTGAGAAGATGATTTTCAGATCTGGCGGGGATTTTTTGCCACAGGAAGGCCTAGACAGAATGGAAAGCGTGAGACAAAATTAATTCGAGGCTCAGTGTCATTTATCTTTCAGTGCAGAGCAAGTGTACGTCTCATGATGGGATTTTCCAATTAATTACGTAAATACTTCGCTCGCCCTGTAAAAAATCATAATTTGTTTTAATTCATGGAATGTGCTGACCTGCAAATTAAATCACATGGGATAATATACTCTTCGCTTCTTCCGATCCCTCTCGGCTGTCATAATTGGACATTCGCATGGGGCTCACCTCACGAAAAAAAAAAGAAAAGAAAAAAAAAAAAGAGTGTTGAGCCGAGCTGAGGTCTCCGGGGAAATTGTGGAGAAAGAACGCCATATACCATGTTAGTTACTATAATGGAACTGTATCATCAATCGAAAAAAATGATCGATCTGAGCCTGATAATTACGTTACCGATGCATTGGAAAATAGTGGGTTAAAAGTGGGTCATTGTACATAAACCATCCCACACTAGGCTGTAATATTGCTAATCGTGATACCGTATACGTGTTCAGGATACTGCACACTGCATCATTGTAAAATACTTTGGCCCAAATTAAAATACACTATATCTGTATTTTTTTCCCTTCCAACTTTTGTTGCATCCATAGTTGCAGTAATTTTGTGTCCATAGTTTCCTTTTAATATTTCTTTGACTAGGTTGTTACCTAATATACTCAGTGTTGCTAGGTACAACATATACATATGATGTACTATTGCCCCTTAGAATACTTGAAACTCCGTTTTGATTTGTCAAACTTGTGGTTCTGCAGGCCTTTATTTACTTAACTTTGGAATGACTCTCAAAGGTCTCTCCAATCGCCTCATACGGGAAGTTTTTTCGACAAAATGAATCTTCTTCCTCCACCCGGGGAGCTTCTCGAAAATCATAAACTAATTCAGAGCACATTGTTTCCTTGTCCTGAAAAGCTACTTGACCTTGCAATTGAGAGCCACATCGCATATTTGGAGGAAGAATCCCTCCTCGAGCGCGACGATTCATTCTTCATCGCCGATTTGGGCCAGGTCGCTCGCCAACACCGGGCCTGGAGGCAGGTTCTACCTGAAGTGCATCCATATTATGGTAAATACGTTTTATCTCAATCTTGAATCTTCTTCAAGCCCAAAAAGATACCTTTACAGACTCCTTGTCGCCTACTTCAAAATGGGGAGCAAAACGCTGACACATAGCCAGCGGTAAAATGCAATTCGGATCCCACGTTGCTCAAATGCCTCGCTGATCTAGGTACCGGCTTTGACTGCGCATCTGTGGAAGAGATGCGTATTGTTTTGAGTCTCGGCGTGGATCCATCTTTAATCCTCTTCGCCAACCCGTGCAAATCTACTTCCGCTATGAATTTCGCACGTCGTGCAGGAGTGGTGATGACAACTTTTGACAACATTGACGAATTAGAAAAGGTAAAATTGCATATGCCAGATGCAGCACTTTTATTGCGCATTCACGCGAACGATGATGGTGCCTTGATTTGTTTCGGTGAAAAATTCGGTGCTCACTTGGATATAACCGAAACGCTCATTTCGCGGGCATGGGACCTACAATTAAGCATTGTTGGTGTTAGCTTTCACGTTGGTAAGAATAGAACTCTTCAAACTATCTTCCATGATGTGAATTTCCCTAATTGATAGGAACATTTTTTCAGGTACGGGGGCTTCTAATCCACAAGCCTTCTGTCAAGCCATCAAAGATGCTCGCCATGTATTTGGCCTCGCTGAGAACCAAGGATTTAATCCGACAATTCTTGATATTGGTGGTGGATTTCAAGATACACACTTCAGTTCTATGGCTCCAATTGTTCGTGCTGCCATTCATAAAGAATTTTCCTCTAAAGTGACGGTCATTGCAGAGCCTGGGAGATACTATGCTCGCAGTGCCTATACTATCGTCTCCCAGATTATTGCACGACGGTGTCAAACCGGTACGTCGGCTTTAACGGGGTTTCCGAACATGCTCTATCAAAATGATGGAGTGTATGGAAACTTCATGAATGTGATCATGGAAAAGGAAATCATGACTCCCCGTTTGTTCAATAGAGAGCATTGGGGGGGAAGTCACTGGTAAACTCAATAAAGAAGCCAGAAAATGGGAAAGCCAGTGATACGCTTCCATTAGCCGTGAACCATCGGTACTCTATCTGGGGACCTACATGCGATAGCATCGACTGTGTTGTACGAGACATTTCATTTGATAGGGATGTCAAGGTTGGGGATTGGCTTATATACAGAAACATGGGAGGTAAAAGCTGACCCAGTTGTTTCTTTTGATTAAATTCGATGGCTGACATTAGGTAGCATATACCTTGGCAACTGCGACACAGTTCAATGGCTTCAACTGCTCTCGCAAGATTCTCTATGTGAACAGTGAGATGACACCGGACAATTGAGAAGCGTTTAATCACCCAGTGATCATATCCCGCAGAAATGTCATTGACGAATGGAAAATTGAATTAATGTTTCTTATTCTGGAGATTTTGTCATTTCACATTTTCGTTGAGTTTTTAAATAGATTTGTCGGCTGATGAATTAATACAGTTTTAGAGTATTAAGCCAAGTGTTTTTTACCATCAGATTGTGCTGCTTATCAATGTATAACCGTTGTATACCCGCTTCTCGGCCGAGGGTGACTTGTCTATATCTATGGATCATTCAGACGATTGACGCCACCATAATTTTCAAATAATCCTCCAGTCGCAATCTGGACTATCATCATACCGCCTAGATATACGGATGCAGGATCATTATTTTGTTTAGAAAAGATGTACCTTATCTCGGCAAGAAGTTCCAGCGGGGTATCTATCCTTGGTAACACCGCTTCCAGTCGATTGGAAGAAAGCGCCGAATTACTAATATACCAAGTATCCACCTGGCTATGACCTCGAACTTGCACTCTTCATTTCGGCACTCCGAAGCCAAAAGCAGCAATTTCTGGATTATTTACATTGAATTCGAGAAAGATAAATCGTCAAACAATCTACAATTGCATTCATAAACTAGCAACCATGTCAATCCTTGAGGCCCCCTCAAAGCGCCGAGTCCTTGTAGTTGGTGCCGGAGGAGTGGGGACAATGGCCTGTGTTGCTCTTGAAAGATCCGGAAAGGCTTCTGTCACAGCTGTCCTTCGCTCAAATTATGAAAAAGTGATCAAAGATGGATTTGAAATCGAATCTGTGGATCACGGAAAACTCTCTGCCTGGAGACCAAGTCATGGTAAGTGAAAGCTCTATTGCTTTGACAGCTCGAACCAGTTGATTAATAACTCAATATAGTTGTGAATGTCGTTCCTGAAGCTGACTATGCTAACCCATTTGATTATGTGGTTGTCACAATGAAGACTATCCCGGAGATTAACAATATTGCAAAAATAATCGCCCTCAGTGTGATCCCCGGCCATACCACAATCGTTTTGATGCAAAATGGGTTGTATATCGAACCGCCAATCATTAAAGCATTTCCATCAAATGTGGTCCTCTCTGGTACGAGCTATATTGGCGCTCATGAGCACAACGGTCATGTTATACATGATGATCCGGATCGATTTCATATAGGAGCATATCGCAATACAAGCCTAGACGACAATATCGAGCGACAGAGACTGAAAGACTTTGTTGCCGTATACAACGGTAGTAAGGTCGTCGAGGCCCAACCTGTGGATAATATTATGCATTACCGCTGGCGCAAAATATTGTGGAATGGTACCTTCAACCCTATGTGTGCAATTACGCAGCTTGATAACGCTGCCATCAGGCGTTTCGGAGGTGAATACAGCTTATTACGACCCGGTATGCTTGAGATGGCAGCAATTGCGAAAGCAGATGGCTTTGATCTTGGTGAAAGTATTGTGGATGAGATGATTGAGGCCACTCCCCTTGAGCTATGTTTCCGACCGAGCATGCTGGTTGATATTGACAAAGGGAATCCAGTCGAGGTCGAGGTAATTCTAGGAAATGCATTAAGAGTTGCTCGAGCGAAAGGTGTTTCGACACCGATCTTAGACAACACATACCGTTTCTTGAAACTTATACAGGCTCGACAGTTAGCTACCCGGGGCCATATTTCTGAGCCTACAGAGCTGCCCGCCACAACATTTATCTAGCATCTTGTTACACATATAGAACAAGCGTTCTCGAGATTTTAAAAAGAGCAACTGCTATCGCAAATTCCTTCCTCTGCTTGAATATCTGACTAGATTTTGATCTGGAAAGTAGGGAAACAGTCCATACTAGACCCCCAATCAAACAAAGGAAGGGATGATGGATGGTTTGTGTTATTAAGCTTTTATGGCGATACAAGATAGAAGACAGGCACTTAAAGCAAAATTGGCAAAAGTCAAATTGTCTTGAAGGAAGATCAATCTATGGAGTAGCTTCAATTCTCACTTTATCTAGCCTGATTGAAAACCTGTGCATTATAATGCGCTGGATGCAAAGAAATATCGCTTGACCCTTTTTTTTCTTGCGTTTATGAATCGATCTATACGTTGGAAAGCAGGCCTAGGATGTGACAGGTGCTTTGAATTGATTGGAGCCGACAAGTATTGAAGATGTCTTCAAGCTACAGAGAGATGAAGGCACCAGTATATATTGATACTGCCTCTCTGTTAAATATGGTGAAAAATATGTATATTACGGCATCAGCATTTGATTATGTGCGATGTTTGATCACCATGGAGCCAGCGCTTCTATTCGTCTTTCGACAACCGGCATGCGCCAAGATCATGCGGTGAGGTCGAGAGACTCGATTTGAATGGTCATCATATGCATCAAAGATGCAATAAAAGGCATTTTTGAAACATGAGTCTCACTAATAGCATCCTCACAAGACAGAAAATGAGCAATCAATAAATCACACGTAATCACCGCTCAATATCTGATTTGAATGCGTTGACTTCCTGGCTTGTGGGGCCTATGAACCTACTTAAATCCCCGCGCTGAGGGTGCTCCAGACAAATCAACATAACACCCTGAAACTTCCAACAGCTTCCAGGATCAGTTTATCTTCATAATGGAGAGAATCGATGTTCATGCTCATTGTGTTCCTCCCATCTACCGGGAGGTCTGTCTTCATAATGAGTTTGCAGGCAAGGGTCATCCTGACGGGATGCCAGGGATACCGGTAGGGTTGAAAGAACTTTTGTGTGATTAAAACCGACTTCGCTAAATGAACCATAGGAATGGGATCCAGAGTCCCACATTATCATGATGAAAAACATTGGGATCAGAAAATCCATCCTCAGCATGTCATCGCCGGGCACACATCTGTTTCCTGGAGAAGATCAAAAGGCACGAGACTTGACCAGAGCAGTAAACGAGTACATGTCGAACGTGTGTCTACGATACAGAAATTCTTTTCTCTTTTTTGCATCTCTTCCATTGCCAGATGTTCAAGGAGCCTTGATGGAGATCGACTATGCCCTTGATCACTTAGGCGCCGTGGGATTTCAAATTCTTACAAATTCTCATGGCATCTATCCTGGAGACCCACGATTCAACCGAGTCTTCGATAAACTTAATGAGCGTAAAGCACTTATATTTTTCCATCCGACCAGTTGTCATATTCAGAACCCTGAGAATGGCTGCATAGATGAGGTGAACCCTATAGCTGGCATGCCTAGCCCGCTATTAGAGTTCATGTTCGACACAACTCGAGCCCTCACAAGTCTTATCACATCGGGGACAGTTACTCGATGCTCTGATATTAAATTCCTGATATGTCATTGTGGCGCAACATTTCCTCCAATTCAAGCACGGATCGCCGAGTTCTCACCACTGCTTCTCAAAAACGGGAAATCAATCAATGGAGAACAGATCAAAGAGTTATTACAAGGTCAATTTTACTTTGATCTTGCAGGGGTACCATTTCCTGACCAGATTCATGGGCTCCTCCGACATGTCGACTCCTCCAGGTTGCTATACGGCAGCGACTACCCTTTCACTCGCGAGTCGCTAGCTAAATCATTGGCACAAAGAATGGATGAGGGTCTTCTGGTTGAATTTGGACCTGAAACACAAAAGCGAGTTCTAATCACGAACGCCGAGGACTTGATTTCAAAATTTCAAAATGATATTTATCCCAAGAAATTTTAAACAGAGATTTTCATATGCCGATAAAATCAATGAGTGGAATTCATTTTCAGTAAAATATTCACTTTTGAAAGAGTGCTTGAGTTATTCGCACACTGGCTAGATACTTTCGGGGACTAAATTGTCTTGATCATTCCCCGCACCGCGTACGCCTCGGTGCTCAGAATAGATCCCACAAAGCTTACTATGGGGGAGAGTGTAGTTTATTGGGGGTGGGATCTTCCCCCGCATGACTCAGGTATTGAGAAGGCCACAATGCGGGGGAAACTTTCTTGCAATGTTGTATAAACATTCTACGCGTTTCTATCGGGACTTCAACATTGCGTGGCAGCTAATCTAGTCATCATCTTTGCTTTCCCGAAAGATCCCTATAAAACCACGTCTGGAAACCATGAGGCTTTTACTCAATTTAAAAAACCAGATGGACTGGGTTCCATTCCTGGTTGTCTGTCTTGCTTTGGCCGCCATCATTTCTTCAATCGTGAGAGCTTTCAAGCCTGGACTCAGGTCAATCCCCGGGCCGTTAGTTGCTCGATTCTCGCCATTTTATCGCTTAATCAAAATTGCCAGAGGAGATGCACCTGTATTCTATCGCAATCTCCATGATAAATACGGCCCTATAGTTCGTACGGGTCCAAACACCGTCGACATCTCTGACCCGAAAGCAATTTCTATCATATACGGAATAAGCAGCAAGTTTCTGAAGGCATATGATACTCTTGACCCACTTGTTTCTGTTACTGATTCTTGCCACTAGTCTGCCTTTTATGATACCTTCAGTCCATTTTTCGAGGATAAAGTGATGCCAAGCATGTTCTCTATAAGAGATCCTATTGGACATCAAGCTCTGAGGCGACCAGTTGCCCAGAAGTTCTCTATGTCGTCCATTAAGTCCCTTGAGCCATTTGCAGATGAGTGTACAAAGATATTCATTGATGCAATGGAAGATTTAGAAGGCCAGCAAGTCGATCTCGGTGCTTGGTTGCAGTGGTACGCCTTTGATGTCATCGGAGCCATCACGTTTCAACGCAGATTTGGATTCATGGAAAAGAGAGAGGATGTCCAGGAAATGATTGGTGGCCTCGAATCCGGCTTACAATATGCAGGGGTTATCAGCCAAGTGCCTTCTTTGCACAAATGGCTCATCGGGAACATTTGGGTTTCCAAGCTTTTGGCAGCACAGCCTTTCTTGAAAATACCGGATCCTCTTCGTACAATGGTGCAAGTAAGTCTTGCTTTTGCTGAGAACAATATTTTGAATTACTCCAAAGATGCAAACAGCTAATATACCGAAAAGCTTACGCAAGACTGTATTGACGACTACGACCGACAGCCAGCTGAGAAGCATAGAGAACGCCCAGATTTTCTGGCTTGGCTGCGGAGTGAAGAAGCTAAAGGCAAACCAGTGTCTGACCGAGACATGATGAACCATTTGAGCAATAACCTGTATGATCACTTCTTTTTACGTTTCCCGGCAAAATTATCTCATAAATTGACTGGTGACCCCCTTAGTCTCGCTGGAAGCGACACTACAGCTATTTCTCTTCGGGCAATGATATATTTTCTTGTTCAAAACAAAGAAGTCTACAAAAAGCTACAAAATGAAGTCGAAGAAGCTGATAAAGAAGGAAAACTCTCTCAGTATATCACCTACGCTGAGTGTCTGGAACTACCTTATCTGTAAGTCATCACCCTCAGTATACTGACGCTTTATTTTGCATTAAATGACATAAAAATAGTCAGGCAGTAATGAAAGAGGCCATGAGATGTCACCCTGGCGTATCCTTCCCTCTTGAACGGGTTGTTCCCGAGGGTGGAACTGTTCTTTGTGGGACCCACCTAGAAGCAGGCACTATTGTCGGAATAAACCCTGCAGTTATTCACCATGACAGAATTATCTTTGGTGCGGATGCCGGGAAATTCAGGCCGGAGAGGTGGACGGAGTCAAATGAAGACCAGGTGAAGCTGATGGATCGCCATCTGATGACTGTATGAGAAGTCTTTTCCACGTTCCACTATTATGATTAAATTTGAAGGAATGCTTATACTCCAAAACAGTTTGGCTACGGATCCAGAACATGTATTGGAAAGAATATTTCTATTATGGAGATGGGAAAGCTGATTCCACAACTCATTCGTCACTTTGAGATAGAATGGGATTCCGAGAATCCACATTGGCGAGTTGAGACTTTCTGGTTTGCAAAGCAACATGGCCTTAAGTGTCGCCTTCGATCAAGACAGGTATTACCACAGCTGAGATTGGTATGAGAGCTCATTCAAATATATGCCGATTCATAGCCCGTGCCCTTTCCCGTGTTATCTGAGTATCCTTCAAGCTAAGAAAGGGAATAGAAAAAGATATTTTACTGAATTTAAATCCAGGTCAGCGGGCTTCTTGAGGGTGAGACTATATCTTCATTACCGATAGCTTATCCTCTGTCAGGCTAATAGATTTGATGTCGATATATGGCGTCGCCTCTTGGGAGATTCGATCTAATTATACCATCAGTATAGCTCAGTCTACCAGACAACGATATTACGAACCCATGTGTTCACGGACCAAGAATGCATATTCAGCATAGTTGTCCGGGCCACCACTGGGCTCCACCGTTTCCGTGATCTTGTATTCATGCTTCTTGTCCCAGCCATACTGGCGTCAGACTTTTCATGTGGAGAAATTGGAAGGGCAGTTTGTGGCTCATACATTTCAAAACCGGGTTGTATCTGAATTTTGATGTTCATTTCTCAAACGACTTGAAAACATCCGGTGTGGTACAGATCGGGGGACTCGGGTCCGCTTCGCCTATCACCGGAGTGGCTGTCTCCTGTTCACTGTCGTTAGAACGGAACTGGGTCTGTTTGACCGGAGTAGGCGATTGTCTACCGCAGATAAACTACGCTAGCAATTCCTGCAATTCAATTGCATCTGGTCCTGGTTGATGATTTTTGTGGCAGACGGAACTGTTCGGAATATACTTGAATTTAATAGTACAGTCTCAAGCAGCTTCTTCGGATCTTTTAATTGAGGATGAGTAAACTCGTTCTTCGGGCTATCTGGCGGAGTCAGATCTTGTTGACAGGCAGAGACAGTCTTCGCATATGCCATTTTGTGCTCGGAGGAAGCCACTTCTCTATTACACTGAGCCAGGGTCAGATTCTCTAATCCAGTGAATGGAAGTAGTAGTCGTTGGTGCAGCGAAGTTGGATAATGTCAGGAAGTTCAGAAGCCAATGGAAATGAAAACAAAGAACTATGACCCAGCTGGGCAGAGGTTCCCTTTATATCTTCATCGCAGTAATCTGACTGTTTTCATGATGCTTAGAAAACTTACGCTGCAGGTGGTTCAAATTTGGATGCGTAGTTTACATTGTGGGAAGTCTGGAAAACATAAAGCCAATCTGAATTAGCTAGCAAGCTCGCGTGAAGTGACGCAAGATCACGTGACTTAGTCGGCTACCCAAAGCAAGTTGGAAGCCCCGTGGGTGGAATTTTCTGCCAATATAGTAGGATACCGAATGAGCTTGTAAAGGTGGAATTCAATGAATGAAATTGGACGCTTATGACTATGTCTAATTGTGTGAAATACTTGGCAGGGAGTGTTGAATATCTCCTGCCTCGCTGACTAGAGTGTTCCGGTGGTGGATTCCGAGTATACCCGGGATACCATGCAAAACTAGTGAAGAATCGAGTAACCCTGTTATGGCGGGACGCACAAAGGAATGCGTGGGGGCCACGCGCTATTCGATGGCCTTTCCTTCTCAACACATCAATCATCCACATCTCCGATCTGAAAGAGGGTATATCTAGCCTAGTCCTTTATCATCATTTCAGCCCGTTGGTCCTCATCTGGGCAGTGCATAAGGCCCCATTTGCGTGCGAGTGTTAGAGAACCAGCATGGCTGAGACTGTCAGAATATGTATGTTCCGCTGCCCTCTCGCATGTGCATCGGATACCTAGGCGCCTAGTAGGTACCTAGGTAAGCAAGGTATTGTTTATGATACTTATTTGTGCCTGATATAGCCGCGCGAAGTAATCATGGCTGTTGGACATGTCGCCTCCGCAAAAAGAAATGCGATGAGAATCGCCCCGTATGCTCCGCGTGCATTTCTCTCGAATTGAAGTGCCACGGATACGGCCCGAGGCCTGAATGGATGGATAATGGCGTGCTACAAAGAGATCAAGCCTCCGAATTCAAACGTCTCGTTAGCCAGGTCAAGTCGAGAAACAAAAAGCGACAGCAAATTCTCGCCAATCAGTCACCAGTGGTTTCAACTATCAAAGTGAGCTCTTCAGCTACTAAGAATATATCCTCGCCAGTGGCTGTTTCGCAAAATTTATTCGATGACAACTTCGGGGCTCTTCCTCAACACGAGTTAAACTTCCAAGACAGTGAAATGGGGTTAAGTAACTCGATTGACACACTATGGACCTTGTGGCCTCCAAACGACCTTTCATTTATGGATGATACTTCGTTGGATTCAGGGGGCTACAGCTCTACCCATACTACTTGTCAAAATCAACACACGTCACAGCATTTACTATCACCCAGAGCTTTCGAAAGTATCGTTTCTGGAAAGGACATTCAGTCTCCTATCAATCAGGGTACCAGCTCCGCGTTGAATGACTTGCAAGATAGCGCGTCTGAGAACTATAGATATCATTTCAAAGAAGCAGCTCCAACTACTAATTTCAACCACGTGGGACTATCTTCTCAGATAACAAACCCGAGTGGAGACACAGAGGATGCATTGTTCATGTACTACCTGGATGAAGTATTTTATACCCAGTATCCATTCTTTCACTACCAAAAGAAACAAGGAAGGGGTTGGCTCTTTGCGATCCTGCGAAGAGTCAAATCGGTATACCATGCAGCTTTAGCTCTGAGCGAACGCCAACTTCTTTCAAGCGCATCATCGCGAAATAGTGACATTGGTAGTAGCCTCATACAACTACGCACCCAAAACAGCAACTACGATAGAGCTATTCAAGAGATGCAGGTGATGATAAATGATTCTAACACAAGTAAACGGCAAAACCTTTTGCTCTGTAGCATAGAAATCCTCATGTCTATATTGCAGCTTTTGTCCTTTGAGGTGGGTAAGCAACAATCCAACTAGCGGTTACTGTGATGCTAACATCTTAGACATACAAGACTTTCAATGGTGGGAGAGAGAAATGGCAGACACATCTGCGGACGGCATCTGGTTTCATTTCTACACTTATACATGCCCGGCTTCAACCTTTGACGACGCCAGGCGACTTCATGGCTCCACACTGTGGAAGTGAGAAGACCGCTCTATGCCCCGAAATTGAATGCGCATTCAAATTTGTGCTCGGATCTTTCATCGCATTTGACATCATCTCTTCCGCTTCCACTCGATCAAATCTAACCCTGAACATAAATCACTTACAAGTACTTGAGACGTTTGAAATCTCCCTGGAAAGCCACACTGGGTGTCGGGATTCAGTAATGGCTCTTATCTTGGAAATCTCCATTTTGGAAAAATGGAAGAAAGAGGCTCAAAGCGCCCATAAACTGAGTTTTGTCGATCTGGTAAAACGTGGTGACAAACTACAGGGCCATCTTCGACAAGAGCTAGCAGCCATTGAGAAAAACGCAAATTCAGGGGCAGGAGAAGGAGAATCATCGCCAACCACTTCATCCGCAATCGCTACCCCAACACCTACGCATCCGGAGATCAGCAAAGTGTTTATACTGTCAGCTATAACGTATCTCCATGTTGTTATTTCAGGTCCTTATCCAAAAGTGCCCGAGATTGCGGAAAGCATCTCGGAAACAGTACTTGCTTTCAAGACTTTGAAAGATCCGCGATTACTGCGAAGTTTGGTGTGGTCATTTTGTATTTCTGGGTGCTTGGCGCTGGAGAAACATTATGACTTCTTCCGGGGTCTTGTTTCTCGAGCAGGTATCACCCAACATGCTACCGGGGTGTGCTTCGAGGCCTTGCAAATTATGGAAGAATGCTGGAAGGCTAGGGTTACTTCTTCTGAGAGTTGTGATTGGGCTACAGCGATGCAGCGACGTGGTTGCTATGTTTTTCTGGGATGAAATAGAAAAATGAAAATGAAAGATGTAATGTGGATACACTCTACTTAAAAATACATGTACTCATCGTTTTTGAAAGAAGGCTGTTGATATTATTTAAATAGGACAATGTTTCAACCTTTTAGTTTCAGATGAAAGCCCCATAGATCGTCGTTAGTCGTAGTCATGACTCCTATTATGAATACCGTAGAATAAATAAAATATACTTTTTTTCCTATTGATCATTTATAAAATTATATATCTCTTGCAAGTTCATAATATTTTTAAGAAAGAGCAAGCTGGCTTCAATCCCGGAGGCCTAGATGGCCAGAAGGATCTCAAGGAATACTCATAGGGATAAGTGTGCAACATAAGTGTGCAACACCTAGCAATGCGCACACCAGGCTCAATTGCGTCTTTTTGGCGAGAGTATCAGTGGTCAACTAAGGGCTTTTGTCTGTAACATGATTGTCCCCCTTGCTAGCAACCCTTCTTTTTTCCAACACCTAATTGATGCTGTTGAATCCGCAGAAGACAGCACGCACTATAACGGAGACCGATCAATAATTGCATTGAACCATGCATGAAATATCTCTATCAATACAGAATGATATGGAAACTTCAGTGCTCGAGTGTCATGATTCATCGGTTGATGCCTCGAGAATCAAGAAGTCATAGTGCTGAATGAAACATGACGAACGGAGTAGGGGGCACACAAGGTCTCGATGTAAATTCCTCCACTCTCCGATATATGTCAATAAAGCCAGAGACTTTGCAAAAAAAACTTGTTTTACAAGGTGACATCAGGACTTATAGCTGGCATCAGATATCATGCTTCTGTGCTCCGGGACTGAATTCTAAATTCTAGCTCTAGTCTCCAAGTTAGCACCATGTAGGATCTCATCAATAAGTGCCATCGCTTGATAAAGCCTTCTTTCTTGTAATCGGGGAGCTACAACTTGAACTGATAGCTTTGTATTCAAATATACATTCCTATCACTGGCGTTTGGGTGCCCTGTTTCTGATAGATTAGCATAACTTTGCAAGATAGGAGTTTCCCCTACTTCCACACTGGAAGTGAACGGGTAAACAAAGGTATGAAACATGTAAGAGTGGTACGAAAGACGTAATACTAGGGTGATGAAGGTAGAAAGCTTACACAAATCCCTGTTTCTCGAATCCCAGCCTCCAAGGACTTCCAATTCAGGTAGTTCGTCCTTCAAATCGGCATCTGAGATGTCTCTAACTGGCAGTGTTCCAGCCGGATAGTCCAATACGACAAATGCACTGGTATAACCAACTCCATTCCACCTGTCGATTTCTGGCACTGGATGAGGAGCTACTGGACATATCAAAGCATCGATCATTCTCCCATTCTTATCCCTCCAGATTTTCAACATTTCCTTTTCCAATAACGATTTTGTGGCATGTAAATCACTAAGCCGTATCAAATCTGCAGGCCGTTTTCTTCTCAGCCTTGTTTTGAGCCAGGGAATCAAAGGTTCCCCGGTTCTCTCAAGTATATCAAAGGTATAGTTGTTCCCCTCGATACCGAAAAACGAGTTGGCCAGTGAGTGATATTCCTTGAAAGCTGGAGCATTGATCTCAACAACTTCGAAGCCGGCTTTGCGAAGAGCTTCTACCGTTTCATCAAGAACTTTAGCAACTGGTGGCAGTGGCATGGTAATACCGTCAGCTCTCATCACTCCGAACAACGGTTTGCTACTCATCTCCCCCTGCCCTTCCCACGACCCGAAAGCGACATACGGATCTTTCTCCCACGGATCAGCATCTGCAATCGCTTTCAGAAACAGCTCGCAGTCTCTGACACTCGTCGCCATCAGTCCCGCACTAGCTTGCAACCCCAACTTATCTATGCCAGGCCGCTGCCCAATTTCTTGGCCTGTGAAAGGGATTCTCTGCGAACTCGGTTTGATACTGTAGAGGCCATTGCACATGGCAGGTATGCGTACCGAGCCTCCAATATCCGTGCCGATACCCAAAACACTACCTCTCATGGCAATCAATGCCCCTTCACCACCACTACTTCCACCCGCTGTCACCCGCCCGTTCCGTGGGTTCAAAACATGTCCGAAGATATGGTTTTGCGAATCCAAGGCCATGAGAGTTTGCGAGACGTTGGTCTTGCAGTAGAGTACTGCTCCCTGCTCAAGAAGCATATCTACCAATGCGGCATTCTCCTTTGCAGGGTTCCCTGCGAGACTTGCTATGCCGATCGAAGAATCATACCCTTTGATATGGAACGTATCCTTTAAGGAAATCGGTATCCCATGAAGCGGTCCTCGTGTCTTGCCTGTAAGTTTGTATTCAGCATCCAGAGCGTGTGCTCGCTCGATAGCCGGTAGGAAGAGGATTTCCGAGAGACAGTTGGTGAGTTGTTGAGCGATGGCGGCGCGCTTGCAGAAAGCAGTGGTTACTGTTGCAGATGTGAGCGCACGGGAATGGATAAGTTGAGAGAGTGCGGTTACGTCGTGCGAGGAAGTTATAGAGAGTTCGTCTGGAGTCAGGGCAGTGCTTTTCGAAACAAGGGAGCGGACGTCGAGTGGGAGGGGGTCGGGTAGTAAGTCAAGGAGCCAGTTTTTGGGGATGAGAGATTGAAGGGTATTGAGTTTGCGGTGGGCAATGGCATGGTAGGTTTGGGAGGACATTTGGTCCGAACGTGCATTCGCCGGTTTCTGGCTGATGACTACCTAGCTTTGAGAAAGTCCTCTATTGAAGAAATGTTGTTGCATCCAAGGATGGAGGACATATACTTGGTCCATATGAGAGGGGGCAATAAGGCACAAGCCGACTGTCGTTAGCTCAACCCGCGTGATGTCACTAGCACCAACTATCGATTATTATTTACCGCTGGAATTCTTCTATACGAATTAACTAGTTAACTGATGGGCTAGTTACTCATTGCAAATCCATGGATAGTCTAAAACAAACATCTCCTCTAGACGTGCGCGCTAAGGCTAGCCGTTTGAGCACAGGGGAAAACGCCTAGCAACACCCGCTAGCCCTACCGTGCGCGGTAACGCTAACTGGCTGTGGACTGGACTTCGGTAAATTGCCCACTCGGTTGGACGGTATGTGGGGTTATCCGGTGCGCGGCGACGCTAAGCCTGATATATCTGCCTTTCATAGAACAGCGTTGTCAAATGACCTCCTCTTCAGTGCGTAATGGCAAGACCACGAGACAGACGCAACTCTGCCCTCTCTATCTTAAGATCTGCAACCTGCAGTAGGGGGTTTTGCGATGCTTGGTAATCTCCCCGTCTCCCTTCCGCTTCATATTTGTCATGCTCTGTTGTGTATGTCATCGGGCAACAGCAATTTTCTCTTTTTTATGGCGCTGTGGACCTTATACAATCTCTAATAATTGACAGGCTTGGGTACTAACTCTTCTGCCAGACAAGAGGACAGGGAATTGGAGCAATGGAGCCTGCTACAGATTCGGAGAAACTCCCAAATGATCCCAAACTCGACATTGGTCCAGGCCAGAGCGACGAAAGCACCACGGTTTCACCAGTCATTGACGATGTTGAAACGCATCTCCAGGCTGACCTCAATCCAAAAGAGTCAAATCAGCAGGAAAGGCGCGAGGTCAGAGGTTGGAAATGGGTTGTCGTTGTGCTAGCCATCTACAGCTCGCAATTCCTGTTCGCCCTCGACCAGACCATAGTAGCCAACGTCCAACCCGCCATTGTCGAGCAGTTCAAATCCGGGGGCAGGCTTACATGGGTCAGTGTTCCCTCTCATCGGCGCCGCTGGAACAAACTTGGTATGGGGCAAAGTCTATTCTCAGTTCAATATCAAAGGACCTATGTCGCGACCATCTCGTTTTTTGAAGTCGGTTCTGCTATTTGCGGCGCTGCTCCGGACATGGACTCCTTGATCGTGGGTTGAGCCATTTGTGGCATCTATGTATGTTGGCCTCATGACACAACTAGCTGTCACAACCACCATTCAGGAACGTCCTGTGTACGTCGGCGGAGCGGGCCTGGTCTGGGGTATTGGAACAGTCCTGGGCCCTATAATCGGTGGGGCATTCACCGATTCGTTTGCAACCTGGCGCTGGTCATTTTACATCAATCTTTGTGTTGGTGCCGTCTGCGCCCCCGTCTACCTATTCATGTTGCCTAACAAGGACCCGCACCGCGGTATCAGCCTTGCCAACCGTGCTCGTGAGTTTGACCATCTTGGAACCATCCTTCTAATTGGTGCTTTCTTTTCGGGAGTCATGGCCGTATCATTCGGTGGTGTCATGTACCCGTGGAACTCGGGCAAGATCATTGGCCACTTTTGCTGCTCTGCTATGCTATTCGTGCTATTTGGCGTGCAGCAGGTCTATGCCCTCTTTACGACCCCTGCTCGTCACATATTCCCCGTCAAATTCATTAAGAGCCGCACCATCCTAATATTGTTCGCCATGACTGCAGCTGATGGAACGAGCATATTCCTTTCCATCTACATGACGCCTCTCTATTTCCAGTTCAGTCGTGGAGATGGAGCGCTGGAGTCTTGCGTTCGGCTTTTACCCTTTATCATGTTAATGATGTTTGCCACCATTTTGAACGGCGCATTCCTGTCCAAGATGAGGTATTATATGCCTTGGTACCTCGGCGGAGGTGTCCTAGTTGTCATTGGTGGTGCACTCATGTTTACAGTGGGCACAGCGACATCCGTCTCCAATATATGTATATACCGTCCTCATCGGCATTGGGGCTGGTCTATTCTGTCAGGCGTCATTTTCAGTTGGCCAGGCAATTGTCAAGTCTTAAATGGTTGCTGCATCCATCGGCTTCATCTCAACTGGTCAGATTACTGGCATCACTTTATCCCTCGCCATTGCCAATGCGGTATTTCTCAACAAAAGTGAAGATGGAATCATGGCCATTTTACCAAATACGCCAATCGCGAAGATCCAGCAGACTATTACTGGAGCGGGGTCTACACTTTTCGACAACCTGTCAGCAGATGATCGGCAGCGGGTGTTGGTTGTGATCGTCTCTGCACTAATAACTACATACGCCTTGGTCATTACAGCTGGATCGCTGGTCACCGTATTGAGACTTCTGATGAAGAGAGAGGGGCTTTTATGACTCCTGCGGCAGCATCTGAGTGAGCCATTGTGGAGAGAGTGCTTGGAGAGGACAAAGCCAAGCTACCTGTCGGCTGAACGCCCTGCACGGGGAAGCGGGCTGAAGACTTAATTACGCTCAAGGGGTCCCTGAGAGGCTTGAGGTATTGATGAACGGTATATTTTAAGATACAGAGTGCTTCATAACATAGAAGAAAATTGCTATACTGTCTAATTACAATGCAATATGTATAGATGCTTCGCATGGCCATATATAATGCGTATGGACCGACTGAGGTCACCATTTCGAACGCTACACACCTAAGCATCCACAGATGAATCTGTGTAATCTTAGTAGGCCTTTTAAGAATGTCACTGTCCTGATCCTTTATCCTGAGACAATGAACGAAGTGCCTAATTGCAGCGTCGGTGAGCTTTGCCTCTCGGGTCCAGGTGACGAGGGGTTAGTGTATTCAGGTTCGCACTCTCAGTCTGAGTGGCGCCAATCGGTATACAGTAACCACTACTGCTTGGGTATTCATTTCAGCAATTACTATCCCTTGTATACAAGCCTCGAGTAATGCCTTCATCAAGAGTGCTACGGTTACTCCCAAATCCGGAACCAGTTTTACCCGCTCGGCTAAGAGAAGTTTTCACAATGATTCAGAGGCCTTTAATAAGGGTAATACATCGTAAGTGTCGGGACTACCGAACTATGAGCAGAACAACAAAGCTCTTTTGAAGTAGCTTATAAGGTATTTATAGAAGAAACAAATTCAATTTGATTTCAAAACTGAACTAAGCCTAAGCTATATTAGAAAATTAAATCAGAGGGTACCTTACTTTTCTTTTTTTTTTGGAATTTTATGGCCCGCAAGAAGCGATACAGCTGGAAATTTCAAGATAAAGACATGATTTCGACTTTCCGAGAATCAATCAACATCCCGACGTCTCCCATCAGTGTTAATCTACCCATGACCCATATCTCAGCCTTACCGTATACCAATTCCCACACATTTCGCGAGTCTTCGCGTTGATTCTTGAGGAATCCCATTACCAAGAGGGTGGCCAGAACACTTGCTTCTTTCTCAGACGTAAAGTCAGCTTTCTGGAGAATACTCAAGACTTTGGTCTTCATTTCACTCAGGCTGTCGCCCAAGATACTGAAGACTTCTTGGTTCCATTCCCAGTTTCCTTCAAAGCCTTGCAAGGCTACAAGGGCATGGACGCTTGATACAACAGAGGACTCAGGTGGTATAGAGTGAGCACTGCCGAATAGCCCTCCAGAAGATGATTGTCCTGAAAAGGAGGGTGACATTCTTTGTGGCCCTTGTGAAGAGGACCCAAACAAGGGCCTAAAAGAAGCTTGCCCAATTTCTTCTACCGACGCCTGGTTAGAGTCGAAATGGCCCTCCGATGGCCTCTCAGAGGAAGACTGTCCGAAAAAGGACATGGGCGCTCCCATTTTCCGGGCAGATGCTTGTCGGAGGGGTAAAAGCCTGGAGGGATGGCCTCCGAATGATGCTTGTGCCTGCTGTTGCTGAGTGGCAAGTGCTTGACGTGGATGAACAGAGGCCGGGGCCATACATGCCATAGCTAGTGTTGGTGCCATGACAGATCTTCTTTTCAAAGAAGTCCCTCCCCGGGAGGCTCTGATTTTGTATTTCCTGAAAGTGCGGTCAGGGAGCGTGGCTCCAGTCTCGATCACTTCGCAAACGTCCTTTTCTTTCGCTATGGCTGGGTTGTCGGATTCGTGCTCAAGTGCAACGAAAGAACAGTACTTTCCGGTAACTTGATACTTGATACCCAGGGCCTGGCACTCGCGGGTGGCAATACGTTCTTTTGTGGCAGAATGGAGTTGGTTGAATGAGTTACCTTGATCATCATGGGCATCGATCAACCAGCCATGCATTTCTTCCAGCTCGATGACTGCTTTCCGAGACGCAAGCTGATGGATTGTCTCTCCCTCAACAGAGTCACCGATGGGAATGTTCAGTTTCAATGGGCCTTGTCTGGAAGTGCCACTGAAAGTGAGGGATTTGGGTACCCGCTCCGAAAATTGAGGATCAAGGAGAAGGTACACAGTGGTCCGGATAAAGGGGTAAAGGGGTGGGATTTTGTAAGGAGCTTGGAGAGCCTTGGGAGGCGATATTTTGGGGAGGCTCGCATCATCTGTCACCGGGTGAACACCGAGTTTAGTATCAGGCTCTTTGAAATTGGCATCAAAGAGCGAGATAGGCTGTTGCGAGGTTGTTTCCGTTGGCAGCGAAGCATTTTCCTCGGCTTTAGTCTCAGAATCTAGCATGGGCTCATCGGTATCCACAACTTCGAATTCGTCATCGGCATTGCCATCATATTCAACCTCCAGCTTATAATCATAGATATGAGGGGTGATGGCTCCCTTGAGCATTCTTACCACTTTCCTGTCCAGTTCTTCATAATTGAGGACAGATTGCGAGAAGCCATTGCCCGCCCGTGCAATTCCTTCCACTAAGGAGTGCGATGCAAGATCACCAATGGCCAGAGAAAAAAAGCGAGCGGTATTGTCAGCGGCAGCGTTGCGAATGAAAGTGAAGAGAGCATCCTGGTTCCAGATTTGTCCATCAGTAAGCATAAGAACCTCCAAATCTTTATCGGGGAGGCGATTTTTGACAGTGGCTTCCACTGCCCTCTGCATTTCCGTACCGCCCATGTTGGCCTCTACGGAGTCAACAAATGATAATGCATCACTCAAGCTTGACGCATCGTAAATCTTACTGAATGGCCAGAGGAAAGAATAAGAGTTTCCAAAGGAGCAAATATTGAAGGAAGTCCCAAGTGGCAAAGACTTGAGAAATATCTTCAAGGCAGATTGTAAGGTGGCGATCTTGTCATTCATACTTCCACTTCGATCGATAACAAATACGATTTCTGGTTTTGTTGGGGGCAAGCTAAACTTTGGCACCAATGTTGCCATCACTGCTTGCTGACCAGGAAATTTAGGGTGAGTCTCAAGCAATGCACGAGGATCATCAAGTCCATCGGCCTTGACGAGCAGGATAAAGTCTCGTTCTAGGCGAGCTTGACTGTCGTTTGAAAGGCGCAGAGTAGCAGATGCTTGAGAAGACTCAAATGAGGTATCCTGGACCGCCGTAGTAGAATTTCGACCCAGTGCAACGTGAATGGAGTGGCTTGAAGACTGGAGCTCTCGAATAATCGATTTCTTTTCCATCAGAACATCAACTGTGATAGAGATGCCTTGGAGATTCGCGGGCAATCCAGATGCAGATGATAACTTCTCAGAACCAGCCATCGGGGTTCCGTAGCGGGGAGCTATAGAATTGGGCAGGATGTAACGAATCCCATCTATCTGGGAGTCTTGTTTGAGCTCGCCGACATAGGTGATATCAACAGTAATTTTCTCCTTGGCGGGGACATTGCCGAGGCGCAGGGTAAAAATGTCCCTTTGGCTATCGGAATAATCCATTATTGCCGCCGTTTCCTGGCTAGCAACCGCTTCTTGGTAGTTGGCGTTGGCCTGCTCCTTTGACTTCACCTTGCTGTGAAGCAGACGCGAGCCAACCTGGCACCGGAATCCCACGACACTGACGCCATCGTAAAGAGGCAAGGTATATGATACCTCCTCCAAGATCTGATCTGATGGGTTGGCGAAGATCTGGGTGAGCGTAGTTCGGGCAGTGGAAGAGAGAATCTTAGCATGAGCTTTGAGGGAAACCTGTGGTAGATATTGTCGGACGATCGCGCCGTTGATCTCAGTGTTACTAACGTAACAACCACAGAAGCTAATGGTAGCCATGGTCGTGGCAGTTAACAATGGTTATTGTCAATGAGTATTTCGGTTAGAAAGACTTGAATAGGAAATAAGAAGAGAGGGGGTCAAGAGTGGAAGATGAGGCTCTTTTATGTGGTAGAGCAACCAGGCAGCAAAGCAAGCGGGACGGCCTTACCCGTGCTAACTAAGCTAACTGGTTACCTAATTAGGTCGCCACTAGGCCAAACTAGTCGAGCATTCTAAGTCTGAGTCAGAGTCACAGTCTTAACTAGATTACTGCGAAAAGCCCAGGACATTGTTAGTTAAGAACCTCGGAAGTCTTTTAAATTGAGTGATTTACATGGATTGAGTGGTTTTGGGTCAGGCTTACAGTGCTCTGCCGAGACTCCCGTGTTTTGGGCGATCCCCCCGGCCTACAGAGAGCTAAGAATCTGGTGGACCACAAACCGAAACCACCACTGCGATCAAAGCCATGGTATGGCCGTGTTATCGCTCAGGGGAAATTCATCTTGACTTGAAAATTTATAATCTTTTTCGAGCTTGACTGAGTAAGTTGCATAGCATTTCGGCGTATAGAACAGGCCAAATGACGCTTCCAAGGAAGACTGCACACGAATCATTCCACAGTGATGGTTTATTGGAGCATAGCAGTTATCAACAGAGAAATTTCTTCCTCAGTCATCTAAATTCTCAAACCCAGCATATATTACAGAGTGAAGTTTGATGGCCAGAAAGATGCATTTTTGACAATTACATAATGGTGAGAAGCACCCAACATCAGCGTTAAGAGGCATATTTTCTTTTAGCAGTCGGCTGTTTCCGACAGTAGAAGAAGTCATATTCGGCTGACTTTGGGTTGACTTGGAAAGGTTTGAAATATTATCTCTGATCCAAATTCACCCTACATGTGTACATGCATATCAACGAACTCAGGTCAAAATCAATAGCTTTATGAATTGAAGCCAGAAAATGAAAGAGAGGACCCAGCTAGCTACCGGCGGAGCCAGTCTATGTGTAGAGGGGTCTCCGGAGCAGCGACTCCCGCCTGGGCGCGCTAATTGGCCAACCGAACGTTGAACAATTTCCTAGTACTGTAATCGATGGTTGGAACACGAGCAAATTTTAGTGAGCTAGGCCCATTCAAACTATTTCAAATTGAATCTTTTACCAAAAATTTTGCTGCACTCATTTTGGCACCTAATTTTCGAAGGCCATGGATGGTAAATGTAGCCTCAATTGCCCTCATTCTCCATCTAGTACGTGTCTGTTTTTGAGTAACCTGTTCGGCCTGCTTTAGGTAGTCACGCAGGATTATAATTCAGTACAGTAATTGGTCTTATATAACGCAATCTGTCATTCTTCGATTCCAGATGAGATCAAAAGTGAGGAATGCTTGCCTTATTTTACAATTTCCTTCGACGGACGATAGGTAGTTAGTTACAACAAGGGTGTGATGACATAATCCCACGCGACTTGGGGAAACTGCGGAACCCTGACCCGAAGCAGGCTAGCGCAGGGACCTCTCGCTTGCTTCACCTTGACACTTTGACAGGTGAGCAATTCTTCGCTTGAGTCTCTTCCTCTCGCATGAGAATGACCCATGCGAACGGCCAGGTGTAAAATATCATACACTCACCAGGCGCTATTCCAGACCCATTTTGGGTACCAGGGATCGACGATCTCGGCCCTCGCCCCATAGTGTTTAGGTCTTTGAGTTCTCCTCCTATGAGAAAGAATATCCCGATGTCCAATTTTCTCATCAGTATCGCAGTACTAGCTGCCATATGCAGCAACATCTTGAAGCCCATCGGCCGCGTTAATTCCATTCAAGATGCCAAGTTCAACGCCCTTCGGCTCTCTCCATTTCGATCTGGCATATTGATAGTTATTCGGCTGATCGAGTTAATCAACTGGAGACTCTCGAACCTGGCTAGCTTCCACGCAGGCCTATGGCTTCTGGCTCGTCTTCATTTTCAGATCCCGGAAGGGCTCAGGGATGTGCAGTCTCCTTCGCGGGCAACTTGGTCTTGCTGGGCGCGACGGTCGTGTCTTGTGAATGTCACATTACCACTCTTCATCATTCTGATCAGGCTTCCCTGCCATTGGGGAATACACACCGCCGTGGCCCTGCTAGTAATGGAATCGTTTTTTGATGAATTTCTTATATGCTATCTACAAACGTCTTGTTCTGGCCTCGTGTTCCGCAGGAATTGGCCCACTACGGCGCTTGTGGGGAAAAGCTTTTTCACTTCTGACCAGTGTGACCAGGTCAGCCATGCGGAAACACAGCAATGTGGAAGGGAAGGACATATCTCAACATCACCATCGCACCCTGCTGGAGACAACCTATGCGACCGTGTCCGTCGGATCTGGACGCCAGAATCAACTTCACATCCAAACAAAGCTACCGGCGACCATCCCTTTGAAGACGTTCCCAATCTAGATGCGATATTCGCAACATCAGCCCCTTCTCCATCCCAGTGGACCTGTGTTCATCGGCGGTGTCATCTCTACATGACCTTACGATCCTCGATCAAACCAATTGCTTTTTCATCTATATGGCTTGATCTTGCCCTTGCCGCTTGGCTGATACACAACAATCTTCGAGCTCCCATGCTCTATGCCGCCCGCGTTCTCTTAGCGGAAAGAACCCTGAAAGACCTTCTAACTTTGGCATATCTTTCAAGCCTTTTGATACCCATCTACGTCTCAGTCTACGTATTCTGGGCGAGAGTGTTTCCCCTATTGTGCAACAGACTGAACTCATTGAACCGACTCAGCCAAAAATTCGAAGTTTTTTTCCAACGTGTGCCCATTGCCTACAAAATAGGCCTGCTGCTCAATGCGCTTGGTGTATGTTGTGGCGTTTATCCCGTTCTGCTGAGACAAGATCCAGTCTTGAGCGAGGGTGTTCTATCGTACATCCTTGAGATAGGGGTCGCTTCGATAATTTGCCGCACGATCTACCGGTATACTCTTGGCTCGTCCAAGGCCACAACCAGTGGATCTCTGCGCGGGCAAGGAAGTATCAATCCTGATACTGAAGCAGAAAGCATGCCGTCAACGGGGCTAAAAGAGCCAACGAACATGGATCATTATTTGCAGAAAGATTGCGAGTCCTCCGAGAGACAGACCTGGTTGCACCTGTTTCGCTTGGCACTCCTCCTTCCGAATTTAGTCATCTGGTCGATGTCGTGATAACTAGATGGAGTAGGAATCGAACATATTCACAGGAGACAACCTCCAAAAGATTTAAATTTTGTGGTACAAAAGCAAGAACATCGTGCTTAAAAAATATCATTACCAGTGCGTCCAACGCCAGGACGATGTAATAAAAAAAGGAGATAAATACATCCATAGAAAACCACGCAGACGTCTATAAAGCATGCCTCAGGCAAACATGGAGTCCAAGCCATGATTCGGACACAACATAAGACCAGCCCAGCGCGGGCTTAGACGCGAAAGAGGGAACGATGCGCGAGGAGGAAAATAACGCCGACGCCATTCCCAAGGGACCAATGCGAGTCAACTAGATAGAAAGAAGAACAAAGAGGTGGCAGATCCAAAGGGAATGCGCATGTCTATCTGGATAAGGGGACATGGGACACAACAGCTTGGCGTTAACGAAGGGTATTGTCACAGAAGATGCGTATCAACGGGGGGGGTGCTTTTTGCCAAGAAGCGGGAATAAGTAGGGCAAAAACAGAGTCCAAACAAGGGGTTAACAAAGTGTGGAAAATAAAACACTCCCAACGACCATAGTCGGAGCGGGATTTGGATGAGAATTATTAAAGGTCGGCACACCAGTCACGGGGGAAAGATCGAGACCGGCTCGACTTAGGCGTGAGGCCGACTGATGCGGTTGCCCATATAAGAGCCAGTTGCAGTGGCGAGGAATCGGGCGACGAAGCCACCGCTGTGGGAGTGGTTGGAGACTTTGATCTTCTTGCTGGGCTGACGAACGGGCTCAAAAGATGACTTAGCATCGAGAGCGCCGACGTTGACGTAGCTGTATGTCAGTGACGAGACAGACGGGCTCGTGCTGGGGTCGGTGACCATCACATCGTCATTTCCATTGGAAGAGCAAGTGCTGATGCTGGCGGGAGTGCCGCGGGAACTAGGAGCAGTGCTGGATGAACGAGAGCAAAGCGAGTTAAACGTCTCGGCATGGGACAGACCAGGGACGTCACTAATGGATGGTGGGGAGATGGAGCGACCGGGGCGGTGGGGCGAGGTGCGCTGGCGGTGATACGGCCTGTATCGGTCTTGCTCCGCGACGAACTGGGGGGAGCTGTGAGAAGGATTGATGCTCGGGCAAGAGACGTGGCTTGGGAGCCGGCGGCTGTCAGCTCTCGCCTCCATCTTCTGGCGTCGGAGGCGGCTGGCCAGCAGGTCCGCAGAAGCATGAAGCCGACGCCTGGTAGAGATGTTAGTCAAATGTTGGGTGACGTTGGGGGCGGGAGCTAGACACGTACCATTCCCGATGTTGCTGTTGCTTTATTTTCAATTCTTCCTCAGCTTTACGTTCCCGTTCCCGAGCCTCCATTCGTTCGCGGATGGGGGCCAGAAAGGGTTCCAAATATGTCAAGAGATCTTCTTCCGTCACACGAGTCTCCCAATCCAGCAGGAAGAGCAGCTGACGCTCCATCAGGTTGACCTCGGGTAACGAGAATCCAAATCCATCATATCCCTTGACCATGGTGTACCGGGCCCAGTGCTTGTTCTTGGGGCTGGAGTCATTCAGGTTCTTGGCTGCCAGAATTAGTGAAGCGAGGAAGATCCGGTGGACGGTGCAACGCATGCCCTTGGCCACGGGTGGAAGACGGGCCCGCAGACGACCCAGGTACACGAGCGAGCTCATGAGGGTGGGCACCTGGACCTGCGACCGAGCGACCAGAGAGGAAATAAACTCTTCGATGGTGGGCAGGGGTGGCAGCGAATCGGAGGCATCCATGGGCGGTGTTGAGGGCGGCGTGGGTTGGCCATGTTGGTTGACGGTGTTGGTCACATGGGCCTCACAGCGGATGACCTGTGAGGCCTGATCGGCCAAGTACGTCACCATCTCTCGCGACACCCGGTGGGTGACGAACTCGTCCAGTGCCGCTCGGGACATGTCGAGATCGGGCGTGATGGTATCGAGGTTCATAGCGATGTGTATAGAAGATGGTTGGAGGGCGGGATCTCGGAGTTGCTCGATGCTGCTTGATAGTCCGGTCGGCGACGAGAACTATTGAGCCGGACGGATGAGAGACGGTTGTCTTTTAGACAGAGCGACCGTAAAAGTTGTCTCGGACACACGCACAATGAATTTTCGTGCGGGCTGGATCTGGGCGAGACAATCTGTCTTGTCTCTGTAGTGCCAGTGAGGGATCGGGACTCGAAGATGAAAGTAGTGCAAAAGCAACACAAGAAGAACAAAAAAAAGAGATGGATCTCAGGGACCAGGTAGATAGAAAAAAAAATCAAAAGTCGTCGAGCATTCCAATTCCTGACCAGCAGGCGGAGCGAGTGAAGTAGTCTGGGGGAGGCAAAGAATGTTGCTGTAAGGATAGTTGAGGTTGTCGTGTCAACCTCTTATCGCGATAGCCCTAACTGGGATTTCCTCCAGAAGAAGTGAGACCTGCCGAAGCGGAGAATTAAACCCGAGAGACAGTCCACCACACTAGAGGGTAGGATGGAGCAATAAGCCGTTGGTACGACAGCGACTGGAACAAATTATTGATGGGAGGTCAGATTCTGAGGATTGGGAGAGGGCAGGACGGGGAACGAGGCGATCTAAAAAAGAGGAAGTATTGAGCAAAGAGCGAAGGGAAGGTGGTGACGACGTTGGGCATGTGGATGAATCCCGTGAAGAATTTCCGAGTGGGAAATACTTGAGTAGATATAGCTCTGGCATGCGCCAAACTGGGCGGCTGGCGAGGGGAATTGGCACCTCAGGAGCTGCAAGGATGAGCCAGTCAGGGCCAGGGGGAGCGCGGAGGAATCAGAGCGAACCTGCATAGTTGGATCTGAGATGCTCGAACCTTCGGACCTGAGACGGCCATGCAGTGACATGGGTACACTTGTTACGCATCTAGTTTTTTTTTTTTTTTTTTTTTTTTAATTACTATTATTACGGACTACCTGGGATGGAAGCGCCCTGATTTGTCCATAAGGAAGAGCGGGGGGACACAGTTGGGAATGTGGTGGAGTGCAGGCTCAGGCACTTTGACGCGACAGAAAGGCAGTAGAACACACACCAACTGGAATTGGTACGAAAAGAAACAAGAGAAAATTAAATAAAAAGAACCCCCCCAAAACGAGATAGCGCCCAACCGACGCGACAGAGGAGAGCAAACCAGGCGGCGGCAAAACCCAACAGAGCCAACAGAGCCAACAGAACCAACAGAGGATTCCCTAGTCCCATAGTTGGCCACCATGATGATTCTTGTCATGAGGGTCCCTCTCTCCACTGTCAATGGAGGCCGAAATACGAGATAGGCTTGTCAGTGCGGTCCACAACCAACCCAACTGCGGAGTTCTCCGTACCCTGGATTCAGTATATACACTGTATAGGCTCTATCTGAGATCGATAATACCCGACTCTATGCTAGTGTGGATGCTTGGCTCGACTCCCCTCTTGCTCGCGCGCTCTGTCCCTCTACATCCCTAGATTCATGGCGCCCGTTGCTCTACGCCATTGGCAGAGTCTCCGCCACCCCAATGACTCGCATTGGCTCCTCTCAGGCCCTTCCTTTAACCCCCATCTTCCTCTCCTGACCGGGCTGAGAAAGGCTCGCGCTTTTCGGGCGCGTGTCAATAATTAGAACTTTCTCAAAATATAGCAGCCATTCAGCCATTAGAATCCGGCAAAGGCAATGAATTCCAACTTGGGGGCGATTGGGCGAACCTATCCTGGTCCACCTTGCCAGGGCCCCTGCGAGAGGATCAACCCGCCAGGCCCACCCGGTGGGGGCCCGGCGCGCTTTCTTCCTTTCAAGGCCCAATCCCACGAATGGGCATGTCCCCAGCCTTCGACGTCCATCCGGAGGATGTACTTCGATCCGGAGAATCTAATGTGCCAATATACTTTCGATCGACCGTGAAACTCGCGACCGTCTCAGCTTCGCCGGTTGGAGACGCGGGGGTGAAAAATAGTCGGGGATGCCAGGTCAGATTCCCCCGTGCCGGAGAATGGCCCAGTGGAAGGGAGGCGTTACAGGTGCGAACTAGTGAACATCCTTGAACGCGCTCCAACCAAAGAACCGCCAGTGGGAGGAACCTGCGGCCAGACATACAGGATCGACTGAGAACTCAGGGTATACAGGGTATTCAAGGCAGTCCGGGCAGTCAGGGCATTCATGGTAGGCGGAGTCCAGGAGGACCAGAGTCCCTTCTGCCTCCTGCGGCCCTTCAACCGCCTTCTCCTGAAACCGCCCTCTACCAGGACGAAACCATGGCCACAGGAGCATCACGACCCCTCATAGGGTCAATCCAGGAGAATGCGTCCGTCTTTTCCAAGTTTATTTTATTCCGAGTCTGCCATTTACATCTATTTTGTTTATTTTCTCCCCTATTTACTTGTGGGGGCGATCGTGGTAGCGCCCGCGCTGTTTGCTCAGCTGAAAGGCCGGGTCGCAAACGCCCGCGCCCCAGAAGAACAAAAGTGACCTATAACCCGCCAGGCCTCGCGGAGCAATGTGGCAAGTCGCGTTTCAATTTAGCGCCTGCCCCGACATGGGAACCCAATCAGTGGCGCAACCTGTCAAGTGTCGTCCCGTCCGTGCGCAGTGGAGTCCGGTGCCAGTATGCGGGTGACGATGCTTGGAGAGTCCCTGCCCCATACCAGAGCCGGAGGGTACAGGGATAGATCGAGGCCGAGAACTCCTGTCACACGCTCGACGCGCCACGAGTGGTCGAGGGAGAGAATGAGCATGCCGGAGGACGGCCAATAGTGCCATCGGACGCATCAGAAGGGGGCCCAAATAGTCGGGCCCGAATAGTTTGGCCACCTCGCATGAGGCGAGTCACTCGCGTTTCGCTCTGCCTTTGGTTTTGGGTTTTTTGGTGCTTTCTAGCCTCTTTTTTTTGGCAGTGGTAGGCCTCTACTGTCGGTCTCGTAGTTCGTCGTTTTGCCTTTCTTAGTTCCATGGTCTTTGAGTAGTTGGAGGCTTTTCCACCTTGACTTAGACTATAGCCACACTATGCTTCTGTTGGGGTTGCCCCCCGCCCAACCCAACAGAGCCAACTCAAACCCTAACTTTATAGATCTATCAACCTCCATTTCTCTTCACGCAACCCACACGACCCGCTTCAAGTTTTCATGGGAGGAAAGCATGCTGGGTCTTCGTCAGCGACTGTGACATCAAATCTGGTCCTAATCTCCTGCATGAAACCCATGAAACCCCGGGGCTAAAAAAAGGATTCGGCTGTGTGCTCGCCGGATACATAAGCGCTCTCCTCCCTTTTCGTGACCCCGCGCTTACAAGGGTCCTTTTCCCGGCGCTTGCAAGTCCTTTCCTTCTGCGGTCCTTCATCGTACAGCAATCTCGCCCTATTCTTGCTGGGCCTTATTATTAGCTCGCCGTCTACGCGCTTGGTTTCGGCCCCCTCTTCAGGCCGGTATCCACATGATGACTTCCCCCCGGCTGACTCGCGCATCTAGGCAAAGATGCTCCACGATCACGATGCAACAGGATATTGAATACTCTCCATACAGCCCTGCCTGGGGCCAGCGAGACGCTGAATGTGATTGAAAAGAAATACACATCCACATACATACACCCTAGTGTCTCTATTCCCATGTCAACAACGAGAGACGACGCGTGCGTATCAAGGCGCTAACGAAACGATGGCATGAAACGACAGCGCCTTCTACTCTCCGTGCAACAACGGCCTTGTTTCAAGGCATGGCAGGACGCGTTGTTTCGCAATCGCTGGGTGGCGAAAGGTCCCCGGGCAGTCGGTGAATCAGCGCCGGTCACTGTCCAGCGTGATTGAGCAAGCCGCCGGCTGAAACCTCTAGCGACGAGGAATCTGCACCATGGGCGCAGTCATTTGAACACTGCCACCACCGGAGGCGGGACCTCCTGTCGCCGGATACTAGAAGTACTTGGCTGCCTACATTGTCTGGCGGTTAAGTCTTTACATTGAGACATGTGGTGGGGAACAAAGATTCCAGCTTCATCCCTATGCAGTATACAACAAAAGACTATGTACACGAGAATGAGAATCAAATTGCCTGGGCTCCCTCACTTCCCTCCTCCCCTGCCCCCCCCCCCCTCTCTCTCTCTCTCTCTCTCTCTCTCATTCATCGTCTCTCTCGAATAACCCTCCTTCGATCCCATTCTACACAACAGCCGCAGAGTACGAGGAGACGGTCAGCTTAGCACTGCCGGTGAACGGCTCCGTGCCTGCCTGGACGTCAATCAGATACAGGCTCGAGCTCAGTCCCTGGTTGTTGATCAGGTAGGTGAAGAAGGCCAGCATGTCGCCCGAGAAGCTGGTGACGGTGGACGTTGCGACAAAGCTGTACACAGTCATTGACCCGTTCAGGCCCGAGTACAGCTTCCAGCTGACGCCGTTGATCGTGACCGTCGCAATGGCCGAGCCGGTGGACGAGATTGGGCCCGCACCGCCCAGTGCCGCCAGCCACACCATGATCTCATACTCGTTGGAGCCCGAGGCGCTGGAGCTTAGGAACATGTCGTATGCAACGTCTGCAACGATGGAGGTCGTCGAATAGCTGTGGGACGTCCGGCGTCAGTCAATCTGCGACGATCCCACCGCTCGTTTGTGGAACAACAGGTTGCAAGGGGAGGAAGCGAGTGAAAAATCAGGTTTGAACTTACCTCCATTTCCAGGACGACTTGATGCTGCTGATGCTGCTGAGGGTCTTGGCGGTGAACTGCAGGGCGACGTTGGCGAAGCTCTTGACCTGGCTGGATGCGCCGGACCAGGACCAGCTGGTGTGCCAGGCGATGGTGGTGCCGCTCAGCGAGTCCACGCCGGTGCACTGGGTGCCGGAGGTGTCGTAGCTCTGGCCCCAGAGGTCATTGTAGACGATGTAACTGCCAGTTGTGACCGATCCCCACTGGTCACAGAAGTCAGCGCGCTTGGTCAGCGACTTGGTTGGGATTGTAGCGGCATTGCTCAGGCCCGCGAGCGCCAGGGAAAGGAGGGGCAGAGGGGCGAGGTAGAATTTCATCGTGGGGAGAAATTGTAGGCAATTGGAGTTAGAGAAAGTGTGATATATGGGTTCAGGCGAGTTCAGCAACGACGGGGTCCGGGCCTTGAGTCTTATTTTATAGTCTTGCTTGTCGGCTCCATGATTGATTCCATCTGGGAAGGTCGTCCGTCGGAGGACGGCCAATCCAGCGGGCTTGTTCCGTATAGAGCACGGAGCATCCCTGTCTCATATTGCCATTACCGGGACTCCACAACCCGGATATTTTCAGGGAAGCTGGCAAAAGGGTAACAAGTTCGACGGAGGATAAGGTGGGGTGCAAGAAGACATGGTCTGCTTCAGCCAGTCAAAAAGATCCCGTCGCGGTCAGCTCGGTTTCGAGGAAATGATCACCCCAGCCTCGGTCAACGCGTCCTGGAACGCCATAGTCAATTTTTCCACGACTGGGCGCTCCAGTCCGGGGCATCATTGAGTTGGAGCCAGTTTGACGGTTTCTGGAAGATCTCCGGGCGTGGAGAGCAAATCTGAGACGACGGCGTCGGCCCGAGCGGAGCCTGCTGGATCAAGAACACGGTCAAACGATCACGGTGCTTGTTCCGTCCGAAGATGCGCCGAAGAATTGCATTGGAAGAGATCCAGCATTGCCCCTATTTGTTGTGTGTGCCATTACCAAGCCCGAGTCTTGGACGTGACAAGTCTTCTTTTCGTCGTGACGGAATACTCATGGTCAGACACGCCGCTTGACATGTGTGACGAAGTCTGCACAATGTAACGAGCGCTTTCAACCTTATGGAGAGCCAAAGGCTTATTTTGGGCAGTCGTGGGGAAAGGACGCTGCAGAGATTGGCGGAAATCCGTGACGAACTCAAAGGCCGCCACGATGTCATGTCTACGCCTCTGCAGACATGATATATGCACCCCGCATTCAGTGAAGAAATGAAATTGATCCCGGAAATGACGGGGATTCGGAAATGCCTCTTGCTGCGAAACTGAGTTTAGGCTATATGGAAGTATCCAAGCCAGAAATAGCGCGGTCGGAGAAAAAACCGTTTTATAGTTGGTGATGATCAGCAGCGCAGAAAAAGCATCATTGCACTATGCTTCGATGGGCCAGGAATGACTGGAAAGAGGGCGACAAGACTCTATGGTTCGATTTACCCGGCCTTTCTTGAATGGAGAAACCCCAGTCTCAAAGGGAAGTTGATCTCGGTGGATCAGATAAATATATTGGATACCTCTTGACATGTTAATCCCTGTATGACGGAATATATAATTTAAGCAACGGTCGACCATCCATACCAATACCCTTCGCTGAAAACGTGTTGTCCATGTATCCGGACTGATTCATTCAAAATATATTCTCTGCTCTGACTTTGTTTTGTCCTCTGCAGCTTAAAATATAGCAGACGCCATGAGCACGAATTCACACCCCATACGTGTCAGTCATAATCAGAGACGGATATAAATCCTGCCAATATTCTTTTTCGTCTATGCCTTGGTTGGCGGGTTCCCAATGATCCGATCTCCCGAGTTGCCCGGTCGGAGCCCGCGGGCCGCGAATGTTGATCGATGAAGAGCTCCAGCAGGCATCCATTTGATGAGCGAGTCTACCAAAACCCACCCCGATATGGCCAAAAAGGGTTCATCGAGCTAGATCTACTCCCTGCGCACCAGGCCTGGCTTACGGAACCAATCAGAGAAGGTGTGATTCGGATTGAGCCCATCCGACATGGCGTGTGGGCCAAGGCACCTGAGGGATTCAGAGACAACGAGGATCTCGAAAAGATGCTCAATATATATAACGCAAGAGTAGGTGAGAATATTGACATACGCCGTTCATTGTCTCAAAAATTTCAAATCAGAACTCTGCTGGTTGACAACCATTGATCCATTCAAATCCATCGTCCTTGCATTGTTGTGTGTTCAGCCCATAATATCGGGAGCCCCACAAGCGGACTCCGGGGTTCGGCCAGGGGCGATAAATTAAATTTCCTTTGATTTTCGATTCTTCGACCAGCACCTTCTTTGCCAACAATACGATGCCGTCCAAGTCCTCCGCCAACAAGAAGGCCGCCTCTGGCTGCCGTTGCTTCTCCCTTCGGAGCTTCGGAATCCTCACCGTGTTCCTGGCGCTGTTCTCCGCCTTCTACAGCTTCCTCGACGCGCGCCTGGAGCAGTTCTACATCTTCGAGCCTGAGCACCTGCACGATCTCTCGCAGCGCGCTATCAAGGCTCATGGCGATGACACACGCTCCATCGTCAACTTCATTGTTGCCGAGCTGGAGGAAAAGGTTGGCTCAAAGTACCTGAGCACGGAGGAGGAGTGGGTGTTCAACAACGCCGGCGGTGCGATGGGCGCGATGTATGTCATTCATGCCAGTAAGTGAACCTTCCCCCCTCCCACCCCCCCCCATCCACACAAAACTACAAGGCTTCGTATATGGTGGCCCTTCGAGAGTACAGCTCTGCGCTTTTTTCTCAACCTATCCAAACCCACTTGAGAACTCAGGCAGTTCTCAATGGACACGAGATCCCTCGCTATCCTCGCCTGCCCCTTTCGGCTTCATCAATTGGCTAACAAGCGTACCCCTTCCAGGTATCACTGAGTACCTGATCATCTTCGGTAAGGTCCAATTGCATCCTTCACAGCCTCTAGGGCTTCGTTCATCCGCTAACCCTTCTCTTCCGCCAGGAACCGCCATTGGCACCGAGGGCCACACCGGCCGCCACACCGCTGACGACTACTTCAACATCCTCCACGGCACCCAGTTGGCCTATGTGCCCGGCGAGTTCGAGCCCGAGAAATACCCTGCCGGCACTGTTCACCACCTCCGCCGCGGTGAGGTCAAGCAGTACAAGATGGATACCGCCTGCTTCGCGCTCGAGTACGCCCGCGGCTGGATCCCCCCGATGCTCTTCTTCGGCTACGCCGATACCTTCTCGAGCACTCTCGACTTCCCGACCCTTTGGGCTACCACGCGCATCACTGCCCGTGAGATGGTGGGCAACCTGCTTCAGTTCAAGCTGTAAGAATGGAACTCGACAGGGACGAGAAAGTGTTGAGGATGGATGGTAGGAAAATCCATGGATGATGGTGCTAGGATGTATAGACCAGGATGGGCCGAATCAAGCCATGAGTTCTGCACTTGGTGTACGATACTGCTACTACACACGTTGATGTGGAGCAACGGGCGATAGATGTGTGGTGGACGCGATGGCATAGAGCTGCTTGAAAAAGAAAAGCACTTGGAATAGTTTCAACTAATGCTTTAATTCATGAATGTCTTTAGTAGATTATTATCATCTTATACACTACCCTCCCTCCCTAGCTCTTAGATTTAGATTTGCTCTGCAAAAACGCCTCCATCATTCTCGCTGGCTCGCTCGTTTCCCCCTTCGCCCCCTGAAACGACTCTTCGAACGCCGTCACGCCCGCCTCGATCGCCTGCTCCACGGACACATTCTCCCACTTCCGCATTAGAGCCTTCTGCCGGCGCACAGCTTGCGGCCCGTTCTTCTCCAGCTGGACCAACCATTCCTCCACAGCCTCATCCAGCATCTCAGGCTCAACTACTTTCTCAACCAACCCCCACCGCAACGCCTCCTCCGCGCCAATATTCTCCCCCAGCAGGAGCATCTGCCGCGTCCGCCCCCATCCAATCAACCCGGGCAGCAAGGCAGCCTCGACGACGCTGGGGATCCCGACGCGCACCTGCGCCACCCAGAAAGGTGAGCACCAAGTCAGTTCATGTACAATGCTCTCCAACCGGGCCTCGGACACGCAGCACGCCGCCACCCGTGGCAAGGAATCAATCGACCTACCTCCGGCATTCCAAACACCGCCCGCGAACTCGCAACCCGGACATCGCACGACGCTGCAACTTCCAGCCCTGCGCCCAGCGCGTACCCGTTCACCCGCGCAATGACCGGGACCGGACACGCACGTAGACTGGTACACGCGGCGGAGACCTTGGAGATGAACGCGCGGGCGTGCGCGGGCCCTTGTAGGTGGGCCATTTCGGTGAGATCGGCGCCGCCGATGAAGGCCTTGGGGCCGGCGCCAGTGAGGATGACGGCGAGGAGGTCTTTTGTTTCGGAGACGGCGTGTATGGTGCGTGGGAGGGCGTCGAGGAGGGGGTGGTGAGGGCATTGAGCTTAGTTGGGCGGGAGATAGTGAGGTGGGCTACTGTGCCTCGAGCTCTGTGGGAGAGGGTGGTGAGGATGGTGGGTAGGTGAGGTGGCATGGTTTTTCAAGAAGTGTAAAGTAGCGTTTTTGGACTGGGCTGAGCCTGTGTGGCTTCTGCGGTGAAAAAGGATTGATAAGTTGATAGGGTTATAAGCTTCTACGTTTATTGGGTTATACGTAGTATACTTCGGGGGTTCTTGGGACGGCCGAGAATCGCCGGTTTAAACGCGGGGGGAGGCTCTACCAGATGCCTCGGCGCGGTTGCGGAGTGCGGGGGTGGTTTTAGCTTGTTTGATCGGCGGGGAGAGAACTATAGAGGATGGGCACGCCCGGTGATGAAGAGCGCGACCAAGAGACAGAGGCATGATCACGGTGTTAGCGGCCAAAATTCCGGCATATATAACGTATTCATTCGAAAATCTTTGAACTAAGTGAAGGCTAAATTCCATTCACAAACAAGCAAAACACTATGAGAATAAAATGGATGCCAATGAGTCGTTATGCGTCGTTACTTCGTCCCGGAAAGCACTGCAGCCTCATCAAAGAGCTGGGGCTTCCCAGTACTCGCGCTTGAGTTTCATCACGGCAGATTGCTTGTGTGGGAAGGAGACCTCGCCTTCCTTGAAGAATCCAGCTTCTTGGAGATAGTTGATGAACCTGTGCGACAAGTTAGCAGCCTGATACAGCATCCGCTGAGAGGCGTATGGCGCGAGATGACTCACTTGGTATTATCCACCCGCGGCTCCAGGTAAACTGCCTCCGTACGCATATCGGCTAGGAAGCAGTGATGCACCAATGCGCTCAGCCAAATCGCAACCCGATGGGGGCCCCGGAACTCTTGCTCTCCAACTAGAACGTGGATGCCCCGGTCATAGTTGTCGACTCGGTCCAAAAGCCGCCCCAGCGTGTCCTCCTTTACCCAGTAGATCTCAAAGTATCCGAATGGTTTTCCATCCCAGCAGCCGATGACGGGGAAACTGTGCCGACTCGTCATGTTATCCAGCAAGAATTTCTCCTGTACATCTCGTGGACCGCCGACCCCCCACATCGCCTCCACTCGAGGATCATTCATCCACTGGTGCAGTGAATCGAGATCGGAGGGCGCATTGGCACAAAGATGCTGCTCGATACCGGTGACCGCGGATGAGCTGATGGTCATAGTTGGTGTTGACGGGCGACTGTTTGTGCTTGATCCTTGTCCAGTGCCGGGCTTATTAATTGGGAGATAAGGGATCCGGAATGATAAGTATTGTCCTACGCTAGGAATGTATCGCACATAGAAGACCTCGCCTTGGTGTGGAGGCTTTGGCCGAATGGGATGACGCACACCCTTGGTAAAAGTATACTGTGTCGGTGCCGGCGGATAGTATGTTGGAAGATGACTGGCCGAAGTGAACGGTCCGCCGGAGGTAAAAGCCCCCACGTTGGCCGTGTGAAACGTTGCCTCTGCCGGGGGCAGTGGACTCGATCCCGACACACCATCCCGTGCCGGTGACGCATGACGGGACTGGAACGGAGTTATTGATGGAGACGGAGGCGATCCACGCGGAGTGAGGGTGAATAGGAACAGACGAGGGTCGAGCTGCCAGAAGGCTCGTCGACTGACGAACATGTTCGACCATCTGCCCGCATCACGAGTCTCCATTGGCTGCAGGCCAACCGATGAGTCTATACTTGAGATTAGACCCATGCGCTCGAGTTTCTGCAGGAGATTGCGGCCTTTGAAGATCCCCTCTCGTCTGATATTCACCCGCCACTCGCCCTTGGGCCGTCCATCGTGCGGGGTCGAGCTGGAGGCCGCAGTCTCGAGATGCAGATCAGGCTCGGGCTCATGGAAGTACCACCACATTGTGGCCCAGAGCATCATGGCAATCTGGCGCGTTGGCGAGATTGCAGGCTTGAAGTCGCTGGATGGCGGGTTGACGATATAAGAGATATAGAGACAGTCGCGGTTCAAGGTGGGGGTGGTGAAGCGAGTGATATTGTCATCGCTTCCACTGGAACGAGGGCGCTCCTCCCCTGGTTCCTGCCTGCCGCGTTCTTCAGTCTGCTTCTCAAGCGGTTTTTCGCTATGGATGATGATCGTCCACCCCGGCGGGAAGGTGGAGTTGTGGGAATGCAGGTCATTGGATTTGAACGTGACCCCACCAAAAACAGGCTTCACGGTAAACGTGAGGCCATTGGGGAGGTGACAGCTGGTGTGGCGCATGTTTAAGAAGCAGCTTCAGCTTCAGCTTCGAGCTCAAAGAGTCAAAGCTGGTTTGTAGAGGGAAAGATGGATGCACGAGGCCGACTGGCGCTCTTGGTCGTGCCCCTCACTTACGTGGGGGACGCAATGCGACAGTGCACCAATGGCCTTCCTGGAGGTCAAAGTTAAGGGATCGTAGCTGCAGAAGAACCAAGGGAAATACGACGGCCCCGTCTTCGACAAGCAGAAGGAAAGAGGAAAGAAGGGTGGAAGGTTGGAGGTGGTAATCTGGAGTTGGCCGTTGTTTTATGATGTTGGCGATGACGCAGGCTCCCGCAACAGACAACAGACAACATCAGCCCACGCGCCCATACACACCATGGCTTTTGGTCAGCAACGATCATAGGATTGACCCTCTATTGGCCTGTGGCTGTTACAGAGAAGGTAGTGGGAAGATTTTGAGCCTGATTGTGGAGCTCAACACGGCTCTAGTCTTTTTGATTTCTACTTTTGTCGTGCTACACGAGAATGTCGTTTTCGGGAAAGAATCCCGAGCTTTGCTCGGGGTAGTCATGGTCAATCCAAGAGACAAGAGTGGTAAATGCGCAATACATCTGGCCAAGAATGGAGAAAGAAATGAGGATCAACAGGGTATACTACAGAGCCATGCAAGATGCGACATCAGAAATCCTCCACAGTGGTTCCCAAATTCCGCTCCCGCGCCACCCGCACCAGATCGCCGCCCGTCACCAAATCCATCAGGCCCAGCCCGACACTCTTGTAGATGACATTCCCCCTCTCGATCCAGTCGCGCAAACTCTTTTTCTCATCTGCCGTATCCTCCTCGTCATATTTGAGGGAGGCATGGCGGACCATCAAGAGCTCGCCCAGCTCGACCACTTGTTTCGGGTTGATGCCGGCCTGGATAATCTCGCCCGCTTCCTTGACGGCGGCGTCTAAGCTGTCCACCACCACAACCCCACTGCGTCGCGTGTGCTTGTGGAAGTGTCGGTGGGGCGGTTGCACATTGACCTCGTCTCGGAGAATGTCGGGGTGAATCTCGGCCATATGCGCCTTGTACGAGCCCACGGCGACGAGGAAACGGCCTTTTTGGCGGCCCTCGCGGGAGGTGAGGAACTCCGCCGGGAATAGAGGGGTGGGGGAAGGAGTGCAGCAGAAGATAGCATCCGCCTTCCGAACATGCTCTTTCAAGATACGGTCATACTCGCCAAAATCACTACTGACCGCCGAAAATTTCACATCGCGACGCCACTCGGCATTCTCGGGCAAGTAAATATCTCGCAGTAGCTTGGCGGCTCTGTCAAATGATCGATTGACGATGTAAACTCGTCGGATATCCTCCCCGCGCAGAATCAATGCAAGACGAATATGCCAGTAAGCTTGGGTGCCCGCACCGAAGACCAAAAGAGTGCGGACCTTGTGGCGCTTGTTGAAAAGCATCAGCGATGCCAGCGCCGTGCGGAAAGCAGTTAACTCGTGGGCGTTTATCAATCCAAACGGGAGTGACTCCCCATCCAGAAGGGTGACGGATCCCCGGGGAGACGTGTCGCGCGTACCTGCGCCGGGCCAGGCGCCCATCGTATTGGAAACATTCGTGGTGACGGGTTGCTGGTTGACGCACCCAGTAAGAAGGGTTGAGCTATCCGTACTATCACCGCCACCACTGCTTCCCGAGGTAGTGCCAGTAAGGCTGTCTTCATGGGAGGACCCTACAGACAGATCACTCATCTCCGATGAGAGTGAGGCCACTGAGTTCCTTACCGAAGCATCGCGGGATCGGGAAGATGTCGGCGTGCCCTCTGGAATATCAAACGCGCTCCGTTCTACCGCACAGCCGGCTTGACCACCATCCTGCAGCGAGATCATCTTGATGCCGAGGGTCTTTCCCGTACTGGCGGGCATGAATAGGGTGGTGCAGCCATTCTGGCGGGTAATCGCCGTTCGCTGGGGTTGATAGGTTGCCGAACATCCTTTATCCTGGGATCCGGTGGAGTATTCCCTCAAGGCTTCCGCGAGGTTTCTCTGAAGGTCGGTAATTTCGTCGCGAGTCAGGGAGAGCAACAGCTCTCGAAGCTGCGACCGGGAAAGGATGGTAAGTGGCATATGGATAGGAAGAGTCGAATATGAGGGTTGGGTCCGAGTGGGTTCTCGACGATGAAAGATGGAAAGAGACAAGCGCTCTAGTTGAAAGATAACGCAGAGGGCCCAGGATCTCGGGCAATATGTTATCTAATGCCGCAACTTTGTTAGTATGTCCCCCTCGGGGCCACGCTCCTCGCCAAGATAAAAGTGAAACCAACTCACCCAAATGAGCCGTGCCAATCACAACGACAGGCCAAGAAAGAGACTGTGTCAATGCCAAGGGACAGCAAAAAGAAGGAGGTGGAAATGACCCTGTTTGGACCAGTCTAACTCCGCCGCTTTTCAAGCCAAATTCCCGAAGATGACGACAGGAGGGGGGGGGGGGGAGCGGGGTTGGGAAGCGAGACCAGCGAGATCAGCGATACCCGGATTGCGCACAGCTCGCCAATTTCTTCAGCGGCGCAGTATTCAGGTCATCTGAAGCAATGATAGAAGGGTCGTGCAGTGAGGCAAAGAGGGAAAAAAGAAAACAAGCAGACGATCGCCTCTTTGACAGCGCTAGATCGTTACCGCTTTCGGCCGCTGGCTCGATGCGGAAAGTTGTGTACACCCAATGACGGGTCTTGGCGCCTGAGGCACCCAACAGCCCTACAAGGCGGGGGCGCTTTGCAAGTGGCTATTGGCTTCGATCCAGAAGGGCGCTACGACAGGACTATATGAGAATGATGATATAGGTACTATTTTAGATCTTACTGATGTCTTCCCTATATCAACAGCCATTATTAAATGCCCAGCCGATCCTTGATAATAATAGCACCATTGGTAACAAGAAGCTAGTTTAATAGGAGTTGTAAAGGTGAAGTTCATTCTTTATAAGGGAATAATGATAAGCTAGGGGTGACGATATCGTCACATGGTAACAACTATGCTGTATTTTGTTCTCCATTAATACAACTGGCAGTCACTTATAACTCTCACGAGGGTTTATGTTGTTCGCTTTTTCCGGGTATCTGTCACTTGGCTCACCATTTACTCACTAGGGCAGCTACCCTCAGCTCTGCACCCTTTTTTTGTTTTTAAACCTCTACACTCAACCGATTCCTATCATCTTCATCATCTTCATCAGCTTTTCCCTACGAAACCTGGAGAGATAAAGCTTCTAGATGTCGCGGAAGAGAAAGACAGGGCACCTAGAGTATGAAGAAGAAGATAAAGGGCGTCTGAATTGCTGTAGACAGCAGGGTAGCCTTATATATCACATCTTATTATCACACGGGTAGTTCCCGCCCGATAACACTCTCCCAGTACAATATTTAGTTGCACTCTTTGGCGCAGGCTGCACTGGCGGCTTCCAAGCACGAGTTTACTAAGGCGAGAGGAAGGCCATTGCAGGAAGTGGCATGCTGCTGATAGCAAATGTCGAATGGGCAGGTAGCACTAGCAAGCTGAGAGCCGAACAGAACGGCAGTGATTGTAACCTTCAATGTATCGCAGACTGGTTAGATCATGTATCCTCAAATTGCTGTAATTGGACTCACCAATCCAAGAAACTGCATTATCCTATCAAGGTGCTTGGTTTTGGGGCAGTTGACAGCGGTTTGTCGTTTTGAAGGTGGCTTTCAAACAATCAGAAGCGTCTTTCGGCGAGAAAAAGTGTGCTACTTGTATCTAAAGTCAGCGATACAGCTAGTCTTTGCGTTACATATGGGAAGGGAGTCTTGTCGTAAGCGTCGCTGATGACGCCACTTGCCCCGGCAGCCTTTGTGCTTCCCTCCGAAGAAATACTCTGAAGGATCAACCATCAGCACAGCTTGTGTAACTGTCAATGGATATCATTGGATAATTGATCTGGGTTTGATAGTTCTGTATTCTGTACTGGGCAGGAAAATGGGAAATTGGCCTAGCTCCAGGATTTGATGTTGTGGAGCCCAAATTCTCTTGAGCAGAACCTGAGCCGGAGAATGGAGTGCTTCAAAATTTTCGGTTTTCATCATATATCGTGGACTAGGAGGGCAATTCAATTGCGAGAGAAATTTCTTAAAAGGTTGCAAGCGACATTCCTACCGGCCTTAAGAGACCCTGGAAACCTGTCAGCTTGAAGAAGTTCCACAGAAAACCGGCACAGGAGACTAGTTGCTTCAGAATTTTGAAACAAAATTCCTTACGTGCACTCTGTATTAATGATAACAGATAGCCAACCTTGAAGCTGCCTTTTGGAAATAGTCTTGGGGCAGCAGGGCTCTAGGTGTCTCACTCGCCGTTGAGGGCGGGTTGCCAGGATTGGCGGTTCTGCGTGGCCAGAATCCAATCTGATTCTCTAGACCATCCTATGAAGAATAGCAAGGGGTCAAATATGGTTATTATATGTCACATTGTATCATGAAATGGAATGAATTGGATGAAACAGTGACATTGGGCTGTGCTGCATTATCCACAAGATGGTCCGCACTCCATCATCTGATTCATGTACCTTGCACATAATTCAATTTCGAAGCAAAAGATTTCAAGCTTCAGGGTACGCAGCGCTCTTTGATTGGTTTCATTAAGGGCGAAAGAAATTTTATCATAGCCAATGCGACTGCCGAGTACCTTGACACTTGTGACTGCGTTGCAGTCAATTTACTCTGGCAATTTGTTACCTCAGCTTATCTCCCACCCCTTCTGAATCCTCATGCGGGCGTACCACTCCTTCACATATTCTACACCCGAATGTGGACCATACAAGTCTGTCTCCCACTGAGGGCGAGGCGCTTCCAGTCCTGTCTCCTGCAAACACGATTCTCGTAGAGCCTCAAGGCTTCCGCCGCGGTCATAAATCGACAAGGATTGCAGGTTACTACGCTCCGTCTTCATTTGCAATCGTAGCCTTTCGGTCTCTTTCAGATCAACTGTGAAATCCTTGTTCACAACAACTCCGTATCCTTGGTGTGCTCCCTCAACCGTGACCGATTTCCGATGCACCTCCTGTGCTACTTTTTCAACCGGTCGTGTCAGTGGATCCCCAAGTCCGCCCCCTCCCCAAGTTACCCACTCAAGAAGGTCTCCAGGGTCCACGCGAATATGATCGCATTTCGATGGCAACACTTCTGTGGGCGGGCTGTCGGCTGATTTAGAGTATCTATAAAGCACTTTTCGAGATCGTTGACCAGGTTTTCCACCCTTGAGGCCCCATGGCTTGGTGAACCATCGATCATCATGTAGACTGAATTCACCTCTTGCCAGGAACCGATATAAAGTGCGCTGTGCATTGCCACCACGGTAGAACCCCGGTCCACCGCTATCCGCAACGCTTTCATTGGCTTCAATACGTAATGGGTAGTTAAGCTCAATGCTCTCCGTAGGGATAGACTTTATAGCTGGGAAAAGGCAATGGCAATCGGGGCCATCACCAGCCTGTCGTGCAGGCACGCCTCCAAACCCAATTTGGTAAAGCTGATACCATTCGCCATTAGGTTTGAAACCAGAGTAGAAGAAATGTGGAGAGTCGCTAAAACCGGCTGCAGCCTGGTAGGCATCATTCTTCTGTCCGATCAGAGCCTGTACGATATCCAACGTGCGCCCGAGAAGATGGGTACGGCAAGAAATAGGTGCAGGGCGAAGAGGCTTTAGGATGGTACCCTCAGGTATATGGACATCAATCAAGTCGTGAAACCCATCGTTGATAACCGTACCAGGCGCTGCCGCCGCGATCAAGTAGTATCCGATGAACATCTTGAACATAGTTTCAGATAGGAAGAAGTTGATACTATGCTGACTCTGAGGAGAGGTGCCAGTCCAGTCAAATAGCAATCGGTTGCCATCTACCTTCTTCATAGAGCAGCTGAGGGCCCAAGGTCCGACACCATGGCCATCATCATCCACAAAATCGGTGAACTGGCTTTCCTTGTCATCGAATTGTCGTTCCACAATTTTTGCGAGTCCAGTACGGTTCCGATAAAGAAGTTCATCACATGCAGCCAAGTATACTTCTTGTCCAAACCGCGTTACTAATTCACGAACCCGAGTAGCAGCCATGGAGCACGCTGCTACAATTGCAGTAAGATCGGAGCGATACCATGCTGGCTGGCGAGAGTTTCGGCAGAGCAGCTCAACTAGATCAGAGTTCATCACCCCATTGGAATATAGCTTGATGCAGGGGATTTGAACACCGTCGTCAAAAACGGACGTGGCATTGATGGACATGCTCCCGGGTACTATACCTCCAACATCTGTTAGGTGGCCAAATTGCGACGCGTAACCGATCAAGCGATGCTCATGAAAGATTGGCAAAAATACAATCACATCGTTGAGATGGCTGATAGCTCCTTGTACTTGGTAGGTATCATTTGTGACAAACACGTCTCCCTCCTCAATGGTGCCGTGCCAGATATTGAGGAACTCTGTGATGAAACTGCCAAATTGTCCAACGAGCATTTTGCCACTGGCATCCGTAATGACATTAAATTCGTCCTGTTGCTCCCTGATTGCAGGGGACATGCTGCAGCGCAGCATCATTTTGTCCATTTCACCTCGAATCGAGCCAAGTGTGGCCGAGATTAGCGTGGGAACCAAAGGGCTATCTTTGACAAGCTTTCTGGCCGAGTCGGCTGTATGATTTGTGACATCGTATGGCGCCTTCTCCATTGGATTGATCAAAATATTTCCAATGCTATCAATCTCGCCATAGTAACCTGGCAGAATCAGGGTATTGCTGTCCATTTCTGAAATGATAGATGGCCCTTGGATTTGAACACCTTGCTTCGAGAGTTTTTCACGACTCCACATTGTGGCTTTATGCTGTTTTCCCTGGAATATAATTGTTTGTTCTCCAAGCTTTGCTTCAGCTGATGGCTCAGTTTTGATAGCCTTGCCAATCTCTGGGATATCGATACTAGGTGACGCATCCTCAAGGACTATACCCAAGCGCATTAATTCAAGTTCAAAGTCAGCGAGAGTATAAGTGAACAATTGTTGATGTTGTTGATCAAACTTTGTTCGCAAAATTTTGTGCCACCCAGTCGTATCAACCTCGAGCTCATCTGGTGTAAGATCAATTGTAATCGTCAAGGCCTGTCCCTTATATCGGAGGTCTACCTGATATCCAACCTTCCAGGCTATAGGCCAAGCCTCTCCTGAAGATCGCTTCAGTGTGTCTCGGCACTGCTTCTCCAAGATACTGTACTGCTCTCGAATCCCTTCCAGCGTTGTCTCAGACGCCAGACGAATGAACGTTGTAGACTGTTCATGCCGAAGCTTGGTCGTCACATCACCCTGAGCGCACAAAATTCCCGGCGAGGGGGGAATGATGACCGGCCATGCCCCCAAAAGTTCGCCAACGGCATTGGCGTGCAGAGGTCCAGCACCTCCAAAGGCGACCAGCGCGAATTCTCGCGGGTCATATCCCTGTTCCACCGACACTAGTCGCAATGCACCATACATTGCCTCATTGATAATGTTGATAATATCCTCTGCAGTTTGCGTCACGGGGAGTTTCATCTGAGAAGCGACACTCTCAACGGCTGCGATGGCCGCCTTCACATCCAGCGTGAACTCGCCGTCCAACAGAGTCTTGGGCAGGTAACCGAGGACCAGGTTTGCATCGGTGACCGTCGCTTGATACCCGCCTTTGCCGTAACATGCAGGTCCGGGTACTGCGCCCGCGCTATCGGGCCCAACGCGCAGAGTTTCCGTGAGCTCCATGTAGGTCGTGATGGAGCCACCGCCCGCCCCGACCGTCTTGATATCTACTGCCGGAGCTCGCACAGAGAGATTGTCTACCACGGTCTCTCTTCGGAGCTGAGGTCGACCATTATAGATTAAGGCACAGTCTGTGGACGTCCCGCCCATATCCAGTGTGATCAAGTTCTTATAGGGCGTGCTTTGAGCGACCACATCTGCAACTCCCTTCACGCCGCCAGCGGGACCTGACATCAGGATGTTGACGGGGAGCTCCGATGCAAGGGTCAGACTTGTCAGCCCTCCATCACTTTTCAAGACTCGGATTGTCTCACTTTCTGCAACGAGCGTTTTTGACAGGTTCTCAAGGTATGTTTGGACCACCGGCTTGACCAGAGTGTTGGTGCATGTGGTCACAGTCCGCTCATACTCGCCGACCTCACGAAGAACGTCGGCAGAGCAGATAATCGCAACATCAGCACCGAGCTCTTCGCGAACGATCTGTTGAACTTCTAGCTCATGAGCACTGTTGCTGTGAGAGTTCAAGAGAGAGATTGCGATTGCCTCTGGCTCCTGGCCCGCCAATTCTCTGAGGCCTTGCCTCAAGTGGTCCACATCCACGGGCGTGACTTCTTCACCGTGAACCGACATGCGCTCCTTACATTGCACAACACGCTCGAGAGGTACAATCGGCTCCGGTGGCGTCCAATGAAGCCATGCGCCCAGGCCTCCAGGGATTTGGGACCGGCGCAGCGCCAGAATGTCTTTGTGGCCCGCAGTGACAACTAGCGCGGTACGAGCTCCCTTCCCTTCAAGAACTGCGTTAGTGGCAGTGGTTGTGCCATGATGAATGAATTGAAATTTCCCCGACCATCCGAACTGGTCTTGGAGTATCTTGCGAGCCTTGGAAATTCCATTCTGAATGCCAATACTCTGATCCGGAATCGTGGTCGGAACCTTCGCGCGAACAGTCCGGCCATCGGGCGCGAAGACGAACACGTCCGTAAATGTACCTCCCACATCAACACCAAGTTGATACCCTCGGTCGCTCTGAGTGTCTGTCATGATGATATATTGTCTATAAGCGACTGTGAACTCCGCTTCTTGGCCGGTTGCAGGGGCGTTGGGCCTACTGAAATAACCCCTCACAGCCCGCCACAGCACCACAAGGCTGTGGCACTAAAATGGCAACGCTCCACACCAGAGGCTATGGATAACGATGCAGACGAGTTGCATGCCCTTTTTTACGTCAACCAGCCCGTCTTCGTGGACGATCATTACCCGTTAGTCCCGGTTGCAGAGCTAATGCATCTCAGGCGGGGCGAAATTTACATCCGCGTGGGCTGCATACAGTCAATCGAGTGGCCAGGAGCCGCGCCCCGCGCGGTCCTACTACTTTTTTTGGACGTTTAAGATAGCTATCTAGTTATTTAAAAAATTGAATGAAGGTAGTACTCTAGCTCGGGGTAACTTCACTTGCTTTTCAGTAATAGATCACTACTGATCCGAGGTTATTCCATAACAGAATGAAACTAGGCCTACGCTGGTAAAGCTTGATTGAATCGTGCTTGATAGGAAGAACTCCTAGCGTGCTAGGGCGTCAGATTCTAGGAAATTGATATAATTATAGCTCTAACGGGCTTAGGACTCGATTAAGCGACCATGTAAGCGTTTCAATATAGTAAAATACCCAATACCAAGAGGTTGTAGAAGATATAACGAATAGGGTAGTATAAAGACTAGTATAATATTACTTTACTAGCAAATTTGATTGAATCGTAATATTAGATATCTATTATAATTATCTCATATTAGTGACCAATATTTACCTTGCCTATTGAATCACTCTACGGCAAGCCTGACAAGCAGGCAGGATGAGATGGAACAGCGAACGAGCCAGCAAACCAATGCTGCAAGGTTGATTTCTCAGACCGTTCACACTAAGAAGAGCAGTGTGTATAGATGCTCCGCTTTTTGGTGTTGCAGATACCCGCTTCAAGTCGGTACGTATAGCATCTGTGACGGATTAATGCCTTCCACAAACTTGGGATGTGTGCTGGTAAACTCCGATCTAAGGCCCCTGCCATCTGCGGTCGTGAAGGTCTCAAAGATGGGTCGAATTGGTAGATCATCGTTTTCGTCGCGTTCCAGGATACTCTCACCCCATTTCCAGTGGACCTCGAGACAGCAAGATAGGAGGCCCATTACATCGAGCATTTTGTCCTGGGGACAGAAGTGCATGATGGTTAGCCGGAGCTGGGGGCAGCCGATCTGATCCAAACAACTCGGATGGGTCTTTTGGAAAGAACCCGTGACAGGTCTCATGCATTGCGGAATCTCGGGGAATGCCCTGGGGCTCGGTGATATGCGCCACTTCGCATAGACATAGACCAGCCACCCCATGGCGAGTACCTCTGGATCGCGGCAATTCCGTACACGAAGAGATTGGTGAATGCTGTTGGCAAGAAAATTACGGCGGGTGCCATGCACCAAGTGGAGTGGGAAAGGTAGATGGGGACACTCGGCGATTAGATTTGGCCGTGAAAGCCTGGCGCAGGTGGCCATGCTAGCGGCCGATCGAAGGTCATCGGAGGAGGAAGTGAGCATCCAGGCGGGAACCAGGGGTGAAAGCACCTCAAGATCTCGAGACATTTGCTGCGTCCAGACAAAAGGCGGAGCTCCGAAATTGGCAGCTGAAGATCGGTCAAGTGGGATCCCGTAGTTTCGTGGCTCTTCGCCAGAAGTTGAGTCACAGGGATCAAAGACTTTTCCGATTGGGTGATGACAGTCGCTGAGATGGAAGGATCGACAATGGGGAGCGCAACGTGCTCGGTAGAAGGGCTGGCAGAGGAGGCATCCAGAAACAAGCCTACATGATCAGGAGCACCATCTGTTGGCTTAGTTGTGGTAAATTAGAAGCAAGTCGAGGCAGGTCGCGAGGCCGCTGGGTGTCCAGGCTGCGGAGGAAGCAAAGAGGCCCGGATATGAATATCCACCCCGGTCCTATCAAAACTGGAAGAAGGTTCATACATAACCATTAATAGAAATGCCGCCAACATTTCGTTCACATTCCGGGGTGAGAAGCACCGCCGGGAGGTAAGCAAGCTCTGGAAGTATTGGAGAGCATGGCGGTAATTGCTGGTACCCGTTTTCAAAGGGATCAAGCATAGAGAACAATTCGCGGCACTGAACTTGCAGTAGACGGTGCTTTGCTAGAAGAATGGACAAGATAATCACAATACTTTCGGTTCGTTAATCGATAGTTCTTACCTCGCTCTCTTCTTCATGTGACTCTTGAGCGCTAAGCCAATCTATTGATTGTGAACAATTTCTTTGTTGTAAGAAATATACATTTTCGTTCAATCAAAGGATCTGGCTGCCAATGCACCCTGGGCTAAACCTGTGGTACATTAACGATAACCCCAAATACCAAAATCCTTCATCAAAACTCTGGAATAGTTTTAGAGGAAGAATGGTGTGGTCTTTTTTTCTGTTTTTGTGATTGCTTCAGACTGTTGACTTCGAATATTTGCTGGATACCATACTTCTAAAAAGTTCTTCCATCCTGCAACATTCAACGGGCTTAGTCTGCCCCGCCCCCCCCCCCCCCCCCCATATACTTTTGAGTACCGCTATGCTCATTCAAACTCATTTCGACTCTCCCAGGGGGGCGGGGCTATCCACTGGGGTCTAGATCGCTTCTCTCACGGAGTGATTTAATTACGGGGAAATTCCGGTAAAAATAAGCACAGCACAGACCTTTTCAACCAAAATATTTATATGACACACAAGTGATCACCACATCTTTTCACTTATTCCATTTACCGGGGTGATAGATCAGTTACAAGAGCGTAGCACGGAGGATGCTGAAGCCACCGTCAATCCCGATTCGCCCTTGCTTTTTTATGGCGGCCGTACAAGGATTGAGCACTGGTACACAAATAATTCTTTTAAAGAAATGCTCTGAAAAAAGTGGAGTCATCTATCAATGTTCTTTTCTTGCGAATAGTCTCCACGCATGTTTCGAATATGATCCTGAAACATCTTCTTCAGGTAAGAAGGCGCCTTGGATTGAAAAAGAACCTCCGTATGTGGGTCTCACTGGTTGCGTATTTCCGGAATTGATACTACTTTTAAGTCCATTTTCCGATGATCTGCCCCCCCCCCCCCCAGCGCCAGTTAAATAAGCATGTCTCGAATTGAACATAGATGCGAGATATTGACCGAGAGTCTCACCCTGATTAGCTATATATACCGGGGTATATTCCAGCTTCTCACTTCAAGTCAAATCAAGCCTGGTCTTTAAAGAGAATATTGGTCGCTTTCCTTTCTATTATGCATTCCATCAAGTTGCTTGCGCTGCTAGCAGCACCAGTTCTTGTAACAGCCACCCTTGACCCAGCCTCATCAAACACCAAGGGATACAAGCCTTCCAGTCTCAATTGCAGTGGTGAGTAGTATATGATATCTAGAACAAAATAACATACCTCCATTGTCTCCCCTGAATGTCATGCATCTATATATCGTGAAATTCAAGCTGATTTTTCAACTAGCTGCCAAGGTCTCCACTGCCATTCAAGCCGCAGAATGCTCTCATAACACTCGCACCTCGGAGACCCAAACCTTCGCCGTCTTCGAAACGGACCATCAATATGATTCATACAATGGGGCTCCCTACGGGACATGCAGCGCCTACACCTGTGATCCTCCCACCAGTTCTGAACTGACGGCGGATTCGGACTATTGGATCTTTTATTGGAGCGACGATGGAGAGGACAGTGGTTACGGGACAAGCTGTATCAAGGACCCTCAGACTGGAGAGTGTGGTTGCGAGAACTCAGATGGAACATTCGTTGCTGGCAGTGACAGCTGCACTTAGACATACCTGGGCACGCCTGAATTTAGAAGCGCTGTAAGGGTATTGGCACATCATAAAGCAAAGAAAGCTTCCACCCAATATAAAAAGGACGATGGAATCTCTGAGGTCCATCTGGACTCGCAGACTTTATGTATAGAAACTACTCTTTAAGAATGAATTCGACTTACTGTTGAAACTTTGACATGTTATACAGTTTTTCGGAATGGGGAGATCCATTTAAAATGGGTTTGGCTTTCTCAGGATTAGTAGATTTCAGAAAATATCAAGATGACACAAAAGAAGTGTAACTGAAACAAGATCTGAGTTCTCGATAAGCTCTAATAGAAATTGATATTTATGATCTGATCCAAGGATAAAAGTCTGATTTTAGGAATTCCTAAATCAAACTTCCTCGATGTCAGACCGAAGGTTCAAATAGCTGTCCGGGCTCTTAGCGCCAGTCCGAGAGGTCATAGTAAGAGAAAATTCCAGATGCAGTGAAAATCGCTAAGGACTGTCCAATCTCCTTGTTTAAAACTCGTACTACCAACTTGAAGGTCTCCTGGGGCGACTGGTGAAACGCGCAGCAAAATTGGTGGCGTTTCGACGGTCGTACTTTACATCTGATTATGCTCAATCGGGCATGCCATTTAGACTACGGTCTACATCATCAAATCTTAAAATAGATATAATACGTAATAGTACGGAGTTGATTCAAGTTCTTCATTCACCTTGTGGAGAAATGGAAAAGTGAGTAGATTCAACTACAGAACTTCGACACCTCAGGTGTCGAGTGGTGTGGACACCTCTACGTTTGGTGGGACTGGTCGTTGAGTTGGACGCTGCCTGCGCAAATGTCTGCTTGTACTTACGTCAATGTTCGACGATCTTTTACGCAGCTATGCAGCTCTGTCTTTATTCAGTCTCATGCTCGGAAGCAATTATCGATGTCCACTTTCAGCCCCCTTAATGCAAAGATGCGCGGTGATACAGATAGAACCAGCGAATCTCGATCATCATCGATCATCAAGTATAAGACCCGTCAAGACACAGTACAGGCTGGTAGAAAACGTCGAAGACCTTGGAAGATTCTCCTCGGCATAAAGTTGTTCACCAACATTATCGGGAATGTCGTTATGTGTTTCCATGACCCCTCCCTGCTGCACGTATCTGTTAAGCATCTTCAAGTGGTTTGTGCGTAATCTGTAATGCTTTTTCCCGTATGGGTCCCGCTAGCAATATTGTCCTTGGTGGCGGCATAGAGGTCCAGGACAACGTATGATTCTGTACACATCTCGCTAAACTTTATAACCGCCGGAAGCTTGCTCAGCATCTATCTCGGTGTCACGTTCTATAATATTCCTTTAGTAACAGATGTTTTTCCTCTTTTGTCGCTGCTGGAAGTCGGCTATAGTCATCTATATAGTGCAGTGGGGAAATGGCCAACACTAGGGAGATCTCTGATTGGAAGATATCTTTCTAGTACACAGTCTTTACAGGATATGACTTAGCATCTCCGATAGGGAGAGAATCAACTTTCACACTCTCTTCGCTCCATCTACTTCTGCTTTCCCTTTTGGGAGGCTTCCTCCATCATGGTGTGTAATGGTTTGTCGGTCTGTTCGCCGACCTATCTCATCCTGCGTGCATTCTCAGGCTTGCCATAGAGCGCCCTGGTTCAATAGTTAATAGTTATCTCAATTTGGATCTTCTTGCTAAGACGGTAAAGATTAGCCCACTTCAGCAGCTGGTTTTCTACCATAGTCTAATCAACACTAGCGCCTTCAAAGCCCTTGATAAGATTAGACTAGGAACGTTCGTTTACAGAAACCACTAGGTTGGTATCGTCTAGTCTCACCCGTCGGTTATAGGCTATCTTTCTCCGCAGAATATTTCCAGCCGTATCCTTTATCCGCTCCCAGTAAAAACTAGGTAGCAGGGCTAAGTCTTGCTCCGTGTTCTTTGCTACCACACGGCTATTCAATTTTACCCCCCACTCGATCTGGTAATGCACATAATCTAGTCCTCCGTCAACCACCTCACCTTCTTACATAAAACCCAGTTTATCGAATTGCGGGTTGTGCAACGGTGATGAACTTTCACTGAATATTAATATTTCGCGGTCGGGGGACGAGCAGATTACAGATAGCGTCTATTCACGGCCAGATGTAGAGGCATACGAGGGAGTCGGGTCCCGTAGATCAGGCAGGCGAGGTGGGTAGATGTCATCAGTGTCGAAAGCAGCATGAGCTATCCCCTGCAAGCAGTAAATACTGCTGAGGAGCCTGTTTATGGTACCATCATACATTAGCTGGAAACAAAGAGGAGTATATGTCTGACAGGCTGAGTACTGGTGATCAGCAGGATCATTGGTCTTCTGTCAGTCCGAATTTGGAAGATCGGCCCGTGCAGTCAGTTTGTGGGGTAAAGACTGACGATGCGGTGCTAGGCTCATAAAGCTCCGGATCTCTTTCTCAGATACATGAAAGGCTTTTTTAGCTTGCATGTAGAATTGTACCCGGCCCGACAGATCGCGTTCTAGGGCACGAGCAACGCCTGTTCATGGTACGTCCCGCGCAACTACCATACTGGGTGTCTGTCAGAGCCCATGCTTTCCCGCAGGGTACGAGAATCATCGGGCAAGGCTTTTTGCCAGAAACTTGCTTAGTATAAATATTACGGGATTTCCGTTCTTCCATAATCGAGCCTTTGCATCTCTATCGGGTCGGTGTTTAGAATTCAGTGATCACCAACATCCTGGTGCGCCCATTTGAGATCATTGATAACTGTCGACATAGACCATCCAAATCTACATCTTTTTTTCAAGAGATTAGATCATTTATTTTGGAGAAACCAATCATTTGATATACTTATAATCTTAGATACCAATTTTCGAGACCAGCTGGCAAGCCGTTTTAGACAGCTGTACAATTCTTTTTTTTGGTGATGCCACAGGCACAATAATCACAAAAGTCCATTTCTCGTATATTGTTTTGGGTGTACTTAATAGAGACAATTTGAAATATCGCTCTCGATAAAATTTTAGGACAAGTAAAAAAGGAAATCTCCTCAGACCGAGTTTTGACGATACCAATCGTTCACAACAGTTTCAATATATGCGCGAAATTCATTCTGGTCCTTCTCCGGCGCGAAAGACTTGACAATAATGCTGACAATGCTTTCAGCATCGACAAGGCGAATTCCACTTTGGTTAATATCATGCAACTCCTCCTTGGTCGGGAAGGTGTAGTATCCGCTTGCCTCTGCATTCTGTGGTGTTTTGGGTAATTGCTTGCCTCTTGCAATTTTGTCAATCGCGTCCACTGCCACTCCAACCCCCATACTGTACACATCTTCCATAAATGCCAGCATTGATTTGGAGTAATCAATAGGGTGCTCTCGAATATCTATCACGTCTCCGGAATCCCAATTTTCATCAATATCGTGAAGCGAATAACCAAAGTGGGTTTCTTTGTTCTTCATGGCTCGGACCGTGGTCATTACTCCGCGGTAAGCAGGAAGCGTCCCAGGATGGAGGTTGAGTAGGCGCCGAGGCTGAGAAAAATACCGGATAATATCTGTCTTAAATCGTTGATAGCATCGCAACGAGAGGCCCACGTTGATATGGTGCTTGGCGAGGGTCTTGATGAAAGACATTTTGTTAACATCCGGTACCTCTTCAACGAGAATCCCATATGTGTCTCGTAATTGATACACTGTTTTATGGGTGGCACCTCGAAAAGGTTTATCTTTAAAGTAAGGAAGGATATGGTGCTGTAGCAGTTCTCGTTCAAAGAATGCCAATTCCCGAAGGTCAAAGGGAGTTGCGCTGCGGCTAGCCCTATGTTTTGGTAGGTAGATGAAAGGCATATGCCCGGCAGCGAGGAGTTGGGGAACCAGTTTGCTGATCATAAGGTGGGAGAAAAGATCCGATCCACAGAATATTGCCACATGCAATGGCCGAGCATAGGGCTCTTTTGTCAAGGCGTAGGCAATCCGAGAAGCGTGGGCTGCGATCCGGTCGATCGCACTTACATAGAAATGTGTGCCACGTGTTAGCGATCCAATGGCATATAATCCGGGTGATGCAGCCAAGGAATCAAAATCGACAGCTAATCCACCATTGGGGTGAGCTGTTGCAAGATTGTTTTTGAGTGTAGACTGGATCAATGGTGAATGGATGCGGTCAAGGTGACACTCTTGACCAGTCGCTTCAATCACATATGAGGCCTCGACGATACCAGAGGAGGTCTGCGCTTTGAAAATGCCATCCCATTCGATTAAACTTCCTTGAACCACCCGAAGCTGTGAGCTTTCTAATAATTTCATAATTTTCTGGGCGTTCTGCACTGGCATCGCATGTCGGAACCTCATCCAAGTGCTGTGATACTTTGTCATAAAAAGCTGCTGACTTCTTGGGGACATGCAGTTCCAATATCTCTCAATCACCGGGGCTGTAGCGCGGAGAACTGCCTGCCATTCAACCCGACCAGCTTGTGCTGCTTGGATATCCTGCTGCAGCTGCTTCACTGGCGATTCGTCATCGACAATCCAGCTCCAGTCTCCGTTTGTTGCTTCCGACAACTCCTCTACCACACCGCTCATCACTTGCAAAAGGCCCTCTTCTGGATTTGCTTCTATTTGTCTGGCAAGTTCGTGCAATACATAACGACGTGAATAGGGAGCTTGGTCTCCTTGAACCTTAGGTAGACGGCCACTGCGAGACATGAGGGTGATGGTACCTCGATGACCGTTGTCCACAAGATACGTGACAGTGTCAACTGCGGATAAACGAGAGCCAACTACAATAATTGTAGCATCAGGAGGAATTGACTTCAGTTGAGGCAGAGGCCATGGACTCGGAAGGAATCCAGGGAGGTTGATGAGCTGCGGGTTGCAAACAGCTGTGAAATTCCCTAGTGCCAGAACAACGGCTTGGGATAAGATTCTTGTGTCATTGTCAAGAGTCAAAACAAACGTTCCATCGCTTGATTGATCAATATGATGGGCCTCTTGATGTATGACGGAAAGATCCAAGCCAGCCTGTTTGGCCTCTTGAGTTGCTTCGGACCAAGTGTACTGGAGATATTCTCCATAATGTTCACGAGATGGAAAATCACCCTCATCCAGGTTTTTACGCCACTTAGTAAAATGTTGTGGCTGGTCAAAGTATAAGCCCATTGTATCGGTGTGCATGTTCAATATAGTGCCCACACAGGCGTTGGAATATGCCAAACCCGGGCCAGGAGTTTTGTTCTTCTCCAACACAGCAATTTTTCCAAGTTGCTTTCCATTCTTTGCTCTTTCAATCAATTGAAGAAGTACTGCCAGTCCACTGGCGCCTCCTCCAACCACGACAATGTCGGGCGTTGAGGATGATGAGGAGGCAATTGTTTGAGGTAGTATTTGAACCATTTTGAAGAGATAGCGGTTTGTTGGTCGCTCTTGCCCAGGCCATGTCTACCAGTCTCGGTTCTTATACTTCTCTTCTTGGAGACTTCAAGCTCCCCAAATGCTACCCCTCAACTTACAAAGGAATAGGCAACCGATAATGGCAAAAATACGAGATTCATGTAGATCTGTGATGAACGTTTGCAGGACCAAGATGTTTCAAAAGCATCAACGGGCGCCATTTCTATGCTTATACCCACTTTTTAATGCAGTCATCTCCGTGAATGCAACCTTTCATGTCGGTAATCATGTGGCATAAATGTAATTTACGGGTATTTTGAAATAATGGAGAGTTTAAGCCCAAAAATGAGATCTTCGCTTCGATATAATTCGATGAGGGAAAAGCACGTCAGTTTTGCAACCTGCATGAGCGCACAAAAGAATATTGAAGCCCCAAATATTATCCTGTCATGTAATACAAGAATAGTTACTGAGTGATTTTTGTTTACTATGACAAGTTTTCATTATTCAAAAATGATGGTACGAGACAATTAGTGGACATTCACGAGGATCAATACGCAAGAAACGTCGATGAAAGTGTATATGTGCTCTGGTTTATATTGCCTGACTCAAGAACAAGAACGAGATGTAACTGAGGCATTAACTTGGTATAAATTAGCTTCGAAATCTTGCCTCAGACAATAATATACACTTCCAATCCTTTATATATAGATAGTCACTCCGATTCTCATAATTGAGTTGGCTCTGTTTTCCAACAACTAATCATCCGACCAATTGATTTAGGCCGAAGTACCTCCCTCAACATTGACCTTCGGTTTGAATCCTACTAGCTCAACTATCATCATGCGGATTCCTGCTGGCGAGACGGTGTTTCCGGAAACCCTTGCCAAAACCATGTTTGGCCGGATTTCTGAGAGAGTACGTCAATCTTCCAAACGTCTCTGTCTCGCCGGAGTCTTGGCGAGCGACGACGTTGGTTCCCACCAATATGCGGTATGGACTCAAGAGACTTGTCAAGCTATGTGAGTAATCTACAGTCAGTTTTAGAATTCCTGGGATAGTCTTGGCTAAAAATAAAAACCACAAATAGCGGGGTGGACTTTTGTCTCGTGCAGATTTCGCCTTGGAATGTGGCGACGTACATCAAGGCGCTAAATACGAACCCCTGCATCCACGGCATTATTGTTTACTATCCGATATTCGGAGATGAGAGAGATGATGACATCAAAACTCTCGTCAGCCATACCAAAGACGTTGAAGGCCTTAATCGATGGCCTTTGCGCAATTCTCCGGAAGTCACTGAAGCTCGTGGACAACCGTGCCTGGGGCCCACGCTAGTGCCTTGTACACCAAAGGCAGTGGAAGCTATTTTACAGTGGCTGGCCATCCATGATCCGAACCTCCCGACAAGGGATCAGCTGAATAAGTGGGAGATCTGCATCATCAATCGCTCCGATGTCGTGGGATTACCCCTCGCCCAAATGCTAGCGGGACAGGGGGCGCGAGTCTATAGCGTCGACGTCGCAGGGGTGCAGCTCTTTTACCGAGTCAATCATCCATGGGGAAGCGGGCGCGTGGAAAGGATGCATTCCGACCTGACTTTACGAGAGGCTGTAAGAGCGTCTCGAGTGATCATCTCGGCCGTCCCGCATCCCGCCTTCAAGGTAGAAACAAAATGGCTACAAGTTGGCGCCATCTGCGTCAATGTTTCTTCAGCAAAGGTATGTAGAGCTAACGGGGCTTAGAATAACTGTATATCTCCTTCATCCTTGCCCAATTTGGAAATTATTAACGAATTTACCCAGAATTTTGAACCGGATGTTCTCGACATTGCATCTAAATTTGTGCCGCGAATCGGGAATGTAACGATCGCCAGCCTACTGGAAAATCTTCTCTTGTGTGCAAGACAGGGCTGAAGGTGTGGTACAGGCGTGTTCGAGTAGATAATGCTTACCCCGAGAAAATCAATCCATTGTGCAGTCTTGAAAGTCTTGGCCCTGCGGGGACCCGTTGCGCGGAACGTCTTGGACATAAAATTTGAATTGTTGCCTAGAATAATTCCTCTATTTTTAAAACGCTACCTCAGAGATCCCGATTTTGGTTCTATGGGAAAGGGCCGATCTGCACAGAAAGTAGGGCTAGAATGTCCGGGGATCCCAAATCTAGATGTCTCCGATGTGGTCGCAATTGCAAGCCAAGATGACCGTCGACCCACCAGGGCACGACGTATAGTAGGGTGAGAGGGCGATCAAATCTTGGCCGTGACGGTGGCTCCAGTTTTCAGCAGCCGAGCACTCACAAGAACTAAAGCACCCAGAAGAAAGGTCAATCCGCCCCAGATCTGGGCCCCGATGTAACTGTGGGCCCGCGCAATGAGCGCGCCACCAAGAGGGGGCCCTGTCAAGCAAGCAAAGCTCACAATGGTGAAGCCCATGCCGATGCGTGTCCCCGTCTTACTCAAGTCCGGCGTCAGGCTTGAGAGCGTCGAAGGCCAGAGACCCTGTACCCCATTGGAGAACATGCCATACAGGACAGCAAAAACGTACAGGCCAGCGGTTGAGTGCACTGCTGCCCAGCAGAACATCATGAGACTGGCCCCAACCGTTAAAGGGATGATAGTATTGAGCGGACCATAATACCGGTCCGCCAGGTACGCGGGAATGAGCCGGCCGACAATTCCTGCCCCGTTGGTCACAATGATCAGTGTGGTCGAGTCTGAGTAGGACATGCCAAGAACAGTGCGGCCGAAAGCACCCACATAATAGAAGGCAAAATAGAGGCCCCAAAAGTTCAAGAACATGCCCAAGCAGAAAAGCACGTAGGTTGGCTCTTTGAAGGCAACCCAATCGATCAGAGGCCCGGACCGGCGTGGGGGCAACCGTGTCTGGAGCAACAACGTGGCCGGGATACTGGTCGCCAGCATCACAAAGCCCAGCACGCGCACCGTCCAGCCGAATCCAATACTCGGCATGAGGGCCTTGACCAGCCCGGGGAACAGCATACCTCCAGTTCCGCTCCCGACTAGTCCAAACGCCAATGCAAAGACCCGGCGCCCGGAGAAATAGGTGGCCACAAGTCCCATTACGGGGCAGAACTGCAAGCCACTGCCAAGGCCAGTACAGACCCCCTGTGCGAGAAAGAGCTGCCAGTAACGCGTGGCGAGCGATGTCATGAACACCCCCAGAAGCTGCAAGACCACCCCGGTGTAGTATACTGGACGAAAGAAGCCAGCATCGAGGGCCCGGCCGGAAAAGGTCCCGACGAAGAAAATGAGGAACACCTGCACGGATCCTACCCAGGAAATGGCTGACGGGGAGACCCCGAGCTCTGACTGGTAGTAGGCTTGGAACACGCCAAAGCTGGCGATGTATCCCCAGGTGTTGAACGCCACCAGGTGGCCCATAACGGCCTGCGTCCATGCTTTCACACCTCCATCAGGCGGCGGGGGAGGACCTTGGGCTGCCGGCGATGAGCGGTCGAGCACTTCGGGATCTGGATCCTTTTCGGCCATCAGGAATGCTGTAGAGGGCGAAGCTGGCAAGCGTGCAGACCAAGAGAGTTAGGATGGGGGAATCAAAGAAACAGGAACAGAAACAAAAACACGGGCTTCAAAGGGCAAAGGGCGAGTCTTGATGCCGAAGTCGGTGCATTCCTAGCTGCTGTGCCGGGTTTATACCCATCGCAGGCGATCTACGCGCTTGGCGACTGGGAGCTCAAGTTTCCTTGACACATAGTTAAGGGGATATTTAGGTTGAAACTTGGACATTTTCCTCAATAACCCCTGTCGTTGCAGTAGTCGTGCTGCAATCCTGGGCAGCATTGTGGGCCACGGGCCAATGAGCCATTGAGAGGTGTGTATATTATGCCTCACCCATCCTCGAGCAACGTTGTGTTCTCAGAATGCCAAGCAACGGCTGATCGTCGCCTTCGGGTTGAAAATATTCGTAATATTTTTCGTAACTTAACTAGTTAACTAGTAACTAATTAGTTTACTAATTATTTAGTTTTCATCCCAGTTGTTTTACATCCTAGATCAGAACATTAGAGAGAAACTCTATAACGGGGCGGCTGGCCTAATGGTAAGGCGTCTGATTTCGGTTCAGAAGATTGTAGGTTCGATCCCTGCGTCGCTCGTTACTTTTTTTTCTTTCCAGTGGCTCCACTCGAAGCCACCCACATAATATAGGGTCAAACGGTCGCGGGATTTTCCGATCTGAGAGGTCCAAGGAAGGAGACCGTGGCGCACTTTCGGTGCGACCCCTGGTCGATCGCGCAAGACCCTTGGCAAACTACTCATGTGGTGGCTCCCGACAATGGCCTCGTTCATGCGACTCTGCAAGTGCTGGGCCCCTTTTATCCGTTTACTGTTGCATTGCATGATGATGACTGAAGGATTGAGAGAATAATATTATGACATAAAAATATCGGTCTGGCCCCGATGTGGCCGATCGCATCTCCAAGGGACGAATACAAAAAAACAAAGGGTGCGAGGAAACATGACAGTCGCCACGTGACTGGTCAAAGGCAAGAACTTCGAATACACAGCATAGCGGCGGCGAACGTTCACAAGTACTCAATGGACTGAGATTCTCGAAATTTCAAATATTGGTATGGCTTGGTTCAATTTTCATCGGTTCATCTGGCGAACATCCGCCGACGAAAGAGTTGGAGCAAATGCCATCTTCCTAAGTTTTCATCAACCAAACGAGCATCTATACCGCATCGCACCTCAGTAAACTTACTCTTAAATTGTTCCATAGCCTAGGCCCTTTATCTTCTTTCGTATGCGATCTTGGATATTTAGCTAACCAATTGAGCTGACGGCGTCATGAGTTGCGTTCCGTCCCGCTCGGAAATTATCCCTAGGACGATCAAATATATATTGTCACTATTAAACCTGGTCAAGGTCTTGAAGATTAGGTCGTCAGTGCAGCAAGAACATTGGCATCCACACAATACTTGTTTCTATATATTGCTAGATATCCCTGCACATCACTCTCATGCGCCGAACAACATTTGTGCCCACGACTAAAAACGCTTTGACGCTGTCTTTTCTATTACTGGCACCGGTTCTTTCTCTTTAAAGAGCCTGAAATTTCCCGTCAAGGACCATACGGATTCATATAGGCACCACAGGCTCCTGTGCATGCCAGATCCAATTTGTGACCCCCACCATTGAATTTTGAAATGGGTTTCTGGAAACATCTTCAATCATCTCGGCAATGTGATTCTCAGTCTGTTGCGAAAGGTTCATGCTCGGGCCGTGTACAGCGGTTGGGGACCACTTCAATGTGGTTCTCAACAAAGTCTGCGGGTCTTGTCCGCCCCGAACTCTACAATTTTGGCCGTGCAAAAATGGTTGGGGGAACGCTCTCTGGGCCAACCACGGCAAGATGAATAATCGAAAATAAACCCGGGATCTATAAAGCTGAATTTGATGCCGATATAGAGACATATTGTATTGCACTATTGGACGGGTTAGCAAACTAATTGTTACAGTCATGGAATCTCCTCGGATGACCTTCTATTTTGACATTGGCAGTCCTTTCAGCTATATTGCATTCCACGTTTTGCAGGTATCACTCATTTCTTGGAAGGTCCTCGAAAGCATGATTACAGCACTGACAGCATTGCAGAACTCCCCTGTCTTCGCAGGATGTGCAATTGACTATGTTCCAGTCCTTTTGAGAGACCTGTTTCAAAAATGCCAAAATTCGCCGCCAATTTCTGTCAAGAGTATGTACTACCAAGGGCCCAGGTCATCTCCCACAGTGAAAATCACGTCTCGGTAGTATATATTGATTTTGGTCCCCCCTTAGACAAGTTTCAGTGGGTCAATAAAGAGAGACTCTACTGGTCTAGTCGGTTCGGTGTGCCAATGAGTGAGCCGATACCTAAAGGGTTTCCCGCATCGACGGAAGATGCCCAGGTTGCGCTCAGCTTCATTGCTCAAAGCTCATCCAACGAGCTTGTTAAGATCGCAGGGAAACTCTTTCACATGTTCTGGGCGAATGGCAATACTCATATCGCCAATCCAGACAACTTTACGGCCGTGATCGAGGAAGAGCTTGGCAGGGAGCTTGCAAAGATGGTAACCAACGCGGTATGTAAATATGAAACCCCGATCCTCCAACACTCAGATGTCTAATGCCTACATACCACCGATTTACAGACAGCCAGCTCGGAATCAAAAATTCATCTGAATGAAAACACTGAAAAAGCATTTGACTCCGGAGCCTTTGGTTTGCCATGGTTTGATTGTACAAATTCTGACGGCGAGGACGAGGGCTTTTGGGGTATAGACCATTTAGGTCGCGTAGCTGACTTCCTTCGCTTGGACACCACGTTAGATCCCGCATTCAAGGTTCTGCTATGAGGTGGCGAGATGCTCGAAGAATTTCTTTCTTAATCTCGTTAAATTATATGAATATACATAAATAATAATACACTACACAAATTATTTGCACGTCACCACGGCTCAAGACGAATAGAGGTGAAATAGCACCCCCAGAAATTGCAACAAAGGACATCTCAATTATGATAAGTGACTCAGAATGAGCTTGAAGTGTGATTTGAAAGTGCTATATATCTTGTTGTTTTTTTTTTCTCGATAAAAAACCGCCAGAGACATAATTAATAGCAGCTTGTATAGTCTGACTTTCGTGGTCTTCAGAAAACGTGGTTATGATTTGTAGCATTTATTTTCTTTCTACTTAGGATTTGTTCTTGCTGCTTATATAACATAACTGGGCGGCTGGCCTAATGGTAAGGCGTCTGATTTCGGTTCAGAAGATTGTAGGTTCGATCCCTGCGTCGCTCGTTATTTTTTTCCTCAACGATCGATATCTCTCCACCCAACCTCTCTTTAGTTCCTGTTGCTATATTGGTAGGACGAATTGAGATGAATGAGAAGATAGAGAAAGAAATTTATGATCTCAAAAGTTTCCAATCCAGTTGTTACAAACGTCTCTGGTAGGTTGCCGCGAGAAGTGGGAAATAAGAGCGACTTCGCTAAACAGACTGACTATATATGGAGCTCTCTAAGACTACAAGGAAACGGTTATTCCAAATCAGACCATTTTCTTTCTTCTTGGGAAGAATTCTACGGCCGATGCGACATTAGTGACTGCATGGGACTCCAGATAACCGATTGATAATATGCAGCTATATGCATATTGTTCGGAGGGGCCAAATCAAACAGGCACTTGCAGAGTTGAGGAAGGCTGGGGTGGACAAGTGGCTGGAAAGGCATACACCCAAGACGAATTTAGGCGGATAATTGGAACGATCTCTACTTGATTCACCCGTCTTACAACTACGCCGCGTGTTCCTCAGGAAGGGAGAGGGCGTGGTCAATCGAGATTTGTTTTGGCGGCTAAGATCAGCTCGCAGATACCAGGAAAGTCCTGCACTGAATTCAATACCGCTGTTAGAGAGCCATTTTGTTAGTTATTGTTAGTTATATCTAGTGGGGATAATATCGCCAAGAGCGTCGGCATTGCCAGCCGAACCCCCACGATCTTCGGATGGTCGCCCCGATCCCCGAGCTCTGTCGTTCATCTTCTTTGTGCGAGTTTCAACCTGCTCAAAACTGTGAACAGTCGGCACGAATAAAATAAAGGCGATATCATACTGAAGGGCGAACTCTTTCATGATGGCAGCTCCAGAGCGCACCCTCGCATTTATCGGATGTGGTAATCATGAGGCCGCCACCCCCCACTGAGTCAATACACAGTAGACTGACGATATCGACTCAGGAAACATGGGAGGTGCCATTCTGCATGGCATTCTCGATGCAGCATTCCCGACTGATGGGTCTATTCCACAGCAGTCGCGTCCGGTTTCCAATTTTATCGCTTGCACAAAGAGCGTCCCTTCGGCAGAGCGGCTTCAGGGATCACTCCGAGTAGCGCACCAGTCGCTGGTTAAGGTCACCTCTTCGCAAGATGTGCCCATCCAATTAATGAAAGATGCCGATATCCTTGTCCTTGGCTTCAAGCCTTTCATGGCCGAGGATGTGCTCAGCGCGCAAGGAGTTCGTGAAGCGCTGGCGGGGAAATTAGTGATCAGTCTACTCGCAGGGCAAACACTGCAGAATCTCGCGAGAATCATTCGAGGAGACAGCACATTTGGCACAGTTGCAGATCCGGTTCTTGTCAAGGTCATTCCCAACATGGGCGCCCAGTTTCGGCAGTCCATGACCATTATTGAAACGCCTGAGGCCCCGATCCCGCAGTACATGACGGAGGTGGTTGAGTGGATGTTTACTCAAGTTGGCAAGATAAAGTACCTCCCGCAGAGCCAGATGGATCTTGGCTCGGTGCTGGTTGGTGCGGCATTGGCGGCGATGACTGTGCCCATCGAAGGTATCTTGGATGGTTGTGTCGCCGAGGGACTCAAACGGCCAGACGCCACAGAAATGGTCCTATATGGTCTACGTGGATTATCTGCAGCACTTGAATCTGGAATCCATCCTGCAGTTCTTCGTGAAAGTATTTCTTCGCCGCGTGGTTGCACCATCCAGGCCCTCTTGACTCTGGAACGCGCAGGTAGTCGGGCGCACTATGCGGACGCTATCATTGATGGCACACAGCATTTGAAGAAAGCAAATAAATAGATTGATATAACTTAGATGATAGTATACTACATAAATAATTGAATCAGAGAGAGAGAGAAAAAAAATCAATATATGTGGTGGGGTATGAGGATAAGATGTGTATTTATTGCCCCCTGGGCGTGATCAAAAAGGTCCAAAATATTCCAAAATGCGCCGAAAGACAAGTTCCCTAGAAATTAATTGGCTATCCCCAGACATCATCATTGTCTTTAACCATGTCATCCTCATTTAACACTCGCAGATTATTCTGGCGCTCTTGGAGTCGTCGTTGATCCCGAGTCACTCTATGACCAGGTGTAAATGGAGTCACTGGGGTGAAAGGCATATAGGGACTGTACGGCGTAGGCATGCCTGTCATTGGTCCACCGCGGCCCTTCATAGGTCGTTCCAAGATGGTGGTCTTGGTTGCTGGGGCGCTCTGCAAAGGATACGCCTCGCGTAAAGGCAAAGAACTCGAGTGCGAATGGATGCTGTTTGGTGTCAAATTCAGAGGGGGTGGCACACGAGAGCGGCCAGGAGAATTCATCAGCTTCACCGGAGCAGGGGGTTCCACCCGAGGATTCGGTGGGGGTTGGCGAGGAAAATAGATCCGTGGTGACATAGGGGCCTGGTCGTTGCCATATGACTTGGATGCATAAATATCTGGCGAGGCCATTGGGGATGAAATTACCACCTTTTTCGGGGGCATTCGGGGGGACCGTAACTTGTGACTCTCAGATGTCGAGGAGCGAGAGTTCAAGTTGAATAGCTTGGAGAGGCGTGAGGACCCATTTGACTTGGTGGAGATGGGAGATTTCAGCGAAGACGCTGAAGCGAGGTCTGAGCGCGATCTATGTGGATCGGCAAATGGATTGGTGTAATGGCTGTCTGGAGATGTGCTCATAGAATCCGGTTCTTTGGTAGAAACATTGATTCCAGCTGCCTTCTGGGCGTCATGTTCCATGACAGCAGCATATAGCATCTCCAGGTCATTCTGGTTCCGCTGGCGGTCCGAGGCCACCACAGATTCATCAACTGTCACCATACTGCCGTTGACAGAGGGTTGGGAAGGATGAGAGCCGTGAGGAAGACTACCCCAAGATGTGTATCCGCCTGCCTTGGTCGGGCTAGCCAGATAGTGGGGAGAACCGGGAGAAATGGGACTAGGATCAATGCTGGCAGGTGATTTCAATTCTGGCTTCAGCATTTCCATCTGAAGAGTGCAGTTTGAAGACTGAACTGTCCGACGTAGCTTTCGTCCGACAAAAAGAAGGAGAGCGATGAGCGAAGCAACGAAGACGATGTAGGCACCAGCGATGCTTCCAATCTGAATCCCTAGCAGAGGCCTATTGAGGGGGAGGGGCTCATTTGAACGAGAGATGTGCACAGTGCTCAGGCCAGATACCGGAGGGATATGGGATGCCAGGAGGGAGAAGATCAGGAGACAGGGGATGAAAGAAGCGCTGGGGATGGGATTCATCGCCGGAACCTGTTCGTGACAGGATGATGATCACAGCGGGGAATTAAAAAGGGATGGAAATGAGTTTTTAAGAGCAGGGGCATTCACTTTGTCTGATCGACATATTGGAGCGGCAGTGCGGTCGAATCTGATGAGGGCGAACGGCACATTGTGTTGCCAGAAGGGATCCGTTGGCGGCCAGGAGGGAGGGGATCCATATAAAACATGGTGAGTCCCTGTGTGTGATAAGGTGAGCAGTGTGTCGAGTCTGCAGGAGCCACCAGTGAACTCGAAAGGCACTGGTGAAGCACTGTTCGACAGGACTGCTTCACGACCTGTAGTTGGTCGTCAATACGCGCCCGGATGCACGGCCGTCACCCCGCGGGGACCAGTCAGAAGCCGCAGATCAGCGTGACGAGGGGGTGATGAGACGTGATGAAGCGGATCCACCACAATTGGGCTTGGCTTTGGGCGGGGGGATTGAACTGATCCTGCCAGAGAAGAGCGATCGATGAGTGGTTGCAATCGTCTTAATCAACGTCCGTGCAAAACGGATGATCGGTAGCTTGAGTGGTTGAGCGAAGAAGTTCAGGGCCTCGACCACTTTGTCTCACGTGCATCTCGTGATGTGATTACATACTTCCCCAGTGATCAGTGACTGAGCCTATCCTATTTGGGCTCTTATGAAGACTTCAACTTCGAGAAAAGTTGATTGATCACGAGTCTGACCTTTGCCCAACCTCCCCCATTTCCAGTCTTCCGACAAGCTCTACGTGTTGACTGGGCTGGAATGACCATGCTATGTACCATTGAGAACTGGCAACTAGGCTAAGATTAACGACTAGGTCATGTTGATCTATAATGAGTTTTTCGGGCGTCATTGAGACTGACTGTCGTGCCTTCCGTGGCCGATGCAAGTGCTTGTATATCACGATGTCTCCCGAGTTCTTCCACTTCCTTCCCTTCACCCTTCTTGCTCATCACACCTTTCTGGTTCAGACTCCATGGGTCACAAATTCACAGTTATCACCGGAGTCAAATCCAGCAACTTTTACGAGCAAGGCAACGCTATCAATGAGATCTGGCTAGGTAACGTTGAAGTGATCTCCCGTCTTCCCTTTGGTGACTCGGATTTGGGACAAGCTGGCTGGCCATCAGGCGACTGGCCGAAGATCCCGTGGCATCAGTTTGTCATTCCACTCAAACGCGATCTCGAATCAAGCAATACCGCTGTCATGGCAAGCAACGGGTCTCTATGCACCTGCACCTGTCCAAAGATCAATGTTCCGGATTTCGGGTTTGGTTACTTCACCTTTTACCAGAACTGGGACAAAATGTATACCTTTTTTGCGGGGCTTGGGATGGCCTGGATGGGTTACTTGATGTGCCAGACCTTCATTCTAGCCAAATCCCATATTGGGTTGTCCGAAGAGGCGGACACTCTCATCTCTCATCCACAATCGCACATGAGATCCCTTCGATCTTGGGTTCTCCTTGCCGCCAAGAGTTTTGGAATCGGCCTCATACTTTTCTATCTGGGTCTCTACATCCTGAACGAGGCAGGGTATCTTCTACTTGCTTCGGTGAAGAACATCAGTGCCCCGGCATTGACTCTTTTCATCATGACATACTTTGTGTGCAAGGTGACCGTTGAAATTTTTTTCGCATTCCTGATCGCACTTCTCACCTTGTTGTGGAAGCTCAGACAAAATCATGCGCGACATCGATTGCTTGATACAGAGTCATGCATAGCGACCGAAACTTCACTTCAGTCAGTGTATGTCAATGAGGACATGCAATGTCCAGAAAAACCTCCTCTAGATGGCGAGTTCGTTTAGAAAGGAGTGCTTGGTATGAGTTATAAATTCTTCAACGGCATTCTCATGTGCTTCTACGTTTTGATCTTCCACACTCGATGTTGATTGCAGCCTCAAGTGATCGAGACGTTGGCTGATGAAGTGGTCCGCTTCCCACATGCTTTGTTTCGCCGTTTGTCCCAGTTCCCGAATATCAATACATTCGGCTGCACATGCAAAGTCTCGAACGGTGGAATCCAGGAACGATATTTCTGTCACACTCATTACGCTCTCATTCTATTCAAAGAACACCCGGCGGGTACCATCAAGGCCCTAGCATGAGTATTTGCTATTAAGTTTCTTACTTTCACTGAACAAGGAAATTCATGCCCAAGCACCTGAGCAAAAAGCATTAATCCATTGGGTATTATTTTATCTATACAGTTCTTTAAAATGAACTTAATACGCTCATTTCCTCTCCTTCGAGAATAGATCTCGCCATAGTTCTTTCATTCCATAGCCCTTTTCTTTATCTTCCTCATACACGCGAACCGAAGAGGCAGATCCCAACGAGCCGAATACACTCGCAGACGACCCACTGGTCGAAACCGAGGGGCGTACTCGCTCTGTTGCACGGCGTCGAATTTCCTCCGCCAGCTGCGGTGCCACCTCCGCAAAACACGCGTTGAGCTCACGATCAAGATTGACATATGGTTTCTGGGCAGATCGAGGAGCTTGTAGGTTGTAAGAGCGGGCGATGGCATTCAGTTGTTTCACGGCAAGTTCATGGTAAGAGCGCTCTATCGCAAGATAATCGGGATCCCGTAATGGAGCTAGGTGCAGCTCCTCTAGTACGTCTCCGTTGCTGTGACCTGATTCGGCTGATACTTCCGACGCCTGGACCTTTGAGACGATCCGACCATCAGGAGTGATCTCTGAAAATGTGTGATCACTGACGCCGGTATTGCGCAGTGACGCTTCTATCTTGGCTTTTTCGGCCAGGCGGCGCTCAGCAGCAGCATATCCTCTGGCACGCTTCATTTGATCGTCCAGAGACCCGCCCTGGCTGGCAATCAATCGAGCAGCATGTCTCCTCCATTCGGTGCGAATGCGCTGGCGGAATCGACTAAGCTCCGAGGCCAGCTCTTGCTGCTTTTCAATCCACGGTGGCACAATCTCTTGTTTCTGGATAATCTTGTTCATAAAGTACTCTGTCGTATCGATAAAGGCGCTGTTGGCATTATGGTCTGTCGCTGTATTGATCCCTTTTCCACGACGGATGTTCTGGAATTGCCCGCGCGCAATGGCGTCCTCAATTCGTTCGTTGGCAAGCGATGACAAGCCTTGGATGGAAATAGGCATTGCGTGTGCGCCGGGCGTCAGTTTCTCCCTCATCTCGCGGCGCATCGCTTCCCGCTCGTCTTCTGTGAGGCCAGGTGCTTGGCTCATTGCATATGTGGACGTCCGCTCCTTTGCTGCCGCGAGGCGAGTGCCAGGGGTATGTTTGGGTTTTGGGGCCGGTCGAAGGTTGACTGGCTGTGGAATCTTGTATGGAGCGCGGATGGGTTTGCTAGCGTCATCTAGCATACGAAGTGTGGTATCTTGTACACTTTCTGTTCCTGTCCATGCTGGTGCGGCGGCGGTCTCGCGAGTGCCCTGGCCTGCGCTGGTCTGTATATACAAACACCCACGGATTAGTTGCTGCTTGGCATGATATTGAGATGTAATCACAGACCGGCATATTAAGGATTGAATGAGCGGCAGAATGTTCGCTCTTAAACGAAGCTGCCTTCACTCGCTCCTCAAGCTGTCTCTTCAGTTCTTCAGAGAACCCCGCCTGCTCTATATTACGCCGCGCAGATCGGCCGCCCTCTAACATCGCATCCTCGGCCATCTGGGACAGACGGCGAGACATAGCACCCTCATTCTCCTCCTTTTCTTTTTCAGAACCATTCTTGCCACTCTCATTTGTTTGTGTAGAGGAAGAATTTGTATTCTGTCTTCGTTGACATGCTGCCGAGAACCGCCCCGAAGCGGGAAGTGTACCTCTCGAGGCACGTACAGAGGCACGACACAGCTGAGAGCTCCAAAAGTGCCCTGCCATCATAGCCATAAGCTGTATGACTCCGTTATCCCCAGTAAAACAAATATCATGAAACTCCTTTGGCCGATCCGGGGTAAACACGCTCGCAAGAAGTGGCAAGATGCGCGAGAAGCCGGGGTGAAAGCTGCTTATGTCATCCACCTCCGCGGAGCCAAAACTTCCAAGGATTTTGTTGCGCGCATCTATCTCTCCGTAGGCATCGGCGTCAACTCGCAATTGCTATCTACGGAGCCCGTTGCGGTACTTTGCATCTGATTTTTTCTTATTCACTCTGTTCAACCTCGCCGCACTCATTAATCTCCATCGCCATGCCTCCCAAGGGCAACGTCTCGACCCGGTTGAACCCGCTCCGTCTGAACACCATTGAATACCTTCGTGTTCGTCGGCCAAACCAGCATGAACAGAACACCTGTGTCACCGTTATGTCCTCGATGCTGAGTATGTGCCATTATTCCCTATATCATTCTGTCGCGGAGATAGCCTGGAAGATGCCGCTCCCGCACCGAGAATGCCAATACCCACGCCCGGCTTCTTCGCCCACACATTTCAGCACGAATGGACGCATTGCTAACAAGAATTCCCCTTTGACCAGACTGCTGGGCTTCCCAGGGCTACGGAGCTGAGGGCTGCGCAGCTCTAGAGACGCAACTGCGCAAGTGCATGGACGCACCGGTACGTCAACTCAATATATCCTCTCCCAGCTCCCAACCCCGACAATTTACTAACGCAATTCCTCTTTACACGCACAGAAATCTCAAGAGAAGAAGAAGAACACCGTCAACTACCACCTGATGAGAATGTACCCGAAGGTCGTGGGCCCGCGCAAGAAGGACGGTGTCCTGGGCTAAATTGCATCCTCGACATGGACAGCCGGTGGACACCGGGCTTCCTGTCTGACCAGGGGGTAGAATTTACATAAGGGAGTTTGGGGTCCTTTACGACACCTTTCCTGCAGGGGTATATCCGGTGGCAGATTTCTGTGCCTGGTTCCTTTTGCATGAAATGGGCATGGGAGTTGGTTCTTTTTCGATTTTTTGTTTCTGCGCATTTGTACAGTATATATACCTTCGCGGATATGTGGCATTGCCTTGCAAAAGAATTCATTGTATTATTAGCTTCAGAGCTTAGAGTCCTGGTTGGTTATTCCGGGCTCGGATCTTTTTGCATTTCGTCTCTTCTCATTTAATCTTCTCGAACTTCACCATGAGCTTCTCGCCCTTGGGATGTACGGTGTACGCATCGATCGCCTCAATATCGTCGTCATTGACGATCGTCGTGCGGAAGTTCGAGTAAATGGCCGCAGCCACCAGCTTCGTTTCTGGGGAAGGTGAGTCTTCAGAGCATATCCAGAGCAGGCGGTTGTTCGAACTGTACCTTGCAGCGCGAGATTACTGCCCACGCACATGCGTCCTCCGCTCCCGAATGCCCAAAACCAACGGCGTCTTTCCTCAAGTTCATCGAATGTGTTCTCCTCCTTGAGCCATCGGCCCGGCTCCCAGGTTTCGGGATCTGGAAAAACCTCGGGATTGCGGTGCAGGGAATAGGCCTGCGCATTGACGCGCGTATTCGGTGGAATTTTGTCGTATCCAGCCAAACTGCAAGAGGGCGCGGGTGTGACTCGGGGTTGGATACCTGGAATTGGGGCATGGAGTCGTAAGGTTTCGGTAACGATTGCTTCAAGTAAGGGTAGATTATCTATGGACTTGGGAGATGGTAGATCCGCGAGACCGGGAAATTGGATCGGGGGATCAAGCGTCTGTAACTCCTTGCGAAGCTTGTCTTGAATCTCAGGATGACTGGACAACTCCCAAAGCAGGTATGTCAGGCCGACTGCGCTGGTCTCAAAGCCTGCAGTCAATTGGTCATACATCTCACAGGCGATATCGTTAAGCTGCTCAGTGCGGTCTAGCTTGACACCATCTTTAGCGGCCTGCTTGTCAAGGCTGTATTTCAGCTGCTTGTATACAATTGGCTCAATGGTTGGATCTGTTGAATCCATAGATTGCTCAGCCTTGCCACAAAGATCCAACGCCCAAGCATCTAGCATGTCATTTGCAGTGTCGCAAAACTTGGGGATGACTCGGAGACCCACGCACTTCATCCAGCTATTCAAGTATGGTAGTTCCTGTTGGTAAAACTCGAATGGCTTGCGACACATGTACATATGAAGCCAGTGCTTTCGGAACGAATGGTCTTGGAGGTGGTTTGTTCCATTTTTCAAGCCGAACAAATAGCACGAGACAAAGTCCATCGTAAGTCCTGAATTTAGGTCATGTACATCAAGGGTCTGGCTCGCAGCAGCGGCGTCTTCAAGTATCGGTAGTAGTCGCTCCACAATAACTGCCTTTGACACAACCCGAAGATGTGGCGAAGACTGCAGTGTCGACTTGGAGTATATGTTGGACAGCATCCTCTTGCGAATCGAGTGGGGTTTGCTTCCAACCATGGTGAACATGCTCACCGTCCTGGCAAGGTAGTTAGTCTTCATGTTGCCATGTTCCTAGGGAATTTCAGATCAGTTCCTTACCCCAGTGACCCAAAGACACGCGGGTACCAATCATGTTTCTCAAATCCGCCGGTATAGACCGACTTGATTCCCCCATCGACGCAATTCACTGAGATTTCAGACGGGCCGAGCCTGACGATGGGACCAAGTCTCTCATGCGCGGCCTGGATGGTGCGATTGTTCTCCATACGGAACCGCTTCCACAGCATCCAGGCCGGAGAAATAGGCACGCTCCAGTGCGCATTCGGAATCTTGGCCAGCGGCGAGATAAAGGCCGGAAATATGATGGCTTTGTATAGCACCAGGGCGACGACGGCCGCCGCCGCCAGAGAAGTGATTGAGATAGGCATACTCGGGGATCAATAAATTGCCATAACTTCACAATGCACTGCGTATCCTTGGTGGGAAGACGTTTGATCGATGCGTTTTGTGAGTGGGTGGAAGGTGCTGGGGTAGCGGAACCAAAGGGCACATGTAGTCTTCCGCCCAGATTCCGCAGCTTTAGGTAATTGAATACCACACCCCGCGCGGAGAGATCAAAATCAATGGCCAAAGCTCCGAACAAGCTGTGGAGGAAAATAAGACCAGGAAGGTAGGAGCGATATGAAGTCTGAAGCTGCGTCCAACCAGATTGTCGGCATTACTTTGCAGCCCCCGCGAATCGCGATAAGGACGATAAGTGGGATGACATAATAGACGGAGGAACCCGATCTTGCAGAATACTCAACTACTAACCCAATAAAGAGAAATATACGGGAGTTTATATATACCAGCGGAACCTGTAGACATTGACGAGATGTCAGTCCGAGTTTGAGGTGACAGACAGATTCAGAAACTAGAACTATGGACGCATGAAATTTTTGGACACTAGAAGAATCAAACGTGCGGGGGCACAGGACGCAACACAACGAAGAGATCAGCTAACTACGTGCACTGCAACGAGATATGGATCCCCCGGCCCGGCCCACTATCTGAAGGGTATAAAAACACGGCGACACAACAAGGATACATTGCTCGCGGCAAGTGGTATGGTTTTTCTTGGGACTATCTGCATAACCTCAACTCACTTGAAGAGGCTGGTGAAAACACCGGCGCCTTCAGTGGCATCATCTGGGTAGACGTAGAAGGCGAGGGCAAGAATCAAGTACCTAAAGAAGAAGAGGAAGAAAGACGGTTAGATGAGGACATTCCGAAAGGTCGAACGAAAGAAAGAGAAAACATACATTCCCAGGCACATGCCACCCTCGAGATAGTTCGACTTGCCATCCTGGATCAGCAGAGTCACGACCAAACCGGAAATGAAGAAAGCGACAGTCTCAAAGGTCTGGAAATGCAGGGTCATATCGATCTGCATGATCCAGCCCAGAATGACAAGGAAAGGTGTGACAAAGAGCGCAATCTGCAAGCTGCTGCCGATCGCAACCCCAATCGCGAGGTCCATCTTATCTTTGTACGCGACCACTACAGCAGTGACGTGCTCCGCTGCATTTCCGACGATCGGGATCAGCACCAGACCAATGAAAGTTTTACTCATGCCGGTCTTCTGCACAATGCTGTCGATGCTGCCAACCAGGTAGTCGGCGCAGATCGCGACCAGCACTGTCACGACGATGAGCGCCACGGTAGCAGGAATAGGGCGGAGCAGGCGCTCCTCCTCCTCCTGTTCGCCCTCCGCGCCACTGCCGACCTCGGCATCGCTGCCGTTGGCCTCTTCAAACAGATCGGCGTGGGAGCGCAGCTGGAAGTAAAGATACATCACGTAGATAATCAGCAGGATGATGGAGGTTCCGTGCGAGAGGATGAGGATGTTGTCTTGCGCATTTTGCTTGGAGTTGGAGAGGGCGGCGTAGAGAGTCGCGGGGATAATCAGCGAGGCCGACGCCACGGCCATCAGCGACGACATGGTCGAGGCGACAGTGCTGTTGAACGACTGCTCCCGGAAGCGGAGGCCACCAACGAAGAAGCAGCACCCGAGAACCAGGAGGATGTTGGACAGAATGCTGCCGAGCATACTAGCCTGGACAACCCGAATCTGCTTGTCCTTCAGAGCGATAATGCTGACCTAGAGGCAACAGGGCCGATTAGCATGGGAATCCCGAGACTGGTCCACGACACGCGCCGGAGAATTTCGTCCAAGAGGTCAGTACTTACAATCAACTCAACGGCATTGCCAAAGGTCGCGTTCATCAGGCCACCCAGGGCCTGGCCCATGGTCGCCGCCAGTTCCTCCGTCGCAAAGCTCAGCAGCGACGCCAGTGGGATAATGGCAAAGAAGTTCAGCACGAAGATAGCGGTCGAGTCCCACTCAAGCACGCCGGCAATGATGCCGAGGGGCACAAAGATGAGAAGCAAGTTGACATAATCGCGAACCAAGGTTAACCAAGTGAGGCGAACGACCTGCAGCGGCCAGCGCACCCAAGCGCGATTGTCCTTGGGATGGTGATGGTGGCCGCCATGCTGTTCCTGCTCATGGCCGGAAAGACCGGAGAAAGAGGTTGGGCGGCCCAGCAGCGACGTACGCTCGCCAGGCTCGAGGGTGCCATTGCCAGATGTGCTCATGCTTCTTGATGAGCCGAAGCTATAGCTTCGAAACTGCGAGCGGAAACTGACGGAAGCTGGTGTGAGGAAGGGGGAGCCGGGTCAGCGTTTTCAAGGATTTCCTGGAAACACAATGCCCAGAACCAACAAATGATGGCAACGTCTCGAATATCTCATAGATCGAATGGGAAGGGGAGGGGGCGAGAGATGTTGGTTGTTGGGGGGAGGAATGGAACCTACACATGACGAGAATCACCAATCTAATTATCAGGGTCAAGACCTCCTCTCAGTCGCGAGCCAAGCTTCTACCAAAGTTCAAAGAATTGGCGGGGTCGTTTAATTTCCAGCCACAGGAAGAAACGACGGAACGACGGGGGGCAGATCCGTGGTTGCGTGGTGATGGTGGTGGTTTTGCGGAGCGCAAAGAACCTGTGACGAAAGACAATGCACAGCCTCGATTTGCTGGGGGGTCACTAGCGCTGTCGGCCACACATCGTTGGACCTCTTTCCCTTGTTTCGGAGCAACAAGGAGCTTGGGACGCTGATCCGGTCCACTGGCGAGGTCCACTCTTCATCCTATTGCCGGCATCTGATTAGCTCTGTGCACCCGCCAAGGAATGCACTGCCACTCGCCACGACAGACTCGCGGAACCGGGGAAAAAGGATGCATAATGTATGGAGCCACAGGAGCTACCAGGGCCGTTCTGGCACCTGATGACGACGGAGGGGTGACAACTCCGGGGCTCGGAGCTGTGAGGGACAAGAGTGGCACCGAGTACAGCGAGTATATAGAGTTTACATAGTGTCGTGCAGCGATAACCTAGTCAGGTATCGAGCTACATCCATACGAAAGTCATGCCTAGCCAGCACTCCGAGAACACAAAACACAGTCAATCCAGAAACAGCATAACACAAAAAGTCCTGTGTGTCGCACAGATACTTTAGGTCGGTATTTGGCAAGCCATGATAAAGACAAGACGCTGCGGAGATTAGGACTATAAACACATGGAGGTATCTATCTCATAACACCCAGAAAAATCCCCGGTCCACAGTGAGCATGGATGAATGACAGGAGAGGGAAAAGAGAGAGAAATGGTATGGGAAAAGAGACAGAAAAGGAGACACTGGCGAAGAGAAGGAAGAAGGGGAAAGTTACATGAAAGGAATAGTAGGAGTAGTTATAGTAAATCACATCAAGAAGTGAACCAAGAGGGGAATTCCGAATAGGAAAATAAATAAAAGAAAAGAAAAGAAAAGAAAAGAAAAGAAAAGAAAAGAAAAGAAAAGAAAAGAAAAGACGAAGAGAGAGAGAGAGAGGGAGAAAAAGGAGCGTCAACATGAGATCAAAGGAGTGGAAGATAGAACTGGAGAACCCCAGTCTACTCTTCCGGCAGCGCACCGTTTGCTTTGAAATCCATCCGGCTGGTCTTCCGTCCAACACCCTTAAGCAAACTGAATCGTCGAAAGACCGAGTCGCGCATACCGTTGTTATTGGCATTGCTCGTCGCAGGGGAGGAGGCATGGGAGGATACCCGGGAGACCCCGTTGGTCGCCGCAGTCACGTCGCGGCCAGTATGAGCGCTATCCCGGGTAACTGGGCGGGAGTACTCGCGCGTGGATGGGATCGTGGACCATCCGCCATTCGAGGCAGGCACCGGTCGATCAGAAGGTGCGGCCGCTGCACCGCTCGCCGTGGGCCCGCGATGCTGCGAGCCCGCACGACTGCGACCGTCGTGAGACGGGGCACCAGTATCGCGGGACGCACTGCGCGAGGGGCGCCTCTTCAGGGACGTGCCGGAGGCCTCATCACCAGCGGCGGCGACCGAGGGGGATGAGCCATGCTTAATCTTATCTCCGCCAAACCAGCTGCGGCGCTTGTCACTCTTTCCACCACGGGATCGGCTGGTCGCCCGGCTGTGGATGGTGGCCGTATCATCCTCGACACCCTCATCTTGTTCCGGCACACCATTGGGACCTTTGTGGTCAGGCTGTTGCAGGGTGAAGATGGAGTTGGAGGCGCCGTGAGAACGCTTGAATGGATTGATGATGCTGATACGGTGGCTGACCGACTGTCGCTCAGAGCGCTTACGTGTGTGGGTATTTCCCCGCGAAGCCCGGATCAGCTCTTGCTCCGGGCTGACAGATCGCTGCACAGCCTGGTTGCGACGTGTCTCGGAGGAACTGGGGGAGCGCCGAGCGGGCTGTGTGGGCGTTGGCGATTGGTAGTCGGGCGGGGAGGTCGAGAGGGACGCCAGCTCGGGCTCGAACACCACCTCGAATCGCCGCAGTAGCTCCGCTTGGGTAGCTTGCTGGGCAGGGCGCTGGTACAGGGACAACGCATGCTTGATTGCCAAGGCGTGGTCAATGAGAGCAACAGCAAGTGCATTCTCCATCGGATCCAAGGTCTCGGGTAGCTCTTCCTCTTCGTCTTCCTCCTGCTCCACATCCTCTGCCGTCTCATCGGGTGTCTCTTTCGTGCCTTGGGCACCACCCAGGAACCCACGGTACAGGGCAACGCAATTAGATGATGGGCCTCGGAGCTCGAGCAACTGCTCCAATGCTTCGGTTAGGTTTGACAAGCCATTGTCTTCTCCCGAGGCAGCTCGGCGCTCCAAGATGTGCAGCTCTTGTGTCTTGCGCCATGTACGCTCGATGGAGGTCTGCAGCGGAGACAAAGCGATTTCTTGAGCTGAAACAATCTCGCTTCGACGGAGGATGTTAGGGAATTGCTCAGCGACAGTAAAGATAAGCTTTTCAACATATTGCTCGCGGACGTCTGTGCTGTTGGTATGCCTCCGCGATGTAGCAGAGAAGCGAGACGGATCCGAGATGAGCAAATGCTCCCGGACAGAATAAGGTACCTTGGACCGCTGGTAGACAGGGTGAGAAACATCTCGATGGGTAGTGACCCCGCTGATCTGGAGAAATTGGCCCTCGTAGTCAGGAATCTCCCCAGAAGACATGATCTGGGCAGTTGGGTGCTCGCGCTGCATCCGATCCACAAAAGATGCCATACGCTCTGTGGGTGATCCCTCAAAAATGAACTCCTTATCACGCAGGCTGGCAGGGAAACCAAGACCCTTGTAGACCACTCGGAAGTACCGAGGGAATTGCTTGTCGCCCTTAGCAACAAAGTCATAGATGCGAGCCATACTACTCTGGGCTCGAGACAGCTTGGCAAAGTCCATCGTCGTACTTTCATAGTGCGCAACGAGTTCTTTGTAGCAAGCCAGAGCAGGTGCCCAAGCCATTGCATTCTCAAAGTGTTGGATTATCGAGAAATACAACGACTCCTTTCGGTCGAATGCGGTCTGCGCGGGGAATGATGGTGTCATCAATTCAGGCAGAGGTTTATTGAGATCCCATTCATAGAGATCGGCGTGGAACTGGAGAGCGAGGCCGGCCTCGGTGAAGTTACCGGAGGCGGCTTGGTGGTCGGCAAGCTCGTGGACGTAACGAATGAAGATATCTTCCCGGCCCATGTCTTTCATATACTCCATAAGCTTCAGCGCATGCAAGCTCTGGGTCGAAGTACCACTCTGAGAGGCAACCAAGAGATCAAGAAGTTCATCCACTGTACCGATGAGACCCTTAACCGCATTGAAAAGATCCTCGTCTGACTTTGCGTCTCCCTCGAAGAGCTCCAGCAACTCGGTGATGAAGATCTTCTGGCTCACACTTTCACTCATATGCTTGGACTTGAAGAGAGTGTCGAGACTGGAAATGATCTCGGTCTCAATGATCGAGATGTCTTCGTTGAGATCCCACTCGCTAAGAATCATTGTCCGCAGAATGTGAACTGCAACATGGCGCAGGCCTTCATGGACACTAAGGCAGAGGCCAATAATCGGAGGCACCAGGTTCGGAACATACTGAACTTGGTATCCACCCAGCTTTTTGAGATTGAAGCGTTCTCTTTCCTCGTCAGTGGTGTCCCAGCCAATGGCTTCCCATGTTGAGTGCAATAGATCGGCTCCTTGCTCACGAACATCACCAGCAATCTTCCAGACAGCCCGTCGCTTCTGCTCAGGGAAGGTTTCAAGGGCGAGTGCATCGCTGGAGATGACTTTGAGTAACGTGGTGAAGAAACATTCCCAGAGCTTCGTGTCGAATGTATCGGCATCGTCAGCGTCTGGGAGCAATCTTTCAATAAGGAGCAACGCAATATGCTCAAGGCCCTTGATAGCTGCACGATGATTATAGACATGTATACTAAACCAGCTTTCCGGGTAGGCTTCGCAGTCAATAATAGAGTTGTGGGCCTCAAGAGCCTGGCCGACGAACGTGGCAAGCTCTAGTTCTTTTAGATTAGGCATCTTGGGAGATACGATCTTGGCTAGGGCACCCATGATGGCGGAAAGCTCCACCAGCGATTCATCGAACCTCTGCGGTGTCTTGGACAACTTGACCTGGAAGGGGAAGGACTTGCTGAAGAGAAGGGAAAGATATTCTGTCTCCTCAACACCCTCCGTGGAAATAGCACAGTATGAAGCGACAATGCTTGGCATAAAGTAGTACAATTGGGGATCAGGCTGGCTGAGCAACTGGGCTACAATTGCACTGCTGAGCCGAACCTGGTCGCGGTACTGGTCAGATACGCTGGCAGTGGAGCCCCAGTACGGAGCCAACCAGCCAATGCAGCTGGAAATAAGAGTTTGCCGCTCCTCACCGGAAGCGAATATCTCAAACTGGGTATAACTTTGAATGAGCACCAATTTATAGAGGACGAGCATGCCTGTCACGTCCTTGCATGAATCCATGAAACTCAACGCAATCATAATCATTTCATCACGGCCAAGCACCTTTGAAAGCTCGGGGAGCCATGTATGGAAGTGCTGGACAATAAGAGTCTTACTGCCCACCAAGGACGGGGAGGTATTCTTCATCAGGGCTTCCATGGACTTGAAGATGGTATGCAGGTCTCGGTTGAAGGTTGACTGAACTGTGGTAATCCCAATACCTTCTTCCTTTGCTTTCTGCTGTTCACGAGCATTGATAATGAATTTCAGCAGATGACGTCCAACTTTGAAGGCAGCGCGAAGGTTTCGTGATTGCTGCGAATCAGTTGGATTGATCAAAAGCCGGAGGTAGCTGCGGATCAGGCACGGCGTGACGAATGGGAAATTGAATTGCGCGTCGGCGTAATGGTCAACCAGGGGGCCCAAGTTGAATCGTCGGTCATGAGTAATGCCTAGGACGGTAACCAAGTTTTTGAAAATCAGATCCTCATATTCTTCATTGCCAGCGTTCTCAACCAAGATTCCAAATAGTGAATCAAAGACACCACGGAGTTGTTTGACAATTTCGATCTCAGGAACGAAAAGCACACGCTTGAGTGTGTCAAGCACTTCCTCAATAGGACGTTCTTTCCAGTTAAGAAGACTCAAGATAACTTGGTCCTGAGAGTACTCCGTGCTGCAAAGGTGAGTCTCAAGACGAAGAGTAGCCAACGGCCCAGTTACAGCCTCATCCTTGGCTGACTCATTCTTTCCAAGAGCACTCCATGGAAGACTCAAGTAAGCACCCTTGCCGTTCTCAATACTCGATGTCAGCTTGTCATACGCATGGAGCAGGAGCGAATGCTGCCCATCACGAATGAAGGCCTGTTGGTCCCAAAGTGGCATCCAGGCGAGTGCAAAGGGGAACTCTGGTGCATCCGCAACGCTCATGATAATGTGGGAGCCTGGAATTTTCTCGGTAGGGATATTGAGCCGAATAGTCTGATACCAAGGCGAGCCTCGCTTGGCAATTGTTGTCCGCCAAGCGGTATGTGAAGTAGGGGCGGAGGACGGGAAAACACACTTGTCTACCCGAGCACCAGAAGCGTCCCGAACTTCCAATGTAAGTTGGAGATTTTTGAGTCCAATGGTAGACTGTAACGGAATCTGGCCTGCAGATGGATGGGAAAGGAGCGCATCCGTTGGGAATACAGCTTGTGAGAGCGTAACATAAATATCGGATCTCGGTTTGGTAGGCGCCTTTGAGAAGCCAATGCGCCGTGTCTGAATAACATCATGAAGAATTGTAGGGTTTTCGCGCACAAGGGTCTCGGGGTCAATGCTGGTGAAGGGATGCAGATGAAGATGCAGACGTGCAGTATCGGCACGCACGTACCGGCCATTGTGACTTGGTAAGAGTGTATGAAGCAGCTTTTCAAACCCATCAGCGTGGCCTTCGCCCTCTTCTCCTTCGTGAGGAGGCGACCAGATATCAATGATTTGTTCCGCATCTCGATCTTGACGGAGAATCGGAGAAACTTCCAAGATGCCTATGCCGATGGTGCGAATGGCGGATGACTCCTTTGCCGAAGTAGGCTTTGTAGAGGGTTGCTCCTTGGCATTAGACGAACTGCTCGAAGCACGCGGGACACCCGGGGTTGCAGGCTTAGGTGTTTGATCTAGGCTTGGTGAACCGCGAGTCTTAGGGGTCCACATCATGCTGCGCCGTGTCCGGAGACTGCCTTTCACTGATGGTTGAATTCCCCCAGCTCCAGCCGTTTTGGGAGAAGCTGGGCCTTCTCGAGAAATTGATGGTCTTGAATTGGGATCTGCATCAGCCGCGGAGCGCGTTTCAGAGGTACGAACCGAGGCCACCACATAAAGTTGGCGGCCATTTGAGGAGCCATCGCCAATATCGGTGGCGGCAAGGTCGGTAAAAAGTGTCTTTAACTTGTTGCTCTGCGTCAAGCTCACAAACTTATCGGGTGATGGAATGTCCAAAATGTATGTTTCTGAGAGAGGATTGAATGCGCCAGCGTCAGAGCGGGAAAATAGCTGAATACCAATAGATACCGGGCCAGGGACATTTCCTGACACCGCATTGATCTCCAGTAGCAGGTGGTGCAGCGCAGTCGTGTCCGAGTGCACCGTGGGGCGAGTATCCAGCATGCTCATCTCAGATTGCAGCTTGGCGAGTTGAATAGCGGAGTCGTCACCGGTCAATAATCGGCCTCTTTGCTCCGGATCCCGCACAATTACATCTCCACTAAGCATTTTATTGGCTTTCACAAGCTTCCATACCGTCTCATCCCGCAGAGCTTCCTTCTCTTTGCCTGTCAGGACATTGTGAAGCAATTGGCGTCGAGCAAAATCGAGTTCCTGTACAATTGTAGACATTTTCTCCAGCACATCATACTGACGGGCCAGGAGTAGTTCGTGAAGATTTGTCGAGTGCCATTCGCGAAGGCAGGAAGCAATTTCATCCACCAATGGCTCGGTCAGCGACGTCGGGGTCTCATCGCCCACCTTGAGCATGGGCACCGGAGCGGCAGGTTTTGGCGCATCCGGATCGCGTGGAGCGATGGTCACCGGCGTATGTGGAATCGAATTGGTTCGGAGGGTGTGGGCGGATTGCGGGCTCGCCATGTCTCGGTCGTCAGTCTTTTGAATCATGATCTGTGCCGGTTTGCCTTTCTTTGCAACCACCACATCCGACACCTCCCCACCAACTTGGGACTCCGATACCGAGTAGGCGACGCTGTGCCGTGACACATAGTCGGTGTCTTGTCCCACCAGGGTCAGGCGATCGATACTTTTGCGATCGCCATTGAGCAATGCTTTGTAGCCCTCGCCGTCGCCCAGTACCTCGCGAATCTCGACGCAGTTCCGCGGGAAGATTCCCGAGAAGACACGGGCCTCGAGGGTCTGACCCTTGGTACTAGTCAACCCGGCCAGCAATGAGGGTGGCGCAACCAGATATCCGCGACACCACTCACCATCCAAGCCACCTTGTTCAATTATGTACAGTTCATCGCCGAGTTCGAGGGGGAGGTCCGCCGGGGAAGAAGGGTGGAACGGGTAGATGGCCACCGCAAAGGCAATGCGAGGCAGCGGCCGCCAGGGCATGGCTAGCGACGGCAAGCTCTGGTTCCCGTCGCGGAATGGAGACAGAGGCCACGAATTGACGATCTGTCACTCCCCGCAAGCTATGCCGATGGGAGGGAGCGTCCGATCGCGCGAATGTTGAAAGGCAAGGGGAGGCAGGGATTCACGGGGAATGTTCGCTCTGGTCAATGGAAGGCGGCATGCAGTGGAGATTCCAGGTGGTCGGGTCCGGGGAACGGAAGAAAGGAGAAGAATGTGCGATCGAAGGTATGCGACAGCTGAGAAGAGATCTAAAGAGCCATGGTTAGGAGGTGCTCGGATAGCATGGGGCAGCCGTTTGGATATCGCGGTCTTGGGGGCCAAGGAAGCCTCGTTGGGGGGGAACGAAAGAAGAGAGGAAAGCAAGGCACAGGAACACTTGTCACGATTTGCCCACCGCATCGAGACCCAGGGTCCGACGACGCGCAGAGGCGTGTATCCGTGCCCCCCCCCTTGCGAAACCTCTGTGGAGACAAACTGATCCCCCCTTTGGTGAGGAACAGTGGGGAACCAGGGGCTTAAAGAGGAGGGGAAGAGGGACTCATACAACAAAATTAATTGGGCATTGAAATCGAGTCCAGAATCTGGCGAGTCGAGACGGCGGGGAGAGCCAGCACGATATGGAGAGAAGAGAGGAAAACAAGGGGAGGTCAAAGGAACGAAAATCACCGATCTTAAGTTTCTCCCCACACCGACCGCTGGGTTGCCTTCCCGGTCTACTGGGCTACACTGGAAACACCGGGATCGGCCCAATTGACAAACCTATCGACTGTTTCAGCCGACGAGGGTAGCTACTGTCGAAGGAGTAGAGACGGGATACGGATGATACCGGGGGCAGATGTAGGAAATAATCCTCAACCTCTTCTGGGGAACGTGGGATTTGATATCGGAGGGTGACAGTGCAGCTGAAGCCCTAGCGAGTTGGGGCAGCGTTAAGTTAAATTGTTAAATTATTAAATTATTAATTATTAACTTAATAAATTTAGCCAGCGGTGGAGCATCGGCGGCCCCGATGGAGATGGACTAGTCAACTCTTGTAGGGAGCTCATGGTGGTGGACAGAGTAGAAGAGGCCCGTCGACCATGTATTCCGCCGCTTTTCAGGGTATGCTTTCGAGCTCAACGCGAGCCATTGGGAACCAGGGCGAACGCCAAAGCCCGTGACTCCGATTTGAGGACACTCTCCGGGCGTCGCGATCTCGAAGCACAGACCAGAGCGTGCCCCTGAACGTGTGGAAAGTAAAATGAGGCCTCGAACCAGTGGGCCGGGCTGGTCGAGTGCGCCAATCACGACGAACGGACCGGGGGCAGATCATGGATACACGCCGAAACTAGAGAGACAGGCAAACGAAAGGGACCAGGCACGGTCATAGAAGCTCCTGCTTTGTGTAGGAAGATCAACCCGCAGTCGAACGGGAGAGAATGTTATGAGAGGTACAGAAAGAGAGGCGCCGGGAGTATACAGATCTACAGAGTTCGTAATCGAGAAAGTGAGGGAATATAGAGGGATGCATGCGTATATATGACAACTCATGAACCAACCCGGTAAGTTTCAAGAACAATTAAGGAACCAGAACACCCTCAAGACGCCCGGCTGATGACCCAAACCCTCCAGGAACACCCCGACATGGTGAAGAAGAACATCCATGGGGCGGAAGGATAAGAGAAGGAGGTGGCAGGGGGGAGAGCAGTTGAAGGGAATCCTCCGCGATCAAGAGATCAACAGGATCAATCATGAACAGGGAAGAAGAGCAGAGGGAAGAAGAGCAGAGGGAAGAAGAAGAAGAAAGAAGAAGAAGAAGAAGAAGAAGAAGAAAAGAAGAGAGTAGCACAAGATCCAGGCCATATTCACCTCATTTGCGGAACATGGTGACGGCATCTTCCTTGCGCCATTCCATCTCCAATTGCCCTTCATACACCGTATCGATGATCCGGCGCGCCCGGTCCCACGCATCCTCGTAACGGTTCTCACACTCCCGCAGAACCTTCAGCACCAGGCTGCGACTGAGACCAGGGTCATCCGCATCGCCGAAATGCTTCTCCACCCGCTTCTTCAGCATCTCAACCCCGCGCTTGATCTCCTTGGCGTCATACGAGGACAAGACCTTCTTCGCCACCATGCGTGAGTGGCTGGCGCGAGTCGCAATTTCGGTCACATTGCCGTTGGCTTCCAGGTTCTCGACAGACTGGATAAAGTCCAACAGTTTGCCCAGAGGTCGGTGGATGACTGCGTCTAGGTACAGTTTCATGTGTTCATCAAAGTCTTGACGAGCTCGGTCGGCCCAACGCTCGAGGACCGGAAGACTGTGCACATCAACCTCCTCGACATAGTGGTTCATGTTCTCAATCAGCAGAATGTGGTAATTGAGCACCTCCTTGTCTTCGGGGTCGCCCGCGCTAGCGGCCACCCCAGGTGGTTGTCCGGGGGCTTCCTTGGCAATGAATTTGAGCGACTCCCACATAGCTCGATTGATGCGGTCATATGCGTCATTAACACTTTGTCGGATGTCGCAGAGTTCGGCAGGCGGTTGAGCCAGCATATTCTCGACGGCCGTGGAGAAGTGTGGGAACACTCTCATGAAGGAAATTACTCCCTTTCGCTTGTTGACCTTCACTTTAGTATCCTCGATGCCGCGGATCTGCTCATCCACGAATCGATTGAATAGACCCATCAGACGGGAGTGAACCTTTTGCAAGGAGTGGATGATGAATTCTTGGTTGGTATCATCAAGATTGACCATTGCAGATTCCAACCCAAAGAGAATACCGATTCCTTGCCTACAATAAGGTATTAGCACTTGTCGGATATAAAGAGATTATGTCACCGAAAAATGGGCATGGTCACTTACATCGGATCGGCCTGGACAGCCCAGTCTACCATACTTTGCAAATCATTAGGCCAGAAAGAATAAACCTCGTCCATGATCTGCTCTACCCGCTTCGCCATCTGGCGATCGGGGTCATGCGGCTGTTTTGTAGAGAAGTCGGGGCATTGGCGATCCTCCGGAGTAGCGGAGACCACCAAGTCCGAGAATTCGCTGGTGGCAAGCGAGTCCAGGTGGAAAAATTGAATCACAAAATTTTGCTCCTCAGTGATCATGTTCAAGGTCTCGCGCAAAGTCCCGACAAAGGCTTCGAACGGCTCAACCTTACTGGTGGGTTTCTTTTCACTGGAGCCCAAGCGAAGACCAGCTGCGGCTCGGACTGTCTTACCACGTCGAACTGTGAGCTTGCGGGCGGCCATGGTGATGCCTTCGCCTTCCTTTTCCTTTTCTTGACTGGTGAAAAGGAGTTCCTGCTCATCGCCAGTAGGCTTACGGGCGGTCTTCTTCCAAGCCTGGGAGTTGTCTCGGAACTCACTCTGGTAAGATGGCTTGGATTGTTGCTCATAGAGGTGAACAAGACCTTGCCATTCGGCAGTACTGACCTCCTTAGCGAAGAGCATCAATGGATTATATCTCCAAACCTCGGCACGGAATTGTTGTCTCACAGCGGGGTCTAGCTTCATAGGATCTCTGGGTGTGCTAGCCAAGAGATCGGCTCGCTTCTGTTCGGCCATCTTGAAAGCGAGAGCCATGAACGGCTTGAGACGTTGCAGGAATGTCAGGGCGGCAGAGCGGTACTCCTCCTTCTTTTCCTTAATAGCTCGCATCTGGCCAATTTCAGTGTTCGCATATACACCGACACTAGCATCAGCCTGGCGCTTTTTATTTTGGCCAATATCAGCATCGATCATGAGCATGGCCTTATACAGTGTCGACAGGGCAGATTCCGTGTCCTTCAATCCATCCGGGTTGCTCAGCGAGGCTTCCTTCAGTGGGCCCATTTCAGAAGGAGAAATTGAGAGGGTCTTCAAAAGGGTCTGGAGCTCATTTTGGAGCAACTTCTGGTTGGCGGTTTGCACTTGCAGACCCTGAGACTGAGCTTCGATGTAGGACACATCGTCATGGAGAGTGTTTAACTCATGTGAGTATAGGGTAAGCAGGCCATCAAGCTCCTCGCACTCTTCGATTGTCTTGTCGATGAGGACTGCCAGCTGCTCGACCTTGCCTTCTTGCTGTTCGAGGTTGCCCAGCCAGCTGGTTGCCTCGACACGACCAATCTCCCGACGAACATCTGCTTCAAGATCTTCAATCTTTTGTTCATCGCCCAGTCGACCGTTCCAGCCCAGGTCCGACAGAATATCGTCGAAATCGATTCCTCGTCCATCAAGAACCGAAGGGTCAATGCCGAGAGACTGGCAGTATTTCATAGTATGGTCTTCACGGCGCCTCCTACGACGGCCCTGCGCCGCTGGTGAAGGGCTCCGTGAGCGGCTGTCCACTTTTGTAAGTTCTGAGGGCATATCTTTCGGCCCTTCTGCAGATGGAATAGGATCCAAGGGGGTCTCATCCGTGGCAGGTTGAGTGATCTCAACGGTAGGCGCACTTGCCATCGCAGATGGAACGCTAGCCACGATTGATGGTGTAGACGTCTCTTTTTCTAGAGAATCCTCTATGGAGTCTTTCGGTGTGTCCGTAGTAGATCGGGACGGTGCAGGGACAACCTCGGTTATACCATCAGGACCTTCTTCGTCTGCTTTCTGTTTCTTTGCTGCTGCCAATAGACGCTCGCCAGCCCCACCAGGGCGAGGCTTGAAAGCACCATAGGCATTGGCAGCCTTCCGAAAAGCGCCGGCGATGTCTTTGCCTGATTTCTTTTTAATCATGGGACCAAGTCCCGGTCTGTGCGCACCTGTAGCTTCTTCTGCAGCCCCCGTTGTATCAGACGAGGGGGTAGTTGGGGATAATTCCTTTGGAGTATCAGCAGTGGCTTTCGGTGGCTCTTCAGCTGGTACCACTGCGGCAGCTATTTCTGGTTCCACAAGAGGTGGTGCGGATGGGCTTTCTGTCTCTTGGGGAGAAATTTGTTTCGGTGCATCGCGTATTACAACAGGAGATATTGGATCTGGAGCAGAATTCTCCTGGGTCGGCGTCGGTACAGTGTCGCGGCCATCACGATACGGAGATTTTGGACTCGGACCAATGCTGCTTCCAGGGCTTGTTGGCTTGCTGATAGTTAGGGAAGCCGGAGTAGTGGGACGCAGTCCGTCCGTACTGCGCTTTGTTTCCAGGGATCTGGCATCAGCTGGCTGGGTTGTGAGGGTTGGGGGAGGTTTGGGGCCCCTGCCGTCACGCGACGATGGCGGTCTGGGATCTTCTTGGGCGCTAGCCTGGTTGTCTTCTTCGCCAACGTTGAGAAAGGTAGTAGGTGACGGAACAGCAGGGGGTGGATGCTGGGGTGGTGCAAACGGTGAAGGAGCAGGCCGAGATCCGGTAGACGGGCGGCTCATCTGTTCACGACTCTTCTGAGATCGAAGGACCGGACCTTCAGATGGCTTGGGTCGGGCATCTCGGGATCGATCACGGCTTTTCTCACGGTCACGGTCAACGTATGGTGATTGCTGTTGTGCCTGGGAAGGCGACACCCCATCGGCCGACGACCCAGGTCCACCCCGAGATCCTGGCGGTGCCGGTGCTGAAGGCCCAGTAGGTCCCACTGGCCCACCCCCGACAAGTAGTTGCAATTCTCTATCCTCAAACCCAGTCAGATCCGGTACCTTTCCTCCGGTGTACTTTTTGTAGATTTTGACCAGACTACCAATGAAGAACTCCTTTTCCTTGGAGCTCCGAGCATGCCAATAGTAAGGTTTCCCAACTGTGACCACAAAACCAACTGTATTTGCCCACTCTTTTTGCTGTTGTTCGGCTTGTGTTTTGGGCACGAAAGCGCTATATGATTGGATCGCGGAAAGGTCATCCAGCATCCAGGTTTTGCCAATTGAAAAAGACCCATCGCTATTCTCACGAGCTTTGTGCATCCGGACTCGGCCTGACCTTCGGACTGAGACAATAATGACACGGGGTTTCTTATTTTCGGGTGCCGAGCTCGGTGGGGCAGGGGTGGAGGGATACGCTGCATCTTCCGTGATGCGAACATGAGTGATATAGGATTCGACCACTAGTAACGCAGAACGAGTTAGCAAGAACGGTTTTGAATATCGTTACTTGTCTCCCGGCAAAGTCGCAAAGTGCATATGCAAAAGGGCTGATCTGAATCTCCCATAAATGACAGTTCGTACAAGGATTGCCATTTCTTTCCCCCAGGAGACAGTAGTGGTGGAAGAGAGCTTTTCCCTGCGAGGGCGCAAAGAGATGAATCGGTTTCCCACTTACAAGTTCCATCGCTATCCGTTTTAGAGTAGCAGCTTTGAACGATACGTTTCTTCTCGTCTTCAAACTTCTCGGCTCTTGACATAGCAGAGGCATCCCCGGAGCCATTGCGAGACTCGCCTCCGCGGCGCGCATCGCCCGGTGGGGGTGGACGAGGACGGTCACGGCCATTCATTATGGCGTCTCTTACCAGATGGTCCACGCCAAAAATCGTTCGTTGACTCCGTAAGATCAGGAGGACATTGTCAGGATATCGAGGTCAGGTGGAGGGCCTATACCCGCGCGTCCGGCACCGAAAGCCAGATTGCAAATGTTTGCCCACTTGCAAGGCAGTCACAGCTATCAAGCCCAGGTCAATTTATTGCAATGGGATGGCGCGTTCAATGCAATGCCGAGGGGGAGGGAAGTCGGAGGTTAATGAGCTCATTAGCTCTGTTTGGGGATCCGGGCAAGGCGGAGAGGGTCCTCCTCGTGGGAGCGGGTAATTGGGTTGATCCGGCTGTAACCACCGTTCAGTATGTAAATGACCGGCCCCTACACAATCACCTGTAAATTCGATCAAGAAGTCACGGCACAAAGGTCCTGTCAACTAATTTTCTCCGATTTGTCTTAATTCCGGATCCATCCCACTTCGCCATACATCCAAGCATTTCACGCATCAAGTAATAGGACAAGTCACGTGAAAGTGAGCGGCGACTGTATGCAACACTGGTCTCGCCAATCAAGCGTTGATCATCTTCACCGCCCTGTCACTATACTTTTTTTTTCTTTCCTTTTCTGTTCCTGAAAGGCAACTTTAAACACACTTGAATTTGCACCCCACGCTCTTTTCTCCAAGTCCTTCTTTCCAGTTTTTGCAGCTCGAATTTTGGCGACTGATTTTACTGCATCCATGGCCTCTACCAAGAAGGCTGTGGCCAAGAAGGTAAGTCCAAAATGGCATACCCCAAAACACCCCGTACTCGACACTCACTGAACAATTTTTTTGACAGGCAAAGTCCTCTACGAGCAATTCCGATGTTCCTCCTCAACTTATCACGGCTGTTGCCTCATTCCTCTCCGATAATGGCTTTTCTGCTGCCAGCGAGGCTCTCACAAAGGAGTTGAAGAAGGCTGGTAAAGCCCAGGCTGATGCTGCTAACACTCCGTCCCTGTTGGAACTCTTTCAGACTTGGGAGAAGACCGCTAAAACATCGGGCTCTTCTGAATCCAGCTCGGACTCCGACAGTGACTCCAGTGACTCCGACATTGACTCCGACAGTGATTCCGACAGTGATTCCGACAGTGATTCCGACAGTGACTCGGATGTCGATATGGAAGATGCTCCCAAAACGAACGCTCGTGCCTCGTCCTCTTCGTCATCATCGTCATCCTCTTCTTCGTCTTCATCTTCCTCTAGCTCTGACAGCGATTCGGATGATGAGGAGGATAGCGTTGCACCTCCTGTCACGAAGCCCGCTGGTGTGAAGCGCAAAGCCGAGTCCAGTGACTCATCTTCGTCTGAATCCGACTCGGACTCGGACTCTGATGACTCCTCATCTGAAGATGATGCCCCTCCTAAGGCCAAGAAGGCCAAGGTCTCCAAGTCCGAGTCCTCTTCTGAGGACTCCAGCTCTTCTAGCTCGGACTCCGATTCTTCATCAGACTCCTCTGATTCTGAGGAGGAGTCTGCCAAGAAGACGGATGCAAAGGCTCTGAAGAAGGCCGTTAAGACTCCTCTTCCTGAGTCCTCAAGCTCTGGCAGCTCGAGCTCTTCGTCTGACGATAGCTCCGACGACGAGAACGCTGGCGGTGTTGTCATTGAACCCGTGTCATCTGCTTCCAGCGCCACTGTCTCTGCCTCATCCGCCTCTCCTGTATCTGAGGGCAAGCCTCAACAGAGCTCTTCGTCCAACGCTAGTCCTGCTCCGGGTCAAGGTCCCGTCAAGAAGAAGCATGTCGGGGCTCGCCCCACTCCTCTTGCAGAGCTGAGCATGCAGCCTTTTGATGGGCCAACTAACGATTATGTCTCGTATGCTTATGCTGATCGTGCCTATAAGGATCTTTCGGTCACTCGTGGCAAGGGATTCACCAAGGAAAAGAACAAGAAGAAGCGCGGCTCGTACCGCGGTGGCCCCATCGATATCTCGGGCGGCAAGTCCTTCAAGTTCGACGACTAGACGCCATACCTCCCTTTTCTCACGCCCGATGTATCAGTTACTTTTTCTCCTTCTGATGATCTGGATACCAATAGAGGCGACATGAGTCTTCTTACCTATTTTTTTCCTTTTGATACACATTGCTTTTAGGGGGGGAGCCCAGGGGACTTCCATGCTGAGTCAGGTTGCGGGGATTGGAGGCTTCATGCTCCCTGTGCAACGATGGCGTTCACCGTTGGCTGTACCTGGGTCATTTTGTCTCTTTTTTTGCAGTCGGTAACCCCTTTTTACCCAGCATGGCGCTTACGGAGCTATGGAGGATTATCATCCTATGATTCGCTTTTTATTTTAAGACAAAAAATTTGTTTGCTTCTGTCACAATACGATCCAAAAGTTATTTAGCTTTTTTTATTTCTCTCAATCTGTACCTTGTAGCTGGAAAGAAAGGTTTGCCCGCTGCTAGTAGATATAAACCTCTATATACGAAAATTATAGGATGACTGTTAGTTACTATCATATGATTATATCATGAGCTTAGCTTAGCTCAAGCATCAGTCTCTTCTGTCGGAGAATTGACTCTTCAACTTTTGAGGTATCTATTTTCGTTACTGATGGTGTGACCTATGTATAACTGTCTACAATTATGGGGACAGATGGCTAACCATCCTGCCGTCGCCAAGCACCAAGCTTTTCGAGAGCCTCCCACCTTCGATCCCAGCCAGACTCGGCATCACTATGGTCATTTTCAGGCGATACGTGCCAGAAATTATGTTGCTTTCTCAATTTCGAGGTGGTAGTCAAATCATCTGGGTGCGGACGCTCATAGCCTGCCACTTTAAACGCAACCTCGTCCCCAACAGGTACCGACGGCTGCTCTCTATTCGTACCCAGATCAATTCTCAAATCCAGGTTATGATCAAACCATTCTTTCGACGGTCCAGTCAGATCATCTGTCGATGCAAAATCAAGACGAACAAGACCGCCTGCAACTCCAGTGTATACAGTTGGCGAAGAAGGTGAGGGGGTAGACATGCTGTAGATCGGTCCGCGATACGGGTACGCGGCTCGTCTGATGGGGCGAGAAGTGATGTGACGGTTGAAATGGGGAGGTGGCTGTGCGGATAGGAATATATTGAAATCTTTGCCAGGATATTGGCATCTATTCCCCTTAACAGGCACATTGTTGGGTACTGTTTTGCGAGGTCCCTGAGCATCCAGGTAGCTATATGTGGTGCATCGGAGATCGAAGAGTTTCACTAAAGCGTTGCCTCCCGAACCAGCAAGGAACCTGTCTTGACTAAAGGATTGCAAGCTGTAGATCGGGTGATCATCTGTACCATCCCGGTAAATTGTTTCGTAGCTACGAGGAGACCGGAGATCGTGAAGTCTGACAACGATAGGTTCATCAGCCTGCGCTCAACATGTAGAGCTAAATCAATGGTTAGAACAAGAAAGCTTACCGCACTTTGCGGTCCCCCCATGCGGCAAGGAAAACATCGCCAGGATTGCCGACAAACGGACTGTTGTTAAGCGGCTCCATCGCAGTGACTACCTGGGAATGATATCGGGCCAGCTTCGTATCCATGTCCAGATCATGCATATCAATTGTTCGCTCAATAGAAATGCCGTTCGATGATATTCTCGAGATGATCACGGGATCTGTTATTTGATGGGTAGCTATAGCAATCCGTGATGATGATAATAGTTTCGAATGTCGACCGCGCGTGGGCTTCTCCGGGTGAAGCCACGTAAAGGGCAGGATATCATCCTCGTCAGTAGAAGCGTGATAAAGTGCAGTGGATCCGTTGAGAAAATTTGCAGAGAGTAATGACTGCATTCCATCCTGCCTGAGGTCGGTGCTGAGGAGCTCCAGTCCTTCCGTCCGAAAGGTTTTGATATCATGATAAGTGGCGCTCCGCGGCGAGAGAGCAATATGACGAATATCCCCCTGCCTTCGGCCGAAAATCACATCCTCAGTATCAACGCCTTTGCTACTGGAGTCTGTTTTGAGCAAATGCAAGCCAATGATATCATCACGGCTGTTGGGCTCATCCACATCGTTGAATAAAACCCAGCAATCCTGCGACTTTCTTCCAGACTGACGACTGCGCAGCAACAGCTTCTCTCCGGCACCCCAGGCGAGTACTTCCTTTCTTTCAGCCCAAGAATTGCCATTCCAGATCTCATAGGAGTCAATGGGAGGACAATATCCTATGGTCGGATTATACAGCCGGGCATCCTCTTGGATCCCAATTCGGGTTATGGTCTCCGGCAACACGATGAACCGGCCAATAATGCCCAGTCTATCCAAGGCTCGCGACCTAGAGGTGAGAGCCCGAGCAGCATCCTTCCAATATGGTGTTGTGTTGATGGAAGGAAATTTGGCTTGGACGAACTTTCGGAAAAGCCATGATTCTTCCGCTCGGATGATTTTGTATATTCGATGACAGGCTTGGGCTAAACGGGTCACTCCACTTGCTGTTGGGAGATGCAAGGCAATGTTGCAAATTATTTCTGAAGGAAGTTCGGATAGCAACATCTTGCCGAGGTTCGTTGACCTTCCCCGGTCTGATTCGACTTGTAGGGATTGATGATCATGCTTGTGTGGGTTTACCAGCTAACATTGGAGCCGCACCTCCGCGGGCATACTTGTCCGCAAACAATTATCCTCAATCAAGGAGTTTATGTCAGGGCAGGTAACGGGAAATGAGAAAGCTTGACCATACTCGGGTAAATACGAAATCTTGATTTTTACTCCAAAGCTCTATCATAGTAACCCAAAGCCCGCAGGCCAATATGGAGTTTACATCATCCTGCGGCGATGTGGTGACTAAGCAAATCCGGAAAATTGCAGACCTCAGCCCTTCGGGTCTCCTTCGACCTCGAAATCTCAATCGTAACCCCATACCAGTGCTCCAGGGGTATCTGACAACATAATGCCTCCCCGGATCAATATCTTCTCGGCTAGCAAGGCGGCTTCCGCTTTGCGCCTGTCCGCCGCTGCCTCCCGCACGCAGCAGGGAGTTGCTCTTCCTCTCCGAATCCGCGCCGAACAGTCGGTCTCGGTCCAGAAAAGATGGAACTCGTCGCAAAGCAACAAGAAGGGACTTTCTCCTGAGGAACAGAAGTTTCCTACTCAGGATATGCTTCCACATGTGGGAGAGGAGGCCGCTGAGATGGATCGAATCATGAACAAGGAAAAGAGCTGTGACGGGCAGCCGTCAAGTCCGGAGTTAGAACAGGGAAGCCCGGTCTCTGAGGTGAGTAGCATTCATGGCATCCTTGCTCTGTTACCTCTATCGGGAATGTGCAACTAACTTCTTCTCGAATAGATTCTTCAGCGCGATCAAGAAGGTTTGAAACACATGCCTAAGGTCATGCAGGATCAATTCAAGAAAGCCGCCAAGGGCTCTCGCTCCTTCTCAACTTCGGCCCGCAACAGTATGCCGGAGGCACAGAATATCGATAACCATGATGCGTCGGCTGCGCTGCTTGCCGGTATGATTGAGCAGGTGAATGAACAGGCCCTGGCGCAGAACCCGGGGTTGAAGTTCGACGCTCCCGAACTGCCTTCTCAAATAAAGACATTCAACTTCCGGAAACGCTACGACTCGATGCAGGAGCAGTTCACAAAAATGCTCATGCAGGATGGAAAGCTGGCTCGCGCGCAAAAGGTGAGTCGATATCAATTCAACAATCGTCGCTTTGCAGGATTGCAGGATACTTTCAGAGCTTTGTTTGGATTGACTTGACCCTTCTAGAACATGTCCATTATTCTTGACCATCTTCGCACTTCACCTGCTCCTAACCCTAACCCTCGCCGTCCTCTCCTGGGTGGTCCTCCCGCTCCTCAGCTGCCGCTCGACCCCGTCCTCTACCTCACTTTGATTGTCGATTCCGTGGCTCCTCTCTTCCGTATTCGCCAACAGAAGGGTATTGCCGGTGGTGGTACTGCCGTGCAGGTTCCTCATCCGCTCAATCTGCGCCAGCGCCGTCGTGCGGCCATTAAGTGGATTCTTGATGCATCGGAAAAACGACGTGACGCGCAGCTGGCGCACCGTGTTGCGAACGAACTGGTGGCCGTTGCCGAAGGCCGAAGTGGTGTGTGGGATCGGAGAGATCAGCAGCATAAGATTGGTATTTCGGGTCGTGCGAACTTGGGACTTGCTCCTCGTCGCCGGTAGTTCGATCGGGCCTATACTTTTCTTTTCTCTACTGCTGCCTTCTGTATGGGTGAAGGAGGAGGGGTTTTGCGTTCACGGTTTCTGAGCATTCTTTTCAGCATCTTGTATATGTAGTATAGTATCTAGTTTTGTCATATGGATTCGAATCCTGGTTTCCTTCCGACTTTCTTCTCGAATTTTTCACTTCCCAACTACATCTTGACTTTTACGAGAGAAGAAATAGCTTTTCATCATTTCCTTGTCTATCCCATCGAGCTTGAATTTATACCTGGCTCCGCTAAACCCTGCTTGGTATAGCAAACCCGCTGATAGGCCGCGATCAGCTTACATCATCCACTCTGGAGCCATGCCCGATCGGGAGAGCAACGTTCCTGAAGTCATCGCGAATCGACATATCCTTGAGGTTGCTTGACAGGGAAAATACTTGCTCGTCTCCGCTCGTGTCTCGGAGAATAACGAGGAGAGAGCTTCAAATATAGTGTCAATCAGCTGCGCGTCGTCCAGTTCCAGCCTGGCAATTAGTGCAACCCACGCAACCGGCCCCAGCTGACCAGACTTCGATCCGCTTTGCGCCCCGCAATAGCCCTCTCTCTTTTCTTCGACTGAACCCCTCATTCCTCCTCGGCGGTTGCATGTCCTTGGCCGATTCTGCTCCGGCCCCTCAACGACGGTGGCTTCTCCCCCGAATCGTGAATCCTTCGAACTCGCCGATTTCAACACAACTGGCCATAGCCCCGAAGCGAGAGCGCTTCAGACCACAGCTACTGGCACACGGCAGTCCAGACGTGCTGTTCGGCCGTTTGAGCCTGCCGCCAATTCGCGTTCATTAGCAGGACTTGGATCCGGACCAGACTTAGACTGGGAGAAGACAGCTTCGTCGGAACAACGCCCGCGAGCCCTCCGCTCCACCAGACTCAAGTTCTGGACCGAAGCCCTTGAACGGCGAGCTCGACTTTCACGTGGTCCGCAGGCTGACGGCGATCAAGGGACTGCCGCCAAAATGAAGTTCTCGCACAGCATTCAGTTTAATGCCGTGCCTGACTGGAGCTCCAATTACATTGCATACAGTAATCTCAAGAAACTGTAGGTCGAACCCTGTCTGTTTCCTTTTCTCGAAGTGCGGATGACATGTTTCCATATTGGGCGAAGTAAATATGGGCTCGTGGATATAGCTCGAGATGCAACTTCGCGCGGGTGTCACATTGCACAAAAATCTAGGGTGGAATGCATGGATACCGGTACGCGGATGTCAGGTGGTTTCGTTGTGCTAATATTGTGTTTTATGACGCAGGATCTATACCCTTGAGAAACAAGTCAATCGGCCCGATGGACAAGGCGCAGCGGATGTTGAGTCCGCACCGCTGCTGGGGGACAGTCAGATTCACAATCCGGACGGGATCTTCAAACGTGCTCTTGATACAGAGCTGGATAAGATTTGTACCTTCTTTCAGCAGAAGAAGACAGATATCTTTCAACTTACCGATGAGTTATTGCGGGACTCGTCGCTGTATCTGTCGGAAACAGATGGGGTCAACATGGACCCGGTCAGTGAAACCGTTATCAAGGCTAGAACCCTGAGCTCTGGTTCGCGTCGGGGTACAGGCAGCGTCCTTCAAAGTTTTGGGATTGGTCAACGCCGACGGTCCAGTGTCATGAGCGAGGAGGACGCAGATAGCGATGATGGACAGTCTCCTCCACGGTGCTCAATTTGCGTCACCGAGCGATGCAGTCGACGGATGGAGAGTCTACAACTGACGACCCTCATCCCGGTGACATGGCGGACTCCGCTTTTTTCGGACAGTCTAGCAGTCGAGGCCCACAAAATTCCGATCTGAGTGACCAAACATTCCTTGATCTCTACAATGCGGGCGTATCACTAAAGAAACGTCTTATCGAAGCCTACGTTTCTCTCTGCGAACTGCGATCTTTCATTGAGCTCAACAAGACCGGTTTCTCCAAGGCCTTGAAGAAATATGACAAAACGCTGTTTCGCAATTTGCGTCGGGACTACTTGAATTCTGTGGTCTACCCAGCACCGCCTTTCGCTGAGAGCACCATGGCTTCTGTAGATAGCTATATCGAAAGCGTCGAAGGTATCTATGCAGATATCGTCACCAAGGGCAATCGCGATCTGGCTAGCCGTGAGCTGCGTCTGCACTTGCGTGAACATGTCGTCTGGGAGCGCAACACAGTTTGGCGAGAGATGATTGAGATTGAGCGTCGGGCCCAAGCTGCAAACGTGGGCATTCGCCGTACCCTCCTTGGAGGCGACGAAGACCCTGCCACTGCAAGACGTCAAGGTGACAAGCAAGAGATCCGCACACAGGAGGTTTCGACCCCACTGGGTCGAATCCAATTTCCCCTCTGGCTCTGCAGTTTGAGTTTTGGGACCTTGGTTTTCAGCATCGGGGTTTTTGGTGCCCTTCTCTCGGTGCCCATTATGGATACCCCTGAACAACAGAATTGTCTTGCAATGCTTGTGCTTGTCAGCATTCTCTGGGCCACTGAGGTACGAATTTCGAGCTTTCTATATGTAAGGTGTTGTTACTTACTAATCTCTTCTGTGTGCAGGCTATTCCTCTTTTTGTGACTTCGCTTTTGATTCCCTTTTTGGTGGTTGTCTTAGGTATCATGCGATCAGAAGATAAACCTCATAAGCGACTGGGTCCTAAGGAGGCTACCGGCGTGGTTTTCTCAGCTATGTGGACCCCTGTGATTATGTTGCTTCTTGGCGGGTTTACCATCGCGGCTGCTCTGTCCAAATATGATATCGCACGGCGCATGGCCATGTTTGTGCTCAGCAAAGCGGGTTCCAAGCCCAAGATTGTTTTGTTGACCAACATGTTCGTCAGCATGTTCCTGAGCATGTGGATCAGTAATGTCGCATCTCCAGTCCTGTGCTACTCGATCATTCAGCCTCTGTTGCGAAACCTGGCCCCGGACTCGGACTTTGCCAAGGCTCTTGTCCTCGGTATAGCGCTGGCCGCCAACGTTGGTGGAGCGGCCTCCCCCATTGCGTCCCCGCAGAACATCATTGCTCTGCAGAACATGTTTCCCAGCATCAGCTGGGGCACATGGTTCTTCATCTCCTTGCCCGTGTGCATTATTTCAATCCTGATGATTTGGGGCCTCTTGCTGGCGACCTTCCACCCCGGCCGCAATGCAACCGTCATCCCCATCCGCCCCGTCAAAGACCGATTCACCGGCATTCAATACTTCATCAGTGCCGTGACTCTCGTCACCATTGTCCTCTGGTGTGCCAGCCACCAGCTCGAGCATGTCTTCGGCGATATGGGTGTCATCGCCATCATCCCTCTGGTGCTGTTTTTCGGAACCGGCATCCTCAACAAGGAGGATTTCAACAACTTCCTCTGGACCATTATCATCCTCGCCGCCGGTGGCCTTTGTCTCGGCAAAGCGGTCACATCCTCTGGCCTGCTGCACACCATTGCTGCCGGTATCACAGCGCGTGTCGAGCACCTGAGCCTTTACAGCGTGCTTCTTGTCTTTTCGGCATTGATTCTCGTCATCGCCACCTTCATCTCGCATACTGTCGCGGCCCTCATCATCCTTCCTCTTGTGCGCCAGATTGGCGTCAACATGGAGAACCCCCACCCGAATCTGTTGGTTATGGCGAGTGCCCTGATGTGTTCTGTTGCTATGGCGCTACCCACAAGCGGGTTCCCTAATATGAGTGAGTCATGCCTATCATCCAGTCCTGTCTTCTGTCAGACGAGCTCCACACTAACCAACTTTTCTTCCCTTGTCCAGCCGCCATCATGACTGAAGTGCCCCAAACCGGTCAGCGATACCTCCAGGTTCGCCATTTCCTCACCCGCGGTATTCCCTCCAGTCTGATGGCCTTCGTGGTGATTGTCACCCTCGGTTATGGATTGATGTATATCGCAGGCCTCTAGATTTGCGTAATGCTTAGGCTTGACTTTTCTTGGAGTGGAGTTAGGAGAGCGATTTACCATTTTTATCCTTTGTTGTTTTCCCCCTATAATCCATGAGTACTCCCTCGAATCGCAAGCGGAACGAGAGAGAGGTCAGAGATTCAGAACACAACGTTCAGTATAAATGAGATTGATCAGCGACTTGTGTTGTTTCTTTCTTCTTGTCACTTTTTTTGGAGCGTTCTGCTCCACCCTTTTGTTTTCTTTTTCTTTTTCTGCTTTCCTGCAACGGGTCTGTCCCTTGTACTGTTTTTTTTTTTCTCTCTTTCCTTTGCTGCACGATGACAGAATAGATTGATGGAGCAATCGATCCATCCGGGGTGTGCACATCACCTGGGTTCAAAATATAAGGTGAAAAAATAGAGGTCTGATATGAGCGCGCATCGCTGTGCCCCAACACAAGCATAAACAAACAAAAAACAAAGCAACCTTCTCAGACTGCCAAATCCAGCCCAAGTGACACTTGTACGCCCGCAAGACACAGCTGGAGTGGATAACCGACCCACCCACATACACACACACAGAGAGAGAGAGAGACATCCTGGTCAAAGTCACAGGCGCCAACGTCTTCCGGAGCAGACAACATGCCTATGATCACTTTCTACGCTTTGATTACTATTTCTGGAAACGGAAGTAGGTCCTGGAATCATCCCCATTCGCCAGAGCCCCAAGTAGTAGTGCTATTTACCACAGGCCCAGACTATTGTACTATATACACATTTGAAATAGAAGAGAGAGAGAGCAAAAATAGGCGTCACGCCTCCCGACAACACCGACCAGACACCAGGGCTGAGCCAAATCTAGGGACGTGGGCCAGCCGCAACGGAACATTGGGCAGCGGCAAGGCGGCAAAAAAATAGAAACGTCGAGAGACATTTTCAAAAAAAAAACAAACAAACAAATCAAAAGACTCAGACCAAGATCATCAGCAAAACCATGCAGCTTGCATCACCGTATCCATGAACAGTCGTCGCAGAGTTGGAAAAATATACCCCAAAAGAAGCCCCCGAGTGGAAGGAGTCCTTTGGAGGTAGATATAGATGGATCAAAAACAGAAAAACATTTCGTCTAGCCGTTACACGCGGGCGCGAATTAATTACTAAACGGTCAGTCAGTGGCACGTCACGCTAAGGCGTCATCTAATAGTTCGCGCAACCATTAAATCCGGTAGTAAATAAGGGCGTGGGACCCGGGGGGAGAGAGGAGGCATAAGGAAAGTGGGAGGAGGGAGGGTGGTGGGGGGAAGTATATATATAGAAGAAAGAAAAGAAAAAACCAAGAAAGCGAGGATACTCACAGCAGTCCCAGAGTCAAATCACCATGGATCTTCGCCTTCAGCTGGATCTCAATGTCCAGGTTCAGGTCTAACCGTAGCCGCAGCTGCTCGTCGCGGCCGCCATCGTCCTTCTCTTCTTTCTGACCTCCGCCAAGAATGCCGCCAACAGCTTTGCCGGCGGATCCCGTCACACCGTTCAGCGCATTGCCGGCCGTGTTCTGAACGAGCTGGCCGGCTTGGTCGACACCGCCCAGGCCACCGAGACTGCCGAGGGGGCTGCCGTCCTGCTGTTGCGGCTGGCGAGTCCGCCGGGTGCGTTGACGCTGCTGTGGTTGGCCGTCCATGTTGTTGTTGTTGCGGGGGATGGTCTCAATGTCGGATTCCTGATGGCGCGGAGTTGGGCGAGGACGTCGACGGCGACGATTGGTCCGGTCTTGTTCTGGCTCAGGTGCGGGCTGAGGCTCGTCGGTGCCGTTCTGCTGGTCACCGTTCTGCTGAGTCTGATCGTCTTCTTTCTGGTCGTCGTCCGAGTCGGGCTCTTGCTTGTGCGGCTCAGGCTTTTCTTGGTCTTCAGCGTCTTCGGCTTGGGGCTCTTGAGACTCTTCAGGGTCTTGTTCAGGTTCAGGACCTTTCTCCGAGGGTGGCGGGGTCTGTTCTTGCTTGGCTGGACTCTTCTTTCCCAGCTTGGGAGGGGCACGTTTGGGCTTATTGGGGGTGGAAGGGTTGGTGGTGGTGTCCGGGTTGGGAGTCGAGGGTTCCTGATCGGCCATGATGGAAAGAAAAGAGAAGGATGAGATGAGGGGATGATGGGGGAATATGAACTGATCGGATGGAGACGATTCGGGTTATGAAGGACCAAAGCGTCACCGTACGAGGGGAAGGACTGGGGGGCAAGAGGGTCCAGCTGCAGGATGGGGGGTGACGATGTAATCGGCGTGCTCAGCAGTTGCAGATGATGTATGAGGTCGGAAATAGCACGCTTGTTCAACCCTCGAATATATGATGGAGCCACTTGCGCGGCACAAAACCGGCGCGGGAGGGTCAACGGGTGTCAAGAGGGCCGCCTCCGACGTCAGATGGCAGGTATGGTTCAATCAATCAGACTGTGTGCAGGATTGATTCGTGGCTGCCACAGTGGCTTGGGGGTTCCAGGTACCGATATCGAAGGGAGCATCCCAGCAGGCTTCCAGACCCAAGTTCCAAAGTCCGGGGAGGAAAGGCCGGTATGACGTTGAGCCCAGGATCGAGACCTGGCACGGAGCGCACGGGGCCTCGATGGAGAATTGACGGATAACGTGCCCGGGGATCGTCTACATCGGACTGCCCCAAATCCCCGCTGAAGACGTACGTAAGAATAGATCGAGCCTGGCGGATGGACGTTCGTGCACTCGACAGAACAGACAGGGAATATCCCGATTGCTGCGATGAGAGATCGCAGAAGAAAAAGCCCGAGGTTGGGGGTTCCACCGGCGGGTCGGTGGGTCGGCGAATTTGGGCGGCTGCAAGGCTCCACTTTTATAAATTAAGTAGACGTCAGACCGTTTGCCAGGTTGTTGCCAGGTTGTTGCCGGGTTGGTCCTGGCCAAGTTGGTTTACAACGAGGCCCAAGACTGGCCAAATACATGACGCCATTGAACGACGTCAGGGCCTTAACGCCGAAGACATATCGAGGGTCGCCCAAAAGAATCCAGGGAGATCCCCTCGGGCCATATTCGCGGGGAAATGCGAATATTATGCCTCTCGCTCTCTCTAAATGTTTTGACGGAGACCAGTGTTCAGACTCCCTCATCTCACTATACTCGCCTCTGGGGGAGGGGGAAGGGGGTAAGAGATGCTCAATAGACGCGGGGCTATGGAACTATGGAACTATGAACCTATGGTACAATGGCACCCAGCAGCGTCAAACCATCAACCAAACAAAACAGAATTGATTTTTTCAAATAAAACAAAAAGACGAACGAATCAAGTTTAGGCGGAAGAATAATCGGAGGATATTATTTTTAGTTCTGGGGCTAGGACATTCCCCCAATCCGCGATCCGGGTGGGCTCTCGAAGGCCTGGTTCGCAGCACGAGAAAGTGGCTGTCTTCCACGGATCGAACCAGGGGCGTCCCAACCGATGTCATCAGGCAATGAGGAAAAAGTATGAACCAACACTTTGGCGTTGTTTGGCCGACTCCAATGTGCATTATGATCGGCCATGGCCAGATTATACCCCGATCGCGCATCCGCCTCGTTACATGTCCTTCCCTTCCGTGGGACAAGCCTGTCGTATGACGCGAGTGGATCCGCTTCCAGGGCCTGTCATAATGAGCGACCTGCTGCAGGAAGGGCGGATACAGTAGGCCCCTCAACCGCCGCCAACGTCATGGCCTATGGCGTAGATGATGCAGTTTCTCCCCCCCCCCCCTCCTCTCCCCTGGCCAGGTCAGTGGCTGGTTCACATCATATAGTCATCGTGATCAACTCGGATCATATCATATCCCATAACACTGCTATTTTCCGATTCCTCACGCCCACTTACTCTGTTTTGTCATTCTTGGGTTGCTGTTGCTCCTCTCCAGAGTCCTCGCCGTTTCCATATACATTTCTATACTCAATCCTCGCCAGCGTCTCCAACCCTCCATAGCCCCGTCCAGCCGCGTAGAGGACCCCGCCCATTATCACGATGGCGACCGCCGAAAAAACTCAGGAGCAGCAGAAGAAGCAATTCGAAGTACCCGACTACTCGGATGGAGAAGACTACGACAGTGCCGATGACTATGAGTATTCCGACGAGGAGGAGAATGAACCGGCCACGAAGAACCAACAACTGCAACGGCGACGGAAACAACAACCTCAGAATGAACCCGAGTACTCTGACGAGGACGACTACTACTCCGATGAATATGACGACGATTACTCCGACGACGAGGCGATGCCCAACGCCATCCAGCCCTGGTCGCAAGGGCGCAGCTCCGAGATGGCCCCGACGGGCGGCATGAATGTCATCCAGCAGGAGAAAAAGAGCCTCGACGACGAAGAGGGCATGAAGTTGAAGCTGGAACTGAATCTGGAAATTGAAGTCGAGCTAAAGGCGCGCATCCATGGAGATTTGACTCTGGCGCTCATGTAAGTCGCCGTCCTGACAATCCCGTTCGCATTAGGGCCCCGTCCTATTCAAATGCAATTCGCTCAATCGAATCTAGGAGTTAATGGTCGCCCATAGTGCTTGAGTCGACGACTAAATCGACTACACCTCTGTTTCGCTTGCGCTGCTCCCTTTCTCATGCCCAATCCCGGTTGACGACTCTGCGTGAACCCTACCTCGTTGCCGATTCCGCCACTCTCGGCGTCCCCTCAAAATTTCCTCCGACTCTCATCCGCGATATCTTGACGACTGCCCGGTTTTTTTTTTTTCATTTTTCATTTTTTTCCTCTGCTTGGCCTGCTGTGTTCATAGAGCTCTGGCGTGATCCTTTCTTAATTCGCTTCTCCATTTGCCTCCAGTTTTGAGTCTTTTTTGGGAGCCTTGGGCATCTGATTCGGCTCGGCGCAGGACGATACACTGCATCCTGTAGTACTATGACCTTCCCACCTTTCAATGTATATATTCCCAATTCTTACCAGTTGATGTGATTTCGTTCCAAACCGGGGCACCCCCGCTGTGTTTTCGTATTCGACTGGAATCCCTCCAATAACCACAATTCCAGTGCAATTGTAATCTTGACCAAAAATACTGCAACCTGTATGTTATCGCAATTACAGCGGATGATGCACATGGGGAGCATACTGTGGCCGTGGAGGGCCGAGGTTCGGGGCTTGGCGCAGATCGTGGGCCTGGGGTTTTTCCCTCTTGAACTTCACCTCAATTGTGAGTCCGAGTCGCTGCTCCTCTCCTGACCCCCCACCCACGAACTCTCCCCTGGAAACCGGTCGACCTGAGACTCTCAATCTTGTTGGATCTACCCACCATGTCGAAGGACTTCATCATCAAACACATGAACGCCGACCACAGCGACTCCCTCCAGCTGTACCTCCAGGCCTTCTGCGGCATCTCCGCCCGCGCCGCCAAGGGTGCCTCGCTCGAGGACATCACCCTCGCAAATGTGACCGTTCAGGCCCATGGCACGCGCTACAGTGTCCCCTTCGACCCGCCAATGAAGGATTACAGCGAGTCCCGCAGCCGCCTCGTCGCGCTACACAAGGAGAGCCTGAAGCGTCTTGGCCGTTCCGACGTCACCCTCACCCAGTACCGTGCGCCGCACGGATTCCAGATCGTCATCTTTGGGCTCTGTCTATTCACCTACATCTCCTGCTGGCGTCGCGATAACCTCCTGCCCGGAGCATGGGTCTACGAGAACCTGGGCTTCCAGCTCGTCCCGGACTTTGCCCATTTTATTTACACCATCTGGCCGGTCTTCTTTCCCTCGGTGCTGGCGATCCACATCGCTGAGTCGGTTGCGCTCGCTGTCTTGCGGTTGAAGCCTATGGGGGTGCGTCTGGGATCGAAGTTGTGGTTCGCGTGGGTGGGTTCGTGCTTCATTGAGGGGTTTGGCACTTTCATGCGGATCGGGGATATTGTCAAGGAGGAGCGGGCGAAGAAGGGAGGGAAGAGCGAGTGATTACGTGACATAAACCATATAAAAGGAGTAGAGATGAGAATCAATAGTTGAAGAAGGTCTGTTTCGAGAGCTGGTACCTCTATTGCCCACGTAGGATGATGAACGGAGTACGGTGTTTTGGAAACGCGCCTGTTTCCTGGCCGAGCCACCAATTCACGCAATTGGACGGGTCAACCCGATAGCACGTGACGCGTCACTTTCAGAGCTTCTGCCCAGAGGCGACAGATGAGTCAGCAGCCGACACAGACCCAGAGGTCACGGGACCGCACATATAACGCGCTATGCTGTTATGGGACTAGTGTCAGTTAGGGCAACCGCACAAGCGAGCAACACACTGGCCCTGCGAAATTCGACGGACTCCACGACCGCATCTCCCACGACATCCAACGACAACCTATCCGTGTTTCTGGTGAAGGGCTGCAGGTTAGAGGTGAGTTTCTTCAGCGCCCTCTATTATATACGCCTTCATTCCTTCTGCTTCTGTTTCGGCCGGGTCGACAATCGAGGTTCTACGAAAATTTCACGATCGGGTCAATATTCAATTTCGAGATCCAGTCTCGTTTACTCCATCCCACAACTCTTACATTAATTCGCCATTCCGCTTTTTATCCTCGACATTCCTCTCGTTGAAATCGCTCGATCCGAATCAGAAGTGTTGGAATTGCAGGTGCATCGCATCGATCGAACCGAGTTCTAATTTTTTTTTCCCTTGCTCTTGATACAGACCCCTCCATCAAACCGCAAACATGGGTATCTCGCGTGATTCTCGCCACAAGCGCAGCGCCACCGGTGCTAAGCGTGCTTTCTACCGCAAGAAGAGGTACGGCCTTCTTTTCCCTTCGAGTCGCATTGTTGTGTGTTCCTGTGTTCCGGAGGATGTCGGGGAAGGGGGGAGATGTGTGTGATATGGGAATGGGGCTCGATTGCTATTTCTTCTTGACAAGAACACCCGAATTCTGACTTTCACAACAGAGCCTTCGAGAAGGGCCGCCAGCCCGCCAACACCCGTATTGGCACCAAGCGTATCCACCTTGTCCGCACCCGTGGTGGTAACCAGAAGTACCGTGCTCTCCGTCTTGAGTCCGGTAACTTCTCCTGGGGCTCTGAGGGTGTTTCCCGCAAGACCCGTGTCATCGGTGTCTCCTTCCACCCCTCCAACAACGAGCTGGTCCGCACCAACACCCTGACCAAGTCCGCCGTTGTCCAGATCGACGCTGCTCCCTTCCGTCAATGGTACGAGGCCCACTACGGCCAGGGTATCGGCCGTCGTCGCCAGCAGAAGACCGAGGTCCCCGAGGAGAAGAAGAGCAAGTCCGTTGCCAAGAAGCAGGCTGCCCGCTTCGCCGCCCAGGGCAAGGTCGAGTCCGCCATTGAGCGTCAGTTCGAGTCCGGCCGTCTGTTCGCCGTTGTTGCCTCCCGCCCCGGCCAGTCCGGCCGTGTCGATGGCTACATCCTCGAGGGTGATGAGCTGGCTTTCTACCAGCGTGCGATCCGGAAGTAAACGAAAAACAAAAGGGAAAACCATTCGGTTAGGAGGCCGTGTGGGTTGTCGTTGTACTGGTGGTTATCGGAGTTTCAGCTGTTGTTTTCCAGAAAACTTTCATGATCTGGGCATCCGCGGGTGCAATGTCTGTAGAGCTCTGAGCCGTCACAATTCCATGGGAATGAATCCTGTTTACGTTATTTTGGCCGTTTTATTGTCTTCCTGATTCCAATCCCATAGATTTCATGTAATTCGTAGTTCCGCGCTCCTCTGCGGCGGGTCCTTGCCTGGACCGCGCTGACGTCGGTTCTTCCGCGGTCTCGCTTTTTTTCCTCTTCCATTCCACACTTCAGGTTCCAAGTGTCTATTTTCTTCCCTTTTTCCTCTCATTTCCGTCTTCAGACGACTCTGCTTCTTTCATCCCGTAGATTCCGTCCTTTATAGAGCCCCCACCCCTCCTTTGACCCCCGCCACCCATGATGGCTGCTGCGGGGAACAGAGTGATCAAAACCCGCATCTGCATGATCTCCGATACTCACACAGCCGAACCACGCCCCCGATTACAATCCTCCTACGCCTACCGCAGTCCTCTCCCTGAGGCAGATATTCTCCTTCATGCGGGTGACCTGACCAAGGTCGGCTACAGTGTCGAGCATGCGGCGATGGTCGAGATGCTCAAGGCAGCGAAGGCGGAGCTGAAACTCGTCATCGCCGGCAACCACGACATCACTCTCGACGAAGAATACTTTACCAATTTTGGATATCAACGGCACGGACGGCCGGAATGGCTCGGTGGTAAGGGTATCCTGCTTGAAGATGACGAGGAATCCCTTGGGGGAAGCATTCGCACCGGTGCCGTACCGTCGCTTGCACAGATGAAGGCCTACGTACGACGCGTCAAAGATATGTACACGAACGAATCAGCCCGCGCCGCCGGCATCCGATACCTTGAGGAGGGCGTGCATACCTTCACCCTCCGCAATGGGGCACAGTTGACCGTATACGCCTCGCCCTATCAGCCCGAGTTCTGTCGCTGGGCCTTTGCCTATCCTCGTTCCCAGGACCGCTTCAACCCTCCCCTCCCCGGCACTACGGCCTCCTCTCCGCTCAACCCCGTCCCCGACTTCCCCCAAATCGACATCATGCTCACACACGGTCCTCCTGCGGGCGTCTTGGACCGCGTCGGTCGAGATCCCGAAACACATGTTGGGTGCCGACACCTACTCCGCGCAGCCGAGCGCTCTAGACCCCGACTATATCTATTTGGACATATTCATGAGGGATGGGGAGCGGTTCGTGGCACCTGGGACATAACCATGCCTGATGGGATGCGACAGGAGGCAATCCCTACTGATAAGGAAGATATGCTGGAGCAGCGCGGGGCATTCTATGATATGAGCTCCGAAAGTACGCGGCCCTTACAGTATGGGAAGGAGACGTTGTTTGTGAATGCCAGCATTATGACGCTAGGATATTCCCCTGATAATGCGCCTTGGGTGGTTGATTTGGACCTTCCTATTGCTGAAGTGGCCCAACCTTGAGCTCTCTTTCTTTTTTGTTCCTCGTTTTCATGTGCCTACGACTTCATGAGAAATGAAAAATGCTACTTCGGGGATAAATGCAACCCGGCTTGCCTCCGGAAACGCCAGTTCTGCAGACCAAGCAACTTGGTTGTCAAACTCCGGGGCCTGCGTTAGCTTAAGACGAAGGTAGCGGCGAAGTGGATGATATGCCATCTAAAAAAGAGCAGGTCTTGAGATATTGAATGCCCCTTCCTCATCTCCCTGCCTTTCTACCTATCTTTTTCATATATCCAGACGCTATCAGCCCCTCTTCTCCGCAATACAAATTTTGAGAATTGCTCTAGTTGGGGCTAGCTGGTATTGGACAAGCTCGAAACCCCTAATATAGCGATCCTGGTGATCCAATCCTGTTTTTGAGAGGAGAGATTGGGGTTCCTGGAGGATGTGGATCGCTTGAGAATCGCATTGAGGTGTTGTTCAAAAGGGTGCATAAAAATCCGTGGCTGCTTGTTTTGTTTATAGAAAAGGTGAGGGTCATGCATCGAAAGGGTAAATTGTATTCTTCGTTCTATTTACCGGATCCTCTGTAGTGTCTGGAAGACATACATTAGCCCTCCGTGTTCCCATCGAGTATATGAATAAACGTGCTTATATGCTTCCACTATCTATGAGGAGCCTACTGGGAGTCATGACCATGATCGACAACATCTAAGACGATCTATGAAATTGAGTGCGATATTCCTCCGTCACAGAAAACGCACGGAGTCGACACCTGAAAGAAGTGGTGGGGAGAGAATATGGTTAATTCTTGAGTCCTAAGACCCTTTCCAAAATATATCGGTGTTAGAGGAGCCACTATATATATCCGAGTTGCTGGATACATGCTCTCCCCGCCAAGACAAGAAATGTCGAAACCTCTCATTGAGAGAGCTCCACCACAATGGCTGGGAGTGTTAAGCCTATTCACAAATACAGATTGCAAACAATGGACGAATATGTATATCTGACACCATTGAAGGTATTCCAAGTTCATCGTCGGACGATGGGAGCGGAGAAACTTGGCGCTGGGATTGGGTCGGGGTGGGTACAGTCTTACTCTACACCAAACCAAAATCGATTCGGGAACATTGAAAACAGCAAATTTTGTTCCTTTAATCAAATGATATTTCAACCCTGAATGATTGATTGATAACACCATGAAGGTCTAATATATACTATCACATACCGAAAACAAAAATAGCTACTAGAATCATTCCGTATAAATAAATCAGGCACCGTCATCCACGCAACCGAGATACTGGCCCTCAACTACCCGACGAAAAAAAAAAAATTTAAAAGAAGCCGAGTAATCAAAGTGATATAGCCACCAACGCCAGAAGATCAAAATCATTCGGATTTCGGAATGAGAGCGAAATAATCTAAGGACCACCACCAAGACCTAGGAAATATTAGCAACGTTCAACTAAAAAGAAGCCAAAAAGCCCATGAGATTGGAAACTCACCGGCAGCATAAGCGAGGTACCACGTCCGTGAGGCACCGCCATCAATCCAGCTATAGTCAAACTTATGTTGAGCGAAGAAGTCCCAAGACGCCTGAGGGTCGATCAGGGCCAGGTTGGCGAACAGGACACCCTTCCAGCCACCATCAACCTCATGGGCAGGAGTCGAGGCGTTGGCCGAGAACATAGCATTCCATTCTTCAGCAACAAATTGGGGCTGCCGGGTATAGGCAGAGTTGGGGAGCAACGGCAACATGTGAATTCCCTGAATATACTCCAGATTGTTGCCGAAATAGGTTGTGTGATCGACCTTGTTCTCGAAAAGAATACCAGTCACTTTATTGGCGATGAACTCTGGGGGCTGGTTGGCGTTGTTATTCTCCATGAGGAAATAGCTCTGGAGGGTGCGGCGCATAATGCCCAGCATCATGTTGCCTCGAGCTTCCATGCTGGCGTCTCCAATGGTCCGGCCCCACATCTTGACAGCGTAGGCGAACATAGTGTCCTCGGAGGTGGATTCTTCGTCTTTGCCGTCAAACGATTCAAAGAGGCCTTTGGCCCACGAATGGCCGTTGAACCAATCGAAGGAACGAGAGAAGGGAAAGAATGGGTCGTCGGCAATAGAGTTACCCGCATCACGAACAAGCATGTTGACCCAATCCTTATTTGGGCCCAGCCAGGTTGGATCAAGAGACCCAATGATGGCTGCAGCTTGAATGAAGTAACCGTAGTGGAAGTGATGATCGTTATAAGCGGTATTTCCAAAGTCAGCGTTCAAGTCGCCTCCATACCCGGCAGTCGAAACCACACCCCTCCAGACCGAGTCATAGGCAAGAGGGTATTGTTGCTGATTCTGCACAAAGCGAGCAAAGCACTTCTTGAGTTCTTGGAGAGCTGCATTGGCAAGCCCAGGGTTGTTACCCAGCTGGCTGACGGTCCAAGCCAAGGTAGCAAATTTGCTGAGGGCCTTGCCGCTGTAGTACATGCTGTTGAGATTGGTCTGACCAGCCATATCTTGTTGTAGCTCAATCGGAGCGATTTGAAGGATTGCGCGCTGAGCATCCTCAGATAATGTGTGCACATTGCCCTTGGTGGGCGACCAAGGAGCAAAGCCCATATCCATAGGAAGGCCAGCTTCGGTCATGGTCCATTTTTCTCCGATGACTGCGGTCGCATTGCCCTTGACAGTGCTGCGGAGATGGATATCGGTCATACGGCCACTGGTATTGCGATCAAAGGAATGAACGTGGTGAGGCATGGCCCACATGATAAGAGGAGTCCCTTGAGCGTTTTTGCCAGCCTTGGTCCACGAGAGACTGTAGGTTCCGAGATCACCAGTCACCGAGCCAGTTACTTTACCCGAAGTAGGATAGACACCAGCCGAGTTGTCGTAGAACTTCTCGCCGGACTTACCAGCGGGGTTTTTGGCGACTTGGATGGTACCAGAGAAACCATGAGGACCACGGAGACTGGATTTGGTAACCAGCTTGAAGTCGGGGCGTTGGCCATCATCAGGAGTCACATAGAGAAGCCAGGTAGTATCATCCTCCAGGAGGAGCTGGTATTTGAAGATGCCTGGCTTCGGCGACCCAGCACTGACAACTTGGCGAAAGAATACACCACTTTCGATGACAGGTTGAAGGTCATTGTACAATCCAGTCACGTAGCCCATACCCTGAACAATGGGGAATGTAATTCTCTGAGCAGATCCACCAGATCGCTTCAGCACCGCATGGGCAGAAAATGCCTTGGGTTTTTCGGTGTGCAGTATGCTCGACTCTCCCAGCTCCTCTGCAGATAGAATTACATGCTGAAGACCAACGGGGTTGATATAGTACTCGACAGGACTGCCCGGAATTTTGGGGTTTTTGGGTCCGTAAGCCAACATATTGGCCCCAATGTGTGAGACAGCCATGCCCCAGCTTTTGAGGGACCCACCGCCTCTCGACCATGCGACGGAGTAAGGCTGCGTGAAACTGGCATTGGTCTGAGACCCAAGGAAAAGCCCAGCATAGAACTTGTTTGTTTCAATTGGACCACTTGAATTGGCCTAAGTGACACAGTTAGAGGAATGCAGACGAAGAGGGCGATGCCAGACTACTTACATGAATGTTCGGTACTGGGTGATCGTGACGCGTCTTTATATTCGCAGGAACCGCCCCTGTCGCAATGGACTGGAAAAGGTCTTGTCCGTTCATAGTTGATGAGAGACCGGGATCTCCAGATTCTTCAGTGCTTGAGGGATCTGTGGGAACAGTTGGGGGCTCAGTTGACTCAGCGGGGGAAGTCGTGGAATCGGGATCGGGCGACGACAACAGGCCATCCACACCGTCCAGAAAACGGTCAACGTCGAATGTTGGGAACGGAAGCTGCGATGGACGACCCGCGTTATCAAGCGCAACCCGATAGATCTGTTGGGAAAGATTAGGATCAAATCTATGCAAGCCAATGGGACATCTACAACAAGACACATACTGGCTTGGCTGCTGGAATTGCAAGTCTTTGGTTCGAAGGGGGGTATTGGGTCTCGAATGCCGTGCTAGAAGTGGCTGTTTGTTTCAAGATTTTCTCTGCAACGCTGCTCACAGGTTGCGGCAATGCCAGCGCCGTCTCTACTGTTAAAAGCCAGGTCAGCGCGGCTGCGGGTTTCCAAATAGGCGCCATTGTGTTAAATTGTGAATTTAAATGTCTTCAACAGGGAGTTGACAACAGCTTCAATTCACACCGTCTCCAGAAGCCAGTTTCTATACTTGAATCCGTTCAATGCAGGGCATGAAGTAGATAGCACAGTGCAGCTCCTGGGTTGTCGAATACACCAACAGGAAGGGGATAGAAACGAAACCAATCTCGAAGGGACGGCAACTTACAAGTAGGTCCTATAAATTCCAGCAGGGACAGTGAGTCCGCAGTGAGTTCAGGTCCTCAGCACCCAATTAGGAAACGATACGGGCCGGATTGTTGTGAATGGCCTGCAGAAAGAATTCCGGGATCGCAGATCCTGATGGGAATTAGATGCGCGGTTCTTCTAGGAGGCACACGGGTGGTCAGCGCTCCCGTAGACGTGGAGAAGGCGTGTTCAGCCCGGCCAGCTCAGCAATGAAGGGTGAAGGGAAGTGCTCCAGCAACAATGTGTTCCTGAGATACTCCGTGCACCGGCCGTCGGACGTTGTCCCCACTACCAGGAATGTGCCCGCGTGTAAACAGTGCGCGGCAAGCTTGGGACGGACAAATTGGACGTACCAATAAAGCGCATTGATCTGAATCCTTAGAGTATTCTTCTCGACAGGCGATCATTTAACCCCACAGATGAAAAAACAACTGGAGTGGGACGTGTATGGCAGGGACTCCTGAGAGCGCAGGCAACGGCGTTGTTATAGGGCGGTGCCGAGGTTGTGGAGCTGCCCGCACCGCAGTCAACACATCTCGCATGCCCACGATGACTCGAAGCAAATGAATCATTTCTCAGCTGGTGAATCCATGGCGCGGTGAAGGGTCTTCTGATGGTTCGGTGTAGAAGGTATGCGCTGATCAGCAGGCGAATTCATCCCACAATGGTCGTGAGGTCGTGGTGGTGGGCAGCATTCCAGTGCTTGATCGAGGCTGGCCTCTTTTGCCATACGGCGTCTTGTCGTCATCTGAAGATACCGTTTGGCGTGTGATGACATCCCGAGCCATGTGAGAAGGCTGGAAAAGTATCAAAAGATCGGAATGGGAGATACTGTGGATGATACTGTGATACTATGGACGATGGAGAGGAGAAGTTCTACAAGGTCTAATTGATGGCCCAAGTCTGGGTCAGCCACTCACGTCGTTCAACCGTAAAGGATTCACCCAAAGTGACATTGCAAAATCGAAAATGGTATTCTTTTGTGGGAAAGATGGCAAGTATGGCCTTCTTCTATGCCAAACCTTATAGTAAATGTGCAAGAATGAATATACAGGTCGTCAGATGGGTGTCGTGACAGGGGTTCAATGCATGGGCTTCTCCATGGGCTTGATGATGCCCTGTTTAACCATGACACGCGGCTTGCTACTGGCTTGGAAGGTCTCCTTAGTGGACCATTCAGGCCCGATGGGCATACGCAACGAGCGCTCGTACTGCGTCTTGGTCTCGAACTCGCGAGGGAGTTGGGTGGCCATGTACTTGACGTTCTATAGATTCCCGTTAGTAATAGGCCATGATTTCAAGTCGACCCGACAGAGTGAGCTTACCTTCTTGACTCGCTTCTCATTGATAATGACTCGAGCAAGCTTGGCGTCCTTGCGCTGTTCGGGCTTCACGCCTTCTACTGTAGTGAGGAATCGCTTCTGCCGTTTTTGCTGCTTCTTGCTGACTCCGTCACCAGTCCAACTGCCCCAGCCGGCAAGAGTGTTGTCCACGATCTTGTCACCCTCATCCTCGATCGTCTCCATTTTCTCTTGTTCGAAGTCTCGCACAACTTCATCACCAGCAAAAGCTCGCTTGACAAGGTCATGGTTCTTCAGTAGGACAGGCACATTGGCCTCATCATCACTGTCATCTATGTCCTGGCTATGCTGCTGAGAGAGCGCTGCCTTGGCGACCTTGGCCTTCTTTGCCGAGGTCTTGGTTTGACGGACTTGAAATTGGCCTTCCTCGAGTGAGATGTCCACCGTCTCTTGGACATCTGCGCCTGTACGTCGACGATTGTTGCGATCAGTTTGGACTAGCCATGGGTTCTCTTCCGCTGCAGGTTCTTCCTCTATCGGATGCGCTGCCTTCTTCGAAGATTGAGTGGAAGTCTTAGAGCCAGACGGGCCAGACTTTGGTTTGACAGGGCGGTTAACCACAATATCGACATCTTGGTCGGAAGCGGCCTGTCGAAGCTCCTCGTCGTCCGAGTCGGGCGCTTCTTCAAATTGGTTCTTCGGCAGGAGGTTGGACCGAGCCTTTGGATCGGCCTTGGTCTTTTCGGATTGTCCAAACTTCCGTCGCCCAGCCTCGGACTCGGCCTCGGATTGCGACTCTTCGCCATGGATTTCACGGTTGAGACGACGGAGCTCGGCATCATTCTGCTCTTTACGAGTGGCCTCAGCGTTCTTCATGAATTTCATGGCAAACAGCTTCGAGTGAGGGCCCTTGATTTCCTCGTCAGAAGCATCACCCTCCAAAGCACCAAGTTTCTTGCGCATTTTGGCCTTCTCCTTTTCAGAAGCATCTGAGGCCCACGGATCGTCGTCATCTGACTCCGAGCTTGAAGAACCCAAGTAGTCCTCATCTCCCCTGGACACACTCTTTCCTTCGATGCGTTTCCGCAGCTCCTCCTCTCGCAGAGCAAGATCGGCAGCACCATTGCGTGCCTCTTCATCCCAGGCAGTGCGACCGGTCTGCTTCATACTCTTGGCCCATTTGCTGTCGCGATGCTTGGAACTCATGCGAGCTTCCGCTCTCTTTCGCTCATTCGTTTCTCGCTCCATCTCGTCCAAATCCACGCCAGCTTCCAGAAGTGCCTGGCGCTCTTGTTGCTCAAGTCTCTCCCGTTCTTTCCGGTGAACGCGGCGGTAGGACTTGCTCTTAATCTTCTTGATTCGCTTGGCCCTAACCTCCTCTCGGAAGAGCAAATCGCGCCGCTTCCTCAGCTCAGCACGCCGAGCCTGGATTTCCTCAATAGGCAAGGTCCGGGCCTGGAGTTCTTCAAGATCCTGAAACTGCTCCTCAGCAGACTTTCCATCAGCCTCGGCGAGACCACTCTCCACCAGAATGTTCTGAATGGTGTTCTCCAAATCTGTGGTTGGTTTGGCCACATCCATTCGATGAAACTGCTGCTCATCGGGGTTTGGAAGGGGGAAGGTGAGATGTTCCGCTTCGCGATTCGCCTTAACCGTCTGGAGCCATCGGTCGAGTGTTTCCTTGCTCTTCTCATAGGCAGCCGCCCGATCGATCTTATCCTGCTGGCGCTTTGCCAAAGGAGCATCGAGCTTGCCGGAGATACCGGTTTTTGATTCTTTCGGAGTGGCATCGATGTGTTTAAGCGAGCTCTTCAGACGAGAGTCGGTAATTGAAGGTAGTAGATCGGCGACTGTCAGTTTGCGAGAAGAGGTCAATCCGTATTCCGTAGGAACACCTTGTTCTTGTGCCTTTTGCTTGGACTTCTTCTTTCCACCTGTTTCCATGGAATTGACGAAATCTTGTAACTTGGACAGACCGTCTGTCTGAACATCGGCATCGTCGTCTGAGAGGGATAGCTCGGATTCATTGTCGCTAGGGGCATCCTCGCTGTCGCCGTCAGAGCCCGTATCCTGGTCACTGTCGTATCCAGCAGCAGCTTTCTTGGCCTTTGCAGCAGCCTCTTTAGCCTCCTCTTCTTCAGCCGTGGTGTTCATATCCCAGGCAGTGAGAAGATCCACGGCGTCTTCACCGAGATCGTCCTCGTCCTCTTCTTCCTCCTCTTCCTCAGAGGCTTCTTCATCTTCATCCAGGCTGATCTCTTTCACCTTCTTGGATTTGATTTTCTTCGGTGGAGGTTTGTTCTTGTTCGAGGAGCTTCCGCGGAATGTGAACCCTTCAAACCGCTCTTCGTCGCTAGATCCAAGGGCTTCATCACTGTCGAGCGACTCGTCGTCGTCGCTGTCCACTTGTCCAAGCTTCCACTCATGACCCTCACTATCGCTGCCACCATCCTCCGATCCGTTCGTTCTGCGGCGTTTGTGGGTCGGGCCTTCATCGTCGTCATCCTCGTCGCCTGCGGGATGCCTCTTGCGGTCTTCTCCGTCATCGTAGTCACCTAGGCGATTGCGGCGCACTCCTAGCCTGGTCGGAATCTGTTCCTCGGCTCTTGCGAGAGCATCAAGGCCGCGACCGCCCTTCTTGCGCTTCGGCGCCGGTTTCTGGGCGGTGCGATCTTTTGGAGCCCGCAACTGCGTTTGTTGGCGAGGCATATTTGTATTAAGTCAATAATAATAACTTCAAAAAAACCCCAGTAGCTTTCAGGTCCGTACAAAATAGTACGCAATGGACCCAGTCGCTGCGTGGTTGGAGGGGTTTGATAGATTGTTCAACTTTTTTTGCTCCGAGAAAAAAGTTCTCGGCGCGGCGATTAGCGTGGTCCGACCGCCCGAACTTTTGTCCTCACTTCCAACGAGACCCTCGCGACTGCGCTTTTCATCACCCCTCGTCGCCTTCGCTCCCCACCACTATGTTTAAGCCCTCACAGCCGATGCTGGCGCGTCTGCGCCTGACTACTAAGCAAGTCAACGGTGGCTACTATAAGGGTAACCGCACCGGCTCCATGGGTTACTTCGACAAAAAGGGCAACTACGTGATCGACTGGTCGAAAGTCCGCACCTATGTCGTGCCTGAAGACTTGAACAGCTTCAAGGTGATTTGACCGATCTAGCTCCATTGATTGATTGTATTGGAAATTCGCTGACAATTGGGCAGCTCACTCCCTTTGTCACCAAACGTATGGAACCGACTCGCACCAAGTACACCAAGGATATTGAACGCAATGGACGGATGGTCAATGTGACTGATAGCCTCAATGGATTTGACTACTTGGATTTATGGTATGAACGCAATGGCGAGGAAGTCTATCAACATGAGGTGAACGAGCACAAGAAGGCCATGGAGCAGGATCAATAAGAGATCGCCCTAATACGCTGGAGAAACTCTGCTTCCAGCATTATGAGTACCTTTCTTCGGTTCGTGCTGAACCCCTTTTCAACTTCCACAATGACTTGCTTGAATTTTCTAACCATTGCCATAGGGATGGTTCAACCATCCTTTTGATTGCCAACACCTTCCGACCGGCCATCTCCTTCGATCTACCATTCCTCCGCTCGCTGGCCGATCGCATTCTTCATGTATTATATGTACAGCACATTTGATTCAACCTGGGCTTCGATACACCCATCTGCTTGCCATCACCAATGGGGCTTCTCCCCTTCGCCCACACTTCAGGCACATGGAGTTGGAATTACGGGTCCATTCTATTTATCATCCATATAGAAAACCTTTTGAGGTAATACAGTTTCTCTAAGTTCAGTCCTTAAGCCCTCTAGCTTTCTCTTTTTTCGTCTTGTAGCCTTTTCGAAGCATTTCTTGATATGTATTCCAGGCCGCCTTAAATTTTCTACGAAGAATTTTGAAAATATGATGTTAGAGCAATAAGATAACCACACCCTCTTTTTGACATTTTGTCCCGTATTTTCTAGTGCTCCTGACACTATTTGAAAGAACGATGTTTTATATGTTGTAGGGCGGACCGTAATCACCAAGGGCGTAGCATTAGCGTGGTGTTGTGTAGAAATGACCGGGTGATATGCACAAGAGGTGCGTGTTGCGTGTGCATATTGCCGATAAGCTCGCCATGCGCCCGTATCGCAACCTGCGTATGACATAGTTCTTCACATTCGCTCCCCATAGCCCCCGACACTGCACGATGGGCTAAGATCTCATATGTTTCTTGCATCTCCAGCGAATCTTCTTTGCATAGACTAGTTTTCTTTGATCTCTTCCTTGAATGAGAGAGAGAGCCGCCTCGCCATGTTCCAATCTTTCACCGGTAACTCACGTCGTCCGAGGCAGGTCAACCTCAGCGGCCGTCCCAACAATCCCTTCGCTGCATTTCCAGGAAGCTCGCCTGGCCGCCAACCCCCCCATGCCTCCAACCCACAGAGTGCCGTTGCGATCGCACAACAAGAACGACTCCAGAGACAGCGGGACAGAGAGAAACAGAATGCCATCCGGGTCATCCAGCGAGTTTGGCGGGGCTCCTCCAGTAGGAAGGCAACCCACAGGCTATGGAGGTTGGAATGGGACCACAATGAGAGGACTATGACAGGTGCTATGGACTTAGGTACAGGGACCGAAACAGCAACGGATCAACGACTGTTTGCATCCCGCCGGCCTACCCCGTATGCTACTGCAGATGAGTGCTTGGCTCAGCTCCGGCTCCTGGTGCAGTTTGTTTCACCACGAAGACGTGAAGATGTTCTACGACTGGTATATTTTGTTGGAGCCTTTGAGCAGACGTTCCAAACTCTCCCTACGATTGCAACCGAAGGCGAATGGACGAAGCTTCTAAAACGGCTTGCTCAGACAATTATCAGTGTGTTGCATTCTGCATTAAAGCCCAGTGTGCCAACATCTGCAGTTGAACCTCTCCTTGGAGCTGTTGCATTCCTCGCAGGGCTGATTCCAAAACAGTTGGCAACAGTTGCAGACACTTATTATGAAACTATGTCATTCTTGACGACGAACATGTCGGATTTGCGCCTATCTAAGCATGACAAAGAGTCTGGTCAAGAGGGAATTGATCCCGAGAAACTAAAAATGACCGTACTCGCCCTTCTACGACCTATCACGTCGGAGACAATGTCCGCCTACGAATCATTTGCTTCCTCATACCTTACGATCTCTAATCTAGAGGCATATCTGGGAAAACTGGATGATTTGGCTGGTCAAATCAACTATAGGATGCTGGCATTAGCTGTATCAGCATGTTTAACCTCTGATGGACGTCACCCAAGCTTATTAGATGATACTCAGGCACGCACCTGGCTCCTTTCATACCTCATATTCTTCCAACAACATGCACTGGGCACTCAAGTTAACTCTCACGCCCCAGAGCTGGAGTTTGTGACAGTGGTATCAGAGCTGCTGACTCTAAATACGACTTATCTTATGCAAGGTCTAGAGGCGGAGGACTCGACCGACTTGGACTCGCCAAAAGGTGTGCGTCCTTTGCATCCCTTCATTATAGACCAGATCAATAGTCTAGTCAACCAGGGCAGTGTGACTGGATTACTTTCTCGCATTCGGTCATCTCGCCTTCCACAGAAAGAGCCCACGGCTGATGACTTGGAAGAATCACGAGAAGCCCGTGTTCTTGCCACGTATGCATTGAATCTGTTGCGAATATTCCCGCGGCGAAGCGATGACATTAGAATGTGGTTGTATTTAGGGTCAGCGCCATCTGGAGAACAGGTCTCGGGTCAGCCGGATGCTAAAATACCAGCCATCAAATACTTCTGGCAGGCCTCTCGATCAAGTCGGATTTTCCAAATCATCAGCAGCGACTCTACAAAAGTGCTTGCGCTATTGCAGCAGTCGAAGGAAATACCCACTCTTCCGCAGCACCAAAGAGATCAAGAGTGGACTACTATTCTTCTCTTTCTCGAGCTATACACTTTTGTTCTGAAAGTTATGGATGACGATGAATTTTTCTCAAACACATCTTCTTTTGTTTCTTCGGACAATGCCAAGGTTTCATGGACTAAAGAGAGCGCTTTACCGCTCAATGATGTCAAGGATATGACGGTGTTTCTCAAAAACCTTGCCTTCACCCTCTATTGGAATGCTGCAGATCTTAGTGAGCCGGAGCTCCAACCAACCGCCATGAATCTAAGTAGCTACTTCAACAGTATCACACAAGCCTCTGGACCCCCGGACCCGCTCCCGAGCACAAAGGACCTGGAAGCAAAAGGCCAAAATAATAATCTCCCAGGCGTAACGGGGATTCCCCTGGAATATTTCAAGGGACTTGTTACTGGACTTCTGCGGATGCTGCATGAGCGAGAGTAGGTTTATTTTGCCGCACATTGGCATTTGTGGCCGAAGAAGATCAATACTGACTTGATACAGTTCACGCCGCAAGTTCCTTCCTAAAGACCATTGGCTTATGACTAGCCGATTTGACATGGAGGGATTCATCACCAACGTCGTCGAGGAAGAAGAGAGAAGACACGAATTCCAAGCCCGAGCAGAGGATTCCGAAGATGGCGATTTTATCGATGATGATACAAACATCCCAACTGGCTTAGCAGGAGCTGGTCATGCCCAGCAGACCATTCGTCTTGAGTCTTTACGGCGGCACCAACAGCGCGTTGCTCGCCGGAGGATCCTGGCAAATATCGCCCCACGGCTCGAGATTCTCCGAAACATGCCGTTTTTCATACCCTTCGCTACCCGAGTGCAGATTTTCCGACAATTTATCTACCATGATCAGTACCGCCGTCGACAGGGCTTTGTTGACCCTGATTCATGGCGTGCATCCGTGGTACATACTACCATGGGCCAAGTGATCAATGGACATCCAGCCGCACAGGATGTTCTTGCCCGACACCAGGCAGAGATCCGCAGAGAACATGTCTTCGATGATGCGCTGTCACAGTTTTATCAACTTGGCGATGGTCTCAAGGAACCAATTCAGATTAGCTTCATTGATCGCTTTGGAACCATGGAGGCAGGTATCGATGGCGGTGGTGTGACGAAAGAATTTCTCACCAGTATCACTACGGAGGCTTTCAAGACCGAAGAAGGGTTTGGCATGTTTGCGGAGAATGACCAGCATCTGCTATATCCCAACCCGACAGCCGTTGAGCAGTGCAAAGAGCATCTTCGTAGAACCGGATTGAACGAGTCTAATGCAGACTGGACGGGGAATATTCGGGATCTTCTTCGCCGATATGAATTTCTGGGACGAGTCATTGGCAAATGTCTCTATGAGGGTATATTAGTTGATGTCAACTTTGCACCTTTCTTCCTTTTGAAATGGGCTTTGACTGGTGGGACTGGGTCTGCTATGAAAGAATCCTCCTATCGGGCCAACTTGAATGATCTAAAGGACCTAGATGCAGGGTTATACCAGGGTCTTGTGAGTAGCGTTGTCCCTCTCTGTCTGCACATGACATTCGTTCTTTTTCTTGCTGATCGCATTTCAATCGCTAGCTGCAACTGAAAAACTATTCTGGAGATGTGGAGGACTTCTCCTTGGATTTTACGGTTACTGATACCATCCCGATGCCGGATTCTGCGAATCGCACTGTCACAAAGGAGCTCCGTTATAATGGATCCAAGACTCCAGTCACGAACCAAAATCGCCTGGTCTACATCTCATATATTGCGCGGTACCGTCTACAAGTGCAACCTGCTATGCAGACCAACGCTTTCTTGCAAGGCCTGGGTCAGATTATTCAGCCTGCTTGGCTGTCTATGTTCAACCAGGCTGAATTGCAGACCCTGGTCAGCGGCGAGAAGGCAGACATTGATGTTGAGGATCTCCGACGTAACACACTGTATGGAGGGGTTTACACAATCGGCGATGACAATCAAGAACATCCAACCGTCAAGCTGTTCTGGGAAGTGCTGCATGAAATGACCAACGAAGAGCGACAGAAAGTGTTGCGGTTTGTCACCTCAACCCCTCGGGCTCCGTTGCTTGGATTCAGTCACCTCAACCCCCGATTTAGCATTCGCGATTCCAGCGAGGACCAGGAGCGCCTGCCGAGTACTAGTACCTGCGTCAATCTCCTTAAGCTGCCGCGTTATTCCAATGCAGAGACCCTTCGAACTAAATTGCTGTATGCGGTCAGCTCCGGAGCAGGGTTTGATCTAAGTTAGTGACATTGGCTATCTTTCTTTGCATTCTTTTTTTTGTCGTTTCAGCCCCGCCCCTGCCAGGACTTACATTATTTGTTGACATTGTACTTCTCTCTCTCCCTCTCACTATATCTCTTGTATGTACTCCCACAGGTTTCTTTTACTCGTGGTTCGTGTTGCATAGCATTATTGGCGTCGAGCAAATAGCGGACTGTTCATTGGTGCAGGAGATCCCCTCCCCTCGTGTTCCCACCCACGAGGGAGGAGGGTCTAAGCTAGGGGGCTTGTGTCTTTCTCTCTGCACTTAGCCCTTTTCAGATAGTCAAAAATTTCGATTCATCTTATTTGAACCTCTCCTGAATATATCACCCACTTTCAAGCTGCACCTCGGCTCATATTTGCATATCCTGGAAGTTTGTTATCTCATGGCTTATCGCCGGCTATCGACGCTATCAGTCCCATCTCCCGTGATCTACCCACCTCCACGTGACTGAAGCCCTCAAAGCGACACGCACCGCCTTCCTTTATGGGGATAGCGCGGCCCTCTTCACTTTCCTCTGAGTTTTCCAGAACGCCTTCTTCGCGGGTCACCTTTTTTTTTTTCTTCATCCCTCGAACTCTTAAAACACCTCTCTCTTTCTTAGGGAAGCCTTTGTTCCTTTCGACCTCTCATCGAAAGACTAAAAAAAAATCTTCAAAAAAAACCAGAAAAACCCCCGCGAAAAAAACCCTCTCAGTTATCTTATCTCATCCCCTCCCCATTGTGCGGTGTGTGGAAGATTTTCATTCAACCGCCGTCTCCTTCCACTTTTCCAGGTCAGTCGCGTCCCTCGAGTTCTTTACACCACCACCACCCCGTTTCTTCCGTCTCGGTTGTCTATCAGTGAATGCATCTCGTGTCAACCTCGGTGCGATCTTGGAAAGCCCTTTGTCTCTTCGTGGAGCCGCCGCCCTGCGCGGTATGGGCCACATCCCACATGCCCCTACAACACGCCTCCTTTTGCCCTCTCCATGCCTGCGCCATGTTTCTTGACAAAGGAAGTACATGTTTTGCAGTATACCCTTCTTGTCTTTCATTCTTCTGCCATTCCTCACAACGAAGACTCAATCTTGGAGGAATCACTGCTAACGCTTTGATAGTAAAGTCAGAAAAGAAAAATCCAAAATGTCTGCCGAAGCTGCGACCACCCCTACCGCCACTGACAACACTGTCAACGGCACCCCCGAGGCCAACGGTGCCGCGGACACCACTCCCGCTCCTGAAACCGCCGGCGAGGGTGCTGCCGCCGCCGCTAACGCTCAGCCCCACTCGGCTTCGCTCTATGTTGGCGAGCTCGACCCCTCTGTGACCGAGGCTATGCTCTATGAGCTCTTCTCTTCCATCGGCCAGGTCGCCTCCATCCGTGTCTGCCGCGATGCCGTCACCCGCCGCTCTCTCGGTTACGCCTACGTGAACTACAACAACACCGCTGACGGCGAGCGTGCCCTGGAGGACCTGAACTACACCCTCATCAAGGGCAAGCCTTGCCGTATCATGTGGTCCCAGCGTGACCCTGCCCTGCGCAAGACTGGCCAGGGTAACGTGTTCATCAAGAACCTCGACAACGCTATTGACAACAAGGCCCTGCACGACACCTTTGCCGCCTTCGGTAACATTTTGTCCTGCAAGGTTGCTCAGGATGAGTTCGGCAACTCCAAGGGTTACGGTTTCGTTCACTACGAGACTGCTGAGGCTGCCAACAATGCCATCAAGCACGTTAACGGCATGCTTCTGAATGACAAGAAGGTCTTCGTCGGCCACCACATCTCTAAGAAGGACCGCCAGAGCAAGTTCGAGGAGATGAAGGCCAACTTCACCAACATCTATGTTAAGAACCTGGATCACGAGATCCCTGACGAGGAGTTCCGCACCATGTTCGAGAAGTTTGGTGAGATCACCTCCGCCACCCTGAGCCATGACCAGGAGGGCAAGAGCCGTGGTTTCGGCTTCGTCAACTACTCTACCCATGAGAGCGCGCAGGCCGCCGTTGACGAGATGAATGAGAAGGACATCAAGGGCCAGAAGCTCTACGTTGGTCGTGCCCAGAAGAAGCACGAACGTGAGGAGGAGCTCCGAAAGCAGTACGAGGCCGCCCGTATGGAGAAGGCCTCCAAGTACCAGGGTGTCAACTTGTACGTCAAGAACCTGACCGATGACGTCGACGACGAGAAGCTGCGTGATCTTTTCAGCCCCTACGGCACCATTACCTCCGCTAAGGTGATGCGTGACTCTCTCTCCGACCGCAGCCCGTCCCCCGAGTCTGAGGAGAAGGAGGGTGAGAAGGAGCCCAAGGAGGAGGAGGTGAAGGAGGAGGCCAAGGAGGAGGCTAAGGAGACTAAGGAGGCTGAGAAGACTGAGGAGAAGACCAACGAAGAGACTAAGGAGGATGAGGAGAAGGAGGAGGGTGAGAAGTCAGAGAAGAAGCTTCTCGGCAAGAGCAAGGGCTTCGGTTTCGTTTGCTTCAGCAGCCCCGATGAGGCCTCCAAGGCTGTCACTGAGATGAACCAGCGCATGGTCAACGGCAAGCCCCTCTATGTCGCCCTTGCCCAGCGCAAGGATGTCCGCCGCAGCCAGCTTGAGGCCAGCATCCAGGCCCGTAACACCATTCGCCAGCAGCAGGCTGCTGCCGCCGCTGGTATGCCCCAGCCTTACATGCAGCCTGCCGTCTTCTACCCCCCGGCCAGCAGGGCTTCATCCCCGGTGGCCAGCGTGGCGGTATGCCCTTCCCTCCCCAGCCCGGCATGGTCATGGCTGGTATCCCCGGTGGACGCCCCGGCCAGTACCCCGGCCCCTTCCCCGGTCAGCAGGGTGGTCGTGGCATGGGCCCCAACCAGCAGATTCCCGCTAACTTCCAGGGCATGCCCATGGGCATGCAGGTTCCCGGTGGTATGCCCAACGGTATGGGCTACCCCATGCAGGGCCAGTTCGGCCGTGGTGCTGGTGGCCGTGGTCAGGTCCCTGGCATGCCTATGGGCCAGGGCATGCGCGGTGGTTTCCGTGGCGGTCCTCAGGGCCAGATGGGTCGCGGCCAGGGCCGCGGTCAGCCCGCCCCCGCCGGCCAACCCGGCCAGGCTGAGGCTACCCCCGCCAGCGGTATCAGCTCCCAGACTCTTACCAGCGCTCCCCCGGCTCAGCAGAAGCAGATGCTCGGTGAGGCCCTCTACCCCAAGATCCAGGCTCAGCAGCCCGAGCTCGCTGGCAAGATCACTGGTATGCTTCTGGAGATGGACAACACTGAGCTTCTTGGCCTGTAAGTTTTGATTTACCTCTTAATGTTTACCCTGTCACGCATGCTAATCGATTCTTATGTAGACTTGATGATGAAGAGGCTCTGCGTGCAAAGGTCGATGAGGCCCTCAGCGTTTATGATGAGTATATGAAGAACAAGGGTACCGAGGGTGAGGCGACTGGCGAGTCCAAGCCCAAGGAGGCCGCCAAGGAGGCTTCCTCGGAGGAGAACAAGTCTTAGATGACGTGTCTCTACAGTCGAACGCCTCCCAGACGATCGTGAATGGCAGCTGGTTTTATTCTCCGCGCCGCTCGGATATTCTTGGATGCACGTTTTGATGACAATTTCTTTTTCTGTTTCATTTTTCTTTTCACTATTTCTTTCTACCGTTGACCCTCCGAATCCTGATATCCCTCGGTTTGAAAAGTTCTTGTGTTAGGCAGTGTCAACCTTACTGGTGTTTAGTGAATGTGGCACGACTTTTGATTTCTCCTCTCCTGCCTCTCTAGTACGCTTCCTACCTGGAACTCCTGCTCCCCTTCCCCTGCCTGTATCGAGATGGGGCCAGTCTGTTGAGGGAGCAGCGCTGTGTTCAGGGGTCGGTAAAAGTCCTTTTTCTTGCTTTCTATCTTTCTACTTCGGGCGCTGGACGTGAGGTTTTTTCTATGATCAACCTTCTCTTTTGAGGTTATCGTTGTCGGGAGGGAGTTGTGACGTCTTTCTCTTCCTGTCCCTCAATTTCTGTTCTTCTTCTCTCCTTCGTATCTCTTTCTTTATTTCCTACGCGTGTAACATAGAGCTTCAGTCTTTCCTCGCGGATGGGCTACGAGCGCTGGTCCCCTTCGCTATGCTTAGGTTCATTAGCATAGTCCTATCAAGATAATGGGAAGGCTACGAGCCTGCTCTGATTTTTTGAAAATGCTTCCGATAACTATCATAGATCGGTTCTCTCTCATATCCGCATCCATTCATCATGTAAACCTTGTGCGGAGTAGAGAAACGTTTCTGGTCATTTGTATGCCAAATGTCGGGTTCTGCACCGCTGACTCAGCGTGGATGAACTCAGGCTCAACCCCATTTTCAACAACCGCCAGTGAGGTTGCAAGGCTCCGCGTCAAGTTGCATGAGGATCTAGAAATGATATCGAAATGACCTTTTCACCATGGATCGACCAGAATACTTACCCAAAACTTCTGAGATTGGTTCCTTGACTGCGCATTCGAATGAAGACAGCCAGTTTGTGGGCAGCTCTAGTGGTGTCTACTTTATCAATACCGTCAAGCGTGCTTTCTCGACCGGATTGGATGCATCAGGATCGCCTGAAACGGAGTTTCCCACCGCCGAAGATACCCTAGTTGGCGCAGAGGACTCTTCAAATCAGAAGCGTCGTCGGACCATCTCTTCCAGAGCAGACTCCACTGCGTCGCCTCTGGCGAGAGAAATTATCTCGCAATGGAGATACAACCCGGATATAGCCGCCTTCTTGGGTAGTGCACCTCCACAAGAGCTTGCAAAAGAACTCATGATGGCGTACTTCAAGGTTTGGCATCCTCTCTTTCCTTTCCTACATGGCCCCACCTTCTTGCAGGCCATGGAGAGCTCGTATTCCGCAGAAGCACCAAAGCCAACAGAAGAACACCGTAGCCTTGATCACCGGGACACATGCTGGACAGTCATTCTACAATGCGTCTTCAACCTTGGAAGCTTACTCTGCCCGGAAGTGGATTTCCCAGCACATTGTCGAATCCAGTCCCCTGCCAGCATGACATCCTTGCTTGACGGGTTTTCAACACGACATGATATTACATCACTGCAAGCGCTACTGGCTGTGCAGGTCTACTTAGTTGCAACAATGTCCTTGCGACTAGCATCTACATTCGGCGGATGCATTTTGCGCTCTATGCTCCATGCCGGATTGCACCGTTGCCCGTTTCGCTATACCCAGCTGTCATCCCATGACCGTCAATTGCGAAAACGGCTCTTTTGGTGCGCGTATGCCATTGACCGGTACTTAAGCCAAGCCCTCGGCTTGCCACTCGGCATTCAAGATTCGGATATTGACGTGTGTCTTCCTGCTGCGCCTGAAATGCACTCTGTGCGGCGTGGGAAGAATAAAAACACAAATGCGGAATTTGCTTTGCCCAAAACACCTATAATTGGCGACCATAACAGCAGAGCCCGACCAGAAAATGAACAGACAGACTCTGACACTTCGCAGATTCCCCAATCGAGGAATATGTCTGATCGTGATGGTTGGGAGGCGGATTATCGTAGGAGAGAACGTGTCTTAGCAAGCTATGTCCATTCTGGTACACTGACAGGCCGAGCGTTGGAGCTATTTCACAAATCGATTCTCGTCCGGTCTGTGCGTCGGAGCTCAGTGCTATTCCTGGTTACTGATGTCCACAAGTGGTGGAATAGTCTTCCATTGGATCTTCAAGGGAAATCGGTGGCAGCAGGAAATCTGCCATCGGCCGCCGATTTAGAAACCCCTTTTGATTACGGTCCCTTCTTCACTGTGCTATATCAGCACCTAATTCTTATCATCAATCGACCTTCACTGTCACTGGATCCCGCAACTGCAGAATTTTGTTCTGGACTGCAGACCTGCATTGGTGCTGCCAGGGCCATCATATCCGCGTTGGAGATGCAGGTGCAAAGTCAACAAGCATTGTTCTGGCCCGGGTTCTTATCAGCAGCCTGGATGTCAGGGCTTGTACTGGCTTTTGCCTGTCAGCTCAAGCAGTACGTTCTTGGCAAGGGGTTACAGTGAGTCTCGGTAATCTACGCAATTTCTCATGAATAGTCACTAATATCAGGGTAGAGAAATCAAAGCATGCTCAGAGTTCCTCGGCCGAATGTCCACCCAATGGGAGACTGCAAGGCAATGCCATATGGCACTATCTTTCCTATCGAATAAAATAAAGCAAATGGAAAACGAGTCAGATAGGACATCGAAGTCGCATGCTTATGCCCTGGGGTACGGAGAACTTGATACAGAGTCCATTAATATCCCGCAACTACGTGGAAATAAAGAAAGATGGTTCAGAATACCCCCGGATAATTATGGGGTAGATAAAGAGCCGGACAGTGCTAATCCACCGCTTGCGGAGCCGTCAGAGCTTCCACACGCATCTGGATTTGTAACCTTACCAAACTCTGAAGCCTATGAATCACGACCTGACTCGAACCAGATACATATGAGATCTTCCTCGATGTCAAATCTCAACGGTGAGGCTGTGCTAGGTGAAACTCCCGTGTCCGCCGAAATGGAATTTCAAAGTGCAGACGCCGATTATCTAGCTGGTGGCTCAAGCTTCGACCTGAACATGGTTGATTTACTACAAGGGGCGAATTTTGATTCACTATTTGACATGGTTGGGCAGCGATATCCTAGCTTTTAGATCTTTATCCCGAGGGCTAATGCTCAGTGATTGATCGGTGGTCATTCCTGGTCTATTAGTGACCGACCCGTCGGCATTGCCCTGTGGTTACCGGTATCCATGGACTGTTCATAATTATACTAGGCCAAAGAGTATCAGATATCTCAAAGTCTCTCAATTTGAATAAATATTTATGCAAGAATATCTGCTTTCCTAGTATGCTTTGTATCGACGAAAAAAAAAACTAAAATGCGAATCGATTTAAACGAAGGGGGCAAGTATGAGCTTGAACAAGTGATCGCGTATCTCAGTAACGTGCGTCCCTCCATAAATGCTTCCCGCCGATACCGCTTATGGCCAAGATACTTTGAGAAAGTCCCCAAAATCGACAACCCTCTCGCGTCAGATCATAGTAGTAAGTTTAGCAAGATTTAAAACTGATCTGCATCATGCAGTAATTCAATTTTCATCATAAATCACAATCTTTGATCCTAATGAGCACTGACAGTCCTTCCGCTTGACTTGGCCGCTTTCTGAGGGGAGTCTACGTTTTATCCAACTATACTCTACAGCCGGCCATCTTCTAGAGCAAAAATAGTGTATTTCTAGTATACTGTAGTAGGAAAAAGAATAAGGAGGAAATGTCTGATGGACTCGCAATCTAAACAACTTAGAAAAAAAAATCACAATAAAGAACCTGTGCTGAGCGTATCCACTCTATGGGTGGAAAGGCCTTGGTTTGCTGCTGATTATCTGCATTACATATTCAGGCTGAGAAGTCAGTGGACTGAGTAACCAGGAGACTCGAAATACCATGCCGACGAAGAATCAGCTCCGTTGAAGGGACGTCTCGAAAGATTATGTTCCGGTCGAATGGAAGTCCTTCTAAATGTGGTATGTAGTTTAACCAGCCTTTGACAATACCCTCGGCAGCCCCATAGATCCCTGCTACACTAGTGAACTTGCCAGGAACCTCAACAGACACATAGTTGGGGTGACAAGTGCACATTGGCTCTGTGCTGAGGCTGGCAGAACGGTCAACAATACAGGCTTTTAATCGCCGAAGGATGCGCTCATCGCTCAGATGGCGTTCACCGGGAAAAAAGCCGACATTCACCCAGTGCAGATCAGGCCTCTCGAAAATGAAGCTGGGATCCATGAGGAAAGAGCGGTTTTGCTTTGTGGCAATTTTGAATACTTTCGTGATCACTTGACAAGTCTGCTGGAATCGACTATGTGACGGTTGCTATTGGAAAATTATTTTTTGGACTAGGGAGAAGGCTATATAGACATCCATTGAATAATTTATATGGCTTTCATTGTCCACGAAGTCCATTCAAGATTCATTCATTGGATATTACGGTAATAGGATGCGCAACAGAGTCCTTGTGGTTCGTTGAGAACAAAACTCTCCCTTTTATTGTGCTTGAACTTTATTCCTTTATCTCAATTTTCATAGCATGCGTTGACTAGGGGAAACAAATGAGTCAACCGAGTAGTCATTGGGAGATATTCTTCTGTACATAACCGGCATGCTGGACATAGACGGCATGCCATTGTTTGATCTGTTTGTTTGAGAACGCTGATGATGACTTGAAAGTAATATTGAAAGAGATAATGTATCGTACTTCAAACTCAAGATCTGAAGTCCAAGTTGATGGATTCAATTTCCGCGCACACGGCGTCAGTCACTCCTTGCGTGTTCGATGTGCCCCCTAAATCTGGTGTCAGAATGCCTTTAGCACATACATTCTCCACACAACGCATCAGGGCAGCTGCTGCATTCTTCTCTCCAATCCAGGAGAGCATTTCTGCGGCCGACCAGAAAGTAGCAACAGGATTTGCGATTCCTTTGCCAGTGATGTCAAATGCACTGCCATGAACCGGCTCGAACAAGGAGGGATTCTTGCGGGTTGGGTCTAAGTTGCTTGAAGGGGCAACTCCAATGGACCCGGCCAATGCAGCGGCTAGATCAGACAAGATGTCCATATGTAGGTTGGTGCCGACAATCGTGTCAATGGACTCCGGTTTCATTACCATGCGAACGGTCATGGCGTCCACTAACATCTTATCCCAAGTGACGTCGGGGAAGTCTTTCGCGACGGAAGCGGCAACTTCATCCCATAGGACCATGCCATTCCGCATAGAATTGCTCTTAGTAACCACTGTGAGGAGCTTCCGGGGCCGTGACTGCGCGGTCTCGAAGGCAAAACGCATAATCCGCTCAATGCCGATCCGAGTAAACATGGCGACTTCTGTTGCAGCTTCCCACTGCTGGCCAATGTGTGAACGGCCTCCCTGGCCCGAATACTCTCCTTCGGAGTTCTCACGAACGAGCATCCAGTCGATGCCTTGAGTTGCGGTATTAAGTGGGCATTTTGTGCCTGGGAATGTTCTCACTGGTCGGACATTGGCATAAAGTTGCAGAGGGCCTCGGATAGCGAGCAGAAGACCCCAAAGTGAGATATGATCCGGCACATCTGAGCTGTTAGCCTCTATCCGATCATTTTCAAGACGGGTAAACCGTATAGTTTCTCTTACCTGGGGCGCCTACGGCGCCGAATATTCCGGCATCAAATTTACGAAGCGTATCAAGAGCATCTTCAGAAACATAGCGCCCAGTTTCCTTGTAGTATGCCGTTCCCCATGGAATATGTGTGAATTCTATCTGGAAAGTGCCGAGTGTCTTGGCCAGCTTCTCGACTACTTGAATGGCGGCGCGGACCACCTCGGGACCAATCCCATCACCGGGGATGGAAGCAATGCGGTATGAGGGAGCCATTTAGAGAGAGTGAAACGGAGCAGGAGAGATGATTCTGCCATCTCGAGCAGAGCAATCTTGCGTTTATGTACTACGTCCTGTTCATTTAACGTGGCTGCATCGGCGCCGCCTGATGGTTCTCGCGTTCGGCAGAACTTTCAGGCGAGGGGATTTCCCGCCCAGCCTCCACTTCCATCATACACATTCTTTTACATGTACCCAACCCGCACCGAACTAGACGCCGAAAATGAAGGAGAAAAAGCCATCGCGAATCACTGTGGCATGCAGTGCGTGTCGCTCACGAAAGCAAAAGGTAGGTCTGTCTTTGTCATAGGCCCCGAATCATACAGCTGACTTCGATTGAATCATGATCCAGTGTAGCGGAGAGAAGTAAGTTTCACATAGGGTTCCCTGCCACCCTTGTTTCAGGTTCCATTGTATTGATGCATAGCTTGATCATGAAACAGGCCAGTTTGTGAGCAATGTTTCGAATTCAACCGACCCTGTAAATGGCCAGAACAACTCAGACGGTATGCGGAAGGGCCATCCTGAAGCCGGTACATAATCGGTATGACGACTGACGACTTTGGCAGGGGTCCTGCAAAGGGCTATGTCGAGGCGTTAGAGCATCGCCTCCAAATCACTGAGAATGTACTTTTGACATTGCTCTCTCAAGTCTCCGAGACCCAGCTGGGGAACGTATTTCCTGAGAGGCTTGCATCTAAGCAAGAGAAGAGGACTGCCTATGCCCCCCTTGCAAGAATTGAGAAAAAGGGAATCGAAGATTGGTCTCAGTATCCGCTAGACACTGCACGCAATATCCGCATCTGGCAGCACGCCTGTACCGATCAGGGAACTCCCCCATCCCAGAGACGGCCCGCTGAGGCTGATTATTCTTCCCTCGCGGAGAGTCACCGAGGCATCAAAAGGAAGCTGCCGGATGAGTCAGGATACGCGACTGGTGCTATCCGAGCCCGACTTCCGCATTCGCGATCGCCTGAACATCATCTCGATCAGAGACCTGAAAGTTCCACTTCGATTTCTCATGGGTCGGCTTATGACTCGCAATTTCTTTCCTCAGAGAACCCATTTGAGGCTGAAAGGCCAAGAGGGGCTCTAGACGGAACATCTTGTGATGTTGCCAGTCTACAGGCTAGTATGATCACCCCTTTCGAAGAAGGTCTCCCGGCCCAGGCTGGCAGTTCTTGGAATGGCGCCCCTTCTCTTCACTTCCAACAGAGGTTTCTTTGGTGAAGAGACATCAAGCAGAAACTAGGATATCTTTTCCCAAAAAACGTGACGGCGCCAAGAGCCTCGCAGTCTCGGAATTACCCCGGTCAGCCGCCCCACGCCCCATGATTGATTTATCTATATGGCTTCCCCCGCAAAGGTACATATCGATTTGAGGCCGACAAACCCAATTATCGAAGAAATAAATATGGGTCCAGCTAGGTGGGAGAGCCCCACAGCGCGGGGGATATGGGGTCTCCAGGCTAGTGTCGTGAGCGGCATCCGAGGCACTCGACAGATTAAGTCGATTTTCTTCAGGAACAACACCAGCTTGACCAGAATCTTCGTTCTTGACCGTGTACACGCAAACCCCTTAGACTGCTGAACAATAATGACGATAAAAAAGGTAGTCTAATCTCGACCAATGTGGTGAGACAATTAACTGATCAGTTGTGCTAGGTTATTGTGGTAGGCGCAGGGCCATCCGGCTTGATTCTCGGGCTTCTTCTAGCCAAACAAGGCATTGAGGTAGAATTATTAGATGCCGGTGCAGAGCTTGATAAACAACCTCGCGCAGCTCACTATGCAACCCCGGCCGCTTATGAATTGGCACGAGCCGGAGTCCTTGATGATGTCAGGGCTGTAGGGATAAACTGCAAGAGTTTTGCGTGGAGGAAGATGGACACCAGCTTCATTGCCGGGTTGAAACACGATGTGCTGCCAGATGACTATCCATATAGGATGGTTGTTCTTCCCCTGGATCGCCTGGGGCAGTTGCTTTATGAACACATCCAACGGCAACCGACCGCTACAGTGAAATGGTCGCATCGCGTCATACGGGTTGGCCAGGATAATGACAAAGCCTGGGTAGAAATTGAGACGCCTACAGGTACACAGACTTCAGAGGCAGACTATGTCATTGGTTGCGATGGGGCTAGCAGCACCGTGCGACGAGAACTGTTCGGTCCTGAGTATCCTGGGGAAACTTTGGATGCGCAAATTATTGCCACAAATGTTCGAAAATCCTCCCCATGCAGAAATGAAAGAGGACTACGTCAAAATACTGACATCCTGTGATAGGTATATTATGACTTCAGTCGCTTCAATTACTGGGACAGCAATTTTATTGTCCATCCAAAGAACTGGTACATGGCAGCTCGAATCACAACCGATGGGTTGTATCGCGTCTCTTATGGAGATATTCCAGGACTCACTAGAGAAGAATATCTTGCACGGCAGCCCCAGCGGTATGAGGAGATTCTACCCGGTAACCCCAAGCCAGGCGATTATAAGATCACCAACATAAGTCCCTATAAACTGCAACAACGATGCGCGCCTTCTTTTCGGGTCGGTCGAGTCATCCTAGCCGCGGACGCGGCGCATCTGTGCAACCCATTGTGAGTGAGGCTTTTGTCGGTTTATCAATGATTTGGAATGATTTATTAATTCGTCTAATCAATGCAGCGGGGGTCTGGGATTGACCGGGGGTATAGCTGATGTTGGCAGTCTCTACGACTCCTTAATGGGAATCTACAATGGCTTAGCAGATGACAGCATCTTGGACAAGTACAGTGAAATTCGAAAACGCATTTGGACAGAGACTATTGATCCGATGTCACGCGAAAATTTTCGTAGGCTGCACGACCAAGATCCGGACCAGGCTCGTGAGAACGATGAATTCTTCCAAACGTGCCTTCAAGCCGAGACAGATGAAGATCTTGCGAAAGAGCTGGCGCTGGTAGGTTTTTGATGCTAATAAACAATGTTTCTCATGCCTAGGGGCTAATATTCTTCCAGGGCTTGGAGGTACTGCGACATGATATGACACAATATTATCACAAATAGTAGCTTGAGAAATCCATGAAAGGGATTTTTGATGACATAGAGGGAATTTTGGATATCCTATTAGAATGATACGAATCGCCGATTATCTCTACAATGGATATTTTTCGAGTGTCCAAGCAAAAGTATGTGATTTTGTATGAATCTTGTAGTGACCGTAATAGGAGAGTCTACCCTATAGTTGCAAGGCTTGTGAAATTCGAATTCTCATTTGATATGTATGATTAAATACACACTGATTCAAGTGGCCAATTTTTTAGGGGAGGAGGGTTCAGTTCTTGTCCCCGAAAAGAGAAAGCAACAGAAAAAGAGCGACTTCATATTCGTCAGGTGTGTATTATCTCCATTCAAAGTAGTGACGTCAGGTTTTAAAAGCTCTTGCTCCCATATATTTCATTCCTCTTTTACCTTCTGCATCAAGAACACTCGTTGGGTCAATTCGACAATCATTGGTGCAACGCCCGAGCCGAACCAACGATTGATCTCACACCGCCTTCCCCACCACACGCGGTGTTCCCTAGGCTGCGATCTTCGAGTCTGCTTTTACCTGCCAACGGACATAGTTTGTTGCCTCTCTCTTGATGTCGACATGGGATCTAAAACACCGGAGCATGAATTCCCAAACGGCGGCGGTATGTATATGGCTTTCCGGTCCATGACCCCAACTCGATCAGCTTTGCTTACTATCAACAGATGAGCCTTCCAGCTCGGCCAAAGCCAAGTCCGCAGGTGGAGAGCCTCGTGGCACCCACCTGGCACGCGATGGCGATGGGAGTTTGGGAGACGGTGACGGAGATGACGATGGCGACGATGATCATCCCGTCGAGGCTGTTACCGAATCGCTGATTCAGCCTCACGCCTCGGCAAATGGCCAAAAGAAGAAAAAACGCAAGAAGTCCAAGAAGAAGACTAGCGCTTCCAAGCAATCCTCGCCCCCAAGAATCCCGATTCAGCAGCTCTTTTCAAAGGGACAATTTCCCATTGGTGAAATTCAAAAGTACACTGCCGTCAATGACAATACTGCCCGCACCACGGCAGAGGAACTACGGTACAAATCACGTTCCCACCTCGAAGATGATAGCTTTCTGGATGATTACCGGAAGGCTGCCGAGGTGCATCGTCAAGTCCGGCGCTGGACCCAGGAGACTGCCCGACCAGGCAAGTCACTCACTGAGATCGCTTTAGATATCGATGACGGTGTCAGGTCGCTACTCGATAATGCCGGCCTAGAACCTGGCGCATGTCTACTCTCAGGCATGGGATTCCCAACAGGACTGGCGCTGAACAACTGTGTCGCGCACTGGACCCCTAATCCCGGACAGAAAGATGTAATTCTCAAGCAAAGCGACGTCTTGAAAGTCGACTTCGGTGTCCATATCAACGGATGGATTGTTGATAGCGCTTTTACCATTTCGTTTGATCCAATGCATGACAACTTATTGGCCGCAGTCAAAGACGCAACCAATACTGGCATCAAGGTACGAGGAACATGGAATTAACACCTAATTTTTGCATGTGCAAGATAGCTCACTCCCTTCTAGAATTCCGGAATCGACGTTCGGATCAGTGATGTCAGCGCTGCAATCCAGGAAGCGATGGAAAGCTACGAGGTAGAAATAAATGGCAAGACCATCCCTGTAAAACCTGTACGAGATCTCAGTGGGCACAACATCAACCATTACCGGATTCACGGCGGAAAGTCCATCCCCTTCATAAAGAATTCTGACCAAACTAAGATGGAAGAAGGAGAGATCTTCGCCATCGAAACGTTTGGATCGACCGGGCGTGGCGTGACAAGAGAGGGCGTACGTATCTCGAATGTATCCCACTTAGAACTGAATTTTAACATTGTTTTAGCCTGGTGTCTATGGATATGGAAAAGATCCACATGCACCAAAGAAGATCAATGCTCCTCTTGCCTCAGCCAGGTCTCTCTACCAAAAAATCAACGAGAACTTCGGCACTCTCGTCTTCAGTCGCCGCTATCTGGAGCGGCTTGGAGTCGAGCGATATCTGGCCGGCGTGCGTCTCTTCTAGAACCTTTCATATGTCCAAGATCCATTACTGATAAAAGACAGATGAATTATCTTGTTTCGCAAGGTATTGTTGACATGCATGCGCCGTTGATGGACGTCGAAGGGTCCTACTCCGCGCAGTTTGAACATGTAAGTATCGCGAGCCCTACATTATCGCGCTCGTGGCCAGGCTGACGAATTCTAGACCATCCTCCTGCGAGAATCAGGCAAGGAAGTCATCAGCCGTGGAGATGACTATTGATCTCTTATTAGTGATGCTATCAGCGTCCTAAACCCATTGATTTTTTTGGTCTTGAATTCCTTGTTCTTGGCATCATACAACATGGTGTCTGTCTGTCACTCCTTTAAACCGCTATCCCACTATCCAACATAGATACTCGTTCAATTTGAATTTTTCATATCACAACGTAATAACTTTTCTTCTAAATCCTAGTACTAGTCGTGGTAGCTGTGAATGGAAGAAGAGATAAACAAGGAATACGGGTCCAATGATTTATTAAACATTGAAAAGGCTACTGTGGCTCACATATTCCACATGAATGACCCATCATCGAATGAGAAAAGATCGCTCTCAAAGTTATAGAACTCAGACGCAAGCTCAGATGGCTGTGGGGTGATGTCAGGAAGTTGTGCCATCAGAGGAGTGGATATCGGCGGCAGCTCATTGTCAATTAATGAAGCCGCATCGGCGGTGTTGTACTGGTGTAATGTTAGCGCGGTATATCTCATATTATTGACCATTTGATTGATATACTCCTACCATTCGCGCAAGACCTGTCATCTGAGCTTTTAATGAGCTTTCTGGAACCGTAGAGAGCAGGTGCTGGCGACAGGCAGAAAGAGTCTTCTTGGCTCCCTGAAACATCAGATCTTCTCTTTGCTCCGCTGAGCCACGAGCACGAACGGACTGTAGGACAACAGCAAGGAGAAGGATATCTTTGACATTGCTCCCCTTCTCCTGCATACGACGTGTCAAACTGTCAAGTGTATTTTCAACGAGCCGCGTAAGGCTGGCTTTGCTGGGCAGTTGGCTGTACAAGGAAGTTTCCAATGGATTATTTTCAGGGGATGGGGCGGTTGTTTGTTGCGAATATGATCGGATGTGTTCGCATACAATGAGAGCGGCCCAGAGAATGTCTTGTTGGCAGAAGGTGTGAAAGACATTCCAGTATACGTTCGAGTTGACTTCAAGGTCAGTAGTATTGGGATCAAAATAATCCTGATAGGAGAGAATCGCTATTGATGATTCGAGACAAGAGTGTCGAATCTCGTGTAATGAGGCGTTTTCGTGATCACTATTGGTCACCACAGGCCGATAAAGGCAGAGTAATGGGCGGCGAAGAAACACATCCAACAGAACATTGTGAAGGGCGGTCGCGGGTTTGGCGCTTGCCATGTAGTGATCCAGCCTGAGCGGAGAAGGAATAGATTTCAAACAGTCTTCTAGTTCCTGACCTTGCCTAAGGCGTTCTTCTAGGTTGTCCTGTGAGGTTGTATGCTGGACAGTACCCATGATTCTGATTCTCCGGGACAAGGATGTTGCCAGTATAATTTGAGAAGAAGCACTAGTTTCTTCTTCCAGTGGCATCGGGGGTGGTAGTTCAAGCGTGGACTCATCAAACATGCCATCATCAAGATTCGCTGGTGTCAGAGGCCCAAAGTCCAGCGCAGGCGTCATGACAGGCATGCCGGCAGCAATCGAGACTTGCAGATCCATCTCAACAATAGTGATCCATAATCGACGGCGACACTCTGCCTGGAATACAGAGAGGCTTGTATTGTGGGAGAGATTGACATGAAGACCCATGACTATTGCGGAGCGCACGAGAGACCCGCTAGCTTTCCAGAGCTCTTCTGGGGATTCAAGTCTCAATTGTCGCGACAGCACAATAAGTGTCTCAACTTGCAGTGATTCCAGGTCAACCCGGTACTTTCTTGGGAGATTATTCAGCCAAATCTGCAATAATTCAATAGCGTCGTTTTTGAGGTAGTCCCACGAGGATAAAAGTTCGGGGGAGAATGGATCGGGCTCCAGGCAAACCGCAACAGCCAAAATTGCTGTCAAGAGAGGGGCAATACAAAACAACTTGTGGTCTGTACTTTGCCAAAATATGCCATGCCGACGAACAAACGAAGGAACATGAATAATTCTGAAGGTCTTTTCCAAGTTTTTGATGTATACATCCAACAGTCGGTCACACGCCGTCTTTGGAGGCAGGCGATTCAAGAGATTCTCAAGCTCTGCAAATGTCCCGATACCTGACATTGAGTTGGGTGAATTAATTACCTCCTGGGTTTTTGCTTGCAGGAATTGGACTTCCTTGGCTAGCCCTACGAGGGCTGAATCGGTGGAGCATTGGTTGATGAATGCTTTGGCGTTGGGAAACTGATACGAGGTTAACGAGACTCCCTGTATGCGAGAAATGGAAGACAGGGATAAGGGCAATGATACCTGGTTCAAGAGAGTGATCCGGTTATTCTGGCCGTGATATCTCGATCGCGAGCCCTTTACTACCAACGTTCCGAGGACCGATGAGGTCGTCGCGGTGGAGCCAGGTTGAGGCCTGTTCAGTGTACAGGATTGGCGCATTAGAGGGATATGCCAAGCACCATTTGCAAAATAGCAGAATAAGGAAGCTCGTACCAAGAATCCTGGATCGGGGCGTCTCTGATGGGACCAAATTGGCCCGCAGTGGGCCGAACTGCCAGGAGCTCTTCCAATTTGACCACGCGCTGCTGTAGATCCTCGATGATGCCAGTCCCTGACACGCGCGCTGGTCCCTGTTGGGCACGATCGTCGTCGTCGATGTCATATTCTAAGTGGACTCGCTTTGGTCTACCTGGATGCTCGATGGGACCAGGATGCTGACTGTAAGTGCAGTTCGCCCGACATCCCGCTTTGGTGCAATTCTGACATGGCGCGACCCGATCGCATTTCAGCTTCTTCTCCCGGCACCGGAGACAAGAGACTACCGGTCGCGGTCTTTTTCGCGAGGACGGAATTTCCATTGCCGATCAGGATCAACCTGCTCGCACCAAGAAAGGCGTGGCTCTAGAGACCGGGAGATGTTAAGTGAAAGGCTGCCAAGCATCGCGGCGACGCGATCGACAAGTCGCCCCCATACGAGCATCCGCGCGATTGGCGCTTCAGGCGAAATTTGGCCGCTATACACCTGAGACTTGAAGATTATATTCATCGAGGACAGGTCCCGTTATTCTATCTCCATTTTATACTATGGCGTCAATCATTATCTAGTTTGTGATGACAGGAGTCGTGTTGTCCCACTTGGTCTGGATCGCCGCATCCACCAAAAAGCAAGCCACACTATTGCGGCTGGCGCTGGCCATCAATGGCACGCCCTGGCCATCATGAGGCCATTCACGGATGGCTGTGACCTCGTTCTCGACTAATCGGGCGGGCCGGACCAGCACATATGTGACGCCACTCGCCCGGACTTCCTGGTCGGTCTGGTTATGGTCATCATACTGGTAGCGCATGTTGGACTTGCTCATCAGCCCGCGTAACAACCAGGACATGTGGGCCCACGATGCTCCCACGCCAAATGCCTGCAGAATAACCAGCTTCAGAATGCCATACTCCTTCATCGCCTTGACCAAATTTGCGTTGCTGTCTGCCATCAACCGTGGCGGGGCAATCGGCGCGGCGAAGGGACTGTCCGTCGCGCGAGGGGCGTTCAGGGTGACGATCACTGCGTCGGGGACAGGCGAACTGATAGCCTTTCGCACATCTGCGATCTCCGTGGGTGTTCCTGATCAGATAGTGAGCAACTCGGCACACAATTAATAGTCTCGGTTGCAGATCCTGTCAAGCTAAGTAGAACATACCTTGAACAATTTTCAATCGGTCGAAGTTTTTCACCGAGTGAGGATCTCGGACAAGAGCTGTAACCTCATGACCTGGGGAGCATATGTCAATTACTCATAATATATCACATCAAATAGAGAGTGGAGACGCTCATACCTCGTCGCAGCAGCTCTGCAATGACCAATTTTCCCGTCCTACCACTACCGCCGATAATAAGGACATGCATTTTCGTCGGGCACAAGGGCGAGTGGTTTGTACGAATTATGGAAATTCACAGATATCAACAAGGCAGTATCAATAAAGCGAAGCTGAGACTTTTTTGGAATATTGAGCAGGAGCAATGAGAGCAGGATCTAGCCTCTTTGATGTTTATATAGTTCGTTTCGACGATCGCAAGTAGTGCAGCTACACTTCGGATCCGACAGCCCGGATCCGAGTCCTGATGGGAATCAACGATACAGAGCTGAAGAATTATTGAACAATTAGTAGTTGATTTCACCAGGACAGCAAGAGTTGCTGTCCCGCAACTCCATAATTATTTTCCCATAGAATTCTCCAAGATTGGTGTGCGCACCTGCTCGTTCTAACCTTCCACCGCACCAGGATGAGAGGCGTCGTATACAAAGCAACGTTATCTCCGATTGTGTCGGTCTTCGTATATATGAGATATAACTCATTCTGATATTCCGAAGAGAGTACTGTGTTGGCCTCCAGATCATATGCACCTAACGAATAGTTGCCATTGACCCCCGAATAGAAATGCATCGGTTCGATCCAGGGACCCTCGGGCGCTGGGGCGGTAATGATGTAGAAGTCCGCGGAAACGGAGTTGCTTGGCTGGCCAATCTAAACGTACGGTTACCATGATAGAGAGTAATAGTAGTTGCCTTGACCACCCGCACTGACATTGTCGATAGTCGCACTGTTATCGTTGAGGGCGGGCAGATCGCTTGTCCAGGCTCCGTTCAATCCATGTGGGATGCGAGACTTCTCTACTGACTACAGCCACGGGTAATCTCAAAGCAGCTCACGCGGCCTGTATATCTAATATAGATAGCAGTGTGATCGAAAACTCTAGCTACATTCAATTGTTGTCCGAGCTGGGCCCTCACCCTTCAAGGGATCAAAAGTTAAACATCCACCAGGCCGCGCGGGTTAACAGAGGAGAGAGGCTGAGATTTAGCTGAGAATCAATGTGGAATGGAAGTTGATCTGTCATGACAAGCCAGTGCAACTCAAATGAATTCCTGCCATTATGATGGAATGAGTCCATAATCAGACGAGTAGGATAGTTGATTGAGTTACGATAGGAAATGACTGGTTGAAATGCCCCGTCAACGTTTCTGGTATTTGAACATGGAGACAGCCACATTACCAGGGAAGCCAATTAACATACAAAACATGAGAAATTTGTGTCAATCTGTATTGCTGTTCTCGAGATAAGATAGCTCTCTATTTCTTCGATAATTAATAGTCCTTTTGTCTCAAAGATAAGCGGCCGCTTCATTCTTGTGAACAAATTTCACTCCAGGGCGGCGAGCAAGTGGAAAATCAGTGGAATGATTCTCAGTCAAGAAGTTGATGCCAGAAACTTGGAAATTGAGACCGTTAGACTACCAGGCCGTGTTATGAAAGACATTAGCTGAGATCATCTTGAAGAGCAAACTCGCCCCGATTGACCCAGTTCTGTATGAATTGCCGGAGTAATCCTGAATTCAGAGCCACGTAAGCAATATCAGGTCGGGATTTTAAAGCGGTCTTTGTATTACTTGGATCGTAAATAGGCGTGTTCTTGCTGGTTTGCAACCGGGTCAGGCCCTCAAAAACAGGCTCTTCGAGCAACGGCATCATGGCCTCCAGCGCATTGCCCGGCGATTGACGGATTTTCTCCACCCACCTCCCGTACTCGATCTTCTCGACGGAGTAACCGAGCTCTCGGAGCATCTGGTGAATCTGGTTATAATTGACGGACTTGGATCGATCTGGAGGAACAATATGATATGATCGACCGAGGTGATCCATGTTGGACGCAATAGACAAGACTGCCGAGGCGACGTAGTCAACAGTAACGTACTCAAGATACTGTGTCTCGAGGTCTGGAAAATAGCCACTTTGAATGCACCCCATAATCAGCCTGGAAAAGTAGTCATTTGCATTGGAAATCCCAATCTGGCTATGACCGATAATAAAACCAGGCCTATAAATCACGGTAGGGATTCCATATGCGCGCGCCCGTTGAACCAGCTCTTCTGCGACAAACTGACTCGCGGAGTAGCCAGTGTCGTAAGGGAGCGCATTTAAATGGGGCATGAGCGGTTCATCCTCGTAAACACGATCAATATTATTGATGAATCCGCTGACACTCCAGACGTCAATTGAGGAGACGTAATGCAATGCTTTTCGGCGACCTATGGTCGCAGCCTGGATGATATTCCGCGTCCCTACCACGTTGGGATTATAGTGTGCCTCGTAAGGATCGCACCAATTGACTCGTGCGCCAACGTGGAATATGGCACTTGCCCAATTAGTGAGCCATATGTACTTCTCCTCCCCAAGTCCTAGCTTGGAGTCGCAAAGGTCACCTTCAAGGACCATGATCTTCTGTGTGATTTCGAGTCGTCCATCCCATAAATTGTACTTCTCCAGCGTCTGTTGAATTCGAGCGCTGGCACCAAGCCCAGCTTGGCTGCGGGCCAAGCAAGCAACCTGCTTCACTGTCGGCATTGTCAAGATTCGCTGTAAAATGTGCGCGCCCAGGAATCCGGTAGCCCCAGTCATAAAGATGCGGCCCTCGTGTGAAGCCTGCCAGTCTGGCAAAGGTAGTGGATAACAAAGATCTTTTGCATCTTTTTCCCATTGCTCAAGCTCAGAGACCTCGGGGGAGCCTTCGCTGGTCGAGCCATTCAGGAAAGCTGCCAGCCTCTTGACTGTGGGATTTTTGTGAATCCCTTGTAGCGTGACCTTTCGCCCATGCTCATGCCAAATACGTCCGATGAGTCTGGCAGTCTGCAAGGAGCTCAATCCTTGATCAAAAAAGCTCTCTGAGGAATCAAGCATTGAGGCGGAAAGCATGTCCTGAATGACTGTGTGGAGCCACTCGTGCAAATCATCCTTAAGACCGCCGTGTCCGTTCGGCTTTTCAGAGTGGCCAGTCTCCTGACCAGATGTCTCTTCTTCGTTCATCTCATTATTGTCGTCACCGGGTCGGAGGGCCTTGCGGTTAACCTTTCCATTTTCAGAAAGGGGGAATGCTCGCTTTTTGTAGACTTTGCTTGGAACCATATATGAAGGAAGTTTTTGCTTCGCCCAATCCAGCAATGTGTTCGAGTTGACCTGCTGTTCCCAGTCGGCGGGTACGACGTACGCTTCCAGAAACCCCGCTTCATCTTGTCGATGGTATGTGACTTCACACGAGAAAACTTCCGGGTGTGACTCAATCGCGGATGCGACGTCTCCAAGCTCGACTCGATATCCCAAGATTTTGACCTGGTTATCCTCCCGGCCAATGTAGTCCAAGACACCCGAAACTTGGTCACGCCACTGAGCTAAATCTCCAGTGCGATACAGACGCGTAGGGGAGTTGGAAGGAGCACCCAACTTCTCCGCATTAATGAAAATGAAACTCTTCTCATTTTCGTCCGTCCGGTTCAGATAACCTGGTGAAATCTGGGGGCCCGCGATGCAGATCTCTCCGGTTCTCCCCGGTGCAGAGACACAATTCAAGTCATGGTCAAGGAGATAGATTGTTGTCTCACCAAAAGTGCGGCCGATACTGATGCGTGACTGTTGGGCCTCTTCGTAATCCACTCGCCCCATAGTGACCAATATTGTTGCCTCGGCAGGACCATATCCATTCCATAGATTTTCTGGTTGAGAATGGTCCAACACCTTGTGCACTGCGTTGCTACTCACCGCATCGCCTCCAACAATGAGATGACGAGTTCCACGGAAGGCCTCCGGGGAGCTCAGCGAAACCATCTCGAATAAGGCCGTAGGCACTACCATGAAAGTAATTCTTTGCTCCTTCACAAACTCTTGCAGCGCAAATGGGTCTGTCCGCGTGAGATCTGGCACGTTGACGACTGCTGCCCCTTCGAGCAGAGGTTTCCACAGTTCAAGGAGAGCCAAATCAAATGCAGGGTTAAGGAGGCAAGATACCCGATCAGATGGACGCAGCCTCCCGCATGGCATATGTTCCAGTGCATGCAGGATGCTTTTGCCTAATATCTGAATAGGCTTCGGCCGGCCAGTCGAGCCCGAGGTAAAAACGATATGGCTTCTGTAGCTGTCTGGATGACCTGCACGGACGTTGAGTTCGTGACCTTCAGCTACTTCGATCCGCTTAGTCAATGCTTCACCAATCGAAATCACATTCAAATTGGGAAATTTATCGGACAAGGTGTTACTGGCAATGACATGCTTAATGGCAAGGTCATCTACCATCCCTCTAAATCGATCTGCAGGCACAGAGGGATCAATAGGAACACAAGTTCCTCCTGCACGTAGGACGGCAATCTGCGCAACAATTTCGGCCAATCCTGCGTCTACCAGGATACAAACGGGCTCCTGCGGCTCAAGAGGGAGTTTCTCCAGAATTTCAACCAGGGCATCAGCCCTCAGTATGAGTTCTCGGTAACCGACAGCACGTTCATTATCGATCACGGCTGTGGCATCTGGCGAGAAATTGGCTTGCTTGACGAGTAGGCTCTCCATAATGACGGGCCTATCTATGGTATCAGGTGGTTTAACGAGAGCAAGAAGTACTTCGGGCGTACGATAACAAATGGTGGAAAGATTGGGGAACAATTGAAGCACCCCTCATCCATCGAGAAAGGTGCTCATTTATAATCTATTCAAGACTCAGGATCACCATACAATAGAATTTCTCTGTCTCTTAACATGTGGTCGTCATTCATTGCCTAGACGAGTTTTGCACATCTTGGATCAGCGGTACCTGTAAGCAGCCCGATGGTGCTCTTTCATTGACCGGCCCGGGTCGGAGATATTTTCCGCCCAATATGATTGTATTGGAGCATATAGACCACATCGCGAATTGTCCTCGCATAACGTGCGGTAAAGCCTGTCATCTAGATTATAGTTTACGCCCAGAAACCTTTGGTCTGAGAGAGGCATGATTTCCAAGGACGAAACTCTTCATTTTCCCTTAATACATCACAATTACAGGCTGCGTCAATCTATCAAAGTCTATGTTTGTGCCACATGTATTGGCTTTGACCGCGTCGGTTGATCCTGGCTTGGGTTTCCAAGTTTTCTTTCTTGAGTCGTCGTTGAACTCTCCAAGATAGATGCCGACCAGGTATTTCCAATTTCATCTGAGTGCATTGATTGCTTCGAAAACTTGATTTCATGACGCTCTGTATTTGATACATACATGGACCCCATAGGTGAATTGTATAACTAGCTGTACACGATCGTTAGCCCACTATTGGAATGTTGTTGAAGTCCCTAGAGTAGGCTGAGATTATATGAACTAGTATTCATTCAGGGCGAATGAAACCAAGCGGAACGAATTCAAGATAAAAAACCTCATTGATTAGAAATAAATAGGCACGCAATAGAGAGCAGGTTGAAGCACCCCATGTATGTGCGTATACTCAGTAGTTACTACATCGAGGTTGCCAGTTGAAAAGATTTAACATACAAAAACACAAACCAAATGGGTCTTGTGCAACCAACCGCTATAGTAGTTAACTTAAATTCACTAGCGAGTCGCCACCCCATCAAAAAGTACGTTCCCATGTGTCATGTACTACTTCCACCACACACCACGCCACCAAAACGCGCTGAAAAAAACGCTCTGGGAAAACGCTCTGAGAAAACACTCAAAATCGCTGGAAAGGGACATTGGATTACTAACCACTATCAAAGCTATTTAAAATGGCTCAGTTAGCTCAATTTCCCAAGCAACATCGCTATATAGTGTGCCTCGATCAACGCTTCGCGATAAGCTTCATGGTAAGCCTTATCGCCAGGAAACACGCACAAATTGCTAGAAGTTGACACAGCAAGAAGATGATTTAATATCCCATTGGATGAGATTGCTAGCTAAGCGAGAATCTGCTTCTAGACCTTCGTATATTCAATATATAGTGAATACTCTTCTAGCAACACGTGAAGAGAAACGGATATCTACTATTGGTGTTTACTCGGTAACACGTTATATTACACGTCGATTTGAGCTGCGTACTCAATATTTAATGCGTCGCTACTATCAACATGCCTAAATCGATCCCCTAGCAAGCCTACGTAAGTGGCTTTGACTAGTTGAAGCAATTATCACCGAGAACGTATTCGAAACGAGGGTACCTATAAATTCAATAAAACCGGCTTCTCAATAAGCCTGATATCTACTACTAGGGTGGTAACAGTAGAGATTCTAAATCAATATTACAACTAGAAATCGGGAGTAGGCAATAGTAATTGAATCTATAACGGCAACTAGATTCTCGCTTCCGCCGTGCATAATATCCAAAGAAAAGGTCCATATTACTGTTATAACTCTACTTACAGGATAGCGACCTGTGAGTAAGGTTTGAAAAGAATAATCGATAATGAATCGGTATTAAATAAAAATATAAGAATATTTTTAGAGCAACGACTGAGTCTTGAGCAAATTCAGTTGAGAAATAAAGGATATTACCTCGTTATGCTTACTCATATAGTCTAACTTGGTTGTATTAATAATGATTGATGATAAAATAAATATCAGTCAATAAGCTTGGATCTGTAAGTAGTCCGATGACTTGAGTTGCTCCCTTGACAGCCCTATTACTTGCCGCGCGCTTCTTCGCCATGACCGCTGTGGCAATGGCAGAATATGCCAAAGCAGCTACTAAGAGGTGGAAAAAATGTCTGAAAAGCGGTCTGTAGGCCTTGGATACTCATCAAGGCGCTTTCGAGAATATGAGATCCTTTCATTTATATTTATGCCCCAAATTTCGATTCCTAGATTGGTGAACTTTGATTCCTCTTCCACCGATAGTCCTTTTTGTAGAGCTTAAAAATAGCGGTTCACATGTTTCAGGAGGGTTTCTAGGCCTTAGCACAACAAAATGCTACGCTGGGTAGCCGCTCAGCCCCCTCTCCCCACCTTCTGTACGCCACAAGAATCCTATGAATATTTACAGATGCATCCGAAGCTGCTCCATATAAATTTTAATGCTTTCTGCGTGATAAAACTTCACTAAGATGGCTAGAAGTCATGTTTGTCCATGGGTATAATGATTTATGCGAGCGCAATACAGCAGCACAATTCACTCTACTCCTTTTTCTTCATTTCTCCAGCCGAGGTATATTTTCGTGGTCACAACCGCCAGAAGCGTTGGACATTTTTGGCCACTGTCACGATCAAATGATTATAATTGGAATTATATATGATCAAGTGCAGCGCTGCGAAAAAGAGGCGTTGCGAATTCTTGGGAAATGTAGTTGATCCCTGATGAATCGTCAACTTTATAGGGTTTAGTTAGTACACTGGTCTCACCGACGATATGTTTTCGGTATACCGCAAGTTGCCAGTAAGTAGCATGCCCGTCTTCCGATCAACAGTTCTCGGGCCCGCGGAGGCAAATTCAGAGTTTCACCAATCACCACAAGGGTATTCGCCTTCCTGAGGACCTTCAATCCACAAAAGTCGGAGTCCCTTATCCCGATATCACCGTAAAATCCGGTTTAATATAGAAAAGAGCGGGGGGCTGAAGTTTAGCCTGCCCTTAATACAATGGAACGTGCCGATCAGTGGACCTATTGAGTGAAATAAGTTCCATATCACTCCTCTGCTCTAGAGCCCTTCTTCCCCCATAATCTGTTTCATTTTTCCTCCAATCATGCCCCACGAAGAAAGGCTTGAAATTTGGGGCCCAATTCAAAGTGTGTCATTCAACGGGGTATATAGGCAGGCTCCTCGTGGCACGCACGGACCTTGTGACTGGTTTCAAGGAAATCTATACCCTGCAGGGGTTGGCGTTGCAGATAGTCGAAAATGAAAGGGGCTTACCTTTTTTTTTTTTTTTTTTGAAAAAAAAAATCCTTGTTGCTCGCTATCGGCAATTCTTGCATCAAAGGTTGCATTGGACAATTAAGGGTTGGGGGTCCTGAGGGTAACCCGAGGAACGCTATGCGCTACGGCCGCTTAAAATTGGGGCACCGGCCGAGGTAGGCCAATTAAGTCGGCAACAGCCGATAATGCTGGGTGGTAGTTCATTGTCAGTGCGCAACACCCCAGTCGGCATTGATATGGCTCTTTTTACTAGTGAGCTGAGTTCCTGCATGCGGGGCCCCGGAATCTCTATATTGCCATCTAGAGAGAATTTCAGATTGAGAAAGCGCCATATGAGGAGGAAACAGAGTACCCCATAACCCTTCAACTCCAAGAACTAGGCAGAATGTTCAACACCTTTGTGGGTATTGACCAAAGTGATTCAACTAGAAATACAGCCGAACGACGCCGTGCCATTGTTGCCAAAGCTTGTATGGAATGCCGAAGGCGAAAGACAAAATGTGTTGGGACTCAACCTTGTACGGGCTGTCAAGCTTGTAATGTGGAATGTGTCTTTCCTGAATATCGCCGACGAGGAAGAAAGTGAGTTCAGCCAGCCTCTTATTTCAGAGCATTTGTCCCAAGATTGACATAATTCAATCTATAGGAGTCAAAAGACTTTGGCCAGCAACGCTACCAACAAAGAATATGAGTCGATTGTACGACTTCTCTTTCCAAATTCCTCGGTTCAATCCCTTCAAGGGCTCTCCAGAGCAGATCTCTTGGATCGCGCAAAAGCAGAGAGTGACTTTTCTCCTCTCACTAGCACACAGGGCTCTTCAATGACCTCTCCTGATGAACCATCTCTTCATAAGGTAAAGTCCGCGCCCGATTTGGACGCCAATGATCGACTCTATAAACTTCAATATCATGACTCAGATATCTTTGAATGGGATGAGAATTCATCAAGAGACTACAACTCCGTTGAAGATGATGTGAACGCGCTGTCTCTGTCGACGGGTCAGAAGTCATCATTCGTGGGCATATCATCAGTTGCTGCAGCCATAAGAGCTTTAACAAGGGTCTTGCCCACACACTTCAATGAGCAAAAGCCGATGAATCTGAAGTCCTCGCCTTCTGTATTTGAAACACCACTAGCGGATATGCCATTGCTAAATTTCAATCGCATCGCCTCCTACCGTGATGAACAACGACTTATCGATGCATACTTTGCTACCATCCATGTTTTTGCCCCTATAATCCATGAACCCAGTTTTCGCAACAAGTATCTGACCAGTCATGATTGTCAAGACCGATCCTGGCTTGCTCTTCTCAATATGGTACTAGCCCTTGGAAGTGTTGCATCTTCTCCAGGAGATTCCGACGAAGATTGTCGATTTTACCATTTGGCTCAGCAATGTCTTTCCTTGGAGAGCTTTGGCAACGGACGACTGGAAACTTTACAGGCCCTCGTGCTTATGGGAGGGCAATATCTGCACTTTCGAAACCGGCCGAACACGGCATCTGCCATCATAGGAGCATGTTATCGCATTGCAAGCGGTTTAGGACTTCATCTCAAGTTGCCAGAAGACTTTCACGGTCATTTTAACCTCCCAGAAGAAATAAAAAGAAGGAATTGGTGGACAATTTATGTTCTAGACACGTGGGGGTCTGTGACACTTGGGCGACCGTCAGTTGCGGTCGGGGCGATGATTGACCTCCCAAGTAATATCTTGGATGATCAAGTAAGATCTGCCTTACAAGTGAATTAATCAATTGGGTATTTTGATAACACTTTGAACAGAGAGGAGAACTTTCACCTTCAGAACCCACGATTCATTCTCCTTTGATTCACAATATTCATCTGTGCAAGATAATTAATCGCATTCAAGACCGACTTCTTGTCAGTTCTATACTGAGTCACGATGAACTACAGTTCTATGATAAAATGCTGGTGTCTTGGTTTGAGACCCTTCCTTCTTTTTTGAAATCTTCGGGTGCGAGTGCCCTGGATTTGCAAGATGCCCGTCTTGTTCTTAAATGGCGCTATCAAAACATTCGATTTCTCTTACATCGCCCTTTGCTTCTCGATACAGTAATCCGGAAAACACCATTCTTTTGCCTTTCTTCCAACGAAAAGGCCATCGTTTCTCGCTGTAGGGAAATCGCAGCAGAATCTATTTCCAGCATCCAGACAGAGTGGCGTCCCAACAAAATCTGTTGTTGGAATGCAATTTGGTTCATTTTTCAAGCCTGTCTGATTCCTTTGATGGCATTAGCCGTAGAGTCGACAGAGCATACACAGTACCGAAGCTGGTGTCATCAAGTCGAGGTCGCAATCACAGTATGTGATGAAATGTCGCGGTTTAGCCCTGTAGGCCAGCGGACAAAGATCTTTTTACAGAAACTCTACTTCGCAGTGGCCGAGGATGCTATGCAGACATCCATGAGCTTTGGCGCCACAGAAGCCCCACCTTCCTTGGATACAATCATGGGCATCTTTGCTGGTGACTGGGAAAGTTCCAACGGAGGTTTTTTTCCGCAGCTGAATCCGAGTTGCATTTCCGATATGGACGATCAATTCCTTCTCGCCCAGTACCAATCATACTCCTGATACTTACATTTGTCGGCCTTTAAGCCCTTTCTCTACTTTCAGAATATATTAAGTGCACTGGTCTGACTAGGTACTAAAAGGATCATACTTATGTCAAATTGTCCACTCGATTGATTCCTTTTTACTTGATGGTCTTTAACACTCGCTGCTCTAGCTTGCGCGTCTACTCCAATAGATGCATCGAACTGTCTTTACGCGCTAATATTTCGTTCTAACCGATAACTCCATCCGTCTATTTCTTTGCCACATGCCAGATGATGTGCGTGAAGGGAAAACTTTTCCCGACAAGCTTAGGACCGTCAATGGGCCCGACCCGTCGGTAATGCATCAAGGCTGGATCGATGCCGTCGCAACGCCGAGGAACGAATCGCCTTGCCCAAAGTATATGACCACTTCCGTGGAATGGAAAAAGCCACTCGGTGAACACCACGTTATCCACTTGACCCGTAGCTTCGTGCACGCTAGTCAGCTGCAACAGTGGAGTCCGACCCGAGCCAGAGGCGGTCCGTGTGGAAAGCCGACGGGGTTAATGGGCATCTGGCCGGTGCTGTACTGCGTCGGCGTGAAACTGCCTGGGCCCGATGCAACCCTGTTGTAGAATAACATTCAATCCCCGTCCCTGATCTTGATTACCGGATGAGCGGTTCCAAGATGGCCTACTCTGAGGAACTCAGGTGAGAGGCGTAGAGAAGACCAGGTATCAAATCGGTCGAGTTGGCCTGATAGATGTAAGAATCTGAATTTCAAATACGCGAGGGCATTACTCTTTGGATCCATGATGACTGCCTAGCTTCGGCATGCTAGTAGCACTTGCAACGAGGATGGATCCGGAATCCAACCCTCAGAGGGCGCACTGTTCTCACAACTGTAAAGAAGTGGACCATGGTCGCAATCCTGTCGTACAGTAGATGACTCCCCTCCCTTAGCAGTCTCATATAATACCAGCTGTATCCGCTTTGTCTTAGACTCTAAATGTCACCGTTGACAAGATTGATCTTTTAATAACAACTTACATGGCTGTATCCAGTATTGCTCCCGCTTTGGTTAGAGATATTGGAGACAAGCAAGTCACCATGATCGGAAAGCTTATCATTTTCAGCAAGAAACTGCTTCTTGAGGTAGATGATATAGTATGGGGTTCGTGATCAAGTCAAAATATCGCATTTGGCGAATGATTTTATAATGATCTATAATCTATTTCACATTTCTAGTAATTATGCAATTACCCCCTTAGCTCGCAGCTCTTCAATCTTTTCTGGGTTCAACCCAGCGTTCTGAAGCAGCTCATCCGTATGCTGACCCAACAGTGGAGGTGGAGTTCGAATGCTGGGTTCTGCATTGGAGTATTTAACTGGTGGACTGATGACCTTAATCGACCCGCAAGCTGGGTGATCAATTGACTGAACCATACCACGCGCACGTACTAGACTACTATCAGTAAAGCTTCCTACCCGGATATGGAAGGAGTGCATCCTACCGTGTTCATGATTCATTGTTCCTTGGATGTCATTCACTGCCGCGTAGGGCAACCCGCTGCCTTCGAAAATTTCCTGCCACCGACTTGTCGTACGCTTGACGAGCTCCGCTTCAATCAGAGGCTCCAACTCCGCACGATTCCTCACACGGTCATTGTTTGTGGTAAATCGAGAGTCAAGCTTCCATTCCGGCCGACCCAGCTTTTCACACAGAATGCCAAAAAGGCGATCATTTGCACCGCCAACAAAGATATCGCCGTCGGCAGTTTTGAATCCTTGGTAGGGAACCACGGACGCTGAAGAAACTATGTTAGCTATTTCATCCAAGGAACCAAAAGTTTCTCTCTATTGGAGATTCATACGATGAGCAGTTCCCCATCTCCCAGAATCTTTTTTTCCACTTATAAGAACCGATTCTCCCATATTTGCAAGTGTCGCAACCTGACAATCACTCAAGCAGACGTCCAGATGTTGTCCCTCGCCAGTATTTGCCCGGGCTAATAACGCCGCCATGATCGAGTTGCAAGCATAAAGCCCAGTCGTCAAGTCTGTTACTGCCACTCCAACCTTGACTGGCGGGCCATCGCGTGTGCCCGTCAGGTGCATCAATCCGAACTCAGCCTCAACCATCACGTCAAAGCCGGGACGATTGCTATACGGACCCGTCTGTCCATATCCCGTGATACTAGTATATATGAGGCGAGGGTTAATTTTGTGAATCGAGTCATAATCGAGGTCATATTTCTTTAAGGACCCCGGGAGGTAGTTTTCGACTAGGACGTCACAGCTGCGAGCAAGTTGATGGAGAATTTCTACCCCTTCGGGGTGGGCGAAAGAGAGGCCAATGGATTTTTTGTTCCGGTTTACCTAGTGTCTGGTTAGTTTTGTTTGAGAAAGCTCCCAACATAGATATTATTCACAGAAAGGTAGTATGCGCTCTCACCGTTGCCACTGCGGCCATCAGTATAGGCTGCGAAGGGAGGGCCCCAGGCGCGTGTATCATCCCCCCGGACAGGGTGTTCTATTTTGATGATTTCCGCTCTTGTTGAATAAATCTTATTAGCCTCCATGGTGGTCAACAATGAAGAATCATGAGAACCATGGTACATACCCCAGATCTCCGAGAATTTGAGTACAGTATGGCTAAACTCCTTTGTCAGCTTCCGTATTTTTTATACGCTTATACCAATATCGCACTCCTTGGATGTCTCCGAACATACACCAGCTAATACCCGGCTCATATCCAGAACCCGTACTCCTGACAGAGGAAGCTTTCTATTTGGAGGTGACTGTGCAACATTGGCTAGTGCTCGGGTAAAGCATGACCCGCTGGGTCGTCTCAGGACGGAACCCGTCCTTGCTCCCAAGACACTTCGCGACAGGGAGCGATACATCATGATGGCCCGTGATAATCAAGCTTCTGTCGATCATGCAAATTTTCCAAATAAATCAAATGGGTGCCACGCCACCCCTGTCGGTTTTGATTCCATTCCACATCCTGTTCGTGGAGGAAGCCCCACCACTGGATCTGCAGGTGGGTTTGACCCCACATAAGCTTAAGCTCGTGAATCTCTCGTGATGTCATGTATGAGGCTGAAGCCTTGCTGCAGAGAGTATGGAGTGTTTCTTGTTCATATGGGAAAGCCTAATTTGGGTTGTGGGGAAGATAAATACTCGGCAGAAACTTGGGATAACAATATAACTTCAATTTTCACAATCTATATGCAGATCGACATGCTCGAACAAAAAACACGACAACATATCCCAAACATCTAGTTGAGTGTATGCATTCCAATATATTTACAGCATAGGCTTGAGGTCCTCAGCGACCTTGAAGGGAGCGGCAGTCTTGCTGCGGATCTCCTCAACAGTCACGCCCTCGGCGTACTCAGTCAGGGTCAGACCCTCAGTGGTGCTGACATCGAAGACAGCCAGGTCGGTGATGATCTTCGAAACACAGCGGGGGCCAGTCAGGGGGAAGGAGCAGTCTGGGAGGGAATTAGATGGGAACATCTTGACGAATACTGGGTGCAAGGGTACTTACCAGCCAGAATCTTGGGGTTGCCCTTCTTGTCAGTGTGCTCCATCGTAACAACGACCTTGGTCTTCTCAGGGTTGGCAACCAGGTCCATGGCACCGCCAATACCCTTAACCTTGCCGGGAAGCATGAAGTTGGCCAGGTCTGGAAGATAGTCAGTTTATCTATAAATTTAATGGAAAATATCGAGGGGAAAAGACATACCGCCGTACTGGCTAACCTGCAGGGCACCCAGCATGGTGAGATCGATCTTGCCAGCGCGAATCATACCGAAGCTCTCATGAGAGCCGAACAGGGAAGCACCACGGCCGAGGATAACAGTCTCCTTGCCGGGGTTGATCAGGTCGGGGTCCTCCTCGCCGGGCTTGGGGTAGCCACCAAGGCCCAGGATACCGTTCTCAGCCTGCAGGACGACCTCGACACCCTCGGGAAGGTAGGACGGGGCAATCAGGGGAATACCAATACCGAGGTTGACGTACATGCCATCCTTGAACTCCTTGGCGGCACGCTTGACGATACGCTCACGGCGGGCGGTAGCCTCACCAGAACCAGCCTTAAGCAGCTCACTGGGGTCCTTAGCGAAGGTGAGCTTCTCGATCTGCTTCTCACCGGTGCTCTGAATGACAGCGTCGACGTAGATGCCCTGAAGGTGGATGCTCTCGGGGTCAATCTCGCCAACCTCGACGATGTGATCAGCCTCAACGATGGTAACCTTGGCGTTCTTGGCCATGGCCTCGTTGAAGTTGTTCATAGCCTTGCGGAACTGGCAGTTACCAAGCTTGTCGGCCTTGTGAACCTTAACCAGAGCGTAGTCACCGAAAATCGATTCTTCCATGAGATATTCCTTGCCATTGAAAGTGCGGGTCTCCTTAGGCTTGGACCGTTCGGCCACAGAGCCATCCTTGTTGTACCGGACGGGGAGTTCACCAGTTTGCACAATAGTACCGTAAGCCGCGGGGGTATAGAAAGCCGGAACGCCAGCCGCTCCAGCAGCACACTTCTCAGCGATGGTGCCCTGGGGAGTCAACTCCAGGGCAAGGTCACCGCTCAGATACATCTTCTCGAACACCTTGTTCTCGCCAATGAACGAAGCGATCATCTTGCTGATCTGCTTAGACTCGAGCAGTTGGCCTAATATCCGGGATCTGAATTAGTGCCAATTCGCCGATATCGAAAGTTAAGCAGGCCCATTGCGCCACTGAGAAAATGAGCGGGTCAACACATACCGAGACCGGCACCGGGCATACCGGCATTGTTCGAGACGACGGTCAGGTCCTTGATGTCGGGGCGATCACGCACGGCGTTGATCAGAGTGTTAGGAACACCGGAGAAGCCAAAGCCACCGACCAGGACGGTGGCAGGGCCCTTCATGTTCTTAACGGCCTCCTCGGCGGAGCCGCATAGCTTGTTGATGGCACTCTTGGAGGTCGAGGCAGAGAAGTTCCGCCGCCAGATGGGGCGGAAGGCCTTCACCACAGGAACAGGCCGCGACATGATGCAGTCGACTAGCCTTCGAGGATCACTGAGGTAGTGCTTTCTGAACCAGCAGAAAGAGAAGAAAGGAAAGAAGAAAAAGAATATGATCACGAAGCTGGACCCAGTGCCCCAGTGCCCCAATGCCCCATCGCGCAAGCAGCTTCGGCTAGGGACTGATCCAGAGAAGCCGAAAAAACGCTTACCCGGCTTTGGCCACTGCCTGTTTCCCCACAAGTCGGAGCGCGAGGGCGGCGAACCCCAAAGGCTTTTGCCGCCATCGGAAGCCGACCCCACAACCCTTCCCGGTCTTAGTCAGGCCCAACAGAATTTGCCCCGTGTGCTCTGTCGGGGGGCACGGGGTGAGAGATGCGGGGTGAATCCGAGGGGGGTCTCATATCTCAGCCATGTGGAGTGAATTCTTTGAGGCCTTAGCATTGAACGGAGGAAGCGAAGAAGAATCAATTCAACAACGAGGAAGTTTGGACGAGGAGCCCTAGAGTCATGATTACGGTAAGGCGTCTGTATTGAAACCTGTAATCTTACCGTCGGGAGGAACATCGGCAGCGGACGAGAAGGAATCGGGATTGTCGCCAGCTTGGCCCGAGAATGCCGAGTTCTGGCGAGAACCCTTCTGGTTCCCATTTGGACACTTAAATTGACTGGTACAAGAGAACCTAACTATTCTTGGGCTGATGACAAAGATCTCTTCCGGGCATGGCACTTACTCCATACTTCAAAGATTTTGGACTTGCAGATCAACGGGCGGGGCTTTCCCCTCACTTCTCCGCGCGACATGCATCTAAACATCTAGAATGCTTGCACACCCCCTCCTCCTCTGGGGGAATCCCGCCAACTTAGCGAGATATCCCTGCAGCTTAGATCCTACAATATCGTGGAATAATTTTCGCTTATCCATAATTCTGTCAATATGGCCCAATCAGGCTCGCACCTCGGCTCCAAGCCTCTGTATCACTACATAGAGAAGGACAGGGGCGGAATAACCCCTCTTCACTTTCATGTCAATAAGAACGTCGAGCAGAGGAAGGATTGATTGTTCCGCAATCATTTGTATTTCTTCCTCTACGGCATTATGTCCCCTAAAACTAATTTTCCTGCAACGCCGCTGCTATCTGAGAAACACAATGGCATCCCGGCAAGGCTCTTCAACAAGGCCCAACAAGCCAAGTCAGCTATATTGAGCATTGCAACCAAGGCTCAGAGTAAAAGAACCCAGGTTGCGTTACCTCAGGGGGTCACCGAGATCAAATTTCATAATGCCATAGATGAACTTCGAGGTCAATTGGGCAAGGAGCATGTGGAGCTCGTGACCAATTTAGTTGACGGATGGTACACACATAATTATTTTCTTTGAATTTTGCAGGGCAGAAGAAAAGTGGGCTAACTGAAACTCATATGTTAGGTATATGGAGAGTTAGTGTGCTGGATAGGCTCGCCTTTTCATTTTATACTGATATTTCATCCACCTCAGACCCCAATTCACACGACGGAATGCATATAGCAGGCGAAGATGATCTAGTGGCCTCAGCGGTCGTATATCCAAGTACAACAGAAGAGGTTCAGTTGATCGTTCACTGGGCAAACAAGCATCGTATCCCCATCTCCCCGATCTCAATCGGTCGGAACTGTACGTCTCATTCTGTACCATCCAACTGTTCTCGTGAAGCTCATGCCAATCGACTCAGATGGCTACGGAGGTGCTGCCCCACGGGTGAATGGCGCTGTCGTAGTCGATCTGGGAAGCAGAATGAACCGCATTCTCGACATCAACTCTGAAGATTGCACTTGCCTAGTCGAGCCAGGAGTTACGTATTTTGCACTCTACGAGGAAATCCAAGCTCGAGGCTTGAAGAACCTCTGGGTTGACGTCCCTGATATTGGAGGCGGCTCGGTGCTTGGGAATGCTCTGGATCGTGGTGTGGGGTATACCCCCTACGGAGATCACTGGATGATGCATTCCGGAATGGAAGTTGTTCTACCAACTGGAGAGGTCATCAGGACTGGAATGGGAGCTTTACCGGGCAACAATAGCTGGCAATTATTTCCTTACGGGTTTGGTCCTACTGCAGAGTATGCATTTCATTATTATGCATTAATAAGTATAATTTCCATGCTAATAATATGCTACAGTGGACTATTCTCTCAGTCCAACATGGGGATTGTGACTAAAATGGGGTTCGGTTTGATGCCAAATCCAGGAGGCTACGAGAGCTATGTATTTTTTCACTTTCTGAGCATGAGAAACTCGCTAACCATGTCAAAAGCTCTATACGTTCCCTAAAGAGGAAGATCTCGCTCAGCTTGTAAGTAGTTCTTTACAGTTGTCTTACTCTATCTCTACTGACACTCTGCCCGTTCCAGATCGAGATTATTCGTCCGCTGCGAATTGCCATGATTCTTGAGAATGTTGCCCAGCTACGTCACATCAGCATGCAAGTAGGGTTAGAGGGAAAGCCTCGAAGTGCTTATTACTCTGGGAAAGGGCGAGTCCCCGACCACATCATCCATGAGGCAGCCAAAAAGATCCCTACTGGGGATTGCTCGTGGCTGTACTACGGCATGTCTTATGGTCCTCCAGATATCCGCAAGTATAAGCTAGACATCATTGAGAAAGAATTTATGAAGATACCAGGTGCGCGACGCATTGATCCTGCCAGTCTTCCTGCAGATGATTATTTCTGGGTCCGGGATCGGATTGCATCTGGGGTACCAGATATCGAAGAACTGCGCTGGGTGAATTGGCACCCAAACGGCGCACACATCGCCTTTAGCCCCGTATCGCCAGTTCGTGGACCGGATGCAAAGGCTTTGTGGGATATTGCACGGAAGTGCTGCGAGAATTTTGACCTAGACTTATTCCCCACATTCTGCGTCGGTCTTCGTGAAATGCATCTCATTGTCGAGATTGTGTTCAACCGTGACGACACTGATATGCGCCATAGAGCGCGGGCATGTTTACGAGATATGATCGATGATGCGGCGAAGAAAGGATATGGTGAATATCGCACACATCTGACATTTATGGATCAAATTGCCGGTACTTACAATTGGAACGATGGCGCTTTGATGAAATTTAATGAAAGAATCAAGGACTGCCTAGATCCTAATGGCATCATGGCCCCTGGAAAATCGGGGATCTGGCCGGCGCGATATCGAGGACGTGGTTGGGAGATGACTGCTGGGAACGAATGTCCTGAAGGCCAAGGTGTGGCCTCAACTCCTGGAGCCGTGAAGCTATAGGGTGTTTTTGAGTATAATAGCACTTCATACAATATTGTTTTCATGATTCTATTCAGAACCTGCACCATATATCCCGATCTACTTCTATACGTACCAAACGGTTCAATCAGACGTCTGTAAAATCTCGAGATCAGAGAAGTACTTGGCAGGAAATTTATCAAGCCTATGCTTCACCGCATGACCATTCGGCGCTTTTCTATAACTGTACCATGATGTTAAATCTCTAGATGTATGGAAACGATTGTCCAAGGGTGTGAGTGCCCCACCACGAGAGTTCGAGAGTGGACGGCTTGACTCCGTGCTCCCCACGGCTGCATCGGCCGCTTCCCCACATGTCTGAAACTCCATGTATACGACTACTACTCTGCGGCACGAGATCATCACGCAGACTTCACAATACATTCATCAAAGATGCTCCGTAGAACAGCTGGTGAGGTTCTCAGAAAAGGACCAAACGATGTGGTTGTCCTCTCTGCCGTTCGAAGTCCCATAGCTCGGGCCTTTAAGGGAGGTTTCAAAAATTGTTATCCTGAGGAGATTTTGATGCCAGTGAGTGCCCCCTAAACAAGGCTTTTATGTTAAAATATGCGTGTCCTTTGAACTGAGTTTGGAAACAGGTCATGCAAGCGGCTGTCCAACGGGCAAACATCGAGCCAGGCCAAGTTAACGACGCTCTGATTGGCAATGTTCTGGCCGAGTTGGGCTTCGCAAAGACCGGGCGCATGGCCCTCAATGCAACGGGCTTTCCCAACTCGACGACCTTCCATACTGTCAACCGACAATGTTCGAGTAGTCTTCAAGCTATCACACATATTTCACACTCGATTCTCGCAGGACAAATCGATGTCGGTCTCGGCGGTGGCGTGGAGAGCATGTCTCGCAACTACGCGACCCGTGGAATTCCCGTCGATGTTTCCCTGACCCTGAAAGAGTCCCCAATCAAAGATGCACGAGACTGTATTCTACCGATGTTAAACACCTCGGAGAATGTCGCATCGCGCTACGGAATCACTCGACGCGAGCAAGACGAGTTCGCTGCAGAAAGCCAGCGCCGGGCAAGCGAAGCACAGAAGTCCGGCCGGTTTGCCGATGAGATTGTCCCCATTCGGGCAAGGCTCATAAATGAGGGAATTGATGAAGTGTCCTTTCACGTTGTAGAACGTGACGAAGGTGTCCGTCATGGCGTGACTGTCGAGAAGTTATCCACACTGAAACCGGTTCTGGAGCATGGGTTGAGCACTGCTGGAAACTCGTAGGTCATTCGCGAACTCACGACATTTCAAAGCTATAAGGTTCATTGAATTTTACGACAGGTCTCAGATTTCTGATGGGGCATCGAGCACCATTCTCGCTCGCCGATCCTGGGCTGAAGCTCACGGCTTGAAGCCCATTGCCCGTTTTGCCGGCACTCAAGTCGCAGGGTGTGCCCCAGATGAGATGGGCATTGGACCTGTCTTTGCTATCCGGAATTTATACAAGAACCTTGGGATTGAGACGAAGGATATCGACATTCTGGAGATGAATGAGGCCTTTGCCAGTCAGTCCATTTTTTGCATACGTGAACTTGGCTTTGATATGGCGAAGGTCAATCCCAACGGTGGAGCTATTGCCCTTGGGCACCCCGTTGGGGCTACTGGGGCCAGACAGGTCGCAACTCTTCTCGCCGAAATGCAACGACAAGACAAGGAAATGGGCATCGTGAGCATGTGTGCTAGGTACGTCTCTCCGCCGCGGTATACTTCTCAAATCTCTGCTTATTTTTCATTTTCCAGTACCGGCATGGGTGTTGCGTCACTGTTTGTGCGGGAGTGAAAATGGGCACTACCCCGGAAGAGTGCTTTATGACAAATATAAGTTGGAGAATCTCCAGTTCCAGTGTTGAGAGTGAAATAGGGGACGAGATCCGTGAGATATGTATGGCTTGGATATTCGCCGACTTTTCGGATGGCATGTTGAAGCAAACGTACGAAGTGGTGGTCAAGAAATAATCTACTGAATAGTGGCTTAGGAGTTTCGAAAGGATAGAAACACTGCTATGGGTAGCTAGTCTCGAAAAGATATAGACATGATGAATGATACGAGATTTGAGGAGCTTACAACAGATCCAGGCTGTTAGAAGATCACATGTATTATTCCTCTTTTATTAAACTATGATGCTCTTACGCATCAATCTTTTTTGTCGACCCTTGAGAAGCAAAGATAATAACAACTTGATAACAGGAGGAATAGAGGAAGATCTGTAGCAAGGACCGTGTGTCGCAGATCTATCTGGAACCTTTATACAGCAGGAAATCAGGCAGGTAGAAACTGAGTGCTCCGAAAACTGACCCAAGAAGGTATCTGGATAGCATCAAAATCAGGAAGCCGTTTGGAGGATCGAATTTAGACGGCCCGAATTTTTGTAATCGCTTGCACTCACCGTATCTGGCTTCATATAGCCCCACATATTATGATTGTAGGAATATGGAATATGTGGGGTCTGAAGTTCATCTTGGCTGTGGAGCGATTGCCCCATTCTAAGGCGGTGGCCAACCTGAGCGAGACGTCTCGGCTGAACGGTCTCAATTAAAACAATCCAGACGCGAATGGTCTAGTTGTAGGTGCGCTCTTGATTGCAATAAAACAATATATGCAATATGTCCATGCTTTTGCGTCTTGCACGTCCCTGTTCGCTGGGTGCTACCCGCCCTCTCGTTTCTACCACCATCAACTGTGGGCGGAGATCAATTGGCTCTGTCAGTGCCATTGATTCCAGTATTTTCCGCACATTGTTTGGCACAGAAGAAATCCGCAAGGTAAGTTGCTTTTCCTTGAGGGAAACTCCTAATTCGGAATTTCTTTAAGAATTTCATTGCTGAATCAGGTCCCAACTTATAGGTATTTGACGATGAGGCATACATCAACCGCTGCGTGGACGCAGAAGCGGCTTTGGCACGAGCCCAGTCTCAGTGTAATGTTATTCCATCTGAGATTGGAGCAATGGTAACTCAGAGGGTACAAGAATCAAATCTCGATTTTGAACGACTTCGACAAGAAACCGAAATCGTCGGGTACCCAATTCTGCCTCTTGTTCGCCAGCTCTCTGCAATCTGTGGCGAACAGGCGGGTAAATATGTCCATTGGGGTGCAACCACACAAGACATCATGGACTTGGCAAGCATGCTACAGATCAAGGAAGGGCTTGATATTGTCGAGAGACTTCTCAAGGATGTAATCCAAACGCTGCGCCAACTCTCAGAGAGATACAAAGATACTCCTATGGCCGGACGCACCCACCTTCAACACGCTCTGCCCGTCACATTTGGCTATAAATGTGCAGTCTGGCTATCTGGATTCCAACGGCATTTGGAACGACTCAATCAGCTGCGAGATCGGACACTTCTTGTGCAGTTTGGCGGTGCAGCTGGCTCTCTTGCATCCTTGGGCTCGGGTGATGATGGACTACGCGTACGCAAGGCCCTGGCCAAGGAACTTGGCCTGAATGATCCATCGATCACATGGCATGTTGCTCGTGATGGTGTGGCAGAGATAACCAATTTCCTGGCTCTGATGGGAGGCTCAATGGGTAAGCTGGCGCTTGACATTATCATAATGTCATCAAACGAGCTGAGTGAGGTGGCGGAACCATTCGTGCCACACCGAGGTGCATCTTCTACTATGCCTCAGAAACGCAATCCAATCTCCAGCGAGGTTATCCTGGCTGCATCCAAGATCTTACGCTCGAACGCGGGGTTGGTCCTCGACGGTATGGTTGCAGACTTTGAGCGTGCTTCGGGTCCCTGGCATCTGGAATGGGTGGCCGTGCCTGAAAGCTTTGTAATTGCCGTGGGGGCGCTGTCTCAAACTCATTTCGCGTTGTCCGGCCTTTCAGTCAATAGCAAGCAGATGCTGGAGAACCTACACTCTACCAAAGGTCTCATTGTTGCAGAGGCCGTGATGATGGGCATGGCACCCCATGTAGGCCGCCAAAGAGCCCATGATATTGTCTACGACGCCTGTCGGGAAAGCATTGAGAAGGAGAGATCTTTACTTGAGTGCTTGTTAGAGAAAGAGGAGGTAACTTCAAAGATGAGCAACCAGCACTTAAGTAATCTTTGCGATCCGGTAAACTACTTGGGCGCGTCGACGAGAATGGTGGAGGATGTCCTGGCAGTTGACTAGAGTTGTTCATTAAAGTTGTTTAGCGCTTTGAGTTTGTGCCGTTATGTTACGTACAACAGTGTACATAAATATAGAGTCATTTGAAACAACAGCGAAAATTGCATTCCGTCCCAAATCACAGATTCCTGGCTTTGATTTTCGTATATTCCTCCCATCCAGGGGTATGTATGCCCCACGAAGCATCATAACCCAAAAACTCTTTTCATGTTCTTGGGGTGCAAGCTATTCGCAATGTTTGGATTCTCCACATCCACAGCCCCGCAACAAGCATTCATGGACCCATGGAGGAACCATTTTTAATCAGCCCAGGTCCAAACCCGAGGTCCCAATAGGGTGTGATATGAATGTGGGTCTTTGTAGGATGTGGGAGGCAGACAGGGTAGGGTAACTTGCCACGTACAATTGAGGAGCTCCATCTAAAATTATGACCAAAGGAGAACTCTTTGTGGAGAAACATAAAACAAGTCCTTTATTATACGTCTTGGAAACCGAGTGGCAGCCTTTTCAATTGCACCTACCTTATGGAACCCGTTCACAGTCTATTCTGAATTTTCGCAAATACCTTTCTATTCGAACAAACGTATTGCCCACAAGATGCCTCTTCCACCAGTTCAGAAAAGAGAGCCAGTGAAGGACCTACAAAAGGTCTTCCATTATACGGATACCATGTCTCGCAAGCCCACGCGAGACAACGATCCATACGAATACCAAGCCGGCTTTGGAAACCGTCATCAATCTGAAGTTATCCCCGGTACTTTGCCAGCGGGCCAAAATAACCCCCAAGAGCCTCGTTTTGGGTTGTACACGGAGGGTCTTACGTATTCGGCTTTTACAGCCCCTCGCCATGCCAACTTCAGCACGTATATGTACCGAGTGCGTCCTGCCGCTGCTCATAGTAAGTCATACATGTCTTCTGCCTGGGAGTGTTATCCATGCTAACGTTGCTCTTATGCAGATGGATACACAGCGAACATTTCCCACAAATCCGATATCGAGAATTGCTTCTTGACTCTTAACCCCAAAGTCGCAACGTTAGCTGAGCAGGGCGAGTGGGCACCATTTCCACTGCCCAAGGCGGACGAAAAGATTGACTTCGTTGATGGACTACATACGCTTGGTGGCAGCGGTGATCCTAATTTGCGGGAAGGCGTTGCCCTCTATGTGTATATGATCAATGCAGACATGAATCATCGGGCGTTCTGCAATACTGACGGTGATTTCCTCATTGTTGCCCAGCTGGGTAATTTGGACATTCAAACCGAGCTTGGCAAGCTGTTTCTTCAGCCCGGAGAAATCTGTGTTGTTCCTCGCGGTATCCGATTCGCTATCTCCCTAGGTCCCGGCCACGATGTTGCTCGTGGCTACATCACCGAAATCTGGGGGTCGCGCTGGGAACTACCGGATTTGGGTCCTTTGGGGGGACACGGGCTTGCGAATCCCCGTGACTTCCTCCATCCAGTCGCCTATATCGATGAGAATCTTCATGAAGAGTGGACCATTGTGAATAAGGCGAATGGACAGTTCAATGCCATTGCACAAGACCATAGTCCGTTCGACCTGGTTGCCTGGCATGGCAATGTCGTTCCTTACAAGGTGAGATCTATGACCAAATTCCAATGGCACAGTTGCTAAGATACGCATTTCAGTATGACTTGACCAAATTCTCTTCCCAAAACGCCACTGCGATTGATCACACGGATCCATCCGTCAACTGCGTTCTGACAGCCCCATCGCGGGATCCTGTTACTCCCCTGGCCGATTTCTTGTGGTTCGGCCCCCGGTGGGATGTTGCATCCAATACCTTCCGGCTCCCATATTTCCACCGCAACTCCGCTACAGAGTTCCTGGCTTCACTGTACGGCAATGGCCTCGGGCGGTCCGACGATTTCCTGCCGGGTGGAGGGAGTGTGGAGATCAGTCACACGCCGCATGGGAATTTCAGTGACGCCTATGTAGATGAAATGCGAAACCAGGTGAATGAGCCTCGCAAGATTCTGGAAAGTAAGTTTGGGCATACCACCCGTCCCCCATTGAAGGCTCGCGGGACGTAATGCTTATGACAATTGTAGATCAGATGACTATCATGGTCGAAAGTAGTAGGATGTTCCTGTTCACAGAATATGCCCGTGTCGGCTGTGGAACGTTCAAAAACCAGGGCACCGATCCGAAGGTGTGGGATGCGCTCCCCGTAAGTAGCCAGTGGTGCTCGTGAGAAATGTTATGTCCACTACTAACAATGCTTCCAGGATAAATTCTCCTCATATCCCAATATCCACGAAATTCTCAAACAGGTCAAAGCGGACAAAGAAGCTCGCAAGCAACGGCTAGACGTCTTCTATGACGATCAAAGACTGGCAGAATTGGTTCGCCAATAGACTCCGATCACCGGCAGGAAGCTTAAGGCCGATCAGCATTACATCATATGTTTTCTCTTGTCTCGGCCCTTTCAAGTTCTTGATCTTGCTCTGCATTCGCTTTTTGGCATCCAACACCATCATATGCTTGACTACCAATCAGTCCGGACACCTTACCTATCGCATACAACCTGACGTCAAGGCAATCGGTATCTGGAACGATGGTCAACTGCCGGCATTGAACAGATACGACCAATGGGAGGCTCGGCGGGCCCGCTGAATCAGCGATGCGGGGATCCAGAACGCTCCGCGAGAAACGGGAGAGAAAGCACCATTCATTCTTTCAAGAGTTCGAATAATGAAGCATTATATCTGATTCTCGTCTTTCTCCCCATCCGAGACTCATATGAAGTAGACATCAAGCCATTTGATCCCCTGATATCCATGACTCAATGGATCTGCGGTGGAACACCTGGCCGCTTAGGGCTCGGAGCTGTTTCCCCCTCCCCACGGGGAATTTTCAGTGGCTTGCGCTAAAGAGACCAGTGCGACCAGCAAGTGTGGTAGGCCAATCGTGCAAGTCGTAGATGACCAGGGAGAGATTTCGGTGCCAACTTGATTAGGTAGCGGAGACGGCATATCCTCGGTAGAACTGACCTTTGGAGAGCAGTGCTCCGAATGCCTGTCGCAAAGGATACCCCCTGGCTCCGGAGTACGGAGTAGAGCGTACCCCCTGAATGGTAAGTGACGAGTGAGAAGCAGGTCGAGACCCTTCGAGTCTTCAAGCGCGAGAAGTGAACTTGAAGTAGTGGCTGCTCCCGACACGAGGCCGATCGGCTTAACCCCGGGGCTGACTAACCCGGCTTCCCCTCTCCGCCGTTCCCTTGGACTGAGATCAATTGTTGGTGTTTTTTTTCCTGACTCTTGCTCTTTCGAGATGATCTTGGACCGAGCTCTGTGTTGCCTGGCCCGCGAGCTCCGTCATGGTCCTCCGAAAATGTACCATCTGTGACCGCAAGTTCAAAAAGACCGAGCATTTTAAACGGCATGAACGGTCCCGTTAGTCTTCTCCACACCATTAAAAGACAGGGATGTCGCTAATTTGACATGCTGGATAGATACGAAGGAGCGCCCGTACGAATGCAATGTCTGCCACAAACGCTTTTCTCGCAGGTAAGATTCAATCTCTCGGGAATCTTTAGAGGGGCCGGCGTGCGCCTGCAAATCCCATTCGCGGCCGGGAATCTAATGTGACTGCAGTGATGTCCTAAGTCGACACGCGAAGGGACACAACCAAACCGCCGGTACAACAGCGGCGAACCGAAAAGATTCAACAGTGGGACTGTCTCAAGATCGACACGCTTCGGCGATGACGGGCGCATCACCGATGCTCCCCGGTCTAGAACATGGGACACCGCTGCTACCAGTCGTCGGCACAGAGACGCATCAACTTCCTAGCCATCCAACAACCCGCGACATGACCCTCTCGGCAACGGGTATTGCACCGTCATCGTTGGACTTTTTGGCAGACATCTCCGCCCATCATGGCCGCACCGAACCGGATGTCGGCTCGATGATTATCGACGAACAACAGCCTTTTTTCGGATGGAACGAGATGACCCCAGACCAAAACGGCGAGCGCAACAGCATTGCTTTTGAGCCCGTTCCAAATGAAATGTTGCAGCTATGGCTTGAACCTCGCACGGATACAGGATCCAATCACGGCTCTCTAGATATCATGCGAGATGCTCATTTTCCAATCATGGGTGACAATGCAGTAGTCACACCAGACCAGCAGAATCGGCAGTCAATCGATGGTGGCCGATCGGGCGGTGATAATATCCCCATTGAACGCTTTATCAAGGTCCAACGGTGTTGGCTAGCTCCCCCCAATACCACAGGTCGGCTCATGAACAGCCTATGGCGGGACATTGTCTACACTGACGTGGACAATATTTTCTCCTTAAAATCATTAGATTCTCCGGTCGAATCCAATTTGCTTCAAGGGTCAAGATGCGGAGTAGATGATGAGTGTCGTCGGCGATTACAGGCGGCATTTGGTCAAGCTACGTTCACCTATCAACAAATGCAGTCGCCAAAAAACAACGCTGTTTCTCCTTCCGCTACCAGTTCGACTTCCAACCCTTTCCCCAGCTTTCCTCCTGCGGAAGTCCTAGATATGGCGCTAGATCTCTACTTCCGCACATTTCATCCCTTGGTACCATTTGTACATCTCCCGACTTTTGCTGCCAAAAAGACGCGTCTACCACTTCTCTATGTGATGTGCCTCATTGGCATGATGTTGCTGGGGACTAAAGGAACAGCAAATTTTGTCTCGAGAAACTTCACGGTAGGCAACTTGTCCTCGATCAAACTTCAAAATGAAACTGACGTCGCCCTTGTTCTGTAGCATATGTTAGAAAAAGTTACCTCAGACCTCGCCAAATGTACGATGGGGGTTGAGTCCCCAGCAAACACCATGTCTATTTTTGCAACAGCCTTTTTGTTTCTGAACTTGGCTGTTCTCACAGGGGTATATGCTACATCTTGTCTATTTTCTGAATTCCCAAGGCTAATCTTTTAGCAGGAAAAGGGACATCTAGAGCAATGCCAAATGCTCTATGTCAATCTTATGTCAGTAAGTATCATCATTATCTTTTTGGATCAGCTTATCTTTCAGTGCTAAGATCATTCTTTCTAGATAACTCAACGGCATGGACTCTTTGCAGCGACTGAAGGTCAAATTCTTGATATGAGTCTTTTCGAAGCAGTGCCTGATATTGACATGAGGTGGAAGGCATGGAGCAAAGTCGAATCCACCAAAAGGTGAACTCCCAAGTACTTTTCTCCTGAATTGTTCACAATTAACAAGGTGCAAAAGGATCATCATTGGACTGCTTCTTCTAGACTCATGGTATTCCTCTCTTCTTTCAACAAGCCCAATCGTGGTCCCCGACTCGATCCAGATGATCGTGCCCTGCAATGAAGCTCTTTTCCGAGCCCACTCCTCGATGCGCTGGACTCAGCTTATCCGCAGCGGCAAACGCATATTGATGCCAACGGTGCTGGCGCCGTCAGAAAACATTAATATTCCCGCCCTCGAGGGGCCTATGGACGAGTTTTGTATCCAAGCTGTTCTTGCAATGGTTCAGCTCCGCCAGTCGGAAGCCTATCACCGCCTTCTTTCAAACCGCGCAAGCTATCCCTTTGCACCTTGCCATACCTACGCCATGGATGGACGTGCCAGGTGTCTTCCTGCTCTCCAATCTCAGATTGCAGGCAGCTATGGTGAAACTATGGACCGGCTCAATCCCAATGCTGTGGTCATGTGGCATCACATGTGCATGATGCTCACCGCCGACATCCAAATCTTCGACTTTGCCGCTGGTCGAGCCGGGCCGGTCCCGGCTAGAAAGGCGCTAGATGATATTGCCGAGTGGTCACAGACACCGGCCGCAAGACGAGCTTGTCTACATGCAGCCCATATATACAAGGCCATGACAAATCGCAAAGCCTCTGACGGCCCTACCTTCCACTCTGTCTTCTCCCTCTTCTCTGCAGCCCTAGTCCTTGGGTTGTATACATTTATGGTTCCTAATTCTGCAAGCATAACGTCCAGCGTCGGATCCATCGAATTAATGGACGATATCGACTGGCAACAGGTGGGCACGGAGGGCTTCACGAGCTTTATGGAGCCGCGCGGAAGCCAGTCATTTTCACCAACAGATGACCCAGCTGTGAACTTTATCCGAAACGGGGCATCCATATACCTACGCGGGGTACCTTTCCAAGGCGGGTATCAATCCGCGCGTCGGGTTCTTCTAGATTATGCCAATCTGCTCAAAGATTCGGGGAAGTGGAGTGTCAAGAAGTTCTCGTATGTGTTGCATATCATGAGTGACGTGCTTATGGACGTGGAGTGAAGTTCAACACGCATTTTACGCCCGATTGGGGGTGGATGGGGACGGGAATAGACTAGCCTTGTCAATTTTCCTTCTCAGTGTACAGTACACCGTAACCTTTTTAGCCCTAAACTTCTATCGGGTATTGGAATCCGGTAGCTTTTTCAACTAATGAACACGGTCGTAATGATGATATATAATATCATTTGCTTCACAAAATCGCCTGCCTCATCTCATACAGCTCTCTAGTTAAGTGTCATTCACATCTACATCGAGGTCTGAGGGGTACTCTGAGACCGATCATGTCACTCGACTCATTCATGACATTGAATAGCCAAAGTTCGAAGGTTTCTGTACAAGCACTACATTTTACCGATAGAGTATTCCATCCACCATCTCCCCAATAGCCAAGCAACTCGTCAGGCCAGGACTTTCAATGCCCAACAGATTCACAAACCCGGGAAATCCCTCTTCTTCCTGGATCACGAAATCCTGGAATCCCTTGCCGATATTTACCGCACCCCCACGGCCAAGCTTCGGCCGGATACCGCAGTAGTCAAGTGTGATAGCAGACGGGTCCACGCCTGGCATATAAGACAGGATCTCCGGGATGGCCTGCTCCAGGCGGGCGCTGCTCGGCTGGAGATCGTTCGGGTCATCCACCCACTCCACATCTGGGCCGAAGCGGATGCGCCCGCCCATGTCAAGGGTGAGATGCGTGCCCAGGCCTCCATGGCCCGGCAACGTCGCCGGGTAAACGAGCACCGACGTCCGCGGGCTGGATGCGCCGTACGAGAAGTATGTGCCCTTGGCGTAATGCGGGAAGCGGTGTCGCTCTGGTGGTAGAATCAGATTGTTTATTGCGCAGGCGCCGTGCCCGGCGCTGTTTATCAAGTTCTCGACCGTTATGGACGTCTCGGATCCATCCTCGTCCGAGATGGCGGTGATCCTGTATCCGCCGCCTGGCACGGGCTCCACGCCTGTGACTCTCGTCTTAAAAGCGATGTCGCCGCCGCGGTCTTCAAAGTCGCCCTGGAGGTAGGTCATAAGTGAGTGGCTGTCTACGATGCCGGTGGTCTCGCTCTCGACGATACCGGCATCGGCTTTGACGGCGGGCTCGCGACGGGCCGCTTCTGCAGTGCCGATGAGCCGAGTCGGTGCGTCACCTAGGGCTTGGGCGTGGGCGTGGACCTGCAGACTGGCTTCCCACTGCGCGGGAGTCTGTGCGACGATCCATTTTTTGGTGTTTCGGTGTGGGATGGCGTGCTTGGAGCACAGGTCGTAGAGCATATTGCGGCCACGAATGCAGAGTCTTGTTTTAAGCGAGTCGGTCGGGTAGTAAAGCCCTGCATGGATGACCTGAAGTGTTCAATCGTCAATTGAGATCATCCCAGAGACGTTTGATCTTTCGATATCGTAGATCTAGAGCTCCTGGTGCTGCACAGGGTCTCAACAACTCACCTCCGAGTTGCGGCTACTTGTCTCGGTGCCAGGAGCATCATGTCGCTCGAGAAGAATGGTTGAAGTGCCCTCTCGTGCTGCTAGTTGTCTCGCGACCGATAGGCCAACGACACCAGCACCAATGACCTGGTTTCGGTTTAGTTGAGAGCTCTCGGTGATTTCGCGGCAAGCTCCAGCAGCGGAGCCATACCGCATGCCGCGGGGATGTTCAAACTCACTGCATGGGTAAAGTCTGCGCGGCAGGCTCGTGAACTCGAAAAGCAGCGGCGAAGAGCCGGTGTTCTTCGAGCAATTCTATGCACTGTCATCCTGAGCACAAGGGAAGTGAAGGAAGAGCAGCGAGTCACTGGCAATCGGCGCGATAAGTAGCGACCCCGCGGACGGGATTACCGCCGATCGCGGGCTCCGCCTACAACCCCGGCTCGCGACTCGGCTTGAAACTCTTAGCAAGCCCGCCCGATGGAAACCAGCCATCCCGACGCAGGTAAGTCCGCGCGCGCCTATACGAGAAGTGCAGTAGTGTGCAGACTTGCAGAAACCATATGCACATTATATATTTCTTTGCGTTCTAAATGCTTATATTCAGGCTATCCTAATGCTCAAATACGTTGATAAAATTGTACATTTGCCAGACGCTATGCGATCACTTAACGCTTGCTGCAATTCTTCAGCATCTCATCCAAATGCTTTACTGCGAGTTAGTTTTATATGGGCGATATGCTGGAAAAAAGGGAGTTACCATACCTGTCTCTGCTCGACTGCTAATTTTCCTTGGGTATCCTAGTAGAAATTCAGTGGAATGCGGTGCACAAGTCTGGGGAAGAGACATACACTAATGATGGTTAAGATCAATGAATAATTGTTAAACAGAAATCGTTCTCTACGTTTGGCGTCCGTTCCATTGCGACTCAGCTTCGCCAGGAGAGTGTCGAATTCAGCCCTCAGCCGTGCCAAACTGTTGGAGACGGGCTCATCATCCCCAGCATCACTGCTGAGCACCAAAATGCCATGTAAGAGCTGTCCAAATCGCTGTGTGAGGAAATGGGGCGCCGATGATTGCTTCAAGTCGTCTCCACCCGCAATGGAGAGGGCAGAGACCGCACTGCGACCAGTGTTTGAGCCAACACGTTTGAGAGACTCTCCGTGGAGGTCCATGATAACCTGGAAGCGGGGCCACAGATGCATGTTGATCCCATTGACATATGAATCTGCGACGGGGACCTTTCGCCGCTGCAGTTCAAAGGCGGAGTGTTGATTCAGCCGAACACACATTAGAACACCTAAAGAATCTGTCGTATGGTCGATAAGCTTCTTTGTCAAGGTTTGACCAAGGGCAAATACTGGCTCGAATACGGTGGCGGCCATCCGTGAGATTTGGTGGAAGGTCAACGGAGAAAAGAATTCGGTGAGGAACGAGTACTCAGCAGACACGTTGTCCACCAAAGCGACATTGAAATTCCGGAATGGCACTTCAATACCATGGTACGAGTGATCCTCTTCCGCCAAGTAAGATGACAGTGCTGGTTGAAGTCCATTTCGGAGAATATCAATCCGCCGGCCCAGAGAGAACGGATCATGAGCAGCAGAGCCGGCTCGGCCGCCAGGGAGAATATTTCCAGTTCGGTGCGCAGAGGGATCGCCTCCAAGAACTTCGTTTCGGTCACTTGGGTATACCTTGATCTTTTCAAGAGCTTGTAGGTAGCGGGTAAAGTTGGAGGTGTAGTACCAGCGCATAGTGTTGATATAGGCCTGGGAAATCTCGCCAGCGAGAGTGGGGTGGATCTTTGAGAGGTAACTATACAGGTCCTTAAATTTGACCAGTCGTTGCTGTTGAATAATCTGCGAATTGATGTTGGGCGAGCGCATTGCTCGGATTTGAGACACGAGGTAATCACGGATCCGTTCGATTGCCTATTCCCCAGTCAATCCGACGTTCTTAGTACTAGGTTCTTACTCCTAGCGCCAGTGTATTCTTTCTTACCTTTTTTTTACATTGATCAAGAGGGGCCGCACATCCTCGATTGCTTTGAACCCGTTCGAGGAGGATGCCTTGGTTTCAATGCTAGTGGTTCGCGCATCAATTTCGTTTAAGGCGCGTACCCAGTTGTCATCCATGGGACCCTCAATGATGGTACGCACGGCTTTCGGGGAAATGCTGATTTCCTCGACCGCTGGCCCCAATAATCGTTCCACATTCCGTCTATTCTCTAACATCGCGGTCAGTTGGGTGGATCGAGTTTGCAACGTCTCGATCTCCGCCGACACGACACCCAGTTCGGTCTGGAAGTCATTCAGGTAAAGCTCGACGGACTTCGATACATCATCACAGCCGGCAATCGCAGTATGAAGATCTTGAAATTTATCGCGTTCTTGCTCGAATTGTCGGATCGTTTGGGCATTGACTCCATTGCTTGTGGTCTTTCGAGGTAGTCGGTCGTCCTCTTTGGCGACAAACTCTTGCAAGCTGAGTCCGTCGAAACTGATTGCCTCAACCAGCTCTGTTGGCCTTGACTCCGGCCCCGTGGATAATTGTGAGCTCTCTTTGTCCAACTTCTCCTTTCCAATGATTCCTTTCAGGACCTCCAGTGGATCCGGGACGACGGCCGGGCGTTGCCGCTGGCCGCTGGCCTGCCTTAATCCCAATCCATTGGATGCACGAGCCGTGCCAGGAAGAGACGTGGATGAATCACTTGGAGTCAACGACAGAGATGTTGACGAGGATTTGGAAGGCACTCCGGGGCGATTATTGTTGTAGGGACCCCGGGAAAGCTGAGAGGAGGATCGTCGGGGAAGAGACGGGGCGCGATTCACTCCGGAGGGAGTCGACTGGCCGGAGATGCGGTCGCGCCACATGATAGATCGAGAAGGAGGCAGCGCATGAGCCGACTATCCTCTGGCGCAAAGATGGCGAAAGAGCCAACAGAAACCGGGGAATGTGGATACGTCTCGCCGTCTCGCCGTCTCGCAATCTACACGTTGGCAACGTTGGCAACGCGCCCAAGCACCCAAACCGCCCGGGCGGCACTAAACCCGATCAGGACGTAGCGACCAAGCCCCCCCACCACAAAGCCTTTTTCTGTCGAGAAAACTCCTCTCTTTTCTATTCCTTCACCACCCTGCTTTCTCTTTTTTTCCCTCCCTTCTCCATTAAAACCCCCAACTCCCTTCACCATGGCTGACGAGGTACGCCGGTTCTGGATCTTGTGTCCTGTTCACTCCCACACTCCCTCCTTCCCCAATCGCCCGGTTGCGATGGCTTCCAGCCCCGCATCTTGAGCCTCCCCTCTTTTCGGGTGCAACATGCAACCCCTCTCGAAGAGGAAGACACCATTTACCCGGCACCCTTTTTTGAAAGGCCTGCTTGGAACACTCCCGTTGACATGTTATGCTATAGAACCTTGACGTTACCTTCGAGTCGGCGGACGCCGGCGCGTCCACCACCTACCCCATGCAGTGCTCTGCTCTGCGCAAGAACGGTTACGTCGTGATCAAGAACCGCCCCTGCAAGATCATCGATATGTCCACCTCCAAGACTGGCAAGCACGGTCACGCCAAGGTCCACCTTGTCGCCACCGATATCTTCACCGGCAAGAAGCTTGAGGATCTGTCTCCCTCCACCCACAACATGGACGTTCCCTTCGTTGCCCGCAAGGAGTACCAGCTGGTATGTCTCAATGCCCTTCACCCCATCGCACCTTTGCACGGTATCTATTCTTCTTTTTTGATCTGTCAATGGCTAAATGTCACTTTTTTTCTGTTTTCTCTAGCTCGACATCACCGATGATGAGTTCCTCTCCCTGATGAAGGACGACGGTGACACCAAGGATGATGTTAAGCTGCCCGAGGGTGAACTTGGCGAGCGTATCGTCAAGATGTTCAAGGAGGAGGAGAAGGACGTCAGTAAGTATTCCCACAGGTGGATCTCGGATCCCATATTACTTTCCTCTCATGGACGACGTTTTGTCTAACTGTCATCCCCTAGACGTCATTATTCAGACCGCCATGGGTGAGGAGTGCGCTGTTGAGGCCAAGGAGGCCCCTAAGGGCAACTAAATAAACGCCAGATCACTGGATCTCATGTTATGTCAACCTTTACGTCTCAAAATGGGCTTCTGTCCCCTCCCCAAAAAATTCATCTTCAATGGTTCAATGTGGTTCCTTGAACGATTGATCAATTGTCTATTGCTTCAAGATCTGTCCATCATCTAGCCTTGGATGTAGGCTGCACCGACGAGAAGAATTGCTTTGGTTGGCATGATATGTGTTGTCCGAAGAACAGTTCTGAGTCCCAGCATCTCATGATAGTGTGACGAACGAATAAATATCCAACCCTTGCTTGGCTTCCAAGAATCTTAAACGTGCAAAATAATTTTTAAATTTAAAAATGTTTTCTAGGATAGCGGACCTTCTCGAGCAACCAGTAAAAGTATGGGCATGGAGTAATTGAACAAGTAGGATATTGCAGATCTCGAACATCGAAAAAGAAAAATTGTGAAAGCCAAACTGCACATGCAGCGAATTTCTCAATACATAAAAGGAGTTCATTGAATATGGGTTCTAGATCGTTACTGAACAGAACATATTAACAATTGCAATCCAACTGTAGCTGCTCGTTGATGTAAATTCCCGGCGGTCGCATGGATGGAAGAGGCAGAAAAAGCCTGATGTTCCGGACCAACACCACGACCCATCTCTTCGGACAAGCATTCCCGCCCAACCAGCATGAACATACTGCCTCGGTATGGAGTATGTTACCCGAGGGGTCTGCGGCCAGGAAGGATGCCGTGAGCGACGCTACTACCTAGACAATGGCCTCTGGTTCTGCCGACGCGGCCACCTGCAAGAGGTATGGACTCCATTCCCTCTTGCCTACCAGCATCTGAAAAGCGCGGGGTCTCGGGGATCTTGGCGCTGCAAGACTTACCATTTCATGTAGGGACGGCAAATTGAAGAAGATCCAGACGATTTTGGCACTCAGGGCAAAAAGTACAGAGTGAGAAAGGAAAAGGAGGAGCGAGCACGAAAGAGTATGCAGGGGTGATGTTCCCTTAATATACGGTCATTGCTGAAAAATATACGCAGCGTATCGTGGCCGACAGGCATTCACACTATTATTGCAGGCCTTTCAGTTGATAATTTGGAAACAATCCCATGCTCTGGTCACAAATCATGGATTTCCAGAGCAATTTGAGGTATGTGTTGAAGATCTTGTGGAAATCTTCTCAGCCCGAACGGTTCAAAGTTGAAAAGAAGATTTAACCATTCGTCTCAGGCTGTGGTTCGTGATCTTTGGGCTTTGAGGCTCCAAGATTTTGAATTGAAAATCAATGCCTCGACCGAAGATGATGGGGAAGAGGGCGAACGCGAGCTCTTTAGCTCTCAAGCCGAGGCCAACAGTTCGGATGGGCTGGGTTTCAAGACACAAGGCAAATACTTCGAGCTGCCGCGAATAGTCGAGTCAGTTGGTCTGTGTTATCTAGCGAGTATTTTGATGCGACTGCCTGTCTGTATACACGACTTTTACCGGTAAGTCTCCTGAAACTAGCTCAACCCAAGCACACAATAAGCTGACACCCCTTTCACTGTGCAGCTTGATCATGCGCCAGGAGATTCCATATATTCGAGTCTCAAGAGCTATCCCACGAAACATGAGAGATAAGCTTCCACCAGAGTACTTGGTCGGACTTGATGTCAACGTGAGACTTTCGTTCCTTGCGTGGGTTCTTTGGACTTGATGCGGTTCTGGGCTGACTTGAATCTTCGAAAAATAAAAAGAAATTTCCCAAACCCGAGTATCTCCATCGAACATTTGTGGAAATTGCGCTTCATTACAATCGCCAATACGGTGTTTCACTTCCGCCGTTAAACTACCATCCAATTCTATTCCGACATATCAAACGTCTAGCCATTCCAAGTATGACAGTCAAGTCTTTCCTGTCATGGCCATTTGCAGCTAACATGAATGTCCCCCAGTTGATGTATACGAGACTGTGAAAACACTCCATGATATCACGGGGTTCCGTTATCATTTTCCTATTAATCGACAGCGGACTGATCGATGGTTAACAACCCTTCTTCTGCCCGATGTACAGATCATCGCACTCGTCGTTGTCGCCACTAAGTTGTTGTTCCCTTTCGATGATCTTGAACGACATCCTGCCACGGCCAAAGAGCCGGCCACCCAATCCATAGATTGGCCTTTGTGGGTGCGTGCTCAGATCCATTTTAAGAATCACGAACAGGTCGGTGGGAAAATTGGGTTGGACAAGGTGATTCGGCTTGTGGACCGAGATGTGCTGGATATGACTCCCAATCAGTTGGACGAGTATATGGACTGGTACCAAAACAGCTGGTTGGATACCCCCAGGATCGCAAATCCGACCGCTGATTTGTTCCCTGTTGGTCGGGCTGGAACAACTTCTCAGCCACAGCCAACTGCAGTCCCCTCTGCAGCCTCTGCTCAACCCGTCACAACTGATGCCGAGGCAGCCCTAGATATCTTAATACGCACCGTCATGCAGGATTTGAAGCCTACAACAATAGATCCAAGCCTGGAGGAGGAGAACCGCCGACCAGGATCGTGGTATCGTAGGTATCGATGGGAATCGCAACTCCCAGAGACTGCAAGGGCCTTTTATGAGCTAGCAGCCGAGCTTGCCACTATCTCATTACCTACACTGATCAAAGCCGTGAATTTGACTGAGTGGAAGATTGCGAAAGTGCTGGAGGACAGGCGACGTGCTGAGTATTTTGATCGGGAAATGGCAATGCAAGATGACAGCATGGATGAGCTAAATGAGTTGGACGAGCAATTGTCTGAGCTGGATTTTCAAGATTGACCAAAGGAAACACTATCGGTGGGAGTTCATGATAAGCGCATTGAATATTCCAGACCCTTGATTTCAATTCGATACTAGATTTTCCAGTTTCTTAGTTTGCATTTTCAATTCCGGTTGTTTCACAGATTTATCTAACGAGACAGAATAAGGTAATTATTCCCAAGAGAGTCGATAGGTAAGGACTGATTACTTGTATAGCAAGGATCCAGATCTCTATTTTATTAAAACTTTTCACTATTGGGTGCCTTCACCCTAGAATTCATGCAATTTGTCGATACTCTCTAGAATCGCGTTGAGATTCTCCTACATTCCCAAACAGGCAATTCTAGTTATTATCACGTGATGTCCAAACACGGGTACGTTGTCTAGGGTTTAGGGCAACCCGCGCCCCCAAGCTGGCCCACCTTTGCTAAGCGAGAAATCCTCAAATTGCCATCGCCTCCTCCGCCTCGAACTCAGCGACCGACCGCCGACCACCAACGAAACTCGCAACCAGTATGTTCCGTGAAACTCGTCCAAATGCATTTCTATAACTTGTGTGGATTCGATAAGCTAACGCTGCCCTTTTCCCGCGCCTTTCAGTGCAGATGTAGGTCTCCCTGAACTCTTCGAATGTCTCGCCCGTGAACTGCCTCGAGAGGCCCGATATTCCGCACGAAATGCAAAATAAACGAAGATAATGAGCGTGGACTAATACCGCCCGACATAGTTTCGTCAAGACCCTGACGGGTAAGACCATTACCCTCGAAGTCGAGTCGAGCGACACCATCGACAACGTCAAGGCCAAGATCCAGGACAAGGAGGGCATTCCCCCAGACCAGCAGCGCCTGATCTTCGCCGGCAAGCAGCTTGAGGATGGCCGCACTCTGAGCGACTACAACATCCAGAAGGTATGAAGCTATGGACCCAGCTCCTGTTTTCGTGATGACGGCATGGACCGGATGTGGACGGCGGCTATATCCAGAAGGTGTAATCGAATGTTGGCATTCAATACTACGGCGACACGACACTGCCTACTGGGATATGAAAGAGGAGGAGATATCCGGATCCGCCGCGACTCCATCACTACAATTTATCTCCAGGGACGTGGCTGACATCAGGTTTCTCAAACGCTCTAGGAGTCCACCCTTCACCTTGTCCTGCGCCTGCGTGGTGGTATCATCGAGCCCTCTCTGAAGGCCCTTGCCTCCAAGTACAACTGCGAGAAGTCCATCTGCCGCAAGTGCTACGTACGTACACCATTTCCTGTCTAGCGCGTCAGTGTTGAGCGGGCATTATCGAAGACACGCTGTCGCGAGGCGGCGCCAAATGACGCAAATGACGACATGGATCAACATGCTGACGATCGAATCTACAGGCTCGTCTCCCCCCTCGTGCCACCAACTGCCGTAAGAAGAAGTGCGGCCACACCAACCAGCTCCGCCCCAAGAAGAAGCTGAAATAGACGACTCGCTTTTCGGTGTTGTGCTCGGTGTGTTGTGGTGCAGAATCCAGGTCTGGGGTTTGGCTGGAATGCGACACGGAGAGGTATCCATTTGGCGTTAGAAATGATAAAACAATCAGAGCCACAGTCATACTTTTATTAGTAGACTCCTCTCGGCTTCCAAGTCGCAACCCATGAATTGAAGTAAAAGTTCAAAACATTCAAATTTTACCCCGCTTCTTGCCCCTCGTCTTTGACGATCCGCATACTCCGTCGATGTAGTCTCAACTAGGCGGTACGTAGACAACTTGGTCTCAGGATTGGCAACTCCTCGGACTAAGCACATGCGTATATAATTCTAAAGCGGCTTATCAACCTCTTGAGCCTTCAAGTTGGACCCTTTGGTTTTCAAAATACCATTTCAATGATGTAATGGATCAAGCTGGCTGATTTGCAAGGTTCCGTTTGGGTTGATGCGTGTTCCGTCGAAATATATTTATGACCCGAAGCGGGAAAAGCACGGCCAGAGCTCGTTCGAGTACAACAGAAACCCTCACCCACCATCTATCTATTAGGTCTATTTACAAAAATTCATGGGAGTGTTTTTTTTTTTTTTTTTTTTTTTTCAATTCAAAATGCAGATATAAGTTTCATTGAAAAGATGCTAGCTGTCGACAGCCAGCAGATACAGATACAATACATATATGACCCCATCCTGATAACACACCGATAAAAAAAAGATAGAGGAACCAAGTGCTACCTGAGCAAAGCCAGCGGGGAGACGGAATTTATTGTCTCTGATCAATTGGACCTTAAGCCCCCGATTTTTAGCGTTCAAAACATCATGCCTCGCTTATCGTCTTTCTCGCTATCGTCAGACTGATCCTTGTTCTTCTTTGAGACCGGGCTTGCGTGTCTATGGATAAAGTCAGCTTACGTCAAGTCCAAAGGTTAGCGGAATAGCGGGATAACAAACGCAAAAAAGAGAATCTTGATCGCAATAGCCAACCCGGCGTGCAATACAACAACCAAAATCAGGAGAATCTTGCTGGCCTTCGCATCCGTTGCATTTAACACCGGATATAGGTTGCGCAGCAGGAAGAAGACAGTCCACGCAAAGCCGACCCCAACAAGCGCCCAGTTGAGCGCAGTCAGCGGGCTCCAACTGACAAGAGCAACGCCAATCCAGATCAAGTTAGAGTATCCGTACAATGACCAGCACTCGATCAAGTCGGCCGTGGAGCTCCCGAACCACCGGAGCGCACCCCACAGGGCAATAGGCAGAATACCCGTGTACCCGTAGATAAGGCCAGCCGCGCCAGAGAGTAGAGTGAAGTCATACTCAAAGTGCTTGTCGTCGTTGTTCGAAAGCCACTGAGAGATGGTTCCGGTCAAGAATAGAATGACCACGACGGTGGTCGCAATCCAGACGGGCCCGTAGAGATCGGCGTTACCCTCGAGAACGTCGAGGAAATTGGAGCGCGGGTAGAGAGCAGCCAAGCAGCGGCGCAGCACCTCATTTGTATCAACATCAAAGAACCGCTCGTAGTAGTGGATCGACCACCAGCTGTGCTTGGTTGGAGTGCCGCCAGGGGATCGATCACGGCCGCGCGAGGATCCGCCGCCTAAAAATGGAGCGGAATCAGACTGGACTTTGGCACTTCGTTGGTCATTTTCGAAGTCTAGAGAGAGCAGCAAAATTCATGATTAGAGTTGTGTGCGCGAAAGCGTGCAGGATCATGGATTTGAGGGCGGACTTACTGGATGAGTGGAATTCAAGGTCCTCTTGCAGGTCAGTATGGCCGAGGTCGCCCTATATCCATGTTAGGACTCATGATGAAGCATCAGCTGTGACTCAGTGATAATTACCTCGGCATCCACATCGACAACCACGTCGTAACCCCGGTTTGCCATAGTGGTGGATTAAGTTGGAGGGGGGAGTGGTTGTGTTATCGGAGGGAGGGAAGAGTACACATCAGCTTTCCCCGGCGGAGCGCCACACTTCAGCCACGCTCGGGCCATGACGGGTGAGTTACAGGCACCAAGGTCCTTTAATCAACAGATCAAAGAAGGGTCATTTTGGGGAAATTGCTGGATACAAAATCAAGTAACGCTTTTATTGTCAAGCCAGAAAATTGGGTTGAACTATCTGCAACGTCTGATTCACCCCTTTTTTTGTTATTATCATACAAGTGCAGGTACCTATAACGACACGACTATTTCTTGAGACTCCAAGGGCTTCAATTTAGCCCTTGAATACAGAATGAAGCCAACTGAAATAGGACCAGATTGAGGAATCTAGACCCTTCTTCCTGATATAGAAAGATGCGACGCCGACAAGAAGAGCCAGAGCCACAGACCCGGCAGCGCGTCTATGCTTCCATGTGAACTCGAGAGCTTGCTTTCGGCGCTCTTCATTCTGCAGCTGCCGTGCCTGCTTCTGGAACAACCGAGTGGCCTCATCTACTGTATATTGGTGCGAAAGGTCTTGCGAGGTCTTCAGCACACTGCAGCTAGGGATGTTTTTCCATACCCCAAAGGGCAATGACTCGGGAGGATGATTTTTGAAGAGCTGCACAGCAGTCAAGATATGGCCATCAAGGTCAAGAGGACATGGAAGTTTAGAAAGAGTAAAATGAAGCATCTCAGGTTCATCCCCCGGAATTTCCATTAACTCTTTTTTTCGGGAAAGAATGATGGCCGCAAATAGGTAGATGGCAACCACAGGTTCTTGGGCGAGGAGAAAATCAAACAGGCGAGCAATATCGCTATACTCCTGAATATCATGGGCGTAGAGAGTAAGAGTAGCAGCCAGGGCGAAGAATGGCTGGGTATTGGAAAGATGCCGTGTCAAAGCAGGATCTGTTGTTTCAATGATGGCGGGAATGAGTTGCAGATGCTTCACAGTTGGTGAGAGTGAGGGTAGCATATAATCTCGGATCCTGAAAAGCGATACTTGGGCCATAGCAGGTGCGGCCTTCTTGTAACCCATTACTAGGAGCAGGACTTGCACAATATCGTGATATCCCTGAAAGTAACACAGCATAGGGTAATTCCGGAGTACCTGTGTGATTAGACCGGATAAATGCCGCTTCTTCTCAAGAATCTCGTCCTCTGGAGCTAAGCAAGTGGTCAGTCATATTTCATGAAATGAAAAAGACCTGTAGAATAGCAAAAGGACCCGTAGGAACATCACATCATCGACCGAAAGTCGGTAGGAAGACTCAAAAAGCACTTACCATTAGGGTAGTAGATGAAAGATCGGTTGACATCTAGTTCCACCTGGTCCTCATCTGCATGTCGCGGTAAATCTTCCAGGGGCTTCAGATCATCATGATGTGATTTCTCATCACATTGCAGGAAAATGGGCCCTAATTATTGCGTTACTGCTATCCAAAAGCTAGAAAGACATCCCGTTCAGCTTACATGCTCTTTGACGCAGGTAATCTTCCAACAGTCCCCCTTCACTGGTAGCATAAGAGACCAGGGCTTCCAGATTGCGAGTGTCACATGCGCGTTGAATCGCGTCTATTTTCTCTGTTCTCACCCGAGCCCTTTTCTGTGCCTCTAATGACTCTTTGGGTAACTCTTGGGGTATAGATGAGTCTGGATAATTGTCAATAGGGGTTGAATTGGATGTTGAATCATCAATTTGCGACTCCATGCTTGCTGGATCCATTGTTAAGCTCATGCAGTTGTGACAGCTGGGCGTGTTAGGCGAAGACGGATATGGAGATCACATATGAAAGCAATAATTTGATTGAACGTGAGATCATCCTACTAGGCAGCAGATGAACATGTGTTGTCGATTAGGATTTAGATATCTGATCAATCACGGCCCTGAAGATCCTGGCTATCCCAAAGGACAACGCAGTCCCCGAAGCGGGAGGGTATAGGCACAAAAGTCCTAACAGGGCTATCAAGGCCAGGTATTCCCACCCCGATGATTTTTTTTTTTTTCACAAGCCAGGCACAGCTGAATGTAGGAGAAGCGGACCTGCGTAACCAGGTGGTGAAAACGGGGCCCCGTACCTGGCGGTTCGGCGAATCTGGCCTGAGGCACCAAGAAACGTGATTCCCACCTTGAAAACACGGGAAAGCAGCTTCGGGTGCATACACCTTTGATACATCAACGGTTGGTCTTGGTGGGTCTAACGGAAAGAGCAAAGCAGATGATAAACAAATTTGGCCGGCAGTGCTGTTTCGCTTACTAGCTCGCCTTGAACCCAGGGGGTCCCGCAGCCTATTGGAAATCCACCCCGCAGGCGGTGCGTGAAGCTCACCATAAGAGCTTATTGAAACCACATTCTGCCCAACAGACCGGACCAAGACTGGATCTCAAGGACAGAGTGGCTTCTCAAAGAGCCTTGAGCGGCCTGCTATATGGTCTACAGATTGGGGCATTTGCTTCCATAGCCTTCACGTAAGTTCTGCCGTTGAACTTGTCAATTCTAGCTCACAAATGTTGATAAAGCATTCATAGGCCTCTACAAGATATCCTTATTAGGCACTATCAAACAGTCTCTCAAAGAGATTAGTAAGACAACGTGCCCCTTATTATCATATATACCGGCCATCCAAGCTTCCGACAGGCCGTTGTTTGATTTTTTGAGCGTTGCCTCCAAAGCATGATCCAACACTACCCAAAATTCACTCTAAGCTGAATCATTTCATGAAAATCAGAAAATTTTGGGTGTCTCAATGTTCTCTTCTTCACAAAAACTTCAGAGACTCGGAGAATGCTAGATGGGACTTGGGAATCCTCCAGCTATCTACACCCAATACGTCTCTTTTCACATTCCCTCAAAGGGAACTGCCATTGTCGCTTGAATAAGGCTGTATCAACAACCTCTCTTCGCCAAAAGCTCACCTGATTCATCTCAAAAAGCATTTTTATTTTCTAGAACAGCCCATATCCTCCCGACCGATCTTTTGTTCACACAAACGAAACACCACGTTGCATGTTACTTCCAATATTTACCCTGAGCTCTTCTATCGACTAAGACAACCTCTTTGATAGATCTCTTGAGATTGTTTTATACAGAAACAATGGATGGACGATCTTTATTGGCACGTCTTCCTTGCCCGAACGATGTCACTGGACTCCTCACTCAAACAATACTCCCTAGTCCGGTTGTTCAGTGGATTGTCCCTGCTTGTCTTCGAAGTAAGGCCCACAAAGATGTCGTATTTGTGGGTCAGAGACGAATACAGGTCAAAGAAGCTATGGCTGGTGGATTTTTGAAAGATATTACTGAGAAAGCAGACTTTGATAACTGCATCATTGGTGCAAAAGCCATCAACATGAGCACTCAAATCCCCTGGGATGGACAGTTTCAACCCCCTGGTCCTCTTGATTCGAGCGAGAGTAAGCCAAATACCTCCGACAACCTGCCCTCTCAGATACTGGTTCTTTCGCTTGATATGAGAGAGCTGCTCTTCTTGTTTATTCCACCTTCGAAGCCAACCGAATTTATCACTTTCCGCCGGCCCTTGCCGGTTGATGTCAGTCTTTCAGACAGATTTGGCAGACATATTGCCGTCGATCCCAGGTGAGCAAAATATGTCTTCACAGTTGTCTAAGCCATGGCTAATAGGGGGCTGGCTAGGTCACGAGCGGTGGCAGTTGGTGCCTCAACTGACTATTTCGGTCTAATTCTTCTCAAGTCACCCGAGGATATTCGGCGTCAAATGGTTCAAGGGGGTTTCAATCCTGTGCGGAAGGTATGCTCTCGTTCAATTAAATACATTCACGGGACAATTTTAACTGTTGCTTTAACACAGGAACACTTCTTTAAATGTACTGGAGTCATCCAATTCATGGAATTCCTGCATCCTGAAGCTGCTGATCTACACAAGATCATTCTCCTTATTATCACTTCAGATACTGATGGAACCTACGCAAATGTTTATGAATGGGTCGAAAACAATTTTGATAGGCCGAATATTACCGAATTCAAACTTCAAAAACAAGATAGGATGCCTACCATGATTGTTCCACTAGCAAAATGTTCTTCATTTTTGCTTGTGTCAACCTCATCCATGGCAGTCTACTCCGCATCCGGAGAATCTCGACCTACCAGATACCCATTGATTGCCCCTGACTCAAGCGTCAAAGAGGCTGCGCTATGGACTCAGTGGGCCCGACCTACTCGTAATGAGCTCTATAGTGAAAACTATGATGGGCTCTATTTGTGCCGTGAGGATGGCTGGGTCTATTATCTGGAATTCGGAAATGACGGAGAGCTTGAAAACCAGACTAGCCTTGGCCAACTTCACTGTGATGTTGACTCGGCATTTGATGCTCTTGATATGGGCCACGAAGGCGCTGACTTCATTCTTGCAGCTGGAAGTATGGGAGATGGCGGACTCTTTGTTCAAGAAGCCCGAGGGCGACCTGAGTGCCTGCAGAGATTTCTCAACTGGGCTCCGGTCACTGATGCCGTCATGGTGCCAGCAGGCAATCATAGCACCTTCCAAGGGGACGTTCCACGCGATCGTCTGTTTGTATGCTCTGCATCCTCTTCTGGTGGCGGGGCACTTCATGAACTTCGGTATGGCATCGAAGCCCAAATTGGGTTCACTGTCCCTCTTGACGATCTATCTGGTATCAGGGATATGTGGGCTCTCGGTGATGACACCGGCGGAACTATCTTTGTTATCATCGCAGATCCAGTCTCAACCTTGGTTCTGTACATGAACCCCGACTTGGAAGAAGGCATCAGTGCTCTCTCAGAGGAGCATACTGGCCTTGGCACCAGCCAAACATTGGCAGCAGGGTGCACCCCAAACGGCGCCCTTATACAGGTCACTGAAACGACTACACATATATTTATGCCAGAGAACACGTCTTTCAATACCTCTGTCCCCCATCCACCTAATACTGCCATTGTAGCAGTGACCGTTGATGGTCCGAGCTCGACTGTGCTCACTGCTGCTCGACACAATCAAGAGATCAGCCTGTTCCTCACACGATTGGTGAAGGATGATGAAAAGATTTATCTAGATGTGAGCCCAGCAATTCAACTTGACAAAGAGCCGGTGTGTGTGTCTCTTGAGACATTTGGAAACAGCACATTTGTCTTCATGGGGACCGGCGATGGCACAATAAGGATCTTTCATGTAGAGCAGCAAAGCATTGTGCATCTCGTGGATATCCAAATTTTGATAGAGAGAGCAGATGATATTTCACGAGCTGTTGACAGTCTTGCCGTTATCCGCCAGACATACGGGGGTGTTCTGAGGGCTTATCTGCTCTGTGGTCTTCGAAGTGGCATACTTGTGCCATTCCAAATCGATTTCAATGCCGCTTCCTTAATAGGTATGTTGACTACACACCATCAGCTGAGCTATGTGGGACCGTGTCTAATATTCATGTAGGCTTAAATCAATTGTTGCCAAATCGTATTGGAACAACTTCAGTTCGCCTCCAAAGCCAAGGTACCTTTGCCATCGTCATCTGTGACAGTGAGCTATGGCGGGTATCGACGAATCCTGACGGCGTTCCAAATGATTGCTTCCTATCTCGGATCTGGATTACTGATCAGAGCAATGTAAGTGCCGAACTATGATCTATTCGAGTGATGCCAATTTCTAACTGTAATACTAGCCTGCTTACTTTCCGATCGCGATTCACGGATTTGGGCTTATAAACTCGCAAGGCATGGGCTCGGAGGCTGCATGGGGGTCACTTTTCTGCTTTGCAGATCGCGAACTCCTGATATGTTCTCTAGATCAGGAAGCAAAGATGGTTCCCCGACGCATTGGCTTACCGGGAACTGCTAGGAAGCTGGCTTACTCGGAACAACTACACAGACTGATTCTGTCTTATGACGTGGTTGAGATAGAGGATCCCGAAAATCCGTACGACACCACCACACGCTCATATCTTGAATTCGTGGATCCCGATCTACAGAAAGCCCTAGCACATGAAGAAAGAGCTGGCAACAAAGAATTGGCACGAGCAGCCCGCGGAGAAATTATCAGCTGCATCATGGATTGGATATTCAATAGAGATGGTAAAAAATACCACCTCGTTGTCATTGGAACCACAATTCCAAGGATAGGGGATAGCAACACCCTCGGGAGAGTCATTCTCCTCTCAGCAATCCCAGACCCGTCAGATCCTTCAAAGATCAAGTACACCACCAAGCACATCCATGAATTCGAAGGCCCTGTAAGAGCAATAGCGCCTTATCATGATGGACTAATCGTTGGTGCAGGGAAATCCATTTTCCCATTGACATCGAGAGGAGCCTCAACTAGATGGGCTCCGGAGGGCTGGCGTACGTTCCCATCAGCAGTGGTTGCCATCACTGTCAATGAACCACTAATCTATGTCACCACTTCCCGGCACGGGTTCATCGTCTCAGAGGCTGTCGACGATAGTCTATCAATGTCGATGCAGCCGCGTGGCCATGATTGCGAACTACTTGAGGGTCTAACCCACTGCGTCATTCCTGCAGATCCTCCTCGCACGTTCTTAAGTAGCCGTGGAGGAAACATTCGCGTTGGCAGACTTGCCAGTAGCTCCGGCGACGGGCTCACTTCGTCAATGCTGTTTCTGTCACCAGAACCCGCCGTTGTTCAGCTATTTGAATCAATTTTGCGATTCGTTCCTGGCTCCACAGACGACCTCCTTCCGAAGTCGCCCAGAGAGAGGGGAGCCCCAATTTACGGCGTCGCGCTCAATGGAGCAGTTTATCGATTTTCATTCCTCAATACAAATGAACTGTTTCTACTGTCCCTTGTACAAGAAATGTGTCTCAAAGACGAATCTCTTTACCCGTCGATGTCTGCTCGCCAGAGACGGCGAAAGATTGTTTGGCACGAGCCAAAAAAAGACAACACCCAGGTTGATGGTGATCTTCTCGCCCGCCTTGCATGGCACGGCACAGACTGCCTCGAAAATATCGTTGCTATGCTAGATCAAGTCATGGGTGGCCCGACGTACGATAGCATGCTTCGACAGCTGTCAGTCAAAGTGTTTGGCCCTTCGGACAATTATGCTCGTGACATCGTAGGTTGGCTACGAGAGCTTCTTCACGTCAAAGTCTGATGCATGATCTTGCTTCTGTGCTCTCTAGTCTATATCATTTCATAGAGCCTGTTTTTTTTCGGTTTTATTCATGTGAGCGAGCTTTTCCGGGAGTTTTGGTGCAGTGTGAGAAGAGTACATTGGTGCATCATCGTTGAGAATACGAATGAAAAATCAAACGAGCCCAAATTTCCACAAATTAAACCAAAAATAAATTCAAACCCAGAGACATTATTAGGCAAAGAACATGAGTTGCAACAGATGTAAATACTGTAGAAGGAGGTCGTCGCGGGGCGTCTATAGACAGTGGCAATCTTGGCAACCTTGGAAACGCCGGGTGAAGTCAGACAGCATGGTTCCCCACCATGCGTTGATTCTTCCCGAAATTCTTTTTCTCTTCCACCTTTCCCCTCGGTCGAACCAACCAGCCATTCTTTGCCGGGGATTCGAGTTCGGAATTTTCGAGCTCGTCTATTTCACATTCTCGCCTACGCATTTTCGCCGTATTTTTTCCACGGCGACCCGCAGCCCGCAAGTGAACGGTTAGCTCCGTTTGTGCGCCCACTGCGTCCCTTCAACCGTCCCTCGATCCAGACCCGGAAGAGCCCCAACAGACAAAGAAACACAAGCTTGACATAATGGCTCCCAAGAAGAAGGGAAACAAGCGGCAAGAGGAGGATTGGGAGGCTGAGCTCGGTGAATCCGCACAGAGCCCCGACGCCCCCGCGGATGAGCCCCAGAATGGTGCCGAAGAAGGTGCCGAAGAGGAGGCCGGTGCCGGTGGTTTGATGGCTGCTCTGCGTAAGAACAAGGCTCGGAAGGCTAAGAAGGGCAAGCCCGTGAACGATTTCGTCGAGGGCGAGGATGCTAGTGCCGATTTGGCCAGCAAGCAGCCGGAGGAAGGTACTTTCGATGAGGACGATGTCTTTGCCGGAAAGGCCAAGAAGCCTATCAAGGAGGTCGTCCCTCCTCCGGAAGCGGATGATGGCGAGTTCCGCGTGAAGTCCAAGAAGGAGAAGGAGAAGGAGAAGAAGGAGCGCGAGAAGCAACGTAAGAAGGAACAGGTACGTCTAAAGAAATCAATTCTCTAATAGATATCGTCTGGCATGCATCAATGTTATCTAACTGTTTCTTTGCGTTTTCTAGGCTGCTGCGAAGAAGAAGGCTGCTCCCGTCGTCCCACAGAAGACCGAGTCGGCGAAGCCTGTCGCTGAGTCTAAGAAGGACGAACCTGCGCCTGTCTCTGCTCCCGAGCCCGCTGGTAAGAAGAAGAAGCTTCCTCCTCACCTGGCGGCTCTCCAGAAGCAGCAGGAGCTGCTCCGTCAGCAACGTGAGGAGGAGGAGCGTTTGGCTGCTGAGGAGAAGGCCGCTCAGGAGGAGGCCGCTCGCTTGGAGGCTGAGGAAGAGAAGAAGCGCGAGGAGGCTCGTCAACGGAAGAAGGAGAAGGAACGCGAGAAGAAGGAGCAGTTGCGCAAAGAAGGCAAGCTTCTGACCAAGGCCCAGAAGGAATTACAGGCCAAGAATGAGCTGCGGATGAAGCAGATGCTTGCCGCTGGTGGCAAGGTTGCTGGTCTGGAAGAGGGTACCGCCGAGAAGAAGCGCCCTGTCTACGAGAACCGGAAGAAGAAGGGTGGCAAGAAGCAGGAAGATGATCTTGAGGCCGCCGCTGAGAGAGCTCGTGCTCAACGTGAGGCCGAGGATGAGCGCCGGAAGAAGGAGGCTGAGGAGAAAGCCAAGGCCGAGGCCGAAGCTGCTGCCAAATCAAAGTCTGCTTCCGAAGACGACGACGCTGTCGATGACTGGGAGAAGGCCGCTGATCTGGATGACGACGTGAAGGACAGCTGGGATGCCCCCACTGATGATGAAGAGGAGAAGCCCGCTGCCAATGGCGCTGATGCTGATAAGAAGGATGAGGATGAAGAGTCTTCGGATGAAGATGATTCTTCCGAAGAGGACTCCGAAGATGAGGAGCAGACTGCTAATCAGAAAGCCATCGCCCTGCGTAAGGCTGAGGCCGCTGAGCGCAGAAAGAAGCAACACGAAGAAGCCATGGCTGCTCGGTCGAAGGACAATCTTCGGTCGCCCATTTGCTGTATTCTGGGTCACGTCGATACCGGTAAGACCAAGCTGCTGGACAAGATTCGTCAGACCAACGTGCAGGAGGGCGAAGCCGGTGGTATCACTCAGCAAATTGGTGCTACCTACTTCCCCGTTGATGCTCTACAGCAGAAGACTGCTGTCGTGAACAAGGATGGCAAGTTCGAGTTCAAGATCCCCGGTCTGTTGATCATTGATACTCCTGGTCACGAGTCCTTCTCCAACCTGCGTTCAAGAGGTTCCTCTCTTTGCAATATTGCCATTTTGGTCGTCGATATCATGCACGGTCTCGAGCCCCAGACTCTGGAGTCGATGCGCTTGCTGCGTGAACGCCGCACTCCCTTCATTGTGGCATTGAATAAGATCGATCGTCTGTACGGCTGGAAGAAGATTGACAACAACGGCTTCGAGGAGAGTTTGGCGATGCAAAGCAAGGGTGTCCAGAACGAGTTCCGCACTCGTCTCGAGTCAACCAAGCTTGCTTTCGCCGAGGAGGGTTTCAACTCCGAGCTCTTCTTTGAGAACAAGTCCATGGCTCGCAATGTCTCCCTGGTGCCCACCTCCGCCCACACTGGCGAGGGTGTTCCCGACATGCTGAAGCTCCTGACCACGCTGAGCCAAGAGCGTATGACCAACTCGCTGATGTATCTGTCGGAGGTTGAGTGTACCGTTCTCGAAGTCAAGGTTATTGAGGGTCTTGGTACCACCATTGATGTGGTCCTTTCCAATGGTATCCTTCGTGAGGGTGATCGAATTGTCCTGTGCGGTCTCAATGGACCTATATCAACTAATATTCGAGCACTCTTGACTCCTGCTCCTCTAAAGGAGCTTCGTTTGAAGTCTCAGTACGTGCACAACAAGGAGGTCAAGGCCGCCCTTGGTGTCAAGATTGCTGCCAACGACTTGGAACACGCCATTGCTGGTTCGCGTCTGCTCGTTGTTGGCCCTGACGATGATGAAGAGGATCTGGAGGACGAGGTCATGTCCGATCTGGAGAACCTGCTGAGCCGCGTTTCCACTGACCAGCGTGGTGTCACTGTCCAGGCGTCCACTCTGGGCTCCCTGGAAGCCCTTTTGGAGTTCCTCAAGGTTTCCAAGATTCCCGTCGCCAACATTTCCATTGGTCCCGTCTATAAGCGTGATGTCATGATGGCCGGAACCATGCTGGAGAAAGCTAAGGAGTATGCCGTCATGCTGTGTTTCGATGTCAAGGTTGACAAAGAAGCCGCCGCTTATGCTGCCGATGTTGGCGTCAAGATCTTCACTGCCGACATCATTTACCACTTGTTCGATGACTTCACCAAGCACATGGCTGAGTTGGTCGAGCAACGCAAGGAGGATAGCAAGATGCTCGCCATTTTTCCCTGCATCATTAACCCGGTTGCCGTCTTCAACAAGAAGGACCCCATCGTCATTGGTGTCGATGTCATTGATGGAAGCCTGCGACTTCACACCCCCTTGGCTGCTGTTCGCACCAACGCTGCCGGCCAGAAGGAGATTATTGATATTGGCAGAGTGTAAGTTTCCACCCCTGGATAATCTACGCCATTTTGATTCCATACCTAACTCTCTTTGGCTTTTGTTTTACAGGACATCTATTGAGCGTGACCACAAGGCTATCCCAGTCTGCAAAAAGGGCCAGCCCTCTGTTGCTGTCAAGATCGAGGGACCCAACCAGCCCATGTATGGCCGTCAACTGGAGGAGAAAGACCAGCTGTACTCTCACATCTCACGTGCCAGTATCGATACCCTCAAAGAGTTCTACCGATCTGAGGTCACTATGGACGAGTGGGGACTGGTCAAGAGGCTCAAGCCCGTGTTCGACATCCCTTGAGCTTGAGGCTCCCGATTAAACTATGTGGAACCTGCTCTTCTTCTCTCCGGGCAGATCTTAGCCCATCGCATCCACGACTCGTCATGGGGTAGTCTCCTAATCTAGCTTTCGCTGTCAAGCGGTGTTTTCCATGCTTCCTTCCCAAGGTGGATGAGAATGCCGAGATGTGATTATTGTCATCGAAAAGAGGAGAAGCGGGAAAAAGTTATATGTGTTTTTGATTGCGCCATGGACATACCAATGAACGATCACGACTTAAATGGGCCGGGCCTCAAAAAGATGAAGATGACGTCGCCTGTACATGACATGGGATGAAAAGCGGGCCTGGTTGATACCAGGATTACTTTTTTTCTATTTTTGTTACGGTTGCTCTTTAATGAACATTGTTAGACTCGAATCTTGCGAATATTTTCTCGAAAGTACACACATTCTGGGTTCCCTGGATCCTAATTCTACTGATCACAGTAACAAAACTACCCCAGCTACTCCTACTCTTTCTCATGCCCAGCTTCTAGTTACTTTTTTTTGAGGTTGGCAAGGGTCTTGCTGTGAGTTTGCCAAGTGGGAGCAACAGCTTGTGTAATTTGGATGTAACAAATTCTCCGTGATGGTAGTACAGTATATACTGATTGCAATCGACCTTCCAAGTATTGCCGTGAGTTCCCCAAGGATGGTAGACAGAGCGAGTCTATTTTTTCAATATCCAGTCCCTCTTTCGACTTTTCACTCATCGCCCTCCCATCTCTCTACCTTCCCTCCTTTCTTCGCCCAGTCCAACCAGCTCCCGTCATAAACACCCACCCGCGCGGGGTCATACCCAGCCTGAACGGCCATTTGCGCAGCCGCCCGCGCTCGCACGCCGGCCTTGCAGTAAAACACCAGCTGGCCGTCGCCATCGGCAGGCGGCTTCGGGAACCCGAAGCGCGTTTCGAATTCATCAGGCGTCAGATACATCGCGTCGGGCTGGGAGGCAAGCGGGATGCTGATGGCGTTCGGGATAATGCCTGTTGCGGAGAGCTCAGCAGGCTCACGGACATCAACGAGGATGACGGGAGTATGCGTTGGGGAGGAGGTATCTGAGTTCGGGAGAGTGGAAGTGATCTATAGTTGTTCGAAGGGTCAATTGGACGTTTCTCATTGCTTGGGGGGGGGAAGGGACGGGGGAACCCCATACCTCTTCAAATCCCCACTGTCGCAACTCCAGATCAGACTTGTCACTGAATTGCCGGGCCTGGTTACAGAGGAGTTTGAGGGGTCGGGATTTCTGGGACCATATGAGTGTAGGCTGGCCTCGTCTCTGCGAGACCGAGCTGAGGCCTCGGTTGGTTGCGGAGAGACCTCCGCAGCGGAGGACCAAGGTGGCCGAGGTGGTTTGGCGGGTGGGAGCCTTGAGGGTGGAAGACGACAGGGCGACGACAGAGCGCCGAATGCTCGTTGTTAGCGACACGGACATTGTGTCTATGATTTGGTGATTGCTGAGAACGAGGAGTCTCATAGCTGATGCCAATGCTTTCGGGCCGATGATAGGTGATGTCAGTGCCGCGCGTGACCGCCTGCTACGTTGAGACTCGGGGTTTATAGTAAGTAGGTCGAGAAGCTGAAGATTCTGTAACCCACAAGTGCTGTAGGAGAGTATGAAACTGGAATAATTGGTGTGATTAGTTAAAAATTTCTTAGATTTCTGAGCTCCTGAGTCCTTTATTGAATGAATGGTGATGCATGGAACTCACATACAGTCACAATCCCTATCAAGCCTCAATATATATAGTACGTATATTCACTGAATCTCTTGTAACAACTACGTAATTTGCCGATTTTGACTGCTTCAGTGTATCATCATACTGGTCCATAAAGTGATAAGGTGAATCCTTTTGATCAAATTTGAACCGGGTAGTTTTTTTTGCTCCCCAAGAAAGATAGCAACAACCTTGACCATATGAGCAGAGCTATGCTCACAGGTAGAGTAAGCGCACATGCAATCGCGGCGGGCGGGCGGTGAAACCTGAGCATTGTCGAGTATGAAACTTTCAAGGCGTCTGACGTCTCTACTCCTATTTCTCCTCCAGACTCAAACATGCTGCCAGGCTGAAGAAAATGAATACCGGGAAAGTTGCCGACAAGGTGTTTCCAATCACAACATTTCTCTCAGACCTACCGAGCAAGCTTTTCCCGCAGCCCCTCTTATTATCCTCGAGCAATGGTCCTGCTGAGGGACGCTTGGTCATTATAGGCGATGTACATGGGATGCGGAAATCCCTAGAGGCATTGCTAGACAAAGTGGACTTTGACCAACGCAAAGGAGATCATCTCATACTAGCTGGCGACCTCGTTAGTAAAGGACCCGATAGTCCAGGAGTCGTGGATCTGGCCATCAAACTCGGCGCCAGCGCAGTGAGAGGCAATCACGACAATGCAGTTCTCCATGCGGCCGCGGAGATCAACGCCACAAAGGATAGTCTATTATCTCCCGGAGGCTCAACTGGCGGCCCAGCCGAGCTCGAATGCCCTAAAGTCGACCTACCGGGGGACACTGTCCAAAGTGCCGAGACTCAAGACAAGAACGCCTCCACGACACCCGGTAAAAATAAGAGACATAGCCCGGCCACGTATCATACGGCTTCAGCCCTTTCGACGCGCCAGCTTGACTGGCTTGCCGCATTGCCTTTGATCTTGCGTATCAAGCTACCCGAAGGCTTGACATCTTCTCTCGGCGACACTGTCGTTGTTGTACATGCTGGCCTTGTGCCTAATATCCCACTGGAAGAGCAAGATCCACATGCTGTAATGCATATGCGAAGCCTCGTTCGTGAAATGGACGACGGCAATGGATTCACCCCCAACTGAAAGTTTCGGAGAAGAAGGCTGGGCTGCAGAATGGGACCGGTGGCAAGATAAGTTGGCACCCAAGACTACAGTCATATTCGGGCACGATGCCAAGCGTCGGCTGCAGCTAGGCAGGTATACTATCGGGCTGGACTCAGCGTGTTTATATGGCCATCAATTGAGCGCGCTTGTCATTACGGCTTCCGCTGGTCAAATCGAGCATCAGGTTGTTCAAGTCGAATGTGCTGATACTCCTATTGTTCCAACTGGGTGAGGGCACGAAGGGGACAAGCACAGCGGATGGGTGATCAAGATGTGTTTCGAAATATGTCATTAACTGAATTTAAGTTAACTAATTGACGATCGACTATATCAACCTCCAATACCATCAATCCCGCAACTGTTCCCTCTAAAATCTGTACACAGGCTGTGCATCCGTTGGTTCAAAGTATAAGTGACACAATAGCAGGGAAATGCCAATCACAGAAAACCCACAGCTCTGCAATCTACACTTCAAAAAGAAAACAAACCAAATTCGAACCAAAAGAGAAGAAAACAGAATTAATATTATTCTAAGAATGGCTCTTAAAGGCCGCTCAAGCCGGAAAGATACAAGGAACAGAAGATCTCTTAGGTGCTGCCGGTGGATGCTTGCTTCAGCACTCTGGTGGGAGGTGTGTTTCCCGATTGTGACCAAGTGCCAGCATATCCACGGTTCTTTCAAGCCCCGTCAAAGGTACTTGACCAAGCCTGTCAGGTCCAAGGTGAGAAAAGAAAAGAAACAAGACCCGGCCCCTCCATCTCCAGGACAGAAAGGCCGCGTGAGGTTGGTATCATATGCCCGAGCCCTTCTATCCGGAGTTTGGGGCCAGGTGCCAGCTTCATGCTTTTGTTGGGTGGTGGAAACACCAAATTTAGGCGCGAGGGCGGAAGGTGAGCAGGCAGTCATCCTGGGAAAAAATGGTAAGTAAATTATCATATAAGATGGAAAGGGACCCGTTGGATCCGATGAACAAAAGCATACCTGGGGGAAGATCGTGGCGAACACCTTGATGTCCTCGGAGAGGGGAGTAGGAGTGTGCTCCCAGTCCATCTCCATACTGGCCTTGCCAATCATGGCCATCAGGGCCAGCTGGGCATAGGTCTGACCCAGGCAGTAGTGGGGACCTGTGCCAAAGACCAGCCAGTTCTTGGTTTGCTGTTCAGCATCACCGGTGATCCAGCGGTCGGGGTCGAACGAGTCAGCGTTGGGGTATGCCTCCTCGTCATGGGTGGCGGGCCAGACCGAGGGGATGATCATGGAACCCTTAGAGACGGTGATCTTGTCGGTGATGGGGAAATCCTTCTTGACCAGGTAGGGCACCATGATGACGGGGGGACGATAACGGAGAGTCTCCTTGACGACAGCGCGGGTATAGGTGAGCTGCTCGAGGAGGTCCATGGAGATCGGGACCGAGCGGTCGCCGTTGCGGACAGCCAAGTTCTCCTCACGGACCTTATCCAAAACCTCGGGACGGTCGGCCATCAGCTGGAACAGCCAGGTAGAAGCGGCGCTGGTGGCATCCTGGGAAGCGAACAGGAAGGTAAACACGGTCTGGGCAATCTCGTAGTCGGTGAAGTCACGCAGGACCTGAGCTGGCTTCTCGGAGGCGTCAACCGGAATACCCTGGGCAATCTTCTCGCGATACTTGGCAGAGTCCTGCTGAGCCTTGACCCAGGCGTCCATGATACACGAAATCTCACCACCAGCAGCCATACGGGCCTTCGACTTGGCGGTACACTTGGAGAACTCTTCGAGGACCATGTCGGCAGCCTTCTTGCCGTACCAGGTCTTGGTGAAGGGCAGGATGATGGGGAAGTTAACAAGCTCCAGAGCAGCGGTGATCAGATAGTAGTCATCGGCGACCTTCTGGACGGCCTCGTCGGACATGTAATAGCCAACAAAGGTGCGGCATGACATAGCGGTCATCAGCTCACGGAAGTCGGGCATCCAGGGGGTCGGAGTGTGCTTAGTGGCGGCGGACTTCTCCAGGAAACGCTTGAAGTACTCGTCAAAGACCTCCTCCAGGCGGGGCAGGTAGCAGGACAGGGCCTGGCGGGTGAACAGGCCATTGAGACCCTTGCGGTATTCGACGTGCGCCTTGCCATCGAGGAAGACCCAGTTGGTCTTGCCGAGCAACTTGTGGGCGGCATCCACCACACAGGGCTTCACGTAGGCGGGCGAGTTGAAGATCTTGCGGGACATGTCACGGGTCGAGGCGATCACAACGAACCTAATACGGCCCTGTTAGTCAATTTGAATCTACGCGGTTCTCTCAACTGTCGATCCCGTAATATGAGATCACGGCCTCGAGGTCATTTTCCCCTTTTGAACGGGAAGGAAACGGGTGGGAGTGCTCACTTGTGGAAGACGGAAACACAGCTCAGCTCGCCGCTGTCCCATTTCGCCTTGTACTCGGTAAACTTGGGGTTGACAGACTGCAAGAAAGGGCCCATGAATGGGATCTTGTATGCTGGACCGACGATCGAGCCTTTGAGGTAGTGGTATTTGACTATCGGAGAAAAAGGGGCACTGATTAGCAATGTTGTTGAGAGGCGTTGAAAAACTCGTTGAGGTGTCTCGCGGGGGCTTGGAAGCGCAATGGTACTCACATTGATCGTAGATGACGGCGGCAATGAACAGAGTGAGGATCAGCTTCCAGACAGTGAAGCCATCGAGCACGGAGGCGACGAGACCGGCCGGCGCGAAAAGTTGCGGCGAGACCGTCGCATCGGCCGACGGCGAGACAAAACTCCCAGACATGTTGACGAAAAATCCCACGAGGCCGTCACGTTGAGAGGACCTTCTTTTTTCGGATCTGCTTTTTTTCCCTGTTTGAATACAAGAGAAAAACCAGCAACCGGAACAGGCGCGGAGAGATGGGAGAAGAGGTGGAGAGGGGGGGGGAGAGAAGGAAATTGGTCAGGGGCGGGAACGCCAATAATTGACCGGCTCCCGGATCCTTCAGGTCCCGCCGAGCATAGATTAGTTCCTGTTGGGTCCATCAGCTCTGCACGTCAGATTCTTTTATCGATAGGCCCAATCATTATCCATCTGTGTACGCACATCCAGTGATGGGATTCTGTGCGTCGAGGATTGTTGGCCTGATATTTTATCAATCAGGGGCCTGCTATTCGTACTGTATTGATGAGCGGAGGAGAGATCTTCCCCGGCAACGCGATTAGATAGGCCGCTAACCAAGTACGATAGTGTTACGATAGTAGTATAAACTATGCCAGACAAAGATAGTCCCGCTATTACGCAAATCGTACAATCTCACTCTGTTCTCCTCTCTTGGATCCTCCATCCCTTCGCCTGGGATTACACATCCTTCCACATACATAGCGTGACTCGGCTCCAGAATACCCGGCGCGTGTAATTGGCTGCAGACTGCAAATTCGAACAAGGGCTCCCGGCGGCACGTGCGACAAGCCCGATCCTGACTAAGACTTCCGTTCTCATTGGAGGAGTGTTGTATGCATTAAACGAGGGACATGGTTGCTCGAGATTTATGAATCTGAGGCCCGAACACGGGGGAAGCAGAGGCAAAATATTAAGATGGGAATGGCATGAGACGATTGAAGACAAATATAATAGGTGAGACGTAAATGCATGGCCATTGAACGAATGAGGCGGCTTCAAGATATCTACTTTTTCTACCGGCCAAACCCAAACCATCCCCGACCTTTCTTCTCCTCGGGTGCCGCAGCTTGCGGCTCAGCGTTCGTGTGAGGGTAATCGATGTAGTTCCATGCCACATCTAGGAAGAGTGGCTTCACAGGGACGGCTTGCATCTGGGGTGGATATGGCACCAGGTTGTTGAGGTCCGTCCGGCCGAACTGATGCAGCCGCTCCACCAGGGGACGCTGGTGAGAAGAAGCAGAATCTGCCTCCAGGCGCTCCAGAGTGACTAGGCCACGATACCGAGCAACCAATTGGCGAAGAGTCGACTCGAGCGTGCCGACCTGAGATCGCGAAACATCCAACTGAGGAGGCCCCTTGGAACTGGTGGGGGTCTGGGGAGTAGCCGAGCCAACAAGTTCAAGTGCCTGGGCAAACAACGCGAGTGCTTCGGTAGGTTTTCCGAGAACACTGTGGGATCGGCCTAGAGCAAGACATCTATCGAGAAACACAAACATTAGTCAAAGATATCCTCGATAGGATGAATGATAGACAAGCCAGAATGGAGCATACCTAAGTGCTCGGAAGTAACGTCGTTTCGCCTCGAGATTTTGGACAAATGCGGCGTCCGCGGCAACTCCAGGAAGCTCCAGAATAAAATCCAAGCTCTGAAGGGTAGAATCGTACAGCACTGCACGCTCGCGGAGTTTATTCAGCTTCTTCCCATTACCACCACTGTGCTTGGAAGCCTTGCCAGCCTGGACGGCTTGCTCGTCTATAAATATGAGGCCATCCTGCTCACCGCAAAGGACACGATTACGTCCAACACGCCATCCAACCAGGTTGTAGTTGACTGCTGTCCGAGTAATCTGCAATGCCTGCAATCTCTTGTCGCCAGGGTCCACACCTTCACTGGTCAGATCATCAATGGCAGTCTTAGTGGCATCAACCGCATCCTGACTGGCAATGATCACGTTATCATAAGCAGCGGCCTGGTCCTTGGCGGTGGCAGACTTCCCTGCGTCTGCCAACCAAGCAGTCAGACCTGCCTCGGCAGCGGAGGCTGCAGCCAAAGCCTGAGAGATCGAAGCATCGTCCAGTGGCACAGTTCGGGACCTCCATGTCACAGACTCTGGCAATTTTTGGACCTCGCCTTCAGCGGTTCTCCGTGTGCCCGCGGCCTCCTCAGCCAGACAGTTGGGGTCTATTTTCTCCACCTCTGCACGAATATCAGAGTCCGAAGGAAAGAATTCAAGGGCCAATGATGAGGTCGGCTTGGAACGAGGCAACTTCATCTGATAAGCGGCATAGCGGAGACTAGGGTCCACAGTTCCAGAGAGAAGATCCCGGAAGGCATCTTTCTTGGCCCGTTGCCCCAGAGCGGTATAGATCACTCGAGCGATAGCGTAATCGTGGAGGCACTGCTCCCACTTTCGCTTCTCCAGACAAAGAGCACCGGAAATTGTGGCCAGGTAAGCCCGAGCTTCAAGAATATCACTATCACTGGCACCGGTGGCCGACTGCTCATGAAGCAGCGTCACAAGATGTTGCGCATAACCAGTTGCTTTGTTCAGTCGCGAGATAATGTGACGCCTGGCTGCACCGGAGATACCCTTGGCGGACGGATCTGCGGAGTGTGTGGACTTCATATGCATGGCTTGCGCCCATGCCCGTTCGGATCCGAGAAGCAAAAGATGCACATAGCTGACGGCATAAATTAGCATTGGCCCTGGAAGGCTTAGAACAAGCACCTACGCCACATTGTTTCCAACATTCTCGGCAGTCACGGCAGGTTTCGCAGTGTACTTGCGGCCTTTAGCCGTGGCCTGACCCAGCTTCTTGCGAAGTTTGTGGAGCTTGCGAGTGGCGTGTGCCCGGTAGGCATTGTAGTCTCCCACAAGGAGCGCCTCCTCGCGCTCCTTAAAGATGTAATCGGTGATCTCCATGGCGCGGGGACGAGATCACGAAATTGATGGGAGCCGAGTTGGCAGGTTGGACTGGACCGTGGTGGGTATACGAAGGCGGTGCCCCGTTTCGGCCAAACGAATGGCCCCATCAGCCCGGCAATTTCCAACCTCCCGAATCTTTTGCGTATTGCCGACAACTTTTCTTTGCATTGCTCTACAGCTTACCAAACCTCTCACCCCGGCTGTATTTCTGGCTATCGGGCAACCTGGAATTCTCGGCAAGGTTAATTCCTGGAAATTCCCACCGGACACTGCACGCAGCTCGCTTTTATTCTGATCTCGGTACGACCATCTGGCACCACCCCAAACAGCTTGTTTCGGACTCTAGCAGCAACAACAACATCACAAGAACGCCTATTTCTGACCTAATCATCACTTAAATAGAGTGCTCGGACACGATATGACGCATACTGGGGGTCAATTTCGGTGACTTCAGTGTTTGATAGCGCGACGATCGGGGGTAATGCTCGAACGAGCGGGCAGCTGCCTCGAGAGCGCGGGACGGCGTATCCTCCGAGATTCCAATGGCGCCCTGCGAAGTCGACGGTCTCTTTCTCGTCACTTCTGGAAATATAACACCTCACGCGGCGATGTTCCAGGCTGGTTCGTCGCGCTAGTACAACCTTCAGCTCAGCATCACCCGTCCTACCTTCGATTCTCTCAGCCTGAGACAAAAGCCGCCAATGATAGAGATCCGCCGGTTCTCGACTTCCTTTGTCCTCAACAACCCCAAGACCTCGCGGCATTGCGGCCGTCACGCCAGTCAAAACGGCTGGGGCTGCGCCGAAGGAGAAAGGCACTAGCAGGTTTTTCGAGGTCTTACACCTCAGATGCCTCGTCGATTCTTAAGGAAACGTCCAAGGATGAGTTGCAGGTACCAGAGACAATATCGGAATTAGAAGGAGTGGATGTACCCACACAAGCAACACAGCATCTTATCGAGCTGCTTAAAAAGAAAGGTGCCGATTTCGATCGAGCATGGGTACTCTACATCGCTGCCGGACGACCGTTAAATTGCCGGTCAGCGTTATGTGCCTATTTGAGTAGGTCAGAAAATAGGGCGGAGCAAGCTCGAGCTTGGGAGGTTTTCAAGGAAATCCCTTTTCACGCCCTCTCGGAAGATGATTTTTCTCCATATCACGCAGTCGCAGCTCAAGAAGCTCAAGAGCCCTTACCTTCAATCTTCGAAGTTGATTGCAATATGCGAGCAAGCTATTTCAAAGGGATTTGGGTCTGCTTGCTGTGCTCTGGTTTTTGCATCGTTTTGGACAGCTCACAATTGGCACCGCGCGCTCGAAGTTTGGACTTTGGTATCACAACCTAGCACCAAGGATGGCCAATCCCCGAGCAATCAATTATTCGATCACCTCAAGCAAGGTAGACTCTTTTGGGATGCCATGTCGCTGGCTAAGTTTATCGAACATTGCCCGACCAACACTACCGCCCGTGATTTCGCGGATTTTCTTCTTTGGCGCATTTTCAGTGCTCCCCACGCTCTGCGAGATGCTTCCTTGAATATCTTAATAGACAACCTACACAAGTACCATGAGCTGGGGCTTTTGAGGGCAAATCACTACTTGAGGTTGATCAGGACGTTTCAGGCTGACGACAAGAGATCAGTCTTTACTCGATCGATTGTGGTTTACCGCATGATGCGTCGACAACAACCGGATTTAATACCACCTCGAAGCCTATTTGAGAAACAGCTGCGTGCTATGGCTTCCTTTGGTATCACCAATGGGGTCAAGTTTTTTCTCGACGAATGGTCCCACTTTTACGGAAAACCGTCAATTGACTTATACAAGCATGCCTTGATTGCGTTCTCGCGCGTAGAAGGCGTTGAACAGGTCAATCTCATATTCAACAAGTGTGTGGAAGATCACCCACCGACGACTCTCAGGATTTTTACCCCACTTCTCGATGCTCACGCGCGGACTGGTAACATAGAGGAGACACGAAGGCAATTTCAACGCATCTCGAAGGATTTTCAGCTGAAACCAAATACTGTGTGCTGGAACATTCTTCTGAAGGCCCATGCTAATGCGAAAGATGTGAATGGTGCTCTTGCGACGTATTTGCAGATGCGTCGTGCTGGGATTCATCCTAATTCTCACACATTTGGCACCTTGATGGGCCTTTTTGCGAATCAAGGGGATATTGATAATACACGAAAGCTTCTCACTGAGGCTGAAAAATGCCGGGTGTCGATTACAGCACCAATGCTCGACACCATCGTGCAGGTGTATTGCAAGAACGGAATGTTGCAGCAAGCAGAACAATTCGCAGATGCTTGTCTAGCTTATGATGTTGAAGGCCCACGAACCAGAATGTGGAACATCCTCATGTTCCAACACGCTTTCAGAGTAGATTTGAACTCTCTCAACCGAATTTGGGAGCGGATGGTCAAGGCCGGGACACGCCCTGATGCGATGACTCACGCCGCGCATCTTCTCGCCCTGGTTCTAGTTGGCAAAACAGATGAAGCCCGGGAATTCTTGCGAAAGCTTCACAAGAGGCGCACCATTCACGTGACAGAGTACCACTACGCCATTATTCTATACGGATATGTGAAGAAACGCAATAGGGACATGGTGCACATCATCTTTGGTGAAATTGAGAATCGTTTCGGTCAAGCAGGGACCCGCTCTAGTCTTCTGAAACTCCGGGGCCAGCTGGAACATGATCTGGAGCTGGCACAAGAGACTAAGCAGCGTGGCCCAGATCTACGCTTGGAAAATGCGGAACAAACTTTGCTTGAGATCATCGGCCAGGTTCAGGTCCCGAAGACAATCGGCCTTTCCTCCTTGTCTAAACCCGGAGAACCACTCGGGAGCCCTTCTACTTGCACCGTGGCGCATTTCGAATACCTCATCAAGGAATATGGCTCAAAAGGCGCCTTCAAGCGAGCTCAAGAGCTATACCAACAATATATGGAATCTAGGAAGCTTTCAAGCCCGAATGATGAAAACATGCCCATTGGCCTGGTCACTGCCATGATGCATGCTCACCTGACAGCGGGACACTACAAGGATGTTGAAGAGTGCTGGAAATTTGTCTTCCCTAACGCGATCAAAAAGGCCAGCTCTATTGATATTGACCAAACTTTCACTATTCCGCCAGCGACCGAAACCTCAACCGCAACCCATGGCTTGCCCGAACGCCCCTCGTCATCAAGCAACCGTGATCCCTTTTCTGCCTCTCAAACGCCGCTTGCCAAGCCGACAATCATCTTCTCGCAACGCTTCATTCTCTCGCGGGCGCTCGGTGTTTATATGCGCGCCATGGCTTATCAAAATGAACCAGAAAAGATATTGACCACGGTGCCCCAGTATGAGGCTGCTGGGTTCCAAATGAACACTTTCAACTGGTCAACTTACGTACAGATGCTGGCAGCGTCTGACCGTGACGTCGACATAGCTGAAGCTTTCCGCACATTTGAAACCAAGTTCATGCCTCATTTCCCGGGATGGAGGCGGCTTCAATTAGGACATGGTTTTCGACCACACGGTGCACCCTTGACAATCATGGCGATGGAGGACCCTCGAGTTCCTCCACCAGGACCACGTTTCCTCGGCAAGTTGTCCAAGCAATACTGGAGCCGGATTGATCCTACCTTTATCCAGCCTACCTATGTGTCAATGGTGTACCTTTCTGCTGCCCTCGATCGAGTCCGAGAACAAAGTATTCTGAATGATGGCAAGGAATTGGAGAAGCTCTATGAAGTTGCCCCAAGCACAATTGATGAACTCGGAAGGATGCCTTATCTGCGTGACAAATTCCAAGGCGTGTTGCTTCGCCATCGGTCTGAGCAGCCTGACAAAGAACCTAAAAAGCGCCCCTACCGACAGTCTGTCGAGCGCGGTGGTGTCCTTGGCCTCAGCATACCCAAAAAAGAGAAGTCTGTTGCCCGCCGCGAATGGGCAAAGAAGGACCAAGCCCGCCTCGCCCAGTCGCCGGTTGGTCTGAAAACTGGACGAGCCCGACATGTTCATGCTCAATTTGAGAGTGACCTTTGGGATCTTGAAGAGGATGTTCTTAGTCCGGAAGATCGGTATGATTATGATCGTGCTATACAAGCCCGCGCCCAGCGCTTCCAGCGGAATTTGGCACACATCCAACGCATGAGTTCAAAGGCAGCACAAGATACGCCGCCTGCCGAGTTGGCCGAGGAAAAGCCGCAGGCAAAATCCCAACGCAATGCTCCGGCCAAATGAGAACTCGGGCCTGGGAGATAGAGGAAAAGCGAAGGAAATGATGCATTTGAATTAAGCATCCATCATGTATAGTGACCTGTTGATTTTAAGCCCTTGTATATCCTGTATAAGTCAGATTCAATGTATTATATCTCCCAATCTTTCAACCCTGTGAATAATCCCGCATATTCTCATTCTATGACCGCCTATTATATGTAGAGCAACTTTCTCAATCCTTGTCTATTTTGGCATACATCGCAGTACTGAAGTGAGACATGCACGAAGTTGCGACACACAAGAAAGCTGATTACATAATCTGACGCGGCGGCGCGCGTCGTGGACGCGTTCCAATTTTGCCTGATCGGGCGATCGCGCACAGCCCAACTTTCAAGCTCCCCTTCTCCCCCTCGACTCGCCTTCTTCCGACCACATTGAACAACACAACCATGGACGGAATTCAGTTGCGCGATGAGGCCGCGCAGGATCGCGTGCGTGCTGCCACAGAGTTTCTTGATCCTAGTAAGTTTTTGCGTCTGCTATGATTTCCATGATTGGCCTCTAATGTGATCGGTTTTTTTTCTTCAGGTGATGCCCGAGCACGCAGGTTCGTTGGTTTTGATGATGTGAACGCTGGTATTGACCTAACAAATTGACATAGCTACCGAGCCGATATTGTGGTGATGCTCAATCGGGGCCTGCGACGTCTTACTGTGCGTTGTTCTTTTTTCTCTCCCTTGCGAGTGGGGAATGGACTGGCTGATAATTCCACAGGTCAGCATCGATGAGATCCGAGCTCACAACCGTGAACTAGCCGATGGGTGAGCTTGATACCCCTTTTTTAAATATCGAGTTCAATTTTCTCACCTTCGCTTTGTTAGACTCCTAACATCCCCATTCGATTACTCGCAAGCCTTTGACCGGGCATTAAAAGATGTCGTCAAGACTCTACCCAATCGCTCCGAAAAGGAGAAGTCGGAAGAGACGGTATGTATTTGATTTGGCAACAAAATATACTCATGCCACATGCTGATCATGTGCCTTTAATAGGGCTACTATTGTGCCTATATCGGAGCCTTCGGAGAATTCTCTTGCAATCCCCGTACTCTTGGATCCAACCAACTGAACCGCATGGTTTCCCTTGAGGGTATTGTTACAAAATGTTCCCTCGTTCGACCCAAGATCATCCAGAGTGTTCATTACAGCGAGAAGAAGGACCGCTTCTTGGCCAGAAAGTACCGTGATCAGACTATGACCGCTAGTGGTGCTACTAGCTTGAATGTTTATCCCCAGGAAGATGAAGAGAAGAATCCGGTGCGTACAACGAAATCCGACTAAATGGAGAAATATTTGTCGTCTAATATGCTGTCTAGCTCATCACCGAGTACGGTTACTCGACATACATGGACCACCAGTCGATTTCGATCCAAGAAATGCCCGAACGAGCCCCTGCAGGTCAGCTGCCCCGAAGCGTCGACGTTATTCTGGATGACGACCTGGTCGATAAAGCCAAGCCCGGAGACAGAATTCAACTTGTCGGCATTTACCGCACCCTTGGAAACCGAAATGCAAGCTCTGGCTCATCGACTTTTCGTACAATTATCATGGCCAACAACATCATTCAACTCTCGTCGAAGAGTGGAGGTGGAATTGCTCAGGCCACTATCACCGATACCGATATTCGAAACATCAATAAGATTGCCAAGAAGAAGAACGTCTTTGAATTGCTGTCCCAGTCACTTGCACCCAGTATTCACGGACACGACTACATCAAAAAGGCCATTCTATTGATGCTTCTCGGCGGTATGGAGAAGAACTTGGATAACGGCACCCATCTTCGTGGTGATATCAACATTCTTATGGTTGGTGATCCTTCAACCGCCAAGTCTCAGCTTCTTCGTTTCGTGTTGAACACTGCTCCTCTCGCCATTGCTACAACTGGTCGTGGCTCTTCGGGTGTAGGTTTGACAGCCGCGGTCACTTCTGATAAAGAAACTGGTGAACGTCGCTTGGAGGCCGGTGCCATGGTTCTGGGTGATCGTGGTGTCGTCTGTATTGATGAATTCGACAAAATGAGTGACGTTGATCGTGTTGCAATCCACGAAGTCATGGAACAGCAGACGGTCACCATTGCTAAGGCTGGTATCCACACCAGCTTGAATGCTCGATGCAGTGTTCTGGCTGCTGCCAATCCTGTGTATGGCCAATATGACCCGCACAAGGACCCGCACAAGAACATCGCTTTGCCCGACTCTCTTCTTTCCCGTTTCGATTTGCTCTTCGTCGTGACCGATGATATCGAGGATGCGAAGGACCGCACCGTGTCTGAGCATGTACTCCGTATGCATCGCTACCGCCAGCCTGGAACGGAAGAGGGCGCCCCCGTTCGCGAGCAGCTTAACCAGACTTTGGGAGTCGGTATTGAGGACCGCGCAGATGCGAACCAACCAACCGAGGTTTTCGAGAAATTTAATGTCATGCTTCACGGTGGCATGGTGAACGCAGGCCGCAACCGTAACAAGAATGTTGAGATCATCAGCATTCCTTTCATCAAGAAGTACATCCAGTACGCCAAGTCGCGTGTCAAGCCTGTCTTGAGTAAGGGTGCGGCTGACCACATCATCGCCGCATATTCTGCTCTGCGAAACGACGACTTGGCCAGTACCCAGCGGCGCACCTCGCCCATCACTCCGCGTACCCTTGAGACTCTGATCCGTCTGTCCACCGCCCATGCCAAAGCTCGTCTATCGAACCGAGTTGATGAGAAGGATGCCAAACATGCCGAAGCTATTCTTCGATTCGCTATGTTCAAGGAAGTCCTGGAGGATGGCCGTCGCAAGAGGCGCAAGGTGACCACATTCGATGAGGACTCTGATGATGAGAGCGATCCCGACCTCGACGACGACGATGACGAAACCCCTTTCCGTGGCACATCCACTGCTACCCCCAGTCGGGGCACGGCACGAACTCGTGCTGCTGCCAGCTCTACTGTTCCAGACGATGACCCAGACAGCCTCTACACATCCAGTCCGCGGGCTCAGCGCACGCGGTCCAGCCAAGCAGCCCGAACCCAGACCCAGTCAGAGTCCCAGATGTCCGTGGCATCATCACAGCCAGCATCGCAGCTTGTTCAGTCACAGACCGATGACTCGCAGTCGACGTCTTCCTCGGTTCAGCCGATCACAGAAGCCCGCATGCTCCTCTTCGGCAAGACTCTAGGTTCTCTGATGGGCACCAAGCTTTTCGTTGATGCTGACATGGTCAATGTCGACGAGCTGATTGAAGCTGTCAACACTTCCATCCGCTCATCGCCGAGTCATGGCGCTGCCCACGTCTTCTCGCGGCCCGAAGCTTTCAAGGCCTTGGAGGAAATGAACAGGCAGAACCGTTTGATGTGAGTAAACCAAAATTTCCTCCTGGAATGTGAACCCCTAAGAATCCATTTACTAATCTTCTCTTGAATAGGTTCCTCGAGGGCGACGACAACGTCTACCGTATTTAATCAACGGTTATCATTACGAGCAGGAATACTGCTGAGCACTAAATTATGAGCATCTTTTTTCTAGTCTTTTGCATCGGGGTGATATCATGTTTTCTCTGTCTGGAGTATGGAGTCGATGCATATGGAATTTGGATAGGCTTCATTTGTCAAGAATATATGAATATTGAAATCGAACACATAGCCCGCGCGATAGACTGCGCAAATATTGACTTTTTGGACATTTTCACGCAATTTTAATGGATGTCCACGGCTGCCTCTTTTACGTAAGGAGAGTAAGCTCTGGGCACTAACAAGAACGGCCTACAAAGCTTGTAATTTACATGCTATCAAATCTTACAGCCACATTTTGTCTTGAGCAAAGTTCACGTGAAAAGTCTACTTGAAGTTACAAGAGGGCTTGAATGATAAGACATTGTATAAGATTCATGTTCGTTGGATAATAATGCTCAATGGTATATTAGACCGAGCCCCGAAAGAACAGGCGTGGATCAAGTCACATATTAACAGTACCGAAGATGCAAGATACGCAGCAAAAGAAGGTCAGAACAGAGTGATATATGAACGAGACAGCAAGGCTGAAACGGAGAGCGGCCAAGAAGAAAAAAAAAGAAATGGCAGGTGAACAGAGTCAGCTAGGGTCATAACGAGACATAGGCGGAGGCGTTGCTGGCATAGACAAGTCGGACCAAGCGAGTATCAGGGGAAATGAACGATCTCTAGGTGCATGACTAAACAGACAGAAGCCACCGGTTGTGGATGCAGGAGTGTGGCTCCGAATGGGGCGGGAATTGGAAATCTTATTGCCATTTAGAACTGGATGTGGTCCGCTTTGAGGCAAGTCACCTGTCTCCGGTCCTTGGTGTAGACATCGGCCAAGACCGAGTATGAGCCCTGTGGAAGAAGTCAGCCACTCCGAACAAAGTGTACATGATAGAGGCGATAAGGCGGGAACGTACAGGAGGAATCTGCTTCGGAAGGTCCACTTCCTTCTCCAGAACCATCTTGCCCTTCTCCAGAGGACACTTCAGATCCACATTTGTAATCTGATCGCAGAGATCAACGGTCTGACTGATCAGGGTAATCAGACCCCACTTCACTTCGAGGTTCACGGTAGCGCCCTTTTCGACTGTGTCGAGGAGGGTTCCGCTGGCCTTGATCTTGAGCTTTTGGCCCCTATAATATCGAAATACAAGACATCGGTTAGTCATATGTTCTCGCTGGCACTATAAGGTCTCGGTTTAACATACGCTTTGGGAGGGTCTGGGATCAAGTCAACCTTCTCAATCTTGAGCAGATGAGCCGCGGGATCCTGGCAGTAGTCCAGCGGGTTATGACCGGCCACGGGGAAATCCTGGGTTGTGACCGGGGCCTGGACCAGCGAGGGATCGAAGAAGGACCCCAACGAAGCGGCCGAAGTGAGGGGAGTCACCAAGAGCAGGGTGGCGACAGAGAGAAACTTCATGCTGGGCCGATGGATGCTCGTAATATGACGAGGGGGAGGGGGGGCGATGCTTAATTATGGCAATATGCGATCTTGGTGTATGTGCAGAGCGTCACCAAAGAACGGGCTGGGGACGAGGGGAAGTTGGGGGATCTCCAAGTTTGAGGCTGGTGTCACTTGATGACGACGGAGTCACGTGTACTCCGCCGCTTCAGAACGTGATTTGCCGGTACCTTGCAGCGTCCGCGGTTCCAAGGTTGGCTTGCAGGAAACTGATGCTACCGAACTCTGGGGAGGGTTCTAGTGCTAGAAGACCATAAACATACCGGTCCAGGGCTCAGTTGAAAGGCATCTGCATTGGTTATTGTCAGCGCCTGTTGGTGTTTCGTTATCAGGGACGCGATAACCACTCAAAGTGGGCCCGAAATGGCTCCTTTCCGGAGTATGTGGAGCATATGGAGTACGACGATGCAGGACTCGCCCATTTCCAAGCAGAGTTCCACCAAGATTCCGCCAAAATAGCAGAATAGCTAAATCAAATAGAGTATATCGAGATACTAAAACATGAAAGGATTCGGTTCCAAATAAATCGGTCCGGGTGACAGATTCGATGTTGGACTACGGTCCTGTATAGGATGTGATCACCCAACATACATTCCACCAAGTTCGATAGATAATCTCGTCATTTTCAATTGACCATGTATTTTTGCAGGCTTCAAGCAACTGGGAAAAAGCGGGCCATCGAGGCAATCTCTTCACCAGGATTGCTATAATCGACAAATCCATGCTTCGCATATAACGGCGCTCCGTCTTTGCTCGCATCGACATACGCACTGACCCTCATAGAATCTGCCAGATCACACCCCCCATTGTACAAGCATTGAGCCACATCCTCGTCGCTGATAGTCAGGATGTGTCGCCACCGTATCCAAGTCTGGGTCCAGTTCCTTTAGTAGTCTAGCTAAGAAGCATTGATATTGCGCCACAGGGAAGGGGGGACTCGTACAAAAGTGTTCCAGATCGCCCATAACTCGTTTCCGATTTGCTTCTTCTTTCTGGAAGAATGCCTCGCAGAGCTCGGCAGGCATCTCTGGATGCCAGGGCGGATAGCGTCGCCCTCGCTCCTCCGGCATTGATAAGTCCCACTTAGCATAGGCGGCGATGCGGGGCTGGCCATGCTCATCCATCGTATTCATGTCCACAATTTTGATGTACTTTTGAAAGGGTTTGTGTGTTATATCATGGTAATTAGCATCTTCAAGCCACTGGCGTACGCCCGGGGTGTTTGGGAAAACGCGAGCGAGATCGGGGTCCGTAAAAGCAGCGAACCATAAGTCGGTGAGAGCGAGGCTGTCCACCTGCGTCAATGGCTCAAGCTGGAGGGAGGTAGAAGGGGACATGTGAAAGTCAAGCTGTATTCACAGATAGGATTCAAAAAGAAGGAGATATATATATATGTTGTTTCAAAGTCTCTCAATTGTAACTTTGACTTGAATGGAGCCATGGCTTATCAAACGGCCAAAGGGCACTGCCCCCACATTCTTACGTGATCACTACCTGATCGATCAATGAAATCCCAGTGGAAAGATTTGGATTCAGTCACATCAAATGCAAATGTCAAAGCCCTTGGGTGAGCGAATAAGAAACCTGTGGGGTTGAATAGGGAGCTTCAAACATTAGTTCAGGGTATATCATTTGATATCCACAGGGAAAAGCTTGCAATATTTCTATCCACGAGAAAGAGGCATGCAGCGTATACAAGAGTGTACAATTGGGATTGGGAATCTAGTGGTTTAGCACCATGGGAGGAAGCAGTGGATATCTAGATCAGTATGTATGGCAAAACAAGAATAATGAAAACGGTAACATAGGCTCATCATCTAGACAGCAGGGCTTGAATCAGGTACAGATGTGGGTATAGCTTCCTTGTCATACTCGCTCATGGGAATAATGCCGGAATCGTCCGATGAGAACGACGGCGTTCGGACACCCTCGCGGATTTGTGCTTGAGTCAGAGGCGAAAGACCCCGTCGTAACGATTTCGACCCCTTTCGTTTCCGTTGTTGGGGGAGAGACTTCGGGGCCGGAGATAGACGGGGTCGTACTACCTCGACGAGGCCGGCCAGTTGCGGAGGAGCGAGATGGAGGGCGTTCCTCAGCATCAACAGGCGTGCTGCTGCGAGAAGAAGTTCGAGAGTGGGATGATTCGGAGCGGGTGCTACGGCGAACAGAAGGGGCACGAAGCTCTTGACCAAGCCTGGAGGAGATGGAAGGTTGGTGCTGGTGGTGGGTATGAAGCCGATGTTTGGTTTCCGAGTCGGTTGATCGGTGCTGGGGAACAGGGATCATGCGGCGACGCTGCGAAGCGCGCCAGCCAAGACCTAGGCGCCAGAGCCAGCCACCCTCTGCTTGGGCGAATTGGCGCTCACGTTCGCGCAGTTTTTGACGCAGCTGAGCACGGCGCTCGTTCTCTTTCTCCCAAAAGTCCGTACGGTAGTCATCCCAGTTTTCGCGGAACTCCGGCGAGAAGGATTTCGGTAGGAGGAGAAGGCGGATATAGTCACCGCCAGGGCTGAGGTCTTCCTCGACAAGGCCCGACTCGCTGTCACCGCCGTTATAGTACTGCTGGTAGTGCTGCCGACTACCAGTGCGCTTTTCGGACGGATGACGCTCAACAAGTTGGAAGTTGCCTGTCGGGGAGGGGAAGAACGGGGCGGAGAAAGGAAACAGAAAGGACACATAGGAAAGCAGCTCTTGCCACCAGGGACCTCGAATGACGATGATTTTGGTATTCATCACCCGCAGACCTCGATTGGATACGGCAAGCCAACGCCGGGGCCAGCGGATCCCACGTTCCCACTGTCCCGTTCCCCAGACCAGCAGCGCTGTCACCACTCCTCCAAGCAAAGCGACTTTTTCGCCCATCTCAACGACCCAATAGACTGAGCCTCCAACACCGCGTCCATCTTCTCGGGGGCGCAGGAACAATGCGTATACGAAAGAGGCAATCCAAGCGGCAAGGAGCAGCAGGAAGAACGTGTTTTGGCGACGACGCTCGCGCAGAGCCAAATATTGCGCGCGGAGCGATGCTTCGAGAATCAATAGATTCAAGTAAATCTGAGGCGGAGACGAGGGTAATGACGCCAGCGGATCTGGTGTTGAGGGTCCTGGAGGAGAAGAGGATTCGGCGGGTGCGGTAGCGGGCGTGGACGTCGAAGGCTCCGGCGTGGCAGCGCGTGCGTCGGATCCTGGAGCGCCCTTGACAAGCTGGTCCAAAGGCGAGGACATCGTCAAATCAAGAGATAACGAATGTGAGCCCGTAGAATCATCGGCCGTGGCGGCCCAGTGCGGTCATCGCGGGGAAAGAGGAGGAGGAAGGAGTCGGAGTGGCAGGGGAGCAGCTGCAGATCGGCGACATCATCTTCCGCCTTTCCCACTTTTTAGACTGTATAGTTACTTCTCCATCCAAACTCCCTCGCGTGTTTCCCTCTCCCGCTGTTTTTAGTTGCCTGCTTCTAATTTAGGGATTTTTGGTGTGCACAAGCCGCCTGTCTCTCAACTTCAGCCCTCTCATATCGGGATTGAATTGCTCCGTGTCTCGCGGTCTGTCGTATGCGCTTGGAAGCCTGTCGGGGTTAAGCGGCACCGCCGATTTCTCCGACTTCGCCTCTTTTGACCAGCTTTCAACCCATGAGCGTCGCAGCTCAAATTTGTCCTGTGACAAAAAGCCTCTGGCAGTCTGGCTCCCGTTCAGCCATTTTGCGATTCGTGCGCCTCTCAGTCTCTCCGCCCTGGGCCACCTCGGCGCGTTCTCTCCCCTTTGCCACCCATTCTCCAGGTCGCCAGTCCTCCTCCATGGCGTCGGAGTCGCTGAATTCGTCCCAAGAGGACGTGCGAGAGCATAGCAGCCGCAATTCGGCGGCACGAAATCGAGAGGGGACTCCGTATGCGGCTCGCGCTGCTGCTGGGGCGGCGGTGGCCAACTCGTTCTTCCCGTTGGGGTACCGCGAAGGGTTCAGTCAATGGGTAGGTTCCCAACCGAAAGCACTGGTGCTGGCTACAGAACTAACATCATTTATGATGCTTTTAGTGGGCTCGTCTGCCTGCTGCGGCCGCTGAACACAAAGTCCTCTCTTACTTGCCCTACCTGCATCACCAGCCTCCAACCCATCTCCAGACCGGTTACGTTGCGAGTTTCCCCAACGGTTCGACCCCCGACAGTCTACAGTCGGCAGACCATAGCCAACAAGGGGAGATCTCAACCAACTCCCAAAATGACCCATATGGCCCACGCCGATGGAGTTCTAGCATGGTGGAACTGAGTGGCAAAGATCGAGCCCTCAACGAGTTCTCAGTTGAACGAGTGGGTGAGGATGCCGATCAGCATTTGGTCATGTTGCACGGCTACGGTGCCGGATTAGGCTTCTTCTATAAAAATTTTGAGCCTCTCAGTCGCCTGAGAGGCTGGCAGCTACACGCCCTGGACATGCTTGGCATGGGTCGGAGCACTCGGCCACCGTTCAAGATCAAAGCGAAGGAAAGGGAAGAGGCGATTCGGGAAGCTGAGGCGTGGTTTGTGGATGCGCTGGAAGAATGGCGCATCAAGCGCAAAATTGACCGCTTCACCTTACTGGGCCACAGCTTGGGTGGTTACATGGCCGTCGCCTATGCCCTCAAATACCCCGGACACCTGAACAAATTGATTCTCGCATCCCCCGTCGGTATTCCCGAGGATCCCTATGCCGTGACAGCAGACGTCCCGGAGCCTTCGGAGTCGACCCTTGCCAACGAGCTCACTCAAGACCAGCGAGAAATCACTGCCAGCGCTGCAGTCCCGGGTTCTGCGCCCAGGACCAGTGATGGTAGCTTCATCACGGGCCGCGGCTCCGAACCACCTACCGAAGCTCCGAACCGGCCGCCGCGTCGCAATCTTCCGAAGTGGTTTGCTTACTTGTGGGATGCGAATATCTCGCCTTTCAGCTTGGTGCGATGGACTGGTCCGTTCGGGCCCCGGATCGTATCTGGATGGACCTCGCGCCGGTTTTCTCATCTCCCTGCGGAAGAAGCTAAAGCGCTCCACGACTACTCCTACTCGATATTCAGTCTCCGGGGCAGTGGCGAATATGCATTAGCTTATATCCTTGCCCCCGGTGCATTCGCTCGCAGTCCTCTGATCCACCGCATCCATGGCGTCGGGCGGCAAATGATTCGCTCTGAAAATAATCCGCTTCCCAACCCAGCCGATACAGCGTCGTCTTCATGCTCAATCTTCTCTAAAATTTCCGCCAGGCCTGCAGCTCCAGAACCTATCCCAAAGGAAACCACCAGTTCGGCGTCTTCTCTACCTGAGACCCCTACACCGAAACGTGAAAACGGGCTCCCAATTGTCTTTATGTATGGTGACCACGACTGGATGGATGTCACTGGTGGTCATGCCGCTGCGGCTCGCCTCGAGGAAGAGAAGAAGCGTGTCCTGGTCAATGCTACGCCCGAAGAGCGATTGAATGACCAAGGCTCGGCCAAGGTTGTCGTCATCAATCGAGCGGGACACCATCTCTACTTGGATGGATGGGAAGAATTCAACAAGGTTGTTTTGTCCGAAATGGAGGATGTGAATCGACGCGAGCGAGGAACTTGAGCTCATGTACGAGCGAATTGAACCGTCCATGAATGATGGTCTATGAATATTTGTTGGAGCGTTATCTCGAAAGTCTCGGCGTGTTTGCTCTTTTGTTTCATCATCTCTCTTGGAGTTGTGCTTATTTGTCTGTTCCCCGGGGTGCTATTCTCGGTTCCTTACATAAAAAATCACTGGAAAAAAAAAGTACATATTCACTAGAAATAGATTTGAACAGAGAAGCTTGAACTTTTTGTAAACTTTGTCCTTCGTCCTGCCCTCTCTCTGTATATACTTGGGCATATCTCAAACCAAGAAAGTCATGAAATTCCCCTGATTTATCCAATTTTATCCCAGTCGCTCCCCAATACTCGTCACTCTTGCATGCGGCCCCGAAATACTTCGCCTCCGATGTCTCATGCTGGTAGAATAATGAAACATCAGACGAGTCAAGCCCAGAGACGAAGCATCACGCTCCTCGTTCGAGGCCCCCGTCCCGGGGGTTGTACGCCCGCTCCCGCTCGGCGTACCCGTGTTGGAACGCGAGGCAACTGCACCTGGCCGCTGCAGGGCGAAGTATCCACTGCTTCCACTTCCGAAGCTTCCCCCGCTACTAGCCAACAAGCTAGAGCTGGGTCCATCAGCGAAGCTGGAGGAGTATGCATTTGAACGCAAGTGCTGGGATCGAGTATGTGTAGGTGAGTATGGCTGTGGCGTCATGAAGGGGCCAGCTGGGCAGCGGGAGGGGATACGGTGGGATCTGGTCTCGTCGAGAATGCAAGAGATAGCCCGCTGCCCGTGCGGTTATCAGAGGCTGTAAGAGCGGAGGTGGTATGTGAGCGGTGGTGATGTCTATTTCTTCCTGAATGTCGGGAATGGTGCAATCGAGATGAATTAGGTACAGCGGTATGCGAATTAGCACGGAAGAAATCCATGCCCGTCGGGCTATTCACGGCTGAGCTCATGGAGGAGCCGATTCCGAATGTGATGACTTGGGAAGGTAATTCAAGACGGTCGTTTAGTGAGAGCCAGGCGCGCTCGTCCGCATCGACATCGACATTGACATCGGCAATGCCGGTGGCACTTGGCGCAGGCGAGGATGCATCAGAGCTTAATGGCTTCTCTTGGAACGAATGGGATGTGCGCGGTCTTGATGCACGCGATGGATCAGGGTATGAGCGCCAGCCACCGACGCCTTCAAAGTCTCGCCTCTCATCACCGCTTATGGGCAATCCCATGAAGGGTGTGGTGGGGAGGTGATGAGCCTCGACCATACTGCGCGCATAGGACTTTTTTCGAAGCTTGGCAGGATCGTCGTGAAGTGCGTTCAGTGCCCAGGATGAAAGAGTGTCGTTATTCTGACGATACGGGATCAGACCATATCCAGAATTCCGTCTGGAGTTGCCCACAGCTGGGGTTGCGGGCTCAGACGGAGCAAAGGTCAGGAATGAGGATGATGAGGTTGGAAGAGTAAAGAAACTGAGAACCATAGCATAGCATAGCTCGGTGTAGACCACGGCGAATCGCAGGAGTAGTGTGAACATGGCAAAGGAAATGGTGAGCCATGCTGACAGTATCAGTGGAATCGAGATCAAGCCCAGCAGGGGCAGCGCTAGGAGGGTCATCAAGAAGGCGAACATCGAGCTCACCGACGCTCCCTCCAGTCTATCCGGGAGGAAGTGATCCGCCTCTCGAAAGAAGGCGAGGCCCTTCGGAGCATCGCATGTTGATTATTTGATATGCGGAGAAATGCATGTGACAGCACCCCCACTTACATCATCTGAACAGCCATCATTCAACCAACGGCGGCTTCAAACAGTGACCTTATTGGTTGATGCGCATTTCATATTGGCCTGATGGGGCTCGAAAGGGGAATTTGAAGGCCAGTTAGCGAGGATCGTGTATATAAAGCCAGACGGGGTTTTTTTAACAGATGCAGTGATTCTGGTAGCTAACGATGTCTCTCTAGTCTCATCCAATGGGGTCATAGGCAGCAAGAGGGCGACAGGAATAATGAACAAGTACATCAACCCAAATCAAGTGTTGCTAAGCAAGGATCCCTTTAGTTATTGCTACAGGATTTGTATTCAAGGGGCATGCAGTGGGGCAGAGTAACCTCCGGCTAAGTGAGTATGCTGCTTATCTAAGGAAGGACAAGCGGAGTCCAACTTGTTCAAGTTGATAGTCGAAAGTGAGTAACACCAAGCTCTTTTCCAGGCTGCTCGCTATGTCTGAGGATGTCCATCAAGATGACTTCCCCTGGGCAATTGGTGTCTATGACGCACACTGCCACCCGACTGATACCATGGCCTCCATCGCTGGCATACCAGACATGAAAGCGACTACCTTGACGATCATGGCGACGCGCGGTGAAGACCAGGAGCTTGTGCAGCAGACAGCAGAGTCGCTGAATGAATCATCGGATGCCAGCAGCGAGGATCGTGTGGTCCCATGTTTTGGCTGGCATCCATGGTTCTCACATCAGATCTTGGACGCGACACAACCAGCCAGCCCGGAAGGCATGGCACAGCAGAAAAAGACACATTACACAGCCGTCTTGACGCCATCCCCGGCGGAAGACTTAGAGTTCATTGAGTGTCTTCCAACCCCCAAATATCTTTCCGCCTTGATCGCGGAGACGCGAAACCGACTGCAGCGGTTTCCCAAAGCGCTTGTGGGCGAGATCGGCCTCGACAAGTCTTTCCGACTTCCTGGTACGTGGAAAGCGCAGGAACTCCAGAATCGAGACGGAGGGCTGACGCCCGGATCGCGCGAAGGGCGACCCCTTTCGCCGTACAGAGTGAAAATGGATCACCAGCGAGCCATCCTCAAAGCTCAGCTCCGGCTTGCTGGGGGAAATGCAGCGGGCCGTATCAGTGCACAGCGTTCAAGCCCACGGAGCAGTGATGGACGTGCTCAAAGAGCTTTGGAGCGGACATGAACGGGTAGTCCTGTCGCGGCGGCAAAGAGAGAAGCAGCAAGACGCAGAAGGGGCACTGTCCTCTGACGACGGCGAAGCCTCAACCTCTACTACGCATAATAAACCGCTCAATGATCCTCCCATTCTCCCATTCCCCCCGCGCATCTGTATGCATTCCTATTCTGGGCCCGTTGAACCGGTCCGCCAGTTCCTTCAAAAGTCCAATCCGTCCGATGTATATTTTTCATTTTCGGCGGTGATTAACTTTAGCGGGGTCTCGGCTCGGAAGGCCTGGGATGTGATCAAAGCACTACCCGAGGACCGGATCTTAATCGAGAGTGATATCCATGTGGCAGGACCACAGATGGATCAGCTTTTAGAAGAAGTGACGCGGCAGGTTTGTGGGATTCGAGGCTGGGAATTGCGACAAGGGGTGCAGCAGTTAGCAAATAATTGGAAAAGGTTTATCTCTGGTTGATAAGAGCCAGAGTATTTGAATCTACGCCAAATTATAACAAACTGCATTCCCAAATGATTTGATTTACATTGTACTACCATGGAACAAAAACAAGGTACGCGCAACTGCCTGGTAGCAGAATACGACGCGGTGGAAAGGAATCAAATAGATAAAACGGTCAAAAAAGAGGTATATTCAACCAGTCGGCCTGTAAAAGATTATGTAACAGTGTATAACTCTATCAGGAGGTAGGCAAGGTGGTATGTCATCGTGTATAGCATGATATCGTGCGAAGCCTTTTTGTGTAGAATTTCATTGAAATCCGTGCTCTGCGTGTCTCGTTGCGTCGTGAGATTACGCAGTCATGATGGAGAAAGGGTGTTGGAAGGAGATACCCAGGCTCGAACCCATTGAAGAATTCGGGGGCAAATTGATAGAAGAGAGAGAGATTGGGACGCGATGGGGTTTGGAATGAAAACAAACGTGGAATATGCAGTGGAGTGTACAGGCTCAGCCAGGAATCCACCCTCCATCCTGGATAAGATCCGCCATTGGGGTGTCCTGCCAATATATTTGGCGCCATTCATCCTCCAGTTCCATTAGGCCCTCCATCGCCATAGGAACAGGTAGGTCCGAGTCCGTAAAAGAGAAGAGTTGTCGCCAGTCTGGGTAGTCTCGGGACTGATCCATCTGATCGACTTGCATGGGGTTTGAGTACGGGTCATTCCGTTCCAACGGCCCAACATTGAGTCTGAGTGGTGCAGTGATCCAATTCTCGAACCCTGGATTGGCCTGCGGCGATAGGGTGGTTTGCTGCATGGAAGTGGATTCTGGAGTAGGCACACCAAAAGAAAGTGGGCGAGGTGTTTGGGTGGGTTGCATGGCTGCAACAGGATCCGGAGAGTTGACGGGCAAGACTTTGGTAGGGCCGTGAGGGACGCCGTTGTATGGCTTTGGTCCGCCATTGGTTGCCAGGCGCAGATCTTCCTGGAGACGTTTGGAGTCCTCGAATAGCCGCAGGATTGTTCCTGCGTGAACCCAGTACTGAGCCAATTCTCGCAAAGAATAAGATGCCGAATCGAAACGGCGCAAGGCGTTGATAGCGAGAACCGGGTTTGAAAATCGAAGTTCCACCCGTACTTGAATCATAGCTGTAAATAGAGTGTGGACACCGGTATACCAAAGGAACTTCAAGCGATCATTGAGTCTCAGCTCCTCAAAGATCGAGGCAATGACTCCGGCAGCGGCACTGCAGATCTCCGCATCGTGGGGACCGTAATCATCCGAGTATGCAGATGCTCTCGGATGAGGCCGATGAAGCAGAATAAGGAAATTGTTATAAGTCAAATGAAGCATAGCAGACCATGGGTCCATATCAGACGCGCGGAGACGCAGATTATCAGGAAGTTTTAAAGACCAATTCGCCAATGATTCGTCAGCCTCTTGAAGAACCGCCTTTCGCCGTTCATCGGTGGCCCGAAGTCCGAAGCGATCTCGAATTAAATAGGATATCATGGTGCAGAGTTCAGTGAAATGCATTACAAACTCAGTTTGTACATGGGGTCCACAGTTTTCGAAATCAGCAGGGGTCAATGGGGATACATCTGAGTCATCCAGGTTTCTATCCAAAAAGGTTAGCAGCCTCGTTTATTAAAATGTGTTATGAATCCACATACATAGCTTGTGGGCGACCATATGAAAGAGAGATCATCACATCGAATTGAACCATAATAAACCAGACTCGTCTCCACATTCGTCGATCTCTGGTAACAAAGCGACTAGAGACAGGATTACGATGCATTCCAAGACCAGTGGCAATCCTAGCAGCCACACCCACCCAAAAATGGGCGTCCGCGGCGACATCATCGTCTGCACTGTCAGAGTGCCAAGTGAGGAGTAGTGCTGCTTGAACGAGGATATCTCGGTTTCGCTCAATACGATTGTCCCACAAGTACTTAGTGCGGCGAAAGAAGATCTCCTTGAGGGCGTCTCGTTCAGCTTTAGGACGACTGACATGAGATCCTACAAGAAGGATAGCTTGGAGTAGTAAGATTGGCGGGGGATCTGCAGGGTCTCGATTTCGGTATTGTGTCATAAATAAATCCTCGTCCACGATTGGGTACCCCGGGTTGACATATGTAAAGTACGCTTGTACAAGCTCATCTGCCAGAGCCGGCTCGGGAAGGGTCAAAGCATCCATGAGAAGTTGGTCATGACCAGTCTTCATCTGTCGTCGCGGGATTTCGTTACTGGCGAAATGGTAGACATCGTCATCTTGGTCCCGTTGCTGGCGGATCAAAAAGGACATATTCGAGTGTTCGTGGCCCACATAAAACGCACGCACGCCTCGTTGAATTTCTCGTCTACCGGATTCCTCCTCATCAATTAGTTTCACGAGATGCTGTTCCATCTCCGTGTGTGCTTCATGGGCGTGGGATAGATCCGGGCCGTGGCGCCCGAAGGTCTCTGACCCGGCAGTTGGCTGAAATCCATGTGGGAGGTTGCTTGCCAAAGGCGTTGTCGCGGAACCGCCTGGAAATGCAGTGGGAAAACTTGGCGGCAGCGGTGTTCCCGCTGTAGTTGGAGGGTTGGCGGCATGATCAGATGTCGGGAGAGGCCGAGATCGGATCGGAACGGGATCGAGGATAGAGCGCACTGCAAGTCGTTTTTTCTTCTCGTGAATACGACAATCGGCCTTTCCAGAAGCCCGACAATTAGTGCAGGGCAGTCCGACGGTGCGGGCATCACAGCGGACCTTGCGCCGGTGACAGTGCACACAAGCGGCGGAACCTGAGAGATTTTCGAGTCACCGGTTAGCGAACGGAACAATATATACAGGGAACATGTTCAATGATCGAATGCTCGGTCGCCAGAGTCAGGGCAGAGAGGCACGTATCGAATTGAAGACAGAGCCACCGGTAAATATGCTTATGAACGTCTTACCCTGCTTGCGCTTGCTCACCCCATCGCCCGGGAGCGGCGAGGAGGCGTTATCGTTGGCGGAGGACATGGCAGAAGGACCATCGACATCATTTCATGTGCAGATTGGCCACTGCTCTGCATTACTCTTGGAGCAATTTCCACGGCCGGCTTCAGGGCATCATGAGGGGCATAGACGATTGCCGAGGGTAAACAGACAATCCATGCGACAGAGAAAGCGAAAAAGTTCGGGAAGTTGAGGACTGCGGGATCGGGTCCGGTGGAGTCTCACGTGGTGCGGAGAAGGGCGCGGATTATGTAACTGAATGGCGAAAAACTCAGGAATTTCAGATAAGAGAAGATGGACGAGAGAGACCAATTGAGAGGAATAGTTCATGGCCGGAAACGCAACACGAACCATGGACCATGCAGAGTGACCGGCCAGCAAACGGGGCCGAAATTTCGGGGCCGTCTCTGCAGAAGCCGATGGTGGACATACGCAACTAATGATCAAATAGGTAGTAACTTAACTAGTAGTTAGTTAACTAGTTAACCAGTTAGTTAATTAGTTGGTTACTTAATAGCCATCCACGGCCAATCAAGAAGTCGACCGCCAAGGGGAGAGGGCTTATCCGAAGTATATAGTCGCCATTACCCTATTCTATCACTAGGCCCGGGAAGAGAAAGACATTCGGCATGAATACACAAGTTGGTCCAATTCACTGATCCGCCCCTTGACTTCCCGTAAGAACTCCCAAACATAAGGTAACATAGATGAGTACAGCAGGTCCCCTCGGAGAACCCGATGGCTGTCGAGATAACGTTAGAAAATATATAAGCCGGTTGAGACAGGTCCTTCCTTCCATTCAAAGTGTATGCCAGTCACTCCACCTTCACAATGTGAAAGCTCCAGCGCCTGAGTCTCGTTAGGTGATGGAGAAAGCAGAAGGCACTAAAAGACACGGGCAAAAGAAACAAGGACACCTGCACGCCTGCACGCCTCGCGCTTCCTTTCCTTTAACATTTCAATGGCAATTGTGCCGACCGGTACCTGCAATCGATCAAGATAGATCGATGTATTGCATAATGGACACCTTTCAACCGACTCCGAGGCATCTAATAAGATTCCCCACCAGCTCCATTGTGTGGCTGCCCGACCATGGGAGGGTAACCATACGCTGTTGCATCTTGCTCTGATGGATCCATGTTGGGGTTCATGATGCTGTTCGCACCTTCAGCGCCCTCGGCATATCCCGGACGACCTCCAGCCGCACCGACAGGCCCACCAGCACCATAGCCACTGCTAGTCGGCCGGTTCTGGTTTTCACCCCGAGCGGATTGAGTCTAGAATGCGGTTAAGAGGGGACCTTCGATTGGGATACATGGGCAATCAACTGACCTCGCGGTATTTGGAAAGATAGATCTTCAAGGCCTCGGCATAGTTCTCGAACCCAAGAGAGGTCATAGCAAACAAGATGTCTTCGCCATTGACGGTCTTGCGCTTTTCCTGCTGGCATTTCTCCGAGGCTGTTCGGGAATTCAGTCAATCATCAGGCTTGGGACCAAAGCACCACTGTTAAAAAAGGGCCTCACCTTCGCTTGTGATGAACGAAATAAACTCGCTCACACACTCTTGCATGCACTCCTTGGCTTCTTTGGCGATTTTTGCGTTTTCCGGAAGGGCCAACTTCATAATACGCGCCACTAGATGACCATAGACCTGTTAGCAAGGAGCAATGCGATGGCTATGATCAAGCATTTGCCAAATAGACTCGTCGAAAAGGGCGCAAAATGATGCAAGAAATTTGCACGATGGAAGTCCCAAAGTGATGTCGAATATTCATGAAGAAAAAAACAAGTGAAGGGTGCATGGCCAATGAAACAGTCAACATGGTAGCAGAGCCATATTGCTGGAATGGGGTGGTTCGAGGGTGGGGGGAAGGAGAGTCAAAAGGACAGTGGTCCCCATCAGCAGTAAGGTACGCGCAAATCAGAACAAATAGAAGCCTGCAAGGCGACGCAACTAACCATTTGCAATCGGAAGCCACCGATCTTGCTCCTTCACCTCGAATTCGCCCTGTCCATGCGCCTGGGCGTCTTGCTGGTCTTTGTCCATCTGCTCCTGGTCTTCGCCTGATTGCACGTCGGCTTCAACCTCCGGCTCCTTCGAAGGCGAGGTCGACGACATGGTTATGAATGAGATCCGGTGCGAGCGGATGATTTGGGCGTCAAGACTTGTTTCGCTCTGCTGGCAACGACCACGTCAGATCTGTCAAATGGCGCGCACGATCACGGATTCCAAGACAGCCCAAGCTAGATCAGAAGGGGGCACTGGGTACAAACCGCTTCACAGTAGCCTCAGGGAGAAAGGATGTCAGCCGGGAGGGATTTGGCAATAATGCGCAGGCCTATCTGTACTTGCGACGCGCGCGCAGCGACACCCGATTAGTTTGACCGAAACGGGAATAGATCGAATTAGGGCGGGGGAGGTTGGGAGGAGTTCTGTAAATGAAGCACGATCGCGTCGTACCAGCAGCTGCAGTGTGAATGCCAATTATGTGCGCCTCACACGTCGGGAAGGGGACGAGACTCGTGAGCGCAATCCGGCGTTGGTGGTGACGCGGGATGCAACGCGGGAAGCGTTGGTGGGTCGGGGGCTTTGGGGCTGGGGGGAGGGATCGAAGAGGGGGTGAGCCCAACCGGACTCAAGTTACGCAGAGCCGGTGGTAAACAAGCACTAACCTGGAGGGTGTCGAGCAGGGTAATTGGGTGTCGTGTTTGATACTTCCGATTCGTCCTATCTGTGGTCAGAGCGCTGGGTATGGAAGAGGGTCCCCCCCGTTCATTCATAGGGCGAATTGGCGAACCAGAACTCCCCCGGACGAGCCCGGCGGTTGGCTACTCACCCAAGTACAAGTCGACAGTTGAACGAAGAGGAGTATAAATGAAAATACTAACCACCACAGCCACGTATGGGTATTCAACGTCGATCCGGCAAGTTCTCTGGATTTCTTCGATCACCAGGAGGAGGATGAAGCTGATGATTGTTCGAGAGGGGAGCCCGCGATCCCGCTGTGGTCGCATCCGATCGTTGTCGCCTGAGGCATGAAGGCAATAAATTCAGGCACAAAGGCACAAACTTCCAATAAAAACGGTCATTTACACTAGGTGACGTATGAAATTGCGAAATATTCGCGAAATATATGAAATATATGGTATTTCTAATACTCAAACTGACAAGTCTCGGATGGTGATCTAAGGTGTCTAACAGTATGTGCCCGATCCATGGAAGATACAGTGTGATCGGCCCAGAAACACCAATGCCAATACAATCTATGCTTCAAAGATGATGACATGGCAAGATGGCAACCGACACCTGTCGATCGGCTACGGGCCAACAAGGCGGACTGGCCAGAGCCCAACGAAGCCAGGTCTACTACCAGTTAGGCACTCGGGCTTGCATCAACTGAATAAGTATGTTATGCAGGAGGGAGGGAGGGCAGACGATTTTCAGTTTGATTCGATCCCATCTCAGCCCAATATGATTCAGGATACCGGATGAAATTGGTTGATTAGACGAAGAAAACGCGAGATACCGAAGGTGGTTTGAGGGCAGATAACCGATCCTCGGACCACCACCCCTATACGAACAGCCTATACAGCCGTGGCACGCAATTGGAGTATTTTAGATTGCGGTGTGGGATATGTGGATTTTCATTCCGTCATGATCAAAAGTAGCCCACGCTAAACTGTCTAGTTTTGGTGACTTTCCCATTAACGCCAATAGCCTCTTGCTGACGCGCTCGAATTCCCCCTTCCGGAGACAAATACCGAATATCGAACTATACAACTAACATAGACCAATCGTTCAGGGCTGCACCACCTGGATGTTGTTCTTCTTCTGTTGAGAGGCAGGAAATAGTTAATATCACCATCCATAAGTTCATAATTGATGAAATTTTGGCTCGGGCTACACCCTTTCTCTCAGTATGATCGTAAGGGTGGCAGGGTCTTACCTTCCAGCTGTCCAGCTCAGTCTGCTTTGACTTATATTGCTTCAGCATATCTTCCAGCACCTGCTTAAGGCCATCCGAGTTTGTTTTCAGCAGTGGCAGGACATCTTGCACGGTGCGTTCAACCAATACCCCGTTCACCATGCGGAAACATTTGCGGTCTTGCGGGAGAGGATCCAATGTTTCGATTACGAGCCTGGGAAAGGTAGACAAAAACTTGTTAGGACCCATGCTGTCTAGAAAGTTTCCAGTTCATCTTCAGCAGCCCCAGGTCGCCAGGACCAAAGCCAAATTGGTTCTCGAAGCACGAGAGGCCAACACAATCAACAGGTCCACTCACTTATGCTCCTCCGCTTCCTGCTCAATGTCGCCAATCTTTTGCGCTAATTGCTGGAGGGTGTTCTTGAAGTTGGTGTACTGGAGCTGCAGCTCTGGATTGAAAGGTGCGTTAGCCGTTGTCTCGCAAAAGGTCGCATAAGTTGAAACAAGTCAATACATAACTAACCCTGCTGCTTCTTAGGGTCTACCTGCTGTTGGCTAGACATTGTGATGGTGTGGTGGTTTGAGGGAGTGTGTCGCAGGGAGCTCAAAAGTCAAGATGATCATGCGGGGCGCTGGCTGCTTGATCTTCCGCGGGCTTGCCTGTCTACCTAAAGATGTCCATTGTAGCAGAGGAACTTCCACAACGCCCTGAAGCGTCTGTAGAAACAACAAAAGGAAGTATTATGGGATTTAAAATTACTACCAGCCTCTTTTGAACTAAGTCATTTCACTATAAATTACAGATTCGCTACAGCAAGTCCACGATTTGTGAGTCGGTCACGTGCCTGATAACAACCCGTTTGCAATGTTTGCCTTAGATCTCAGCGGGCCCGCCGAGCGGCGTGAGAACGCCCCCGGCGCGGGCAACTTCAAGAATCGCCTTGAAGCTTTCCCTTCTGCATTTTCCCCCCGACGATTCTACACCTAGATTTAGCTGACCTGTTGATCGGGTCGTTTGCTTAATCATGGCTCGCGACGAAATGGGCCCGCCTGCCAAAAGGCAGAAGAGCTCATCGAACCTTCCGCCTCACCTTCGTGATGCCAGACGCAGAGAAAACGATACCTGGGAAACCAATCGCATGCTCACATCGGGTGTTGCGCAAAGACGAGACTACGATAGAGACTTCGCACCAGATGATGACGAGGCAACCCGAGTTCATTTACTAGTCCATGATCTTCGACCGCCCTTCCTCGATGGCCGCACGATCTTCACCAAGCAGCTGGAGCCTATTTCAGCCATTCGGGACCCTCAAAGCGACATGGCTGTCTTTAGCAGAAAGGGAAGCAAGGTTGTCAGGGACCGACGGCAGCAGCGTGAGCGGCAGAAACAGGCCCAGGAAGCGACGACGATGGCAGGCACAGCTTTGGGAAATCTAATGGGAGTCAAGGAAGACGAGGGCGACAGTGCTGTCGCAGTGCCGGTTGAGGAGGTCTATAAGGGTGGCGGGAATAAGTTTGCCAAGCATTTGAAGAAAGACGGGGGCGGTGCGAGCTCTTTCAGCAAAAGCAAGACCATGCGCGAGCAGCGAGAATTCCTCCCTGCATTTGCAGTGCGCGAGGACCTTCTGCGAGTCATTCGAGACAACCAAGTTGTGGTTGTTGTGGGCGAAACGGGCTCTGGAAAGACGACTCAGTTAACTCAATTTCTCCACGAGGACGGTTACTCGAAGCTTGGCATGATCGGGTGTACGCAGCCTCGTCGCGTGGCCGCTATGAGTGTCGCAAAGCGTGTCAGTGAAGAGATGGAGGTAGACCTTGGCGCAGAGGTTGGCTATGCAATTCGCTTTGAAGATTGCACCAGTGACCAAACAGTGATCAAATGTAAGCATTCCCCCATATGATTCTCCGTAGTATATAATCATGATTACTGACATACATACATTTCAGATATGACGGATGGTGTCCTTCTCCGAGAATCCTTAGTTCAGACAGATCTCGATAAATACTCCTGCATTATCATGGATGAGGCACACGAAAGAGCTTTGAACACAGACGTCCTGATGGGTCTTCTTAAAAAGATTCTAGCTCGACGCCGGGACCTCAAATTGATTGTCACTTCTGCGACAATGAACGCCGAGCGATTCTCACGATTCTACGGTGGTGCCCCGGAGTTTATCATTCCTGGCAGAACCTTTCCAGTCGATGTTCACTTTTCACGCTCTCCCTGTGAGGATTATGTCGACAGTGCTGTGAAGCAAGTCCTGGCTATCCATGTCTCCCAAGGCCCGGGCGATATCCTTGTCTTTATGACTGGCCAAGAAGATATTGAAGCAACTTGTGAACTCGTGGATGAACGGTTAAAAATGCTAAATGACCCCCCAAAGCTAAGCATATTGCCAATCTACAGCCAAATGCCTGCGGAGCAACAGGCGAAGATTTTTGAAAAAGCGGCGCCTGGTGTGCGCAAAGTCATCGTTGCCACCAATATCGCAGAAACGAGTCTGACTGTCGATGGTATCATGTATGTTGTGGACTGTGGCTACTCGAAACTCAAGGTGTACAATCCTCGAATGGGCATGGACACTTTACAGATTACGCCAATCTCGCAGGCAAATGCGAATCAAAGATCCGGTCGAGCTGGTCGAACTGGTCCCGGAAAGGCTTATCGTCTCTATACCGAAACGGCTTACAAGAATGAGCTTTACATTCAGACTATCCCGGAAATTCAGCGTACGAGTCTTTCTAATACTGTGCTGCTCTTGAAATCTCTTGGTGTTAAGGATCTCATGGACTTTGACTTCATGGATCCCCCACCCCAAGAGACAATTTCAACATCGCTCTTCGAACTGTGGTCTCTCGGGGCGTTGGACAATCTGGGTGAACTCACCGCACTGGGTCGCCGCATGACCCCGTTTCCCATGGACCCTCCTCTTGCTAAGCTTATCATAACTGCTTCAGAAGAGTATGGCTGTAGCGAGGAAATGCTCACTATTGTTTCCATGCTTTCGGTCCCGAGCGTCTTCTACCGTCCCAAAGAACGACAAGAAGAGTCCGATTCGGCCCGTGAAAAATTCTTTGTCCCGGAGTCGGATCATCTGACTCTGCTACATGTTTACACTCAATGGAAGACCAACGGCTATTCTGATGGCTGGTGTACCCGTCACTTCCTACACGCAAAAGCCCTCCGGCGTGCTAAGGAGGTCCGGGACCAACTGCACGACATCATGACGGTTCAGAAGATGCCTCTTACCAGCTGTGGTACAGACTGGGACGTCATTCGCAAGTGTATCTGCTCCGGCTTCTATCACCAAGCTGCTCGAGTTAAGGGTATCGGCGAGTTCATCAATCTACGCACCAGTGTAACTATGGCTCTGCACCCGACAAGTGCTTTATACGGCCTTGGCTATGTTCCTGAGTACGTGGTTTACCACGAGTTGATCCTGACGGCGAAGGAGTACATGTCCACCGTGACAGCCGTTGACCCACACGTAAGTTCTGTCCTATATTGACTATTCCATCTGAGATACTAGCTGAATAACTAACTCGTTTTCTTTTAAGTGGCTTGCTGAACTTGGTGGTGTATTCTACTCGGTCAAAGAGAAGGGCTATTCCCAGCGAGACCGGCGCGTCACCGAGCTCGAATTCAATCGTCGTATGGAGATCGAAAGCCAAATGGCCGTCGATCGTGAACGCGCCACGGCCGAAAAGCTGCGTGAACAAGAGCGCAGTGACCCCATTCATCGTAAAAGGGAGGTCGAGGCTGGGATGGGATCAGCCGTTCGTCGTCCTGTTATCAAGAGACCGGGGAAAAATTGGTGGCGTGACTGCTTCCTCATCGTCTCGGGCTGGTGTTGGGAGCAGTAGTTCTAGTGGTAGTGTGGTAAAGAAACCCACGATCCCCAGACGGCCAGGTCGGACCTTTTAATTAAGCGGTTCCTGCATTTCCATCGCGTGCGAACCCGATCATTGTACATTATCATGCATATTTAGACAGATGGATGGACAGGCAAGCATGCGGCGCTTCTTGAAGGAGATACCCGGCGTTATGTCTATATTACAACTTGCGCATTTACTTCTGAATGCATGTTGGTTACTAGCAGATTGCTTTGATCTGTGATGAATTGAATCGATTTTTATAAACAAAATTGGCCAGAGGACGGATTCAAGCCCGTCAACAGCAAAACATGGCTTGTAGTTGCAAAGCAATCATTTAAAAAAATGATCAGGCCTGGCACCAGAGATCAATTCTGTCCAGCTCTTGACGAAAACATACCAGCGCCAAAGGAAGCGGAGAGGGGAAGCCCTGTTGTTTTGGAGGAATCGGAAGTTGAAGAGGTCGAAAGGCTTAGTTAATGAAGTTGATGCAGAAGAAGTGAAGAATCAGGCTGCCAAAGATGTAATCCGCAAAAGCTCTGCAATTCAGTTTGTTAGGAAATCCAATGCATTCAAATGTCTCAAAACGCAATAAAAGCCAGAGGAGGTCATATCCTGGCGCAACTCACCTTTCGTGCGAAATCCCGGTTACTTCTTCCTCTTTCTCTTCGTCGGCAAACCGTGCATTCTTTCCCTTGGAGCTGGGCTTGCTCAATGATCCGGAACCGCTATCGCTGGTTTGCATGCGAAGACTGGCAGTGAGCACGAATTGGCCGACGGCAGCGCTGAAGCCACTCAAGAACGCATTGAAGGGCTAGCGAAGAATAATTATGTTAGCATGTCACTCATGACCACCTCTCGGCGAGGGGTTGCGAATACATACGTAGTTGCCAGCCAGCACGCAGTAAACGAACTGGATCCCACCGACGAGAACTAGGAAGGCCATGAAAGCATCCAGAAGTTTTGTCCGTTGCGATGTTGTGGCAATGTATTGTTCCCAAACATGGCATCCGATATCGGTCACGGAGGCATTGGTCTTCAGAGTTGAAGGGCCAGAGGAGAGAGTTGCGGTTGTAGAGGGCGAGGGTGCGGAGGTAGTTGAGGCCGCGTGTCGTTTAGAAGGCATGATGGCGGGATGAGAAGTGGGGGAAGCTGTTCCAAGAGCAAATTTATTGAATGGGTAGTTCAATCAGATACTCCAACCAGTAATGCCCTTGGATGAATGAGAAGTAGCCTTTGGAGAAGCAATGGTCGTGGAGAAGAAGATCAATTGATGCCAGCTGGGAGCTTCGTTATCGCACGGTCACGTGGTTGATATACAACCCACTGTCTTGGCACGCCAGTTGCTTTCGAAGTGCGAAGGTCTCTGAAGTGAGATTTAACAAGATATCCAGGGGAAATTCCAGACCATACTATAAATATACTAATGCAAATACTTTTGATATCAGTGCAAGTTAACAAGATGCGCGGGTTTGATAAAAATAATCTTGATTAATCAATATCGTTAAGAGACAACGCTCAGACCCAAGAAATGAACCTTTTGAAATCTCATTTGAAGGAAAGAGTTTTTGAACCCTCGAAGGCTGAAAAAAGAGCATTTTTAAACTTGAAGAATCCGGTATGCCGACCCATATTAATTTTATGGGTTATCGCGGGAAATGCAGATACGGTGCGTGATCTGGAGACAGCTGCAAAGCCGAGGCTTTGCCTATGACTGAATGAATGCCATGAGTTACGGGAGAATTCATATTCTGAATAAAGCGCTGTGGATCTGAGATTCAAATAATGGGTTGAGAGGTCATTCGGGCTATATTCAGATATCAATGGTTACAAATTCGAAGAAGGCTTGCCAAACAGAGTGACTTTACTATACAAATATTTTTTTTTTAAAAAAAAGGGGAAAATAAAAAGGAAAACCAAGTATCACTGATAGCCATATGAGACTGGTTCCATACTCGCATCCCAGTTATCTCCATTGTCCAGCATCCTCCACACCTCTTGCAATCCGGTTTGCGCCATCCTCAACGCCTGTCCCAGCGCTACCAATAGCATCGCCAACAGGTTTTCCAGCACTTCCAGTAGCGCCGGTGAGAGTGTCCCCCACGCCACGGGTTGCGGCTCCAGTGACGCCCCCGACCGTACGAGTGACGCCCCCGACTGTATTGCCCAGTGTAGATGTGACGAATTTGGCAGCGCCTGTCACACCGGTGTCTTGTGAGTTGATCGGCATTGTGGATGTGAGGGAGCGGTAGAGTATGTGGAGGTTTGATCAAGAGCGGGCGATTAGATGTATTCAATAGGTTTAGGTAAAAGAAAGTATCTTGAGATATTGTATAGGTATTGTTTAGCAACTGAAGTTGTCTTAATGGAGACTTTGATTCCTGCTGAATCAAGAAATGTTGCTTGATATATGGCCATTCCGGACAACTTCTATGATGTCATTGTTTACGCAGGCCGTGATGGTGTGGCTGTACAACAAATTAATTAATTTGAATTTTACAACGGACAGCATATTGGCCGCTTGAATTTTCCAACTCATATCAGGCATATCTTTACTACCAAAATAGTGCTAGAGGTGACATCAGCCTGGAGACTTGATTTTTCTAGTGACAGATGGTGTTATTCGACTGCCTGGCCTTAATGCACTTTTCGCTCTTCCACTTCATGAAATAAATGATGTACATTGTTGTACGCATATTATGGCAGCCTCAAGTTTGAACTCAGTACATAATTTGATCATATTGTATCACCAAAGTGAAGCGTTATCTTAGTTACATGAAAGGGGATGAGTAGTTGAACACTGAGTGGAGGGGAAAAATGAAATAACTTCCAAAATGATTCATACCGATCGTCATTATTTCGTGATGAAAAAAAGCCAGCCAGAGCAGAGGATAAGGGCTCCAACCAAAATATCTATATTTGAACGCCACAGTCCGTAATACTTCGTCAATCGGAGGAACGGGATTATGCAAACCATTCTGTAATATGAGTGCCCGTTGCCGGACCAGATTCGTCATTTTCAACATCCATTTGGAAATCTCGCATGACTTGGTCCCACGCATCCCAACTAAGCGTCGCGGTATCGGGAATCGTGTCTTGGGTCATAAAAGGATTGCCCATTGAACTATTAAACAGCATTCCCGAAGGTAAGTTGACAGCGGAGACTGGGCTTTGTAGTGGCGGGTTATCAAGGGTGACTGGTGCAAACAAATTTGTGTTCGGGAAGATGCTTTGCAATGCCTCCCATGGTCCATTGGCGAAACTGACATCCAAGGGGTTGGCTGGCATCAGGTTGTTCTGCGTGGATCCAGAACCAGATGAAATCGTCGGAGAAGGTTGAGCCGGCATGTGGATCTGGGGAAGAGTGTGGTGGTGCGCGGCTGCAAAATCAGGGGTTTCGGACTTGAATGGAGTTGGATGTGGGCCAAATTTGGCAAGAAGTTCTTCCTGCTGCTTGGCTCTTTTGGCGGCAGCCCGTTTCATGAGCGCAGCGAGAGGTCGCCACAGCATGCCTCTTTTGTGTGTGGGTTGCTTTTCCCACTCTGAGTAGAGTGCTCTGATGGCGTTCCAAGCTCGATCGGTGACGGGGCAGATCGGACGAACGCAGACTTCAGATAGGACAAAGGCAACTCCGTGCCACTGCATGTTAGTTCGGAACAGCCAGCCCCATTTTGCAGTCTTGGGATCGGTTTCTAAAAGACGGCTGAACTCTAGAACTTCAATCGCAGTGTGGAACAAGCTTTCACGGGTTGCTTGGGATACATTTTCAACGCGGTCTTTGCGAGTCATCGGGTGATGGACGACCAGCCACAACTTCGCAAGAATGAGACGGCCTACAACTGCAGAAGCCCAGTGGATCGGGATATCCATGTTGCAGTGATTTAAATAGCGTGTCTGAACGCGACTGCTAATGATTTCAATCATGCGTTCACAGCGATCCAATGTTGGTCCGCCCTGGCCCATGCGGAACCGAGAACCAGGGCAGGAGTAGTTCGCTCGGCGCAAGGCACATGTAATTTCACAGCGGATGAGACAGAAGGTCACATCAGTACAGCCTTCTCGCTCGGGTGGGGCTTCTGTCATTTGCGGCGTAATATCGTCGTCGTTGATGTTCAATGGGAGTCGAGTGTCAAACATGCTCTCGTTGATCATCGGATCGGTACCATGGTCTTCGGAGCAGCGGACATCCATAAGAGAGATATGCCACCACAGCCGTCGACGCAGCTCCGTCTCGTATGGCCGAAGGCCGAAATTGGTACCATCGCGATGTAAGCCCAAGCCCTGAGCGAGGCGAAGGAGGACCGAATTCATCGACCAGACAAACTTGGAATCGTCTTCTCTGCGAATGCAGATCAAGAAGAGAACCGCTGCCTGCAGGAGCACCAGGCTCTGGGTGTTGAGTAGGCCAGCTTTCGCAAGCGCTTGCTCGACCGCAAACCGGTAACGTTTGACCAGTGCGGTACGCTCTTCTCCTAATAGTGACCGGCACTGTTCAGAGTTCAAGCTAATGATGGCGCTGAGGTAAATGGAAAAGGCCAGGGCCTCGTTATTTTTATCCAATGAGTCCGGGTTTTGAGCCGCTTCTGTTAAGAGCTTCCTCGCGGCTTCTCTGTGTACGATGGTGATCAAAGGCGCCACGTTATCTTTGTAGAGTTCCCAAAGCATCGATACCTTGGGAAGAGGCGGGTGAAACTCTCGGAGAGAGTGAGACAAAGAATAAAACCCGAAAAGGAACCCTTCGTGAGAGCCCGAGTGAGAGGATTCCGGAGATGGATAGTCCTCCTCCTCGGATTCCGAATGATCTAGGATATCCTGTAATTCTTCAATCTAAACGATAGACACGCGTGAGTACATTGATATAACGAACGTGGGGTAGAGGAAGGCTAGGAGCGGATACGTACTTCATCCCCAAGGCTGGCCCATAGCCGATTGCTCACATATCGACTTCTGCCTTCGTCGATGACCAACCTCCCAAATTCATTCTCAAACTTCTTCGGGGCAAGATTCTTCGGATCAGCGTTCTCAAATGGGCAGCCGCCATCCTGGTCCTCTTTCTCGGGGGCGATTGTCGAAGTGGTTTTCGATGCGTTTGCATTCTCAGAAGGGACAGATGGGAGGATTGGAAAAGTTGGCGGTGCCTGAACTGGTGAGGTACTGGAGGTTGAGCCTGTACCAGCTCCAGCAGGAGACTCGTTGTTTTTCCCGCTCAGATGCTCAATCACACCCTCGAGACGGCGGAGTCGCGAGAGAAGCTCCGCATCGGGCGGGCGCTTGGATTTGCGCGGGGCCCGGCCGGGTGGGGGAAAAATACACTCGATACTGGCCTTGGTACAGTTGGAGCACGGCGATCGCTTGTTGCAGCGGACCTTCCGACGGCGACACGTTACACAACTTCGTGAGCTCGCGAGATCCGGGCGGGGGGCGGTGGCGGGCGCGGGCACGCGTGCGGGCAGCGCACTGTTCGGGGAATTCGAATCGCTGGTGGGGGAGGAGTGATACAGCCCCTCCGGAGAGGCAGAGTGGAATGACATGGCGACCAAGGGAGGGTCTGCCACATTTTCCCGTGGGACGTAGAGGGAATCACAACAGTGACGATAGTTCAGGTTGACGTCCTCTCACTTTTTCCAGGGGCCAACCCCGTGACTTTTGAGTCAGCTTGGCTTCGAGGGATCTGGGCGCGTTTTAAGCCACTTTGGCTTTTTTTTGCCTTATCCCCGACCCGCTCTCCAAGCGTTTAGAGACGATTCTAGATCCGTCCCAGAACCATTTGTCAATTATACTTTGAGAGCTTCTAGCATATAAAAAGACGCTGGATTTTGTCTTCTGCTATCAGAAGGATTTTACGTTCCCAGTCCTGCCTGAAGATATGTACTAACTGGGTGTGATCTTTCGTCACCGACATTCGGTGAAACCCTGCGGGATATTCATGGTAGCTCCGATACCTCCGTCACCCACCCGACTGACCTGAAGTTTATGACAAAGAACGTAGGATTCCGGCTTGTAGATCTCGAGAAGCATGTCCAAAAGATGCAAACAGGTCTTATGATCTAGCTGGTGCCAATTTCCTGAGATGGGGCAAGCCCACTTTTCAAGTTATACCCAGTCTAGCGTATTCGTATATCTTGCGGGTGGTGGCCGATCTACGTATAAAGCAGCAGTACATAAGAAAACTGGTGCAATCCGGTGATACAGAACGAAGTCCTGTCTGAATGTTTTATTTGCCAGGACAGGTTTCTCAAAAGTAGATGTACTATATCAGCGACCTTGAAGTCATTACGCCTAATACGTATATATGTATCTCAGATACCCATAGCTTGATCGTTAAGATCCACGTCTGTTCTCTATTTGAAATTACGCTACAACACTTTTTCTAGGTAATTGTAAACTAGACACCGAAACCGGCTACACTCGACTCCTTTTCAGTATCCTGTCGAGCAGCATCTTAACTGCTAAGCTCTAGCCATCAATCCTCGGACGCATAAGCCTTTTCCCTAGGCCTTTTAAAGCTATGCGTATCCCATGGGATCTAATACAGTGGCTCTTTAATGATTATCAGACTGATTATAGATGGGATTTAGCTCTAGAGAAAATGAATGTCTAGTCTATATAAAGTGCTGATGAATCAAAGTGGAGGATATAGTAGAAATAGTGGGGTAAGATTCAGCATGATTTTCAGCGGCATTCCCGAGATTGCTCTCTGGTATGGGATCGGTGTAACAAGCTATATAGAAGAAAAACAGGTGTATGATATAAGTATCATAACAGCCTTAACATGCAAGGCAGTCTTTTGATCATAGATAAGAAAGAACGCGTGGGTATATCTGGTTTCTAGGATCCGAATTCTATTGAAACTTAGTCCATAATTTTCGCGATGAAGACGAATAGGCACGCAAAGACCAGAATCGCTTGTTTCGACTTGGTCATCTCCATTTAGAGCAAAGAGATAGAAGTGGGAGTGATGCAACCAAGAGTATAGTTCATTATCGAGGGCAATGGATGTGTTGCTCTTGTGGCTGCCCGTTCCCCTACGCTGGGCAGCGGCACCCTATTTGATGAAGGAAATCCATCCCGTCATGGGTTCTTGCCTGTCGACAAGCTGATCCTGATTATATCTACTACCAACCTGCCACTGCCACCTGGCCTAGACCTCCATCTATCTACTCATCGTCCTCAACGTCGACAGCGGCTTCCTTCCACTTGCGAGCCGGAACATGACAGTTGAACAAGATGTCAATCTCACGGTAGAATCGGCCTCTCATCTCAGACTAGTAGAAATAGGCCATGATCAAGCAGAAAAGGCCGGTGCCACCCCAAACGTAGCCGCACTTGCCGCCAAGGTTTCCGCCCTGCATCAATGTCGGCAATTATCACTATATCATTTAGTAGGAGAGAAAGAGTGCCTTACTGTTGGGTTGAGCATATAACTTCCCAAGAAAATACAAGGGGTTTCCACAATATAGTATGAAGCACGCCCAATTCCGGTTGTTAGAGGCCTGAGACGAATCTTCGAGGTCTCTCCAATAATGACCCCACGAGGCAGGCGCGGGTCCCAAGGTGAACAGCCTCTTGCAGGGATTAGGCCGAGAACCGGTTTGCCATCTGATTATATAAAAAGATATCGTACAGTAAGGTTAAATCGATTATAGTTAAATAGCCAAGAAAAATTCTGTGTGCATACAGGCGCAATCAACGAGTAAGATACAAGGATGTGTGAAATCAACGCTGAGAGTTATAGCTCCGGACGCCAAAAACGGGCTTTCCCTCATAATATTTTTCTACTCGAAACCACTTTTTTTTAGAACCGATTCGCCTTGACATGAAAGTAGACGAGCCCGAAGCGGATAATTATTGCGAGAATAAGCCGCTCGTTTGTCGTATCTTCACTAACAAAGATTTAGTTGTGCTCCTACAGCGCTGCGAGCCTCGCACGCGAGGTAATCCTGTTTATTGAAATACCTAATAATCAACCGCTAGATTAATTAAACAAAACCTAGCTTCCTGCTAACCTCCCGAAACTGAATCTTGCCACACATCATTCTTCGGGCTATAGCCAATTTATCCGCGTTTAGCGGCCTAATACGGAGCGAAGATTCCCGAAATATCACCCGAATTTTACCGGTATGGATATGAATTGAGGAGAGAAACAAGAAACGAGATGACTTTCAATTTGAGATAAAGAGTAGGTATATCTTTCGACCACAAAGAATGTTGCTATGACTAGTGGCAGTTCCGTTAACAAATAAAGATGTTTTCGCACAGAAAAGTACACAGATGGAGGCCACATTGTTTGACTTGCTGGTGTGATTGCGGCATCGGCAGAATCCGCAAAATAAGGTCTAAATGTTGAAGAGGCCTCAGAGTTGGCTCTCATTAGAAATAAGTTAAAATTCTTGAGTAAAACAACTTCCGGGTACACATGCTCGATCTAGAGAGTCTCATTCATTATGTAGCAAACCAATCGACAAGAATGCAATACCCTCAGCTTTTCAGTCAAGCCAGAATATTCCTCGTACATAATGCCTGGGCCGTTATCCCCAAGCATAAATCGCCTATTAAAATTCTGGCAATCAAGCGTCGCCATTGATGGATCCATACTGGTGCTTAGTAGGCTTGCTTTTTTTTTGCCGAAACAGGATTTGCAAGACAGGGCTTGCATCCGTAGTCGTGACAACGCGAGATTTACCCATTATAGCTCTGGCATTCTGATCAAGGTTTCGATCAATAATACATGGATGACTCACGGCCATCAAATAGTTAACTATAGCATTCAATCATGCGGAGAGCCAAAAACCTCCATATGAATATGGTCCCCTTCCACACCCAAAGCCTCTAGGCTCTTGCTCTGGGCCTTCATGAAAGGTTGCGGCCCACAGATATAGTAGTCAGCATCGGAAAGAACTACCTTGTCTTTAACCTGAGCCAAATCTACACGCCCAACATAATCGTAATCCACCCCCTGCTTCTCTCCATCGGTGACATTTTCGTAAAAGACCATGCGGCTAACCGCGGGGTTATGTGAAACAATTTGATTTAAATCATCTTTCATGGCGTGAACGCGCCCATTTCGTGCCGCGTGGATGAAAACAACCTGTCGAGCTTGACCTTGTTGATCAACGATGCTTTTGAGCATCGACATCATGGGCGTAAGGCCCACACCACCGCTAATCAGTACGGCCGGAGTGGTTGCGTTGGTATCAAGCACGAAGTCACCAAACGGCATGCTGACGTCCAACTCTGCCCCAATAGGAAGTGATTCGTGCAGGACATTAGAGATCCGACCGGCCGGCTTCGCATCTCTCGCAAACTCTCGCTTGACGGAAATCCGGAAGTGATCGCTACTCGGCACATCGGAAAGACTGTACTGTCGGGGCTGATAGGAACTCAACTCCGGAACATAGCATCGTATACTCACAAACTGGCCAGGCTTGTACTTGGGCAGGACGTCTCGATCTTCTGGGATCAGATAGAATGAAATAATTTCGTCGCTCTCCACGACCTTGTCGGAGATGAAGAACTTCCGCCAGCCTTTCCAGCCCCCAGCGGTCTTCAAATTCTCTTGGTAGAGGCCATCCTCGAAGTTGATGAAGATGTCAGCCAGTTCCTGGTATGCTGCACCCCATGCATCAAGCACTTTCTCGTTGACGGCTGGCCCTAGGACGTCCTTGATTGCAACTAGAAGATGCTGCCCGACTATCGGGTAATGCTCCGGCATGACCCCAAGACTGGCATGCTTGTGGCCAATGCGAGAAACAGCAGTGCTTAAAGCCTCGGGGTGGTCGATGTTGGAAGCATACGCCCATACGGCATGTGCCAAGGCTGCAGGCTGCTCACCCGTTGCTTGATGCGCAGTGTTGAAAATGTTTTTAAGTTCGGGATGTGCCTCAAGCAGGCGTTTGTAGAAGAGGGTGGTAATTGTGACACCATGCTCCTGCAGTGCGGGAATCGTTGACTTGACTATTTCCTTCTGCTGCGTATTGAGCCCCTTGCGTGGCACGGATATATAAGCGCGTTGCACAACCGTTGGAAGCGCCGCTCGGCGAAGGGCGAGCTTTGTGAACATTTTGTACACGCCCTAATTTTATCAAGGAATAATAGTCAATATTCAATCGGAATTCCTTTAGCTCTGTTCAGTGGCTTGTTCTACGGGGCTCTTTCAGTTGAATGTCGGATCTACCGGGCGGGGAGCTGACGTCATTCACTTAGATCGGCCGTGAACATTAACACCTCCTCCCTAACTTTGATGACGGAAAAAAGTACCGTGCAATTGAGTCCTAAACGGTGCCCTTTTCCATGGAGTTATGAGATTTCCTGTATGTACTGTGTGGGGGTAGAAAATCTAGGTTACTTGATCATCTTAAACACTGATAAATTTTAGTAGTCCGTTGTTCTTCGAATTATATTAGAATAATTGTGACAGTGTCAGGAGATGTAAAGGTGATCTTATTGGTTATCTCTGAGCTAGCTAAGAAGGTGCCTTGGAATCATGTGATCTGGCTTAGAGGGTAAAAATAATCACAGAACAAAGAGGATGCTATTTTGGTTTCGGGACCGAAATCGTACCTGAAAAGGATACATGACATGATCAAGAGCCATGAAGGAAGACCTTCTTTTCAACCATCATTAACCAATCAATTGCTCTATTGGTATAGATAATCGGCAGAAGAGAGGAGAATCTCGTACTTCTGAACAGGGTCTGTCTAAAATTCAGTTATTCGATGATTTATGGATTGATTACTGGTTGATTGGCCGGCAGACAAAGTAGGCTATACGTATATCAAACCGACCTTTGCTATTCGATATGCTATATATAGATTGATGTATGTATCTTCTCATTGGACAAAAAGACTGATCTATATAAAGTACCGCCACCCCCTCAAAAAAGGTGGCTATTCCTCTCAGCTCAGATTCTTAGCATACAGACAAAACAACAGTTTAAGAGGGGAAAATGTTTTTTTTTAAACACTGGTGGGAAGGAGTGGATAAAAGCAAATTTACATCACAGCAAGCGGATTAGACCAATCTTCATCAATCAATCCACTACTCATTGATCCCTTTGCATCCAATATGAAAAGTTTCCATATATATTCTCATCCATCATCAATAATATTATGCATAATTGAAGAAGAGAGTCCTTTATCTCTGAACTAGACTAAGTCTCTTAAAGGTTCAGTTGTTGGCTTTCCTATACTATAATCTACCTCTTCTGCTTTATACTTCATCTCCAAACAGAGGTTACACTGAGTTCTTTACTTGAAGTCATAAAATAGGAACCAAGGGCGTAAATGCAGGCAATTCCTTGCTTGAGAAGCCCACATAAGTCTTTATTTCTCCAGCTCCTATTACCCATTCTTAGCTGACAGCATCTCAACGACTGAGATATCATCTTGCCAGTATCAAACGTTCTGACTGGCTTGGTTTTGAGATGTACCTCCTCAAAGCCTCATAGCACTCCTATTTCTAAATATTCTTGCACAGAATCACGCGGTAGCGTAACATAGAAATGAGAGGACACAACCGAGCCTGTAAGACCCATAAAGTTCGTATAAATCTGTTTGTCATTTGTCATGAGAAGAAGGCACATTGCAAGTCCTAGAAGATAGGGAAAGGGGAGAGATGAAGAAGATGAGTCCAGGAAGCTGTGAGTGAAGCCCTATCTGGTGTGGCTACAATATTGCATTATAAGCAGATAGCGCAAGCATCAGGAATTGCGGTGTGTCCTGAGCAATTGGCCCCATGGGATCATCGCAAAAGCGGCGAGAGTGTATATCATTTCAGAAAAAGCCACTGAAAGAAAGGGCTTGTTAATAATCTTAGTAAAAGATCTGACATAAGAACGATATTTAAGGATTGGTGTCCGCTGGAAGCCTCATTCTGTGTTTTGAGAGGGATTCCTTTATATTTTTTTGTTAGGGCTTAGGCGCTTGCCGTCTTGATTACGTGCCGTTAGTAGATAGATTGCCTGTTCATTGTCGTGGCTATTGGGTATATTTATAATTGGATTTTTTTTTAAATCTTGGAGATGCTTGCTTTGAGAAAAATACACATTTATTGATCCATGTATATGTACAATATTTAAAGGCTGATCAGGACAGAGTGCCCTACTATGTATGTTCAGTCACAAGAACAGTCCAAATCCCAACGCCATGCAATGCCAAAGTCCCATAAAGACAAATGACCAAAAAAAAGATCACACAGAATTATAAAGCGGAATCATCACGCTGAAGATGGTCCAAATGTAGAAAAGATGCAAAAGTATGCAGCATGCAGTGCGAATGCTGAAAAGAAACAAGACGCCTGCTTTCGCAATACACTTTTTTTTTACGCCGCATCCATACGGATGGCCGGTTCGGTGCCAGGTGAACGGGTGGGCAGGTCACTCGCGCCCTTGTCCCGGCGCAGGAAACGCCTCATTTTGCGCTTGATGGCCTCCCAGATCTTGGAGCTCTCATTGAAACTGTGACCCTGAAAGTTCTTGTTGGTGAGTGAACGGGGGCCATATTCCTCCTCCAGCAGCTCGGTGTAGGCGTAGGGGATCTTCACAGGGACATCTTCGAAGTAGCTGTCGCGCAGGGGGAAGATCTGGCTCTCCTGATAGTGGTGTCGGTCCTTGCACATGAGAGCCTCGGAATCGCCGCGCTCGCGCTTGCCTTCGTCCTTGCGCACGGCGGTGATGTCGATGAAGAGGCCGGACGACATGTCGATCCACCGGGCGTCGATGACGTTTAACCTGTCCTTCTCACTGCGGACCACGTAATTGGGGTTGATTTCTAGGAGATATGTACGGCCTTTCTCGACGTCCGGAAGGTCGAAGTGATGCTCGGTCATGTTGTAGTAGTCGGCAAGGAAGTGGATGGTGGGCTCGGAGATTTGCACGTCCAGGTCGTTGTCCCATGGGAAGATCTGGCGGGATAGGGTTGGTTAGATAGGGGTTTTCGGGAGCCCGGGGCCATGGATACAGGGGAACTACCTTTTGATTCCACCACCACGCTAGAAGTGTTCCGTGCATGATCCAAGTTTCAGCGCCGATTGATGACATTGTCGTGAGATATGTCTGGATTAATGCGGAGAGGTGAGGAGTAACTTTTTCTTCGGGGAGGGTTGCGTTGGCGAAGCTGGAGGGTGTTAGCCATTGGATTGCCGGCGTGGACGATGAGGGATGATGGAGGGACAAGGGGGCCAATAGGGGCAGAGTATCACATACCGGCCATCATAGTGATAATGGAAGCTAGCAAAAGAGAAAAAAAAAAGCAAAAGTTAGTACATATATACATCGGCATCGCTTCGCAATTCAGTTTGCAGCGGATCACACATACGTAGATTCCGCTATGATACAAGTCAGTTAAGGTTCGCCACTCGAGTGATATGGGAGATGATGACACTCACTGAAGTATTTCTCAGTTGGAATCTCGCCCTGGCTTGGGTAATCTTTAGCGAGATTTTCTCGCACGCTCATGAAGTCGGTGTGGTTATCATCGGCGCGGACCAGAGAGGCGGACGCTGATAGCAGTCCAACCAAACTGATCAAGTTGGGGGCGGAGAAGCGCATGGTCGTTCGTATCGCAGATCGGGCTATTTACCAGGTCGACTGTTGCATGTCCCAGGATGGTATATACAGAGATGTCCGCGGTGGGACAGAGCGTCGGGCACAAAGAGACGTGCTGAAGGTGCGGAGAGCGCAAAGGGGGGTGGGAAAGGATCCGGCAGAGGACGACGACGGATGGAGAATCCGGAGAAGCGTTTTGTTGAGCGAGACGGAGGATATGTACACCGCACTTTCCAGGAACAACAACCCCAAAAGCCCAGAGAAAAAGGGGAAAAGAATGGAGGGGACAAAAGGGGGGAGGGAGGAGGAGGAGGGGTAAGGGAAGAAGAAGATGGACGTTGAGTTGGATGCTAGGAATTGTATGGCAAGAAAGCAGGGGAAAGGGCGGAGATCAGATGAAACACGTACTCGTACTCCCAGATCCGTCCCACGATCAACGAGAACGAATCACAGAATTCGTCCTCGTGTGGCCAGTTGCCCCTTCGAGAGACGATCTCCGCCTCCCCCGACTGTTCCGATCAAACACAATGAACGACGATGTGGCTTGCCAATAAAGGCGTGGAAGCCGGCTCGGATTGCGGCTTGGCTTCTCTTCGTTTGCCATCCAGGACATCCTGGATACTCTGGAGCTCCTTTCTCCTGGCATTCGCCTGCCGATTCTCTCGGGGCTCAGGAACCAAGCTGGGCGGACTTCCAATTCGTATTCGTTCAGATCCTGCGTGTGGCTGTACAGCGTACTCTGTCCCGGCCCAGACTCGGACCGCAACTGGTACTGCGAGCCGTGGTCGAGTCCCCGGGAAAAAAAAAAAAAAAACAAAAAGCCCGAGCGGACTCCGCCACTGGCTCACTGGGATCGCAACACGTCATCAAATCAGGCTCTGTTTCTCCGCCCCACTCGGACCGGGACCGATCGAGCTGTCCATACGACAGGGGTCTTGGCAGAAGACCCCCAATTTGGGACACGGGGTTGGTTGGATGGGATGCTGTTGGTGACAGTTGGTTCTATACTGGGATCTCAAGCGCTCACGAGGTCAAACAGGATGAGCACCTCATCCAGGACCGCGCGGCCCCGGCAGTCGAGCAAGCACGAGAGGTTCCGCCAATGCGGGATCGTCGGACATATCAACCCAAGACGAATTGGGTTGGACGCCCACGCGTCCTGTCAGCCGCAAAGCCACGCTGTGCGTCCGGGCGGTTCGGGGCGTTGGTCTCAAACTGCCACCAAAACCCAGGCTGGTGCTCCCCTCACACCCGTTGTAACGCCCATGAGCTATGCATTCCTAGATCTATCTCATTTGTGGAGATGGGTCGTAATCCGCATTGCGATGCTTCGTAGCGGAGCATGGGGGTCGAGAGGTGTCCGAGGTATCCGAGGTATACAAGCTATCAGAAGTATCAGAAGTAAACCGGAGAGCGGAATACAACCATCAGGCCATAGCTCGACTGCAGGAAAGAACTCTCAATACATAACATAGAAATCCTGCTCCGAGATGATCCCGCTCCTTGTATACGAAGTCACTCCTCCCCCTCTCAAATATACTGATCTCCAAAGAATTCGAATGAAACCCGCCTTCCTCTCGACATGAAGATGCTAACTCCCCCGGAAATCAGCTACTCCGGCAGCAACACCTGCACCGGCTCCGAGCCCGCCTATTCCAGCAACGCCCGCCACTGAGCCTCCGCCCGGCCCAGCGAAGCAAACGAGGCCATCATCTGCGGGTCCGCCAGCACCAAGGGCAACTATATTCCAAACCACGAGAGCATTGCCGCGCTACTCAGCAAGGAGACGGCCGCGTGCCGGACTGGCTGGGCCTGGAGGAAATCGTTCGTGGGGCTGGGTGACAATTCCTGGGGAGCGCTGGGGCTGCTACCCAGCACGGCGGGGAGATCTTGCAGGACATGCCCCGCAGCGGAAGCGCGCCTGGGCGAGGCGCTTGATCCTCGCCATGGCCGCCGCCGATATCCACCGGGAGCGGGTCAACCGCGGGGGCACGGCCACTGCCCGGCGGGAAGACGTCAAAAACCAGTCCGCCCTAAGGCGGCGGACGGGAAAGGCTATAACAATGTTGAAGGCGTCGTAAAGGAAGTCAAAGTAATGTGGGTCGGAGTCGACGCTCAATTGGAACGGCCATCGCTCGGATATTACCACCCGTGGCGTGAAAGTACTCGAGCAGACGGAAGAGCATCGTCACGAAATCGAGTGCTAGATAAAGAGGACTTAGATTAGGCACGCGGAACGTACTCCCGAAGAGAAGCTGGAGCAGACGTCTCTATCAGGGGCCCCGACGATCCGAGAAGAGTGGGAGAGGTGGCTTAGATGTGGGTGATGGCTGCGGCGGGAGGCGAGCTAGAGACATACGCCGCAGCCAACTGATCCTGAAGGATGACTTGGATGGCTGCGAGCAAATGAACAATTCGCCCTGGTACCGCAATTGTCCGATGAACACCAGGAATAGCACGATTTAGGATCCCAGATCCTATTCCGCTCATGCTAATTGACTCGATATGGGATGGTGGAGGGTGGACGACGGAGTCACGGTCATGGTAGAGTTCGGTCTAGACTTTCTAACAAGCACCGGCTCGGCCGAAGTGGCTTCGGCATCTCACAGCTCCTGCACCTAAACGAGCCGTCGGTCGACTGTACGGCCTGGGCGGCGATCACACTGAAGAGCCTCAGATCGACTGTCAGCCTCAATGCCATGCATTGGTAGCCCTCGTGGGCAGAGTTAGTTCCAATGTACATCGTCGGGCCCCGTCTCCAATCCAGAACCCAGATCCCGGACCTCGGCATCCCGAGGATACGAGACGAGGCGTGGTAACCATCGGAGACTCAAGGCCGCGCTGGAACCGAATCACATGCTTGCAACAGTTTTGGGCGGTCGAGCGCCGAGACGTCGGTTGTGGCGTCGAGAGCCTGGATCAGCTTGGCAATGCTCATGGTGAAGCAATTGGAATCTTTCGGTGGAACAAGTGGGGGACGTGGCCTATGAGGTTCCGAATACGTCTAGATCGCATTGAATTTGGACGCCTATGTCCTGGGATACTTTAAACTGGGGGTGGTACAGTACTATATAGTGGATAACGTCGGCCTGCGCGGCACTGGAACTACAAGGCCGAAAAACGCGGATACTCCGTCATCGAGGGAGGGTGTTTCTCTACAACTTACACAGTCGGCTCTCGAATATTAGAAGACGGAGTCTGTCGAGATCAGTAGTCTAGTCATCTCTTGTCTCGCTGGATTGAGTACACCGAGGTCAATCCCCGCGAAAGCAGCGTTGAGCGTACTCATCCGTGATTTCGGACAATCCAGGATATCCAAGGATGGAACAGGCAATCCACAGCGAGGACCGCGCTCTGCTTCTGACTCAGCCGACCCAGCCGCAGCGGAAGAGCCGGAGGGTTACCGGGAGGCTTCGATGTACCACATTCTCCTAACCCCCTCTCCACCTCTCCACCGTGTCTACCACCATCGACAACAGCAAAAAAGGGACCAGAAGTGACGAAAGAGAGGGCCACTTGACACAAACCCATTGATCCCAATTGCACGATGGAGCCACCAAGTCGCAAGCACACCCGATTTGGGCAATCGGTCGGACCCGTTGAGCCACTGGGGATCGTTGCCTGACTTTCGCCAATCACCGGGGTCTGCAGCTAGTCGAGGTGGGGACCTTTTCGCCCGATGCCGCCAGCCATTCGCCATGTTCGGGTTTAGGGTTCGTTCTCCGCCGGAAGTCATCGCTGGACGGCGTTTTATTCGCGCCGCCATGCGACTATCTCGCCAGATTCACGGGTGTGTCGGTTGGTGCCTGTTCCTCCCTAATCCAGCCACCGGCCCCCGTTGAACCCTGACCCAACGAGAGGTCGGGGGTTCCTGGGGCTGCGGATGGGACGGGCAACTGTCCACTTGGGTTCCTTACCCCATAGAAAGGGTGACAGTTATGGTGGATCGCGGTGGACTCGGCCACTGGCAGACCCGAGCTAAGCGTTTTGCCCAAGAACCTCAATCGCCGCCCGGTTTACCTAACACTTTTCACGCCTCGGTCGTTGCATATTCTGCGCACTTTTTTAAGCTTCGGCTGCTGGGGCGGCCAGGCGCTTTTCGCATTGGCATTGGTAACTGGAGCGGGCATTGGCGAACTCGGGTATCGTTTCACATCTAGCACATGCCTGCAGCCGGAGCCAAGCCGAAACCAGGAGAGCGAGAAACCCCCCCCCCCAGAGATTGACACAGAAATCGCAGAAAATTAGAACGCCCCCTCCCGTGGAGAGTTTAGGTTTCTGATCCTCGGTCGTCTTCGAGGCGGAAACGTTTCGTCCGTCCGGCTTAGACTTCGCTAAAGACTGCCCGAAGGCCCGTTTCACTGATTCCGTCTTCTCTACCCTGCCTTCGTTGGTGACCTCGCTTGTTCGCTAGGCGCATCGGAAAAAGCCGTGGACCAGATCTGCACTACTCGCGAATCTATGATTGCTCGTGAAGATTGCCGTCGATCGCGCGTTTCCTTGCTTGGGTGGACGTGGCTTTTTGCATTCTATGCCATATCCATGCTTGTCATCCCACCATTCGATACGATGAGTCGAAATAACCTGCTGCAATAACACCAAGTTCTTTTTTTGTTTCCTCATATAATTTTCATCTGTTTGGAAAGATTCGGAGCCACCGAATCGTATATATCGTGGGCATTCGACAAATTCGACTTTCGAAGACGGCATCTCTTTCTTTATCATTTCCATCCATCTTGCTCTGACGTTGTCTCACCTGGCCGTGTGACCATGTCAGAGGCTTCCGCAACTCCCCATGGTGAACCAAACACAGCCCAGTCTGCCCCAGCGCAGCAACTGAATCGGTCTTGTGAGTCGTGCAGAAGCCTTAAGGTCCGTTGTCTGCCCAGTCCGTCCACGCCGAATCAGTGCCAGCGATGTGCCAAAGGCAAAAAGGCCTGCATCTTCGTGGCTCCACAGCGTCGTCGACCCCGGAAGCGTACAGATTCCCGGGTCGCTCAGCTGGAGAAGGAAATGCGGATGATGCGCTCCCTACTGAAGGATCGTATTCGGGAGGAGAGTGAACCGGAGTCCCCCGAAGGTAGCGACGGCTCACACGAAAACGACTCTGGCGAGATGGATTTCCACGACCATCTTGGGCCTATCCCAGAATCGGTGGGCAGTGCATCCGACTCGGCGCGGTTCATGGACTATTCGCCTGAATTTATCAACACCACGCATCCTGGGATGCCTGGCGGCGGTCCTCCTCTCGGCCCCGCCTTCTTTCTCTGGCCTGCATATGAACTTCACCTCCGATGACAATAACCCTCCCGTGGAGGATGTCATCGATCAAGGCATCATTTCGCTCGAAGATGCTGAGCAACTGGTGGTATTTTTCATCCACGAACTGGCGTCATTCTTCCCGTTGGTGGTTCTACCGTCCAACACCACCGCAGCCCACCTACGCCAAACGAAGCCAATCCTGTTTCTTTCCGTGATCGCAGCAGCGTCGATCTCAATTGATGCCGGGCTTGCAAGCGTGTTGAATCGGGAGATGGTTCGGCTTTATGCTGAGCGGTTCTTCATCGAGGGCGAGAAGTCACTGGAACTGGTGCAGGCGTTGCTGATCATGATAATTTTCTATTACCCTCCCACTTCGCCCTTGAAATTGCAATTCTATCAGTACACGCACATCGCCTCAACGATGGCGTTGGAGATTGGGCTTGCCACAAAATGCCGGGTGTCGAAAAAGAAGTCCGACCGGAAGAACAGACACGAGGTCCACGATGAGCATTTGGTGGAGCAGGCGAGGGCTGTTCTGGGATGTTACCATCTGGGGTCAACGTAAGTACCTGAAATGATTTGACGTGCAGTAAACAAACGAAGCGCTAACTTGTGTGCCTTTCTAGTGTCGCTATGAAGACTCGCCGACCCAATTTGCTTCAGTTCAATGACTGGATGGCCGAGTGCGTGGATCAATTAGAGCGCTCACCGCACCGAACAGACCAGCACCTGGCCGTGTGGTTCGAGCTGCAACGGATTACCGATGAAGCCATGTCCTCCTTCGGCTTGGACGACACCAGCGCCTCTTCTCCGTTGACCGAATCTCGTGTGCAAGCTGTGTTGCGGTGGTTCGATAAGCGAATGGATGCTTGGAAAAAGAGCACTCCGACCGATATGCTCACAGGTGCGTATAATTCCGTAGCATTACCAGAATTTCATGGGAGAGAACGAAAGCTGACTCTCTCCTGCCTGTCCACAGTGCCTATGATTCTCGAATACCGATCTGCTGTCCTAGCCATGTATGAATTGGGCGTTGGAGAAGGATATCGCGACCCGGATGCGATCAAAAAGCGATATTTCACACTGCCGACTATCGATGAGGACAGCGGTCCCAGGGTGTTGGACCCGCAGATGAGTGCGATCCGCATCGACATCAACGTCAAGTGGATGAATGCGGCACAAGAACTGCTAGACGCAGTACTGACATGCAGCATTGAGACGATGCGGCGCATGCCGAATCTGACATACACACGATTCAGCATGGCGATGACGTCGCTGCTGAAGATTCACTTCTCGGTGCGAACAGGCGCACTCGGTGAGGTGGTCACTCCAGAGACCGTCAACGTCGGCTACTATCTCGATGCGATAGCAAACAAACTCGGCGAGGCGGCGGGTGGCGGCAAATATAAGATCCCAAGTCGGTGGTACCACGTGGTAGGCGTTAAAGGTCGGGACTGGTATGAACGTCTGGAGAGACGGTATACAGGCTCCACGGGGGCCGGCAATCTAGGATCGGGAGTTGTGTCGGAGAGTTCATCGACAGGCACCGAGTCAAATTTACCATCGGGACCGATGTCGGGCGCACCAGAAGCTTCGGCCCACCTCGAGGTCAATGCCCCGGCGGTCGATTCGTTCTCGGTACCACCGGGAGTGGCACATCTTCATCCCGGGATTGAGAGCATGCGGGACGGATATGTAGCTATGAGCGGCGCCGGTATGTGGCAGATGGACGGGGGTCACAGCCACGGCCATGGCCACGGCCAATTCTTCCAGCCCATGCCCAGCGGATATCAACCCTCGCACCCACAATCGACCGCGCTCCCTCACCAGTTCGCGTATGATCCGCAGCGTATGCCCTCACAGAGCGGGGCGCCTATGCCGGGGACAGGCATGGAGCTGGATGGCTGGCTTCCAGACGGCAGTATCTTTGGCATGCCTCCACTGCCCGAATTCTGACGGTCGGGCTTCAGTTGTACCTCTGCGCTGCATAGGAAGTCCACATCAGCCTAGCTACTAGCCACAAATACACACAACACTACTCCCCAACGACAGGAGCGACAGGGACCCTCCATCGCAAAGAACATACTCAAAATGAAACACACACATTCCCACTCACCTCAGCTCTATTCCACCTCCGTGAAGAAACAGTCTTCTCCCAAACGTAGCGTTGGGGTGATGCGCACATCTCCAAAGAATCTTAACCTGCCGTATAGGGAAAGAGGAAGTATACCCAGTCCCATACATAGATCGCAAAAGCACGGAACACCCCCAACCAACAAAGTCACCGAAAAAAGATAAGAAAAAGAACCCAGAAGAAAAAAAAAAAAAAAAACAAAGGAAAGAAAGAAAAAGTAGCCCTCAACTAAAGCCCACCAGAGAATCGGCGCACCCGCAATCAAATATAATCTCTGTTGACCCGAAAAAAAGGGCAGCGCAAAACCCATCCATCCCGAAGTACCGTTTACCCTCCGGTCGCAGGCATCCGTCGCATGCGCCGGGCCCTCGGAGCGTCGGGCGACACGGAAGTTCCGCTACATGCGCGCGCGCGGTCGGGACGATCGTCGCGTCCGACGAGGGATGAGGGTCCTGATCAGGCTAAAATGGGCCGGCACTTGCTGGAGCATTTGGGCGATGGCGCAATTGCAATGTATAACAGATTACTGGATTCTTTCCGGTGGGGGGGGGGACGGGGGTTCCTATTTTTCCGAGTGCTAGGAGGGATTTTTTTGGGTTGGGATGGCATTGGTTATACAGTTGGGAGGGCTTTGTGGGCGGAATCTTTTGCACGAGTTTGTTTGTTGGGGCGAGGCGCCGGACGGGTCGTATCGAGTCGTATAGGGCGATGCTCAGCAGGGATTACTTGATAGAAATAGTGGGTGTGGACAGGGGGGGGAGTGTGTTTAGGATCGCCCTTCTGGGTAAGTATAGCAAAGGAAAGGCCTAATAGGGCCCGGAGAGACGGGAGTTATGTATAAGGTTCGGTGTGGCTATGGAATGACAGGGGAGGGATCGGGGAATAATCGATTAATCTCGGGAAGAATGTGAATTATGGAGTCTTGTACAATGTTCATTTGCTCTCGTGCCATTCGTTAATCGTTAGGTCGTGCGGATAGGATGCCAGTATAGGAAGCAGGGCCCGGCGGGGAATTACGCCGGATGAGATAGCAGTACAGGACGCTTGTAGAGGAAAAGAAAACACAACCCGGAAGATGCTCCGTCTATGAGCATAGACGTAGAAGAAAACACTCACAAAAAGAAGAAAAAGGAAAAGAGAGAGAAATAATCAAAGTGAAGCTCATAGGACGGAGAAAGCCTCGAGGGCATCCATGAAGCCGGCGATGGCGCCGATACCCGCGATTCCCCGAGTCGCATCGCGCTTCAACGCTTTGTGTCGTTCCTTAGCCTCTTCACGGGAAGATCGCCGGTGAGAATGGGTCGGAGATCTTTGGGCTGACCGAGGAGGCGATGGCCGAAAGTTGGACTCGGGGAATGAGGTGGAAAGTGGGTACGCCGACGCGCGGGGCCGCGGTTGAAGGAGATGGTTGTTATAGTTCGGCGGCCGGGCCCATCCTGTCTCGAACGGACTCGGGGGTGTGCTCCGTGGTGACGGTATGGACATCGCTGGAGGCACATTGGACTGACTCCCCGGAATGGAGCGTGGAGCTGTATTGGTATAGATATCTCCGGAGTGGTGGCGATAGTGATGCTTGGGAGGCCCGGGTAAATGAGGTGGTAAAGGCTGGGACGGAGATGAAGGTGGCTGTGACCGGGGTATACTCGTGGCTGCTGGTTGAAAGCTGCCACTTGGGTATGCGGTGGGTCGGCCGTCGGATGTTTGGCTAGATGGATATCTGGAAGAGATGCTGCTGGAGTGGGCCCGGCCACCATCGTTGATCGTGACGGTTTTTGGAGGCGGCCGTGAACTGGTTCGTTGTTCATCTTCATCACCTGAGTCGGTTATTCGCGGATCCTTTGGTCGGGGTTCTCGACGTCGCGAAGATCCGTTGGTCTCATCATCGCTTTCCACACGTGCTTGATAGCCCGAGTACTGGCGCCGTAACTCGGCAGCCTGCCTGCGAGCTTCCTGCGAGTGAGGTTTGCGCCAGTCTTCCGTGCTTCCCTCAAGGTAGTAGCCCCGGCTGTTGTGGCCCTCCCAATCGAGATCTTCGGCATCATCCTCACAGTCAGAAGAGACACAGACTTGAGGTGGGGCTGATTGACTGATACCCCGAGCCCCCGATTTCACATATATCTTGGAAGCGTCCAGTGACGGTACCCACATCAACAAGAGATGGTTCATAGCGCTCTCAGACAGGTGAACCATGTCTTTCGGAGAACGCTCAAGATCACTGAGACCAACATCACAATCTCCAAAAGTGACCGGATGCGGTTTCGTCAAGTCTGACCCCTTGGTCGCGGCGATTAAAGGTTTCACCGCTGCTGCCGTGTTGGTAAAATAGGTTGAATGAATTCTCTGGTTGGTCTGGTCGTTTGCCGCCTCCAAGGCCTCCTGTTCCACACAATCCCAAAGGCGATCAAGACGCTTCACCGACCAGTATCGAACAATGATCATGTTCTGAGTTTCGGCTTTCTCTTGAGCAACGGTATCGTCCGATGACAACTCCAACGGGCCTACACTCGTGTTGTCGGTGCCGCTTTGTATCAGATTTCCGAGCTGTAGAATCCGGACCACTACAATCAAACTGAGCTTAAGCGACTCGAGCTGGGCCAACAGAAACGTGACGTGTTGTTTTCGAAAACACCATTTCAGCCGTTCCTGCAGAGGAATCCTCCTCAACTCGTCATCGGTATCGGTACCTTGTAGCTTGTCCAACATATGCTCGATATCAACAAAGATCATCTGGCCTTGACTCGCGATCTCCCACGCCTTTTCCATCGCCTCAGATGAGTATTCGATCTCTGTCTTCTCGAGAGTCTGTCCAAGGTGCTTGAGGGTCAGCGCAAAGAGCGAGATGCCCTTTGCGATACTGTGTATTTCTAGTCGGGACTGTGCGAGTTGACAAGCGGCCGCGTTCAGGAGCAGGGACAGCCGGAACCCCGCTCCCGCGATGCGGATGATCGAAGTCTCGGAGCCTGGCAAGGAGAGTTCCTTCATCAGTAATCTGGTCATAACCGCCTCGCCAGCAGCGGAAGAGGTGGCCGGATCGATACCTTGCGCCATGATCATGACGAGCCGCTCTGGGGTTGTATATCTACCGGTAACAGCGCAATAGATGTCTCAGGTCAGGTGAGGTTGGCGGAAGGGAGAGCGGAAGCGTCGACGGACATGACGATGCAAGAGGTCCGGGATGTTGTGGGAGACTGTAAGTTGCCACGGCCCACACACATTAATGTATTGTCGGCCTATGGGACCCCGGCTTACTACCCCTCTCAGAGCCGCAAGTGTTCTGCATATCAAATGACTCTTACGTCTGTCAGCGTCCGAGCCCTCGTTTCGGCTCATGACGCCATGGCTGGAACCCTGGAAGGGCTCTCTTTGGCCTGAGAAGTGGTCAAAGAAGCCGATCCGAAGTGTATCCAGCGCTAGTGCGGGTAAGGCCATCAGCTTCCCCGAGGATGTCAAAACCCGGGCGCATCAACAAAGTACGCGGTCTCTGCACTGCCTCGAAAAGCAGGGAAATCACCCGGGCTCATTGTGAACTATGATCAGCATGACGTTCCGTTTGGCAGGCTCGTATTTGGCCCTGCGCCTTTATCAGAGCCGTCTTACCCACTATCTGCGAAGGAAGGTGCAATAGGCAGTGGCTGGGAGGATATCGTAGCTCTGCTCGGCATGAGATTGGAATAGACGTCCATGAATCGAAGAATACGATCGCATCCTCATGGGAGGAAAGAAAGCCAGACCGGACAGCGGGCGGAGTCAACTCCTGGTACTGGTGCTGGGATCAGCAGGCAGACAGACACAGCATCCGCCCGTGAAACCAGGTCTCGATTCATATTCAAGGGATGTCGGGAGTGTCTTGGATAATAATCAAATTGGTCCTGAATATGAAGTCCGATTGTGGTATTGGAGTATGCTGGGATGAGGTTGTCCTGCTGTGCTGTTTGCAATCGGGCCTCTGCTTTGTAGGAAGATGGCTTGTTTGTAGCAACTGGACATTCTCCCGCAGCCACACACTTCCGCTTCCGGCACCTGATCGGTGCTGGAGGTGTTGTGATTTCCAACGCCTCGCACGCCTGGTCTTTTGATAATTTTGTTCTGACTTGTGTGTTTTGTCGAATATTGATTCTTCCTGGTCTGTTTCCCCGTACTTGACGTGCTGCCGTATATGTTCTTGGAGTGGTTGGGCGTGGTCCGCCAGCTCTTCCCCGCCGCATTCTCCGCCCCTCTTGACCTCCTTTTGCCGCGTGGCTGCCTCCGATCGTCACTTCTGATTTCCCCAGTCCGATGACCATCACTGGATCCTTCCACCAGCGGACAATCGCAGAGATCGAAATACCATCTGCGCCGCAGGAGACCCAGTCTGAATTGCGTGAATGGGTGAGCCGGTGAAGTTCATCGAGGCCGGAACGTGCAAAGGTCCCCCAGAGATCGGGATCTTGAAGCACCCTTGAGCTCGCAAGGACCTCCAGTCCATGTGAAATAATGTCCGCTGCAATTGACACCGTCGGCGGTACCTCCGATCAATCTGCGCCTCCAAGTTCCCGATCAACTACGCCGCAGCTGTCGGCCACCGGCACTTCCTCTGAAGATGACACCGGCAATAGAAAGGAGAATATAAAGCCCCAAGAAGGGGCTGGGGCTGAGCTGAAGATAGAATCACGAGGACACGAAGGGCAAGAAACATCACAAGTGGTGGATGATTTTGGGCTTCCTATTCGAATGCGCTCACCACCGAGACGGCTGCCTGACGGTTCCTCCGACGAGACCGACCATGCCCCCGAAGTCGAAGAAGCTGCGTCGGGATCTGCCAATACCACTACACCCCCACCGGTCAATCCACAATCGAAGCACGAGACTCTGCAAAATAGTGATTCAGGGAATCAACCGAAGCAGGCGACCGGACCCGACGTGGAAACCCCACAGGAGACGGCGAGGGAGGGCGGCGAGCATTCAACAGACAAAAGGCTTGAACCCGGTGCGCCTGATAGTGCAGCATCAGAGAACACCCACGGTGCCACCACAGAGCCCCCCACCCCCATATCGTCCGTCTAAATCGAAAGGCAACAATACGGAAATTTCAGAATGGTCGCACCAACATTTGGCTCAACCTCGTCATGTGGATGAGGACGAAGAAGAAGAAGAGGAGGAACCAGAAGATTGGAAGGCAATGCCTGCCCTTGGGGAAATGGACTACTACGATGACTATGGACGGTTAATTGCTCGAGGTCTCAAAGAAGAGGACGACGAAGCTGTATACAGTGGACTGGGTGGTGCAGGCAAAGGCTATACTCGGGTGCAGCTCGATGAAGACGCCCAATCTGCGACCAGCATGGACGAGGACACTAGCTACCTTTTCCAGGAGACAACAGGAAATTCGGCTGGGTTGGTTGGCGAAGAGCTTCGCGATACGGTCAGTCAACTTCAAGCCACAAAGGACCTTCTCAATGAGACACAAAAGATTGCCTACGTAGGCGTGGTCCGTCTCGCAATTTTTGAGATGAACCAGGAACTCGCCAAAGTACCCACCAACAGGTCGACCCGCAAAGTCATCTTGAAGGCGCAAGACTCCATGAGAAAATGGGGCCAGGCAATGATGGGCCGGATCTATATGCACATGGAAATTGATGCAGCCGAACAAATTATGATCGAGCAACTTGCTGAACACGGTGTCCAGCCGGGAGATCTTGTGCGGCCGCTCATGCAAAATGCGCGTGTGAAGAATCCCATGGCAGAAGGCGAGCCAAAAACTTCGACCTCCTCCGTCTCATCTCCGACTGTGGAAAGTGCATCTCGGTCCAGAATATCTGCCGAGACCGAGATCTCCGAGCTTGGGTCCCCCCCACCGTATGATACCCATGAAGGGGAAGAGGTGGTTCCGGAAGTCCAGACCCCCTCTCAATTGCCCACGTCGGCTAAAATCGACATTGACCTTCGATGGACAGTTCTGTGTGATCTGTTTCTTGTGCTCATTGCAGACTCTGCGTATGATGCTCGGTCGCGAACATTGTTGGAAAGAGTTGGTGCGGCCATGGACGTAACATGGCTGCAGATCTCTCGATTTGAGAAGCGCGTGACAGATGCCCTTGAAATGCAAGAGCAGGCAGAAAAAGAAACCTGGGACGAATCAGAACATATGGAAAATCGCCGCCAAATGTCTTTGAAACGTAAATATATGATCATGGGTCTCGCCACGGTTGGTGGAGGACTGGTCATCGGTCTATCTGCTGGGCTGTTGGCTCCCGTTATCGGAGCTGGCCTTGCTGCTGGATTTACGACAGTCGGCATATCCGGGACTAGTGCCTTCTTAGGAGGTGTTGGAGGTACAGCTCTAATTGCTTCCGGTGCAACGATGACTGGAAGTGCCATTGGGCTAAAAGCATCACATCGACGCACTGGCGCGGTCCAGACATTTGAATACCGCCCTCTACACAACAATAAGAAGGTCAACTTGATTGTGACCGTGTCAGGTTGGATGACGGGCAAGGTTGATGATGTTCGTTTACCATACAGTACTGTGGACCCAATTATGGGCGATATTTACTCTGTCTTGTGGGAGCCTGAGATGCTGCGCAGTATGGGTGACACCATCAACATTCTTGCGACCGAAGTAGGTTCTATTCAACATTCGACACCCTTCTTCATTTAGTGCTAACAAAATTCCCAATCTAGGCATTGACCCAAGGGTTGCAGCAAGTACTGGGTAGCACCGTTTTGATGGCTTTGATGGCATCTCTACAATTGCCTCTTGTCCTCACCAAGCTTTCCTACCTGATTGACAATCCCTGGACCGTCTCATTGGCTCGTGCCAACGCCGCAGGTTTAGTCATGGCAGATTCCCTTCGGGATCGGAACCTTGGGAATCGACCTATAACATTACTGGGGTTCTCTCTGGGAGCACGGGTCATCTTCTCCTGCCTTAAAGAGCTGGCCGATAAGGGTGCACATGGTTTGATCCAGAATGTGTATCTGTTTGGCTCGCCTATTGTGGCTAGCAAGGATGAATATATGAAAGCTCGGAGTGTTGTCTCAGGCCGGTTCGTCAACGGCTATGCCACCAATGACTGGATTCTGGGATACCTCTTCCGTGCCACAAGCGGTGGTATTATGAGAGTCTCCGGCCTTGCGCCTATCGAAGGAATCCCAGGCCTGGAGAATTTCGATCTCACTCAGACTGTCAATGGCCATATGGCCTACCGCTCTGCTATGCCTCGTATTCTGAGAGAGGTTGGTTGGGAAGTCCTGGAAGATGAATTCGCTGAGATTGAAGACCCGGATCCTGACGATCATGCCGAACGACAAAGAGAGCTGATTCGTGAAATCGACGATGCTCGCCGCGAGGCCGAGTTGAAGCCGGAGAAGAAACGATTCGGGCTTTTCAAGCGAGGAAAGATGGCCGAGAAAAAATCCTGGGAAACATATGATGTTGACCGTAACTCTCCCTCGCGTGACTTGACGGAATCTTCCAGCGCACCAGGCTCTGTGCTCTTCGACATCGAGGCCATCCGCGCCGAGCTGGCATCGGAGGCAATCGAAGTTAAACAGCTTGAATCGACTCTGCCTCCCATGAAGTTGAATTTAAATGCCCCGTCCGATCCAGCATCCTTCCAGTCCGCGACTCCTGTTGAGAAGCCTTCCAAATCTCCAGAGACACCCTCAGTCCCTCGCACAGTATCGGAGCCCGAACTCAGCACCATTCATCACTCTTCCCAGGGTCGGAATGATCCAGCTCCTGCGGCTCATAAGGACGAAGAGATTGAAATGACTTTTGATACCTCGTTCCACAAGACCACACAATTTCATTCTGAGCCACCTTCTCGGCCCGAATTGCACTCATCTTCTACTATGCCCACAGGCATCGGCGCCAGCGCCATCGGAGCTATGGCCATGGAACATAACGCCTGGGCTGACCATGATCATGATTTGGGGCATGGAGACGGTGAAATCTCTATGACCTTCGAATAAAAAGGAGATGTCACCCTTTTTCTTCACCGCCATCTCGATTTTCTTGACTTCATACGGAATTCCAGTTTCATAGCTTTCTCCTGGGATTTCGAACGATGCATTGCTTTGCCGGGCGTACGGACGAGATATTTATGTATATGATTTAGCTTACTGCCCTGTATAGAGTGGCAGTCAATGAAATAATTCCTCATAATCAATTGGAAATAAATGTAGGATCTTGGACGATGTATAGTCAAAATCCCGAGTTTCAGCTGTGGGGCTGCTGGCCCTTTATTCGCGTGTCACGCGCATTCCCCTCACGCATCACCTTTCCCTTTTCTGTTCGCAATTCGGAATCAACTCGGCCACCTTCTCGTGAACGGTCTGAATTCCTTGCCTTTCGTCTCAAATTGGCGTTAATTGTATACCAGCACTTGATCGCGTAAGCGACGCGACCCTTCCTCTGGTCTCCTATCGACACGCGTACCACGGAACCTCCCCTCCCCCATCCTATCGAGTCCAAACCCTGCGGCTGGTACTATGCGGCCTCAACCCAAGCCAGATTCAAGCTTTGCGTCAAATCGACTGACACGAACCAACCGACCGAAGAGACATTTATTATCGACCTTCAATCGACCTCAAAGCGAGATTGACACGGAAACCAAGACCGAGCCGAAACGCGAGACATCCGGACCAGTACTAAACGCTGTGATTTTATCGGATGATGACGACGATGAGCTCCTCAGCTCCCACCATTCCAGCGAATTTGAAGACGGCCTTGAATCAGATAACCTGCCCGGGCGTGATGCGAATGAACCAGCGACGGACGCGGAGCCACTCAGTTCCACCGACGATGACATGAGCGACAGCGACAGCGGTCCATCAAAGTCAATCGAAAGAATCCAGTCTAGATCACTGGGAGAAAAGCTCGCCGGTGGAGACACGCACATATCCTCACCGTCGCCATGGAGTGGAGGGGTGACAAGGACATTGAGCAGCTTTATCGATGATGACGACGGTGATGAGATATTCCCTTCCTGGTCATCCTCACAGAGTGTGAAGAGACTCAAGAAAAACACATATCGATCGTCGACATCTCTGTCAAGAGTACCAAGCTACAGCGCCCGGTCCACTTTGACACCTGAGAAACGATCTCAGAAGACGAAGTCAGGCCCGCCGAAATCAAAGAGAAACCCATCCGATTCAGAATCGGAAGCAGAGACTAGCTTCAAAGTTCCTATGGATATTGACGCTCCGACCTCGAAAACCACTTTACCTGCGAAGATCACCCAGAATGCATCCGCAGGTTTTAAAGTCCCGCGGACATTCCCCCATGGTTCTACTTCTAGCTCTTCTCTCGGTACTCTGTCATCGAAGGAGCTGCAGGCTGCCGTGGATGCCGACAACTCACCTCTGTCCCCACTCAGCTCACTACCGAGCTCCCCATCGGTCGAACCCGGAGAGCCACGCAAAGCACTGTGTCCGATGTGTAAGCTAGAGGTTGACCCTGAACTCCTGATGCGCTTTGAGGCCCAACCAAGGCGGCGTGTCCGTGATCAACAGCAGTTTTGTGCATCTCACCAGCAAGATACGGCTGAAAAGGAATGGGAGGCGCAAGGGTACCCGGACATTGACTGGGACACGTTTGATGAACGTGTCCAAAAATACTTCCCAATCCTCGAGAAACATCTTGTCCCTGACTGTTCATCCTATTACCGTAATATCCTCGATACTTCGCTAAAAAGCGGGAAAGCTCAGAATTTTCGTCTGACCCTGGCTGGCGATGGTCTAGAGATGATCTCCTGCGGATATTACGGGACTAAAGGTGCGGGGAAAATGTAGGAAACCCTTTCCCCTTATCCCTCATACACAGATCCGAATGCTGATACCGCGGCTCCATTTCAGGTTACAAGCTGTCACTGATCGATTCTCCTTGAGATTACGCCGCCTGGCTACATCCGACCATATCGTCAAGACGGCCGGGGTTGTTGGCTACGCGCAATCAGTCCTTGTCCCCGAGCTCGCGGTGTGCCTTGTCAAGGAGGACATGGGTGTGAGCGAGGAGACGGCGCGCCAGATTCTCCGTGAGAGTATTTCACTGGGCGAGAAGCTTCATCCCGCTGTTGATGATGTGGTGCCGATCCCAGACAATGTCGACGAAACCCTGCCCGAAGAGTAGCGTTCTAGTCTCCTGCTCGGGATGGGTTGGGTTAGATATTGTTCTTTTCGTTTTTTGGGGAGAACGAAAAGAACTCGGGGAATTGTTTGTTTTTCTCTTTTTTTTTTTTGCTTCTGCCGTTTGGCCGTTTATCATAGCGAGTGTATATATTAGCTGTTGTGATACCTACCTAGTTCATGTATACTGTTACTGACGCGGGGCTTGCGAAGGACATCCTTCACAAGCAATGAAGCACATCTCGATGCGCAATCGCTTAAATTCCGGCTTCCATTTTCTATCTGGAATCTTAGAAATCAGAATGTAACCCAGCACGGTCCCGACTAGTACCGTCGCATAGATCGACTGAGCGGAATCGTGGAGGGGCTCGCCCGAAGAGGCAGGTGGGTAACTAAGAACTAGTGCGCGTTCCGACGAGATAAGTGAATCCCGGGGCGGGTCTATAGGTCCTTAGTCAGCCGATAACGCGATAAAGTGCGGAGAAGAGTTGACGAGCTGCTCTTGATTCCCTTCGTCATCCCGAGAAGATGAGGGAAAAAGAGATGCCCTACTCTGAGACGACGCCTCTGCTCGAGGTTTCGGTGGCCCCGCGGCGGCCACGTTACCCGCATCATGCTCTCCGCCGTACATGTACATACCTGTTGGGCTCGCTGCTCATCATTGTCGTCATTCTGTTTTTAATCCCTTCGGCCATCCTACCGCGAGAGCACAGTTCCATATGGTGCTATCTGCCATGGGCTCGGCCATTCCCTCACGCGGCCTGGCCCCAAGGAAATGGGCTACCGTACGATCAGCTCCAGCAAGTCCTCGTCAATACTCCTTCTGCAGAGAACGTGCGCGCTTGGAGCCAGTACTATACTGCTGGTCCGCACTTGGCAGGCAAGAACCTGAGCCAGGCGCTCTGGACCATGGAACAGTGGAAGAAGTTCGGAGTGGAGGATACATCCCTTGCGTCCTACGATATCTATCTGAATTACCCACTGGAACACCGACTGGCCCTCCTCAAGAAGTCTGGCGATGAGACTGAGGTGACCTTCGAGGCCACCCTCGAGGAGGATGTGCTGGAGGAAGATCCCACATCGTCCTTGCCCGACCGAGTCCCGGTATTCCATGGGTACTCGGCGAGCGGCAATGTGACCGCCCAGTTTGTGTATGCCAACTATGGAACGTACGCAGACTTTGAGGACTTACTGAACGCCAACGTCACCTTGGAGGGCAGGATCGCCTTGGTCAAGTATGGTCGCATTTTCCGTGGCCTCAAAGTGAAGCGCGCTCAGGAACTTGGAATGGTCGGGGTGGTCATCTATAGTGATCCTCAAGATGACGGGGAATACACGGAAGAGAACGGCTATGCAGCATATCCTGACGGGCCAGCACGCAACCCGAGTTCTATCCAGAGAGGGAGCGCTCAGTTCCTCAGTGTGTATATCAATATCGCCATGTTCTCGGACTTGACTGATTCTGTTTCTAGGTATCGCTCCTGGTGACCCTACCACCCCCGGATACCCGTCCAAGCCTGGCTGCGAGCGACAGGATCCCCACAATTCGATCCCCTCCATTCCCTCTCTTCCAGTGTCTTATCAAGAGGCTCTGCCCTTCCTCAAGGCTCTGAATGGTCATGGTCCCAAAGCCTCAGATTTCAACAAATGGTGGCAGGGTGGTGGCCTTTATTACAAGGGCGTCGAGTACAACATTGGACCATCGCCCGAGGATGTGGTCATCAACCTTCATAACCTTCAGGAGTATGTGACTACTCCACTGTGGAATGTTATCGGTGTCATCAAAGGGACTATTCCGGACGAGGTCGTCATCCTCGGTAATCATCGCGATGCATGGGTTGCCGGTGGTGCCGGAGACCCTAACAGCGGCTCAGCCGCCCTTAACGAGGTCATTCGCAGCTTTGGCGAGGCCTCCAAGGCTGGATGGAAGCCTCTTCGCACAATCGTCTTCGCCAGCTGGGACGGTGAGGAGTATGGCCTATTGGGCTCTACCGAATGGGTCGAGGAGAACCTTCCCTGGTTATCGAGGGCTAATGTCGCCTATTTGAATGTGGATGTGGCTGCTACTGGAACTTCATTCGAACCTCGCGCCGCTCCTCTACTGAACAACGTGATACACGAGGTCACGGGCCTTGTGCTGCACCCTAACCAAACTGTCCCAGGCCAGACAGTTCGGGATGTCTGGGATGGTCGGATTGCCACAATGGGTAGTGGCAGTGATTTCACTGCCTTCCAAGACTTCGCTGGTATCGCCAGCCTCGATTTTGGGTTCGGTCCAGGGAAGAACGACCCAGTTTATCACTACCACTCCAACTACGACAGCTTCGCGTGGATGGAAAAATTCGGCGACCGGGACTGGTCGTATCACGTTGCATGCACGAAGCTCTGGGCCCTGGCGGCTGCCCGGCTCGTTGAATCACCCGTGATTGCATTCAGTGCTGCCGATTATGCAGCGGGGCTGGACTCGTATCTGCAGCAAGTCAAACCCTCCACAGCAAAACTTCCGAAGGACCAGCACTTTAACTTTGATCATCTGGACCGGGCGATTGTGGACTTCCATGAGGCCGCGGCCAAGTTTGATGCCTATGCAAATAGCTTGAGCAAGAAACTGGATGAACATGTCCCCTGGTACCACTGGTGGAAGAAGGTCCGACTGTACTTCCAGATCCGCGTTGTCAACGACAAATACAAGGGTCTCGAGCGTGCATTCCTCTACGAGGCTGGTCTTGACGGACGAGACTGGTACAAACATGTCGTGTTCGCACCGGGTATTTGGACTGGATACTCTGGGGCTACTTACCCCGGACTGGTGGAGAGCCTGGACGCTGGTGATGTGGAGAATGCCAAGGTGAGTTGACAATCCTCTTTGGATGTGATAATCTTTTATTAGCATCCTGCTTCTTTCATGATTAATGTTTTGGGGGTCTCCTCCCTTTCTTTGGCTTGTTCTTGTGGTGCTAACTTATCCTCTTTTCTCTCTCTTAAGAAATGGAGTCATATTATCCAGGAACGGATTGGCGCCGCAACGAAACTGTTGTCATAGTTCGGCGGGATTCGACTATCGGAAGATCCACCTGGGCCGCTTCTATTGGATGGTGGGTCACTAGTGAAGAGGAAAGGGCGCCCAACAGAATGAACTACGATTGGACATAATGCAACGGTATGTCGGCTGACAGTGGTGGCCCGGTCGCGGCGGGGCCTGCACGAGTTTTCTTCCCTCAAATTCAGTCTATAAAACTCGGATTTAGATGGTATATAGCGCCTCCTCTCTCTCTCTATCTCAGCCAACATATAGTCTATTATCTCTATGAGGCGTTACGCCAGTGTTCTACAATATCCGCTGGCCGATGTAGAGTAGTTCTTCTGAAGTTCCAACAGAGATCGTGACCGGCGTTTCGCTTTAGCAATCACGTCCCTCGCGGCGGTTGGGGCACCCAAAAGTGGATCGTTGGCCAAATTGGTCCAACATACACCGTATTATTCGCCATAGTATTAGTAGTCATATTGGTAGAGCCCCGTCGATGCGACGCATCTAGCGCTGATCTCCGGATGCTCGATTCGACCGGCTTTTGTTTCTTTCGCGTTCTTTGCTTTCTCTCTCTTCCCCGTATATGTTGCATTTCACCACTTCGCTCGACGCGGTTTCAAAAAAATAAAAAATAAAAAATAAAATAGAATGCAGAAACCCAAGCTGCCTGTGCAGCAGCTCATAATCCTGTGTAAGTCCAGCTCGAGATTAGGTTTTTTTTTTTTTCTGTCGCGTTAGGAGTCAGACTGACTGGATTAGCAATATGTCGCTTCGCCGAACCCCGTAGGTGTCATCGCCGCCCTATAACATTGTGATAGGATCACAGTTGTCCAAGCAGACCAGCTAATAAAACTCTGCAGTCGTCTTCACATCGATTCTGCCCTACCTGGTAAGTAAAGCCTGTCAACACATTCCCCATCACCGCCCAGCGTGGACTCGGCCATCTCGCCGACCTCATGGCCTCCCCTTACACAGACCACCGCTATTTCCATATTTCCTTTGTTTCAGACAAGATACTATCACAGTCTGAGATGAGATGAATCCCACTAACTCGAGTTCCAGCCTGAACTAATCGAATATGTTGGGGTCCCTAAAACCGAGGTCGCCAAATGGGCCGGCATCACCTCCGCGGTCGCATCGATCTGCCAAGCCATTATGGCCGTCCCTTGGGGAACACTATCCGACTATATTGGCCGAAAACCAGTCATCCTGTCTGGCCAGGTCTGCACTATGGTGCTCACAGTCATGATGGGTATGTCGCAAACACTGTCTATGGTGCTCGTGACGCGCGCCATGATCGGCCTGATGAACGGCAACGTCGGCATTATCCGCACCATGGTCGCGGAGATCGTTCCAGAGCGCGAGCTGCAGCCGCGTGCGTTCAGCATCATGCCTCTTGTCTGGACCATCGGCAGCATCTTCGGCCCAGCCATTGGCGGTGCACTGGCCAGACCCGCGGAGAAGTATCCGTACCTGTTTGGCGGCTCCGAGTTTCTGCGGCGGTTTCCGTTCGCCTTGCCGAACCTGTTCTCTGCCTGTTTCTTCATCTTCGGGATCGGCTTTGGCTTCCTGTTCCTGAAGGAGACCCTAGACTCCAAGAAAGAGCGGTATGATCCTGGCCTGGTGTTGGGGAAGGCTCTAACCGCCTCGTGCGCGTCAAGCCGGAAGCGAAAGGCGGAGTGGAAAGGCTCTGATGAAGAAACCACCCTGCTCCCCGCCGAGACAAGGTCGCGGAAAAAGAGACAAAAGCCTGGCAAACGGCCTACATGGTCTCAAATCTTCACCCCGCAGTCTAACCTCGTGCTGTTATCCTACACTCTACTCTCGGGGCTCGGAATGGCCTTTGACTCGGTCTTCCCCGTATTTCTGCACTATCCGGAGCAACAGCTTCATGATAATCCCGACGTGCAGCTTCCGTTCAAGTTTGCTGGTGGATTTGGCATTGGTAAGTCATCCCGTTTATCCTTGCCCTTCCACTGTGCTGGTCTACAGACTCTGCAGAAACTAATCACCACGAACCAGACTCCCAAAAAATTGGTGTTTTTTATACTATCATCGGCGTGATCGGTATGGTCATCCAGTTCTACTGCTTTCCACCTATTGCAAAGCGCTACGGCACCTTGGCCTGCTACAAGGCCTCCGCCATTCTCATGCCCATCATTTTCTTCATCACACCATTCATCGCCCTAGTCCCGGAGGCACTGCGCATCCCGGCAGTCCTAATCATCATGCTGGCAAAGCTCGGCGCCACGGTCTTCGGCGTCCCATGCTGCACAATTCTGCTCGCCAACTCAGCATCAAGCCTGGACGTTCTCGGTACCTTGAACGGAGTCAGCACGAGTGTGAGTGCCCTGGGTCGTGCTGCAGGACCTGCTTTGATCGGCGCTGCATTTTCGTTCGGGGTTAAGAAAGGGTATGTCATCATTCCGTGGTGGCTGCTAGGCGTCCTGGGATTCGGTAGTGTGGTGCCTTCGTTCTGGATTGTCGAGCAAGAAGGCCCCTACCGTAAGCAAGAGGGAGAGGAGGAAGAAAACGAAGATGAGGCAGAGGGAGAGGAAGAAGAGGCATTGCTGGAGGGGTCTCGGGTCAATGGATATGGCGCTATTGATGCGGCAAGGGATTCTGGGGCAAAATAATATGGTGTCGCCATGAGTGAGTTTACAGCATTTCCGGAGTTACGATCAGCATGCATTGAAGACTGATACCACGGATGGCTATGACATTTGATATTTTTTGTGTTTTTTTCTGAATGTGGCTTCTGAAGAATTTGATAGTGATGAATGTTCATAGTTTTGGCTAAAGAAGAATCCATTGACGTGATTGCATTTGAGATTGAAAAGAAATGAAAAATTTTGAGGGAACCTAGAGAACCTAAACCAAGATGTTGTCAATAGACACCTATTTTACCTTTCAGGCACAAAAGGAACAATATAGCGCCTTGTTGTCGATCTCTTTCACTGCACCTCATTGGTTTGCTTAAAGTCAAGAATAATTAACAAAAGTAGAATTTGACCATTCAAGAACAGAAATTACATTCAACATTGATTGTTGATTGTCATCAGTCGGAAAAGGCTTCCTCGGGGTGTATACTGGTTAGTGGCTAACTTTACTCTATGGCCGGACAACGGTTTTTAATGATGAATGCTGGCATAATTTCTAGTCCAACCTTGCTTCTGTTTGGTCATTAAAAAAGAACCGAGATATTTGAATTCAAATAAGGTATTGTGGCTGGGATGAATTCATCATTGCTCAAGTCTTACCTTAAACGAAGACGGTAAAGCGTTGTGGAAGAATTACCTTTCAGCATAGAAGTATAGCGAGCAAAATGACCATATGATTTGTATATTCAACCAATCGCTTTGTAGAGCTCAATTTCAATCTTAGTCCATAAATCAAGAACTTTGGCGTCTGCGAATGGTAGTATCTGTGTGCATACAATGCCTGCAATCCCCTTTCCTCTGTCACACCACCACCATAAATTGGCTAACCCCGCCCAATGCACTGTCTCGGCCGATCGACCGGTTGCATTGCTGTCCTGAGCATGAATGAAAGCCCCCATCCCTGAGGAGAATTATTTGGGACTGGATAAAGCTCTGGAATCTGATTTGTGAGATCTGGCTTAGAAGCCGGCATGCTCTGGCGCCCAAAGTCTGGAAACTGAGGTATTTTGGTTGCGGAACATCTCTTGTACAGTCTCTTCACGCAATATCTGCGCTCCAGTCCGTGGACAGGTGCCATCATTGAGGAGCACAGCTAGAATTCCTGATCATACGTTTGAAGAGTCAGTGAAAGTTGTTTGTTTCGCCGTGTTGAAGAACCTAGGTGGCCTTATCCACTCACTACAATATTCTTGGGGCTTTGCAAACATCCCAGCACCCCCACTATTGAATAGCTTCCCCGCTTCATCTTCATCATTTGGATCTAGAACCAGGGGAGCTCGAAGAAGGTGGTCCCTCGGTTTCAATTTACCATCAATTTCTCTGCTGTGCATGTGTGCGAGCTCCCCACGCATCTCGGCATCCGGTACCATAGACATATTTTCCAACCCCAAAGGATCGAATATAAGCTGCTTAAGGTATTCGTTCAACTTGAACCCTGTCACGCGCTCCACAGCTAAGCCTGCCCAGTCAAGACTGACCTTGGAATAGTTCAGTCTCTTTTCACTCGATGCTCATAGATATCATTGAATCGATGAAGAAACTTAGAAAACTTACCCCATATTCCCACCCTTCTCCTGGTTGGAATAGAAGCGGCGTTTGTATATCTTCGAACCTTCCCGAAAACTCGTCAATTGCCCACAGGTAGAGACTCTCAAGGAAGAGCCCATTATCTAGCTCCAGGCAGCCTTGTTCAACTAGCTGCATGCATGCTAGCGCGGTGAGCATCTTTGTGCACTCTTCGACTCTCTTTCTCGGCCCCACCGCCAAGGCCTTAGCGTCCATTATTTATTGAGCCCACCCCATTAAGTTGCGGTCCGGTGGGATCTCCCCGTGCTTGCACGGTGATGTTGACACTAGTGGGTCACTGGTGTCTATATGGATGGTTCTGTTGAGTATCTAAACGGAATGAAATCGCACCCATTACAAGAAAGAAATGAGTCTCCGACAGGATAGCGTCAGCCACAGTGAACGAATCATCGAGGCTTCGCTGCGACGGCTGTCAAAAAGCGCGTCGACTAATGAGCGCTGCGTATGCAAACAAAAACTGTGGTGGCTGTACTTCAGCAGCTGAGCGTACACACGAGGACTTCAAGTCTTTAGAGTGTGACAAGTTACACCTGACATGCAAGCTAAACTCTTTTCGCGACGGCGCAAGCGATGGCCGACCAGGGCTGACAGCCTCCTGACGTGGCTCCGTCAACTGTTTAGCGACCAACCCGGCTGGCGCCCGGACAGGCTGCTTACAGTAACACGTGGAACTTGAGCAGCGGGGAGGGGGACTGAACAATGCCGTCTGCTCCATCGTATACCACAGCGCAACTACTACCCCACAAGGCCTAACCCCGACCTACGCGAGAATGGCTCACGATGACACTATAACCTTTTCAGGGAACAATAATCAGGGTTTCCAACTCGGAGTCAACCAAGGGACGATTGGGAGTATCGTCTTTAACCCTAAGAAGACAAATGACAAATGCCTAAACGACCTGCGCCTGACCAACCCCCGCGACGATAAAGAGCGGATCAAGAAAACCAAAGGTGGCCTACTGGAGGGCTCGTACAAATGGATCCTCGACCACCCGGACTTCCAACAATGGCTCAATGACGACCAGAGCCAGCTGCTCTGGATCAAAGGCGACCCAGGCAAGGGAAAGACTATGCTGCTGATCGGCATTGTCGACGAACTGGAGCGACAGCTTGCTCAGCTTAAGCAGGCAGAACAGTCGACTCCCCGCACCGTCCTCTCATACTTCTTCTGCCAGGGCACTGACTCGAATCTCAACAACGCCACGGCAGTGCTAAGAGGCCTAATCTACCTCCTCGCTGTCCAACAACCGTCGCTTGCCTCGAATCTACGCGTGGAGTATGAACGCTCCAGCAGCAAGCTCTTCGAGGATACCAACGCGTTCGTCGCCCTGTCCGAGATTCTCATGGGTATGCTGCGAGATCCTACCCTGGCAAGCGTATATATCATAATTGACGCACTGGATGAGTGCGAGACTGGCCTGCAGCAGCTTTTGAAGCTCGTTACTGACAATACATCTGCTTCCCGCGTCAAGTGGATCGTTTCTAGCCGCAACAAACACGACATCGAGGAGCAGTTAAATCTTGTCGACCATAAAATAAAGCTCAGTCTCGAGCTGAATCCCGAGTCCACCGCTGCTGCTGTCAATGTTTACATCCGTTACAAGGTGTCTCAATTGGCGCTGCTCAAGGGGTACGACTCCAGAACAGAAGAGACCGTCAACAAATACTTGCGCGCGAAAGCAGATAACACGTTTCTTTGGGTGGCCATGGTCTGTGAGAATCTCGAGAAAATCAGAACCAAGAAGACACTATCGGCGCTAAAAGCGTTGCCTCCTGGTTTAGATCCTCTATACGGTCGCATGATGCAGCAGATACTTGACCTGGAGGATCCGGATGATGTTTATCTTTGTAAACGGATTCTTGCTATTGTAACACTTGTGTATCGGCCTGTAACCCTAGCTGAGCTTGCCTCCCTGGTCAAATGTACACGGGATATTTCTGACGGTGCCGAGTCGTCTAACGATCTGGAGTCTTCCGACGATGCCGAGACTTCTGACGATGCCGAGTCTTCTGACGATGCCGAGTCTTCTGACGATGCCGAGTCTTCTGACGATGCCGAGTCTTCCGACGATGCCCAGTCGCTTATGGAGGTCGTAGAGCTGTGCGGCTCATTTCTCACTATACGAGATGACCGGGTCTACATTATTCACCAGTCGGCTAAGGACTACTTGATGAGCGACATGGTAAACACAATAATCTTCCCCACTGGGATGGCCGAGGCCCACCGCGATATATTCCTTCAATCGCTACAGGCCATGATAAAGACGCTACGTCGGGACATCTACAACCTGCGCTATCCCGGATTCTCTATCGACGATTTCAAGACGCCGATTCCAGATCCGCTGGCATCCGTACGGTACTCTTGCGTCCACTGGGTTGACCACCTTTGCAAGGCACCGCAACGAAATGACCTACTTGATAGCGGCGTAGTCCACAAATTTCTTGAAGGGTACCTCCTTTACTGGGCGGAGGCTTCAAGTCTGTTAGGGGCGCTATCCAATACAGTACTCGCTATAGGAAACTTGGAAAGGACCCTAAAGGTAAGCCTTGCACCTCAATAATAGTAAACGAGCAAACTAAAACTACTATAGACTATGTCCAGCGAATCTAGCCTACTCTCTCTGACGGTAGATGCGCAGCGGTTTCTTCTACACAACGGATTGATAATCAAAAACACTCCGCTTCAGATATACGTGTCGGCGCTTCTCTTTAGCCCGACTCGTAGTTTAACGCGCGATCTTTTTAGAAGAGAGGAGCCACAATGGGTTCTAACAGGACCTACCGTAGATAAGCACTGGAGTCCATTAGTTCGAACGCTCAAGGGCCACAACTATTCGGTCTGGTCGGTCGCATTCTCGCCCGATGGGAAGCTCATAGCGTCCGGATCAGCAGACGAGACTATTAAAGTCTGGGATGCGGTAACGGGCGAGGTTAAACACACACTCGAGGGCCACAGCGATGTAGTCTTCTCAGTCGTTTTCTCGTCCGATGGGAAGCTTATAGCGTCGGGATCGGCTGACCAGACTATCAAGGTCTGGGATACAGCAACAGGCAAGGTCAAAAACACGCTCGAGGGCCACGGTAATTGGATTCGGTCAGTAACGTTCTCGCCTAATAGGAGACTCATAGCGTCCGGATCAGCCGATAAGACTATCAAAGTCTGGGACGCGGCAACGGGCGAGGTTAAACACACGCTCGAGGGCCACAGCGATGTAGTCTTCTCAGTCGTTTTCTCGTCCGATAGGAAGCTTATAGCGTCAGGATCAGCTGACCATACTATAAAGGTCTGGGACACAGCAACAGGCAAGGTTAAAAACACACTTAAGGACGATAATAATTGGGTTCAGTCGGTTGCATTCTCGCCTAATGGAAAGCTTATAGCGTCAGGATCGCACGACGAGACTATCAAGGTCTGGAACGCGGCCACTGGCGAGGTTCAATACACACTCGATGGTCATAGCGATGCGGTCTTCTCAGTCGTATTCTCGTCTGATGGGAGACTTATAGCGTCGGGATCGCACGATAAGACCATAAAAGTCTGGGACGTGGCGACCGGCGAGGTCAAAAACACGCTCGAGGGCCACGGCGATGTGATCTCGTCGGTCGTATTTTCGCCTGATGGGAAGCTTATAGCGTCGGGATCGCTCGACGAGTCTATTAAGGTCTGGGAGGTGGTTATGGGCGAGGTTAAAGACACGCTCGATAGCCATAGCGATGTAGTCTTCTCGGTCGCATTCTCGTCTGATGGGAGACTTATAGCGTCAGGATCGCTCGACGAGACTATTAAGGTCTGGAATGCGGCCACAGGCGAGGTTAAATATACGCTCGAGGGCCACGGTAATTGGATCCGGTTAGTCCCATTCGGTTTCTCTATGAAGCTTATGGCGTCAGGATCGGGCGAAGAGACTATTAAGGTCCAAGACGCGGTAACAGGCGAGGTTAAATATATGCTTGACCGCTATGGTAGTTGGATTCAGTCGGTTGCATTCTCGCCTAATGGAAAGCTTATAGCGTCGGGATCGCACGAGACTATCATAGTCTGGGACGCGGTAAAGGGTGAGGTTAAATATACGCTTGATAACCACGACGATATAGTCTTCTCGGTCGTATTCTCACCCGATGGGAAGTTTATAGCGTCGGGATCGCACGAGACTATCATAGTCTGGGACGCGGTAACGGGCGAGGTTGAATATACGCTTGATGGCCACGACGATATAGTCTTCTCGGTCGTATTCTCACCCGATGGGAAGCTTATAGCGTCAGGATCGGCCGATGAGACTATCATAGTCTGGGATGCGGTAACGGGCGAGGTCAAACACACGCTTGAGGGCCATGGCAATTGGGTCCGGTCGGTTGCGTTCTCGCCCGATGGGAAACTTATAGCGTCGGGATCGCTCGAGACTATCAAGGTCTGGGACGCGGCATCAGGCGAGGTCAAACAAACGCTCGAGGGCTACCGCGGTGTCTATTCCGTTTCGTTCGACACTACTGGGCTGTCTCTACTCACCAACATCGGCTATATAAACTTAGATGCCCTCCACTATATCGACGCTAAACGTCCAATTCAGTCTCAGCCTCAAAAAGCTCGACAGTGTGGGTACAGCCTGAGCCCCGACAATTCCTGGATTATATGGAATGGACACAAGGTCTTATGGCTACCGTCCGAATACCGACCGTCAGAACGCGCAAGTCCAGCAGCTATCTGGCAGTCCGTACCAACGTCGACCGTGGCGAGGGTTGCTATCGGCTGTGACTCGGGAAGAGTTATTGTCATCAGCTTCTCAAAATCGCCGCCTGGCCTCCTTTCATCCCAGTATTAAGCCTTACCTTCCCCAGGTCGATCTGTTTCTTCGCTCTTTTTCCTTGCCTCTTTTGGGTCAAAGGAGCGTAGGAGTCCGCGATAATTCATGGGCTTTGTCGCTCGTGTACGTCCTGGTGGGGATTTTCTCATTATTACATGACTGATTTCTCTTAGACTGAATTTACAGCTTATACGTAAACGAAAGGGTTGCTTAATTCTGGTATTCACTTAAAATTATACAACAGAATTTATAATTATCACTATACGCACTTCCCAAGGAATACTCGACGATAGCGCTTCCTACCTCCCTATCCGTTATAAGCCTGGCCTAGCTATAGTCAGAACGTCAAGATACATCCACGCATAGAAGTAGTGCACTCCACTCATGAAATCCCTAAGAATGTTCATCCGGAAAACGGTTTAAGTTGCTCCGAATCATAGCTCAAAAGTCACTGACCGGACATAGTAGAGCCGCGTTCGGCTAAAGCTAATCCGTTTATCACACCTAGACTCGTGGATATACACCAGACGCTACGACTGGAACTCAGACAGGTTATGCAAATAGTTCTAAGTTCGGCGTTTATTCCCTCACCTTCCATTGAGCGACCTTCTTGGACCATTCTATCAAAAAGCGCTCTTCTAATACTGGACTATTGCAAGTTCGCTAAACTAATCCGACAGGAATACCGATATCCCATTGAGGTATAGACTAGGCCTTTCTAGTACATAATTGTGGGGATCTCCAATATCAGCAGGGTAATATTGCGTAGCCCGCCTACTCGAAAGGAGAAGCTCTAGTATCTTGGAGTTGCCGTCGGCTAACGCGGATAGTCGTAAACGCGAGCTGCATCCAGTGCCCTCAGCAATCTAGGGTGTAGTCGGTGATCTGGTCAAGCTTATATCTAGATCCAACTCTCGAATATCAGGATGTATATCTAGGGCTATTTTGCGTGGTGGGTGTTCTTTTGCTGGCGCAGGAAGGGAAGAGGGGAGGGGGAGGGGTTTAAGGTAAGATAAGTTGCAGCTTGGACTGTGCTAGGGGGTAGGTAGCGAGAGAGGAAACGCACGATATTTGCGAGAAATATAATTTAGACCGATATCATCCCGTGTTTGTCTTGTCAAAAAATTTTATTTTTCCATTCTTGCGAACAGGGATAATATGCAGGCTAGCTACACGCTGTCCTAGATAGTGAGTCACGGCGCTCTACGACAAGCCTGCGAATACAGGCAGGATAAGATAGATCAGCGAACCAGCCAACTAACCACACCACACCACGATAGCAAGGAAGCCTCTCAGAGAGAAAACAGATAATGCTTCAGCGAAAGATGTGTAAAAGTTGATTCTTTCCCTATCGGAGATACGAAGCTACGTATATCCTGTAAAGTCTGTGTACTAGGAAAAATATCCTCCGGTCAGAGATCACCCCTCGTCTACCATTTCCCCACTATAATTGGCATCGCAATCTCTTGGCGGTAGGATTTGAGATAGATTCTCTGCGTGAAACATGGAAGCCAATTTCGAATCTCAGTGTAAACGTGGGCCCTTCAGCTTGATGCGTCCAGTCCAATAGATGTTCTGCGCTAAGGTCTTGGCAAAGAGTCCAAGAAAGATAGCCGAAGAATGTACTGGTCAAGGCGATTTCGAGAACGACTGTACCGACCACTGCAACGGTGACGCCTGGTATTCCAGAGATCTGGTCCTCTCAGACAGTCTCAACATTGGCACGAAGACTCTCCAGAGTTTTCTTGTCAAGAGGCATGATGATGGCTCTTCTCTTGCGCCCATTGATATCGTTATACTTTCCCTAATTTGTTGGGTCTTGGGTCACTTAATTGGGATGTAACGGACCAGAATTAACCACACAGAGCTATAATGTTAAGCCTCCAGAGGCCAAGTCAATTTAATAGTTTATGAATCCATTTACGAAGCGGGGTTATCGAGTTGCACTGTCAGCCCGACCAGTGAGGCAAATATTGCCACTTTGTCTCATTCGTTTGTAGATCCGCAAATTTTTATCCTGTAACTACCGAGACAAGAGGCACGCGGCCGGAATGACTCGGATATCAAGGCAGTTTGTATGGTTAAACCGCAGCTGCAGCCGTGCTAAAGTATGCAAGAGTGACTACTTGCAGCACTTGGCTATTTATGATGCATGACAATCCCCCCGCAGACTACGGAGACATTTTAATTTCTAAGAGTTCAAATTATTGGGATCCCAGTGATATAAATGTAACCATACGCTCTTCTCCCATGTGGGTTACCCCTCTTCGAATACTTAAAGGGAAGTCGGTCATTTTGTTCGAGTAATTCTTCTTGGAACCTCTTTGTCTGGCTACACAACACCGGCAAATACTAAAAAATGGGTGAAGTTTCGTCTGTACCACCCAAATTTAAGACCGAATTGGCTGAATACTCGGTGTCCCACGAAGAAAAGTCTGGTCCCTATGTTGATAACCTAGAAGTCGATGCATTGGTTGTAGGAGCAGGTTTTGGTGAGGCCCAACCCTTTCAATCAGATGAAAAGCTCTGAAAATTTCTGATTGGCGTTCTACAGCTGGAATATTCATGCTTAAGACTCTGCGAGACCGTGGACTCAGGACAGTTATATTTGAAGCTGGAAATGACCTTGGGGGTACCTGGCGCTGGAACTGTTATCCCGGCGCAGGGGTAGACTCGGAGGTTCCAGAATACGAATTTTCTTGGCCTGAAGTCTGGAAGACATGGAATTGGACGAGCAACTACCCTACATATGAAGACCTTCGGTCTTATTTTGATCACGTTGACAAGGTCATCGAGGTCAAAAAGGACTGTTCTTTTCAGACCGTGGTCACTGGAGCGCATTTTGATGTTCAATCTGGAAAATGGTCTATCAGTACTCAGGATGGCCGTACAGCAATAGCCAAGTATCTAATTTTGGGTACCGGATTTGTGAGCATTCTGAAACTCATCCTCGCATAGACCACATTGCTTACAAAAATTTAAGGCCGCACGCCGTTATGTTCCACACTGGCCAGGCATAGATAAATTCAAAGGCGTGATCCATCATTCCTCTTTTTGGCCAGATGAAAAAGTCCAAGTTCAGAACAAACGGTGCGCTATCATTGGGACAGGTGCTTCTGGAGTTCAGATTACTCAAGCATGGGGGCCAGAGGCCGGAGATGTCAAGGTTTTCCAGCGTACTCCAAACCTTGCAGTACCTATGCGCAAGCATAAGCTCTCTGTCGAGGAACAGGAGCGCAAGAAAGAATCTTACCCGGAGCTCTTTAGATATCGTGAGAAGAACTTCGCCGGTTTTCTCTACGGCTGGTACGAGAAGAACACATTCGACGACACACCTGAGATCCGTGAGGCTTTCTATGAAAAGGTGTGGGCTGAAGGTGGATTTCGATATTGGGTTTCTCTGTACAAAGATAACCTCTCTAATGCGGACGCCAATAGAGAATCTTATAACTTTTGGGCGAAGAAGACTCGAGCTCGCATTGAAGACGACCGATTGAAGAATCTTCTGGCTCCTCCGGAAATGCCTCATTTCTTTGGAGTGAAAAGACCTTGCCTGGAATACAACTATTATGAGCAGTTCAATCGGCCAAATGTCGACCTCGTGAACATAAAAACCAATCCTATCAAGAACTTCACAGAAACTGGGATCATGCTGGAAGATGGTACACACTATGAATTTGATGTCATTGCAGTAGCTACTGGATTTGTGAGTAACTAATTTGATGTGATTGTGAAGAATTTGATCAGCTGACATCGTTCGACAGGACATCGTCACTGGAGGTAGGGACAATTCTGATTCAAGCGAGTCTTTTTTGTGGAGCATGCTGACACTTTCTAGTCATGACGCAGCTAGGCTTGCAAAGTATCAACGACACCAAGCTGAAAGAAGAATGGATTCCTGGTGCTAAAACCTATCTCGGCCTGACTGTGAACGGTTATCCGAACATGTTCCACATCTACGGCGCGCATGGTCCCACCCTCCTTTGCAATGGGCCCACTGCTGTGGAAGTCCAAGGCCGATGGATTGCAGACTGCCTCCAAAAGATAGAAAGCAACAATATCAAATATATCAATCCAAAGCCTGAAGCAGCAGACCGTTGGAAGAATCACATTATCGAAATCAACAACAAGACACTCTTTCCAACGACGAAGTCAACTTACATGGGAGGCAGTATCCCTGAAAAGGTCTTCGAACCTGTCTGTTATCCAGGCGGAGTTCCAGCCTATGTGGAAGAGATTCGTGAGGCACTGGATTCCATGGAAGGATTTGAAATTGTTCACAGAAATTGAGAAGAACAAGGAAATACTTGATGCCATTTAGTAACCCAAGATCGTTCGTTTTGAGCGGAATGTTAGGTCCAGATAACTTGCAATTTTTGATCCAAAAGTCCAATGCATCGTGTCTCATTATTTGCAAACGATGCTTGTTTGTGCCTTCTACTACGTTTCTGACCGAGCCAAATACGTAAATTAGGAGATGAATAGTTTATGCACCCGCCCCAGCCAGCTGCGTATACTTCGGCCTCGGCCCCGGCCCGCACCCATCTGACTAATAACCCCATCTATGACCGGCCCATCACGACTAAGTGATCCCCAAACTCTAGCTTCATAACACCATCGCCATTACGACCTAGCAAGCAACCACCAACACAGCCCGCAAAAATGGTATTATAGACTTGACCACCTACTTTGAAAGAACCTCCCACTAATACCGTAATACTCTCACCAGTCCTCCAACCCACTTCCCACCAATTCCGCTCTCGCCCTGTCGGTGCTCACCTCCCTCGGCGGCGCAATTGGCTACGCCCGCACCGGCTCAATTCCTTCCATCGCCGCGGGCCTCTCCGTCGGTGCCCTCTACCTGCTCAGCTTTGCGCGCCTGCGCAGCGGCGAGACCTACGGCGAGGAGCTCGGCCTGCTGGCGTCGGCCGTGCTGGGCGGCAGCTCGATCCCGCGCGCGATCAAGACTGGCGGCAAGCCCGTGCCCATGGGGCTGTCGGTGCTGGCGACATACGGCATTGTTGTGTTCGCACTTGCGTTCCGCGAGAAGCGCAGTGTCTAGACCGTTCCAGTGAATCTGAGTCCCATCTCGCAGAGATAGTTGGTGAGAAGCGTGGCATGATCCGGTGGATGTGAGCGGGGATCTCCGCGCAAGGACGAGGGTCGATTTAAACATTTGTGATTTTCTTATTTCGTTGCTATGTTTCTAGCGAGGATACTCCCGTCAAATCGGAATTGATCAATCGAGTTTTTGAGTGATCTACATTCTTACGACAGTGTAGATTACAGTGAGACCGGACACTTACTTCCGGGCCCGCAAGATGTGCAGAGTCCAGGATTCTTTTTTTGTAATCGTATATCATTGGAAACCAAGGAATATATTGATCCCCTACCTGAAAGTCCCTAGAAGGTAAAAAAAACTTACATCAGGAGGTAAAAGACCAGCGTCAACCCTAGGACCGTGCAGGGTAAAGAAGGAACCTCAACGTTAGGTCCGCCCTCGGCCACGGAAGAGCAGAAAGAGAAGGAAGAAATGAGATTAAAAAAAGGGTGCTCGGTTAAAAATGGTAGAACACGTACGGTCGAGCTCTTCCAGGTCCACCAACGACTCCCGGATTAGCGGGCAGGGGAGAGAAGGCAGTCATCCATAGACTCACCGACGAGCTTTCATCGTCGCACATGCCGAGACAGAAGAATTGTTCGAATGGATTGGCCTAGAAATCCGGGTAGTGGATGGTGGTTGGCTCCTTTTTTCTCTCCTTTTCTTCTTCCTGCAGAACTACTACTGATGGATCAGGGCAGGTAACAAACAAAAGCGCCAGCCAAATAGAATGCTCATGTATAGCTAGAGTATGCGTCGAACTTAGCTGGAGTCCGTTTGTCCATCGCTGCAGAAATCTTTTGGGATCCTGGATTGCGAACTTCCTCTCCACACACCGAACCCGTCCCGCTCGGTGTGTTTTATTTAGTGCGCTGGGTCGACCACCGTATCTTGGTCCCGAATCGTTCCCACTACCACGGAGCCGGGAAGTTCGCCCAGCGCGGTCTCTTGGGCGAACTCGTTGCGCGCGAATACGTATCGGGGTAGCCGGGCCATCTTTTCTTCGGGGCTGGTCGTCTCGTCTGAGTAAATCATCCTCACATTCTTTGACTTGTCTTTCTTGGCGGATTTCTCGGTAGGAGTCGCCGCCGCTTCCTTTGCCGCGCCAGATATCAGTTCATCAACAGATTGGTTGTGCTGTCCATGTTGGGCGGGCACATCGCCATTAGAGTACCCAGGCGCGGCGGCTGGCAGCGGATGACCCATGTGCATCTGCTGCATTTGTTGAGCATTAACAGACGGCGCGCCGAACGCGGGTCGTTGGGGAAGACCGGTCGGTATAGGTAAGCTCCCAGCTCGCGGAGGTGTGTTTGAATCGGTAGATGTAGACTGTTGCTGGGGGAAAGGAGGAGGAGTAGCCCCGTATCCGGGAGTGGAAGGTTGGCCTGGGAATGGCTGGGGTGAGTATCCGGTGGGGGGATAAGGCGCAGCACCAGGAGCCGGCTGTCCACCGATGGGAGAAAATGGTTGGAAGCCTGGACTGGCGGTCTGTTGATAAGGGGCCGCGACAGGAGCACCTGCGTATGGCGGAGGATATGAATACTGCGGTGCGGGCGCGGGTGCAGCCGCAACAGCAACCGGAGCTGCGACTGAAGGTTGTACCTGCAATCAAACTATTAGTAACGCTTCAATGTAATTGCGCAGGACACCAAACTTACATATGAAGTCGGTGTCGACACAGACTGTCCGGCGCCGACAGGCGTTCCTTCTCCACTGCTTTCTCCAGTCGCTGCTTCGGCGCGCTTAGCGCGATGTGCTGCCAATCGCGCCTTCATATCTGACACATTTTCCAACTTGGGTTTCTTTGCCGGCTGGCCACCAGCAGCGCTCCCTGCGGGGGGTTACCAGTCGCCGCTTGTCGCTCAGTCTCCGCCTGCTGGAACTGGGCTGCGACACGTTGCTGGTGACTCTGCAGCACATCCTGAGGGACACCCTCCATACCAAAGATTTCCACGTCGAGACCTGCTCGGTTAGGCAGCGCATTTTCAATCTCGGTGAGCTGTTCCTTGTGGACCTGACTCATGTGTACAGATAATCCTGGAAACGCCAGCCGTTAGTTCTCGAAATCCCGAGGAATTGACATTTGTAGCCGTTAGGTCTCACCTCCAGCTGTGTTCAATCGGCGCCCGCATCTTTCGCACTTGAAATGCTTCGCCTTCTGATGCAAAGTGAGAATCTTAAGATCGTCGAAGTCGCGCTCACAGTAGTAGCACCATGGTCGAGCCAGGAGCTCTTCCAGGGTCGGGCCGCGTCTCTTCTTGCCCATTGTAGTGTCGGAATTATCAAGAACGAAATGAAATTGGGAACGGGCGCGAAAAAAGGGGGGGGACAGGGCTTGAATCACAGGCGTTGCGGAGACAAGGTCTCGTGAAATGGAGTGACGCAGATTGTCTGCGGACGAGGGCGGTCACCTGATTCAAAGGACTTATTATTCACGTGATCTGCTGACATCTTAGGTTTTTGATATGCTTTAAGTTGCGCCCATGCTATTCATACACGTAGATCAAAGTAGAATACACGCCAGATCGCCATGGCAGGACCTGGTCCAAACCACCGACCTCCCATTAGATGTACAGCCCTTTTTGCGCTGAAAACAAAACAAACCAGAACGAAAAGAAAAAGAAAACAGACAGCAGCCCCCGGAATCTCCAGAACCATAACCATTGCGCCAGACCTCGATCTCTTTCGAGGCAATCCCGTGCTGAAAATGAAATAAAAGGAGCTTATAGCCCAGCGCACAGCACTAGATTTGGTCCTCACTTCATCTCGCTGATGAACATTAAAAAAATGATATCTTTTGCTTAGTCTCCGAGAGACCAAGTTTCGAGCCTGTTGAATATGCACGTAGCGTACATGCATTGATAACTTTAGCCTCAGACGCCTCGGTGGCGAGGGTCATGAGGTGGGGGCGCCTGCATATGCCCGTGGCCCAGCCCGTAGTGGTGAGCGACGTACGGGAACGGCGCGAACTGCCCGGGCATGGGCTGACCAAGCCCAGCCACCGGAGGCTGCGCGGTGAACGGGTTTGGCGGGGGAAATGCGCCATTCCCAGTGACGGCAGCGTCGGTCCTGGCCCAGGCCCAGGCCCAGGCCCCGGCCCCATGGGCTGCGGTGCGCCGGGCATCGCAGCCATGGAGTTGGGGGCTTTGGGGGCCAGGTTGCCGGCAGGGAGAGGGGCAAGGGACGGAGACCGGCGGCGACGGCCGGCTGGCCTTGGGACGTCCTTGGTCTTGCGAATATCATCGTTCACTCGATCCTGCTCGATCTGAGCCTTGGAGCGCTTGGGGTTGCGAATACGTCCCTCGCGGTTGAACCGCTCCCAGTGGTCTAGCATCGCCTTGGTGCGCTTAGGGTTCTTCGAGTTCATGATCTTTTGCCGACGAGCCTCCTCAAGCTCCTCCGCAGTCGCATCCCTCTTCACCGTGATGTCCTTCTTCGCGACTGGGGCGGGCTTGAGGGGGAGAGGGGGAGGAGCCTCCGGCATAGGTGAGTAGTCGACGAACGTAGCAATTGCCTCCGCAGTCGCCGGACGGGGAGCTGGGGGTGTAGACGCGGCGAGGGTACTTGCGCCACGGCGGCCTCGACCACGGGCCGCAGTAGGAGTGTATGTGCTAGCCTGGGTACCATCAAGAGCTGCCCGGGTGGAAATAAGGCTACTTGCACCTCGGCCACGACCACGACCACGACCACGGCCGCGACCACGGCCGCGGGGGGTGCTGACAACAGCAGGCTCTGGCTGATAGGCTTCAAAGGTAGCACGTCGGCCACCACGGCCTCGGGTGCGTCGCTTGGGAGGGTGCAGGACTTCCTCTTCGGTCTCTTCTGCGTCGGGAGATTCCTGCTGGGTTTCCTCCGTATCGGTCTTGGAGGTCTCCACTTCCACAGCCTTGCGCTTGCGGGTGAACTTAGGGTACAAAGGCTCGCGCCGCTGCTCCCAAAGCTTAGGGACCATTTCTCCGTCATCTCGCACGATAGGGGTCCAACCATCAGGGTTGCGATCACCCGGAACAACCTTTGTGGCCATCTTTCTTCCCTGCGCGGGAGTCGGAACAAAGCCACCTTGGACGAATGGATTTTGAGGGACTCGACTGACAGCAGTGGCTGTGTTGGTAGGGAATTGGGTGTATTTGTAACCATAGAGCGCTGCCTCTTTCTTGTCTTCGAAATCAAGGTCATTTTCTGGGACCCGAGCCATTGGGTGACCGGCTTTCTTCTTGTGACCCATTGCGAACTCCCGCTTAGAATCAAGAGTAATTGCACTTCGGATATGGCGATGTGCGTGCAAATAGAGTTTGTCGAGGGCCAAATATTCATCTTGCCAGGTTTTCAGAGCGACGGCAACAGCTTCAGTCGCTGCATAAAGCTCTTCGTGGGAGAGAAGTTCAGGCTTCTTCAACATTTCGACCATTTGATCAAAATTGCTGATTTCCAGGAATTTGCCTGTCTCGACCTTAGTATTTTTGTAAGGTTCGGGGAACGTGAGTGGCTCTGGGGCATCACGCTTTTTTGGCTTGCTGTCGTGGAACACTGATTGCCAGTCTGCGTGGGCTTTGGCAGCCTCTTGTTCATAGGCGGGGCTAAACTTCTTCACATTGTCGACATTCCATAGTTTCAGTAGGCGCTCTGGCATCTCTTGTGGTTGCCATTGAGCGAGGCGACGACGATATTCCTCGGGGAAAGCGCCGCGAGGGTTGGAGAGCCATTCCAGTCGGTCTAGTTTGCCCTGAGATTCCTTGGTGGTTTTCGCCTTGGGAGCAATGGTCCTGGCAACACCAGAACCAGCTGTCATATCGGTTTGCTCACCACTGACGGAAGGGGCAGCCGTTACTGGTTCGGTTTCTTCCTCGTCTTCGCCGGGCTCCTGGTCGCCGAGTTCGGCTTCCTCGCCTTCGTCACCTTCGTCGCCTTCGTCAGCGTCATCACCTTCCATTTCTTCAATGCCTTCGGCATCTTCAACTTCTTCAGCTTCATCGCCCTCTTCGACATCCTCCGCCGCTTCGGCTTCGTCAGCTTCGTCGGCATCATCAAACTGGGAGGCATCATTGAGAGCATCCTCATCCTGGAGGTCCAGTTCATCATTTTCATCGAGATGACTGTCATCAATGCCATCATACTCTAGATGGCTATCAGGATGGTCGGCAGCGACATGCGCATTAAGTACATCTTCTTCAGTAATGGTCTCATCATTGGGAAAATCCAGAAGCTTCCCGCACCAGTCGCATTTGATTTTGTGCGATCTGGGCTCTGGAGACTGAGAGATCTGAGTGGAAGTAGACTGTGGTCGGAATGGTTCAGAGAATTGGCGGCGCAGGGGGAGAATCCTGGCTATCGCCTACATCGGACGATGGATTGTCCATGTCCAGGTCACCCCGAGAAATGGGGGCCATGTTGGATGGAGAGGGAATGGGGCGAAGCCCAAGTGAGAGATCAGGGGAATAAAAGGAAAGAAAGGAAAAGACCCGGTCAGGTTAACAGAACAGACCCGGGAAAGACATACACGGAACGTGCCGTGCAAGGGGATGCGAGTCTGGTTGAAGGTTCTGTATAGTTGAGTTAGTTTCGGGTGGGCGGTTCGCTTGCGGTGCCAAGACCGTAGTAATCGCAGCGCAATCCGGGCACTTTGCCAGGGTCAGGGGAGTAAGGGAAGGGATCGAAGAACGCAAAGAGCCCGAACCGAAACATCAAGTGAAGGGGAAAGGAGTGATAAGAAATTAAACCAGACGGAACAGTCACAAGGACAGCGAAGTAAAAATGAAAGAAATGGAGCCAGGATAGATGCAGGACACGGTCGCGGCAAATTGTGTGGATCAGGATCTGACCCGAAGTGTATTTGGGGCCCGCGCGAAGAGTAAAAGATGCCAGCACGAAACAAGAAGAGCAAGCCCAACCACGCGACCAGAGGCACTTACCATGTAAAGAGCACCGTAGCACGGCTGATTCGTCGACGAATTTCCGATCGACCAATTCTGCACAAAGCCCAGAGGCGTCTAGTCGACGTGAGAGTCTTGGCCAGGGATGTGTACTTGGTCACAAGTTGGGGAAGGCTGGACGGATGGTGAGGCGGTTTTGGACACCAGCGCGATTCCCCACGAAACAGAGTACAAGAAAAAAAGGAGAGTGAGGAAAAGGAAGACAAGACTATCGCACTGGCAAATGACAATGCAGAGAAACAGGATGGATGGTTGGCGAGGAGGGAAGGGGGGGGGGTTCAGGAAGATGAAAGTGTAGAGTAGTATGTAGAAAGGCAGAAAAAAAAATGGAGGATCTTACAGCCGGGCGGCCGAAGACAAGGGAGAGCAGCGAAACAGAATAACAAGGCAGACAAGGATGAAGAGAAAAGCAACGAATGCCTGGGGGTGGAAGAGATGAGGCAACAGAGGATGGGGGGGATGGTAGGGGAAGAGAAGTAGGCAAGAAGAGATTTGAGGTTTAGTTTGGCGGTTTGGAGGTTTGGACGGTAAGTTTGGTGTAGAGAGTGACCCGTACACCCCGTACCTTCAATACTTCCAGTACATCCAGTACGAGCCGTCCTACAGTCCGGCTCCACTCGCCCACCAGCAGCCAATCACCACCGCGCTATCTACTGAGCCACTTGGGTCTGGCGCCCGTTAAATACATTAAATAGTCTGAAATCAGAGATGGAGTATGTCACGGTAATGGACGAACCCACTGGCAGAGTACCGCCGAGATTCCAGGTCGAGGGGAGGATCAATCTATACAGGCGCCCGATTTCGGGATTCACCTCCATCCACCTAGACACGATCAAAGCCATCAGTGTGATGGCCACTCTGTGGGGGAGGCCGCGTCTCGCCTGAATGAACAGCTCGGTTTCTTTTTCAGTCTTTTCTTACTTTAGCGCCAACAAAGTGTAACCAACAGAAGGAAAACAAGCAGGTCCCCTCTCGAGATCCAACTTCCCTGGCGGCCTGCTCGGATTGTCTAACAAAATGCAAAAGAACAAAAACCCCTCAAGAGGCTTTGACATCACTTCACACAATAGTTCTGATAGTATTACCTCTCTGTTCGGTCCTCAGGGGTGTGGCGTGGGTCTGAGTGGGCGCAAGGGGAACAATAAGGATGGGATAACGCCAGTACGGCTGAGGACCAACGGGGCCAAAAAAAGAACCCAATCTACGTACAATAACGAGGAAAGCTGAAATCTAGCAATAGAGATGAATAGGATCCTTCAGAATCCAGCTCGATAGAAAATTCCTGAACCCCCCGATCCGTCTACGCTGGCCGATATTTCCGCGCGACTCATTGTTGAGTCCTTTCCCCCTTTACTTCCGATCCGCGCATGTCTCAAGCCTACCAAAAAGCACAGACCCTCTCATGTTTGCTTTGCATTTTTTTCCCCGAGTTGTCGCGGCTGCAGAGCGATCTGCTTCGGTAGTAATGCTATCACTAAGTGATTCGGCTTTCACATTCGCCTCCAGTTATCCCAGATTTCGGGTTCTGTACCCGCGATTCCCCGTATGCTGGGGCTTTAAATCCCGGCAAACCGGCTACCTTTGGATCGCTTTCTTACTCACGCTGCGCCTTGACGTCAGCCTTCGGAACTATATATTGATTCGCGGCTGCATATTCGTCCTTTGCTTGTCGTTCTATTCGGGAGTCAAGGACGTTACCACACAACCCTCGGAGGAGTCGCTAGGTCCTGTGCACCCTCGTGGCTTTTATATTTGGCTGTTGATTCCCGACGGTTCAATTCTAGACTGGTCTGTTTCGTTGCTCAGAAATCGGACCATACAAGATCCTCCGATATTAACACATCTCGTTCATCCACTGCAAGCTACTCACGCACTAGTTCCGACAGAAAAAGGGAAGGGCGGAACACGGGGAAACACATGGAACTTTTTTTCAGAGAGAGCAATGGCGAATTTTTTCTATCCTATTGCTCCTAGAGCCAAGAGAAATACTGCGAAATACCCCATTAGATAATATGCTGCACCTCTTAGATCCAGATCCAATTCTTCCCCCCCCCCCCCCCCCCCCTGGTAGAGCCGAGTCGAATAGACTCAATGATTCTTCTCGCCAACATCTAATGCCACCAAGAACCGACTGACGCAGTTGTACGCGGCCACCGTCGCCGTAATCTCGACCACTTCCTGATCACTGAAGCAGCTCTTCAGTTCCTGGAAAACTTCGTCCGGCACGGTGACTGTCTTGGTCATGGCATCCGTGTATCTCAGCACTGCTCGTTGATCCCGCTCGAGGACCTTCCCGGCAACCTCACCGGAGAGATCAATTTGCGCATCCCCCACTGCAGCGAGAGCTTCTTCGCTCAGCCCTCCCGCCTTGAGCAACGGTGCATGTTGCTCCCACTCAAACAAGGCACCATTGACGACAGCCACACGGCAGATGGCCAGCTCTGTAATCACAGTAGTCAAGCTTGTGCGGGTGCGAATGGCACCAATGAACGAATTCCAACCATCTGCGACAGGAAACGAGTGCAACAGCGCCAGATCAAGTGGAAGGAGAGGATTCGGAGCTCGGCGGGCTTGAACACTAGCCAGAATCTTTGCCTCGTCGGGTGTACTGGTAGGGGGAGGGTCTGGGACGTATGGGAGACGCATTGCGCTGAGTGTCGCTCGGCTACTGGGCGGGTAGATCTGTAGGCAATATTAGCAGTTGACAGGGTGCAGATTTCTGCCAATGGCACTCACAATGCTGGATCAGGGACAGGATTTCTAGTTCTGAAAAGAAATCACTCAATGAGATGGCTTTTGAGCATAGGATTCGGGCGCAGACATCTCTCCGCAGGGACCGCGGCAACCTATTTATGCCATTTGTTGCTTATCACAACCCCGCGTGGGCCCGCCGCGGGACTGGTTCCGGGACTCTAATTCCATACCTTAGCAGAGGTTCAGGTCCCAAAGAACATTTTTCGCCCTGAGAGAGGCATCCGCTCATGAGACTGCATTGACAATGGCAGTTTGATATTGGTGATGTCTATGTCTATCCGCCGCTTGGATGAGTCTCCGATGAGGACAACATAAGAGCGTGCGGCGAAGAGCAATGCCGTGGTCCTATGCGCCCACATCTCAATGGTCTATACCACCCCCAAAACTCATCTTTGAGAATCAAACAAGGACTTCATGAATCAATTAGCCTCAGGATCACCAAGGGTTTTTTTTCCAAGGTGAGATATCAATGGTAGGGTCCTGTTGATTTTGTCGATTATATAGTGCGTGTTCATACGCTATTGCCAAGCAGTGAATGTATGAACATCATGGTGATCTCAACTGCGTTACAAAATTTTCAATAAGCTTATTTTGTTTTCCTTTCATTTCACTCTGCCATTTTCATGTAATGCTGCTTCTACGTCCAGGTAAAACACTGAGAATGCAAGCAGAGCGGGTCTTGGCACAGCGTCTCCACAGCACGGGTCCGGGAGCTCCAAACAAGTGTCGTCACCTCTCCTGACCAGAACTGCCATCCCTCCAAACAGCCCACCATGCCTCCTAAGGGCGCCAAACCTACCAGCGATGAACTGCTTGCGCAGTTTGATGACCTCGGCATCGAACAGTCAGGCGAGAACCCCGCAAAGCAGCCTGCGCCTGCCGCTCCTGCGGCCGACAACGAAAAGGCTGAGCAGGAGGACGTTCTTGCGGAGCTTGAGAAACAAGCCGCCCAGCGACCCAGCAGTGGTCCTGGTACCCCACGTCTCTCAGCAGACAAGGCTCGCTCGGCTACACGATCTCCCCGTCCGAGTGCGACCCTTGACCGAGCCAGCGAGGACAAGAGCGGCCGCCCCTCCGAGGAGCTTACTCGGGCTTCCCGTGCGGGCATTAAGCAGGAGCAGCCGAAACAAGAAGCAGAACCTGCTGCCTCGCAGACCCAGGAGCAAGGTGGAGGAGGATGGTGGGGAGGCTTCTTTGCTACAGCAAGCGCGGCGATGAAGCAGGCCGAGGCCGCAGTCAAGGAAATCCAGAACAACGAGGAAGCTCAGCGATGGGCTCAGCAAGTAAAAGGGAACGTTGGAGCCCTTAGAGACTTTGGTATGGCTCCCCGGGTCTACATTATTGCATCCACCACTGACCGACGTTTCTCACAACAGGCGGCGAACTGCGTAACATGGCCATTCCCACATTCACCAACCTCATCCACACCCTTGCCCCTCCAATCTCCTCGCATGAACGTCTCCAGATCCATGTGACACATGACCTCTCCGGATACCCGGGCATCGACCCGCTCGTATACGCGGTTTTTTCACGAGTAATGGCGCAAGTTGAAGGTGGCGACCTGCTCGTCATCCAACGAGGCCAAGAGTCTGCACCCAAGCGCGGGCTCGACGTAAGCGGCTACGTCTCCAGCGCCGGCTGGAACGACGGGCCTTGGTGGCGTACTGTGACACCCGGTACACCGCGCACGCTCAATGCAGTCCGCGGCACCGTTGAAGCGTCGAAGCTGGCGCGCGCCAGCGCCGAGTCCTACGCGACGGAATACTTCTCCTCTCGGGGCGGCGTTGAAGAAGCTGCCAGGCAAGCCACCGAGGTGCTAAGTGAATCCAACCCAGTGCGTAGCAGCGATATTTTCCTTGCTATCCAGGCCATTACTCAAAGCACCTCGCCCGACATGTTCCAGGCTGGCGCATCTGCTGAGCAAGCGACGCCTGCCGGCGCTGTTGATGCCCCGGAGGTCGACGATGAGATTTCTTTTGCGCTATACCTGCACGACCCCATCCACGGCATCGCCTTTCATACTATTTCACAGGCCGTTCCTGCTAAATGGATCGAATGGCTCGACGCATCGGCGCCGGCCTCCGATACTGCAGACTCCGAAGACGCGGAGGCTGCGCACGCGGTCGTCCCCGAGGCCATTGCCGAAATTATTGAGAGCGGCGGTGTCGACCCGCGTGAATGGGTAGCTGAATGGATCGAGGAGACCCTGTCCCTGTCGGCCGGAGTCGTGGCGCAGCGTTACGTAGCGCGGCGTATGGGCGTCGGCGAGGGCGGCTTGGGCAAGGGTAAGATGCGTGCAGAGCAGGCATCGACGGTGGAGAGCGGTGCTGGCGAGGCCGCTCGTGCTATCTAGAGATACTCTAGCTAGCCGTGGCTGATTTACCCTTTCTTCTTGCGAGGATGATTGCCCCCAGTTTTTATGCTGTTCTGAACTCTCGTTATGTGATACACCCCCGTGCCTCAGGTCGCTTCTGCTTGTTTTTATATTGCTTCTTTCCCAAATTCCTGTCACTTAACCCCGAGCATACGGCCCAGTAGCGTTTATCCATAGTTGACAGCGCGTGTTCGAGGGCAATAATTCAATCGCATCAATGATGTTTACGTTTTCATTTGTTAATTCAAGATATCCATTTATATTCCGTGCCTGTTATGTCTATGTACAATAGTATCCTCGCAGCATGCCCACTGCTCTCACTCTCTATCCAACCCCAAGGAAATAAGATAAAGAAAGGTTCAGTCAAATAGAAACCATCAAACATCGATCCGCTCCGTAATGCAAATATTGAATAGTCCTATCCCTGCACGGTGTGCGGGGGCGGGCAAAAAGAACAGATGACCAAAGATAAAGGTAATGAAAAGGTAACAAAAAATTAGATAGGGCACCCACGGTTTCTCAAGCCATATGAGGGCCCTAGGACATTCATAAAATCATTGCTCCAAGTGCAGAGGTCCATCCAGCCCAGGAACATGCCAGAAGTTCGCGCGGAGCGCCGTAACACTGGTAGACCCGTTCAGCACGGTGTGCGCATCGGTGCCCTCCTCGCTCTCTTGCAGCCGTTTCTTCATATCGGACAAGTCGGCGGACCACTTGAAACTGCGCTGCTTGGGGCGCGAGATGCCGTTCACGTGGCCATTGATGCCATTGACCACGACCTCGCTGCGCTGCTCAGGGACACCGTTCGTGACGGGCTTTCCTGTGCTCTTCAGCGGCGCGTCGGTCTCGGCGTACAGACAGCCGCGTGACCAGTAGTACGGCAGAGTGCGGGTGTACAGCACGGGCTGGGACTCGACGTCAATGCGCATGGGGACATTGATATTATACAGCTCGACGCGGGAATCCCAGTTGCGCCACAGGTGGGCGACGATGCGGACGGCGAGACGGGCGGCGGCGGCAATGACGTCGGCGGGCTGGGGGTCCTTGCTACCGAAGGAGATGGCGATGCCGCGCTGGCTGCAGAAGACGGCTTCAAGGGCGCCGCCGACGGTGCCGGAGGAAAGGTTGTAGATGGTGGAGGCGTTGCGGCCGTGGTTGGGACCGGAGATCACCAGATCAACGGGTGGGCGGTCCGGGAAGAGATTGTACAGGCCGAGCTGGGCGCAGCTAGCAGGGGTGCCGTTCTGGACCACGACCCAGTCGCGCAGGTGGGCGTTTTCTGGGCCCGGCTGGAAGTGCTCGTCCCACGAGCCGTCGTCGCGGAAGGAGTCCGGGTGCACGAAGCTCGCGGTCAGGGAGGCTTCGATCAGGTGGGCCTTGCCGATCCATGAGCGTGAGGCCGCAGGGATAGCGACTGAGACTTCATGGCCAGCGGCGTGGAGCTCGTCGACGAGTGGGCGGACATAGGGAGAGAGGCGCTTGTTCGGCGGCCCATCATCGTTGACTACCTGTATATCGCGTGACCAAGGGCCTCCTGGTTAGCGGTCCGATCTGCCATTTTGGGTTCCTTGTCTCGTATCATCCGAATTGGAGAGGAGTAAGCGCTGCGGAGAGTGAGGAGAAAAGCGAAGAGCATAATTGGAAGTAAATGACATTTGGTAAATGACCGACTATCCCAAATCTAGAGAAGGAAAAGAAAGAGACACAGAGCTGCAGATCTGCCCAGATCCGGGAATAATTCTAATTTCCTCAAAAGTCTCTGGGCCATGCAGGATTGAATTGCCATGGAGAATACTCAATTTCGAGGCAAGGAAGAAGAAAAGAAAGTCCAGCGGAACGAAAAGCAAAACGTCATGATAAGAAAGTCTCGTGATCGGGGGCTGGCGCCAACAAAGTGCACTTACCAAGATATGCATAATGGACTCTCCGAATTTCCCAGCGCTAGGGGCGTGTGGTCTGTGAATATCAAGCAGATGGGGTTTCTTCCGCTTTTTTTCCTTTTTCTAGGGAGAGAGCACTCTGAGGTGTTCTTAATATGAATCCAACCCAGAGTAAAAAGGGAAGAAAGACAAAAAAAAAAAAAGGAACGGAAAAAACCCACACGATCAAGAACACAGGAAATCACCTCCCCGCGACGTTTGGGGAAGACCCCGGCCTTATATGGGGGAACGACCAGGGCCTGGCTAAGCATTGAGCCATTTGAATTACCGGATCGCCGAATGGGGGAATCTGGGCTGGACACGGTGAAGCTGTTCAGGCAATTCAGGCAGGTCGGGCCACGCCCAGGCAGCCCAGGCTGCGGGGAGCGGCAATCGAAGGGGCAGTGGCGGTCCGGATGGAGTCTGCGGTGAACCGATCCGTCGGGCTCGGCAGTCCGGTGACACTGCAGAGATTGGAAGAGCTGGGCGGGTAAATGCACATATCAAGTCAAAATTTCTGTATTTGTTTGAAAGAACCCCTGAGAAAACATGTAGAGGGCTCAATATTTTTGAAATATAGCTGAAAATGAATTCAATAATCTGTTGCGGCTGGTATAGCTGAAGACAGGATGCAGAGATATATAGATCGCGAAGTCTCTGCTCCTCCCGGTGGATCCAGCCGCAGTCAAATGATTTTCGTAAGCGGAGCACCGCGCATAAAGTATGCAGGGCTCACCGCACCACACGAGATGGTGAAATATACATCACTATACCTCCGATGAAGATGCCATATCACGTTAACTGTCAAGTTGACTGTAGCACTACTTCAGGAGCCGGATAAAAAGCCTTTCGGTTCAATGCTAGTAATATTGCATAATCAGACAAATGGGATCCAATCGCAGACCTCTAAGCCTAGGCATTTTCCACCTGTTGGAAATTTGCTTTCTCTGCAATGTGACTGTCAGTAGCGGTCGCTGCAGCCGCTCCGACCTCCGGATGGATATTATTCCTCCAAAGGGTCTCACTCCTGACAACAACTTCACGCGCATTGGAGGAGGAGGAGAAAAGGAAATCGACAGACTCAAGGGTAATAGATGATGTTTCTGGGAAGAACAGATAGACGACAAGACATGACGCAAAATTCAGAACTGCCCATATTATATATGTTCGCCAGCCAATGCTATCAATGGAAACGGGCGCGATCTCGACGGTCCAGAATTGGTTTGCCCATAGGAAGAAGACAGATAATGCAAGGGCCTTGCCTCGCACATGCAATGGCAATATTTCAGCTGGATACGTCCACATATTGGACATCCACCCCCATGTAAAGAAGGAGAGATAAAGGAAGAAGAATACGATGGTAATGACGGACGAGACAGATGAACCTTTCCACAAAGTGATGCAAACGGCGATCATGCAAGATCCCATCCCCAGATTGCCTAAATAGAATAATCGCCGACGACCGAAGCGGTTGATCAGATACCAGGTGAGAAAGGAAGAAATAAGAAGCCAGATTTGGGAGCACCCCGACACAAGATTGGCCAAGTTAGGTCTCATGCCTACGGAGTTTTGCAGGATGAAGGGAAGATAGTATTCGATGAAGTTGATGCCCGTATAAGACTGCATTGATTGGGCGGCACAGGCAATGATGACACGCGTGCGCACCTTAGCACGGCCTTGTCGGAAAAGAGCACCCCAAGAATTTCCTTGATCTTCAAGTTCGATGGCAGACAAAATATCATGTAACTCATCCTGGATTCGTTCATGGTCTTCAGGAAGGTCGCGCAGGGCTGACAATGCAGCAGCAGCCGCTTCCGTATCGCCATGGGCGGCTAGCCAACGAGGCGATTCAGGCAAGATAACGGTAAATCCAAATGCAATAATAGGATATACAGCCTGTAGTGCGAATGGAACACGCCAACTAATCTGACTATTGAGGAAGCCCAGACCATAGACAACCCAATAAGCGATATTGGTACCAATAATAAGGAACGTAAGCTGCACTGCAACTAAAACAGCTCGCAACTCTGCGGTAGCAGTCTCGGCGAGCCAGACCGGTGAGGCACTGGTAAAAAGACCAAGACCAATGCCAAGAATGATGCGTGAGGCGAGAACCTGGGCTAGCGAAAATGATGCCGCATTAATTGCATCTCCAATCAGGTGCACCAAGCAGGCGAGCAAAATTGTCCGACGACGACCGATCTGTTCGCTAACCAGCACCGCCATCAGAGCACCAAGCATGCATCCAATATCGTAGGATGACACTACGAGTCCCTGAATTGCAGCGTCTGGGTCGCCAATAAGTGCTAGAAAGTTCGGCTCGGAGATGATCTGTCCCATCAAGCCGTTGTCATAGCCAAACAGACAGAAGCCTGTGGAGCTAACCACCGTGATCAGATAAACTAATTGTTTTCCTCGCAGAGTCGACATTTTGATGGATACGAGAGGACTTTTTCGGGTGTTATAATCTTGGCCCGCAAGGGATGGTAGATAACTTCTCTACGATCGTACTCGCGGCCTTCTATAGATGGTCTTTCTTTAGGGGTGCGATGCATACTGTCTCTAGTGACAGTATATGCCGAGGGGGAATCTTATCCTCAAAATAAGCATCCCCGTACTCAGATGGCGAAGAAAGCCAATGGGCAATGATTTAGTTGATAGATTCGGCTCTTGTCCGACCCCCCTCAGGATGTACGTGTGGAAGGATCTGCTGGCTGATCGCAAATGTGGAGATACTCCGAAGAACTTCAGGCTTTCTCTCCGAGGCTAGCGATGCCAATTTTCCGCAAATCAAGAAAAAAAAAAAAAAAAAAAAACAAGGCTCCTGAATTCGCATCTTTCATTCATTGGATTTTGTTTTACGAATTCAATGATGCCAGAAATCAAGAGAAGTGGGGGCAGAGGTCTTCTATGACATAGGACAACACCTGATTCCTCTGGTACAATTATTGCCTGTTGCTTGCCTGCCCCAGCTTCCAGACAGAAAGAGAGGGAGAGGGGGGGAGAGAGAGAGAGATGGCACCATAATTTTCTTGAATAAACAATATTATAACTATGTTTTCTTGTATTGTGGAATGATATATTGGACCTATATCAGCAGTTTATTAGGCTGCTAAGAAACCACGCCTTCCACTTTGTTAGGCACGGAGCTTCCTTTCATCCTCCAGGCTTCATCCGAAGATTGACTCCAATGATAGACTGTAAGTAACTATGACCATTTCTTTCAATGACGGGCTCATGAGGTGGCTTGTCAACAAAGAAAGTGCACATCTATAGGCCAGAGTGGAGACTTCTTGTCCCTCTGCAGAGCTCCACGTCTGGTGTTTGCTGGCCATGTACATAAGTTCAATATCCGATTTAGAATTCACCCATACTTTCTATCCTGCGCCAAGGCACTATTGCCGTCACTCAGACAATCTATTTTTCATGGGTTGACTTTCATGCCACGATCAAGACATGCCAAGCAGATCGTCTCTACCGACACGGACCGACCACTACTATTTGGTAATGCATGTTCACGAAGTTGCGATTACATCTTTTGTTGAGTTTGTTGAGAAGTTCGCCGATGTCAAGTGCCAGGATGGTAGTCCTGCACGCTAGCCGTTTTCGAATAGCCACATATATTGGATTATATTGGATTGAGAAGCATGGAAGGAGAGCGGGGTCCAGTCCGTCCATGGTCTTCTCTCTTGGGATTCCTCGCCTCCTGTTCTCATAGGGTTCCCGGTGAGCGGAATCGCGGCAACCAGCTGACTCATCACCGTTGAGGACCTTCCGGATGCTCGAGACTGCGGTGTACACGGTAGTTTTGGGTCTGTCGATGATTCATTTTTTTTGTGCGCTTGGCTGAAGAGTCGATATTCCAATCAGAATGCTACTTGGGTTGCGAGCGGTGGGCAGTTCCAGGGTTGAGAGGTACTTCGTTGCTGGTGCTGCGCTGACGCAGTTGCCAGGTGCTCGCCAGGCACTTGGGCCCGCCGTTGCAAACACCAGAATGCCCTAGTTCGTCACCAGAACCTTGTAGTGCACATAGAATCACGGATATCAAAGAAGCCCAGAAGCCCAGAAGCCCAGGTGGGACCCGCTGCAATGATATCTCGCCAGCAGGCTAGATTGGCCCTCGCATTATCAGGTCCTTCTGTCCCTGCTGTTCCTTTCTGCCGAGGATTCCCTGTTCCACGAAAGGCCAGGGTGTGGTACAGATACTGCTGCCCACCCTGTATTCTGTCCCTCGTCTCCCGTACCTGGCACTCGCGCGGGTTAGAAACGGTTGAATGGGACAACACACGGGCCCTCCCTATCAGAATTGATTTGCTGATCGGCTCGCGTAAGCCCGGACGCTCTCTATCAGTCCACCCTCGTGGATCGATCAGCCTTGTTTCGGTCGCGGTACAGGCGCCGCAAAAGCAACCCAACCGCCAAGAGCCGAGTCAGTCTGTAGTATATCGACAAGTATCTTTCCAAGCCAACTAGCCAAGAATGCGATCGTCATCTTATTGAATTAGACCGAGCCCAGCACTGCGAGTCATATAGGAGGACTGTCGCCCGCTCTCGGTCCTGGGCGGATACCCAAGACACGCTAAAGACGATCGCAGCACGCAAAACTTTGTGGTGGGGAACCCCCGACAGTCTTTCTTCCCCTCGACCCTCTTCACCAACATTCTGCATCTTTACCACTTCTGTCACGCTGCCACGCTCCAACACACCCCCAGCACCTCGCGAACCTGTGTATTCTCGGTTTCCCTTGTGTGAAGCTTGTCGCTTCACTTCCCTCGACTCGCACATCCTTGACCCTGGGCGCGGTCTCTTCCTCTCGGTCCCGCCCACCCATCTCCACCGAAACCCGCTCACTCCGACCCTTCGTCTTGCAAAGTTCGCAAAAAAGCAGCCTCTTTTTTGCGAATCTTTGCTCCTTGGCTTGGTCGGCGCCCGACGACGTTTTCCGATTCTCCTACCCTGTATGGACAGTGGAGGCACGGCAACAGCTGCGGGTATTGACCCCAAAATTCTGGATAATTGGCAAACCGACGCTGCCTTTTCAGTCGCGTCCTGGGAACAGCTCGGATACGATCAATCTCCCGAGTGGGATACCAGCCAGGACTCGAGCCAGTGTGCCGATGTCGCCGACTTGGGCGCCTTTCATGACCCGCTAACGGGACCGCTGCTTGACCGCGCGGGCGAGATTCCTCATTTGGAGCATAGGTGCGCAGCCACTGATCCGGCCTTCAAGCCTTCACCAGCATCACTAACCTGCTCTTTTTTTTCGTGGTTCACAGGAAACATGATGGGTCTATAGAGACCTTTACCTATCCTGATGGCACGGCCCAGGACACCGGCAGTGGCACCATCAGCCCTCGCACTCTGCCGTCGTCCACCGATGACAACTTCCATGGCGACGAAACTTGGCCCCATTTCCAGCTATTCAACTCAGTGGCCGCGGGCATGAATATGGAAGCCCCGATTCTCTACCCCTATGGCAAGGCTCCTGATAATTCTGCCGGGGCTGTCATCGTGGAGGACACCGGAGACATGCCGCAAGGCCCAGGTTACGCAGATGCCCCGGCGGAGGCGATTATGTTTCAACAGGTGCCTCCAGGATTCCCCATGATGGCAGATCAATGGCCGGAGATTCCGCATGGGGTACAGATGGAGAATATGCCCGGGCAAGGCCAAGGATCTGTGCCTCTCGCCTTGAACACTCCCAACCCTCAGAAAGATCATGTCTTGCGAGACTTTCAATCTTCCATTCGATCACTGGAGTCACGTTGGCTGAACAGCCTCGAGTCTCAATTGCCAGTGACCCAAATGACCCCCGCCTCATTACTCTCGTCACAGAAAACCAGTCGAAGTGCCCCAGATGGATTCCAGTACAAGTCCGAAAGTTCCTCGGTCTCAGGCGACCTGTCTGGAATATATGAATGCTCTTACTCCGCCACCAGCGAAGAGCCTCCTACATTTGCTGATCAGCAACGGGACGATGACGCAAAATGGAAAATTCCAACCCCGGATCACAGCTCCCCAGAGACGGCGCAGACAATGCTGAAGACCACTGCATTCATGGTCAGCGAGACCCCACCGGAATCTTTAATCAGTACCATTCCGTCACGATCGCGGAATCCCTCATCAGCTGGCCAGCGTGCCTCCGGTCGACCGATGCCTCTCGCTATGCAGTCCGTGGCCACCGTGCGGAAGCGCAAAAATCGAAACGCCCAGTCTTCCATGGACCAGGGCCAACCTAAGCCGCTTCAGATTGTCCAAGAAGATGGACAAGGTGGCTCCATCGCCTCTGCAGATTTTGTTTCCCCACCGCGGGGCGCTCGTCGTAAAGGTCCTCTAAGCATGGTTGGCCGAGCCAACGCTGGTTTGCGTCGAAAGAACAAGGACACCTGTGTCCAATGCCGGTTGAACAAACGCAAGGTTAGTATCTATTTCGAACAGTCACATTGTATTCTGAAACCCACAGAAAACTAATTCAAAACAGTGTGATGGAAGCTCGCCTTGCGATGCGTGTCGGCCGACACTGCACGAGCAGCCCTGCGCTCGCGCTTGTTTCTCTAGTATTGTGGAGTTTGGAACCTGCAATTATATCTGTAAGCAGTCCCCTCTAAACCGTCGAATTTGTATTTTGCACACTAACTCTTTTCTAGCCCAACGAGCTGTCAACCACCCGACTGTCAATGGGTCCAGCAGAGTTCGCCTGGCGATTCCGTCTGAGTTTGACCTGAGTCAACTCTTGTCCTTCCTCTCCGACCGTCAAGGCCGATTTAACATCCGTGCCAGCCAGGCTTGGGGCTCTTTGTACGTTCTCGACCTCGGTGAGACCTATAAGTTCCTGAAGAGCTTGAGCGAGTACAATGGCAATTCGAAGTCAACTTTCTTGGAGTTCATTGATCGCCGGATTGTTGAATCCAAGGACAAGTCGAAGAACTGGTTGACGTGTGTTAAGGATTGCGACCCAATGAACCAGGCCTACGTGAGTCTTTGCCGATTACTCGCCTTCCACTTCGGTATCTCTTTCTAACCTATTGCTACCTTACAGACTCTTCTCTCTCAGTGGAACAATATGCCGAGTCGCGCCAAGTATTCCTTTGTTCCCCTTGATGCCAACGGCCAAGAACGCGCCATGGACGTCAGCAACCCCGAAGACCAGCGGGATATCCTTCTCGCCGCACAGCTATCCCGCATCGTTTGTCGCATGATGGAAGTAGAAGGTTTCCGGAAACTGGAGCGCGATTTCTACAATATCAAATGGAAGCAGATCTCGCATGAGACGCACATTCGCTTCCTCGGCGAGCTCGGCCACATTTTGCTCTCCCTCCGCTGGCGCGTCTCGTGGTGGAAGATGCTAGGCGACGGCGGCCAAACTCCCGACCCAACCCAGCAACACTACATCGATCGTGTCGAGCTGCTCTGCCGCATTCTGTACGTCTATTACACCTGCGTTCTGGCCAAGCTGCCTTCCTGGTCGACCACCGATGTCCCCAAGGGCACTTGGTCGTCGTATGCAGACTCTGAGAATGCGGTGTGGGATGACTTCCCCTCGGACGCGACCGATGCAGGCTTCTTGTCCTGGATGCAGCGAGGTCAAGAACTGATTGAGCAAGCGGGTGTCCCGGGCCGGGTGTCCAAATTCTAAAATTGCGCTGCTCGAGGGGAACGATTCTAATACGGACATTGGCAACGGTGCGACGGGACTACTGGAGTTGGACTTGTTTGATACCCTTATCTTTTTTTCACCTTTCTCTGTTTCTTTTTTACTTCTTCTACCCGGTTTATTCCTTGATTATATTTCCTCTCGTCGAATCTGCCTTCTCTGTCTCATGTCTGGTTCCCTTTTTTTCATGTCTCGACTGGTCACGACTGATATATTGGTACTGCACCTACACTACTTGTTCATGATTGATGATTTAACCGCCTCAAACTTCTGGTACAAAAGAGACAATTGCCTTCTCAACGTGGTTCCCCATTCAAAATTAGTGGAACCAGTTGTCTTTTCTTCACTTGTGTACATGGCTTCCCGCTTCCTTGTTACATATTCTCGTTTTAAGAAATGTTGACTATTGGAACAAACAAATTCTTTACCCATGAACCTCACCGCGAGGAGCCCTACAAAAACACTAGATCACGAGGGGGTATCGTATCGCATTCCATGTAGATCGTATCGCTAGCACGATCTAGACCCAAAAAAAAAGACCAAAATATAGAAAAAAAAAACAAGTACAAATCACAACCAAAAGGAACCCGCAGCGAAAATTCCCCACCAAACAAGCAAAGAATTCTCGTCCATGAGCCCCCATGCCATCGTACACTACCAGCCTCAATTCGTTCCTGATTTCTTCTTGTCCTTGCCGGCCTTGTCCTTCTTTCCGCCGGCCAGCATTTCCAGGTGCCCAGCCTTGGTAGCCAGGCTGCGCTCCGTCTTCGCCACCAGGCCGGAGGTTAGTTTCTGCACGAAAGCAAACGAGTCAGTCAAGAATTCGTCCAGAAGAAGTCCAAGGGCCCATGAGGGCATCCCGAAGAAAGTCAAAACGAGGAACATCCGAGAGGATGTATCCGCGCTGTCGGCTCGGTACAATCGGGAGGGGAAGCAAATGATACGGGTTGAACAAAAAGATGGGGAAAAAAAGGGAAGAAGGGAAGAAAGAGTATCACCACAACGCACCTTGTTCAGCTTGGCAACCTTGATCAGAGCCTGCTTCTTCGGCGCAATCTGGCGAGGGCCAGGCTTTGTTCTGGCATTCGCGCCCCTGTAAAAATAATATCGGCATTAGGTGAGATCTCGCTAAAGGGGAGTTGATTGTCTGCGTCCGTCCGCAAAGACCTGGAACCGGGGGGGGGGGGTAACGCATACCGCTTAGCGGTCGCCGTAGACGGCTTGCTCTTCTTGAGGAGACCCTGGGCCATGACGATGTTCGTGTTGGTATTTTGGGGTTTAAGAGGGTCTGGAGAAGAGGGTAATTCGGGTATATGGGAATATCCGAGTAAAGAAGCTGCCAGCAGCACGGAGAGGAAATCTGAAATTCCAGTGATGGTGGAAGTTCTGGGAGCGTCGCCGGGGAAAAATCCTTATCGAGTTTATCGCGGGTCACGTGGGCGGAAATATACTTAGACTATCGGCCAATCAGCGGGATCTTGGGGTGGGGTCTATGGGTTAATTGTTCGTGCTGAATGAGTGGATGTTGTGATTTATTTTTTAGAAAAAATATATGTGTGTGTATATGTATAAATTGCTATATGGTACATAGAGTCCCTTGCCGGGGGTTGCCGAAGTAGGTCGAGCAATAACTTAGCGTTTGCCTAATATCGGAAAACTGCCATTCTTCTTCAAATCCTCTAGTTTCCCAGCCAGGGTGGAATCTTTCTTCTTCAGGAAATCCATGAAGCTACTCATCATCATGCCTTGTAGGTCATTGACTTCCTTCCATGGCTCGACCTGGCTTGGCACCGTTGGCCCCGTATAGACATTGCCTGGATGCTGCTTGGCTTGCGGCCACAGATATGATAGCTCCGCAGCATTCACCACGACCAGGGGATAGAGCTCGCTCCAAACCAGGTTGCCCAAGATGCGCATGTGGCCGTGGTAATCTGGGTCTTGATATTGGGCGATTTCAGCGGCGTTTCCGTCCGCGCTCTCATTGGCAGCGGCGCTGCGGTCGAAGTTTGCATCGATGGCGATGACATCGTTTCGGAAGTCTCCTGGGAGCATCGCTTTGTCCTTTTGGAAGGACGGAGTAGTCTCGTTGATGTATGAGTCTGCACTCTTGGGGTCGATCAGGAGAAAAGTAGACGGTGGTACTTTTCGGCTCCACTCGTCTGAGGAGCGGATCTGTTGGTAGTGTCTATGTAAAGTGTTAGTCGCCATGTTCCCGTAGAATTCATCGAGTAGATGAATATAAGAGTGGGAATTTCGAACCTTCTGGCAGCTTCGACAGTATTGGCTGGATCGAAGCCTAGTTCCTTGCCGTCGAACCAATGCAATTTGAGTAGTGGCTTAAGCTTATCAGCAAGTTGGACATCATCACCCCATGCGGAAAAATCAGCTTCCACTTTTTGCTTCAGACTCTGCAACTGCTCGCCAGAGAGCTTGTGCGCTGTGCAGTAAATCGCCAATCCGAAGCCGTATTTTTCACTTTCACTCGGCGGCATCTGCGAGATCGCCTCGTGGGTATGGAGGAGAAGTTGGATCCAGGGCTGTACAGATTGCTGCGGTGCCGACGACCGGCCGCGTATCTTTTCACGCAGTTCGTCTTGAACAACCGTGCTAATGGACATGCGCTCGCGACGAGCAGCTTCGCTCTGTGTCGCACTTGGGCCTTGTATCTTTTGAGCCTCGTTCTGAGCCTGAATGCATTTAGTGAGTCGGTCCATCAAAGCTTCATTCAAGCCGTAGTTTGTCTGTAGCTTTTCCAGGTCGGGATTGTAAAGCCCGCCGACGATCTCAGAGGGCGGATGATAGTCATTATACCCGTCCATAGTAATCCAGATCTGGAGATCTGCCTTGCAAACAACAGAGATGAGATCGGTCCACTGCTGGGAGAATGTATTCATTTCTGGGCCATCCATCTTGTCGGGACCTAGAGCGGAGAGGCCGTCCAGCGTTCGCTCGCGCAACTCGGCAGCGCGGGCTATGACCCATGAATGGGCGGTGCTGGTCATAATTTCGTACCTGGCACGGATATACTCTTCCCATAGTGCAGTGAGTTCGAGCTTAGGGGAAAGATTGCTCTGGGCCTTGCGCCGGGCGTTCAAGGCGTCCTGCATTATTTGCAATTCCTTTGAGACGTTGTTGAATGTGTCGCGCATTTTCACCCGGTTCTGAGGGAAATTCAGGTACTCGAAGACGGCCAGCACGGAAGTCAGGTATTCATGAGCGACCGCGAAATGGTCCGGATTGTTCAGATCCTTCTCTTGCCATCGCGATGCAGAAACGGGAGCGAGACCTTCCGAAAGACGTCTCTTGACGAAGTGAATGTTTTGCCCCAGCTGACACAGCCCGTTTGAGATTTCGGGATTCAGGATCTGCTGCATTATGTTCTCGATCGCTGGGGGAGCGTCCTGGTTGAACGGAGCTGGCGCCCAGTGTGCCCTTGGGGCCGTGAACAGCTGAAGTTCATCGGGAGTGAGTAGACTCAAGTCTGTCTCTTTCCTATTTGGCAGAATACCAGACGAAATAAATTCGAGGAAATGGGGCACAAAAAGAGGCTCGAACAAGGCATCCACTGATTTTGTTAGCGAGGTGATGTTAATGGCATGTTGAGAGGAGCTCTTGACTTACCAATTGGCAAGTCCTGGTTCGTCCAATGTTTTTTTGTGTCGCTCGTTCCTTTGAAACCCGTGGCATCAAGGATGGAAGCGTTGACCGTGGCCGGTGAACCAGAATCTGTATGCGCATATCGCGCAACATTGGCCCGGATTACACGGGAAGTCCACGGCGCGCGGCGCGGCACACTGCGTCGGATCGCGCCAAACGACGATCCAGCGAAAAGACGGCGGTTAGCCTGTAGCAGGGTCCGGGATAGCCTGGCCGCCATGATACGTAGGATAGGATGCGATCAACAAGCTTTTTGATTTTCAAGGCGTTGACGATCTCAGAAGAAAAGCTCCGGACTGAACCCCTGGCCCCTGGTCTAGCCGCAATAGCCTCGGGATCGAGCCAATCGGTAGCCTGGGGAGTTAGGCGAGATCCCCCAAGCACTAGATTCAGGTCTAGCTTCAAGTCCCCCCAATCAGGGTTCAAATGAAATCTATTCGAAGATTGCCTGCGCTCCACTACAGTCCTGGTGGGATTCCATCGACGGCTTCCACATTCAAAGTGCAACGCTCGTTCATTTTCTGAAGTTGAATGTCATCCCGGTGGTTATACATATTCTTTTGAGTGACACCAATCTTCCAGTGGGCCACAATATAAAGAGAGAAAAAAACAACACTTGAACTGGGAGAAATGCATATCATTGGGAAGTAATACTCTTATGGTATCGCCTGCCCGAAGACCGCTGTACCTGCATTTGTTCGCCGAGCGGATGCACAACTGTATCTGTGACACTGAGATATATATCATGTCCTACTTGCGCCACTAGCTTCAATCTCTTTTTAAAAGTACGCCCAAATCAAGGGAAGCTCTCAATCAGGACAACTAACTCATTGACCGGCTACGAAACGCTGCTTCAATTTCTGATCGAATGGACCGCGCGTAGTCCGAACAGCGACAAGGCGCGACAGACTTTCTTCAGATGCTTCACCTTTGATGCCCTGCGTCTAGCACATGGATGCTACAATGAACTCGTTGAGTCCGACTAGCTCGGTTATCTGGATAGCGAGGCTCACGGGAAAAAACCAAGATGAGATAGGCAAGAGCCTCGATGAACAGAATTTGATGTTCGAAGCTTTCGGAGTTCTTCTAGCTGAATTCAATGTCAAGTTCGAGGGAGCTCGCACTCCTGACCATTGGGTTCTTACATAGGTACTGGATCAAACGAATCATGGAGTATGTTTCCAGACAGCACCCCTACGATAAAAAAGCATGTTCTGGCGGAGGACGAAGAGTATCGGTGTGGAACTTACTATGGAAGATTGTTTTGTTTGGCTCTCGACTGACTCTTCTTTATTTTCTAGCCGAAGGTCGATGAACTGGAAAATAGCGACCCATGCTGTTGACAGATTCCAGGATGGTGGTTTTTTTCCCCTGTTTATCAGCAGTAGTGTCGGATTGTCAAGCCACAATATTTTCCCTAGCTTGTCCATTTCATGCGATCTCAACGGCTAGTCGCATATTCGGTATAATTGGCAACATTGTCGGTCGTCACGGTTCTCCGCCTGAGTAGGCGCCGCAGCACGGGAAAACACAATAACAAACACTCACCGCAGGCCCGAGCCGAAGAATTGGCAATGCGAAGGACCGCGGCCAGGGATCGGGATTCACTGTGGAATTTGGTTGCTCTTCATCGAGGGAGATCGATACATTCCAGAGATGCAGGTCCCGACGTCCAGGGGTGGAATTAAACCGGATTCTCTCTGGGAATCCGGGGACTGGGTATGCGTGGATCGGGATTCTTGCATGAAGACGTCATTGCCGAGCAAATACCAATAGAAATGTGGTGGGGAGATGGACATCAAAACAAAGGACTATCAAGTTCCATCCCCAGCGACGACGCTAAAGGTGGAGGTGAGGCAGTGGGATAGGGTCGACGACTTCGTCATGTTGATGTACGAGGATCTACCAGGCTACAGGCTATGGGAAAATCATGCATACAAGAAGAGAACGGAAGCATCAGAAGAGGGGACATGACATTACAAGCGTATCTGTAGACGGCCTGAATTCCCTGGGAATACAAGATAAAACGAAAACATGGTATTTGAAACGCGCAAAGCCCAGCTCAAAAAAAGGAGCAAGAGATAAAAAAAGGAAGTTTTTCCATATCAAGTATCAATAAGATCAAACCCTCATTAATTTACTGGTAGAAGAACAACCAGATCCTTCTCGAGGTCATCCAGAAAGGTAAAAAAGAATTAACAGAAGTGAAAGCCGACAGGGGGTGGAAAGACAGGGATTAGGTGCATGCCAAGATTCCCACGCGTGGGGCGCATAGTGACCGCGGAGCCCGTCCCCGCTTCCCCCCTCCCGTCACCCTCGATATTCAAGAGGAACTTTGATTTAGAGGGCCATGAAGGCAAAGAGACCGGCCATGACGGCGCCGAAGCTGGCGACGTTGCGGCCAGCAGCGTTGAAGACCGGGGTGGGGGTGGTCGAAGCAGTAGCGGTGGGCTTGACCAGAGGGGTGCTCTTGATGGTGGTGGGCTTCACGGCAGGGACGGAGCTGCTGGGAGCAACAGTCGGGGCAGCAGTGGTCTCGGTCTCAGGGCAGATGGTGGTGGTGATGACCCAGGTGGGGGTGATGGTGGTGGAGGGAGCCGCGGTCTCGGTCTCGGGGCAGATGGTGGTGGTCTCGCTCTCAGTGACAACAACGGTCGAGCTGGCGCTGGAGCTGGAGCCCTCGGCGGCGGAGATACCGAACTGGGTAGAGTACTGGTACTGGCCGGTGCCCTCAACGACGAGGAGCAGACCGTAGTGGGTGGTATCGGGGGTCAGGCTGGTGCTGGGAGTCCAGGTGTAGGAGCCGCTGTTGTCGATGTCCTCGACAATGGTCTCCAGAGGCTGGACATTGGTGGAGGGGCCGCGCAGGAGGACCAGAGAGACCTTGTCGCCGGCAGTGGGAGTCCACGTGATGGTGTAAGGCTTGCCCTCAGGGACCTGCTCGTTCAGACCAGGAGTGAGGATGGGGTTGCCGGTGGGGTCCTGGGAGTAGTCGGGCTGGGTGTAGGCAGTGGCCAGGCCGGCGAAGACGGTGACAAGAGCAGCAGCGGAGAAACGCATGGTGACTGATTTGAGTGATTTCGATTTAACGAATGTTAAAGAATGACTAGGGGTGGGACGTAAAGAACGTAAAGAACGTATGAGGGGATGGGAAAGAACGACGAGGGAAGACGAGCGAGGAAATTGGGAAAGAGCGGACTTAAAAGGAGAGTGAGAGTGAGCGAGAGTGAGAGGCAAGTGAGCGAGTCAGCGAGTGAGAGGGCACGACGGCGAACAAGTCCGTTCGACGTCGTGGTGGAGCCCAGTAGGATTATGCGGAGTGGAGTCGCTTTTAGTTTGGGGAGTATTTTAGTTTGTTTTTTTTCTTTTTAGTTTAGTTTGTTTTTTTTTTAGCATTTTATTATTTCCCGTTTCGAGGATAATCTCCAAGTCGCTTGCTCAAAAGGACATCTATACTGTGGACGATTGAATAGATGCTATATTTATCTACGTTTACATACATCAATAACTATCGATGACCATATCAAACAAGGGAAGAGAAGTTTATCTTCCAACTGGTTGTTTATGGATCTCGCTCCTTTCTGGGGGGGAATTTACTTTCAGGGTCATCGAATCAGGCACCCGAACCGACATTCAGGTACCATGAACGGGGGCCCTGGACGAAAAGGCCCTGAATCCCCATTTCGGGTCCCCTCCCTCCAGGGGCCACGACCAACCAGCATCGGTCTACGGAAGCAGTGGGGCGCCTCTGCTTAGCGAAGTCACTGCCATCGAGGCGCAGGAGATGCGACCAGTACTCGCGGGACTCGTCGGTCCCGATCAATCACACACGGACGGCACCAGCGCCACCAGGCACGAGAGGTTGTCGGTTCACGGGCTCACTGGGTCGCTGGGTCATTTCTGATCCTCTGTTTGAGGCGGGATAAGACTGCGGTTCAGTTCCACCTGGAGCGATCAACCTCCCCAGACACGGCAGATTCCCGACTACAAACTCATGGGAAGGTGAGGACTATCTCGACTCAGCCAGTGCCCCAAGGTCAATGCGACGGTGCCATGCCTTTGCTGGCCCTCGTGGGGCGTGCGGGCCCGGCTGTGGCTCGTGGGTGCCTTTTAGGTCTTTGGGATCGTATCCGATGGAGAGGGCGGGGAGAGGCGTTGGCCTTCTCTAGAATCAACACGGGAAGACCTCCCGGCAAGGCTGGGCACAGTGTTGTCACTTTTGTTCGAGATGATTGGGGAGGGTGCCTTTCTCGCACTGGCAGCCCATTCCATCCACCGTTTGGAGGCTCAAGATTGGCGAGTGGACCGGGGGGCCAAAGGGGCGTCGGGCAGGTGATTGGAGGACATTGACCGAGGGTCTCATTTCCCACAGAAAAGGGAAATTACACAGGAACCCGCGCGGCCAGTCATTGGGCGCGACAGGAGCGCAAGAATGCGGTCAAAGGCTAACATGCCCAGTGCCGAGTCCTGACTAGTCCTGAACGAGGGACGCCCGGTACGCTTTGCCCTGTGGCCTCGTCTCAACGTATCACCAGGAAGGCACACTTGAGAGACAGAGAAACCCGAGAAAGCTGAGAAAGCTGAGAAACTAGGACTTTCGATGTCTTACTCTTTTTCGACTTGCGGTCAAAAATAGTACATCAGACAGGGACCACCCAAGGGCGGTTTCTGGAGGTAACCAGAAGAGGGAAAAAAGGGAAATCGTGGAGACCCGGAAGATCCCCGGCTGAACCGGTCACCGTCATGGACTGGATCTATATCGACCGTTGCTACGAGGGTCTTCGTCTACTGTGTATGCTCCGTTGAGGACAGGGGATACGGAAAATACATACTCTGTGCGGAGTAGAGAGTAATTAATCGAATCAAATTAAGTCTCATTAAAGGCTTCCCGGGATTTCCATGGGTAATTCGATTGAGACCTCGATCTAAATTGTTCCTCGCCCGGGAGACAAGGCTTCATTATCGAGGTAAATGCGTATTGTAGGAAACCCATCTGATCCAAATACCATTTGCGGTATGCAATTGAGAAATCCCTGATTCTGTGAGATTCATCAGATCAACACGCATCATCGCTATCGATGACATTCCTCCATCTTCCCAACCCGGGCTTCCAGAACCGCCCTGATCGGTCTCATTTCCCCCTCAGACGCCACCGTCTCGTGTCATCATGCCCGAACCAGGTCCTGGTTGGTTTGGCCGAAGAATCCTGCTGGTCCCGTTGGCCCTTGGCAGGTCCGAGACCCTGAAAAGGATTACCCGGCCTTCCATATTTTCTCCGTCGACCGCTGGAATAATACAGGCATGGTATTACTTACCTTTTAATTATTCAGATTTGCCCGGCCGACCGGGCCCCCTAAGACAGAGCCCATTCCCATTTATTACCAAAATGTTTTTTTTTCATGATTATTCTAGCATCATTTTCTTCCTTGTTTTGACGCATCATTTGGCTCAATCACATCATGATAATCACCAGCAACACCGTCCGTACATAGTAGCATCTCCACACTCCCTACCTAGAGCCCATCAGAGAACAGCCACAGTCGGGGCTGCCGATCCCACCGGTTCGTCGGGGGATGGGCGAGGGCCGCGGAAGGGATCAACCGTTGATCAGGGGGGCAACGGGGAAACGGAGGTTTCAGTGGGCAGTCTAAATAGTCGGCTTCGTGGCTGGTTGGAGATATGATCCGTGATCATGTGTAGGACGTACATTTGTATCGCCGCGGATTATCTCCATGTGCACCAATTCTTCCATAACTGTACCGGGCGGGTCCGAACCCAGGTGGGTATGCTTTCTACATACAGAGGCTCTCAACAGCCCGATTGCCTCGTTCGGAATGACCGAGATGACAAAAATAAATATACCTTACCACAAACTATTGGTCTCGCCTCCACTGTCTTCCCATCTTTTCCAGAGGGCGATTCCTCGGTGATTCATCAATGGCGGGAAATTTGGTTTGTCTCAGCGCCCGCGCACGGGGAGTGGCCGTGGGTTACCATGATTTGCTGTAGCTCGCGCATTTCTTGTTCCTGAACAGTTCCGGGTGGAGCCGCAGTCGGATATGGACGATAAGTGGACAGTGGATGGGGGACCCGCTGTCTTTCTCCGTCGGCATGTTTGCATTCCCCTTTTCGTGCTCGCCACCGCTAGAGGTGCTGCATATGTGTATAATCACATAGTTGCCGGGCTCATAGGAACAGCGTGTTCCGAACAAGTGGCGCATCTACCCTTTTTCATGCCCTGAAGCCACTCCATCTCGCTTCTCGATTGATTCGGCACTATTGAGACATATCCATGGCTCTGGGGAGGGGAGGGGGCCCTTGGGGGCTCAAAAATAGCTGCTCGCCAGGCCGGAGTGGGGAGTTCAGTGGGGGATGATGGCCTTACAAGAAGCAGGAGCCTTCTATGATTATCTTTAGAATCCCAACGTGGATGCGTGCTGGGCCTGGTCGCCGGTTTCGATGCCCTTTCCATCGTGCGACCGGAGCTAATTCACGATCTACTCGATCTAGTAGTTTGTCCGGTCCTGTCGCCAACAAAGGTGGTTCCCCTCCCTGTGTTGCCTTGCGAGTTGATCCTGATTTATCATGCATGATGAATCCTGGTGTCCCTGCTTGGTATGTACTTCGCCCACTAGGTCCGCGAAAACCTGGTTCAGGGTGGCCCATCTATAGCCGCGATCCTCTCCGGGACCCTGCGTTGCATCGGCTCCTGTCTGGAGACATCCTGCAGGCCTAAGCATCCTAAGCTTGGTCCAGCCTCTCTTGGCGAGCAATTAGAGAGAGAAAAAAAAAAGAGATGTAGGCAAGATGGTTCTAAGTGCACTAGGCTTCGAGACATCCAACGCCCGCTTTTTGCTCACCCTTGGCGTCCGAGTCTGCGGCTCAGCCTCATGGCTATTTTGAGGGGTGGTGGAAATTGCATTTAGGCAGACCTTGGACAGACTTGTCCACCTTGTGTTCCCAAGTTGGGAAGCAGGACCCTACCGTGCCATCCTCCCGGCCGCCTGTACGCTGCACGCTCAGGGCTCGCGACCACCTTGACAGGACCCTGTCGGGTGACATGGGGCTAGACTTCCCACCAAGCAGCATGCCGGTCTTGCCGCTGCGAGTTTGTGCCTGCAGTGGTGGCACAAAGCGTACCTGGATGGGCGGAGTACGTGGCGTTCACTAGGTAGGTCAAGGTGGTGCATGTTCTGATCGCTGACGGGTCCTAATGACGTTGTAACGCGCTGAGATTGGCCCCATTCATAACTCCATTCTTGGCTAGAATATTCCCCGAAGGCGACTCATGATTGCGTTGCAGAAATATGGAAGTATCTGTTACTTCGTGAAGACCGAATGATTGTTGAATATGGCGCGATCCTGTCATGCTCTGTCTCCTGTCTTCTTAGGTCTTGTGATGTTTCAGATCCTGCTGCCTTTCTGTAGATACCGCGAGCCACCACGTAAACTTCCTCGGATTATACTATTGCAGGCACCTGATGACCCAAAGACCCATGTTCTCTCTCTCTCCGAACTCCGTACTACAAGGATAACTCACTCCGAAGGAGTATATAGGCTACTACCACGAGGCCACCAGCTTTTTCCCAGCCCGGCATTTATCTCATGGAGGCACCTTGCATCGATAGGACGGCTGAAACTGTTGACTTACATCGTAGGTAGCTTCAACCAGACTACGATATAGCAATATGGAGATTTCTTAAGTCAGCCAATTTGCCTAACAAATTCACATCGAATACTTTTCAAATCAATCTAGCCGTGTCTGTCAAAAACAGGAGTTTTGGGAGATGGACACTATCGGAGACGGAATTGTGGAACAATGAAAATACATGTATGTAATTCATATCTGTTTGATATTCGAAATAAATACCGAAATAAGATAATAACCTCCTCCAACATTGGAAGCATCGCTTGCTATGTCATCAAATATGTCGTCGCTATCTACAGTTGAGTATCCATGCCCGGGCTCGTGCAAGAGTCCGGGCCACCAGCGGTGTCATCAGGCTGGTGTCATCGGTCCAATCATAAGGTGACCCTTTTTCCAAAAAAGCCAAGCCAAGCCAGCTCAGCTGTCCAAGGACAAAACAAAAAAGAGAAAAAAAAATTGAATATGTTCCTTACTCCAACCAGGTGACGGTCTTGGTCTGCAGGAACTCGTCGTAGCCTGCAACACCGCCAAAGCGGCCGAAGCCACTGCTCTTCCATCCACCGTGAGGCAGAGTGGGCTCGTCATGGACAGTCAGGGAATTGATGTGGACGGCACTGCGAAAGGAGCGGATTAGTCTCTCACCACTCGAGGCCATTTTGGGGATTTCTCTCGAAAAGATCGATGGAACTTACCCTGAATCGATCTGTTTGGCGACGCGCAGACCGCGGAACAAGTTCGTCGTGAACACGGCAGCGGTCAGACCGTACTCCGTATCGTTGGCAAGCGCGATCGCCTCATCTTCGGTGTCCACGACAATCAATGACACAGTCGGACCGAAGGACTCAGTCGCGTAGATGTCCATCTCCTTGGTCACGCCATCAACAATGATAGGGCGCATGATGGTATCCCGAGACTCGTTAGCGTTGGCATCACCAAACAGCACCGAGGCGCCGCGCGAAACAGCATCGGCCACAAGCTTCTTGTTCTTCACCGCCGCGACAGAGTTCACCAATACCAGAGCAGGAGCGTCCTTGCCGAACAGCTTCTCGGCCGTCGCGGCCAGCTTCTGACGGAACTGGTCTGCGATGCCACGCTGCACAACGATGCGCTCAGTCGACATACAGATTTGGCCAGACTGGCAGAGCAAGGAAGAAAAGAATCAGTATCAGCATGTCCAAAGTACACGGCGACGGGTCCGACTTACATGCATGAACGATCCAAGCGAACAGTTCATGGCCGCCTTATCGAGGTCGGCATCATCCAAGACAATGGCCGACGCCTTACCGCCCAGCTCCAACAGCACAGGCTTGATATACTTACCAGCAGTGGAGGCAATGATAGAACCAACATTGGTGCTACCTGTGAAGTTGACCTTGCGCACAGCCGGGTGGGCAATCAGGGCGGTAGTTACCGCGGCCGCATCGGAAGGCTGGTGATAGATCACATTCAAGCATCCGGTAGGAAGACCAGCCTGGCGGAAGATATCACCAAGGGCCCAAAAACACTTGGGTGACAGTTCGGAGCCCTTGAAGACGACTGTGTTACCCGCGGCGAGCGGAAGGGCAATGGCACGTGTGCCCAGGATGAAGGGCGCATTCCTGCGGGTACACGAAAGGTTGCTGTCAGTTACACGAGGACAAGCTAACGACCTGCAGCATATTGAAAAGTGGAGAGAGGGGCCTTACCAAGGCGCAATGGAGAGAATCACACCATACGGCTGCTTGAAGACCATGGCGCCCTCGCCGTCGACGGTGACGTTGGGCACTTTTCCTTCAATTGTGGAGATGCGCGCGGCAAAATCCTTGATAAAGCTGACACCCATGTTGAAGGTATGCTCAGCGAACGGACGGCCCGCACCGGTCTCCTCTTGTTGATAGGCGATCAACTCCTCTTTACGCGCATCCATGATCTCGGCAGCCTTGAACAGAATGTCCCGGCGATCGTACGCCTTCATCTTGCTCCAGGACGGGAAGGCTGCTTGTGCGGCTTCCACGGCGCGTGTCGCATCGTCAACTGAGGCACCAGCGCAATGGCTGGACAGCGCGCCGGTAGCGGGAGCGTGGACCTCGAACTTGATGTCGGTTACCACGGACTCATTGTTGATGATGAGCGGAATCACCTCCTGGGTACCGTTTTGAGCCATGATGAATATATAATTTGTGATCTGACGACCTGCCTGCAAACAACGATGATGAATGATCGACTCAGGGGGGGGAAGAAGTGCCGAAATGCAGAATGAGGGGTTGAATTTAACCTGTCGAACATCGGATAGCTGATCTTGCCGAATTAGAGGGATGTGGGGGCAAATGTGGGATACATGCGGTCGCTCGCCCGGCCTTCGAGGTTATATCCGACCCAACCCCGGACAACGAACGGACGTGGTGGCTTGGAAGGCCCCCAGAACAGCCGTTGAGCCTCCGTGGCGAAACCCAATTGCCTGAGTGGCGAGCCGAGTGGGGGACAACTCCCGAAATTCTCATCCCCGGCTTTGAGGGCTTTGCAGGATCACTAGCCTCAGGCGCAGCCGACTCGGCCTGCTGACTAACAGCTTCGGGGATTTTCCGCGATGTCCCCACCAACTGGGCTGTTTTTTTCTGCTACAAGGAGACACCGGATGAACGAAGGGAGGGAGAAAGGGAGGAATTGAGAGAAATCATCTTCAAGACGTCACAATTGCCAAGAAAAAAGAGGATAGAAGAGTAAGGAGCGAAAGCTGACAAAAACAAACAAGAGCACTCCATGTATGCCGCTGATGATATCTTCCAACGCCCAACCAAATTGAGTATTTCCTTTTCAAAAGTCCCCATTCCCCGCGCCTAACTAAAATGTCAAATGCCAGTATTGTTTGAATCTATTTCTGTTTGCCGCCGATCAATTGGCCCAGATTTTCGTTTCCGTAGTGGTGGAGGATGACTTTGCCAGGTCGGCAAAGGGACAAACAGAGACCTTGGAGTGGTTGGCTTGCGAAGTCGTAGTCGCGATCGATGGTGCGGCACTCTGCATTGAGGGCGCCATACTGCTGATAATGCTGGCCGTCTCATCATCGCCGGAGCTGCTTGAGCTGCTTCCCAAGATCTTCTGGTCGCCCAGATAGCCCTCTTTGGACCCGAAACTGTACATGGAAACCTCATCGGCATATTCGTCGCCGTCACGAACGCGCCATTTGGCGAACAGATCATTCTGGATGCAGAGAATCTTGTTGACCGCACGGATGAGCGCAATTTTCCGTCGCAGAGAGATGTGCGGGTGCGACAGCAGAGCCTCAACGAAGATGTCTTGGATGAATCCCATGCAGGCGTTGATATGAATATACTCGATGTTCAAAGCGTGCATCCGCTCCATGCCACTATGCATCATACTGCGATGGATTATCAGTAATGGAAACATTGAAGGGCAATGCGAGGGCATTATATCTTGGGATATAGTAAGCGATCAACATACCCAACTTTATTCAAGTACCGCCAGAATTCCATGCTGGTGGGATCTTGGCATAGGCGGGTGAGGTACCACCGCAGGAACATTTTGCGACGTTGGATCTTGGGTGTTTCCTCGTGTAGATAATCCTCCTCGGGCTCAACTTCTTCGGCGGTGCTTCGGGTATGGAACGCACGAGAGGTGATGTCATATTGGAGCAGCTTCTTATATACCAGATTTACCACTGCCGGGATGAGTTGTTTGATATATTTGGCTCCGGACTGGAGGGCCTCAACGTCCGCTGTGTTCCGAAGATATGGGGATCAGCCTCAAGACTAGTAAAAGATGGATTGATGGCATGCGTCTGGGAACCACCTACCTGAGTTGAAGTCTAGGAATTCGTGCAAGTATTTAATCCGCTCCTCGAGGCTGACATATAGTAACTTTCGATCCACGTGCTTAGGCTGAAAGCCAACATCCCCCAATCCATAGTCGTGAGGCATAATGAAGAATATGTGAGATGGTGGCCGGGGAACAGTAGAGTCTGGGTCACCCAACAAGCTTTTTGACAGCTGTGGACTTCTCAAAGAAGGCAATGATAAGTGGTAGACGGTAGACGGTAGATGGTAGATGGTGGATGGTAGACGGTAGATCTCAAATAACCTTGGAAGAGTAGCAAGGAAGAAAACCGGGGCTCCTCGTGGCATCCACATGGCCCCAGGGCAAACCGGACGTTTAAATACTTCGCCACCTCAACGTACTCGATAACCTCGATCTCATCAGCTCGAGGATCGGACCCTCCATCACAATCCCAGACCGAAAGCGAATGCACCTCTGACCCAATTCAGGAGTCACAACAAGTAACTAGGGTGTGGAACTCCTTCCCAGAATAGTGACGTGTACCGGGTTCTGACAATAGCTCGCCCCCTGGGGACGAAGGTTCCCAAGCGTACCACAATGCTCAATTCTCAAATCGGACCACTCAGAAAGGTAAGGGTGGGTGACTTCGAATCGTAGGTCGACGGAATAGTTAACCGGGCATCGGCAGGTGTGGGCTGATCCCTGCAATCTCCTACATCCTTCATCCACAATCCCCTCCACCAGGGCCCATCGGTGACAGGACTGGCGTTCCGAAACGAAACCTTGCGAGGGCAGCTCGATGGATCGTGAAACAAGCGACCACGTGGAAACGCGGAAGTATTGAGCCAGTCCAGATTCGACTCGCCAAAAGAATTCTCCTATGTGGCGCTGCGCTTTGATCTCGTCCACATTGTTCTGGAAGAACTGGAAAAGGGCAGACTATTTGAACTCTACCAGAACAGGGGGCACGATCGATGGATCTAGCGAATCAAATCCCGATCGAACTCGTTCAGGCTTCCACGATTGAGCTTTACTATTCACGTAGTGCTGCGTACTCCGCTGTGGTCCCGTAACCCTCAACGGCCTTCGAACCGAGACTAGCTCTATTCGGAGCCGACGGCCCGGCACGAAGTTTTTTTTTCTAACCTTTTTATCCTCTCTTTATTATGCAGGTCGACGTATCATGAATGCCACTTATGCTCGACTCTGTGCATTCAATCAGGCAACCGACAACGTAGAAGAAGCCCAAGCGGAAAGGCTGTTTTTGATACTTACATCCCTGCGACAATCCTCCTTGATTTCGTCCAGGAGAACAAGGATTTCCTTCCGGGAAATTGCATCTCAAAAAATAAAAAAACAAAACCCACTCAGCGGTTCGGCTCCGGGTGGGTCCCGAGAAACCGCCTGCAGAGGAACCAAGAGAAACTAGAAATGCAGCGGCCCCATTTCGAGAACGCCTGCATAATCCTATATTACAAATGGCTTCTCAATGGCTACCAATAGTCGACCGCCAGTTCCAAACTTGAGTCGTGTGATGGCGTGGCCTGATACCTGATCCGGGCAAACTCGGCCGGTGGGCTGATGAGCGATAGCCTCCGGTTGGACCGGATCGTTCCCTGGTGAGAACTTGAAGCTAAGGAATAAAAGGGGCCGACCTCTTGCAGAATAAGGTTCCCATGTCGACTATGGTTTTTCTTTGACTCCTACGTAAGCGATGACAGATTGAGCAGGCGGATTTCCGTCTCCGCCTCATTTCCGTGGTCTCCGCTTTCAATCTGAGACGCGCTAGACATGTTTCTAAACAGCCGCGCTAGACGATCGACAATGCCTGTGTTGATCACTTCGTGTATGGCGGTCTAGACGCTCTCAAATCAGGTTTCCTGGCCCTGAGGCGTCGAAACGTTGTGTCTGCCCCGCGTTCTCGGACGCCTCTGACATCGTGTCCCATGGAAGTGCCGTGCCAAGCCAATTTAATTGACCCTGAAGAAAATGACAGCGGCTGGTCTTTGGTTTTGACACCGGTCTTATTGTCTCGTGCGAATCAAAGATCGTGTTCGACCATGGAAATGTGAGCTATCGAGAATTGCGGATGTGATGAGTCTGCCTCCCAGCTCCTCATAATCTATTTCAGACACTACTGGCACATTGAAGGCAAGAAAAGGGCATTTAGTTATCATCTCAAGAGATTTATTTCTAGACCAATCCAATGTCCCCTTTTACCCACAGGAAATGGAGTTGCGGATTACTACTCTAGACTAAATTGCTTCCCCGCACTTTCTCGCCGACTCATAGTTTGGTGGCGGTCGCCTGGCTTCGAGCAGCAGCAGCATCATACAGACCTTGAATATCTGCCTTCCATTGGTCCTCATCGACGCGGGCCAAACGCCGGTCGTAGGTCATCAGTCCATTGACTTCGCCCTCAACGTCGGTGGTCTGAGTCCAAATACCTCCACTGCACGCAAAGCGCTTGACCTGATCCTGGAGCTCCTGGAGGAGGAGGTGGCTCCGGTAATTCCAGCTGTCAATCGTTTCGTCGATCTCATAGGTTTGATTAATTGTATTGATAGCAGATTGTACGTTCCAAAGACTATTGCGGTTGTCAATCGGATGTTTTCGCAGGAAAAACAAAGGGAAAAACCACAATAAAACTCACTGTTCGATAGAAACATTGTTTCCGACTCCACCAAACTCACCCTGGAAGCCGATCCGGGTGGCATCATACGGGCTCGAATTGATGGAGTAGAAGGGAGTCCCGCATTGTGGGTTGGCGTAGTGGTGATTATCCTGTTACTTGTGAATAATGATTTGTTGATTCTGTGTTATCGGAGATATACTCACACTGAAATCTCCAGCACCGTGATCATACCATCCGGTTGTAGAGTCCACCAGTCGGGTTGGGTCCAGCTGCTTTACTCGCGCTGTCAATTCGAACTCGGGATAGTAGGATCTGAGTTGACCCCAGCCTTCATTATAAACAACCTAGATAGGGCTGTGAGTACCTCGATTGTAAAGAGCTTCTCACACTGTCTTTTTCGACTTACCCAGGCCGCGATACTAGGGAAGTTTTTGAGCTGGTTGACTAAAAGGTCCAACTGGCGTGAGAATTCGGCCTGCTGGGCGGCATCAGGCAATCTGCCATCCGCAGGTCGTAGCGCAGGCATATCCTGGACGACTAACAAGCCAAGTTCATCACAGGCTTGGTAGAACAGCTCGGGCTCAACTTTGATCTATATATGAAGGTCATCAGTATGTAGCTTTTGAGCCGCCTTGCTTTCGAAGAGAAGCTTACATGTTTGCGAACTGTATTGAAGCCGAGCTTCTTCAGAAGCTGCAGGTCGTACACCATGGCCTCTTTGGTAGGGGGCGTGTAGATCCCATCCGGCCAAAATCCCTGATCGAGAGTACCGAACATGAAAATAAATTCGCCATTCAAAAGTGGGCGGACAACACCATTAACTGTTCCCTTAGAGATGGTGCGGAACGCGGTATAACTTTGAATGCGGTCTTTCCCAAGTTCAACAGTGACACTATACAGATTGGGAGAGTCGGGAGACCACAACTTTGGCGAGTCAACCTTGAACTGGAATGGTTGGTTTGACGGTCCCCGAGATGTGGCAACAATATTTCCATTGTCATGAACAGTGACTCGAACATTGGAAGTAGTGTTTAGTGCCGAGGTATGGACAGTCATATTTACTGGAGATTGTTAGGCTTTATAGGAACAACGAAATAACACAACATCGCACTCACCTTGGCCTTCCATGTTGGCATCAAGATCAAGTTGTGTGATATGATTCAATGGAGCAGATTCGACCCAGACACTCTGCCAGATGCCGCTGCAAGGAGTGTAAAAAATATGACTGGGATTCAGTGTTTGCTTTCCAACTGGGATGACATAGTCCCCGGAATCAGTGGGGTCATGAACGAAGACCAGTCTATAAAATCAGTATTTGCAATAAAATACTCCTTCATTTTCAGAAGCCAGCTTACAATTCATTTTCTTTTCCAGAATTGACGAACTGAGTCACATCGAGGGTAAAACGGAAGTATCCACCGCGATGGAAACCGGCGTTTCTTCCGTTGACGAAGACTGTTGCTTCGTAATCCACAGCATCAAAATTGAGCAGCACCCGCTGGCCATTCCAGTCTGAAGGTACCTTAAAAGAGGTTGAGAACCATGAGTATAGAGTGGAGCTGCCTTGGATGCCTGGAATAAAGCAAAATCATTAACGTTAAACCCGAGACACCTAGCCTCAGATCCGCTACGTACCTGAAAGCCCACTTTCCAAGCAAGATGGAATGAGGACTTCTTGAGCCAGATCTTGTCCAAAAGGAGGATTTTGAACATCGCCAAGACCAGAAGCACTCTGATATTGCCACACACCATTCAAATTTTGCCATTGAGAGCGTTTCAGCTGTGGTCGTGGGTACTCAGGCCATGGATGAGTGCCCACCTTGTCTGTCCAGGGCGTCGTCAATGGTGGCTCTTTCAAAGCATATTTGGCAGCAACACGAGGCTCCAAGCTTTGCTGTTTACCGATCTCACTACTAGGGGCCGCATAAGTCGTGGCCACTAGTAGTGAGACTGCGATACTCCCCAGCAACTGCATGGCTTAAGTATTTCGGACACACCGGGACGCTCAACTGAGAAAGTGAAAACCCGCAAGAACTATCGTGAAATAATCCCATTTTTCCTCTGGAGCACATCCCTGGACTTATGTACAAATTCGTTACACTCGGATCACGGCACGATCGGTCTTGCCGGTCCATTGCACAATTCTTGCGAGGCCCTAGCAAAGCAGAAACAGGGGGACCAAGAGACTCCAAGACCCTGTGTGCTGCAAGTAAGCAATTGACCCAGGATCAAGGACAGAGCACTAGCTTCACAAGGCATGGCTCCACCAGGAACAGGTCAACCCCGCAGGAAGAATGCACTAGAGATTCCTGTCTTGGAAAAGCAACACCGATGGTGCCGCTAGGTAGACCGATGCATGCCACCCCAGTATGATCGAGGTCGCTGCTTGGCGGTATTGATAGTGGAGTTGAGTTTGTGCCGAGACCTTGGGGTAATGGACCAATTAATGCATTGCCTATGGATCTGTCACAAGACGCTATTAGGTGCATATTCTCTGGATCTGTGAGAGAGACATAGGAAATAGGTGTCCTCGTTCCAGGTTGCCTCTAGAATGTAATGACTTGCGGGTTGGAATCTAGGAACTGATTCAATAACCTCCACACTTGCTTTTGCGGTTCAGGGGGCAGCGAATAGCAATGCATTGGAATTTCAGCGGTGAGCACGCCTCCAATGAATCAGTGCACCGATCTGCATGCTAGCAAAACGCGAGAAGACTCCGGTGTTTGGGTCTGAGGCCAGTGGAGAATTATCGGCGATCGGAGGACAGACTTTGCCAAGCCCTACCTTGATTTGGTTGACCGCATTTAATTTCAGGACTATTAGAGTCATCAAAGTAACGTCGACTCAGGGCTCTCAATCTAATTTTTTGTTTCATGCTAACTGATGGCTGGCTTGAAAAGAAGATTCTATCCCTGGGAGAATAAATGACTGGTCATGCATGCCGAGTCCCTTGCAGTCGCACGGATAAATGACTAGGGCCTCCGCTCTACACTACAAAAGCCAAGGGTTTTCCAAGCATTCAGCAGGCCCTGGGGAGAGAACACGTAAATCTAATATCTATCCAAGCGAGCTGACTCTTCGACTTCAATGTGGTAACATGAGGTTCCATCGAAAATGAAGATTGCCGACAGCCCCGAATAAGAGTACGACAAGTGCGCCTTCCACCCCCTCCTTCGGACCTTGACTTGGCGCGACGATCCCCCTCCTTTCATTGGAAATCTCGGAGTTACCATTTCCTGACCTCCGTTGGGGTATACCATTTCAGGAGTCGGAGTTTTGCTTTGATATCTCCTCATGCCCATTCAGTAATTCCCCGCGTGGGATAGGACCTGCTTTGAATGCATTGCGGAGTGATCGTGTGCCCTGTGCTCTCTATTCGGAGGAGGGGTTAAACCGGCTTGCGCACAGGGAACAAGGCACGGGCTGGAGACGACAGAAGAAAGGACCCGGCCATAATTGCATTTTGAACAACTCTCGCGCCAAATTGAATATTGCTTGGAAATCTCAGAAACCAGCCCACTTGGCAACTTCTTGCAAACGGACACTTCAACTGACCTTTGCCAGAAAGACCATGTAATGAGTGCATAATTCTAGGTTTACTGTGTCTTCATTATAATTTATCTTGAATCCTTACATAAGCGACAGTTTGACTACACTGACAAGTAGTGCCGTTATAAAATCCCTGTAGCTACCAGAATAGGACCATCTAAATGAGATTATGTCTGGTGAAACATACCATAATATACCACAAACTCAACATGACAGGCCAGCGTGCCGCCCAATGGCAAGCCGTGTCACCTAGGGCAGCTACTAGAGCTTACCCTCCCCTATCCCTATACAGCAAAAACCTTGCTAAACAAGCTTTCTTAATCAAAGTTCTCCTCGAGCAGCGTTCAAGTAGCCCTAGAAACCCCACTAACGTGCACTAGATGAATCAACCAAAGTTGCCAACCAGAACTTGAAAGAGATGCGCTTCTAGATAAGGAACATCGGTTAATTCGCAATTTCAACCAAAAAAGCGACAAAAGAATACGCGATAAAAGTGGCAGGTTACGTTAGGTTAATAAAGTTTGATTTGGTTCAATTTGACCATAAATGTATTTTCCGGAGGGGCTTATAAGTAAAATAGAGATCATTTAACCAAGGGTTGAAGATTAAGACCACCTAAGCAAAGAGTTCCAATGTTCTAATTAAGAGCACTGGATTCACAATTAAACTACCTTCCGCATCGGTTATACAGAAAATGAAGTTTTCTATAATCTATTTTAATACATGCAATAATAATACATGTCTCCAATATATAGTCATCAGTTCTCTTATCGGCAAAGAGAACTCGAGAGGCACTTTTCTATGCAGGAACACCGTTTCTCACAGCGCCCCATGACTTCACGGTCCAGTTGCCAAAGCAAGCATACTGATATTCAGCATCGGAGAGACTCTTCTGCTGTATCTTGAGGAAGGTAGAAAGCTTGCACCAGCCGTCTTCACGATACTCACATTCCTCAAAGCTAGAATGCAGCGGAAGTGTGCGTTGGTTCAGGATGAAGTGGACATACTGTGTCTCACCGGTGCCGGCGATGTAATCCTTCTTGGAGATCTTGGAGGAGCGCTTCTTGGAGACCTCATGCGGTGCTTTGATGATTTCGATGTTCAAACGACCCGCAAAAGGAACAATTCTGCTAGTGTGAAATTGCTGATCCTTTGGTGGGCCAGTGAGCGGCAGGTAATCACGAAACTGGGTTAATCCGAAGGCCGTCAAAACAGAAACAATATTTGCGTCGTGTGTGAACTCGAAGTAGAGATTCTGATCTAATGGGAATGTGACAGGGTTTGTGTCCAGAGTCATATTGGCTCCAGTGGTGTTAGCAGGCACATCAAGATAGTGACCCTCAACACGAGCCAGGAACTCTTCCACCCAGGCAATGCCCTGGGCACGGCCCGTAGGGCTCTGAAAACCGGAATAGCCTGCGAATTCAATATCCATAAGATACGCAAAGTTCACCCAATCTTCATAGGTAAATAACTGGCAGAAGTCGCTATAACCAACACTGATAGTCTCATAGGGGCAGAGAGCTTGTGCATGGTAAGTATCGGTCACGGTCCAGTTATAACTTCCGGTCAAACGTCTCAGCTCAGCAGTTCGATCCTTCAGGTATTTCGCCATCCAAGTAGCAACGGGAACCTCGACAGTTTCCACCATTGTCTCAGCCTCCTTAGTACACGAAATGTCACCAGTGGTAGCTGGATCAATTGTCGCCAGGATATTGGCATGATTCCTCCATTCAAGGCCAAAGAATCCAGCAAGGAAGTTCTCACAGCTCTCCAGCATACGAGACTGCAAGGTTGTGCGGACAACTAACTTGGAAGAGCTGTTGTTGTAGAGATGACCGTAGTTATAGAAGTTCAAGATGCCGCTATCGAATAATTCCTGGCGACCCTTTGGCACAAGGATTTCCTTGCCTAGTTTATAGGACCAGTCATTCAAAAACTCGAGCTTGCCCTTGAAGACTCCTTTCTTTTTCACAATCCCTGCAGCCCACGAATCTAGGCCTTCGGAGGAAGAAGGGTACCTAGAACCATGGCGCTGAAGCATGTGCATATGCGTGATGTTGGACCCCAGAGGCAAAGGGTACTCCTCCACGCCGAATCCCTCTGATGGTGAGAAGTATGGACTATCGATTAATATATCGTTAGCTTTAGCTTAGAGTGAAGATTAGAAGAGAAAATATTTACCTCAAATCTCCCATTAGGTGGAAAATATTCCGTCCATTCGCACCCTGAATGGGCTCAGATGTTTCCAATGGAGCATTTGGTACATAAGTCGCCTCTCCGAACGGAGCAGGGTTGATCTCAGCAAGAAAAGGCGCAGCACCAGTGGCCGTAGTACCTAAGCTGATATCAGAAAAGACTCTCCATTTGAAGAAATGAGTGCCGACACTCACCTGCATAAAGATCCGGGGATGTCTGGAACCAATTGGGCTGGGTAGGGGTAGCTCTCTGGTGGATAGCACCTGCGTCCACGACAGAGGCCAAAGCCAAGGATATCGCAACTGACTTGAGCTTATCCATGGTCGTCCTATGCTTTTAATTGTACTTGCGCGCAAGCATATTGCGTGGCTACTGCCGCGACTCATCGGCTTCTTATATTCTGTCCTGAAGAAAGTCTTCCATTTTGACGTCGTATAGCAGAACACCCGATTGGCTCGCTATTATGTCGGCACTTGTAATACGACAAAAAGATATCCGGATTCTCGGATTATGATGGTCCGGGGATGAGGAGAAATAAGCTGCAATCACCGTCTTGCAGCTCGCCACGTGCAAGTCTGATAATCTTATCGTGACGCCTGGCGCGGGCGTGCCATATCGTTCGGCCACTCACCGCGCCCTGTTGCTGTAAGCGAGGGCCTAGCGGCCCCCACTGCCGCATGCCATCACCCCCAAGCATATGCAACTATACGAAGGGCTAGGATTGCCGGATGGAATGTTCTGCAAGAGTGGATAATTTAATAAAGCAGAAAAAAGGAGCATTAAAATGATAATTTGTAAATGCCTTGGATGCAGGTACAACGCTTGCAGAATAGCCATTGGTAGACATATCATCTGCCTTTGGACTGGTGAGTTTATAAGTGCCAGTCAACAAATACAATCCATGCATGCAGGGTTATCTGATCCAAAGAGCCGAAATTTGATATTCGGTACCCTTTTTTGAGAGATCTCTCGAAGGCTATCCCGTAGCCCATTGGCTTCCACCTCGGGAAGTAGGTCTTGTTGTCCACCGGTGGATCATCGACATCTACCACTTTCTGCCACATTAAACAAAAACGAGAGATAGATCATGCCACAGATTGACTTAAATGTCCATGCGTTCCGAGGGAAACCATGGCAGGGCTCAAGGTTCGGGTGCTGCCAGTGCGAGGACATCCAGCCGAAGCATTGCCGCGATCAAGTGTGATGTAGATGCAACAAACATGAAACCAAGCCAGACTCCGATGCCTTGGTCATTCAGTCTTTGACTCTCATTGATGTCATTGATCACAGTTCGAGCAATTTCAACACAGATGCTCGCACACTTTTTCTAAACTGCGATCTGCTCAGCCCTATGGCGGTTTCTTGAGATCGCAGGGGCATGACTCGGATAGAATTGGCCTCAAGAAAATAATATGACCACAGCAAATTATTAAAACCAGAGTGAGATAAAGGTCTTTTATCCTAGTGTTCATATTCACAGAGACAGTCATTGATTGCTGCATCATGCCACTTACCGAAGACGCAGTAAGGTCAGCAGAGCAGTAAAGACAGTATTACTAGAGACGGAAGTGCAAAATTTCAGGAAAGAAAGGCTGTCTTGCACTTGAATTAGCTTGTCATCAATTTGCCCTGGAATTATGCTTCGAAATCGTGTCAATGAAGACTGATTTAAATCATCCAAGGGGCTATCGGCTCTCTGCAAGTAAAATATGAAGCCTAAAATTGATCCAGTTCCCGAATCTTGGAGAAAATAAAGGAAGATGAATCATCAAAATATGCTTGAGCTAGGAAATTCTGGCATTGGCGTCATCGAGGCTTTCCAAGGGACGATGCGAGGCTCCTAATATGAAACAAATCCAAAGTCTGAAAGGCAAGAAAGCAGTAAAAGGGAATCAATTATTCCTGTCCAAGGATACAGAGCATCGCCGCAAGACGACCAGAGCCTGGGGGTAGCGGGTTCCGCGCTCCGGCAAAACAGCCTATCGGCACTTTCCCTGCACACTATCGTTACCAAAATAGCCTCACATTTCATATAGAGAGGAACACAATTTCCAAACTCTTTCTCTAAATATATCATCTGTTTCCTCTTTTGGAAGCCGCTCAATGTGATGTATAGTTATTTGGTTGGTGATTTATTAATCAGTCTCATCCGGTATGCCTGTCAGACTTGCCGCCGAGCGCTCTGGGTTCACTATTCAGAGTATTATGTCGAGCGGGAAAAGGCCGCCAACACGGCGAAGACCCACCTATTCTGCTGTGGTGCGGAATTGGACAGGCTGAGCGTCAATTTTCCAAGGGGATACTGCTGGTACGGATTTTGGATAGCGGACTTTTGGCGTTGAAAGCGCAAACCACCAATAAGAATGAATGAGTTGAAGGACAAGAAGAGACAGCGAGATCTTTATACGCTTGCTCTGTCATTTCGATTATATATCAAACAAAATCGATATCTTACGTGCTACGGTGTTTGCCTGAGCACATGTATCAAGATGCTGTCTGATATTTATTTGTTTTCAAATAGATTTAGGTATCCAGCTCGACCGGGAATTACGTTAAGCCGACTGGCGTGTTTAAGCGGCTATGTAATCAGATGTTCACGGATGCAAAGGTATGTGCGAGGTACCTTAGGAGCCAACACGCTCGGTCCCGCTGCGGGGAATTAGAGTACTATTTAAAGGCGCGGCGATGTCGTCAAACCATTTTTTGATTGCATCAGTTTCATCTAAGCAGCACAGAATGGTTGAACCAAAGTCAGTGGCGATTGTAGGAGGTATTTAGCTTTTCCCTTTTGATGTGTCCATGGGGACTGTTTCTGATCGTGTACAGCGGGCATTTTTGGCCTTTCCCTGGCGGTCGCCCTGCGCGACCGAGGTAAGTCTCCAGTCAATGGAGATAGTCGCATTAGTCTGTGATGAGGCTGATCCTGGCATAGGTCACCGAATTACCGTATTCGAGCGCTATAATTATGATCAGAACGAATACGATGCAAGCGATGACGATATACAAGCTGCATCAGTAGATCACAACAAGATCGTAAGGCCCCGAGGAGAATCAGGAGATGAGCAACATACATTGACAAGGAAATAAATAGTTTCGAGCGTCCTACGGGAAGGAACTGCATTATCAGCGCCTTGCCATGGAAGCGCGAAAGTTCTGGGTCTCGGAGGACGAAAAACGCGGTTTTTCGCAACAGGCCCCTGCGCCCGGGGAAAAGAGACTCTTTGTCAACAGCGGAATGCTACGGGTGCAGCCAACGGATCAACTTGGAGCATTGGAAAAAGAGACACTCGCAAATATGGAGCGTGATGGTTTTCGAGATACACAATTTGTGAAAAGCAACGTTGCGGATCAAGGACGGGCAGACCGTTTGGGATGGAAGGACAAACTGCTTGATTTCGCGATTCCAGATGTCACACCTGCTAGCTCATATGAAGCTGTACTTGACTCGACAGCTGGTTTTGTGAGGTGCAGTAATGCTTGCGCTCACTACCAGAAAGTTGCAGTTTCGCAGGGTGTCCAGTTTCACTTTGGCCCGGAGAAGGGCGCCGTAGAATCGCTAGTAAAAGAGCACAGTGCTACTGAGCCGGATAAAGTCAAGGTACTCGGGCTGAAGACTAGCGATGGCATTTACCACAAAGCCGATATTGTTGTGGTTGCTGGTAAGCATCACTCGGGTTCTAAAGTTCTTCCATCTGCTCTGACTGTGACTGAATAGCTGGGTCGTTCTCTACTCAAGTACTCCCTAACCTGAGCTACCACCTGGAGTCCTCCGCTGGGAGCCTAGCCACATTCAAAATTGACCCTAGTGATAAGCACCTCTGGGACAAGTACTCCCCCGAAAAGTTCCCAGTTTTGACGTGGAAAAGTACCCCTCGAGATCCGACCGGCAAAGACACCGGTAGCATCTATGTCCTGCCTCGCACCCCTGAAGGCCTTGTCAAAATCGGATATCGGGGACTTAAGGTGAGCGGTCCCTGATTTCTAATGATCGGTAGTGATTGACCACTTCTACTCAGTTCACAAATTTTAGACCTGCACCCGATGGCACCCCTTTCACTCAAGATCGCCAGTGGTCGGTGCCACTGCCACCAAAGGAAAGCCTTTCACTACAAGAACAAGCTGTTTATTCCATTAGACAGTTTGTATCTATTTTCCTTCCAGAGTTTGACACCGTTCCATTCTACTCTACCAAACTCTGCTGGTATACGGATTCCTTGGACAATTCCTTCGTGGTAAGCACTAAAATTATCCATTCTAAGCGTAATTTGTTGTCTCTAATAACGTACAATAGATCGACTATGTCCCCGATTTTGCGGAAAATTCCGTCTTTGTCTGCACAGGGGGCAGTGGCCATGGAGCCAAATTTCTGCCTATTCTTGGACAAGTAGGTCAACAATAAGAAAAGATCGGCGTTGAATTACACTAATACCGTTGACTAAAGCATGCTGCTGATATTCTTGAGCATGCCGACCAGAGTACGTCTTACATGCGCCTGTTCTGGCGATGGCGGCCCGATGCACCCCGAAGGAATGGCCTCGAGGAAGGACCCCATGGGCCACGAAATATAGCAAAGCCTGCTTCCTAGACGCTATGATCAGTCGAGCCAAAGAGAATGAAATTGATTGGAACAGCTGAACGCAATGTTATATTTGAGATTTGAAGGAAATGTATCCGTGATAGAGAACGACTTGGGTATGTTTGAGTCTTGTGGCGAGATAGAATTATCCCAATCCGACAACATCTTTCCATCCAGCTTAGAAGGTACTCGGCCTCGCACCCCCCGGTCCTCTAGATCTTAGAGTTAATGAGGTGATCGACCTTCAATGCTCTCCAACGCAACATGAAATTCTTGGCATCACAAGGCCAAGAACGGGCGAGGTGGCAGCGAGATCTTGGCGGCAGATTCTTTTTCTACCAAGGTAGACCGCGCAGGGCTTTTAATTTCAGGACAGGAAAAGGTTGGCCGAGATTTATGGCCGAAAGGAAAAGCCAAGCGCATCGCGCGGCCCAAAATCCAAGATTTTCGGCGACCCCTGGGAACCCCGTGAGCACTGCGCTATGATTCTCGGAAATGCCCGAGAGTTGCTGGTCGGTATGAAGGTATATATTGATCATTTTGCGTGGCCTTAATGCATATCTTAGATATAATTTTTCATCTCGGTACTATACACATCATGTCAGAGAAGCACGGCGAGATTTCAAACGCTGCTCAACTTCCCTCCGGAGAGGAAAGCCAGGAGCAGACGAAAGAGCCAAGTCGCGAGCCTTCTCATCAGCGAAAGGTCATCGATCAGAGAGAGACTGATGACACGGCCTATTTCTACAACAAATATAGAGATCAGGTCAGACCATTGACACCTGAGCTAGAAGGCAAGCTAGTTCGTAAGAACTTCTGGTGTCTTCTCATTCAGACGTGGTGGATTTCGTTCCTCATCCACTTGGACAAGTCGACCCTTTCATCTGCTAGCACGATGGGAATCTTTGATGACGTTCAGATGACTAAGAATGAATACAATCAACTATTCATGCTATTCTACGCTGGCTACCTCGTTGCTCTCTGGCCCGGCGCTTGGATATCGCAGCGAGTAGGCCACAAGTATTTTATCACAGGCTCTCTATTTCTCTGGGCGTTGCTACTCGGTGTTCATCCCGCTGTTAAGACTGGCAAGCAAATGATGGCAGTCCGTTTTCTCCTGGGAATGGTACGTTTTCTATGGAAAAGTATCATGAAATGAATCATGTCTGACAATATTGAAGACAGAATCACAAATTGTCCCATCCACTGCCGTTCTCCACCAAGCATTCTTTCCACCCAAGAAGAGTCCCTGGGTTCAGTTACTGTGGTGGGCATTTGGCAGCATGGCCAACGTTCTCTTGACCATGATATCCTACAAGCTCATCGTTGATGACAATAATGGTTCTCTAGCCGGCGGCATTTCTTCGTGGAAATGGCTTCACATTGTCTGTACTGTCCTTACATTTGTCATTTTTGTGCCACTTTTGATTTTCCTTCCGAATTCCCCACTAGATGCCAAGTGGCTTTCAATTGAGGAAAAGATCCATACCATAGAGATCATTCGTGACACGCACGCTGGCGTTTCAAATTCGACTTTCAAATGGTCTCAGTTCCGAGAATCTTTCACCGATTTGAAGAGTTGGCTTTTCATGTAAGGGAACACATTCTTTCTTTTATCCTTGAGGTATTACTAAAAATTGGTTTAGCTTTCACATGTTCATCAACGAGCTTCCAAACAATACTTCGCAGCAACTACCCCTCATCATCGTCGGTTTCGGCTTCACCCCAGCAGAAAGTGCCTTATTCAATATTATCAAGCCACTTTGGGGTTTCATTCTTGTAATTGCATCTGCGGCGTTGTTATATGGAACTCGTTTGGGGACTGGCTACACGTGTGCAATCTCCTATATTCCATGTTTTATCGGTGGCATAATTGAGGTGAGTCAGGCACCGGTCACAAAAAGCATGATATTCCATTGACATGGTATTCTCCCAATAGCTGGCGGCGCCCTGGTCAAACAAAGTTGCTCTGGTAGTGGGCACTCAGATCTCGACATTTAAGCCATCGTATTTACTGGGTCTAAACTGGGCAGGAACTACAACCACAGGTCACACCAAGAAGCTCACCTTGATGACCTCATGCATTGTCGCTGCCTCTGTCGCGAACATGATTTCTCCTGAGTCAGTAAAACTTACTTATGGCTTCATGCAAAATTACTGACCGTGAGACAGATTTTGGGAATCCAAATACCAGCCTCGATATGTCTTACCGTGGGCTTTCATGACCGCATTTTGGCTTCTATCTCCCATAATGTGTCTCATCATTCGCTTTTATCTCCAACGCGAGAACCGCTGTCGACAGCAGCTTCTGGTAAACAATGACTCTGACTCTGACAAAGAAGAAGTAATCGAGGTTGGCAGTGAAGTTGTCAAAATCACTGATCATGATTGCGACGGTACCGATAGACAGAACCTGAAGTTCATTTATCCACTTTAGCTAATGGAGATGCTACGGGACATGGTGGGTTGGCACGTCCTACTGAGCGCTCGGCGTGGTTCTACTTAGCCGTGTTATGGCAGTGAGGAATTGAGATAAATAAATAAAGACCATTAATAAATCAAGGGTACATCTTTGGACCTGTGCTGACTGGCTTGAGAATTCCCTTGTTTTGTAAGTCAAGAATGAGATTGGCCAGCATTAAATCACATCCACGTGCTGCGACAAAACTCATGGTGACTGGCATATGTTCTATCTTCAGAGAAACAGTTGAGTTGTAGGGAATCTCTCCGACGGGAACCACAACGTCCGGGACGTCGGCCATGTTCGATATGCGTCCGTCTTTGAACCCCATAGGTGGCGCCGTAGGTGCACTGCAAAGATTAGTCATTATCTCGAGTTCAGACTGTGCACCTGTGACATACTCAAAGTAGACGTTTCGATATTGTGTTTCACCTTTGCTATACGGGTAAAGGTAAATGCCTTCAGAGCAAGTTTTCGGGTTAGCCTTCCCATATCCCTCAGTTTCCCACCATTCTCTAAAAATGGTCTTATTTTTCAGTGCCAAATTATAAGCATGATCCCCTCCATTATCTTGACCCCATTGCCAACGTTTCAGAGGACCGGGGTTGACGAATGGTCGACGACCTTCATTTCTGGCGGCATAGTCTGCATAGAATGGCAAGGTCAACGAGCGATATTGCCCAACAGAAGTGAGAATAGCATATGTCTTGGGCAAGAATTAGCAGTTGGCGCATGAAACATGCTATCAAGTTTCATTACCTCGTTTAGTAAATCCGTCACGTTGCTGGGCGTATCTTTAGGATGCGTGTTCATCCAATGACGAGAGATGTCCACGTGCTCTCGCTTGGTGCCAATGAATCTCTCTACTTTTTGGACGAAACCGTCTAACAAAGCTCCAGCAAGTGTATTGATCTCGGGAAATGAAGAGTTCTGATAGTATATCCGCGCTGGGTATCTTTTGTAATCGGTGAAGTTTGGATACCATGCATGTATTGTCGAAGACCATATTTCAGCATTACGTGCAAAAACTCCAGCCGTGTCCAAATCGTGGCAAAGAGGGAGAACATTGTCGAGATCAATTGCGCCAGTCGAGGGTCGATTAGCGAAGACGCCTTGCATGCCACCCGGGCTTCTCATAGACCCGCCAGTATCACTTCCAATGGCAATGTCTAGCCAGTCGTACGAGGCGATACCAGCGCCCGGCCCCGACGAAGATCCCCCAGGAGCTTGATAGCCATCGCCCTCGAAAGATTTCAGCCTACATTCTTGCACATCTTTGTTTGAGTTTACGTACCCTAGGATTGAAAGGGCAGTGAAAATCGACCCAGTCAGCAGTAGGGTTGTCACCGTTGGCAAACTGAACTGTTCCCATTTTGCCAACAACTACAACACCTGCATCAATTAAACGCTGAACAGCAGTCCCAGTGGTGTTCTTTGCTGGATAAAGGTCATAGAAAGCACGATTTCCGCCGCTAGTCCTAATACCTTTCAAATCGAAGATGTCTTTTACGCCACATCGCAGCTGTTTCAATATTAGCAAGTCAAATATGCTTGTAAATCTCAGAATAACTTAAAATACCCCAGCTAGCGGCTTATCAGCAGTAGGTGTATTGTACAGCCTGGATGGCACGGCAACACTTTTGGACATGGAACCCTGGGTGATAGTTAGCGGTATTCACATGAAAGCAGGCGGGCCGCAGATACTTCTGTCACTGTCGGTAAGGGCATGAAAGTGCCTCTCTCATCACTGATTACTGCTTCGGTGAAAGCCAACTGATGGTCCGAATACAGTCGATACGCCTTGAAAATGTAACCGGTTCTAGGGGAAATAAAGTAGGGTCCATTTGGCAGATTCTCAACGAGATCGGCTTTAATGAAATGCTTCCGAGGGTGGTATTTGGAAGAAGCAAATGTCAACTTGCTGCGGGCACTCTCGGAATGCAGGTGAAATGCTGAATCAATTGATCCCTGACCATACCCATCATATTCCAGAAAGAGAACTAAATGATGAAATGAACTGAGTATTTAGACGGGTATTGATAAAGAGCCAAATCAGATGTACCTTCGAGAAAATCTGGACCAAATACATCGTCTGAGGTCTTAAATTTGGCGATACTTTCTTCAAGATCATCAGAAGTGAAAGTTGTTGCATTCGAGCGAATGACAGTCAGGGGAACAAGGTCTGCATTGGTCCAATTCCAATTTATTGTCACCGAGATAGACAACTTCGATACAGCAACGCCTCCGACGTAGTAATTAATGCCATTTAGTGTGGTCAACTTCCCATTGTCAAGCAAAGCAGCGGTGGTCGCGATAAGGCAGGATAAAAAGTATACTGACGCAAACATTTTCTGGGAGACTTGTGCGAGGGGTGCTAAAAGTATGCCGTATTCGATTCCACTGAGTAAGAAATGCACCTTGTCTTAAAGATATGCACAAGACCCCTCCTAGTATAATAATCCTTACAAGCTCCAACTCTTCTAGCACTTCTGACCCCAAGGTAGCAATGGTCTCTACATTGGAGAAAGCAGGCCAAGACATCAGTATTAGTCTCTTGCCCAGGCACTTGGCATTATGGATCCTTGTAAAGAGATCGGCGAAGCTAGCTAGGCGATTTTTCTCGGCGACAACAGAGAGAACTGTGTGGCATGGCTCCAACAAGAAGTGCGGTTGTTGCCGACTGTGATACACCGAAAAGGGAAGGCCATCTGTCAAGTTTTTGTTCGATCAGAGTTACAGCCATATGCCCCTGATGTGTACAAGGGTTTGACGTGGAGTCGGGCGGACGAAGTTGTGTGAAAATGGCTCAATTGCGCTCCAATGAGGAACTTGGTGGGTTTGAACGTTTGGTACCCGCAAAGGCTCTCGACGATGATAGTACCTAACACAGGACTTGTGCTTGAGACAGAGATGAGATGCTTAGTTCGTTCAACCACGTCATTTTATTTTCCCATAAGGTCCCTTGGAATGGCGACATAATATCAGCTCCTTCAGGCAAGACCATACATGGAGCGTGTTTCTCAAGCTAGGCTGGCCGGACAGTGAACAAACAGTAGGCCTGTCTTGGCTGCTCACAGGGTACTCTCCATCTGCAGAGGAGATACAGATCATCCAAAGCAAGTACTCTGAAGGTGCATGTACGTAATGAAAAAAGGCTTTGAATGATGGGGTTACGAACGGAAACCGCGCGTGGGTCGCGCAGATAAATGCTTGGCGTCTTGAGGGGTCCCCAAAGTATGAACATCGCCGCCGAGCAGTCTCGTTCTTATATGACAGGAGATGCCTGACTTCTGTTGACAATTGTCTGGATCATAATAGCTGAAATGAGCTGCAAAATACTGCTGACAGCTGCGGCTCTCCTGTCGAGCCAGGTCCAAGCTGTGCCAGGCCATGCGCCGACGCCGCTTGTACAAGTGACTATTTCGGATGTGGTTCACCCGGGTGAGCTGGCGAATGTCTATTTGAATTGGCAGGGTAGAGCTCCCAGCGTGCTCAGGGCTGTATATGCTTCATGTTTGGATCAAAATGGGTCAAGTCCGGAGGCGGTCATCGGACAATACACCATTAGGGACCAACCTCCTCATCGCCTGGCATGGGCAGTGCCCGCCAATGTGCAAACAGAGAACTGTATTATTGTATACGGTGGCAAGCCAAAAGGCCAAATCGAGCAAGTTATTGGCAAAAGCAAGCCCGTCCATTTGCAGCAAAAAGTCCAAAAAAGATCCGCTGCTGGAATTGAAAATCCGCTCTTGCAGAATTTCGATGCTCTGGGAACTTGGTTCGATGGAGTTGCGTCTATCAAGCAGAAAACGGACCAATCCGGCGGCGTTACGTCTACGTCTTCGTCCAAGAACACCTCCATCGCAATTGTTGGTGGTGGAATCTCCGGTCTCGCAACCGCGCTCATGCTTGACAGCGTCGGGATTCATAATTGGGAGATCATCGAAGCGAGTGATCGTGTTGGAGGACGATTCCGGACAAAATATATGGCTGACACCCAAGAATGGGCCGAAATGGGTCCCATGAGAATTCCACACTCTGTCACATACAAAGAGGACAATGAGACGCTCTTGTACACCGACCATCAACTGACTTTCCAGGTAGCCGAAATCCTCAACAACATGAACGGCAATGATCCTCGATGGAAGGTGGACTTCATCCCCTGGGTTCAGCATCACCCGAATGAGCTGATTGCTCAAGGCACCCGTCGACATCCTGACGGCCGCATTCCTACTCGCGGTGAGATCGAGGCGGATCCAAGCTTAAATGACCCACCCGTCATGACGAGTGCCAAATACGAGAGCACTCAACGGCAGATGGACAATATTTTGAAAAATGTGACTACCCTCAAATCCATTCAGAGGGATGTTTGGCAAGCTCATAAGATCGCCATGGATGAAGGCTTGGATGATTGGAGCGAACAGGCCATGATGCGTCATGTCTTCAAGGCTAGCGAGAATGTCACGGACCAAATCTGGACTGATTCCGACTATGACGTATTCTGGGATGAGCTCCATCACAATTCAAATCTCGGCCTGGATGGTAGCAGCGACTCTCTGGGTGAAACTCACTGGTTATGTATCGATGGAGGCTTCAATCGACTGTCTGATGCTTTCCTCCCTCATATCAAGGACAGACTCATTCTCAATCGACAAATCCGGAAACTTGAATCAATCCAAGACCGAACAGGCGGCACTCGCACTCGTCTTTCATGGTATCCAAGTGTGACAAACCGGACCTTCGAGTCGAAAGAATACGACTATATAATCATGGCAGTTCCATTCACAATGACTCGCTTCATGGATCTGCCTACCTTCTCCTCGGTATTGGGGCGTGCAATTAGCGAAGCTGGTCTTCGCTTCAAATCCGCCTGTAAGGTAGCTTTACTATTCTCCGAGCGCTTCTGGGAGAAAGGTGAGCGACCGATATTCGGCGGATACTCAAAGCCGCCCAGTGATCCTGTTGGCGCGCTCTACTATCCAGTGTATGGTTTCAATGAGTCACGCCCTGGTCTGATTATGCACTACCGTGGAGGGGACTGGAGCGATCGCTTCGTCAGCTTCTCAGATGAGGAACATGTTCAGACGGTTCTCGACTCAATTATTTCACTGCATGGACAACAAGCGAGGGATCTTTATACCGGTGATTATGAGCGTCTCTGTTGGCTTCAAGATGAGCACACTGCCACTGCTTGGTGCAGGCCCGATATCGAACAGCATAAGCTCTATATCCCAGCATACCACAAGACAGAGCATAACACAATATTTATTGGAGAGCATACTGCCCCAACTCATGCTTGGGTGAGCTCATCGCTGCATTCGTCTGTCCGTGGATCAGTTCAATTGCTTTTAGAACTGGGATTGGTGGATGAAGCCAAGGAGCTAAACAAACGGTGGATGGGCCGGTGGATTAAGCTCTGAGACAGTTGGAGGTCCATGTTTATATATTGAGAACAAAGAGGTTCCATTACCATATCGATGATCTAGTATTGCATTCTACTGCATTGATACAGATAGGCTCAATTTCTTTTTCAAGGACACACCCTTCATTCAACCCTTGAATAAGCTATCAAAGAGTCTCCGAGACTGTGCTGCTCCTTGAACATTGTTGATCTTCCATAAATGACCGGCTTTGGTGCTGTATGCTCTCACTGAGCCCGAATTTTCCCAGACATGAACGCGTCTCCTTCATTAGCAACGGCCCGAATAAGTGGGAGTTGCCTGAATGCGCAGCTTTACTGAGCTAGTAAAATAGCCTCACATCTCAAATAGAGTCAAATTTAACTTGTAGTATAATGGCTCATCATTAGACAATGAGAGGGATGAACGATGAATTAAAATTATCACTAAATTGAAAGACATGAAGTGTAATATGATGTTACAACTCGCACGAGCAGATAATCCTTAGCCTTGTGCCTGCCGACTAATCTCGATCTTTGAGCTGTCCTTCTGGCCCTGACGATAGGCATCGAAATCTCGAATAGTAGACTGTCGGCTTTTACGGTGGGTTAACTTGATTTTATTTTCTTTCAAATAATCGTCCGCCACTTGTTCTGCTGTGGCGCGGAACTGGACAAGCTGGGCACCAGATTCCCATGGGGATGCTGGTGGTATGGACTCGGTTTCGGACTTTATTTTGATACTTGTCTCTGAACTCCTGTCAAAGGCAGGTATGTCGGTTGGAGGTAGTGGCTCTGTGGGTTCTCGTTTCACAAACCTGTTGATGCTTTCATTCACATCGTCACAGAGGTCGATAATCTCCATGTCGTCCGCGTTGAAGTCGGCCATGGTACCAAAGTCTTCAGCATCATCAGTCTCATTATCGAAATCGGAATCGACCTCGGCTTTGAGGTCTGCTGGGTCGAGACATTTGTAGTCAGGGTTTGATAAAGTATCAAGGTCTGTAGAAGGCGCGGGTAGAAGCCGTAACCTCTCAAACTCTCGTCGGCGATTCTCTGCTTCTTCGCGCTCTCGACAAGCTAAAAATTCCAGTTCCTTGCGCTGTACTTGATCCAGCTCTCTTTTTCTCTCGCGATTGGCCATCGCAGCAATTCCGTCGGCAACACCGAGACGGTAACTGAATGTCGGTGTGCCACCTTTGTAGACACACGCCCAGTCCAGAATTTGATTGTGCGCCATCTCAAAAGACATCGCCGCGGCAACAGTGTTGCTGGCAATCCCGAAGAAGCTCCATTCTACAGACTCGCGGCGGTGAGTCGAAAAACTCTTACAATCAAAGAAGGTGCACATTGCGAGTGCTAACTTGCTGGCAAAGGCTTCCATCATAATTCTTTTTCCTGAGCCATCGGTCTTCGTAATAAGGACCTTGCTGCATCCGCCGAAGTGTGCCTTGCTGTTGCTTTGGTCGCTGGCCAGGAGATCCGCTTGAGTCACGTTGTGCTGGCTCATGAGCTTCTGGGAGATGAAAAGGGCGGCTTTCGCTTCTGACTCAGATGAGTTGGCGTGATGGGCGCGATCAAGGCATTTCTGAATCCTTTCCAGGATCTTTCTGTCAACATTAGACACATTCTGGGGTTGGCCTTGGTCCGCAGTTTTAATCACGGTCGCTTTCTGTCTAGGTTTCCTGTTGGATCCTTTTCGTGAGGCTTGGCTGGGAATGGGAGGCATTCTAGATAGAGGACTTTTGGCGAAGAAAACGAAAAGATCCAATAATGAAGGACAAATTGTGGAGAAGAAGATGAAGATGATGGGGATGATGACGAAGAAAAAAAAAAGAAGTGACTGAAATCTTTATCCTCTCTCTTTTCACTTTTGTACTTTTGATAATGAATCAAACACAATGGATATTTTCATGGCTGCGGCGTTTACCTGAGCATCACATGCATACAGACGCAGTGTGATAATTATCTTGTCCGATGATTGGATCATATTCGAGGCCCCTGTCTGGGGCGTTAGACATGTCCTAAGCTATTAAATTTTATGACAAGGATTATGCGAGATTTTTCTCGTCGCTCAACCCCTTATTTGAAAACATTATACGCTAAAAAGAAAAATAGAGTTGGCTCCAGTCCCATCTAAAATCACCAGGGCGAAATTTTACATAATTTCTTTCTCTTATCAAGATTTGACATAGCTGGACAGGGATTCTCGAAATTGCTTTGAGCAATACACACACAATCACTATTTTGTGGCTCTAGCTGGCTCTAGCGCTAGGGCGCTTAATCGTAAATTGATCATTGAGTAGGCTGAATTTAATGAAGGCGTAACATAAGATGCGCCTTTTATGGTGTTGTACCTTGAGATACAATACTCAAGCCTACAATTATATTATTTTGATAGTAGGTATTTACTGCCAGAGTTCAAAATTGCCGGGATCTCACACCTACCACTACAGTCAGCTGAATTCTCACCATCTGATAGTCGTGGGTTTACTTCCCTCGCAAGGAATCCGTGTAATTAATGAGAGATGGATCTTTTCAGCTCATTGGAAGGACGAAGGGAGAAATAAAACTCTGTTAGGCTAAAACTGAGGAATTGGTACATTATCCATAGGACCCAATGGAGGGCGGCTGCCTGCCATATTGCATTGCCTGAACAATCTTACTTCGAGGCCATCCTTAAAGGAGCCCACAATGGAATGCATGACTCCATGATTGTTGAACAATACTAGATCTCCTTCTTCCCAGTCATGTGTATAAATATATTGGGGATCAATTGCTCGTCTCTGCAATCGATAAAGCCTTTCTCGAATTTCCGACAGATTTTCCATAACATGTCCGTTTTCAAGGTGGATCTTTCGTACACAGGTAGGATAGACCATCATTGCTAGCTTTCCGGTGATTGGATTCTTCCATGCCATGGGGTAGATCTTGATCTTATTTTCTTCAAAAGCTGGAATTTCGTCTTCTTTCAACTCCAGCCCCTCAGAAACAACTCCCAATCCGTTGGAACGAGATTTCGCCTTGCTCATCCAGATATAAGGGTGAGGTGCGTACTCGACTTTGCTGGTACGAACAAAATGCTTTTCTTCATCAGAAAGCAACTCATAAAGACGATAGCCACTGAAAAATGCCGTTGTTCCGAGGGGAACATCTAGCATGGTATCGGTGCCATCGTCATAACGACAAATTTGACGTCTCCCTTTGGGGACTTGCACAGCCAGCAAAGAAGTGACAAGTGGAGGATCAAGATCATACATGGCCGAATCAATGTGCCACCGATAAAAGTGCGTGAATTCTTCATCCTCTTCTGGCAATATTGGTTCCTTGTGGAATGCTTTGTGATGTGGATGTCTCAACTGAAGATTCTTGAGTCCTTCATATTCCCGTACAAAGCCGTGGCCAATGACCTGAACTTGTGGCTGATGAGGAATAGTTGTCAAGTCACGATGTAAGACGCTTCGTTTGTCGATCGATTTTCCGTGGCTGTAGACGCCCGCGGATGGATCGAATCGACGCGTTAGCTCGTACTGTGCCTGTGGAGAAAGGCTGAGCTGGTTCTTGATGACAACAACTTGGTTTTCATATAACGCCCGGCGAAGAAATTCAAAATCAATTTCTTGGGCTTGTCAGAATTGTAATCAATACCTGTGAATGAATACTGACCGCTCATTCCCTTGATCTCTAGCCCGTGGAGCTCGATCCCAAAGTCCACTCTAGACCCGTTTGATTTGCTGATTGGCTTGCAACACATAGTGACTGTACTCATTTTGAGAAAGATTTTAGTTGGGAAAAGGAAAAAATAGCCAATGATTCATATTTGGGCTAAGAGAAGATCTATTTCAGGTTATATATGATCAAAGGGTCATAATCCTCGCCGTCAAAGGGTAGAAGATGCGGGCCACTTCATTCAAGTGACCCTTATGAGATTAAGAGAATCAATTAGATATCGTATCTACCGACGCGTAATCATTCAGTTCTAAAGATATTAGATCAATTATTGCGGGTAAGCTCACTAGCCCGCCCGCCTCACCAAGTACGCGTTCTATGTATAAATTAATTAAATTCACCTAGATTCGCAAGAACAATTACCCCAAGGCTTTCAAATTAACTGTCCTGACTTCGGTTCTTTTCCTCAAAATGCCCGAACCAAAAAATATAACCTTCAACCTCCTCCCCGAGGAAACAAGACAGAATTCTGCTATCGGAGCTGAAATCCAGCTACCGACAGGAATGTCCATTCTGGACCTGGCGCAGTTGACAGAAACAGATAAAAAGAATCTTCGAAAAGCTTTATTTGAGAATCAAGTTGTTGTTATTCGAAAGCAAAAGGGCATTGATCCGACCATTCTTCCCAAACTCGCGAAAATTTTTGACCCACATACAACAGACATTCATTCCGCCGGCGAGAAAGCTGTAAGCGACCCAAAAAACATCCTGTCTGCATACAAAGCAGGTAGAATTCCCAATGCTCCTCAAGTTGGGATCATAGGCTCGGGAAAATTCTATGATTACGAGGGGCTCGACGAACTTGAAGTGGTTCATCTAGTGAGAACTTCAGTCCCATCTCATCTGATATCCAATACTCATTGGTTATAGGACCATACTCTTTTTCATGAAGCTCCTCTTGACCAAGATGCCTTGGACAAAGGTTATACCCGCCCATATCGATGGCATATGGACACCCCGTTCTATGAGCGAATGCCGGGTGAGGTGACAATTCTACACTCGATTCACATCCCCAAAATACCAGATCAACGGATTAGATTTCCCGATGGAAAAGAAAAGCAAATAGCTGCCGGTGCCACTGCGTGTTAGTAAAACATCTCATCTTGCTGTTTTCAATTTTTCTTTAACAAAAACGGACCTCAGTCTTTTCCGGTGCTCGTGCTTTTGAACTTCTTACAGCAGAAGAAAAAGAATTCGCTCTCAACACCACAGTCACATATGCACCCCAAGCTTATGAATATATACGTCACTGCAAGGCTTCAGACGACGGCCTGACCATTCCACGATTTGGACGTGAGCTGCCAAACGAAGAATTATCTGAGTGGAGCTGGGACAAAGTAGGAGAGCATCCTGTGAGTTTGAGATATGTTGACAATTGTATTATGTGAGACTCTCCGACCACTAATTCACGATTACCTAGATGGTCTGGAAAAATCCCCTCAACCCGGATCGGCCATTTCTCCAGGTCCATGGCTGTTGTGTCTATAAACTCACTACGCGTGATCCAACAACTGGAAACATCACGGTCATGGAAAATGTCGAGAAAGTCAGGGAAGTGATCTACAATATGCAAAAAAAGATTTATGCCGCTGAAAATATCTATGCTCATCGATGGGAAGAGGGTGATCTGGTAATTTTTCACAATCGTGGAGTGATGCATAGTATCACCGGTCAACTGTCCAAGCATAGGGAAGATGAGGACAAGAGAAGACTTCTCTGGCAGTGCACAATGACAAGTAGAGCACCTCCAAAAGCATTCCGACCGTACGATGGGATCAATGAAACAGGATATGTTCGAGTCCAGTAAGACTTCAATGAAATGCTTGGATGACAAATATTCCCTGAAATGCGGAAAAGTGCCTCGATATTTAATATACATTTTGGCGCGAGTGACTAGTACTCTAAATGCATTGAATCTTGAATTTCTCGATTTATTCGTACTGAGAATAAATACGGTTGGATTTCCGATTCCGCTTAAGTATGCACTTACCTGGGAACCCATAATAGGGATGCTACTAGCCAAGAGTACCGAAACTCTGTACCACCAGCAGAGCAAATGTCTCTATGCACTTACCTGGGAACCCATAATAGGGATGCTACTAGCCAAGAGTACCGAAACTCTGTACCACCAGCAGAGCAAATGTCTCCCTTATCATATTCTTCAGCCTGAGATCCAATTTCCAGCATCAGTGAAGTTGGGTAGGACACGTGCATTCCTGGCCAGCATTCCTCGCGATCTTGGTGTTGCAGAAAGGCGGATGACTCCTACGCTGGCACCGCCCGACCAGGGAATTTGCGGGGATCTGGTCAAGTCACCGTAGCAGCTCTGTCTACCATAGATTGAGATGGCATGAATTCTGGAGTTAAAGCCCCATCGCTGGTCCTTCGGAATTTCTTCAAGGGTATAGATGGCGCATCATCGGGAGCTGCCAGGACAATTGTTTATTTGCCGGGAACGGAAATAGAACCCGGGGGACTCAACCCCAAATTCGGGAACGCGCCCGAGCCATCCATGGATCTGGCCTGATCACTGTAGAACGTATAACAATGCAATTGAGAAGTGGAGATTCATCGATTGTCTTTGTGTATAAGTCCACTGGCTGCAGGATTTGAAGATGGAGGGAGGCATGCCGGTCGCAATGAGGGAGTACTACCAAAGTAGATGCACGAGGCACTACATGAGGCCAGGCTATCACTTCAGCCAATATTGCAATCATACTCCAAAGATGCAAACTAGGGCTTCATGTCCTATCAATTAGATCAATTCGACTTGGGTGAGTCCCTCTTCTATCGCGTTCGATCACACGTGGCCGGCCTCCTTTCAGGTGCGGCATGCTTCGTGGCCGCAAGCGGTAATTGGCATCCGACGGGTGTGGGATCTCGATCTCGTGCGGTCATCATGGCGCACAGGATCTCGCACCCGACTGGATTGGCCCAGGTAAAAATGATCTGGTCTCGACGAGAGAGTTATACGGTGTAGATGCCTCCAAGAAAAGATTTCTCACAGTTAGATTTGGATTGCATGGAACCCGAGAGTCGAGTAACGAATACAGAAGAGCAAGGAGCAGAAGATAGCGTCACAACATGTTTGCTAGGGACCACCCCCACAACCACCACCAAAAACTTGGCAATTGTAGAATTAGCCAGTTCTGAAGATCTTCTATTTCTCGAGAATACTTGGGCCTTCGGATACTTTGCTTCATCTGGGCTGTGACCTCCTCCTCTTTCGGTGCTGACTGTCTCTGAGCCCATACTGTGACCCCAATATCTCCGACCACAACCTCGATCTGTAAATCTAAATCGTGACCCCATCTTTGTTGTAACAAGCAGAGTGAACAGACCCACCGGCAACCCTCGACTCTTCCAAGAAAGCCATTGTTCCATTTTATGGATCCCCGGACCCCAGAGAACCTGTTCATGCCGTCCCCTGTTCCTACTGTTTTCAGCCTGCTCACCTTCCATTCCCGGAAATCGTAGCACCTCCAGCTCAGCCGCTTAAAGTTTTGTGAAGGAGAGATCTGTAATTTGTTCTACAAAAGTGAGTTTGGAAGCTTCTCTCATTCCTTGAACTTCCCCGTTCTCGGGCAGTTGCGATGCTCGTGCCCTGCATGCGGCCAGATCTTGCCCTGAACATCAACATAGAGTTTACTTATAGCCGCTGATCCCCATGCCATTTGACATATTTCTCATCTCACTTCATTCCGAGCCCAGCCTCCTGGTTTTTGTGGCTTGACATTGACTAAGAACGATCAGAATGCCATCCAAGCTGTCGCAGAAGAGCGTCCTTGGGCTGTCTATGGTGGCAGCCCTGGCCCAAGTCACTCCAACCCTGTGAGTATCTAACAGCCATCAATGTTGGTCATGGAGAAATGCTGTTCTCATCATAGGCTGACATTTGTCTTTCTCAGTGCTTTTGACTACGGAGCTGACAAGGTCCGTGGTGTCAACCTTGGAGGTTGGCTCGTCTTGGAGCCCTGGATCACACCTTCAATCTTCGACTCTGTCGGTGATGCCGCTGTGGACGAGTGGTCGCTGTGCGCTATGCTTGGCACAGACCAGTGCCGAGCAGTTCTATCACAGCACTGGGGCTCCTTCATCACAGCCGATGATTTTAACCAAATTGCTGCTACCGGAATGAATCATGTCCGCATTCCCGTTGGATACTGGGCAGTGACTCATCTGCCCGGCGACGCATACGTCGATGGCCAACTTGAGTATCTGGACGCGGCAGTTGGCTGGGCTCGTGCTGCTGGTCTCAAAGTTATTGTTGATCTGCACGGGGGTAAGTAGCTTCGCCTTTTCTTTGCCCTCTTTGAACAGAAGCTGACTTTATCATGTAGCTCCGGGCTCCCAAAACGGCTTTGATAATAGTGGAAAGCGTGGTGCCATTCAGTGGCAACAGGGTACTACTGTTGATGAAACCAAGTCTGCTCTCGAGCAACTTGCTAAGCGGTATGCCGGTGATACCGATGTCGTCACCGCAGTCGAGGCGCTTAACGAGCCCAGTGTCCCTGGTGGAGTAAACGAGGATGGTCTTAAGCAATATTACTATGACTCCTGGGGTGTGGTTCGTGAGGCGAACCAGGATACTACTGTCGTCCTTCACGATGGCTTTATGCCTACCGAATCCTGGAACGGATTCATGAGCGAGTCCACCGGCGTCTGGTACGTCATGATGGATACTCATCACTATGAAGTTTTCGACAATGGCCTTCTCGCTATGGATGCGAGCTCTCACGTCAGCACTGCTTGCGGCTTTGTGAATGACCACGTTCTTCACAGCGACAAGTGGACTGTTGTTGGAGAATGGACCGGTGCCATGACTGATTGTGCTAAGTACCTCAACGGCAAAGGAGTTGGTGCTCGTTACGATGGTACCTATCAAGGCAGCACGGCACTCGGCAGCTGCGATGGCAAGTCTGTTGGCAACATGGACACACTCTCCGAGGACGACCGGACCAATATTCGTCGCTTCATTGAAGGCCAGCTGGATGCTTATGAGAAGGGTAATGGCTGGCTCTACTGGACCTGGAAGACCGAGGGTGCTCCTGAGTGGGACATGCAAATGCAGATTGCTGGAGGCGTCTTCCCGAACCCAGTCACTAGCCGTCAATTCCCCGGCCAGTGCTGATCCATGACTCTTGTTATACTTTTCAGCAACCACTTATCTTTTCTCATTGGTTATATTCTGTTATGAGTGTTTTCTTTTTCGGAGTTTATTTCGTTTTTGAGTGGCGCTGCTGGATGCTTAGGCCTCATATCATGCGGGCAGGTTGATTATTCTTTTTCTAGATAGAACTACTTGGGGTTCTCTGGCTCGATCGGATTCCAAGTGCTCATCCAAACAATTCATAATTCATTCTTATATTTTGTTTACAATTATGGTGTAAGGAACGGGACCTATAGGTAGTCGTATAAGGGAAGATGCCGGTTCAGTCTGCTCTGTGAATGAGAAAGTCTGTTTGAAATATCGCATCAATTGCGTATTTGTACTAAGTCCTCTCTTCAGTATTCCGGAAAATGCTAGTTTTATTCTTGACTTCATTAAAATGGAAAGAACACTCCTGAAGACAGAACTTACAGCCATATAGACCATTTTCCATAATAACAGCATTATAATAGCTAGCTATCCGTCAGTGATCGAGTTCTAGAACCATAGAAGGTTCGTCTAAGACTTGGTGGACGATGATCCCAATAGGATCAGGGTTCTCTTTGGCAGGAAAGTGGAGCCGCCGAAGGACATGTGGAAAATATTCCTGCACATGTGCCAGGTCGAGTCGCCAAGTGACACCAAACTGGGACTTTGCATCAGCTACCTAGGATACCTAAAACTTAAAATTCATGTCTGGAACTTCTGTGGAAAATTGTCATCTCCCAGGTTGTAACCCTATGTACTGAACCAGGGCGCTCTACGCCAAGCCTGACATGTAGGTAGGATGTGATAGATCGACGAAAAAACCAACAAACCACCACACACCACGGAGGGGGAAGGCTTTCAAAAGATGAAACAGCTATTGTTCTGGAGAAAAGTGTGTAGATTATATTCCTCCGCTATCTGAGATAGGAGGCTACTTTGGTAACGCCTGTGTACCGAGAAAACATCATGTAATGAGATACAGTCTAGCGCAGGATATTTCCACACTACAATAGCTATATGTCGATACGCATCGGTATATGCAGGGTGGTGCTTATAATTTTTTGTACTGTAACAATACGTGGATTGGAATGGAATGCAATACCCACCACCTTTAGCAAGGGGCAAAATTTGGCGTATGTAGCCTAAAAATCATGGAATGCGCGATGAAGCCCGTGCTAGGCGGGTATGCTAATCTTATATTGTAGGCTACTGTAGCTAGAGAATATAAAACCAAGTCTCTGGGTGTTTCAACTTACTTGCAGAACAAACTTTTTAATTTTCTTTTACCTCGAAAAGACAACGAAGCCCAACATGCCATCCCTTACTGAATTAGCTGAACATGCTCTTGTCCTGGCAAAGCGTCTGGATGCCTACACAGCTTCCAACGGATTACCTCCAACTTCACTCGAACGGGATACTCTTTCGCTTGCTGGTTTGTCCCAGGATTTGCATAGTATTCGTCATGATCTGGGCGACATCGCGCAGATGATAAAGCGACAGGTCAATGACCCAGTCCGCAATCTCACGGAGATCATGTTTAGCGTAAGTTATCACTGTGGATCCTCACCCCTAACAAATTATCTGGGCATATTTCTAACAGAATCTTAGTTTACCGATCTCTCTTCTCTCAATATCATCTATCGATATAACCTGCCATCTAAAATTCCATTGGAACCATCTAACAAGACGGTTTCCACTGAAGAAATTGCTAAAGCAAGTGGTATTCCCCAGAATCTATGCAGACGTGTTCTTGTGCACGCCATGGAAAATGGAATATTTGTAGATGCTGGAGAGTGTCAAGTTGGTCACTCATCTTTATCCCGGTTACTAGCAACAGACCCTGGCGCATTCCAAACGGTTGGCATGCTTCTCGATGAACTCATGCCAGCAACGCTGCATATCCCTGAGGCTCTCAAGAAATACGGAACCTCAAGCGAACCTAATCAAACCGCCTACAACCTGGTCAACGATACATCATTGCCGATATACCGCTTTCTTGAAGAGCGGCCAGATCGCCGATCCCGATTTGGGACAACCATGGGGTTTTTCTCCCGCGATCAAGGTTTCAATCTACAGCACCTTGTAAATGGATTCTCGTGGGCATCTATTGACCGCCCTGACGCCGTGGTTGTGGATATCGGGGGCGGCGTTGGCGTCGTATGTCACAAGTTGGCAGAGGCGACTAAGCACATGAAGTTTATAGTGCAGGATCTCCCAATCCCTGTCAAACTAGGCCGGGAACAAATTCCAGCGGAAGCAGAATGGCGTGATCGAGTTCAGTTTAGTGTTGGGGATTTCCTAGAGCAGGATCAGACATTTATTGGTGCTGATGTTTATTTCCTCCGCTGGATTCTTCATAACTGGAGTGATGAATATTGTGTTCAGATCCTCCAGCGTCTGGCGCCTGCAATGCAGTGCCATTCCAAGGTAGTGATTTATGAATATTTATTATCTGAGGGGCCGGAGTTTAAGTGGGATCGGAAGCAAGGACGGTAAGTTACATTTTCAGGGTAACATTATGATTGGGCTTTGTTTACTGATTTGATCTGCTATAGGAGTCTTGACATGGTAATGTACGCTTGCTGGAATGGCAGTGAGCGTACCCTTACTGATTTCATTAGCATTTTCAAGCGAGCTGATAAGCGATATGTACTGGATGGTGTTTCTTTACCCACCGGAAGCTCGATGAGTATCGTCTCTTTTGGATGGAGGGATAGTCAAAATCAGTTAGCTTGATGGTAGCTCAGCGGAAGTTCAGGAATCTTGTCACTTTAGTGTTTCTCTGAATTTCATGATGCTGTAATTTCCCTTACCTTCCTATAGCGTAAAGCACTCGAAAATAAGTATAGCGTGGCAGCTGAAGATTGGAGAAGCTAAAGATTAGTGTTTGCGCGACTCTCAATTATTAACAAAACATGGGAGACTACATATTGCAGTGGGGAAATGGCCAACACTAGGGAGGTCTCTGATTGGAGGATATCTTTCTAGTATACAGCCTTTACAGGATATAGCTTCGCATCTCCGATAGGGAGAGAATCAACTTTCACACTCTCTTCGCTTCATCTGCTTCTGCTTTCCCTTTTGGGAGGCTTCCTCTATCGTGGTTTGTTGGTCTGTTCGCCGACCTATCTCATCCTGCCTGCATTCTCAGGCTTGCCGTAGAGCGCCCTGGTTCAGTAGGTAGAAAAAAAATTTAAAGTTAAGAGGTAGGCTAAAGTAGTAGTCTCCTACCTGTAACTAAGTACCTAGACCATAAAGTTAGTGAATTTCCCCTCCTAGTAATGATAATAAGAAAAACGCCTTTAAAATACAAATCAAGCTTTCCACCGCTACACTAGGAGATTATCTAGAGTTCCGGGTTTTTCTTAGAAGAACCGGTTCACTATGTGGACCCCCTATCTGATTGGAACCCTGGAACCGCGAAGAAAATTGCTGATTATTTACAGAGTGTTGAGTTTCAATTTTTCTCCCAAATTCGGTTCGTTAGGGCATGGAAAATACGGCCGAGCCAATCCTAATAAGGGCCGTTTCCCTACCTTGTTTTCTTGGGCGAAGGAGCTTGTGTCGAGATGGAAGACTGCATAATACCGCTAAGACCCTCTTCTCCCCGTGTGCATCAGACTTTCACAGGGATACTCGGAATACAGCGCCGTAGCACGCTAGACAACGAGGCAGGGGATATTCAACATTCTCCCGCCTACACACTTAGATAGTACAGTCATCTAAGACATCATCAATTTGAGTATCTCGTTCCATTGGATCCCAGCTTTGCTAGCCGATACCGTATCCTACTATATTGACACTAGGTTCTCTGGCTACGTTTCAAGCCCGGTCGCGTACATAAATTTCAATCGACCGTATCTCCACAATATGATTGATCCATAGAATGTAAATGACACAGCGGTGGGCATTACATACCACAATCTACACGTGATGCTGGCCACACGTGCCTCAACTCCGGCCGATCGGGTATTTTGTCCCTTCGGGCCTCTTCGATCGATCTATGTTGCCGGTAGGTTCCGTGGAAAATCTCTTGGTGGAAAATCTGATCCACAGGCTTGGCAAGCCAAAAGTGCCAATCGCAAGACGGAACAAATTTTCCCTATCGTTTTGCATCTTATCTGCCACTACAGTAGATGGGACTGCGCCACAGATTGCACGTGCTATTCGTAGTTTGGGCCTAATGCGCTTCTGGATACATTCCCGGATTCCCTCGTGTCGATTCCGAGATTGTTGATCAGGCTTTTGATGGATTTGGCTCGCTGGGGAAATAAAAATCCTGTGAGATCCTGGGATAATCTTGAGTTACCCCTGTACGCCAAATCATGACGTGTCAGCGAATGTCTCCTCTTGTCAGGGGAATGACTTCGAAGCTAAAAATTGGCGTTATTTAAGCTTTGCACATAGTTCCCCGTTATACGTCTACGTGAAGGGGTCATTGATTGGCGCGGATTTCTTCTTAGCGACCAAGCCACTTGTCAGTTGGGCCTAGAGGGGCACCACGTGGCGCACATTATTGTGACTAGAGACCATCAGCTGAACTATTGAGGCTCGGAGCAGTCCAGAACTGGTACAGTGGGGCCTTATGCCTACCGAATCCGACTTTTGGATAGGGTCGGACAAGACCGTTGCCACAATGATCACAGGCAGTATCCCTAGACCAAGCTATTTTGGTTGATGAATCCCGATGCTGTGGGCCTGGAACTGCCCAAGAGCTATGGATTTGTGGTACAATCCAGATTAAGCTTGTTGTTGCTGATACTTTGATGAACACCTCGGCTATTTATGCCTGAGACATGTAGATTGCCCATGGCGGAAGAAACAAGATTTCTTGTAGCGCCTCAATAAATCTTTTTGACTTAATTTTCTCCATTTATAGTAAAGCTAATCGTCATATATAATCCACATCTCCTAGCGATCGATGGCATTTTGATTTCTTCATCGATCACCTTGGAGCCCTCAAAGCCGGTCTTAGACTCGTGAGATTATCCAGGTGTGACGCCATTCTGCTTGCCTTAATAGGCTTGTCAAGATGCGTCTTCTTTCTTTCTTGGGAATTGCCGGCCTAGCTGCTGCAACCAGCACTGCCATTCCGACAGCCACGGCTACGTCCACATCCACGTCCTCGTCTAGCTCCACCGCTTCCTCAACTTCTTCCAGTGAGATTGCATCCAACCTTGTCATTCACATTAGGGGTTGAATCATACTTATTCGAGTGCAGCTTCCATAACCGTTGTTGCCGTTGCAACTGACGGCAGTGCCCAGTTTACGGCTATCGGCGACGCAATTTTGTACGCTCAGAGCCATGGGATCCCAACGGTCACTGTCTCTGCTGGTACCTATACCCAGGCAGTTACCATCTCAGCAACACCGACAGTCACTGTTCTCGGTCAAAGCAACAATGAAGATGACTACTCCCAGAATGAGGTCACCATCACCAATGCCGGCGTTGTCCTGACTGTGAATAACAACGTTCAACAAGTGGCCTTCAAGAATATTAATTTCCTGAATACGGGCACATCCGCAATGGTTCTGAAAGGAAACAAATATGCTTTCTATGATTGCCAAATCGTTTCGGCCGGAGCGCTGGGAATCACTGCTAGCGTTGGTCTCGGTGTTGTTGCAAACTCCTATATCGAGGCCCTTGACAAGGTCATCTACGGAGGCGCGAGTATCTATGTTTACAACACCGAAATCGTGCCCGTCGATAGTTCCGCGCTTGTGGCCTACATGAAAGGCACTACCTCTACATCGTCAATTCTTTATAACTCGACGGTTGTGTTCGACCATGTCACAGTGACCCAGAAGTCGGGGGCATCCAACAAGAACGTCTTTCTGGCCTCTGCTAATGGCGCGGGAATGGTTGTTGTTTACCGAAACTCCGTGTTGGGCAGTTTTATTGCTGCCTCTGGCGCTCATGTTGACACCACAACCCAAGATGGAGTAAACTTGATCGCGGAGTACTCCAACACTGGAGCAGGAGCTTATTCAAGCAATGTTGCGACTCGATCGCAATATGTCTCTCTCTTGGATGCATCTGAGTTGTCGGATTACAGCGTCGCTGCTGTTTTTGCTGCCGCCTACCCTACCTATGCTTCCTCAGACACCACTTGGGTTGACTCTTCCGTTCTGGCCGCCATCGAGAGCGCAGATGTCATCACCACAACTTCGATTGCTTCAGCTGCCACCTCTGCCACAACTGCAACTTCTTCTGCTACCACCACTTCTGCCGCTACTGCCACATCTACATATGTCGTGGACCCGACCTCGGGTCCGTATAAAAACGTCACCGCTGCTATTGCGGCCCTTCCCAGTGACGGAAACGAGTACACGATTTACGTCAAGAGCGGCACATACACTGAACAGATTTCCATCACTCGCACTGGAAAGACCATTCTTCGTGGTGAAACTGCATTTGAGAACGACTATACCCAAAACACCGTCACCATCGAGGTCTCAAACGGACAACTGACCAGCGCTGGTGAAGATGAGACTACTCCCGTTATAAACGCCAAGAACAGCGATGGCAAGGGATTGGCTATTTACAACATCGATTTCAAGAACACTTATCCCCAAACCTCCAACACCGCTGCTCTCGCTGCTGATTTCTACGGCACGGTTCAAGCGTACGGATGCTCTTTTATCGGATATCAAGACACCCTTCTGGCCAACAAAGGCACCCAGGTGTTCTCGAACTGTTACATTGAAGGCTCCGTCGATTACATTTGGGGATTTTCGACTGCATACTTTTTCCAGTCTGTCATCGCGGCCAACACTGCGGGCGCAAGTATCGCTGCTATGAGTCGTTCCTCAGCCACTGCCACAGGTGGTTACGTGTTCGACAAGTGTGTTGTCACCTACACGTCTACCTACGGTACTACTTACCAGGACACCTGGCTCGGAAGACCTTACTCCGAATACAGTCGTGTTGTCTACATGAACTCATACCTGGACAAGCATATCAATCCTGCTGGCTGGCACATCTGGTCAACGAGCGCCCCTCAAACCGACTATGTTACATTTGGAGAGTTTAACAACACTGGACCGAGCAGCTGGTCTAACAGCCGTGCTTCGTTTGCCACAAACTTGACTGAGACTGAGGCCGAGGCTTACACCTTGTCCAACTGGATTGGTTCCACCTCTTGGCTCGATATGGATGCTTATAGCTTCGTTCCATCTTATGATCTGACTGGAGGGGCTAGTGCGACGGCTACGTCCACCGCATCTAGCACCACCTCAATCTCAACTTCCACTTCTACAGCAGTAGCTACCTGGACTCATCCCACGAGTGGTACCACTCCTCCCACTGGTGCTGTCCTAGTCAGTGTCGGTGGAACCATTGATGGCTCCTATAGTAACTTGACTGATGCTCTGGCCTCACTTCCGGACGATACCACCACTCAAGTGATCTTCATGTATGCTGGAACTTATGATGAGCAAGTCCCTTCCATTGACAGAGACGGGCCTGTCATGATCATCGGTTACACCACTGGAAATCCCGGCCAGAGCTATGCTGATAACGAGGTTACCATCACCTTCTCTCGTGGCCTTTCTGTCTCTCCTTTGCCAACCGGCCACTCTGATGCCGAAACTGCAACTGTCGCTACTGCCTCGACCAAGATCGCATTTTACAACGTGAACATCATCAATTCGGACAATCTTGATGGTTCGGAATCATCTTACGTGACTCTGGCTGCCTCAATCTATGGAAACCACATCGCATTCTACGGTAAGTGCCTGAATCATTTTCTCCTTTCGGGCATTGCTAATGATTGATTTACCCAAAAGCTGTTTATTTCCAAGGTTGGCAGGATACCCTCCTCACTGGAAGCACCACTGGCTACCAGTATTACGAGTCTTCGTACATCGAGGGTGCAATTGACTTTATTTGGGGTTACTCGAAGGCCTACTTCAAGGGCTGCACAATCGGAGCCAAGCGGGCCAAGTCGGCAATCACAGCACACAGCAGAGCCTCGTTGAGTGCTATTGGAGGATATATCTTTGACCAGACTTTATTCACTGCCGCAGCCGATGCTACCGTTGACCTAACGGAGACTGTGTATCTTGGTCGCCCTTACTCCGAGTATGCTCTTGTCGTGATCAAAAACTCCTATATGACTGATGTTATCAACCCCTCTGGATGGAAGGTCTGGTCGACTGCGGACCCTCGTACCGCTTATATCACATTCGCTGAGTTCAACAACTCGGGTCCCGGAAATTGGGAAAACAATGAGGCTGCCCGTGAGGCTTTCGGTTACGCCACTCTTCTCACAGAGGACAGTTACTCTCTGGAAAGTGTCATGGATTCCACAGACTGGATTGATATGACTTACTGGGACTCCATCGATACTCCCACCTCCGTCTTGGGGATATCGACAACGACTGCCACTGCCACATCCTCTGCTACTGCGACTGCGACTGCGGCATACGATGGAACAACGCCACCCAGTGGAGCGTACATTGTCTCGAAGACCAGCCTTGGAACCAACACAACCACATACGATACCATCCAGAGCGCCCTTGATGCCATTCCAACTTCATCTAAGATCACTCCCACTATTTTCATCTACCCTGGAACCTACGAGGAACAGCTTGTCATCAGCAAGTCTGGGACCGTAATCTTGGTTGGCTATTCGGAATCCACTTACGATTACTCTAGCAACCAGGTCACTATCCAGTACAATCATGGTGTCGATACTCAAGCAGATGAATCCAACTCAGACAGTGCAACTGTTTATGCTACTGGAAATTACTTTGAGGTATATTCCGCTGGGCTACCTTTTTTTGTGGTACGGCTAGTATTAACATATTTGGCAGGCTATCAACATCAATTTCGTGAATAATAATGGCACGGAAAAGGATATCGCATCTCTGGGTTTTGCTGTGAAGTCGAGCAAGTATGCTAGTCTCTACGGTACGTTACATGATCCATCTTTCTGTGTGATCCCAAATCAATTCTGACATATGAAATAGGCTGCCAAGTAACAGGAAACCAGGATGCGCTGTTGATCAACGGCTACTTGTGGATGTCGAACGGATATGTGGAGGGAAATATCGATATGATTTGGGGAAGTGGATCTGGCTATTTCCTCAACACAACAATATCGCCCAATGAGGATAGCATCAACCTCACCGCAGACAAGCGTGCTACCAGTACAACTGCTGGAGGTTTCGTTTTCGATCAATGTACCATCGTTCCTTCGACCGGTGCAGGATCTATGTCTAAGATCTCTCTCGGACGGCCTTGGAATTCCTACGCTCGAGTTGCTTACATCGAGTCTTACCTTGACTCTTGTGTTGAGTCTGCTGGCTGGAATGAATGGTCTTCTTCGAGCCCACAAACCGATGGTGTCACCTTTGCAGAATATGGTAACATTGGTCCGGGTTCGAGTACCTCTGGTCGTGCTTCTTTTTCCACACAGCTCAACGATACCGGAGCTGCTCAGTTTGAACTGGATAACTTCTTCGCCACAACCTCCTGGATTGATCTAACTCATGTTGATGGTGAACCATTCGTTGCGGGTACTGCATCGACTACTGCAACTGCTACTGCCACCTCGACATCCACTTCCTCTGTATCAAGCTCTGTTTCAACAGATATTGTTACTAGTACAATCGATGTTGTGGTTACAACCACTTCAGATATTCTATCCACAATAACACCGACTGACAAGACTTCGACTGTCAAGTCCACCGTCACTCTGACAATCACACCCGATGTTGTTTCAAAGACTACAACGGCAAAGTCAACTATTACTACTACAGAGACTGTGACTGAGCCGACTAAAACATCCACAAAGACCTCGGTCGTGACAGTTGACGTGGGCTCAACGGTTACACCCGATGCAAAGACAGTTACCACAACTAATAAGTCCACAACCACGGACACTGTCACCGTCACTGGAAAGGCCACCACGACAACTGTGAAGAGCACAATGACCACAACTTCAACAATCACTGCTAAAGCTTCCACCAAGACCGTCACAGAAACCGCGACAGTTACTAGTGTGAAAACCACAAGCGCCAAGGCTGGGAAAACAACTTCCACCAAATACGTGACCATCGGCACTGGAGGTACAACGACCATCAGCACAAAGGCAACCACTTCAACTGTTACTTCCACTTCCACAAAGACATCCACCAAGACCGTCACAACAACGGTAAGCTGTGATGCTGCCACAAAGAAGATGAAGCGTGACCTTTCTCCGCGGGGTGTCACGGATGTCGTGACTGTTTATGTCACGGATGTCGATGTTGTCACAAAGACTGTTACCACAACATTGCCAGTCGTGACCGATTACATTACTTCAATTGCCACAAAGACAACATCGATTCATGCGTCCACTGTTACGGAGACTGTGACATCTCTGGCTACCAAGGTCTCAAGTACCACAATCCCAGCCGTGACCTTGACCATCACCATTGTTGAGACAACATCGGTGGGCAAGACCACCACTCTGAAGGCATCTACCGTCACCAGCACCGTTACAAGTGCAGTTGAGAAAATTTCGACAGTGACTGCTCCTGGTGAGACTGTGAAAACTACGAGTGTCAAGAGCACAACAGTTAAAAGCACGCTTTCGCTCCCTGCCTCCACCACGACGACCACTAAGACGACTACCATCAAGAGCACTACCACTCTTCCCGCCTCTACCAGCACCATTATCAAGACATCCACTGTGACCAACAGTCCCTCTGTCACCATCACGGAGCGTGCTACTTCTACTTCCACCAAGGTTGTAAGCACAACGTCGACTCATACCGTGACTGCGACAAAGACGGCCAAGTGCTCCTGATTGAAACTTCCAACTAAGGATACTTGACTAGTCTCTTTTCCCTGATTCTTCTAATCATGGATTTGATGACTGTGTTTGTTTTGATATATATAGCCCTCTATAATGTCTAAAGTTTTCCAATAAATTTTTGAATTTTTGCTACATCATTATTTCAGTTGTATCTCCCGGATACGGTCCGAGTTCTGTTAAATCTTCCCGATATATGAGCAACGAGTCGATCACAGTGTGGATAATAGGTTTGGATCACTGTTTCTGAGTTTCCTTTGGAAGTATCCTATCTTATGCATGGTATTGCGTCGCTTCCTTCCATGTCCTAAATGGGACTAATGTCTTTGCGAATGATTGAGGCCTATTTGTACATAGATCCTACCCTCTTCTATCAGTCTCCGGTCCTTTCTTTCTCCATTTTAGTATCATAGAAGTAGTTATTAAGATATAATACTTCATAGGGACAGCTTACAACTGGGACTTTGTTTCTTAGTGAGAGGACTCACAAGAATCTCCCCCCACGTATAGCAAGACTTCAAGATAGCACTTTGCATACTGGAGTGTGGGGATTTCTCTCATGGGAAAATCTGCCTACTAGGCTGGTTATATAGTACTCATCCCTTGGGCCCTTACGCCCGAACATCGTGATGACATTATTGGACCACCGTATACAGTTACCGCTAATCCCCGCTTACTTGACGTCCACACGAAGCCACTGAAGATAGTTGATCGCCTAACCCGTAACTGCTCATTAGTTAAAAGTGAGAGAAAGCAACTCGTGGTAGACGCAGACGAAGTTACGTCTCTGGCTTTTGGAACATCCCGGCGTGTAGTCCCCAAGAAAAAAACCATGTGTGGCATCAGGGCTATCCTTTCACTTGAGGGCTTCCCCGAACCGTCAAGAGCTTCCTCGCACCGTCAACGGAGCAATACCTATCATCTCTAGGTGAACATATCGGCGAAAGTCTGGATATCATTCAACATCGTGGGCCCGATGCGCGCGGTCAATGGGCTAGCGAAGATGGTAGCGTTCGTAATTGCTTCATTTCTTCGCAAGATAATTTTGATAGTGGCCCTCTTTAGATCTCAGACATGTCCGTCTCTCTATCGTTGACCTTTTCAGGATCCTATTTCTTGGAGAGCTTGGGTAATAGTCCAATTTGACTGAGATCTAGTATTATAACGGATGCAGCCATTCCTGGGTGCGGAAGAAATTGATTCTGGAAGAGCAACTTCTTTTTTCGGAAAAAGCAATTGACCAATGTATCAAATATAATCATACAATAGCTTGTTATCGCTCAGAACTGTATGTAGAAATTATTAGATAGCTTCAAGTTCGATTGCCACACTGCGATACGAAGATCTTTACTTGATGATTGTGGATTCTGGTGTTATTTTATAACAATCAAACTCCTTCGTCCGAGAAAAATTAATTATAACAGATTGACTTTATTGACAAATGTATTGATTGATTGATTGATTGCTATATACAATAGTAGCGAGGTATATATCAGGGGCAGTGTGTCGCGAAGTGGAAAATTAATAGGGTGCGGTAGAGGTCTGTACAGTCTACCGAGGTCTACCCGCACCTCGCAGCGAATCAGAAGTCTGGAAAGGTGATAATTGGGTGAAAAGGTGACCTTCTTCCCTGTAAGGTCTAACGGTTTGATCGGAACATTTGCGATTCCCCGCAATCGCCGAGGGGTGAAGCATTTTGCATTCCCTCTTTGCGACCTGCGATCAAATGCATCGGATATGCAGAGTGTGACCGACACGAACAAGGCGCATGCATGTAACGAGTGTCGACGTCGTAAGGCTCGCGTACGGTGAAATACCCAGGAGGAAGGTGGAACGAGACATTGACCAAGCTTCCCAGTGTTCCCGCGAACTGCCTGTATGCGCGCAATGCCGCCAATGGCGTCGGCACTGTCTCTATGAAAAACCGACACGAAGTCCGCTCACTCGAAAGTACGTCTCGTCGTTTTGGTGAGCTGAGTATCCGGCTCTGACATAGTCTAGGCACTTGACAGAAGTCGAAGAGTCCCTACGAATCGCCACCCAGATCATCCGTGACCATGGACTTGACGTTGATCTCGAAGCCGAGCTATCGCAAGCCCGAAACGGAACCAGTCAGAAATATCAGCTTTTGAGCGAGGAGGAGACAGCCCGAGAAAGTGTGAAAAGGCCGCGACCTACTTCAGGACAAGATAAGGAAGGGCGGGATTCGCCAGCAAGTCAGTCCCTCGGTGTCGACTATGCAATACCTGAGCCTTGTCTGGAACTCCTGGTTTCGACTGAAAATGCCGTGGAAGCGATCTCTGCCGATCTTCTGCCTGCGGCCAACGTCGAGGACACCGTTATAAGCGGTGCAGACTATGACTGGGATGAGCGAAACACGGAGGCACAGAGCTGCATTGATGGCATGGCCGCTTTATCTATCCAAGAGGAACGGCCGGGGTACTTGGGTCTTGCATCTGGAGCCGCTCTTCTGCATTTGATCCAGAGTTGCTCCGGTCCAGTATCATCCACCGCAGCCCAGAATGTGCCATCTTCTAAGGCACAATCACCACAGCCACTGGCAGTTAATCTACAGCGAAATATCCCCGCGCACAGGATTGAAGCATATGTCGCTAACTACTTCAATGAATACCACACCTCATATCCCCTCATTCACCAAGGGTTGTTCATGGCACAGTATCATGAGATTGTATCTCGCCCAAAATACGGCTGGAACGTCCTGATGTACATTATGGCCGCCATTGGAGCTTTCATGTCAGCCACAGCACCAAATGACGACGATTTAGTTCTCTATCACAAAGCTCGTTCCCATCTATCTATTGAAATTCTCGAAGTTGGAAGCTTGACTCTTGTGCAGAGCCTAAGCCTGATTTCAAATTATCTGCAAAAGCGAGATCGTCCAAACTCGAGCCACAACTACCTTGGCCTGGCTGTCCGAATGGCCTACGGCTTGGGCCTTCACAAGGACCATCCGAGTATTGACGGTAACTTGTTATACCGTGAAATCCGCCGACGCACATGGTGGTGCCTCTACATTTTTGATGCAGGTTCAACAATAACATTCAGTCGTCCACTAGCCATTCCATCTGCTGGTCTTGATTCAAAGCTCCCACTCAACATCTCAGAAAGCGATCTCACTGTCTCCGCGGTCGCCGCCCCGGACAGCATCAATGCGCCGACCATCTACACAAACGTTCGAGTCCAATCCCAGTTCCACCTCCTCACAAACCACATTTACAACCGAATAATCTCCAAACCATCTCCCTCCGCCAAACAAGTTCTCGAATGGGATGATAAATATATAGAAAAATGGCTAGATTTAGTCCCTGATTATTACAAAGAGAACGCCGAGGTGCCACAGCGTCATGCGCTAGCTCATGCTATCATGACTTGGCGATATAAACATTTTCGAATGATCATATATCGCCCGTATCTGATCCAAAAAGCCTTGATGTCGACATGGACTCAATCACCGCCAAGAGGCCAATGGTCATTAGGGACTACACATCAGTCTTCTTCCTTCTATATAGACTCCGCCTGTGAACGTTGCTTGAAAGAATCCCACGACACTATCACGAGTGTTCATTTCTTCTGGGAAAATAACATCCACACCCGAATGGCCTGCTGGTACGCTCTGTACTTCCTTTTCTCGGCAACTCTGGTTCCGATCATAATCCTGCGAAACGAGCCACTGTCGTCACTAGCCAAAGCATGGCAAGAAGACATTGAAAAAGCGATTGATGTCATCAAGGGAATGGTTGAATTGAGTCCATATGCCTCGCGCTGCGTTGAGACACTTGAAACTATAAGTAACAATTATACTGGGGACGGGGACTCCACAAACATCCCGCAATTCCCTGATATTCCTGGTTTCTCGGATTCCATGGACCAGATTCCCTTTGCTCAAATGTTCTCTTCCAATCCCGCTGGGTTGTTTGAGGCTCCAGAAATCTTCTTTGAGGAGCAGATGTGGTAAGTGTAGAGACGGCTCTGATGATCCTCATGGGGGTCAGTGCTAACTATGTTGCTAGGAGTAATGATTTTACTACTTTCTTTCAGCCTGACTACCCTACAGGTTCAAACATTTAGCCTTCTGACAAGTTTGAATGATAAAAGAGATTCTCAAAAATCTGTTTAAATATTCCTCATCTTCTCATCGGTACAGACTCTAGCCAGAGTAAGTGTGTATTGTGTATGCCGCTCCATGCAAGAAGGAACAGTACATTTGCGCAAGCTCTTTCCATCTAGTGATAAGACACAAGCAAGATAGAATGCAGGTAACAAAGGGAAAAGAGCAAAGAGGTACATGATATGTAGATATGTTGGAGAATTGAAATTGTGATTTCCTGGGTTTCTTTGCCTTAGATCAAACCCAACGCACCGAATGCAGAGACGACTTGCGTGTCCACATTAACAAGCCATTCCTCTTGGAATCGCTGCGCACCTCCACACGCAACGATCAGTTCATGGAGGCGATGTCGCACGAAGTCTCTGATTGGGAAACGATGAATGGGATCTGCGTTGTCCCACTCACGGCGGCGAGTGGTCTCAGGATCTTCAGCCTCCTGGGCCTCAGGCTGGGCAGTTGCAGAGCCTGCGGGAGCATTCCAGCAGACAAGGTAATCGGCATTCTGGTCGGAGCCACCTTCAGCAAGTTCGATTATGATGTCGGTCCACACGTTAAGGTAAGATTGCAAGTGGTTGAGGATGTAAGATGGCGGAGGAGCAGGTTGTGAGAGATTGGCTGATGGGCCTTGGAGGGCAAGTAATTGGGTGAGGGCAAGCGCATGCAGCTTCTTCTGGTTCACGCTACCGATGTTATCATAATGCGAGAACCACTCAGTAACAAGCCAGGAGAGGGTCTGTTCTTGAGTTGTGTTGGTCGCAGCCGCGACGGCTGAAGCAAATATGGTGGGGTTGGCGAGGGCAAGACGAGCAAGTACAGAGTAATAATCAGTTTCCACAACACCGACAACGTAGGAAGTTTTGCGGTTAGGTCCGGTAGTTTGACTCGCTTCATGGGCTGTGAAGAGACCCTCAAGAAGGGACTGGAGAAACGAGCTGTCTATCAGTGATCGTGAGATGGCACTATAGCTTGCTTCGCTTCCACCGTCAACGGTCTGAGCGCCGCGGATCATCATGTCTACTAATCGGGCAACAACACCACTGCGTTGTCTGGTGGTGTATGAAAGGAGTTGTTCCAAGGCGGCTAGGAGAGGGAGTCGAAACTCATCGCTGAGAACAGCTTGTGGGGCAAGCAAAATATAAGACTCAATAATCTGCAGTCCCTGAGGAGCACTATCAGTTCCTTGCTCAAGGATCGGAAGAACCGAGGGAAGCAGAGAAAGAATCTCCGGAGATGCAGGACTAGGTGTTTGCATAATGATAGCAGTCCAAAGCTCGAGTGCTTCATCTAGCAAGTACACCAAAGTTTCCTGATAGAAATCAAACGTCAATTCACGTATTGAAAAAGAGTGTCTCATTAATGGCACTTACAGAATCAGGGTGAACAGAGCTCTGGATGAGCGGGAGTATAAGCGAATGATATCTCGCAGACTCCTGCTTCAAAGAAACAATCAGGGACGAAAGTAATGTCAAAATTGCCTGTTTCATAAGATGTTCCTCTCCAGACTCTTCCCACAGCGGCGGAAGCAGAGAAAGGATTTGATCAGAAAAGGGGCCGATCTGTGAGACAAGTTAAATAAGGCACTTCTTCGAAATGGATAGGAGCGAACCTGGTTTTCCATTTTAACAACCGCCACGCGTACGGTTTCTAGAAGACCCATCTTTGTTTCCGATGATTCAACCTCCTGAACGAGAGACATAAGACTTCCCAGGATCGACTGGGCAAATGGCATGAAATCGGCAGGAGAGAACTCGTATGGTTCAAGCACATTGCGAAGCTGACGACCAGCTGTGATGCGAACAACCAAGTCATTGAGTGGATCTTCTTTATTAAGAAGATGTTGGAAAATTTGGTAAATGGCATTTCGATTCACCTCGCCAGGTTTAACAGGGACCCATTGGCCAATCACAAAGGCAATCCGCCGTCTCAAGAGCCTGTATTCTTGGTCTTGAATCTGTACCTCAGGGACCATGGTTCTTTCTAGAAAAGCGTTGAAATCCAAGTGCTGCTCGAGACTAGCAGCAGCTAGGCCAACAGCTGAATACAGCGAGTCTTTCAGCACCACATTGCGATTTTCGATAGCTGTCACTGGATTAGCAAAATAAAACGCTTGGGTCTCGGATTGTCTGGCGTAGAAGATGATTACTCACTTGCGAAAGAATAAAAAACATTCAACAATCGAGGGATAAGAAGATCTTTGAAATGGATTACAAGGTCAAGGAACAGTTTCTCAGAGCAGGAGCGGATGGAAAATTCCCAAGCCTCTGCACTCTGCTCCTCTTTCTTTTCCCATGTTTCGGGATCGGCCTCCCATTCCTCGAAATCAACATTACGGAACCTGAAAAATTGGGTCACAAGAAGTTCCATAACATTCACCACGAAGTCATGGGTAAACAACTGGGATTTTATTCGCTCAACCGCTTGCTTGCGCTCTTCTTTATCTTGGGGTGTTTGATATTTGAATGTTTGCACCGGATTGAACGCCATTTTTGCACATGCTCGGATCAAAAGCAAGGCTTTGAGACCGGCCTTCTCAAATAGAGATTGTCCTTCAGTGTCAGAATCAGCGCCAAGGCTAACATAGTTTTCACTGAGCTTGACAACTAGTGACCAATATGAGTTGACGAGTGTGATGCTGTTTTCAAAGTGTGCAAAGGATGCAGGATGGGTTCTCGCCATTTCGACATGGAGCTTCGACAGCTGAAGAAGGTGCTTCTCAATCGCAGCGTGCAGGGCCTCTGGTAATTGAAGCGAACCATCCACAAAAGAAAAGAACTTGCTGAAATGAGTACTAGTCAAGTCCCAGAATTTCTGTACATCTTGATCACGGCCTGGGTGCTCAAAACCAGAAATGATTAAACGCCGGAGTACTTTGAGTGAAACGAGACTTTGTTCAATAATCTCAAGCAATGATGCTGGATCTGAACTGCCCTGGTCTAGTGCAGCCACCCACTCGTTGACTTTGTCCATATATATTCTTCCCAAAACCTGGAAAATCTCCGGTGATACCGACTGCAGATGCACACGGGTTCGTTGGATTCGCGCGGTGGAGAGCTCTTTGATGACTTGTAGCAGGATGAGGAGGGTTCGAGGAAGTTGTAAAGGGTTTGCGCCTGGCTGAGTTGATGATCGGAGCAAGGAAATAATGGAAGTCATTGCATCAGGCCTTCGAAATTTCATCATTAGTAACAAAGATATTGATATGGGCTTTGGGCATGCCGTACCAATCATGGGGAAACTCATAACGCAATATTTTCGCAATCATCAACGCATTCTGGAGAGCCAGCTGACGGGCAGGCTCCTCTACACCTGCTTCTAAGGCTCTGGTCTTGATCTGGATCTTCTCCTCTTTGGCGATCGCACTTTCATCAAATATCAGTTTCTGTTATTCCAGCGAAAAAACTCCGGATCAGCGGATAAGAAAGCACGTACTTCGTTGCCGTCTTGCGCCAGTAGCGATCGATGCCGTGTTTGAGTTGAATGATGGCGATATATCGAACGTCGACTGGAAGAGAGCGATCTAAAAAGACGTCCTACAAGTCCTCGGCAGTCAGTTCCCGGTCCTCTGATCTCAAGATTCTGCTTGCGGTACCTGAAGCATCCCATGGAACATCCCCTGCTTTTCCCAGTGTTGCAGCTGTTTTGTGCCCGTTTGCACTTGCTGCTGAGTAGAACTTGCAGCCAAGACCAGCGCATCCACGACATTGTGATGCGTCAATGGGTTTGTCTCCCCCGGCACCTCGATTGGCTGGGCCATGGTGAAATGCACGTTTTATGTCGCAGGGCTCAAACAAATCCGCCACAGAACACCTTGGCTAAACAGTCCAACAGAAAATAAATTCTCCCACTCTTAGGAGCTCCCCATTAACAGCTGGAGAGAGAGATGTACGGTGAGAGGAACGATTGTCAACAAAGACATCCCACCTCATCTGAGCTCCACCGCCTTTGGACTTTGGATCCCCTCATCAGGTGCCCGGACTAATTGCTTTTCCGGGTTGACCCAGCCCTAGGGCTGGACCCTCTCTTATCGCTCTATCGGGGGTTACGATTAGGGTTGGTGGAGACCATGAAGTCATTCAGTATCAAGTATCTTGAGTCGAGGAACAGGGTCCAGGATGATCATGCCCACCAACCTTGTTTTTGTGATTTACAGAAGAAACATGCCGGTATATTCTGCCCCACTCTGATTTAATCTTCTAGGCCTTTGGGGGATCTAGATGACATATCTATGATGTACCAGCTATGAAAATTCGACTTTGCCATGGGATGATAGTTCAAAGGCTGTGTATATAAATCGCGACTGGATAAAATCGAGAGCAACTTCTACAACATATCTTAACTTTCTATTCTACTGAGTCCAGTAGCATTATTCTATACTTGCTATTCTATCCGAACTTTCATTTCAAATACAATGCCCCGGATTGAGGACCTACGCCAAGCGGCATTTAATGCCGAGAAGGACCTGAACTCGTATCAGGCCAAGCAGGGCTTGGGCCGTAAAAGTGATTCTGGTCAGTTCCTTCTATCTGGATGATCCATCTCTTCGCAATTGTTGTTGACAGCTGAATAGTACTCGAGTCCGGTGTCGATGAAATGGTGGACCAACGCTTCTCCGAATCTAGAGGCGTCAAATACGGCCCTGGTGCAACAGCATCCGGTAGCGACCACCGTAAAGTTCCGGAGGATGAGGGTGGTACTCGAGATGATCGCGGCAGGTAAGTAGCTGATATCCAACGTGCAAGGTAGCCAATTGGTACACTGCTAAGAATTTGACCTTGTTTCAACTAGACTTCCCACGGCGAAGCATTTCCAGGGTCCTGGTGGCCCTGAGGATAACATCAAGGCTGATTCGGAAAATCGAACTGGAGATCAAAACACTCTCAGCCTGCAGGACATGAAGCACCGAGGGATTGCGAAATAAATCATGTATTAGTATAAAAAGCGCAGCAATGGTCACATCCAAGTATACATTAGTTCCATGAAACTCCGTCAGACTTATCACTCAGCTTTTATAGTTTGGATTCAACAAACTCCGTCCCAAGCGGTCAACGGAGATATCGCATAATTTCGGCGTAACACATCATACAGTGTTCAGGCTATGCGACATACGAAGGTCTGTGCCAATGCTAGTGCCGTATGCACCGCCGGCGATCATCTCCTCGTGAATCTTCCAGGCTGAGACTCATGCCACATAGACTCCCCTCACACAGACATTGCAGCATTAGATTGAAGAAAGTAAGGCCCAATTGATTCCAGACTCTTGCTTCCCGAGGTTCTCGAGCCCCGCTCCGCTGACAACCCCGCTGTGAGGAGCGGGTTCTCCGCATCAACAACACTTGAATATTCCAATCAAATGTCTCGCCGAGGAGCCATAGTTCTGCCGAGCATTTACTCCAACCGGCCAAGGCCCCCTTCCCGCCTGTCAGATCCCAGCGAACTACGGTCCAGAAATGGAAAATGCCCTTGCTGTCCTCGTGTTAGGACCGAAAGATGACCGGTGGAGTCGTTTGGATGAGATTCCATAGGTGAGTTCGCATACAACTAAATCCATAGAGTTTACCGGGTTTCGGAAAGTCTGATATAGCTGGCAGTCATGCAGCTATTTAAACCCATGCGAATCTGTAAAGCTTCTGGGAAGCTCTTTCGTTAATTCAGCGAATTTTAGCTTTTTCGTTTATCTCTACCATTCCCATTGTCGTCGAACCTTCAGGATTTGTGATCTGCATCATGGCTATTGGAGCATCTGAGCCAATCGAAACTCGATTATTTATTAACAACGAAGTATGAGGACCTCGTGAGCCCTTGAGCCCAATCCCAGGCCTGTTTGACTGGAGTGACCGAAGACATCTGACTTATCTACGATTTTTGTAATCAGTTCCGCAATTCTTCAAGTAACAAGACCTTCGAGGTCATCTATCCCTACACGAAAGAGGTTGTGGCAACTGGTCAGGCCCTTCATTCACAAACAATCTCAGGCGCGTCACATATATCTAACTCTAAATCCTATTAACAGTCCAGGAAGCAGACATTCAGGATGTCAACGACGCCGTCGCTGCCGCCAATGCAGCCTTCCCCGCATGGCGGGACCTGGGTGTCGAGGAGCGTGGCAAATACCTCCACAAGATGTCCCAGCTCTTCCTTGAGTCCCAGGATGAGCTGGCTCGTCTAGAGACGCTGTGCACAGGCCGCCCAATCTCGATTTTCGTTGATGCGAAAATGTCCGCGGACCTATTCCGGCACTTCGCAGACGGTGCATGGAATGCACAGGGAACTGCGAGTACCCATACTCCTGGGATGCTGAGCATGACGATCAAAGAGCCATATGGAGTAGCGGCGTTAATTATTCCTTGGAACTTCCCGCTCGTCATGTTTAGCATGAAGATGGCTGCTGCGTTATCGGCTGGAAACACAGTGGTATTGAAAAGCAGTGAGAAGGCGCCGTTGACTGTGAGTCCGCTCTTCCTTGCCTTCCTTGTTTTCTTTTCCGTTGGCCTATTCGGACAAAAAGAAACTTCTTTTTTACATCCTTACTTAACCCTGCTGGATTAGTCTTTATTTGCCGCCAAGCTCTTCCAAAAGGCCGGTTTCCCGCCCGGCGTCGTCAATATCATCTCTGGACACGGCACCCCAGCGGGCTCCGCCCTAGCCGAACACATGGACGTCCGTTGCATCAGCTTCACCGGCTCATCACTCACTGGCCAGAAGATCCAAGCCGCCGCCGCCAAGTCCAACCTGAAACATGTGCACATGGAACTGGGCGGCAAGTCGCCGGCCGTCATCTTCGAAGACGCAGACCTCGAGGCCGCCGCTGCACAGACCCAATTCAGCATCCAGTTCAACAGCGGGCAAGTATGCGTGGCTAACTCGCGAATCTATGTGCAGGAGAATGTCGCCGATAAATTCATCAAGCTGTTCCGCGCCATGTTCTCCGCTGTCAAGCCTGGCGACCCGCTTGATCCGACGACAACCCACGGGCCGCAGATCGATGCGCTTCAGTACAAGCGCGTGAAGGAGTACCTGGATATCGGGGCGGCAGACGGGTCACTAACAGCGGGTGGTGACGCCAATGATGGCTTCTTCATCAAGCCGACTATTCTTGAAAATGTGCCCGAGGAATCGCGAGTGATGCGTGAGGAAATCTTCGGTCCGGTTGTGGCTATCAACACCTTCAAGACTGAGGAGGAGGCTGTTCAGAAAGCAAATAACACCGAGTTCGGCCTGTACGCCTCAGTCTTTACGAATAATCTGGACCGTGCTGTGCGCATGTCCAAGGCTCTGCAGGCTGGCACTGTCGGAGTCAACTGCACGAGCCCGACGACCGCACTAGATGCCGCCTTTGGTGGGTACAAGATGAGTGGTACGGGCCGGGAGGGAATTTTGTACAGTGTCGATAATTTCCTGCAGACCAAGACGATCTTAATTAAGGCTGGTGCATCCATTGTGTGAAATACGACCTGTGGTGCTTGTAACACATGTAATGACTACGTGTTTGCACCATTTTACCTGAATCTTTTCTTTGTGCCCTCTTTGTTTTCATCTTACTTCAGAAAATGTCTCTCTTTTAGTCTGCTGTCGACAAAGAAAAGCGTGAAATAAGAATGCAAAATCATGAGCTGCACTTGATACTAGAGCTAAGGCATTAAAACATAAAGCAAGAATCGAAATTACCACCCCTATTTTTGAATCATCTTGAAATGAAAGGCAAAAAAGCTAGTGTTTCTCCAAGGCGACATGTTATTAGATAAGCCACACATCATCTCGGGGACTTTTCTTGGAAAGAGCCACAAGCAACTTTGTCACTCAGATTTCAGATCAACCCGTTGAGGCAGAAAGAAAGCGCGATTAGGGCACAGGTAATAGCGGAGGTAGTGGACACGTTGATGATGCCAGCACCACTGGTTGAGGTGGAGGTACCAGACGCTGAGCTGGTTGTAGTCGAAGTGGTGCTCGACTTACGAGTAGCAGTGACATTGGTGTTGTAGTTCGCCTTTGAGTCCCAAGGATAGGGGCTGGTGTAGTTGTAGGTGGGCTTGAGGTTAGAGTAGGTCTCCTTGACAATGTCCAAGATGCCGTGACCAGCAGAGCACTTGGCATCGGTCTCGGGAACTGGCCAGTCCGCTGAGAACGTGGAGTACTCGCCATCCGACATGGGGCCAGGGTAGGTCTCGTTCAGACGCAAGTTGGTGGTATCCACATCGTAATTGACATAGCCGGTCTTGTTGGCGACAATTTGGAAAATGTTGGCACCACAGTCCCACTGTTCATTCTTGGTCAGCTGGGGTCATTAATGGGCTCGATGACCACGCCACTTACTCGACCAAGAGAAGGCAGCCCCCAGTTAGCCTCTACAGTCGCAAGGGTAGAATAGTGAGTGTAGAAAGTGTCGTCCTCGGTGCCCTTGAGGTTGTCAGGAATGGCGCCTCCAACGAGCACACTGTTCCCAGTTTAGTTCATAGCTCTGATTCCAGAGAAACATTGGATATCTGGTGGTCATCTTACCTGAAGACTCGGTTGCTCTTGGGGTAGGTCTCATCTTCATCGAAAGTCAAAAGAACAACGGTGTCGTTCATGAAGTAGTCATTCTTCAACAGAGTGGACATCCAGCTACGCTCCCACTTCGCAGCGAAAGTGATGTTGGTGTCATGAGCATCATTGGTCATGTTGGGGGTGATGAAAGCCCACTGCGGAAGCTTCTTGTCGGACAGATCGTTTTCAAAATCCGTGAAGTTCTTGATCTGACGAGCACGAGTCTCGTTCTTGACAACCGAGTCATAGAGAACCAGAGGGTTGTGCTTGCGCACGTAGTCGTTATCATAAGTCTCCTGGTTAGAGTAGTTGTAGCCCTGGAAGCCAGGGTACGGCAGGTGCTCCTGGTACTCGGCCCACGAGATGCCCTTGGTGTCGAGCACATCTGCGATGCTGGAGACATTGGCTGGCATTTGCTTGAAGTCATCATTGTCCATGCCAAAGGTATCACCACCAGCTGCTGCGCAGTAGTTGGGCTCAGAAGGATGGGTCACTGCATAGAAGTTGGTCCTAGGAGGAGGAATAAGCAGGGGTTTTCCAATGAAGTAGGGGAAGAAATCCCATTGACTTACAGCAAGATACCTTGCTTGGCCAGCCACTGCATATTTTCATCTGCAGCCGAATCTTCATAGTCCTGAATTACCAGTCAATCACCCACACTCGGAATTCCCCATTAGTAGAGGGTAGCTTACAATGTTCTCCAGCCACACCTGGTAAAACCGGTTGAAAGCAAGACCCTTCACATTAGAAGTGGTTGTTTCTGGTAGGGTTGTTGCTGCTGCTGCTTTGATAGCAGAGAGAGCCGGCTCTGAAGTAGTTGCAACTTGAGCGTGAGCCACTGTGGCCGCAGCCAACAAAGCAAGGGCAGTGGCCTTCATCGTAATAGATGAGATCAGGTGAACGTCAATGAATGTAGCAGATAGTCAGTATGGAAGGTTTTAGAATAGATTGATGCTAAAGGGGAAGGCGGGATACAGAGAAAAGAATAAAGAGAGAAGGAAAGAAGGAAAGATGAGCATTCCAGAATAATTGTTTTTTATACGAGGTTCTATAGCACGTGGTGGTTCAACCTTGCACAGCATCACAGGGCATCAAACAGCTCTCTAGGCTGTCGTTCTGACCCATTATCTTGGCAGGTACGTTAAAGGATCTCTCGGTAAGAGAAGGTTTGGACTGAACTACAGTCTGAACGCCCCATGGGTGTTCAGATGCCACAGTGAATGATCATCGGATATACACGCACGGTGCCCCGTTCCCGACGCTGATTGGCCAGCGAGGGCCAGGGACCCCGGTGCCAAGCCTGGGGCAGATGCTTGGCCAAGCCATCGATGCCTGTCAGCTCCCACCAACACACACTCTCGGCAGGCTTGTCGGGGCTTGTCTCTTCTTGTCTATACTTGGCCCATCGAGCCAGCTTGGCACGTGTCTTACACATGTGGAAGGTGACTGGTTCTCAATTGGCAGGCGCTGTCGGAAGGGGCCGCCAAACAAATAGCTAGCAATATTTGGGGCACTTTGTTCCTGCACCGAGCGCATCTAGAAGGGTTCTTTTCGGAATAGATTGCCGAGGTGGGGAGTTGTGGAGTAATACCACCTCAACTGCATCTCGTAGGGCTGGTCCAATCACGACGGAGGTAAATCCAGACTGCACCCAGTCAACATCAATCCTAAATGGTTACATTCGTCGCGAGAGAGCACCCTAGAAGCATGCCTCATGAACCCTCCCCACTCTGTCAAATTTATCCTGTTGCCTTCATGCCGTGCAGCCAATGTGAGACATCATAAGACCTCGTTATCATCCACGAACACATACGCGGTCAGACTACCAAGGTGTTCCGAAAAGGGCCACTTTTGGTGCCATGTTACACTTCCCACTCACCATACGAGTCTAAGGTAGAGAGTTGCACGCACTTCCGGTCACTTAGTATAAGCGGTAATCTTAGAACGAACAATAAGAAGAGGGAATCCAGGATAGTCGACTAGTCATCAGTTGTACTGGCGGCTGCCGGTTGAATGAAGCAATTTCTATAACAATGCGGGTCCTAATCACTAATAGTGTTCGATAAAGGAACCTTTGACTATCAGAGACGATGAGCAAAAGTATTATGGCAGCTCTTATACCTATTAATAATGCTACATCTACTATCATTGCAGTCCAAATACTAATTGAGTGTCCTCGAGAGGTTTGCCATGAACTTTTTGGATAACAAGCCATGCTAAAAAGTACTTACATCATAATATGATGCTTGAGTCAGCAACGTTGTGTGGTTCTGAGCGACATTAATCAGCAACAGCACGATTCTCTCCATCCTCTTCATCATCTCCACTCGATGTCTTATTGTCGTCGTAATGGGAATACATAGTTATAGTATGAACATAGCAGATTGTTTATCAAATTGTTAACGAAGTCTTTATTCACTACCATCTAGTAATCGATTTCGATTGTGGAATCCAAGAAAATATATAATATCCATTTTGGAATTACTTCTTGAAGTACCTCCTATACTAAATTCTCTGAACGTATCTTTCAACTCCTTGGCTTGTTTGCATGTTTTTCTCTTGAACTAGCCAGTTTTAAAATAAAGAATCTCTAGCAATCAGTAGAAAGTATATGGGGCTAGTGGCTGTATTTAGAATGCTCTCTTAGAGTTAAGGATAGGGCACATCTTAAAATATTCATCGAACCTTGAAAGGGTTGGAAATTATGCTGCTTATCAAGTAAAACCAAAGTTGGAGGAAATCGACTCTTAAGCGATAAATAAAGCATCCACCCAAGACCCTGATGGAAGGACGAAATCCGGATGGAGAAGGTCGGTCACGTGGAGCTAACCTCGGCTCCGCGTCTGGGGAAGCCGAGCGACTACCCCATGAACCCATGCCCAACGGACAATCCTCCTCCCTCCACTCTCCTCCCACTCCACTTTCTGATCCCATTATCCACCGCACCATGATTATACGATGAGCTCAACAAACTTTGCTGCTGCACAGGAGCGGTTGCTTGAACGCCGTCGCCTTCGGGAGGCAGAAGCGCGTGCCCGGCTGGCAGAAGAACAGCGGGCATCTCCGATCAACCCGGCCACCGTCGAACGTCTTCCATATCCCTTGAACAGGGTCCCCGGAGCAGGATGGATGGTTTGGAACTCGGTTAAGGGTCGAGATGGCACCCGGCCGGCGTTTCGTGTCGGTCAGGTAGATGCCGAATTGCTGGATGAGGAGCTACTGGGCCTGTTGAAGGGCCAGGTTGGAGATGCTCTCAAGTACTTCGGGGTACGCACACCCTCTGTTCCTGCGATATCCCGGTGCAAGCGATACTGACACTGTTTTAGCCCCAGATGCGAGAAGACTGGTCCCATGAAATTCTATTCGCCCTCCGCGCCATTCTTTTTAAACTCTCGATCTGGGACCACAATGCCTCATACGGAGCCGCGCTGCAAGGTTTGCAATACACAGACAGTCGCAGTAAGGGTCCAGTTCATTCGCCTCCCACTAAATGGCAAAAAACAATGTATGGCTTGCTCACTGTCGGCGGTCGCTATGCCTGGGACAAATGGGAGAGCTGGTTGATCGGGCAGGAGGGGGTTACGAAGAGGTCTGCTTTCTGCCCATCCTTCAATTTTTTATTCCGATACTCAGTCTGACCGTTATATGAAGCCATCACAGGAAGTCCGGATGTTCTCGCGCCTGACGGACCTAGCTTCCACCACACATTCGGTTGCCGCCTTCGTCTCTTTCCTTGTCTTCCTCGTTAACGGACGCTATCGCACCCTGATCGACCGCATTCTCCGTATCCGTCTTACACCACCGTCTGCCCAAGCGAGCAGAGAGGTATCTTTTGAATACTTGAATCGGCAGTTGGTCTGGCATGCTTTCACCGAGTTTCTCTTGTTCTTACTTCCACTTGTTGGCATAAGTCGTTGGCGACGATGGATATCTCGTGCATGGCGAAAAACTGTCAATGCGCTCAGATCTAGCGGGGATGAGGAAGGGTCGGATAAAAAGCAAGGAGAACTGGCTTTCCTCCCCGAAAGAACATGCGCCATCTGCTATCGGGAACAGAACCCCGCTGCAACCACTGAAGGCGAGGTGCTTGCAGCCTCCGCCTCCGCCGGTGGCCTTACGGGTTCCGCACAGACAGATATCACAAACCCGTACGAAACGGCCCCCTGTGGCTGTATCTATTGTTTCGTCTGCATCGTGGAGAAACTAGAGGCAGAAGAAGGCCAGGGGTGGGTCTGTCTTCGCTGTGGTGAAATTGTCAAGAAATGTCAGCCTTGGAATGGTGACGTCCTGGAGGAAGCGCGGTCGCAGCCCAGCACTGGAAAGATCGTCGGATTCGTCATGGATGAAGAGCCCCAAGATAACTCTGGGCCCACGGACGAGACCCGGGAAAAGCCCGACAAATCCAGTCCTTTAGAGGAGATTACTGCAGACGAGGCCTTGCAACATTCTGGTCAATGGTCGAGTGAAGACCAAGAGCCCGCAGATCAGGATCAGATGACTGAAAATGGCTTTGCATAGAAGCCCTGATGATTTTTCTACCGACTTTTCTTTTATACCTCTACGCCTCTATAAAGTCTAGAAAAGGCTTATTATTGGTGTCGCTACGATGATGTTTTCAGGATGTCGCGGCGCCTACTATTAGAAACCCCACGATACCCGCCCAATCTGGGAATTGCCCTGTACATAAATATTGCTTATACAAAACACCTTACTCCTGTTGTTTGATCTGATCTCTTCTCAGTACATCGAAACGGCTCCACAAAATGAGATCACAGCCCCAATGAATGGAAACACGGCTCGGTAAAGGTTCAAGCGAGCCCATTTTTGCAGCAGATCGGGCACTTCCTCATCCTGCTGGGCCCTCCTAGCCTTCTCTTCCGCACTAAACACCATCTGCGCTGCTCCTTCAGCCCGTGCGGCATCATCGCGAGTGGCATGCGCCTGAAGCCGATCATTAGTACTTTTCATCACGGTCAGGGTCCAGGGCACAATGCCCAAGGTGACTGCGATGGCGGTGACATAGAAGCTAGTCCAACTTTGATCGATCCCGGCGGGATCTGTGACATCTCGCAGTGCCCAGGCAAGGTATCCGTTCGCCAGAGAGGCTCCTAGGGCAATCAAGGGATAGGTTTGCTTCCCGCGTTCATAGACATCCAGCCACTGATGTGTCAAATGGGCGACTGGCGTTCCAGGCACTTCGCGAACAGGGATGGTAGCCCCGGGCGGCCGGCGGGCGGGCAGGGTAAGGTTGGGAATATTCATGATAGAGAGAGTCATAATTCCACCTAGAGATCATTGTTAGCATGGGCTTAGGTCGATATTCATCGATAGAGAGGTGCAAGTAAACGAAATCTACCTGCGGCGACACTGCAGCCCAATGTCCCGATCGCCTGGGCGATATAGATATCTGTCATCATGCGCAAATGCAATTATTTATCTGGGTAAAGATGCCGGGCCAGATAAGAGGTGTCACTATGCAAGAAAATCTCGAATGATGTCTGTGAAAGAGAGGAGTTGAGGTAGTTGACGTTGGACAAAGCGGTTTCCCGTTAGCGAAAGCCAAATCCATGACGTTGTTGATCCAGGTGACCACTACTTTAAAAACATAGCTGGCTGCCGCTCCGGTGCAACCGGTCGGAAGATTTGCCTAGCTTTTTCGTAGACAGATGGATTCGAGGTACTTCTTCGAGAATAGTACGTAGTTAATTATCAGAAGTACATAGTCCTAATAGCCTGATCCCCACGGGGCCTTGCCGGGCCGGAGAAATAGGCGCAACTCCGATCTGATCAATCCGGCGGCACTGACTGGCTGCCCGCCTGAGGAATGCGGGGTCCACCGGGGTCGGACTTGACTGCGAGCCCCTCATCAGTTAGCCGATTCGTGCAATATATTTCACTGTGCCCTGTGCCCGTTCACACAGGTCATTGTTATACCTCCTCCTTCGCTATGGATCCCTCCGAAACGACGCCATCTGAGGCGAAGTACATCAACTTCCCTTGCCTCCCCGCCGATGCCAAACATCCGGATGGCACCCCCGCACTCAACCGGTATTCGTCCACAATTACCAGAGGTCATGACTTCCCCGGTGCTCGGGTAGGCTGTCTCGCATCAATTGAGATATCTAGGACACTACTGACGGAGATAGGCTATGCTCTTTGCTGCCGGTGTCCCAAACAAGGACGCCATGGCGAAGAGCCCGCATGTGGGCATTGCCTCAGTCTGGTGGGAGGGCAACCCTTGCAACATGCACTTGATGGATCTGGGAAAGACCGTGAAGAAGGCAGTCGGGGAGCAGGGCATGATCGGGTGGCAGTATAATACCATTGGCGTCTCGGATGCCATTACCATGGGCAGCGAAGGTATTGCGCGAAAGCCCAAATTTGACAACTGATACCGATATCTGTACTGACTGCGTGCACAAGGCATGCGATTCTCGCTACAGACCCGTGAGGTGATTGCTGACAGTGTCGAGACCGTGACGTGTGCCCAGTACCATGACGCCTGTATCGCCATTCCTGGCTGTGACAAGAACATGCCCGGTGTGGTAATGGGCATGGCGCGGCACAACCGGCCTTCAATTATGATCTACGGCGGAACAATTCAGATCGGCTATTCGGAGTACCTCCGGAAACCCATCAACATCTCAACCTGCTTTGAGGCGGCCGGTGCCTACGCGTACGATACGCTGAAGCAGCCCGATGACGGCGGCGATACGAGTAAGACAAAGGATGAAATTATGGATGATCTGGAGCGACACGCCTGTCCAGGCGCGGGCGCCTGTGGTGGAATGTTCACGGCGAACACAATGTCGACTGCCATTGAGTCGATGGGTCTGTCTCTGCCCGGATCCTCGTCCACCCCGGCGGCATCGCCAGCCAAGATGCGCGAGTGTGTGCGTGCTGCCGAGGCCATCAAGGTTTGCATGGAAAAGAACATCCGGCCTCGGGATCTATTGACCAAGCGTTCATTCGAGAACGCCCTGGTCATGACCATGGCCCTGGGTGGTAGCACCAATGGTGTGCTTCACTTCCTGGCTATGGCCCGCACTGCCGGCGTCGACTTGACCCTGGACGATTTCCAGCGTGTCAGCAACAAGATTCCCTTCATTGCCAATCTGTCTCCGAGCGGTAAATACTATATGGCCGATCTCTATGAGATTGGCGGAATTCCATCAGTCCAAAAGCTGCTTATTGCTGCGGGACTCCTCGACGGTGATATTCCCACCGTGACTGGCAAGACACTCGCCGAGAACGTGGCGTCCTTCCCGTCGCTGCCCCAGGGACAGGACTTGATTCGCCCCCTGGATAACCCCATCAAGGCGACAGGCCATCTGCAAATTCTGCGTGGAAATCTCGCACCCGGCGGAGCGGTTGCCAAGATTACGGGCAAAGAAGGTCTACTTTTCAAGGGCAAGGCTCGGGTATTCAATAAGGAGAAACAACTCAATGACGCGCTGAATGAGGGTCGCATCCCACGTGGGGAGAATCTAGTGCTGATTGTCCGCTACGAAGGCCCTAAGGGTGGGCCCGGCATGCCGGAACAGCTCAAGGCCAGCGCCGCCCTGATGGGAGCGAAACTGAACAACATTGCGCTAATCACCGATGGCCGCTATTCAGGGGCCAGTCATGGATTCATCGTTGGACATATCACCCCCGAAGCAGCGGTGGGTGGGCCCATTGGACTGGTCAAGGACGGGGATGTGATCACCATTAATGCGGAAACAAATGAGTTGTCGATGGATGTATCGGATGAGGAACTTCAGGAGCGGCGCCGCCAATGGACTCCACCAGAGCCACAGATCACTCGGGGTGTGTTGGCCAAGTACGCGCGGTTGGTGGGTGATGCATCGCATGGAGCTATGACAGACCTGTTCTAGAGGCTTTGTTTTGATTTGATTGGATCATTGAAATAGCCGGCAATCCTTGCCGTGGAAGCCAAAATTGGAAAAGAACAAAATTGTCCAAGAACAAGACCAACATGTGGAACTATGAAACTATAGAAGCCCCTTTCCACTCTTTCTAGAAGATCTCCTAACGCGGTCTAAAAAACGATGGCTGTAAACCGTCCCACAACCCTAAACCGAACCCAACACTCCCGATTTCGTCATGTGCGCCCAAGTGGGCCCCTCTGAGTCACGTTGTTTCCCCCACGCTACCACTGCGGCGCCGCTGACTGGCCGAGTCTATTGCTTTTTCTCCTTCCTTTTCTTCACCTTTCAACGTTGTCGATCGCACGGCTCCTATTGGTGTCGCCGCGCTTTCTTGACTTTTGACCGCTATCCACGATCTCGCAGGATCCTCCCGGAGCCAAGGAGGACCCGTTGCGCCTTCGCGTGCTATTCCATTGCGCCGGATCGACTGATTCCCGGGGGTCCAGAACCCTGGGAGGCTCTTGCGTGCAAGAGCTACTTAAGACGCCCTAGCCATGGGGAACAATGGCGCCAACTCGATTTCTGCCCTCTACGACTCCCTGTCTTTCCAATCAGCCAACCGGTCGGGCATTGCCGCGGTTCTGCACTTCTATCACACCGTGCGCGCCGCTACCCAACAGGCATCTTTCTCCTCTGTCGCAAACTACCTTCGCTCTCTCTACAGCAATGACACCTTGAATTCTGGTCAGATAGTGTTCCTGGCGACCTGTATCATCACTATGGCCGGCTGCGGCTTTATTTCATCCTTCATGCGGCGCCGCTCGTCGCCCGAGAAGAAAAAGACTTCTCGGGCGCGGTGGCCAATAGTGCGAAAGATGTCATCCAAGTCCACCAAGTCGTCTTCCCGAACAATGACCTCGTCGGATGACGATTACGAAGACGAGGAATACGACAGCAATGGGTCGCTCCATCACGGCACCGATCCTCATCGTCACGCCACTGAGTGGTCGTCGCAGCCACAGCAGATGACCTCGGATGGTAAGAGAGAAATTTCCTGAACGGCCGGTGCGCACTTGGTTCTAAACTCCCCGGCTTACATTCGATTTTTTTAGCTGTCAAAACAGATCCGGGTCTACTCCGGAAATTCACCACCTTTAATTCCTACACTACCTCGGTCGCGACCTACCCGGCCATCCGAACTTTCTATTGCCCACACCCACATCTGAACCGTCTTCCCACCAAACCATCCCCCGTTCCGTTGCTGGTCTTCGTGCATGGGTTGGGTGGCTCTCTTGCCCAATTTCATCACCTGCTGACCAGCCTTTCCAATGTCGGGTCGTGCTTCGGTATTGATCTGCCCGGCTGTGGTCTGTCAAAGTTTGCGCCAACCGAATGGGATGCGTATTCTGTAGAGGCTTTGGCCGACCTGATCGCAGTAGCCATTGAGCAGTACCGGGACAAGGACGCTGGGCAAAATGTCATTCTTGTCGGCCACAGTCTGGGATGTTCGTTGTCTGCTTTGCTCGCTTCGTCGACCTCTCCCATTGGCAAGAGCCTTAAGGAGCATATCCTTGGACTCATCGCGGTGTGCCCTCGCGCATCACCTCCATCAGCTACTGAGGTTACCACTTTCCGGCGGTTACTCAATATCCCTGGTCCTATTTTTGACTTGTGGCGTCTTTGGGACCGACGCGGGGGTATACAGAGTGCAAGTGTGATGCGAATGGTCGGAAACGATGCTGATGCGGAGACACGAGATCTCCAGGTCCGCTTCAACAAACAAAGCAAGACTCCCGTGTGGCGCCGTATGGCATGGGGCACGCTTCCCGATTACCAAGCCGACGGCGAGCCCGCCGGTGGCATCCCGGGTGAGAAGGTCTGGGCTGGCATTCGCATGCCGATTCTATTGGTGGCCGGAGAGGCAGATTCAGTGACCAAACCGGCGGAGATTCAGAAGCTCCTCAAGTATTTTGGGGACGCCTCGGCTCATACTGCTATCGATACTAGTGGAAGTAGTGTCATCCCAGATGCCTCCCAAGTCCATGATCGGGTACCGGCTTCATCAACCGGTCTTGCTCATGAAGAACGATTTGGGATTCAGCCTATTAATGATGAGAAGGAGGTAGAACAGCCTGACGCAGCTTACAGCGAACGCAAAAGGCTGGTTAAGTCGGCAATCCTACCGGCGCCCGCATCTCATGCTCTCCTCTACGATCGAGCGACCTACCGCACTCTTGCAGGTATCATCCAGGACTTTTTGTCACAGCACATTGACAAGCGCCTCGGACTAGGATGGCAACTGCAATACATGAACACATCGGGAAAATGGGATGTGAAGAACCTTGCGAAATGGAAGAAGGTCGAACCAGTTTCTCAGCCCATCGCGAATACGTTTGCCGCGCTGAAGATGCTTCGCGAGGTTGACGAAGAGCACAACCCATCGCTTTTCTCGGAGAAATACCGCGACCGCATTTATGCTGTCATCGACATCAGCCACGAAAGTCCGGTTTACAATCCGGCAACGATGAAGAAAGGGGGCATTCACTATTGCAAGCAACCGACCGTGTCCAAGATCCCTCCCACCCCCGACGAGACTCGCGACTTCATCGCTCTCGTCGACCGCCTCCAAAAGGAGATCGACGATAAGATGGAGAAGCGGGACGATGCTACTCTGCCACGTCCACTAGTAGGTGTACATTGCCACTACGGGTACAATCGCACGGGATTCCTGATCGTGTGCTATCTCATCGAGCGCTTGGGCTTCGGTGTCCAGGATGCGATCGACGAGTTCAATCGATGCCGGCCGCCTGGTATTCGCCACGGTCATTTCATCGACACTCTTTTTGTACGTTATTGTGTTGGGCTGAAGAGAGCGCCTACCTTGTAATTTTTGATTTGTCCTTTTGCCTGTTTCTATTTTTGCTTCATAGGGCGTTTTTCGGGTGAGGTATTAGGAGGGACTGATTGGGCTGAAGGCATCTGGCAATTGGGGTTCATTTTTTCTTTTCGGTCATGAGAAACGATACTATTTTTCATTAAGTTAGCGATAGATGTGTTTCACTAGGAGCTTTGAGTCATTGAATTGTTATCCATAACATGCGGTGCTCTGTAAAGCAAGTGATGGAATCGAAATGTGATGTAAACAGGCAGATCCAAAGATCTATGTGATTTTGATTTATGCCTTGCTGCCTTAATTTATTGATGCCTCAATGCCTGAATAAAACTTGTGCCAAGCCATCAAGTCATGTGATCGTCCTTAGGGTACGGCTAGCCCAAACAGGCTAAGCGAACCCACGGCACACAGACGCAACCACGCAAACCAAACGGGGCGAGTTTGTGTGTCTCTCGAATTTTTGGACTTCGACCCTGCCCACCTCGACATCCGACCAACGACTCTTTCCCCTACGCCCTCTTCGGACCCCTCGAGACCGCAAAAATGGGTGGTGTTACCGTTCGCGATGTGGACGTAAGTGTCCTTCGACTCTGATGGCGTATTTTCAACCTGGCCATTGATCCGGCGTGTGTGCAATTGTTGAATGTGGATGGGTTCGTTCTTCCGGAGGGAGGAGGCAGCAGCAGCAGCAGCAATGGAGATACAAGCGACATGAGCACGGCCTATCTCCCTGGAACTACCGGGTACAGAAGCGACAGATTTGACGTGTACTGTCCGTGGAAGGGAACGGCATTGAAAATGTGTCTCATATCGAACAGAGATCTGATTGACCCTTGTGTGCTATCATTCGGGAATCCGGTGACTAGAGAGCAAGGTATCGATATTGATAGTACATTCGAGAGAACATATTTTCACGCTGCGACAAGAGATGGAACTGCCTCCGAAAACGAACCCGACACTTCTGCAAATTTGCGCACTCTGCTTGATCACAGAGGGCTCATGGCATACGCCTTGTCAAGATTGCATGTCACTAACGATCTCTTTTTTTCTCCCCTACAGGCTCAGAAGTTCATTGCCGCCTACTCGGCTTTCCTGAAGCGTCAGGGCAAGCTCCCCATCCCCGGCTGGGTTGACACCGTCAAGACCTCCGCCTCCAACGAGCTTCCTCCCCAGGATGCTGACTGGTACGATTCGCCCAACATCCCCGTTAATTTCGACAACAAAACAAAAGCCTATGATCAGTTTTGTTAACATGTTTGTTCTCAAAGGTTCTACGTCCGCGCTGCCGCCGTCGCCCGCCACATCTACATGCGCAAGACCGTCGGTGTTGGCCGCCTCCGCAAGGTCCACGGCTCTACCAAGAACCGTGGTGCCCGCCCCGCCCACCACGTTGACGCCTCCGGCTCCGTCGACCGCAAGGCTCTCCAGGCCCTTGAGAAGATCGGTGTCCTTGAGACCGATGAGGAGAAGGGTGGCCGCCGCATCACCCAGTCCGGCCAGCGTGATCTTGACCGTATCGCCAAGACCACCGTCGAGGATGAGGAGGAGTCTGATGAGGAGTAAACGTATCGCAAGGGCTTAATTTGCTTTCGGGGGGTCGTTTTGGTAAACTTGTCCGGAATGATCAATAAAAAAAATTCGGAGCCAGGTCCCGGCGATGTTCTTACGTTTGTTTCCTTTTCCCTACTTTTCCCATGATGACCAAACGGGGCTAGCGGAGAGAAGGCGAAGTTTTTTTTGCATGAGGAGGCATCTTCCCGAGAGCAAGAGCGAGAGGACGAGACTCAGACATTCCGGCTCCGCCTTGTCGTCTGTTTTTGGACCAGGGTTGGGGTTTCTTTTTCCTTACATATTTTTGATCTCCTCACCTCTTTGACCCGCACCTACCCTACGGTGTCTCTGTTCCTGTTTTCTCTCGCGGTCTCCTGGAAATAAAGAGCATGTCTGACTAAACACGTTAAAACCGTTCAACTCGTGCTGTAGTGCTGTAGTATACGTAGATTTGACAGTGTTACGCCTACCCTCTTTTGTCCATCTCGAATGGTTGTGTTAACCTCCCACTGTACAAGGCACTCCCTTACTACGCGTTCCATATAGCAAAGAGACTGGTATCGTACAAGAACCCAAGGACATCCAATATATTTGCATATCATGCTTCAAATGCCTCAAATGTATTTAACTATATACATAAACCCAATAAGCTATTATCGCCTATTTTTTACCAGACTGTGCAGAAGGATCCTGTATATATATATATATATGTGTGTGTGGTCAGTCAACAGGACAAGATCATTCCACAGATTTCAGTCCATGGGTAAATGCCATCATTTGTCAGAAATACGCACCAAATAAACCTGATAGAAGTGCATCTTCACACCTTCGCCATCCTGCTGCGGTGCAAACGTTACCCGTCCACTCCACGGCACAAAGACCTCCTTCTCCGGGTCTGCCTTGAGTCGATAGATGACCCCACCGTAGAGCATGATCTCGTTCTCGCCGCCGAAAAAGATCCGCGAGGGGGAATGTTTCCGTGAAGCGACGTGGGTCCACAAGCCATGACGGAGATTCAGAATCTCTGTTCGAAAGAGGATCAGTATTGAGCATTGACACCCATATTGAAACATATAGTCTTCAAAACGGTAGATATAACACGCGGGCAAGACATATCTAATTGATATCCGTCGCCCCCTCCCCAACCAATTTTCTATTGAGTTCCTAGAGATAGGGCAGCGTACCTTTCGAGCCTTGAGCTTCCTTAGGCCCCATAATAAGTGTTGCATCCTCCGTGAAGCTCTGAACGTATTTCTCGTGCAGGGACTCCGTATCGCTAGTACGGTAGAAGTCCTCCATGAACGCGACGAAAGCCGGCCCGCGGGGCGGCGCGAGGGAAGCGTCGTAGGCAATATTGTAGGACATTTTGGATTGGGTTCAAGATAATTGATTGAAGGAGAAAAAAGAGAAATTGGTATTTCGAGGAATTGGGTGAAGATCAAATCCGCTGATTGATCTGCGGTAAATGTCCATTTCATCATGAGGGGCGGCGTCGGGCCGATAACCCGATGCCGCATCCGATCTTATCAGCCACCGTTTTGAGGGAAAATGTCGCACGCATTTCCCAGTGACTGACTTACCTCACCAGTACCATATGTTTTGATCATCAAGAAAGATTTTATGCAATATGCTAGATAATTCAGAAATACGACCAACTACACCCGAGTTCGATATTAGGAAGAAGAGCATGGGTCTATGAGCACTTCTTCCGACGGCGCGGATGCCGACTGCCCACTACTGTCCGCCAAGTTCAAGGGAAAGTACTGAGCTTGCTACGAGGACCTCGGTTGACATTTTTCTAGGACGGGTATTGCCTTACTTGTCAAAAAGATAGACAGGACTGATTCCCAGGAAATCAATGTACTGAAGTGGCACGAAGGGCCGAAAGCTTGTAGCCATGAAATGCAACCTATATACAATGCAGTAGAGACGAGCGGCATGTTCTGCAAAATGGAAAAGAATCAACACTTCTTAGCATCTCCCTCTCCATCCTCCTTAAAATCATTCCATGAAGCCAAATCCGTGCCATTTGGACGACTCGCCCGTATGAACTGGTTCTCGACCCCTTCCACAACCGCAACCGGCCGCACAACTTCGATGTCCATGTTGTAGGCCTTGGAGAACCATTTCTCTGTCAACGCTTGACGTCCCTCTTCCGAGCTAGCGCCAGCCGGAGTATACAGGTGCGGGAATCGCACCTGCATGCCCTTGAGGACGGTGGACGAGATACGATCTACGCTATCGCAGTGCCGCAGCTTGAAGAACTCGGCAGGTTGCGCGGCGCGCAACTTTTCTTGCACATCGGCAGGGTATTGACCCATGGCGAAGAGAAGAAGATCGTAGTGCATCAGCGAGGCCTTGCCGTGGTAGGAACCGCCGTTCTTGGCACGGTGGTAAAGACCGGATAGAGCGGCGATGGCGCCCATGCAGCCCGTGCCGTAATCTGAGATGGGGAACGGAGGTACGACGGGGGTCGAGAGACCCATGAACTGGCCTTGAGCCCAAGCGATACCGGTCACCTACAAGAAGAGAAGTTAGTGGATGAATCTATCGGAATGAATGTGGAATAACGACTCACACAGTCGGCAATTTGCTGCCATCCAGCTCGGTTGGCCCACTCGCCCTCATAACCAAAGCAGTTCTCATTCACGTAGACAATGCCCTTGCCACGCTTCTCAGCCAGGGCAGCCATGGCTTGCGGGCCATAGCCGAGCTTCTCCAGCGCGCCGGGCCGGTAGCCATCAACAATGACATCAACGTCGGCCAGCAACTTCTCAAACTCTTGCCGTCCAGCTTCAGTCTTCAAGTCCAAATCAGCTGCGTGCTTACCCATATTGCCGTCGACCTGGAAGAAGGGCACGTCGGACAGATTCGGGCTAGTAATCTTCAGCACATCGGCACCATACTCGGCCAGAATGCGCGTAACCGTCGGGCCGGCAATGATACGGCACATTTCCAAGACTTTAACGCCCTCGAGGATCTTCTTGCTGCCGGGGCGGTTGGCAGGGAAGGGAGTTGGAGGCAGGCTTCCAGGAAGTTGCGTGACCTTCCAGGCGGGTTCTTGAACGTTCAATTTTCCCTGCAGTATGTATGAGTGTGGTTTCATTTTGCGATTTTGAGCGAATGAATCTTACATGGGGTGTTTTGATAAAGTCCTCATACTTCAGTGCTGGGACACCGGCTTGCCGCCTCTCCTTGTTCATTACCTCCAGCTCGGGAACTGTGTATTTCTGGACTCGGTCCTCAATGACTTTGATGATATCTTCGTAATCAGTCAAATCCGGCCGGTGGCCCTCGAGTCCAATCATGTTGAGAGTCGTAGTTGCTTCCAATGAGCCGTGGATGTGATAGAACTCTCCAGGAGTCTTAGTCTTGTACAAATTGGCGGACATGCGGCGATAGCCATTTGATTGAGCAGCCAGCAGATCGGTATCTAGAGTTTGTTTAAGGACGATCAATTTCCCTGCATTCAAGAAAAGAACTAGACTCATTTGTACATACCTTTCAGTTTAGACTTCACATTGGGATCCAGCTTCGACAGTCCGTCGATCTTCGCCATGTATGCCTGGCAACCGAAAGCAGTAGCGCCCTCGAGGCTCACCTGCACACCGCGTGGTTGCGCCCCCGGACCAAACCGCAGATCCGCGAGTGCCGCGGCCACAGAGCCTTCAATCCCCTTCAATGCTGCGAGAGTCTCCGTCTCCTTGAACGGAATAGGGAAATAGATCTCATTGTGGCTGGACGAGAAAGAAACTCGGTCTTTGTTGGCGAGCACCTCTGACGGCAAACTAAGACGCTCTGACTGCTCACAGAGCTCGGAGAAGATGCGGCTCGTCTCGAGAACGGGCGAATAGGGCGCGGAGTTGGTTTGGCCGTTGCTTGCCATGATTGCTATTCTTATGGTATTGCGAATTGAAGGTCGTTCGAGAAGCTTAATTTATTTTCTGTGTTGGTGCTCGTGGAAAATCAAAAGGAGGAAGAAAACTTCGATCCGTGGTGACCAACAAATACCCGCTGCGATGACACCTACCGAAGTTGTCGAAACGGTTTTTTTGATCGGCAGTGGCGAGAATCTCTACGGAGTTCAAATCGCGATCAAGGAAGGATTGCGTCTATATATGACGGCCCTGAACCCGGGTCCATCCCGAGATTTTCTCCGTCGGGTGGCCACTGCCGCACTATAGCCGTCGGCTCATGACTTCTACGGCGGATATGGTCCACGGAGGCCAGTTACTGCGACTGCTAGAACCTGTGAACTAGACCCCGCAATGCAGATCCGAAAACGACGTCCGGGCCGGAGCCAGTCGCTTCGGAAGCGATAAGATCGGAAGCGCGGTATCACGTGAGAGGCATGACGCAGCATCTATAGAATGAAGGGGTCAGACCATCTCGGGGTTGACTAGGGTATATTATTCGGATTTTTTGTTTTTGAAAAGGATTATTTAGTAAGTTATTTTTTCTTTCGATAGACGCATTGGTTATATACACCTCTCGGCAGTCAAAGTGAACACCATTGGATTCTCGGCACATAATGATAAGCTGTTTGGGGTAGGCCTACACATCATAATAGGTGAGTGACAGATCAAGCCCACGACATTGTTCGGTCTCATCCAAATCAGCCATCGATGAGGGCCACTGCAAACGGTGAAGCTTATAGTTGCCATGTCGAAATGGTGCCCATTGCCCCGCAATTTCAACCTGTCGGGTTGTGTTCATATAGCCTCGTGCCTTTAAAAATCCAAGGCTCGGTGTTGGGTCCGCCGTTCTGGCGAAACTAGCCCAAGAATCCAATACATACTGCGAAAACGGTAGATCGTACTCATCTCTCAAGGAAAGACCCTGACGGAGAATGTTTCCAAAGACATAGTACAGCTCTCCTGAGTGACACTTGAAATATTCCAGGTTGGGATCCCCATTTGGGAACTCCGATGTGACCGGTGCGTCGCACAATGGAGGATTTGGCGACCAGTCTGGCATTTGATACGTACGATTGAATTCATAGAAGAAAACCTTGGGAAAGATGTGGTTGTTGACTCCGGCATATGCGGTGGCTTGGTCGATACAGCGGAAAATGCCGTCCGTTGCGACTCGAGCAGTGGTGTTGAATATATCGAGAGTTCTATTAGGCCCTGAAGGTACTGGAAAGAGCTGACTTGGTGCGATGGATGAAGAAAAGCCTGACTCATTCAAGAATGTCTGGATGGTTTCGCCCTTGGAGGGATATCCGATCATCGCCGCGCCATCATCCCGCGTCGTTCCCAGCATCAAAGGAACATTTGCCGTTAATCGCGGGGCCGTTAGATCTAGTTGAGATGCTTTAAGATATTTACCATCAACAACTAGGTAGCGCGCGTTCGTATCCAGGCCAGCAATAGTTATTGCAGACACAGACCGAAGGCAGTCAAGTGGCGACGCAGCGTGGGTACAATTAGTTTCGGCCAGGATAGCATTTCCGGCAACTTCCATCTCTTCGGCTATAGTGTAGTATTTTGAGTAGGTTGTCCCGTAAGCCAAACCGCCCAAGTTGCTTTGCATAATTGCGGCGGCAAACTTCCCCTGGGATTTGGGGGATGCTAGCAGTGCTCGCACTGATCCCGCACCTGCGGATTGTCCAAATATAGTGATTCGATCAGGATCGCCTCCAAAGTCCTTGATGTTTTGGCGCACCCATTCAAGCGCGGTTATCTGGTCTGCAAGTCCATAGTTTCCTTTAGTTTTGCCGTCATCCAGGGCTAGAAATCCAAGTGTTCCTAGACGGTAGTTGGTTGTGACGACAACCACATCGCCCCTGGAAGCAAGATTGCCTCCATCAAAAGTAGAGTCACTTCCGGTGCCGCTAGTGAAAGCGCCACCGTGAATCCAGAACATTACAGGTTTTAATTTATCTTTTTGATTTGTCTTTGATTGAGGGATATGCGGCGTCCAAACATTGAGAAAGAAGCAGTCTTCGGAGCCGCTTGTCCCTTGAAAGCATTCTGGGCCGTATTCGAGAGCCGATGCGCTCTGTCCTGTTCCCTCGTAGACTTCCGAGTAGTCCCAACGCTTTGTTGATTTGGCATACCGAATACCGAGGAAGCGAAAAGCAAACCGATCACGAAAACTGCACCGTATTTAATAAATGTCTTGTTGAAATCATCTTTTTTCGCTGATCACTTACCCTGTATAATATTCACGATTAGATTTAACGTTAATTTGCCACCTCTCACTTGTATCTTTGCTCTCTGCACTTGAGTAGGGGGCGGATTGGCTGCATAGAACTGGGAGATCACTACTGGAGGGTGTTTTTTCAGCGTTGCCATCCGCGTCGATTGATAATGGAACACCATGGACAGGAGCAATCCAATATCTCTGGCCCCGACCATATTTTTTCTGATATATTAGATATTCCAGGTTGCTTTTAATATCTGAGTATCCGGAATCAGTCGCCCAGAGGGACTCTCCGAGGACCTGGCAGCTTTGGATGGCCTTTTGCAATGGCATTGGATCCAAAAGTAAAACGCCAGATCCGGCCAGAGAGCTGGTATTTTCTGTTCAAATTCGATTAAAATCTGTTATACTGATTCTTTTTTAGGCTTTCTGTAATACAATTACCCATTAAATCATTATGGATGAGAATTGAAACATCAGAATGCAATGAATCCGGGCCTACTGCCGCCCCAGCAATAGTTGCAAGCAGCAAGGCGACAACAGGCTTGCCGTACATTTTCGTGACTTATTATGAAATCATATTATATGAATTCTGACTTGTCACCCTATTTATGACTCTTCCATGGAAGTCCTCCGGCAAAAATACGCTCCGTGACGATTTTAGGCATTCCCTAGTAACCCCGCGCCGGGAAAATAGCCTACCCAAAAAGGGGAACTCGCGACGCCATTCGTCCGGAAAGAAGGAAGAGTGGCTTTTAATTCTTGTTTCAAGAAGAATATTTGCCTGTAATCAACTCAAACAAATTCCAACTCTCAATAGAGGAAGACTTAAAGCACTGCAGGCCGGAGGAGTTAGAGAATTAGACAATGGACACTCATATTGGCCGCTGGTCTCATTTCTGTCTCGTTCAGAATATGCAGTATGCTTTATTTTCGAGATTATATTTAGAAATATATGTTCTTTGAACAGCTGTGGTCATACCATCTGTTCTTTACTCGGAAAAGCAAGAGAGGCCTTCACTTGTGTCCCTGGCAGAGAGGAATATTTCCCCGCCTCAGTTGGCCTGTTCGAGGTTGAAACATCATATAACCAAGCTTTCAGCCTTAACCTTTGTCATTGTCCACCATTAAAGGTCAAGCTTTTCTATTTTACCAACACTGAATCCACCTTCCTGTCCAGAGTGATGGGCCTGAGGCAGGAAGGCCCCGCCCCCTCCTCAGGCTCCTTCGGCCTATTAAGCCTTGCTTGACAGCAAATAGATCTCCTTTCATACACGTATAGAAATATTACTGCTTTCTTTCTTCTGATCACCAATGATGTCTTTACTAAAAGGCGCATCCTCAACTGGACCACCCCCACCTCCACCTCCGCCTGCAGACCCACGCGCCCAAATTCCGCTGGCGGTCTTGAAGCTGCGCACTGTCTCGCCCGACCGACACTTTCCCAAACAAATCTCGAGGCGTAAAGAACTTGCACCAGTAGGTCCATACTTTCTCTATGGCTCACTGCTCGACCCGCAGATGCTGGTTGAGATATTAGGCCTGGGCGTTACGCCGAAGTTACGGCCCGCTTATATCGAAGGGTTTACATGCCAATTGTGGGGTCAATATCCGGCCTTGCTCGAGCAAACATCTGGAGGCATTGTCGAAGGGTGCGGTGTACAATGTGCAATCGGTGGAAGATGCGACAAAGCTGGCCGACTACGAGACCTGTAACTACCGAACCATTTCGTGCTCAATTCGGTTCTCGGATGGGAGAAGTCCCGCCCAACAGGATGGGCATGTATTTCTTTTCGCGGGCAATCCTCGAGACTTGAGCGAGGGCAAGTTTGATTTACGAACTTGGTTAAAGCTAGTTGGACGACAGACAGCGCTGGATAGTCTTGATGCGAAGAAGGTCCGACAGCCTCTCGAATAGGTCAGCGCGATGATTGTAATCTCGAACGCTTTCATGAAGATCGTATACACCTTTGTTCTCACACGAGGTACCCATGGCTTGCGCTTTCGCTCCTGTCTAGTATTCGCAACAATTACACATTTTTTGTGCTTCGGCGCTTTCTAGACTTGGTGAGCTCCAACTAGGTCTCGAATCAGGGTAGTGGTTATGATAGATGCTGTAGGTGATGGCAAACATCTCTTCTCTATGCAGCCGCATCTTGGCCTCGTGTACAGAGTCGCTGAGCCTGACCGAGCATTGGAACATTGATAACGTGAAGTCTCTCGGCCTCCAAACACATTCTCGGTGTCTAAAAGGGTGAGGCGTCTCAAAAGAAATGGAATGCTCTCGTGGTCCTAGATAAGCACGAATGACGAAAACATCGCCATCTAGCCTGAGCATCGCTGCTCTACCGCGTCCATGGAAGCGAAGATTATGGTAGAAAATATTCCTCAGGGAAGGAGTATTGCCGAGGAATTTTTTGCCTTCTCCATATTACTAACCGAGCTGTTTTGCTGTTCGTGGCAACCTTGGAGTTGGGTACGATTCGGAACTGATGAAGGCTCTGAATCTCGCTGAAGGCAGGCTCGACAGAGCCTGTCCCCCACCTCCCCAAATGCCTTGGGAGGAGCTAGACTTGGTAAATTTCTGTCTGGACTGGAAGACGTTTTCTGCTGCATGGGTTACAGCTCATTCATAGACGTAGCCTGGTACTACATACTGCCACTACATCCACCAAATCGAGGACTAACTGGTTACATGGATATAGATGCGCAATCACCCAATGACAGTCGCCGGCCAAGGCATGCTTCCCAGCTTCAATCGGACATCCAACGCCGAACACTGCAAGCGTCTTCCGGGGGAAGTGACCGGGGGCAATGATTTAGGATGGAATTGGTCCAATTTGGTTCGATCTGGTTCGATTCTAGACTATGCGGACTTTTGACGAACTCCATCATCCCGGATCCCGGGGTTTCGAAAGTTTTTGCTTCTGGCGATTCCTAGACTTTTGGTATACTATTCTCTCCTCCAAAAAAAGCCCCTCCTCTAGCTTGGCTCATGCTTCCCACAATTGACGAGTTCGGAAGGCCCGCAACATGCGTCAGAGAGTGATTGACCCCTCCCCCTCCCAAAGGCGGGCGCTGTGCTAGTTGCTTGTGACCCCCACGGCCATCCGTCCACAGGCGGGGGAGGTGTGTATATTGGTCTCGGTGCAACCAGGCTCCCTGGACAGGCGCAATCCGCGGGGGAAGCGGCAGCAGGCTGCAGCCAGTCATAATGGGCTGGTTGTCAAGATAAATCACATAACCGTATAAATCCAGATGAGGAAATCCCGACTGAAGGAATGCAGCATAAAAATTTCTCCGGAGTTGCTCGCGCACGAAACCTAGAAACCCTACGAGACGAGCCCAATGCAGGGCTTGGGGAGGGAGGGGCCTGCTGGTGGGCAAGCACCTACCAGTGGAAAGGTATTTGCGATCGCGTTTGGCGCGAGTTCAATTCCCCCTGCGTTCCGAGATCGCAGGAGGAATCTTTGCCCAGCCTGCACCGAACACGCGTCAATGGAGGGGAGAGGGGAGAGGGAGGGGGAAAGAGTTGCCGGAGAACCGTGTTCACCGGAGGGAAGTCCATGCATCTTGTTGTGCAGTAGTTTTGCCCTGATCTGGGAGGGGACCTCGTACAGGTACATGTGTACCTACGCTAGCCGATGCTAATTGTCTATCGTGCTGGGTTCCGTGCATATCGCTGTGCCCCATCACCGAGGGGACACAGCGCGGCATGGCCAAGTATTGGGTACTTTCTGACGTCAGAGCGCCGAGTCCAGATCTCCTCGGCAGGACCCGCTGGGGTATGGATGGGGCAGATTAGGCGGCCGAAGGGGATGTCGATCGAGGGTATCCGAAATACGAAAATTGGTGGATTGTGGGTTGTGGATTGTGGGATTTGCAAAGACGAAAAAGTTAGCGAGGCGATGAAAAGGACGCAACCGGCGAGACACGAAGCGTGTGAGGATGGGACATGATCATTGGGAAGTCGGAGATGCTTCGAGGGCGCGAGCACACACCACGTGCCCTCAAGCGGCCTTATCAGCTGCTGGCTGACTAAGGGCGTGGACCGGACACTTTTTCAGCCTGAGGTTTGACGCTCCGGTGCCTCCACGTACCCTAAGTATACTCCAAGTACCCTAAGTACCCTAAACACCCTAGTAACCCTAAGTGACCCAACCGCACCCAAGGATTGCCCCCCTCAAGTCCCAGACTGGACGGAGCCCCGCGGAGCACAGATCATAGATACCTGGAAGTACCGAGACTGGACTCGGCCAAAAAGCGACTCGATCTTCATTCCGAATGACCATCCTCGTAGGGTTACGCCCTGCGGCCAAGCGGACCAGGGGCATGAGCACCCGCCCGAGCACCAGCCTCTGCTAACTGGATGATAAGCCGTGAGGCGTGAGGGGTTGCGAACACTGCGATCTCGGACGTCTGCACCGCTGCAGCTGCACGTTCCCCCTTTGCTTTTCGCCGCAACGCCGAAGAGGGGGGTGGGTTGGCAACGGAGGTACGGAGTACAGGTACCATATAGAAGGGGGCACAAGAAGACAAGGGTACCAGGATACATCGCCAGTGGCTGTCGCGGGAAGAGAATTTCCTTCCAGGGGGATCGATTCAGGGATCCGTGTCTAGTGTCCGCGATAGTGTAAACTATGATTACTCTGATTCACCAACTCTGTCGAGCTCCTCACACGTCCCATGCTCGCATCAACCCATCGTGGCCGGAGGAGGAGGATCGGATCAGGAGTGGGGGGGGAAATAGAGGGAATAGCGGCAGCAATAGCGGGTCCAAGTGAAAAAGAAAGAGGGTACGGAGTACGAAGTATAGGGATTGAGTCAATTGAGTCAATCGAGTCAATCGAGTCAAAATGAGCGCATCCGGACCTTAACCAGCCCTGTATCGCCATCCCATCCTTCGACCATGCCATTCCGTGTCTCGAAGAACGCCTCTCTGATCTCTCACGGAGGCCACGGGAAACATGCGCGCAACATGGAATGCGGACTGGCTCCATCGACTTTGAAGATGAACATCATCGACAGTTCGCAAGTGAATCCCCGTTTCAACCCCGGAACCTTCCGGCGCTGCTGGCTCCACGAGGCGCCAATCAACCCGCCCACGCGCCCGCGCTGCCCTGCGCCTGCGGAGTCCCATACTTTCTCCTGTGCGGTCCTGAGGGGCACGGCGAGGGCTTTTTTGGGCTGAACTGAACCAAGTTGTAATGATGAAGTGGGTAGCAGCCCGCTCGAAAACGAATTCCCGTAGTATAGCCCCCCTCGAATGGAGTAATCTGACGTGGAGCTTGTTGGTGTGTCGTTGGTCGCTGGGTAGGCTGAGTCCACGTCCTGGCCCTTATACTTCCCCCTCCCTCGTCACACACACTGAACTTCCCCCTCCTTCTTTCTCTTTCCCACACACACACATACACACTCTGTCTATTACTGGATCCAGGCCCTTCCTCCTTACCTTTTGATTGTCATCCCTGTGGGAATCGCGTGGTTGATCTGTCTTGTCGCGACCTGCCTTCTTGCCGCGTCGCAATCTACCCGCTACGTGGAAAGCAACTTGCCCGGCCCCTTCCCCGTGCACGCGCGTGTCCTGTCTGCCTTACAGCAGCACATTCATCACTCGCTTCCTCCTCCCGTCTCTTGCTCCCACGTCTTTTTGACACCCTGTCTCTTTGTTGGAAAGAGGTGAGCCTTTGTCTCCAGGTTCCCTGTCCAGCGCCAGCATTGCCACTCAGCGATCTCCTCCCCCAATCGCGTGGCGCGGCTGTGTCGCATTGTCTGGAACACACCCCCCGTCTGACTCATATATACTAATAAAGGGCATCGCGCGTGCCCGTCGCAGACAGATCTCCCTCTCATCAACCATCCAATATGGCCGCTTCTCAGATGACTTCCAGTATCGCCATGGCGCTTGCTGGCAAGACTGCTTCTGTCGATATCCCTCAGCCCCGTGCCGGCGCGGCAGGCAAACCGGCGTCGCGACCAGGCCAGCCGGCCATGCTCCCGACGCCACCCAACTCGATCTCGCCCACCCTTCCCCCACAAGCCTTCAAACATCGCCCCGCCCTGTCGCCGGGGTCGCCACTCTCCACAGTGCCGCAGCTGGACTCCGACATCGACCTGCAAGACGTTGGCGACCGTGCCAACCGCCAGCATCGACTCACGGAGGCCGCGACGCAGGAGCTGGACAGCGCTGGCGACATCACGCCGGCGATGCTGGCTAAATATCACCTGCCGGAGGTGCTGCTGCAGCAGGGCCCACTCGCGATCCGTCATGTCATGGGCCACTTGACCACCTCGGTGCCGGGTTTTTCGTCGATTCCGGCGGCTCGGGCGCGTCGACTAGTCGTGGCAGCGCTGGAGGGTCGGGGAAATGGCGGGACGGGCGGCGTGGAGGGCGATGTGATCTTTGAAAAGATCGGCTGGGGCCGTTGGGATGCGCGGCGACGTGGTGATGAATCGACTCGTGAGCGATCGTTCAACGTGTCATCGCCCCCGTCCAGTGTCGCCGGCTCTTTCCAGCAACGGGGCCTGCAGATCGAAGGTCGTCGCCCTTCCACCTGGTCCCAGGCACGAGATCCATACCGCTTCAGCATCGCTGACTCGACCGCCTTCTCGTATTCTGAGGATTATGGCGTTCACGAGGATTTGGATATGCTGGAGCATGAGGCGGACAAGATGTCGCTCGATGGGGATGATGGTCGTGAGTATTGCTCTTCCTCCGAGGCGCCGGACGACCTGCAGGAGATGGAGTGGAATGAGGGCGATGTCACCGACGAAGAAGACTGGGCGCACATCGGTGCGGATGCTCTGCGTGCTCGCTCGCTGACCGGCGGTGGCGGGTTTGTACGCAACAGCAATGTAGCGGCTCGCGCGAAAGCTCTGCCTGCTGGGACTTTCGGCACCCTCAGACCCACCGCGTCGGCTCCCCGAGAGTTTGGCACCCAGGAACGCGCTGCGGTAGAGGCGCTTCTCCAACTGGGCTCTATGTAAAGCTCTACCGATCATCATGACCGGCGTTTTTTTTTTTAGGGTTTTCGTCATTTCATCCTTCGTCATTCGGGATACACTCTGCTGCACTCCATAATGAGGTCGTCAAGGCTGGTCCGGACCACCCTTGACGTGCTTCCCAACCTTTTTTGTTCATCTTCGCGTCTCTCAGAAAAGAAACGCTGCCAAAGGTGCTAGTCACGCTCTTGCGACATGACTGCTTGATCGATGGGATTTTTTTTGGCGTTGGGATGTTTTTGTTGGATTCGATTCCAAGACTGGCGTTCATGTGTCTACTTTTTTTTGCAACGAAGGCTTGCCCTGGCAATTTCACTACGGCACTATGGCTACTACTACCATTGCTGTATCGTGTCAAGCCTGATACCCCCCTCCTTCTCTGTTCATTTTTTAACACCCGGCTCGCAAGTTTTATCTCTTTCCTTATTCGCTTCCATGCAGCTGTGCAACCTTTCTGGCATGTTTTTCTTCTCGCATCGAGCTCTGGGGCTTCAACCATCTACCCCAGGAAATCAAAGCTCGCTCTTTCCTGCTTAACACATTTCTAATACTCGAGGACTTTTTTCTCCCTTTTTTCATTTTCCTTGTTATGTGACTCTCCACTCTGGCACCCCCTGCCGCACTCGGAACCTCTGCATCCACACATCTAGATGGAGTTCTGGTCGTCTTCATTGTACTGCACTGGCCTCTACCTGGATGGGCGGACTACGCAGCAGCTCCGAGTTGGTCGTTTCAAAAGGTCTTTTAATATCGGCAAGCCCCGGGGCTCTTGGTCATCTTGGTTGATTCCACTGAGAGTTCTGCCGGCTGGCTTGATTCCTGGCATCTTTCGGGGATTTTGTGTGTATGATCCCGCGTCGTTCTGGGGATTGAGCTCGAGGTCTGTTTTGGGAGGGGGCGGTTGTGTTTCTGGGCGGTTCTTGTTCACGGCACGGGATGTGGTCTGGGTCACGATGGATGATTGGAATGAATCGGGCTGGAACTATACACGGACATTCGCTGATGGGCACAATCGAAGTACATACGCTCGAGTGGCCTGGGCGCTTTTTTAGGTAGTGAGCTAGTTAGCTGCTTTGTTTTTGTTTGGCAAGGCGCCTGCTGGCATCCTCTAATTCAAGTATCGAGAGATATCGGCTCTCAAGGAATATGGCTTTGTTCCAAGTGTTTTCTATAGACTTAAGTATGCTATTACCGTCTCGTCTCTACATGAACCAGAGAGAGGGAGTCTATAGGAGGGTTCATTTCCGCGACATACAAACAGTTCGAATCCGACTAGAAGAACTACTTCTACTTACTCCAAGGCTTTCGATTATAGAAGTATGAGTATCAAAACTCTACCGGGAGGAATACCAACAAATTCACCATGCTAGTCATTAAGAGCAAAGCCCAAGAAGACATACGAATAATTCCAAAGATCTGCATGTCCATTTGTTTGCCTATTCTTCACCACCTCCATAAACGCCGTTTTTCAAACCCCTGTCCCTCCCCCAACCCAATTTCTTTCTCATTCATTCTTTGACTCGGATCTCTCCAGTGGCCTTGATGCTTTCATCGACGTACCCTTCAATCGCAGAATCAAACGAGACCTCAAAGAATGTTTCCAGATCGCGCCAGTCAGGGATTTTTAAGAAAACGTCCGTGCTAAGCTTACCGTTTCTCCGCAGCCCGCCATCCATTTTCGAGAAATCGATACCTAAAGTCATGAGAGAGGTATTGAGGCTCGCATGAAAGAATGGCGACTCAGCGCATATCCCGATGTAATCATAGAGGCAAAGACTGGAGACACGTAGGGGACGTTCCTATTCTTGTGCTTCACTTACCCCCAATCCAAATCCAGAAAGCTGGAACTAGGCGGAGATCAGGCGCCTTGTTGTCGGCGACTCAGGGGATATAGGAGATTTACATCCAACATCCTCAAAAGGGGCCAGATAATGGGGACAAAAGTGATGCAGAATGCTTGAGCTTTCCGAAGTCGTTTTCATTGATAATGGTAATGACATCTCTGGCTTCCCGAGTCAATCCTTCAAAGACAAAGATGGGAGAATTGTTCATACTTCCATGGGGCAAGCTGCCAGGCGCCGTCGTTTCTGGACATATGGAAATGGAAATGTCCACATCCAACTTGTGGCTTAATATGCAAAAATTGGTTCTGAGGGAATCCACGAAACGTTTAGTGGTGTTGCATTGGTCCTAGCCTGTGATATAGGGAGCGTGGCCGCTTTCTATAAGGTGAAGGATGGGTATGCCAGTACAATCGATGTCTTGCGCATACAAACAGGAGAGATACAGTCGGTATGAGACAATGGAAATATGATTCATAGAGGAGCGAAGCAAGTCCTCGAACGCCACATAGATATATAGATCCAGCCAAAAAAAAAAAAAAAAAAAAAAAAAAAGCCCCAAGCAAGTCCTGTGTCCATAATCCCCCAGCCTCAAGAGTGCCATCCGTGACAGCCACCGTCCCCAAACAGATAGATAGAAGGCCAACTCAGCATCTAAAACTCAGTATTCATGTCCATTCATCCAGAAACCAAAACCATTCAAGGGAAATTAGAGTTTGGCAAGCAGCATTTCGCCCCTAGCAACCACTTTTTCGAGCATTCTTTTCCTTTCTTCTCTCATTTCTCGTCGTGGGCATTGTTGATCCGCTTCCACACCTCCGCTTCCACCTCCGCGAGCTTCGTGCCGGCAGTCTGCATCCAGGACTTGGCAGTGTTGAAGAAAGAAGGCTCATCGTCCGGGAAAATGTTGTTCGCGCCTCCGCCAGCTCCGCTGCTGTAGTGTAGAGGGAGGGCTTGCGGCTGCGAGGGGCCGGCACCAGCGTGCGACTGGTACACGGTGGCGTAGGGGGAGGATGTGGAGTTTGGGGTATCAGCGTGCGCGTGTGGAGAGCGGTGGTAAGAGTAAGACTGGGTAAACGGGGTTGGAGGCTGGAAGGCAGCAGTGGGTTGCGCGGCAGAAGGCTGGGGAGGAGAGACAGCTGCGCCTGCCTTGGGAGGAGGTGGAACCGACTGTTGCACGACTGTAGGATTCGCAGGAATAGGAACGGCCCCTGGCTGGGGAGGAGGAGGGGACTGGGTGGATGTGGCGGTTGGGAGAGTGGTAGTTGGGGTCGCGGTGAAGTTGCTGGAGGATTGCGCAGGGGCTGCTGTTGGAGCTGGCAGGCTCGGTGCTGCGCCAGGCTGAGCGGGTGTGTTCTCAGGTTGCGCAGTTGTATAGATGGGAGAGTATGACGGGGCAGTCGCTGCTGCAGGCGTGATTGGGGGTTGAGTGGCTGTTGTCGTCGCGGCTTCGATTGCAGTAGCGGGTTGTGGCGGCGACGTGGTTGCGTGCGTCTCTTCCTCGGTGTTGTTGGGATTAAGAGGCGCGGAAGAGTAGGTCTGAACACTTCCCGGGGTAGACATCGTGAATGAACTTGTCAGAGAAGGGCGTGAAAGAAGTGAAAGTATTCAAAAGAAAAGGCAGGGGAGCTTCAAGGAGCTTCCAGCCCCAGACGTCATGCGCTTGTCCGCAGTGGGGCCCCTTGCCACTTTAGGGGAGGGTGGGTTTATTGCGGAGATCTTCAGGGATGGGCCCGTTTGGGTTTGTTCAGAGACAGATGAAGACTAATGAGACGTGCTCAAGGGTTTCAGGAGCTGAAACCTCGTGGGTATGTTGGTAATAGCTTTTGCCGGTTGGTTGGTGTTGGAGTTTGCGACGGGAAAGGCGTGCAGGTTATTTGACCAGATATACATACGGCACATCGATGCAAGAGTACAACATCTTGATGCCACGTATCCCCAAGAAAGTTGATAGTTTGGGACAAAGAAAAACTTAGCACAGATAGTCGATTGTTAAGTCTTCATGAAAAATCTGCAATCCAGATTGACCTTCTAAGTCTCGACGATCCGCGAGGGTGAACACGTATGCACCGGACAAACAAGAACCTGAAGAGCCTCAGCGCGGGAGTCGACAACTAAGCTCAGGTCGCGTTTTACAGCAGAAGAGTGTTCACGAAAGAAGCAGTGAATACGTCAAGAAAAAGTACAGATTTGAAAAAAGAAAAAGAGTTTGCAGGCAGTAAAGTACATCGGGTACAAAAAAGGGAAGAATCACACCATTCTATGCTTCAAGATCCCCCCGAACCCATTTCTTGACGCATCTATCTTTTGCAGTCCCACAACCTCTCCCACCTTCCCCATGCCCAGGCAGTCACACCGGACAAGGGGGGTGTTGGTGCATCCCCTGACTCCAGTATAACTACAAATGGCAAAGAAGGACAACTCGCTAGGGGCGAATCATCTATTTGAACTTCTTGCCGAACATGATCAGCTGGACCTGGTCGTAGATAGACAGGACACCAGCACCGGCAACACCACGCAGGATGTTAGCACCGGCACCCTTGAAGAGGGACTTGGTGCCCTCCTTGGCGACGATCTGGCGGGCGGCATCGAGGGAGCTCTTGTACTTGACGGCCTCACCGGAGGTCATCATCATACGACGGCGAACAGTGTCCAGAGGGTAGGAAGCAACACCAGCAGCAGTGGTAACAGTCCAGCCGAGCAGGAAGGAAGCAAGGAAGGAGCCCTCAAGAGGACCAACAAGGAGAACGGGCTTGATGGAGTCGTACAGACCGAAGTACAGACCACGGTAGACAACGATACCGAGGACGGAGGGACCGAAACCACGGTAGAGACCGGCAATACCGTCGGAGGCGATGGTCTTGCGGTAGACGTCAACGAGACCGTTGAACTGACGGTCACCGCCACCCTTGGCGGACTTAGCGTCGTTGGCCAGACGGGTACGGGCGTAGTCCAGGGAGTAGACGAAGAGGAGGGAAGTGGCACCGGCAGCACCACCGGAGGCCAGGTTACCCATCATCCACTTGGCGTAGCCATCACGGTCCTTCTTGTAGGCGAACATGGACTTGTAGGTGTCACGGAAGGCAAAGTTAAGAGCCTGGGTGGGGAAGTAACGGATGACGTTGGCGGTGTTACCACGCCAGAGGGAGACGACACCCTCAGCAGCGGAGGTACGCTTGAAGCAGTCGACAATGCCGTCGTACTTGCGGTCGAGACGACCGGCCTTAAGCATCTCATCCTATTGGAGGAAAAAATAGACAAATTAGCTTTATGATTGATTAAAGAGAAAGAGAAAAAGCAATAACACAGCTGACCCTTCACCAGGAACCACTCAAGGGGCTGGGAAAAATTTTTCGGGCATGGGCGATATGCTCTTCTCAACATGAAAAGATCAATCGTGTTCACGTTTTCATCGAAAAACTTTTCCATGTCTCTCTCATGATGCATGGTGGAAGGCAAAACTGGCTATTCAAGGGATACCAACCTGGTTCTGGATGAGGAGCTTGATACGCTCGATGGGGGCAGCAGCGGTCTTGGAGACAGCGGCGGAGACACCACCCACTGGGGATCAGTTAGTATCGGTTCAATCATGTCGAGGCACTGCCAATCCGGATGGCAGACTGGGTCGAAAGAAAAAAAATCGGTGTTACATACTAAGGAAGTCGACGACGAATCCCTGTGAAAAATTTGTTTGTTAGCCACCAGTTTCTCTTACGAAGCGAATCTCAAATCCCAAAACAATGCCCGTTGGTTCGAGAGAATTGCCTCCCGACAGACTTAGAGAGTCTGGATGGATGCATTGAAGATCTCGATTGGATATCCATCGAAATCGACATTGCATCGATAACCAGCTTGGGGGGATGGGATGTGAGGACAGTGAGAACTTACGGGCATGCCGAAGACGGACTTGTCGCCCTGGTTAACTTCACCCTTGGCCATTGTGAAAGGTTGGTGCAAAAGAAAGATGCAACAACAAGAAAGAGAGGAGATGTGGGAGTGTCAAGAAGAACACCAGGGATGGGGGAGAAGAAAAAGAAGAGAAGGAGAGAAGGGGCGGAAGGGGGAGAAAAATACCTGTACGGCGGGACGAAGCGAACGCTGTCCGCTAGCGCCCAATCAGGCAGCCCAGGGGCGCTGTTTGGCTGGTATTACCTGCGTATTGACCGAAATGACGCCGTATCGCCTCGGGCCCGTGCCGATATCTCCCGATCGCAGAATTTTCTTCGAGGCCAGCTGGTCGCATCCTCCAGAGTGCCAAAAAGGGGGGGCATGGGGGTATAGAAGATGTGATCGATCAGGCTACACATTCCTCGAGATGGTTTCTAGAACACCGCCTCTTGACTGGCTGTTTACTAGGCTGATTTCCTGGCCGTTGTTCTCTCACAAAACCTAGGTGATCCCGGTCCAAGAAAAAAAACCCTGTAGTCCGGAGCAACGGCCACCGCGCCCGGACTCCCGTAACTCCCGTAATGCTGGGTACGTATCTTTCCCCGTCCAATGCCGGGCCTCCACACGGGCAAAACCTCCTTTTCCCCTGCTCGCCGAGTATCCGAATCATGGCCCATGGTCTGGCTTGCCACCGGCCATCTCCTCTTCCTTGAACCTCCCTGCGTATCCCTCTTCCCTCTTCTCCCCGGATTGGAAATATCGGGGGTATGATTAGTGGACAATTTTAAAGACCCTTCCCGAGTTCAATTCTCGGTTCCGACTCTCTATATTTTCATTGATACTGCATCGAAAAAAAAAATCTATCTTCGGGCTCGGTCTCCCGGGTGATAGATACTCTCTCCTCTTGGCTCCGTATAGTCGGTTCATCTGGGTCCCGCAGACCTCTCTAGTCTCTCCCCCATAGTGTCGCAGACGACAGTCTACCTTTTCTGGTTACCTACTGGGCTCTGCGCCGACGCATTTGAGCCATTTTTTTTTGAGGTGCTATTTATGTTTCCGGTACCCGGTCGATAGTGGAGATGAGCCGCATGTGCAATGTACCCGGGACCCAAACCAGGTACACGCCAATAAATTATGTGCTGTACCACCGGATCCACTTTCCCGCTGGGATCCTCCGGCCCTGCAAAGCAGAAAAAAAATAATACTTCGGGGAACTACTGGTCAATTGCCCATGGACGAGCTCTGCCATTGCGAGACCGAACTGGCACAGTAGCCTTAGTAGATGTCATAGGTGCCTCTCGGCCACATTGTGACCTCAAACTCTCGAGATTGTGAAAATTAATGTGGTGCTGTTTCAGCTACAGAGTTTTAGCGGCTAGTATTGAAAATAACACCAGCGAAAATCCTTGCAGCATCAAAATCCAGGTTACAGGCACTTGGTCCAGAGATTCGACATTAATCACGCGGTAAGGGATAGATCTACATGTAGGCAACCTCAGTTGCATTACTCACTTCATGCGAAATTCTCTACCGGTCAGATTTACTGGACAGCCTTTTCAAAATTTTGCAGGCAATCCAGATGTACCGAGGATGTCAATATATATATGTGTTCCTTTGCTTCCCTCTGACACTATACTGCACCCAATCACCCGCATTGAAGGAAAGTCTAGATGGAGCACCGGGAGCAAACCACTGATGAACATGCCATACCAATTAACCTCTCTGTCAATGCGATCAGTCGAGGCCTACGCATGCTGTAAGAGGGACCTAGTGGTCAAGACAGGAGCCTAAAGATTAGGCCAGGATTTTTCGGAGAGACAAATTAGAATTTTGACCCATTGAATCTTGATCCAGCCCAGAAAAATAATACTCCTTTTATATTTAAAATAATGAGATCTAAGCGGCAGTTAGTAACTCCATTGTGGGCGATCTGGAACTACGACTCCAAATAAGAAAGGCTGCAGATAAATGGTAGAAAACATATATATATGGCAGAATGACCGTCCGATAGGCTCTATTTAGGTTTCTGGACTAACTTAGTCTGTTTGTCACACGATATCATATAGTTCATGACCATAGAATACCAATTAGGTTTATAACAAGAGAGCTCCGGTGTTCAACCTACCGGAGGAGAAAAAGTTTTTGTATTGCGGATCTCAATCGCCGCCGAGCAGATCACGTTCTTCAATAGTCAGGATAAAAATGAATGTTTCCCTCTTTCAATTCGCTTAGAATAATAGACGAGTACTCAATAGCCAAGAGACTCATCATGTTCCGAGGGCCGCGGTAGTTGAGGTTAATAGACTGGAATTCAAGCCCCAGTCATGAAAGCCCGACCGGGCAGTTAGTCCACTGGACTGTTCCCGTTCTCTCCAAGTGTGGATCCCGAATTTATTTCTTGTTTGACTTGTTTGCAGAATAGTGTTCACTCCACTAGGTGCCCATGTGGATGGATCCAGTATGGATCCAGAAACTAGCGAGTCGTGTTTACTGAGGAGGGGTCCATATCGAAAGAGGAATCATGTCAGGTCTACCAGAGACCCTCAAGAATGGATCCTGAATCAATTTTGGTTCGAAACATAAGAAGTCCAAATAGGGAATAAAAATTGTCCTAATACTGAATTTGATACCTATTTTTATGCATACATGCTCCTTTCAGCCTTTCCTTCTAAGTTAATCAAAGAAACTCCCTTCCCTTCATTTCTCAGAAGCCGGAATGTCGGTTGTAGTTAGGGAAAAATATGTTTGCTCAAGTGGAAGTTTCAAAGTTTCTGAGAGAAAACAATTAGCCTTGGACTTTGATGAGCCTCTTTATCATATCCTGGGAAAGGATGACAAGCCTTTTGTTTCTTATTCAGCGCAAAGAACACGTTTTCATATGCTCTGAATCTGTAAGGCTCTTTGCGAAGAAGGACCACTTTGTTCTTGTAGGTTATGCCCTTTCTACTACCTGGTGCTTGCACGTTGTGGACTGCGTCCCCAACAAGATCCGAGAACAGACTGACTTGCAGATTCGCAGGGCTAACCAGTAGCGGATCATGTAGATCTCCCTCCAGTCTGTACTCCTCCTGCAGGGCTGAAACTTCCTTTTCCACCACCGTTGTTAAAGGGTCATATGGGGATTTATGACGCGCGACTTCATCGTCAGTGCCTGATTGACAAGTCTCCGCCCTGTCTGGTTTGAGAATCTGCCTTTCGAGGAACGGAAGGTACTGTGTTTCGGACTTGGGGGTGGCGGATAAAGATTGCATGGAATGCATATTGCAGAGAAGATTTGGCTTTCTGGAGGCGATCATAGTCCGCCATAAGCAAGAATTGCAGGTCTTTAAGTAGTTCATATTGAAGGGAAACTCGTCAAACCGACGAAGATGTAATAATGAATATTAGTCCTTTTTGGGGTTTTCGGAGACTTTAGGTATGGGTCGGCACCCTCTGCCGTAGTTATATGCGGATGGATGGATGGATGACATCACCTTTCCAGTTTCATGTGACTTGAACTTTTGTGTAATTAGGAGCCTAAGTCTATAGGTATTTCAATCCTAGTTTGTCAAGAAAATACCATTTTTTCTTCATTCAATGTGATACGCAGACAGCGTGGGGTTAAAGTCATCTTGACTCGCCAGAGATAGTCTATTTGAGGTCGACCTTCATAATCTTCATGTGCCAAAAAAGGAGAAATTTTATTCTTAACCAACGAATTTGTTTTGAATTTTTTTATCAAGACCTTGACTTTAGGCGCATCGATACTAACGAGGTAGAAATACAAGTTCACCGTCAATATTTGCGATGTGAGTTGCAAGGTCAATCTCGCTGGAGACATAATCACCCGATGAATTAAGTAGTTCTGAAAACAGAATGGGACTTCGATGTCTTTCAGCAACTAGGGTGATATTTCGTGCGCTTTTGCTGAAATCTTTGCCCCCCAGTCGAGATGACCTGACCTCAAAAATTGATTAGAATTTGTGGGTAGAGTAACCGTCCTCAGCTACCTCACCATTTGTATTACCAAGGAATTCGTCCAAGGGGATATCGGTGGTTAGCCCAGTACCTTCATCATTATTGCAAATAGCAACCAAGGAGGTACTCCCGGGCTGGACATTCAAGTGTATATCGCATGCACTTTCATGGAAAGACATGATGAGATACTTGAAACAAGAATAAATTTTGTTGTTTAATGGAAGCTAAGAGAAAGAGTGATGCTATTGTGGCAACTAAATAGTCTTCCCCGCATCGCTCGTCACCTAGTCTGTAATTACCTTATGTAATAATGAGGCAATTATTGTTTCACCCCTTCAAGAGTGTAAATGAATCTACAGCACATGGATCTCATTCAATGCCAGTATAATATCGATTTCGTATCGTCCAGCTATATTATGGGCTTGCTGGGGCCACGCTGCCTATCCGGAGGAGTATGATGAAGGAGATGTACGAACTGATGTCACCTTTCCATCATTTTAATCATCTCATGAGATACAAAACATCAAAATATACGAGCAAGAGCAAGCTTCTCATACTGAAAATAATAGGTCGAAAGGTCAGCTTGACCTTCTTCATGCCGTAGCTCTCCTAGCAACAATGACCAATCGAAAGTTGATAAGCCCTTGATTTTGAACTCTTGAACATTCAGCACCAATCAGAGCTCGGAAAGTGATTTATCATCCAAGCTAGTGAGTTATTATCCATGCAATGGGCTAGAAGCAGCATACTTGCCTTGGTCTACTCAGTCCAGACTTTGCAGCCAATCGACAATTGAAGTTAGCGCATACACAACCCAAACAGCGCCCGAGGTCGGTAAGCAATCAGATGTCTATTCCCCACTCGTTGTCTGCAAATGAGAATAGGCTTCATAGGATTGTGTCTGGTGGTCTGTCCCCATGACCCTAGGATGAATAGCGTTTATGGTGCCTCAGAAATTGCCACCGTATCAAGAAGGCTATGAAGAATGACGGTGGCAAACTCAACCTAAACTAAGTAATACTGCTCATGACGACAGCACATATTTAACTCATAACCATATATTAATTTGATAGCATCCGATCCACCAATGTTGCCTTTACAGTTTAGGAAAGGATACTGGACTGACCCATTACCATTCTATCAATCCTTGCCCACGATTCCGTACTCCAATATCATTTAACATGATGCCTAGAGCGAGATTTGTTAATGACGATGTCATTGTTTCAGCATTCGATATTTCGAAAATAGCTCTGCTTGATTGCGGAGAGCCTGATGCTCGAATCAATGGTGTCACCGGAGATTTTAGCGAGTTCACCCTTTTCCGCACTGATACTACAAATGGACATGAATATAAAGAATCGCGACATGTTAAGATGGATATGAATTTCGATCCTGGCAAGGAAGTCATTCTTCGCGGTGACAGTGAGCAGCTCATGCCAAATAGTATATAGCTAACGCTAACAAAATTCAGATGGTCACTATTATCTTCAACAAGGCGAAAACGAAGTTATGCTCCTGCCATTTTTATAACGAAATGGGCTTTGGCGAAGCATGTATCTACGTATAATATCACCTCTTTTGCTTGCTTGCAAGTGGCTCCCTGGGCATAGAGTCTCCTCTCCGTATCTCTGTATCCGGCTCCATGCGAATGCTCCTCGTTTTGCTAGTGACATGTTCAGGTTTCTAGAAATCGGAAGTTGACCTAAGACGGTCGTAAAATTCTAAATTCTACAGCATTTTGCCAGTTGTAGCCACGCTCGTATATTCAAAAGACAGCAAAACTCCGATGCCCCCCCAAAACGTTGTTTTAAATGACAAAATATGGACAGAAGAATTCCGGTATTTTCCCTTTTAACGCGCTAGCGCTCTTAGTTCTTCTTGGAACGTTTTCTCTTCTTCCTCCGGCCATCACCCTCACGAATATCAACCTTGGTCTCACCATCGCCGTCATCCTGCTCGGCATTGTTCTCAGCAACATCTCCTTGACCGAAGGTGAATGCTGGCCCTTCCTCGCTACCGAAGGTATCCTTGCGCCATTGGCGGAGACGGGCTTTTTGCCCAGTTTCCGCTCATCTTTGGCCTTCTTCTCGGCATCTCGGAAGGAGGCAAGCTTCTTCAGACCAGCAAACTGGTTAAGTTGCGTGTCATCCGCCATCAGAATATCACGCGCGGTCAAGCCGAAGCTTTGAGGGGAGGTTTCGCGGTACCGGAATCGGGTCGCGTTCTTCTTAGTCGCACCAGGGAGCAAGGTGATGTCCAGGTCCAGGTTCCGGTCAACCGCCTCCTCAATGCGGAGACGGTCCTTGCGAGCCTCGCGCTTCTGCTCGCGCTTCAGCTCAGCCTTGCTCTTCTTCTGAGATCCAGATGCAGCCTCCTCTTCCTCCTCCATGTCCTCATCCGACTCAACTGAGGGCTTGGCGGTCTCTTCATCCTCGTAGTCGGGGATCAAGTCCTTGATATCGATATCATCATCCCAGGTGGGCTTCTTCGGATGATTCTTCCCGGAAACGCCACCCTGCTCATAATAATCCTCGCCAAACCGCTTCTCCATCTCCTTCTCCCACTCTTTGTCGTCCCAAGACTCGTCAAGGAAGCGGGCCCAGTCATCATCAGTGAATTCAGAGGCCCGCAAACCGGCAACTTCCTTGATTTCATTGACCTTCCTCTGAAGCTCCTCGGTCTTCAATTTGCGCAGGCGATTCTTCTCAGTCTCCCGTTGTTTCTTCTCCTGCTCCTTCCGTTCACGTTCAGCATCGCGCAGCTTCTTGCGCGCACTCTTGTCCTCGCGACGGACCGAAAGGCTGTTGGTGGTATCACGGGCGTGGGTAACCAGCTTCTCGTTGAGCTTGCTGGGATCTTCGAAGCGGAAGTTGTAAGCCTCCTCGAAAGCATCTGCACGATTAAACTCTTCATCATCATCCGAATCGAAAGGATGGAGCTCCCGTTTATTTTCCTCGGGGATCCAAGCCCGCGAGGCCATGAAGTTGGAAAGGAAGGTCTCGGGATTCTTGTCCGCATTCTCAATGTCCAAATCCGCCTTTGATATCGCTGGCGGAAGCTCTTCGGGACCAGACTTGCGGACCAAGAAGTTATCAGCATCCTCCATCTCCTCATCATCGGAACCGGCTGCGTGCATCTCCTTGACAATGGCGCTCTTCAGGTCGGCCTGCTCCTGAGCGAAGGTTCTAGGAGTGTCTTCTTCATCCGCAGGATTGACACCGCTGAGAAGGTTCTCACGGTGGTAGTCCCTCAGTGTCATTGATTTCTCTCCCTTCTCCTTAGGAGCGGCGTTGGCTTCGTCCTCGTCAAACTTAGAATAGAAGGTGACATCCTTGTCATATACTCGAGGATCTTTGGTACGGATAGCCTTCAGAGTCGCCATGATTTCGGCATCGAGAGCCTCAGTCGCAAGTTCTCCCTCATCGTCTTCCTCCTCGTCAGAAGACGACTCGTCGTCTGAGGGTTCATCGGCTCTGCGCTTTCCCAGACTGGTAGTTTTGCCGTACTTCGATTCTACTGTAGAAAAAAAAACCATGTCAGTAATGCCATAAAGGACTCCAAGCAGATCTTAGATTCATACACTTTTGCACCTCTTCTCTCTTTTTATTGTGCTCAAATCGGCGGGCATAGTCCTCGTTGATCTTGAAGCCTAAATCGGCCGTGTTGCCGAGAGACACACCACCGGCGTCATCGCCAGAGTCGCTGGAGCTGTCGTCGTCCAGAAGAGTCTTCATTTTCTTCGATGGAGGCTCCATTGCTATCACACGTTTTGCAGAACAAGCTGGGTCCCGCAGAGAAATCCGCGGGCGGCAGAAAGAAAAAAAATCTCACACCGCCTTTCACCATGGAAACCGTTCACTTGTTTTTGCCTGAATAAGGCTCTTAGTGCCTGAAAACCAGGGCGCGGATTTTCCGGGGGCTTCACTGACGTAGCCAATTAAATCATCGCCAGCCAAGTCAAAGGCGCCTAGACAACGCCGCTTACCTTCAAATGGGCAGGTCTTTCCCAGCTCCCTCCGCCTCTTTCACCTCCTTTTATACTTGATCTGGTGCTGGGTAGGGTATTGCTGGCCCCTCACACCGTTTCGGTCTCCCCCTGATCGCGTCAAGTGTATGGCCGGAGGCATACACTAGATGTCGACTCAATCGCAGACCCCGTTGCCCGAGGTCGGGAAGCTCGTGAGCGTGGTGTAGGTATTCATGTGTGCCTCTTCTGTTTCCCAATGCTCATGGAATTTCAAATATCTAGCCCCGTCGGTCTCAAAGAAGCCGCCCTCGATTCCCCGACCTTCCGAGCGACAACCCTCCATTTCTGTGAACAAATCGAATTCATCGAGAAATGGCTTGACGGATACGCCAGAGCTGCGGCAAAGCTCACCTCCGAGGTAACGGCGCTGGAAAGTGTCGTAAGCGGCTTTCTCTCATATTCTACCCATCCACTCGTTGTGTCCGAGGCTGTTGTCGATCATGATTATACATTGCTGGCGATGAGGCGGTGCGGGGAAGGATCCAAGGACCTTTGGAACGGGTTGGTGACGGCTACCAAGAAAATGGAGTCGTTGATTGCGGAACCTATTCGAGTCTTTATTCATGAAGACTTGCGCCACTTCAAGGTAAGTGCTAGGTTTGCACTGTTGACGTATTCCGGGTTTTTGGGCGTGCTGTTCTAACGGATTTTAAGGAAACTCGTCGGGCTCTAGAGCACGCGCAAAAACAATACGATTACCTACAATCTAGATATGCGTCACAATCTAAGTCAAAAGAGGCCTCTGCGTTACGAGAGGAAGCGTTTCAGCTTCACGAAGCTCGAAAAGCCTACCTGAATGCCTCTATGGATTTCTCGGTGCAAGCACCTCAGATCCGCAATGCACTTGACAGGCTTCTTGTCCGGGTTTCTTTCGATCAATGGCGGGAATTCCGGCTGTTCCATAATAATAATAGCTCGACATTCTCAAAGTGGACAACTGAGATGGATCGCATCAAGGGCTGGGTCCATGAAATGGAAGGGAGCGATCGATCCGCCAAACGAGAGCTTTATGCAACCAGGAAGCAAATCGAAGAAGCTGCAGAATTGGTGGCCAGGCCACCTCGAGAACTGGAGGATTACTCTATCTCCACAGTCCCTTACCTCGGCTCCCGCCCTCTGTCCGCGCTCAACATGGGCACGGATGTCAGACCCGAGAAACAAGGCTGGGTCAATCTACGAACACTGTCAGGGCGACCATCTCGTACCGTCTGGGTCAGGCGGTGGGCTTTCTTGAAACATGGAATATTCGGATGTCTTGTGCAAGGTGCGCGCACCGGCGGTGTCGAGGAGAGTGAACGAATTGGCGTGCTCTTGTGCAGTGTTCGCCCTGCGTTCCAAGAGGAGCGACGATTCTGTTTTCAGGTGAAGACCAAGAGCAACAACATCATTCTCCAGGCCGAAACACAAAAGGAATTGATGGAGTGGATCGGTGCCTTCGAAGCTGCCAAGCAGAAAGCGTTGGAAAACCCTGCCAGTACAGACTTGTCGATATCCGGCAAAATGACAGTGCAAGACCCTGCTTTCTCTATCTCCCAGCCCCCTGCGCCTGAATTCACTGCAGATCCAACGGATTCGCTCACACCTCATCCAAACGACGAGTCGGCGGTAGAACGGAGCTCAACCCTCCCAGTCCCGGACCGTGATGGGCTTGCCTTCAGGAACAGCACTGATTTTGGTGGTCGACGGCTTACTGGAGGAGAAAGCGAAGGGTCCACTAGGGACCACGCAAGAGAGCATACGGCTCGAATCATCCAGAAGTTAGACCTCCACCGTAAGTCGAATAATGCTGCGCCGTCCTCTCCTTCCATCCCAGGACCTGCTGGTGGCATTGCCAGCCTCATTTCTGTTAGCCACAACCTCCTTAACTACAATGGCGTGAATACGACCAATGCTAAGGATGGCGATGCGAACCGTGGTCGAAGCTCGAGCAGTCTCGAGGAACAGGGAGCGAATCTTGCCCCTGCCACTCTTGCCAATCCACCGGCCCCTACAAGCATGAGCAAGGCTGCAGTAGTAGTGAGCAATGAACGGGGCATTGGGCTTGGCCTTGTTGACAGCACTGGAGGCATGCCTAGTGGCATGATGGCAAATCTATGGGGAAGTTCAAATTGGGGCTTCATCAATAAATTAGAGCGCGAAAAACCTCTGCAAACCAATGGAAATGGGGAACATGAGATGGTATCCGAAGGGAGACCGGAGTCAGTTATGAGTGATTCGGGGGGTATTACGACTAAAGTCGAATCATCGAGTGCGTTATCGTCTAGACAGCCATCGGGGCCACGCCACAGACAGACTGTCAGCCTTGATGGAGACACTTCCAAGATACAAAGAGCAGCCCTGGGTATCACGCCTACTGAAACGGAGTATCCTAGTATATACCCGATGCAGTTGAGGATCCAGGATGCTCAGTTCCGCTTGCTTTTCCCGGACGTCAAGAAAGAAGAGGCTCTCGTTCTGGTATTCAGGGCAACATGGAGCCCGAATGACCAGCAAGAATTCCCAGGCAGAGCCTATGTCACAACTCGAAATGTCTATTTCTACAGCCACCATTTCGGACTTGTGCTGACCACGAGTGTCTCACTGGAGAGTATCAAAGAAGTAACCGCTGCTTCGGGCAGAGACTGTGATTTCCTTTTCCTCCATACCATCCCTCCACTTGGAAGTGACACTCCAGGGCGCATTACGATCAAGACCTTCCTCGAACCACTCCGTCTCCTTGAGAGGCGTCTCAATTTCCTAATCCATTCATCAATAACTTCAGAGACCTTGACACTCGAAGGTATCATCAAAGAACTGATTAGGATGGATAATGGCTCCCCGATCAGATCTTCCAGTGTAGATAGCTGGGAGGATGTTTCCTCGGGAGTTGCAGACCAAACCGGCGATGGTAGAAATCATGCAGCATACGGCACGGCAAAAGACCTTCGCGTACCCATTTATATCGATAAAGACCTCGATTTAGATGGCAAAGGCGGCCGTGGACGCGATATTCCTAAATTCAAGCTCCCGACTCAACCAGTCGAGTATGTCCCACAGGGCGATCTCAAGCTGGTGACAGAAAAGGTCCTCGATGTCAGCCCCAAGGCTCTATTCCATATCCTTTTTGGAGATAAAAGTGCAGTATGGCAACTTTTGCTCCACGAGAGACTCGCGCGAGGTATGTCAAGCAACATTCCACTGTTTTCAACTTCTCTCTGTGGTTTCTCTGGCTGCAAATAGCCCTGGCTCCTGATAAGCGAACACGCCGATGAACTCGATCAGGGGATCGGAAGAGCAGTCGCCTGAGGATAGGAGTCGGTATCCTTTTATGACTACTACCATAGGAGACCCTGTTCTCGCGAGCAGCTGGATTCCCGGATTATTGACATCTTGGAATCATCGCATTCTCTCTTCTATATCAAAAACCCCACATTTGAGTCTGCCAGCTTGGTCGATCAGTTGGAGCCAGGGCTATGATTTATGACCGGAAACTTCTCGCGACCATTATCTCCAGACGCAGATATCAAAATCCTAAATCCAATTTACTAACATTCGATGCAGACATCAAGCAAGGACCGTGGGCTAGCACAGAAGCCAGACACCTGAGGCGAGAATTTCAGTATCTCATAGACACGGCCGATATTTTTGGTAGGTTTTATTTCCATTTCGGGGGAAAGAAGAAATACTCTGCGAGCAAGTCTGCATATTGTCATTCATTGCCAAATGTTCTGGACAAATGAGCAGCATGCGGAGATTGTCCAGACCTTTCTTGGCCTATATTCTCCACCATTTATTAACGTGGGTTTCATTCAGGACGAACTCATGAAAATGCGATATTTGATTACCAGATCATTGATGTTCTAAACGACCACCTATGCTATGTCATTACTGATAAACGGACGCCGTGGCATCTCCCTCTGCGTCGGTCATTCCGTCTTGTGAGCAAAGTAGTGATCACCTTCATGGCTAAATCCAAGTGCAAGCTTGCAATTTACACCAAGGTTGAGTGGCTCAGGTCTCCGTATGGCCTTAGGAGTAAGTCACAATACTTATATGCAAACTCGATTTAATTTCTCATGATTATTTTAGATATTATTGACAAAAGAGCTTATGATGATCTAGAGCAAGATGCTCTGGATCTCGTGGATCTCGTGAGTGACCAAGTTCGACGCCTAGGCGCACACAGCCGTACTAAAAAGGCCATTACAATATTTGGTCATGTCGGGCGCCAAAACAATGTTTCCCAATTCAGTGGTGTTGGGGGCAATTTGAAGATAGAACCACGCAAAAGGACCCAGCGCACCATGCCCCAGCTCCTCCTGGAAACATTCCTGTCTTTTATGGAAAGCACGGTATCATTCTTGATGATGTCGTCTTTTGGTGTGGTCCGCTGGACAGTGAAAACCGTAAGTGCATATCGGATATTACTGGTTTTGTTGATAACCAGCGTTCTCATGAATGGATTCTACTCCTCACGAGATACCTGGGACTGGTGGCACGAGAGACATGCCAGCAATTTCATGGCCAGGATCGGTGTACAGCCCAATCTGGTCATGAGTAAGGCTATTTATATCCGAGATATCGACGAAGCAGTTGCCAACTCAACCCTCTGGCCCCATAATGCCAACTCAAGTACCTGCTTTGGTGCCTTCCATGAGCACACCACACGGTACGCGGAGCTTCCTCTCTCCCTTAGCACATCAGGCCCTCGTGATGCAGTCGCCAAGAGCGCCACCAAACGCTTCCTCCAGACGCGCGAACGCCTCGGTGTGTACCGACACAATCTACTTGTCGCTCTGCGTGTGGTGAACAGCATTGAAAAGGAAGTGATTCAAAATGAATGGGAACGATGGCTTCGCGAAGAGCTCCGACGATGTCGCCAAGTCGAGATTCTCCTTGGAGAAGGAAAAGCCGATGGAGAAGCCCAGATGGCCCAAGCTGAACGTATCTTCGCCGAAAATGCAGACAACGTGAAGGAATGGTATGATCGGTACTGCTCCAGTTGTCAACAGGAGCAGGAGCAGGTTTCTAAAAACGGCCGCGATAACCTGCTGGGTTGAACATGGACCGGTTCTTTCGTTTTCTTGGACATCCCACCCCCGTTTAATAATTGTGTTGCATATTCTTTGTCTCCCTTTCCTTTCTGACAGCACGATACCCGGTGGCCCCCATTCTTGAGGTACGTATTTCGTGTATCAATTTCGGCGTAAATATGCATGCGGTCCCGCGCTTCTCTGCAAATATCTTTCAAGACAGATTGATCATGTATGTCTGGTGCTGCCGCCTGGATTCCCCTTAGGCTAGTTTGACACGGTCTAGTTTTGTCGTGGCTTCACTTCGCCCTCTTGCACGACGTAATAAACCACTGTTCCTTCTCCGCCCATATTCCGATCCACCATCGCAAGGAGCACTCTCCTTGAGCCCCATTCATTGGTAGCTTGAGCCTGCTCCCTTCTTTTGTTGTATGCCTCTAGTTTCTTGGCTTTCTCAGGATCTTCCGGATCTTCAGCCCTATATGTCAAGCTCGAATCCTCAGATGATGAGGTCTCAGCCCTGGGTAGCGCGTCGAAGACCGCAGCCATGCGACTCAAACTCCATGTCTGTCCATGAGCTGTCGGGACCACAAAGAGTCTCTCCGCTGGGAGGTCATCTTCTCGAATGCCTTGTTCCAGCATGTAGAGCTGCTCATCGGGGTGGGTATAGACGCGATGCGGGGATATTCCGGATATCAGCATTGAGAGTCCATTGGTTGCCGAAGCTGCATCCAATTCATGAACCTGCAGCGAAGTCCATAAATGCTGGTGTTGGAGGTTATGAAGGACCTGGATTGTTGTTGCAGCGAATGGGTTTTCAGACGCAGAGACGGACTCGATGAGCTGGGTGAGGGCCGAGGGCTTCGGAGGAATCATTTTATGTTCTTCAAGGGCCATTCTGAGCAGGTCTAGGTGGGGTAGAATGACCTCTAGTAATCGTTGACCCCGGATGACTTGCAGCTCCGCGGCTTCTGATGAAAACCTGCAAAATGGAAAGTCGTCGCTCACCGCCTGCTGTAAGTGGATTTGTATCACTACACCGCTCCCTGGAAACCGTGGTATAATCAGGGATTGTTTTGATACTTACATCTTCAAGACTTGATAACAGAGTCAACCCGGGGGTTTCTCGATCAAACTCAGGCCGACCAGAATGTGCAGCCGGCTCTCGTGGTGCAGCGCTTCCAGGGTTTGAGTGGGGCCCCCTGGCGATCACTGATTGCTGATAAGCTGCGAACTAAGAACACATGGCATCATCTTTTTCTTCAACTCCGCTCCTCCAGGGCTCAGTGAAAAAGCCCCTTGTCAATATCCCACGCCCTCAAAGAACGGTCTTGTTTCTTACTAGTGGCTGCTCCTACCTCATTTCTTGAAATCTCTTCCACATCTGCTCCGGGTGTCGAGTCCGGGATTGTCGCAATGGGCCGACAAAAGCAAACAAACCCGCTCCAGCGCAATCCCTCGTCGCAGTTGATGCATACCCTTTCCGATGGAACGGATGTCCCTTTGAAACATGAAGATGGAAATATAAAAGACCATACAGGAACCAACGGGAACGTCCTTGCAAATGCGCCTACTTCGGCGGCGGCGCAGGAGCCCGTCGCCGACAGCCCTGGATTGACGCAGCTTCTGATTTGTGTCCTTGGTATATATGCGGCATTGTAAGTTGGCAGATAATATCTGAAGAAGGGCCGAAAGGAACACTAACGATTCAAAAGCCTGTCATGGGGTGTTCTCCAGGAAGCGATCACCACAACTACCTATCCCATCCGCGCTGCAACCGCCGCGGAGCCAGAGCCTCCGACAGAGCGTTTCACTTACTCGCTCGTACTGAACACAATACAATCTTCATTTGCGGCCATCACCGGCTTTATCTACCTCTTCTTATCTACGGCCAAGGGTCAAAGAGTCCCCTCGGTCTTCCCCACCCGTCGCATCCTTTTCCCGTTACTCCTGGTCAGCATTTCTTCATCGCTGGCGTCGCCATTTGGATATGCCAGTCTTGCGCACATTGACTACCTGACATTCATTCTTGCCAAGTCTTGCAAGCTCCTTCCTGTCATGCTCCTCCACTTGACTATTTTCCGGAAGAAATACCCTCTGTACAAGTACGGTGTTGTGCTCATGGTCACTCTGGGTGTAGCTACATTTACTTTACATCACCCGGGAACCAGCAAGAAGGTTGCCGCGTCTGCATCGAAACAGTCGGGCTCGTCCTTGTGGGGCATTTTTCTGCTATCTATCAATCTCCTGCTAGATGGTCTTACCAACACGACGCAAGACCACGTCTTTACCTCGCCGAAGCTCTACACCCGCTTCACTGGACCGCAAATGATGGTTGCACAAAACGTCCTATCTACTGCCCTGACTGCGGCATATCTATTTATCATGCCGCATATCTCACAGAGTGGAATCCTGCATAATTTACTCCCATTCCCGATTCCCCCCTCCACAGAGACGGAGCTGTACTCGGCCATCTCGTTTCTCTCGCGCCACCCGGAGGCGATGAAGCATGTGCTTGGATTTGCGGCATGTGGTGCTGTTGGCCAACTCTTTATCTTCTACACCCTCTCACGCTTCTCGTCTCTGCTTCTGGTCACGGTAACCGTCACTCGCAAGATGCTCACCATGCTACTCAGCGTATTTTGGTTTGGCCATTCATTGAAGACGGGTCAGTGGCTGGGCATTGCTCTGGTCTTTGGCGGAATTGGTGCGGAAGCGGTAGTACAAAGGCAGGAGAAGAAGGCTAAGGCAGAAGCTGCAAAGAAAAAGCAGTAGTGGGGTTATTGGGATTTGCCTCTTCCATTGATGTTTGATAGAAAAACATTGTCTATATAACAATTCCTAGATATCCAATATCAATTGACAGCTTATAAAAGATAGGAAATCGTCGGCCTTGCCCTATCATTTGCAACTGATACGCAGACGCCTTAGGTTGGTTTCTGGAAAGAAACACTCGCCGTTGATCCCTTGTACATCGGAATTGGAGGCTCGCAATCGTACGTAACGAGCTTCAACTGATGTTGAGCTTTCCGTCGCACCTTCCGTCGCACCTTCCGTCGTGCGACTGTTCCGCCTCTGGTAATTAGATCGTGTATCAACTTGACTCTCACCTCTCACTTCGCTCTTCGCCCATCCTCTATCACCCATCCTCCTCTGCTCTTCCACTTCTCGTTATTGTACAGAATTTGATTTCAACACTTCTATTCCCTCAAACTGAAGACTATGGATCCCGCCGCCAACGTCGAAGAAGCTAAGGATGATGTTGTAGTGCTCATGGAAAGAGTTCGGATTGATGAGTCCACATGTGAGGGTCTCAACACTCCCATGAACACGAAAGTCTTTGTCCAAGGCCAGGTCGAAGTGGACGCCGAAGATGACAGTGATACTATCAAGCTTGAGGATGAGAGCATCCTTCCTGAAACAATCGTGATAGACACCGAGACTGGCATTGTTGTGGATGCCGCCGATGAGGCTGGCACGGTTGAGCTTGTCATCGATGAACCTGCCAATGTTGAGACCACCGCTACTGAGCCTACTCCTACTGAGCCTATTCCTGCAGAGCTCGGGAATGACACTGTCAAAGACAACACCGGTAATGGCAACCCCAGCACCGGGAAGGCCGAGCACGCGAGGCGATTCAAGAAGAAGAAGCGCCTGCGCATCCACAAAACAAAGCCCGTTCATCTTCTGGCCGAGCCTCACCGGGCTTGGATCATGATGTACAACGAGCTGCTCTCCACCCCTGAGAGCGTGGCTGAGAAGACAGCCCTTTCGGCAATTATCCAACTCATGCGTGCACGCGGTGAACTCGTAGCTAAGCTGCCGAATATTCCCAAGACCGAGCTGCGCGAGTTTGTCATTCGGTCCAACGTCGAGGGCGCTACCCCAGACAGTGAGCCCAACCAGGACATGGCCATTTTTCTTCGGGCCATCCTGCAGGCTCGTACGCACCTGGCTGAATTGAATCCCAACACCCGCCTGTCTCAGATCATGCACACTATCGTTTCGATCCAGCGCATTCCTGGCATCGCCATCGAACTATTCGACGTTCCCACAATCCCTCATTTGCGTACATTCGCGAATGAAAATGCCAAGAACCTGTCCAACGATGCTCTTGTCGCCCTCCTCGAGGGTCCTGATCTGAGGTCCCCTACCGATTTTTGATCTGAGTCAATTTTGCATCTTACACAGTGAAACATAATATGTCTTTTGCCCCTTTTTCCACACGGCTGGGTCTTACGGGTTTACATATCATTTCAATGGGATTCAACACGGAAATTGCTGATTTACTGGGAGGGTCTCCAGGGCCTGTACCTAGCTTGCTTTAATTTATGACAAAACAAAATGTCTTAACAAAAGATTCTTCTCTCGTATACGTATCATCCATGATAGGCTCATCATCCTTCAGCCGGACATGATTCACCTCATTTCCGTCCCTCCACCATGACGATGTGATATCCAGCACTGGTCTTCACCTCTGCATACTTAGGATTGGCCGTGGTACTCGGTTCCAGACCGTAAGCCACCGCCTCAAACGCAGGATCCAGACTCCCCTTGCTCTGCCATCCGAGAGAGCCACCTGCAACGCACGAAGTTTTAGCCACGACCCCAAGCATGATGATGTATTGCGGGCCCAGAAGCGAAGCTACATACCTTGCCGGGCCTTGTCCTCGGAGAAATTGGTCGCGACTACATTGAACTGGGAGCCCTCACGTAGCTTGGCCAGAGCCTCTTCCTTCTTGGCATGCTTCTCGCACTAGAATGGCCTTGTCAGAACCAGCATTTCTGGGATCCAGATGCCGACAAGCAAAGAAACTCTCGGACCTCCGAGCCCGATAGTAGCACACTCCATAGACGGAGTGCTGGACGATCGGGAGACGTACCAGAATGTGTCGCACGTTGATCGACTGCCCGCCTTTCATAGAACCCTTGGCTGCTGCTTTGCCCTTCTCCTCAGTCCCTTTCTTCTCCGCACCCTTGGTGTTCTTCTTGGGGCCCATAATGGATGCAGTGAGACGCTTCAAATCTTTTGGGAATCGCAGAAAATTAGTCTTCGCACAGCGAGGGACCTCAAGTCGAGTGTTGTGCGCGAGTGATCTTTGAATGTCTGCATTTTCGAAGTGGGGCTGATGCCTGAGGCCGCCGTTTCGTGACATGCGGAGACGCCGACCTCGAGCTTTCTCGCCTCTTCGTCGTTGCTTGTAATTAATTGGATTCTCGGGGGGGTACATGGCTGTATTGACCAGGTCTGGCATTTGAGATTGCACTAAGGCAAGGAGGGATCCCGGCCCGTCTCCAGGCTGATGGCCGGCGATCTTGAAGCGGCGCGCATCGTCTCGTTACCTGCGGACGCCTTCTACATTGCGAACTTTATCTCCAAGGAGGAAGAGGAGCTGTTGTTGCAGAAGGTGAGCATTGCTGGGGGTGCTGGAAAGGAGCCTTCTCTCCCATGCAAATGCATCCGGGAAAAGACAAGAAGACTAGAGATCTACCTTTCTCAGTGGAATAGAGCGAATCTCCCCAGCCTGGGCTACATTGGATATATAGATCACGGGATGTCCCTGGTCTTTCTGCTCTGACTCTCTTGACTCGACTCTCTAGATCGCATCTGCCCCGCTACCTCGCTGGACACACCTCTCTCACCGACGACTGCAGACATGGCCATCGCCATTGACCAAATCGAATGCCCTGCTCGCCTCACCCCTCCCAGGCTGGCTGGTGTCACCCATCATCGAGCCCCGCTTCACGGAGCTACGCGTGTTCCATGATGCCCCACACCACGCCCCCAACCACGTCCTGGTGAACGAGTACCGCCCCGGTCAGGGCATCATGCCACACGAGGACGGCGCCGCGTACCACCCCCTCGTCGCAACCGTCAGCCTTGGGGCCCCGATCGTGCTCGATCTCTACGAGAAAAAACCCGGTCCCAGTGCTAGTTCCAGCTTCGCAAGCGCGGCCAGCGACACGCCCGCGCGAAACTCCCAGTTCCGGGTCTTGCAGGAGCGGCGCAGCCTGCTGATTACGCGAGGCCGGCTCTATACGGATTTCCTGCACGGCATCGCGGAGACGACGACGGACAGGGAGTTAGGCCCGGACACCATTTGCAACTGGAGTCTCCTGGGAGAGCAGGAACCGTACCGGATGGGGAGGTATGAGCGGCAGACCCGGACGAGTCTCACGTTTCGGGATGTGCTGAAGGTCGCGAAGATAGGGAATACCGCGAAGTTCCTGAGCGGGCGGTGATAGACAGACAGGGATTGCCTGGGGGGAGGGGAGGGAGGGGTTATTTTTTCTTTTTCCTTTTTTTTTTTATTTTATTTTGTTCTTCTTTTTAAGATCTCGGCTTCCTTTTCCTTCTTTGCTTTTGTGAGTGCTAGCCTGCATTATTGGCGGGGTTCCCCTTCCACTGTGTATCACGACGCCGTCCTTAGTAGATGTATGGGATCATCAACCACCAGTCCTCCACTGTCTCCCGGCCAAATTTCTGCATGTACCATTGCTTGGTGGTCTGGGCGGTCAGGCCGAGGTTGACAGCCACGAAGGCCAGACACGCGAACATGGTCTTGTTCACCACCTGGCCGGGCGGGGCGGCCAGATACGCGAGGGATAGGTAAATAATGCACTCGGCGCCATAGTGTGGGCAGACGACACCGCGGAAGACTGGGTGATCCGGGAGAGTGTATTTCTTGAGCGAGGAAAGGTAGTGGTGACAATCGTGCTGGATGCCGGACGCGAGCAGGAACAACGGCACGCAGAGGAAGGTCCGCAGGGTGGGCGCGTTGGTCATCTGGAGGTCAGAGAGGGAGAGGGATCGAGAGAGTATCGTGCCTATGGGTAGAAGGGAAGGGGCAGGGTGAGCTTTGCAGGCTTGCAGAATGTGGTTTGGTGGGGGAAGGGGTGATTGTTGTACCTGAACCCTCAATCCAGATGGCAATCCCGGCCGCCAGGTAGAACCCCAGCCCCAACAACCAATGCACAAACCACATCCGGGATGTGGAGGGCTTGGAGAAGCTGATACACTCCCACAGTCGTCGAGACCCCTGGATGGCGAGCAACAGCCAGCAGATGAGCACCTGCGTGGCGGTCATGCTCTGCTGGCGATGCGCCTCACCCACGCGCGCCGCGATGGCTTGGAACAAATTGCCCCGGCTCAGCAGCTGCGCGGCCCAGAAGACCGAGGACAGGACCGAGGCGATGTAGAACTGGATAAAATAGCTATGCGGCACCTGCCATGTCGCAAGGTAGTCGAGCAACGCCGTCGCCGCGGAGCTTCTCTGGGCGGCGGCTGGTTGGGAGCCAGCGCTCGATGAGGTCGCACGCGGTCCATAGACGAGGAAGCGGGAGCGAAGAACGGATGGAATGCTGATCGAGACGGTCTGAGAAGGGAGAGAACCGACGGGACGTAGAGGTTAGCGGCTTGCGCCAGGGTAATCATGCCCTATGCCTTGGGACCATCACAACAAACTCAATCCGGGACATACCGTGGCGGCAGCGAGGATGAAAAAGGCCCGCAGAGTATCAATCGCATCCATACCGGCAGCCTCAAGGGCGCGATCGACATGCGCCCTGAGAGGATCAATCATGGCGATGGCCGAGAAAGAGAGAAGACGTATGGTGTCATGACCGAGCTGCGGTGCGAGGTTTGCCAACCAAGTCGGTGGAGCAGTCCGCGGGACGCCCCCGTCCCCGATACTTTGTTGTTGCCTCACGAGTCCACGGAGCGCCGGTCGCCAGTCACTAGGCAGACAAATACAGAAAGATGATGGGCATGGGCTGTCATGGATCCCGAGTTGGACGATCAGTCATGCATTGTCGACCCATTGACGAATGAGGCCCGGCTTTGGGGAGGAGGGATTGGGATTCCCTCGTCTGCTTATCGGAGCTTCCCACGTCCCAATCAAACCGGTCTGGCTGGACATTGGGGGGAGTGGAGGGGGCGCTAACTGGACAGGGTTGGGCACGGTGAATGGCCGGATCGAGGCGATCGCCACTGCAGTGGAGTCAGCGGGTTGGCGGGTTGGCGGGCTCGACTGCGACCGGAACGAGGGAACGTGAATGTCCGTGGGCGATCAAGAGGCATTCGAGTGTTGTGCCCGGTCGCAGAGGTTCAGAGTCCTAGCTGGAGCTGCAGCTGCAGCTGGCGAAGGAGAGAAGGTGTAATGGGCAGACGCGATGGGGGACGATCGGCTGCAGGCGGCGAAGTCGCAGCGTCTCCCCTAATCCCCTAATCCCCGACTAATGAAGTTGGTGCTCCACCTCGAAGACGATTCGCACTCCCTTTTCGGTTCCCTCGACGCCCATAGTGAAACAGCGGCACAGCGTAACAGCGTAACAGCGCAATAGCAGAACCGCAGCACCGCAGAACAGCGTGAGCAGAGTCCTCATTCTAGTCCGCTCGTTCTCGTTCTGCAGGAAGGGGCTGTGATCGCACGATCGAACTGCCTATCGACTCCCCGTCCCCCTCTGTTCCTCTGGTGGTCGAGTCCTCGAGGGCCGATGATGCAGTGGCCAACGGGTCTTCTTTAACCAAACCCAAACTGGTTCCCTTCCCCCCCCAAGACTTTTGCTGTCCCCCATTCCTCTTCTCTTCTTCTTCCTCTTCCGCTTCCTCTTCTTCTTCTCTTTTCTCCCCTTCAACAAACTCCACCCTTCCTTCTTCCCTTCCCTCTTGCTCTCATTCTTCTCTCCGTTTCCTTCCATCCCAACGCACTTTCTCCCTCCCCCTCCCCCGCCTCTTTAATTATATAGGGCTCTGCTCTCCTGTTCGCCCACACTCTCGATCTCGCCCTCCTCCCGCAAACTCGTCTTTTGAGTCCGTGCTTCCCACTCCCAAAACAGAAGATTTGGAAAACCAAAAAAAAGGGTCTCGTCTCTCCTCGGCATCTCCGTCGACTTGGAATTGTTTTTTTGGCCGGGATCCAGCGTCTGTGCACCACCGCTGGGCGCTGCCGACCACGGTCATCTAGGCCTGTCGCGTTCCTCCCAAAATGACGAGCAGAATCCTCTCTTATCGAGTGCTATCGCTATGAGTGATGTCGAGGCAGTGTCCTTACCCGCTGCGCTGGATGTCGGCGCCCATGCTCTCGCGGCAGTGAAGACGGACGCGCAGGACGCTTCGGGCCCTTCGCTATCCGAGAAGACTGAGAAACAGGCCTCCCCTCGACGAGGGAGCGATGGACCACAGCGACCGAACGTGAACGTGGATCGGGAGAATGACGACGACGAGGAGGAGGAGGAGGAGGAGGAGGAGGAGCAAGGACCCCCAGCCCCAAGGCTGACTCCGAAGCAGAGACCATTATCCAGTCCGGTCGGGAGTCGCTCTCTCCCGAGAAGAAGAGAAAACACATTCGGCATGATCCCACTCGCCACCCGATCGATGGCATTGATGGCGTCGATGGAACCCTTCACCACCGAAAGAAGCCACGTATCGATGGCATCCCCGGCCCACGCAGCTCCCGGTCGCCGAGTCCGTCGGAGAGAGCGGGCTCCCCCCCGTCGCTCAAATGGGAGGTAGTAGACGACTCGGACAAACCTCTTCCCCCCGCGTCGCCTGTCAAATGGGAGGTTGTAGACGATGTGCCCTCGGTCATGCAAGGTGTTAGGGATGAGAATGGTGGTCACGATGGTGAACGACCGCGCAATCATCGGAAGCGAAGCTTTAGCGACAGCGTTGATGAGAAACGAGAACGTCGCCGGGACTCGACGTCCCATCCCGCCCTACGTGACCCGAAATCTCTCAACCACCGCTTTCCTCGACCGTCCTCGACCACTCGATCTGTCTCCCCGAGTCGCCCCTCCCATCAGCGATCCGCCTCCGGGTCTCACTTTCCCTCGAAGAAGAAGGTTCCGGCGCCTCTGTTGACTGGTTTCCAGCGCCAAACCTCGGAGGACCGCCAATCAACCTCCTCATCTACCAGTGGCTCCCCTCTTCCTAGCGCTCACCTCCGGAAACTTGGCTCTGGCGTGGGCGCGTCCGCATCCCCAGCCAAACAAATTGGTCCTAAGAAGTTACGCGATAAGAGTGGTCGCACTCCGCTGGCTCGGGCCTGTGCCGACCGGAAATACGACCAGGTGGTTCAGCGCCATGGCGAACGCCCCGAAGATTTGAACGTGCCCGACAATGCTGGCAACACGCCGTTGCAGATTGCAGCACTTAATGGAGAAGCCCCGATCGTCAAATTCTTGCTGGAGGCTGGATGTGAGATCAACACCAAAAACATCGACAAAGACACCCCTCTGATTGATGCCGTCGAAAATGGAAATGTCGACGTCGTTAAACTCCTGCTAGAAGCAGGTGCCAATCCTCGCACCGTCAATGCCTCTGGTGATGAACCATATGAGTTAGTGCCCTCTGACCTCAAGGACGATGAGTATGATGATATCCGAAAGGCGATCGCCGATGCCAAGGCCAACTCGCGACCCGGTCGACGATCCGAGGAGCAGGCTGGACCGGAAAACAGAACTCCCTTGTCACGACGAGCGTCAGTGGCAAGTCCTTCGCGCAGCCCTCCACCTATGGCGAGCACCACAGGGCGCCGCAAGACCGGTCGAAGCGAGGTCACACGGAACGATCTCTTGTGGACCCAACCAACATCGGAGAACCTCCGTGAGTTTGCCGCCAAGGGCGATGAACAAGGCGTGGTGAGCATTTTGAATATATTGCAAAAGGCCGACAATGCTTCCTTGATCGCCGCAGCGAAGGGCGGCCATTTCGACGTCCTCTCTCTCATGTACGCCATTGGCGACGCTGATGCGGACCCCAACCCATTAAGGGGATCTGGTCACAAGCCCGGCTACAATACTCCCATGCTCGCTGCCATCGGACGAGGTCGCATCGAAAATATTCAACTGATCCTGGGCCAACCAGGATTCAACCCTACCCGCCGCCTATTTGAAGACAAAACCTATTACGAAATTTCTCGTGCTCGGCAGGGTGAGAATTGGGAGGAAGAATATGATATCTTGAAGAAGGCCTACGAGAACTACTCTGGTTCAGGTAAAGCGCGCAAGGATCTGTCATCGCCTCGTCGGGCTCGTGGTAAAGACAAGGATGAGAAGCGAACCGCTCGTCGGGAATCATCGTCTCCCGTGGCTCGTCCCAAGAAGTTGCATGACACTAGCCCGAACGCCAATCGCCAACGTTTACCAAAAGACATTGAGCTCTCAAAGGAGAAGCGTCGCGAAAAAGAGAAGGAGCGTGAGAAAGAGAAAGAGAAGGAAAAATCTGGCACCACAAGTTCTCGTCCAAAACCATCTCGAGAGCCAAATGATTCCGCGCTTCCTAGTTCTGACCACGATTCTGGCCGTCTTGATGCCCGAAAACTTAAAGCTGTCCCTTCGGCTCGGAGAGGCAGTGAATCAAGCGGCGTGAATAGAATTGACGAGGTCCGAAAAAGGCGTCTTATCGCTGGTCGTCGCCCTCAAGAAGGTGATCGACGACCCAGTCTTCTTTCATCCGACTCTCACTCCGGCCGCGACGAAGCTCCCAAATCACGCGACAGCGCGCTTGATTCAATTTCATCCCTGAAACGCATCCGTACCGACACGTCACCCGAGCGATCCCGTTCACGCGGCGCGGATAGCGATCGATTATCACCTGAGTCCCGGAAGAAGAAGCGACGTGTTCTGACCGAGGAGAAGTCTTCCACAACACCAAACGGCAGTTCTCGGAAGACTGACGAACCTGATGGTGACAAACCTCACCCTCGCCGACCCCACGAGGAAAAGGACACTTCGAAAGGTCCCGACGTTGCCCCTCGGAAACCTGTCGAGCCATCCAAAAAGGCACACTCTTCCTCTCAGCATTCGACTAACAACGAATCTGTGAAGAGAAACGGAGACGTGAAAGCCGAGCCCCAAGAGCCCACCCCAAACTCTGTTCCGGAAGTGCCATCCGACGAGAAACGTGCCGAAATCGAGGCCGAAAAACGTCGACAAGCCGAGGCAAAGAAAGCCGAGGAAAAGAAGGCCGAAGAAGCTCGCGTCGCGGAAGAGAAACGGCGCGAGGCAGAAGCTGAACGCGATCGTCTTGCTAAAGAGGAGGAAGAGCGGGTTGCCCGTATTGCCCGTGAGAAGGCCGAGGAAGAGGAACGGAAGCTCGAAGAAGAGCGGAAACGTAAGGAAGCCGAGCAACGCCGTGCCAAACAAGCCGAGGAAGAACGCCAAAAGCGGATCGAGATGGAGCGAGCACGTGTTATGAAATTGCGTCGTGACCAGGAGGCACAAGAGCAGCGTCGCCGTGATGCTCTTCCTGGTCGGCTCCGCGCTTCGGCCAATTTCGTTGGTGCCCAGGACCCTCACGCGAAGAGTCATGCCTGGCTCAAAAACTTCATGCCTCTGGTTACTGCAGTCACTCGACAACTGGAGCCTAATTGCGCCGTTGATGCGGCGGACGAGAAATGGATCCCGAACTACTTGGTTGCGCCCTTGCTGGCTACCAACGACCTCACACTCTCTCAATGTATGATTCCTCTGATCCATGGCCCAACTTTTGACCTTTTTCTGACGTGCCTTTCTACAGATGCCAGCTGGGAGAAACGCAAGGCGACCGCGACTCAGCGTATGAATCTCTGGCGGTGCACGCGTCGCATGTTGGTTTACACTGATGACCCCAAGTGCCAAAATGCGTCCTTTGGAGATATCATGCAGCTGGATTGCGAGACACGCCCCAAGTATTTTGAGATGGAGCATGTGTTCTGGGTCAGAGTAAGTTCTATCGGATTTTTTTTTAGAGAACATCATCCATTCGGACCTGATTGCTAACTGATATTCCACAGCTTTCTGATTTCATGGATCTCGTCCCCCATATTTCGCATCTTAACGGCCTTGACCTTGAGTTTATGAGCATGCATATCGACCCAGAACCCTCTGCAGGGCCTGGGCCTGGCATGATGACGGGTGCCTTCCATCAGGTTAACGGACACGCCCCGGGATCCTTTGCTACGGAAACGAATGGCGCTGGGGTTCTTAACGGTCACGGCCATGGCTATCCTCGGCCCGGTACATACTTCTAGCCTACCTTTTGTCTTCTCTCTATGTCTTCCTTTCCAGTCTTTCGCTATTTAGGTCCCGGCGCAACTGGCAGACTTCCAGCGGGTGGTGTACAGGCGGACTCTGATTGTACGATTATGATACCTCTTGCGTTCGTGTAACGAATCTTATTCATTTATTATTCTGCCTTGTGCTTTTGTGACATCCAATATCTGACCGGCTCGGCATGCCCCGGTTTAATGGCATCCTGACCGCTAGTTGACATAGTCAAAAGTACCTCTTGATCAAGTAGAGTGATGAGCATTGCCTAATTCGGGAAGGCCAATGCTGGTGGCGGGACCAATCACGTGACGTGACATAAGCGTAGGGCACACACAGCCGAAAGTGGTCAAAATCTCCACCAAAAATTTCCCGGCTCCCACCCAATCTCTTATCACTCAAAACTTCACTCTTCGAGGAACATTCGACATTTAATTTCGAACATACCTAAACAACAAAATGGTACGTTTGGCACCCATCCTGCACTCTGTGGCTTCGACAATGGCACATGGCATGGCGCGGACGAGCCCAGGCAGTGGAATGAATACTCGCCGGCGACGGAATAATGGACAATGCCCTCGCAACCTCGCCGTCCTGCCAACCTGAGTCCTCCTCAGCTTGAATTGAGGATACTCACCCCCCGGAGGTCTTCATACACAGTCTTCTTGTCCCGCCTTTGCTACTGCCACTGTCATGATCGCCAGGGACTCGAAAGTACGCTCGGAATAGCACACAACCCCGCTAACATCCCACCTTTGATCTAGTCGGACGGAGAAGAGACCCAGTCCAACCCCCCCGTTGCCGCCGATGAGGTCGAGGTTTCCGCTGACGCTGGCTCCGGCCAGATGTCCGTCCTCGACGCTCTGAAGGGTGTTCTCCGCATCTCCCTGATCCACGACGGTCTTGCCCGTGGTCTGCGTGAGGCTGCCAAGGCCCTCGACCGCCGCGAGGCTCACATGTGTGTCCTCAACGAGGGCTGCGAGGAGGAGGCCTACAAGAAGCTCGTCGTCGCTCTGTGCTCCGAGCACAAGATCCCTCTCATCAAGGTCCCCGATGGCAAGATGCTCGGCGAGTGGGTCGGTCTCTGTAAGTTTGATTCTCTCTTTTTCCCCCTTGCGCTCTGGTGAATGCGTTTGCTAATGTGTCTTTCTTGTTATAGGCACTCTCGACCGTGAGGGCAACGCTCGCAAGGTCGTCAACTGCTCTTGCGTCGTTGTCAAGGATTGGGGTGAGGAGTCCCAGGAGCGCTCCGTCCTCCTCAACTACTTCCAGACCGAGCAGTAGATTAGCCTACCCAGCTGATCGTCTTGGCGGGTTCGGAGGGGTAGACGTCCTGAGAGTCGCTTGAGGGGTTCTGTTGTACCGGGCGACAAGGATAGGTTAGCATGGGATGTCGAATTGTATTCTGGGCCTGTCTTGGTCTAAGGTTGGGCTGGAGTGGACTTTGTATGTTCTGGCTGGATCTGGACGAGTGCTTGTGAGCAGGCTCTGCGCCTGACCCGTTTGCTCGGGTGTGGCGCTGCGGCATTGGGACGTCTATTTAACTGGACAAAAATACACACTATGAAGTGATGACATGTGCTGTTTCCGAGATCGTAGACTATCTCTGTAAGATCTAACCTAGGTTGGCTTGCGTAGTACCCATTGACGACTGCAACTTAGATCAAAGTGATGGGAGTGGCTACGAAGGCAGGACAGGTGGCGTGATCTGTGGAGGCAGGGCTTCTCGATGGGTATGTTGGTGTGACACAATCCATTTGATAATATTTTATGAGTTTATTTATTGTCTTCAAGATATCTTGGTGCTGAAAGGTCGTCGCAGGGAACAATAGTTGACTGGATTTGAGGAAGCCAAGGTCTGGTGAGGTTACAGCACATGGATGATCAAAGTCACCGACAGGCTGATGATACATACCTAAAATCGTAGAAACTATGTCCTGCAAATGATTTCAATACTCCTTCATTGACTACTATATTTCTCAAAGAGGAGCCCTGTCTTTGAAAATGCCCAACTTGTCCATTTACTCTGCTTGTCCGTGGTTCGAACAGGCTGGAAGCTACATTAGGTCTTCAGACATATGAATCGTAATGATTATTGAGAGGAGATTTCATTAATATTCTATGGGATATTCTGATATTGTTTATGGTTGTACGCCCCATTCTTCTAGATGCAATAAGCGCGGTGTTGCCATGAATCGAAAATTATGCCTGTTCTGGTGTCGGCTCTTTCTTCCGGATATCTTTCCAGCCCATACCAAAAGAAAATATCAGACAAAGGCATCCGAGAGCGGCACACATATAGAAGACGTGATCTATACTTTGTGCATAGGCCTTAAGCACCCCAGGCAAATCTTCACTTGATACGACATTGCGAATACCGGTAGCACCCGCAGAAATGACAGTTTGTGGATTGACATTAGGCGCTTCTTTTGGAATCAAGGATTCAAGGCCAGATGAAAAGATCAGATCAGCAGCGCAGAGAAAAATTGCACCAGAGAGCGTTTGGAAAAACATGAGAATAGACATTCCCACTGAGACCTGCGTAGTTGGCAATGAGTTCTGAATAGCGATGATGGGCTGAATTGGAAAAGAAAAGTAAAGTCAGCTATAGAGTAATATTGAATGTAGAAAATAAAAATAAGACACTTACTGTTTGAAAGCCTGCGCCTCGCCCAGCTCCTAAAAGTATTTGATACCCAACCCACTTGCCGGTGGATGTGCGTACTGTAAGTGTTGATAAGAGACCGCTGCCAATCGACGAAAGAATTCCACAAGCAATTGTCCATGGCATATAGTATCCCATCTTTCCAACTAATCGTTCCGTCAGTATATATGGAAACTTTGCTATGAGCCAAAATAACTTACTGAGAGCCCCCGAAGCTACTGCAAACGCCAATTGTGCCAAGATGCTGGGGAGTAAGTAAACACCGCTCATCATCGGTGATTCGTCTTTGATTGCCTGGAAGTAGACAGGGAGGTAATAGGCAGCGCTGAGGACCATGGCGAAGATACAGAACATCACAACACAGCTTGACCAGACAGTTCTCTTTGCAAGCATCGATAGAGGGATCATGGCTCGGTCTCCCATTCGGTATTCCCAAAGTAGAAAAACGATCAAGGTGGCACCTGAGCCGCAGAAAAGACCGATGACTGTTGCACTGTTCCAAGGAAACTCGTTTTGGCCATACTCTAGTGCAAGCAAGAGTTGGATTGCTGCAGGTGCAAAGAGCACAAAGCCGATGAGATCGAGGTTGTGAGTGATTGTATTGGCTGCTGATTTGATAGAAGGTTTGCTACCCTGATCGGGAATTTCAATGAATATCAAGAGGACTGCGACCAGTGCTCCGATGGGAAGATTGATATAAAAGCCTTCATGGTGATAATCGGTTAGAGAACCAGCCTCAAAAGATTCGATAATAGGGTACATACACCATCTCCAAGATGCGTATTCTGTGAAAGCACCCCCTAAAAGAGGACCCAAAACAATACCAAGTTGGCAAACTAATAAGATGCTTAGCAACACCACAGAGGATCAATAGGTAGCAGACTACTTACATCCCATCATCATCCCAATCAGGGCTAAAATACACTTGTTAGAAAAAATCTTCATTGGATGATTTTATTTTCTTACATGGAGACTTATGAAGGGGAACTGAGGATGCGATGATAGTTAGAGAACCATTCATCAATCCAGAGGAGCCTAGTCCAGCGATGGCACGAGCAATAATTAACATCTTGGAGGATGTTGCAATGCCGCAAAGGAGTGATCCTAATTCAAAAACAAAGAAGAAAACCAGGAAAGTCCACTGATTTGCTTAGAGATTTGACCCATTCAAGATTTTCTCAAAGAGTCATACCTTGGTGCGAAAATTTGTATAGACTCTACCTGTGAGGGGCTGTAAACATGCGCTAGATGATTTATTATTATCAAGCATATTGACTGGACACTCGAATGACCTACCTGGCAATTTGGTATGAGCTTCCATACCATCCCAGATCTTCAAGTGAGTGAAAGTGAGTGGTAATGACCGGAAGAGCCTACAAAGCATTAGCGTTGATTGTTATTAAGGACAAACCTGGAGTGGACTCACAGTAGCGATGATAGAGGTATCTAGTAACACCAAAAAACAAACCAAAGTGACTGCTACTACCACCATCACAAGCTTGAGTCCAGTCAAATATTTTCGCTCTTCGTCATTTGTGGCCTCTGTAACTTTTTCCATGCTCTCATTTTGCACATCTGTGGATGAGTTAGATACCGAGCGAAGCTCTTTAGCTACTTCTTGGCATTCTGATTCCTGACAAGCAGCTTCGGTCTCAAAAGGCTTGACTATATTGGGGCTGTTTTCACCCATTGCGCTTGAAAGTCGAGGGAAGATTATCGAATGGAAATGGAAAGGTGCCTATAATGGATATCTAATGAGAAATTTGCGCCCTAGCCCACATTTTAAGAGAGAATGACCCTGGTCTATAAAGGCAGAAAATTAAATCCGCAATAACTCCGCCCGATGAATACGAAAGCCTCAAAGGATTATACCTGCAGTTGCGTGGGTCAATGCTGCTATGGCTGATTTTTGATGGAGCGGTAACCGGAGACTCTGAATCCCGAAGTCCGATGCCAACAGATGATTATCACACTGTAATATCATTACTCTATGGTTGGTTCGGCACTTCGGAAAATGGAACTATTAAATCTTTCCTCCCCCCTTATTAAGGGGATTTTCTTGAGGTTGCCGCACATAAATCAATATTGAGGATATCTGTTTTGTCATCGAGAAGCCATGTAGAGCCCATAGCCCTGTAGTAACCGTTGGAATGTCCCATCATAAACTGTCTATTCTCCGAACTAATTTCCCAAGTGAGTTAGAGCCGCGACACTCGATTAGTCAGATCCTCTCTGTGGCTTGACCGGATTTCGCACTCCTAACCCCGATCAAATCCACCTTTCATGACTTTCACCCCCAGACACAAGGATTTTCTCAGATTATTTTCTCCTGTCGGCATTGGCCTTATCATCTAGCGAATCCCTAGTGGCGCCAAATCCTCTAGGGGTTTCCCTCATCAACTGGCCCCGTGTTGGATGTCGCCATACACTTCCCGCTAACGCCGATCGGATATCGGGATCATGGAAACCAGCCAAATCCATGGTGGAACTCCTGCACCATACGGCCGAGCATGCACCAACTGCTCTCGTGCTAAGAGTAAATGTATCTTGCTTGCATGCGGCAATAAATGCGAAAGGTGAGTTGCCCAGCGAAGGCTCCAAAATTTACTAGATTAACGATTTGTAGATGCCAGCGGCTGAAGAAGGAATGCCGACCGTCGCCAACAGTGCGAAAGCGAAATGCTCGTTCCACTGCTTCACGAACAGCTCAGCTTGAAGCAAAGCTTGATAGCCTTGTATCTCTCCTTCAGACCACTGGCAACCAATCCTCCCTTCCTGCTGATTGGGACTCTACATCCTCGGAGGCGAGGCAAGCCGCTCTCTCAAATCTAGCTGGGGCATCGACAACTAGCGGTACTTCGGCTGGCATACCGTCCCCCCCAACAACAGCACCTTCACCTAGGGTCCACTCAGTAGAAGAGCTCTGCTCTTCACTTCCTGTTACTGCGGATATAGCAGAAAAAACGACCAGCTTTTTCCGTAACGAAAACATGAAATACTTGCCATTTATTCATATACCCTTACACATGACTTCGCAGCAGCTACGCCAAGAAAAGCCTTTTTTTTGGTTGTGCATGATGACCGTGACGACTCCAGGTAATATTCTGAATGAATCACATTTTAGTAATATCACCGAGATTATCCAGCAAAAGTTGTTTATTGAAGTCGAGCCCAGCTTAGATCTCCTGCTTGGCCTAATGACCTTCATCTCATGGTAAGTTGACTAAATGGACCCTCCGGAGGGGCTATTAACTATAGAGAACTCACTCTCCCCTTCGTTACTATATATATAGGCTTACAGATAATACCAGGACCACCTACTCCCGAAAGCCGTTTCTTAATTTTTATGGCCATGTAGTGATGGGGCTTGTTTGCGAATTGGGGATTGATAAGGCACCACCCAAAGATCTTACAACTATGCAGGCTTACAAATGTGCCGTTGGATTGAGACCAAATATTTCGACAGCAAGGAGTATGGAAGAGCGGCGAGCTGCCCTTGGCTGCTTTGTGCTTACATCCAGGTAATGAAAAATTGGCCTCTAATACTTCAAATGAAGCCCAGCTAATCACTTTCTTAGTATTGCAATCAATATGTTCAAAATAGACGCCTTGAGATGGAATTCACACCTGGAAGAAAGCCTTGCTATTCTAATGGAGGCCAAAGAAAGCCCCGAAGATGAGCGATTGGTTGTCATCGTCAAGATTCATTTGGTCATAGACAAAATATACCACCTGCAACGTGACGCTGGCAATCATACGCCTCCATTGTTCTACACCAAGGCTTTTCAATCCCAGCTGGAATCTGTCAAGAATGATATTCCCGAGTACTTGAGACAAGACAGTAAGCATATGCCTTCCTGATGTTAGATCTGAACACGAACCTTGCTGATCATATAAAAATAGAATATATTAATTTCTATCTTTGCGATGCAGAGTCGATGATCCACGAACCAGCGCTTCGAGATAGTTCTTCCCCTAATTCACCTGAGCTGCATAGACTGGAAAGTCTTTATGCATCTCTCCACTCAGCAAAGTCATGGCTCGACCTTTGGCTTACGGTGCCGGTAGAAAGATATATGGCAATTCCCTTCCCTGCCTTCTTCCAGTTTTCTCGGGCCGTTGTGAACTTGTTCAGGCTTTCTATTTTAGATGATCCTGCCTGGGACAGAATTCTTGTCCGAAACACTGCGAACATTCTCGAATACCTTGACAGGATGGCGTTCCATATCAAAGGATGTCTCGAAATCCACACCCATTCTCCAAGGCCACAGTGGTCTATTTTTGAGAAGGGGGCGAAAATGGTTCAAACACTCAAACAGAACTGGGAACCGAAACTTATGGAAATATGGTACCCGAGCTTGCCAACAAATGAGATCGGCAGCGGCTATGATAATGCAAACCAAACAATTCCTGCAATTTTGCCGGTGAATACTTTTGATGATGCATGGATGATGGAGATATTTGGTACAACTTGAGCAAAGACGGGACCTGGAGGTGCTCTGGGCCGGGATAGGATTACGATAACCAGTCTCTAATGTAATATTAACTATTTTCCATGAAACTCCCATCATTACAGAAATCTCCATCTCTTGATAATTTGTAAAAATCATTGTTGCCTGCCGGTAATTCCAAAGTTCGACATCTAGTTGAAAATAAAAGCCTCCTTCAGCGAGATGTCGTCGATCCTCATACAAAGATGCCTGAAACACGTAGCAATCGAAATTTTAGAGTAGATTCTGGTCGAGAACACCCAGCGCACTTCAGGGGGTTGATGGGTTATCCAATGGCTCAGTGTGGGGTACCTGTACACGTAAATATCTTCCAACCGTATCTCCGCAAAGTGGTCCTTTAAACGCAATCGCCGATCACCTGTGAGATGCTTTTGTTGTAAAAGTAACTGCATTTTGTCCGTATAACTGGCTCTTTAGTTCATAATTGAGGGTGGCCTCGATATCAGCGGGAGGAGAGAGGATCCGGGGCCGCGTGTAGGAGCGACGATCAGCTTCAGGGCTCCGACGAAACGCCAGCCAACCGAACGAATGAATCAGCTTACGTACCGCGGTGGACGAATACATTGTGGATCCTCTGGGGCACAGAATGAGTATGTCAATGTCGAATTATCTGGATTCGTGGCCATGTGGAGTATCAGCCCGATTCTTGGCGACGATCGTTTAGTTCTAAATTAAGCTCTGGCAAGCAAAAGACTTCAAAAGGGTGAATGAGCTATGATGTAGTTCCCCAGATCACAGAGCCCCATAATTTCTCCATAGATCCGGGAGTGGCGTTGCTCTATGTAACTTCTGTGGATGCGCTGCACATTATGTTGGTGGAACGGGGAAGAACCTTCAGGTTCAACATGTTGTATTCACGGAATCAAAAATCTCTTATAAAGGGGAAAGACTAGCCTATGATGCACTGGTTGAGTTGCGATTGATTATTATGATAAAAAAAATATACTTCGTGATCACATTCTCCTTGATAATCAACTCACTGAATGAGACTGGCCTCTTGAGAAGCCTATATGAGTGGGCTAGAGAATGGCATCCACTGAAGAACAGAGAACATCTCCACATGAGACTTTCAATGGTACGTAGGAGAGCCCTGTACACGCGTAACATCATCATATCTGATTCCAGACCAAAGTTCATACAACGCGCGGCACGGAATAGCCATTCAGAAAGGGGCAATGATATACCCAAGCTCAAATTCCTTGAAGTAGATCTATAAGGGTGCCCGAAGATATGGCATAAAAGGGTGCATCATTCCACTCTATCCAGAAATCATCAATCACACATTCTCTTATATTTAACTATCTCATTCACCTACCAATTTTACACTTCGCTCTTTACCTCCATCATCCCCTTCAGCCGCTAAAATGAAGACCACTTTTATTGTTTCTGCCATGCTTGCTGGCCTTGCTATGGCTTCTCCCGCAAAACCCGCTCCTGGAGCCACCTGCAAGGTTGACACCGATTGCAAGCCCAACGAAAGCTGCAACAATGCCGGCAGCTGCATTGTCAACAAGATGACCCGTGAAGCTTCCCTGGCCCAGCTGGGCCAGGCCTGCCACGCCGATGGAGACTGCGTGAAGAATCTCCTCTGTGTGAAAGATGTCTGCTCTCCTTCCCAGAACAAGAGAGATATCCTTGCCCACCTGAACCAGGCTTGCAAGGCCACTGGTGACTGTGTGAAGGGTCTTGTTTGCGAACAAGAAATCTGCATTGCCCCCAAGAACAAGCGCAATGTAAGCTTCCTTGCCGGAGAATATGAATTTCAGTATCAGCTAGGCTAACTCTTTGCAATATAAAGACTCTTTCTGAGCTTGGTCAAATTTGCCAGATCACTGGTGACTGTGTAAAGGGCCTTGTCTGCGGCCAGGACAACAACTGCATTGCTCCTAAGAATAAGCGTGACGTAAGTTCATGGAAACCTGGTAAGACTAAATGAAACTAAGAGTTCATTCTTGTGTGAATAGGCTGGCAAATCCCAACTGGGCCAGCAATGCCAAGGCTCTAGTGATTGTGTCAAGGGACTCATGTGTGAGAAAGATGTTTGCCTTGCTCCCAAGAACAAGCGCGCCGTGAGTATCTTTCAATCTTGAACTGTGTGATGATTAAGTCTAAGACAAATATAGCAAAAGAGCTCTAGCCCTGACGCTTCACTTGGCCAGCAATGCCACACTACCGGTGACTGTGTGAAGGGACTGGTTTGTGAAAAGGACACCTGCATTGCTGCCAAGGATAAACGCGATGTGAGTGACTTTAAAGAATGAGGACTTTGGAAAAGCAACTAACCATTATCTTTATCTCCTCAAGAACACCAAGTCTCTGGTGAACCAGACTTGCCAGGTTACCGGTGACTGTGTTAAGGGTCTCGTTTGCAACCAGGACAACACCTGTGCTCTTCCCGACCAGAAGCGCTCTCTTGTAAGTCCAAAGCCAGTTTCTATCACATTAAGGAAATAAAGGGCTAAATATAAGCAGAACTACAACAAGTGCGAGACTGACGCTGACTGTGATGGCTCCGAGAACCTGACCTGCCAAGACATCAAGGGCGAGAAGGTCTGCGCTGTTACCCTCTCTTCCAACTAAACCCCTAGTATTGTGGGCAACTAGTATATTCTTGGTGGATCTCTGTTGTTATATACTTTGTCACTAGCACTTGAACATATCATAGACGGATATTGCAAGGCTGGTAGACCTTCCTTTTTCTCCACTCTGCTGAGTGTCCTCTTTTCTTCCTACCAATAATGGAATTACAAATATTGTTGCTGTCATGCACAGAGTACGCATTCAATTGTAGATTGATATATCCTCAAAAGCCCAACTTAATTTTGTCTTACCTGTATCAAAGAGCGACTGCTCTCACAATAAACTGAAAACGTATAAGAATGACAGAGTACTGCTTGCAGTGACTACCTCATCTGAGAAGGTTGTAATTATGTTTTGCAAAAAGCAAAAGCCGGTGTTCTATGTTGAAAATACTTAGTTTAGCTTACTTTTGTGGAGAAAAGATTTTCTCACATGACAATCTTTCGCTCATGAGTGAAGAGGACGCGTGTGCTTGGCTCTGGAAAATCATTGATCCATTTACAGCTGCCAAGGTAATGAACTAAGTGCTGGAAAGCCTTATTATGAGATATCACACATGACCGACATATGAGATGGGATCCATCTAGTCAGATTATCTTGTTCCTAATGATTGAATTCTCTCCAAGGCCTCCTTTTGGACATCTTGGACAATATCTCCTGCTCCTGATATATTGTGAATAAGACCGACAGAAGCACCTGCATATGTTGCAAGCCGACCGCTGGATCCCCAACCCAAGTCCCCCTTCTTGAGAGCTTCATCATGCAGTTTCTTCAGGTCTTCAAAGGGTTTTCCTGCTTGGTACTCTAAAAAAGACTTGTTAATGATCGTCCTGGGACTGTATTCGACAGGCCAGCCAAAAGTTCCTCGAAGATGGTTGTAAAGTAAGGTCCGTGTCGTATTGACTGCACCATTGGAGGCCCGTATTATCTCATTTTGGTATCCCTGGCTAATACGTGCCTCGTGGGCAGCTAGGAATCGAGTCCCCATCACCGCACCCGAAGCTCCCAGACATAGTACAGCAGCGACTCCCCGACCATCGGCAATTCCTCCAGCTGCTAGTAGAGGAATATGACTGCGTGCCATTTCGTCTGCCACTTCCGGAAACAATGACATGATGCCCATCCCGTCCTTGGCCCGACCGTGGCCACCAGATTCCGAGCCTTGGACAACAACCACATCCGGTTTCTCGGAATTCAACAGCAGTTGTTTTGCCTCTGCGATGGTACCAATCTGAATCCATATCTGAGTTTCGGGTGACACTTGTCGGATCCTGCTGGACCAGTCATCGAACTCTGTCGGGCTCTTTTTTGGTGCATATAACCAGGCAGCGCACGGTTTGAATTTCTGAATAGCGGCGACCGCTGTATTGATGTCATCGCTCCATAGCTGAAATCCGACGCCGACTGGAAGCAGCCAACTGGTGGATGGCACGCCTTTGAAGGGAACCGATGAAGCACTCGTTTTTTCCAGCAGCTCTGCTACTTGCTTGAGGTCAGTTTCTGTATCCTGAGTTTTGACATTGGGCCCGATGAATCCCAGTCCGCCAGCGTGGGAAATCGCTAGAGCTAATGACGGGCCGGACATAACGCGCATTGGGGCTCCCACAATAAATGGGCTGGATGCCCACGCATAGCGGGAAAGTAACTTGGCAGCCATGGTGTAACACTGGAGAATAGTCGGGTACTGAGAGTGGATAGTTGCAAGAAGCAGATTCGTTATTTGATTCAAATGCAGGCTAGCATATGAAGGGTATCTCAGAATGGAGGGCCGAGGTATGAGATGAAGCGCGAAGCATGAATGAAGTAAGCGGGCCCGCAATATCCGCTCGAATTGAACTCCACTTTTTGCCGCAACACCCGCTACTTCCATCTCCTAACTCCCTGGTTTGCCAGTTTTTCGAGAGCAACCGGCCCATTATGCAGGCCTTGAAACGGAAACGCTCTCGCTTAGCCTGCAAGCCCTGCCGGGAGCGTAAGCGTAAGTGTGACGGGGGTGATCCGTGCATTACGTGCACGGAATGGGGCTATGAGTGTTACTATGAGGCTCGCCACAGGAAGTCCCGGGCAACCACGAACACGACGCCCGACCATCAACCGACGTCGATACCCCCGCTACAACCTAGCACTGGACTGAATGCAACTGATTCAGATACAGGCAGATTGGTTCGGCGTCTAGAGGCTAATTCCGGAGCGGCCTTCGTCAGGAAGCTTGGCCTCAAGATTGATCCAGCCAAGGCGCCGAAGCTTAGCCTTTTTGGATGGAATATCGGCGCAAGACAGGGATCGCAATATCATTCAACGTCTTCACCACAAATCATTGAGATTACCTCATTCGAGCACATGAAATCTCTGGCTGAGACCTACTTTGATAAAGTGGACCCTTGCTATGGTTTCATCGATCGCCGTCTTTATTTTGAGCGACTGAACTTGCGTTGGCAATTATCGCTCGTACCCAAAATCTATGACAGCGTACTCGCTGGCGTCGCTGCTTTGGGATGCCTTTTCTCTCAGCGGAATGCCACAATCATAGAGCTACACCTTGTTCACCTGGCTCGTATCACTTTGGATATGTACCAACTGAATGGGTCCCCATCTATAGATCTGCTTACAGGATGGGCCCTGCGATCCATTTACCTTCGAATGACCGACTCGCCACATTCGACCTGGATAGCCAGTTCCACTTTGATGCATCTTGTGGAGGCATCCGGACTTCATCCCGAGTCGCTTTCGGTTCTCCCTCCTAGCGCACAATGTGAGCCAGAAATTCAACGGCGACTGGTTGGAGTTGCGCACCATTTGAACGTATGGACCTCATTTGATCTAGGGCTATCTCGAGTTTCATTTCAAAAGAATGACTTGCCATCCTTACCATCCCCCAAACCTGGCGATTATACCGCCGAAGTCCTGGGGCTTCTACCAGTATCGGTTAGTTTAGATCCGGGCATGGCAAAGGACGAAACGGATCTCACATCTACGCTGTCTGATCTGCTCGATGGAAGCCACACCCAGCCACCATCAGTCATGGCACAATGCAACCTCGTACTCTGCATACTCCGAAGAATCCATATCCAGAACCTCGATGTCACCTCGGATCTCGCAGAGAAAGCTTTACGACTGTTGAAGAAAAGTCTCGGCTGTGCTCGGAGTATGATTGAAGACTGCTCGCCCTGGCATCAGGTTGCTAATGTGCCATTCCACATTATATGTGTTCTTCTTGTGATGGACACGCGCTCTTCTCTTGCGATGCTTCCCGAGGCCATGCAGACTCTGAAATTGGTTGCTTCCACATACGATACCGAAACAATGAGAGAAGCTTGCAGCGCCGCATATCTGCTCGTTATGCTGCATCAACAACGTAGAAAAGAGGATATAGCAATATTTGGGGAAGCACTGAGTGTTAACGAACAGCCAATGCAAGATACTCCACCACAGTTAGACCCGAACTCTGAGGAATATTCTTGGCTTGGAGCGCTGGTCGCTGATCTACCGGGGCTACAAAGAATTGATCTGGATCAATTTCTAAATGTTGACGTGATTGATAGTTCCTTTTTGAGCAATCCTATATGATGGCGAAGAACGATGGCCCCATTTTGCTTTTGTTGCTCTATAAGTTTTTGTCTCATGATAAACGAAAATTAGCACAATTTTCGATATGAAAATGATTAGCGCTTTGATTCAATTAGTCCCTGAACTACTGTGATGGAATGGGACGCAAATTATGGACAGAGCAGCCGCGGCTAAAAAGCGGGAATGGTCCGCAAACTCCAGTCCGCCATTGCCGCAAAAGCCGTATACCCACCCGCATTTTTAAACCAACAGGTGTCGAAAGACATGCCTTCCTCTCGGTCCTGAGATTTCGCCTTCAATTTATGAGGGCTCGAAAATTAATTTAATTTCTATCTCTTTCGATGTTATCATGTGCAGAACCTGATTCGGCTTCACTTTAGACACCTTTTTTACCCCATCAAAGTTGTGCAAGCTCTATTATCTGGCACCTATCAGCCTGTAGAGTTTTCAGGCTTCAATACAGCTTCATATGAATGGAAAAATGACCTTGAATATGGGCAGGGGCAGGCCCATTCCGCAGCCACTACCTGATCCCAAGGATTATGTTGTTGAGTTTGACGGCCCTGAAGACCCAAACCACCCTTTCAACTGGGACTCTTTAATCAAGTACGATCGCAGCTTCTACATTATTCATGCTTCTTGATATGCTAACATTCTATCTCACCCAGACTTTTTACTTCCATTCTTGTTTGCAGCGGCACCTTCATCGTGTCCTTTACCAGCGCGGTCTTCGCCCCAGGCATCGAGAGTGCCAGCAAGGAATTTGGAGTTGGAGTAGAAGTCTTAACACTGGGAACTACACTATATGTTCTTGGGTTTGCATGCGGGCCGGTAATATGGGCTCCTGCATCCGAGCTCCGTGGACGAAAATGGCCTCTGACAATTGCTTTGTTGGGTGGAGGGATCTTCACCATTGCATCTGCGGTTGCAAAGGACATCCAGACACTGATCATATGCCGCTTCTTTGCCGGAACCTGCGGCGCAAGCCAGCTTACTGTTGTACCTGGTGTATTGTCGGATATTTTCAATAACAAATACCGCGGGATGGCCATATCACTGTACGCTTTGACTGTCTTCGTGGGACCATTCTGCGCTCCATTCACAGGTGGTTTTATTGCGTCTAGCTACCTAGGTTGGAGATGGACTCTGTATATCCCGGCAATTCTTAGTCTGGTCAACGGGGCTCTCTCGGTTTTTTTCTTACGAGAAACATATGTGCCTTGTCTTCTCGTAGAGAAGGCCGCCAAACTTCGCCGGGAGACTAACAATTGGGGCATTCATGCGAAACAAGAACGACTTGAGGTCGACCCAAAGGAGCTGATAGAAAAGTTCTTCATCCGCCCTTTGAGGATGTTGGTTACAGAGCCGATCATCCTCCTTGTGTCGATGTACATGTCTTTTATCTATGGCCTGGTCTATGCGCTTCTTGAAGCTTACCCCTACGTTTTCGAGAATATCTACGGTATGAGACCAGGAGTCAGCGGTCTTCCATTCATAGGTTTGATTGTCGGTCAGGTAATTGCCTGCAGCTTCATTTTATCTCAGCATGCAAGCTATACCAAGAAACTGGTGGAAAATAAGAATGTCCCGGTTCCTGAATGGCGTCTCCGCCCAGCGCTACTCGGGGCCCCGATATTTACAATCGGTATATTCTGGTGGGATAGACCATTCTAATCTGGCAGAGACTCCTGACTAATTACTTCTCTCTTGTAATAGGTTTGGATGGACAGGTTTTACGCCAGCAATCCACTGGGCTGCTCCAACCGTTGCCGGAGGTTTCATTGGGTTCGGGGTCCTGTGCGTCTTTTTGCCATGTTTCAACTACCTGGTCGATGCTTACTTGCCGCTGTAAGTCCCCCAGGAACATAATTTGAAACTAATATGGGTTGAAAACTGATTTGGTGAAACAGAGCGGCGTCCACAGTGGCTGCGAATATCATCCTTCGTTCGTCAGTTGCGGCGGGGTTCCCTCTTTTCTCAAAACAAATGTTCGCCAATATGGGAGTTCAATGGGCCTGCACTCTACTTGGGTCTTTAGCCGGTATCATGATACCAATACCGTTCGCTTTCAGAATTTATGGCCCTTGGCTGAGGGGAAAGAGCAAATTATTCAAGAAGGTGGATTGTAAAGGGAAGCAGTTTTTGTAATTACTTTAGAAATTCAGAAGGGGGATTATGCTTTAGAGGACGTTCGATTCAGATCTAGTTGGTGCACATGATCTCTTGTTCATAAGCTTCATTAAGAGAAGGTCGAAAGGGACCATCTTGATTGGCTGCAAATTAGCATCAGATATGGTATCCTGCCGCTACATGCAACTCCTTTTCAGGAGTAATCTTGGAAAGGTTGAGCCAATAATGCCCCGGATTTAGTGTTGCGCATGTGTAGCAGTCTAAATAGCTATTTTGATCCCATGTCGGCGCGCCACACTTTTGGCAACCTCCTCTCCACTCCAGTATGCACCTGTGACAGTTCCAAGTCCGCCTAGAGGTGACGTGTGCTCCCCGGCAAACCAGATGCCCCGATCTTTTCCCATGCCCTCTCGAAGCACCTGGAAATGCTGTGCACAATTTCCAGAGCCCACTGGTAGATTGGCAAATGATCCGTTACCTGCGTGATCGTCATTTTGCCAATCGGTCGACAAATATTCCAACGGCTTACAGTCAGCAGAGGCGGAGTTGTAATTGGGTAATCGAGAATAATAGGGCTGGAAGTGCTCGTCAAGGTGTTTGAAATATTCATCTGAATTCTGCTTCAGTTTGCGGACAAGTTTAGTGATGTGATTGGCCCACGCCCCATAAACGAAGAACATGATGATAGGCTGGGATAATCTTTCAGGTAGGCCTGAAAAAGATACGATTTCAGTTCGCCACTTTTTGGGATTTATCTTGGCGGCATAATGAGGACGGAGAAAAAGCGATTCAATTGGGAAGGATGGGCCTTCGGTCCGGCGGGATTCAACTCCGCGAAAAGCGTCTTGCCCGGATACCCGAGTCTCCCAAAATGCCCGAGGAAACCGGATGAAAACTTTTTCAAGATTTCCGTATCCGATGCTGGAGATCGCGGTCGATAGGGCTGGTGTCAGAGGTGGCGAGAACACTGTCTCGTTACGCTTCAGCCAGCCCAACGGCGCCGTCACGACGACATCATCGAAGACATATCGGAAGCCATCTCCAGCTTCGATGGAAACCCCATGCGGGCCATTTGCGATCCGAGTCACCTCGCACCCGAGTCGCACCGTCGCCTTGTTTGCGACCGGAAGGAATAGATTATGCAGTATCTCCTTGAAAGTCGAGGCCACGAATAAGTTATCTAGACCATTTGTTAATACCAGCGGCTCAAAAATGATGGCATAAACTATAGCAGCCCTACTTCCTTCTAAACCAGCATCCAACCACATATTTTTGAGGCTCTGGTTTTCGCATTCGTCGCCCATGAAAGCCCCCCACATCTCAACTATTTGCAACATCAATGCCTCATAGGTCACTGGATCCTCGGCCCTCGGGCTTCTGGTCCTGACTTCCTTACGGAAGAACCCCATCATACTAGATGAATCCGAAATTGAGGTGGAATTCTGCCTACTATGTGCCATGGCCATCTCTAGGATCTCCCATACTTCCTCGTAGTAGGCCGTTGCTGTGTTATGGCTGAGCCAGTCCCCATCCGCGCCACAGACCGAGGACACGGCAGCACAACTTACGGTCGTGGCCTCTGCCTCCTCGGCAAGAGCCACGAAGGGGTTATTCTGGGTCCCATGGATCCAACTGGCGCCAAGATCAATTGGCAGACCAAGTTGAGAACTCTGATGTACTCGACCTCCAATGCGGTCTCGAGCCTCGAGAACTGTCACACTCAATCCTGCGGCGGCAAGTAGCTCGGCCGCTCGAAGTCCGCTTACACCAGCTCCTACGACGCAGACCTCTCGGGCGCGGTCTCCCGACCGGACTGGGTTCGCGCTGCCTGGGAAAGTGAACATTATTGGCGATGGGTAAGGCAGCAATTGATCTGCCTTGTGAATTGCGGAGTCAGGCATTCGATAAATGTTCAGGCGCTAACCCGGTGGAAAAGTATTCCCTGTGCCTTAACCGTTTTCTTCCCCGACCCAATGAGAAAAGACCTCAGACGTAAGACGCTAATAATGAACAAAAGCAAATAACTGACTAGCGAAGCGGGGTTTTTTTGCCTTTTGTAAAGAGCCACGACCTTTCGGGATCCGCTGCCCTGGCCAATCATCCGGTGCTGAGCATTCCTCAAGGGGGTGGATGTATACGTAACCCTGCTAGGGCTACTCGCCCTCCTCGGGGCTGCTTCGGACAGCTTATCTTGTCTAGTAGATACTGTTGCCCACTTGTAGCCTCTTCGGCTTCACATGAAGGAAAGGGTAAGGTCTGGGGAACTCGAATGAATGTATTTCATTAGCGAGAGCTTTCCCACAAGACTAGCTCGAGTACCATACAATCTGGCCTCGGTTTTCATGGTTCAAGAGATGTGTCAATTAAACGTGCACCAATGAGAACTGCGGTCTTGGCGGGACCCAAGCAAAATTCAATGGGCACCACCCGCTGGCCAATCCGTTAAGCGATGTACCCCGACCGTACCTTGCACCGCTAGCTTGGGCCCATGGTTTGTTAAATCACCTCCCCACTCTCGGGGCACACAAAGTCATCTTGGCCATAACTGTCCTTATAGTCCAGTGGACAGATAACACGTTCAAATTTCGTACCTCAGCTTAATAAAGCTTTATTATGAGCAGTATCTAGGAATTGAAATATCTATCTCGGATCAACTCGGATTAAATTTTCATTGTACCTAGGACAATGGACACATCACAATGCGTCTAGACGGGGCAGCCTGTTTCAGAATCAAACGTACACATGTTTCAGGTGGAGTTCAGTTCCTGTTGATCCTCGAAAAACGTTTTTCGATCTAGAATTCTCGCCCAGTAGATGTCTAGTTGCACATTGTGGGCCCCGCCTTCTGTGACGTTCTGGCCAGGGCCAAGTCAATTCAGAGCCAATTCCAGGCCAATGATCGGTCTAGTGCTGCCAGTTCCCAAACCATTCTCTACGCCACAATCGGCTTCCAGAGTCAATATTCTTCCTTTTTCTTGTCCACGAATGACAATGGGACCTTCTGGGTCCTTTCCATGTGGTGCAGCCCCGTCGAACTGTCTAGATCTAGAACGGCTGGGCAGCCATTCGTCAATTTCGGTGTATTTAATTCCCTGGCCTTCTCCTCCATTTCTTTGGTCCTTTTTCCTTCTCAGTCCACAGCAAGACCTACGTTCCTTTCCCATTCCTTCACTTCTCTAGCTCCTGTGCAGTGCACGGTCTAGCTCATTCCTTTCAACCAAACTTTCATTCTTGCGAGAACAGGCTTTCTCTGTATTTCCAATTCACATTTTCACTTCTTTTCGGTTACATCGTCGTCATTCGATAACCTGCCAAAAAGTCGACAATGGTCTCGTTCACTCACGTCTTCACTACTGCCGTTCTGGCTGCCTCGGCCCTGGCCCTTCCTCACCAGCCGCACTCTAAGTTGCACCGGCGCTCGACTGCCAACAACACGAGCAAGCGTGGTGCTGCCTACAATGACAACACTCTTGTGAGCCCCCTTGCGAGCACCGGTACTATCTCCTGGGCCTATAACTGGGGATCATCTTCCGGAGATTCGCTTCCCTCCGGCGTCGAATACTTCCCCATGCTTTGGGGTACCAACTTCCTCAGCGACTGGACCTCGAATGTCAATTCTGCCCTTTCAGCCGGTAGCAGCTCTATCCTCGGCTTCAACGAGCCTGACAACACTGCCCAAGCCAACCTGGGTACTCTCGAGGCGGCTTTGCTCTACAAGCAGTACATCACCCCCTATGGAAGCCAGGCCACCCTGATCAGCCCTGCCGTCACCTCTTCCAACGATGATGGTGAAGGCCTGAGCTGGTTGAAGACCTTCCTGACTGAGTGCGTTGGCTGCAACATCACCGGCATGGCAGTCCACTGGTATGGCGATTCGGTCGACGATTTCAAGTCCTTCATCGAGGAGGCCGAATCCACCGCCAGCGAGTTCAACCTTTCCGAACTTTGGGTTACGGAGTTTGCTCTGAACGCTGATATCGGCGGTATCTCGGACTTTGCCACTACCTCTTCTTTCATCTCCGAGGTTACCAGCTGGATGGACTCGAACACCAATGTGACTCGCTACTCCTACTTCTATTGCGCTGACAACTACCTTCTTACCGATGGAGCATTGAACGAGGCTGGTCAAACTTACGCTTCGTAAGTGTCGAGCAAGCTGCAGCAAGTCGAATGGCAAGCCGGAGCATAGATTTGAACTTTCTTTCTTTTGACGCTTTAGGCAGATATAACCTGTCTGCCCTGTCCAATTTTTACGTGTTACATAGATTATGATTTTCCTTTTCATGTTTCGGATCACAGTTGGAGGTTTGTCAATGGTCAAAGAAATGAACACAAAATCAAAACAATATAAGTGTTGTATCTTTTCTTTATGGCATATTTTCTTAGTGGTTTGGCCCCATCCATAGCGGGGCCATCTAATTTAGGACTAATTTAGGACGTAGTTAGATCGTTGGGGCGGCGAAGTCGTGGATTTAGGAACATCCAAGATCTCGGCAGCTAGCAGGATTATATTTCAGCTGAGTAATATTTGATCACCGCCAAAGAGATATGCATATGGTCCTTATAATAAAGTAGTATTTCCGGCGTGGACTCGCATTGAAGGTGGACAGATAATGCCATTTCGGCGATCTCATTTGCCGATTGGACAACAGACGAAGCGTCCGCGTTGCTCGGGCCGACACGAATTCTAGGGCTGTTTAGCCCCATTGAATAGGGCCAATTTGGCTATATTTCTTCAAACGTCATCACAAATCTTGGCACTGCGTTAAAGCACTTCTCGATCCACTACGGCGCTTACCCGATGGCGATTACTCGACTCACATCCAGCTCGCGACCCATATGGCCGCGTATGTCCTTCATAATTCAGCACGGCCTTCTTTTCATTCAAATAATTGATCGTGGCATATGCTTTTTTGCCCCAACGTCCTATTCCGTCTTCTCATAACCTGTATCAAACTTTTTTGGTGGATCTGAGCCCCCTTGAGCTACGTTTCCCCTCGTCATCAGCCTGCGTGATTGGCATGAGGATCGACACATCTCCATCTCGGCATATCAATCTATCAGAATCGAACCACTTTAAGTCTATGATTGGAAAATAGCTCCACAAGCTAGCAAATTAGTTAGAGTTCGAAATGATATATAGGACTTGCGAGCGAACCCCGATGTCTCGAGGCTGCCAAAAGAAATCCAGTCCTCACCAAGACAACGTGTCAACCAAGAGCCCAATCGACCTCCACCATTCACCATGAAGCTCACCCTGTTCACCTCCACCCTTTTTTGGCAGTGACTGCGCTTGCCGCCAGCGAGAGTACCGACACCGACACCAAGACAGCCGAGGGTGCGTCCATCCCCACGGCCATTACCCAGAGCGAGGACTCCTGGGCGTCTGAATTGTCTGCGGAGATGGAATCCCACACATTGACTGGCTCCGCGGCTGCCGAGGCTTCTGCTATTCAGAGCCGTCTGGATCAGATGATGGGAAACTGGACTCAGACTCTGACGATCACTACCACCAACTCCAACGGTAAGACTGTCACTGAGACCTCAATTATCGGTGGTGGCTCCTCTACCTCCACCACCGCTACTGGCACCAACTCGGATACTACGGGCACCTCTACTTCCACTTCCACCTCAACTGCCTCTAGCACCAACGGCGCCCTTGCCCAATCCACTCCTGTTGGCGTTGCTGCTGCTGGCATGGTCGCTATGATCGCCGCTCTCGCTGCTCTTTAGAGGCACCTGTCTCCTGGATTACTCAAGGAATCAACTCAATTTCGAAGATACTACACCTTTAGCTAGAAAGAGGAAAGGATTGATCTTATAATACCCAGTGGCTCAGAGGGGGGTTTCTCCAATATTTCGCTGTCATGCAATACTCATGTAGGCTAATGCAAAACATATTTCCCGAGTAGAATATGAACTCTAATACACAACGTATCTGTCCACTAAGTTAATCACACTATCAATAAATCAACATCACGATTAAATATCAACTCCAGGTGTGCGCGCGGTTCCTTGTGGTCCCATTCGAAGATTTATGGAATAAGCTTTTTCGCAGGCTAACCGATTCACGAGTGCGCGCAAACTTAGGCACCGGAGGGCCGTTAGAAAACGCGTCATTTCTGAAATCCTCATCTGTAAGTCTCTACAGCGAAATTAGTATGTGAATTGAACCTCCAAGATGGGGCTTTTTCCCGGTCACTACGCACTGTGCCAGGAAGACGCCTGAACCTCCCATGCTCATCCATCATGTTCGGTCCTTCTTGGTAATCGTAAAATTGGCCGGCTCTATCAGTTGACCCTGGCGGGTAATATGCCACTCCGTCGAGGGGACGATGGCTGTCTAAGCAATCTCTGATCTTATCAGCAGGTGTAGCTCGCAGCGCCTCCGCATTGGAGCTTTTCACGGCGTCTAATGGGCTGTATTTGATGAACCGATTCCGTGCTCTCGTGGCAGCATCAAATGGACCCTCGTGGTGGAATGTGTAAGGCGATGTATGATCTAATCCATCAATGGTATCTGTCGGAACTAGTCGCGAAGGACGAGTGCCTTGGTGCGTTCGAGATCGCCGCCGGCGGGATTGAGGTTTACTCTTCATGGCCTTTTCCGCATCGGTTTTGGGAGTATATTCGGACGACGATATCAATGGTGTTGTACTGGTGTTGATGTTGGTGTTTGAGCTTCGGCAAACCATGCCCGAGGAATTATGGTTGGATTTGGGTTCAACTAGCGATTATTAGTCTTGATTCCTATTTAAAAAATCCGGATTCGAGTCAACATTGACTCCAAAATATACATACGAAAATGATCCATTATCGCGGAGGTAGCCGGGGTCGCAGGCTGCGGAGATTGATACATAGAAAATTAAACCAGCATTGGATTGGGTATGGAACTCTGTTATGTGCTCAGGGAATGCCGAAAGTGCTTCTATTCTTAGGAGGACGCGACGTAGTTGTGGGCAATACGGCCCGCTCTGCTTTAGGATTGACGGCAGATGTGGCTGGCCACGCGTCGCATATGACGACGCTATCCGAATACTGGCAAATAGAGTCAATATAATATTCAGCATAGCCAAACGCTAATTTGCCCATTCCTATGTAATTTTTCTTTCCCTGGCGATTGGCCTTCTTTTCAAGCTCGTTTACCACAACGGCTGTGTATCTCTTGGCGACTTTTGCCCCGTGTAGGCAACAGGAATATTCAACGCCACTGTGATCAGTCAGACTTGTCATGAATGTGCGAAGTTTATAACCAAAGTCACTTCCTATAATATTTGACGACTCTCCTGATCGTTGTATTTATTATCCCTTAGAAAAAGGAATTCTATATTTGATAAACATTGTCCACTAACTCGCTATCAATGCCGTCCGTGACATCATACTCGAAAGCTTGTTTTTGCCCGCGCTCTTAGCTTTTCACCATATACCCAAATCACCAAGGGAGCTGGTAACCCCACAAATAGACCAATGAACGCGATGGTACTATTTCCCCACCCGTAGCCTAGAACCCGGTACATGTGCGGTGCAAAAAGGGGGAACAAAAAAGCAGTCATGCTGCGCAAGAACTGCGAGGCAGCACCAGCACTTCCCGTATGCTCTGGAAATGCCTCCATCACGTACGCCTGAAGTGGCATGCCGGTGATCTGCATACCAAGCATGGTGATAAAAACTCCGATGTCTACAATGGCCCAGTGAAGCCGATACTGAGCGGCCCAACCATAAAGAAACAATCCGATAGGCCCTAGGAGAGCGCCTGGAAAGATGCAGGGCGTGCGCAGCTCGGGAGTGTGGTCCCCGTCCCTTCTCCTGGCTTTGAGTCGGTGATACAGGCAGTCCATGAGTTTGGCACAAATCTGGCTGCCCGCAATCTCCCCTAGTGCGACGGCAATATAGTGTAGACCGCTGATCTGAATAGACTGGTGGTACTGGGTAGTCCAAAGATCGGAAAATGTCGACAGTACAATATAAAGAATGCCATAGTAGAATGCGGAGATTATTGAAGCGATTTGCATAATGGGATTGAGGACAAGAAGGCATAAGGGCCGAATGAGAGCCTGTCCAAGCACTCTCGCTGGCGACTTGTTCGCTTGCAGACGCTCATTTAGTGTGTAATACCTTGAATCGCCGGTTTCCCGTCTGATCCTTTCAGCTCGGCGTTGAAGAATCAGGGGCGCGTAGGTTTCTTGGAAAACAGAGAATGCAACCAATATCATCGCGGCCTGGAAAATAGATGTCGCCCAGAACATCCACCGCCAAGTGGTGCGGTCAGCCATGAAGCCACCGATTATTGGCCCTATATGCCACGGTCAGTCCGATATGGTCGAAATGAGCAAGGTCACCCTTAGTTCTCACCAACTGCCGCACCGAGTAAAGGAATTAGCAGATATACACCAAGAGAGCGGCCTCGTTGTTCGGGTCGCCAGACATCACTCAAAACCCCATTAGCCAAGGCGTAGATAGCGCTTGCTCCGAAGCCCGCCAGAAAGCGCGACGCAATCAGCATCTCCTTGCTAGTGGCGAATCCACAAGCGATATTCCAGACCAGAAACCACACGTTCGACGCATGCAGAATCGGCTGGCGACCGTATACTTCAGATAGCGGACCAATCACCAAGGGGCCTAATGCCGTTGCTAGTAGATAGATGGAAAGGGCCATGGCCGACTCTGTCGAACTCATACCGAATTCCTTAGCGATTGTTGATAAGGCTGGCGCCATGATGGTCGACACCATGATGCGATTAAACCCCGTTGCAGAAAGCACATCTGTGATGGCCCATTTATGACCAGTACGCCAGTCTTTCGGGTTTTCTGCATCATACGGCTCTGCGAAAACAACAAGAAATGGATCATCTTGTTTACTGCCTCGGCTGGGGACAGGGACTAGCTCGACGTCATTTGGGACAACTAGCGCAATACCCTCAATATTTGCTTCGCGGTTCAAATTCGTCATTGTAATTTCGCTCACCAGCAAAATCTTTAAAGGGCGTGGCTACTGAACTGAAGGAAAATTCTGGGATCACTGAGGTATAAATGAAGAGGCGGATCAGATAAGACGAGGGATCCTCGGGGTCGGCTCCGACCGCTCGGACTTGGCACTCTCGGTCACCGAAGATCCGGGGTGCGTAGCCTCGTGGTATGATAAAGCTCTGTACTGGTTCTATGGGTTTGACTTCGGATCCGCAGATACAGCGATATTACATAGCTGAATTTTGCCTGGGTTACTGTGGTAAGCTTATCGTAGTCCTCATACATGATGTGTGATAGGATCATAACTCTTGATTCTTCTAAGATTAGACTATCCTGAATAACTAAAAGAGGGGGTTAATCACGTTGGTATCACGTGAGTCTCTCATACACATCAATACACGTCGGCTAGGCAGTCGTCATCGGCATGATAAACTTTCTCATGGAAACCCAAGATGGTAATGGTGCGAAGCTGGTAGGTGGTAAAGGTGATATCGCATTTCTCCAGAGGAGTTCATGACAACTAGGTTGAGGTAATGACATAAGCAGGCAACAATGGTAACATAAGATATCGCCTAGTCGATGGACAGCGAGGTCGTTCTTCTCCGACGTATAGACGAGGACCTAAGACAGGGGTTCTGTTACCACGTGACGATATCGTCACCCTTAGCTTATCACCATTCCATCATAGAGAATGAACTTCACCTTTACAACTCCCAATGACCCAGCTTCTTGTTACCAGGGTCGATATAACCAGTGAGACTATGTTACCCTCTAAGCCAGGTCACATGATTCCAGTGCACCTTCTTAGCTAGTTCAGAGATAACTAATAACATCACCTTTACATCTCCTGCCTCTTGTCACAGACTGGCTGCTTAATCTGGCCGTACCCATCTGTCCGACGTGACATGAGGTTGGTGCCTCGTTGGGAACTGCAAGGAGTCCTGGAGGGAGTTTGTGGAGCCTTGAGCACTGTCTTTACGGCAGTGGGGATTCTCAAATGTTCAAAGAGAGGTGCGAGGTGGTCCTGTATGAACTGCTTTGCCGCTGGGCGGAGGGTATTGACTTGAGCCGAGAGGCTGTCCTGAGCTTTGAGGCATGAGGTATAGTGGGTGTCGAGATTCGGATTTTAGGCACAGCTATCTTGAAAACGAGAAGGTTCTGAATGAGTGTAGGGTAATTTTCTGTATCTACTGCGTGAAGGATGGTGACCTGAACTTGGTGGACCTCCTCGAAGATATGGCGTAGATCAGGGCTAGCCGAACATGAGACAGACACGGAAAAGATCACCGGTCTTTATGTCGGTGCCCTTCTGCCAAAGTTAAGTTGGACAATATCCTTGTGACCGCGAAAAAAGGCGGCTAGAAATGCATCGCCATGCCGGCTACCTTGTGTTCACATAGTGTATTCACATAGGAGCCCAATGCTGTCATCTTTGGCCTCGTTTTCACAGGTCTACAAAATGGAGTTATAGATAATTTGAACGGCGAGCGATAGTCAGCTGAATGGATACTGACCTTACTTCTGATCTCAAACTGAAGTGGCGATGACCGGTAATATAGTTCACTCTAATCTGAACTGACATACAGTGATGAAGAGGGTTCTTTTTTATGAAGTCCCACACTGCTGAAGGACCAATTCTCATTCGTGCTTAATTCTTGGATTCTTTTATCTATATGATCCCCCCGCATATTGACCACTTCATCTAGTCTGTATTGCTATCGTAGAAACTATCCACTGTCCATCCCGTCACAGCACTGTAATCGGCCAGCGGCGTCGTGCCATGCAGCGTCTCCCAGTGTTTTCGGGGCCCGCATTCACGCAACTTCTCAGAATTGGCGTTGACGCAGCGGTGCTGCATAATAGCCGCGATGTTCTGACCCGCATCGCGGCCCTCGAACCAGGCGCCGTGCAGGAACCCGAAATACGTCGGACTAGTGGCTTCACCCGCGAACCATAGCCGCCCTGTATTGGCTCGCAGGTTCTCGTGCATTTCCAGCGTTGTGGATGGTGGCCAGTTTGAGTAGCTGCCGTAGGACCAGGGCTCAGTGCTCCAGCGTGGGTAGAGGAAGTCAGTTGGCTCGGGGATTTGCTTCCCCGGGAACATCTTACGGAGCACTGCCATAATATCTTGCTTGGTTTGTTCGTCAGACTGGCGTTCGGCACGCCAGGCGAGCTCGTTGGTCACGGTCACGAAGAGGATGTTGGAGTCCGGCAGGAACTCGGGCATTGAGAGTGATTGGAAGACCGGGTACCAGCCACGGAGGATGGGATCAGCGTAGAGGAAGTACTGCGTGTTGGTGGGCCAGAATGTTTCATTGAACTGCATGAAGATCTTGGTGTAGGTGCCCATGGTGAATTTCTGGATCGCCGTCTGCTTCCATTCCGGGAGGTCGGGCGTGAACTTCACGGCATCGTTCTGCAGCACACCCAAAGAAAAGGTGCAGATGGCATAGGCGGCACTGACACAGCTGCCGTCCTTGTTATGGATGGTCACACCATCATTGCTGTACTCAATCTCAGTGACCTCGGTGTTGAGATGGAGGCGCGGGTCGTTCTCCTTGAGGAATTCAGAGGCCATGCCCTTGATGATCGTATTGAAGCCACGCTGGTCAGTGACAAAGTTATCATGGTCGCTGAATCCATTCACAGTCAAATTATCACCAGCACAGCCATAGACAAGAGAGCTCTCCAGGGGAGTGAAGTTGTCTTCGAAGTCTATTTAACGGGGGTATCTAAGTTAATAAGGCTATTCTTCGCGTATGGGATAAAAATGCGTACCCCATTTCCACCAGTCCACCGCTTGTGCCAGCATATCATGTTTTTTCGGGTTCCAACCAGCCAAAGCGAGACCCGACTGGGCGGTTTGGTCCTGCAGGTTGTTGGTGAGAATCTCGCCAGCTTTGGCATTAGCAATATCGTAGGAATTGTCATATTCATCAAGTAGATGTCTATAATCATGGTATCCGTTCTCACTGTAAGTGGAGATATTGTCATAGTTGGAGTAGTGCGTTTTGAGGTGATATTTTTGGGCCTGCACGACATAATACATGAGAAGGGAGTTGATTTAAATCATGCAAACAGACATACCAGAGTCCAGATAGGATTCTGAGGACCACCTGGGTTGCCGAGGCCTTGCACCTATAAGATTATTCGAATGAGTCGCTATGCCTTGTATTTAGGAGAGCACATCATACCCAATTGGCACCCATCTCGATGGTATAAGGCTTTCCGGTCTTGGGGTTCCTACCAAAAGGCTTATGCCAAGCTCGACCGCCAATAGTGTCGCGGTATTCGAGGATTGCAAAATCATGAACAGAGGCATTGGTTAGGGCTTGCTGCAGGCTGTTAGATTTCCTTGCCCAGTCAGGATTGGAATGAGAGTCAACCAAGAAGAAGTTAAACTAACAGCTGCAGAGATACCAGCTATTCCACCTCCCCTGTTGTCATCGTAAGCTTGGTATCTACAGAAATATCAATGTTCCTCACACTCAATGGCTTCTTACAGAATCACAACCGTGGTCTTTTTACAAGTCCCCGCCTCCTGGGTCCTTGGCGAGTGTGGGACAGCTGCAGCAGGCTGAGCAACCCAGCTGGCAGCCGCAGCCAATAAGGAAAGATGTTGCAAATGCATCGCAGTGTGGAAGAAAGCTGTCAGAGCGATAGCGACCGAAGTTACGACGCGGGGACACGAGGCCCATAAATAAGCCATCGCGGAAGCTTCTCAAGGGCCGTGACGCAGCTGCTATCTCCCAATTCATGACATGAAGGGGAATATCCACAAATCGGTGATAAGGGAAGCATGATCGACAGGGCCCCATGTAACCTCTGCAGAGATCTGAAGAAGCGAGCGATGCGGGATCGGGCAGGTACACGCGCCGGACTATATTGCGGCACCGATGCATCGTGATGATCCACACTACTGCCCTCGCGTGGACAGGGTGGGACAAGACAGTCGGAGACTCCATAACTTGCGCGAATTCCTCCATTGTTGTCCCCCGCATCCCCGGATTTCAGGAAACAAAGTGGGCTTGGACTGGGGAATTGTGGTTCTCATTACGTGTGGTTTGGGATTGGGACTGTTCCGCCATCAGTATACGGAAGGGAGCAACAGCGAAACCGACAGTCCGAGTCTCGAGGCCCGATGAATTGCCGCGGGTAAGGTACTGTCGGGGGATGTACAATATTAGAAGGTTTGCCAAGCGACTAGAAGAAAAGTGACACTTTTTTTCGTGGAATATGGGAAGTAAATAAACCGAGGGGTCCCTAGAGAGACCTTGGGGCCCGAAATATACAGCGTTGAGAAGACTAAGTGACGATGTGAACTCCATCCAGCTATGCAAATGTGAGAAAAAGAAACATATATAAACTGACGACCAAGGAAAGTCATATGAAGTGGTATCCCGAAATTCCCAGAACGCCGAAAAGGAGGCGTAGGCTCCGCAGTCAAGCCTCGTTCCAAGAACTTACAACGCATCCAAAACAGACTGATTCCAAAGAGAGAAGGCAGAAACGAGTATCCAAACGGAGGAAAGATATCCAAATACTGTTGCCCCGCCTATCGGAACGTATACGATGGGCGGATCATTTTCGCCATCTCCGGTTGCAGGGAAAGCTGCTGGTAAGGCGAGCTTCCCGGGTCGTAATATAGGCCATCAATGTGGCCATCGTCACGACGAAGTGAAATATAGTAGAATCCAGAAATTGTAAGACCCTGCCGGGAGTCGGTTGGAGTGATGAAACACCGTTCTAAAATAAAAGTCAGGAACGACAATGACAAGTGTGATCTGAAGACGAAGCTCTAGAGAAATCTCAATTGAAAGGAAGTGGCGCCATGGAACCGACTCACCCTTCCAGCGCATCAAAATCCACCGCTTAGCAAGTTCCTCGGTAACCCACTTTCGACTCACAAGTTTCCTGGCGATCTCGGAGTCGGGAAGATCCTTGAATGGCTGCAACTCCCGCCAGTAGGTGCTGTCGATATCCGCATCCGCCTTGAAATTTTTGGTTTCGAGCGTGTGTTTGTTAAAGTCAATAATTTCACCTTCCAGGAATGTTACAATATGCGCATCGTGGGTAGGCGACGTCTTATCCGGGATATTGTAAGCTTCCATTGTCCCAGACAGGGTCATGTCGCTATAGTTGATATTATGAATCGTAACTTTGACAGGCCAATTCTCGTCTCGGGCATTGGCAAGATACTGCCGTCCATTGGTCGTGATCACATTAATGCGAGTGCTGTCACTGCCGTTGACAATCACAGGGTCGCTCGGTGCATGTGGGCTGGGCACGCGCCGGGATAGGACCGTCGAGCCTGTATTCGCAGCTCGTTGACAGCCCGAGAAAACGACCCCGGGGCGCAGCCAAGAACACGGCGCTGGCGGTGTGATGGTGTTGGTGTCCAAGATGAAATCACTGTCCTTCCATGAGAAGCCTTCTAAGGAGATGACCCCAGTGGCAGCGGCAGAGTTAATGCTCTCCTCAAGGGAGCCAGAGTAGCGGAGACGGTCGAGATAGCCGATCGTGTCTTTCAAAAGGGAGTCGCCCGGGGTGGCCGAGTGCAACTGTCGATGGGTAGCCGCCCGGGCTCGCAATTCGCTATGGGTGAGGTGTCGATGAGAATCCCCGCGAGTCGGTCGAAATCGGAGTCCGCGCGATGAGAAGCCTCGAGTGCGGTCTGCCTCATCGGATTCATCATTGGAACGATTTGAATGCCGGTCCAACAGATAGTTCTCCAGCGTCCGAGTCCGGGCAAGCCTCGGATTTCGCCGAGCCGACTGTAGCAGCGATTCCATCGCGGGAAGTGACACATTATCTACTATTCGAGATCGCGTTGTACTTCGAGATTCATCATCTGACGGAGTCCCTACCCACCGATTGGGCGGTTCGAGCGGGCCGTAATCTTCTGACTGATTTCGTCCATAGAAGTCGCGGGGCAAGGATGGAGTATGGGGTTCTGTAGTCCGTGGGGCTGGAGGAGGGAGCATGCGGCGCGGTCGATTTGACGAGGCACTGCGATATGGGGCGGCGTGGAGGAATGGCTGGACCTGGTCATCATCGGAGTCGTCGCCCCGGCGGTCCTCGTCTTCGTTGTCTGACCCCGGAGCCCATCCATATGATGAGCGAGAGGTCGAGCGGCGGCCATCGTAGTTGGGCATGTCGCCGGGATCGTCGCGATGGCGACGGATGATGGGGATGCGACGGTTGAGTTCGACGGACAGGCGGAGATCATTGGGGTCGTCCAGCTCCATCCGATCCTCGTCTTCCATCGGGAACGGATGCGAAGTTTGATATCGGCGACGGCGGTGCCGACTCAGCGAGGGGAGTAGCGGATTATATAGAAGAGCACGCGATCGCAGGAAGTTCACATTCTCGTCATGGGCGTTCTCACTCTCCGCCAAGATCGGGGAGTTGGGGATCGACGATCTTCTCGACAACGGCTCGGGCGCAGGTGTTGTGGGGGATAAGGTAGGGGTTCCGTGCTAGACAGAGGATTAGTCGGTCAAGGGCCGCTTCATGGAATGGGGACGGAGGGAGAGGAGTCCAAGAGGGGGGTGGGTTCATCGAAGGGCGCAAACGTACAGATGCCGAGTTGGGAGGCGGCATCTCCTCGTGGGGCTGGGTCGTAATCCGCCGCAAGGCTTGACAGCAGGATCGACCGAAGTGGCAGTTGAATACGGAGCACAGGAGTCCAGCAGGCCTCTGTCTGAGACTCGGGGGGTTGGAAGATGCTGGGAATCTCGGGAAACGGGAGTTGGGGACTCCAGAATGTGGAGAAGCGCACAACATGACGTTCCGAACATCCTTTCCGCCGGGTCTAATGCGACAGCATCCTTTTCACTCCGGAGCAGACAACTATATACTTCTATACTCTGGATGTGGACTAGGGACTATGAATGCATCATCATGTTCCTATTGAGCCCCGAGCATTCGAAAAATGGAAACTGGAGCCTCGGAGCTAAGACTCAACGCGGGAAACTCCAGCCCGAGTGAAACATGTCCCAAACAAATTCACACATTCATATTCCCAGGATCGAGTCCGGGGCAGGCAGACACGAAGCTGAGATATAGTCTATAGCTATAGACAATGTGCATTATGCATTGTGCACGGATACCTATACACCCCTCGCCCTTTGTGAGCCCGGATCGTCTGGGTCGAATACCGGGGTCCGACTCTCGGGGCCCCGGAGTCCTCGAGACCCTCGGAGCCAGTTTCGGTCTCGGCGGGACCCATGTTTCTTCGGCAATCCGGTTGTCCATCACCAATTTCCGACGGAGCAACTCCGACATTTGCTCGGCTCGCATGTCCCTCGTCTTGGCTCGGAGATGGGGTGTCCCCCTTCTAATTACCCCCAAGGTGGCCGAACGCTCTTTGAAAAAAAAAAACCCAAGATACTGTGGCAGATATAGTTCACAATGGTCAACATCAAGAGTATTGAATACTTCCGGGTCTTACCCCGATGGCTGTTCGTCAAGGTTACCGACGAGGAGGGACAGTATGGCTGGGGTGAAAGTACCCTGGAAGGCCACACCGAAGCCGTGGAGGGAACTCTGAATGCCTTGTGCGAGCGCTTCCGGGGCTACGAGGCCGAGTAAGTCACCAACCAGCATCAAGCCCACTTTCACTGTTACTGGTTGAGCGAGAGCTGATTTGTCTCTATAGCAACATTGAGCACATCTGGCAGACAGCCTGGCGTCTGGGTTTCTACCGAGGCGGTCCGGTTTTCATGTCCGCCATCTCTGGGATCGACATTGCGCTCTGGGATCTCAAGGGTCGCCGCCTGGGTGTCCCCGTGCATCAACTGCTGGGTGGCAAAGTGCGCAATAAGCTGTCAGTTTACGCATGGATTGGCGGCGATCGCCCGAGTGATGTGTCTGCGGCTGCCAAAGCCCGGCTGGAGCAGGGGTTCAAGGCCATCAAGATGAATGCCACCGAGGACGTCAACTGGCTAGATTCCCCCAGCGTCCTGGAATCAAGTGTGGAACGTCTCAAGGCTGTCAAGGCCCTGGGCTTGGATGCTGCTCTCGACTTCCACGGTCGTCTCCACAAGCCGATGGCAAAGCAACTGGCCAAGGCTCTGGAGCCGCATAAGCCCCTTTTCCTCGAGGAACCCCTCCTGTCCGAGCACCCCGAAGGTATCAAGCAGCTCTCTGATCAAGTCTCATGTCCGATTGCCTTGGGAGAACGTCTCTTCAGCCGGTGGGATGTGAAGCGCTTTTTGGAGGACGCCAGCGTCGACGTCCTGCAGCCCGATATCAGCCACTGCGGTGGTATTTCCGAGCTTCGTCGTATTGCCTCAATGGCTGAGACCTATGATGTTGCTATTGCCCCTCATTGCCCTTTGGGACCTATCGCTTTGGCAGCCTGTATGCAGGTGGATCTTGCGACTCCGAACTTCGCTATTCAGGAAATGAGCATTGGCATTCATTACAACACCGAGGCCGGTGAGTATGATATCACCAGCTACGTCAAGGATCCGAAGGTGTTTGATGTCAAGGATGGCTTTGTCGATGCTTTGAACGCCCCTGGCCTCGGGATTGAGATTGATGAAGAGGTTGTGCGCCGAGTATCCAAGGATACTAAGCCCTGGTTACCCAAAGAATTCTTTGGGCCGGATGGCTCTATCCGCGAATGGTAGAACTTTTATACTCTCTCCAACCTCCAACAAAAAAAAGAATGAAAGAAATCATTGAGACAACCGGAAGTACCACCGGTTCTATACTGTTTAACAGGTAACTGTGTTATATAGAATTCGATGTACAAGAAAACAACTAATAAAGGTGGCTCCTCCGAGAGCGATGCATTTACTTGTATCATCTATAGTATTTCTAGAAAGAAATCTTTTCAAAAAGTTCTGTTGAATATTTCCAATCTATCTATGCGTACCAATCTAGTGAAAATCAAAGGTCTAGAGCTGGAAATCTATGTCCTTGGATCCGTGCATCGCGCACGAGCTTCATTGCAGTCGTCAGCCAACTGCACACATTGGAGAATCATAGTCCAAAACGCTTCAAGGTCGACACCGCGGGGAACAGCCACGCCAGGTCCATCAATAGGTGCCGCAAGAGACCTTCCCAGTTGGCCAGTAGTAGACACATCTTCACCATGACGGCCATCTGTCACGATGCTGAGGGCAAATCGCTCTCCTCCCTTATCATTGAATCTAAGAGCTTGGTCTGGGTGTGCTGCAGCAAATGCAGGGTTCAAGGTCGAAAGGATCACAGCCACTGCAAGTGGGTCATGAAGTGGAGGGCCAGTGGCCAGACCAAATACCTTCTCGTAGGTCGTAGCAAAGAATGTCAGTAACGCATGCAGAATCTGTCGAAGCACTGTTGGTGGCTTCGATGCGTCACTGTTTCCATGCAAAATCCGCGTCTGCACGGCTTGGGATGCGAGCACCTGGTGTGTGAGATCTAGACTAATTATAGTAGTCTTCGGCGCAAGTATCGGGTTGCTGAAAATGGCCTCTGACGCTTCAGGGTCACACTATTATATACGTCAGTCACTCTAACCCCACTGGTAAAATTGAAGGTCACAAAAGACGTTCGTGGATCTGGCGCTCACATAAAGATTGAATTCGGCCCAAGGTGTAACATTTCCAATACGAGATTTTTCACCAGGCAGTCTGCTCATCGGCGCATCCGTAAACCCCCGCCAATCGCACCACCCATGATGCTCAACCCCTGGATGTGCTCCGCAACCTCGGGAAATGTCGCAAATAGTAGAGCAACATTTGTCAAAGTTCCAGTTGCAACTACCCATGGGGTGCCTCTAGGCTGAGCTAGCAAAGCATCTCGCATGGCCAGAATAGGGTTCTTATCGGTTATCGGGGGCTGGGAAGGCATGGGCAGGAGATCAGTTCCATCAAGACCGGATTCACCTGTCAATATATATCAATGAGAATTTTATTTTGAGAAGAGTATATTTGTAAGCACTTCGAGAGGATAGATTTACCATGAATGTCAGGTGCATGGAGAGCAGGACGAGAGAACGGTTTTCGGCTTCCTGGATAGACCGGAATCTCCGGCTTGCCGATGGCCTCTAAAATACTGCCCGCGTTCGCGGTTGTATTCTCCAGGGAAGCATTGCCATGAATGGTTGTAATCCCAAGAAGTTTTAGGGATGGATGATGAGCAGCTATCAGGATTGCAAAAGCATCCTGAACGGAAGAGTCAATATCCTCCAACTATCAGTCGTGATTAAGGGCGACGTACATCATGCCCTGCGAAGCAGAATTAGTATTGATTATTCAACCATAGACGGGTGATTTTACCAACCAGGGTCACAGTCTAGCCACAGTGGAATGGGCTCCACATAATCAACATTTGCTAACATATTCAACTGCTCTAGGGGATTGTTGATGGGGAGAACAGAACAATGGAACCACGTCTCCCCATCTCCCCGCATCCCGATAACGTCCTTATCGGAGCCCTAAGCCCTACTTTCCTGATCTGGAAGCTTCAAATCATCAACTTCGCGGTGACTGCGACAGCTGCGATCTGCCTGAATTCTCAAGGGGTTAGTCTCTTAATTACTCTATAATCCGCCAGAGACGTCTCAGAGAGGTTCTAGGATCTTGCGATGCTATGACTGATCCTATCCGCCCCGGCCTACAGCCGGTCTCCCATCTCAAAGCCGGGCCGACTACCTCGAGCTCCAGGTCTACGGCGCAACCATCCTCGTCCCAGCCACCTCTTTCACGACCTTCCTCGCGATTACGAGCGCAAAAGACCTCAAGTAGGGATGAGCCAATTGATGGGACCAGCGACAAGGCCACTCTCGCCTTGATCAGACGCGTACTCTGCGCGCAAGCGAATAGCCATGGGTCCTCTCCACAGCCTCCGGAAGCGCTGTTGCCTCCTCTTACGAGCTCGAATGACGTTGATCGTCAGCTTTATGCCATTATCGCTATCATAATCAAAGAATTTGTTTTCTCGTGGTACTCGAAGATTACGCCTGATCAGGCCCTCATCAATGAAGTCCTCCAAGTCGTTGCACATTGCACCCGCGCTTTGGAACAGCGAATGCGCCAGATTGATGTCGCACAGCTAGTTTTGGATGAAATCCCAGCGCTGGTGGAGGCACATATACTCTGTAAGACCCGACTTGGCTTGAACATCGTTCATTTGCAACTGCATTGTCAGGGGTGATATCAGATTCGAGAGAAGAAACAAATGCTGACTATTCTGTTACCCAATATATAGCGTACAGACTGGCCAAGCAACAGTCACATCTATCAGGTCTTCCAACGTCGCATCGTGCACTGTACCATGAGTTAAACCCTCATCCTGGTTTATCGCCAGTACCGGATCGTGCCGACCCTGATACAATCAGTGCGCAGACCGATAATGAGGCGGTCTATCGACAACTACTGGCCGGTAGCACTCTCGCCGTTCTTTTGCCTACGGAGGATTTGGAGAATAGCAGCCTGCGTATCCTTGTTCGAGACGTTTTGTCGGACTTGATTCTGGGCAGAGAAGTGGCTGGGAGAATTTGCGAGGGTTGGTTTCTCTGGGAGTCCATCACGAAGGCTACGACAGCGGCATTGCGCCATAAAACTTCAGAAGACTCAAATTCCGCCAGTGATACCTCTGTCAACCGTTTAGAGCGGTTTGGCCTACTTTCCGAAAAAGATGACTCGGCCTCCTCGCCCAAACGTGCCCAATCGCGCACTACGGCCTGGATATGGAATGTTCTTCAGGGGATATATCTTGGTTACGTTGCCTTGCGTTTCATCGCGACGGGACTTTTCCGGGTCGCATCGAACCCTGGCCCAGGGCCAGGATACTCGCACGGGGCCGGTGTTTCATTTCCCGCTGCAACACCGGGACCCCTCTCGAAGGGGGGAACGAGTCACCATCATCTTCCGATGGTGCTCCAGGTAAGCGCCCGATCCTCGACTATCGGGCGTCGTCGATGGTCTCGCAGTTACTGGGCATCTCGCACCGGATGCCATGGTTGTCCGGGCTGCTCGCCCTTGTTCAGCATCAAGTTCTGGCCGGACCAGGCCGGTTGGGTGACACAGGCGGAGTTCTTGACAGGTGAGCTTATTTCTGATATCTTTTGTTTGTCTCATGTTAGCCGGAGTATTTTCTCCCATCCCCTTGCCCCCCTCCTTGTTCAGTACGCCTCCCAGGGCTCGGGCCCTCTTTGACCGCATGAACTCACGACGGTGGAGCAACGGTACGATCTCCGAACTGCGATCTACGAGGTCAAGTGTCACTTGAGCCGGTGGTGGTGGGACGACGAAGCGTCTTGCTCGCATGCCGTCTCGATCACTTGACTCGGGGCGTCTTACCGGTGAAAGATACGGTTATGGTACGGCGTTCGCTGACTGACGGTACGGTCATGACGGGCGGCCGATACGGGCCCCTCGATATCGCGATGCTGGGGCCAGATTGGCTGCCCCGACATGGCCCGAGCGAGGCAGGGGCGTGCAGCAGCAGGGATCATGGGCTGCCCTCTTACCTCTTACCCTCTTCCCCTCTTGACGGGGATACCCACCGTCTCATTTTTCTGGTTACGATAGCGCCGGGGCCCGGCCCTTTCCGTGCCGCTTTCCCTTTTCTTTGTGCGGATCTCAGGGATGAACGGCTGTCGCTACCACTTTGGATGGGACCGTTGACAGTCATGTCAATAAATCTCGAAGAGGAGAGCAACCAAAAAAAAGGGCAAGAGGACCCCCGAAAATAAAGAAAAAAAAGGCTGAGTTTCCGGGGAGCCGAACCAGATGTAAACTCTCCCAGGTGCCTCCAAACCCAACAAACTCTACTTCCACCAAAGAGGGGGCTTCATCGCGCACCACCATCGCGCGCCGATCCCTTCATCACGGCCATCTCGGTGGGCAGATGATGAAGGATGACTTTACTGCTTTGGGGACATGCAGGATGAAGACCGGGGCTTCCGCCGAGGCTAGTGATATTCTCGCAGGGGATCCAATCAACGAAATTCCTAGTGGCGAGAGTTCGAATTTGCATTCTGGCCGAGGTTGGCGCATGAAGCCCGCTTCTTCTCCTGGGGATTTTGTACTTCGTCCGCCAGGTACGGGTGATGCATGATGCTGGGTGACTGGGATTCGACTGGGATGTTCTCCGTACATGGTTACTCGGTACCCGCCAGACTGCAGGATCCCAAAAATCCTACGAGGAGAGGGGGGGGTAACAGGGCAACAGGGCAGCAGAGGCCCCACTACATCGACGATGGTTTCCCTGCTTGGGCAAGCCCGCTAGCCTCTCTCTGTTTTCTCTGGAGGAGCAGCATCCTTGCTGCACACCAATTGCCTGGCCCAAGCTCCTCCTCATGTCGAAGCCGATCGTGCTCCGCCTTGTCGTCCCCCCCCCCCCCCCACTTCGTCCAATGGCCCGTGGACCTGAGAGCTCTCTCGTTCTCTCTTGCGCTCGCAGTGGGCCCTGGCGCGAAATGACCAAGACTCAGCACCGAAGGATTAACGTCGCCGGAAAGCCCCATCTATCCGAGAGAGAGATTGCTCGCTTCTTCTGATTTGCATTTGGTTTTTGGAATTGTCCAAAGTCTTTTTTTTGTCTTTTTTTTCAATTTTCTTTTTGTCATCTGTGGCTCCATTCGAATTCGGCTCCTGAGATGTCATCATAGCTGATCTAGTTGCTGACTCGAAGCAGATTTCTCCGGGAAACCATTGAGGAATATGTCTTGACCCCCACTTTGTTGCCCAACTTACTACTCGTGACAAGGGCTGCGATATTCCCGGCCAACGCCCGCTCGTCGCCCGCGATTACTGAAATCACGGCCCCGACCCTGGTGCCGCAGGTGTCCGTGCTTCCTCCGACCCCCAGGGGAAAACCCACCCTCGTTACGGACCCCGTTGCGCACAGCGCGGAACGAACCAATACCCCTGTTCTTAATAGCAACGCGGTTGGTAAGAGTAGTAGGGCCGGCGGTTGCAGCATTGATCTGACTGGCGGTGATCCCCCACCCACCACATTATCGCCAGAGTCAACATCGTTAACCCCTCCATCTCCGGCAATCGATTCGATCTCAGCGTCAAACAATGCCCCAAACCCCGACTTGGACGGAAGACCTGGCCCCTCTAAGTCGGAGATCGCCGCTATTAAGCGGCGATGTGCAGTCAGCCTTCTCACTGTGGTCCCGCGCAATGTCACACGAACCTTCCTGGGTGTTCCGGCTCCCACCATGAATGATCGTACCTGCAGCGCCACCACTGCGAGTGCCCTCTCCCACACCAACACTTCGCATACCCCACCCTCATCGAGTGAAGAAGGGGGTGGGGGTGTTCTGCGGTCGCCCATACAGGACGCAACGAAATCCTCATCTCAGACGTCATTGCCGACATCGTCCGCCTCAGCCTCGCCTGGGGTCTCAAGTGGCGATACATCCGCCGCGACGCCAGGCTACCCAGACAGATTGCCAAGCAACGAGGCCCCTGTCGGCCCCGACGACCTCGCGCTCCTGGGGGCTATCGAGACCGAGCTGCTCGACCTGTTTGCGGATGAATACTGTAACAAGCACCTCGTCTACGCAATCATCGAGACGGTCTTAGCCAAAATTCTTCCTGAAATAAGAGACCGCAGCCCCCACGAGCTGATGGAGGACCGGGGGCCACGGCCCCCATGTCTGGCTTTTGCGTACAGTAGCGTGGCTGTTCCTGCATTGCCCTTCTGTAACTTTACTTTCTTGCGTACCTCGTGAGTATAGTTTAATGACAGCCGGTTCAAACCTTCGATGATAACGGGACTAGTGTGATTTATTTCCCGGTGATGTGCACGTGGGATTTGTGTAGATTCAGGACGTGTGGATTCGGGATTCAGGGGGGCTGTGAGGAAGTGGGGGGTTAGGCGGAGTCTATAATGGAGTATTGTCTCTACATTTGTTGCTCTGATACGTAGGAGTATGCTGTAATAGGCGTTTTGTTGCCAAAGTGAGGTCCTTTGTTTTTTTTTATCATTATTTGGATTCGTTTTCAATAAGGATCCATCGGCGAGGGTCGGTACAGCCCCCGAGGTTGAAGGGCAACATCGAGAGAGTGGGGAAGGGAGTATAGAAATAGGATTTTGAGAGGTGTTAAAACGGAAATGGAGAGGATATTAATTTGACAGGACGATCGGCCGGGCAGTATCCAAAGGATCCCAGCAAATTATGTTCTTTCCGCGTGAGCGGCCCCGTTTAAAGAAACGTACTAGAGAGAAATAACAAGGGGATCGAGGGAATAGAACCTAAGGAAATTTCGAGGAAGGAGGAAGAGATAATCAAAGGGAACAATTCCAGCGTAGTGGAAAGTGGGGCGTAGTAATGAGAACAAAGCAGGGGCTCAGTGAGAAGTGGGGAGAATGGATAACAAGATGACAGGTGAGGGAAGAAAGGCGTGAAAGGCGAATTAACCAGAACTAGCAACAGACAAGAGAAGGGAGAGAGATAAATGGGTAATAACAGCGAAGGAAGGATGGGGGGAGAAAGCAAAGCCTCAGAATAAAGCACAAGTCAATCAAAACTCCTCAGGAGGAAGACCCCAGCAGGCTCAAATGTGTAGTCCATTGGCCTCCTCGCAAATCAAAAACAAAATCCATGTCCATAGTCCATAGTCCATGTCTCCATATCTCCATATACCATGAAAAGCAATTGGACACGAGTCCGGGCGTGTATGCGTGTGTGGTACCAGCGCCAAAATTCAAACCCCAGGTCAAAGCAATGTCGAGGTCGCCCTCTGGTGGCTGTGTAGTAGCAGTGTATGATATGATTCCCAGTGGGTGTTCTGTGGATATGGTTGTCCAGGTGATAACATCGCCACGAAGCCGGGAGTCAGTGTGGTGGAACAGATTCAGTTTCGTACAATATGCAAAATAAGAATCAAAAATGTGATCCAAAAAATTGAAACCAAAAATAACACGAATATAGAACAGGAATGGGGGTGAGGTAAAGATCCAATGGAGTAAGAAGTCGCCTAGGTAGGGAAATGAAACAAAATCCAAAAACGGAAAGGGGGTGGGGAATCACAAAATCAAGCAGGTGCAAAGGCAAAAACAATTGGAATAGTCAGAATAAATTCCCGAGGCGTCCTCCTACTCCCTGTCGGTAGTAGGATGCAAAGAATCAACCCCACCGGGGCGGTAAGATTTGGGGGCCACGCGATAGGGCGAACAGCCTTGAAAGCCTTCAGACGCTCCCAGTGGAGATGAATAATCAGTCAGAACTTGCGGCCCCAATAGCCTGGGCGATCAAGACACGGGGCCACGGAATAGCCTCAACCGAGATTGTGGATACTCCGCTTCTTACTGACCCGGGGGCCATCATCATGCTCATCAATGCGAGTCAACCCTCCCAACAGGGTGGTCTGTTGGCCTTTGGCTAACTCAAGGCGTTCCATCAATTTCCCGATCGTGACATACTCCTGGGCCGCCAGGCCGGCGGGCTGATGCTGGAAGTAGTTCATGACGAGCTCCAACGCGCGGCGGGCCTCATCCTGAGTGGGGGAGCCGGGGGCGCTAATGGGTGACACCGTGGTGGACTTGGAAAACATCGGGGGCGGTTGCATCGAATTGACCTTGATCTCCGGGTTGCTGCGGTTTCGTTTGATCACATTGGTGGGGTCGAAGCCCTTCATGGCTGGGCGGGATGTTTCGTCCATATCGATGGGGGACTCCAGGATGGCCACCGAGACCGAACCCTCCACCTTGCTTGTTTGCGAGTCATCTGCCGAGAGCAGGCCTGGATCGATGGGGACCAAAGGAAAGGTCTGGCTGCGCGGTCGCGCTCCATTCAAGCCGGAGAGGCGGGATTGACTGGTGGGCGTGAAGGGACTATCCGAGACGAGCGTGGACGTTGGGCTTGTCATCCCTGCGGAGGAGGTCGTATCCAGGGAGGTCGTGCTTTGCGAGTGGCCATGCTGTTGGTATCCGCCCGTTAATTCGGGCAGTGTATCCGACAGCTCTTTCTTCACGCTCTCTTGGCTCCGTGCGGGCGACAAGGGGGAACCAAACCCATGGGACCCATTGGTCGGCGAGGCAGAAGCTGCAGGGGAGCGTCCGGGGCTCTGCACGTCGGTGTTGATGCGCGTTGGGCTGTTGGACCCGCTTCTTCGCCCGCTCCGCCCATCCTGAGAACCTTTGCGTGGCTTTGCGCCCATGAGGCTGTTCTTTTGCTTGAATTTCTCAAGCCAGCTGGTCGTGAGCACTTTGTCCTTGCCTTCGGGACATCCACAAGTACTGGCGAAAAAAAGCGCCTTCTCCTTGATCATCTCGTCATTGAGACGATAACCTTGGCGCTGAAAGTTCCGAGCCCAGTTGGACAGAGCCTTTTCGATGTCGGGAACGCGGCCCTTGGTTCGTTTGATAGGAGACCGATTCCCGTCGTCTGGGTTCAGATACTTTTCTTTTTGGCGGAGAACCTTGGAAACGGTACTATAAGACGAGTGTTAGGGCTACTTTAGTCACGATATCGAAGACAAAGCACTAGAATGGCATTGTTTACCTTCTTTCCACCCCAAACAAAGCTATTCGGAGTATTCGTCAGCAGAAACTCTTTTTTCATAGTGGCTTTTCTTTGTCTTTGTTTTTTGGGGGGGGGGGGGTTGGATTTTTTTTTTTCTTATTTTGCCAATCTTACCTCCAATATCAGTTTGCTTGGCTGTTTTGTTCTCTTCATGGTATAAGCACATCTGTCGACGATCCTCGTCGGTAAGAGTCCGGCGTGGATTCGAGCCACCAGTCGAGGTTTTTCGAACCTGAGGAGGCGGTGCTGTAGGCGATACGGAGGTGGGAATGGGGGTTGGGGGCAGACCCGATTCATGGAAGGGAGATTGATGGGTGAGCATGCTAGGCCACGAGTGTGAGGGCATTGGGAGCGGCATCGAGGCGTATGGCGGCGGTATAGACATTCCGTATGTAGTATCCACCGCCATCAGCGGCGATGGACCATAGTCGAAGCCGCTATATTCGGGCATCGGCGGTGAGTGCTGGGGCGAGGTGAATGCACCTAGCTCGACCCAGGGAGAATGCGCAAAATCACTGTCCGGCGCTTGATGGGTTTCCGTTTCCATGTTGGGGGAATCCTCCATCAACGGCGAAAGCACAGTGCGGGTTTGAGACGCTCCGGCGCGTGGACAATAGGCGCTAAGCGAGGAGATGGGAGAGACGAGGTCAACAACTTTCTCCTTAAAGAAAAAAGCCCCGGCGATGAAAGAGTGATCTCCGGGGAAGTGGGAGACAATGCGACGGATCTAGAGGTGAGACAATGGGAAACAATGCATGTTCCACTACCGCATATACGGTAAACCCAGCAAGCCGTATTCGAACTACAGACAAGAGGGGGGCGGCTCCTTATAAAAGAAGTAGTATCAGCGCGTGTTTCAGATGAAACCGACTGAAGGGGCGAAGTCGTAAGAGAGAAGTCGGCGCGAGTCAGGATGTAAACTAGATACTCGAAGGGGGTTCGGGCCAGGAGTATAACAATGGAGGGAAGGTTGTAGGGAGCGCGCGGCGGGTAAGGCAATGGAGTTAAAAGAAAAAAGGGCGAAAAGCGCACGGCGATCCAAATCCGCGTGGATTGACAGAACGACTTGAATCTCGATTGCAACTGGCACGAGAAGGGCGGCCGTCGTCCGGAGAAATCCATGATAACCTTCTGCCCCCGAGAGGAAATCCAGTCGATCGGCAGCGTGATTGGCCGGTCTGGAGGAAAAGCCCAGAGAGAATCAAATAATCATGATAATAATCAAATAATGATTTAATCGGATTGAGAAATTAGGAATTAAAAATTATTAAAATAGAAAATAAGAAAATCAGAAAATCAGAAAATCATAAAATCATAAAATATAATCGAATATTATAAAATCCGGCAATATTCCAATAATAACAACCCACTATTCTCAGCGGTAATTTCCTACGTCTAGTCTAAGACCCCCCGGTTCGTGGGGAGGGGGCAACGGCGTCTGGTTGGCCCCGGGGCGAGGATTAGATTGCTCTCTTCGATACTTTACAGGAATATTTTACCCTAGTTTACATTATTTTACACGATAGTTGACCTGGTTTGGACTGGGGGGTTGCATCTGCTCGTCTCGTTTCCCTCGGGGCAAAACAGCTGCCCGAGCTGAGCAGGCGAAATAGGCGAAGCAGCGCCGAGCGTCCCCCCCCCCCCCCTCCCCCGAAAATGGCTTGTCTAGGTCGTACGGGTTCGGGTATTACTAGGACAGTGTACGGTATGGAAAGTCAAAACGCGGGAAGCCCGGGCTTTTTCCAGGCGCTGCGGTATCCTTCCCAAGGATGGACGGAATCTAGCTATGGATCTGTCAGGCGCTCTCCTATGCCAATGCTACCAACGTTGGTCTCCGGTTGGGGTTTGTTTTTTTTGACCTTCTCCTTTGAATATGTTGCTTTTTTTTATGTCGACTTTCTTTTATTTCGGACAACTAATCCTTCCCCAGCATACCCGAAATGGCGCTTCACTGGTCGGGGTGCGTAATTATCTAGTTCGGTCCACGATGCGGGATGAGAAGGATGCTATACTATGCCTTGTTATAGCCCCTGGGCGCAAATCCCCTGCGTTCAATTTGGGTACCCAGTATCATCCTGCGAATTCCGACCGAGGCGCTAGAGGACCTTGGAGCGGTGGAATCTGTGGATGGTATAGTCCTACGTATGTATACACACTCGGCTCGGAAGGATGGACCGGCCCATCCTTTTACTACGAGAACCGATTCGTCTCTAGTTCCATACGGGGAGCATCGATGATCCTCTCTGGGGCGTGCGACGGGACCCTCTCTATTCCTATCGGCGTGTCCGTAGCTCGGTGGTATTGTTCTTCGTTTTCTGTCTGGTTCATCTCCCCTAGTGCCCGTCTTCAAAATGCATTTCATGCCTGTTTCTAGGTCCAATTTTGACGGCTGTCGGATCCTTCAGCATACACTGGGTATTTGTCGGACTCCGTATCCACCCTTTTTCGCCCGAGGCTTATAGATGGGAGGGGGCAGAGGCGATCATCCGCGGAGACCGACGCAATGTTTACGGGCCAAAAAGAAAAAAAAATCAAGTCGCGATTCGGAGATGATTTACTGGGGGCCGCAGAGCGGATCAATTGACCACCGAGCCGAACGACCCCATGACATCCGTGATGTGAGGACATAGGCCAGGTTGATCAAATAGTGGAAAGTGGACCGGGGGTGGGAGTGGTAGAAGAGAGACCATAGGGAAAGGGAGGGGTGGAGGAGAGGTAAGGCGGTTGGCGGGATGGAGTATGGGTGCGCCATGAAGCAAGTAATGAGTGGCATGAGTGGACAAGGCGAATTGCGGCGGTGCTCACATCGACTCCGTCATCCTTGAACTATCGTTTCATCCTGTCCCTTTTTGGAATGAAGGTCTCAACGGTCAGTTTACCAAAGCGGCCAAAGAGAATATCGCATCCAAGTTCTGGGCCCATGTGATGTCTCTAGGAGGGGGCACGGTGCACCGCCTCGGGGATTGTAAAGGGTGCGAATAAGAAGCTCGAAGCCGGCTTCTTTTGAATGACTGGGTATACCCTTTCCCCACTGGCGTTCTGCTTCCCCATCTGCATAGCAGACTATTGGAGGGGGGGAAAGGAGTGGCATCGAGCACGGAAGAGCAAATCCCTAGATCGGATGAGTATGAGTTTTGCGGCTTGGTCTGCCCTGTGCTGCCCTGTATGGCTGTGGTTATCACCCAGAAGGGACTACTACCGGATTAAGCCAGTTTGGATCTCTAAAGGACGTGCCGATCTGCATCCTTATGTTGGGCCGGGTTCGTCCGTTGCTAGGGTTAGTTGTTATGTGGGTTGATGAGTTGATGAGTTTGTTTTCTCGCGCGCGCGCGCGTTCTCGTGGTTCCATTGTCCAGAATCCCGAACGCATCGCAGCAGGATAACTCGGCAAATAGGCAGAGGGAGAGTGAAATGGGCACAACGGGCAAATGAGGAGCAGCATGGATCCTTCGCATCTGGGCGAATCGCCCGCGCCCATTCGCCTGGCGGCGATACGAAGTCGATACTTCAATACAAGGTCCGAACATGGTCCCTGGGGCTGGTCCTATCACGGGCCAGAAGTGCCATCTCGGCGAAGAGGGGGAACTCTCCAATGCGTGCTGGGCGCTAAACTCATTCTCAGCCATCGCTTTCTGCGACTCGTTGCTTCGTAGGGCTCCACTTCCACCCTGACCCACTGCGGTCCTCGACGGGCCGGAAACCTTCAGTAAACAAGAATGACAGAGCCGGACCGTACTGCACAGATCGTCGAAAGGCAAGGCCACCCGTGGAGACATGGCACTGTTCAAATTTAGAAAGGTAGAAAGGCAAAAGCTATACTGGGTGGGTTCGGTTCTGGCTGGGGCAGAAGCGATCTAATGAGGCAGAAACAGCGACGAAGAGAGAAAAAAAAAAGGAAGACAATTGCCCTGTCAGGCTGATGGGACTCTCATTCGGTCTTGTCCTCTGATTTCACTAGACAGATGGCGCTATAGGTCCTGATTTGATATGGAATAACCACCGGCCATCAATCAATTCATTTGAATGTGGTCTGGGGCCACGATACGAGAATATTCGGCAAATCACGGCGGACTGATGGGCCTCTCTCCAGTTGGGGATCCTAGCGTCCCGCCCTCAAAATGGAATTGGCGAGCATGAATCAATCCGAAGCGGCGTGATAGCTGGTCGGATTCCAATCCTGAACTTTCTCCCCGCTTGTTCGACACGAACCACGAGGGAGCCAATGCGAAATCGGCCGGGGCAAAAAAAGGATCTGGGATGCAGGACGGGACCGAGCCGACGCCCTCTTCTGGAACATGTAATGGGACGCCCAATCCTGAATGGGGGTGGAATGTCTGTCTGACAATGGAGCCAGGAGTGCCCTTGACAAATTGTTGAAATGGCGGAGATGCTACCTCGAGTCTGTTTGACGGTCAAACCCCGTCAGGGGTGCGGATTAACCGTCGCTGACGGCCTGCCGAAGGCTCTGATTCGGCCAGAACGCCAATCAACCTGCGCGCTGCCGGCGGATTTTACCTAGCGTGCACCAGTCAAATCACTTATGAGGGGAAAAAGAAAAGACAAAATAACTGTTCACCGCATATCCTTCCCCGACCCGGTGAAGTAGCTTCCAGTAGAGTTATGGCAATCGCATCAGATCAGCATCCACTGGGCTGACGCCATTCTTTTGGCGGAGACAGGGGGGAGTTCATGATACTCGAAGTCTATACTTCACCGAAAAGGCAAGAGGGTGGAAATGGAGGGGAATGGAGGGAAATGGAAGGCAAAGATGCCGACTTGCAGGAAGGAAGAGAGGAGGAGAAATCTCGGCTGATCTATGGCGCAAGCCATTGGCGTGGCTTCGTCGATATTACACATCCCGGGCCTTCCTAGTCGGAGCGGAAGAAGAATGAAGACTAGACCAGTCAGGATCAAAATCCTAGATGTCCGATGGCCGGGTAGGCCTTCCACATAATTGCTTTTCTGTCTCTCTACCTCTCCAAGCGCTCTTTGCGAGGTTTTATGGAATGATGAAAATTCCGGGACCGGCCATCTTGTACTGTACGAGCATGAACCGTTCTCTCCCCTCTTTCCACCCCCTTACCCCCTTGGAGGCTCGGCAATGGACTGGTCAGGGAACACAAGGTCGTTCGGAAGGGGATAAGCAGCTGCTAGAGTCGCCACCGGAAAAGAAACGAGAAGGCAAAAAAACCTTGACAAGCGACCACGCTGATCGCTGGAGTCGTGTTCAGGTATTGATCGACAAGGAATTTCCAATCGACAATGCACCGTCCTCCTGCATCGAACTTGCAATCTCGCCTGGTAGAGTAATAACCTGCATATAGCCAGAGTCGGTAACCCTCAAAATGCAGGAGACCGTAGACCGGAAAAGGGAACTATACTCCCCTCTGTATACGAAGTGCAAAAACCTCATCCCCCCCCGATGTCGATCACAGTGGAGTTAAACAGCGCTGTAGAGAAAAAAAAGCCTCATTAAAATTTGAAGATGAACCAGCCCTGTTCCAGTCGTGATGAGTTCTCATGAGCTAATAAGCCGTGGGCCCGTGGGCCAGATATTCTCGAGTCATGAGCCGTGCGTGCCTTGCTCACAACTCCGGGGAAGAAAAATTGCAGCCCCGCCTAATGCAATGCAATGCAACGAGGATGGCTGATGGATCTTCCACGAGAGCGAAGACATGTTGCCAACTCCCGGGATTGGTGTCAGAACAGTCACCTGATGCGTATAGATTGCGATTTGGATTATGGATGGTTGGCCGTACATCAGGGCATCAGGGCATCCGATATCGTCCTTCGTACAACATACATCGTACATGTGCCAGTGCTACAAGACTTGGTATACATGTTCGTTGGCACGTCCCCAATCTCTGCCAATCCCTGCCGAACCCCAATCTTCTATTTTTACTGAAGAACAAGGGACGAAAAAAATTAGCAAAGACTAAGAGTGAGACCAAGGTTTTCTTGGGCTAGAGGGCCTGGTCCTCACAGGCTAACACGAGCGATAGTTGCTAGCTACAGTAGTATAGGGTCGCGGACCATGGCTCATGAACATGCACCAGGTTCCATATCGTATCCGAGGTTCCATGGCACGAGCTGGGGCCCGAGAGGGTACGGGATGCAGTAGTTTCGAGGAATCCTGCCGATCGAGTTATCTGAAGGACGGACCAGATCGTGCACCCGCCATTCCTCGTGAGGCCTGGGCTATCGAGATCGGCGATTTGCGGGCGATTCTCCACTGCGCTAGCGCCTCCTTCCAGGCTCTCCGCGAGTCTCCGCAGCGTAAAACGCCCGTACAGCGCCCAACCTGGCCTCAGTCGCCCCCTTATTGGGCTGTGACTTCAAAATAACTTGAACATCCCTCCTGTTGTGGCACCGAACCCCCCGTACACCGAGAGTCACCCGGTCATTCCAGTGGAGATGATCAGATAAACGTCGTGAACGCAACCGAGTCGGTATTCACCGCTTGTTGCGAAGGCGCTCGTCTTCCTTCTGTGCCCCTCCTTCATCCTTCATGGCATCATCGTTCGTGGGGGGAAGAAGGGGGGGACGGGGAGGGGAACTCCCGAACCTATCCCAGTTGCCATTTTGGGACTCTTCTCTGTGTTCGCTTTTTTCACACTGCATATTAGTCCCCCGTCAATCCCCTCGGGGAGCGACATGCAGATCTCTCAGAGAGGAAGAAGAGCTCGAGCAACGGCGGCATCCCCTAGCGGCGGCCCCTCTTCTGCCCCAGTTCTGGCGTACTTTTGGTCTCTGGCCGATCCAAATTTTGGTACCGAGCAGGGGACACGGACAGCAGTACAATGGGCACCCTGCTCGGTTGACTTATCATTTTAGCAACGCCTCTCTCCGGCCCAGGCGAAGCGGCCGAGATCCTATCGGATGGGGTCATTTCTTTCGGAGCTATTCACCCTGGGTCGCGGAGCTTGCGGGTATACGCATCCCACCGAATTGAGGGGCGTCGTCATGATCACCGTTGCCGAATCACCACGCAGGGCCGGTGCTGGCTAGGGGGAGGCTGTAAGGTCAGTGCACGAGGGTCGCGGGCCTTTGCTGCACGCAATGTGCACACCATAATTGCCTTTGGACCGGTGTCGAAGCTATCAACTGTCTCGTGGGAGCTTGGACCGGAGCTGAGCCCAGAACCGTCTGTCATCGACCTTTCGTCGACCGTCTGCGGCAGATCAGCCAAAGGGGAAACAGACCCTGGCCCAAACTAGGGCTGGCCAGACCCCAAGGTGGCTTGACCAGGGGTGGAAAGAGGACGTTCGCAGTAGTTGGTGGATGGGGAAAATGGGTGAACTGGCCAAAACAGGCCAAATGCCGTCACTGGCCCTTGCCCGGACTAATTGATTGATATGAGGGGGTTCTGACTCGACAGCCTCCTCCTTGTCAGGCAGGGATGGACTACATTGGAAGCTAGAGCTAGAGACAAGATGGCAGTATGTGGCAAGACAGTCTGACATCCCGCGAGCCTGCTAGTCTCTTAGCAAGGATGCAGGACGCAGGACGGGACAGAAGCGCAGCGAAAGCTGGAAGACGCCAATTGGAACCAGTACTTGCCAACACGGGATACATGCATCTCTTCAGTCAGGGTATCCGGGCATCTGAGACCGATAAGGATATCGCCCTGCTCCTGGCGCTATATACTGCTGGTGCAGGTCAATATACCGGAAGACCGGGGGGTCCATTGGCCCCAAGTCAGTCCTTTCATGCAGGCCGCAACGCAACGCGGCGTCGTCGGCGTCGGGTCGTCGAGGGGTATAGTGTGGCTTGTGGTTGCATGCTCGATATTAAAGTGCAAGGCGTTTGGGCAACAAAAAAGCAAGTGAGAAACTATTTCATTGCTTTCTAATTTTTCCCCCAAGACCATCCGGGAAGGAGGTTATGTGTATGGGCTCTGTTCCTATGCAATAATAGTTGGATTCGCCATGTAGACCTCAATCTAGAACTTTTTTGTGACTGTTTGAGCACGCTCATAAACACGAAACAGAACAAAAGAACCTCCTCAATAAGTATAATGCGTAATCATAAGATGATGGACTGGTCGCTTCAAGACCATAGAGAGCCGATAACGAGAAGAAAAGGGAAACAAGAAATTGGCACCCACAAGGCCCGCCGAAGAGTCAAAAAAAAAAAAAAGAGTTGCTCGAAGTTCCTCGCCTCGTGCTGTCCCTGAGACTCGCCGACATGAAAACTTGCTGGCCATGTCTCCAACTGGACGAAGTCCCTCGTGGACCCGTGTCACCCTGCACTAGGAGAAACGGCACCCGCAGGGTATGAGTGAACATCACAATAAGCAAGCTGTGCATGCGCAACCCCGAACGAGGATCGTTCACGGGCCAGCGATCAATGCTTCCCCCCTCAACATAGCCGATCCTGGGACTTTCTTTTTTGAAGATCCTATTCGGTGACCTTGGTTGTCCGTGCGGAAGCGACTCTCGCGATCCAACCGCACAAAGTTCCATGAAGTCTGACAAGGAGCTGTAGCCTAGAATGCCCGTACCTCTCAGCATGGCCACAAAGGGATAGCAGATCATTCTGGCACAGACCCGCTGTCCACTTACCCAGTGCGATTTGGATCGGCTTGTCGCTCCTGACATGAGCGCCGGGACCGTCAAGAGTGGAAATTGAATCTTTTATCGCTTCACAATCGATACTATAGCCAGAACGGTCAGTTTCTTTTCTACCTAAATACCATAAGAAATTGAATATCGGAATGGAGACGCACCAATATCTTCATCAGCAAGCTCGTGAGAGAGGCCGACTCGCTGCGGCTGGTGCTTGACGGAACGACCGTAGACGATCGCATGCTTGAACTGTTCCTTGATGGTACGGTGAATGGAATTACACTTAAGCAATTGTTAGCATACCGAATCCTTAGGCGTGAAGGTCTCGCGGGGTGTCCTTACGAAGTCCTCAACCGTACATCCCGAAGCACGAAGGACAACAGGGGCTGAATAGTCAGGCGCTCTGCCCTTGGGTTTGGTATAGATTCGTCGCAAATTGAGCTTTTCCCACATCAACTCCAGGAGCTCATCGATGTTCCATCCATGCTCTGAACTGATGGGACAGGCGTTGGGAATCCGGTACAAAAGATCGAGCTCCTCAATAGAAATGGCATCAATCTTGTTGAGTGCGTATACGACAGGAATGTAACTTCGGCTCTTTGCCTCCAAAACATCAATCAGATCATCAATGGTCGCGTCGCACCGGATAGAAATATCAGCAGACGAGATCTTGTACTCGTTCATCACTGCTTTGATTTCCTTTATTTCATGTTAGCAAGAATTTCAACCGCCGAACAAATAAGATCCTGACCTCATGAGAAATGTTGTTCAGAGGGACGGTGCTGGTGATAGCAATACCGCCCTTGTCCTTCTTCCGGAACACAATGTTGGGAGGAGATTTGTTGATGCGAATGCCAAAGCCCTCCAGTTCGTTTTCGATAACTTTCTTGTCAACCAGTGGCTTGTTCACATCAAGAACAATGAAAATAAGATGGCAAGTTTTAGCCACTGCAATGACCTGACGACCACGACCCTTACCATCCTTGGCACCTTGAATGATACCAGGAAGATCCAGAATCTGAATTTTGGCACCATTGTATATGACTTGTCCAGGAACAGTCGTAAGGGTCGTAAACTCGTAGGCGGCAGCTATAAAAAAGGGTCAGAACCGAGACTTATGCCAGTTACAAGTCGTGAACAAAAACCAACCTTCCGAATGTTGGCCGGTCAATTTGCTCATCAGTGTACTCTTGCCAACGGAGGGGAAACCAATAAAGCCACTATGTGCACAATTAGTATTTCGTGTCGTGCAATAGTTTCACGGGGTCAACTTACACACTGGCAACACCAGTACGAGCAACATCGAAACCGGCTGAAAGACGTCAAGATTAGTTCCGAGTCAGAAGGTTCAAAACGCTCTTCCACCATGTTATCCCACTTACCACCACCGCCTCCGCCGCCTCCGGATGGAGTCAACAGCTCTCGCTTGAGCTTAGCAAGCTTAGCCTTCAATTGTCCTGGTCCGATTGTCAGCCCTGTAATCCGTCCCAATAATCCTTCGTTCGAAAATCGTCGTACCCAAATGGAAGGAGGTATTCTTGTTCTTCTGAGTCCGAGCCATCTCGGACTCAATCTCCTTGATCTAAATCCGTATATACATTTATCAGTCATTATTCTTGATGCGCCTTTGGCTTGGACGAGTCGAATTGACCTCGCGCACTAACCTTGTCAATGGTGGTCGACATTTTGGCGGCTGGAAAACAGAATCGTTGGTCTCGTTATAAAGGATGTTTTCAAATACTTGAACACAGGGAACGCGTTTCAGTGTGCGTTTCCCTCGCTAGTTGCCAGAACAAACTCGCTGCGTCGAGATGAATTGACGGAGGCACAATCTTTGAATTGTGGCACTCGTTCTTAGTCAGGGCGGGGTGCTAGCCTCAGGCATCAAGCTAACTATGTCATTTTTTGCCTGTTGTCTAAGGTGTGAATATGTTGGCCTTAGGCGACAGTATTCCTCTTTTCTTATCGCTTATCGCCGAAGCGGCGGGAACCAAACCAGTGACAACCAGTCAAAGTTCCAACGCGCGTATTCACTCAATCATATAATTAGTCTCGCAATTTAGACGTTGGATGGTCAATCGCTCTTGGATGACACTCGTGTGACCCGGTGACTCGTCGCCGCTCAGATTTCAACGTCTGCGTGCGAAATAAAACAAAGAGAAGCCCCACGAGTACCACCGTTCTTTCCCTTCCGCCTCACAATCCCGACATCCGATCCAAATTCCGATAACGGGAACTATTGATTCTAAGCTGCACGTTCACCGGCTTGGATGACCAACACAGTTTTCCAACGCTCCGAGCTTCATTCAATTACTCGGATCCATCATGCCATTCCTTCAATCTGGATCCGAATCGCCCGTCAATGCCGAGAAGACCCCCGGCGCGTTTGAGAAACTCGTGGAGGATTTGAGTACCGTTCTCGGCCCAAGCTCTGGCCTTGATTCCGACGATATTGACCCCATTATAATTCAGAAGCTTATGGAGAAATATGTCTCTGACTCAAAGGAATGGGATCAGTATGCCCTCGGCGACGCTAGTAGGGGGTATACAAGAAACTTAATCGACGAGGGAAATGGCAAAAGTAATTTAGTAAGTCAATCTTTCGGTTGGATGTTTTCTTCCTATAACGCCAGGTTGCCCATCCATGACAGCCTGGTCAATACATGTCTTTTGGTGTAACATTTTCTTGTATTTCGTCTTTGCTAACCTAACAACTAGTTGATTCTTGTTTGGAGTCCCGGAAAAGGAAGTGCGATTCACGATCACGCCAACGCGCATTGTGTGATGAAGGTGACTCCCTATCATTCAGAATATTCAGAATCGAGAGACTGTTAGATTGGCCTAGGTACACGATCTAACCATTTTTCCAGATCCTCAAGGGAAAGCTCCAAGAAACCCTATATTCCTGGCCAGATAAGGAGAAGATTGCCATTGGAGAGACATCACCTCCAAAAATTACTCGACAGACTGTTTATGGCGAAAATGAAGTCACTTACATGTCTGATAAGGTTCATCAAAATCTTCAACATTTTCATACTCAGTTTACTAACTTCCTTGTCCAGCTTGGCCTTCATCGAATCTCCAATCCCGACCCCGACAATTTTGCCATCTCTCTACATCGTGAGTCAAACATTTTCAGAGACAAAATCTAGTGCTCAGTAACAGGAAGTTTATTTATTGATGTCTTTTCCAGTTTACACTCCTCCTAATGCTGCCAATCATGGCTTCAGCCTCTTTGACGAAAGAACCGGGAAGGCCAGTCACATCAAACAGACGCACTTCTATTCCGTCCGTGGGAAACGTCTTGGTGACGAATAGAGTCACCATGAGCCGGCTTTTTCTAGACTAAAAACCAAAAAGTACTAGACTGATACTCTGTGCCCCAAGGCTTCTGCTCCTGCTTTCGTCAATTCATTGCCGGCCGGATATTTTCAGCGAGACCTGGTTTCACCTATTGCGCCCTTGTCTCCAAGACCCCAATCAGTTTTTGACTGATTTTGGCATACATTTTAGCGTTTTGAGGTATTAGAACGTGATATCCTCTTCATTTTAGACGCAGCGAGCTTTTTGTTCTTATTTTTAGCGATTGAATCAACTGCATATTTTTATCAAGTTCTATGCATAAACAAAGAACCAAAGATGCCGCGGGGCTCACCAATACACAATTCCTTGGTCAGATATAATAGTAGAAGCTTTGTCACCATTGGGATCGTGCACTTTGAGGTCTAACTTCTACGGGCTGTGGCATTGACCTCGCCATTTTCAGCTTTGATGAGGCCACATTACCTTGCCCAATTAATTTCCCTCTCATACGCACCATCCAGCCCCAGCAATTCTCCTTGACGATTGTCGATTCGGCGCACAGGACGGTGGCTCTTTCTCTGTCACATACTTTACTATCAGATCCTATTCTCCAGTTATAGTTACAATTTGGTATCAATTCGAGAATGATTCAGAGTGGACTATCTCGACGGGGCCATCAAGGCTCGTATGTCATGAACTCGGTATCTCCTGCTTTTTGTATACAGAGCCAGACTGGTCCTCACGAGCCGCTAGCAGCAACTAGTGGAAAGGCCTTGTGCTTCAACAATCTAGGTATAAGTTGAGGGGGGAGTTTTGTAATGGCGGCAAGATCGAATCGTCCGGATTATGCTTACTCCACTCGCGGGTGCCTTTTCTCCGAGTAAATTGACGAACACTTATTTCACATATTTCACGTAGACCTATCGTCTTAGTAGGAAGTTTAAAGATACACTACCCGGTACTAAAGTTCATTAAATATCATGTGCATCTAAGTAGTAGTCTTCTCATTTGTCATCCAGCATCTCTGAATGGAACATCTGCAAAATGAAATGCAGAGCCCTGAAGCTTTTTTGGTGACTATGCAGGACATGTATGCAACTCATGGTGACTCAAAAGCTATATGGATACGAAAATTCCAGGAAGCTGCTGTATGGGTTTTAGTTGTTGATTTGATTTTCTCGTAGAAGCTTGGTCGAAATCCTTTCTTTGGGGCTCGGCAGGGTTCAGCCGGTGGGTCTATCAAGTTGGTCACAATGATATTTACCAAGCTCAGGCGTCCCACTCACTAATGCAAGGAACCAACTACACGAATTGGGGCCAAATTTGATCTTGCGGGGGCCAAGAGACACCCATCCCATAACACGCGCTTTGCAGCCCGGTTCTAAACTTTTTGAGTGTCTGTAATGTTGTGTGTGTGTATACTTTACCGATATCCATGGAGTCTTTGGGAGGGAAAAAGGGCACCTTTTTAAAAACTATGTACTTCGAAAAGAGTATCTCTTCATCAAGAATCGGGTCTTCAGGGGTTGCAGAGATCGGGCATTGAGTCTTGCACTAGATGATTTGCCCCCGTAGCTTACCTGCATGCGCTAATTTCTTTTTCGCTAATAATACTTACTTGGGAAAGGTGATTGACATGGATATTCGTACACAGCCCAGGGTTGTCATCTGTATTTGATCCTTTACACGCGAACTCCCCCTCCCCTTTCTCAAGTCAGGTTTCCGCTATTCTTAATCCTCTATAATCCTCTACGGATTATGATCTTCCTATCCAATCTTCGGCAGCCAATTCAATTCACGAGGAAGACCTATGGCTTCTGCGCAGGCCACTACCGGCGAGACAACAACCGGGTCTACAGCGGATAGCACTACTGTACTCGTTGTCACTCAAACCAGCACAAATGATGCCACCACGACTACAAGAACAGCTCCGCTCCCTTTGACAACTACATTCACCCCGCCAAGCGAATGTTTAACTAATCTATGGGCCGCCATGTCTAATTCATCAACTTGGATGAACTTAGGCCCAATCAATACCGCCGAATGTTTGCCATCCGGCTGGGCTCCAAAATCATACTACTCGCCCGGAATATGCCCTAGCGGATGGATAATGGCATACAACACCACTACTAGCACCGGAGGCACAGCGGAAACGAGGGGTACTTGCTGTCCAGTATACCCGTAAGTCTATCTACCAGCGTTCCGGGTCCCCCGACAATGACTCTCATGCATCAGCTTACATGGGAAATGAAACTTCTTCTAGAGCGAGCAGCTGGACATTTTCTACACGCACAGCGAGCGAGAGTTGGACCAATGGGCCTTGGGAATCCTGGTATGATACGGAAGTCTGTCAGTGGACTGTGCCCGTGACAGAGACAACCTATCCCTATCTATACACCAGCGGTGACGCGACTATCATGGCATCAGGCCGCATGACCGGCGGTGCAGCGGGCTGGAACGCATATGGTATCGAAGTCCGGTGGAAGGCCAGCGATGGAATTGGCGCAGTGGCTACAGCGACTGAATCGACGGCCAGTTCTAGCAGGACTGCTTCTTCTAGCCAGTCCTCTCACGGAAATACTTATGCTAGTTCACCGTCTGGTGAAACTGGCTCTTCGGGCCTATCATTAGGTGCGAAGGCAGGCATTGGCATTGGCGCGGGAACAGCGGCAGTTTTGACGATCTTTTTAATTGGTCTTGTTATTATGCGACGGCGAAAGCGTCGCGCGACCAATTCGGACGAGTTGACGCATTTTCACAAAATGCCAGATCACAAAATCCAGCAGAATTACCTAGTTCCCAGGATAATTGGTATGCTCGGGGGGCCCCCGAGTTGGATTCTAAGCCAATGTTCGAGAGTGAGGACTCTGTTTGGGTAAGGGATGATCTTATTAAGTAATACCACATGTGTCGCTGGTGTTGGTTGTTTCTAGCATTATACCCCTATAATATAACTAGATTTAGTTCTAGATTTCACGCAGTAAATAAATCTCTATCATATATATCATCTGTCAGAATTTGATTGGCAAGGCTGGAGACATAATTTAGTCTGGGTAGTAGGCCACATATAAGCCAGATACAATCTTGCAGACGAGAAAGAATATACCAGGATAGGTCTGTACCTAAGTGTATATTGGAAATACGTATTTGCCTAGGGACTGTCTTTATAACTGGGAGATTACTAGATCCTTTACAAAAATGATGTAGTTGTAGGTAAATGAAGCTTGATTAACCAGTAATCAGTCTTGAAAAATGTCTAGCTTCTATCCGAAACCGAACCCCGTGCAAAACAAAGCTATATATATGCAAATGCAAAATCATACATGAAATAAAAACCGTCAAATATATATATATATACATCAAGATATCCACACCTTTAGGTGTCAGTGTTAGCACAGCTAAAGCTGGCACTGCTGGTATCGTTGTGGATCGCGGTTCCGGAAGCATACAAGCCAAGAACGCACAGAGCCAGACCAAACAGGGCGATGGCGATGTTGAGCACGGTCAACGCGATCTTGCGTGGGCTGGCGAACCACTGGCCCTTGTTGAGGTGCAGCCAGTAGATACCGCTGAGGCCGTAGCTGAACCAGCTGGCGAACAGAGCGCTGATCAGGCTGTTCAGGTCGCTGAACACGGGAATGGCCTCGGCGATGATCCAGGCGACGATCCAGCAGGACACTCCGAGCGCAAGCCACAGGCCGATGGACTTCCAGTTGCGCTGGTGCATCAGGTCAGACTTGTGGCAGATGCGGAAGTAAATGTACTTCAAGCCGATATGGCCGTTGACGACACCGGCGCCGACGATGGTGGGGATGGCGATGCCGTATGCGACCTTCTTCATGATCGGGCCGGCGGAGGTCAGGGCGGGCGAGTCGACGTCCTTGCCAACATAGTAATAAATAACCACACCGGCAGTAAGGTACAGGCAGATTTCGAAGCTCTGAAGCATGAAGAGCGATTTCTTGAAGTCCTTGGGAGTCTCCATCTCGGCGATCAGGCCGAAGAAGGCAACGTGGGCGCAGTAGGCGAAGACGATATTGGAGACAGCCTGGAATGCGGTGTACAGGGTGTTATCGACAGTGGCCTCAATAATCCGGCCGGGATGTTCCTCAACGCCGACGGAAATCATGGTAATCAGGACCGCAGTGAAGATGGAGAGGAAGGAAGCGAAGGAGATCCAGGTCATGCCGCGCATGGTTCGCGGGATAGACAGGGCCAGCGAGATGATCATGCCAACCAGACTGAAGACGATGGAGCAGGTGCCGTGGTTGGTAATTGTGTTCATCATGACGCGGAAGGTCAGGATGTGGCTACCCATGACGAAGATGCAGAACAGAAACTGGCCGGTGCCGAAAAGCTCGCGGCCAAAACGACCCAGCAGGATCTCACCGGCATCACCCAGGTTCTGAATGTGAGGATAGCGCTCACGCATCAACCCAATGTTATATCCAGTGTACGTGGCGAGGAGACCCAGGCCCACGATGAGAATGACACCACTATAGACCCACGAAAAAGACTCGTTAGTGTGACTGGTCTCGTAGGCAGGTGTATAAAGAATGGATATAGATCTAAGAACTTACGGCACCAAGCCCAATGTAGCCACAGCTGAGGGCAGCGACAAAACACCCAGCGAGACGGACTCGCAAATCATGAGCAGACCGCATTGCCACCACTTCAGCGTCTTATACTTAATCTCGGCGTACTCCTCGTTACCGAAGGCATCCGAGACCTCGCCCTGCTTCAGGTTTCCATGCTCTTCCTCGAAAGTTGGCTCATACTTGTTCTCCGCGATCTTGTCGTTCTCGTAAGCGGGCGGCTGGGGCGTAACGGCCTCCATTGTGGCTGAATCTCAACGGGGGTGTGTATATATAAAAAGGGACAGAATAAGCCGCACCCAAGGGCGGACTGAGAGAGCGACGGATAGAAACGAGGCGTTCAAACAAACAAGTTTCTGCTCTACAAGCACCAGCAATTGAGATGAGAAAAGAGAAAGACAGACTAGAGCCGGGGGGACGAGGAAGAAGACGGGACCCTGGGGTATTTCATTAATAACAGAATCTCTGCCAGCCTGCCATTTTGAGTTTCGGTATGCTCCATTCTCCACGCTGCCGATTTTGCCCCGTGGGAGGCGAACTTGCGCCAACTCTGCACCGAACGTCCCATGGAAGACCCGCCGAACATTCCGTGGCCCTTGTCATTGGCTCTATTATCTATCACTCGGGCCGACAATCGGACGGTTGGCCAATCGAGGCCACGGAACGCCCTCGCCGTGACTAATTGTTCTGGTTCATCGCATAGTGAGCCCAAGCTGTGGCGCTCCAAGCTTTGCCAGCCGCGCCTCCAATACTACTCTGCACCGCGCCGTAGTCCCGAAGTGGTCGTATGATGATGGGGCGTGAGGGGAATGAGGGGCAACAGCGCCAGAGAGAGCAAATCAGGCTCCCATAGAACGTGGTGGGATCGTGTCTCAACCAAGACAAGTGGGCGGGAATCGAGGCTTTCCCTAGGATCTCGTACGGAGGACGAGGTTGTCTCCCCGGAGTCTCCACGTGGTTTTCAACCGTTTGGAATTTCAAATTCCTCGTTTGTGTGCTCTTCTTGTCCACGCGAGGTGGATCAGCAAACGTGGCGATCCGAATTCTTCAATTTCAGGACCCATTTTTGATAGAAAATCACCACGGCTGTATATTCTTCCTCTCGCTACGGCTTCCTCAACAAAAAATCCGAAAGATAACAGCCAAAGGGGAAATTTTCTAGAATTTTTCCAGCTGAAAAACCTAGAACCGACGCGTTCTATGGAACAAAATACAGCCTTCAAGAAATCAAACATTTTGACTTTTCAAAGTTTGACTTTAGGGTTTGTTCGGCCGAGGTCACGAGACCTCCCACGAAAATCTCCTCGAACCTCAAACCCCCAGTTAAATAGTATAGGGTTTCGTTGAGGCGACGGACCAGCGCCGAGTCTACCTCACCGATGAGTAATTCCGAGATTTCTGGTCGTTGGCATTGACTACGCGTAGCGGGTGATCGGGAAACGCCTCTTTTCACTCACCGGGTTGTCTGCAATTTTAGGTTGTTTAGGCGCCGATAAGCGTGGCCTTTCCCTGATCTTCCCCGGGGTTTTCATTGGTGCTCGGAACACCTGCATGTCGAGTGCGGGCGCGCGCCCCCTGACTAGTCGCTAGTCGCTCCGAAAAAGGCAGGTCACTAATACCCTAATCAGCCCGAACAGGTGTTCTGCTAGGATCTAGGACGACCAGTTCGCAGCACACTCGGCATTGAAGTCGGGAGATTCGCAGATCCCCGCATTATGATTACTTGGACGTAAATGGAACAAAAAAAAATAAACAAAAACAAAAAAGAGTGGAAGCTCGTAGGATGCTATAAGGCAAATAGTATCATAATGCAGAATTCTGGACAAAGGATCAGGAAGCATTAGGAGTCCATCTTTTTTTATCAAAAAAAAAAGAATGCAAAACATGAAAAGGGCGACAAAAAGCGACATGCAGTTTGGAGCTCATGCAAGATGCAATATACAAAATCGGAACATAGACATGCGCAACATGCAAATATCTGGAACAGAAGTAAAGGGGGAAATCAGACGAGAACGGTGCAATAGATGAGACGCAAAGATGAGAGTTGCTAGATTCATCACCAAGACAGAATAAAGGGGATAAAATCATTGCCAATCGGGAAAATATTTTAAGACTGCGATCTCCCCGCATGGGCGTATTGCAACTATTTTACTGCCTTACGAATCACGGTCATTAGCAGAAGTGAAAGAAGTTGTATCCTGCCCAGGATGGGAAGATGGCGCATTTGCCAGAGCAGAGAGCAGGTTAACTAAACGTGCTGGATGCTCCAAAACCTCGGACTGCCGGCGGCACAGCTCTTCGAGGCGTGCCAGAGGATTCTGTAGACCGCCATAATAAGTATGTTGCTCGGAGGACTTGTGAAAACGCATCAACCGTGACACCCACCCAGTCCTCCTGGTTCGGGACGCCCTCGGCAATAGGAAGGCCCGTTGCTCCGAAGGCTTCGTTGTCTTCGTCCGTGCTAGCCCTTGGTTGGCGATGGATGGGCGCCGGCGTCACAGGCAGACTCGGACGCTCGACTTCGGTGGGGAAGTCCGTCAACTTGATGCTGGGTCGGTGTCCTCCCAGCGGGTACCCGGTTGTGGCCGTAGTGGCAGAAGAGAATGTTTGCTGGCTAGTGTCCGTGCTGATGCTGGAGGACTGATGGTGGCTAGATCCAGAGATCACCTGTGTTCTGGCGCGACGAGCTTGTTGGATAGACTCGATGTAACGCTGGATATCTGGGTCCTCATCCCAGGCATTGGAGCGGGTATATGTTTCCCAGGAGTCCGCAGATGGCTCGTACGCTTGTGTCTTCGGTGAAGATGTTTCCCAGGGAGGACTTGAGCTGGTCGGCTGAATTGACCCAACCTGCTCGGGTGACGAGTGGGAAGGAGCGGGCTGCTCGTGAGCAAATACACGCGTGGGCTTGGCGGCGCGGCTCTCCCAGGGGAAGACCTGGGTAAGCTTTTCCGGTTCTGGTTTTGTCGTGGGGACTTGGTAGTACATGTTTTTCGGGGCTTCGGGGTATGCTGGGGGTGGTTGGAACAAATTGATGTCTTCTGACATTGTATAGGTCTTTTGCTGCAAGCTAATACCCTCGGGCTTAGAATTCAAGGGTGGTGGCTCACTGTAAAGTATAAGCAAAGTCACTCTCCGAAGATTTAGTTTAGAATCAACTGTTAAAAATTCTTACCGTGAGGCATCCCATTCCGCCTTTGGTGCTTCGAAGGATGGAATCTCTGGCTCCGGCTCTGATGGAGGCGGCTGATATGTTTCAGTGACTTTCGGTGAGAGTTCTGGTGCTGCGGATTTTGGCTCGTGGATGTGGCTCTCGAAACCCGCGGACTGTGGGCCATGATGTTCTTGAGGAGGCTCTGGTAGGCTCGCAGGAGGCTGAGCTTCAAACACCGGCATCGGGGCATAAGACACAGGCGGGACATATGTCGACACGTGCTCTTCTCCGCGCACATACTGGGGTACTGCACTCAGTACAGGCATTTCCGAATATGAGGCCGTGGCAGCAGGAGGTGCTGGAGGGTGGTCATGATGACTCTCCACATGGTGTTCCATGTGGTCATTCCAAGGGGGATGCTCAGTCTGGTGATGTACCGAAAAGAACGCGGGTGCTTCCTCTTGGGACTGAATTGCCTCTTGGAAGTAACTATCCGGAGCGCTCTCTTTAGCATATTCAATATGGTGGCGTGTGGGCCACTGCTCCTCCTGGAAAGCTTTCTGGGTTTCCCTCGTGGAAGCAGTCCACTCTGGATGACTAGGAGCTACCGTTTGAATATATTCAGCGGTGGAGACGTCTTGAGAGGCTTGAGGCTGAGATGGTGGGAGACCGCTACTAGGCTGGGAAATAGAGACCTGCACAAATTATCTGTTAGCGTTTTCTCCCACTTTTGGGATCAAAGGTTAAGACAGGACAACGAAAAGAACTTACGAACGGCGGACGGTAGTGTTTGTCATAAATCGCCCACCACATGCCCAGGAGCTGATTGTAAGGGGATTCCAGCGGTACAACCTGCCTCGGCAAGTTCCACGGCTTCTGCGAGCCAATGAAATGGATGAGAGAAATCGTGCTCTGGAAATGCTTGTATGCCGGGATGTACTGGTAGTTGGCACTCGGGGTACAATTGTAAGTAAAGCTGAGCCGATGCCAGTCCCGAAAATGCATATTGAGGAGGCCCTGGTCCGCGCCATCGAAGCTGATGCCTCGCGTGGCGAGTGCCTTCAGAGCATAGTAATCCTGCATGTTCGGCCGTAACACCATGACTCCGCTATTGAAACAGTCCGGCCAGCCCACATCTGGTGCGGCAGCAAAGTCCGCCTCCAGGGACAGGAGCTCATCGGGAGCTCGCAGGGCGACTACGTCGCAATCGATATAGACGACGCGGTCGAACTGCGTGAGACGCCACAGCTCGATTTTCGTGAATGTGGCGATCAAGTCCGGTCGGTCCATGAGCCATAGATTGGCGGGTGTGTCGTTGACCACGGATATCACCGGGATCAGCTCATCGTAAACGGTCTTCCGGAACGAATGCCAAACAGATTAGGTTTCTCGACTGCTACCAGGTGGACGAGCATTGGTCATTGGGATCAGGAACCTACCCGTAGCTCATTGATGGTGGCTGCCTGTAATCGGTCTGGTGTAAAGAGGGCGATCAATCTCGCTCTTGTGCCATTGTCGCGCAGAGAATGCGCCAGGACCATAGCCCCTATGGATCAACGCTTAGAAATAAGACTCGGCGGCGGCGACAGGGCCAATTGCTTACCAGGCAGGTAGTGGTCGCTCAACAGGAGCTAGTAAGAATCCATTTCCATTAGCGTGCCGCCCTCTTTTCCTTCCGGTATCTCATCCGTATCGAGCAAGAAGGGAAGGGGGAGATGTCCCACCGTGCAGTAGACCGCACCCCGCTCGGACTCCATCGCGCCGCGAGTCCCTCACAACACGAGCCCAAAACAACCCGGGAGCAAGCGGAGGAATTTTCCCTCCACCCCAACCAAGCGCAGTCAATGAGAGCGAACTGAAAACGCAAGAATAGGAGACGAAAAGAGGCGACGAGGAGCTCTGTCGCGGGCCTGGTTGACCGGCGACTATATTTAACCCCGTCGCGGTCCCGCCCCAACCACCGCTCGCCGTTCCGACTGGCTCTCGTCGCGGGTAGGGGGAGCTGTGGTACCTGGACCGGACGCAGGTTCAAGCGGACGAGAACGATGTTCACCAGTGCTGCATTGCGCGGTTGTGCAAGGTGACTCTTAGTCGGTGTGGCAATCCAGGGGGTGGGAAGGGGAGTAAACAGGATATGTTCAGGGGCGGGAGGGGAAGGGGGAAGAGGCTAAGTTTCGGGGAAGAAGTTTGGATGGGGGCGGGGATGGGAAGCTCCCGCAAGCTTCGGCGGGGGTGGCGGGATGACAGCGAGAATGGCGCTTCGCAAGTGGAAAACGAGCTGGACCAAAAAGAGGGGGTGAGGCAATGAGCTTCGTCCCCGCGTGTCCAGACAGATCCAGGGCCACGATGGGCTCCGAATCCACCGAATCCACCGAATCCACTTGGGACACGGATGATCCGCAGGTCCAGTACTTAGCCAGCTCTTAGTCTAGTGCACCTGCAACGATGCAGTCCATTGATCCCATTGATCCCATTCATACTGTCGCGCGTGACAGAGTCCCAGCTTCAATCAGGGCATGATGCTCGAGCTATAGCATGGTTGTAGCTGCTGCAGCGCGGAAAGCTAGAAGGGGCCCGAGTCTTGTGATATTCGTGATATTCGTGATATTGCGATATTGCGATATTGTGATATTTGGCATGGCCTACTATATACGAGGAACCACGATCGGAACCTGGGATTTCCACCAGTACAACTGCATTTTGACCTTATGCACCAACAGACCACCAGAAACCACGGTCACGAAACTAGTAATGCGGGTGAGAATGTGGAAAATCAGCAAAGGCGCGCTTTGCCCCCGGTCCATTGACCTCGGAGCCGGGGACACGGTAAGTGCCTTGTCCGCTAACCCAGGGGGCGCATCCGCCACGGAGCGATGGTGATACATGAAATCCCGGCAGCAAGACCAAAGCGGGAACGAAAACAAGGACCACCGCATAACACAGCAAAAATTCAAATAAAATGGCCTATGCACCCCTTGTTCACGGGCAGACGATGGATCACATCAATGGGCCATGGCATAGTTCGAGGGCGAGAGGCAATTCCTCCCCTTATCCTCCCGCCCGCCCGAAAGGTACTGACAGCTGCCTCGCCATCTCATCGTCTCCCAAGCTGGCCATCTCTACCGCCGAGCAATGACCTTGGCACTCGGATAAGCCTGCTGTACTGTAGCCTCAATGTCCTCGATCTCGCCCCGGACAGCCCACTCGACGATCTTGGCCAATGCCCCGCGGCTCTCAACCTCGATCGGCGTGAAATGGGCCGAGTTAGGAAGCATGATGACTTGACTATTCGCAACGAGGTAGTCGGCGATGCCGTTCAGACAGAGGTTCGGGTCCAGCGCGGTATCCTTCTGGCCCCACAGGATGGTCGAATTCGCTTTCAGCACGCCGGGCGCGCCCTCGTCGAGAAGACCCGCGCCGCTACTCGTACGCCGCAGCTCCTTGCCCCCGGCAATACCGTGCAAGCTCGCCACTGTCTCAATGGACTTCTCCCAGCGCGCTAACACGGCATCGTCGCGATAATAACCGGCCATGTTCATCACGTTGGCGAACTCATGACCATACTGAATGGTGTCCGGATAGGTAGCGCCGGTGGACGTCTGCGTCGTCGACTCCGCCCGCGAGGGACCCTGGGTGCTCGCCATCGAATCGGCTTCATCGCGCGGGGTGAATTTGTCTCCCCCATGGGCTTGCTTATGGCAGCCCTTCATGAGGGATTGGTTGCCGCCGACAAGCATATACCGGACGAACGAGACAGGGAGTTGCATTGCGAAGACGTAGCCCGACAGTAGAAGTTGGCGAAACAGCGGACTCACCGTCCGCAGAGCTTGGAGAATTGGTGTGCGGGCCTGGAGGGGAGATCCCAGAGCCGTGTTGAACATCTTGGATGCCGACATGATGAGGCGGTCGATGTTGGACCGGACCAAGCTTGGCTGTGAAAACCCATCATCACTCTGCGTTAGCATATATATCCTTAATACGCACATATTACTTATCAATCTCGACCAACATACCAGTGGCCCATTGGTCAGAATAAATCGATCTGCCAGTGCCGGTGCTTCAGCAGCCAGGCGCATGGCCAGCAAACAACCCCAATCGTGGCCAACGATGATGGTCTTCTTCTTGCTCGATTGCGAGTCATCATCAACTCCATACTGAATTCGGAGGGTGATTATCAGCTCGGTTAGCTTTTCCAGCACTGAAGTTGCGGTGTATCTCTCTAGGGCCTGGCTCCCACCATACCCAGGCAAGTCGATGGCAACTACAGTGGCAGCGTTTTGCAGCGAGGCCGAGCTGATAATATGACGCCAGATAGCCCAGCTATCAGGGAAGCCATGGATGAAAATGACCAGTGGTTTGTCGGATTTCAAAGCAGCAGGGGAGTTGGGCGTTTCATTGCTAACCATGTGGAACTTGAACCTACTGGGAAGGGTCAGGATGTGGTGCGCCAGCCCTTCAAAGTCCTTGGAGAGATTCCACAGACGATCGCGCGCTGGTCATTCCATTTTAGCAGTTATTCTCTAGCTCCAATAGTTGGGTGCTAATACTTGACGATATTGAGGAGGGGGACCAGTAGAAAGAAACATCACGACTCACCAATCTGGAGCTCCAGGCTCTGCTTCTCGGTGCGCTTGGTGAAAAAGGTCCCTTGTCTGATGGCGATGGCTCCATAAAGAACTATCGTGAAGAGACCATATCCCCGGGCAGCCAGCCAGAGTACGGTCTGAGTGAATCTACCCGCCATGGTGAAGCGGACGTTCAACGTTCGATCGACGAGAGATTGACCACGTCGGGACAGGGCTATAATGAAGGGGGGAAGTAACAACCGTACACTAGGGTAGAGGGAAATAAAGGTTATCAAGCTGCATTGGACGGCCTTATAAATAGTTCAATCAAGCTGCAGCTACTGGGCGGGGGCTGCCACGGCATCTCGGAAAGCTCACTCTGTCGCGTCATGCCGTTAGTCAGCCCGAGGCCCTGATGATCGCCACTCGCAATTTCCGCCACAACAAGAGCTACGATTTGAATAGCAGATGAGAGTACTTCGGGTCCCCCTGAAAAATCCAGAAATGTGGGGGAAGAAGACTCGCTTGAAAATAAGGTCGCATTATGGTCAGATAGAGTTGGTCCCAGCAACAATCAGCCTCAACAGTTCCTATCCCAGAGAACGCCAAATACATCTCTCTCCACATGCAAGTATAGGAACGGGGAGGTATCAATCAGTTCGGCAACAGTCAAGAGAATCGGGACAAAGACAAGAAAAGGTCAGAGGGTATTAACACATGATGGGGTAATGCAAAGAGCAACATGAGAGAAAAGAAAAAGCCAACAGAAGGAAACAGCCGTGATTTCGTCGAGTCCCCGCAAGAGGCTGAATCTCGATTCAGCAAGCAGAGCAATGTAAAGTAAGCCCAATTATTAGGGTATATACAAGGGCGACTTTTGGGAAGGAAGATAGAGCAGGTAAATCCCGATCAAAGAGAGAATCCGAGCTCATCGCGATGGTCGTCCACAAGACGTCCATATCTACAAAGCAAATCCCATCATTAGCAAAAAATACCAAAAGAAGAAGAAATAACGAACGAAAGAAAGACTCCGAAAAAAGACTTACTCCAGGAGAAGACGGAAGAACCAGACCTCGAGGTCTCCATTCCGCAGCACCTTCTGAGCCCATTTCTGGCCCTGAGCCGCAATCCGCGGGGCGGTCCTCTTGCCTTCATCCTCCGACACAAAATAGCGCATGCTCTCGACATATTCGTTACCTTTCAGGCTGAGTGGCACATAGTGCACCCAAGGCTTGAGCCACTCATCGTGCCATTCGCGGAACATAGCAATCTTGTACACAAAGCTGTTGCTGAGTAAAAAGGCGTAGAAGCGCCCGCTGAAAGCATTACCATCGACGTCGACCAAGTATTTGTGCGCCCAGGCGTCTTGCTGTCCGGCAGGTTCGACAACCTCGAAGTATTGTTCCTGGGCATGGCAGTCATCAGGGTCACATTGACCAATGAATGAGAACTTGACGTCAAAGTGCTCGCGAAAGGCATCCCGGCTGACATTCTGTGAAATCCACGAGTTGTCTTCCTGCCGAGTAAGAATTTGACTCGGTGCCAGGGAATTGACAGAGTCGACGAACTGTTGCCGATGCTGTCGGCGCCAGCCTCCAGCACGAGAGAAGCCACCGGTGGTGGACCCGCGCCAGTACATCCGATCAGACTTGTCATCCCAGGAGAAATCCTTGTGTTTATCGTAAGGAACCTTGTTGTCCCAATACCAGGGGCTGGGATAAAGAATGTCTTGAAAGCTGGAAATCTTGCTCTGCGAAAATACCGGAAACAAGTCATGGACAACATCGAAGGCATTCGGGCGGTCGAAAAATCCGTAGGTATATCGCAGGGACGGGGTGAGGCATATATCGGAGAAGGCCGTGGTGTTGTAGATGAACCCCAGTTCGCCATACGCATAGGGATCAATGTTGTCGGGGGCTTGTTCATCAAGGGATCTGGCGGGGCTATCGACAGGGCAAGAGGCGCGAGAGTTGGTCCACGTTGGCTGGTGGGCAAAGCGGTTAAAGCGAGTCGTGCGCACCTCATCAATGCGGTCGCCCTTGTTCAAATCCGCCGCTCGAGGCGACCACGCGTTCAGCGTCGTCTTCCTGTCGAACGCGGCAGGGATGACATTGTCCGTTGCCATCTGAACCAGTCGCTGGAGGTCATCCCCAGGAATGATCACACGAGGTTCGTCGTGAGTATTGAACACCAAGTCCATATCCGGCAAAAACCTCACGAAATCCTTCATCATGCCTACTGTGGCCTCGCGCTGCCACTTCCCACCGTCGCCGCCGCCCTCGACGTGCGTCACCTTGCCATCGCGAATCAGCACGCCAATCACGGCGTTATCGAATCCCATGGTCTCTCGGGCGCGTTCGCGGATGGTCTGCGGCTTCAGCGCCCAGAAGGGCAAGAGGGAGTGGTAGATCGAGTCAAACTCGTCCACCAACTGCACATTCTTGGACTGGGCGAACTGGAACCATTTGTCGAAGTGCGGCGGGGGGTGCATCTTATAGCGACGTTTGTACTCCTGGACGGCCTCAGCCAGGGTTTTCGATTGGCGAGAATGCACATAGTCGAATCGCTGCTGTGCATTCTCGACCAGGTTCGTAATGGGGTGCACTTTCTCGGGCAGGAAGGAGGTCTGGCCTGTATGGAGCTGAGGGTGTCTGATCGGTTCGGGGGGAGGGAGATCTATTGGGACATCGCGGCGAGGGTGCTCGGAGCGGAGGAGGACGAGCGAGAAGCACGCGAGGAGGGTAATCCCCAAGAGAAGGATCAAACGTTGTGTTCGCATCCTGCCATCTGTAGTCCGCATGAAAGCGAGGCGAGTCGAACGAGAGGCAGGGCGCCGAGAGGAGGGGAAGCGGATAGGAAAAAAAGGGTCTAGGGAGGCGTGCTCCATCCCGAAGGTCTGGAGTTTCCCTACTATTATTAAACCCGGGGCCTGCCAAGCCGCTTGACGCCCTGTCCACGCATGTCCACTCTGGACGACGCAAGCCCATTTTCCTTGTTTCCGACCAGGGAAAAATACCCGCCTACCCAGTTGGTCGCCTTTGCGGTCCCTCGGTTCCTGGCCTCCCAATTCCACTGCAAGAATTCCTTTTGCGTCGCCGTTGACCACGGTGGCGCTAAGTTTATGGGGAGGGGCGAATCCACGGTTAGCGTAAGGGACAGGTCACAATGATGGAGCCTCGAAACCCTAACGCGATCCAAACGTGCATCAAAGGCTCTTGATGCATCTTCGCAGCCTCGTGGTGATCGCGATTAAAGAAGTTTAATCCCGCAACCAAAAGCTTGTCCGTGTTTGTGGCCCAGTGGATCGTTTTCCGAATTTCCGAAGTCCCCTGATACCTTTGCATCTAGCCCCATTATATATTAATGGGTCGGGTCTGATCCGCCGGAGGACCACGAGCACGCGGCAGGTCTGGGTCGTTATATATCCTGCTACATCGGTCGCAAGGTAAACAACCCACCTTACCAAGCACAGAAAAGATATATGCAGGACCCGGAAGTCAATGAGGTCATTACTGCAAGTGCATGTTCTCGGGCAGATTTTAAACCATTGAGTGACTTTCGAATTGTGACAGACGTTCCAGGGGCCGCCGTTATTCAGGCCGAAAAAGAAATCAAGACTGGAATCATGCGTATTGACTACACCCCCAAAAACATGAAACCCTGGTAGGAGAATCAAAATAATAAAACAACTCGTCTCGGGATTTGATTCTCGGAAAATAAATATACGGACGAAAAAACTATCTATACGCGACCTACCCGTCGCACCATCATGAAGGAACACACCCCATTGACCACAGAAGCTCCTAGTGCTTGAAGCATATACTTCTGGGCCTGCGCAACGTGATAGTATGCGGCCGCACTTAACAAAACAACCAATGCAACATGGCCATAATAAAATGAGCGCCGGCGGGTTTGAATGGATCCCGCCGAGAACCATGCACGAATGCCGCTCTTCGGAGCAGCCCCCCGAGGCCGTGCAAAGAAGAGCAGAGAGATCGCAGCACTAAGAGCTACCAGGCCACACTGCACATCCGAGTCCAGAATACGCTTCGCAAAAAGGGAGCTGTACTCGGGATGGCTGGACTGCACAAAGAAAAGCAAGTACAGGGTGGCATGACCAAACAGCAGTGGCGAGATCACGACGCGCCCAAAGAGCCGGTGGTAAGGAGTGACCGTCGCTTGTGGAACAGAGGTCAGAAACGAGAAGATGGATGATGCTGACGGCTTGGAGGTGGAGATGTATGCAGCCGGAGACATTAGGACTTGTAAGGGAACCTGGGATAGGGCGACATGACCCAGTGCCTTGGTCAAATGGAGGTAATCTGCAAATTCTGTGTCAGCTCCTGTATTTGTCTGAGACGGATACCGGAAAGCTTCAAATGGTATGACGGGGTGAAAGGAGCCTCATACCATCACCACTATTCCATAAACAGAGACTAAGCAGCCACAAGAGCCATACTCCGCAGACAAGATACTGCCGACGTGTCTCAATCCACCCGGTAACGAGGGGGCGATCCCACCACGAGCTGGGCCCACGGCGGGATTTCGCTGCATCCTCTGGGGATGCTACTAAGTTAACCCAGCTTTGATAGACTCGGATTGCGATGACAGCGACAATGATCGACCACTGCGCGTAGGCACCGCGCAGGTCAAGCAGCTCCCGGCGGCCTGCTTTCTCCTCTTCAGAGAGGGTAATAAAATGGTACGGCCAAGCAAGATCCATAGCGAAAGCGGGATCAATACCGAGATGGACTGATAAATGTATGAGCTTCTAGAGCCAGGATTTCCCAGGAGGCAGAGACAAGGGAAGTGGTCGATATCGTAAGTAGGCGGGCGGCAAGATTGTCGCAGAATGTTCAATTCAAAATAACATTGTAGCTGCAAATCTATTCCTTGCAACTGATATACCTTTCTTGATTTTTGAAACTTCGGACACCTGCTCACAGGTTGGAGGAGGAACATGCAAGGTGTCCTGCTTCGCACTTACGCGTGCAACAGCCTTGGGGGTCCCCCCGGACCCGCTGACAAATAGAACGTTTTGACTCGCCCGCGTCGGCCTTCAATTGCGACGACACTACCCCGTATGTCTGTACGGATTGAAGGAAAAAGCCTTGAGAGGCAAGTTGAGTACAGGCCGGCAAACCTTATAATAAAAAAAAACTAAAGCCAGGCACGTCTACAATCACTCTCAATGGGCAGAAAGAGAAAATGATTCAAACTGGCGTGATTGCTTTTATGGCTACCTTGGGTGAACATAGACGGGTTATGTATGGGATCAAAAGAGTAAGAAAACCTCTACATTAAGAACGCCATCAAGACATCTCATCCCAAAGCTGGCTATTCTCTCTAAGCTGACAGGGTGCCCCCGTACCCAGATAATTACGCAATGGTGCTCTGTCGTCATATATTTGCGCATATGGGAGGGGCGGTCTGAAGAGAAGAGAGCAGTAGTTCATGCGGTGTCACCGAGCTCCCTGAGAACGGTCTCACGGAGAAGTCTGCATAGCCTCCTCCTGGTTACCACCTGCGGTAGTAGCAAAATAGCGGACATCAACATCGTCATCCTCCTGCAGCTTCTCCAGGCTGGGCAGGATTCTTTGCTGGATCAGCTCCTGGCTCTTCGGTGACGAAGTGGCAGTCTCGCCAGACTTCTCCACCTCAACCAAGGTCTTATCAGCCGGCAAACGGCGGAGAGTGTCGATCAAAACGGCGTAAGACTTGGCGACATTAAAACGAATGTTGGGAATCTCGTCCGCAACGAGACGGTCCAAGATGGGAAGAATGGAATTTTCGATGATATCGAGAGTGACAACAGGGGCGAGGGTCTAGACGAATTAATATGGTTCGGACATGATATTTTCAAAGCTGGGCGGGACTCACAGAAATAGCAAAGCATGTTGTCATGCGGTAAAGGTAGTTAGGGTGTTGTCCCATGGCCATTACCTTGGGAATAATAGACTCCTTGGCCCAATCCACGCCAAAGACTTCAGTAAGTTTCTTCAAGTTCTGAGTAGCGGCCTCTCGAATGGAGAAAACGGTGTCACCGAGCCATCCCATACAAAGATCGCTCAATTGATCATCGAAGAACTTGACACCAAGTTGACTGGCGAGAAGGGGAATGTATTCAATGATAGCTAGACGCACGCGCCACTGCTTGTCCTCAGCCAGCTGGACAATCGCAGGAAGAAGAGATTGGGAGAGAAGATCGATGCCAATAACTGATGGAAGAGGTTAGAGGACGGAATGTGAATCATGGAAGAGGATTACAAGCATACCTTTGTTAACCTGCTCAAGCTTCGAAATAATATGCAGGCGAACATCGGGAAAATCATCTTTGAGCATTTGAAGGAACATAGGAAGAAGGTGAGCAATAGTCCTGAGCAATAATTAGCGATGAGATCTTCGGGGAGCTTCAAAATCAAAATAGTGAGGCAACACACTCTTCCTTCCCAAGAATAGGAGCGAGCCCGCTGATTTGAGTACCCAGGGCAGCCCGGACGTGTTGAGATTGATCAGACACAAGATCCTCCACACTAGTCATGATTTCGTTGAGTAGAGTATCGCGGTCGATCAAATTGCAGAAGCCTGGTCATACTGTTAATGGCGGCTTGAAAAACTCGGCTGGGGATGTGAAACGCGCTTACCAGGGATCTGGCCAGCGATCGCAGTGCGGACCTCAGCCTCGGTATCTTTCAGAAGCTTGACAAAAGCAGGCACCATATCGCGGGTGACCACTTCCTCATGCACAGCCTTAGCGATCTATTGAAGCATTAGTGATTAGTACTGGTTCCATTTCCAATCCATCTTGAGTAAAGAGCCCGAGCAACGAACCTTCTCATATCGATCAGCGACCATGTATCGGACACGCCAGCTCTTATCCTCAAAGAGATTTCGCAGCGAAGTAAGCAGCACGCCGTGACTGGGCTGTTGCTCCTTGGGAATTTCCTCCGCGATCGCGATGAGAATATCCACCGTCAGCAAGCGCACGCTGTCCTGATCATCACTGGCCAGATATTGGAAAAGGGGTATCATTTCATCAATAACCACGGGTGTGTCCATCTCCTTGACAAATTTGGCTAGGTTGTTCGCCGCTTGCCGCCGCACCATAGGGGTCTCATCATGTACCAAAGCTCCGAAGTGCTGTCGAAGGCTCTGCTGCAAAGCTGAGGGGGCTTTGCGGTATGGTGTGCAGTACAAGCCGGTCGCGGAGACCTTCGAGGTAAACCAGTCGGCTTTGGAAAGATGGAGGACGAGAGGGACAAAGTGCTCTTCAACTTGGCTCTCTGACAGTTGCTCGCAGACTTTGTTGAGAGATTCGACAGCCTATGTCACAGGGATCAGTAACCCGAGCCATTAGACCTGTTGATGGCGGAACTAACCTTCTCCCGGACCAAAGGCTCTTCGATCGCCGCCAGGTTCTCCAGCGGTGACAGGAGCACGTGCGCGTGTTCTGGTCCACCGACATATTCTGTAAAGTTACCCAATTCCTCGCTCAACGCGGTCAAAACTTCATCTTCATCCTCCACGGAGTCTAATTGTAGAGTAGGTTAGGCGCGTTCAGCCGATGGAGAGGGTGAGAAAGTGGCGGGGAGGGCTTTTTTGGGAGTAACAGACCATCCAGGAATGGGATGAGCTCCTCTCGGGTTCTCTCGGGCCCGAGGGCGAGCGCGATCGTGGATAGACGGTGAATAGCATTGAGTCTGAGGAGAACATCGTCGTGCTGCAAGAAATTGCGATGTGAGCTTGGATCAGCAGATTCCCCCTCCACCGGTGGAGCAGAGAGCAGCAGAGGGTCGGTATACCTTCAACTCATCAATGAGAACCGCGATAGGGTAGAGCTCATCATTCTCGTTTTGACCCTCCATCACGTACGTGGTGAGTTGTGTATTAAGGTGGAGCAAAAGAGGAAGGAGACTGGGAGAGTCGAGGTTGGTTGGATTGAGGTCCCAGCGGGTCGAGGGAAGGGCTGATATCGGGGGGTGGGCGGTGTTGATTGAGGGGCCCGGCGAAATAGAATTATGGAGGATCGAGCGAGAAGCGCACCTTCGTGAACTCTCGACGAATATAGAAACTGGACCGGGAGGGAGGGGGAGAGAGGTCAGTGTCGGGATATGGAAAGGGTCAAAAGAGAAGGGGATGGTCGGAGTGAGGTTTCGTGGGGGTTTGGGCCGCAGACCACCTGTCGCGGAGCAGAGCAGCCACGAAGGAACATACCTCGGGCACAATTGAAAGATCGTCCACCTGAGCTAAGTACCAGAACCAGGATAAGAGGAAGAGAATCGGAAGCGTGAGAGGAGGACGGCAGTGGGGGACCGGGAATCGTGTCTCTCGATCGTTCTGAGCTTTCACGGCCAAACAACCTGGAACTGCGCGTAATTTACATACAGCTAAGATACAGGCGTGGCACGGGCGGATCGAACTGGGGTGATTTTGGCGGGTGTTTGCTGGGTTTTTGCTGGGGAAGACGATGACGAACGGACCACGCTGGGCCACGAGCGATGGAACAAACCAAGGAGAGGCTAGTGTGACCATACCGTACCGTCACAAAAGAGGGGGGGCAGTTGTGGCGGTGGTGGCTTTTGCGCGGCAGAATTTCCAGTCGCCAGCAAGACAGAGTCATCGCCATTTCTCCCCCGCTTGTGGACTTTCGGCTTCTTGGTAGGTTGATTTCAGATATTTGGGTGCTCAGTGAGGCTGAGAAGGACATGAACAGCTAGCTGACCAGACTGCTCGATCCTGTACCAGAACTGCATCGCATTGCGCATCCCCCGCCATGCCCACTATCTCGGTTGACAAGGCCGCTCTCTTCAAGGAGCTGGGCCGGGAGTATGTGCCCCTCTGACTCTCGTCATTTTGCGCAATGGTTCTAATGGGATGATTTCCACCGCCTCAGGTATACCACGGAGGAATTCGATGAGCTATGCTTTGAATTTGGTGGGTTGGATCAAACTCCGAAGCGACTCTGCGGGGCATCAGGCTGACTGCGTCAAACAGGCATTGAGTTGGATGAAGACGTATCATTTCTCCCATTCCCTTTGCGAAAAAGAAGCCTTCCCACTGAAAATTTGTTAGACGACCGACCAGGAGCGCCCAATCGTCGACGGAGTGCAAGAACCCCCGCAGCTGAAGATTGAGATCCCCGCCAACCGGTATGCCCAACCAGGCCCCACGGGAGGTGGAAAAAGATGCACGAACTGAGAATAGATCCCAGATATGACTTGCTGTGCTTTGAGGGCATTGCCCTGATGCTTAATATCTTCTTGGGCCGCAAGTCCCTGCCCGACTACAAGTTGATTGAGCCTGCGAACGGCCAGCTCCAGGAAATCATTGTCAAGGAGGATGTGAGTTTCAATCATGTCCCCGAGCGCATGGGACTCCCTTCACTGATGCAGCACAACAGACCACAAAAATCCGACCCTACGTGTCCGGTGCGATTCTCCGTAACGTCAAGTTCGACAAAGCTCGCTATGAATCCTTCATCGCCCTCCAAGACAAGCTTCACCAGAACCTGGCCCGCCAACGGACCCTCGTCTCTATTGGCACCCATGATTTGGACACTGTCCAGGGTCCTTTCACATACGAGGCCCTTGCCCCTAAGGACATCAAGTTCATTCCTTTGAACCAAACCCAGGAGATGAACGGTGAGGAATTGATGACTTTCTACGAGGTATGTGGAACCTGGAAGTACCCAGGAGTACCCATCATTGGCACTCAATCACTCACCATCGTGATTGCATCAACAGAAGCACCAGCAATTGGGCAAGTACCTGCACATTATTCGCGACTCTCCTGTGTATCCAGTCATCTACGACTCAAAGCGCACTGTCTGCTCTCTGCCTCCCATCATCAACGGTGACCACTCTAAAATCACATTGGACACTACCAACGTTCTCATTGAGATCACTGCTCTCGACCGGACGAAGCTTGAGATTGTGAACCGCATGATGGTTACCATGTTCTCCCAATACACCTCCGAGCCTTTCACGTAGGTGACTATACTTATCTCAAATTCAGAAACCAGGTATACTGATTAGACGACAGCATCGAACCCGTTAAGATCGTCTCAGAGCACAATGGCGAGACTCGTATCACTCCCGATCTCAGCCCCCGCACCACACAGGCTGAAGTTTCTTACATCAACCAATGCTGTGGTCTGAACCTCACTCCCATCGAAATCTGCAACAACTTGAGGAAGATGGCTTTCCGCGCCAAGCCTTCGACCAACAACTCGAACACCGTTGACGTCGAGATCCCCCCAACCCGTGCAGATGTTCTTCACCAGTGTGATATCATGGAGGATGTCGCCATCGCCCACGGCTTCAACTCGCTTCCGCGCGCGTTCCCCAACATCTCCGGTACCATTGGCCAGCCCCTCCCTATCAACAAGCTGACCGACATCATCCGTGTGGAGACTGCCATGGCCGGCTGGACTGAGGTTCTGCCGCTGATTCTCTGCTCGCACGACGAGAACTTCGCCTGGCTGAACCGTAAGGATGACGGAAACACTGCTGTCAGACTGGCCAACCCCAAGAGTCTTGAGTTCCAGATCGTTCGCACCAGCCTGATTCCGGGCCTGCTGAAGACTATCCGCGAGAACAAGTCACACACCGTGCCCATGAAGGTCTTCGAGGTCAGCGACGTTGCGTTTAAGGATCTATCTCTCGAGCGGAAGAGCCGCAACGAGAGACACTTTGCCGCTGCGTGGTATGGCAAGACCAGCGGTTTTGAAGTTGTCCACGGTCTCCTTGACCGCGTGATGACTATGCTTAAGAGTGCTTTCATCACTGCTGAGGAAGGCCTCGATTACTCTTCTATGAGCGATTCGCAATACTTCATCAAAGAGCTGGATGGTATGTTCAATGTCCCAACTCTCAACCTCCTGCTTCGAGGGCGAAGAGACGAAAAAAAAGAAGCAAAGCTAACATAATCATTACAGACCCTACTTACTTCCCTGGTCACTCCGCTTCCATTCACCTGCGTGTTGGCGGTAAGGAGCACGTCATTGGTACCTTTGGGATCCTGCATCCCACGGTGCTTGAGAAGTATGAGCTCAAGTACCCGGTCACTACTCTGGAGATCAACATTGAGCCTTTCCTCTAGATTTTCTAGATTGAAACTAGGTATTACTATGCTTTGCGACGCAGATAGATGATGACATGACGTGGAGAGGGCTCTATTGTGACATGCCGAGTTTGTTTCGATTAGAGCTGCAGACACTAAAAGCAATAAAAATAAAGTTTCAAGTACATATATAAATGTTTAAAGCTCGGACCGATTACGTCAATTAGGGTCAAAAGTAGGTGTTTCGAAGGTAGTGCGATCTATAATAGTTCTCGAGACTGACGAGTCGAGGGTGCTTCCATCCACCGCAAAGTGTATATAAAAGACATTACGAAGGGCGACGTCGAAGGGCGAGTCTGACCCAATACATATTATGTCAACCGATAGAATCTACCAAGAAAACATACTTGATCACGAAGCTCCTTGTCAACTTTTTTTTTGTCTTATAGGATTCTTCTTCGTACACCAATGCAAGGATACATCATGTTCGGTCCAGCCCCAGCTTACCACGAAGCTCAAATACAAGGGCCTGCAAACTAGATTTTCGACTGGGCGTCATTCGTTTGAATTGGAATGAAAAACAAGGCAGCGATAGAACCAAGATTTTGAAGTCTTCATGTAATTTTGATTGCGTGAGGTAGAGAGTATAAGGTTAGGTTAGGACAGGAAGGAAGAAAAGGGAAAGCCGGGCCTAATGAAAGAAGAAACAAGTTTACTCCTGAGCGTAACCCTCAGTGGCACCCTCAGCCTCAGCGGCCTGCTGCTCAGCCAGACGCTGCTGCTCAGCAAGCTGCTGGGCAGCAATAGCCTTGGCACCGTAGTCCTGGCTCATGGGCTGGAGAACGGGCTGCTCCTCCTTGGGCTCAATGATGGTGACGGAGTCGGGGAGAGTCTTCTGGGGGCCGGACTTGCCCTCGGGGTCGGAGCCGCGCATGATCTTGACCTTGATACCAAGGACACCCTGGCGGAGCAGAACGTGGCGGGTGGCGGAGTCAATGAACTCCTTGGCGGGCTGACCGGAGTGGATCATGAAGCCGTCCTGTTAAAGATGAGATTAGCGACAAGTTTCATGCGCGAGTTCCTCTTCGTAGAGACAATGGGAAAATCGTGCGAGATTCGCGTTGATCGAATATTTCATCAATCGGGCCGCAGCATCCTCACGTAATATTCCCGTTTCCCATTGCGATTTTATGATGTAAACATTGTAGACGTACAGTGAACTTCATGGACTTAGCACGGGCAGCACGGAGCTTGCCGGACACAACGACCTCGCAACCCTTGGCACCGCTCTCCATGATGAAACGGAGGACACCGTAGCAGGCACGGCGGACGGCCAGACCGTTCAGGAGCTTGTAGCGGAGGGACTCGCACTGAGCGACGGCGGACAGACCGCGGTTCTGGACCTTGGCGGCATAGAGGGAAACGGAGTTCTCGGGGAACTTGAAGCGCTTCTGGATGAGCGAGGTGAGCTCACGGATGCGGCGACCCTGCTCGCCGAGAACCTCCTGGGTGTGGGTGGCACGGATGACTAGAAGAAAAAAAAGACATCCGTTAGCATCGACTGATCCGTGCTCCGTTGGTCCGTATATTCCTCCAACAAAATTCGATGTCAAGATCTCTAGCAACATTCCAGGCTCTTGAAAGATCCAATATAGTTCCGCTCGCGACAATTCAACGGACAGAAAAGAAATTCGAGGGTTGCGACGTACTGATGTCGGTGACGGTGGGAGTGACACGGACTTCGACACCGGAATAGCCCTCCTCAGCCAGCTCGCGCTGGAAGAACTCGTTGAGCTCGGCGTAGAAGACACCGTCGGCGACGAACTTCCTGCGCTTGGAAATAGCTCCCTGGACAGCGGCCATTTTTGCGTTCCTGGTGGGTGGAATTGGGTGGTCGACGGGGGAAGGCGAGGTCGAGGTCGAAAGGTTGGTCGTTGTGAGAGTCCTGACTTGGTGGGGATTTTTTGGGTGTAGGGCTTCTCTTGCCTGTTTGGGATAGGGCTCAACCCTCGCTTGTAATGAGCGGGAGCCTTGCCTATCCTGGCTAGCGTGAACACATGCGAGGCAACAAGGCAACAAGGCAACAAGGCAATAAATACCTTGTCTCCTTCTCTCTATTGCTGGATTTTGTTGTCATGTAAACCCTTCAAATTGTATGCTAACAGCATCGATGCATTAGGGGTAGAACTAATAAAAGACATGTGTCTGTTGAACTATGCAAAAGTGTCAAGCTCATACCTCACCCTGCTCTATTTCTGCTTTGCAGAAAATCCGTAAATTCATCAGATTGAACAATTGCTCATAACTACATGTAACCCTCAATGCATCTCCACCTCCATTTCCAACTCTTTCGGCTTTTCATTTTTCGTCTCAACGTTCTGGTCCTTGATAATTGCGAGATTGGATATACTAGAGGTGACAGCAGCCATTCCAGATGCTGCAGCAGAGTGAACAGTGGCTCCTGACATCCGAGGACTAATGGAGTGTTGAGCCGTCTCAACTCCAGTCAAAATAGGGGATGAAGTACTTGGACTCTCAAAGCCAGCAGTGACAGATGTTCCTGGCAGAAGTGGGCCGTTCATTTCGGTATCTGCTCGGCCAAAAGATTCGCTCCACCAGCGGGTCTCCTTGGGTCGAGGGAAAATCAGGCGTTCCTTGCCTCGCTGGTGATCATCAATAAGAGCATCATACTCTGGATTTGTGAACTGCTCTCGTCGGGCGAGGAAATAATCCCACACACTGCGGGTTCGTTCTCGCGCGTTGGTATCTACACGTTCTTTTTCATTGTTGAAAAGGAATGTTCCAAATTGACAGGCGTAAAGGTGATATAGCAGCCGTCGAAGGAAGCGCTCATTGAATTCAAAGCGTGTAGGGTGTTGACGCAGGAGTTGATAGGTCGCATCGAGGAACTGATGGAAAACCGGGCTAGTTTCCTTTACTTTCGTGATTTCTTTCTCTGAAACAGCCGTTCGAGGCGCGGAGCTGGGTTTTTTGGTTGGGCTATCAGAATCATAGCTTTGGAGTTCTCCCTCCGACTCAGGAAGTGAGTCCCGACTAGTATTCTCCCGGTTGAAGAAACCCTTGGCACTGAGGAATGCATTTTCGATTGCTTTGGCAGGGCCTGCGCCACTACCGTCCACATCACCGCCAATTCGTTCATTTTCAATCTGAAACCATTTCTCACTGTTTAGATGACCTGATCTGTGTCGGAACATGTGTCCAAAGGACAGCCAATCCTTCTCAACAAGGACCATAAAGCCTTCCATGGTGCGGAAGTACGGATCCAAACAAATCTGACTCAAAGCACTCAATTGGCTAGTCCTGTCCCAGCCATCGGAACAATGTATCAAAACGTGGGAATGCTGGAGACCAACTTGGCGAGTAATCAATCCAGCACCTTCCAGGATGCCCGCAATATGCTTAAGCCAGCCACTCCGAGCTAGAAGGTCACGGTTAGGTCCCAAAGGAGTGACGTCTGTCTCCTTCAACGCATCAATAACCTTGTTCAAAGAGTCACGCATCACATGAATATTGTCAATACCAAGGTATGCCTTGGTAGCAAACTTATAGTTGTCCATGTTCTCAGAGCCCAGGCCAACAGCTTGCATTGCAAAAGCGTTAACGGTAGGGCGCGCATCGACAATTAGGTTTTGCTGTTGAGCACCATAAATTGCTCGTACTTCTTCCGGTGCCTCACGGGCAGCTGCCAGCATGTCATCCTCAAGATCTTCCGCGTTTGGAACGTCAAGCTCTGTTTGTGAAGCCGACAAGCTCTCATAACTCGAATCAGAAGCCTCTCGATCTAATTGAGCTTTCGCAAAACTAGCCAAAGGCCTCTCTGAGCGAGAAGTTGAGAATATAGCTGCCAGAAGCTTTTCATCCTGAATGCTACGGTTCTGCCGAACACCAACAAGGGGCTGTGAGCTTCTCGTAATACTGCAGTTGTTCACCGGGTGAAGATAGGTAAGGGCAGGGATTCGCTGTCTAGAACGATATCGTCCCGCATAGTTAATGGTATTGTCAGAAATAGCGGATGGCACAGGAATCAAAGCTGGGTATGTTGGTGAGAACTGTGGTATCATCAGTACCTATTTCAAGAGAGACGGAGACAACACCGTTATTAAAGTAACAGGAGCTTACGCTATAGTCCGTATTGATCTCAGAGATCCGCCATCCCGAATTCTCTTTTGAAAGACCCTGACGCTCCCACTCCTTTCGTGGATTATACAAATCCCATCCATTCAGCCCCTTTTCGGGAGGTGGTGGCTGATAGGAAAAGGCATAGAGTCGATCAAGTCGACCAGATTTGCAGGTCCATTGTTTAATACTATCGAAGACTTCTTTGGCCTTTTGTTCACTTGTGAAGTAGAAGCAAACGAAGATAAAGTCTCGGCACCGAAGGCGGATGGAGGAGAGCTGGCGGGACGCCGCGGGAGCCAGGCGCAATGTGCAAAACGAGATAATGGGATAGGTAATCCAGAGTTCCTTCGGTCTAATAGTGATTCCCTTTGCCTGGTCCTCGCTTGAAACTGGGGGGACATGGGAGAAGATTAAGTGGTGAGGGGTTAAATGAAGGGCGCCGTCGACCTGCTCCCCACGGCGGGCCAAGGTCACATTGTCAACCTAAATAACCGCCAGTGGTCAGCTGGAATGCTCTCATCGTCGGGTTCAAGCGTAGTGAGACGTACCTTAGCAACCCGTGTTCTCTCCATACCGTGAGCCTTGGGATCACTGTGCGTGCATGGTCTTCATGCTGAAGGAGGGGGAAGAGTTGGGTGGGGTTATCGCGGGTGCGAGATCGTGATCACAGGTATCGAGAAACTTGACTGAATGCCGTTTTGTGAGAACAGATTGACAATTTCCTTGTCCGGAGTCGAGATATTGCGATTCTGGGAAAGGTTTGGGGTCGGACGAGGAGGGCGGTTACACGTCAAGGTCAGCGTCCGGGTCCCGATCAAGTGTGGGGCGGCCCGGGGGGCGTTCATCAGCTCCGATGTCATAGGCACCACCGAAATCCACCCGTGAACAGGATTGAGACCTCATCGGATGCATGAGTGCTGGAATGCTTTGGCTCTAACATTGTAATGGTTTCTCTTCATATAATTTTCTAGCCACTCAAATTGTAATGTATGATCTCCAAAGGACTGGTTCAGGAACTATTGATCTGCGCAGCGGCCGGGTTCATAGTGCGGGATATTAGAGCCCCCGGGGGTATTTGAATATTAGATTCTTCTAGCGTTTTTCCTGGTTGTGTAGTTGGCATTATTCCTTCGAAGAAACATCCCAGCTTCGTAGATCTTCTCTCACATCAAACTCGGAGAGTTCGTGCTCTGAACTACGGTGCTTCCACCCCCGTCCTTTGGCACCGTCATAAAGCTGTTGCTCAATGCTGCCACCCTTCTTGGGATGACTCAGAGTAGAAAGGGAATCTGGTGTTTTTGGACTACTGGCCGAGTGATTGCTAGAAGCACTCTTGGGACGGCGTTCGAAGCTGGGGGAGAGACTTTTCCCCGTGCGCATTTGGCGGGTTGCAGCGTCCGCACTCAAATGTGACCTCCTATAGTCGTCTTCTGCATGGCCCTCAAGCATAATGTTGTGGGTTTCATTATTCCAGCAAGAGCTCCCAGCAAAGAGCTCTTCAACCAGCTTATCGGCAGGAAGGTCACAGGAGCGAGAAGTCCACGATGCTGCCAGAGTACGTCGGTACATATCTTGCATATCTGCTATTTCTCTGCCTTTGGTATTGATGGATGGAAGATGGCCCAGCTCTTCCGAGTCTCCTGGTTCTGCAAGATGTACTACTCTGGCGATACCTCCGAAAACAGTCGCAGATTTTAGCGATGGCCTATAATCGGCCGGGTTAGAGCAGGGCTGTTGGAAGGGGGATCTGAAATGGGACACAAACGTTATAAAGTTGCGGTCTCCTTCCGTCTGCCGCATCGCAATGCCAATTTTGACTGTACTATTGACTTTGCTATCAAACATAAGGTATCTTCGGACCACACCCTCATCATCGTCGACCTTGTCGACATATTCGGCAAGATTGAGTTTGATTTTGCCCAACACATTCTTCTCATTTGTGGGTGAAGAGTGAAACTCTTGAATCACTTCAAAATTTATTTCACATTCCTGTAGCATTGATGATCTGTCAATGGTGAGCCTCACTTGCAGGGCCTTCTCATAATTCCAGTATGCTCGATGGTCACTCAAAGGTGCTTTTTCAGTATGGCCCTGGTGTTCCGTAGCGCTTGATGACGGAAGACGCCACCTTATCCAAGCAACCCCATTTCCTAGAGGAACATTATTGATGTCGTTGATCTTTGCCCCAGTTTAGCAAAATATCCAGATTTTATGATTGATTGAGTAAACATACCCTTAAGACTAACTCGAATCTCGGCTGAAAGATAGGTTAGTTGGAAGTGATCTGAGGCCTGAGGTTTCAACCTGCTTACTCTTCTGTTTTTTGGGACTAGCGTCGGGAGACAAGTCAGTTTCATTCACATTGATTGAAAAACTAAGTTAGACTGGGTGACTTTAACATGGATGGAACTCACCAAACGCCTGCATGATGGTCGAAGTAGTATCCAATCAAGCGGATGCAAGAATGTGGATGAGATGCTCCGTCTGGAATCTTCTGCCAGTGATTAGGCACCAGATGTAGAGCACCTGGTCCGCCTAGGACCTGGGCAAGAGCTGGATCTTCTTTACGAGCCGATGCCCTTTCACGAACATGAATTCTGTGGTGAATGGGTCGTCCGGAGCAACTCCCCGCATACGACGTTGTCTTGGCGGTGAGATGTGTTCTCGGCAGAATCCTTACAACCTACAACGCTAGACAGGTTGGTCCCTCATTCTGCCAACCACCTACACTGGAATTCAAGACGCTTCAATTATCCCCTCCAGCTCTCCAGGCAGAAAATCCTATAACCATGGTCAAGACTGAGGCATCTTTGCTCTCCCCTCCATCCGAATCGGCCTCGATTGTACCGCTTGATTCGCCAATCCGCACCACTCCCATACACCCAGACCTCCCTGAGATCCAAGTTCCAGGGGAGCCACTTCCCGTATACCTCTATCACCCTCTTACTTGCCAACCAATTGAAGATCAAGACACACAAGCTGAGCTGGAACAATTGCGCCATGAATTTCCTTCCAAAGAAGCTGCCATGAGAGCCCAAGAGCAAGCTGCCAAAGAAGCGAAGAGGAAGCTTGAGGAGGCCGAAAAGAAAAAAGAACAGGTCCAGAAGGCAATTGATAAAAAGATCAAAGAACGAGATACCGAGATGAAAGTACTCTCCAAGTACCAGGAGGTCAAGGCTTCGGATATCCCAGCTTGAAGTGATGAACAAACGCCATGAGCAACCGATTACCACCTTCAGAGAAAGGCAGGTCAGAATAGGGAATGTACGAAGCATACAGTGACTATGTATGCTCTGGTCACCAATCAATCGTATGGAAACAAGATACAACCTGCAGCTACCGAGCCACCTTTTTACGGCTTCTCCCACGCCCAATCGGAACCTCACAGGAAGGGGGCAACGCCTTCGGCTGTCTATCGCCAAATTTTCATGCAACTCCAGGGGTTTCAGCCTATCAAACCTCGCTCGCATCAAAGGGGCAAGGCCAACCATCACCACTCCCATACATTGACAGCACTTGATGTCTACTTCGAAGCTTCTACCTATAATAGACAGTGAATACTATCCGCGTGGAATCTTTCGGGGTCTGAATCCATTCTGGGCTCCGAAGAGGGCAAAGCTTTCATGAAATCTGCTTCCCCAGGTTAACAGCAGGGATTTGAGTCACAGTCATCAGTTCTTGTATGACACTCCATGAATGCTCAACCATTTGAGCTGCATTGATCAGTCTTGTTAAATATTGATCTACTTCCCGCAACAGCGATACCAAATCTACATGTGTTTACATGGCAATCAGGCCACCGTGAAAATGATTACTTCTTTGCATTATTCTCCATTTAATTCATATTAAACATACTCATACATTGAATCATGGGCTGTCATCAACTACTCATGCCGATGAAGTCACATGGATCGCTCTATAACGAACCGACCACTTGCATAAGGATAGGCAGAATCTACAACAACCATTAGCAATCAACCATTCAGAAAAGAATTCCACGTCAAACTTACATCTGATACATCCTCAATCAAGGTTTGGGTCTCGTTGACAAATTTCTTGGAGAGAAGGTCATCCGCGTTGTTAAGCAAGTTGCCCACTTGGGCCAGTAGGTCCGGCGTGACAACCGGCGCAACTCCATCAATGAGGTTACGAGTCTCATTGATGAACGAAGGGCTCAACAAGGTGGTTCCATTGCCTAGTAGATATGTGGCGTCTTGAACAAATTTGTCGGTTAACAAATTGTTGGCATTGCTCAGCAGCCCGCCCACTTGAGCAAGCAACGCAGGGGTGATGACCGGCGAGATGCCTTCAATCAGCCCGCTAGTATCATGGATAAACTCAGGGGTCAACAACGCATTGGCGTTGGTCAGCAGATCGCTTATTTCCTTGACCGAGTCCTTGGTCAATAGGCTGTTGGCATTGGACAACAAGCTTCCGACCTCCTGGAGAACGTCTGGGGTCAGGACAGGAGCCACACCGCCGATCAATCCCTTGGTCTCCCGAACAAAGTCAGGGGTCAGGAGGTTATTGCCGTTCTGTAGAAGGCTGTTGATCTCCTTGAAGAGTTCAGGGCTCAGAACTGGTACCACAGTACCAATCAATCCCTTGGTCTCCTTTATGAACTCAGGGCTCAGTAAGCTATTGCCGTTTTGAAGCAGGCTGTTGACCTCCTTGAGAAGCTCGGGAGTAACATAAGGAGCAACAGTGCCAATCAAACCTTTTGTTTCTTTGACGAAGCTGGCGTCGAGGAGGTTGTTGGCGTTGTTCAAAAGTCCGCTAATTTCCTTGAAAAGCTCCGGAGTAAGAATAGGGCCAACTGTATTAATGAGATCTTTAGTTTCTTTGACAAAGTCCGCTGTCAGCAGGTTGCTAGCGTTGTTAAGCAGGCCCGTGAGCTGGTTGATGAGACTCTTGGTGAGAAGACCAGAAGCAGTGTCAATCAGACTCTTGGTCTGGTCGGTGGTTTTGTCGTCCAGAAGGTAGGCAATGTGGTGGAAGAAAGACTCGATATCAGAAAGCAAAGTAGGCGCTAGGAGGCCCTTGACGCCGTGGAGGAAGCTGACAAAGTCCTTGAAAGAGTCCAAAAAGGTGCCATCAAAGGAGAGAAGAGGGTCCGAATCATCGGAACTGCTATAACTCGTGCTGGACGAAGACTGACTGGACTTGGTCACTGTGGCTGCCCGGATAGTAGAAGAGCCATCAGTGGCTTGTGTTGAAGGACCAGTTGTCGAGTCAACGGTCGATGAGTCTGTGGATTCAGTGGATCCAGCAGAGCGGATGATGCTACTGACACTCAGGTGTTCAATATTTGATCCAGCGGATTTGGTCGTGGTAGCTCGAGGGGAAGCCTGGCTATCCTGCAGAGCTGCCGTTGCATCAGGCATACCTAGAACCGTATTCTCATTCTCATTACTGCCATTGGTACCGGCCGTGACAGCAGAAGTGGGAACTGCAGCCTCCTTTGGAGTAGAGGCGCCATTCTCCTGGGCATGGGCGATGCCAGACGGGGTATCCGAGAGGGAGTCTGCACTGGTGTGTTGCTGGGCCGTTGAAGCGGCAAGCAGAGTGCTCGAAAATGCCAGAACCGAGAGAGATGCGGTTGTGAGACGCATTTTGAAACGGGGTTGCTTGTGGGTGACGCTTAAAACAATCTATCGAGGCTTCCAAGGAGACCCCTTGCCTCTTTTTATATTCTTCGGATTTTCTTCACTCATCTGGTCCCCCGGGTCAGGCCGATGGCGCTTCAACCCCACAAAAGATATTTGCATCACTGGGGCCACTGCTTCCCGCTATTGACATGCTCTGATGATATTTTGGACCCCGACTGACGGAACATTTCCCTGTTTTGACCCGTGGTAGCAGTGATGGACGGGGCTAGCTCATTCAGATTGGATATCAAGTAGCTTCCGGCTCCGGAAAATAGAACATTTAACGGGTCCCATACAGGAACCGGTTCAGATTCTGCCCAATCGATATGGCCTCCGTGTAGCTAGCAGCTTCGATCGTCGTGTTGGTAGCAAATGGTAAACAGGTTCCACAATGTTGTGATGCCTCTAATTGGTTTGCAGTCATTTTCAAAGCTTTGGAACCGTGTTTTCCGAATTCACTACAGATCGACAGGCACACTACCCAGATAGTAAAAGTCACATCTTTAGACGCCCAGGAGCTTATGCCTCGCTATTTTAATACTATGTGACTGGATATTCCCCGGAAGCACCAGTCTCGCGTAACTTCCAGTCAATGCTCGGGGTCGACCCAAATGTAGTAAAGCGAGATCTAATGTCTTGACTAGCGGCATTGGTTTCAATTTCATAACGAAAAAGAGAAGACCAGAGAGCAGTAACGAAGTAGGCTGTTTCCAAATAGTAGAAGGTTCTTCTCCCTGAAACCAGTTTCTCAAAACATAAGAACATTGCCATGAAACCTTCAGAAGATTCCACGTTCTGGGCTTATGTTAGTACTAGAGACCGGTCCTGAAGGATGTTTCTGATAGGCTGCTTGATATACAATTTTGGCTCAAATGTCTGATGGAATACACAATGTCTTCAAGAATCCACGGGCCAAGCTATATAATGAATGTCAAAAAGCCTGATATTGATCTGATTTCTTTTCCCGAGTCACCACGGGTTGCGTCTGCCACCGTCGAGGCTTATACACACGAGGCGCGAGGTTCGTAGCCCGAGGATCGGCACCCCAAGTCCGCAAACGCGTTGGTTTGTGGGGGCTCTAACCATACCGCTTCTATGTGAGGGCACCAATTACACAAACAATAAGGAGTTGGTCTTCTTAATTGACGGGCTACAAACATGAGTAAACCGTGGTCACCATTGACGATCCCCAGAGCAAAAAATGGGTAATCCATTCAGACACTTCATACTAGCTTTTCTGGGGTTCCTTCTTTTGGAGAACGGACTCTATTTGGCCCCGAGATGAGGCGCAGGGACCTTGCCAAGTCGCCTACCCCGGACTTGGGAACTGGTTCTCGCGACCATGCTTCATTCTCGTTAGGTAGTGATTCTTTTGGGGAGTGGATCTTCGGGTGGTGAATGGTGATCTTTTCTCAAATTTGCCTATGGACCCTTTCTAGGTTTGCCGATGGCCCCTATTTTGCTCGATTTCGTTCCTGACTTCCTGTTCTTGGATCAGATCAACCAAACATGATAACCCACTATATTCTAAGCGAAGCGAAATCTTCTCCATAAAAAGTCTCGTAGATTTTGTTAACCGAGGAAAAAATTTTCCTTCCGGTCACATGCATTGGACATCTTCATGTCGAGTAGGCCGTCACCAGAACGTAGTACACCACCGAGGCTCGGATCTACGCAGTTGATTTCAATCAATTTTGCTAGAATTATTTGGTGATTTAGTCCGGCCTTTCTTTCACCAAGGCCGGCTGGCCCAATGGCAAGGCGCTTGACTACGAATCAAGAGATTGCAGGTTCGACCCCTGCGTCGGTCAATTTTTTTCCTCCCTCGAGCCAGACTCCAGCATTCAGTGAGCGGATCAGATCTGAAATTTTGGTTGTCGGGACATTTTTTTTAATTTGAAGTACCGTTGGGAACAATTGCGACATGGAGTCACGGTGCATCTTACACTCACTGGCTGATTCTGCTCGCTCAGTACATGCTGAACTTTACTCCTCAGAATGAGGGGGAAAGAACCACCACATCAATCCATGCGAAGGGGGAAATATAATATTTGAGCTCATTCAGTAATTATTATAGCCCAAAAACAGGCTGCACATGAAATATAGACCCCATTGAGGGTGTGGCCCTGGCAACCCCAAACCTCTGTGACACCACCACAAGTTGACAAATGCTAAACGAAGCTCGCAAAGAGAACGAGTTATTTTCTGATTGTTATGTTTGGCATGACGAATAATTAATAAAAATTAACCTAGTGTTACCCTCTAAGCTAGATCACATCATTCCAATGCACCTTCTTAGCTAGCTCAGAGATAACTAATACCATCACCTTTACATCTCCTGACACTGTCACACCTACTTTAGATTTTCCTAGTAGATTTAGAGACACAGCTCTTACAACAATGATTAGACAATACGCCAAGTCGATTTATTTCGATTTTATTGGAGATGATTTTAAAAGCCTAAGCCTTGATGAGCTTAGTCGAGGCTACTTATTTTCGGAGCGAGCTCGCTAGGAATGCTTTTAGGTGGCCCAGGACACCTTGGGAGGACGGGTTGACATACCAAAAGTCTAGGATTTTGGACAGATATGCATAGGGACTTGTAGATCTTGATTCTGAGTAACAAAATCTACACTGTCTATCCCGAGCAGGTTATGGTCAAGATATGCCTGACTCTTCTGGTCCATCTTTTATTTGAAATACTTGTAGTTTTCTGCATTTTGACCAATTGATATGTAACTTCCTCCTTGGCAATAGAAAGCGAGAAATTCTATTTTTATGGCTGGAATAAAAGTTAGAGGTGATGAGACATTTATACCTGGTGTTTGAGATAGACATACATAAATACCAGTCTTTCTCTGGAGCCTTGAGATATATTGGGTCAGTCGATTCTGAGTGAACCGAGACGTAATGACACCTCATTCAGCGGGTGAGCTATCGAAGCTCGTCCGCCATCATTGAGATAGACATTTCAATCGTAACGAATCCAACAGAAGAACATGTCCCGATGACCTTTGACTATTCTTGAGCAAATGGATTTAAAGGTCGGCTTTCAGGGGGTTGTCAACTTTGTGCCAAACAACAGGCACGATCGCAGAAAAGGTCCGTAGCTGCAGAAAATTATTAGAATTGATGTCATCATTTAGCCAGCAAGAAATGATAACTACCCGGCTCTTTACTATTGCCCAGTGGTCGCGAGGGACAGGAGTTGTCCGTGGTCGGTATACATCGAGTCTTTGTAAGCTGTTTTTCTCGCACCATATGTCAAGGAGCGTTAAGACAAAATATTTATGCGCAAAGTCCAATCTTATGATGCCATATTGAATCTTCTGGAGAAGATTTTCGCTAATAAATTCGGTGATATCCATCTGGCGCATTGAAAGATGTGTCCATGGGGTCCCTTCGAGGTTGAGTGGTATCCGATAGAGAATATAGAGCGCTTCGCTTGTTATTTGCTTGTTTAGCAGTAGAATAGATGGCGTATGTCTGTCGACATAGAGACGAGGATTTGCACAGGAAGGACCTCGAGTACGATCCAGATGGGCTGCAAGTAGGTCTTCGATTCGACGGTAGCCGTTCACGTACTCGTTTGGATGTAGCAGATAGGCATAGATGATGATCCGGATCTCCCCGGTAAGTCGAGAAAGGATACCATCATCAGGGTCTCTCTCTGCGCTTAAACGGCGAAGAAGCCTCTGAATTGAACTTGTATAGTAGCGTTGCCCCTCTTTTCCGTCTTGCCACCCGCCCCTCAACAATCGTTTTATTTTACCGCCGTGGGGAGAAGGGTGGACTTTCCTATCGTATGCCAGTCAAGGTTGGATGATTGCAGAGCTTGAAGGTTGAATGCGGCTGAGGTAGCTTAATATCTCCGCAAATTAAAATATTATGTCAAGACTCTAATAGTACCTTAACGTGAGAGGAGTCGCTGGCGCCCGGCCTCCTCCGCCGGGTGAGTTAAGCACGCTAGTCATGGCCCAGCTTCCGCCGCACTTGGCTATCTCCGAAGTCAAAGAGTTTAGTGTCTAATGATTTACCAAATTCCACAAAAGCTGCTTGCGACTAATTCACAAAAGACATGACAAAAATTAATAGCCAAGCATCTCAGATAACCAAGGTTTCTAGGCAAGAAACATTTCCCTTGCTAAATCTGATCGAATCGGACAATAAGTCAACCAAGAGCACGAACTTCATCAGATGCAGGTTAGCAGAGGTGTTTTGGGCTAAGTGAGAATAAAGTCGATCGAATAAAAATATTCATAATACCTTGCGGGACTGTTAAATGCAATTTTACATTCCTATGCGACAATACCAGGCTATTTGATATTCATGAAATTCTGTACATGTTTTGTGATGACTTCTCTAGCTACAATTCTTGAGCTTTCCATCGCGTTCATGGCACTTGGAGGCACCTTTGAATAAGTGAATATACATTGACTGTAAACATTACCCAAATTGACTCATTCATGGTCGATAGCATGCACGTGGAATTCGTAGCAGGTTATCAGCTTTTAGTATTGAAGAAGGCTGAGGATGACCTTACCAAGGAGGTTGATCTATCAATTTTTCGACGCCCGTCATGACGCTATCTTATTTCCAAGACCAGGAGTCCCGAATTCTGATTTCTTGCAAATATTACGCAGCTCTTAGGCCACCCATTTTAGATACCGGTCGGCATTGAGGAAACAGGGTGTTCTGTGAATTGCATGATCTCATAGCCTAAAATAATTACTTGCAGCCCTTTCTGAAACAGTGCACGGTTCTTGGATAAAACTCCTGCGTTGGGTCCGGCGCGTAGAATCTCAGATGTGCCAATCGGGCGTTTCTTCACTGTGACAGGCTAACCGTCCTGGGACATGACCCTTGAGTGATTCTTTCATCACATTTGACCCACATCCTCTTCATCGCGTCCACGTGCATGAATTGACCACCGATTTAAAGAAAAATACTTGGATGGTTTTCTCGGCACTCTATGAAATCCCAGATAGAAGTTTTAAACTTTCCACCAAGACGAATGGGAAGCAATTGCTCGATTTCCGACGGCCAAGGAATTCAGCACACCCCAACGTTCTAATGCGACTTCTACACATAATAAACGCTAGCATAGCGACATGGTTTTTCTTTAGCTTTTAGAGTGTTTTCAAAAGGGCATTGGGAAAGGTGTAGGCATGCCAAAAAGCAGACAGTGAGATGATCCAATTTGCTTTTGAAGTATTAGGGTTGAATTTCCTATTGGAGTGGAATAGTGCATCTCTCCTTTTCTCCCATCGGCTATAATTCATACATAAGGTTGAAATGCCAAGTCATAGGCACTGGTCCAAGCTTATCCTAAAACCATACTACGGATGCTGAAAAATCCCGTCGCCGGAAGTTGCCAGAATAAGCGTGGCTTAGAAATCCGTGGTTGAAAAATGAGTCAGTCACACAGCGATCGTATCCCGCGCTGCAACCTCCTCATTCCTCAACCCAATCGTGGATTTGTGAAACATCAAAATGACGACCCAAACCCCCGATATCCATTTCATTGGCACTCACACCCGCTATTCTAGTGAGTCGCACGCGCATTCTGGGAAACTCCAGGCTAATGTACTGGAGGCTGGACGAGCCGGATCGAAGCTGTGTTGGAGTACTTCGAGATCCCGCACACGCGTCAATATATCAAACTCTCCGATGTGCGTTGCTTTCTCTATGTGAAAAATCTTGGCCGTGCTGATAGCCAAGTAGGTGAAAAAGGTTTCCCCAACTGGGCTCGTGCCCTTCATACAAAGTCATTCTCTCGGAGACACTGCAATTTGTGACTCGGTTGCAATTTGCGAGTTCCTTGCAGAGTCTTATCCAGAAATTTCTCTCTGGCCTCAGGATCGCCAGCTGAGGGCAATTGCTCGTAGCGTGGTTGCTCAGATGCACTCAGGATTTGGAGCAATCCGCAACTCGTTCAGCACGAATTTCCTGGCCAAATATACCGGAAATATCCCAATTAGCGATGAGGCTCAGAAAGAAATTGAAAAAATGCTGAAGCTCTGGGATAGTTCCAGGCATACAACCAAGGAACGCCTTGCTACTTTGGGCCAGTCGGATGAAGGATTCCTGTTTGGAAAGTTTAGCATCGCCGATGCATTTTTCTGGCCGGTTCTCTGGGTGCGTTATCATTTTGTGTACAAATGAATTTTAACAGTGGCAGCTGATCCTTTCTTTTCAGCGATTTCGAACCTACGACCTCCCTTTGGACACTGCGAGCCCCGATGCTTTGGCGTGGATGTCGAAGATGTGGAATGACCCGGTGTTTAAGAGATTGGCCCATCGGTACTATGAACAAGCCAAGGACCCGGAGACCCGAATCGACCATTACGACGATATCTTTCGAGGTCAGCAGGGTATCACATACAGCTGGTTCCCGGAGGACTGGACATTCTCTGTGCCTAGCAAATGATTAGAGTCCAGCAGGTGAATATCAGTTGCGAGGTTTTGTCCTACCGAGGCGAGAACACCTTTGTCTAGAATTTACTGTTATCTGAAACAATCATAGTCCTCACAAAGTATCCTAACATGCTTTTAGTTCTCATTCGGAGCTTACGATCCTGGGAGCGGAATACGGTGTCGATGGAAGACCAAGGCAATAGCATCAGTCTTCAAGCTTGCATGCCCACCGGCTTAATGTTCCACCCATTTTCAGCTTTTGGTAGGCATAGGTTGGGCATCTAGTCTCATCCTTAACTGTCACTAGTGCCGAAAATAGTCGGTGAAGAATCGGGGGCGGCTCGGTTTCAAACTAGTATCATTCGCACCACAAGAATGACTCATAGGATGGGGAATACGGCTGGGCATTTGATCTGCTGCTTCTATAGTTAGAGAACAATGAGATTCTGTTGTATAATCTTAACGTCCAAATATTCTAGGCAGTCCCATCCCCGAAACAGCACGTTGGGCTAGCTGGCTGGCAGCTTGGACAAGACAAGCTGACTCTTCTGCAGCTGGTTTGAAAAACAAGGTTTCGGAGCAAATTGATTGGAAAATGGCACGAATTGCTTGCGAAGAAACTTTCGTAGGCGCTGGTCGGAATCTCTTCGCATCATTGTTGTACGGAGTATGCATGGATCTTCCTCAACGTTTTGTCCATTACCACGCCTACACGATACACTCCACAGCCCCGGCAATGCTGGGTGCACCAGCCACCGCGGGGCAAAGATTGCGCGAGTGACGTGGCGCAACAACACAGTGAGGCGCAGTCAACATGGTTCCTATTTTAGGAAAAGCGGAAACAATATCTCGCCCTCTCCGAGATCCACGCCTAACTCAATGGCCCGAGAGGGGCGTAAAATCTTTTCATGCTCCGCTCTCTGGAGCCCGGACATCCTACGTCATTCCGATGGATCTCGAGAACATCGAGGAACGCGTTCAAGGGTAGCCATCCCGATTCCAACCGTCGTCTCCTGCCTTTTTACTTAGGGTAACCACATGACCGACATCATATGCCGCCAGGCTTCAGGGGTGTAGATTCAAAGCCTCTGATTGCACAAATAGCATCTTGTTACGCATGATATAGGAGTTGTGCGTCCTGTAGAATGAGATCACCATTCTGGAACGAGGAGCCCTTTGGCAAGTTTAACGGTCATTTGAAGAACCGGGACCACCAAAGGACCACAAAGACGCATGGACCTGTATTGTTCTGTAAAAGCCGGGCGCCTGCTCAAAGTCTAGCATGGGACTATCTTCGAGGCTCAGTCCAATCGCAGATCAAAGCAGGGATCTCAGCTTGGAACCCCTCGGCCGGGCTCGGTCGCATCCAGCGAATCCGCGGCCTCAAGTGGTCCAAGACCGACCAGCCCCACGGCTGGTTGACCCTCCATCAGCTGAGGTCTCCTCCATTCTTCCTAGCGGCGCTCGATAGGTCCGAAAGGTCACAATGGTGGAAGGTTCGTAGAACAGGGAACCAAAGAGGTGGTTTCAAGTATTCTGGCTGCTGCAACCTTCCCTATCCTCGACTAAACTCTTCTGGGAAACTATTGTGCTTTGAAACGCAGCATCCCGAATCAAGAAGTTGGAACGTGCGATCCCAACCTGTCTACTGTACTGTCTATGCGATTTGTATGTTGTGCGATAGGGCGTCAGACTCTGCGTCGTTCTTAGGGTTTTGTGGAGTAGAACTAGTGTCATGGAGGCGCTTCCCATGATTCACACATCCCCTCAACCATGGGGGATGAGAGTCTAGAAGGGGGGTTCTCGCAGGTCGGACCCCTCGCAAGCCGCAAATTATTTCTTATTATAGACGGGGTGGGAGGTGTTCTGTATCCTATCGCATCGCGCATTGTAGGACGGAGTAAACAGAGCCGAATCTCGGCAGATTCTCAGTCCGCCATGGCAGCCCCAGCTGAGCAGCAAAGGGGCTTCATAGGGCAACATCGCCCACGATATCGTCTTGATCCTGTGGGTCTGATCTCCTGCTCACTACAGTAGGAGAGTTGAACAAAAAGCCTGCAAGCCGAAGCGGCAGAGCCTGCGCGGTGCGCATTACTCGTTCCCTCCACGCGGAGGATTTCCCTCGCTTGAAGGGTACCGTTTCGCAATGCGGATCCTTGGGGCTTAGCTTTTGCAGTTTGGGGCATCTTGCAGATACTCTGACCGAATGGACGTTCAACGCATCGAGCGTGAGACTGGGAAATTCCGTGCGATCAGAGTTCTGTGTGTTTTATTCGTGTACTGTGTTCGATGAAACATTCTTGTCATCGGGTCGTCGGTTGGACATCGTGCTGCAGTGACAATTGTTTCAACTCCCGCCCTCTCCCTTAGTCGCTCTTTAACACACACACGCTCTCTCTTTCTTCTTGATGAGAACGACAACTTTAGGGTCAGATCGTCATGAGAAATCTGGTAGAGAATAGCACTCGGCCACTTAGGCCAGTGATCCACTTGCCACCCGAAATCCTGAGCATGTTGGAATCGCAGATCGGGGAGCCCGAGAGTGGCGGCCAATACAGGACGTGCGTACGGTAACTCCGACCCCATCGGGCTGCATACATCCAGAGACGACCCAGTCAAACGGGCCTCTCGCCAGGGCTATGTACAGGACATGTTTAGGGGTGTGTAAGGTATGTAATACCAACGCGCATTCATCGTCAAATTATCAGACGATGGGACAAGAGGATTACGGGACTATAGGACAAGGCGACTATAGCCCTAAGAGGTAGAGCAGGCACCTAGCATGATATCCCTAATAGGGTGAATTATAAAATAAAATAATAATAAAAAAACCCCAAAACCCAAAAACCGTGAAAACAAGAAAACAAGAAAAAAAATAAACCCCCAATAATCCACTGCGACGATGGGCCTGGCCTGCATGTTGAGCCCGGATGCTGATCCCCACTGCTTTACTGCGTCCGGTCATCGCAGGTCCCGCCCCTCCGAGACTTCCTTCTTCTTCTGCCCTACTGCCTCTTCTTCTTTTGAATCTTGAATCTTCCGTGATTCGTTTCCTCTCCTTTTTATATCTAATTTCACTTCTTTTTCGCGCGCATTCGTCCGCACCTTAATAGATACCTATTCCAGATCACACAGCGCCTCTCGCATACCAGGGTATGCGATCGATCTAATCTGCCCAAGACAACCAGACCATCCAAATTACCACCGGGCACTGTGTGGGCGAATGTCGCCTTTATTACTTTGCTTTTGACTTTATACATTCATTTATAACCAGCTTTTTTCCAATTCTCTCCCGCTTTCCCCTTTCCCCAAAACGCCGGACGTATCCCTTTTTCACACAAAGCCATAATGCCAACAGTCTTACTGCCTTCTTCCGCTGCGGCTTTTGCACCGCGATCATCGCCCAATGTGGTCCTGCAAAGAAAAGTCGCGCCATGGTTAACGGCGGCCTTAAAGCGAGTCAACCGGGTCAAGCGCCCTCTGAACAATGTCACCCAGCACACGCGGTGCTTGACAGAGACGCTCTCCTCAAACAACGCTATTTGGACGCTATGCTCGATGATGTTTACCAAGGCCCCTGAAGCGGAACTGCGCAAGGACGACAATCCGCTTGTGGAAGGCCTGTTCAACTATCAGATGATCCACATCGAGGCCTACGTGGTCCATGTCGACATGGTCTCGCGCAATGAGGTGGCTCTCAAGCTGACCCCGGAGACGATTGAAACCCTGGTGGATTTTCATAAAGACGTCTATTCGGTCGATGCTGCCGCCAATACGTGGGACTGGTCTGGCAAACAGTCCCAGCTGAAGAAGTTACAGGAGGAGTTTGTCCAAGCGGCAAACAAGTTCGTGTACCGCACTAATGCCGAAGCCTTGGAGGGACTCGAGGAGGATGGCGCCGGAGAGCTTCTCTGTGGCCGTAGCGAGGAGGCCAAAACGGCGATCTCGAGTCTCTTCGTGCCGCTGTTGCCTCCGCCACCACGGGTGGTAGACGTGATGCGCCCAGTGCCTCTCCTGCCCAGCTCGACCGGGCCCGAAACCTGGTGGCAGACCCCGATGCCGCCCTCCGCAGTCGAGTCGTGGAAAGTAATGCCGCCCAGCCCATCCCCGGCCAGCACGGATGATTCTAATCCGAATCTGTGGGCTAGTCTCGCTTTCAGTGAAGCCCAGCTGCCGTCGCCCACCCCGTCCTACAGCCAACCCTTCACAACCGCGCCGTACCCGACGTATGACAACATGGTAGCGACCTCGGCGGCTATCGCGACCCTCCCACTCCCGAGTATGCTTGTACAACCGTGCAGCACGGCAGCCAACATGGCCGGTTTCGGAGGATGGGGAGAATTTCGCGGAGACTTCGCCCCGTTACCATACGGCACGACAATCTAGCCCGCCGGCCGGAGGAGAGTCAATCCGTTTGAACCATCCTCTACTCTGCCTATGGCGCCAACGCGACCTCCCTCGCTCGTCAACTCTGATCCTCGATGTAGATCGTCGAGGACGCACCCCATTCCTTCTAGGGTGACCAGGTCACCATCGACAAGTCCTTTTTGGATTGGACCCAATAACAATTGGTCACACCCTGACCTTTGACTTCTTGGCATTCTCGACGGCGTTCTTCGAATCTGTGTGCATCCGTGATACTCCATCTCGTCCATTGCATTATATCCAGAATAATCCTTCGACGACATACGTGTTTTGGTTTCTTACTGCTTTACTCCTTGTGATGCCTTGTTCTACCCAGCGCAGCGTGTTTGCTCTTGTCTTTTGCTTTCTGCATCGAAGAAGCGGCGGGTCGGCTCTTGTCTCCTTTTTTTGGTTTCATTTCCCTTATATATGTCATGAAGACCAGGTCTGCCTCGCGGCATGGGATATGAATTTGGATGTGGAATGTCCATCATTATGTTTTTGCTTCTCTAGTCGCGGCTCGACAGAGAACAACATCAGGACTACATCGCCGACTGGCTTGAGCGGTTGGGTTTCTTTTGTTGATAGTCTCTGTCGAGGCTCTCCTTCTGGTACTGGCTACCGGACTGGCAAGCACCTCTTAATGAGGGTGCTTGGGGACATGCCTACGTGACGGTTTAGTTGTTGACTGCAGCATCTGCGATGCTCAGTCAAACTACTCCACCTTTCTTTTTGCTCACCTCGGCCGATGGTGTTGAGAGACTGGTCGGGATTCATTCGGGGAAGAACTTTTGTGGCCACTAAGCTCGTCACACTCGGTCTAGCCGCCTGTGGCGCTCACTGAGTGTGGAAAGGGCTGAGGATTGACCTCCCCAGAGTCTGTGACTTCGCTGGGGCTTCATCATTTTGCCCGACCCGGCGAGTGTGCTGGCTGGAAAATTCTCTCCCGGATAGTCTACGGTCTCATCATTATCTTTACGGTTGTCGGTAAGCCTTTAGGTTCATCTCCTACATCATTCAGGCTGGGTTTTTTTTGTTACCTGGATGAGCTCGACTTGTTGGGAACTCTTTCACTGGCTGATTGAGCTATCTTGCTCGTTTTTTGCCCAACACCGAGAATCAGATGCTGGCTTTGTTACGTTCTTTTGTCTGTGCTGGGGCTAGTCTATCTCTGTGCCAGCCGTCCTTCTCTTCTCATGTTTTTTGGTCTATCAAATAGCTTAGTCTCAATATGTATGTATCCTTTTAGGTTTATTTTTCAAAGATACGTACCATCCAAAGTCTCGCTCATGTAGAGGAGTGACTTGTGTTCAAAATTAATTTTCGAATCTGGGCCCTGTGAGATTATCTTTGGCGATCACGTCTTCAAGCACGATTCCCGGCTTCTTTTTCTCCCATCGCCATGGGCAGTGAATTCTATACAGATATCATTTTATATTTATTGTGCATGTGGAGCCTCTGATGAACTCGGCATACTCATCCTTTGTACTTAGCACATTCAGTAGCCAGTGCCTCGGCATATGCCAATGCGGCGTGAAAATCACTCAACATTAATTTTATGGTTTTGTTTTCGATAATTAATCTGCTATGTTATCCGATACGTCCTTGGACTGGTTCTTCTCTTGCCAGATCTCGATACAGCTTATAGCCCCTTTGAGACTGAGCCGCGCCTGTTTGCATTTTGTAGAGCAGATTTTATTGGGCATTTCATCGAACAAGAACTAGAAATTACGAGATCATTTTCCATTATCTGTAAATAATCATATATACATAATCAAGAACAGAAACATTAAAATAATAAATTTTATAAAGATCGGCGTGACCGGTGTTTACTTCGGGGACAAAGGAGCGTTCCACTCGGATGGCTCTAATTATGGGGCGCCGAGACGATGCCCGCAGGTGACGTCAGTAACTTCGAACCCCAAGCAGGGTTGAACTACGAGCTTCCTCCAAGAACTATTCAGACCTTCACGCACAGGGAAAACATCATAAAAGCCTGCGCAGATGACTCATGTCTTCAATTTAGCTGCTTGGAGTCTTTCTTGTCACTGGCCCCAGTATTTCGGTCTTTGAGAAATACAGTGCTCCGGAATCCTACGGCTTCTCTTCAGCCATCCGGTCAGACTTCCACTTCGCATTTGAACACTTCGTAAAGCTATCATAATATGCTTTTACTAATTATTTCTTGAAACTGGTATGTGCACCGGTGTCTGATGATATTGGCTGCTAGTCTCTGTCTATGGGGCATCCACGATATTGATGTCCAGTGCTTGTCTCGGCTTAGAGGATTTTATTGCTAACGGCTCTTTTGTATGTCCAGAAATAGTCCTACATCCATCCTGCTCACTTTCATCCCAATATTATATCCGGTCGATTACAGAACTCCCGGTTTCCTCATGACTTCTTTACAAGAGGCACTCCACTGTCTCCAACCGACATCGTGGGATGCAATCCCACAGTCTCCTGAAGATCTCCGTGAATACGTGCGCGATATCTTCAAGAAAGGTCGACTTATAGCTGAATCACTCCCGGATCCTCCGCCGTACGATAGTGAGGCACATCATGGCCGGGCGAACTCACCGGCGCGCGTTGTCCCATCTTCCGCTCGCATAGCAGAGACTGATCCAGAGATCACGTCAATGCAGAAGGAATGGGGAAAACCGATAAAAATGGGTGGTCCCAAGGATAATCCACTTGGTGTGCATGTCTGGAAACTGTCTGCAAACGATGGAGGTGGCCAATGGTTCGGGAGACGGAGCGTGCATAACGGTCTTCCCTTCGTGCAGTGGAAGAAGAAACTCTCTACAGAATATGACGAGACTCTGAAGGTCAACGAGAAGAAGATTGAGAAGGGCGAAACTCCTGATAATAGCATTCGTGGTATTGGCGCCGAGCAGAAAGTTGAGTCGATGGAGGTCAAGGACGAAGATGGCTCCGTGCTGTGTCAGGTTGCAGTCTACCATGTTTCAGCTCAATTTCCCAGACCAACAGCGCCGCGAGACTTTGTGGCTTTGATCATCACTTCAGAGATTGGACTACAAATTGGCGGAACAAAACAACCTGGGCGGAGCTGGATGATGATCTCCAAGCCATGCGATCATCCCGATGTGCCCCTTAAACATGGGTATACTCGAGGAGAGTATGAGTCTGTGGAATTAATCCGCGAGATTCCAAAGAAAGGAAGCAGTCAAAGTAGCTCCTCCAGTTCCTGTGGAAATACTTCGGAAGAAAAGGAGAGCGAAAATAAATCCGACGAAGCATGCAAAGATGCGGCGGTTGAAGATCGACACGATCTAGAAGATGAGGACGGTGAGCTCATACCCGTCGAATGGATTATGGTCACTAGAAGCGACCCTGGAGGCAATATTCCCCGGTGGATGGTTGATAAAGGCACACCCAAGAGTGTCGGCACTGATGCGGCCAAGTTCGTCAACTGGGCCGTTGGAGATGACGAACCTCATAATCCAGGGAATCATTTAAAAAGTAACCCTGGCAATTCCTCTTCTGAAAATCCAGGGCCCAAGTCCAATCCGGAAGAATCCAATGAGAGCCTCGAATTTGATGATGGCAATCAGTCCAGCTCCGAAACAGACTCAACAGATACGGATAAATATTCTCATCATGGGCTCATCGCTAGTGTGACGGGCTTGCTCAATACCGGTCTTGAACGGTTTGCGCCTCAAGCTTTTCTCGACTATATTCCGCATCATAACCAACCACCACACCATCTTCCACATGGCGTCAAGGTTACAGCAGATGAAGCAGATGGGGCAAATGACATATCGAACTCTTCTAGGGTACCAGGATCGAACCATCATCAGTACGACACTGCCTCACCCACCTCCCACATACCAGATCGTATTTCGCTGTCTTCTACTCGCTCCGATGGAGCTCTTGCAACAGTGGAGATGACACAAAACAATGCCCCGCCAGCGGAGCTGATTCAAATGACCAAAACTGGCAAACTCACGACGCACGAGAAAGAACTAGCCAAGCTGGCCCTTCGTAAACGAGAAATCGATGCAAAACTCGAAACAATCCGCTCAGAACTTGATATCCTCCACATGCCTTCGCAGAGCAGCCCCTCAACGCCACTCAAGGGTGTCTACAATGACTTTGATAGCGACACCAGCGGCATGCTAAAACGGTCGGCCGGAAACCGCTCCTCAACTCCGGCCAGCACCGGCACTGGTACAGCCCATAGCCAGCGAGGCGGCAATGATAATGGTAATAGCAGCGATGGCCAGTCTTCCCAGGCACCTCGAACCCAGACACAGACCCCAGAACCACCGGCACACACCCATAAAGCTGCTTCGCAACTCTTCCATGAGGAATCTAAGCTTTTGAAGCAGCTGCGCAAGGTCGAAGGCAGCCAGTTCAAGGTTGCATCTAAGATTGAGGCCAGACAGCGGAAAGAGGCCGAGCGGTCAGAGAAGACAAAGTCCAGGTCTGAGGTTGAGACTCTGCGTCTTGAGGTGAAGGAGTTGAAGAAAGAGGTGATCAAGTTGCGATCGGAGCGGCAAAAATGGGTAGATCTTGTCACTTCATTGCAGGCGGAGAATACGAAGCTGGCTTCAAGAGACCAGGATTGAAGCAACATGGCTTCCTAGTTGTTACGCTTTTTCATGTTTTTACAGCATCGGCCTTTTAGCTTCTAAGTCACTTTATGAGCGGGTTATCTAGGCTTTCGGTGTCTATAACTATTAAGATATCTGAAAAATAGCGTGGTTCCAAAAGTGTATAAATTATTCCTGTTTCTAGATAAATGGTGGGTGCGACCGCATATTCTCAATAATAGTCAATCTCTCAGGTTTGTGGCATGCACACTCACCCTCAGGCTCCAAATGTGTGCCGGATATCTGGCTCAGTGTAAGAGCCTGACTCAGCGCGCCCAAGGGAGATTGATTCCACAGGCAAAGTGTTGATCCGCTGTTGGCCTTCTGCGATAAAGCTGTGTTTTGATTTGGACGAGTAAATGTTCTTCATACAATTAAGTCCTGTCCGGTACACAGCTGTCAATCCGATATTATTTGCGGTGTTTCGCAGCACAAATTTCCGATTTGCCTCGTTCGAGGCGGGTATCATTTCAAGTCTTAGACGTATGCGAAAGGAAAGAATGACGGGTTATCTAGGAATCATGTTCCATCAGGTGTCGTCGGGTGTTTGAAAAGGGAGGTTTTGAGAAGGCGATCTCAGCAGCCTCTTACTCCTGAGTCTAGTCGTTGAACAGGATAGTCAGCGAAATTTCTCGGAACGAGAATTGAGAGCGCGTTCGCATACTTCTGGAGGATTACCAGCGCCTCTGACCATCTTCTCCAGCATCATCGTTCGAACCTTCTCCTTGGGTTCACCCATGCCAACTGCCATGTACGAGAGCAAAGGGTTGTGACCGACGTAGGAAGCATAGCTGTCACGGAGAATGTTCGATGTCCACTCGTACTTGGTGGTATCGGCATGACCGGTACCGATGTAGCGTGCCTGGAGAGCCTCCAGGTTCTGGAGTGTACGGAGTTTATCGGCCATGGTGGATAATGAAAGGGTCGTTTGTGAGCAGTGAGTTGAAGTCCCGCGGCTTGAAGAGACGCAGGTCTGGAGGTGGAAAGAGTTTGGTCACGTGATGTGTATAAAACCACATTTTCGACAACCCCCTCTTGCCTCCTTCGATGGGTGTGTTCTTGGTCTGAACAAGGTTCAACTTTTTTCGATTGATTGAAATCGATGGCAGTGTCTGAAAGAGGGCCGCCTTTGCCCTCTCGGATTGCTTCACTTATCCATGCCCACTTCGATGCTCTTCCCCCACGGAGTAAACCCAACATTTACCCCGATGGGTCCAGGGAATGGATCCCAATGACTGGTATTGTGGCTGTCAAGGGTATGTAATATTTATTCTCAGCTCAACTATGACATTAAAATGACTGTTAGTTTTGAAACCTGAAAGGAGAAAATTCGCCTTCTGAAAGCTTGCATTGCATTACCCTCACGTATGTCTTTCAATGGCATCAGAGTTCATTTGTTATGAACAATCAGTCCATAGAATCCTCTTTCAGCTAATAAATCAATAGGAGCGGGGCAAAATGCTTGTCTGCGTCACATATTCCACGCTGTCGAGGCCTCATTCTTCATGATTGCCATGCGGAGATACTGGCTCTCCGAGCCTTCAATCATTGGCTACTAACTGAATGCCATGCATATTTGGCAGAAAAACATACACTGTCCTCCGATATACCCCAAAGTAAAGAAACAGAGCAAATTAAAGCATCAAGCTCTCTATTCATTCGCCTACGGAATTCGGAAAACGGTCAAGCCAATGACTCTGAATCGTCGTCAATCGAATGGCCGCCTTTTGAGATCCAACCGGATGTCAATCTATACATGTATTGTACCTGTGCCCCATGCGGAGATGCAAGTATGGAATTATGTATGGCAGCCCAGGAGGATGCCACACCATGGGAAGTGGTGCGTCAGGTTGATTCTAACTCGACAGTCCAGGAAGATCCCGAAGGAGAGTATCTTCTGGACGGCCGAGCCCATTTCTCTCGACTTGGAGTAGTTCGTCGAAAGCCCGCACGAACAGATGCAGAATCCACTCGAAGCAAGTCATGCTCGGATAAGCTCGCCTTGCGTCAGGTGTCTTCTTTACTGTCGAGTGAGACGAGCAGGCTAGTTGCACCAAATGCGAATGCATACTTGACTGGGCTCATTCTCCCCGAGGATGAAATCAGTAAGGTTGCCTGTGATCGCTCATTTGGAGAGAAGGGTCGAATGGAAGCGCTTGCAGGGAAGTTATGGCCGAGTCGTACGATCTCAGATGAGGGTGGAATAGGTTATCAATTCAGACCTTTTCAAGTGCTTTCGGTGCCCGAACGTGAAATAAAATTGCTTTGGAAATTTGCAAAACCAAAGACCATTACCCCTCGCTCGACAATGCCTTCGGGGGAGCGACCGCCGAAGAAGAGCAAACCCGGGAATGTGAGCGCAATTTGGACAGCAGCCCCTTCGGCCATACATTCGTATGATATGATTTCGGATTCTGGTGTCAAATCATTACCTTCACTGTGTCGCTCTAAGACTGGATTATATGAAACTGTCATTAATGGGGTAAAACAAGGCAATCGTGCCACTTCTCCTTCATCACGGGGAGCTTCGGCATTATCCCGGGCGAAACTCTGGTCATTACTTCAGACAATCATTCAAACAGATGAATTTTCGGATCATTCTGACAATTTAGAAAAGAAAATGCCGCACAGTGGCACCCTTCAGCGGATTTTGACTGCGAATACCTACGAAGAGTTCAAGCGAGCTGGTAACGATATCACAGACCCCATTCGCTTTCGAGAAGAGGCTGTTCAAGATGCTAAGAAGGTCCTTAAGGGATGGATTTCGAACACAGGGGATGAGGGTTGGGGGTTAGACGTTCTTCTTGACTCTAAGAAGCGAAAGCGTTGACATAAGTCTTATAATAAACCATTGATTTAATTGAATATAGGTGCTAAGCTACGTGAAAAACTCAGCCACCTCAGAAAGCAAACTCTTTCGCCTTTTGTGTCTTTCATAGCACAAGGGAAGGCAAACCCCATTAAGTATTATGCAAACATAACTTTTTTGGCCCACAAGTCACACTTCCTGCTGATTGAACAGGAAGATGCGGAACTCTAATCCCTCTTCATACGGCCATATCAAGGCATGAAAAAAAACTCCTGGTTGAAGTTCTGACCCCAGAAAACTTAATAGATACCTGGGATAATACGACTCCGCACGATTGAGGTGTAGCGAGCCCAATCAGCGCCATATTTCTTCTTGCACTTCTCCTCATCGCGCAGCTCACGGTGAATCAACAGAATTCCGAAGTAGAGTATGTAAAAGTAGGTGAGAACCATACCCCAGCCACGACTCTCTGAGGTCTGCACGGCTTGCTTCTCAAGAGCGCCACTGGCCGGGTTGATGCTTTCAATAATAGCGTAGCCCGCAATACCAGTGGGCAGACAGTACGCCCATGCCATGACCCAGTCGCCGAGATAGTTGATATGCCGGGCTAGGCCCCACCACCCGGAGATCATCAGTTTTGAACCAGCGGCAGTCTCGATGTATTTGACATGTCTCACACGGGGATCGTTGGGGTCCGTCCGGAAGCGGTTCTTTTGGTTGTTTGCACCACGAAAAATCGAGTAACCAATGGCAGTGACACCTAGCACGAGCGTTATGCCAGACCAACCCAACTGAAGAGGGAAAACCGAGAGATAGCGGCTCTGAATGCTGTAGATATGAGGAACCCAGACCACATCACCGAAGGACAGCATGAAGCCAAACCCGTCCATAATCACATCCATTGTGGTCATGATAGCAGGCTCCATGTATAATGCATCCAGAATGTAAAAACCCTGGAAGACAGTGACAATAATAATCGAATCCGTCACATAGCCATGGGTCTTGTATTGATGAGCCACGTTGGACAGGTTTAGGATCGTCCATCCGAGCAAGCCAGGACGCATCTCCATGAATACTTTGATGTCAATGGTACGGGATGCCTCACTGACAAATGGGATAGGTAGGCGAACACGAGGGTTGAGCTCACGGCCGATAAAAAAGTCATAGAGAGGGTTTCCACTATGGCCACCTGGAGCAAGCTCACGGAGTTCCGGATTGAGCTTTCCAGGCTCAGGGACGGTGAAACTCTTGAGGTATACAAACAGCGCAATTGATGAGGAAATCAAAAGGTTCGCCGAGATGACCTGGATGTAGTTGTCCCACAAAAAGGTCCACACCACGAAATCCGCTCCATGCATGTAGGTCCCCGCAGCCAAGCTCGAGAGAATGATAAGGGCGGAAGGGAACGCTATAACACAGATATCTTTAGCAGGTATTTCGAATCTTCTGGAACGGCAAATTTCATTTCTGTTCTCTTCTGTGTGGTGATCATACCATTGAACTTGTACTTGTGTCTCCCTCCACAGGCCAAAAAAACACCCTCCGCCTCCTGGCCAGGAAGAAATATCTGCATGAAGAGGCTGAAGGCATAGTAGCTGAGAGTCCACAGCGTCACATTGATATCGAAGAGTCCTTTTAATCCTTCCTCGGGCCATCCGACTTCGCGCTTGAGTTGGTCGAGTGAGAGCGTCGAGGGATTCAAAAGGGAGGGCGCAGGACATCCAGTGACATCATTACACACGAAGGCAAAGATGTAGACGAGAACTGGAAGTCCAAAGACGATTGCGAAGGCTCCTATACTATTGGACAAGTCAATTCAGAGTCCCTGATTTATCAATTGGAGACGTACGGTCCGCAAAATTCATAGCCACGCTTTTCAGGAACGGGCTGCACCGGGACTTTGGACTTGGTGGCTTTCTTGGGCGCCATGGTGAATATTGCACGGCATAGACGATTGACAAAGAAGGAATTGTCGTTGCCTAGCCAGTGCTGAGAGGGAGGGGATTTGGAATAAATAGACCCTGAAGATCTGGTGAAGCTTGGCCGACCGCGTACGACGTCGGATCCCGTGAACCCGCGGCGGTTCTCCGCATGCTCCGAGAAGGTACCAATCACAGCGTCGGTGATGCAACGTAAGCCTTTCGCGTTCTCAGCCTCCTCCAATACTTCAACCTCGCCCCCTCTTTCCCCCGGCAACTTCCTTTAAGCCTTACATGCGAAGAGAGCTGGCCTCTGTTCCCCTGCGACACTCATTTTTGCTACCGTTTACGTCCGGTCCTTCGAGACCTCCATTACTACAGCCATGAAGCTGTCCAGTTCCGCTCGTTATTCTCTCCTCTTGCTATCCTCCTTCCTCAGCATGTCTAGCGCCGCTGCAGATAATTCTCACCTCAAAGATGATGTGCCCTGCGTGGCTCGCTCACCAACTACTGGTCTTTACTTTGACCTCAATGCAATTTCGTTATTTCCACCTGAGATGAAAGACGGCAAGAAGGTGATTAAGGACGCGCGAAATGAAAGCTGGTATGCGAAAGGGCATGACTACCCGGCCAACTTCAGCATCAACATATGCGCGCCCGTTATTGAAGAAGTCAAGGACGTCGTGGGTGTAGATTCATCCCGATGGCAAAATATCAGCGCATATTACGAACAGGCGGGGAAGATATATTCAATAGGGTATGGCAGCTCCCTTGGCTCTCGTCGATGTTTATTCTCTTGGTTCCATATCAGAGATGACCAATGCAGTTCCGCTGACTTCTTTCTCATTTGAACAGCGAGCAAGCTTCAGAACCCTTCTTCCGTGGTCGTAAGCTCGTCCTCAATTATACAAATGGCTCACCCTGCCCCGGAGACTGGGCCGCCGCCAACAAGAATTCTTCCGTGCGAACAAAATCCACGATCATGTCCTTCCTCTGCGATCGCGATGCCCCGGCGAACACCGCCACCCCGTCCTTTGTCGGCACTATGGATTCATGCACCTACTTTTTCGAGGTCCGCAGCTCCGCGGCATGTGGGGGAATTGCAATTGATCCGAATGGGCCTGGGCTAGGACCAGCCGGGGTATTTGGTGTGATGTGAGTCCAATAAGTCAATCATTTTAAGCCCGTCACGCGTACTCATTTTGTCTGTCCATTCTAGCATGCTCATCGCTGTGGCGGCTTACTTGATTGGTGGTTGTGCCTATCAACGAACAGTCATGCACCAGCGTGGCTGGCGCCAATGCCCAAACTTCAGCCTGTGGGCTGGAATGGTCGACTTCATTAAAGTAAGTGTCCTGGCATTGATGCCATGTCGGTCTCGCCGAACGTTCAGACATAGCTTTTTGGCGCCACATAAGCATACAGATTCAAGAACAAGCAAATTGCCCGTTTCGCGATTGGATTAGGTTTGTTCTGGCTGGTCTTGAGCCCAATCGCATGCGAAGCAAACTGCGTCGGTTTTGATGCTATGTCGCATCCATTTCCCTGTTTCTTGAACGATTTTTTTTTTCCTAGCGCATCTCGTTTACTCTCGTTGTTCTATGCCTCTCTCATCGTGTTGACCACGATCTGTACTACCTTTTTTGAGGACAAGATGTCGCGATTTTCATATCTGAACGGCCAGCCTATCTGCCTTTTGAGTTCGATCATTTGCTAGGTAGTTAGCTCTGAGTATTTGATTGTACTCTATACCTCATGCTTCGTGTTCCTTATCGTTTTTTTTTGGCGGGGTCCATCGCGTTTTTGCTTTATGGCCGCTTTGCAGAACCTGTACTAATTCGCAACTTTTCCACCGGAACAGGACATGTTCGTCATACTCTTCTCATCTGTCGGTAATTGTCTTCGGCTGAGACGATCACCTTCGAGTCGTGGGTATACTCGGGCCGGCACTGAAAACCGTGGTGGGTTTATCGGTGCAATCGGTGGACGACGTGGCAGTCAAGGTGGGCGCAGGGATGTAGATGCGGAGAATCGGCTTATAGACCAGCTGGATGAGGAGTGGGATGATTGAATGGACTGTACTTCTAAATAGGGTATGTTTGTTATGTACCATCAGGTTTCGATGGCTTGCTTCAACCTTTAAAGAACATCCCTCGCTATAGACTTGTATCAATTTCAATCGGGTATAGAGAGAATCGGAATTTGCAAATCATTCTTTCAATATCTCAGTTGGTTGGTGATCATTTAGTTATTCGGCTTCGAGTTGTGTCCAGCCACCGCTTCTGTCGTGTACTACTACATCGCATTGGACACCAAGGTAGATATAGATCGGTGAGGGATATACGGTCTCCTGCATCGGCTGAAACGGGGAAGTAGACCATCCGGGGTATTGTAAGCATCGAGATCTATTGTGGTTTCAGAGGGAAGTAGATAATAGCCGATGTTTCATTTTGTATCCTGTCGGCTCCAACTTATATATTTTATAACCACAACGTGTAATCAATCAGAAGCCAGTGGTCAAAATTTCTGGGACATCGAGTTTTTTTCTTCAGAAGTTACTTGACGAAATTAATTTGGCTAGATTAATCAGAATCTGTCTTATTCTACCACAAGAAGTCGTGAAAAAGAATAAATCCGAAAATTTCCGCGATTTGGACTTATTTACACCTGCGTAGGGAAGATAGGGTGGCCAATGAGTGGGCTATATAGGAAGAATTGTTAACAAACATAATTCAGGCCCTTCAGACATCAACTAGCATCATTGGTCTAGTGGTAGAATTCGTCGTTGCCATCGACGAGGCCCGTGTTCGATTCACGGATGATGCAGTCTTCAATCTTTTTTTATATCGATTTTATCGATTCTGTTTATTCTGTTCTGTCTATCCTCTTGTTAACATTTCAATTCGTATAGATCAAAGGACATCTACATGCTAGTCATGGGTGAAAATCCCCGAGAACATTTCATTGTAATTCAAACACAGTTCACCCGATAACATGGCGATCGAACCTCTTGATTTTCTGGCAGGAACGTGATCCTGTTGGAGTCCCACAACATCGCTCACTTCATCCATCAGTCCTATTTCAGTATATCTGGTATTTCACTGGTATAAATCAATGACTGCAGTGCGAAACTATCAAACCCAGAAGCCCTATTTGAAAACTCTGACAATGCATATCATCATCAATTATATTTGTACTTATCCTCACGCTCCTGTAGATTCTCTGAGTTGGTCCATGTTTTCATGTACAATTATTGCCAAAGAAGGAGTAACTTACCCAGTATTTATTGAATCCAACACCCTCACAAACCTGATCATAGGTCAAAATCATTGGAGGGGCTCCCACAGTCATACTTCTTTTCAAGCCATCCAAGGCCTCCCGTATGCTTCTGAGGTGGGCAGCAACCAAAGTCCAAGGATAGGCAACAGCACTATACCCAAGCTCAGCCAGCTCTTTGGCGGAGAGGTTTTCGGTTTTGCCGCCCTCAATGATATTAGCAAATACAGGGACATTTATTTCCTCTGCACAGCGCTTCATTGCGTCTCGGTCTGGCAAAGCTTCGATAAAAATAGCATCGACGCCAATTCGGATGAACTCTTTGGCCCGAGTTATGGCTTCTTCCCAGCCATACATCAAAGAATCCGTACGGGCTAGAATGAAAATGTCTCTCCCTTCATTACGAGCATCGCAAGCAGCCTGGATTCGTGCGTATGCTTCTTCGCGGGAGACGACATCTTTGCCTTTTGTGTGCCCACAACCTGGTATAAAGTAAGCTTTATGTTATTCAAAATCTTGAGATAAATACTGTAGTCATACGTTTTGGCCAGCGCTGGTCTTCAATCATCACACCTGCTGCTCCCGCTGCCGCAAAACTTTCAACCGTTCGCTTGACGTTCATAGGACTCCCATAGCCGGTATCTCCATCAGCCATGACGGGAATCGAGACCTGGCGGCAGGTCTCTTGAATTTTGTGGCACATTTCTTCCATCGCAATGTACCCTGTATCTGGCAGACCGTAGGAGCTAGCCACTGCATAACCTGCGAGAAAAGCCATGGGAAAACCAGCTTCCTCGACAAGGCGGGAAGAAAGACCGTCATATGTGCATGCATGAGCCAGAATCTTTGTGGGATCATTACGAGCTTCCAGCATCATCGTCCTAAGCCGTGAGGTTTGAAATGAGGGAACCTTGCCCCGGACGTTCTCAAAGCTCACAGTAAGATCTGAAGTGGTACCATCTTGAGGTCCGAGAGAGGCAGTTGACTCGAACTTGAAGGGGTAGGGAACAGTGTTTGTAGACATATTGATGGTCCTGGCGATTTCGACTTTTGGATATCGGGAATGATTGTACCTTGGGGTTGCTGGCTTTTAAGTCACATAATTCACGGCGATATCGGCGTCTGATCACCTGTAAGAATCGTGTAGTAAGCACCGAAGACCTGCATAGCGCGGGGGGTATTGTATCACGGATAATTGGCAATAACCGCCCTTCGAAATTTCCCCTCTTAGCCTACCAATCGGCAATGTTTGACGGCCTCCACATCGTCTGCGTATTGAATGTAGTGATATTGTATAACAAATTGAGTTTAATATTCTGGAATAGTAAGTTATACTTGACTCAAAATGCGGGGAAACTGGGCGTTTCTGCTCCTGAGCCCCACTGAGCCCCGGATTTTTTTTCAGAGGTATCGAGGAATGCGTCACATATAGCCGCTCTTTTCCTTGGCTTAGGATTAAATAATATGCTTTACCTATTTGACAAGAGAGTATATCAATGTCTTGAAGCCCCCCTCCCTTCTGATGTTTTGGTGCTTATTGGGAAACCTTCTTCTTAAAGCTTCGTCACCCGTATTTATTATCCCAACAGATTTCTACTGCGTGTTAAAGACTTGCGCGATGTCTCAAGTCAAAGAAATCGATGGGAGGCTTCCAACTTCCCAGCACTTTGAGGGTGATGGCTCTGTAAAACTGGATATCCCTGTCTCCGTTCCGGAAGTGAGGCAATCTACGATTCGAAAGAAGGTTAGTCATTCATGGACCCAAAAAAAAGTAAGATAATGACGGGACTCAATTCATCCTTAGTTTGACCGTCGAGTCCTTCCAATTCTATGCATCCTATATGTCTTGTCTTACCTTGATCGGGGTAAGTTCGCTCTCTCCGGAGCTCCTTTATTTGACTAACAGACGGCTTGCGACATACAACAGCGAATATCGGCAATGCCAAAACTGCAGGCATTGTCCAAGATCTGCAACTTGATGATAAGCAATGGTCTTGGGTTCTTTACTCTTTCTATGTTTGTTATATTGTCTTTGAGTGGACTACAGTGTTATGGAAGATCTTCCCGGCTCATTCCTACATTGCCGTGTTGTGTATTTGGTGAGCTTCCATTCTATCTCCTGCATAATTATTACTGGAATCTGAATCGATTTCTTTCAGCTGGGGTGCGGCGGCAATGTCTGCTGGTGCAGTTCATACTTTTTCCCAACTCCTCGTTTGCAGATGCCTGTTGGGGGTTTTCGAAGCTGTTTTTGGCTCTGGAGCTCCTTATTTCTTATCCTTGTTCTACCAACGAGAAGAACTAGGGTTCAGGGTTTCTATTCTGTTAGGAATGTCTCCGATTGCGAACTGCTTTGCCTCTGCCCTTGCTTATGGCATTACTCAAATCAAAGGATCTCTAGAGCCTTGGCGATATCTTTTCATTATTGGTAATACTTCCCTTCAACTGTTAATGAAAAGAAAACTAATATGTCAAAGAGGGCGCGCCCACTGTGCTATTCTCAGTGGTCGTGTTTTTCCTTCTCCCGGATGCCCCAGGTAGTGCGAAGTTTTTAAGCGAGGCCGAGCAAACCGAGGCTATTGAACGACTCGAAACATTCGATCGCACGGAGAAAAGTAAACTGCAATGGAACCAGGTACTCAGAGGCCTGCTCGACTACAAGAACTATGTTCATATGACAATCCACTTCTGTTGCAACTATTCCTTCTCTGGTTTATCCAATTTTCTACCAACAATCCTGGAGACCATGGGATATACGTCTGTCAACGCACAAGGATTGGCTGCACCGCCTTACTTCGGATCGTTTCTTTGCTGTATCGCTGCTGCTCTGATATCTGATCGGTGGGGGAAACGCGGGTTTATTATCACTTTCTTTGCCACCATTGGCACAGCAGGGTACCTCATTCTGACTTGCGTTAATGACGAGTCAAAAACAGCTGCTCGCTATATTGGTGTGTGGTTAGCAACCTGTGGCATATTTCCAGCGCTTGCAATAAATATTACCTGGCTCTTGAATAATCAGGGTGGTGAGAGCAAGAAAGGTGCAGGTATGGCAATTCTCGCTATCTTTGGACAGTGTTCGAGTTTGATTAGTAGCTCTGTCTTTCCTCATTCGGATGCGCCTCTCTACAAAAAGGGGGTTGCTCTTGGGTGCGCTTTCACTGGCCTGATCGCGATATTAGCTATGGGATTACATGTGCTTCTGGAGATGGAGAACAGAAGACGAGATCGGATATATGGAAAAGTCAACAAGCGAGATAGGGTGGATGTAACCAACGGCGGTGACAGTAGTCCTGGATTTCGTTATCTTACTTAACCAGTGATGAAGAATAATACATCAAGAACTAGGTAAAAGAATGATCAGCTATTATGGTATTTTGCCTACATGCCACTCCTTATGCTTGACATGGATAATTTATATTTGCGATCTCTCCTGTAGGCCAGAAAATTAGGATGCAGCCGAGAGAAAGCGAGAAAACTGTCATAGGAGCTCTCTACCAGTTAACTTGAATTATATGACCGAGTTACATTAGTACCTCTGTAGTTCACTATTGGCTGTGGAGACTCAGTACTGGCTTCCAAATGTGGAGACAAATGGAATTTACTGCTGACTGGAGCTTGCTGACTAGAACAACCCCCTGAGATATGTCAAAAATTGAACTTGGCGCTGGATTATGGCTTGGATTGTGTCTTTGGATGACCACTCGAGATATCTATTAACAATGTACTTAGTTATACTTCTAGAGCCGTCTTGTACATACAATGGTGTTCAAAAGTATTTACCGGTCCCTACTTTGACCACCAGACTAACCACCTACACATAAATTTTCTTTCCTTCTGCAACTACTAGTATGCTAGATAACCTAGCAGAATCTGCTAGAAAACGAAGGAAAAAAAAGGTGAGCTTACCCCCTAGCAGCGTCTAGCAATAGTATATGCTACTAATAACGGTGTATCTAGGATTCAGCTAGCAGGTGATTTTGCAGATAGTCTGAAAACGATATGTAACACTATTCAACGTTATATAGAAAGCTATATAGTTAAATTAGCGCCTTGCCTAGGAAGGCCTAGGAAGCTTACTAGTCGTCATTACACCTTCCTATATTTGCAAGCACGCCGGTACCTTTTTAGACCTATAAACAGCTATCAGCGTATTTAGCTAGTTATCTATCTAGGTCGGCTATCTATCGAGATCCCAGATGTGGGGAAGGTTTCGGCAGATCTTCGGAGAAGACAAGTTTACTTAATCGGGAAAGCGAGCTGTGGTCCACTCAAGTGCTCGGATACATCACTCGGGAAGTCGGTCGGTAAATAATTTAAGATCACTATCAATTGCAGTTTGAATTTCGTTTCTACACTATTTGTTCAAGTTTTGTAGATATCTGTGAATTGCACAGAGTTCCAATTATTGAACAGAATGGCTGCCAACGCAAAGCGACCCGAAATTATCACCCTATCTCGCGACTTGCGAGGTGTTCCGCACTGTGAAGACTATGAACGCATGATTTCCGGGATGATGTACGTGATGTGAACTGGTCGATTGCAAAGTACGACTGTGGCGGCATGACTGAAACTAACCTCGTGCAGGTATAATCCTAACACGCCCAAGTTGCTCGAGGCACGTCACCACTGCCGTGGTTTGACAGCGGATTACACCAACATGGACACTAAGGCCATTCAATACGATCAGGTATTCGAAAAGCGACTGGAAATGCTTCGAAAGCTATGTGGCAAGGTTGGAGATGGCACCTTTGTTGAGCCGCCCTTTAAGCCGGACTATGGCTGTAATATCATTATTGGCGAGGGCTGCTTTATCAACTGGAAGTGAGTGACCCCATCTCTTTATCATCCCAAATATCTAGTACTCACAAGCTTTTATAGCGTCACTATTTTGGATACCAGCCTGGTGGTGATCGGCGACCGCGTCCAAATCGGCACTGGCGTGAGTATTCTGAGTGCTGGCCACGACACGAGTATCTTGTCCCGCCAGAAATTCGTCGAATTTGGGCATCCTATTTTCATTGAAGACGATTGCTGGATTGGTGCCAATGCGATCATTTTGCCTGGCGTTCGCATTGGGAAGGGTACCACTATTGGCGCAGGTTCGATCGTCACCAAGGACATTCCTCCATTCTCTGTCGCTGTCGGCACTCCCTGTCGCGTAAAGAAGACAATTCCGTCCGCGGAGGAGGAGCAGCAAGACCCCAATAATCCGTACCGTCATTTGATTCGCGATCATTAGTATGTTGATAGTGTTTCTAGACCCATGAAAGCCGTGTCGAATTTGTTGTATTGACATCTTTTCTGCCCTATTCCATGCTCCCTCTAGATTTTCCATGCACTTGAAATCCAAGCGGACTGGTTCTCCGAAGCGGAGAAAACAGGTGGACACTTGGCATCCCGCCACTCAGGTATATTAGATAGACGTGTGTCTGGCTTCAGCCTCCGAATCTTAAAATCGGACTGCGTAATGTCGACTACTATCTCAGTCCGCAAGATTCCCTCACCAGGCTCCAATTGCAATTACAGTGAACTGCAGGAACAACCTTAGGTGTCTCGTCAATCGCATGAAAATTGTGGGGATGAACTAAGCAACTAAGCCACATCCATAGGCCAGACTAGGGGTAGCAATAATAAAATTTGCTTGTAGGTTAAACCGAGAGATGAAAGTTGAGACTACTGCCGGATGGGGGGAAACGGAGCGCAAGGGGTGGGTCCAATGGTCCATTTCAACGGATCGCCTATTTCACCTGGAGCCCAAACCTCCGAAGATACTCCTTGACGCCAGCAAGCCAGCGGGGGCACCTGGCTAGCCTGTCTTCGGGGAGAGCAGCCCCAAGTCAGTCCCCGGGGAAAACCCCGCCAGGTGGCAGCGGGGTCTCCGTTTCTTATCCGCCAGCCACGGCATAAAACACCAAAACTACCCTTTAGGGAATCAAGAGACCTGGCTGTCTTTACTTTTTACCCTGCGCGGAAAGTCAATTGCTTACACCCCACACAGACTAACCTCCCCATCTCGTCTTTCTGTCACGCCATGGTGGAGGCTGCAAAACCGTGCATGACCAGCGCCAGTGGGAAGCGAACCAACTCACTGGCATTTGCGCCAACAGATTGTCATACGTGTGCAACGCTGGGCGATCGATGCGATCGCCGACGACCACGATGCTCACCATGCCTCAGCCAAGGGCGTCGCTGCGGTGGCTTTGCGACAGCCTTATCCTGGGACCCAAGGCGGATGTTCTCTTGCAATCCTCTTTCGACCATAAACAAAGCTACCGAATATCCATCAACCGCAGGTGATGGCATGCTGAATTCACTTGCGAGACCGGATTCTATACCATCTTCTCATGCCTCAGGTCCACCCGTTCGCTTTCGATTCGTCGGCGATCCCGTTCGACCCCGAAAGCGTCGTAGAAGCGGCTCTCTACGAGCAAATCAAGCCTCGCGATGTCAATCAACCATACGAAGAGAGGATTCTGTGCCCCCTGTAGTCCTTTCACCCATTTTGGCAACTGAAAACGCAGAAATGACAAAGAACCAGCAATTAGGGGATGGGCTGAATGAGTTGCGTACGTCTATGCCTTTCCTATTCTGGGATGATCCCCCTTTGATCGAACAGAACGGCTGACAATTCTGGTCTCAGGATCACCTGAAATTCCTTTTTTTGGTGACCCGGATACATACGGTTCCATAATACCTTCTGGCTTCGACTCCGTCCCATGGCTTGACTTGCACACCCCAGAGTCTTTCCGCGCTGAATATACCGATTTGATGACGCTGCCCACGACACTTCTTCCTGTGGCAGATGCCACAGGGGTGCTCGCATTCGAAAGCGAATCACAGGAATGCCCGAAAGAGCAAGAGTTTGGCCCCATTGCCCCGGGGGTGACGCGGGTTGAGGGGTTGAATCGTGGAGAAATGACTCTTCCTGGCACGGCTCCGGGCATCCCCACAGCCACGACAATTTTGGATCTTCCCTTCAATGATCATGACTGGCTCTTTGAGATGTGTATGTCTACCTTATCGTGGGTCTCCCCAATAGTCTAGGCACTGATTGATCGCCAGACGATACCGAGTTCTGCGTGCTGCCTTTGACGTCCGATGTCACGACCAACCCCTTTCGTTGTAAAATTTCAGCCGCACAAGAGCATCGTCTTCTTTTTCATGCAGTTCTCGCTCTGTGCTATCGCCACCTTAACCGCCTCACGTGTACCTGGTCTGATGAAGTGACGGAACATCATGGTAAAGCTGTTCAGCTCTTGGAGAATGCGCTGCGGACAAAGCAAACTCGAAGCAATCTTCACCTTTTAGAGCCAATATTGATATTATTTACTTTGGACGTAAGGCTCGTCCATCCCCTCACCCCCCCTCTGGCTAATATTAATAAAGTATAGTGTACACTCTCTGCCACGGGAAATTGGTCGGCACACCTGGAGCGAGCACACACATTACTCGAAGCCTGTGGAGGCCCAACCTCTCTGGTCTGCCAGCGTGCCAGATCGCAAGTTGGGATGCTTTTATGGTAGCTTTCTTCTCCATTTTATCAGTGCAGTCCTTTCTGACATTTCTTTTCTCATAGGTGGGATGCAACCCTTGCCCTAATTTCGCGACGATGTCCTGTTCTGGACCCATCCTACCTCGAATATCTAGTACGGTGGGAGAGGCAAGATGAATGGTCTTTCTTTGACCTGACTGGCTGTCCACGAGATTTGCTTGTGATGCTGTATAACCTGGCAGAGCTTGCACGACATAACGAGATCGCCTCATCGATGAAGTGGCTAACCTTCGACATTTCGCCCGTTGTCGAGGCTGAAGAAAAGTTGACTCAATGGCAAAATGATCTTGATCCAACCAGGCAGGAGCCCAACCCAGCGCTGTCAGATGCTGAGGCAGAGAAGGAAATCCATGAGTGGCAGGACCGATATCACTGCGCCGAAGCATGGCGGTATGCGTTGCTACTCTATATTGAGTCTGTGTTCAAGCGAGATTGTCCCAAGAGATCTTTCTCCATTCCCCATCTGGTGCGCAAAACGCTGGATCACATTCGATGCTGTCGGCAAACGTCACAAACACAGAAACAGCTGCTTCTCCCTGTATTTCTTGCTGGGAGTGAGACCTCCGACCCGGATATGCGAGGGTTTGTGAAGGAATTTTGTGTGTATTGGGGAGACAAAAGTCGCTATAGCATGTTCAATTCTGTTCCAACTTTGTTGAATGAAATTTGGACAACAGGAACTTGGTGGGGTACAGTAATCGATGGCAAGAGAAAATCCGATTTGTCTAAACTAGATTCGAACTCTATAGAAGTATTGCTGGGCTGAAATAAATATCGACACAAACTATTGGATAAATTGAATTCCAAGGTTGTACCTTGCAGGGTTTCCATTTTTCAGCCCGTAATGAAGAACGCTAACAGTTCGCTTTCTGTCTAAACAGTCAGAAATGTATGACAAACAAAGCCTGAAAGATGGCAAGACAATCAAATTCGTCTGATCTCGTAAAAACTTGAATGATTCAACTGACGGCTTGAACTACATAGGATATCCCAGTCAATTGCGGGACCACAGAATTTCTTTCGGCGTTCAATCCAACAAAGCACGACTATTCCGAATATACCCATAATGACAACCGAGTTGCTGGATTTGAAACATGAGATTAGTATCGCACAAGAGGTTGATATCAGACAACTTACTAATTCATGTTTCCGAGTGTTGGTGGGTTGGTTGTCGGGAAGCAAAAGAATATACCGCTCAAAATGAGCCACAAGACGGAAAAGAGGTGTACCAGATATCCCGACCGTCCCAGATTCAATGGGCGTGAGGGGAGTATATGCCTTCCTTGGACCATGAGGATGGCCTGAGGGACAGTGTATGTAATATTCAACATCAAAACTGCAGTATTAATAATTGAGTTGAAAGCCTGGGTGCTTGCAATGTAGAGGAGGCCATAGACAACACAGAATCCAGCCGATAGAAGTGTGGCTCGAACCGGGATGTTGCGCTTTTTATCCACTTCAGACCAGTAATTCGAAAATGGAAGACCATTCTGTAAAATAATCAATACTTATGATCACGAACATCAGAGTCGAAGGTTTCTTACATCCCGGGAGAATGCCCAGGTCATTCGGCTGCTAGTAATCCACTGGCTAGGGACACATGCTAGGAAATGTTTAGTCAAGGTACCGAATTTTTCGGAATTCCGTGGAGTCGTACTGTAGTATAGAATGGTCAAGTAAGCTTGAAGGCAGGCTGCTGCTGCTTTGCTGCCTGTACCCTGGTAGAATAATTCCAGGCTGGGAAGAAAAGAGTTCTGGACTGCCTCCATATCCTGAACGACACATGTCATGGCTATTATCCACGGCACTGCAGTGAGAATACCGAGAAGAATGGTGATATTACTTTCAAGGATAAGCGTGGCTCGAGTAGAACATGAAGGGCTGGAAACACAAACATCACAAGTGGGATCTTCCGACTGGGATTTGGAATCTCCTCCGCAATATGGACACAGGCACCAGCTGCTGCAAATGCGTATTCTCCGTTTCCAATTGCTAGCATCCAACCTGGGCCAGTAGTCCATCCACTTGTTGACCGGAATTCTACCAGACTGCTAGGATGGTATGACCCCCGACCCATTACCAGACAGACAATCACCACCAGTGCAAATCCTAGGATCGATAGAAACATCGCAGTTTCCGTCATATTTTCGATGCGTTGCTGTGTAATGACAAATATCGGGATTACTGCAAGTTCTGTTTAGTAAATCAGGCTTTTTTTCTATGAATAGGGAAAGAATAGGGAACGGGAGTCACAAGTGAGAATAACAACAAGCAGATAGCAGAGATAAACCTGCCACTGGGTCCCCCTGAATCCGGGCACGAGGAATTCACAAATCCCGAAGGCCGATATAGCCGTGTATATACTCCCCGATGCAGTATTTACCCACCAGGCGACCACATTGATCGAGCCGACAATGTACGCCGCGAAGGCCTTGTAACCCTCGGGAGCAACCATGTATGTGAAGTGGTATTGCCCCTGTTTAGAGAGATGTTAGCGGTAAGCTCAAAGAACAAAAAAAGGAGCTTTGAGCGCTTACTCCGGAGGAGGGAAACGCAGAGGAGAGCTCGGCAACTCCCAAGAGCATGATCCACTGAACAGTGGCTGAGATAATAGGGCTGAAGATAGCGACCGGTCCGCCACCATAGCTGTATGTCACACCGAAGCAGGCCGCATAAGTCAACCAAGAATTGACGATGCTATAATCAAAATCAGTATCTCTCCTATTTTATTTCGAGGACACACACACCTGAATGCAAGGCCTAGAGCACCCAGCCATGAGAACGACCGCTCTAGTTGGACCCTGTGACCTTGGGCACGCAAAATGGCCTCGTCAAAATCGAGGGCCTCCCCCAACCCTTTCGTCTCCAGTTGGGCCTCGGAACGCCTATTTTTGTCTTCTTGTATATTAGTGTCTGCCATAATCTGTCCGAGAGTGGGGAGTAATCGAAAGGAGATAGGGGGTGAAAGGGTGCCGACGTAACAGAATGTCAGCGGATGATCCTTTATAACACTCGACGTGTATCCTGGCGGAGTCCCGGGTTTCGCTGGACTTTCAAGACAATGATTCAGCACGTATTAGGGCTACGATTCCCTCCCTTGCACCAGACCAACCAGAGGTCGTGGTTAGGCCCTAAAAGGAGCTAGGTATCATTAGTCTTCACGATAGAGATAAGAATTAGATATCATTCGTGTGCCACGACGTTTGGGGTATTTCGTCAGCCTAGCCGTGCACTACCAATAGGCAGACCGGGTATCCTTGTCTAGAGAGACAAGAAAGGGACCCGCTGACTTACCCCGGAATGCGGAGAAGCTCGCTTGAATGGGTGAGAGCTATGCATCCAGACCGAACCTTGCATTCTCGGTCCTCCTTTTTTGCGTCCTCGCCTGCTTTTTCGGGAGGTATCCGCGCTATCTTGCCTTCCTAGTTGGGTAAAGGTCGCTGAATTGTTTATCTTCAATAGCTATTGAGTTCTGTCATACTCCCCTTTCAGTCAACGTATCTTTGCCCGGCTATCACCATAGGGGTTGATGTCTTGTGAGATAAACCTGCAATCGAGTTTTTATACCAGTGGCTCACCGGTAGCAGAGCTGTCGACATTTCTGCTTCGGAAAACTCCTGTCCATATTCATGAAGGCTTTGAAATACGTCAAATCTTTCACAGAGCATCTTGTAACATTGAATGAGATTTCACTGTTCTCGATTTCTCAATAGGGTTAATGGAGGGACTCCAGGAGTTTCCCCTTGGTAGTATTCAAATGTTATAAGTAGTTATGTTACTCGTATCAGGGGTGCGCTAATAGAATTAAACGTGTTATCAGGTACCTGGTATGACAAAGGTACCCACCTATGCTGAGCATTTCCTTGTTTGTTTTTTCTTTTTCCCTTACCAATCGAAATGAATTTTATTGTATTCAAATTGAACATTCAAGTTTTCGAATGTTATTCAAGAGGATGACCAATTTCCTACTTGTCTATGAAAATTTCTATATGCCTCTTTCTTTGAATTTCCTCCATTTTCATATCAATCAGGACCTTTAATTGGTCTACGATCCTTGGATTAGACATTCTTACTAATCCGTGTCACCATCTTATGAACCGATTGCAAGGGTTTCGCTCAAGTGCTATTTCTTACATACCAAGGTTAAAATTTCTAGTATTTATGAAGGTCCCTATTCAATCTCACTAATGTGACCGGCTCGACGTAGGTTTAGCCCAAGCACTCGAAGCCATCTTCAATCCATCCCTCAACCAAGGCGCCTCCAGTGTAGCATCCGCATCAAATCCATGGTCGCCATCCTGTATATAAAGCCGAACGTCCACAGTCGGGAATTTTTGTCGCAGTAAAGAGACAAATTTTCGTGATCCATCAGCGGGAACTGCCGAATCTTGTTCACCGTGAAAGATGAAAAATGGCGGCAGCTGCAAGTTACTTGAAACACTCAGCTGCTCAACCCGCTCCATTGGGAACAGGTCGGGGTTTTCTGACCCGAAGAATTCTAAGAAGCGTGCGTTTTGGACAATCGAGAATGCCAATTCCAGCCGTGCAGGCGGGTCCTCGGCTGTTTCGAAAGTGGAACTAGATCGGATGGCAATAAGATGCTCTTCCGATTATACTGTTCGGGAGATTGGACACGCCAACGATTGGCTTCGCGTAAGATTCCGTGTAGAATGGTGCTTTCAGATCCAGCATCGGATAGGCAGCGATGACTCCTTGGATTTCCATCGGGTGACTTAGAGCTAACTGAACCGCCAAGTAACCACCTGGTGTTTTGAAATGTCAATAGCTACTTCTTGAGCTCATAGCCGTTAGGATTACACTGACCAGCACTTTCTCCGAGCATCAAAATTCTTTCCAAATCGGGGATAAGGCGAGAGAGGCCGACCTTTTCCATCGACTGCACCAGACCACCTGCGTGTAGCCAGTCCCAGAAGTCTTCCATATCTTTTAAAATCTCCTCTCCATTTGCCTCAGGTAGAAGCCGGTAGTTTGGGGAGACAATTATAGCCTGAGATCGTAGAGAATAGTTCAAGATCCAGTTTGAGAACCAGGGAGCATAGCGGCTCGATCCAGTTACCTAATAATTTAAAACGCTGGTATGAGAATTCAGCCAGGAAGTGGGAACTTCAGTCAAGTGTTTACTTACTAAAAATCCACCGTGAATGCGCACCATGATCGGGCATTGCGTCACTTCGTCCTTTTCAAGGAGAGCTTTCGGAATGAGAACGTCGGTTGAGACTGCCCCATTGCCTTGTCCAAAGTTCTTGTATTGGGTTTCTATCAACTCAAATGGCTGGAACTTATCGACATTCAGTGAGGATAGTGCGTTTATGAGATCGAAAAAGGTGCTTGGTGACATCTTGTGACACGTGGCTCGACGGGTGCGTTCAGATGGGGCCTCGGGTGGATATCTTCGGGACAGTTGACTAGGAGGATGGATTGAATTTTTGAACTCGACTTTTATATACATGGACCGCTTCAGGCCCACATCAAAATCCGGTCATATGAAGACAGATGGTACGCTCGATTTATTGTCATTTATCTGGAGACTAGCTACCTCTTTTCAAAATCCTTCATTTGCTCGAATGACTCTATCAGTCTATGCCCCAGTATGATCAAATTATTTCACGAGAGTGAGCCTTCTTGATTAAAGGTAGAAGTCTTGGTATTCGTAAGCAACCTTGTATGAAGTTTGCAAGCACTACATAAATAAAAAAAGAGATCAATCAACAGATGCTAGACTAGGGCTGCACCCCTGATGAAGGTGCTTTCTTAAGATGCTTCCTAGTAATCTTGGAAGGGTCGCGTAATTGTATTATACCGTGTTTCTACGCAAATACAGCTTGGAAAGTTTCCGGGACCCATAGCACGGAAGTTGTAGCAATCCTCTGGGAACCCTGAGATCTTTCCATCAAGTAATGAAACCGGGATTTCCTATGTCCAATGTCAAACAACTCCGGTCCATTGATTATGCACCTATGGGACTAGGAGGGAATTCACGTCGGCAATGGTATCTGCGGAGATAGCCTGGGAGGTGAGGAGTGAGTTTATCAACGATTTCCTTTTGGGGAAATCTCGGCTTTTAGCATTATTCCCAATGGGGAAACCGAGTTTAACGCTATGTGACCCTTGGGTTAGCCCTTTGGACCCACTTCAAATGGAAACAGACATGTGCAAGTTACACAAGAGTGTATGTGTCAAGCCGACATAAACAGAGTTTCAGTTTACGTAGGGTTTATTGCCCCACATATAAACCAAAAATTTCTAGGTATCGTGATGAGCTGCGTCCTCGTTACACAACGAGGCTAGAAATCACGTCAAACGATAGAAATACCAGGTTAGCAAAAATTCATAGTTGGTAGGCCTAGGATAATGACTCAGAATGTACACCGACTGCATGCTCTGAGTCTATATGAGGCTCACTCTTTTCGCGAGCAAGAATGTGGAACTGGCAATTGGAGGCTTAGTATTTTCTATAGAATATCTTTCGGCTTCTTGTTATCTTGCTATCTCGTTACCCTCAGCCCCGCAGGGTTGGAATGATAATTAATTTTCATTGATGTTTTTCGGGCTTTGTTTGACATGTATGAGGCTAAAGGCAAGATATAGGAAATTGCTTCATTTGACAGGCTTTGATAAATACACAGAGGTTGATTACTAGTTTTCGAACTTATAGTCTGCTTCTAGCACTGAGATGAGCTTACAGCATTGCACGTAGACCGCAAACGTCATCGATCAAAGCTACTGTAGCTTTTGCACAGCCATATGAGGACTGGTACCCAGCACCACCAGCACCATAGTTATGAACTACCCACAGTCCATCCATTCATTCCTTCTCAATTCTGGTGCCTCCCTCTCGGATAGGTCGAAGCCCTACCCCATGTCTGATAATATCCAAATACTCAATACCCCTCCCATCTGTTAGTGAAGGGCACATCTTGACAGCACGCTTCATGATGCGAATTGCCAGGTTCGGATCGGGCTGTGATTCCCAGTTGCCCTTCTGGTACGACCAGCCGAGAATAGTGCCACCTCCAGCAGCTCTTTTCATTACGTAGCAGGCTTCGCCGTCTTCATCGTCGGTTCCGGACACATCCAGCATCTTGTCTGCTTCATTTCGGACGACCACGATCTGTCCACGTGCGGGTATAACAGAACTATCTTCCACGCCGCCGAGCTTGGAGGCCATCAGACCTGTGCAGTTAACCACCAGGTCCACCTTCCCAGCTGGATGCACACCAGGTAGTGATGCGTCGCCGATATGCCTGTAAATAGCGCGCTTGAACACAACACCATTTCTCAGACACTGAGAAACAAGCCAGGGGAGGTAATTCGCTGTGTTGATGCACACCGAGGTAAAGATGGTAGCCGAGTCTATGCCGGGGCCAAGTGATTCTTTGGGTAGGGTCCGGAACTGCGATAGAAAGATTGAGCTCAGCACAGCCCTTCTCATAACTATCGACCATTGAGGAGTTTAGCTTACATTGGGGACGACTTTGGAAAACCAGGGATTCGGGGACAAAAGCTCAGCAAACCAATCTGCGGTCGCAGAGCCAACATCTTTGGCACGGCTATGAATTTCACAGTCTATATTCAAAATTTTCATTGATGGTCAGTCGCATCGTGAAAGGTTACACTCACCTTGGAAATGGACACCAGCCTCGGGGTGGTTTTTGGCGAGATCCGCCAATGGTCCCCAAGTGTCCTCGTCCCACTTCGCAGCTTCAGTTCCACCAACCGAGACACTGATTGTTGTGTTAGAGAGATTCATTGGGTATGTCGGGGGTAAACCGACGGCATGTAGTTTGCACCAGCCCACGGGGATGCGTATTCGATGTCGTAGTCGCCGGGCATATGTTTGGCAGCGACCACGATCTTGTAGTCCGGCTTGCGGGAAAGCAAGAGGGCAGTTGTAAGTCCTGCCACTCCAGCACTGTTGAATTGAAGATATTAACAACGATTTTCCACATCGTTTACATGTATTTCCGGCCGGTGAGAGGCGGTAATGTGGGATGGTGCTCACCCAATAATGACAATATTCTTTTGAGACATGTTGGGATCTTCCAATTTTTTTCGTATTTTAAATCCCGATACCTGTGCAAGAAAGAAAATCTCCAGAGAAAAGTAGACAAGAAATTGGCAGAGTTACGAGACTCTGGTTGATTTAACCAACTTACTTCCGCGATCGGGCCACGCTACTCCCTTCGTTTTGATGGTGTTTTCAGATCCCGCTGTGTCGGTTTATCTTACTTCCAAGTTGTCTTACTTGGTAGAATTTGGAAATATGACGGTAAAACTGATACACCCAAGTCCTGGGGTTCCACGGCATAAATACCGGGGTTCACAACCTTGGAAGGGGTCCCTGCAAGTGAAAATTGCCCGATCGGGAAGGCGAGGGTCTCCTCACAGTACTGTGTTAGTACTGTGGTTCCTGTTATTCTCTACTAAGATACCCCAGGCTATCACTCTTGCTTGCCTTCTTCATATTTCTTATGGATTAGATTGCTTGGCAGCTGCGGGTGGAACTGAGTCTCTCCAAGATACTTAAATGTGCATGCTGAAAGCCATCTCGGTCAGGTCTTTCAGGTCTTTCACTCCAACTCAACACTGTTCCTCCAATCAGATACCTTTTTCATCATGTCTACTATGCAAAGTTTCTTCGCCTCCTATGATGCGCGTCAGAAAGTGCTTGCATCAAGCACCAACCCTTTCGCCAACGGTGTCGCGTGGGAGGAAGGAGAATTGGTCCCTCTGCATGAGGCGCGCATCCCTATCCTTGACCAAGGATTCATGCATAGTGATCTTACATACGATGTTCCTTCCGTCTGGGACGGACGTTTCTTCCGCCTCGATGATCACATCACCCGATTAGAGGCAAGCTGCAACAAACTACGTCTGAAGTTGCCGCTCCCCCGTGAGGAGGTAAAACACACCCTTGTGGAAATGGTCGCGAAGAGTGGAATTCGCGATGCCTTTGTCGAGATCATCGTTACCCGCGGTCTCAAGGGAGTTCGAGGTACCAACCCAAAGGACATTCGCAACAACCTCTATATGTTCATCCAGCCATATATGTGGGTGATGGAGCCCGAAGTACAGCCAGTCGGTGGCAGCGCAATCGTTGCGCGGACTGTTCGCCGTGTGCCGCCAGGATCGATGGACCCGACTGTTAAGAACTTGCAATGGGGGGACTTGACTCGCGGTCTTTTTGAGGCTGCGGATCGAGGCGCCACATATCCTTTCTTGACCGACGGCGACACCAACCTCACTGAGGGATCCGGTTTCAATATCATTCTTGTGAAGGACGGTGTTCTGTACACCCCCCAGCGTGGTGTTCTTGAGGGCGTGACGCGCAAGAGTGTTATTGACGTTGCGCGAAGCAACGGCCTGGAGATTCGAGTTGAGCTTGTGCCTGTACAGATGGCCTATGATGCAGATGAGATCTTCATGTGCACTACCGCCGGTGGCATCATGCCCATCACCAATCTGGATGGCAAGCCTGTGAATGATGGCAAGCTCGGTCCAATTACGAAGAGGATCTGGGACGGATACTGGGCCATCCACTACGACGATGGTTATAGCTTCGAGATCGACTACAAGGATGGTCAGAAGAGTACTACCAGTGGATTTGCTCAATAAGATGATTGGAAGAATGAATGGCTACCTGTGATAGAGTTTTCAATAGTGCTCTTTGGTTGCAGATGGTCCTAGCCACCCGCAGTGTGAGAGGTGATTTGTCTTGTTTCCAGTGTTCCTGTAGTAATTTCATTCTCAACGACCCAGGGGTTGGAGGCTCTTGATTCAAGAGGATAGTTGAAGTTCGTAAAAAGAAAAAAGTGGGATTTATTAATGAATTATTGATCAGATCATATTTGGAATTTACAAGCCCAAAGCAGCAAATGGGGGTGTTTTTAGCCATTCTCTGCAGTCCGAAAACATGCCTGGTCCAATGCTCGACCCAGCACGCGTACGCCTGTCCAGGAACTACTAGGTCATACTAAGAGAATTATTGTTATAGGAGTATCAAAGAAAGGTAACTAATAGCCCAGCTAAGAGGGTTAATACGGTACGTCGTGTAATCGGACGTGATTGTCACCTACTCTCACCTACTCTTACACGCTCTTACTCTATCTATTGCGCACTCACCCTAATCACTCAAGCCATGGATACTGGAGCGGATTCGTCAACAATCTACTTGATTCTACTTTAGAATCTGTCTAATACATACGACCACAGGGTGTGGAGAACAGGGCTTCCCGTCCGCTCAGCCGTACTTAAGCCACACGCCGGCAGGTTAGTAGTTGGGTGGGTGACCACCAGCGAATCCCTGCTGTTGTATGTTTTTGTTTTTCATTTCGAACGGCCGGGAATGAGCCTGTCCATCTGATTTACTTTTCGAGGGCCGAGGGTTGGCGGAAAGCGGATATTTCAAAAAGCCGCTCCCCCGCCTCGAAAATTCCCGCTCCAAATTCCCGCAGGTCCACTTAGTTCACACATCAACATCATGAACAACCGGAGGCCATCGAGAAGTCGACGTAGTCATGAATATGAATTCCAGAGGACATACAAAGCATGTACTCCATGTGCGCGACGGAAGGTGAAGTGTGAGCCTGGAGATGATCATAAATGTCTCCGATGCACCAAAAAGCGAATTGATTGTGTCTTTACATCAAAAAAGCCATGGTCTCGAAGTCCCAAAGATGTGCCTTCAAGAGAAAGGAGGCTTACGGATGATGGGGAAGCTATACAGAGGTAAGATCACATATCAATCTTGGTATCCTTGCTAACCGTAGTAGATCGCCATCAGAAACCTATCAGCAATCTGGGACGAAGCAAGGAGGTCTGCCTACATCTATCTTGCAGAAAGTGGTCTCAAATAATAACGATGCCATGAACATACTTTACGAAGCCGTGGCCCTTGAAGAAGGCCATGATATCCAAAATAATGACCAAAGTGCTAGGCCTGGTTTATGCATTCCAAGAACATTAAACGACACAGATGCGCTTCGTATCTGGAATGCTTGTCGTTTTGTCAAGATGGGATGGTTCACAGCCCATGAAGCGATGCAACTCGTGGATCTGTAAGCCAGAGACTTTATCTAGGGAAGTGGTAGTAATGCTAACCAGGAAAGATTCTTCATAAACATGAGTCCTCTGTCTCCGATACTGACCGACTTTTTTGCAACAAAAACGAACCAATTCTACTTGGTGACACAGGAGCCGATGCTTTGTTGCACCATCCTCATGATATCTTCTCGCCATCACACATTGCCTGGAGTTGGAGGCTGCACTCGGGCGTTCTTTATCCACCAAAGGCTCTGGCAACACTGTCAACATATCCTTATGCGATTGACTCTGGGGCAGGAGAAGATATCTAAAGCGAAGACTAGGAATATCGGAAGCATAGAAGCATTATTACTGATGTCTGAGTGGTTCCCTAGAATCTTACAGTTTCCACCTGAGACTGATGGCTGGGACTCGGATTTCATTATGACGAACTTGGATGGTAGAGACCCTCCATTGCCTATGGAAGAGATACCGGTGTCAGATAGTTGGAAGCAACATGTTGTCGAGCCGACAAAGCGATTCGAGCGCATGTCATGGATGGTTCTCAGCTGCGCACTAGCACTCGCACACGAATTGGGTGTGTTTGACAGCAATTCTCACATTCCATTGCCCAATGACCTGGTCGGTGCTGATGCTGAGAACTACCTGGAGCATCTTGAACTTCGGCGTCAACGATTACCGAATCTGCTTTTTGTTTTTATCAACGCATTATCTTCGAGGATCGGTTGTACTTCTCTTATGCCATCAGATACAGTCTTGCCATTGCCGGATATTTCACTACTACGGAGAGACAGGAAAAGTAGGGAGTGGCTTGCTTTCATGAAATCGTGGACTGAGTTGACCAAGCTCACTACTTCAATCATGAATACACTTTTCCCTCTTATGAACACAGCTTTGGCTAGCGGATCAGCAGGTACCTTTCTGTCGATTCTGGATCAGAAGCAGACATTACTAGCTGATTGGCGACAACGAAACCTCGCCGTTGCAGGTAGGCTGGCTCAATTTGACAACTATTTCGATACGTAATAACAAAACCTCTGCTAACCGCAACAAAGACACTGAGCTTGGCTATGCAAACATCCTGTTTATTGAGCACCAACATCTTCGAGTCCTCATCAATAGTATTGGAATGCAACTCGTACTGAGGCGCGTTCTTTCACAGATAAGTCTGTACGGCGGCTCCACGATCGATCACTTCTTTGTGGAAAAGGCCAGAGAGCTTAACATGACCTCACGTGAGTACGGCTTCATTGAAGACGTTATTCAGGGCTGCTGTCAAATTCTGGAGAGAATCACGAGTCTTGGCGATTCGGGTACTTTGTATTTCTCTCCGATGAGGATATTGTTTCGAACTATTAGCGCTTCTATATTCTTGATGAAGGCTCTTGCTCTTGGAGTCCGTCAGAGCAAGTTACAGGAAGCTCTAAGAATTCTTGATCAGGCGATCGCTGCCTTGCAGGAGAAAAGTCAAGACGACGTCCATCTGAAACTCCAGTATGCCACTCTTTTGCAATCGCAAGCTGCACGCCTTCGAGGTAGTTTGGTATCTTCACAGCCAACAACTGGCCCTTCTCAACCGGTATCAGAGATGGCGAATAGGCATGTGCCCCCCATTGAGATATCCACTGATATGAACCAGCCTTCTGAAGCGGATGTTCAGACCTTTTTTGAACTTCCTACCCACGAGTCGATGGATTTCGATGTCAATGAATGGCTATATCTACCTTTCGATCCGTCAATGGCTCCATTTGGTGAAGCCGAAGGGGAATTCGGAGCTCGTCTGGATGGAGTTGACTTGGATCTGAACTTTTTATGGCAACTACCTCCATAGTTTGTTTCGTGACTCTATTTTCTTTCCCTTTTTGATATGTATAGTCTGGAACAGAAAGTTAAAATACTCAGCGAATATTGTCAATACCGATGACTGGTTTGAATATCAGCGTCTAAAAGTGCCCTGTAAGAGGATACTGATATATCGCATGAAAGAATCCAAAATTTCTTTCCAACGAATCACTCAGCATTCATGGATGATCGGAGAGCTATATCTAGGGAGCAGATAAACATACGTAGTTATTAACCACCTGCCACTAATCGGCAAGTCTGAGCCCGAGCTTGCATCTATCCAGTGAGGCCAAACCCGAGGGCCCTCAGGTGGTAGTAACCCAAGCAAAGCCTTGCCTAGTAGCTACGAAAGTGTTGCCGTGTCTAAATAGAATATGGACCTCACGAAAAAGCCGGTGATCTCTATTATAGATACGTAATGGATATGACAGTGAGTGGACACTTATATACATTCAAAATAGATCATCGCGATTACTCCGGGCTTTTGACAGATTTAATCCCAGTGCAGAGGGAAAGGGGAAATGCAGGCCTGCCAGCCTAGCGAAATCCAAGATCAAAAATCCGACTCATAATACACACTATTAAACACCACGTCTCGGTCGTTGAAAAAGAAAAAAATAAGCAGACGGATCATGCAGTATCTACTAAATAGCCAATATTACGTGGCTGGTCCCATATCTGGCCCGCCTAGGCCCAGGTCATAAGCACTTAATGACATACCTCCACCAGGTAGGGCTGGCATATTGCCACCAGGGACTGGGGCCGAGGTTGGACCCCCGCCAACAGGCTGGGCATTTGAGCCTGGTGCCAGTGGAGGATTGGCGCTGCCGACAGGGTCAAGGTTGAAGGGCAGGAACCATGCGCTGGGCTGGTAGAACTCGCCTGTTCCAGCGGGCGCGCTTGGATCAAGGTGACCAGTAAAAAGAGACTGATCTGCACCCCGAGTGTCAACGCCATTGACAGGTGGCGGCGGTGGTGGTGGCATTGGGGAATTGCTCGTTGGGACGAAGGAGGTGGGATCAAAATCAGAAAATGAACCATATACAAATTGCCGATCCAACTGGGGCAGCTGATCTGGAGGGATGCTGAAGTCGAACGGGGACTGGCCAAATGGCATAGGTCGGTTCTGAGAATATAGTGATGGCTGAGGGAATGCACTTCCTGGAACACCAGGGGTATTTCCCATGGCAACATCCATAGACGTCGGGGATTGGTCCATACTTGGAGTTCCGTCAGATAATTTGCTGTTCTTTCGAGAGCGAGACTTGCGAGGCAGAGCAGGCTGGGGTGTTGGCGATAAACTGGCGAAGAAATCTTCCACACTCTGAAGATCGGGTTTTTGACCCATCACAGCATCCTCTCCTGTCTCTTTGTGGCGAGTGTCAGGATCCTCCCAGTGTACTCTTGACACGCCGTGGGGGTACTTGTCAAACCAATCGCCGTATTGGAACATAGGCGCCAAGCTGGTGCCATTCTGGGTGGCTACAGAGCCCTTGATAGCTGCATCAGCAAATTGTCGATATCGGTCTTTGGCACTTTCCACCATATAGTGGAACATGCCCCAGTACTTCTTCATTTTATTGAGGTAGCGGTAGGTGTGCCGCAAGTTTTCCTTTGACCGTGCCTCAAGTTGCACATTCTTGGAGAAAATACCCCAGATATGTACGGTACTCGCGGTGTACGCACAATAACCCGCGAAAGGAACGGTCAGAGGATAGGCAGATGCGCGGTCAAAAAGTACTGAAATGTGGTGGGCGGCCTCTACTGCTGCCCGACCAGCGTTGCTGAGGAACGGCTTGGGCATATCACGGGGAGGCCGGCCTCCAGGAGACAAGGGGATGGCGAACTGGTTCAGGAATAGCATGTTCTGGTGTATAATGATGTGGAGAAACAAAAACTGGTTCGCGATCTTCTCTGCTGCGTGAATTTGGAGATTCTCGTATGTGAATGTGAGATTGCTGGGAAGAGAACCAGAGAATTCTTCGATCTGGCGCTTCAGTCGCATGTACCCAGACTCTGGATGCCAAAGCGGCGAGGAGTCTTTCCTCTTTCCACCCAGGTTCAGATAATCGACAATGCGACCCCAGATGACAATAGCACGGATGATATAGGCAGACACGCCCATGTTCTCCTTGGCATTGGATAGTTGTCCAGAATCCTCAGGTGATGGGTTCGGGACATCTCCATCCAGATCTTCGGTGGGACCAGGGATTTCCATTTGGAAATGAGTCTCCTTGATGGGGAGTTGAATCTGGAGGAATTTCTCATTTCCAATTGGTGGCCGTTGACTGCCGGAGGAGTTATACCGATCCATCAGGAAACATGCCCACATGGTTCGCCGCCGGATTTCGCGATCTGTGAAGCTCATTTGGGAATTGGATCCGTTATTCTGTTGTTGGCTGAGCAATTGATCGCTCTCTAGTTCTTGATGAAGCTGAAGAGCATACGCCATTCTCAAAGCCTGGCCACCAAACGACCAACTTCGCCCACCATGGCATGTTCCAAACTCATGCAGTCCAAGAAGTAGAAATACGGTTAAAATGGTAATATTTGGCTCATCGTGTCGACTGAGAGCAATAGCCGCCGCTGGGTTGGCCCAGTTCTCTCCGCGCAGAAAGGGGGGTTCGGAGTTGAGCTGCGGATGGGTAGAAAATCGAGCAGAGGCCGCGCACACAGCAAGAATGAGGACCGGGGGAACTGTGCCTGCCTTCAGCCGTCGCATAAAGCTCGGTTTATGTAAGAGGAGATAAGACTGCCCATAAACGCAGTCAAAGAAGACCTCTGCCAGATGCTCTTGGATTTCGAGAGAGGGCAAGAACTCTGCGCCCTCGGTCAGGAGGCCGGTGCCATCCGTTGACTTAAAATCGCGATTCATGGGGAGAGTCTCGTGTGGTGGGCGACGCTCTTGTCGCGTCCAATTTTCCATTTCTGTCGCAAACGCTTCGTCGGCACTACGCTTTTTCTGAGTTTTCGAGGGTTGCCCTGGCGCCGCGGGCTTCACGACCGATCGTCCAATCGAGGCCATATCCCTGGTCTCGTCCTTGGGGATGGTCTTGATTACGCGATCTTCCATACGCTTCAGTCGCTTGTCCAGCATGGCCATGTAATCTGTCCGCGGTGCGGCTTTCCTCGTAGTGACTTTATATACGCAGGGGATTCGCGAGCGAGTGCAGTGCTTGCAGGCAGGCTTCTCGCCCGAGCACCGGATCTTCTTCCGACGACAGGCGATGCAGGCCAGCGGGAGTCGCTTCCTCTCCTTCCCGGCCTTGGTTTTCATTTCACTCCAGGCCGGTTTGCCGTCCTTGTCGAGTGGGCCCGTGCTGGGGGCTCCAGCGGCATCATCTTGCGCGGCATCATCGCGCTGGTTGTCTAGGGCGCCGTTGTCGGCTCCCGTCGCGGGGTCGGCGGTTTGTGTGCTCCCGGGGTCGCGGGAACTTGCATGACTCTGGGTCTCAAAATCGTCTAGTAGCGCTGTCGAATCCTCCTGGCCTAAACTAAAGCTAGCACCAGAAGTCTTCAAGGGTGAATCGTCGGAGTCGGGAGGGATCATGACGGGTGCGGGTACCCCAGGACCGAGGCCCCAAGCATCGTTCGGAGTGACCGGGGCGGGTTTGAATCGGAACTTCCTGTCGGGAGGAAAGGAAGAAATTTCAGGGGATCCAAATGGCTCCAGACGTTGGGAAGCAGGGCGGTTGCGGCGGGATAATTTGGGGTCGAGGAAGAAGTGAGGAGAATGAAGGAATATGGGGAAAGGTTCAGCGGCGAATGGCGGCTTGGCAAGAGCGTCCACTGGCAGCGCCCATATTACGGAGCTGCGTTGTCCTCCCTCGTGGGATCAGATGAAGCGACGAATGAAAACCCGGAGTCTTTTCAGCCACTGCTGTCGTCCTCACCTCGCTACAAGATCACTAGAAAGAATAGGAGTGCAGCGCAGGGGGGCCTGTGGATTTGCGCTTAGGTTACATACGTCCGAACTCGGTTATGATCACATCATTTTTCTCTGCGCCTCCACAGGAGGAGCTTCTAGTAGATCCTGGTGGGTTTCATACATTTATTGATTTGCAGAGAGTCTCAGAACCATTGGCAAAACTATTTGAAAGCTCGGGACTGCATCCTTTGGCGGGCTATGCACTGTGCATATATCGGCCCCTCGAGGTCCCCAGGTCGCAGCTCCCTGCCGCACCTTCGGGCCGAACCACAATGTAGCACCATCGATCGCTTGGCATCTGGCCTGACAATTGCTCCGGAATATTTGCAGTCGAGATAGATTAAAACCCACTCAAATGGACTAAAAGCTCCCGAAATATTGGGGAAAAAAATAGAAATAACTAAAAAAAAACAGAAATCTCATTTGGTTAATCAGTGCACAGCAGGTCTCTCCGTCAACGCCTCGAGAGAACCAAGGTATCAATCAAAACATGCTGCATAGAACGATTTCATAGTCTCGTGCCCCCCAAAGAAACACAAGTCAACAGAATCTGGAAATATAACATGGTCATACACCCTCTCGTGAAGCACCAAAAACTTCCAACAGATCCCGCGCCTGGGCATTTACGATGATTTCGGACGCCCGGGACGGCGCGGCGAGGTCTGCTCCAAGGAGTTGAGGATTTCGTCGCCCAGGATATAGACATTATAACTTGGGAAAACAATCCAAAGGCCACTGAGCACAGAAAAGAACATGAATTAGTGACAGGAGAACAAGGAACTCGTCTGTACGGGACTAAACTCACTTGGGAATGATCCACAAGAAGATAAGGGTGGCGGCGTCATTGTGTCCGACGTTATCAAACCCTGAGAAAACTTCGTTCAGCCCTATTGGTGGTTAGCGCCATGAACAATCCCAAAATGACCACAGAGGAGCAGGAACGAACAGTAAAGGACGGTCTTGCTGAGAGTCATCACAGAGGCGGTGAACGCGACGAGCAGTGCGACGGCGCCAGTGCGGCCCGCGACGACCTTGTTTCCCGTCAGCAGCCACATGAAGCCCTTCTTGAGCTTCTGTGCGCCGCGGCCGGTGGTCACTGTCGCGCCGTACCGGTATACAGTGGCCAGGTAGTAGATGTAAGCCAGGGTCTCAACCACATTCATGACGGTCTGCGCGGCGGTGAATCCATTGCGCGCGTTGAAGGCGGGCCAGCCATAAATGTAGTCGACTGTTCCATACAGCGCATAGGGGGTCCAGATGGGCGAGTGCAGTCGGCCACCTGGCATACTATGCGGTCGCAACAACACATAGCTTGCATCCCATATGACCAAGGGAACCGAGGCCATGAGCCAGATGGTCAGCGCGGCACTCGGGGTATGGACCCATTTGCGCGCAGTGCCGTTGGTGGTGGGCGCAGGCGACGACCTCGCCAGCTCCTTTGCGGCTTTCTCAGGCGAGGGGAAATCGCGGGGATGGTGTCGCGTGGAGACCATGATGGATTAGAAGCGGCTCACGGGTAATGGAGGAAGCGCAGGGTCGCCAAGTCTGGGAGGAGCGAGTCGCGCGGTCAGTGAACAGAACAGGGGAGGAGACAAGCCACAGCGTGGAAATGTGCAAGACTGGAGTTCATTCGGACCCGAGTAGGAGAATGAATACGCTAGTTTCGCTCTGGCGCCCGAGAGGAAACAGAAATGGGGGCTGCATGCCAGCCGATCCAGTTCGCCTGCGTCTGACGGCCAGTGACGTCGTCCGAGCTGGTCGTTTGCGGGCGAGTCATGAACGCTTTGGGCGAAGATTTGCCTTCCAGCCCTCGAACCCCGTCTGCATTGGAGCCCGAATCTGGAAGCTGGCCAAGCGGGAAAGGGTGATCAAGCTGGCTCCGATGGATACCGTAGGATGGATCTGGGCCATCCTTTAGCGTGTGCTTGGGGAGTATAGACGGCATTCTTTACCCCAGAGGGCTCGTGCGTCCCCTCGGAGTCCATCCAATCGGCGCAATTAACCCCTTGTTCCCCCTTGCCGGGAAAAAAAAGAAGAGGCGCAATATCATTTCATACTATCCTCTTCAGGAGTCGGAAAATCAATCCAAGTGAGCTTCTGGTTTTATAATCACGTTTTCCCTCTGAGAGGATCTGCAGTTCCTCATGGCCGCAGCGCCTCGTTTGTTTGGTCGTTGGCGCCTGAGAAAACAGGCATGAAAAGGGCACGTGATGCCAAAGCCACAGCGAAGAAGCTTTTGGGAAGACTTCCAGGAGATATGGACTGGTTGACGACGAGACCAAGCTCTGTGGTGCTCACAGATTGTCTCTGACAACACCATCAACTTCCTTTCCCGGACCTGGGAGGTTTAGTTGACAATGGAGCCGGAAACTAGCCAGAAGGTGTGTCGTTCATGCTCTCACCAACCGCCACCCCCTCAACCACCGATGAAAAATTCTGGAGCCTAATTGCTTCTCAAGCATCTCGAGCGTCTTGCCCGGGTACGGGAGAACCAGCGCAAGAGTCGCGCACGAAAGCAGGATTATATTCGAGAACTAGAGCAGAAATTAGCCTCGTCCAATAAAGAAGCTCAGCAGAAAGATATCGAGCATCGCTTGGAGGTCCAGAAAGTGCAAGCAGAGAATCGGCAGTTGAGGACGCTCCTGGGATCGCTGGGAATTTCACCAGAGCTGGTTCAACAGTATCTGCAGTTAGCAGACCAAGGAGCTTCTGCAAATCGAAAAGTCGCAATTCCAGCAGTTCATCGATTGACAGAGCTACCCTCTATAGCGCCATATACTGATCCAACCCCACAGCCAAATTGCAATCCCCAGGTCGCATCGAGTGCATGCAGTGCCGCCACTACAGAGTTACCCGTTACAGTTGACTCTCGTGAAACTTGCGAAAGCACCCCGACCGAGACAGAGATGAAAGATTCCCAAGAGCCACAGTCACCAGTTCAACCACCAAAACAGACGCTTCCATCACTCTGCAAATGTCCATCAAATACCAAGGAATTATCCCCTACAACTAATGAGGATGTTCTCAATACGACGCTTTGCAGCATGGCTGAACAATTGATTGAGCAATACAACACGCAAGGAGTTGATATCGAAGAGATTCGGGGACGCCTTTGGGCTGGTTTCCAAGCAGGCGCCTCTGGAAACGACTGTCGAGTTGAGAACCAGATGCTATTTCAAGTATTGGATGAGATTAGCAACAACATTTGATTGCTTGCTTCATGCTATGCGGAGTCCATTACTAATATATCTGGTCCGGCCTACCGCCCCTACCCCAACATTCTACCAATGACGCCGCTTGCCATACCACTTCACCACATATACCAACATTAGCAAAACCGGTACCTCCACCAACGGCCCAACGGTGGCCGCCAAGGCCTGGTTGCTGTCCGCGCCAAAGGTCGCGATCGCCACAGCGATCGCCAGCTCAAAGTTGTTACTCGCCGCCGTGAAGCTTTGTGTGCAGGACAATTCGTACCCAAAGCCAAATCGTCGAGTCACCATTAGAGTGGCTAAAAAGATCACCGAAAAGTAGACGACCAAGGGGGCCGCCACCCGGACCACGGACACGATTTGATGTACCACTTGTTTGCCCTGCGATGCGAATAAAACCAGAATCGTGAACAGCAAGCCGATGAGTGATAGTGGACTGATCCACGCCACAAATTTCTCGTCGTACCACTTTCCTCCAAGTGTAGTGCGCAGGCTGAGACGAGTCACGATCGCAGCGCCCAGCGGGATACCAAGAAAGACGCCAACGCTTTTGGCGGCGAGAGAGTAACTGAGCGTGATGTCGTCATCGCTGATAACTTGGATGAAAAATATAGCCAAGGGGGCAAATAGCACCATCTGTAGCACAGAATTGATCGCTACCAGGATCGCGCAGAAATCTCCATCTCCACCTGCCAGTCCAGTCCAAATAAGCACCTTAATTTGGTTCACTACCATTAGAACCTATCATGTTATTATCGGTATAGTAGTAGAACATACCATTGCGATACATCGCGCAATTCCCACAAGAATTAAACCTTCTCGTAGCTCTCTCTGATCTGGAAGGAACGCCCAAGCCAATGCGAGCTGGGATTGCAGTTAGCAAATACAATCTTGGAAAAACGGTTCTTCCATTTTGTTTCTTGACTCAATAATCCCAAATCACTCTTTTCGCCTATTAGAGACATACCATAAAGAGAGGTGCCACAATCCAATTCACGACTATGCTGAAACCAATTTGGACCCAGAGTGCCTTCGTACGAAATGATCGATGCAGCGTTTCAAAGCGAACCTTGCACAAGATTGGGTACATCATAACCAACAGACCAACAGCTGAAAATAATCATCGTTAGATCATCTTGTCTCCGTCCAGACCTACTAGACAGCAAATTTACCTATGGGTACAGATACACCCACGAACTTTCCTTTCTCCAGTACCTCTCCTGTATTCGGCACAAAGTTGCCTAGAATGATTCCAATTGCCATAGCCAAGAAAATCCAGATGGCGAGAAAGCGGTCCAAGATTCCAAGCTGTTTAAAAGCTGACAGCTGCTTCGTCTCTGCATGACAACTAACATCCGTGCCATTCTCACTCGACTTCACGTCTGGAAGATGGTCATTATTTCCGATTGAAGGCGTATTGGCTTCCAGGTCAGCCATGCTGAGTCCCTGAATTTCTGTCAAACTTTGAAAATTTTCGGTGGATACATGAAAAACCCCATCGTCTTTTATTGAGCTTTCATTCAGACCGCATTTACTACAGCTTTTGGTATGTCACCGGAATCAGACCAATCATGTTGCGTGGGTGACATACGTTGCGCAGATCACGTGGTTTATTTTCGATCATGTTAACTAGTGTCACTCCCCTAGTTTAGTTAACTAATCAGTTTATCAGTCCCTTCTGTAGGAAAATAGGATTTCAAATTACCAACACCTCAGCTTCGTATGCACCAGATAAGGATCAAAAACACACTGTGATATGTAAGAAGATAGCGAACTAAATCAAGGGGCGGACAACAAACTACTACACCGTCACTTATATCTAATCTAGAAATATAGCTATGATCAGAAAACTAAGGCTGCTGAGTAAAAGCTTTTTTTCTTCTTCAAAATTGGCGTATCTGAAGTCGATTCAGCCATTTTGCCTATCCAGGATCTTGCCTTGAGGCGTTGTGGAAACCTGATGAGAGGGGCTGGGAACAATCATCTTGATCTGGTTTTGGCTTGCCATATATAATTGAGATTTTCAAGTCAATGCCTCATATGCAACTATCTCAGCTTCTGGAGCACCAAAGGTAGGACGGGGCAAGTGGTGGAGATGACTTTTGTACCCAGCAAGAGTACGATCGTATGCGGCACGGATTTTCTACCGCGCGCCATCTGGAGGATTTCCTGCTCAATAGTGCCTGGTACTCATAGCCAGTACTCTCCGCTTTGTTGAATAGAATACAGCAACCCGTCGTCTAGCTCGTAGGGTAGCTTTTCCTTGACTGGGTCGAGGTCGCTCGCCACGCGCCCGAGCTCCTTGATAACCATCGACCATCGTGGATCGGTTTCGCACCCGTTGCGGACGCGGGCCTTGAATTCGTTCATCATCGACACAGCAGAAGTGAGGAAGGCGTAGACATGATCAGGTACGTCCCAGTTAGTGTCTGCGTGAAGCGCGTCTAGATCGTCGCTATCTCGAGGGACCGGCTTCCCGACAGAGGGGAGTCTGGACAGCGCATCAGCGACACAGTTTGTCTTGCCGGACCGGTGAAAAACCAGCAGGCGGAACTGCTGAATATATTGGGACCCAGTAGAATTAGCGTTTTAGTACGATTTACTCGCCTAAATGATCAAGAAGACTACCCTAGCACAATTAGCCTATAACTTCGATGAATATAGTTTCCAACCTAGCGAAGGAAAATCGAGAAACGTTATATCTTCTAAGAAGATAGTAGATCTTCCATCGACAGATCAAGGTGAAAATGTTATTTCGATTGAATATATTACCGCCGATAGGTGGAAACTGGACAGGTCATCTGCCTTTCTCTTCGGCATCATGTCGTGAGGGTATGGGTAGAATGTGGATGCAGCGATGTGAACTAAGTGCAGGAAGGGATGTGGGTGGGATGTAGTTGGGATGTTTGGGTGTAGTAATGTGAATGAGTGAAAATTGTCGGGAGGTGAGAGACAAAGCTCGTGGGATTGGGACTGAGGTCAGAGTCAGGTGAAAAAGAGAGATAAGAGATAGGAAATAGGGATAAAAATTAGAGATGAAAAGTGAGAGATATAAGAAGGCAAAGGAAAAAAAAATAGAGATAAGAGGCGCGAATTAGGGATATGAGCGTAGAGATGAAAAGTGAGAGATAAAAGAAGATAAAGGAAAAATAGAGATGGGAGATGAAAACGACAGGATAGCTAAACTTAATAGTTTACATTTCTGTTCGTTTTTAAATTGATAAATCAAATCCTCGGTGCCAATAGCTTCTTCTCCTGTGATCTAGCTGTCTTCCTTTGCAGACTGACTAGCCTAGCGGATTAGGTAGTATTTTTTATACGTGACTGTCCCGTTACGCCGTAGTCTTCCGGGAGCATGTCGGACCTGCTTAGCTAGGATACGTTCAATATCGTATCGAGTTTCGTCTGGGAAGCGGGGGTCGACTATGGCAAGGGCTTCTTGGGATTCCAGTTGAAACTCTTCAAAGCAATGATGACTTCTTTCTTCTTGGTAACACGTCCTTGCAGGCGGCACTTAGAATAGGAAATAGAAGGGGAGCAGCAACGATGATATGGAATGATACCGGGACAAATTTCGGATAGGTCTAATCAAAGGGGTCTAAATCGGTAAAATGCTGCCTACATCGTAAGGATTACTCTCCAGGAACAATTCAATATCTTGATTAAAGCCCTTATAGACATCCGGTAACTATGATGCGCCGCCTCAACAAAAGCAGAGCTTCTTTCTGAAATGTTGATGCAGTATGACATTTTCATGAGATTTCTCATGATCCCGATATCACTTCCTCAATTCTTCGCGGGTCTCCTCCAGGCAAGGTAAGTGTCCCTCAACGGCATTCTTCAAGGCTTGCGGACCAGGCTCAATACCCTCCTCACGAGGCCCGGGTTTGATGAAATGAGCATGAACCTTCTTATTGAGGGGGCAGTCAACAATATAGTGGGGCTGAAAACCAAACAAGACCTGTGTTGGAGACCACACGCGAGGGTTTACTGAAGGGATGTTGATAGATTGAAGCGCAGCACCGATACTCAAATCCTAGCTCCTCGCCAGCATGATATTAGCATTTCGGGCACGGACAATACCCACTATTTGTTTGACCAAAGCCTTGGCTTTTTTTGGCGCTTTCACTAGCGGCAACGTCTCGGGGCACGAAGTAAGCCGATTCTGTTCAGCTGTGAGGAATATATTTGCCGGGCTCAGTCCATGCAACCCCCGGTGAGTAATGCTCAGTGGGGTGGTGACATCGGCTCGCATTGGGGTCGGCTTGGAAGTGTGTGCCTCTCCACATCCACCCCACACTCGCGACCTGGACCACTACAACATCGGGCCGGACATTTGCCGAGCAAAGGGCACAAGGTATCTGGATTTTTTGAGGATAACCTGGCGGGTAAAGGGTCTGCGATCTGCTGATCAAACTTCTTGAATGAATCTTGTGACTTCCCCATAGCTTCGCACAGGAATTCAGAGTGTTGGATAGCTGTTGGGCTCAGAGGGCCGAATGAGCTGGTAGACGACCGGTTGCCGGTGCTGGTACATAAGCGCGGGGAAACCTACATAACTGAGCCGGGGTCCGGGAAGGCATCCCCGAACTAAAACGAAGAGTGGGCTGCTGGTCGGCGATGTCGGCAAGTAAAGAGCAAACGCCGTCAAGATCGATTACAAATTTCTTAGTGAGCCGACCCGAGCGTTGTTTACTCGGAAGGTCGCAGAGCATTGAACGAGGCCGACACCGGCCAGATTCGGGATTTGCCCGGGCCCGGGGAGGAAGAAAATTCCACTGAGATCACAGCCGACGATCGCGACGGACTATGATGAAGACCAGATCCGGGTATAGTGCCGTGCTAAGCTAAGCCGAGAGCAACAGGGCACCGGTCAAGGGAGCAGAAAAAAATGGAGGGGATATATGGAAACCAAACAAGAGGATTCTCTAGCCAAGAATGGATTAGTATCATGTAGTGAGTCGAGTCTGCAGTCGGCATCCCTGAAAGCCTGGAGCCCCGCACTTTAGCTTGTCCCCCGGCTTGCCCGGTCTCCACGGCAGCCAACGCTTGGCGACGCGGATGGCGGCGCCATCTTCTCATGATCCTTAGCAATCAAAACAGTTGAAATAATCAAGTAAAAGTCAGATGAATACAAAGATATACTGCAAACAAGAGTATGTGATTCGACCCGGATATTTGGATCGGGTTTTGATCGGTCTGGTTGGTAGCATGCTTAGATCCCCCCGGATTCCCCCAGGATGCAAGCAAAAGGGGTGCCGGGGGTCGGTTGGCCGACCCACGGGCTTGGCCACCCGACTTACCATGGACACGACCGCCAACAAAGCACAAGCATAAACCATGTGGGAACTTGAGCCACTGGTACCTTCCACGATGGGCCATGTTGGGTCCTTGCTAGGGTCAAGTGGAACGACGGGAAGGAGAAATGGAGGAGATGACGGAAGTAATCGAAGTGGCTCCCCTAGGAATTTCCCCATCGGGCAGGACGTGCGGGGATCGAGTGGCCCGCTTGCAAGACCGTGGGTTTTCTTGTTGGGGTTGTCAGTGAGATGGATCAGTTCATGGGTGATGAACGTTGTATAGAATGGGGAGATGTATTAGATCCCCGGTTGTTGGAATAGACAATAGACAATAGTCTCGATAGGTGATAAAATGCGGATCACCTCCCCATCTTGTCACACCCTTTAACCTTACCTCCCCAGCTGCGAGAAACTGTGAGGGACATATCATCGTTCCTAGCCGGGTTGGACATCAACGGAGAATTAGCGGGGATCGGGGAAACAAACAAGAGGCAAAGGGGGACGGGCGGACGGGGGGGGGGGGGGCGGTACAGTGACACGGTACCAGTGAACGCCGAAGATTAGGCGGGAGCCGTGCTCGGCAGACTCGGCCAGTGGGGTTTGGAAAGTAGAATGATGGTAAAGAGGATTAGTTGTGGATTGGTGAAGCATCGACTGATCTAGCCAACAGCCAACATGAAGGAGGGGCTGGTAACTAAAAGAAGGAGGGCTAAGACACTCCTTAGCACAACGCATCCAGTGTACTCTGTACATTCAGTCTGAATATTGACATGGAAGGCGGGAAAGAGGCTGGAACGCGAGGGGAGGCTCATAGTTGCTCGAGCCTCAGATCGCGAGGGAGCTTAGTAGTTTCATCCCTTAGGAAGGATACCGAATCCCGTAATTTTAAATCCGTGATTCCGCGTGCCGAAACCCCGAAAAGCGGGTTGATCAATGTATTTCGTACACCGTATCGAGGGCGTCGACTATCGAATAACTTGTAATTCCGGCTGTTTGTCGATCTTTGCTGTTTCTCCACACCTCCAGCTTTCCCCCCATTTACTTTTGCTGGGGTCATTACACCATGTACACATCCCTGAGTTTGGGGTAAACACGGCCTTTAAATTGAACCTTCCTCCCCGACCAGTACTGCATGCTTGGTGACGCTGTAGTTTACTCCAGAACTACCCTTCTTCTACGAACGGTGTAATTCGCTTCTCTGACTCTCAAGTCCTTGGGGTCTCTGCACTCTTCCCCTTAAAGCGTCTTCACCTGACAACCATGAAGCTCGGGTGGCAAGCGGCCGTGTTGACGGCCGCTTCGGTCGCCAGTGCGTCGGTGAGTTCGCAACCAATTCGCAGAAAATCCGAATTGCTTAATGTTTTGCCTCTTTCCCCCCCCCTTCGAAAGACTAATGAAATTATGTACCATCATAGGAACTTGCCTACTCTCCCCCTTACTACCCTTCCCCATGGATGACCGGCGAGGGCGAGTGGGCCGAGTCCTATCGGCGCGCGGTTGAGTTCGTCTCCAGCCTCACGCTGGCAGAGAAGGTCAATCTAACAACTGGTGCTGGGTATGTGTTTCCAAGGAGAGATTATGAAGGAAGTTCCACTACGGAGTCATACTGACTAACATCACCGCAGATGGGAGCAAGAACGATGTGTTGGCGAGACGGGTGGAATTCCAAGGTAAGCAAGCTATCGTCTACAACTTGTCAATTGCGAGCCGAGATAGACGATGGCTATGCGGAGTCCGGTTGACGGAGACTGACTGTATCTAAAAGACTCGGAATGTGGGGCATGTGCATGCAGGATTCGCCGCTGGGTGTTCGAGATGGTAGGGTCCTTCGATCCAGAATCCCAAATTATTAATGCTGGTGGATGCTAATTGATCGCTTCGATAGCGGACTACAACTCGGGCTTCCCAGCCGGTGTCAATGTCGCGGCTACCTGGGACAAGAGACTGGCCTACCAGCGCGGAGTGGCCATGGGTGAGGAGCACCGCGACAAGGGTGTGGATGTTCAATTGGGTCCGGTTGCTGGTCCGTTGGGTAAATACCCAGACAGTGGCCGCGTGTGGGAGGGATTCGCCCCGGATCCCGTCCTGACGGGTGTGATGATGGCGGAGACCATCAAGGGTATTCAGGATGCTGGTGTCATTGCTTGCGCCAAGCATTACATCGGCAACGAGCAGGAGCACTTCCGCCAGGCCGGTGAGGCTCAAGGTTACGGATACAACATTACTGAGAGTGTCAGCTCCAACATTGATGACAAGACTATGCACGAACTGTATCTTTGGCCCTTTGTTGACTCGGTCCGCGCTGGCGTCGGCTCCGTGATGTGCTCATACAACCAAATCAACAACAGCTATGGTTGCTCCAACAGCTATACCTTGAACAAGCTGCTCAAGGGCGAGCTCGGCTTCCAGGGCTTCGTCATGAGTGACTGGGGTGCTCACCACAGCGGTGTGGGTGATGCGCTGGCCGGTCTTGATATGTCCATGCCTGGCGATGTCATCTTGGGCAGCCCCTACTCTTTCTGGGCCACCAACATGACCGTTTCGGTGCTGAACGGGACCATCCCTGAATGGCGCATTGACGACATGGCTGTTCGAATCATGGCAGCTTATTACAAGGTTGGCCGGGATCGTGTCCGCACTCCGCCCAACTTCAGCTCCTGGACTCGTGACGAATATGGCTACGAGCACTACATCGTGAACGAGAACTATATCAAACTTAACGAACGGGTCAATGTCCAGCGTGACCATGCCAGCATCACCCGCAAGATCGGTTCGGACAGCACTGTGCTCTTGAAGAACACCGGCGGACTACCCCTTACTCACCAAGAGCGTCTCGTGGGCATCCTGGGAGAGGATGCGGGCTCAAATGCCTACGGCGCCAACGGTTGCAGTGACCGCGGCTGTGATAATGGCACCTTGGCGATGGGCTGGGGCAGTGGTACTGCCAACTTCCCTTACCTGATCACTCCCGAACAGGCCATCCAGGCAGAGGTCCTGAACTATGGCAATGGTCAGTCAAATGTGTTCGCTGTGACTGATAACTGGGCTCTCGACCAGATGGCCGAAGTGGCCGCGACCGCAAGTGTTGCTCTAGTCTTCGTGAATGCCGACTCAGGCGAGGGTTATATCAACGTGGATGGCAACATGGGCGACCGCAAGAACATGACCCTCTGGAAGAACGGCGAGGAGGTTATCAAGACTGCCACTGCGAACTGCAACAATACCATCGTCATCATGCACACTCCCAGCTCGGTCCTTGTTACTGACTGGTATGATAATCCCAACATCACTGCCATCGTTTGGGCTGGTATGCCCGGCCAGGAGAGCGGCCGCAGCTTGGTTGATGTTCTGTACGGCCGCATCAACCCCGGAGGCAAGACTCCCTTCACCTGGGGCAAGACACGCGAAGCCTATGGTGCTGCTATCCTGACTGAGCCCAATAACGGTAACGGTGCACCCCAGGATAACTTCGACGAGGGTGTCTTCATTGACTACCGTCGCTTCGACAAGGACGACGAGGAGCCTATCTTCGAGTTTGGCTTCGGTCTGAGCTATACCAAGTTTGAATTCTCCGATCTCGAGGTCACTGCCTTGAACGCGGATAAGTACACCCACACCAAGGGCAAGTCCAAGAAGGCCCCTGTTTTGGGCAAGGTCGGCAAGGCCGCGGATTATCTGTTCCCCAGTGGTATCGATCGGGTGCGCCAGTACCTTTACCCCTGGCTCAACAGCACCAACCTCAAGGAGGCATCCGGGGATCCTGATTATGGCATGGACTCCAAGGACTACATCCCTGATGGTGCCACTGATGGCTCGGCCCAGCCTCTGTTGCCTGCTAGTGGTCCTTCTGGTGGCAATGCCGGTCTATTTGAGGATCTGATTCAGGTCACTGCCACGATTACCAACACAGGCTCCGTCATCGGCGACGAGGTTCCTCAGCTTGTGAGTTTCCCTTTTCTCCTACATGCACGTGGATATTATTCAACAGATACTAACCTTTCCCCTTTGTAGTATGTCTCTCTCGGCGGCGAGGACGACCCCAAGAAGGTACTCCGCTCCTTTGACCGGGTCACCATTGCCCCTGGCCAGAAGGTCCAGTGGACGACCACTCTGACCCGTCGCGATTTGTCCAACTGGGACGTGACCTCTCAGAACTGGGTGGTTACTAGCGCTCAGAAGAAGGTGTATGTCGGCAACTCCTCCCGCAAGCTGCCACTCTCGGCCGAGCTGCCTACGGTTCAGTAAGCATGTCAATGGCGAAATGAGGGACTGTACAAAGTGAGTAGATCGAGCGTCGAGATTCTCGGCTGTATTTTCAGTCTTCATTTTTATTTTTATTTTTATTTTTATCTTTGGGAGCCCATTGTACAGGCTGCCCATCCTTCGGGCGTGTTTATGCATATAGTTTCGGTCAGCGACCGTTGAACTCGTCAATGAAATCCCGATTTCCCGAATTGCCGACCCTGGCCTGGGCCTTGTCTATTCTTGTAGTTTCTGGCTTGTCTGTGCCAACGCGGATCGCGCCGCAGTGGCGTAATCCGTAATCCGTGGGATCCATAATAGCCTATCCATGAGATCAATCCCGATCCAACCCACGTTCCAATAGCCTACTGCCAAACCCCACATCCTGCCGGCCCACTTCATTTATACAAACCATACACCCTCAGCCAATCCACCGCCAAAAAAAGACCCTGAACCTCAAACTCATACACCTCAACATCTCCAATCTCTCATATCCCATCTTTCTCAAACATGAACGCCATCCGCGTCCACCCAGCCACCCCTCCAGCTCCCTCCTTCTCTCCCACAAACCCTGCCCCCTCCTCCGCCCTCCACCTCGACCACTTGCCCATCCCGTCTCCCCAAGCCCCAGACGAGATCCTCATCCGTGTCCATGCATCTACCATAATCCGCGACACTCTGACCTGGCCCGAGATCTATGCTCACCCCTATACCATCCCGGGCCATGACTTCGCCGGCACCGTCGCTGCGACCTTCCCCGGCGCAAACTCGCCGTTCGCCCCCGGCGACGAGGTCTTCGGCATGGCGCACGCAGACCGTGGCTCCACATGGGCTGAGTACACAGTCATCCGGATCAACGAGGTCGCACGGAAACCGCGCACGCTGAATTGGGCGGCGGCCGCGGCGCTGCCGCTCAGCGCGCAGACAGCACTCGAGGCACTTGAGCACGCTGGCGTGGAGGGACTGGGCACGGAGGCCCCAAGCGGCGCGGCGCCCGGGGCGCGGCGGGTGTTGATTACGGGGGCGGTGGGGGGCGTCGGGATATATTTGGTGCAGTTGGCGGCGGCGGCAGGGCTACGGGTTGTTGCGGCGACGAGCTCGAATACGCGGAACGAGGAATTCTTGCGTGGGCTTGGGGCAGACGAGGTGGTTGAGTATGCGGCATTGGAGAATGATAAGGCGCAATTTGATATCGTGGTGGATACGGTGGGTGGAGAGGTATTGGCTGGATGCTGGGGAGTGGTTCGGGAGCGGGGGTCGCTGATCTCGGTGGATTCGGCCAGCTTTGATTTTGTGGAGGAACATAAGAGGCGGGGAATATGGAGGGATGATATCAAGGCTTTGTTTTTTATTGTCAAGGGGAGTGCCAGAGTGTTGCAAGCATTGGCGGATCTGGTTGATCGGGGTGCCTTGAAGTCGTTTGTGGCGGGCAGTTATCCCCTAGCGCAAGCCCAAGAGGCGTATGATTATGCCAGTGGGAGGTATACGGGTCGGGGGAAGATTGTACTAACGGTGTGATTGGTATGCCTGATACTTGCTCGACTGGAAACAGAAGATCTCACTTGGGTCATGCCTAAGTCTAATTGTGCATAATGCTATGGAGTCACGTTTAGCTCGAGGTATTCAAAAGATGGGGAGAACCTTGCGTGGCCTTTGATATTGAGAAGAAGAAGAAGAAGAAGAAGAAGAAGAAGAAGAAGAAGAAGAAGAGACAATGTCATATCAAAAACACTAGGATGGACGCTCTAAAAACCAGAATGAAACAATGGAAATGAGAAATCAATATCAAGCAAGCAGTCTATCTATCATCCGCGCCCAATCCATCACTCCGGACGATGGCGAAAGCTATCAAACAAGGTCTTAAATGCCGAGGTCTCCTGTGATAAAAGCGCTCTGGGTGTATCAAATTCCACAATCCGGCCCCGGTCCATGAATGCGATTTTATCATAGTCTAAAATAGTGTCTAGCTTGTGTGCAATGGCGATGACAGTTTGTTCTTTGAAGCGAGTGCGGATGATCTCCTGCATGAGGTCTTCTGTTTCCGAATCGACGCTAATGATTGTCAGTCATGTTTTCACACTACTTTGAAGAAGTTAATCCACTCACCTGCTCGTGGCTTCATCCATGATGAGAATACGACTTGGCTTGCAGAGTGCTCGGGCGAGGCAAAATAGCTGTTGTTGGCCATGTGAAAGGATATCTTCCGACATCTCCGCATCTAGCCCGCCCTTTGACTCAAGATAAGACCATAGCTTGACTTCATTTAGAGCTTCAATGATGGTCTCATCTGGCATGTCCCCCAGAGGATTGGCATTGAGTCGGACTGTGCCATGTAGAAAGAAGGCCTGCTGGGGAATGGTATTCAACCGTGACCGGACATGCGACCTAGAAATTCTGGATAGATCCACCCCGTCGATATGAATAGTACCGCTGTCGAGATTAATCACTCGCAAAAAGGTTGAGATCAGCGAGGATTTTCCACTTTGACGAAATTAGTCAGATGGCTCATCAAAAGGGCTTTCGATGGTCGACAAACCTGCCAGTTCGACCACAAAGTGCAACTTTCTCTCCTGCACATATACCGAGGGTGATATCTTGGAGGACTGGTTCGGGGGAGGAGCTTGGACAATAAAATCAGTCATCGTGATTCCGTAAAAGAGCTGTATATCGCACTCACTCGTAGGAAGCTGTCAGGCCAGCTATCTCGATATTTCCCTTTTCCGGCCAAAATGTTGGAATAGCTTCTGTCTCATGCTCCAGATCCTCTGTCTGGGCGCTTTGCACGTAAGACCGAATTCTAGATACCGCCCCGATTGAAGTCTCCAGACCTGTCCACCGGTTTACCAGCATCTGCAGAGTTCCGCTGAAATTGACTATGTTGAATAGTGCGATGCCCAGCAGGTTCAAACTAGAGGTTCCCCTCAAGGATAATGCAATTGAAATCACAACCACAGCAATTCCGGCAACGATCAGATCAAGGACCAGATTTAGCCAGCGTTGAATGCAGTACATCATGTAAAAGGGTTTCTGAGAGGTATCTAGAGCAAGTTTGCTCTGATATTGATAGTTCTCAGTCCACCCGTAGGCACGGATGCTGGACAGGCCACTAAGAGCTTCCAAGAAGTGTGAAAAAAGAGGCGCTTTGGCTTCTATATCCAGTAATCGGATTTGGCGGGATGTGCGAACATAGTATTGTGCCACGTAATAGACCGCAATGATGGTGAATGGAATGACGGCGACAGTAGCATACGAAGAGCCAACAAAGACCAAGAAACCCTCAACAATACAGAAGAGAACAGCAAGAATGGTGGACTCGAATGCTGTGTGGAGTTCCTCATCAATCAACTCTAGATCCTGGCTGAATCTAAAACATGATGGTGGTTATGGTTAGGTTTGAAAGAAGGGACTGGTGAAAGACTTACCTGTTTGTGGTCGCTCCTATATCGGTTGACGTCAGGAATGAGGTAGTAGCGCTATAAATTAAAATTTTTCAATCAAAGTAGATCAACTATCATATCTAGATATGACTTACCTCATTGTTGTATCAAGAAGAATATTGTGAAACTGGCGGGCCGTCTTGGGTACTATCATCATTCCCAACACCCTCCCCAATTTTTTAGACTGAGCAGAACTAATTGCAGTGAAGAATCTTACCATTCCGAGAGAAACGCAGCAAGAAGAGTCAATAATCCAAGTGCCCCATAGCCCCCTAACCAGTACCCAACATTTTCATTTGGTTGCTCTTCATTTGCACGAGTCCACCATTGCAGCCAGATTTCTAAGGAAAGTCAGCAGTGTTAAGCCATTGTAGAGCTTCATGGAACATTACGTGGAAATATCATGCCGGCAACGAACAATACCGAGCAGCCAAAGAATAGAAACAGTAGAGGCCATCCGATATTCTGGAAATAATACCAGTAAACTAACAAGTCACCAGTTCGCCGGCTTGCATTATCTGTGTTGTCGTTATCGAGGTTGAGCCCTTTTAATGTTTCATCATCAAGAGCCAACTCTGGCGCTCGGGTAGTGGCGGCAGTGCTGGATTTGCTTGCAATCGCGCTCACATAGCCTTGGGCAGTCACGAGTTCCGTATACAAACCCTGTTCAATGATTTTTCCACCTTCATCAAGGGCAATGACGAAATCAGCGTAGGGAAGATGATGAGCTGTAATTGAATCAGAATCACAAAACAGCCTATGTAACGGAAGCCGAACCTGAGTTTGTGGCCAGAATCACTGTTTGGCCGACCTCCTTCACAAGGCCCTCGGAAGCAAAAACATCCTGCAGGATGCATCTCTCCGTTTCTCGATCAAGCCCAGTCAGAGCATCATCTAGGATAAGAACCGGTTCTCTAGAATATAGAGCCCTTGCGAGAGCCTATGCACGAGTGTTAAGATCCAGTGAGATTATGGATTTGGAGACGGTTGCTTAAGCTTACCACCCGCATTTGCTGACCACCGCTAAGTCGTGATCCACGAACGCCAACCTTTGTTTGATCTCCAGAGGGAAGCTGCAGTAGATCAGCCTGCAAGGCGCAGGCTTGAATGACACGGTCGTACCATTTTTGATCCCATTGTGATGCACCCACGATATTCTGTTGGATTGAGCCGAAGGTTATCCAAGGAGACTGGCTGCAATATGCAGCGTTCTGATAGGTAGTAGATATCATCCCAGAGGATTCGGGAATTTCTCCCAAGAGAACTCTCAAAAGAGTTGATTTTCCACTACCCACAGGCCCAATGATCATGGTGGTCTCTCCCACTGAAATATCAAAAGTCAAGCCCTTCAAAACTGGCTCATCATCAACTGACCATGACGCAGAAAGATTGCGAGCAATGATGGAAAATGAATCGTGGCTACGATGCTTATCCATGTGGTCCACCTCAATCAGCTGCGGTTTTTGCAGATCATGGGTTAACCTGCAGTCATCGCGCTCAGTCTCGAGCAAATGCTTCTGGATTCTTTGAAAGCAGTTAACCACCGCCATGATGTCCTCCGAGCCATATACAAAGGACACCATAGGCTGGTCAAGGAGAGAGAAGAGTGTTAGTGCAGAGAAAGCAAGGCCATTAGTGAGTGTACCAGAGTCGTTAGCACGAGCTAAGATGATATACACCCCGAAACCAAAGACAGGTGCTAGGGCCGAAGAGGCATAAGCTGGAAGTCATTATGTCAGTTGGGATGGCTTTTAAAAGGGAGATTATACTGACAGAACGTGACGACAAGCACACTGTATAACCGAAAAAGGAATGAAGCCTGTATTTCTCCAGAGCGAAGATCCCGAAGGCTGTTCGCGATGACTTCCGTCAACCCTGTCATTTTAATGCTTTTCATCACTCCAAGAACCTTCGATGTGACTGCCACACGTTCCTCGACAGCTTCCAGCCAGATACCCTGGGCGTTGCCAGAGGCGATTGAGAGTGGAATACCAGCAATAAGGCAAACTGATCATAGACGCATGAGTTGAAGTTATTTCGACAGCTCTGAACCCTGAAATTACTCACCAACGACGATGATTGTTGATGCAACAGTTGCAATATTAAGCAGACGGGCTAATAACCACAAAGCGAGTATAACTTCACTGAAATTAGAATAGAGCTCATGCATTTCGCGAAGACCACTTCCTATGCGCTCAATGTCGGTACTCATCAATGTAATTGCTGTGGCGTCAGATGCGGCGGAAGTGCTCATGCGAAGTGTCTTGTCAAAGATCATGGTGACTAGGCTTCCTCGAACCATGGTGATCAACCTGCACGTCTTGTGCTCATAGATGGCATAGGAGATCTATAAAATTGAGAATAAGTCACGCTTAATTTAGACTCATGGCCGTTGTTAGTGACGAAGCGAAGCAACTAACCGCAATGCCAACATAAACGATCGCGTATGCGGCAATGAGACCATGGGCGTAGTTCTCGGAGTTGACATGTTCTGACTCGGTCATGAATTCCAGAACACGTTGGACTAAGAATGGCTGGGCAAATGTAAACGCGGTATATGCGACGCGTGGCAAGACGCCCACTAGGAACTGCCATTTGTAATGAGCGACGAATGTCCATAGCAAGGCATTCGGTCGATATTTGTTAGCTGTAACATGAATAAACATGAATTAATACTCCATAGATTGCATTTCGGGGCGTAACCTCGGTATTTTACCTTTCTTCCATTTTTCAAATAGTTCTTCAGGATTTGAAGATGCCTGGATATCTTCATCCAAGACGGGAAGGCTCTCGACGGTGAGGACAGTTCTCGACCCTTTCCAGAGCAGCCCATTTAGCCACCAAAATATGCCCCGATTGAAGATACTACTTGTTGCCTCAAGTGAACTTTCAGTGTATTCTTTCTTGAGCAATGATCTTTTCTCTGTTGACTCGAGGACCAAAACAATGACCTTGCCAATCCAGCTTACAGCGAACAGAATTGATATCAGTTGGTTATCTGGAATAAAATAGAGTGTTCGCAGTCGCGCAAGATCAAGCAACGTAGTGAGCCCAAGGAAAAGGCAATTAGTTGTTGATGGCCTCAGGGAGCGAAGATGTTCTAGATGAGATAGGTAAAGCACCAAAAGCAGGGAGACGATATTCGCAATTGCCGTTGGAATCGTCGCCCTTGTAGTTGGTGTCGATGACTGGCACCAGAAAACCAAGAGAATTAATTGAAGTGCTATGTGCAGAAGCAATGCTGTCTAGTGGTAAAGCTTAGCCCACACCGCTGGTATGTTTCACAATAAACGAAGGATGTCCCACCTCCTTTGTCGCGTACAGCCATGATCGATTGACCTTTTCCGAGGCGTAATGAAGATTCCAGATACGCAGGGCTGCCACAGGATAGAACAGAATTATCGGAAGGAGAGTTAAAATTGTCTCCTCGAACAGGAGGGTGAAGTCGAAGCCGTGGTGGCAGGACGTGTTGACACTAGGGCCGAAAACGTCCTGGTCGGCCACTGAGCACGGAAGAGCCGGATTAAGCATGACGGTGCTGAAGAGAACCTAAGCCTCTGACCCTTGAGGGCCCTTTAAGTATAATAAAGACAAAAGAGTCACGAACAGCAGTTTGGAGATCGTTGATGCCTGTGGCGGGTCCGGAGTCTGGCCCGACGCGACCGTAGCGTAGCGGCTGGGGGCGATCATTCCGGGTTGAGTGGGACCAGGGTTGATTCACAGAGACGCAGGGTTTAGCCCCCGCCTAATTAAGCCTAAGTGATTCAAGGGGCATCCTGATTTTGGTTGCTCAAGGTCAGATTTTACGGGGTAGATGACATCGACTAAGCCAAGAAAACATGGATCTTATCCTACTCACATCGAGTCATCGATACCCCGGCCTGGTACCAAACAAACTATATCTTTCAGGCATTTTGAAGAATGCCAGTTCCGCTTTTTGGAAGAATCAGGCCTCCCACATCGCCAAGGAGGTCGGTCCATAATGACTCATGAGGACTCAAATAAATACCAAAACTTAAAATCAATGAGGCAAATTCGCTCGTAATCATGGATTAAAGATTTTATTCAAGATAATAGAAACCCACTCACCCGCCCTCCATCATGGACAAACATATTTTTTGAAAAGGGCTCTACATACAACGCATAATCTTGGCCATATCGATGAGAATGGCCTAGAAAAGAAGAAAAGTCATGGCTAAGCCTCATACTGCGATATATTCCGTATTATAAACTGGTTCAGGTTGCCTTTTCACTCGATCGTGAGCAAGATTCCGAGTCATTAGGCCACCAGTCAGATAATTGATCATAATCAAAAACTCGGGAAGCGTGCCAAAGATTGCCTTCACTGCCATGCTGCCACCCGCCGCTTGCTCATATTTGAATACAATGGCGATGCCGTATATGATACGAACACCAATCAGTGGCATAGCGATCATTACGGATAAGAGGAGCGTTCTCTCGTCACTGAGGCGGCGGTTGTGTGCTTCCGCCTTGAAGGACAGGACGGTTAAGGCCACCACAATCAGCCAGCCTGCGGCAAAAAACGAGACTGGCCTCTAACAGAGAAAACTTCTGACCACTTGCAGCTGCAAGGCCAATCCCTCCTGAGATAACCATGTGAGGAATGAGTAGACCAAAGCCCCCGAGAAAGGCGGGAAGTGTCGATTGGATTGAATGGTTCCTAGACCGACATAAGTTCTTTCGCCCATACATCGTCGAACGATAAGAATGTATGAGCACTTACGATTCATGAAGAATTCCCAAAGCGGCCAGTACCAAGGGCGACAGTCCAATGCTGCCGATAATTGAGGCAGCTCGGTTCGGCGGGCCGGTCCTGGAGTGGTAGGCCATACCGTTTCCAACCAGTCGTAAACCGCACATAGCAAATACATAGAGCCATCCTACAGCTCCATGCTTTCCATGTGTGATGAAGCAGTAGATTGCAGGAAGTAAAGCAAGACCATAAAAGACCAGCTGGGCAAGCTCAATACCTTCAGTGGAGTTCGCCATGATTGAAATATGAAGCAACGAGAATTCTGACGTCGTTGATAACTCTAGAAATATTATATTGGAGTATTGAGTAGTAAATTCAAGAACCCGTTTATCTCAGATAATGCATGGGCTTGATGGGTCTCATTAGAGGAATATATCAAGCCTTTTTATGCTTGACCCTCGAAACATATTGGTTTTTAAAGTTGTGTTTAATTTTCTTGGAATAGATTGATCAACAAATTAATCTTGTCTTGAGTTTCAGCACCGAAAGCGAGGATCAGCAACTGGGCATGCCTTGACGAGTAGAGCTCCGAGTCTCATAGGACTTGTCGAGGAGCGTGCGGGCCAGCCAGAAACCTACCCGAAACCGAGGCGTTCGCGTGGGTCAGCCTTGCTAAGATTGCACGCCGTTCTCCTTTTCCGTCTGCGCAGTAGGAGTAAATCCTGGCATAAGACGGAATCGAATAAAAAGGAAGTGGGAACAGCAATGATGACGATGGTCAAGGTCTGGTAAAATTTAAACAAGCCTTGTCAGGCTGGTCGATTGTCCTTTTTTTTTTTTATTTGCAAAAAAAAAAAAACTAAAATTTGGACTACGAGTGATGCCAACCTATTTGCTCCCCTTTCTCGCTCTGATAGGAAACAAGATGCAATGTAAGATCTTCATCGCTATAATCCTTATATCAAGATTATATGCAGTCGGACTAGAATAAGGTGTCGAGAACGTTTCTTATTGACAAGGGAATTGAAGGTTCTGTGGGGTCCTTGGATGTTGAGGGCTGAGAAACAACATCCAAGGGCCAAATCAAAGCCCACTTCCACTCAGCGGGAATGATACTGTTAATACCGCAAACTTCTCTCTCGGGGACTCCACGTAGCCACCAGATATTTTCAGCACTCTTAGCCAACGCAAAAAAGTGCGCCAGTATCACAAGGGCGCGTGGTTGCTTCTCAGATACAAGGTCGAGGAACAACCTTGGCACAACTGGCGGAAACCCATTAAACATCTTACGAATGATAAAATCTGGTTCACGGGTCTGCACTGCGATGTATAGACGCTCGAGATATTGGACTGCCCCAGCATAAGCATTTCTGATCTTGTCAGAGAGCTCTTCTTCTATCTGATGTTCGAGGAGATGCTGAAAGGGCTTCAGGGGACCAGTGTATTGCATAGTTGAGCCCTGATTCCAAAGCATTGGCTGAGCCAGCAGCAATGGACACAGGCGAGACTCTGTCGCGACTAGCTGATGATAAACATTCTTCATCACTGTCCGAATTCCGCGTGCCATTGAAATCCACATGATTGGAGGCTCATAGGGCCCTTCCGATGTCTCCGACCGTAGAAATAAAGTATAGAGTGAGAAAAGAACTGCATTAAGACAGACTGCTTCGCTGACGTTCCCATCAAGATTCGCTGTCATTGGACGATGATATCGAAGAGCAGAGTCGATGTACCCATGATATATAGGGCGCAGGGAATGCGCCTCGTTTGGTAATAGTGTCGCACGGTGAGCCGCCCCAAGAGCGAGTAGCGTGTGAAGTAGGGGCTCATATTCAAACGCCATCTGCGGGACTGCTACTCTCCACATCTCATGAACCGCTGGAAGCTGAGCCGAGCTCATGGTGTTTGCCGTGCCAGTGATCCACTGATGAATTAGGCGCAACTCAAGGACCCGTAGACTCCCAAGTTCTGGGGACGGCAGGCTTGGCTGTGGGGTTCCCAACCCACTTGAGTGAACGAGGGCACTGGAAGACCGAGACTGGGATTGACGAGGGTGGTAGGTACGGGTTGCCAAAGCAGGATATTCACACGTCACGCCGTGACGAGTGCAGGGGCTACATTTTGGTCTTTGTTCATCACACTGGTGGACGATTAGCGGTTTTTCCTCTTGCCAGGGAATATTACTTTACCTTGACCTTCCGCGCTTTACACCGAAGGCATCCGGTGGTCGATTTGCGGTGGCTTAGGCGGGGTGGCATGGCCTCCTGATCTGCATAAAGACTGGGTATCCGACCGCCGTTTCCAAGAAAGTGACGTTTAATTGGACTTCTGTCAAAAAAGTCACTATGTTCAGCTCGCTTTCGGGACGGTCGGATCGTGAAAATGCCGGCGAGAACAAGTAAACTGTCATTATTTTAAAAGAGGCGCAAGTCGTTGGCCCCCACTGGCACTCGCTCTCGTGCTCGGATTGTTGCATAGTTTTGGGAAAAGCGTCAAACAGCTCAACGATGTTATTGGCTATCGGCCATGGATTACTCCGTCGGGCTCGCGGTGGGTCCCGAACAGAAGGCAGAGCTTATTGCTCCCAAATAAGCCTTATATCAGATTCAAGAGCGCCTACTGTAACGCCGAGAAGAGCTAGACACTGCCCCAGGATTTCTGAGCATATTTGTACTGCCATAGGAGCTTTTTAAATCCGATTCAATTTTTCAACATAAATACTTGATCTCCCGCAGATACTTTTGTCAATTTACTTCGGCTTAACTACCTCCGTCCGTACTGAGATCGGAAACTTGGATTTTCGATTGAGCTGTTCAAACCAAAATTCTTAGTTATGGGTCTTATCAAGACGGGTCTTATTTTGGCCGGTGGCTATGGCCTCATTAAAGCTGCATCAAAGTAAGATTTCTCTACCTTTTTGCTGAATAACCAGGTTCTTGTTACTAACATTCAATAGAGCCACAAATGACTACGAAGTGAAGAAGCAAAAGCGTCAAAACCAGCAGCAATACAAGTTCCAGTCTCAGCCACAATATCAGCAGCAGTATCCTATCCATAACCCTCAGATGGGTTGTACCTGCGGGAACCAGACCAACGATGCTCAGTCACAGCCACAATGGCGATCACCACCTGAACCTCAATCAAATTACGAAAACCACAGCAACAACAACAAAAATTTTGTATCACCGACTCACCTCCGCTCTATTCAAGATTCCCAGAGCAATCATGGTGGTTATATAAATACCCCACCACCCTCTTACAAACAGATCTATCTTTTCGAGAAGCAAGGAGGCCAGCCAGGGTCAGCGCACGAGTACTAGTCGCAGATTTAAAGACTACCGCATTGAGAAGAAAAAGTGTAATATTGCCTGCCAGGGGACTTAATAAATCGGTTCTTTTACATCGCTTGATGAAGTGGCCCAAATTTGGATTTCAGTGGGAGTCCAAGGAGCAAGATCCGGTGATTCTTTTTTTATATGCCCGTGTTATGATTGTATACTTCTAATTTACCTAGGTGCCTGAAGTGCTGAGCTATTTAAAGCCCAGTGTTCTTGCATTTGATTATTTAAAATGTATCAATTCCCCTTCATAGGCGCTCAGTGCCCGCGAGCAAAACTTTGCTCGTAGGAGTAAATCCACAGCATCAACATTTAATGATAACGATAAGATATTAATAATAATGATATCTATCGTGATTTATGAAGTAAATCAAAACTCTTGCTCAACATATGGCATACTTGGTGCGTGCTTTAACCACTGCATGGAATACAGTGTTGATCAAGTGAAAGAGAGTACTGAAACTATATTTTGAAACAGAACGAGGACGAAATGAAAAGGTGAGGTGCCTGTAGTACAGCCTAAAAGTGCTCTTGATTTCTACAACCTATCACAGAGAAGTAGCAATTGACAAAATTTCCATATCCCGCCAGACTATTCTACCTAGTCGAATTAGAAGAAAAAGAAAAAGAATAATAATAATGATCCGAAGATAAACTATAATCATTTTTTGTTAATTCTTTCTGTTATCTTTATGATAATATCTAAACGCATATTCAATTTTCTGACTGATAGGCTAGTCATGATACTAGAGGTGGCAAGATTAAGGCTTGAGTTGAGGTTCATCGCACAGCTGTCTCAAAATCTCGGCCGCAATTCAGCCCGAGAACTTTACGGTATGTAGTGTCGTCCACATGGATTCGATAGTTCAGAATTTCAGACTCGGGCTAAAATAGTTTTTGGTATGCTTATTATGACAACTCGCTGAATCAATATCAAGAAACCCGTTTGTGATATCCAGCAAATAAAGTGTTTATGATGGCATGCTCCATGTTGTCACCCCGCTTTGAGAAAGATAAAAATAACTGGCGGGTGGCGCAGATCGACAAATGAATTGCCCGGATGATACGAGAGAGCCAATCAAGTTCCAAACAGAGCCCGAAAACGCCAATTTGGCCCCAATTTGGCACCAACATAAAAGTGGATGCCTGTGTTGTCAGTGACGAGGTACCCAATCTTCTCAACAGGATTCGTTCAGGCCTCCGCTCTATTCTACATTTGGCAAGCAACTTGTTCGCCCATGGGCTCTAAGCCTTCGCAGTAACGCCAGTCCGACCAGGGTCATCGCCTCTAAGCAAAGCACATGGCCCCACATAGGGGCGCAATAGACGTGAGCAGTGAAGCAGGGCATGATGATGCGCATGTTTTATAACATGAGAAAATTCCTTGCGCGAGATACGCAACATTGTTAGTTGGTTTAAACATTTGAGACTGAAGATATTCAAAACCGTTGAACCCATATTTTTTCAAAGCCTGAAAAAGATTCGAACCTATCTCTTGCCGACTTAAGTTTCTTCGGTTCACATGCCATGGAGCTAATCGACCGAACATCTCGAAGGAGAGAAGCAGAACATCCATCGGGCGACAAATCGGTACAAACTAAGGCGGACGTATGGCGTCGGTCAACTAATGCCTATCGCAATTCGAAGGAACAATGCCAACAGTCAAGTCTGCAGACCTGGCGTCGGTCAACTGCTGCGTATCATACTTCAAAAGACCGATGCCAGAAATCGACCATGCAAACCTGGCGTCGGTCAGCTTCTGCATACTACAACTCAAAGGATCGATGTCATCAAACCACAGTGGAGACCTGGCATCGATCGGCAGATGCATGGGCTCGCTCGAAGAATATCTGTCTTAAATCGACAGCCAATTTGTTGAACCGATCCGCCGACAAGATATATCGACCAATCAGCCGATCGGACCTTTTGGAATTTCAGCCAGAGAAAGAGGACAATGAAGCCCCTAGACAACTTGAAGCACCAAAGGGATGGCCTAAAAGCAAGCCTGAGAAGTCACAATCTGTCATAAAATCGACTCAAATATCCATGCCTCGAGAACGTTCGGAATCATCGGTATCATCATTAGCATTAAATAGGCCACTAAAGCTTTCAGAGGCAGATCCAACTTCATCAGCATCGCAAGCTTTATCTGTCGAGCTCTCTACATCGAAGAAAAGACCAGATGAACAAATAAGAAGCTTGCTTAACTTGCTGGACAACGTCTCTACTCAAGCTATGCAAGCAAAGAAGATAAGAGACAGCAAGTCTCCTTGCTTGGGTGAAATTGAGCATAACTGGGTAAATTCTACCATAATCGACGCCGAAGATTCTGCTCAGGATCTACGCGGATTGCTTGAAATATATAGTTTGGATCTGTCCAAGAGGAAAGGAAAAGGAAAAGTGGCCAGTGCAAACCGCAAGCGTTGGAAGCTGCGAGATTGCCAGTTTGCCAAAGAAAGACAAGGTCGCTTAATTCGACACCGAAGCCGATTGGAACGTGTGATAGCACATCTCGAGATGCTTGAAGTACCTTCAAATATCGACTCTAACTCGACTACCGATTCTCCGATCAGTGAACTAGAGGAAGATTGTGTTCCAGAACTCTCAGCTGACCTGGGAGATTCTCCAACTGCTCTTGCCAAGCTTCCCTTTTCGCCAGCTCCAGTTCCCCGGAAACCTGTCAGTGTGATTGCAGAGTTACCTGGTAATCCAATTGTCGCAAAGGTCAAGCCCATGCCACCAATACCAAAAATAATTGTGACAAATACTCCGGATGGCTCGTCATATGATTATATAGGCAGCCCTGATACGACTCATTCCAACGAAATCAACGAGATGAGTAAATTTTTGTCTTGGAAGGAGACGAGAAACAGCATTCGTCTGCAACAATCGGAATCTTTTTCCAACATCATCACGAAAATGGAAAGAAGTCGAGTAAAATAAGTCGGACTTTTCTCGCAATTTGATAAAGCTTGATATGACGAAAGTATGTTCAACTGGAAATTTAAGGTTGGAACGAATTCGATGGGCTTTTATTTGGAATTTTCATTCAATTTGGTATCAAGTCCATCACCTTACGATATTTGAATTTGATAGGTAGTCATGACATAAACTTTTTTCTTGTTTCAAGATCTCCCATGATAATCACTGCAAATAATCTGATTAACTTTTTTTCAGAATGACTTGATTTTGCATTAGTGAACTAGGATAGTCCTGATTTTCATAAGAAAATACATGTCACCACTGCATAGACCGGAGTCAGACCAGTTTGCAAGTAGATTAATTCGTAATATATGAGCGAAGACACTTGAAGTATATAACAGATATTTAAATCAATTGAACCCCAATATGAACTAAATTATCTTTAGCTATGGGTCCATCAGTAATTCTTTTGCAGATCCTCGTTTCTCCGGTTGTCACTGAAGCATATTCCGCGTGAGGCAGAGAAACAAATTTTGTTGCGTATCTCGCAAATTGCCCTCCGGATTTTCTAGTGAGGAGGAGGGAATTCCAGCAGTTTCTCACCAATTAACTGCTCATTGGACATCAGTTATATATGAACCTACCAGAAAAAGGAGAGCAGATATGCTTTACCGTCACTGTCGGAAAAACTTGGTCGCATATCCGCTTTTTTGAAGCATTTATTTTGGCGGCAAGCCCATAATTGCTATCATACCAGCGAGGTGATGGCTTTCTGAAGCGTTGCTGTTCGAATCGCAGACGCAGAATAGACTTTTCTGTTCAAAAGATCCCATGCCTATGATAATGCTTAGTTTTAGCTGCAACAAACTTGAGATATGATAAAATATACATACAAGGGCCCCTAGATTCCAGATATCGATCTTCTCATTCTATGGTATAAAAGGTTAGGCTGCATTAGGCTACAGAGTGATTGATTGATTGATCATTCCATAGTATCCGTAATACAACCTCCGAATCATCCTCAAATGGTGTAATTTGGATTTCAGCACGTATTGAAACGGGTGTGAAAACATTCCAAATGATCCTACCATGCGATACCGTGAGTGTTTGGCTTATTATCAATGTAATCCAGGTTCTGACAATTTGAACTGATGTTGTTCCTTTTCTGAATCCCAAAAGGGCTTTTTCATAATCGAGTCTACAAATCTCCTTATACGATAAGTGGGTGTCTCTGACATAACGAGTTAAATTCATCAAATGGATATCTTTGCGGTGTGAATCAATTCTATATACATTAAGGACCTTCAATAAAGGTCATTTAGGTCTTTGTCCATATATTATATGTACTTTTGAATACAAATGGTTTGATAGGTCGCGCAATTCGTGGCGAACGCCTGCTAAAAGGGCTTCAATTCGCACGCGATCCCATCCGAGTACCCTGGTAAAAAGGGCATAAGAATAGGGACCCATGGCCTCCAGCATGTTGAGCTGATGATAACGTCCGAGCTCCTTGAGTTTGGGATCCTTGGGCCAGGGACTTTGTGGGAGCTGTACCTTGGTCAATACACAGGGATGGAGGGAAAATAGAGAAAAGACCCATAAAGAAACGTACTTTGTAGACTTCTTCTCTCACATTCACGAAACCGGCCTTCTCAAATTTTTCTTTCCAGGTAAGCACAGAGGCCATGTCCTTCCCGAATGCTCTGGACCCGGCATGCATGTTCACGACGCTTTCTAGCATGCATTTTGCGTTGAGATGTGTATTATCATCAGAATACGTGTTTACTTCCATACTCGACATCTCGAACCATCCGTTTGGGCTTAAATTGTCGAACGCGCGTCGAAATAAACAATCATGGTTGCGAATGGCACCTTCGAGCTCTCGCCCATGGATGAAGTCAAAGGGTTGAGTATATGACCATGGTTGTTCGAAATCGTCAACTTCAAATTGACAATTTGGGGGTACCCTGGGTATGTCAGAACTAAATGCAAGAGATTGATCAAAGTGAGTTATACCAGGAGGGTTGTATAGGGCTCAAATCGATTCCTATTCTCGGTCAGGTCAAGATTTTGGACGTATCTCGCAGGGAATCCATACCAATTACTTGCGTTTCGGGATGCTCGCTAGAATGGGTCAACATTAGTATTTTTGCTATTCCAGGGCTAGCTTCAAGGAGTCCTACTCGGCAAAGTCAATAGCCCATATTCCTGTGCCTGTACCAAGGTCTAATACCCGGACCGGATTTTTCACCGGTGCAAGATGTAGTTCCCCCTTTAAAAGCATAAGGTAAATATGATGGCTCTGTCACCAGCATACATGTCAATCTTTGAGCGAGCCAATTTCACGATACTGGTGAGCACTGACCAGGTCAAGTCGATCTTGTTCCTGTTCGTCGTTGGGCTGAAACAAGTCAGACTAAGTTACCCAGCCGATGATATATTGGGATTCCACGCACCAGAATATACTCCCCTTCATGATACGAATGATATCTACGACCATTCTAGAAACTCAGCAAGATTTCTTGGTCATGCCATCATTAAGTGGTATACCTCATATCTAGGTTCGTCAGCTTTTACTGTCATGCAAAAGGAGAAGAAAAGAAAGAGAGGCTATTTTTCATTCCCTTTGACATAATTGACATACTGATAATTCAGGGCGCTTGACGTTATGCTTGTGGTATAGCTAGCTTCTTCTAGGCTTATCACGAGGTGGACATCAGCAGAGGTCTGGCGGCTATTCGCTGGCCGCAAACATCACTTACGAACCGACATAGGCTGAATCGGTATCTGACAGCTATGCATGGGTTAGTGGTAAAAAAAAATATCCGGTAGAAAGAATTCTCCGAGAAGGACTGACGTCGGGCTCGATAGCCTCCGAACCATGTTGCATGTCGTGGTACATGTCCCCGGATACGCCCAATTCGGAAAGCGTTCGGCCGGTCGATCAGGAACGTGGGAGATCGAGACAAAAGATCGAGCAAGAGGATTTGGAGAAGTAAGAAAGCAGAAAGATGCCCGACTGAACCGCCACACTAACTGGAGTCTTATGACCCCTCCGACTTCACGACAACTGTTAGTGCGCCAGAGTGTCGGGTTCTGCACCATTCAGGATTTCTGATTTTGGTGGTCGTGATTAATACACGGTGACCCTGGTGCACGCAGCTTTACGCATTTACACAAAAATGTGCCGCGGTCCCGACAGTCTGGTTCAGGCTGGCCAAAAGGCTCTCACAGGCGTTAGTGAGCAGTCTAGGAAGGAGTCAACCTCTAGTGTGTTCAATGCGGCGCCTTGATTAGCCTGCCACGCTGATGCCGATCCGCAGGGCCGAAAGGGGGCCACTTTGGGCCCAATCAGCGCGCGCAGTGGGGCTTTCGCAACGGGTTGAGAAGGCTGCGATACAGCGGTTTTACTGTGGGCTTGTTTTACCGATGCAAATGCGCCCCTCTTTTTAACTGCTGGATCCTCTCTTTTGAGAAGGTGCTTTGCTTGCCCTTGTTTCGTCAGTCAGGACCAATGGGACGATGTCCTGTGTGCAACTGTGTATGGATCAGTCCCAACTTCACCTGAATAATGATCATTTTAGGGACCCGACGACATAAGAGTCAGATTGAGCCAGGATACGCCAGTCCTCAGCCCGAGGTGATATATTACAGAGTACGTACGGAGTGTTCTGTAGAGCCTCTTCGTCTTTTTGTCTCTCTGGCTCGTATCGTGCATTGTTCTCGAGGTTTGCTACCGCCGAGGAGGGGTTCTCACTGCAGCAATGACCTGTCGCGGTTGCTGAGAGTATAGTTGTCGTAGTCGTATGTCGGTCCTCGTCCGACCGGGAGGAGGGGCTAGTTGGGCCCAACAAGAACTTGGAGGCATCAGGCTGACCTCGAATACGGTGTGATCCTTGTTCGGGTTGTTGGTCATCTCTGTAATCGGCATGCAAATGCGAACCCGACAGTCTGGGCAGTTGCCACTCGAGGTGGAGATGAAGAGAGCCCAGATTCCGATCACCGTAAGGATAGTCGAGGGGGTGCGCAAACAACAGGACCCGCTTCCCAGGCCTATCTTCCGTGTCGAATTTTGTGGAAGCAGGGCTACGTTCAGGAGCGTCTTGATCCGGCGTCGGGATTTGGTGAGCCCGTCAATCCGAATAGGTTTTAATCACCTCATTATACCCCAGACCTCCAGCAAGGCCGGAGCTAGTCTTTCGTGGTGGCTCGGAGTCGGTTGGTGCCTGTCTCGAAGCAGGACGGGCATCACGTGGTCGGCTGCAAGATTGGCCTGCGGCAATCGGATTATCAAGTTGACATTGCTGTATCTCGTGGGGTAATGGGAATGATCGGAGCTAGAATTATCTCTAAGGGGGTCAAGAACCTGTATCCAGAAACGATTTCTAGCGGTCCGTGGAAAGATACATTAGGAGTAGACCATACAGCCGAGACGACCTATTGGTCAACCCAGTGAATGGATATTAGTATTTGGTATCTCTGCATAAGAAATGCCAATGAGGCATGACGACAAACCGCATCGATGCTTCGGGAACAAAGCTGGTTCGGGAATCGGGAAGAGCAATAGAACTCCTCAAGATCATAGCTCCACACCGGCTTGAGCCAAGCGCAAATTGACCACATCAGACGAGTAAGGTCGTGCGAGATATAGATTGGCAGGAGCCAATCCTATACTTCACATGAAGAGGAATGGAATCTTCTAGCGTCCTCTTGGTATTCTGGAACAATCATATTGAAATCTAGAAAAAGTAGATGAACTCTATCCCGAAGGCACAGCATCCGCTGTATCCGCTCGCCATGTCATGCTTGGTGGGTTGTCTAGTAGTTCCTGGCACTTCATTGCCGATAATCCATTCATAATTTCTTCTCACTTTTTGAGTCATTCATCGATGGAAATCATTAAAACGTATGGAATCATAGTATGTTAAGGTGCACTCGTTTTTTGCCGTCCTATCTGGTTGCTCCGAGCGAGGCGACTGACGTTCGATAGTGTCATTCATGTAGCTATTCAATACAAATGAGGAACTAAATCCAACTTAAAATATACATTGTTTCTCTGTTTCTCATCTCGCATCCGGGAAATCATTATTCATTTATTCTTTGTACGAGGGCCAAAATCAGTGCCACAAGTCACTCACTCAGTCGGGGCTGGTTATGTCTGCCTGACATCTGAGGCATGAAAAGTTGGTGCCTCGGCAGGTCGAAGTTGATGTCATCCGTCCAGCTATCGTCGGCGTCGGTCTTCCCAGTTTCTTCTGCCTTCGCGTCTCCAATTGTCAGAAAACGATGCCACCCTGCTGATTCCTGCCATTTACTACACATCATACTGAATAAAAACAACCCATCTGGTCCTGAGAGGTGCTCCCAACCTTGAGCCTCTCCATCGACTACCATGGCCGCACCTGTCCGCTCTGCCCCCTCGCCGGCATTCCTCCTAATATATCCAGCGACTTTGTTGGTGGGTTCGCTGTTCTCAGCGATATCACCGACTGCTCGTGGCACAAATGACCGACCTCCCACGATTTCGGCCCCATCCGGAGCTTTGGCACCCTCCCTCGCTGCGGACCTCCATCTCTCCGAGAGCCCAGTCAACTACTTTGCGCGAAAAAACAATGTTTTCAATATATATTTCGTCAAAATAGGGTGGTTATGGACAACCTTGGCCTTTACTTCCCTTCTTCTCTTCCAGCCGACGTACCGTTCTTCCTCTTCGTCTTCCCAGTCCCAACAACAAACCCGACTGCGTCGCTCCCTCCAAGCCTTCCTCCGATACGCACTCGCAACGACAGTATGGTATTTGATGACACAATGGTTCTTTGGTCCCGCAATTATCGACCGCAGCTTTGTGATCACAGGCGGGAAGTGTGAGGAGGTCCTAGACAAAGTGAAGAAGGTGGGCTCGGAGCCAAGCCCCTCGGCACAACTCGAGAGCCTCTTCTCAGCTATGGCATGTAAAGCCGCTGGTGGAGCATGGAGAGGCGGTCATGATATCAGCGGACATGTCTTCATGCTAGTCTTAGCGACTGCTATTTTGTCCTTCGAGGTCATCGGCACTAGAGCCTTTGCGGCTTTTGCATATTCAGAGGTGGAGGTTACTCGCGAACGAAAGGCCAGTGACCCAGACACATCACAAAATGGGAGTCAAAATGAGATTTCTTCTAGTAGTGTACTTACAACATGGTCACTGAGGTTCGTGTGGGGTGTTATTGGATTAGGTTGGTGGATGCTTTTCATGACAGCCATCTGGTTTCATACATGGTTAGAAAAGGTGGGCTTTCCCTCTCTTCTATTTATTACGACTCCAAGCATTCGTTCGAATCTAAGATTCATGGCTAACTCATACTTCTTAGTGGTCTGGCTTGACTGTTGCTTTAAGCACTGTATACGTTATTTACATTCTCCCACGGAGACTCAAGCCATGGAGGGATGTTGTTGGAGTTCCGGGTTTATGATGATTGCATTTTCATGGATGCATGTGTAAATATAGTTTTTACTTGCTCATAGATTGTATTCGCCTAGGGCATCACAAATTTTCGCAATATGCGAGTACCTTTGCAAACAACATACAGCCGAAGGATCTCTCAATCTCAACGTGTAGAAAGGACAGCCTTCTGCTCCGGAACCATGGATTGCTTGTTGAAATTACTTTTGTTCGATAAATTTGGATTCTGGACCAAAGTATCCTGCACAGAATGCTGCAGGGCACGAAAAGGTAAGCTAAGGAGCCTCCTCCAAGAAAGGTGGGTATATTACACTTACCACCAGGGATCAAAGCTGACGCATACATCACCCGCGTGATCGGTCGAAGGTCCTCGGGCGTGAGACCCTCGGAGATAGACAATTCCATGTATGGATCCCACGCGGCAACGATCGCGTCTGACCAGGTCTTTAAATCGATGGCGCGATCCTTTTCTGTCGTCTGCTCGGATTGACACTGCAACCCAAGACAAGTTCCAAATTCTCGGAATGCCAGACGGAACTTGATGTTGCGCTCAAGATACTGATTAATTTCGAACAGGTTATCTAAAAGCAGGATTAATTAGCATCTCTGAACAAATGATACCTACTAGATGGGCTTATTAGGGTAGAAGACGAAAGCGTAAGGAAACTGACATAGCTGCTCAAAGCAATTTTCTGCTAGGTCAGAGGCCCATTTTTCTCTCTTCGCAAACCAGTGGGCTGTCCAAAAAGTCATGCCTAGATCTAGCGTGTCGCTAGAGGGAAAATGCGGCCCTCTACGTTCCATAATTCGCTTGTAGTCGGAGATCTCCTCCGCCAGGATCTCTCCCTCTCCAGCGTCCATCGCTGTAGCTTGGAGTAACCGAAAAGTAACATACCCATCGATAGGATCCAAATTTCCTTCGGTAGGGACTAGGGGAGTTGATAGATCCATCGACATTTTCCAAATGGTTCGCGGATAACGCTTAGAGCGATCCACACAAAATTTTGGGTGAATAGCATGCGCAAGCGCCACAGCCTGTTCATTATACTTTATATCGCCAGATGCCTTAGCCATTCGATTCAGTGCAAACATCCAGAGTGTCAGGTAATGATGATACTGTCCATCGCAGTCGGAACCATGCTCATCTGTCTTGCCGATTCGTAGACCACCGCCGAGTGGATTGCTGTCCGTAGCCCCCGGTAAACGCGACTGGCCATCTCGGGTCCAACCTAGTATATTATGGACGGTATTAATGAGCTGATGCGCTAGCTTCAGATATCGATCATCATTCAAAGCTTCTCCGCCTGCTCGACGATACTCCTGGTGCATTGTAAGAAGATTGATTACTCCAAATGCATCAGTCCATAAGTATCGGCCTCGGTGCCCGCCGGACCTAGGGGGTGGGGTCCAATTCTCGGGGTCAACTATGTTACTGAAGCTGCCATAGATTGACTCCATCGCTTGCTGGAAGCGATCAACTTTCGGTGAGGGGCTACTGATTGGGAGCGCCATCTTTGTACCCTGATGGAGACGCTCAGCGGGCTGGATGTGCGGGATAGGAGTAAAAGAACGAAACAGAGAGTTAGAGCAAAAGATATGCAGTTTTCGCCACATGAAACGATTCATAGGAAATCGAATTTTGTGCTTGGTTTGAAGTTTTGGGTTGTCAAACTGGTGGTGACTGACAAACCAAACCATTCGACCCGATTAATTGGTTGAACCGTGAAGTCATGATGACTGGACGGTTACTCGAGTGTGATCTCAGCCTTTGGCATTATGAAATAATCTAATAAATACCGTTTTTTCGACAAAATCTCCTCTCTAAAAAAATTATTATGATCTTATGAACCGTCTCTCGTGGCGACGTCTATCTTCCCCAATGGCACAGTTACAGGCATTATTCAATGAGGCTTTAGAGCCGCTCCCGCCGATCGAGGACCCCAGCTTCGCATCCTATTTCGACACCTTTGCCGATAAACAAGTGGTTCTTCTCGGGGATGGTAGTCACGGTACATCCGAATTTTATGCTGCGCGTGCGGAGATTACAAAACGGATGATTGAACAACATGGCTATACTATAGTCGCTGTTGAAGCAGATTGGCCAGACGCGGAAGCTATCGACAGATACGTGCGCTTGAGACCTGGTCCCCAGGCCCAAATTGGTGGAAAGGCAAAAGGTTTCGAGCCTTTCAAACGATTCCCGACCTGGATGTGGCGCAACCGCGAGATGCAAGATCTTGTCGAGTGGATGCGCGACTGGAATAACTCTCAACCACCTGAAAAGCGGGCTGGATTTTATGGGTTGGATCTCTACAGCATGGGAACCTCAATTCGTGCCGTGACGGAGTACCTTGACCGCGTGGACCCGTCAGCAAGTAGGGAGGCACGAAGACGATACGGATGTTTGGAGCCATGGGTCGACGATCCGACGGCCTACGGCCTGGCCTCGATACGCGGTTTGGAAAGTTGCGAATCTCAAGTCATGGCAATTTTGCGCGACCTTCTCAACAACCGTTTGCAATACTTAGAAAGTGACCCCCATGATGGCGAGGAGTTTCAGAGTAGCAAGCAGAACGCCTACCTTGTCCGTGATGCCGAGAAATATTATAAGGCAATGTACTGGAGCTCAGCAACTTCGTGGACACTTCGTGACACGCACATGTTTGACACACTGCATCGAATTCTACAGCATCGTCCACCGCCAGCTAACAAGGCTATCGTTTGGGCGCATAATTCTCATGTCGGAGATGCCAGGTACACGAGCATGGGTATCCGCCGCAACGAAGTGAACATTGGTCAGCTCTGTCGCGAAAGACTGGGCCATGAAAATGTTGCCATTCTCGGATGTGGCACTCATTCCGGTACTGTTGCTGCCGCGCATGAATGGGATGATGATATGGAAGTAATGTCCGTGAATCCCTCCAGGCCTGATAGCTGGGAAATAGTGGCACATAACACTGGCGTACCAAGGTTTATTCTTGATCTGCGACGCGAACGCATTGATCCTAGTCTCCGCGCTGCTCTTTCTGCGGAAAACCGATTGGAGCGATTCATTGGTGTCATATATCGCCCGGACACCGAGAGAATCTCCCATTACTCCCAGGCACAACTTCACAAGCAGTTCGATGGGTATATTTGGTTCGATGAAACCCAAGCTGTTCAGCCCCTAGAGATCATTCAACCCGTCACAGCCCTTGGAAAGGAAGAAACCTACCCATTTGGTCTTTAATCATTGCATGGTCTTAAGTTCGCCATTGTTGATTATCTTAGGTTCGTTGGCCTTGCCCCCTGCCCCATAATTTACTCCAACTCATATATTTTACGAGTGAAGCCGAACCGTTTTTCATCCAGACGTCTCATACAGGTGAATTTCCAGAGAACACCAAAAGCGCAGATCTCTGTTAAACTAATCATTTATACTATTAGAGTTTCTATAGCCGGAACGGAGACCAAAGTCTCAAAAGTCCCTTAAAAGTATTTTGTGGATAATTAAATCCTGCCTTGATTACTAGTCAGTTCGGTCGTTGTCCCTTCCCAAGTTGAAAGACGGCATCCAAAAGAGGAAACAGATGCTGTCTGAAGGGAAGGATGTGTAGGACTTGTATCTCTCACTATCAGAAATATGGGGCTATATTGGTAACGAAATTGTGCTGGATGTGTCAGATAGACAAAGTGGGCGGGGAGAGCTATCTGCGCACCGATGTAGCTATCGCTTTTATAATGCAGGAGATAGCCTATAATGTAGTATGTAATAGCTCTTGTATACCGGGGCAGAAGAGCTCATACATGAGTTTAAAGCTGCTCAGGCATAACGAACCCACTTAATCAGCATCCACTATCCATAGTTACCTCTTTCACTTTCTTAATACCTCATCATTTCAACCTATCATCATTTGAACTTTCACTTTCCTACTATCTCACTTTTCACGCTGTTCACCTCAACTACCAACTCTCATTTTTTTGCACCTCTTATCTTGTCCTCGCCTCCCACCTTACCCCCTATTACATTTTACCCTTCCAACCAGTTACATCATCCTCAAGAACTCCAAGATGCTGAAAAGAAAAGTGAACGAAGATTCCCCAGAATAAACAAAAAAGGAAGCAAAGACCGTGACCAGACGCGGTACGGAATATTCCGAGATCCGCGAGAGGATTTCTACGACGGCCAGAAACAACTCGACGACTCGGGAAGACGCGCTTTACTGACGTTTGACCGGCGAACTTGGACCCCTGAAACACCAATCAGCTTCTTCATCAGAGACCCGCGAAGACTGAAAAAGGCTGGAAAGAAGGAAGCCATTGACAAGTTCCTAGCGTACCGCGAGACCCTAGTCTTCGATGACGATAAGCTCCAAAACCTTCCTCCACCAATCGTCGCTCTCTCCGATGAATGGGTCGAAATCATATGCAGAAAGGTCACTTTGCTACCAATTGGTACAAACAGGAAGCTGAGTAGTGGTAAAGATGATGTTCCATTTCTAACGAGAGGAGTATGCTAAGGAATGAAAAGGGGGATGTCATAAGCATGCGGTAACAGCTGACCAGGAGCAAAGAAAAAATACATTCAATGATCCCATTAACTCAGTAATGCTTCCAAGAATGGGCATTACAGGTATTGAATAGTTGTCAAAACCGCCCTGCCACTAATCGTGATCTTGAGAGAAGAGCAGCCCGTAGGGTGGAAAACAACCAAAGAACTTTAGTCACTCTGCAAACTGATATCTTTCCATACCGAGTAACTAAGCCTTTTATCACCTCTTTATTCGTAGAAGACAAGCTTCTTTCTCATTTATAAAACAGCGCAGGCAATTGTCATCATCGCCGTCACTATCATTACTGCACCACCGCTTGAAGTTACAATCCAAATCACCGATCGCATCTGCAGCCGAGAGAGCCTCATATGAACAATGGAGCACCCTTTCATTCTATCAAATGCCATGATTCGAAATTATTATATCTTTGAAGGCCGCTACCATCATGATACAATGATTTTCATCATCCTTCTTACTAGTGCTTTTCTAGAACAGCCTCCAAACGCCAAAATAATCAATTACTGTCTTTGTTCCTAGTCTACCCCAATAAGTGCTATATTTTCAACCTGCCTTCCATCTAGTATGGTCTACTCTAGCTCAATAGTGCCAGGGGGCTTGGAGGTTCTGGAAAGATGATCTTAGCTCAATACTAGCAGTCAAAAGAGGCGAAGAATTTCACTTACAAATCATAGACAACCCGGGCCACACCATCCACTTGGTTGCAAATAGTGCGTGAAACATCCTGGGATGAATAAATTAGTACTTATAATCGAGAATAATATTCGGTTTGGGGTTCGGGGAAAGGTAGTGGGGTGATTAAGTATAACAAGACCTTGACTCACCTGGAGGAACTTGTTATCAAAGTCGAACACTTCCGCACTCATGAAATCTTTGGTGCGAACAGCACGGAGAATAACGATGTAACCCCAAACACGCTGATCACCAAAAACACCAACACTGCGGTTAGTATCGAGACCAGCAAAGGCTTGGGAAATCTAGGAGATGTTAGTTTGCAAGCTTGCATTTCAATTCGTCTGCATGAGGCCTTACCTCGTTGTAGAGGCCGGCCTCCTTGATCATGCTAATAAAGATATGGTCGGCCTTGCGGGCGATCTCTACTCGCTCCTGAGTAACGTCGCCGAGAATGCGAATAGCAATACCGGGGCCGGGGAATGGGTGCCGATTGACTAGCGACTCATGAATACCAAGCTGTCGACCAATAGCCTATATAGCCCTTAGTATAATTGAAGATAAGAATTCACCCTTTGAGGTTGAACCTACCCTAACTTCATCTTTGAAGAGAAGTCTAAGTGGCTCAATAAGCTGTAATTGAAGTCATGTTAGATGTCTCCTCTTAAATGAAAATAAAATTGAAAAGATAAAAAGGCACACTTACACGCAAGCCTTGCTGAAGTAGCCATGTTGATTAGTATTAAATCCAAACGATGCCAAGCTAGTTCAACTTACGCCGTTCATCATGCGCTATATGCTGGTCAGTTGCAATACTCTCTCATGTTGGGGATAATGTTCTTGCTCACCTCAGGCAGACCGCCAACATTGTGGTGAGCTATCTCATGTCAGCTTTGTCTGGCTCCCCAATTTGTTCTATTATACAAGTTTGTCTTTATAGAACTTCAATGTCGCTTAGCTTACTCTTGATAGTAGCCGATGGCCCGCGGAAGCTCAGAGACTCAATACTGAAATATTATAAGCTTGGGCTCAGAAATTAGCACAAGAAAACTTACACATCAGGATATAGAGTTCCCTGCAAGAACCATTCCACCCGCCCTGAGTTAGGGGTGTTCTCTGCTTCTTTCTCGATCTTGGGAATCCCGTTAGCTTTGCCAGGTAGAGTATAGCTTTGGAGAAAGTTGAGCTTACCCTGATAGCCTCTTTCTCGAACAGGTCGATGACTTCAATGTCGTTAGAACCCTATCGCAACCAATTTCGTAGCTTGATACGTACAAGTTGAACCAATAATCTTTCGCTTCTTTTCGGGATCAGCGACACCTGCAAGGCGAGTCATAAACAGCTCGCCGGCTTCGACAACTGTAAGATCAATGCCGAGATGGTGTCCGAGAGTCTCCTTGACCTCCTCGCACTCATTGAGACGCATACAGCCAGTGTCGACAAGGATGGCTTTGAAGCGGTCTCCAATAGCTTCGCGCATAAGGGCCGCTCCGACAGTGCTATCGACACCACCGCTAACAGCTCCAAGGACGAGCGCACGATCACCAACAAGCTCCCGGATACGAGCGATCTCGATTGGAACAAAGTCGCCCATTTTCCAATTCGGTTTAGCTCCACAGATATCAACACTGAAGTTGCGGAGAATCTCGCTTCCGCGGGGTGTCTAGATTCAACTATTAGAGGAATCCTATAATACTTGAGGGGATGACAAACGTGTTCGAGCTCGGGATGGAACTGGACGCCTAATTAACTTGCGTTAGCATCTTGTCGCTAGACAACAAACGTAGTTTTGGGAGAACAAACCGAAAATCGGCTTCTCGCTATGGGCAATGCCGGCGTATTCTGAGTTCTTGGTGGCAGCAACCACCACGAAGCCCTATTAATGAAGTCAGTAATAGTGACCGAAGAGTATATAATGATTTGACCCACTGTAGGCAGGCTAACTAGCTTGTCGAAGTGGGACATAAATGCAGGCATGGCATCGCCCAAACCAGCAAATAGCCGGTCGACATGGCTATTGACCTTGGTGATCTGGACGTCGGCATGTCCGTACTCTGTTGTGAATGTGTCAGAAGTAATTCTTGAAATTATTTTGAAGGTTGCAAACCTCGCGCCTCTCCTCGAGCAACATTCGCCGAGTCAATCCGCCATGCGATCTCCTGGCAACCATAGCTGGGCGAATCGAATTGTATTAGTGCCATGAAACTTTCTATATAGTGTCGGCATTAAAGGAAGTCATACCAAATACCCCTATAAATTTGTGTAAGTCCATGTTGAGAAACGTCAGAGATAGGAACACTCACAGGATAGGTACGTCCAGGTCAAAGACAGCGGGGTCAACATCTACACATGTGAGTACAGGTAACAGCAGATTTGGGAGAGAAGACCTTACGAGGCGAGCCCTCGTCGTAGACAGAAGAAGGACCTAATGACTCAGTCAGACCTCATCACAAAAGTTTTATACCGACAAACGTTATACCTCCAGAGAAAACAATTCCTTTGGGTTTCCATGTCAGATCAGCGATCTTGGTGGTACACGGAAGCAGCTCAGCGAAGACGCCGAGAGCTCGAAGTCGACGTAGGATCAGATGACTCGTTTGAGACTTCTAAAAGTCAGAATTTGCCATTCAAAAGTATCAGGAGCTGGGTAGCCGTGATGAAGCTCCTCGATTCCGAGAATCCAAAGCTCCACAAATAGGCCGACGGAGGGGAGGGGGACTCCTAAAATTCACGTACGCCAAAGTCGAGAACAAGTATGGTCTAGAGACTCAATTGTCAGCCAATCCATTCATTTAACTTCTCTTCATCAATTGCGCCCAAACACCCGATTGAGGGGTGTTCGATCGGAAAACGCAGAATGAGTCACTCGCAGGAAAGCTTTCAAGCTTCCATTCAAGTTCTGCATTGCAAATGGTACATACATCGAAGTTCTTGTGAGGCGCTTCGTCAATAATGTTGGGAGCCATTACGACGATGGTTTCAGTGGCGTCCTGAGAAGGTTGTCGGGCTCGCAAATGCAGAAAAGAATGTTGAAGTGAAGGTATTGAAGTGAAAAAAAATATGTTGGGCAGTACCGCCTGCGGGGCCGCCTCGAAGGACACACCGCCTTAGAAGTAGTCAATTCCTGAAAAGTGAACAACACCTGTTTCAGATCAAATAGATCGCTAGTCTACGTCTTCTGGTTATTTACAATCATATGGGAATCATTTAATGAAGTCGGGTGTATACCCAGATGAATTATGCAAGAAATATGACATCTCAAGTTTTTGGTTGGGCGGTATTCTTCGTGGAATGAAGGCGGTGTATAGAAAAAAATCTGTAATCTTATCTACGCCGCGGGGCAAGAACAGAGAGAACCAGCGTGGTGGGGCAACCATCCAATCTCTGACGCGGTTAACTACTCCCTCGCTTCCAAACTGATGTTTACATTCTGAGTAGTATCAAAAAAGCAATGTCACAGAAAAATTTGTGAGAACTGCTAACAGTATCTGTAATGAGCAAGGTCTGCGCTTTCTTCTCATCAATTTTCCACAGTCTAATAATTCTACAAATAATCGATAGTCACTATCCTCTGCGCTAGAAGCCCTCATAATAGATAATAGCATTGACAATACAAGTACAGCTCCCGCAGTGCCTCCCATTATAGAACTGGGCTCGTTCATTCTCCTGAGGGAAGTCATGTTAGCAATTAATAGTATAATTTCACGTTAACAGAAGTTACGAGGTGGAAAGATAAAAGACATTGGAGAACTGACAGAATGGAGAATCATCAAACTGAGATATGGCCTAGCACAGGCACGTCATTGATAGACGTAGAGATGGGGTTTGAAATTATGAGAGCGCGGCTCAAATCCCTGATAGAATGGATGTTACTCGATATCAAGAACGCATGTAATTTGTGACAACGCTGATGGAATGCACTGCGCAAAAGCAAACAATGACGGGGAAATATGAGGACTGGAGGAGCATCCCCCTTCCCCTTCAGAGGAGTTACTCTCCGTATGACAAGAATGGCTTGCCACTAGGAGGCATCAAGAAATTCTGAAAATTGACGGTCGTGGGTGGTTTCGCCCCAAGAACCAAAATGTTTGAATCTGCCACGGGCTTTTATGGCTTACAGCCTGGCTATCATTCCATGGAAGTGGAGAAAATCTGACTGATTGACCAAATCTTTACATCTGCATTTTTTTTCTCAAAGCTTGAATCCTAGGGGAAACAATAGTGAGCGATTATCAGACTTTGAGTTGCTGAAGAATCATGAATCCAAACACTCACTATTCCATCACCTGGAGTTATTCTGACCAGGCTCAGGCTCGTCCACTGCCTCGAAATAATAGAATCGCAGACATTTCACAAGGATGCCAATCAATTTCAAATCAGGCGGCAGCTTGAAGACCTTGCTACGGAATGTAAGAGGCTTATAGCTTTCTGCGGTCATGGCATCTTTGCTCCACACATCCATCCAGTCGTGCTAAGAGGAGGGTATTGATGGCAACACCATGAGTGGAACTGGCACAAATCTGTTTATGGAGCTGCCTCTCCCCGCTCTATCTAAGTACGGTGTTTTGTTCTTTTTTTTTCAAGATTCGTAAGCGAATGGCATACATACAATATAGAAATAAGACCTCTGCTGAATCTCAAGATCCAGTCTGTTGAAAATACAAAAGGCTAAGTTTGCTCTCCTGAACCGTCTGCGAATCTACAACTAATTGGCGGTATACTGCTCTGACAGATGGTGCCTTGACAATAAATATATAAGTCTGGTCTTAAATTTTTGGAAAATTTTGCATAATAAAAGCATGGAAACTTCAAAATTGCACTCATAATGTCTAATGCACCCGAAAATTCATTTTGATAAACTCTGAAGAGGGCTCACACCTAGAGGTGCTAGAAGAAGAATGTATCTTGGTTGCCTCTGGTCTGCAAGCAGGGAAGCCATATAGATCGCATTACCTCCCAAATCTTGGAAAGTCTGATCCTGTTTGACAACTTGAGTACTGCAGATCACTGGCGGACCAGGTCAATCCTTGCACACTCCTCTTTTGAATTGGACATTATCAGGCTCAGTGTCTTGCCATCACCACTCCAACTACCATCAAACTGGTAATAATGTGCACCGTTTCCGTCAACACCTTTAGTTGTAAAGGTACCAGAGCTCATTCTTATAGATTTGTAGAGCTTGTTAATGCCGTTCTTTACGGTTCCATACGAATCCTCGCTGAAAGTGAACAGAACATAAAGCGGTGCTCCATCTTTCCGCCCTTTTGGAAAAACAACCCACATATTTTCGTTGCTCGCGAAAGAATCGTAATTGAATTTGCCACGCCAAACTTCAGACGAGCCGCAGCAGCAGTTGTCTGAGTTTGAGTGACTGAGAGACGTCGGCCTTCCGCCCAGCTCTCCAAGAAGGCTTAGAGATGGCGAGAAAAAGTAATCTCCTCCATTGGACTGAATAAAGGGGAGAAAGCTGGTTGTGGTATTCTGACCTTTACCATCAACCAAGCTAGTCGTCAAGATTTTGTGCTTTGGTTTTTGAGGCTTCTTGACGAGTTGGCCCACGATTGCATCTTGTCCTGGGTTGACGCCACCGGTATACTCGGTCTTGTCGGCTGGGAATGTGTCCAAATTGATCCAGCCTTAGGAAAAGAGTCAATGGATTGGTCCAGCTCATCGATTTCATGTTACTCACTTCTTTTCAGAAATTGAAAGCCATTACCAATACTGGATTGGTAGCATGTGAACATCAGTCCTCGATCTTGCTCGGTCTTGGTCTCGTTGATTCCGACTTCAGGCCCATAGGGAATGCCGCGACGCATGATATCATTCATATCTCTGTCGCTGACAATGCTTCGAGGCTTAGTTTTGCGCATGTGTGAAGCAAATGGACAATTGGTGTGATTGTTAACGTCATAATTGAACTCGTTCATCCTTGCATCTTTCGGACAGTCCGCATCGGGATGTAGTTCAACAGGGGCCCCTAATCTCTGTCTCAGTATCTTGAAATACAATTCATATTGCAAGCATATTACTTACCGCTTTTCCAACGTCCCACCAGCCGTGCCCCTAACTGGTCTTCGGTAAAATTAAGTTTAGGAGCCTCGGATGCTAGATAGCTACAGTCATAGCGGTCAGCTCATTGTCCCAAAGATGTGAGTACCGACGTGGCTTACTTGTTGAATTCCGGTACATATTGTTTGAGTTTACGGACAACGAGGTAGCTGCCGTCCTTGGCCCAAGGTGGGTGTTGGGATTTTGGCTCATTGTTCATCTCCCCGTCGTGTCCGATGATGATGCGGCTATTGTTTTTGAGTCAATGGATGACTATATTCAATTCCATGTAAAACTTACCCTGGGCGGCACATATGTTGGTAATTGCCATCTCCCTTTTCGCATGTCTTATCAAAGCCCGTTAACCGAGGCTGCGAAATGGCATCCAGGAAACCGAAACTGTGGTGGTATTAAATTGAGTGTTTTCCAATCTAGAGAACTCGAAGACTTACTGCTCATGCTTTGCGTTCTCCTCGGGTCGTTCTCTGCCATCAAGGCTAATGATATGCTTGATTCCTTGAGTCGAGCTGAAGTATTTCTTAGCCAGCTCCGCCGTGGTTTGCTTAACCTTCGTTTCGGTCCCGCACACCAACACCACGCCATCAACGCCACCATTTTTCGCTTTGAATTCATCCATCCATTCCTCGATTCTGTCTCTACCCTCGTTGACCATATCATTTTCCATACCCTTGCGAAATGGGTCATCCCTGAAGCGGTCCTTGTCCTTGTCCAGCTACAACAAAAGCAAGGGTTCAGCACTGGCTCACAGCCATAAAGATCATTATGATTATTTACCTTCTGCATTCCTTTGAAGCTGAAAGCAATATTGACTGCAGCTAGCTCATGCAATGTACCAGGCTGCGAGGCTTTAACCTCGTGGATGTCCTTTCTGTGGCCTAGCGCATCCGCGGAAGACGTAATGACTTTATCATCCAGCAATTTCCCTAGACTAGGCTTGAAGGCACTGGCATCAGCGATCTGAAAGAACCAAAAAATCTGGTATTTTTTTGCCAGACCAGGCCTGATGAATGTCAATACGGAAGCTAGCAGAGATATAGACAGAAAATCTCACCAGATATCGCCTTGGATGTTGTCAAGATTGGGAACTTCACCCACGGCCATTTTGTACTTAGTGAATCTCTGTCAGGTATAGGTCCACAAAATTCGAAATAGTAGATTTGGAAGAGAGGATTAAATAAACCTCAATTTGTGCGGCCTTGGGCTTGCTTTTATAGATTGATGTGAAGTGCGTGCTGCAATTTCCTCCAAAAGGCACCCCACATGTCGTCAACAGTCAAAACAACTTTTCGTCCACCGCATAATTGGGCAGATGTAACTCTAATTTTGGCCCCTCTATTGTCTCCATTGGAATAGACACTGCTTGCGGAAGGTTTTAGCACTGATGGTACATTGTAGACCTTGTAGTTTGGTTCATAGTGGTATGTGGAGAGTGTGTTCAGGGACTCTGGGATGTCAATGGATTACTTGATCACGTAATTCGCAATCCCTTGGACGTAGACATGGCTGAAGAATACGGGTGTTGCGGGGGATAGAAGATATGCTGCAATACCATGCTACACAACCAATGTCAAGAAATTATATGAATCCCTGGTAAGATTCGATGAACGGAGCCCCCTTTCCTTTAGGAGCTTGTCGTAGTCTGGCTGTGTCAGTGAATGCGGCACTGTAGGAGGGTTATCCATTTTCGTCAACGATTGCATATACCACCATAGCCCAACTGCCGTCAAATTCTGGGAGCGTTACAGTGAGATAGATCCATAATTGTCCTTACTTTCTTATACAGATTTGCGACTGGCGAGCAATTTCAAATCTTCTGAAATTCATTGGCTGACGATTTGACACTGACAGGTCGACCGGGGCGCTGAAAAGAAAAAAAATGGAGAAATCACAAGCTCAGAATGTCCCACTGTATATGGCCAGATCTACATGACTTTGAACGAGTGATCTACACTTCCAGACTGTTGCATAGTATGATACGACACTGTGGCTAGCATTCCTGTTGTGGTTGCACTATACTTGTCACCATAGTAGATAGTAGGGGCTCCTTCCTGTTCTTGTAAACAACAATTGTGTGAGCATGTCGATGGAGACAATGAAGTCTACTTCTCGAAGTGCAGAATATAACGGGGAGTACCATTCATATACCCATTGAGGCTCAATTGCTCTGTAAGCTTTAGCCTATCGAGTAATAACTTTTATGGTAGGCGGTCGAGGAGATGACAGCTAGGGATGAATAGGGTTGCGGTGGGTTATGGGGCACTCCCGGGCCCGGAGGCGTGCCGTTAAGGTTACCGCTTTGGCTTTACATTCCCCCTGACCGCGTCCTAGTCCACATTCCACTTTTACCATCTAGCATGCCGCAATAGGTCTTTTGAATCTTTCAGAAGCCTTGGATGCAGATACATGCATGTAAATTCTACTTCCTACTATCAATATGGTTGGAATTTTGATTCTCAGCTTCTAGTTCACCTTGACATAACTAGCTATTGATGTTGCGCTGCTTGATTAATGGACTATATAGAAGAAACGGAATTCAGCAACATTCGCAGCCTGCTGAGAAGGTAGACAGGCACACTGGAAGGTTTTAATATGCCTATCTCCGCGGAACAATATGTTCCTGGGCTGATACATTCCAGATGTATCTTGATATGGATCAACGGCCCTGGCCTTTGTTACACGAGCCATGCTTGTCTCGTTCCCCGGTCAGGCCTGGCATGGCGACCAAAGTATTGTAGGGCATCAGATTAGCGACCATAATGGTCATTTTAAAAGCCTCGCACAATGCAATGCATGGATTTGGGAGTGTCCCTGCACCTGCAAGGTTTTCTGCTTGAGTCCATGCCTGCCTTTTGTGACCCGAACACATTTACTCCATTCTCAACATGAAATCTCGATGGTATATAGGAGTTCTGCTTGGGACAGCGAGGGCGAGGGACCTCAGACATCTCGAGTCTCTGTATCGCGAAGGAAAGACACCTGATACCGCCGTGATAGGTGGCAGAAAGGTTGCGACTCTGTCGCAGCCTCTGCCGCAGGGCCAGCCCATCGACCGATCCGGATGGAAGCTTCAATGCTCTACAATTGCCACTGGTCACGACTGCGATCAAACAATCGATAATTCGACCGACACCTTCTGGCAGAGTGCGGCCAGCAGTGACGCCCAAACCATCACTGTTGACTTGGGGAAAGAACGGACCATAAATGGATTGACAATGGTTCCCAGACAAGATGAAGAGCAGAACTTCATCTTAGAGCATCAAATACTTCTCAGCACTGATGGTCAAAACTGGAGTGAGGTCTCATATGGAACCTGGTGGCCGGACACGGCCATGAAGCTCTCAGCATTTCAGCCTCGAAAAGCCAACTACCTACGTCTGTCTGCTGCAGCAGAAAATGGCATTGCCATTGCGGATCTGCAAATCTATGAAACTGAATTCATTCCTCCAAACCCTGCCTTGGGTGCTTGGGGCCCAACAATTGATTTGCCCCTGGTTCCCGTCGCTGGGGCCGTTGATCCAATATCTGGTGCAGTGGTGACCTGGTCCGCCTGGGGACACGAAATCTTCACTGGCAGTCCGGGTGGCGAGACACAGACAGCCACTTGGCATCCAAAGGATCACTCTGTGACTCAGAGAGATGTCGAAAATACGCAACACGACATGTTCTGTCCCGGTATCTCGACCGACCAGAACGGTAAGATTGTCGTCACTGGCGGAACCGATCAAAGTCGGACCAGTATTTACAATACTACCGTGAGTCGTTGGTTCAAAGCAGCGGCCATGAATATCGATCGTGGGTACCAGGCAACGTCGACCTTATCGGATGGGCGGATCTTCGTCATTGGTGGTTCTTTCAGCGGCGGGGTTGGCGGTGGTTCGGAGGGCGAGCGTGTTGCTGCACTTGGCAAAGATGGCGAGGTCTACGATCCTGTCACCAATCAGTGGAGTAGAATCTATGGCGCCCAAGCATCGGTTATGCTTACCGACGACGTTCGCGACTACCGACAAGATAATCACGGCTGGATATTCGCCTGGACCAACGGCTCCGTTTTCCAAGCTGGCCCTAGCAAAGCGATGAACTGGTATGGTACATCTGGGAATGGCACCACCAGTTCTGCTGGAGACCGCACTGGCGATGAGGACGCCATGTGCGGAAATGCGGTCATGTACGACAGCGGCAAGATTCTCACCTTCGGTGGCTCTCCCTGGTACGAAGAAAAATCTGCGACGACTAATGCTGCCATCATCACGATTGACCAGCCTGACCAGAATCCGTCCGTCGAAAAGGCAGGTGACGGGATGTTCTACAAGCGCACTTTCCATTCCTCTGTTGTTTTACCAGACGGCTCGGTATTTGTTCATGGGGGTCAGGATGTCGGACTTCCTTTCAATGAAAGCGGCGCCCATTTGACTCCAGAGCGATTCATTCCCGATACCAATGGCGGCGAATGGGTCGAACAACAAAGGAATAGCGTCGTCCGTGTCTACCACAGTCTCGCGTTATTGCTTCAGGATGGCACAGTATTCACAGGTGGGGGTGGTTTGTGTGGAGATTGTAATGCCAATCATTTCGACGGTCAGATCTACACGCCTCCCTATCTCCTGAAAGAAGACGGAACTCTGAGGACCGACCGTCCTGTTATCACAAGTGTGTCACCCAGTGAGGTCAAGCCGGGAGATACTGTCGAAGTCACCACTGACAGTGGTGTCGACGAAGGAGCGTCGATCATCCGTTATGGCTCAGCGACACACACCGTGAACACTGATCAGCGACGCATTGGTGTTAAGTTGACAGCGGACGGCTCTAATAAATACAAGTTCCAGATTCCTGCGAAGGCAGGGATTGCTCAGCCTGGGTATTACATGCTTTTTGTTCTGAGAAACGGGGTCCCCAGTAATTCCGTGAATGTTCGAGTAGCAGCTTGAACTACATGCATTGAATACAAGAGCTAATGGTCTTGAGCGTGAGAGTGGTTGAAGATTGGCTATATTTATTTCTTGATACATGTCGAATCCACTTGACACGTTGAAAGATGGTGGCACTGTTTCAATTCTAGCTTTAATATTATATTCTCGTATTTTTATGAGGCCTTGAATCTCACTTCCATTAATTATTAAGTGTTGGAGATTAATAAGAAATATGCTTGCCGGAGGAAGACTTACCTGTTCTCCTAAACCAGTTAGAACAAAGGAATCAAAATCCCCCCATCCAGTCACGTTACCAAAATATGAAGCCGGACTAGTATCATGAGCCAAATCGGAGATCCAACCATCTAGACCCGATTGAGAAATTGCCGCTCCTAAATTACCGAAAGTATAGTAGGCATCCTCTGATGGAGTCATCATGGCTTCAGGTACTGAAATCGGCGTACGAGCCCTTCCGATACTTGATGCTTCAATGGTCGAACTATTTTCGTTCTTTCGACCTGTGATTTTGGTTGCTTCCCTTCGAAGTTCTTCAAGCACAACCACATATCTCAATGGAAATGACGACTGGGAGCCATATTTTGCGAGATTTTCTTGAGCCTCCTCTCCCACTTCGAGATACCGTTGGTGATGAATAGCAGGCCTTCGTCGATTTTGTATGACATAGACATAGAGGACCACAATGGCACAAAAGACATAGTAGTTTGTAAACTACTGTAGTTGTTAGTCAAATGATTAAAGTAGTTGTTCTGCAGACACTGACCCAAAATGATTTGTACATGCGTTGTGTCCCACAAAGGGTTCTGAATATCTCAGCAATCTTGGTAGCAGCTTGAAGGCATTTATCCACGTTTTCTTCAATCAATTTGCGGAAATGTGGATTTATTTGGCTCTCTTTTCCCCCTCGTGGTGTCAAGTTTTGCAGAATGAAAGGTCTATACAGCAAAATCTCTGCGTGTGAAAATGCAAGATCCAAGACCGTTTGCTGTCTTTGATATATCACTTGAAGTAGCTCTATATTAGAGGTATCCAGAAATGTACCAATCTCAGATCTCCACTGGCTTAGAAAAGAACTATATTTCTGTGCAATATTAGCCTGTACCTCAAGTGAACGTTGTTTGATTCCATAAAGATCCTTCAAAATTCCACTAATGATCCTTGAAAGTCTGAAACCAAAGTTGTCAGTATTTCGTGTCAGTATTTCATGTGAGCTCAGAGTTCTACTCTCATACTTTACGTGGAAAAGTGGTGCCAACATAATGCTTTGCCGTTGAGAGTCAACCTGCAAAATGGCACTTTTGGTAATCTGGGAATCATTCACACAGATTGGAAGCTCCTTGAAAAGACTTGTTAGCAACCGCATAGTTTCCAAAATAATGTCTAATATTCACTTGATCAATATCTTCATCATGAAAGATTCGAGGGCGCCCTAGTGCAGCGCTGAGATAATTGTCCAGACTATATGCACACCAAAAAACCCTCTTTCTGCTCTCTTCCTCCACGTGATCGGGAGCAATCCCGCATCGACGGCGTCGATTTAGCCCAATCGCAAGGGCTAGCCGTGCAGTCGTACCGAAGAGGCTCCAGCAGTGATTTATTCTCGATTCTGAAAGCAAATAAAAGCACTGTGCTAATCGGGCTTGAATACTGGCGAGCTTTACTGGGCCCTTCTCTGCCATAAGATGACTGTCTGAGGCGGCGAAGTAGGTTTTGCTATCGACATATTAGCAAATTCCGTTCAATTCGCATCTATCTCCAGATTTTCAGCCTCTCAAGGACTATGAAGATATACTTGAATTTACCTGTTTACTGATTCCGCTATAGATCGATCACAGTCAGATAAGTACTGTTTTCCCTGCGCCATAACCATCAAGATCAAAGCTTTGATAGCCCGATTAAGATGTTTTTCTTCTCCATTCATGCTGGAATAAAATTCCTCGAGCCACTTTTGCACTGTCGCTTGGTGAAGAAAGCGGTGAGTAGGAAAGGAGAAATCAAAATACCGATCAACTAAGAACTTGGCTTCGTCGAACGGAGGTAGGACCAAGAAACTGGATTCAGACGGCGGAATCAGAGCATCACCAAAATTGATAAGAGGTTCTGCTGCTGAGTACTTCAAATTTTCATGGAGTCTTTTCTGCACCCGAAGCAGAAAAGACACACCAGAAGCAGGACCTACATAATGGCCTTCTAGATCGGTTTCGTTTGGCTCCGGAGAATTTCGAGAAGATACGATCGGTGATTCATCGTTTCTGGCTGTGGGTATACCAACAGATGCCAAACAGTCTTCTGAACTGTGTGATACTGGCTCAAATCTTGATAATGATTCTTTTCCTGACTCCAGAAAGATTGAATTGTGATCTCTGGATAACCTATCAATGCCTGGATCGTCACGTTGTTCAGTTGAGTGGTCCGATCGTTGTGGAACTTGCTGCTTTGTGTGAATATGCTGATCTGTTCTTTGTTTCTTGGCTCGAGTCATAACTGCCGATGCTTTCAGAGTAACTATATCCTCTTGGCCGACAACGGGAATATCTGGAAGCCTGCCCCTCTTGTACCCAGCATTGTATTGGCAGTTCTCCTCTGATCGTACGCAAAGTGAGCAAGGGATAGTTCCAGAGCAACGGAGCTTTCTTCTGTGATGAATATTAGTATTGAGGCATGATATCCCAGAAAAATATCTGGTCACCTTTTGCATGTGTCGCATGCACGCGTGACACGAACTCGTTCTTTGCCCCGACGACGTTTATTCGCAAGAAACTCAGACATACTTCAGTCAACGCAAGGCCTCCTTATTAGACAATGACACCGTGAGAGTCCTTCAATATACGGCAGAAGTTCGAAGAGAAGGCAAAATAGGAATTCAAAATTTGCTTTGTCTTAGGCGTTATTCACTAGCTCCAGGGTACCCCGCAAATTTGGTCACATTCCCCCTTTTCTCGCCGTAATTAGTCTCCATCTGTCATTTATTGTACCACGTAAACCAGATTCCCTCGCCCGTCGCTGAAAGATGCCTGGCTTTCAAGTATAGTTTTCTTCTCATAAAATTTCTGTCTTTCACTAATTTTCGATTGCTCTTATTTGAGTAAAATCCTTGGTAGCAGAAGAAACCGCATTTGATCGGGCCTACTTCAGATGCACCCAACCTTCTATTGGATATCGTCAATAATCTTGCGTTCAAGAAATTTCTGGAGATACCAGTATTTTCTCTGCTATGACCCAGAAATTTGAAATATTACAGAATCTGGGGCGGCGGCCAAATAGGCCTCTATGCATAAGCCGACGCCAAGAACAGGATTTTTATCAACTCGGAAAAAGATCCGGAAAAGCTAGCTTGCCGTAACAAGCTAGCAATTTGGATATCCGCAGGATTAATAAAAAAGGGTCCAGAAATCTTTAATTAAGACCACAAAGTTTGTTAAAGAGCACTTGCAGCATTAAATATCGCAAGATAATGATACCTACTTCTATGTGATGATCCCTTATAGGTTCTATTATTCTGTGGGTGGTGAATATGTCAATATAGTAGGATGCTGTATAGGCCTGTAACGGCGGGGTCTAATTGAACGCGATATTCAATGCGATGATGTCTACCTATCTAGGTTTACTGTAAGGAAGTGTTTAATATCCTCTACCTCGCTGACCAGCGTGTTACAAAGCAAGTGGGGAGTTGAGTATCCCTGTAATGGCCGGACACATGGCGGGTATGTGGGTCCTCGCTGTATCGGAGGCATCTTTGCTCTACAGAATATACTTAATGAGTCGTAGCATTGACAGCGAACGACAATAGTGAGAGCTTATCCATTCAGGACAATTCTATGCGATTGAAATCAACAACACACGTGAAGCAATCTCAATATTCTAACAAGGCTCTCACTGCCTGTGCAAATCTTGGTTTCTTATATTCCATAAAATTTTGCTATTGAGTGGTCCCTATATAAAATCCACGATCCTCTATGCCGTACTGCTTACAGCAGGAATCTAAATCCTTGCGCAACCGCTCGTCCTGGTAGTCCATTTTCTTCATTCCTGTTCGCTTCATTTTCATCCGCTCTCTGAATAAAAGTACCTTCTTCTTCATCTAACTGCTTGTTCAAGCGCCCAAGCACCACCCGAATTACCACGGCGAAGATAATTGTCATTGCTGACATGGCGATATTTACAGAGAATGCTGTCGTGTATTTTGGGCTTGCAGAGTCTGTTAAAATCAGTGAGCAAGGGTTTCGACATGTGAAAATCCGGCACAACTAACCGGGATACAGATAAGGTGTGTATATCTGACAAACGTTGCTAAGGCAGTTGATGAGGGCTAGGGCAGCAGCTCTCTTGGTAGCAGGGCGAGGAAGAACTGGAAATGTCAAAAACTAAATATGAATATTGATTCTAAAGAACTTACCATTTGAAATATAGCCCAGTAAAACCACATATCCTGCATATATTGCCCCAATCATGAGACACATTGCACTGTAGAGGAAACGTGAGCTAGAATGCATTAACAATTCTCAGTATAAGTTAACTTACACATATCGAGCTGCGAAATTTCTAGTTGCAACTGCGATGCCAAAAGAAGCGATAGCAACGAATGGCGGCAGAACAATATGCAAGAATCTTTCGCCTGTTTTATCCGCATGCCACGCGTTGATCAGAATCACAATGGTGCCGATCAAGTATGGTGGTGTTGTGAGAAGAAGTGTGGTGATATTATCTTTTCCAAGTCCAGCCATAACACTAGAAGAATGTAAGAACCTCAGTTTGCCCAGGTTTTGTTTTCAATAGGCGACGAACATTGGGAAGAATGTGGTAACAGCCCCGGAAGCAGTGCACCCATAAATTGCGCCGAGTAGAAGCCATACTTTGTAGTCCCTAGATACTATTGTTAGAAATATATTTGCAAGACCGAAAGTTGAGGAGCTATCCACATACGTGAAAGCAAGCTTAGCACCGTGAAAAATGGATTGGTGCTGACTGTCAACCCAATCATCTTCACCAATATCCTCTTGAAGACGCCATGCTGCAAGCTCTTTTTCATGCTCACTTAGCCAGGAAGTTGTCCGTGGCAAGTCTGGAATGATAAAAATGGAAATTATGGCCACGAAAACCTATTGGTCGTTAATGACAAGTCAGACAGGCACCAGGTTAAGGCTGATGTCTCACAGTCACTGTCCCTTCAATGATAAATAACCACCTCCAAGCTCCAATTCCTCTTGCGCCATTCAACCCGCCGGTAATACCTGCAGCAATCAAGCCTGAAAAAGCCCCAGAGAGTAAGGACCCAGAGTATAATAGAGCGGTTCGCTTGACAAGCTCCTTGCGAGTGTACCATGACGAGAGAAGATAAAGACAACCTGGCTAGTTTGTTTGTTACTAGACAAATCAGTAGCTCAGGTCATGCAGAATGTTCTCACATAGTAAGCGGCTTCTACAAATCCAAGTATAAATCTGCAAGCCAGGAGTCCACCGTAATTTTGAGTGGCGGCAGTAGCGCTGGATACTATGCCCCACGCCAGCATACACACTGGAAGGTAAATGGAGGGTTTTCCGAGCTTGTTGAGAATCATATTTGATGGAACTTAGAATAAATAAATTAGCCGAATTTTGTTAATATTATGGCCGAAGAGGATGTAAAACCTTGCATCAATAAGTACCCAACAAATAGAATACTGACGGAAGTCTGCTCAAAATTAGTGGCGAATTGGAACCTCACTTGTCGTTCTTGAATGCACCTGGTATTGATTGCCATGAAGGTTCAGATCTTCTGCTAGGCCAGCAAGCTTTGCCGAGGCAATGTTGTTTCGATCCAAATAGTTTAAAATATACATCACAACGATCATGATGAGCAGTCTTGCATCAACCTTACGAACAAGCTTTTTCTCCAATTCCTGCCTTTCCTCTGGCGTCAGGCCTTGTAAAAATTCAGGCATGCCAGCCATCATCGTATTGATGCCATCTTTGATTGAAGCGGTATATTCCACGTGGTCAGACGCACTACCTTTGCTACTCAACATGTTTTCGGGGTTGACGTTATGTTGCTGCATAGGTTTGAGCTATTTCGTAACAATTGAGATTTGTGGAACAAATATTTAGATTTTGCCAAGTTCTTGGCCAGTTTAGCTGTCTTCTATATCTAAGTTGTGATATATCCGAGGAAAATGCGGGGTTGTGCGAACGATCTGGGGTTGCGCTCGGAAAATCCCTCGAAGCCATCTCGGATATCTCGGGCTCGGGCTTAAGCTTCTGTCGGAGAATTCACAGGCTTTACTAAAATAATACGAGAGGGGAATGCTTGACACCCAGATCTAGTACTTGTTACCGGTTTTCTCGCAGTGAGATACGAATTTGAATATAAATGCTTGTGGACACTGGTTTTTCAATGCCCGCTCCCAAAGTAAACCAAAGTAAACCTCAACATTTCCATTCAGTTTGGGCACATGTGCCATTGATCACCCACCCGAAATCCTTCTTGGAAGGGATCGGTCGAATCGATGACTACCTGCTTGAATCCTGTAATCCAAGCCCGACCTTTAACTGTGGGTAAAACAGCTGGGTACTGGCCGACACTGGTCGTTCCGCGAATCCGACATGTAAACTCGGTTCCCAAGATGCTGCGATGCTTGAAAGTCTCTCCCTCTTTAATTTGACCTCTCGCATGCATGACCGCCAGACGAGCAGATGTCCCAGTACCACAGGGACTGCGATCAAATCGACCCGGGGAGACAACCACGGTATTGGTTGCAACTTTGATGCCATCCTCTAAGCTTGGGGGCTCGGTGAAACCTATGACGCTAAATCCCTTGATCGCGGGGTTTTCGGGATGAACAGGGGTGTAGGCTGCCTCAGCTGCCCGTTTGATCCGCTCACCAATTTCAACCAATTGACGAGCATATTGATTGCTGACTTTCAACCCTAGCGAAGCTGCGTCGACCAATAAATACATCATGCCTCCGTATGCAATGTCGACTGATATTTTTCCAAGTCCAGGGACCTGGAGCTCATAATCAAGCTCCAGAACAAATGAGGGAACATTGTTGAACTCCACGTTCTTGCATTTGCCTGCCTCACATTCCGCGGTGACTGTCACCAAGCCAGCAGCAGTATCAAGTGCCACTTGAGTAGCTGGCTCCTTCATCGGAATCATGCCTGTTTCCAACAGTACTGTCGTGGTACAGATGATGTTGGACCCCGACATTGGGGCATATTCTTCACACTCCATGATCAGGAACCCAGCATCAGCTCTAGGGTCACAAGGGGGAAGAACCAGATTTATGTTCATTGAGGCCCGACCACGGGGTTCGTTGAGCAAAAGCTGGCGCAGGCTGTCTTTTTTGGTCTCAAAGTGAACAAGTTTATCAAACATGGTCTTTCCTGGTACATCAAGAACTCCGCCGGTGATCACATCGCCAACCTCGCCTTCCGCATGGCATCCAACAACGTTGATTGAGCGAGAGAATGGCATATCTGGATAGTGGATCTCAATGAACTTCAGACTGCTCTGGAATCACCCTTGGTAACAAAACTATGTTGACTTGCGGTCTTCAATACACGTGAGAGACCCTTGAAAAAAGGAGTTTGGCTGATTGCTTCATGCCAAATCTTTGCGGTTCGCATTGTTTATAAATAGCGGCAACGGTTTCCGGAAGAACTTTCCCAAGTTTCCCTTCCCGATCCACCTGGGGGGAGGGGGCCTGGAAAGTACATCCGGGATGTTTGCTTTTTCAGGTGGTGTTGGAATAATATGTTGCCCTTGACTGGCGCTTTAAGCGCTGTCTGTTTCAATAATTTTCTCCGCACAAGTCGCACGGACAGGAGCTCCGGGGCCCAGGCCCAGTCACTGTGTCGCGTTGTTGGGTTGACATGTTGGATGTTGAATCATTGGCCCAAAGCTCACCAGCGCTGATACAACAATATCATCTCACCGGTACGCCTTAAGCAGCAAGTATGAGTGTTTCTCATCAGTTGTTTCTTCATCAATTCATCAGTCAATCGTGGCTTCTGTTGTGTGCAGAATCCGCTGGTCTTGATGCCGATCCAGGTCATGTGAACGTAGGTACTTTTCGTATGCAGGCTGGGTCACGAGTCACGTCCTTTCATTTGCTTTTTCTTCTTGTGACTGTTGTCCGAAGTTTCTCCACCTGGCATCGAATCAGGACGAGCTTCAAGGGGCTGCTAGCAGAAGATAACCGGCCCAGAAGACAACTGCGTAGAGTCTCAGTCCGGTCACGTGGTCGGACGCTCTGCGCGGGGAAAGTCATCAACGCGTCAATAAGCAAAGTCGGTTTCCCGATAGCTTCGACCGCGCCATGTGCGCTAATCTGTGCCTGCTGAGAGGACAAACTGGCCAACAGCCTAGGTGTGACATGCCAGTGATGGGTTAGTTCTCGCAATGGGAGCTCGTTCTCGACTGGGTTGCTTGTCCTGTCGGCGTCGGAAGAAAAAATGTGACGAGGTGAAGCCGATCTGCACGGCTTGCCTGCGCAACGCCCTTGCCTGTACATGGCCCGACTCGGACTCAAACACGCAGTGTGTCTCTGTGATTGAGGTAAGATCAGCGCAACGACTGCAGACATTCGACACACGCGATACACCCGCGTCAGACGCCTGGGCCCTGACGACTGGTTCACCCTGCGAGTATGTGGCTGCTACTATCCCTGCGGCGCCCTCGTATTTCGTCTTGCCTGGCTCAGTATCTCCAGGGTCTGAGACATGGAGGCTTTTGGATCATTATTTAAAAGATACAGCGAATCGACTGGCCTGTTTACAAGATGGCGAAAATCCATTTCTGCATACGATACTCCCGGCCGCTCTGGACGATGAGCTGCTCATGAACTCCATTTTGGCCCTTTCGGGTGTTCACATGATGCAAAGGCTACCTCATTTGAATGTGGAGATGCAGTTATTGACTTGGTCTAGTTACTCTCGGGCATTAAAACAGCTTAGGGTCTCTTTATCCAAGCCTTTTGATGGCACCAATAGCGTAGATGCTGTATGGCGCGCTCTCTTGGTTGTCTTAATATTTTACCTTTTAGAGGTAAGGGATACCTCATGATACACAACAATTTGATGGTTTGCTCACAAATTCCATTCCCAGGCGACCAGAGGTAATGATCCCCAGGCCATGCAGCGACATCTGGAGGGTGCTCACCACCTGATGGCCCATGCACTTCAAGCAACTACAAGCCCGGCCCAGCCTAGTATCGTATCATTTGCCACTGAGCTTTATGTGTACAATGCTGCCCTTGCATCATTCTCGACAAATTGTCCCCCGACCCTATCTATGCTATCTAGTGCCTTTTTGAATAGCCCCAAATACCCGAATCCCGAAATTGGCGTCTTATGCGGCTGTGCCTACGAGCTATTCGCCCTTGTCCCCAAAGTCTCGGCTTTATTATGGGAAATGAACCCCCATAGGTCATCACAGCTTCCCTATAACCCGGAATTGATCGTCAGCTATTACAACACAAGGGCACAAGTTGAGAATTGGAAGCCTCGTAGCGACAAGAGTGAGCTTGTTCTGTGTGCAGAGCTTTATCAGCAAAGTCTTCTACTTCTTTTGGATGTGCACTTCCCATCTGAATTTACGACCAATATTATCGATCAAGCATTTCAGAAATTCGAATCGCTCCTATCGCATCTACCTCCAGAGTCCCCAATAGCAACAACAACTACATGGCCTCTATTTGCTTTCGGGATGCATGCTCGGGTAATTCATCAGAAAGAGATTGTTCGGCAGTACTTGACTTCCGTTATCACAATATTCCGAATGGGAGTCATGTCAACAGCGCTAACTCAGCTGGAAGAAATCTGGACGGAGGAGTTCAACCTCAACTTGGTACGCAAGTTTTTTGCGAATCATGACCAGCTCCTTCTAATTTGTTGAGCTAGCAATATGTAGTTACTTAATTTGGACATGTACAATAATGTAAATCTAATTCAAAAGGTATATCTACTTTTAGTATCTTTAATTTATCGAGTTTGAAATGCTCGGCTTGTCACCCATCATGAGGCTATACTGTTTGAGACTAGCGTACGAGTCACTTCCGAAGCCGTCAGCATCCCAAATTTTTAAATCTCAGCCGCATGACCATTGTCTTTTTTCCTTCTCATGAATTGCCCTGTCAAGATGATTGCAACTAAAACTACGCTTCGACTGTTCCTGAAAGGTCCGAAACAAAGTTCAGGGATACACTACCACATCCAAAACTCTCTACGCACCCGCAATATTTTTGTCCGCACTTCACTACCACACTGCGCATTGCCTACGTCATCCTCTGTTTGCTTTTCAACAATCTCCATGCGCATGAACCAACGGAATGATAAATCTAAACCCTATTCCTGGCTAGGGTCAAAGCCGATTGAAACACCACTGGCTATGAGCTTTGAGGCCATTGGCATTCGCAACAACATAAAATATTTGCTTTTAACTCTCTTCTCGGTTCTTGCGACTATTGAAATTGCGAAATTATCCAGTTCTATATGGATTTGGTGGAAGGGAGAGGAGGGGGACGATATCGATACAGTCTAGTACTTCGGATCAAGATTTACGGTGTCGAACGCGTCCAATAATCGTTCCTGTCTGGTATTATTTGATATAAGCCTACAAGATTTGCAAACACAGCTTTGAAAATTATCTAGTCATCATGAATTCATTATCCCATCATCGTTTCAAGATTCAGTTCAATCATTATATCGAGCCAATATCCTCCCCTTCCAGAATCTGCTCGCTCCCAAACTTCGTGAACAATCTTCGATATACGTTGCATCGGTAGCTTCGGTATATTCAAAGTGAGCTCAGAAAGACGGGTGCTGACCTTCCGTCTTGCCTGGGCAATCTCCACATCGAGAATGTTGAGGCAAGTAAGGGCATTTGCTGTGGGTCCAAACAGAGCGTCTGTAGAGAAAACGAGATCGCTCGATACACAGGTCAGGAGAATCAGCTGCATGAACCTTGTACCCGACATCGAAGGGAGTTCATCCAGAAGGGAAACGATATGTAACGCCAATATTCGCCGAGTGTCCTCTGCCGAATGCGCAGGTGGATTCTCTGAGAAGAGAAGTGCAAACAACGCCGGTTTTTCTATCTCGGGTCTCTCATTAAGATGTAACCGGTCTTCCAAAATTTCTGGAAAGACATGATAAATTTGTAGAAGCGCAGCGCAGCGATATGTTTCTGCCAGAAAAATAAAATGAGAAGGAGGTGTGTTGGTGTCGCCGACATCGACAGGGCCACAGTACAATGGAAGACTCGTGAATAGAATATCCTCTTCCAGACGTTCGGCCTTCTGGCGCAGGCCAATTTCTTTAACCAGATGATCAAAGTCAAATGTTGCTAGATCAATGTTTTCCACGTGTGTGCGGTGGAATATACGAGCAGATCGAATCACTCGAGCGGTTTGGTAGAAAAGTCTCAGTGATTGGGAGAGAGGTCCAGTCCAAGGGTGTGGAAGAGTCTGGCCATCAATCAAATACACAGAAGTCTCGGGGTCGGGCTTTTCTAACACGCTCTCATCGCTGAGGAGGATGGAATCGTCTGCCACAAAAGCGGCCAGCATGTTCCAATAGAGAAGATTATGTTGAAACAAAGGATATTGCTTGGCAAAGGTCGAGTCAGGATCTTGGCACATTTGTTGTTTCTGTATGAGGTGATCTTTGGCCTCTTTCAGGTATTCCAATCCTAAATCAGAGGCGTTGTGCCAGGAAGTCGTCAATCCAATCATCAAAAGCGCTAGGAAGAACTCATCGTCTTGGTTATCCCGATGCAACGTGCCTATCCGTGGGTTGTTCCGTAGGCATGCGATCGCTTGCTGCTGCGTTTGTATTCCGATCGCCCTCATGCCTGGAAAGTCATTGGCTAATGACGCAGCCGCCATGCTTTGGATGGCATAGTAAATTGCTGCATTCCGACTCCAGAGACGACTGACAATAATGCGAAATGGATTTAACGGCGAGTCAAAGGATGACCAGGACTTGCAGACATAATCGAAATAGTATTGGACTAGAATTGCCGGCATTTGGATCAGGAAGGATGGTATTGATGTATTCGCCAGCCGCCGACGCAACATCGTTAAACTGTCTGGCTCAACAGTATCCCGGGTTGTGGCGAAGTCGTTCAACAAGCAATGATCTTTCAATGGCATGTTGGGCGTCGCATCTACTCCTGGCAATTGATCAAGTAGCGTCGAGCTAGCTTCGTGCCACAGGTCCTCGAGCTCTGTGCTGTTGCGCGTCTCTTGCTCATTCGCACCGCATATCTGCTGCACCAAGGTAGGTGAGCTCGAGGATTCTATCTCTGAGAGTGATTCCTCCTGAATCGGCGAATGCGCCTCATTTTGATCCTCGTCTCGGAAGACATATCGCCACTCCAGAGGCTTTTTCTGGTAGCCAGGGCAGACGAATCCCTTCTTCACACATTCTTGACAGCTTGGTTTGGTCTCATCACATCTACGCTATAAAATCAGGTTAGCTCTGCTAAGGTAAACTAACATGGAAGCAAGACCTCATGATGGTACCCCTCTACTTACTCGCCTCTGCTTGCACCGTTGACAGCCTCCTCTGGACTTGGGCCGGCAGCGATTCGGGTTCTTCTGCCGTTTCTGTCGAGGCATCGTACGAGAAGTGGAATCGTACATTGCTGAAAACAGACCAGCAATCCAGCTCGAATGGGCGCAGAGCTCAAAGAGTCGCGCGGGTTCACGCCCAAGTTTCGCCTTATCTTGGATGGATGCTCTTTCAGGTGATCGGCTCAGCTTCCGGCACCGTGTGCCCCGCACATCCTTTCCGGGCTGAGACCGGCTCGTCAAGCTTCTCTGATTCGACTAGACAATGGAGACCCAGTCGGGTTGAAGATGAATTCGCTCGGGAACCGTCTTGCCACCGCCTCGATCATGTTTGTGAGCTGGCTTCTACCCCGCAGATTGGCTCTCGTGACACCATGACAACGCTATCTGTGGCGGGTTTGTTCGCCGTTTTGGGCCATAAAACGCGCCACCCGTGATCCACTTAAGCTCTATTGAAAAATGCACATAAGTGGCATGGATTGGAATGTGGGTGATAGTCTGTCCCTTATCCTGCTGAGTTTCTTTTTTATTATGATGGTTCATATCGTCTATCCCGCTGATCGTAAGTGTACCTGGTCCTCTGCTCCCCTTCATTGTGGGCAGGATCTTAAGTATTCCAGCATTATGAGCAAGTAGCTATTACTCTCTCGGTCGGCCCCAGGAACCATTTTGCTCTCAAAACGGTTATCGGAGGAGCACTGGCTGAAACTCAAATTTACAATCAGGCACTCTTGCTAGGAATTGCGAAATATGCCAATCAAGACATGGTTATACAAGACAGTAATGATAGCTCGGTCGTTTTGCTCCCAGGGTAAATGCCTTCATGGGTCTTTTTAGACAAATATCTAACGATCAGCTCTTAACCTTCTGCGTGAGAGTTCTTGATACACTCTGGGTGTGGGTGGAATATTCAGGAAAATGGGGCATCTTGGTGAATTTTCAAGCAACATACCATATCCCCAAGAGGTCTATTCAATCTCTATTGCCAATCAAGCATCATCTGATTTGATACTCTGGAATTATGGCATGCATCTTGTACTTTTACCCTAAAAAAGAGACGTCACGCTTCAATGGTGAAATCGCTATACTATATATGGTCAAATCTTTCTCAATAAGGCGGTTCTTGCCTACTTGCCTCCTTCAGGGGTGTCATATTTGGACGCCCAGCTCAAAACTTTCTACTTAATTCGTTTCCAATAGCGGTCTGTATAACAGTCAGGACGGTCTCCAACTCCATTGAAGAAACAATTGTTCATCTCTATCCGAAGTCCGCATAAAGGCCCCATATGAAACACATTCTATCAATAATTTTTGGAGTAAAGATAGTTCGCAGTTCCAAGGAGCCCGCAAAACGAGCCAATTCCCTCCCTATAATGATTTGGCACGATTCTCATGAACCCTGGTTGATCTTTGGCTCTTCCAGACTAGCGTAGCCGCGCTGCATTAGCGCAGCCGTCGTGATCAACACCAGAAGAGGCAACTTCCGAAGGTCCCACGGAGCCAATCCCATGATTTGAACCTTGAAACACATACAATGTCATATTTGATCATATCTAGGGAAAAGTTAACCTATCTGAGACACTTTTTCACTTCGTTCAATTCCTCCGTATCTTATGGCTTCACGCCAATGACATTTTAGATTTGGGTCATGTTTGACCAAGGTTAAGCCTCGCGATATCTATCAACATACTCATTTCGAGATGTTTCTATACTGTTATATAGCTCAGGTATCCTAGAAGGGCATCAGAGAGCCTGGCTTTTCGTGATTAATTTCTTTCGCACGGTAGCCCACTATCTTTCAAACAAAGATTTATTAGACCTGATCTTGAAAATTGAACATCCCACATGAGTCCTGGTCGTATTTGGAAATTTAACGGACTCTATTGCCTTTCTGATCGTGTCCGAAAAATATTTGATGTATTGGCCTCCTTTCGTTGTAGATAAGCCGAGATTCTTAAAGGGGTCGTTGACCTTGTTTCACTCACTTAATTCCAAGAATACCACAATTCCATTCCGGTGTTATCGGTCAGCATGTTCAAGCATCTAGGTAACGTCATGGCCGAAACTGGTTGATAGGACCCGGCATATACTCCTGTCTAGGTAATCGAGCCTCTCTGATGAGTATTGTAATTTAGTTATTAGCTTCATATTGCCGTGTCGTGTGCATTTCGGTCATTCTCCGCACTATCCTACGTCATCTTCTGCAATCCAATAAGAATGAGCTGATAGGTTGGCTCGCCAGTACAAGACACAATTGTCAAAACAAGATCCACTGGTATTACCACTAGTCAATGTTATGCGGGGTAAGATTTGTTGACGTTGATTCCTTTATCTATCGTATGGTCTGTAAGAAGCCAGTCTTTCTCGTCCTGTGAACTCGCTCTTCCGATTGACCCGTTCTGTTGGCTTCGTGTATAAAATCCAGCCATCTGCGAGAGGGGTTCGGATTTCTGGCTTCTCTTCGCACCCAGTCCTTCATTCAAAAATCAAGTATCAACTTCTGTTTAGGACTTCCTGTTATCGGGGAGGTATCTATATTATGGCAAACAAATCTGAGCCCCATAACCACGAAACTTCGGCATTCAAAGACCCTTTCTCCGACCCTGCGAATTTGAAATATGAGACTGATCTCGAGCAATCGGAATCAATTGCAGCAAATGGTTTATTGGAAGCCCTAGGATATGAACCTGAACTCACTAGAAATCGATCAACTCTTCAAGTGGCATTCATGTCCTTCGTTCTCGCGTCTATTCCTTACGGATTAGCAACAACGTTCATCTACCCACTTGTGGGGGGAGGCTCTGTCAATATCATTTGGGGCTGGTTGATTGTTTCCATGGTTATCCTTTGCGTGGCATCCTCGCTTGGAGAAATCACCTCGGTCTACCCAACTGCGGGTGGTGTATATTATCAAACATTTATGCTCTCACCTCCCCATTATCGACGGATTGTCGCGTGGATATGCGGCTGGTCATATGTGGTTGGTAACGTTATGATAACGCTCGCTGTTAATTTTGGCTCCGCGCAATTTCTCATTGCTTGCATCAACGTCTTCGAAGTTTCGCCTGGGGTAGGGGTTTTTGAAGCGACAACGTATCAGACATTCCTGATTTTCTTTGCTATTACACTTCTGTGTAATGCAGTCTCATCATTGGGAAATAAATGGTTACCTTATATTGACGTAAGTATAGTCAGTTGAGTAGCATCTTATCCCTCACTAAATAATTCATCAGACATTCGCAATTTTCTGGACTTTTGCTGGAATCTTAGCCATTGTGATTTGCACATTAGTAATTGCCAAAAATGGCCGGCATAGTGGTGAATTTGTGTTCACAAACTTTGATCCTCAATCAGGCTGGCCTGTGGGCTGGTCTTTCTGTGTCGGTCTGCTACAGGCAGCATATACAACCTCTTCCACCGGGATGGTGATTTCGTCAGTGACCTTTTCTTCACTTCCTCTCTTTATTAAAGACCGATTACAAACTGACCTGTTATAGTATGTGCGAGGAAGTACAACAACCATCCAAGCAAGTCCCAAGAGCAATGATTGGAACAGTCATTCTTAATACGATTGCCGGGTTTCTTTTCCTCATTCCATTAGTGTTTGTGTTACCAAATACTGAAGAGCTTATAGCCCTCCAATCAGGACAACCTGTACCCAGCATCATCAAATCTGCCATCGGTAATTCAATTGGCTCATTCCTTTTGCTCTTGCCTCTCGCTGTACTCGCCATAATCTGCGGAGTGGGATGTACGACCACCGTCTCACGATCTATCTGGGCATTTGCGCGTGATGATGGTATTCCCTACTCCAGTAAGTGGAGAACGGTGAATCAAAAATTGAATGTCCCTTTGAATGCTATGATACTGGGTATGGCAGTTGAGATCGCCCTTGGATTGATATATTTTGGGTCAAGTGCTGCTTTCAATGCTTTCTCTGGAGTCGGTGTTATCACTCTCACGGTTAGCTATGCTTGTCCGATCGCAGTCTCTTTCATCGGTGGTCGACGCCAAATCAAGAATGGACAATTTGACCTTGGACGACTCGGGGTATTCTGCAACATTGTGGCATTAGGTATGACTCAATCATCCCTTCCATGAGCTTGTACTAACCTGTTTTGTGATAACAATTAGCTTGGAGCGTTCTCGCTGTGCCCTTGTTTTGCATGCCCTCGTCTATTGCTGTCACGGCCGAGACTGTCAACTATGCCCCCGTGGTATTTGTTGCGTTTATTTTGATTGCCACGGGTTGGTACTGGCTGTGGGGGTGCAAAAAATATGCCGGACCACCTACTGCCGATGATGCTGTAATTGACCTTCGTCTTTCTGGCATATGATCAATATTAGATATCTAGACACGTTTATTTGCTTTTTAAATCTTTGTAGGCGTTTCCTAAATCAATCAATTGCTGTACTTGCTCTTTATCCAAGACTTTTTGGGGTTGTGCGTGTGAAGTCTGCCCATCAACGTCCGGCCTCTTTATGGGAGACCATTGTCAAATTGAGCTTTGGTTATTCCCTCTTGATCGGAGATGTCCGCATGCCTAAGCTGTGGCGGGTTTGAACATGAAGAGTTTCAATTGGCTGGAAAAATTATCAGCCGAATTGAGAGACAGCAATTCCACATGGCGTTTCAGTGATGACGATAGTGCTAGATCTATTCTGCAAAATATTTCTGATGAGTATTATCTGGGGACTTTGTTGATACAATGCACGGTCGAAGAGGACTCAATCCGTCCCTTTAACTTTGAATACCATATTGGACTTCTCTGGATGTAATATACTCACATTCATCGACCAGGTAAAGGCATTGCAAACTCATGCTAAAGATCCCAGTTCTTACTTTCAGGGCTCGAGCTAGGTATTGTGATGATGCGCATATGTGGATGAGTTATGACCAGTTGATCTCTACTACAATAAGCATCCTAAGAAACTTGAGATGAATCTGCCTTTTCACATGTCCTTATCTCTCATCAGTCATGGCTGGCTACTCTTTGAGATGCTAATGTCCGTTGCATTCTACACTTCCCCGGACGCAACTTTTCAGTTTCGTCGACGCAATTACTACTTCAAGAATTGAATGATCTGGTCGAACCCCTAGAGTTCTCTAATCCAATGGCCACCACATTCCGTACCGGTGAATTCATGCCATCCGGTCGAGATTTTGAGATTCTCCAAAATCCCCGGGCGGCCTGGCGACCCAATCGGACCGACACCTGCGGGTTGTCTGGGCCATGACTTAAGAAGGCCGGAGTCAATAGAAACGAGATATCGGTAGTCTGTTCTATTTGGGGAGTTGTGGAGTCGGCAATGGCTTCGATGAACAATCTGGGCATTTGGCATTGGTTATCAAGCCCGCTCTCGCCCTTGAAGCTGCTGTTGGAATATTGTAGCATCAACTGTGTCGCCTGTTGACGTCGGGTCAGATTCTCAGCCTTCTACACGAAATGAAGCCAGCCACAAGACCCTAGTACCTCGGCAAGGGGTCCTTGAACGCGGCCAGCGGCGCAAAAGAAGGTGCAGAGAGTCGTCACCATGCCTTGGCTGATATCACCCAGAAAGACACGCCGCGGATCGCCGTCAACTCTCTCAATCTCATCCATCAAGATTTCAGTGATGTACTTTCCTGATTCCCTTAATCCTTCTACTTGAAGGTCTCGTCGCTCTTCGATGTTGTTGATGGACCAAACATCAAACCAGGAGTGCTCTTTTTCTTAGAATCTGGAACCGTAACGTATCTTAGATGAGGGAAAGATCCAGCGCCAATGAGACAGACTGTCGAGTAAACTCTTCATGCTTGAAGCTAGCGAGGGAAACAGATCTTTGCAAAATTCGGACCCACTACTTCCAAGGCCATGTAGCAGAATCGCCGTGTGTATGCTGCCCTTGCGGGAGGTGAACGTGGGATTGGGGGGGGGGGGGGGGGGGGGGGGGGGGAACGCCATGGCTCCTGGCTATAAGGGAAAGGCCCAAGGAAATCACAAAATTGCATCCACTATTCGAGGGCAACTGCTTACTTTCTGCAGGGTGGTCGAAAGTTGAGTCTCAAACTTGCACGACGGCGGGGTCCAAGCCGCATCGAAGGGATGACCCGCCTTTCAGGGAAACGATTTGATTTGTGCAGTATCATACAATCATCTCAGAAAGAATTTCGCTTTTGCGGCAAGGAGACAATCAAAAGCAGCAGTTCAAGATGTATCAAGATACAATCACCGCTTGATCGACGCTCGATATCCCAATTCTAGAGTATACAAACAAAGGACTAAACAGGGCCATAGCATGACACGTCAAATGCAACGTGATCAATTCTGCGATATTCTAAATTTTTGTCCGTAATTGTCGACCAAGGTAAAGCAAGCATCACATTTTTTACTTGTTAGGAAACAAAGTATTCTATACATCATCCAAAGAACTACCATCGAAAAGTAGTATGGGAAGACAGGAGCTTAAAGCGTAAAACGAGGTTGGCCAGCATACAATTTTGTTGATATTTTATTTTCTTCAAACTTCGCTATGTGGGTTCTTTACTTCCTTCAGTATCGCTTTCGAGAAAGTCCAATCCTTGAAAACAGACCAATCTATCGTCAGGAAGTATCGTCGTGGTCAAACTGGCCACCAGCGGCTCCAAGTGATTAGTCATGTGACGTCAACCGCGTTTGTTTACTTTTGGATCTCGCTTCTCACCACGATTCCATCAGCCTCTCGACTCCTTCTTCCCCACCCCTCTGCTCGCAACAGACTTTGAACTGCCTTTCAACCTTTCAGTCTTCCAAATCACAGAATCTAATCATCTCCAGCAATGGCGGTTCGCCGCTCCGCCCGCTTGCGTAGTGCCAGCGCCCAACCATCTCCCGCTCCGGAGGTCAGTGTGCCCTAGCAACACCAATTCCCTCTCGTGAGAAGGGGCTCAACATGCCATGCAAGTTCTTTATTTATTGACTAATATTCTATGGGCTTTTTTAGGCACAGGAGATCACTCCTCGGCGAGAGAGAAATTCAAGACTGACATCCGTCGAGGAACGCGACGAAACACCTGGTCATGATCGCCCTGCCATTCGCACCCCCATCACCCAGAAATACCTTCAGAAAACCCCGACCACATCCGCACACGTAAAGGTCATCGAGGCGAGAACCCCAACTTCCAACTCGGCTGCGCGTCCTCCTCGGGAGGAAATGCACCCCAGCAAAGCACAGCAGAGCACTACCAAACAGGCCGACACTGGCCTGATCCTCGGTTTCAACCCAATTCGAAAAGATGCGGAGGGCAACATTATGAAGAATGACCTGGTTGACAACACTCCCTCCAAGTCGAAGGCCTCTCCGGCCCCCTCTCAATTCGGTACACCTGGCTACGAATTCAAGTTCGGCCAGGATTCTCAGCTCAGTGACGAGGCCAAACAACTCATGAACAGCGTCCGCGAAGATGTTGCACGAATCAAAGCGGAGATGAAACACAGTCAATCAAAGCAGGATGCGCAAGACCTCGAGGCCGAATATATGCATGGCGACCGGAAGATTGCTAAGCCAAAGGGTAAAGCTAGCCGGTTCAGTGACATCCACATGGCTGAGTTCAAGAAAATGGATTCCATTGCTGGGCATGCTTCGTCTTTCCGTGCTACTCCAGGCCGCTTCCATCCTGTGACGAAGTCTCTGAAGCGTACCAAGTCCAAGGCCCAGCTCGACGAAGTCGTCGAACCTCACAATCAGTCCCCTTCACGATCTCCAGCGAAGTTGTCTACTGTGTCCTTACCTGCCGCGACCACTCCCACGGCCAAACGTGTCAAGCCCAACCCAACAGAGAAAATAGCAACCGCTCTGCCCCAGTCTGAAAAGAAGAATGGTACTGTTCACAAGCCTGCTGGTCCACGGTCTCGTCCGAGCATTCGTAGCTCCCTCATGACTCCGACCCGGGCATCCATGGCACGCTTTGGTTCCACGAGTCTCAAGGCCCCAAAGACCTCGTTGATCCCTTCTCTTGCACGTTCACCCTCTACCAAGGGATTGGCTTCCCCTCGTACACCACGAACTGAGTTCAATCCACGCCTCAAGAGCAATCTGCCAACCTTAGGAAATCTGAAATCAATTTTGCGCAGGCGTCAACCGTTGTTCTCCCGTGACCCGTCGAGGATCGCAGCTGGCACACATATAACTGCTCCTGACTTTGATCCTGACTCTCTCTTGGACAACCGGGCTGAAATGACCGACTCGGGGCCCACGCCCTCGCCAAAGAAGCATGTTGAGTTCACACCAAGTGTCAAATCTCGCTTTGAGCTGGCTCAAGGCTCGCCTACCCGGTCAAAGATTCCCACTACCCCGTCTCGATCATCCAATCTGTCCCAGATCACTTACCCCACCCTTCCTACACTCACTCCGGAGCACAGTGCGGATGTTTCTAGCGCGATCGAATCCCACCATGCTAAATCACCCAGTATTCGCCACGTTCGTCAGTCAGAGGCTGATGAGCAAGAAGCTGTGTATCCCGAGCTTTCCATCGTAACCCATGGCATTGCCCATGGAATTGGCAATAAGAAGAGACATCGGGATGAGGTGGATGATGATGACCTTCCACAAGATGAAGACACAGAGAACGTCCCGCCAAAGGATACCCAGTCCGAGGAACGTGGTGCGAAAAGACAAAAGGCAAATCCGCCAACACCCAGCCCCATCAAATCCCGTTCCATCAAGACCCCTGTTCGTCCCAGCTCGATTCGTGTGAGTACTCCCACCAGCACAACCGCGTCTACCAAGCAAAAGTCTCGCGGTGTATTGAGTCTGAGTCGCTTGAACATGCTCGCCAAACCCAAGGGACGCGTTTGATCAAGGTCTGACTGGCCTGACTTGGATTGACATGCGCCTGGTGCGTGAGTCTGTGCATCGAGATATTGAAATGGAGCTTTCTGGTCTGTGATTCAGAATGGCCTTTTCAACACTTGGCTTTCGATTCCAATCTTGTCTTTTTTTTATCCTCAATGTTATCCTATCGCTGTTGTTTCGACACTTGCGGCGTGGATTGGCTCGATTTCTTTCTTGCTGTGTATCTACTTTCTTCTTGCGGGTTGTATGGTCTGGCCAGCAGCCTTTTTCGGCTTCGGGATATTCTTCTGCGTTGTCCTGTCTTCTAGTTATTTTGTTTCGGCGCCTGAGGTGCAACTATGGATTTTTTGAAATGGGCGATACAGATTTGGGTGCGATCATGGAGTTTTCTTGTGGCTTCCTTTCATTCGACCAGGCTCTTTGTTCATTGGAAATGTTGCCAGTCCAGTCAATATTCTTCGGACGGTTGCTCAAGCCTTCTGTCACTATGAATCATTGATGTTTCCAGCGGACTTCCATGGATCGTGATTGTTTTCCAGAAAGCTAGTTGGTGGTGATTGCTTTTTTGCAGACCTTGTTTATTTTACCTACGCACGCTTATGACATAATGATTTGATATTTACTCGTGTTTCTATCCTTACGGATTCATCACATCAACTCATTTGACAGAAATTGCGTCCTCTTGACCTGGAATATTTGGCCAATCATAACTAGAAATGGCGGTCGATGTCAAGGCGGTTTTGAGGCTCTCCCCAATTAAGCGAGACCAGTGTACCGGAATGGGCTGAGTAGAAAAGGAAAGCATGATAGGAATTGCTTGATCTATTTACACAAGATATCATTCATCGTGGGGAAAATCGAAGTAAAAATACACGAATGGGTTGAAAAGAGAAGAAACAGCAAAAGGCCAAAATACCACCCTAAATGAGATCCGAGTAAAGAAACAATTATTCGCTGATGCAAAGAAAATCATTCCTTGAAAAGGGGAAATTAGGAATATAGGATATAAGGCGTGACAATCGTGGTAAAAAAAGGTTGGTATTTAGGTAGACCAGTTCGTGAACCATGCGAGTGAAGGAGTCGAGGCGAAGAGGAGGGAGTTTCAAGCAAACCGCGATTATCCTTTCATCGTGGCCAAGAAAGAATCTAGGTTGTATTCTTCTTGGTACTGGCGGTCGTCCCAGAGTTCGCCTAAATCGTCTAGCCAACCCTTCTTGCCCTTCTCCTTGACCTCGCCGTCGATGTCGACCATATCGACTTCATTGCCTGTTTGATCGCTCGGTTTCTCAGCTGTGTCTGCTGTTTCGCCTAGATTGAAGAGGTCTAGGAGTTGGTCTGTGTCCATGGTGCCAAGACCAGCGTTCTGTTGATTGACCACGGTGGAAGCGACGTCGATCTTGAATCGTTGCAGGCTAAGACGGTTGGGTTAGATATTATCTCCAAGTATTTCCAAGTAAAGAATGACTTACTTCAAGATCTTCTCCTCTAGAGTACCTCTCGTGATCAGGCGGTATACATTAACGACCTTCTTCTGGCCAATACGGTGAGCACGGTCCATGGCCTGGATATCCTTCTGCGGATTCCAGTCATGCTCAACAAAAATAACAGTGTCTGCACCTGTCAAGTTGAGGCCCAATCCACCGACACTGGTAGTCAGGAGTAGGACATCATAGCTGGGATCGGTATTAAAGCGGTTAACAATGTCCTGACGCTTGGTGGCCTCAACACCGCCGTCTAGGCGAAGGTATTGAACAGACGGGAGAAGCTTTTTAAGAACATCATTCTGCACGATGTCCAACATCTCCTTCATTTGACAGAAGACCAAGGCACGATGCGGGCTAACATAGCTTGCACCAGTGTCCAGCTCGCCCTCGGATGTATGGTCAATGCCAATACCGCAATCGACGAGCAAGTCGCGAAGTGCACTAAGCTTAGGCGCATGAGAGACGTCTCTGATATTGGAGCGCTTATTGGTTAGGTAGGTCTGAACTTCATTGTACTGCTTGTGGCCCTCTTTGACCACCAATGCTGGCGAGTTGCACAGGCGGCGCATATACTGCAGCGCCTGGAAAATGTGCTCTTTATCGGAGCGATCTGTGCTGCCGACCTTTTCTTGCAGTTCTTTCTGCTCTTTCTTGCTAAAGTCCTCGAAAAGTTTCTTCTGGAGATCACTTGGGTCGCAGTAGTAGTTCTGGATGATCTTAGGGGGCAAATCATTCAAAACCTCCTCCTTGAGACGACGTAACAGGAATGGCAAGACTTGCTTGTGCAAGGCTTCGATTGCCAGGGCACCGGCTTCTTGTTCTTTCGATGATGACTTGCTGAAGCGGCTAGCGGCAATGGGCTTGGCAAACCGGTCTAAAAAGACCTTTTCGGTACCCAGGAAACCGGGCATCAAGAAATCGAAGAGGGACCACAGCTCGAGCACATTGTTCTGGATCGGAGTGCCGGAAAGAATCAAACGATGGTTGCTCATCAATCGCTTCACAGAGATGGTTATCTTGGCTTTCGGGTTCTTGATAAGATGGCCTTCATCAAGCACGCAGTAGTTCCAGTTGATGGGTCTGAGTACGTCGTTGTCGTTACGGCAGACATCATACGATGTAACAACCACATCAACTTCAGAAAGCATGGGCTGGAGTCGAGCACGCTCTGCTGGTGGGCCGACGTACGCAATGCAGTTGAGGAACGGTGCGTATTGCTTGACCTCCTGTTGCCAATGGCCAGATAAAGAGGGTGGACAGATAATCAAGGATGGCAACTTGCGAGCATCTGGAGCTTGGCTCTTTGCAAACTCTTCGGCTCGCATGTGATGGTCGCTGGCCACTATGCAAATGGTTTGAAGAGTTTTACCGAGACCCATGTCATCGCAAAGAATACCATGAAGATTATAGCGATTAAGGAAAGCAAGCCAGTTGACACCATCCTGTTGATATGGTCGAAGCTCAGCCTTGATAGCGACGGGGATCTGAAAGGTCTCCACCTTGCGCACGTCCAGCATTTGAGACATGAATTTCCTTTCCCGCTCACGGCCCTTGAGCAATTCCTCGGAGAACCCGGGAGGATCAGGAATGCCAGCCTCCAAGGGTACCAGCTTAACGAGAGTTGCGAAGGAAGTAGTAGCCAGCAGCCGAACATCATTGTCTGAGTCGCTCATTCGGCCAAGCACAGGGACAACGAGGAAAATGACATAAGGAAGAATTCCATCCTCCATTACATGAATAAGATGATAAATACACTCGATGGCACCTTGGCGATGGTGGACATCAAGCGCATTGTTGATAGTCGGTAGCACCTTTTCCACCAACATTGTCATTCCTTGGACGGTGATCACGCTGCAAATTGTGGCGAAACATTTAGCCGCAGCATAGCGAATAACCGAAAGACGGCATTGCAAAGCCTTTGAAATTAAAGGCATAAGGCCAATAACCCAGGAATGAAGACCAGGATGGAATTTGGGAAGAAGGGCACGAAGTGTGGACAAGCCATCAACTACTTCCTGACCGAGGTCATTCTCAGGGTCGGTAATTGTTTCAGGGAGATCACCCTGCAGGGCATCTTTGAGAGGTCGCTCGACCAACGATGCCAGGTTGGGAACCATCTCCAGTAGTTGGGCACCAAAATTGACGGTCAATTGCTCCAAAGCATCCTTTGCGCCACGTCGCATAATGCGGGCTTCCTTGGCCTCCCGTTCAAACTTCGCTGCATCTGGATGGTCTCTCCGATCCTCTTCTTTGCGAAGCGACAGAATAGACTTCTCCAATTGAGCGTTGTGCTGGAATTCGGGTGTCTCGGATGTATCCACACAGCAATATTTGACTAGGTTTCCGATGATCTTATCCACGGGACCCCGTTTAGTAGCGGCTGTGTAATGCTCAATAAGACTTGCAACTGCCGTTGCAGAGCGTTGTTGGAGTTCAACATTCTCTTCTTTCTTGACACTATCCATCATTCCCTTGATAATATGGCCAGGTTTCTTGGGAATGTCACGCAAGGCGACTAGGGCGCCAGATGCTGCAGCCAAGACGCGCATGTCTCGCTGCTCCCGAATGGACCGGGCCTCATCAACTGCAGACTGTGCAGTGGCACGAGTATCTGTTAGTACTTGCGTAGCAGTAATCCGCTGAGCGGGGGTCAGATTCTTCTTCAGGCGGTCAAATTCAGAGCCCACGATTTTCTCCGCATCAGCCAAAGAGAAAGCATTGGGTCCAGCTTCGGTATCTCCTTGGACGACAACCGCCAAAGTTGGAAGCCTGGAAGGTGGAACATGGGCATGATCTCGGAAAGTATTGAGCAGCGAATGACATTGTGCGCGGGCGACATGAAGATAGCAGGCGATATCAGAATACCAGGAGGGTCGCTCGCCTTCAATGATTGGACGAAGGTGTTCGCACAGGTATGAAGTGTACTTGCTGTCTGGGCCAGATATACGCGCATACTCTTCCATCACCATGGACGACGAAAGCTGTGAGGTCGAACTGGCAATAGTGAGGCCATCGATGATAGTCGGCCAGAAGCTAGGAAGATCATACTTATCCCAGAAAGAAAGCAGCTTACCCAGTGCTTTGGCGGCGTAGATTTTGGATCTCAGCATCGTATCTGCGCCCACAAGATCGATATCACCAGACAGCATATGCCCATCCACATTGTGCGCCGAAGACGAAGGGGTTTCTTTTTTTCCGATTTGCGTCTGCGCACAGACTTGGGCCCATCGGTGCCACCTGGGGTAGTCGATGTGGGTGATGACCGGGCAGGGGCAGGTGCAGCAATAGAGAAAGGCACACCCGATGGTTTGATAAAGAGAGACGCATTCATAGGTATAGGGTAGCGAGGAACACCGAAGGGGCCGAGCGTGAGGGTGACAAGAGGGGAAATAGATTCGAAAAGCTCCGAATTTTGTGCAAACAATCCACGATGCTCAGCTGCCTTCAGCAGTTCGGACCAAACCTGTAGAGATAACTTGAGGACATCCTCGTTGCGCTCTACAAGAAGGTTTTGGAAAATCAAGCGCAACGCCTTGCCATCCACCCAATCAGTGCTACCTTCCCCTTCCAGTTGGAGGAAAGTTATCAGTGCACGGAGCACGGCGGAACGCACACTGGGGATTGTATGACGGAGGAATGGGTACAGACGGGGAACGAGCTTGCCAAACGAGGCCTCTACGTCATCGGCTGCGTTTGCCTTCATTGCGTCCAATACTTGCGTAAAGGTACACAACTTAGCAAGGAGATCCATCACATTGCCTGTGCTGGCGCTGAGGTCGTCCTGGAGATTAGAAAGGCAATCCCAAACAATGTTCATCAAGGGACCAAGAGAACCAGTTCGAGAGGTAACGAATTCCTCGGCAATCGGGACGAGAGTCGCAGCACTAACAGCCCGTACATCGTCATCATAGTCTGCTAAGCCTTTCATGACGGCTTCTAGAACTCCGTCGATCATAGTCGAGTCCTTGATGAGCAAATCTTTGCGAACTGCCACCAGATACCGAAGGCCGATCATACCACCATGGCAGACTTCCCATATCGGGCGATCCAATCCTAGGTCAGTCTGCATGATAATAAGGTGCAGACAGCGGTAGACTTGGCGCACAGACTTAGGCGGCAGGTGTGATAGAAGAGCACCAAGAGTCTGGCCCACAGTTTCTCGGATAGGGGCAACAACAGTGTCTGAAATATAATCGCCGAACCGATCTAGCATCAGGACGCAAAGTAAACGGCAGGCAAGATCGTCCAGCCATCGGCGATTAAGATTGTCATTCTCTTCTCGGGTCTTGCCCTCGATTCGACCAGCTGCAGCGCCCTGGACCCTGATCACTTCACGGAGAGCCATAGCTGCTCCATGGCGAACCTCCCAGTTGGCGTCGAAGATATCAACCGTCAGGAATTCGCACATGCACTCCAGAGGCCATCCAGCGCCCTGGTCCACGAGGTCAGGCTGGATTATAGGCTTTTCAGGTGCGATAGGACCCTTGAATTCGGAGACAATCTTGGAATCATCATCCTCGGCAGAGCGATCAAGCGAGAAATAATCAGGTTTAGTCTCGCCGTTCTGTTCATCGCCATTCTCAGCTTTGACAGGGTGGGGTGTTGCCGTAGGAGTGGTAACGTTTTCTGAAGTCCGTCGAGAGGACAGGTCTACCACGCGAACTTTGTTGGCGCCCATCTTGGCGCTTTGCTTGTTCTTGCGCTTGAGTTGGTTCAACTGCCGCTTGCTGAGACCAGCTTCTTCCAGCTTTGAGTTTTCATTGGGCGAGGATGGTCGCCGAGCTGCGGCGTCCTGCAGGCTGTTTTCCCGAGAAATAGAGGTGGCTACCGATTCTTTCTTTGGAGCCGGCGTGCTCAAGGTGGGGGGGATTATATCACTTAAATCGATCGTATCATCTTCGATATACTCGCCTATTAGGCCCAGGCGACCTGTCACTGTCTTTTTCTGATGTTGAAGACGTGCAGCCGGCTCCATGGCTGCCAGCGAACGATCATTATGGCTGTTTGTGGTGCCCAGTAGCCGCGTGCCAAACTTCAGAATGGAAGCGATGTCTAGCGTAGGCAGCTGAAGGAAAGCATCAGGAGCCACGGGAGCCTCTTCCGATTTGATTTCAGATTTGATCTCGACATCATCATCATCCTCTGATGCGGATTTGATCTGTAGGCCATCTTCTGCATTTGGGTCATATATATCCGCATTTGCGACAATCAAGCCAATTGCTCGGGCAGATGCTGTTCGGGTTTCCCAGGACTTTGACCGCAGGTACGGCAAGATCCGACCCAGCAGATTGAACAGCTCATCAGGATGCTGCTTTTGTACATCTGCCAGCTGTTGGGCTGCAGTGTTGCGGATCAACTGGGTGCTACCGTTGTCCAGTAACCTGTTCAAGTCATTGGTTAGTCATGGGGGTCTGACTTGGGTTAATCTGATAGTCCAACAGGCACGATATCGCTGCCCGTGAGAGTCAGGTGATCAGGGTATATGTCACTCACGTGACCAGTCGGTCCAGTCTGTCATTTGGGTCAGTGTCATGTGACATACGCGTCGTGATTGGGCGAAAGCAACTTACCGGGAAGTCATGGCGGGCCGTCACTCTTGATGCCGAGTGAGCAGCACCGCCGGGATTAGATAAAGCACACAAAGAGAGGAAAGTCGAAGGACGCGACGTGCGGCGCGTCGTCAAAGACAGCCAAATGAGGTGCGCCAATAGAAAGCAGAAGAACGCCCAACACCAGAGCACCCGGGCTGACTCAGCAGGGAGGATTAGATTCAGTACACAAGAGGAGATTCGAGGTCACGCAGCCGGGTTTATATCATTGGGGGGCTTCTGCCCGGCGCGCCGGTCCATGTTTGGGTGTGCGGTGCTAGTCCTTATTAGGCTTAGTGGTGGTTGGGCCTCCACTTCAGGTTTTTCGGGTCACGTGAATTGCGCGTCTAAGCATCGGGTTTAGGTTTTCGAGCTGCACCGCGCAGCTGCCCCTGGCCCCCCGACGACTCCGGCATTATCCTTCTCCCAGCCCCCAAATCCATCTGGCCTGATCTCATGTCTAATGCCGTCTCATGCCTGACCGTGCGGGTTCGATCAGATAGTAAGAGCTGGTTGCAACCCTTACAATCCCGTAGCTTTAGATCTTCCCGCCGTCGGAAATGCCAAGACATGCCAGATGGCCTCATCAGACTCTGAGATTCCCACGATGACCGTAAGGGATCCTTCGAGTATGTAGTTCCAAATCACCATGACAGACCATAGCATGGAGAGTCAGAGAACTGTTAGTGACCTCAAATTACTTCATGGGAAGGGTGATCACAAAATTTGCAATCTCTACCAATGGTGACGTCCACATTGCAAATCCGTTGGAACTATATATCCACCCGTGATGTATATATTTTCACCCTGGCCTAGCTCTGGGCCGAGAGCCTAGGGCCCTCCCTGCCTATAAATCTTTTGTCCTAGTACCTTAAATACCCTAAAGGAAATAATCTAAAGATGCAAAACCTAGAAGAAAAATTTACGTGTATGGAATGACTTGCTCCTATGAGGAAACCTCTTAAGACCTGTGAATATTCAGCGTCCAAACTACCTGTCTAACGAGGGTGTTCTTGAAGAGAGTTGAGGTTCATGTCCACCGGAAACAAGTGATTTCATTCCCTGGTTACAATTCCGCATGTTTCCCCCTTCCTTTCGATTAGCATGTTCCTCGACCCTCGGCTATGGTCATGGTCAATCGCTCGAGAAGCCTTCTACAGTGAACCCATCCGTCCAGAGTCATTCATGAAAAACCGAAGTGTCATTTCAAGCACAAGACCAAATGGCCAACAGATTGAACATTTCTATACAGTCACAGGCCCCCGGACAATGATTCCGGCAAGCAGAAACATAATGATCACACGCATCAAAAAGATAAAAGGAAAAGATTCACCACGCTCTGCCTTCGCTCGTATTTTTTATTCTTATGACCGTTGCGCCGCCAGCAGAGCGGTAGCCTCCTCTTCCTTTCCAAGTAGACCAAGGCTTCGAATCTGTTCAGCCTTGGGTGCGTTCTCGCGGGGATGCGCGGCCTCGGCCTTCCGGTAGGCGGCCTGCATCTTCATCGTGCGGAGAGCCTATTGCCATGGTATGACATGTCAGTTATAGGCCCTATATTTCTCCTATATCCAGACCGCTTGGATCATCAAGGGGCAAGGCATACCTCTTTCCGGTGGTGAAGGCACTCGTAGTAATCTTCCAGAGCCGGGGTGCACTTCTTTTTGCCCTCCGCACCATCGCCCGAGTTCACAACGTAGCATCCGAGAACCTCTTGCCAGAAGGGATAACAGCGGGAGGGGCCTGATGGACACAAAAGAGAGTCAGCTGCGTACTTCGTGGGGGAGGGGAGTGGCAGCACAATATGTGACTGGGAGGGTCACCACGTCCCGCGGACCAGCCACACCCTCGAGAAACAAGCTAGTGAGGTACATACCGCCGTTGAGACCGTGTCCGGAAGCCATTGTCGAGAAGAAGCGAGATTTATAGGCAGAATTGGTGGACTGGAAGGCAGCAAGAAAGTGGTGAGGTTGTTGGCGGATGCGACGCTTTCCCTTTCGTTTCCGACATGGTCCGTGCGCCCCGCCGTATGCGACTTGCGGTTGACGTCGCTAGTATGAGGACAACTCACACTTCCATTGTTTCCTTGCGCGGACGCCATGGCTCCGCTGGAAGGCTTGTCGGATGCTCATGCCATTCTACTTGCTACTAGTCTCTGCGCAGGTGGAAGTATTGCCGATCTGCCTGCCTTGCGAGCGAAATACCCCCATTGTTTTCCACTCGAACGCCTCCTACGCATTATCTTGACCTTCCTCCCCGAAAGCACGGAACCGCTCAGCTATGTGCCAGTCCTCCAAGAGCTGATAAAGAAGCCACTTCCTTCGTCACCCGATTATGACATCGACATATCTGCCGTTACAAACTTGACGGAGACAGCGGCAAGGAAACGTGTGCGGAAGCTTCGTCTACGTTCGCTAAAGCGCGACGACGAGGATGAAGAGGTTGCCTCAGCAGAGCCCTTTATTCAGTTCCTCGTTCATCGTGCGCATTTGATCGACTCTGAAACCTCTCTTCAGCCACTTATTCTTGACCTTCTACTTCCGTTCTATGGACACAGCCCCATCATCAGAACATGGTTGATCTCCAGTCTACTACCAGCGCTCCGACTCAACTATGAATATTATCCGAACCGAGAAGAGACATTATCATTAGATACGCTTGAGTTGATGGATGATCAGACCGCGATTAATGTTCTTTTATCGCTTTCCGGTACTGAGAAGGGCAACATGGATTTGGTGAACAACCTGCGTGGGCTGGTTGGCCCATGGCTCTACGGTAGCAATCGATCTAAGCGACGGAGACTCAATGAAACGGCCCAGCAGAATTCTATTTCCTTCATTCAAGGCACTCAGAAGCCACAACCCACCGAATTGGCAGGATGGGAATTTGTGAATGAATGGCTATTGTCCAGGAGTCTTGTCGACCATCCCAGCGTTGTCGGCGCTTTTGCTCATTGGAATGGACCGGAAGACGTTGACATGGGGAGCTATGAGGAACACAAACATAAAATTCCGCCAGAGCAGGCGAAGGAATTGCTGGAACGATATTGCCAATCTGGCTTATCTGTCGTATATGCCCACGCAGATTCGTCAAGAATGGCATTGGAAGGATCAATCCAAATCGCAGCGCGGGTTGCCAAATTGCTTGATCTCGAGGAATGCTCATATCTAAACTCAGTCGACTCGGTGCTTCCATCTGTGGACTACGATACAGAGCTTATTTCCTCCACATCTCGGGCGTCACTACTACAGAACGCTCTCCTGACATCAGGAAATCCCTTGACCAAACCGTCTCCTTCTTCAGTCTCATACTTGACCGCTATACTTTTGTCTTTGCGAATTTTGACTGGGCTTGGCCACTCGATCACATGCAGAGCTGCAGCTAACATCTGCCTTCATAGTGGCGAAGGGGCGCAATTGGCAGAATTGAAATCTGTGGTAGCCTCGACGGTGCAACAATCACGATCAAAACAAGACTGGCATTTAGTGCGACAGCAGCTACTCTGGCTCAGAGATTGGCAAGCGGATCATTCCGACAATGGCTGGGATGAGCCATCCACACATCATGGTCTCTTTTGGAGACTTTCACGCGGTATTATTGAGATAGAGATTCTGAAGGCACTACTTGGCGCCCGTGGTAAGTTTGCAGAATGCCTAAAGTCTGAGACTATGAGAACGCTAATTTGGGTTTCCAATAGAATATCAATTGGCTGTGGATCTATATACCCCGTCTGATTCTCCCTTGAACGAAACTCAAGTAGAATCAGCTGTCATAGAGGCTATCTTTACGGCCTATGACAATGCTAGCAACGGCAACCGAACGCGTGGGGGGATGAAGAGAGCCTACGACATGTATGTCATTGCGATCCCCGTAGAGACCGAGATGACAGCATAGCTAACCGCGTCTGCAGACTACAAGCATTCCAACCCCATTTTATCAAGTCCGTTCAACTCAAGCAGATCAGCGCACTCATTGCCGCAACCCACGCCCTCTCTTTCTACTCACTTACTCTCCAACACGGCGTTCCCTTTGAGCCTGTTAGCATTCGTGTACACCATGACCCGTTGTCTCTGGTCGACAAAGTCCTCGACCAAAATGCTAAAAGCTACACCAAACTCGATGATCTCCTTTCTATCGGCCGCAACCTTGTTCTCGCTGGCCTCCCCGCCCACTCCAACTCCAACGATTTCGATGACCACACCCTTCACAAACAACCCTCCGAAGAGGAAACCCTAGCAACCGCCGAGCGCCGCATCATCTCCCTCGCCATCTCCTCTGCTCTTACCTCCAACGACTTCGGCACCGCTTACTCCTACATCCTCACCCGCCTTACACCCCCTTCTCATCTCTCAACCTCCTCCCCGCTCCTCACAACCCCGACCGCCGCCGACGACATCTCCTGGCGCGCCGTCTACAACGCCGGCCGCTACCGCCCCACTTCGCCTAACCCCAGCGCAACTCTCCAATCCCAAATTAGCCACCTCTCCCAGCGCATGGAGCTCCTCTCCCTCGCTCTCGCCCTCACCCCCTCGCCAGACCCGCTACCCGAAATCCTCGGCGCCTGGCGCCGCTGCGACGAGGAGCTCTCCTCGTTGCGAGCTCGCGAACAGCAGGAAGAAGATGCGTGGGACACGAAGGGTGACAGCCTCACCACCGTGCCGGGCGGCTTCGGACCCAGCGACGCAGAACGGGACGCGCTGGAAACGGCGCAGCAGCGGGCGGCGCGGCGGGCGCGCGCCCGCGCCGCGATGCCGCACGCGCATCCACACGAGGCACCAATGGGCCTATTCGAGGTTGCGCGGGGCGCCGCACTGGCGCTGCATAAGAATGCGTTTCCGTTACGCGGGGCCGCGGAGGAGGCCGGGGCCGGGGCTGGCAGGGGAGAAGAGCCTGGGTCGCCGGAGCAAGGAGGCGAGGGCCGGGTGCGGAAGAGGGATGTCGTTAGCAATATGGTGACTGGGGGACTGGCAAGCGGGATTGGGTGGATGCTTGGGGCGGAGCCGGTGAATCGGTAGTGGTGCATTTTGTGGCTTGTGTGTAATATAGGCTATTACGGTCATTCGTCGAATGCACAGCGTCTTCTTTCCTACAACGTGCTCCTGATATCCTGCGTCACGCGACCTTGATTGTTTCTTCGCTCTTTTCCGTGTAATCTGGTCGAGGGATCCCTAAAAATGTCCCCATTCGACGGGCGGGCAGCTACTTGCCAATATACGCTGATGCAGCGTAGTCGGATGCTATCGGGAGTGTGTTTGCAGGTAACTAGTGAGTTAAAGAGAAGATATGAGGAGTGAAGAAGACGAGAGATATAGAGGTGTTGGGTGGCTAGGGGGCTACCGGACCCGCGTAGGTAACTGATGTGACAATCCACCAAAGTACTTCCTCCAAAAAATGTCAAGATAAGGCTGCATATTACTTTGTTGCAAGTCCCACTAGACCACGTCTGACGCTGTATGTGAGCGATCTCGTTCGTCTACGGACTGGGAGCTAGAAGAAAAAAAAATCAAAGGTATTAGGTTTCTTGATATGTGCTGGATAAAAATCTCCGAATGCATTGCATTGCATACACTCCCACAACCAAGTCCAAGGCAACATTGAAAACCCCCCTCCCAAAACCTAAGATTTGGGCCGGCTATACACGAATAATAATAAAAAGGAAAAAAAAAAAGAAAAATCAGAAATAAGATATAGGAAAGAATAACAGTATATGAAGATGGTATGTCCAAGCTCGTGGTATGATATGAGATAAGAGGGACCGAAGAGGCCGAAGAGAGACGAGGCACAGGGGAAAACGGAAATGGACAGAGGGAATGAGAAGAATGCGAAATGACGTGCAGGATATCAGGCCGTGAAGGATCGTATGGGTTGGTACATAGCCGGATGAGAATGTCGTAGTCGCTGGCAAATGAAGAGAGAAAATGACAGGGTATGATGAGGCAAGGAGCAGAAAGCAGGATGTCGCGAGTCCGCCGAGTGCCGGCCCGGTGGGAAATGCATCGACATCATGACAAGATGTAAGCGCCAAACAAGAGCAGTCAAAGTCAGGCCCAAAACACAAATCACACAAAAGAAGCAAACGGAGTGTCATGACAGGAAGTTGCGGTTGCGGTTGAGTCGTGTTGACAGCCAGGTCAATCCTTGGGGGTCCAGCCACTCATACTCAGGAGAAAAAAAAATATATCGAAAAACTCCAGAAGGTGAAAACAACACGGGAAGTAGAGAGGACGTCGAGAAATGGGCTTGCCACGCGAACAGCGGGCTTTTTACGCCTTTTCCGTTTCTACTCTTCTCCTTTTTCTTTTTAATCTTTCCAGTCCCACACCTGCTTCACGAAGTTCGCCATGTTGACTTTCTTGTTCCTCATGTCCTGCATCCATGGATGGTCCAGCATCCGCCAAGGAGTCGCACGGCGAGGCGGTTCTTTCTCGAGACTAGTTGGGGGTGTTGTGTGAGTGAGGAAGCAGCGCAAAGAGAGGGCGCCTGATGGAGACATACCAGCATTCAATAAAGTACTTGAAATTATCCGACCAGCGAATATTGTTATCCGGCTCGTCTTTCAATTTGGGGATTGGCTGCCGGACAATGTAGGTCAAGAGATCAATCAACCCAGCGCGAGGTTGCATCTCGGTCCCGTCGGCGGGGAAGGGGAATCGGTGTTGCGCAACTTCTAGCAGGGTCACGCCCAAGGACCAAACATCTGAGGTGATGGTGTAGGATTGGCCGGTGATACGTTCGGGAGCCATGTAATAGGAAGTGCCGATGAATGTGTTTGCATCGCCCTTGGTGCCGAATTCGCCACTGACACCGAAGTCACAGAGCTTGACTTGGCCATCGCGGCACAACAGGATGTTGGAAGGCTTGATATCTGAGGGGAAGAGGTTAGCCCATCGGAACTCCCAAAATTGTATATAAAGGATATATGGATAGCTTACCTCGATGGATGATCTTCCGGCTGTGCAGATAGGTCAAGCCATTGAGCACACCCTCTGCCACTTTACCAAGCACCTTTTCTCCTGTTCGACCGCCAAGCTTCTTGACTTCCCTATAGATGCTGTCCAAACTTCCACCCTCACAGAATTCCATAGCGATAGAGATGGTACCGGTGGACTTGTCCATGAAGGCTCCGTAGTAGCGACAGATGTGGTCGGATGCACAATCTTTGTTGAAGTTGAGTTCACGGACAATCTGCTTCTTCACATCGGGATTCGGATCTGTCGTGATAATCTACGAAATGATGGAGCCAGTCAGTTAACTGGCGACTCCCGGGTCATCGAAACACCCTTCGCCACAGGGGGAAAGCGTACCTTTAATGCAAATACAGTTTTACCTTCCTTCAGTTTGCATCGGGTGACGGCGCCACCTGCTCCTTCACCCAAACTTCCCAATTCAACGATCTTCTTTTGTTCACTGGCCGCATGCCAGCCCTCGTCATCCAAATCATCCACATCCAATGGCCGACCTTTCTCCAGACTCAACTTGTCGAGGTCGGGCAATAGGGCGTTGATGCCGTTCTCTCGGTCCGTCTGCGAGGTCGCGTCACTCACGACCGAGCTAATGGCGGATGAGGGATCTGAATTGCCGCCCGAGGATTGACGAAGGCCCATGGCAAATGACAGGGCGGAATATTGCGAGTTGGCCGATGCCGGGCCACTGCCCTTTGCGTCCAGCTGTCCGGTCGAAACACTCAAGTTGGTGGATAGAGGGGGCGGGGCAGGTCGGCCATTCGGCATGAGGGTTGGCGGCTTTGACACATTTTGACTACTGCCCATGGGAGTCGCTAGACGCAGCTGTGGCGGGGCTGGCCGGGAGGCAGGCTGTTGGGGTTGCGATGCATCGAGACTGGTCGGGATCGCAAGGGTGGGAGGGGTGGCGGAGACGCCAGTGCCGTTGACGGGCTTCACGTTGGGCGAAGGAGGGATACCCAAGGTGAGTTTGGGCGTCCGGGGGCTGCTGGTGTTGTTGCGATTGCCAGGCACCGGCGGCCGAAGGAGTGGGACGGGAGATGACATGGCGAGATTGTTTTGCCTGTCTCCGGGCAAGAACAACTCGTTGGGGTCAGCCAGGGTCGCCAGAGTGTCGTGAGATTCGACCACCGAGCAGAGGGCGACCGAGAGGATCTAGTGAGTGGTGGGTGGGAGGGGGAGGGAAAAAGAGATCGGGGCTAGCAAGGTTGGAGGGAGAAAAAGCAACACCTGCCCCGAAACGAATGGAAGGGGGAGGGGAGAGGAAGAGGAGCGGAATGGAGGGACGAGGGTTGAGAGTTGGAGGGGGAAAGAGACGAGGCGAGGACGAGGCGGAGATTCGACGTGGTGAGGAGGAGCGCAGGCGAGCAGGTGACTTTTGAGGCCCCGACGTCGTGGTTCTGTCAACCAGCAGACTTGGGACTCCGGCGACTCTGCGTTGAACGATGAGGGTATATTAATAGACCACGACCACGGCCACGATCACGACAATGACCACGACACAGCCGCCGAGTGGGACAGGGCGATGAGAGTGAAGGCGATCGGGTCCTACGGTGGTGGGGCTGTTTCAGAAGGCGCCTCAGCTGAAACACGGCGATCGGGAGCGTCGCTGGGCGCAAAGTCGATGGAATGGCACGACTCCCTCAACTTCTACAAGCCGGCAGCGTGTGCGGCTATTCAAGATGGAGTGGGTTGCGAGTATTCAAGGTGCTGACGGGATCGGAGAAAAAAAAAATTAGAGAGGATACAAAAATGGAGCCCAAAAAGGCCCCCGAAAGAGACTGCTGGGGGTGAATTCATACCCTGGTTTGGCGATGGTTCCACGCCCCCAGTCGGGGTCTGCTTTGATTCGAGCCTGCTGGGGCTTCCAACCAGCGTTGACAGGATGACAGGATGACACAATGACAGGATCACTCGATCACACAGGAATGTAGATGGGATATAGTCCGAGCAGAATGGGGATAGGCATCCGTCCTGGACGGCCCTCTCACGACTATAGATGTATATCTTATTCCGACTGGAGACTATCGATACAGGAGTATATCATGACTACACCAGGACGATCACCCGCACTAGGAAAGAATCCTTCAGACCCTTCTGGCATTGACTACCCTCCTTCATTTCTCTCTCTCTCTCCCTCTCTCTCTTCCGAGATCAAGACAGTCCTCATCCTTCAACGGTCCCTCCCGTCCCTGTCGTCTCGTTCCCGATTCGTGGTTGCCTGCCCCGAATGGCTTCTGCCGAGACTCCACTGCAACCCGTCACCAACCATCGGCCAGTGGGGACGCCTAACGACATCATGGTCAACGGTGCCAATGTTGGCAACAAATCAATGTCTGCCAATCCATTCTGGAGAGATTGCTGCTTCCTATCGTCAATTCCTCGGGGCTCTCAAGAGCACCGATGCGAATAGTCCTAATAACCAGGACCCAGCCAGTCCAATGCGCCCGGCTCTTTGTGATCCTGAGCCGGTCACCTCCCGTAGTGGATGTGATAAATTTGCCTGGTCGCTTCGGATTTGGAACTATGCATCGATATCACAATCCCCGCTTTGATACTCTCAGGCCTAGTCGACATTCCCTCGGTGGGGGGGACCTACGTCCCATGCATCGTGACGGAGGACCCAAAGTACGAGGATCAAGGACCCCGAATGGCCTCCAGATCACTGGCCAGTGGTCCCAGGGACAAATCAGGACTCTCCTACGTCCAGTGACAGGCCGTGATCCATCGCAACCCATTTTACCCTATTCTAGCCCTATCCGAACTATATCCAAGCATGGTATTCTCATGATCCATCAAACTCTCCTGCCGCGCTGTTCGTTGGACTAGACCGTTCTGCCAGGTGGCTCAGCCAAGACATGGTTTCCCTGGATGCGGCCCTGATTTCATCATCCCCCCTCCGGCGCGTAGCGGCGCAACGTCAGAGGACAGGAACTGCCGATCGCAAGGAAACCTGATGCAGTAGTGTACCGTTCTAGTCCTTTGACATGCGAACCTTTTTAGTTCCAGTCTCGGTCCTGAGGCTGTGAGAGTCTTCCCTCGCAACCTACTTGATCTTTGGTCTTCATACGATGACCAAAGCCCAGTGCCATATACCGAAGCGGGGCCGCCGTTTAGACCGGATGGTCCTGGCCGACCCTAGTCATGGTTTCACATTGAATGAATGGATCTCTGAGATAGCAACTTTAGGCTCGGCAAGCCCTTTTGCAGCGCAATTCTTCATGGTTGTGAAATCTATCGAATTCTAACAATAGAATAAGCTCTCGTTCCTGGTCCCTTCGGCAAGCCGGGCATTCAACCACAGCCACAATATCCGTCGGTTCTAACAATAGAAATTGTCATCACAAGCGCCAGCGACGACAGCGCCATGGCAGCCACAGGATCTGGGCTCGGCAGCCCCTTGCAGAATTTCAATATACAATGATTCTCCAGTGCCATGCATAGATTTGAGGTCCAGATTTGATGTCATCTGTGCCACAATGCTGCCCTGCTTTGGGCTTTGGTCTCCTTCCTATGAACCCAGCATGCATGTAGCTCGAGGATCATCAACATCGGAAATGGGTCTTCATCTGCGTTGTAGCCATGATCACCATGATCACCATAATTATCAGAGTTTTAGCGATTTTCAACATCGATCTACAGTACTTAGTCAAGGTTTCCAGTACGCTGTAGGCAGGGCCAAGCCTGGTCTCGCCAAAAAAACACAAGAGACCCAAGCAATTCTATACTTCTGCAGCGACAGCAGATCAGAAAGGTCCCCCCCCCCCCCCCCCAAAACTCCCTCACTTTTTCTCTTTTGTTCCACTCGCCATCGAGGAAAACCTGAAGTAAAACCTGAATTAGCGTCGTGCTTCTCGATCCTCCAGACCTCTGGATGGGTTTCTAAAAAAAAAAACGGGATCTAGTGACGCTATCAGTGGATTTCATAGCTTTTTCGTCCCACATGCTGGCTCATCAAACTTTGGGTCATGGTCTTGTTCCCGTCCATAGTCGCACCGGTGACGCGTTGAGGTAGATCACCGAGTGCCGGAGCTCTCTAGGCCTTGTCTAGTCTCTGCCAGCCAAGGGCCATTTCACGAGCAGGGCGAAGGCCTTTGTGGGCTGACCGGGAAGGTCAAGAATGAAGACCGACAGGTATGAGTCTCTCTAACCGGCAGATCTGGACCACTGGACGTGAGCGGCAGCGATTATCTGTGGTCAGGCCGATCGGGAGCGTCCTTGGTTTCTTATGTATTCGGCTCGTCGCGTGGTACCTGATCGGCAAGCTGAGCCTCTCCGTTTGTTTGATGGATGCGAAGCGGCCCCAACATCTCAAGGGAAACGATCATCCTTCGCTTCGACGAACTCCTCGTCCCGAGAGCCAGCTTTCGGAGTGTGCCGCCCCCTCCAAGGAACTCGCTCTCTGTCAGCTTGCCCCTGTTTCCTTTGTCGCTCTGTGTCGCTTTGTGTGTCTCAAGGCAAACACCGCATCGTAGATAAGGGTATCGGGAAAGCTTCTGCACGAGGCCAGGTCCACCGCGCTATTATTATCCCATGACCAACTCCCCCTATCTCCCTCTCTTGTTGTTGGAACCGATGAACAACAAGATCCACTCGACGGGTTCGACAGTCTAAACATAGATAAGAAGGGGGAAAACTTGTTGCAACCTAAAAGAACGATCTAATCAGTATGCATCGAGGCCCGCCGAATCTTTAGAAAAAGGAGTCAACAGGCCTAATGAGATACCACCGAAGCCAATAGTTGCAGAAGGTGGAGTCTGGAGCGCCACGAGGCCATTGGGTAGGCTCTGGCTTTCTCCTCTGGAAACTCTTTGAGAGTCCACCTCCAACCTTCCCCTATCGTGGAGCCAGTCGACGAGAAAGATTGAAACTAGAACAAAACGAAAAGATCACAAAAAACACACACGAGACCCAATTGCATGGGCCCTCCTCATTGGCCCACACTTGGGGTGCCACACTTGGGGTGCCTCACCAACGCAATCCGCTTTTCTGTTCATAGTCGCGACGAATCCCCAGGCCTCGAGGATTATCAATCGACCACAGAGGGGTGCATCGATCTGTTGCTACTACAAGTAATTGCAGGCCCGAAGACTCCGTCTTCTCTTGTGGGTAGTAAAAACAAAAAGATGTAAGCTGCATACAGAGGCCCCCAAGCGTAAGAAGCCTTACATACATTTACATATGTGAAATCCGCGTAGATAGGACGCATGCGCAATGCCAGGGACCATTTGCGTAGCACGGCCCAGGCCTCTGATCCGCGCCACCAAAAAGATCTTGCATGAGCCGGCACGATGACGGCGTGGGCGCCCAGGGATCCAAGCCCCCAGCGCACAGGCTTTGTTGCCCCCTCCCATCGCCCCGGTGGCTTGGGGAAAGAGCCGAAGACGGTCAGGTAAGCTCCATCAAGCAATTTGGCAAGGGGTAACCTGCTGACGGCTAACCTTTCAGGGAGGTGGTCACGGTGAAACAGAGGGCTAGCGCCTCCCGCTGCGGGGGCAACTTGTCCGGCCTGATCAACTAAAGGTTGCGCGAGCTCGGGGTAAATCAGTGTTGAAGAGAGGCGCTAAGCCCGTTGTATTTTAGAATGGGATGAGAGAATTTTAGAAATTTCGCAGATGATTTTGCGTGAAGAACAAGGAGCCTGGAGCCAGTAGACTAGGACAACAGTTTCCAGTTCCAGTTCTTGAATGCGAAAGTGGTTGTCCAGACTGAAGAGAGTCCAGTGAGGGTCTGATCCACACCCGATATGAAAAGCGTAAGGTTATATTTTTGTTTCGGAGAGAATCACGATTAAAACAGCGCATACAGAAGCATTACAAGATCGAATGGGCGGAGTATGTAATCCTACCGAGGTAGCATGAAGAGGTGGAGGGAGGGGGGAACACTGTACAGAGTACAGAGTGGTATGCTCAAAAGTGTTTAATTATGGACAGAGTACAGAGTAGTCCAACCAACATTCGTCCGTCAAGTTTGACGCGATTCTATTCATGATTCAATACCGGCGATTCGCCAAGCGAAGAATGAAACACGTGAAGGATGTACTTGGCGGCTACGAAGAAGAGGGTGCCGGTATATGTGCGGATATCTCTGCGATCTGGGCTTGAAGATTGGTAACCCCAAAGTAGAAACTGAAACCAACGTAATAAAAACAATAACCCTGGAACGTGGAGCGAGATGAACAACAAGATGAACGGCCGGAGGAAGGACCTCCGTTATTGGGTGTTTGTTTTGGGCCGATATTTCGGCGCAACCTGCACCGCCATACGGTACCAGTAACTCTGGACTCCGTACCAGGTAGGGTATTAACCCGTTCAACTTCAACCCTTGCGGCACAGACAGAAAGGTCAAGAAGTGCTCACAGAGGACCACGGGTTACTCAGGGGTAAAGTGGAGCATTGGGATCCACGGGGCAATAACTGGAGCGTTATGAGTGGTGGCTGCTGTCAGGAACGGGTAGTGGATCAGCGATGGATTGGTGGAGGACGTGAGAGGGCGGGGGCCAACGCGGGCTGAAACCCACTAACGAACTTGTTCATTTGTGGATGAACAAGATGTAATTTCCAGCCCATTAACGATCAAATTGCCGGGTTGGGTGGCGGTTTGGAGTATACTTAGGTTGCTTCGAAGAACAAGGCTCTGGATAAAGCCCTAAACCCTCATCGAGATGTAAACCAAAAAAGAGCCGTGGACCCTTGAATACTATCTGACTAGCTATAGCTCCCCGTGTTTTATATGATCAAAGGATATATTTAGGATATATTACAACCGATGGTAAGGCGATGGAAGGAGCTGTAAGGCGGATGAGTCGGTGTCTCACCCCGTTCACGGTCCCACCGTTGCCTGCCTTTTGAGCAACAACCGACTTGGAATGGATATGAATGGAGCAAATGAACGGAGCCCATCCACGATCGGCATCGTGCCTGAACACTAACCTTGCTAGCGGCTCCCAAAATTACCACTTGCTTCATCGTCACGGTGAAACGGCTCATCCCACGCGCCTCCCTGCACCAATCAGGACGGGCGGACTACTTTTTGGCCCTCGCACAGCCCGAATGGGCTCTGGACCCCGTGGAGAGTCCACAGGAACCAGACTCGACCCGAATCATCAGGGGAAGGAAGGGGGGAGGGAAAAGGGGAACCAAAGAGGAAGAGGCTGCACGCCTCGGGAGAAGTACTCCATCGGTTTAGGGCTCCTCAGAAGTCACTCGGGGTGACTGGGTGGTATTGAATACCCCCCATGCAGCGGTGAAGCTCGGAGTGGCGTTGGGTTCTCTGTACGTCGTGGTACCTCCTCAGTACCCGCCCAGGCCCTCGATGACGACTCCGCAACCAAACGACGATATTTCCCCTTTTTTTTCGGATTCCACTCGGAAGTTGGTTCGGTGCAGTTGGTGGTTACATGCTGATCTGCTGGAGCTAATCTCCCCGGAACATACAAAGGGCCCCTGGCTCCCCCGTGGAACTTCTTTTCTTTCTTCCCCAAGTACTCACTTCGTTGCATAGCATCAGTCACTCTCTCGACTTCGGTCATCCACTCTTTCACCAACTACTCACTCTCTTTCCAAAGCCTAACCGCTTCTCTCAACCCTTCTAAATCACCTTTACGGTTTTTTTTCCATACACCATCAAAATGCGTTTCGCTGCTGCTACCGTCGCCCTCTTCGCTGGCCTGGCTGCCGCCCTCCCCGGTGCTGACACCACCGTCTACCAGACTGAGGAGGTCACCATCACCTCCTGCGCTCCCACCGTCACCGACTGCCCGGCCTCCCAGACCGGCGTTGGTGCCACCGGCTCCAGCAGCGTCCCCGTCATCCCCACCAACACCCCCGTGGCTTCTGGCCCCGCCGGCGGTGCTTCTGGCTCTCCCAGCGCCCCCGCCGTTGTGCCCAGCGCTCCTGCCACCACTGCTCCCGCTGTCTCGGTCATCCCCGTTGTCTACACCACCTGCAGCCCCGTCGTCCTGACCTCCTACTCCACCGTCCCCGTTGCCACCCCCACTGGCAACTCCCCCGTCGGTGGCACTGGCGTCCCCCACGCCCCCTCCTCCAGCAAGCCCGCTGGCACGTAAGTTGCTCCTGCTATCTCGTTTGATATATAGAACCTTCCGCTAACATGCCACTTTAGTGCTAGCCCCTCCGCCTCCTCCACCCCCGTCTTCAACGGTGCCGGTGCTGTCTCTGGCTCGCTCACCTTCGCCGGTGTTGCTGCCGCCGCCGCCTTCTTCCTGGCTTAAATGACTTCTTTTGCAACAGACTGCTGCCGCTGAGCATGCTCTCGAGCGTCCTGAGTGTGTAGTCGTTTTACCATGGAAATATACGGCAGTTGGAGTGTGATGGAAATACCTTCTTGTGATTTAAACTACAGGGGTTCGGTGACTTTGCCAGACTCAATTGTTACTTGCTTCTGATTGGATACGCTTATCCTTTTTTTCTTCAATTGTGCTTCTTTTTGCTATACATATTTTCTATTCTTGGGCTTCCTGGATAGCTTCGGAGTTGTGTGAAGCGCTTGGTGGCTTGAGCACGACCTTAATGTAAACCATGACAGCTTTCACCATGATACCTCTGGTTTCCTCCAGTGATTCCCGTAAGCCCCATATTTTTTTGACAATATGTCCATATCACTTTGATACCTATACTTTTCCTTTAATAAGCAAATATCATCGTCTCTGCGCTTTCTCAATCTGCACTCCGTGGGTGCTTGGCTGGTTTATAGCTCATTGCTTCCTCTGCACCTCGTCAGTGGGCTGCTCAGGTAGCTAGCCTTAATTCGTAGATCTTCATGCAAACTTCCCTACCAATTGACCTGTCTATCGGCTTCCGTGAGCGAACCCAATCCATCGTTTTTCCCTTGGTTTCTTGATATTTTTCAAGACTTGAACGTCCACTGTAAAAGTTTCAAAGTTCCCTACAACCGCTTTTGATCATCGCTGCATTTCCTGTTGATGTGCCGCCTCTGCTCCTTCGCTGCTGTCTCTATGTGCCCTCTACATGCTACTTCGCTATCCAAGTCAATCTTATCGATCTTGAGCAATCTAGCTCTTTGGTCATATTCTCTTTGATTCAGCGATGTAGACTTTCACTCTATACAACGATTGTATATAATGCCGAGACTTGCTTAGGCCACCGGCCTTCTCGCATTCGGCCATCGCCTGGTATATGTTACACAAAAGTTTTGCTGATCAGCATATTTGGGTTCACTTAGTTGGTATATTCCCTAAGTCCAGTTCCTGCTTCAAATTCTATTTTCTAGTGGGAGGTCTTTCTGGATATGGTGGTTGATTTACGGTATTCCTGATGTCTTCTCCCAGTGCCTGGCAGTGTTGTATATATCGGCAAGCCTCTGCAGGGAATCAAGAGACTGCCGCATCAGATACGCAAAATTCACGTTGTTATCTACGATCTGCTGGAACGTAGTCGACCGCCAGGGAGTGTAAATCCCAATCTCTTCCTCAAACTGATTTACCACGTATGTCGGCTCTTGTTGCTGGTCGACATTCCCCAATGCTGGTGGAAGAAGAGGTGATCAGCACCTAAGGTACGAGGAGTTTCAATGTAAGCAACAGCAAATCATAATCTTGCCCTTTATTTCGTTTATTTTTTCCTTCGTGTTAAGCGATCTGCCACCACCGCCTCCGCCCTGAATTTCAATTAAGAGGAAAGCTTACTGCAGCGAGATCGCCCCATTGGCCCCCCCAAAAATAGGCGCTCCACTTCTACCTCGTGATCTCAGCGCTGGCCGCGCTTCATTGTGAGCTCAACCTCGTACATGCCCATCTTACGCCAAATGCTATGGAGATCGCTATGCGGTGTATAGCAGCACGAGGGCATTGACCCCATCCGTCACCACTTTGACATGCGCCCAATTCTTGGCTTTGGGGGTGCCACCGAGTATGGCCGCGATACCCGAGGCCCGTCTCGTGTGGGGGAGCGCCGGAACCATGGCCCCTCAGCGATGAAAGTTTCTTGACCTGTTGAGGAAGGGATTTATTTACAAGGCTAACTAGTCTCACTCAAAGCCCACACTTCTATATTAGGGCTCAAGAGGTCATTGCTCGACCTCAATTTCCACGGTTCCGAACATCCTGGTCGTGGTCCCCGTTCTCCTGCATATCGTTCTATGCAGTCGCGCCATAGTTTTCGGGAATATGAGATCTAGCGTTCTTGCACCCGATCCGACATGCTAGACGGTTTGCACGAAACCCCTACTCAGAAATCTCTTACGTGCAAGGCAACGGCCCGGAAGCGATGAACCGCGTTCTTTTAGCCCTGGCCCACATGCTCTGTCGTGTACGGGCGGCCTGGAATAAGGCCACACGCCAGCATTCTTTTGATGTGATGATATCTAAATCGTACCCTCAATTGCCCCGTTCAGCAACAATTCCCAAGACTGGTCTGGATCCGCGGATGATCAAGTTGGAATCTCCCTTCCAACCCCCACCGCGCGTGTGCTGGGGCATCCGGATGTCCATGCTCTCGTTCCCAGACTTGTTTTCGGCACCGGATACGAGCCCTTAATGGCGATCCACTATTCACGGTCCTATCCAAGGGCACGTCATTCGTGTACAAAGATAGTATATCTTTGGGGGCCCTGCACCCTGTATCCTTATTTGACGCGGGCCGGGCGTTTTGCTAGTCTTAGTCTTGTTCTTGTTTTCTTCCCCCTGCGAGGTGCTGTTCTGCTTCTTCCAAAGATTGCAGCCAACAGCATCTCGCAATTGCTCGTCCATTCCCACATCATCCGACATGGATCTCTCCTCTCTCGAAGGCCCCCCCATTGTCGACACCCGGGCTGGGATCCAATCGAGATCTACCCCGATCCCTCATATCCAAGAAGAGCCCCCGACACCGCAGGGAGGTACACACTTTAACCTCTATTCCAAACCCCTGCCACCTCGACCGGCGTCGGCGGATCCGCTGTTCGCGCGCCCGCTGCATCGCCATAGCATAGAAAGCCACCCATCGAGCTCGAGTTGTGCTCGACAGGAGAATGATGGCAGCCTCCGACGGACCTATACACAGAGTGGACAAAGAGACTCACCCAGCGAGCGCCTGCTCCGCGTTAACACAGTGCATTCCGCGCACCCGGCGAACCTAATTGATCCCGCTCGTTATGCACGATCTCGATCCCCACCACTCCATATACCAACTCAGCCGACAGCGAGCACACTCCCCCGACGAACACGTAGTTGCTGTACACTGGTTTGGCTGGAGGACGAGGAGCTCTGGGCTGTTACAAACCCCACAGACTCCCCGACGTCTCCCCCGGCGAGAAGGCACTGCCCACCCGTTCGAGTCCAGGCACCGTTGGCCCAAAGACCGGCAGAGCTCCCGTCGTCCCGGCATCAAGACGATGCGCAAGTTTCGCTATATGCGAATCATGCCATTCCGATGTCTCCGGTGTCACCGCTTTCACCTCCGCCGTCTTATGACAGCCACCGGTTCAGTCCCACGCACGTAATGCGCCAACGACAGAGGTCGACCTCAGGCTGGGGCGCGGTCGCCCGTCGTGTGCACAATTTGTCGAATCGATGAAGGGGGAGAGAGAGAGAGAGAGAGAGAGAGAGAGAGAGAGAGAGAGCGCCGTTAAGTGATTCCGCCTAATTCGTCTCCCCGTAGGGGGTGTCCCTGTCGAGTTGGATCCCATAGGTCATATGACAATGTGGAGATCGAACAGATCGAACAGGGAAAGAGGAATCGATAATTGAACGGTGGATCTATATCCAATGGGGAGGGTATGGGAATTATATGAAGTATATACTCTCATACTGTATCCACATGACCCCCCCCATGTGATGCATATATGATGAGGCTGGGGGAATATTAATCATTACCAGACTGGAGCCCCCGATGGGCCCCCGCCTCATTACAACATTGACAGCTTGCAGCCTCCCTCTTTTCACGGCTTGACCGGTTAACCTCGGAGATATGACGACTTCTGGGAAGATGTACGCCTGAGACGAGGTGAATGACTCGGCCGGAACGAGCGGATTGGGAAGTCTGATATGTCGGACCTTTGTATTTGTTGTGTTTTGTTTCTGGGGCTACTGTTCTCGTAACATTAGTACCATTTCTCTCGGAAATCTATATTTATATATAAAGAGACGTACGTACTATTGTTTTACGGTATACCTTCCGATGACTGACTGTATGCTGCTATCAATTTCCCCCATTCTGGCTTCCCCCAGCCCATCAGACCCATCGTAGGCCTATAACCGTCCAACGCAGGGATTCCCCTCTTCTCCCAGCTGGCATCGGGGGGCCACATCCTGGTCCCAGCGCTGGCGTGATGCTGCCATTCGAGCAAACTGCATATCGGATCCACCGCTCCACTGCGCGTTATGCATCGTCCTTTCCCCTCTCTTTCTCCCCTTCCCCTCTCGAGAGCGAGCCTGATCGGCCATTGAGAGGGAGAGCCGATGGTCGTAGACACGACACCGTCTATAGTTCTCAACCCTTCCATCGGACGGGAACGCGGAGAAGCTTCTCGAAGACTTGGGGCTGGTCGGCGTCATCGTGCCGGGCCAGGATTTAGTGACTCCAGGTCTCCAGTCTTCTCGCGCGCTAACACAGACCAGCGGCTCTCCAGCCTCTGGAATATTTTTTCTTCTGTCCCACCAGTAGGGGACAGAAGGTCACAGAAGGCGAGCATGGAAACTTCCCAGAGACCATAGTGGTTGCTAGACCGAGCGAGGCGAGCGCGAGCCGTTTATATAGATCGTTATAAAGTAGATCGGGTCCCCGTTGGCGCGGCCTTTTTTTTTTTTTTTTTTTCCCTCTTCCGAGAAATCCTGGTCGGACATTGCCATTCGACTCCCCTGATTTCTCAGCTCGATATGAAGATCATAGGACTGCGCGAGTGAAGTCCTCCCCGACTGTTTCGGCCTTGACTTCTTCCCTCTTTCTCCCCTCGATCTACTCCCGACCGGCTTGACGCACCCTCGATCCGTGGAACAGGCCAACGTCTCCCGATTGCCCGCGCTTCTACCGCCTTCGTCGCCCTTCGATCCCCCCAACCCCAAAAAAAAAATTGAACCGCCCCCCAATGGTCCAACTCGCCCATATCTTCAAAAAGGATAAGGACAAGGACAAGGATAAGGCCAAAGACAGAGAGCCCCTCGACGTCTCCCCTAAACTCCCCAAGGACCATCCCGACGCCGGTCCCTCCCCCCGGACCTCCTTCTCCGCCTCGCGCAAGTCGCCCTCCAAGTCGCCCTCCAAATCCCCCTCCAAGTCTCCCACCAAGTCTCCCACCAAGTCCTCCTCCCCCACCAAGAACCGCTTCTCACACAGTCGGTCGTCCTCGACGTCCACTCACCCCGCCCCCTCTTTCAAATTCGGTACCCGGTCGTCCAAGGACCAGGACTCTCATCCTCTCAATCTCCCGCCCGACGAGCTTCGTCGTCGACTATCAGCCATGGCCGACCAGCGGAGCTCCATGGACATCGATCCGCAGGAGCCTCAACAGAAGCAGAATGGCATCAACGGCTCGCAAGGGGAACGCAGTCCGACCCCGCCGCCGCACCGCTCTAACTCCTCCGCCGATGAAGCCGACTCGTTCAAGTTGGCCGGAAACAAATTCTTCAAGGATGGCGACTACCGCCGCGCCATTGAGGAGTACAACAAGGGTAGGCCCTCATGCCTGGATTTTGCGTCCCTGCAAATCACCATACACTTGCGGAGACTAACTTTGATCTTTTTCTTGCTCTTTTGACAGCCATCGAAATTAACCCCAACTCCTCCGCTTACCTGTCCAATCGGGCAGCCGCTCACATGTCCGCCAAACAATACCTGAATGCCCTGGAGGATATTGAACGAGCCAACGAACTTGACCCCGAAAATGCCAAGATCATGCACCGATGGGCTAAGATCTTGACGAACTTGGGTCGTCCCACCGAAGCGCTGGATGTCCTGTCACGTGTGCAGCCCGCGGCGAGTGCGACCGACAAAGCCCCCGCTGAGAAGATGCAGCGGTTCATCTCCCAGGCGGAAGAGACGCTGGCTGAGGATCGTGGCGGGTCCATGGCCATTTTCTGCTTGGACCAGGCTCGGCAAGGGCTGGGCTTTGGCGTGAAGGAGCCGCGCAAGTGGACCCTGCTGACCGCCGAGGCACAACTGAAGATGAACAACAGCAACTCGCTGGGCAAGGCTCAGGATCTCGCCATCACGCTGCTGCGCGAGAACAGCCAGGACCCAGATGCAATGATGATTCGTGCCCGCGCCTACTACGCCTCCGGTGAGACCGACCAAGCGCTGAAGCTCTTGAAGATGTGCCTCGGGCTGGACCCGGACATGAAGCAGGCCATCAAGCTGCTGCGGATTGTGCAGAAGCTCAGCCGCACCAAGGAAGAAGGCAACGCCGCCTTCAAGGCCAAGGACTACCGCCGTGCCATTGAGCTCTATGGCCAGGCCCTCGAGGTCGACCCCACCAACAAGGATATGAATGCCAAGATTCTGCAGAACCGTGCCCAGGCTTACATCAACCTGAAGGAGTTCGACTCGGCCGTCCAGGACTGCACTGAGGCCCTGCGTCTGGACCCTGCATATGTGAAGGCCATGAAGATGCGGGCCAAGGCGTACGGCGGTGCCGAGAACTGGGAGGAGGCTGTGCGAGACTACAAGAGCGTTGCGGAGAACAACCCCGGCGAGAAGGGTATCCAGGAGGATATCCGCCGGGCGGAGTTCGAGTTGAAGAAAGCTCAGCGCAAAGATTACTACAAGATCCTGGGAGTCGGCAAGGATGCCTCGGAGCAGGAGATCAAGAAGGCCTACCGCAAGATGGCCATCATTCACCACCCCGATAAGAACCGGGATGCCGAGAACGCCGACGAGAAGTTCAAGGAGATTGGCGAGGCCTACGAGACTCTGATTGATCCTCAGTAAGTTACCCCATTCGATATCTACCCACCATTCGGAATTATCCCTTCTCTGACCGATTCCCTCTCTCAGGAAACGTGCTGCCTACGATAACGGAGATGACCTGATCGATCCGTCCGACATGTTTGGCGGCGGCGGCTTCGGCGGCATGGGAGGCATGGGCGGTATGGGCGGTATGGGAGGCATGGGCGGCATGGGTGGTATGGGTGGCATGAACGGCACCCACATCAACATCGACCCCAACATCCTCTTTAACATGATGAACGGCGGCGGCGGCGGCGGCTTTGCCCAGGCTGGCGGTCACCCCTTCGGTGGCCAGGCCCGTGGCGGCTTCCCCGGCGGCTTCTCTTTCTAAATGTGACGACCAACATGCCATTTAAACCTCCATACCTCACGCCCTTCTCCGCTAGCCAGGGATCCTAAGCAAAACCTCCCAAAGTTGAGTGATCGCTGGACCACAGGCCGATCCTGCTGACGCTCACTGGAGAGTTGCTGCTTGGTTGGCGCTCCCTGTCCTTCCAAGGAGTTGTCATACCCCGGTCCCTCTCAAAACGCCAAATACTTGCCGTATAACATGATATGATTTTTTCAGTGCCTGGATGAGACAGGTTTTTTTTTTTTGCAAGAAGAGGGGGAAAAGGCGTCTTTTGCATATCTGTTTTCTTCTTTCCCCCTGCCCTTGTCTCCATGTTCTTGCCATACTCTACGGAAGCACACCATGATTCCCATATGATAGACCTCGGATTCTTTTTTCAGCTTCACTTTTCATCTCTTTTTCTTTCATCTCTCTTTTTGTTGTTACATTGTTCTCATATTGTCTGGATCGGTCTATATCCTCATGATGCTTGAGATGAGTGATGGATAGGGATAGGAATAGACGAATAAGAGCGCGGTAGGGTGTAGTAGTTGAGAATTAGATCCTACCCTGCATCCGAAGATCTCTCCAAAAGCTCCTCTTGAAGAGCCAAGAATGGCAATGAACTATGTCTTCTAGTTCAGGTTCCAGCCGCTGTGATTAGCCAACCACTGCGGTTAGTCGGTATGGAAATGGTAGATTAAGCTGGCAAATGCATTAGATGTGGGGATGCAAGCCTAGACAATAGGCGAACAGCAGGTCAAAACGCCCATAAGCTATAGCTCTATGAGTTTCTGCGATCACCCCAAAACACGACTATTCAATTTCTAGGTGTTATCTGCCAACCTATAAAAATCGTCACCGCAACGGCTGTATTTGTGTCCTTGAAGCACGTGATGTAACGTCATGAAGTCATAAAGTCAAAGAGCCAAGAAGCCCAAGAAAATGCCCAGACTCGCGTATTCAGAGCAAAAAAAAAAATAATGTCACAGTGGAAATAGTTTTAAATGCTTTATATCAGATTTCGCATCTGTAAACTCATGGACTGGCAATGGCAGGCGACTTCCTTGCATATCATGAGCCGGGCAGTATGTCCTACCCTCGCCACACTGCGGCGCCATTAAAAAAAAACTGACAAGCAATATTAGTTGTCGACATACTGATCATTATATCCTTTTTCTTTTTCTTGTCTCTGGCTGAGTGGTTCTCTGCTAGAATAATCCGGGCTGGAATCATCGGCCAAATCGCCGTTGGAATCATTTATGGAGTGCCTCTGGCCGATATCCTGGAACGGGCATGGCAGGAAACATTTCTCGCCATTGGATATGTCGGGTTGATTTTAATTATCTTTGAGGGTGTGGCGAGCCTTGCTTCAATATTAAATACCTTTAGAGTCAAATGCTAATATCGATATCTTAGGCGGCCTTAATATTCGACTAGATCTTTTGAAGCAAAACTTCCTCCTGAGTGCTCTAGGAGCTGCAACGGGTGTCTGTTTCCCTATCGGCCTCTCTTATCTGCTCCTGTACCTAGGATATGGATATAGTACAGTCTTCCCTCTTTCCTTGTTTCTACCTGATCAAGCTAGGCTAACGACTTGAAGATGCCGTTGAAACATTCATAATTGGTGCCGCGCTCTCGGCAACATCTCTGGGCACTACGTTTTCCGTAATTTCATCTGCTGCAAAGTCAGTCGATCTTTCTCAAACTAGAGTGGGATCAGTGCTTGTCAGTGCCGCTGTGATCGACGATGTTGTTGGTCTTGTGCTATCAAGGTAAAGGAAATGCGTCACCCTATTTCCCTCCCACAGCAAAACTTACCGTTATGTACCAATAGTGTCATTCACGATTTAGGCGAACTAAGTGAGCCAGGTGATCATCCCAGTCTTGGTTGGATCATCGGCCGTCCGATCGTTGCCTCCGTCGCTATGGCGCTTCTAACGCCTGTTCTTACGAAGTACGTTTTTGCACCAGTGTTTCGCCGGTGGATTGAGCAGAGGTTTGCGAAATATGACCATATTTCGAATATCGTTCTGATGGTGTTGGTGCTATCTGCCTTCATAAGCATTGCCTCATACGCTGGCACGTCTGTTCTGTTTGGGGCATTCCTAGCAGGCGTATTCCTTACCTATTTGCCGAGCAAGCACCCGGATGGGCCCTTTGTTGTCATGAGTCGAGAAGAGGGAGAGCGTGAAGCTGACAAGAGTCCCACTTTTGTGCATACGTTCGAGGCTTATCTCTTGGACGTTCAAAAATACCTGATGGAGCCGTTGTTTTTTGGTAGCATTGGATTTGCTATCCCGTTCCTAGAGCTCTGGACTGGTAAGAGGATCTGGAGGGGTATATTATTTTCTCTCCTTATGGCATTCGCAAAGGTTGGTAGAAGCGTCGGTTCTCTCTAAATGTACTCTGCTAATATTGCTTCTTTTAGTTTGTTGTCGGCGTGTGGATCCCGCTATGGCAATTTGCGAAGTCATTGAAACCCTCAAAAGCTGATAAGGGAGTTCGGGGAAATGATCAACACTTCAAAAAAAATCAGCTTGAATCTATGGAACCAAAGACTGGGAAAAGTAGCTATCCCTCCGCGTGGCTCGCAGGGCTGCTTCTTGGATCGGCAATGGTGGCGCGGGGAGAGATTGGACTACTAATTATCGAGATCGGATACAACCAAACGGACTATGTTAGTCAAGAAGGCTTTATCACGGGCGTGTGGGCCATCTTACTTAACACCATTGTTGGACCAGTTACTGTGGGCTATTTGGTGAAGTTTTATGGGAAAAGGATTGGAGAATGTGACTGGGGCCTGCAGGATCAAGCTCGGCCGAGATCAAACGACAGCAATCATTGTGTATAAATGACTAAGGATGGCTTCATAATTCAAAAACCAGCAGGGACTGAGACTTGAAACTTTTCTTATGCCAGATGTTAGATAGCGATGAACAGGAAGATTTTTTCGTTCAACCTGGAAGTATGGCGAAAACCTGATACTTTTCCTCATATTCTCCAGATTCTCTTCGACCATGGCAGAAGGACTAAAAAGCTTATCCATGATTTATTACATTATTCAGAGGCCGATAATATATATGGGTACTGCAAAAGAAACAGATTACAGGATTTATTGGGCGATGAACAAAAAGAAGATCCTCTCACCCTATACATAGTACTTCGATAGCGTCGGGCGGCTAACGGCTGGGTGGAAAACCAATCATTCAACCAACAGCCTCGCCAGCCAACTAACCAAAATATTAGTTGACGACGAGATTACCCATTGCAGATATGTGCAAAAAATCATTGTTTGCCTATTAATAAACAAAATATGAGAGCCACTGATCACAAAGCTCAGCGTCAAACCCTTGAGTCATCAAATATGCCACCCCTTCTCAGCAATACTTACAGCGCCTTGTAAGCGCCCTGTAAGCGCCCTTCTGAATCCAGCCAAGCAATAGAAGTGAACATTATACGGATTATTGAAAAGGTTGCTATAATATACAGGGTCCTACACGGAAGAAGCTAGAATAGCAAGAGGCAATAGCTCCATAAAATAAATGGCGGAAGTTGCTTTGTGCATCCTGATCGCCTCGAGAGGGTTTCCCTCAACGAGACACTATTCATACTTGTATTATATGAAGTTATATACATGTGTTTTCTCACAGCAATTTTAGCCCCGCTATTAGACAGAAAGTCTTGTATACAAAGGAGCCATAAGCGCCAATTATCCCGTCTCTCAGGAACGAGCCGACCAACGAGTCAGCCATCTAGCCAACCAACCAGTCAACCAATCAACTATTCGTTTGACATAAATACTACCCAAACAGGATGCACCAAAATTATGTGATCTTTTTATAAACAAAATGGCTATCAGAAATCAAAATTTCGCTGCCATAGACCTCTGAATAGTCAAATGCGTTACCCTTCTGAGAGGACACTTGTAGCGCCTGATACTAAGCGCCCTTCAGGGAAGCGAACAAATGTTAAGCAATAAAAAGGTTCAATATAGCATCCAGGACCCTGATTGAGGAATAGTAGGCCAGTAAGATGACAGCGCCATCAATTGAAACGGCATAGGAATTTCCTCGCATATTGCGATCGCCTCAGTATTGTCCTCGAGGCCACAGGCACTTTTTACGGCTATCTCATATGCAAATTATTCTGTTCTAGGGCATGTATATCTAAGAAAATCCCACTAAATATGAACTTCTCTTTCATTTATTCATGAGGGCCCATGATCGTTTAGAGTTCTTAATATATCGCCCCCGCCAACTGTAAGACCCCTATCACTAGCGCTAGCAGGGCTCTGACTCACACACTGCACTTGAAATCATGAAACATCAGGGTATATCCTAGTTTTGGTCTGGATCCATCACTAAATATATCTTTGTAAATTATTGGAAACAAGGAGTCGCCAACATTGTATAACCAGGTAATCGATATGGTGTACTAGTCCCAAAGGTCGAGTATTTGCGAATTAAATTATAGAATCGATGATCAACCCAGCCTTAAAGTACCTTCAAAGAGTAGCTCACACTAGACGGTTGTTTCCGAATGATATAAAAAGCCTCTCATCTGCGCCCCTTAAGGAACCAGATAATCGACGTGCGCTCTCTATTTTCCCAAACAAAACCTGTTCTTCTTCCCCAAATTATAATGATGGTCTTCTTACCTAGAGTGCAGGTCTTGATGGGCTTATTATCCCCTGCTTTGGGATGCCTTGTCCTTACCGGCTCCGTGAGTGGTGACGGAAAGGAAATCAATGGTCAAACCTCCAATATCTATGGTATTATGGCGGCCACATACAAAAGTCAACCAGCATGTCTGGGCGATATAGTGAAAGGGGACAATAATCTTGGTATGTCTCAACTATGAAGTCCATTACCTGACTCATTTATTTGCTAATCTTGTATCTAGACTGCAACTGGGCAGGCATAAAGACTTTCTCATTGAACTACGATTGGACAGATAACATAGAAAAAACCAAAAATCATACAATGCCAATCACTTTTTGCAACGGACAAGGGTGGTATGTAACCCATGAATAGCCTACAACTATGTTTGCTTTGCTTTTGTGGCTAATACTGTACAGCGTGGGCATGGATGTCGATATGGGATGCCAGGAAGATAAGGTTGGCATCATCACGTGTGATGATTTCTGGTATGAATCCGACAAGCTGTGCTAGTGATAAGCGTCCAGATAGGGGCCCAGGCCATATGTTGTTCTCCATAGGATCGGGGCAAGTGAAGAACCCTGGGATTATGATCTTTTTTGATAGCTGATTGATTTGTATTTGACCATTGTTGGAATTTTCTCTCGCTATGCGTAGATGATCTTTTGTTTAAGACGTGAGTGGTCCTACTTTTACTCATACTCCAATCATGTTCAAATGACTCTGAATCTCTCAAGAGATTCACCGTCCATTATTCTGACGGCACCGGCACCCCTGAAATCATTAATTTCGAAATTTTGGCACTATAATAGCTTCATAATAGTGCAAGTTATCTATCTACGGTCTTCCGAGCAAGCAAATTTAGAAAAATAACAACTTTGATATCACTTCCATAAATCATCTGTGCTATATACGTCCACAATACATCCAGCTCACCGTCCAGATGCATATCAACTATACTCAACAAATATCAAACATAAAACATAACAACAAATATGTCGGGGGGAATCTCAAGACTATATGGGGGCATGGCATGAAGCGAATGAATGGACCACAGGGAAAGAGCATGCAGCAAACTCCGCCGCTAATGAGAAATGAAAGAAGCTTAAGCTGATCCATAGGGTGGGAAAGCAGCAGAGAAAAAAAAAGAGAAAGCACAGTCGCTAAATATGGAAGCCACCTAGCCCTTCGCATGACACACTTCCACCAAATGAAGGTAATGGAGGGCTAGATCACAAGTACTATATAGGACATCACGTATAACCTAGTCCGCCAAGGATGCTCTTGCATTCAGTGCTCGGCAATGCAGACACACCTAGGGCACGGACAAGTGCACCGCTACGCAGCCGTTGAAGGCCGATAGCGACCTTCCACGCCTCCGTATCCTGCAAAACAAAGACATAGCGTTTGCCCTCCTGGTCACGCAAACTGGCGCGGAGAATATGGAGTCCACGGGAGTCTCCCTGGGGTGGGTGCACGGGTCCTCCATCCACACCGCTCGCAGCAGAACCGCGGGCGAAGCATGCTGATGGGGATGCCAGGCGGCAGGTATTCTTGCAGACCTTGAGCAGGTTTATAACGAAGGCATCAGATTCCTCGCTTGTGGGCACCGAGTGCGCCGAGTTACCACGGCGGAAGGAGAAGGGATTGGTAGACCCTGGTTTGGAGGACTTGTCGGGTCCCATCTGGGGGCACCACACCTCGGCCAGTTTCAACGTCCATGCTTTAACATCCCATTCGCGCTGCCCAACTCCTCGAAGGTCATCATCAATGAAGAGACCTTCGGTAGTAATCCGCAGTACAAGCCCGTCGGTCACCATACCCTGCCCGGAAACAAGTTGAGCGACTGGGGTTTTCATAAAAGCGTTGTTGAACTGATACACGCCTTGGATCACAATCTTATCAGGATCCTTGGTGGAATAAGAGCTGCGATGCGAGGGCGGAGGTGTCGTACGTGCTGTCGATTGAGATGGAGCATACGATGATTCAGAGTATGCTGAAGACCCAGAAGGTTGTCCATACGGCCGGCGTGGACGATCGTATGGCCGAAAGGAATACGCATCGTCTTCTTCGACAGTGGTCTTTGCCGTTGGAAAAGGAGGCTTTTTGGGCGACGGTGTTCGAGGAGAACCGGTTGCGCTGGCAGCACTCGCCGGAGGCTTGTTGGCTGCTTCTTTCTTCGCATCCTGTGCCTTCTTCTCGGCATATCGTTTGGCAGCCGCTTCTTTGAGAGCGGCGAACTTGGCCATGGCCTCTTTTTGAGCCGCTGCCTTTGCCGCTGCCTCCTTTTCCGCGGCCTCTTTAGCAGCTTTCTCTTTCGCCTCTGCAGCCAACCGCTCTGCCTCTGCTTTGGCGGCGGCAGCGGCCTTTTCCTCCCTTTCACGGGCTTCCCGAGCCTCCTTTTCCTGCTTCTCACGGGCTTCCGCTGCTTCCTTCTCGGCCTTCTCTCGCGCTTCTCTCTCAGCCTTTTCTCTTGCAGCAGCCATTTCTCGCTCCAGCTGCTCGCGGCGCTCCTTCAACTCTTTCTCCATGGCTTCCCGCTCGCGTTTCCTCTCCTTCTCTTTGGCTTCTGCCTCGCGCTTGCGCTTGAACTCCTCCATCTTCCGGCGAAGTTCCTCCTTCCGCTTGGTTTCCTCCCGTGCGCGCTCCCATTCAGCGCCATTCGGACCATGATTGTTCTGGTCCGTCTTTGGTGGCGCACCGGCGTCGTGTTGGTTGCCCGCATACTGGTTGCCACGGTTCGGCCCTCCGCCAAAGTTTCCGCCATGCTGCGGGCCTGAACCACCGTTGTTTCCGTGTTGCCGCTGCCCGTGTTCGTTGCCATTGTTGGGTTTGGTACCAGAAGATTGGCTGTTGGCATTTTGTTCATTCGAGCCTCCCGAGAAACCACCACCGAATCGCCTATTTCCACCCCCGTTGTTACCCTTGCTGGATTGCGACATTCCAAATGCCCATCCAGCTACTCCTACACCAATAGCCATAACCACTATTCCCATACCATTGACACCGTTGGGTGCCGTTGCCGTGTACCATGTCCGGACGATTGGTGCGATCGCAGACCATACCAGAACGACCAGGAGCATACTTGCGGCACCAGCGATGAAACTGTTCCGCTGGCATTGGAGGGAGGGTAGATATAGGAAACCGCCGCCGGAAGAGTGTGGTGGAACGATGAAGATGTCGTAGTTACCCGGCGGAAGGTCGGATGATTTGCGATACTCGCCATCGGTGGTATGAGGATTCTCCCCATGCGGGGGCGGCGGGGGCGGCGGTCCATCCATCACGACGAAATGTAAACGTCAACGCTGTTTACCTCGGGGACACAAATGGCCAACAATGCGATTCAATCGCTTGTTCAGGCCCCGACGCTGTAGATTCAAGCCTGTTGAATCCACGAGACGCCTCCGCAGATATACCTGGTCTCGGTTCCCAGTCCCGTCCAGCCGCGGCCAATGTCCTCGATCCGGTCGTCCGACCAGACCCTAGTTGGATCGATACTCAGTATGGATGCAAGTCGATAGGCAGGTCATGTTCGTGGAGGTGAGAGATCTGCACTGAGGCCCTAGGCCACTCAGTGCTGGCAAAAGCTGCGTCAAGAAGTAGAGAACCAACCGAAACGCGAGCAGATCGAAACCCTTAAACCCTGAATCTAGCAGCAAACTAGAGGGGGCTTTTAGAAGGGGGAAAATGGGGACGAGGCAGCGAAAAGAGAAGAGAAAGTTGCCTACGGGGCTGGGGTGGGTTGTTTAGGAAAAGCGGGAGCCGCTAACGATCGGCGGCTCCATGCAGTGAGGACGTGGCCATCACACGCCCAAACAAACGGTCGCATCCAATCCGAGACCTGGAACGGCCACCCATATTGAGAATCGAATTCTTTCATTTCAGGAGAATCTGATATCGGAGGGATGGGGAATGCTTTGGAGCCACGCGATCGCAGTTCTCATTGTCACTGGGTGGAGGAATCAGTGGCACCGCATCGAGGGATGCCAGAATGAACCGCCTGCACTCCGATCTGTCGTCGCCACACGACAGGTTCAACCATTTAATCAATGCCTGCTCACCCGGCCTGTTTCAGAGATTGTCTTTCTCTTGCAATGTTCTTCATTATGACTCGATTCCCGTTCCACTTGGTTCGTACGCAGCCACGCCAGCTATTTGTTTTGATTTTGCCGAATCGGGAAAGCGCCCGATGAGGCTTCTGTCATCGATGCCTGAAATGACACCTCAGGCAGTGAGGGCCGTTGCCATGCGCGAAGTGGCCGAGTCAATAAAAATGGACGATGGGGCGACGCTACGGAGGAAGACAAATACGATAGACACTGCCATGAAGTCTATGTCTCTTGTTGGTAAAGAAACACGGGAGCTACGCAGATGGAGTCTTGAGAAGTCGCAGCTCCAGCTCTCATCTCTCCGTTCCAAGCCACTTGTCATCATGATCGAGTCTGGAAACATTGCCTCGAGTCCTTTGGGGATACTAAGCCGGGTACCCAGAGCGTCACCAACAAGCTGTAGCACAATGGTCGATTCACTGGTCCGTTCCGGTCTTCCCATTCCCATATGAGGAATCTTGCCATGTTCAGATGGTCTATAGCACGGTTTCTTTTCGGAGTGTCGAGGGCGGAGCAACGACAGTGCACTGGGTCAATAATGATGGGTCAATATTGCGGTCAAGAAGCGGTTGGGGAGGGATAGTTCGAGTGCAGTGGGTCCGTCGTGGTGGTGCTGTTGACGGTCAACGGAGATCCCGCCGGAGAAGGTCCGCCACGGACAAGACTGGTCAGCATGATGTACTAGTCCTCCGTACAAAGTGCAGCAACACCTGCGTAGAGGAAAGTTGGTCTCGTCGGAATGAAGATGATCTCAAGGAGGAATAAGCCGCCACAAGTTAGGTCCCATGCGGTGTCATCGGCGCGCCCAGAGGTTTCTTCAAGCTGCTGTGGCCAGTCTCCGGGGCGGGATGTCCCCATGATCGGGGCATGAGATGCGGGACCCTGATCAAAGCTGAGGGCCCTTCGTGACCTCGGAATAGGGGACTTCTCGTGTCCTGGCCCACTGTCAAGGTCATTCTGTGCGGCTTGTAGACTGTAGAGGAACAGAACCGAAGGCCACCGAAGGACTAGGAGAGGCAGGAGAGGAGAAGCAGGACAGGCGAAGTGTTGTTGATGCCCGGGAGGAACGTGACCCGCTGCCGGTGATTGGATCCTCTTCCCCTCAAGATTCCCAGATTCCATCTGCTCGACCCGGACTGCGACTTGGACCAGCCGCTCCTTGTCCTCTTTTCTGCATCTTCGCTCTCCTTTTGAATTGGTAGTCAGGCACTACCCCCGATTTCCTCCCTCCCCCGCCAACCTGTCCTCTTGGCCCCATTCCCAGGCATCCATCTCCTCCCCTTCTCCTATGCCGCGCCGATAGCCACGTTCCGACCCTTCTCTCCTCTTCACCCCGCCTACCTCGATTTGCCCTTGAAGGGCAGTTGGTACTACAATGTCCGTTTACCAATCCCCCAGCCAGGGCCACCCGGGTCATTCGGCGTCGTCGCGTTCGTTCCCCGCCTACAACCCTGTCGCTGCCGTCACCGCACCCGCGGGGACATTCCTACCCGGAACCAAAGTCCAATGCGGCAGTCACCGTGTGGTGGTGGAGAAGTATCTATCCGAGGGCGGCTTTGCTCACGTTTACGTCGTGCGACTACCTCAACCGGTCAATGGCTCGGAGACGGCGGTTCTAAAACGAGTCGCGGTGCCCGATAAGTCGGCCCTGGGCAACATGCGCACCGAGGTGGAGACCATGAAGAAGCTCAAAGGCCACCGGCACATCGTCAGGTATATTGATTCGCACGCCTCCCAGCTGCGCGGCGGTGGATATGAGGTCTTCCTGCTCATGGAGTTCTGCGGCGGTGGTGGTCTGATTGACTTTATGAACACTCGGCTGCAGAATCGCCTCACAGAGCCCGAGATCATCAAAATCTTCTCTGACGTGTCCGAAGGAGTCGCATGCATGCATTATTTGAAGCCGCCGCTGCTGCATCGAGACCTGAAGGTGGAAAACATCCTGATCTCGCGCTCAGGAAGCTCTTCCTGCTACAAGCTATGTGACTTTGGATCCTCGGCTCCTCCCCGTCCTGCAGCTAAGTCGGCTGCCGAAGGTCGCTTGATTGAAGACGATGTACAGCGCCACACAACCATGCAATACCGTAGCCCAGAGATGATCGACGTGTACCGCAAGCAACCAATTGATGAAAAGAGCGATATCTGGGCCCTTGGTGTGCTTTTGTACAAATTATGTTACTATACGACCCCCTTCGAAGAGGTTGGCCAGATGGCTATCCTCAACGCAAGCTACAAATTCCCCGCGTACCCGAAATTCTCAGATCGGTTGAAGGTGCTGATCGGTAAGCACCGTTTGATGCTACTGGAATAATATTTCGACCCTTTCGCTAACCGGCTCGGGTGTGTAGCATCGATGCTCAAGGAGAACCCGCAGAAGCGTCCAAATATCTATCAAGTGGTTAATGAAGTGTGTCAAATGCAAGGGAAGGAGGTCCCAATCAAAGATGTTCGTCTCTTTACTCAAATCACTGCCAACCTCTGCGACAAATGCTGATTTAACGCGACTCTAGATTTATGCCAATCGCTCCGTCTCCGAAGTGCGTCGGAACCAAGAGCTTCCTCCTACGCCAACAGAAGCTCCGGCAGTGGGTGCAACATTCTCGCCTCCCATGCAAGAAACTCAGATCATCCCCGAGATTGCGCCTATGCGGAGAGGACGACCCGGCAGGCCCGAATCATCGCAACATAACTCCGCCAAACCGAGTCCCTCTCCATTCCGCGGTGGCTCAAAGACTTCTTCACATGATCCATTTTCCGCACTGGATGGAGGTGTTGCCCAAAGGAAGAAGACCGCGGACGAATTGTCTCAGCGTTTCCCCTCATTAGATCAATTTGATATCTTGCATGAGAAAGGAGACAAGTTTGACTTTGAGTCAACGGTCAAAGAGTCCAAATCAGAAGATGAGGACCTCTCTCAAAGACTTACCAATGCTTTGGCGGACGAGGCCTTCGGGCGTCGATCTTCCCCTGAACGTAAGGAGCCCATTGTTTCACGACAATCCCAAGCGTCGCCCGTGCGGGGACAGAGCTCTCCAGAAGTCTCCTCTCGACAAAATGCACCGCTATATCAGCCTACTCCTAAGCGGCCCGCAATGATCTCCACGGGTACCATGACTTCGCCTTCACAAACTCCTCGTTTACAGGAATCCAATATCTCAAGTCGCCCAATATACCGCTTTCCGCCATCGGATGCCGAGCAACGACCTTCCAGTCAGTCACGGAATGAGGATGGCCAGAAGCTTTCGCCTTATAAAGCACCTTCTCCTCCCTCATCTAATTTGAGGCCCGAGGCAAGCCCGCGGCTGTCTTCTGACAGGTTATCTCACCATTCCACTTCTGCACGCCCCTCCATGGAGACTCTGCGACGGCCGTCTGGACTGGAGGCATCTGACCCTGTTAGCCGGTCCAAATCAGCAGTTGCCAAGGCTCGCCCTGTCTCAGTTCAAGCAGCGACTCGGCATGATTTGTCGCGGGACTCGGAGACCTCGCGGTCCTCGCTGGATCTTTCACATATGCAATACGAAGGCGGTTCTGCATTACGGCCGGTGCGCACAGAGGTAGATCAAAGCTATGACCGTGCCAACATTTCCTCAGATATGGACTACCTCAGAGTCAAAGAGGAAGAAAGCAGCCGAAAGCGTGAAAAGCGCTTAAGTGGCGGGTCCAAACATGCCAAACGTGGCAGCCTGTCTTCTTTGTCACTTTCAGGGGGCAAAACCTTGTTTGCTGGCCGATTTGGTGATGCTTTCCGCCGGTTCGAGAGCAGCAATCAGGACAAACCTCGCACTCCAACCGCAGAGGAGTCACAGTATCAACAAGGTCTGATCAGCGATACTGAGGCTTTGGAATCACCACCTGTAGACGGTCTGTCCGCATACGGAGAAGATGTCTTAGAAGATGCTGATCGTGATGACATATCACCTGAGATGCGCCGCGAGCTGGAGCGCCGCCGGCTCTCCCAGGAGGAGAAGCGGGTGGCCAGCGCTGCTGCCGAATACCGGCGCCGAGTCGCTGAAGGCGAGGCCAGTGGCCAACAACGTTCTCGTGCAATTCAAAACCGAGTCCAGAATCTGCTGGGCGAGTCCAAGAAGCCGCCGGCTGCCCCCAAAACAGCAACCGGCTATGGAAGATACACCGACACCACCGCTTTGCAGGCAAAGCCAGATGCAGATAACCAATCTCCTGCCTCAGATACCGCGCCCATTTCCCGTGCCCCGGGTCCTGTCTATGGTGCCGCTGCCCGTAAGGGGGTCATGGCACCCCCAGACCGTCGTGAAGGCGCCAGTGCTCCTGCAGAGCTTTCTTCCCTTAATACCTCCACCTCCACGGGTTATTCGTCTGCCGCCCGGCCTGCTTCCCGGCCTGCGGCTCCGCCCAAACCCAAGAATTTACGTATGAGTGCACCAGACACCTCTCGGCCCAGCACCAGCCAAGACCGCAGTCCTTCCATCCAAGCCACCCCGACTAGCCCTGGGGAGGACTGGGAGGCCAACTTTAGTCGGCGATTTCCCAGTCTCTCTGGCTTGGAGATGGAAACGGAGATTGAAATTCCGAAATACCCCAAGCTCCGAACCCGAGAGGTGTAAAGATAGCCTTGCTTTTGCCGAATATAGATGTCATTTGTGACCTTTAGCTTGATGTGTCATGGTTTTGTTTAGCGTGTTGTGGGCTTGCTTGCCTATGGGAAATGTTTAATTTTCTTATTGAGGTGATGCCTATATATAGACGAGTGAAATATTAAACATGACCGATGAAGATGACTAAATTGGACCTGGGTAACTTTCTGTAGTCTTGACATTTCTGTATATTATAGAACGTACCGTGTCTAAGAGCCTGAGACTACTATTCTCAACTCTAACGCCTCTCAACATCGCCTTTCAAGTCCTTTCAAGCCCGTCAGACCTTAAAACTAACCTCCGCATCAAATCCTCAACCCGCTCTCTTCATCTTTAGTGGGTCATTGTTGAGCCTCGCCACACCGCCTTTCTCTACCACCGCATTCTGCTACCACCTTCATTGAGACATATCTTGATTACAGAAATCAATCCAACACTGAGGACCATGGCACCGATAATGCTGAAAACGGTCGATGGTAAGTGCAACAGCGTATATAGCACAACCTCGGAGTTAACCCCCTGCTGCAGAGGACCTCAAAGATGTCATCCAGCACCTCTTTGAGATCCAATCCGCCGTCCACGGCTATCTAGGCCCAGAAACGCAACAGGAGCTTGTCCGCAAGATGTACGTGATCTCCCACCCTCGCCAGCAGCTTCTACAAGCTTTAGCCTTTTGATAATTCTACGGCTTCTCGCCTCCTCCCCCTACTACGTGCGTGGGGAACTCCCCGCGCAAGCACCCTCCAAAACAAGAACCACCGCTGACCCAAACCTTCCCTCACAGCAAAAACCTCACTGTCGCTCTCAAAACACTATCCTCCCATACCGATATCCCTCAAGACCACAGCACCACCGACCCCGGTCCCGCAAGCGACCCAGCTAATCCGCCCCTCGCGAGCATCCAGCTTCCACCCGAGATCATCGATTACGTCGACGCGGCGCGGAACCCAGATATCTATACGCGCGAGTTCGTGGAGCTGGTGCAGCGAGGCAACCAGGACCTCAAGGGCAAGCGTGAGGCATTCGCCGGGTTCCGCGACGTGCTGGCACGCGAGATGCGCAGTGCCATGCCGGAGTGTCGGGCAGAGGTGGACCGCGTTGTGGCGGCGACGGGTGGTGACGGAGCGGACGGTGAGCGGAGAGCGGATGGTTCCGTGCCAGAACGGTGATCTCTGGCTTTTTTTTTCTTTTTTCTATTTTTGTCTTTTTTGTTGCCTGCGCAGGTCAGGGCAGGGCAAGGACACGGACAAGAACAAGGACGCTGCACGGACGCCAGGCGGCTGGTGTCAGGCCGGCCCATTGCCCGATGCGAGTCAGTCACTTAGCACCTCGGGGAGTTTAGTTGTGGGCCTTGACTTGATAATGATCCTGATACCCGAGGCTCTCTGTGAGGGTCCTGCGCCCTAGGATCTTCTGGGCCAAGTAATCTAGGAGTGCAAGGCGACGGGGTCTGGATTCAGATAGGCGCCCCCTATTTTTTACAGTCTGCGTTCGTCCGGGGACCACCAGCTCATTTACCATCAACCTCTCCCTCGGGCTCATTTACAATCCGATCGCGGGTCGACTGGGACAGGAGGATCGGGGAGGTACGGGGCCAGGGGGCCAGGGCTAGACTGTGCTAGGCTGGGAAATTGGAAGCTTTTTGCGAGCATTTAGGGATTGAGGGCTCTGCTAGACCCTTTTTGATATAGCATTTGCGAGCGAGGTGTTAGGGTCGTTTAAAAGGAGGTCTATACTATGCGGTTTCCCTTTACCGCCTCCTGTGAGCTTCCATAATCTCCTGGGTTGCATCCTTCCGGAGTACAGAGTCCTCTCTGTACATACAGATTCCATAGGAAAGGCATAGAGAGGGCCATGCCCGGGTTCATCCTGCCGTCGAGCATGCATACACGCTAGCATTCCAGGTGTTCCCTCCTGCGTCACCACTGCTTTAAATAATGATCCAGATTGTCTAATTTAGACTATTCAAGTCAAAGAGGTCAAAGGTACTGGCCAGTTTCAGACGGTCGCACGGAATGAATTGTCTTGCTTGTCCAGCGTCTTCAAGTTGTTTCGTCCGTCTCATCCCATAACCCTCCCTCCAGAGCTGGATCTCGTGTGAAGGCCCTCAAGCGGTGGTTGTGGAGTCGGTCTAGATCAGATGCAGGGCTTTTGTCCAGCATATTGCAGGGTGCGGGAGTATACATGTACATATGTGGATGGCCTTCTCGAGATGGTGCCCCAGACAGCGCATATGAGAGAGTGCAGTGCACCAAAAGCCGTCATTCTCTTCGACGAGTCACGAAGCAGCGTCGAATCTGGTATGAAGTCACCGGCCCCCAACTCGTTCACGCACGTTCGCTCTTTTTACCCCGTCCGGTCCTTGGTGATGCGGCGCGCAGGGTGGGGTCTGGCTGGTGGGCCTCATTGGCGCAGGACTGACTCGGAAATTGGTCTTGGAAGAGATGCGTCCTATGTCCCGGTATCACTATTAGCCTACTAGATCCCTGGAAAGTAGTCATATTCCTTGGCCTTGTTTTTGTCTTCTACTATCATTGTTGAGTATATCTTGTTTTTTGTCTTGGATCGGGGAGTTTGTATTTCTTTGGTGCAGCTGAGGCAGCTCTGGATGTATAGATTGTACAGATCATGTCGATACATTAGATGGACGGTATGCCCTCTCACCCTGGTCCAAGACGAGGTTACCGCGCCCTGTATGAGAAACAGGAATGAGCAAGAGTCTCTGTTGATACTCAATCTGTCTTCATGCACTATCCTTCGCCTAGGGGGTAGAGAGAGGATTGTGGTTCTCCTCCACCTTACCCGACGCCTCCAATGCGCCCACGCCCCCGAGACAAGATCGGCGGGCCCGACCGCTTGGGTGTGCCACCCCCGCCGGTGCCACGGGATTCAGTCTGATTCCTGGCCAACCCAACCTCCCTGAAAGGGAGGAAGGACTCCGGTTCATAGGAGAAGCCACTGGGAACTCAGTACGACCTTAGAATCCTGCCGGAATCCTGTTCCATTGTTAATTAATACCCCGTGGACTCCGTATCTACCTCGCATGTAGTACAAGAACATGTCCGTCATGTCTTTTTGGATATCCTCCCGAGGGCCAACCAGACTCGTTATATCCGGCGGTACCTCTGACCGTAGGTGATCTTCAAGGCCCCAGACAAGGCCACCCTTCGAACTCTTCACGTATGAAGCCACCCGCTCTCTGTCTTGGATTTGGAAAGCCTCGGAAAGTTCCCGCAGGCGGGTTTCCCACTTTCTTTTTGTCTTTGTATTTATTTATTTATTTATTTATTTTGACTTTGTACTTGCCCGAGGAAGAGGAACGGGGCAATGGTCGGCGACTCGTCACTATGAGTTCTCGTCCGCCGGACTATTGGATGTCCGTTTGCCTTTTTCTTCCCCTGACCCACCCAGCCAATGGATCTGGGGGTAACAAAAAAGGCGGACTCGTTCAGATGAGACATATCTGACTGGGCCTGGGACCGGGCCATTTTGGTCGACAGAGTTGCGGGGTGGAACGCTCAGGTATCCAGGTGTCTGATGAACTCGAAGAATAGGAGGTGGGAGGATTATAGGGAGCCCTAGGGTTAGTATCTCGATATATAGTGACTGTAGAGTGACTGTGCCATTCTGGATGTACTGGCATTTATCGTGGGGACCATCACGATCATACCTATGCGATCGGGCCCGGGAAGCAAAACGCCAGGAACCGCACGAGCAATCCGGCAGGGGTTGAATGCTGCCCCAAGGGTCGTCGCTTTCGCGGTCTGGTCCGGGGTACCTCCGGGCTCGTTCTGGGCTCAACCACTGGCCCGTTCGCGATCGCCCGGGGCCTTTTCCCTCTTTCTCTTCCCCCCCCCCAACTCCCCGAGATCCACCACCCCCCCAAAAGAGCCCCCCATCGTATAATGCGCAACCCGCTTCTCACCTGATCTGCTCTCTCTTCTCTTCCCTTCTCTCATCCGGTCTTTCTCGTATTCATTATCTCACTGTCGACTCTGTCCCCTCATTCTTCCCCCCTTCCCAAGTATGCCTAAACCGCCCTAGTACCCACTATCGTCCCCATCCCTCTCCTCCATCGCCATGGCCAATATCACCGCCGCCGGAGATGGGATCACCGGGGGCTATACGGGCCAGTCACTGGGCATGCAAATCACCATCGCGACACTGGCTGGCATCACGTGGTACAACGCCTTTGAGCTCGTCGTTCTGATCTTCGTCACTTTCGCTTTGTACCGCGGTCTCTACTTCTGGAGTTTGCTCGTCTCGTCCATCGGCCTGGTCCCCTACTCACTCGGGTTTTTGATGAAGTTCTTCAATCTCACTACCGCCACCTGGCTGCCCGTCACCTTTTTGACGATCGGCTGGTGGACCATGGTCACCGGCCAGTCCATCGTCCTATACTCCCGCCTTCACTTGGTCCTCGCCAATCAGCGCGTGCTGCGGCGCGTACTGATCATGATCCTGGTCAATGCGGTCGCGCTACACATCCCAACCACCGTATTGACGTACGGCACCAACCTCGCTCCCGCAGGTGGGCCCCGCAATGCCTATATCAGAGGGTACAACGTGATGGAAAAGATCCAGATGACTGGGTTCTGTCTCCAGGAATTCATCATTTCCGGTCTCTATATCTGGGAGACGGTGCGCATGATTCGTCTAGACCCAGATCGCACAAAGCGCAAGATCCAGTATCAATTAATCATCATCAACATGGTCATCATTATCCTGGACCTCGGGCTGCTGGTCGCCGAGTATCGCAACTACTACATCATGGAGACCATGCTCAAAGGGGCCGTGTATAGCATCAAACTCAAGCTCGAATTTGCGGTCTTGGGTAAACTCATCCACTTGGTTCACAATCACGTCTGGAAGCCTGAATCTTTTTCCGCCCCTGGAGAACTCCCCGATTTTGTCGACGCAACCCGAGTGACATCTGACCTCACTCATGCAGCGCCCACTAGCTCTCACCGGGGCCCGAACTGGATGGATGCGGATGATATTTCTATCGCCATGTTTGAACACTCTCCACAAGCTGACCCCAATGCGACCTCCGACTGGAGTAGTGAGACTCGGATTCACTACACCGAACACCACACCATTGATTTTACCAACCACCCGTGCCAGTACCAGCGGAAACCCGCCAAACTAAGCGAGAAACCCGGATGAAGTCATCCACGTCCTGAACCGAGACCCGTTCCATCTTTCCCCACCGCAATCGCTTTCCTATCATCTGCTTACGACTTACGGATTACGAGATATGCCCATCACTGATTTTTCGTGATATCCCCAATACCCTTTGACCGCCTACCGACCCGGTCTGGGACACATTTCGGCAGCTACAAGGGAAATGCACCAAACTCCCTATCACCCATACGGCTACCCTTGTCCGGGCACTTTCACATCCGACCCTCTTGATTGAGGATATCTTCTCGATTTCGATCGATCCCAAATGGATGCTATCAGAAGATCGGAAAACGCGCACACTGCACCGAAGAACACCCCAGGGTGTAGAGGCTCTGCAGGTTTTGACCTTGCCCTCGCCGGGATTTTCTTGTGTAGTGTTGCTGCAAAGAAAGCTGGCTCCTGTTGGATAGACAGCGACTACAGTATATAGTGATCTACCACTCAGAAACTTCTAATATTGGTTTTCCTACCCACTCCCACTCCTGATTCTGCTCCTTCTCGTACTTTTTAAGAGAATGTATGTAACTCCCTTCGCTCCTTCTTGATAGTTGCAGCCATACAATTCGGAATATCAGAAATGCTGGCCCACCTATGGCCTGAACATTCTGGGTTGTCCTTTTCGTTGTTTTCATGGACACGGGCCATATGAACTTCCACCCTATCTTGCAAAACCTTCATATTCAAGTCCCAGCGTCAGAGGCGCGGAGGAATCTCGGAAGCCACCAAACTTTCGTGGTGTCGATCTCCACGTTCCACATTCCCCGTGGGGAGCCGACCCCACTTTATGTCGTCTCTTCACGCTTCTTCAGGAAGGTCGATGTGCCACCAAGAATATATATGACATGGGATATATAATCTCTGGCACCATTTTTTTTCTGGTCTGTGACAAACAGATAGCACCACGATGAGATTTGTGTTGACCCTGAGCCTGTTGTGGAGCGCTGGGGTGGCAGTGGCGGGTGGTGACGCAGTAAGTGGCGCCCTCGATATTGAATACCTTCATTCCACTCAAATTTGTATAGCCCTTTCACCCACGCTCCAATGACTCCAAATGTTCCCGTGCTGCCTCGACCTTGTCTCTCAGTGACCCGCCGTACGACAATTACTTCTACTCAGACTGTAATGTCGCGGCACAGGTAGTAGTCACCAGCCCACTCCCAGACAGTAACCTCTCCCTCATCGGGCCACGTCTGATCGTCGCCTGGCCCGCCGGTGACAGCGGCATAGCTACCTTCTATACGCCGCAAAATGGCCCCAACGGGACCCTTTCTATTGAACTCGTGAATTCTACCGCCGGCCAGCCCCTCGGACCTGTCTATACCGCAGCATCCAACGCCTCTGCGTCCCCAAGTGTCGGCGTCCAAGGCGTTGTCCGATTCAATGCCTCCGCCACTCTTACTCTACCCATACTTGGGAGCATCCGCACGATTCGTGACTTCGTCGAGGGTGCCAGTATCCTGTACCCAGAGATCCAAGATGCAGTGCACTTTGCCACTTCTTCTGACGGCAGCGTCTCCCTACAACGCCGCTGGCTCGACAACGTCACAACCACCACCCTGACCTTCCAGCCCATGACTAACGTCTCCAACGCGCGCCTCATCCTGGCTAATCGCACCTTGACTTTCACGCCCGGTGACTACCTGTTTTCTGCAGCCATGGACTACCCGCAGCTGACGACGCTGAAGTCGAGCGCCGTGCTAAACACGGCGTCGAGCAACCTGACGGTGTCAATGCCGGGCCAGGTGGCGGCGCTGTCGTTCCTGTCTTACTCGCAGAAGCTGCTGGCGGGGGCATGGCGGTTTTTGACGTATTTCGGACGCGACTCGATGATTTCTGCGCTGTTGTTGGAGCCTGTGCTGAGTTCGGGCAATGGGAGTGCGATGGAGGCGGTGATTGGCGCAGTCCTGGAGAGGATTAATCGGACAGATGGGAGTGTTTGCCATGAGGAGACTATTGGGTGAGTCTGAACCTGAGTTATGTAGTGATTGAATATGGGATCTTGAAGAATGAGCTCACTGGTTACATTATAGTGACTATGCGACTTGGACGAATCTGCAGTCGAATATTTCGAGCAATGCTATGGTTTGCGACTATAAAATGGTATTTCTATGGCATATCTAAAAAGCCAATGTTGTGCCCAAAGTTAATGCTTCTTGATGTTTTAGATCGATTCTGATTACTACCTTCCTATCTTGATGCAGAAGTATTTCCTCGACAACCCCGTAGGACAGAAAAGGGTTTCGGATTTCCTCAAGTATTGATCCTCTTCACTATTTGATGCTTGCTTTTTGGATGCGCCGACTAATATTTCGCTTGTTTAGTACATCCGCTGGCTCTATCAATGCCGCAAACCAGAACTTGACCTGGGGCAACCTGTCGCTGATCAATGCAGAGCGAATTATGCGACTTGCGCGGCCTTTTGCAGAGGAGCAAATCAAAGAAAATCTCATCCACTTGAAAGAGGGGCAGGTCGTTGGCGAATGGAGAGATAGCGAATATGGTATGCATGACATTTCTAGCGACACAACTCTGCCTATCCCCGACTATCATAGACTGATCGCTGCATAGGCATTGGTGGAGGTCGCATCCCCTATGATGTAAACACAGCTCTTGTTCCGGCGGCCCTTCGTTCTATTGCCCTGTTGGCTCGCAGCGGTTTCTATGCGAGTCGACTGCGCTGGGCCACGCTAGCCGACCAATATGCTCAGATCTGGGAAGACAGGACTCTAGATTTTTTCATAGTGACCATTCCGCAGTCTGATGCACGCGACCTCGTTGCTTCCTACAAGAATGCATCTTCCTTTGCAGGCCCAGACCAATCATCCGCCATTGACTCGGATGTTGTTTACCACGCTCTCGCGCTTGATGGCTACAATAAAATCTCCAAGGTGGAAGTCATGAATACGGATGACTGCTTCCGACATTTTCTCTTGAACACTACCAACGACGTCCAACTCACCTCATTCATGAACAGCTCTGCCAATAATATTCGCCGCGATTTCCCCGCTGGCCTGATGACCTCCGTCGGTATGCTGGTTGCTAACCCCGCCTTCGGCTCTGATCCGGTCTATGCGCAGAACTGGACGACGGGAGCCTACCACGGCACAGTTGTGTGGTCGTGGCAACTTGCGATGATGGCTAAGGGGCTGGAGCTGCAAATGGGGCGGTGTGAGGTTACAGCTAACTTTTCTGCGACGGCAAGGAATGGTAGGGGTAGGACGGGCGTGGTGCAGCCGACGCCAGAATTTTGCACGGACGAGTCGGTGTGGACCAATGTAAAAGCCGCGTACAATGCACTATGGGATTCGATCGAGGCCAACCAGGACCAACTGTCCGGCGAGGTCTGGTCATGGGTTTATCGCAACGGCGACTTCCAAGTCACGCCATTAGGGGTGTTGCCGCCACCGGGCGGCGGGACTCAGACCGGTACGTGGGAACACCGACTTATGGATGCATAAGTTTACTATTTGGGAAGGATTTCCCCTTGTGCTGACATTGGGCTAGAATCTGATATCCGCCAGCTGTGGTCTCTCACCTTCTTGGCAGTCTCGCGAAATGCGCTTTACAAATAATTCCAGGAGCGGGTGGAGTCTCGGGGAACTGACTCGAACTATATCGGCGCCTGTCGGCCGATCTCCGCCGATCCCATGAGCGAAAAGCACACTCAATTCCAAATCAAAAGCCTAAAAATAAGCAAACACCGGAACTTTTCCCGACGCTGCGGCGCAGAGACCACCTAGTGGCCAGGTGCAGGAGATTAAAGCTGACGATCGTGACTTTTGCGTGAACATCCTTGTTTCTTGTTTTTTTTCCCTAGTGTAGATTCAATGCTATCGCAAAAGGATCTTCTGGCCTGCCATTATGATTGCACCGTCGTTCAATATCACCGAAATCTGTACCCCACTTAGCACGCTTAGCACACTGCAGTCCTAGTGCATCCTGGCTGCATCCCAAGGCTGGCTCTCTTCACCCTCGGGCCACAAACTGGACCGGGGGTCACACTTAACTTCGCGAGGCTGCAGGGCTTCAGACCACTGAGCCTATGCCGTCCTTCATCATGTCGCTATATCGCCTGCCCATCGAGATATTCGAGCCGGTAATAGCTCATCTCAAAGAAGAACATCCGCCAAGTCTCCTGAGCTTGGCTCTCGCGAATAAATCATGTTTCACCAGATGCGCACCAGCCATCAAATCATTGATGTTCCATGATGTTCGCATGAATATGAGAAGGCATGGTCGAAAGAAACCAGACTTGGCTACGGATGTGGAGAAGCTTGTTCAGAAGATAGAAAAAGCCGGCAGCTCCGAATATGTTCGGCGACTGGTGATCGATGAACATTCTTGTCCTTCGTGCGCAGAGAACGATGAATGGCAACCGCCCCGACTGGAAGATCTGAAGTCGAAACCTGGTCGACCATACGGACCATTGTATGGCAATTTGAATCATCCTCACGGATACAGTGATCTACCAGCTTGGAGTAATAGTGAGGTCCGAGGGCGCGAGCAGGACTGGCTGGGCGTTCACTACGACAACGACACTTGGCTTCCGTTGGTCTCTTTGATCGAAAAGTTACCCAAGTTGGAAGATCTGGTCTATCTATGCAAAGAACAGTTTCCTCCTTGTTTACTTGACGCATTGCATGAGAAAAATCCCCAATGCAGGCTTCGACTCCACTCGCTTCTTCTGCGCAGCCTCAATGCGATCCAGACAGACCCGTACGAGTTCAAGCTGGTCACATCGCCTTCGCTTTATAGCGTCGTTCTCAAGACCGAGGAATTAGGGGGTATCAGCTATCGAGGTGACCCTTGCTATCAACGAACCGCATTACTACGTTCATTACGGCTGGCTCCAAACCTGAAAGAGGTCTTTGTCGGCCGCGATACACCTACTGCTCGATCAAACTCCAACTTGCCATCTCCTATATTCACCAAATTCACTCAAGAAGAAGAAGGTGCAGGCCAATCTCTAGGGTCACTCGAGCACCTTAAAATCTACGACTGCGCGCTTATCCCAAAATCGACACTGAACGAATGGGGCGAGTTCACGAATTTCTCAGCGTTGCGCAGTCTGGAGCTAACAGGACCGGTAACTTGCGAAGCTCTCGCATGCTGGACATCCGCCTGCACCTTTCCAAATCTTCAGAAGCTGTCGATGTGGCTCAAAGCTCCGCTCTACTCTATAGAGTTATATGAACATGCGCGGTCTTTTCTTCGGTCACTCCCGCCTTTGACCGAGCTTTGTCTGGAAGGCTGGCACTCATTTCTTCCAATAGAGTCCATCGTGTCGCATCATGGTCCTTCCCTGCGCAAGCTAGCACTCTTATACAATAAGCGTCACGAGAAACGCTGTCTCACCGAATCCGATATCAAAGAAATCGCGACCTACTGCCCTATCCTAGAAGACCTTTCCTGCAAGATCCAACGCACTCAGGGCGACCCTACGGAAGTCAGACTATACAGAGCCCTAGGTACAATCCGGGCCCTCCGTAATCTCTCGTTAGATCTCAGCGTCGCCGACCCAGCTCTCTACGGCGGCGAAACTGCCGATCAGCTCACAATGTGCCCACCAGAACGCAACAGCATGCTGCTCCACGAACTATTCAACAACTGGGAAATGCAGCTTCCAACTCTACCACGCCCACAACCCGTCTCCTCACGACATCCCTGCTTTGACAAATTCGGGAACGAGCTCGCCGAGCCCGACCTGCGGCACTTCTTTCGCAGCCGCAACGGCCATGTCCGCCGCTTCATGATCAATAGCGCCGTCGATAAAGATCTCGCTTGCTCGATCTTTCGCACCGTCGCCGCTGCCAAGCCTCCCGATACCCTGCCTCTAGAAGGCATGAACCTCCGCATTGACGAGCTAGAAGCAACCCGGATTTTCACCGCCGCGTGGCGCGTGGAGCGCGACGTGCGCCACGATCGTCTCAATGAGCTCGTTGCCTGGGAACCGGGGCTGACATCTGGCATGCTGGAGCAGCGAGCTCGACCGCTGCCCACCTGGCAGGGCGTGATCTTCCGGACGATCTGGCCACGGCCGAAGAACGGGGAGGTGTGGGTGGATATTCCGTTTACGCCGGCGAGGCCGAAGAAAGAAGGGCTAGTGGCGAAGTTGGTAAAGCAGAAGAAACCAGCCATTATGATGCCCACTGTTGGATATGACTGGTGGGATCAGTGGTTTGGGTTTCCTCTTGCTGTATAGAGCTTTGATGGGGATGCTTCTGGGGATGAGATAGAAGGGCTTTTATGGAGTACATATACCATGGGGTTTTTATGATTAACTTTTATTGTATAATGCCAAAGTTTCACTTTTTTTGATTGAATAATCAATGTTCATATTGAGAACTGTTTGAAACGACCTCTTTTATTGCGCTGTCTTCCAGTAGCGAGTCTAGGGCTAGTCGCCTAACGTCCGTCCCCATATACAGATAGTTATCCAACTGCTCGCAACTTGAAAAAGTTTTCGCAAAAGTTATTCTGTTCACTATATGAAAAATTGCTTCCACGAGCAATAAACACTGAGAAAATCAACAATATTTCAATTTGAGAGCAATAATAATCAAAATTAATTATCGGCAACCGTGTCAGCGAAACCGTTTCCACCACCCAAAAATTAGTCTTTGTTTGTGCTTCCATCTAAAAAAGCCTTGCCATTTGGAGTTGGTGTGCTTTGAGCTATTGAGTCTCTCCTTGAACGAGTTGTTGGCCTCCTGCCCATGGTTGGCCTAGTTGTCAAGCGGCTGGCTTCCTGCTGCGCAGCTATGCACAGTTCCTGGGAACTTCGCAGCTGAAGTATATGAGTCAAAGGCTCACGACCTGTATCATCGACCAGTAAGATACACGGGAAAACAGTGAGAATATTAATGTCTTGTATTTTCTGGCCTTGTCCGTTGGGGACCGCATTTTCCCCAGGAAAACGAAAAGGCTTCCAATCATCATCCACAACGTCCGAAAAATCAAACACAGCCTCATATTTCTGTTGCGCTCGCTGAATCGGGAGCCAAAACTCCATTGCCTTGCGTGTGATTTCTTTAATGGCTGCGCAAAATAGATCATGCTGTGATTTGGGTAGCAGTCCCGATATGTATGCCGACATGTTCTCGACCACGGTTCTAGCTTCATCCAGGAGGGTATCTCTCTCGGCATTTTGATCAACGGATAGAAATACATGTCGACAGAAAGATTCTTTTTCACTATTCTCCTCAGCAAGAAGGCTGAGGATATTACAAACCTGGTGGTTCCCTGAGAGAATGTAGACTGGGTGAAATATATGCTGGACAATCTCCCTTGCAAGAACAGCAAGGACCATAGCGAGGCGCATATATTTAGCTGCCGGCGAATTCAGATTGAGTAAAGGAACCTGATGCGGTAGATCTTGTCCATTTGCTTTTTTAAGTCTCTCCCAGATCGAATTATCCTTTAACCTAGTGAGCGACGAGCACAAAGAGAAAAAGGGTTCCAACACGAACCTTTAGAGTTTCCATCTCAACGTCTTGCTTTATGAAAGGATACAATTCCTTTGTAGCATACTCCCAAAGGCCCGAGAAGTTTTTGCCGCTATATACATGGTTGCAGAAGTAATCAGCATATGGAGGGCTTCAAGTAACAACTATGCACAACTTACACAGTGTCTTCGTCAACTTCCGAGTTTCTGACAACGAAACTTTCTAATTTTTCAAGCCGAGCCTTGGTTTGTTTTAGTTCTTTGCCCCTCAAACTATGGGCATCGTCGAGATCCTTATTTTTCTTCTGCTCCGATAACAACATCGACTTGGTTTTTGAATCAGTACTCTTCAGCATGTCAATTGTTTTGTCTTTTTCTTTCAAATTGCCCTGAAGAGTGCTAATGTCTTTTGCAGATTGTGAGACTTTGGAGGCCTCCTGCGCGTAGACTGATTTGAGATTTTCGATCTGCCGCTGAGCACCGGCCACTTGTTTGGAGTATTCTGCGACGCGATCTTCTTTTTCCTTGATTTTGGCACGAAGTGACTCGATTTGTGCTTGAGAGTCTCTTTGTTTTGCCTTTTCGCTCTCGTAATTACTACAAACTTCTTCAACGGCAATTCTTTTTTTTCTTCCATATCATGGATCGTTTTTTTGGCTGCCTCCAATTCCCCATCTTTCACCTTGAGTTTCTCGCACAGTTTATCAATTTCGTTAAGAATGGATGATACATGTGCGTATTCTTTGCTTGAAGCAAACGAATTGATATGCTTGAAAAAATCTCTCAGGCTATCACTGTTGGCAGCATATGGGGTGCCCGCCTTCTCCGCAGCAAAATGATTTGAGACAACAGAAGTCATGTTTCTGTGATATGGTGATCTGTTGATTTAATCAGAAGATATTATAGAGGAAAGAAAAACTCTTGATCTAGCAAAAGCTTCCAATGGAATATGGCCAGACTTTATGTGGGTAAATGCCGGAGAGGTTCAATCTTTCAGATCTAAAGGCGAAAATACCGGGCTGAGCCTCAGGATGCGGGGGAAAGCGATGCGCTTGTATGCATGCAATTACAAGGGTGGATTGGGACGTGTCCTTGAGCATGTGGTTTGAACGCATGCAAGCCATAGCGCCATACGTATGCCGAATAGCCAGATTCGCACGTGTCGTTCAGACAATGGTCGCACCACGGGGGCTGTTTCCTGCCTCTCATGAATCTAAATGCTGGAGCTCAATCTAATTGATTCAATCCCTCAAGAAATTGCATGGATAACATCTAGATAAACCATTTTCTGGGATTTTGGCGAGGAGCGGGCGCGCACCTCCCTATCTTCCTAGATTTCTGCATCAAGGATGAGATGGCTAGTATGACATGGATATAGTATAGGCGTCGCCCCGGCAAAGCAAAGACCAGTGCTTGAGGCGATGTAGACAAGTGATAGGACAGCATATTTCGAGGCCAATTTTGAAAAACCCCCAATTCGATGCCCCCCCCCCCCCCCCCCCAATGGTCCATATTCTAATAAATTAAATTCGCATGATTCATGCTAAGAGAGATGCACAGACGAGGCCAAGTTTACACTGACATGGACCTGTGATTTTCAATTTTGGCTTGGCACCCTAGACGATGTGAGATTATATCCGGTTACCGAGAAGTGCTCCCCCTGTCAGTGACAAACCAGCTGCAGTTGACTGGCCATGGAGTCCCGACTCGAGCAAGGCTCCTGGGTCCACATTTTCTGGCGGTTGCGGCGCTTCAGCGACTGAGGCGTGAGACGTGGGATCTAGAACATATATTAGCGATTGCTGAGGATTTCAGCTGATTTTCATTAGAAAGGTACTGACCTATGAAACAAGTACGTGCGATATGGTTCCAGATGTTAAGAAGAGACGAAGCTCCCGTGATGAGAAGCGAGATGAGTGATAGTGTTGTATCGATCGACCAGGACATCATGGCCGCCTTGTGCCAGTTTACCAATATTTAGACGTCGCACGAATGATTTTATATCCAGGGATCAACCCGTATCCTGGAACTTTATAGGGTAATTGCGAGCATCACAGCAGTCAGCAAACCGAATTGTGGTCATGAGCGGAGTAATATGGTATAAATCTGTAGAGAAATGAGATATTGGAAGGAACGAATCAGAGTGCTGGATTTGGCCCCAATGTGGACGAGCTGCGATCCCAAAATTTCGAAGTGGCTCAAAGAAGAATTTGGCCAGAAAACTTCGGAAATGAAGACAGCACAGCACATATGGGACTCTGGTATCAACCAATCACGGGGTCAGCTGAATGTGAAAAAGCTGCCCGTGAAAACAATTTTGGTCTTAACCAATCAGCTCTGCGGTCGCAATTGATGAGGCTGCAGAGCGATGAAAGTATATGAATGGCTTAATTATTTCTGGAAGAGTATGGAGAACAAGAAGGTCTGAGAGCCCAGTGTCTACGAGAGTGTTCGTTGGGTTGAAATTGACATATCAAAATATGGAAATATTGTTTATCCCTTTTAGTCACTTAAGAACCTTTCAAGTTACCTAGTCAAGGTACTTGCTTGTTCATGATTCTGTATATGAGACACAATCGTTGTTTAGCAGCTAGGGAGCCACTCCGGCGCCGACCGCCCACGACTTCCAGATGGTACATCGTATCCCACAATAGACTTTTCAAGTGTGAATGGACTGGCCAAGATAGAAATGTCTTCTTGTAGACCCCAATCTTTGCCGCTCATCCGTTGAAAGTATTCGGGGCGCTGAAAAAGGTCTGGACGCACTTTCCGTATCGCAGCATAAGTTTTCATGACCAGGACAGACATCTCATCGTAGTGTCGGAGATTTAAATCTTCGTGGCGAGCAAGAAGGGCCTTCTGCATCTCTGAAGTATATTCACCAAGACGGTAATACCAGATGTTGTACTGTGTCAAAGAGATGTCGATGTCGAATGTCACATCTTCTTGGGTGCGGACTAATAAAGCGTGAGCAATAGCAGCTGCTCCGGCTATACCCATCTGATAATCCGAGTTCGCTAAAGGAATTGTTAGCTGTTGCATATATGAGTACTCCAAGCAAATTACTTACGCAAGAGAGGAACCACTGGCTCATTCAGCCCAAGAAATTTTCCTTGCATCCAGGCGAGGCCTACGAGACAGTCACTGATCTGCTGCCACCCTGAACGATATGCCAGCGGCCCTTTGAATCCGTAACAGTTTTCGCGAAGATAGATTAAAGAGGGATTTATCTGTCGAAGGGCATCCGCGGTAAAGCCCAATTGACTCAGTACCCCAGGGCGATAGCCATCAATCAAAACGTCAGCAGACTCAACGAGCTTCGAAAATTTCTCCTTGCCCTCCTTGCCCTTCAAGTCTATATTTGTGTCGCGCTTTCCAGTGCTGAGATCTACCCAGGTAACACTGACATCAGGAAGCCTCTCCCAAGTGACTTTAAGTACCTCGGCTCCAAGGGAAGCTAGAACCTTTGAGATCACTGGAGCAGCAATGACGCGTGAAAAGTCAATAACACGAATACCGGCGAGCGGCCGGGAGGTACTCTTGACTTGGGGCCAAGGCTTCCTTTGAGCATCTCTTTTGTTGAGAGTGTATAGCGGCTCTTTGCCCATGAATTGACCCTGATAAAGTTTGATTGTTAGTAGAAGTAGAAGCCAAGCATCATGTTCTCATTGTAGGCGCTCTGCAATCCGAGTAAAACAACCACTCACATGTTCGGATGCGAAAAATTCTTCAGGCAAGTTGCAGGTTACGCCAGCCTGTCTATACTGCTCGTTGGCCACTCGTTCGATTTCCTCTGAATTCCACTGAGCCACCTTATCCATGTATATTTTTCTTGCTTCTTCGTGGGTAACATCTTGTTCTACAACCCCAAGCATATTCATGGTCTGTGTTGCATTCATAGAGCCATGTAGATGATACCAGCGGCCGTCCTTGGTCTGATAGACGTTGGTACCCTGGCGGTGAATGGGCTTGGCCATGTCATGAGGATCCCCCTTTGCCAAATCTGCCTGAATCTGGGGGTTCTCCATTGTGGGCTTTCCATTGACAGTCGGAAGTATGAGTGACATTAAAAATAGGGATGCAACATCTCTATGGCACTGCGTTATACACATCGACTCTAGGAAGACATTGAGGGAATCGACTCACGTGTTCACCGTTATGTCTTGGTAATCGATTCCATAACGATCCTTGGAGATTGTGCTAGCAATGCTAGCTACGAGTGCATTCAACGCAGCACTTGATTCTGTGATTTTCAAAGGCGTTGGAATGAAAGGTTGGCTATCTCCAATAAATCTGACCTTCTTTGCAGCCTCTCTAAAAGAACTTGGGAATTCAATATCCTTTCCATCGAGAAGACAGTCGGTCAGGATCCGAGCGGACTCGGCTTGTATAGAATAGGAAGTCATTTGAGAGATACCGTGTTCCAAAAGAGGAGAAGAAATTTTGAGTAGAAGCTTAATGATCGGGCCGAGGTTTACGCTTTAAGTATCTCGCTAAATCAGCTAGACTCGGCTATGACATGATTTCCCCATGATTTACGCCAAGATTGCTCTGTTTCGGCGATTTGCATGTATTCTGGTTTGCCCCACTCGGCAACGCGGCAATCCCAAATTAATGTGGTCCGCGCAAATCATTTATGTACATAAGAAAAATTAGGGATGATCATGGACAAGTGATTGGCTAACTGAAATATTGATACGAGATGTTGAGAAGGGATCTTTGGCGACTAAAACGAAGTTGGAAGAGGGCAGCTCAATCATCTCGCTTAATGCTTGGAGCTCGAGTTCATGCATTCTAATAAGATAAGGGCACAATCTCTTCTCCATAAAACTTACGGCATAATCATTCATGATTCAAACTGAAGTCTTAAGTTTCATCGCTGAATTTCTCTTGTATGGCTAGACAGAAAAATAACTCCAGATGGATATTTCTGTTGGTAATAGATGATTCAACAGCTCTTATTCAAGGACAAAAAGTGTAAATAATTCATTTATGCGGTTTTGTCTTGTGAGTCAAATAAGGCAACTCAAATAAGGCAAGCGCAATTTTGGCAAATATTCACTGCCAAGCCCAAGATAGAGGTCAAGCATAGGAATGTTCAATATAATCTTGAAAAATAATCTTGATCCTGAGCTAATAGTTGACCAATGACTGCAATAAAAGTGTAGACACCAATTCCGGTAAGTTTCAACAAGATCCAGCTTCGTTCTGAATCTGCACTACTCTCACATCACAGATCACAGCGGACGAGACAAAACTTGTGCACTGCCAGTTGTGGGTGAGTCTTTGAAGTATCAAAGTGAGTACAGCCGTAGTAGCTATAGATGCTTAATTTTTCTTGTACGTCACTGCATCACGGACGATCATCTAAAGACATTTCTACCCCTTTGAGCCGGATTGTTTAATCATGTTTGATATTGGTTCATAGAAGTTCTGCGAGATCATCTCGCCTTGCTATTGGACTATTTTGCAGAAGACTGGAGATTAATGGTGAGGCTCGGAACTGAATCGGATCCGAAACAAACATGAAATGATAAAGGGTCTTGGAATAGGATCCTCTCCTTAATGCGTCATTAATTATCAGCACCCCTGTCCATGCAGGCTATCAGCAGAAAGTAAGAGACCCCCAGATTTCCGAACAGTATCCTTTAAAGATTCAGTTATTGGTTACTCTATTACACCTCCCTCCTGATTCAGTAAATTTGCATTCGCTGCCCCCTTGTATCCTTTGCCTAATCAGAAGGCTACTATTTGCTCAAGTAAGGACTTTGCAGGTTACATCAAAGACAGCAAGTCAATTTCACATCATCAACCATTTTATTAGGTCTAGCCCCTCTAATCAACTATGCACCTTTCAGGTGAAATAAAACGCTTTGGTTACACTGCTTCCGGCACCTCGTCAGAAATGAAATCAAATCTCCCCGATGAGCGAAAAAAACTAAGTACTGACCCTTTGAGAACTCGGGCCTCAAACAAACTAAGTGTTTTGGTTGGTGGGATGCCCGGACTCAGATGCATGCAGTGAGGTCAGTCGATATCAAATGCAATCCGACTCTATGCGTGCCAAAACTTCCGTTGCTAAGCGTCAAGCTTATGATCAGTTGTGTGACCCCAAAATCTACTCCTAGTATCTGAATTGTATGACTTCGAGCCTCATGGGCAGAAAATAGTCTCCCTTACAATCACATGGTAAATCCATCATAACAGAGCCGGTGAAATTGGTCTCAACATCACTCTTAGAGACTCTGCTCTTCTGGTTATTTATGTATTCTCCCGAGTGTCTTCCGGTCTGTATAGTACTCACATAGCCCCATGCCTTGTGCTCATGCTGTCATGAGTCCTTTCAGCCCCTCTTATCTCATTAAAGGATAATAATGCTGTGCTTTCTGTTGGTCCTCTTTCAACCTTCCAGAAATCGAGCAGGATATAAACTGCCATTCATTTCGATTCAAATTATCCATGTCAGTCTACGATCTTTATTTTGCCTTCGGGAAGCCAGGTACCTATTTTTTGGATCATACCCAAGGAAACTATAGGTAATTAGGGCGAGCAACTCACAATATCAGCGTGGTACACGACTGATTCAAATCAAGCCAGCGGATGCCGACGCAGTATTACGAGTATACTAGGAAATACCCCGCAAAGTCTTTCAAGACCCTAGCCTGTGATGCAAATGACAATCTTTTCATGGTTTGGGTTCGCGAAAGCGGGACATTAGGTGGGGCTATCTAACATTTACTATTATATTCAGATTGTTCACTGACCTAGAATAGTTGGGAAGGCGAAATTGCAACACGACTACCCGTCTCTTCATAGGTTTCTCGGAAAAGAAGGGAGCATTTACTGCCAAGTTCACTTTGGGTCCGAAGTGGGAGAATACTTCGTTATGAGTGAAAAGACCGGGAACCGCCAATGGATTTCGGACCGGCTCGACAAGGACTTCGAGTACGAGACACAGAGATTTAAATTGTGCTCTCTTGGGATCAACGGCACGTATGTAGCTATATTTACTGACGGTGGAGCGAGATGGTCACTCGATGAAGAATATCCAGACCTCCTCAAGATCCTAAAACGCATCAGACAGGGGGATTTGGTGGTACGTTCTTCCTCAAAGTAAATGCAGTGTATAACAAGAACATAATAACGGTTAGTTCTCATACTTCTATACAGTTTGCGGCTCTCAACCCATACCGAGCGAACGAGTTCTTCGTCGCTCTGGCCGACGGCATCGTACATATCCGAGCGAGTGCATTAGTGGAGAGTCATGTGCTTGGTATCCTAGAACAATATCCGAATTTGACAGTTGTCACCAGCGACATCGTTAAACACAGCCAGCATTCTTCACAGGGCTTTCCACCAAAATCCCGGCGCAAGGAGTTCGTAAAGTTCATCGCCAAGAATGTAGCCGGAGGAGTCATATCTTCAGCGGTAGCAGCGACATTTTCATGCACCGTGATGTGAATACGGGACTCTTGTTGCATTGCTAGTATGACTAGCTTATACTTTCCATAATGAAAATCTCAAAACATATCGCCGAAAGAATTGGAGATATTATGGTGCTATGGGTATGATACGGCATACAAGATAATTTAGCAGACAGTCCCCAGAACTGCATTGTAAAGAATGACAAAGGCATCGACGAGCACCCTGGAAAGAAAAGGAAAACGAAAGCCCCCAGAGAGCTATTCTACTAGACGTCGTTCTTCTTCCAGGATCCAGACCCACTCCGCACAAGCTCGAACTCCTTATACCCCTCCACCAGTCCGTCTGCCAACTTGGTCATGGTAGCCCAGGCCGGAGCATACTGTTTGGCTTCATCGAGAGCAGGGATAAGACCGAGGCGATTATTGTCACTCCAAATACATGAAACGCGACCCTTGATTGAGCTCTCTTCTTCAGATGAGAGGTCTTGGGAGAAATTGACATCCACAGTCCAATTGCTGCCCCAGGTACGACTCCAGAGACGGATCTCGTGCATTCCATCGGCGGATGGCTGAAGGAATCGTTTGTCCGGCGCAGATGAGCCCACAACACTGAATGTTGTGATAGGGTGATTATCCATGGTTATACGACAGCTGCGGGTATTCTGGCCTGAGATCTCGAAGCGAGTAGGATGGCTTTTGCTTTCTGGTTCCGAGATGCTGAAAGTAACCCAGTCGGAAGTGGTGTTGCTTTCAACAACGTGTGGCTCCGGCCCAGGCCAAGAGCACTGCGTACGTTTAAGGTATTGGTAGCAATTTGTCTGGCCACCGGAACTGGGGAGACCGCGGACAATATCGCTAACAAAAGGGGGTACACCTGTCAGGTAAGCGGTGGAATTTCCTTTTTCCAAGTCGATTTGCTGAGAGAAGTACATCTTCACGCGACTAGAGTCTGAGAACGGGAAGGCGACAAGGTTGTAGATCAATGTACCGAGAAGGATGAAGAACAGGAATATCGGGACGTGGTAGGTATACCGGTGGATGTACGGCAACATAGGCATAAAAAGGAGCGCAGTCACCCCCGCAACGAACAAATACAAGATCAAGACGGGATCACCATCTTGGCCAGTCTGGCCAAGAGCACTAGTCATCAGAAGACCAATCGGGGCGAGTATCGTAACAATGATCGGGACAGTCAGGAGCAGTTGAAGCAACCAAGACCAACTAGGCATCGAAGCACTCCAAGATTGCTCATTTCCGTAAAGATGAGGATCTTGCTCTTCGCCTTCGTTGATTTCATGAGTCGCTGTGTAGTCGCCGGGGACATTGACATAGTTTGCAAAAGTCGTCCTCTGCCGGCCGTGAAGCAAAGATGTGGATTCCGTAGGCTCTTCTTCAACTTCTTGTTCCTCTTCCTCATCGCCAGAAGTGGCCCCAAGTCGACTACCGTAGCTACTGGGACGGCGAGACCCTTGAGCAAACTGGCCGGCATACTCTGATTTCGTTGGAAGGGAAAAGAGCTCAAGATACGAAATCCAGGTGGCCAGGAATGTACCGGCGAAATAGAACAGAGTGAAATAGCCTCCGCCCAGACCCTGCTCATTTTCAAATGTGGTGGCAATAACCAACAAAACCCAGGCGAGGACGAAAAGCCAGGTCCAGGTATAAACTCGATGAAATGCCGACGGTCGAGCAAAGTCAGCAACACAGGACACGAACCAAGCCAAAAAATCCAGGCCGCGACCATCATGCTCCAAACAGCATATGGGCTGCTATGGACAATGAAAGGGTTGATCTTTGTCACGAGGTAGGCCAGACCAACGACCACCGCTGTAGGAATAACAACCATGAATGGAAAGCGGAAGAAGCCGCGGAGACCCCGGAGTGCGATCTTCTCATCAGAAATCTCCAAATAGGTCGTAGATCGGAACAAATACATCTTGTCGGCTTGTGACAGAGCAATGCTAGTGACAAGCAAGATCAACGGCGCAACAATGAGAAGTGTCACTGACAATGCGAAAAGAGTATGCACTTGAAAAACAGCAAATGCGCTTCCAAAAAGATCAAACCATACAGCCTTGGTCCCAGTCCCACTGGGAACGTTACCGTCATCACGAATGCGGCCATCAAAGCGGTCTGTAGAATCTGAAACAAGCTCCTGGGTTGTGGTGACAGCGGCAGAGAGCATATGCCAGACAGAGTCCATACTAGTATGTCGCGAATCATCTTGGTCGGTATGATATCGTGCCCGTGGTTCAAAAAAGGCAACATCCAAGCCACGCAGCCCCATCATGCCCTCAAACACAACGTAATCAGTCTGGCTACCAACAAGTTCGAATCCATTTGCGCTGATCACCGTTCCGAATGGATATTTGGTCTTCGAATATGCCTCGGTGACCTCGGTATCGGAGGTACGGAACAGAGTCGCCCGCCCGCCCGCACCAGCACCTTCAAGGTTCAAGAAAGTGTGGGCAAACTTCGCCATTGGGTGCTGGCTGTATGCGCGTGCGCCGTTCAGGTAGTCCTCCTCGCCATTATTGAACAGTATGACCAAGCCGCGCCGCGGCGCATGGCCCGGTGTGAGGAAATATCTGAGCAGCTGCAGACATGTCACAACGCCGACGCCATCATCCGTAGCTCCGTAGCCGGTCGACACGCTGTCGTAGTGCGCGTTGACCAGGACTCCACCCTTGCCGGCGGGCGACTTTCCGGGCGTCTCCCACCAGTTCTCCTTCTTGTCTTCCCAACCGCGGATGTAAACCAAGATATTGGTGCCTTCAAAGTAGACACCTGTGCGCTTGTCGAAAGAAGTCAGGTTCGAGATCATGTCGTCGAAGACAAATACATCCGGTCTGGATTCATCCTCTAGGGCAAGCTCCGTAGACGCGACCTCCCGCTTAATTGCCTCGATGCGCTTCAGCAACCACCCACGAACTTCGTCATTTCGGTGTGAGTTGTATGGATGAAATCCGCCGGTGAGGGTTTGTAAGTCTTGCCAGGCTTCAGTGAGGTTCAGGCCCTTTGGGCTGGTTCGGGGAGCGGACGGGACGTTGACGTGAATGACTAGGATGGGGATGAGCAGGGCGAGGTACACCACGGTGGTTATTATTGTCACAGGCCACGGCGTAAAGGCCAAAGGATTCCTGGCCTTGAAAAAAGCCATCGCCGGAGGGAGAGGGTTGCGCGAGTGGGCGAGTGTGAACGTGACGGAAGTGAAGTTGGAGAGCGGAATGCTAGTGCGGGGGAAGCTCGTCGGGGCTACGATCATTACGGCAAGGTTGCACCGAGGTCGCCCCCTGCATTTCGCAACATCGCTACGACGCTCAGGCAGAAAAGTTCTTAATGGTGCATACATGCAATATAATTTCACATACCTAGATAAATATGAGGCATACAAGTTCCAGAGTCCGTAATCGCTCGCGCACAATGCATTTCCCAGAATAACAGACACCGAAGGGCAGAGGGTAATCTTCGCTCATATGGGTAGAAATATGACAACTTGCGCTTGATCCCGGCTCGGGGATCGGGTCCAGGAGAAGGCAAAAAAAAAGCAAAGGCAAGGGGATGCAAATCAAGTGAGGGCCTCCTTTATGAATCGACAGAGACAACACTGGGAGATAAGATGGGTGCATAAAGAAGAAAAGAGTGCAAGCTGGGGTATCGTATCAATCGTGAGGTGGCACATCGATAAAATCTTCATCGTTGATTCCTGTCGCGTGCATCAGACCGGTCATTTGTCCCTCGTCTTCATCCACTTCTTCATCATCATACATGGTGGTCTCTGTTTCTTCCTGCATCGGCGAAACATTTTGATTCAAGTAATCCCGGAGCCGAGTCACGCCGTCACCGCTGAACACACAAAACACATCACGCTGTTGCTGTGTGAACTCAGGAGGAGCTTCTCGGCAGAATGCGGTAAGATCCTCGTCCAGGAAAGCATGAACGCCGGTCAAACTCAGATGGGTAAGACGGGGGCAGTTGTTGATCAATGGACGAATTCCCTAATCCAGCAAAAGCAAATTTTAGTATTTGGTTGGCATCATATAGACTAGCTAGATTCAAACAGACCTTCATATTCAAGCTAACACAGTAGCTGAGATGCACTCGCTCCAGGTTGCTCACCATCGGGTGGTTGCCCCGGGGAGGATGTGCCAGCGCTAAAATGCTTTGGTTTGTGATAGCCTGGCATTTGACTAGACCAATTCGTCGGAGCTTCGGTAACGTAGCCAGTTGCTGGACACTCATATCGGTCAAGCGATTGCAGCAAGCCAAGTCTATATACCGAATACGGTTGCAAGACTTGATCAGTTGAATCACGGCCGAATCCGTAATGTTCGAGCAGTGGCCCAGGTGGACGTAATGCAAGTTTTTGCCTAATTTGCAAATGGCATGTACGGAGCGATCCGTGATGAAACGGCATTTGGCCAGGACCAAATTCCGGAGACGCGGAGCAGCACCCACAATACGCTCCACGGCATCATCTTTGACATTTTCGCACGCGGTCAGATCTAAAATGCGCAGGCTGTCAAAGGTCATCTGCTCTGGCAAATTCATGAAGGCTGAGTCATTGATCTCGGTGCAGTGAGCAAGCCGTAATTCTCGCAAATGACGGAGAGTGGTGATCAACGCTGCTACTGACGAGCTGGTGACCAATTTACAGTCATACAGATCAATCTCAAGAATAGCCGGACAATTTTCAGCAAATGATAAGATGGAGCGGTCGGTGATGTGCACCACCCCGTTGAGTTTTAATCGCTTGATTTGGCGGCAGTTCTGGGACACCACAAGTAATGAATCGTCGGTCACCTTCAAACACCCTGTGATGTTCAGACCTTGTAAGCGCGGGCAATTTCTTGCCACCGTATAGAGAGTGTGATCCGTCAAATATCGTAATTCGGAGACATCCAACGCCTGAAGATGCCGGTTGCCCTCAACTAGGTCCGAGACACCGTTGTCGGTGAGTTGGGAACAGTTGGTTAGCGTCAAGCGCTCGATTCGCTTGCACTGAGTGAACGGAGCAACTGTGCCATCACTGACATTCTCCATCAACGCCGACAGATTGAGTCGCTTGATGAGTTCTGCATAGGTGAAGAGGCTATCCGACTTCCCCACCGATGACGCCACACTCTTGAGATTGTCCCAACTGTTGCATGACGGGCGGTGCCACAGGATCCCAACGCAGTTCGAAGCCCAGCTACGACATACCAGCATGCAGTTCAGCATGTCCATGGGTGAGGTGAGTTTAGAGAAGATCGCAATCAAGATCTCGGGCGGGAGGTGGCCGATCGGCGGGACGGGGACAGACCGGCTAGGGTGCACGTGGAGGTCGCGAAAATTGGCCACGCCGATGGAGGATTGAGAGTCGTTAGCCTGAGCCATAAAAAAGTCCGTATCATCGTCAGCAGCGCGTTCCGGGGATGTTGAGCCGGAAGTTTCAGAGGGGGCTTCGCTCGAGATTCGGCCTGAGGGGCGTGGGCGAGGCATCTTGGTCGCCGGAGAACCTTCGACGTTCAGATTCCAATTGAATTTTCTCTTGCAGTCTTCGTATGGTTGGAGTCTCATCACTTCCTAGGTGATGGGGGCATGAACGGTGAGGCTGGGGGTGTGGGAGGCGAATGTGCGATCTGGATGACTAGATCGGACAGGCTCCCAGAGCGAAACGATCAAATGCGAGCCAGTCGTCTTCTTTTTGCGTTGAGGTAATAAAAGGTACCCTTTTCCCCCTTGACACTAAGGAAAGGTCGGTGGTGCTCGAGAACGGCTGGTGGGAGAAAGGAGAGGGAACGCGAAGGAGTAGGTGAGCTGAGAGGAGCAGCGCTTAGTTGCACCCGGGTTGGCGACTGCGACAGATGGGGCGGGAAGTGGCCGAGGTAATCGAGAAATATTGCAATGTCTGATCCAAGGCGAGAGGACGTCAACACATTGCCTGCAGCGCCCCTTGAAGATCCCAAGGGGGAGTCTGGGTCGAAGGCAGGGTGGATGTGGAAGGGTGTAGGCGGCGATGGAGGGGATGAGGCAATGGGGTCCGTCTCACAAGCGCGGAGTGGGTGCCAAGCCTTGCTTATCGACGTGATAAGATGGGGGATTCGAAGGGTCCCGGTGATTATAAATAGACTGAACACTGGCGAGAAGACCAAAAGATCAAAGAATTTAGAAGGATCAGGAAATCCAGGGAGCTCAGATTAATGAGGTCAAATGTCGTCTATGTCTACTCGATCAAAGAGCCCGTGATCATGCATCGCGTGGAAGGGCGGTCCCGTGCCGTCGCAGCTGATGATGAACCTCGTCCTTTCCAGGCCTCCACGGTCTGACTAATGATCCGGTCTCCTCTGCTCTCTCTCTCTATAGAACTCCGCCTTGGCTTCCCATCTGATCTGTGTGTAGGTCAGATATTCACATTTGGTCTTCTTTCAAGCTCTTCAATTGCCAATATTCCGCGCGGGCCCTCTCACCCAGTCGCGCAGCACGTTCTTCCGGATCTTGCCCGTGCTGGTCTTGGGCAGTTCCGCCACCACTTCCACTTCTCGTGGAATCATAAATTTGCTGATTCCGCTCGTATTGCGGGCCCAGTTGATCACCTCTGAGCCATCCAGAGCCTTCCCTGGCTTGACCGTGATAAATGCCTTGGGACGCTCTCCCCAGTGGCTGTCTGGTACAGACACCACACCAGCCTCAAGGATGTCAGGGTGCGTAGCTAACATAGACTCAAGAGCTACGGAGGATATATTTTCGCCACCTTCACATGCGTGGTCAGTAATCAAACATGCAGCGAAGAAGAATAAGGCCAGCGCGTCTTTCCCGAAAACGTACCACTAATGATGATATCCTTCGCTCGATCAAGAATCTGAATCGCCCCATCAGAGTGCCAGACGGCCAGGTCACCCGAATGCAGCACGCCTCCAGCAAAGAGCTTCCGAGTAGCCTCGGGGTCCTTGTAGTATCCTCGGGCACAGATGTTCCCGATGAAAACGATCTCTCCGATCTCCCTGCCTTCTTTCTGTACGTCGACAATGGTTCCCTCGGGAACGTCCGTCTTGATCACACGAACCGGCAAGCTCGTAATGAAGCCGTGCCCTTGTCGAGCCATCTTCTGATACTTCTCTTTCAAGGGAAGTTGGTCCCATTGAGGTAGATAGTACCCCTTGGTGATTGGGCCATACGTCTCGGTCATCCCATAAACGTGAACCGGGTGCAGGTTCAAGTTGGTCATTTGTTCGAAAAGATGTGGTGTAGGTGGGCTGGCAGCCACAGTTACACGAACAGGGTGCAGTAGCTTTTCCGCCTCCTTTGCATTGCAGAGAAGCGTATTGACCGTTGGGGCGGCATTGAAATGGCTGATGTGCTCCTCCTTCAATAGACGCCAGATCTCCGGGTAGTCGATCTTGCGAAGACAGTAGTGGGTTCCACGAACTGCAGTCACGGCCCAAGGGAATGTCCATCCTATTCGCGAGAAGATTAGAAGTCATATTCAATGTACCATAAGTATAGGGGTTTCCGAACCCATCGCATGAAACATGGGCAGCGTCCACAGATACTTGGCCCGCCCGCGATCGAAATTGAGACCTGACTCGATGATATTGCCCAGAGCAGCCAGATAACAGCCGCGATGGGTATACTCCACACCTTTGGGTTTGGCGGTCGTGCCGCTCGTGTACGCGAGCGCAATGAGGGATTCCTCGTCCGCAGCTTGAGCTTCGAGCCCAGCCCAACCTTGTGCCCCCGTCTCCAGGTCATACTTCAATCCTTCCAATACTGCCCCATCAAATGGACCTGTGAGTTGTCCCTCAGTGGTATCGGTATCGGTATCAACAATGATGGGAACCGTCGGATGTTGCGACCGGTACGTATCGAGTAACGGAACAAATTCCTCGTCAACAATGATGGCATCGGCATCGCCATGTTCAAAGATGTACGTAATATCCTCTTTCTTGAGGCGATAGTTGACAGCTATGGCATGTATTATGAGCAGCGTCATCGGAGGGCATATGAGCAGCGATCCTTACCAACGTTGACGGCCCCAGCAGCGGCAATTCCAAAGATCGATTCCAAGAATGCAGGAGTATTGGGGCACAAAATTCCCACTCTTTGAAGCCCCTTCTTCTTCAAGAAATACGCTAATCCTCGTGCGCGATCCGCGGTTTCACTGTAAGTCCTGCGGAGAATCTTGTTGTTTGCTGTCACATGGTAGATCGCTTCGGCCTGTGTTTTCCTTCGATTAGCGGCTTGTTTGACACCGGGCTTCTTTATACCAATTCTGTATAGAGCGCAAAAGCGTCACATAAAACCTACATCGGGTTCAATGGCAGCTGCACGCGGCAGGAAAAAGGTTGGAGAGAGTGTGTGGTTGTTAAACCGGTGTTCAACCGGCGCCGAGGGAGCTGAGAAATGGCCAAGCAAGCTTGACAGCCGAGACGTCACACCCGACATTACAGCAGGCGACCGTTGATCTTATCCGCAAAGGACAATCTCCGTAACACAGAATATAAAGATTTGAAGGCCGATGATTGCGTGAAAAAGGATGGTAAGGCCAGAATTTGTGCAGCGAAAATGCTCGACTCTTGTTGGAAAGAATGCGGGGAAGGGACTCCTTCAGCCGGGCGCTAGTCCCCAAAACAACACCCGTGGGCCCGACCGCGGTTAGCCTAGGCTATCCGGACCAACTCCCTTCGGAAGGGCACTCCACATGTCTGGCGGAGCTGAAAGTGATGAGGCCGGAGAGGCAATGAACAATCCTGATGAAGATGAGGAGGAGACCAATTTCAGAGGAGAGGGAAGTTCTATCTAACGAGGATGAGACTGAACTAGATCTAATTGTGGGAGGCCTCTTGGCTACATTTCTTCTGAACAATACTCTCTCGTTAATTGGGCTAGATGTCATTACTCAAAGGCGAAGTTCTCAATACGTACTTACTACATATTAGAACATAAGATACATTGTATCGATATCGTCGATATGTACAAACGGTCACAGTCTCCGCCAGCCTCATGGCGGAAAGGATGAATACAATACACAAATGTTAACATGCCGCAAACGAGTTTCTATTATGAGCTGCTTCTCATCAAAGATCGAATGGGCCACCAAACTTCGAACTATAGCTATCAAGCACGGAATCAACATCCTTGTCGCCGCGCTCCGAAAGATTGACAAGTACTCGTTTAGAGGAAGGGCGCTGCGCCCACTAATCAGAACGCAAAGGCCAATGCATGTGCGTTTTCCAGCGCAGAAATTAAACCTTCAAATTGCTAGGGCCTACCCTTTAATTCCCATTCCAGCGCTTGTACATCATATCGTATATCTCAAGGTCCTTCTTGGCATCTTGTACCGTCGACTTGATCGCCTTACCATGGACAAGTGCCTGGTACAGCTCCTGGAGTTCCGCCGTATATGCGTCCTCGTAAGAGGACAACACGGTACGCCGTTGAATCTCGCCATGCTCATTCGGCTCTTCTACCTCCACATAGATAGGCAGACCCTTAACATATGGGCTGTCGTACTGGTCTCAAGTTAGAACCTCCAATTAATTTTATGTCAAAGAGCGGACATTACGTACTTTGATGGTCACTCTCTTCCGAGACCCGTAGACAGCCATATGGGCATCGAATACAGGCACCTCATCGATTCCGCTCTCATAGGTGGTCGAGAAAGTTGACCCATCCTTGTTTCGGAAATTCAGGATCGCGCTGTAAAATGGATCGTTGGCGGACACGCCGGCAACTTCTTCGGGGAATCCCAGGACTTCCCGCATGAGAGAAATATCGTGTGAGCCCAAACTACCCAGGAATCGACAAAACTTTCTCTTTTCGTCCGTGATCTCCTGGTTTGGAAAGGCTTCGGCGAAGAGCTTTTCCAGGCGGGAACTGCGCTCCTCGGTGGCTTCTGAGGGATAGTCGGAGTTCTTGACTTGAAAGGTTCCGCTCTGATTGACAAACTGGGCATTGGGTCCACTGAAATCACGGACGCGCGCATACTGGATCCTTGGGATCGTTGCTATCTCACGCTTGAAAGCTTCAAGAAAGCTTGGGGCATAGCGACGCATGTAGCCCACAAACACGCGGGCCCCTGCGGGTGCATTCTGCTCCGCATCGATGATAGACTGGATTGAAGGAAGAGACAGCGACACTGGTTTCTCAACGAAGACATGTTTGCCCGCATTGAGGCTCGCAATGGCCAATGGGGCATGGCTTTCGTCTGAGGTCAGGATGAAGACAACCTCCACGTTTGGGTTGTCGATGACCTCCTGCGGAAGGGTGGTCTTATGTGGAATGAAAAATTTAGTAGCGCAGTGATCCACTGTCTTTGCCGATAGGTCGCAAATCGACTCAATCTTAAAGAGGTGGGAGAGCAGCAAGAGACAAGGTCCATGGCATACTTGGAAGACCTCCTGCGACAGGCAAGATTAGTATCGCCATATTTTTTTTCTTCTCGGCAACTGACTGCTTAGGAGCACATACCCCGGCACCGATTATTCCTAATCTCAGTACGCGTTGTGAAGACATCTTGACGCTACTTGTTCAGAATGGACAATGTTCAGTTGGGAGAGGGGCAGCCAGATCAAGGGAGGTAGAAGTGGGTCGCAGAGCGAACGTCGGCGCTTACGGGTCATTCCATTCCAAGTATGAAAGCCCACCCTCGCGCTCCTCGCACTCTTCAGGTCGTCGGTATTGTTGATTTAATGTTCATCCCCTAAAAGCCATTTGTATTCAAGCAGACGACCCAAGTTTTGACATCATCGGGTTTGCGAGGTAAATAGTTTATTTCGAGCGGCCTGTTTGCAAATGAAGGCATGATATTCTCTATGTTCGGCGGATCAATGGATCAACGAATTAACATGTCAAGATCCTTAAGACTTTTGAACAGAGCAGTTTTTCCTGGGTCATCACTTTGGTCTTCCTCCTCAACAGTGTCGTAGGTTATATCGAATGCATGGTCCATGCCCTCCACGGGGTAATAAGTAACCCTAGCCCCAACCTCGCGGCATTTATTAACCCAGGCCTCTCCATCTGCAACCGGTACATCTCTATCCATGGTTCCATGTACAAGAATCAATGGCGGAAACTCACTTGTGATGGCGAAATTCGTAGGAAACAATACCCGCAGGTGCGCGGGAATAGCTTCAGGTCCTCCGTCAGCGATTCTGGCTCCTAGTCCTCGCACGCCAGTGAGATAGTCGACAAACCGCGCTTGCTCAAGAATATACCGGAGAGTATTCCAGCGCTTATGTGTCTTTATGTCATCGTTCTTGGGAAACGCCTCGCCGAAGCTTACTTCTTGCGCTGTAAGCCTCCGTTCGATATCCGCAGCCGTCTCCGCCGTTTCGGAAGCAGATAGGCCTTCATCCCATCGGAGGCCCTTTGAAGTCCATCTCTCTGAGCAAGGGCTCGACATGGGATACAAAGCCAGTATAGCTGCGGGGGAGGAATCAGACCCATATTTGCACGCTTGAATTGTGCAGCGAGAAGTTCAACGCAGAATCCACCCCCACTCCCCCGGCGATGATGATACGCTTCGGGTTAATCAGGGAAGGAACTTCGACGTTTAAATTCTGCGCAACATAGCTATATGCGTCTCGGAGGTCTTCGATCAGCTCTAGGCCTGTTGATTCAGGAAGACACCGGTAATCCGCCGAGACGATTGTCCAGCGTCGCTTAAAGGCAGCATTAACGAGCCACGGTGGGATTGCGGTGCGGTCGCCGGTGATCTATCATGAGTGTCAGTTTAATCCAAATCGTGCTTGTAAGATATACTTACAATGTATCCCCCATGAAACCAGAGAAGAACAGGGGAAGGGCTCGGGGGGTCGACTGTATAAACGTCCACATAGATCGGTTGGTTGTGGACAGTCTTGTACGCCCGCGTGTTGATAGTATAGCCTTGCATCCTTTATGCCTTACTTGGAATGTAGTATATACGACAGTTGGGCTATGCTAAATGCACCATACACATCAAGAATATTGTGTTTCTTGGCTAGAAGAACGATGGTCACAGGAGAGATTGGGTAGCCAAATGCGTAATTGGTGCGCTAGTTTGGAAACGGGAAAACTAGCCAGATCAAGCCATCCATGGGTCCACCGATTATATCCAATGGAGATAAAACTAGTCACAATGTGGTCCTGTGTTGATATCGCAACTCATACAGCAAATAGCAGGAGAAATAATCACCCAAGATGATAGAGAGAGAAAGGTCACCTTCTGCGTGTGGGTATCTAAAAGGAAAATTAATTAATGTTCAAGCTTCTTCCATGCCGACAATTTCCGCTGCTATAAGCTCCGTAATAGGAGCGATAGGATTTATTTCCTTTTAGGGGTGACCCTGGAGCCATCGTGACCGTAGACCTAATCCAGTTGGGGTATTTATATATGCACTTTGTTCTATGACCCCCTTCGCACTCCAATTTGATTTAAGATAAATTACGTTGAATGTAATATCCAGCCCATCAAGCTTAGGATTGTCTATGGGTGAAAGTTTATATAAAGCAAAGGAATCTTTGATACAAGTCAATGCTGGGGCACGTGTGAATAGGCTTGTGGCTTGTGGTTATCGCATGAAATTGGGGGAAATTGTGGTTTGTGGGGGACTCGGCTGTGGACTTCCCAGTATGGAGAAACCAGGTTACCAAGGGAATAGGAAAAACAATCAAAGTGATAGGCAAGATAAGAATTAGCGGAATCAAGTGTTGGAATATGGCGCAGTCTACGGCTACGAGTTGTATGCGCCTCTAGAGCAAATGCCGAGATGCAAAGGTTGGTGAACTACGAGAAAGTTTGGAAAATACTAGTAAGGTATAACAATGAACTTGCATCATCATCAGATCATGTTGAACTCTTGAAAATTGTTTTGGATTAAACCGCCACGGCGCGAGACAACAGCCAGCTATTTTGAAACAACCTTTCCTCCCGCGACTCCGTTTTTTCTGCTTTTGAGAATTTCCGAAGAAACCCAGAATTTCCCCATCACTGTCTCCCTCCCATGGTCGTCACAACGCAGTGAAGCGTGGTGGTATTCATGCAAAGAAAGAAACAGGATGGGGACCAGGCCCATAGAAAAAGGTCGATCTCGACTTGCCGTTCAAGTTCGCTGAAACAAAACCGTCCGCGATCCCATCCGTGACCCGTCACTCACATCAACCGGCTGCACTTGTTTAGGTATCTAGTAGCCATACTGAGCAAGCTGGCTCTTGGTCTTGCTGTCAACGTTCGCACCCTGCTCCGCCTTGGCGAGGGTACGGCGAGCGGCCTTCTTGCGCTCGTAGTAAGCCTTGCTCTTAACCTTCCGACGCTCCTCAAGACTGTGAAATCCATTGTCAGTATATCATGTCGAATCGATGCGGATGACCAGTCCACTTCTAATCGGAGTTGGTCATGAGAGGTAACATACCGAGCGACAACGTCCTGGTACTTCCAGCCAACCTCGTGGCTGAGACGGCCGACGGTGCAGTACTTGCGGCCGGGGCGCAGACGCAGGACACGCAGAGCCTGGGGAACGACAACGCGCTTCTTCTTGTCATAGGGAGGGGGACACCCTCGAAGACCTTCAGGCGCTCCAGAGCGGCGGCACCGCGGGCAGTCTTGTGGGGAATCATGCCACGGACGGCCTTGTAGAAGATGCGAGAGGGAGCGCGGAAGTGGAAGGGACCACCGCGAGTGGGGTTGAAACGAGTCATCTTGCGGAGGTAGGCGTGGTACTTCACTGTATTATCGGCAAAAAATGTAAGTCAGCGATTCAGGCTTCCTAGTCATGTAGTTCGGTGATTTCCTCGATCGCTAAAGTTGCGCCACTTTGCTTCGCAACACATTGTTTCTTCATGTCGTGTTTTTTTTTCGACCACGATGCAGAGGGAAAGAAATCAAGAGATCGGGAGGAGGGTTGAACGTACGCTTCGCACGGAAGAACTCGCCGGAGATGTTAAGGGCCTCGCATCTCACGACGACGATCTTCTGGCCGTTCAGCAGCTGCTTAGCGACAGTGCTGGCCAGGCGACCAAGGAGGTGTCCCTTGCCGTCGATGACGACCTGTAGAAGAGGATATTCAGTCAGCCATCACCGTCTTTCCAAGACTTTGCACCAATTTGAAGATGTTGAAGATTTGAAGGTGGCGATTCGATGTCGGGGAATAAATGGCGTGGGAGATTTCATGAACGCACCACTGAATCGATGGAGGACATCCTGCTGTCACCTTTGGGTAAAGGAAGGTTGGATGGTTGTCGGCGGTTGTTGTCGTTGGAGTCAAGGTCAACGCACACAGCGAAGTCGGATGGATCGCAGGCGAAGGGGGTTAAGCGAGCCCCGAAGCCACTACTGTGTGTGGATTAGTGGGTGAGGGCCGCAGCCCTAAGCAGGGCCAATCACGGGATTTTGCCATCACGTGTATGAAGTCACGGGTCCGCCTTTCGTTCAGTGTGGCTTATGTCAGCATATATATCCCCCAATTGTGTGAAGTTGTCCAATCCGGTGTGATTTAGGGCAGGCCGTTAGGGCTGCTGGTCGAGATCTAGAAATGGCCGTGGATTGTGATAAGCAACTAACGTGGAAATCAGATGTGAAGCCAAAAGTCTCCAGATCATGCTCCTTTTATCCAATTTCGGTTCACTCTCCCGACTTCTGCTTCTTATTTATGTACGTATATGAATTGACTCTGGCGAAACGATTCTCGTCAAATCTGGGGCGGGATCCCAATGCATTCTTGAAGTGCCCCGAACTCCGTAATATGGCCGGACCTTCATCAAGTTGATCCAAAGATTGGGTCCGATGACTAATCTCTACCATGGGATTAACTACAATGTTTTTCTTCTCTTTTCAATGAAACATCCATACTCCGACATCTTCGCCCACGCCCTATGGGCTCCTGTCTAGCCCATTCGTCAGCGCTCGCGATGCTACGACAGCGTATTATGAACGACGCTGCATAGTAGTCCTGATCCCAATTTCACCAATAACACTTTACCAACCAAAAAAGATATCCTGAACCAGACGGGGGTACCATGCTCCGAAAAACACGCTTCGTCTGCGTCTCCGATACCCATGGCTACACGCCATCCGAGGCAGGGTTCAAGCTGCCGACCGGCGACGTGCTGATACACGCAGGCGATCTCACGAACCACGGCAGTGCCTCCGAGCTCCGTAGGACGATAGATTGGATCTCGCAGGCCGACTTTGAAATCAAGATCATTGTGGCTGGTCAGTGACCTTTTCTTTCATTTGTCCTTGTCTCGGAGCATTTTCCAACCGCTGCTGCTCGGTACAAACAACAACAAAATGCCGCTGCCCAATTTAATATCGTAGTACCCGCCGGGCTGCACGTATCTCCGGAAGGAGATATTGTTTCCCTGTCCTGGACTGGAGGCCCCTAACCATTTCTGCGCCTGCAAACAGGGAACCACGACGTCACCATTGATCCAGAATTCTATGCAAAGCACGGACAAGGCTCTCACGGCCAGCGGCTCGAAGATCCCCGCCGCTGTATGGACATCGTCACAGGAGCGGGCCCCTCGGTAGTCCTGCTTCACCACCAGCCAGCGACCATCCACCTCGCCCGAGCAGACGGTCCAAACACCGCTTTCAAGGTCTTTGGGTCTCCCTACTCGCCGGGCCAAGGCGACTGGGCCTTCGGATACGAGTCTAGTGCTGCGGCCGCGCTCTGGGACCAGATCCCGTCCGACACGGACATTCTTGTCACCCATACGCCACCACAGTCTCACTGCGACCAGAAGCCTGGCGGAACGGCTGTCGGGTGTGATACGCTTCGCCAGGCCCTGAGCCGCATCCGGCCGCTTTTAGCAGTCTGCGGCCATGTGCATGAGGGCCGGGGCTATGAACGAGTTCGTTGGGGGCCCGCAGATATAGGGGCAGGACGCGAGGCTGACGGCGTGGAGGCAGTTTTTCGAGGAAGTCTCCCAACTGCGGGCAGCAGGAAGCAAAGCCTGGTTGATCTGACTGGCAAGCGGGCAGAGCGCCTGGAGAACGAGGGCTTCGCGTGCTCGAATCTGGGGTCGGGGCTGGGGGATGAGGCGAGGGAGATGTCATCAGCCTCGCGTGGGTCAGCTGCAGGTGCTGTGCCTGGTGCGGGCGGGCAAACAGACTCCTCCAGTGCTGGTGCTGGTGGTGATAGTTATGTTGGTTGTAATCCGCCCCTGGGCGCGGATCGCCCTGGCGCCTCGGGTCATCATGGCTTGCAACCGCTCAGAAGGGAGACATGCATCGTCAACGCCGCTATCATGGCGACCAGCTGGCCGCATCAGGGAGGCAAGCGGTTCAACGCGCCGATCGTGGTCGACGTCGAGCTCCCGGTCTGGCAGGCGTGACCATGCGGCCCTGGTAAAGCGCTTCGGGACCGCATATCTGACCCCGGATGAATGGAATCGCAGTCCATCCTAAGTACCGACTCTAGGCAGAAATGGACCTCTCAGGACCGCATCCCACCCTCTCCTTCTCGAAGCGGGAGGAACCCGGTAATTCGCCATGACAAAATGGGCGATCCGCGCGCGCCGACGGTGGGTGGGCTGCTGCCGTGCATATTGTGGCTTGCCGTACTCGATCTCGCACCTGTCCACCTCCGCGGCGCCCATGCGGGAAAGAAGCCAATAATGGTCATTAACAATGACCAAAAAAAAAAAAAAAACTCAGATTTCCCTCCATTAAGAGAGCTGAGCTCTCTGTGGCTCCGTCCATACGATGGAAGACCGCTTTGATGCGGCGATGAGGGGCGAACGAGACTGTCAGACTTGGACCGCTTACATCATTCATCGTCTCCAAGCAACGCAGCTTTCCCACCCTCCATCTCAAGTCCCATGCACATGCAATGCACCATGCTCTTAAGGGGGGTTGCTCTATAGGACCCATCGAACTGGCTGGTGGTTGCGAGTGATGCTTACCGGGGCCCGATCGCCCTGCGAATTGTATCCGGTATAGGGAGCTAGGGTCGACGAGAGTGAGACTGTGTCTATGGAATTGCTTCCATAGGCTGAATCATGATCAATAGAGCAAAAGCACAAGAACAATGCCAGTTCCCATGAGAGTCAGAGACACACACACACAGAGAGAGAGAGAGAGAGAGCCCCTAGTTCCCCTCGGCTCCAAGCTTAACCTGCATTCTCCATAGCTCAAGATATCGCAGTCGACACTGTCCGAAGTACATTTCCATTCTACTACGTATCCACTATACATATCTCCATATACGCCACACATCATGCCCTTCTCCCCTCCCCCATTGTCCCTGATACGAATATACGACTATACTTCGGTACTCGAGTATACTCCAGTAGCCCCGCCTCACGAAGTCCAACTGCCCCCGCGCCAAAACGTCAACCACCCCCCATCTGACAGATCGCGCCCTGCGCAGACAATGTGAGATGGCACCCATCACATCGGCACCCTCCCCATGATGAATCCCTGAAAAGATCGAAGGACAAGACAAGAAAAAGAAAAGAAAAAAACAAAGTCATCTGCACCGGAATCCCCCCAAGCAAACTTAAAAAACACAAAAAAAAACCTCGCAACCCAAGAACTAAAAGACCACACCCCTCCTCCGTTCCAGAACAGACCAGCCGAAAAGCACTTTTGGTCTGCCTTCCCTCCCCCCTCGATCGCCCATCACGTCCGGCGCTTGTAGTCGCACGCTGACTGGTCCGGCGCGGCTGGAAACGAGCAACCACGCCATCCTCGTTGCGACCTGGCTACACCTTCCGGGGACGTGGGTTTCCGTGGGTGTGTGTGACAGCGGGTGAAAGGACCTGATTTGATTTCGGTTTCCGATTCTGTTTTGTTTCCCTCTCTTACCTTTTTCGCTTTCTTTTTCTTTTCTTTTTTCTCTCTTTTCTGTATCTCCTAGGAGGGTGTTTACTAGGTTGCACGTGGTGAACAGAAGCGGGGGTGCTGGGTTCAGTCTGATACAGCCGAGGCGTCTACACGTCAGCCTATCTACCGCAGTTTCTTATGGCACTCTTGGGGTCTATTGGCAGGCAGCGGGTCAATCCAGAATGGGGAATGAGATTGAAATGTCAGGCTGGGAGGTGTCTCAAGTGGCGCGAGTGGCTGGTGAAGGAAGTTGAATGGCATGAAACCCGGGTGGTGATGCAGGAGACAGAGACTCCTTGAGAAAAGCAACGAAAAAAAAAAGAAACAAAAACAGAAAGAAAAAAAAACGGGTATGGACCAATCGACACCGGGGGAGCTCAAAACCTGTCAACGAGAACCTCCACATGCCGTGTGCTCGAGCGGAGTTCTGTATGTTTATGCATCCATAGTCAGAGAGTAGGTGCGCGAGGAGCAGCATGAAACAGGTGCCTGCATGGTCGACCTGTCCGAAGTGTTCTGCAGAACTCGGTGCTGATCCTATAGGTCCTCAAGCTGGGGAGGAAGGGAGGAGGGTTGGAGGGGGGAAGCTCTGTCATCGCTCAGACCGTTTCAAAAAGCCTAGTTCCATATCATTCTGCACGTCGAGAGGGCGGTTTACAGATGACAGGTTAGAGCTTGCGTGACAAACAGATGATGATCCTGGGACTTGCACTGTGTCTGATTTGCGGTCTTCCTATCTCAATAATGCCACAAGACTCGTGCACATTATTCAAGGAGATAGGTCGACGGGAATTGTCGCGGGACTGCAGCCCATTAGCGTGCGGAAAGTGGGAGCCCGATGAGACCGATGGATAAAGTTGGCAACCCTGACATTTCGGCAGAAGAATACGGTTGTGTGACTAGAAAGCCTGGGCTTTCATTGGAATCGGAGGATTACGCTGATGGCTGACGGGCATGGCTGGTTGTGATAGAAAGAGGTGAACGAGTGGCTTATGTGGATTTGCATGCTGGTTCGATGCTGCTGTCGAGGCCTCGTTTTGACTCCCGGTGGTCTACATGTATGTCCTCGGTCCGATACTTCTAGACTTCCATAATTTCCTATTGCGGGACGGACTCAACCTGAAGTCACTGATTGGAGAGTGACCCTGGATGGATAACTGCAGCGAATATCACATTTTGCTTCCTGGTTCTCCTGCCGGTTCCGATCGTCAAATGACCGACATGGGGTCCTGGATATCCTCGATACTGGTGAACGTTCCGCCACGCCTATTCGATGCTTGGACGCCATCATGGACTATCGATCGGCTCCAGGCTTCGAGAAATCCGGAAATCATCCTCGCCTCGCTCCCCCGGCTGTTCATGTCGCCAGCAGCTGATAGAGGGGGTGCGACCCGTTCGCCGCGCGGACCGCCGCGGGTTCAGATGACTGGAAAACCGAAACGGGAATTTCGTGGTCTTCCGGTGGGCGTACGGAGCACAACAGTCGCAGCAGGCGAAGGACACGTTTGAGTCAGATGGGTCCTGGTGGGACGAGCAACTGCTTTCGCTAGTTCGGGCCTGGCTCCATGATCCTGCTTGTTTAGTGACTCCTCCTTGCTGCTCGTTGCGGTTAGCTGTTCCTTCAAAGCCTATGATGAACATCTGCCGATAAGGTCATTTCATCATGCGCCAGATGACGGACCAGGTTCCCATAGAAACTGGAACCCGTCCTGCAGGGGGATGATCGACCGAGCGTAAGAGATCGTGCAGGGTCGGGAAAGAACAGCCCATCCAATCTCGACGATACAAAATGATATGTACCCAAAGGGCTCCCTTCCCCTCCTCTCCAATCACCGTCTCTGGATGTCCACTGGGTACCGACCAGCCTAGCCCTTCTTCTTTCAATCTTCAATCATGGTACTCTTGAGGAAGAGCGGGGGGAGAGGAAACCCGTAAACCCGTAAACCCCGACCGTTGTATCCTGTCGGGATCGACAAGGGAAAAGTCGGTGACCTTTGCACTGTTGTCTCTTGACCCCAGGACCATGTATTTCGAACAATGCCAATACTCCACCATTGAACGCTCGAGGGCTATGCAGGCGGACTTTGGGTACTTCGTTGCTACTCGATGTTGGATTCGAATTATGGCTATTTTTACATATAAGGCATTCTCTTCAGATAAGGTGCCCACGGCCCGGGGGGGATAAGAGAGGAAGGGTTCCACGGTTCTCCCACGGTTCTTCCATGTTCTAATCAGGCACGAAAAGAGGCAAGACCGGACCGGTGGGTCTTCTCTGACTAGACCCTCTCGCCAGCGTAAGAGCTGGGACCCGAGACTCTGTATCTGCTGGGGGGAAGAGGGGAGTCATCCCAGAGCGAGACCGGATCCCAGTCTTGCTGCACGGGCAGGCACAGGCAGGGGCCAATGGGGGCGGCCCAGACTGCGCCAGGTTGACGTGGGTCGTGCCGGAGGGCCCCAAAAGGCAAGGCGAAGGGAGGCAAAAAAAACCCGCGCTATGCGGAGAAGGCCCCTCTCGGTCGTCTGGTCTGATTGGATGTGTCGTCCTCCGTCTGGCGCAGCAGGCACAAAGAGGAAACAATAGGCAATCGGGAGGGGAGGAGGAGGAGGGAGAGGAAAGAATCTGCCCTGTTGAACCCCACGTAACAGGGTTCTGGATCGGGAGAGAAGAGGACCTGTCAGTTGAATGTCGATCCGATCTCTTTGGTGACTTGTTTCAGACCGCACAAGAAACGAGAGGAAGGGGGGGCGAAAGCATGGGGCTGAGAAGGAATCGTGGCTCATTCGGTGTTTTGCGGGGCGAAAACGAATGCGCTGTTGATATGGTGGGGTTTGGAGGGGTGCTGATGGTGCTGGTGCTGCTGGTGCTGATGGTGCGGATGATGCTGATGGTGTGGATGGACGAGGCCCCACTGAGGAATGACGGAGTACGTAACCACGTCCTGGAAAGTCGGAAACTCTGCAACCTAAATGCCACGGATTGGCGGAATCCGAGCAAATCAAAGACGACGCACAGGCCCAGGCAAGAATGAACGAGGCCGGTGAAAAGGCGGGCGAGGGCCAGTGAGGGTGCGCGATCTAGCGCCTTGCGAGAATACAGTTGTGCTTGTGGGGGTGAAAGGGGAGGAGGGGGGGAGGAGAAGACGAGGAAGAACAGGAGGAAGGTCAAGATGGGCAAGCTCCGGTTGTCCTGTCATCGCCCTAGCACATCATCGCGATCAAGCACTTGAGCAGTCGACGAAGGCCGAATGCCAATAAGTCCCGGTCGCCTAGCGAATGCTGCGAAGCCCCATTCCTGTTTGCCGGGCAAGTGTTTGAGGAATTCTGATTCGTGTAGAGGGTAGAATTCTCTTGATCCCTTAGAGTACTGTTTTTTTTATTCGGTAGTCCAACTTGAGACATATATTGATGTGGTATTATTATGGGTATTATAATAAGATGGGATTGAGATCGTTCTAGAGTCCGCCTTTCCAGCCTTTAGAGCCAAACGCTAGTGACCGCGTTCACGAGCAGCAACGAAGTATATAGAAGCGCCGCCAAACCCCATCGTCCATCCCCATCTCCAAGCCCCCCTCTTCTCCTCCGCCTATTGTCCGACTCTCCAAGATTGGGCATCGCTGCGAAACGCAATAGTTGCAAGTGAGGCGACCCATTCGGCCCATTTAGCACCTCCGGCAGCTTTGGGTCCAGAGATCGGTGGGCAAGATCCCTCTCTGCCAACTATTGTCTTGGAACCTTCTCGTTCTCTCGTTCTCTCGTTCTCTCTTCTTTTTTGATGACATCGTGGTTACATTTGCATTTCCAATCCATTCTTCGCACGCTTTTCCGAGAAGGTCGAGCCCATGCGACTGGTTCTGCCCGTTCTATACTCTTTACCTCAAACGTGATTCCGCCACCGCATTGATTACCGTTGGGTGTCAGGTTTCTCGTTAGTTCCCGTGGCGCAGTGAGTCTCCAGTTTTTCTTGTTTGCCCCCCCGCCCAAGTCCTATTATTCCAATTTATTCTTTTTATGATTTCTTTTTTTTTTTTTTTTTTTTCTTTTTGGGGGGATGATTATTCCGATCTGCTTCCTCCCTCGTTGGGGAGCTGGAGTCACCCCCAATGTATAGGGGCGGATCACAGGCCGAGACGGGGTCGTAGAGTCGTCCATAGTTCCCATTTGCACGCCCATGCCCACCGCGGACTTGGCCATGCCATCTCATTACATATGTCCCAGAGATCCCCCCCAACTCAAACTAATAGCTGGCTAGAGGGAATGTTCCATTCCCCCTGCCCCTGACTTAGAATTCCCGTCCGAACGCTTATTTTGCGGTTGTTTCTATTGCTTCGATCGCTTCGATTTCTTCCATTCCATTCGATTTCCGCTTACCCTTCAATTCCGTCCTGGAACCCCTCGGTGTCGCCGAGAGTGCTCATTCTTCTCTCCGGACCGGTTCAGCTGGATACCGCAGTCCTTGCTATCGCTTCTCGATCATCAGCTTGACCGGCCTCGGCGTCCTTCCAGACCGACTAGCGACCAGGCCCCCGATTGGGGTGTTTGCGTTTGATTAAAGTAACCTCACGACGGCACCGGTGGCCGTTCAATTTTTCCCCGACCGTCGCCGACCCCGACGCAACACCACGTCGCCTGCTCGTCCCGGCAACACCCTCTCCCCTTTCTAAGCCTCGCGGGAAGTCGGCACATCTCCTGATTGTGAACTTTTTCTTCCTTTTTTTTTTTCTTCTTTGGGCTTGAATCCTGGAATTCGCCTCTTTCTCTCTCTCGCTCAATCATACTAGAGGCTTCTGGATGAGTCGGTGGCTCACATTCTTTGCCCACGTCACGAAAATCCGGAGTAGTGGCATTCCTTAACTACGTGCCTCTCCACCGCCTCTTCCACTCTTCCCCTCTTCTCTGAACTACGAACCATCCACCACCTGTTGAACTCGGAATCACTTCAACACCCCTCTTCTCTTGATCAATCCTGCCCGCTGTTCTTCAATTCAATCTCTACAGAGAGCTGAGGAACAACCTTTCTTCATTTCATCCTTGGTTGATGATTTGTTGATCCGATCCCCTTTTGAACATACCTTTAAACTTCCCCCTCAAGATGTCATTTCCTCCGGATGTCAACCCATATGAGGCCCTGGGAGTCCTCAGCGAAGCATCCCTCGCGGATATCCGAACGGCCTATCGCAAACGGGTCCTCAAGTGCCATCCCGACAAAATTCAAGACGAATCGCAACGGAGCGCGGCCCAAGAAGAGTTCCAGCGCGTGCAACAAGCCTATGAGCTTCTGTCCGATGAGGCGCAGCGCGCTCAGTGGGACAGGAAGGCGCAGCTATTGGAAATGAAACGGGAAATGCTCGAACGCCGGCGCACGGAGTCTTCTGGATATTCGTCCCCGCGGGCCAGTGGAAGCGGCAGTGGCATGACCCGCGAGGTACGGGACGGACAGCTCTTCGAGGTGCGAGCGCCAATGGGTGCCTGGCTAGACGAGGAGATCTCAGAGGAGCCCCGATCGATGTCGCGCAAGTATGAGGAGTTCGGCATGCGATCCAAACCGAGACCCAGCGAAGAGAGGAAGAAGACACGAACTCCCCAGAGCAGCTACCATGCGGCAAAGGAAATGCGGGAGAGCACCAAGGCTGATCTGGCGGACCGTGCCAAGCATCGCGATCGACAGCGTCGTCAACAAGCCCACGCCAAATATGAGAAGGCCTACAGCCCCAGAGTGGAATCGGCCAGCGACTTTTCCGACTCCAGCGCCTCCGACGTCGAGGTTTACGTTCGCCTGAAGAAACCGACGCGTCGGTCCCGCGATCCTCGCGACTCTCGTGAATCACACGTGCGGCCCATGGAACCCTCCTCGCGGCGACGTGAGCAGTCCTATGATGACGACGATGAGGATGACAAGCACGACAGTTTGCACTCCAAAGCCGAAAGGTACATCCGGCGATCCAAGTATGAAGTTCCCCAGAGCTCTCGGTCCCCACCACGACACCATGGTTACGAATCGGCCGAACCAGAGTCGAGACGCTCGGCTCGGTCCTCCCGCTCAGCCCAACCGCCCTCGGCATCGCGCAACAATTCTCGGGAGTATCTGGATTCTCCACGACGCGATCGGGATCGTGACGACTTCAAGATCCCCAAGATGCCCACTGCAACGACCTCTCCCAGCGTGAAGCCACCCACCCGGCCCACTCTGTTTGGTGTCCGTGCCGCTACTTCCAGTGGTTACACTCGATCAAAACGGGGGAGAGCTCCAGTCGAGACGAACCGACGCTGGAGGATATGGTCCGCGATATCCCCACTCGTTCCTCGAGGCGCTTTGACTCTGGCCATTCAAGTCCAAGCACCCCGGAAATCCCCCAACGAGGAAACTCCCCCAAGACCACCACCATTCGCTACAAGATTGATGACGAGCCCACAATTATCGAGTCTCAACCTTCCAAATCCAAACACCGCCCTATCTCACCCGAGCGGACTATTCGGATGGGACCCAAGCGAGCAAGTACTTTCGCCGAGGGCACTCCTCGCATCGAAGTTCGCTCAGTGCGGCCCATCCCACGTCCCGATGTGGAGTACGCTCATGTCCGCAGCGACGATATTAAATACGCCCGGAAGATTGGACCTGACGATGTTACCTATTCGCCAGGTCGATCGAGCTACTACTACCCCAGTCAACATCATCGTCATCCCCCACCAGGACGACGCCAATCCACCTATGCCTAATTCCCAATTTTACGACAGTATCTTGACGCTCGTGCACACCTTTAGCTTTTTTTTTTTTTTTTTTTTTTTTTTTTAATTGTGACTTAAAACTTTAAACCAAATCACTTTATCTCAACATGGCCGCCGAGGGTCTCGGCAACTGGCTTTGACTTCACATTGTTATTATTTTTTGTTTACTTTCCCTTCTTGTCCATACTTGGTGTGGGCATGCCTCAGCCCAGAGCTGGAGCATCCATCCACTTTCTCAACGGAAACACTGAGCCCCAGCTCCCATGCAAGGCACAAAGTTTTCCCATTTTCATCGGGCAGATGCACGCCGAGGCTCTACACCATGCGCATTGGGAGGGTTTCGGCATCCGCATAGGGCCAACACCTACGCGGCGGGGGTATGGGATTGTTTTTTTGTTTTCTTTTTGTCGGCGCAAATCAGGCCGGGAAAGGACGGTGTTTGTTGCTCTTTGTTTTCTTTTATCTCGAGTCTCACACAATCGATATACACAACTTATCCCAATCTACCCGGCGCATACTTTTTTTATTCTTTTTTTTTTTTTGCTTTCTCCGCCCCCTTGATTTACACATCCCTCCTGCTTTCCATTTCTGTGTCCGTGGTCCTTTTTCTGTTATTATAACTCCCGGGCACATTATCTAGAAACCCGTGGAATCCCTCGCTGGGACTGATCCTTCTTCACGAATAACGCCGAATGAACGCTCTTTCTATGACTTGATGACTGTTTCCGGAGCCTCGGGCTTTTTGGATCCTGACCTTTCTTTCTGTTCTTTTCTCTCGTTCTTTTTTCCTTGACTGTATATGTGGTGGGGGTGACTAGTTAATATCGCCAGTTTGAATGAATGAAAAATTCGAGGCTTGATTGAACCTTGCTGTTGCTTGTTCTACCTCGGAGGGAGGTAGACAATTACGTATTATAGATTGATATACCCTGCTGGGCCCTTCAGCTGGCGCGTCATAATGAGGTGGTATATTCTTCTGGCTCCCAATAATCTTCAGCAGTGCAGGTGGTTGATGTGAAGAGGGTATATTCTAGGAACTCAATATAGGCCGCGAAAGAAATATTTGGTGAGGCCGGGGTAGAATTGAAGCCCAATAAACCGAGCATCCAGTGTTACCTTATTGGAAATATTGGTAAACTAGTCATCATTTTTCGTCATTCTCGCCCTCCACTTGTTTTCCTGCGCTCCATTCCCTGCAATTTGGTTCATCCTAAGCATACGATAGATCTCTCCATCTGTATACTATAGAATTTTCGCTGTCTCTTCTCTAAGTTGAGTGAGAGCATCCAAAGGAATGGCTGAAAATTTTGGCAGTCTTATAGCACCCCAGAAGAACATCCCTCTCAACTAGCGTCTCGGCAGGAACTCGCACGAGCATATCAAGCCAACGGGCAGATCGGGCAGGCCGTGAAGCTACTTAAACACGTGGTCATGGTACAACAAAGAACACTTGACGAAGAACATCCTGATCGACTGGCGTCTGAGCGCGCTCTCTCCGCATCGCAAGGCAGTCGATCAGACTGCCGAAAGGATCAATCTCGTCATTTCTTCTAAGTCTTGCCTCTTGGCCACACACACACACACAAAACTGAATCCAGGTAGGCCTGAATTAAAAGATGTGACAGTCTGTGGCGATACTTTGTGAAATACAGCGCAACAGGTGAAGGACATTAACTGTATATGGTTAGATTTATCTTGGCAACAAAGATTGAAAATGAAAGACTGAATCGTAACTAAAACGCAAGACGATTTTGTAAGCTACTGTAGAGGTGTATAGAGGGCATCTTGCTCGAAGTGCGTTGGGAGGAAGGGAACCCCACTGTTCTTAGTCTGAAACCTTGCATCACCTTGGATTCTTTTTTGACCTCAGCGTATGCTTCTTTGCAATTCGTTTTAGGGGCAGTCGAATCATCCCATTAGTACGTATTAATGGAGCTTCGGTTGATCTGCCCTTTTGATATTGATTGAGTAACAGCCCATAATAAACTAGCACAATGTATGTAGTGTCTACGATGAACAGAATCACCCTCGGTTATAGCAATTCACCATCAATCAGGAGTAGGGATAACTGCATTGCATCTATGTACAAGCCCACTTAATCCGGGGGCATCCGCCTAAAAGAAAACAACAAATAAAGATAACTAGAGGAGTTCAATAGACTGAGTACCTGACTACCAAATATCACATCATGTACGATCCCTGGCGAATCCCATAGATTCCACTTGCCCTTCCCCCCCCGAACATCCCGTTGTACCCACTGCGAGCCACGCAGCTTGGGCTCACGTCTTGATTAAAATCCAATGAACATCGCAAGTCTCAGACAAGGACATAAAATACACACATCTAGAGGAAGTGTCCTTGTCAGTTTGCTGGGGAATGGTATCTTGTGATTTAGAATAGTCGTAACTTACCATCGATAGGCCGAATATCATTGAAAACCAGAAGAATGTATTCTAGACAAGTCAGCGTTTTGACCTTCCTTTTCATTCAAGATAGGAGCCATTAGAGGGACAGCGGGACCCAGTGGGGCCCCCGTCTTGAACTCACGTTGAGGGTTGTGCGTCCCCGGAAGAAAGAAGACTTCTGGACTGCAACAATGGGTAACTGCAACATCATCATGATGAAGCCGTAACCTCGCAGCTTCTTGGTGATACAGCTCATCACCAGCTCATGGAACACGGAGCTCACCAAGAACGTGATGAACATAGCCACAGGCTGGGAGAAATGAGAGCGGGAGGGGAAGTAGACATGGCGGAAGAGGAAATGGTGGACGGGGACGTTCCACTCGCGAGAGAATTCCATCCTAGAAACAAGATTTGTACAGGTCAGTCTTCTGGCCGACAATTACAGCTGTCGTATCAAAGGGTGATGAGAGTGCCAAACTAACCAATCACAGGAGTTCCACCAATCCGAATAGAAATGCCGGTCCGCAAAGCGAGTGTACTCGGCGAACGCGCCCAGCACGTACTCGAAGATGACCAGGAACACCAGCAAGAACGTCACCATGAAAGGGAACAGAAGCATGCTTATAGTTTCGGCCAGGATGAGCGCCTTGTCAACGAAGCTGTCAAGGGCCTCCAACTGGCCGTGTGCCTCGCTGAGGACCGGCACAATGAACTCCTCGCTGGTCAGCGTCAGAAGGAAGATACATCCGAAGACGGCCATCGCCTTCCAGGCGATCTCGCTCCAGCGCCGGGCTTTCCGTCGCGGGTACTCGAGTTCGTAGCAAAGTGTTGGGCAGAAAAGGAAGTCTACGTAGTTGCCGATGTGCAGGTTCTGCGGGTACGAGATATTACCCAGCGGCGAGGTTAGCTCTGTGGCGAGGTCCTCGCGTAGACGAATGAGAGGCTCGATTTGTGTGCCGTCACCTTCATCGTGCTGTGGCCTCATCGATGGCCGGCGTCGATACGGTTCTGGGTATCGCACTGCTGCCGGTGAGCTCGGGGAAATAGGACCGGGTTTGTCCAGTGAGGCGAGGCGGCGCTCTGTCTCGCTCAGATGGCCGTTGTAGAAAGCATATGAATGAAGCTTCATCAGGATGGTCAGCAGGTGAAGGGTAAAGAACACCTGAGCGGTCCAGGTCCAGCGGCGCATGAAGGGCCAACTGTTTGATGGCATTTACGTCAGTATTCAACGGGCATACAGGGAGAGAGGCAGTGAGAAAGACAGAACAACTGATTTTCGCCAACTCACTTGGTCCAAAACATCATCCAAAGAGCCTCTCCAATACTCTGCACCACCATACCTCCACGCGCCCACCGCAACCATCGTGGCCCGCTCCGGTATAGCCGGTGCAGCGGCAGGACAAGTCCCGAGCTCACCACCATGGCCAGATCACTCAGACCTAATTCAAAAACATTTGCAGATAGCAAGCTCCAGACACGGACGCGCAGCGGTGATCCGGTGTCCTTGATATTGCGCAGCACCGTTGTCACGACCATGATCACCAAGCTGATCCAGAACAGGGTAAAGAACCCGCGGAAGTTATGGTAGTCACTCTCAGGATCAAAGTGGGACACGCGCGGGACGTAGTCGATAGTATAGAATAGGCGATTCCGGGCTCGCACCTGCTTGCGAGCTGTTGAGATCGAATGCGCCGAGGGGGGTGCATCTTCGGGGACCGGGGTTGAGCGGCCACTGTTCCATACGTGTCAGGAGCCATTGTACACGTTGAGAGAAATCTGCTCTTTGTTGTTTTTCTGCAAGCATACCTTGTGTCCAAGACCAGCTTGTCCACTGGCGGATTCAACGTCATGTCAGACTTGGGGTCGGCCTGAATGGGAACCGCCCGCGGCCGCACCGTGGCCGGTTCATGGGGAGCAACGGCGCTAGACATTCTGCGGGAAAGAATGATGAAGAAGGGGGCTTGACTCGAGAGGGAAGTTCACATCGAAGCACCTGCACTCAAGAAATAAGTGCCGTGGGTTTACAATGCTCGACTTAAACGACGTGTCGAGGTCCGAGGGGAGGACAAACAGCTGATGCCGAAAAATAATGGGGCCGATCACACCAATGTCAAACTACGTCACGGTCAGCCTTACCGAGATGACGAAGACTCAAGAATGACAGTGATGATTAAGGAAATATCCAGCGATACGGTGGAGGCAAATAGACACTGCCCTGTACATTCTGCATCAAACAAGGCTCAGCTTTAGATCAGACCAGTTTTCCAGGCACAGCATTCTCGGCGGTATAGATTTGACGCAGCGGTTAGAAGGCTGCAGCCTTGGTACTGGCGGTTACGTCGGCCTGCAGGGCGTAATCGGCCGGTATTGGGAGTGGAATCTGGAGTACTGGGGGCGACAGCCGTTGTCTCGGTAATTTACACGAAGCAGGGCGGTGAAGAAGACAACGGTACGTGCCTCAGGTGTTGGTGCCTCAGGTGTTTAGATGACTCAGCGATGGGGGAACCCACAATCATGTGACTAGGGGTACAGTCAGCGGCGGGCCAGTCCCCGTCGGGTCTAGTGCGTCTCCCTACGCTAAGAAGCCAGGTCAACCCAAGTCCATAATAAAGCCATACAGCCATTCCAGACCGGCCGCTGGATCGCTACCTTTACTTGCGATACACTGCACCTGTGAATCCCACCGCGGGCTTTCTTTCTCTCGTCACCCGTTGTCCCTTTTCTCTCCTGACCCCGCCGGGGGTTGTGGACCATCATGTCTTCCCGTGAGTCTGCTGCCCGCCGCCCCTCACTGTCTCCCCTGAGGTTGCGAAGTGCTCACCCGCGTGCCCAACACAGTCAAGCAATTTATTCGCAATGTCCGATCCGCCAAAACCATTGCCGACGAGCGGGCTGTAATTCAGAAAGAGAGCGCCGCTATTCGAGCTTCGTTCCGTGAAGAGAGCCACGATTCTGGCGTCCGGTTAGCTTGCACCAACCGCCCGGCCTCCTTCCATTGATTCTCGCCAATTATTCTAACCTCGCTTGCAGGAGGAACAATGTGGCAAAATTGCTTTACCTTTTCACCCTCGGCGAACGCACACACTTTGGACAGATAGAATGTCTGAAGCTGCTGGCCTCCCACCGCTTCGCCGACAAGCGGCTGGGCTACCTGGGGACAATGCTGCTGCTGGATGAGAATCAGGAGGTGTTGACACTGGTGACGAATTCTTTGCAAAAGTCTGTATATCTTGATGGGAAATATGTTCTGGCCTGATGGACTGGATTCCTTTGCTGACACACGACTAGTGATTTGAACCACTCCAATCAGTATATCGTCGGTCTCGCCCTCTGCACCCTCGGCAACATCGCCTCCGTCGAGATGTCTCGTGATCTCTTCACCGAAGTCGAAAATCTTATGTCTACAGCAAACCCGTATATTCGGCGGAAAGCCGCCATTTGTGCCATGCGGATATGTCGCAAGGTACCGGACCTGCACGAGCACTTTATGGAGAAGGCCAAGATTCTGCTCTCGGACCGGAATCATGGCGTCCTTCTTTGTGGTCTGACTTTTGCGACTGATCTGTGTGAGGCGGAGGAGGAGGAAGAAGACGGCCCCGAAGGCGTGATCGAGGCATTCCGGCCGCTCGCCGGAGGGATGGTTCGCGCTTTGAAGGGACTGACGACGTCTGGATACGCGCCAGAGCACGACGTATCAGGCATTACAGACCCTTTCCTTCAGGTCAAGATTCTCCGCTTCTTACGGGTTTTGGGCCGAGGCGACGCGGCCACCAGTGAATTGATCAATGATATTTTGGCCCAGGTGGCCACCAACACCGACTCATCGAAGAACGTGGGCAATGCCATCTTGTATGAAGCAGTACTTACAATTCTGGATATCGAAGCCGACTCTGGTTTACGAGTCCTTGGTGTTAACATTCTCGGTAAATTTTTGTCCAACAAGGACAACAATATCCGCTATGTTGCATTGAACACCCTGAACAAGGTTGTGGCAATTGAACCAAATGCAGTGCAAAGACACCGCAACACTATTCTAGAATGCTTGCGGGACCCTGATATCAGTATTCGCCGCCGAGCGCTCGATCTCAGCTTCATGTTGATCAATGAAAGCAATGTACGGGTGCTTGTGCGGGAGTTGCTGGCCTTCCTTGAGGTGGCAGACAACGAGTTCAAGCCCGTGATGACAACTCAGATTGGCATCGCTGCTGACCGATTCGCCCCAAACAAGCGCTGGCATATGGACACCATTCTGCGTGTTCTCAAGCTGGCTGGGAGCTACGTCAAAGAGCAGATCTTGTCGTCGTTTGTTCGCCTCATCGCTACTACCCCCGAGCTTCAGACCTATGCTGTTCAGAAGCTTTATTCTTCCTTGAAGGAAGATATCTCGCAAGAGGGACTCACTTTGGCGGCTGCATGGAGTATTGGTGAATATGCCGATAGTTTGCTCCAGGGTGGCCAGTATGAAGAGGAGGAACTAGTGAAGGAGGTCCACGAGAGTGACATTGTTGACCTATTCACCAACATTCTCAACAGCACCTATGCCTCTCAGATCGTCATCGAGTATATTATCACCGCATCAATGAAGCTGACTGTGCGCATGTCGGACCCAGCTCAGATCGAACGCTTGCGCCGCTTCCTCTCCAGCCGCACTGCTGATCTGAGTGTCGAGATCCAGCAGCGTGCTGTCGAATATTCCAACCTGTTCGGATATGACCAGATCCGCCGTGGTGTTCTTGAGCGCATGCCTGCCCCAGAGATCCGAGAGGAACAGCGTGTGCTTGGTGCTCCGACAAAGAAACGTCAGAGCAAGATCCTCCGTGGCAAGTCCACCAAGGTATCCAAGCCCGCTGAACACGACCTCCTCCTGGACCTGATGGGCGGCTCCGAAGCCCCTGTCACCAGCCCGACAACGAACGGGTCCAACACCGCCGATCTGCTGGCAGATATTCTTGGCGGAGGAGACTCGGGTGTTTCTTCACCTTCCCCTGCGCCTGCCGTCGGCCAAAACACCATGAATAATAGCGCCATTATGGACCTGTTTGGCTCAAACGGTGCCTCACCTTCTCCACAGCCGACTCAACAGCCTGCCTCCTCTGGGCTTGACCTGCTTGGCGGCGGCATGGGAGTGTCTGCGCCTTCGCCTTCTGCCTCTCCTGCTCCTGTCTCCGCCTCAACGCCCGCACACACCGTCTTCAACAAAGACGGACTGGTGCTCAATCTGCAGGTCCAACGAAGCGGCCCGAACGCCCAAATCCTTGCTCGCTTTCGCAATGAATCCAACTTTGATAGGTTCTCCAACGTTGGCTTGCAGGCTGCTGTGCCCAAGAGTCAACGTCTACAATTGAGCGCCATCAGCAAGGGCGACCTTGAAGCAGGCGAGGAGGGCACACAGACAATGCGCGTCACCGCAGTAAACGGGGTATGCTATGCCTAGATCACCTCTCCTACTTGAATCCATAAGCTAATCATGTTCTCCCTGTACAGGCCCTCCCACCCAAACTCCGCCTCCGTCTCCGAGTCACTTCCTCCCGCGACTCTGGTGCCCCAGTCACCGACCAGGTAGACTGGACCGAGCCATAAATCATACGCCGCGAACGCGATATTCCCATCATATCCCCCCATCTACCCTCCCTTTCTTTTAGTGGAATGACAGGGTAGATGAAAATCAGACATTTTGGACCGAAAAAGAAAATTCTCCTCTGGCGGACGAACGTGTTAATTTTTTTCTCCCAAGCCCTTCTACCGCAAAACTCCCTCTTTACCCTAGTTTTATACACATCGTCCCTAGTTCATCTTTGACTCTTTTCATCCTGGCCTCATGTAGACTTTTTTTCATCATCTTTGTTACTCTTTTCCCTCCATTATGTTTTTCTTCTGCTGCTTTCGCTTACTTCCATGGAATGGGGGACCGGGGGCAGGTCATCTTTTTTCTTGTACATGTTTCGGTAGCAGATGATTCAGCGCATGAGCAGAGTGTTGCATGGTGCAAATTCACTGGTTTACTGGTTCTACAGCTGGTTCCTTTGCCATTGCGTAGTCTTCTTTGCAGGCATTAGTGTGCTAGCGAGGACAGTACGAAACACCGATAAGACTGTGATATCGAGGGGAGTAAAGCACACGAGCTATTGTCGTCACTCTATGCTAGAGGATTCTTGAATTGGTATGGGAGATCGGAGATGGGAGACTAAGCAGGGAGGACGGGAAAGACTAGGTCCAAGAGACTACTTGCATTTCTGTTGTTGCTACCAAAATCAAGCCACTTGATGTTCGACGACGTTCTGTTTAACAAGCAGAATCCAGGAGAATGAAAGAATAAGAAAAATCCGAGAAAAGGAAAATGCGAAATTCCACCGAGTAGGCTGACGTTATAAATCTCAAGCTGCCATGCCAAACCGTCTGAGTGCAAGGCGTCTTCTCAATGCAGACAAATAGATGGGAAGTTTCGGTATATGGCATCAATCATTCAGTGATCGCAAAACTGACAACGGGGCAAAAAAATACGGAAGAACTCCAAGGTCCAACTAGCCCATGATGAAAATGCAAGGCTTTATCCAAGGCAGAAGACAGAACAAACAGAATAGAAAGAAAATCAGAAAAGATGTGGCAGTTGCTAGTGTTCTGAATCATTTGTTTCATGATGGTTTAACAGGGGGAGAGATAAGAGGTGGATGGAATGTCAATGGTCCGATCGGTCCGATCTTCACCTCTAGATGTGCTCAATGGGATCCTCAGGAAGCAGAACTCGGCCCTCCTGGCGATGACTGGGAAGGCAAGCCTTAAGAGGTGGACGAATGATGTCATTGAACAGGAAGGTACCATAGACCAGCAGTCCAAAGCCGACCACCTGAAGCCACTTGAAAGACTCCCAGCCCAAGCCAAGAGACACGAGCCAGATGAAGAGAGTGCGGCAAGTGTCGATGGTGCTGCGGGAGGTAGCTGAGACGTTGCGGGTGACCGAGAGACCAAAGAAGTTGAATCCTCCAATGCTGATCATGATCAGAATGCTAGATATGGCCACGGCACGGTTCGTGACGACCTCGTGCCACCCCTCCTTCATGTCAAAGTAGCCGTACCGACCGGCGTCAGTCCGGCCCACGGCCAGGTAGAGAATCACCATGCCAATCATAGTAGCTGAGAAGCCAAAGATACCTTCCCAACCAACCACCTGAATCGGGTCCATGGCATAGTTCTCCAGAATCCACTCCTCCAGCACGAACTGCGAGGCAGTGAAGATCTGGGCCGCCGCAATAAGCAGCACACCGACAACAGTCATCACGGGGTCTGGAGAGCCCGCAACAACATGGGCAGATAGACCGTCGTCCTGGGTGAGGTCATGACCAGTATCGTGACCGAAGAGGGCCCCGGAAAGGCCGACTATGGCCACACCAAGGACAACAACGAAGAGGGCAGTCCACTGGTAGAGATAAAGCTTGCGACGAAGAAATATCACACTGAAAAGCCCAACGAAGAGAACCAGTGCCCCACGGGTCATTTGATAGATACTCGCCGCCACAAAGAGCAGGCCGACGTTCATCAGGGTCGTTCCAGTAAGATCGCAGGTCGACGGCGCTGCAAGTAACAAGACCCGCCATCCACGGAGCAGAATACGATCATCATCTTCATGATCCTTGTTTTGGCCATCGGCACGTCCGTTGAGCGTGCTTTCGTCGTCGTCATTGGCCCCACGATCCTCGCCATTCACTGGCTGGTAGCCGCCCGCGAGGAGCGGGGAGTTTCCATTGCGAGAAAGACGCGGGGCAATCAACCGCTTGTAGAGAAACGACAAGCCCAGTACAAGCCAGCACCCCATTTCACCGACAAACATCTGTGCCCTGTTAAATAGGAAAGCATGAGTTAGCCAGCCATTCATCGCGCCCCGAGTCCCAGCCATCGTCAAAGCCACACTCCGCCTGAAAAATGCAACTCACGTCTGAATGACAGGCTGTTCAAAAAGCTTTCGCTCATTGGGATCCGAAGAGTCGCAGTTCCGTACACATTGCATGTCCTTTGGTACACCATCCTGTTAGCTGGGCGAGCTGGGCGGCTGTCATCTCGACGAGCATACCTGGTACTTATTGAGAATTGTGTTGCAGACCCCGGTCACGAGCATCATCGTGACCAGGAATGGAATTACAGCACTGTTCGCCATGGTGTCCCGGAGCTTCACAATAGGAAGGGGACCGATGGCTGAGGAGGCGTTGTGGAGGAAGAGGAGGTTGAACAAAGCGGAGGTGCTTATCAGCCGATAAGCGGCAGCTGACGTGACTGATAAATGTGGGTCCGTTGCGGCAGGTGATCTCGGGATCGACGATCTGTTGTTTATGCTTGAATGCTTGATGCAACCCAGATAGCAAATAGTAATTCGTATACCATCGACCAGGAGGATACTCAGTGAAGATGGACGGGAAAACCAAAAGCAGATTCCCATAAAGCTGTCCATTCAAGGCATTTGACTGGCAACCAGCATGTTGATAGATTACAGTAGTACAGAAAAAGCAACACTCCAACCAATTGTAACTGCTCCCTGAAGAGCTGTTTAGACCCGAGAGGAACAGAAAAATCTCGTCGCTAGTATTAACAAGCAGATAGTATTCACCATATGCATTTAAAACAATGAATGAACCATCACACGACCCGGCGGCTTAAGAAACAGAAATTAAACCCCCCTCCCCCAGCTTTTTCTCCTCGAACAAACGCCATCACTGGTCCAGATGGGAATCACAAACGGTTTAAAAAAGGCATTCAATCAAACCCGGCATCCACAGGGGGTCGCTCAAAGTCACAGAAGAAAATAATGAAAAGAAAGTAACAACTAGGTGTCCCGCGTTGGGTATGGTACACACGCTTTGCATCCCGCTCATGAAAAAAGGAAGAGAAAGGGAATAAAAAAAAGGAACCTATCCTATGTACGCCTGAAAAACCGCCGGAATAACAGACAAGTTCGTGAGATCAATCCATCCATCCATTTCCTTCGCATCTTCATTCTTTTTATCACATCACCGAAAAGTCAAATCAAATATCAAATCACCTGCAACTTGGAGTCATCACAGTGCTGGAATAGCGAGAGCACCACCACTGTCAAGGTTCAGGTCCTTCGGTTGATGGTCAAGACCACCGAGATCGAAGGTGAGACCGAAGGTACTTTCAAGTTCAGGAGGTATCTCCATCCAGTTGATAGTATTCTCCACGGATGCTTCATCCCAGGGTATGAAATCAGCCCAGCGCAAAGAATCTTTGCTATCCTCCTTGTGCTCATCCTTTGGAGTCAGAGTGGCGAGGCCCAGGTCGTGGGAATCAGGAGTGTTTTCAGTCTGGTCCAGGGAGAACATATCGGCATTCAAAAATTCTTCAGGGTCATAACCGAGAGCTTGACGTCGGCACTCGGAGAACATAGGTTCGAAGATGTCACCAAGCTGCTCCTTGGACATGGGAGAATCCTCCCATGGGTCTTTAACAATTCGGCGACGTTTGGCAATATGCTTATTTGCATCCTGACTGGGGGAGAGCTTCATAGCCTTGCTGCTTGGCTGAGGGGTGAGCTGTTGAGCGGAGGTAGCAGGAGAGGCTGCCTTGGCACCAAGTTGGCTGGGAGCGCGAGTCATAGGAGTGTGGCTAGCAGTAACAGGCGTGGCAATGCCCTTTTTAGCCGGTGAATCCACCAAGGTGAATGAGTTCATGATGTTGGTAGCACCTGCACCGGTAACGGGAATCTTCTTGAGTGCCGTGCCGTCCTGGGCTAGTCCCAGTCCAATGTCAAGGCTGTCGAGGTAGTATTGTAAAGGATTATCAGTGCCCTCTTCATCTTCAGGCTGGTGAGTCTCTTCCACATGCTTGTCCAGGGCTGCCTGGGTCTGGAAACCTTGGAAGTGATATTGGCATTCTACCACATGGCACTTGAATGCACCAACCAATGCAGCTGCGGTGGACTGGGCCTCTGCGACTGCCTTTTGATAGGCGGCAGCAGCTTGGGTAGGAGCACTGACGAGAACAGGAGAGGATGATGTGCCGGTCTGAGATGGCTTGCGCTTCTTGGGTGGAGGAAGCTTCAACTTTTCAGGGGCAAGGCCACCAGGTCCATATGCGTGAGGAACTCCCTGGGGAGATGGGGCACCAAACGGTGCTGACGGTACATTAGCGGACTGGCTAGAAGCGCGACGGGCACGAAGGGCCTCTTCTTGTTGCTGTTGCAACTGCTGCAGGTTTGAGGCATTCAAGGCAGGAGTCGGATTGGGCTGTGCAGGCTGTGTAGCTTGGTTTCCCGCACCGCCTGCTTGGTTCCGCGCGTTCATTCTCTGGATCATGATATGGAAAAGCTTGCGAATAAACAGAATGGAGCCAGTCAGGTAATCTGGGGTGACCGTGAACTGGTCATTAACAACCCACTCCGGGGTGGGCTTGAATTGACGCATCAACTGGACTCGCATTGCAAGGAGATTCTTGATGCTTCTTTCCTGCCCCTGCATCTTGCCGAACCCATGGAGAACTAAAACATCTAATCTGCCAAGGACGTCCAGCGAGTCACGAAGTTGCTTAGTCATGATCGCTTTCTGTTCTGGGGATATTTGCAAGGATTGAGTTGGCGGGGCGCCCTTGGAAATCTCGTTGTATACCTCCATGATCTTCGGGGGAATATTGTTGTTCCAGGCTTCTTCCGCAGCAGCCCGGTTCAGGATCGGGCCACGGAGTTGGCTCTGCTGCTGCCGACGCATTGAAGCTTCCGCCTGCAGACGCTGCTGAGGGCTCATTGCAGCAAACTGTTCTTGCGTCCAAGGGATCGCTGGCTTCGGGGTGGAAGACACTGGGGGTGCCGCAGGCTGCTGAGGAGTAGTAGTACTCGCAGCACGATTCTCTTCGGCAACATCGGGATTAGGACGCTTCTTCGGGACTTGTTTAGCGGCGGCTGCTTTGGTGGGCTTGGAGGCTGCGGGTCCAGACGGTTGTGGCTTCGAACTTGGCGTTTGCATGTCACCAGTCACTTGCGGCTGCGGTGGGATAGGAGGTGCCTTTGCTTGTGGTGGTGGATTTTGAAGAGGAGGAGCAATGCCCTGGCCCATCGGATGACCTTGATTCGGCAAATTTCGGTTTTGAACGGCCATCATCATTTGTCGCTGACGGCTTCGAAGAATTTCGCGGAGTTGGTCATCCGTAAAGTTGTTCGCCTGAGGTCCCAGTTTCTGACGAGCCACCTGAAGATCCTGAGGGGTAATCGGACGCATCCCCAAGCCAGAAGTCTGTGTCTGGCCAGCGGAGAAGTTCTGCATGTTTGTCATGTCGCCTTTGTGTCCCTGCATTTGATGAGCGGAAGGTGCCTGGCCCTGTACCTGCCCACTTTGGCCCTTGGCTCCGGCAGTCATTATCTGCACGTAGTGAATTTTTTGGAGGGTTATCAGCTTCGCTAGGTCGGAACCATCATTCGCAGCATGTGGGTTCGAGGCCGTCCACTGCTTAAGTGCACCCCAGGTTGTAATGTTCTTTGGTGCCTGAGAGAAAATAGTGCCCTGGGAAGCATTGCTAACAAGTGATGGAGGAAATTTGGCTTTATCCATTTCTTGAATCTGTTCCGGGGTCATTTCGATGCTGGCAGCATTCTGTTGTCGCTGAAGTTGCTGCTTGATCATTTCATTCCGCTGCTGCAGGATTGCTCGCTGCTGTGGGGTCATCTGCTGACCTGGGAGCTGTTGAGCCTGATTCGGTCCACCAGGGACATTCATGCCCTGCTGGAGGCTGATTGAATTTCTCATTCGAGGATTATTTGCCATTTGATTATTGAACATCGCCGGGTTTTGGCCTGCTTGCGATACAGCCTGCTGAAGGGCGCCGGCCTGCTGGGAGGCATTCATCCGAGTCATCCCATTGACCATATGAGCACGGCGTTGGTTCATCAGGAACATGTGAACTTGTTCGGCTGGCATCTGGTTTAGCTGGTCTTGTACTGCTTGTGGAAGGTTCGGGGGAATTTGCGGTCGGCCTTGCATCGTGGACTGCCCACCCTGCATGCCAGCTGGTCCTGCTGGGTGCCCTCCCATATTCGGGGGACGAGATGGAGGCCGCCCAACAGCTTGCGCGGTGACTTGATTTGGGGAGATTTGGCCGGCGGCCATCGGCTGATTCAGCATCGGCATCACAGGGCTTTGCTGAGAGAGACGTGCCTGTGCCTGATGGTTTGCCTGGCCTGACATCGCCATTTGAGCCTTCTGAGCAGCTTGAACGCGAGCCTGCGCTTGCGCTTGAGCTTGCGCTTGCGCTTGCATTTGCTGATTCGCGAATCCATTGGCACCACCCTGCATGTGAGCTGCTCCGAACATCTGAGGGTTGACGCCGGCGGCATTCACATTTCCTTGGGCACTCTGGCCCATATGCTGGGGGAACATGTTCTGTTGGTTATTGAAGGGCTGTTGATTCATCTGCGATGAGCTGGCAGGCACCACCAACTGCCCAGCCTCTTGAGATCGAAGACCGTCTGCCTGCTGGCCCTGGATATTCTCAACATTTCCCATGAATGCTGGTTCGATACCTTGACCGGGGGTGCCCGTAAATGCGGAGTTGCGTTGAAGGTTCATCATGTTCTGAAGCATCTGGCGTTGCTGCATCATTGGATCCCCGCCCATCATAGCACCGTTGGGATCGAGACCCGCGTTCGGCTGGCGGCCCATTTCAGCCTGGCGGAGACGACGATGTCTGCGGAGTTGGTTCAGAGCCTGCGATCGGAAGAAATACGTCATCGGATCCATTTTCTTTCGAGCCAGGTATTGTTGCTGCTCGTGAGTCATGTTGGATAGATTCATCTTGATCTTCTCCATGTCCTCGCCCGAGGTCTTCTGGAGCATCTGATTTGCCAGGCGGTCGACGTGTTCGAGCTCTTGGGCTGAGAGAGTATTCAGGTCGTCGGGAAGAGCGACTCCATTGTTCGGGCGCTGCTGAACTCGCTGCTGCTGCTGCTGTTGTTGAAGCATGGCGTTCTGCTGCTGCCGCTGTTGCATGGCTGCCTGCTGGTTGGAAGTGGCCATGCCCATAGCCATCTGAGGCTGACCAGGAATGGGAGAGGTCTGGAGGGTTCGGTTGACTTGCTGAGGGAAAGCGCCTTGAAGTTGGTTTTGCATGCCTGGCCCACCTTGGGGCATCATGCCGCTCTGAAGAGCGACGGCCGCCTGTCGCTCTCGAGTATCCTTGATGTGGAGGAGCTTTTCGTTGCACTCCTTCTCGTAATCGTTCTATTGTCGCAAAAAGTCCACCGAGGTCAGCTTACTTTATTTCATCTAAAACGGAAAGGACCAAAGAGGTGAAAAGGGAGAGAAGGGAGAGGAGGGGTGGGAAATAGTGACGAACCCGTTCATTGGCTTTCTGAAAAGCCTTCTGTTCAAAGACGACGGCAGCCTGGGCAGCTTGACCCAGATCGATACGAGGTTGAATGAGACGGAGAGAGGTGATCCTAATGTGGTAAAGGGTTAGTGAGACTGGCCGGTCCAGATGAATGGGGTTGGAAAGAGGGGCGGGTGGAGGGGAATCAATCAAGGGACCGATGAGATAATTCCAATCAATCTCATGAGACCCAGACCAAACAATAGCAGCAACAATGACAAGGAATCCTGTGTTTTTTTGTTCTCCAGCCCTGCTTGGGAAGACGTACATCTGAAAAACATTCATCACTCGAGTCTTGATGGGGACCTCATCTTTCCATCCGCCATAAGGACCTTGACCTTGAAGTTGCTGGGCAACTTGGTTCATGATGTGCTGGACATCGGAATTTCGCTGCTGCTGCGGTTGCATGCCCTGTTTGACAACCGGGATGGCCCCGCCGGGGTTGGAAAACTGAGCGGGATTCATGACGGAAGCCCCATCAATGGGGGTCAGGGAGCAATCCGCGAGGTGAAGTGGTTGCGGTCAGCATTCGCCGGGGTCTGGGGTTGGCCGTTGGAGGTACGAGGAAGGGGTGTCAGGCGGGCGGTGCGAGAAAGGTTTAACGGTCGCGCGGGTGTTGACAGCAGCGAGGGTCGGGATGGGAGGGTGGAGGGTTGATTCGAGGTCGCAGATCGGCGGGAAAAGCAGAAAAAAAAAAGAAAAGAAAAAAAAGAAGGGCAGGGTCGGGTTTGCTGGTGTGGAACCGTGCTGAGTCGGAGGTTCGATCAGGGAGAGTTAAGAAGGGTGGGGATGGGAAATGCGAACGGCCCAAACGGAGGGCCGGAGGGTAGGCGAGTCGCAACGAGCAACCAGGACGGCGGGAAAGCAAGGCGTTCGGGCACCAGCGTCGATTGGATGCAATTCGCTGACGAAAGCCTGGATGTGGCTTGGAGAGCGAATGAGGTTGACGGGTGCAATCGTGGGAGGGATGGGGATCCGTGACAGGGATGCTGCAGCTCTCAAGTCGCACCAGACAACTCTGGCTCAACTCTGGGTCGTGAACCGGAAAGGGTCAGGTCCAGAGGCAGGTCTCAGAGATGAGAGCACGATCGCACGATCGCACGACGGTACGATTGCGCCCGAGTCAAGGAACTGAGTGAAGAGGGGAATGAAAGAGAAAGAGAGAAGAACCGATTGAGGCTCCTGATTCCTGACTCCAGGCACGAGGTGGAGAGGCAGACAAGAGGGAGAGGGGGAGGAGGCGTCAGTGGAATGACAGTCCACACTTGGCGGATTGGTGTTTCAAGTGGGCACAGAACCCGCGGGGAGGGGGAGGCAGGATGCTCACGAATTCACGCCAGACAGAGTGGAAGAAGAAGGGAAAGGCCGTGGAGAGGACAGGGCAAGAAAGGAGGAAAGGCGAAAAAGAAAAGAGAAGGGGAATCAGAGACGACCAAGCCGACGAGGTCTGAAAAGTGGAATGAGGGACGAGGGACGAGATACGAGTATAGTCGAATGCGAGGATCAGAGGTGGTGCGGTATGGCGATTACCCACGATACAGGCGTGGAGCAGCAGCCCGCCGCGGAGATGGGGGCCGTCTGGTCTGTACGGGCGGTATCAGCCGTACAGACGGTCCGGTGCCAGAGACAGTCACCAGACCCGACCACGTGCCTCCTCCAGACTCGCTTTGCGCCGTTTCTCTTACTGGTCTTCGTCTCTTCGTTCTTATCGTCGATTCATCTGGAGCCTCAGGGGAGAATTGGGGAATTGGAGGATTGGGGAACTGGGACATTGACAACCAGGCAAAAAGAACTGTCTTCAATCGACTTCCCGCTTGCGATTGCACCCTGGGAAGATGAAACACCAACAAGCGCCTCCCCTCGCCCCCCAACAGGTCCTTGACCAAGCATCTCGTCACAAAACCCAACGTATATGCAATTCGGTCTCAAATTATTCTGTCCAGTCAGTGACAGAGGACTCTGGTGGTGCAACAGAACGACCGGTTTTGGAATGATACAGAATGATGGCGCAGCCGATCTGAAGTCCCTCCAGGCACCCAGGTCGATCCCCCAACCCAAGTCAGGGCTGGCCGATCGGACATTATAGTTGCGATAGTAAACTATAGGCCACACATACAAGACAGGCCGCATCCATAATGTCTCCCATTCATATCTATCATCTCAATGAGAAAGACAAGAACATGGGCTTGTTCGTGAAGCCCAACAAGCCCTGGGCGGCCACGGCAAACACGTCGTCATAATTGTGGACCTTTTTCGTGTCACGGCCCCGGGATACAAACCATGGAGTCTCCACTGCAGCGAGAGGGTGCCAGGGCCAAGAACGTTCGCTCAACCTCGAGTCCATCACACAAAAGGTCCCAAGAGCTGAGGAGCGCGACCTGTCTCCCCTTCAGCTCTCAATCGGTCACCGACGTGGACGGTACTGTCCTGCATCGCCGTTCCTGAGGGCGATCGTTCAGGATCCTCCCGAATAGCCCCAGGATCGACGTTCTGGCCCTGGTGGGATCCGGGCGCGCCCATTGGCCTGGGGGGGAGACGCCACACATGTCTCTCCTCGATGTACTGGGTACTTCCGTTCCAGGCCCCGAGGTACCCCTGGTTCAAGTCCCAGGTACTCCACCCCCCAGCCACCGTGCGCGTCCGGCGGCCTACGTAACGAACTCACTGATTACAGCGCTCGCGGTACTAAATTAGTACTCGGAGCTTAAGTCAGCCACTCCCCTGGAAACGTCCGTCCTGCGGCCTGTTATCCTTCTATCAATTCATCGACCCTTCGATCTCTCGACATTCTGGCTCCTCCCACCTCGACCTCCGCCACACCAATCTCTCCCTCCTAACGCTAGGATTCGATCAAATTACTCGTCATGAACAACGGCTAAATCCACTCGCTCGCCTCATTTCCTGATTCCCCGTCCCGTTCCTGGCCTTCCCCCATTCTCCCGCCGGCCATGTTCTCTCTCTCCGCCCCCGTTTCCGTGGGCTCCAATATTTTCTTCGCCTTCGCCTTGGTGACGATTTCCGTCCTCGTCCTGCTGCTATTGCGCCGTTTCTTGACACTCCGCGCCACGCCGGCCTACCTGCTGGTCCCCGTTTTTCTCGCCCTCGCCCTGCCCGCCAGTGTCGTGCTGCTTGTCCCGATCGATTTAGCCTCCAGCGCCCGTGATGGCACCGGTCCCAAAGCAATCTGGCTGCCGGATCGGATGGTCCTGGTATGCTGGCGCATCGCCTACTGGCTCATCTTCGTCCTCACCTGGTACGGCTCTTTCGGGCGCTCTTTACTTGGCGGGTTTTCCGCAAAAGACCAAATTATCTAGTTCCAGACTCGCTGACATGTCACTCTTTTTCCCTCCAGGGCCATTCTTCCGCTCCTCGGTGACTATTTCGACTCCGGATATCGTGAACCCAAGGCCCGTCTGCTCTACTCCCTCCGCTCAAATGCCCGTTATCAATTGATTGTTCTGTCCTGCGCGATCGTCGGGTTAATCTACATCTCAATCTCCATTCGATTCGACTTCACCGCCATCAAGGGTCTCGTCATGGCTCTCGCCTATGTGTGGGGTCTTGTGCTCGCGATCTACCTCATGGGTCACGGCCTGGTCTCCATCCCGCGCAACCTGTTCCGGAACGCGAATGTCAGTGGCCGCTTGAAACGCATCCAAGCACATGCGCCCAAGGTGCATGACCGCCTGATGGACGCTGTCAATGAACTCGAGAGCCTCAATTCTCAGGTCGCCCAGCTGCAGCAACGCAAGACTGGCACCGCCCGCGATTTCCAGAACTGGATCGAGGATCTCTCTGGCGGCCCAGGTTCATCGGATGTGCGAGTCCCCATCCTCGAGGCGCCGGAGACCTCGGGCACAACCCCCTCAGTGATCACGGAGCGCTATCTAGCCGATCTCACCAGGCGTCTGCAGCGTGCCCGACACATGAAGGCTCGATTTGTGGATGAATGGGACCGATTGGTCATGCTGGCCGCTGACCTACAGGCCATCATCAACTCCACCGCGTCAAAGAAGCTCGAGTTTGGCCCGGCGCCCCGCCGGTCGTCCTGTCTTCCGAAAGTGAAGTTACTGACCCCCTACATGCGGTACCAACTCTATTCCAACGTCATTCCAGCCGTCAGGCTAGCTTTCGGCGCCTTTTTCACCGTCGTGTCGGTCTGTATTGTCTGGTCTGAGTTGATCAAATCCCTGGCGCCTCAGTTTTCCGCAGTCACTTTAACTGTTGTCCCGAATTGGAAAGACGAGAAGCCTATTGGGTTTGGCAGCCAGGTCATGGCCTCGGCGTGGCTCTTGTACATGTGTTCCGCTGCTTTGGTGGGTGTCAACGACGTCAAGGTCTGGGGTAACCGAGCTCTTGTGCGTCGCAACACCTACGGCGAAAGTGCATGCTGGTATGCCAGCCTCGTCGCCCGTCTCACCGTCCCCATCGCCTACAATTTTTTGACCTTCCTGCCGAAGGACTTCCGCCGCGCCACGACGTTCTACGAGTTCCTCGGTCGCCTCATCAACCTCACCTACTTGGGCAAGGGCTTTGACTACATTTTTCCGATCTTCATTTTGGTCCCTATCGGTGCCACTCTTTTCAACCTATACGGTCGTGTCAAGAACATTTGCGGTTTCGGCCTCGCCGAGGAGGACGACCTGCACGACGTCGAGAATAATCCGGCTGGGTACGGTATGGGCGGCTGGCGCGAGGGCCGTGACTTGATTGAGCGCGAGCTGAACGGTTTCGGCTCCCTGGCCGTCTCATCGCGCGGCGGCCGGTCTACCTGGGCCTCGGACCGCAGCGACGACGAATCCGTCGGCTCATCGCGGCTCCGTGTCTCCGTCGGTGAGGGCTCCCGGTCCCCACGGACTACCCAGCGCCCCGTCACCGCGCCCACTGTGCTCGATGGCGAGGAGGACGAAGAGGAGAACTTCTTCCAGTCCTTCGCCCACCGCGTCCGGAATACCTTCGAGACCACCAGCACGCCGCAGTGGTTCCAGGGCGAGCCATTCCGCCTGCCGCGGTGGATGTCGGGTGACACGGGCAACACCACAACCTCGGAGGAGGGTGGGGTTACGCGCCTGTTCGGCGGTCGCGCTGTGCCTGGACGACTACGACTTGGTTGATCTCATTTGCCTTGGACAGGCCTTGTGTCTACATTTCCCTTCTTATATGTATATATTCTGGCATAGTACGGTGTTTGAGTCCTCCATTACGTGCCTTTTTCTCAAACTGCTGGTCAGTGGTAATATAGATTAGTTATTGTCGTGTGTCCATGGTTTGTATTTTGTCTCATTTTTAATTCTTATTCTTTCTTTGCTCTCTTTGTGTAATGCCTCTCCTAGTGATGTCTCTTCGATGCTAGGGGCGCCTAATATGTTTGTTTTGTGATATATGAGAAATGAGGAAAGGATATCCTTTTATTGTGGTAGACGGATATTACACTAGATGTCCTGCGGATTCCATGTCAGTGTTAAGTGTGAAGAGAGATATATAAACTCGTCCCGTGATCACTCCTCGGAATGTAGCTACATATTTCATTATTCGACACCGAGTCAACCCAATTACTTCCTAGACTCCTACAGCTTTGCTAAATAAAAATTCAACGGACAAGCAAAAAGACAGTCAATTGGTATCAAGGATATTGCAAAAACATTCCTAAAAAAAATTGCCCTCGTCCAGGTTCGAACTGGAGACCTTCGGATAACAACCCTGTTTTCCAGGGACGTCATAAGTGAATATGAGACCGACGTCATAACCAACTAGACCACGAAGGCTTATGTTCAAAAGGGCTGGGCTTTGAATATATGAAGCAAGTTAAAGTCGAGCCCAGAAGACCAACTTTGTAGACTGGCGTGGGACAGACGCCGGGCTAGCAAGGGCTCCTCCAGGACTTCGAGAATTTCCAAATCCCAAACGGGCCAAAGGATCGCCAGAAACTGCTGCCCGAAAAGTCGGCTCAATGCTTGCTCGTTCTAGAGTCAGCATAGTTGGGGGCCGATAGGTGATATTGTTAACCCTTGGTAAGGCAGACAAGTTCATCTCATCAGGAGGATAAATATATTTAGATCAGAGGTATGTAGACCCACGGACAATAGACAGCTGTTTTCTTTCATGACTGCTTTCATCGAGCTCAGGGACCTCCCCACCCCTGTCAGGAATATCAAAGATCAACCATAAACCTCGAGAAAGGTGATTGATTACATATAGCACGGACCCCAAATACCTAAGAAACGGGGCGTCCACGCCTTCGAGTGGTGGCGGTGCATCGACTCACACGATCAACACGGGCAACGTCCCCTGTCTTCAACAAAGACACGACTTTTTGATCGAGAGAATACAATTATCCCGCCAACAGCTGGGCCTGGTATACACACAACATGCGAACGCGATGGATCTGATTCCACCGTCCTACAAGTCCGCAACAGACCGAGATGCGTGGGCTATCATCGCCCGTTACATTCCCTCGAGCGACCTGTGCGCCACCTCTCTCGTCTGCCATCGATGGCACGACCTATTCATGCCCTTTCTATGGGGCGACCCAGCTTCACATTTCGGCACCGATAATGATGCCGTCTATGGTAAACTCTGCACCCCCGCGGATGGATTTGGCCAACCCCGCGCTAACGATAGATATCAGTCGCCCTGACGCGGTTTCGCAGAACCCTTAAATATTCGCGACAAGAAGTACGGGCATTGACCCATACCTTGCATCTCCCGCCAGCGCTTTCGGAGATTTATGGCGGCCCGCGACCCGGCTGGCTGAGAGATATCCTTGAGTACTTGCCGTGCCTGCAGTGCTTGATGGTGTCAAGGCTACCCTTCTTTGACCACAATGCTATGGCTGCATTGAGGCAGGAAACTCAATCCAGCCAGTATAATGTCCGTCTTCTATTGGCAGACCATGAACCCAACACAACCTCGGCGGGCCTGGCAGAGACTCTGCTTCGCTTCCCCTTATTGACCTATCTGGACCTCTCCTATACCAAATCCGCCCGAGACCGAAGTGTGCTCTCGTCCCTGTCACAGCTTGAACACCTTCAAGTACTGAAGCTGCGTGACATTGGGTTGCGAGACAACGATGCCGAATTTCTGGCAAATGCCATTGTAATTCGAGTACGTTACTTGGACCTGCGGAACAATAACCTGACCGACATGGCAGTGCGATCCTTGTTACAGGCTTCCTTTATCACAAAGAGCCACCCGGAAATCCCACGTACAAGGCGTACTGGCAGCTCCCCGGATCCAGTTTCCCAAGCAGCCGCCCGCCATAGCTCCAACTCGGATCTTTTACAGTCCCCCCAGCTGGATGAGCATTTCATTAAGATACTAGCCCAGCCAGCCTCAAATCATTCCTGGACCGAAGATTTACCACACTCTGGCATCACCCATCTCTATATCGCCAACAACCAGATCACAGTGGAAGGAGTGGCAGGTCTTCTGGCTTCATCACGCCTCCATGCCCTGGATGCTGGAACCGTCAACACGGTAGATATGATTCACAAGACAGCATCAAAACACGGCAGATATCCCGGGGCGGAGAAGCTGGTGCCTATTCTGGGGAATGTGGCCGGCGAGAAACTTGCATATCTCAGAGCCCACCATGCAGTTCTCACCGCAGAACCTCCATCGAAGGACGTAGCTTCCAGTGTCGACTTTCTCCCAGAACTGCCAGCGAGCAATGAAGTACCCAGAGAAGCTGAGTTGGATGCTTCCGATGAGGCCCGAGTGCACGAACTACCATCAGAGAATATACCGGTGTTTGAACTTGCAGATACTTCTATAACAGACACCAAAACTTCGTTCACGGTTACCACTCCCACTCCATGCCCGTCAAACCCATACGAAGATGAGCCTCTGCCTGCAGTGAGACGGGGTTCTGCATTCGCTCCAGAAGTAATCCCTAGTCATGAGTGTGACCCACACTCTCCGGTATTTACCATCAATGGATCCATCCCCTCACATACGTGGCCTAGTGAGAATGAAGCTACTCTGCAGTCAATTTCTAACTCATCTTCATTCAACGATATCTTGGGCGCAGCTATCTCGCAATGCAACTCGCCCATATCCATAGATGATGCGCGTGCTCAGAAAATCCAGGAACTACTGTCGAAACGCCCGAGAAACCAATCCATTCCGCGCCGCGCTGGCAAAGAAATTTGCTTTCCTTACTTGCATCCTTCTCATATTCCGCATCTCGAGACTCTAGTGCTGACAGATGTCCCTTCACACATTCCACCGAACTCACCGATTCTTCACACCCTCACACGATTCCTGACGGCCTGCTCGAATGAAGCTTTACTTGCAACACTCCAGGCCGGATCGGACTATTCCCTCCCACCCGGCCAGGCCCGCATGCGCGCCGAACACCAGCGCTCTCGAAGCCTCTTCGGTCTGCGACGAATTATCCTCGAAGTCACACCTATTGATAGGTCCGCTAGACTAACGTCTTGGAAACCAAGCCTCCAAACGTCAAGCACAGGAGACCGAGACTCGGAGGCCCTCTGGGCGGCAGCTGCAGACGACTACAGCTTCTTCGGAGAAGAAGAATGCGGTGTGCCCGAGAACGACCCGGGCAAATATTTTCCTATGGCAGTTCTCAATGAGAAAGTCTCGCTGATGCCATCTGACGATGACGCTTCAACACATTCCGGCGGAGAGTCGCCTCTCCCAGGCCGCGACTTCTCCCGGCGCAGCGTGACATCCGCAGCACGCGGCACGCCAAGTCCATCGCGGACAGCTGCAGACAGTCAGCCGCAACGAATGCTGCAAGAGGTCGACCTGGTCGCCGAGCTGGCTGCCTTCCGCCGCTCCAAGAAAGCCGAGTACGAGCAGGTCGTGCGGCGGGAGAGAAAGCGGCGCAGTACCAACGGCAGCGGGATATCCCACGCGTTTACCGCCACGACGCCGCAGCTGTCGATGGCGCACTTTGTCGAGGGCCATTGGAAGGGCGAGGTCAAGATTGTGCGGAACCCAACGCCCAATGCCCGCAGCGGCATGGTGGATATGTACGGTAACTATTTCGAGAAGGGCTATTTGTATCCGTAATTGTAAACCGTGTTGCCCCTTCACAATAAAGCCCATGCTTTTCTTCTATAGTTTCCTAGTAGAGGTACCGTAGTTTGACTCCATTTACAGTTCTACTTGTTTTCTGCACAGCGGTTTGAAAGACATTTTTTGATATTTTCTAGGACCCACGACGGGGCTCATCCGTCCCTCCCGTCATGCACATGCCAGCGTCAATTGGCTCTCATACACCGAAAGGACCACAAAGACAGGGCGGAAACGGGAAGCGAAAAAAAGGGGTATAGATCCCTCTCCGTCCTCATTTCCAAGCCGTCATCGAACACCCGGTGCGCGGACTTTCTCCATTTTCCCCCTGGGCTCCCATAGCAGAGTCATTGCTTTTCGTAGTAACGATCCTGCCATGAGAACTGGGAATCCGTTCGTTCAAGAGACATCAAAGCGAAAAGGAAGACAAAATAAAAGAATTCATTTCAGACTAGCTCCATTTTATTTTGTTCGTTGAATGGCGTTCCTCTCCTTTACATAGCCTTAGCGGCCTGAGGAGGGGGTTCAGCTTCTTGCCATCCTTGTTGTAGCGAATACGGGGAGGGGGAGCACGGTTGCGGCGGCCTTCGCGGGAACGGACACTGCACAAGGGGGTTTTGGTTAGTGGAATGTTGTGGACGAAGGTTTTGGGCCTGCGGCATGGGCCTCCAATAGAAACAAGAGGGGAGCATGCGTACCGAACGATCTTGCCGTGGATAGCGCAGGAGACGCAGTACTGGAGCTTGAGGTACATCTTGGGGACGGAGTACTCGGCGAAGACGGAGGCATCAGAGATATCACCTATAGGCCAAGAAAGGTCGATGTTAGTGATTTCATGTTTTTCTGAATCCGTGTGTTGTGCTATTTCAGGCAGTTTCGATTTTCATCCCACAAAAGGACCTTGGTGGTCTCCTCCCTCCTCTTCGGGTGATGGGTGACATGTGGGAGAGGTGATAACGTACGGATGGCAGCGGACTCGACCATGTTGCGGATGGTGAAGCGCTTGATAGCCTTGTCCTTGGGGGTGCAGCGAGCGCAGTTGGAGCAGCGCACGGGCTTGACGTGGCCGCGGCCGTTCTTGTTGCGACCGCTGTAGAAAATCAATCAGCAACCATATTTCCTCGAATTTTGGTGAATCTGCAATTTCAGTTCCCATTCGATTCGTCCGACAATGCGCGTAGGTTGTTTTTTTTTCTCGGTTGGTGTGCACTTTTTCATGATTGGCTTTTTTTTCTGAAGGCGTGTTGTGTGCATGTATCACTTCCGTCGGCATCATTGCGGAGAATCGATGTCGACATGGGAGACTGGATCGCGGACCATCGGGGGGTGGAATCTGGTCTTACTTGTTCGCCCGCTTCTTGACCATTTTGACGGATTGCTCTGTGGGAGGTCAGGGATTCGATCTGAAATGGAAACAGCTCAAAAGGGGGAGAAAGCGTACGGGTGACTTGTCGGGAGTGGGTTGTCGAAGCTCGCTCTCACAGACGCTCTTCCGGAATGGATGGATGGTTGTGTTGTGGGAAGCCCTAAGCCCTTAAGCGAGACCCAGTCACGGGAAGGGCTTTATGGCCTTGCAGCCTTAGAGCCTGAGAGCCTGAGACCACGGGATCTGTGGCCTTAATACACAGGCTGCAACCACAACCCACCCTCTGATCTACACGTGACTGAGTCACGAGAAGCTCCCTTTCCCCAACAGGTTTAGCGCCCGTATTGAACCGTCCAAGCAGCCAATTACCTAAGCCCCGTGTTTACAGAACGGGCCTCGAGGGACAACGAAAACACCCCTGTTCGGATCGACCATCGACTGCCCTTTTCTCTTCCTCGGACTGGACGAACTCCCTTGCTTGTCTTTTTTTTCTCACCTCAAACCCTCATACCGGATTACCCATTCCTTCTTGCTCCACCTCTTTTCCTCCCCCTTCCTCTCCCCTCTTTGTTGTGTCTTTCCCCTCCTGGCATTATTATGTCGCATACAGGTACTTTTAGGGGAACGCCCAATAAAACCATCGGCAGAGGAAGGCTGCCCGAATTCGAGAACTCGAACGCCTCCCACATCCCTCGACCCCGTCCCGACCGACCAGAACCCTCCGCTGTTCCCCACCCCCCGTCGAGCGACCTTGGTAGTGGCACCATGAGCGCCGCCAGTAGCAGACAACGACAGAACCAGTCGAAGCGTGATGAGGTGCGTTATCTCCGGTATCCGAGACCTGCATTTGCGTGATAGAGCCTCGGTTCAGAACTGACCGGTCTCGCCTACTGCCACAGGCTATTCGCCGCAAGATGGAAGCCGATCTTAACAAGAAGAAGCATCACCCGACGAAGGCGAGAAATTCCCGGAAGGCCCCTCCCGGCACCGTTCTTGCCTTGAAGCCTAGCCAAGCTCTCCAGATCAAGCCCTCCCTCAGCATTGCGGAGGCCGCGCAGTTGATGGCTGCCAAGCGTGAGGACTGCGTGTTGGTAACAGACGACGATGATCGAATTGCCGGTATCTTCACCGCGAAGGACTTAGCGTTCCGTGTGGTGGGCATGGGCCAGAAGGCCCGCGAAGTCACTGTCGCCGAGATTATGACCAAGAACCCCCTCTGTGCGCGGACAGACACCAGCGCTACCGATGCCCTTGATCTGATGGTTCGCAAGGGCTTCAGACACTTGCCGGTCATGGATGAGAACCAGGACATTTCGGGTGTCTTGGATATCACCAAGTGCTTCTACGATGCGATGGAGAAGCTGGAGCGAGCTTACAGCTCATCCCGGAAATTATATGATGCGTTGGAAGGTGTACAGACGGAATTGGGCTCAAGCCAACCCCAGCAGGTCATCCAATATGTCGAGGCCTTGCGCCAAAAGATGTCTGGTCCGACCCTTGAGACTGTTCTTGATGGCATGCCGCCGGTGACTGTCTCTGTCCGAACTTCGGTCAAGGATGCTGCAGCGCTGATGAAGGAGCACCACACTACCGCTTTGCTTGTGCAGGACCAGGGCTCTATCACTGGTATTTTCACCAGCAAAGACATTGTTCTCCGTGTCATTGCCCCTGGCCTTGACCCGGCCACCTGCAGCGTTGTTCGCGTTATGACTCCTCACCCCGACTTTGCGCCCTCCGATATGAGCATCCAGGCTGCTCTTCGTAAGATGCACGGTCCGTTTTCCTAAGCCTAATTATGCAATCATGTCCTTTTACAGCTGGCTGACAAGAGAGCAGATGGTCACTACCTGAACTTGCCTGTCATGAATGAGTCGGGTGAGATTGTTGGCATGGTGGATGTGCTTAAGCTCACCTATGCTACCCTGGAACAGGTATGATCGTCAACTTGCAGGATTGTGAAGGTGCAGCAGCTGATCAAATGACGTACTATCTTTCAGATTAACACCATGTCGACTCAGGATGATGAGGGCCCTGCCTGGAACAAATTCTGGTTGTCGATGGATCACGAGTCCGACTCCATGGTCTCCGGTAGCCAGCAACCGCATACGCCCATCCGCTCTGTTATGAGCCCCGACCTGACCAGGTCACAATACGATAATAGCGTGCTCCCGAACGAGTCTGCCTCACACCACGGCGGAGAGGAGCACTCCGAGGTTGCCTCCCATAACCATCATACCCATGCAGAGAACGTTCCATTTCCCTTCAAGTTTAAAGCCCCTAGCGGCCGTGTGCACCGAGTGAACGTTTTGGCTACTTCTGGTGTCGCCGACCTTGTCTCGCAGGTGACTGCGAAGCTTGGCTCTGAGCTTGAGGCTGTCGGCGGCGAGGCTGTCGTTGAGGAGGGTAGACTCAGCAATACCGGCTACGCTCTGAGCTACATGGATAACGAGGGCGACACCGTCTCTATCACAACTGACCAGGATATGCGGGACGCCATTGACCTTAGTCGCCGAACCCACCGTGAGAAGGTTGATCTCTTTGTTCATGACCCTAGCCAACCCCCCATTCCCGCCACCCTTGATCCGCAACCCGCTAAGCCGGCCACTCCTGTGATCGATGACCAGAGCACCACGACCGAAGACCGTCCGGCCGTTGAAGAGCCTCTGTTGAACAAGCCTCGCCAGGCCTTCCCCTCGCATGGCCCCGAGGAGCAGTTCATTACTGGTGTCCCCAATGAGCTGCTACTTCCGGGTGCGATCGTCACCCTGGCTGCCGTCATTGCGGGTGTGTTTATTCTGAGTCGGCCCAGTGGCCGTTAAAAAAGATTCTCCTTTTAGACATCTTCTCTTTCTCAATCTTGGTCGTCATCCATCCATCCTCTTCTACATAGTCTCGACTGACCCTCTCCTTTGCTCATTTTTGGCTCTTGTGATCTTTTGAGAGTGCATACCCCCTTTCTAATTATCGATATTCTGTGTCGCGTTCAGATACCGCTGTTCGAGTAATGATCAGTTGCGGCCGTTTTTAGTTTTAGCCTTCAATGCAGATACTTCTTTGTCGGGAACAATTCTCCGCGCTTTGCTTGGGTCTATAATGAAAGACGGAATTGCATATGTAGAATTGCATCGAAGTTAGGATATGAAACATACCACAGCGCTACGTTGCCGCGTGGACTGCCTTCGGTATTAGGTTGGTTGGTTGGCTGGTAGGTTGGTAGGAAGGTTGGTATTGAAGCCCCCGAGGCCCGGTTGGCGTGTCCAGGCAACCCGTTAAAGCGTGCTCTTTGCTCGCTCTGACCGCCGCACCCAGATTGAGCGGAGGGGCTGTCACTTGCTTCACCCAGTCAATCTGTATTCTCAGTCTTCTTTTGAAGGAGCTTCTCCACATCCTTCAGGCTCGCTGTTCCCAACTGTACCGCCGTCATATCCACTGTTTCCCCGGGAATGTTGGTGATCAACCCGGCGCCTATCGCATATCAATTCCCCTAATCATCAATCTTTTTTTCCCTTCCTCCCCGCCCCACCAAAAACAAAACTCCTCCCCTTCAACCCCCCTCTTCACCCCTCTGATCCCCCCACCACACATCCCGCCACCAGGGACTCACAAAAAGGGTTGCTATCGTCTGCTGGATCTTGGGAACAGACACACCCACCATGTCCCTGCTCCCTCCCGAGGTCCACACTGCGCTGTCCCAGCTGCTGCGTGCCTTGGGCACACCCGACAACGCCGTTCGATCTCAGGCCGAAGAGCAGCTGAACAATGATTGGGTGCAGAACAAGCCGGATGTCCTCCTGATGGGCCTGGCTGAGCAGATTGCTGGTGCCGAAGATACACTAGTAAGTGATTTTTACTCCGAAGGGGGTGGACAGGGAGGCCGTCGTGGGAAACCAGGAGCGCTGCAGAGATGTGCTCCACGCCGACGAAGAAAAAGCGCTTCCCTCCCCGCAACAAGTCGACGACTTTGGGTGATGATATTGACTGATTTTCGCACCTTAAATAGACCCGTGCTTTCGCCTCTGTACTCTTCCGGAGAATCGCTACCAGGACCCGCAAGGTTACCAGCAGCGCCGATATTAAGGAAATCTTTTTGAGTCTGCCCAATGAGCAGCGTATCGCTATTCGGGAAAAGCTGCTCACTTGTCTGACCTCCGAGGCTGTCCTGGATGTGCGCAAGAAGATTGGAGATGCTGTGGCCGAGGTCGCTCGCCAATACACCGACAACGGTATGCGACTTCAACTGCCCACAACACCCGTGGAAGAGTCTCCGAGCATTCTGACATTCCGGTTCCTTGGAATCTTTTTTAGGCGAGCAATGGCCCGAACTGCTTGGTGTCCTCTTCCAGGCAAGCCAGTCTGCGGAGGCTGGCCTTAGAGAGACTGCCTTCCGCATCTTCAACACCACCCCCGGTATCATCGAGCAACAGCACGAGGATGCCGTTGTCAGCGTCTTCACGAAGGGCTTTGAAGACGAAAACATTTCTGTATGCTCACCCCACTCCCATATCTCAAAAATCGCTCGACAGACACCTTCTGACCCAAGACCTTTAGGTGCGAATTGCCGCCATGGAAGCCTTCGCCGCCATGTTCCGCTCTATCCACAAGAAGTCCCAGCCCAAGTTCTTCCCCCTCGTGCCCGCCCTTTTGAACATCCTTCCCCCCTCAAAGAGTCTAGCGAAAGCGAGGAGCTGTCGTCGGCATTCGTGGCCCTCATCGAGCTGGCAGAGATTAGCCCCAAGATGTTTAAGGGTATCTTCGGTGACTTGGTCAAGTTCAGCATCAATGTTGTCTCCGACAAGGAGCTCAGCGATCAGGTCCGCCAGAATGCGCTGGAGTTGATGGCCACTTTTGCCGACTATGCGCCTGGCATGTGCAAGAAGCAGCCCAACTTTGCACAGGATATGGTTACCCAATGTCTGAGTTTGATGACTGATGTGGGCCAGGATGATGATGATGCCTCTGAGTGGAATGCATCTGAGGATGTGAGTTACAAAATCTTTTTCTATGGCGACTGTAACTTGTGACTAACGATTCTCTAGCTCGAACCCGAGGAGAGTGATCTCAACCACATTGCTGGTGAGCAATGTATGGACCGTCTGGCTAACAAGCTGGGTGGCGAAGCTATTCTGCAGCCTTCCTTCTCTTGGATTCCTCGTATGATGTCCTCGACTGCCTGGCGCGATCGCCATGCTGCTCTGATGGCTATTTCTGCCATTTCAGAGGGCTGCCGTGACCTGATGGTTGGCGAACTCGACCAGGTCCTTGCCCTGGTTGTTCCTGCTCTGCGGGACCCCCACCCCCGAGTCCGCTATGCCGGCTGCAATGCTCTCGGTCAGATGAGTACCGACTTTGCTGGAACTATGCAGGAAAAGTACCACGCCATTGTTCTTAACAACATCATCCCTGTGCTCAGTTCCACCGAACCCCGTGTGCAGTCTCACGCCGCCGCCGCTCTCGTGAACTTCTGCGAGGAGGCCGAGCGCAGCATCCTTGAGCCCTACCTTGGCGACCTTCTGAGCCGACTCCTCGAGCTTCTGCGTAGTCCCAAGCGATACCTTCAGGAGCAAGCCCTGTCCACTATTGCTACCATCGCTGACTCTGCCGAGACTGCCTTCGGCCAGTACTACGACAATTTAATGCCGCTCTTGACCAACGTTCTTAAGGAGGAACAGGGTAAAGAGTACCGGCTGCTCCGTGCTAAGGCCATGGAGTGCGCTACTTTGATCGCTTTGGCTGTTGGCAAAGAGAAGATGGGCCAGGATGCCTTGAACCTCGTCCAGATCCTGGGCAACATCCAACAGAACATCGTCGATGCCGATGATCCCCAATCGCAATACCTGCTCCACTGTTGGGGCCGCATGTGCCGCGTCCTGGGCCGCGACTTTGTTCCATACCTGCCTGGTGTTATGCCCCCTCTCTTGACTGTGGCTGCAGCCAAGGCCGACATCCAGCTACTGGATGACGAGGATCAGATTGAGCAAGTCGAGCAAGATGAGGGCTGGGAGCTGGTTCCTCTCAAGGGCAAGGTCATTGGTATCAAGACTAGCGCTCTGGAAGACAAGAACACCGCTATTGAGTTGATCACCATCTACGCCCAGATTTTGGAGGAGGCCTTCGAGCCTTACGTCCTGGAGACTATGGAGAGAATTGCTGTTCCCGGTCTTGCCTTCTTCTTCCACGACCCGGTCCGCGTTTCGGCCGCGAAGCTGATCCCTCAGCTTTTGAACTCGTACAAAAAGGCCCACGGTGGTCAGAACCAAGGATTTGCTGACATGTGGAACAAGGTGGCCGAGAAGATTATCGAGGTGCTTAGTGCCGAGCCTACTGTCGATACTCTGGCCGAGATGTACCAGTGCTTCTATGAGTCTGTGGAGGTTGTTGGCCGCAACAGCCTGACCCCGCAACACATGCAGGTCTTCATTGACTCTGCCAAGTCTACTCTCGAGGACTACCAGATGCGCGTGAAGCAGCGCTTGGAGGACCAGGCTGAGCTGGATGGTGACGAGGAGAACTTGGAATATGAATATGCTATTGAAGATGATCAGAACCTGCTCAGTGACATGAACAAGGCTTTCCACACCATTTTCAAGAACCAGGGCACCTCCTTCCTGCCCACCTGGCAACAGCTGATCCAGTTCTACGACAACTTCATCACTAGCCAGGACCCGACACAGCGGCAATGGGCCCTGTGCATCATGGATGATGTGCTGGAGTTCTGTGGCGATGATTCTTGGACTTTCAAGGACCACATTATGCAGCCCCTGGCGAACGGTTTGCTGGACGAGAACGCCGCCAACCGCCAGGCTGCTGCCTATGGCGTTGGTGTTGCCGCACAGAAGGGTGGTGCCGCTTGGAGCGACTTCGTTGCTGCCAGCATTCCTAGCCTGTTCCAGGTGACCCAGCACCCGCAGAACCGCACCGAGGAGCACGTCTTCGCAACCGAAAATGCCTCCGCCAGTATCGCTAAGATTCTGCACTACAACGCGTCCAAGGTCCAGGGTGCTCAGGAAATTGTGTCCAACTGGATCGACACCCTTCCTATTACCTACGACGAGGAGGCGGCCCCGTACGCTTACTCTTTCATTGCACAGTTGATCGATCAGTATGTTTTCTCCTTGCATTGTCTATTTCTTCCTAATGACTAACAATCCACCCCAGGCAAAACCCCGCTGTCGTGAGCAAGGCCGATCGCGTATTTGGATCCATTGTGCAGGCTCTTGAGGCCGGCACTCTGCAAGGCCAGACTGCTGCCCGTGTGGCCCAGTCCGCTAAACAGCTGGTGACCGCGACAGGCTTGAACGCAGAGCAGATCCTGAGTGGCGTCGGCCCGGAAAACCAGGAGCGTGTGCGCAAATTTTTCCAGTAGAGTTCGGCTTTTGTTCTATATCTTGGGTAGCAACTGTTTGCCTATCCCGGTTTTCTTTCATCCTTCCAAATTTCTTTTTGCTTATCCACCCCCCCCCCCCCCCCCACCTGGGCCATGTGAATCCGATGCCAGTGAAGACCTGAAATGCTCGATTAATCTTCCACTTTCCCTCTCCCCCCTTCCACACCACGTACGAAAGAAATACTACAAACTTCTTTGCAATCACATCATATCCTTTCCTTCATACCAACTGTGGCTGTAGACTAGATGGGCTGACCTCCACTTGAATTGTGACTGGGGATGAGCCGTGACCATCCACAGCTTGTTTCATATTCTATAGTGACGACACGCGGCGGATCTCATTCGCAACAACCTCCTCAAGAGTCATTGTCTTGGGCTCCCCAATGAGCCCGTTGGCCCGCTGCGCATAGAGAGTGCCGCCCTCAGTCCAGATGCGGCGCAGCGTCAGCACCGTCGCCGTCGGGCTGCTCGCATCCCAAGCCGCGGTCTCCAATAGGCGTAAGCGATCTAGGGTTGTATATGAAACCGCATCCCAGGACTGGCCAGTGGTCTGGCGTTCAAATTCCGCTTGAATCTCAGCGGGACTAGTGGTAAAAGAGTTGACGCAGAGAGGGCGATTGCGAGTCTCGGGCGTAGCGTCAAGTAGGGTTGATAGGACAAAAGTGCCCACGCTGTGTACCCAGTTAGCAAGAGCCCAAGACAATATGATAACAGAAAGAGAAGTCGCTTACTCTTTCATTGTCGTCAAACTAATCTTGTCCGTGCCTTTATCCCCGAGCAGCACAGCCTTCCGTGACTTGACGTCCCACCCACCCGCCTCCTCCAGTCCGGGCGTCAAATGTAGATACATCTCCGCGAATGGGCCGGTGACGACATACGAATACTCAAGATCGTCCCGTGAGATTTCATTCTCAAGCACTGCGCGCACTTTGAGCTTCTGCTGATGTGGCTTCTCATGCGCCGATGCGGGGCTATATGCAATGTCGGTGCCGTACTCCGAGGGGAAGAACCATTTGACACTGGAGCTGGCCGCCGCTAGGCGAATGAGAGGGATCTGCTGGGCAAGAGTATTGCGACCCAATGCCGAAATCACGGTGTCGATTCCTAGTCGTGTTAGACATGTCTATTCTAGGAGTCTTTATACAATCGCGAAGGGGGTGAGAAACAGATCCATGTACCTTGATAGGCAGCCTTGATTGCGCTCTCATCCTCGACATCTCCGACAATGATTTCGACACCCTGAATTTTCAAATTCTCGATCCTCGATGCTTTGGTCTCTACCGTACGCGGAGAGGTAAAGACCACCACGCGGTCGAATTGCGAACGTGCGGAGAGAACGGCGTCCAGGATAAATGAACCAATTGTGCCCGTAGCACCGAATAGAAGCAGGTTTCTGGGAGACATGATGTAGGTCAAACTCTTCTATATTTGTCAAATGTACTCAAGAGGAAGAGAAGTTTTTGAATAAATACAAAAGCAGGGTATTTCCTGAGTATCGCCATGCGCACGACAATGACGGAGTGTGGGGTTGCGGGGCTTTTGCTTATCAATCGACGCGCTTTATCGGCTACTTGACTCGGTGGATTCCTTTCGCGCCATTGACTTTATCCGGATTGCAACAAGGTCTCAAACCCGTCAAACTACCATCTCGAGAATCTCCAACACTTGGTCCTTCTCCTTGAGTGGCACCGGATTGCTCTGGCACCACCGGTCATGTAAGCTGTGCGCCGCCAATGCGTCTAGCTTGTCTCGGCCCACCCGCACGTCGGTCAGAGACCGCGGCATGCCTAGCTCCCGGATAACCACATCGAGGATGTCACCTAGGTCAGAGGTACCTACGTCGATCGCACGGGAATGTAGAACCTCAGAAACGACGGGATCGGTGATTAAAAACTCGCGCACCCGGGCCTGACGCTCCCGATTCCCGTTGTGTTTCGCGTTAAACTTACAAACAGCCGGTAGCAGGATACAGCTTGTTTCTCCATGGCCGACGCCCAGAGGGCCAAGCTAAAAGGATACAGTAATTAGCTTTCTGTTCCTGGTTTTTTTTTTTTTTTTTTTTTGCCCTCCTGGAGATCTTCAGGCACCACGACTTTTCCCACATACCTGGTGGCCGATACCATGACTTGCACCCAGCTCCACTGATCCGCTCGTACAAGCCGCCATGGCATCGACTGAGCCTAATTGACACTGCAGATGCGCATTGGTGTCTTTGCGGTCCTTTTTACACCGCAGCAGACCTGGAACAAGGAGGCTGAGAGCATTGTGGGCCAGCTTATCCGACGCCGGGGTTACACCCACGACCGCACACAAAGTTTCCACGCAGTGGTCCACTGCACGAACGCCTGTACTCAACCATATGGAATCAGGAGCTGTCTGGGCAAGCTCTGGATCGAGGATGATCAGTTCAGGTCCACGTAGGGGGGCCTGGAAGCTGTATTTGCGGCGCGAGGTGTCCTCGGTGCCGCCCGCGAAGTTGGAGTACTCGCCGGCGGAGAGGGAAGTTGGGACAGAGATAATGGGCACAGCGGGAGCTTTGATATCGGCGCGTTTTTTGGGGCCTTCGGCAAGAGTGTCAAGTTCATTGGCCGTGCGAACCTCGTTTGCGAGGGCCTAAGGGTGGCAGATTCCATTGTTAATAGATCCACATAGCACAGACCTCGATGATGGCAAGAGTCGACAACTATAACCATTCAAACGAGGCATTATCAAAAGCGGACTACCCAAGCAAGACTTACCAACGCAATGATTTTCGCCCCGTCAGTCAGACTTCCCCCTCCCAGCGTCAACAGCATATCGGCATGCACATTCCGCGCCTCCTCGACAATCTGCAGCACCTCCGACCACAATGTATGGCTTTGCATGCCAATCCGGCATCCGACAATCTTGTCCGCACCCAAGGCATCCATCAACCGGTCGAGCGCATCGGTATTGCGCGCCAATGACCCAGAGCAGATTACATAGACGCGGGAGGCGCCAAAGGTCTCCGCGACATGGCGGGCGGCCGCGGCGGGGAAGGCGATGCCGTAAGAGAGGATGGGCCGCTCGCGACCAGCGAAGGCGGGACGGACGATCTCGTCGGACATGATAAGTGTGTATTTTAGAAGAGCGGGAGTATTCTTGGCTCTCTTTTTTTTCTTTGGTTCTATCGTCTTCGTTGTAGATCTGGGTGCATTTGGTGTTTTATTGTCGTGAAGGTCAAGCTTCTCCATGTGGGAGGGATGTGGGGCTCTTTCAATCATGTGGGTTCATCGATGCCGATGATGTGACTGCTTCATATACAACATGATCTTTTGTGACCAAGAGGAGTCGAAGGGATGAATTGAAAGCATGTTTATTGACAGAGAAAGCTATTTCCATTTCAATTTTTGACTCGGAAGGCAGGCGATACTTAAGAGCAAGATTGATTAGATAAAAAGAGTATATACTAGTTATATCGCAATCGGGAGCCACAACAGCAAACCGCGGGCTTTTAAACTCCGGATTTCATCATGGACTCTGAAACATGATTATATTTGTCTTTCATATTATCCTTTCTCAGAAAGATACATAAAAACTCTTGAATTAGGGGAATCAGCAGCCATCCAGACCGTGCACACCCCCGTCTGCGGTATATTTGCAAGACCCAGTCCCAACAGTGGTGGAGTTCTCTGGATATAGAACAACATTATCAAAGTCAATGTTATAACATGGATGCACGTTAGAGCATGAAACTGAGGCGACAGTGCTCTTGGTCGTATCGATATAGCCCGTGAAATTCACAAAGGCTACGTTTGAGATGCTCATCTTGCTGGTTCCAGAATATGAACCATTGTTCCCATTATCCTGGGTTATCGCCGGCCCAGAGTTGGCGCCATTAACCTCAAAATTTGAGAACAGTACGTTTCGTATACTACCCCACCCGTCTCCGCGTGGGAGACCGGCACTTTCATAAGAGCTTTGCGGAACAAGTGCTCCAACCCAGGTCTTGATATATGCGCTGTTGTGCAGATCCTCATTGTATCGAATAAGCTTGACCTGGTCGATCCAGATGTTGGCTACGCTGGAGTCTTCCAGGTACTGGCCTAGACTCCCAATAGCAATGCCATTTCCACCGCGGCAAGTGACGTTATGGATGTCGACATTGTACGATCGGGGCTTGATAGCAATGCAATCGTCGCCACCTTGATAGACGAAGTTCGTAAGTTGGACATTCTCCACATCCATGGTATCTATGAGAAAACTCTTTAGTAATGGCTATTAGAAACAGACTGTTACGTTGTGCATACCAAAGCCGTCGGTATTCTGTACCCAATTATCACCATATGGTGCATCTACTGCCGTCGCGTTGCAGTAGATGTTATTAAACCGCATATTTTTGCCGTTCATGATATTCAAGCTCCAAAGTTGAGGATCCTTGATATAGAAATTGTCCACGCTGACCTCAGTCACATTCCAGAACACGAATGGCATCGGGCGCCCCGGCTGGGTATCTCCCTTCTCTGCTGTATACCAAACATTTCCATTGCCATCGATTCCTCCCGTACCATATCCATCGATCTTGATGTTGTTTCCGGTGATAATGAACCCAGCATGGTGATTCTGAAATGCAATTGGATAAGAATTGTTACGCCAATAGTCTAGATCATCGGAGAACTTCAACGAGTTAGCCCTGATATATGTTAATCACGGCTGGCGACATACTGTCCATTTTCCACGCCATTCAATCACCACGTCATTTACGACGGGGTTTAACCGTGTGGCAATCCAATAGGATTGGTCTTCAGGAAAGACAATGGTTCCGCCGTGACCACACTCTTTGAATGCCTTGAGTATATTGGGCACATCATCCTTTTGATGGCCGTTGGCCTTTACAGTGCAGACATTTGAGCCAGTTCTCGTTACTCCGGCACTGACAGCCGTAGCAAGCGCAAACCCGATAGGGAGCGCGAAAGAAGATATTCCTTGCAAGCGCATGGCAAGGAGTGATTTAGAAGAATAGCTTTGTGCAAGCTAAAATATTTATACTAATTACTCAATCTTGTCTGTTCTAAGCGAGGGGGCTATCCGTCGCTACGGGTCTTCGGTGGTCTTTGCGCCGAACTTGCATCGAGGTTTGAAATTGCGGGGATGCACAATTGCGGGGAAAACCTTTGAGATTGCGTGAAAATTGCGAGTTCTTCGAGTGGCACGGAGCCCTAGAAGCCACCGGAGTGCTTGTTCCGCTGATCGTTACCTTGACCCTGGCAAGTGTTGATATTAGTTGTTGCCGGTTCTTCCACCAATGAAACTGAGGAAAATGCCAGAGTCCCGGCTACTATGGACACCACAAGTACCTCGCGGTAGAAATATTCATAATAATAAATAAGGGATTGCAGAGCGGGTGTTATTTTAGTGTGAATTTAGGACATCGTGCTGTCCCAGCCCCACACTGTCAATTTTCTGCATTACGTTTATGGAAGACCAAAGTAAATTCAAGTATTCTCACGTATCAAATTAATTTGATTGTTAAATTGACTGTCATGCTTGCTGAAATACATTGAATAGCTTTACTGACCACTGGAAAAGTGATTCTATTAAGTATACAATTGGGTAAAATCATACTGCAACGCACTCGATGAGGAAATCATCTTCTTCGCGAAGACAGGGTCTTTCCCTGCCCGTACACACATTGACAAGAACTTGTCCTCTCCAGACTCGACCGACTGTTCCGGATCTCTAAATAGGCGACGCAAATTGCTGCGGGAGATAGGTTCGATCATGTTAGTGAACTTCTCACGTCTGACTTGATCATATATGTCTAGGATATCTGGAGTTGTCTGGCCGCTCCAGATCCCCACCAGGCAGTCACTCAGGCCGCCAACATCAGCGACACCGCCAGTTAGCCCTATCCCACCACTAATTTTATCAAGTCAGGATATGAGAGGACAGATAAAGTTAACGCGAGCAAGATATATTTCATACAAAGGATTGCACAGATGTGCAGCATCAGCAGCTAGCAGAAACCTGCCTTCTCTCATTTTCACAGCAAGTCGTTGGTGTACTCGGTAAGGGCTGAAGTTGGCGAGTTTATATTGTTCTGGAGATGGGTTCCCAGGTAGCATTTTCAGAAATTTCATCGGCTGGCGAGATACCAGCTCCTCCTGTGAAAGCCCCCGGTCTTCACCATAGGAGACACGCCACAACCCGTCCTTGGTGATTCGGGCAGCTACATGCCAGTGCTCCTTATCAATGATATAGTTCGCATCCTCGTATCCATATTTGTCAAAATCGTAGTAGACATTGGTCGCTACAACCTGCTCTTCCCAAGTCTCTCCTGGGAAATTCGAATCTCCGTGCAGTGACTTCCGAATCCGTGAGTTGGCGCCATCGCAGCCAACAATGTAATCCGCTTCCAAGGTCACCTCACCGTCTAAAGTTTCCACACTCACCCAGGCTTTATGGTCATTCTGTCCGATGCCCCTAACTGTGTGGGACCACCTGATTTCCGCACTAGACTGACATCTTAAGTGCCTAACCAGCACCTGGCCGAGCTCGTTCAGTGGCAGACAGGTTGTTCGGTCTATGTCGTCTCCGAGTGGGTCATTGTGTAGCTCAGCCAGGACAGTTCCATCGAGCTTGCGCCAGCATGTTTTGTTTGGCGTAAACCCTTCGGCGCGAACATCATCAAGAACTCCAGCTCGACGAAGCTCATACACGGCCGGTGGTGAGTAATGCGTTGCACGAGGCTGGTCATTCAATTTGTCGCCAGCTTCGAGCACAGTGACTTGAATGCCTTTACGTGAGAGCATCAGTGCGAGCAGTAGACCAGCCGGTCCTGCCCCGACGACAAGTACCTAAAAAAAATATAGACTCATTAAAATACTTGGGTATGATAGGTAGGAAAATGAATACCTTGAAGCTTGGCACAGTCATGGCTGGATAGACGAGTCAAAACCCTGGTCAAAATAAACGGTCAATCTCACGAAGTGGCTGGCTCAGAAAGCAAATGATTTGGATCAGAACGTAATTGCAGAACACGCTAGTTTTTAGCGTGTCCAAACGCGTGCTTTTATTAGCCGATGGCCCCTTCTTTCAGTATGCAACCATGGACGAATGAATGATCTGGCAGAGTAATAAAATGGAAATGATGCTCTGTTTGAGCACTCTTCATGAAATCATTTCGGATCTCAAGATGAACTCTTATACCTCTTATGCGCCCGAAGGACCCGGAAAGACGCGAACTATGGAATTTCTTTTCTTTATAAAGAACTTAGGCCATCACAAGTATACATTGCTGATAGGATCGATTCGGCATGCATAGATAGCCATGAGGAGAATATATTGTCATACCCAAAACATAAGCTTGTCGTGCATGTATTGAGTCACCCCAAATAATCTCCCCTAGAAGAGACGGGGCCTCCTGTGCGATTTCCTTGAGTTCTGTTCCGGGTGGGGCGTATCAAAGCGTTATTAATTAAATTTCATCCCAAAAGCAGAATGAGGGGAAAACACTGTCGGCAGAATACATTTTGAAAATTATCCTGAAGTTGGGGTGAAAACGGCTGCGGCGAAACAATGATGTCCCCGCCGATCTCCCCCTGGCTATGGCAAGGGCCGAGATGCTTGTCTCACGTTCTTCCACCAATGAACAGGTCACCGTATAGTTGATTTTCTGTTTCGCGTTATTCGACGCCGAGAAGCTCCATGTACATACTTTCTAGTCGCCCCTCCACCATTTGCAGACAAGGTATATGTAGTCCATGAGTAGCGAGATCAATAATTTACTCCCGCTCTTGTAAGAATCTAAAGTAGAGCGCCGGTTCTTTGAAAATTCAAATATGGTGCGAATACATTTTACAGGTCTAATACTAGGCTTCTGTTCATTTTTGACCTTAAGTAAATCTGATTCCTGCTGGCGAAACACTTCTTGCTCTGGTCCAACCAGCAGCGCATTCAGCGGAGTATGGGATAAGAACATCTACGCGCCAGCCTCGCGAACTGTCCGACCGGCTTCAACGCTGTCAGAACTGAAGACAAATGCTACTACACATTCTGGTCAGCCGGAGACAGCAACTTTTCGAGGGAATGGGTCACTTGTGGTATTCGACTTTGGCAAAGAAGTTGGTGGCATCGTGCATCTGGACTATACTTCCACAGGCAGCGGGGCGCTGGGCCTGGCCTTTACCGAGGGTAAAAATTGGATTGGAGAGTGGTCTGACTCCTCTAACAGCCTTTGGCATGATGGTGCCTTGTACGCAAACTTTTCTTCTTCAGGCGAACACTCCTATGTGATGCCTGATAAGTATCTTCGAGGAGGCTTCCGATACTTGACTATCTTTTTGATTACCGATGACTCAACTACTGTGCAGGTCAAAGACTTGAGTGTCGAGCTTGCTTTTCAGCCTACATGGTCCAATCTTCGTGCTTATCAAGGATACTTTCACTGTAGCGATGAGCTACTGAATCGAATTTGGTACAGTGGCGCATATACGCTGCAGACAAATGAGGTCCCAGTGAATACAGGCCGTATAACTAGCGGACTTACCTCCGGGTGGTTGAATAACGGAACACTAGGGCCAGGAGATACTATTATTGTTGATGGTGCCAAGCGAGATCGTGCTGTATGGCCGGGTGACATGGGTATTGCCGTTCCATCGGCATTTGTGAGTCTGGGAGATCTGGATAGCGTCAAAAACGCTCTACAGATTATGTACAACACACAGGTATACTGTTCAAGGCCTTCTAGGCGATTCTCATTCTTACAAGCTTTTCGAAACAGGATAAGTCAACTGGTGCTTTCGATGAATCAGGTCCTCCACTCAGTCAAAAAGGTTCCGACACATATCACATGTGGTCAATGATTGGCACGTACAATTATGTTCTGTATACAAACGACACAGACTTCCTCGAGCAGAACTGGGACGGTTATCTTCTTGCAATGGAATATATCTATGGCAAGGTGACATATTCCAGCGGTCTCTTGGATGTAACAGGCATCCGCGATTGGGCTCGATGGCAACAAGGATACAATAACACCGAGGCTCAGATGATGTATGTCTGATCATCGGTCACAGCTTTAATGACAACAAGCTAACTATAAGACAGACTCTATCATACCCTGAGAACCGGATCATCACTTGCAACTTGGGTCGGTGACACAACAAACCTCTCCTCAACTTGGAATTCGAGAGCCGATAGTCTTAAAACAGCCATCAACACTTATTGCTGGGATAATTCCTATGGTGCATTTAAGGATAATGCAACGGACACCACACTTCATCCCCAAGATGCAAACAGTATGGCCATTCTCTTTGGAGTCGTTGATGGTGAGCGGGCCGCTGGTATTTCAGAGAGACTTCTCAAGAACTGGACTCCAATCGGAGCTGTTGCACCCGAACTACCTGAGAATATTGTCTCTTTTATATCGTCCTTTGAGATTCAAAGCCACTTTGTCGTGAAACAGCCATCTCGTGCATTGGACCTCATCCGCCGCAGCTGGGGCTGGTATATCAATAATCCTAATGGCACAGAGAGCACTGTCATTGAAGGCTACCTCCAAAACGGGACTTTCGGCTATAGAGGCAGCCGTGGATACTACTATGACACATCATATGTTTCGCACGCTCATGGTTGGTCATCCGGGCCTACTTCCGCGCTAACTAACTACATTGTTGGCCTTTCTGTTACTTCCCAGCTGGGCTTGACTTGGGATATTGCGCCACAATTCGCGGATCTAGAATATGCAGAGGCAGGATTCGTGACTTCCCTGGGAAGTTTCCAAGCATCATGGACAAAGAGCTCAGATGAGTATACGCTCAAATTCTCCGTTCCTGATTCCACATCTGGGACCCTTACGCTGCCGTATATCATTGCGTCGAAGAAGCCTTCGATTACAATTAATGGGAGGAAAGTAACAAAAGGAGTGACATATTCTGACAGCACTGCAAGTCTGAGCGTTGCTAAGGGAGGCTCCTACAAGATTGTTGTCCGTTAAATCAAAGAATTTGCCGGGAGGCAGCCTATCATTCAATTCCATTCTGTGGAGCATACCCACCATTTAAGAAGCACTGTTCTCCGCAGAAACTTTACCTTTTGTTCTGACTCAGCATAGAAAAGTAAAAGATAAAGCCCAATTATGACCCAATGCTCCACAAGATCGTGAGTTCTGCATATTCTCCAGTAGGCACCTCGGGAGCTCTTGGAGATCTATAAGATCATGCCATATCACGTGCATCCCCACTACTCCCACGACTCCGACGGGAGCCGCAACGGCGAGTTACATCTCTCCAATTAGCAAACACAACATCATGGCCACTCCTCTTCGCACAAATACGTGGCGTACCTGCGAGTGTCTCGCGAGACAACGAATTCGCCAACCCCAAAGTACCCGGCGCCTCACCACGACGCACACTCTCCGATCCGCAAACCATGCTGGCAATAACCCACTCCGCTCCAGTGAGCGCGCAACGAATGCACAGCATATCGCCGGGCACAAGCGGTCAATTGCGCTCTCCGCAGTTGGCATGGTCGCCTGTGCAGCAGCCATGTATGGAACGATCAAGCTGGACTTGTTTGGACTCGAGTCAGCGAAGGATAAGGGCGACGCTGCCGACACACACCCCAAACCGATTCACAACAACGCAATGAAGATGGACGGACCACCCGGCTTCCCCAGCACAGGGGGCCCCTCCGTGATCCCAATCCAGGGTCAAGACAACGTCGAGCAGGTCGCGACTGGCAATAGCTCCGTCCCCTACTTTCCGTCGACGATCCGGCTGCCCTCCGCCGCCGAAACCGAGAACAAGCAAACAGGCGACGAGCTGACCACTGCCGATGGTGATGAGTATCAGCTATTGGGCCTGGGCATCCGCTCAGTATCATTCCTCTCGATCCAGGTCTACGTGGTCGGCCTGTACGTCGCCAAGGCCGACATCACCGAGCTCCAACAGCGCCTCGTGCACACGGCCGTCCACCCGCCGACCGACGACGCAGCCGCCATCTCCGGCGCAGGTGCCGACGCCGCGACCTCGCTTGTCCCGCCTGAACGCGCACAGCTCAAGGAGCTGTTACTTGATCCGGCGCGCGGCGACGCGGCCTGGACGGCGGTGCTCAAGGACGACGGAATCCGAACCGCCTTCCGGATCGTGCCCACCCGCAACACGGACTTCATGCACTTGCGGGACGGATGGGTGCGTGGGATCACGGCGCGGGCGGCGCAGCACAAGGGGGCACCGGGGGCGACCGAGCCGGGCGAGTTCCAGGACGCGGCCTTCGGCACGGCGATGAATGACTTCAAGGCTGTGTTTGGCGGTGGTCAGCGCAAGAACGTGCCTAAGGGCCAGACGCTAGTGCTCCTGCGCAATGCGCAAGGTGCGCTGGATGCGCTGTTCCAGTCGGAGCCGACGAAGCCGATTCGATGGATGGGGAGGGTGGCTGATGAGCGGATTAGTCGGCTTGTGTGGTTGAATTATCTGGCTGGGAAGACTGTCTCGAGTGAGGGTGCGCGCAAGAGCATCGTGGATGGGTTGATGGCTGTTGTTGAGCGGCCTGTGGGCACGGTGGTGCAGCGGGTGGTTTGATGGGCTCTTCGAGATACAATCTGGCGACTACTGGGGGATGGTTTCTTGATTTATTTTCTCATATTTGTCTTATTATTTCCCCATCTGTACTATGTTTGCTGTTCCTTGGCTTGGAACTCGTTGAGAAGACTACAACGGAGAGAAGAAAGAAACAGAGAGCGAATATTCTCCACTCGAATCAACTACCCCTCAAGCGCAGTGCACGAAAGTGCGAAGGAGATGTATGAGGGTAAACATCGAAGAAAGCCCTTTGGGGCTCGCACGTATGGTATTTCTAAAGTACTCGTCGGACTAAGGGAACATCGCATAGAGTCGCATAGAGAAGGGAAAGACGCTTATTCTTCAATAGCACCCGCCTCGAGCAGCAGCTGCTTGAGATCGCCCTTCCTGGCCTGGAGGTCGGAGTTGCCGCCGATGTGGGCCTGCTTGATGAAGATGTTGGGCACGGTGCGCTGGTTGGAGATCTCGAAGAGGGCGTCCTGAATCGCGGCGCCATTCTCTATCAAACGGAGTAAGATGGTTAGTGATCATTGGCCTTCGATGGAGGGGTGTGAGTGTGAATGCGCCAGGGAATTAGATAGAAAAATTAGACAAGACCATGGGGTCGCATGGGAGTCAAGCCCATAAGCAAGATCCGGCCCGCTCTCCGTTTCCCGATTCCCCGCGCAAAAGAAAGTTGAAAAAGCGAAAAGTGAGATCAAACTCTTGAAAGACTCACCAATTTCATCCAACTCCAGAAGAGTGAAGTTGGCATCATAGCTTCTCAGCAGGTCCTTGCTGGACTTGCAGTAGGGGCAGTAGGACTTGGAAAAGACGACGACGCCATTCTCGGCGATGAGCTTCTCAGCCTGGGTTCTAGCGGCAGACATGACGACGGGTGAAGGGGCGGCAAAAGAGCCGAACAAGCGCTGGAAGATGAACGAAATGGTGGGCGGGTATTGAAGGAGACAAAAGGAATCCGGAGAGGGTTCCTTTTTATAGACTCTTGAAAGATCGGGGATTGATTATTGATTGGGTTTGAGTTTGGGAAAAGAAAGCGGGATTCGGTCATCGTGCCCGGCGATGATGTCAGGTGATGTGTAATACGCTTTAGTCATCCGCTGGAGTCTGGCCCTCGGCGTTTGATCAAGAAGAGACGACATGGTGAATGAGTGATTACGAGAGCTCGCATATGCGAATGATTTCCGAGCACGCCACATGGCGGAGCCAGTGTGGTATGCTCGTGCGAGATCAAATGCAAAGAGCCGATGCGATTGGTATCTGTCGAGAACTTGGAGCCAGTCCATCATAGACTACTTCTATTAATGGGAAGATAGAGACTGAGTGCTCGATGGCTTGGATTCATCTTTTAATCCATAGACTCGACTAGAAGCTGCGGACTGATGCTCAACGGGAGTCAACGGCCAAATAAGAAAGATGGTGATGGCATGGGAAATGAAAGGTAATAATTCGCATAAACGCTTGCAAGAAGGCTTGGGAATATGGCAAAAAGACACAGCAGAAAACCTATCGGCAAGGCAATCTCAGGGGAAAAAAGTGAAAAGCTGAAAACAGATACGAATGATATGAGAAAAGAAAAGAGTCCAGGACTAAGAAAAGTCAGAAGTCAAAAGAGTCCATCAAGAAAATAAACACCGGCAGCAAGCAAACAGCCTATCCATGGTGATTCCATCGGAGATGCATGACATTTGACATCCTTCCTGCACTGTGGCCGAAAAGTCAAAACAAGAGGAATTGGTCACGCAGGAATGGAGGGCAAGAGATAATGAGAAAGAAGGAATGGATGCACGAAGAGATAATGTCCGCCATGCACAGCGGTCGGGAGAAACAAGACCGAATTAAAAGAGCTTCAGAAAAAGGCGAGTCAAAGGCGAAAATGGAAACCGAGTGAACACCATTTTCCAACGGAGACGCCGAGGAGAGAACAGGTAGGGATCAACAATAAAGGAAAGGAGAATCCAAGGAGGTGGGTGTCAGGATCAAGAGGTATCTCGGAGAAGAATCGATAAGGCATGGCACGAGAAAAACTGTTGAGTAGCAGTTAAGTTGGATATTGACGAGAGAGGGGAGGAATTGGGAAAAATCGGAATGAACGTCCATCACATCACAATGCAGCATCCGCAGCCCTTCTCTTTCTTGGGTTGCTCAGGCGCAGAAACCACGGGCGGATTCCAGTTGGGATTGGGCGTCAGGCCCATTGGGGGAGTGTCCTGCACCTTCGGCATGGTGCTGTAACCAGTGCTCGTATTCGGCCGTGGTGGCTCAGGGCTCTTGGCCTTCGGCGGCTCCTCCACCTTTTCTTGTTCCACGACCTTGGGTGGGACTGGGGGTACATCGTCGGGATGAACAGCGAGGGGAGCAAAATCGCGATCGTATGTGGTGGGTGTCCGGCCCTCTTTCTCCCACTGCTCCTGTTGCATCTTTTTGGCAAGCGTAGGAAGCATCTGCTGATCTGGTGGCAGACGAGGGTCTGGTTTGTACATGGTTGCCAGCCATGGCGGGTCTCCCTCAGGCCGGTTCACTGCAGTTGTGGGCCGAGACTCACCGGAGCGAGTGACAGGACGTTGTGAGGTGTTTCCAGAGACCGCACGGGACCGCGCAGTTGAGGTTTTCCGGTTTGTAGGAGGTGCGGAGGTTTTGCGGTTGCTAGAACCAGTAGGTTTGCCTGGGGTTTTCTTAGCCGGAGTGTTCTGGGTGGTATTGAAGCCACGACTGCCGGGCCGGCCCTCAGGCGAAGGCGTGGTGGGCTCTGGATCAATTGTGGTCGGCTCGCTAGCCCTGCGGCCCCGGAAGGCCTGCTCATCATCATGCTCATCTGTTGCAGCACGGCTTCGGGGGCCACGAGAGTCACGGCCAGACGCCATTGGTACGGGGCTAGCCGTCGAAATTGGGATACGGGAGGAACTCTTACGAAGGCCGGGATGGCTGTAGATGCTGGCAGCAGCCTCATCTGCGGCAATCTCCTCGGGGCGGCGGAGATCCCAATGCTTCCGTTCCTCATCCTCAGCCTCATGCTCGTTGTATTCCTTCCGAGATCCCTCTCGTAGCTCAGGCCAGGGCTCGGAGTGTTCCACATTGGGTGAGATTGCCGAGGCCGGGCCATTTGCAATGCTCTGTTGAGAATCATGGCTCCTCCCATGGCCTGAGCTTGACTTGCTCTCGGCTCTCATGCGTCGTTGAAAAAGTATGGCGGCTTGGTGAAGTTCTTCGCTTTCAATCTTTGCCAACTTATCCCGGTGGATCCAATTCTCACTGTTCATCTCCTGAGGGTTCATCGTTTCCTGTTCCCCCTGATCTTCCTCTGGCTCTCGGCGGATCGAGTGATCATGGGCCGATCCATCTCGCCCACTGCCAAGATCGCTTCCATGTCGACTCAGGCTGTGTTCTCGCCGTCCGCGGGTTGAGGTCAGATAGGAGGCTTCGTGTGCGTGAACCTTCCGAGAGACCGAGGAGCTTCGCGAGCCGTTCGAGTTGCGTTTTCGGGACGATCTCGCACGGACAGAGCTTGAATCGTGGGAGTTGCGTGGTCGTGAGGAATGCTGCGTTCCCTGGAATGGAAAATGGCCAATGTCAGTCAAGATATTTCTTCTTTTTCTCTTCTTTTCCTCTCATCTCTCACCACAAATGAACTCGGTTCAGTCATCGCGAGTTGGGCAGCGGACAAGGGAAGAGAAGGAAAGAAAAGAGAGGGGCGAAATCTACCTCGTTGCCGATCGGTACGGAAAATTCCCACTTTTCGTTGTCCACGCCTCCAGAGGCGGGCAGGGGATCGGTCGAATACGCAGTGGCTACGCCCGCCATTCCCAAATGTGTTGTGGATCTGCTGAGAGGGCAGGATAAGGCCAGGCCAGCTGGAACCCGTCTGAAAGTGAGTGTGATGGACGCAGGAAATACAGAGAACCAGGTCTACCGAAAACTGCTATGCGGAAGGTTCGCTCATTCCATCCCAGTCCTCAGTCGAAACAACCGTCACGGAAACCCGGGAGAGGCGGAGATTGGGGGAGAGATTCGGGGTGGGCTTTCGTTCTCGCTCGGTGGTGGTAAGGGGGCAAGCTGCCGCAGTGGGGAGGGGACCCAAAGCAGTAAATTGTAAATACACGGCAGCAGGGGGGTGGAGGTGGCAGTTTTCCAAGACTTCGAGTGACCGAGTTCCCGACCTCTTCAATCAAACGTGCAGGATGTGCGCAGTTCGTGGGTTTGTCTCCTGTCGCGATCCACGGGTGCACACTGGGACGGCGCGACTCCGTTCCGTGGATACGATGGATCTTCACCTCGGCCCGGGCAACAGGGTTCGTCCAGCGGGCGAGGTGTGGTCTGAGACGAGCGTCGGAGAGAGGCAGTGAGTGGAGTGTCCTCCAACCTCAAAAAAGAGAGGGAGTGGTGGGCGACAGTGGAAGGTCGTGCGGGCTTCTGGGGAGGAAGAGGGGAGAGGGAGGGGGGTCAAAGAAAGTGGAAAAGGAGAGCCGGCGGGGAGAAAAAAAAAGCAAAAGGGAAGATCCAAAGCCGACGACAAGAGCAGGCAAGCGCAGGGCACGGAGCACGACGAATCACCGCAATTGACACGATCTCCACGATCTCAAGGACAAGGGAGAAGGAAAGGAGGAAGGAAGTCGAAGCCAAACGGGGCGAACGTTCGAACTAGAGCCCATCCGCCCGACTGGGAATAGCACGGGCCGAACTAGACCGCGACTTTGCTTTTGGCGACATCTGCCCGGATCAATAATTCAAGGCGTTGAAAGGCCTCAAGACTCCAATAATTGACATTCTTTTCGCGGTCATTGTTATGGCCAGGGACTGATGTGCAATACTACAATACGCCTTATGCGCGCGACCACTATCAAAATGGATCCCAACGATTCATGTCTTGCAGCTTGCAGGAGGTCGAGTTGAACCCGAGACTCTGAGACTATGACCGGTCGACATGTATCTTCCAGTCCGAAGATCACGTACCGGACGAGAGACTATGGAGACTGCATGGACTATAGGGCCGTTAGGGCCTAAACTATATATACATTTCCGATATGACCCCAAGTCGTCCAGGTGTTGTTGGTAGCTCTCGAGATTCTATCTTCCTGCCCCGGACTTGCCTAGGTTCTTGTAGACACAGCGAACTCAAGAACTCAAGCCATCTCCAGTGTTGGAAAAAAAGGCTGGCCATGGATACTGGACCGTGCACGCTGGCGACTAACAGAAACTAGACCCAGCAGCCCCTGAACCGTGTTCCGATATTGATCCCTGACAAAGACTCCACTAGCCACCCAAGTGAACGGTTTGGATACGATATGCTCTGTACGGCTTAAGAGAACGGAATGAGAAATTCAATATGCAAGTTCCTCCGCTCTCCACATTTCAATACAAGTGGTAGAGAATGCGGCGACCCCGTTGACAGTTGCTTCCCGGGGTCTGAGCGCTGGACTCCTCAGATAAACGCCGATCCCTTTAATCCTATACGTAAAAGAGCCCAACACACTAAGACAATACCGATTGACAGACCTGATGAATCACAAATTATCTCAAGGCGGCTGCAGGTGCCAAAAGACCGACAGGTTCCGTATGTATGTGTCAATCGATAGAGTCGATCATCTATGTTAAAAAAAGGGAAACAAGGAAGAGAAAAGACCCAATTCCCCGCGTCGAGAAAAAATCCAGATCAAGGTGGTGGGGAAGCGGGAGGAGAACAGGAAAAAGAGAAAAGAAAAACGCAGGTAGAAAGGAACAGAAGTATACAGAAAATGCGATCGATGTAGGGTGCAACAGATCGAGGTTGTATTGAATAGATTGTTTACTGCTTGCCGATCTCATCCAGACGGTTCAATGTCGCTTGCGCTTCCTTGATCAGCGCCTTACGAGCATTGCGCGGAATCTCGAGTCCATCCACTTCGATGCCATCTGCCTTCAGCATCACTTGCGCCAAGATGATTTCACTCAGCTTGCGATACTCGAACTCCCGTTTCTTGGGATCCGAAGGTGGATCGGCCAAAAATGCGTCACACAGTGGGATCAGTTCCATCTGGAGGTATTCAGTCAAGGCATTTACCTGTTCAAGGGGGGTCTTGAAGGCCTTGAGGCTGGGCGCCGGGGAGGGCGCACCGGAGGGACCCGACGACATGGGCCGTGGAGGTGCCAAAGAGGGTGTGCCAAGTAGTTCCTCTCTGGGAGCGGGTCTCTCTTGACTGGGTGCCCGTTTGCTTGCCTTCTTCTTTTTCTTCTTGTTGCTCTTCTTCTTGCCACCGGAGCTGGACGGCCCCGGCGCGTCATCTTCTCCGCCGAGACGAGACGAAGAAGAAGCGGGTCGGTGAAGAGAAGGCTCCCGAGGCGGAGCACTGTCATGATCGGAGAGGTCACTGGGGGTGCTGTCCCCAGCTTCGGTGACGACACAATGCACCTGGGAATGCTGCTTGATACCGACCGCCTTGCACGGCCGCGCATTATCCTTCAGTAGGTTACCCTTGTAGAGCAACCGAATCTGGACCGGGTTGCTCACACCTATCTCTTTCGCGGCCTCCTGTCGTAGTGCACCAACGGTCAGCACCCCGTCGTCGATGGCGTATGCTCGGAAGCGGAGAGGGTAGATGGTGCCTCGGTTCTTGAGACAGATGACATCCGGTTCGTTATCTTGAAGGTTACCGTCATACTGAGATGCGTAGTAAGCCGTGTCGGATGGCTGATCGACGTTATATTCCGGGGCGATGTAGCTGAAATCGCCGTCGCGGACCTGCGGGGCAGTCGGCGTGTAGCTCGGTGAACGGCGCCAGAAGCCGCTGTTGAACGGGTTTCCCCAGCTCATGACGGCGACCGTAAGGATTCCGAGAAGAAGAGCAGCGTAGACGACCGAAATCTGGTCGTCGACGTCGAATGGCAGCGCCTGCGCAACCGAGCGGAGAGTCGAGGTGGAATAGGTCAGATACGGGTCCAACCGAGGTCGAAGAGAGTCCCAGAACACGGGGATGTTGTCGCTAACGTGGTCCAAGTAGAGAGCGCACTTCTCGCCCAAGGTGGACTGAGCGAGGGGCGAAGGCAGGAGAGTCATGGGTCGCTGGAGGGGCAGCAGGACCGGGAGGTAGTGAAGTCATGCCCCCAAGCTGGTCCGAAGTAGGCAGACAAGGCGGAGAGCCCTGCTCTTTTTTTTTGCCATCTGCAGAGTCTGGTCCCAGCCCGGGCTGGCAAATGACAGTTGCCAAGAGAGCAATGGGTGGCTTCCAGTTGGATCGCGAGGAGATTCTCTCTGCTTGTTCTTTTTCTCTTGGCTCTCGAGTGCCCTGAGCAGACGTCAATGGTGGCCTTGCACTCCCTTGAAAATGCCAAGCTGAGGGACGAATGAGAAGAGTCAAAATCCATTAGACTCGCCCGACTTGATCAACATAAAGAACGTGGGGTCACAACTTAATTTTCCCACGCCTTTTTGTCTTTTGGACCTTTTTGTTTTTGTTTTTTTTTTTTTTTTTCTGACAACCAGACTTTCTGGCTTAGATGAACATGGTACACGATAAATGGAATGACGCCTCCCTCTGCAAGAGCGATTTATCGAAGCTCATTTGGTCTCTGACTTATTGGCATGCCCGATGATCCAATTACCCCCAAATATCCTCGGAGCTACTCGGAAATGTGCTATCTTATGGGAGAGTGAATTCACACTCATTGGCATTTTTGCTGTAGGCTTAGGCCACGGGAGAAAAATTACCATCCATCCCCCAGCTAATTATCCCTTCCGACATCTTGCTAATCAGAAATGGCCGCTTGGGGTTGCGAGCTTTCTTGCGTCTGGAGACTCTTAACGACCGGGACTTGGAGAGGAGCTTTCATGACTCGAGTCCGTTTCGCAGAGGCTGCATTCAGAACCCCGATCGACGAGAAGAACCGTACTACCGTAAGCGCGCCATGCGCGGAAGGTTTTCTGACGAGGAATTGAAGGCCAAATACGAACGAAGCCTCGAGGATTTGGAACGCAACGCACTCGTCTCAAGGGCGGGCTCTGGCTCATTTGAACTGAGTATTTTAGTACAGCAGCTTGATCTGGCCCACAAGAGCTCACGATTGACAGTTACGCCGACCAAAACGGTGACAATGGCTTCTCTCCACTATCTAGAATCATCGAGTATCTATCTCCTGTCTCCAGAACCTGCATTCATAAAATATCATATCTGCCTGCTATTTATCGGTACCTTTTACCTTTTGTGCTCAACTCTCGCTGTTCTGTATCCTTCAATAGGATTGAGCTCGCCCCAAGCGGCTTGAGTTCCTCAGCAATTATCCCGTAATTAAAAGATCAACTCAATGAGTCTTCTTCTCGGCTTGCTTGATCAGTAGATTCAGAATGTGAACGTGCAGCATAAGCCGGCTAAATAGAACGCGAAACGCTGGTTTTACTGGTCCGTCGATCTTCAATGGTTCCTTTGAGAGCAAGAACAGCGTCTCTGGGCGCGAAGTTCATTCTCTTCCTCCAGCACGCCGACGTAGTGAAGATGATTTTTCGGCTGGATACTATTGAGTTATGAATACCTGCTATGTGAAGCTTTTTCTCTCCATGTGCTCTTTTCATACAAATACGAATCATGTATACTCGCTGGGTTGGCCAGTCAATCGAACATGGGCATATCTAAGCTCCGCGATCATAATATTTGGTTGGTTGAAAAGAAAGTACTTCTTAAATGATAGACTAGCTTCTTAATTGATGGACTAGGCAAATCACTAAAGAAGCTCATAGTCAGTGATAATTGAATGAACATCGATTGGAGAGGAGGGGCAAAAGGAAGGGCAAAAGGAGGGGGCACAAACATTGAGTTTATTTATCAGGGCCGATAAGGCATTTTCCATGTAGTCATCCCAGCATAACAACGGAAAGGGCTGCTTTTGTCGTGGGAGTTGCCGTTTATCCAATTCCTTGAACAGTTCCTTATAGAACCCCCCTGGAGAGTCTGTTTGACATCCAGATAGTGCTTATTCGGAGGCTTGGTAAATTTTTGCAACACCTCCTTCATTTTCTCCCTGTCTTTTAGCTCGTCTCTCCCATTTACTGTACGGTCACAATGCAGGAGAAAAGCCACCAAACCCGATGCACAGGCCGTTGCGAGTGAGCTTCCCGACTCATAAGTTAGACCGTCTGGGCCGTGGAAGGGAATCGCAGCTCCAGGGCAAAGAAAATCGATGCTTTCGGTGTTGACCCAGGGGAGCTTGTCACCGAGCGGCGATGCACCGCCGATCCGGAAACAAATGCCCGGGAACTTCCCCGGGTAAGACTGATCATGTCGACTTTCTCCCTGATCACTGCTTGCGCAGAACATGAGTATGCCTTTTTCATTTGCCGAATCCAGCTGTGTTTTCAGATCCTCCAAAACCTTTTTGTCAGTCCCGCTCTCCTCGATCGTCCAACTCATCGAGATAATGTCCACCTCGCATTTGACTGCCCATTTGATAGCCTACAGTTGTGTGAGAATGGATTCAAAATTCATTCAGGAGAATATACCGGGAGGATTTACATCTGCTGCAGATTTGGCAGCAATCCGTCGTCCGTTGCCATCTGTTGCCGGGCGCTCTTCTAGCCTGGCGATGAAAAGAAGTGCATTCGGACATATTTTATCAATTAACACAGCCATTTGTGTACCATGCTGACCAGAAGGCACAAAATAGGAGTTCATAAACTCGGATGAATTAGGGTAAGGAAAGAACGACTTGCCAAGGGCAATTTGCGATCTTATATGTACCTGGCTGGTGTCGATGCCGTCGTCGATTATCGCAATTTTTACTGGCGCAGGATTGCTTCTACTGGGAAAATTGCGAAGAGATTGACTGAAATCCTTCATGACCTGGATCCAAGGATGCTCACTAATTGCAATCAGCTATTTTGTGCATGTTGAGTGTTTGGGTCACCGGGTTATGCATACTCATTTGATCTTCCGCCAACAGTGGCGAAGCCCGTGGCATACTTGAAATCATGCTGGTCCAGAATATCCAAGACTTCGATGCCTTCTGATTTAGAGGCTTCCCTATTGCAAATAAATTGTGTGCAATTTTCGGATAGGGTGAGAGCAGTTTCATCGAGAACAGTCGTGAGATTCATCAGGGATAATTGGATATTGTGGTCTGGAGACGTGGCATTGTACCAGCGTCTCAGCTCCTGAGAAAAGCGTTTGATATAGTCATCAAGCTTTTGGTAGTTCTTTCCTACGCTAAAGGCTTTATTATCGCTTACTACTTTTCCAAGCTGTTCTTTGAACTGACGGATGTATTCTAACAATCGCTCGCGTCCCTCCGGGCCCTAGCAACCTTGTTAGCCGCTTTGTTACTTGATCTTGCAGTCGGGGCTCCTCACGTACTTGGCGTACAAAGAGATTGATCTTTTTCAACTAATCGCTTATTAGTCAGCGTATCTTCTATAAGTTCATGATGTATATTTGTAAAATATAGTCACCTCAGGAAACTTCTGGCGATTTCCGAAACCCTCAGCACTTGCCCATCCCATCAACACACCGAAGTTACCCGATGAATACAACGAAATCTCTCGGACCATGCTGCATGCCTCATGGATAACATGGCTAGAGAGGTCAACCTTCTTCCAGTCCAAAACTTCCACTTTGAATCCTTTCAGTGCATCGATGATCGCAGCATCGGTGTGGCACTTGTCTCCAGAATCTAAGACGGTAACTTGAATGATCTTTTGGACCTCATGATCATGGAGCCAGTCAAATACAACCCTCAGGTCGGTATATGATTTTTGTTTCTGGGGCCCCTGTTTTGAGGGTTTGGGATGGGAACTGCATTCTCTTTTGATTAGCTATGTTACTTATGGCCAATTCACCGGTTGATTGCCGATAAGCATTGAAAGTCTCTCCCTGACCTGGTTGCCCGAAGTCGGGCTTTGGGTGGCTCGATGATAAGAGCAGGTAGCGCCACATATTTGAGAATGCTCTCAAATCGAAGATGACTGCTCAATTGATCGAGAAAATCCTTTGAAATAGAAGGACGTGGCAGGCCAGCAAGGTCAAAGTCAATTTGAAGCTCTAAAAAATCCAGATATAATTAGAATTCCCATTTTACTTGGCGCTGATGGGAGATACGAAGGTTACTTGCCATCTTCTGTTGTGTAAAGAGACTTGATGATTTGGGAATGTGATAGCCAGCGCATACAATGATCACGAATCCAGCCCGCAATTGGATCTGCAACAACAAGCTTTCTGAGAGCTTTCTCATGCTCCTCTTTTTCACAGCCATTGCTTTGAGCCTGTTTGGCATGGTTACTGGATTCAAGAGACACTCGCAGTCTCTCTACCCGCAGGCGATACGGGGTATGTCCAGACTCATTTAGCTCCTGGAGCAAATTGCTGCCATTACCTCCTTGAAAAGAATTCACCATGTGTTCTATAATCTTCAATCGAGATCTCATAGGGAGGGATGTGGTTTCATTTAGGCCTGTCACGCTCGATGGCCTTGGCGCTTCGTAGTCATTAACGTCTGGCATTGAATCCTCTTCGCCGTGGTCAGAATAATAAGCATGAGAAACATGGTCGTGGGTTTTTTGTTCTCCAACCAAATGCTCCTCTCCCATCATCCACATGAGCCAATGCAGTGGAGTATTCTTCATCGAATCCTTTACCATGAACAGGTCTGCATAACTCTTGCATCGCTGCGCCAGGGTTTCGAGACAGGGGGAATCCTTCTGTAGGGCGAACTGCAGACAGTTCTTCACACCATAAGTGGCTTCAAGCACACCTGAAAGATTATCCTGCTCAAGAATTACCTCCACAATCGCGTCTTTGCGGTGAACGAGCGCATACAGCAGCGGAGTGAATTCCATATCACAGTCTTTCGCGTCTAGGAGATGAATTCGTGTCGGCAGCAGCTTTTGCAGGAACCATTTCACTTTTGCAGAAGTCCAATCTGGATCATCCACTAGAGCCATGAGCAGAATCTCGTCTTTGGGCAATGGTCGAGCATTCCTGATCACCAGAATGCCATCATACTTCGCAAAGAGCGACTCTATGTCCTCCTGTGGGTCGAACTCTTTGACGGCCACCAAAAACTCTTTGACCTGCTCTCTTCGACTTTTTGAGCCACCTTTTCCCCGATGCCCGCGATCTCCTGTGTTTTTCGGCGGTGGAAGTGGTGAGGTGATTGTCCTATTTCTTTCTATAGGTGTGGCGACTCCATTCGGAGTTGGAGCTCGGCTTCCCTTCTGGTCCTTCCTAGGTTCTTTCCCAAGTCTGTCACCAATGATTGGAACATCGAGTCGCTTTGGAGGAATTGAAAGAGACTGCATTTCTAATTACTATTGCGGAAATATCAAACATACGGCCATACGGCGGAAAGAAGGACGGACTGTGCATGTGAGAAGAATATCCAAATTCACTTTGACATACGCGCAACCTAACAGTTAAAATGTACACAGTAAGAGCCTCATAATGGGACATGGGAACCATCTATGACGAACGACGAACAACGAACGATGAACGATGGCCCCCAACCCGCTGGCTTCCGAAGTCCCTCATGTTTGACCACTATGGATGTACACCCCTGGTCGCCCAAATGGCTATGCAGATGACTATGCATGAGATTCTGCAGTCATCCATCACCACTTTTGAGAAATTGTCCTCGGCCAATTAGGACATGCTGACGCTCTCCGATTCTATCAGTGTCGCAAGTGTTACTCCCACATACTCCGACAGATCCAACTCATCCATGTGAGCTAGGTCCATTTCGCTTGAGTCAAGGCTATTAACATGGGGCTGGCGAGAATCCACCGCTGAATCGACATGAACCGGATGAACATGATCCACCTTCTTGCGACCAAAAAGAGACCGCAGATCTGATTCCATTCCAGTCATAAAGTCCACCTGCGATCGGACCTGTATGAGAAAGCTGAAGGCGCCCTCAGTCGGCCGGCGCAGAAGTACCGCTGCACGCAGAAAGGTGGGAATGCCGTCTTTCTTCTGGCGATTCTCCTGCATAGACCACACAACTGCATCATCAGCTGTTCGGCTATGCAACAGTTTCTTGGATCCAGTTAGTGTAGTCTGGAACTGCTGTTTGCGTTGTTCCCGGATCTCCCAGACTAGGCCCGCTGTGGTGCTCAAAGGCGATGAACCCGCCTGGACCATCAGCCCCGCGCCGCTTCGGACGTCCTTTAAGGTGGTGGTTTGGTTCAGCATAGACACACCATCTGGAGCAATCCGGTGCACTTCGGGTCCGTCATCCCAATCTCCTGCGGCGTCCTCGAAGGCGATGTTGATCAGGCATTGGGTGAACCGCCGGGACTTTTGCATGCTGATAAATCGAAATTCAAAGACAATTAGGGTTGCCTCGTCACCTTCGGGAGTCAAAGTGCCATGCGTAATACTCACGACATTGGCACGCAGTAGGAGAGCATCTCCATGATGGGCCTGGAGCGCTACAATGCGAGCTTTGTCGGCTGCACTTTTAGTGCGAAATTCAGCACCCTCCTCGCCCTCTGGAAGCAGAACAATGTCCAGATCCTCATCCATGGATGTGTAGTTTTGAGATGGCTTAGTATTCAATTGGAAATTAGTATTTAGGAATAGGCGCTGCGCTCTCACTTGCCTCGCATTCTTTTCGCGGATAATAAATATCTTTTGTCCGCATAGTAACCTGTGGTCCATGGAGATCTAGTCCATGGAGACCCCAACAATTCATAAATGTTTGCTCTATTCGTTGGGCAGGCATGCATAACTTGCCAACACACTGGCCCAGTCATGTCTGTCCGGGCTTCTTCATGCCAGCTCAAAAAGCCACAGACAAGGTTTTCGTCAGCTGAGAACGCCCTATGCCGCCTGTCGTCCACCAACCTCCATCTCCGTTGCCAATCCTATGCCTACCGGCTCAACTTATGCCAGACATCCTTTTAGTTTTGGATGTTATGGAAGAATTTATTGTGTTGGACTTTGAAATGGAGGCCAATAAGAGGAAGGTTGCCTATTCTAGCTTATAGAAGCAACGGCCAAGGATAAGAGTAGTAGCAGCAATAGAACTCAAGGTAGTGGAAGTAATATGAGCCACAGAGACCGCCGTACCAATTTTCATAGCCCCAAAACTAGTCGCAGCTTTTGTATATCTAGTAGGAAATGCCTGTCCGTGCCTATCCTGATTTTGCAGATGTCTGGCAAAGGTTGGACCTTGTATTTCAGCATTTCCATATCACTGGGCCTTTATTTTGCCTAATGATCTCTATATTTCAATTTTGGCCTCTAACGCAGCTGAAAATTGTCACATATCGCGGAGAAAATGGGGGACCATCCTTTCGAGTAAATGATACCCGTGATATCTGTTGACGCGATAATCATGTTCACACGTTCCGTTAAGCCTAGTCTTGATTCACGGCATTACCGAAAGCCGAATAAACAAGAATAAAAAAACTCCGGCAGCAGCGTTCTTTGCTTCTCGATTTGAGTCGTCAAGTACGCCGTGTCGAGTTTTTGAATTCCAGTTCGCTTCATTCGGCCGCACGAGTCCCGGTGATCTCAGAAAGCAATCGCGTTCCATTTTGAATGACCTTTTATCAAAGGTAAGTATTATTTAACCTTTAAGCAAATAGTAATTTGAAGTCAGTTTCTAATGGGCTACCAGCTTTTGGCACAGGATCCAGCTCCTTTGGTGCTCATGGGACATGACCTTGGAGGGTCTTTGATAAAGCAGGTGAGACTGAATGTCAGAGTAGAGTCTGGTTGGAGACTAACGATGTATGAGATCTTACTAATGACTTTGGAGGAGTCACAATATCATGTTCTCACCATGCGTATCGAGAAAATTGTATGTTGATCGCTTGCTGGAGATTAGATCATCATTGATTTGGGATCTGCAGATATTCTTTTCAACGCCGCACGACGCTCCCAGTATTGCTCTTTGGGAGCATCAGTTGATACGACTACTTTCAGAATCCACACCGGAGTGTGGCCGTTCCCTAGACATTCTGGAAAATCTTCCAAAGAAATTAAAGGACTTGGCGACCGAATTCTCATTCATATCACGGAATTTCAGTATCCTCAATTTCTATGAGTATCATGGAAGCAGCGATACGAGTCTCCCAGTTGGTATATATCAAAACTTTAGACGAAACTTGACTGACAAAATATAGCTTGTCAACGAATCTGCAGCCAATTTAAACTTTAAGTTTCGAAGTAACATAAGACTTGATTATACCCATTCGGAAATTTGGAAGTTCCAAGCTGGGGATGACAAGACCGAGCTGATCTGCCAGCTTCTTCAGAAAACGGCAGATGCTGGCCTTGATCGTAAGTTGAATATCTCTCCATCATCGTAGCAGGATCTAACGCGTAGGACATATCGACAGCGATGCGCAATCAGACATACCACTTCCTCCACACCTTGTCTCGACTTGACTCAAGGCTTCACAGGCTCAGGCTAACTTGTGTATTCCCTGGGTCAGTTGAATGGATCTCAAAGCATCCAGCGTACATAATGTGGAGAGAAAAAGCCGAGCCAAGTATACTAGAGATCCGTGGACCCTCGGGTTCAGGGACAACTGTGACTGCATGCCACATACTTCACGAGCTTCGACAGGACTCTAATAATTGGGACGACATTATTCTTAGCTTCTCTTTTAATAAAGGAGATGTGACTGCCCGAACCCCGGAGAGTCTTTTCTTGTCTCTTTGTCGCCAGCTACTTTTGGCACAACCATCATTGTTCCGTCACGTCCTGTGGTCCTGTAACTATCTGGTGGAGAGAGGCCTACTCACAGCAGGCCCACTCTGGAGCATTTTCAAATCGCTCGTGAGTCATGTCTCAGGTACTCGAATATACTGCATTATCCACGCCATTCATGAGTGCGAATACTTTAAAGTTGGAGTTGTGCGTCGATTTAATGAATTTTTTGCATCTTCAGATGGACAATTGAAGATAATTGTCACAAATGATAGGTCGCAGAGACTTGAGGTTGCTCCAGAAATTCACCATTTGGTCGAGCTTGGTCAAGAATCGAATACTTATGTTGTGATTCAAAATATGGTTGAGAGAAGGCTCCAGAGACTGATCGATGAGAAGCCGGTCTGGAAAAGTGTGAAATCCAATGTCACAAGCAAGCTATGTGCCAACAAAACTAGTTATCTGCTTGCTGTACGACAGATGGAAGTTTTGGAGCACAGAAGTATCCGGTCCACCAAAGCTGCGATCATTCGGGAGATCGAAAGGCTGCCAAGCTCTTTAGAAGATTCATATTATCTGGCTATGGCTGATGAAAAAAGTGAGTGGGTGAAACTAGCCCTTTCTTGGGTTGTGAATGCGATGCGCCCTCTTTCTGTCGCCGAGCTGCGAGTTGCTGTAGCTATGGGCGATTACGATACGCATTCAGTGCAGTCTTTCACAAACTCGATTTCATGTGATATTGTCGGTGATTTGATGCAACGTGCCGGCTCATTGATCCAGATAGTCGATGATCAAGTGCTACCATGCCATAGATCCCTGCAAGATAACCTATCTGGATACTGGAACAAGCAGTCCCCAAATGCGGGCCCCCATCTGAAAATATTAGAGAATTGCTTGGACTATCTTGATCTTACTTTTATTCCCAGCCCAGATACGCCAAAGGACGTCGAAATAGACGAGAGCTTGGTTGAGTATGCTTGCTTGTACTGGCCCAGACACTTGCTCAGTATCCATCCATCTGCGCGTGCTCGTGCCATTGGAAAGGTCTTCTATCTCCTAGGAAAGCCCGTCTGGCTCCACAAGTGGGCTGAGATTTACATGCAGCTTGCTGGCCCATCGATGATTTCGATACCTAGAACAAGGCTGCAAGTACTCTGCTACTTTGGTCTCAATGAAGTGATCTCTGAAGAGCTGACGAAAGTTATGTTTGATCCCGAACTCAAGTCAAACGTGCAGGCTTCGCTTGAGCTGGCTGCATGGGGAGGAATCTCGAAGCTGTTAAGAAGCTACTTCCTTTGGGGGTCAATACAGCTCATGCCCTCGGGCTTGCTGCAGGCCGGGAATTTGTCCAGGTGATGGATCATTTATGGAAATCCTGCGATCTTGATGCCCATAGCCCAACAGGATTTACACCATTGCATCAAGCCGCATGTCGGGGGCGAGAGAAGGCGGTCCAATTTCTTTTCAAAAACGGCGCCAACGTGGATAAGAAAACAGCTTGCGGCGAATCTACCGCGCTTCATCTTGCTTCTCGAACTGGTCAAGCTGTTGTGGTTAAAATGCTCATTGATCAAGGTGCGGATACCTTGATCAGGGATGGTGAAGGCTATAACGCTTTGATGCTCGCAGCCCGCGCTGGCTTTTTGGAAACTGTGGAAATTTTGCTACAGGACGAAAATGGAAAAGTTATGTGTCAAGAAACAATTGGAGGAAACACTGCACTTCATTTGACAGTGGAGTTTGGGCACCTTCAGACGACTGCAAGACTCCTGGGATATTATCGGCATCTCTACCTCCCTGGTCTTCTTAATGATGCCAAAGAGTCGCCGCTGCACTTGGCTGCCAAGGAGGGCTATACTGAAATTCTCCGAAAATTGATGGCCCAAACCAAGGTCAAACAGAAAGATCTCCAGTCAAATATGGATAATGGCCAGGAGCAGTACTCGATAAGTATAGAATTGCCTCAATTTGGCGTGGACGCCCATGCGGACAAGGATGACCAGAGAATTTTGCCTGATAGTTACGTTCCTACACCGCTTCAATTAGCGGCCGGAGGAGGTCATCTTAATGTTATTGATTATTTGCTGGCAGACAATATGTACACCACCGACATAGACCGCAGCATCGCCTTCTTAGTTGCCGCTCAAAAAGGAAGACTTGATGCAGCCGAAATTCTTCGAAGGCACGGGACAAAGGATATTGTGAGCGATGCAGCAGGAAACACATCTCTACACCTCGCTGTCTTTGGGGCGCATATTGATACTGTTAAATATTTGGTAAAATTTCAACCAGCACTTCTGAAGCGACACAACAAAGAGGGATTGACGCCGCTGCATATAGCGTCAGAAATGTGGAATCTTCGACTTGTGAAACTTCTTCTCGAAATTGATTCTGCAATGGGATCTATTCGAACTAAAAATGGCCAGACGCCACTCGCACTCGCTATCGAACAGCGCCATCCACAAGTGGGTTCCAGCCCACTGGTGATCCAGACCCTCTACAATTCAATCGAGGACCCTGTTTTGCGGCAACAAGAGGGACGCAAATCCTTCTTAAAGGCTCTCCAGATTTCGGCGTCTGTAGCCGCAATCCAGCTTATCGCCGATGGAGTCGAGATAAACCTAGATCAAGATTTGGCAATGATCATCGAAAATGATCGTATTCTCGAGGCTATTCTCGCCAATCGAAAAGATTTGAGTTGGGTGGTTGCCGATGAAAATAAGCGATCCCCCCTTTCTATTCCCTTGCATCTGGCCGTAATCAAGAGACGGCAAAAGGCTGCCGAGCTGCTACTGGAGAAGGCCCATCTAGACCCAGATACTAGATGTGCCGAGAACAAAACAGCTCTCCATCTAGCAGCGGACATGGGCTATCACGAAATGTGCCAAATTTTGCTGGAATTCAAGGCAGATGTCAACTCCCAGGATAATGAGGGAGGCACACCTCTGTTCATTGCATCATACCAAGGCCATGCGGAGGTTGTTCGGGAGCTTCTGAAGTGGAAGCCAAATGTGGACATTTGGGAAAATGAACATGGATGGACACCACTCCACGCCGCTTATGATAATTATCAAATTACCAAAATGCTTCTTCAAGCAGGAGCCGACAAGTCATTGATGACTTATGGCGTCAAGTCTACGGCATTAGCAATGGCGGCATATGGACATATCGAAGTAACTCGACTTCTTATTGACACTGGTAGTGATCTCAACACAGTGGATGCGGCAGGAGAAACAATAGTCCATCGTGCTGTCATCGGAGAGAGCCTCGAAATTCTGCGCCTGTTTAGTTCTGTCAGCAATGGGATTGACTTTGATGTGGAGCGAAAAGACAAATCAACTCCATTACATCTTGCTGCTGCGGCAGGGGTCAAAGAAATCGTCATATTTCTCCTAGATCACGGTGCGCAGGTCGAGAGAGTATGCGAACCCTATGGTACCGTGTTGATGGCAGCAGTTCTGAGTCTGAAAACGGACGTGGTTCAACTACTCCTTGATAAAGGTGCCAATTTGAATACAATAGTTAATGACCATGGCACTGCTCTCTGCGTGGCAGCAAGGGCCGGTGCTGAGAAGGTCGTTCGACTGCTCTTGAACCGCGATGCCGAAGTGAACCCCACCGAGGGCCAATTTACGAGCGCGCTCCATACGGCAATTGAGAATAATCACGAGACCGTGGCCAACATTCTATTGGATTCTTTGGCAAATGTCGACTCAGAGCCATTGACCGGTCACTCAACACTCCAATTAGCAACAGATGCAGGGCTTTTCAGCATTGTCGAGCGCCTGCTCAAAACCGGAGTAAATGTGGATTTCACAAATGCAGGAATGGACAGCCCTATTTGCATCGCAACTACCAGGAAGAACACTCGGATTCTTGATCTTCTTCTTAGCGCCAATGCGGATCCTACTTCTTGTTCCGCCGAGGGCGAGTCGGCTCTGTTCATAGGCGTTGCTTTGCAGCTTCATGATGCAGTAAGATCGCTCCTCGAGAAAGGAGCACGAGATTTCTCAGCCCTCAGAGAGTCAATCGAACAGGGTGATCTAGAAATGATGCAGCTTTTACTTCATTATATGACTATTATCGATGCTGATAACGTGAACAGAGAACCATTGCTCCACATTGCTGTGCGAAAAGGACACAACCATATTGCCATGGAGCTCCTTGCGAAAGATGCCATGGTCACCGGTTGGGATCACTTCGGTACACCACTCCTCTCTCAAGCCATAACTTGGAAGAATGATGAAATGGTCCAATTCTTATTGGGACATGCCGAAACCAATCCTAACACAACAGATGACTTTAGACGCACTCCACTTATGCTGGCGATACTTCATGGTGGTGACAAACACGTTCCTTTATTGACTAGCGAAGAAGTTGACGTCAATGCCACTGATATAGAAGGAAAATCTGCATTGATTCATGCCTGCATACTTGATAGCCTGAAATCGGCAATGCGCCTACTGGAAGCTGGTGCAGATCCCACCATAGAGGACCACCGAGGGCGCGGAGCCCTTTATTGGTCATGTCGTGAAGCTTCCACAGAGCTCTTCAGAGCCATTCTAGGAATCCTTAAAACCAATTTTAGCGATTGCTACGCAAATCAGCGCAGCAATGCCTTATCCGCTGCAATTGCAGCTAACCGTCTCTCTATGCTTGAAGACCTTCTAGCTGATGATGATTGCCCGACCGAGAGTGACAGTATTGACGGCTGGAACCCCATCTATACATGCCTTCTTTATCGCCGCTCGATACTCAGAGATCGCTTGTTGGATTCTAATTTTAATCTGGAGGTTCCGATACCTGAACGACCTTCTGCGTGGTCAATCACCGATTGTCACAGTGGGCTTGAAGTACACCCGAGTGGACTTGGTATCTCTGTTCGCAGTGGTTTGTTGATATTTTAACATAAATTCACTCTCCAGCTACCACTAACGACTTTGTTAGGCAAAAGTTTCGTTGCGGGAGAAGCCCATGCAGTCGTCCGTGCCAATTATCCTATGTACCCAATCGAGAGTCTGGGGAATGTCTACTACTTCGAAGTCAAGATTAATTCATCACATCCACTGAGGTATCTCTTTGTCCTCCTAATTTTGTCTCACTTACTAATTCAGGCCGTCCGGGTTAGGAGCTGGGCAATCGGGGTTTGTGATGAGCTTGCATCTCTGCATCAGATGTTGGGCTGGGCAGAGGAGTCATGGGGCTTCCATTTGGACGGTGACATTTATAGCCGTGGAAGATGTACAGAAATCGAAGTTCCCAAAGAGGATACCTGCGTGGGATGCGGGGTCAACTTTGATAAGGAGTTCGTCTTTTTCACTCACAACGGAGTGCTAATTGGCAAGTGCCACTTTGTCTTTAGAGATTAGATTACTGACATAGTTATTACAGGGATAACTCCTGGTGGAGTCAAAGGAAAGCTCTATCCTGCAATCAGTGTGGATCTAAGTATGGAAGGCTGGGAGACTACCGCCCATTTCTGGAATGATGACAAGGAGTCATTCACCTTCCAACGGGACTTTGGTCAATTAGAAAATTTCTCGGATATCGGACCAAGAGAAGACAATGGGATTGGCAGTACCGATGGATATGATATCCTCCTTGAGGACATGGAGGATGATCTTTTTCCTTCTACGCCGTAACTATAAATTTACCAATATAGCCTCATATCTCAGATAGAAATTAATACAATCTTTCACTCAAAAAAACATCTGTTGAATCTTTGGGAGGCTTTTTTTTCCAGCGTTGTGTGTGGCGGATGGTTGTTCGTTCGTTGATCCTTGTTCATCTAGTCTGCCTTCCAGACTTGCCTTAGGGCGCCCTGGAGGAGCATAGGCATCCGTCTTCCCTCTGAAACAAGCCTGGTGCTTGGAGAACTGACATAATCGGGTCTCATCCGCACTATTGAACGTCAATATAAGAACCGGCTAAGCAAATACCTTTAAAATGGTCAACCACGCTTGGTCCATGCTGGGGTTTCCTGTAGAAACCAGGATCGTTCCGGAATAACCGCGTGCCGAGGCCTAATCGGCTCTAGCGCAGGAATTCTCCACAAATAAATTCGTCCCGCGCCTGCATCCCTTTCTCTTTTTCTTTTCTCTCCATCTACAGTTTACATTGCGATGTAAATACACTGGGGCTCCACAATGTGGCTTGCTGAGGGTTATCCGATGGCTTCGGCCTGACTGGATTTCCTTCCGTTCCCGGCCCTGGAGAGTAAAGTCGCTTCTTTTTCCAAAACACTCTCTATGCTAGGGCTTCCTGTGGGAAGCTCTAGGGTGTTGATTGGGGAGAGGGCGTTACACACCTCTTGTTCGAAGCTTGATAGCGATGAATTAGATATAATTGAAGTACTTTTTGGTTATTTTTGTCCAGTGTTCGGATTACAGTCCCATCCGTAGATGACCACCTTGACCCCTCGACTCATCCCAGGTCAGGGGTTCTGAGGACGTGATCCCGCTGCTAAACTGCAGCAGAGTCCATTCCTTCATACTGCCGAACCTTGAAATCTGGAGAAGTCGGGGTCCCACCACTTCAAGATGAACTGGGTACCCCACAAATCTGAGCTATCCTTTCATTGCTTTGAACCTATACTGGGGGATTAGATATAAAATTAGCACTTCGCTTTTCAATATTTTACACAACGAGAACCGAGAGCATGCTCGGCGTGTGACGGTCAGTTCAAGACATCCTTTCCAGGTCTTGTGCATCTGCATTTATTGTAGAGGTGCGCGTAAATATAAAGAACTGGCTTGTCAAATGGGTGCGATTGCGTCAAGAAAATCTTCGATCAAGCCTCCCGTCTCCGGCTCGCGATGTAATCATGGTGCAAGTGTTCTTGAACTCCTCATAGGGACTGATGATAAGGGCAGTCAGAACCACAAGAATGAGCTCTAGCGCCATGTTATAATCAAATTTTTGTCATGCAACTAGTGGATTCTGCTTCCCTTGAAATTTACTGACGAAGAGGAGAGAGGGGCAGAAGTACGAGGCCTCCAACTTGAAGTGGTCTTGCAAGACACTCCGGTCTGGTTTGCGAAGTTGTAAATGCTGCGAGATCTGCGCATGTACTTTTATAAGGTTTCGCTGATTTCTATGGAAGGTCCAATATTTGTTCATATTCTAACATAATCGAGTTCCAATTTTGTACGATGATTTCCTCCCTCTGAACTATGAACAAGAGCCCGAATATTACCAACACAAACCTTGGACGATATCTTGTGTACTGTTAGATAGAATTTAAAAAGAAATATGAAAGTATTACGGGTATTAAGGGTCTCTTTCATCAATTTGCTGCGACATTACACAACAATGCGGTTTTGTTTGGTCGTGTGGACGTGCAAAGACTGTCAGGACATCTCATGATGCGGCCTCTCTCTGGCAGCTTTGCTGCCACTCCTGCTTTAGCAGGCCCAAATGCTCTTCATCCCACCATTGATCATATTTAGATAAGCACTCTTTTCTCCGCCCCTCTTCTCGGAAGCCAACCTTCTGATAAATGTTCTGGGCTCTGGGATTCCAAGAAAAAGAATTGCACTCTACCCGGTGCAGACCAGCACTTCGGAGTGCCCAGTTAAGCTACTATATTACAGAGCATCTACATCAACTCCCCCAAGTCACATGTCCCGTGGAATTGACTTCTCTGCAGAATAGATAATAAAAAATCTATGTGTATGCACTGAGAGCTGTGATCATAATGATTCTCTCTTTTGGTGTTCTCATATGTTGATGCCATCTTGCTGGTCTTCGAATTCTTCAAACAGTAGTAGATATAGATTTCGTAAGACTTCAAAGTAGCTGACTGTTTTGGAATCCCGATAATGACAACGAAGATATTTTCTCTGATCAGTGTAGGGCTAGAGGCATAATCGGTTAGTCAGGTTGTGGTCTAAAAGTTGTTCTTGGTGAAGAGAGGTATCCGGGCGAGGGATGGAAGGATTCAAGCATCATAGATGGGGCCATTTAACGGCGAAAAGAGCTAGCTGGGCTCAGTGGCTGCAGCTCAGTGGCAGATAGGGGTGACTTGATGTCTGCTACATCCTAATAGTGTTTCACTGGATTGTTTAGTGAGTCGACTAATTAAACAAGTTTGTGAAAACGGCACATTTGTTCACCTTGCGTGTGCACCCCAGGAACCAACTCTCTACTTTTCCCGCGGCTGCCAATCTTACTTATTATCTACTCGTGACTGGGATTAACGGGGATTGACAGAGGATTCAAACGTCCTCCCCGCCCTAGCTCCCAATAGCATTCTTAGTTCAAGTTTGGACCACCTGGCAATCATATCAATCATAGAGCATCGCTGTTAGAAGCTTCCCACGTCTTCATCATTCGAACACTCGGCGTGAAGACTGAATGATCCACATATACAGCGTCAGCCCCCAATTCGCCTGGTGGGTTAAGATCTAAAACGATGCAGGCAGCTTTAAGCGCTAGTAACGACCCTGGGGAGGGCTCGACGCGTCTTCTAATCTGTCTTGCCTTCTTGAACCCCCCTCTTTGGCCGCTTCTACTGACCTTTATTTCAGGTCAGCGATATATTGATCCCATCACATCATGAGCATGCCAGTAGAGACTCCAGTATTCCAGTCCTCAAGGGAGCGAGAACCGGGGGGGGGGCCTCCAAGAATTGCAGTAACTGCTATGAAGCGACGGGTAGGTATCCTTCTATCTCTGTTCTTTGCCCTATCTTGCGTTGCTTTTCATGCACCCGCTACGCAACTTCTTGTTCTTCTCTTAACGTTTTATAGTGCGACATGAAGCTTCCGCACTGTGGGCAATGTTTTCGTCAGCATGAAGAATGAATATAAGGCGATTGGAGGCAGGGTCACGACGGGTTTCGCCCTGCAGGCCTGGAAGAGGATTTAGCTCGTTGGGATTGTCGAGTTTGATCCAGGCACGAGGTCCGATGCTAGCTCTCGCCGGTCCATCCTGCTGAGCGGGTGATTGGCCAAAGGGCACAGATGGAGCGGCAGCTGTTTGACTATTGGTAGTAGAGGAACCTTATCTTGCGCGACCATTCCAACCTCACTATCAAGCGGATTGAGAAAATAGAGAAGATGAAGAAATCCTCTCATGAGCCCCCTGCTGCGCTCGGCTCCATCTATAGCAGTCACAGGATAGGCCCCAACGCCGTTTGTCAACTCAGCCGGTCACAGCTGGCAGCCCTATGGAACTCCTCCAATCTACCCCGAGGCTGTTACAACGGGCTCGATTACGCGCGGCCAGCTTTTCTCATCCTATCTCAATGACTATTTCCTGGTCAAAGTCAACTCTACGTGTCAGCTTTATTTGTCCTATAGTATCAATTTGGGTATCTGCGCGCTGCCCCGGAAAACTCCAATGCTAGAGATGGCTATGTCCGAGATGGCTATGTCCGCACTATTGTGTGTTTTCCTTGGCAAGTTACATCAGGATAAACAGATCTTGCGGTATATAATTCGGCTATACAATCGCGCAATTCAAGAAATGTCAAAAAAGATTAGTCAGAAGGCACATGCCAATAATATTGTTTATACGTGCACGCTGTTTGGGCAGATTCAGGTTTAAGTCATCCCTCTTCTCTTTTCGACAGTACAAGAGGATGGAACGCTCACACATCTTTAGAACCATTACTGTACAGATACCCTAACGGAATGGTATGCCCATATGTATGTATTGAGTGCAATTAGGGGATATTATCGCCCCGAGAGACTTGACTCCCCGATCATGGCTGCTATAAACGGCCAACACCAAAAGCTCAAAGAAATGGGCTATCAATCCGGCTCTCTTGAATGATATCCTCTTATCTTAAGTCTAGGTGCTATCTTCACTTATGCATCTATCTGAGTCAACGCCTTCGCCCCCAAAACAATGAAACCGCGTCCGATCTGGCGGCTAGGTAAAAAGAATCTGAGAATTCAAAGTACACTTAAATCCCTTCGCTTATATCTGCGCCCTGCGGGCCGATTTCTGAGATGGTCAAGGGGATAGCTAAGCAATATAATGTGAAATGTAACCCTGAGGCTCGGGAAGAACCAAGTCGAACACCACATAAAGAAGCATGGCGACATTTCGAATGGTCCCTTCCCACTCCCAACACAAATGAATACTTCATCTCCTAGGAAAATTTGCGAGCGACTTGTCTAAAGAAGACCAGTGGCTCCATTGCCTCCAATTAAGGGAAAGCCAAGTTGGGCCCGCATTGCCTGCTGAAAGATGCTGTCATTTTCGAAGCCAAGGCCCTTCTCGCTGAATTCCATCTTCCGTATTCTTGCCTCAAGAACGGCACACGCGTCAGCCCACGCACATAAATTGCCTGCGAGGCCCTCAGACAGAGAGTATGGATCATCCGGCATCCGATAATCTTTGTCGGAAGTCGCAGGGGAGGAGTTATATGGGCGAGTTTCAAATGAATGCAAAAGGAAAGCTAGAGCTCTCGACAAAAAGAAATCTGGCGTAAGCTTCTGACTCAACTCTACATCTGCGAGTGCCAGTTCCTGGGTGCGCTGCAGGTATGCATTTCGAGCGTCTTGAATTGCTCGTGAGTGGTATTCGACCGCATCATGGAGCATGAGCCAGGGCCAAGCGTTGCCGGAAATGCCATGACACAAACTTCCACCCTTAGAAAGGATTCCTTCCTCCCAAACACGCCCGGTAGCCATATAGATGGTCTGATCCCACTCGGGTTGCCAATAATCTCGAGTCAATTCCTCATTCTTCAACGCTGTGGCCAAAAGAATGAGGATCCCGGGGCTTCCATGACAGAGTTGAACCAGTTCAGACTGTCGGCCGAAGCTGAATGGAGGAACTGTCATTGGCAGATGGCCATTACTAGCAATGGAGAATTTGCAGAGTGCAGTGATAGTTTCCCCTATTTCGGGGAGATACTCTGATATTTCATCTCGATTACATGCGAGAATAATAGGCAGAATTCCAGCTGAGAGGTAGAGATATCGGTTAGTGCTCAACATTAGAATAGTCTGAGGCTGTTCAAAACATACTGATTCCATGGACACTGTTCACAGAAATTCAGGCGTCACTTAATTTTGTCATATCCTCCTATTGGGAAATCTCTCAGACCAGGGTTTACTCACGCGCCAAAACAAAAATGGCCCTCCATCCAAGCATACATAAGTGGCTGTGCATCTTTGGTTCCATGCTTCTGAATATAATCTTTCGAGCCTTGTCTACCCGCGTCAATGATCACACGGAGCAGTTCCGGGATCATGGTCAGAACGGGGGCAAGTGCGGTTCTAGTTTTCTCGCTGAATTGATGTTTGCGCACATTTAAAAGTGTCCACAAAAGTCCGGCACGGCCGTACAACATCTCATCTCCTCCCATTTTTCGATCATCATGCGGAACAATAGGACCATTTTTCATTGCCAGGTTAACAGCATCGTGGAGACAGGTAATATCTTCCTGTGGCAGGCTGAGTTCCGCATTGGACACCCAATTGGACTTCGCTACCGTTGAAAGGATGCGTAAGGCAACAGCTGCAAGCGGGGAAAATGATCCTGCCGGAGATAATCGTGACGGAAGCAGAGGAATATCTGGAAACTCTGCTGGAATTCTCTGTAGAGCATACTGACGGTAATCCGGGGAAGAAGACCCCTTTCCATCAGCTAGCACCGGGGATTGGTAATCAAGACGCAGGAAAGCAAGGGCGACACCTGCAGCCAAAAGTCAGAGACAATTGTGCACCAAGCTCTCCCCGGCCACAATATGATACATGGGGGACGGAGAATCGGCAGGTGTGGTAATATACCTGGAAAATGCTTGAACATGCCACCGAACCCCCACTTATCTGGTAGAGGCTCATTTTGATGGACTAATGCGGCTCCATTATGGACCGCAGCGCGAAGTTCCTGAAGCGAGTTCGAAAGTGTAGTCGCGTTTATCGTCACCGGTGTTAGAGTATTCTCAAAGTACTGCGGTCGCTCGGTTGACATTGTGTACAGAACGTTTTTACTTTAGAACAATGATGAGAGATGGCGTGCTCGAGAGATGAGGCGATTGGAAGCCCCGGAGAAGTCCTTCAATGCCCCTCTTCAGCAAGGCGTCGAAGAGAAGGTCACTCGGCAAATGTCGGTGTCCAATTCAGTTCCACTAAGGGGCGCCAGAGGAGACACGTCGCGTCGCTAAAAGGCCTGAAGAGATGAAGTGGGGTTCGATCGCCAATCTGGTTTGTACAGGTCAGCGGGGTCTTACGGGCTGTCTGCCTCAGGCTATATCCCTGTACGCATGGTGTTCTATCGCGCAGCAGCAGTCTTTAAGATGTCATGTAAAGTGTGCTCCGTGTACGCTTTTGTTGGGCCGTTTGTAGCTCTGGGGTATCTCCCTTAAGCAAATTGAAAACTATACCAGCTGGAATATCGAATTCGAGAACATCAACAACTTCTCAATGCTTGCGACTCTTTAGCATCCCTACATGCAAACTGATATAAAGCTGACGAGGTATAATGTCGAGATAAAAGGCCTTACAATGTCTCCCTTTGAAGACTGCAAAACAACGTATAGCCTGTAATGCACTACGAGAAAATCGATGCGCGCGGGACAGCAGTAGAGGCAGACATCACTGATAATGCCAATGAGGCGATCGTGATAGAATTCGTTGGCAATGGAGGACGGTTTGGGCGTTGTAGATAGTACGAATGTAACAACACGAGCCTATCATGAAATGAATGAAATCTCATGCAAGGAAAAGCGAAGACCGTCAAGTCTCTCCAACTTGCGTATATACTGGAGACGCGTGGAGACCCAGAACGAACCAGAACACTGCCAAGATCTGTGGCCTGAGTTCTGAGGCGCCAAAGGGTTGGGCTGAGTCATCAAGGACGACGGCTCCTCCAACTTGCGTTGCAGCCATTCCGGACTCGAGAATACTCACGCGGTCCTCGAAGTGCGATTCACGAGCTTCTAGAAGCAGTACGGAAGGTCAGTGACCAGGTCCCCTATTGTGTGTTGGGGAAGTCCCTCGTCGATTGCTCCGTAGTTCTGGCGTTCTTGCGGGGGTTCAATTTGCTCAGGGCCACCTTCTCGCCATGTCCATAGAAAGGAGAGAAAGTCCCAGACTAATATGGCAAACAGTCCCGTGACCGGCACTACTGGGGCGACTATATCAACATGTCTGAAGTCCACGGCGACTCTGAGCTCGTGACGACGGGCTCAGAACAGCTGGAGTATCCTCTAGCGCTGGCCCCGCGTCAAGTCACTCTGCGAGATCGAGTAACGGTGGCGACATTGATGCCGTTTGCCTCTGCAGAGGATGTCCCCCGACCACTGCTCAAGTACCTCTCGGATCAATTCAACAAGGAAATTGAAAAAGGAGATACCTATGCCATGACCGAGCCCATCCCGCTGGCACTCTTCGGGCGGTATTGGTTCTCCAACTTTGGTGTGGTCATGCTCCTGGGCGATATTCAGAGTGTGGAGCAGACACATTCGATGGATCGAGCCGGAGCCAATTGGACGAAGATCTGTCTTGGTGGCTTTCACATTCGACCCAATTACCCCGGCCGGAGCAGTCACGTCTGCAACGGCACATTTATTGTCACAGATGCGGCCCGAAACAAGGGTGTAGGTAGGTTGATGGGTGAAGCGTATCTGGAGTGGGCCCCACGGCTGGTAAGTAGCTTGCGATAGTCGGAGATCTTCCAAACACCACTTTTCGGTCTAACATTGGGCTTCTCCAGGGTTATACATACGCTGTTTTCAATTTGGTTTACGAAACCAATGTTGCTTCGTGCCGGTTGTGGGATTCGCTGGGCTTCAAGCGTATCGGTAGAGTTCCCGGCGGAGGCCAACTGAAATCCCAACCGGGAGAGTTTGTGGATGCAATCATCTACGGTCGGGGCCTAAGCTTAGACGGAGAGGACTCCGTATCTCAAGACCGCTTTGAGAAGATCCGCTACTATCTTAAGCATTCTAAATACCCCCGCGGGGCGGATCGAGCGGAGAAGAGTCGGCTTCGAAGCGCCGCTACCCATTACAAGTTAATCGGCGGAGAAGATGGAGAGCCGGAGAAATTGATGCTAAAAGACAAAGAGGTCGTATCGGATCCGCAGCACCAATATGAAATTGCAAAGGAAGTCCATCTCAAGCAACACGCTGGCATCAACAAGACGACAGCTGCGATTGCCATCAAATTTCATTGGGTGCGGATCAAAGAGACTGTCAATCGTGTGATTCGAGACTGTCCACAATGCAAAGAGACCCTTAAAGCTCCTCCTATCCCCGGAACAAGAGATGACAACCAGTCGGTTACAGTCGAAGATTCTCCGGTGGAGGAGGACTCCTTTGACCACCATGAGAAACAGACCAGCGATGAGCCACAGGCGATGGACGAAGCGCCGGATGAATCTCCAAGTCATAATCCTTTTATCAACTCCCAAACCCCGGCAGTTGCACCTGTAGGGACAGTCCACCCAATGGCAAGCTTTAACCCAATGCCTCTCGATCCTCAAATTATGCAGCTGCAGCAACAGTTGCGGCGCTACCAACAACAAAATGCCATGGCCAGTGCCTTTGTTCCAGGACCACACAATATGAACATGTCCAACTTTGATGACGCAATGCGCTACCATACCGCCAGCAATGCCTATCAGATGATGGTGGATGATGGCTCTGATCCCTTTCGACAAGAGGTACTGGGCTTGATGAACCCTGCCTCTCATCCGGACTTGCAGCATGATGCTGAGCTACTTGCTAAGTACGAGTATGGTAGTCCATCGGAAGGGAATTATGACTTTACCTGAGCTGGTCTCAACAGAGCGAGGGAAAAAATATTGCTCTTCTCAAACCATATACTTGGCGTTCCCTTCTTCTTTTTCAGGTCTTGGGTTCGGCATATCTTTGTTTCTATACTGTGACGGATGTTTTCGTGGCATGTCGGACATACTAGCTATTCTCTTTGCATCAGGCTAGGGTTCTTTCTCCCCGATTTCGGAACATATTATATCTACCAATATCAACTTTTTATTTTTTGGGGCAATTTTCTCTAATTGAACAAGTCAAGACGCAACTTTCAATGTGGTTCGTGTAGCTTCTAGTTCAAATGGCGTAGTGCGGTAGAGCAGCCCCTGGGACTGAGAGTCACCGCCTTGGCGGGCTCGGGGGGTTTTGAGGGGGAAATGGAAGCTTTGGGAAATTTTGGCCGTCGAAGATCAGCGAACCCCCTCCGACTTCCTACCAGGCCTGGACCAAATCCATTCCTTTAAAATTTTGTCCCTTTCTTCAACGGTCTCGGTTCTCTCTTCGATTACACCATGGCCTTCGCCGGCCAAACTCCCACGATTGTCGTGCTCAAAGAGGGTCCGTGTGCTTCCCTCTTCCCCCTCCGTCAGGCAGTTTGGTGGGATTGCTTAATCGAGCCAGGCTAACCATTGTCGCTTTCCATACACAGGCACCGACGCTTCCCAGGGCAAGGGCCAGATTATCTCCAACATCAACGCCTGTGTTGCTGTCCAGTCGACCGTCAAGAGCACCCTAGGCCCGTACGGTGGTGACCTGCTGCTTGTTGACAGCAATGGCAAGCAAACCATCACCAACGATGGAGCTACAGTGATGAAGGTGCGGAATTTATATCGGAGACTCCAAGACTTTCCAGTTCTGCAAGACGCAAGTCCACGTTCTGACGTTTCCCTTTGTCTGAACAGCTTCTCGATATTGTCCACCCGGCCGCCCGCATCCTCACGGATATCGCCCGATCGCAAGACGCCGAAGTCGGTGATGGCACAACCTCCGTGGTGATCCTCGCTGGTGAGATTTTGAAGGAGGTGCGAGACCTTGTCGAACAGGGCGTCAGCTCGCAGACTATCGTTAAGGGTCTGCGGAGAGCCAGTGCTATGGCGGTCAACAAGATCAAGGAGATCGCGGTGGATATGATTGAAACGGCGGAGAACGTAGACAAGAAAATCCAGACTCTTCGGCGACTAGCCGGGACCGCGATGAACAGCAAGCTCATCAAGCGGAATTCGGAATTCTTTACCAAGAGTGAGGAAACAACCCCTCCCCACATCTACCCTTTTTGGCCAGGGATATTATTGGAAGTGCTAGTAGCTAACTACGACGGTGACATTAGTGGTTGTCGATGCTGTGCTTTCTCTCGACCAGGATGATCTTAACGAGAAGTTGATCGGTATGAAGAAGGTGACCGGCGGTGGCCTTCAGGATTCCCTTTTCGTCAACGGCGTGGCTTTCAAGAAGACCTTCTCCTACGCCGGTTTCGAACAGCAACCCAAATTCTTCAAGGACCCCAAGATTGTGTGCTTGAACGTCGAGCTGGAATTGAAGAGCGAGAAAGACAACGCCGAGGTTCGGGTCGAGCAAGTCTCTGAGTACCAGGCCATTGTTGATGCCGAATGGCAAATCATCTATAACAAGCTGGAGGCCATTTACAAAACGGGTGCCAAGGTTGTGCTTAGCAAGTTGCCCATTGGTGATCTGGCTACCCAGTACGTCTTGATCCTAACATTGTGTTGCTCGTTTTCCAGAAATATATGTTCTGCCTCTGACAACCTTCCCCAACAGGTACTTTGCGGACCGGGACATCTTCTGTGCCGGCCGCGTTGCATCCGATGATTTGGACCGTGTCTGCCAGGCTACCGGTGCTGCTACCCAATCCACCTGCAGTGACATCCAGGATCGTCATCTGGGTACCTGCGGTGCGTTCGAGGAGCGCCAGATTGGTGGAGAGCGCTTCAACCTGTTCTCTGAGTGCCCTAAAGCGAAGACTTGCACCTTGGTCCTGCGTGGTGGTGCGGAGCAGTTCATTGCCGAGGTGGAGCGAAGTCTGCATGACGCGATCATGATCGTCAAGCGGGCGCTGCGCAACACCACCATTGTCGCCGGTGGTGGCGCCACGGAGATGGAACTCTCCAGCTACCTGCATGGCTATGCCGACCGCAATGTCCCTCACAAGCAGCAGGCTGTGGTCAAGGCGTTCGCCAAGGCTCTGGAAGTTGTTCCCCGTCAGCTCTGCGACAACGCAGGTTTCGACGCCACCGACATCTTGAACAGGTTGCGTGTGGAGCACCGCAAGGGTAATGTGTGGGCTGGCGTGGACTTTGACAATGAGGGTGTTCGGGACAACATGGTTGCTTTTGTCTGGGAGCCCTCTCTGGTCAAGGTCAATGCAATCCAGGCGGCCGTGGAGGCGGCTTGCTTGATCTTGAGTGTGGATGAGACGATCAGTAAGTGGACCTGTCACCACCCCTGTTCCCTGCTTCTACCTGCTTTTCCCTGGATTTCTTTTCGCCTGGTACCTGACTAATGCACCTTCTTCCAACCATAGAGAACGAAGAGTCGGCCCAGCCTGGGGCTCCGCAACGCGGTCTGCCCCCAGGTGCTGCCCAGCGAGCTCTCCGGGGCCGTGGTCGCGGAATGCCGCGTCGCGGATGAACGACTTAATGCCACTACGAAAGACGGGGACGGGCTCGCTTGAAAGGATACTCAATGTCCTTGTCAAGAGACCATCCCCTGTCCCACAACCCCCCCCAAAAAAAGAACGATGAAGGAACATTACTGGAAATCTTGCACATGGACCGAGTCCGTCCTCAAGCACGAAGTAAGTGGGCTGGCTGACCCGGCATATGTTTGTTTGGAACTATGAAGCGGAGAAAACGAGGGAAAGGGGTTCGTGCGATTACAGCAGCAAGGGAATAGAGACCGCCGTTTGTTAGACCTGGATGGGCCTGTCGACGGGCTTGACATAGTTTTTTTTTCCTCCTCGTTTTTCTAGTACATACAATCAATGCGAGGTCGACTAGTTGCTTTTGTGGCGTGCGTTTGAACTCCTTTGCTTCCTGGTTTCGCTCTTCCTCGTTTAGACTTACCGGGTTGCGCTAATCCGGCTAATGTATACTCTTCTTGATTCTGATTCTTTCTAACGCTGCAGGTCTGCAATGCTGCACCTCTTTATTACTAGTTTCGTCTGCTCCTAGTCCGCTTCCAGTTATGACATTCTTCTGTCGGCACGCTATGGCTTTGTACCCTGGGCTAGTGTCCGGCACTATTTGCGATCGATCGCCTGCGGGCGATGAATCCCCTGCATTTTGGCAACCCACAGCGGGCCAGCAGCACATCAATCAGGGCACGACGAGGGCGCCATGAGTTCCTGCACGAGCAACAGAGACTTTGTCTGGATTATCATTCCTTTTGTTCGTTTCTGGTTGACCCCACAGACCACCCGCTAGCTGATTGGCAGCGCCCGTCCTCCAAGGTCGGATTATTGAATCTTCAGACACGGGACAAGACCGATGGACATGAGGTGCATGAGGAGGAAAGATACCTTTGTGATCTGTGCCATACCGGTCAGGCCCGAAAGGCTGTTCTGTGTAACAGGGGTGGTCGTGCCTATCGAAGTATACCGAACTCCTCGTTGTATACTTCGTATACTGGACTACAGATGAGCGATGGGGCCGTGGAGGGACTGGAAAACCCACCGAATGGTGGATTCTGCTATCTCAAATACCTTGAAAGGCTCTACTGGTTTCCCTTCGCCAGGCATTGCATGTTTTGTCTCGGTTCTCCGGATCCTTCAGCCCTGATCCAATCATCGGCCGTGGCGTGAACAGCGGGCAGAAAGTGCTCGGGGCGGCCGACAGCCCTAGTCCTCTAAGCTGCTGCATGTCAGATATAAAGGCAGCCCCCAGCGTGAACCGTCGTTGGTTTTTTCTTGTTTTTTTGTTTTTATTTTATTTTATTTTATTTGTGAAGATTTTCTGGGCCGTGACTCGATCCTTTGATCTTTCAATCAATTTGGTTTGACATATCACGCTAAAGCGAATGTAAGTTACCCAACTACCCAGTCACCCAGTAAGTGGCGGCCCTTTCTCGTCGATCAGCGTTCGCGCCTCAGCGTCGCATCGGGCCCGAAGCAGCACATGTCCGAGTCCGCCCATTACGTTTTACTTCCAATTGTACCATTATTTACTTCTCTAAAAGACCCGAAAGACCCCTGACAAGTTGTTTATCCTCGTTTCTACACCTTTGGGTCCATTGATTTGAACTCTGCGTGTTTCCCTGTTCATCTTGTTTGACCTGTATTCTTTTCGTGGTACTTGATTCCTGGTTCTTGTCCGGGGCTTGGCAGCCTTCCCGTACTTCCCGCTGTTGTGGTTCGGATCTTCTCCACATCCCACACTTCCTCCCAGATCCAAACCACCTCCAACCTGCTCTCCTTCTTGCTGCCATCTCGTCTCCGCCAGCCCTGATGTCTTACTATCCGTCGTACTCGGGTCCTCCCGGGTACCCCCCACAACAGCCTTACCCTCCGCAGCAATACCCGTATGCGCTCTTCCGATCCCCCTCTGTTTCTGCGTGGCCGAGTTTCACATCCGAGTGAAAGAGAGCGCGCGAGAGAGAAAACACAAAAGGGAGGAAGAGAAAACTAACCGACTTCATGTCCAGTCCGATGCATCACCCCCAACAGCCAGCCTACGGTGGCTATCCCGGTCAGTCTTATCATCAACAGGCCCCGCCGCCGAACCCGTACGGTTACAGCCATTCTCCGCAACCGCCGCAGCAGCCCTACGGCTCACCCGCCCCGCAGCACGGATATAATGTATGTCTTATGGTGCATCCTTGAATAACAGACATGAGGTTTAGGGGATGGGATCTGTGTGAGGATCTAGATGCTAACTGTTGGATCCCGAAAACAGCAGGGACCCCCGCCAACTGGCTACCAACACTCGCCCACTGGTCAGCCGGCCTATGAGGGTGGACGCCAACAAGGTTCGCAGATCTCCCGATGCCAACAATGAAGTCGCGTCTGTTCAGCGCCAAAACTGATCCATTTCATCTCAATAGGAAACTATGGTGGACATCAATCCAGCGGTGGCCCCCCGCCGCCACCCACCGGTGCCGTCTCGTTCGGCAACGGCGCCCCGCAAGGCTACAACTTCCAGTATTCGCGCTGCACCGGCAAGCGCAAGGCGTTGCTGATCGGAATTAATTATTTCGGCCAGAAGGGTCAGCTCCGTGGTTGTATCAACGATGTGAAGAACATGTCCTCCTACTTAAACCAGAACTTCGGCTATGCTCGTGAAGACATGGTCCTTCTCACCGACGACCAACAGAACCCCATGAGTCAGCCCACCAAGGCAAACATTCTCCGCGCCATGCACTGGCTGGTCAAGGACGCGCAGCCCAACGATTCTCTCTTCTTCCACTACTCTGGTAAGCCCATGCGATCGGGTAGCGATTGGGACGCAATCGACAGTCGGGTCGGTTGAGGGTTCCTCTGCTAACCTCGAATCCTAGGTCACGGCGGCCAGACACCCGATCTCGACGGCGATGAAGATGACGGATACGACGAGGTGATTTACCCGGTGGACTTCCGTGTCGCCGGCCACATCGTGGATGACGAGATGCACCGGATCATGGTTCAGTCGTTGCGACCTGGTGTACGTTTGACCGCCATCTTCGACTCGTGTCACTCAGGATCTGCCCTGGATCTTCCCTATATCTACTCCACTTCCGGCATTCTCAAGGAGCCCAACCTGGCCAAGGAAGCTGGTCAGGGCCTGTTGGGTGTGGTGTCAGCCTATGCACGTGGCGATATGGGTGGCATGATGTCCACCGCCATGGGTTTCCTCAAGAAGGCCACCAAGGGCGACGAGGTGTATGAGCGCAATAAGCAGACCAAGACCAGTCCCGCCGATGTTATCATGTGGTCCGGCAGCAAAGACGACCAGACCAGTCAGGATGCCCAAATTTCCGGCCAAGCCACCGGCGCCATGTCGTGGGCCTTCATTGCTGCCCTTCGCAAGAACCCCCAGCAGAGTTATGTCCAGCTTTTGAACAGCATCCGCGATGAGCTGGCCTCCAAGTATACGCAAAAGCCACAATTGAGCTGCAGTCACCCCCTGGGTATGTCCAACTCGGTCCCTCCTGGATTTCTCTGGTCCGCTAGCCTGAGCTAACAGTTATTCGCAGATACAAATCTTCTTTATGTGATGTAAAAGTCGCCGATGGAAGCGATTTGCCTTGAAACATTCTGACACTGTGTTTTGCTTTCTCGGCTTCGAAATACTTTTTTTTTCTGTGTCGCTTTTTACCATCATTTCTGCCTTTGACGAATTGCTTCCCCTGTATCTAATTTTTTTTTACTCCTCGGTGTCCGTGTATCGCTTCTTGGTTGGTTTAACCCGGTGCACGCCTTGTGATTTATCTATTATGAATTGTGATTATTCTTGATGTTCCTTTCCACGTACAGTTCCGGATGATTCGTCGCGATATACTTCCGGTTAATAAATCCGCAGAGTTTACGATAACTCCGTTTCCCTGACATCATTTGTAGACTCAGATACTCGGAGCCCGCCATCGCATATAATCTCCCCTGTCGTTTGATCGAAGGATTTCATTAATTCAAAGAACCCTATTCATGTCACGAGAAGTGTTCGCGAAAGAACATCTTGCACTCGCGGATTTCTTTTCATCCTACTCTAATGGGATGCGCCACTGGCGGAAAAGTATACCGAGCCGCTGGCGATGATTTCCTTCGTTGCTTGGGCAAAAGATCATTATATGTCATTTGCCGCCGGAACCGCCCTTGATTCACCGAGTCGCTTCCGGTGCAAATCAGAAAATTTCCGAGGCAATTGACAGTCATGTTCATGCTCCCCATCGAGTCGAGTTTGATAAGGTTTTATATCGACGACTGTCACCTACTCCTGCAGTTTTCGCTTGCACAATGCAGTCATATCTGCAGAGACGCCGGATTTACAAGCAACTCGAGCGGCAGATCGTGGTGAAACATGAAGGCCCCGAGGACGTCTGGACTTATGAGCGTCGATACTGGTATCCCGAAGGAGGAGGCCTGTCCTCTGACCCCCGCGATCCGGACAACGGTGCTGCCGCCGAGCGGCGCAGAGAACATGGCCATCATACGAGAATCGGAGGCCCGACCCTTGCACCGCGCCATACGGCCCGCTTGCACTTGGAACCGGAAGGAGATGCTGAGCGTGCCGATATTCATCCGGATTTTCAAGCCGACCCGTATACTATCAACACGAGAGACTCGATAGGTGGCAGAGTCGATATGATGGTGACTGGCGTGGAAAGAGCCCGGCCCGGGGACGAGCAGTCTAACGCCACTGTTGGCACTGCCTCTGATGAATTGCATGATAGAGGAACCGATACCGACAGCATTGACGAAAAGGATAGGATCATCGTGGTCACTTATGAAGGGGACACAGACCCAATGGACCCTCACAACTGGTCACTTACAACTCGTTGTCTTTGTACAACGCTTCTCTCTCTCCTCGGCGCGATTACGCTGTGGTCATCGACTATTGATGCCACTGCCCTGGTAAGGACCAAAATACTCTATCATACCAGTTTCGAGTTAGAGACTGTACCAACTGGTGCGTATGCCCGGTGTGTAATCTAACCCGTCGGAACTGACCAAAGCCATTGTAGCCTTGTATTTAATTCTACTGGGAGCAGGTGGGATCATCGCAGCCCCAGTGTCTGAAGTTATTGGTCGAAATCCGGTATACATCTCGTGTACGCCTCTGTTCATGCTCTTTGAAATGGGATCGGGTCTTGCTCAAAATGTCACCCAGCGGATCGTTTGCCGTGCCCTGTGTGGGCTTTTCGGATCAGCACCATTGGTGTGTTCTGCAGGAGCTCTAGTCGATCTATGGTCGCAGATTGAGCGCGTGTACGTATTCCCATTCTATGCCATTGTCGCATTTCTCGGTGCTACAACAGGCCCCGCGCCTGGTTCAGTGATAGTCTGGGTTCATGCTGTGAGCTGGCGCTTCGTGGACTGGATGACCATTATTATGGCAGGAATCATCCTTGCACTCACTTTACTCTTCCTGCCCGAAACTTACAGCCCAGTCATTCTGCAATGGAAGGCAAGACAACTCCGTCGGCTTACGGGCGATGAACGGTACCGCGCCCCAGCAGAGTTCAGAAGTCTGCCGGTCAAAAAGCGTATTCTGCACGCGCTCTACAGACCATTATTAATGTTATGGTCAGAGCCTATCATTATGATGTACTCCGGTTATCAATCGATCATCTTCATCGTGCTCTATACCTTCTCGGCCGGCTACGTCGACATCTTCGAGAAAGTCTACAAGCTCAACCAAGGCCAGGCTGGAGTTGCCTTCCTCTCTTTTGCAGTAGGTGTCGTTCTTTCGGCAGCCTTCATCCCAGTGTCAATGAAGCTCGTTCGACGGGACATTCATCGCTGCCGCGCCAAGGGTCACCTCCGGCCCGAACCAGAGTACAACTTGTACCTCGGGATGATCGGGGCGCCGTTCATTCCGATCTCGCTCTTCTGGTTGGGCTGGACAGCAAAACCTAGTATTTCTATGTGGAGTGGGCTTGGAGCCGCAGTCGTGTTCGGCTTTAGTGTTCTCTGTGCCTTTGTCTCGACATATCAGTATATTACAGCCACCTTCGAGAAATACCCAGCCAGCGCGCTGGCCTCGATTCAACTGATGCGGTTGACTGCGGCAGGTGTGATGGCAGTCCTCGCACGGATCATGTATAAGAATTTGGGTATACCTTGGTGCTTGACTCTACTCGGGTTGATTGCGACGGTGTTCTTACCAGTGCCTTACTTGCTATACATATGGGGATGGAAAGTACGACAATGGAGCCGGCATGCACTAAGCGAGCACACTGGGTGAGCTAAAAATCATCATATCAACTTTTAAATACTATCTTTGTTCCCTCCTTTTTTTTTTTCTTTTTCCATTTCTCCATTGCTTTGCCCATGAGAAGCTGAAAGAGCACATCCAAAATGTCGCAAGCCCCCTCTCCCTAGTGCAGAGGCTCTATGTAGATCCTTTCCCTGGCCGTTGTTTGGAAAAAAGAACCTGGTCTTGCGAGCTGTCACGAAAACTGCAACCCACCAACGATACGCCGCAGGCCGATTTAGAAGGCGATCGACATGGATACTATATCCGGCTGCTAAGAGGCAACCAACCCCTGACTCGTCCAAATCGATGACGCGGGATGCCCCACTGTCCGAAGCTTAACAATGTAACTTTGACTTCTGCCGTTGGAAGAACCGTGGAGAATTGGGGAGGTATAAATTTTTTAGTTCTGCGTCTTTTCAGTGTCGATCTAGCAATTTTGGCCCTTTTATTTTGCAGCATTGAAGAATCTCCTTGTGGAATTCAGTTCTTTATCTATTTTCCATACCTATCCTTCTAACGTACGTTTCGCAAACGATGTGGATACGAATCTTGGGGGTTATTGTTGTTTTGTGGCTAATAAGGGATTCAGATTAATAATACCCAACATGCGATTTACTCTTTTCGCTCTATTCGTTTCCTTGGCGGTTGTTGTTCTCGCAACCCCTGGGGCTGAGGTCAAGCGCGAAGCTGCTCCTGAAACCGACAACTTGATCGATCTGGGAAGCACTGGCGCTAACCAATACAATGGCCAAGGCGAGGGAATTGTTGGCGTCGAGGGTCTCGGTGTCGGACTCTGATTTCGTTGTTTTATGCCGCTGAATGAAATGTAAAAGGTAAGAGGCCCTTCTACCTAGAGAGGGATGTGCACGTTCAGCACTAAGAAATTTTTCAGACTTTTACATCACAAGAGACAAATATGAAGATTTGCTTGATTAGTTAATCTGAAATTATAGATTGCGAAGAAAGACTTAGACTCCCCTTATAATTTAATTCGCTTTTCACATCTACTGCAGACTAGTATTGCAATTAGACGGGCCATTTCAATCAAATTGATAAATTTACTCCACCTTTACTTTGCACGTATGGAAATATTACGATATGGATGCTGTCGGTCCTTATTTAAGATCACATAAAAAGATAAGTGGCTTTTATAGGATATGATAAGCCCTTCGATCTACCCAAAACACCATTTAATCCATGGTACTACCCCTGGTCTCCGGTACCAACGTTGCCCCGTTGAAAGTCCATGACATAGGGTTCTCCACCGAGGATTTTCAATTGCTCTCTGTCTATCCAAAGTTACATGGAAAAAAATCGAGGGGATGAGTTCAAATACCTTTGGCCTGTGCGTCTCTCTAGTACAGATTTTATCTGCGAAACATCTCTCGTCTAGTATCTATCCTGCCTCCAAGTGTCACTCTAGGCTCGCAGTCGCTGTTCTGAACACAGATATTTGAATAAATCAAGTATTTTGGTCCCTTTCAGATAATTTTTAATTGCGAGTTCTAACTTTCTTCTTCCCACAGACTCTCCAACATGCACCCTTTATCTATTGTGATGGCCATCTGTATGGTTGTGCCTGCTCTCGCCACTCCTGTTCCCAGCGAAGACTACGACATCGATGTCCTTGACATTGGTGCCAATGTTCCCCGTGTCAAGCGTGGAGATTCCCTTGAGGAACTCGGTGTTGGAAGTGGTAGCATAAGCGCTGCTGACCTGGGGGTCAGTTACAAGCGTGAAGCAGCACCAGAGAAGGACGATCTTATCGATGGGGGTTCCATCGGCCTTCCTAGTCTACTCACGGTTGGCGCCAAGCGCGATGCAGCCCCTGATTCGGATTCGGATGTTGGTGCACTTGGTCTTCTTCTAAGCACTGACTAGACTCTCCACTGCCGACTCAAGAAGGTGGGAGAGTGGTTCGGGGTACTATTGCACCATTGTGTTCCTTAATTGGTTCTACTATTAGTATATACTGTTCCAATTGGTTGCTATTGACGTTGATAGATCTTTTGCTGTGCATAAGAATATTATAAGTAGTCAATGCCTGGTTTTCATTCATATTTTAACAAATCGATAGTTATATATATATGTACCCATATCACGTACCAACTCAGCAGCGTCATACTATTCATTCATTGTGAAATTAGGAAGACAATTCTCAGAGGGCCAAAGGTTGTGCCGGGACAAGTCTTTTGTATTTCCAATGCTCCTTTACAAAAGCCTAGACGCTTGTCTACACAAACCTCTTCGTTTCCACAAGGAACAAACTGGCTGTTCATCATCTTGGTGATTTATCCTGGTGGAGATGAACCCGTAGAAATCGCAATGCGGACACCACATTGGCTCCTGCTTCCGTTTCGTCCCCACTCCAAGCGAAAAAAAAGCTGCTTTCGCCACTCATTTCCAATTAGGTGGATTGGACAAAGAGCCAAAAAATTGACCGACGCAGGGGTCGAACCTGCAATCTCTTGATTCGTAGTCAAGCGCCTTGCCATTGGGCCAGCCGGCCTTGTTGAAATAAAGACGACGATTTTGCCATCATGAATGATGGCCACAGGTCTGCGGCTTCGCTGGTTGACTAAGCTGTTCACGTCGAGTTTTTTAGGGTTGAAACTTACCAAAATGGTAAAAGGATGTTGGTTAATAAAATTTCAGTGTCCTTCCCCCCTATCCCTGCCGTAGTTTACAACCCGCTATTTCTGGCGAAGATGGAATTCTTCGGTAGCTCTCGGACCTTCTAAGTACCTCGAAAGCAGCATACTCCAACTTATTATGGAGATCTGTGTTCATATATGTCTCTCAGAATCATTATCCACGCATAGCGCTGAATCATGTAGCTGAAGTATTAATATATATCAACACAGCATAGCATATTGAGTAGAATATCAGAGAAGCATTAAAAGTCGCTAGTTATGTTATCCCGTTTACCAGCCGAGACGAATTCTACTACGTCATTGTAGGACAAGTAACCATCCCTATATAAAATTTGGCTTGGACTTGGAGTATGGGTATTTAGAAGGCAAAAGTCTTGATGGAGTAGAAGTTCTGGGAGTAAGAAAGCGAGGAGGCAGGATACAGCTAGTCAATTGATTCTCAAAGCGACCGCTTGGTAGTGCTGGTGATAATAAATTCCAGCTAAGCAAAGAATCATTGTGGCCCGACTCAAGTGAAATCACGTGAAGATAATTTCTCGATCGGGATATCCGCGAGGGGATACCCACTATGCATGCGCGCGTCTCGTCTCCTAGTCCTAATTTGTTTGCGTGTGTTCAAAGGGAAACAAGCATCTGTGGAATGTAAAATGAGCAAAGAGAAATTTTCATACTCGCCAAATGCACCCCAGGGAGATTTACCGCTCATCAAATTACCAGACTCAAGCGGATAATCTCGTCTCGTCTTCAGTCGCTCTCTGCCTCTTGTCTGTTGTCGCCGACGAGCATCCCTCCGTATCTAAACACCTAGCACCATGTCGGTCGTCTTGACCTCGGTATCACCACAAAATAATTTTTCACGAGGCCCTCACTGGAACCACGAAAGCCCTTTTCTACCCTTCTCCGCCCTAGAAACAAAACCAGGACCTGGAGCTCCATCTCTCAAGGAATTAGCAATCAAGTGCCTATTCAAGGACCAATCCATACTGAAACCGGAGTTATTTCAGAATGTCCCTTGGATGTTAGCAAAGAAGCTATGGGAATATCTGGAAAATACGTAAGTTATTTTCTTTTCTTTGGAAACCTTGAAAAGAGTTATATCTAGAGATTAACAGTAGAGTCTCCAGTGAAAAAAGAACACTCCTGGCATGGAAAATCTTTTCAATAAACTATCCGAAGCAATTCAACCGAATCAGCCCCTCTTACACACTGAGGACTGCCGGCATCAAGAAGCCTCTTAAAGGATACATCGAGATCATGAAGAGTGATTCCTGTGATTGGCGGGCAGTGTTGTCTCTCCCTACACTCACTGCCACCACAACTGAGCTGGTGGAGATTGGCAGCATGCGCAATTTGGTGGCGTTGGAGCTGGCTCAATATGACTACGCTCGGAAAACATTTGATCCTGAAAATCCAGAAGCAGGATTGACCAATGGGATTGTGCGTACTTGGGTCGAAATGGCCAAGAATCTAGGGTCTTTACAGCACCTGCAATTCCTGAGGATTGAAAATTCGAGTTTACTTACACCACAGGCTCTCTGGATGCTAGAAGAACTACCATGTCTGCAGCTTGTTACGGTCTCTGACTGTAAGGAGTTTACCAGTGATTCCCTCAGCCTCAATTCTTCGTTGAAAAGAGGGAAAATTATAGGAGGATGGAATACACAGCGACTGAGTTGGCTTCTTGAAGGTCAAGAGGAAGCCACTCTAGCGCTCAGGAAGCTGGATCCTATTTTGCACGTCTACGAAAGTTTATTGGCTCAGGGAGAGATTGTATCTTACGGTGTTGCCTCGAAAGATCAGGCTACCCTGGGCTCCGATACTCAACTCATGCAATTTGAACTTCAGATGTCAACTCGGCCTGATAAGAACAAATATGGAATGGAGAGTCGAGGAGGTTCCTATAGGGCGAAAACAACTTTCTTCTTCACCCGAATATCGGAACAGAACAGGAAGAAGAGAGAACTTACAGGGACAAACGGACATCAAACTAAAGGGAAGCGAGTAATGAAGCAACGAAAGGGAAGGGACATGACAGACTTGCTAGGTGAATTTCTCACCTAAAAACCGTTAGTCAAACAAGAAAAGATTTTGGTTATAGATGAATTAACGAATCCACCGAGCTGGAATTGATTGCAAATAGTCTTCTCGACAAGCAGGTACAGCCGTGGGAGAATCGATAGCTTGAACATGCCGGGGACTTTGAGTAAGATCGCTCGTCCATATTCTCCAGCATCTCTCAAATCTCTATATTTGCCTTACCTGTTCATATGCTGAATACACAAGCGATTTTCAGGGTGTTTAAATTCTGCAAACTACTTTAGAATTAGCCTTGATCACCTCAATTGTACTTTCTGTCGAGAAAGAGAAGTTATCGAATGGCACGAGAATATGCATTCCTCTGTGCGTCCCGCGATTAAAGAAATACTCGATTCCACACTAGTTTTGTATAGCAATCCGGGCAGACTCGGAGCTCAGCGCCGTAACACGCTAATCAGCGAGGCAGGAGATTTTAAAAGGGCATAATACCCTAAAACTAGAAGGCTTTAATAGCTATCCCAGGTACTAGTGACTATCTAATTAGGAGCTCTCAACTGGACAATGTCTTCAATATACTTGTAGATCCGAGCTCGTGTAAGGTCTCAGCGATTCGGTAATGGTACGATTGCGAGTTACAGATTGTCGGAGCATCTCCAGGTACGTATAGGCACGTACATTTTACGTTAACCAGTTAGCAGCGCGTAACAGACATCATCATATTGAGCATCGCATCCATTGGATCTGAACTTTGTAAGTTTATATAGTATCCTCTTTAATCGACACTTTTAAGCAGCTTCTAAATGACTGTAATTATTTTGCCATTCTTAGCAGATCGTATGACATAATCCAATGATGTCAAGAAACGGGCGCCCGCTGATTGGCGCACTCCGCCCAAACCCCCCGCGTCACTTGCTCCCTCGACTCTCAACTACTTCCCACGCCGCTTGCTGTTTGGCTCACCTCATGGCAGACCAGACAACCCGGACAGGATCGGATATGTCAGAACACCGGCTTTCTCGGGAAGGCTCCGACACTTCCCTCAACGCTTCCGCCAATACTGGCAACGGCTCCGGCGTAGCATCGCCTCGATCTAGCACCGACTCTCGCTCCTCACGAAACCAGAACCAGCTCCGCGTTTCTCACATGTCCCCCGCAAACCATCAACATCGACAGAGCTTGAGCGAAACTCTACGTGGTCCGCCCGGGTCGCCCCGAAATCGCCGACAACCGTCCCTCACGCAGTCCGCTATCCAGAGCCTGATCGACAACCCGCCCCCGCCCAAGAATGTTGACCCGGCGTTTATTGGTCGCGACTGGAGGGAAATTTCGATTGGAGAGCTTGTCAGCCCGGAGGATCTGCGATTTGTTGAGATGGACACTGGGATTGAGGAGGCAACTAATGTGGGTTTCACGATGGTGGCAGATTGACTCGAGTTTCCGTTAGAGACTGATGTCTTTAGTTGTTGATTGATTCCGGATCTCCGGTCCTACTGATCCGTGAAAGTCCTGAAAACTCATCCGTCATTGCTACCTTTGACTACTCGGACCTGAACTCATATCTACTCCTGGCGGCAGGATTGACCGTCCCCCAAGAAGGACACCGCGCGTCGTATGATGAAATTGCCAAGAAAGCTCGCGACGGAGAGAAGATTCCTCTCAAAGACGTCAAGGGCCTCGGAATGGAGAAGGAACCGTTAGTGAAGCTACCCGCTTCCGCAAATTTGATGACGGCAGTCGAGACATTTGGGGGTGGCATTCACCGGGTTGTAGTGACCAGTGGATCCAGCGAGCAGGAGGTGGTCGGTATCTTTAGTCAATTTCGACTTGTGAAGTTCCTTTGGGAAAATGGCCGCAGCTTTCCCGCAATTGAGCAGCTATATCCACAGGCCTTGAACAACTTGCGGATTGGATCTCATAATGTGATCTCGATTAAGTGAGTCTCGAGTAGTTCTTGCATTGCTGTCCACCATATACTGACTGCCATATCTTTTCAGTGGGGATAAGCCCCTTAGTGAGGCCCTTCAGGTGATGAACACTGAGGGTGTGTCTTCGCTTGTTGTGGTTGACAATCACCTCAATGTGATAGGAAACATCTCCACCACAGATGTCAAGGTATGCTTTACCCAAAGCTGATTGATGATGTTTTCCCTAACTGACTACCTTAGCTTTTGACACGTTCATCGTCACTGCCACTTCTCCACAATACCTGCACACACTTTATTTCGGTGATTTTGTCGACTCGCGGGCTGATTGAAGGCAAAGACTCGTTCCCTGTCTTCCATGTGAACCCAACCTCGACCCTGGCTCATACTGTCGCTAAACTTGTGGCAACAAAATCACACCGGTAAGACAATCGTTTAAAGAGGTAGGACGAAAACAAACTGACCGCTCCCAGTCTCTGGGTTACCGATCCTCTATCCCCATCTTCCTCGGGACCTCCAACTCCTTCGCACTCCAACGTCCACATTCCTCTGGCCTCTTCAGCAGCCCCTGCAACCAGCGGGTCAAATCCTGCATTGTCTCCGCCACCTTCACCTCTCCCTCTCCCAACAAGTCCATCTGCACAGCCTCCGAATCACGCGACGCCGTATCTTCCAACTCTTCCCCAGTCCTACAGCAGCTCGAATCCCTTCCCACCGGCTTCCTCGACTGGGATTAACCCAGCCCTTACGACTTCAATTCCTGCCTCCTCTTTACCAGGCGCTCGGCTGTCTGGGCGTCTTGTTGGTGTCGTTAGTTTAACTGACATCTTGAACCTACATGCCCGCGCCACTGGCCTGAGCCCTGCCGATCCGGCCGAATCTCGGCGCCGACGCCGCAGCAGCTCCTCCAGCATGAGTGTTCAGCGCAGCGGCGAAATTGGCCGTGAGTTGTTCAGCCGAGGAGGTGTTTAGAGGGATGGCAGCAGTTTGGAGTTGGCGACTTTGATTGCACAGTTTTTTTTCCCTCGCATTTTGGAACTCTTCAATTTCCAGGTCCAAGGGACAACCGCCCTCTGTAGAATGGACGAACGAATTCCATGCTTATTATCATTTCAACTCCTCCGTCCTTCCGTACACAAATACGAAATAACCTCTATGAAAGCGAATCTCAAGTCCAAGTCTGGATCATGATCTCTGTACTAAAAAGGCGTCCTCTCTCTCGTGTATCTTTTGGCCCGGTGTTTTCGCTAAGTGTCATATTTTGGAGGCTCTTCTATTTGTTTTATTTGTTCTTATGTTTTTAACTACTTTCGCTCCATTAAGCACAGGATGCGATCCCATCCACCATCAATCCATTCCTGTGAATGCTGACTTTCAAGCGGAGCTGGTTTCCGCTGTGGATCATATCACGCTCATTGTGTCTATTGCTCGTATATTCTCGGTTCGCCGGGTTGGGGATCAACGTCAACTTTGGGCAATTTCATACCGTCTTTTTCGCATGGCCATACGGGAACCAGATCAATGAACCATCGCACCAGAATTGGGAATCCCCTGAATCGACAACCACCTCTTATATTCGTCCTTGCCATCACTCCATAACAGGGAAATATAGATCAATTTACGATCAGGGACTGGTCTGGGCCCTTGGGCCTAGACTGCGATCATCGCGTCTCAGGGTTTACCAGTGCACGCCTGTGGAGACGATATTCCCTCATCCGCGTAAACGGCCTCCTCGCAAACCCCGATGTATTTGTCTGGAAGGAGAAACCGGGCCAAGAGAACCACCCTCATCGCGCCGAGGGGGGGTGGCGGGGGCGTTCGGACACAGCCTAGGCGCGGAAAACCAGGGCGTCGGCGAGACGTCAAAACAGAACCCTGGGACTCTCTGGGGGCTCGTGCTTGCGCTGATCTCTTCCGTGCTGTGCTCTGGGCCTGGTTCGGATCTGGATCCGCGGCAGTTGGGGCCCCTCGTGCGAATATCTTGTGCGCTGCCCTGCTTTGTGGCGATCTAGATCCGCCTGACCACCCCCTCATCCCCCGCGTATAAACGCCCACCCCGTTGTTTGCACCTGCTTGGATCGCTGGCTTATCATGTCCAATCGCATCATGGCCGTACTTTGGTCCCAGGAGACAGGCATGGTCCCGGGGCTGTGGGTATCGTTTCTGCAGGAACTGTGACTGGCGCGGCGTTCCCGGGGTTGAGCGTGTGGTTGGCTGCGCGGGCCCATCGCCGGATGAGGGAAGTCGCCTCTGCCCGACTAGCATTCTGGTTTTATTTAGTCCGTGGCCTTAGATTCGGTGCTGGTGCCTGGGGTCATCTTGCGCCACACTTGCGAGACGTCGCTGGTGTGATTTGAGGATTCTGACGGGTTTTGCAGATTACTTTGATAATCGTGATTGATGATCGCCCTAAGGGTTTTGGAGTCATGCTTCTTCTATCAGTTTATCTTGCGTGCTTCATCGAATGCAGGACACCAAATGAAATGATCTTCTTAATGGGGCAATGGTATATTCTGCTCGTATTTCCAGGAAAGTATGTTCCTAGCTAGTATACTCTGATTATTGCCCCAATTCTGATAATGCAAATAACTAGACAAGGCTAACCTTATCTTTCTCGCTTTTCACTGCCTTTCATAGCAAGAGGGAACAAAAAGGCCCCCGTAAGAAATACGCCAATCAGCGATCCCACTGATCCACGCCCATCCCTGGTTCTGCATTATCCAATCTAGCCCGGCCTTTCTCGCTTCGTCTCCACCCCGTTCGGGTTGGCACCACCCAGCGATGGCAGCCATAAGGAAACTATATCCCCTGGGTGGCCTGAGAACACACTGATTTGCCCTTTTGATTCGCCCATCTGATTCTACAACAGGGACTACTCGATTTGGGATCGTTGCGTGATCAAAGGCCGTGCGATCTATCATGCCTAGGGGGCTATGAGTTGGTAGTCGGCTAGTCTACCTTCCTGAAATCCGCAAAAACGCTATCTCCCTTCGCATTTCTTGCTCACCATATAGTTGATTCTTAGGATAAGGAGAGAATCTGTTATCCCGAACTCACCCAGTATATGGGGCGATCCGGGCCCCAATCGTAGCCGCCCAGCATTTCCCGCTCACCATAAGAGCTACCACTACCACACCAATGACCTGCCCGCATGCGTGCACGGGGATGCTGGTCAGCGTGCAGAGCGACCCTCTCTTTCTCTGGTCCTGTTTCCGTGGAATCCTCGCAAGGCTCCACTCGGGATCCTTCTCTCACGCCCAGTCAAGTCCCGGGCAGCACAGTGGAACCTTGGGTGGCCGTTGGAAGCGTTAGCCCCGATGCGGATGTAGTGGCCCGTGCGGGAGCTGCAACCTTAACCCCGCAATTTGGAATTTTAGTTCGCCTCATAGTATGGCGGCAGGCTGGTGTGTTCGAGGACTCGAGTTCAGTTCGATGGTTTTTTTTTTAAGTCTTTCGGATTGCTTGCTGACATATATGAGAGCCTGCTGCTTGTTGAGAGGTCAAAAAAACAGAAGCGAACCAGACCACAGAACGAGGTTACTGGGGTTATAGTTGTTGAAGGGGCGAGGAATTTCCAATATGGCCGATCGATCTACACTAGCCCAGCAGCCTCAAAAAGGGCAGGAATCCCGGGCTGTCAGGTGCCCTGGTGTATACCTGGTTCGCGGCGATAATCGTCCTGCATGGCCAATCTGTGCAGATCCCAGAACCAATTCCCCGGGAACGCCTCTTCTCCTTCTTTTCCGCCTCCCTTCTACGTAGTGCTCACCTCATACTATCGATATACTGCACGAGGACATGCCCCAGAAATCATGCTGATTCTGGGCGCAGAAGACCTACCAGACTTGGGGAACTGAGCTGACTGGTTTACCCGACCTGAAGTCTGATTTATTAGTTTTAGAACTGGGACTAGGTCTCGCTCTGGCTCTCCTATCTCCTCCCTGCCTGGGGATGGCAAATACGAGGTCCGAGGGATGCTCTTTGACTGCGGTCGCGTGGGTACAATTTCCCTCTCTTTTTTTTTTTTTTTTTTTTTTTTTTTTTTGCTTTCTTTCTATCTTTGCTCTGCTTTTCTTTGTCTTTTTGATTCGCTCGCGCCCGGGCCAGTACCCAAGTAAGAATCGTAATCCCTCGGGATTTGGCTTGACGTTCTGGAGCTGGCACTGCAATTGGAGTGGGAGTGGGGGCGAATCTTTGATTCATGCTGAATGGGAAGAAGGGCAATTGACTCTCGGCAAGGCGAGTCAGAACCTTACAAGGAAAGAGCTGAACTTGTTTCAACGCTGGGTCGGCCTCTAGTGCGCAGGCTCGTGTGCGTACAAAAGTACTTGTTTGCACAGTGGCCGCGACGGTGATAGGCTAGTCAAGAATTGGGCGAATCTGGAATCGCCGAGGGAAAAAAGATGGGCGAGTGATGTCAAGGGTCACGATGCGGTGGGGCGAAGGAGTTTTTCCAGATTATTAGTTTATTCATCTAGTGTCGAGGGACAGACTGAAGGGGGAGCGCTTCCGGTTGGTTCGGGGAATTGGGGTGGATAGGTCGGTGCGTGCGTGTATGTGCAACGCAGGGCCTCAGAGGGTGCGACTTTTACTGAGAAGACGTGGAGTAGACAAGCAGAGTTTGCGCGTTGTTGAACCGGACGAAGGGCAGCGAGCTCGAAGGAGCTCCGAGCTGGAGAGAGCTGTAGCTGGACCGGCCCGTGGAAGGGGGTGCAAGACCAGTGGACGCGGTGGATAGAAAGGGCGAAGAGTGGGGAGATACAGCCAGAGAATAGCCCAAAAGGAGGGGTGGAAAGGATAGTCAGAGGGGAATCGCAATGGCCCAGACACGCTCGAGTCAGTTAGACTTTGCGCCGGAATAGGAATCAATTGCATGCGGCAGATGCAACTGTAAAAACTCCATAGTTCCTGGGTCAAACAGTGGGCAAGAGGGGAGAAACAGGGAACCGAACCATCTGATTGCACCGTTCATATACGAGCAGGAGAAAGAGTCTGCCGGACAGGACGAAGGATAGGTTGGAAAGTGAATTTCATTTCTCATGATATAGTGGACAAGATAATCAAGTAACGTGGATCCCGCCCTATCCCTGGAAATCGGAGCGGCGCCCAGAGCTCGACCGATCTGGAGCTGGGATTCCCCTCTTTCTCCCCATCCGTTCCAAATTCCAAATCCCAAATTCAAATCCGTAGCGCACTCCTCAATTTCGAAATCCCAAGTCCCGAACCCCGCGAAAGTAAACGCCATGCCTTGGAACGCGCCACCCAGGGCCGTAAAGATATTAGAAAGTAGTGGAGGAAAACGAGGAGAAAAAGGCCAGGAAGAGAAAAAAAATAAATAGGTATGATACAGAAGCAAATGTACAAAGCCAAACTATCTCATATACAATCAGTTTGGGGAATCAGATCGACATCGTAGTTTCCCCAGGGAATCAAGCAGAGCCGGAATGGTTGCAAAAAAGACAAAAGATACTAGAAGAGATGAGGCGGGAGAGAAGGGAGAGCAGGAAGAGGAAGTCATGGGTCAGGTCAGCAGGAGACTGTGGCAGCAAAGTCATCCAACGCAACAAACTCATCGAACCCAAAGGGCTCTCGATCCTGTAGCGACGAGTTGCCCAGGCCCAGAGCGAACTGGCTGAACTCGTTGAAATCCGGATCCAGCTCCTCATGGGAGACCATGACGCCATCGCCTTCCTCCTTAGTCGGGGGCGTGGAGTGTGCGGTACCAACAGCGGTTGGGGACAAGGGGGTGTTGGGAGTTGGGCAAAAGTCAGGAGTGGACTGCGTCTCTGCCGAGAGCGCTTCGATCCTGGGTGAGCTAGTGCTCGATGGGGCCATCTGGGCCAAGTGGGTACCTTGGGTCAAGAGGTGCAGATTGCGGAAGTTATTGCTGGGCTGCGACTGTCCGCGCGAGTGGCCATGGCCGCCACTGGGTCCGGATATGGAGGCAGCGGGGGCAGCGGGTTGGGCCAGGTGCTGCACAGGTAGCTCGGGAGCCGAAGCGAGACGGTCCCTGAACTGCCGCATTTGGGCAGTGGCGGTGGCTTCGGGCATCTGGGCTTGCTGTATCATTTGCTGCTGCCACATGTGAACGGCGTGGGAATCGGTAGGTGTCTGATTCGGAGTTGGGATCTGCTGTTGCATGGGCATCCAGGTGCCCATGTGTGGCGGCCAGGTCGGCACGGGATTGGGTGTGACATATGCTGGCATTTGCCCCGAGGCAGACGAACTTGTCACCATGTTGGCCGTGAAGCCATTCGAGCCATCCATACAATTCATGTAGGAGTGGGCACTGGAGTCGAATGTTGTGGTCGGCGACAACACGTAGCCGTCCGCTGTTGTCACAGGACTAGTCAATGAGCTGGAGTCGACTCCCTGAGGAAACGGAGACCGCAGATTAGATAGGTCCAGGCTCATCTTGCGGGAAGAGCCGCCATCAATGGAGGCGCGAGGGGTCAGGCTCGCGCGTCGGCTCGCAATGGAAGAGGCTGCGGAGCCCGAGCTATTTGCCCGAGCAGCAAAGGCGGCTAGTAGATGGCGGTGGAACTGCTCCTCGATCTGCATGTTCTGGGCATGCAGCATGCGGATGCGTTTCTCTTGATACCGTTCGTCGACCTCCTCGTACATGGCTTCTTTCTCCACAATCTCCTTGGTGATGTGAAATGCCTTGCCGGTACGCTTCTTGTGCAGCATGGACGCCCGGTTGGCGGATTCCAGCCGTGCATCAAGGCTGCGGTCTTTTCGCCGCGAGGCAGCGATAAAAGCTCTGAGGCAGTGACATTAGTGATGAGAATGGAAAGCATATAGACTCGACATGACTTACCTCTCCTGGTTCTCCTCCCGAGATCGGGGGATGGGAGAAATATCTTGGTCTAAATCCGAGGCCATCTCGGATATCACAGTATAGCGAAGAAGAGTATTGGGGAGGCGATCAACCGAATGTCAAGATAAATGCTGATCACAACTAGAACGATGAGAATGGTCCAATAGATCCGAGGATGATGTATAGCAAGTATATAATAATAGGCCCGTCGTCATCAACAGGAGGGGGTATGTCAGAGGTGAAGGTGAAGGAGGAAGAGGGGCACGTTAAATACAAGAAAAAAAAACCTTCAAATGTGAGCCGCCCACCAGCAGAGCACGTTGAGCCCGATCCCCGATTTGAGTTTGCTTCAAGAGGAGGGGGGAGGCAAGCTGTCAGGACCCTCGCACCATCACCGAAGCTTGAAGAGCGGATCCATGGGTCCTGAGGCGATCGCGGTTTGGACGCCGAGAAAAGTCTCATTTCGGGGCGAGCCATGGAAAGCCGGCCACCACTGGGCCCAGTTGGACCACTGGAGTCGACCCTCGTCGGACTGGGCGAACTGGTCGAACTTGCCCATTCGGGCCTGATGGGAGCCAGGCCCTCGGCCGAGTTACACGGCGAAGTCGGTACATCGGTTCTGGAGCGCCACAACCCACGCTCAGCGATAATACGATAAGTGGTCTGTGTGGGGGATACGATTCGCTGCACTGGGCGTGTTCAGGGCTCGGAAACTGGTTCCAGGATGAGCAATGTTCTGGGGACCCTGAAAGTGGGATCGGGACTGGCGTTTGGTACTGGGGATAACCCTGTATCCTATCTCCCCACCCCCAATCGCAGACGATGCTGTTCTTTCAGGCTTGTGCCCTGCCCGGTGGTGGATAGTGGGTGAGGATAGAGGAAAGCCTAGACCGGCGTCTCACTAGGAGTGGAGCATGGTCACTGCTCCCCCGCGATGCGACTGTGCACTCTGCAGAACTTCCCGAAGCGGTTTCTCAAAGCTGTTTGGTCGTTATGCTGCAAATTCCGCAGTCGTAGTTTTTTTTTTCTTTGAGGGAGATTCGGGAACGAGGAAACCATTATCAGTGAGTTGAGGCTTTCAGGGTGGAATCTCTTGTTGGCTGCCACTTTTCTCCTGCGGCGTTATCCCAGCCACGTGACTGCATCCGGACTCGGCTTGTTTCGACGTGCAACTTCATGGAGCACAGATGTGCATCGATGGAGGACAGAAGAGGACAGATGTGTCTCCAAAAACCTCCGACCGGCCTTAAATCTCGAATCAGAGCCTACCGGGCTATCCGGCTCGCCTCCACCCTTCAAGCTGACCACTTGTCCAGCGACCCTAACACGAGGGTTCCTGCAGCCCGATCCGCACGGGCTATTGCTCTTGTCGCAAAGTCCATGTCGATCGGCGGAGCAACTATATGGGATCTATGGGATAAGGGAACACAGAAAAGATATCGGAATTCAACCACAATTGTGATCGGCCATGCTTAGCGCTCCAATCCCCGACCAATTACTTCCTCGATCGCCGAACAAGTACTTTCTGAGCTCACATCCTACTACTTCCCGATCGGCAGAAACGGATCCCACGCATCACTGCTGGACCATAGGACACAGCGTCTATCCCTCTTCTACTCCAGCGGGGAGAAAGTTAATACAACAAGGCGCCCAGCCATTCCAGAAGGAAAACACCGGTCACTTGTAAGGGAACGATTGAACAACTCTCTCGGGTACACACGGCGAAGATAGGCAGGTCGAGTCCGTCCCGCTGCGGGGAACGAAGGGGGATCAGAGCGCCGCGCTGGAGCATGGAGAGAGTATAGCCATTGGGCGTGCTGTTCGAGGACGGCGTTGGCGCGCAGACTTGTCGCTTACCAGACTGCCAGCCCGCAGGTCCGCAGCTGGGTAATGCACCCCATATGGAGTCCCAGATACACAGCCTCTCGCATCGACCATCTAGACGGCGCCATGCAGACCATCGCAGAATATGGCTGCCAAACACACGGTCTTATCGCGACCCCATTCCCGCGCGGTCCCATGGCTATCGTGCGGGATGTGCACCCCCCTCCCTCGCCACCCCCCAACTCCCACAGGCTACCAGTCTAGCCCTGTTCTCGGGCGGCCGAGTCTAAACCCCTTTGAGCAGGTCCCTATACCGAGTCTCGCCACCGCAGGCTGGTCAGTTTGGGCAAGTCGGAGAAGCCCGTGATGGGCCTGAGAGGGCCTGGGATTCTTCACACAGTCTGGTTTTTGCGCCTGCTGACAAGGCAGTTGGCATTGTGGGGCGGAAATGGATTCCCGCTGAAGCAGTCAGCTCAGACCATATCAACGTGTTCGTAGGTATTCTCGCCCATCATAAAAGATACCGGATAACCAGAGAATTTACGGGATTGGAGGAAACTGCTGATCTTGGCGCGAAGTGTGGCCGAGATTATATCTGAATCCAGGACAAAGTACACCGTAGCAAGATCGATCTATGTAGTTGGATTTGTGAGGCGCGGATAGTGGAGAGATCGCGGATCGCCCCCACTGCCGATCGCTTTTTAATCGCATTTGCCTTCATTCAATTCTGTATAGAGGACGGGATCAAAGATCGGATGGTAGCATATACAATACACAGTCGCGGAACAGTAGTTCTTATTCACACTTTCTCCAAAATCATTACCGCAATCCAAACACTCATCCGCTCTCACAAGAAAACCCCCAAAGGGAAGAATCCCTTCCCCCGGTTCGGGTCGTGCTGGTCGGGGAATCATCGGCGGCATGGCAGCTTCGGCAACAAAGTCGGAAGTGAAAGAACGACGGCGTCCACGGGTATGACCGATCGAATTAGGTCTAACAAACAATTGATGACGCCTGGCCGGACCTAAGCGCACTTTGCAATTGCGCGAACTCCGGCGTCCACGCCGGGATATTTTCTTAATTTTGTCCAATTTCCGAGGAGAATTTCCGACAAGTGCCGGATCGGCGGGATCGGCAGCCCGCGCTGCTAGGAACGGCCATTGCCGTGCCTGGGATGGGTGCCACGGTGACGGTGCAGGGTGCATACAAGGACGAATCGGTCCAGGGGCTCGTATCTATGCTGAAATATGGAGATGATTTCCTGTCCGGTCGGGCCAGTCAAGCTGCAGCTCGGGTTTGTTTTTTGAGGCAAGGGGAGAGGGATTTACTCAGGACCTGGGAGGGCGTCTCTGGGATGGAGGGATGCGGATTACGGCAGTTGAATGGGTAACCTAGGTTACACGGGCTTCCGGGATAGGCTAGAAGGATGGGACTAAGCTTTGCGAAGAAGGGTAATGGCATTACAGTTGGACGATAGGCTATCGGGCACGAATAATGGCATTTGTATTGCGTGGAAGCAACAATTCATGGCGTCCACAAGGTGATTCTTTATAAACAGAATGAAGAGCGGACGCTAAAATTTCAATGGGACGAAAGGACCAGAAGGTGGGGAGAAATGAAGAAGACAAAACATGTAGGGGGAACTGGGGATCGAAACAGAGCATGAAGAACGTAGGGAGCTTGAGGAGATCCATGGTGAGACAAGCAGCATCGAACACGACAGACTCGGTCAATCGGAAAAACCCCCCACGCTCGCACTGAATCACTAAAAATTGGTAAGGTTCCGAGTGGCCAAAAGAGTGGGATCTGATCTCCGCAGATGCGCGGCGATGTTCGGGTGCGCGTCGAACCACTCTGACAACGGGGAATCCGAAGCGTCAACCGGGGAGGCGAGGGCAGCAAGCTTCATCCATCACACAATGGTCTCATATGAATGACAAGGATAGCGGTTGGCGATATCAGGAGATTCCCAGTGATGGCACCATACCTTGCTCCTCACGAGCCTCGGCTCCAACCTTATAAGCGACTTTGAACCGAATTTTCACCGAATTGCCCTTCCCACTGTCAATGCCGTCCAGGACCATGTCCTGCTTGACGCCATACTGCTGCTGCGGCGCAATATCTCGGCCTGATTGCGGGCGAAGCTGGAGAGTGTATGACTAGAAGGTGGCATAGGTTAGTGGGACACGGAGCGGAGGTTTGTGATAGAAGAGAAAGACGGGACGAACCTTTTCCACGGCAACTTGGAAATGAAGCTCTCCAATGGGCTGACTGGTGGTGTTCGAAAAAGCAGCCTGGATATAGATTTGGCGGGGCGAGCCTGGTACCCGGCGGGCGACGAAGTCAACGCGGAGCTGCGAGTTCAGCACTTGCACTGTGTTCGTTGTGGGCAGGGCACTGCTTGACGGTAGCGACGACGCAAAGTTCCACTCGTCATCTTCTGCCGCTGCAGGCTGTCCCACGGGCTTCGGAGACGAGGAAGGCTGAAGAGGTGGGCTAGGCCCCCCGCCAAGTCCAGTAAAGAAGAGGAAGAGGCGGGCGTGGCTTGGCCCTGGGCTGCGGGGGGTTGGAAAGCTCCGGACACCGGTCGAGGGCTGGCGGAAACTAGCGATGCAAAGGGATCGGCAGCTTGTGGTGGCGTGGCGGTAGACCGGACGTGAGGGGAAGCAGTCGGGGCTGGGGTCGATGACTGGGATCCTGCTCGAGAGGAGCTCAAGGAGGCAAGAATGTCATAGTTGGGCTTGAATGCCGCCGCCGTTTGTTGCGCAGGCTGCGGTGATGCAGCAGGCGGGGGCGCGCCGGTATGCATGGGAGGGAAGCCCACTGGATCCGGGTTAGCATAAATCCATGATATCTTCTGCGTTGGTTCGAAGGGTACTTACTATTGGAAGCTCCGAGGGAGATTCCACCACCCGGAGCAGGGCTTTCCTCACCAAGTGATAGTCCAAGAAGGTCATTCTCAATGGAACTGCCCGCTTGAGCCGATTCGGGACCATTGCCATTGGAACTTGGGGTAGGTTCGGGATCGAAATCGATTAAGGAAAGCTCATTATTTGAGTTCTTAGAAACTCCAGTTGTGGTGCCCAATGTACCTTTGGGAATCTTCGAGGCCGCGTCCAGATCACCCTTTTTGACAAGCTTATAACGTTCAATGGTGCGGTATATGCTATCATTGATCTCCAGCAACTTGTGAACGGCTTCAGGATCCTCAGACTCTTCCTCGCACATCCTCTGAATCTTGGGGTGTGCACTCTGCAGAGCTGCTGCAAGCTCCTCGAAGACATCGCCTTCTGGTATGCCTTCTCCACTCTGTAACATCTCCTCCAGGATCTTGGCTTTTTGCTGAACCTTAGCCACCTCCTCCGCAGCTTTGGCCCGGTAGTCGGTTTTGTGTCGGTTGTCATATCCAGCCATCACCTTCATAAGCCGGTTCGCTTCCTGCAGGTCGGCAGGCGTGCCTCGCCGAATGAGCTCCTGGAGCTTGGCAGACTGTGCCTCCTTATCCTCTTCCTCCATTTCTTCGGCTGAACGAAGGTTCTACATGAGGTCAGTATAGCTGCCCAAGAACCCTGCCCATGGAATCCATAGTACATACGTCACTTGGGTTCAGGACCGCCGCATCTTCACTGCGAACCTCCGGGAATGCATATCCCTTATAAAGAAGAAGCCGGTGCATATCCCGGATAAACCCCAGATCCTCCTTGTAGCGCGATGTCTGGCAAATGGTCTGCCGCCACTCCTCGATCGATTCTAAGATACGGTGCTGAACCCGCGAGGGGCGCATCGGCGGTCGTTCGGGGAACCTTCGAACCAATTCATTGAGAAATTCCTTGGTGCTAATCTGGAGGTGGAAGGGATATCCGCAGTTCTTCACACAGATGTCGAGAAGCTATTTGGAGGAAGAAGGGTAATGTTAGCCTCACCCCCGCGCCAGCCTGTCATCTCAAGCTCAATTTAGATAAACATACCGCCAACGCCAGTAACGCGACATTTTGGTTCCGGGAATTGATAAGATGGACAATCTCAACCGCCGATTCTCGGGGCCTGCGAGAGAGCAAAAAGAAAATAGACATATCAGCTTTGCGCGATGTGATCAGTGTCTTGGCGGCGGACTCACGCATTGCCTTTCTTGGAGTTGATCAGATCCGCGACTTCGAGGTTCAGGGCTAGGTTCGGCTCGTAGTTTTGCGGGTCGCATGCATTTCCTAAGAAGGACGAGATGTTAGCAAGCTCTCCGCGTATACCCTGAGGATCAATGATGAAAAGGCCAGCTCACGGATTGCCCGCTGCAGCGGAGATAGCCCCGGCTCAGCATAGGCACCAAAGCGGTCCCTAGCCGCCATGCGTGCGGAAGCAGCCTCCAGGGTGACGGTGGGGGAATGAAAAAAGAGGAAATAGAGGATGGTGAGGTAAAAGCAAGTGAGTGGTGGCCGCCGGGCGTTCGTTGTCGGAAGATGCACTGGGCCCCCCCAACCTTGGCAGTTGTGGACGGAGTAGATGGAGACCTGAGGAGGGCGGAAGTGACTTGCACGTGTGGCGCTTGTGCTTCCACTGGAATTTTTTTGTCTCCCACGCGACACGATCGAGAAACATCCACAATCTCAAATTCCTCCAAATCACTGTACAACTATTAACTGATATCATGGTCCGCCACAAAAAAGACAATTTCTCTCGAGGAGGCAAGAAGTTCTCCAACCCCCGCCCCCGACCGGTGCCCCGCGGTGATGAGAACGAGGATAACGCCGCGCCCTCATCGCGGCCTGCTTTTCGCGCGGCCTGCTGGGATATGGGTCACTGTGACCCGAAGCGATGCTCCGGCAAGCGCTTGATGAAGCTGGGCTTGATGCGCGAGCTCCATATCGGCCAACGATTCCCTGGCGTGATAGTTTCGTATGCGCCGACCCCGCCTCCCATCCTCGTTTTGCCATGGTATCTATACTAATCCTCAGATAACTAGACCCAATGCTAAAAAAGTGGTATCTCCGGCTGATCGGGATCTCATGGAACAACATGGTGCTGCTGTGGTGGAGTGCTCCTGGGTACGAGTCAAAGAAGTGCCTTGGTCGCGAATCGGCGGGAAGTGCGAACGACTCTGTATGTGTGCACATCATCAAGATCGGATATTTCTATAGTGATAGCGACTAATTTTCCCGTGGTATCATAGTGCCTTACCTCATTGCCGCCAATACGGTCAACTACGGCAAGCCCTGGCGATTGAACTGCGTCGAAGCGCTTGCGGCTTGCTTCTGCATTTGTGGGCATGAGGATTGGGCGAGGGAAGTCCTCAAGAATTTTAGATATGGCGAAGCATTTTTGGAGATCAACTCTCAACTACTGAAGCTCTACGCTGCATGCAAGACCGAAGAAGACGTCAAGCGGACCGAGGAGGAGTGGCTCGCCAAAATTGAACAAGAATATGAGGACAGCCGTGTTGAGGGGGCAGATGATATCTGGACAATTGGAAATACCAATCGAAAGCCTGTGAACCAAGAATCTGATGAAGAAGATGATGATAACGAAGGCAGTGCAGAGGAAGGAAGCGAGGTCGGAGGCGATCAAGAAGAAATCGACGATGAAGCCGATAAAGACCCATTCGCGATTTCTGATGACTCCGAGGAAGAAGAGCAAATGGCTGAGATTCGACGGAAGATCCTCAGCTCAAAGTCATTCCAAAACCCATCCACATCAGACAAGCAGGAGCCCGAGAGGATTGCACGCCCCGTGCCTGAATATGTGGATTCAGACGCTGAATCCGGTTCAGCCGGAAGCGAGGACGAAGATTTTGATAACATCATTAATGCGACCACGGTAACGGATCGGACTGGTATCAAGGAGATCCAGCGACGAAGGGGCAAGGAAACAGTGAGCGCTTCGTTTTCACGCACTGAGATCTCTGCGCCTAAAAGATGGTGAAAGCCGGAGCTTCAAGCGACATTATATGTTCACACGCTTTTCTACGAACAAATACTCTACGACATGTCCAAATTTTTCGAAAAGTAACTCATTGATGATTTCAATTGCAAAGTTGGGTCGCTCGGGATTGAACTCCAAAGTGGCCGAAACAGACCTAGGTAGCAAGGATATATCTGCACTGACACCCCCAACCCGGGACCTAGGCATCGTCATAGTAGTGCCTTTCTGTTCGAAGCTGATGAAAGTATTCATTCTCCATGATGAATATCTCCGTCAATGTCAAATATGAACAAGCAGACGGCGCCGCCGGCATTGCGTTCCTTAGAACCCGAGTGTTTTCAATGATCTCGGAATTCATGCCCACCTCCCTAGCTTCGTTTCCTGCTCTAGTTCTGCACATCGGGTTGTAGTTTAAAAGCCACGTGCTGCTCGAATCTGATCATTCGTGGTGCATTCGGCTCGATGGCCGATATCTTGGGCCCTCTGGCATCGTGGACAGTTTGATGTTCGATGTCTCGGCCATACATGAGTCAAGGAATGTCCCGCCGAGCGGCAAATGAAAGGATTGACCTCATTATAGCTGGGAAGCACTGAAGCCCGGTGTCGTCGTCGCTTGGTGTTGGATTTCCGCGATGAATAGAGATATGATTGAGTCGATACTGCCGTAAACATAGCAGGCGGCAGAAGTGGCTTTGTTAGATCAAGTCTTGATCTTATGTCGGCAACACTGCGTCGGTTGAAAATTTATTCGCCTCATGAAGATAGTATGGGCTGTTCGTTATCGAAGTCCTTCGGGACTGGGTCTGACTCTTTTATTTCGCAAGAGAGGCCATGTCTCATGCGCTCGCCACTAAGCGTCGTTTAGAGCGGAGGGGTTCATTATCCTTGCAAACCATCCCTGCATGGGTGGGGAACGGATCTCCGATCCGAGGCACCAGTGATGTAAGGAACAAGCCCTCGTGCAAATAATGCATTCCTTGGGATTTAGCCTAATAATTAATCCGAAACAACAGGATCAATCACGACCTCCTTTTCAGAGTTGATCTCGCCCTAGACGACCCTTGTGCCAATCAATATCTACCGACCACTCACAAGGTGAATAAAGCACAGACCGAGAGATTGTGCATTGTTGACTTCCATCATCATTACTCATGGATGAATTGAGCATTGAACCCATAATGGTGGACTGCGATACAATGAATGACACAGCCAACGATGAACTGTTGAGCCAGTCATCTCTTCTACAGGAATAAATCGGCCCCAGGAAAATATTTCCGAAGACTTTGCTTTGGGGTGTAATTTCTATAATGCGCTATCTGTTTTTTCGTGGTGGGTATTCGCGATTATGAATACCAAAAAGTGACCAGGGACTTTGGAGGCTCTGGCAGTCTAGGGTAGGGTTGAGAAAGCCATGCAACAGCATGTAATCCAACTGGTATCTCCGTCTATGGCTTTCAGCTGACACACCTCATGATTATTAATTAGAAAATAGTCTTTCCCTGCTTAGATGGACCTGCTTGTCTTAGGTAAGAATATGTACAAATGGGATAACTAGGTGACTATTCATTTAATCCTACCGAATTAACATCCGCTCACTCGGTCAAACAGAGCAAAATGAATATACATTTACCCCTAAGTATATCGATAGGCAGCCAAATTCCCATGCCGTACTTGTTCTGCAGCGCATTAAGAAGATTAAGAAAGGATACGTAATTGGCGTGAACTTCCCGGACTTGAACTGACTTGAAGAAATACCGATGCCTTGGCAAGTTCACTTCGGCAATACCCCACAGGATAGTTTTACCCACTATGGACAAATCATAGGGATCATGATAGAGGGTAGCAGTGGGTCTACTGCATATATCAAACGGACGAGATCCTCTATCGTATGTAGTCAGCGGAAAATTTCTTGGCAATTGCGCGTCTAATGCTCCAATGACCCATTAGTTTGCAATAAGGGGCGAGCGATAGGTCCCAAAATGGCCACACCTTATCTCCCCGTACTCGTAGAAATCCAGGAAGTGTAGATCATTGTCCCATTAGTTTAGGGCTGTGGCTCGACCTGTGGACATCGATGGCGTCGGCTACGCTGAACGCAATCTTGCAGGTTGGTAACGGCCTTGGCATATCAAGAAGTATAAAGCAGCCTTGAGTGACCATTCTGTTTCCCTCAATCAATTGCAAAAGCACTTGGATAATTGTAACGTCCAGATTTCTCAGTTTGTTCCCAATCGCAAACTATTGGCCATGCATATTCAATTTCTTCTTTTAGCCGGGGCCGCCATCACGGCGGTCGCACACCCCGGTCCGCATGAACCTATCTCAGATTCGGTGACGAAGCGTCAAAACCAGTTGAGCAAGAAATGTGCCGACCATGTGGCGAGCTTCAACCAGCGCCGTATGAATAAGCGGGCAATGGCGAAGCGTTGGGAAGGATCGGGCCGGAATACCACCTTCGAGATCACCACCGAGGCCCCGTACTATGAGACCATACAGAACGAGACTTGTGTTTTGACCCCAGAAGTGACTCGCGGTCCCTATGTCTGGCCGAGATCGCAGACTCTCCGACAGGACATGACTGAGGACCAGGTTGGTGTCCCGTTGTGGCTGGATATCGGAGTTTTGGACATGGCCACTTGCAAGCCACTCCCCAATGCCCTCGTTGATTTCTGGCACTGTAATGCGACCGGTTCTTACTCTTCGTTCACGGAGCTGTCTCCTAACACCCCCTTCGAGGAGCTTCTGACCGACCTCAATATCACGGACTTTGATCTGGGCGTGACGGATCTCCACACGGACGATACAACCTGGTTGCGCGGCATGTGGCCCACTGATGCCAACGGAATGATGGAAATGAAGACTATATTCCCTGGTCAGTATAGGCTCGATGATTGTTTGGGCGTTCATACAAAGGTCTTAGAATTGAACTGACCCATCTGCCAGGATTCTACGTTGACCGCGCAATTCATATCCACGCTCAGGTGCACACCGACTGGACCACCCGAGAGAACGGCACAATAATCGCGAGCAACACTGTCAGCACCGGGCAACTCTACTTTGCGGAGGACCTCGAAGAGGAGATCATGGCAATGGAGCCCTATGTTTCTCACACCCAGATCAACCGAACTACCAACGCGCAGGACTCTGTTTTTTCGCAAGATACTGATGGTGGATATAATCCGGTGATTTCTGTTGTGCCAGCTGATGGCAAGGATGTGAAGAATGGGATGATAGGATACATCACGATTGGAGTTGACACTACTGCTATTGAGACCTGGAGTAAATAAAGGGCGACAAAATGATCAAGGGGAGTCACGACACCAAAGCATGGTGGTCTATCTCGAAGGGAAAACATGGATAGTGCAGTCTGTAATTTTTGTGGACATTCAGATACAAGGTACAATATGATCTATCTTTACTATCAAGGATTCTTGTCTTGGTTTTCAGTATTCGAGGGGTCAAGAACCGCAAAGTCAACTAGTATCGTGGGCCTGATAGGTGGTGTTAAAAGAGCCTTGATTTCGGGAATACGTACAAACGATACATGGATTGCAAACTATAGTCGCAGATGACAGACCAGGCCTATCAGGGCACATGGATATCCTGACAAGAGTGGGCTATCCATAGTATCTCATGGCCTTCTTCTCGACTCTACTTCATCGTGTGCTCGGATCGCGACAAGGATGTTCCCTTTTCTTTTCCCCCTTTTTCTTTTCCCTCGCTGAATCTCTCGTTGTTTTATCATTGATCATGGGTGGGTGTTTTTTTGCCTGCCCATCAGAGTTTGTTGATGACCAGCCGAGTATTCTGAGATCTGTCAGCCATAAGTATGATCCTCCCCTACCGATCATTCGAAGTATAGGAAAGTGTAGGTGGAGTCCATCCCCGACCACTGCGGTTGTGGCAAATCATATGTACCAAAGAGAGGCTGCAGTAGACCCTGAATAAAGGTTCTTCTATTCCCCTGGGGCTACGATCTCTTTCACTCATCGCCTCCGCTCGTGTGGTCGGGCATCTTGTGAGTTCATCACAGCGGGGAAGTAATCGCCAAGCCATGACCACCCGTGATGGAGTCGAATGACAACCGTCACCAGGCTGGCTCCGCCCCGCGCTCACAGCCTCCAAACCTTGCAGGTACGACGGACCAGTTCAGTCATGCCGCGTCCCTGCCGGTCGGGGGAAAGCCTTGGGGCTCTCGGCAACGCTAGAGCAGATCGCCGGCCACTATATGATCAGCTCCGCTTCCCCTGATGAACCGCTAGGAACGTTAACTCCAACATGTGCATTGGGGCTCTCCGCCGATCCTGAATTTCTTCTGGTATTCGTCTGATAGGGTTATCCAATCGCTCAAATCTTCCTCTCGCGAGAATTCCAGATAGCCACCACGCGTCGCTCCTGGAGACGACGAATTCGAGGTTGGAAGCGAAAAATGACACGTGAGACGCCGGCTGGAGATGCTCCGGCCCAGGACTCCAAGCAGAATTCCCAGCACCCAAAGAAGGATCCAATAGATGCCACAAGAAAGCCTGCAGTCCTCGAACGACGGGGCTCTGCGCTCCTGGATTTCTTTTCCTCGTTCCTGGGAACAAAGAATCCGCTGGCTCATCCCGCGAGCCCACAAAAGCACACAGTGTGGTTGCTGGATAACACGGCCTACCAGCCCGTCGACACGTCCGATCAGTCGGTTTCTCAGAGCTGGCAAGCGGAGGTGGTGGCCTGCATCTTCGAAAAAGAGGGCCGCAAGGATGTCGGCAAGCTAGTGGCCGCGATCGCAGACCATATCGGTCTCGACGGGGAACTTGGTGGCGATCAGGAGACCCATGAGCGGATTATGCATCGCGTCCAGCCATTTCTCGACGATGTATCCCCGTCCCGTATGCTCACCTTGAAAGTGCCTGTCGAAAGGACAACCCAGACACATACGATAGGCCCGTCAGACCGAAACGGGATCATTAGCCAAACCGTCGAGTTTGGGAGGTCTAGCGTGCAGAATGGGACCGTGGTCCGCCCGTTTGTACACAGCTTTGTTGAGAAGACTGCGACAATGGAGATGCGGTTCGCGGCACCGGAGGGCTGGCTGATAGTCTCTGACATCGACGATACCATTAAACGCACGATGACGCGGGAGGCTACGGGCATTCTTCGCACCACCTTTGCTGAGGAACCGGTGCCTATCGCCGGCATGCCAGAATTTTATCGGTATGTACAGGGCGAGCTTGATCCGACCTGGTTTTACCTCTCTGCGTCGCCGTACAACTTGTACCCGTTCCTGCATCAGTTCCTGCATGAGCACTACTGCCCCGGCACGCTGATCCTCCGCGATTATTCTTGGATGGATATTAGCGGACTGGTCAAGTCATTCACAGAGAACACGCAAGAGTACAAGGTCGATCGGATGGAGAAGATCCAGCGGTGGTTCCCCAGCCGCCGCGTGCTCTGTATCGGTGATTCAACGCAGAAAGACCCCGAAGCCTATGCGGAGATGTTTACCCGTCACCCGGGGTGGATCCATGCTATTGCCATCCGCAAGGTAACTGATGTGGCTCACATGGAGGAGAAAAACAAGCCGGAGCGGTTTGAGGATGCCTTCAAGGATGTACCTGCACACGCGTGGACCATTTTTGAAGATCCCAAGGAGCTGTATGGGTTTGTTGAGGGATTGGGGATGGAGGACCAGGACTTTTAAATAATTTTAATGCGTTTTTTTTTGGTAAATACGCCCCAACTTGTTCTACGAGTACTACTACACGTGAAGCTTTTCGGCAGTTGTTCTTCCTGGCAGAAATATGAATATTCTTCGGCCCGCCGGAATGGAAAATTAATTCCAAACCAACAAAATTGTTCTCTTGTTAGACTAGAAGATCGATTGAGACATACTGGCTAACCTGAGCAGGTCAATCAATAATGGTGGCGACCCTGGCCACGCCTGTATCACGTCTGGTATACGTCAACATTAGGAAACCACATCCGATCTATATAGTATGATTTCCTGACTGCGCACATTGGCCTAACTCCATTTCTCTCCGCAATCTTGCAGCATTTTCAATCCGAGCTCCCCTAAACATGGAGTTCAAATCCCCACGATTTCCGAATGGGAAATATCACTTCCCAGATAATGATTCCAGAGGAACAGGAATCAACGAGGTCTACACCCCGTCCAACTATGACAGTCCATCTCCCGGCACTACAACTGATAGCAGAAGCCTTGGAGCCACCGGCAGTGCCTCAGCCAACAGAAGCCCTACATCAATCAGAAGTCCTGCAGCGACCAGAAGTCCAACATCTACCAAGAGTCCTGGAGCAGCCAGAAGCCCCGGATACGCCCAAAGCCCTGGAACCCAGAATGTCAACGGGATCATGAACGGCAGCGGTAGCGGCCGTAGTATGCCGCGCAAATCATCCATCAAGCCCGGCAAGCGCCGCTCAACCACGATGAACGAGCAAACCTTCGTCCCGCTGTCCATGCGAGCCCTCTACTACTGTCTTTCCCCATCCCCAGACACAGAGATGGTCGAACCCATCCCCGACGGCCCGGCCAGCCCCAAGCCGCGCCGCTTCTCCAACCCGGGCAACGAACTCGTCCTGGACCCGGAGTTCCCAACCCCGCAGCCCTCATCACACCAGTACCTGCTGAAGGTGCAGACAGCGGCGTTCTGTCAAGACGAAATGCGCCTTGCAGAAGTGCTGAACCCACAGAAGACCACGCCGCAGATCCCGCTGCACAGCGTCTGCGGCACCGTCATCAGCACGCCGACGGAGGACCACATGGTGCCCGGCGGACCGAAGTTCAAGATCGGCGATACGGTGTTCGGCGTAATGAGCTATACGCGTGACGGGGGTGCGGCGGACTATGCGCTCGCAACAGAGGAAGAGTTGGCACTGAAGCCGTCAAATATCGGGGCTCAGGAGGCGGCGGCGTTGGCGTTGCCCGGGTTAACAGCTTGGCAGGCGTTGTTCCGATATGCGGAGATTGATCCCGATGCACCGAGTGACAAGGCCAGTGGGGAGGGGATGGAAAACGGACATCGGGATAGAAGGAGTGGGTATGGTAGTGGGAGTGGCAGCGGAAAGAGTCCAACCTGGCGAAGTGGAAACGGGAGTGGTACTGATCAGCAATATGGCAATGGTAGTGGCAACGGGGATGGTCGTCAACGAAGTTGGATCAGAAAGAGCATGGATGGACTCAACAACCGGTTTGAAAGTGGCCAAGAGTGGCTTAAGAAGAACGGTATCGGTCCAGGGAACGGCAATGGCAATGAAAATGGCAACGGCAATAAAAACGGCTCTACTAATGGAAACGGAGCGAACTGGATCAAAAGGCTGAGCACTGCGAGTGGACTTTATGGATACGGCGGCAATGGCAACGGCCATCGCCCTAGTCTCGCCTTTCGCAACGGCAATGGGATGAGGAAAAAGCGGTCACCGTTGCAGCTGCGCGTGCTCATAACCAACGCCCGAGATAGCGAGGTAGGACGCCTGGCAGTCCAGCTTCTCCGCGCAGAAATGCTCTTCCCGCATCATGTCCGGCCCTGGATCTGCGTCACCTGCAGCCCGGTGGAAGAGCATATCGTGCGCCAGGAGTGGGACGTCGACCAAGTCATCGTGCTGCCACATATGCCCGCAGCTAGCGAGTTCGACTTTGGGAAGATATTCCGGGCTCGGCGCTTAGATCCGGTCGACGTGGTACTGGATTGTACCGGCGGCGTGGTCTTTCGACAGGCGCATTCACCGGCGGTGGTGAAGGAGTTCGGAGCTGTTTTAACGGCTGTGGACCCATATCCCGCTCAGGAGCCTGCCAATGCTGATCCGTATGACGTCCTAGGAAGAAGAAAGCGCGGGCTACGAAGCCGATTTGTGCCTGTCAACCCTGACAGCAAGGCGTTGGCACGGATTGTCGAGCTGGTTGAGAGTAACATGCTTCGAGGTCGGCCGGAGACAGTCGTTGATCTGATTCACGCGGACAGGCTACTTAAAGACCATGGCGTTGGTGCAGGTGCAGCACGACAAGGAGAGATGATGGTCATTCGAGTCAATTAAAATAGGAGGCGAGGTGAAATCCGAATCGATAGTTTTTATATAGAAAAGGCGCCTGCGCGAACATCAAATTGCACCATACAAAACCTTTGACCTTCGATCAGCCTCGCTGTTCAATGGAGCTTGAGACCATACGCAACCTAAGCTTATTATGTGTGCTTCATCAGTGATAGATAGACCAATTGAAGACAGCCCTACAGAGCATTTAGGATCAAAATGCAGAGAGCGTTAGCTTTGCTGTAAAATCATATTAAAATGCCACCACAAAGAACACGATGAGAAAATAAAATAAGAATTTTCAAGAAGCAAAAAGAAAGCTCGGGCAAAAATGGTGATTTAGTTTGTATGCAACGTAAAAAGCCCAACTTGTTCATACTCGCGAAAGCAAAAATGTCAGGGTCAACTCGAGTGTGGGCAGAATAGATATAACGGTAACACAATTGGATTAAAAAGACCAGTCAATACGCCCTGCAGCTATCCGGAAATGATCATCTTGAGAACGTATTGTCGACTTTGCCCATAAGGACGCAGGATGACTCGCAGTCACCTATTGGCAAAGGGGTCCTTTGAATCCATGAAGGTCAAGCAAAGAAGGCTCAGCAAAAGCAAAAAGACAGGAAGTGGAGAGAAAAGAAAGGGAGCAGCCGGTATGGAGAAAATGATCAAAAGCCCAGAAGATATCCCATACAAGAATGAATTTTGACCCGACAATTCAATATCGCAAAGACGCTCTGCCCAATTTCCAACCCACATGATGACAAACTACATGAGTGAACAGAAAATGAAACCCCGTCGTGTCGGGAAGCCAGGGTACAAGGGTACGAAACCACACAGTGGGGGAGTGGGAAAGTGGTGGGGAGAGTGATGAAGAAGAGAAAAGAAATGAAAATACTGTATTAGATTCGACAAGCTTCCACCGCTTAGAGGAGGGAATCAAGCCGAGTGAATACACTCAGGCAAGCCGCGACAATCTGTCTTCAAGTTAGTCGCCGTCTGGATGGATTGGGGGAAATGAGCGATGCAATCATACCTCTAGCTGAAGTTCCCGGTCCTTGCCACGGTTGACCTCATCGTTTATAACCTGAGCCAGGTTGGCTCCGATCGCCTGTGAGCCGCCTGCCCGGCGACCAAATGGCCATTGCGAGTATTCAGCTAAGAGTTCGTCCACCTGTGCAAAGGCTCTCTCACGAGCCTCGTGGCTCATCGTGACTAGGGCGTTTTCCAGAACGTTGGCCGCGTAAGCAGCACACACCATTGTCACCGTACGAAGATAGCGGAATTCTGCGTCCTCGGGAAGCCACGGGCTTGGGGGAATAATAACGGTGCGGTTACTGCAAATGTTGCGCACCCGTCGGTGGAGATCGTCTTTGGCGCCACCGTCGGCCACGGGGTGCGTGGCCATATCGAAGAGTAGGAAGTTCCGTTTCTCAGTGCGGAGAATACCCTTATCCACAAGGCCCTTAGCCAGTCGCTCGCGCACTTGTTTCAATTGATACCCGATCTTCATCAGATTCCAGGTCTCGCCTGTGAGAAAGCAAAGCGGTGTCAGCCTGTGATCCTTATGTCGCAGATACCCATCCGATGTCGCCCAGGGCCATCCATACCGCTCATCAAGTCAATCCATGAGTTGACACTCATCTTCTCGCTCGTTTTCATCATCTTCAACGCCTCGTCCAGCAAGACTTCCCCAGTCAATGTGTCGTCGATAACCTCGATCACGCGGTCGGCCAGGGGAAAGCGTCGCCGTGACGAATCCTTCTGCATGCTTATCCGGCCTCGGAGCGCGAGTTCAATGACGATGCACCCTCGCAAGGCATATGATATGTTCTCGTTCCAGAAGGAGAGGTAACCCTATCGCGGTCAGTCTGCCATCAACCTTTCGAGTCCTTGGATCGGGCTGCCCAGAGATCGCCAAGATCTAGGATGTCTCTCTCATCATCCTGCAAGACTCACCTGCTTATCTTTCAGACCTAGCAATAGCACCTCCTCCATCAGGGTGAGCTTCGGTTGCTTGCTCCGCTCCTCGGTTTCGCTGAGGTCGCGGGGATCGAATGCGATCTTATGGCCATTCTCGGCACTGGTGAATGAGGTCTCCGGAACACGGTTGTCCATCGCAGAGCCGTTCCTCGAGACAGGCGACGAAACTCGGCTGTCATCTTGTTCGTCTGGACCAGCGGCTCGACCGCCGCCACGTCGGCGAGTCAAGCCCCCGGCTGAGGCCATCAGGATACCGTTTGGGGGCGGTGGGGGGGGGGAGGGAGAAAGGAGGAAGGAGGATCGGATCGGACAGGCGAGGCCGACGGTGCGATTTTGCGTTCACTAGAAGCCGATCTGCGTGCCGGTCGCAGGGGGCATTAATTGTCCGTGTTGAAGAGAGATGTCAGAGGTGACCGCGTAGACCGAAAGTCTGCCGCTACCGCTGCCGCTTTCTGAAGTGGGACCGTCCGGCGTCAGGGGAAACCAGGGACCGACTGGGGCGACGGCCGTTCGGAAGGATCAATGAGAGATTGAAATTGCCTAATGCCCTGAAAAGTCTTTGTCTCTCTGCTGGTCAAATGGGCGAGAAAAAAGATGGTGGATGTGTCTCAGGAAGGTTGGTTGGGGTTGAAGTTAGTTTGGCCAGGCGAGGTGGCTCTTCACCGTCGCGAGCAGCGCCCGATGAGCAACAAAGTACATCGGATGGATCTATCTATACTTCCCATTCTTCCACTCGGCCACAATCCTGATGCCCGGACATTCTCGAGGGCTAATATTATAAGGTCAAAAGTGTCTCAAGCTGCGTTCGGCTGCATTGGCCCGCCTGTACCTTATTAAAGTTTTCCTCTCATCCCCCGCCGACTGGACATGGCGAATGGAGGTCCTTTTTGAGCCATCATCCTCGCATCAGGTCGGGATTTTCTCCAAAGTGAAGGATATATACGAGAAGACGCAGTAGACGCCAATAATGGTCGTCGGAGCAGCGTTTAAGACCAACTAGAGGCAATTCTAAGAGAGGAGAAAGGGCGTGGTAGCCCGTGATCCGATACTGCTCAAAACTGCATTCAAGATGATATACACGATATGAAAGGATGAGAGAAAAAAAAACCAATGGCATCTGTTCAGCATACAGAGCGGCGCCTAAAGCCTTGAAGCAACGCCTCCTCGAGCGAACTTCTAGACCGACACCACCATCCCGATTCTTTTTCTATCCGACCTCCCAAACAACCGGTCCCCGGGATTTTCGATTAATAATTTAGTGAGCTGGACAATCGAATCAGTAAATTGTCAAAGAGAGTAGAAAGCACGAGAAATAGATCGCATACCATCGGGCTGAGCCAGGATGTACTCAACAGCCTTCTCAACTGTTCACACAAATTGTATGTCAGCCTTTGTCGGTCAAAAATTTTTTGCGCGCTCGACGTCGTATTCCAACTTACCACTGTGGATCTGGTCGGCCTCCTTGTCAGGGATCTCAATGCTGAATTCCTGTTGACGAGATAGTCAGTCATCTTGCACATGTCAACGTTTTCCGAGGGGAATAAGCTGGTCACGTACCTCCTCAATGGCCATCACGACCTCGACGGTATCCAAGCTGTCGAGACCAAGGTCGTTCGAGAAGTGAGAGACACCGTTGATCTAGAGAATCGGTTTGTGTCAATAGCGAATATCTTTGCCAATACCCTCGGGTCCAGCTTGAAGCCCTCCCGAGGGCAGCCGCAAGGGCATTTCGCGTCATCAAAAACTGACCTTGCTGGCGTCGGAAACCTGCGTGTGAAAAAAAGGAAAAGTTAATATCTATGATTACACGGAACGGATGGCCTCGCGACGAGCATCCACACAAAATAACAATGCTGACGTACCTTGTCGAAGTTCTTGAGCAGGTTGACTATCCGGCCCTCAACCTCGTTCTTTGACAGACCGGCGGGAGCGGAGTAAAGACGGACGGTCTGAGAGACGAAGCAGGGAGTGAATTGAGGAGCACGAGCAGCGATGGGAGAGCTGCGAATCTGGAAGGGAGCCGGGGTCTTGACAGCGACACGGGGGGCGGAGGCCCGGAGGGAGCGGACAATGGCGGAGCGGAACATTGTGAATCGAAAGATCAAGGAAGCGCGAAGGCCACAGATCAAAAGCACAGAGATAGGAAGTAGGAGGGGAGGAAAGCGAGGGGTGGATGAGGGTGGGTGGATGAGGTTGACGGGAAGAGAAGATGGTCGGAAGTGATGCTCCTACGCAAAATCCTGCCGCCCGCCAATCAGCGCCCGGCAGATGGGAATGACCTAAGCCCGAAACCTGCAAACACCACTCAACCTCACCAGCACGACCTTCTTCCCCTACCTCAGCTATCTGGTCCGCCTCTCAACCCCCTCCCCACTCTCCTTCACCTCAATTCTCCCCCTCCTCCGTCATGGCTACCTCTCGCTCGGTTGCCAGGCTGGTCGCCTACCGCCGCTCTCCCTTCATGCCGCTGGGATCGACCGCAAACTTCTCTTCCTCTGTGTCCCGCGCAGCAACCCCAGCGGGACCCCCTCAGCCCGGTTTCCGCCTTCCCCCTCCTCAGCGTTGGGATCAGGGTGCCGAGTCGTCCTTGGATAAGGCTAGCAAGTACTTCCTCATGGCCGAGATCTTCCGCGGCATGTACGTGGTCCTGGAGCAGTTTTTCCGTCCACCGTAAGTCTCTCCAAGTGGTTGCATTGGAACCCCCCAATGCTTGCCGAGGCCAATTGACCGCAGATGGGACCTAGTTGAGCTAAATGGATTTCTTTTTTTAATATAGCTACACTATCTTCTATCCTTTCGAGAAAGGTCCCATCTCCCCCGTTTCCGCGGTGAGCACGCTCTGCGTCGCTACCCCACCGGTGAGGAGCGCTGCATTGCCTGCAAGCTCTGCGAGGCCATCTGCCCGGCCCAAGCCATTACCATTGAGGCGGAAGAGCGTGAAGATGGAAGCCGCCGAACGACCCGTTACGATATCGATATGACCAAGTGCATCTACTGCGGTTACTGCCAGGAGAGCTGCCCCGTCGATGCCATTGTCGAGAGTAAGTTCTATGCCACAATCGCGTAGCTACAGAGCCGTGTCTAATCATTGCGTGTGATGCAGCTTCCAATGCCGAGTATGCCACCGAGACCCGCGAGGAACTCTTGTACAACAAGGAGAAGCTCCTCGCCAATGGCGATAAGTGGGAGCCTGAAATTGCGGCTGCGGCTCGCGCTGATGCCCCCTACCGATAAGCGATTCCTGTTCCTCAGTACCCTTGAATGGCACTCAAATGTCCCAAAGGTGGGATTGATATATTGGACTCGTGAAGATACGAGACGAGCCGTTTCTCAAAATGCGTCCATAGGCGTTCACCAAAAGCCTGAAAAAAGGTTGACCTGAGCTTTTCACCCCCATATAACCCCTGTACATAACTCGCCCTCGACCCTGTGTTATCATTTTGTTGTACTAGTCGACCCCCAAAGGAAGTTTTCGTTTCATTTGGAAATCGGGCTCCTTTTGTCTTTTTTTTTCTTTTGTTCCGGAATAGCAGGTTTCTTTACTTCTTTTTTTTACCCAACCTCAAAATTGGATAAATTAGAATCTCCACTTTCATGGCTAGAAGTATTGCCTATTTCTTGATTTGAATTGGTACATATATTTGCATTCTTCAAGTCATGTCTCGGTTATTTCAGTATCTCCACAATATATATCCCGCTCTCCGGGTGTGGTGTCTAATCTCACTCTGAAAACTAAGCCTATTTTGGGGAGCAGGTTTGTGCAAGAGCAGATCGAAGAGAATACGAAAGATTTAAAGATTTTGAAGCACTATAATATTTGTATTCACAAATAAAAAATGGATCGCTACCCATGCTGACGTACATACAAGACATAACAAGACGACTTATGCCGCTGAAACACGCGAACACCAAACACCGTAATCCCCGGATGGATATTTCCCTGTTCGATGTCTTTGAAAACACTTTTCCTTTTTTTTTATTCGGTTGGTTGGTGTTGTCCAGCTCCGCAAACTCAAAGAACTCTTGGAAAAACTCGGACAAGGATAAAGGACTCATGAGCCTTGGTGATGAGATAAAAGAGATCATTTCTTCTTGCCACCAACCTTGGCCTTGAAGCTGCCCTCAAAGCCAGGACGGGCCTTCTTCTTGTTGCCACCCGTAGGCTTCTTACCCTTGCTACCCTTGCTGCCCTTGTTGCCCTTCTCTTCGCGGCGCTTGCGGAGGTTCTCCTCACGCTTAGTTTGGCGCTGGTCCTTCATGCGAGTGACGGTGTCAAGACGATCTTTCCACTCACGCTCAGACTTCTTCTTCGCAGTTTCCTTGCGCTTGAGGGCCTTCTTGAGCAGAGAGGTATCGTCACGAACTCTTTCGCCATGGGCACGCTTCTTGGCGTTCAGCCAGCGGTCTTTTTCTTCAACATCAGCACGTTGCTCAGAGCTCATCTCAGCGAGACGAGCCTTTTGGCTTCCACAGCCTTGAGCTGGGCGGCAGCATCGGTGGGGCCATGCGACTTGTGTTGATCGCGGATGTTGGAAAGGGAGGCATCTGTGTGCTGGCCGTCGGCGAAGACGACACGGCCAAAGGAGAAATTGTTACCGGAAGAGCCGACTGATTCGGCTGGAGAGCGAGGAGAGGCGAGGAGAGACCCGGAACCTCCGGGAGAGAAGCGGCGGGCCATAGCCTCATCTTTCTTCAGTTGCTCTTCTTCCTTCGCCTTTTGCCTCAGCTCCTTCTTGTGTGCCTTTCGCTGTTCGGCCTTTTGCCGCCGGGCCTCGATCAACTCTTGACGATTGCGGGCAGGCTTTCCGTCAAAGCCATCAGCATGTCTCTTGGCACGAAGCTCATCCAGTCGCTTTTGTAAGCGTTGCTTCAGATCTTCTGGTGTAGGCTTAAGGGCCTTGGGCTCGGAGGATTTGGCATCGGCGGAGGTGGAGGGAGGAATGATAGAGGAAATAGAAGAGCTGCCGGACTGGGGATTTGATGCGTCATAGCTAGGTGAGTTGCGTGTAGAGGAGGCAGAGGAGGGGTCCTCGTCCACGTTGAACTCGATGGAAAATCCTTCCTCAGCAGCCTCGCCAAGGTCGTCGCCATCCTCTTCATCCGAATTTTCCGGTTGATCAGCAGCCCCGTTGGCAATCTGGGATGGGGGTTCAGAGGTCTCGGCGATTGAGCTGGATGGTTGCTCCGATTCCTTCACTTTTTCCCTTTTGGCAGTCTCTTTCGCCTTCTTCTTCTCTTTTTGAGCAGCCTTTTTCTGTGCCTTTTTCTCCTCTTTCTGCTTCTTCCGAGCCTCAGCTTCCTCTGACTTTGCTTTAGTGGTGGCATCGGACTTTTCAGCCTGCTTCTGCTTCTTGACCTTGTCGCCACGGTTTAGTCCCTCTCTGGGATTTTCGGAGCCCAGTTCCTCATCCTCCGATGAATCGGTCTCCAGAGTGCCATCCTCTCGTTTGCGCTTGCGGGCATTCTCGTCCATCACGTCTTTGGCAGTCTTCCCAGACTCAGGATCCAGCTTTGCACGTTTGGCCTCGCGGGCTTGCTCTTTAGTCTGTTTTTTCCGTTGCCATTGATCCTGCAGATGCAGATAGTAATTAGAGACAGGAGTTCCAGGATAGAAAAAAGATATAACGAGAAGAACAGAGGCAGTCGGTTCAAGCAACAAAGTCGACCGAAGGACAGAGGAGCGCACGTACAGTATTGTCGTCGCCGTAGTAGTATTTGGCGGGGATCAAGGACAGAAGACCGTCGAATGCCTGCGCATGGCTGCGCAGCCGTTCCTGAATAATGTTAACTTTGGTCCAGGAGAGTGCGCAGCCTCACATACCTCGATGTCATCCATGCTCCAGTTGTGAAGTTCAAACTGCAGACAAGAAGGCGAGTGAAGTATTCGGTACGAAAAATTTGGGGGTGAGGAAATCTTGGCGTTTCTCCGCTTGGCTGCTTCACCGCCTGCGCACAACAATTTTCCAGGCTTCTGTAGTCGGTGCGGTGGCCCGTGCTCAACGGTATACGGAGCTTGAGTACAGACCAGTGAGATAGAGTACTCATTCGATTACATTCCTGAGGACAGTATCCAATGCTTTAATGAATATATGTTTGCTAGTATTTGCAAAATTGAAAAGAAAAAATAATATAACAGTGACAGAATAGCATTAATATCATATAGACTCTGGAAATTTAATCCAGACTAGGCCGATCTGCTTGATATATTCTTAAGATAATTACAGTTTCTCGAATGGGGAGTTGTAGAAAAATAATTAAGAATCTCTGGGGACACTTTTTCTGGTGGAATGGTAGTCTGAGAAAATGAGATCTCAAATAAAGCGATAGATAATGAATGAAAGGTAGAAATGGTCCCATTTTTCGACTGAAGCCGAGGAACTTGTGCCGCAGACATGCCGATATTTGAAAATCATGAACGATTGCTACAAGAGAACCAAACTGACATTTTAAACCGACTTCTAGTCTTCCGATTTCTATGAGAAAATCTTATGGTTAAAATAATCTGCTTCCATGTGGAGGATTTATTATGTACAAAATCATTAGAAACCACGGCAGTTGATCTTGGGGATAATTTACGGGCTCGAGATATTTCATCTAGACATTAGCTTCGCGGCATAATGAATGATTCATGGTTATTAGCTACCAGTCTATCTGTACCATTCCTGATCTTTATAGTGCGTTCCTTGGGTAGAGAATGTAGCACTAATCTTGCCTACTTAAACGCCATGAGCACCTCTTGGCGTTGGATCTTGATATTGGTTCATCAAAATTTCAGAATGCTCTTACTTAAAATCACACCAGTAGACTTAATGTACCATTAATGACAGGATCTCGTTAATCTTTGATGGAACATTCCATCGCATCCCAAGTGGGAGGATTGAATTTCGAATCATCGTTGTTTTCGCAGCCTTTTTGATCCCAAGAGGTATAAGCTTGGCCATAACCATCAGAAGCACATAGTGGGTTATCCGAAACTGAACATATACCATTGTGCATATACCATGACTGAGGCTTTTTAATGGGCTTGAATCACAGCTAGCCCACGAGGAGCCGCCGTTTGTCCACCATCGGCAAGATGTGTCTATGTCTGTGATAGTGGTGTTAAGACCATTTCGAAGGGTTAGGCATGCTTTGGTATCCGTGTGTTCATTGTATCCTTGTACCAGATAGTAATCACCTGCGCAGCCCTTTTCACTATAAATGCTGATCATCCAAGGTTTTACAGCAGCAGTAGAGACGGAGCTACTAGTCTGAGACGACTGGGCACTCGTAGTTGAATGTGCAGCGGTAGTTGAACAGGAATTAGTAGTAGTAGCATGCGCAGTGGTAGTAGCATGTGTTGAAATAGTTGAATGGGTGGATGATTGATGTTCTGTTGGAAGCAATTCAGTCGTACTGCTCGGAAAAGTGGAAAAGGCCATATGGGTGGGGCTGTTTGTAGCAGCTTTGGAAGTAGTTGTGTCAGATGGAGCAGAGGAGGAATGCGAGTGAAGACTCAAAAAGGAGCTCGACGCTTTACTACCCTCTGTTAAGCAATTTGAGGACGAGAAGAGCCTTGTGATATCACCACATTCCCCGATCTTGGAACTGCGGTATTTGGGTTAGAATCTTTTGATAGATATGGGATGCATAGTCTAGACCATACAAGCTCGTTGGATGGGCATGGGTTGAGAGTGCCAATACTGTCCCAGTTGCTTGGACGCATCGTCCCAGGAACCTGAGGGCCACAGACAGCATTTGGAAGAGCCACAGGCATTGGAGGCTCACCAGAGCTAAGACAAATGAAGTTGCCTTGTTTCAGCTCATTGCATCCGGTCCAAGCCCATGTTCGACTATTGAGTTCTTCTATCTGATCCACCGTGATTTCATATCCTTGAGCTATGTGTTCACAAGAATCGCCGTACTGAACAGTATAGTTGTAGCAAAGACCCTCTATGCTCGCCTGAGGTGGCAAGACTATGCTTCCTGATGAGCAGCATACGGGCTTTCCTGAACCAAAAGATGAGCAAGAACTGGATCTTGGGTTAAAAGAGGAAAATTCAGCCGTTGTTATGCCACAAGTTGCGGCAAGCATCGCACAAGTGTGAGTAGATGTGGCTAGGATAGAAGCGCAGCTGTTGGTACGTTTTTGTATGAAGTGATACTGCTATTTATTCCAGTTAAAATCTGTAAACCCTTCAATAAAGCCGCGAGTACTCACATAAGCCCACCAAGATGGTGATGCAACAGCAAAACTCATTAGCTGCGCACATAGGGCGAAAAATATCATTGGTCGAAGATACTCCATATTTCCGGATCCAATCTAATCACTGCAGCAATTTGATGATTTTGAGCAATCTTATATGTATGTTCCTTAGTGCAAAGCGCTTCCATGGCACGTAAATTTGAATGGCCAGGATTCATTTATCCTGACAGAGTAGATGATGGCACTAAACAAAGAAAAGGTTGTTTCCATACTTGCTCCTTCTCATGACTCGGACGCTATATAGGTCGGGAGAGATGATCATTGATTGAGCGCTAATCGATCTTACTTCTAGGAGCCCTGTCAACAAAGGATCACGTTGCGCTCTGCTGAGCGCAGTCGAAGTCAGCTTTGTTACAACCTTGCAGGCCAAACTGAATTTTGAAAGTTATTAAAATAGCAGCGAACGGGATTCGATCTCGACAAGGATTATCTTCTTACCAGAAGTAAAATGACTCGGATTCGACTATCGGTGTCAGTCATGTTATCAGTGATGTCTCTCGCCCTGCACTTTCAACCGCATACCCACCTATGTTCTCTATAGTGGTCCGCATCCAAGAGGAAGCTGTGTTTTAAGTATAGAGAATATATGTTGAATAATGCTTTTATCAAATCAAAACAAGTCCGATCGGTGAAGAAATAGCGCCTGATGTTGAGGATGGCATGGAAAACGTTGCAAAGGGAATCTTCGAAGACTTGCAGCCTTTCTCCATATATGCTGGGTAATGTAGCATGCGTATGTAGGGTATATTATTGTTCCCACTATTATTGTTTCTTTTCGCTTCCATAATCTCATAGACATTCCATTTATTCTACCCATTTTCATTATTTTGCAGGAATTGACTCTTACCGCGTGGGGGGACGTGCTCCACCTCGTTCGTTTTGGCAAGTGCGGCGAAATACCGTCCGAAGAAGGTAGTAATTCCCGCGTCGATCGAATCGCGAATGCGGGGAACTCAACACTCCCCCTCATACGATTAAGCATCTTTTAGTCGAAACACTGCGGGGCAGGGCCAAAAAAAGCTCTCAGCCACTATTCGGACCATTTGTGGTCTGGTGTTGAGGCAACTCTAGGAGAAATTTCGCCAATTTGGGGAGTGTAGCCCGTGTCATCGGCTGAGATCCTGCATGCCAGCGAAGGTCGCAAATCGTGTACAAATTAACCCACACGCTCCACTAATTGCTGTTGCAACTTCTCCTGAGAATTTTCCTAGCACTTTGGACGGCAGCATGGCTACAACTACTATGAAGGCACTCAACTACCTCGGACCATACAAGGTCCGGGTCGAAGATGTCGAAATGCCCAAGATTGAACACCCGGATGATATAATTGTGAAAGTCACCACAGTGAGATACTTGATATTTCTAATTTCCTGGTGATATGAGCTGACTCAATCTTGAGGCTGCAATCTGCGGGTCAGATCTACAGTGAGTCCTTCGGATGTTGAACAAGTATGAACGATTATAGTCTTGAGTAGGAGACTGATGTGGTCACAGTATGTATGAAGGACGAACTGCTGCAGAGCCTGGAATCACATTTGGTAAGATAAGAAAATCACTATGAACCGGTATAGAGCTGATACAAAAAAAGGTCACGAGAACATGGGAATTGTAGAGGAACTTGGAGAGGGAGTGACACTGCTAAAGAAAGGAGACCGTGTAGTTATGCCATTCAATGTTGCCGATGGCCGTTGCCGTAACTGTGAAGAGGGGAAGACAGCATTCTGTACCGGAGTGAACCCGGGATTTGCAGGTGGCGCTTACGGTATGACGTGAGATCTCTCAATTTCGTGGCTATGGATTTATATTCTCTGCAGGCTACGTTGCCATGGGTCCCTATCGTGGAGGTATGTCCGTTCGGATTCTGCTCAGATCGCCCTCGTATTGATTCAAAAAACATTTAAGGCCAGGCACAATATATTCGCATTCCATATGCCGACTTCAATGCTTTAAAGCTACCGCCAGGCAAAGAGCATGAATCCGACTTTATCCTTCTCGCTGGTAAGGGGATTGCCCTTTTCTCAAGAAAGGAAAGAAACAAATTTGACCAAGTTTGATCCAGATATCTTCCCCACCGGTGCGTTCCTTGAGTCGCTCTTGATTTTCCAACAATTACGTATCTGATACTCGCTCGATAGGCTGGCACGGGGTTGAGATATCCGGGTTCCAGTCAGGAGAAAGCATTGCTGTCTTCGGAGCTGGCCCTGTTGGCCTCATGGCAGCATATTCGGCCAGTTTGCGAGGCGGGTCTAACATTTATGTTGTGGATCGTGTTCCGGAGAGATTACAGGCTGCAGCAAAAATTGGTTGCATACCGATTGATTTTACCAAGGGCGATGCTGTTGACCAGATCATTAATCACAACGGAGGGATGGTCGACCGTTCGGTGGATGCTGTTGGTTACCAGGCAGTCGATCCTAACGGATCTTCTGAGAAACCAAACATCGTCCTTGAGAACATGATTCGCGTCACCCGTGCATGCGGTGGAATGGGAATTCCTGGACTCTATGTCCCTAGGTATGTTATCTGATCGTTCACCTTGTCAAATCTGACGAGATTTCATCTTAGTGATCCTGGTGCGTCTGATGCTGCATCGGCAAATGGCATGATAAGCCTTAGCTTCGGAAAGCTCTTTGAGAAGGTAAGCTGGCTGATCCGCACCAAATTAACGATTTTCTAACCTCGCATAGGGTCTTTCTCTTGGAACTGGCCAGTGCAACGTGAAGGCTTACAACCGATACCTGCGAGATATGATCATCGCCGGCAAGGCAAGGCCTAGTTTTGTCATTTCCCATGAGATTGGTCTTGCTGATGCAGAGACGGCATATGACAAATTTGATAAAAGGGAGGACGGATACACGAAAGTAATCATTCATCCTAATGGGGGCTTTTGATAAATTTGAATGGATCCAATCAATTTCTGCCTTTGTATAGCCATTATTGAATAAATATACGCATTACCCCAGATAAAATAAATTCTCCTCGAAGTTGTACAGACTAGAGCCGGCCAAATGTTACGTAGTTATCGATACCACTGCCAATAATAAAGGAAATTGCCAATTAAATACCTTGCTCATGGAAATCACTAATGCTGAAGATAGATTGAAGCCCCCCCTCCCAAAATGAAATAATCTTAAGAGGGATGTTGGAGAATGCTTCCCCGCATCTATTGACATCAACTTGCACTTTTTGGCGAGGGAGTTTGAATCTGAGATGGTAGTGTTCGCCGATTGTGGAACTTATTATGCAAAGAGTAGCGATGGAGCCTTTGGAACATGTTCCACATTAGAGGAGGAATCTCCTCACTACATCAGGGCCAATTAAGTGTCAAACGAGGCCGCCATGATGACCCACTCTCGCGGGGAAAATTGCCGTTTTTCGTATGGAGGACAATCCTTGCTGTGTCAGGAGCAAAGAGCTGTTGATGGTACAGGGCATAAATAAATTGATGATTGCTGTCTGATGATGGCTTAAGATCAAATATCATACCCAGGACATAATTGTACTTGAAAATATGAAAATTACTCGTCTCCGTTCTGCCTGGGGCGTTTCGCCCGGCGATAACTTGGACAATTGGGCGAAGTGGTTTCCCCAGCTCAAAAGCCAAGGTTACAGTGTGTACAAGGAGCCATTGTGAATTCAATTCGATGTTGCTAATACTATGCCCCTCAAAGTTGGAGTTGAGGTCGATATCCATGGAATTGTACCAGAACGTGATTTTGGCCGTCTTAGGCAAATATGCGACCAATCGGGCCTTGAAATTGGAGCGATGTAAGAAATCATAGCTGGGGATTGGCCGGCTATCGAGATGACATTTTAAATTGAAGAAATAGACTTATGCTAAATTAGGTTGCACTCGTCCTGGTTTCAGTATGTTGGACCTCGTCCAAACGGGTTGAAAGCGGAGGACCATCTGCAAACTTATCGCGAGTTGCTATATCTTATCCGCCCCCTCAGGCCGGTGACGATCAATTTCCAGTCTGGAGAGTGAGTATTTTCTGAATTTCTGGGCTGGCACATCGCCAATAGTCGCTTATTTCTCAAGCAATTAGGGACGCCTGGGACTTGGAAGAATCCATCAAATTTTACAAGGGCACCATTGAGGTGGATAAGGAGCTAGGCGTCTCAGGTCGCATTTACCATGAGACCCATCGCAACCGCTCCCTTTTCACGCCTTACACCACCCAATGTATTTTGGAAGCTGTGCCTCAGTATGTGGACTATATACTCTCAACTGATTGCCATCTGGGGGTGAATGAAGAACTCTTCCGACTGATGTGTATATAGGCTACGAATAACTGCCGACTTCTCGCACTGGATGGTTGGATTGGAGAGATTGCTCGATATTGGCGAGGGCGACCGCGCTATGATTGACGCCATCATTCCGCATGTCAGAACCAAGACCTCTTTACATTTCATGATCAGAAAAGACTTACGGATCTTTAGGTTTCTCACATCCATGCCAGAATTGGCACAACACAGGCATCGCAATGCCCGGAGCCTCTTAACCCAGTTTTTGAGCAAGAAAGGGAATGTTTCGAAAGAATCTGGACCAAGATTATCCACAGCCAATTTCAACAAAATGGCCCGAATGCAAACATTACTTTTGTACCGGAATATGGGTAGGTGATCTTTTCTCGCGGAAATTGTCTCCAAGACATAGATGCTAAGAAATCCCATTCTAGTCCATTCCCATACCACCCCATCGGATCTGCGCAGCATCATGGAGAATTGGCGGACGACGAGGGCAAGCGCTTACAAGCATTGTTCGAAACCGTTGCGTCCGGATTGACCACAGCGCGAGACGGTGACAAGAGCCTGATGGGAAATTTGATTTGCCCTTCGCCCACATGAGACATCCATGAGAATGAATTATATCAGTTCCTGCCTCTTATCATCTGAAAGGATGAGTATCCTATGTTCGTTATTGATACTTATCCACGTCAATTGATACTTGAATAAAAAGAATAAAAAATCTTGTTCGAATACTTATGCCCAATTGTTGAGCCTTCATTGGATAGCTTCCAGAGCATAAATGGTGCTGATCACAGTAGATCGCCAACTATAACCAGGATATGACGTCACAAACCAGCAGTGGATATCCCCGAACATAGTTCCCGCAACGAGGGAGAAAGACAGAAACGCGAAATATTTTAGAGATGATCGCTCTTGATATATTTTAGAAAGCATGGTATATGATCAATATAACGTGACCTCAGAGGGGGGTGAAAGTGTTTCGGGTTCGCATTGCATTTATTATGTCGAGCCTTTGCCCTGAACGGCTCGGCAAAATATTTCTGGAACCAAAATTGGAATGTTCCCCTGAAACCCCCCCACCCTATGTATGTTCCAGCCATGAGAAACAAAAATGGCAACTTGGAAGATCGAATCTCAAGGCTTAATGTCCATTTATGGCTTTGCCCCGCTGGCCATAAATTTTTCAATCTAATTGCTGAAGGATTTGACACCCACCGGCTCGGCCAGCCCCTGTGAACCCTCATCCTCGGCCCAAACAGGCAAATCCAGCTGCACATCGGCAACCGGCTATTGGCCCACGGGCGAATCCCGGGGAAAGCGGGGGAAACGCGGTGGGCGATGGGGAATTCCCTCCCGATCCCGCGTCTCCTAACTCACGTCTTGTCCTACTACCTCTCCCCGATCTGCTAGCCCAGTCCCTCAAAGTGATTTGACCTACAACTCGGCCCCGATCGGCTTGCCGCTGCCTCTGGCTGGCCTCGATTGTCGAGAGACCATGGTTCTGAAGGCATGCGACCGGTGCTACGCGAGTAAAGAAAAATGCACCTTTGCAGGCAATGATCAGCAGTGCACGAGATGTCGTCGCCTCAAGATCGCTTGTTCTACATCCCGCCGTAACAGGCGCATCGGCCGCCGGCCAGCCGCAAAGGCTTTCCCGCATGGGGAGATGCAGGTCTGGAGCGTGGACTCGCAGCAGCAGATCCAGACGCAGCAACCACTGCCCCAGCCGCCACCACGACGCAGCCAGTCCGTGTCAAGCAGTAGTACTTCGATTCACAGACCCCTCAGTGAACGCTCGAAGTCAAGATCACCTTCGAGCAGTGATTCATTGGAAGAGCTGCCCTCCCCAGATAGTAACGATATGGTGATTATGGCGCCAGAGAGACTGCTGGCCTCACCCACCACGTTAAAAACAGCTTCAGATGCCTTGCGCACCGTTATGGATCCAGAAAAATTTGCTGTCATACATATGCCATTTATGCTGGGATCCAGCTTCATTCCCGAGTCCCAAAAAACTGTCTTTACCATTTTACGTCTATCGGCACCAACTCTCACTGAAGGATACTTAGCTTTTTTGGGGTTGATGACGCGCTATCAGAGATCGCTCGTCATGCGTCAAGATGAACCAGATATGTGCAAGGCTGCAAAAGGTCTGCAAAAGTTACGAAGTGTGAAAATATCGCAAGATTATGATGCCGCTTGTACGCTCTTCCTGGGCCAAACAATGTACGTCTTTAATGTACTTACTGCGCCTGATTCGTCCACCGCCCATTCCATTGTGCGCAGTGCGCTCATGTCCACGAAACAATGGCTCCCGAGGTTGATCCATTTCCCGATCATGGACACAATAATCATGACTCCAATGCTCATAGATACGGTGGAATGCTTGGTGCGCCGGGAGGTACCCATCATACGACTCCCACACACTGATCGCATGATTGTCGATCGCTATGCGGGTATCTGTGCGTCTCTTCTCCCTCTACTGTATGATCTTTGTGAGTGCAGCCATACTATGAAACGGGGCGTCCTCGATGTGGGAGTCGAGTCGCCATCTGGGATCTATGATCGACTTGCAGATATAGAACAAACTATCATCGACTGGAAGCCTCCAGATAACCCGCAGTTGATTCTGAAGCATGGACAGTATGAACTCTTAGCCATGACAACGCAAGCGAGCGTGTATAGGTTAGCAGGCTTATTAATTATTCATCGCCTTCGATACCCTCTTGGAGTTGAAGATGATGCCGCACGGGAATTAGCGAACGCTATCTTTTCACATATGTCCTTCTTTGAGAAGTCTGCCGCGAAAGAAACCAGCGCCTTGCCCGTGGTATTTCCTCTGACCTTGGCGATGATTGAGATCGAAGGTCCGGGTGAGGAATTATGGGAAAAGCTATCCCTGTTTGCAGTGCAAAGCATGAGTGCCACCAGGCTCCAAGGATTCATCAAGCAGATTCGGGCATCAAGAGACTCCGGATATGAGGGCGTTTGGTTTGATTTAGTTGAAACACAACTCCATGTCGCAGTGCCACCATAAATGCCATTATTTGTATGTTAGCCGAGAGTGCGCTTCATGAGAATACCATCACTTGATTCACGACCTGGTGTCGCCAGAGGATGAGCCCCTAGCTGGCGTGATCATGCGATTAATACTTCACAAACGTAGGTAGAAGAGAAGATAGACCACAATGCTGGGCCAGGATGAAAGGCAGCCCAGACTGGGACTGGGGGCTGGGGGCGGAGCATTTATAAAAGGAAAAGACGAGGGATAAAGAATGTCCCTGGGTCCCTGGGTCCCTGGTCCACTGGTCCACCGAGGATACATAGTATGCCCGGGCTGACGGGATGGAATGAGACCACAAATATATAGAGTTTTAACGGCAGCCACCCACTCCTGTGGTCGGTGTCTTTTTAAAATCAAAGTACACACACCCGTAGACTTCCTGACATCACGGATGCGGGACTATTTCCAGACCCACTCGGACAACAAAGCCGTGGACGGTTAAGCTAACCATCCCAAGCCTGTCAAATTGCATTGACTGGGGCCCAAGTTGCCAGGCTGCGTCAGGAGACTCGAGGGGCACGATCTGGATCTCCGTGCTGGGGAGTGTTGGGGGGACGCCACGGACCCGGGGATGGCCGAATCGGGCAAAAACTGGCCGGGTCCTCCACTAACGCGATGCCCCGGAGTCTGCGAGTCGGGCCCTCTGGCATCTTCCGAAGGCTCCCAAGCCCTCAACGCCGCGCTTAACCCGATCGAGCAGAAACTGTCCGGATTACGTCTTGGACGTTAACCATGTCTTTCAGGGTTGATGATGCATATTGCCCCTCTATTTAATCTCCCTTCTGATTGAAAATGTACGATTTCCCACCCCCCATGGCTGATCCTTTCTCGTACTAGCAATTCCCCATGACGAACAAGAAACCTTGATTCAAGGGGATGCGGGAGCCCCAGATTCTATCAAACTCGAACATCACGACTTTTTCTAACTTGACTTTCGCCTCTTCTTTCAACTGTTTTATTTATCAATTCTATAATATATCACCGTCGTGATATCTGTGGCCCTGCCACTTTGGACCTGATTGCGGCCGTTTCTTATCAAGAGATATATTTTTCTTTTGTTAAAAAAAAGAGAAAGCCCACAAGGCACCACAACGATGTCAACATCCAGACAGCCGTCCATGTTCCTCTCAGGACGAGCGCAAAAGGCCTGCCAACAATGTCAGGTTGCTAAGATTCGCTGCAATGCAGCAATCACGGGCTCGCCATGTCAAAATTGTAATCGAAAAGGCCTCAAGTGCGTAGTCAATAGAAGAAATCGTCAAAGGTAAGTTCCCTTGGGTTGAATATGCAAAATCCAAAACTTACCATGAGTTAAGGCGGCAAACGTATGACCCGGCTTCAAAATCATCTCCCATGATGACAGCTAAAATCTGGTCCTCTCAATGCACGGCTGGTAATCTGCATCCACAAGCCACTTCCTCACCCTCTATTCGAATCGATGAAGATGAATTTTGGAATGCTTTCACAAATATCGGTCCTATGGACCTATTTTCACCCGAGGCTTTCACCGCAGGAGTCTACTTGCCAGGCTTTATTCAGCCATTGCCAGTTGCGATGAATATTGAGACCATTGAACGTCTCCGGGTGAACGGAGCGTTGTCCCTCCCCAGTATTCGCCTTCAAAGTGTGCTTTTACAGACCTTTGTTGAATCTGTACTTCCATCAATGCCGATCCTGGAGTGGCAAACGTTTCTCAATGCCATTCATGATGGATGTGGCGACCAAGGGTCCATCAGTTTGTTGTTGTTCCATGCTGTTATGTTCTCGGCCACGGCGTTCGTGGATATGGAGCATCTGCTTGAAGCAGGATTTTCAAGCAGGCAAGAAGCTCATGAAGCCTTCTTCCAGCGAACTAAAGTAAGCCACGTTGTCTTCGAAATATCATTACACTCTCTAACAGCCATTCAGCTTCTTTATCAAGCAAATTATGAGGCAGATCCCCTTGTTATGGTCCAGGCACTGCTGCTGATGACTTATCGACTTGACACAACAGACGGACATGACAGCCACCATTGGATACGGGCTGCGATTACCATGGCACGGTCAATTGGTCTTTTTCAAGATCTCTCGGTAACCATAAACTTTCAACACAGTCCAAGGCTGTGGAAACGAATCGCCTGGTCATGTTACATGACAGACTCCCTGGTTGCATTAAGACTCAGATGCCGCCCTTCTATTGAGAAAGGGGAATTTATGCATTCCATCCTTGAAGAGAGCGATTTTGAAATCAATTGCCTGGCACCGGAAAACCAAATACTATCTCCAGAGTGTTCGCTGGTTCGAAATCTGAAAGCTCAAAGAGACCTAGCTCTCGTTTGTATCTCAAATGCTCGATTGTGCACATGCATCAGTGAGGTTCTGCATCTCCAAGGCAAAAATAGTCGCATTGGAGCCTCTGTCTCGCCTACATCTCCAGGCATGAGTCCCAAGGACGATTGTACTGTTCGAACCTATGCATCAGAAATGGAACTTGCCGATTGGGCCAATTCTTTACCACCTCCTTGTCAAGCTTGTCCTGCGGAACCACATAGCATCAACGAAGAGCCAGCCGTCATCCTTCACCGCAACATCCTTCATATGGTATTCTATACCACAATTGCCGTCTTCCATCAATCAAAGCCATTTTCATCCTCGAGATCTTGCGTAAGGCTTGCTGCCAACCAAATCTCTCGAATTACTTCTGAGCTTTATCAAAGAGATTTGCACCATAGGATACCCGTCATTGGCGTCACTGGAATTCTCGTCGCATTGATTATCCAAATTTCCGAGATGAAGGCACCACCCTCATTGGAGCGTGAGGAAGCAATACAGAACTTCCAATTATGTCTCCAGGTCATGACAGGGCTGAGAGAATTGTATTGGGAAGCGAGCAGAGCTACATCATGGGCATTAAAGGTTTTTCAAAATGTAACCTTTGATAGCCAACCTGATCACAGTAATAGGTTTCGCGAAAGGTCATCTTCCAGTGATATCAGCTTGACGGATTCTTTGATTCCAGAGGTGCCGCTCACACAGGTCCCATCAATGAACTGATGCTATTGCCCATCACTCATCAATGAAGGAATTGGAGGGCTGCTTTCATATTCTCAGTACAAAACTTAAAGAATAACATGTGAAATATTTAATGCCACGCAGAGCACCTCTTTTTGGAGGCTTTTCCAGATTCTAGCCGTGCAGAAAAATGCAATACTAAGTGGATCAGCTGTTGTGTCACGCCCGGCTAATAGAATACTCAAAAGCTGATCCGTGAGCCCCGTCTTGCTTTGTGTTCTACTTGGTAGCTCATATGTACACGTATTGTTGATCGGCTTTCTCGTGGTCTTGGAAGGTGGCCTCCCCGCTCTCTAGAGAGTGCTGTTTTTGAATCGCTTGAACAGTCACTATACCTAAACCGTAAAGTCGTGAGATACAGAGTGCAACAATGACCGACAGCCATTTCCCTGAGCATACATACAATCTGGTCTTTGCTCATAGCACATAAGAAACGCACATCTTCCACCCACTCCCGTGTCCTGGCTCCAAATTTTATTTCATACCTTAAAAAACATCACAGTTTCAATAGGAAGTCCTGATTTGAAAGAAGTCGCGTTTACGCAAAAACGTTTTTTTGAAGTATTAATCCGTACCCAGCCAGTTGTCACTTGAGGTTGTCTGGGCCTTTGGATACATATGAAAGCAGTGCAGTGAGTGCGTAATAAGGTAATTGATTGGTATGCAAAGTTAGTGAGGCCGGAAGCATAAGTCGTCATTGTGAAAGCAAGCCAACTTGAAAAAAAGATTTGCTATATTATTTAAGACTCTTTCGCAGGAAAAATCCAATTCTGCTTGTGCACGTATACAAAACAGCCCTAATAATAAGCGATAAGAAACAAGAACCGGAAAATATTCAGACAAAGTGATCGGTTTGAGAATCAAGCAACAATTGTCGGCACTTGAGCATCATCCACAGCTTTCTCCGCAATTTCCGGCTTCTCGTTGACTTGAGTTGGAGCTCTCGCGGGGTAGAAGTCAATCGTCCCCCCCCTCTTTAATCACCCCGGTCCGATCTAGAAGGCTGCGCGCACGAACATACGGATCGAGCACCCAGTAATTTTCGCTAAGCTTGCGGATCACTTCAGCTCGACGGCTTTGCACAGAGTCGGCAGAGTCGGGAGATTGAGTGTCTGATTTTGATATCAACTCACTCGTCACATTGAAGAGTTCGTCTCCAAGAAGCTTTCGCTTTGCGAGGATGTCATCTCTCGTAGCAGTATCTTTCAACCTGTCATTCTCGCCTGGAGTAGGTTCAATATATTCATACTCCCATTCTTCTTCTCCGCCAAGCTCTTTCAAGATCTGGGACTTGGGAACAAGTTCCTCTAGTTCCTTGGCACCGCTGATAAAATGGACCTTGGAGGCGACCACTGGGTCGAGAATGCCATGTATAATTTTCCAGAATCCTGGATCATCGTTACTCAAGAGGTCACAAGATATTGCTTGGTTATATTAAATCGAGGTAGAACGAACCGGAAAAAATCCACGGGGCATTATAGAAGATCATAGCTCCCAGGGACTCGGGGTAGTTTTCTTGGAAGCTATCGATGATGAACTTGACGGGAGGAAAGTCCTAAGTATCACGAGTAAGAGATAGTAGAGGAGGAACGTAGTGAAACCTTTTCCTTACCCAGTTCGAGAGACTGAAGGAAGTCAGATCGAAAACGATTGCCTAATGTATTTCAGCATCTAAAAGGCCGCCCAGTGATGCTGGGCCCTTGGAATCCGAAGACACGGAGCCAATCGGGGACTTCGACTTACCATTGATTCCACTGGAGGAACTTGGAGGAAGCGAACTGATTCAATGCAGTGGATGATATAGTCAAACAGCCCTTTTTGTGTTTGTTCGCTTGGATTGTGGATTCGCACTCTGACAACACAAATGGGACGTCCGAATTTATCGGCTCCATGGAAGTAACCCTTGCCTGTGTTCAACTGGAGCACGTAGCCTTCGCCGTCCTTTTTATCTGTGGAATCAGTCTCCCGTCGAGATTTCTCTAAGTTATGCTCCTCTCCTTTTAGCATAACTTCTTCGTCAACCATGTACTCGTTGACCCGCCAGTTCAAAGACGAAACAAACTTGATCCACGCCTTCGGGACGTTCCATTTCTCGGCACGGAGGAAACGTAGGAGAAGTGCATCAGGATGGTCTTGTTTGAGGATTACCAAGAAAGCGGACCTGACCTGATCGCCAGGTAATTTGATGAGAAGCGAGCCGATCGATTTCAGGTCAGCTGCACCTGCGTCGAGACTCTTGAGCGTGTCGTGCAGATTGGCTGGAATTGCAGAGATCTCTTCCTCCGTAGGCTGGGCCTGTGATCGACCAAACGAGAAGAAGCGACGGTGAGACTTGTCGGGCACATTAGACGATATAGAAGACTTGCGGGCCGGATCGGGACTGGGAATGCTTGCATCCCATGACTGTATCAAGATTCGCCAAAACTGATGCAATTTTTGTTCCTGAGAGGAATCAAGGTTTCCAACATATCCTGGCTCGAGCTCGATAGTGGCTGTCATGGTGTCTAAAGCTGAACAGTACTGAAACGATCGAGAAAAGAGAGAGGTGGAGCAACAGATATTTCCCTACCGCGAACTATCGGGATCTTATAGTTGGGACTACCGTACATCTGTCGGAAAAATGGAAATGGGGACGTGACCATAAAATCATCCTAGTTCCAGCGCCCGCCAAACCATAGTTTGCATCTTTCCCCAGCCACGCCATGTGACGGCTACTGCTATTTAAATTAGCTTACCTCGGTGAAATCGCGATGATGCCGCCACCATATGCGGGGCTACTGTAGGAAGAGGGGTAACTTGCAGGCGTTCGATGCAGTGGTTGGGACTAGTTCGAAAGGTAGAGCCAGAAACCGAAGAACATCTAACCCTAAAGCCGCCCCTTAGCCTGGCTTGGTTCAAATCGAGCAACGATCATTGCCCGTTGGGTCCCTCTCGCCCATTCCAGGGTCGCCACCAAAAAAGGGGCATGGCATTGAAGTCAAAGTGCACGAACCTGGGTGGCTGACAACAATCAAAGAAGAGCGCCCCTCCCACATCATTGGTTGGGGGCCATGTGGATATCCTGGGATTCCCCGTCATGCTTTGGGGTCACACTAGGTCCACCGTAGGTGCGAACAGGTTCTGGAAATGCTTCATGAAGAGAATGAAGAAGGAGATGACTGATATGAATGGCCCGATCCCTTCCAATATATTCAACACTTGGTATGGGAACGCAAATTGTCAAACCCATTCATATCAACGGAGCTCTAAAAGAGGAGTCGCACAAAGAGAATGAGAAATGCCAGGCCCGAGCTTTCTCTCCGGTCACCGATCAGCTGCAGCACTCCAAGCTGCAATTGTGATCACACTGCATGGATCTGGGAGCTTGGGTTCAAGGGGCGCTCAGCCGTTCAATTTAATTCATTACTAGTCCGATAGGGTAGCTGAAAATTAGGAGTGTCTCTCCCAGCCACACTGCTAAAAGACATAGAGTGATCAATATCTCAGTTGCACAAGATCAATTGTCGAAGAAAAAGAATGTTTGATCAATAATAATCTATCCCAGTATTCTATAATGGGAATTCGACATCCGTGGTTTAAAGCTTTACATACTCCAAGGTAAAGTTTTGGAGCGAAAGCATGCATGCAGAATTTGCGGTAGGGCATTTAGTACTTACATTTTTGCGAACTGAATATACATCAAATATATCTTGATGTATTAATCTATGCTGATTACTGTATACTTTGCCTTTCGGACTATTTAGACTGCAGGTCCTGCGGTTTGTGAAGGAAAAGCGGGAACCGCCGCTTGAAGTCCAACTTTCTCACGTGCCCGCGGACTTTTTTCTCTTCGTGCCCTCTCACCACCACCTCTCACACTGTCGCCAGATCGGGCCCAGGGGCGATGGATGATCGGACTCGGTTCAAGGAGCTACCAATCGTGCCCAGGGGAATTTTCTGGCAGGATGATTTCATTGACTCCGAGCACGAACAGCGCCTGATCTCGATCTTTCTCAATGAACTCAAATGGCCCGACCGCCCTGGCCGCACATCTCTTCATTTCGGTTACACGTTCGACTACAAAACATTCGGCATCGACCCGGAAATCCCCTATAAGGAATTCCCAGACTGGCTCAAGCCACTTATTCCGACTACCGAGAACCGGCCGCCAGATCAAGTCTGCTTGCAGTATTACCCTCCGGGAGCTGGTATCCCGCCGCACGTGGATGCCCACGAGCCGTATGACCAACTGTACGCATTGTCGCTAGGCGCACCGGCGATCATGCAATTCCGCCGAGGAGAAGAGCGAGTGGACGTTGACTTGGCTCCTCGAAGCATGATGCAAATGGCTGGTGACTCGAGGCTACACTGGACACATGGAATCAAGAAGCGCAAGAACGACACTCTTACTGATGGAACGCAAAGACCGCGCGCTAATCGGTGGAGCATTACATACCGTTGGCTTAGAAATGGGGAATGTAATTGTGGAAACCTTCAACATTGCGATACGGCACAGCGACGGAATGGCATCGAAAAGGAGAAGAGGTCCTTGAAAGAGCTAGCTGCAAAGGCAGATGCTAATGTCAACCTCTTATCAACTTGATCAGACGAGTTCTCCAGTTGCTTGATAGGCTTGCCGACCCTGCTGGGAATTATGGAACGGCTCCTATGAGGACCGAAGACCCCGACAGAAACTAGTTTATCAGTACCGAATGATGTTCATAATCATTCGCGATCTGTCTTTGACAGAATGTTCTCTCATTCGTCACAGATCTTCAGTCTCTGCCCAAGATCCTCGCGCATGATACCAAAGGTGTCCGAGCTAACCGGCAGCTGAAGTGGAAGCTATCTGCCAGCATAATTTCCTTCTCCTTGGACCGCATCCACGACCGATTCGGAACTCTTTTTCGTGTCACCTGCCCAAGTTCCATTCTCGGCATCAATATATGTCTGGATCGTCTGGGTGATCTCGTTGTAAGCGGGCACTGAGCTTGGCGGGCGACTGCAGGTTTCGCGAATGTAGGATGTAGGTGTGGAAGTGACCAAAAGCGAGGATAGGAGCGCGCAGTCCGAATTTGGCAACCTTTGATACTAGTTTGGGGCACTATTCCCTCAATCAGGCCTTTGGATCCTATATGGCACGATTATTCTGGTGCCGAAAAGTACATACTGACCGACCTGACAAACAGTTGGGTTATAGATCGGCGAGTTCGCCTCAGCGGACAGAAAAATCTTTTCATATTGAGACTTCCAAGATTCGACTCTGACGACATGTGGCAGGGGAACTTTGCTGCTTGATACGTTGATCTGGTGGCCCTCATAATCAGGATGCAACGGGTACCATCGCATATCACATGTACTTGAGCTCTTTCACAATGCCGATCTCCACAGGAGCTAAATTGTTTACCATAGCATCAACATGACCATAAATTGCCCAGGCAGTCTGTGTGTTCTCATTTTAATTAGTCTTTGGGGACTGTGAACATCTAAATCAAGCAGTGAAGGCTGCTCCAGCGTCTTGAAGGCAGAGAGGCACTCGGAACCGTTTATCTCTTTGGCTGAACGCTCAGTGACAGTGAAATTATTTCCCTATAAAGAAAGTCAGCTTAGTATTAAGTCAGAAAACATAACTAATTGCTAAAATGGTATACTACCTCCGAATCTTACCTTTGCCAAGATGGCTCGCACAGAAGCTTACCCAAAACATGAGGAACCTCCAGTGAGAAGGCAAGTCAATTCCCCAGTCCTTTTGGGTCCTTTTGGATGAGTGTGCGCGCTTCTCTTAGAATAAGAAATAATCGGGGAAAAGCGATCCTCAGATAAGCTTTGAAGTGAAAGAAGCCTGTATTTCGGTATTTATACGAAGCATATCTTGTATGGGTTCAGAGCAACATTGATGGAAGGACTTCATGTATTGACTGAAGCTGGCCGACTATCTCCTACCAAACGCTTTCTTATTCTCCAATCAGGGAGCCCTGTTGTAATGCGAGCCAATGTTTTCCAGGGGGCTTATTGCCAGACCTCCCTGATCGGGCTTTAGGTCTGGGTTGCAGATTCCATGTGTAGCTGATGGAGGAAATAAATCAGGCAAAGCTCGGCGCTCAGCCCTTCTTACCCAGAAAGACTGACGCTTTCGGCCCTATCTCGTTTCATACTGGGGCTAGACCAGTTAGTTCAATCAGGCTCCGCGCCCCGAACGTAGCGCCCGCAGTGGAGGGTCCCGAGACCCATGCGAAACCGGGGGGCTAAGCATAAGAAACAGATTCAATTTAAACCGATTCCGCACTAAATACAGAATACAGGCTTGCTTATAGAAGTTCTATTGAGACTAGACTTATATATATACACTTGGGCTTTCCATACGTTGTGGGTGGATGATTTCCTGTGCATAAATTGCCGCCGGGCGGCACGGCTGGGGTTTCAGGCTCGTTTCGTCTATCCAGCAGACGAGTGGGGGCACTTCAGTCACACCAACAACATAACGACGTTAAACGCCCTTGGGTTTCTCAATAGTCTCCTTTTTCGCGAAGATTTTCAGAACTGACGAGCTTGCATATTTCGGCTCGACCGAGTGGCGGTGATGCTCAAGTTCTCGGAAATTCCAGCCTTGCACTCAGTTCCCTGGGCCAGATTCTGAGATTCTGACCATACATTATTGACGCAACGCTGGTAGGATGTGCCTCCATTGCAGTACCAATAGAAGTTCTGGCTGCAAGCACCACTCATGACCCCGGCAGTGGAAGTTGAAGCAGGGGCAGTAGTAGTGGAGGTTCCATCAGACGAGCCCGAGACAACATCGTCGGTCTGAGATGTGACCATGGTAGTCGTACTCGTGGCTGTGGTTGTGGTGGTGCTTGTGGTTGTACTTTCCGAATTGCTGTTGCTCTCATCTGAGCTGTCTCCGCCTGTATACAAAGCTGGACCAGGGATGTCATAGGAGGTGGCTTCGTGCCAGATATCGATGGTTAGACCGGGATCGCTGGCCTTGTACAGGCTCTCACCCGCAGTTCCGCTCGGGCTTGCAGATCCGCCACCAGTGACTTTCAAATTGATGCACTGAGGGTAATTTTGCGGGTTGCCGGCGCTGTGTAGAGCGATGATTTCTTGACGAAGCACATAATTACCAGGTTCAATGCTAGATGGTATAGTGACGGTGCGACTAGAGCCCGCCGCGATGAGCTGGTCGGTCGCCCACGTTCCAGTCGCTGTATTTCCACTGATCAGGCCGCCTTGATCAAATTTGAAAAACTTCAAACTTGTTTTGTCAAGGCTTGACCAGTCATCCGTATCGGATTTGGCCAAATAAGTAATGACAGGGCCATGATGGTCCGAGGGCCAAGAAGTCCATTGTAACTTGACTGTGCCACCCGCCTTTACTGGTGCTGCACTTGCTGCCGGTTTACCATCCATATGACAGATGATATCTGGACTACTGTAGCCGGTGGTAACATAGCCATCGTTGGTGGCAGACGTGGACCAGCCAATCTTCGAGCCGCCTCCATTATCGTTCACAAGGTAACCCGTATAAGATTGGCCATCAATATCGATTTCCTTAATGTATCCATGACCAGCCACGAGTGAGATCAAGGTCGTAAAGAGGCTGGCGACCCTCAAAATCGACATATTGTCAGATCTAATCAAATTGGGAGGACAGGAGCGTAGAATGAACTAAAAGAGTGAAAAGAAGGGAAGGGAATCCCGTTCAATTTTTGAACAAGGAAGCCTGCTATGACAGAAGAGAAAAATGAATGGAAGTGAGAGGGAGGCACAGAAGAAAGAACGCCTCTTCACTGCGCTTATCAGAGGTCTGGGCATCTTTTAAAGGATCACGATTTTCCCCCTGTTTCCGATCACTCGATGACGAAACCCTAAAATAAATGGACCGGGCCACATCTTCAGGTCGAGACCCATCCAGGGACAGCCTGGTGGAATTTTAATGCATGGCGAGCTTCATGTTAGAGGGATCATTCTGGCCCCGCTTGCTAGCTGTTAGGTTTCCGACGAATAACATGAGTTCCAAAAATACTCGTGACTTCAAGACCCAGAAAAGTCCCAGACCCTGGACCCTTGAAGTTGGAGGCAATAAGTTTCTCCACAAGATGCGAACTTTCTGATCGGGGCGAAATGTAAACGCTCAAATCCTGTGGAGCAGCTTCCGTCGTGTGGACCCTCACCTCTCATATTTGCGTTTCAATATGTCCAAGGGTTTTGTAGCAGGATTCATCCATCAAAGCATTATTTTTAGCGCCGAGATATAGTGTATCGATTGAATTGCAACCGATGCGACGCTAGTGGGATGAGTGGCGTCTCAAATGCAGGGAGAGATTTGTGAAACGATCCAACAAGCAAGTCAATTTTCAAGTGGGTCAGCGACAGAACTATTCAACCAGCTCTTGAATATTAGCGCCGGATTATATTTTTGGTTGAAGTTGATTCCAAGACGTGCATGGCACTTTAAGTCAGTCCCACGAACATTGATGCTGCAAACCCCGCTGGCTCGACCATCGAGCGAGTGGTTGACATTTGTACCCAAGTTTGACTTTGATCTATAAACCTCCGCGACTTCGCTTTCTACGCTCACTGTTCACAACTTGGACGAAAGCATGCAGGCCAATCAGAGATCGTCACGAGAAGAATCAATAATCACATGAAATTTTCTGGATTGATTAAATTTATTTTGTATTTGGAAAGTTGAAGATTTTGTCTTATGAACCCTTTTCCTCCAGTTATGTGATGTTTCTCGGAAAATAGCAATTCCATATCCTGCATCATTTCCCATACAATCCATTATTGGAGAGTCAAACTGATACGTGCCAGGTAAAGTCTTCAATCGGTAGCTATTTTACGACAGCCATTAAGAAGCCATCATAGCTTTTGGCTCCGACGGTTTGCATGACGACAGCCTCAACACGGCTATCATTTCCAACTTTAGCCACTAGATCAGTGCTTTCTACCTCTTGTGACTTTCCAACAATGCCGGTCTCGATCATATTTCTCACAGCATTATCAACATATATCACACTTCCCTTGCCTTTCGATAGCTTAACAGCATAATCGAAGTAATTCCACTGATTTTCCCAATCAGCATCAATGAAGATGAAGTCAAAAGGTGACCTCTTTCCATCCCGGATTTCCATTTCCAGAACTGGTAAGACATCGAGACCCTTTCCAAGAATGATATCAACCTCGTCAGGGCAGTTGATTCCTGCAAACTTGAGATTTTGTATGGCAACCTCCCGGTGGTGACTATCGACCTCAATACTTGTAACTTTGCCTTTGCCTTTGATGGATTCGGCAAACCAGAGGCTAGAATAGCCTCCCAAAGTGCCTATCTCCAGTATATTGCTCGCACCGCTCATAGACGCAAGCAAAGACGTGAATTTGCCTTGAACTGGTGAAACCGCGATCATGGGCAGTCCGTTCTTCATACTATTATCGTATGTATTCGTATGGGCGGGAGTCGGACGAATCAGGTGGGACTCCACATGGCTTTCGACTTCCGCTCTAAAATTGATATTTCCCAGAGACATCGTTGCAGAGTAATAGATTTATTTGAGGTTTGACTATCGCGTTGACTGCGGAGTAGATCTAATGATGAAGATGCAAGGTGGAAACACTTGAATTTATAGCCTAGATTTCTCAAGCAACGATCTTACTGAAAGTTCCATTGGGCTCGGACTTGGCGCTTCAGCTATGTTTGCCGGGCATCAGATAACCTAGGTGCTACGCAACTGAAAGTATCGTCGACAAGTCACAGGGCAAAAAACATTATCAGATGCGAAGGAATCTCGGCCGAACGGGCTCGGCTTTGTCGGAATTGTTGTCGGAGATACTCGATCACCGAGCGCGACCTCCAACATTCACGACATTCGCACCCCATTCCTTCAGAATTCGGCATCAACCTGAGCGGAGCTTTCATACAGTTATCGGCAAAATATGTTATCGCCGAATACACGAGTATCGACATCCGCTTCCCCCTCAGGTCCTTCGGCCAATGGCGGAAAGCGCAAGAGGAAGGCGTTCTCCTGCTATGAATGCAGGCGGCGTAAGTTGAAATGCGACCGTGGCTATCCGTCATGCAGCAGATGTCGAAAGGCCAAACAAGCAGAAATCTGCATTTATGACACACCTCCATCTTTGTCTAACCAGTCCGAGCAGCTGATCTCGTTGGTCAAGACGGCAAATGCGCCTACTCAAGAGGACTCCCCTAGACGGACTGACACGGTCGGAAACATAGCCTCAAACTTGGAAGTTGATCAAAATAAAGGCACATGGCAACTACTTGGTCAAGAATCTTCGGTTACCGTATTTGATGCAGAGCGCCCGGCTGTAAAAGCAGATAGTGCTGGGCTTCCTAATCTTCCACGTGCGCAAGACTCCATAAGGACAGTCATATTTCGCGGCGAGAATTTCAAAACACAGTATTATGGCGGCAGTAATCCTGCTAGTTTGATTGGACATGTACAGTGGTTGAGCTCCGTTCCTTTTCTGTGTCTAAATGATTGACTCTCAATAGTTTCCCGAGCTTCGATCCTTCATGAAAGAGACCATCATGCATCAATCATCTCTTTGGAGGGTTCAAGTTGACCTAAAGGACCTACAAAAAAAGTGGAAGATTGAAAGAACTTCCATCTTATCATTAACCACTATGGAACTAATAGATTTACTTCCAGATCGAGAGGAAATGGACCAACTTGTTCGTCTCTATCTTGACACCTTCGAAGACGTTTATAGAATCCTCCATATACCTAGCTTCGAAAAGGAATACACTGGAATCCTGCAAGAGCCACTATCTTCGAGGCCTGCATCAGTGGTGATCATCTTATTGATGATGGCATCTGTTAGCTGCCTATCTCGGAGTGATCAAATTAGATATATTGGAGATAGCTCCATCGCTCGAGAACGTGCCACGCTGTGGATTGAGGTATGCGAGTTGTGGCTGAAGTGTCAGAGCCAAAAGAATATTTATCTCGCCATATGGCAAGTTCGTTGCCTGTTGGTTTTAGCCAAGCAAGCCAATACAGTTAAGAAAAAGCGTCTTTGGACCGAGGCGGGTGCGCTGGTGAGGGAGGCAATGGCTGCGGGATTTCATCGCGATCCTGGCCTTCTTGGGGAAAGAGTATCCCTTTTTGATCGAGAAATGAGACGTCGGCTATGGGCAACAATGACTGAGCTCGAACTGCAGAGTTCTATTGACCGCGGAATGTCCTCCGTGTCAGCTGGAATCTTCACTGACACGAAAAATGTCCTGAATATTGAAGACCAAAATTTATCTGAAGAAATCGAGGACCAGGAATCACCAAAGTCTACCTTTGGATATACACCGACGTCATTCCTGCGACTATCAAATCTGAGTTTCCCTCTGCGAGTCTCGTTGAACTCTATTGTGAACGATTTGGGCTCACCCTTGAAATACGAGGATGTTCTTAACTACGAAGAGTTGATAATAAACGAGATCAAAAAACTTCCACCCCAGGAAGAAGTGCAGCCGGATAAAAAAGGTCTCTCCTTGGTGGCCCGAACCCTCCTTGATATTCAACTTCGACAATTTTTGATTCTCCTGCATGGTCCATTTGCGCGACAAACAGAAAGAACATCTCGCCACTCACTTTCTAGGATGGTTTGTTTTGATGCAGCGGCGAGTATTTTGGACCAGTATGCAAAACTTAATGAGTTAGGTAATTATGCTCTACTATTACTTCGACATGACTACTTTCGAGCAGCGCTCGTTATCTGCCAAAACTCGTACATTTCCATTAGCCTTCGACGTGAGTGGACATACGATTTTCAAACATTAACAAAGCTCATACTCTCAACAGAGGATGTTCTTTTGAATTCCAACATCTCCGTTTTTCTTCAATACATCGACAGCGCTCTCAATATGCTCCAAGATAGAATCGTCCAACTTGGAACGGGCTATACACATTATTGGTATATATCTGCCGGTTTTGCTTTACTTCGATCAGCGATGTCGCCTGATCGGTCGAGTTTAGAGAACCAGCAAGCAATAGATCGAGTGGCAAGGCAGTATTACCGCGTCTTGGCCTCGCAAGAGGATATTAAGCTTGCTAAAGAGAATATCATTGGCATTTCACTCAACAAGGTATGCTCTATGGTGCTAAACTCTATTAAAAACTAAATCCATCTATCAGGCAAATTCAATGGGCACTCAGTCTCATAACGCGGCCCACACGATGCACCCCTTTGAATCATCACTCACTGATTCGACAACACTAAATGTAAGTTATTATTTCAACATTGAAGAACTTAGGCTAATAATAAAATCTTTCGGCATAGGACATATATCTGGATGAATTTTATTTTGGTGACCCGGAAGTATGGGTTTTTGACAGCTTATACACAGCCGAGTCTTCATAATGCCATATCAAGAAGTATTGAAAAGACAGCAATAGAATTGTCTGTTGGCTTTGAATTTTGAAATAGTGGTACACTGCATGGTATTCTGAAGGTACTAAATTGATAGCCAAAGTATACGTGACATTCAAAGGACCTACAGAAATTGACAGAATATGACGACGAACCTATGAAAATATTATTAATACTTCCAGCAAGATTGTTTGCCCTTACATCATGTCATGCCACTAGAGCTACTCCCATAAGATTCTTGAATATATCAAGGCCTCTAATTCATGTCAATGTCTCGATGGTGCATCATTTTCAGAGCTTACCTCTGTCACCTGACTCCTTAACTATCTTGCAATTTGCGCTGTACACCTTGAGGAATTACTATCCGTGGCGAAAATAATAGCCAAGAGAAATAGCTTAAGTCTAGGAACATTCTATGCTTCAAATAATCCATTTCTATTTTGAATCCCACAAAGAGCGGGGACAGTCCAATGAGCATCGAATCTTTTAGAGTCGTGAGGACAGGCCCCCAACCCGGGAACCGGCAAAGTTCGGCGAGATCCCCGTTATCTTAATCACAACTCGCGGAGCTACGTATTGTCCACATGGACAACCCCGCTCAGGTCTCTTATTGCGGGAAGCCCAATCGGTTAAGCCAGAAATGACTCTGCCTTAAGGCTCTGGAATGATAAGCGTAGTCAAAATTGCCAATTTTAGTTCATCAAGCCACGATAGCAATGCTATTCCGAGCATAGTGAATACATGTCATCTTTAAAGTGGATGAATGCCAGTTGATGGGGGCCTAATTTCATTCACGCCAGACTCCCCTTTTTTAGAGTCAATCTCCAGACTATCGCTTTTCCTAATTCATTTCATATCTTATCCCGCAAAATGACTCGCCCTTCACTCAATCCCGAGTTACCATTTACTGTGGGTGGTATTGGTGATAAGAGTAAGGCGCTCTCATGGCTATCTAACTCGGGCATCGTAAAGTTGAACTTCATGCTTGTCATTTTCCAAATCTCGAGCTATGCGACAGGATATGATGGCTCTATGATGAATGGGCTTCAATCCTTGACCACCTGGAAGAATTCATTCAATAACCCTGGGGCATCTGAGCTAGGCCTGTAAGTGGCAGCTAAAGAGCTTCTAGTAGCTCTTCCCAATTTATACCACTGAATTTGGAAAATTGTGGAAGTTAACAAGCCTCCAGGTTGAATGCTATTCAAAATGTCGGCCAACTTGTCACAATGCCAGTCTGCGCGATTAGCTGTGATAAGTTTGGCCGTCGTCCAGTTCTTTTCGTCGGTGCTTTTATCCTTTTGATTGGTGTTGTGCTCCAAGCAGCGGCACAAAACGTCGGCATGTTCATTGCTGCTAGAGGGATCATTGGAATGGGATTGGTCCTCAATATCACCGCAGCACCACTTCTACTTCTAGAGCTTGCTTTTCCTAAACAGCAGGGACCGCAGGTGGCCATATACAACAGTCTTTGGAACTTGGGAGCGTTAGTCGCAGCATGGATAACCTATGGCACTTTTCGCGTTCATAATACCTGGGCATGGCGCATACCATCACTTCTCCAAGGCCTATCTAGTTTAATACAGCTCGGACTCTGCTTCCTCGTCGAGGAATCACCACGATGGCTTATCAGTCAAGACAGAGACGACGAAGCGCGGAAGCTGATTTGCAAATATCATGCCAATGGCAATGATTCCGATCCCCTTGTTACCCTGGAAATGGAAGAGATTCGCACCGCCCTCCGGCTTGAGACCGAAGCCAGAGAAAATACGTCATATTTGACTTTCTTTCACGGAAGGGCCAACTTGAGGCGCTTTTTCATTATTCTCTGCATTGGGTTTTTCTCACAATGGAGTGGTAATGGTCTTATTTCATACTATCTCACTCTGATTCTCAACTCAATTGGCTACACGGCAGAAAGTACACAAACCCTCATCAATGCTCTTCTCACGCTGTGGGGAATGATCTGGAGCCTTGTCTTTGCTTCTGTGATGAATCGATTCGGTCGCCGCACTCTTTTCCTTATCTCTACTGGAGGGATTCTGGCCGTCTACATCGTTTGGACTGCGCTCGAGGCCACTTACGAAAAGACGACAGCACTGGATGGAACTGGAGGTGACAGCTATGCGAAGGCTGTTTTAGCCATGATATTCATGTATAACTTTTTTTCTCACTTGGATGGACACCTTTGCAAGTGACCTATTGCATCGAGATTCTTCCCTTTGACTTGCGTGCTCGTGGCCTTGTGCTATATAACCTCTTTGTTGCCCTTGCCAGTATTTTCAACCAGTATGTCAACCCGATAGGCGTCACAAACAGCGGATGGAAATATTACATTACTTACGATGTATGGTTGGCGTTTGAACTTGTCGTGGTCTACTTTCTTTTTGTGGAGACTGGCTGTCTCAGTCTCGAGGAAACTGCTGTAATTCTCGATGGAGATGAGGTTGAAACTAAATTGATTGACGAAACAGCATCCATGACTGAGAAGAAGCTTGGTGAGCACACAAAGCCTCTTTCAACGGCGAAGAATTTGGTGACAGAAAACGAATCATTGCCATAATAGAGTAGCTATGTTCTGGAAGGGTATTTTTAGAGAGCTAGCATGTTATCATTTTCAATAAATATGCAATACCTGGGACTCCTTTTGCTGATCTTCTTGAGAGCCAATACTGGCTTTTGAGACTTGTCTAAACATACATTTCGGAATTAATGCCACAGGACATTAAGTGGACATCAAACAACGACCTCGCAGATCCGAGGCGAAATCTGCCCACAGGTTATTCTCATGCGTTAAGTAACGCACAGATGGAAACACACTTTGTGGATCCACTACCTGAAGTCTATGGGTACGCAGATTGATGAATAAAATTGAAATGGTTGTTTGGTGCGGGAATTCGCGTAGCCATCTAGCCGGACATGGCCGTGCAAATCCTGCCTCCAGAACATATGAGTGGGGCCACCCCCTTTGGTGTGCGGGGAAGCCAGATCCTTCAATCCGAGATAATGGGTCTGTCAATACGATTGATGGAGAATCTAAGATGTCTGTTTCTTCCGAGATGTTACCGGTAAAGTACGGCCAAAAGCCCGGACTGCTGGGGGGAACCGACACAGTCTCTAGCATCGATGTTTTACCCCGGGATACTCGCCCTGGAAGGATTTGAAGCTACCTCCGCACCTAAAAAGCCTTTTACCCCTGTCAATATATAATGTACAAATGTGAAGATCGACTAAGGGGTATAACAAAAAGACAAAGATGAGGTTGAACAGAATTACCTCTGGTGTCATCGCCGGGTCCATTCTAGTGACCGGGGCTTCAACTGCTCAGATCACCAAGAGTTTGTCGAAAAGTCGGTGACCAACAGATATTAAAGAATTCAAGATGCCCACTGACACTGGGATATGACAGATGCTCAAGACCTCTTTGATTGGTCTATGTTCGTCAATGACAAGCGTTGGGATGATTCGTATAAGTATGTTTGGTATTCCAACAACGGGCCATGGTCAACACGCTTTACGGCTTGGTATGTTGCCGGATTACTGTATCGCAACAAAGGACAAGATGTTTCGAATGCCAAAGCAGCCATAGAAAATATGTAAGCCCAGATTAGTCTCATAAGGTTATGCATTCAGTGATTTCATTGATCCCCATACTGATTGCGGAATCGATAGCCTTACTTGCCAAATGACCGAGAGCTACGAATCTGCGTGGTATGGAACCTTCAAATTGTCACCAGATGAGCCTTATCCGACTCCAGACTCAGAGTTATATCCACCATCTATCTATGTAAGTCTTTTTGGGTTATCAAGATAAAGAAGGTGTGTGGAAGGGAATCATCTTATGCTGAAAGTTTAAAGGATACCTATGATCCCAATTGGAGAGAGTTCATTGGCACGCAGCTTGTACAGATTGTCGAAGAGTTTTCCGACTTGCTTGGGAATAACCTTGTGGCCCGGATCGAGGACAGTCTGGAAATTGCAGCGGTCGGTTCCATGCGTCGAAATGGCTCATTTCCGGAAGGTGACAACCTTACACCCGCGTATTCGAACCCAGCCCTCATGCGGGCATGGTACGTTTCTTGGATTGGTGCACGTCGCAGGAATGAGGTCAGTCAACTGCTTTAATTTTATATGAGCACTTCTATTCGTTGCTAAGATCATTCATCTCAGACTTTTGTCAATTATGCCAATGACCAAGCCGATATAATTCTCGAGCTTTTCCAGTCTACCGGATCAGATGTGTTATCCGAGTACAATGCGCCGACATACTATGGCATGGATATCTGGGCTCTTGCAGGAGCCATAAAATATGGCCCTAAAAAAGCCTCGATGACCAAAAATGCCAAGATCATTCTGACAGACCTCTGGGCAGATATTGCTGCTCATTATAATCCTTATCTTTGCAATATGGCGGGCCCGGTAGGATATCCTTTAGTAGTACCTCTGATAGCGAGATCATTCTAACGCAAGTATTCATTATAACAGTATGATCGAGCCTATACAAGAGATATGACGACCAACTCTGCCGTGATTTCCTACTTCTGGTGGGGTCTATACGGTTACGGCCATGGCCCACAATCTAACAAGCTTGAGACTGATCTTTTGTACGATGTTTCGCAGGCTTCTGCCTTGGCACTCATCATGGATGTGGCCGCTGAACACATTTCTACGAAAGACGCCGCATGGCTTGGATCCAATAAGGACTGGGACGGTGAACGTATGATAACGAAAAATGTTCCCGATGCCTTGGGTGCCGATGCGGAGATCCGGATCGTAACCTCCTGGATTAGCGCCCCACTTATGATCGGTGCTGAACAAGTTAATGAGACCATAAATCGTGGAGTGCAATATGTCCCTGCGATCGTGCAATGGGCCGGAGACAAAAGTCATACCCCATATCCCTACATGACATTCTTTTCTCTGTATCCAACAGCCTCTACCATTGAAGCAGTTGCGGGACCCAACAGCCTCGATATAACATATCCGAATACTACCCAGGATGGTACTAACATTTTTACTTTTGCGCTAGCCCAAGTCCCCCCAAGTTGGACTCTTATCAAAAAGAAGGTTATTGCAGGTCTTGAGGATCTGCCATGTCTGGATGTCATCATCAATGCTGACGGTTTAGAGAAGCAGCCTGTCATGTACGGCACTTCTCTTGAGGATAATCTTATTTACAACATCTCCTACGTTGTACCCTCTACTTTTGAAGGAGTACCTAAAATATCCTTTAAGTTCAAGTACACCTGTTGATATATATTTGCGCGAATGAGTAGGATGGCTTAAAGGTGCATAAACTTTGCCTCATACAGCTACCGATCATATTTAGTTCAATAGAACATGAATTTTCTGCAACTTTCAAATTACAATATGAGTCGCCGCAGTAAACAGAATAGCTGTTTCTCACAGAGAAAGAGATTCAGGAAGCCGATCAGAATTCTGAAACGTAGGTACTCCTTTAAAGGTAGAAGGTACAACGTAGGAAATGTTTGTGACTGGCATTGTTCGGCAGAGATCGGGTATTAAATCCTGTTCGCCGATACGAAAGGGATGGCCGATTCCCCCGCCTTTAATTAACCGGTCGGTTGAACCTCGGGGGTTTCTCTCCCATTCTCCACCGATAACATGATCATGAATATCGCTCCTTTTTGATTGAGAAAATTATGGATTCTCAAATCCTTTTCCGAATCCACCGATGACTACCTATCTACTATTTCCTGTTGATCAAGACACGACCCGCCATCCATGTCCTGTGATGTCAAGGGCGAGCACTCTACCTAATAGGAACGAAGCAGCGTTATTGCAACCATAAATCTAAGGGCCGCGACCAGTAGATAATACAATCTATTGTTTCCTTCAAAAGCGAGTTTTTGCTCTTGAATTAAGCAAAGATACTCATTACACGTGACCGGCGATGAACATTGCTCGATTGCTCCATCGTCTAGATCATTTAGTTTCCCGCTAAGAGTACGCGTGACGCATGTTAATCTCCGCCCGAACCAGGACACTCATTCCAAATGTCGCAGAAGTAGGCCTTGGATTTCTCAAAAACAATTAGAGTCAATTTACAGGATACATAAAAATTTGAATATCAGCTTGTCAATCTACAGGGACACCAATGCCACCTATCGACATCAGCACTTCCACCTCGCCCAAGCCGGGAAGCACAGCGACAAGCGCCCATGATTGTCTCAGAACCATGGAGCCCAAAGCTCGTAAAGCATGCAGTAAGTTGAATTGATGTTCTATCATACGATATTATCACTGTATGTCCTCACCAGACGGCCTTCAAAAATACTCAACCATATTTGTCTTCACAGTCAACTGTCGCAAGCAGAAGATGAAATGCAGAATTGACCACGGCGTCATCTGTCGCCGATGTAAGCGCTTGGGTTTACCATGCGTTTTTGTACCGCGTGCTAATGCAGCGGGGTATTGGAGGCTCAACAGCTTTGGCTCCGCCGGGGTCCCTGACGTGATGATCTCGAGCTTCTCCGTGGACATTATGCGTCGAGTCAAAGCCATAGAAGAACACCTTGGGATTTCAAGCCATCCAAGCTCACCACAGGAGGCAGAGATAGACGCAGAGGTAGACGTTATCCAGCTTGAAGGGTTGCCAAGTGAGAGGCAGGAGTTTGAGCATTTATGGGAAGCCACAGCCTGTCTAGAGCACTGTACACCTAGTCAATCCGAGCAGGGATTATGGCAACGAGACTTGATCAAGCATCTCTTTCAGACGTTAGAGCCCAACGGTCAATTATATTATGGCTGCCTGCTAACTGTATCTAGATTCCATGAAAAAATGCCCGGTTTTCATTTCCTTCCCGCCCAACAGCGATGTTTATCTCCAAACCCGCTTCTCCTTGCCGCCATTCTTTATTGCTCCAGCGTCCGTGGAACTGCCGACGTTGCTCCACTAGCACCGAAATATTTCTCGGTCCTATGCAGCGCTATATCTCAGCTCACTGTTCCCAACAGTATTATTGGAACACCACCAAAAGATCCAGCAAATGCAGAAAAGTGGGCTTTTCAGACCGTATTGGCACTTATTTTGGCCGGACTACTCGCAGAGGCACGTGTACGTGAAACCGGTGTTTGGATATCGATTGCCTACCGGCTTATCCTCGAGAACTATCCCTCTCTGGAAGAGCAGAAAGCCGGTGACTGGCGAAAACTCTTCAACGGCGTGCAAATTGTAGATCTTGAACATGCCTCCTTGCATCTGTCATCGCCTGTTATCCCCATCGACCCTCCCATTGCGCCACTGCGCACTTCTCATGGCGACCAGCTGCATCGTTTGTCTCGCATGATGCACGTGGGATTGTCGCATTTTACTGGTAGAAAGCTTCCCACAATCTGGTCTTGCTTTACTGGGAATGACTCGAGTGGTTTAGGCATGACTCCAGTCTCGCAATTTGGTTCACTATCGCCCTTTACTGCAGTTGATGGTGCAGTGATTCGTGACTGGGCCAGGCGGCTCGATGAGTGGCTTGTTGAGTTCACCAAGAACACACACGATTCACATGTTGACAGGATAACTGTATTCCGGCAATATGTGCTTCACAGACTTCTGGTCCTGTCTATATACCATCCTGCCCGGGGATGCAACCTGTATTCCAAGAATATGACACCACACGAACAATATGAACTGCTACTTTCAGCCCGAGCAACTATCAAACTGCACAATGATGATAAAACAATTTGGTCCAATTGGGACTTGGTCATGATTACTTGGGCGGCCTTGATCGTCTTGCAAGGGGTAGAGGGTGGGGTTGGAGAGCCTGATGGTAAGCTAGGTTTTTTTATTCGTCTCTTTTGACGCACTCATCGTTGAAATCTAGCTGACATATATCTTCACGTACTGACTATTTTCAGATATTACTAATATACGCGTCCATTTGGAAACTTTGGCTGCCACAAATGAGCCGAGGCCCAATCTTCGTAGCATCCTGGCCATGCGGCTTGAAGAGGCAATGAATGGAATCCATACACCTAACCTTAAAGCTATGCAAAGCCAACAAGAGCAAAATGCAGCTTTTACACCATCCCTGGATCCCGGCTATGAGTACCCAATACATATTTTCAGTCAGGAAATTTTAGGAGAGGTTTTGTATCCTGTGTGGCCAGACTCTTCGGTGCAAATTTCCGACATGATATGAGGTCTCATCAGTGAGGCACGCAGAAGCGAAGGTACCACCAAGTCTCTCTCTGAAACAACCTTGGAACCTTGATAATATAGACGTCACATCTTATAGAAGAAATCAATCCTGAAAATTGAAATTTAACCACATAGCTGCATATTTATTGGTATCTGGCTGTGATCCATGAGATTAGATTAGCGAAGCAGAGACAAAATTTGAAATTACCTCAGTTACCTCAGATATTGTGAGACAAATAATCGAAAAAGAGGGCCCGGCGTCTGGGCTACATTTGACGTGAGAGCTTCTCGACAATATCGGGCCCTTCTTCGGAGGGTTGAATTGTCGGACTGCTTAGAACAGCAACGAAACCCTCCTTTCCAGATATACATACAGCTAAACCAGCATAGCGTCCCGGTAAAATTCACCGACCGGGATATTTGCCGACTTTCCGGGAGTGGATATCTGATGAGGGATTTGGGCCGGCTTGGGCCCGGTGCTCGCGCGGGGCTTGAGGGGCGCGGCTGTATGGAATTGGCAAACCCGGGGCATCTCGTAACCAGTATCCTTTTTGCCCCACTAAATGAAACGGGCTTCATATTTGAGCCACTATTGGATCAAGTTCCCTGCTCGTTTTTTTCTCTCAATTTTGCTACGTGTTCAGGATGCTCTTGCATGACTAGCGGAATGTGGCCGAGCTTCAGAAGCGACCAAGACACGAGTAGAGCACCAGCCTGTTTCAACCTTTGGCACTATTCTATTGCATCTCACATTTTTTTACCTTGAAGAAAAGAGAGCTGAAAATATATGAAGGGATCCTTGTGATTATCATTTTTTTTTCTTTCCCCCTTCTTCAGCTATCCCTCCGATCATGTCTTTCCCTCAAGCTCGCCCAGATTGGAACAACCTTGAGGTCATCCATCGGGGAACACTTCCCCCACGGGCACATTTCTACACTTACAGTAGCGAGAAGGAGGCTCTCACTTTGAACCGTGACTTGAGCGAGTATATATCGCTCAACGGCACTTGGAAATTCCGCCATGATGCCTCCCCCTTTGAGGCACCCGAATGGGCATCCGCCAACCCATTAACATGGGATGACATCAAAGTGCCAGGAATGTGGCAACTTCAAGGTTACTCACATCCGGCCTATACAAATGTTAACTATCCATTCCACGTCAATCCTCCTGAGGTACCAATACTGAATGAAACCGGATCTTACTGGAGGCAATTTGTGACTCCCGTCGCGTGGGAGGGACATCAGATACGCCTCCGGTTTGAGGGTGTCGATAGCTCCTTTCATCTGTGGATCAATGGACAAGAGATTGGCTATTCTCAAGGCTCACGAAATCCTAGTGAATTTGATATAACTTCACATTTGAAGCCGGCTGGATCCATCAATACCCTCTCTGTGCGAGTGTACGAGTTCTGTGATGGGTCTTATATTGAGCGTCAGGACCAGTGGCTTTTGAGTGGCATCTTTCGAGACGTTGGCTTGCTTGCCTTTCCTCAGAACTCAATCACCGACTTCACGGTTGTTCCAACACTGAGTGATGATTTATCCTCAGGTCAACTTGTCTCCAGCGTTCAAATCCAGGGTGGGCATGGGCCTGTCCAGGCGAAGCTTTATGCTCCCGATGGTACGCTTCTCAGCGATCTGGAGTTTCAGAGCAATGAATCTAGTACTATTGAAATATCTGGCACCGACTTGAAACTGTGGTCAGCTGAGGCCCCAGTTCTATATACTTTACTCATCTCTTTCCATGGGCGCACAATTCCACAGCGCATTGGCTTCCGACGCATTGAACAAAAGGATTCTAACTTTTTGGTGAATGGCAAGCCAATCATATTGTATGGTATGAATCGCCATGAACACCATCATCTCTACGGTCGCGCCGTTCCGTATGAGAGCATGCGTGCGGACCTCGTTTTGATGAAGAAGTATAATATCAATGCTTTGCGATGTGCGCACCAACCGAACGATCCCAGGCTTTACGAGGTCTGTGACGAACTGGGCCTCTATGTCATAGCCGAGGCAGACCTTGAGACGCATGGGTTTGACCCTGTAGAGCGGTCTAACATCCAGAACCAGCACCTGATGAGCGAATACGAGATCCAGGAGACATCATACAAGATGGCTAAAAAATGGACTTCCGATAACCCAAAATGGAAGGATGCTTATATGGATCGAGCCGTGGAGCTTGTTCAACGATTCAAGAATTTTTCTTGTATCATTTTCTGGTCTCTGGGAAATGAGGCATTCTATGGTCAAAACCATGCTAGCATGTATAAATGGATCAAAGAGGCAGATCCGACCCGTCTCGTTCACTACGAGGGTGATAGAGATGCAATCACTGCGGACCTGTACTCTACCATGTACTGGAGTATTGATGGGCTTAAAAAGCACATCAGCGAAAAGACTGATAAGCCTCTCATCCAGTGCGAGTACGGCCATGCAAGTAAGTTATCACTAGCCGATTGAGCTTTGGAGTTCCTTTCTAATATATCATAGTGGGAAATGGCCCAGGTGGACTACAGGAGTACATCGAGCTGTATCGAACTCAGAAACTTCTTCAAGGCGGCTTCATTTGGGAATGGTGTAATCACGGCCTTCTCAAGCGCGACGGCGACACATCATATTATGCCTATGGTGGGGATTTTGGAGACCAACCAAATGATGCTGACTTCATTCTGGATGGGATGGTATTCTCCGATCACACTCCCACACCTGGACTAATAGAATATAAAAAGGCCATCGAACCAGTTACCGTTTCATTGGTTGACGGTCGGCTTAAGGTTGTAAACAACTATGATTTCAAGACCCTCGACCACTTGTCAGCCTCATGGTATATTGCTAAAGAGTCGGGAAACTCACAGTCGGTACCTTGGAAGTTACCCCTGATCCAGGCAGGAGAGTCCCACGTCCTAGATTTCCCAGAAGGCGCAAGTTTTACCTCTGAGCCCACCTGGTTGACTATCAACTTTTGTCTTAAGGAGGCAACAGCCTGGGCACCCGAAGGTCATGAGGTTGCTTGGGCGCAGGTCCCTTTATTCGAGGAACCAAAGCCTGGAATCTCCCTCCCACCACACTCGACAACCGCAAGTCTCTCCGTACTTGAGAGGCAGGGTAGACTTTATATCTCTTCCGATTCTTTTGGATCCCACTTCACGTACGATCTCATCAGGGGTGATCTGTCTTGGTCTACTGATAAAGGCAAGATATTTCACAGCGGACCTCAGCTGGGTATATATCGTGCTTTGACACAGAATGACCTAGGCATGCAGGGCCCTCATGTCGAATGGGATCGCTTTCGTGTGCAGAGCACCCGCATGTTGATGCAGTCAGCAACCTGGAGCATAAGACCAGACGGAAGCGTTTGCATCAGGGCCAAAGTTCGAGTTGCACCCACGGTTCTAGAGTGGGCGCTGGACGCAACCATTGATTATACAGTAACCGCATCTTCTGTGGCTCTCCATATAAAAGGAGACTTCACTGGTACATACCCGAAGTATATCCCCAGACTTGGCTTGACTCTCCGTCTGCCACAGCGGTATGATGCGGCTACCTGGTTTGGCAGAGGCCCCGGGGAGTCCTATCGTGACAAGAAGGCCGCCGCTCGATTTGGCACCTATACTGCGTCTCTTGACGACGGTCTCCAAACATTGTACGAGTGGCCACAAGAAAACGGCAACCGTACTGACACGCGATGGGTAAAATTCCATTCGTCTCCTCCAAGCGTTTCATATGCTGCCTCCGCTGGAGCACTAGCGCCTCTTCCCGAGATCAAGACCAGGGTTGATAGACCATTCAATTTCTCACTCCGAAAATATGCCACAGCCGAGCTTGACCGTGCAATGCACCCTCATGAGCTGTCAGAGCTGCATGGCGAAACGGAGCTCAATATCGATCTTGCGCATGATGGAATCGGCACGGCAAGCTGCGGCCCCGGTGCTTTTGAAGGCAATAGGCTTGAGACTCAACCGTTCGAGTTCACTACCTTATTCAGTATCAACTAACATGAGTGATAGTAAGAAGACTCGTTATTCATTAGTCTATCGGGATTAAATATCAACGAGTATGCTTCAAAGAAGATTTGATTAAAATAGAGTGCTTCATTAGGGGAAGGTGAAGCTGTGGACTTAAGGCTACTGCTAAACTTCCCACTGTAATGGGGAAACAGCCTACGATAAACTCAACTTAATAGGATAGCATTTTCCTAGCATACTGTCGTTACCGATATAGCTTCAACTTCCAGATAGAGGGAAGTATGACTTCTACACATGACTTTTCTTATACAGCATCTCCTTTGGCTTTGGAGGCCGTCCTATAATGCAGTGTGTGGTAGTTTGGTTGTTAGTACGTTGATCCTTCTCATGCAGTCTGCTTGCCGGACTTGCCTCCGATTGCTTTGGTTCACTAGTTGAATATTTAACTAGCTTAACTACTTGAAGTGGCTTTGATTATGTAACCAGTCAGAGAGGCTCAAGCGCTGGAAAGTTGGCTTTCATTGGATCTTGTTCTTTTCATCTGGTTTTTGAATGACTAGTTTTTCGGTCATAAACTCAGTGATTATGGTGTTCAGATCATATTCGAAAGCTTCCAAGACCCTATCATACTAACTCAAAAAGAAAACCGAACACGTATATTTAGAGCGGGCGGCAAACAAATACTATGATGAGCGGCCGTGCACTGTGCCTAGGCTTCAAATGCATGGAGCTTACTGGCAGATACCTTTCTCTTTATTTCCCTTGCAACGCGAGGGTAGCCTTATTATATATAGGATAGCCTTATTATAGTTTCGTGAGCCGCTGTCTTGGTTTCGTATCTTATTTTCGGAGTTCTGGGCACTCGATGAAACTGCTTTGTTCTCATCCACTGCCTGATTGTTGGCTCCAACCCCCATTCTCCCCACAGCCCCATCTCCCGACCAACCGCTTTGTCCACCTTCCATCCGCGCGCGTGCGGCCAGGGAGCCAAATTTAGAATTGATATGTCCCCATTGAAAAAGAGATATAAGAACACCAGGCATCAACTGCTGAAAATCCTTCCTTGTAAAATTTTTTTTCTGTTCTCGATTTTCGCGTACGCTAATAAAGCCGTTTAGACCGTGCTCTGGCCAGTGCGACAAAAGTCGCTGTCCATAAAAACATACCGCAATGAACAATACGATAGCCTCACCAGACACAACAACGAATTTGTTGAATACGCTGCCGATCGAAATCTTATGGGACGTTTTCGAACATCTTTTGCCCGGATGGGTAGGCCTCACCCATAAGAGACTATGCACTCTCAGGAGTCTAAGCCGGACAGACCAACTTACAAGGGAACGTGTCAATGCCTATGTAGATCTCAAAAACACCTATCTTGATGAACAATTACAAGATTTAAAAAATAATGTGTTTTACCCTGGTCGTGATGGAGCAACTAGAGCCCTTTCGGAGGAAGCCAACGCAGCAGATATGGACGCGGAAGGCGATGAAGGTGATGAAGGTGATGAAGGCGAAGAAGGCGATGAAGAAATGGATCAGCAAGAAGAAGACGAGTATGATGAAGATGAAGAAGAGGAAGACGACCCAGAATTTGAATTCGAAATGGAGGTCAATGCAATGTATGCCCGTATCGAATCCACTATGGCCAACGAGGATGAGCTGTTGACTCAAATCATCGTTGACGATTGCCCCTGTTGCTTCCGATGGTTATGTGATCGCATTCCATCTCTCACACCCTTAGGATGCGTCAAAGATGGTTGGACTTTCCTTAGTCTCGCCGTATGTGCAGAAGCTCCTCAGATGACCAGGTATATTTTGAAATCCATCCATGAAACCCCTGGTTTTTCCCCAATAGACTACATTTTTAGCGGTGCAAATGTCACAGCCAATTTTCCTACCACTATCGGTCTTTCAACAAGAGGTCATCAGCTCGCCATATTTCGCATTCTCTTTGACCTGTCTGAACGCCTCCTGGGTCGTGACAGGTTGCGAGGAGAGCTTGGGTTTGCGCTAACTGACGAAGATGGATTCAATCTCTGTTCAACTGCTTCTCCAGATTTGGCAAACCATATTCAAGAAGGAACACAGTGCCTTGATATGCAAAGGCTCTCTGGGGGCTCTACAGCCTACCAGTTCATCCCAACGAAGCGAATGTGGAGTGCAGCGTGTTTCAATCCTCATGGGGTTGAATTCCTTGATTTCTTGCACAAGTATTGGGGCAATGCTGCCGATATTAATCATCAATGCAAATATCATGGCTCACCACTTCAGATCGCCGTTTACACCGGGCGCCTTGATTTAGTCATATGGCTGAAAGACCATGGCGCCGATCTCCGTACGGGTATGGTATATACGATTGCTCACGACGCCGCGGATCTTGCTTCAGCAGAAAGTGAAGCAATTCTCGCCCAGCTCCTCCCAGAATGTCAGTTCGACCTAGTTGAGAACTGGAAAAGTGCAGCGCTCTTACTTGAATGTCTACTAGATGGCACGGACTTCGCAATCACAAGAGCTAAAATTGATCCCAACAATAACCTCGCGACACGTGCGCTTCTAAGGCATGAATATGAGATGCGAGCTGTACGGAAATGCAAGCAGATACTATCTCTGTTTGCGGAGATATCTTCGAAGCAGGTCATTCCGTCTGAACGAATCAAGTTTGACACAATTATTGAGGACTTCCGACGAGACGTCGGGAAACAGGCCCGCGAATACGAATATCATCGACTAGCAGACACTTTGACTGTGCGTGATAACTACTTTCCTTTAAAAAGACGCTTTTCTGAAATTTCTTTGACGTGTTCTAGTGCAGTATGGGCGGAATCACCCAAACAGCGATACTACTAGATCGAGGTCAAAAACATGATACCCCAAAAAGTGATCTCATGTGAAAATATTTTTTTTTTTGGGTTCTTTTTGAGCTAGCGGAGAATTCTCGCATGTGCTCCTATTCTTGTCTATGTCTAGGGCATCGGGGCGTCGAATGTGGATAGTGCAAATATACGTATATCTAATTTCCTTAGTTATATGCTCTCAGCATATGACAAATAGACCATCTGTCTCTGAAATCAACTTGCCATATCATTCCAATCTCGTGTAATACTATGGAAAAAAAATACCAAGCAAAATGTAGAATGTTCTGCAATGATTTCCTGTGGTAAAATGCCCTCCGAATGAAAATCACGCGGAATATACTGTACAACATACGAATTGAAAGTAGTGATGGAATGGAGTTGTATTTTCCCTATAAAATCTCACTATCAATTTTTTTATTCTGCCCACATGTCATATTTCTTTGCAAAATATCTCATACTATCCTGTACGGATCCGTTCGTATAATCTACCATGCACTGGTGGTCGGGGTAGTATAACTGCCGGTAGCAGACCCTCCTTGGCACTGAGTGGCAACTTTATTGGCACTAGTCGCGTCCCAACTGTTTGGCACAGTGCCGTTCCGCCGAGAAGCTGCTGTCATGAATGCGGCATAAGACCAGGTAAGATCGGCTGCAGAGGTTGGCGTTCCGTCATCGCGAGTGAACTGTTCTGCAAGGGATCCGTTACTCGGGGTATATTGCTGCACGATGGAAACAAATCCATCAGCATATTCCTTGACTGCACTGGCGATTGATCTATATGTAGATGATGAGGTAGAATAATTTCCAACTGTAGCGGAAGAGACAAGATCTTGGAAAAAGGGTAGACTTGTTTGAGAGATAGAGAGTGAGCCCTGCTTGTTCCACTGGTAGAGTGCATCATACAGCTGCTCAGCTGCTGCAAGAGTTGCCAAATACCTTGATCAAAGTTAGTATCGGTATTGCCATGTGCTCTTGGGGACGAGGCATCTTATCGTACCAGGCATTGCCGCCTTGGTATGTGTCTTCTGGATAGCGGCCCACGGCAGCGGCAGTTCCAGCCTTCTTGCCATTGTTGATATTGTAAATGGAGCGGAAGGAATCTACCACTAGTTTGTGGTTCGATAGTGCTCGGGAAGAACACGGTTGGAAAGTTATGTCATCGCAGGCCGCGTTGGGGTCAAATGTGTGGATTGAGCTGATCAAGGAGTTGGCATCCAGCCCCGAGCGGCCGTTATTAGCCAGATTGGAAACCACAGCGGTGCCGTTCCAGAAATCTTGAAGAAAACAAAGGACCTCAGAAGCTTGAGAATCACAACCAGTACATGATTCTCCTAGGGAGTTCGCGAAGGCGCTGCCCTCGACCAAAGCACGATGCTGTGCAGCAATCGTGAAGAATGACGATCCTTGAACTTCCTCCCAGAGATCATATCCAGTCTGGTTCCAGTACTGGGCCACATAGTTCAAGTCGTTCTGGACAACAGGCAATATGTTTGACTTGACAACAGACTGTTTCCCATTTGCAATCAAGTTGTTACCATATGCGATGAGAGCCGATGCTCGCAGGGCCGGTCCATCACGCTGAGGACGACCCCAAGCATCAGTGAACTCAGTCATGTCCACATTGAACTTGGGCTCTCCCAACCCTGAACCATCTGACAGATCGCCGGATGGGTTTGACACGGCTTGTAATTTAGCCTGTGCGGTAATGTATTCCTGGATCGAGGATTCCAGAGAACTATCTCCGGCGATGAACTGCTCGATGACCATTGTGAAAGTCAATGCTGCATCGCGTGTCCACGTGTAGAAATCTAATCCGCATCAGCTAGGAACTCGGACTCCACGATGATAACTCACAGTCTGGATTTGACTTGGACGGAGATGCCACCACAATACCAGAAGAGGCCCCAGACGCATCAGCTCCCTTGGCTCCAATGTTGTTTAGCACTCCCTGAAGCGCAACAGAAGACTCTGATTGTATGAATGCACTCAGACTAGTCTGGCGGCGAGATGGACGCAGAGCGGACGATGCGACTACCGGTGCCAACAGGGCAATTGTCAGAATATCAAGGCACACCATTACGAATAGTCAATGTGAATGATGGTTAGGATATTCAAGCGGGATTCCTATTTAGTACTTTTAAGTCTATTCTGTCTAAAGTTCAATACTCTATAGGGGTTGAATTATACGGAATCGAGACTGCACAACTTATTTCATTGGATCAACCCATGATGATCCGCAGCGATCGGGCTGATCAATCGGAGATTAAGCCACCGAGCAGAAGTCTCAATGGAGTTTCTCAGAGAGAATTGCCTCACCATCCGTCCACCGTTGCAATCGTTTTCGGGATCGGAAAACCGGCGGTCCATTGAAGATCGGCAATAGTGTATTGCCAAGCGAGCAGTAAGTTACGTCGGGATCGACATGGAAGACCCCGAACCGAGTAAAGCCATCTCCGATAATTGACCGTGTTTCAAAAAGATTCTATCTGGGTACAGCCCCATGGAAGTATCTTGTCAGGGTCGATTCGTGAATCCCTTAATAGATCGAATATTCAAGGTACAAGCACCAGTTGTTGCATGCCGTGTTGTCGAATCAAATTTTCCATCTGCATAAACGGTCCGAGGGTGCGAAGCTCATTGATTTGAAATATCCTTAGGTTTATTAGTATTTCGGAGCTCAGTATTGCGATTGACCGTCCGTTGAGAGACAAAATCTCCTTCGCTCATCTGGCGCACCGAAGTGGGTATCCGGCTCCGTGATATTGGACTTGAGCACTATGCAGCATTTCATTTGGCAAGATACCGGCTTGGATTTTTAAATGTAGGGACATTTTTGGCTGTATCTATGGCTGAAGTCCGAAATTGGGTGACGTCCAGGGGTGCTTTCTTTCCAGACGATCTGTTCGGTCTCCTTGGCTCGGATTATAGGGGATAGCCAACTGCTATTTAGGGTCATGGGGCTGATACTTCAATTCGGCAATTTTCATTATGAGATGCGACAAAGTATGCTCATATATGGCAAGAAGCCCACTGATCTCCTGAAAAACTAAATGCCGGTCCTTTCAACACGCTCTTTGACTGGAAATTCACTTCGTCTTAGGTCCATGCATGTCCCCTGCTTGAAGCTACTAGGATAGCCAATACATTCGACGAGGGAAGTTTCATATCCAATAAGCTTAGAGATTGTATTCACAGCAATCTTCTATTCACTCACTGCAAAGATTTTTCTGAGAACTTGAGCAAACGTACGAATCCCCTCCTCAAACCTTCTTGGAGGGGCTGCCGCGAAAGTCAATCGAAAGCAGAGTTCCTCTGTACTCCCAGAACCGGCCCAGAACCAGCTTCCCCTTCCGATTAAAACTCCTTTCTCTTCTAATTCCTCGCTTACTCTTTCCTCGATATCTGCAAAGGATTGAGGGAGAACATGCGTCGAAAGAATTTTGATCCACAGGAACATTCCAGAGGATGGAATAGACCATTTGCAGAGACTTGATGGAAGATGCTCAACACATGCAGCAGTCATTATATCTCTCCGTTGTTGATATTGCAGAGAAAGATCTTTCAAGTACTTTGCAAATCCAAAATGAGCCCATTTCTCACAGAGAAGCTTGTGAACCAGAATTTGTGATGGGCCGGACGGAGCCAACGTGCTCATGTCAGCCTGCTCGGTAAATTTCTCGATGACCTGTGCACAGCCAGTAACCCATCCCAGTCTCAGCCCTGGAGCTAGAATCTTAGAGGCGGAATCTAGACGCAGAACTCGACCGAAGACATCCAATGATAGGTAAGAGGCTGGTAGGCTCCTCTGATAAGCTGTCCCCTCTGCATCATTCTCAAGAAGAATCTCAAGTTGGATAAAATAATACGGGTCATCCTCTATAATATATAGATCATGCTTTTCGGCGAGCTGGTAGATGGCCCTTCTCCGCCGGAGGCTCTGAGTGACTCCAGTGGGATTCTGTCCGCATGGCACCATGTATAGAATAAATGGCTTCTTACCCGACTGAGCATCCCAAGAGTTTAACTTTGCATCGAGGTCAATTGGATCAAGCCCTTCGTCGTCCATTTTAATGCCAATCAGATTGATACCTAGAGCATCTGTGGCAGTCGTGACCCCGGGGTATGTATACTGCTCGACCAAGACAGAATCGCCCCGGTCACAAAATATTCGCAGGGCCCTTTCGATGGCTGAGGTACTTCCAATCGAGAGGCAAGTTTGCCTGTCCCGGTACGGCGGGCTATGAGTTAAATTGACATGCTCAGTGAAGAAGTTCACCAGCTTAGGATTGCCTGCAGAAAGACTGTAATCCATCGCCTCCGCCAAATCAAAAGCATCTTCCCCTTTCATACAGGACATTGTGCCTGTGTCACATTTGGTGACATTCATCGATAATTCTTTCCATGGTAGAAATTCGGGCGCAGGTCGGCCATTTGACATCGGGATAATGTTTTCAAAGTCGAACGCTTTTGCGGTGTCTTTCAAGGGAGTTGGTGCCAATGCCAGCCCTTCGACGCTGAATCGATGATGGAAACTCTTCGCGGTCGGTTTTTCCTTGGTTGGGGAGTTCATCTCTGCGTGAAGCTCTGTCTTCTTCTGGACCTGCTTCAAAGTTGAACCATCTATTTCCGCGGAAATTGGGAAGTTGCTTTCATGTGGCATGGCGGTTGGGTCACTGAATTGGTAAAACAATTTGAAAATTTAATATTTGGTTGTTTCAAAGAGTGTCAAAGAGGCATGGGAAAATTTTAAAGGATTCTGGTCAGAGAATCATACAAGGCTCTATTTATCCTCCATCCACAATAACTAACTGGTCTCAATCAAGAATATTATGGCAGTACTCGGCATAGACGTATCGTTAATGGTATAGTGCAGAAACCTTGCAAGAGATAAGCGTCACTCGATCGAGGATGGTCTTAACCATATCGGGGAGCATTATCCCGACAACCAATCATTTCTTCTTCCACTCTGCGCCCTCTTCCATCGAGGATAACACAGCGCTATCAAACATGAGTAGCCGCACGAAAAACCAAGGCCCTAAAAGCACTGAGAGAGGTTCTGCTAGATAAATTTCATCAATTATTTCCGAGTCCGAGATAACTTATACGGGTAACCACCTAGATACAAGGAAAACGGCATCTTTTGGAAAAAATAATATGATACAAAATAATTTCCCTCATACAAGATGGAGAATTAAAACATCATAATCCCTTGAATAGATGGGTCATCCATAAAGACATCCCAGTGCATATCCTCGCAGCCAGCTTCTTGCCGGCGATCCCAGAAAGCTGGGAAGAGGGGTTTTGCCCTCTGCCAGATAGATAGCGTTGATGACTTGATGATAAATTCTATCCAATCCATTGCGCGCTTTCGCAGCTGGGTCTTTTGGACTTCAAAAAATATCACCGCTATCGGCCACGTCAGTGGTGATGACGGACGTGATGTACAGGCCTCCAGGGCCTCAATATGATCAAAAGCTTGCTCAATCAATAGCTGTACCTCGTTTGCCGGTGTATTTCTCAGCGTGCGCTTGAAGTAGATGATAGAGGCGAAGTAGAAAATCCAAGAATGGTGGTAAATCAGGTCAACTTCTATCGGTGGTGTAAGAGTTCGGGGGTACTCTGGTACAGAAAGATATAGCTCAAACTCTTGCTTATCGAGTATATCAGAGGGCAAAGTATACGCTTCATCTGGATGCTGGCGAAGGCTGGCTGCCGTTTCGATAATCCGGCTGACAGCTTCGAGGAGTTGCTTGGGGAGTCCAAAAACACGATGGAGATGATACGGTCCAGAGAAAAGCTCCGAGTCAAAGCCGATGCAATCCTCCAGGGCAGCTTGGGAAGATATCATTTGAGAGCGTAGGAGGATTGCAGTACCTGCGAACATTTGGTACAGAATAGCGGCGGGTTCTGTGCGAATTAAAGCTTTTCCATCAATCTTCCGAAGCCATTGGGATGCCCCTCGTAAATGGTTCCTCCAGAAGCTCGGCTCGACCGTTGCCGGTTCATACATCAAACACATAAGAAGTGAGGCAAGAACAGACTCTCGCTGAGAGGGGTCATCTTGATTTAGGCTGTTCTGGAGGTGACGGATGCCTTCGTTATGGTGGCTTAACGCTAGGGTCATAAATTCAGCACTTTTTCGGTTATCGGCGCTATTGGCTGACAGGTGGAAGGCAGATGATGCACAGATCAGATAGAATAGTGCGACTGGTGCCGACGAGTGTAGTGCCAAATCTCGAGCGCCGGCATATGCAATAGGCACAAATATGCCCTTGAGAGGGTTATAGGGTCCTGGGATTGGCACCAATGCGTCACTCAGATGGTTGATCCAATGCTCAATCATTTGACGCTGGAGATGCCATTGATCGAACCGATCTAGGTGCCGATATTCCCTATCAGGTGTCGAATGTGGATTCTCTGAGCGCGAGGGCAATGACGGTCTAATCCGAGCGGGTGGAAAAACAGGTACAGGAGCTTGAAACAAGTGCTCTCCTTCTCTTGGGTCTGCTATTACCGGGGTCCTGCTATCCAACGCCGGAGAGGCAAGTGTGTGGAATGGTCCTCTATGAGAGGTCTGGAGAACATCTTGGCTTGTGCTCTGAGGAGTATCACGACTTGTCGTATTCGCGTGCCGAGTCCTTCCTCGAAAATGGGACGGGCTTTTCACGGGCCTCCATAGAACATCTGCCCGGTACCCCGGGTAGCCCGAACATTCCTGCTTTGCATCTATACATCGCCGGCAGATAGGTCGTGCCTCGTCGCATTTCAAGTGCCTAGACCGGCAAGTGCCACAACCCGAGAAGGTCTTGCCCCGCCTTGGCCGAAGTCGACGACCCGCAGTCCCGGAAGCTGAAGCTGTGGAGGAATTCATTCTCAGTAAGCATTCGTCATCCTCATTATCGTACACGAATGATTGGCATGGTCAAACCACGAATCATCCATCAAGCCGGAAGCATAAATCGCTGGGGAACACGCGGGGGAAGGCACGGCGGGATTTTCTTTCCCCCGAAATGTCATACAAAAGCGCCCACACCAACTTTATAGATATTATGATATTTTTATTTACATTGAATTGAATCCCAAAATGCTAAGTCCCATCGGATTTCAGTATCATGGCTGCATCTCAATGCTCTCCAATTCAATATTGGGCCACCAGCCCTGGCTGAACATCCAGACCAGGGCAGTTCTCGTTCTGGATCCGGACAATATCATCCCACGGATAAGGAATGGTCCAAATGAGATCGAATCTAAGCTCGTCAGTACCGATTCAGAAATATGAGCACGCAAACATCGCAGTCTCCAAGATCAAGCCATGATGCCTTTGAAGCCGAACCAGTCGGCTAAAAGGAGAAATCAGGGCTGCCGATCGCGCCGCCGATAGCTCCCTCACTAATTTGAAACTAACGACTTCAACGCAGGAAGGAGGGAAAAAAAATTCACATACCGATCCTCAGGCCATTCAAGTGGATCTTCAGAGCCTAAGTGCTCCTGAATCTCGCCAATGTTCTTGTGTCGCCACGCGATTAGGATGTTACCAGGGCCGTCGTAGTCGTGAATCGCGTCGGCCACACATTTGGTGTCCTTGCGAGAGCAGTGGGTGTCGATTTCGAGGCCGAGGTCATTTGCGAGAGGGAGAACAGTCATATATGCGCGTCGGTGTTCGCCGTCTACAGATTCCAAAAGGGCACGCGATCAGTTCTTCGGTTCTTGGACGTCCAGGGCACTTCAAGGTTCAATCGGTGAACTCACTCCACTTCACTGTCGGGGCCATGATATGTCCGATGTTGTATCCAGAGCCAGCTCCGAATACGTCTCGCAGGCAGAGCGATCGCTTGATGCCGTCCATTGTTAAGCCATGGTCGTCGGGATTGGCTGGCTTTTCACCATGGCGGATCAGGTAGACTTTCGGCGGTGTCCTGGCGGCGGACGAGACGGCGGCCAGGCACACGCACAGAAACAAAATCGCGGATTGCAAAAACATCATGTCATAGACTCGGAATACAAGCCGATCAACAATAATAATCAAACAATGGTTGGCTCCCGACTGGACCAAGAACCCCCTATTCTACCCCGAAAGCTGAAAAAGAGAAGGCAAAAGGTAGGAAGAAAGCGTGAATGAATCTCAGTAGCGACAGCCCCTCCACTCTAAATACAATCCTCGCTGATCAGGACCCAGCTCGTCTCACTCCAGCATAGGCTGATCCGTGATCCATCTTGGCATCACCTGCGCGCCCTCAAAAGCACTTAGAATGAAGAAGAAAAAAATCCACGCCCGCAAGTGGATCAGCAGGCCCCTGCGTCCTGCAATGACCGTCCACTATATGGGGAAGCCAGGCTGAAAGTGTATCGGCGGGTGACGGACTGCACGGGACGGTTCGTCCGATCTTTGTCGGTCTCAGTCGGTGGGGAATGTGATTGGGCCTGTTCAATTACCGCATCCACTTTGGGTTACCCACTGGCTCCGTCGATCGGATCGATTTGTTCACGATTGACGGTGCAGAGAGTGGCGGGCTGAGTCTGAAATTTTGGAAGAGAGGATGTGAGGTATTGCATAGAGCGGGGAGCTACGTACATCGACATCTAAATTGTGTGTGGGAATTGCCTATTCTAGCTCCCTGTGAAAGAAATCTACATACACGTACGGACACCAGACACGGCAGATCTGTCCATATCATCTGTTTCTGACACACAAATAACACAGAACATTACATATATGAGAGAAAATGAATGCAAAAAGAGTATCTCTAAAAACCATACGCGCATATCAGAATGGATGTAGTGCTGACATTGGAGGTCCTTGACGAGGAATGGTAACCACTGTATACATGCACAGTTGACTACTGCACCACCATATAACTCATGAATGATCGTGATTTCAGCGATTTCAGCGGTACAGACTCATCATATCAGCCAGAAAATTGTCATTCGGGAGAGTCAACTGCTGCCGTCATCAGACTGGTACCGATGTCAGCAACAACAAGCTGTGTCACAACAACGTGCACCTGATCCTTCTTCCACTTCTTCGCGAACGAAATACGTCTGTCTGGGACATTTTTAGACATATGAATTTTTTTCGAGATAAAAAAGATGGGAGAAAAAATTGATCCTTTGTCTGCTCCCACCGAGAAACGCATGGATGGGTTATTTCGGGACTTGGGTATTTTGGGATTCATGAATTTCTTTTTTTATACATGTGGAAGGAAGAGTGAGAAAGATTCAGACCATGGTGGGCGTGCAATCAAATTGAGAGTCTTTTTCTTACGGTATCGCTTTTGTTGGAAATAGCAGATGCTCTATTTGTAGTCTGACAACAAGGGCATGGGCTTGAATTAAACGAGTTTCAAGACATACCCCAGGAAATTGCATAATGGATAGAATGTGTAAAAGCACTACGGTGTAGTCGTCCATGATGCCCCTCACGCTTGGATAGAAGCCCAGACATAGGCAACATCTCTATCAACTACTGCATCTTCATAGACGCTTTTCCCAAAACTTACTTCGGAGAGTAACCATCACGACTGTCCATTTCAAAGCTCACCACAATATGGCTTCTTTCTTCTTGGGTAGTTGTCAACAGTACTGTTGGTTGGATAAGGCCTCAGAACGCCTGGTTGATCTCGAGGATCTCAAGATCAGCCAAGCGCCATGGTGATGGACGGATCCCGAAGATGGGCTTGCAAGGAGAATCAAAGCGAAAACAAGGGAGCTTACCCCGAGCTTCATGACCGATCCAACGTAGGCGGGTGGTTAATTTGAATGGTTAAACCTAACTGGGGACGAAATGCAGGGTTGAATATCTGGAAAATAGCCAGACGGTGTTGAACTTGAACAACGATATCGAGCGAAATGAGGGGATTGATCAAGAGTCGTTCTTTTGAGAGTCCTCATACCACATAATTCTTCGGAGTTGGTGAACTAGTCGATTTTTTATTGAGAGTAGCCCTGGACCGGAATCTTGTTCTTTTCTTTTCTGTCCAGGAATTCTGTGCGATAAGGTACGGAGATTGTAAAAGTTCAGCAAATGCGTGTATGTATACACCATAGTTAAGATGGATTTCCTCCCGTTTGCTTGGTATCCCCCGACGACCTGACGAACGGCATCGGGATAAGATGCTTACGCTGGCTTGGCGAAAGAGGGCACCCCCATCTATGTTGCAAGGCCTTGATGATGGAGATCTCGCGAATCGTGCATCAAGCCAGGAGATCGGTGCGGATCCATGACTCTGTTATCAATACCGAACCTGGAGGACGACCATCGAGAATAGTCTGTTGCTCGTGTGGAGTTTGGATGCCCTCCAAGCGTCGTCCCTCATTGGGGTGGGCCAAGGGCCTCGGGTGACTCGCTGGCATGACCGGGGCCCGGATCTCTTCTACAACTACGGCGGGATTGCCTACAGATAAATTACCACACCCGATATGTCGCGTGGCCAGGCCATGTCGCGCTACCAACTGAAGAATCTCGTCCAGGCATGGAAGATTTTGGACGAAATGAGATCATGTTCCCAGCTCGAGATCATCGACCCGAGCCGATGGGATGTTCATGACAATAGGCCGGCATATTGAGCAGTCGCTTACCGCTATTGTTCGCGAAAAATTCCCAGCCACAGGAGACCACGGGTGCAAGTGGGGGCGGAGAGTCATGCTGGAGGGGGTCGGTGACGAGTGCTGGGGGACTCGTGGGACACTCTGCGCCTCGAGGGAGAGGGGGTTGCTAGGCAGCCGGAATTTGTCTGTGCCGAGAGGCGTAGGCGAAAGGCTCGGCTCTTGGCGCCCGGAGCTGGCAGGGTACGTCCTGGGTGTACGCAGTCCGTACCGGAGTCATCGGCGGCTAGGATCACCATCATACTAGGAATCATGATATTAGATATTAATAGTGGTTGTAGTCATAATAGTCTCGGCAATCACCGTAGCCTTAGTAGGCATCAACGCCAGAGGAGGGATCGACCAACCGCAAGTCATGGAACATTCCGAAGAAGCCATGGAAGCCGATGATCACGAGGCGGTGCTGGTCCGCATATTCTTAGTATCAAGATTATTATTGTTGTTGAACGGGTGAAACTGTACGGTAATATTTCGTTCATTTCGGGGGTTTCGGGAGGCCCGGATCCTCCTGCTCCTTGGGGTTTCTGCGTTTCTTAGGGTTGTTGGGATTCTTGGGCAGCCTTCGAGGCTGCAGGTTGCGAGGGGGGATTCGGAGTCCTCGCCTACTACGGACTCGACAGATGACTACGGATTCTATATTCCAGCCCCCCTCATGACGAGGGTTCGAGTGTCAGGATGTCTCATCACTTGTCGAGTTGGGCAAGCCAGGACACAGCCGGACAGGCATGGTATGGAGCGGGTAAGAAGGTCGTAATTCTGGTAATTTGCACGGTCGCAAGAGGTACCGTCCAATACGCCCATAATCCACCGCGGCCGACATCTCCGGGCTCCGCGGCAGCATCGACCTGCAGCAAGAACGCTTGGCTCAGCCCTGGCGTATCCGGCATCGCCACAGGCGGTCGAATCAGGATTACTAGACGCAGTAACATGTACCGCTGGGGAGGAAGAGGGGAGTGGCAGAGACTGTGGCGGTGCTGTGGGATCCTCGATCTTCTCGGACGTTCGAAAGGCGAAGTACATCCAGCCCGAATGATGTGGACTGGTGGACTACTGCGTACTCTCCGTCCTATGGACAGGAGAAGATGAACGGGACCTCAACGTAAGCGCAAATCGCTGCGCCTCGTTCTGTAAAATTGCACCATGTGGGGGCGTCGCCGTCAGCCCTGTGGCTCGAAGAGGAACCCCCTCATCTTGTTATAAAAACCAACCCCTCCTTCCCTTCACCCTCCCTCATCTTCCATCTCCACACTCTCTTCATACTACTCACACACCTCCTCCCTTTCGTCCAGCACGCACCATGTCGGGCCAAGATTATTACAACCAGAACTATAACCAGGGTGGCTACCCTCAGCAGGGCTACGGCCAGCAGGGCGGCTACCCTCAGCAGGGTTACGGTCAGCAGGGCGGCTACCCTCAGCAGGGCTATGAGCAGCAGCAGCAGCAGGGTTATGGTCAGCAGGGCTATGGCCAACAGGGCTACGAGCACCAGAACTACAACCAGCAGGGCCAGGGTAGCTCCGGTGACTACTACGGTGGTCAGCAGCAGCACCAGCAGCAGCAGGGCCAGTACGGCCAACAGGACTACAACCGCGAAGAGTAAGCAATCATCCCATCGCAAGCTGGTTCCCTCCTCATTTCTAGTCCGGTGAAACTGACGTGGCTGTTTCAACAGGGCTCCAGGACAGGCTCAGGATGGTGAGCGTGGCCTCGCCGGCGCTCTCGCCGGTGGCGCCGCCGGCGCTTACGGCGGTCACAAGGTCAACCATGGTTTCCTCGGCACCATTGGCGGTGCCATTATCGGCAGTCTCGCGGAAGACGCTGTCAAGAAGCACCGTCACCGCGATGAGGGCCCCCCTGGTCCCCCCGGCCCCGGCGGTCCCGGCGGCCACTATGGCGGCCCGCCTTCCTATTCCGGTTCCGGCAGTGGCATGATGGACCAGCTCGGTGGTTTCTTCAAGAAATAGGTGTAGCGCTGCACGTCCACTGCTTCCACTTCATTTGGGCATTTCAGACGTTCTCTGCTACTTTGTGTTCTACCATGATGACCTCGCAACGCTCATGAATTTCCTTTTGTTTCATTTTACGGGAACGGGTTGGCATGCACTTTGCTTTTCACGGTTCGCTGCTACCATTTTGGTTTATGTCTTATTTTGTGATCCGATTCCCATTTCACCCCGAGGAAAGGGGAGCGTCTGTACCAAGACCGTCTTCGCATTGATATCAGAAACTATTTCCCCACGTGGTTAATTCAATTTTTTTGCATCTCTTTATACTTTACAGTTTAGAATGATATTCTTTTTGCATTATGCATTGAATCATTGAATATTTGGATCAGCCCTCCACTGTACCCACTAAAAAATGACGGCCTGGACTCGGCAATCTTCCTGTAGTACGATAAAAACCCTGTATGTCATGTCATGTTGCCATCCGACACGCGGGGTGATCAGCCTGCCCGAAGGGGCTTAGTCTGTTGAGGCCTGAGGCAAAAAAGGCTACTGCCAAGCCCGACAAAAGTTCGCGCGGACAGGCAATCTTGACCTCGCTTTCCTGTCCAGGCTCAACAATCCCTCACCCAACATGATTGTACGGAAATTGTGTGTGCGACAGAGTGAGTATACTCCAATTGTATTACTAGTCTACATCGTTTCTCCCGCTAACCAATTCTCCCAACTAGGCCGCCAGCTGCTGGCCCTGAATCGCCAGACCCCGGCTTTTAGCCGATTCCTTTCTACAGAGACCCCGACCGAGACGACGGTGCGGACCCCCGCAAAGGGGACCATCTCTCCATCAGAAAATCCTCTGCACGAGGTAGTACAGGCATCAAGGGCCAGCGCATCGCTCAGCCAACAAGAGTCATGGGGTGAACTCGAGAAGCGCAGTGAGTAGCAGCCAGACCTCAAGTCTCTCAGCATGCCCTCGCAGAAAATGAATACCCAAAGGGGAGCAGATTGGGGAGGATGCAGGATCGAAACAAAGCAACTCAAGTGAACCATTCGATCTAACCGCCTTTTCCAATTAGGACACAAATTCAACAAACTCGGCTCCTCCGTCAAGGAATCCTACGACCCCGAAGACGTCATTCGCAACCCTCCCAAGCCCTCCGACATCACCCTGGAAATGCTTCTCGCTGCCGGCACACACCTAGGCCACTCGACTTCGCGCTGGAACCCCCAGAACTCGCGATACATCTTTGGTATCCGCGAGGGCGTGCACGTTATCTCGCTCGACGTGACCGCCGCATACCTGCGGCGCGCAGCCAAAGTTGTGGAGGAGGTCGCTGCACGCGGCGGCATTATTCTGTTCGCTGGCACTCGCAAGGGCCAGAAGCGGGCAGTGGTACGCGCGGCTGAGCTCGCCGGCGGTTACCACATCTTCGAGCGGTGGATCCCGGGTTCGCTGACGAACGGCCAGCAGATCCTAGGCCACTGCGAGACCAAGGTGGTCAACGCGATGGATGAGGATCTGCCCCAGTTCAAGGCGGATCTGGCAGACCGCCCGGTCGTCAAGCCCGATCTGGTTGTGTGCCTGAACCCGCTGGAGAACGTGGTACTCCTGCACGAGTGCGGTTTGAACAATGTTCCTACCATCGGAATCATTGACACTGATGCCGACCCGACTCGTGTCACCTACCCTATCCCAGCAAACGATGATACTCTGCGCGGAACCTGTCTCATTGCGGGTGTGTTGGGCCGTGCTGGCCAGGCTGGCCAGCAACGGAGACTGCAGGCCGCCCGCGAGGGCAAGACGACCTACACCCCAATCACAAAGCATGAACTGCGGATGGATCCGTTCACGGGAACTATTCCTGGTGCGGAGCAGAAGCAGGACTAGATGGCGTTTCCTCTAGAACTGCGTTGTGTGTGGTCCCTTTATGTGTTGCTTCTTTCCTTTTGGACTTTCCGCGCGGCATTTGCATTCGAGCGTCGGGACTCCGGCTCTCACCCTCTGTACTGTATAAATGATATTTCCAGGCCTTGTGGGTGTTATCACATCATGTATTAACACAGTCTTCTTTTCTTCTCTACTTGCGTTTCCCCGATGTCTATCCTTTTTGCGTTTCTTGCATCTCTCTGTGGCTTTGAATACCACCTAGTGTCAGTTTATTGGTGAACATGGCAATCAAAATTTGCAATATATTCTCTGATTTCTCTCTGGATTTTGATATCGTTTAGCTAGGAGAAGAGAAGAGTCATTTTCTTATATGAGAGCAATAGTATGCTCTGTAGCCCAATCAATCAGTACTTGATCCCCGGACTGGTGGATGCAGCTTGGAATATGATGTGGAGTCGTGTTGAAGCGGATAGAAGATTTTCAATGGAGAAAAGAACATTATAGAAATTAAAGAAATTGCCTCCAACTTAGTCTGGGGAGGCCATGAGCCGGGGTCTCAAGATGGATGAAATGGACGTGGAATCCGAAATGGGTCCTAGCCGGCCAGGCTACTGGGTTGCTAGGCCCCTGCAGGTGTTTTTTTCTTTGCCTGCGTTGGTGAGACCGATAGTGGCATGCAGCTTGAGGGATGTTGGTTATATAATTGTGATGATAGGTCGCGTGTATCCCAGGAGGATACTTCAATGGTAAAACTCCATTATAGTAAGAAGATCGATGTGTTTGATCTTTCATTATATCATGATCTATATAAAACAAAAAAGAAATCTATGCACAAGATATTTATCACCAAACTTCTCTAACTTACGCCTTGACGGTGTATACAGCCCGACCACGAGAGTCGGCACCCTTGAACACGATGTCCTGGCCGGAGCTTGTCACCACGCGGCGCTCATCGCCGTGATGCAGGATAATATCCAGCTCCTTCCATGCCGGTACAAAGCCACTGGTCTGGTCGCGCTCAAAGTGCACCAACACCTTCTCTGCCGTCGAGCTATAGCTGACTGTGTATGTGGCCGTCTGCGGCTGCACCGAGATGCCGTCGTCCTCGTACCAGGTATAGTCGAAGACGGTTCCGTGAGACGAGCCCTGCGGCGGGAAGATCTCCACGCCGCGGTAATCGTCCAGCTCCTGGACGCCACGCGACGCAGCGGTCTCGTCGCCCGGCACGCGCGTGTGCACGTCCTTGCCGACGGGAATTGCGCCGCCAACCTTGGCTAGCAGCGGGATGCTGTCACGCCAGGCGGACGGCACCTCGACCCACTGCCCAGCAGCGTAATACGTGTACGGCGCATTCATGTTCACGTAGCCGTAGTCGAAGGCACCGCCCGCGCGCGGCAGGTACATGCGTGCGCTGCTCGCGCCGGCCTGATACACGCCACCGACGAGCACGCTGTCGCCGAACCAGAACTGCTCCTCGCCCTCCTTTAGCGTCTTGTTTTGCCATACCTCCGGGTCGGACTCGTAGCCCCAGCCAACCCAGCGCTGCAGCGGCGACGCGCTGCGGTGGCTTTCCAGTGCCAGCGAGTAGATATACGGCATCATCTCGTAGCGGCGCTTGATCGCGTCACGCACGAGCGGCGTGATCTCGGGGTACATGAAGGGCTCGATGACGTCGCCGACGGAGTTGTTGTCCGGGGATGTCTTGAAGCAGTTGATGGCGAAACGGGCGGACATGCAGCCCAGCTGAATCCATCGCAGCAGGAGCTCGGGCGAGGGTTGCGGGCCCTCGAAGCCACCGATGTCGTGTCCCTCACACTGGATTGGCGAGTTGGATTAGCAATGTTTCTTGTAAATATAAACCCTGGCATCGACCGGTGTCGTTGAGGACGGGGGTAAAAAGGGTTCTATCTTACCTGTAGGAGGGACATTCCAGCGTTCAGAGACAGGGCATTGGCACCCTTCATGTTCTCCCAGCTCGTGACGTTATCGCCACTCCAGGTGCTAGCAGAGTAGCGCATGGTACCGGCAGTCGCGCTGCGGGTCAGAACGAAGGGCCGGTTCTTGGGCTCCATCTCCAGCAAGGCATCGTGGGAAGACTTGCCCATGAGCTCAGTGTGGAGAGCCCGGCCCCATTGGCCTACAGTGCTATCAACGGTCTTCTTCACGTCCTTGTTCACCATGGCATCATCAAGGGCCATGGTCCAGTCGTCGCTGGGCAGAGTATACTCATTGTTATCGTTCCACATGCCGTCAATGCCAACCTTCTTCAGGCTCTTGACACCGTCAAACCACCACTTGAAGGCCGCCTCCGAAGTAAAATCGATGTGGCAGCCATCACCACCAGTGGCACCGCCAGCACTCCACAGGCGCATGTACCCAGGCTTGTCGGTATCGGGGTCTTCAAAGAACCCACGGGCATCAATCAGGCGCTGGAAGTCTGGGTGCGAAGCCAGCAGGAAGGGCTTGATGTTGGTGATCAGACGGATACCGTGCTCATGCATCTTGGCAATCCATTCTGTAGGGTTGGGGAACCGGCTATAATTCCAAGTAAAGACATTCCGGACTTTGGGCTCTTCCGCCGCAATTGAGTAGCCCGAGCTCATTTGGTGAGCTGAGCAGGGGATACCGTGCTCTTTCAGCTTCTCGGCGAACTCGAGGAGAGCCAAGTGCGCGGGTACCGGTTCATCCAGCATGGTGTACTTGTATCCACCCGAGATATATCCGTAAGCCCAACGGGGGACCAGTAAAGGCATACCGACTAGTTCGGCGTAGGATCGCACGATGTCCTTCAGGGTCTTGCCGACAATCATGTACTGCTCCAGACCCCCGTAGTCCTGACGGTAGATCTTGAAGTGGCCCCAGAGACCGTCAATCTCCGAACCAACCGACCAGGAACCGCGGCCATGGGTTGTCGAGAAGAGGGCGACACAGCCTTCGGGGGTGGCTTTGATCAGGAGTGGAATGTGCTTGTAGAGGGGATCGGAGTTGTAAACGTCATATCCGAAGCAGTCAGTAGCGGAGAGCTGAAAGTTGCGGCCAGTGAGGTCCATCGGGGCGCTCTTCTCGCCCAAGCCGACGTGAATGGCATCCCGATCATGAACGGAGTAGTGGGCGACACCAGATCCGTCCGCGATGTATGATCGCAGTGGCAGGTCAGTGTGCAAGGGCTTGTCGGAGCCCGTCCAGGAGGAGAGACACGACGGGAGTGTGCTCCCACTCAACCTTCGCGGTGACATCGCCGACATCGATGGTCTTGGAGGTTGCCTCACTCTTCGCGAGGACGTTGACATTTTGGAGGTCGATGGAGGGCTTGGTGACACTGGGGTAGGGCGGAATGACATGTTCGGGGGATGTAAAGGTCACTCGAAATAGATTCTGCCGAACCGCCTCGAAGGAGAAGTCAAAAGTCTTCTTTCCGGAGCTGCTGCGGAGATGCACCGAGGCATCGTGCTGCGCGCTCGCGGACACAGGCTGGTATCCCTTCGGGCAGGTCTCTCTTTGCGGCATGATGGGTATATGTGATTCGTGATGATTATTCACGAGAGGATGTTCCAGCAGCTGAGTAGGACTCTGGCAGTCCGCTGTATTTGTAGCATGCCATTGCCATTGCCCCGCGATTGACGTCGTAGTTGCTGGACGGCGTGGGGCAGTATACAGTCGGGGATCGGGGCTGAACCCCGACGCGCAAGTCAAGTGGTCTGGCTTAGCGGGAAACACGTGAGCTGGAGAAACCTAGTATGCACTCCATGCAGCGGCTAGAGACAAGGAAGGTTTAGGCAGGTCACTTGAGTTCCGTCGTGGACGTCGGCCGACTCGGGCCCATTGGGGTTCCCCACTTCGCCCATTCCAATGCCGAGCCGGGGCCCCAGACTGGACCACGCAAGCCGGCTGCCATCCCAAGGCCCTAAAAACTTTCGATGTTTCGGAGTTTTCGCCCGATCCCCGACCCCTAACCCTCATCCAGCAATTCCGTCCTGTCCGTTTAGCTGCTACTGCGTGCTACTACCCACTGTTTACCACTTATTCAGGTCTTTTTCCTCATGGACTCGGATTGATTGGTCCTTGGCTCACGGAACTTGCCCGGCTGGGGAGAGTCCATTTGCCGTCCTGCCCCAGGTCAGACAACCGTGTGGAGAGGTGGCATGAGAAGGTCGACAGGGATGACGCGGGTCCAAGAAGATCTTCCAAAAGTATCTCTGTTAGGAATCGGACTTGCAGTACGTCGGCCGGGGAGATCATAAACTTGTCTTCCCCACGGGGTGCTGAGAGCCCTATCTCTCCCGAAAGTTGATCTGTCGAGTGTCAGGCTGATCTTCTCTATTCTCTTATCTGCCTCATCCACGACCACATTCAAGCGCACTCGATCTTCCTGGTATATTTCTGTGAGACTATCAGATTTCACCAGATCTCTCTCGTATCTGTGTTTCCATTACTATTCTCTGCTAGCCGTCCAGCGATGTCGCAGTCGGCAGAGATTTCCCATTGCAAAGACCAACAGGATGAGTTCGTCGAGTCTATCGAAGCCGAAGGGCCTTCGAAGACCCAACCGGCACCGCTTGGAGACGGTCTGAAACAGGACCAGGCATTGCAATTGATCGAAGATGCTGGTTACTCGACCACCTTGACCCCGGAGAATAACGCTCAAGTGCTTCGAAAAATCGATCTGCGTCTGCTTCCCATTCTACTCTCTATCTATTTTCTTCAGCAGCTCGACAAGTCTACTCTGTCATATGCATCGGTCTTCGGCCTCATCGAAAAGGCTCATCTTCATGGCCAGATGTACTCCTGGCTGGGCTCAGTAGTCTACCTGGCCCAGCTGGTGTGTCAGCCCCTGGTCTCCTATGCTCTAGTCAAGGTTCCTCTGGGCAAGTTCATGGCGGCATCGGTCTTGCTTTGGGGTATTGCCTTGTCGTGTATGACTGCTGCCAATACTTTTGCCGGGCTACTGGTTTGCCGGCTGTTCCTTGGTGTTTTTGAAGCTGGAATTGGTGCGTTTGAAGGATCCCCTATCCAGAGCTCTGCTTTTTACTAACCAAGCAAAACCAGCACCGGCATTTATCGCAGTAACCCAGATGTGGTACCGTCGACGTGAGCAGCCAGTGCGATTGGGCTCATGGTACGCAATGAATGGCGTGGTGAACATGGTACGCCCCTTTTATACCCCCTCAACCAGGGGCGTTGTGACGGATAAGTCTGACAATATTTCAAGTTTGGAAGTTTGATCACCTATGGATTGGGCCACATCAGCTCCTCTGTCTTTGCCCCCTACCAGGTCAGTTGTGACCCAGCAGAAACCTGCGTCGTCAGCAAAGCCAAGTTCTTACCATGCACAGATCATATTTCTCTTTTTCGGCTTGATTACAGTTGGAGTCTCGGGCGCTGTCTTGTGAGTCCCGAACAAAATGATTTGATGTTTTAACCCAATTTACTCTGAAGCTAACACTGTCATGATAGGGTTTTTATGCCCGATTCTCCTGTGACCGCGAAGTTTTTGAACGAGGAGGATAAGCTTGTGGCGATCGAGAGGTATTTGATTTACATCGCCACTAGTATAATAGGAACATTGTTGACTGGCATAATAGACTTCGATTGAATCAGCAAGGCATTGAAAGCCATGAATGGAAATGGGAACATGTCAAGGAAGCCTGTTTGGACCTCAAGTCGTGGTTCTGGTTTGCTTTGATGATTTCAATCTCGTGAGAACCACACTATGCACAAAAGAAATCCTATACATTTATTTCTAACTCAAAGACAGAATTCCTAGCGGGGGCATTACAACCTTTGGCCCTTTGATTGTTGAATCATTTGGCTTCGACGATCTCAACACTATTTTGTTGAACGTTCCCTTTGGCGCAGTCCAGCTCATTGCCACGATGGGAGGCGCATGGTTGGCCACAGTCTGGAAGATGAAGGGCCCTGTGCTCGCATTACTGTGCCTTCCGCCTATCGCTGGCTGTGTCATGCTTTTGCGTATTGCTCATGACGACGCTCACAAAGCGCCTCTGCTTGTGGGTTATTATATTGTAAGTGATTTACCAAGCGACTTTATTGGGACTATTCTAATAGTGTACTTTTCTTACGTTTAGATTTCTGTTTATCCCGGAATCAGTAAGTATGGTAAAATGTAAAATCTAGAGCCTTGCTGACCCTCACTAGCTCCTTTGATCTACTCATGGTCTGCTGCCAACACTGCAGGAGAAACTAAGAAGAAGGTGACAACTGGTATCTTAATTGTAGGCCAGTGTGTCGGTAATGTATGCACCCATTTCTATCACGAAAGCCATGGAAAAATGCTCACATTGGACACATAGGTTATTGGCCCTACTCTCTACACTACTGAAGAGAAGCCCCTCTACCGCCGCGGTCTTCTGTCAAAGTAAGCTCCAGGACGACTTTCATTGTTGAGATGAAATGGCTAACTGTGTTTGATGTTTAACAGTCTCTCACTTTTCTGCGTCTTGGTACTGCTTATTCTGTAGGTTCCCTGTATCATTAATAAATTGTACAGGATAACTAACTCTGCTAGACTGAACATGGCCTACTTGTCATTCCTCAACAAGAAACACGAGAAACAGCGCGTTGCTCTTGGAAAGAATGCCAAGGTCATTGACCACTCGATGCATGCCGTTGGCGCCATTCATACCGACAAGGAGGGTACTCCTGTGCAGGAAGTGGCCCAAGATAACGCCTTCAAGGACCTGACGGACATGGCGAACGAGGACTTTGTATACGTATATTAGGTACTATTTATCGTAGGCAGGCAATGCCCATGGGAGTTGGGAAGATTGGCCAGTATTCATGAATATCTAAGGAATTGAGTTTTCGTTGGCTGTACGGTGTACAGAAGCCGGATAAATGTTCTATGTGTTTCTAAAAAGACCCGCTCCACAAAAAAATGGTCGGCTTCTTCTGGTCGCCCCAGTTTGTCGAGTCCGGGGCCGCCAATAGCCGACCATCGGGGCAATTCCCGAACCCCGCGTTTTCTCCCTTCCGCATAGTCGAGCAGAAACACCGCGATACCCTTTCGACGCGTGCTGCAAGGGCTTATCATTCCATATTCGGCAATCAGATGCAGAGCGAAGATTTAGTGCATGTGCTTCCTGCACCAATTGGGAAGAAACGAATCCCTGTATGTATCATGCTACGCCAGAGCGTCGGACTGCTCTTTTCTGGATGTCTAACAACGGTCGGAATATAGAAGGCATGTAGTGCGTGCCGACAATCTAAAGTGAGTCTATTCGCCTTTTTCATACAACCCTTTTTGTCTGACACCAGCTACAGGTTAGATGCGACGGCGATAGACCTTGTGGCAGGTGAGCATGGCCTTTAGGATCATACGATTCCGAAGCTGATGTATCCGGCCATCAGGTGCCAAAAATTCGACAAGCAATGTATTATCTTCGAAACTCCCAAAGACCCGGTCTCGGAGTATGTCAGATTTTGTTTTCCTGCCCAGGTCCTATCCATTGCTAACAGATCCCAGGAGGCTTGAAGGGGTCGAGTGCGAGGTCCAGTATCTCAGACAACAACTAGACGACATGCGGGACCTTCTGCAGAAGCATCATGCCTCACCGTCTGTGAGCTCTCATAATATCTCCCCAAGGCAAATACGAGACCATCCGCGCCGGACAAGTGCTTGTAGCTCGTTATGCTCCCAGTTCAGCCGCCCGCCCAACCATGTCAGCGCCGTGGCTATTTCAGATCCGGCTAGATATTTAAATGGAGATAATCCCACTTACCAGCAGTCTGTGCCGGGTGTCTCGCCAAATCAGATATCTGTCAGCTCCATTTATGAGCCTTCGAACGGGAATATTCTTCGGCCTTCGAAACGGAAACGTTCTTGTTTCGAGATACGTGACGAATCAATTGCAGATTTTATTGAAAAGGGCCTCATCACACTCGATTGTGCTGTCTCTTTCTTTAACACGTGAGGCATTACCCACCATCTGCATCCCGGCGGCGAAATAGCTAACACGCAGCGGGAAATACGTAGTTTCTTCCAGGGATGTGTATGTAGAAGGACCATACAACAAAGTCATCCGATGACAGGCGGATACTAATCTCTTTTCTATGATCCAGGATAGATACATTCCGATCTTCGACCCAGACCATGATACGTTTGAATCAGTGAGAGCCCGGAGTAGCATTCTACTTAATGCCATTTGCACGATAGGTTGCATGGTCGAGACAAGTAAGCTCCAAATACGATCATACATTCAGCGGTTATTAACTCAAGCATCTACAGGATCCGGTGGCCCGACGTCTGATATGCTCCATGCTGAGTTGAAAAAATGGATCAATGTCATAATCCAGAACAAACGACTGAATTGCCTGGAGTCTGTGCAGGCAATGCTGGTAGTTGCCTGTTATTCTTCTGAGCGTCTGTTGATCTTGTCATTTGCTACCCGGATGGCTCTTGATCTGGGGCTGCATGAAGCTTTCGAGGAACTCACAGAAAGGCTAGCAACGAATAACGATGAGGACTCATATGGTGTCCCAGACCATGACCTTGAGAAGGAGCGAATCTTAATGAGGAAGTCAAGAACGTGGTTTGGGCTTCTGGTTCTCGAGCATATGTATGCACCTATATATCAAGTGCTTTAACGTTCAAGCTGATGTTTCATGATACAGATTCCGCGTCGATGGAGGAAAGCCACCTGGGATTCGGCTGATAGGTAATTCTCGACGCTGTCGGATCTTGCTAAGCAATCCGTCTTCGACTATCTTGGATCTTCGGCTGTTCTCTCAGGTTGAGGTATGTTGCTGGGTGGAATCATTTTTTATGCTGTGATCAGTGATAGTGACGTTGATTGCAGTTGAATATTTTAAGGGGTAGGTATATCCAGTCGTGTTGTTCTTCAATTAAAATGTCTAATTGCTGCATTAAGCCACCATCAACGATACTTTGGGGGGCGGAACAAATCCAGATCGAGGCGCAATTTCTGATTTTGTCCATGAGATGAAGATTGATATAGATTTGTGGTTTGAGTGGGTGACTAATTCTGATCTCTAAAAACTTGGTTGGACTAACTTTACCTTGATTTAGCGATTGGCTGCGAATTATTGGTACAGACTTGTCCTCCGTTTGGGCTTTCTTTCCCGCTAACCAAGTCGCAGAGGGTTGTATTGCTGCACAACAAGAAAAGCCATTCTTATTAGTCGCGTTACGAGTCCAGAAATGTTGGGCCGAGATGATGCTGAATTGCAAGGCCCTTCGGGCCATGGGTGTTGAGAACGTCGCGTATGCATCACTTCTATTGCCTTTTCTCGGAAAATACCAGGCTAATCAACTCACGACACTCCAGTACAATGTCTAATACAGAAAGGGAAATCCTCCTCACTGCCAAAGCCAGCGCCCGTCGACATCTACGACTGATCATCGTCGAACCTGATCTGTATCTGGCCAAGCTTAAATATGCAATGGATTTTGTCTGGGCGAAATGCGCGTTCTCATACTTGCTTCTCCTCAAGTTCTCGCGACTTCTTCCCGAACGGGACGAAGAGCATCAGGAGCTCCTGGAGCATGGAAACCGCCTAGTTCATGAACTGAACAAAGCCGGATCCAATATTAATCAATCTGGAGCAGGGAACATCTACCTCCAGATTTTGAATGTAAGCATCGAAAAATACGGTCGAGCCTTGCGAGAATCTCAGCAACCAAACACCGGTGGGTCTAGCGGTACATCGCCGTTCTGGGAGCTGTTCGATGCACAGGCAGATTTACAATGGTTTGTGCCAGAGCAGTTTGTGTCGGAATGGGATTTCCCAGGGTTGAACTTGTTCTATTTTCCTACTGCTTGGCAGGATTTCTTTGGCGATTTTTCGCTGGCTATGTAAATATATCGCGGACCCAAAGTATGAGATGTTGATCATGAATGGATCGGAATGACACAATCTGTTTCCCTCTTTCCTTCAGTAAATGTCATAGATACAGACCAGTGTAGCTTCTATAAAATTGTTGAACTTTTTGTGAGGCCCTTGATCGATATATTATGGGATCAGGTGCTGGAGGTATCAATAACCGAATCGCAAGTAAGAAAGCACGTTAAGTTTCATCGCGACAAGCAGACTATGCAAGGGCCTTCATCGCAAGTTCGACACTGGGAAAGTATTAGTTTTCTTTTCTTTCCTTCTTCTCCTGTTCTTCTCCAGTTGAGATCAATGGCACAAGGGAAACGTACACAACAAAGGTACCCGCCGAGACAGGCATAGCTCTCAGCAGGGTAGGGCCGATGCCCTTCCAGAATCCACCGAGACCCTCCATAGCATAAGTCTTCTTAAAGCAGTCGCGCATGTTGGCGAACTTCTGGTTGGCACCGAATCCATCCGTCTGCATCTTACTCTTCACGACATCGAAGGGGTAGCTGGACAGCCACAGAGCCTCACCGGCCAGACCACCGTAAGTGGCCACCTTCACTGCGGAAATATCCTCGCGCTTGATGTTGTTGCGCTTGGCATCCTGGTTCATCATGAACTCGAAAGCCATAAACCATGAACCGTAGGCCTGGGCCTCACGCAGCAGTGTGACAGTGGTACCACGATACACGCCGCCGAGGATACCACCCTGTGCAGAGAGCTTCTGGATACAGTCAATAGGGCCCGCGTACAGGCGGCCAGCGCCGTGTGGCTGCGCCTGCAGACGGATACGGATGTGCTCGATCGGGCTGGACAGCACCGTGTTGGTGATACCGGCGAACGAACCGGCTAGGTAGTATTGGCCATAAGAGAGCGAGCTGTCGGCATACTTCTTCTTGTTCAACTCCTCGAGGCGACGGCGTGCCTCGTGGAATGCGCCGAACTGGACGCTAACCTACGTAGCAGAGGGGGTTAGATTGGCAGAAAGAGGCATTCGATCGCATGGGCACTTACACAGGCACCAATTCCAATAAGAGGGGTCAAAGTTCCTTTGTAAAAAGCCGCCGGACCTTCTTTCTTGAAGATCTGGGTGGCGCAGTCCAGAGCACCTTTGTACTGCGAGGTAGTCTGGAGGCGGACCTTGACGATATCTGTGGCTCGGTTAGACACGCTTAAGCGTTGGTGAATTCAGTGCGAGGCAGCACGAACCAAACGGCTGTCCTAGAATAAATAGTTAGCGAGATCGACCTGAGAGAATAGAGAAAGACCGTAACGGAGTCCAGCCACAGCAATTCCCATGCGATTGCAGCGGAGATTCATCGAGGTTTCCCGTCGCGGGCAGCGCACATACCCAAAAGAACCTGGGCAATTCCACCGGCGGCGCCCGCCGCCAAATCCTTGACGGTGCGCAAAGCACCACCGCCCTTCTCAAGATCCTCAAGGGCTTCGTGAGTATCCATGGCAAGCAACGAGTCAATTGGATCAAGGTGGGAGAAGTGATAAGTTCTCCAGGTTGGTTTATATCCAGGAACCGCTTATCGCGATTGCGCCATCCGCACGCTGATTCGCAGGCCGCGCCGACTTTGCGGGAAAACGGGGCCGACGGGGTCTTTGCCGACGGGAAACTTATGTAAGCGGGGCCCGCGATTGACAGAAGTTGAAGTCGCCAAAAACAGAGTGGAGCTACGAGGATCTGTCCGCGTCCATTGCAGCTATGCACCGGCGAGCAATTTGGAGGGTATGTTCGGCGTGCATACGTTATTTCGGTGGCTCTTCAATGTCTAACATTTCGTACAGCTATCGCGCCGCGTCGATGTGTCCTCATCGACTACATCGCCATCGCCGAATCCCTCGTATCCGCGGACCTTTCGATCGTCCGCGGTCCGATTAAACACATCTGAATCGGGCGGTGGAAATGGTGATGATGCAGGCCCTAGTCCTTCAGCGGGTACTCCCAAGTTTGGAAACCGATGGGCGAGCAGGCAGACTGCAAAGCCGACAGGCTTGAGTCCATCAGAACAAGCTCTGCGAGATTCTCTCGTGGCCAGCAGCCGACCCGCCTCTACTCCGGAGGCTTCCAAACGATCAGGGCCTGCATGGGGGAATAGACAGGTTGCAAGGCCAACAGGTCTTAGCCAGGCGGAGCAAGCATTGCGCGACTCTTTGATGTCGAGAAACCGGGCGGCAGCTGCACCAGAAGCTCGGACCGGATTTAGTCGCCAGCAAAAACCTCCGGGGTCGCGCCTTAACAGAAACCACACCCCCCGATCTACCGACCATTCCCCCGAAAATTTTTCCAGGTCGACAAGGACCAACGCAGGATCTCAACATGAGAGGCAGCACAGGTTACATCGACCTTCGCGGCGTACTGATTGGCACTGTCAGAGCTGCGATTTAAATGTCTTCGCAAGACACGATTCATGTCCATCCTGCAAGTCCCCGCGCCCAGAATCACCGAGGGAAGAACCAAAGGAACGTCGAGCAGGAGACTGGAAATGCCACGAGTGTGATGCGATTGTTTTTGGATGGCGCAAATCATGCGTCCAGTGCGGCGCACCAAAACCGGCTTCCCAGACCTTGCGCAACCCCTCAGGAAAGAGAGATCATGCGGGGGCTACTAAGCTCAAAGATCTAGGCCAGTCGATTCTTGCGGAGACGGAAAAAGACAAACCCTTTAGTCGTCAAATGCGCCACACCGAAAGCAAGTCTTCCCAAGAACAAGAACAGACAGCGAAATCGGACAAACCGGAGAAGAAAGGCAAGAAAGAAAAGAAGGAGGTGGAGAAAGGGAAGGATGCAAATGCTGAGCAGAAAGATGAATGGGCCTGGGATATGTCTGCCCTGAAGGATTTGGAAACTCTCGAGGCCCAGCAGAATGAAAGTGAGCAGAAAAAGCCAAAACGACGGGACGGGCGAAAGCAACGTGCATCGCAACCTGAAGAGGGCGATTTTGACCCGGAGGAGCGCAACCGTCGTCGCGAAGAGCGCAAGCGCAAGAAGAACAGGGGTTCCAAGGAGGCCGAGACTGCCCCTGCACCTCTGTACTTGCCCGAGTTCATCAGCGTGAGTAATCTTGCTGATGTTATTGGTGTGCGACAGGCACAATTTGTCGCCCGCATGGAAGAGATGGGCTTCGAGGACGTGACTTACAATCATGTTCTGGATGCTGAAACTGCCGGTCTGGTTGCGGCTGAGTATAACTACGAGGCTATCTTTGATACTGGAGCTGAAGACCTGAGTGCTGCACCGGAGCTAGAGGATTCGTCTTCGTTGCCAACCCGCCCACCTGTGGTGACGATCATGGGCCATGTTGATCATGGCAAAACAACCATCTTGGATTGGTTGCGCAAGTCTTCGGTTGCAGCTACTGAGCATGGTGGCATCACCCAGCATATTGGTGCTTTCTCTGTTGCGATGCCGTCGGGAAAGATGATCACTTTTCTGGACACTCCTGGACACTCTGCGTTCTTGGAGATGCGCCGTCGTGGTGCTGATGTGACAGATATCGTTGTGCTTGTTGTGGCTGCGGATGACAGTGTGAAGCCCCAGACTATCGAAGCCATCAAGCACGCTATGCAAGCTGATGTTCCTATCATTGTTGCCATCAGCAAAATTGACAAGGAAGGCCGCAACCCGGATCGGGTGAAGCAAGACCTCTCGGTTCACGGCGTCCACGTCGAGGACTATGGCGGTGACGTCCAGGCCATCCCTGTAAGCGGTAAGACCGGTGAGGGTATGCTGGAGTTGGAGGAGGCCATCGGTGCCCTCTCGGAAATGCTGGACCATCGTGCCGACAGGACCTGCAATGCAGAGGGATGGGTTATCGAGGCCACTACGAAGAGCTATGGCCGTGTGGCCTCGGCCCTCATTCGTCGTGGTACTCTACGACCAGGTGATGTGATCGTTGCTGGCCAGACCTGGGCTCGCGTGCGAACACTTCGTAACGAAGCCGGTGTGGCTATCAGTGAAGCCACACCAGGCATGCCGGTCGAGATTGACGGATGGAGAGAACAGCCTGTTGCTGGAGCCGAGATTCTGCAAGCCCCCAACGAGCAAAAGGCCAAGGACGTGGTTGCCTATCGTCAAGAGCGATCGGAGACCCAGAAGATGGGTGAAGATATGGTTGCTATCAACGAGGCTCGCCGTGAGCTTTTGGAGAAGCGTAAGCTCGAGGAATCGGATTCGGAAGAGCCAACTAGCGCCAAATCTGAGCCATCCGGCCCGAAAGCAGTCAATTTCATTATCAAAGCTGATGTGAACGGCTCGGCCGAGGCCGTACTGAACTCCATCGCTGCCATTGGTAACAACGAAGTCTACGCCAATGTCCTGCGTTCCGGCGTGGGCCCAGTGACAGAGTTTGACATTGAGCATGCGGCTAGCGCCAGTGGCCGCATCATCTCGTTCAATACACCCATCGAAGCTAACATCATCCGCATGGCGGAGCTGGAGGGTGTGAAGATTATGGACCATAACATCATCTACAAACTTATCGACGACGTCAAGGATGTTCTCAGCGAGCAACTAGCCCCTACCGTGACCCACCGGGTAACAGGTGAAGCTGAAGTTGGCCAGATATTCGAGATCACTGTCAAGGGTCGGGACAAGATTGCTATTGCGGGCTGTCGTGTCCGCAATGGTCTCATCAACAAGACCCGGAAGGTCCGAGTAATTCGTGGCAATGAGACAATTTACGATGGTAAGATCGCACTCTACCACTCCGATGCCTCGTACCCATATATCATCGAATCATTTTCACTGACTTTCTTATTCAGGCACTATCACCTCCCTTAAGAACGTTAAGAAAGACGTAACAGAGATGCGCAAGGACACCGAGTGTGGCATTGGCTTTGAGGATTGGACTGATTTCGCTGTCGGTGACCACGTCCAGTGCTACGAAGAGATTTTTGAGAAGCGCCACCTGTGAGCATAGACGTTTGCAGATGCCTCGCTGCGGTCCGGTAAGCCGCTGTATTACTACTAGATTTGATTCGACTCGTTTTCACTGTTTGCTATTTGACCCTGTACCATATGTCCACTTTCCCCTTTTCTCCATCAACACTGTTTGCATCTAGGGCTTGGGCGTTGTTCTACATACTACTTTACATTGGAGACAAAATCGGGATATATATCAGATGTACCTAGGTATGGGTACGGACATAATATCGCTACGATGTACTATATGAAAAATCCTGGATATGATGAAGTCGAAGCAGCTCGATACCTATGTATAATTTTCAAAACCGATCATTCAATGCATTACATTCCTCGTGTAGTCGATCTCAATGGTTCCTTTCTTTTCCACGGACCGAGTTACTTTAAGACCCCAAGAGTAGTACATCATTTCGCTTTCCATCTCACTCGTCCAACCCATTTTGCCCAATCTTGCACATCCTCTCTTTCCAGTATTCGATCCACAGTAAACCATTCCCGCGCAAGCTCCTCGTTACTCGCCATGCGATGCACGAAACTATGACAGGCCCGGCAAAGCCACGCCACACTGTTGAGCATCCACTCGTCATGCCATCCTTTCTTCATGACCTTGGCATGGACGCCACGTGGAATCAGGTGGTGGTATGAGAGCGGGATCCAGTCGCGCTCGCAGATCTCGCACGCGTCGGCGCGTGTCGTGCTCCACACAGGTGGTGCAGTTGTCACGCTGGTGATGTACTCGCTCAGCACTGGAGAAAGGAAGCTCGGTAAGTCGGCAGCGTCAGGAATGAGCCCGTAAACGGAGAGCGAATCTGTCACGGTGACAGGGACGGTGGCACAGAGTGACTCGAGCACGGGTTGGTCTACGGGTGTGTCGGTGTCCGCGGGGACATACAGAGCTGCTAGGGCTGGATCATGCTGCGTTGCAGAATAGGAAATCGTTTGCAGAGGCAAAGGGAAGGAAGTGAATGTTTCGGAGGCGATGAACTGCACGGATTCCTTCATGTGTTAGAATATACGACAGATTCAAGCTCTTTCCTGACAGCCGGATGGGATGATAATAGGGAGGAATATTTACATCGACAAACTCCGCTAATTCCTCTGGATCGACTCGCTCCGGCAAAGTAGTCTCAATTGCGCTGGAGGGTTCTTTGTGGCCGTTACGCTTAGCCTTCGGTCTCCGTTTGACTGTTGTCCTGGGCTTTTCGGAGCGGGCGACGATGGCGCTCGAGAGGCACTCGCGGAACACAGTATAATTGTCATCGGAAGTCATTGGCGTTTTTGGAAAGCATAGTTTCACCTGAACTTCTGTCTGGCCCGTTGGTCGCGCTCCCACGGCAGAGTTGCAGAGTTGAAAGTTGGGGCGGAGATGCCCCGCGGCAGATTGACATCATCCGTGGTCAGTGACATTGGCTACGGCGAGTCCCTGAGCGTTCAAGAGGAGCGAAGTGGAACAACACAGTCTATTGCCATCTGCTGGTGAAGTACTCCTTCCATAGTCGCTCTCCTGTTGCCCTCGTTACTCTCGAGCATCTATAGGCGAGCGCCCGCCTTCGAATATCGTCATTATGGCATCTAAAACTGTGGTTGCCTTTGATCTCTACGGCACTCTCTTGTCAACCGAGTCCATCGCATTGGAGCTGGGACAACGCTTGGACTCGACCAAGGCACACGCTATATCCACCCTCTGGAGACGATACCAGTTGGAATATACATGGAGGCTCAATAGCATGGGTAAGCCTTGCTTGCTCCATCGTTCGATCTACCAGTGAAATTGAAGAGCGCACAGAACTCTACGAGGACTTCTCAAGCGTCACCCGAAACGCCTTGCTTCATGCACTTGCCGAAAACAACGAGCAACTGAGCGACGTGGGCATTGCAGATCTCATGGAGGCGTATGACCGTCTGTCTACGTTTCCCGACGTAAATCCGGCGCTCAACCGAATTGCAGCGGATCCCACAATACACGCGGTAGTTTTCTCTAACGGGTCTCAGACCATGGTCTCTAACTCAGTGATGAGGTCCAAAGATCTCGCGTTACATGCCGGTGTATTCCAGGACCTGGTGACGGTCGACGAGATCCAACGATACAAGCCATCGCGCGCCAGCTACCAGCACCTTGCACAAAAGGTCGGCAAGCAGCCATCCGAGATGAGTGAGCTGTGGCTCATCAGTGGAAATCCGTTTGACATTGTCGGGGCGCGAAGCATGGGCATGCACGCGATTTGGGTCGACCGCGCACGCCGAGGATGGCAAGACGCGGCGGCCCCAGAACTACAGCCATCGGCGATTGTACATAGTCTCGAGCAGATCGTGGAAGAGATCCAGGGTCGTCGGAAGAGGTGAGGGAATCGCGTCATCTCATCGACGCAAGCAACAGCTCCGCGACATCCTGGACAAGGAATTGAGAATCTGAAAGGGAATGTACCGCTGAAATTATTTCCAAACGCTCCACGTTTCGACAAAGAGTTTGGGGTAAGCCAGCCAGAAATCAGTCTATCCTTCTATTTCCCCTCGAAGAACCCATTGTAGAGCGAATTCCAGAGTGAATAAAGAAGGAATTCAGTTTATGTATGAAGAAGAAAAGAGAAAACGCTCCGGGCAAAAAATCTCGGCTGATAAAGCCCGTCCCAGTAGTGGCTGACTAATATCACGTGGTGTTGAGCTCGCGAGTGCTTATCGATAAGCAAAGCTCTGTTGTCTTTGAGACGCATTCTCTCCCGGCAACCATCCGTTCTCGTGCTCCCCTACTTCGCCAGCCCCGTCTCGTGAACGATGTCGCAGCTGTGGGATCCCAGCCGGGCGGCGTGGCTCTATCCTTTTCGGGTGTGTGGTGATTCTGCAGATGTCCACTTTTTGTTTCTCCCCGAGTTCTCGGATACTAATCTGCCTGTTTCCAGGGTATTTACTACTTTGCAGCTCATCGATTCCTGTGGCCCTTGTTCAAGGCTCGGCTCATTCCCATCGTCCTATTGTCCAGTTTCGTCTATTTCCTGCTCTTCTTTTTCACCTATCTACCCCAAGTCGCCTTTTTAGCCATCTTCCAAGGTGCGGGAGCATGGGTCAACGGTGCGTTCCTCGTGCTTGGCGAAGGTACCGCAATCGTCGCCGCCCTATTTGAGGCTTTCTTTGTGGATGAGACCCTAGTGGATATTTTCGATTCAGTGCTGGTCAACGAAGGCCAGGAAGAGCTTGTGCTTGCTTCGCGAGTCATCTACCCAGAAGCCGGTGACCCGGCCAGCCGGCTCGGCACCCCGACAACCAGCGCTGTCTATTCGCCGTTCTCGCTGCGGCAGATCGTCGAATTCATTTTGCTTCTGCCTCTCAATTTCATTCCCGTGGCCGGCACCCCCATGTTTCTAATCTTAACTGGTTATCGAGGGGGTCCGTTCCACCACTGGCGGTATTTCCAGCTTTTGGATTTCACGAAGCAGCAGAGAAAGGCTAGCGTGAGTCGACGGCAGCTGCAGTATACCACGTACGTAATGTCCCTCTGTCCTTCTCAGTCGACTCTCCCTTGTCCTAACCAGACCTCTAGCTTTGGAACTGTCGCCCTGATTCTCCAGTTGATCCCACCTTTCTCCATGTTATTCCTCATGACCACCGCAGCTGGCGCAGCATTGTGGGCTTCCGATCTCGAGCGCAAACGGCAGCTTGCTAACCAGCGACCCACCCGACTAGGCGACAATTATCATGACGATTTTACGGTATAAGATATGGGACATGGCTTAACGAATATCACACATGGGTGTTGCAACATTAGGGCAACAACCCCTTCTAATCTACCATAATGTATGAACCCGTTTTATTTCGATGCGGGCCCTCACAAGCCCCAGAGGGCGCAACCTGGGGACGACTCCCGTAGAATAAACCCAATCAGACCGCGCCGCCGCTGCTTTAAACTTCGTAGCGACGCCCCTGGGAATGCTGGGCGCACGTGACTCCTTCCCGAGGCAGTCGCCCGACTGGCGATGCTTCCGCCATTTATTTTGCACAGCAACTGGCCGGTGGATAGGATTCGGGAAGGTGGATTCCTCGAACTCAAGCACTGTTCAATTGGCCCCTTTGCGACTGCAACAATTGGCTGACCAATCGCCGGCTCTCGGACTCACGGTTGGCGCTCTGACCGCAGCTCCATTGGTCTACGGAAACTCGTGCGAAACCCCAGAAAAAAAGGGTCCTCTTCGGAGTGTGCGGCGCATTGCATTGTCGATTCTTTATAGCTCGAGGTGCGCGATTGAAAACCACCTATCTAGAAGCCAATTTCCGCGCAATCCCTTGCAAAGTGGGTCACCAAGATCACCCCGCAGTCCCTGGATGTACAGAACCTTAGCAGCCACAGAGCTTCTCGGTCTGCACCGACGACCATGACTTGAACATCCCACAGGTCGGTCATGTCGGCAAGGCCCTGCAGTAACGAATGGACCCAAAAACTCGGTTGCGGAAGGCCTGCGACGCCTGCAGCATCCGGAAAGTGAAGGTTGGTCGCCCCCTTGAAACCTTGTCCAATTCCTGTCACTGATCTCCCCAATACAAGTGCGATACCAGTGGCCCACCATGTCGGTCCTGCGCTAGCCTGGATATCCCATGTACGTATGAGCGGCCAAGCAGACGTCGTGGACCACCAAACCGCCATGCGGAAGCCCTGAAGAAGCAAAAACTGGAAACCCCAGCAGATGGCTCTTCAGCTAGTCCATTTGACTACCCGCAGGCGAGCACGCCGCAGGCTTCCGTGCCATCACCCCGTACTCCCGCGCTACCATTACCTGCTTCAGCAGAGGCTATCTGCTCTTTGCATACAGTCCAGCTTCTGCTCGATGATTTCTTCACGTATATTCACCCTTTGGTACCTGTACCCCATGAACCTACTTTTCGTGCGGCATTTGAGCGCCGCGAGGACGTCACGAGCGGCACATTTCTTGCCCTTCTGGCTTCCATGATTGGATTCCTAGTCGCCTCCTTCCCCCGGCGGCCTAAACTACGTCTCAATACTGAGGCGGAACGCTCGGCGTTCCCAAACTCGATAGCTTTAGTCAAACGGTGCCATGATGTCGCCGCTCAAGCACGAGGTACTGGATACCTGGATCGCAATGCTACAGTATATGATGCTGCAATCAGCTACTTTCTCGGCGTTTGTTCCGGCTATATTTGGAGCATGCGCCGTTGCCGGACTTATCTAGCGGAATGCCGTGCTATGCTGCAGATATACGATCTCTGCCGGTCCCCTCCCAGAACTCCACTTCCATCAGTACCGAGCGCTACCAGTCCAATGTCGACAACCTCGGTCATATCTCAGGACCAGCCACCCCAGGGCTTAGCTGAAAGTACGACTGTGGATTTAATCACCCAGGAACTCGGGCGCCGTCTTTTCTACGTCGCATTTGTTGGATATCAGACACTTCACCAAATAGGGTCTTCTGATATAAAAGTTCTTGTTCCCCCGGAAACACCAACGGATCGCTATCCGCCTCTACCTCTCGAAGTCGATGACGAGTTTCTTTTTCCGACGCATGTGCTTCCACAACCCACGGATCGTGTATCACGACTAGTAGGTTTCAATGCGAACGTGCGCGTATACAGCTCGTACAATGCCCTTCTAGCCTGGGAGATTGCTTTCGGCAGTGGTCAGATCTTCAATTGGGAACATCAATGCTCCTCTCTCTGGGACTGTCTCCAAAAGGCAAAGTCTGCGCTTGTTAATGTTCCAGTCGAGCTGTCTCTTTTTCATCCAAAGCCACGTGCTCACGTACCGGGCATGGGTGAGGATGGCTCGCTCTTTAGCTACCCAGATGACCATATCCACCAGGAGCGTCGTGCAATCCAGTACGAGATTCAGAAAGCCAACATATATGCCAGTCAGCTTTGCACCAGGTCCTTCCTGGTTGAGAAATACTGGAATCTTTTTGAAATGTCCACCAAGTACGGAAGGTCAATTCAAATGGCAACACCCAATCTCGCTGGATCCCGTACCAAAATTGAAAGCCCGTCGGATACTCCCACCGAGGGGGTGCCTGCTGCGACTCCATCAGACTCGTCTTCGCCAGCCATGGCACATGTACAAACAAACTACATTGGCAGAATGATGGCCGAAGAGCGTAAACTAGTGATTAAAGACCTATTTGTGCTTCTTCGGACTGTCAATGAAGTCAATATGGAGCCCAATGGTGCCAGCATCGTACGTCGCTCTCCAACGTGGATCTTTCTCCCGTCTCTTTTCCATTCTCTGTTTCTAACAATGTCCAGACAAGCAAAATCCGCCAAGTAGCATCCACCCTACTCAACATGCCTCACCACTCCCGACCCCAGTTTAGCCCCAACACCACCGCCTCAGATGACATTTCTCTGGCATCTGGTCCACCAAATCAACACCAGCACCCGCCCTCTGGGCCCCACGTTCTCACAGCTGCAGAGGCAGAATCTTATCTACAAGCGTTTATAGACACCCTGATCCGGCTGGAGGGCCATTCGTCTGCGACGACAGACCCAGGCAGTGTGGTGGAAGGCGTGAGTCCGCGCGCGAACGGGCGCGCGATGAGCTACTTGAGCGATTACGAGCGGGACCAGGAGGAACTGAGCCAATGGGCTAGTCTGAAGGAGTATCAGCAGAAATTCGCGGACGCGGGAGGTCTTTTGTCAGAGCTTTAGAGGAGTTGGCGTTGTCCATACTTATTGTATTAGCGTACGTTACTTTTGAGGGCTCAAGAATATACTGTCCCGAGTCAAGTGCTAGTCGAATCAACAAATATGATTGATGTTGAGATCCATCAGATCTCATATATATGACTTTCTTTTTTTGTATGTTTTGGAATATTGCACATTTCTTTTAACCAAGGACTAATTAAGAATATATGAGAAAGAGAAAAGAAGCCATTTTCGCTGTGAAAATATGAAGATTAAGACTAAATTGCAGGTATCTTAGCAGGCAGTAATATGGCGCCGACATCACAAACTTCAACGCAGTCATGCTTCCGTGTATTGAATTCGAGATTCGAGACAACACCGCATTCTACGCCCGCGTAGTAACGGTCATAGTCTCGACAACCGTCTTGGTCGTCGTCTCCCTCCACGAAGTCACAGTTTCCGTCACTGTGACAAACCAAGATGGAGTCACAGGAGTGAAGGTTACGCCGCCCTCACTGCCACTATCAATGGCGGCTGTAGTAGCAGCGTATTGGGTAGTAGTGGGACTCAGCGCTGCAGATGATTTGGACGTGAGCTGCTCTTCGGTTGTCTTTTCTGCGGTCGTCGTTTCTGCGGTCACGGTAACGGTTCTACCGGGCATAGTCACCGTGACGCTCTCGGTCGCTGTGGCGTGGATGGTATACGTCTCTACTGTCTCCTGGGCCTGTGAGGAAGTTGAGCTAGAGACTGTGCGTTCGGCTGACTTGCTGGGTGTTGCTTGTGTAGAAGCCGTCTCGGCTGTTCCTGTGTGAGACTGCGAGGCCGGGAGGGTTGTTGTAGAAAACGCTTCGGTGGCCCCTTTGGATATGTACACGATGACAGGCTCGGTGATGGTGACTGTAAGGCGAGGACTGGAAGTTGTGGGAAGGGCTGAGGGAGAAAGTTGCTGTGTCATCCCAGTCGTGGAAGTAACTGTGACAGGACTTGTGGGTTGAACGTTTGTAGATCCCTTTATGGTGGAGGAGGACTCTTCTGTCGCTAGAGATTCGGCAGTGCTAGAGTCCGTGGTTCCATCAGCAAGAGTAGCCACAATACCGACTGTGGGGCTAGCTGTCTGTGGAGTTGAAGAGTCAATTGGAGTAGTGCTTAACGATGAAGTGGGCGAGATAAAGGACGCCGATGTTTGTTCTTTAGGTAATGCAGGAGTCGCCACAGTAGTAGTAGCACTCTTTGAAGTATAAAGCGGAGTGCTTATAACTGGTGCTCCGAGGGTATTAACTACACCTTGAGGCGACGGGCTTTGAGAGCCAGTACTCGTATGAACGGGGAGATGAGATCGCAAATTCCCGTTATTTATTAATGTCGACGAACTATGGACATAAGTCGGGGTCAATCTGCCGCTGCCTTTTGGCGAAATGGAAATATTCTCCGAAGGTGACGGAGACGTCTTGCTTGTATGGATTGTAGTTGAAGAAGAGACGTCCGGCGTATCGGGCGAAGGCGATGATGGTCCTGGAGAAGGCGTCGTTGTTGACGAAATAGCCGTTCCATCACCGAGGTATGCTCGAGAGGAGTCTGCTGCTGCAGAGGATGGTGCATGGGTCTTTGCTGGTGATGTCAAAGGACTCGTAAATGAACTGTGCGGCATGGTGATTACAACTGGTAATGAGAACGACGAAGAAGAAGTACTCGTCTCTGGCGCATGTACAATAAAGGATGACGAAGTGTGATAGACAGGAGTGGAGCTTGAATGGGATGAAGTCGAAGTTGTTGAATCAGCCTGGCCGTTCACGGCCGAAGAGGCCGCGCCTCTCGAGGTACTTGGGGTAACAGCAGAGGTTGAAGTGGCGGGCCCCAGAGATGTAGTTGGCTCTGGAGATGTATTTGGCACTGGGGAAGTAGTTGACTCTGCAGAGGCAGTCCAAGTCGACAGCCATGTCGGAGTTAAAGGAGTAATAGTCAGGATTCCCTCATCCTGGCTTGTAGAAGCACTTCCCACCTCTGAGGAACCAAGAGATCCCTCTGAGGAGCCAGCAATATTGTCAGGCACAGCGGATCGGGCGATAGGGCCCGCAGAGCAGGTGCATGCGAGCCCAAGCAACGCCGCAAAATGGGCGAGGAGCATTCTGAGAATCTCAGACTGGTGCTTGAGGTCTTTGGATCAAAGCGAGTGAGAATAAGAAGAGAAGTGGCAGTCAAGGCACGTAGCAACGAATGGCGCAAATAGGGTCGAGAATGAGAATGAAATATCAAAAGAAGATATAAGCGACGGTGGCAGTGAAACACAAAGAGCTGCAGGAAGGGAAACAAATAACCCGTCCCTTTTAAGAACCCCGAAGGCACATCAACGGGGAAAATATTGGAATCAATGGTTGTGCTGCATGGCTGTTAGGCACAGGCAATGGAGAATTGAGAGCGGACGATACAGGCCAGAAAGAGAGACGAGACTCGGTAGTGGTCAGCTCAAAAAAGCCACCAGTAACAAACAAAAAAAAGAATGAGGCAATCCGCGACAGAACACGGCAAGAAAGAAAAAAAATTGAGAGAAAGGAAACGCAGAAACGCAGAGATTACCCTAAGGGGGGGGCACTCGAGGCAATTGAGCGAGGTTATAGCTTCCACTTCATGCGTGCCTAACAGGCTCACGTTGTATGCACTGGTCCAGAGCGCCCGGAAGCGCCATTGCCAGGAGGGCATTGTGGGACTAGCATGTTTCAGCCTAGGCTGAAAGATCAGGAGTCGTAAGAAAAGAAATTGGTCGAAGAGAAGTCAAAGAAGGACAAAGATGGGGAAAAGAGCAGCCCCGTCGCGCGCGCGACATCGTGCTGTTGCAGTAGACGCCCACGGTTGGGCGCTTCGGCGCTGTGATTGGCGGAGCAACGCCCCCGGTAGTTTTCTCAATTGGCTTTGTTTTGAGTAATAATAGACCATCGTATGTGCTTTAAATCAGGGCTAATAACAAAGGACAATTTCAAGAATATTCAAAAATGCTTGCGATGCAGGAAGGGCATACCTGCAGGTGTGGGACGTCCCATCGAGAGAGAGAGAATGCGATTTACTCTCCTCTTCTCGTACTCGGCAGGTTGACAACTAGGATAGAATAATAATTATGATAGGTAGCTATGATGGATAGCTATATTCCGACAGATTTATTAAACCCCATCATTCGGGCATACTGCTGCGTCCATGAATTCATAATCATAAAGCTTACGAGACTACCGTAAAAGTCCCCCCGATCCCCTCGAACGACGAGATCTCCCCAAGGACACTCTTTGAGTCTCCATAGTAGTGCATACGATACGTACCACTCTGCACTGGATTCGGGTCACCCACACTGTAATAATCATCCTCGATCTGCCACTGTATCGTCACCTCGCTGTACCCCAAGACTGTGTTGGTGCGATCCCACGAGAATACTAGGTTCCAGTCGCCGTCATCGCGGACAACTTCCCACTCCCCCGAAGCGGTGTTCTGCTTTTCAACCGCCGCAAAAGTTGACTCCTGGTGGAGATTGTTGCGCGGGTTGGCGCCAACAAAAGTCGTATTGACGTAGTCTCCCGGGCCGTAGGTCTGGTTGGCCGGGTTCGAGACCACATCGCCGAAGGACTTGCCGATCGGAGCCCCATCATAGACTACCCCGGTAATGAAGCTAAGGGACCGGTTGGTGTTAACAGGCGGGCTAGGCCCTGTCGGGATGTCGGGGAGATTGGCGATGTCGGAAGCGCTCCCAAGATAAGGCAGATACGTGAGGGTAAGGTTAATGTATGCGGCAAGGGTGTTGGGTCCGTAAAGCGTTGACGCCCCCTCGTAGCGTTGGACGTCGTACTCTTCCTCCGTCGCGACATAATGAGCGTAACTATTCGACGGGGCGCCGAGAACCACCTGCGGGTTTGAGACGGATAGATTATTTTGGGCGGCGCTGGCAATGGCCGCCTTCCACCGACGGCCCGACATGGTCGTGGCTTCGCTAGTCGAGACGATAACAAATAACTGCCCGACTCGCAACACCTGGATATCTACGATGTCGGCAGCCCATGCGTAGGGCTCGGTGAGCGTTCCAACATCCAGCAGGATATCCTTCGCCCCTTGGCATTGCTGTTGCTCCTCACTGGGCTGATGAATGAACGCCCGGGCGACTGCCCATAGCGGGTTTTCTGTGGCCGGGCTTGTTGCATTCTGTGTGAAGTCAAATGCACCAGGACCATCAGTTGTACCCGCTGCAAAGGAGTATCCTAGCGCCGCGGGACAGGTCTTCAATGTACTTCCGTTGAACGGAGATGGAAAGCTGTACCCGTTCAGGTCCTGGTAGACGTGGAAGGAGCGCACATCCGAACTTCCCGTGATCGCCGTCGCGCTGGAGCTCATGTCCTCGTAGAGCGTCTTTGCAGCAACATACTGACGCTTGCCAATCTCAAAGCAGCTCTTCGCACCGTTGTCTTGTTCCCGGAAGTACGGGCCTCGGCCGTGACAATCTTCGTTGGTCCCGCCACAAGTGCTGTCAGAATAGGTGCACATCTCCCCAGATCCGTCCTCGCACCATGCACCGAGAACGTTCGGGCTGGTGTCTCCGACATTGGCCTGTGAGAAGCCGATCACCACATCGTCAGCGAATCGAGAATCGCCATCAATGCTGCGCTCAAACAGATAAGCAGCAACGCCCTTATTGTCGCCAGTGACTATTGTGTTATTATTGTACATGGATGTGCCATGCACGGGGAACCAGGTCAACACTGCCGCAGTCTTATTATCCGATTCCCGGTCGAATCGTAGGAGGGTCAGCGTCTTTTCGACGTTGGCCGAGTACTTGGCTTTCTCTTCCTCGGGGTTGTGATCATATGAATATGGGCTGCGGTTGATGTTGGCATCTTCGAGATCAATGGACCCAAAAGACAAGCGTCCCGTGGTCAAACTTTCGTGCGCTCTCTGGATGGACAGGATGGTACCATCCACAATCGCCTGGTAGCTCTGCTTGTCAAATCCCTTGGTCGGGATCTGAGGTAGCAGGTAATTCATCCACGCTCCTGGTCCGGAGTGGGAATGGGTTCCAGTGAGTGCAACGTTGTGCTCGCCATATCGCGCATAGTCGCTGCCTAGGGCGGCGAGTCCTTGCAGGACTCCATGTCTCACTGCTGTATCACCAGCGAGCGTATCGAGGACAAGATAAATGAAGGTATCTTCAGGCGTATTAGGATCTGCAAATATAAAGGCACGGGAGTAAATTCGCTGTCGCAGACCCGTGCCCAGCTGATCCAGGCTTGCATAGCCATTGAAGTCAACCTCGACGACCGGCCTAGAGTCTTATAATTAACTCCGTGCTTCTTTCATCCCGCCAGGATCGCATGTAGATGACAGGGGAGGAGACCATACCCAGTAACATCTGCCTTGCCCGCACCAACCAAAAACAGACTATTGTCTGTGGCTGCCGAGCTCGCTCGGCTTCTCCATTGATTGAAGCTTTTGCTAAAGCTAGAGACTGGTGCCTGTTCGGTATGCGATACCACGGCAAGCAATTGCATGAACACCAGCAGGGTCAGAGTGATGGCGCCGAAGGCGACGCCAAGTCGCAGGTTCGCCATGGTCTATGCAGTATCCGTAGCGTATGCTTAGGGCTTAAGTGGATATGGAAAGAGTAGGGATTAACACATCCGGGTGGGCACACCAAGCACCGTGTGAGGTCAATGAGTATGTCAGGCCGTGGGCCTTTCGCTCTCAAGAACGGGGTGGCACACGAGTACTTAAGCTCTGCGTCACACCTAAAGGCAGCATGAAGAACCCATGACCGAACGGGAGTCGGAGGTGATGGAATATCGCTTCCCGTCAAAAGTAAGCCTCCGGGTGCCCGGAAAGAGGAAGATAAGAGGATCAGAGAGTGGCATCCCCGCTCAGCAAGCGTGTGATGGAAGGGAAACAGGGCTGGCCGGGGCCCTTGACCGTCCCTTTTGAGTATGCATGCACGGTGATCGTCACGGATTCGCGCATTTACACATTCCGCGTGCCCAAACTAGCTTAGACCCCGTTCTCTAGTCTTCTCGTTTCCCCGCCCGGAGCTTGATATACGCCCGATATGGATATGAAGTCGATGGGTATACAAGGTTTAGGTTGTCAGAGCTGGCATATGTGATTTATGCGCTTACCTAGGCGTTTCTGCTTGCGCGAGTCGGGAAGCGGGGGAACCTGGACCTGTGTTGGCATTCAGGTACCGACGCTGTCTGTCCAAGGACATGGTCATCAGGGTTACACCATCGCACTGCAGTCACTACATCTTGCTCGTCATTCGCCGGACGCCACAACCTGAAGGTGATAGTCGGGGATTTAGGGGTTTAGTTGCAGGAGTAAAGCACCAATCGCCGCGTACCAGATTCTGCCAGTCAATTCAGCGCCTGATAACCGATAAGATCACGTGGAATTGTTGAGAGCCTCACCGCCTTGGGCTCATCAGGGCCGAGCCTTCCCAGGTTCGTCGAAGGTCCGGGTTTGATTCGCATCTCCTCACTCGTCACAACCCACCACTACCTCCTTCTATCAGAATGCCGCTCATCAATGAAGCGCATGACTCGCTCCCTTGTATGTCTTCCTCAACTACTCAATTGGGACTGTACCTCCTGCTAACCATCTCCAGACGTGGATGCCCAGCCCTCAGCCTCTGCGCGCCATCAAGCCCAGCAGCTCATCAACGCCGAGCTAGCTCCCGAACACGCCTCGACCCTCCACCCCACAATTCCAGAGTCCCCAGAGCCCAAGTTTACACCCCTTTTTCAACAAGAACTTTCACGCAAAGCCACCGGCACCCCTCTCACCGGCGGCATCGACCTCTCCCGCTATGAGGCCCCCGACCCACCAACCCGCAACTCAGATGATGAAGTTCCCAATTTATCCGAATGGTGCGAAACTCTGCGAAAGGCTTACACGTCCAGTTTGCATCTGACAAAGCGCCATGAGAACCTGGCGCTACTGGAAGAGAGCGGCAAGAACGCCTGGTTGATCGGCAACTCGCAACTGGAAGAAATCCTGCGCGACCTTGAGAAAGAGCTAGCCGAGACCAAGGATGCGGCGGAAGAGGTGAACAAGCAGCGCAAGATCGCGCAGGAAGGCAGCTTCGGCGAGATTGTTGGGCTGGAGGAGACGTGGAAGCGAGGCGTTGGCTCGATTCTCGATGTGGAATTGGCGTCTGAAGGCTTGCGCATGCAGATCCTGGAGCATCGGCGCCAGGTAGCGCAACAGCAGATCCGGTAAAGCATCTTGCTATCTATTGGATACGCGCTTTCCTTTCTACGGATTAGAAGCGTCCGCTCGCCGAGTCGAGCGATTGATAGGCGGTATTTCTCTCCAGCCAAACTCCTCTGCGGACCCAATTGGAATTGGCACCATAGACGACGTGGTTATGTCTTCTCTTGCTACAACATGTATGCCTCGAATGGCATTCTCTATTCTACGTGGCAAGAATGTCCGTCCGCGGGCAAAGACGTCCGAGAGGATCCATCAGGCAGCCTTCTTGAGCGTTGAGAATCACCGGATGATACTATCTGCAAGCAATGCTTCCAGAATTCTCAAATTACGATGATACAGAATGTCGCAGGCCCGACATCTGAGGCTGTGTGGTTGGTGGCAGACGAATGTCTTGTTCTAAATATTTGACCAGCTATCCACATACCCAGCCAGAGGTTTCATATTTAGTGAAATTAGGCTGCGTGTTTTGAAAACTCAGCTGGACGTTGCATCCTTCTGTGTTCTATTGCTCTTCTTATGGCATGCCTCTTAACACCAATGTTTTGGAAGTTCTACGACTTCACCCTTTTTACTCTTATAGACATCAAGAGCTCGATATAATATACCCACATCAACACAGCATTGGCTACTCATTGCGATCCCACTTCTAATTCCTCTTCTCATTACTCCTAAAGAGTTAACACTTCAGTATTTACATCTCAATCTCAATATACACGAAATCCTTAATTACACACGCTAAATTTTGCTGAAACAAAATAGACCAAGGGATGACGACATGTTTTCCCCAGAACAAACACTTCCAAGAGGTATAAAATCCACGTTGGAGCCATGTTCCGGATTCACAAAGAACCCATATCCACCCACCCTACGCGAGGGCTCATCTTAAATCTTCTCCGGTGCCACAAACTGCACGTCCACCCCGTCCTCTCCCACTTTCACAACCCCATTCACCGGCTCGACCGGGGCGCTCTTCTTCGCCAGCGCTTTCGCATTCCAATCCACCAGCTCCTTACACATCGCATCCAGCGTCGTCAGCGGCGCCTTATACCCAAGCCCGCCCTCCGCAGGACTCCGCCGGGCCCGCGAGTCATCTGCAATGCAAAATACATCCAAGATGGCAAACAGGGATGGCTGGATCTGCAGAATATCCCCCGTCAGTGCAGGCAGCAGCCACGGCAGATACACATGCTGGACATAAACATAAAACTCAACAGCATAGGCCAACAGCAGCAGTGGGACGGGCTGCACGGCTGGGAAGGCGATGGGCGTGGTGGCAAGGGTGGTGAGCAACGTGTACACATCGTCGAAGGAGATGGCTGGGTTCGGGTCCGTCACGACAAATGCCTGGCCGCCGGTATTGGGGAGTGTGCTGTTTGGCTGAGACTGCTCGAGAAGGCGCTGCTCGTAGAGCAGATGCGCAATGGAGACGTTCTCCGCGTTGACGAAGCTTTGGATGATGGGGCGGGCCCAGCTAAGGAGCTCTAGTGAGTATGTGATCGAGGTATACGAGGGGACTGTTGAAATGGAGAACAGCTACTTACGTTGGGCTGCCACCGTTGCGAAGATACAAGCCGGTCAAGGTGTTGCTAACTTCGCTTCCAATGCCGTAGATTCCGTTAGCAGGTCTGATACAACCGGTTCGGAAGCCAGCACTCGGGTCGTCCGCTGCACGGACTATGCGCTCGGCCTCGATCTTAGTCACGGCATAGTTGCCAAAGAATTCGTTGTGGTGCTGGGGCAGCTTCGCATCATCGCTCATGACTTGCATTGCGTGCTCGGGCAGCTTTTTCCAGGGAGCGATCCAGAAGTTAGGCTTGTGCAGAGACACGGAACCCGAAGAGGTCGAGATAAAGCACGAGGCACCGGCTTTCCTCGCGGCATTGAGGACATTCTTGGTGCCGCCGATATTGACCTTAGCGCACCGTTCAATGTAGATCTCCTGGCGTTCGAATGGGCGGATGGTTGCGGCTGTGTGAAAGACAGTCAATGGAAGATGGGCAACTGATTCTGCCCAGGGTTTTTCGAATGCGGCAGATACGTCCAGCTCATCGGCGATGTTAGTCTTCACATACTCCACGCCTTGGTCGAGAATTTCCGCGGTGGGCGAGAGTAGATCCAACACACGCAATGACGCCGGGTCCTCGCCCCGGGCAAGAAGATGCGAGACAATCCAACCCCCCACAAGACCTGCGCATAGATAGCAGTCAGTATCATGCACATTTTAGATCGGTACTCTGATTTGCAATTGAAAAAAAACCCAGGGCATTTACAAGTATGACCCTATAGGTTGGAGTTGGAACTGGAAATCCGGGTATAGGGCTTTCTATGATCTAAGACATACCGGATCCACCCACCACCACATACCGGCGTGACTGCTTCGGAGGGAGGCTTTGAATTATATCAATAGGTGCTTTCAAGCTCTTGTCATAGGCAGCTTTGACCTCGTCAACGGTCCATCGGCGAGGTGAGGATTGCCGCGCGGCCTCAGGAACCCGTTTCATGGCCGTATTGACATGGTAAAGGTAGATTGCGGCGGCGCTCAACAGCGGAATCACAATGGTAATCATGATGATGGTCTTAAATAATTCAGCACTTGTCTGCTACGGATGTAGCTGTTGCAGCAGGCGCAGAGAGTATGCTGACGCCCGATAGTTTTTGTAGTTGGAGAGCAGCCAGCGCTGTAAAGGGTGATGTCGATGAGGTCTGGGGCTATAATGAGAAGGCTCCCTCTAAATAATCGTCGGCGAGAGCGAATTGTCAACAAGCACACTCTCAGGATTCTGTGGCGCAGTTCGTCGTCGAGTCTAGACCTGCGAGCTTTCAAGTTTAGGGAGCTTCAAAGCTCTGCGGGATTTGGTATGAACGACACGCAAAAAGACGGATGAAGGGAGGACACTGGTTAATATTTTTCTTCATTTTTTGCCTCACTTGAATCTGACATCTGCTTCTAATAAGGAATTCAACAAATGGTCTATTGCTCCGAGCTTCGTGTTGCTCCGCTCTTGTTGCATGGTCGCAACTGCGCCCGAGTCCCTTTTTTTGAAGGGTCGCTTAGAAAATTAGTTCTTCGGTTAGTTCTAAACGAGGTAGTATGTGCGCCGTGGTTGGCTGAGGGACTCGTTAAGCAGCAGCCATTTCTCCGAAATTTCAGATCTGATCCATTCCATCGATTCTCCATAAGAAACGTCAGCCATCTCGGATAGGAATGGCACGGCGAGCCTGCGATCGGGGGACCCAGACTTTTGAACTTAAAGGTCGCACGCTAGACAGCCAAGTGTGCCCCTGATCCACTCGCCAGTCCTCCCGACTTCGTTCAACTCCCCAGATCGGATTTGCCGGCCCATCGGAGCATTACGAGGCGTTTAGGTAACCATGAATTCCCATGTACTTTCAATCGGATTTACGCCGAAAGACCAGGTTCGTCCAGAAATAAAGCCAGATGCCGAAGGATGGGGTCTTTTTACCTCTGCGATGATTAAAGCCTCATCTATACTGGGTAATAACTGGCAGCTCAGGGTGTTTCATTTCCGTTTTCGGCCTTACCCACTTGCCACTTTTCCTTACGGAGTGGAGTAGAGCACGCCCCTGAGATACCCAAGCTCGCTTGATATAACACGATATGCTCGCTAAATAGATCCCTCCAAACCCCAGAGCACCTATTTTACCATCTCTAGTCTTCCGAGGCCCCACGTGAAATGGACAAGTCAAAAACTCATTGTCAGCCCAATCTACAGCAAACGGCGGTACTTATACCTACCTACACTAGGATTACTCAAGAGATAATTATCAACTCAATCGTAAAGATTCAACTATTTATATCACCCAATCCAGTCAGCAGCTCGATGAGGACCATAAATAGAATTATGCCTACCCACTGCGGTCAGCAATTTATCATGAAAACTGTGCTCCCGCCTTCTTAGGTCTTCTATCATTTGTAGAGCCATTGTTTCATCACTGATTAGCTGTGGAACGACCTTCACTTACGAAAGATATTCCTTCAGAACATTCGTCAGATCTACTTTCGTGTTCTGCTAAACTAAGCCGCGTCGCTCTCTGTAGTCAGTAATCAACAATCAACCCCTTTGCCAACATTATGACTGAGAACCATTTTAATAACTTCTTTCGACAGGAGAAATATTCATTTATAGCTCCCTTCTTCTTGAGACTTTGTTCAAGGACGCTATGGGATGTTAAATTTCCCGTGTCCAAGCGACAGAGTATATATATATATCTTTTGATGTCATGCTTCTGGGCACGCGGCGCAAGGGGTAGATGGCAATGCTTCCAACACTACCAATGCAAACCGTCCTTATCCACACAGCATTCAATTACTGATGATAGTCTTAGCCAATTCCAATGGTCAATGCGCTACCACGGATGGGGTGCTACGAATAGCCAACCAGATCAAGCCGGGTGACTTCAATAGTTGTCCTGAAGAGTTTAAGAATATGGGCGACCAGATACACCCTATGGCAGAGGCGGAGCTAGCCAATGCCCCACAGTTACTAGTCATGGCTCATGAAGCCAACTTTCGCTCAGCGGCCTGATATCCGTCTTCGCCATTCTACTTGCGACGTAACGGGACAGATGAGCGAAATCGGTCATGCAATGCCTAAGTAATTAAATCAAGACACGATGATCTATCTGTAATGGGCATCCCACAACGAATCTGATCAACCATTAGTAGGGAATAAGCATCACTATATTTGTGACTGGGCGGCCTTGATTTAAACTCTCGTATGCACCGATATGCTCAAAATCAAATATGAGTCTAAAGACAGATAAATCATCCACATTTCGGTGCAGTCTAGCAACACCATACCCTTCTCTTGTCATCAGACTTGTACTGCGAATGGATAATCATACTACGAGTATTATTCTTATTATTGATGTCATTCACTTGCAACACTGATATGCCAGCCACAGTTTCTTTAAGCTCAACTTTCTTCGCTTTTATATAGATTAGCATGGTGCTCTCCTCGAGCGCTTCGGCAATTTGGAACGACCAATCCAAATCATGCGACATATCCAAAACTTCAGACGGATTCTGTTATAGGCTCATGAGCTGGAATCAGAGCAACAGAGAAATTTGTTTTGTTTTTCTTTTGGGACAATTTTTTTGATCTAGATCACAGAAAGAAAAAGACGCCTTACTGTTATCTATCCATTAACTCCTAGGAGTATAATATCAGGGTTCGCATATTGAAATAATGCATAAAACAAAGAGAAAGAGCTCGAACCGTCAGCATCGAGACCGATTTGACAGAAATAATATCATCATAGGAGGGAGATAATTGGTCAAGGAAAAAACTGTTCAAAACTGTCCCAGAGAAAAAGACAAGAACGGCAGTAAGTAAATCAAGCGCCGGATCTACTAGTGTAGCCATGGAGGCATCTATAAACATCGTTTTCTTTTGTATTGTAAATCTACTTGCAGACTAATTTCTATTCAAGTTCCCTGTTTTTCTTTCTGAGAACAGTTTCTTCCTCTGGGCTCAAGGAATCAAGTCCATTTGAGAAATGCATAATATAGATCTCCCAAACATCGTCGAAAGAAGGAGTGGGTCGTGACCTGCGGAATGCTTCCGCGTCCTCGGCTACGGAATGCAAAGGACAATCAAAAAAGGTAATTCTAAGAAGCGGCAGTGCCCATCGGGATCTTTTCGATACACCTCGACCTCATTTTATCGGCATTCCATGCTCCCGAGTCCCAGCTATTGCTTTCGGCTCATGGCCCACAATGTGTACGTACGGTCGGGATGTTCACTCACCCGATATCTGAAACCCCCTCCGATCACCGGCTTTGAGCCTCCCCCAGGGCCAGCACAGCGCAGCCACGCGGCAATTCAGTGACTGCCAACCCAACGGTACTTAAGGCCGTTCGCAGAGAACCCCGACCCCCACCTACCCTCAAATTTCTCGGCGAGGAGGGCAGTCTGGGTTGACAGACATGTTCTAAAAGTCGGTGGCCAGACGTGACGCCCATGGATTGCGTATTCGGCAAACCGGCACGCTAAGCGCTAGCCAGCCTAGGCCAACCCACTCGGTTCGAGGCCGTGATCCACTGGCCGAACACAGACAGGGGGCGATGCTCACGCTCACGCCTTGTCATATTCTCGGTATGGTCTCAAGATGGAGACTGATTGTTACCCACGGGGAAATGGACTCCATTTCTGGAGTCCTGGTCGGGTCTGGGGGAGAGGAGGAAACAGACAGCGTGTATGCAAGTCCGGCGTATATTCAACTTGGATTTATACAATTTGAGGCAAGGTCAACCCTCAATATCTAGACTGGACCAGTCGACTCGCGGTGCCTCGGCCTGCTTTCCGAGATAAATGGCCCCCTCATTTTTCACCGTGTGAATCATCTTCCTCGGCGTGCATGGCTCTGGCCCTTCTGGTTACAGAAATTAGGCTTATCACTTCCCCCTCCCCCCGAGCCCCACTTGGTTGTCCGCGGTCCTTGGAAAATTTCTAATCAGGTTGAGTAGAAAGAGGGCAGCTTCGTGCAATTCTCGTGCTGCTTTTTTTCTTCGTCGCGATTTGATATCCAGGCCTGGGCGCGGTTCTTGGCTCACCATAATTGAGACCAACCTGGCAGGCTTCCAATTACGCCTAACGAATCCTTCTATTTCTACTCTAGCTTCTTCAAATCAAAAGCTCCCTAAAACTACTTGTTCTTCTCATTGATGAGTTCGCGCCTCAAGAAACCAGCCTCCTGGATGCATGTATAACGAAATATCGACGCTTTACACCATCTTGTCCGCACTAACCACCAAAACGTTTCGAACCCAAAATCATTGTTCCTGGTCTCCACTCGAGACCACAAAACTGGAATAAGCTTCTCAATCCCACTCGCGGAGCTTTGCTTAATTACTATACCGACGCCACCTTTTTTCGGCCTCTCATTTATCGAGGATGTCTTCACAAATGTCCTCGGACTCTCCCGAAAAGTGGCCCCAGAATACAGAGCGCCTATCGCGAGACACTGACTCGATAGCAGAGTCGATCTCTTCGGTAGACACCCAGGCTGACCAAGATGCACTGGACAAGACGCTCACGGCCCGCGCCTCACGCGTCTCGGACCATATGTCGCTGTCGCAGCGAGTGACTACTATTCCGACGAATGCGACGGCGGATCCGAACTATGAGGTGGATTGGGACGGCGAAGATGACCTAGAAAACCCGAAGAACTGGTCACTACGGTATAAAGCCCTCGGTTTGTTGTTCCTGTCGTGGAACACCTTGATTGTGTAAGTCTTGAAAATACAAGGCCACTCCCCTGACCCAGAGGGCCCTTTTCATAATTCAGATGACGTGCTGACTCAAATGCTCTCGAAGCGTGCTTTATTCCACTTCCTATACTTCGGGCGTGGAATTGATCGCCGATGAATTCGGTCAGTCTCAGACCGTTGTCACTCTCGGCCTGACTTTCTATTTGATCGGTCTGGCTATGGGGTCCATGTTCATGGCCCCGCTGAGTGAGGTCTATGGCCGGAAGCCGGTCTGTGTGATCTGTCTGGTTGTCTTCACTGTCCTAATCATCCCCTGCGCCCTGGCCAAATCGGTGACGGCGTTGATTGTCGTGCGTTTTATCGGTGCGTTCTTTGGAAGTGTGATGATTTCTACTGCACCCGGAATGGTGGCAGACCTGGTGGATGATGAACATCGTGCGTTGGCGATTTCGATATGGAGTATTGGACCGCTCAATGGACCCGGTTCGTACCTTCCTTAAATTGCTCTTTTTGAAGCCAGACTTCGTGTCCTAACGATTATGTTTGCAGTCCTGGGCCCCGTGATTGGAGGCTTCGTCACGCAGTACCTTGGCTGGCGCTGGATGTGCTGGATCGCGTTGATGCTCTCGGGCGTGGCCCTGGTGTTTGCGCTGATTCTGAAGGAGACGTATGCGCCCACTCTGTTGCAGAAGAAGGCAGCGCGTCTGCGCAAAGAAACAGACGATTCTCGTTGGTGGTCTCGCTATGACCAGAAGGCCAGTCTGTACGAGACTCTCAAATTGAACCTAAGCCGCCCATTCGTGATGGCCGTCACTGAACCCATCTGGTACGAACCTGACCCGCTGGCAAGCCCATCACGTACAAGTTGGGAGGTCGAGAACTAATTATATTTTGAGCAGTATCTTCTGGAACATCTATATCGCCATTGTTTACGGTATCCTTTACCTCTGCTTCGTTGCCTACCCAATTGTCTTCGAAGACATCCGCGGCTGGGACCTGGGTTTCTCCGGCTTAGCCTTCCTTGGTATCGGAATTGGCGTAATCATCACCATCGCCTGCGAGCCGCTCGTCCGCCGCCTCATCAACCGCCACCCGATTGACCCTGAAACGGGGCGTGTGCATCCGGAAGCAATGGTTTCCTTCGTGTGTATCTGCTCAATCCTCATTCCCATCGGCGAGCTCTGGTTCGCATGGACCTGCTCTCCAGCTTCGATCCACTGGGTCGTGCCGCTGCTCGCGGGCATCCCCTTCGGCGCCGGCAATACCGGCGTCTTCATCTATGCCTCTAACTACCTGACCTACAGCTACGGTATGTACGCGGCCTCCGCGCTCGCGGGCAACTCCGTCATTCGCAGCGTCTTGGGCGGTGTTCTGCCCCTGGCAGGCTCGTACATGTACGACAGCCTTGGGCCGAATTGGTCCGGCACGTTGCTGGGGCTGCTGGAGGTTGCGATTGTGCCGATCCCGTTCATATTCTACAAGTATGGGCACAGAATTCGCATGCGCAGCAATTTGATCGTGCGCATGCAGGAGGATAAGAAGAAACTGGAAGGGAAGCGGGCGCGCAGGAAGCCGCAACAGCAGGCCGCCGCCCCACCGAATGATGAGGAGAAGCAGACCGAATTAGTTTAAGGTCATGACGAGGGCTGAGGCATTCTACTCTCAGTTCATTTTGTTGTCGCGCTTCTTGTTGCTTTGATTGATCGATACCCTATCGGCATTTTTTGCATTGGAGGTGTTTGGAAAAGTTATACGGTCATCGATTGGGACCGTGAAAAAAAAGCCATATCTTGCATGAGCACCGCATTAATGTATAGGCCTTAATATCATGATTTATTTCAATTATTTTGCATGGTATCATGTATCGTAAAAGAAGATTATGATTGGGACCAAGGTTTGTCGGATCCGCAGAAAATTTCCTGGACCCCTCGGTGCTTGGGATTGAAGCTTCATGTAGAGAAGCGGATTCTCCGCTCCACATCTTGGACTGTGCGTAGGATACGCTCATACTCTCCCAGTGCAATTGCACCGGCTGAGAAGACCATGACCGCGTCAACATAGACGGGGCGAGGGGCGACTTTCGTTGGTAATGACTGGGTTACTTCATTTCCATTTGATTGAGACGAAGAGAACGAGGACACTGGAGGGTTTGTGTCTCGAACATAGCCTAGCACGTTGAGCCATGAGCCGACTCGGAGCTCCTCTGAGGTTAGGTCGGCCAAAACGGCATTGATATCGACCGACACCGAACTTGGTTCTCCACGGCTGCGGGGATAGTTGTGCTCCAGGGTTAAATGACCCGTGATAACATCGTATTGGCTCACGCTATTCATCGATTTTAGCATGCCTCATTGGGATCGAGGTTAAGAGTTATACATCGCTTGGGCTGTACCCGGAGGAAACGCACCAGCCGAGAAAGCGGATCTTAGAGTCCGCCGGCAGACACGGGAGATCACAGAGGAAAGCGCGAGTAGATGGACGCGGCCCGTTCATCCCGAGACTGGAGATGAAGCTGGCAAGCGTATCTCGCGAGTCTGGGGCGTAGTATTCGAGAATCGCGATTCCCAGTTTCCCCGAACCAAACAAGCGTGCCACGTGACCCTCCGATAGAGCGTATGTCATAGGTCCAGCGAGGGGAACGAACCCCCTCCACTTCAACTTCGCATCGGGTGACTACAACAGCCTCACGCGGTTCTTTTGGTCTTCGATTTCCTGGTCCGATTCTTGGCGCACTTTCCCCGGTCGTCTTCTCCGATCTCTCTTCATTCTTCGTCAATCAACCTACCATACGAGTTTTTGCCTGGAGCCTACTCCCCACTCTCCGTCTGACTCGTCGCAAGACTGCACTGGCGCAAGGTACAACACTCCTACATCTGCCTAGTGCTGCCTGATTGTCTCCTCAAGCATCGCTTTATATCCCACGGCCGCCTTTGTTGCCTTCGTTAGCCGCTCCCATCTGGAAAGAAAAATGTGGTCCTGGTTTGGCGGCGCTGCCGCTCAGAAGCGAAAGGATGCCCCTAAAAATGCGATCCTAGGCCTGCGTGCGCAGTTGGAGATGTTGCAGAAGCGTGAGAAGCACTTGGAAGTTCAGATCACCGAGCAGGATGCCACAGCACGGAAATACGTTAGCACAAATAAAAATGGTATAGTCTGCCTACCTACCCCATTTTGTGGATTCCCCGAGGCTATGAAGATGACTCTACGAGACAATAAGATCTAACACATGTATTTTGGGGATATTTCTAGCCGCGAAAGCTGCTCTGCGACGGAAACATCAGCATGAGAAGAACCTCGAGCAGACCTCGGCACAAATCGTGCAACTCGAACAAAACATTTACTCGATCGAAGCGGCAAATATCAACAACGAGACTCTGGAAGCTATGAAGAAGGCCAGCGAAGCTATGAAGCAGATCCACGGTGGCCTGAGTCTGGAAAATGTCGACGAGACGATGTATGTCACTTTGCCACGACGGGACATGCAGCCCTCGATCGGGTGCTATGGATAAGGTGGTTTTTTTTTTTTTGCTGACATTTGATATACCTCCAGGGACAAACTCCGCGAACAACATCAACTCAGCCAGGAAATCGGCGATGCCATCACCAACATGCCGATTGGCGAGCAGCTGGACGAGGGAGAGCTGGACGCGGAATTGGAGGGATTGGAACAGGAGGCCATGGACGAGCGCATGCTCAACACTGGACCTACCCCCGTGGGCACTCGGTTGGAGGGATTGCCAGCCGCTGGCAATACAGAGCGTGAGTTCTGCAATTTCTTTAAATCGAGTTCCTTTTGGATTGATGCTAATAACGGCCGACAGTGAACAAGACAAAGGTGGCCGAGGAAGACGACGACGAGGCCGAGTTGGCCAAGCTGCGTGCCGAAATGGCCATGTAGCGAAGCAAGCAAGACCATTTGTCTCTGCTCAACCGACAACTATCATTTCCACGTCCGCAAATTCCTCCTTGTCTCTTTTGGTTGGGGCTTCGTGTCTTCACATATGCATTGGATGTTCTTATTTCCTATTTCCTGTCTCATCTCTCAAGCAAGCCCTTTGTTCTCTGTATTCTGGCGCCCCGTTTCCTAACCCCTTTTCTCTATACATTGAACCTTTTCACCCAGATTCAGTCCAGGGTGACTTCGTCTTCTCTTATTTCACCCCCATTGCTCGACTCCACCTTATTTCATTCTAAACCAATCAACCCAATTCTCGAGTCAACTAGGCTCGCTTCCTTTTCCTTATTTTGACGATCAAGCCTATTCATCTTTTTATTTTTGCTTCTCCAACTTGTGAGCTTGTTCTAGACCAATACCATAGCCATGTAAGCTATGATCACCTATGTGACTCCAATACACAATGATTACAGTAGTATTCGAAACTAGATTTATGTCATATGATATTGCAACATAAGGCTATTCCCAACTCCACGCCTCAGGTGTCAGTTCGACACCTTATCGGTTAGGCTTCGTCATAACAGCCCTACTTCTCCCTTACATAGATATATAACCTACAAGGCCCTAAGGGTTCGGTGCCCTCCCATTAGGGATTCGTGAACCCCTCTTTCCTGTAGCCTTTGCTTACCTCTGTTATATGTGGGCCACGTCAGACCGTATATTGTAATGTGATCCATCGCCTTTGCTTTGGTTATGTGGGAAAGTGTTGAAGCCTGTACATAAATTGAGGATTATAGAGAGATCTATAATAGCAAGAAACAGTGTTTTGCCTTCCTTACTTGACGTTCATCTTCCTACCTAGTCGACAGGCTTCTACCCTGTACAAGTAGTTATTATCTAACATAATAATACTACTATTATCGTTTTAGTAAACGATCGTACCTAGTATAGTTTAACTAAACAGTTTAATAAGACTAATATTATTTAGACCGCTATCGAGAAGTAGCTTCTAATATAGTTAGGCCTATTCTCTTATAGTAAGGAACTTACGCTGAAGATCTGTTTTAACTACGTAGACGAACGTTATTCTCTACTGACTACCGGTCGGAACGGAGAGAAAAGAGGGAAATCCTCGGTCACGAAAAGGATACTCGAGGAGCGAGACGCCTAGCTAGATATAGAGTAGGATGCTTCTAGATAAAAACCTACCTAGCGTAGCGTCTATAATATAATACGATACGATACTATAGCTTACTCCTTAGGCTAATATTGCTAGGTTGATCTAGTAGGGAGAAAGTATTTACTAACTAAAAATACGACTATCTAAGACGCCTTATTACCTTTATCGAAAAGGGTAGGTTATAAGATAGCTACAAAGATATACTAGAAATAGTACGTGAAGAAATACGTATAAATAGAAGAATAATAGAGACTAGACAGGAGCTGCTGTAAAGGAGGATATACTATTAGAGGTAGACCACTATACCTACCTATCAATATAGATATCCTACCCTCGTGGCCTTCCGTCGCCGGAATAGACACTTCATAGCACAAGCTTTGTCAAAAACTGTAGTCTACATTTAAACTTGAAGTATAATTTCTGAAGATTATCAATTGTAACACGAATATAGTATTGACCAAAAAATAATCACTTTAGGTAGCAGTGATCAGAGAAGAATGGCTAACGGAATCCTATATAGTAAATTTGACCCCGTAATACGTATAATCACATATCAGAGAGCATCTGATGTTTAAACTTGTGTTTTATTTTATAGTGCCGCCCGTTATTGCCTTCCATATCTGGATACAGAGAGACACTATCTCAAACTATAGACACGTGATGTGGAAGCCCTATTATGGAATCACGTAAATTACGAGTTTTGCCAATATGTAGTAAGGGTACCTGGTTATGTCCCCCAGTAGTACCGATACGATTGTCTGTAGGCAGGGACGACTAGAAGACTCCATGCAAACCAAGCAAACTAGCGACCGTTAGCAATCTGTCATCTTCCCTCCTCCATCCCTCAGTTGCTTCACAGCAGAGGGTTTAGCTCTGCCTTTAGTGTCCATCTCTGATCAAATTGATAGGCAAGCTTGACAGTAAGATTTGTTTCGTGATTAACGTTGCTTATCCCCATGTGGCGGCTTCCGATGTTCATTGGGCATCAGGCATACCTGGCTAACCCCTGACGGAGTGCAGCTATAGGTTGCTCCTCCTCTGGGCACATACGCTATGACCTATAGCTCTTTTAATGATGGTCGGCTAATTGACCCATCGAAAACAAACTGGCATGATGCCCGCACTTCTGGTTACTTCGGTAGAACACCCGAGACCCCGTACTCCCTCAGCCCTTATCAAGCAAAGCGAATGCAGCACGACGGTATCGTTCTGCATCCTCCTGTTGATCTTGAACTTGATCACCAGCGTCGGCCTTGCCGTCAATTGCGGTTCGATCTTCAATAAAAACCAGAAAATCAGGGAACAACTAGCGTAGTATGAAGCAAGTCTACCTGATGGTTGATCCATATATGGATTCTTCATCAGCGTGCACGAATGTCCTTGTACCCAACTTGAATGACAGGCAGGTCGAGCAGAAGAAAGAGGAAGCGCGTGGCTTGAAATTCTCGGAGCCTTCACTTCACTTGCTAGACTGCTATGGCCAATTCGTGGAAAATTCGTGGGACCTCACACATTGACGACTAACTTCACGGAATATAAATCCGAGAAGCGAGTTCTGATTTTATATTATCTTCTACGTAGTAACTGGCAAATATCAGGCAAATATGGCTTAAATCACAAGGTCCAGATCCCCACAAAGAAATCTTATCCCGTGATGTAAAATGGTCGAAAACCTGGAGTTTGATCGATCCGACTTTTTAGAGGCAATAGAGCTATTTTGTCAGCCACTAAGGGGTTCGAATGGCCTAATTAGGTATAATGGTATAGATTTCGGCGACACTAGCACCAGGCTAGCTCCTAAACAGGCTAGAGGGCATCGCTTAGTCTTTCAGGATTGTACAAAGAAAGAGCCAATAGGATGCTTCTGTTTCAACGCGATGCATGCATTATCCGAATTGGCTTTAGACTGGACCCTGGCTCAAACCTGCAGGGACCCTGAAATAAATTCTTGTCGTATATGAAGGCGCTGGCCGCTCTATCTGTTCCTCTTATTATCTTTTTTATCTTTTCAAAATTTCCATTCCTGTCGCTCGTTTGACTATATACCCCGACCTTCGCTAAATCAATACAATATGCGTATCCAATCTTTCGCCCTTTTGGCCGGTGCCACTGCCGCCATCGCTACCGAGACAGTCTCTCTTTTCCTAATTGGCTTCGATGAGCAACCACTTGAGGGCAAGATCATTGGCACTGTAAACACAACCATCCCTCTATCAATCTAACACAATAACCTAAATATTATCCCAGACCGGCTCCATGACCAAATATCTCATCAAGTGTGCTGCTGGCGTTGACTCCACCGAATGCGGCCTTCCTACTAATGGCATGACTGTGGCCCAAGGCTCTTCAACCGTCAGCCTGGCATACGGCACGGGACGTGTGTGAGTATATCCAGCTCTTTAAGAAATCCACTTCTACCCCACAAGTCATGGCTGATCATTTCCTGAAACAGGTCCATCGCTGAGAACTGCAAGTATGATTCTGTAAGCGTGACCTGCGCCGCAAGCCTCGACGAGGAAGGCATAACCACTACCTTCACGTCCACTGTCGCCCTCACTGAAATCCCCGGTGGCGGCGCTTTAATGCCTGTCACTATCACCGGAACTGGAACGGAGAAGGCCACCGCCACTACTGGTGCCTCCGTATCGGCTTCTACCGCTGCCTCGACTAGCGGCGCTACTTTGACTACCTCCGCTTCGACTTTCAGTGGTACTAGCACTGGTACTAGCACCAGCGACACCTCGGATAGTAGCAGTGCTGCTGTCGCTAGCCAGACTGAATCTGGTAACGCTGCTATGCCTATGATTACTGGAAACGCGCGCTGGGCTGCCGGCGGTGCTGCAGCTGTATTGGCTCTTGTCGCTCTTTGATCATCTGGACATTTTTTGGAACGAGGTTGGGGGTATATAGTTGTGGCTCGGGTAACGCCTCTCTGCCTTGACAAAAAGTATATATATATGCTCATGTATCAGCTACAACCGAATCATCTTCCGTCACTCTACCTACCGCCTTGCGGTTAAGTATAAGCTTCCATTCGACTGTGTAGCAGACGTATCTCGGAGGCTTCTCATCGTATTCGCCACCTTCTTCCCATTCGGCAAATGGTAGAAAAGTGAGTTCATCCGACTATGGCTGTGGCACGATACGGGGCAGGGCTAGATGAGTACAAGGTCGCGGGTGTACTACCGAGGTTACTAGGTGCGGGGGCATACTGCCTACTTTCTTCCTATGGGTCGACCATCTGGGTTTGATCGGCATTGTCACCAGAGCTATGGCTCATCTCAATATCTCTGGGGAGGGGTAAACCTAGAGCTGTAAGCGGTAGCCAGGAATGCCTGATGCCCAATAAAGACGCAGCCGCCACACGGCGATAAGCGATGGTTATCACGAAACGAATCTTACTTTCAAGCCTTGCCTCTCAACTTGACCCGAGATGGACACCCAGGGCGGTGTCAGACCCTTTGCAGTGAAATAAAATAACTGAGGCACGGAGGAGGGAAGTTGACATATTGCAAACGGTCGCCAGCTTTGCTCGGTTTGCATAGAGCCTAGTCGTCCTTGCCAACAGACACTCGTATCGGTGCTACTGGGGGACATAACCAAGTACCCTTAGTACATATTGGCAAACCCGTAATTTACGCGATTCTATAATGGGGTTTTCACATTACGTGACTAGGGTTTGAAAGAATATCTCTCTGTTTCTAAACATGGAAGGCAATAACGGTCGCCACTGTAGTATTATTAATACCTACACTAAGAATGGTACAGGAAATAGAGGTGGCCGCCGTAGTATCAGCCCTATCAGTGAGGGAACTAGAATCTTGTACTTTGTGGCACCCGAGGTTGAAAATAGGCTTAGTTCTATAAAGTTTCTATCTTCAAGCCTAGTGTCGAAAGTGACCTCTAATACTCTCTTTCCTTGTACCGACCTTGTTAATACACTATGCAAGAAAGGTATTGAAGTCTTGATCGGGGTCTACTTCGTAGTAATTCTAGTTACGTTTGATAAAGCTCTTCAGCTCCGTAAAAAACTCCTGGATCGGATTCAACTCCGGTAAGTACGGAGGCAGATATACTAATTTTACTCAAACTTCCGAGCTCGCGGTCATCACAATATCTACAAAAGCGGGAGAGTCCAGCCGCCAGACAAATCGGTTGCGCTCCGTAGATGCCCGTCTGTACAGTAGATAGCTACTCAATCACAAGAGAAAGCATTCCTTTCAATATGTGTCCTTCGATCAATAATTCTATGGTGAGGACCTAATACACCAACCAATCATACATAAGAGTTTTAAGAGGTGCTAGATTTTAGGGCAACTACTCCAGCATGACAGCGTTGGCGGTGCAGAGGAATATCACGAGTGGTAGTCAATTACATATATTGGGTAAGGCTTAGCCAGGCCCGATATCTCTTTTTGGCCAGGTCTGGCTAGGAACAAACATATAGATGTATGTAGCCTTTGCTAATTCCAATGAGCCCCCTCATGTTCGTGTTGCTCTTAGCGGAGATATGCCCTTCCATCCTTCGCGCCAGGCAACTCGATGGTATCACAACACCCCTAATTATACTGGAATCGCACAATAGTATAATATCAAACCTGGAGAGAAAAATTAGACTTGAAACACAAGACAGAGCTTCTACGTTATGTTGGAATTTTCTCTTTAAGTTCCATTTGTAAGCTGAGATAATGGGGCCCTGATCAGCTAATGGCAACGGCTGCATTCCCTACTACATTATTCCGAATAACAGTTCCTCAGAAGACTGCTGCTTTCTATCTGTTGAATCAGCCTTTGATCTTCTTTTTACGGCTATTTAGCTCGGAAGTTGTTGGTTTTCAAATAATACATATATAATCCATCTCATGTCAGCATGGCCGATCCACTGCATAGGGCGGTATGGAACCATACAACTCTACAGTGAAAGAACATCATGGTTTACAAAAACCTATCTCCTAGCGGGACAAGATACAGAATGCTACCTCAAAGAATAATTCAGACAGAGAAAAAAAAGTAATATAAATCTGGAAATAACTCCTAGGGCTCTTGAAACCCGCCATGAAAACCCCCATTGAATCAATCACCCAAAACCTATGCTTAAAGAACCCCGTAACGTTAGATGTCGCCAAATCAAAGAGAAAGAAGCCAATCACCCAGCCGGGAACCACACAAAGAGACGAATGGCCCCCCTAACATGGAATTCAACCCCATTAGGAAATATAGAAAGGAAAGGAAGGACAAGACATGCTGATCTCAAGTGGCCAAAATCAAGGCATACCGCTTTTTAGCCTCATATCGTTGCTTTCACGGGTACCACGCATAGCTCTTGAGAGGTAACGAGCGGGCCCCATCGTTAGCTTCGGTTGACCACTTCGATTTCCACTGGACTTCTTGCGCGGCCGCATCTAGAAGGGATTCTTTACACTCGTTCGGCAGGAGCGCGATGATGTCGGGAGTCATGAACTCCGGATGTGAGGGGTTGGCGATACTGGCAAGTCCGTTCGGGTTCAAGTTGCGCAGGTCACCGTCTGGGCCGGGTACACCCATATTCGAGTACGGTGGTGACTCGTAGACAATGTCTTGCACAACATAGCGGTTGGAGATGTGGGATGGGACTGGGGAAAAGAGAGCCGGGGACGGAACGTCAGGCCTTTCGGTGCGTTCCGTGGACTTTATGTCGGCTGTGCTGCTACTCTTGTTGGCGAGGCTGAGAGTCGACATGTCAGTCATTAGCTCAGCAGCACTGTGAGCGTCAGCTGGAAGGACTTGCTCCCAGCGGGCGTGCGTAGGCTGCATTATTTGCGGGTATTGCATCACATTGGTGTGAACGTCATAGGTGCCGCCCATGGTGGCACGACGGGTTTCAACAAGTTTGGAGTTGAAGGAGCTGTGCGGGCGAGTAAGTATAACCATCATGATGTTGAGGCAAAGTCAAGAACGGGATGAGAGAATCTTACCTTGCCGCACGGGCATGTTCCAGCATCCAATTGTCATCTGTGACTGGAACACGTCGCTTTTTGGGATCAACAGGCTTCCCGCCGGCCATTGGGACTGATGGTACGTTTGTGTGGTAAACGCTGCTGGCACCATGCCAAGCAACGTATTGGTTCCGGTTATAAGGCTCTCCAGGAGCAGGAAGTTTGTCTTCTGGAACAGCCAGCTCTCCTTCCACATCACCACGTTCACGGGCAACCTTCTCGTCGTAGTCATCGTAAACCTTCTTGCCACCAACCACAATCTTCGCACCGAATTCACGGAACACGGAACGCGCCGTGACCACACCAATAGCACGACCCTTGTACGAGTGGGGGATGAGATCTCGTTCAATCAAATCCCGCTTTGCATCATCATCGATAATGATCTTGTAAAGCATTTTATGCTTCTGGAAGAACAAATACGAATCACGGAAACCAATGCAACGGGCCGGTTCTGTGGACAGCATGTACAGCCGGTCATCGCGATTGAGGATGGTAAAAGTACGGACTCGGTACTCACGACCCCCGAGCAGATGGCCATTCTCATCCACTTTGGCGTCACCTTCGGGGTTCGGCGGGAGTGATACTTCATCGTTGATCACGTCCATCATATTGCCTTCCTTGTCGACAGGTACTTGAGTCATGTGTGACGGTCCACGGTTCCGCGCCCAACGCCCACCACTTGCAGCTGGGCGGCCTCGGCGTCTCTTGACCGGGGTGGTGACGCGAATTGGGGTTTGCGACCCATCGGGAGCATCCCAGTCTGGTGGACGGTTCTTGGGCGGACGGCCGATGCGACGTTTGCGCGGAATTGCGGATTGGCGACCTCCAGTGTAGTTAGAGGTATCAGCACCTTCAATCAAAGAAGCATCGTCGACTGCGGGTGTTGCGCCATTGTCATCATCCTGCTTAGCATCGCCGGGGCTTTGCGCGTCGGCGTCCGGCTCATCGACCTCAGGTTCGACATCGGGGTCGTTGCCCGGCGAGTCGGGTTCTTCAATGGGAGGCGACGATGGTTGGGAAGGGGGCGCATCGATCATATCATCGTCGGAGAGATCGGGGAGTGTGGGTACATTTTCTGGACAATTGTTAGATCGCAAACGCGTTTCCAGGGCCAAAGTGATCAAGGAATTGATCCGGACGGGGTGAGAGGGAAAGGGGGGGCGACGTGGGATAATCCAGGCTTACTCATTGATTTAGCCGCTGCTTGGGCGGCTGCCCTGAGCTTTCGAGGCATCCCGATGTTTGATGGGCTCACACTGGCGCAGGACGATCCCCAAATGTGAAGGGGGAGCTGTTTTGCTGTGGCCGGGGGGAATGATGTTCCAGGCCCCGAGTCACGTGGTCCATGCGTCGGAGCCTCAACCTCAGGCACTCAATTTTGCATTTACCTTAGGGTAACAGCGATGATTCAAACCCCCAATTGCTTTGCAAACCATGTTTTATAGCTGTAGTCGGATTGCTGTATATAAAGACTTTAGAAAATGTTTTGGCTGCCTGCAAAGTGTAGAATCTCTGGGCGTTTTCACCAGAACTGATCTTACACTTCTCATTGCACGAGCTTTTGGCCCACTCGGATTCGGATGGTTTGAATCGTCAGTGTCTCCCCATTCGACAAGCAAGGAACCTCAGGGAGAGTTTTCAATACTGAATTAATTTTATCTCGGCATAAGGCTTTGGACTAACAAGGGGGGGGAGGGGGGGTTCATGCATGAAAAGAAATATGAAAATGATAAATTGTTATATCTAAACTGATGTAAAGGGTCAATTCCATTGCACCATATGTGATTCTGTTATTCAAGATCCTATCTCGATAATAATATTTTCTATAGGGTTGAGGGCTGGGCAAGAGCTCGAAATCCAAGAGAACCACCAACTCATCGAGTCTATCCATAAGGAACGGGATTCCGAGAATTAGACTAAGTACCCGGGATTAGTCTCCAATGTGTGCAACATGGACTTTACTGGCTTGCCAGCAGTGTGTGCCCCTGATTGACTGTAGATGTAAGCAGGACACTTTTGGAAATTCAAGAAAATTAGTGGCTCATTGAATGGACACAAATGGAATTATCATCTATTGCACATTGAGATAGAGCTATCCCATAAAATAAGATCCTGTGTGCCTTGATCTGTTATGAAAGTATTTGCAAGACTTCTATTGCACAATTCTTCAGGGAAGAGGTGGATAGCATTTATATGACACATCGGAGCCAATTTTGTTCTTGAATGATATCCTAAAAGGGCTGAAATTATCTTATTTACTTGCTCTGACTCTTGCCTGTCGTTATTGATAGAGATATTGATCTCGTGCTTTTACGTTTTTCATTCCCCCGAACTTGATTTTTTCTTCTGTAGTTTCCGAAGTTTTCTATTCGAAGCAACCGGCATGCTGTCCTACATGTGGAGTGCGTATACGCCACAATCAAAGATCAAATTGCAGAATAACTACTACTGCTAATCCCGGAGTACTGAGTCATTCTTCAGGCTAATTTCCCTCCGCTGCTCTGCCGTTATGGTGCAGGAGGTATCTGAGTAATCTTGATCTGGAATAACCAGGACTATCCCGAATTCAAGAGAAAACGTAGTCACCCCTTACTAGCTACACATTTGACCAGCATAGTTTTAATTTTCCGCTCGCCCTGGTGCTGGGGAAGAGCGAGAGGTAGATTTACATAGTTCAGTTTTGGTGCAGATATATAGGCATTTGACCATAACAAGGCGACGGGGCTTTCTTGCACAGATAGGATTCTGTTGTAATTTCCAACTTCAGATCATTGAATCAATCATCAAAGTCATCTATTCCACGTTGACTTCTAGAAACTTGTCCTTTACAGAGTTCTATGTCTGTAGCCGGTCTGTTCACCGTTTGGGTCTATCCATATCCGGATAGAAAATCACGTGAAGTATGTCCTGGCGTTCTCAGGCACCAGTCGGCCTCAACCCTACAAAATGACGTCACTAGCCCGACCTCCTGGGTCCGCTGCAGAAACGGATCATCTCGGGCACGTCCGCTCGGGCAACTGTGCTCCAAGCGGTGATCAGCAGGCTTCCTTATCACCATTCGTATTCTAGATCTTTGCGATTGTTGGCTCGGTCCTGCGGGCTTTGGAGACTCTGGTATGGCTGGACCATTCAAGAGGTGCGCAGGCCCCGGAATAGCGGTACGATGAGCTCATCTCGGTTGCGGTCGAGGGTTGAGGGGGACTGAACAAGAATTCAACAACGAAGAATCCCAGAAACGTTCACCGGGCGGTACGTTCACCGTTATCTCCCGAGAGGATCGTGCTTTAGTAGCTTTCTAGCTCTCGGGTGGAGGATGACTCCTGTCATTCTCCCAATCAGAATGCCACTTAGAATCCCGAGCAGAAGAAGGCTACATGTATACGGAAGACCGGCTGTGTCACTGTGCCGGACAGCTTACCTCCGAGAAGCGGGTGTGATGCACTCCATTCCATTGCCCCGAATAGCGGGGATCCTAGGCCCCATAGAATTATGCATGATCTGTCTTTGTGTTCGATCATATACATGGGCTAGGGTGGATTCCTTTCTCCGTCTTCTCTTCCTCCTCCGCCCGCTGGAGCCTCCAGAACTTACTTTTGCAAGAGACTCCCAAACTTGCTTTGGCTACAGAAGCTCATCGCCCATCGCGCCGCGCGAGTCCGGGAAATTATGGGATATTTCTCACAGGGTAGGATAACATCAATCATTTCTTCTCATAGGCTCATTTCCACTACATGATCCACTCCCATTCCATTTCCCCCCCCCCCATTCCCCCATGAGTCCCCAAACTCCATAGGAAAAGGCTAGAAAATATGCAACCGGTTTTTCCTTGTTCTTAGTAGGAGCGGCCGAACATGCACCATTTTTGAGCAAAGCTGCTACACTCGGGGTTGATACACTTAGTGACGCCCGGCTCAATACCCTCGGGCTGCTCCAGGGGAATACACAGTGACTTCGCACCCATGCTGGGGGCCTTGGCGTCTTCGGCTTCACCGGCTTCCTCCTCGGCCTTTCGGCGAGTCTGAGTCTTGATGGACTCCTCGCAAGACTCAGCGAGACAGAACGGAGCCACCAGCACGTTCTTCTGGTTCAAAAGGGGAGTGAATTCATCGAAGTTGGTGATGATCTTGCGGTGGGCAGTATACTCAGCATTAGCACGGTCGAAGAGGTCCTTCTGGATAGTCTCCAGGAGAGCAGGAACCCCCGTAGCAAGCTCGGCAATAGGGATCGATCCCTTGCCATCCTTGCCGGAAATGTCTCGTCGAGCCGTAGTCACGAAATGACCAGCGGACTCGCCGGGACCGAATTCCAAGCCTAGATACGAAACGTTAATCTGAGTACTTGCAAGGCGGGGAGTGGGGGAATTTACGAAGAGGAATGCCGATCAACTCAGCTTGCGCGAACTTCCAACCGGGGGAATAGCCCTCACGCATATCGCTCTCAACACGGATATCAGCAGCCTTAAGGACGGTAACAAGGCCCTCGATCTCAGCATAGAGGTTCGCACGTTCCTCCTCAGTGGTCTTAGCCGTGATACCCACAGGGACGATCATAACCTGGGTCTGTGCAACGCGAGGAGGGAGGCTAGCGAGCCGCATTAGTTTTCAAGCAGATCTTTCGAGAAGGGGATATGAATCGCATAACATACACAAGACCCTTGTCATCACTGTGAGTCATCACCATGATACCTATGCTCCGTGTGGAGAATCCCCAGCTGTTCTGCCAGGCGAGCTCCTAGTTTAAAATTTGAGTTAGAACAAGTACAAATAGATAAGTAAAAGCAACCCATGGGTAGAAAAACCTTTTCTCCGTTAGTTCCTTCGAACGAGATGTTGAACATTTTGCTGAAGTTCTGGCCCAGACCATGGGAGGTGGCGCCTTGGATTCCACGACCGACTATAAATATGACTTAGCGAGGAAACATGGATTATAATGTAGGCGTCGGTAATGAGGGGATCTCACCTGCAGAGATATATCCTTCGCAAGAAGAACTATATTCACTGCCAGCAAATCGCTCGGCGTCTGATTTAAAACCGCGAACCATGGGCACGGCAAGCAGCTCCTCGTAGATCGCGGCGTACCAGTCCAAGATCTGCAGCACCTCCTCCCGAGCAGCTTCCGGGGTGGCATGTGCGGTGTGTCCCTCTTGCCACAAAAATTCTCGGGTGCGGAGCAACGGGACCGGGCTATAGATACCAGTTAGTATAATGCGCTAAACATATAGTTAGAAAGAATGTATCACTTTTTAGCTTCCCAACGGACGACCGAACACCTATGAAGCGAGTTAGCTTATACAATTATCGTTAAGGCTTGCTCTTATGACATACCACTGGTTCAACCGCAGAGGCAGGTCACGGTGGCTACGGATCCACTTCGAGTAGTAGGGGTACATGACAGTCTCGGAGGTAGGACGAAGAGCGATTTTCTTCTCGAGGGGGGTATCTCCACTGTATTAATACCAATTAGTATAATCAGACAGAAATAAACCTTTCACAGCGATGTGCATACGCATGGGTGACCCAGGCAACCTCGGGAGCAAAGCCTTCGATGTGATCCTTCTCCTCTGTAGATATTGTTAGTAGATGTGAAGTATATAAATCGAAATAGACGTCACGTGCTTTCAAGGACTTCGGAGCTAATGAATAACGGGAACATTGCGTTCTTTACACCTGTTAATAGAATGGTCAATACACGACATGGTCAATAAATTTTAGTGAATGATGAAACTTACCTATGCTCTTGATCTTGGCGTTGAAGAAGTCCGTGATCTGCTCCCAGATGAAGAAGCAGTTGGGCTATTCGGAATTAGCGAATGCAAGCTATTCAAGTGAGCAATGCCAGATGAATACCTTGAGAATGAAGCAGCCGGAGATATCATACTATATGTCTGTTAGATTCGGTATCAATGCGGTCGCTCTGGAGGATCAAGACTTGCATAATCCAACATATCGCCCTTGGTCAATACTTGCTGGTACCAATTAGGGAAGTCGCCATCCTTGGACGCATCGATACCAATCAGGGCTGGACCATCGGTCTATTGAGAACCATTTTGTTAGTATTGTGATCTGAGGCGCCCCCATCGTTCATGTATCGCATTATCGCATCCATGCAGCCGTACCTTCTTCTTCGGAGCCTTCTTGGGAGCATCCGATGGTGCCTCTGCCTTTTTGGCAGCTTTCTTTTCCTTGGCTCGTTCCTTAGCGGCAGCCTTGTCAGCAGCGAGTTTTGCGAGCTTCGCGGCCTTCTTTGCGGCGTTCTTGGACTCGCCGGCCTGGTTATCAGCGGGGTTTGTGCGGTCAGGCAGGACCTGGGGAGCGGCGGCCTCCGAGGGGGTTGCGTCGGTGGGATTCTGGCTAGCCATGGTGATAATTGCGCGCAGGAAATCGAGCGCAAGGCCAGGGAAAGGAAAATGAGCCAAGGAGAGAAACTGAGGCGGATTCGGAATCGAGGTGTGACTCCTAAAAAAGTGGGATGGGATGTTATCTTTGACACCGCTTTTGTGCGGCAGAACTTTTAGCGCGGGCGACTAAGACACCCCCGGTCTCGGCCAGCGGAGTTCTGCCATCGCCCTCGACAGCCCTGGACTGCTTTGAATGCTGTGAAACTCATTCGAATATCAGTAGACTGGGTATACAGGGGGGCAACCAATCTTAGGTAGGCAGAAAATCACCGGTAGGCCCATGAAGTCGAAGAATACGCGCGAGCCCTGAACAAGCGGTCCAGAACCGGCAACCCTGGTCCCATTCCCCATTCCCCAGACCTGATGAGACGATGAAGGGAGACGAGGGGATATATTTTTTTTTTAGACAGATGCCGATTCACTCTTCTATTGCAAAATGAGAGAAGCCGTCGATCCGTCCCCTAAGAGGCATTACGAGGAGCCCGGGTTGAGAGTTGCCGTCAGTATAAAATTGTAGCGTACTCGCAGGCCAACCGATAGGTACTGTTGCTCGAATCGCACGACTCCATTGGGTCTTGCTGTTTCAATCGAGTTACACTCTGCCTAGGGCTCTTTTGGGGGGCCTGTTCTTGTTGTTCTTGCATCGATGTGTCCACCCGACCAGCAGACCAGCAGACCGTGCTGTCGTACACCCAACATGTCCAAGCACCACGGCTGTCACATCCATCCAGCCAGCATGAGAGCCACAGGTACTCTGTACAAGGAGCTTAGGAATCGATGGCGCCCGATGACGCAGGAGGTGGAGATCCTTCCCCCGACCGCATGCCATACCAATCTGCATAGTGGGCCAGCCTCGGGGGTTGGGTTTACAGGACGCAGTACAGGAGCCCCTACCCCCCCCCCCCCCCCCCCGACGAATGGCATACCCATGCAAGGGGATGCAGAGAGCTGGGTCGAGCCATACTCGAAGCTGAAAGCTGCACGATCGCGATCGCCGTGGAATGCCGATCGGACTCGATCAGTGTTGCACGGGGTCGGGACGAGAAGGGAAAAGCCGTTGAGCGTGGTACCTGTATAGTTGTATAATTGTATAGTTCCCGGTCCATCGGTCAATAATTTGATGTATTGCTAGATCGTTGCATGCCAATCTTTCCCGGGGGCCCGAGGCAATGGGAGGAGACTGTGGACGAATCGTATATTGTATTTCTGGAGAAGTATAAAAGTATTCTGCCGGCAGATCGAGAACCAGGAAGTATATGTGATCCTTCCGATTTCTGACCAGCTGTGTGTGCGTCTGCATGTATCGATGGATCTATCCATGCCTCTGAAAATAACTCTTCACTAAGGACAATGTATCACAATGAAAACACTGTCCCCGGGGTATGCTCTATGCTCTTTTGCAAATATTCACCGTTTGGACGAGACCCGCCCTTGGAGTCTAAAAGCAAATAGTCGCGCAATGTACCCCGCCTTCGCCGAGCGGAGATGGCGGAGATTCTCATGCGTTCGGTCCGCTAGGCGATAAGGGCATTAAGGGCATCACTATAATTCCCGGAGAACTCAGGAGCCCAGGAGCCGCGAAATACTCCCCCTCAAGGCGGATTGGGTGGTGTGGGAGTCGCCCTCTGTCCCTACCGCTATTTCACTCGGTCTTCTCCCCTTCCCCTCTCAAATTCCGGGCCCTCCAGGCTTGCCCGCCTGGTTTCAGGTCCCGCTTGAACCCTGGAACACGGGCAGCCCGAACCGCCCCGGCCGCGTGGATCTGCACTGACATTTTCGCCTTTTTTGGGCCATTCTCGCTATTCTCGGGGGTGAGAAGTTTATGGGGAAGCCTAGAGATTACCTCGGGGACTGTCCGGCCTCTGATCCGTCACGAAAAGGCGATGGGGAATGGACCGTTGGGCACATGCGTACATGTACATCTTTACATTGTATACATCGTATACATCAGGGTCGCGACCGTTGTCACTCTACAATCGACCTCCTTCCAATTTCCCTCCCGCAGCTTTTTGTCTTGACACACCTAGCGTGGTGGCTTGGGGTCCCACTACAGAATACAGCGCCTTGTGCATCATAGGGCAGTGATCATAGTCGACTGCTCATCACGATCGACCAAATTGTAGGTTTCCGGGAATTTTGGCTCGGTCCGGGCGTCTCTGATAATGCCTCGTTCCTCCTCATGCCGATTCCTGATCGCTCTCCTGCTTTCTCTCTTTCTCTCTTACTCTCTCTTTTTCCTGTGGTCTGGTGACTAGACCAATTGTGTATCGGATCGATTCAGAAGTCGCGATGGAATGTGCTGATGATTAAATCAGTTGCCTCATCATCCCCCACTCCGGGTATGATCCAGACCTCCAGACACCATTTGTAGATCCAATCGAACGATCCCCGTCTCCGTCATCCCAGGCGTCCCCCTCACGCCGCCACTCTCACACCGATTCGAGGCGGCGAAAGCCCGGTCTCCACCGGCATTTGCCTATTTCTCCCCTGCTCATCCCGATTAGGACGGAGTGTTTTTGAACTGGGGAATGCCATAGTTTGTTTGGGGGTCTATTTTGCTCTCTGGGTGTCTGGGTCTTACGCGGTCAAGTCCCAACTCGTTTTTCCTTTTCTCGACTTTCCTATATACTTCACTAGACTTGGCTCTACTTCACTAGACTTGGCTCTACTTTGCTCTACTTTGCTCAACTTTGCTCGACCTGTAGTTTTTACCGACAGCAGAAACCGTGTCGGAGTCGGTGTGCGATCCCTAGCGAATCTAGATGCCAATGCTCGTCTCGACGGTCTATACTTGTTTTTTTCGCCACCCCCGACATCGATCACAGGGCACAACCGTAGCATAGTCGCATAGTCGCATAGTCGTCGCGCATAGGCATCCTCTCGGCTGCCCCGTCTTGTTCCCAATCCAGCTCACCTGAGCGGCCATTTTGGATTCCGCTCGCTCTCAGCTTATGGTCAGCCTTTCGTCAGCCCGTGGGCGAGCAGTGATCGTCCGTGTAGTACCTGCTGGTCTTGATTTTTCCTTTCGGTCGCTATTAACGATTTTATTGATTTTTCTTCTTTTATTTTGGGTTGGGGGGAGGGTTTATTTTCTCTCATTTAATATCCTCGGTGCTTCCTGTCTCTTCATTTCGGGGCGACTCTCCCACCAACTCGGCTGCCCACCGAACTTTCTTCTTCAGCTTCAGGCTGTCCGCCTCCATAGTGGGGGGTTTCCGCGGGCTCGCCAATCCCGCGTCCCTGTCTGTCTCGGACTCGCGAAATTCTGATATTTAGCAACGAAGAACAACGCTTCACGAGCCCAACAGGACTGGCTGGAGGCTCTGGAGTGTTTCTTTTTTTATATAATTCGATTCATTCGATTCATTGGACTTCTCATTCGCTTAATCCTCCTTCTGTTCCTTTCCCCCTTCCCCCCCCACATCCACATCCAATCTCCCTCAACCACAGTTCTGTGACGTCTGGTTGGGCCGAAGCCGATCGGGTTCGACGACCATCCCGCAAACTCCCTTAGCTCATCATTTGGCGTCAAAAGTTTCTTCCTTTTTCCCTGGTCCGATTCCACCCACCACCTCGCCTCTTTCTGCCTTCACAACCCTCGACCCCCCTCCCCCCACCACCACCCTCGAACTCTCGCATCCTTGACTCGCCTCGTCTGATCCTCGGCTGTCCTTCTCCTGGGGCGTCTTGAGTGTTAGATGGAAACGCAATGGCTGCTGCGCAGAGTGGAACTGAGTTGCACGGAGCGGCCGACATGAAGCCATCCAAGTGAGTCACTCCGTCCGGCGTCTGTCCCGGACCCTATCTGCGATCGGAAGCGACCCAGAGGCAACGAAAGGAGAAGAAAACAAGGGAAACAGAGGAAACCGATGGGCAGTGAAAGCAGTGAAAGGGAAAAGGGAAAAAGAGGGTCCACGTCTTTTCCCCCTCCCCCCTCACACCGCATTGCATCTTCCCTGCAGAACCTGTCTCAATGCGAGACCTAGTCGAGATGGACCACACGAACGCCCTCCTCCCTCGGTCCCCCTCCCTCCTCTTCTTCTCCTGTCCCTCTGGTCGGGTCGGAGTTTTCCTGCATAAATGGGGGAAGACCTGCCCGGTCGCACTGTTGCCCCGCCTCCCAGAGGACCCGCTCTCCCCTCTCGCCCACCCCCCCCCCCCTTCCCCCTCTCCCCATGTGGACAATGACGAGAGACCGCAACATTCTTCAAATCGGCCATGGCTAATCGCATCGATCCCATAGCTCCGCTTCCGAAGACGACAACCACGACCAGATCGGGTCGAACGGATCTACGCCGACCGGCATCGCGACGCCTCAGCCGGATCCCGCAGACAAGCGTTTGCCATCCATCATGCATAACTACTTCCAGGTTGGTTCCTTTTCTCGTGATAAAGCGGGTTTGCCACGGTTTTGGTCTTGCCTTTCGAAATCCTCGGCCCCGTCTCCGTCAGACCCTACTCCAGCCCGCCCTGTCTCCTCCTCTTCCTCCTTCGTCATGATGGAGCATGAGGAGGGGCAACGGGAAGAGGGGTTGGATCCGATGGAGGTGACGCATGCCAACCTACCCACTCCGCCCCATTCGCTGCTCCAGCAGGAGTCAGACGAAATGGATGAGAAGGACACGGGGTTGTCCATCTATGACACTCTGAAGAAATATCTCACTCCATCCTCCCACGCCCCCGTTGAATCTACTCCCTCGCGCCGTCAAACCTCCCTGCCAGTCTCTAGCGTCTCTGATGATCCTGTCCTTGCCACCCATTTCTCCAATCCATCTCTCCCTCCTGCCTTAGATCCGTTGTCCCTCTCTGCTGCTCCCTTCCTCGACCACGTGAAGCCGCATGGTTCCATATCTTCCGAGAACCTTGCCAAGCTGACTGGAAACGCACCCGATGGGGCGCGTCTCAAGAATACCCCACCGCTGACCCCCGGGCCATGTCCAACGAGGACCAATCGACCGAGAAGAAGCCCGTCACCTCCACCCCCGCGCAGTCGAGGAGTCGCAGCCACAGCCGCAGCCGCAGTCGCAGCCGGATAGCATGGACAGCTCCACCGACGAAATTGCCATGAAGCTCGACGAAGCCTTCCCTCGCCAATCTGATGCCGCCCCGCAAAACGGAGCTCCTGTTGGTCCGCTGAAGGGAAAGCTATTCGTCAAGATCTCAGAGGCCCGCGGGCTCCGCCCCAGCTTTGATCCATACGTGGTCTGCGTTTTTGAGTGGAACGAGTACATCTCCAAGGGCGCTCGTGATGGCGAAGAGGAAAAGAAGCGGCGGCAGCTGGATGCGGAGGCGGCCGAGGCTGGCCGCCCCATGGCGATTCCCATGAAGAGCCGCCAGAGCAGCCACAACAGCGCCTTGGATGGTCACGATCACAAGGGCAAGATGCCCGTTACCGATCCCCATTGGGATCATGAGGCGGTCTTGTAAGCCTTCCATACTTTCCCGACCTTTCCAATGGTCATGACGCTCGTGGCGCAGCTTTATCTTTTTCTTTTTTTTTTTTTTTTTTGCTAACCTTTTGTTCCTTAGTGATGTGCTCGGAGACCATTCCGAAGTCGACGTGACGGTGTACGATCGCAGCAACCAAGAGGCTTTCTTAGGTCATGTGCGTCTCGGTATCAATCTCAAGGAAGATCACAGTCGGCTGGAAGGATGGTTCCCACTGGTCGCCCGTGCCGCTGGCGACAGCCAAGTATCAGGGGAAATTCACCTCCAGATGCAATTCGAGATGACGGATCGGAAGCAGGTTGGACCAAACGATTTCCAAATCCTCAAGCTCATCGGCAAGGGAACCTTCGGCCAGGTCTACCAAGTGAAGAAGAAGGATACTGAGCGAATCTATGCCATGAAGGTTCTCTCTAAGAAGGTCATTATTCAAAAGAAGGAGGTGGCACACACACTGGGCGAACGCAATATTCTGGTTCGAACCGCGATGGCAGCCTCACCATTCATCGTGGGCCTCAAATTCTCCTTCCAAACTCCGACCGATCTCTACCTCGTTACCGACTACATGTCCGGTGGCGAATTGTTCTGGCACCTCCAACGTGAGGGTCGTTTCCAAGAGGCTCGGGCGAAATTCTACATTGCTGAGTTGATCCTGGCACTACAGCATCTTCACGACCATGACATTGTCTATCGAGATCTCAAGCCTGAAAATATCCTGTTGGATGCAAATGGCCACATTGCACTCTGTGACTTTGGTCTGTCCAAGGCAAATCTTACCCAAAACGACACCACCAATACTTTCTGCGGTACCACCGAATATCTCGCCCCGGAGGTCTTGCTGGATGAACAAGGATATACCAAGATGGTTGATTTCTGGTCACTGGGTGTGTTGGTTTTCGAGATGTGCTGCGGCTGGAGCCCCTTCTACGCCGAAGATACCCAGCAGATGTACAAGAATATCGCTTTTGGCAAAGTTCGATTCCCCCGCGATGCTCTCAGCACTGAGGGCCGGAATTTCGTTAAGGGTCTGCTTAACCGGAATCCCAAACACCGATTGGGTGCGAACGGCGATGCCAAAGAACTCATGGCGCACCCCTTCTTCCACGATGTTGATTGGGAAGCTCTGGGCTGCAAGCAGGTTATTCCGCCCTTTAAGCCGAAGCTGCAGTCGGATACCGACACCTCAAACTTCGACCCGGAGTTCACCAACGCGCTCGAGAACAACCAGTCGTTGAACCTCCGCGCTGCAGCACTCGCCAATGGTCTGATGCCTGGCTCCACACCTCTGTCGCCCGGTATGCAAGCCAACTTCAAGGGCTTCACTTTCGTGAACGAGAGTTCCATCGACCATCATCTCAAGCATGAGCCGGGTGAGCAGATGGAGGAGGACACCATGCACGAAGATGCGTGGCAGCGCACCCACCGGTCCAACAATTCGACGGATCAGCGCATGAGCGGCGTGCAGAAGACCTCTGATGGCACGGAGCCAGGGATCTTCAACGTTGATGACAATTTTGATATGTGATTACGGATTTCCTTACTCTTCTTTCTTTCGTCTCTCATTGCATGATCATGGAGTACTTGATCCGGCATAAATCTCAGTCCTGTCTGTACATGTCTTCGGATGCATTCCCTTGGCGGGCCGCAGATATGGGAGGGGGTTTCTTTTATGCTTGTTTCTCCCTAACCTGACCCTACCAATCCTCTCGTCTATACCTCTCTTGCTCTTCACCTACCTCTCACATTGCCGCCTGTGTTCTCTCTTCTTCATCTCTACCCGGGTGGTGGTTCTGGTCCTGTTTGATGCACTGTTTCCCCTCCTGTTCATGCCTAGTCTGCTTGTTTTGGATTTTTTTTGCTGTGTGTGCTTTTTGTTACTCACCCGGTCTGTTCCTGGTCTGACAGACGATGAATGCCGGCCCCCCATCCCACCGTCTTCATGATTGTGTTGTGCTGTTCCCCTGCGTTCTGTTCAACAGTTCAGCTACATACATACCCCTCCTCTTCGTCCTGCGCTTTGTGCCATTTTATCTTTTATTTATCATGGGTTTTCACGGAGATCTGCATTCTTGCACTTGAATTGATCTCTTACGGTTCTGGGACTTTTTCCTTACTTTTCGCCGTCGTAGCATTATATATACTCTATATCCTTCCAAGTCGTATGGAGGGAAAAATAACAATAACCAAGATTTTCACTTCTACTGCTTGCTCCCCTGGTGCTTTCGATCGAGACTAGTCCAGATGTCATTTGTTTACCCCTCAGCAAGAGACTAGATAGACTTGTCTAAGGTGTTTAGGTCTGCGAGTATAGTCTAATAAATGTAGTCTCGATAGAGCCGGATCCCAGCTCGCCAATGGATCTCCAGAGGGTTCGCTCCTATCTTACATTGGCCAAGCCTTGCTTCCCTCTACTTGGGATAGAATGCCTTGCTTCCTTGAGCAAATCGCTGCATTGCTTTCGTCTCGTCATATAGCCTCTTCGGCAAAACCATAATATTATGTATAAACCCAATCAACACAAGCTATGGAGGAGTATCCCATTCTATCAGTTCATGCAACTAACCTGTTCATCGCGCCTCTTGGGTAACGCAAAGAAACGCACTGTAGCAGGATATCGGGGTCGACTTCATCACACTGTAACCATCACACTGTAACTGCGGAGGCTTGAAGTTCTACGTTCCAGTTCACTAGAAGATAACTCAAAGTGGGCAACATATTCATTTACGGTACTACACAGGGCCTTCTTGCGGCGGCTCAAAAATCTAAAGCAGTTAGTCGCTGCCAGTCTTAACGGGGTTACTCCTCGGGTCAGACCGCCCGTTTGTTCAAAAGTTGAAGCATCTTTTCCAACTGGAACCAAAAACATCGCCAGCTATTAGATTGAAGAAGGTTCACTGTTTAAATTTTAGGTTTTCTCTCTCTTTTTCTCTCTCTTCCGGCACACTCTATATACTGAACAATTTATGTTATAATTAAGGGAGCACTCGAATGTGAACAATATGTCCACAATGCGAGAAGGGAATTCCGCCTCAGATGAGGCTTAGTTGGTCCCGTTTTCCAACAAGCTTAATCAGCGCGGGATCGGCCAAGCCGGACGCTATCTCGGGATGACTCCCCACCCAAAGGCAACGTTCTACCAAAACAGTCTTCTCTCCCCTTCACCGTTCAAAGACTTCCACTTCTTCATTGCAAATAATTTTACCTACTACTATCAAGCTTTACAGAAACTAAATAATTCCCCATGTTTCGCAGTCTTAGTCGTCCTGTTTCTCGGTTGCAGGTTACAAGGAGTTCTCTAGCACGCCAAATACATCAAATCACCACGGATTTCGTTGCCCGTGATAAAGTAGGCAATTTGACTACCAAAAAGGTCCCTGTATTCGTCGGCAAGAACCCTGAAGATGCCTACGTGATGATTGAGACCACTGTTGGACAAGTCTTTCGAGACTGTAGACCGAAGACCTCGAAAGCTCTGCGGACGCCTGAAGACCAATGCAAATTGGCATTTTACCATGATACGCAGCACTTTGGTTTTGGTGAGATTTCCTGACGCGGACAGAACTCATCAGAGTTCTAAATTAACATCTGTAGCAGAGCCAGCGAGCTATCCTCGACTCTATCTTCCGAGTCAACTTCCTCGCCAATCAGACTCGAATGTCAGTCCCGCAACTCTTTGGCTGACTGGAAAGACGCATCAAATTGTCCTAGATGGAACGCAAGATGGTAAGGGATTGTACTTTGCTTCCCAAGTTTTGAGAGCTAAGATCTATTCAGCTGAATTTGCCGAGCACACTGCGGCTTCCTTGAAAGAACTAAAGCCAGTCCTTGATAAACTAGCGCATATGTAACCAAATCAGCTTATGTCTGAAAACGAATGTTTTGATTTCCTTTCTATCTGTCTGCCAAACCGAGTGCGGATCGGTTTCTATGTACCACTACTCCTTTCCCTTCCCCTCTATCTAGAAACACAGCGAAGAAACACAATCCACTTGTCTACTTCCCACAAATATCTAGACACAAGAACACATGTATCATGGAAAGAAAATGAAGACAAAAGAGACTCGATCCTTGACAGCAATCCACTCCTAGAAATTGAAATACAGCCTCAAGTTACTATATTTCCAGGCCTCAAGAGAATTTGGTGTCTTGGTGTCGCTATATTTGCTTCAGACCTTCTTCGCATATTTTCTGTACACAGCATGCAGCTTGTCAGCATCCAATTGATTGGTGACCACAGCAACATGGGCTCTCTCAATGCCCGACTCCTTAATATCCTTGAACTGATAGCCATTGCGCTTCAGAAAAGCATCAGCAGCGAGCAAGGCGGTGCGCTTGTTCCCGTCACCAAAGGGGTGGTTCTTCATCAAGCTAGAAGACAACGATGCTGCCAGCTTGAAAATATCCGTCTCCCCCCGTAATGGTTCTTGTTTTCCGGTGCATCAACGGCAGACTCCAGCATAAGAGGCTGGGTAGGCATACCCTTAGGAATCAGCGTCTGGTGAAGCCGAATGACTTCGGCGGTGGTCAAGAATCGGATAGCAGCAGCGGACATTTTGAATCTGAAGAGTGATTGTGATAGAAGTTTGCTGTAGCGAGGAACTGTGAATGAGGATCTCTGATGAATGAATCTCTATTTCCTCTTGAAAACACCCACCTTATATACAGATCAGGGTTCTAAAAATGGAATTGATGCCAGGCACTTCATATTATAATTGATTTCAATATGATTTCTGTTCGTGAGCGTTGCTATGCGCTGTTATGAGCATCGTAAACGAATGGGAGTTGAAAACGACCTTACTACCAACTGGATATGCCATTGAAACCATAAGACCAAAAAGAGAGAGCAGGCAGGTCCTCAGGGTGATTGGCAGGCCAAGAACAATCAACATTGTAACATCAACAGCATATCATTCAGGCCAGTACTACCAACTTGGGGGCGAGGGAGACATGAATCACACGAGCATCCTCAACACGGTGCGTCCCTTGCCAGCCGACTAGCATTCCCCATTTGAAATCAATCATGGCGGTTAAGTGCAAAATATACTATTTGACTTGCATTGGAACAGCATTGGGACAGTGGATACAGGAGTGGTTTAGCGGCCGGTGGAGGTCACACATGGAGCATGACTTGGGCGTGAGGCTGAAAGAATTACAAGTAGATAGATCATGTACGGGCCGGGCGTGTCAGGCCACCCACGCGCTAAGTATTTCCCCATATGGGAAATGTTCCTGCCTATGCCTTTTCTCCTTGGCAGGGCCTGTTGATTGCAATGGACATGCTGGTTTATACAGTGACGTCGTCCTAACCCACTTTACGCCTGATGATGAAAAAATCGACTGTAGACGCCGGCAATGTTGGAATTCTCACAGATGAGTCGACCCTCTGGTGATAATAGCAACATCACAACATATGACATAGATAATACGCGTGACATCAATCTTTTTCCATAATTTGCGCTCACAGCTTTCGATTTTGAACCATGTTTCAAGGCGGCCAAGTGATTTCTGCGGCCGCCCCTTGGTTTGAGGCAGCCCACAAATTATTCGACGAGAAACACCGTTTTTTTGGAGGGACTTGGAGGACAGTGGCGGGAAATACAGTGGAAGCTTGGACTAGACAGATGCTTCGCCGAAGAATAGACGCAGGAGTTAAGATGATTGCATTGCGTAGCTGAAAGGCCGCAAGAAGATCGCCACGCTTTGAATACAGCCGTCGTGGCCGAGTTGTTCGTTTAGATGTGATTTTTGGGATGATTGAGAAGGTATACTCCAGACTGGCAATATTGAAGGGATTGCGCTCTCCTTGTTGGTCATCCAAGTCATCAAAACAATAATCATGGGTGTCAGCTGAAATAAGTCCACAGCCGACATTCTATAGAATGACACCGCCGCAGCCTGCGCCCAGTAACAATTTTTGATTATTGCTTATTCGCCTTTTAGCAGAGGCATTTTGATCAGTCAACTGCGAGTTGCGACTGTCAACATCAAATGGGATCAAAAGTTTGAACTCATCTATCCTATTATCTAGTGTTGGAATTACTGCGAGTTGTCACGTTTGCTTCACTCTCGTCGGCCATCAATATCACAAGTCCTTAGATTGTACATGTGATTTCAGGTAGGGTACCAAATCCGCTTCAACGCTCCGGCTATGAATAAAATTCTCTATTTTCAGGAGGTATACGAACCGCATCATCGTCAGGTAAAAAGAAGATAACAGAAAAAATGGGCGAAATAAATGCAGTAGTCATGAATCCATATCAAACACCTCCCTTTGTAACCCCATACACATACTCTCACTCTCTTGCCAAAATTGTCATTGCATCTCGCTGGAAGGTATGACGTGACACCTTTAGTTCTTACCCTGGGTATCCTTAAGAGTGACAATGCGGTTAAGCACGATCTTATCGGCAGTCGACTCCCGGTCGACAGCGAAGTACGCAATACGCATACCCTGGAAGCGGATCGAGTGTTTGTTGGCCTCGAGATCACCAGCCTCAGCCGCCTCCTTGGGCCAGGGCGCTGAGCGGCTGATCTCGTTGAAACCGGTCTCGATCATTGCACCGTGGAAGATTTGCTCCGAATCCGGGTTGATGTCCGCCAGGAAGCCGTCTGGATGCGCGGAGGGGTCGTCCGACTTGAAGAGTCGATCGAAGGCGCGGATCTCGGCGCGGATGGGGCTGCCATGCTTGGGCGACTCGGCCACCCAGTGGATGAAGGTTTTCGGGCGGATGGGCTTCTCGCCTTCGGCGGGCTTTTCATACTTGGCACGTACACAGGTGATGACGCCGTTCGAGTCCTTCTCGAAGGATGTCGCAGTAATTGGATAGGGGACCTTCAACAGGCCGACGGTCTTGCCGGGGGCGAGACGGAAATAGTCGGCAGAGTCAACCTCGCGGAAATCAGAGCGCTCGATGTAGACGGTCTTGGTGAAGGGAACAGTGTGGGTGCCAAAGGAGGTTTCCTTGGAGAATGGTACTTCGCACATCTCCTCGTGGTCGTCGGGCAGGTCGTCGATCACGACCTTGAGAGGTTCGGTGACAACCATGAGGCGAGGGACGGTGGTTTCGAGGAAAGTGCGCACGCTTTGGTCAAACTTCTGCATCTGCACGTTGGTGACGGCCTTGGTCACGCCGAGTTCATTGACAAAAGAAAGAATGGCGCCAGGGGGAACACCACGGCGACGCAGGGCAATAAGGGTATAGAGGCGGGGATCATCCCAATCACGAACATGACCCTCCTTAACCAGCTTGATGATCTTGCGCTTGGAGAGAACAGTACCGGTAATGTTCAGACGACCATATTCGCGTTGCATAGGCCGGTAGATGTCGAGCTTGTTGTTGAGCCACTCGTACGAGACACGCGAGAGCTCAAACTCCGTTGTGCATAGAGAGTGGGTGATTCCTTCGATACTATCACAAACACCGTGCGCCATATCATAGGTAGGGAACATACGATATTTCGAAGCACGAATATGCGGTTTGCCGCCCTCCGGAATGCGCCACGCGAACAGATCCCACATCTGCGGATTAGGGTCCTCGATGTCCTGCTTCAAGCGCAAAGCCGCTTCACCAGCGTTGTACTTGCCGTCGCGCATGGCACGGAACTCCGCCAGAGATTCCTCAATGGGTCGTGTACGGTGGCTGCAAGCAAAGCGTTGGCCGCCACGCTGGCCGGGCGCGGTTTCACCGCGCTGGGCTCGGACTTCAGCCTGAGTACAGTGGCAGACGTAAGCGCCATCACGCTTGATGAGTTCCTCAGAGAGCTCATAAAGGCGGTCAAAATTGTCACTGGCATGGGTTTCCCGCACAGGCTTGAATCCGAGCCAGGACACGATGTCACGAATAGCATCATAGTAGCGCTCCTCCTCGCCTTCAGGATTTGTGTCATCGAAACGTAGGATACACTCGCCACCATGATACTTGGCGAAACCGAAGTTGACTGCAATGGCCTTGCTGTGTCCGATGTGGAGGAATCCGTTGGGCTCGGGCGGGAAACGGGTGCGAATCTTGGGTACGGTTTCGGAGATAGGTCGCTCGTTGTAGACATCGTTTAGGAAGCCAACCTTGAACATGGCCAAGGGATCGCGGGGCTCTGAAACTTCTTTCGCCTCTTTGGGGGCTTTAGGCTTGTTCTCCTTGGGAGCCTTGGGGCCAGCCTCTTTTTTGGCTAGTTGCTTTGCGGCCTTCTTCGCCTCCTTCTTCGCAGCAGCCTTAGACTGTTTTGGCTCGCCAGTCGCGGCGGGCTCGACAGGCGTGGCCTCCTTGGGCCGCTCGGGGATCTCGGTGGGCTTGGTAGGATCCATGACCTTGAAGCCGGGAGTGGCGCGTGGACAATTGGTGGGGGAAATGAGGCCGATAATATTTTGCGAGGGGCTGCGATGCTTATCAGTTCCCATTTCGCTTATCGGCCCGATGAAACCCCGGATGAGTCAGAGTCCGCGGGCAAGTTTAAGTTGGAACTATGGAGATAAGTAAACAGCACATACAAATGAAGTAGTGGATGATGATACTTGTGATGAGTCGCATGTATGCAGCTTTACTTGGAAAGCTGCAAGGGATAGGTCTGTTCAAAAGTATTTACTGTTGATTCTCAAGTATCATGTGGAAGAAAACTGCTGTACAGTAGCGATACAATGTTTGTACAGACCCCAGAAGAGACCACGAGCACAGAGACAAGGTACGGAAAAATAGTAACACTAACAACCACCCAACTCACCAGAGCACCGGATTCATGCTATCCGAGTAGATAGAAGACACTGGAGCCCGCGAGATATGACAACAGCAGCCAAAGATCCCTCTAAAAACGGGGGAACAAATATGAACAAGATGAAAAAAAGAGAGGGGAAAGAATAAACACAAATGACGGACATGGGAATTGAAGAACAAGAGCCCCCGTTTGTTGTGCTCATTAGACCAATTTAAATGCCAGCGTAGGCTTGACGCAGAGTGTAATGTGGAGAGAGAGGGAGAGTGAGGAAAAGAAAGAAAGCAACCAAAGATGACCGTAACAAAAATCGACCAAATGCGGGGTATATGGCGTGGGTATAGAGACAAGATGATATGAAAAGAGGAGGGAAGGACGGATGAGGAGAGGAAAGAACAGGAGGGAGACAGATAAGGATATAGATGTGGAATCTTCAAAACAGCTGCTTCACGTCGATGAGCTCTGAGTTTCCAGGACGATCACGTTCCATATGGAACCACCAATCTCGTCCCATCTTATGATTCCAAGAGCCGGTGCAGGTGTCTTTCTCCCAAGGCAGAGCCTGAGAGGAAGCATTGCTGAAGGGAGTAATGGGGGTGGTAGGAGTCGCAGGTGTGCCAGTGGACCGGCCACCCAAGCTACCCCATCCAAATCGCGAAGTACTAGAAGCTGGCGAAATGATATCTTCCATGGGCGGTGGGTTCGGGGAATTCTTATTGTCGAAGCAATGGACTCCCATTCCGGCAGCGTAGGCAAGTGACTGGTTAGATGAAAGAAGTTGTTTCCATCCAATCAAACCACCATCTGATTCCTGCCCGGAGATGTCAGGCCGCAAGAGGAACTTGGGTATTGAGGCGCCAGTGACAGGGTCCATGACGCCCGAGCGACCCATGAAAGCAGGCATCCGAAATTCATATACCATTTTGGGCCCTTTAGTGTCGGGCGGGTTGTGTTTGTATCGCTCGGCTGCAGCCCAAATACCATAATCGTCCATTTCTGGCTCTGGATCATCCTCAAAAGAGGCGGAAGCTGCGACATCGGGCAAGTAGTCATCTGAGAAGTCCTGGATCAAAACCGGCATGCCCGTTTCAGTGTCCTTCACAGCCATATCGATAAAAGTTTGTGCGCGAATACGCGAGGAAGTCAGATTGTTTCCCGCTGGCAGGGCCAGGGGTCGAATACTGACAGAACCATGTGAGCTCCGTGGTAAACTATATCGATCCGGACGGAGCAGTGCTTGGCCCTTGATGATGGGCCGGCAGACAGCTTGGAGAACACCAGGAGGCTCCACGTCGTTGGGTGCGCGCATGGTCTCAAGATGAGGGAATCCAGCAGAGAGAATGCTTTGTGCAAGATGGGAGTTCGGGGTGTTGACGTGCTTAGGGGGACTCTGGAATGGGAGGCAATCGAGCTGTGTGAGGGCGGTACCGGGATCTGGGCAAGCCACGTCCCAATGAAGGTACTTCAGACTGGACGAGGCAAGGATAGGCTGGAAAACCATGTCTTCGCTCGGCATATTCGGGCATTTTTCACTCTGTACGAATTTGAACCGTTCGAGCTGTCGCAAGGAGGCAAGAATTTTGGAGATGACCAGCAAAGACTCCACATTTTGCTCCACGAGGACGAAAGACTTGAGCGATTGAGACTCAGGCCTTGATGTATACTGGGTCAGCCCGCTGTCGGTCACACCAGGTAAATTCTCCAACCGCAACGATTCCAGCGGCGGTAGACACAGCAATGTACTGTCTGCAAAGGCATCTTCGTCAAAGGATGAGATGCAGAGGTTCTTCAGCGATGGTAAGAGATCAAACATGCGCAAGAATATGCTTGGTTCCAAGGCGCCATTCCCGTTCAGCCCATACAGCATTAGGGTCTCCAATTCTGTCCATGAGACATGGTAGTCCAAAAATTCAAACATCTGAGAGGGGCCTAGGCTCCCGGGGCACAAAGTGCTACGAGGGGACACTTCTGAAACCTCCGCTGCCTCGCCCAATACCCAGGTATGTTCTTTCAGCCGCTTACGAGTCGATAAAGCGTGGGTCAAGCGATCGAACTCATGATGGTATGGAATGGAGAGGCCCAGTAATCGCTCTAGATTGGGACAGACCATAATGACGGACGCGACCAGGTCGCGATACTCCTGCCATTGGGCGCCGTGTTTGATGGTCGTAAACAGCAGATCCATCTGTGGCACACGTAGCTCACGGACAAGATTGGCCAGCAATTTCCGTTCGCGTAACGTGCGTCGCAGAAGCTTCAAGCGACTTCCCCTTTTGAGGCGGTATTTTTTCAATTGGGCAGGGGAATCATTGCCGACAATATGAATCTTGTTATACCTGAAAAAAAAAATAAGTCGGCATATTAGCAATCACCATTGACTTCGACACTTATTGCGATCTTTTTCTTTTGAGACTCACAGTCTTCCTCGAACGGCCTTTTCCCACGACCGGCAGGTCAAGGACAAGGCATGGAGGTCGCGCTGATAGCATGTCGTGCAGCCGGTCTGGTGCGGTGCCTTGTGTAATGTTTCGAGACTGTTGAGAATGACATCGTAGACTTCCGGGGGTACTCGACGTTGGACCGGTTCCACGGCCTTCCCAAAGGACCCTACCGAGTCGATCGAGTCAAATTGGCGGTATGATGAGGTTGGCGAGGAGGGCGAATAGGTGGTCGTTGGGGTAGTCGAGGTAGTATAGTTGGTCTTGTACGAGGAGACGGATGAGGTGCGCGAGGCCACCGGGTGGACGGTCACCGCGAACTCTTTGTAGCTGGAGACATCCGAGGGAATTGAGTAAGGCACAGCAGGGCTTTCTGGTCTACTGGCAACAACACTCATGGTGAATTGACACGCCTATCATCGGAGAGACGTGAATGTTGAAGCAAAAAAGACTTTATCAAAAAGAATAAAAAAAAAAGCCGGCGTGGCTTGCGGAGGGAGGGTCTGAGGCGGGGGAAGTCGCAGCAAGAATGTAGGGGGTTCACTGTCCACGGGTTGATATCGGGAAGTGTCGTCGGAACGGGGAGAAGATCGGCAGGAGAATTCCAGGTGAGGTCACTTGTGGTTTCTGTTTTGATGTTGCAACGAGTGTGAAGGGCGAACAAAAAGAGGGAGTGTATGTGCGAAGAGAGAGAGGGCGAGAAGGAGGAAGAGGAAGAGGAAGAAGCCGGAGGATAATATCACGCGGCAATCAAGCCGATCCCCTCGACCGACATCTACTTCCCTTGACGGAGCACCACTCTTCGACTTGGAACTTCCAAACTTACAATCCTCCACCATTGACTCCTCCAACCACTCTTTTCCCGCTCGTACTCTCTTTGAGGGGTCGCATTTGGCGTCTGGTCGATCGACCCCCACATCCCAGTGTTTCTGCTCGTGCTGAGCGGAGAACCTGACAGGGGCGGCGGTTCAGGGGTTGGAAGTATCCTCGCCCTATGCCCAATGGGACAGGGATCCGCTCGAGCTTGTCGAGGCATTTTCTTGGACCTCGCCGGTGGTTCTATTTTGGGCCTCTTTTGCTTTTTTTTTCTTCCCGTTTCGAGTCATCAAATCGCATCTGGAGCCAACAATATCCCTTCCGGCACCGTATCCCGGTGCATGGCAGCATGACAACCGCCAAAACACGAACGTCCCTGCAGCCACCGTTCTTCGAGGACGGTTCGTGAGCTGCAGCGCTAGTCTGTGCGAGGGATAGTCAACTAGTCAGTGGGTCACCTTTTATGGGGCCGGTTTACCCCCTTTTTCTCCCTGGGTATTTTCTTGCACAGTGCGCTTTGTAAGAGGGTGCTAAATCGCTAGTCTCCCTCAGGTACCCTACCACTGCCAAGCCCAAGGGAACTTGGGACAGTCTACGCACTTGATGCACGATGGTATATGAATTGCACTCTATGACCTGCACCGACATGTTTCAGCACAATCTCACTGTGACGGGTGACTCCTGGATGTGTTCTCTGATCCTCCCTATGGCCGGTCTTTGCACCGACACGAACTGTGGTCAAAGCGTGAGACACCCGGCGCCACTCGTCCAAATCAGTAATCAGCCGCCAGGAACCAACACCCTGCAACGCCAAAATACCATCACACCTACATAAACCCACATGGCGTTGCATGGCCCTAGGCATTCCACCCGAATTCTACAGTTACCTCGCCACCCAGGTCTCAAAAACGTGGCCTGGCCTCCGAGGACAGTGTCTCTATGACTAATTTCCCTAGCACAGACTGGCAAACGAACCCCGAGATCGAAATAGGAAGATCTGCGCTCGTAGAATGACTTACTAACTGTGCCTACGTATGTATTCCAAGAAACAAAATCGTCATCGCGGAGCTACTCGGCCATCAGCCCATCAAACGGGATTTCAATCTCGGCAAATACGGGAGCAGATGTAGGCCAATGTTATCGTCAAGCCTTACTTTGTATAGAATAGCGGCTCTCGTCAAATAAACGATGTGGACAAGACAGAGCTGAAACTCGATCTGGTGGAGACCTACCCACCCCATCGTCCCCGGGCCAGCAGCCAATTGCACCATGGGATCTCACTGTCGCGGCTCATCGTCAAGGGGGTTGTCCAGTTCATCGGATTCGCCATCTAAGATTTGGAATTCAGACGGGTCGGACCCTATCGTCTGCCGTCGCGATTCGCAGCTCGTGTCACTCTGGCGACACTAGGGTTTTCTGCACAAGACTCCCTCTCATGACCTGCTATTTATGATATGCCTAGAGTGACCCACCCATGTTTATCTTTTTCGGGTATAAAGCCACTACTTGTTAGGGTAGTATACTGTCGGTCAGGGAAGAAGCAGCTCTATGAATATTGGAATGTAGTAATTTGAGCTGGTCTGTTTGAAGAAATACAGCCAGTGTTCATGAGTCAGAGCGCTGTTTGCTATTTCTTATAATATTCCTGCGACTCTGAGCACATTTATCATGTAACGAGATGCATCTTGATTCTAACAGACATCTCTGACGATTGTGAATAGACAGGCTCGAACACCAAATCGACTGATACATAACACCCCCCTTATACGACAAAAGGTTCATCGTAGTCTTTAGGTGCAAGTTTCAGTATTCGGGAACTGGCCCAGAACCCCGAGCTTGCGTTCGACATCATGGCACCGTCAGATTTCCAACGACTCAATTCTCCATTGACCAGCGTCTCATCGCTATTCAGATTGTTCGTTTCATGAGCAATGAGCTCTTAGAGAGAGGACTGGCAGGTTTGTTTGCATGCTCGCTAGAAGAGCTTTATAGGAAGACAACATATCTTCCTATAAGAAATTTCGAAATCTTCCTCTTATAATTCCCTACCTCTCCTATAAATCTATTCATAGATATACAGATATACTTGTATACAAATGTATCTCTTCACTTCGCTTACTTGCCATAAAAATCTTGCAGACTGTAGCCAGGAAATCGGAAATCAACTTGACGCACTATTTGGCAGGACTAGCATCCTTTTTCTCTTTTGGGAGACACTCCTCCAGTGTTAGGCTTAGCGTGGCGTGTATGGGATTGCTGGATCATTTTTTTATTCCTCTCTACCCCTCTGCGTCATGAGACTTGCCTCCGGGCGCTGCGGTTCAACCAAAAGACACTATTATAGCACCAAAATACGCGATGAATCATCAATCCGAAATAAGAAAGGGATAATCTTCTCCGTAATTCGACATATAACAGTAGGTTCAATTGGCATTTTTCATTGGTACTTTCTTATTATATAGTCTACGGACTAGATAAATTTTACTCGTACTTCGTTAATGCAACCCATCTCATATCCCCTTAAAACTACCTCCTCGGCAACCCTAAAATGTTCAGTGATTGCAGAGATTTTCAGCCATGCAAATGTTTTTACTTATAACCAGCTGAAAGGGAATCCGGAGTCACGGAATGAACATATGTCTTCTTACTTAATATAAAATAAAACAAGAGTATCGTGACACATCAATCTCGTCTGCATGTTGGGCAACTTCATGGTGGAGTCAGAACGTCAGAGCGTGATTTGCGAAAAGTGTGCGAAGAGAGAAAAGAGATCCACTGACCTAGCTGTAAAGGCAGATTTTGCTTTGGATACACATCATCCTGTCTTTGTGAAGTACATATTATGCCTATGGCGATGACTATATGGGATCTATCACCGAAGAAACTCTTGAGCGTCATTCGCGCTTGATTCTCTCCTTGCATTTCGGATATGGCAAAGGAGATGCGGATACTTAAGAGAAGGCTTGAGATGCTCTATCTACTGAAGAAGTCCTCATGGTAATCGTAAACCAAACAGAAAAACTTGATGGGGTCATGGAAACGACTTTAATCGTAAAAACAGAGGTCCTGACAGTTGGTCCTGAATTCAAGCAGCAGAAGATGAGATATTTCGAGCTACGCGGCCAGGAACTGGTCTTGGTAGCGACCATATCAGGCACTTCGCTGTGTGATATTGATGGTAGCAACTGTCCGATTGAAGCGTCAATGAAGCTCATTGATATTTTACGACTCAAATCTGATCAGGACTCAACTGACGCGGAGTTTATTTGGACATATAAACTAGGTGATACATGGCAGAAGGAGAACACTTTTATTAGCAGACCGCTTGGCCGATATGAAGAGTTAAAACTATGTTTATATGGCTTCAGGACAGTGTGGCATCCGGTCACTCCAACACTATTCCCTTCGAAGCTCTTCATACTCGGGCAGCTCCCACCCTTTTACCGGCGAATCCATCAGAAACCGGCCCAGGGAATCCACCTTCAAGCATGATGCCAGCCACATTACCCAATGCAGTAATGTGATGGTCAAAGGGGACCACTGGATTTCGTTCATAAAGGGCCGAAACTGACTGTCGTATGCCTGGAATGCTGCAACATGAAAGTTCCTTCTTTCTTCTTCTAGATCATTTGTGCGTCCACAATGTTTTCCAATTTCAACCGCAAGGATGTACGCACCCACAAGAGCCCACTAGACGTGCCCATGTCTGTACTGGCCGAAGGCCCATAGGCAGCATCTCCCAGAAGCACCACGCGGCTTTGATACCAAGGTTCCAATTTGAAGAGCCCCTGACATTCACAGTAGAAGTCTTCGGCGTCCATGAGCGACTCGAGGATTGAGTCGACCTGCCATTCCGCGCCTTTAAAAACCTCTACAAAAACGCTCTTTTCCTCGCGATCATCTCCTTTCCGGACATTTTTGAGACGTTCTGTGACACTCTTGCCTGTCAAAAATACTTGGATTCTTTGTGAATCATGTCTTCAGGTCAAAACAAATCGGCCTCCGGGAGCAATGTACGTCGTGGCGATATATTCCTCTCCGTCGTCCATGGGACGAAGAATCGTAAAATGTGCGACGTACTCGTCAAATGGACGAAGCGCGTCCACTGCATCGGAGGCAAGCGTCATTTTGCAGATGCATGATCTTTGCCCGTCGGCGTCGACGAGAATATCAAACTGATCTGTTGTCTCATCCGCGAATCTGACCTCGATGGCAGTCCCTTTATCTTCGAAGTTCTGAATCGAGGAACCAAAGATATACTTCACGCGACTTTTCGTTGCCTCATACATAATGCGGCAGAGATCTCCCCTGAGGATCTCAAAGTCACTAGTAAAGCTTTGTGGCCCATGCCTGGATTTGTTGGCAGGGAAGTAGGCTTGACGTCTCCCGGCGCTGTTGACAATCTGCATGCCTTGCTCGGGAATGACATGGGCACGTACGAGGCTTTCGAGGTCCATGCGCTTTGTAATCTCGACTCCATAACCCCGTATATCTATCTGAAGGCCGCTGGTTCTGAGGCCGGGGAACCATTCGACGACAGTGACCTCATGCCCGAGCTTGGAGAGCCAAAAAGCGAGAGCATTTCCTGCAATCCCTGCACCACTGATAAGACCTTTAGTCGGATCATTTTCTGGGAGCTGTCAAGGGAACCCTGATGCACCTTCCAAGACAAGAGAGGAATAAACTACAGAAAAATTCAAAATCTTACAGCTGAATAAAATAAATGTCTTTGCTGACGGGAAGTGTTAAGAATAGGGCAGTCCAAGACGGCTCCTTTTCAAGGCAACTGCAGCAAAGACCGAATATAGTGAAGACCGAATACAGCGAGGATCAATATAGCGAGGATCAATGATACGAACGTAAAGATTCGGGGGAGACGCAAAGGCAGATGCTTCCTGAGCCAAACACGAGATACGAAGAGGCAAAGCGACCTCTCAGGTGCCTCAATAGCATACTACAAAGGCAACAACCAGATCATAGGTTGCTCAACAATGCATCCGATAGACGCTGATTACCCGTCCACGTTTCTCCCAGATGCTTTATCCTATCTTTTTTCACACAAATTCCATACCAAAGTATAAGTTTCCATTGCCATCGTCAAATCTAAGATCATCATGTTATTGGGTTTGGAGACAACTGCCCGCATGCATAGCGAATTACCGGCCTAGGCCATTCGGGCCATCAGAACGTACATACATGACATGACGAGACAAAAAAAGGGGAAATGATAAAGGATGGGAAGAAAGGGGATAGTGGGAAGAATAAACCAGAGAGCTCTAACCATGGCAAGAAATCAAATTCCATCTTAGACGTAAATGCCCATGTTTGTATCCTTCTTCTTGGCCTGTACCTCGGCGATAGCATCAACATAGTTTTCATGGCCAACCTTATTCATTCCCTTTCGCAAAGCGATCATACCAGCTTCAACGCACACGGCCTTCAGCTGAGCACCACCGAACTCGTCGGTGCTTCGCGCCAACTCAGCCCAGTTCACGCTGTCTTCAACAGACATCTTACGCGAGTGGATTTGCAAAATGTTGGCCCGCGCTTCCTCGTTAGGAAGTGGAAATTCGATTTTGCGGTCCAGACGACCGGAACGAAGCAGGGCAGGGTCAAGCACGTCGACACGGTTGGTCGCAGCAAGAACCTTGATACGGTCGTCGGAGGCAAATCCGTCCAACTGGTTCAGCAGCTCCAACATGGTACGCTGCACCTCACGATCACCGGACTTCTCAGAGTCGAAACGTTTTGTACCCACGGCATCCAGCTCATCGATGAAGATGATTGAGGGGGCCTTCTCCTTCGCCAGCGCAAAGCAGTCACGCACCAGCTTGGCGCCGTCACCAATGAACATCTGCACCAATTGCGGGCCTGCGAGCTTGAGGAAGGTTGCGTTTGTCTCGGCGGCACAGGCTCGTGCAAGAAGGGTTTTACCGGTTCCAGGGGGTCCATACATCAGAGCACCTGCAAAATAAATCGAAAATGTCAGCAAATGGGACAAAAGAGCTGGCTTGTATGGAATAAGCAGACTGACCCTTCGGCGCCTTGATGCCAATCTTCTTAAAGCGCTCTGCTTCCTTCATCGGCCATACTATAGCCTCGACAATCTCCTCAATCTGCTTGTCCAGACCACCAATATCTGTGTACTTCTCCGTCGGTTTCTCATCGACCTCCATCGCCTTCACACGGTTGTCATATTCGGCTGGTAGCGTATCCAGGATGAGGTATGAGTCCTTATTCACACCGATCAAGTCAGCGGGCTTCAGCTTTTCGTGATCGACCAGGCCGATAAGCGGAAGGAAGATGGTCTGTCGGGTCGAAGTCTTGATGACGGCAGACTTGCCCACCCTCGTAGCGTCCAGGTCAATGTTGGCGCCTTCCTCTGCGGCTTCAGCCTCCACATCAAGGTCCAATAGCTCGACCACATTGCCGACAAGGTATGGTAGTTGTCTATCGTACGAAATTTCGATGTTAGCTGAAAGAAGTTCTGCTTGGTAATCGAGCGGAGATTGTCGAAAGCTCCGCGGACCCTGTGTTGTGAGGCTCCGCAAGAGCTCTCTTGCCCACGCCATCGCCACGATCGTCCGTACCTGTTGTTCTCGATCTTTTCTTGGTTATCCTTGACTTTCTCCCGCATTGTGCTCTGCTCGTGTGTCAACCGCTGGAACTCGCTCTTCATGATGCGCATCTCGTTCTCCAGCATCCGCCGCCGTTTGACAATGTCCGCCGTGCTTGAGTGTAGAATCTCGTCATCTAGAAGCTCATCCTCTTCATCCTTCTTCTCGGCATCTTGCATCTCAGCATCTTCGTCACCACCAGGCTGCTTGCCATCGTCGCCCTGGTCTTGCTTCTTGTCTCTGGTCTCGCGCTCGAGGTCGTCAAGATCCTCAAGGGTCGACATAGTGGATGGAGATTGATGGGGAAATTAACGGTCGGGTTTGGATGATAATTAAAGGCCTGGTAGCTCAGGTGGCGGGTTCGAAGTGAGGAGGTTGATGCTGGAAGGGAACGTCGGAAGGTTGGAGAAGAGCTGTCCGTGGCCGAGCTCCAACAACGTCAGCCAGGTCACGTGTCGCTATCAACATTTCCAACCAGATCATCGAAAATCGAAGGGCGTCGGAACAACTAAAAATGGAATCTTATTCGTTATTATATTGTACTTGCTTTCAAATTATTTAATCAATATTATTATGCTTGAGATAGTGGTCTAATTTTTACCTGGAGTACTTCCATTTAGTGTGGTTGGTGCACTAGGATGTCGCTCATCAACTGAACCATCATTCGCAGGAAATGCTCTATTTTACAGGAGAAAACACATCATCAAATATCAAGCGTATGGCTCCACTTATTGCTTAGTAGATGGAATAGGGGTTCTGGCTTGGGTTTCGTCCAAGGCGGAAATTGCCAAGGTTCTTCAGGACCTTTTCACGCCCATACTTCAGCAAGCGGAGTCGTGAAATAAAGTCGTCGTTATTAACTAATTAATGCTGTCAGTTCATTTTGAAACAATATCATGGAATACAGCAGGAGATAACACTTAGTACTCACCATAGCCACCACACATCCGTCGCTTCCCCGTGAACTCGGCACGACCATGTAACATTCTCCAGTTATCGAAGACTAGGTGAAATAAATGTATTAGCCACAGGAAGATACCATACGAAGTGAAGACTCACTCAATGCAGTACCTGGCTTCAGCTGAGTCCAGATCTCATTTGACTTTTTGGTCAAAATGGTATTGTAGTGCTGGGCAGCGCGGTACCAATCCTTTTGCTCTCCTAGTCCCCAGTCGGTCTTTGGTGCACGATCATAGTTGTTCCAGCGAATCTGATAAACTCTATCCATATCTGGATGAATACTAAGGACAGGAGCCATGGCTGATGGTTGAACACAAACATCCTCATTGCCGCTCGCATGCCAGGGATGTCTATAAGTATTCAACACAGCATAATGTCTGGGGTTCTCTGCTAATAATTGCTGGGCAGCTGCGAACCCATCGACCAGCAGGCTCTCGCCTCCTTGTCCATCTTTATGGGATAAAAGGTGAAAAAGCTGAAGTCTCGCTGGATCTGTGAAATAAGTATTGTCTGTATGTGCACCTAGGAATTCGGTTGTGTATGCTGTGTCTTTGAAGGTGAGATCGGCGGTGAAATCCCAGAAGCCACCTTAATAGTCGTTTCAGCGCTCAGTCACTCCAATATAGATTAAGATATATTTACCATAATGTGTGTGCCGGATAAATGCAATTCGTTCGATCAGCGTCTTGGTCGATGCAGGATCTACAGGCACACCCTTAATAAAACAGAAGCCCCATTTCCACTAAGAGCAGTCAGCGATAATTATATGAATATTATTGAGAATCTCAAAAGAACTTCGAAGGGAACGAACTATTTTTTCTAGCCATTCCAGCACAGAGGCATCTTTTGACATCACGGCCTCATATGCTACCTCGGGATAAGGTTCTCCTTTGGAGGGGTCATATGCCGTAAATGATCTGGGTTTATATAATTAGATCTGGTCCATGATCATTGAACTTGTATCGTTTTACAGACCTGGGTGCTTTTGCTCTGTTGACCTGGGATTCTGCTTTGCTCGGACTTGGATTTTTAGGTCCTAGATGAGAAGAGAGCCAGTCCCTTGGGTACGAGCTGATGTGACCATCACTCCCTGCAATAATACTAAGCTTCTATTGCTGGCTTACAGCCATGAGGAGCAGATTTCTCTTACATTTAATTGTGACATCGGTGGGAGAGTTCACGATTCTGTCAGATTTGACATCTGAGGGAATCTATCCGTTGATCAGCAGACATATCTATGTATATAAGCCGTAGAAGGCCTATTTTTCAATGCACATACTGAGAAAGTGTCGACGATTCTTTGCTTTGTATCTGGGTGAGTACATTGCGGGCACTGGCAATTCTCTCTGAGAAAAGAAATTCGTCATTCAAGCCTTAGCCAATCGAGTATGCATATAGTTACTGACCTAAGAAAGATATTCCCGCTGTAGGTTTCAAGTTAGATATTTCGATGCTCAATTCAGAATTACATATAGGCTCACAATTGTAGGAATTTCCCATGGTCGGGATCAATTTCAATGACCACGTTTCCATTATTCATAGCTGCAAGAGCGGCTTTTTTAATACTTGCACTGCTGACTTTCTTTGAGCTATTGTGTGTCTCCTGTATTTCCTGCTTCGGTGCAACGGAATTGTATAAGAGCCGGCGATTAACAGGGGATGACCAGCCAGGAGCGTTCTTGGTAATAAGAAGAACAGCATGTCGATAGCCAAAGGCCTGTTGACAATTCAGATATGATTATACTTAATGATTTTGAGGTGTATACACAAGTAAGGTGCATTGTGTTCCTTGTATACATACCTTGCCGCTGTTCATGAGCGCATATGAGCACACCAATGTGGGCCTGGCAAGTATATTAGACCGTGAAGAGAATTGAGGGTTTTCAAATAGAAAATTACCTGCAACTGGTCCATGGTAATGACGTGCTAGCTGTCGCAAAACGATTCATTCTTCTGTAAGGGGTTTCGGGCTGTGATACGGTGTTGAAAGGCGGGGAAGTCGTTGTGGTCTGGTGAACATCCGAGCTTGGGGAAACGGCCGAGGCCGGTGATCACGTGTCAACCTACATTGAGCGGAGAATGAGGGGGTGTTGTATAATTTTATCCGGACGCATGGAGAGAAAATGCAATACTCATGTGAGATTAGTAACAGTTTACTTCTATTGGAGCAAGCTGGGAAGATCTTGCTATCAAGTTGAAACAATTGATGTAATTGAATGTAGGTAGTTTTCTCAACGCCAGATGGGACACTATACACTACAAACATTATAATGCTTTCTTTATGGGTATTTGAAAATTTACAGCTTGCTCTTGGCACCGACAACCTTCAGCAGGGCACGGCCATTGCTCAAGACCACCTTCCCGGTCTGGTTCTTGGTGACGAAACGGATCTCCTCAAAGCCATCCGCTTGCGCATTGCCCATGCGCCAGATCTCAGTAGTCACCTTGTCACCCGGACGAACAGGCGAAGCAAAGCGAGCCTGGAACTCCTTGAGGTTAGCTGGATCACTGCCGCCAAGCTCCCGTAAGATACCGTGAGCGGCAGAGTTCCAGCTGAACAGACCGTGGATGATGATGCCACCAAAGCCCATCTTCTGGCCAGGCTCGGGAGTGGCATGCAGAGGGTTATAATCACCGTTCAGGCTGCGATGAAGATTAGTATTCTGTTTCAGTGAATATATTGGAGTTTTAGTGAAGGACATGCCGGTACAGGTGAGCAGTCTCCATGTTGCTCTGGACAACGTGAACGGCGTCCGGGCTCTTGCCCTGGGGTGGAGGAAAGTTGACGGTGGCAGGACCTATTGGTAGCAATTTAGAACTTCCATATCTATCAGCATGGGAATATTGAGAGCACACCCTTAGGACCGCCCCAGTTGCCTTGACCGACCAAGAAACCGCTGGTCAAAACCTTGTTATACACCTCGCCGCTCTCCTTGTCGACTATTGACTGCTCGGTCTCAATGACGGTGCCTGGCTTGCCCTTGTCGTAGACACCAATGACCTTGCTACGCAGTTCGAATTTCCGGCCGGCACTGGTTGGAGGGAGCGGCTTCAAGACAGTGAGCTTGCGCTGGCCATCGACACCATGGCGGTGGTCCAAGTTCGGCACGCCTGGAATGTGGACGGCCTGCTGGCGCGCATAAAAATCGGTCACCTCCTGGTCGGTGAGCTTGAATGCTGGATTTTGGAACATCAGTTAGTGCTGGTCAGGGGATTAGGTTTCTCGCGGGGTGCCAACATGCTACATACGGAGGATGAGAGGGTATGTTGGGAAGACAGCAAAATTAGGATGCAGTTCCTGGTCAACCTTGTTAGAGCAAATATCGCCAATATAAATGTACCCATACGTCATCTTCAACGTACGTAGAGGAAGTGCAGCTCGTCGGCCTTCACGCCAATGCTGTTAGCGAATAGCAAAACGTCGCGCTTCTGCCAGGAGACATCCTTGGCAGGAAATTCATGACCAGCACCAGGGGCAGACATTGTGGTGATTGGAATGCAAAAGACTTGAGGGAGAAGTGTGGAATAAAACAGAGAACAAAATGGGAGAGGGAAAAAAGGACTGCGGAGAAGGAGCTAAAGTAGGCGTGTGAGGAATTGCGGGGCGGACCTGAGCCGAGGATCAGATAATGATTTGTTACCGTCGTAGCCGATGGCACGCAAGAGCCTTGGCATTTCGGAGTTTATGAGGCTTCAGAATAACTAACTACGGAATGAAGAGGACTTTACCGGGAAAGGAGAGATTTTCAATAGACATGAGAAAGAGCGTCGGAGTTGCTAGACTAAGCATCGACTCGGGGTATATCTACTTGGAAAGTCGAGGAGCTTCGTAATCATCACTCCGCATCGCGCCATGTAGTAATGCCTTTTAACCTGCCACCCAAGATACAGAACGCCAATGAAAAAGAAACAAGACCTGAGTGTCGAGTCACCCTGTGCCAATCCTAGGTTGCCCATACTATGCTGCAGTGCATGTGATGACGAAAATTTTCTCGAAAATACGTATGACGGTGTTGAAGAGATCATAAATCAGAGCGAAGATTTCAAAAGCAAAATCAGCACCTAGCGAGAAGAGTCAGTAGGAATTCCAAAGAAAAACCAAAGAATGGCACTCACATCCGGTAGAAACAGCTGCCCTCAGCGAAGCGAGTCGGGTCGTTGGTCTCGAACTTGTAAGAGATGTTGATGTCCAAGTCACGCTTGTTCTTGTCATTGGGGCGGTTCTCGAGGTAGCCAGAGACAGTCTCTCCCTCCTCAACGGTGAGAACATCCCGGAGATAGAAAACGGTCTGCTTCCAGTGGGTATACTTGGCGTGGGGGCCAGTCGAGAAGCAGATGGGCTTGTGGCAGGCGCTGAACTCGATGTCGAACCATGCAATCAGGGCATGAATGAAGTCGGGGCGGTTGGCGGTAAGTGTGTACGGCACCTTGAAGGCCAGGTCGGCGGTGGTGACTGTGTTCAAGTCGAAAGTGATGATCTCGCAGGGCTCGGTGAGGAGCGCCTTCATCTCCACGGTGTCAACCAAAGGCTCAGTCAGAGCAATTTCCTTCATCGGGCTGTAGTTGAAGCCATAGACATTGTCCCAGACTAGTGGGGCGTTAGTAAACGGTTAATGTTCTACAGGATGTTTAAGATATTTCTCACATCCAATCTTGTCATCCTTATACTCGCCATCCTCGATGGCAGCCACATACATGGTGGCCTTATCAGGGAAGATCTTGCCACCGGGGGCGAGGTAGGTGTCACGGGCATAGAGCACGGTGTCCAGCATGGACTCGTAAAGAAGGAAGTAGCCCATCCACTCGGAGATGATAATATCAACCTTGGGGAAAGGGAGAACAACCTCCTCCATCTTGCCCTGCAGGAGAGTGACCTTATCGCTGAGGCCGTTCACAGCGACAATCTCCTTAGCCTTCTCAATGATCGAGGACATATCGACACCAATGACATGTTTGGCGCCAGCACGAGCAGCAAACCTATAGAGGATATCAGTCATCATGCATAAGGAAGTCTGTCAACCTTCAATTACAGTCCTGGGTGCATACATGCTGAGAATACCGGTACCACAGCCAACATCGAGGACAACCTTGTCCTTAAAGATGTGAGGGTTTTGGTAGATAGAATCGCGGTAGGATCTCGTGCGGACATCATCTTTCTAAATTGTAGACAAAAAAATCCATAAGCCTGCTGCCTTAAAAGTCTGTAATTCTATCGCGATTCACTTACAAGCATCTCCTCGTGAATACCTGCAAAGAACAAATGATAGCAACATTAGCCTATTTCCTCTTTCGGAATGATTGCGCACGATTCAAAAAGGGGGGTTACCGTGATGATCATAGCTAGGACTTAATTAGCACACGACTTGGGATCAAATCTGATGAGTAGGAGCCATACCTGGTGAAGTAGCGCACCTCGGCGTGCTCAGCGCCGACCATGCGATCGGCACTGCTGGTGATAACCCCAGGGGGCGGGGGAGATCCAGAAGTATCCATATTGCTATCCTGGGACATTAAATTTATCAAGGTGGTAGGAATAGGGCGAGATGTGACGAAAAAAGAAATGTTTGGACGAAAAAGATTGGAGAAGTTCGCCCTCGAACTCAACTTTTTTTTCCAGCATTTCCAAGCACCGAGCTTCAACGCCCAAAAAATACCCGCCCGCACTAACCCCGAAACGGAACATATCACATGACCCAGTAGCCCTGATTACCCTAGGGCTGGGCATTTGCAGCAGATGTGCCAATATGTATGACGTGAGGTAGAGTTCAAGAGTGGTCGAAGATGGTCTGAGAGAATATCAAATAAAGCAATGTCAAATAGTACCGTAAGTCTGTGGGTTGGGATAATGAGTCCGTTCTAGCCGGAGCACTATATTCCCTGGAATTTCCGAGTCCATGTACTGTAGGTACCCCTACTCGGTACATGTATATATTCTATACCCGCCGGCCTTCCAAAACTCAATCAACTCGAAGCATTTGAAAATCAATCCTCATTTTTGACTAGAAAATTTGAGAGCCAACAAGCCAGCAAGAGTCAGGAAACATCACATTTCCAGGCGATTCCATATTTGCACTGGTTAATTTTACAACAGGACCAGGCGAACCACAAGGCTGGGTTTCCAACGGTCGCGCTGTCAACAATCATTTGCCAAGACCCGCGTCAGGGCCCCATCGTGATGCCCACCCGAAGCTCCGGACACTGCCATTCCTTCCCAGCTGACGCGTTTTTTGCCCTCAGACCACTGTCAGATCATCATGTTATTGCATGCTGGTGGAGGGAAGACTTCCAGTCTTTTTGTCCTGGTCATTGCGGCCCTTTTGGTTGGCCGATCCGCTGCGTCTCTGGGAGATCATCTTCCAGACTTCAGAGAATGTGTCCAGGTACCTCTCTCCTCGACCTAGATCGACCGGTTTACATGTCTCACGTCGCTAACAAGCACCCAGATCTGCAAAACAGAGAACTGCCAGAATGGCAATTCAGTGCTGCGTACGTCTTCCTCTCACTGATCATGGCCGTATCTTTCATGGTCTCTCCTTCGCTAACCTTGAGGTCTGTAGCTCTACATCACCGCTTGCTGTTATGGACCTGTCCTGCTGAATGCGATTACACTTGTCAACACGTCATAACCGACCGTCGAGTCTCTCGTGACCCCCCGATGTTGAATCCGATCGTTCAGTTCCATGGAAAATGGCCCTTCCGAAGGATACTGGGGATGCAGGAGCCCTTCTCGGTGCTCTTCTCTTTCCTCAACTTCGCAGCCCATTGGCATGGCATGTCCCGAATCCAGGAGTCCATCCCAGCCTGGCACTCACTCCGGAAATACTACATGATGTTTGGATATATCGGACTGGCCAGCTGGACCTTTAGCATGCTCTTCCACACCAGAGATTTTGCCATTACGGAGAAGCTGGACTACTGGGCCGCGGGCGCAAACGTCCTGTATGGCCTCTATCTGGCTGTCATCCGCATCTTTCGCCTGGATCTGGAGAACCCGCAGTACCGACCGACATTGCGCCGACTATGGACCGCGATCTGTATCCTGCTCTACACGATGCATGTCTGTTACCTGAGTTTCTGGTCTTGGGATTATACATATAATATGGCAGCCAACGTAGCCGTTGGAATCGTCCAGAATCTGATGTGGACTGGTTTCAGTATCTTTAGATACCAGAAATATTTGAAGTCGTGGACAGCTTGGCCCGGCATGATTGTTGCATGGATTATTCTGGCCATGAGTCTGGAGTTGCTGGACTTTCCCCCGTGGCATGGACTGATCGATGCCCACAGTCTCTGGCACTTGGGCACGGTTATCCCCACTGCCTGGTGGTATTCGTGAGTCATTCTAATGTCTTTTTACTTCCGACTCGACTCGTTGGACGAGGCTGACGCATGCTGTCGAACAGATTCCTCATCAAGGATTCACAGGATGATATTGCTGGACATCGCCTCAAGGCGTAGGGTAGGATGCTGGAGGTGGGAAACATAGGTCATTTATATACTGTCACCTAAGCATGGTGGGCATTATTTCCGCTCTCGGCGGCTAAAACAGCTTGTGCCTTGTACAACAGGGTGGTAACCAAAGTCCTGGTGATTTTGTTGCTAATAATAATTGCATAACGGGTCTCCCCCACCTTTGTTTACCGTAAGGCGTTCTTGGGAATTGGTAATTGCCACGACCCTGGTCGAGGTAACCGTCGTATTGCCACAGAGCGGTACCACGCGTGGGGGGTGAACCCCCCGCTATTGGCTCACCGCTAAGGCCGTCGCATTAACCCGTGTCTCACCCAAGCCCCTCGTTCCTTTTTCTGCTTCAAGTACCTCCTACCTCTCCCTCCTTCTCTAGTGATTCCTCATCGAGCGCCGATTGTCTCTGGTCTCGAACTCTCATCTCGCATTTACAGTTTGATTGCAGCTACTTGCGCCACAATGGCGTCTCCGGCCGTCAAGAAAGCAATCACCGAGGCGGCGCTGCAGTACACGAAGCCCGAGGGGAAGGTCTTCGAATATGGCACCGCAGGGGTAGGTCGCGCAGCCCGTAACATGCTCTTTATAAGCTTGAGACTGACTGCTATCGTCCCGCCCACAGTTTCGCATGAAGGCGTAAGTGCTTTCTCTTTCTCTCAACGCCGATCTGCCCCGTCTCCCCACCCTCCGCGATCGTCTATTTGTTGACATCGTCTATTTGTTGAGGTTGAAATTGACTGACGGACATGGATGCGCAGTGACCTTCTCAACACTGTCGTTTTCGCAGTGGGTCTGCTTGCCGGTCTCCGGTCAAAGAAGCTTAGTGGGCAATGGATCGGTGTTATGGTCACTGCTAGTCACAACCCCGCGGAGGACAATGGTGTTAAGTTGGTCGATCCCATGGTGAGTAAACAACAGACTGGCTGCCACTGCGGCTTTGCCAAAGCAACCTGAAAGCTGACGGATTTCTTTCTCTAATCAGGGCGAAATGCTCGAAGTAAGCTCTATCACCGATCAGCCGCCGACTTGGATTTTCTTGGACTCACTGTTGTATTAGGCCGAATGGGAGGCGTACGCAACAAAGCTGGCGAACGCCCCACTTGACAGCATCGCTGATGTCTATGATGAACTCGTGAAGGAGATTGACGTGAAGATGAACAACCCTGCTCGTGTTGTCTTCGCCCGTGATACCCGTGCTTCCGGCTCTCGCCTCATTGGTGTCCTCAACAACGCCCTCACCGCAACCGAGGTTGAGTTCATCGACTTCAAGTACATGACTACTCCTCAGCTGCACTATGTTGTGCGCTGCAAGAATACCCTTGGCACCCAGTACGAATATGGCGAGCCTACCGAGCAAGGATACTACGAGAAGCTTGTCGAATCCTTCAAGAAGGTTATGCGGGGAGTCAAGGTTCAGGGTAACCTGACTGTCGACTGTGCTAATGGAGTTGGAGGCCCCAAGTTGAGAGAGCTCATGAAATATCTGGGTTCTGGACTAGATATCAAGGTTATCAATGATGATGTGATCAACCCTGACAGCTTGAACTACGAGGTGAGCTACATATTGATCCACTGACTTATAAACCATTCCGCTTTCTGACCCCATTCTCCAGTGTGGTGCCGATTATGTCAAAACCAAGCAGCGCGCTCCTCCCTCTTCTAAGGCTGCTGCTCTTGATCGGTGCGCCTCTCTTGACGGCGATGCTGACCGTCTGGTTTACTACTTCATTGATGAGAGCAATGTATTCCGACTCCTTGATGGTGACCGTATTGCCACTCTTGCCGCTTCTTTCATCGGTGATCTTGCCCGCAGTGCTGGCATTGCCTCCAAGCTTAAGATCGGTGTTGTTCAGACTGCCTATGCCAACGGCTCCAGCACTGACTATATCGAGAAGGTGCTGAAGCTGCCCATCATCTGCACCAACACTGGTGTGAAGCACCTTCACCACGCCGCCTTGCGCTTTGATGTCGGTGTCTACTTCGAGGCCAATGGCCACGGCACCGTCACCTTCTCAGAGAATGCTCTCAAGGTCATTAAGAACACTGAGCCCCAGTCACCGGCTCAGCAGCGTTCCCTGGAATGTCTCCAGGCTCTGACCGAACTCATCAACCAGGCTGTTGGTGATGCACTTTCTGACATGCTTCTCGTGGAGGCCATCCTGGCCCACAAGGGCTGGACCCCAAAGGAGTGGCTGGGAACCTACACTGACCTCCCATCCCGCCTGGTGCGTGTTGAGGTCAACGATCGCTCTATTTTCAAGGCCTACGATGCCGAGCGCAAGCTGGAGTCTCCCGCTGGTCTTCAGGCCAAGATTGAATCCCTGCAGTCTCGATATAACAAGGGCCGCAGCTTTGCTCGTGCCAGTGGCACTGAAGATGCTGTTCGTGTTTATGCCGAGGCTGCTAGCCGGTCCGAGGCGGATGACCTCGCGACTCGCGTTGCCAATGCTGTTCGCGAGGCTGGCTCTGCTGAGGCTCAGCAGTAGGCGGAAAGCAGACCTCTATAGGAAGGCGGTGTATATTGTCACTACCGTCCTGGTAAAAAAAGATCACGACAGCGTCCTGGTATTCGGTAGCCTCCTCTGAGAGCAGCGTATGACTAGCAAAATGTTTTCCATATCATCATTTGATGTAGTAACGAAAGTCACGCTCATTGTAACCCCCACTAGATGACCCCATGAGATTATCAAATCTAGAGCTTTTGAATTTCTATACTAAGGATGTGCATAAATTCCTTAGTTTAGAAGGATGTTACGTGAAGTAAGCTTGGGATGGTAAAAGGTGTCCATTCTAATACGTAGAGGCTACCGCATGTAAGCTGAGTGCTGACTAAGTATGTGGCTACCCAACAAAGGCTTAAGGCTTCACAGGAGCTGCCTGCCTAGGAAGCCATCTAACCGCTGCCAAATCTCACAGTTCTACTGGTTAACGAGCGAAAGCTGTTTTTTGCTGTTCGAATCGTTCTACAGACTTGGTCTATATGGTCTTGCTATCCGATGGGAAATGAAGGCCGCGAGCTGCGATATCTCTGATCACAAGGATATTGCGAGGTCCAGACTTAAACTTGCCGTGAAAGCCTATCCCGGTGCTCTGCAAAATTTTCCCATGGAGAGTAGTATCAATCAAATCGGGAACACAAAGAGAATGAAGATGATATGTTCGGCTTCATGTACTCTTTGGGAGAAAATGATACTGGATTTGCCGTAGAAGGTCCCACGGAGATAGATGATATAAATATTAGCTAGCGCACAGCCTATAGTATAAGAAAGTTGATTGGATTGATTTACCTTCTATTACGTCCAACTTCGAGGTTTTTTTTTTTTTTTTTTTTTTTTTTGAAAAAAGCGTTGCGCCGGTCTTGACCTGGTCTTCAAAGTATATGCCGATTGGGATCCTAAATTTAAGTGGGTCCGCGCAACATCTTTGATCCGCGCAGGCTCCGCCTGGATTTTCTGGAGACAAAAAAAAACTTCGGGTCTCAAGTGCAACTTTTGTAGCTTGTACTCGATATCAGCTCCATTGTTTTCATTCTTACGGAATCAGCAATGGCCAAAGCACGTGTTAAGAAGCGCACCCACTTGCGGCCGCAAAATGCCTCTTCTGCAGCCAACAAGAGCGCCGCTGCCACGATGTCCAAGACCCCAAAGTCGATGGTCATTAGAACTGGCGCTTCTCAGGTCGGCTCCAGTGTCAGCCAGCTGGTCAAGGATGTTCGACAAATGATGGAACCCGATACTGCTGTGCGATTGAAGGTATGATACCTCCTGAATGTGTCCGAGCTTGAGATCAATTCTAATCGAATGAAGGAACGTAAATCCAACCGCCTGCGCGATTATACCGTGATGGCTGGTCCTCTCGGTGTCACACATCTTATGCTATTCTCCAAGTCCAAGACTGGCAACACGAACATGCGTCTCGCCGTGACCCCTCGAGGACCCACTTTGCACTTCCAAGTTGAGAGCTACTCGCTCTGCAAGGATGTCGAACGATCATTGAAGCGCCCGAGAAGCGGTGGACAGGACCACAAGACTCCGCCGCTACTGGTTATGAATAACTTCAATTCGCCAGATGCTACGGAGGAATCAAAAGTGCCCAAGCGTCTCGAGACCCTCACAACCACCATCTTCCAATCTCTCTTCCCCCCGATCAACCCCCAAGCCACGCCACTGTCCTCTATTCGCCGTGTAATGCTTCTCAACCGAGAGCAATCCGAGTCCGACGATGGCTCTTACATCCTGAATCTTCGACATTACGCCATCGCCACGAAGAAGACTGGCGTCTCAAAGCGCATTCGTCGTTTAGACCCGAAGGAAATCCGCAACAGGGATAAGAAAAAGACAGCTGTTCCAAATCTTGGAAAGCTGGAGGATGCGGCCGATTATCTCCTCGATCCATCCGCCGCTGGCTACACTTCTGCTAGTGAGACTGAACTGGACACAGATGCCGAGGTTGAAATTGCGGAAAGCACGACACGCAAAGTCCTGAACAAGCGCGAGGCACAACGCCAAAGAGCTGGCGACAAAGAGAAGGCTGCTGCTACCCCGGGCGTCGAGAAACGCGCTGTTAAGCTCGTCGAACTTGGTCCCCGCATGAAGCTTCGCCTGATGAAAGTCGAAGAGGGTGTCTGCGACGGTGCAATTATGTGGCACGATTTCATCACAAAGTCTGCGGATGAAGTCAAGTCCATGAAGAAGAGCTGGGACTCCCGACGAAAGGAGAAGGAGGCGCGGAAGAAGCTGCAGAAAGAGAACATTGAACGTAAGAAGAAGGATAAGGCCAAGGCCAAGGCTAATGGCGAAGAGGTGGAAGAAGATGATGAAGATGTCGACATGGACGGTGATGACTGGCTCAGTGATGACTTTGATGATGAGGACGCCGAGGGTGCCGAGCAGGAGCAAGACTCCGATGATTCTATGGAGGAGTAAATGACCCCATGTCCCACTTTGTCTTCACATGGAAGAGCATCTGCTGTGGTCGAATCAACGCTGCTCATTTGCTTCTTCCAGTGGCTCATATACTCTGGCTTGGAACCATCTCCCCAAGGCCCTCAGTGATCCTAATCTATACCCACGAACTTCTTGACGGTTTAGTTTTGTACATTTACATGGCGTATGCGAATAAAAGTTTAGAATAAGCCTCAAAAATGGACACTTTTTTGTTCAGATCTTCGTTAAGCTACGTAACTCGTATCTCTCATTTTGGTTGGCTCTTTATTTCTTGAGCTTCTCGTCAACAATGCGGGCCACCATTTTCTCGAGAATTGCAAAATCCCCATTGGCCGTGCCGGCAAAATAACCCTGAACGCTCTTCTCAACATACTTGCCCACAATGTCGATCTCGACATTGACCTCGTCGCCAGGCTTCTTGCCTGCTGTCACAACCTTCCCCTGAGTGTAGGCAATGAGCATGACCTCCCAGTATCCGTCCTCGCCATCGACTACCTTGGTCACTGTCAGACTGGCTCCGTCGAGGGTCACATAGCCCTTCTCCACCACGTAGCGCAGCACGTCCGTATCCCGCGGCTGTAGCCGGAACACCAAGGAGTTCCCGTCAGGCGTGATGGACAGAATCTTCGCGACGGTGTCAACATGGCCCTGCACAAAATGACCACCCATACGAGTGTCTGCAGCTACTGCACGTTCGAGGTTCACGTTCGAGCCAGTCTGGAGAGACCCAAGGTTGGTGCGTCGCAAGGTCTCTGGCGCGACTCCAACCTTGAACCAGGTCTTGTCGAACGCCGTAACGGTGAGGCAGGTTCCTTCATACTCGCTGTCAGAAACAGTAACTCTTCAGCAAAAGCTAAATACGGGGTGAAAGATACCGTTGACAGCAATGCTATCGCCCAGGTGAGCGTCGGAGAGAATCTCCTCGCAGTCGGAGATGGTGAGCGACGTGCCCCCGCCCCCGCTCGACGACGTGTCGAGGGGCTCCAGGGCCGTGACAGCTAGATTGGGATTTTCAGTCTTGGCGGAGTCTTCATGTCAAAGTTAGCATACTCACTCCCAATGGTCTCAACCAGGCCAGTAAACATTGTTGTGAGTGTGGGTAGGCAGATCTGCATGGGAAACGAGTTGGGGTCGGTCGACCTCGGCTTCGGGGCCCGCTCCGAGCGGTGTCGGCGTTTTGGCGGAGTTTCGATCTATCCTAGCGGTGATTTAACCCTCCTGAACTCGTGGCCTGGATCCTTTTTTGCTTGTACATTTACACAAGTTCGTGTTTTCGGTGGCTCAGAGGATGTTTGCGTTCAGGATTCAGGCGGTTGCCCAGCGATCGCGGCCATGCTGGGCCAGCAATTCTTTGCGGCGCGTGTCTCCGTTGCGGAGATACTCCAGCGCAACGTCGGCTTTGAATGAAACATTACCCTTGGCTGGTATCCGAGTGCTTGATATGACACGAGTCCTGGCGGGAGTAAGTCTGGTTAAGGCATCTTTTACCTTTCTGTCTTGATCTATACTGATCTGTCGCCCGTATAGCCATATTGTACTCAGATCTTAGGTGATTTGGGGTATGTGAAGCCATTGAAGCACAGTTTGGCGACATTGTCCACTCCCAAAGGCCATTGGACAGCTACTGACCTTTGCTCTTCAAAGTGCGGACGTCATCAAAGTCGAACACCCCATACGAGGCGATGATACTCGAGCCTGGGGTCCACCATATGCCAAGTATGAAGATGCGTCTCAGAAAGGCCCCGGCGAGAGCGCTTATTATCTTGCGGTATGTGGCCCCTTGAATGCTGAAATACATGAGTATACTCATGCAGGATTCCAGGTCAATCGTAATAAGAAATCCCTGGGGCTCTCTTTCCAGCACAAGTCGGGAGTTGAAATCTTGCACAAGCTTGCAAAAGAATGTGATGTCCTCGTTGAGAACTATCTTCCCGGTGCACTCAAGAAGTACAACATGGACTATGAGACTCTGCGGAAGATCAATCCCAAGTTGATCTACGCCAGTATTACTGGTTACGGCCAAACGGGACCATACAGCAACCGCGCGGGCTACGATGTCATGGTGGAGGCAGAGATGGGGTTGATGCACATTACCGGCTCACGGGACGGACCCCCCGTCAAAGTGGGTGTTGCTGTCACGGACCTGACCACTGGGCTGTATACCTCGAATGCCATCATGGCAGCTCTGCTTGCTCGAGTTAGAACCGGCAAAGGCCAACACATTGATGCTTGCTTAAGTGATTGCCAGGTTGCAACCTTGGCCAATCTGGCTAGCTCGGCTCTAATTAGCGGGGAAAAGGATTCTGGACGCTGGGGTACGGCGCATCGTGAGTGACCACGCCGTCTTCTAAACCCTTTTCAACTACTGATGCCCTATTTTTCTAGCCTCGATTGTCCCTTACCGGAGCTATAAAACCCTCGATGGTGATATTCTCTTTGGTGGTGGAAATGATCGTTTGTTTGGCGTGCTGTGTGATCGACTCGGTTTCCCCGAGTGGAAGAACGATGTCCGCTTTGTTACCAACAGCGATCGAGTGAAGCATCGAGCGGAAATCGATGGATTGATTGAGACCACGACCGTACAAAAAACCACTCAAGAATGGCTGGAGATATTTGAGGGTAGTGGAATGCCCTATGCAGCCGTCAATGATATCCAGGGAACCTTGAACCATGAGCACGGTACGTATTCTGTCTGATAGGCAAACCCTCTCATCTAACAGAACCATCTGGAAACCTAATTATTTTGAGCAGTTCTTGCCAGAAATATGGTGACCGAAGTCGAGCACCCCGCCTGTGGCCCGATCAAGCTGGTCAACACTCCCATCAAATACTCCGAGGCCACACCCGGTGTGCGCACACCCCCTCCAACCCTCGGCCAACACACCGACGAGATCCTGGGCAGCATTCTGGAATATAAGGAGGCAGATATTGCACGATTGAAAGAGGAAGGCGTTTTGTCCTAGAGACCAGACACGATAGATCAGAAGGGATTAGGCTGAGGTGCAAAGGGATGGCCTTTACACAATTGTATATAGAATGATTCCACTTTATGAGACATCATGAAACAGCGATACATTACCATGGTTATCTACAAGGAACAAGACTATAACTTTTTGACGACTCGACGGAATACTAGATTATATACACGTATTGTTTTCTGAGTGCTGGAATGGGACACCGTAACCACCATCTTGTCCATGCCCGTCACGTGAGTCTATACAGACTTTGGGTCGCCTCGACGTTCCCAATTCAGTATTCGTCTCGCTGCCTCCATGGATTGGCCCATTCAAGGAAGCCAATAGATAGGCATCTATTGATATTTTACAGGTAGATATCCCCAGTGGGATACAAATATCCCTTCGGATTTCCCTTCCTCTCCTCTCGCTTGCTCAGTCTCTCCCACCTCTTCTCGCATTCAATTACCATCGTCGTTTGAAACGACGACATGAAGATATCAAGCAACTATGTTAGTCTCTCCGATTCCGACAATGGTCCGCTGGGTACCCGCAAGGACGAGGTCCTTCCGGCCCACGTTCTTGTTGGAAGCTCGTTGGAGCATGTCGGGTCGGAGGAGCTGGGCTGGGCCGATAGCAACGATGCCCGTACCAGCCGGACTGGCCGGGTTCTCAAAGCACCAGCCGCATTTATTCCCGCGGCAACGGTAACCAGCGCTGCCACTGGAAAGCGCAAAGGCCCTTCTCGGAAGAAGGAGGCAAATGTCGTCTGTGCCCTTTGCGGCCGGGGGCACAGCCCTGAGACCAACACCATCGTGTTCTGCGACGGATGCAACGAGACATGGCATCAGAAATGCCATGATCCACCAATCCCCGATGAAGTGATCCAGATCGCAGATATGGAATGGCTGTGTCGCAATTGCGGCAAGCCTATGCCTATGTCGCGCCAGTCGAATGTCGATGTCCGGCAAGACAGGACGACCAGGATCATCCACCCTCGCCTGCAACCAGCACCCCGGCTCGAGGTCGGTGGTGATCGATTCTCACCAGATGAGAGACGTGCGTACCTCTCAAATCTCTCACACGCTCATCTTGTTGAGCTTCTGGTCAACATCTCGAACCTGAACCCATCTGTATCCATGTTCCCGGCCAACATGAGGGATAAGCCGGCTTCAAAATTCAACATTCAACAAGCTCCACGCCCAAAGACTCTGGAAACCGAGTCTTCCTTCTCTTCGCAGCCCCTAAAGAAGAGATCACGCACGTCATCTGAGGATCTGTCCGAAGTCGGCCCCAACCCCATCGTTCGCAAGAGATCGCGAACCAACTCTACATCCAATGCTCCTCTGGCATCCACCACTTCTTCCCCCTCAAACCGATCCCGAGAGCGGTCAGCTACCTCGTTTGCATCCCGACAGACGACTCCAGATGAGTCGGAGCCGGAGACAGAGGGAGACAGCGAGATCGATGATCACCGACTCTATCCGCGAGCCGGAAATGGCTTCTCGGCCTCTCTCGACCCAGCAGACCTTAATGTTCTGCATGAGAGCCCGGAATCTAAAACATTCAGCCACAGCCTGCATGGCCCCGCCAGGGCTGAAGCTCCTGCTGGGATCTGGGGAGAGTGTCCCAGGGGCATACCCAACCGGAGGTACCTATGAAGGAATATGGACGGATGCATAGATAAATTTTTGGCTTTGTTTTGCCCAGAGACGTACTTAATGAGTTGCTACGCAGTAATGACAGGGATTTGTACCACTACCCACAAAATCTACCAAATAAATAACTGTAGCGATAACGGCTCCAGCATTGTCCTCCGATCTTAGTGTTTGGATTCAAATGATCTAAAAAATGCATAAGCCCATATAAATAGAAGATCTATGGCCTCAATTGACTGAGACAAGAAAACAATCCGAGTCCATGAAAGCCGACGATGGGTCGATCTGTCGACAAATACTTGATACCTCAGTCGGAAAGCATCTTGTTATCGACACCTTATCAGCCCCACACTAACGCGCGCTGACATTTCTCCATTTCTCCAAACATCTTCAGATTCAAACGACGCAGAATCCAGGTTTAAGAAAAGAAGACCTGTCGATTCTAGTAATGATTTAGCATATACAGGCCTTGCGCATCTTACTTGATCAATCCGCCGGCCACGAAGGCCACATAAACGCACCAGCAAAAGCACAACCCATATCGTCCATCCCATATTGCCGTATCCATCCTGCAACAGAGCAGCCAAACAACAGGCAGGCCAATCCCAAGATCAAGAGGCGGAAAAGAAACGAAGGCCAGAATGTCGTCTCCGCCAATCATAACCTCCTCTTCCATCCTACAAGCCCCATCGCCGCCAAAACCCTGGTCGCATTACTTCACCATCGACACTCTCCTCCACGTGCTCAATCGAACTCTGTTTAGCCCATTCATCGCCTGGATCATCGTTCTCTGTCTGCGCGCGCAAGTCACACCCACCAAACACCCGGCTTTTATCATTTCTGTCGCATATGCTATTGCGCTAACGGCTCTGCTCGTCGTGCGAGTCGTCAACCACCGTGTGGCACATGGGCTTCCACGTACCGTCGACGCGGCGCGTGAGGTAGTGCTTGTTACCGGCGGTGCTAGCGGACTGGGTCTGTTGATTGCGCAGATATATGGAATGAAAGGGGCGAGTGTAGTGGTTTTGGATATCAGAGAGCTTGGATCACGCGAACAGGACGAGGTGTTTGGGGATAATATTCAGTATTATCAGTGTGATGTTGGGGATCGGAAGGCGCTGGAGAGAGTGAGAACTAGAATTGACGAGGAGGTAGGTTTACTTTCCTCATGTCTACGGAAAAATCGGATGAAGAATATTTGGGTGAATTCTGTGCTTCTTGACTCCATGTCCGCTAATGCATGCTATAGATTGGGACTCCGACTATCATTATCAATTGTGCTGCAGCTCGAATCCATGGAGATTCGCTTCTGAAATTGCCAGCAGAAGCATTTGAGAAGACGATGCGAACCAATACGATGGCAGCATTCCATCTCTATCAAGTCTTTCTGCCGGATATCATAGCCAAATCCGAGAATGGAGGAACCGTTGTCACTATTAGCTCGGTGCTGGGCCAACTATCCCCAGCAGGGTTATCAGACTACTCCGCAAGCAAAGCAGGACTCAGTGCGTTGCACCGAACCCTCGAGGCCGAGATCCGCCGTGATGAGCGGATAAAGATGCTGTTGGTGGAGGTAGGACAGATGTCAACACCACTATTCGATTGGATTCGCACACCAAACCACTTCTTTGCCCCCGTGATGGATCCGGTGCAGGTTGCAAGGGAAATCGTTTCTGCAGTTGATTCCGGACATGCTGGTGTGATAAGGCTGCCAACATTTGCAAAGCTGGTGAATTGGTATGCTGTCTTGCCTGATGCAATTCAGAAGGTGGCGCGGGATCTGAGTGGAATCGATAATGCTGTGTTCTCAAGTCACTCTGAACGAGACGTTCCTAGTGAAGGCCGATATTCACTTAGGCCGTCGAAGAGAAATGTCTGATCTTCAGTGAACCGGCCACCAATACCCATCAAATCAATGTGACAGTGTATACAAAACTGGCAAGCCATGCAATGATCTCTGGAGAGCCCGTAGTTGTCGAATTAGGTGCGAAACCTAGAACAAAAACTCGATCCAAAATGACCCGAGTAACAGTAGGCGGAATTTACTGCTCGCGGGTCAAGATCATCTTCTCACGCTCACTCTGTCTCGACTTGAGGTTGGCCTTGCTGGTATGTTTGCGCACATTCTCCTCACGTCTCTTGATAGCACCCAGCTCGTCGCGCTTAATCTCACCAGCCTTCTTAATAGGCTTCGGCAGATGGCGCTGGCGCTTGATACGACGGATCTCGGGCATGTGGCCATACCGCTTGATGAGGGCTTGATCATATTCCAACTTCGTACGCTGGCGCGCGCTCTTGATACCGCTGCGATCGGAAGCATGGGCCCGCCACAAACGAACATTGCCGTCATCAGATCCAGACAAGACGTACTTGCTGTCGGGCGTGAATTTAACGGAGAAAACACTACAAAGAAAGTCAGTACTCATCGCACATGATGTTGGCCTGAGAAAGGAAAACCATACCGTTGCATCCGCTTCGTGTGGTAAATGTCACGAGAGTGGCCGCGGTTTCGGTCCCAAAGACGAACGGTCCGATCATACGACGCAGTCACTAGTTCCTCACCAGTGGGACTGAATTCAACGTCCATCACAGCAGCAACATGATCCTTCAACACATTTAGAGCTCGATCCATCTTTCGCATATCAAAGATATAAGCATTATGGTCTTCATTGGCAACTGCGAAGTTGAAAGCCTCCATAGGATTCCATGCAATGGCATTGGATGCCAGCTTCAAGACCAACTTATGTACTGGTGATGAAGTCCGTAGGTCGTACATGATGATAGACCGATCAATGGCGGTGGATCCAAGAATTGATGTCTCGGTCTGGTTAAAAGCAAGCGAGGTGATTGTGTCAACGCTTGTCGGCCAATGCAAAGTCTGAGAGGGCGTGGATGAAGGACGGGAGAGATCATAGATGGATATCATGGACGAGGCGGCGGCGAAAGATGTATGGTCACGGTGGTGCGAAAGCGCAGTAAATGCACCGGAGCCCAAGTAACTGGCCATTGGGGGAGCCTCGGGAGTTGAGTTATATGGGTCCCAGAGTTTGATGGTCTTGTCGCTTGCACAAGAAAGAAGTTTCCGATCAGGCGTCCAGCACACTCCTTTTACAATATTCTCGTGTCCTTGAGTATTCCAAATTTCTTCGCGAGTCGTCAAGTCCCACACTTTCACCACGCCGTCGCCACTACCACTTGCAAAGCGCTCGAGAGAGCCGGGGTCTTTAGCCATAGTGTAGACACCGTCGACATGACCTTCTCCCATTTGCCCTACAAAAGGAGAGGCAAACATGCGCTCCATTTTGACTGCATTGAGAGCTCGAGTATACTCACGAGCCCGCTCAAAAGGATGCTGAGATGGGTCAAGATTGCGAGACTGGCGGACAGTCGAAGACCCGGGGGCCTGCTGGGAAGCCACAGAGCGGGAAAGGGCTTTGATTTTCTGCAGAGAGTTAGTATCTTTTCAGACCAGGTAAAGGAACTGGATCAGAAATTTACCATGGTGGCGGTTGAGCGTTTGCAAAGAAAGTGAAGAAAGGCCGCTGAACTTTTTTTCTGTTAACGGGCAGATTTGCTAAGCGGGCGGTGAGAGCGGCGAGCTGCCAGCTTCAAGCTCCCCGGCTCACGCTTGGCCGACCTATCACCCATCCTTCCATCAACCATTCTCTACGCCCTTTTCTCGCATCCTAACGCCTTCGCTTTCCGTCTATCCCTTTGATTGTCTGCTCCATCATGGCCGCTTCCCTGCAGGTCTCGCCGCGGATACAGGAAGTCCGGGACCTGGCGAAACAGGACCCTTCGAAAGCCGCCAGCAGTTATCAGCAGATCCTCTCAGATGGCCCGGGGTCGACAGAGGCATCATCGCGAGACTATGAGCAGGCTTTGATTGGACTCGGTCAGCTTTATCGGGATGACCAGAAGCCACAAGAGATTGCAGACCTCATCAAGACCAGCCGGGACACCTTTTCGTCATTTGCCAAAGCGAAGACTGCCAAGCTGGGTAAGAAGTGGCTATCAATCATCTCCAACTGTCATGCTAATGTTTTCAATAGTTCGTCAACTTTTGGACCTTATCAGCGAAATCCCCAAGACCCTCGATCTTCAAGTTGCCGTGATCCAATCATGCATAGAGTGGGCTATTGCTGAGCGGCGTTCATTCCTGCGACAGAACCTCCAAGCACGCCTAGTCGCGATCTATATGGAGAAGAAAACTTATTACGATGCTCTCACCCTCATCAACTCTTTGCTGCGCGAGCTTAAACGCCTGGATGATAAGCTCATGTTGGTAGAGGTGCAGCTGCTCGAGTCGCGGGTATACCATGCCCTGGGCAACCAGGCGAAGGCACGTGCTGCCCTAACCGCTGCGCGGACATCGGCTGCGTCTGTCTACACACCACCCAATTTGCAGGCTGGATTGGATATGCAGAGCGGCCAGCTGCATGCGGAGGACAAGGACTTCAACACTGCATTCTCCTACTTTATTGAGGCATTGGAGGGATATAACTCGCTTGACGAAGGGGAGTTGGCCACAGCTGCTTTGCAGTACATGCTGCTGTGCAAGATTATGCTAAATCTAGTTGATGATGTCACCCAACTTCTGGGCTCAAAACAGGCCCAGAAGTATGCCAGCCCGCGTCTGGAGGCTATGAAGGCCGTGGCGCGAGCTCACGCCAATCGCTCCTTGGAAGAATATGAGAAAGCCCTCTCAGACTACCGGTTCGAACTCGGCGGCGACGTCTTCATCCGAAATCATCTTCGCCGCCTCTATGACGCCATGCTGGAGCAGAACTTGATCAAGGTCATTGAGCCCTTCAGTCGCGTGGAGTTGGACCATGTTGCCAAAATGGTTGGCCTGGATACACAGCAGGTGGAGCGGAAGCTGTCGCAGATGATCCTAGATAAAGTAATCATCGGTGTATTGGACCAGGGCTCGGGTTGTCTGATTGTGTACGATGAGACTTCGCGTGATCAAGCGTACGATGCTGCGCTGGAAACGATCGAGAAGCTCAGCAATGTGGTGGAGGGACTGTATACTAACCAGGCGTCACTTCTGGAATAGATGAGGCGGACAATGGCTCCCGGGCAACGCGATCATGTTGACTCTTAGGAAATAATCAAGATTATGCACGATCTGCATCGTTAGCTGTTTCTCTATTGGGCAAAAATGCATTGCAATAAATCAAATTTTATTATCCTTTGATCTCATTATTTTTGTATGGGTTGGCGATCGTCTTCCCAAAAGCTGCATCTACGGTGTTATTCGCGACTTTCCAAATCGGGTTAGGCTGAGCGGCAAAGAATCGCGACTTCTCGTCCGCCTGTCCTCAACATCCACCTTCTCCATCTAGCTGGAGCCACTGCGTCCTTGATCGCCAATGAACGCCCCAATGCAGCCCAACTACGCGAGGGGCTATCCTCAGACCGCTCAGCGGTCTCCAGCCACGCCCCGTCGGCCCCCGGGACCAGGTTTGTTCCCTTTCCACTCTTCCCCCTACCGCTGATCTAACCCGGGTGTAGCTGGCGCGATGCCTGTTCCAATGCCCCAGCACGCTGTCAACCCACAATACATGCCTGCGCAGCGTGCGATGCCTCATCCTAACGATGCGTCTCTCCGCCGCAGCCGCAAGCCGACAGACAAGAACATTCCCGATGGGATCGAAGAAGTGGTTATCGGGGAGGGCGTCGAACAATACAAGAGCTTGCGCGATCTTGAGAAGCGACTGGATGCCGCGATCGTTCGCAAGCGATTGGATATTCAGGATTCTATCAGCAAGACGATGAAGAAATACCGCACTATGCGCATCTGGATCACCAACACTGTTGAAAACCAGCCCTGGCAAGAGGTCGGCAGCAACCCCGGTTCTGGCCGTTATAAAGTGCGCATCGAAGGCCGACTTCTCGACGACAATAATGATCCGACTGTTCCAGAAAATGAAGACGAGAATGACCAGAGCAAAACCGATGGCGATGCTATGGATCAAGATAAGGAGGGGGAAAGCAAGAAATCGGTGCCAAAGAAGCAATTTCAGCGTTTCTCGCATTTCTTCAAAACGATTACTGTCGATTTTGACAAGCCAGCGAATGCTGTTCCAGATGAAGTGAAGCCGGTTAACTGGAACAAGCCCCAGTTGCCGCCCAACACGACTTCGGCCCCCCCAGCTGCCGAGTTTGATAGCCTACAATTCTCGCGCAGTTCCCAGGAAAATATGAATGTCACCATCAGCTTGGTACGGGACGAGACACCCGAAAGGTACAAGTTAAGTAAGGAGCTTGCCGAAGTCCTTGATGTCGAGGAGGAGACCCGTAGCGGGATCGTTCTCGGAATCTGGGATTACATCCGCGCAATGGAGCTGCAAGAAGACGAAGAAAAGCGGCAGGTGCGCTGCGACCATCGCCTGCGTTCGGTATGTGATTCGCTTCTATGGGATCATGACCTTCCGGCTTCATAGGTAAATCGCTAATATTTTCGCAGATCTTTGGTCGAGAGCAAATGTTCTTCCCACAAATACCCGAAAGTATTGGACCGCATACTAGCCCCATGGATCCAATCAAGCTTCCCTACACTATTCGCGTCGACGAAGACTTTCACAAGGATCCCAGCCCCACCATCTATGACATCCAGGTGGCGGTTGAGGACCCTCTGCGTCAGAAGATGATGGCTCTCACTCAAAACCCGCAGTACACTGCCGGCATGCGCCAGATTGCCTCTTTGGATGATCAAGTTGCACTCATTGTTCAAGCACTCACCCATTCTCGTGCCCGCCACTCTTTTTACACTGCCCTCAGCAAGGACCCTGCCACCTTCTTGCGTCGCTGGGTTAACTCACAGCGTCGGGATCTCGAGACAATTCTTGGCGATGCTGGAGGTGTTGGCGATGGAAGTGGGCCTGAGTTCCGCCGTGGAGGCTCCGAGGGTGCCTGGGAAACCCCTGTGGCAAAGGAGGCAGTCCGGTATCTGCTGGCGAAGCCTGAGGCTACAGTTGCTCGATAATCGAACTCAGGTCTATATGCCGTATTGCGGTTTCTTATGTGCTCTGATGCTTTTATTTGTGGCGCTTGTGCGGTGTTTGGATTGGTGTAGCCACGGAATGTCAGGCAGGGCTAATAATACTTTATTTGAAAATGTCTGTATTTATGACTTCGTTTTTCCGATATGAATTTTCTATATCTACGCTCGTCGATCACTCCTAGAAACTCTAGCGGTCTGGTCATGTCACCATATAGGGATTGAGAATTGATTGACCGCCGGCAAAGTGGAGAGTAGCCTCATGAAATGATTTTGGGTTGAATGGGAGGAAACATTGGGGGTCAACCAATACTAATATACAGTTATTGGACGAGAGCAAACCGTCATTTACCAAAAGATATTCGTCGTCAATTCGATTTGCACATTCCCTCCTTGTATGATCCCGTCGTAAAGCTGATGATAGAGATGTACTGTTGCGACGCCGCTCAGATATCGCATTGCCAACCATTGTCACTAACGCCTCCGCCACAGTAAGAAATCTGTTGGCAACGACTGTCTTTTGTGACGTAAACCAGCTCGCCAGTTGGGGTTGTGATGGTGGCTAGAGTATCGTGGAAGTTAGAACGGAGCGTCACTCTTCGAAAACAAGAGACCTAGAAGAATGCAATAGCAAAACAAGAGAAGAGGACTGACCATTCTGAACACCCGGATTGCTGTCACAACCTATAGTGTTGAATGCGATAAAAGAACCCGAGTATCCGCCAACAGAGCAACCTGCTCCGCCCCAGGCACCAGTTGAACACTGCTCTGAAGGGGTCACATTTTCCCAGGCACCTTCATCAGCAATAGAGCTATCAATGAGCCAGAGTTCACCTGCGCTATTGTCCCCAGTTATTCGAGCGAAGAGAGCGGCGGCACCAAGCGCCGGGGAGGTAAACAGAGCGCTGCCGGCAAGGACAGCCAAGAGTTTCATCGTGACAAAATGTCTCCTCTGAATCTCAATTATATACAGTCTTGAATTTATTGATAACAAGAAGACTTTCGGTGGACTAGAGCACCGAGAGAGACTTTTATAGTAATTTCTAGACGTAAATGTCAGCTTGCTTTCGACTGTCGGCGCGTTTCCCAAGATCCACTGAAACCACTAACACTGACGATCTCTGGGCCAAAATATTTTAGAGAAATGATGATCAACACTAATTGAATTTTCATTGGCTCTTTCGGCTGTAAGAAACCAGGTTGGGTAGGAACGAGTCAGATGGAGTAAGCAATGGGGGCGACCAGGCTGCAGAGAGATGCCGAGATATGACAGCCATTCAATAAATGCCCAGCGATAATAAGCTCCACAGCATATAAGTGGTTATTTTTAGATGACTTCCAGATTGTATGGTTATGTTAGCAGTTAGTGTTGGCATTCAGGGGTGGATTAGCGCCAAAACTTTTGGTAGCCTGGTTGAAAGGGGGTTTTTCTCAACTGGATCTGGAGGATGAAGAAATTTTTATAGTATTTGGTCTCGTAATTCATTTGTGTACAAACAGTTATCAAGATTCAAGTAATGGACTATCCTAGTAAAACCACACACATAAATTTACTTTTCAAGTATACGAGAGCTCAAGGTTTAAGACAAGTTGAATCAAAATCCCTGTGAGTGCATTCTATTTCTGCTTCTTCAGTGAATATGTCGGTTTCACTATCATTGGTCTCATCTTCGACACTATACCAGTTCGCCGGGTCTTCTACTCTCCCCAAGTTATATTCACGTCTAGATCATCCAGATGGCATACAAGATCCTCCAGTAGAGCCGATATTTTGTCATTAAATGAGCCATGGCCTATTAAAACTGGAGTTTGGATATAAAGCAGACTCGCTAGCAGTTGAACGCCTTCCTATGTCAACTCGTCGCACGAAAAATTGTGCAAGACGAAGGATATTATTGATGTGCTTGATTGCTCGAAACGGCAGCAAAGTTCATTCCTGAGAGGCCTGGCATCATTACCCATGCCATGAAGTGTGACGGTAGTTTTTGTATCCTCTGGACACACTGGAAGAATAACTAGTGATTCAGAGTATCATTTCTGCCGTTTTATTTCTGATTTGATGTAAAATCTGAAAATGACCAGATCTGTTACTACTATTTTGTATTGACGAGGAGGGCAAGAGTATTGGAGGGAATGTACCAAGTTGGCAACAGTATCGAAAAGAATAGCTCGGGAGCTGCGGTTGGAAACAAAAGATCAAAATGGCAAGGGCATTAAAGAAAACTTCGAGGAAAGCTGCGATGGCCCAAAGCTGTTCTGTCCAACCACATCTTGGAGACCTGCAGCAGCATCAACAGAATGCAGTGTTAAACAAAGGCTGCCAAAATGGAATAAAGAGCATGGAAATGTGAGCCAGTCAGAGCTTCTACAATTGAGAACTACTAAAAAGATTTATCGACCTTCCAAAATCTTTGTTCTACAAGTTCATTCAATAGACACTTGGTTATTGGCTCGTTGTCCCAGAGCCACTGCCTGCCAAGATGCCTGTTGACTGGATAATTGAATTGAATGTTGCCTTTAGTATTAAATTCTCTATGATTCAAACTAAATCTAGCATCGAATAGGAGCCTGTAGAAGCAGTGTCATTTTTCTGGTCGTTCTCTCAGAGATTTGTGGTAAATGATGGAAACAATGATCATTGTTAGCTTTTCAGCGATTGGCCATGGATTTCTCTTTGGCTTTGCTAAGCCGTAGACCATCTCGCTTTTCATAGAAAGGACTTGATTATCACTAAAGTTCTGTAAATCAGATTGCTGAAGAAATATACCATTTCCATTTATAAAACATCCCTGATCGCCGAAGGATATTCATTCATATTCGCCTTATTAGACCTCAAGTAGTGTCCTTGGTCTCTATCGAGGTCAAAAATAAATACTTGAACAGCTATCTCTGACGATATTGTGCCTGGAATAGTATAATGTCCAATATGTCAGGCAATATTGATACATCGAGGTGGGATGTATGGGTCGCTTTCTGTCACGAAAGAGAGAGAACGATCCTGTAGTCCACTGGATGGTCATTATCTCAAATCCTGGCACAAACATGGGTACATGGTATCATGTGAAGGCAAACCCTTCCCAAGAAGGAGGTTACAAACGTGCTATTCAAGCCGGTAAGAGAGTAGACAGCTTTGGCATAGCTTCGAAAAATCACATTTTCCAAATTGACAACAAAGACATTCTAAAATTTGTAACAGCAGCAAAGGGAACGTTTGAAAACCAGAATTGCTAAATTTGGGTGGTAGAAATGCTGGGGAGACTTGAACGAAAAGGTCTTGTTCCTCTTGGTACCGAATATCAATATGCACAGCAAATCCATCCCAGGCCCAGAAAGAACCAACGCTCTTCAGCTGAGTAGTAATCTTACTATGACCGACCGGCAACAATCAAACATCTAGGTCTGAGCATGAATACGGACCCTGAGACCTGAATCAAAATCATTTTTCTGGCTATTCTGTTTGAGATACTGTTGAAAACCAAATTGACGATGTTCCTAAAGCTTGTGGCTGCTTTTACAAGGAAAGCAAGAAATAGAGAAAGGTTTTCGGAGCTATGAATTATAAGTGTGATTCAATGATTGACCAATCTGTAAACAAACGCCCAACATACACAGAGAGTAGGCAAGTAATAGTGATATGAGAGAGGAGTGATGCTTTTCAAACGGTACTTGCGCCTCTTCACATGTAATAAACTTTCATAGGCAAATATGGAAAGTAATTTGAAAAATCCTATACTAGCTAGTGAGAATATGACGATGGGTATTTACCAAATATACCTACGTAAAGTCAAGCGAAGTAATAATCGTATCACATGAAGGGGAGTAGTGAGCGAAACAGATACATCGCCTAATATGCCCCCCGGGAAATGATCTAGCTCATTTTAGGTTTATTTTCGTAATCTTGGCAGTTCTCTTAAATAGCGAGGGCTTAAGCATATACCGCTTAGCGCACGTTATTTATTTTTAATGCCATTTATAATCAGGGAGCTAAATCAAAACCGCAGATGAAATTGAGGCTCAAGGACACACCCATCAAGCTGCCACTAGATGTATCCACCTTCAAATTGCGTCTTTCTCTATTATGAAGATAATTAGTCTATTTGCCATCCATAATCATGAGTCAAGGCTTTCTTAAAATAAGATTATATACCGATTCATTTATGCTATAACCATGCATGTTGCCAGGACAATATTGAGAATAACTGATCATTTGACCATGACTCCTCTAAGATATATGTCATGTGTTGTATTTAGAACCATACCTGAGGACGAATCTATGGTATCCACTGCTTGGATCCCAGCCCAGAAATCCGAGAAAATGACTATTTTCGATACTTCACCGTTGGAGGGCGCAGTCATTCTCCCGGGCCTTAGACGGAATTAGTACTGTCTCCTATTCCAGTTAACAGTTCGCAGAGACCTGCTAGTTCAAGTATTCAGCTAGTTATTGAAGGGGCCAAGATCCACTTTTGTCTGTTGGGGGCTGAGGTACACCCAAGGGGCCAAAAATCCCGATTAGCGAATGCCGCGCAACGCTGCCCTCAAAATGTGTATTTAAAAGGGAGTAAATGCCATTTGAAAAAGCTTATCCTTCCAAATTACAAATTTCAAGATGGCCATCAGACCCTGCAAAGTGATCATCTCTGGTGGAGGGATAACTGGGCTAAGTCTAGCATTAATGCTAGAAAAAGAGGGGTTGGATTATGTTCTTCTAGAGGCTTATCCACATATTGTTTCCAACAAGTCTGGCGCGGGAATCTGTATGCTTCCCAATGGGCTTCGGATATTGGATCAATTGGGATGTTATGAGGATCTTCTCCGTCTAGTAGGGCACCCTGTTGACATTATTAACGTCAGAAATCCCCAAGGGGAGAGTTTGTCGTGCACGGAAGAATGGCACAAGAGGACCTCCGAAAGGTTGTTTCACCAGGATACCTAAGCTCTTTGAATTGGATAATAAGGCTAATCTCAACAGATACGGATATAATCCACTCTGGTGTCATCGACACATAATCTTGCAAGTCATCTACGACCAGATCCAGGATAAGTCAAAAATTTTGACGCAGAAAAAAGTCCACACCGTTCAGCATACAGGGAACGAAGTTGAAGTGACAACGACAGATGGATATGTTTACCGTGGTGATATGGTCATCGGGGCGGATGGGGTCCATTCACGTATCAGACAACAAATGGCTCAACGTGCATCAGAAGTTGGTATTAGTGAACAATACACAGAAGAAAATGGTGAGATTTCAGCTCTCGTGACTAGAAAACAGGTCTAATCTTCTTCTCTAACCAGAGGTTCCTTCTACTTATTGCTGTTTGTATGGCTCGTCGAGCAATGTTTCGGGAATACCAAAGGCTACCCTCGACTTTCTGCTCAATAAAAAATTTTCCTATGTTATTGGCAGTGGGCATGAGGATCGTGTCTATTGGGCCTTAATGGTAAAACTCCAACAGACATTTCATGGTAGTGAAATTCCTCGCTTCAGTGATCAAGATATGGAAAAAGTGATCCAGGAACATTGGAATGATCCAATTGCCCCGGGAGTCAATTTCTCGGATCTATATAACAACCGACTCAGCCGAACATTTCTCAAGCCGATGCGAGAATTTATTTATAAGAAATGGCATTTGGATCGAATGATGATTATTGGCGAGGCGGCCCATCAGGTTCGAAGACCGAATACGCTGAAATATATGTTGATTCTTTTAGCTAATAGAGTATCCGATAACTGCAGATGACGATTATGATTGCCCAAGGAGGAAATCAGGCTATCGAGAGCGCAGCGGCGCTGACGAACTCTCTAAAGTCAGCTTTATCTGGGTCAACAACAGCCGGGCGATTGTCATGTCAAGAGATACAATGTATTTTTGAGGAAGTGCAAAACATTCGCTCTCCTCGAGTGAAAACCATAATGGAGAGATCTCACCAGCGACAGCTCATGGATTCAATGGACACGCCAGAGCTAGAGGAGCTTATGCTAAACAAATTCCCAAAGATGCTTCCAGGAGTCATAGTGGACCGGTGGGACCAAACATTCAGGTCTGCCATTTCACTCCAAAATTTCGAAATCTCCGAGAGAGGGAAGACGAGTTTCTGGTCAGATGAGCAGGAGAAGTGAAAGGATGTTGGACTGTGACCAGTTAACGAGACATTCAACTCGTGCATTTAGACCTTTATCTGCAACTATTTTTAGCATCTCAATGGTAATTTTGTTTATATCTTAGATTCTATACGAATTGACCCTGAAGTCAAATAAATCCGCAACGAAGAAGGAAGATGTCTGCAACCTATGGCAGGATTTGGAGATATTTTATAGTAGAGAGGCCAATTATAGTATATTTAATGAGATTATACGGTCTACTGTTTACGGCTGGATTACATTGAGAGGAGGTTTGATGCCATCTAAGTATACTCAAAATACAGTTATAATCGGATACCACAACTCACCATATGACAGCCAAGACCCACATTCACCTTTTACTAAAGGGGACAATATTCTCAATTTAATATTGCTCTAAATCTAAATGGATGTTCACTAATGATACCAATCATGTCCGGGGGCCATCTCGGCCCAGTCATGTATTAATTGCTCGCAACGAGTAATATGGACACTAATACATGTACTTGTTCATCTATCCAATCATCCACGCTTTGATTGACAGACCCTTGATTATGGTTGAACAGATGCACAACATTTGATAGTATTTTTCACTCATGCCTATGGTGACTGTGTCCATGCCTGTGATGATGACCAGACGGTGATTGAGAATCCTTTCTGTGGCGGGAATCGCGAACCCGGGACAACTCATTGGCTGCCACCGCCCCCAGAGCACCAGCACCGACAGTGCGAACAACATGGCCAAGACCATGACTGACATCATTGCCCTCCTTTTTTCGATTGTGGTGAAATACTTCAGCAATGCCCGCGCCTACTATAGCTCCTTCGGCTAGGTGACGGTCATGGTGAGGATCGTGATGCTTTTGGTGATCATGTCTTTTGTGGTGTGGTTCCTTATGACTTCCATGACTATGACCATGTCCACTGTGATGATGGCCGTGACCCTTGGGCTCTGAGTCTCGTGGTCGTGACTTGTGGCTCCTCGAATGATAATGCTCTTGAGGATAATAATCGGGGTACGACATTGCAGGTGTCATTTAAGAGATTACTGCAGGTGATGGGAACGTGAAATGATTGAGAATTCGCAGCATGAGAGTAGAGGACACCTTAAATAATTCCTGGCTAATATTCAGCCTCATTCACCTGGGTGATTGTGAGAGCACTTCTTTCCCCCTCCATGATATCATTCTCCACCAACTAGTTCGCTAGTGGAACCTTGATACTTTAGGGCAATCTTTTGAATAATGATGACTTCAGGTCAAGTAGTGTAAAAATACGCCTCATTTCAACCAACATGATCCTCTGTATGGCCTCGACATCATTCGAGTCATTTGTTGTGCTACATGCAAGCTGGAGAGCTTCAAGTCTGGGTTTCCTCGTCAACAAACAATTGCTAGTGCACGTGATTTGACTGATGAGGGTGGAAGATGTATATCCCGACAACGATGGTTGAGACGCCGATCTAGATGCGGATTGGCTCCATAGATTTAGGAGGAAGGCATTTCACTCTCAGTCTCTTCACAGAGCTCTTGAAAAGGGACCGAATTGATGTGGACTCGAAGTCTCCATCCATAGCCGACAAGCCAGCTTCTTTCGGCGATTCTTTCGCGAAATGCCCCCGATCCAAGCGCAAATGCATTGTTTGCGCTTGCGCTGCCGGTGGGCGGCGTCGGCGGTAGGCTGAACACTCAAAGTCTAGTAGCAGCCATTGGGACTGACTTAGGCGTCTCTTGGGTGATTAGATCTACTCGTCATGAGTCTTCTTCCTCATGTGAGTCTGAAGGGGGGACCCCAAGTAGGAAATCAAGTATAGGGCGCTGGAGTCAGGTAAGCGCCTACTCCAAAACATTATATTTTGTGCATCTCCTCATCAAAATGAGATAAATCACTGATCATTTATCTCATGCAAATTTATCATGCTTTCCCTTCACCTTGACGTTCAGCATCTCCTCGTGGAAATTGCCTTCCCGACGTGACTTTCTCAATCTCTGGATCTCATCATCGTCAAGTTTTCTCCCCACTATGCCCTCCAACTCCTTGCGGCTAATCTTTTCATAGGCCTTTGACTCCTTTTTCGCACGCAACCGTGGCTTAAACCGTGCCTGCATACGGATCCGCACCGTCGTGTCGAATGAAACTGCGTTCGCATCGCCGCGGATCTCCACGCCGTTAGTGGCTTTGGCATTCTCCTTCGTACAGAGAAAAGATTCTGCATCGCCTCCCCGAACTTGTATTGAGAATGTGCCGGGTAAATCGGAGGAAGGAATAGCGAGGAAGGACTCGAAATGGGAGACTGCGGAGGCGGTTGCGCTGAACAGGCCATAGCTGTCGCAGCTTAGGTATCTGGTCGCGGTTAGTTAGACCAGCTCCGTTGCCTAGCAATGCGAAAAAGAAGCTATTGGTTCAGCTTTTCCTCTAAGGGTTGCAACTTACTTTCCATGGTGTCCCTTGAAACTAATTGACTCGGTCCCTGCAACTCGAGTCGCAACCCACACCTGTCGCACATCGTGCGGCTCCGCAGTTGCTGGGTCTCCTTCAATCAGGTTCTCTACCACGCTGGCAAAAACCTGACCATTGGCATCGCTTGCAATGCAGGTCGGCTCATCGGATGAAAGCACGAGCACAACTGGGCCGGCGATGTCGCTGGGGGCGTCGGCGGATACCCAGCTTTGGTCTTCGGGCGGGTTGTCGTCGGTCTCTAGGGCCGTTTGATCGGCAGTTTTGCGAGTTTTGGAGCTCTTTTCCGAGTCAGGATCACGGTGCTTGCGCTTTTTTGGCTTGTCGCCCTTGAATGTGAGCGGCTTAACCATTGTGAAGAGGGGGTTTCAAGGTGCATGAGTGTCACGGTAGAAATGAAGTTGGGGATTGAGCTGCGTAAAAAGTGGAGCGGAGCCGGCTTATCGTTATCAGGCCGGACTTGTGGGACGGGCGGGCGTCAGGTCTTGGTGTATACGAGAAAAGGGCGTAAATGGTGAGATGCACCTGTTGAAAACCCTTTCGGGGTTTAGAAGACTCTAGATTTATCACAGAATTTATCAGAACACTGTAAGAAATGACACGACATAACACATTTACGGCTATATGCTACGTCACACCCGATCATTGCTCTGGTCGTCCCTTTGCGGGGCATGTTCCTTCCAAGGTCCCCAGAATCAACATCCTGAAAGACCATCGATCTCCAGGTTTTAAACGTGTAGAAAAGGCAATCCAGTTGTTCTATCAATCTATTAATCAATAGTATTGTATGCCAGATCTGATATGCCAGAAAATAGGGGGTATGAAACGCTCTCATCTCTCATCTCATCAATCATGATCCGTCCAACCAGCTCCAAGAAATCTAGTCGAAAGTGATGGCTGCCTTGATGGCGGTCTTGTTCCGCATCGACTCCAGACACTCCTCCCATTGATCGATCTTGAATACCTTGTTGACGATGCCTTCAACCTTGACCTTGCCCGAATCAAGGTAGTCGATCGCAGCAGGGAACTTGTAGGTCTCCGAGAAGCTGCCAATGATGGTAATTTCGTCGCCGACTGCATGTTCATTAACAACTGCAATACCAGGGTCGATGTGATTGAAAAGAAAGTGGAGTACTCACAGATCTTGGATGGAGGCCACGAGACACGGTCTTTGTTGGAATACACACCATACACGACGAGCTTGCCGCCACGGCGAACATAGTTAATTGAGTCTTCGAGAATCTTGACACTGCCAGTCGCCTCGACGACGATGTCAAAGCCATAAGGGTTCTCATCCTTCAGCTTCTGGTACTGTGCAGAGGCATCCTGGCGCGACAGCTCCACGTACTCGTCGCCAGCACCCAGCTTCTTCGCCAGCTCCATCTTTAAGCCTTGCGGGGCCGCCACGACCACACGGCAACCACCGCATTGACGCAGCATCTGGGCGAGCACCAGTCCTGTGGGACCGGCACCGAAGATCAGAACTGACGAGCCCATCTTGGGGGCAATCTTGTCCAGGCCATGAGCAGCGCATGAAGCAGGCTCTAGCAGAGTAGCATCAACGTCGGACAGATTTTTGATCTTGAATACTCTACCAGCAGGGTACGCACAGTACTCGGCAAAGCCGCCATTCATGGTCACACCGTGGGCATGGAAGTTCTCACAGAAAAGTTCATCACCACGACGGCAGTAGAAGCAGGTCCCGCACAGCTCGGAGTTGTCTGCGACGACCCGCTCGCCGACCTCGAAGCCCTTGACCTTGGGGCCAACGGCGGCGACCACACCAACTGTCTCGTGGCCAGGGACCAGGGGGAACTGGGAGCGTAACTAATCAGCAAAGACACTCCAACCCGGACAATTTTGCCTATGGAGAGCATACCTGAGCAATGAATTCACCCTCGTGAATGTGCAAGTCTGTGCCGCAAACACCACAAGCCTTGACCTTGATCTATAGAGGCGTTGCTGATTAGCGCTGGCATCATCGGCGCTTCATGTGGACAAGGCCACATACCAGAACGTCATTCTCGCGGACCTCGGGCAGAGGAAGCTCGACAAGAGAGAAGTGTTCTGGCTTCGCATACTGGAGAGCCTTCATGGTCTGGGGGAGAGCAGTGGCCATTGTGAGAATGGATTATGCAGTGAATGAATGGTTATGTTGGAGGGAAGATTCAATCTGAGAGGCGAAAAGATCAAAGCCGTTCAATCGAGCAAAGTCCAGGAATTCTCGATTCTGAGATAACAAAGAAAAAAGCCCCCGGGACAAGAGGGGAAGGACATTAAATACTGGTCAAATGAGGGGCACGTTCGGAAAACAAACTGGGCTCGACGCTCATGCAACCACCTAACTTTCCTTCTGCTCCTCCTGCTCCTCCTCCTCCTCCTCCAAACTCTCCAGACCCTCACTATGAAGTCTCACTTAGGACCTGCCAGGTGTGGGTCACCGATCGACACGACAGCATCGTGCATCGACCGAAGATCCACCGAAAGGAACCTCCTCGAAGCCGCTCTTGAGCATCGTTGTGCTGCGGTGCGATAACCCGAACACGCATTGACGTCTGCCATGCGCTCTGTACGGCATTGGTACAACCTTAGTACAGCATCAGTACGGCATCTGGCCAGAATCGGAACAGAATCAGGACTAGGGCCAGCCCCCCTCTCTAGACAGGACCAATGACGATGGAACGCCGCGCCGTGCCGTGTCGACCCCCGTTCAGAGCCCCGACAAGATCAGAAAGGCCACCAGGTGTTCCGCTCCTTACCAAGGCCCATTCGCAGCTTCGGTCAACAGTCACCAGAGGGCCCACTCGACTGCCCAGAGGCCACCGATGACTTCAATGGCGGGCCGTTCGGGCATGACTTCATTCGGCCCCGCTGGGGAAAACAAGGCACCCGATGTCCCCATAGTTGTCGAAGTCCAGTTTAGCCTCAATTTTGATCTTCGGTGAACAGCCTCGTCTGAATGCTCTGGACTTGAGGTCATTTTTTGGACATCCCGACCGAGAAAACGGCCCCGCCTCGGTTCCCTTTTCCAGGTTCCGTTTGGCAATGACAATCCGACCAGGAAACTGCATGTTCACTTAGTAAACAAGGTCAGGTCTAGATTCGCCCTCCGACTCGCCCACTTCACCGCTAGACCCCCTCTATTATTTCCCTTCCCTTCCGTCCCATCATACCAGTGCCAGGGCGAGCAGTGTTCAAAGAAGCAATATTCAAAAGCGTCCGGCCTCACCGAGCCTATGGTCACGCGGTCAAACATTCTGGCCGGTGGCTTCGTTTTCAATCGAATCCTCGGTGAGCCCTTCGGACTTGTCGCGCGCGCGTCTTACTGCGTATCTTGCCTGCCCACTCAGCCAGCGTGGTACAGCAGGCCTTTGGCCACAAACCGCGGGGATTGAGGGAGCCGAAAGCCATTTTCAGTCTAGATTAAACTATTTGGGGTTGATAGAGAGGACGTGGTCAGCATCCTAAGCCAACCTGGGCTATCATTGGAGTCGCGCGGGAGAGGAGCCATGCAGCCGCCGATTGCGCGGTGGAGACTTGACACGTCGCTTCTCGACTTTAGTCCTTTACCCCGGATTGGCCGTTCCAGAAGGGCCTAATTTTTCTTAGATTTTCTTTTCCTCGTATGCTTAAGAATCAAGTAACCGAGTTTCTGGGAGAAAGTGTAGACTGAACGGGAACTTCCATAACGGGCAAGGCGAGTGGAGTGCACACTCTTCATTCCCAATGCCATCTCGTCCAATTTGGATATACAATGTACAAGGGCTGGATGTGATGGCTACCTAGATAGCACTAGTAGCTTTCCGATCGAGATCTTCTACAACACCTACAACACCTACAGTGTGTTTAGGAGTGTCCTACATAATCACATAATCTGAACAGGCGAGCTCGATAACATTCCCTACTGCAATTCCTAGATACTCACACCACATACTATATACTGCTGCCCGATTGTGATCCTAGTCTTGCCAGAATTATTCGCATCTGGGATATGAGCTGCTGTCAGACACCCAGCCTCTATCCACAAAAGGTACGAGATCACGGTCAACTTCGGTTCAACCAGGCCGGTTGAGCAACGGTATCATACAACGACGAACAGCGTATCATTTCACAAATACAACGGCATGTAAAGGGCACGTCTGGAATTTCATCATATCAAACTGACCCGAACATCTTGAGCTTGGTCTACCAGGAAACAAACACTGAGTAAGCAGCGACCCTGGGAACCATTCTCAAAGCTGGCTTACCTTGCATTAAATCCGCGAACAGGAAATTATCAAAGACAATCATAGGCGAACCTACAAGCACCAGATTAGCATGGAGATCATTTGAACATCTAGAATGATCCCTAGACGGCCAGTGAGTCTGTCTTTTACCGTCTTTTACCAGCGAACATCAGTTTATAGGAGCCGGCTTCAGGAATAGCGGTACTCTGTTGGACCAACTCAACGTCTGTTGAGGTTTTTTTGAACCAGTAAATCCCTTTCGGCAGAAGACTGCGATCTTCGATCAACGACCGCCCCAGTATCCAATCTCCGGATTCGAGACGGCCTCTGGTCAGGGTGAAAATGGCCGGGTCACGACCGACAGCCGCATGCACTTTGGGATCTGCATTGTCCTCGGCGGTCGTTACCGCGAGGCCGTTGACCATAATGGTGAAACGCCCTTCGATGGAATCCATGCTGGTTTGGTTATGCAATCAAAGGATTCAGCTCGGAGTACCGCTAGGAGCGTCGATGAACCGCGATCTCCCCGCTCGCGGCGTGGAGGAAGATCGCTTAAGATGCGGGTCTCCCGGTCCAGATGAGCTGCAGGCTTCGAACTTCCAATCAAACCCCGCAAACCCATAAGCCGTGTCGATCATATGAGCCGGGGCGACGAAGACGCTTCGAAAATACTTGCGAAGAAGCAGTGGAAGTAACATCGTTAGGCCATGGGAAGATCTGCTTTCTTTGAATATCCTGGGTTTCACTCCCGGTGATTTGGCTTCAAGTGGGCCTCAGCCAGGATGAGGTCAGATTTTGGCCCCAAAAAACCTCTCGTACAAAGTGACATTGTGCCCCGACGCGGGGCTCGCTGACGATCCATTATATCGAACTTATTTCGAACGACGCGATATAGTCTCACTATGAGCTTTCTTCTGACGGCCATCGGCCTCCGCGCGGCTGGCGCTCTCGAAGCCCCCATCCCGAATTATGGACCTGCTTTCCTAGCCTTTCATTTCTTTTGGGCATACGGCGTTTTATCCTCACGGACCCTCAAGCAATGGTACGGCATCGACCACCAGGCCTCACCGCGCGAAGACCTCGCCAAATATGGCGAGGCCGCAGTGCGCGAAGGGAAAATGACCCGCAAACAGCTCGGTATGCTCAAGCGCAATGAAGCCGCTCACGCCAACTCGGTCGAGAACTTCTCATTGCTAGTCGGGAGCCTGCTCTTTGCCTCATACGCCAATGTTCCCTCCCCGGTTATCAATGCCGCGGGCTTGTCATATACCGTGGCTCGGGTCTGCTACGGCGCTGTCTACATCCTCATCGATCATCCGAGATGGAGCCAAGTGCGCGGGCTGGTTTGGTGGTGGGGTAATCTGAGCTGCCTGTTCTTATTGTACAAAGCTGGAAAATATCTTGGGGCTTGATGCCCCGTTTTCTCATGATTCTCGACCCTAATCAACGATTTGGATTAAGTACGCTCTGGATACTTTTCCCGAGCTTATGAATCAGACTTAGTGACAACGTCCATGGTACCTTTCAAGGGCAGGTCGCGACTCGACGATCCAACATAAACATCATAGTTGCCGCTCTGAAGTAACCATTTTTGAGCGACAACATCCCAGGTGCTGAGATCTCGACGGGTTAGCGGGAACTCGACTTTAACCGACTTCCCGGCCGGGATCAGGACCTTCTCAAATCCTCGCAGTTGTTTTATCGGGCCATTGGGGATTCCAATGTATATCTGTGCGACCTCTGCACCCGCCTTACGTCCAGTGTTCTTTACTGTAGCAGTAACTGTGGCTAGAGTATCCCACAGATCCACAGCTCCGCCCTGCTCAATCGCTCCGCTTGGATAAGCTGCGCTGCCCTTTTTCACGGGAGAAACCTTCAGGTTGGAGAAGGAGAAGGTTGTGTATGAAAGACCGAATCCAAATTCATAGCGAGGAGTGATGTCATGCTCATCGAAGAAGCGGTAGTCCGTAAAGATCCCTTCATCGAAATCGGACTGCGGGAATAGTCCATAGGGCGTGACTGCACTGGTGTGATAGAACGTTTTATAGTCCGATTCGTTCATGGCTACAGTGTAAGGGAGTTTGCCGCTGAAGTTCTCGTCGCCGTACAGCAGAGACACCAACGCTCGACCGGAGTCTTGGCCGGGAAGGTGCGCAAAGACTAGTGCAGTTACATTCTCGTGCTCCACAAACTGATCAACCAGGCGCGTGCCGGCGTTGTGGATTACAACGATGGTATTCGCACAAGTATCAGCCACTTTTTTGACGAGGGCATCCGAGTAAGCGTCATAGGCTCCCGCACGGTCCAATCCCTCAGAAGCAAAGGCATTGATAAAGACCAGGCAAGCATCCGATGCCTCCATCAGGCCCATTGTACCAGGGTTATTAGCAGTATCCCACATAACAACAGTGTTATCCTCATAAGCGCGTTGCTGGAGGGCATCAAGGGGAGCACTCAGGTAAGGACCAGCATTCGCGCCCGAACCGCCTCCAACACTGAGGGTACCATTCAACGCAGCCTGGAAATAGTCCGGCTCGTTGATCATAGTTGATGAGAACGCGTCTGCAAGCTGGAAAATGGCTGGCTCATAGCCTATCTGCCACGGGTTACCAAGCAAAGACTGTCCATCAGGCATATACTGGTCCGGGGCTTTCGCATCGTATCCGAACACAGAGATCAGCTTTGGCGACCTGAATGGCAAAGCATTGTTCACGTTTTTGACAAGGACATGCCCCTCGACGGCTCCATCATAGATTGTCGGCTTTGCATCACGATCTAGCGCATTGACGATTGCGTGGGCCTCGCTAACATTGTAGGGCATGCCGACTCCGGGGGCGGGATAACTCGACTCGTCTTGTCCCATCTTATACCAAGCCGCAATGATTCTGAATGTATATATGAGTATCATAGGTCGTCCTATACAGAATGTATGAGGAACTTCTTACCTAGTTGCCATATCGTCCAGACGAGACACAGGGACGCTACCGTTGGTGATTGCCTCGGTAAAGTTGTTTCCCCAGAAGGACTGACCATCCGGCATCGCCATGTCAAGACCAGCCAAAGCCGCGGCAACCCCAGAGTGTTGTGCGTCCCAGTCAGTAACAACGAATCCATTGAAGCCGAGTTCTGTCTTCAAAAGACCGTTGAGGGTTTTGCTGTTCTGGCAGGCATAGGAGTTGTTCACGCGGTTGTAAGAACACCTATAACCTAGTCAGCCTCTGTTCATATAGCATTGGTGTGCATCTCTAACACGCACATTATATTTCCTGTGCCAGCCTTGATCGCGTCTTGGAATGGCCAAAGATACAGCTCGTGCATCGTCTTGTCGTCAATGTTGCTTGAAATAGATGCAACTGTTTTATTCTCAGAGTTGACGGTAGGGTTGCGATACAACTCTTGCTCGTTTGCAATATAGTGCTAAAAAGCTATATGTAAGCAGTGATCATAATTGTCAACGCCATGGGATATTTGTTGTACCTTAAGGCTAGTAATCACTCCTTGGCCTTGGGTGCCCTCCACAGTGGCAGCGGCCATGGCTCCAGCCAGGTATGGATCGTTTGACACGCCTTCAAAGAATTAGTTACTATAATATAAGACTCAAATCAATGCGCACTTACCCTCCCAGTTTCGTCCGCCTGTTGTGGTTCGTCCCAGCGGCCCGACAACTGGCCCAAGAGCAACCTGGACGCCCTTCTTTCTAAATTCACCGCCCATATACCAGCCACGGTCATGAGCAAGAGATTTGTTCCAACTACCAAGCAGTCATATTAGTAGATGAAAAGCATCAGCACATAGCCATCATATCAATGCTGACCTAGCTCCGACGTGAATACCACTCGGATAACTATTCACAAAGTCGGTATAGCGCACACCGTTCCCTGCATCTTGTAGGCACATGCCGGTAAATCCGAGACGCGGGATGGGCTGAATGGTACCAGAACAACCATTCTCGATTGTTGAGACACCATATGTCAGATTGTTCTACAGTAGTCGTGGCCAGTTTTAGTATAGCTGAACAACTTAATAAAAATCCATTCGGCAAGTGAAGAATTTTTCAGGAAGTGTGTGTGGCCTGGGGGAAGCCAGGATCGAAGCAACCTTTTCTTCTAACGTCATCTTGGCAACCATTGTTGTAGCCTTTTGATAAGCGGAAGCCCAGTCACCAGACCCAGTGCCATTTGCTTGTTCTTATTAGTTTCGCCAAAACCAAGTGTTAGGGGGTGTTCAATTCAACATACGCGAGGGATACACTGGGTCAGACTGCCCATAGAAGTAGGTATCGGAAGTAATGTTACTCTCCGCGTGGCTGAGGCTACCCATAGACAGGAGGGTCACAGCCAGCCCGAGCTGCTTTGCAGACAACATGTTGATACTCTGCAACTAGGCGTACCTCGGCTGGTGAATTATGAGCTAGCAAAAACGAGACATCTCCAAGGTTGGGGACCTCTGCCGCTCTAAATATATATTCGTTCTCCCGGACATCCACTCGACATCGCCGGTCCTTCAGGCTATGACATGCTTGCCCGCGTGAAAGGATCTCCCATCTGTATACCTCTTTGCCTCACCTTAGGAACCAGCAGAGTTGCATTATGGGCCTTCCCCACACTCACAACAGCAAAGTTAAACAAACCAACCCCGCGCCGATGCACATGGCTCAAGGCATTTTAAACTACGCGGGCTTGTGGAGAGGCTTGTTTGGCCATTTTTGCAAGTAGTGGCTTTTTTTTACGTTTCGGGCCGGGTAAACCTCGGCTGTGATAGTACTGGCTATATAGGGTCACCACCCTTCCATAGACACCCGATATGAGATAGAAAATGACGCGAGAATGCCAGGTGATATCCTTCTTATCTTCAGGAATAAGCTATAGGTTTCTCATAGCCGCATGAGGAAAATTGAAGAGCGAAGTATAGATGGAGAGCCGAGGGGCCTGATAATCGCACGGAGATTTATCGGGTGTTTTTTCCAATAGCTAGCTTCCACATATAAACCAGTATCCACTCAAGTGCGAATGACCCAGGTAATCTAGTGCAGGAAAGCATGGCATAATGTGGATGTTGTGCAGAGTCGAGCCGTGTGGGGAGAATGTGGGGCTAGCACTGCAGAAACTATCCTTAAATGTCCCAGGGGACGTAGAATGCGGGGAACAGAAAAGCGCGGATGGGATGAAATAAAACTCAAAAGATACTGGGCGAATATTTATCACCGGGTAAACAAATCCCAGGGGCAACCCAGATGTGCTTACTATATTTGCATGGCGTCTGTGTTCACTGCTCTATCCAATTCGTGCCTGGTTTATGAATGGGGCTGATGAGTTGATTCCATGGTTCACTGAAAATAAGCCCGGGAGGAGATACTATCAGTGCCTTACTGGAGTTTAGCATTAGCCCGATGATGTATATCTGCGTACCCCGCATGAAATTCCTCCAAGGAAATCGCAAAGTTGATGGGCATAGCGGACCTTTGTTGATCATTTGCCATGCTCATAAAACAACGTCATAAATGCTGTACTTTGATATGAGAATATCTTGGCTTGGGGATTACTGAGGCCAAATGCCCGGTCCAAGTCGGTGATTCGCTCCGATGGCAGGCTTCTTAGTTGCAGCCACGCAAGATGATAACAGGTGGTGTTAGCCGAATGATGCTATTTACAGCGTAGACCGCGTTCTATTGAGAGGCAGTATCTTAAAAGCAAAACTCCGCTTGGAATATCGTTTATCGTATTGTCTCTAGGCAAAGCAACTAGGAAATGCGCCCCCATGTGCGTCCCAGAGCATCTTACCGCAGCAACGCGTTACCAACTCGGCTGCGTTCAAATGGCGCTCATAGACAAATGTCCAGCGCCCGTACAAAACAATCATAGCCATCATGAAAGCTATTCAGGAGGAACAAAAGGGGGAGATAATCATTTCAATCCAAAGCCTTCGCTATTTACAACGGCATCCCAGAGTAATCTTTGGAATTTTTCTCGGGTGGCATAACGATATAGGCCCAAAGTATTGAAGCAGGTCCGTGCGATTGGGTAGCGGGGACAATCATCTCCGAGACAGACAAGCCGAATAGAGAGGCTAGTGGCGCCCATCGCAGGTATCCGATCGCTGCCGGTGACGAATGATAGGATCTTCCGTTGTGCTTGGGGCGGTGATGCCTCGAAAAAGTCCCAGAACCATTGCACAACGGCAATGGATTCAGGTCGACGGGATGACCAATTATCATATGTGGCCACTGCCCGCAGGGACAACACATCAAGGGCTTCGTCAGAGCCGCGAATTAGCAGCTCGATTTCTTCTGATCGAAAGAGTGATAAGGCATTTCCACCACAGACGGTGAAGAAGCCACGCTTAAATGGCTCAAATTGTCGGGCCACTGCCGCATCTAGCAGGTAGTGGACATACAATTCCACGAACTCACGTCGGTTTGCATTTGTGACGGGCCGTTTCTCCCCTCCTGTGCAAAGAGGGACATCCAAAACTTCTCCATAACGGTCGACTTGGGCGACAAAATCATAACAAAAGGTTTCGGTAACATCACCCTCAAACTCAAGTAGGCCGCGGAGTCCTTTGGCAAGCGCAGGCCGGAATTCAGCAAGGTCATCCAGAGTGCATTTGAATTTTGAACGATGAGGGTTTGCCGGGTGTGGCCCAGAATTCTGCGGCGCGGCAGCAAGCAGTTTCCTGAAAGCAAATGGTGGCAAGTCGATGTCAAGAATAGTGGAGTTGTAAATAGCAAGCCCAAGCAAAACACCAACCAGGTAGAACTGTTCAGACGATTCAAAACAGTGAGGGTTGAAATAGCAATATTGCGAGTCATCATCATAAACGAATAGTCCGTGGTCTGGGTCGAAGATCTCCCTAACAAGAAGAAGAAACCATTCTTTACGGAGGCCACCGGCATCGACACCTTCCTCTCCAAGGAATTCAATGCGAAGACCCTTCTTGATTTCCTCTTGTCCTGAGCCGACGACCTCGCTAACTCCTCGAAGACTATCCTCAACAAGGCAATCCCGACGAACCTTCAGCACAAGATATTGGCTGACAGCACGGTGGTTGAGAATACTATTGAAAAATGCTTCGCGGGCCTTGACTTCCATCTGCCGGCGTGCGTCATGCTCTAGGATATGGATCTTCGCCCAGATGCTGAGGAAGAAGGGATATTGGCAGAAAGAAAATTTGGAGCTTTTCGACTCCCAGATCTCGAAATCGGCGATGAGATCAGAGTAATCCAACAAGGTATTGTAGAAGGCACTGATCGGGACCCGATAGCCGTCATGGCGGTTTGACTGTTGCATGCCATTGTTGACATGGCGTATCGCCTTTGAATCTTGCAGAGCGAGTGCATCTGACTTGCGCGATACCTGAGTATTCGCAGTGAATAGCAGCGATAAGATTCTCGATGCCGCTCTGATTTGCCAATCCTCTGCATATACTACAGGCGGCTCTTCCTTCTTGGCCGGTTGCTTGTTCGGGCTCCGTCGGTTGTTGATGGCCGCATGTAACTCAGCAGGCGTGTTGCCTGCAGCACTTGCAAAACTTGGAACAAGTTCGTCTCCCTCTTTGGGGACCTCGCTGCGTTTGCGGCCATGTTGGCGGGTCAGCCGATAAGTCACAAATCCGCCCGTCAGTTCTACCAGGCGTTCGAATTGCCCGACTGAAAAGCGAGAAAACCAAGAGATAAAGTGATGATGGCACTCATTTGACACATTTGACATCAAGCCTAGAATACGCTTGATGATTCCGCAGTGATTGCTTGCACTGCCGTTACGAACCGTTGGCGCGGGTAGGTCTTTGCGAGACGGCCTGCCTTCTCTTGTTGTGGGGCGTGGGCTGTTCTTTGGGATTGATGGACGCCGGTCCTCACGGTGAGGCGCTTGAGGTGTTCTATCATGGAAGTGGGAGCCAGAAGCTGACAGCAAGGGATTTGCCAGAAGAATGAATAGCCACCTCGTGTCTTCCGCCTTTTTGAGAACACGCCTGGGGCGCTTCAGAAGATTCTCTGTGGCTTTCATCAAGGTTCGCTGGAGATGCATACGCGAATCGACTATTTCCTTGTCGATTATGGAAAGATCAATTGACTGCCATCTGCTGAAGCGGATTGAGTCTGCCTCCGAACGAGATGGATCCGGTTTCTTGGCCATCCAACGATCGGGCCAAGACGAACCCGCCGTGAGAAGCAGTTGATACCACCGAGCCACCTCTGCCCAGTTTATGCGAGGGCTTCTGAAAGATATCAGGCGAGAGGCATTTGAATTTTTCTCCTTTGTTGATGAAGGCATCTGCCCCTCCGCCTGAGCCCACTCAGTCATCCACCATGAGGAATTTTCAGCCAAGTCTCCAAGTAAGAGTGTCTTGGCGTCAGGCTCAAACACAGGTACATTGAACGTGGACTCGGCCATGCTAGTTGGGTCTAGCTTCATCTTCGGCGGAGCTCCGCTGCTCGCAGATCGAACAGACGGTTGATATGTAGAAAAGGATGAGTTCAGAGTGTCAATACCTTTTAAAGAGGCAATTATGTGTTGCTCTAACCGTGCAAAGATCCACGGTTGATTCTCATGGTTCTTGTCTTCGGAATCCAAGGGTCGCACTGTCTCCTGCTGGTGGGTATCAAGCTGGGGTCCGGACCGCAAGTCTGAATTGGCACGAGTTCGGACTGTCGTGTCATTCCCTTTCCATTGAGCCATTTGGGGTGCCAACAGATGGGAGCTCTGCTTCAGCAGAGAAGGTTGGTCTCGTTCACCAGATCCAGAGGCACTTCGGCTGCGAGGATCCTTACGCACCAGATAACCGGGGCCCGGGCCGTTTGCTGGCATCGACGAGGGACCATCTGCTTTGAAAGATCGAGATCTATCACCATGATTGTCGTCTAGCACCAGCCCACGTCGGGACGTGTCCAAAAGACTATCGAAATACATAGACAAGCACTTTTCGGTCATATCACTCAGGCGTTTAGCTGACAAGGGCAACTCTGAATCTGGGGTTAGTAACATCTCTTCAAAATTTCTCCATTCGCATAGATTTCGATGGCACTTACCTGGCTTGGATTCGGATACCCAGGGAGGAAGCGGTGGTAGCGGGCGTTCATCGAGTGGAAGAGGTTTCCTGGATCGTGGATCTCGTGTTTGGTCCTCTGGCTCAGGATGGCCAGAGGTTTTGGGCTTTCCCGGCTTTTCCAAGTATTCAGCCTCGAGGTCGGTGACCATCAAGCAAGCGGAGCACCGAAAGGTCCTCAGATGCTTGGGCCACCGTACCGTCGAGTTACAGGTTTGACATTTTGCTTCGGATAGGTCGCCTCCGATTTTCGACTCTTTACGAGGACTTGACGAAACAGGCTGGACGGGGTAGGTGACTTCATCCGAGTCTGAGTCTGAATCCCAGCCTTGGTATTTAATCTTGTCACGTCGTTTGCCGCCAATCCCCGTAAACGGTGCTGGAAATGGGTGACTGATCGACCGGTGGTGCCCGCGGCGGTGGGGGTGGCGGTTGCACTGCCGTTCATCGTGGCCATTTTTCGAGCATTCTGGAGCTCAGGCTGCTGCCGAAGAGTGGTCTCTTCCTCAAGACTAGGGGTGAGGCCAGTGTATGATTCGAAGGGAGGGCTGTGGCACTGGGGGTCAAGATTGGGGGGAGCGGCGGATTACGTCCAGGCCGGGGCGGCATGGAGGCGCATTTGTTCGACTCGACTTGTTTGGATCCTCGGGGATTGATTTAGGCAGGAAGCCGTTAGGTCGAGGTTTGTTCGTGCACTCGACGCATGCGAGTGAGCTTTGGGAGAGTAGAAGTGAAGTGCAAGTTACAAACAATGAGGAACGAACCGAGGAAGACCAGGGGAGTTCTTTGTTGACCCAGGAGGACAGGATTTGAGAGGCCACAAAGAGTTGGCGAGAGCCAAGCAAGTAGAGCTGAGACAGACTCCAGTCATAAAGCACCGAAGAGCAGTCGTCGTTGCAGTCGGAGCATCTCATAGTCGTCGTCGACGCTTGGACGGATCGGGAAGGCGGCCTCGAGGGGAAGGGGCATCCTTCAGTGCCTCAGGCACCAGACCTATTTTTGGCTCGTCCACCCGGCTGGAGCAGGCCTTGATTCATGGCAGGCGGGCCCAGTCGATCCGGTTTGAACTAGAATTCGACAGATCCACTTATGAGACACAGTGAATCAAAAGTCAGATTAAGAGCTCCCGCTGAAACATCTCTGGGTGGACACGGTCGCAGAGACTGGACCAGCGCACGCGGGCAGCCAGAGCCGACATAGTAAATGCCACCGCGCCGCAGTCGCTACGAGAACAGAATAGGGCCCAGTCAGTTGAGACTACAGAGATCCGTCTACAATTTCCTAGCAGATACGGTGTGCCGGCATGGAGTTGAACCAGTCATACTTCGTTAATAAGGGGGAATTGAACATAAAACAAAGATGGCTTTTTGGCTAGAAACAGATCCGGCCGGTCTGCATTAAACGCGAACCCAGCGTGGGTGACACCGTCCGGGACAGCATTGATCGAAAAGATAACCACATGCAGCCAATATGCTCCACCACAAAACACCGACTAAGTGCACTAACGCACTTAACGGTAACGCCAGTAGCTCTGGGTGTTCTGGAGCTTCCAGGTGTGGCGACGGCCAGCCTTGGTGTTGTTGTAGCGGTGACCCTTGTTCATACCACGGGACTTCTTGCCGGTAGCGGTAAGACCACGAGCCTCACGGTGCTAAAAAGAGGGGAATTAGTCAACATGGCCAGTTTTCATATGGGGAGAAAATCTCTTCCATCACGCGGGAAATGGAGGGAAGGGGGGAAAAAACTCACCTTGTGGACGGGGTTGCAGATCCAGTTGATGCGGGCATCACGGCGGATAGCCTTGTGCTGGGGGTCAACGAGGATGACCTCGAAGTACTTGTAGGTGGAGTCCTGGTTAATCCAGTAGGAGTTCAGGACACGCAAGTTGGCGCAGCGACGGCCAACACGCTCCTCAGCAGTGGCACGCAGGGCACGCTGGTACTTGAGCTGGTTGATACCCTGGTTGGTGGGCTTGCCGTAGGTGGCACCCTTGGGGGCAGGGCGCTTGCGGCCACCGCGGCGAACACGGATACGGTAGATAACGTAACCCTGCTTGGCCTTGTAACCGAGACGACGAGCCTTGTCCGGGCGCGAGGGACGGGTAGCACGGTGGATGACGTTCAGCTGACGGAGCTATATTGATGCACTCTCAGCAAAGTTCAACGAGTGTATAGCAAGACACAGAGACTCCTGAAGAAGTCTCTTTGCGTGCCACAGAAAGCAAAATCCATTTCCGCCGAAGGAGAGTTCGTTTTCGAGCCTTCCAGTAACACCAGGAATGTATTTCCTATGGCTACGCACACGAGCGCTCGGCGGAGATGTTAGGCAATCGAGGGGGTCGGGGGAGTTCTATCTTACCTCCCAGCAGCGAACGCGGAGCAGGAACCGAATAACATCGGACTGCTTCTTCTTCTGGATCTCTTCGACGTACTTGAGGGCACCCATCTGGAAAGCAATTGCAAGTTAGAGAACGGGCTTGTAATGAAAACAGAGATGGATGGGTTGTAAGCGTACCTTGTCGGCTGTGGTCGTCGGTTGTCGTTGTCGCAACTGCAAAAAAGTTCGAGAGAGAAAGATCAAAGGCAGAGATTGTGTGTGGGACGCTAGCGATTAGCCGAGTCTGTGGGTTGTGGGTCCAATCAGAACCATTTGGTCACGAGATCTGCGGGGCCCGCTTGAATACTTTGTGCCTAAGGTGTCGATGTCTAAATCTACAGCATTGAAGGCTCGATTCGCTTTGAAAGGCCGTCACTCAGGTTTACTCTCCATGATAATTGACTTTATCACCGCATTGGAATGAAAAAAGGGATTTTGGACTTCTATTTCATCAATAGGTTGCGAAGCATAAATCTCCTCCTCGCTGATCAATGCCGTTCTTCAAATACACAATGCGCCCTATTCATGCAACTAAAATGGTAAAGAAAGAACCCCTAATACCCATGTATTGCCGTATACGCTCAATGAAAAGGCAAAATAAAAATGAATGACAACAAATGACAATATCACTGGATATCCACAATGATGCTCGTGATGCTGGCTATGTACCAAGTTCCATGACAATAGAATTTGAGTGCTAACGAGATTGTCGTTGCATTTGCTCCTGGCGAACCATTGCATTAGTTACCGGGATCTGCAAGGAGCCCGGTGGCATGACACTCTTTTTGCAGAGTGGACACAGGCTGCTCGTTTCCATGAGATAAGGATCGATGCAGCCCGGGTCAAAGATATGCCCACAGGGTAATTCACGGACGATCGATGAGCCGACAACGAAATCATCGATACAGATAGCACATGTGGTCTGAGTATGGCTTAGTCTATAGGGATTGGTGCAGACTGCCGTCTCGTTGTTTCCAAGGTTGATCACCGCCGGCTTGGGCATTCTGATCCCAGTTGTGTCCGTGGTCTTCTCGGGTGTCTCCTGGCCCCTCAAGGATGGACTTGTGTTACTAGAACCGAGCTCCTCCACTGTTGGTACGGCCTGTTCCTTGTCGACCGAAATGCTGGATGATGGTCTTGGACCTGGATATGTGTATGTTGGCATCTCATCGACAACTTCACGAGGCACCTTGATTTGATTTAAAGCTAGTTGTTCGATATCGACTTCTCCTGCGTTGATTCTCTGACGTAGAGCCTCTCGCCGCCGGTGGTTGACAACTTTGTAGATGACGAACATGATTAAACTCAATCCGACAATTGTCCCAAGGATTGCAAGCACGAAGCTCCACAGGCTTGGGTTCGAAGATGTTTGGGTATCTAGCAATTTACTGCGTTAGCGGCCCTGCACATCCAAAGGCAACAGCCGGTGTTGATAGCTTACCATTGTCAATCATAGTAAATAGCCGGTCGGTATTATCTCGCTTTTCCACGGAGTGGCTGCCCTCATTGCGGCCCCGGCCTTTTGTTCCATCGGAAAACCAGGCAAGTTCGTGCATCAATGTTGTGCCTGCCGGGCCAGGAATCGCGTAGATGGGATAGGTATTGTCGGATCTCCAGTGGTCTCCGTCGTCGAGTTTCCAACGTGCATCAGTTGGTGGAGGAGGTATTCCAGACTCATTGTTGGACGGCTGGAAGAAAACGAGTGCTTTTATACCAATCTCGCGGGAGGCAGCCAGGAAGGATTGGGTGCAATCCGGGGACACCCACGGAGCGAGCCCAATGACGGGGTATCCGAAGTTTGACACATCTTTGTGGCGAGTCACATTGCTCGGTATGAAAGGCTCGGTGAGATTATTGCATGAATCTTGGGGTGCCAGATCGGGGACGAATAGAAGGCCCGACAGAGAGCCAGATTCGGGGATTCCGGTGCTGGAGAGAGTTTGGACCGTGCGATCAAGAACGAAGCGAAATCCCACATTTTCCTGATAAATCCCATCCCATGTGAGCTTTTACCATTCAAAAGCATTCCCAGGGCGTGGCTGATACATACACTGACTGATGGCGTGGAATTGGACGCGCTTCCCGGGCCCGCAAAAAGCGTGGCAACCGTAGCCAACGAATCGGGGTCGGCCTTGCGAGACATAATTGTGATCGATCTTAGAAATATGCTGAATTCTCTATCTGCACAAGCAAACGTTATGTATGGTTGTTGAATCGAAGTGACTGGGAGTGCAGGCACATGATGAGGTGCAGGCTGGTGGCTGAGAAGGCAACAAGAGAAGACGATACTTTGAGCGCCGAGCCTTGCATTTTGAGTAAACGACATGAAGGCCACGATTGATCGATCGCGGCGACCAGAAAGACCAAACATGACTGCAATACCCTATTCCGCAGCATCGACGAGACAAGGAATGCGACGGCAAATCGGGTCCGTCAGAAGAATGTGGTCAGAGCCGCTCGGCCACGAGGCCAAGGGGGCTGTGGCTGTGATGCCCAAGAGGGAAAAAGGACAACATCATGTCTGCAACTGCTCGGGATGACCGAATACATCCGGAAGCAGCCGTTGGTGAATCTCGAGTGATCATTATGTCGGTGGTTGAAAATGAAGGGCGGTTGAATGCCGGATTAGGAAGGCTGTTTGCGGGTGCCGTTTGCAGTCCCCTTGCAATCCAGTTGCTATGTAGCCCATAGCTAATTTGCCGATCTTTCTTCATTTCCAGTTGGGTTCTTTTACAGGGACTTGATTTCACAAACATGGAATTCTAAACTTCTGCTTCAAAAAGCTCCTGGGGGGTCACTTCTGTCCGAGAGCAATTGAGGACTTTGGGTTCCTCATTAATGACCAGTGGTTTCGGCGGAGGGATCCACTGTTTGGAAACCATCAAGGGTCCAAGACAGAATCAAATATCATCAAGTATCCTTTAATTGAATCAGTTTCAGCACATAACAATGAACTAACTGAGGGTTCCACCCCTACTGTACGAGAGCGAATACTCCGACGATAGATAATTATACTCGGCATGGGTTGTGATTCACCGCCTTCGTCACCGCTCGCACTTTAGCTGAAATACACATCCGAAATTGCGGGTGATTTGTCGGCTATGATGCATATCACGTGGGCGGTCCGCCCCCAGGCTGAAGGACCGCGCGACGGCCAACCTCCACTCATCTGCCTCGCCTTGTCCATCTGTGAGCTTTGAGATTACTCGTTCCGTTACAGCTCTGTCTGGTGCTCACACCAATTTTCAGAATCTTTCTGTTTCCTTCGATCTCAATCTTCATCGGGCAGTCTGTGGCAGCATGTGTCACCCGACATTCAGTGTCGCCTTTTGAAGTCTTGACATACCTAGTGACAGCTCCATCAGCCCTTCTTTTCCCATCAGTCGCCTTCTACTCCCACTCCCTCTTCCTCCGAGTTATTGACAGGAGCCCATGATGCCTTCTGCATATAAAAGCAAAGGTAAAGGCCGTGATGCGCGCCAGTCGCGCAGCCGCAATACAACTCCATCAACTGCGGGCGGCACGAACCTGGCCGCTACCCCTTCGGTCCCAAGTTATCTGGAGAACGATGTGACGAAGCTCATTGATCTGGCCAATGATCAATATCTTGATTTGCTGGACCTTGTGGCCGGTCCGAATATCCCGGATTCGAAAACCTTGGAGACCCTTGTAGACCACTTGAAGAGTCTTAGCGATATGGCGGATGCTCGTGGCGAGACATGCAATGTGGGGATGCGCGAGATGTCCCAGAAACGGAAGGAGGTGATGGACGATCACGAGCTCAGTCGGGAAGTTGGAGAACGCGCAAAGCTGAAGCGCGAGACAGAAGATGATGATGATCAAGTACACAAAGGAAAGCTTAAGAAGCGCAAGGAGCGCTCAGGTGCTAAGGAAGATCGACCTTTGAGCCATGGAGCGCATGATGTATCCCGACAGGATGGTGCAGAGACAAAGGTTGAGGGAGGTACGTGACTCCCCTTGGATCCCGAAGCCTCGACTCCCCGACAGATCGACTGTTGGGGATACTCTCCACTTTCCCCCTCCACTCCACCTTCAATTCTTTCATTCCTCCCACCTAACAAGTTGCTGACCAACCGCAGCGGCTTCCCCAGCTTCCAAGAACGCAAAGAACGCCGCTTCGGACGGTAGCTCCTCCCTCTCGCCACCATCGATGCTCTCTCCCAGCGCCGCTGCCGGGGCTGATGGCGCCGCAGGGCCTGGGTCCCCCGGCTCAGACTCTAGCGAGGATTCTCACCAGCCTGAGCCCCAGCCAGCTTTTCCTCAGATCCAAGTTTTCGGCGACAATCCTCTTAAATTCGACGACCCTACCGTTTACCACATACGCGACGTTACTCCAGACATGCCCGACGAAGAGAAACAGGAAATTTACAGCGTTGCCCGATTTCCGAGGAGTGACCTCGCTCACATGATGGCCGGGGTGCCGCCGGACAAAGACTTCAGCAACGCTAAGCCCTCTAATCAGGTCAGCGCCAATACGTTCCAGGCCTATATTGAGCCATACGTGCGGCCTCTGACGGAGGAGGACATTGCTTGGCTGAAAGAGAGAGTAAGTTCCAGCAACTCAATTGCACAATTGTCCCATTCACTTAAGTCATTTCAGGGCGACCGCGCGAGTCCATTCATCATTCCCCGTCGTGGAAAGAAAAGCTATCGCCAAATTTGGGCCGAGGAAGATGGACTCCCTTATGATCCAAGCCAGGAAGAAAAGGACCAGCTTCCTCTGAACCAGGGTCGTGGAACCATTGAACAACTCACCGACGAGAAGACTGAGACTAACGACATTTCAATCGGACCCTTACTCAGTCGTTTGGTCTCTCTTCTGCGTTATGAGCACCGCACACTTCCGGAGGACAGCGCCAATTCCACCAACGGTGACGCGCCAGCTACCGGTGGTTTGGGTGGAGACGCAATGGACCTCGACCAGCCAAGCGGAGAGCTGGACACCAAACCTGAGAATAAGCCATTGCCACCTGCCACGGCTTTCCGCGACGCGTCCCCAACCGGTTTCAAGACCTCCGTTGCCAAGCTTGATCACGCGCAGCTCGATGAGCGTGCCAAGGCCGAGCTGCGATATATCGGCTTTCTGGGAGCCGACGATAACCCCGACTACGATGCACACTACGATGACGAAGTCGCCGAGCGCCTGCGCCTTCTCCAGAGCGAACTCAAGAAACAAATTATTGTCAACAACGCGCGTAAGGCGCGTATTCTGAAGATCGCCCAGGAGCACATGGCCCTCCTTGAATTCACCACCATCCAGGATGATCTTGACACTCAGGTCCAGCAGGCCTATCTGAAACGCACTCGCACCATGGGTAAAAGCAAGAAAGGCTCGCAGGCTAAGCACCGCCCAGGTGGTGCGGGAGGCGGTAGCCACGTTGCTAGCGCAGGCGTTTCTCGCCCTGCTGTCGGAGACGCTGCCAAGATTGTCATGGACCGCCGCAAGCGCTGGAACGATGCTTTCCTGCCTATTTTTGAGGATATTAAGACCACCATCCCATCCGAGGGCGAGACTATCTTCGATGCAGCCACAATGGGAGAATACGAGAAGGCTGAGCTGGAGGCTTGGGATGAGGAGTAACATGTATTCTCGGCCTTCTTTGCTCCCATTCGCCTATCCTTTCCTCTCCTTCTTCTGGTTTTTCTGGACAAATCAGCATTTTCGATTTTTCTATTTTCTCGCGCACATGATACCTGGGTATGACATGACTGGTACGATGGGTTCGGCGTTGGCGGTTCTTTTTTTTTATTCTCTTTTTTCCGTTTCTCCATGGTGCTAGAATGATCTCGACTCCAACGAAGTCAACTTTACTGTCTTCGCTTCGCGTCGGGACGTTCTATGCTGTGATTTGCATTTCCTGCAGTCTGGGCAGACATCCTGGTCTTTTTTTTTCTTTTTTTCATGGTCCAATCTCACGGACCGTATCTAGGTAGCCAGCCATATTAGAGTCGGTGCCATCCAAGTTCTACCATCCAAGCTCTCAATGCATCAAATATGTACATATAGATCGATATTTCGTCCTTCCAGATGTGTATCGCCAATTGTAGCTCTCTGTACAGGGTTCTGCGAATGCCTCCAAAAATGGATGATAAACACGTGCTAATTGAAAACAGAAAAAAATTATATTCCGGGTATCTTAATTTTCACCAACCAATCTCCAACTATATATTTCTATGCAAATCCCGTCACCGGTGTATAATCAGTACCTCCCCGGGATACCGCTTCAACCTCGCCGTCAAATCCCGCTCACTAATCTCCAGTTCCGTACAAATCTGATCAAACGAGTGCGTTCCATCCAAATACTTCTCCAGCACCTGATCATCCACTTCATCCTCCCCATCCCACCACCCACCACCCACTGCACTGCCCCCAGCGCCCCGACTCCCGCTCTGCAACGACCCCGCCCGCTCGCGACTACCATCCCGCCGCGCTGCCGCCGTCAATGGCGCGTCCTCACCCACACTTGATGCCGCATAGGGCGTGTTGTTGCCGGTTGTGGCGCGCGATGAGGTGCCGGACCGGTGTGCCAGCGAGGCGGAGCGCGGCGCCGGCGCCGGCTGCCCCGTCGCAGCCGCGTATTTGTGAACGCGGTACAGGAAGCCCTTGATCACGCCGAACGTGATGAACCGCCGGATATCGATGTGCGCCAGCGCCCGGCTGTGCGCCGCGTACCACTGCTTCACGCTCTGGCCCTGCTTCAGCGCTGCGTACAGCTCCACCAGTCCGATGCCGTCGACCACCGTCGGGCCTTGGCCTGCGCGCGCGGGCGTTTCCGTGGCGCTGGTTGCAGTGCTGCTGCTAGTCGCCCCGTCGTCCGGGTCGCCGAGCAGCGGCCAGATTTCTTCCGCGTCGAAGCGTGAATCGTCACGGGAGAGGCTGGGGGCGGGGTCAGTGAGCGGACTGGCAAGAACGGCCGCGCCGGGGCTACTGGCGGTGGTGGTGGTTGCGGAGACAGGGGGTAGGGCGGAGGGCGGGGCGAGGGGGGAGTGTGGTGCGAAGCGGGTGTTTACATAGCGCGCGCACTCTTGCTGCATGGCTTCGTCAGAGGCGATGGCGGCGCTGAACTGGGCGGTGGGGGCGTAGATGGCCGAGAAGGAGAAGATATCGAGGAGGAAGAGGCATCCGTAATAGAGGAGGTGGCGGATTGCGCGGCAGGTGAGGGAGAAGTCGGTGTCGGCGAGGATGGAAATGATGCGGACGCTGTTGACGCCATTGATATGAGGCACAATCTGGAAGAGATCAGTAAGGGCAATTGACAAGAATGCATTGTTTAACAAAGATTGCTCTTGCGTACCCGTTGCATGGTCAAGTCCCAATTCTCGTCCATGAAGGCCTGATATCGGACGGTGAAGAGAGGCACAAGCCAGGCCTTGACCGGTGGTGGGGAGGGGTAGATAGGAAAGAGCTTGATGTTCAAGGTGTTGAGCTCATCTATATCCGAGCAGAGTCAGTATGAGGGCTCTACTGGTCCAATTGGGACGCCAAGTCCACCTACCGATGGGGATCATGCATTCGCAATAATTGTTCAAGTCCTCCATCAACATCTCGCAAAGGCTATGCACTTTGCCCTCGCCGCTCTTGGAGAAATCTTTTGAAAGAAAGCTGTTCTGTTCCTCCAGAGCATGCATCAAGTCGGCCAGTTTTTGTACCACGCTCTTATAGGTGCTGAAATCATCCTCCTCGGCCAGTACCACACAGAAGTTGAAGATGAACTCATTTCGGTCGTAGCGGGGGTTGCTCATGCAAATCGGGTATCCCAGAATACGGTAGCCATTTGTACAGACCTGAAGCAAATTGCCACAGAGCTCCTGGCGGGGGATAACGAAGAAGGAAATATCGGAGAATGTGAGGAAGAGGGGCTGTGCGGGCGCGGTGGCCGAGGGGACGATGGCGCCGTCAGGGACCTGGTGAACAACCTTCGGACCTGGCAGAGGATGTTAATTGCAAGCACTATCGAGATATTAGAGTTTGAGATCCATTGGATCTGACCTTCTTGGGTGTCGAATTTGCTGTAGAAGATTGCCTTGATCATTGTGAAGCTGGCGCGACGAAGCTAGGGATGATTGGGCCTATCACATGGGGAGACTCGTCACACCGGCCGAGGAACCCAGTAGAGATCTCGACGGTTGCGCCCTTTCTTTTGATTCCCCCCAAGCAATCAAGTTGACAGGCTCAGCATGGTGCTGCTACGAGGGGTGGTCGTGCGGGGTTGAAGTCGGAGATGCGAGGTTGATCGGCTTGGGCTTCTGCTTATCGGGGGGATCCACTGCGTGCCGGAGCGGACGGCCGATCAGTGACTATTGTTTCTGCGTGCTGCAGTCCTACCTCCCCCTTGTGTAAGCGCGGCATTTTATTGATCTACAAGGATTCTCAATTGGTGCAGCGCTACTGTAGGGAAGAAAAAGCAAGCCTCAATATTGAACTTGAATTTGAATTTGGCATCAGCCATAGAGTGCAGTTGTAACAGCAACAATGGGAGGGGCTGAGGGTATTAAGTAAAACAGAAAAATCCGAAGCCATCAATCCCGAGACAGTCTGGAAGAAAGATCTATCAGTAAAGAGCTTTTTGTCTCCGTATCCCGTGGTTAACTTTAAAAAAAAGGAGTTGAAAAATGAAACCATAGATAATGATGGAGAAATAGCGAGATAAACAATGCCCGAGAAGGAAACCAGTCCATGTCGGTGAGAATGCCGTAAATAAAGGTGACTAAAGAGCGAGACGAGACTGCGCCGGAAAATGCAAATCATAATCATGTAAGAGCCCTCATATTGTGTCCTTTGGTGGTGGGGGTGGGTGGAAGAAAAAGCCGAGAGTCAGCGATTCAGCGTGCCGCGTTGGAGGCATGTTGGGGCAGGCGGGAAAGCCCGTCCGAGCCTGGCATGGCGTAGAACCCGACTGGTGATGTGAACTGAGTGCCGCGAGAGGAGCCATACCGGTACCCAGCCTCGGGCTCCATGAGATGGGCGGTGGTATCGCGAAGGGCGGAGGTCGGCGCCTCGGGCAAGAAGCTCAAGGACTGGGTTGCAGTTGCACGGATTGCATGGACCATCTCGCCGTAGCCACCTCGCTCGCCCGCTTCTTTCAGCCACTGCTCGTAGTCCTCATCGAGAGGCACATCTGCGCCTTGATTGCGCGCGGCCATGGCGGCCAGCAGGCGGTAGTTGAGAGCCACTCCGCAACTCTCCATCTCATCGTCGCTATACTCGTCATCAAACTCAGCGATGCGGTAGTCTGAGAGCACACTGGAGCTGCGAGAATCACTGGCCCGGACGGTGTCATCACTGCCAGTCTCAAGTCTCAGATCCCGGTCTTCTTCTGGCCCGCAGAAGTCGTCGCGATGGATCACCACCATCGGGTGGGGTGTTGGGGTGGCTGGGCGGATACTATCCCCGGTTGTGTCCAGCACAGTGGTACCTTCGTCGGCCTCGTAGCGTTGACGCGCGGATTTGGTGCCTTCCCAACAGCACAGCTCGGCGATCTCATCGGCCGTCAGGCCCAATTCATCAAATACCCGGAAGAGTCGGCGGTGCCAGGTAAAGCGGCTCAGTCGCATACGATGAGGGCCATAGGCATAATCTAAGCCCGGGTACTGGGCCTCAATGCTATCGAGGGGACCGTAGAAGGCATTTGTCTCAATGCGAACCTCAGGCACAAGGTTCCGGGTGATGTGGGCAGCGAAGGTGCCTGGATCATTGGAGCGCGGGCGCGGGAAGGCCGCATTGTACACAAGCTGAGCGAGTGACGGTTTTCGCATGGTGCAAATTGGACGAACAGTATGGGGGATCAAACACTATGGGCAATGAGGGGAAAGGGGAGGGGGGATAACAGCAAATAACAGCTGGAGGATGGGCGATGAGAGACAACAGGCCGCGACAGCAAGGATCCCCTAGGGTGTCCGAAAGAGAGGGGACCTGGGTACCTGGCACCGGGAATGAAGGGGAGATCAGATCACGATTCGGGAGGACTTTTGGGGGTTTTAGCGACCCTCAGCCGCAGGAGTGAAACAACTCAGGCACTCAGGCGGCCCCGTGTGTGTCAGGCCAACAGGGCCAACAGGGCCAACAAGGCCGATCTGGAGAACAGCGCTAGCAGTGGGGCGGGTCTAGACACCGGTGGGGGTCAACCCAGTCATGGAACAGATGCAGGGGATACAAAGGATGCAGAGGGAAAAGAGGAAGAAGAAGAGGAGGAGGAGGGGGAGAAGAGGAGAGCACAGAAGGGCAGATTGGGGCTCGTGGTCGTTGAATAGGGAGAATTGAAGTTGGTGAGAAAAAGGAAGCGCGAAAGCAGCTGAGCGGGTGAAGGTGTCACGGGCTATCACGTTGACAGTCCTTTTGTGCTGCGGTTCCTGTTGTTTCACCTCCAGCGACCTGCTGCGACGTTCTCTGCGTGCGGGTCGAGGACGACCGCGAATGTCCCGCTTCTCTCACTTTGTGAGTCGCTGCTCACTTGGCCACGACTTCGACGACGTGGTGAGAGCCACTCTGTGTTGTCTTTCTGCACCTCACCCTCCTCCACCCTTCCTTCTCCACCCTCCACCACTCATCGTATCCCCCGTCATCCACTGCTTCTGCACCTCTGCGCTAACCAGCCTCTATATCAAACTGCGGTTTTCTGACCGTGTCCGAGGGAGACGGTTAAAACGACCGGTCCCATCCGTGATGTCCCAGTGGCCCCCAGGGCCCCCGGGGCCCCCGGCCACCAACCCCGGTCCAGCGGGGCCTGCACCCGCTGTCGCAGCCCCGAGCGTGGGTCTTTGGAGCCAGTGGGCACCGCCCTTTCGGCACCTTCAGGAGCACGAGGAAGGCCTCTTCACCCCCACCGAAACCTTGATGTCCTTCCCACCACCCATCATGTCAACCTTCAACGGGGTTGTCGAAGGTAAGTCTCCCTCCTCTCTCTGAGCATTCAGCTCGATAGGACCTAGACTGACCGTTTCAGAATTCCCGGAAATCCAAGGTAAGCCGAACTCGTTTCTCTCACTTGATCGTTTGGTAGGCGTTGTTGGCAAAACTAAAAAAATTCCGATTTATGCAGTCGATTACTTCCGGAAGAGCGAGGATCGCCCGCCACCCTTGGCCTGCTTCCTGACGCATGTACATAGCGACCACCTGCTGGGGCTGGAGTCCTTCCGGTCGCCTTTCATCTACTGCTCGCCAGCCACACGTGAGGTATGTGCACCGCTTACCTTCTCTGTCTTGCCCCAACACTACGTCAAACGGAGTATCTCTCACCCAATCAATCTCGTGCCGCACTTACCCCCCCTCCTTCCAAAGTGCGGCTCGGCGGCGGCTCTTCACTAACAAGACCCCAAACAGCTCCTGCTGGGCCTGGAAAAATGGCCCCATCGCATAAACTTCGAACAAGGCATTCTAGAAGCCCGCCGTGTTCACTATAGGCATCTGCAGAAACTACTGGTCAGTTCTTTACCATTCACTTCACAAGCGTTGTCATTTTTGTTTTCTATCGTTTCTCTCTCTCTCTACATCAATCGTGACCCCGAAACGTGACACAATACTAAAATCCACACAGCGGCCTATCCCATTAAACACCCCCACCATCATTGACCTTACTCCAGTGAAGCGTCTCCGTGTCACTCTGATCGATGCCAATCACTGCCCGGGGAGTGTTATGTTCCTGATTGAGGGGGAGGAGAAGGCAATTCTCTACACAGGGGATGTCCGAGGTTAGTCCCCGTCGTGCTCTCTCCGTTGACTATATATCCAAAACTGACAGCCACAGCCGAGCCATGGTGGATCAATAGTCTGGTCCGCAATCCCGTGTTGATCCCTTACACCCTAGGCCCGAGGCGGCTGGACACCCTTTACCTTGACACCACTCACCTCTCCCGTAAACAATTTTTTGTCCCCAAAGCAGATGGGATTGCAGAGTTGCTGCAAAAAGTCCTGGCTTACCCGAAAGATACTGTGTTTCACATTCGGGCATGGACGTTTGGCTATGAGGAGGTGTGGCAGGCCCTAGCGATAGCACTGGACAGCCAGGTAACCCTAATTTTGCAGCTCCTCTCGCATGCAGTGTTGATACAATCTAACTGGGGATGCTTAGATACACGTGGATCCCTATCAACTCAGGCTGTACCGGTCTCTCGCCAAAGCATCCAGTGACAAGGCTGTCAATGAGTCCTCTATCTTCAATGGCTTCAAACTGGGCAACACGACCATCGAGGGAATTCTCACCGACGATAAGAATGTCCGCCTTCACAGCTGTGAACCAGGAACTGCTTGCATAAATCGTGCCCATAGATGTGTCGACATCATGCCTTTCCTGTGCCGTTCTAGAGATGGCCAGGAAGAAGCTGAACCGAGAGCTCGGAATGACAAAAGTGATCTCTACCCAGCTCATGAGATTGAGCTTACAGACAAAAGCACGGCAAAAGAACTAGAGCGACGGGGCTTGGCCCTCCTGGACACCACCGAAGATCGGAAAGCATTCTCGTATCGGTTGAGTGCAGCGTTCTCCATGAACCGTTCACTTTCACTGAATGAACTCGGCATCCGACTGGAGAGCAATGTTCCACTTGACCTGATGGTGGAAACCATTGTTGACTGCATTCTAAGCTATGATCATCAGATGGAGACCCTCACTGCTGCCATGTTCAAAGGAGAACGCAGCGGGAAAAGGGATGTGATTGTCAGTACTTTTTATTGACCCTTGTCCACAGGCCTATTGCTAATCCTCATCAGCATTACCCGTTTGCACGCCACTCGTCATATGCGGAGTCCTGCAGCCTCGTGGGTCTTTTCTATCCTAAAGATGTATATCCTTGCACCTACAACGATACCTACTGGCGCCTTGAAAAATTAACGGTCGAGAATCTGTTTGGGCATCTATGTTCGGAGAAAATATTTGCCTTTGACAAAAAGATGAGGAGCACTGTATCAGATATGGATCCCGGTCTTGAGTGGTTTACCAGGTCGTCGAAGTTCACCCGCCAGCTCCAAACTCAGTCAACGCCTTCTCACAGCGAGATAGGCGATAGTGATCTAGACAGACCTGGGTCTCAGCAGGTATCGTCATCCCAGCTTCGAAGCGTGTCTACACTGTCTCAATCTTCCTCACCTGCACCCCAAAATTTCCTCAAGTTGACCACCCCTGCGGAGGATACGCCTTCAACTACTCCAGACCCGGGCCGAGAGTTGCGCAATGAGATTAGACGGGCTCAGCAATATCTCCAGGAGCAGGTTGATCCCGCAGAAATGCAAATTGGTGCTCTTCCAACCGCTTGGCCTTCTGCAGAAGATGATATGTTTGATGCTGATACCGAAATGGATACGGGCATGGGCTCTGAGCAGCCCTACCGTTCTATCTTTGGCGGGGATGGAGGCTCTGATCCAGTCATCTCAACTCAGGAAAAAGGGGCGCCCACCGCGCAGAACAATGAACCGCAGATGAGTTCCCAAACTTTGTCGACCTCGGATTCTAAGTCCACTCTTTCCGGCGTGGAATTGACGGCCGACTTGCTGAGAGATGCTGCTGAGTTTGTGAACGACCTAGATGAGGAGGAAGACCCAACACAGACAGAGTCACGCAAACAAACCCGCATCACGGCTTTTCTGGCTGCACAGGAAGACACGTACGCCGCATGGGCAGATGTATCCCTTGTTTCGGCTGGGGACAATCATGCTGAAGAAGAAATCGAGCTGTGAATACGACAGAGACTCGCCCATGAATTGAGTTATTTTCATTTTGTTTCTATTTTGTGGGTCTACACTTTGCCCGGATAGCATTGCCTTGGATCCCATTGGATCCGCCTGATCTATCCTTGGGCAGATTTCTTGACCCTCTTTCCTCGATGCCTAATCTACCGTGGCGGAACATGTGCTGACGATTTATGCTTTGCTGATGATGAATACGACGAATACCCCTGTACGATTTACGAAATTGATGTACCATCAGAGAAGAAGGACATAGTGGTCGGCGCTCAGGTGGCTTATGTTGCTTGATCTTTAATGTTAAATCTTCGTGCTTTATTTGCTTTATTGCTTTATTGCTTTGTTGCTGTATTGCTTTATTTGCCCTATTGTTACCCCCCATCCCCCCCATCCCCCACGTCCCCCAAAACACTTCCCCCGATTATTATTATCGAATTGATCGTTGACTATTCTTATTGAACCAATTGAGTGGTAGAATACTTCTCTAAGCAAAGTTAGTAGGTTGCTGCCCAAGGATCCCGAGCATCCTTTTTACCACGTCGCCTTCGCCAGATCTTGGGCGCCGCTGCCACACTACACTACGAACAACAAAGAACATTTACCCACTACTAACGCCTCCCTATCGACGGGACTGACAGCTAATTACTCTCAATACGACTTCGCATACATCCTTACTCCTGATTAGCGTGTGGTTCCGCCGTCTAATCGGACAGTTCCGACCAAATCGCGTCGGGGAAACCGTCGCGGCAATGCCTGCGGCGAAGTCCGGTGGGTCTGGGTTGGCCGGAGGTCACCCTCTTCGGCCAACGTGGCTCCGGGAAGGGGCCAGGCGGAGGCCGAGGTGGGAATGAACGGTAAGAGAACGCCCGTTCAACATGAGCCCAGAATCGGGCGTCGTAAATGGCGTGTTAAGCGATATAAGCGTTTGGAGTAGACGGTGGAGAAATTAAGATTCGATAGAGATGCAAAGGAATCGTCACGCTCGTAGCTACCTGCATGGGAAGGGGGTAATTCATCAAACACAATAACAGCAACAATGCACAAATCGACAGGCGCTCTCTGGCGAGGTATAACACGAACCCAAGATAACTAGACGCTCGAGAAGATAGAGGTATATGGAATGAAAACGAAGATAATGCAAAAGAGAGATGAAGTGGGGAAGGGGGAAGGGGGAAGGGGGAAGGAATGGGAAGGATGAGAGGAGGGAGAAAATGGAAGGGAAAGAGGGCAATGCATCATCAAGAAGAGGATATGAAGGATAGGTCGACCAATAGGCTATCAAGGTTGTATCGGAGCGCGAGGGTGTGCCGCCGACAAAGCCTTCCAAGCTCCAGATCTAGAACACATAGTACGCCTGCGTGAGCGGCAACTCGGTCGCAGGCTCTGCGTCGCACAGCATGCCATCGGCCTCGACAGTCTGATCGTGGAATTGTCAGTATATCCTCGTTCGTGCTACGCCGGCGCTGTGCGTAAGAGGGGCATGAGGTACTCACGTAGCTCTCTGGGTCAACCTTCATCTTCGGCATGGTCTCGTTGAACTTCATGTCCTTCTTGCCGACATTACGACAGCCCTTGACGGCCTCGATGCGTTTACGTAGACCGTAGGTTTGCACGATACCGGCATCGATAGAGGCTTGGGAGACGAACATGATCGATGTGCTTGGGACGCGAACCTAGGTTGATCATTTATTTTAGCTTGTCTGTGCCATGGGAAGTTTGAGAGGAAGAGAGCTTGACATACGCCGAACATCGGGCGGACAATCATCGGTTCGATTGTTGGGATGGAGGCATTGGGGTCACCCTAGATCACCAGCAGGGTTAGTAAAGACATCCGAAGCACAAGAAATCGGGTCCGGGAGAGTAAAGGAAACACACCATCTCCGCAACAGCAATCATGCCGCTCTTCAGAACCTTCACTGGCTTCACACCGAAGTTGCTCGGGTTCCACACAACCAGATCGGCAATCTTGCCAACCTCCACGCTGCCGATAAGATGTGCCATGCCCTGCGCCAATGACGGGTTGATCGTGTACTTGCTGATATACCGCTTGACACGGAAGTTGTCATTGTTGGTGCCCTCATCCTCGGGCAGTTTACCACGCTGCTCCTTGTTCTTGTGGGCAGTGTGCCAGGTGCGCAAGATGACTTCTCCGCAGCGGCCCATGGCCTGCGAGTCGGAGGACATCATACTGATGGCTCCCAGGTCATGCAGGACGTCTTCAGCAGCAATGGTCTCTGCGCGAATACGGCTCTCTGCAAAGGCGACGTCCTCGGGAATGTTCTTGGACAGATGGTGGCATACCATCAGCATATCGAGGTGCTCATCCAGAGTGTTGAGAGTAAATGGTCGAGTAGGGTTGGTACTGCTAGGCAAAACGTTCGGGTGCTCGACGACGGAGATAATGTCCGGGGCGTGACCACCACCGGCGCCTTCGGTGTGGTATGTGTGGATTGTACGACCCTTGAAGGCCTCGATAGTCTGCTCGACGAAACCAGATTCGTTGAGAGTGTCGGTGTGAATCATACACTGCACGTCGTAATCGTCACAGACAGAAAGACAGTTGTCAATAGCAGCAGGCGTGGAGCCCCAGTCCTCGTGAAGCTTCAGGCCAGCGGCACCAGCCAGAATCTGCTCTTCAATACTGATGCGCCCACAGTCATTACCTTTACCGGTAATGCCAATGTTGATGGGCAGGCTGTCGCAAGCCTGCATCATCAGTTTGAGGTGGTTGGGGCCTGGAGTACAGGTTGTTGCGTTGGAGCCGGTGCTGGGGCCGGTACCACCGCCAAGGAAGGTGGTGATACCCGATGCCAGAGCCTCATCCACTTGCTGCGGACAAATCAAATGGATATGGGTATCAAATCCACCAGCAGTGATAATCTTACCCTCGCCCGCAATAACGTCCGTTGAAGCACCGACTACCAAGTCGGGGTGCACGCCATCCATCACATCGGGATTACCGGCCTTGCCTATACCCGAAATCAACCCGTCCTTAATACCAATGTCGGCCTTGTAGATTCCCGTATAATCAATGATCAGCGCATTCGTGATCACCGTGTCCACACACTCTGCCGCCGAGCGTCCAGACGCCTGGCCCATGCCCTCACGAAGAGTCTTGCCGCCACCAAAGGCACACTCGTCACCATAACTGGTCATATCCTTCTCCACCTCCACCCACAGATTAGTCAAGCCGAGACGAACTAAATCGCCTGTAGTTGGGCCGAACATGCGTGAGTACGCCTCTCGTTCCATTGAAAATCCGGTCATCAGTGTGCTATCCGCCGTGGGCTCAGGTACATGCGCGAACCCAGCCGCCTGGAGCTTGGTAATAATTTCCTCCGCGCGGTTCATATCCAAAGGTCCATTGGCGAGCCAGTTGCCGCCTCGAATGACACGGTGACCGGCGATCTCGACCAATGTCACCGTCTTGGTATCGCCGGGCTCGAAACGAATCGAGGTTCCGGCAGGAATATCCAAACGGAAGCCGTAAGCCTGGAGGCGATCGAAATGCAATTGGGGGTTCGTTTCGATGAAGTGGTAGTGTGATCCGACCTATTGTTCAGCCCATTAGTTTCCGCGCCGTATACATTGCAACGATAAAGAAGCCAGGCAAACAGCATACCTGAATCGGACGATCTCCTTTACTCATAACCTTCAGGCGAATGCGTTTTCTGCCATCATTCAAAGCCACCCGTGCATTCTTCACCGGAATGACCGCGCCGGGCATCTTTTCAGGCAAAAAGTCATTGGGGTCTGGGTCAGGGAACGCCTCGTGCGATGGGACAGGCAAGAAACTGCCATACAGCGCACGCTCAAGATCTCCCTCGTCGCTACTAATGGGGTGGTGCACCGTCACCAGGTACGTGCCCGTAGTAAAGGTGCCCTCGACCTGCAACTCGACGAGAGTCGCGACAACAGAGGGCAAAACATGTCGGCGACCCAGCATGGTTTTGCCGATGGACATCAAGTCCGCAACGGAGTAGTGGCCATCACGAATAAGCTGTATAGATCCATTGGCATTAGGATTGATTCGATTGGCGCATCTTCAGAAACAATTTTTTTTTAAAAAAAGTGGGGTTCGTACCTCGTGCAGGACACTGGAGATCAAGGCCTGTCCGATGTTAGGAAGAAAAAAGATTAGCGGGGCCCTCCTAGCAGGGATCGGAATAACCGGGAAAATTGAAGCTTACCACGGCCTCGGCATGGTTCAATCGCACACCTCGTGCAAGACGGCGCTGCGCCAGGAACCCGAGATGCGCGATGGTGAGCTTGTCGAGCTGGGAGGGGTGGGATTCCGTCAGCGCGGGATTTTGATTACGGCGAGTCTTGGCTTCGGCCTACCTCCTTTGGAACAAGCTGCATGTCGCAGGTGGACCCCGGACGACTTCAGGACTTGGCGTGCAGTGGACGAAGAGGGAGAAGGGGAATAGTTTGACTAGGCTGGTGAAGAGAAGAAGTCTGATGTCCCAGGAAGGGATTGGAAGGAGGGTTTGGGAATGTGGGGGGCCACCACGAGATATATTTCATTACAGGCGCCGATGCTCCGATAACGATGATAAGAAGTGCCGTGCTGGCCGATTGGGCGCTGTTGCTCGGCCGTGTTAGTCATTCCTTTGCTAAGAGAAAAAAGCCGAGCCCACTTGGGACTGGGTTGATAGTGGGTGCACTCGGGTGTTTTAGTGTTTTAGTGTCTGAGCCTTTTTTTTTGCTTTCCCGGTGCTCTGGAGCGGCCCCGCCCTATAGGGAGGCTCCGGGATCTAAGCACCGAACTACCGGTCCGAAGTATAGAAGGCATGGCCATTAGAAGAACGAACACACGATGAGCTTACCAGCGTAGAAGACGACATTAATTCAACCAACTGGAACAAGGGGAACAGCAATTGCAATTCAATACACGGCCTGATAATTACACTTTTGCCTCAAAATAACAAACGCCGCGATCAAAGCTCCCTGCGTCAAGACCGTGCAACCGTTGAATCGGTGGAGAAAGCCCCCGATCAGAAGATCAATAACAATGTCCTCCAGCAAAGGAAAGGAACAAAAAGGCAAGAAAACAAAAAAAAAAAAAAAAAAGACTCAACCATGAAAGAAAAGGGCACCCTCATCTCCCCCAAACCCCAGCTAAGAAATCCTAAGAAACAATCAAGCATCATCGATCTCATTTAACTCCCAAGTTAGTCTCTCATACTCAGGCCTCGCTCTTGCGCTTCTTTGCTTGCGGCTCTTGGGCTCGGCGGGCGTGGCCTTAACCGACGCGGGCTCTGCGTTCTTCGCACCTCTCTTCTTCGGGGACGCTGCCTTGACCGGGGACTCGGCAGCAGGCTTAATGTCACTACGGCGGCGCTTGGCGCTGCTGGACTTGGCCGGGGTCTTCACCTTGACGGGCTGGGGGGAGAAGGAGACTCCTCATCAGACTCGGAAGACTCCTCGGACGAGTCCGACTCCTGTGCGTTCTCGGCGCCAGCGAAGTCCTGCTGCAGCTGGTGAGCGGCGTCATCGTCGCCGGTTTTGCGGCCCGCCTTATAGGCAGCCATCTGCTGCTTGTAGGTCTCGTAGTTCTGCAGGTACATCTGCTTCCATTTCTGTGGGAATAAAATTAGCCCTGGACTCAGAAAAACTCAAGACCAAAGAATGATGCGCGCATTGCGCAAAAGGCAACAAATATAGCCCCCCTCTCACAAAAAATAGAATGGAATCACGGGAACCAAAATAACAAGTCCGTACCTCTTTATCAGCATCGGTCATACTCTGCCAGCGGCGGGTACCCTCATCGGCAACCTCCTTGGGCTTCGCATTGCCGCCAAGGTCCTCGGCGATCTTGGAGCGGTTGTGCTGCATGTAGAGGAAGTACGGGGTAAGGGCACGCTTAGGCGCATTAGGGTCGACGGGAGCGCGCTTGCGCTTCTTCTGCCCGCCGGCCTCAGACTTGGCACCAGGGCTAGCGGCGCGCACCACGCCGACATCAAAGTGGCCGGTCAGGCCCACAGGAATGGCGGGAATATCAATGGTGGCGGGACCGCCGTTGATGACATTGTTGGCGTGCTCAATGTACGCCTTGCTGAGGTCTGCAATGTAAGATTGCAGGGCCATCAGCCGCATGATAACCTAGGGCAGGATGTTAGTGGCATGCGCAACACGGAGCTTGAGGCGATAACAGGATGTGAAAAAAAGAAGAAAAAAATCATCGAATAATAATACATCAAGAGAGGATAACTAGGGCTATAACAGGGTCTCAAGGCTGTTCTGTTGGGTAGAGAGGGTAGACATAGGCCGTGGTGGTGTCGGTAGGCCGAACACGTGCAGAGGGTGGCATGCCCATGACGCGCCGCGCCGCCCGCGTCAAAGGTAGAATAACATAAAGGGACCTTTTAAGAGACTATTGAGAATGTTGCGAAAGGTTTGCCAAGCTCGGAGAGAGCTTTTTCGCGTGGTGATGTGGTTGCGAAAGCTCTGTTTATGTGCGACGCGTATCCGGGCACCGCGCAGAGCGGGCGCGGCGGGTGCACCAGGAAGGGCCGGCAAGCCCCCAGAACGAGGATGGGTTGAAAAGCAATGAACCAGGCGTGGGTAAAAAGGAAAAAGAACAAGCATACCGCATCTTTGGAGTTGCGCAGCTCCTCGACGTTGACGGCTACAGTGGCCTCGGAGTCCTGTTTGGCAGCCATGATATATGAATAAGAGCCGGAAGAGTTGGGTTTGGTCGGGAGGGTAGAGGGGCGGGTGGTAAGGAAAGAAGAAAATTTGTTGTTGGGGGGGGGAGCCGGCGGGAATAGGGGGGAGCCGGAGGCTCGGAGGGGGGACGGCCCACTAAATACCTGCCCGACGAGCAAGTCCCCCAACCCCAGCTAAAACAGCGACACCGGGCCACCCCCGGCATGCTCGGCCCTCAGCCTTCCAGTCGCTGCTTTAGGCTTAGTTGTCCGGGCTCGCTTCAGCTGAAGCCCTGCTTCCCCCCTCTGGCCTCCCACCCCCCCCCCCCTCTCTGCCTCTCTTCCACCCCCTCCCTTTGTTCTCGGGAGGCTTAACTGTGTGTCGCCTTGGTCATGCATCAACCCCGGGGCCCGTCCCGCGCAACACACTTCCCTTCTTCCCCTCCCGAACGCCCCCTCCGGCTCTTGTGACATAATGACTTCTGCGCCAACCACCCGGGCGCGCGCTGCCGCTTACTCGAGCAGTCCTTAATAAATTTACTAACGTCGCGAATTATGAATTTTAAAAAAAGGAAGATATGCCAGCATAAAATAAATGACTTTCCCCTTAAATTCTCCATCCTCGATAATTAAGTTAAAAAGAGCAGGTGAGTTGTCGAGTTATCAAGACATGGTCGCATGGGAGCCTGTCACAATATATTTTGGGCGTTGTAGCCGCCTGCCATCTGCACTGCCCCTCCCCGCGCTCAACCCCCCAAAAACATTGCGACCATCGCGACCAGCTTGCGCCAGGTGACGGTGATGGGTTCCCACAAGAGTTCTACAAGATTGGGAAACATCCAGGGATGAAAAAAATACGCCACATGACCAAAGGAAATAATTATAGTAATAAAATACAAGACGTCAAAAAACCTCTTGATGAAACAAATGAATTCTATTCAGATAGGCCATGACATGTAAAGCGCCAAGCTGTGGAGGGGCGTGGAGGAGGCAATAAACACGCCCTTGAAAAGCACGATGCATCCCATATACAACGCGACCTCTAGACGCATCCCCAGGGATTCTCTATTCTACACGAGTAAATCTAAAACTTGAAGACCTGGTCCTTGTTGTAGCCCAGCTCTTGCAGGACACCAGAAAGCTCGCCCTGGTCCTTGGGGCTGACCTTGCCACCGCTGATAGCCTTGTACATACCGGGCGGGCCGCAGACGAACAGTTTGATGTTCTCTTCCTTGGGCTCGGGCAGGACGGTCTTCAGCAGCTCCTTGGTGATGAATCCCTTGCCGCCGGTCCAGCCCGCGGGCGGGTTGTCCAGCACGTAGAAGGCGCGGAAGCGCTGGGGGTAGGTGTTCTCGAGCTCGTTCAGCTCCTTTTTGAGTAGGATATCCTCCTCGCTGACGTTGCCGAACACCAGCGTCACCTTGGTGCGGTCCTCGGGGTTCTTGAAGATCTGGCGGGCCAGCTGGTACATCGGGGTGATACCAGTGCCGCCCGCAATCAGACAAATGTGATCGTGCTTGTTAGCCTCCCAGGGGTACTTGGGGAGCGGGCCCTTGAGCGACAAGCGGTCGTTCACGGCCAGGGAGTGGATATGCTCGGACATGGGGCCGCCGGGGTAGGCCTTGACAACCAGCTCCAGGTAGCCGGGGGCATCTGTGTATCAGGTCAGCGAGAGGCGTAGACATGGACGGGTCAATTGAACCATACCCTCATCACTGGTAGGGGTATAAGGGCGGAGAACGTTCTTCTCCTTGCCCTCGGGCTTGAAGCGGGCCAGCAGAGCAGCTGCATACAGGTGTTAGCAGGGCGGTCCAAATCAGTGTATCTCTACATTCAATTTTCCATTGAAGAATCACTGACAGGCAACTGGAAGACCAGAGACAGCCTCCTTGTCGTCGAACTCGAAGCGGAGCTTCTTGGTGTTGTGGCTCAGAGTCTCAACGCTGGCAAGCTTGAGGTCAACCCACTCCTCGCCGTTGAAGACCTTGGGGCGGTCCTTGAGGTCGATAGTAGCAGCGCCCGAGTTGTAACGGTAAAAGCCCGCACCGGCACCGGCCAGGCCAACGGCGACGTATACGGGGGTAAGGTTGGCCTTCTTCGGGGCAGCCTCAGCGGAGTACTTGCGGAAGCTCTGTTGATTACCAAATGATGGTTAGTGTCTTTTCCCTCCCACAATTTGAAGAACTCCAAGGAGGACATGCCTGCTTCAGGGGCTGCGCACAGCGGAAAGTCTGGCGAGCGAACATCGTGGCTATGAATTGAGACGAGGGTGTAATAAATGGAGTGGAAGAGGGGAGGTAAGTGGAGGAGAAAAGCAAACAGGGAAGAAATCGGATGCGAAAGCGGACAGGGCGCTCTCGGCAGCCGACGACCCCAGCGCATGACGCAATAACGGTTCCTGAACGCTAAGGATATACGGCTATTGCGTACCTGACTCCAGGGAATTTCCTAAGGTCTTCACACATGCAGACTGATTGACTGGTCCACTGAAATTGTCACTGTTCCTAGTTGGACAGCTACTTAAGCCAGGTGAGCTGCCTACGCTTAGGCAAGCTCCTCGCTCGGGCTCGGACTTGGAGGCGGCGAGGCCCCGAAAGACGGGCAATCCAGGCACCCGGATGGCTATTGCTAATCCCTATGCATATACCCAGAAAGGGGCTACAGCTAGATGGGATCGATTAACATCCATTGGGAATGTACGAAACAAGTCTAGCCAGATACATCCATATTATAGAATGCAAAAGGCGCCGTTATCCTACATGCGACGACTCTTTTTGAGTACTTTTAATGAGCCACATCCCCTCGTTGGTTTAGTTTCTGTACTCTCGTGGTTGGTTATATCAACTAGCCTCGAAACTTCTTGGAGCAGAGATAGGGACAATATACCACGCTATGTGTTTCGACTACCATATCCTCCGACACATATGCATGTCATATCGGGTTGAAACCTCCACGGAAATATCAACTTCACTAGTGAGTCAAAGGCAGCAGCGAATATACCGAAAAAAATCTGAGATGTCACATACATGATCTAATTCGGCCACCCAATGCTTTACGCATGAGAACGTGTCGAGCGGCTCTACAGGAAGTGTGTGGGGACGTGGAAGTTGGCTACGGTGGTCAGAAACATAGTGAACCCGATGATTTTTTGAAATTTAACCTCGGACGCCACTACACGGGACTAGCGACATCCAACCAGCTCCCAGAACGGGGTACAAACAGGCCGTTTCCGTGCAGCCAGTATCTTTCATGCATGCTATTGGCCATAACACAGTTATTTCATCCACACACTCCATCTCTCCAAACCCTGAAACATTACATTTAAGCAAAGGTGGAGGGACGAGAGTAGGCGAACAGCTTCTTGCCCGGGTTGGCGGAACGGTGGGGCAGGGGGAACTTGAGGTCCTTGGTGAGGAGCTGCTTGATGTAGGGACGGCGGATGGTGTTGGCATCGGTGATCTCGACAACCTTGAGGATCTGGAAGGGGGGAAACAATTGTTAGAGGAAATTTCCTTAACTATTCAAGGGCTGGCTGAAACGATGAACATACGTGGATGGAGCCGAAGCGGGCACGGTGACGGGCAGCCATGTCCTGGTACAGAGCATCGACGGCCTCGGTGCGGGACATCTCACGGAACTCCTTGTACATGTTGTGGGTACCGGAGCGCGAGTCGTAGCGGAGCCAGATGCCGAAGTTCTTGACCTTGAGAGGGCGCTTCTCGGTGATCTAGAAGAGATATGAATGAGCGGATGATATTCGGGCGTATTGGGGGAGATGGTTTCCCTCGACGTACCACGTTCAGGCTGACGATCTCGCCGTTGGCCTTCTTCAGCTTGCGAAGCTGAGCCATGAAGTACCAGAACCGCGACTTGGCGACAACGGTGTTGGGCGCAAAGATGCGCATGCGGTACAGCTTGGGCGTGGGGTTCGCCTCGGTGGGCAGGTGACGCCCGATAACCTGGTACTCAGTAAGACGCCCTGTGAGGAATCCATTAGTCATTGTTCAGGTCGTGTCAATGATTTCTCCAGAATATGTCTCCTCGATGGTGGTGAAACGGTGCGCGCGACTATGGTGGTATGCCGGGCACCCAGACGGCGAAGGGTGAACTTGTCGAATAGTCGAGTTTGAAATTTTCGAGAGTCGATCGAATATGTCGTTATTAGGACACCCAGCCAGCATCTCCTTCGACAAAAGCCCCAATTGATTCTGTTTACTCGTCCATGTCTCTTTTAACCGTGATGACCCTTGTTGCTCTTGAAAAAAAGTCGTCGCATCGTATGGAAATTCATCCCGACCGCATCGCACACACCGTAACCGTCTCGAGGAGATTGCTGGAAATCGATATAGAAATGGTACTCACCCATCTGGAAATAAGTATGTTAGTATAAGCCTAGCGACTGATGGGGGGAAAAGTGCACGTACTGTGATTGTCGCTGTCGTGGTTGAGTCGTTAGTGTGCCGTCGGGGGAGAGAAATCAAAGATTGTGTTGCAATGTGCTTAGGGCTACCGCCCTTCGGTTAAGCGAGTGGAGGTCAGCCAATTGTACTAACCTGATATGGAAACACTCACACCAGCCACACCATGGGGCTCGCCCCCATGATACCGCCTCCATGCGCCACATCACCCGACATATTCTGCCGCCTTATTATTTGCACCGCCACCTGTCTGACTCAGCTCATGTCTTTCCGAATCCCAATCTCAAATACAGTAGCTTTCGAAATCAGATTAACCTCAAAAGCTTGACATTTAATTCCCGAGAAATAACCCTGCCTTATGCTTATTCATCATTGCTCCATGTTTTGTAATTTCAACAGAATTCACTATAATGGTATTGAGAAGACAATCAAATGAGCTTATGGAATAATACCGTATTAGGGTGTACAAACTCCCTTACTGTATCGTCCAGGCCTGTGGCCCCGTACTCGCTCGCTCTCGTTCTCTCTCGTTTAGAGATGCTTCCGATTGGGCCCGCAAACTACATAAGAGAAATTCATCTTTGGACCAGCCGTCTGTCCATGAGACATGAGCTTTGGTCTGCCAATGAATAGCCACCGTGTTTATAATTCGAGTAGGACTAACAATTGAGAGTGCTATCCTTTGCCAAATTTGGATACTGCAAATAGTTCGGAGATTTGTCATTCTCTGACCAAACCTTGGAAAACCACGCTCTTTTACCTAAAGAAGTACATGTTGACGTCCATCAAAATAATGGAGACCTGATCAGGAAAATGGACTAACCATTAAGTGGGACTCAAGATTGGTGCACAACCTGTTCTACATGCAGGGTCATAGCTGGATTCGGAAAGCTGTGTTCGAATGATGTGAAGCAGGACTCTCCCAACTTTACATATAAACGACAAGTTTGCCATGTTTTGAGTTGGCGTGAGATACTTGAACGAGATTCTTTACTATTTGTCAAAAGGTCATTTTCTTCTGCCAGTATGAAGCTCACGTCCGTATCCCTCTACAGCGCAGTGCTAGGACTTGCTCATGCCAGCCCTGTCTATAAGCGCGCTGGCATCACTGATGGTATTACTCCATTGACCTTCAGTATTCGAATATTATTCTCACTCTTACTTCGCTAGCTGATATCCTTAACTATGCTTTGACTCTTGAGCATCTCGAGGCCGCATTCTACGAGGAAGGCCTGAAGAATTACACTCAAGCCGACTTTGTGAATGCTGGAATGAAGGATCCCTTCTACAGCAACCTGAAAATGGTCGGCATGGATGAGCAGTCTCACGAGCAGTTCCTGACCCAAGCTCTGACAGGTAAATACTCACTACACTCATACACATGCCTAGTGAAGCAGGATAGCATCGTAACTGATTTTCTGTACAGCGGCTGGAGCCAAACCTGTGGCGAGATGCGAGTATTCATTCCCTGCCACGGATGTGAACAGCTTCCTTGCTCTCGCAAGCGTTTTAGAAGGTATGAAATCCAGATATGTCACTTTAATACGAGGTTTTATCTAATGTGATCTCAGGTGTTGGGGTCAGCGCCTACCTCGGTGCCGCCGCGTCTATCATGAATGATACCTACCTTACCGCGGCTGGAAGCATTCTAACCGTTGAGGCACGCCACAGTGCGTATCTGCGTGCTGTGCTTGGAGAGGCTCCTGCGGCGCAAGCGTTTGATAATCCTCTTGACTTGAATGAAGTTTATACGGTCGCATCGCCCTTCATTGTCTCCTGTCCGTCTAGCAACCAACCTCTTCCTGTCAAGGCTTTTCCTTCTCTCACCATGATCTCATCCGCCCCGACAATGAACGGTGCAACAGTGCAGTTTATGACTGGCTCCAGCTTCGACACATCAAATACCACTGGTATATATGCGGCTTTCATCACCGTTACCGGCCCCGTCTGGACCCCTGTTACTTCCAACGGTGATGGGAAGTTCACTGTCACCATTCCCATGGGAATCGCGGGTCAGAGCTACGTAGTCCTTACCAAAGGCAACAGCCAGGCTACAGATGACAACATTGTTGCTGGGCCCGCTATCGTCGAGGTAAATTAGTATGCGTTGAATTCCCTCTTTGGCAACATATTTCTGACTTTGTCCGGTGTAGGTTGCTACCACTATGTCAAGCATGGGAGGTAGCGCAACTAGTGCTACATCTATGTCCGGAATGAGAATGCCAACAATGTCCTCGGCTTCGGGCTCGGGCTCCATGACTTCTCCTTCTATAACCATGACCGGGTCCGCTACTGCATCTCCCACCTTCAACGGAGCACCTGGAGTGGATTCAAACAGCCTTATTAGCGCCGTATGTAGTTTTATGGTCGCGATGGGACTTTTTATTTAGGATGTCCGTTTTGTTTCTCTTCTTCTTATAAAAAGAGTGGCACTAGGTACCTGCTAGGGTATTTTTGCTGCCTTGGGATGTGCAAATTAATAATACTCTGTATCATTTCCAACATGGCGTGGGTCTTCCTGCAGCATTGCAAATATCAATGAAATGCCTTGTTTAAATCGGGCCATTCCGTTACATGCGGGGCACCCCAGGCAGGCTTCAGAAAATATGACGTAACCAATGACCGTCGGAGCTCCGGCGCCTCGTTGGATCCACAACTAAAGCTGGAGAAGGAATTCGAGAATCTTTCCCCTGCATGAGGACCATGTGCTTCAATTCTTTCTTCTCCTGTTCAGCGAAATGCCCCGCAAAACTCACACCAAGTCCCGCTATGGCTGTGACCACTGTCGGAGGAGGCGGGTTAAATGTGATGAACAAGGCCCTCCCTGTACCAACTGCATTTTGCGGCAGTTGAGTGATTGCACATATTCTAGGGTGCTACCTCATAATATAATCACCAAGGCTCATTGTGGAAATTCTGGGCCCGTTGAAGCGCAGCTTGGAGATACACAGTCATGGAACGGGATCGCTCTAAACACACCCACAACCCCGCTCGGTCAGCCTACCGTTGACGAGCTGGAACTGATGCACCAGTTCTCCACGGAGACATACCAAAGCCTCTGTGTGAGCGAATCTGAGAAGCGTACCTGGCAGGTTCTCATTCCGCGCCTTGCCCTCAAACATCGGTTTCTTATGAACAGCATCCTGGCGTTGGCCTCATTACACATCGCCACCACGCGTGAGCCACCAGATGCACTAGCATATATAGACGCCGGACTCGAATATCATAGCTCGAGTCTAGAACCCTTTCGCAAATTGATAGATAGCATCACGCCAGACAACTGTGATGTCGCATTCGCACAGGCCGTTGTCATAACGGCTATCAGTCTCGCGCTCCCACAGCTAACCGCAGCCCGTGAGAATGCATTCCGTATGATAGACAATATCATTATGGTCTTTGAACTCCTTCAAGGTGTGAAAAGGATTTTGACCATTGGTCGACCATGGATAAATCTGAAGTTGTTTTCCCAGGGCATGTTTTGGAAAGACGGGTTAGGCGACTTGGACACAGACACCGACGCCGCACTGAACCAGCTCGTCATCTTAAACGAACAGGCAAACATCAATTCCGACTTATCTGATTTTCGAATCAACAAAGAGGTGATAGCCCATTTGCGGCATTGTTTTAAGAAATTCTCCTGCTCCCCAGACCCCGCGCCTGTTCTTGCTTGGCTTGGGGCGGTCGATAAAGAGTTTATCGATAATTTGCGCCGAAGGGAGCCGTTTTCGCTCTTGATTCTCGCCCACTGGGGAGTCCTTCTCAAGGAGCTCGATGGACAGCGGTGGTGGGCTCGATATTCCGGAAGAGTGCTGGTATCTGAATTGATGGAAGAATTGAACTCCGAAGACCTTTTATGGGAAACTTCTCTAAGATGGGTCAAATTCAAAATTTCTTCAAAAGAGGAAGAGCTGTCTGTTAAACACCTTACGGTGACTACTGAGTAATCGGGGGCAGCCTGATGCAGCCTTGCTCGGCCGGCAGATAAAAATACACGATGTCCCGGGGTCATAAGAAAATTAACCTAACTGCTGAAGCCGCCGAATAAATCTCATGCCTCCTGTTTATAGTTCAATTACAAGGATGGATATTAATCAAAGAATAATAAAGTTCAGCCTGAATGTAATGGAATTGCTCTATTGGCGGTACCGGCCTTCCCGAATACCTGCTTTCTCACTGGATTTCCTTCCTCTTTGTAGTCTTTCCATACGGATTCAACGACATATTTTACTTGGAAGGATTCAAAGTCAGATATGTTATGCAGATGAAAGTCTCACGCGTCAGAATGTTGCTCCCTAATACGCTGCCGTGTAGCTTTCCTGGGCCAAACTTTGGCGACGAGGGCACTTCGGATAACAGAAATACATCTATGGACTGGAGCTTATCCCAGAGGAGAGAATTATCTCACCCCCCTGGAGATCGAGTTTCTCAGACAGGTGGTGACAGAGGGTTTCTATGATTAGTGGTGTCATGGTACATGTCCGGTCAACACGAGTTTGGGGCGTGTAGGAGCCTTGCTAGAGGGAGCCTCGGAGCCATGCTGCATGGACAACTTTCAAGATACTTTAACTTGAGATGACGGGTTGAAGATAGGGTAGAGGAAGAAACTGGTCATCACAAGCGAACAGCGTTTTCGTTCAAAATACATTCGACGACGTCTCGCACCTAGACTGTAGATACAGGTGCTGTTGCAGGAAAGTGGGGGGATCACGTTGAACCATCGAAAAAAGAGCCGGTCATGTGACCCGTATCTTATCAAGTCACGTCGGCCGGGCTCATCTCGATCCATCGTCATAAACAGAACTACGCGATGGGGGACCTGGCCACAGAATTTAGGAAGGCTTACGCCAATGGGTCGGGCGACAGTCTCGGTGCCGTTTTTGCGCCAATCGCCACTCCTAATAACCCACATCGACTGCGTTCGTTCTATGAGTCCTCCAATGCCCAATTCCTGAATGAAGACCTCACCGCCGCCCTCTTCCACGGCAAAAGCCCCAAACTGCCCAAGGCCGAACAAAATTCATGGGTGGAAATATTCACTGCTTACTGGGAAGCGGTTGGAGAGATTCTCAAATACGAGAGCCGACATCCAGGCGCGAGCGTTCTTGCTATCTTGACCACATGGAAGAAGGTTGCCAATGCGCTCATTCGAGGATATTCCATTTCTAAATTCAATATCCCGGCCTGGACACTGCCATGCTTATACACCGTCGGAAAGTACCTCCGTACCTTCGCGATCAAGGCCGACCTGGAAGCAGCATCGAGGGGATCATCCAGTTTTGGGTTTCAGGATGATGTGGCGGCGGATGTCGGAAAGAATGAGAATCTGGAGGAGGCTGCGCGTATCATGAACCGAATGTTCACTCTCTGCTTAAGCGACCGGTGGGTACTTGGAACTCTTTAACTATTCCAAATTCTTACGTTACTGACTATCTATTTCTATCCTAGGGCACCCATCGAGGAGTCTCGGAAATGGGGGATTTATAATACCACAAACCTGCTCTTCAAAACCTACTTCAAGGTACTAATAATCAGTCTAGAAGTCTCTTTCTTTTCCTTCTCCGACTTCTAACCTCGATATAGATCAACTCTGTCGGTCTCACTAAGAACATCCTCCGTGCGATCAGCGCTCAGTCCGACGACCTTCCTCCACTCCGCGCATTTCCCAAATCCCATATTGTCACATTTGAATACTATGTCGGAATTATTCATTTTCTAGATGAAAACTATGTCGAGGTATGGATCTGGCTTTTGACTGATATCAGTCGCCCTCCTGACACTAATATTCTATGATACAGGCCGAAGAGCATCTGACTACTGCTTGGAAGATGTGCCACCGAAACGCACTGAGAAACCGAGAGTGAGTATTACCACACGTTCTTTGCATATTTCAACTTCCATTTTTCAACTCGTTTGACCGATTCTTGTCCAGGTTGATTCTCACGTATCTCATTCCCTGCCACCTGGTCACCACGCACACACTCCCTAGCAAACAACTTCTAACTCCCTTCCCACGACTCGAGAATCTGTTCCGGCCCCTTTCAAATTGCATTCGCAAGGGCGATCTTGTCGGCTTCGACAATGCCATGTCCGCCGGCGAGGCAGAATTTGTCAAGAGACGCATCTATCTTCCCCTCGAACGAGGACGTGATATTGCCCTACGCAACCTCTTCCGAAAAGTCTTCATTACCGGTGGGTTTGAAGAGACACAGTCTGGGAACCCTCCCATTCGACGAACCCGAGTCCCTGTGGCCGAGTTTGCGGCGGCGTTGCGAATCGGTACTCATGCGACTAATCGGACGCGGGTGGATATTGATGAGGTGGAATGCCTGCTGGCCAATCTGATATACAAGGTCAGTCTTTTTTGCAGGACTCATTTCCCCCAAATTCATCTACCCAAAGCATTCCTTAGCTTACGTGTGAATGTGGAACAGAGTCTCATGAAGGGTTATATCGCTCGGGAGCGCGGTATGGTTGTGTTGAGCAAAAACAACACTGCTTTCCCTGGAACGGGGGTTTGAAAGGAATTTACAAAATTAATCATTCTTATCTCTTGAACTTTTCTTCTTCTCCAAAAAAGGACCTCAGAACTGTTCTTCAATCATGGACTTGGAACCCACTCTCCTTCCACCCGCTTTACTACGATACCCCCACCTAAAATAGACTTTACGGAAAACTGATCAAAACACATTAAATTATTCATTACCCTACAAGCTATGTGTTAGCATTTATTATAACTTTGTTACCAGCGCATCAATAAGTTATAGGCTCTTTGGAATTCATAATTCGCCCGCTATGGATAAAGCACTAAATCTGGCATGACAGTAGTAATACATATATATAGTTGAGTTCCGTCCATATATAGTTACAAAGAAATATCACTCAAACATTAGCAGAACAAACTCGACTATCTTCCTTACCTACATTAATTCCTACACTATATTCGTACACGGGTATTAAAGAAAGGAAAGAAAGGAAAAAAAAAAAAAACACCCGAAAAAAGGGGAACTAAACAACCAATTTCCAAGCCAAAACAACCTTACCCATCGCAACGCCCTTCCCCAAACAAACCTCGAGTCCTAAGCCGGCGCTGCCGAATTGCAAACCGACATTGCCGACGGGAAAACATCATCCTACCAATCGAGAAAAAAATTAGTCAATTCCCCACGCCCCTCTCAAACCGAGCCCGAAACCCCACAAAGACATACGGAACTCCGGTGGAAGGGGGAAGCCGGGGACTCACCATATGATTACACATCGCCACGAACAGGTCAAAAAACAACCTCCCGCCGCGCTCCATCTCCATCTGCATCGTCCCGCTGCGCTTGAATGTGCCCCGGCACCGGATAATCATCGCCAGGTAGTGCGCCCGCAGTCTGGACTCGGAGTCAGGCGTATGCGCGTAGGCATAGCGCGCGCTGGCCAGAATCGTCGCGCACTGGATGCCAGTGTGGAGGCCCTGCTTGCGGAGCGCCAGGCGCTGGAGGGTCGGGAGGGCGTATTTGTGTGCGGCGCAACTGAGACGTGCGGGTAGTGAGCAAGACAGACGGAGTTGAAGTCGAGGGAGAGGGGAGGGCAGGGCAGGGCTTACTAGACGGCTGTGTCGCGCAGAACGACGTCGCCGACTGCGTGGTGCCAGATGGTGGCACCGGGGCTGAGGCGCTCCGCGTCGAGGGCGGCGTCTTCGAGCTCCCATGTGCGGCGTTGGGAGTTGTGGCGAAGGCGCGGGTAATAGTCTCCCTTGTAGAGGAACTCGAGGACGCACGAAAGGACTTCGGGTTGCTCATCGGGGAGGTCGATCTGCTTGGTGGGATGGGGGATGGGATGCGCGCGGGAGGGCGGGCTGATGGGCTGCGCGGCGCATTGGGCGGCGAAGAAAGGCGAAGTGGTGAGGATGGCTTCATGGGCGGCGAAGAGCCGTTGTCCGGGCCCGACACGGAGCATTACGATGGGAGAAGAGGGGGTGAGGCCCTACTTTTAAAGGATTAGCAAGATCTTGATTTCATAGAGACCGGGACTGTGGTTTCTGTTGGGGACGGTTGTTGGTTGCACAGGCAAGGATATTGATGGACGGAGGCATAGACATCGCTATACTCTTCTGGAACGAGACTCACGATACATCAGGCGGACACTCTAACCCCCCAGGTCTCTCTGGTCTACGACGGCGCTCCAATGCTGGTCGGCGCGAGCCCCCGGAGCTGGAACTATCGCGAGTCCGGCGAGACCGGACGGCTGACGCCTTGGTCGCCCGGTACCTGGAAAATGGGTCCGAAGGAGCATGGGCGGTCCGCTTGGAAAGCATTGTGGTATTTTCTAGTTATCTGGGATAATTCGAACAGAGCGCCAGAGCAGGTGGAAAAAGACGCGGCAGCAAGAACACAGAAATGAGCGGATTCAGGGGCTTGCAAATGCTATTTATATTCAGGGAAGTTTTCTGGCAAATTGACCCTCCATTTCTTTCAAAACCTAGCTGGTTTTGGTCAGAGTTGTACAGGACAGGACCAGGACAGGGTCTCGCAGTGGAATAACTAGCCAAGCCCACAGCGACCAGCTAATCTTACTGTAAAAGGCAAGCAGCCGGCCTGCAACGCGTCATGACAGGTTTGAAACGCGTATGGGCCACGGATCCAGTCGCCAAATGAGCGCGTGGTCACGGGACTGACCGGGACGCTAAAGATTGAGCGAAGACCGAAAAGGGGCCAAGGGGGGGCCCAAATTGAGAGGGGATTGGTGCCAAAGTGGAGATGCGGGAAATGAGGTGGATTCTTAGTGCGCTTAGATGCTGCAGACTTCGGGAGCTTGGCAAACAAAGAAAATCATCTTGCATTGACGTCTTGATGGAATAGGGGCGAGCAAATGGCTGGATGAAGAAGAAGAAAGAGAAGAAAGCAACATAAACACAAGAAGATAGTAGATGGATAGTCCAGGTCAAATGATTGCGCCGATAATCCCACCCCTGAACGCCGTGACCGAAATTCTCCTGTTCCTCGAAGCCCGAAAAATACCCGTTAAGATTCATGAAAACACCGATGGCAAAGGGAAGGATTGGTTGATCACAAGAAGACCTTCCGCGCGTCCCTAGGGTGGCTTTCGTTCGGGCAGTATGGGCATTTGAAGCGGCCACCCTTGCTGAGCCGCTTCAGCGACTCTTCGGCAATGACGTGTCCGCAGGGCATCATCATCGGAGGATTCTCATCGGTCGCCTGTTCTTTCGAGACGGGGCAGACAAAAATTGAATGAAAAAGATAAGAAGGCGGTAGGGAGATCTCAACCTGAAATCGGACAGTCAGTGACATATGCAATCATCGAAGAACGACTTCGAACACCCAACTTACCGGAAGCTCATTCGCGCTGGTCCATTCCGTTCGCTTCGCTTTCATTATGGTCTGTAGCTTCAGCAACGTCGGCAGCGCAATCGCACCGGCTGTCGCAGCAATGTACAGGGGCGAGTCGGCTGAGAGACCCAGGAGCGAGCAGAACTCACGAGTGAAGAACTGGGCCACGTCCGCCCAGGCCGACGGGCTGTTGAAGGTGGCTGAATACGGCGACTTCGACATGTTCTGCGCAAAGGCCATAGCACCACAGAGCTGCTGGATCTCTCTGTCATAGCGGGGGAGAAGTCTTGGAACTCCCGCCGGGCATAGGCGATGGCCGCGATGACATTACCCGGGCTGTGGAGTTGTGCCTCCGATTCCCCATGATACAGCCAGATATACTGCAGACGACACAGCTCAAATTCCAAATTACTCCCACGGGCTTCCAGCGCCTCGCGGTTCTCGCGCGACCACTCGATGGCCGGCTGCAAATTCTTCTTTTCTTTGAGCTCGTGGAGGATGTAATACATAGCGGCGAATTGCTTGCGAATCTCGGTGGAGGGGACCTCGTCCAAATCTAATAGGTTGGCGGCGTGCTCTGCGGGGATGGGATTCGACTCGCAGTGCTGGGCCATCGACTTCTTCTCCGCAATTTCAGACAGGAAGGTGGCGGCCACGGAGAACTGGCCCTCACGGAGGAGATGCATAGCGATCGCTCGGTTGATCAGATGTTCCTGTTCAGAGAGGGCGTCATGCTCGGTGCTGGGGAGGGGCCTGTCTTTGAAGAGCTACGATATATTAACATATGGAGGTTGTGTGGGAGAGAATGGGTGACATTGAGGACTGGATTTGATACCTTATCGAGCGACTTGGTGTACTTGCTGAGACCGCCATAGGTTTCTTTCAGGCTGTCGTTGATCGAATCAAACGATGCATTGACGGGATTTTGCAGTTTAGCCAGGGTCACTGCTGCTTGATTGGGGTCTATATATAAAAAGCGAGGTCCATGTTAGCCGACAGCGCTCGTTCGGTTGGAGGCGGGGCAAAGAACCCCCTCCGGTCATGCGACACGGTGGGAGCTGTCACTGACCAGCAGCGATAGTGTCTCGCGCCGCCTGTAAAAGATCAATGGTGGACTGAACGTTCTTCAGGCCCTGAGAGCTCTTCAGCCTCTTCAAGAGCCGATCGTGTTCCTTCTGGACCAGTTCCATGTTGTCCGACGACGGAGAGCGGAGTACACGATGCGGAGTCAATCAGGTTACCGCCCGATCAGTGCTCCGGGGGCCATGGAGGACGGTTCAACTCCGAACCGAAGGCTTGATGATTTGGTAATACTGAAGAGCCCTTAAGGCCAGCTCTTCGTCTATCTGAAGGATTCTCGGGTGCTGGGCGGGATACTTTGTCTGAACAAGAGGAACAAGAGGAACAGCCGTGGTCGGCACGTTGAGCTGTTCCGGATGATCGCCGTTCCTTACGCCATAGACACGTGACTCCTCACATTCGCCGGGACTCTGGAATACGTGAGACCTCCCGGCATAGAGATACATTCTCTGTAGAACATTTGTGAACATTCATGATAGCCATCTCTATCGGTTCTACTCGCTCGCCCCCCATGGCTGCTGGCTTGGTGGTCCGGGGTTGGTGACTTGGTGACCCTGTGAGAGCTCTCAACTGCCTTCGAGTGCCAAGTGCACTAGTCCTCTTTTGGTCATCAACAAGGCAGTCTGAGTCAGCACCCGAGTCATGGGTTTCACTGTGACCAATCAAAGTCCACCAGAGCAATGAGTCACTCCACTCTCGCTTACGCTAGCGCGGATCGGAGCGGGTATAAAGTCTGCCATCCGCTCACCTCCTTTCGACTTCTTTTTTCTTTTCTTTTCCATCCTAGTGCACGGGTTTTACACGCATCAGTGAGGAATTATCCGAGATCGTGTTTTTGCTAGTTGAAAACTACCAAATTGACTGCTCCAGATGGTCTTCGGATCGTCTGGGAATTTTTGAATAAACAAAGTTGCCCTAGACCCCTTGGCTGTGAGGCCCTCGGGTTTGGATATGTGCTCGCGATGCTCTGGAACCGTCATGGTACCGGCTGCCGAGTGCTGTCGTGGTCTTCTTTTCACTACTGCTTGCTACCCTGGTTGGTGGCCTGTAGAGAAGAGAGTAGGACCGCGCAAGTAGTCGTAGTTTTATGGACACTGGGCCACGGTGCAGCACTGGAGGCTCTTCTGGACCTTGTAGAATAGAATGAACCCCCTTTTCGATCTCCGTTCCAGGGACCTATGCCCTCCCGGTGATTTCGTCACCAGTCAAACCCTCCCTATCGCCAGAGTTTGAGACCAGCTGCCGCTTGTTCTATTCCCTTTCCCCCTTGCGTGGTCGAAGCTTTCAGCTTGCGTTGGTGCCTGACGCCGATCCAGCCTCACCGCCCACTTTCTGCAGTGACGTCGGCACTGTTGCATACTGAGGAAGAGCTTGAAACCCTTGATTCTGGACCACCGGGAGGTCTTTCGGGCTCCAAATCCCAATACTTTTTCTCTTTCTCAGATCGCTGGAACATGCATCAGCCCCTATTCACTGGATATGCCCCCGTGGTTTCTATCTGACCAGCACTACCGGAGGATCAAAAGAAGGTTGGTACCTCCCTGACGTTGGAGCCGAGGCGTGGCGCTTGCTGTGGCTCCGATGCTGTTTCCCCCTCCCTTGGGCTCCGATACTGCTGTTCTCTTCTGGACTGCCTGACTTGTTCACAGTCCTGCGTTGACCAGTAGCGCCCATGCAGGCCAGTGCTCCGCCTGCGTCTGTGGCGGACCGTCGCGACTCCGCGAAGGTCTCGGACGACATCAGGTCAAGCCCCGCCTCGATCACCAATGGGCCTGATCGTCCACCAACCCAAGGTCCGCAGGGCCGCCAGGGCCACCAGAAAATTGTCTTCACCGATCCTGTTGCACTGCGATATCTCGAAGAGGACCCCTCCACCGACGTCCTGCACCGTCGCACTACCCTCCAGGGCTACGAGATCTACATCGTCGAACAATGGGCCTGCTCGCGCATCCATCCGACCTTTGTTATTGCAACCTATACTGGTGACACCTCTCATACCGTAATCGTGGGCGTTCTCAGCGTGCCGACCGAGGAATCAACATGGTCCCCGCGCCTGCGGCTGTACTTTAATGCGGTCAAGCAATATGGCGCACGACGGAAGGAGACACCTGTGGGGATTGTCATGGTCACTGACTTGGGCTCATTCCCGTCGGCCCTCACGGTGATCCCGGTTCCTGAAGGCGACATCAAGAAACACCGAGAAGACTTCATCGTAAACGAAAATCTAAAACGGCTCGGCTGCGCGGGTCGTGCGGGTCTGAAGCTGCAGCCTCCCCTGCCAGCAACAGAGGCTAAGTTCCATCAACTATACCGGGCCAGTGAGCGCATCCCTCTCTACAACGCAGTTATCGAACTCGTCAAGCAGTGTCAAATCGCACTGATGGTGTTTGACAAACTGGCGCCCGAGTACGTGGATGGTTTGTTATGTGATGTAACAGAAGCATCTATCAGCGATTGGTGGACCGATATTGGGACCGAGCTATATAATATCGAACCCAGCGATGGTGCTCTGGGCCCCACGAGCGTGGCTGCCCTGTTGGGAACTCTCTTGGGAGCTCGGAATCGGCTCCACGCCTATGGTGCCCCTGTGGGAAAAGATGCGTTTGATATCGATAATTTGAAGAGAGGTATTGGTGGATTCCAAAAGTCTCAAAAGATGACGCGATCCAGAAGACTGGACCGACAAACGTTGGACAAGCTACACCGTGCCACGGCCAAGGCGGCGAACTCGGAAGGCTGGACCGATGCCGTCAAATCCACCATGGCGGAGCTCAGCGGCCAAGGTGGGGAGATGGTCATGGGAATGGTTCGTGGACGAGAGAAAGGCGGTATTGCAGACATTGAGACTCTTGATCTCGACAATTTCGTTCAGTGCTGCTATGGGTCAAGGGCAAAATACCTTTGGCTGGGAAAACCCCGCAAAAGCGGCCTCGATAATGGGTTCACCCGGGGACCCGGAACAGACATGATGTTCACGACAGACGATCAGGGCCGTTATGTCTGGACGAGTCGGAGGAAACACTCGACCGAGGATTTGCATACCGAGCGTGTATCGTCTAGCCTTGATCGGCCATGGAAGGAGCCCGAATCGATACCCGCGGAAGAAAGAGATCATCGAAAAAAAGGCGTTAGTGGCAGAGTATCAGACGCCAGGGCTGGCCTTGGACGGTTTAAGGATGCCGTTGGGTTGCCCGGGCTTCGCTCACACCATCACAAACAAATACCCCGAGAAGCCGCGGGCTTGACCCATGACGCTGCATATCAACCGCAACTTGACAGCGATACTGAGGTCTCGGCCTCCAAAACTAAACCGGGCTCGAGTCTACCATCAGAAACCAAACTGGGAGATGAATTTGGAACTCAACCAGAAGATGAGCAAAATGCCCAAGCACCCGGCACGATCGACACTGCCGCGGAGCTTAAGCCGCCTGAAATCCACATCGAGACTGCACCACCAGCAGCCAGACCAGAAGAGCAATCGGAACAGGCCGATAAAGTTTCAGACCTGCAGCGCATTCCAACCGTGGAGGAAGAGGAGTCAGATATCGAGCGTACAAGGACTCGATCTACTGCGGCATCAAGTGAGCGAGACAGAGACGAACCAGCGGCCGGTTTGGCTTTGATGGCCCTCCGCCGGGCTCAGAGCTGTGAAGAAATTCGCAACATAGAGAATGACAGTGCTCGGCGAGACAATTCTTGCCCGCGACATCTGTCTTTCAGCAATGTCGAAGAAGTGGTACTCACCTGGGACCTGCCGGGCGGCCAACCGACGGTCAAAGACACCAGCGATCTTGTGGAGGCCATTGAGCAAGAAGACATGCTCGCCTCTGATGCCCGTATCTTTACATCTCGCATCCTAGACTTGACCGAGAACACCGTGCCCTGGGTGGAGCGCCAGGTAGGCTCTGTCGACGGCCTCAACCAAATCATATATGATCGCCATGAAGAACTTAACGCCGTGTACCTGGAACGCTTCGGCGATTACCAGCGGCTGCGGGAACGATCTAGCGATCTTCTGAGCGATGAGCACGCGCATCTCACAGACAGCGTGAGGCGAGTCGAGCTGTTGGGTGCCAAACTGGATTACGAGTTGCACGTCCTCGAATCAAAGGTGGAGGACATGGAGGAAGGCGTGACGGATTTTGAGCGACACATAATCAATCTGGAATCCCGTGTCAAAGGTCTCCTGCAAGGCGAAGAAGAGCAAAGTGTGTCACGGGTGACGTGGCTACGTCGGTCGATGGGATTCCCGGCGCAATGATATCTCCAAATCCTATTCTCATGTCTGTACGATATCCCCATTTGCTTGTTGATATTTTTTGTTGTCATTTTTTATTGCCCTTGGCCTATTGTACATAAATAGAGAGGCGCTCTGCGCGCCATCCCAAGCTGTGATGATATAAACGTGGTTCCAGCATGACACCAAGACACAAGTGTCTACGATCGATTGCAGCGCGCATCACGGGGCAGGCAGTCAACATTATTCGCCTACACCCTCCGATGTCTGTAATTCAGAACTGTCGACTCTGTGTCCGATCCAAATCCTTCGTTTCCCCCTGCAGCGTCATTGTTCTTCGACACCTTACATGCTCAAACCCATGCCGCCACCTTGCTGGCCGGCACCTTGCTGCATCTTCTCGCTGACCTTGATGTTGACGTCGAAGAACTTGGAGACGCAGCGGTCAAGGCAGACAGACTCGCCCTTGTTGAGGTCACCCTCACGGTAATCGGTCGGGATGCACTTCTTGCTGCAGGACTCGGTCAAGCTGGTACGCGCCTTCGCATCAGTAAAGACATGGCCCTCGCAAACGAATGGGGAGGGCACCACAGGATATGTTGAATCAAGTGTAAATCCCTGAACTCTTCTGGACTCACCGAGTGAACATGTCGGAAATCATCTCGACCTCAGTCTCGGCAGCAGCGATCTTCTGCTCCGAGGACATCTTGGGCTGACCACCGAAGAGGAACGACATAATGAATTATGGTGATGGGGATATGGAGGAGTAATGAAGATAGATGCTGTACCGATGTATTAGTATTCCATTGCATCCAGCGTGGACGGGCAACTTACGAGATTGTGACGGTTGATGGATGGACTCAGGGTAAATGCGGACCGGAAGTCTCGAGGTCGAGAAGCTTGGACCACCCGCGCCTCCTTCCGCCTTCCGCCTTCCGCACGCGAGTTTTCCCACTGGAATTTTTCCTTCTCTTTCTTCTTCTTCTTCCTCTTCTTACTCGCGCAATGTGAGGGTTGACTGCTCTTCATGCATTCAATTCACCCTCGATGGGCATTGCAAGGCCTTAAGGGTCTGTCTAATAGGTAAGAATCATTTCTTGTTTCATTCACAATTTTTTATGTTCTTTTTGTCTTGTTTTACATGATGATTTCTCCCATCTGCTTCAGAACCGCTGCAGTTGATGCCCTCTCGAGGGTAGATGAACGCAACGGACAACCGAAACTGATCATTCTATTCCTTGATTTAATTGTCTCGTGCTCTCAATGAATTGGGGACTTTGCTGACCTTGATTCTCAGTGCAGGCCGATGCCTTGCTGCCCGTATCCAGTCCCCGTCTCCACTCGGGGTCTCCCGACAAACTTACCGGCTTTGGTTGATTCGAAATGGTAGTTCCAATGCGTCCCCAGAGAAGGCATTCCAGGAGCGTGTCGAAGAGATTCGCAATGCTTGCGCAGAACCCTACCCCCGCCTGGTGGCAGACCCCCGTCGTCTCAGTCCGGCCGAGTTCGGAATGCGCTACGCCCATCTGGCGGAAAATGAAACAGTAGAAGCAGACACGGTTGTGGTCTCTGGTAGGTTCCTCTGGCCTCTGTCCTTTCTCGGCCGTTGTACTTAGATTAGTTAGGTAGGATTCGTACGTATAGACTTGCCGGGAGCAAATTGATCTTCTTTGATATCGTTCAAGACGGCCATAAGGTCCAAGTGATGTGCAACAAACGCCGACTAGAGGGCGTCGAGCCCCAGAATTTTAAGAAATTTTATCGTCTCCTGCGGCGTGGAGATGCTTTCGCTGTCACCGGTCGACCGCACCGCACCGGCCGAGGCGAGCTCACCGTCGATGCAACAACGTTGCCCCAACTGCTGGCGCCATGTCTTCATGATGTCCCGGTCCACGATATTTCGCATGAAACATCACCGTATCCCCGCCATGTCCAGTTCCTGGCGGATCCCACCGCGGCGGATATCATCCGGGCCCGATCCTCCCTCGTTCAGTATCTGCGCCAATTCTTCCTGGACCGTTCTTTCATGGAAGTCAGTACTCCGATCATTGATTCCGTGGCTGGTGGCGCGATCGCCCGGCCGTTTTATACGTCCGCCACAGAGTTTCCAGATCGCAAGCTGTCATTGCGCATCGCTCCTGAGCTGTGGTTGAAGCGTTTGGTGGTGGGCGGGTTCGACAAGATCTTCGAAATTGGACCCTCGTTCCGCAATGAGGGTATGTTATGTCTGGATGTTCTAGGAGATACGTTGAGATCCTGAAAAACTGACCATCTATAGGCCTGGACAAGACCCATAACCCCGAATTCACCACCTGCGAGTTCTATCACGCCTACGCGAACCTGGAAGACTTGATGAGCATCACGGAGAAGCTGCTCTCGGGAATGGCCACTCATATCCAGACCCTCAATACGAAGGGCACGCTTCGGCCCACCACTGCCAATTTCACCGCGCCCTTCCGACGGATCGACTTCATCACGGGTATTGAGGCCCAGATCAACCATAAGTTGCCTGATCTCACCTCTCCCGACGCCTTGGACGAAGTGGTCCGCCTCTTCCACACCCTCTCTCTCCCTCTCCCGACCAATCCAACTCTACCCCGTCTTCTGGATGAGCTCTGCGGTACCTTCGTAGAACCCACTTGCATCGACCCGACCTTCATCATCAACCCGCCCGAATGTCTCTCTCCGCTTTCCAAATCCTTCATTCACCCCGAAAATCAGCAGCGTGTCGCCGCTCGCGGCGAGCTCTTTGTCGAAGGCAAAGAGCTCGTCAACACTTACGAGGAGGAAAACTCGCCCACAGAGCAGCGCCGCAAATTCGAGGACCAAGTGCGCTTCAGCAAGGCTGCCGACGAGCCTGGTGAGATCGACGAAAGCTATCTTGAGGCTTTGGAGTGGGGACTTCCGGCCACAGGCGGCTGGGGCTGTGGTATTGATCGTCTGGTGATGCTGTTCACGGGCGCGAAACGAATTGGCGATGTATTGGCGTTCGGCAATCTGCGAGCTGTCACGAAGAGAGCCGAAAGTGCCTCGAGTGAGTAGGATGGCCCCCGTCTTCTGGAGATCCCATCATGGTATCGGGATCCGATGAGATCATAGTGTATAATAGTTGTTTGCATATCACATACCCTCTCCGTTCAAATGCAATTGCATCCGCCAGTCTCGTTGAGCATTATATTCGCTCTACATTCTTCATCCGTCGTATTATTCGTCCATCAGATCCCATGCACAACGCTGAAGTATGTCCGTCGCTAGCCGTGGTTGTGTCGGCGCGGGCCGATGGTTCCTATCTGCATCGAACTTCGAAGCGGGGAAAACAATCTTGCCGCAACAATCATGAATATCTCCCAAGCTCCGGTGGCACAAGCGGTCACGGTCAGTCTGAAAGATCTGGAAAATGGTATGATTCGCTCTTAGAACTGCATAATCAATAAAGATACTCATTGCGACACACAGGCACCGTCTCCTTCGACACGCTGATCGAAGCTTTCGGTCCCTCCTCGCTGGGGATTATCGTGGTAAAAGACCTGCCTGAGAACTTTGTCCAGCTGCGCGCGCAGGTTCTCTCCAATGCATCATATCTGGCAGCTCTTCCCAAGTCAGAACTGGGTAGGTCAAAAAAAAGCGTCTCCTTTTCGAGGCCCTCCTCCCTCTCCTCCAGGAGCTCGTCTTGGTCCCAATTTACTGATCGCCCCGCTCCAGAACCTCTCGAAAGCCCCGAATCTAAGTACCTAGTCGGTTGGTCCTGTGGCAAGGAAACTTTGAAATCAGGAACCTTCGACACTCTGAAGGGCTCCTACTACGTCAACTGCGCCTTCTACCAGGACCCAGCCCTGCAGAGCGCTCCTGCGGATGGCTTCCCCAACCTGCCCCAGTACACGGCGCCCAATATCTGGCCGCCATCCACAAAGCTGCCGGCCTTTCGGTCCAGCGTGGAAAGCCTCTGCTCCTTGATCATCGACACCGCTGCCCTGGTGGCCAAGGCGTGTGATCAGTACGCTGAGGCCAACATCGAGGACTACAAGCCTGGCTACTTGGAGCACGTGGTGACAACCAGTCTGACCACGAAAGCCAGACTGCTGCACTATTTCCCAGCGAATGCGTCACTCATGAGTACCGAAGCCTCAGAGGCCAACGTCGACGACGACGACTGGTGCGCCACCCACGTCGACCACGGCTGCTTGACCGGCCTCACCTCAGCCATGTTCCTCGACGAAGCAGCCTCCCTCCCAATCCCGGACCCAGACCCAACCGCAACCCTTCCAGAACTGACACAGTCCCCTGACCCCTCGGCTGGCCTGTATATCCGCTCGCGCACAGGCTCCATCGTCAAGGTCAACATCCCAAAGGACTGCCTCGCCTTCCAGACTGGCGAGGCGCTGGAACTCATCACTCGCGGCAAGTTCCAGGCCGTGCCGCACTTCGTGAAAGGAGCCAAATGCCCTGGTGGGAAGTCGCGCATTGCGCGGAATACGTTGGCGGTGTTCACGCAGCCGAATCTGGCGGAAGAGGTTGAGCCTGGTTTGACTTTTGCCGAATTTGCGAGACGCGTGGTACAGAAGAATTACTAGCTGCAACTATAGAAAGTAGCAGATTTTCTCCAATGGCAATGTACAGAATCTGCTCAGTAGAACGCGGGCAAAATCACAAGAAGGTTGCCATTTTCTCATGGCATATAGTAGAGCTTGATATTGAATATAAGCAGTCTGTCAGCGTTTTTGTCCAAGATTATTTTCTATTGGTTCATGATATTTCTTGATATTTGTGAATACTCACTTTCTTGTGTTATTGAAAATTGACATTTCCCGCATGAAAGGCATAGTCTTGCGGTTCTGGAGAACGAATAACGTGGTTCATCCAGCACGACGGTATTTATCATTTAAGAAGGGTTATGTATAGGATGTAGAGAAAACTAGACCCATCCGCTGTGTAACAGCATGTCACTTCTTTAAGCATTGGATAAACGTGATGGGGCATTACTGCGTTCTACATAACATGGTGAAGTGGAGGGATGGAACAATTGCCATGGTAGCTATGCATAGGTCTAAGAAAGGATTGACTTGATTATGCTGTGTTCTTCGTTCCTTTCAAGATATGGCACACATAAAAGGGTCATTAGAAGTCATTAATAACAAAGAGCTAAAGTCTAGGCATCCCGGCCTTCAACAATGACTGGCGAGTATCAATTTTACATTAGCTTGGTATAAGAAATGCAAGCTTGGTCCGTACCGTCATCCATGGGCAAGCCAGAATCGATATCATAGCCATCACGTCTAAATATTGACTCACTCATCTTCATAGTCATCATCATTGGCGTCATAATTTTCACGGAACGGAATAGATGCCATAAGCTCTACATCCGCAAGGTCCGACTCGCTATCGTCCTCCGCCTGCGAGTCGTCCTTTTCATCGGTATTCACATCACCCAGGCCAGAGCTAACTAGCTTGCTCATCTTGCTGACCTCGCGGAACGGCTTCTTCTGCGTGCGGCCAGCGCTTTTTTCACCGGGGAACTGCGCAAGTCTCACATCGATGGGGTCAGTGCTACCGGCTAAGATCCGTAAAATCGCCTGCCACCGTTCGGGTTCTTTGCGTTGGTCCGCGGCTGGCCCGACCTCTACGCCGTTGATAGTGGCCAGACCAAGAGTTTGAACGCGGTAGTCACCCCAGAACCAGTTCAGCCCCTCGGCGATACGGTTGTCGGCCATAATCGAATACCGGCGGCCGCTCAGAATGTCGTGCAGGTCGTAGTCAAGACAATCGCTGCCAAAGTGAAGATTTGTGGCCTCAGGCTCGTAGCAACGGCCGAGGATCATGCCTGGGGTGACGATGCAGGTCTTACCGCCAGCGATGCGATACCAATTGCCTTCGTACCCGGTCATGCCGACGTACTGGAATGCATTGATGACTTCATTAAAGTGCATTTTTTGCAAAGGATCTTTGGCGAAAGGCATGTAGTGATCAAGGCGGTTCGGGTCGCGAGTATACACTTTGCCAGCGATATAAGGCACACACGATCTGGCAAGTTGCTCATCTTTGGGATCGGCAGAACAGTCCTCAAGCTGCAGCCAGATGCGCTCGACGAACATCACGTCTGAAACGAGGTCGTTCTTGAACTGCTTGGTTTCGCCTACTTCTTCCAGGTCCTCCGCGGTGATTCCCCAGGGCTTCAGACGGACAGTGTCCTTGACAGCGATGAGCTCGTGGCCAATGTATATTCCCTTGCAGAAAATACGGGCATTTGGCCATTCACCCTTGAATCGGACATAGTGCAACAAGCTGTAAGAGGCCATGGTGGTCAGGGCATGTTCAATTGAAGGATGGAACTTTTCCCGGGGAACGCTCTGAAGAAATCGCTCAAAGGCATGGAAAGGCTTGATGCACTTCAGCGGCAGGTAAGTATATTGAAGGGAATAAGATTTATCATCCTCATTCGGATGAGGAAGTGTTTCGACCCGGAACCCGGAGTATGTCACGGGCCTCTGTTTCTTGGTGAGTTGAACGATATCAAGGAAGCTGATCGGTTCTTCGGGAACCTGAGTCACAACACCGGCGCGCCATTCAGGAGTGCCGTGCCATTTGCCATCTCCGCCTTTGATTTGCATGGTCATGGTTTCTGAATTCCATTCTAGAGTGCCGTCCAAGGACCAGGTCCAAAGGACTACCTCGCCACGACGGGGAATGAACCCGGGCTGAAGCGTGTAGCGGATGAAAGCGTTCTCAAGCAGCTCGTGGTTGAATACCCAATCTCTGTTGAAAGGATGGTTGATTTCAATATCCAGCCTGCCATGCTTCTTAAGGTCCATGATGTGGCCTTTCCAGTAGTCAGGGCCTTCCTCCGTGCAAGGCCACTGGGGGTCCCACCACTGTTGCGAGTACTTCTTCCTGTCAGCCTCCATCTCGGCTTTGGTGCGTCCTGGGTCTATGTTAGGGTGTGTGGTATTGGGAGGTCATGTGAGGAAGACTTACGCTTTCGGATCTTAGATCCTTGAGATTGTCTGGCACAGGGAACGCACTCGCAAGGTTTTACACGTTCGGTCATCAACCAGTGAAAGTGCTTGAAGAAAGTGACTCGGGACTGGAAGTATTTGCCGCTGGGGTGACCAAAAAGGAACGCGTCACGCTTTCGCCGAGTCAGCAAGCTGAACTAGCACTATGGTACTTGAACTTACCATTGCGCTGTTGGTCCCCCGGGGTCGATCCATGAGAGCATAACCCTCAGGCAATTTTTCCAGGATGTAATTAATACCTTTTCAGATTGATATTAGCCCATGGATGGAAGAACAAGAAAGCAAAAGAAATCCGTAGAAATTAACAGATAATATCAGTCCATATTTGGGATAGAACAGGTACAATGACATCGTCAATTGGAAAAGCGTGAGAAACAAAGCCATGCCATCAATCCCATCCATCTGGGGCTTACGAAGCCGGGGTTCATGGATTGGTTGGCCAAAGACTTGAACCAATATCAACCAAGGCGGATGAACTAGGCCATAGCAACAGCAATAGGCCAGATAGGCATCGAGTATAGGTGAATAAAACAAAATATACGTACCTTCTTCCTTAGCATTTTCATGCTCAACCCACATCGCAGCTAGGCCCATCCTCCATCTGCTATCATCCTTCATGCGATAATGGAATTGCGCCGAAGGACTGTTCAGAGGCCAGGTGGCCTTGTCGCCATCGCTTTTTTCATCAGGTACCGGGATGACAACCGTGTTAGGGTCATCGGTCACCTCGCTGTCGGACGGCATGGTGGGATAGCTTGATGCCGGCCAAGCGGACGCGTTGATTGGGGCCTGGGCGGCCCCCGGTGATGGCTGACGCAACCAGTGTTGGCAAAATGATGGCCAGGGAATATAGAAAGAAATTATTCTTCTTCTTAATTGGAAAGGGTTGCTTGGTTTTTGTTTAATTTTTTTCGGAGTGGAAGTAGAAGAGGGCTGGCTTCTCCAGTTTGATGCTGAACAGCCAAACAATGAGACAGCGTGGGCATTTAGAGTAAGCGGTGTGACCTTGGGAGGCGGTTTGTAGATGGCGGTCGGTGGATAGTTTGGCAGAATTACCACGCTATGCCGGATTTAGAAACACGACGTTTACTTGCGAGGAAGTATTCTCGTTACTACATACGTTTACGATTGCGTTCCCTTTTTCTTCGAGCTGTTCGGATCTGAAAGTAGTTTGTTATGTGGGTATGAAGTGGAAATAAAATCTAGTGAAAATTCGGTTTGATACTTCTGATATACATGAGATCAAATCAAAATCATACCCTCGTCATGGTTCTCCGATCAGTTTCAATTGGCAGTCATTTCAGCGGGAGTTTTAACCACAACCTCAGAAGCAGAAGTAGAAGTAGCCATGTCCTTCCCCTTTTCTTGTTCTTCCTCTTGATACGGTGGGGGATCAATTTCTCCCTCATGAGTCCAGACCTTTCGTAATTCGGCCTCGATTTCTTCCCGACGCTGCTTCCACTCTTCGACCTTGTCAAGTCGCTTGCGCAGCTCTTGTAGCTCTTTCTCAACACCAAGTTTCTCCTTCTCAGTGCCAATTCTCTCAAACTCCCACTGCTCACCAGCTTCACCAAGACCAAGGGTCATGTTATAGGTATGGTACTTCTTCAGAGAGGCCCGGGTGGAAATCGTAATGAGTGTGATACCACGTTCCTTGGCTTGCTCGTATAGAAGGCCCTCTACATCTGAGGAGACCGCCGAAGTACCTTCGTCAATAAAGGCGTAGCGAGGCTCATGGTAGAAAAGCCGCGCCATTGCGACACGCTGCTTCTCTCCGCCACTCAAGACGTCCTTCCACTCCTTGCGAGTATCCCATCCGCCCTCCCGCTGGGGAAGATAGCCCAGATGGGCAGCGTCGAGGATCTTTTGTAGATTTGCATCTGTTTCCCCAGCATCCCGCATATCGATTTCGGTATGGGGATAGATCACCTGGTCACGGAGAGTACCAACGCTGAGGTATGGTCGCTGCGGGAGAAACATGATGCCATCCAGACCAAATCCACGAGGACGGCTGACGAGACCACGATAGACAGGCCACAGGCCAGCGACAATACGGGAGATTGCAGACTTGCCGACACCATTGGGCCCTGAGATGAGCAGATGGTCGCCGGAGTGCACAATGAAAGATAGTGACTCAACCAATTCATCCCCACCCATTGGGTACAGCGACGGCGCAACGATAGGAACCTGCTCCAAGCGCACACCATCAAAGCCTTTGTGATAGGTGCCCTGGGCGTCGGCTAGAGAGTACAGCTCAGGATGCGAGCCCCGTGATGGGTAGTACGCATCAGCGTGGACACGATGAAGGGTTGAGATGAGGGAGTAGACTCGTGAAGTGTAGCCCGCCAACTCCGAGATGTCTTTGATGCTGTACATCATGCGGCCACCAGCATCGGCCAAGGACAGCATCAGACGCTTGTTGGTGATAAACTCCTTCATACGGCCCCGTTCGCGCGTTGTGCCCTCCGGTGTATCAGCCAGCTCCATCGCACCGCCCAAGCCGCCCCAGGCGGGAAGGAAGACGGGCAAAGAGGTCACCAGGTAGCCGAAGGCCGACCACGAATACTTCAGAATCATATCCTCGAGCATGTTGTAGCGGATCTTGAGGCTGTAAATACCCTCCATCCATCGCTGCAAGTCCTTGAAGCTTCGGACGAGAAAGATGCGTTCGATATCAGCTCCCCCATAGAAGGATATTTCTTCCGCATTCGCAAGCAGCCTAGAATGCAGGCCTCGGAAGTCGCCCTCTTTCTTGCCCTCAACTGCCTTGAGTTTTCCAAATGGCGGGGATAGCTTTCGGAGCACCACCGCTGTGCTGAAATAACCGGCAAGAATTCCGCTCAAGGCGATAGGACCAAGCGAGCGATAAAGTTGGTAGTTAAAGACAAATAGATCCACCATCGGCTTACCCATCGAGGAGTACAAAGCAGCTGCGGCGGAACAGAAAAGGGTGAGATCCTGAGTGATGAACTGATCAGGACCCTGGCCAATTCCCCCATCCAAATTCATCAACTTGTAATAATTATTCTGATCAGTCAAGTAGAGATCATGGATATACCGCGTCAAGCGGGTCCGGAAGGCGATTGAGACCTTGGACTGGAGGAACTTGATCATGGCATTGGTATAGGATGCTAGGGTTCCGATACCACACCATTTGACGATGCCCCACAGGAACGCCTTGCCTTTGCCAGCGACCAGGTCTCTGACGATCTCCCCATCCAGCCGGGCAATGAGCAAGGAGAGGTACGTTCGCAACAGTAGGAACACGCCGTGGCTCATCAGGAGACCCGTCTCCTTGCTCCCCCAGCGCGGAACCATGATACTGCCGAGGCTCAGAAATTGATGGAGAAAGGCTAGGTTCAAGCCCGGCTTGGTTGTCGGCGGGGGAATTTGGCTCGCCGAGCCATCCTCTCTGCTGCGAGCCGAGACTGGCGGGTTTAGAAACAGTCGGCGATGGGCATCAAACGTGGTCGGCTTGGTCGGATGGATCAAGACTTTGGAGGTCAATGAGCCCTTGTAGGGCACATAGATAGTACGAGATCCATCCTTACCCCGGATGCCGGAATTTCGCCGCAGTAGACGGCGACCCTGGGCGCGCTCCCTGGCGCGCTCCCGGAACCACTTGTATCCTCCATAACCCGAGCCGATAATCGATAAGAGGAGGGCGACCGTGGCGACGAGACGTGTCGTACGTGTTGTGCGCGTGAGTCGAGACCGAATCAAATTTGTATATCGTCGATAGAGCACAAGGAGGGGATCCTCCGGGTGACGGAGAGTCGACTGGGCGGCCATTTGTTAGACCCAGTTTCTCCGATCTCCGCCTTCAGTATGATGCCCCAGTGGAGAGGATCAATGTGGATGGCAGGCCATGGGGCGGAGCTGGAGCAAAGAGACCAGCTCCGAATACAGGAATGTTGAGATATAGCGGACGTGGAAGAAGAAGCGGAGAAGGAAGACGAACAGCGAAGGGCTGGCACGCCTCAGAGAGGGAGCCCAGGGCGTGTTGCATCATTGCATGTGAACCTCGGGACTGCGGAGAAGGGCACGTGCCCGGGGTAAGCTCTCCTGCGGTTTCGCGCTGTTGCTGGCCCTTCGAGTTCCCATCATGCCCATCTTGATGTCCTCCATCTTCCATTTTCCGCACTACATACTGTCCGAAGCTCTATGTTTCCTGTTTTGTGTATCCCAGACGCCGGCCTTTGGGGTTAGTTGGTGGTTTCCTTTACTGCGACGAGGGCACCGGTTGGGGTACTGGATGGACTCGGCCCGGTGGGGACGATGAGAGGGGGGGGGGGGGGGGGGGGGGGGAATAACGCATAACTAATTTGATATAGCTGGCAATGGGTCTAAGAGCTAGGATAACAACGCATTGAAGGTTCTTTCTGGCGATCGTGGGTTTATCTGGCCTTCATGAGCATCCCGATACTCAATTTGAACTCCATATGAGAGTACTTACCAGCGACGTACATATAGATATTCTCCTCCACACAGTAAGAGTAGTGTGATATACATGCTATGGCTTTGGGGGTAGAACTGATAAAATAGATGGAAGTGCTAGAAATGCTATGAAAACGAGATTATTGAGAGTATAGATATCTACGAAATCCCTCGGACGGCAGTGAGAGGGAGGTCTACGGATCAAGGCAGTCGGTGGGTCGCTGATTGGAGCAGTTGAACAACAATTTGCTGTTGGCCTTTCCCCTTCATTTTTTCGTTGATTTTTGGCCTCCTCCGTTCGATTCCCAGCTTGTCATGGTAATGCTTCGTCTTAGAAGGCTCTTTGGCTTCATGTGGAAGAATCCATCGGCTTGTGTTGCCTGGCCCGTTTCTATAGAATATAGAAAAATATCGTGAGATTGAGTGGTATGAAGATGACTTGATAAGCCCCCTTTTCAAGAATCACCGGGCACTATACCTTCCCCTCCCCCGCCCAATAAAGAAAAAAAGAAAAAAGATAAATCTGGCGAACATTGTAACCATGCATAATCACGCCTAGCCTATGGCCTCCGTACTCCGTACCCTGTCGGTACGGCGTACGTTGCATATGCACCCCCGACGATGCGAAGTAGCGCCAGCATGCAGTGTGGTTTTCTCGGGTGCGGATTGGTCCAGAGGATCCCCGTCCCCTCCCACCTGGGCGCAGGGCCTGTTATTTCCGCCAATGGTGGCGTTCACGGCATCCACTTGCGGACAGGGCCATAGCTCCCGGCTTCTCAGCAGGCGAGGATGAGAGAAGAGCGTGAGAGGACAGAAAAAAAAGGGGGGCACACAGCAGCACGTCCACTCAATCTGGACTCCAGTGTGGGGGCCGCCCTGTTGGTCGATCATCCCGAAGGATAACACAAATAATACCAGCTCTGGCGGGTTTATCTTTTCGTCTTCGGCAGTCCGAGGTTGGGCCAGGCCCTGCGCTAGTTATTCGGAGTCAGCCCTGATCTGCTTGAGGGAACTCTGGAGGAAGTACTCCGTGCAGACGTGCAGACGACCGGGTAAACCCATGTCAGCCGGAGAACCCTCAGGGGAGGAAGGAGGAGTGACAGACCCGGGAGTGCAGTAGGATATAAGGAAGGACACTGGGCCTCTCTTGCCAGTTCTGCAGCGCCGATGGGCTCTTGCAGTGCTGGAGCTGAGAGCGTGTAGCCGCCGAGGGCGTTCGATGAAACTAGGGCACTCGGGCACTATGACTATGCAACTATGCAACTATGCAACTCTGGAACTCTGGAACTCTGGGTCTCTGGAACTGTAGAACCGTAGAACTGCGGAACTACACAGGAGGGCAACAGCCAGCCCAAGCGTCGAGCCAGTGGAAGCAGTCAATCAGTGGACAGAACGACCACGATCTTGCGATTCTTCATTTCCCCATTCCGCTAGCTGATCGGGACCTGGTGAGCTCGTGGGCCCCCGACCAAATGGGAGCCCAAAGAGTCGAGTCATCCGGACCGAGCACCTCCAATCTGACCCAAGTCCACCTCCCTCCCCCCCCCCCCCCCCCCCAAGCCCAGCCTGCCATCCTCCGATTCGCCCCCATTCGCGCCATTCGCTCCATGAAATCCCCTGCATCCTGTTCCCTCTCGTTCTCCCCTCAAGTCCAAGTGGTGCTAGCGCTCCGGGCTTCACTAGTGCCCTCGTTCCGCCTGTTGACGGAGCCACGACGCTGTGCCAAACTCCTACTAAACCGCAAAACCGCTAATCCGCTAAACCATCTCCAAACCACCTCGCCCTGCACGTGACATCCCCGACTCCTCTCTCGCCTCAGCCATAACAATCTCCCCTCCAGCATCATCCACGTCGCATTCACCCTCGCTGCTTGGGCTGGATTCGTCAGCCTTGGCGTGCTAACTGTGTTGGTTCACTCCGGGGGCCAAAAAGGCGGTACGTAAAAAACACTCCCGCCTCCCCATCGGCCAGGGCGCTTGCGGTATCCAGGAGGCGTTGTTGACCTCTGGACTAGCCGCGCTCACTTCCTATTGAGCTGCTGCGCTTGCACCATTTCGCCCCTGGCCTCCGCACTCAATCTGCAGACCATCTTGCTGATGCTTCTCTCGCTCTCCAGCTAAACTTCTCCCTCCTCCCCCCTTCCTTTATACGTGGTGCGAATCGGGGGCGAGATCCCTCCTCACCTTAAGGTTTCCCCAAGTTCGCGGGCAAATCACCCATGAATTCCTCCGGGAACCCGGGTCCTAGTGGTATGTCCCCCTCCCCCCTCCTCCCATCCGGCGCAGTTGGCTCTAGACTCTAGAGTGCGCATTGCTTGGAGCCTGCCTCGGTCGCTGATACTCCTCGCCTGCCCAGATCCGGAATCGCCTCCCGCGCAGTCGGCCGCTGGTGCGGCTGAGATCCAAGAGTCCAGTGCGGGCGCGTCCTCTCACCTAGCCTCCGCGCCGGACGTTCCCCCTCCTGAGGGCTCTGAGCTCGCTGAAAGTGCCGACGCGACGAAGAAGCACCATCTGTTACTCCCAATCCCATCGCGACGGTCCTCTAAGGCGGATAAACAATCAACGGAGAAAACCGAGGAGCCCACCCGGGACGAACCAGGTCGCAGAGGCTCCAAAGTCAGTCTCCTGAAGGTGAGACGGGATCGCAGCCGGGCCAGTAGCCGGCGCTCGCGACGGACGGAGGACGTGGCAAATGTGGAAAAGAGCCAGGAAACGACCACCCCAACTACGCCGGAGATGCAAGGCCCTGCGAAGTCTCAGCAGAAGAAGGGGTCCAAGCTGTTGTCATTCCTGAGCTGCTGCTCCGCATCGAACGATCTGGATGAAGATGATACGACTCTTGCTCCGAAGCAGACTGCGAGGCGGCCCCCAGTTTCGAATCGCCTTCCGTCCCCCGAAAAAGCGGAAGCGCATACCGGCGATTCGAGTACGGCTGAATCGCGGGACCCAGCCTATTTTGGAGATGAGAAAGCCATTACCGTGAGCGCAGATCAATCGCAACCCCAAGAGGAGGAGCGTAGCTCTCATGTGCCCACCGATATGCCAGACGAGGGGGTTGCCACAGGTGTTGGCCTGCCTGCCGCTCTGGAAAGCTCACATGATCACGATGATACTGCTGTGTCTTCGAATGGAGTCATACCGGAGTCAAAGGCCGATAGCCAGCACCCGGTTGAACAGGCAATGAATGAGGTGTCCACGCCCGCGGAGGTGATACCCAAGCAGCCCGTGAATGGAGAAACGGAAGGCTCGGCGCATGAAGAGGAAGTCAAACAGCAAACTATAGGGATCCCACCTCCACCGCCACCGCCCATTCCCCCAGTTCCCGAGCCTCCTCTGGCACAGGAACCTGGTGAACATCAGCAGTGGCTGCTTCCTCCGCCTCTGCCTCACTTGCAGAATCGTAAATGCTTGGTCTTGGATCTTGATGAAACATTGGTGCATAGTAGCTTTAAGGTGCGCCGCTTTCTTTTTGTTGGGAGAAGGATGGGTCGGATTGATTGACTGACGGATGCGTTTCAGGTTCTCGAGCGTGCCGATTTCACTATTCCAGTGGAGATTGAAGGACAGTATCACAACATTTACGTGATCAAACGGCCTGGTGTCGATCAATTCATGAAGCGGGTTGGTGAACTATATGAAGTGGTGGTGTTCACGGCGTCTGTCTCCAAGGTAAGTTTGCCACGCAATTGTGTTGCTTTACCCCCAGGCTACGTCGATCAATTGACAACTAATCAATCCTATAGTATGGTGATCCACTGTTGGATCAGCTGGACATTCATAATGTGGTTCATCACCGGTTATTCCGTGAGAGTTGCTACAACCATCAAGGAAACTACGTCAAGGTGAGTCTTTCTTCTCTGTATTTCTGGATGTTTCATCCTCTCCAGTGACGGGAGACGGCAGATGGAAGCCCGAGCTATAAGACTTTTCTAACCTCCATTTGTCATTTACAGGATCTTTCCCAAGTTGGTCGTGACCTCCGCGAAACCATCATCATTGATAACTCTCCCACTTCCTACATCTTCCATCCTCAACATGCAATTCCCATCAGCAGCTGGTTCTCTGACGCCCACGACAATGAACTACTTGATCTCATTCCTGTTCTCGAAGATCTTGCCGGGGCGCAGGTTCAAGATGTCAGCATGGTCCTGGATATTACCCTGTGAAACGACTCATCCGGACCTTCCTCTCTTACGCCCTAAACTAAGATTCCCCCCATTGAGCGCATACGTTTCTTTTGTCTTTTTGGTGCGAGAAAAAGCCTTTTTTTCCCTCTTCCAGTCCAGTCAGTTCCTCGCCATGATCCATAGGTATTTAGCCCCGCCTTTGTGATGTTCCTGCTACTTCGCCTTGCCTCTCTTACCTTCTTGCTTTCTCCGGCGACCGATGAATCCGCATGGGACTGAGTTCCATGATGGTCCTGGCCTATTTATTGCATTTCTGCCACCGTTTCCAAGGCTTGTCTTGCGATTACTCTGGCATCGTCTCTTATATCTATTCTTCTTTGTGTTTTTCCAGATCCGACATTTTGATCTTTTTTTGACTTACAACTGCCCCTGCTCCCAGCGAGTCCCCTTAACCTCTCCCATTGTTCCTCTCCCTTGCCCGCATCCCTCGCCCATCACGTCCCCTTCACCGGTCTTTCCTAGTCTGCCTCTGTTCGTCCGTCCCGCATTTCTCCGATGCATTCTGCCGGCGTCCGTTGGTTATCATGTTTTCCCTCCCCCTCTGTATCCCATCCCTGTCTTCCCCTTGTTCTTTGCCCCTCCTTCATCCGCCTTGCTCTATCTCGTCCAGCTGGACCTCAGCGATGCAATACAGGAAACCATGCATTTTAAGCGCAAGCTCTTGTTCGTGCTCGGCCTCCCAGGTCTTGTCATCTAATACTCTCCTTTGACATGGCCCGCTGCGAGGATCTCCTTTTTTGTTGCTTTGTATCGCTGGATTGATTCCTTCACGCAATGTACATGACCCCCCCGATCGGCTGCGGCACTCTATGCTGTATATAGTCCTCGTGAAGACGTCTTATCAGGAATACACTCTAGCTTGGCATGTTGTGTGGTTGTGGTCTTCTTGTAGTTGTAATAGAGTCAGGTGTAATAGAGTCAGGGTTCGGCTTTCCACGGTTGGGCCCGCGGAACGGACGCATTGAGCGACTCCCTCTCAACGTGTACAGGGATAAGCGCTCTCATTAATTTCCGGCTTCAATCAAATTCTAATCCTCCCTTTTCTTTCATCAAATGATCCCGATCCATCCCTCATCTTAACAGTGATCGCCACTGGCCAGACCCTGCCAGGTACAGGAACCTCGGCGGCGCCCCAAAGCTCCCCGCAATCGCATTGCACCATCCCACCGCCCGCCACCTTCCAACCTCCCCTCTCTCTCTCGTTACAGCACGCCCGCCATGAAGAACAAGGAAGGTTGGGACGGGAAATTACGGGTCGAACCCAAGGCGGTCATCACTAATCCAGAGGCCCTGGAGGACTCGGACTATTCTGACCCAGAGGCCCCGCCGGTTGAGGAGATTGACGCTGACGAAGGTGAGTTTGCGGGACGTCGCGCTCACGCGGGGAATTTTTTTGCCCCCGGAGACAGACAGGATGCTGATGGTTGGACAGACTTGTTAGCCGATGAGGATGTCAATGCAGAGGTTGGTTCATATACTTCATATACTTGCTGGTGCTCTAGTCTCAATCGTGCACGGTCGCTAATCGGGTTTCTCTCGCCCATAGGATATTGATCTGGTCCATCTCCGCATATCGTCGATCGCAGCGCTACGGTTGGAACGATTCACCAAGCTTCAGGTATTTGCGCCATCTTTCCCGAGTTCCTGTCCTATGGGCTAGAAAAAATTGCCGAGTGTTCCTGTTGGGCTTTCTGGTAACCAGGAAAGCCCTACTGAAATATCCAATATCGCGCTTTGTTTGCGGCTCGTCCTCGGGAACAGTGGACTGACAAGGGGAATACACAGAGATTATGTCTGCGCCAAAACCAAATAACCCGCATCAATTTCCCTCTCAATGTGGCTGAGACGCTACAAGAGCTCGATCTCTACGATAACCTCATTTCCCATGTCAAAGGGTTAGGCGAATTCCGCGATCTGACCAGTCTGGACCTCAGCTTCAACAAAATCAAGCATATCAAGAATGTCGATCACCTCGTCAAGTTGACGGATCTCTTTTTTGTGCAGAACAAAATCTCCCGGATCGAAGGACTGGAAGGGTTGTCCAAATTGCGAAATTTAGAGCTGGGAGCGAATCGGATCCGAGTATGTGGTTTGCGATGCTGCGGTTCCCGCAGCTCTTGCTAGCTAGACAGAACGTGACCCCCCGAGCAAAGACTGATATGAATGTCGTATAGGAAATCGAGAACTTAGAAACTCTGACATCGCTAGAAGAGATCTGGCTTGGCAAGAATAAGATCACAGAAATGAAGGTCCGTTTTCCTTACCTGCAATCTTTCCCCCCTCCCCCAACGCCATACACCTAGTGCTCACTACAAATCCCAGAACTTGGACGCCCTCTCCAACCTTCGCATTATCTCCATCCAATCCAATCGCTTAACGAATATAACCGGCCTTTCGTCTCTCCCAAACCTAGAAGAGCTATACCTCTCCCACAACGCTGTCACTGATCTCTCTGGCCTGGAATCCAACACCACCCTGCGTGTTCTTGACTTCTCCAACAACCAAGTCTCGCACCTAGAGCATCTGTCCACTCTCAAGAACCTTGAGGAGCTATGGGCGTCAAACAACCAACTCGCCAGTTTTGACGAGGTCGAGCGCGAGCTCAAGGATAAAGAGAAGCTGGAGACCGTCTACTTCGAAGGTAACCCGTTGCAGATGAATGGGCCGGCCGTATACCGTAACAAGGTGCGGTTAGCGCTGCCGCAAATCAAGCAAATCGATGCAAGTACGTATTCCCCTTGACTGGCTCTCATCCTATCATAGGTTCCCTTCTCCCGTTTTTGGGGCCACTACTGCCATTTGTTTGGCCAGAAATAAGCTAACTCCTTTTCTTCAATAGCATATGTACGAGTCTAGGCCAATTCCGACCCCCTAGTTTTCCTATTATCTTCCTCTCTTTGGATTCGATCCAGTTATTCCAATGGCTAAGCACAATGGCTTCGGAGTTCATTCGTGTCTTATAATCAACTTCTACCTTAGTCAAGGTCTCATAAGAAATGAAAATGGGACTTGTTGCCTTGATGGTCTTTCTTTGCGTAGACACCACCATCTTCCATATTCCATACAATACTGAGTTCAGCACGTTCGTTGGTCAAACTTCATTGTCATTGCCAAAATAAAGAAGGGTATCATATGTAGTATAGTACAGGTCTTTCGAGAAGCATAGATGCTTTTATATGGCAGCGCAAACTTTATTGCGATGGCACCAACTCAGCCGAGAGTTCTGTCCCAAGTCCAGGACGATTCGGGCAAGATGGGAGCAGAACCAGGCTTGATGAGGTGATTTCACGAGTCCAGCTCATGGAGATTCCGCTCCCTGGGAAAACAGAATGCCCAGCAATGCCGCCAACCAGAGGCGGAAGAGGATTGCGGGGCCAATATTTCAACCCAAGCCAGCCGCAAAGCTTCTACAGCCTCGATCCAAATCACGTCCGCTCCGGAATCTCTGGGGTTTCACTCTTTCCCTCCTCCCCAGCCTTTCGCTTGTGCGGATACCCACGCTCCGCCTCCTCCAAGCCCTCTCTCCACAGGGTCATCAAGCTATCCGCCCCCATCCGTCGCGCCCCCGCCGCCGCGGCGCTCTGCTCTGCCAGCGCTGTCGGCCGCTGTCGCCGCTGCAGTACGTTCCGTAGCTCGGCTAGCGGCGTCCCCGTCGCTTTGTCCTTCATATCGTTGAAGACCGGGTCTGTGCGGTCCATCGCGAATGACCCGTAGAACGGGTTGCGCCGCAACCCGCGCGAGTGGTTGTGTCGCGAGCTCTCGATTGTACATGTGAGCGCGGACGGTGTAGCAGGCGCCACAGATGAGGAGGAGGAGGAGGAGGAGGAGGAAGAGTGTTGGGCTGCGAAGGGGTTTGCGGCAGGGACTGGCTGGGAGAGCGTGAGTGGGATTGTTATGGGGGACGCGGCGATGGCACGCTCAGCGGCATCTTGGGTCTCGAAGATGGCAAGGATAGGGCGCTCGGGGCGCTGATTTGTGTTGCAAATGTCATACTGTGAGTGTGAAGGTTAATTTGCATTGCACAGGGTGTGAAGACTCGGAGGGGGGAGACAGCTTGCCTTGAGATTACGGAAGGTCACGACCTCGCCGTATTTCTGGAGAGCGGCGAGGATTTGCTTGCACTGGCCCAGGTTTTGCGGGCTCGGGCTCGTAGTGATGCACACCTGGGAAGAGAGGCGTGAGAGCACCGAGAGAACCGAGGGAGAAGTCATATTCTGGTTTTGGGGTTGGGACGGGAAAGAGAATTGGCGGAGTGCGGAGAAAATGTGTCGATCCGGTTTCATGCGGCTCCGCTCTTGGCGGTCGGCGGTGTTTTCTGCTCGCGAGATACTTGCATACAGAGGGCAATTGGTTGGAGCAAGGGCTTTTATTATACAATAGAAAGAGAGAGAGAGAAACGGAGTCTTGTATATTTTCCATGGAATTTATGTTCATTTTTTTCTATTTCATTCATTTCGTATGACACATGAGCACACAAGCGGACCCTGGTGGTATGTATATATAGTTCTGCTATGGGGTGTTTTGTCACTGAGTATGAGAGGGAGCTTAGAAGATGGGGATAGGGAGACCGTACTATGACTTGCGTTAGCCTTGCAATGACACATATGTGGAAAAAGTCCGAAAAGCTTGAAAAACTCACGTTGATCGGGTCGTTGAAGCGCAGACCCTGGTCGAGGGCGCTGATGCTCTCAACCTCGCTGGCCGCCAAGTCGAAGTCGGTGACCTGCAGGTTCTGTGCCAAGCGGGTAGGGTCGTTGCTCTTAGGGATGACAGCGATCTGGCGCTGGGTGGCCCAGCGCAGCAGGACCTGGGCGGGAGTGCGGCCGTGCTTCTCGGCAATGGCCTTGATGGTATCGTGCTGGAACAGCGGCGGGGTGTTCTGAGCCTTCTTGACATCGAGCTCAAGGAAGCTGAGGGGACCGAATGAAGAGTAAGCAGTGACAGCCAGACCCTGCTCCTGGGCATAGTCGACTAGGCGGGTCTGGGTGAGGTAAGGGTGGTGCTCAATCTGAAGGGTGGCAGGGCGGACGCGAGCATAGCGCAGCAGATCCATCAGCAGCTGGGCACTGAAGTTGCTGATGCCGATGCTGCGGGCCAGCTTCAGGTCGACGAGCTTCTCCATGGCGGTCCAGGTCTCCTGAATCGTAGCGTTGCTGAACTCCAGCTTGTTGTCCTCGGACGACCAGCTGGGCGGGTAGCGAACCTTCGGGTCGACATATTTAATGGCAATTGGGAAGTGCACGATGTACAGGTCGAAATAGTCCACACCCCAATCGGCCAGCTGCTTGCGGCAGATAGGCTCGACCCGCTCGCCGTCGTGGAAGCTGTTCCACAGCTTGGAGACAATGAAGAGGTCCTCGCGCTTCACGATGCCCTCCTTGATGGCGCGAGCAACACCCTGGCCGGCCTCGACCTCATTGCCATAGTCTGGAGAGGGCATGCATTAGCGCCATGCGAGCAATGGAAAACTGGGATTGGTGCAAGATTTGAAAGAGGAAGGGACAGTGAGAAAGGAAACATACCGCAGGCGCCGTCGAAGAGACGGTAACCGGCCTTGATGGCCTCGTAGACCTGGTCGGCACAAGTGTCGTTGTTGACCTTCCACAGGCCGAAGCCCACGAGGGGCATTTCGAAGCCGCTGTTCAATTTGACGGAGGGAATAGCCATTTTGAAAGAATTGTACTGGATGCCAAATTAGCCCGGGGTTGCGGTCCTGTGAAGTATACGTTTCGTACCAAAACCAACAGAAGTCAAGCGATGAATCAAGGAGGAGAATCGAGGGGTCGGAGAGAAAGAAGGACGAGGCCAGAGGACGGGCAGGTAATTTAAAGAGCCACGAGACAGGCTAAAGCGGGCTTTCTTCCGGCGAGTCCATTCGGGCGTCTAGTGTTTCTGGTGTGTCCGGAGGCGTCTGGGGCCCCACCAAAAGACTCGAACACACTCGGGATCCCGCCGGCTAAAATCGGCGACGGCTAAAATGCCTGTGCCCGCCTTTACCCCTCCACGTCCCGAGTCCGGAGTATTCGTGGAAAAATGGCAAAAAGAGGCTGGGTTGGCGATGCCCGTCAAATTGGACACGGGGCGTTGTCATCCCCCCTCGACCACCAGCCGTGCCCACCCACTATTTCCTCGAATCATAGAGATCAGAAGCAGCGAGGACAGCATCAGGCGGTTAGAATGATAAGCCCTGCGAGTCCCTCGAGACCGAGGGACTTGGACTCAGAGCGCTATGGATTCCGCTGAACGTTTTATGAATTATCAAGTATATTATATAAATAACTACTTCTGCAGAAGGCATACACGACAAGGACCTACTCACTATAAGCTGCCAGGATCGGAATTCTCAAGATCAACTATAGTCTTAAATGACGATAGTCTCTCGTCTGTCCACTCGCGGTCCGAATAGTCGAGCCTCCAGTCAAAAGGCGACGGCTCCGATGTACCGGACGGTCGACCGAAAACAAAACTCCCGATCATTAACTAACCGACTCTCGAGCTAATAACTAGGGACCGTCCATTCACAAATTAGTTCGCTCTGTACGGATCGAAAATTTAAGCGTCTGACTAACGCGCATCCCCGCCAGCGGTTGATTGCCATTGCCGGTGCAAGTGTGCAGTGTGCAGCAAGGGAACTATAGAACGGAATTGGTCGGAACACCAAAAGAATGCCATAATACGGTCTCGATGAAGAACGAGAGCAGCGTAGTGAACAGTAATGTCTTCCACCACACACGTTACTATGAGATTGAACCCCCCAGTCAGATGGAGGTCGCCGGTGAAGACCAACCACCAACACCCACCACACGATTGGCGCCGCGGGGACTCGTTTTCCCCACCCGTCACGCCCCGCCACATTTTCAACCACCGTGGAATTCAGAGTCGGGCTTCACCTATAATTACAAGAATCCTTGCTGCATAGTAATCATTTCACTATGGCTGACAAAGACGCCGGAACCCCCCGCGTCTTCCTCTACCGACACGGTCTGTTTGAAGCTCTTCGTCTGAAGCCGGGAGTTGCCGAAGCTAATTGAGAACCAGGTGAGACTCTATGGACGAGAAATGGCCAGTACACGGGCACCACGGAGCTGGAGCTCACGGAAAGTGGTGAGAAGCAAGTTCGTGCATCTGGCAAGATCATTGTTGGTGCGGGGAAATTGATTGATCCATCCCACCTGGCCCACGTCTATATCAGTCCGCGCCAGCGGGCCAAGAAGACCTACGAGATTGCATTCTCGGATGCGGACCAGCAGCAGCTGAAAGACGCACACAAGGTCTCTGAGACGGACCGGCTGGCCGAATGGGACTACGGTCTGTATGAGGGCATGGTGACTCGTGATATCCGAGCCCTGCGCAAGGAGCACGGCCTCGATACCGAGCGGCCGTGGGATATCTGGCGCGACGGCTGTGAGAATGGAGAGTAAGTGCCCCCTCAGCATTACGTATCCGAATACTTATTCCGCCTCATTCCCCATTTTCTTCGAATTTGAGAAAGTATTAATTCAGTCCGTCTAGATCCGCGGCAGAGGTCACAGCTCGCCTTGACAATCTGATTGCGGAGATTCGTGCTCTCCACAAAGATAACATGCATGGCGAGAAGCATTGCGATGTGGTGCTTGTCGCTCATGGTCATCTGCTTCGTGCCTTTACCAAGCGCTGGCTTGGTTATCCCTTGGAATTCCCTCTGTCTTTGATGCTCGAGCCTGGTGCAGTTGGTGTCCTGAGGTATGCAATTTCCCTATTACTCCAAATGAATGCCTCATATAATTTTTTTTCTTTTGCTAAACTTCTTGACTTCTATTATAGCTATCAGCACCACAGCATCGATGAGCCCGCTTTGTTAGTTGGATATGGGTTCCCAGTTCAGCAATGATGCCTTGGATCTTGCTAGAATGCGCTACAAATAATAAAAAATAGAATCGCTCGTGGATGATTCCCTTCCACTCGATTGTTGAGACAGCGAGACATGTTGGATTCGTAGAAAGGTTCTGGTGAAGGGAAAATAGACCCTAGAATGATGATACCCGAAGATCCATAGAGCCGCGATATTGATCTCAAGTATGCTCACGCAACAATGGCTTTCTTTCTTGCTCTCTTCTCTCTTCCAAAACAAAACAAAAGAAGCTCACTTAATAGATGATACCTCCAAGCCGGACAACCGACATTTGGCGGGGGAAGTTGGTCACTTGCATGGAGTTATTAACGTGGTGTTGATATACAAAGGCAAAGAACAGGAGAAATCAAAGACATTCTTCCGGGATGCAGAGAAACCGAAGAAGGAAATTCTGGATGACGGGTATTCACGCAGAGCAGATAAAGAGGCATACGATCAGCTCGTCAGCCTTTGGGTTAGGCGATGAATAGATACCACTTATAGAGCTTCTCACATTCCATGGCCGACACCTTTCAGTATGATTTTCTGTTACATCTCACCGAGGGGCTAAGTTCGTTGGACCAAGAACACACAATTCTAAATAATGGAGAACAAAGCTCGAATCAGGGTAGTCGGTCCGTTTTTGATGACCAAGTACTTTGAATCGAGCCGTAGGTCCTCGTAGTATTATGTGGCTTCTGCTCCTCGACAGAAAACCCTAAGATAATGGATAGCTTTGAACGTCTTTTGATTAGGTTTAAAGTTTTTGCTAGAAATCTAAGGGAGCAAGAGTTGTAATCAGAAAGAACGCTCGAATATTCTGATATTTTGCGCGTCTCGGCCGTTGCTCGGCTTTTAACACAAACGGAACCTTGCGGGGCTGAATCGCCAAGAAGTCCGTTCCGTGTTTCTCGGTGCCCGCAGCACAACAAGACTATCTTCCTCACCACTTGTTTCTCTCTTGTACCCCCCAAATTGCAAATGCGAAAATGACCAAAACAATTCTGGATGTGGTCCAGGAATGTGACAAGTAGGTAACTCATAAAGAACACGACACTATATTTATACGTAGGCTGATCGCATCTCATAGCTTCGTCCCTGAAGCTGAGCCAACAGTCTATCTAAAAGCTCTCCAGAATTACTATAAATTTAGAGTCAATGGCTTCAATCAAAAGTTGGGCTATATACATGAAGAGACTATTGGGAAAATTGAGTGGTCTTGCTCATGGTCAATCGATCATCAGCAACGAGAAGTAGTTCTGAACACCTCACTCACTGCAACGGCAGATGAACGCTCACAGGTCGTCGATGAAACTCTCAAGGCCACCAAATCAAAGGGCAGCATTTCAATGCTGGAGAGCTGGCGGGATGAGCGATTCCCAGTATATGGCCCCGAGGGAGAAGTTCTTTTCGAAATAGAGCGGTGTGCAAGTGCACTGTTCGGCATTGTGACCTACGGCGTCCAACTCCTCTGCTTCACCAACGATGCACATGGTCTCCGACTATGGGTCGGAAAACGGTCAGAGAGAAAACAAACATATCCGGGAATGCTCGACTGCACAGCTGCGGGCGGTCTCGGCACTGGAAAACTGCCAATCGATGGTCTGCTAAGTGAAGCGCAAGAAGAGGCCTGCCTTCCAGCACAAATGGTCAGGGAGAAGGCTAGATCGATGGGTCATATCACCTATTTTCATGTTCGTGGGTCTAAAGCTGGAGGAGAAGTCGATCTTTTACAGCCGGAGATTGAGTATACATACGAGCTTGAGCTGGAAACAGACATGGCTCCCAAGCCTGGCGATTCCGAGGTCGAAGCTTTCAGCCTGTATACTATTGATGAAGTAGTGTCGGCTTTGATGCGGGGACTATTCAAGCCCAATAGTGCTGTCGTGGTTGTGAATTTTCTCATCCGCCATACGGTCATAACATCCGAAAATGAGGTACATTACGAGAATATTCTGTCTCACTTGCATCGAGAACTAGACCTGCCAACCATGATTTATCCATACATATAAGTCTTCTCTGAATATCCATTCATCAATCTCGGTGATCACGGTAATTGCTTAGAGATACCCAAACCATTAAATATAGTTCCCGTGGATAAACATGGCACCTGAAGACATTTTCTCAAATTAAACATAGAAACAGAAATAAAAATATAAACATACAATAGCTGGGATTCGCTGGTGGTCACCCACCCAACTACTAACCTGCCGGGTGAGAGAATAGGGTGGGTCCTGGTTTAGTGTCGCGCGACCGGTTGTGGGAAGGATTAGTGCGCAATGAATGGAGTGAGCATAGAACGACTCTAGGTGAGATTCAGGCTATGTAAAACGGCCACTACAATAGCTCCTTTGAACTCAGGCGGCTTGAAGTATCATCAGGCCAAGATTTTTCTTAAAACAGTCGGCCTTTTGGTATCTGCACAGACCCTATAGGTCAAAATCAGACTCGGCGAATTGAGAGATTGTTTAGCAGTAGCTCTCGAGTTCAGCTTGACCTGATAATCTTTCTCAAAATCTTTCCTGGAAGATAAATTCAAGATACGCTAATCTTGTTTAGGGTTACAGCTCGAATAAATACATCAAGTTAGGCAGAACTATGGTGTACTGACTGTGCCTCACTCGAGGATGCAACTAAACTTATTGTAATAAACACGGAATGATAGAATCAGTCCTCTAATCACCCTTGGTAGATCTGGCGACCAGGCAAGACCTTTGTAGCCTCGAGACCGCCCTTCTGATACGCACGTTGAAAAATAGATAAAGGAGGTAGAAAAAAACAGGTTCAATGAAATGGACATCCGTAGGGAAAGTGACGAATCACTACTGTTGTATACGGGGTGAAAGAGGTGTTAAGTGGGAAACACTATGGCTAACTAAACTTAGAAATTTAGAAATGACAGGGCGCCTATTAACCTGTGCGGTAGCTGGAAATCAACATCAGCTTAAATGAGTAAGCAATGTCCCTTTGTCGCATTGCCTACCTGCTTCCCGCTCTTCCGCCACCTGGCAAGAGCCCACCATTACCACCGGAATCTTTTCCAACTCTTTTTGCTTGAAGCCTCTCATAGCTGATCTCCCATCATGTCCGTAACGACAAATGATGCTGCTTCTGCTTCAACTAAAAATGGAGCTTCATTCACCGTGGAACTTGAACACTTTGCGGCAACAAATCCGTATCGGGATCTGCCTTCCGACCCCCATGTGCACAATACCATCGCGGAACTTCATCTCATAGCAGAGTTACTCAAGTGTATGTTCCCCACAACCATTCCGGGAGACGATTTTTTACGATATAGTACATTCATTCGCAATTTGGAAACTCGCAAAGATCTTACCTGGATGCTTCTATGGGAAAGTGAAGTCCAGACTGCCCTCAGGCTTCTAGCTAATAGAGGAGGGCGACGCGGCCCGCTGCTAGAAGAACCCTATGATCTTCAAAGGAGGATACTGCGATTACATCGCTATTGGATTGATCTGTCGTTGAAACCGGAAATGCCCGATAGATGGCAGGCAGCTTTTGATACCACTATCATCCCGCCTCTAGTCAATGAGCAGCCACCGGAGCTAGATTTCACGCAAGATGAAGAAATGCTCAAGAAATGTCTTTATCGCCGATATCGCCAGTCGAGGGATCGAAACGTCTCCTATTTAAAGTTACACCCACCCAAACCTATTGCTTTTGCTCGCGTGCGCAGTGTCGACGGAAGTTCGACAACGCCTGTATATAAGCCCATCTATGGGACATATCGTACTGAGCATGTACCGCTACTCTGGAAAAATACCGATGCACCGGAAGAGGATTTGGATGCAGACATGTCTGATGCAATGTTACGGGTTGTCAGCTGGAAGGAAGATCAAAAGGCAAGGAGAAAGAGACAGAGCGATTGGCAGAGTGAAAACACTCCATAACATATTCCATAGGCGGGCCGCACACCCTACCGCTTACTTGTTTTTGAAAACACTATTTTTTCGTCAATACAGATATATTAATTCAACTTATCTAGTAGGGCATCTATTGATTCTATGCCCTATTTTACAACGTCTAGAATACCAAAACACACGGTTGGTGGTAGGACTTATCTTGGTTGTGTTGAATAGATATCAGGCATCTATAGATAGGGATTCGCCGACAGTTAAGCCTTGTTGGCTAGATATTTAGTGATATGGCCTCGTGCGATTTCGACGCTTCTTCTCGTTGAATCGTCGTAAATTCTTTTTCTCCTGCGCTAGAAGCACATCGCTATACATCGGTAACTAAAACCTTTGATTAATTCGTCTAATGATCAGTCAGTAGAACTTCTGGTGATCGCGAGCGCTTGCACAGTAGAGCTTTGATAGAAAATGCTTGCTTGCTAAGTTAGTCAAATCTAGTGATGCAAGTAGGTCCATTAGGAGGAGATGTTAGTTTCCGGAGGAGAATATGCTGTCATAGAATATTGACTCGTAGCGTAGTGTCATAGGATCTTGACACATAAGGTTGGTCGCAATTTGGTACCTTAGTCCTGAGGCCTCCTACATGACTTGGGGGAATCCAAGATAAGTATGACTGATGAAAGGTTAGCAATCAAAGACGTACATAATTACGTCGCCATGACTCTTCGATATAAAGTTCATCTATTGCATTAAATGGTACCGTATAGATCACACTAGCGGCATTAACAGACTCACAATGCTTTCATTATTCAATGATCCCAATCTGTAATCGTTCAACTCGTATCAGACACGTCTCCCCTAATGGTCGGTGACGCTATTCACAAACTCACCGTTCTTATTGACGCGGACAAATACACGATATTCCGTTATCAATCACCTCCTCTCTGAAGTTGCGAAATACGGCACAGCTCACGCAAAAAGGGCATATTGAGACTGGAGCAGCCCCAATTTGAACGGTTGGAAAGATCAGCTTCTTGAGCAATCAATCTAACTAATCTAGCAGTTCGCCTATAACCATGGCAAGAATGCAACAGACTGCGCTATGATTATAGACGCCATGGATCTCTCTTGTAATCTAACCGGTATGATGCATTCTGTCTTGTGTCAAGCGATAGTGATTTTACCCGTTGTAGTAGGGAAATAGCCTACAAGGGGGATCTCTAATTGGAGGATATCTTTCCAGTACACAGTCCTTACAGGATATAGCTTCAGATCTCCAATAGGGAGAAGAATCAACTTTTACACTCTCTTCGCTCTATCTGCTTGTGTGCTTCCTATAGGGGAGGTTTCCTCCATTGTGGTGTGTGGTGGTTTGTGTGTTGGTTTGTTGAAGCTATATCATCCTGCCTGCATTCTCAGGCTTGCCGCTGAGCGCCCTGGTTCACTATGTAGATAATACTACCACGGTCGTGGAGGATCATACCCTCGCCTCCAGGCTGTGTCCACACAAGCGGACGACCGTGGCTTGGCAATACAAGCGGTCATCAAAGGGAACGTGCGAGACCAAGCCGCCATCCAAATAAGTCCATGGCCGCACACCCTTAATACGGTCAATCATCTGATCACAGACGAGGAAGTCGCGGGACTTAGTAGCCTCCTACAGACCTCCACGCGCTGGAGGAAGCACTGATGCTCCGAACCCCAATTGAGCGAAGAGCAGCAATATTGACATGGGTGGGAACCTCATGGAGAGCAATATGGTGGTGGGGACCATGGCGGCTCAAGAAGGAGACAGCAACAACCTTGTTATTTTGCTTGCAGTGGTGATGGAAGATAGTTACAGGAGAGGAAGATCCACCTCAGGGGGTCAAGATGGAGAGGGAAGCGACCTGCGTGAAGCCAGGAAGCTCGCGCAAGCCAGTACCACCGATAACAGCAACAACACTGTTGAAGATTACCAGGAACCCGAAATCTACAGCAGATCAAAGTCAGACATAACTGCACTCCTAGTGGCACCAGTGCGCTGTGATAAGGGCTTTATGATATACAGAAGAGTTGGAATCGCTTATTTCAAGTCGTCATGCTTGTCCTGCATCGCTCGACTGAAGTTAAAATGGCGAGGACTGTGTAACGGGAATCTAGCAACTATTTGTCTTATAACATTTTAGTTGTTTTCTAGCAATATCTACCAGTACCCAGTCTTAGGCTCAACTTGCTTCCTAAGATAAATCCGTCTAGGGCTAGCGTCGAATATCACTAGTAAGTACTACTAGAGCTTTTTGATCTAGGCTATCTCATTAGACTATTGTCTTATGTCTTTACAGACCTTCAATGTTGGATTTCAAGGTTAGTGGACTTTTGAATCTATGCAGGAAACCTTAGAATTTACCTCTCTTTTAGTAGAATTTTAATTCAAGTCAGACAAGGAGTAATCATTTGAACAGAAAATAGATATATAATATTCCCGAAATGCACTACACATATGAAGAACTATGATAGGCCGAAAGTAAAGTCCCAGATGTCGAGTTCTCCCAAGTCATTACCATTTGAAGCTATAGAGTTCTCAATGAATTCAAAATACATTCCATTTGACATCCAGATGTAGTATCTTCGACTGTGAATCTCACTGTGCCAACAAAGAAAATAACTACAGAATCTAGAAGCCTTGAAGGAGGTCTTAAATATGCGGGTAATTTGGAGAAAGGGCATTGATGCCGACATAGTATTTTCAAAGGCGTTCACTGACAAGGGAACTTGCCTATACCCACAAGGTATAATGAGGAGAAGAATAGGAGGAGAAAAGGCAAAACAGAAAGAATGAGACAGGATCCAAGGAAGGAAATGAGAGAGAAAATAAGAAGCTTAAAAAAGTTCGCACAAGGTATAGGGCCATAGAGTTCCAGAAATATGATTATCATTACCAATAAAGTTTTTTTTTTTAGTGCAGTCGAGTTCATCACACAGCATCCACGGCAGCATTGTCCGGATATGCGGAGTTCGCATGCTCAGGGCCCGCCCCGTGCATGCTAGAACCGTTAGACATGCGACCGACAATCTTATCCATAAGATCGTCCGGTGGCATGAGACCATCGAAGTGATGCGGCTGTTGTGGTTCGCGCGTTACGGGCACTTGGTGCTCCGGCTGGAAGGGGATATGGTGGTAGCCGCCGGCTCCCACGTCACCAGGGATAGAGGTAGAATGAGTGGTCCATGGGGCTTGGCCATGGCTCAAATCATCAAGAGTTTGTGAACCAGGTCCGAAAAAGCCGTTCAGTACGCTATTACTGTCGTGGATATTCACGCCGTGTTGCTGCGAGGACACATACTGGCCGGCATCATGACCCATGTTGTAGCCTAGACTTGGGTGGGACAAGGGAAGATCATGCATGTTCATCATCACGGGTCCACCGCTTGAGACACCTAGGCTGGTAGGCTGAGAGGTCTCCGGAGCAAGACTGGCCGAGAAGGAGTCAAGGACTGACGTGACAGCAGTCTTATCACCAAGTCCATCTTCAGGCTTGGTGATCGAGGACATGAAGTCAAGATGTCCAGAAGAATTGAAAATATTAGCGACGTTGTCGTGAGAGGAAGGGTAGATCGGCCACTGAGACTGAGCTTGGCCTTGCGTATGAATGAGATCTTGAGTATGAGGCGTTTGATAGACGCCCTGAGATGGCTTGTTGAGAAGAATGGAGTCCAGGGATAGTGGTGGCAGATCGACTCCAGAAGCAGGCCGTGGACTATTGGTGGTGGTGCGATCCGGGGGAGGAATCAAGTGCCGCCAAGTGGTAGTGCCTACTTCACCAGGGCGAGTCTGACGAAACTTCCAGAGCAGAATTGCCATGCGCTCGCTTTCCTCGCCGTGGTGGCCTTGGAATTGATTTGATAGGCGCCGAGAGCTCGGAGGCACGGCGCGAAGCTCCTGTACTGCAGACAGAGAGCGGAAGAATCGGCGTGTACGCTCATCCGTAGCATGGACGTTTTCAGGCTGCCCTGAATCTTCGGCAATGCGCTTATCCTGAGTCAACTCCGTGAAAAGGCGAGCCCACCAGGATGACTCGAAAAGAGGCTTGACCTTGGTCGACTGAGGCTTGGGCAGGTCATGATATGTTTCCCACAGCTCACGACCTTCTTCATAGAGCCGAGTGCTGCAGGTCCAGTTTTCCATCTGGTTGACCATGAGAACATCACCGGCAGTGGGATGTCCAAAGTCGAGATCCAACTGAATACCAAGTCGGGATCCCGAGGGAGGGAAATCAGTCATAAGCTGGAGATTTACTTCCAGAAGAATGATATCACAATCGAGAGGTCCATTAAGATCATCAAGCAACGACGATACATGGGGAAATGAGGACCGCCATCCATTGACACTCTCCAATGGCATTGGGGGAGCGATGGGGAGATGCAAATCTCCTTGAAGGCGAGTGTATGCATGGAGAGCTTTGTCGATGCGGTTAGCCTGATGAGGAGCGCTCACCCACATATCGAAGCTAAAGCCATGAATGTTTTTTGTACCAGTATCTTGCATGTTTGAGCCCAGTGTATAGTGAGGGGGTGGTACATCTCCATATGCTTGCACAGATCGTATAGGGTCATGATAAGGGGGGTATGTATGGCCGCCATAGTGACTTGACGCTGATTGATGGTCCATAGATGCCCTCCACTTGGGACCAGCTGCTTGAGAATGCCCACTAGATCTCTCCGCAGACTGTTCTCGAACCAGTCTTTCCCCTATCAACCGATTATTAACGTAAGCTTCAGTTCCTTGATTCATTGACTGGTGTTATCACTCACAGTCGGGGTCACCTTTCAGAAATGAATCAAGTACCTGGAGGTGACTTGAAACTTGCTTTCGGGTTCTCCGCTTTCCAGTCAATTTGTAAATATACTCTGCAATCAACTCATTCCGTCCATAGGATTTGCCTCGCTCAGACCACTTTCTGCGGCCCATGGGGGGATTGGCTTCGAGAGCTATACCAATACGATTAGTATACCGACATCCTTTTATAAAAGTCATTGTATAAAAACTTACCTTGTTGGAAAGCATCTTCCAACTCATCAGACCAGACTGGCTCACCGTCCTTGCCAGTATCACGTCGAGGACGTGCTCTATACTCCAAGTACTTCTGAGACTTCAAATAGCTTCGTCCCCTTCGAGGAGCTACATTAGGTCCAACAGAATGGAGACGACGTAGCTTGCGAGCGTGTAGCCGGGCTACTACTGCTTGTTGATGTTGCAAGCTAGACGTGGGGATTGGGCGAGGGGCGGCTGAAGCGTGAGGATACTTGAAGGCTAGCTGTTGAAGGTGGTCCTCGCGATTAATGGCATCAGCGTGTGTCAAACTATCAGAGTATGACTGAACGTTCCCAGAGGTATTCTGGAGAGCTCTATCAGCATGAGCTCCTACAGTCTCGAGGGACGGCTGATTCTGAGGCACGAGGCACTCCGGTTGCCAGTCAGCAGCCATGGAGCGGACCAAGGACGGGCTTCTCGAAAAGAATGACAGATTCCAATGAGGAGGGGGTAGGAGTTGAGAGGCACCGCCAAATGCTTACTGCCTGGCAAAGAACGCAGCACAGTCACAGAAACAGAGACCCAAGAACGCAGAACGTCTGAAGAGAATGTCAGAACCTGGGAAAGAGAATGTGAGAGCGAGCAGCGATGGTGTTTATAGGGAAGCATAACTCCCTTAGAGAAGAGAGGGCGAGGGGGTCTGTAGTCCCAGTAGCAACATTGCTACGCCAGGCCTGCTTTGCCTGGCATCACGTCCCTCGAACGCCATCTCCCATACTCCTGGGCTGCTGGCCCCCTCTCCGGCTGCGAGCCTTCGGCGCGTCTAGGCACTTTGCGTGGAGAAGCACAGGACCAGCCGGCCAGCCGTCCTTGCCGCAGCAAATCAGGAGTCAAGAAAGGGCTCGATATGAAGGAACTTGTCCTGAACGCAAGGGATACCTGGGGCCGCACGATCCAGTGACGAGCGACTCGGAGATTTTGAGCTGCAGGAAGTGACCCTGGGAGTATCGTCGCCTGGGCCAGTGTTGACAACATTCAATCATGATCAGTGGCAATGGCCTGTCGACAGGAATGTTTGACTGTCAGTGACGGTCTTTGATTTGCCTACGGGGAGAAGGAATGCCACCATCCACCAAAACAACCTTGGCGTTGGAATGTAAGCCTAGATGATCGTTAGAGAATAACCCTGCCCGTTACAGACAAAAAAGGAACGAACCACTCACCATGACCCTGGGTCTAGGGCAACTGGCGTGGTGAAGTGTGGATGTATACAAGGGTGTTGGTTTTGTTAGGGTTAAGATAGGGCGGAGAGCCTTAGATGGGGAGGAAACGCGAAGTATATAGGAAGCATGCAAGTAACACGCGATCATTTGAACTGCACGGCCACTACTTGACAGCTGCAGGAACGTGTTCGGGGGGTATCTTTCTTCTCCTTTCAAAAGTGTACAGGCCAAAAATCACAAGGTAGAGTACATATGCAAGAAATCGTACACGGTCGTTCTCCTCTCCCAACCACGCAAGGGATAAGCCCACCCGGGACAATCCGCTCGCACTGCTCGCAGGGAGAGAGCAAAAGGGCAGTTTACCTTCATGCTTCCTCGTCCTCCTGGGCCCCTACAGTGAACTTCTTTCGCCCCGTGCCAGTGAGCTGCTGGATCTTGACCCTGTCCACCTGCTCCCCTACCTTCTTCTCTATCTTCGCGATCTCCTCCTCGGGATCGACAGCCTCCTCGCTCGCGAATTCCAGCACCAATCGCCGACCCAGAAGATGCGTGTTTTTCAACGCGTCCATGGCATTTTCCGCCTCGCGAGCACTGATAAAGTCGGCAAAACCGAAACCACGGGCTGAGCGATCGAACTTTTTAGGCACCCGAACAGAACGAAGTTGGCCATAATTGCCAAATAATGACCAGATATCCTTCTTGGTCGCCTGGAAAGGCAAGTTCTTGATAATGATCTTGGTTCTTCTCGCAGCAATTTTCTTGGCAGTATCTTCGCGTCTCCGTTCCTCCGCCGCGTCCATGCCCTTATGCGATGCCCGAATGACAAGCTCATGTTGATCAAGCTTGTAGCCATTCATGGCCGCCAAAGCAGCCTGAGCCTGAGCCTTGGTCTTGAATTCCACAAAGCCAAAGCCCATGCTGAGAGTCTGACCAGGTCGCTTAGGATCAGGCTTAGTCTTCACCCTACCGGTGATAAAGCCATCCAAGGGTCGGAAGACTTCCAAGAATTTCTCATTCGTGGTGGAGAAGTCCAAATTCTTGACGAATAGAGTTGATGTCAGTCCTGAATCCTCTGCCTCATCTGCTGCGAAGGTGTCCGAAGTGGAGAAGCCTTGAGTTTTGCCCCGAGTTTCGGGTAGAGCCTTCGGGGCCACTGTGCCGTCAAACAAGTTCTTGGGAGCCTTTTCCAAGAAAAGAATGGAATCTCCCAATTTGCGGTAGGCAAGTCCCTTGAATGCTTTTTGGGCCTGGTCAGGTCTTGCAAATTCGACGATTGCGATGGTCCCGGTCGGGGGCATCAGCAAACGAAGGATTTGGCCATAGGGTTCAAATAGACTCCTAAGCTCTGCAGACTTCACACCGAAGGAAAAATTCTTCACAAGAATTCCAGTATTGCCACGTTCCCGGCCCTGAAATGCATCAATGTTTACCCCATTTGAAGCAAAATACGCTTTGGTCTCCTGAATGACATGCGTTTCAGCATGTGCCTGCTTAACAGCTGCATCAGAGGACGTGGGGTCCAATAAATCGGCTTTGGACACACCCAGTCGTTCAGCGACCGAAGACATTACAGCATCAGCCTATGTTTTTTGTTAGTATAAATAGCTACTCAAAAGGTCGCGTTCCGTAAGGTGCAACTTACATTCATGTAGAGAGAATTCCAGTTGAAGGTGGAGGTGGATGCATCCATCTTGCGCTTAATTTGTTTTTGTTTCTTTAAAGGAAGCTTGGATAATTCATATTCGTCGATCTTGTACGTTTTCTTCGCAGCTGCGGGAAGAATATGCATAAGTCGGCCCTGGAAATGTTTCCCATCTAGAGCTCGATATGCGTCGATGGCTGCATCAGCATCGGCAAACTGGACGTAAGCGAAACCTTTGCTGGTCTCCGTGCGAGTATCAAACGCAACATGAATCTATAGCCACATTAGCGACAGATCATATCAAATATATCATAAAAGATCATCTGCACAAGGATAGCTTGAATGGTTGCTCTTCAGATAAACAAGAAGCATCTACTAAAATCTCTTGACCTGGTAACATCATCTGCATATTGCATCGGATGTCCCTATCAGGAAACTCATCATGCGAGCACATTCAATGGAAGGAAAGGGGACGGGGATGTATATGTAAACAGATAGAAATCACTAACCTCATCGAGTTTCCCGAACGGGGAGAAGAGTGGTTGGAGATCCGCATCAGTCATGTCGTAGGCAAGATTCCTGACGAACAGGCGAGCCGAGTCACGAATGAGTTCAACATTCGCATCTGGCTGCTCTGGCTCCGCTGAATGGTCAGGCTGTGTTTCAACTGCATCGTCCATGTAAGTATCGGCTTGGTTCTCAGAGCCAATATTTTCAATCACCGCGGTGCGAGATTCATCATCGCTGGGACTACGTGGTTCAACCGGTTGTTCAGCTTTATGCTGCTCAAACTCAGCCTGTTCATCTTCGTCCAGCAAACCCAACAAACGACTTGTCTTTGAGCGAAGCCAGTCAGCATCTGATACCGGACCAGCTTCAGCCCCGGTCTCCTCCGTCTCTTTCGCCTTATCTTCTTCCCCTTCATCTTCCATACCAACCATCGAGATGGGATGGGTTTGTTTGGTGCTGGAACTGGCAGGGATATCTTGCACCCGAGCTTTTTTGGCTTCCGACGGCTGTCCCTCTTCTGAGAAATTATCTTGACTTGGCTGGTTAATAGGCAGTGATGATTCTGCGGATGCTTGTGCCATATGATCATCATTTGCCCAAGTTCGGGTTTTTGACGAGCTTTGCGTCAAAGCAAGATACTCTTGTAGCTTAGGGTCCTGGGACTTAGCATCCTCATCTCGCTTGCGCTTGAGGACACTGTCCGATGAGATATTGGATGCAGCATCACGTTTCCGTGTAGGATGATTGTTCTCTGTGGGTTTATAATCAATCTACAAAAATACCGGTCAGTCTCAAGACCAACTGAATTGGTCAGCGGGAACGCAGGCAAAAGAAAAACCGAGAGATCATGACGAAATGACAACAAAATGTACATACCGGTCGAGCAAGATCTACCGTGATCTTGGACATCTTCATATATGTCCTGTTGAAGTAGCTGACAGCTTGGTTAGCTACTTCATTGCTTTTAAAACCGACGAATCCCATTCGCCGTCTAGGCAGGACATGGGCATCTGTGACAGTGAACCGACTTGCAAAATGATTGCGAAGCTGGTCATTAGAGCAAGATGGTGGAAGACCACTGACAAACACCCGGGTGTTCTCCATTTTCACTTTGTAGCTGAAGAAGCTTTGGGTGAGTGCAGTTGGTAGAAACTTTTGGGGAAATTTTTTTCTCGTCTTGTATGGGTCTAGGGCGGTGACAGAGGCGGTCTCGTATAATAAAACAGGCAATAAACATGGGGCAAGGCGGTCAGTTGTGGGCGCCGACACGCTGCTCGACCGCGCAATGAACAGCAGCCTCCGTTCCACAGCATCCCCATCGCAATCCGATAAAATCGCTACTTTTAGACTCGAAAGTTCTTTGCGATACCTGTCGCAATCATGACCACCGAGAAGAAGGACAAGATGGAGGGTATGTTCTTATCTCATTTGAAGTTTTGTGCTCTACCCGCTAACCACCTTGCGCAGCGCAAATCAAGTCCGTCGACATGGTAGGGTGTATTGACTCCCAGACACTTCGATGAAAACATCTCACACTTAAATAGACGGAAGATATGCAGCAGGAGGCCATCGCGCTTGGTTTGTTACTCCAATCCCTCGATACATGAAACGCATCTCATTCCGTCCCCTAGCAATCGAGGCCATGGAGAAGTATCACATTGAGAAGGTATGTGACCCAGTACCGAAGTACAGGGACTATTTGATTGAGCCTTTTCGCTAACTAGTTGTAGGACATTGCACAGTATATCAAGAAAGAAGTCCGATCTCGCCCGCCCTTTCCTCTAACGCCCTCGCTGATACTTTCTAGTTCGATTCTCGGAAGGGTGCCACCTGGCACTGCGTTGTTGGACGGAACTTTGGAAGCTTTGTCACTCATGGTTAGTGGCGAATTGGCCTTACTCCGATTCCCAATTCCACTGCTTACGACGTTACCAGAGACCAAGCACTTCATCTACTTTTACCTCGGCCACTGTGCCATTCTCCTGTTCAAGACCCAGTAAGCGAGGAGATACGCGTGCTTAGCACCAGAGGCATTAGCAAAATATGGGGAACGAATTGGAGAGAGAAATTTTGCGAATGTCCATTTACAGCTATCCTGTCATCTTCGTGTCGAGGCTTTGTTAGCTATTTTGCTCGAGCGCGTTCAGCACGAAATCACTGCCGCATGTTGTACACAAATTTTATTTCTCAAGTATTGAACAACCAAGAACTGCAAATATCCTCCAATGATCTTTTCCAATCGTATGAACTTGACTCGATTCCATGAAGCTTTGATTGTTGCCAAACCTTAAATCACATGCCCTCACGTGCTGCCAAGCATCCAAGCCACTTTGGCGCCGCATTACAAACATCGTTGCCTTCGCCTTCAGTCTTCCTTTCTGGAATTCACCCTCTCATCAACATCATGGCGATTTGTATTACATTTGGGACACATGGTGAGTTGTAGATCCACATTTAGTAGCCCGAGATCATGGTTTGCCCGCACTTCCGATTCCCGATGTTCTTATGTTTACCCTTGTGGACACCCTTGATCCCATCTATACTGCGGACACTAATCACGCCACAGAGTTCACCTCCATGCTCGAGGGCTACGAAAATGTCCGCGCCTACTGCTACAACTGTGAGTTGGCTCTATCTTCAGTTCCTACTGATTGCTTGCCATATTGGCAGTTGATGCGTTCGAAATCCTGATTGATGGATGTTTGCTTCCTAGGCCAACACTGGAACGGACATTGTTTGACTCGATGGTACGTACTCCTGTGAATTGACTTTATACTTCAATATAACTGACCGAATACTTGATACAGGCCTTTTTTCACCGTCTGCTTTGTGGTGAGCCTGCTTTGGACTGTCTCGTTTAGAAGCGCTGGCACTGATGATGACTGACATTAACATTGATTCGCTCAGCCTTTGATTCCACTCTCGACACATAAATATAAGGTGAGTACTCAGTGCGGTATATTTCATTCAGCCAGATTGATGCATAGCACTCCGATCCTCCTTTCTATCTGATGGTTGCTGATACTCTTTTTAGGAGGTAACATGCTATACGTGCCGCTTCACTCAAGATCTACGGTAAGCTAGCGAGCATGAGACAGTGCTACAATAAAAAACAGAATTGCAAAAACTTGGAACTGACAAGTATCAGGGACCGTCCTGATATCACGCCGGAAACACGACCACCTCCGAACATGCAGTGGGGTCCCCAACCTCCTCCGGGGGCTTGGCAGCAGCAACAGCAACCGCAGGTGCAACCACCTCCACAGGCGCATGGAGCCCAGCAACCGCAAGTTGACTATAAGTGAGCGCCACTAAGTGGATCAGTTAGTGATTTCATGGCACTGTGGTAGTGACTTGTTTTTCTTCTTATGTATTCCTTGGGGAGGAGCAAGAAGTGTGGAAGGAAACCGTGGAAGACACGACCACGAATGATTCAGCAGGACTATTCTTTAGAGCAGCAACAATTTGACTTCCGGTTATATCGTCACAAGCAATTATTGCGATTCGTAGTTCTTGGGTAACAGGCGAAACGTCCCCAGAAAAACTCTTAGCAGTCATAACAAAACAATAAAATTGAGAAGGGGTATAAAGTAATACAATCATCACATAATCAATCAAGAGAAACAAAAAAAAGCCATCAAATCCATATAGAATCAGGTAGAGGCATCCAGTGCTTCTTTACCCTTTTCTCCAATATGCTCTGTCGGAGTCGCAATACCAGAAGCCTGTGCTCCGTCTGTCTTCCTTCCGCGGTAAACGGTTGGCCTCTGGCCCATCAAATCACATGCCATCATCCGCACCACGCGCACAATGCTTTCCCGGCCCTCATAGAGAGGGAACACAACAACACCGAATAGGGTGCAGAACAACCACAACAGACCGACAACAACCCAGCCGGTGAAAAACTTCTTGCTGAATACATAGGATGTGCCGTACATCGGAATAGGCCACAAGATCAAGAATGCAAATGTCATGAAGATGGTAAGGGTGCGCGAGTAAAACGCAGCACGGTTGAGCTTGCGTGTCTCTTCATCGAAATCCATTTGGGAAGGCTCGTCACCTTCGCCTGGGATTAGCTCGAGATCGACATGTGCTGCGGCAGCAACTTCAGAGTCGTCAACTTTGCGAATAGCACGCATTGACTCATAGTCATAGTTCTGAGGTCCAAACATATAGGTGAGGATGGGAACGAAGACAACGGGGCTGAGAAGAGCAGCGACGTTTCCGGCAAGCATAGGATAACTGAACAAGGATCATTAGTTAAACGCTTCAATGATTTTCTTTTTTTTGAAAAAAAGGATACGTGGAATTGACTTACTTGGCGCCGGTCGTGTCGACAGTCAAAACGCCGTACTCTTTCTTCGCAGTCACCAACCAGGCAATTAACGACACAGCTAGACCGAGCGGTGGAGACACAGCAGCGGCGATCCAATTTTGACCCTTCCAGAGTAGAGTCATGGCGCCGGGGAAAACAGCGGACGAAATGATAACGCCCATCAATAGGTAGAGGTAACCCATGCCGATTCCGGCATAGTAAAGACCAGTAGCAAAGCCAGCCATGATGATAGAGTAGACAATGCAAGACATGTGGGACATCCAAACGAGCCTCTTGCCCTTGGCGGATGGGTTGATGTAAGCCTGATAGATATCATAGGTCCAGATAGAGGAGACAGCAATCAGCTGCGCTGAGAAAGCAGACGTCACGGCCATAAAGATCATCAGTGTCGTAGCAACTGCACCGCTGTAACCAAGAAGCTTGACGGCCGCAAATGGAAGAACCAGGCCAGCGGTCACATCGTCGCTGCTCATCCGCTGCGACCCTTCAAGAGCCAGCGCAGAGATACCCATTGTGCTGGCACACAACCAAGGAATGGCAAACCAGCAGAGACCTCCAATTACATAACCAGGAAAGGCATGAACTGGACTGGCAGCGATAGCTAGGAAAGTTAGCTTCTCCACCATTTGAAACGCTCCAGTTTTGGGAAGGTGATTTACCTTTGTTGTAGTAGCCGTTATCCAGGAAGACGGTGCCAAAGTTGCCGATCAGGTTGATTATCCAAAATATGCCACCTTCTTTGGATCTCATCGTCAAGTAGCTTCCTTGCGCATTACCATCCACAGGATGCGCCTTGGCGGCTGCGACGAGAGCATCATACACTTTGCCAGGGGAGCCGAGGGTGGCATTAGTAGCATAGGCAGAGAAGGCGAAGAGAAATATGACGACCAGAATCACCACAGTATGCATGTAATCGGTGATAAAAGTAGCTTTGATACCACCGAAGAGCGTATAGAGGACGACGCCGATGGGGAGCAGGAAGCACGCCGCGGCAGTAGGAACTCCGGTCAGTGATGTCATGACGGCGGAACCGCCTGTAAGCAGCATAGCCGTGACAAGAATGTTGGTCATGAGACAGAAGACGATGAAGACGACGTGGACAACAGTGCCATAGCGGGCGCGAATGACCTCGAGAAAGGTGTGGGCGTTTGGAGCACGACGCTTGAGCTCGATGGCCAGGGTCGCAAAGAGGAGAATCTGGACGGTTGCGCCTGCTTGTATGTTAGCCGGGTATGACACTACCAATATAACCTTCTCAGCCGTATAACCCACCAGATGCATAGAAGAAAGGTCCTGAAATGCCGTACTTGTATGCTACGGCTGATGACTGAAGAAGCGTGGCCGCCCACGTCCAGCTGCTCACCACCGCAGCTGCGACTAAACCCGATTTAACAGACCGTCCAGCGGTGGAGAACATCTCTGATGTCTGTACTTCATTTTGATAACTGCCATATTCAACGGGGTTACTTATTGATCTGCATCGCGCGGGGCTACTCCCTCCCTCCGTGGACATCACAGATTCATGGAGAGACAGCTTACCGTTTCAGTGCCCAGGTAATAAAGATCATCAACAGGGCAAAAGCAAAACCCAGCCCTAGAATAATTCCATAGCCGAAGGCCTGGGACAAGGGTGCTTCAAAGGTGACCACCCCGGATGACATGACTGTGGGGTCGTGTCGTTAGGCCAATGCAGGCAAGTTCGGAAGGGAAAACGAGAAGAGGTCGAGCTTCTTTTGACGCAGTCGAACGAATGACGTCGGATCAGTAATTGTGAAGTTAATTGACAGTAGTACAGAGGCAGCCGCCTTGCAGCAAACAAAGCAAGTCGAATTTCTCAATTGGCGGTATATGCATTCCAATCTCATTCTCCTGGAGGGGATTTCTCACGAAGATATACGCGCCGAGCAACCTTCATTCTTGCGAGACTCGAGCCGTCCCAGCTCCGAATTCGCACGCATCGACCCCGGAAGAAAGTCAGACTAGGGTTCCTGAGCTTAGATAGCGAGATACGACCCGCCGCCCGGGTCCTGATAAGGATGGCATCGCTCTCGTAATGACAATATGGCCTGGGTGCCCCTAGTGCGGTGGGTATGGACAACTAGGATGGGTAAGCCTCCATCGTCGCGGGACCTCCCGATGGTAGGCCAAACAACCAGAGCACATGGAAAGGGAGTGGAAGGCTGGAATGAAGGGATCTGGGCTCAGTCTCCACCGGCCTGGCGACGAACAGCGAATAAGTGACGAGGGGGGTTTGTTGAAGGAGGACGACCGTCCAATCTCGGCCTATCACGACTTGGCAAACGACGAGCTTATCAGGGCGGGTCGTCGGGTCGTCGGTGATTGGCTTTGCGGCTGGTGCGAGATAAGGTCAACCCATCAAATCGGGGGCGTTTGGGTGGTCGTTCGAAGCAGTTATCAGTCTTCACTGCCAAAATGACTGGCGGATGACAGAAAACGTAAAATCTTTATAAAGCCATTCTCCGGCCGATTCGGTCCCGGTCGCCCCCAGTGAGTCGATATGACTCGATAGAAACTCGTTATATTCATCCAACCAGTATTTGAGTTCTAGATACGAGGCCTTTGTTCAAGTATTTTTTTTGGAGGTGTCAGTTTTTATAAGTAGACAGGAGGCTTGATATTACCCTAGAGCAGATACGAGACCCGAGATTAGTCTGACTTGAGGTCGATGTATGTAGCTTGGGCAAACGGAGTACCCCGTTGGTTAGCGCGGCTGACGAGAATCCGTTCGACAATCAGGGCCCTGTGTTTAAGAGATCTCTTGGGGCTGACCAACGATGAGTCGTTGGACAAATACCGACAAGAGGCTTTCAACAAGAAGATCTTGATGGATGCTACGTATAATCTTCCTGACATCGACTCTTTGCCCGTCCATCCGTTCTCAATTATTAGATAGCATTATTTGTACAACTAACTCCTCACGTGACCGTTTCCCTCTAGGCCGTGTACAATTACTTACGTCTGAGTGACCTCAAATACCGTCTTTCCAAGCCCTCCCTTCCCTTTATACACCAATCCGCAGGCCTCTCTTACTTTGTCAATATCCCGCATATCGACTCTGGCCCCCACCACAGGCACAAGTTTCCCTTCTTCCACAAACTGTCGGAGAGTATCTAGGTCTGCGCCGTTTGGTTCAAGGAACCAATACATATAGCCAACGCTCCAGCGCCAGGCTCGTAACCGGCGCAACATATCCCCTGCATTGAGATACACGCGCCCGACCAGCGGAATGCGAGGATTGTCGGGCCGCTGCATAACACTCGAAGCCTGAAGAGTGGTAGCGGAGGGTTTCGTGGAAATTGAAACAATGAGTCCCGTTGTGGGGACTACTAGATGGAGAAATTGCATAGCTTGGCCTGTGGTGTCAAATAGAAAGTCGACAGAACGGGCTGGGATAACATCTACAGGGTCATCCTTGGTGTAGTCAATGACTGCCGAGCGGAGGTCAATAGAGAGAATCAAAAGAACACAGAGGTAACGAATTGCTTGAGACTTACTTTCATCCACGACATCTTTGCCAAGCAGCTGTGAGACCTTAGGGACTTTGGAGGTCGAAACCGTGGTGATCACCTTCCCAGCACCGAAGACGTTCTTGGCCAATTGGCATGCAAATGCTCCTGTACCGCTTACTGATCGAAAAGACACCTTAGCTTTGTCAATAGGCATGAGAAATTACTTAAGACTTACATCCGCCAGGTACAAATACAGTCTTGCCCTCCAGCGAGCCCTTATACTGTCTCAATACTTGCAAGGCGGTGACCCCAGCAAGGGGCAACGCTGCGGCATCAGCGAAGGACAGACTCTTGGGCTTCAGAGCAAGATAGTGCTCTGGACATTTGAAATATTCACTCCATGCGCCTATCAAATCTGTGAATTAATAAAAAGAATACTTTCACCGCTGTCGGGTGAGTATCTTACCACGATGGGCTTCGGGTAACCTGGTATAGACTTCGTCCCCAATCTTCAAATTTTTCACTTCCTTCCCAACTTCTATCACAACACCGGCAGCATCATAGCCAATAAGATAAGGAAATCTTTCGTGTATAGTATTAGCGTTGATAACCACCTTATCAAGCAGAAAGAAAGAGCAAAATCAAACCAACTTACGTTTCCTTGACTGCCATCTTGAAAATTCCATCGGCTTTTTTCACATCCACCGGATTGATGCTTGCGGCATGGACGCGAACAAGGACATCTTTTGCATCAGTCACTGTTGGACATGGTACAGTTGAGAGCTGATACCCAGAGGGATCAGTATATTCCGGCGCCGTGATTGCCAGCATTTCTGTGGCCATTGAGATGACCAATGTCAGAGATCCAGTGCTGAACAAGCCTAAAGGAATAATGAAGGAAGTAGATTTCCACTCAGGGTCGTGGAAATGGATATTTAAAGTTGAAGTTGAGAAGGTCTCCACTACCTCGACATATTTATCGACCGAGGCTCGCTAGGCTCGCTAGCGGTTGGCCACACTGGCTGGGCCGGACCTTTTCGCGCCACGCCGAACAGGGTACGGGATCAATTTTGCAATCGGGCTTCGGTCAACTCCAATTCTCAACCCCGTATATTTACTTGTAAGGAGTTGTCTGCTGTGTATTATTATTGTGTGTCCTCTGGGTTGTCTGGTCGCCGACTTCGTTTCCCCTCAATATTTAATGAAATAACTTTAGTAACATGAATATATCTGCTAGAAGCACATCAAATTACGACCTGTGTATCTTATTGTCATCCGGCTGTGTGAGCTATCAACTGATCTACGACCGTCACGGTCTTCCGAAGACCGATTACCAAATCCAACAGTTGCCAGTTGCCAAATGCTCAGTTGAAATAAAGTTTTCACCTCAATAGCTTGCGAGGGGAAGCTCGGGCCGGGAAGACCAATTGCCCGGCCCAGATCGGGGGAATAGGCGCTCCGGTTGTACCCACCTCCACCATTGCCACACGGCTACGACATGATGATTCATGTAGAAGCCATTCGAATACCAGTCATGAGATTCACATGGACGATTTCAGATCAGCACCTGAGAATGATTGGGTGGATACCCACCAGCTGAAAAATTTCGATGAGATCGTAGCCAGAACAGGGGACAGGGACACGACCTTGCCGAGGTAAGGGGACCTTTCCCATGGGATATGGATCCACGCAAACGTGCACGAGGACTGTTGGGACTTGGGAAAGATACAAAACGCAGTGAGTGCTGCAATGATGAAAACTTCACGGCCTCCATTTCATCAAGTATACCATTTCAATCAAATCAGACCATGATGGACAGCGTCTCCCTTGTGACAGGCGCAAGCGGATTTATCGCCAGTCACGTCGTCCAACAGTTACTCGAAAGAGGGCAGAAAGTTCACGCAACGGTCCGCAGTGTCCGAAATACGAAGAAAATCAAACATCTCCTAGATATGCAGGAGCGATGGCCGTGCAAGCTGACCTTGTTTGAAGCGGACCTGCTTGTGCCTGGATCCTTCGACACTGCAGTAAAAGGCTGCTCCGTGGTCTACCATATAGCTTCGCCTTTCTTTATCGAGAACAAAATCCACGATGGCCAGAAAGAACTTGTTGAACCGGCTCTCAAAGGAACACAGCATGTTCTTGATGCGGTCCAGAAATGCGAAACAGTCAAGCTTGTTGTTCTTACCTCTTCAGTTGCGGCTATCTTTGGTGATTATGCAGATGTGCGGCAAATGAAGGACAACACGCTCTCTTCCAATTATTTCAATACGACTAGCACGGTAAACCACAATGCCTACTCCTATTCCAAAGCAATCGCCGAGAAAGAGGCCTGGAAGTTATACAAGGCACAGCCAAATCCTCCTCGATGGAGGTTAGTGACCATCAACCCTGGATTTGTTCTAGGCCCATCTTTATCTCCATTATCGGAATCTGGCAGCCTGACACTGCTAGATCAGCTGCTTCGTGGCGAGCTATTTTGGGGGGTACCAGACTTATGGTTTGCAACTGTTGATGTTAGAGAGGTTGCTTCCGCTCATATTCAAGCCGCTCAAAATCCGAATTCGCATGGCCGCTATATATTGGCAGACAGCAAAATGCACAGTTTTGTCGAGTTTGCTCGTATTTTAAGAGCTCTCAGCCGCTCTAGAAGAATTCCAAACCACACGCTCCCAAGTTCCTTGGTACGATTATGCGGACCGCTTCTTGGTTTGAGTCGAAAATGGCTCAGCCTGAATCTGGGGATCAAATTTGACATTGACAACAAATCCAGCCTGGACGAGCTGAAAGTTATCTACCGACCGTTAGATGAGACTTTGGCAGACTATTACCGTTCCTGGAATTCCCGAGGCTAATATGTACAAAAATAGCCGAGTATTTCTTGGGAGAAGAATTTTGAATTGTCTGCTATAATGAATCGATGAAATCATCCTTCGGGGCTCCCACGCTCTCGTTCATCTCTTGCCCTTCTGAGTTTAAATATGGCCTTCACTTTATAATAGGCCACTTTATTATAGTCAACATCGGGTCTATTTATGAGCTACGCCGTATGTTGTAGTTCCCACCTTCAGCTATTGCATATGTCTCCGAAAAAAAGGATGTCGAACCAACTCTTCTCAAAGCCTTGGGATATAATTTAGTCCTGCTGATCGCGACCCATGCTATTGCTTCACTTTTTTTCCTTTGATTGCCAGAAGATAAATCCATTAGAAAAAAGCCCTTCTCGATTTGAGTTCCGTTTACCAATTTCAGAGGCTTCGACAGTGAATAGTTTTTTAAATCGCATCCACTTCTAGACCTGTTGCATTGCATCAAAAAATCTAGACTGGTTCGAACTAGTATTTATCATTAACTAGTTATTTGGTATATTTGATTCCTAAATTCAGAGGAAAATGGCCTTGCTGAACCCGTTCGTAGAATAGCAAGTAGAAAATAAAAGATTCCCATCTTAGAAAATGATTGACAAGCTCAATTATCATCATCTTATTCTATCCGTCAAGACTCTTTCGCATATTTAGGTCAGTTTGGAAACTCTGCATATCACACGGCGTTTCCGAAATCCGTTCCGTCGGCCCCGGCACCCGAAAACTATCCGAAGGGTTTCTTCGTCAAACAAATTTATTCTGGCGCAATGGAGTATTCACAAGTCAGAAAACGTCCTGGAGCTCATTGATTATTCACTCGTTGCCTCGGCTCTTCAATGGCCGTGCATCTAGATGGAATGCTTGAAACAAGGAATTCAATGCATAAATTGAATATAAATTCTACGCTACGCAATAGAGGTCTGTCCATTCTTCTACTCCAATTTTGAGCCACTAGAAGCAACAATCTCCTGGATATTTGTGACTTTCAAAGCCGTCATTATGAATTCCAACAAAGCCTTGATCTTCAAAAAGATCCCTCGAGGCCTTCCTGTACCCGGCGAAGACTTGACTATCGAGCAAGTCACTGATACAACCAATGACGCGCCTCCTCCAAATGGGATCCTTGTCAAGTCCCTTTATGCTAGTTTCGATCCATATATGCGTGGTCGTATGCGCCCAATTGAACACGAATCTTACTCTCCGCCCTTTCACCTCAATAAAGCTATTGACAGTTTTGGCATTGGCAAGGTCTTGAAGTCGAGGAATGATTTCTACAGAGAAGGCCAGATTGTTATTGGTGAACTTCCAGTTCAAGAATATTCAATGCTAGATGAGAACTCTATTACTAGAATTCGTTTCCTTGAAAATTCGCATGGATTGGAGGATATCCGCGTGTTCCTTGGTGCCTTGGGAATGCCTGGGCTGACTGCATACTCTTCCTTCTATGAGATTGGAAGACCGAAGAAGGATGATGTGATTTTCATTTCCGCTGCAAGTGGTGCTGTCGGACAAATCGTCGGGCAGCTGGCAAAACGGGAAGGGCTGAAAGTTATCGGAAGTGTGGGCTCCGACGACAAGCTCACTTATATTTTGAACGAATTGGGTTTTGACGCCGGGTTCAACTACAAGAAGGAAGAGCCCAAGAAAGCCCTTGCACGTCTTGCACCTCAGGGACTAGACATTTACTATGACAATGTTGGCGGTGAACACCTCGAGGCCGCCCTGGATTTTATGAATCCGTTTGGTCGCATTGTCGCTTGTGGCATGATCTCTGATTTTAGTGGTGCTCCTCACCCGATCAAGAATCTCCACAACCTCATAACCAAGCGCCTCAGCATGCGAGGATTTATTGTATCTGATCCAGGATTCGCCGATGCCTATCTCTTGGAGCACCAGAAGAATATGCAGAAGTGGATTAAGGAAGGCTCTATCAAAAGCCTAATTCACGAAACTGTGGGTATTGGGAACGCTGCAAAAGGACTGGTCGGAATTTTCGAAGGAAAAAACATGGGGAAGGCTATTCTTAGATTCTGAAAAGATTGACCAAATCGCCGACTTGGAACTTCGAAGGAGCAGCAAGCATATAGCCTGCTTTTACCCCGCGAGACCTTCCGATCTATCAAACAATATGTTTCAAAATTATCTTCTCTTTTTTCTTCTCCAGAAATCATACTACAGGAAATTAATTTCTCTCGTCATCTCTCATTAGACGACTTTTCGCTTGACTTAACACAAAGATATCGTAAATGTCGATTACCACCCCGTCAACTCCCCGGCCTACCATCATAAACGGAGTTTTTAATAAATCAGAACAGATATTTAAAAATTATTAAAAGAAAAAAAAAAGAAAAAGAAAAATGGATATTCAATGTAATTATCAGCATTCTGTAATATATGACAGCCCACATCTCCGCAGTTCAGACTCAGTCCACTCCCATAGACGCTGTCCCATTTCCCTGTTCTGTGTATACTTGTTGTGTGGTTTTAAGTGTCCGACAGGTATATAATATCCTCCATTGACAAGTTCATCCTTTCTCGCACCGGCAGAAGCCCATAATTGGTTCAGTGCTCCTTCAGAGATTGATGATCCAAAGAATCGCAACGATTTTGATCCTAAGGCAATAATAGCAGAGCGCTGGTTTAGGGAATCATACAGATCTGTTAAGATGATGCCTGGGTGAACAGATACCGATGTGATCGATGGATATCGCCGACTAAGCTCGGCAGCAAACAGAATATTTGCCGCTTTTGATGCGCCATATCGAGCATTGGTGTTGACCTTTTTGAGTTTATCTTGATCTAGCAGCGTATCAAACGAGGGTGCAAGATTGTGTCCCACCGATGAGAGTGACACAACACGAACATCGGATGCGACATTTTCGGCCGTTCTCAACATAATGGGTAACAAAAGTTTGCACAATAAAAAGTGACCGGTGTGATTTGTTCCAAGCTGAATTTCGTGACCCATTTCTGTTTCGCCAGGGGGCAAAGACATAACACCGGCATTGAGAACCAGGACGTCAAGTCTTTGAGACTGGGTGTTGACAATCTCTGCAGCGTCTTGAATCGACTTCATAGACGTCAATTCTAAGGGAAGCCAAATAATTTCTACATTGTTTGGAATAGAGGATTTGATAAATTGAATGGCCTGCGCTGCTTTGGATTTCGAACGAGCACCCATAAAAATTTTGCTTGGATGGTGTTTTGCCAGCTGTAAGATTGTCTCCCTGCCAAGACCGGCATTGCCTGAAAAATATGAAGAGTTGCTTTTTTTATCATATCGAAAGACCTTCAACTCACCTCCTGTCACTAGAAATACTTTTCCAGATAGATCGGGGAGATCTTGGTCAGGGTTGAAACTGGCTCCGCCAATATAGTTCAAGGGGTTGGCAAAAGAAGCGATAAATCCAGCCATTTCGACGGTGATCTTTTCAGGGACTCTTCAAAAGAAAAGGATTGATCTCAATTTAAAACAATCTTACACAAGAAATGAACAAAATTCGGCGCAGCTATCCAGCCGAATGGCACCCCACAACTTGAACCGGTGCCATGGTGGAAATGTGGGGAAACCTCAAAAAGTTTATTAGCAAGTAAACGGCGATTCTTCAGAACCTTAAATTCGATGAGCGAATGCCGGTGAAAGAACCTCGGCTTTCATGCGGCACACCAATTTACGGCAATGTATCCAACAAGGCGATTAGTAGTGCCCTAGAGAACTTTTAGAAACAAAAACAATACCTCCAAGTCTTAAGACACTTGACGGTTCATGGATAGCATTCCATCAAAACCTTCCTCAATTTAAAGTTGGGTTGAGCTCGGGCACGTGTGGGCTTTAGCAATGTCTATTCCTCGCTGACTGTGTAGGGCAAAGTAACCGACTCTGACAGCTCTAGGACGCTCTGATGCGATGAAAATATTCCGCTCACGATATTTGCGCTGACGCAGATACTTTCGGAGCTGGTTAGCGTTCGAATGCCTTTTCACACAATAAGGGCATACTCGCATACAACTCTGATCTCTGCATTTTCTCTGGGCCAATCCTTCTGGTCCGTCTGGTGCACAACACAGTCGCATGCATGGTGTATATTTAGCGTGTTGGCCATGTGTCAGTTACGAATGAGGACAATTAAGGACAACTGAGGATAATGACTTCAAAGAGCAGTTCATACGATAAATTTAGAACCCGCATGTTTTAATTGGCAATATTGATGATACCCTTCAGAAGTCATGATAATAGCATGAATAATATCGTCATTGATTTTGTCGGGAATTTTCAACCCTGGTAGACCTCGTGTTCCTGGCGTAAACATTTAATTTTCTGGAGCTGATTTTCCTCATCCTCGTGTTTCCTTGGGAGGAGAAATGGTCGCGAATATACGAAGGAATGGTGGAAAATCAATAAATCAAAGATAAGAAATTTTTGTGGTAGAGTTGGAAAGAAGGGAAGGATCAATATTACCATTTATCTGTCAGTGAGGATCACAAAGACAAAGTTTTGCAATTGATACAATATTATCTACGCTTTTGCAGGATCTTTTTCATCGACAAAAATTAATAGGGACTAGTTCGCAGCAGGGAGAATTGGTTCAAAGGTTGGTGCATTGGGGTAGATCAGTGTTCAAAGGGGAATTTGAAAGCAAAGTCGACCTCGTCCAAAACATCTTTGCCGATATCTCCTACTGCCTACCAGAAAACACCACGTTCCGCGGGAGGCTGTACTTTTCTTCCACAAAACGATCGACTGATTTCCACTGTGTGTATCTGTCTTATATTGTATCGTGGCAACGACTGATGACCAGCTAATAGCAGTTCTGGGACATATAACGGAGTTTGCTCAAGAGCTACTCTCATATCTACTCCTTATCCTCAGGCGCTCACCGTACACCCAAAATGCCCAAGGAATCGGTGCCATGAGTAACATCAAGAAGGCTAGAAGCGAAGTCGCCCATCCCACATCAAGTAGCTCAAACATTTGCAGCGCAAAGAGCGGGAAAATAAAGCTCATAAGGTACCTGCTAAACATCATGGCGCCAGATGCAGACGCCCCATAGAGTGGACCGTAAGAGTCTAGCATAAACAGGTTGACACCAGCATAAACGAGAAGACAGGCCAACATTGTCATTCCTTGAAAAAATATTGGCACGATCCAGTGAACTTTGTATTCAGCTGTCCACCCAGCGATGAATAGACAGGCTGGAAGGAAAGGACTAGCTACCATCGCTGAAAGCAGACGGTTCTCGGGTGGAAATCGTTCACTCGAATTGGGAGTGGATTTCCAGGCGTGTAAACGTCTTTGATAATAGAAGATGTCGATAAAAGAAAACGGGATACACGCGAGGAGGCTGCCTAAGCTCACGCCGAGGTATGAGAGTGATTGGCCAGATGAATCGAATTCGTAGTACCTTTCCAAGGTCCAGGGAATGGAAACCACGTATGCGTATAGCAGGCCGAAAATGACACCGTTGTATGAGCTAACCAATGTCACAATGGGCTCTGTGAAAAGCATATGTAGGGGACGTTGGATCAAAGTGACAAAGAAGTACCGCAGTGTCTTTTGGAATGATGATTTTTGTGATGAATCATCACTAAGACCCAGTCTTCTGGCTCTGCGCTTGAGTATAACACCCTTATAGGTTTCCTTGGTGAAGAGAACAGGGATATATGTTGCAACAGAGACGAAAATGGCCACCCACTGTGTCCAGCGCCAGGACCTGGTTTGAAGAACAAAACCCCCAGCCAATGGCCCTAATGTCGGAGCAACAGACGGAATAGAATAATATACTCCAAGATACACTCCGCGATATATTTCAGGCGTATAGTCGAGTATGGTAGCAGAAGCGTTACTGATATTCGGCGAGGCAAGTATAGCAGCAAAGAATCTGCAGATGATGATGTCTCTTAAGTTGCTAGCTGCACCTGCGCCAACCATGAATGCCATAGAAATCGGCGTTGTGATGATAAACACGGCCTTCCTTCCGTATGTTTCGGAGAGGGGTGCTCCGAGAAGAGGACCGAAAGCCATTCCAAGATTATAGAGGGCAAGAGGCAGAACGGAGACCTCGTAACTGCAGTTGAAGACTCGCATTATCTCATCCGATGCTGGGGCATAGATGGAACCGGCGAATGCGCTTGCAAAGGCTAGACAAGTGACAGATACTTGACCCCATAATCGCGTCGCCAAAGGGAAATTCCGGGGGTTGTCGGGGTCGTTCGGTCCATTCCAATCATCAACTCGTATATGGCGCTGTATTCGAGGATCGGTGCGAAGGTGAGACTCTTGATTCTTCTCGCATTTGATGTCCATTTTCGGGAAGATGACGGAATCACTGCAGCAATCGCCGTCGAGGGGTTGATACGTGATAGTGAGAAATGAATGATTACAGTGCACGCGAAGAGAAGAATTTGGGACACTTGGAAAAATAACACCGACTATCATTTCAGACTCATAAAACGCTTTACAATGCGTTGGAATGCTGGGCGGGTATTTCACTTTGCATCTCCGAAGGTGGACCCTTTGCTTTTAGCGGGTCGGGAGTCCGGACATAGGATGTCCGATCATACAACACAATTGCAAAAGCAAATGAACGGTTGATTTCCGTTGACAGAGGGATGACTACGGTGCCAAGATTCAAAGCATCGAATTCTTTGCCAGAATATTATCTGGTGATAATTGAAGAAGTTATCAGTTATGTTGTCAACTTGCTGTTTTCAGGTGACTGACCCATACGCCATCAAGAATTCGGCAATTGATCAGTGCGACTTGATCTCAGATAGAATATCCACTTCCAGGGGCGGTTATCATACACGGTAAATTAGTTTGTGCATTTCCGAGAGCCCGAATCTGAGTGAAAATTTCAATAAGTGGATAGGCAGACCATGTATTTCTAACATTGCAGGGCCGGCAGCCGCATGATGGTCAATATCCGATATCGAGGTCCCTGTTCCTGATGCTAAGACAGGATATGCAGCAGCAATCAAGGGCTGGATCGAGTCGATCACATACGGCACAGAGACCCATGAGTGGAGCTATCTGGTTGCGAATCAGGCCTAAAAATCCCAATCCCCAGATATCTAAGAACCTACAGCTTCCACGAAGGTTCGACGCATTAGGTCGCTAACCCAATAAATTAATATACTCTGTATACATCTATAGCTTAGAGCTAATCTTTAATAGCTGTTAATTCTACTAGTATTAGCTTAATCTTACTATTCTTAATTATATATCTATAAAATTGTCGTTCTTAGGTTATAATCTTATACTTAGAGGGTTATTGTTATGGAACAACCAAATGCATATTACTCGATTTTATTCCAGCCGACTTCGGATTCGAATCGTATGCATGACGATATATGTTTGCAGGGAACAACAAGTTAGATTCGGACTCCTTTACCGTGATGCCTCCGGCAAACAGCGGAATAACGACATTAAGGTCATGAAAGGAGAATCCCCCTTTCTTTCGAATTGAGTCTCTTCAGGATTCAGTTATTGAAATAATATACCTTTACTATTCTTCTCCGATTCAATAACGATTCAATATTATATTCATTTTTTCCTCACCTAACCAACAGGCCGCTACCCTGCAAGTAGTTAACAAAGTCACTTTGCTTGTTCACTTGTTGACGACTTCCCTTTTGTTTTGTTTTTTTCTCAATCTCTTCGAAATGATATTCACTCAAGTGATCAAGGGCAGGCTCGAGTAGTATGCACTAAGTGCCAATCTAACTGCTATGCTAACCCTTCTTGCACTATCCCAGACGTTCAAGAAAATGTAAAGGGTAGCTGTGATACCTAGCCCATAAAGAAAAATCCATTTGGTTCGATAATTACATGGAACCATGTTCGCAGCTATGATTCCTTAGCCGAGAAGAGATAAACTGGGAAACTTGCTAGATTTATAAGAAGAAGTGGATGTTAACAAGAAGCTGGATTCTTGGGTTTATTCTTACGAGGGAAGTAGTGATAAGCTAAGGGTGACGATGTCGTCACGAAATAAATGTGGACGTCTCTTTCGAGTGATTGTATTCAGCTATCCAAGACTGCGAAACTGCTCTAGTCTGGCTTCGGTTTCCTCGCAGAGAATAATATTGACCCATTATTGGTGCTCATCAACCTCAGCCGGAGGTATGGGCGCAGGTGCCATAGGAACGGCCAGATAACAAGACCAGAATGCAAGATTTTGGTATAGAAAACTTCAGGGTTGGCTTAGGGCGAGGGCAATAGGGATGAGCGAGAATTGGAGTAAACAATGACAATAGAAGAAAGGGAAGACAAACCACCTTATAGGCACAAGATCAGGCTGGGCGAAAAGGGAGGGGAATTAGATTTGGCTAGAGGAGGGATTCAGTTTCGGCATCTTCTTGGTCGCCAATAGAAAAAAAGGGAAAAATTGTATTCAAACGCTTAGATCAAGACTGAAGGATGACAAACAGTGCTGGGCGGCTTATATCATTGTTGCCTTGAAGCTCGTCCTAAGGTATTTTCAAGGAACTATAAGCTCAGTGAGCACCATATATGTCCTAGGGCTGTGGGCGGTCAAGTGGCGGCTTGACGTACAGATGGAAGGACGACCGTTTCTGGCGTCGAAAGTAGTCATTTTTGGCGTCAATTCGTTAACACAGCTTTTTCCCAAAATCGAATCTGGAAATGTATTCAAAAGGCTTCAATTCCATGCATAAACGGGTCTTTCAAATATTCAGGCCATGTCATGTTCTTTTTGTTGACTTAAATTATATCATTGTATATCCTGCGCGTTGTTCAATGACTTACGAACCAGAGGATCTAGAGACGACATACATGCAGTCCTTATCCATTCTCAGTTGATCTTTCGACTGTGTTCTTTCTGTTCTTTCCTCGATTGCCCTGTGACATGATGAAGGAGATACACCTTGGACTGGAGATTCAGACTTACGATTCGGGGTTTGCTTTGTAATCTGTTCCAGCCAGAAAGGTGGCTGAAAAGTCGAAGTTGGGCTAGTTCTAAGGAGATACGAGGAAAGACAGATGTGATAGATATACGTGGGCCAACAAATTCAAACCATATCACAGGCATAATTCAGTGACGAAGTACATACTGCTTTGGTCTATCACCTAAGAAGGGCGGGATATGTGCTATTTTTGTTGTTTTCCAAGCGTGTACAGCACATAGGGCATCCCGACCCCACTCTTCATGAGCCAATCACTCCGTTAGGAGAATCGTGCCGATCTTGGACTGCGCATATCATAGCGCACATAGCCACGCTGATCACTATTAGTGCCTTACACCGCCCCCCCCCCAACCCTTCCGGGTTGTGGGTGCGCCACGCACAGATGCATAACCACACACAGACGCATAATTTTCTCCTATCTCCTATTTTTTGCTTCCCTATCCAACACCACCATCTAAATATGCCTAAGTTCGATGAATCTCGTATGGCCGAGGCCTGCCTAGCTGCATCACGCGTTGAGAAGCCGAATATAGCGCGTTTAGCACGCGAATTTGGTGTTAATCAAAGCACTCTCTATCGCCGTGTTAAAAAAGGATCAGGGCCTAATACAGCTAAACGCAATGCTAAACAGGCCCTAGAAGCCTACCAAGAAGAAGCCTTGATTCGCTGGATTCAATATATGAACGATTGCTATATGCCTATCACTCCTAGGATACTAGAAGCGTGGGCGAATCGTGTATGCTAACGCGTCGGGAAGCCGTCGGTTAGCAAGATGTGGGCGTATCGCTTTATTAATAGGCTTCCTAAACATCTTCAATTAGGGCCTACTAAGCGGTATACGAAGGAATCAAAGCGAATACTAGCAGAAGATCCAGCAGCATTACAGCACTGGTACGATCTACTAGCCCAAACGATCAAGAAGACAACGCCTGCTCGTCTAGTCTATAACTTTGATGAATGCGGCTTTCAACCAGGCGAAGGAAGGTCTAGAAACGTTATATCTACTACTACTACTACTACTACTACTACTACTACTAGTAGTAGTAGTAGTAGGAAGATAGTAGACCTTCCTCAGCCAGACCAAGGCGAAAATATTACGTCTATCGAGTGTATAGCTGCCGACGGGTAGCAGATGGAACCCTGGTTCATCTTTAAAGGCAACGGCATCTTTATAGAATCTTAGTTTAATCAAACAGAGAACCTACCACTAAGAACTACTATTACTACATCGCCAAACGGTTGGATAACCGATAGTATAGCAGTTCAATGGCTTCGATTCTTTATAGAATCAACATGCGACCGTACGAAATTAGGTGAAAAACGTATCCTAATATTCGACGGTCACGGTTCGCATCTTACATTCAAATTCCTATACCTTTGCGAAGAGAATAATATCCTACCTATAGGATTCCTACCACATACTACATATCTTTGCCAGCCGCTAGACGGTAAGCCGTTTCTAAGCTATAAGCAACACTTCCGCTTAGCGAATAACGACTACGCGTTTTAGGGTGGAAGCCCTATCGGAAGATCAGAGTTCCTTCGAATAATCGGTGATATTCGGAATAGAGCGTTTAGCTAGCGAATTATTCGTGAATCGTTTAAAGATCGTGGGATATATCCAGTCGATAGTAGAAAGGTTATTAATAGCCTTCCTATCCAAGATCACCTAGGTCTTATAGCGCCAGATCTACAACCGCTTCATTCAACGCTTCATACAACACCTTCACCACCACCTATATCTTCTTCTAGTATCGACAAATCGCCGCCTAGATCTATACAGGATCTAGAGAAGAATCAAAGGAAGATTGCTAGATATCAACAAGAAGATCTTACACCTAGGCAGCAACGCAATCTTGACCGGTTATTTCATCATAACAAGATTGCTATAGAGAACCTAAATCTAGCGAACGATACTATTCGCAAGATTAGGGAAGCTCAACAACCACTACAGCGCCCAATCACTAAGCGCCAGGTTAAAACACCGCTTAGCAAAACAGGGGTACTCTCTATTAGAGATGCAAACCGTTCTATTGCTAAAAGAAATAAGAAGGAAGCAGAGGCAGAGCGGAAGCGGGTAAGGAAGCAGTGGAAGAAAGCGTATAGAACATCACCACCACCAGATCCTACACAGGAATCCCAGGCATCATTAGATAGAGCAGAGGAAGCACGTCAGGAAGGTAATATTTTCTTTATAGATACTAGTGGTATGCAGTAGTAGATAGGGGAAATAGGAAAAATTATGCGTCTGTGTGTGGTTATGCATCTGTGCGTGGCGCACCCACAACCCGGAAGGGTTGGGGGGGGCGGTGTAAGGCACTAATAGGGGTCTAGGACTATTTATTGTTTTTGTTTTTGTTTTCTTTTTTTGTTTTTCTCGAATGAATCAGCCTCGATCTGTCTCATATTTGTGGTCGCATTAGAATTATGCGACCGCGTAGTGGTTGAGGTTATATGTACCGCTTCAAGATGGTAAAATATTTGATTCGTGAAGCCCACAGAAAACATGTCAAAGGTTAAAGCATAACTGTATCTACTTCTCAAACTTCGCAAAAGAAAACCTATAGGTACATTTGGCCCCAGGGCATTTTGCTACCTGGGCCCCCTGGCCTGGCGCACGGACCAAACTACTGATGCTGGGGCTGATTTCCACACCTGAGCTGAGGCCTAGGTGCAAGTCGAAACCATGAAGCTCGTATTAATTTCAATTGAAAGCTGAAAGCGCAATCTTTTGATTCGATGCTCAAGGATGGCAAAAGTGAGGGAAGGAAGGGCTTGACTGAGAAACACATCATCACGAGCCAACGAAAGTACAATCATTGAGATCACAATTGATGGGGCTGCAGGAATGCAATTTCGACTAACTAGACCTGGAAGGGTGGATCAGGCGCCCTGCCAAAGAACTCAGCACATGAGGAACCATTGATTTGGAACTCCTAGAACTCTTAATTTCTACAAATTCAGGTACAACTTCCCCCTCCCCCTAGCTAGACTGCAATCCATTTTTCATGTCCTTGTCCGTGTACACTTGACTTGGCAGCAATGAGACTCAACGTGCTGTTGTTTCTTGGGGGAATAGGAATAAGGCTCACAGCTGGATTTAACCTAGAAGGTACTTTCCGGGAGAGCCAGAACACTCAAGTCAAGAAATTCGAGCTGAATTTGAGTTGGGAAACACGTGCACCTGATGGTATACCACGTAAACAAATGCTCGTTAACGGTCAATTCCCAGGACCGCCACTCCTCCTAGACGAAGGAGATAATGTCGAAGTTACTGTGAATAATCTGATGCCATTCAACACCACAATTCACTATCATGGCATTGAGTAAGTGATTTGAAGACCTCCTTGGAAAATACCCTATCTTGTCTAACCTAATATTAGACAGTTGGGAACACCATGGTCGGACGGTGTGCCTGGGCTTTCGCAAAAGCTCATACACCCCGGTAACAAATTTGTTTCTAAATTTACTGTCACTCAATATGGCACCTACTGGTGAGGCTTCCCAGATACAATCTTTAGTCCGAGATATCTCACAATAATAAGGTATCATTCACATTCTCGTGGTCAAATAATGGATGGTCTATACGGCCCCATTTATGTAAGGTCTGTATCAATCTGATCAATTCCAAATTTTGTTAAAGGCTAATATTAGCATAATTAGGCCAAAAAGCATTCCTGAGGACACATTACGTACAATTACGGATGATTTGATCCAGCAAGCTCAGATCAAAGCTGCTATTGAGTCTCCAAGGTTGATGGTTATCTCTGATTGGTTTCATATAACATCAGAGCAGCTACGAGATATCGCACTCTCAGCGAACATTGATACATTGTGAGTGAAATGCAAAATTGTTTAAAAGGTTTCTTAGAAGCACTAACATGATTGGTAGATGCGTGGATTCTATTTTGATCAACGGAAAAGGAAGGGTGAACTGCCGCGACCCTGCATATTTGACTAGCATGCTCCCTGCCCAAGTTACACCAGTTCTGCAAGGTATGAACCTCACAAAAAAAGGGTACGTTGTGAACAAACGAGACATGTATCAATCAATGGATATTAAATTAAATTTAAGATGTCTTCCACTTGAAAATACATACGCACAAACCTCATCTGCGCACGATTTCAGCGATGTTCCGGCATCTCTGTTCAATGAATGCCAGGCTACAGACTCATCACAAGAGATAATTGAAGTGAATGCACTACATGGTTGGGAGAGTCTGAATTTCATTGGGTCGGCATCAGTCTCCGCCCCGACAGGTGCGACGAACATCTTTGCTTTTGCATACCTCCAAAGCTTACTAAATAAAATAGTTTCTATCAACAACCATTCCCTCTGGGTCTACGAAATTGATGGGCTATATATAAAACCAACACAAGTTGATGTAAGATGATCACTATTTAATGATCTTTAACATACCGTCGTGCTGAGCCTCGCTAACACAAATTATCTGCCCAGGCATTGACGATCCAAAACGGCGCTCGCTATTCCTGCCTGGTGCAGCTGAATCAAGTTCCGGGTGACTACCCAATTGTCGTAGCAAATTCTGGACTTAATCAGAAAATAGCAGGGTTTGGTACTCTATCATATGCAAATGGAAACCCACATATCGCCTCGTCTCCTTCAGTTAATTATGGTGGAGTTAGCACAAGCCCAAATGTTGCCTTGCTAAATGAAACCGCAGTCGAGATGCTTTACCCAAGCCAACCAAGTCAAGAGGTTGATGAAACCTATATTCTGACTGCTGGTCGCTTTGAGAATGCTTGGAAGTGGTCCCTAGATGAGAATCATGCATACAGTCTTGCCTTAGAGGCAGAAAAGCCTATGCTATGGGACCCTCTATCAGCGGCAAAGAGCCCACTAGTGATCACAACAAAGAACAACACATGGGTTGACATAATATTCTCGATGGCTGCAAATAAATCTTCGCTTCAACCTCCTCATCCGATTCACAAACATTCCAACCAATTTTATGTTATTGTGAGGACCTCACTAAGTTATGCCGAGCTACTTCCAGGTCTTACTAACTTGTTCGCAAAAAGGGTTCTGGCAGTGGGCCATTTGAGTGGACTTCTGTGAAAGAGGCTGCCGAAGCCAGTCCAGCAAGCTTTAACCTTGTGAATCCTCCCGTTAGAGGTTCGTTGTCTCCTGCTTCTTTTATCTGGTCGCGAACGGTGATTGATAAAGCCCCAGATACCTTCTCAACACCTGCAGCACTCGAAATGCAGAGCTGGATGGCTATAAGATATCACGGTATGTTGGCTTGAATTTCCGTTTTGCTAGTTCAGGGCTTACAGTGATCGCTTTGACAGTTGAAAACCCAGGGGTATGAGCATACCAAACTTTTCACCATCCCGAAATTGTTCATTTTGCTAATAATGCAGGCATTCTTGCTTCATTGTCATATTGATCCCCATTTAACAGGAGGAATGGCGTATGTGCTGGACATTCTCCCCCTCTTCTGTTTGATGGAAAATAATTAACCGATATTATTAGCCTTGCGATTCTTGACGGTGTGGATGCTTGGCCTACCATCCCGTCTCAATACGGCCCAGGTACACACTGGGGGAAAGTAGATTCTTGATTGTTACTAATATTTCAAGAGCCCTCCAGGTATAGAGTATAGAAAAATACGTGGAGAAATGATCGTGCGAGTATCCCTTATCGGTTGTTGTATCCAAGTGCCAATATCGTTTCTATTTTATTAAGAGCTTCCTTCCTATAAAAGATCTAGAGCAAAAATAAGGCTGAGCCCTCAAGTGGCTTTCTCCCGGTTAATTTCGCTGATACTTGAGCCATTTTCTAGCGGCCTTTCTGGGCCCGAAGAAAAGCAGAAAAACGACGTAGAAGCATGAGACAAAAATCCAACAAAGTAAAAAAAAAAAAACCGTCAATTATCAGCATACCAAGGTCCCGTAACTATTTGAAGTAACTTTGATGCCCTCCAAGACTCAGGGAGATGACAAATAGCCACACCTTACATAGAGTCCCAGGGGTCGTTCTCAGGGGGTTCGTGCTTGGCAGAACGCGGGGGGCGTGAGGCTGATGGGGTTCACTAGGCCAGCGCCACCCCTTCTCCACCATGTCGTGGCCCAGCTTCCTCCAGCCCACTTATTATCCACAGTTGCGAGATGCGCGTGGCCAAGGGATGTGCTCGCTGCCGCCATCGTCATATCCGCTGTGTGGTTCCTGATGGAGCCTCATCATGCTCTCACTGCGAGAGCCTTGGCCGGTCATGTCACCTCGAGCCGCGCTTCCATTTTAAGCCCGTCCGCCACATGTATCAAATGTATGATGGAGCTTTGACCCGATTCGACCTGGTGTGGGATGAACAACAGGTCTGGGTGGGGTTCCCTCAACCTGGTAAGAGAACCTTGTGTCTATAATGCGAATAGTCTGGCGGTTTTAGTGACCGGAGGCTTGATACCAGTGACCTTCGTGAGCGAGAAAGCCGACTCCACGCCCGGATTCGTCGAATTTAGTAGCAGAGACGAAGAACCGCAGCCGCCAGGTTCTACGGTCTTTGAAAACCAACCAACACCGTCAGTTGCGATTGAGTCTGTTCCGACTGATGGCTTTGCGACCGATTCCCCTAGCCACGAATCGGTCGACGTTTTGGAATTATCTCCGCGAGAGGCATATTTGATTCGCTCTTACATTCAAAAGATCGCGGCCGTGGTGAGCCTTTCTCGTCGGCTCGTACTAGTGGTGTCTATTTTCTAACAGCAATAGGCCGATATCTGTGACCCACAGTCTCACTTCAGTACCGAAGTCCCTCGTCGGGCTCTCGAGGAACCAATGCTATTAAAAGCTCTCTTGGCATTGGCTGCTAGACATGATGCAATAATTACCAACCGCGGCGATAGTGAGGCCTCGGAATTTCATGGAAGTTGTTTAGAACTGCTGATCGTCGCACTTGATCAACCAGAGAAGACATATAATGATAATCTCCTGATCACTGTGGTGGTCCTTCGCTTCTATGAAGAACTCGAGCGGATAAGAGACAACAAATGCCACCTTCTCGGGTCAAATCGTCTTCTCAATCTTATGTCTCGTTCTTCCTCCTCTGGAGGACTGGCGGAGGCAATCAGCTGGCAATTTCTGCGCCAAGCCATCTATTCGTCCATAGCTCAGAATGAGCCAATACAACTGGATATGCAGAACTACGAGCGTTCTTCTGTGTTTCGCCGGGGCGATGATTCCGCCCGTGCAAATAGAATCATCTTTTTCTGTGCATGCATCATTCAAATGTGCGGTGCTGCACCCGGATATGTCATCGATCGGGGTAGTTGGCAGCGCTTGGCTGATTGTGTAGAAGAATGGTACCACAGCAAACCTAGATCTTGGAAACCACTTAAATACTGCCCCCCAGATTTCTCCGCTGATCGACCCTTTCCTGAGATATGGATTATGACACCCCCTGCTGGTCTGTCTGTTAAAAGCCTCATTATGATTATATGGTACTGACAACGCTCGTATTTTAGTCATTGGGCTACAATATTACCAAGCATGCAGAATTTTTCTCACACTTTCGGACAGACCACCCCAGATAATGACGGACTTTGAAGTGGCCCGCTCTCGAATAGTTGCAAAGGTTTGCCCTGACACTTGTATGACTGGTTTGTTTGCTGATATCCACAAACAGAAAAAGATTGCCAATCATCTAGTGAACGCTATTGGTTTGTCGTTATCAAATGAAACTGTTCAAAACAGCTACTTTATTGCATCACACCTGCTTCAACGCTGTAAGTACTTTGATTGATTCAAGCGATTGAGACATTCTGACCATGTCCCGAGTTGGATACTGCCTACGGCAACCTGCTGAACAACAGGGGTCGTTGCGATTCCTAACTTGTGTAGAGAAAAATCTCGGATGGCGCACCTCTTGGATTGGGCAAGAATTGCAGCGTCAATGGAGGGACCTGGCAGAATTTGACCCTGAAGAATGAAGGCTTCTGTTGATCGAGACCTGGGGCTTACCTGTAAAAGAAAGTGTGATACATTCAATAAAATATCTAACATGTCGTCCTTTACCTTCCCAGTAAATCACATCTGAGCCAGGAAATTGAACAAGATCAATTTACCACTTCTGGAATTTCATGATAAATCGACGACGATGCGATGCGAAATCCCATGCAGTCATACGGCATCAAATTTATCGAATCATGCGAAACGAGGCTAAGGAAAATTCTAATGATATCTCAAGCCAATCTGAAATGGCTACAATCGAGTTCACCTTTGAAAGCAGCTGATAAGCTTCGAGGCTTCTAGAAATTGGCGATCTCCGACAAAGGCCTACTATAGCCGCCTCGATGCCCTATGAATAGGAATGGAAGAGAAATGAGCCTCGGACTAATACTTCGTCCCCTAAAGTAAAATTTCTTGAAGCATATACCGACCTCGAAATACCAGTAGGTAGCGGAAAGCCTAGTGGCTTGGTCGTGTACAATTAAGAACAAAAGTGGGGATCCAGAGGTCGTCGAATTCTGATTCTGGTGAAATTTAGGATTTGTCGTCAGAAAATTTGGATTTTTTTGCTTATATATGACCCGCAAGGTCTTCAATAGAATCATGGGCGCTTTTCGTGTCCAGATCTAAACAATAATATGGTGTGATATATTGAATGTGTTTCCCGCGGGAAACTTTCGATCAGAGTGCTGAGGAGGACTGGACTGGACCCACTGCGGGGACTTTGACAAGACGAAGCTGCGGCTTTCAACTTGAATCACAACAACTTTAAAGTTCTCGAGGCGATCGGGGTAAGACTCCTGATTTGGACCAGTACCAAACTTCATTGTTCCGGTCTGATATGAGGAAAAGAATGCCGATCGCAAAGATTATAAGAAGGACTCCCCTGCTATGTCCTCAGCTTCAGATCACTTGGAGACTAAAGCTCCATCTTTGTTTGAAAAAAATTGAATAAAATGACATCTATCAAGAAAGCCCAGCCATTCAAAAAGGCCCTTCACTTTTCAGCGGCCGAGTTCATTGACCGTAAGGACCGGACTCTGAAGCTCATGGAACGGGAGGAGCTCGATGGATTTCTCTTCACAAAGCAAGAATCCCTTTACTATCTAACTGGCTTCGATACTTTTGGCTATGTCTTCTTTCAGGCCATGTACTTTCACAAGGATGGCTCTATACGCTTAATAACTCGGATCCCTGATCTCCGTCAGGCCTTGTACACTTCAATTTTGGAACAGAAAGATATCCTCATTCGATCCGATGATGCCGGAAGCAACCCCGTATCTCTGGTACCAAAGGTCCTTCGGGAATTTGGAATCAATTCAGCATCCAAACGCATTGGTTATGAGCCTGACTCTTGCTCCTTGACCCACCGCTTAGGAAAAGCACTAGAAGAAGCTGTAGAAGGGCTTTGTACTCTACTGGACCACAGTGATCTTCTCACCCGCGAATTACGCATTATCAAATCGGAAGCAGAAATGCATAAGGTTCGAAAGGCGGCCTACCTTGCCGACTTTTCTCTTATACGTGCATTGAAACTGGCTAAGCCTGGTGCCTATGAAGGTGACCTGTGGCGGGAGATAGTCGGAACCGTATACGAGGGTGGAGGTGACGACCCTGCGAATGAGAATATCCTGGTCTCTGGTAACCAGGCTGTTCTTACTCGATACTCCACAGGGAAATCAAAAATCGATCGACAGCTTACTCTCGAACATGCTGCTGTTTACAAACACTACCACGCGTGTCTGATGCGAACAATTCCTATTGGAGGTATCACAAAACTGGCCCGCGAGATGCATCGCATCAATATCCTTCAGATGGAAGCTGCCATGGACGCACTCAGGCCAGGACAAGAGATTGGAGGCGTGTTCGAAGCTTATGCTCGTGTGGCAGACGAGAATGGCTTCCGTGACCAGCGGTTTAATAGTTGTGGATACAGCTTGGGTGCCACATTTTCTCCGACATGGATGGATTTTCCTATGTTTGTGCGTGGGCAAAGGGTAGTGGCACAACCGGGCATGGTTTTCTTCATCCATATTATTCTCATGGATAAAGCTACGGATACTGCGAGCTCCATTGGTCAGACAGTGGAGGTAACACAGGACGGCTGCGTTCCCTTGTCCAAGCTACCCTTTGCACTTACTCGAAGACAGACAATTGCTGCCTGGAAGAAGATCCGGAAGGAAGACTATGGATTCACAATGAATGAGATCGATGATGGAGAGAACCTACAAGATGTCGAGCTCAGCGACGGAGATATTGATGAGGAGGACTTTGATGTCGAATATGACTTCAGCGATTATGAACCAGCCGCTGGGCTTGGCGATCCAACTCAAAGCGCCTAATTATGCCGCCATTCGCAAGGCACTTTACTAGATTGTTGACTTCTGTCTCTGATGCAATGAGAACATCTCATTTTTCAAATGCATTTATTGAAATTATAAAGTAACCATGCATAATGCCATCCATAAAAAATAGGCCATATGATTGGTTTCAGAACACTAAGGCTTCCATATAGTTCGCAAAGTCTCGTAGCTACAAATATGAAGTGCAAAAGAACAGTCACGCGGAAACTAAAATAGCTATGAAGAACTAGTTATATTCGTTCATTTTTGATGAGATTCCATATCCACCGAGTGATTTTTGAGACGTCGCGTCAGGCGGTAAAGCTCTAGATAATTGTACAGCCTCGGCAATCGCAGCCTTGAGCCTCTCGATTGAATTGTCTGTGATCTGGTGATGCATTGCGATGCGCTCATCCATAACCTTCACATTGAATTTCTGACACTGCTTCAACAATACTTCCATATTGATATTTGATTTCTTGGCATCAATGAAAAAGAAGTTCGTATGGACCGGGATTTGGGGGAAAACACCAAGCAATGCCAAGTCCACCTCTAGCTTTTTGGTCTTCTCGTGTGTCTCTTTCATGGTTGGCCAAATTTCTTTCAAGGCTACCATAGCTGGCGCCGTCAGAACTCCCGCCTGTCGAATGCCGCCACCTTGCTGCTTTCGAAGCCACCTGGCCCGCTTGATGTTGAGCTCTGTACTTGCAAGCACCCCGCCAACTGGTGCACCGAGCCCTTTTGAAACACACATAGATACAGTATCAAAATTTCGGCAGTAGTCGGCTAAAGAGTAACCAGTAGCCGCCGAGGCATTCCATAATCGAGCCCCGTCGCAGTGAACTTTGATATCGTGGCTATGCGCAAATTCAGAGATTTTTTGTATCTCCTCCATTGGAGTCACCACTCCGCCTATAGTAACCTCGAGGCTGATCACTTTTGTCGGCGCGGTATGGATATCGTCTCCAAGCACGGTCCACTTCTTCACATCTTCTAAAGTCAGAAAGATGCCATTGGCAGGGTGGACTGGAGTCACCATAGCTTGGGATAGGACTGCCAGGCCAGAGCCTTCCTCAGCGTACAAATGGGCACGATAATCACATAGCACAGAGTGTGGAGGTTGGTTGAGATGAACCCGCACTCCGATTTGATTTCCCATTGTTCCAGAGAGCATGAAAAGTGACGATTCCATTCCAGTCAATCGGGCGATTTCATGTTGGAATTCTAAAGTGACTTTATCTTCTTGATAAACATCATCACCAAATGATGCATTAACCATTGCAGTCAACATTGACGGCGTCGGGGTGGTGAATGTATCACTGCGGAATTCATTTGCTGTGGATAATGGTTCATAATTAGACATTTTGATGGGTTGTCGGGGCATCGCTTGATCCATTGACAAGTGCACGTATCTGTAACTGTAGAATGCTATTCTCCGAGGTGATGGAGGAGATTGCAATGAATCGATTTATGTATGCAATATATCTCCAAATGTGTCATAGTATAACTACAGTCCTTGATGAGTAATTGTGGAAAGATTGACATGAAAGGGTTCGTCAAAATGAGACAACTATGGAGGTCCTAACGCTCTTTATCTGGGAAGCAAAGCAAACTTCCCTAAAACAGTATATCGTGACCAATGGCCAGCCACAAAGGCCGAAATGTTCTTATCAGGCGGGGTAAGATCCTTGAATGTTCAAATGGACGGAGTAAGTTACTGTGTACGTCGGTTGCACGGTGTAATTTGCTGGAATCGTCCGACTGAACTCTAATCTAGCCCCGCCTGGCGGGTCGAAATAATACGAGAACTTGATCCCATTTATAAAGTAATAAATTTATTATTATTATGCTTCCCTGGAATAAAATACACACCAAATTTGCTTTGCTATCAAAGGGGGACCGATAGGAAATCAGATCAAGACTAACACGGCAAAACCGAAGGCTCAACAATACTACGTACATCCGATTGCACACCACTGGAGTCTGATCCACAAACCAAAGGAACCAAGTAATACTCTCTTTTGAAAGCCAGGGAAAATCTTTCAATATTGCAATCATCTTATTGCTGGAATTTGAGTATGGCCGAAGAAAGAATTTCGCCGAAGCATGATATGAGCTTCATGGGCTCTTGGCTCATATATGGCGCACTGGCAATCGGCATGGGTTCAGCTGTCGCTATGCTTCTCAATCATTCATACCACACAGAAACTATTCCTGCTTTGTACTTGTACAGAAACGGCGCAGAATCTAGTTTTTGCCCGCAAGTACCGAAGCTGTCGCCTGAGAACAAACAAATCGAACAATATGTTTGGGACAAAGTCAACTCGCCCTTTTATCAAGAAGAGATGATCCAAAAACTCTCTGGGATCATTCGAATCCCATCGGAAAGCTTTGACAACTTGGGTTCTATTGGGGAGGACACGAGGTGGGAAATATTCTTCCAAGTGGAAAACTATCTTAAAACAATGTATCCGGCAGTTTTTCAAAATGTGAAACTTGATCATGCCAACACGCACGGATTAATCTTGACCTGGAATGGGAGTATTGCACCATCTGAGGCTAAACCAATTTTAATGCTTGCACACCAAGACGTGGTGCCAGTACTTGCAGAGAATGTCAAAGATTGGACCCATCCACCTTACGATGGTCATTATGACGGAGAAATCATCTGGGGTCGTGGTGCCACTGATGATAAAGGTTACTTGATTTCAATAATTGAGAGCTTAGATCTTCTGATTCAAAGTGGGTTTCGACCAAAAAGAACGATCATTCTGGCTTTTGGATGTGACGAAGAAATCAGCGGTGAAAATTGTGGGAGACCCATCGCAAATTTCCTTTATGAGGAATATGGAGATGACGGAATTTATCTCATTATGGATGAGGGAGCCACAGGCATTCAAAGAGAATATGGCCAGTCTTTTGCCATGGTTGGTGTTTCCGAAAAAGGCTACTTGGATGTCGGCATCAACGTTTCGTCGACCGGAGGCCATGCCAGCAACCCCCTGATCATAATGTCATTGGTATTTTGTCCGAGATTGTGGTCGCAATCGAGAAAAATCAGTTTCCAAAAAAGGTCACTACAAAAAGTCCGATGTTTCGTTTCTTAGAGTGTGGCGCGATTCATGCACCTGAGTCAAGCTTCTCAGAAGCGATGCGTCATAAATTAGGCAAAGTCGCTCAAAATGACAGCATTAGTCAGATGCAGCTCGCACAAGATTTTGATGATCTGAAATACTTTTTTACCACCACTCAGTCTGTTGGAAAGATCAATGGCGGCGTGAAGATTAATGCTATCCCTGAAACAGCGTCAGTTATGGTCAATTTACGTCTGGCCGTGGAAAGTTCTATTGCCGACATCAAGAGACACTATGAATTACTTGTCCGCCCAATTGCCGAAAGACATGGAATCATGTTTGCTGGGTTTGATGCGCCGTGCGAGTCTTCATTGAAACGAGGAATTTGCCTATATGGAATCGATGCTTTGGAGCCAGCTCCAGTTTCGCCCCTTGATGTTGAATCCTTCCGAATATTGTCAGGCACCATAAAAAATGTCCTCAAACCCCTTCAAGGAGACAGAGAGCTAATTGTCACACCCTATTTGATGCCTGCAAATACAGACACTAAGTTCTTCTGGTCTTTGACCAGAAATATCTATAGGTTCACCCCGGTGAACTTAGTGGAGAATCTCAACAGGGCCCACACAACTGATGAATTTATTCGGGCTAACGAATTTGTCCGAGAGCCTCTATTCTTTGTGAGCTTGATTTTGAATGCAGACGATGTAGCTGGAAGAAAAGGTGAAAATGTCGATTGATGTATATTTAGGCTCATGATGAAGTACAGGCCTCCATACATTTCTATTTGGGAAACACAGCGCAGATATAATTGACGTTTCGTCAAAGTTCTCCCAGACACCTCTTCTCTGAAATATAGGAGCATTATGCTTTCAGCTACTCAAACCAGCTGTTCAGCCAGCTAGAAAATCTGCTTCTTGGACGTGGCTCGTAAAGCGCCTCGTATATGTCAATCTGCTCCTTAATGCCTCCAAGCTGAAGGTCTGCATACCCTGGCCGAATGTATCTTGTACGCTTGAAGACTTTCCACACAGTAAAAGCGACTATAAAGAACCCAATCATCAAATAGGATGTGCAGAACGTGGTGACATCCCAGTGGCCGTCCATAAAAACAGTATATCCGAGGATGAAAGCCACAACAAATGTCATTAAAGCAGCATAGTACGCTGCATAAGGCTGGAGGTATCCTCGGTATGGCAAGGTATTTCTATCAATGCCTTGGTGTTTCAGCGCGGCGTAGAAATGCAAATACGTCACTATCGTTGCAAAATAGTTGATCATATACGACGCAGTACATATCCCCACAAGCCAATCTAGCACAGTGGAAGATGCGTTGCTGAGTTGAAGTAACGAAAGGAGACAAAATGCAAGCGCTGCAATGACGGAATAAACCGGTATACCAAATTTGTTACATTTGGCGAAGATAGCCGGTGCCTTGCCATCGGCTGCAAGTCCGTGAAGTGTACGGATAGATGAATAGACAACGTTGTTTCCGCATGAAAGAACGGATGTCATAATTAGAGCATTGACCAAATCGGGGAGACCCTTGATTCCAAATTTGACCATCGAGATGACGTAGGGAGATCTGTTGCGTAAGCTAAGAACTTAAAGATCTCCAAGGAAAACTTACGCAGCCCCAGTGCTACCCTCGGTTCCATTGATATACTTAAGCAAAAGAGCATCATCATATGGAATGACTATACCGACGCATAGAGCGCCACCCAGGAAAAAGATGAGTAGACGCCAGACAAAAGAGGAAAAAGCCCTCCGCATCAACTTCCGAGGATTTTCAGCTTCACCAGCTGTCATGGAGATGAACTCGGGGCCAACCATGCTACATAATGTAATTAGCTTTGTCTCATACTGTGTAGCAGAAACTGATACTAACGTGAAAGAGCCCTGGATTATGCAAGAAACAAATCCAAGAAACCGTCCAGTATTTCCAGGAACAAGATACTCAACAAATCCGCCCTTGTATAGCATCAATTAGTAAGGCCTCGTACTATCAGTGTTATCAAATTAGCTCACAGGATTCTTCCAGTAGGTAAATCCATACGCCCAATGGTCCGGGTTGCCGCCAACCATGGTGATAAAGGTGTAGCAAATGAGGCCCATCATGAGGAAGACCTTGAAGATGGCCATATAGAACTCAGCAGTTCCGAAATATTTAACGGCGAGTCCGTTTAGTCCCCTAGTAGGCCTCAGTTAGTTTCTGTGACGCTGTTTCACAAGGTAGTGGAGGAGATTTACGCGTAAATCGCTAAGCAAATAACCACGACGGCAACTACCGGAACTTTGTCAGTCCAGTAAGTAAGAAGTACGTTGATTGCCGTTATTTCGTATGGAATAGCAAATGCTTTAAAAACTTATCAATCCAAAGTTCTATGCAGGTCTTGAGAATAGGTACTTACCCATAAGAAAAAAGTAGTTCCAACCCATGGCGAAGCCCCAGGCATCATCAACCCAGAATCCACCTAAACGAACAAAAGGAGAAGCTATTGGGAGATAGGTAACCATCTCGGCTAAAAGGAATAATTATGAATGCGAAATTCCATAGAAAGGTTTGATGGAGTGAACCCACCAAAGCATTGGTTGACACTCCAGATAACGGTTCCATACACAACAAACCCTAAGAAAAGGCCAGCCGGGCCACCCTTTGGGAGGCTCGCTCCCATCTGTACGAACAGAGCTAGTCGACACCCAGTTAGCAATATATTGATCTCACATCTGGAAAGAGTCACTCACACGTTCCAATGGCACCACCTACCGCCAACATCTGAACCTCTTTGCCACCTAATCTCCGATGAAGGTTTTCTGAGCCAGCAGAGATAAGCTCAGAGCTTAAGCCTTCTTCACTATCATGCTTTTGTGGTGGCTTTTGGCCATTGTCCTTCGCTATCTTGATGGCGCTCTTGCAGTCACCCATCTCGGGGCTATTTGTGGCTGTTTCCATGGTGTTTGGGATGTCTTAATTCAATTATTACATGAATTTCATATCAAGGGGATAATATAGAGGCTTTAAACAAGATTTTGAGCCATAGTCACCATATTCGAGGTGGTGTCTCCATAATTTTCGCTATCATAGCGAAGGAGTATCTTTCCTGATATGCCCATCCCGAAACTCAAGAACCCCCGCACTTGAGTTGCCCAGAACTCGTATCCTTGAAGCCAATAAAACTAATCTCTGAGCTCCACATCTCCCGGGCATTATCTGACAGCTGATAGTGCCACCACCTTGTGTAATATATTATGTCAAGATGGAAGACTGCATAAAACCGCTAAGACCAAACTTCTCCCCGTGGGCATCAGATTGATACAGGGATACTCGATTTACTGCATGTTTTGTATGGTATCCCGGGTAGACCCAGAATACAGCGCCGTAACGCGCTAGACAGCGAGGCAGGGGATATTCAACATTCCCCCGCCTACACACTGAGATAGTTCAGTCATCTAATTTGAGCATCTTGTTCCATTGGATCCCAGCTTTCCTCGCCGATACCGTATCCTACTATATTGACATATTATGTTCGATGTGGTATCTCCCGTATTGAGTTTCCCGCGGAATGCCTGGCACGCATGCGATGTCTCACGTGGGGTTCACGTGGGGTTCACATTCGAACCTTGGCTTGTGTGCTAACGCACACTGGCCTTTAGCAAGACATTTAAGCTACGCCACGAGGCAGCGACACGGTGCAATTGGAGCTTATTCTATTTTACCACATAACGGATACCTTCAGACTAAAATACGGGCCTCTTTCCCACGATGGCTCAATCCTCTTTACCCCCTCTAAAGGTCCCTCTGAGCAAACAATTCGCCAAGTTCACTAATTCCACCGCGGGCCTCGACTTGACACTACGCTTAATCCATGCGCTTGTTCTCATTGGATCGGATGCTTACTTTCATCATGGTATCGCCATGAGATGCTCAGTTGCAGCGTCCCAGATAGGATTAGGTAAAGGTGACATAACCTACTAAGGGACATTCATGTGCTGATTAGCTTCCAGCAAGACGTTATCTTCGTTTATTCTCTTTTATAGACTGCTTTCAAAATGTTCACGACTTTCTTGTTGCTAGTCCTGTCGTGAAGACCAAGACAGCAATGATGGAAATGGCCGAATCGAGCTGTTTCGGAATGTATCTGGCTCTAGAGGCCACAACCATGGTGAGCGCCAGAGTTCAAGCCTTGATATTATACATGGGAAACTAAACAAAAGTATAGTTGCATGACATGAATGTTGTCTTAGTGTCATGGTACTCGCCCATCCTGGTCGAAGCCTACAAGTTCTGGTTCTATGGCATTTGTATAGGAATTTTGAGAACTGCCGCGACCATTCTCTTTAATCTGACATCCTCGAAAACAGACGACTCCTCTGTGGGTTCAGAAAAGAAAAATAGAGAGGAAGACAATAACTCAAATTCTTCGAAGCCAGTGTTGTCCGCATTCAATGTCTTCAATCAACTTAGCATTAACACTCTGGACTTGCTCATTCCTGGGTCATTACTGGGATGGATCCCTGTCAGCGACTTGGGGGTTGCAATTGCCATGTTGTTGAGCACAATTCTTGTCTGGCCAAGCGCTTGGGCAAAGGCGCAGAATTAGATCAAGTTTCTTGAACACAATTTTGCGAGGCCTTATCTGTGAGAAGTTACCAGTCAGACACGCAGCCACGGATGCCAGATGTTTATATAGACGAGTATAGAGTCAGAAATGGGGACAGTAAATATATGACAGTTCGGGGTCGCTTCCCGGCTCCTCTCAAAGTTTATATACTACTGACAGTAATGGCGTCGAAATATATGGAAACCAATATCATCAAAGGGTATCATCTACTAAACGAAATAGAAAAATGACCACAAAAACAATTCCGTGTTATATCTTCACTACTGGGCTGAGTAACATCAACTCTCAAGACTAATCTACCATCCCTGGACGACGATGGAAAGGGTTGAAGGTGCTACAATTCATTGCGCTTAATTGCCCGGTTCTCGTTCTGGTCTCACCAGTGACAACCACTCCTTCAAGAAGTCCGGGCAGAGGTCCGTGATTGCAGAAGTCCCTGATGACGACTGGTCGTATCCGATTCAGTACTAGCGGTATCCTATTTAAGACAAGCTGTCCCCCGTCTCATACTAGTACCGGAACGGTCCAGGATTGAAGGGTGTAATAACTACATCATTACATCAATTTAAGTTCCCAGCCCCCAATTTTAACTCGCATACCACAGCTCCTTCATCTTTACTCTGTAACTTACATGTTCCTTGTATTCCCAACAGCACAGTTGACACATCGCCAATCAAATTAATTACGCGAGATGAACCCGACACCCGAGACTCCGCTCATTGGCGACCCAAGCCATAGCCCATCGAAACAATCGATGCGGGATTCGGATATTCCCGACCTTATCATTTTGAAAAAGCGTAAAGTGGAAATCGAGGCACAGCTCAAAGATAGCAAACGAAAATGGAAGGCACAGGCTTCATTCGATCTCAAGTTTTGGACTCAAGCAGTAGAAGTGGAAGATTTGGAGATCAAAAGCTCACAGTTAAAGAGGAAGATTTCACTCCGCGCCTCTGGGATCAGCGAAGCCCAGTGGACCAATACTACCGAAGCCCAGCAGATATTTGAGCAAATCGAGGCTTCCGAACAGTACAAGAAAATTTGCCGAAGGCAAATAGCTGAACTTGGACAAAAAGCACGATCTAGATCTCTCAGAGCTTCCTTTATGAAGCTTTTCACGACATCGAAGATGGGAATTGGAGTCTTAACAACGGGCGCTGGAAAGCGAAACTCGAGCGAACAATCAGAATTCAGAAAAGGTCTAATCCAAGCCTACGAGGCCAAGCATTCAGAGCAAAATTGGCTGTGGTGCCCTATAATGGGGGATTATCTAGACCCTAAAGACATGGTTGCAGCGCACCTTTTTTCTTGGAAGCATGGCCAAGATACTATGGACGCTATTTTTGGCAAGCAAAAAGAAGCAGAGTTGTTCTCGCCGTGTAATGGGATACTTTTATCGCGCCAAATCGAAGACAGCTTTGATATTGGAAAGCTGGCCATTGTACCCTGGGTGCCTGAAAGCGATGACTCAAAAATAGAGATCATCCGGCGTTGGCTTGCTAATGAGAAGAGGGAATATAAGGTCAAGATATTGGATCCTAAGTGGGACCGTCTGGAATCCCCAATCTCTCGGTATTACCAGCTCAAGTTTAAGGATCTTGACGGACGCAAGCTCAGCTTTATTGGATCCTTTCGACCTGCTGCACGCTATCTTTACTTCCATTATTGCATCCAACTTCTTCGTCGGGCTTGGCAGCATAATGAAGCCAAGAGCGCTGCTAAGGCTGCAGGATTGCTGAGAGAGGAGAATGGGAAACCTTTTTGGGGCACGCCTGGGAGATATCTCCCTAAAAATATGCTTCTTGCCATTGTTGAAGAGCTTGGCTATGAATACAAGGCCCTATTGGATGGAGCCGGGCGAAATCAATCTGGAGATTCCGACCTATTATTGGGAATCGCAACCGCCCAGGTAAAATTTCGCCGGCCAGCTATAGATGGAATATTCCAGCGAAGTGACTCGTCGGATAGCGAAGAGACTGAGGAGGAATCATGATGTGAAGGACTGGGCCTACGGACATTCGCGAGACTATACACAAATTTTGTTGTCATTCTATTCTTATTGTCATCATTAGCATAGCAGGAGTTCCAGTGGCGAGCTGTGTCAATATGGAGAATTTGAGCTCATTCACAATTTTACTACTTCTCCCAATAAGGCTCAATTAAGTATGGAAAGAAGCTGTGATCTCTTAACCTACTCACGGCCTTTGATACAATGGCGAGACCGGGGTATCTAATCGTTTGCGCTCTTGTTACCGGCACTAAATAGGGAAGAGGGAAGCTCGTAACTATATGAGCATGCGCAGAAACGCAAATGACAGCCCCCGCGTTGGAGAAGGCCTCACCTATCGACAAGGGAAAGAAAGGGAATGTGTCATATCTTAGGACACCAACTTCATGAGGATTCAATGTAGGAAGCAATTGATTCTTGATATGGTACAGACAACACTAGATAGCACTCTCGAACCCCATGGTCAAGACACAGACACGGCCTGCTATAGGTGGTTTCTCCGGCGCACAGGGTTGGTCGCAAACGGACGAGAAACAGGCACACCAACAGCATATTACCACAATCGAAGTAGAGCCCGAGGGGCGGGAAGGTGCTGTCCAACTTGGCCTATACAGCGGATAGGCCACTCCGGCGCTCGCTCGTAGCACCGCTCGATTAAATAAAGGACAAGGCAAAATAAAACACCACGGGATGTAAAGTTTGTAAGAGGTTGGCAGATGAAAGGCAAAGCACACCAGCATAGCCAAGAAATGGAGATCCGCGTGTCGCCATTGGCAGAGGAAAAGACCAATATGTCGGGGTATAGGAAGAAGGGAGGGTTGAGGATGGGGTTGAGAGGAAATTCGAAGGACGGTTATCACGTCCAACGTCCACTAAATCGGCATGTCATCACGCCAGATAGGATGACGGCGAATAAGGACGGATGTGTTTAATATCATGCTTAGGCAGAGAACTTGCGGGTGATCTTGGCGATGACTGTGTCAAGTGATCAGTGTCAAAATCCGAGTTAGGGAAATCTCAAATGTAGTTTTCAGTGGTCTGAGACCGACAGGAGTGCATACCGTGAAGACCAACGACGGAGAAGATGAAGCCCAGACTCAGCACCAGCACGACGACGGGGTCGACACGCAGACCGGGGCTCTCATCAGTGTAGAGCTTAAGCATGGTGCCAGAGGAGCCACCGGCGCCGGCCGAACGGGTGGAGCTGGGACGAGCATTGCGCAGAGACTCCTTGTGGTCGGCGGCGGCCCGGCGGCGCATAGCAGCGCGAGGGCCACCGGGGGGAGTAGGCGAGGAAGGACGGCTGATGGAGCCCGAGGCGGCAGCGCCAGCACCGGCGGACTTCGAATCAGGGCCGGATTCGGCACCGGAGGTAAGAGGAGAGGCGGGGCGAGGAGAAGCCTGGCCAGAGAAAAGAAGGTTAGATGGCTAGTTTTTGGGGTTGGGATTTCTTTGAAAGGAGGTCGAGGTGGCTAGAACGGGCGTGGGCGGGCGCAGAGACCCCTCCAGGGGCCAATTGACGTGTGGGAATTGGGACTTACCATTGTGATGATGTATTTGAAAGGGAAAGATTGCACAAGAACAAAAGAAGGGAAGGGAAGAAGAGAATAGAAAGAAGGGATTTGGGGTTGAAGAGGAGGAGGTCCGAAGTTGCGGAGTTGAGGCCACGATCGCGGTTTCCTGTTTGATACTAGCGTGTGTTATGGGACGGTTATACCCTCCCCTTCCTCACGCAATATGGTGTAATTTTCTGTAAGCTATACCGCAGATCCACCAATGAGAAGCTACAAAGGTCCGTCCCTTAGTGACACTGTTCAGAGAGTGATCGATAGCATAAGTCCCCTACGATGGAAAATTTGTGGCATTGAGTGGAGAATGAGCGAGGATTTCATAATATATTGGAGATTTTGAAATTCTTGAGATCCTAGTTTTAAATCACGATCGTTGGAAATACCGACTGACATCTGTCATCATAAGTGACATGGGGTTAAAAAGGAAAGGGTAAGAACAGCCCCGGGAATCATATCCAGAAAAGACGCGAGAAAAAGGGAAGAAGTAAAACGAAGAAACGCCACCGGTGCTATCGTGAAAGGTAAATATGTAGGGTAAGGAGAGGACATGGCCAAACAGGAAGTAGTCACAGGGAAAGTTTCCAACTCAAGCCCACACTTGCGTGAGAGGATGGATATGGATCGTAGAAAGGATGCGCGGGCGAGGTATCATACCAGGAACCAAAGCAGATTGAATCGAAGATGCGGGGGTGGGGAATTGAGGCTCAAATGACCAGAGTGGTCCGAGGTAACAAGAAGCGTTAAGGGGAATGATTAGGAAGACGAGAAAGAGAAGAGGCAAATGAAAGCACAATAAGGCATACCCGGTCCAGCTCCAACGCCAAAGAAGAAGAGAGACAATCACTCTTTGAAATACAACAGAGCCACCAGGCTCTGCTTTGCGGTCGAGGACGTCTCAATCAATCATCATCCGCGATGGAATCTGGCCGCCCACATTCTCCGAGAGCTCGGTGTTCTTTTCCTCGGGACGACCCTTCTTCCGGTTGATGTGCGGCTTCAGTCCGTGGTTGAAATTGTTAGTGCACATGCAGGCGTTCACGATGGTGATCACGATCAAGACAAGGGTGATGATGGCGAAGAATGTCATCGATGGTCTTGCTGGTAGATACTGGGGGAATGTCGCCGGAGCATACATGCGGAACAGCTTGAAGCAGAAGTATGCCAGAGCAGCAAAGAACAGAAGCTAAAAGGGGTCCAAAAGGTTAGTGACAAGATTAGACCAGAGCAAGACTTGCGGAGAGTTCGACTCACGATAATAATTATCATCCCGACCAAGCTTTCCCGTCGGACAAACCAGGCACCAAAGGCCAGGATAATGATGGTCACGGGTACGGCGATGATGGTCAGGTAGAACTCGGCATCATGTCGGGAAGAGGACACAACAACCAAGAATTGGACGGTGAAGCCCAGGAAGAAGAAGAAATCGAACTTGAGCAAAGCAATGTAGATCTGATACGTAAGATAGCGGCGTTTCATGCGAAGATCCGCACTGATATGCTTGTAAATGGTCCAAGCAAATTCATCGTAAAGTTTCCAAGCGACAAAAGTCATCAGGATGGTGCCCAGTCCGACAATACAGGGAATAATGATCAGAAATGGCTCTGATTCCGCCCAGACCACCGGATCGATGAAATTCATGTCGGACAGAACAGACACTGCATTTTGAATCTGACGGATTTGCACGGCGCCATAGATTAAGAGGCCTATGTTGCAGAGGCACAGTCCGATAATTTGAATGGTGTTTTTGAGGCGCAACGCATCGTATACGAGGACCAGTTCATAAAGAAACCCAAAACTGTAGAGGGCCAAGAAGGTCGAGACGGTTTTCGAGGAAGGGCTGGTGTTGGCTACTTCTTGGATCTGGAAGTTGGCAAAGATGTAACTATATGAGCGACCGTCCTAATTAGCGATGTTGCTCCTGTCGCACCGGTCGCAAGTCCCCGTCGCCGTAGTACTTACCATTCGAGACCCAAGGTGACGAGAGTCTGGACAAGAGTGACGATGGCAAAGGACCATGTCCACTGTGTGTTGGGGATATACATCCTGCGCTTGGATTTCTTCGGAGTGACATTCGCGTAGCTTTGGCGGGCGCGAAACCCGCGCGGATCTCGAAATGCGGGATCCAGTGCTGAACCCCCTAGTAGGGAAGCGCGTGACCCGTGAGAGTGAATCTTGCTTAAATGCTCCGTGCCGGAGCTCGGGTCCGCGGAGTGCTGAGCGAAAGGCACAGTGACGGTATTGGGCCACCGGTGGGAAACCGGTGGAAATGGCTATTTATGAGGGAAGGGGAAAGCGGAGGGGGGGAGGGGCCAAGAGGAGGCGGGCACCGTCGGATGGAAATGGTTGGCTTGCAGAAACAACAGTGGTCTCTGATACGTTGGTTTTCCGGCGAAACACTCGCGACGAGACTTCCTGTACGCTGTGGCTTGGCGAAGGTATTGGACTGGGGGGGAAACCCAGCGATCTTCCCGGGCTGCAGCAGCGATCGGACTGGAAGATGGATTAGACGCTCCAATCTCGCCGTCGACACATTGGAGTCTCCAAGAGGACGTTCGAACGACACTGGCTCGAACCAGCCGAGGTATGAACGAGCGAGTGTCAGATGTTGGGGATGAGGGTCTGTTACGCCGGTTGGTCTCAGGTATTTCTCAGTATTTTGGGGTAGGGGAGGGCGAGGCGGCGAGGGAGGTCGGGAACCCGCGAGAAATGAGACAATGAGACAATGAGACAATGATTTTCGGAGGGCTCAGCAGACAGTGAACGGTGAACGATGAACGAGTGACGAGAAGGAGGGAAGCCGAAGATTGGAAGAGGGTGAAGGGTGAAAGTTGCCAGGTCGAACGGTCGAGGTCGAGGCGAGTGGAGGAAAACAAAATGGCAGCCTCAACGGTTCCCCGTCCCCTCGAGCCGAAGCCACGGTTCGTCCTCTGACTAACCAGCGTGCTACATCCTCAATTATCACCGGGGTCGTGACGATTCGCGCTCTCTCAACTTGGAGAAGATTCTATTTGCCCATTTGCTAGGCTGGACCTCGTTTTGTAACCCTCACAAGGCTGTTCGATTTATCTCACCTTCGAGTCGCAAGGCCTACCACCAAAAGGGATCCGGGGTTGAACCCACAAAAGCCCCCTATGATCCAGAGTGCGGAAGAGCACGGAGTCCTCTGTGCCATGCTCTATTGCTCTATATTCTCTATATTCTCTAGTATTTACTGTGCGTGTGTTCCGAGATGAGCGGCAAGACTTGCTACGATCCCCATGATCTTCCATCCTCTCCCTGCGCCCTGTTGTTGCTCATAGCATCACGATCGGAGAGGAAGTATAGAGATCGCGCTGTGCCCACGTCCCGTGCATACTTCAACCGGGCGGGTTTCGTGTCGCAAGGGACATACCTCGTCTCATGGAGCTGTGATCGAGCCTGGAATTTAGTTCTTGAATAGGGCTTGCTTTTTTTCTTTTTTTGTCCTTTTTTTTTGCTATTTTGCTTTTTCCATTTTTCTTTCGCGTTCGAGACACAAGCTCGCCCCTAAGGGTCGCTCCCCGTCCCTGTCTCAACTACTCCGTTTCTGGTTCGCAGTGGGGCCCAACCGTGTTTCCGAGCAATTAATTTGACGTGATTTGGCGATAGTTTGGGTCGCCAGGCACGCCCCAAGGGGCATCGGTCTGGACTGCGGTCGCATGGATCAAATTGAGGGCTGCTATGGAAAATAGCTCAGGTCCACGTCAGTTGGCTCGCCACTCCAGATCACTGGTGTCTCGATCGCCCTCCATGATGAGGTCTTCTTCGCTTATTCTTCGCGGCTTCGTCGCTTCCCCCGTGGATCGACGGACGCCTCAGCTGTGCGCACACTAATTACGAAACCGCGGAGTCGGGCCCAATCCCTTGCGATCCACAGTTGCTCCTCCTCCTCCTCCTCCTCAAGCCACACGCCGGCCCAGCGTCGGATGCCCCGGATAAAAGGCCACGGCTGTTCTCCTGCCCGTCGCATGGACCGCATGACACACTCAATTTCACTTCTAGCGTTTGATCCTCTGGTCGACATTTGAGCTAGTCTAGAAAGAGGACATTCGGGTCATAGCTGTGGCTGAGTCCAGTCCCTGGTTTTCTTTTCTCTCTCTTCCCACAAAACAAGAGCTAGCGGCCCAACAGATGGCGTCGTCACTCACTCACTAACCAACAAGCTAATTCTGAGCTACGCAATCATTTCAAATTATGAGAGTGGCTGGGGGGGAGACCCCCAGCCAAAATCTGGGGAGAGAAGGGGGGGAAGGGATGGGGGTCCGAGTCGCTGCCAGTCACTCCATGCTCTTGTGCGTCCGTTTCTTCCCTGCCACGGTGGCTGTGGTCGGCTCAGGCAAGCCACGACCAGGCTTGTGCCGCTTCGGCCTCCTTGCGGTGTCAGTTGGGGTTCAATAACTCCGGCAACGAGATTGAGAGGCTCGTATTGCGCTGTTCCGGTGCGCCTGTCACTGGGGCGTGTCTCAAGCTACATGTGCATAATACAGAATACATAATACATAATATTACCATCTACAAGTCCTCTGTTTCGGTCTATGAATGCGGCACTCTATATCAAGCCTGGGCTCTCCTGGGAGAGATGCTGTGAGTGAGAAAAAAAATGACTTTCTGCAATATGAATAACACTACGGTATATATTCCGATCTTGCGGACTATAAACGCTTGTGGGTGCATCCATAACCACTGTCTGACAGGGGCAAAGATGCAAGAGGGCCGAGCAAGAGGCCGATCATGCGAGCTGGAGGCTGGAAAATGCAGGGATCGGGACGCGACAAGGTCTGGCCACTCGGTCGGAATGCTTTGGGTCGGTATGCAACCTCCCCACTGCATAACCGTGGAACCTGGGCGAACACACGAAGGCTGGGAGAGTCCCCGCCACTCTAATTGAACGCTTGTTAGCAATGCACAATATACGTAGCCCAATGATATGGAGTGGGTCGACGGACAGATGCAGTGGAAGCCGTGCAAAGCCAGTGTTGAACATGATGCAAGCAGGAGCAACCCGCCAAGGTCAAACGGATTGCCGATCAGGGAAATCTAACTGCTGAGGTTATTATTAGAAGTCCGTCAGAGCCATCAGCTGTTGACTTGATATACTAGATAGATATAGTTATTTCGAGCCCACACTGTCTCCAGGGAGGCCTGAATGACCGAACCAGCGAAGATCGCCGATATGCTCTACGGTTAATACAGTGTTGCGTGCTCATTATATCATCGAGCAAATTACTGGAGGAGTCGCAGCAACAATCCATCATCGAATACCTGAATTCTATCTTCGGCGTGAAAATAAGGGTAACTGGCTCTTCGCCCTATCGCCCCCAACAGGTCAATTGTTGCGCTGATTGGTCTGTTTACTTTCATTTGCACGTCACAGGAGTTGGTCCGCTCCAGAACCCCCTGTGGACGACATGATGGATTTTTTCGACGGCTCAATATCGTCCGACAGGCGTGGAGGCCGATGGGATCAAGAAAATCTATTGCAGGCCAGAGTCTCACCGCTGGGCTGCTAGGGTGCTAGGATGTGATTCTCAGCTGCACAATCGCGAACAGATTGGCAAATGAACATGGAGCGCTGAATGCTGTTAATGGAAACTCACGAACCAGTCCATGGTATAGATTGCCATATTGCAGCTTGTAAAATGGTGAATACTCGCTCTTAGCTTGGTCTCGCTATATACACATGTTGGGAGAGCCTGATATGGCTTCAAGTTCGCTCATGGCCTTATCAAACTGGACTGGAGTTCATATTGGAGCCAAGATGGCAGTGCACCCCGAATTATATCGTGTGGACGCGGGGTCTCCGGATAGGTGACGAAGTGTATATCTTCGCTTAGATGAACATTCGAGAAGCGAAGCTTTTCGCACAAATTGCCCTCCGTCGCCTGCCATTTCGCACATCGAAATGTACCACACGCTAGTCTCTTCCACCATCTTTCTCTCCTCTCGCCATGCACATCAACATGCCTGACATTGAACTGGAATCTTTGAGCATGACCTCACTGGAAATGCAGTCCACTCGGTCCACTTTTGGGCAGAGTATGCATGATGACACAGCAACTTTGGTTCATAATCCAGTCACCGACTCGAATCTTGTGGACTGGGATGGGCAAGATGATGTTACTCATCCCCGCAACTGGTCAAAGTTTTCCAAGCTGAGAATCATCGCCCAGCTTAGCCTCCTAGCGTTCTATTCGTATGTGGCGTTCACTTCAGAATCCTCTTTTAGTGGAGTGAAAAACTGATATCCAGTGCTCTCACGCAGAACCCTCATCTTGGCCATAATCACCCCGGCTACATCTGACCTCATTGCTGAATTTCGTATCACCAATAAGGTTGTGGCAACCATGACTGAGACAATCTCCTCTCTGGGTGCAGCCATAGGACCATTGGTTCTTGCTCCACTGTCGGAGATTACAGGTCGCCAACGAGTTTGTTGGGGGAGCGGAATACTATACGTAGTGTTCACTGCTGGCTGTTCACGTAGCAACGGGGTGACAACCTACCTGGTGTTGCGCTTTTTCTGTGGTGTCTCCTCCGGTTCCTTCATCGCCTGCGGGTGTGGCTCAATCGCCGACTTGCTTGTGAACGATGAGCGTGGCACGGCAGTTGCTACATTCACCCTCTTTTCTCTCCTAGGCGCTGCTTGTGGTCCGGGAATCGGTGCCTTTGCAGTCGATAGGATAGGATGGCGGTCAACGCTCTATATGGGCATTCTTCTGGTATGATACCTTATATTTGCCTTCTTTCATCTATCAAGAGTGGAGCATCTAATTGTCTTATTTTGATATTTTTAGTCGGGCATAAGCACCCTTTTTTCATTTATTTTTATGACCGAGACCAACGCTACCATTCTCCTGGCGAGAAAAGCAGCTCACCTTCGCAAAGAAACCGGAAATCCAGCCCTGAGGCCCGCTGGTGAAATTCGAGTACCAAGTCTCAGACGTTTCTCGAGCGCTCTGACTCTACCATTGAGAATACTGTTTCTGTCCCCAATAGTCTTGACTCTCGGGGTTTACAACGCAGTGGCTTTTGGCCTTACTCATCTCATACTTGCAACGTTTCCAATTGTTTACCAGGAAGTCTATCATGGAGCAGCCTCCGTGTCACTCTTATCATTTATGGTTCCTGGGTTTGGCTGTCTTATCGGAGCATTCGTGTTCGCATCAAAGAGTGATAAAATACTGCAAAGAGGCAACGGGCCGGAAAGCCGTCTCTTGCTGTTGCTTCCTGTCAGCCCTACTCTTGCAACGGGTTTCACCTGGTATGGGTGGGCAGCTACATTTCCCAAAAATGTTCTAGGGCCAGCTTTTGGCACGGCCCTCATTGGGGTTGGTATCGCGCTCCTCACAGCTTCAACGGCAATCTACATGATCGATACTTTTGGGCCCGAAGGCGCAGCATCAGGCTTGGCGGCAGTCCTGCTGATTCTGAACGTCTCGGAAACCTTCATACCTCTTGCGGCAGAGCCCATGTACCGAAAATATGCAGTGGGATATGAAAGCACAATCATGACAGTTGTCATTCTAATCCTCATGCCCGTGCCAATTTTTTTTATAAGTTCGGTGGTAGGCTGCGAGAAAGATTTCCTGTGACCATTTACTAGCAGGTCAGATCTTTGAGGAGATGATTTCTAATCTTGACTCCTCATATTTTGAGCTTTTTATCCGCCGTCTTGAATGATTATCTAATAATACCAATGCGAACTTTATCCATTTCAATCCACTCCTGCAAACCTCGTCCTCTTTAGGAACTGGTAGCCAGCGTTTTAAGCCAAACGTGCCAACAATAGCTTGTTTTGAAAAAGTCCAGGTCTTTCTTTCAAGATCACTTTTCGACAGAGACCTTCTTCCACGCTCTATACAAAAGTTAACCTTCTGGCGTACAAGTCATCAGTTCCTGTGGTATCGTCTGTTCTTGATCGTTGATATTCGAACACACATATATAGTATTCCGGAAATCGAAAAGCCGGCTACCGATAACCCCTCAGATGACGTTAGTTCTATCATCTCCTCTGGTTTCCTATTTGGGTTAAAGTGCAATCATACCTCGAGCAATCGCAAGCCAGTCAGCGCACGTCCATTTTCACTTCCCCGCACAGCAAGCCATACAGGATTCTTATCGCTTGACACTGGTCGATCGGCAGCCTCCTTATCGGGGCTCATCTCTAGCGACTAGTTACCATGACTCAATTATCTAATCATATTCTTGACAAGCTTGGGCTCATGGTATAAATAATAGGCGGAACTCACTTTACTCTGTGATGCTTATCTTGATTTATTGAGACCCTTTCACTTGCACCTCTCGGAAACCATGCTGTCATTGTGGGTAGGGACTTTTTTATTTTTTGGATATTATATTGGCCTAGGGCTTATCTCGCCATTGTCCAATATCCCAGGCCCTTGGTTTACACGTTTCACAAGTTTCTGGATCAAATATCAAGAGTTTACGGCAAATCGACGAGAATATATTCACGATCTTCATCAAAAATATGGCCCAGTTGTTCGTCTGGGACCTAATGAGGTTTCCTTCACAAGCCTCGACGCTATCAAGGAAATCTATGCCTCCGGTGGAAGTGGGTACGATAAGACTGAGTTTTACACTCTATTTAAGCAATTCAAGACAAAGTAAGTCATCATAAAGCATCTCTGCATAGTTTGCAAAATTGCTAAATAACCGATGAAGAACAATGTTCTCGACACTACACAAAGATGATGTGAGAAGGATTTTCATTCAGAACAATCAAAAAAGTCTAGTCAACTATCACTGACAATAAAATAGCATAGCAAGAGAAAGCGCCTGTTTGCCGAACGATATGCAATGACCAACATCATGAAACCTAAGCCTTTAGCTGCTATTCATGAGAGAGCCATCGCTTTCGTGACCAGGTGTGTGGAGGCCGGGCAAAGAAGTGTTGACATATACGTATGCTTTCAGGAATAATGCTCATCTTGATCAGACTACTTACTCCAAGTACCAGGTGCTACTTCACTGTTACGCTCTGGACTGTGTCAGTCATTTTATGTTCAGTCCGGGCGGGCTCAGGTCGTTGAACCTTAGAAGGGATTTTGAGATAATGGAAGAACTGACTTACCACCAAAGTCTACAGAGTGAATATGACCTTTGACAGGATTCTATAAAATTATATCTGACATATTGAAACAGAAAGCTTGCTGTCGTATTATCTTCCATCTGTGGAACCCTATTTCCCTAAGTTCCTTCATCCACGCAGCGCTCCAAAGACCAACCAGTTTGTTTTGGACATGGCTGCCCGAAAAGAATTAGAGAAACACACGCTTCTAGAAAAGCTGAAACGTCAAGAGTCTGGTCTCGACGTCATTCAGGCTGCGGCAGAATGCAAGGATCACATGGCTGCCGGAATTGATACCACCGGCGATGGCCTCTGTTTCTTGATGTGGGAGCTCTCGCGGCCACATAATCTGGAATCTCAAAGAAAACTACACGAAGAGTTGAAGGCTGCATCAGTGGATGCTTCATTGGACAGTCTAGTGTATCTTGATGCAGTCATCAAAGAAGCGCTGCGCTGCTACCCGCCTATTCCGATGTCACTTCCGCGTTATGTGCCCCCAGGAGGGCGTGTAATCGATGGATATTTTATTCCCGCAAACGCCATTGTCAGCTGTCAGCCATATAGCGTGCATCGTTGCTGTGCCGATGTTTTCCCGGAGCCAGACCGGTTCTACCCCGATAGATGGCTTGACCCGGAAGGTTCTGCGGAAAGAAATAGACATTTCTTTGCGTTCGCTGTTGGCGGGCGAGGCTGCACTGGAAAGAAGTGAGTTTCGAGATTTATTTGCCTTGAAATATGCTCCTTGCTGACTTCAAAAAGCCTTGCGTTGGTCGAGATGAAAACACTCCTTCGAGAAGTTTATTCTCGCTTCAGAACTACTGTGGCGCCCGATATGAATGGGTCCATGAAGCTGGATGATCAAATTATATCTGCTAGACCAAAGGGACAGACATGCAAGTTGATTTTTTCACCTATCTAGCTATTTATTTGGAAATAACATTCAAATAACATTCAAACGGACCGGATTACAATCAAACCTGGACAAAGCCCGCTTATTTAAGTTATGGATTATCCATTCTTTGGCCTCTCTATTTATTGGAATATTGTTGGATAATAATCTTTCAGGTGCAATCAAGTCATTTGGTCCTAAACTATATCCATTACAAGGTTTTAGAGAACCGAATTCGTATTTTCCGTCGGGGGAAGAGACGACCGCGGAAGTACCTGATCTAGCCGACATCTGCGGGGCGCGAGGGGAACCTGATACAAGGTGCTGCGCGATCGGCCCGGGGATTAGCGACACCGCTTGATAGGCCACTCATCCTTCTCCTCGACCTACCTAATCCGTCTTCATTGCCAAGTTTAGCGAATCGCTTCCTCTGTATTCAAAATCGCAGTTCAGAAGACGTTGGAAGCCACGAGATCTCCAGTCCTAGAGCTTCCGACAATATCTCAAAGTGCCTGGGCATCTGTTGTTAGCCAATACCTCTCACAACTTGACTCCAAAACAAGGTGCTTTCATAGATATCTTAAATATGTCTCACTTGGACAATCCTTCTACCTCGAGCTGTCGCTTCTCCACGCGCATCTCTTTGAGATGGCTACCAGAACCCGCCCAAGAAACAACAGACACGGTCGTCATGTCTGTAAAGGACTGGTACCTGGATCTCCGAATGGACAAACAAACCGGTGGCATTGACTGGGCTATCGCGGGCCAACGCCTGATCGAAAGCCAGGAGCCTCGTTCGTTGCCTCCCTCCCCATCCCCTCTCCATTGACGATGCCGCCCTCTGTGGATGAAAACTGAGCGTGACCACTGATCATCTATTTAGTCCGAGTATCTTTCACACACGAACTGGACTCCCATGATGCTTTTGAGAGCGCCGACTGTGGTACATTTGTGTCTCTCCCAAATGGTGACGATTTGGAAACGGGGTCTATGCCCCGGCCTGATATACCTGGAGCGCCAATGACAGATTACGAGGAAGCCTGGCGCGAACTGCCTTTCCGGGCAGGTCCCGAGGGGGAGAAGAAAGGATTGTCTTGGATCCTGGAGTCGGTTGACGGTGGTGCCTTCCAAGACGGAGAAGAGGTCACGGTAACCAAGAAGTTTTTGGGTCGGATCTGGGGCACTTATCTGGCACTTCAGCAGACACAAACTCATAGGAGAGAGAAGACCGCTACTGGGGACTGGGTGGTGCGCAAGACGGGTGCCGAGGTCAGTGCCAGAAGGGAGGAATGGAGCTCAGGGTGGAAGGGGAAGTATGTGGTTGGACCGAGTGGAGATACTTTGCCTTCAATGATTAAAGGTCTTGAGGGAGAGGGTCAAGGGGCTTGGAGAACTGTTGACGGGAATGTTCATGTACAGGGAGAACCATACATTGTTCGCGCTTTCGAAGAGATAGAGTAGCCATATGTAGAGACACCCAACATTAACGGCTGCCTCATGAAGATATATTTTTGACCTAACCAAGGTCCTACCCCTGGCTGAATACCTCTTAATTTACAGGTAGAGACTCGATAAAAGATCAGGGGTTGGGGCTATATGAAGCAGGATTATACTCACTGTATCAATTGACATCAATTGTTCTACATATATCCTACTGTTCCACGGTACAAGATCTCTCTCATTGCTAACTTCATGTACCCTTGATGCTCCAAATCCAGACTACCGGCAGAATCGCCAGCTCCGCCCCCACCTTGGTAGGCGGTGAATCTCCCACAGCACCTATTTTCTTGACTCACTTCCTTTCTTTCCTTTCTTTTTTTCTTCCTTCAAGCGCCATCCCCACCAATGCTGCGTTTCTTTGCTACACACGACAGCAGGCTTGTCCTATCTGTCCTCGGTGCTCTGGTCTAGATACCAGCCCCGAGACCCTTTGCAAATGAGAAATTCGGAGGAATCTTCAAACTACCCAACCCGCCCTCTCTTCTTACGAGAAGTCCGAGGGCCGGTGCTGCCCGCAAGGGCCTGGTGTGACCTATTCGACACACCTGCACTTGGCATCAGAAACATCGGGGGACCCGGCATTTGTCGCTACCCCATGGGAGAGTCGGTGCGGAGATTGTGTGTGATGACACTTTAGTGCAATACGCAGCATACTGTGCTCTTCTCCTTGCTTTCGGGGAAGGAGAAGGGCGGTATCATTCGATTCCGATCATTCTGGTGGGGATGGCGCTTCATCTCTTTTCTAGGTCAGTTTTTTTCCCCCCCTCCTGGCTTCCGAGTTGCTTTGTGCGCTCCTGGTGGGTCTGAAAAGAATTGTTTTTGGCGACTCTGCTAATTAGTGGGGTTGCGGACCTAATCTCGCGTAGGCTACTCCCTAGAGTGATGTTGGGTACATGCTGTACTTTGAATACCTAGAGCGCGCTGTATGAGATAGATTATATGAATACAATGCCTGTGTCGCTATAGTTTTATTGGACGTCTATCGTTGCTTAATTACCATATCGCGAACAGCGAGCCGAAACCAAAATTATTCTAAAACCTTATTGTCAATTGTAAGGAGGGCATGCTAACAGAGGATATTATACTGTCCTCGGAGGAATAGTGGGAGAGCAATAAGGTGTAAGAAGCTTGAGGTGTTTGGCTCCTCAGGATGAATTGAAAAAAAGTAACTATCATAGATGAAAACACTTTGCTATCCCTTCTATTCCAGGACTCAGTGCAGAAAAAAAAACAGTCATTGCCTCTGTCAGGGTCTCTCCATTATCGTAGGGGCTTCATTTTGCGTGGACATGACAAATTGATGTTTACTCCTCATCACCAATCTGTGGAGAGTAGTTAGCGCTGCGTAGTCGCATTTTCAAATACCATGGCACATACCTTGGGGGCGAGATAGAACCGCAGGTGACCGCTTCCCAGACCGTACTCAACAAGTAGGGGCACCTCCTGGGACAGGTGCAGTTTTACGGAAGAGGAAAGGTTGGAGGCCTTGCAGAAGTTGACGAGGTACTTAAGGGAGAAAGTCAGAGCGACGGGCTCAGACAAATCGATCGAGACGTTCTGGTCGGGCTTGTCGACGTTGGTGTGCTGGCGGATAGTAACGGAACCGTTACCAATGTCACCACTGCAGGAGAACTTGACACCTTCCTTGCTGGCTTCAATGACAACTACAAACATGCACTCAGTACTGGAACATCCCGGTGCAAGACGGGGATAAACGTTTGTGGGACCACTTACCGGACTCAGAAAGGGCGTTGAGATCTCTGCAGATACGCTGGAACTCCATAGAGGGCATCTCAACGGTGGCGGCATATTCAGTCTCGGGGATAGCCAGGTGCTCCTGGTCGATGTCCATAAGCTTGATATCATACTCGCTAAGTCGGTCGGTCTCGGCGCTCTCAAACATCAGGTTGACGGCATCGGGAGAGTCCTCCGCCTTCAGAGTCAAGATATCTTCATTCTGGGCGGCCCGGAGGACCTTGGTCAGGGAGTTCAGGTTGATGCCGAGGGCAATATTACGGTCGCAGCGGTAAGGTGAGAATCCTTCAGCACGGAGTAGCATGGAGACAAGGGCAACATGGGAGTTGTCCATGGCCTGCAGAGCAATGCCGGAGTCATTGCAATCAAAGTTGCAGTCCTGGACAAGATCCTTGATGGCGTCGACGACCTGGAGAGGGGAGCAATGTCAATATGTCGAGTGCAGCAGCACAAAGGAGATGTTAAGAGAGTACATACGCGCTTCAGAAGGCTAGCCTGTTCCAATCGTGCCTCAAGCACTATTGATTCGGGTTAATTGAGCTCTTCGCACCACGGTCGGATGGAAGCTGACAACTTACTGTTGACGTGGGGTATGTGTAGAGAAGTAGTGGGGTGATGGAAGAGGAGGAAGTTGCGAGAAGCAAAGATGTATTAGGTGGCGAGATAGCCTTTTTAATGGGAGATGTAGGGAAAAGAAGAGGAAATTCTTGTGATAAAGAGGGTTGTGAATGAAGACAAAAGACACGGCGGTCTGAATCGCGCAGGCGAAATCGCGGTCGAGGGTTAGTGGGGAAACGCGTGCGCGCGCGTTTGGCGATATGCCCTTTTCTGGCTAGCGCAAGGCCTTAGGCGACAAGGTGTTGAAATGAGACGGCCAGGCGCGACTCATTGCGGACAGTCTCAGCAATGGCATCTGCATATCCATAGTTTGTCTTCAATTGATGTAGCTATTTGCAGACTCTTTGTGTCGTTCAGTAAAAGTAAGAAATTTCCTAGGAAAAGGTGTTGGGAGTTCCTAACCAACTGATTGCCACAAACGATGGAAGCTTCATTGGATCCAGACCATACACTGAGACGGGACCCATCCCAACCTCCCTTCTATAGATAGAAAGCAGGGGCATAAGCAAGGGAGAATGACTTACGGCGAGAGAAACTTAGGGATGGAATTAAGGATTCTTGTTCCTGTGCAAAACGAACCTTTTTCAAGCCTTAAGAGATCTGTCGGGTATCGCAGGGCTGACTGAGTGGTATACAGGGGGTCCAGCGGGATACGCTGATAATGCGAAAAGACCGAATAGTGAATCATTATGGTCTGGAATTTCCAAGTATTGATCTTGATCTAGAGTGTCATCTCTATATTTGTCCTTCTCTCCCCGCCGATGCGAAAAGACACGCCAGGAGCCCTGTTGCGGCATCTTAGCTATGAAGTCACATAAAGAACCATACTTGGAGCAACTATTGTATCGAAGGCACATAAGCCGTGGATATTAAATTGAATATCTAACTGATCTTCTTACTTCAATAACTCAATTGATCGAGTCATCGAAAGGGGAAAGTATCAACTCTTCAGGCTCTGCCTCTGTACACTATGTAAAAAAAAAGCTGACTTATAACGTCGCAGGATGGGTATTTTCATTGATACATACTATTGTTACATTACGATTCATTCTATTGCATAAGACTGAAGGACCAAGGGCTTCCAGTTGTGGCATATTGTAAAGCATTTTCCACATCACGTCGTCGGAATGTAGGCCCTCGACCAACGCACATGGTACTCAGGGCAAGAACTGTCACTATGTCAGCATATGCCATATGGAAGTACTTTGTATGGACTGTGGTCACTCACTTCTAATAAAAGCTGTGGCATTAAACTGGGGTGGACCCTCCAGGCGCGGACTGGACTGTCCCAGACCAATATCGTAGATCCGAATGCCTCTTTCTAGCAGGAAGTTCTGGACTCCGCTAGCATCTAGCCACTCATTATCACCGGACTCAATAATAATTTGCCACGTTCTAGATGATAGCGCAAGCTGTTGTCGGGAGTTGATATTCTTCGAGCGTAACGGGCTCAAGACCGTGCTCCTCAGTTCAATCATATCGCCCACTTCATCATTCATGGCCGCATAGAATCCGGAGACCAAACGATTGCGTTCCAAATTGGTCAACCGCCTGCCAAAGATTTCTTGGATTCTGGTATCATTTCCTGGTGTATCCACCAGCAACCTATACCCCCTCTCGCAGCATTCTCGCACCAGACGATGAGAAAGGGTCCAGCGCTCTTGTTTGACGAGATGCGTCGGGGTAACCGTCTCCGGCGGGCTCGACATCGGTGGGCTTGGAGTAGAGAAAGGAACAGTTGGACCTGATAAGACGATGCCAAATGGCAGTACGGCTTGTTCTTGATAGGGCGGTGTTGGAGGTAATTGTGACATTGGCCACTGGGCGAAAGAGATGAGTGAGGACTGATTCGGGTCGTTCATGATCGGGAACGGATCGAACTGCATCATGTCTGGATTGAAATCCATGTTAATAGGTTGGGGGGTCATGCTGGCTTTGCGGGGGGTTTCAGTCGCGGGGGTGTCGACGATAGCGACCGGGGATGCCTGCTCGGCCTCGTCGCAACTGCGTTTGGCAAGCGACACACATTGCTGGGTTATTTTTTGTAGCGCCGATGCCACCAGCGGATGTTTATTGAAGAGATCTTCTTCGAGTAGCAAATTACTGAATGACAAGAAAGACTCGCTGAGCTCCTCGATGCCCGACTCAAGCTCTTGCACACGGGCTTGCAGATTAGTGATTGTAGTCTCTTTGCGACGGCGATAGGCCTGTTGTGCCACGCGAAGCTGTTTGCGACGTCTCTGCACGCGATGAGCGGATGCCCACTTGCGGTCTTCTTGGTGGGCCTACCTCTGGCACTTGCTGGTCGTCCGTCACCGTCCGGGGCCGTCCTCTTTTGCGGGGCGCGGTCGCCGGAGCGGGACCAGGAGCAGGAGCAGCAGATTTGGCTTCTGCCATCGTTGTCTTTTGTTTATGCACGAGTCGATTAGTCGACGATAGAGGGCCGTCCTCGAGTGATGTAATACTTGGGACTGAAGAAAGAGAACAAAGGCGATGGGGTGGTGGTTTATTCAGTTTATTCATCAACGGGCGTCGGGGTGTTGAATAATCAGAAAATGACTGGCGCTGACAGCTCCACCAATCAGCGGGCCGCGCCACCCTCAGCCGCCCTCACCGCATCAGCAGACCCAGTCGTTTCCCAATTGGGACAATATTCAGTCCCAAAGTGGGCTAGCGTGCCGTGGAGTATTTGCTTATACTTAGTTGGGCATCTCGTCGAGATGATCTTCTGTTCCTGACCCTTCTGACCCGTCATCACATCATGATCTATCACATTCATCACACTTAACCTCGTACGGCTGTGGCTGTGCGTGAGCATTGATCATCGAGAGCTCGAAGCTATTGAAGGCAAAGCCGCAATCTGATGTAACCCCGGTTTTCTTCAAATGAGTTTCTTCGTTCTAAGCGAGTCTCAGCCTCTCACGCATACCCAACTGAGTAAACGGCTCCTGCCGGCTCTTTTGCTCGGAGAATTCAGTTGTTACACTATAGTGTATCAAATATTGGTAGTTCTTAATTTGCATCTTGTTGTGTCCAGCGCAGTGCGATATTGCCATCGTTGCCTTTAATATAACGGATCGCGCCGCTCTGGGGCAGCATATCAACCCTCTCCTTGCAGTCATTCGGCGCAGCCCAGATCCGTGCAGTACGCCGCATGATGTCTTATAGATCGAGCTGGGGCTAGTACGCCTGAAGGACGCGAAACATGTCGTTGCCGCACTCAGCCACGGCACATGTCACGGCCTCTCCCCCTTGGAATGTTGAACATTCAAGTCGGCTCTATACGCTACGAAGAAACGAACGATGTTGCTCAAGCCTTGTCGAATCACCCATAGTAAGGCAAACCCATCCTCTTCATATATGTGGTCGTGATCTCTGATGAGTGAAGCCACAGTTGACTCGTGGCTTCCCCGGATAGCCTAGAGAGCGATCTGACCTTCATGGTTAGGAACACCTCGACCCCTCACTACAAGGAGTAGATCCTCAATCCCCGTACATTCATTCTTGGTAGCCCAAACTAAAATCTTGCCCTGGTACAGTCTTGGACGTCAAGTTGAGGATCATGAGGCAATATTAGACGGACCTTCTCCGCCATTCCTGTGACAGCCACACATACCAAGGCAGTACCGTCTTTGGAGTCTTGAAGGATGAATCATGGCCCTTCGCAGATATTTGAAGGACTGAAAAAATGAATGCGAGGACCGAAAAACTCCGCAGAATACAGAGATCCATGAGTATAAAGATTGATAGTTGTACAGAATATGTGCGCCAATATAACAAGAAAATGGTAAAATCATAAACCAAGCCTCTTCTATATGAGCGGTAAGATCAAACAGAGCTGTTGGCCTTGGCCAGTTACTCCTGGCAAATAGTAAATCAACACTCTTTTATACCATATCATATGTGTTGGCCCTTATCTAAGGGCTAGCAAATCGTATACCATCGAGTGGCCGGACTTTCAATGGCCGAGGTCTCATCGAAAAGGATCATCCGGATGTCTGATGCGCTCAATAACGGAGACGAAAGAACCTTTCTCCCATGCATTGCAATGACATGAAGACCATCATCCTTAACGTAGCAAGCCAGTTGCTGAATCATGCTTCGGTGTATCCAGTCACGATAAACATATCGAAGGGCATCTGTGTCTCGCAGAAGGTAAGATAGATAATCGTGTTTCCACAAAATCTGCTCCAGTCCACCAAACGTGCTCCCAGTTCCGCGTTTTAGCTGCGCAACAGTAGCGAGAAGGATACTTTCTGGCAGATATTTTTGGCCATTCAAAATATCTGTTACACGGTCTGTATAGTACAAAGTGCTAGTGGGCCAGAAGCCTGGGGATTTCCGCGTCCCCATGTCACGCTCAAGCCGAGAGCTTAGAGCCGTTAAAATCCTGTCGGGCAGGTTAGATTGCTTCTCCAAAATTCGAGCAACGGCGTCCTTGACATTCATGGCGGGGTCCCCCAACCCGGATTCTAAGATATCCAAAGCTCTATCAGTCAAATGATAGTGGGTTCCAATGGATTTTGCAGCCGATTCTCTGACATCTGCGTCCGAATGCTTCTCCAGTTGACCGAGGAGAGTGTCCAGAGAGAATTTGGGGATTGAGGGATAGGCGGCAAAAGTAGTGGCATCAGATTGTGTGCCACGCAGATTATCACCGACAGACCAGGAAGATTGTGCGTGCGAGGCATTTTGATCTGACAAGTATTCTTCGCGCAGTGGGCTCTCTCTGAGAGCTCGATAGGCATGCTTGCGGATCATGGGATCATGGTCGGTCATAGTAGATAGAAGAGCCCTGGCAGCTTCAGCGGAACGTCCGCATTGAGTGGCAATAATAGCAGCACTGTATTGCCGAATTTGTTGATCGGTGCTTGTTTTCAATTGCCCTGACAAAAAATTGATGGTCTCCTCCGGCAACACAGATAACGACTTTTTTTCTCGTCGCTTTCTAGAACATCTAGGAAGACTTGTTTTGTGTTTGAATCGGACATGGCTAGTGTGGGAAGAAGACTCTCCATGGTATTCTCAGGCAAAGTGGAGACATTTGCCAGAAGCAGTGCAGAAAGACATCGAACATCAACCGCTGGATCCTCTAAGAAGGCTCCAATCGTATCAATGAATCTCATCGGACGCTCTGGCCAGGATTGCAAAAAATCGTAGGCTATGGTCCTAACTTTCGCGTCAGTGTCACTCAAACAATGCACCATTTTTGCCTCGACCTGTTCCGATAGTGGCCACTCGGGAACGGTGCCGAGGATGGAGAATGGAACGCGCCGCTTTTTGGGATCCGAGTCTGTCAACATAGAAACAAGGTCATCCAAAATTTTGTTTGGGAGTGAAGTTTGTGGGCTTATTACTACCAGGCATCTCCGTTTGATCTCCCAGGGCGGGTCTTGCCGTAGAATATCCCAAACTAATTCTTGAATGCCAACGGATGGTTGTTGGTTTCTTGCTCCCAGCGCGGACAAAAACAGTTTGAGTTTCGTTTTGCCAGCAGGATATGGCTGTTCTGCAAGGATCTGGAACACCACACTATCTGGAAATTCTGTTTCCTTACAGAGGGCAAAATAGCCGAAGGTTGAGCACTCCCAGTTAGTCCACTGCAAACAACGATCCTCTAGCTTTTTGCGGATTTTCTCAACGGGGAGCTTCTGATCAGAACAAGGAACTTCACTGAAGCAGTGCATCAAAAGTCGCAGATGTGAAGGACCAAGCATGTCATGGGGTTTCTCTTCGATCTTCTGAAAGAACCGATATAGCTGGGCTGTGTCTTTGAAATATAATAAACCAGCCACAAATCGCCAGAAGATATCATAACGACCATTATACTTTTCCTCTTCAACCAACTTATCTGGTGCAATAGTCGTAGCAGCTTTTTGCGAGGCACGGAGACTGAGAAGGGTAATATCTTGGCCAGAAACCCAGCATCGGACAAAGTACTGAGCCGCAAAGAACTCTTGGAAAGTGAGATGAAGAAAATGATACGTCGTTGAGGCTCTCTTGGATAAGTCAGATGTACGGAGGAATGAAGAACCGTCGAGTATATCGTCGGACATCCCCAAAATTCCTGAATTCTCATACAACCGATCTCGATGACGGGGTGAAAATTCAATAATGTCGTTCTGCAGGCCTGTGAACGCAAAAAGCTCGAGCATTTCCATCTCACGCCCAACAAAGGCCTGCAGCTGAGACCGCTGGCGTAGCTTTTGGGTCTGGTTTTCGCTCAGAAGAACCCGTTCATTTCGCTTTTCTAGGCGTAGCACGTCCTTTTTCCACAGGTTGTGCTCGATTGCTTGGTAGAGAGCAGTCATTGTCTTTGGCATGTCTTTCTTGCGCAATTCATCATCCCATGAATAGCATAGGGCATCTAGCTGGATGGGAATCTGGATGAGACCTTGGATTAGACAGTGCTGATTGATGAACTCCTGCATTTCCTTTCGTTTCGTAGAATCCACTACAACCTTGTTCAGGTAAGCTGTGACCTGATTCTGCTGGAAGCCCACAGTCTCTAACTCCAGATCAAATTGATTGACTCCCGGAAGCCCAACGGCAGACGGTCTAGATGTGATTATAACATTGGAGTAGTTTAACAGGTCCTTGAGGGAATCGGTCATGTCACCAGCGCCAGAACTGCGCTCATCTGAAATTTCATCAAGACCGTCCAGGAGCAGCAATGTCTGCGCATTGTTCGGACCAAACATGCTGGCCCACAAGGCGGAAACAAGGGATTCAGATCCCAGTTGAGAGGGACAATATTTGAAGTAGTCTTGAAGTAATTCCTTCGGGCTAGCCTTACTCTTGAGACTACGCAAAGGAATCCAAATCAAGCGATCAAAATGATCTCCCCAAAGCTGGCCATTGAGGAAGTCGTGGACGATTTTCTTGCAGAGTGTCGTTTTGCCCACACCTGCACGACCTCTAATCAAGATGCGCCGTGGATGAATTTTGGTACCATCCAAAAGACGCCTTGCTTTGAAGATCGAAGGCAGCGGCACATTCTGGTCCGCAGCATCAGGTCCAACCTGCAAACGGCTGAAGAGAGTGAATGCCGAGGCCTGGTTCTTGTCTTTCTGGCCGCTTTCAAGGCCTCCCGAATGCTCCACTAGGGTAAGATTGATATAGCATTGCTCCATATCCAATAATTCCCCAGAAAGGCGCTTGATCTCCAAAAGTCCCCCCTTGGTATACTGTCTACGCAGTTCAGAATCCACATAGAACCGCATGGCTTCTTCACAACCTGGGAGAGCCTTAAGCAGTAACTTTGATGGGTCAGCCTGCAACGAACTGTCCACGGCCGAAAAAACCAGAAGGTTTCCGGAGTTGTAGTCGTCGTTTTTCCAAAATCGGATTTTGTGACGCACATCAACTGGCTCGGGTCTCCACGTTGGCTGATCCAATGTGTCGGCCACGACGCCAATCCATCTCTGCGCAAGTCCATACTTCGCCTTGATTAAAGGAATTGCAATCTCGATGACCCTTTTTACACTGCCCTTGGTATGCGACGAGCCGCCAACCCAAGCCCGCTCCAGTTGCGCCAGTAAACCGCTCCAGAATCGTTCCATATCATAGCATGGCGATCGTTGGATAAAGTCCTCCAGCATCTGGTATGCACCAGCTGTGAGGAGAATTTCCGAATACCGGAGAGCCACATACCATCCTTCTTGCCTCGACAGTGCCCGGAGAGCCTCGACCACATCTTTCGATTCTTGCGATGCACTGTAGATGCGTTGAACACCGCCCACCATGGAGCTGATTGTCGACAGCAGGTTCATCACTTCGGGAGTGGCATCAAAGATCTTAGATGGGTCCAGTGTAGGCACTGCCCCTGCGATCTTAGACGCGGCCAGGACGAGTGTTCCGGTGTGCCGCCAAAAGGCCTCGAAGGTGCCCTCGTCATTGGAGATGCTCAGCAATCCCTGGTACGCATAGCCGGCTGCCTCAGCTAGACGGGGCTCCTGATTATTCTGCAGCCCTCTCAACTTGAGCAGGAGTGGTTGATGAAGATACTCCCGATTGAGACCCGTGATTTTAATATCGAGCATGGCATCCAGTAGCCTGGACAGCACGCGGCATAGATGGTACTGTGTTGCAACTTCTGCCCGATGAGCTGCTTTCTCCAGCCGTTCTCGCAGACTGTCCAGCACAGACCCCAGATGGGCAGTTTCGGCCGACAGCACATCAGGCGCCCGCCGCAAAACCCGAGTGAAGTTAAGGAGAAGCTTTGGACTCAGCACATCGCCATCAGCGGTGCCGTGGATGATCCTGTTCGCAAACGTGGCTATGATTGTCCGATACTCCTCATCGGTAGCAATGGAGGCGAGTTGCACGACTTCCGGCATAAATGAAGGCAATGGTTGCTCCTCAAATGTATAGATCATGCTCGTCACCAATTCCCGCAGCACTATCTGTTCCTTGACATTCGAGGCTGACCGACATCGCTGAATCAGCTCTTCAGTCGTCGCCGGGCCTGATACAGCAGACATGGCGTCCATGACCCTCCTCCCGGAGGGCACGAAGCGAGCAATCACACAAGACCACCCAGCGTGGATTTTGGAGAAATCGAAAGGATTCTGCAGCGATGGAGAAGGTGGGGGGGACGTGTCACTCTTGCTCGGCTAGCGCCATCACCATACCCAGTCAGGCATCGAACGATGATTGATACGCAGATCCGCAGAATTGGAGTGGCTCTCTGGTGGCTATGTCCGCAGTTGCATGGCCATGGTACTTCATGGGGTTCATGCAGATGCAGGAACCATGTCAAGTTCAAGTGGGCTGAATACCATGATTATCAGTATGTCGCGCCCCTGTCTCACCAATGGCCCCCGAATCCGCCCCCAACGCCCGATCCTCGTCTTCACCACGCTTCCTCTTCCTCGTCTCCCTCCGCATTCCTGTAGATCGCCCCGTAGATCCCCTCGGGGCCCCCATCCCCGCCAATTTCTGTACCGCCGCCTCGATCGTCCCCGCCCTCGTCCGCGGCGACGCTGTCTGTACCCGAAACAGCACCGTATATCGTTCAGTCCTTGTCAACCCGTCAAATACAGTCTTCGCCCGAGAAGCGGATTCCAGAGCCCTCTCAAAGTCCTCCGGCACCGTCATTGTCGCGGGTCCCGCATACGCGCGGGACCAGCGGCCGTCAGCTTGAGCCGCCTCCACGGCCGCCCGGCCGGCCGGGCGCATGCGGCCCGCCAGCTCGAGGCGCACGGCGGTGGCGACATTCTTCTGGGACCAGAGGCTCTTTGCGCGGCGCGGGGTATAGCGCACGAGCCAGGAACTTTGGTCGAGGGCGTGGGCGCGGCCGTCAATCCAGCCGAAGCAGAGGGCAGATTCAACGGCGTCAGAGGCGGAGACGGACGGGATGTTCGAGGCCTTTTTGGCGAGTTGTAGGTAGAAGCCGCGAGCCGTGGTGTGTTCACGCTCGAGGAAGTCTTCCAGGGCTTGAGCTGTGGGGAAGGCGTGGATGGGGAGGTCGGAGGGGGGTTGTTTGGGTTGTTTGGGTTGTTTGGTGGTCATGGTGATGTGGTCGGATTAAGGAGGATCTGTGAGGTGAGGCTTCAGATAGAGGTTTAAGGTTAAAGTCGTCAGGTGCCATGCATGTTGGAGGAAAAGTACGGAATACGGCCTGGGCTCAAAGCAGGTCCAAGGAGTTTCTGCCTAGGCGTCATCGTGGTGGCCTCGGCTTTTGTAGATCAGATTAGCCGTGTTAGATATGAGGTGAATTAGAATACCCAGGCGATATGAGCGGGTCTGGTTTATTTCAGGTTTGTGTGAACCTAGCGATCGATCTCAGATCCCTCGGAGGGTGAAACGAACAATACAGATAAAAAGAGATTAACCCGACCGTATCTAGGGACGGGGTCCGGGCATTGAGCCCAATCTACGGAACAATCAAAGCGCATGCAACAAAGTACAGTTAAATGCAGCTCAAGAAAACGTATGGTAATACACGGCGGAAAAGATCAAACCAGATCAAACCAGCTGTGATCAAATCCGATACATGGGAAACAAAATATTGCTTATCTCGACACTGCAAAGACAAAATCAAGTCGGCAGATGCATGCGGTCAAAATGATGACATGGAAACCCTGTCCTCTCTTCCACAAATACAGACGCCAGCAGGAACGTTCAACCACTGGGGACATTTACCGCTTGCCCTTCTTGCGAGGAGCAACGACCTTGAACGCAGCGTTACTGGCCTCCTCCTCACGCTGGGTCGCGGCAGTGGGAGTAGCGGCCGAGCCCTTCTTGGCAACCTCGCTCCAGCCACCGCCGTTATTCTGTTCGCCGAACGCACTGGGGGAAACAGGGTCAACAACACCCTTATCAGCAAGCTTACGGCGGCGGATGAACTCGTCGGCGAAACGACGGCCGTCGAGGGTCTGGGAGTTGGCGTAGACGGAGTCCGAGATGATCTCAGCTTCGGCAGGGAGGAAAAGAAGTTGCTGAACAAAGTCATCGACTAGAGACTAAAGTTAGAACAGGCAAATCCTACCAAGAAAAGATGGAATGCATATCGGAACTTACCATTGATGTTACTGTTCAGACCCTTGCCCAGTGCCAGCTTAGCCCACTTGGTGAACTCCTCCACAGCCCGGTTTGAGTTGGAGGTGGGGACGCTGCCCACGGTCACGGTACGGGTAGCAACACTCGGGCGGGGCTTAGCAATAGCAGCGGCGGCCATGGGGACAGTGCCACTGGTAGAGCGAGGGCCGAGAGGAGCGGCCGGGGGAGCCTTAGCCTTTCCTCCAGCACCAACAGTGGTCCAGGCACCGGAAGAGACGGGAGTACCGGTAGCGGCAGCAACCGCAGCAGTGATACCGGAGGGGGCAGGAGCGGCCTTGCTGGCGAGATCAGCATATCGCTTGCCGACAGAAGCTGGGGGGCTTGGGGTAGCAGTCTGAGCTGCGGCAATCGCGGCCGCAGCTAAACGCTGCTTGCGAGCCTCCTCTTCCTTTTGGATCTGAGCCAGAGTCTTCTTGGTGGCGGTATTGGTCTGGGCGGGTTGGGCCTTGGTGTTCCATGGCGAGCCAGTAGACGAAGGAGTAGCAGGGGAACCACTGCTGGCCCAGTTGGCAGACGAGGGAAGCCCAGGAACAACCTGAGCCTGGGCCTGGCTAAGACGTTCTTGTTCTGCGAGAAGCTGGGCACGCCGAGCGGCGGCGGCAACTTCCTCCCGCTGTGCGGCATTACGAGCTTCAGCTTCTTGGATTTCCTTCAAGGATGGGCCCTTAGGGAGCTCATTGGCGTCCTTTGCCCAAGGGGCAACGGAGGTAGCGGGGGTATCAATTGGGGTTTGAGTCTGGGAGCGAGAGCCAGCAGCAAGAGACTCAGCAACGTTCTGGCGGTTACGTTGAGCCGCGGGAGCGGGCAGGGGAGAGGCCGATGGTGGTGGGGGGGAAGGGCTGGGGCATCGCACGATCAGCCTTACTGCCCCAAACCGACTCCGGAGGTGCTTGGCTCTGTTGATCCTGCTCCTCCTGTTGTTGCTGGAGTTTGGCGGACGCGGCCTTTTGAACTTGCTGAGAAAGAGTGAGTGCAGGTTCCAAATCAACGGATTCGGTATCAGTCACTACCTCAGTGGTGGCTGCAACAGTCTCCAGCTCAAGCTGCTGATCAGCGGCAGCAGCAGGGTGCGTGGGTAGACCATCAACAGTCCGCATACCAAGCTCCCCCTCCTGAGCTCTTAAAGCATGGAATTGACGGAGTCTCTCCTCGCGGGCTTGCTGATCGAATGGATCGTTGGCGTTGGCGTGATCAAACTGCTCTTGTTCCTGCTGGAGCTGAGCGCGGTCTTGGAGCATGGAGGCTACTTGCTGGGAATGCAGGAAGCTATCCGGCTGGCGGCCGGCGAATGAACCAGCGCTTCCAAAGGCAAATGGATCCTGGCGGCCCACATTTAGACGATCCAGGAGAGCTGGCAGTTGATCCTGGCTACCGAGTTCCGTGCCTAACATCCCCGGTCCAACATTGGGTAATCCACTCTGTCTAATGGGACCAGCGGCATCGAAGAAACCGGGGAGGCCCTGGGAGGGCTGCTGCCCTTGCACCGGGGCCTGGATTGGAGAAGGCTGATAACCAGCAGGAGAAGTGATGCTTCCGAAGCTAGGCTGGCTGTGAAGACTGTGGGCGCTAGATTGATGCTGGAGTTGAGGCTGCAAAGATGGAGGGGCACCCGGGACCTGCATCTGCTTCATAATAGCTTGTTGCTGCGCAAGGTGTTCTTTCTGGCGAGCCATGAGATATTGCTCTTCCTGCTTTCGGCGCTCCAAAGCATTTTGCTGTTCGGCCGTCAAGGTGGTACCGAAGCTGGGGAAACTGCCAGGGAACGGGGGCTGGGCAGAGCCCGCAGCATTTCCAGTCCACTGACCAGGGGCAGGCTCGGGACCATGAGGAATCCCGATCTGAGGGACGAGGAAAGGTTCACGAGAGTTCCCAATCCGGCGAACTAGCTGCGCTAGCGGTTCGAACTCTACATCTTCCAGTTTCTTGATCTGTAAATCGGGACTGAAAAATCCAGCCTTGAACCAGTCATGCATTTCAAGTCCAGTCCACGGTCCTTGAATATTGCCCTGAGGATCACGATAAATCCAGCGCATCCGATCAGGCATGACCATGGTGCGTTGTTGAGCCGAAGAAAGAGATCCACCAGGGGTAGGCACCTGCCCAGCATCATGGCTGAGGCCAGCGGGGATTGAGCCAACCGCCGAGACTGGCGTTTGCGAAGCAGAGTTGGAGCCAGGCTTGCTTGTCTGTCCCGCCTTCTCTGCCTGTTGAAGGTCAATCTGTCCCCTGCCATCCTCCAAGCCCACAGACTCCGAACGGCCTTGTTCTTCTGCCATTCCAGAAAAGAGAGCACCCAACTTGCTGGATCGACCGATACTGGCAGTACCAGAAAGGCCAGCATGCGGGCTGAAGAGGCCACCGCCACCCAGGGTGGACAGACTGGGAGACTGCAAGTCACCCATGGTGCCAAAGATCGGGTCTCCAAACCCACCCACGAAGGCAGAACGCTCGCGAGTGGGAGTACCTATAGCACCGCTGGATGGCCAACCAGAAGCTCCACCGAGACCACCCAGGCCGCCCAAACCACCGAGACCGGAGAAGTTTCGGTTAGCGTTCGCGCTGGAGTTCTGGCTGCGATCAATGGTGGGGAGATCCATCCCAGACCCAACCCGTCTCATCGACCCAAACGGATTGGAAGGATCCCGCAAACCGCTCAAGCCGGGGTGCTGGGGGTGCTGGATATCTGATCCATCAGTATCTACATCCTCTGCATCACCCGTCCGATCACCATGAGGGCTTTGGTAAGGGTTCGTGTTGGTCGGGCTGGTCGGTTCATGCCCTTGGAGAAGGCTAGGAGTGGGATTCCGAGAGTTCTCCTGGCTCTGCATCAACTCGCGGAAGCCCGGGATGCTGGATGTCATGCCGAATGCGCCAAAGCCCATATCGGCCTGGGATGGTGCTTCAACATCCTGAGATCCGCCAAGGGCAGCGCTGCCACTACGAGGCTCATCGAAGGGATTTGTCTCACTCCGATTGGCACGTGTCTTGAACCCGTCAGCCCAGGGCGACTGCGAACGACTGCCACCTTCGTCCTCAGTCAGTCGCTCGAGATTGCCCAGAGCTTTGTCCTTGGCAGAGCCCGCCAAATCCTCGGTGCTATCCTTCGACAGCAGGCCCTTGAATCTGCTCTCGCCGCGAAGACTTCCAAAGCCAGCTTTTTTCTCCGTTGTGGGTGTCTGCGCTGTGTTAGCACCCAAAGAAAAAGCGCCGAAGGCGCCCATTGGCGAGAAATTGGCATTGTGCGATGCGGAAGCTGGGCCCCACGGCGAGCTGGGACCGCTGATAGCCGTGTTCAAGGGATTGGTGGAGCTGCGCTTCAAGGTACCGAACGGAGAAGCAGCTTCGGGGGCATTCTCCTTAGCCTTGTCATCCGTCTTGGTGCTCGATTCTCGGAAATCAGTCTTGCGACGTAAGAGGGCTGGAGGAGGAGTCGACGTATTTGCGTCATCGCGGAAAAACCGAGAGCTCGTCCCGGTAGGAGACATCGGGTTGCCCATCGAGTCTCCAGTCTCTCGGCGCCGGGCGCCTGGACGAGCCGCGTTCGGGGAGGAAGTGCTGTAGTTATTTATGTGACCCTGCGTATAGGAAATGGATGGTTTTCGACCTCCAGCTCCGGGTGCAGTGTTTTCTTTTGCTGCGTTGGTGGGTGGGGGCTTGAGAGGGGAATTGACTGACGCAGAGAACAACTAAAGAATAAGAAAAAAAAGTTTTTTTCTGTGTTAGCGCGAAAACCAACGGTGTCTCGCCCCATCCAGAATGACGACTCACCTCTTTCTCGCCGTCAGACATATCAACCAGCCCCAGAGGCTCTGCCTGTCCACCATGATCCCAACACACCTCAGGGCCTGCAGAGGTCTTGTGGTCATCCCGCTTCCCCCACGCCCCATTCACGGGGGGTGTCACCATATGAGGGTCCCAGTCAGCCACAAAGTAGTCTTCCACATTTTTCCCCAAAGATCCTGTCTCCCGTTGTGTCTTATAAAAGTCAAGGAGTTGGTCTTTCGAGTATCGGGCCTCCCCGTTCCGCGGCGGACCAGACAGCGAATTTGAGCTCAAGTGTGGAGGAATATAGGCCCCGGACCCGGTCGGGGTCGACACGGAAGCTTGATGGCTACTCTCTCGGGTGTGAGATGGGTTCGTCGCCACGGAGGGACGGCGGAAGGTCTGAGTAGCTCCGTTCATGCGGGATCGAGACCTGCCGAAGGGCGGAAGCCCACGTTAGCATGAAAGAGCTTGGCTCATGACGAATTGACGATTCAGCAACAGAATACAAGAACCCCGAAAGGCCATGCACACGCCCGATCGGGGGTGGGTGATACAGCAAAGGACAGAATCAAGGTGCATACCATTCTCCGCCAGCAGTCCCATCCCCTCGCCTGGTGGCATCCTGGGTGTTGCCAGCTGCGGCAGAAGCAAAACTCGATGGTAGTGGTGTCGGCATTATGAAAACAAGGCAGTTCTGGACGGATGTTTATCCCCCACAAAACAACGATGTTGGTAGAGAGTGCGTCGCGAGACTTTTCAGGTGGCGGAAGTGGTCAAGTGTGCTTGCGAACGGGATCGGGAACGCAAAACACCAAGATGGGGTCGAATGAGAAACGAGGATCAGACGAACGGGAGGATCGCTACGATGATCGAAGAAAGAGAGAGAGCGAGAGAGCGAGAGCGTAAGGTTCCGAGGAGGAGGGAGGGGGGTTGAATGCAGGAGTAAACGCGAGCGCTAGGTGAAGTCTCGAAGTGTCTTGCGGACAAGAAAGAAGAAGACCGAGTTTCGATTTCGCTTGCGTTTCGCTGCGTTCTGGAGAAACCAGAGCAAAAATGCACTTAGCGGGGGCCGTGGCAATACTGGTAATAACCTGGTATTGAGAATGACAGGAGCAGTCGCGTGAGGGCGGTCAGAGGGGGGGGTCAAGTCCAGGTTCATAGCGGGAGTGGCCCCAATCCCGCATCCCACAATGCGGTGGTGCATCGGTGGTATTCTGCCGTATTCTGCTGAATGCAGCAGGAGCATTGTTTGGTCGGCAGCCACTTGGGATCGTGTGGTATTTTCAACAACGATGGTATTAGGACGTATTAGAACAGCGTATTGGTTACCCACACAAACACAACGTCACTGGCAGCCTTTTAGCAATAACCCCATTTTACTCTAGTTAATCACCATGATCAGAATGGAAAATGGGCAACTCTCCGGAGAAGAATGGCCATTATAATTGATGTCCTTTGTTGGATTCTGAGCAGGAACAGGGATTTTTTCATCTGAATTTCAAGGATCAGCTTTGTAACAGAGTGTCCCCCAGCTCCGGGCATACTAGCGGTGATGATGAGGAATAGATCGATCAACACCGGAAGTACCGGTACAGCGATGCTGTATGTGTTGGCCATGGATCTCCCTCGAGGGCAGATGTACTCTGTACACTGTTCAAAGTATAGAACACAGGATGCATCAAGCCGTGGCTTGGGACGTGGCAATACCTCTTTCGACGTGTCTGGTACCTTGTCTCCACGAGCCTCTGGTGATTGGGCTGTGAGCGGTTTGCAAACTGTTAAGGTTGGCTGGGATTGGCTTGGGGTGTTTGCCAGTTGCAGGACCTCACTTTTGGGAAGTTGGGCCCTTGCGGGAAGCAATCACATCAGGATCAAATGATCGCTGAGTACACATCAACAGGATGGGACATGCATTGTGGACTGCCCTGCCATCCCTTTCATGCTTTCATACATTCAAACATTCAGGCATTCATGCTTTCAATCTACCCGTCTCTGGAGCTAGCCCTAGTCGATCATAGCGGATCGGGGCCACTATGGTTCCAACGGGCGCTATTATGTTAGCTATCACATTCCCATTCGGCCTGGCAGTGCAGTTCAATATGAACGCTCATCTTGTCTTACCGGCCTTTTTCAGGAGAGGGTCTTTGTTGGCGTCATCTGGCCCCCTGCCAAATAGATCGGCCAGGCAGCATTTGTGCAACCCTATACAGAGCTCACCGGCTCACAACCCCATTCTGCTCGGTCTGTTTGGCCATCTTGTTATAGCCCGGCCTGCTTCCTTTCTCCGGCGATCGACTCATGCAGGCCAGCCAATCATGATCATAAGGAACGGCGTTTGCTGTGCCATCATAGACCCAATGTCACTATTCAATGGCATGGAAAATTCGCGCGAGGAGGAGTTGGTCAAATGGCTCGACGAAGCTATATATGGGATCTAGTGACAATAATCTGCTCTGCCCAGTCTCCTCAGCACCTGACATTACATTCCAACCCATTCCCAACTTGACTCCCCTTCATCATTGAACTTTTAAGTTTCTAGGTCAAAGAGAGAAGCCACTATCAGCGGGCCAACATGGGGAACTCCAGCTATGATTTGCCATTTCGTCCTTCTTGCAATCCCAGAGTTTTCTCGATTCTCCGACGACGCCCCAGTGCTGAGCCAGCTCCTGTGGTGCATGGTCGATCCAGTGGTCTTTCGCAGTGCAAAAGTCGACCTTCGTCAGAGTCGTCGCGGACCTCTCTTCGAGAGGCACGACGCACTCATCCCAAATCCCCAGCCCAGCGCCAACCTAGCACATCTGCCTTTCCTTTGATCAATCCATTATTGTGCGCGAACGGCCCCTTCGTGGAGCCAACCCTGAAGCCTTCCCAGCGGCTGGGAAAGCATAGACGGGATCGACCTCAAATGTCAGAGTCGCATCCGCAATCCCGGCATGCGTTTATCCCGGAACGTGACATCTACTGGAACGATCATCTTTACTGGCCCTATAACCATATCTCAGGCATCCACCCCCTTGCCCGAGTCAGCCAAGACGCTTCCACATCAGGCCCCAACGGCGACCATCACGACGGGCCAACCTGCCCTAAGTGCAACCTCCGTCAGGCGACATCTAGGCATGTTCACAGCACACATCCGCCGGCCGAGGCTATTCAAGATCCGCCTCCCCAGATGATGTCCATCTGCCCAGCGTGCGGGGTGCCTGTTGAGACTGAGACCCGGCCTTGCGGCCATGTTTTCCAGGAGCACCGCTGTTCTAGCCGCTCGCCTACCCTTGTTCTCGATGACAGCCTGTCCGATGCTTCGATGGAGGCTGTGATGGGAGCAAGTCAGTCGGAAGACCCTGCGGATTACCAGCTTCTGTACTGTAACAAACACTCGTGTCCAGGACATCCAGTGGCTTTCGTCGAGGACACCATGGTAGTCCTATGAGCAACTAATTTGCGCCTCGTAGGCGTTTGATAATTCTAGGGTGAAAGAAGGCTCGTCGGGTTTCTTTTCGACCTTGCATTCTCATACTCACTTTACTGTTGTTTCTTTCCCTTGGTCCCGCCTTTTTCTGATAAATCGCAGTCTTTTATTTCTTTCCGCTATTTTGTCCGTGCGTTTAGTCCTGCTTTTGCCTCCATTTCCATATGTGACTTACAGAAATTCATTATTTACGTACAGTCATTCGGAGACTTTGTAAACTTGTCAGAATCATCAGAACGCGTTCGGAGTAACTTTGTGACCCGATGACTATGCTCGTATATCTCCAACGGGGAAGCCTGACTCGGATGATCAAATTCAAGCTCTTAAAATACTGAGAAACAAGATGAGATGTGCCTCATTCTACGATGAAAATCCAATCATGGGCGAGTATTACAGCGCCAAATATACGCCATCTACTCCAAATTGGAGAGAGATGCGCTGCTGCCAGTGCCGATCCCCATGCAATTAGTAAGGGTTTCCGGCCCATTCGGCCGTGGACCGAGGTCCCTATTATTAACGATGCAACAGTACTTAAAGGAACTGCCAGGGAAACAAACTCATTGATTCTCCATCAGCCCCGAGCTTCCTATTTTACTTCCAATTATTTCAGACAATTGTGACTTTGAACGGCCGTAATTTCTCGGTGCCGACGTAGGAATTGGACCTCGGTGCAAGTTGTGTTGGCTTCACACCCCGGCCTCAGCTATCGATAAGGAGAAACATTCCCCGCACTGGCCCATAAACAAGACCCCTCCGGCGTCGAAAGACCGTCCCGCACAAGAATAAATCTCAAAAAATGTCTAAGGCGATCTATATCTCGCCCATTGATGGGAAACCTGGCAAACCTGGCCAGGTATACTACCCACTCTCGCTCCGCACTCTGCCCCAACCTTCCCCACAAGGCAAAGAGCTGCTGGTGAAGTTGACGGCCGCCTCCCTGAACCACCGCGACCTCTTCCTCCGCCAGCACCTGTACCCCGGTGTGACCTTCGACGTTCCACTGTTGGCTGATGGGGTGGGTGTCGTCGTCGGCGCGGGCCCCGATGTATCCAGCCCTGACCGATGGCAGGGCAAGCGTGTTATCCTGAACCCGGGCGTTGGCTGGAAAGATTCCCCAGATGGACCTGAGGAGGCGACGGGGTATCGGATTATGGGCGGAACAAAGGTTTACACTAAGGGGACTCTCCAGGAATATATCACCATTGACGAGGCGGAAGTGGAGGAGGCACCAGAGCATCTGTCCGACGCTGAAGCAGCAGCTCTACCGCTGACTGGCTTAACAGGATGGCGGGCCCTGGTATCAAAGGCTGGTGACAGAAACTCCCAGGATGGAGCTGCGGTTCTAGTCACCGGTATCGGTGGTGGTGTTGCATTGATGGTGTTGCGCTTTGCGGTTGCTCGGGGGCCCATGTCTTCGTGACTAGCTCGAGCCAAGAAAAGATCCAGAAGGCCATTGAGCTAGGAGCCTCTGGCGGTGTGAGCTACAAAGAAGAAGGATGGGACAAGAAGCTGCTGGGCATGCTTCCCTCGGGAAAGAAGAACTTCGACGCTATCATTGACGGTGCCGGTGGCGATTCAATCGAGAAAGCGGCTCGGTTATTGAAGGTGAGTGTGACGTTCAGAGAAAAAATATTGGATTCCAATGACTAACTTGGGCTCGTAGGCCGGTGGTGTTCTTTCAGTCTACGGTATGACTGTCTCGCCCAAGATGCCCTTCACAATGCAAACGGTTCTCAAGAACATCGATGTCCGAGGTTCCACGATGGGTTCTCGTAAGGAATTCAAAGAGATGGTGGAGTTTGTCAACACCCAGAAAATCCATCCGGTAGTGTCCCGAATTTTGAAGACTGACATTGAGGACCTGGTCGCCATTGATGGGCTATTTGAGGATATGAAAGAAGGCAAGCAGTTTGGGAAGCTGGTCATTGACTTCGGAAAGACCTCCGGAAGTAAGCTGTAAACATGCGGACACAGATGGAAGCTGAGAAGCCTTTTACTATCAATGAGTTTATGAAAATTAACATATATCAAAATCAACGTTGAGCTATTGTCATCCATTCCGTTTTGGGCGGCGGAGGTGAGCTGTTTCCCGCCAGCGAGTGTGCTTTCCTCGAAACCACTTTGAATGGCTCGGCTTCTTCAAGTTCAAGTCAATTCGAGCTCTGTTTGTCTTCCTCGCCCTCTCTTTCTCTTTCTCCCCGCATATTTCCACTTCTGTCTTCATTCGATCTCTCACCATCATTCGTCTACCATACACGTCCCTTTCAGTGAAGGGTTGACAAGAGTCAATTCCATTCCTTGAGTTGCTGAAAAAAGCGTCCCTCCCGAATCACTATTCCTTTAATCTTTCAAAATGGCCCTCAGGAAGAAGCTATCCTTGGGGAAGATGCCTCATGCTCACTCTCGTGGCGACGGGCCAACCCCCCGAGTGAAGGATGAACAAGCCAATTTTTCCCGTGACAGGTGCTTCTTCGACGAGGAACAGATGGTAAGTGATAGATACAGCCTATCAACTAGAATTGGACCTTACCATTACTGTAGAGCCCCCAGCAATTTGCTTTACAAGCCACCAATGACCATATCCGCCGACGAATTGCCAGGCTACAAGCCAGTTCCACCCGCCTGAAAAGAGAACTCCTTCTACTGCAACGCCACGTCAAGGAGTTCAACCATCCCTTGTTCGAGACCTGGGAGGCCGATATTCTGACACGGCTCGTTGAGATCGCTCATGCACACCAGAGCCGCAAGATGGCTAGTGGCGTCGCGATTGGCGAGGATACAACAGCTGAGCGTGAGACCCTCTCGCGAGCCTATATCATCGCTGCGAAACGCATTCGCGAAGGGACTTTGCAGAAGCTTGGTCTGAGTGATCGATATCATCAGGCACTACAGCGATACGATGAAGTTGCGGCTTATCGGAGTCCTAATCCATTCCAGACCGAGGTTCCTTTCGCCAGATGGTTGCTTGACATACAGGAGGACCGACCCGAAAAATTCTCTTTCTGGTCGCAGCTCTATCCTGTTTGCTATGGAAGAAGTGTGGATCAGAGCGCTACGATCTTCTAAGCTTATTACTTTCCCTAGTTAGGATTTCTGGAGTTCGACAAGATGGAGAAAAGAGCACGGTCTTTCATGCCTTCCAATACCATATCTGCACCTCATTGTATGTGACTACCAGGGCTAGCAAAAAGCCTTTCCGTTCTTTCACTCTTAATTAGCAACGGCTTTTTTGATTGTATTTTGCGGCTTTACGGGTTCATGAAAATAGTCCTGTCTCGGGTCTGTTCATCGAAAGATCCAATCTATCTTGAAGAACCCCAATCCCTAAGATTTCGGAAGTGGATCAGTATGGTTAGTTTTGGCTTGTGTGCTTCCTGGACTTCACCTATTTAGTCAATGGAGAACAAGGTTTAGGCATAGCATTATCCATCGCCTCTCGGTAGGTTCAAAATATGAAAGTACACTCAGAGACATTGAATTTAGTCAGAAAGATATGCAATTAGAATTCCATGCAAGGCCTCAGTCAAGGCCATGTCAGCTGTGAACCGAGATACTAGATCTATACTCTGCCCGAAAGGGAGGCTGAAGACCATGGCCACGTAGTTTGGGTTCTGGGTCCAAGCGCCGGAGAAAAGCCGACGGAGTCACGGATTTCATCAAGTAATTCTTTTATGGGCCGTACGCCCTTCGCACGGCACAAAGTGGATCATTGATTGAAGGAAACACCCACCATTGGCTCTAAGGTACACGATGACAAGCCTCAGTCTGGCATCCTGAGATCCTCCAACCCCTCTCGATACATTGGTACTCCGTCAACTCGGCCAATCTGAATGAGTCACCACGCTGTCGGGAACTACTTGATCTGAGCGACCTTGCTACTGTCGCACTTGTTGCTTCACGTTCTCAAAAAACATTTCTTCTTCATATCCCCAGACAAGCGGGCGAAAAATTGCGAGACAAAATGGCCATGGATCAGCTTACGCCCTTTGGGAAGCCAATGCTAAAGCATTGGCTCTTTGATCCGTCCTATAAGAACCTCAATCACGGTCCGTGCCTTAAGATTGTCTTGCCCAACAAGTTGAACGCAGCAACTAATTATTCAACACAGGCTCTTTTGGAGCGCATCCTGCCGCCGTGCGTGAGGCACAGCGCGCCTTTTTAGATCTCGCCGATATCCGGCCTGATCCGTATATTCGTCAACAGCATACCAAGTGGCTCGCGGAAGCGCGGCGTGATGTCGCAGAGATTATCCATGCCCCAGCAGACGAATGTGTTTTTGTCAAAAATGCCACTACCGGTGTCGCAACCGTCCTATATAATCTGAACTTTCAACCCGGCGAAGCTCTGATCTACTTTGAGCCCGTGTATGGCGCGGTTGAGAAGGGCGTGGTCTCGCTACAGGAACACAGCGCCCTCCAATCCCGCAAAGTGTCTTTCGAATTTCCGATCTCGATGGATGAGCTTGAAAGCCGGTTCCGCGACGTGGTTCAAAAGACTCGCGACGAAGGCCTGAAGGTCCGTGCCGCCGTTTTCGATGCCATCGTCAGCAATCCCGGCGTGCGATTTCCTTTTGAGCGATTCACGGCGATCTGTCGAGAAGAAGGTATCCTGAGCGTTATTGACGGCGCTCATGGTATCGGTCATATCCATTTAGATATGAGCAAGCTGCAACCAGACTTTTTCGTCTCTAATTGCCATAAGTACGAAAAGCCCTCTTGAAAATTATCCCCTGTCCAAAGACAATAGCCGTCCACTAACCCGCTGTATTTCAGGTGGCTGTATACTCCCCGCAGCGCAGCGGTTTTATATGTGCCCAAGCGCAACCAGCACCTCATGCGTACAACATTACCCACATCATGGGGGTTCATCCCCGCGCCCGACTCACCTGAGACTGGCCTCTCGGTGTTGCAGGATGCCAATGCAGAAAAGGCCAGAAGCCTTTTCGAGGAGCTTTTTGAGTTTGTCGCCACCAGCGACGACTCTGCCTACATCTGTGTTCGCGCTGCCTTGCAATTCCGCAAGGAGGTCTGCGGTGGCGAAGACGCTATCATCTCGTATTGCATCAATCTTGCCAACGAAGCAGCCGAGGCCGTTGCCAATATTCTGGGAACAGATATCTTGCAAGAGCCTGATCTGAAGCCGGGTGACGTGAGCCTCATGCGTCAGTGTGCCATGACAACGGTGCGCTTGCCCATTGCCGTTGCTGATGGGGGCGCTGCAGTGCCTGGGGCGCTTGCTACTGTCACGCCAGAAGAAGCGCTCCGGGTCTTTGGGTGGATCCAGCAAACGCTGATGAATACACACGACACGTTTGTGCCTGTCTTCCGCCATGGTCCATGGCTCTGGACTCGTTTGAGTGCACAGACCTATTTGGAAAAGAGTGATTTCGAATGGCTGGGAGGCATTCTTCGTGAACTGTGCGAAAAGGTTGCTCGGAAGGAATTCTAGAACGAAGAAGCACTCTATGACTTGCTAGGAATTTGTGAGGCCGATTTTATGACATAATAGAGTCCAGTATTTATTAGGCATCAACGACCATTGGCGAGGTTAGAACCTTGAACTACGGATTGTATGTACCAGAGAAACAATCGACCCGACGTGGTTCGGAGCTAAGCTAGTCTCCAAATGTCTCACGGAATAGGATTGAAAGACTGGTTTCTTTCTTTGGATTGTGTTGATAGAAAATATGCCGCCAATACAGCGACGACTCACATACTCCGCTGTGCGTCCTGCCATTACAGGAAACCTCAGTTTCTTGCTTGCTTTTGTATGGTAACCAGGGTATACTCAGAACACAACACCGTAAGACGCTAGTCAGCGAGGTAGGAGATATTCAGCACTCACTGCCAACAAGCACAGAGTGTAAGACATCATCACATTGAGCATCATGTTCCATTGGATCCCATCTTTAGCAAACCTATACATTTGAAACCTATATGTTTGCAGGCGATACAGAGTGTTCTCAGTGTGGATGTACAAGCTTTACTGCTGTCTCGATCACCTCATCGTCTGACCAAAACACGAATGAGGGGAACCCAATTTCCTTTATATGTTTTCGATTTGCCCCCAAGGTACCAATGTGATTGTCGTCTGGTTCTGAACTCCATCTCCACTATGTCTGTCGCCGCTGAAGTCGAAGCCGCTAACGCCAATTATGCTGCCACCTTTACGAAGGGCGCGCTGGCACTGCCTCCGCAACGGTAAGCAGCTCAGGGCGGATTCCGCCTAGACTGCCTGAAGATTGCCGGGCGAAACATAACTAAATATTTGGATCTGATAGGAAGGTTGCGGTAGTCGCATGCATGGATGCGCGCCTCGGTGGGTTGTCTCGGGTGGATACAATATAATTTAATCTAGTTGCAGCGACGCTGATAGGCCTGGATAGACCCTGCCCGCGCCCTGGGCCTGGAAGAAGGCGATGCTCATGTCATCCGCAATGCTGGCGGCAGGGTTACGGATGCACTACGTAGCATCATCATCTCGCAGCAGCTGCTTGGTACTAGGGAAATTATCATCCTGCACCATGTATGTCTATCCACAGTTACCGCTACATATGGAGGGAAAGTTTTAATAACAAAATTCCTTCCGCTAGACGGACTGCGGCATGCTTACGTTCACTGATGAGGTGATTCGCGGCAAGATCCGCGATGAGCTGAAGCAGAATGTGGACCATATTGCATTCTTGCCATTTGGAGATTTGAAGCAGAGTGTGCGAGACGATATCCAACTCCTTAAAGAGAGCCCACTCGTGCTAGATGTCCCTATCACTGGCTACCTGTATGAAGTGGAATCCGGCAAGATTGTCAGAGTTGGAAGCAGTACGTAAATTGATGCGGCGATGCTATTGCGTTTCTTTCCGGCGGGTGAATTTATATATCTTTCGTAGGTGAATACATTTCGGTCTCAATCCCAAAATACATTTCTTTGCAGTAGGTGTTGTAAATGGTCGAAGACTAGTGAATATGTACACTGACAGAAATGAAAGAGTCCTGGGAGGACCGACTATGACACGATGAACCCGCCCATGTAAAGTGGCAAGCTGTCTTGAGAAACACAGGGGGTATGGAAGATAAACAAAAGAACACGCTGAAAGAAAGTCGCCTATATCACCAAACAAAGAAGACCAATATGCAGAATGTCCCGAAAAAGTTGTCCCGCATAGTGCGTATCGTACTCGTCAAATCCTAATCGTCTCAGCCACTTCCACCTCCAAAACGGCTCCAAACCCAGCCTGTCAATCCACCACGGTGGCTTTCGCCCCGACTGCCCCGTCTAATATGAGATTCACTTGTTTCAGGAGTCGGCGAACTAGGGCTCGACCTCGATACCGAGGAACGAGCACTGCGTGAACTGCGAGAGAAGGGAGAACTGCGGCGCCGTCGTCGTCGCCCGGAAGTTGGGGATTCGGGGCTATCTGGAATGATGACGGGGTTATCGCTGGTGCCTTCGCCAGTATTTGTGCTACAATTCATTAGTTGAGGTGCTCGGCTGTGCCACGCGCTTCGAGGATCATCGCGACTTACGTGCCAACCGCATCAATGCTCCGACGGCAGTGTGGGCAAGTATTATGCTGGCTCAGCCACGCCTCAATACAGCTGTAGTGGAACCAGTGGGTACAGGGGAGCACCGTGACTTCTGTGTCCAGTTCCACGGCATCCATACATATTGAGCACTCCGTCTTGCCATCCGACCCCATCATTTGTTTCGTCATTTTCTGCCTGGGGAGCGACCGGATGGCGCTTTCGGACGCGGGGGGTGGAGCCGTGCCCTGAGCATTGTGATCTATCATTTCCGAGATAACACGGTCGAGCTCCTCCTGCGAGTAGACCGCGTCCCCGTTCCGATTCAGGTTCAGCAGGGCCTCGAGCATGGCCAGAGGATGTGGAGATGCCACTCCGCGTGCGCCATGCCGACGAGGCCTGCTCTGAGAAGTGGGAAATTCGCTATATCGGAAGGTCTCGAGGAGTCTGGAGTGATAGTTAGCCCCTTGTTGGATGAGATGCACGCCATGACCGCTGCCTGCAGAAGGATACATCGAAGAGGAGTGATGGACATACTCGGCTAAACTTCCTACCGGAGCTGCCATCGGTTGCGGCCCTTCTGCATTGCGGGGAAAGAGGCCCTCGTCGCCTGCATGTCTATGCATTCCCGTATGATCTTGATCTGGCCACCCGGGCGAGCGCGCGCGATAAGGGTCATGTGGCGACATTGCCCGGTGGCCTGCACCATCATATGGATCTGAAAAGTTCTGGAAGATCGATTCAAGGCTCTGGAGCATCATGGGAATCATAGGATTCGGGTGAGCGCCTCCTTGGCGCGAAAACCCGCCGCCGATGGTTGTGCTGCTGAAGGTAAAACGACCATCGGGCGACCTGTAGGAATGGTGCGAGTATCTTGGAGATCGAGAATCCATGAAGTTGTGTGCTCGTGGAGGAGAGTCTCCTTCGTACGCCCACGGATTGTGGTCTGCCCACGGATTAATAGGTGGCGAAGGCGGATCTTCGTCGTGTTCAGACTGTGGACTGTCGGGGGGGGATTTCGACCTAAAGGAAGGCCAGGAGATTAGAGAAGGGGGAACAAAGAGACAAAGACATCAAGCACCAAATAAAAAGCAATCATAGGAGCCACGTACAATCTCTGTGAATTCGGATTCGCAGTGCGGGCAAGTTAGGCCACTATGATCTTGCGACCACACGCCACCACAAGCATGACAGAACACCCGGTTGCCACTATCGGCCATGTCCCTGGGGGTGAGCCAAGAGCTGAAACGGTGGGTGTAATGAAAAGTGCACGAGTTGGGAAAGGAACAAAGAAGCGTTGGAGGATTAAGTCGCCGAGTATTGAGGCGCGGAGTAGTCACGAGTCATGGTCTTATCAGCGCGCGGGGCAGGACACAGCAAACAAGTTGCCTCGGTCGCTTAAGGAGCACCAGGGGCGATGAAGAGGCGCAGGAAGAGCTCGATGAAGCGAATAGGAGGTAAAGGGAGAAAAAAAAGCAAATGTTGGCGAGAAATTGGACGTGTTAAACGCGACTGGGCAAATGACGTCGGAAGAAGCCTCGTTTGCCTTCTCCAAGTCCGCGAAGGTCTTGAAACAAGCGAGACCACGATGAAACCGATCGGGCTTGAAGGAAGGCGTATAGTTAATTCTGCAGCATAAAAATAGTAATGCAGCTGAATAGGCAGCGCCGTTTCTTGCGTCGCCAGTGAGACGTTTCGGAGCTTTGTGATGCAAGTGGCAAGGAGGGCCAAGTTTGGAACAATCTGGAAAACCACTGTATACTACGCCCTATATATCATATAACACTCACTCTACTTGGTAGACGCCCCGGCGTGAGAAAATGGCCATGGTCAGGATGTCGTGTTCACATTTATCTTCAATCCATTCACGAATCGAAAGAAATCTCAACAACCAGGCGATTTCTAGGTGATAGTTCTTTTGATCATCGTTAAACTATAGTGGGAGGTATATGTGTAATGCACCCAACACTGGACCCGAATCAACGTATGTAGCCGCCGCGGGATCGGCGGGGAAAATAGTCAAGAGTAGAGACAAGTGAAAGGAAAGAAACGAAGCAGAACAGAACGCCTTCGAAGATGCTAAGAAGCAGGCCTAAAAAAAGCTCCCACATGAACAGTATACAAACCCGACGCAAGGACGAGCGGTCGGCTGTGCCACAGCCCTTGCAGGCCGCGCCAATCCCAACGCTCACCGTCTTCTGGTTCCCTTGAGAATCAAACTGCCCACCACTCCAGCGGCGACGGCTAAGCCCCCCAGGATAGCAACGCCCATCAGGCCTTCCTTTGCCACCTTGTCGTCAATCAGGGAACCCAGGCTGGTCGCTTGCAGGTTGGCCGGCTCCTTCTCCAGTAGCAGATCATTATACCGGCGAGCCTCACCATAGTTCCCAAGCTTGAAGTTGCCCAGAGCCAGATAGTATAAGCATTCTCGTCGGCGTTCCGGGGCACCGCGGAAGATTTCTGACAGCAGGCGGACGCCTTCTTGCTGCTCCGGGCGATCGTTCGACTTGATTAAACCCTGTTGAGATATCTCCCCCCGCCGATCAGGCGGAAAACATGGGTCAGCACTTGAACTGGCAACGAGAGAAATTTGGACGACGCTCTCCTCTCACTATCATGGATCGGAACATACCCATGCGTAGTTAAACTTGGTCTGGATGCCGACATAGTCGCCTTCTTTTTCGTACTGGTTTCGCAGCACCTCCAGCTCTTCGGGCTTCAGCGGGCTAGATGCCGGACGAGGCGTCAGTTCGCATGGATACGGGAATAGGAGAAACAGTCAACCGGGGGGAGGGGGGGGGCGCCCAAAGAACAACACACCTTTCCGCATCCGCGGCATCTGTCAGGATGGTTAGTCAAACAGTCGGGAGCCGGGGAGGGGAGCACTGCGTTGCCTACATGGAAGGTTTGACATGTTGCGGGTATCAAGTGGTTTGCAACGAGGCGAGGGAAAAGCCAGAAAACACCAGAGCCGAAAAGCTAAAGACGAGGCAGCGGAAATCACAGGCCAAAACGTCACTTGCGGAGAGCATCACGTGTGGCGGTGCACATGTGGCTTGTTGCGCCAGCAACAATCGACCCCATCAAAACATCTCGCCATCCCACCATTGACAAAACCACCAACCACCAGATTAAGCTCTACGTCTTGCGATCTTTCCTTCCGCCCATCATGTTGCTCGATGAAGACCCTGCTACCGTTCGTATTCTCTATTATCAGCGTTCTATCACCTGGCTCATCCAATTTATAGCTCATCCATCACACCATCGGCAACTTCAACATTCAACCAGACAAACAAGCCGTGACGCGCATCAATGACTCCCTCTCCACCCTTCAGCAATCTCGCGACCTGCGTATGCGTGAGGCTGAGACTGCCCTGCGCAAGCTTGGCCGCCACCTGAACTCCCTCAGAACCCAACACGAAGAGGCTGTGGCGGTGCACGATTCCAGTAAACACGCCGCGGAGATCGTGGAACTTGACACCAAGAAGTTCCGGATCGCTAAGGCTGCATCTGAACTGGAAATTGAGAGTGAGCGTCTTGAAAGCGAACTTGAAATGCTCAAGGAGCGGTTGGCCGACCTCGAGTCGCAGGGCCTGGAGGGTGACGAGACCACGCGCCGCGAACGCGAGGCAGATGATGCAACAATGTGCGTAACTGTGATCGTGGATGCCCTCAATGCACCCCTCCCCCGCCGAGCTTTGGCTAATCTTTGAATAGTTTGCGATTGAAGATCTTCCGCTCTCTGGGCATCGATATCGAACCTGACGAGGCAGGCAATTTTAGCCGGGCGGTCATTCGGAACAGCCGCAAGGGCGATGTGCATGTCGTCAATATTGATCCGAAATTCTCCCGCTTCTTCTATTCAAACTATTTCTGGTCGACGATGCAGGGGTAGTGAGAAAGAAAAAAACTGTCCAGGTGTTTATTTTTTTTGGCGTTTCTCTGGTGGCGAGGCTTAATACAATAACCGGTGGAGTTTGTCTATACCCCAATTTTCTGAATCTTATACCTCTCATGATATCATGACCTGTTTTTTCCTGGCTGCAAAGTTTTCATATTCATTTGGGTATATTTAATGTACACTGGAATCACCGCTCTCGGAGCGCCTGCAGAACTCTGGTCCGGTGTGCCTCAGACATGGCTCCATCTGACGCCTGTTCAGGCTGTCCATTGTGGAAGGTCTTCTCAATGGCATCCAGCAGGCTGCCTTTTTCCGTTGCTGGCAGGTCTACTTTCCAAGAGGCTGCCCATTCTTCCTCGGCTCGCAGCAAAATCTGCTCCACTTGACTCATATCAGGGATATCCGATCCATCCCAGGTCAACGCAACCTCTTTCGATAGGGACTCGGACTCATTATCTGCGGACACTGTCGCAGCTTCGTATCGTGTCTCCACTCCCAATAGATCCAGCCCAAGCTCCTGAGCACGAGCGTTCCAAAGCGCCTGCTTCAGTGTTCCATCTCGCTCAACCATCATCCAGAATAAAGGATAGCGGCTCCGTGCTAGTGCGTCTCGTACGCCCTTTGTTGCCTCGCGCGGGCTCACCAGCATGCCTACCGTTTGGCCCGTGCGCCAACCGACAGGCGCCTGGCGGAACGTCCCCTCGAGCTCGCGGACCAGATTGGGCCCGAGCTTGTTCTTCAGTGCCTTGCATTGCACCAGCACGCGTAGCGCACGCTCCCGTTGGCGCTCGGGCAGGTGCCAGGTGCCCACCAGGTCGATTCCAGCATCGTCGCGACCACCAATGCGGTGCAGCGCGAGCGCGTACCTACGTAGACTTTGAAGAACAGTGTATTCATAGTGTGTTCCGACGTAGACAGTGCTAGTCGATGGGAGAGATACGCGCTCGGCGTAGGAGAGAAAGGTGCTCAGGCTGTTGTGGTTTTGTGAGGGCGGAGCTGGCGCGGAGGGAAGCTTGAAGAGGCGGCGGGTAAAGAGTGTGAGATCATGGTGGCATCGAGAACTAGAGAAACAACGACAAGAATTCAGAGATGAAGTTCTGCTTGACTTAAGCAACGACACTCTGGCAACAAGGCCATAGCATGGTTGCAGGTGTTGCATGGAGAGGGTGTCGAGAAAGAGAGATGCGCGGCTCACCGCATTCGCAGCTTCTCTCCGCATTTCGTTTTCTCTTATCTCAGCTTCCGGTTCAAAGACGACACTGTCGTTTCCTCCACTTCCCAATCAACAAGTTGCCCACTATGGCAGACATTCTAACCCAACTGCAAACCTGTCTCGATCAGGTAGGTTCTTCCCTGCGTGCCGAAAAAGCCCCTCCGCTAACAGAAACCCGCAACATAGCTTGCAACCCAGTTCTACGCAACACTAGGCTATTTGACAACCTACCACGACCACTCTCCCGCCATACCACCCCCGAATGTGACCGATGCCGCCCCAGCCCTAGCAAAAATCTCCAAGAATGGGTCTGCACCTCCAGTTCCCGCGTCCGTCGCAGCCTCAGCGGCAGCAAGCGGCGCAGCGGCTGGCGGGGCGCAATCACCGCTTCCACCACCAACCCACCAACCTGGTGCGTCTGGCGCAACTGAGGGTGAAGACCCGAATCAAGTCCCAGAGCCAGACTCCCCGCGTGTTTTTGCAGCCCGGCAGCGTGAGTTGGCGCGAGATCTCATCATCAAAGAACAGCAGATCGAGTATCTGATCTCTGTCCTGCCGGGTATTGGTGCTTCTGAGGCGGAGCAGGAGACTCGCATTCGGGAGTTAGAAGTGCAGCTGCGGGATGTGGAGAAAGAGCGCGTTGCTAAGGCACAGGAGTTGAAGAGCCTGAGACACCGGTTAGAAGAGGTCCTCGGGGCTGTGTCGGTCGGTGTTTATGGAGGTCGAGAAATTCCGAAATGATCTGCCTTATTTCTAGTTGGAGAATGGGTAACAATAGGCGATGGGCTTCAGATACCCCGACATTATTGGCTTGCTTTTTTTTTTTCTTTTGAGGAAAAGGCGTTGGAAAAGCGGTGTATTTAAGCTGCATTTAGATACCAGTTGATTAATTTTGAATACAGTCTTTCTCTGCACTGAGCAGAAGGCATAGTGTGTTTTCTTTCATAGCCGTTGTTGGTCTAATAACTCCAGTGCTCTCGGGTCCACTGTGGACTACTTTGGACATGATTGATGCTGGAGCGCCATTCATCTCAACCCCAGAATGTCTCCAGCCGAAGTGCCCTAATTTTGTTGCAAAATAAAGAAATGAAGAATCAAGAATCGACAGCAGATACGATCATACTGAGTGGCATGGAATTGTAGATGTAACCGCACCAAGTGTATCAAATTCAGGTGAATGAAGAGGCTATCTCTAAGCTGGGGTGAGAAGCAAAAGGCATCTATGTAAATAGGCCACGCGCGTGTATAGGCCAGAGCACTTTGAGGGGAGAAAAAAAAAAAAAGAAAGAAAGAAAACACCCGATTTATAAAAGCATGAAAATGCCAGCGCCGTAGGTAAAAATGGTCAATCTCCTCCGCCCGGGTATCAAACGAAATAGAACTCAAATTAACCATCCCTGCACCTGCAAAAACTAGCCCAGAAACAAGATTCGAAAGTGTAGATTGAAAAGTATAGACGGCGTTGAAAGACGCATAGTGTTGTGCAGTATACCGTGGGTGTTGTCTGGACTATTTGAACAGGCCGCGGTACTCTCTCATGCGAGCCTCCTGGACTTCTCGCTTGTCGAGCTTACCTCTGTTCATGCTCATGTCAGCAAGCTGCTGCTTCTTCTTGGCCAGCTCGAGAATCTTTTCCTCAATACTGCTCTTCATGATGAATTGGAAGGTTTCTACATCACGTCGCTGTCCAAGGCGATGCACACGATCCACTGCCTGCGCAACCGCAGCGGGGTTGTATTGAGGCTCCATGATGAAGACTCGGGATGCAGAAGTCAGATTGAGGCCCACGCCACCGGCACCAATGGTTGCAAGAAGGATGGTAACAGAGTCATCGTTGGCAAAGTCGTTCAAAGCCTTGCCTCTTGCTGGTAGAGACATAGTTCCATCCAAACGAACGAAAGAATCTAAGCCATTGTCTCGCAAAGCAATCTCGATTAGGTCCAAATGTGTAGTCCAGGCTGAGAAGATCACCGTCTTAATAGGAGGTTCATCAATCAACGTTTCACTCTCCGCAGCGATCTTCTTCAAGTGATCAACCAAAGCAATGGTCTTAGTGTGTGGTCCTTCGTAATCGCCGAGGATCTTGCCATGCTTGCGCATCTTTTTGCTAAGAGCTTGCTCCTCCTTGAATGCATCGTAGCCGCCTGGAGTGATGGCGATATACTCCATATCAATCCAGCCACCACATACCGTGCATCTGACCTGTGAATCGGTGTTCATATCGAACGAAGGTTTCCAGCCTGAGAAACAGTCGACACAGAGAATATGGTAGCAAGGCAAAAAGTAAGCCATCGCGGCATCCTTATCAACAGATCCAGTATCTGTGAGGGGATCCTCAAGCTGCTTATTGCACAGGTTACATTTGTCACTGTTCGACTGCTTCATAAGGTCCAGCATGTCATAAGCTTTTTTATCAGTCACACTAGCCTTGTCGGGGCCGCCTTCTTCAAGGTCAATTGCATCCTGCACCGTCAGGCCCTTGATTCTCTTCCGATCATCAACATCCAGAAGTTCTTTGCCATGTGCACTTATTTGTCGCAAAATCATCATGGCCTTCAAGACATGGTGATACATGCGTCCACCCATCGAAGTTTTTTCCTCTCCAGCGATCACCCGCATCATCACGTTAGATTCGTTGCGGAAAAACTCATGGAGCTGATGCTCCTTCTCCGAGAAACTCAAGGTAACGATTCGGTCTAAACGCTTCGGAAGCTTGATTCGATCCTTGGTTCGGCGTAGTGTGAAGGAGTCGATTAGAACTCGCAGGCTGGCCAAAACTGTGGGGTCGCCAGTTTTGAATGGGCTGATTATATGCTGGGAGAATCGAGCCCTGTCATCGTAAGGATATAACCTCAAGAACTTGGTAACGGACAGAAGATCTTCGAGTCGGTTCTGAATTGGAGTACCAGTGACAGACCACCGGCGCTGGGCATGAAGGCTCAAGATTGCTCTTGTCTGCATGGCATTCTGCTCCCGAATGGCATGGGCCTCGTCAAGGACAATGCGAAACATATTCATTTTTGCCAAAGGACTACTGCTTCTGCGTTTCAAGCTTCGACCTGAGACTTCGCTCAAAATCGTACTATACGTCGTGATCACCAGATCATACTCAGCAAGTTCATCCACATTGGTCGTACGAGATTGGCCATGGAAAACGTAGCATTGTAGAGAGTCCTGTTTGAGATGTTCTTTCACCTGCTGCGTCCAGTTGTTGACAGCAGTGAGCGGGACGACTAAGAGCGTTGTCCGGGTGTTGCGAATACCAGGAAAATGGCGAATCAGGTCCCGTTGAGGCATGCGCTCTGCCCAGTCCTGGGCTTCCTGCAAAGTGGACACAGTCAAAGAAAGAATGCTAAGAGTCTTTCCCAGACCCATCATGTCTGCAAGAAGACCTCCCAAAACCTGCGGAGGTTCTTGATCAAGCAATATGCCACTGATAATCTCCCGGTATTGTTTGGCCCCGTTTCTTTTTTGTCCCATACGCCAGAGAGAATTGTTTTGCTCTTCCTTGGGCCCAAATTTTCGATCTTGTTCCTTCTCGGTCATAAACCAAAGTGCTTGTTTTTGATGGTGCAGGAGAGGTGTTTGCACAGCAGACGGAGGCTCCATTGTGGGGATATCCGCACTGACAAGTTGATCAAACATCTTCATCACGGCATCATTCACCTCTTCTGCCGTTCGCACCTCATATCTGACAGCTGGGCCTGCTCGATCACGGCCACCGTTGTTCGCTGCGGCTGTGGCGGCCAACGCTCGTCGTCTTTCTGCATGTGGGTTAAAAACCGGGACACCATTCTCTACAAAGTTTGGTGTACCCAGCCAGACATTCTGTTGGCCGAGGAAATTACCAATTTGCTCTGCACTTTTTCGTTCACCATAGAGTGTGAACGAAGCTCGGTAAGCCCCATTGGTGGGTTGCCATACCACTTCACCTTCTTGCTTTTTGCGCATATCCAGGCGTGCCACAATATCAAGGTGTACGAAGGGTGCATCAAGCAAAGGGCACAGAGCTTGGGAAGTTTTCGCGTCCACGTTGCCAAATTCCTTGCCATATGGATCTTTGACTCGGATGATCAAGTTTTCCTTAGAAGGTTGGCGATCTAAGTCTAGCTTCATTGAAGACCATTGCAATGCCTCGTCCCCGAGCACGGGGTTGGCGCGCGGCTTTGGCACAAGAAAGGCAACGATCATGGCGCTTTCAATTTTGCCGTAGCAGACCCGCTGAGAACTGAGATCATTTGAACCTGTGACTTGGCATTCATCATCATCTTTCGTTTTCGAAAAGTCCGCCGTCAAGTCTACCACATCTGACAAGGCCGGAACTAGCGGGGAAGATGGCTTGGCCTGGCCGTCTTTCATCCACTGGCCAAGACCTGTGACTCCCGATATGGTAACCGGCTTTTTCGTGGCATCAATGTTGGAGTCGCCGTTGTCTATTTTCATCCTTTTCATTGTTTGGTGTCTTCTCTGTTCAACGTCATATATGCCTTCGATCAAGTTGCGCGGGCGGGCGCTATCGTCGCTATCGCTGATTTCATAGTGACTTCGTTTCGCATCGCTTTCATTCCCTTCTTCTCCATGGATGCTGGTAAATTGAACAGTAAGGTCGTGCTCCGGGTTCGTCTTGGTATTACGCGCTGGGCTCGAGGTGGAGGACATGTCGCTCGAGAAAGGATCACGAGGCTGGCTGGGGAACGAGGCCATGATGGGCACTGTTCCAAGCGGTGCAATGGAAGGTGAAGGTTCGCAAGAGGATCGGTTCGAAGCAGGCTGTATAGAACTTTGTCGAGTCGTACCTGGAGAGTGTGAGCCAGCGCTTTTGGATGAGAGCAAGTCGATGGGAGATTCGATAGAGAACTACGAGGGCTCTCAGGGGCAGACAGGATCTCATTAGGAGCTATGGGAGTCATAGTACTATAATCTTTCTCGGGGGTGGGGGACGAGGGGGTAGATCGATTACCATTGCGCTGAGTCTGCTTCCGATAACCCTTTGGGTTTAGAAGCATCGCCGCATGGGGCTCCATGGTGCTTCGAGGAGAGCGGCAGGATGGAATTAAAGTGACTTATCTAGGGAGCCAGGGAATTTAGGGGAAATGAGAGAAAGAAGCTTGGCGAATGAACGGTCTTCGATCAGGTTGAGGCTCATCAGAACGGAAAGGTGCAGGTGACCGAGTGAACGAGGGGCGCGGTCCCGACGCGAAGACTGTCAAGGTCTCGCGACATCTGAGGGCACGAAGTTCAGTGTGGGGTATGAACACTCGGTTGCGACCAACGTCGCGGCGATCATGGAACTTCAGGTCGTCACGGTTAGGGTCAGACGGAAAAGGTGGGAGGTGTGGAAGGCAGAGATCATGACCTCACTTGCGGTGCTTTGCTCGGAAGATCCCGCCGATAAGGGCGCGCTTATCGAGATTCCAACCAGCGGCAAGAAACAGAGAACAAGGAGAAAACAAAAGCCAGAGGCTCGCGTATATGAAAGTCTAATAAACATCTAAGTTGTCTATTGATCTTGTATGGGATATAAATGGTATTACTCGGTGGATAACGATACATTTTTCAACATACTCACAAACCCGCCCTAAAGGAAGTTCAGCAGGGCCGCCAGGGATAGTCATGCCAGAATCAATAGAAAAACAGAACTCAGCAATACGAATCATCTACTGTTTCCTGCTAGCTAATACTTGATCTATATTGGAATGACGTCAACTAGATGGTTCTTCCTGTAGGAAAATTTGCTTATATTCAATCTATGTTCAACAAACTGAGAGATATAAAGGTGAACCATACTGATCTACAGTCAACCTAGGTTACATATTTGCTCGACATTATAGTTACCCCTACTTGAAAGTAATTTTCATCTCATTATATCCAGGAGAGATTCTGGACGATGGTATCATGGAATTAAGTCTCGTCATATATGCTACATGAGGCGCTCAATCAATACGCCGCAATCAAAACCGAATAGCCAGACAAGGTCTATATACAACAAAAATTCCCCCAATCGATCATGAGCATGGCGTGCGAAGTTAAAAGACATGGAGAACGCTGTAAATGCCTCTACAAAAAAGCATCCGCAATATATCTCCGACAAAAGAAAAAAAAAAGGGCAAAGAAAAAAAAAACGGTGCCACTGGTCCCACTGATGGCTTCCGACGACCCCGAGAAGCGAACGCTAAGGAAACATTTGCGAATTAAATAATCTGATGGGAATTCAAGGGCACGAGGGACAAGAAATAAGGAAGAGGGAAGAAAGAAAAACCAAGGGAGGAAAAATGGGGTAGAATCAAGGAATCTGGTTTCTCAACACCAAGTAAAGACGGGGTTCTTGCTCTTGACCGCCTCTAAGCGCTCAACGATGACTTTGCGCTGATTGCCTTCCATGCCCTCGGCGGCAGCATAGCCGAGGTCACCCTCGAGATCATCACTGCCAAATGTGTTGACATGGGGCACACGGAAGGACAGAGACCCTCCATGCTTGCGGTGTTTATTGGGTCGCGAGGGCTGCGAAGGCCATCCATCCAGGGACCGAGCATAAGCACCATCTGCATCTTGACGAACAAAATCGCCACCATCCAAAGTCGCAGGGATGTCAATCAGATCTGCCCCTGGACGACCACGATTGAGTTCAAATCGATTCGGATTAGGGAGGTCATTTGAAGAGGATTCGAGTCCCAGAAGGTCACGCTCGTTATGCTGACTAGGAGATATGCCTGCGCCGATATCCATTTCTTCTTCTTCATCATTTTCGTAATTCATGGCTTGGCGTCTTTGCGTGTCCATTGAAGGAGCTCGCATCGGGATAGCAACGGGCACATCGACCAAGTCATCCCAAACACAAACTCGGGTCCGCCGAGTCAGTTCGAGGGGGCCATGATCTGGTTGCTTCAAAGTCTCAACCACATTCCAGGCTTGGCCCTTCATTACAGCAATCTGACGGGCGAACATGCTTTCTTTGAAATCGTCATCTTGTGCAAACACCTGGCGGAGGGCCATCTGGGTTCCACTCCACCAGGCTGTAGAAGTCAACAAGGGGAGGAAATGGTCACGAGTCTTTTGGGAGAAAGGCTGCCCGATCAATGAAACCGGCAAGAAAAGCCATCCAAAGGGGAAACTCCGCCACTGAATTTGAGATTAGCATTGCACCAAAGAATACTATCAGATGGGCATGAATGATAGAGGACTTACAGCGTCGGGATGCTTCCAGGGCCACGAGAGGCTGTTATCAATGGCACCGACCTGGATAGAGGCCTGTTGCTCGGATGAAGCTAAGGGTGTTCCTGTACGACTCACGGCCATCATAGTCTCTTGACGCCTGTAGGGATGAGGAGAGCGTGGGGAGCGGGTGCCGTTGGAGTTGACTGAGACTGGACGAGGAGGAGGCATGAGGTCGTCTTCATCATGTTGTGGCTTGGGGTCGCTGTTTTTTGGCGGTTCCGCGACAATAGACACTTGTTCCGTGCCCCAGTCAATCTTCACCATCCAATTGTCGAGGCCACGATCCGTGTTTCGCATTATATAGTCAAGGATCACCAATTTTTCCAGCTCCTCACGGAAGGATTGTTTCAAGTTTTCAGTCCAGTTGAATCGTCGCTCAGCACTTTCGCCGCGCGAGTTAGGTGATGGCATGTGTCCATTTTCATCATCATCCTCGTCGTCAGACTGCATTCCAGATGGACGGCAAGCTTCGTTCCATGGGCGCTTCTTGCGCTTGGGTGCATCTGAAGCACGGAATCCCGAATTGTTCTGATCTGGCCATGGGTGATCGCGGAGGAAGATATTTGCATCCTTATATCCCTTGAGAAAGACCTGGAAGCTTCCTGCCTTGGGAGGAAGGGATTTCTTTCCCTTCCACGCCTTGCGTCGATCCCAGAAGTCGTAGAAAAATGATCTGGAGGATAGATAGGCAATATCGGTATAGGGGACGAGATTTGTGCGTAGGCGGGCATCGAGTACGTATGCGGCTGCTTCAGAAACATATGACAGATTGGGAATGAGACAGGCTCGCCCGAAGAAGCAAGGGAAAAGGTTCCGGTGAATCCACTTGGTCCATTTGGGATTCCGCGACGCGTAGGGTTCCTCATCCTTGGGCTTAAAAACACCCACTACTTTCCCCTCGGGATTGCGGGCAAAGTAACTGCCTGAGCTTCCCTGGGAAATCATTCGTGGGTGCACGTCGAGCTCAATTGCCAAACGGACACTTTCAATGATCTCTTCATATTCGGCTCGCGCTTTTCGCTGCTGGCCTTCGAACTCATCAGATTCCAAAGCTTCTGCTGAGATTGGTAGGACGCCTGGAGGTGCCTGGAAGACGGAGTGATAGATCTCCAGCTTCTCCTCCTCGTAGGTCTTGCCCTTGACACGATGAATCTTAAATTTGGACGCAATCTCTTCCGCCCACCGTTCTAGACGCGCGTTGATCGCTTTTATGTCAACCCCGGAGTTCCGACGGCCTCGCCGTTGAAATCCACTGTGTCTGCGGCGATGGCCAGGTGGCGAAGCGAGACCGGATGCCTGCATCTGGGCTCGGGAGGAAATGGGAGCATAACGGGGGGCGGAGGTTGAGACCGTCGATGAGACCGCGAGATCCTCATCTTCCGAGTCGTCGTGAAGGTAGCCGCGTTCCTCCTCCTCTTGGGCGAGACGGGCGTAACCCGACGTGGCAGGGCGGTTTTTCGGCATCGTGGAGGAGGGCTCGCGGAACTAGGAAGGGGAGTGAGATGAACACAATTCCCAAGCTGGTCAAGAAAACAAGTCTGCGAAAGAAAAGAAGGACACGAAGAGAGCTCAATCCATTACGGGGGGAGGAAGGAGGGTGGATGCAATGAAGACTCAGACGTGAAGACGTGCAGGCAGTGAAATAGTGGCCATCCCGTCATGCTTGATTATTATGGCCAGACTACCGCTCAAAGCAGGGGGCAGCCATCCGGTCATGTTACCTGTTATTTACCATGGCGGTGAAATTAGACCTGGCAGAATTGCTCGAACATATGGCTGCTGCCAGGGTCTAATTTACCTAGAGCTGTAACACTCGTAATAGAAATACGCACCGCCACAGCTCCACCGGGCCCCTAATCCACCGCATAAAAGGGGTTGCGCTGTGGATAGTGTCATTTCCCATGTTCGCGCCGTTCTGGTCTTTGGCTGACCCACTCGACCGACTCTCAGGTATCGAGTCAATTCGATTGGCGGTATGATCTATTCTTGGGGAATTTCATACACATCAACAATGACTCCTATCCATTTGACACGAGTATGCGGAGTACTAGATCCGTGTGGATCATCTTTGTCCACGTCTTTTTAGACATTCTGTCAGTGATTGCTATTATCAGGATATTCCGGATGCTTCCTGGATATATACTCGAATTTGATCATTTTCGAGCAGGAAATGGCATCTGCATTGGCCTTGCCCACTCGCGAGTTTATACTTTATCCCCCTCCAACTGAAATAGGTACGAATTTGTATCTTTGTCATTAAATAACCAACGGCGAGAGCCTTTGGAACGAGATGTGTATCTAAGATAGGACACCGGATACGAGGACCTTCTTATATGCATTAGATCAGTAGTGAAATCGGTTCAGATCACGACTTGTCTTAGTATACCAGGTATCACTGGTGAGGTCCTGGCAAAACGCTTCAATGTGTATGTGTACTGTTGTCCATTCAGATCGGCCTAGAATATGATGGTAACACATGAAAGCGTATATTCTCTACTGTAATCGACTCCGAAGGGATCAAAATTCGTTGAAAAAGCGTTTCTTCGATACATTGTTATTCTGCTACTGGTCATAGTTGCACCAAGGAAGGTGGATGAAGTTAGACAAGGACCACGGGCAGGTTTGGGTTCGTTGAACGTAATTTAACAGGAAAATAAAATCCAAATATTTGCGAGTACCGATTAATTCGCAAACCTGTATATTCTAGAGCCATATTGGGATCAAGACGGCTGAAACAAATGGCTGGACACGGTACATAGAAGGAAGAGGCAGGGTCCAGAATTACAGCACCCAGGCATGCTTGAACGAGAACCAGACTCGACATGCCACGGTGTTCTCGTATTGTACTGGCCATACTGTATCTCGCCCCGTGGGCCAAGGTATGCGGCGCGCGATAAGTGATAATTTCGATACGGCGCGCGATAATAACAATCGGGGAGGATAAGATCATTTCTGCATCTTCTTCTCCCCTCCCGCCCATCCTCCGTCTTCCCAAACGCATTCTCAACCTTTATTTCCAGGGTGATTGTGGCCCAGTCGCTCCTTTCGTCCTCCTCATTCTCTCGGTCGGGTTCCCTTTGCGGACCCTTTCGCCTGCTCCTTACCCGCACTGCCCAGCGGGTATCATAATCGGAATACCTCATTCACATCTCATCCGAACCGATTCTCGAGTTGGTCTGCTCGCAGACAACCTAGTTGGCGGCATCACCGGAGAGTCTTCGAGCTTGCGATTTTTCCCTACACCCTATATCGGCATATCGCGCGTGAGATCTCCGCTCAGTACCTTAGTGTTCCTTCGAGCCTTCCCCCTTGTACGTCAATTCGGTCTCCCTCGGCCGGATTTCCATCGATTCCTTGCTCTCGCCCTCCATTGTGGCTTCCATCCTCTTCCCGGCGTCGCCGATCGACCCGGCTCTCAAACCTACATCATCCGCGCATCAGACTCCCGATCTCTCTCGCTACGACACCCAGTCCGTCGAGCCCTCTGTCGCACGCTCCCCGTCCTCCGGCGCTGATATCCCGAAACGCTTCTCCCCCGTGCTACCAGAACCGAGTAGCATTGGGAAGTTCCAGAGCTCTGAATATCGAGATAACTTCCCCGGCTCGGTCTCTGTGAGCATTTCTCTTCCCGGTTTGGCAGCGCTTGCTTCAGTCGCGTCCGCCCCTACCTCGAATCTACGGTACGTTCAAGCAAAAGAGTTCATCTGATCACAACCTCAAAAGACACCCGAAAGACGAGAGAGTGTGGAATTTCTAACCCCCTCCCGCTACTTTCCTTGTGCCCCTCTCATCTGCAGGACAAGCGCCCAATGGGCTAAACGGACGCGCATTGGTTGCTGACCTGTTTTTTCGCTTCCTCCTACAGCGAATCCAACGATACGATTGGGAACATGGCAAATATTAGCTACGCGACCGCATCCCCGGCTGCTACGACTGGTGGACAGGGCAACAATCCGGTAAGTAGATATCCTTTCTGATCGAACGCATCGTTGCTGTACCCTTTGGCTCCATCATGCATGATTTTCATGGGCCTTATCGCCCTTATCTGCCACACCGGAGGTTATCAGCGCGGGTTATCAGCGACTCGCTGGGGCTTGGCACCACCCGATCCGTGCGCCTCTCCAATCCTTATCGAGCCCATCAAATCTCTCCCAATCTTATCATCAGCACACCCTCCCATCTCATCCTCATTTCTCTTCACCCCCTCCAACCATGGCGACCACATTGACTGACGACAAGCGACCTCAATTACAGCCCGTCTGCCAGAACTGTGGTACCTCCACTACTCCCTTATGGCGCCGTGACGAGCTGGGCTCTGTTCTTTGCAACGCCTGTGGATTATTCCTCAAGCTGCACGGGCGGCCTCGTCCGATAAGCTTGAAGACTGATGTGATTAAAAGTCGCAACCGTGTAAAGACCGGGCAGGGCCCCAAACGAAAGGTGAGTATCCGAGAAAAAATTTTTCCCCTGCTCACCCTTCCATCCTCCACGCGACTCCCAGATAAGAAATTTGCATCAATCCTGACCATTGCGATTCGTTCTAGTCTGGCGGCCCCGTCGATTCCAACGGCCTGGCAGGACAACCGGAGGCTGGAACTCCCCCTCTTGGCTCCCATGGCTACCGTCGCGCGTCGCGTAAGATGTCCCCGGGTCACTCGGATCGCTCGAACTCCCCCCTGTCGCGAACGGAGACGCCTGGCTTTGCTTCAATGCAAGCGCATAATTCGAATATTGCACCACAGCACATGTTCGACAGCGTCACTCCTGGCGGCAATGCTCTCACCTCTGGCAGCCTTCCTTCTCTTCCATTGCGGCAGCCTTCTCCCTCTGCTGTGGATCGTCAGCTTGAATCACCCCAGACATTCGAAAGTCTTCTGGCCCTCAATACCTCTCTTAAGACACGCGTCAGTGAGCTTGACTTGATCAATGAGCTTTTCCGTGGTCGCGTGGCCGAACTCGAGCAGAGTGACGCTAGTGCGCGTCGATCGGAGATGATTGCGCGGGACTCCGAGGCTCGCCTGCGCCGGTCTCTGGAGGAGTCACAGCGTCGTGAGGATGACCTTCGGCGACGCGTCAGTGATCTCGAACGCCAAATGGGTACCGGCGATTTGGATAGCTCAGAACCCCAAGCAAAGAGAATCCGGCTATCCGATGTGGTAGAACAGTCGTCCGAGGAATCTCCTTCTCAAGCCAAATCCCCCAAGAGCCCTTGATTTTTCTTCATTTCCCGTACCCGTTCTCTTCCTCGCGGGCTCGGTTACTTCTTGCGCGATTGCTGGCTTGTCCGATCTTCCCTGGTCCTTTTGATACCCTTCCCGACTCTTTTCATCGGTGGCTGGAATTTTCAACCAAAAAAAGCTAATTTTTCTTCCTTTCTCTTTCTTTATTTGCCCTCCTGATGCGTCGGATGTTTGCAAGAGGTCCTTTTTTCTCTCTAATAATTTGCTCCTCGCGGGTCTGTCTGTGTACGAAAGCTCCAGTATGCTTTAATAGTATTATCTTTACCTTCTTCTACTTGCCTTGCAAGATGAACGGGGCCGAACAGGTTGGGCAGGCCAAGCGCAGCGAAACCCAGAAAAAAAAATTTCAATCATACTATTTGGGCGATTATTTCGAGGTTTTGTGGGAATTTTGTGCTATGCGTCTCTGTTGATCTTGTCGGGTTCTTTTCCTGGTGGTCGTATAGAGAGGCATCATGGTCCTTGTTGTGCTATCTAGGCCAGTGTTGACAGGTCAACAGGCCAATTTGTTGTGATTTAAATCTGATTTAAGTTTCAGTGTTCCGAATCCTCATAGTTTTGATGCTTTTTTTCATCTACAATATTGGACTAAGTTGGTTGGCCAGTTGCTTGTTGACCACCGAAGGGAAGGCCACGTTGATTCGTAGTCGCAAATCGAACTGTTTTCATCACAATAATCTTCTGGTCTGCAGCAGTACGCAAGCTGAATGCAACACACTGAGGAAATATAACCATTGCAAGAACGAGTGATATGTACAATTTAAGATTAAGGGGATTCAGAGAAGATAAAGACCAAGCCGCTGAAGAGGAAGATAAGAGCATTGGTAAAAGAAGAAATGGCAGAAGATGCAAGGAGTATCAAGTCTATGATAGAAGAAGAACATGAGGTGTCAAAGAATGCGTGGGTAGGTCTGGCGTTGATGCCAGAAAGGTTTGCCGCGCAGGACATAAGAATGGTCGCTTGAGGCTGTATGATCGTGAAGGTTAATGCAGAACCACTTGTAGTTTTTTGCCAGGTCTTGTATAACTCGATACCGAACCAGTGAAAGTCTAGAATTAGGACAACTCATTTATGCGATCCGGTGATCCTTCTTCCAATTCGCACTGTGGACTCGCTTCTCGCGAAAGATGCTCCACAAACAGACACCAATGCCAGCCAGGCCAGAGAAGAATGTCAGGTAGTAAGCGGAGCGGTAACATGCTAAGCCGTCGGGACACTCACGATCACCATCATGGCCGATGACGGAGTGGCGATCGTAGACTGTGCCATATAGAAGATTGAAAATATTTCCGCTGAACACCGGGGCGAGTGTCATAACACCCCAGTTCTGCGAAAGACCGCCGATGCCAAAGGTATGCGCTGTCAAGGCAGGGAAGACACCAAACAGGAAACCGTATGCGACGCCAGTGAATGCAGAAACGACGACCAGGGTGTTAGGGTTAGAGATAGAGGAGCCTGCAAGTTGAGTCAGGGTAAAGACAGTCGCGGAGATGAAAAGGCACCAGAAGCGAGACATGTTGAGCTTCTTTACTAGGATGTCAGATCCAATTCCTAGACATGGGATTAAGCTATTAGCATGTGTCGCTTTCTATGAAACGAGGCAGATTTCATACCGCTAGAAAGCCGTCCCAAAAAGTTTCCAAATGAGAGGATGGAAACGTGCATGACCTGTCGTTGTTGAATAAACTTTGAGGTGGCACTGTCATCATAATAGAGCCACAAAGCCTTGGCCTAGAGTGGGGTTTAGTAATAATAATAGAAAAAGGCTCTGGGAGTCCTTACACTGTTACCAATGTTACTGTGGCCGGTGTTAGTAATGAAAAAAGTATCCTCACTGCGATTTAACTTACTTGATTGTCATTAGTCCAATTCCCGACAACAGGGCCATCGTTAGAAATAACTGCCAGAACTCAACATAACGGAGCATTGCCAGGCCGCGAATATCTGGATGATGGGCCTCCATTGCCATGTCGCCCAGGAAATCATCGCTAAGGGTATCGAAAGATGGTCTGCCATCTGGCTTAGAGACCAATGAGGATGTCTCATCGTTCTCAGCACCGTAGCCTCCAGGACGGTGATTGGAAACGACTGATTGCGTGCGCGCGTGCGCAGATTGCGCATGGGCGAAAGCAGTGGAATTATGGTCGTCGTAGTTTTCAGGCGCATTGCTGGGTCGGCGCATTCGGCGAGACTCGACTGGCTCTGAATCATTAGATGGAGGAAGTGATGAGTAGGGCTCTGTAGGCAATATCCGAAGGAATGGGATCGAGCACAGCGAAAGAAGAGAGGTGCCGAGGGCCAAGAGAAGTAGGAAGCGACCCGTGTCGTCCTTGAAAATGAGTGTCGAGATATTTGACCAGAACAGAGCGCTCAGCCCAAAGGCTGCCAACGGAAATGCCGTTGCAGTGCCGCGGTGGTCTGGAAAATTGGATGCAGCTAAAGGCAGACAGGGATTAGAGTTGCAGTTCAGGTATTGGAAAAGGCTCGATGGAACTTACCGGTCTTGATGGCGCCTGAAAAGGCCGAGCAACCACCTGTACCAGTCAAGAAGGCAAAAAAGCAGAGGAGGATGATTGGCACCGACCCCTCTCCGTGTTGATAAGCTGTCGGTAATTGTTAGCTGGCCACTTGTCGGTTTCATCTTCAAAATGGTCGAAAGAAACCTACAGAGATAGATGGGGTAATATCCAAGAGCGAGTAAGATCGAACCGACCAGGGTGATCAGTCGCGGACCACGAGCATCCGTCAACAGGCCCATGGGAATGCCCATGGCATACATGCCCAGGTTTCCCGCCGCACCCTGCCAGGATGTCAATATCAAAAATCTCTCGTCCAGAGGAAGGGGGCACGCGACTCACGATCAAGTTACTCTCAGTCGATGAAAGCTTCATCTGGTGCGCAAATTGAGGTGCCCATGCCGAGTACGCATACTGTCATCCCATCAGTCAGATCGAGTCTTTGGGCATGCCAAGAAACGGGGGATTCACGAACATTGGTGCCGCAGGACAAAGCTACCAGAGTCCCCGCGATCACGGAGACGACCCGGGTAGTTCTATGAGGAGGCCCGCTCATTGCAGTGGTACTAATAATGCTTGAAGATATCCCTTTTCCACCGAGAATTGTCCCACAATTGTGTGTTGTCCGCCCGAGGAGAAACGATTCGGGAGAACGCGATTTAGCGGAGCGCGATCGGAGAGTTACTCAGAGTCTCGATCGATAAGTGGGAGGCCGGCCCACGAAGGAACATCGAATTTGTGAGACGGAAGGACCGAAGAGCGCAGGAGACTGGAAACGAGAGACAGAGGCGACAGGAACAGGTCGATAAGGTTGGAGATCAAGTCGAGTTCTAGGAGCGTCGTAATCGGCCTACGAGGAGGCCACGATAACGGAGACAAGAGCGGGCCTCTGCCGAGCGTCCGACATGCCAAGCCTTTTCTTCATGCTTGTCACGCGTGGCTTTTGCCTTTGAATCGGGGAAGCCAGCTGATGATCAAGAGGATGGCCGGGATCGTCGACAATGACTGGCTGCTCATGGAGTTTTTTTGTCTCGATCCTATCATCCTTCCCTCTCGTGAGACCCTGCGTGGCGGGGAAACTATGAAACTGTGTATGAGCACGATGTCAAGAGGGCGAGGTTGAGTGATGTACTTCGGGTGCTCCGATAGATCTCTGGGGATCTTTTTTTCTCCGAATCTGAAGAAAGCAAAAGGGATCGATTATGGCTTGCCCCACCCATAATAATAGCTCCCTAGGCTGAAGAACGATTGTACGACCTTGGGATACAAGCATATTTTGTACCGATCGCAAGGCCCAAAACAGGCAAAATGGGCCAGGGATCCCTAACCTTACTTTCCAGGCACCAGTCACTTCAGGTCACATGATATACAGAAGACGGCCCAGTAGGCGGCTTCTACCAAGAATTATGGTATCAATCAATCAATATTCTTATTCCCATTTAAAGCTTCCTCTTTCTACAAGGTGCTCTGCAAGGATTTGCGCCTTCTGGTTCCCAGCCCAGTGCACATACGAAGTATTGCCGGCAATATAGGGCTAATCAACAGGGTGTTACGGACCTACCTACGAGAGACTAATTATGGACACGCCTGAACTAATCAGTCTAGTAATAAGGCGGTTAAGGACAACTGACATTGTGGTCTAGACGGTAGGTGGAAGTTGTATGCTATTAGAAACTAGTAAGGATATAGTAGATATAGTAAATAAAAGGCGGTAAATAGTGGTAAAAACCTCCGTATACAAGTACTTGTTATGGAACAAGCACATTTGATGTTATTCCGGCCGACCGGCTTGTTTCGGATACGAATCGTACATGTGGCGATATTGGTTCATGAGAGAAGGCAGGATGGAATCGGAATCGGACTCCTTTGCCGATATTCTTTTGGCAAGCAGCGGAATGACGACATTCAGGTTATAGAAAGAGAATCCCCCTTTCTTTCGAACTGAATCTCTTCTAGATTCAGTTATTAGAATAATACACCCTTTTCATCCTTCCGATTCTATCTCAATTCTCTATTGTATTCATTTTTCCTTACCTGACCAACAGGCCGCTACCCTGCAAGTAGCACCCTAACACCTTGGGTTTGAGATTGCACCGTGGTTCAAGAAAGCGTATTTTGTTAACAGTTCATTGGACCATAATCTTTTTGTGCTGAACCACCACTTCCAATCATAATCAGCACATTTATCAGCTTGTTGATATTTCCTCAATTTCAGCTCTTTTTGCCTTCTTAACATGATGGTGGCGATTTTTAGATTGTGACGAAAGCGGGGAATCACCTTCGAAACCTCAACATTCAAAAAGAGATATCCTGTCTGGCGTGGAAGCAAAATACTTTGTTTAATTATTTAAGCTCAAAAGGCTCTAAGCGGCAGAATGGCATATGGTATGAGGGGCTTGCGAGCTCAGTACCGGGTCTCGCTCACAGAGGATATAAAAGACGTCCATCAAGACTTTTGAGAGGTCGAACTGATTCTACTCTCCGTTATCTAGCAGCTAGCCCCCTAATTAGAGCGATAATGACAGCTATTTATCTCTATCGACGAAGGTGCCGTTAAGATGCTCCCTATAGCACGAATAATAGAAATGAGTTAGCATAAATACTAAGTCGGGCTTTTACGATTAGTCGGATTACCGGGTACGAAAATTATTATCCTTAGATTTCTATACTAAGTTAAAGAATATAAATAGATAATTAGCTTTCCTTCTCGAGACGCTAGACGTAGTAAGCTGCCCTCTACCTACGAATAGACTACCGAATACTAGGGTTTAGAGTCCGTCGTTATTAACTTAATATCAATACAGAATAGATAGCGGGCTATAGAGTCGATGTTATTCAAACCGACTCGGAGTAGATATTAATCTGTATTAGAGTCCTAGCTTCTATATTTAGACCGTTGTTTAACACGTTAGTCTCGACTTAGAAGAAAGATAGTATATAAGGTTGAAAGTAGTAAATATTTATAGATATTTCTACTACATTTTAATATCTCTTACTTTAAGAAGACTAGACTAGCTAGAACTAGCTATATCTAGTTATTACTAGCTATTTTTACCTAGAGGTAGAATCTAAATTCCTAGAATATAGTAGAGCTCCTATATTATTTGTACTAATTTTAATAGATTTAAATGACTAGTTATTACTAGTTATCTCTAGTTTCCCTACCTCTTTCTGCTAGCTAATAGTAACAACTACTCCTATACCCCTTCCCTTCTAGTTATATTTAATTCTTACTATATATAATACGCTCGAAGCTTATAGGGTCGTGGGATCTAGGTATTTTTACTAGACGCTTACCTACTGGTAACTACTAGACTACTAGAAAACCGTAGTAGTTACTATCTATAGAAGCTCACGGGGTCAACCCCCTGACCCCGTAAGGTTCTTATCGCTATATAGCCCTCGAAGCCCTAGGATTATATATATAAAAAAAGTATTAATAGCTATCGTGTATAACCTAACCCTGTAATCGTTTCCGCCTTTGCCCGCTATTTGAATGTTTTCTTGCGATAAAGTGTACTCAAAGCACCTCTAAACTATATCTCGGCGAAACCCCGATACACCGACACGCCAGGAGTCAAAGCCTGTGCTCTCGGCATGTCATCTTCCTAGCCGCTCGCCCTCGTCACCAAAGACCAGAATTCGGTCCACTTGACTCCGTTTGTGTAGAACACCAGGAAATGGTCTCACTTTTACCCGCGCCATACGAGAGATCCAATAGGAGTTTGTTGTATCCTCGAGTGTGTACTGTTTCCTGAAATTATTCCATGTATTCTAATTAAAATGATTAATAGCAGTGTGATTCTGTGATCGAACCCGGCGGATCATTTGGGTAAAGAAGAGCTGTCGGAAGGATCGTATAATTTCTCTTCAGTTCGCTCTGGCCCTTCATTTAATCCTGACTAGTGGTAAATACGTCACAACATAAACAAGCAAGTCGTAGTCAATTTGACCTTTAAATCTGGGGTGCTCAGGAGCACAGGTGCGGAGGTGAAGTTTCCCCAAGCTCATAACACACACTCTTTTCTGCAAAGAGTTGTGCTCGCCAAGAGAGTTGACGAGAGAACCAGTCATTTCTCGGCGCCAGTGTCTAGAGACTGCCCAAGGTCGCAGTCATTTTTGATGGCGTCCGTCCCAGTGGAATTAGACATATTGCCTGGGGCCTTGAAATATCAATAGCTCACACTGTGAGAACAGTGGAAAAGCCAAATAATAATAATAAAATTTTATGACAGCAGAACAAGTGCTACATATGTCATGATGCTGTGGCATCTTGTCACTTCAAGTGGGTGCTCGACCCAGTCCGGGTTTAACGGGGCGGCTCCGCAGCATCGAGCAGGAACGGAGAGCTTCCGTCATCCAGCGGCTCACTCATTCGGGGAACAAGACGAGAGCAAAATCAGCTATAAAGCTAGAATATAGTGGAACGTTTGGAATATCGACGAGTTGCACTCACCCCTTTCCCTGGAACTGATCTTGTTCATTTCCTCCAACATGTTACAACTGAACGGCAAAATCGCGCTGATCACTGGGCTCGGCCAGACTAGCGACGATGGCTGGGGTATCGGCGCTGCGATTGCAATGAAATTCTCGCAACAGGGTGCAATCATCTTCGGTGGCAATCGCACCTTGGCCGCTGCCGAGAGAACCAAATCGCGGATTGAGGCTGAAGGTGGTACATGCCAGGTTCAACAAACGGATGTCACCGACTCCGCATCGACAAAGGCTCTTGTAGATGCTTGCGTTGAGCGTCATGGCCGTATTGATATCCTGGTGAACAATGTTGGCAAATCAGAGCCAGGTTGCCCAGCCACCATGGAGGAGGAGATATGGGATCAACAGGTGGATCTAAATCTGAAAAGTGTCTACCTCACAACTCATTTTGTCCTACCCATTATGGAAAAGCAGGCGACAGGTGGCACAGTCATCAACGTGTCGAGTATCGCTGGATTACGCTACATTGGAAAGCCACAAGTCGCCTACTCGGCCACTAAGGCTGCTATTATGCAGTTTACCAAGGCGACTGCAGTCATTTATGCCGACCGAGGGGTCAGGTTGAACACAGTCGTCCCCGGTTTGATCTACACACCTTATACACGCGATCTTGCCAAACGGTATGCCCCGGCAGGTGATGAAGAGAGTTATATGAAAATGCGCGATGAACAGGTGCCGATGAAGAAGATGGGAGATGCTTGGGATGTTGCCAATGCGACACTCTTCCTTGCTGCGGATGAGTCGCGCTATATCACAGGCCATGAGCTTGTGGTTGATGGTGGAATCACCTCCTCGACAGGCCGAGCCTAGAACTGCACTCAAGTTTGCACCAAGTCTACTGGTGTAGCTATGCTCGTCTTCACTTATCTACACTCAGGCTTGATAGAGAAAGAAGTGGAGCGAAGGGGAAGGAATGCGAGAGAAGTTGAAGACATAATCTATATGTATATCTCTACCAACCTATCCTGAACTTTATGGGAGATTTGTAAAACCTCCGGAGTAATATTGGGGTATACCGCCTGGCTTACCTTGCAAGCATACCGTACCCAGGGAAACATATACAAATAGATGGCTGATTCCTGGTATAGTCTGAATATCATCATCAAGAAACCAAGCAGGCATCAGGCATATCTCACATTCTTTACCTGTATATCAAGTGTATGCTGATATATCGAGCTATGCATTACGTGTTCCCGGCGTCTCGGAAAACAGCGATTGGGGAAGGTCCCAGGAGTGTCTAAATACACAATCTCAGATGTCCCAATGCCTAGGAAAGAGTGAGCTTATTCTTCGTCGGGTTCTCATTCTGATTGATTTCTCGTGATGTACATTAATATACGAAAGTCGTCTATTTCCACAAAACCCTGATAAGACTTTTTTTTCTATATTATACATGTCCAATGAGATCTTCAAATTAGTCCAACTGGTGGCATACCACACCTGAGAGTATGTGCTCATAGAAGCAGCATCAGTTCAATTGCCTTCATTGCACAATCGTCCTCAGCAATGCCAGTCAGTTCTCAAGATAGTCACTGTTTCACTCTCCACAATATAAAGGATATTCAGATCCGGCCCACCCCATGTCATATTCGTCGTGTTCACACCCTCTGGTGTCTTTATCATCTTCATCAACTCGCCATTGCTTCGATCAACAAATATCCGTCCAAGTGATGAGTGAGCAACCAAAATACTGCCATCTTCATCCTGTGCCATACCATCTGGACAGGCTTGACCACAGGCGTGTATGCTGACCGCATTAAACATTCAATTTGAGTTCGTGAGAGTGGCGACATAGTATGCAGCGTGCCTGAGGGAGGTGGTGCCTTACATGCTTCTTGCTATGGAAATTCTTCTTTCCTACATATAGGCACAAAGAAAGGAGAAACAACTGACGATATGTTAGGATACAGTAGAGGCTTGGAAAGATAGGATCTAATAGGACGCAATGCTCAATACGATGATATCTAACTTAGTAGCTATTGAGCCAGGGCGCTCTACGGCACGCCTGAGAATGCAGGCAGGATGAGATAGATCAGCGAACAGACTAACAAACTACCACATACCACGATAGAAGAAGCCTCCTAAAAGGGAAAGTAGAATTAGATAAAGTGAAGAGAGTGTAAATGTTAATTCTCTCCCTATCGGAGATGCGAAGCTATATCCTGTAAAGACTGTGTACTAAAAAAGATATCCTCTAATCAGAGATCACCCTTCATCGGCCATTTCCCTACTGCAGTAGTTAGATTGCCACCTTGTGCTGACTAAATTATTTTGTGACCGGGCCGGGGTCTGGCGGTGGGATTAGTTCGGGTGATCTGGGGAGGGTTAGCACCCAAGCATCTTCCGACCCCGAACATTTTCTTTGCGCCTCCGAGTGCGGCTGGGCCCCCAACGCTAGGTTTGCCTAAAGCTGACCTGACGCTAATTTCTCTGAGTGTCTTCGAGCTTTATCGGCGGCTTCACAGAAAATGGTGCAACGGCACCGTTCTTTGACGGGTTGTGGTGCCTGTCGCACCCGCCACCTCAAGTGCGATGAAGGCCGGCCAGGATGCCAGACGTGTCAATTGGTGGGAATCGCATGCCCAGGATACAATGCTCAAGTCAAATGGCCTGCCGACGTAAGCAAAGCCCGAGGCTCCGACAGCGAGCGATCTGAGAATCGTGTTTTCCGTCGGCCGCTATATCAAGGTTAGCACCCACCGTTTTCTTGCATTAGAACCGGCCTCATTGATGCATGTGTAGTTGTCGAACAAGAGGCTATGACAAAAACTACCGTCAATAGCCTCGGGCAGATTACTGCCAATGTTGCACTGGACAACATAGAACTTTGGCAAGAAAGCGGCTCTGGTCCATGTTTGTTTCAGGGACCCTTTGGCGTTTTAGATTTCCTGCAACATCGCACATCCCATAATCATAACACGGGTAATGACACGCCTCGAAAGGAAGTTACAGGAGAGAATTACTCTGGCGATCGAGAAAATGTAGACGACAGGATCGCTGCCGACATGAACACCATTGCTGACGAGTCAGCTCTTCCACGAAAGAGCGCCCATAATCAAATTCTTGAACCCACGCCACCGTCTACAGTGGTTTCTACCTGTGATAACAGTTTCCAAGACTCCAACGATCTTTACCCACCCATGAGTCTTTTTTCCGTGCGCACTCTTACGCAACAACCCGAACTGTCCTCCATAGATGTTCCGCCACGAGCTCTCGACCTTCTCCGTCACTTCAAAGATAACATCCTTTCGTTTTCTTTCCCGTTGAGGGGTAACCCGGAATGTCCTTGGCAGACAATCCATTTCCCTGCTGCCATGTCAACGTACGCGGAGTTACTGGTGAGCCAGAAGGCCAGTCACCACAGGCGGTCTCTATTCCATTCGCTTGTTTCCGTTAGCTGCCTTTACCGTGCAAACCACCCTTGGGACACCATGGATTGTGAGAGGTTGCGTGTTTCTAGTCAGCACCTCGCTAAGCAACACCTTGACCTTGCCCTGGAAGAAGAGATTACGAGTAGAAAACCATTGAAGTATAAGGAACTTCTCATGGCCATACTTTCAATGGTTTATCTCGAGGTCTGTCCATTTCATTCAAACTACAATCACCATACTCATCTCATTCACAGATTTCGTCTGAAGATTACAACAATGCCCAAAAGCTCTTGGTCGAAGCAGAGTGTTTGATAAGACGGCGGGGATTTTCAAAATCTCAAAAATCCTCTAAAGTTCGAACCTTGCACCATATGTATACCTGGTTGCGCATCTTCGCAGAAAGCACCTGCGGTTGTGCTCTTGTCAGAGTTTGCCCGGCACGCCCGAATGCTAGTCTCGTATCTGATAGGGAAGTAACGCAGGCTCTACGAAGTTTTAGGCTATCAAACGCGGCCACGCTGACCGAACTTGACATGGGAGTTGAAAAGACTGATTCCGTCGGATATCAGGATATACACCTCGAAGTGATGGGCACTTGGAGCAACAGTCTTTTCTCCGCCATGTACGGGGTACCGGAGTCCTTGATGGGCCTCTTATCACAAGCTATTCGCTTAGCCAATGAGCAGGAGCTTCTAACGCGCGATACCCTTGTCGACGTGGAAGTCGTGACGAATCTTAATAAACGGACAAAGATATTGGAACACCATATCTTGTCCTGGGACAAGAAGCAACCACCACTCCCTATTTCGCCCCATTTCACGGACAGCGAAATCAACAGTGCAACTACAGAGGCATTCTACTACAACGCATTTGCCATGCACCAAGGTCTTATACTATTCTACTATCGCCGCGTCCACAATATCAATGCTCTCATCTTACAGGAGACCGTGCAAAAAGCATTACGCTTCATCGAGCAGGCATGCAGCTCTAATAAAATTGAGGAGCACAATTCGTCTCTAATATGGCCTTGTTTCATTGCTGCGTGTGAAGCTGTTGACAAAATATTACAAATGCGGCTGCTGGATTGGTTGCGTGACATGTTCCATAGGACAGCTGTTAGTACTTTTGCTACAGCTGCCGATGTTGTGCAAAGGGTTTGGAAGGCACGGGAAGAGAGTAGTGATTATACACTCGGCTGGTTTGATGTAATGGGCCATGATCGGTGCCCCATTATTGTAGTATAGAAGGGCGTATCTCCACCAGGTCATGGAGCAGTGTTTCAAATAAGATACCAAATAATAAAGTTACTGTAGGCCATCAATCTCATGCTCTAGCAAGACTACGGTTTTGGGGAGTAATATCTCTTAGCCAGTAAGGGTGCCCCTAAGTTAGCACAAGAGGACATCTAACGCCTGCACGCAGTTCAAGTTCAAGGATGTACTATGTCCTGGGCTTATGAACCATACATATTTAACTGTGTATCTATGCTTACTTTCGAGATATTACAGATATAGTAAGTACAGTCAGAGACCCGATTAAGCGAGCTTCGCCGGTCGCGAGAAACTCTGTGACGCCTCGGAGAGGACGACTCGCTCGATCTCCTCTTCAACTGGGGGTCCTTGGGGCAGCCACCCAAGAATTTCTCGTGCCCGAATAGCCTGGTACTGAGCATTCGTTCCCCAAATGACTGACCCGTGAGGAGTGAGTCTATCAGCAGTAGCAGCATCAATCTCAACCGCCTCAGGTGTCCTAATGTAACCTTGAGAGTGGGCGAAAGTAGCGATCATTCTGCCGATATCTCCGAAAGACTATCATGCCATCAGTCAGATGCCAAATATAATATCTTAGGTGCTTAACTCACCATCTTCCCAGACTCAGCGAAAAAAACACCACTCCCATTCCATAATTCTGGATTCGATGTTCGCGAAGATTCCATAACCAATCTCACAAAGAGTGCCGTCAGATCAGATATGTGAATAGTATTCCAGGTGTTAAGGCCGCGGCCTAGGTGAAGGCCATGTCCGTGCTGCAGAGTTGCCTTGGCGAGTTCAGGGATTTGGATACTCCGCTGATTCACTGGCCCTCGGCCCTTGCCGTAGATGAGGGGTCCGTAGACCATGGCAGTCCTCACACGAGGGTTGGTAGAAGAAATATCGCGGATGAGGTGGTCAACGGCACGTTGAGGCGAAGCAGCAAGAATGTCGTGAATCTCTTGAATTCCGTGCAAATCGTTGTAGATCTTTGTACCGGGCTGGCCGAAGTTCTTGGCCTTTACTTCTGCGCCGGCTAGGAAACTCGCGCCGGAGATTTGGATCCATGCTGGGAGATTTTTAGTTTATGAACTAAATCGCAAGGACTTTTCTCTAGTGGAGGGGCAACCTACTTGGGTTCTCACGCTCGCTTCTCGCCAGTCCTTTAGCGATAGCCTTAGCACTGGGCACGTGACTGGAGCTTGCCAGATCTGTTATTCATACCCCATATTAGCACGATTTTTAAGGTAATTATATTGTCTGGGTTGGAGTTTGGTACATACGAAGCACTACATCAGCTTTGGAAGCTGCCTGTTGGATGTCTGCGCTTGAATCCAAGTCTCCAATGAGTGGAGTCACCGTTGGAAACTTCCTTGCAACGACAGCCGCCTGGCTCTTGTTTCTTACAAGAGCAACAATGCTAGATGCTGCCAGTGCCTTAGTAAGGCCATACAGGACGTCTCCACCAATAAAGCCGGTAACACCTGTACTGCAGACGAATGAGTTCTAATCCACTAAACGGCTCTCTGCTGAGAAGTGCTCACATAAAGATCTTCTGACTCATATTGAATGGACTTTGATGTTTAGGCGTTAATGGTCGTACCTGAATCTAATTCTAGGTTCAGATCACGAAGTGATGGTCGATTGTACTACGGTTTTAAGCATCCTCGTGGATTTTCAGCCATTCATATAGTTACGCTCAGAACATCAATACGTAATCGGAGAAACCTGCCTGGGCTGATACGTGATTAATAATGGAAGTGGGTCCGGTAGTAAATTCTGGATTCCCAATTGGCTTCGTTACCGCCTTCCTTGTAGTGCCGCTTCGTTAAAGATGATATCTGTAAACCGGGCCGGAAAATACTACTGGCAAAAATTGCGCGGCAACTAATACCGCCTGGTCATAAGTCATTGGTAGCTTACCTCAGGTGGCGTTGCAATGCAATTTCTGGTTAGATCAGGCTGCCTTTGGCAAGCTACCCCGGAATCGGCAGGTAATTTTTCACCTAGTAGTGAAACTGCCGCGAAAAACTGGAAACTTATCGCGAGCAAGACCAACATGTACCATTTACAGGTTATGGGTGCTATGCAGGTCGCTGGAACCACCAAGCCAGGATAGAAGTATATAAGGGCTCAACATTTCCTATAGTTTCATTAGACAAATCAGTCAGAAACTTATCTTGAACTTCTCTATTTCCAGAAAAGTTTTACTGACGAACAATGACCGCCACTCAATATCCCACCTCGCCATCCAAACAACAATATGACGTGGTCATCATCGGAGGTGCCACGAGCGGTGCGTCGATTGCATGGCACCTTGTCCAAAATCATGACTTCCAAGGCTCAGTTCTGGTAGTCGAACGTAACCCATCCCTTCAGTACTCCGCCACGAAAGCCAGCAACAACTGCATGCGTCAGCAATTCGCAACCAAGATCAATGTGGAAATCGCTCAATATGCTGCCGACTTTGTTCGCGAGCATGGCGACAAGTTTCGTCCCGATCCTTGCGTTCCCAACCCTCCTATTCGCGATTTCGGCTACCTTTACCTATCCGACTCGCCCGAGTTCACCGACGTATTGCGGAAGGATCAGCAGTTGCAAGCCAGCTGCAACGCAGGCACTACTATGATTTCGGCTGCAGACATCAAGAAGAGGTATCCCTGGTTCTATATCGATGATCTCCATTCCGGAAGCCTAAATACTAAGGATGAGGGCTGTTTCAACGCTTTCGGCATGGTTGAATGGTTGCGAAAGACTGCCTGTGAGAAGCATGTTGAGTATGTGAGCAACGAAGTGGTTGACATGGCCGTTGAGCAAGATCAAGTCAGCACCATCACCCTGCGCAGTGGTGAGAAGATTGTGGTCAAAAACGTGGTCAACGCTGCAGGTACCCGTGCGGCACAGGTCGCTAAGCTCGCTGGTATTCAAGTTCCAATTGAGGCTCGTCGACGGTACACATATATATTCGAGGTGGACGAGCCACTAGATAAGGATCTGCCCTTAACCATCGACCCCACGGGTGTTCATTTCCGCTCCTATGCTGCAAAGGATTACCTCGTTGGTTGCCCACCCATGGGTCCCGACAATGCCGTGGACGTAGATGATTTCAGCTTTGCCGAGGATGCTTGGAGCAACAAGATCTTTCCTATTATTTCTCGTCGCATCCCTCAGTTCAAGTCCGCTCGTGTCACTGATAAGTGGATGGGGCATTATGAGTTCCACACCTTCGACCACAATGCCATTGTTGGTCCTCACAACATCATTAGCAACTTCTTCTTCTGTGCTGGATTCTCAGGACATGGGAGCCAGCAAGCACCTGCTTGTGGGCGGGCAGTTGCTGAGTTGATTGTGCATGGCCAGTTCAAGACCCTGGACCTGGGTGTTTTGTCTTATGCTCGCATTCCTGAAGGTCGGCCACTGACCGAGCGCGCAGTTATCTAGTTATGTTCTTGAGGGCTTCTGATAATTTCAATGTACAATTCAAGATAAAACCAAATTTCCAGCGCCTCAAGAGGATACCCTTCTTCTGTATCAGGTCCCTTCCAGACTTTTCAGACGGCTAGGGAGAGCGCACGACCTAGTGAGGGAACGTTACTCGTCAACACCAACGCGTCTGCAGCTGCAAGAAAAACATAGTCCGTTTCGCGGAAACATAATGATTATCTGTCACGAACTCGAGACCTATTACTTGTTCGATCTATCTGAACCACTGTAAGAGCCCTATACTAGGTGATAAGACAATTACTATCGGAGTGACAGGTCTATGTGACTTTCTCGTCTCAGTACGAGTCATTACGCCCTACCGTCTACCAAATTTTTCTTGTCTGCAAATGCAGAGAGTTCGCTGTTCGGGTTTATATGACTGATTTGATTGTCGCAACGACACCATGTTGGCATCTAAAAGCATCTCTTGATTCGTGCAAGAAAATCGTCAAACCAAAGAACCCCGGAGCATCATATCGCCCAAGCCGCTATCGAAAACGCCCAAGAAAGATGAATTATTAGACTCTAAATGTAAGATTCCTGGGTATTATTAATTAATTCTTTCTACTATAATCCTAATCGCTCTAAGTACTTTTCGAACCGTAATTAGAAATAATAGAATGTCGGTATACTGTTTCATTGGCGGCCAGCTGGCCAGCTCCGGGTCAGTCATGCCCATCAGAATAGTGAAGATGTCACCGCCTTCGAGCCTCTTTATGCATATAAAGAACGTATTCCATTGACTAAAGGCGAGGTTCGAAATGTCAAGATTCCACTCCGTCCCCAAGGCATGTATGTATTGGAGGGTGCGTACCATCCTGCTTTCAGCCAAAGTATTCCGTCTCGAGAACAGACCACTGACTCCGCTTTAGAAAGATGATATTATGGAGCTTACTATCTCAGACAATCCAGTGCTGCCATTTCCAATCCCAGGTTCAAGGCCTTACAAGGAACTAATATGCGAACTCATATCATTCACTGCCTTGACAGATAAGATGATAGTTATTGTCTTGTTGTGCCATGTATTTAGTTCACCGCCCCGCTCGTGCGACACAATTTGCAATATTTCAGATGATTGTACTTGCAACGCCACAACAAATATAGCCTTGGGTTGGTTGACGGCATCAATTCGGAGACTTACCCCTGTTGCCGAGGAAGGGTCGTGTAACATCTTTCAGAACAGTGGTCTCGGTGTGGATGAGGGATTACTAGCCCTTTGTCCCTCATTCACTTCTATCATTTTCCAATTCCTAAAACTAGTGTTCTGATGCAGAGTATTTGATTACGTCGCTTTTCTTTCCAATTACCTGTTGCATAGCTCCCTCTCCCTCGGCTTTAGCAGAATCTGCCCGCTGGTATTCAGTCTAGATGTCCCATAGCAGTTCCACATCTGGATGACATATGCGAAAGCTCCCTTAATGAACTCATTGTTATGCATCGCATAAAATATTGTTGACTTGACTGCTGATACATCCTGCATCGGGTAGAACGGCGACTCGAGGCGGAAGTCTACCGACGGGGCCGACGGGGTTCTCCACTATTTTAGTTCTGCAGATCATTTCTATTAACGCATTCCAGCATTTCAATAGTGTCGGATTACGATTTAATTATGAAGTTCACATTCGTTCTATCTTTCACAGGGCCTCTCTCACTAGCTTTGGAATTTATTACCCATGCAATTTAGAAACAATTGATGTGATGTTGGGTATGCAACTAGCAAAGGATGCGCTGCTCTATCGGTATTCTCACAGGAACTTGTTATTTTTGGACAGACCGCTTGCTTCCGGCATAACTTCATTATGCGGGGCTCTTTAGGGACATTCAGTTTTATTTTCTAACCTTTCTGAGCACTAAGAGCCTGTTGGAAGGAGTTTCTCCAGCCTTGTGGCGGGTCGGGTGTGCCGACTTAAAACAGTTTGTTAGCCATCAATCGTGTCGCATTGATCATTCTAGAATCGTCTGGTTTTCCCTGCGAAGCCCAAGAGCCTGTGACGAAGCGAATCGGTATGGTGTGGTGGTGCTGTTTCATTTTTAGCTATTTAACTGGAGTTATGGAGTGCAAGTACTCTGAATTTCTCCATTGGGATCAGTATTCAATTTCCAAATTTTCAAATGAGCGATCTATTTAATATACGTAGATCATAACGCGCCCTGCACGATAGGAAAGCCATATAAGTTAGGACAACTAGGCCCGCTCTAGTTCCGGGCTACCCGGCCGGCCCCATGCCAATAAGCCATGATTGGCTGAACAGGATTTATGCGAATAGGTCAATGATGAGCCTCTATCAGATCTTGACTCTGTATAAGGGGCCTATCATGTAGGTGGTACCCTGCGGACAACAGAAGGGCAACAGGAAGCCGAAGAGCAAGTGATCAAGTCATCAATGAAGTGGTGATGACGTTCGAGGAATTACGTGCATATTCTCCTGTTCGAGATGCGAATATATTGAATCATTCAGCCAATGACACCTCTGCCTCAGCATACATGGCCAAAGCATCATGCATAGTGCATCTAAGTTCTGTTTTGAAAGCGTCTTGATCAGATTTAGGATAAATTTATCTGGTACGGCATTCATTCCGAAAGTTGAAGAGGAAAATGCCAACGTCGCTAGCAAACAAAAATCTTCAAGCATAGGCTCCCTAAAGGAATAAATCAATGCGAGTATGAATACACTGTATATTCGCATGCTTTGTATTCAAGTGCGGTTTTTGCCTGCATTACTAGTAACCATACACAACAGTTCTCATATTACCAAGATGCCCATAAATGTCAATTTCTAAATGATGCAATCTGCGATGCAGAAGCTATGAAGGGCTACAGCCCAATAGATTCAATTGAGCGGTTCCAACATGCTGTTGATCTAAAGTTTGAAGAAATGTAAGAATAAGTGTAACCAGCGGTGACTTAATACCCTGGAAAACTGATCGATCAAAGGACACAGTCTCAGCTGGCCTGGGCAATAGATCGATATCTCCCTTGTTATATAAATTCAGAGTGGCATGGATACAAGAATCCCTACCTCTAGGCAATACTATGACCTCCGCGTGCTGGAGGATCACATGGCTTTTGAAAAAGCATATTAGTGCTTCAACAGGGGACATATTCATCATATTTGAAAGGATGACAGGTGCTTTACAAGCCCACAGAAGTGACATTAAATCAATTCTACACTAGCATTTGGCCGCGACCTTTTGTGATTCGATACGACTAATCAGTAAGCAAACAACCAGGTAGAAACCCTACAGAAATAGCTCCTTTTTTCCTCTGCACCAAAAGTTTCACAACAAAAATGGGCCTTCCCTGTGCGTATCGGATTTTTAATTTATTAGAGAGCAGTAAAGCTATTCTCTAGACAGATATCAGTCGACATCAAAAGATTATCTGCGAGACCTGGGCGCTATGGATTTGATTATATCCCGCGTTGTTATTTGGTGGGCAGCTACTTAAACATAGGGTACTCAAAATAAAGAGTCAGTGAGTCACATAGTGAATACAATTGAAAATGCCACGGTGCAGATCGCAGGGTCAGGGCCCTTTACAAGTGCGCCCCTTGTGGCCTGGGCCGCCAAGGCCGCTCGAGGCTGATATAATTATACACGTGACTGGACATGACGAAGGCGGTCGGAGGATCCGCGATTCACTCCACTTCGTGGACAACCGCCTCCCAGGCACCATCAACCACCTCCTCGCCCTTGACTCGATTCCATACCCCTAGAGACACGACCCGTGTGCCCAGTATTTGAGTCTGAACAGGCTCTCAATATATCACTATGGGTGCTCTCCTGTCTCTCCCGCTTATGGCGCTGCCGAGTGTCGGCACGGTAAGTCGCATCCAATTCGCCCGATAATCGAGCGATTCACTGATCACTCCACTTGCTTGAGTAGCTTGTCACTCTCGGCGGCTCCTGCTGTGGTGCAGCTACTTGCTCTGCAGTATGCAGTGCATGTGGGAAATTTCAGAACAGGTACTTCCCTTTTTTAGGACCGGCGCGAAAATAGTCGTCTACTAAGTGATACCACAGCATGGCGACCCGAATAGCCTATGCCTTTATCCTCCTGGTCAACTCCATCGCCTCCTGGATTATGCTCACTCCCTGGGCCCTCAAGAAGCTGCAACATCTGACGCTTGACTATATGGAAATCAAATGCGACGGGAAAGAATGCCACGGCTGGGTTGCAGTGCATCGCATCAACTTCGCGCTCGGTCTTTTCCACTTGATACTCGCTCTCTTGCTTTTAGGTGTGAAAAACTCGAGGGACACGCGTGCTGCCCTTCAAAATGGATTCTGGGGACCAAAGGTTATTGTCTGGCTTGCCTTTATCGTGATGTCTTTCTTCATTCCTGAACCCTTTTTCTTTATCTATGGCAACTACATCGCCTTCTTCTGCGCGATGCTCTTCCTTTTGCTAGGCCTCATCCTCTTGGTTGATCTGGCGCACACTTGGGCAGAGCTCTGCCTGCAGAAGATTGAGGATAGCGACTCCCGCCTATGGCGTGGTCTTCTCATCGGATCGACCCTCGGCATGTACGTGACTTCGATCGTCATGACTATCCTAATGTACATTTTCTTCGCCAGAAGCGGATGCTCCATGAACCAGGCTGTTATTACGGTATGTAGCTTGCCTTGCTTGCTTTCCTTTCCTCCGAACTTGTTTTTAATGTTCCACAGGTCAATTTGATTGTTTTCCTGATTATCTCGTTTGTGTCTGTGCAACCGGCTGTTCAAGAATCCAATCCTCGTGCTGGATTGGCTCAGGCCGCCATGGTCACTGCGTACTGCACGTATCTTACTTTGTCTGCTGTCTCGATGGAACCGGATGACAATAACTGCAACCCCTTGATCCGCTCTAGTGGTAGAACCGTCACTATAGTTCTGGGTGCCATCGTCACCATGGCCACTGTTGCATACACAACCACGCGTGCAGCGACTCAGGGTATTGCCTTGGGATCAAAGGGCGGCCACAATTATGTCGAGCTAGGTACAGAAGACAATGAGCACGGGCTAGTAACTCAACAGCCCAGCAGCCGTCGGGAGATGCGCGCTGAGGCTCTCCGGGCTGCTGTCGAGAGTGGAAGTCTACCGGCTAGTGCCCTGGATGAGAGTGATGATGAGGACGACTTTGAGACCAGCAGCAAGGACGATGAACGTGGGTCTACTCAGTACAACTATTCTCTCTTCCACATCATCTTCTTCCTGGCTACAACCTGGGTAGCTACTCTTCTGGTGCAGGGCTTGCAAGTGGACACCACAATGGACTTTGCGCCTGTGGGCCGAACATACTGGGCCAGCTGGGTAAAGATCGTCAGCTCCTGGGTGTGCTATGCAATCTATCTGTGGACACTGGTGGCACCCGTTGTATTGCCTGATCGCTTCGCTGCTTATTAGTTTTGGCCTCTTACTCTGGGGTTTCGGGCGTTTTGAGCGATGATTTCCATTGTGTTGATTGATTTGAAGTATATTTTTGTAGCATTAAACAGAAATGTAACCCATCCTGATCTTGAAGTATTCTACGATTTCTCTTTTTCTAAAATGAAAACCAACCCATTTTGTTTAGCCACCTGCTTGGCAGTGTGTTTGGACCGAGGTCGAGTACCAACTACCACCATACATAATACGGAGTGGGACCCGGACGGAAGCTTGGCACGTCCCGCCTCGCGCGTAAAGTGCGACGCGCGCCAGTTCCCAGATATCATGGCATGAACTATGGCGACCATCCAGGCCATCGAGGCTCGTTCCGTACGTGTTCTCATCCGTTACATAGGGCTAGTACTCTCTCTAATCAGTTGATCTCACAGGTTCATCAAATCCAGTCCGGCCAGGTGATCATCGACCTTTGCTCCGTTGCCAAAGAGCTCATTGAAAATAGTCTTGATGCGGGCGCAACCACCATCGGTGAGACTTTGTTCCTTTGGGCCTGAGAAGGCTAAACTGAGATCTCGATCATTCTGTCTTACTGGATTCTTCAATTAGAGGTACGGTTCAAAAACAACGGGTTGGACTTGATTGAGGTGCAAGACAACGGAAGCGGGATTTCGCCGGAGAATTATGAGAACGTCGGTAAGCTCATCATTTTGCCAGGACGAGACGTAAGCACATTGAAGCTAATGCATCAATACGCGATTCAGCCCTAAAACATTATACCTCCAAGCTCTCCTCGTTCGACGACCTCTCGCGCCTTCACACCTTCGGCTTCCGAGGCGAAGCACTCTCGTCGCTATGCGCCCTCGCTGACTTTCACATTATCACTGCCCTGGTCAATCAAGTTCCCCGGGCAAATAGACTTGAGTTTGAAACATCTGGCAAGCTTCGGAAGACCCAAATTGTGGCTGGACAGAAGGGCACGACCGCGTCAGTGGAGGGAATCTTCAAGCGCCTCCCTGTTCGCCGCCGCGAATTAGAGAAGAATATCAAGCGGGAGTATGGAAAAGTGCTGAATCTTCTCCATGCTTATGCTTGTATCAGCACTGAAGTACGCTTCAGTGTGCGAAACACCGTCGGTAGGACGAAGAATGTGGTCGTCTTCTCAACCAACAACAACCCTACGACGAAGGAAAACATTGCCAATGTCTACGGCGCGAAAACTCTGTCGGCACTGATACCACTAGATCTGGAACTGGAGTTCGAACCTTCCGCTGCCATGAAACGTGCAGACAGTGACTCCCAGGTCAATCAGATGGTGGTCCGTGGTCACATCTCGCGTCCGGTTTTTGGCGAAGGACGCCAGACTCCGGACCGCCAGATGTTCTTCGTCAACTCGCGGCCTTGTGGACTACCACAGATCGCGAAAGCATTCAACGAGGTCTACAAGTCGTTCAATGTATCCCAGTCGCCATTTATCTTTGCGAATTTCGAAATGGATACCAATGCTTATGATGTGAACGTGTCGCCGGATAAGCGAACTATTCTATTACATGATGCCGGGGCCTTGATTGAGTCACTCAAAACCTCGCTTACGCGGCTTTTTGAGACGGCAGATCAGACGGTGCCTCAATCGCAGTTGCTTGGCTCTAAGGGAGCTAAGCAACAGGCGCTAGGGTCTCTTCCTGGATTTGTTACCGCTCGTCAAGTTAATCAGAGAGCTTCCAACTCGCCTGCGCCCCCCGAAAGCCATCGAAAAGAGGCAGACGAAATCGTTGAGGAAGAAACAGAAACATCTCAGCAGGATGTGCAGAACGAAATGATGCGTTTCTTGAGCTCCCAGAATCGTACCGATCATGAGGTATCGTCTCCTTTGAGATCTAAAAGACCACCTGACTCGGTATCAACACCGCCTCGCTCTGCAGGTCTAGATAGGGCAGAGGTGAATTGCGCCGCTGTCAATGCTCAGATCTCCGAGATTCAAAAACCACAATCAACTCTGGAGGAGACACCTGAACCAGGTTGTGGAATATCCCCAGAGCCTGCGCCCCGTCCATCTGGACTCGAACAAGCTTCTACAGATCAACCGCAAGGGCTCGAGGAGACGCCCAATGTCATTCAAAATGCGTTTGATCGCATGCGACCTCGTCGAATGCCAGCCGAGCTGGCCACCATCACCATTGGTGATCAAACTGTAACGTCTGTGGTTGGTAGTGGTCGCCCGAGAAAGCGCACTTCGGACGTTGGCTATTCATCGAAAGAGCCGCCGCAGCGCAAACGACGGATCCACACCCCCTCTAGGCCTAATATTTTTGGAAAACATATGAAGGCCTTTGCGGCTCCAGGAACTCAGTCAGATGAAGACGATGACGAGGAAGATGCAGAGGATTCTACAAGTGAAGTGGCTGATGAAGATTTCATCGAGGAAGAGGCGGAGGAAGTAGAGGAAGAAGCAGAAGTTTCATCATCGGAGCCTGAAGACGGTGATTTCATTTCTGATGCAAAGAATGGTTCCGGCGATGAGCAGGAACCTGCGGAAGAGGAAGGCACTGTAAATGTGAATGACAGCAATCTTGACGAAGCCGCGAAAAGGGTACAGGAAGAAGAAGTAGTGCAGCGTCTGATCCATCAAGCTGAGGAACAAGCCGTGCTTCCGTCCGAACACAATACCAGCCGAGTCAACAAGATGAATAAGGGCGCCGCGCACCGCGATGCTACTGTCCATCTCGTCAGCACCATTGATGCTTCTCTCACAAAACTGCAGTCTCAGATGACACAGCTACAACAATGTCTCCAAGCACGCTATGCCTCATCACATAAGGAAGATACCGGTCCTGCTGACGACCAGACGGCTGAAGATCGACTCTCGCTGACCGTGAGCAAAGCCGATTTTGCTCAGATGCGCATCATTGGCCAGTTCAACCTGGGATTCATCATTGCCGTACGGCCAGGGGAGGACCACGATGAACTATTCATCATTGACCAGCATGCTTCCGATGAGAAATTCAACTTCGAGCGTCTGCAAGCAGAGACGGTCGTTCAAAACCAGCGACTAGTCCGTCCACAGCGACTCGACCTAACCGCCGTGGAGGAAGAGATTGTGCTGGAGAATCGAGCCGCGCTTGAAAAGAACGGGTTTGTCGTGACAGTTGACGAGAGCGGTGACGAACCTATCGGCCGCCGGTGCCAACTCGTCTCCCTCCCGCTCAGTAAGGAAGTCGTTTTCGGCTCGCGCGATCTGGAGGAACTCATTGTCTTGCTGTCTGAGTCGCCAGTCACCAATGATCTCTCGGTACCGCGACCCGGAAAGGTGCGCAAGATGTTCGCCATGCGCGCGTGTCGCTCGAGTATCATGATCGGGAAGACCTTGACGACGCGACAGATGCAACGGGTTGTGCGGAACATGGGCACCATTGATAAGCCATGGAATTGTCCGCATGGACGGCCAACGATGCGGCATCTGATGAGCCTTGGACATTGGGATGAGTGGGATGAGTACGGGCCAGATGAGAATGGGGATGAGAATCTGGAAAGTAGCGTGGATATCTGGAGGCGATACATGGAAGAGAATGGGGAAGACGAGGAGGAGGAGCAGTAGAAGACGGCGTAATTTGATAGCCCGTGGAGTACATATCAGTGGTTGCTGTATACTTGTTTATAAAAATTAAGAGACAAGCACTCTCTCTTTCTATATCGCAGTATAATTACCACAACCACTACAAATACCACACGAAGTCTTCTTGGTTTTTTTTTTTTTTTTTTTTGATGTAGGGACATGTACGAGATATCAGATTCCAACAAACCAATCCATTTTGGTTCGTGATGCATTTAGCCTACCTAGAGAGGACTAGCTGGCTCATTGTAGTATGAAGTGGATAGGCAAATACAGATTACCAATTAAGAAATCGACAGTGCTGAGAGGTATATTCTGGCTTGAAGACATACGTTGATAAGAGGCAGCGCTATAGTCAGCATCCATGGCTATAATTAAGCATAGTCCAGAATTTACAACAAATGAAAGGTATCATAGCACATAATGTGCTTAGATATAGTAGCGCATAGTTTGTACGTGCGAAATGCTTGTGGAATACGTTACCACCGATGCTATCAGATGATGAGCATATGATCCTGAGTTTCCTCATTCAATCACCTCTTCTGCCTTCCATTTCTCCTCACCACCATCGCAACCAACCACCGGACTGTCGTCCATTCACTGACGGTTTCGCATCTGGCTTTGCACTCTTGCCATTTGCACCATTCACCCGCGGATTCCCATTCTGCATCTCGCCATTCCCTTCCGCAGATCGATCTTCACTACTCTCTGAGTCACTGTCACCGCCATAATTGCTGTGCCCCTGCCCTGCTTCTCGTGCCGCATACTCCTTCTCCACCCCATCCATCATGTCCTCCAACGCCAGCAGATCGCGCTCGATCATCTCGGCCCAGTTCTGCACGTCCCCGATCTCCTTCAGACCCTCGCGCGTCTCATCTGCGAACCCCGCCCACTGCGCGTTCTGCTTCGCCAGCCGCGCCGTATTTTCGGCCAGTTCGGCCTCCTGTCGCTGCAGTGCGACCTCGTTCTCGGCGATGGTTGTGGCACGGTCGCGCAGCGGCGCGTCCAGATTTGTGCCGACGGAGTGCAGGGTCGCGGTGAACGCGGCGAGAGCTTCTTTTTTCTGCTGGTCTTCCGTGGCAGACTGGCTGGGGGGATTTGGGTCAGCCATGGGGAGAGGCCAGAGGTTTATATAGCAACGGTAAAAAGTCCGTATGTGGATATTGTAGGAAGTATATAGAAAGCGGATGGGTTGTGGTGGAGATCAACCATGGATAAGGCTCAGTGGAGCGGGGCTTTAGCTTCACGGCCCAAGCCCGCATCAGTCAGCAGGATGGATAGCCTTTAGTTACTATTAGTAGTAATGTAGTAGCACATACACAGGAGGAAGTAGATTGACGCTCTCTATCCCAAAGACGTTGACTTAGTGGTATTGGCAAGTGGGACTTGAACTTGGAAGTAGAGGTCATCTTCGGAGGGCAATTCGGTGATGTCATCCGCGACGGCCCCGAAAAGTAGGAAGCAAAACTACACCTGGGACGAATTTTATATATTAGGGCTGACATCCTACACATTCCAAATTCTAGCGATGCCCTCAAAGAGTCCTACTGATACTACAAGTCAAAGGAAGAGCGAAGACAGTATCTCACGAAACTCATATTAAACACCAGAGAAATATTGAATGCTCTGGGCATTAGCCGATGTCAAAATGCGATGCGCCCCGGAACGGTTTAATGATAAGTAAAAGTTAACAAGAGAACAGAGGTATGAACCGCGTAGACCAAAATTTTCAACAAAAAAAAATTAAAGCAAAAGAGAAACACGACACACGAAAGCCTAGGGATTGAAGTAGTCACACGCTGAAAATAAAATAAGAAAGCTCTCTTCCATGCAAGAAAAAAAAATCGCTCGAAATAGTAAGGTAGACACGTCACAGGAGCTTGGGCATAGCTATCTGCAAAGGACGTGTCCAAATGGAATCAATAGTCGTTAGTAACACAGGATTGAAGCGGCCCCTGGCAGAAAAGATCACTCGGTTTAAAGAAGACCCGACAGAACGGCCTCGGTAGCTGCGAAAGGGATGGCTATTAGCAGGGGGTTCGTTATATCTGCGCAGGGGATTTTATTAAATATCACTTACCGGAATTGATGTACGGCCGCTTGAGATCCAAGTTCACGCCAAATCGGCGTTCGAGCTCCTGCTTGATGCTCTTTTTCGTCACACTCATGAGGTCCGCCGTGCGCAAGATCTCACGGATCTCGGTGAGAATAGCATCGTCCGAGGGCAGGTGGCTGAGATCCTCCATGCTGGTGTCCAGATCCATGCGGCTAAGCATCTCCGAGGGCGCCATTGAAAGACGAGACTGAGATGTGAGGAGTGGCAGATCGAGTTGCGAGGCAGGCCGGGAGCCAGCGAAGCCGTACTCAGATTGCGGGAAAGCGTGCGAGCGGGTGCCGTACGAGTAGCCGGAGACCTCGGAGTGGTCATCGCGCGATGTCTGGGCCTCCCAGAGCTCCATCTGGTACTCTTCCCAGCGCTTCTTGGGGATCGAGGCGGGATCAAACTTGCCTTCATCGGAGATGACGACCTTGCGGCCCTTTTCTCCGGTGATGACACGAGTATTACCCCAAGTGAAGTCGTCCATGTGCCAGAATGAATAGAGAGGCAGGGCAAGTGAGAAGACGGGAATAGCGAAAATATAGATGATCATCCAGCCGATCATCTCCCACTTACGGCGGACGATAAAAATGAATGCCTGTAGACCGTAGATGACACCAAGGAGCACGAACGCAGTCCATGGAATCACCGATGAATCTTGGGCCAGCCAGACAATCAAGTAAACAATGTATGCCACGGTGACTGGTTGGATAATGGTACTGAGCAGGTCGACAAAAACGATGAAACGCATACTGAAACAACAGAAACCACAAAGCTGTTGCAGGGGAATCAGTTCAATGAGGTTGTGCACAGTTGAGTTGATCCATCGACGACGCTGGGACAGGAAGACGGCAAAGCTCTCAGGGGCCACAGTCCAGGCGTGGCATCGGAAGATGTACTTGGTTTTGAACTTAGGGTGATGTTTGAGGAGCAGGGTAGTCAGGTATCGATCTTCACCGAGGTGCAACAGATTCTTCATGTGAAGAGTGTCAACACGAATCTCGGAGTAGTTCTCGACGACTTCTTTGCTGACGAACAATGGCTTCCCGGTTTCGGCAGAGCGTACACGGTACATACTGAAACAGCCGGGGAGACAGGTGACGGAACCGAAAAGACTTTCGAACGCCTTGGTCAGGTTGTGCGAGATGTAGTACTCGTACACTTGGATCATAGTCACCATGGAGGTCTTAGAATTGGACAAGGATGTTTCACCACAAGCAGCGATGAGGCGGGTATCAGATAGGAACGAGGAGACAAATCGTGTGGCAGAATCAGGCGCCACCACAGTATCGGCGTCGACTTGCAGAATGTATTCATAGAAGGTCGGATTCACGCCAATGATGTTTCGGATTTGGTGGTGCATCTCGAGTTCCATCGGGCTCATCGGCAGGTTGTAGTGAACCCGGTTGAGGAAGCGCATGAGAACCATCTGGGAATCACGCTTGCCACGGTTACCGGGCCGAGAGACTTCAGAAGGCTTTCCGACCTTGACGACGACCAAGAATGGAACAATATGGCCCTGGACCTCGTAGAGACCGGAATAAATCTTGGCCATGTTGTGCTGCTTCATGCCCTCGCCCAAACTCTCGAAGCTGAGGGGCTCGGGGTCAACCGAGTCAGGAACACCCAGAATGTCGAGAACAATCCGAGGAGTCGGGCGATCGTTGCCTTGACCGATAATCATACCATCACAAATGACCAGTAAGAGTTTGCGCTTGTCATCATACCGCATGCGAGCCATAGAATCGATGGCACGACGAAGGGAGTCCTCGTCTTCGGTGTAGGCAGGGACTTGACAGATAATGAACTTGTCCAGATTTTCAGGCAGGTTCTTCTTGCCGAATTGTAGAGCAGCACAGAACTTGAAAACAAGCACGGAAGCAATCAAACACGAAATTGCAAGAATGAAGTACCGAGCGAACTGACACTTCACCGAATTACGGGTGTCAACGTGACCAACGAAAAACAGATTATCTAGACACAACTGCATCCGCGTGCGTGTTGTATCATCCAATGCGAGATCGTTCCAATATTTGGTCACATCAGTGCCGGACTTCTGCTGGAACAGGGTGACTAGAAGCGGGCTCATGTAGTTGGTGCTGATGCCGCTCGTGCTGGTGTTCTTGGAGGTGGTCGGGAAGCGAGGGATTCGAGGGCCGGCAATGTAATAGGTCATATCGTAGACTTTACCGTCAATGCTGACAATGTTCTTGTCATCATCATCTGCTAGAGTCTTCATATACTTGGCAGTATATCCGACGTAGCCCTTCTTGTAATTTGCCCGCAAGTAGACCATCTGCTCATAAAACCAATCCGCACGGTAATCATCCGTCCAATAGCGGAAGTCGTGATACTTGGCATTGATATCGTAATCGGTAGTAGAAGTGGTGGTCTCACTTTCGTTCATGTTGGAACGATAGTCCAACGGTACGCTGGGATCCACGTGTCCATCGACTCCCTGGCACAAGGCAGAAACCTGCACGGGGAAAAGATTGGTGGCATCGGTACCGGCATAGTTCTTCAAAGACTTCTGCGGAACAATATCGGGATAATGAACGGGCATGAAGTCTCCTAGGTTGAAAACAACGCCACGAATGGCAATAAACGAGCTCTCACCGTTTTTGCCGTTGTGGTTGCTGAGCTCTCCTTTCGAATATACGTGCTGAGTTGGACAAACCAATCCTGGGAATGCCACAATCATGAAAACAGCGACGGCACACGCAAACCAGATAATCAAGTTGATGGCGAGCTTTTCACGCCAGGCAACACGGATATCTTTACGTTTCATGCGGCCGAAAAACTTGATGCAGAAGTCGGGGATGTACCAGGTCAGCAGATAGACCAATGCCATCCAACGTTTCCGGGAACCGGAGACTGGGATATCATCAACCTCCTCCATTTGCTTCTCGTTGCCTTTCTCAAGCATTTGTTCTCTTGTCTCAAGGTTTCGGAACATGTCTCCAGAGTTGAAGGCTGACGCCCCAGCATCAGAACGTCCGTCCAACTCGCGACTACCAAAGTACCCGCCTTGCTTCGACTCGTCTCCGTAGATATAGGCGCCAGGAGATTGGTCCGCTGGGTTCAGGAGACGGACCTTGGTGTCTCCTCCACCCGATTGGTAGCCAACCTCGCCCTCGTCAGATCCTGTGATTTTGTTGTAGGAGTGAACCACCCGTTCTCCAACCTTGGTCAGATCCGCCCAGCACCGCTCACTGAGGAAGACACCAGTGCTGCCGACGCGAGCTTCATTGCCTGGCCATCGTCTTTCGTCCAAGACCACCTCCGATTTTTCACGGTCACTGCCAACCACGACATTACCAATCTCAGCCAAACCCAGGAACTCCGCGAACGGGAGAAAGACGCTGAAGTCGGCATTTCTCAGCCGCTGACTGATCTCGGCAATGCCGAAGGTCTGAACTTGCATACGGACACATTTGCTATCAAATTGGTTTGCAATGCGACGGTCATTGGGCTTGAGACAAATGACAAAGTACGGATTCACGTTCGATGAACTCAGGCACTTGTTGACAATTTCAAGCCCTGAAAGGAACTGGCCAGCCGCACCCTGGGTCGAACCGCTCATCAGTGCACTCTTGCGGCCTGCCACGCTCCGCCTCGAACTTGCTCCTTGACTTTCAAGGTCTTCGGCCTCTTCACTATCGGCGCGAGAGTCTGAGAACATCTGGCGAGCCTGTTGGTCATGCTTTCGACGAGCAATGCTCGGCATGCGAAGTGGTTTAGAGGAAACCTGGGCCTGCATAATCGCCGACTTCTCGCGGGGATGAGAAACAGTCTGCAATGCCTCTTGGCCAAACAGCTCACGGACAAAGTCACTGCGAGTGGACTTCATGAGATTTATCAGGTCGCCTGAGATGACTTCCCCATTCTCCTCGATCAGACCCGTGACCGAGTAATCGACCTCACCAGCAAAGTGCTTAACGGTGAATGCGGTCCGGCTCTGAGACATGTAGCCGGTGCCACTAGCATTGGTTCCGCCGACTGAGATAGCCGGGTTTTTGCCTTCAAACCTCTTCCGGACACTTTCAAGGAACTGGGCATCAGATCTTCCGCGACGGGTTTGGTCATCCAAGATGCTCAGAAGGCCATTATTGTGCTTGAGAAGACCACGGACAGTTTCGGTGTTGTCGAAATAGCTGGTTGCAGCCACGGCAATTTCCTCGCGGTCCAGCACATCGGCCTTGTGGTCAAAGAAGGACTGCAGGCAGTAGTTGTAAAGAGACTCCGTAGCAGCATTGCTGAGCAGTTGATCCAGGGTCGATCCGGTTGCCGGAGCTTGGGCGAAGCCCGGAAAGTCGACGATCGAGATAGTGTTGGCGACACTGTCCTCAGCGGCGCAGATCTTCTGATTGACGGTTTCAATGACATAGGTGACCAGAAGTGAGTAGATCGTGCGGGCAAATGCATCTGCATTCTGTCGGGCACCGCGCGGATCCAGCATGACCGTTACTCGTTCCCGTCGGATTGTCTTGGTCTTGTATCCGAGGCTATTCTCGAGAGCCTCAACGCTCAGGCCCAAGAAAGCAGCTACATTAGCCAAGACATCCTTGTTTCTGACCACAGTCACCGTCTCACCACCTTCATGGGAGTAACCGCCACTTTCCTCAGCAGCCGTGGTGGTCGACTGTCCCGAGATGAAGTCTAGCTGTCCGATGTGCAAGATGCTGGCCAGGATCTGACAAATCTCCGCAATCTCACCACGCGAGAACTCCAGCTTCCGCAGCGCCGTCTTGAAATGCTGGAACCCCTCGTGATCATTGACTCCGACCTTGAGCTGGGTCGGATGGCCAAGATACCGCCATCGCTTGTGGCTCGCCGAGTCGGCGGACAACTTGCCACCGCTTGTGCTGATATGAATGCTGCTATCAAACCCCAGGTGGGATTTTTCGGCGGCGCTGGTTCCAGATAAGAGATAGTACAGTACGTGGAAGCTCCGCTCGCCGGTTGGGACGGAGGAGATGCGGCTCCGTTCCAGTCGATAGTCAATGATCTTTCCACCGATCAAGGTTGGGTTGACTGAGGATGAGCCGTCATATTGCAGTTCGAGGAACAAGCCGGCCTTGGAGGCAGTTGGTGTGGTGACCGATTTTGTGGTGGTCAAGGTATCAAAGACGAAGGCGGCGTAGGAGAGCTTGGAGGAAAGCGGAGTCGAAGAAAAAGACAAAAACGATGACAACAGGTGCGAGCGAATGGTGGTTTTACCCGAGCCACTCTCTCCTCTACATTAATATTCCGTTAGCTACCGTTGGTTGAGGGGGGGGGGGGGGGTTCAGGGGGTTCCAATCTGCGTGCCGACACAAGGTGACTTACAGAAACACCACAGCCTGGTTCTCCGCACGCGCTCCCAAGCGAGTGAAGGCGCGACGGGCGAGATCTTCGGCCTCTCCAGCCGCACTGCCTTCCTTCGCCCCGTCCGGACCCTTTGTCGCAGACGTGTATGTATTGAAGGAAATCAGGGCCTGGGAGGACAGACGGGCAGTCGGGAGGCCAACATGAAATCTAAGTTTGGTCAGTCTGCGGGCAACGGGGATCTGGCAGATGGAGGGGGTGACATACCGACTAGCCAAATGAGCCGTCAAATGTGTATCCGACTGAAGATGGGCGGGGAGGGAGGGGAGAGAGGATTGGGCGTGTGCTGGAGCACCTCCGACTGGGTTGCCCGCCATGATAGTAACCTCTCCGCAGCGAGGCGGGTTCGGCGGATCAAGCGAGGGGATGAGAGCCGTTCAAGGACTTTCCCTCTCTTGAACGTCGCGAGAAGAGCGTTGAGCCCCCCCAAAAAGAACCGAATCGACGAAGCAGGTGGTGCAACTTCTCTCGACAAGACCTGGGAATGAACGTGGAGTCAAGAATGCTCCGGCGGAATGAAGAACCCCTAGCGATCGGAGAGCATTGGAGGAGAGGAGTCCGGGGAACGATAGGCGCAGGGAGCTTGGGTTTGGACGTGAAAGACCGGAGTTGGAGACAGACGCAATGCAGGGCCAAAAGGGACACAAAAAACGAGCGAATGCAAAGAGCACGGAATCACACGAGTATGAGAAGAAGAAGGCGACAAAACGAAGCTCGGGGCTCGAAAAAAAGATAAGAGGGTTTCAGAGGATCAGAGGGTCCGGAGTTGCGAGAGGGTCTGGGGCAGTATGGATTACGGGACGGTATGGTCGGTATGGTCAGTTTCGTCCGGTACGGTTACGCGCTAAGAATAGCGTTGGTGATGTGAATGTGAAGGTGAATGTGACCAGCCCTGTGTGGTGCATAGCCTCCTATAAGGGATACTCCGAAAATTTGATTCCTACTGGGGCTGTCTTTCCCGCCCCCTCTCGGTGTGTTCTCTCTACTATTCTCTAGGTTCTGGAGATTGAGCGGACTGGGGGAACGACCGTATACTTGGAAAAGAGCTCGCGTGTTGGAAAAAAATGAACAGAACCAGGAAAAAAAAAGCACAAGCACAAGCGAGAGAGAGAGAGAGAGAGGGTGGTCCCTAATCGGCGCGAGTGCACTGGGGTGTCTCGGGTAAACCCACTTTTCCACTACAAGCAACCGCCAATTGCCACCGAGACGGCCGAAGAGAAGAGAGAAAACAAAAAGATGGGGCCACCCGGGGTGGAGAGCCAACCAGACATTGACTATAGATCGCCCGTCGGGGGGACGGAGAATGGGCAGTGAAGGCGATATCCCTGTCGCGGTCGATGCGGGCTTTCTCTCTACTTGTGAACTCCTGTCTCTGGATTTGATGCCTCTATGCCAGGGTCTCTGGCCGGGATGAGAGGGTTCTGCAACGGGAGGATTGTTTATTGTAAACACTCGGGGGGACTAAATGGGGTTAGTCTGGCCGCAAGTAAACAGCAAGTTGAGCTCGGCCAGGGAAGGTCACGTGGGTGGGTCCTAGGGTCCGCTGGTTTTCTGGGTTGTTTTGGGTTGGTCCCTGGTATTGACGTATTGAGGGCGCGGGTTATTCGATGACGGTGTGGGTACCGGACCAGTACCATACCACACATCCTCGACACCATCGTCCTTCTCCTCGTCCCTGCATCGGGACTCCTCCCAGTATACATCGGATCTTGGAGATCGGGTTGAGACGAGACAGGTCAGCCTGACAGGTAACCCTCTCTCCTTACTGTCTGCCGATCTCACTGGAGGTGCATTAATAGTAACATGTCAGAAACCGAGCGATCGTTGTCGAGAGGGCCTAAGACTAGCCCCAAGACGCCCGCTGCTCCACTGGCTGTAAATCCATGCCTGGTGAGTGGACCGATCGCATGTCGGCCGGGGGCTCGACTGAAACTAGGGGGTTCGTGGCGGAACATAACCACGCTGGGCCAGTTGTCAAAGTATTTTGTGTCTACAGCCTGCGGTAAGGAATGGGAGGAGCACAGAGACCAGATTTTGGTGGCAAAACGCCTCCCCCCCCCCCCTCCCCCTTGGTGAGACATCCCAAATATAGATCTGAAAAACCACCAGACACACGCTGTATTGTCCCGCGTCCCCGAGGGCGGTCGAGCAGCCGGCGGCAGTCCCTGCCCCGGTCCCGAAGGGTCTTGACATCAGCGGACGGGAGCACCGCGCTTCCCAGCGGCCCCCATCACTCTTCGTTCGCTGCGCCTGTTGCTGCTGTTGGCTGCTTTACCTGGTTCGGGTGATTCCAATTGGATGGCCCCAAAGGCAGACTCGGCCCGTGGGGAATCACTCAGGAATTCACACTCCTGGCGTTTAAATCATGGGGGATTTTCATACTGCTCGACATCTCGACAGATCCAACACACCTTCTGTGCCCTTCTCGATCGCTGAACGGCCATTGCGATGAGATAGGCCACCCGACCCTGGGACTTCTCTGCACTGCCCGCCGTAAAGACACCAACCCAACATGGAAGAAAGTTCGCATAGACTGCAATCCCACAAGCTGAAAATACCCAATTTCCTAAATCCTCACCCAAAGCTCCACCATCCAACATCCCAACATAGGAAAATAACCATGTTGATAGAGACGGGAAACTCTTCACACAGAGAAACTATGTCCTCCGTAGAACTCTTCTGTAGCAATCCGCTCATGACTGAGAACGCAATGCCCATGGCGCTTGCAAATGGAAAGATCCTCAAAGCTGTGCCAGTGCCGCGGCCCTGCGATCCTCTTGTTTTTCTCCTATTGATTTCGGGTCATCAGCGGCTGTCATTTTGGCGAGGGGACGCCGGTACGGTACGGTACATACCGTACCCGACCCGACCAAGACGTCCCTGCGGGAGTTCCAGCTAGTTCCAGCTGTTGGTGGGCACTGTTTCCACTTTTCCACACCTTCTCCCCACGCTCTCTTGCTCACTCTTATCTCCCTCGGGTTTTTCTCCTGGGATCTTCATTCACTGATCACGGCTTCCTTCTCGCTCTCCCCTTCTCCAGTTCATTCCTCTGTTCCTTTCTCACTCGTTCCGGAGTGCCTATCCTCCAGCCGCTCGCTCAGTTCTCCGGAGTATACACCCTTGGAATCCCGCTTTGTTGACGGGACACCTCACCCGGGGTTGCGCGCTCGCTGCTTCTCGACTCCTGACTCCGATCGACACCTCCCATCTACCGTGCAAAGGCTTTCTCTCGATGCGTTGCTGCTAAATCGACTCCTGATCATCTCGTCCGGACTCTGTCCGTTCCGCCAGGTTCGCCATGTCGAACCGCTACTCGGTTTTCTCAACTCAGTCCGCTGGGCCCCGGCCGATCTCTCAACATGCCGGCCAGGTCTCGACGACCACCTTGCTGAATGCCCTGCACTCGTTCTACACGGCCGGTCAGCCGTACCAGTTAGATTCCAGTACGAGCTTGGCCGTCAACACCTGGGTGACGGCGGCCACGATCCTTCCAGATGGCCGAAATGGAGCGGCCATCGACCGTGACCTCGCGATCCGGGCGTGGGAACACGCTCGCCGGCGGGCTGAGGATGGCTGTATTGTTCTCTGGTATGTCCATGAATACGTCCCGTACTCTCCATATGCAGTTCATATTTCCACTAACCGGCACCCAGTTCCATGCACCAGTCTACTCCATCACTGCTGGAGCCCTTCATTGCCGCCCTGCCCCTACCGACTCCAGAGACTGCGTTTACCGCTCTAGCAGCGCTACGGCCTTTTCTCTCGGCAGTGACCTCCTTCAATCCTTCCTATTCTTTGCACTCCGCCTTATCGGTTTCCTACACCTTGACCCTCCAGGGCACAGTGGTCGGGCTGTCCTTGGCCCTCTCGACAGCCGGCATCAATGTGCGCAAGGGTCTTCTGGACATCTCCAATGAGCCTGGTTATCGGGCATTCGATGTATTTTACTACCTCCTGACATCTGCCTCCACCCCCGCCGAGCGCGAATTTCTCGCTTTAAAGGACCCTTCCGCTTATGCATTGCTCAACCGATCCGGCACCTACACAACCCCGGCATATCTCCCCACCGCCGATGATACCGCCTCAGCAGAGGACCTTCGTGCAAACTTGAAGAGCATTGGAATTAAAGGTGCCAATCAAAGAGGCCTACTGGCAGTTCTTGCCGGTCTCCTCAAACTGGGCAACGCTGCCGGGCTGATGGTAGACCAAGAGGACCTAGAGGATGTTTGTGAAGACGTCGGGGGTCTCCTCGGTGTAGATCCCGAAGTCCTCCTCCACAGATGCTCTACAGATGATCGTGAGGTCCTGATTGCGGGGGTTTACGAGGCAGTTGTGGACTGGGTCATCAGCAAAGCCAACGAAACCATCGCTACTGAAATTCACAACGTGCTGGAAAACCATTCCAGCAATGACGGTGCTGCTCATTACTCGGATGAAGACACAGTTGGTTTGACCGTAGTCGACATCCCCCGGCCAGCGTTGGGTAAAGCGGTGGCCATGCGAGGCGTCTTCGACGATCATTTGGGAATCAATGCTGAAATGAAGGAGGACGGCATCTCAATCCCAGCCGTAGGCCAGTCTGTCGTCAATGAAGTGAACATCGCAGTGTCACAAGTCGAGCCTGATCTTGGAATCTTCGGCGGGGCGGCTGCGCGGGAACGCGAGCATGACCTTGATCGACGACAAGGCACCCTGGAGAAAGTTGCAGTGGAGGCCGAATCGGATTCTTTCCTGCGGCAAATTTTGTTCCCAGTCGAGACCGAAGGGATCTCTCTTGGGCGAGGACGCTTTGATTTGGCTACGACTCTCGGTAGCAGCCGCGTCTGGTACCATCTCTCTATTCACCCCACTGACGACCTTCCCGAACAGCTCAGCGGCGTCAGCGCTGCCTGGTCCGCAGGCGCAGTCTCGCGCCAATTGAGAGATTGGCGACTGCCCGAGTGGGCTAATCACCGCTCGAAGCAGCTTGACTTCACCGCCGACTTTGATGTGGATGAATTTGTCGCTCGGTATTCTCGTCTTGGATGCTCTGACGGCCGAGAGGGTGTTGAAAGCTGGCTCCTTGAGAGAGGGTGGAGCAATGGCGAGGCCGTGCTTGGCCATGAGCGGATCTGGATGAGAGAAGGTGCTTGGTGGGAAGCTGAGTCGATGCTCGACCTCAAGACCGATGATACTCCCTCGAACCCCTTCGGCTATGGCGCTACCATGTACGAGCCGGCTTTTACTCCTGATGGAAATCCCATCGGTGAAGGAACCAATCTGCTGGGAAGCCGTGATGATATAATGATGCACAACCAGGCTGCTATGGCCCCCAGTGTTATGGGCGGTGCTGGTGCAGCGAAGTCCATTGCACCTACCGGCTTCACCACTGCTCTTGGTCCTGGTGACTATGGCCTTGGCCACAAGGGTGATGACAACAAAGGAGACATTGCCTACTACGATGACTACGGTCGTTATATCGGCGATCTCGATCCTGAATTTGGTGATCCGAAACATATTGAGAAAAAGACGATCACCTTCGGCCGTCGCGCCTGGGCCGGCTTCGTGTGGGCATTGACCTTCTGGATTCCATCTTTCGTTCTCCGATGGGTTGGTCGTATGAAGCGACCAGATGTTCGCATGGCCTGGCGTGAGAAACTTGTCCTTGTACTACTCATTCTACTCTTCAACGGTATTGTCTGCTTTTACATCATTGCCTTCGGTGATCTCCTCTGTCCGAACAAAGATAAAGCATGGAATACCAAAGAAGTCAGCTGGCATGCACAGGATAATAATTTTTTTTGTCAGTATTCATGGTCGTGTCTACGATATTTCCAAGTTCTGGCGCTTGCAGCACAGTGATAGCACTACTGAGACAACCTCGAGCAACATGAAACCTTTTGCTGGGTTGAATCTTGATGCTTATTTCCCTCCACCGCTGACTCAATACTGCAATCCTTTCGTCACCAGCCAGTCGATCACGATGCAGAATAACGACACCAGCGCTGTCGAATATTCTGACGCTGTGCACGATTGTGGACCACTTAATTATCCCTCAACAACGACCAAGCTCCACAAAATCACCTGGTATGGTAATGTTTTCCTGCCAAAAATTGCCGATTACTACAAGGGCGAGCTTGTTTGGTCCAAGAGCACCATCTCGAAGCAAGCCAACGACTATTCGCGGTACTGGGTGATTGTGAATCAGAAAGTCTACGACCTGACGGATTATTTCTATACTGCAAAACTGGAGAATAACATCGACAGCTATACATTCCTTCCGGACTCGGTGACCACGCTATTTAAGAACTACCCTGGCACCGATGTGACAGACAAATGGCAGGATACGGAAGAGTTTCGAAATGCAGAGCGGTGCTTGGACTACGTCTTCTACAAGGGTAAAGTTGACTTCCGTGACAGTCCTAGATGTACTGTCAACAACTGGATCCTTCTTGCATTCACCATTCTCATCTGTGCTGTCATTCTTGTCAAATTCCTCGCCGCTTTGCAGCTAGGATCCAAGCGTCGACCGGCCCCTCAAGACAAGTTTGTGATCTGCATGGTCCCAGCCTACACGGAAGGCGAGGATTCCCTTCGGAAGGGCCTGGACTCGCTGACTGCCTTGCAGTATGACAATAAGAGAAAGCTCATCTTTGTCATCTGTGACGGAATGATTGTTGGAGGTGGAAACGATCGTCCCACGCCAAAGATCGTTTTGGACATTCTTGGTGTTGATCCCAAGATGGACCCTCCAGCTCTTCCTTTCAGATCCCTCGGCCAAGGCAGCGAGCAACTGAATTATGGCAAGGTGTACTCTGGCTTGTACGAGTACGAAGGCAATGTTGTCCCATACATCGTGGTCGTCAAGGTCGGAAAAGAGTCTGAACAGCGCAAGTCCAAGCCTGGTAATCGTGGAAAGCGAGATACCCAAGTCCTTCTGATGCATTTCCTGAACCGTGTCCACCACCGTGGTCCAATGTCGCCTCTTGAGCTCGAAATTTTCCATCAAATCAATAACATCATTGGTGTGGACCCGGAACTTTACGAGTACTGCTTCATGGTCGACGCGGATACTAGTGTGAAAGAGGATTCTTTGAATCGTCTGGTGGCTGCTTGTGCGGCAGATGCTAAGATTGCCGGTATCTGTGGTGAAACAAGTCTTCAGAATGAAGAGCGGAGTTGGTGGACAATGATTCAGGTCTACGAATATTACATTTCTCACCACTTGGCTAAGGCTTTCGAGTCTCTCTTTGGCAGCGTGACCTGTCTTCCGGGATGGTAAGCTCATTGGATTTTCTTGACTCTTCTCAGTATATCAGTTACTAACACCATTCAGCTTCTGTATGTACCGTCTGCGCACTGCGGACAAGGGTCGACCTCTTCTAATCTCAGACAAGGTTCTCGAGGAGTACGCCGACAATGATGTCGATACTCTGCATAAGAAGAACCTGCTGTCCCTTGGCGAGGATCGTTTCTTGACAACTCTCATGACCAAGCACTTCCCGACCATGCGTTACAAATTCATTCCCGATGCATACGCCAGTACGGCTGCTCCTGAGCAATGGAGTGTGCTTATCTCTCAGCGTCGTCGTTGGATTAACTCGACTATCCACAACCTGGTTGAGCTGGCTGCGTTGAAGGATCTATGTGGTTTCTGCTGCTTTAGCATGCGGTTTGTTGTGCTTGTGGATCTCCTGGGAACTATCATTCTTCCCGCCACTTGTGTTTACTTGGGATACCTGATCTACCGCGTGGCTAGTCACACTGGACCGTTCCCTACAATTGCACTTGTCATGTTGGCAGGTGTGTATGGTCTGCAGGCAATCATTTTCATCATTAAGAGGCAGTGGCAGCACATTGGATGGATGATCATCTATCTCATGGCCTTCCCCATCTACAGTTTTGTCTTACCGCTGTACTCCTTCTGGAAGCAGGATGATTTTACTTGGGGTAATACCCGTGTCGTCATTGGTGAAAAGGGTGACAAACGTGTCATTGCTGTTGAAGATGAGGGCTTCGACCCTCGCAGTATTCCTCTGCAGCGCTGGGATGATTACGCGCTGGCCAACAATCTCCCAGGCCGCCGGGGTGAACTCACTTCCAGCCAGGAGAAGGTCCACTACACTGGCCGCTACATGGATGACCAGGCGATGGAGATGGACGACATGCATTCACAATACTCTTCTGTGAAGCCTGCATCTACCATCCTCACTGGCTTCCCCGGCCATGGTCGTCAAGTTGGTCCGTACATGCCCCCGCAATCACCTGCGCCCTTGGTCGGGGGCAACGTGCCTGGCAACCGAAACTCGCACATGTCCAGCTTCTCCCGCTACACCGATTATCCCCAGATGGGCACTCATTCGGCTGCCGCATCCCGTCACATGTCAATCGGCAATCTTAGCGGCTACCAAGAACACCCAGGTCACAGCAGTCGCCATAGCATTGGCCTTATGCAAAGCAGTGAGAATCTGCTTGCTTCGCGGTCTCGCAGCCCCTTAGGACAACTACCCTCGCGACCTGCGAGTACGGCTTTTGACTTCCGTGGTGTTGCCGGCAGTGGGCCTGATGAACCTGCCATCACCGAGGCTATCCGCAGCTGCCTGGCAGAAGTTGATCTCGACACTGTCACCAAGAAACAAGGTAAATTCCCAAATTGCTGATTGTTTGTGAAAGTACATGAACTAACATATCTATTTTAGTCCGAGTTCTTGTCGAGCAACGCCTGCAGACCTCACTCACGGGTGACAAGCGTGCCTTCGTGGACCGCCAGATCGACCATGAGCTGGCGAGCATGTGATTGTGGTTTCCTCTCGCGCATCCAGTATCTCAATAATCCTCGTTTGTAATATGCATCTACCAGCGCAGTTAACCTTTATTTTGTTACTTTATTTTGCTCCTGTTTTTGAAAACAAAATTTTCGGCATGTCTGGCGTTCCACCCGGGATTGAATTGGGATTTCTGCTCTTTTGTTTATTGACCTTTTTATCATTTATTTCCTTTGCCTTTTCTCCCCTGGTTCTTGAGCAGAGTACTTTGAGCGAATGAATGTTAATTACGGAGCCATTGGCTCGTATAGTATGGGAGCAACAAGGGCCTTCTAGATTTTAAATTGAAATCAATTTATCGATTCACCAAATACAAAAGAATAGTGCAGACAGGCTGGAAGAAAGCTAAAAGAAATATATTAAACAGATATTACTTGAGCCTTCCTGTAAATTAGGGCTCTCTTCTGATGCTTCCAATGAAGAAAGGTTCTTCTTAATGCCTCCCTCCGCCTCCATTGGGTTAGATTGAAGATGCATATTGTGTTGGGCATAAAACTGATACTGTCTTTCTAATCTTTTGGCATTCCAGCCTATACTATTGACCTAACCCAACAAGCTTCCACCCCCCTCTGGGGATTAACGACATTACTATTTCCCATCGTCAATACACACAAAATTCAAGATCGGTGCAAAGAATGCAGCAACTTTCGGAGACCCTTCGGTCCGTGTGCTTGCACATGCTCGTAGTAGTAATCCTGAGCAGCATCCATGATGGCTTTCACCTTGGTCGCAGGGACCTTCTCCTTGCGGTCATACGAGTATAGCCCGTTGACCTCCTGCTCGATATCGCAGCTGAAGGGGTGAATTCAGCCTTAGAATCATCTTTGTTACACTTCTCTCGAAGCAATGGCTGGGTGGCACTTACAGCTGGGTATAGACGAGGCCGCAGGTGTGGCCTCCCTTGACGATTGCCATCACCAGTTTCTCAAAGCGCCGCAGGAAGTCGTCCACATCGGTGGCCGTGGTGTACCCCCAATCCCGCTCGCCCCCCTTCGCGTCCTTCGGCGGCGCGATATTGACCCCGCCGAACTCGGTGCAGATGACAGGGGCACCGGCTTGGTGCTGTGCCCCAGGGTCGAGGAGAGTGTGTCCTGAGAAGCCGGAGTAGATCGGCTTCGTGAACATTTCACGGCCACCCTTAGGACCCAGGATCCCACCTTCCATTTTGGCGCAGGTGGCGGCCAGTTCAATAGAGTCGGCATAGTCGTGGTAGGTGGTTAGATCGGTCAAGACGTGTTCCCAGCCGCAATTGTCATTGATAGGGCGACTGGGGTCCAATGTTCTGTGTTTTGATTGATTTCTTCTGGTTAGGGCTTTTCTTCTGGTCCTCGAGATCCGAGATCATCTTTGTCAGGGCTGCAACACCGGAATGACACTTACTTCGTCAAGTAGTATAACGAGCGAATATGATTCCGCTGGTCGATGTTATCCTTTAGCGACTTATAGGCCCAACTCTCGTTGTTCGGCGTCCAGGTAATGACGCATGGGTGGTTGATATCACGCTTGACAGCTTCCGTCCACTCGGCATTCATGCGCTCGATATAATCGCTGCCGAACTCGTACGCATTCGCCATCTCCCCCCACACTAGATATCCCAACCGGTCCGCCCAGTAGTGAAACCGCGGATCCTCGACCTTCTGGTGCTTGCGGCACCCATTGAACCCCATCGCCTGGGCCATCACGATATCCGCCTTCAGCGCGTCCTCCGACGGCGGCGTCAGCCCCGTCTCTGGCCAATACCCCTGGTCAAGGAACAGCATCTGGAAGTACGGCCGCCCATTAAGCCGGAATGTGCCATCCCCGTTCTGCCACGACAGACTGCGCATTCCAGCGCTCGTTTCGACCTCGTCAACCACCCGCCCCTCGCCGTCGACCACCCGCAGCACAACCTCATACAGAATAGGGTGCTCCGGCGCCCACATTGCAACTCCATTCTGCCACGCTCCCTCGACCCCAAACACCTGCCCGGCTCGCCCCGCCAGCTCCCTCTCCGCTTCCCCTCCAACCCGCATCCCCACCTCCACCGCTACCCAGTCCCGCTCCGCCGGCAGCGTCGCCCGCCCCCGCCCAACCGTCCGCCCCGCCAGCCGCGCCTCAACCTCCACGCAACCCTCCGCCCCGGGCGTCCGCCCAAGGACCGCAATTCTCGCACGCAGCATCCCACCCGCGACATCATCCGCTCGCAGCACCGTGCCCCCGCTCCCACACGCAACCCGCATCGCCGGCACGCTCTCCACCCAAACGCTCTGCCAGATCCCGCCGCTTGGCGTGTAGAATATGCTTTCCGGCACGGGCTTCCAGTACTGCTTGCCGCGCGGCTGAGCCAGATCCGCGGGTGAGTCGCGCACGCGCAGGACCAGCCGCGCTGTCGGCGCCGCTGGCCATTCGTCTGTCAGGTCTAGGTCGAACGGGACGTGGCCGCCGGTGTGGGCGCCGACCAGGGCGCCGTCCAGCCAGACAGTGCATTCGTAGTCGACGGCGCCGAAGCGCAGGAGGAGGCGGTGGGAGGCGGCTTTCTCCGCGGCGGTGCGGATGTCTGTGATGCGGCGCTCGTACCAGAGGATCTCGTGGGCTTCTAGGAGGGCGATGCCGGAGGCGGGGGTTTGGAAGGCGTAGGGGACTGTGATAGTGCGTTTGGGTTGGGAGGCAGAATGGGAGGGGAGACCGGTGCGGTGCCATTGGGAGGGGAGGCCGCTGTTGGTGTCGTCGAAGATGAAGTCCCAGGGCCCGTCGAGGGAGGCCCAGTTTAGGGCTTTGCGTTGGAAGTCGGGACGTGGGTAGGATGGTGTCATGGTGAGCGATGGGCGCATAGGTTTGGATCCTGGTTTCTTAGGAGGCTTTGGAGAGTTGGTGGTGGGTAGAGAGGTGTATGGTTGGGAATTGGAAGGTCGTTAGAATGTCTGTTCGAGCAATTGAAGCAGTATGAGGAAGTATGAAGTGGATGGAGATGGGTGGGACCGTCCCATAGCCCCGACCCTCACCTCCCCGCGGTAGCTACGTCAGTGAAAATAACACTACCCAAAGTAAGGAGTCGGAGGGTCCACCTTTTCTGCAGCCAAGATGGTCTCTGACTTACTAGTACCAGATGGTGAGTGCGATGTGCGCAGGGCTATAGAGAGGTTGCCATGGCTGTTATCCGACACACTTTCCATTCACTGTTAGTAAACAGCTGCTACGGCGGCACGTCTAGAAATTAGCAAGGACGGAACTCGTCTAGGATCAAATCTCATTGATGGGGGATATCAAAAGAAGTAAACATCGACACAAATCCAAAGCAGACAACTCCCGAGTCAGTCAAGCTACCGAAAATATCTCGACAAGACAGATACCGGCAAAGGTACCATATGTCATGTCCAGCTCATCGAAGACTTGCTACCGTTAACCCCTTTGCCCGTAGTTCCTCCCATGCACACCGGAATCATTTGACATCGCGCGAAGAAAGACCAAAAACACAGAAAAGAGAAAGGGAGAAAAAGAAGAAAACAAACATCAATAGAGGGGAGCAGAGGAAGAAAAGAAGTGGAGGACCACGTCTCTTCGACCCTTACCGCCCTCGGGAATTTGGGGAATTGTGGGGGGAAAAAACACACAGAAAACAGAAAGCAGGAACGGCAAAAATCCGCTCTATCTCACGCAGATTTCTTGGATATCTCGTTTTTCTTTTCTGACGCCTTCATTGCTTGCGTGCCGTGGTATCAATCAACTCAAGAAAACGACCAAAGAAAAGCAGAAAGGTGAAGAAAAAGACAAAAAAAACACACTGAAGACCGAGAGACACACGCTGGAAACAAATCAACCAAAAGGGTATACTGCTGTAAATGGATATTTTGGGGGTTAACGCGGTGGCCCGATAGGGGCCGGGTATCCAGAAGTAGAATTCGAAGTGCTAGGGCGACCACTGTCAAAAGAGGCGCGCGGGTCATGCTTGGGGGTCATGTCACCCGGCGCCGTACCGAAAGGAAACTTGGTGTCAAAACGCGTCGGCCAGCCATTGTTGCTGTTGCTGCTCTTGTGGCTGTGCGAGCTTCCCAAGACCGGGACGTCGTCTTCCGGGAGGTTAACCCCGGAGTCATTCCAAGGGTTGCGGTAGCCACTGTCCCGCGACTCCATAGAGACGAGCGACGCCTTCGAGGCGTTGCTGGATGCGTGCTTGAAGAACGACGCTGGCGACGCGGAGTGATTCTTGCGCCCAATGAACGAGGAGAAAGACGAGATGCTGCCGGGCTTGCGAAGGCGCTCGAAGATCGAGCCACGCTCGCTGGTCTCGTCAGCAAAGCTGGGACGAGTCGGTGAGTCAGTCACCAGCGGGGCCGGGGCATGTTGCAACAACTTCGAGTCGAAGAAAGGCAGAGACTCTTCGAAGGAGTCCGACTTGGGGCGCGGGATGGCACCCTTGACAGTATTGGCATCCAGACCGTGGGCAACCAGACGGGAGATCAAAAAGTCGATGGCGTCCTTGAGACCGCCAGCATTGTTCCGAGTGTAACCAAGTACGACACGATCTTCTGGGGCAGGCTCGGGCGACGACGAGCCCTCTTCCTTAGATGGAAGATCGGCGGCCGTGTCAAGGTTGATATCCACCTCATACTGCTCCTTGAGTTTGGTGCGAACGTCCGCAAAGAAGTCAGGGGACTTGAAGTATTCCCGAAGTTCCGCGGAACTTTGAAAATGCAACTCGTGGCTTTCCGGAACCATGCCCAGAAGAGCATCAACAGCCTGGGGAACCTGGTACTCGGGGCCAGAGATGGTCACAACGTCACTGGCAAGCTCGGTGCTGGGAAATTCGATCTTGCAATTCCATTTCTTCTCCAGCTCGTCGATCTCGGTCATGCGTGCCAACAGCTCTCGGTGGTAGAGGCGGTTGATGACGACTCTCTCCGAGACGTACTCAGCGTCCTAGCAGATGTGAGCAAGATATTCCCAGAGTAATAGATATCGAAACAAAGACTTACCACTTTCTCAACCATGTCCATGATCTCCTGCTTGACAAGGTCAAGGCTTTGGGCATTACGGGCAGGAGTTCGACAGATAACATTGTCAACCTTGATATCGTCGTCTTCCTTGCCCATTCCACCCCGGTCCATGGCATTGGAGAATTTGACAAACACTGAGTACTTCTTCATGATGCGCTGGATGTGCTGTCCGCCAATACCAATGATCCGCTTGTGGTACTGGTCAGGGACATGGAAGGAGATGGAAGCTGGCATCTCCTGCTCAACAAGATCAAGACCATTCTTCGTGGACTCGTATTGGTTACCGCAGACATCGATATAGAAATTGTACTCGTTGAAACCGTCAAATATAATTTGAACGTTGCCTAGATTCTGGGTTAGTGTCGTATTCACTGCCTAAGCCACATTGGAACAAGAATGTCATACTTTGGCCCATGATCTTGTTAATCTTGCCGTTCTTCTTGCCGCTGACAAACTCCTTGTGCTCGTTGGCCAGCTCGATCTTGACTCGCATTTGGTATTGGCTTCGCGTGACGAACGGAATCTGGTTCACAACGGTCATGGCCGCTTTGACAGCATCGTCGGATCCATTGATGGTGAAAGTCAGGTTATCAAAGCTGACCTCCGCTTCCGAGTTAGTGCAGATATCCGAGAGCATAGAGCGGACATCTGCAGTTGAGGGGGCACGAATGCCACCTTGGGCTGGGTCGGGTATGATGATCCACCAGGAGGCACTATAGAATTGACCAGCCTGAAAGAAACCCCCAAGTGCATTAGTACGCATTCCGGAACAGGGTTCATGAACAAAGAAAGACACACCAAAGCCATAATCTCCCGCACGGTCCGCTCAACATGCAGGACCTCGGTGCCCTGAATCCGAACCAGGCCACGCTGGCTGCCCAACTGTGGAAAGAGGACGTAGGATCCGTTCATTTCCATCACCTTGCGCACCTTGTCCAAGCGGTCGAGTAGAATGTTATCGATCTTGCTCGAGTTGACCACGACATCTTTGACGAAGATCTTTACTCCCATCACCAACTCCCGCAGCTTCTGCTTGGCACGAGCAATTTGCTCGGGCGTCTCACCCGTGATGTATACTTCATCTTCGCTTCGACGATTCGCACCGGGGGGAGTGTAGCCGAAGATTCGTGGGAAAGGAGGGGGAAGTAGATGGCGGTACCGGTTGCAGCCTCGATCAGCTTGATATTCTTACGGGTGCGACCACAGACCAAGGTGTGCATCGTCAGCTCCAGCTTGATGGCGTCCACATGCCGTTTCAACTAATGGTGGTTGTCAGTTGAGTTCCGGTCCGAAGTATCCGCGCACAGAGAGACCCACAATTTGATCGATCATGATCAGAACCCTCGTCTTCGCATGTTCCGAGCTTTCCATGTCACCGTAGATGGCCACGCGAAACCGTTGTTCCAAGCCATTGTCAGATGCATAGCCGTAGGATGAAACGACCGCACTGTCGGCATCGTGGAGTTTTGGGGTCAGTAAAAAAATGTCGGTGCCGGTGTAGGCAGCCAGTGTATCCATATGCTCGAGCACGCTAGCTCTAATGCCCTTGGGGGATCCATCCATGATCAAATGCATGTCCACGTCGACAGTTGCGCAGCGCTGAGAGGGAGAAATGAATGATTAGCAAGGGATGTTCTCGTAGCAGGGCCTTGTTCCTCTTGGCCACATCCCGGTGAAGCGGGCGGGCCGAAGGGAGGAAGGGAGGGGAAAAAAAAAATTCATCTACGTACCAGCATGATGGGGGTATCATTCAAAATCTTCGCTCGCATCTTCCGTACTGTTTCTCCATCGCCGGTCACACAGACATTGGTGACCAAGCCGTTCGGGCGCCGCTGGAGGGAGGGCACCGCCTTGGGCTCGGAGGAGGTCAAGGTGGCCTCGATGCGGCCCCCGCTGGATTCGGTGATCTGGCGACATAACCTTCGCAGACCTTCGACGTTGCTGGTATGTACCGGCAGCTGGTGCACCGGAGTGCCTTCGGGGGTGGCCTCTGGGAAGGTCCAGCGCTGGAGGGCGTTGGGACTGGCGTGGAGCACATCGTCAACGTCGGGGCCGGCGAGGGTGGAGGAGAAGGGGACGTTGAAGGACAAGTTGACGGTCGGGTCGATGCTGGTCGGCGGCGTCATGGGCGGTGCCCCGTGTGGTCGGCGAAAGGCCATGTCGGTGTGAGGTCTAGACATGCCGAAGGTCGGTGTCATTCGTTCCCAACCATGACGGGCCTGGCCCGTGAAGTTGGAGATCTTGTGCATGACCAGAGGTCAGGAAGGGGAAAACACTCTCACCCCGATTCGATCGAGGAGAGGGGCGTAAGAGGGAGGAGGAAGGGTGGAGGGTGAGGGTGTTGGAGAGTGGAAAGTCCAAGGCTGCCGTTCGACAGGGATACGGAATGGCGCTGTGTGGGCGGGTTCGGGAATGGTGGGAACGAAGATCGATCGATTCTCGGCCAGAACGGACCATCCGCCCCGGAACCCACGAGCAGAAAGAACAAGCCTCGACCAGAAAGAAGTCAATGGCCCCGTCGAGTCCGGTGAGACTGGAGAGGAAGAAATAGAAGGGGCGAGCGAAATGGGCGAGTTGAGGTTCGAAGTGCGAAGTTGACAGGGCCGTCAATTAGGCGGGTCACTGTCATTTTCTCCGAGAACCTGGGTTCCCGCTCACGGCCATCGATTGCGTCGCTGCGCTTCTGATTTTGGTATGTCGAGTCTAGCTAATTGTGATGGAACTTCGTAGGATACTCCGGTGTGTCTGTCTACGTTTCCTCGGAAGAGGCCCCCCGACTTGTCCCCTTCGTACCCGCTAGATCTCTAGGTCGATCGACGTCGATCGAGGTTCTATATAGTAGGTGCAAAAGAGGTCTACGTCCACGAGATCCCGCAGGCGAGACCGCGATCAGGAAACAATCGAGGCCTTGATTCAGGCCAGATCATGCATGCAAGCCCATCGTTTCCGAATATGAAGATGAAATACGGTGCAGCAAACCCCAGTCTGTACAGTGGATTTTCCATTGTCCAACTTTCAACCGCAACTCCAGCTTTGTCCTGGCGTAGGATGTGCCAGGATGTTCTGTCACGGACTCCCTTCCCCTCTCTTTTTCTTTCTCTCTCTTTCCCTTTTGTGGTTCTTTTGGTTAAGGGGTTGGGGGGATTTAGGAAAGAGAGGGGGAATCTCTGCGCGTTCTCGAATCCACATTGCCAGCACTGCCTCGCTCGCTGGGAAGAATGTGGCCGATCCGGCAGAGAATGCCCGTCGGCTGGCTCGCCAGGGCGCTAGGCAGGTTAGATCCAGGCCCGAGCTGGAGCTCCACTGGCGTCAGCCCAGTTTGCTCCCTGGCATCACCGAAGCTGTGTTGACGGGGAATACAAGTCGAGGTTCCGGCAGTGACCATCCATCCGGGGCCCGGTGGACCTGGGATGTGCGGTTTGGGCTTGGGGAATTCCCATCGCGTCTTCAGACCGTTTCCATGATCGAGGTCACGTGGAGAGGGGATCTGCCTGTGCGGTCGTTTTGGAAAGACTTAGGTCTCAAGTTCTGCAGGCTGCAGGCTGCCTTTTGCAGGTCCTCGATGGTCCATTTGGAACCTGCACTCCTGCTCCCCGGATGCCCGGTTCTGGTGTTGGAAAAGGGATCAGAATAGTCTTGGCTAGGATCCGGTCCTGATTAGCCCTGGTGTCAAAGATCCCCCTCCCCCATCTGGAGGCGTTGGCCGTTGGTCGATCCAGATTCCCAGCTTTACCAGCTTTACCAGTTTTACCAGTTTTCCCAGTCCATGAAAGATATCTGACGAGTCGGTGGATCCCGAGTCCTTCCGTCTCCTGCGTACGTCGATCAGCTCATAGGTCGCGGGAAATCGAACCCTGTACGACGCCGGTATCTGAACGATCCACCCCGGGACGCCGTGGGGGGAACTGATAGGACAGCCCGGCTGGTCCGGACACGCCCCCGACCATTGATGCGGGCCCCGGCTGAGGTGTCCTGGTGTCCTGGGATTCTCACTGGGGAGAAGAAGTCAATGTGAAACCGATGACGGGCGGAGGTAGGAGAGGTGGGAGAGGTGGAGGGGGACGTTTGTTGGGCTCGAAGAGTCTCCCGCTGTGAGTGATGAGAGATTGGCTTTCGTCTGGTCACACTTCGCCCCAAAGGTAGACAGAACGTTCCTATACTCCGGGAGATGTACAAATTGGAGAAGAGTCACCGCAACAAGTTTTCTCATGTTCCTTGACTCTGAAGAAAACATATCCGGTTGATCGGTCCGTTGGTCCTCCGCCATAGTCGCCGATCTCCCAATGCCAATATCCCCAACCTGGTCCCTTGGAGCTCGTCGTCCTCCGCCATCGGCCATTCGTCACTTGGCCCCCTCTGCAAATGGCCCCCCGTCCTGCAGCCTCGGCCGCTTCATGCTCTGGTCTTTTGTGTCCGTTGCATTCTCCACGGGCCTTGTTGGGCTCCCCTGAGATCTTCTTGTTCATTTTTGTTCATTGCTACTCCTCACCATCTAGGCATTCATGAACCCCCGCCCCTCAACACGTCAGCCCAACCCGAGTCCCATATCTACTGTAGATATACCTTATACATTGAAGCCCCCAGCGAAAGCGAAACTGTTCCGCCTCGAGCAAAAGACAGAGAAAAAAAAAAAGGAAAAAAGAAACAAAAACAAAAAGGCGCAGGGAGCTGAAGTGGTCGACGTCATTCTCTCGTCTCTCGTATACAAAGTGGGTCAAACTGCCCTCAAAGAAACTTGACCCCTCGAAACCAATTCCGACTGGACGGACCGCCAGTGGTCACTTTGGAAAGCTGACCGCAGCGGCTGCGAGCGGCTGCATCCCCAGCTTTGGAAAAGGCCCCCCTCATAGGCGGATCAGGTGGGAAGATTGGGGGCAAGCATTGGGGAGGGATTCGATGGGGAGCATGGGACGTGCGGAGAGTTGGTTCTCTGGTTCTTCAGTTCCCTCAAATCGGAGCCGAGAGAAATTGGTTGGTTGTGATGTGTACTATGTACTAGTAACTAGTAATGTTAGCCTGAGGATCTGAAGCTGGTCTCGGAGTGTACGACAAGCTCAACCCTAAGTCCACTGTTTTATACGTACTACCACTGGGAGGCTGTCAACGCACAGATTCGCCCCACCTCCCGCCCAATGAGGGCCAGGGCGGATGTGATATACATCATCGACATCGTATTTGATATCGGGGACTTGGGTTTATAGAATGGTGCGTTAGGGCATGGATCATCGTGCACGTTTTAAGCGGATGAACCCGATCGAGTATATATCACATCCGCCAGCAGGACACTCCATCTCATTCAGCCCGAAGGATCAACTAGAATCAATTTCAATATTATCCTTTATGAATTGCTGATGAGTCCCCCCCCCCCCCCCCCCCGACCCTTTAGTGGAGATTTATGATGCATCTTAAACAGTCCTCGGCTCAAGTGCTTGCGCGGTACCACGTTATCCATTGATCACACCTGCAGACAGAAGGAACGAGGACACCACCCATCCATTATTCATGGTGGCTGAGACTATATATATATATATGTGTGTATGCTTTTTAACGACTGCGACTAATGGAGATAGCTTTGGAGAGCAAAAGTCTTGTCATCACCCAGTATGTGATCTCGATCACACAGACTGCAAAAAGGGAGGTCTTCCCATATGTCACAGCCCAAGGGCCATGTTGAATATTCCATGGTGACAACCATGGACCGTCATAAAACCTGCAAACAGCTACTGACGATGCTCGTCTACAAGCAGAGTCGTTTGACACACTGTACAATGGATTTCTACCATATTAAAGCCAGGGAAGAAGAGCACAGTTACTGCTTGATGAACACTAGCACAGCCCGGGATTTCTACGCAAAAGTATTTCAGAACAAGAAGAAGATTTAATTCCGATCAAGACATCAAGATCAAATTCCGCACCAGAATAAAATACGATATGGATAATGCACCGGATGCTAATGCACAGATCAAAAAGAAAAGAAAAAGAGAACAGTCCGTTAGTAGTGTTGCTGGGGAGCGCGCGGAGCCGACTCGCCCGGACCTTCCAACGCCATGCGATTTCCTTCATCGCCTTCGTAATATCGTCGCTCGCGGACGTAATACGGCCGCTCAATGTAATCCCCCATTTGTCTGTCATCTAGATATACGCTCACTTCGCGGCTAGGTCCACCGGGGTGAACGCTGCCGACGCGTTGGACAACTTCGGGGGGCTCTTCATACCGAGCAGGGGCGGGCCGTACACTCGCTGTGCGAATGACTCGCTCTGGAGCATATGCACGTTCCTCGACGTATGCGGGGTGACGGGGAACATATTCGGCGACCTGGACGCTGCCACTGCGAGCGTATGGGTCATGGCCCTCCAGAGGAGCAGCGTATGTTCTCTCGCCAGTAACAGGGCGAGCGTAGTCCGAAGCTACACGCCTGTATACTGGCTGTGGGGGAGGCATCTCCTGTACGTATCTTCGTTCACCATACGGGTCCTGCACAACAGATGGGGCACGAACGCTGGCAGTGCGAATAGGAGCGCGGTCATCATACAACTCAGGTTTGTGTTGTGCTCGAGAAATCGGTCTTGGGGGAGGTGCCATAGGTGGCATTCTGGGTGCCGGAACCATTTCAAAATGATTGCCATGCTCATCAACGACGAACCTGCGTGTAGACGCAGGCGCAACGCGCGCCGGGGGGAAGTCCTCGTAATATGATTCCCGGTAAACAGGCTGGGGGGCATCGTCCACAGCTATGTAGCGGGGGCCATAGGAAGGAGCTTCTTCATAATATCTGGGGCGCTCTTGTAGCGGCCTCTCCATAACTGCGTACGATGCGGCCCGCGTTCCACGAGGATCGGTTTCAATGTACTCCCGGGGATACTCAGACTGCCTGGCGTACTGCATACTGGCGACTCGTCGTAAGTCTCCATCGTCACGAACCGGTCGTCGAATAGCTGATCGAGAGACTGTGCGGACCGGCGTTTGATCGACAGGGACCATCGAATAATGACCAACTTCATACGTGGGTCGTTGTTGGCGTGAGTGTTCATGCCTCTCGAGTGGAATGGCATACTGGGGGGATGCGATATCGATAAATACCGGTCGTTCTTGAGGCTGACGGTCTCGGATCACAGCGGGATCATCAGCAAAGGGTGGCGGAGAAACTGGCTCCTCCTTAATGTATGTTTCAGGGAGGTCAGCATTCTGCCCTTTATTAGATGAGGAATGGATTTGGTCCCCTGTCTCGTGCAGCTTCCTTCTTTTCCGAGATGTGAGATGAGGCACTGGTGCATTGGGACTGCCACGGGTAGAATCAGGATCTGAAAATACTTGCCCAGGAGCCTGGTCAAAGCGTCGATCTCGAGGCTGCTGAACTGAGGGAAGCTTTGCAGTTGCCAAGGGCGAGACTCGTGACGGTCGAGGAGCTGCCGGAGAAGTGATAGAATTCTGAACCACCTTCATGTTGTTTGCAGGCGAGATAGTCTGCGGTACCACTTGGGTTCGATCGATGTATCCACCCCGTCTGTCACCAATCGCTACGTCGCGCTCATACTCTCTGAGATCGATAGGCGGGGCCACTGGGGCTGGTGGAGAGTATTCTGGTTCTTCCAAAACGTCTGCCTGCTGTGCCTCATGTGACTGATGGGCGGTATTCATCGGTATGGGTGGTGGCTGCTGGTTCTGAGAGTAGAGGGCATGCTGGTCATAAACAACAGGGTAAGCCTCCCGCATTTCCTGGTCAGACCCAGGTCGGTTCAGAGCTTCAAGTCGTTGTAATTCATCTGCGTAATGATCTACCGGTACGCGCACCCCCGGGTCCACGGTTTGAACCTGGGACGGCGGAGAAGATTTTTGGTTTCCTCCAGCTGGCTGAGGCGAATCAGGAGCTCTACTAGAGTAGAAGGAGTTGTCGTCGAAGGAATCGCTGGGCCCATTCACTTCAGATGGGTCACTCAACGAGACCGGTCGCACGATCTCCAGCGCCCTATCTAAGACCTCCGATACGTTGAAATCAGGTTTAGTGTCTTGGATGGCAGGTTTCTGTTTTAGCTCCTGCTTCCTTTGCTCCAACTGATCACGCAACGCCCTTTCCACTCTCTGTCGCTGCAATTGGATCTCGGCCCTAACAAGATCATCTGACTTGACCAGAAAGATGGGATCAATCTCTGATGTGGTTTTGAGAGGCGTGCGGGTGGATGAGGGCGCTGTGTTTGCGGAGGTAGTAGGTGGCGCATTGCCAATCGGTGGGGGAGCCTGTAAACTGTTGGGAGACTGTGTGATATCCATCCAAGACGCACTATCGGCTAAGTGCCCTCGAGGTTTGTCTTTTGCTACCTGCAGCGTAGAAAGCCCATTCTGGCCATACCGCGTGTCTGGTTTGCGCACAAACTGCTGGGGGACCTTGAGACGTGGGTGAGAGCCCGCAAAAATCTCATCACTGATCCTCAGAATGCGCTCATATTCCTGTACTTCATCTGCAGTGATTGGCGCCGAAGCGGCCACTGGTCCTGTTGGTAGGTGAGTGGTGATCCCATGAGCTGTCGCCATGATACAAGCGAGCTTGATGAAAGGGGACTGGGGATCAAGCTGGAGCAGCTGCTCTGGGGGGTGAGTAGAAGGGCTACTGAATCAAAATCAGCTTCATGTCACATCAAGAGACTGAGCGACACAAATCTATGATTTTGTGGGCTCTAGATCATCAAGAAAATGTGAAAACGAAAGAGGAAAAAAGTTGGCGACGGTGCTTGTGACGATCCGCTTTGGCTTTTCTGCCGCTAGGAACGCTTAGGTAACCGCGACGTGGTGCTGCGCCAATCACGGGGAAACGTGGGTGTGTGTCACTCAGATTAGCCTGTTTAAACAGTTCCTTCGCGCTTGCTCCTTCTCCTTGCGCGGTTCTGGTTCCTCCATGTCTCGCGCCTTGCCTCGCTTCACAGGCCGTCAATTCTCTCGTTCTGCCTTCCTTGGTTCCCGAATTCCAACTATACCAACGATCTTCCCCCGAAACTCGCGACTTTCAACAATGGCCACCACGAATGGCGCAGATGGCACCGGTGACTCACGACCGGTGTTCTTCTTTGACATTGACAACTGTGTATGCAAGAGAAAAGGGGAGCCTAGTTTCTTGAAATATCTCACTAACGTCTGTTTCATGTTGCAGCTCTATTCTAAACGTACGAGTAGCGAGCCACCTCTCGGACAGAACCACGGTGAAACTGATCATTGGGCTTAGAGTGTAACATTCACGATGAAATGCAAAAGCTGATCAGTGAGTTCTCCCCCATGATCATGCGACACGCTCCTCGGCTAATCGTCGGTACTCTCGATATAGACAAATTCTTCGTCAAGCATCTCGACCTTAATACAGAAGATGCGCATATGCTTCACCAGAAATACTACAAAGAATACGGTCTTGCCATTGAAGGCCTCACACGACACCATAAAATCGATCCCCTGGAATTCAACTACGAAGTTGACGATGCTCTCCCGCTTGATGCCATCCTGAAGCCGGACCCCAAGCTGCGCAAGCTGTTAGAGAGTCTGGATACCACCAAAGTAAAGCCATGGCTCCTCACTAATGCCTATGTCAACCATGGGAAAAGAGTAGTCAAGTTACTGGGGATTGAGGACCTGTTTGAGGGTATCACCTACTGTGACTATGGCCAATTGCCATTGGTTTGCAAACCAAGCCAGGATATGTATGCCAAGGCCGAGAAAGAGGCCGGTGCTCCTAGTACTGAATCCTGCTATTTTGTTGGTATGTTGGTTCGCTATCTGCCACGTCGCCCCCGTGGCAGATATCATATCCTCGTCTGAGCGGGAAATGCTTTTTACTGACCACATCAATGCTGCATAGATGACTCACACCTGAACTGTAAGCATGCGGAAGCGCGGGGCTGGACGACTGTCCATTTGGTTGAAGCTGGTTTCCCCGTTCCTCGTATCCCGGCTTCGAAGTACCTGATTTCGAGTCTCGCCGAGCTGCGTGTTCATTTCCCGGACATTTTTAAGCCCGAAGAAAGCGTTTAGAGTATACGATGTGATGCATGCGTGACGACGTTTTATTTTGGTAGCTTTATAGATTCTTGGAACAGTTACGGGACCCCATAGGCTACTATTGTGGATTGATGTATATAATTTTTTTGATGCCTTTTGTGTTATGAAAACATTATGAATAGAACGAATAGATGCTTCCGAAAGACACTCAGTCCCAGTAAACAGTCAAAAGCCTGACGATTGCTGTTACCTTAACTCTGCAGTTCGAGTTCAGTGAGTACTTTGTTGATGCCTCAGGCATAAAGATCGCCCGCGCGTGTTGCGGACCTCCTTTACGGAGTAGCGCTTCCCTCGTCACCTCCCACCTCTCACTCAACATTCGCCGTCCAGTGCTCACATGTTCGTGAGATCCCCATACCCACGATGTCTGGCCAAGAGATTTCTCCTGGCTCGGTGATCACCTTGACCGATGGACGACAGGCTACTGTTCGTTTCTTTGGGAGCACCCATTTCGCACCTGGAGAATGGATAGGTGTTGAATTGACCGACGCCACCGGAAAGAACGATGGCGCAGTCCAAGGAGAGCGCTATTTTGATTGCGAACCAGGATATGGCATCTTTATTCGTCCAACGGCCGTGGGTGCGGTCCTCGATCAATCGGAGCAAGAGAGTAAACAAACCACAGCAACCGAACGAAATGCAGCCTCCAGCAGACAATCCATTTCAGCCGGCGCACGAAAACCGGCTGGTTTACCTCCAAGTGTTGCCAAGCGCCAAAGTACCAATGCGATTGGAACCCCTACTCCGGCTCCCAAGATGACAGCTCGATCGTCCATGAGGGTAATGTTTTGCCAAGCATTAGATTTCAGTTGCTCCGCTGACTATTGTTTACAATATAGTCACCAACAAAGTCACCAATCAAGCAGCTCACCACAACCTCCACAACTTCTGGTCGCCCCTCGGTTGGAGGGGCACCGCGCACTTCCACGGTAGCCCCTAACCGACCTCGACTGGCTTCCACCGCCAGAGCCTCGATGGGACAATCGACTGTCCAACCCAACACGTCCCGATTCTCCCGTTCCTCCGTGTCAGGCCCTTCGCCAAGAAGCTCGAGACCAGGGTCACAGACCGCGATCTCGAGCGCAGGACCGAGCGCAGGACCTGGGTTATCTAAGCGTCCCTCTTTGCGGAAAGCTTCTCCCATAAAGGCCTCGGATGGGGGCGAGGCTGGTACAGGTGGACCATCGGAAGAGCCTACAGATGCAGAATCTCCCGACACAGGAGTCGAAAGCCCTCAAGATGAAGAAGCTGCCCCGACATTGCCCCCTCAGCCAGCAGCCAGGCCTCCCCGACAATCCCTGCCGGCAAACCGATCGACTGGACCTCGACTGGGAGCTGCAGGGTCAACAACACGCCAAGCACCGGGTGCCGCAGTCGTCCGGGAGCTAGAGGAGCTCCAGACCAAGCTTCGAGTCCTTGAGAAGAAGCGGGCTGATGATCGCGAAAAATTGAAAACCTTGGAGCAAGTGCAAACCGAGCGTGATAAATTCGAATCCGTCATTCAAAAGCTGCAAGCCAAGTATCAGCCACAGCAGATGGAGATGACAGAGCTTCGGAAAAAACTCAAAGAGACCGAAGGCCGCCTTGAAGAAGTAGAGCGGATGCAGGCTGAACACGAGTCGCTCATGGAAATGGCTGCACTGGACCGAGAAATGGCAGAAGAGACTGCCGATGCTTTTAAGCACGAATGCGAGGCCCTCCGATTGAAATTGGAAGAGCTTCAACTAGAAGTCGAGGTCTTGCGTGAAGAGAATGAGGAGTTTAGCCAGGTTACAAGCCCTGAAGAGCGCTCTAGTCATGGGTGGTTGCAGATGGAGAAATCGAATGAGCGTTTACGTGAGGCCCTTATTCGCCTACGAGACATGACCCAGCAGCAAGAAGCAGATCTCAAAAGCCAGATCAAGGAACTGGAAGAAGACCTTGAAGAATACTCCGCTGTCAAGTCTGACTATGAAGCCGCAAAAGAGAGACTCCTGGTTGCGGAGACCAATGTGGACGATCTCAAGCAGCAATTGGAGACCGCGCTTGGAGCCGAGGAAATGATCGAAGAACTGGCGGACAAGAATATGCGTTACCAGGAGGAAATCAACGAGCTCAAGGCTGCTATTGAGGATCTTGAATCCCTCAAAGAGATTAGTGACGAGCTGGAGTACACCCATATCGAGACAGAGAAACAACTTCAAGAAGAGATTGACTACCGAGACGGCGTCTTTACCGAGCAGATCCGAAAGATTGCGCAGCAAGATGAAGTCATCGAGGACCTGGAGTATACACTGTCTCGTTTTAGGGAACTGGTTACAAATCTACAGGCCGACCTGGAAGATATGCGGGCGTCTCAACAGATTTCTGAAGCTGAGGCTACCGATTTGAGTACCCGGTCGCGAGCCATGATGGATTTGAATATGAAACTCCAAGCATCAGTGTCGAAGGCCCAGACAAAAACCATTGATGTGGAGCTTAACCGAATGGAGGCAGAAGAGGCTGCACAGCATCTCTCGATCGTGAAGCTTTACCTCCCCGAATACTTTGAAGAGGAGCGCAACTCGGTCCTAGCCCTTCTTCGCTTCAAGCGTGTTAGCTTCAAGGCAACCGTAATGAATAACACAATTCGCGAGCGGATTTCAGAGCAATCATCAATCTCTACTTACGATGAGGTGTTTGATGCTCATGAGGTTTCCGAGCACCTCCTGTGGATCTCGACTGTTTGTGACCGGTTTGTGAGCTTTATCAGTGCTTGCTCTCCAGAACAATTTACCACCACAAAGGCTTCTCTTTTCGAGATGGAGCCAGTCGAACGTACCCTGAATTTCTGGATTGAAACTCTGAAAAAGAACGATATCAACATGAAGAAGTTCGCTGTCGAGCTTCAAAGGTCCATTGCATTGCTAGCACATCTGGCGGAGACCAATCTTCCTCAGACACCTGAGCTATTTGCAAATGAGTTATGTATGCGTGCAAGCCTCTCCCAGTCGTACCTGGATCACGCTGCAGCGGTCATTGCACGCGTGAAATCCTTGATCCAGTCCAAGCTCGGAACCCCAGAGGAAGGAAACGAGGAGGATTCATTTACCTTGAAGCAGCTCGAGGCTTTCGTTTCACAGACCAGGGGATATAAGGTCGCCATGGGAAAAATATGTCGTGCGCTCGATGATTTGCGTTCTAGGTCTCTTGCACTTTCTCAAGATTCTGATGAACCTTTCAAGAAGATTGAGATCTTCACCAAAACCTTATCAGAGCTGGCACGGAAATTGGGCGGGAACATTGTGACCCTCACCAGTGACGAGAGTCGTACCGAACCATATACTTTGCACGAGGTGCTCGAGACCATGTCGCAGGCTATGGCAACAGCCTCGCAATCCTCTGAAGGCTCCACAGAGTCCGACGATCCTTTATCGTCACTGATCAACAAATTACGTGAGATTGGAGCGTATATAGAGGAGTTGGACTCCATCTCAGCCGATCTTTCTCGGACCATTGAATTCGAGAGGGGTGCTTTCCCTTGGATTTCCCGGTCAGAGGAGCTAAAGTCTAACAAGACAATCTCTCCAGACGCTGATGAGGAGATTCGGCGCCTGAAAAATGAAGTCCACGAGGTCTCCACTGCCTTGGGCGTTAAGGACAATACTCTTGAAGAGCAAGGCATTAAGATTGAGCTTCTCGAATCTCGTATGCGTGAGGCCACTAAGAAAGCGTCTCTGGTAAAGGACTTGGAAGCGAAAGTTGAAAAAATTCAAGAAACTGGCTCCGAGCTCGAGAGAACTGTTGAGCGTCAGAAGAAGGAGCTTCAGACCGCCGAAGCTGAGCGCGATGAATTCAAGAACCGTCTTGAGAGGATGAAGCGTGTGTCTGGAACCGCAGGTGTGGCGACTACTAAAGATGGCCTCGTCATTGATAATGAGGCCTCCTTGGCAGCGATGCAAGAGAACGAAACTCTGCGTGCAGAGGTGGATAGCCTGCAAGCAGCCGTGAGGTACTTGCGGGAGGAGAACCGTCGTGCAAATTTACTCGACCCATACTCTGTTCAGCGGTCAACGGATATGCATGCTTGGTTGGATGCACCTCTCTCCCGCCAGGCCTCCACTACCGAGCAAGAGAAAATACAGCGCACTGCTCTGGAGAGTCGGGACATCCTAAATCATCTCCTCAAGCTCACAAAGGAGGCCCGTATCTGCGATCTGAAGTCAACTCTAGCACCACCAGCCAACAGCGACAACGGCGATGCCGCCCGTACTACATGGCGTGCATCAAAATCTCGCCTCCGATATCAAGTGCTTCAGCAACGCGAAAACCTCGAGCACTGGTCCGAATGGCGCAACGACATTGTACACCACGAACGTGAACAGGAACGCCTCGCCGCAGCCAAACGAGAACGTGCGTTGCGTGACCGCCTCCCAAAGCATGCGCACAAAGCCTCTATTGAGTTTCCTCAGGGTCTCGGCCACGGCATGATGGGCCGAGCGTGGCAGATTCTCGGCATGCAACAGAATCATAGCAAGGCTGCGTCAACGAGTGGAACTGGACCAGACGGCGTGGAGATCGTTTCCACCGACTGAGTACTTCGGCGCTTTGTGAGAGTTTACCTGTATAGTATAATCTTCATTTCTTGTTCCTACTTATGCGCAGTCTCTTGATTAGATACCCTCTCTGCGCACCCCGATTTACATACCATATTGTGCTTTCGTCTTTCTTTGGCTTTCCTGGATATACATTTGTAATGCTCGTGACAAGCAATATGATATGATGGCTTTTTAGAGCTTACCCGGGGGGTTAGACTCCTTCAGCCTGCAAATCAAGTGTGCCAAACCTAGAGATCTATTGACGTCAGTCTTGTCTGACTGGCACGATCCTGGCGTCTATCCCGACGCACGCGTTGGAGATGATCGGCGTTTCCAATCGTAGGCCGCTCGAAGTCAACCAACACTCGAAGCTCAACGGTTAGTAACGGCGTGATTGTGACGTTGTGACGGCATGGATGGAGATAATTCGCTCCTTTCTTGTGCGCCTGGGGCTCAACGTTACGTCACGCATCACCGGCGTCAATGGCGAAGCTGTGCTTACGACAGGCGGCAAGACTTTTTCTCGATCTTTGCTCTCTCGTTGTTCCCCGTGGTTTTGTCTAGAATTTATTATTGAACTGATTCATTCTTTGGGGTGCGTTAGAAAGAAGAATGTCATAGAATCCATTTCTGACGGTTATATATATGTCTGTAATTTCTCTAGGATAGTCTAGGCAGGAAAATCTATATTCAGTATCTTTGATAATGTCGTGAATGCTACTTGACGAATCCGGTTCTAGACCTTCTTAGGTGCCCTACGGGCTGGACAGATCTAAAAGCTGGAATGGACTTCACTTAAATTCAACCATGAACGAAGGGATCACCTAAAGGCCTAATTACCCTGCTATTATCCAAAATACAAAAGCGTGATCAGGTAAAAAAAAAACCAGGAATTCAAAGGGGGTATTTCGAAATCAACAAGAGACGAGTGTAGTAGAGACAAGGGTGTGAATGAAACGAAGGACTGGATTCAAAAAGAAATTCCAAAAATCCTGGCATAAAGCCAGAAAATTAAAAAAATAGAAACTCGGTCTATAAAGGACCAAGAATTTGACAGTCTAGTTATGACAGGGCTAGAAAGCAATGCCAATCAGGGACTTCCGGTATCGATTTGGATCATCTGGATGAGACATCGGACTCGGGTTCTGCTGCGGCTGACCTTCAAAGATAGTCGGATAGCAGCGCCCTACCTCAAGATCATTTTCTCCAGTTGGGAGAGGGCCGCCAGTCGGAAGAGGGCCATACAATGAGGCACGCAGCGTGGTTCCGTTGCTGAATGTGCTGGAAAAAGAGGCATTCTGTCTCCGAGTTCTAGCGCCACCAGTGATGGTGGTAACCGTTGAGCCGACAGTGGTGCCACTTAGTGTGCGGGTTCTCTCCCATTCAAAATCCTTTTCGCTAGAAACTGAAAGTGGTTTGGGAGAATATGGCGGTTTGATTGGAGAGAACCATTGGCTCACTCGGTTCGAAAGCGGCACCGAGTCATTCGTCTTGCAGCTCTCAGCAGTAGTGGATGGACGACGCAGTGAGGAGATCCGAGATGGCATCGTCCGCGAGCTAGCTGAGGACGGAGAGTCCCTGACTTGATACTCATCGGTCAAAGACTTCTCATCCGATGGAGTTCGAGGAGTTGCTTCAATCGAAGACATTTCGGTGACTTGAACGGATACTTCAGTATTGCTTTGTCCCGACGTCGACCGGCCATGCGTGCTCTGCGTGCTCTGCGTGCTCACGGATGCATTGTGCATGGTCGGGATTTGAGGCACCGGGGGTATCATTCGAGGATGGAAGTGATAGGTTATGGGCTGACCAGTCTCAATCGGATGGACGATAGAGAAATGTGGGATGAGAGCACTGGCAACGCGAACCGGCCGCGGTCGTTGGAGTGGAGGCTCCACGTTAGCAAGAGCCCCATCATCTCTAGCCTTAACAGGTTTGCGGGAGACTGAAAACCTCGCATCGCTAGACACACAGCGACGCTGACGTGTTTCAGCTGGAAGGAGGGCGGTTGGTGGGGCGGCCAACGCTGTGCGCTGGATCTCTTCATCCAGTTGAAACGAGTCGAATCCAGGAAGATCCGATAGCCGATTACCAGATCTGTAAATGCTCAGTTCCAGAGGATTATACTTCTTTGAAAAAGTTCGAGGCTGGAGGTAAACCGATTGCACGATGCGAGGTTGGGGGTGATACGAGTTGACTACGCGGAAGTCCGAGGGAGCGCTGATTTTCAACGGGAGGTTTGTTTGTCGCTTCATGGAGATGCTTGCCCGGTGAGGTGCCCGGGAAGCATGTTTCCGGTCTCCGATCCACGATGCCAACGAACTCCGAGGATGATGATGAATCTTCAGACTTGAAATATTGTCATCGACAGCTAGCTGCATCGGCGGAACAAGATGCGGCTGGTTGTAGCATACTTTCATATCTCGCTCGGCGCCTATAAGAATCGGAACCAGGATAGATTAGTTTGTGATCATGTCGCTTTCGCTGAAGAAACCGGAGAAGGTCAAGCCCTAACACGGAGATGCGTGGTAGAGATATCTTGGGTTCAACATAGCCCTGAGCTCTTATGGAGAGGACTCGACATTGGGGAGGTTGCATCGATATCCGAAGAGGAGAAGGTAAGGCATTCCCTCACGGAAACGGCGATGCCAGCCTGAGCTGAAAATGACTTGGGTTGTGTATATATTGCACGTACCGTTGTTGGTCGTGGGCCGGGACTGCTGGTCTTGTTCAGCCGAGGACAAACAATCCCAGCATGACCGGGCCCAGCCGGCGACGAGGGGTCTCTCTTGCTCAGAAGGGAGCGTCATGGCGGCCAGCGCTTTCTCCAGGTCGATTTAATCCATCGCCTTCACAGAAGGCGGGTGTTGAAAGGGATAAAACAAAGAAAACACAAGAGGGAAAAAAAGAAAGGAAAGAGAAAAAGGGCAACAAAAGAAGGAAGAAATATGGCTGCACGAGAGCAGACACCAAAAAAAGAACAGGCAAAAGCGTCGTACGAGACGAAGAAAGGAGCCCCTCGCCTGGACTTCCAACACTAACAGAACAAAATCACCCTCCCGCGCGACCAACCCGATATGCAGAACGAGCTTGGTGACTCGTCCACGGACAATCCTGCATGTCGGCCATTTGGGGCAAGGCAGAGAGGGTGAGACGCTAAGGAAGCTACAGGAGCTCCAGTGGCGGGATTCTGCTCTGCAGGGCCAGCAGGACTTTGCAAGACCACGAGAGCAAAGACATGCCCACGATGTTGTCATGTTGCCATGTTGCCGAGTTGGTCCACCAGTCAGCCTGTTGGTGATGATCGGCGGAGTCTCACGGGCGCCTCTCATTCGTCGGATTGCGGCAGAGTTGTCACATCTCTGCTTATCACCAAGCTCGTTGTGTTCGAGAATCGGGTTTAGCGTGCGACGGAAGTGAGAAGTTGGGCGCGTAGCAAAGTATCACCCCAGGCACGAATTCAGGAACCGAGATTTTGGGTTGGCTGTTGGACGCTGTCGTGTTTCAGCAGCTCATTTCCGGAGCTCCTTCAGGGGGGAGGGTTGGTCCATCGCCACTGGCAGCAGATGCAGTCGAAAAAGTATGGAACATGCTGTATGTAGGATGATGCATGGATGAGGGGCAGGAGCGTGCAGCAGGAATGGTGGAGATGAAGATGAAGATGAAGATGCATGGAGGCGGACTAAAACTACGCTAATCATGTCCCGAAAACTGAGACCCGGAAAATGTGTACACTCGACAGCCCTATCGATTCCATACATTGTCCTCTTCCAACGTACTGTAGGTCCATCGCGTCTCGGAACGAGTCTCCCCCCGATATGTCCCGTGCTCTTGATGCGCTTGATGCTCTTGATGCCCTTGATGGGTCTGATGGGTCTGATCCTCCTGGTCCACCTCCGGGGCCGGCGGAACAGACTCCGCGGGGGCCTCCCTGGTCGGAGCTTCGGCCTCAGCTTCCTCTTCGATTGGCTGGCCGGACGGTCTCCTAGAAAACGAAAGAAGGATTAATGAGACAAGACCCTCCTAGCCAATAGATCATCAAAACACCAGCACTTACGAGAATCGTCGGGGTTCACCTCCAGCCCAGGCTGATCCAAGCTCTCGTTGCGTCTGGGCTCGGTCCTCTTCCTCGGCATTACGATCCTCAACTACGAGGTCGACCAGCTGGCTACGATGTGAATGGTGGGAGCTCGTCGAGCTCGCATGACGCTGCAAGGGACCGGGAGCGGTCGAGCTTTTGCTGGACCGTCGCGAATTGTTCTGATTTCGCCCGTCGCTGCTGCCCGACGCTCGACCTTTGCGATGGGAACGCGACTTTTTCACATCACCCCCAGCAAAGGAGTCTTGCTGATACCCCCCAGGACGAGACAGTCGCTGGTCCCGAGGAACTTCATGAGCGGTGATGACCGGATACTACTATTGGTTAATATCCAAATTATTTCTCAAAAGAGCTGGCCGATGGGATAGGGATTCGGTTTCACGTACATTCCAGTCGCCAAACTCCAGCGCCCGAGCCTTGATGAAGAGTTGCTCATCGTCATCGTCCAGTGTGACCTCAATTTCACTATAAGAGCGATATCGCTCGTTGGAACCGCGGCTGCCTCGTTCATTCCTGCTGGAACGATTACTGGATTCACCACCTGCCAGCAAAGGAGTGCGGCTACTAACCTCACCCGGCTTGCTAGCCTCGCCGGGCTTTGGAATCCAGTATTTGGCCTTCCCACCACGTTCATACCTCATACCGTCCATCATTCGCTTCACCCGCGAATGAGACTCCGCATGCGCGATGATGTTGTCGCCAGAGTCAAAGATTCGGTAATCGTAACTATCCCCACGGAACGTGATCTTGGTGTCCTCCACCAAATCTCGAGGCCCAAAAGCATCGCGTAACGCATACTTCATCGGTAACCGCGCGGCAGAGATGGTTGGGTCGGCGTAATCATGCCACGAGAACGCATACCAGTGCGCAATGGCAAATATGGGCATTTCATAGCATATCAGAGCATCCTGAATAGCGGCAGCCAGGTTGTCAGGGCTGTATCCCGCAACGCTGCCAAGAGCTCCCAACCACTGCAGGATCGAGAGGAAGAATCCTTGCCAGTATGATGCAAAGATGATTAATTTGATGCAGAGGAATTTGGGAATCGGCCGGAATGGGGTGAGGTCGTCGTGCAAACACACCCAAAACATGGCGAGAGAATATAGACTAACGGTGACGCTGATGTTGTACACAAGACCCGTCCAGAGATAACCGGAGGTAAGGCTCAGGTATCCCTCTTCATAAGTATCTGTCGCCTTCATGATAATCGACACTAGGGCTAGGATCGGTTTCAGCCAAGCATACTGCAGAATGCCGCGCTTGACAGCCAGGAAGGTGTGGGGATCGGAGATATCGATTTTTGGCAAGAAGTGATTGAGTGGCCAGGCATGCGACACGGGAGGACGACCATGGGCCATAATGATGAGAGCTCTTTCTCCACCGAGGAAGTTGATTAGGAGCTGGAAAAATGTGTAGATGGTAAATGCCTGCCATATATCAGCCAGTGAGATACCCCTCATCGTCAACAGCTTTGTTTGTGTGAAATACCTCGTAAATGTCACGAATAGGATCTAGAAATTGAGCAGCTCGAAGCGATACGATACTGGTCCATGACGATGCGGCATATATCGGCACCCTGCACGAATATTAGCATTGCGCTTGTTTTTAACTCCCCGCCCCCTGAGCTTTAAGCTGCCACTGAAAACTGACATCAACAATATGCGCACGACATATCGCTGGAGAAGGGGCTTGCGATAATTTTTGCTATAATGAGGAAGCTGATTAGAACGTGCAACCTAGGTCGAGGGCACGGATAAAGTTGGTACATTTGAAGCCATATGGACCTATTAGGCAAAAAGAAGTGTTAGCTCTGGACTCTAGTTTAACCACAAGCCGGCATTAATGAAGCATATGAGCTTACACAAGAGATAATAGAGAAGATACTAGAGCTGAAACGCCTGAAGTAATGATGATTGCTTGAGCTAGGCTCGAGCCAGTACCTCCACCGACGGGTGCCTTCATGATCTCGGAGGGAAGCTGTTGAGACGCGGGCCAGGGAGAGGGGAAAAGAAAGAGGTCGCGCTCTCAGAAAAGACACTGCGTCAAATCATCAAGTCATGTCGTGAGGTCTGCGAAGGCGAAAAACATGGCCGCCTAACTCGTGGCAAGACCCGGAGCTTGTTGTGAACAAAGATCGCGGCGGCGTGTGTCCCAATGACGATCTTCTCGTGACACCGCCTTAGAACACCCGCATGATTTCGCGACTGCCCCAAACCACCGAAGCAAGACGGTGCGCGAACCTTGGGCTCGTCCGTTACGAGTCGTTCTGTCTCTTGGAGACAATGCTCACGCCTGCTGGCGCTTGCTCGGAGAAATGGCCAGTACAAGCTTGACGGCATCTTACTTGACGCCCAACCCAAGCTTCAATTGGTGTGTTGAGGCCTTCCGCTTGCCGCGCCGAGGATGGCTTTGCTGATCTACCTAGGTTTTTTCTCCTGGAGCTTATTGTATCTTGCATTCTGTGAGCGCCCAAGACCTCTTTTGTACCTTTTGATCTGTACTTATGAGAACCAGTGTCCTATTCTTTCTCCTCTATTTTAACCGCCTGTTCGCGACCCTTCTTTCCTACGCAATCCGCGCATACACCTGGCACTACTATCGCGTTTATGTCGACATCAACGCACTTCAGATTTCTTTGCTGGGCGGCCGAATATTTTTCAAGGGGATCCGGTATCATGGTGCAAACGAGACCATCTTCATTCATGGAGGATTCATAAGCTGGAGATATTGGAAGCGTACGGTGGGCCGAACGGACTTGTCAGGCGCGGGACGCAAGACAAATGACTTCTCGAGCCCAGAGAAACACCAACCAAAGAACTTTTTAGGGGATGGGGCAGGTGCGGCGAGCCAGGATGACAGCATCGGAGAACAAGGCGGCGTGGAAAAGACAATCGATCTTCCGTGCCGGGTTTCAATCAAGGTATATGGACTGGAATGGTTCATATACAACCGAATGCCAGCATATGACAGCATTCTTGCTGGGTTTGGATATAAGAATGGCAATTTGGACGAAGATGGAGACAGCGCAGAACTTTCGCCAGAGGGGCAACCGAAGCACCAGCAAACCGACAGTGCTCGACCTGGTTCTGGAACGACAGACGCCGTGGACAACCTTTCGGAACGCAGTGCAACGGGCCATACCCTTGAGCCCCAGAAAACCGATGTTCGCGATGCAGAACTGTCGGAACCAGTTTCAAATATGCTGCAACTCCTTCCAGTGAAGCTAGATTGCACAAAGGGTGCCGTCGTCATTGGAAATGAAAACACTCGGTCTGTCTTGACTACAACCTTCGATTCTGCAACAGGTACCATTGCTGCTTGCAGCTCAGGTCCTCTAGATTTGTATCGGCAGCTTTTTTCATTCAAATTCAACCACCCAGTGGTCCAAATGCGACCAAACCCGGACTTTAAACAGAACCAAACGGCGACGGCAAAAGGTTTGAGTACAAATCGGGAGGATGATTTATCAACTAAACCAAAGCGTGGAAACCCCTTTAGCTACCGTTTTCAGAAACGCAAAATCTGGCATGGCATTCGAGACTTGGTGCCATACTTCCAGACTTCCGTGGAATCATTTCATGCCAGCATCAGAGCAGCCAACATGCCAAGGAGTCAGGCAGAGTTCCCAGATGTTCGCTGGGCTGGTCTTTCTCGGTACCTGGACGAAGATAACGCTGATGATCATGAGCAGTGGAACTCGGTAGAATATGGACGATATTCAACTATTTTGGATAGCCCGAGCTTGGACCTAGCGTACTTCTGGGAAATCCCTGGGCGAGTCCTCCCAGAGCACATAATTTCCGGCCAAGGCAACCAGGATATGGATCGAAATATCAATCACGCACCGCCTCCTGAATGGGGTATTGATATCAAGATTGACGGTGGCACTCTCAACTATGGTCCGTGGGCTGACCGGGAACGTGTCGGTCTACAGAACGTCTTCTTTCCGAATTTTTATAGAAGCTCAGAGCCTGCTCAGCCCTTAGTTCCGGGTGTTTTGAGACAAAGCACTAGCTTTAAACTCCAAGTGGAGATCAATGACGAATTGATACTTCGGATCCCAACTCGAGAACCATCCAAAGACTGGACTTGGAAAGGCCGCGCCGATGCTATTAGAGGCGCATCGAAGATTAGGAAGCAAAACGAAAGAAGACAATCTCGACCAAAAGAAGGTGAGAAGGGCCATATTGGACCCGATATCCGTCCCTTTGGATGGCTTTCTCTTCGGGTAGATTCTAATTCTACCATCAAATATACCATGGACATGGTAGCATCAAACGAAGGCTTTCGCAACGAACTCTCTTTGGATCTGCGAGAGTCAAAACTGTCTTCCAGTGTGAACCACGGGTTATTGTGGCAATGTCCTCGACAGCTTGTGACTTGCGATTTGTCGAATCCCCTGACTTGGAATAGTCTCCGTTCATGGCGCTTTGGTGTTGAAAGCCATGACCTTGAACTATTTCTCCTGCGAGATCACATTTTCTTATTGACGGATCTTGTGAGTGACTGGACATCTGGTCCACCATCCGACTACTACACATTTGTACCTTTCGTCTATGACCTTGACCTCACATTCTCGAATCTCCAACTACTTGTGAACGTCAACGATCGGAACATCATAAGCAATCCTTCGGATCTCGAAGACAATCGATTCATAGTGATCAATGGCCAGCAACTTGTTGCAAATGTGATGATTCCACTGAATCAATACCAGCCAGAGAAAAGTGCGGTAGAGTTCAAGGTCAACCTTGAAAATGCTGGAGTGGATTTCCTCACCCCAGTATGGGACACACTGCATGAATTTCTGCCTGGAAAGTCAATGGCTACTTTGGATGGTCTTGTCATTGACGGATCATATAGCTATTTCTCTTCCACGTCACCGGAACTAATAGATACCTTAGTGCTCAATATTGAAGGCGCCTCACCTCGGTTGTACCTTTATGGTTTCTTAATTAAGAGCTTCATGGCTGTTCGAGAAAATTATTTTGGGGATGAAATGCATTTCAAGACTTTGGAAGAATATCAAGAGTTGGCCTATGCAGAAGAACGGCCATCAAATCCTACAGGCATCAATCCTAACCGAGTGTCGAATGACATGGACGTGTTGGTTCATGTTACGGTTGATAGTCCCTGTGCTTTGCTTCCTGAGAGCATCTATGATCACCTGAGATGCTCAAGACTGAGTGCTGCATCTCTCGAGGTTGACCTGCGGTTTACGAACTACTATATGGACATGCAGCTCTCAATTAGTCCTCTCAAGGCGGATCTTCAAACCACTCAGTTGGATGGCCCCTCCGTTATGTCTCCCACTCAATTATTCCTTGATGGGCTCTCCGCTTACGGTCATCGGCTATTTGGTTTACCCCCTGCGGAGCCAACATATGTTTGTAACTGGGATTTTGACGTTGGAAAAATTCTGGGCGAGTGCTCTCCAGAGTTTCTCGCGTGTCTATCCTCCGGTATCAAAAGTTTTGACTTTTCATTCGACAATGAGGAAAATACCCTCACACCCCTCTTTCCGCCAGTTCTCAATGATGTGACTTTTTTGAGAGCCAAAGTCGATTCGATTCATCTCTCAGTGTTGCTTGATGAGGTCGCTGTCATTTTGAGTGCTAAGCCTTTGTCCGTCCAGTTTAATGACTGGGCCAACTCCAAATTTTCAAAACGGATGAGCTTACTTGTTCCCGACATCACAATTGCGGCAGTAGACCGTCAGTCAGTATCCGGGGCCTTTCGTTCTCCTGCAAAAGACGTCGCTCCTTTGGGGCTTATTGAACTGACCGTAGGTCTCAAAATGGCCCTTCGAAAGCAAGATATTGGCGAGAGCCGACGGCTGCAGCAAGAACATATAAAAGTCCATGACCAGCGAACACATCGAACCCAATGGCTACTATTCGATTGGGAAGAGATAGCCCCAACCTCGTCTCTTCCTCATGGGGACGATGTATTTATACCACCAACTATGGCTATCCCGTCGATGCCCGAGCCTATTTATGGTAGATTTGGCTCTACTCTTGCTCCGTCATATCGTGGATTCCCAGGAACTCAAGCGGCAGCAAGATCCAGAAGCTTTCTTGTTCATTCAGAAACTTCGAGCATCAAAAGCACCCAAAGTCATAGAGATAGGGCTACTTGGCAACCTTCTAGATCAAGTTCAAAGGAAAGACCTTTTTCACCGGCGCGAGATGCTAGTTGGTCCACTGGTCAACTCGGCAAGGCAAAGGACACCCAATACTCCTCAGCTGCCATCCGAGATGCCAATCCTTGGATATTCCCTCAGTTCTCTTACTTCAAAGTTTCTCTAGATACTTCTGAGCTTCCTCCCTCGAAAAATCCCGAGACATCTGAAAAGGATGAGGGTTCTGAAACGAACCAGAAGTCAATGTTCTTAACCTTTGAGGACGACCAGACAACATATACCAACCTCGCAGTTGATCTCCCTCTAGGCATTAGAGGGTTTTGTACTCCAAAATTCCTCCACAGCTTGGCATCCCTACTTGATGGGCTTGAACCGAAGCACCCCATTCAAATCATTGATTCCCTTCAAAAAGACGTGATTGGGGATATCGTTGGTTATGATAAGGCCATGAGCCAACCAAAGAAATCTACAGCCGTCGCGCTTAGAATCCCTAGTATTCAATTGCGGCTCGTCGATGTATCAGAATCCCCTGACAATAAACATGTTGAATTTCGAGATGAGTATAACATCGCCATATACCGCCTTCGCACTGAATTTCAGAGACGCGTTGTGCGGCAAAAAGGGGATCTTCTCGAGGGCCTCAAACAGGGCATTACGGTTCACGCAGCAGCGGACCATCTTTCGGTTTCGGTTGAAGGTAGTCGGACTGATGCTTTCCAAGAGAAAGCTGTTTTCAACTGTGAGATGGGGGATTTGAATTTCTGGTTGGTAACGGCCCCAGATGTCCGTTCAAATCTTCAGATGCGACATTTCACTACCGTGACTTCAGCAAAATCTGTAGAGCGATTGTCCTTCTTGGTTGGCCGAGCTACAACTATGTTTGACTCCGTTGCATCAGCGTTCCAACATGTTTCAGCTTCTAACAAAAGGCGCCTGCGGTTCCTCATCTATTTTGCGACACAATCTGCCGTTGATATTCCAGATCCAATCTTCTTGGCACGTATATCTTATGTTCTTCGGGTTGCTTCAACACACTTGCGACAGCATGACTCGTGGAAAATCATTTCTCGCATCCGGAATGTCTACAATAATCTCCCTGTACACCACAAACGAGAATTGGAACGAAAATGCTTTGGCGACAGCCTGTCTTTACCGGCCGACGCGAAGTCCATGGTCTTGACTGGTTTTGACCGGTGGCGAGCCTGGGATCTCGCTCATGTTGAAAAGAGTTATGTCATACAGAAAGTATGGCCAGGCTCACAACCTGAAACGACCACTCCAGAGCCCTCCATGTTCTTGTCTTGTACAGTGAAAACATTTCGGTTTTCCTTGGATCCTGGTCCCAGAGAAAGCGACTTTATCCTCGAGAATTTATCGACTGTTGCATCTTTTATCCCAGATAAAGCAACCCAGGAGGGGGGCAAGACAAAGTACAAGAAAGTTGCCACTTTACAAATTTACTCGGCCTCTGCTGCCCTGCGACTGAGATGGGAGATTGTGGACCTTGTGGAAGGAGTGATAAAGGTCATGTCTACCGTCACATTGAAATCTTCTCTTGCCCACCAGGCATCCCCGACCATTTCAGAACAGAAGAGTATGGAATTACAGATTATCTTTGGCACAGACTTCGGCTCGGTCACCCTCGATGCCATCAACTTGAAACTTGCTCTGGCATCGAAATCTTTACGAGGCTCGATCGTCCACAGCGCTCAGCAGAGCAAGAATACCAAGAGAGAAAGTCTTGCTTTGTTGTTTAGCGCCGAAGCATGTTCTTCAGAGCTTCAGAGTCAAACCAAGACCTTGATGTTTTCAAGAATTGCTGATCCATACTTATATTTCTCACTGATTTCTGATCAGAATGAAGTGGACTGTAATCAGGACTGGAAAGTTGCTGGTTCCTGCAGAAAGCTTCGATATCACATGAAAGAAGACCCAGTGAGCCTCGCGCACACTGCAGATCGTTTGATTGAGGACGAAGTGAGGTATATCCGCCAACTGATGGATCACATTAAACTGTCCAGGCCGCAGCCTGACCCGTTACCGGCATCAAAGAAGCCCACTCGCAATAACATCCATGTAGCGATGTTCCTTGAAGATTACCGGCTGACCTTTAGCCTTCTGCCATCTTTGACTTACCTGGTAGCAGGTGAAGTTGCCCGAATGTCAGTAATGCCAGCGGAAACGTCAAAGATCGAGGTTGATTTTGATGTGAAAAAGAATTCACATATCTTCACCTCCGGTGAAGGTGACCAGCATCATACCTTGTCTGTCTTGGAAATTCCTCCTGCCAATGGCCGAATCCTTGCAGATCTTTCGTCGTCACAGAAGCAAGTAGAAGTTGATATGACTATTGAAGTTATCCGTTTCGAAGCTAGTGCTGTACGGAGTCTTTTGGGGGTCTTGACCGGCCCAGATGTGTCCCATCTCATTTCCGATCTGAAGCAGAACGTGGATGTTCTTCAGTCTCATCTTAGCGATGTGCTTTCATTACAAAAGATGGCATCAGAACCCCCGCCATCCACAAAAGATGCAGATATTCTGTATAAATCTCGACTTACAATGGCCGGGGTTGAGATACATGCCATTGCACCTGGCTTGAATAGCAAGGCCTACTCAGCAGAAATGATATTCAGTCTTGGAATGATGCAAATGCGCCTTCAGAATGGTCTGGACCGTGGATATTCTATGGAGTATCCGGAATTCAGCGTCGATGCGTCTCAGATCAATCTTGAGTTGCGAAGAGTCGAGAGATCCAAGGGAAGGTCCTATGGTGGACTCTCTGCTGGTATCAAACTCCTGGCAACGTCTACGGTTCGCGATAATGGCGAGGTCATGAGAGCATACCAATTCACCAGCGACAATTTTAATATTGAACTATTCGCGGAAACTGCTTCATTGGTAGTGGACATTGCCATCTACACGCAGGAACGTATCAAGACGCTGGACCTTTCACACGAAGTTCAACGTCTCCGAAAACTACGACATCGCAATCATATCGAAACTCCGACTTCTCCTCTGGATGCTCCTGAAATCCATGTCAATGATGATGTTACACCGCAAAATTTCCTGGACGCACTTTATTCTTTGGAATTCAGAGATATTCAGGTTGGCTGGAACATGTCCTCATTGCCATCGGGCGGATTGGGTGGCCGCCAACCCGATGACCTAGTCTTTTCGATTCAGCTGTTCGACCTATCCAATAAGAAGAAAAATGCAGCCAAGCTGAGAATTGAGAATATGCAACTTCAGATGGTTCCGTTTCGAGCGGACAAGAAGAAGCGCTCACTCAATTCAGCTCTCATGCCCGAGCTGGTTTTCAATGTTGCCTACTTTTCCAGTGGAAAGGAACTTTCACTTGCTTTCCAGGCTGCTGGCAAGTCATTGGATATCCGCGCGACTTCTGAGTTTATTATACCAGCCAACATGATTAGAAACTCCATCGCATCTGCATCTGAAGCGCTGCGAGAAGGAAAGGCGGCCTGGGCGACGAAACCAGCCGCTGAGAACGGTAGCAAAGACCGTAGCCTCTTTGGCAATAGAAAACTTCGATCGGTTCTTGTTGATGTTGACTTTGCAGGAGCAACTGTTTCCCTCCAAGGAAAGCAAACTCATGATCCTCAGACCTTGGTGGCTGCCACGTTGAAGGGCAATCGCCCGTCGGAATCAAAGTACGGTCAATATGTTCAAGGAGACTCGGCCACCACAGCCATGCTCAAAGCCCCGGGTGTGGCACTCAAAGTCCACTTCGAGGATAATGGGACTGAGGACCCCGCGCTTAACGCGGAATTGAAGGTTGATCCATCCTCTAACGTTCTGTATCCCACGCTTGTTCCGCTAGTCAAGCAAATAACAGCCACGGTGAAGGAGATCATGAGCGACAAGCAGGAGCAGGGGAGCGAGCAGAAAGAGGATCGGCCTCGACGCATGTCTGTGACAACCAAGTTACAAAGCCAGAAGTTGATTCAAGAAACACCATTCGGCGCACCCGATCCTACTTCCATTCTTGGGCGTTGCAAGGTCAACCTCGGACTTCTGTTTTATAAGCAGGAGTTTAGCCTCAGCTGCCAGCCCATTGCCAGAGTGGCTGCCACAGCGCGGTTTGAGAGTGTCTATGTCACTGTCAACACGGTCCAGTCTGCCGAGCAAGGGCGCTTCTTCGCCCTCTCCTTGGCATTCAATAGCCTGGAAGCCTCCGTGAAACATGTCTATTCTAACGAGTCTACCGCAAGCTTTGAAGTCAAATCTATGGTTCTATCCCTCATGAATAGCAAACATCTTGGCCGTATGAACGGCATGTCAGCGATTCTTCGAGTGAGCCCGATGAAAGTCTCATTGAATGCCAAGCAAGTCCAGGATTCTCTATTATTCCAAGAGATCTGGCTTCCATCAGACAATGAACCCAGTTCCAGCTCCAGTTCCAGCCCACCCGCTCCACCGGAGCAGCCAGAGACACAGACTTACATTGTACAACGATACCAACAGGTTGCAGCGACCTCGGCATTTCCCTGGAATACAACCATTGCCATCGAGAAGCTTGAGATTCAACTTGACTTGGGCTCAACGCTGGGTAGAGCGCAATTTGCAATTGACAATGTGTGGGTGTCATCCAACAAAACGTCAGATAGTGAGCAGAGCATGTGCATCAACTTTGACGCGATCAGCATCGAAAGTAAGGGTCGCATGGCTGGCATCGTCGAACTGCGGACGTTCAAGGTTCGCACTTCCATCCAGTGGCCCGAGGACACTCGCGAAGCAGGGCACACGCCCCTCATCCAAGCCTCGATTGCTTTCCGGCATTTGCAAGCCAAGGTGTCTTTCGACTACCAGCCTTTCCTGGTTGCCCATGTCGCCATGTTCGACTTTTTGATGTACAACGTGCGCGAGGCGTCGGGCAAAGCAAGCGAGCGCCTCTTCAGTATACTTGAAGGTGATGAAGTCCAAGTCTTCTGCACCTCTCTGACCGCATCGCAGGCACTCGCACTCTTTCAAGCCTGGCAGCGACTTGTGCAAGATAAACAAGCAGCATATGAGGCATCCCTGCGGGAGGTGGAGCGATACTTGCGCCGTAAATCCTCTGTGCTCCCAGACCGAATCGAGGCCCGCGCCAAGGAGTTGACAAAGAAGGACGAAGAGCCCGAGCGAGCACCCATTTCCCTGCATACAGGGGTGGTTGTCAGCATTCGCCACGTGAATATTGGAGCGTTCCCCAGTTCCTTCTTTGATAACCAAATCTTCAAGCTTGAGGCACACGATGCCCAGGCACGATTTTCGGTCTCGCTTGAATCCAACAAGATCCACAGCGCGTTAGGCTTGACCCTTGGTCAGCTTCGAGTCGCCCTCTCCGGCATCAACCGACCTGCCTCCGCGCATCTCGAGGAGCTCTCTGTCGCAGAGATCGCCGAGCGCGCGTCCGGGTCCCGGGGCGGCACCATTCTCAAAGTTCCTCGCCTTGTAGCGGGGATGGAGACCTGGCAAATCCCGGGCACTCGGCATATTGACTATATATTCCACAGCACATTCGAGGGCAAGGTTGATGTGGGCTGGAACTACTCGCGCATCAGTTTTATTCGTGACATGTGGGAGACGCACTCGCGGGCGCTCGCCTCGCGACTTGGCAAGCCCCTCCCGCCGTCTGCAGTGCGGATCACCGGCGGGCCCAGCAGCAGCACCAGCTCTGAGGGTGGCGGGACAGCCCTTGAGCAGCAGGAGAAGATCACGGCGGTGGTCAATGTGCCGCAGTCCAAGTACACGTACACGGCATTGGAGCCGCCCGTGATTGAGACGCCGCAGCTCCGGGATATGGGTGAAGCCACTCCGCCACTGGAGTGGATTGGGCTCCAGCGCGATAAGCTGCCGAATGTTACACACCAAATCATCATTGTCACGTTGCTAGAGATCGCAAAGGAGGTGGAGGATGCGTATGGCACAATTTTGGGTTCTTAGAGCGGGATTCATCATGTATTTATCTTGTTTTTGTCACATTTTTCCCTTTTGGGGCAATCTTTTGGCGGGTTCCTTGAAAGCATTCTCCCTACGGCGTTTAGAGGAGTAAAGGACATTCTTCTACTCTTTGGACTTGAGGAAATACCATTATTTTTATTGATATCGATATTCTATGGATACATAGCAAGGTTCTTGTAAATATTCCCAAGAAGAGAGAAGGGCAGAGAGGTGCAAGACGTACAGCAATTTACAGGCATACACCTGTTCCCGATATGATATTTACTCTGTATTGTTTACTGCACCACAGATCAAAAGCACTTTTGTTAATCAAAATTGAACCCTTCGTCAATCCAAAGGATGATCGTTAGATAGACTACGCAGGAAGCAAACCAAGTAAAGTACGTTTATTGAAGTATAACACAGTCGGTGATCGGTCCGTGCAACCTAACATTAGTAATCCACCCCCGCGCTAGGCGGTGAGGTGGCGGGGCATTGGGCACGTTTTTTTCCTCTTGTATATTTCTGTGCAGCGAGAAGCCGGTGATATGCTGAACACAATCCTTTCATTTGGCTGGTGATAAGGTCAGGAAGAAGGAACAATGTGAGGTCTCTGTAGATTTCATTTCCAAAAAAGGAGTCCGAAATGACTCATTCTGGAGGTGGCCACTGCGACCGTGGATGAAAGGGTGAAACGACGGACGACCAAGCTACTAAACCCACGCGACGGGTGAATCAGAAGCAGTACATCGGGCGGGTGGCCCGATGGTTTGGTGAGAGTTTGCCATCATTTCTCTTTCCACAAGGGTTTTGCTTAACTACCGTAGTACTTTGATTTTTAAAGCTGAGCTGAGCTGAGCTCTCTAAGCTTTGCCGGAGAACCACGGATACTGGGCAGGAGGACAGAGCTAGTGATGACACATGATAGCTCGCGACCTCTTCAGGTGCTCGAGATGCTGGATCAAGCCATCTTGGGATATGCAAATATACAGTGTGAATATAGCGACCATAACTACTCTGCTCTGCTTTGAAGTAGTACAACGTGCATGATGTTCCGTCCTCATATTAATCAGGTATCGTCGACTCCTCTCGGAGCAACGAGGGCTCGTACGGTATTGGTAATCAGTGGTGCGTGCAAGTAAGTTGCAGACCTGCAGACCCGACGGTCCAGTAATCTGGGTAATCTGGGTAATTTGGGTAACTTGGGTACTCGTGGTACTGCGGCCGAAATCACGGGAAAAGCCCAAAACGCACAAAACGTAGCGGACCAGCCAAAGCGGGGCGAAAAATGTCCCCACTTTCGCTTTCTCTTTTTTTCTCCCACTTTTCCTCCCCCTCCTCTTCTCTCTTCCTTCCCCTCTTCATCCCCTCTCAGGAGCAGTTTGCACATAGGCTCTTTTGATCTTCATCGGGCTTGTCCTTGTGATAGATCATCTGTGTGTGTGTTGCTTCTTTCTTTTTTTCCATTCAATTTTAAAACTACCCCGCCTCTAGGGCTTATCTGAGGAAAAAACCGCCAAAATGGTCAAGTAAGTGGCCCGGGATTATCAACCATCCCAGCCTACTGTCTAGAGATGAAGCCTCCAAGCTAACATACTGTGCTTCATAGCTTCACAATTGAGGAGGTCCGTATCTCGAATCAACCCATTCCCTCAACAAGAGAGACAGCTGGGGGAGGATGAGCATAGAGGAGTGGAGGGATGAGCCCTCTCCTATCTCTCCTCCCACCTCTCCTCCCAGTCATCAAGTCAATTTCATGGGCGGCAATAACTAATACCACAATGTAGATCCGGACCCTGATGGACCGCAAGGCCAACATCCGTAACATGTCGGTCATTGCTCACGGTATGTACCTCTCATCCGACTTGATAGATTCGAGCCGACAGAAGCTAATCAGAAAAAATTTGATAACATTCAGTCGATCACGGAAAGTCCACCCTGTCCGATGCTCTGGTCCACCGTGCCGGTATCATTTCGGCCGCGAAGGCTGGTGAGGGTCGTTACATGGACACCCGTCCTGATGAGCAGGACCGTGGTATCACCATCAAGTCCACTGCCATCTCTCTGTACGCCAAGTTCCCCGACCCTGAGGATCTCAAGGAGATCCCCCAGGCCGTCGATGGTCACGAGTTCCTGATCAACCTGATCGATTCCCCCGGTCACGTCGATTTCTCTTCTGAGGTCACTGCTGCTCTCCGTGTCACTGACGGTGCCCTTGTCGTTGTCGACTGTATCTCCGGTGTCTGTGTCCAGACCGAGACTGTCCTGCGTCAGGCCCTGACCGAGCGTATCAAGCCCGTCCTGTGTATCAACAAGGTCGACCGTGCTCTGCTCGAGCTGCAGTGCACCAAGGAGGATCTGTACCAGTCCTTCGCCCGTACCGTTGAGTCCGTCAACGTCATCATCGCCACCTACTTCGACAAGGCCCTTGGTGATGTCCAGGTCTACCCCGACCGCGGCACTATTGCCTTCGGTTCCGGTCTCCACGGCTGGTGTTTCACCGTCCGCCAGTTCGCCGTCAAGTACGCCAAGAAGTTCGGTGTTGACCGCAAGAAGATGCTCGAGCGTCTGTGGGGCGACAACTACTTCAACCCCAAGACCAAGAAGTGGACCAACAAGTCCGAGCACGAGGGCAAGCCCCTGGAGCGTGCTTTCAACCAGTTCATCCTGGACCCCATCTTCAAGATCTTCGCTGCCGTCAACCACAACAAGCGTGACGAGATCGCCACTCTTCTCGAGAAGCTCGACATCAAGCTGGCTACCGACGAGAAGGAGCTCGAGGGCAAGCAGCTCCTCAAGTGTGTCATGCGCAAGTTCCTGCCCGCTGCCGATGCTCTGCTTGAGATGATCTGTATCCACCTTCCTTCCCCCGTCACTGCCCAGAAGTACCGTGCCGAGACTCTGTACGAGGGTCCCACCGACGATGCCGCCTGCATTGGTATCCGTGACTGTGATGCCACCGCTCCTCTCATGCTGTACGTCTCCAAGATGGTTCCCACCTCCGATAAGGGTCGTTTCTACGCCTTCGGTCGTGTCTACTCTGGTACCGTCCGCTCCGGCCTCAAGGTCCGCATCCAGGGTCCCAACTACGTCCCCGGAAAGAAGGAGGACCTGTTCATCAAGGCCATCCAGCGTACCATCCTCATGATGGGTCGTTTCGTCGAGCCCATCGACGATGTCCCCGCCGGTAACATTGTCGGTCTGGTCGGTGTTGACCAGTTCTTGCTCAAGTCTGGTACCCTGACCACCGATGAGACTGCCCACAACCTGAAGGTCATGAAGTTCTCCGTCTCCCCCGTCGTGCAGCGCTCCGTCGAGGTCAAGAACGCCCAGGATCTGCCCAAGCTGGTCGAGGGTCTTAAGCGTCTGTCCAAGTCTGACCCCTGTGTCCTGACCTACATCAACGAGGGTGGTGAGCACGTCGTCGCCGGTGCTGGTGAGCTTCACCTGGAGATCTGTCTGAAGGATCTCGAGGAGGACCATGCTGGTGTTCCCCTCCGCATTTCGGACCCCGTCGTCTCCTACCGTGAGACCGTCACTGCCGAGTCCAGCATGACCGCCCTGTCCAAGTCTCCCAACAAGCACAACCGTCTGTACCTGACTGCCGCCCCCATGGAGGAGGAGGTCTCCCTCGCCATTGAGTCCGGCAAGATCAGCCCCCGTGACGATTTCAAGGCCCGTGCCCGTATCCTTGCTGATGAGTACGGCTGGGATGTCACCGATGCCCGTAAGATTTGGTGTTTCGGTCCCGATGCCACCGGCGCCAACTTGCTGGTTGACCAGACCAAGGCTGTTCAGTACCTGAACGAAATCAAGGACTCCTTCGTCTCCGGTTTCCAGTGGGCTACCCGTGAGGGTCCCGTTGCTGAGGAGCCCCTCCGCTCCGTTCGCTTCAACATCCTTGATGTTACCCTGCACGCTGATGCTATTCACCGTGGTGGTGGTCAGATTATCCCCACTGCTCGTCGTGTCCTGTACGCCGCTACCATGCTCGCCGAGCCCGGTCTCCTCGAGCCCATCTTCAACGTTGAGATCCAGGTCCCCGAGCAGGCCATGGGTGGTATCTACGGTGTCCTTACCCGCCGTCGTGGTCATGTCTACGCCGAGGAGCAGCGCCCCGGTACTCCTCTGTTCAACGTCAAGGCTTACCTGCCCGTCAACGAGTCCTTCGGTTTCCCCGCCGATCTGCGTTCCGCCACCGGTGGTCAGGCCTTCCCCCAGTCTGTCTTCGATCACTGGGCTATTCTCCCTGGTGGCTCGCCTCTGGACGTCACCACCAAGCCCGGTCAGGTCGTCGCCGAGATGCGCAAGCGCAAGGGTCTCAAGGAGGCCGTTCCTGGCTACGACAACGTAAGTCTTTGGACTCAACCAGAGTCTTTCCCTCCCTATTTTCTTGTAACAGCAACATTTACTAACATATCTCTCTTCGCTTCTAGTACTACGACCGCCTGTAAAAATGCTAACGGCCGGCCAGATTGTGCTTCTGCCAGTCACGCGTGGAATCTTTTTTTATGAAATTGATGAATGCAATACAACTTCCCGGTTCAAACAAAAATACATGCCCGCTTCGATGCGGGCTTGCTTCAGTCACTGCCGTTTTTAGAAAGTGCGGAGCTCCGAGGGATGTCCCGGGCACCTTCGTAGCGGCCCGTTTGCTTTTGTCTCTATAATCGGTTTCCTTTATCATGATCTTTGTTTCTCCCTTTTCCTTGTTGCTTGTCTAGTGCTGCCATTTTGGATACGATAATCAATAAGGTATGCTAGACGTCAGCTTTTTGTTCTTGCCCGAGTAGTGCCCGTAGACATTCAAATAGAACGCCCTATGTTAAGAGGCGGCATTCTTGTTTTTGACTATGGGCGACTTCACAGAATATGCAGGCCCGAAAGATTGTCCCCAAAATCATGCCCAGTAGGTATCGTGTCACGTGAGCACCTTGCGCGCCTTCACGTTTTCTTTTATGAGATTCTGCTCTTTCAAACCTCGTCGCTCCCATCGACCTCGAGCATGAGTAGCCGTCATTATTCCTTGCTTTGAACCACTATCTTCTTTTGGCGTTTGTCAGATCTTGTCGTTTGCTTTTCTCCGAACCATTGCGACGTCGCTAGTTTTATCACCAAGCTTCTACAGCTTGCGGTCACACCGAATCCCTGCACTTAGCGACGCCGCCCTGAGTACCGACCTATTTTCCAACCCCAGATCAATCAGGTGTCTGGCCATCCCGACGACCTATAGGCAGCATGCAGTTCACTGACGACGAGGCCGCCGACGTGAAGAAATGGGTTGTTAAGAAGCTAGAAGACATGTGAGTTCCCTCGGAGACAATATGCGCTTGCCGCCCATCGCTTCCTTCAATCGCCGGCTAATTTTCATTCGCTTTACTCACAGCTCGGATGCCGACTCTGATGTGCTGGCAGATTACGTCCTTGCGCTCATTAGATCTGATGCGCCAGATGACGAAATCAAACAGACTTCAGTTGAAAACCTCGAAGATTTCCTAAGAGAACGTGCGTGGAACTCCCTGTTTGCGGCCTCCCTTATCTATCTGCTGACGCTTAACTAGACACTGCTGCTTTCGTGGATGAATTATTTGCCTCCTTTGGTCCCAAACAGGCCGCGCCTCAGACTGCCCCTCCCCAGATCCAGCCTACTGCTTCCGTTACGCAGGCCCAAATTCCATTCAATGCCCCTACTGGCCCGAGAAACGACTTCTACAACAGAAAGCGAACATACAATGAAGGTTTCCAGGGAGAACAGGAGCGCGATGATGGCGTACCGCAAAATCGCGCATTCAAGACTCCGCGCCGAGGACGGGGCGGTGGCCGTGGCGACTGGATGGGCAGGGATGGACGCCAAGCACATGGAGGCCAGCAGTATCCGCAAGGCCAGTCTGGTGGTTTCCCAATGATGCCTGGCTTCCCCCAATTCGACCCCAATGACCCGATGGCCGCGATGATGGCCATGCAGGGTATGGGGTTCCCACAGATGCCCGGTATGCCACCTATGCCTGGGATGCCCGGTGCGCCTGGCCAGCTTGGCGGTGAACAGATGGGACAGATCAATCAGCGCTGTCCCTTTTATGATACCCAAGGTATCTGCTACCTGGGTGCTACTTGTCCGTATCAACATGGTGAGGCTGGGTCTCAGAATGAAGAATATGACCCGAAGTCTGCGTCGCTGTCGATGAACGCCCAGCGCGGGGAGGGCGGCTCTTCGCGGGGTGACCGGGGTCGTGGCCGTGGGCGCAGTGGATTCAGCGGACGAGGACGTGGCGGCCGGTCCGACTTCTCGTCAGCTGGACCAAATGAGGACCGATCAATCACGACCATTGTGGTCGAGCAAATTCCTGATGATAAGTTTTCGGAGGAAGGCGTACGCGAGTTCTTCTCGCAGTTTGGCAGCATTGCCGAAGTCTCGCTGCAACCGTATAAAAAGCTAGCGTTGGTCAAATACGAAACCTACGACGAGGCCAAGCAGGCATGGTCTAGCCCCAAGGTTATCTTTGACAATCGGTTTGTCAAGGTCTATTGGCACAAACCTAGGCGCGATGAAAAGAACGGTGGCGATTCACAGTCTGAAACCCCCGCATTCAACCCCGAAGAGTTCCAGAAACAGCAAGAGGAGGCTCAAAGAAGCTGGGAAGAAAAATCAAAGAAACGGCAAGAGGCCGAAGAGGCTAAGCAAGCGCTGGAGCGCCAACGTGATGAGCTTTTAAAAAGGCAGCAGGAAGAGAAAGCTCGCTTATTGCAGCGACTCGGTGGCTCTGCCGAATCTAGCAATGGTGATGCCATGGATACCCAGTCCGGCGATGCTATGGCAGACGAGAATGTGAGCGAAGAGACTAGGAAACTGCGTGCGCAGTTAGCTGCTCTTGAAGCAGAGGCCAAAACCCTTGGAATTGATCCCTCCAGCGCAGACTCTTCACACCATAGCCGGGGCGGATACCGTGGGCGTGGTGGCTACCGCGGACGAGGAACGTTTCGTGGACGCGGCGGATATGACCCTTCTTTCCGTGGTGGCCGTGGCCGAGGCGGCTTCGCGCCTCGTGGTGGTCGAGGAGGTGTTCTGCGCCTCGATAACCGACCTCGACGTGTAGCTGTTTCGGGCATTGAATTGAACTCCGACAAGGACGAGGCTCTGAGGCAACACTTGATTGTGAGTTTTGGCCCCATTTTTTCTGAGTGCAGGAATTGGACGCATACTAACCAGGTTTTCCTATCAGGGCATTGGCGAATATGAGTCTATCGAGCCGAACCCCGGTCAACCTGACTCTGTTGTGGTAGCCTTCAAGGAGCGATACCAAGCCGAGAAGTTCATGTTCAGTACCCGGAGCATCCCTTCTGTCGGTGAAGTTCAGCTTTCTTGGGTTGCTAACCCGCCTATCACACTCCCATCGGCTCCGGCAGCAGAAAAGAATGGATTTGGCGATGATGACCAGGACATGACCATGGACACCATGGCGGGTGTCAACGAAGCGCCGGCTCCACAAAGCCTGCCGCCGCGTGATATGGATTATGACGTTGCCGAGGATGAGGGCTGGTGATATCCCATTGGACAAGAAATTCTCATGTACTACATAATTGGTGCGATGTATAGGGCTCATATCTTTCAACCTAAGGAATTTTTTGCAGGGATGGGGCGCATAGTATATCATATCTGACCTCCCACATTAACAATAATTTCTCTCGATATATCCGCTCCTCACATATTCTGAGGGATGAGTTCAACTGAATATCCGTCCTGTCGACTCGTCAGTGAACCAAGACATACTGAAAGGAATCGGCACTAAATATAGTACGACAGAACGACTCACCGGATCAGCCACGATACCAAACTTCTCGAAGAACCACGCATAATTTGGATGAATCTCTCCTATCCCAAACCCCTTCTGCTCCTCCCACTTCGACAACGGCACAGACTCTCTCGAACAAACCCCCAGCTCCTTCAACACTGGCACCCCCGCCGCCCTCAACCGTTGCAGCGCAGCTTCCACGTCCGGAACCGTAAATCCCAGGTGCGAAAACCCCAGGTTCGGGGGCATACCACCTGTAGAAACCTCGAAATCACCATCCTCTGTTCCATGCACATGGTACAGCTCTAGTAGCCCGCTTGTCCGCGTCATGACCGGGATTTCACTGGTTTCCTTGGCCCACGCATCCAGGTCCTCAGTTCCCGGCGGCGGATGGCCTAGGTAGTAAATTGTGAAAGGCCCAGCGTTCATAGTGAAGACGACGCGCATGCCTAGGAGGTCCACATAGAAGTGGAGGGACCGGGCGGGATCTTTGATACGGATTGCAAGGTGGTTGAGGCGGTAATTGACCGTTGCGGGGCTGAGGGCTGGGTTGAAGGTCGGCCAGGGGCCACCGGGGGAGAAGGTGCCTTCCTCGCTATGGGGACGAGTGGTGAAGGAATTGGATGTCATGATCGATTGTTATATTCAAAGTCGATGGTCTGCACATGAATCTTGCGATCAAAGCTTGGGGATATGTTTCCATTGGAAGGATGGATATGGGGATTTTACCGGGACGTGCGGCAATACTCCGCGGCGGGGCCGAGGGTTGTTATACTTGGCTTCTCTGCTGTATGTATATTACTTCCGAGAAATATACCAATATTATGCCGATCTAGGTCGCAGAGAGAAGTAAGACCTATATGATTTTGATAAAGGATTCCATATAGGAAGATGGGGGAAATCGGGTCTTATTTCTCTACTCCAAACCGCTTGGACACTAGGGGCAAAACACGGGAGAAAACAAACAGAAAAATATTATTGGCTTCGGTCACAGTCCTTAACCAGTATATTGAATGGCCACAGCAGGAAAATTCCAGGTAGCGAAGAATAGCAATTTGCATAGTCGAAAGAAGAAATGTCCTCAAATAGACCACGCTATACTGAACTATATCATCAAATAACGTCAGATTGCTGAGAGAATAGGAAGAGGAGAAGCTCCTCTGTTCAAGTATCTCGTCAATGTTGGATTTGAAGTGGTCATTGCCCTCTAGATACCAACTAGACGAAGTCATAGAGTTCATATCCCGCTCATATTGTCTGTTTCTGAGAAGTGCCGCATTCCGATGAAGTAATTCTTCATCTGTCCGCACAGTCTGACTGTCCGTTGTTGAGCGTGAAAGGACTTCAAACCGCCATCGTGGCTCAGAAGCTAGGTCGGCCCCATGTACCCCTCTGGGAGAATTCTTTTTGGTGTGAACTGCCCATCTGATATCCCACGGATTTATTCCTGGGCCGAGATCCATCCATCGAGTCAATCCCAGACAAACTTTTCTACCTCCTAGATCACAGAATTCAAACTTCCAGGTCGTATTGCAATATGGACACTTTCCAAATCGTGGTAAAGTTCTTGGAACTTGAAATCTGTAATGCAATTCATAGGCATAGGTGCAGAGCAACCAGGTGAAAAGAATACTGTAAGGGCCCCCTTCGTGGTCACATATCTTTGTGTAATTATAGCCAGTTGATTGCATGAAGGGCACGATATCAGTCCGATTCACAACAGTTAGCTCCTGGACTCGACAACATAAACTGCTTTGCACTGCCGGACAAACCCGAGCCTCGAACGAGACGAGATTCACTATGTCCCACTGGCGAGATGAAGGTCGTGGGTTATCGGGTAAAGGGTATAAACGCCTTGTCACTTCGGTATAAGAGAGGGAATTGGTAGATATGCCGAACTTAGGACCATAGTAGAACCGCCTCATTGCAAGTTGAACGTGGACAAAGTGTACCAAGGGCCCATGGAATGTCAAAGGAAACGTGCGAGTCTTCAATGATCCAATTTGATAGACAGGCTTGGGACAGTAAGCCGGGTGCCTCATGGGTGTCAGGACGCGTCGCCAGAGATGGAGTCGTAAGCAGCTCCAGCATAAGTAGTACTGCGGATGATCACGCGAGAGCCGTGATAAAAAGGACGAACGGAGAGAATACTGTCTTTCATTCAAATGCTTCCTCGAGCTCAAGTATTTGCGAAATGGGTTATCCCGACGGGAGACAACAATGTCCCATAAGCCATGGTTGACAAGTGCGAAGCAGGCAGTATTAACGGGGCTTAAATAATCGAGGATATCGAGTATCAACTCGAGAGGTAAGCTCATCAAATCGACTGATTCTTTATTATTGCGATCCAGGTCGCCTAACTGCTCTGTTGTGGACATGATAGGGTTTATAGGTATACTGAGATCGACGAACAAGCGATTCTTTGATATTTATCAAAGTATGAATATTGAGCTGTGTGATATGGAACTGGGAAATATTTAATCTAGTAATGGCATACCAGGGACTAACTTTGACGGTTGTCTTAAGAAGCTAAACCAAGTTTGGGAATGGGGTTGCTCAAAATAGCCAAATTCATTGATTGTATCCATGGATCGTTAGCCCGACACACTCAACTCTAGTTCCAGCAGCCACGACCGAGAATAGTCAGCTACTGGTAGACAATCATATCCAGCCCGCCTTCATAAGGAAGGGTCACTCGGCGGAAGGGACTGCCCGGCGCATCTACGTAGGTGAAGAGCTCTTCATATCCGCTCTTAGCCTTGACAGTATTGTCTGCCATGATAACCGAGCCGGGCCGGAGATGCGGCTGCACCAGCTTGAGTGCAGGCAGCGCAAGGGGAGTCCAGACTGTTCATAGTTAGCCACTGTGCACAGAGGACCTATGTAGGGAAGACTACTCACTATCCAGCAGCAAGAAGTCGACAACTCCCAGCTCCGTCGCCAGAGTCTCACGCAGATCTCCAACACGCAGGTCAATCACACCCTCGATCTCCGCCCCGGCGCGCTCCCAGTTCTTACGTGCTTCGCTGGCCTTTGACGTTTCCTTCTCCGTCGCAATAACTCGACCCTTCACCGACACCGAAGCATTTTTCTCTCGCTTTGCGTTTTCAGCGACGGCCAATGCGAGGTAGATCGTACTAACGCCAAAGCTGGTTCCGGCCTCAACAACTGTCTTTGCGTTGATACTACGCAGAATATGGTATATTAACTCGCATTTGTCCTGATCCAGCGCGATGAACTTGTCCCGCATGACCGTGTCGAAGGCATCTGTGCATTGGCCCGGCAGCGAGTACCAATCCACCTTCGCTTCTTGAGCGAGTGACTGTGCGTGTAGGCTTTTTAGGAAATCAAGTAGATGAGGGGTTGCAGCGAGTGGGGTTGGAGGTGCCATGCTGGAGAGATTGATGGACTAAAAAACTCAATTATGATCCTTTTACTGGATTTGAAATGAATCAGATAAAATTGCGTTGCTTGATAGACTATAATCCGGGGTAAAGGCTGCCGGATCCTCGGTATTTATGTGTCGGTAGGTGAGTCACCCACCTTCGTACTCGGCAAGCACACGACGACGGTTGCCGAGACCGGCGATGAGAGAAGCCGACAGGAGTATAGAAGGCTGGATTTTTGATAAATCAGTTATCCGAAAGAGAACTCCCTTTCTTTCTTGGAATGGCTTTGTTTTGGTGCATATACTGCATGAGTCATGGAATCTTATTACATATTTTTATTCCCCGTCTACCGTCCGAATTAGGCATATTCCGGAGACGGTTTTCCTTCTACTAGATCTGCATAGCTATTCAATGACCTTCCAATGAGATTAACCATATCCCAAATGTAGTCCGCTGTGAAAAGGCGCGCCCAGAGGCGGGTCACCGCCGCACTGATTCGGGTATTGGTCGCCAACAGCCATTCGCGTGAGACGCCATGCTGCACCTCCATTACCATCTCCAGAACAAAGTCCCGTAAGCGGGTCTCCTGCTCTGTCAGCTCCGGGTCGGGCTCTGGTACTGTCACTGCCTCGAGCCATTTAGCCAGTAGCACAGCGCACTCCAGCGAGCATAGGGCGTGCTGGTTTGACCACAGCGCCACCTGGGAGTGAGCGACGAATCCGATTCCAAGCTTGACTGGCGTGCTGAGGGCGTGCGCACAATGAAGAGCGGCCCTGGTTAAGCGATCTCCACGTCGCACTTGGAGATTTTCCTTCAAGCTGGTGGCGATTTGCACGGGGTCCCACGTTTGAAGTTGCCGTGTCGAGCCACAGTCCGCGTTCAAGCGGATATACGCGAGCCGGAGTAGTGCGGCCGAGGTGAAAGACAAAGGCCCGTGGGGACTCATAGGGTCAATAGATGACTCCTGGTTGCGCTCCCAGTATTGGCACCACCGCTCCAAAGCTTGTTCAACCGAGACAAGCTCCGCACTTGACGCTATTGATGAGCCACGATGGTTCCGTCGAGAAGACGCCAGCCGACCCGCCTTCGTCATCAGCCAAATGTCTTGTAGCAAGGCGTGAATTAGCACATAGCCACCGAGGGAAGAGAAGGGCTCCACGCCACTATGAGGATTGAAAAGAGCAGAAAGCGCATCCTGGATCTTTGGCTCTCCGTAGCTCTGATTCCGCGCACTTTGCCAAGCCTCGGAATGAGAAGCTTGCCATTCCTTCTCGGTGCAAGGCAGCTCTAGCGAAAGCTCTTCAGTAAGAATGACTGGCGGAATATCGAAGACGATGGTAAGGATATTGAAGAAGCAGAATACGATAAGCTTTGTGCGTTTGACAGACTCTCGGCGTATCCAGCTGCGCCAAGTTCCATCGTACTCCGGCAGGCGATTAATGCCATCTTTCCTTACAAGTGTTGCCATTTGACTTCTCATTGACAGAGCCTCATGGTAGGGCGGATTATTGATGAACCATAGCGAGACGGATAATAGCATGAGAAGTGCTTGAAGAAGCTCGAGCGAATCGGTGTCATCAATGACATTTTCTGGAGACATTGTCCCCGATAGAAACACACGCCGGAAATGCTCCAGAGTGACTGGTTTGGCGATCTGATAAAGTCTCATGCTTGTATCTGGTTCACGACAATATCGTGCGCCCAAAGCCGCCATGGCGAGAAACACCGGTAACGATAGAGAGTCAACATCCAAGGTTGATTTGTGCATGATGGGATAGTGATCATGGAATCCCGTTAGATATCCCGTCAAACACCGAGATAAGGCATGCCGAGAAGGCAGAGATGGATCCGGTGCGACATTTGCGTAGTCTTTCAACATAATGATGAGTTTGTCACGGCACTGGGCGGTGACTGGGACAAACCCTGTGGGTTGTCGTGCCTTTGGGGTAGTTTGATAACCCTCCGGTTGAAGTGATGGTAACTGTGCGCCGTGGCGCGGGAGTACCGAGCTTGAAGCATTAGAGGTAGTGGTTTCAGCTGCAAGCTGTCTTTCAGATGATTGCTCATAGTCCGTGATCGGAGAGAAGGGCAAGGGCGGGAATAGCGGAAGGGGTTGAAATGCCGGAGAGAAAGGGTGGCTGGGCAGGGGCACGCTATCCAGGAAGGATGTAAAGTCATTTCCGGCGTAGGACGTGGCCGGGATTCCACTGAGAGAATATCCAAAGTCAGACCCCGGTAGTGGAGTTGTTGGTGCAGCAGACGGAGTTTCGGGATTTGCCAGCTGGGTGGGCATCATCGGGGTGCGATGCACAGACATCGAATCTCCGTCTGCAAATGGCCCGCTGCTGCCAGACAAGGATCTATTTGATTGCGCATGATCCGTGACGACTGATGCCAGGGTATCTAGTCCATCCAAAATGGGGTGTGCGGGGGATGGTGACGGGGTCTGATGGCCGGCCGTCGGGCTGACGTCTGTCTGATGGGTGAGCCGCTCATGTCGGGCCAGAAGATCTCTAAATCAGCCATTAGGGGATTTTGCTCGGCGGGAAAAAAAAGAAGATAGGGTAAACAGGCAATAGGCACATACTTGCGGGTGAAGGCTTTGTTAGGGCATTGGACACAAATATACGGCTTCTCCTTCGTGTCTGCTTGGGTCAGTGGCGACTTCGGATTCCAGATGGGCGCGGGTTCCTTACGAGATCGGTCGTGGCGCTGCAGATGCTCCAGGCGCGCAAAGGCCTTAGGGCATCGCTGGCAGTGATAGGGCTTGTCCCCCATTGTTCATTGTGGTGTGACGTTTGCTGGAGTCGTGACAGGTGAGAAAGTCTCGGGGAGGAAAGATCCAACTCCGGCGGCACCATGCATTGCGTCCGTCATCCTCTCGACCCAGGTCGGGCTCAGGATGCCAATGCCACGTGCAGCATATCAGGGATCTTCTTCAAGACACTGCAAATGTCCAGGTTGGACTTATTCCCGAGTGGTTCTGGTGGTTCGAATGCCGTCCAGGCGGTGATGCATGTGACGGATATGATGTGCTTCTCCAAATTGGAGAAGATACCGAAGTGGGGAAACTTCCCCAAATCGGCCGAGAATCTGACAAAGCGTTTGTCTTCGGAAGGCGTGCGGCAGGGGGGTTTCTCAGGGCGGCGACTCGGGCAGAAGCCCGAAAATCCAGCATACATCTGATTTCAGGTTCTTTCTGTTTTGTTTCGAATAGCATTCGCTTTTTTGGAGGAGCGATTGCATTTGCGTGACTAGACTTGGGGCTCTCAAACCCAACATGATATCCACCATAAATGTACATAGCAAAGACCCATATATATCGATGGGTCATATGGGTGGGGATTGCCGTTTATCCAGCTTCTCCAATTTTGTATTTTTTTCATGGATGACTCGAAGGCCCACGCTTAAATGGGTGGGCCTGTACTTATAAAGCCGAATCACGCCCCAAAAGAGGAGAAAGCAGCCAACCCTAAGAGCGATCTCGCGTATTCCATACAACGTACACGGCTCCTGGTGTGCCCGAGCTTCCCAAACCTGGGTCTTTAGTCACGATGGACAAACGCGAGTCCAGCCCGGACTCGCTGGTCGAGCCTCAGGAGATCGAATATCGCTATCTCGAACTAGAAACGCCGCTTCCGACACCATGTATTTCCCTGCCCCCGGGCCCCGGCCAGTCGCCGGCCCCAGAGGCGCCCAGCTTGGAAAAATACACCTCGCCATTCCTTTGGCCGAAATGGCGCAAGTCGATGATGACCTGGATTTCGTGCGGTGTCACAGCTCTCGCGGGCTATTCGGCGGGCGAAGTCAGTCCGGCGTCGGAAGAGCTGTGCAAGGAATGGGGAATCAGCTCTGTCGTTTATAACCTGAGCATCACTATCTTCTGCATTGGATTTGCTTTGGCGCCAATGATCCTCGCGCCCTTCTCGGAGATCAATGGACGCCGACCTATCTTCGTTGCTAGTGGCATTCTCTTCGTCGGTACGTTGCTGCGTTGACGTGCGATCTATATCGTACATCTTGGAATGATGCTGATAAAGTGCCACATAATAGCCATGCTGATTGCATGCGGCGGCACCCATTCCTTTGCTGGACTGCTCGTTGCCCGTTTCTTTCAAGGTGTCTCCGGCTGTATGTCTCGCCCATTTCTTCAACCCTTTTCGCTCCTTCTTCATACTAAACCCTACCAGCTACGTTCTCCACGATGGTCGGCGGTGTCATCAGCGACATCTACCACGCCAAAGATCGAAACACTCCCATGGCTCTTTTCTCCGGCTCTGCCCTCTTTGGTACTGGCCTAGCACCTATCTTGGCTGGAGCAATCGTCACTCATACCACCTGGCGCTGGATATACTACTCTCACGCGATTGTCTCGGCTGTGCTTGTGGTAATCATCTTTTTCTTCTTTAAGGAGACTCGGGGAAGTGTTCTGCTCAGCCGGAAGGCTGGCGCGTTGAATTCCTACTACGAGAAACTGGAAGAAGCTGGCCACTATGGCGTGATTCTGTCATCGGAAGAGGAATCCGATGAGAAGTGCATCCGACGTATTCGATGGAAGGTGAAGAGCGACGAACAGCGAGAGTCATTGGGCAAGATGATTCAGATCTCTCTGTATCGGCCTTTCCGTAAGTGCTTCCGCTTATCTCTTATATTCAGTTGCCGTGTTAATTGGATTTCCTATTCAGACATGCTTGTCACCGAACCTGTCGTTTTCTTCTTCTCCATTTGGGTCTCTTTTAGCTGGGCTACGCTCTACTTGCAATTCAGTTCTGTCCCCCTCGTCTTTCGCACCAATCACAACTTCAACGTCGAGCAGACAGGTGCAGTATTTACTGGTGAGTACCACCACAATTGTCTTATTTCTCGCGTATTCGGAGAGAGACAGGTGTGCTGATAATCTGCTTTTCAGCCATGTGTGTCGGTGTGATCCTCATCACGATTATCAGCATTTCCCAAGAGAAAATCGCTGCTCGGTTCGGATGGCTCTCTTCGTCAGCGGAAGGACGTCTGTACTTCGTCTGTATTGAGTCTGTCTTACTACCCATTGGACTCTTCTGGTTCGGATGGACCTCTTTTTCCTCTGTGCCTTGGATCGTGCCGTCCATGGCCGTCGGGTGTGCAACTATGGGCATTTTCTCCATCTATCTGGCCACTTTCAATTATTTGGCAGACACCTATCACCGCTTTGCCAGTTCCGCGATTGCGGCACAGTCTTGCTGTAAGCGGATAGAGAGAATTCTATACAAAGTTTTTATTGACTTACAATATCATATAGGCCGGAACCTGCTCGGTGGCGTTTTCCCGCTGGTGACAACCGCGATGTTTACCAACCTTGGCTTTCCTGGAGCATCGAGTCTTCTTGGTGGAATTGTAAGCGAAACCTGGTACAGTTCCAAGCGGGCTGCCACTAACAGAAAATAGGGCGCTCTTCTTACCCTTGTCCCATGGATTCTGGCTTTCTATGGGCCGAAGATCCGCGCTAGAAGCAAAATGGCTAGTGTGAGTTAATTTTCTTTCTGATCAACTACCAAAGAATGTATACTGACGAACTGATAGGAACTTGCGCATTAAGCGAGTGCTAAAATACCTTCATGATGGGATGACCAGGATATCATACTTGCATCATACTTATAGAAATAGACTAATGTATATGAAAAGCTTTGCATGCTGCGCGTCGAGCGAATAAGTTACCTAGGGACATATAATAACCCAAATTTAAAAGTTTCAAATATAATTTCCGAGAGCCATGCCACTGGATTAAATGATGAAGCCAAAATGTCTTTAGTTCGTGGTTTTTATTCTTGTGTAGATGCAATAAGTCTCAGGATTATCATGAGACATGGATAACCTTTAGATTCCAAAAAAACCGCGACTCCAAGAGATAACAATGCGAATGAAGGGCAGGCTACATTATGGGTGATAGAAATCACTTTGGATGCCCATTTTGCCCACGAAATGGTGCTTTGACACTGAGCCGATGCGATGCAAATCGAGCATCATCTTCACTGTCGCTTTCCATCTGGTCCAGGATACGATCGATTTCATCTCCAGCGTGAGCTTCGAGCCCAAGGCCGAGGCTCTTCGATTTGAAATGGAAACTTTCCTGGGAGCCATTGCTTTGCGAGCCCTGGCTTTGATGAGTGACAAGCCCTTCGCTGTTGGAGTGAATTGATTCATTCAAACTCCGTTGGGAAGTTGGAGGCTGCAACGGTCGAGGGCTAGAGCGGTACCCGGAGTTTTCAGGGCTAGACATGAAGAGAAGGGTTTCGATTGCGTCTTGCTCCATTAATGTGTTTTGCGACTGGGTTCGTGGCCGATGAAAGTTATCTTGAGATGATGTAGCTGCACGCGAAGACGGAGGGATGTGCGGTGTCCCTGGCCCTAGAACGGTGGGTGGGCCATGTGTTGGTTGGCTGAACGAGGCTTCCTGAGTAGAATGATGTCGTCGGTGCCGGGCATATGGACTGCGATCAAATGATTTCATTGTTCCGATATTGGGATTTGGTCGCCGCCGCGGCGTTTCTCCACTTGAAGAGATAATATCGACCGGTGGTGCTAATTTGGGAAATTGAAGAAATTTGCCAGGCGACGAGATTGCCGAGTGTGAACGGTGATGGGATAAAAGTGGGCGAGGAGTATTAGTTGATGATGATGATGCATTTGTAATGTGCTGGGGATGGGATGTTGGAGTTGGTCCTAGAGTCGATGCAATGCTGTTTGAGTTATATTTCGATGATAAGTTGTCCAAGCCACGAAGGGCAAGTTCAGATGTAGTTTGTGACTGGCGGGATTTCTCTATTTTGGCTGCTGCATATGACAGCCGTGTGCGAATATGAACAGACAACTGTGCAAAACGTCAACGAATGCCACTAAAGCAAGTATGTAAAGGGCATTAACCTGAGCAATTCTACTTCCATATGCCGAGGAGCCCGTACTCTTCGAACGACGTCGCGAAACTCCATTGGTATCTGATAAAAGAGGAGCCGCATGATGCGAGGAAACGAGCTTTATGTCCCCTGTTGCTGTCCTTTTATGTCCTGGAATAAACTGGCTGCTGTTTCCAGATCGCGAGCTGGAATATTTCGGAGACCGAAGAGGAGGCAGCGTGTCTTCATCATTCCTTTCCAACTTGAGCGGGGGTTGCGAGATATCTACTACCCCATTTCCATTCGTCTGTGGAGTGTCCAAAACTTCCTGATATTTCACCGTGTTCTGCTCCGTCTTTGTTGAATGCGGAATCTCCTTTGAAGACAGCGAGTTGTTGAATTCCATAGATCGATTGGAATCATTCATTGACGAGGGAGGAATGTTGGAATTGTTGTCTATGAAGTTGCTCGCAGACGAGAATTCTAGTCTTTGACTATCTGCCGATGTCTCGCTGCAGTGCTCAGACGATTCAACAGAGCGCCTCCTCAACTTGCCTGTAGCATGGAACTCGGGATTGCATCCGTTGCTGGGTAAGGACGAGATCTGGAGTTGGGGCGATCGCGGAACTTGTACCGTCTCAGCGCGAATCTGCTCCCCCGGCACTAGTGACGTGGGTGTGTTCACATCCCCGGCGTTAGCACTGGCCACCATCAATGGAATCGCGCGACTAGGCGGCATCTCGTGACCGACGTCCATGGCTGTATTGCAGATTCGCAATGGGATGCCGTTCAGTCAATGACAAGGGGAGGAGGCCAATAATACGTGACCGGAACTCAAAAGCGAAAATTACGCGGCCGCGCAAGGTGAGTGAGTCTAAACACGCAGGACCTGACTGCTAGTGCCGAGTCACCGCATCGAGACAGTTCCGAGAATATGAGGCGAAATGACCAGGGTCAGGTTTAAACTGGCAGTCAGGATCCAGATATCCTCGAGGACAGTCGGGAGAGTGCAGTGACACTTGCTGCGGACGCCAGGAGCATCTGCCCGATCCAGTGGCGATCGACCAGACGCGCAGGGTTGAGCACGAGCGGCTAAACGGTGAACTAGCAGCCGGCGCCAACGGGGAAGACCGGCTTGGCCTACAAAGCAATCCACGAAAGAGAAAATTGAAACGTCTCGCAGGTCAAATGCGTGGCTCAAAGCAGCAGGATTAAAAGACCGAGGTCTGTGTAGCTTAGCAAACCCTTAAGCGGGAGTCGATGGCGTCGTCCGTCGGCTTTCCTTCTTGCGGCGACGCGTGCGTGACACGGTCACGTGCGGCGGAGCCACTTGCGGGCGAGGAGAGAGTGTACGTAGAGTCTGGAGTTTGACTTATTCTATAATTTGCAATAACTTTGGGAAATAGCCAGAAGGATCAATGAGTAAGGGTTTAATTTTGCTAAAAAAAAGTGTGCTGTTCAACAGCAACTGTACAGCCTCTGTCCGAGGAGAAGAAGTATAGAAGAAGATGAGAAGAAATCCCAGATCCCACCAGCCGATTCCAAAAGCAAATGGAGATAGTGAATATTAGATACTCTCTTTAAGGGCAACCACTGGAAGGGTAGTTGCAGCTGCTAGTTTCACCACCACCAGTGATAGAGACATCTGTGAAAGTGAAGTCTGAACAGCTGTCGGAGCCACAGAGAATATAGTAGTCCAAAGCATCATCTGTGGCCGTACCCTGGACGTTGGTGAAAGTGACACCGCTAATGGTAACACCATTAGTTGGGTCGCCAGTGGGGCCACCATTCAGATAATCTTGCTGGATATCAATACCATAATCGGTGATCCCAGACAAGGTGATGTTCTCGTAGACAATGTTCTCGACCTATCAACCCTGTAAGCCTTCTTCGTTCGAATGATATATGTACATGGATAAACTTACAGTGCCAGTAGTGTCAGAGTTGGTCTTGATGCGGCAGCCATTCTCGCTATCGACCACTTGAGAATTCTTGAAAGTGACTCCATTGACGGTGTTGTTGCTCTTGCCGCCGATAGAACCGATGCTTAAACCATGGCCGCCAGAACAGTACAGGTTGTCCACAACAATTTCTGTTCCGCTAGTGACAGCAACACAATCATCTTGGTTATACACCTCGATGTTCTCCAGGGTAATATAGTCGCTAGAGGAGATATCGAAACCGTCGCTATTGTGGGCGGCAGGATCGTCACCACTGGCAGAGTTGGGCTCATCTCCAGCAGTGTTGTTCAAAGTCAGACCGGAGATGGTTAGGTGCTGGCAACCGGTAATGTCAAAGCAGTGGACAGGCCAGTTCATGATGTTCAGATTGGTAATCTTGGAGTTGTAAGTCTTCTTGACGACGATAAAGTGGTCAGGCCTATAAAAACTTGGTCAGCAGAGCATTGTGTCAATCGAGCCAGATAAGCCATACTTATCCTGGCCACCATTAGAACCCTCTCCATCCCAGTAGGCGGCACCATTGCCCTCGATGACATGGCCCTCGGCACCGGTAATGGTAATGTCAGTTCCAGAGATTACAATAGGGTCAAAGTCATCGTCATAGGTGTCACCGAATGTCTACCTCCCGATTAGCGAGACTCGAGTCCCTGATTTTGGGTCAAAACTTACAGTAGTGCCAGCAAAAGTCACAGTAGCGCCCGTCTGAAGGCCCTGGAGATCGATGGTGCTGGACGGCGGGGCGTAAAGGTCGGACAATACAATGTTGGTGCAAGATGCAACGGCAGACGAGAGGGATGCGTATTCAGATACAATGCAAGTGGTACCAGTACCAGTCGACTCAGCAGCCACAATACTGGTCACTTGAGTGGTGGTCGGAACTTCAGTTGTTGTCGGGACATCAACGACAGATGAAGCTGTAGAGGTAGCCGGTCGGGTGGTCTTTACCAGTGTAGTCGGGGAGCTGGAGGGCACATCGGTCGAAACCACTACTACTGGCGCAGTGCTGGTAGCAACAACGCTGGTCGCAACAACGCTGGTCGCAACAACGCTGGTCGCAACAGTAGTAGTTTGCTCAGAGCCGGACTTCTTGATGTTAGACGCGTCGACTTCTAGAGAGCGATCCAAGAGTGCTTACGCTTGCTCCAGCAGTTGCCCAAGCAGTATCGAGACAGCTGCAGGCACTCGATAGATGCTTTGTCTTATAATCACAGGCCGAGGCAAAGCTATCGGGCAGTCCAGTGGTAGCAGTCACTGTACTCGCAGTGAAAGTAGCACAGAACTCCGCAGCAGCAGAGCTGGACGACACGAATGCACCAGCACAGGCATGGGTCTCCGGGTTATTGCACCCCAGGGCAATGGGAATGAGAGAAAGCAAAAGCGCACGGCGCATTTTGAAATAAAGGAATGAATAACGAAGGGAGTGAATGAACGAGAGAACTAATGAGAGAAAGCCTGAAAGGCGAAGAGAACGATGACAACGAGACCCCTAGAACACCAGGAATACAATGGAGTCGGAGCATTCTTATACGAAGTACGGAGTACATAGGTTCGAACTAGTCAAAGCTTGGATCGCTTCTCTTGACTTAGCTCCACTCATATAATTAACACTAAAACAGCCATGACTTGAAGCCTGGATAGATCGGCTAATTTCGGTTCCGCGGAGTTCCAAAAAGAATCCACCAATGGGGCACCACAAGCCCCCTGGGATGCATGGCTTATGACGGAGTGTTGTCTCCGTTAGATATGAAAAAAGGCGCTAATGGCATCGTGCAGGTCTATAGACTCCTAGAAAGTCCAAAGAGTGTGAAATGTGACATCCCAGACCCGTTTTTGTCAGGGGAAAATTGCCGGCCGCACCATGGCACTATGTAAACGTTTCATGTAGACGGGGTTTAGAGTCGGTGATGTTTCGGCAGATTGGCTTGTTCAGAGTAGAAAGAACGCACTAAACGCCCTAGCGGACAGTTTCGAGGCTAGTTCTGGTCGGTGAAACACTCGAGCCAGCCCGGTGGAGATAATCGAAACCGCCCACCACAAACCATCCCACTACTCCTTGCTAAGGAGTTCCTGGCTAAGCTACCAGCGTCGTCAGCTGGAGAGCATAGGCCTTATTAGCCGAAGAACACCCGTACTTTCTCAAGTGACAAGCTCCCAGTTTGCCTGCTCTTGGGAGTCGAAACGCCGCCATCTCAAGAGACGAAGGACCCACCTGTCAAGTAGTGATCGATGTTTCTTGCTCTTGAGAGCATTTTGTCCTCCCGAGTCTGCCGGGTTTTAGTTTGGCGTCTTTTATTTCGTATTGGTCGTTCAATTTTCTTAGAGCCGGCCCGATCTCATCTTTTCTGGAAAAAAAGGTCAAAATCAACTACATTTCTACAGACGCGTGTCTGCAAGCAGATGAGCTAGCATTGTAGAATCATTCGAAATAAGAAAGTTGACAGCTGTAATATATTTGATACACAGAAAAGCTTTTCGTTGCACGAACGCCATCTATGCAATAAAAGGGATACTGGGTCCATGCCCCTATCATGACATGTACAAATTCCAAGATCGAAATCACCTGCGCTTCTTTCCACCGCCACCAGACTCTCCATCGGTATTCTTTCGCTTCTTGCCTTCGCGACGCCAATAGTCGTCACGCTCCCTCTTCTCACGAGCCTCCTTCTTCTCCAGACTATCTGCCACCTTGGCACGATAAACCTTACGGCGTTCTTCCTGCTTGGCTGCTCGCTTGGCCTGTTTCTCGTTGCGCAATGTGGTCAGCTTCTGCATCAGGTCGCGGGCCTTCTTCTCCTCGCCACCAAGAACCACTGCGCGCTTCTGCATATACGTCTTATCCTTGGTCTTCTTCATCTGGGTGATCTGCGACTTATAAGGGAGGTTTGTTGCAAGTTGCTTCGGCACACGTAGGGGGTTGAAGTGACGCTCAGGACGTTCGATCTTGTGGTACGCAGAGTCCTTAATCATCGGCGTAGGGATACCCTTCTCGCGGCGGACTTCGCCTGTCAAACGCATGCCCTGCCATCCGCTGTCGCCAGTGCCGCCATCCTCCAGATCAAGCAGGTTTGTGACTGGGTTATAGAAGCGATGGGGCTTGATGGGGTACCATGCGCGCAGGAAGACAATATCACTCATCAAGATCTTATCTTCGAATGTTGCACGGAAGTAGCCTTCCGGCTTGCTCAGAGCTCGTTTAATTTGACCGCGAATACCAGAGACGGTGCGAATCGACGCACCCTCAAATTTGGCAATTTCAAGGGAAGAGTTGAACATGTCCTTAATGAAGGCGGTATTCTTGAAAATCTTGTAAGGAACACCGGTGAGCTTCAACTTCTTCACGATCTCGGTGTGCTCGTCCACGCTCAAAACAACACCGGTTGCAGCAATGCGGAATCCAGGGTTCTTGTTCGAGAATGACTGGAAAGCACAGAAACCAGTATTGGGTGCCACTAATGGGCCGTAGAAGACACCGGTACAGTGCATATGCTCAGGAGTATACTTGAGCATACGGTTTCGAGTTCGACTGTCAGAAGTACTGTACATGGGCAATGACTGGAAACGACGCCAACCCAAGGAGAAAATTAAAGGGTCATTGCTCTTCAAAATCTTCTTGTGCCAACGGTGTCGCTTGATGCGAATCTGCACATATCCGAAGCGATCTTCGGTAGGAGCCAGACCACCAACGATGACAGGGAAGCGAGGGTTGAACTTGGCGGCGAACTCGTAGGGGACGTTTTCAAGGACGATCCGGGCGTAGGTGCCAGCTTTGTAGCCTTCGGCTCGGGCACGAGAAGCAGGGTCAAGGTTTTCGAATTCGGCGCGGTTGATGTCGAGTTGCTTCTGCATCTTTGCCTTCTGCAGGTCGTACCAGTCATCTTCGCCAAATTCACCTTCAATATTATCACGTTTACCATCCTTGGCATTCGCAAAACCTTCTCTGTCTTCTTCCTCAAAGCGCAGTTTCAGCTCTTCTTTCCTTTTTGCGTTTCTTTCACGCTCCGCTTCTAAGTCGACAGGTCCTTCTGGCTCTTTTTCTTCATCATCCTCATCCTTGTCTCCGTCTTCATTATCGAAGCCATCAAAGACCTCGCCGGTTTCTAGGTCCTCAAAAGCGCCGTCGCCTTCATCATCATCGTCATCCTCTAAGCCTTCGAGATCTTCATCGTCCAAATCATCGAAATCATCATCTGAGCCACCACCGCCAAGCTTGGCCGTGACAAAACGACGGCGCAAGGACTCGATCAACTCTTCATCGCGCCATTTACGTTCCAGCTCATCATAGTCATAGTCGGGAACAGCACGGAAGTCGGCTTGGTCCGCCTTCTCGTTGTTTGTCTTCTTGAAGAAATCATCACCTTCTTCCTCGATGTCTTCCTCTTCCTCCTCGTCGTTATCCTCAGCCCCGCGCCATATTTGCACAACCTCAGCAGGGGTAATTGACTCGTCGTACATCATTCGAGAGAGATCATTAACACGGAAGGCAGGCCGCTTTCCATGGAGCGCCTTCGCGTTGGCGAGCATGTTGTTCTTCCAACGGGCATTTCCCTCCTCGTCTTCATCGTCATCCTCCTCATCCTCTTCGTCTTCATCTTCACCACTTTCCAAATCCTGGTCTTCGACTGATGAGATGGAGCCGAGGTCCGAGTCACTATCCGCGAATGCAACGTCCCCTTCTTCGCCCGAGGTTTCATTTTGGCGCTTCTTGAAGTTTGTCTCAAAGTCTGCTGGGGCAGAGACGTCAACTTCATCTTCATCTTCACCGCCACTGAAATCATCCTCATCCTCTTCACCAGCAAGGTCGGTGTCATCTTCTTCGCTGTCGAGCTCGTCGTTGTCCTCAAAAGCAGCTTCCCCATCACGCTCAGCGTCGGCGACCCGAGCATGACGCTTATGCTTGCGGCCGGTTTCATCATTACCATCTGTCGCAGCAATTGCTTCACCGCCACGGAAGAGACGCACTCCCTGATCGGCTTCGCCCAGAAGGCGCCGCTCACCCTGGAGTCCGACGACGAGCTGCTCGCCGAGGCCACGATCCTCATCTTCTTCTTCATCATCGGAGCCCCGATCAAAGTTGGAGGTCCTGACATCGATATACACGGCATCCTTGTCAACCAACACACCGCCAACATCAGACATAGGAGCAAAAGAAGTTTCTGCTTATCGCCTAGTCTGCGTCTCGAAGTCTTCCCAGTCGCCTTGGCAATCTGCTGGTCCATGTACGGGGTCGGACATGGGTCGGGCAGTCCTTCAATACCGGAGACTGTTAAATCTCCCACGCCAGGAACGTGCACCCGTGCACCCTGGGCAGGGAAATTGGTACCTCGCAGATAACCGTACAGCGCAACAGTGCGGTCACATTTGGGATTCTCTTCAATCTGGGTTGGAGGTGTGATGTCCAAAAAGCGATCGGCCAGTGCATAAGGGTGGGAATTACGCCAGATCAGGGGACGCGGGTTCTTCATGACGGACAAGAACCGAGACAGGTTGTGTACTTCGCGATCGGGGTATCGACCGTTGATGACGCCTGACAGATAGAACAGCTTTGCGCCTTGATAGAGTTCACTCCAAAAACGGTGCTTCAGCCGCTTCTTTGTCATGCGTAGGGTGCTCTGCTTCTTGAAGAGATCAAGGTGGGTCAGGATACCGAATACATTACCCGGCATACCACTGGTAGACAGAGTATTCAAGAACTCCATAGTCTCCATCTCAAATCCATAGTTTCCATCGATCATGAGCAACACAATATCGGCGATTTTGGCCACGTCAATCATGGCTGCGAGAGAGTCGGACGGACATTCTAGGAACGTGAGGCGCTTGCGCTTGGTGGTGACCACAGTTAACGGGCCTTGAGGCGAACTCAAGGTTTGTTTGGTGTAGCGACGGATCAGAGATTTCAGAAGGGTAGTTTTGCCGACCTATGGATGCGCAAGAAGAACTCGATATCAGTGATGCCGCGGTAGGAGAGAGCATTGGAGGCATTGACTTACACCTGGGGGCCCAACAATGGCAACGACCGTCGGAGGAGCCTCCTCGGGCATACGATCGACCTGCGGGACATGAAGTCGCTTTTCCTTGACCTAGAAGCAGAAAATCGGAGTCAGTTTCTGCAGATTGACCCCGTCCGACGTTGATATCAAAAAACATACATCGTGGGATCGCGCAATCTGCTTGTTGAGTTTTCCGGTTTTGGAGAACGCAAAAGCTTTCGGGTTCGAGCCTAAGATGGTAGAATGTCAGCCTGTGTCATGTTTCATCGGTGATCCAAAAAAGTGTTCTCCGCAGAATCAACTTTGGAAGCGCTGAAGCGCCCTGGCGCCGTACCTTCGAATTTCTTCTTCTCTTTCGAGGGCCGATGTGCCCGGTTCGATTGCTGCTCCATGTTTAAGAGCAGGAGGTTCCAGACCTCACAGTATCTCTCCGGCTAGAAATAGACCACCAGACACTGACAACACGGCGAACTGCGACCTGGACTGCTCGGCCCAAAAAATTATTATTTCGGCGGCGGAAGAACATTACCCCTTGCGGTTTAGCGCCGGGGAGCTCGTTTTCTGCTTTGTGCCTGAGGCCACAAGGCGTCAAACGAGCAACCTTATCGCCCAGGGGTTATCGACCGGGCCGGTGAGCAAGGTGATAAGGGGTTGCCCCTCCCATCGGGCCGATGCGTGTTCACGACTCTCCACCATTTTGCTGCTGAGAGGGCAGTATCAGTGCCAAATCCTCAATGACTCATTTGATTATTCACCGATTTATCCTCTGCTCCCATAATGGAATTCGTTCTGGATAGGTGCTATCGACAAAAGGGGACTAAATCGCATCTTCATCGTATCTCGAGTATCGCCAGCATCTATCTGTTGCGGGGCAAACCCCAACTATGGAACCCGGAGAACGGGGATTCCCCGATCCTCTGGGAGATTTATTAGCGTGACACGGCCCCGAGGGAACCTGAAAAGCGCTGTTCTAGTTCTACCCCATCTTACTACGGGAAAATTGTCTATCCACAACCACGGATTAGGGCGATTACGGCAATTACGTCAATTCCGCACGGGTATAGCTACTTAAACCACCACCATGACGACTGCCCCTACCCGTCGGCCTCCTCCGGCCTATACAGCTCCCCCAGACTCCGGTGTCCATGCCACTTCTGAGCTCTATCGATCAATTTCGAGGACGGCGTGCGATCCCGCAGCCCGCGTACCGAAACAGTCGTTCACCATCCGCCCATGCTCAGGGCAGGCCTGGGTTGTGCCCGCGGGCTATGTCTGCCGCTTGACAACGCCCCAGGGCCCGCAGGTTGGGGATCTCAACATCTGGAATGCGAACAATCCCAGGGAACGAATGTGGGCCGCCCGGACCCGACAGATCCATGCTTCGCATGTCTCGGTTGGTGATCGTCTCTGGTCCAACCTGCCCTACCTACGTCCCCTCGTGACTATCACTGGTGACTCGCTCGGAGGTGGGCAGCTGCACGACGTGCTGGGTGTCGATGGCAAGCGCAATCCTGAGGTGGTTTTTGGTACCACGAAGTTTGGTGGCCGTGTGCATGACTTGATGGGAACGCGCTGCGATCCCTATGTAAACCTGCTCATGGGTGGCGAGACCTTCGATTTCCACTGCCATTCAAACCTCACCCGCTCCGTCGTGCCCTATGGGTTGACGGAGCTGGATGTTCACGATGTCTTGAACGTCTTCCAGGTCACCGGACTGGATGAAGAAGGGAAATACTTCATGGAGACGTCTCCTGCCAAGGCCGGGGAGTACTTTGAATTCTTTGCCGAAGTGGATGTCTTATGCGCGCTGTCTGCGTGTCCTGGTGGTATGTCTGATCCCCAGAGTCCATTTGAGACCTGCTAACACTGCCGAGGCGATCTTTCTAACTGGGGATGGGATGACAAGGAGGGTGGGATGGGCGCTACATGTCGACCCCTTGGCGTCGAGGTGTATCAATTGGCGGATTCGAAGATTCTGGATAGATGGACCGCACCGGAGAGTCCGGCCTACAAGGGAATGCATGGTATGGGAATGCCTCCCCGCGAGAAGGATGGCTATGTTGGGCTCTGAACACTTCTATATCTATCCTCGAATATCTGGCCACGCGTCAATTGAGAACTTCCAGAGCGTTTCCATGTTTTTTTTTTTTTTAAATCAACCAAAGCCTCCAGGTAGTGGGAGAAGACTGAAAAATCGAATGTTGCATCCCGAGATGACTTGCAGTATCACCACGTGATCTGCCCCGCATTTGGGCGGGCAATAGCGTCATCGCATGTTCGCGTGTTACATCAACAAGAAGGCCGTTCATCATCTCAAGATCGAGTCGAACGAGCAGGTTTCTGAGACCGCTTTTGTGGATTTTCTTAGGCTATCCGTCATCCGTAGCCGTTGAACTCGTACTTATTACCCCTCGACGTAAATCATGTCAGCCCGGGCCGCTGAAATGATCTAATAGTCCGTAGAAATCATGACATCTTCAGCGTTGGACAGTGCGAAGACTGAGTCGCTGTAGTGTGACCCGAGTGACTGCCCTGATTTGCTTCGGAGGATCGATGCAGATTCCAGGGACGGCCAAAGTGGAAGAGGATAGGTTCCAAGGTCCTTGCGAGCGTGCAATGGGGTAAGACGAAGCCTTAGCAGGGACGATTCACTAGGCCCCGTCTTATCACGGCCCCGCCAAGTATAAAGTCTCCTTCCCCTCCACCTCCGCCCTCTTATCTCCTCTCATCTGTCCACCTGTCCACCCTCACCTTTGCTGCTTGCGCCATCCCGACTCCACCCACTTCACCTGCGATCTCACTCGTCTTCAACAAGCTCCTCATCACATCCATTTGCCTTTCTGTCGCAATCATGCCTCTTTACAATGTGGGAAACCATGTCATGTGCTCCGAAGGTGCCCCATGCTGACTTTGATGGACCTGCTAGGTCACCCTCAAACCCGACGTGAAAGACGAGGAACTCGAAAAGTTAGTCTCTTTCCGCCCCTGCCGGAGCCATCCCATCGAATCGAACTCTGCTGACTTATTTACACCAGGGCTAAGCAGTTGGCTCTTGAGAAAGGTGGAACCATCAAGCATGAGTATAGTCTCATTAAGGGTTTCACGTACGTACTCCACCGCTGTCGGCAGCCAAGCAAACCCGGCAGCCAAGCAAACCCGGCAGCCAAGCAAACCCGGCAGCCCTTTCGTCTTCACCCAAACGGACATGCTAACCTTGGATCGCGCTCTAGCGTCGAGTACCCTGAAGACCACGTCGACACTCTCGAATCCAACGACCACATTCATGTGGAGAAGGATGCTGAGGTGAACACTCAGTGATCGCCTGAAACACCTACAAAACTGGACTCGGTCAGTGACTAAATGACCCTGGACCCAGTGGAATAACGGAGGGTATTTTGCTTCAGCGCCATGATTTGATACCAGGAACACGCTCGGCCGTTATTCTGCACCTTATGTACATATTACTACCTACCAGTAGGCGTTGTGTTCCTCTATTCTGTGAAGGTTGAACATCTCACTGGTCGTATGCTCCACGTAGAGCTTTTTTTTTAACGAATGGCAATGAACTTCCTTTGAGCCTGAAGACCTCTTTTCTTATAATCTTCTCATATTCGAAAAGGAATCTCATCATTGCTAAGTTTGGTGGACGTGATATTAATTGAAAATACCCCCAAATTAGGAGTAGGGTAATTTGTTAACATGGCGGTTGATAAGTGCATAAAGGTAGTTTGCTACTTCGTGGCCTGTACCCGTAATTTGCGTCACCTAAATAGCCATAGGTTGTATGCTCCCTTATAGAGAGCTCCTAGATACCTATTGTTGCTACCATAAAAGGTTTTCCGGCGCCCATCGTCGCACAATCAGATTTGTTGACCGTCACACATAGCATTCAAACGAGCATGGTCTGTTTGCAAGTTAGAGTAGTTGACACGACCATATAGCGCTTATTTGTTGTTTGCAAATTTGCAAGTGCCGGAAGTAAATTTGCCTTATGATAGACTGAAGCTCCTAGGAGCACCCTTCGTTTTCCGCGATACATGGGCAAAATCTGAGAGAACTATGAGGGGAAATGTAATGCATTGCAATCACTAAAAAGACTACAATTTTGTTTACTATCAACTTACTGCTTCGCTAAAGATTACTATAGGGCTCGATGTCATGCCTTCACGATATTGAGTCAAACACAAGCGTGAGATCTACCATCCGCACCTGCCCTAATAATCGCTGTCGGGATCACATGAGCGTTCCCAGAAATTCCCTAGGTATCATCATATGTGCAAGACTCGGCCAATAAAAGGTTGATATGAACCCATAATACTGAGGATAGTTTCTGGGAGGGGGCACACTGTAGATACATGCCTTATGCGGGTTGGAGAGCCGCGCGCCGAAGCCGAGGATATCCGCCGCCAGACCGCATACAGATTCTCTCCCGTCACCGCCCCGGTGCCTCTTATCACCTGCGAACCCCTTCCCTTTCTTTACCTCCGCCACACACAATGGCTACCGCAGTCTCTCGAGCCCTTATACCGAAGGTGCGGCATTGCCTTCCGTGTAGAGCACCCCTCCTCAGAGGCGCCTACTCAACGTCTCGACCCAATCGGAGTTGGACGGTCCCCCAGGGTGCTGGAGATGTTGCAAGGGACCAAGTCGCTCAGCTGGCTGCTAGTCCTCGTCGGCCTCTGACACTAGCAGACCTACTCAGGTAATTAAAAGGCCGCATAGCATACTAAGTAACCAAAGAATTAAACACTAACAAGATTAAATCTTTGGTAGACACGGGCGCCCCCCGTTGTCCGAAGATGCCCTCCTGGCCTCGGCCAATTTCACACTGTCATTACTCCCCGCACGACTCGCGTCCCGAATCCAGGCCCTACGAAATCTGCCCTTTATCGTTGTCTCCAACCCACATGTCTCGAAAATTTATCACAACTACCTCCATTCCCTTTCCACCCTGCTCCCATATCAAGAACGGCGAATCACTACGTTGGAGGAAGAGAACCAATTTGGCGATGTGCTTGCGGATCTTGTGCAAACACATACCAATACTATCCCGGTACTTGCACGGGGCTTTTTGGAATGTCAGAAATATGTCAGTCCGTCGGATGTGACACGTTTCCTGGATACCCATTTGCGCGCGCGGATTGGCACCCGTTTGATCGCCGAGCAACATCTTGCTCTTCACTTTGCGTCGCAGCCCGTTGGCGGAGAGTCTGACGCTGCGGAGTCACCGTCGACTAAAAGCCCGATCCCCTCCAATTATATTGGAGTCATTGATACAGCGCTGCAGCCAGCACGGATAATCCGCTTGTGCGAGGATTTTGTAGGGGAGATCTGCGAACTCAAATACGGCGTACGTCCGCATCTGGAGATTGGAGGGGAACCGGACGCCTCGTTTGCTCATATTCCAGTGCACGTGGAGTATATCATTACCGAATTATTGAAGAACGCATTTCGAGCAACCATCGAATCAGGTAATGAGCGCGAGCCTATTGAAGTGACTATCGCCGCTGCTCCTGATGTACCGGGGCGGGAGCTCCCCGTTCGGGGCGATGCCGACGCCGGCTTCCAGCTCGATGTGAGCGAGGACCTTCTTTATCCCAACGAATCGATCGGATACTCGAATCCGTCACAACAGAGCATTACAATTCGTATACGTGATCGGGGAGGTGGTATCCCGCCGGAAATCTTGCCTCACATCTGGTCCTACAGCTTCACCACCTTTTCAGATATGGACTTTAGCTCAGAGAATGGTAATTTGGATGCGCTTAATACTATCTCTGGTAGCGGCGGTCACTTGAGCAGTATTGCCGGTCTTGGATACGGACTACCGCTAAGTCGAGCATATGCGGAGTACTTTGGTGGAAGCATCGCGGTACAGAGTCTTTGGGGGTGGGGTACTGATGTTTACTTGACCTTGCAAGGCGTTGGAAGAATTGACTGAAAACGTATTGCTTGAATTATCTACCTATTGGAATATCTGGGGTGGAACTTGCCAAGTCACAAATTACAAATTTGACTTGACTACAGGACGGGTCAGCAAATCAACGAGATCCACGACTGGCAAATCAAGATCTTGAACGGCGTCCACAATCCGATCTCTTTCTGTCTCAGAGAACCGGTATGCCATATTCCGGGAAAACTTCTCTTGCAGAAAGTTTTCTGTTCTCAAATTGCGCACATGCCCAATGGGGTACTCAACTAAGATTTCTGAGAGTATAGATCCGTCTTGGAGATAAACTGTCAATCCTGCACCGAAGCTTCGCTTTTCCAGGCTTAAATAATCATGCGTCAGACGAGGGTCCGGCCGTACCATGATCCTCCTACGGAAATCTTCTACCTCCTTGCTCCTAGCCCAAAGGCTTTCATCTGAATAATCTGCAGCGTTCGGCGGTCTTCCTGTCAGGAATGCTACAGCAATCACATATTGGACGCAGTGATCACGATCAGCTGGATTCCACAGTGGTCCGCTTTTGTTGATTATTAGATTTGCTGCTGCGGTGGTGCGTAAGTCCATCTGTGCCACATCTTTCATGGGATTCGAGAATCCCCTGTCCTTAAAGCGATGGAGCTGAAGGAGTGCTGCTTCCACTGCCGATACTCCATGTCCTTCCACCGGCATTATTTTGAACATCACGTTCCGGATGGTCCATGTTCCAAAGGGGCGAGGGAACTCAAATTGTTTATCGCCGAATGTGCAGGCCCAGAATCCCCATGGCTTCGAGGACAAGGCTCCTGGCATCCCGGGCTGGCCAGATCGAACATATAAAGCAAGCTGAACAGCTCGCCTGGCAGCGTCACCCGCTGCCCACCCTTTCCGAGGGACTGTATTGTTCTGCGCCCTGTAAACACGAATCGATTGTCCGTCTATCCAGACATGAGAAATACATGCCTTTGTTTGTTCTTCCGTGAGTCCAAGCAACCAACATACCACAGCGGCGGAAGCTAGTTTAACTAGTATCACATGGTCGATGCCGTAGGCATTGAAGGCATTGCACATTTGATAACACCCCTGTATTTCGTATGCCTTGATCAATGCAATCAGCAAAGTTCGCATCGTTAGCGGGGGTCCGGTACTGTCTGTTTGGTTTGTTGCCTTGATGCGCGACAACCAGTCCATAACGGGCAAAATTGCACCGAGATTATCTAAACGCCCACTTGAATCTTAGATCGAAAAACCAGTGAATAACTGAGAGAGATATTCATCGCGTACCTGAAGGATGTCCCCACTCTGCTCCTCCCAAGGCATCGTTATGATCCAGATAGCGTAGTAGAACTCCAAAACTGAATACGCCGTCCAGCAAATTCACTTGTAAATCAGTTCCTGGAACTCGAATCCCATCTTGAACAGCAGTGTTTATGGCACCGGCATGGAGGAGCCTCTGGCACTCAGGATTTGTAGCTACGGTCTCAATCGCACACCCTATGGTATCTAGGAACGCTAGGCGTGCTCTTGTCCAAACCTCTTCATCCGTCTCATTGATCTGGTAGTGAAAAACGTAGTGTGCAACATCAACAATAGGTTGATCATATGTAATCGACATGGCGGGAGGTGATCATAGTGGTCTTACAACACTCAAGTTGCTACTTTTATGCCCAGGGAAGAAGAAAATAACATATCGCCCGCCATTATTTCCAAGTTGAAAACTGCCTTATGCCTTGAGCTTAATGATGAGACGGGTCATTTTCTTGTGCAACAGAAGTCGGTGTATTATTATCAAGAAAAAAAAATTCCGTGTATAGTTTATGGATCTACAGCTTCTCTCCAATCATGATTTCGGCCGGTCTGTTTTGTGTCTATTCCCTCATTGTTTTTGCTTACCGAGAAATCCCCCAGGAAGCTGATTTTATACCCACTTGGCTCCCACTTTTTCAGACAAATGAACCAGACAAATGAACCAGACAAATGAACCAGACAAATGAACCAAGTAGAAAATATATTTAACAGATAGCAGCTGCTCTACCACTATTCCAATTCTCTTCTCTTCTCTTCCCATAGCCCTGAAGTGATCACGTATGACGTACAAATTAAATCATGGCCACAAAAAGTCAACCCGGAACCGCAAGTTTCATAATGATCGCGATTCGCATCCCTTCATATAAATATCTTTCTCCCCCAACATGGCCTTTCGTGATAAGCGAGTCGTCCTCGTGGGTGGTGGTCTCGGTGGCCTTGCTTTCATGAACGTTGCCCTTGCTTGTGGTATGAAAGACGTTCAGCTTTTCGAACAGGCCCGTGAGCACGGTGAGTCTGGCGCTGGTGTAGACGTGACAGCTAATGCAAACCGAATTCTTGACGTGTTTGGCCTAAAAGGGTCGTTATTGCGTTGCTCTTCTCCTAAGCTGCCTTACTTCATGCAGTATCACAACTACAAGTCTGGCGATTATCTGGGCCACATCGAAGAAGCACACGAACCTCATGCTCGTTTAATTCACCGCGGTCACCTATTGGAAGCGCTTCGAGAGTTCATACCGAACGAGCTGCTGAACTACCATAAGCGTCTGTCGTCTATCCAACGTAACAACAGCTCCGACTCTGCGCCGTACACTCTACATTTCAAGGACGGGACAACCATCGATGCTGACATTGTGATTGGTTGCGATGGCATTAAGTCCGCAGTACGTCGGGAGATCGGAATAGGCGATTCACCAAATTATTCTGGCCAGGTTGTATATCGCGGTTATATCGACTACAAGGACTTACCCGAGGATACTGCAAATCTCCTTCGAAACGTCGTCAATTTTCGGGGCCGCCAGCGCCACATTATATGTCTTCCTATTGGCAACCAACCCACGAAGACTGACAGGATCGGCTTCATTGGATTTATGACGGAGCCGCTCGAGAATTGGGATTCCGAGAACTGGGTATCTCGATCTGAAATCAGCACACTTCATGAACATCTTCACGATTGGTGTCCACAAGTGCAGCAACTTATACATGGTTTAAGGGAGACCTCATCAGACGGTTCCATGATGAAGCAGGCTCTTTACGTCCGAGAGCCAGTTGATAAATGGTACGAGATAAAAGACTGCGTGGATTCCGGTGTCGTTCTTCTAGGAGACGCAGTTCACTCGACTCTTCCCCACCAGGGTGAGTAGGTCCTGGTCGTGTGATTATAAAGTACTGGACTAATCGAACACTATCACACAGGCCAGGGTGTGGCTATGGCTATTGAATCCGGCGTTGCACTAGCTACCATTCTTGCGCACTGGAAAGAGCATGACTTGCAGGCTGCGTTCCAGTTCTATCAAGACCTACGCAAGCCCCGTACCGATAGGATAACAAGGACCAGCTACGAAGCTGGAAAACTGGGTAGTTCAGATGACCCGGATAGTTTCAATGAGAATTTCAACCCCGAGGCTCTGATGGAGCGTATGAAGTGGGTCATGGACTACAATGTGCTTGATGACCTGCAGTCCAAGAACGCTGGATTTATGACTTTTGAAGGTTCTCCGCTCGCAGAAAAGTAGAGTCTCAGCAGCGCCTATATCTCGAATATTTCAATGATCTAAAGCGAAGCTGAATGAGGCTATCGAGAAGAAATTTTGGTCGAAGTCCCACCCGAGAAAGGGAATTAAGTACATACCACGTACTGAGTAATAAGACTATAGACAACGGAATATTATACTTGAAAGAGCCATGCAGACAGGGATGCCAATACGGTTCTTTCAAGCATTCTCGAATGATCATATTTGCCTCCCCTTGCTCGGTAATGTGGGTCGGATAAGCTCTCCTGTGCCCCTCATCTTCGGTACTTATGTAGCGGTCCCACCAGGATAGACCAGCAGCTCCTCATCCCCGATGAAGCAAGCAACACCGAATTGTTTCGGGGCGCTCCCGACAACCACGCCCTACTGGCAGTTCACGGCTGGGGTACAGCCATCCAAACTTATATTTGATGTTCTGAGGCTGTAGGACCGAGGCACCCCCATGCCGCTCATTTTCCTATGGCAGCTATGTGGTGTGCGGATTGGTAGCAGGATGCAGATGCCCCCACGCCTCCTCATCAGGCTCGGTGTTGTGTCCGAGGGTGGAATGCCACCGATCCCGCAGCTTCTCCAGGCTCTCCTACTTTATCACCGAATCGGTTTCCGGATTCCGCAGCTTCCCCTCATTTTGCCAATTGTCTAATGGTCCTTAATTCTTCCCTTCTCCCCCATTTTTCCAAACTCATTGTTCTAATTTGTGACTTTCAAGCTTTATCGACCATTCAGAACACAGCAGGCAATCATGCAAGTAGACCCGTTCTGATTACATGGGTCCTTGCTATATCATTTAACTAATGGCAGCATAGGGTCTATACTGCGTCTTTCGCCTTCTTCGAAGCTCTCTGGGAGGTATGTAACATACCAAAACTAAGTATGACTCGTCATTTCGGAGAACTAACAAGCAAACTCGACATTTGTCTAGGGCGGCGTTACTCATGTTTTTGTGAATCTGGGCTCAGACCATCCCTCGATCCTCGAGGCCATGGTGAAAGGCCAGAAAGAAAAGAGAGATCAATTCCCGACAATCATCACCTGTCCCAATGAGGTGAGTTCCTAATTGCGCCATTGAAAGCCCGGTGCAGACACACCAGCGCTGTGCCCCGCCTCCTTCGGTTACTCTCGGAAGTACGAGCCCACACTGATATGCGGATTAGATGGTAGCCCTTTCTATGGCCGATGGATACGCTCGTCTAACTGGCAAACCGCAAGCTGTCATTGTGCATGTGGATGTGGGAACCCAAGGACTGGGAGCTGCCGTCCACAACGCTTCGTGTGGGCGTGCACCGGTCTTGATTTTCGCGGGACTCTCCCCGTATACCATTGAAGGCGAGACTCGTGGATCGCGAACGGAATATATCCACTGGATTCAGGATGTCCCGGATCAGAAGCAGATCGTGGCCCAATACTGCCGATATGCGGGCGAGATCAAGTCCGGGAAGAATGTGAAGCAAATGGTCAATCGAGCCCTGCAATTTGCGACGAGTGACCCCCAGGGACCGGTTTATTTGGTCGGTGCTCGCGAGGTCATGGAGGAAGATATCGAGCCATATCAACTCAACCAGCAGGTCTGGGGCCGGGTGAGACCAGCTGCTCTGCCCCCAGCTGGGATTGAGCTCATCGTGTCCGAGCTCACAGCAGCCAAGAACCCGTTGGTCATTGTTGGGTATACTGGACGCCAGTCACAGTCCGTGACAGAACTAGTTACTTTGGCCAATAACTTCAAGGGAGTGAGGGTTCTGGATACTGGCGGCAGTGACATGTGCTTCCCAGCCAATCACCCGGCATGGCTGGGTTTGCGATACCCTGGTCATGAGCTGGTGAAGACTGCCGACTTTATCTTGGTGATTGATTGTGATGTGCCCTGGGTTCCGACGCAGTTCAAACCGTCCGACTCTGCCAAAATTGTCCACATTGATGTAGATCCGTTGAAACAACAGATTCCAGTCTTTTACATCCCATCGATGGCAACTTTCCGAGCGGATTCTGCTACGGCACTGAAGCAAATTAACGAGCATGTCGCGGTGAACAGCTCGGTCCAACAATTCATTGGTTCTAAAGAGAATTACACAATGAGCCAGCGCCGCGATGAAGAGTATCGTCAGCGTCGGAAAGAAATTGCTGATTTGGCTGTTGTTCCAGAGGGTGGAGATAGCGCTCCTCTAAACGTTTCGTACATGATGGCCCAGGTTCGCAAGGGAACCCCAGCCGATACAATCTGGGCGATCGAATCTGTGACGCTTACCCACCAGGTATCAGATCAAATCTCCGCAACTCTCCCGAACTCTTGGATCAACTGTGGCGGCGGTGGCTTGGGCTGGTCCGGTGGTGGTGCACTCGGAATCAAGCTCGCATCGGACGCACAGCACGGTGGTAAAGGCAAGGGCAAATTCGTTGTGCAGGTAGTCGGAGACGGGACGTTCCTATTTTCTGTTCCTGGATCGGTCTACTGGATCTCTCGCCGGTATGGAATCCCTGTTCTAACCATTGTATTGAACAACAAGGGCTGGAATGCGCCGCGCCGAAGTATGCTGCTCGTTCACCCGAACGGTGATGGATCTCGTGCTACCAACGAAGACCTCAACATCTCTTTTGCTCCCACCCCGGACTACCCCGGAATAGCAAAGGCGGCCGCAGGTGGGGAGCTCTGGGCTGGCCGAGCTTCGACTGTTGCGGAATTGGCGCAGAAACTACCTGAAGCGATCCAGAGTGTGCTGGATGGCAAGAGCGCGGTCTTGGAGGCTCAGCTGGATGGCACGGTGGGAAAGTACGTAGAGCGAGCGTCACACCTTTAAGAAGCGGACTTAGGCCCGCAAGAATTGTTTTTATTTAAAACTCATGAATAGAGAGGTTTTATCCGCGCATCCAGAGTAACGTGTATAGTCCGAGTTGTCCGAGCAATCCGACTGCATTAAGCTTATCGCGCCGATGCCGGCGATAGCCTTATCTACGCGGGGCTCGCTGTTTTCAACATACAGTATCACACAGCATACACCGCCAATTCGCCGTGTTTAAGGAGCGAATTGCCGTATCATTTGGTATCATTACCCCGCCGTCTCTTTTACGCCCTACGCCCTATAATTGACGAGGTCGTAGATGCGATCGCTCCTTTGTCCACCAGCAACGTCCAAGCGCAGAGAGCATTAGATAACAGAAATTCATACCGCGAATGAAAGCCCGACTCCTCATCTCAAAGGTTCTACAAATCTGGGTTATGCGGACTGCATTGATGAGTCATGTGCTCCCCATCGGAACCGTGCTGCCGGGTGGATATCGCTGCTGTAAATTCCGCCGTGGATTCAATAATTCGCCTCCACTACCGCCCCAACTCTGGCGTCACTTTTTTCTCCTCTTTGCAACTCTGTACTATCCAGGTACCCGAGGCCCGTATTCCATATAAAGCCAAGTCAGCTCTGCCACGTCCGTACCCAAACGAACTCACCTCACGCCGCCCTCGCACACACCGATATACACCGGAGCCCACCTATCCCACCCACGCCCTTTCACAATGAGCCCACCCGCCCCGTTGGAGGTTGATATGGTGGGGGTCACCGATACCTCGGCCGTGCCTATTCCTGATCCGTTGACTGTCAATGGCGTCGCGGGCTGGCGCCAGAAGATGGCTCAGATGCCCACCGGAATTGCTGCGGCGTGCAGTAGCGATATGTTCAAGAGCCCGGTATGACAATGGTTGATTTAAGGAGCTCTAGGTTCACGAAACTGATATGGGATTGTCTCGGAGCGATAGGCTTGCTATACCAAGCCTAAAGCGAAGCGTTTTGACCGTAAGTCTGGGATATAGGTCGTGTTACAAAGACAATTCTGATCCAATGGCGCATAGATCACTTGTCAATTGAGGCCAAGTCTCGCAAGGTATGTACCCATAAATTTCTCATGAATTGCCAATTGATTCTTCGTGTTAATGCTATTACCAGGCCTCCACGCTTAAGACTGCCGCTCGTTTCCTGAAGAACCCAGGTATGATTGATTGAACGACCCCCTGCGCAAAATGCTTTGACGCATCCTCACCTTTACAGGCATGATCTCCCTTGGCGGTGGCCTCCCTTCTCCCGAATACTTCCCATTTGAGCACCTAGACGTCAAAGTACCCAACCCTCCTGGATTCTCTCCCGAGGCCACTCAAAAGTCTGGCTCCACTTTGCGCGCTGGAAAGCATGATATCCAGGAAGGTTCTAGCCTGTACGGTACGTTTATATCCTGTCTTCTATCGTCAACTTGTTGGCTTCAAAGACTGATGTCACTTATCTATAGACCTCGAAATCGCGCTTAACTATGGCCAGGCTACTGGCGCAGCCCAGCTTCTCCGCTTTATCACTGAACACACGGAGGTATTTCTTACGAATAAGCCCGGAATGTTTTGGTAGAGACTAATTATAACAGATTATCCACAATCCTCCTTACTCCGACTGGCAATGCACGATGACTGCTGGCAGCACTTATGCTTGGGATACAGCTCTCCGTTTGCTGACCGAGCGAGGTGATTACATTATTATGGAAGAATACACCTTCGCGAGCGCCGCGGAGACAGCTTTCCCCTTGGGACTCAAAGCACTCGGTATCCCCATTGACGAGGAGGGCCTCATCCCAGAGGCGATGGACGAGCTTCTCACCAACTGGGACGAGAAAGCCCGAGGCGCACGCAAGCCCTATGTGCTGTACACAATCCCGACGGGCCAGAACCCTACTGGCGCCACTCAATCTGCGGAACGACGCAAGGCAGTTTACAAGGTTGCACAGAAGCATGATATCTACATCGTTGAGGATGAGCCCTATTATTTCTTGCAGATGCAGCCCTATGTTGGCCAGGGTGCTGCGACACCGCCCCCTCCTGCCAACCACGGAGAGTTCATTAAGTCCCTTGTGCCGTCTTTCTTGAGTTTGGACGTTGACGGCCGTGTGTGTCGATTGGAGTCTTTCTCGAAGGTCGTTGCCCCAGGTACCCGTGTTGGATGGATTGTTGCGTCTGAGCAGATGGTCGAACGCTTCATTCGTAACTTTGAGGTCTCTTCGCAAAACCCCAGTGGTATCTCGCAGATAGTCCTTTTCAAGCTCCTCGATGAACACTGGGGCCACTCTGGATATTTGGACTGGCTCATTAATTTGCGTATGCAGTACACTAACCGCCGTGACGCTTTGCTTCACTCTTGCGAGAAGCACCTTCCTACTGAGATTGCCCACTGGGTGGCTCCTGCGGCAGGCATGTTCGTACGTCTCCCATTTGCCTCCATAAATACTAATCATTGGTCCTTACTAACGACTATTCAGCACTGGATCGAAATTGACTGGCACAAGCACCCTGGAGTTGCAGCGGGTAAGAGCCGCGAAGAGATTGAAGAAGAAATTTTCCTGGGCGCCGTCGATCATCAAGTCCTTTTGTCTCGTGGCAGCTGGTTTAAGGCTGACAGCGAGGCGGTTATGGACAAGATGTTCTTCCGTGCCACCTATGCTGCTGCCTCTTCTGAGAAGATTGATGAGGCCATTGCTCGATTCGCGGAGTGCCTCCGGGAGCAATTCAAGCTCTAAATACTTTATACCCCTCGAAAGTTCTCTTGGATTGGTTTTGCGTTTCGGAAGGTGATTTATCATTTCCAGCCCGCATACATGCCTATAGAAGTTCGGCATAGAATCTTTAGATTGTGAGAGGCATCAGTGGTCCTTAAATTATTTGCAACTAATTTTTGAGCTCCGTTTCTAGTCCTTGAATAATAGATATGTTACCTTTGGTAGACCTAGTAAAATATCTATTTTAAAATTAGCAGTGTGCAACAAGATAAATATTCCTGGCATAGCACAGAACCCTATTTTTTGCCTTCTTGTACAAAATGAATCATGCATCAAATCAACGCGCAGCCATCGCACTTTGTCGCCTAAGGCATCAACAAAGGCTTCATGTGTCACGTGCCTTCACTTGGCAGGTCTCCACCGCCATTGAACCATTGACCGTTGATGAACACAACGTATGCAATCAGAGGACCTCGCGGAATCGGAACAGATGCGATTCGAGCAAAGTCTCGTAGGGGGGTTTTGACTGTTCAATGCTCATTGTGTGTAAACAGGTCACGAGTGTTGCACAATAGTCGTATCACTCATTGATGCTGCCACCGATCGAACCTGGCACACGTACTCTCTTTTGATTCACTTGGGGTAAGCTGAGTTTTGGCTGTTGGCCTGATATCTGCCACACTCTATAAGCCACGTCTCTCATTCTAACTTTCTGCTTTCATCTTTCGCAAACACCTACTGCTTTTATGTTCCTTTATTGCTCTCTCCACATCTCTTCCGTCCACTTTTTGCTGCCTGCACCTTCCTCTCTCTGCACGCTGAATGTGACTATGAAACGGCAGTATGGCTGACCGCTATCAACAGGACTCACATTCAGTCGACGAACTGCAATTTTCCCCCAGAACCAAGGATTTTCTCCTTCGGTTGCTTGATACTCCGGAGTCTTCTGGACTGCCTGTCTTGCCAAGTCTTCGGCCTCAGCAACAGTCACCTATCAACTTTCATGCCAAAAATCCAGACACCAGTCTCACTCCATTTGCTCTCTTGACGTGAGTACCTCTTAAATCTTGCACCTCTGATTATGTCTACTCACTTCTGTATTGGTCAGTGACCCTGCTGTCCGCTATCAACTTCCCCGGGTTGGACCATTGGATTTAGGCCCCGGAGATAGCGTGCAGACTGATCAGGAGCGATTCTCAGAGGACCAAGATAGCGATTTGTGGTCAACTACTGTCGGTGATTCGAGCACTCTTCTCTCAGAGCTACTTGAACACCTGGAAGAGGAAGCTGCGCAGTCTCCTAAATTCGATACCCAGCCCACCTGGTCTCCTATCCCATCAGGGCCCTCTATTCATTATAGCATCCCTGAGGAATCAGATAGTTTTGTCGGTGATTTGTCTGCGATACCTAGAACTCCAGATCGCCTTACTCCTCCACTGGATGTGAAGACACCTGGTCACACTCTCGGCCAGTCTTACAAGCAGTTTCTTGAAGAACATCCCCTGGATCAGACCTGCGATAGTGACATTCCGGATCTTTTGAACCATAACGATCCTGCTGTACACCTCAGACATAGTTCAACTTCTTGGAAAGGCGAAGGCGGAAACGATCAAACAGCGATTCGCAATCCACGGCCTACTCCAACCACTCCCCGACGCGTTAATCATCAAGTCCCGTCTTCATCATCTTTCATCTCTCCAACTTTCTTTGGCCCGCTTCCGACTCCTTTCGCTCATCGCGAATTTTTAGCTACAACTCCTTCTCGCTCCCTGTCCACATTTTCTCCTACTTCCCCGTCGCCTACTCCACAATCCCGGCGCCTTCTGCAAAAAGGCCTGACACGCCAGTCCCGTTTTCATCTCGGTAAGATCTTCGGGCATCGACGTACCTCCAGCAGACTCTAGATCAGAGTGTGTGATAGGCTTCATTTTGGTTATTTTCAACATCCTTCTCTTAACCACCCCCTGACTCTTCTGACAAACGACATCAGCCAAGATGGATCCACGTGTGTCCCGATTTCTAGACCCGTCGTCTGCTATGGCAGCAATTACCAGACACAAGGCGGAAGCTATAAAATTAGCCCGAGAGCAAGGAGCAGCTGTCAAGGAAATGTGTCGTCGTGCAAAAACGGATGTGCCACCGTATGAGTTCGAAGAGTTGATTGGGAAAGGTGCCTACGGCCGTGTCTACAAGGGTCACGAAATACCATCTGGCCGACTTGTAGCCATCAAAGTTCTAGACATCGATTCTTTAGACTACAAGTCTTTGCGAGATTTTCGGGATGAATCGATCAAGGATTTCATCCACGAAACCAAGGTGATGAAACAAGTGAAGGATTCTGGGGCAAAAAACATCAACGAGCTCATTGAAGCTATTTCTATCCATTCTCAGTTGTGGTTGGTTTGCGAATATTGCCCTGGTGGAAGTGTACGGACTTTGGTGGGTTTATCTCCTTTTTGATAAATTCCAACCTCGACCTGACTCAAAACAGATGCGCGCAACTGGAGACAAACTCGAGGAAAAATTCATTATTCCTATTGCCCGTGAACTCGCAGTGGGTCTACATGCTATTCATGAAGCCGGCATCATCCACCGTGATGTCAAAGGTAAGAATCTTTCAAAAGACTCGTTGAATGCATGCTTATCATTTCTTGTAGCTGCCAATATTCTTGTCCACGAGGAAGGCAGACTTGAGGTTTGTGATTTTGGTGTTGCGGGAATTCTTCAATCACAACGAGACAAACGGTCAACATGGATTGGCACCCCTCACTGGATGCCACCAGAGATGTTTGCAACACGTGGTGAGGCTCATAAATACGGTAGTGAAGTATGTTTTGGGTTCAAAATTTTACTTTTCTGGGTGTCCACTGACTTGAGTAGATTGATGTGTGGGCGTATGGCTGCACATTGTTCGAGTTCGCCACTGGTAACCCACCTAACGCTGGCCTTCGGGAGCGAATGCAGATTGGTCGTCAGCTCAACCGAAGTACACCCAAACTCGATAGCGAGAAGTACAGCCAAGGCTTAAAGGACCTAATTGCATTCGCGCTTGACTCCAATCCAGCTAGTCGACCTACCATGGCTGATATCCTTGCCCATCCCTACATCTCTGGAACCGAAGAAGAATACCCAACGTCGTCTGTGAGTGAGCTTGTGCGCAATTACTACCAATGGTCACAGAGAGGTGGTCAGCGGGTATCATTATTCCATCCTGGAGGTGCAGCCGCAGCAGAATTACCTGGCACCGAGGAGTCAGATGATGATTGGAACTTCAGCACTACAGATGGCTTTGAACGAAGATTCTCAGTCATTGATTTGGATCAAATAGCGGCATCCTTGGCTGAAATGGAAGAGGCCATCAGTCCAACCACTCCGATCCCTGAACACGATTCTAATGAAGACTCATCCGACACTGATATGGACCCTGAACAAAAGGCCAATTTTGATGAGCGGGTGAGAAGAGGTGCAGCAGCAATGGAAGGCCTTTTTGATGAGGGAAAGCCAAGCTACAAATACGAGACCAAGAATGATTTTGTTCCCGTGCAGCCCAGTCAGCCATCTTCAGATCTTCCTCTTCGCACCGAGACGGATAGGTCTTCTGTGACATCTACTTTCATCGATATTGATATAGGGTCGTTTGACTCGTCACATTATGCAGCTGGTGCTCCATCAGCACAACCTTTTCAATTAGCCGATGCCGACACCATCCGTGCAAATCGATCTAGCATTCGGCTACATCGTAACTCAAACGAGAACAGTTCACAGTCGTCTAACAGTGGAGCAGAAGGCGACGAATCGCAGGATGAGAGCTTCAAGCCCCAGTCAGGCCCTCGACCTCCCACTATGGACTGGAAATTCCCCGTGTTTATGCAGCCAGAGGATGAAGAGGCAGATGGGCCAAAAGGGGCTGCAGCACCAGAACCAATTCAAGAGGAGACCTTCCAAGACGAAAAAAGAGCTACTATGGAATGGACGTTTCCCGTCATGTCGAACCAAGCAGACGATACGGACAAAAGTAACACTCAAACCTCGTCAGATCGACATGATACTGTTCGAGCACCAGTTCCTCCGTTATCACGGCAGCCAAGTGACGAGCCTGGTGACTCTCGCCCTTCAACCTCGGCCTCTGACAACTCTTTGATGTCGGATTCCGACTATGATCCTTTTCGCTTCGATCGCCCAACAACCCCTCGCGTTGTATCACCTCAACCGGATTCTTTCAATTCGGATTTCCCAACATTAACCGAGTCGGTCGAAGATGATGATTTTGAGTCCACTGGTGTACTTGATGGACCAGGACCTGACGAGGAGGAATCACATCCGCTGTGGAAAGAACATGCGGATGTGATCTCCGAAGATGATGTCCCACCACTTCCTACTGCCATTCCGGTGCACGACAGCCCGGGAGATGCACCGACACCCGTATCGGAACCAGGATCCCCGGTGTATGAGGATACCTTACAAACAGTTCGGCGAGATGTCATATCCCATGCAATTACAGCAAGGGAAACAGAGCCTGAAGCCATCATATTTCCTAACATCATCCCTCCTAGCGCGGAAAGTCTTCTTGAAGGCGCCGATGACAACACTGTCGCTGCTGAACTACATCGTTTACTCGGTGACTTTCTGGGTGCTCTGTCTGCAACTGGGGAGGCACTGTCAAGAACAAGCTCTGGGTACCCAACAGATCCTGTCACTCAGACAGGAGAGAGAGTTCCATAATTTGACTGTTATAGTATCATTGCGAGGGTTTAGTAATGTTGTTTCGAGGTTTCCAACCCTGCTGCTCACAGATAAAAGAATACTACGAATGTACCAAATGTCAACCCCATTCTATCGCCTTTTGCTTTTTCCAGTAGCCTGTGTTCATTAATGGATGATCTCTGCGATACGCCAACTGCAAATGTTACACAAAATTCACCCCAACACGGCTCTAGCTAGGCGCTGAGTCCTTCACTCCATGAACATGAAGCTTGGATCCGCCCGAATCCATACAAATTCCCCCTGATAGGCAGTAAATAGAAATGGGTTGTGATAGGTAAGGCTTGAATGCTCTAACATGTGAGGAAAACATTTGAGGATAAACGCGACATGTGCATCCATTTCTCATTTGAACGCGTTCAGCTCAGGGCGATAGTCATGTTTTGATCCCCACACTTCTCTCATTCACAAATACAACAAGTCCTGTGCCTCAACATATCTCTTTCCCTCGTCCTTCCTCTCTCTCTGCCCAACCATCCTTCACTCTTTATTCTTCCTTCTTCCCCTCTTCCTCTGGGTAGCGTATACATGATGCTGGGAGGCTTTTCAAGCAAGAACCCCGCGGCATCTTTCACCTTTCCTTCTACTCCCCCGCCCCCTCGGACCCGAGAGGAGTGGGAGAGAGTGCTAATTGGGGTCAAACACCTCTACCTTCAACGACAGTACAAGCAATGTGCCTTGCGTGCTGCAGAGATCTCGAACTCTGCCAGGAAACCAGTCTGTATTCTACCTGCCCGGCTACTTGCAAGACTTCGGGACTAATTACTTGATTCCAGATTCATCCAATCTACCAGGTCTTCCTCAGCTTCTATTCCGCCATATCATACGAGTTTCTTGGCCAAGCTGCTCACCCCTATTCCAGCAACAAGGTCTCATTCCTTTATCTAGCTTTGGATCATTTTCTCGACTGCAGTGCAGCGTTGCCTGCTCCTATTCCTCTTCCCAAACTACCCAGTGGCTATGAAAGCCCTACTGCAACACCCTCGCCGGTGTCGCCCCAGACTCCCGGGAGCAGCCTTGTTGCGTTCGACACTGTCCAGCGTCGGCTTCCCATATCAGAGGAGCTTGTTCATAGTATCTCACGGATGATTGACGTCTCTCTTGGCACGGATGATGACCCATTTATTTCAGATCATGAGACGGAGAATCGAACACCATTTATGATCTCTTTGACCCAGCCTGTTCATCATCCTAGAAGTCCCATAAAGGAGAATCCGCTTTTTCGGGTCATGATCTCTCCCGACAAGGCTTGCAAGGACACCAGAGACCCGGTGAAGAAAGATCCCCTTATGCCCTCTCCGCTCCGCATTCACAAGTCTTCCGGGGACTCGAGTTCATGTGCGATGAAAACTCCAGAACGCAAGGAAACTTCCAAAGAAGCCATGGCGAGACCCCGGCCTCCGCCTTTGCCGTTGCAAGTAATCCCGACTAGTCGCCTGAATATCAATCGGTCGAAACCAAAGCGGCCTACACTCTCTCTATGAAACCAAATCTTGTTCCAACTCACAATCACGTCACCGAGTCGTTTTCCACAAGGTCATCTCGCAACAAAAGCAGACCTGTTGATGGGCTTACAGAGGCTATATCTCCCCGCCGTGCAGCCCAGATCGTACGATTCAACCGAGGGGTTGGGTTTCTCCAGTCTCAAGTGGCCACGAACATTACCGAGATCCAGGAACATGCCGACCACATTACTGAGATTCAACGCTCCCGCCGCGCGCGCAAAATTCAACGTGTGGCCTCGTTCTGGAGTTTTTCCCCAATCAAAAGCACCCAAAATACCGAGATCAAACATGAGCATGATCCGGTAGTTGATCAATTTGGGAATATCTTGGTGAGTGAGACCAAAGAACAGCGAATTGCGCGCCTCCGATCCGAGGGGTGGAACACTGTCGGACTGCGGTCTCCACGAAGTACCTGGAAAGGTGCCCGCTACTACCAAGAGTTTTGCAGTATGGTTTTGAATGAACTTGATCTGGATCAATGAGGAGCTGGTCCTGGGGGAGGGACGTCTTTTCGATTGAGCTATTGTCATGATATTGGATTTGTCATTGTTGACCTGGGCATTTATATGGTGACTACTTTTGAAGGGTTCAAGTCGAAAAGTGGCGAGTCTTCTCATGTGTGATTAGTTGAGTCATGCTAATGTACAAGGCATGTCATAATATTCCCTCGGGGTTCCTTCCTTGGTAGTATCCGTATCGCTTCGCTGGTCTGTTCCCTCCGGCCTTCGATCTGGCCGCCGTGGGGACTGATCCTCATAGTGAAATTTCAAGCCCGTCGATGCTCAGAGTCCCTTGCTCACAGCGGAGCCTAGCCCCTCGCCCAGACCCCCTTTGCCGAAGAGGCCACCCAGTTGGTTACCCATTTGGTCTTGGATCTTGCTGAGGTTCTGGTCTTCTGTGAGTTTCTTGCCGGTCAGACTTTCTATGCAGAGGTAACCAGATTTGTTAGCTCTCTGTATTTCTATTTTGGGGCCAGGAAGTCACAACGAAAGCCTTCTAGCTTCTATTCATAAGAATGTTAGCTTACTTTTTAATCCATAGGACACTTTTGTCTCTCCCATGGCATCCAGGATGATTTCTTGACATTTCTTTTGGTATGGATCCAGGGTTCCTGAGACCCAAGCCCCAAACAGGAGCACTTGCAGGGCGAGGTATAACAGAAATTGAAACATGGTGAAAAAGACGTGTTTCCAGACGAAGAGAATATAGATATCGAGATGTTTGGGGGACCCGACTTTGGGTTGACGTACAGCTCTATATGTATGTTGTAGTCGGGCCCTACAAGCCTATGACGTGCAGGGCGTAGAATATGACGCTGCAGTGGAACACAGGCCGTTTCGGTGGGGCCATGCACTCAAATCTACTATCCGGGGGGGGGGGGGGGGGGGAACCAGGCCAATATTAACTATGACGGCGCCAGCCATCAGCCGTTGGCCAATGGTTCCAATGTCTATGGCGCGCAGAAAGAAAGGGAGCTTTGGGTTCGATATCCATGGGTCTGGTCTAGACGCAACCAGAGCAGGCCGATCCCGAGATCTACAAAAGCTTAGGCAAATCCTCGCTATGTTGGAAGTGGGCTGTGGGAAAGCCGTACAGAGTATATACATCGTTGCATTTCATCACATCCACCATCCATTAGATCGGTGACAAGGCGCTTGGGTTTACATTGGAATCATTTCCTTGGTCTGAAAGGGTCAACAGGAGAGACGTCAAATTTCTCCGACCGTTGGTTTTCAGGCAACGATGCCCTTGTTTGATACTCCGACGCTTGTAAAGCCCTCCCGCTCGGGCGCTTGCTCCTCCTTGGATCTGACTTGCCTTGCTCTCATTTCGACCCCATTGAAGATGGAAGCGACGCATTGATCCGAACACCCATCAAATCCAGGGGGTGGCCCCCAAACATCGCCTGGAGTCCGTTCAGCTCTGTGGCGGTGCACAGCCGTTCCGGGGGTGAATGGCGCGGTACACGCACGCCAAGGGCCCACTAAACCCTACGGCCCCAAATCGCCCTTATCGCGCGCCTAGAACTCCTGATCACCTCCCTCCTCTTTCTCTCCCCAATTCTCCTCCCTGTTGGTCTTGGGAGATTTCCCAGGTTCTCATTATTTTCGGTGCAACTCGGCTCTTTATCGACTCTCCGGAGTTCTGGCTCCCCTCCTCATCTAGTATCATTTCCCCCTCTCCTCCCCCGATTGCGATAGGCTGTGTGGGCTGAGAGCCAGCCCACTCGTCCCCGCCAGGTCGGCGGCTGAGATCTGTTTTTTTTCCTTGCTGACGCTTCAAATCTTCCCAGTTCTCCTCTCCTCTGAATATCTCTCCAACGGTCTCTATATCAACCCAAGCTCGTCTGTCACGCGCTTCCCTTGCTGCCGACGCCGCCTTCCTCCTCTCCGTTGCGGGGTTGACCAGCCCACTCTTGGTACCTGACGGGTCTTCCGCCCAGCAAGCCCTTTCGTATACCGCCTCGAATTGGTCTAGGGTTGCTGCAGCCCTATTCCCACCCACATCATGAGTTGTGAGTCGATTTTCTTTCCTGCGATCTCGATTTCGATTGTCCTACACCTCCCGAGGTCGATGATGTCTCGGATCTCGACTGCTCCCTTTTGTTGTGCTTGTTTCAGCTTGGTCCGCATGTCAATATTCCAATCTACTTGGTGTAATTCTTGGTCGTAATGTTTTCGAGTTCTATATGCATGCTCTTCTTGCCCGCGGCCAGTCTTCTTGCGATTGTCGCGCTGGTCACGCTCTACTCCGATGGTCTGGTCCTCAATGCGTATACATTGCCTGTCTTTTCATCTCATTCACTTTGACTACCGCTTAAATTTGGACTCCGTACGGCCAAGCATACTGACTCGCTCCAGTTGCAAACATGCTAAACAAGCTGTCTGGGCAGCCAGAGAGCTACGAGAAGAAGTATGTTATCTCTCTCTGCCTCACTTGACATCCATTGACCCCTTTCTAGGGCCCTCTATAAGTTCGGTCGAACGCTCGGCGCGGGCACATATGGCATTGTTCGCGAAGCAGAGTCCAACACTGGTGAAAAGGTCGCAGTCAAGATCATCCTGAAGAAAAATGTCCGTGGAAATGAGAGCATGGTCTATGATGAGCTGGAGATGTTGCAGAAGCTCAAACACCCTCATATTGTCTCGTTTGTGGATTGGTTTGAGTCCAAGGTAAGCGTCCTCCAGAAAACCATGCTTCTGCTACAGGATGCCTAATGGCAACCCAGGACAAATTCTATATTGTCACACAACTAGCTACGGGTGGCGAACTATTCGATCGGATTTGCGAGTATGGAAAGTTCACTGAAAAAGATGCGTCGCAAACCATTCGCCAGGTGCTTGACGCTGTCAACTATCTGCACCACCGAAATATCGTTCATCGAGGTCAGACCCTCACATTTGCAACCTAGGATTGTGGTATGCTAATTCATAGATAGACCTCAAGCCCGAGAATCTTCTTTATCTCACACGTGCCGCCGACTCTGAATTAGTTCTGGCAGACTTTGGCATTGCCAAGATGTTGGAGAGTCCCTCCGAAGTCCTTACCAGCATGGCGGGTTCCTTTGGGTATGCCGCTCCCGAGGTCATGCTTAAGAAGGGCCACGGCAAGGCTGTCGACATGTGGTCGTTGGGTGTGATCACTTATACACTCCTGTGTGGCTATTCTCCCTTCCGCTCCGAGAATCTGACCGACTTGATCGAAGAATGTCGCGCGGGCCGCATCATCTTCCACGAGCGTTACTGGAAGGATGTCTCCCAAGATGCCAAAGATTTCATCCTCACTCTCCTCCAGCCAGACCCCAGCAAACGAGTCAGCTCTGATGAGGCTCTTAAGCATGACTGGCTGACTGGTGAATCTGCCAGCGACCGTGATCTGCTGCCCGAGATTCGCGCCTACATTGCGCGTGCTCGTCTCAGACGTGGAATCGAGATTGTCAAGCTTGCCAACCGGATTGAACAACTTAAGATGCATGACGAAGAGGAAGGCGAAGATATTCCCAGCGCAGTCGATATGGCGGGGTCCTCTGGAACTTCAGTCGCAGATGATGAGAATGGCACCGCTCCTACTACGAAGAAGCGCAGTCTCAGCAAGGTTGCTCGTGGTGCTATATTCCGAGAAGTTGTTCTAGCCAAGGTGCGCGAGGCCAAGGAAAATGAGGAGCGGGAAAAGATGGAGCGTGAGGCTCGTGAGAAGACTCATACCTAACTTGTTTCATCGCTTTTTTTTCTCTCTCTTCCTCTTTTGATGCCGGTTGATGCCCTATAATTCCCCCCTTATTTTGGATATAGTCGTGTGATTCCCCACAGTCAATGCGGCCTGCACATAGCCCATCAATTCTATCTATATTTTTTTCTCATTCGGAATAAATTATCATGTCGCAGTTGATGTGGCCCTCATTTAATGCTTTGCCGATCGAGCAGTGTTATCACGTGCAGTGGAAGCCCAATCTTATCTTCCCCGCAGGTTGCATCACCCAACGGTGCTTTCTGTACCACTTCTCCTTCCTTCATTCTCGTCCCCACCGCATCTCTCGGGTCCTCTATTGCGGAGGGTGCGCCGGAAGAAGCATAACCCATTATACACCCTGTTTTCCTGTTTGAGAAGATCGCTTGCATCATTTTGAGTTATCCTGGTCTTTCGAAGTTTTTGGTTGTCGCGGTCACTCCTCTTAGACCAGGAACAAAAGTGATCACAAATCACAACATGTTCGCCAATAGACGTTTAGGCAAGGTGAGAGCTCATCGCAGAACAATTTGAATGCTATTCTGGGACAATCATTATCTAACACCTCGATTCGCAATATACAGGAACTCATCAAGGTACTTACTGCTTCTTTACCCGGTCCTTTCCCAGTCCCCATTTGCTATATTTCAATTTCAACACACTTGGTTATAACTTCGGCAATTTGGAGAACACAAACCTTCGGATATCAAAACTCCCGTGTTCCGATCTGACATTTCCATGTTGCACCCCAGCTGCAAGAGCACGTTCCACCAGGAATCTCCATTGCCAAGTCGGACAATCTCGAGGAATGGCAGATGGATATCAAAGTCCTTGATGACAATCCAATATACAAAGACCAGACCTATCGACTGAAGTTTACTTTCGGGAGTAAATATCCAATTGGTAACATCCGTTGTCCCATCTCTTTATTGTCACTCGGACTAAAGGCTTCCAGAACCTCCCGAGGTCCAGTTCATCGAGTGCCCTTCTTCCTCCGACACACCCCGTCCAATCCCTATGCATCCTCATATCTACAGCAACGGTATCATTTGTCTTGACCTGTTAAGCTCCTCGGGGTGGTCTCCAGTGCAGACCGTGGAGAGCGTCTGCATGAGCATCCAGAGTATGCTGACCGCAAACTCTCGAGATGAGCGCCCACCCGGCGACAGCGAGTTTGTTGCATATAATCGTCGCCGAATCCGAGATATCCCGTTCGTCTACGAGGATGATAATGTATGAGGCAACACGGAGGGGGATTTTGAACGGCTGATGGGGAAGATTTGAAGGGGGCTAGGCCCTTGCATGTCTTACCAACCTTTCTCCCTCTTTCTTTCTCCTTCACTCTGCATTGGTTCTGGCGTTATGTTGACATGACTTTTCGGGTTTACCTGGTATGGAGCTGGATGGGGTACAAATGCGTTCTCAGCGGTTTAACTAGTTTTCTTTGATGGGTTTTGAGGCGCACTTCTATGTGTAGGATTAGTCGTACACCAATTGGCCGTCCGCGCCTGATGAATTATGTCGCAACGGAGAGCCTTCAATTGAATTGTTTTGTATGAAACAAAAGCTGTGCTTGTCATTTGGCTCGTTAAGAGGCCGCAAAGTCTCAAAGCGATCTCAAAGTCGGCTCTATAGACATATAATTACTTCTATGATTGGAGGTTTTACGAACGTAAGACTAATTTTGGAGCCGAAAAAGAATGTCTCAGAAGAATCAGATGTTCACTATACACAGGGGCTTATGAGAGGAAGGGGGCAGAATAGAAAGAGACAAAGGAGAAGGACAAGACATAATAGAACAACGCCATGAGAAGAAAACATGGGAGAATTTGGTACACCTGGGTTAGAGTCGAGGGGTCCAATGGTTTATCATTGAGAGGATGGGAGCTGTCCTCTCTGATTTTTAGCCCGCATCTTGGCACAGATGCCGTCTAAAAGGGGGCCATTTCGAAGTCTTCTTCCTTTTTTTCAGATTTTTATATTATTGCGTTGTAGACGTGCGTTTACCGATCAACCTCACCGAACACAAGATCCATGGTACCTAAGGAAAGATCAAAATTAGCTATATCCTGTCGAGAATAATGAAGATAATCACTCACCAATGATGGCAACGGCATCAGCCAAAAGGTGGCCACGAGACACCTGATCAAAGCCACCCAAATGGGCGAATCCGGGCGCACGGATCTTGCAGCGGTAAGGCCGCTCACTGCCGTCGCTGACCAGGAAAACACCCATCTCACCCTTGGGGGCCTCAATGGCGGAGTAGGTCTCACCTGGGGGCACAGAGTAACCCTTGGTGAAGAGAAGGAAGTGGTGGATCAGAGCCTCCATGTTTTCCTTCATGGCAGCACGGGGAGGAGGAGAAATCTTGTAGTCTTCCACGCGGACGGGACCGGCGGGCATCTTGTTCAAGCACTGGTGAATGATGCGGAGGGACTGGCGGAATTCCTCCATACGGCACAGGTAACGGTCGTAGCAGTCACCATTGACACCAACGGGAACATCGAACTCCACCTGGTCGTAGGCATCATAAGGCTGCGACTTACGGATATCCCACGGGACACCGGATCCACGGAGCATGACACCAGTGAAACTCATGTTCAAGGCATCAGTGGCGTTGACAACACCGACACCCTGGGTTCTGGCCTTCCAGATACGGTTATCTGTCAACAGCTCCTCGGTCTCGTCGATACGGTCACCAAACTGGGTGGCCCACTGATAAATATCGTCAAGGAGACCGAGGGGAATATCCTGGGATACACCACCCGGACGAACGTAGGCAGCGTGAAGACGGGCACCGGAAACACGCTCGTAGAATTCCTGGAACACAAACAAAGCATTAGCAACTTTTGCCTATCACGTTTTCCGAGGGAATGTAGTTAGCTCGGCGACTTACCATGAGCTTCTCACGCTCCTCGAAACCCCACAGGAAGGGAGTCAGAGCGCCAACGTCCATGGCATGGGAGAGGACAGACATCAGATGGTTCAGGATACGAGTGAGCTCTCCGAACAAGGTTCGGATCCACTTGGCACGATCAGGGATCTCAACATTCAGCAGCTTCTCAACAGCCAGGGCAAAGCACTGCTCATTGGTCATCATGGAGACGTAGTCGAGTCGGTCAAAGTAGGGCAGGGCCTGCATATAGGTCTTGTACTCGATCAACTTCTCGGTACCACGGTGAAGCAGGCCAACATGAGGATCGGCGCGAACGATCTCCTCGCCATTGAGTTCCAGAATCAATCGGAGCACACCGTGGGCAGCAGGATGCTGAGGACCGAAGTTGACAGTGTAGTGACGGATCTTGCGGTCAATGCCTTCGGCTTCGGATTCAAGAGCACTAGCCTCCGGGTCCTCGGGGGACCCCTTGTTGGCAAAGTGGGTGAAGGTCGGGTCGGTCGGAATCAGTCTGGTGGCTTGGTAGCTGGTCGCCTCGGCCTGTCGACGAGAGACAGTAGTGGCTATGGAGCGAGAACGGGGCACAGATGTGTTAAGGATAGTGGAGGGGCGGAGACAGAGTCTTTTGGGCGCATTGCCCGCGAGGCGGGCGAAGGAGGCGGCCATGAGGGAATTGAGAGGAGAGGTTCGAGGAAGAGGAAGAAAGACGGCTGGTCCTCAGTCCAGACGCATTCAATGGCTGGGTGGAGAGTGGGCTCGCTGCGGGAAGGGAAGCCTGCAGTTTGAAGACAAAGATGAGGTCGCGCTCCATTTTGGCTAGTCACGTGGAGGAGCTGCCCGGTCATCAAGCGACCGCTGGTTGGCCGGTGGGTCTGACTAAAATGTACCTACACCAATGCACAGCTAGTCCTATTTAGGATTAGAGATGGACCGTAGTCGGCCAATAATTACCTAATCAGTGCATTCTCAGTCACGGAATAGACGGCTCATATTTCTGCCTTAGGCAGTCAAGAAAATACTTCGAGAAATTATTCTTATCGCAAATCGTTGACCTTCACCTTTACCTTCACCTCTCTCCAGCCTGCTCACTATGGCGCCTCTTGTTCCATCGCAAGGGGAGCTGCAGCGCCGCCGTGTAAGAAGAAATATTGCCTTCAACATTTTCCCCTGCTAATAATTTCCAGATTATCGGTATCAACGCAGAGACTGTCACCAACATCCCCTCGACAGATTTCCCCGGTCATTGGCCCGGAGAATCGCACGCTTGGGCACTTGATCAGTTCAAGGACGTAAGTATTCAAAATTTTCCAATTGAAAAAAAATGCTGGATCCCTTGGACTCACTTGAATTGGTTGGCAGAGTTTCAAAGTTGAATACCACCGCAATGACCCTTACGAAGCCTCGTTCTCACTGATCGGACTTGACGCCGCGGTCGCCAATGCCTTCCGCCGCATTTTGATGGCTGAGATTCCGACTCTGGCTATTGAATATGTTTTCGTCCACAATAACACCTCTGTCATTCAAGATGAGGTGCTCGCATCCCGCCTGGGTCTGATTCCGCTAAAGGGCTCTGTGGAAGGAATCAACTGGATGCACTGGTTCCGGAAGCCTTCGGAGGACGATGATGGGCCTGCACCCCCTGGTCCCAGTGACTTCAATACTGTTGTCATGCACCTCGAAGTTGAGTGCACCAAGAATCCCGACGCCGCCGATGACGAAACCGACCCGCGCAAGCTTTACCACAACGCTCACGTCTATGCCAAGGACATCACGTTCGCTCCTGTTGGTCGTCAGGAACAATTCTTCGTCGGCGATGGTGCCATCCAGCCTGTTAATCCGGATATTCTAATTGCTAAGCTTCGTCCCGGCCAGAAAATCGACATGGAGCTGCATTGTATCAAGGGTATTGGAGCGGACCATGCCAAGTTCTCGCCCGTTGCGACCGCCTCCTATCGACTTATGCCCGATATCAACATTCTGCGTCCCATTATTGGCGAAGACGCTAAGAAGTTTTCCAAATGTTTCCCCAAGGGCGTCATTGGCCTTGAGACTGTGACTGCCGAGGAGGCCGCCCGCAAGGAGAGCGGATACGAGGGACATGCAGGCGAACAGAAGGCCGTTGTGGTTGATGCATTCAACGACACTGTTAGCCGCGAGTGCTTGCGCCACGAGGAGTTCCAGGGCAAGGTCAAGCTCGGACGTGTACGTGACCACTTCATCTTCAACGTGGAGAGCACTGGTCAGTTCGAGAGTGACGTTCTGTTCTTGGAAGCCGTGAAGGTCTTGAAGTTGAAGTGCGCCCGCTGGAAGCGTGGTTTGACCGACCTGATGGCGTAAAGCCATTCATGGACCTTCCCTGCTGATTCCTATTTATAATGCATTTGACTGGCGTTGGAAATCTTTTTGCGCTGTACATTTATGAAAAAGTTCGGTCAGAAGTTAGGCTTTACGAGGCCGGAGTCCGGATGTTACAATTACTTGTTAGACAAAAGGCTGGCAGCTGTCTTTGAGTTCTACAATCTACTAAAGCTATTCAGTCATGTCACCGCAAGTCCCGCCTGGGGATCGTAAACTCTTTTCTCATTTGAAGTTCAGCCTGTAACGGAAATCGATGGTGTATGCTGGATCGCTGACCGCGATCTCTTCCCCGTCATCCACAAGCTCACGCAGCTTAAGTCGCAGATTGGGTCTTGTATGTTCCTCCAATTGGGGAGGAAAGCGCTGGTAGAGGGTCTTCTCTTCTGTTCGCATGCTGGGTTTTTTCAATTGCGCCTCAGCTCTTTCTCCGAGGCTTTCAATGAAATCACCAAGTGTCATGTTTGGGTCGACGTCCAGCTTTCGAGCGAGGTTACCGCACACCGGACAGTCAGGTTTCTTCTCCGCTTCGAAAGTGTAGGTGTAAACGCCTTCTTCGCCTGCATACATCATGTAGTTCTCGAGGTAAGGATTACATCCGGTGGCAATCTTCAGCACCTCGGAGGTTGTGGAAGCAGCGATCACAGCATTTGTGGAAGCAATCGCGGGAATGATATTTTTGACCACACCCTGGGTCATCTGGAAAGTCACGCCGTGGATGTGGAACTGTTGTGCCCGCTCTAATGCTTCATGGTATACCCATGAGATATGGTCCATGTCGTCACTGTCAAACGAATCATCCTTGCGCTTTTCCTGCCATGCGATCTGGTGGGCCCACTCAATACAGTGCTGGGGCTGACGAGGGATGGTTGCAATTGTGCAGAGAGGCACTGCCGGTCGAGGAGCATGCATATCGAGTTGACACTCTATACAAGATGAGAGCGTGGGCAAAATTACACGGGCTTGGCCCTTGAATCCTATTGACAGTTAGTGATGATCTCGGTGTACCTATTATTAGAACCGGTACAAACCTTCAGTTCCTCCATCAATAAGGGGTTTTAGACTCTCTGGATCCTCTGGGTCAACCATCCCTATAAGGGTCGAGTTAATCCAACGACGAGCTTCGATACTATCGAGGCCACAGATAATGATCTTGAATTGCATGTAGTAGTCCTCGTCCTTGTCCTGAATCTTTCCGACGAAGGGTGTGATCTTAACACCTTTCACTCTCTTTCCCACAAAAGCAGCAGCAACTTCTGCTTTAGGCTTGCCTATATCGGCTTGACGAAAGAGAAACTGCCGGTTAAGGTTTGAAATGTCAATAGTGTCTGTAAACCATGTTCAGAAAGTTGCCGGGGAGAAACGGAAAGGTGGACAAGAAAGCCTACCCATGTCAATGACATGAATGTCCTTGAAACCTGAAAGAGCAAGGTTCTTCAAGATTTCACACCCCAATCCACCAGCTCCGCTAAATCCAGGTCAGTGGGCTTATCCTATGGAGTAAATATGGGAATTCAGCGACGTAACGAACATCACCCTGCATCCAATGTTAGCCGATAATTTAGAATATATTAGGAAAGTAACCTAACAAGATCTTTGACGACTCAAGAGACTTGATGGTCTCCGGTCCTGGAACCCAGTCTTCGTCGCAGAGAGGGCCCGGTTTGGATAGGACCTTGTAAAGGTACTTCCTATATTATCATGTGAGTGCATGTTGGAAACAAAAGTGCCGGTGACCATTAACCCCACCATCGGCCCTGTAGATTTTCATCGACTGTACCCATATTGATCAAGATCTAATCAGGTCAAGCTCTCCGTTGGCATCAAGCGCCCAAGCTTCACAATAGAGATCCCTGCCCCACGCTTGGAAGGTAAATGGCCAATAATGTTATAGAACCGTGATTAAGGAAGATCTGGGGTCTTTCCTGGGTCAGCAGAATGTTCCCTTTTCAGATCCGGAGCTATCCAATCCTGTCTGCGAAGTCGTAATGATGCTTGAGAAGTTGGAGGAGAGCATGCGGCGTGGGCTGGCGGCAAGCATCTCATCACGTGACACACCGACATACAGGCCTCCGACGAACCAACTCAGGCACAACTTTCTTTCTTCGATGTCGCAACTCTGAAAATGGATGGCCTCTTGACCGCTGTCAAGACTGTCAAGCGGGGCTCTGATCCCCCCTTGGTACCCATTGAATCCCAGAGCCGCAAAGGTGCTCTCGTCAGGCCTTCTATCGACCAAGACCAAGATATATCTCTTCGTCAAATCATAGATTCGCTCCAATCCCACCCAGATCAAAATGAACTCTTGGCAGTCCTAGCAGCACTTGATCCATTAAATGCCTCCAGGAGGGCAAAAGATCTCGACATTCGCGTCCCAGGCCCTTCATCGGCTCAAATTCTCCAGCTTTTAGTCAGCACCAGCATCCCAAATCATTGGGCATCATTGAATGCAAAGGAAAGCAGGACAAAGACATCAAAATGCCGAGCAGCTCTGCTTCGCTGTTTAAGCAGTGTAGCAGGGCTGGGTTCTCTTGTGGCCCAGATCAGGTCACTCATCGTGACTTCTCAAGCTATGGGATACCAGGCTGAAGGATCAAGCAGCCATCTTGTCATTCGAGATCTGCTTTCTGTTCTCGCTGCTTTGCTGGAACCAAGCGATTTTATCTCTCGAGTATATGGGGATATCATCTTTTTGAATGAGAACCAAACTAAGCAACAAGTTGCGTGGAGAGAATTCGTGTCTCTGATTGCCGGCGGTAAAATCCTGTCAACTGCAGCAGAAGCAATCGCCATTGCCAATATTTCCGACACTGTATCTTCATTCTCATGGGTTGGAGATGGTCCTCTTTTCACATTGTGGCTGGGCAAAAACATTACTCATTTAATATTGAAGTCAAATGCGAACAACAAAAATGATTGGGTATCTGTCGCCTTCCTGACAGGGCGAGCGTTGAGCTTGGGATACGCGGGTAAGCATTGTCCTTGAGCCTCCAATATTCCAATATTTTGTTAACTATTTTTACAGATCAGTTGGCCCGAGAGCTCTATTCAGGCCTGCTCTTCGACCAGTCGAGCAGCAAGCAATTTGGCATATTGATGGAGCATCTGAGACAGTCAGAGCAACTCTCGCTTCTAGAAGCTATATTCCGCAACATCCAAAGGCTTTATTTCCCGCATGACTTTTCTCCCACATTCGGGCAGGAAGAAACAACGGGCAGTGTTGTTCCCGGCGTGGCGGCGTTGTGTTCAACCATTCTCGGCGACGGTCCGCTTTTAAGGCATCAGGTTACGGACTGGCTGTCAAAAGGCCAGGGAGGCTCAATTCAGACTGTGGGGCTTCGTCGTGCGCTCATCGCCACTTATCATGATTCTACTGGTAAGAATATCGGAGGACTAAAAAGATATAAGAAAAGAAAAGAAAACTTAAGCTAATAACTGCGTCTAGATGCACTCAAGACAATGCTCTCTCGCAGTCTTGAGCAATTTGCCGATAAATTTTACATCAAGCACGCTCCTGGGATTACACAGAACGGTTTGTTCAAGATGATACGAATAGTTATTCGATGAGAAGCTAACAAACTCCAGCCAATGCACAGCTTATTTTACTAGCCGCAGGCCAACTCAACCGGCATAGTCCTCTTCAGGTCCAAGATATTGGGCGATCTGGGACTTTTCTCAATGCAGTATCCAACCGACTTGCAGCATCTTCAAATAGGGCACGGCTTTTAGGCATGATCGTTGGAACTGGAATATCTGACCTCGTTGAAGAGCCTGGAAAGTCGATGAAGTTTGACCTTGAAGAGATGCAGAGTGATGAGGCTCGCTGGTATCTTACTCTTACCAAATTAGTTGATGAAGTTGGGCCGTTTGAATCCATCAAAGAATTGCAGAACACCCAAGAAACATCGTCACGGCAATTTCACGAGTCTCACTCTAATTTGAGGGAGAAGCCAACAGCAGCTTTCAATCCACCACAGACAAGCAAAATAGTTGCTATCGAGGAGATCAGTGATAGCGGTGAAGAAACCGAAGAAGATGAGGATCTCATCCCATACGAAAAACCTGATGACGATGCAGAAGATGAGGATGAGGATCCTACGCTGGTCCAGCGGAACAAACCAACACCGCCAGTGTAAGTTTTGCACTCCTCTAAATATATATGCAAGATAGTAGTTCTCACAAGCAGCCAGGTACATCCGTGACCTGATCCAATATCTTCGTGACAATGAGAATGTTGAATCTCATCAGCTTGCAATTTCAACCGGCCCATCTCTGATACGACGCAAGATAGGGTTTGGAACCGAGCTTTCTGAACAGGTTGAAGAGCTAGCGCTTATTCTCGTGAGCCTTCAAGATGACAGCAACCATCCTCAATTCCATGAACTCCGTCTTCAGAGTATGATAGCTCTGATAGTCTCACAGCCTCTGAAAATGGGTCGGTGGTTCACTGCTATATTCTTTGATGGTGATCTTTCCCAGGTTCAACGTTCTGCGGTGCTCACAGCCCTAGGTTTGAGTGCACGCGAGATCGCGGGCAATGGCGAGGAGGATTCCAAGGCACTAGGCCTCGCAAGTCTGGGTGATACTTCTTTCCCATCTAAGCGGCTGTCCCCTGCCTTGGAGGCCATCTTCATGGGTGCGAATGAATCTCCTATTGCGACACTTACCAGAGAAATGTCGCGCACTTCACTACAGCCCCTGGCGGCCAATGCTGCCGACCAAATAGCTGGTCCAAACGTTCTCAAAATGCGCACTTTTTCATCTCGCATGGAAGTGGAGAAGAAAAGACAGGCACGTGAAGCCGATAGAAAGAAAAATATCGTAAAAGATGTCTACAAGGTGCTTGCGGAGGGATTCTTCTACCCTCTCCAAGGCCGATTTGAGATTATGATGATACAGTTTTCCACGTAAGTGCCTTGCCTGTTCGAAGTTGTGGTCTCAGTTTCACTAATTATTTAAATCCTCAGGTCCTCCGCGCCATCTTATAATCCGTTCTTCGTTCCGCACATTCTCACCCTCTTTCTCCAGACCCTTTCTCTAATCCTCTCTACGGCAGGCCCCCATTCACCTTTCCTGGCGGGTTTCACTCATGAAACTTTATCACTTCTTCTATCTCTACACACAGCTCCAATTTCTAGCGAGACAACGGTTACGGCTGCGTTGCTGAATCTCTTCTTGGCAGTAGTGGATGTGAACATTGCATTTGGGACAAGTGGCGAGGAGCGCCTGGTCACTGAGTATGCAACCCAAGTAATGGAGCTACGTGAATGGGCATCTAGTGTATTTGATCGCCTACCATCTGGCGGTAAAGTAGCCGCTACTGGTCCCTCTGCAGATCCACAAGAGCAGGTGCGAACTTTGGCAGCTGGGGTCATGGTTCGACTTGGTGAAGTTATTGAACGGTATCAGGGCCGATTGATGGGCGTCAACACAGGATTCAAGTACTGAATAAGGAAATTCTTGCAGGTAGCCGGGAAAATAAGTTGTAAATAAACTTTGAAGCCTCTCGTGCTCCCAGAATACATCTATTATTTGTTGATAGTTGCACTCCCTTACATCAGTTCTATATCAGCGACACTCTAATGAGGAACGCAAAAGCAGGGGTAGGTCGTTGCCAATGGGTATTTGATACTTTGCTCAGTAGGAGGTAGGTGGAATGCAGAACATTTGACCAAGTTTCCTGTAATATCCACATCATCTAATATGTCTAATTTGTCAATCTCAACTTATTGGTCTGTTATGAATTATCATCATATTACGTTAAACATATTGATAGTATTTAAAACTTTGAAGACTCCCGTCTCGTCACACCTTCATATCTTTTCCGGCCAGATGAATCCAAACTCGGAATGTATGACATTCTGGATTTTGTCGCTAAGCGAGATGCCTGTCAGGCACGTTGTCCCATATGCTGAGTTATGATTAAAGTCCTATTGGCCTATGTGGGGTTTAACTTTGTTGGTGCAGTGGAATCTTCTCTAGGTGCTTCGATAGGCATTATGTAGATTGCCAACATATTTAAGATTCCGCGACATATCGCTAGGCGACGATGTGAAGAATATCAGAAACGCAAGTCCTTGGCACACGTGTGCGATAGCCGCCACACTATTCGCAAGTACACGCGGGAACTAGCTCCGTTATTGCAATGCAATATGAGAAAATCTAAAAGCTTCCGAGGTTGCAGACATCCTCGCTAGGCTATCGGAAGCCCAATGTCCTTCCTAGACCCTGTACCCTGCCACATAATTACCTTCGGGTCAGGGAACGTCTATATTTTGAAAATTTGGTGCTCTGCAGCTTCGCTGGTGTGGGTTAGTGCTACAAATTCTGCCAATACACGTGGTGGATTGCCAGGATATAACACGATGAATCAATGTTCCGACGATGTTACCTTCCTTGTGCATTCGGTTAGTTGAATAGTGACAAAAATGACGAAAGAATATCCGAAGTAAAACATCTGAAGGAGATTGGTTTTGAGTAAATACGTATATATAATTGAGGAAATCTAGCCGTAAACCCCTGAATCTATTATCTCTCCCTTCTCCATCCCGTCTTTATCCAAAACTATCCATCTAAGCATTATGATCCTCTCAAAAACTTCTACTACGCTTTTCGCACTGGTGTCGGGGGCTTATGCCCAGTCGCAATATACTTCTACTGGCACGGCTGCCGTAGCTGCGGCAGCTGCCACCGCACTGACTTTATCTCCTACATCAAGTGTCGCCGGTTTGACTTTCGATAGATTTGTTCAAATCTGGCTGGAGAATGAAGATTATAGTGCAGCGATCAAGGACAGTGAGTGACTATCTGCGTGAGACTCTTGATTATATTGCATGCTGAGCCTCTGGAATCTAGCAAACCTTGCCTATCTTGCCTCTTTGGGTATCACGCTCACGAATTACTTTGCCATCACCCATCCTTCTCAGGTATGATGACCCATACTTTATGGATTATGTCTTCTTACTCATCTGGGCCGCAGCCCAACTATGTTGCCGCTGTTGGTGGTAACACCTTTGGGATCACCAGCGACAGCACCAAGTACATCTCTTCGAGCACCAAGACCATCGTCGACCTTCTGGAAGATGCTGGCGTCAGCTGGAGTCTGTATCAGGAAGATATGCCTTATTCTGGCTTTGAGGCAAATTACGTCAATCAGAAAACCGGTGCAAATGACTACGTGCGCAAGCACAAGTAAATTCCCCCAACTTCAGAAGCTGCACAGAAGCACAAGGTTACTAACAAACGAGTTTTAAGTCCGCTGATGAGCTACAACTCGGTTACATCGGATACCGACCGTCTCGCCAAATCGAAGAACTTCACCATGTTTTATGAAGACCTGGATAATAACGAGCTGCCTCAGTGGATGTTCATCACGCCTAACATGAGTAGGTTCTTCCCGATCTTCTTATCAAGATGGCTTTTGAACCTAGGCTGATTTCAATGTGACTTGCAGCCAATGATGGCCACGATAGTTCGCTTGCCACCGCTGGAAAGTGGTCACGCAACTTTTTGACCCCTCTGCTCTCAAATGAGAACTTCAACACCGATCGCACTCTGATTATCCTGACCTTTGACGAGGGGTTGACCATCGGGACGAATCAAGTCTACGCTGTCCTTCTGGGTGGTGCGGTCTCAAGCGCACAGGTTGGCACCTCGGATGACACCGCATATAATCACTATAGTCTGTTGAAGACTGTGGAGACCAATTGGGCCCTGGGTAACCTCGGAGAGAACGACGTCGATGCCACTGCATTCTTCTAGGTGATTTAAAATGCAATGATATCGCAAGATTGGCGATTATGTCCAATCGGGGTACTCGATATGATCGCATTTATGATTATCAAGCGTTTGCTGGAAAGGATGCTGTCAGGACCAAATTTGAACATTAACCCCAAGTCTAGCGAGATCGTGCTTAGATTTGAGTCTGTTCATGGAAGCCATAGTCCTGTTTCATTTTCAAAATTTCTTAGAACATCAAAAATGAATCAGCCTATTACAAACGAAACAGTGCATCCTTAGAAACCATGGTATCATCAAAAATTACTACCCGCAATAAACGCTAGATACACAAGAGACATGCTATTCTGTCTTCGTAAAGCTGCCCTTTTCAATAGCCGCATCCATCATTCTGTCGCCACTAATCACACTCGTCGTGCAGATGACGATTTTCCGGCGCGGGGCCTCCTGGGCAGCGATGAAGCGCAATGCGGCAATCTCAGTAAAAGTGATCCCGCCTAAGAAGAATACATAAACCGTCTTCGTGGCTGTGTTCCCACTGAGGGTTTGCCGGGCTCGAACAGCCTTGTCATCGCCTTTCTGGACAATGCTGAAGGTTGAACCTCGAGCACTTTTGACAACATCCTCAAAACCAAGCCACCCGGGCGATGCCGTACTGGCATTGTTAATTGACGCGGCAGGCGATCCACCTTTGATCAGAGAAAGCATATAAGGCTTCTGCAGGACGCATTGGACCAGCCGCACGCTGAGTGGAGCAAATCCACTGTAAACATACGAAATGTCGTTCGGTTCCTTCTCGCTGACCTCCTCGATCACCAGCCGCAGATTTTTCCGCAGATAGCCGTAGTTCGTCTTTGTGCCGGCCTGTATACCAGAGGCAGGGAGAAGCATATTTGCAGCAGAGGATCGAGGTTGCAGCAGCTCCATCTTCTCGAGCGCCCAGAACGTCAAGATATGTTGATGGCCATACGCTTGTACGACTTGTCGTTTGAAGTTCTCCAGGTCTCGAGGACGTAGGCCACCGGACATGCAAGACTCCAGGCATAATAAGCGCAACACACTCTTCAAAGGAATGTCACGGGCGATAAGTTCTTCAATGGTCTCATGTTGAGATGTGGGGTCGGCACCGGCGGCATTATTCTGCTGAACATCTAGGATCTTCCGGAAGGTCTCGGACCGAGTAAGTCTCATAATCTCCTCTGCGAGATTGGTGTGGACCCGAAGGCTCTGGTGCTCCAATTGATAAGTGGGTAATTTATTGACGAACTCCCGAAGCTCATTCGTAGTCTTCGCTGTATGACGAGTCTCGTATTCATTTTCCAGCCGGCGGGCAACTTTGTTCAACAGGTCGCCAACAATTGCAAAATTGGCATCTCGTAGTTGGCTAAAGAGACGATCTGACGCATCAAGTTGGATCTTTCTTTTTAACCCTTGCTTGGCCTGCTGAGGACTCTTGGAGGACTCTTGGGACTGTGGTGCAGAAGCCTGTCCCACAATGCTAGTATCAACGTCGGCTTGATTATTCTTAATACCCACATATTCATCGATGAGGCCTTCATAAGTAAGTTGGGTCAGAAGCGGGGTCCCGAAATCAATATCACGGTCAATAATGATCAAATTCTCAACGTTCGCACTTGGGAGGAGTCCCCGGGTAGAGGGATCAGCCAATCCAGAGCTCTCTTCCGCATCAAGCTCCTTTCGCATCCGCAGCAAAAGGTCTGCCAGGCGGCGGGCATTGTCACCCTTGCCGACGATACGGGGGAAATACCCATGTCGCTGCTGAATGGCCATGAGAGCCTTGGCAGCATGGAAAATGCATCCAGGATCCTTGTGCTGGCGCAATTGTCAGAACAGCCGTTAAACCGCTCTTCTCTTATTAGGGAACTTACCAAGTACAGATCACCAAATGAATCATCCAACTCTAGGGACAATATATCTTGCTCTAGAGGCAAGAAGGTAAGAGGAAACTCGGCGATAGTCACATCGCCGATGATGCCCATCTCTTCCAGGACAGCATTGCTTACCAATGTCCGTCGGGGGGCAAAGAAGATGGAAAACTCATGTTCCACATTCCCATTATTCTGAAGGCGTTTGATTTGCTCTAGAGCAGGATGTCAGCCCATACTGATGGCAGTCAATCGAAGTGCAACAAAAAAGAACGCCAAATGAATGAGCTCAAAGGTGATCTAGGGACTTGACGGATTACGTAGAGAAGGAAAATCATTGCGTAATCTACTGACTGTCCCAGGCTTGTTCGATAGACAAAGCAAACGCACAGAGCAGTTAAAGTGATATCAAAGACACCGCAGCCGAGATATGAGATCGGAAACGCCTTACCTGCTACTGTTCGCACATGTGGCGCCTTCTCGCCGCGAACGAGGAACACAACATTTCGCTGAGACGAGTCGATATTTGCATTTTCCAGCAAGAAGACTCGGTCCACGCCGTACTGCTGCAACTCTGAGAACTTGACGAACAAGCCGACTGGACCCGCCAGCTCCTGACTGATGACGAGGTTCTTCTTTCCCCGAGTCTACAATCCGCCAAATCCGCCATTAGCAACGGCGTTAAGACTGGGAAACGCAATACTCACGCCTTCAAGCAGGGCCAGCAAGTCCCTGCGGGCCTTGTCTCTGCAGTGGTCGGCGTCTCCCACAGGCGCCATTGCTGAGGTGGCTGTGGCAGGCAACAAACACATCCAAAAATAACAGGAGGCGAAGTTGCCGCTTCCAGGCTAGCGCCACCACCCTGGCTGAGTCAGCGGTACCAATACCGTCAGGCCTGGTCAACCGCCCGCCACTGTGTCCATCCAGGGGTGTGTCACATTGGTTATCTGGTTACATCATTACAGGTCTCGACTTGCCTCCAGCTCCCCTGAAAGTCTTCAAGTCCGTCGTCCCTGAAACATTTTCTCTTCCCCATTCATTTGCTTCTTTACCTTGTTCATTGCTCTCCCCTCTTCAGCGATCCTCCGGCACGTAAGATTCAGCGAACCCCCTCCGTTATCACACGTTTGAACCAAAGCTACCTACACCATGGGTCTCTTCAAAAAGTCCAACAACGGCGACGATGACGATGGCAACCGCCGGGCATTGTTTGGCAGCCGCTCAAAGAACAAGAGTCCCGCGCAGTCCTCTAATCCCTACGCCCAACCAGCCCCGATGGATCCGTACACAAAGGCCAAGATCCAAGCAGGTGTTGCATCGCCCCCAGCCGACTACCAGGGCGGCTCCCCCGCCCCCGCAGGAGGACCCCACGCTATCCCATCAGATCACAAGTACTCGGGCTACACACCCAACCGCTTCGGCAACCAAGGCGGATATGGCAGCGATCGATATGGTAGCGGAAGTGCTGGTGCTGGCGCCAGCGCCAGCCCCGGCTCACGATACGGTACCGGAGGCTACGGCGGCCTAGGCAGCACCGATCCCAATGACCCCGGTGCGTCTGAATCTGCCCGCAACGAGCTGTTCGGCGGTGCCCGGGATCGTGCCCAGCAGGACTCGCCTGCTGGTGCGGGTGCCCCGCCTCCATACTCGGGCAGCCAGGCCGAGCAACCAAGTAACTACGGTGGCGGTAGCAATGAGTACAGCATGTCGACCTACAATGACCGGCAGCTCACCGCAGAGGAAGAGGAGGAGGAAGCCATTAACGCCACAAAACAGGAGATGCGTTTCGTGAAGCAGGGTGATGTAGCCTCGACGCGGAACGCTCTCCGGACAGCAGCCATGGCGGAGGAGACCGGCCGGTCGACATTGGCGCGCCTAGGGGCGCAGGGCGAAATGATTCACGGGGCAGAGAAGAGTCTGGACATGGCCTCAGTTGAGGGCCGGCTAGCACAGGAGAAGGCGCGGGAGCTGAAGACCCTCAACAAGAGCATGTTCGCCGTGCACGTGGCCAACCCATTCACTAGTGCCTCGCGCCGGCGCGAGCGTGACGAGCGCATCCTAAACACCCACCGGGATGAACGCGATGCCCGTGACGGCACCCGCACCGAGGCCTACCAGACCAACGCTCGCATGGACAAGGTGTTCCGGGACATTGACCGGGAGGCCAACAAGCAAAACAAGGGCAAGAAGGCCAATGTAACCGAACGCGCAAAGTACCAGTTTGAGGCAGACAGCGAAGACGAGGCCATGGAAGACGAGATTGAGCAGAACTTGGACCTCCTCAGCGGCGCCGCCGGCCGATTGAATGGTCTTGCTAAGGCCACGGGCCGTGAGCTGGATGAGCAGAACAGACATCTGGAGCGCATTACAGGCAAGGTCAGTACTAGACGCATCTTCTTATGTCGCTATACGGCCTCATCTTTGATACTAACACCCCTGGCAGAGCGACTATGTCGACGACCAAATTGCCATGAACCGGGCCAAGCTGGACCGGATCCATTAAGCCCGCATTTAACCGTATGGGTCGAGCTGGAAAATCAGGCCTGGTGCTACGCAGCTCCGTAATTATCCTTCACCTGCGGATTGGCTTGTCATAAATTATGGATATTCATCACCTATCCTGGCGTTTGGGGGAGGTATCTTTTCTTTTACTTTTCTGCATCTCACACTGTCCTATGCTGCCGTACTATCGCCCCTGTCAGTGGAATCATGGAACTGCAATTTTAGACTACGGATTTTAGTATCATAATTGCTATGCTTCTCTTCATTTAATACTGTTCTTTTCTCCTTTAATCTCAATGTCAATTCCCTGACATCACCGACGTAGTTTGAGTGTCGAAAAATCCGAGACGGGGAAGGTTTGTCCGGACAAACAAATACTCACTGCCAACTATGCATTGCCAAGCTTCGCAGCACCCTAAAATGCAGGCAAGACAGCAGTTGAGCCGATGCACAACGCCAACCCCGAATTTAAAACACGACTACATGGTGCATGCATACACGCTCATCAGCTTACACGGCGGATCCGGCGGACCCACGCTTATGTACAGACCAGAAGCTGTGGTGCCTGGGCGGAGCTCCAGTCGACGACAACAACAATGACCTACTAACCTAGCCATGCGACAAAAAGCACAATCCATCAAACACCCCCATGGGTCTGGGGGTTCTCTGACTGACAAGGAGCCGAGCTTACGGACTTTAACGGGAGGATTTACACGGGAGAAAGCGAAGTTGAGTTTTCATGAGAAGCGCTCGATTGTGGATTAGACAATATCTTTACTATAGCGACTGTTGAGCGAGGGCAAGACGCTCGGCGGGCACAGGAACACACACACGCCCCTCAAACCACCGGGATCACCGAAAGAATAGAGAATAAAAAACAAGCATCGCAAACGCTTGCGCACCAATGTCACGGGTATCAATTCAACACCATCCATCCATCCTGCACTCGTTGCGGTGCAATCATTGAAAACAGTAGTAGACCCCGGTGGAAACAGAGGGCGACCCTCGCAGACAAAAGACCAAAAAGCCAGCCGGAAGAGAGAAAAAAAAAGAAAAACAAAAGGAGGGGTTTTTTGAAAAAAGATCAAGGAGGAAGGGAAAGAAGAGAAAAAAAAGAGAAAAAAAAGGGTTGGAGAATAGAAAATGATCTAAACCATGCAGAAGATACATGCAAGGTAGACAGAATTAGAGAAAAAGAAAAAAAGAGAATCACAAAGAGACCTGCTGCAAAGAAGGGGCCAAAAAAAAGGGTAAAAGAAAAGAAGTGAGCAAAAAAAAGCCCTAAACAAGAAAAGCGCGTCGAATCATCAAACCCATTGGTATCGAGAAAAGCACCAGGAGACTCCCAGGTCTAGCGAAAGAATAAGAAATGAAGAAAGAAAAAAAATCACGAAAACAACCAGAACCAGGAACGCAAACCAGCCGGTACCTTCTATGGTCATAACATGGGGGATAATATGGGGGAAAGCATCAATTGGGGGGAAAAAAAAGAGAAAAAAAACGTCAGGATCTCTCCCATGCCGATGCCCTTGTACCAATAACCGCGTTGAAATTCCACGATCACAAACCATCCCAGGGTATATATGATAAAAGGTGAAAAAAAGATTCTCTCGACACCTGATCAGGAGACAGATCCGAGGTGTAGCCAAGAGAGAGGGAGATATGGAGGAAATTCGAGGAGTCCATGCTGTTGTACAAGGATAAGGTAGCCGAGCTCGGGTATTCCAGCCAACACAGTTGGTCTGGCTCGACTCACGAAAGGGGTAGTTTTGTGGCGGACGGCGGGTGGGTTGTTCTGGCGCGTCATGTCGCGCAGGGCTGGGAGGGAGAGAGAGAGAGAGCAAGGCGCTCGGTGTGAAAGCCCAGGTTCACTCGGAGCAGAATCCAGAAAAAAAAAAAATAGAAAAAGGTCATGCAGCGTCAAGTTAATTTACTCCTCGTCATCGGGGGAGCCAGTGTCTTTCTCGCCCTTGTGCACCTTCTTGTGTCGGCGCAGGTTTGAGACCACTGAGAAGTGTCGTCCGCAGCCTTCCACATCACAGGCGAATGCTGAGATTGACGCGTTAGTCCATATTTTGGGGAGGGAGGAAAGAATGTGGTAAATGTTTTTGGAGAACTTACGCTTCTCGCCTGTGTGGCTGTACATATGAGTCTGCAGAGAAGACGGGCGGGTAAATCGCTTATCGCAGACCTTGCATTTGTGCTTCTTTTGGGTGTTCGAGGGCATCTTGGAGCTGAACTGGCCCATCATTGATTGAGGCCCGGGGGCGCGCTGCCAGCCAGGAGGCTGGTGGGCCGCGGGAGAGTGCGCGACTCATACGACTCCGAAGTTGTCGAGCTATAGTCGGTTACAGACGAGTCCACGGATCCGACCGAGGCGCTGTAATAGGGGTAGTTGCCTCCCGATGAGATCGAGGAGGCGGAGGAGTGAGTGGAGGGGAAGCCATAGGAATCGGTCGAGCCTCGCCCGCCACGGGGGCCATAGATGTTACGAGGGGTCAAGTCCTGGCTGAGCGCCACCATTCCGCGGCTGGCATCGAGCGCGTCGCCAAAGGTCGGGGTGGGAGCTGGTGCGGCAGAAGAGCCCACGCGACCATCACTGTGGCATTCTTCGAGTCAGCCCATTCAGCTCTGGTGATTTTCTTGCCCTCCCTCTTCCGATTGGGGAGGCTCGGGAGGTTGCAGAATTCCAGGAATCAGACGGTACTTACGGATGCGAGATACGACGAGCGTCCTGGGACTGGGAAGGGTGCAGAGGAGCATAGTTCACTGGCGCATAGCTGGCCGGCGCAAAGCTGCTCATGGGCGGGGCGGTCGTGTAGGTTGGGGCTTGCTCAAAGCCAGTGCGCGGTACGTCGTGTTGCATGCCCATCACCTCCGGACCATAGCCGGCTGTGGTGTAGTTGCTGGCAGGCACCAAAGACGGCGCAGAAACGGGGATACTGGGGTAAGGCATGGACATGGCGGCGGGGCGACCGACTTCCTCTTGCTTCACGGGATTGATGGGAATGCTAGCGCTGTTGCCCATGGAGGTCGCGTAGACTGGCGGCGTCGAGTGCGACGAAGTGTGCGCCCAGGGATCTGTGAATTGCGGAGGATTGTGGTGATAGACATTGTCGAAGCTCATGCCGCCGTACGGGCGATTCTGGTTTTCCATTACCATCGTCATGGAGGGTAGGATCGCGATTCGCGAGCTGATCGCACGCTGATTCTCAGAGACTGGAAGAACTTGGTCGTATTGCCGGTGGTGTATCTAGGGCGATCCAGGTCGTCTTCCCTAGTTGGGCGTGGTTGATCAATTGCAGGTTTGATCGGGAGGAGTGGTTGTTGATCGACAAGGAAGTGAGTGTCGAGAACGTATTGATTCGGGGGAGGGAGGTGCAGAGTGAGGAAAGCGTGAGAGAGGAAGTGATAAACCGAAGATCTGATTAATATTTTATTAATTTAAGGGGAGGGAGAAAAAGAAGCTGGGGAAAGGGGATCGGCGAAGCTTAAGAAGGGGAGGCTGTAGTTCGCTCGAGTGCTTCGAGTTGGTGCCACTGACGACGTGCCGTCGGGGACTGCAGATCGTCGAAACAATGACCGCGTACCGTATTGTCAGGGCTCCATAATTTCAGGCCCTTTTTTCCATTTCTTTTTTATTTTCTTTTCCCCTTTTTTTTTCTCTTTTTACTTTTTCTTTTCTGGGAATATCATATTTCGAGGTTCTATATATTCTCTCGATTCTATATTCGACCTATTATTGCTTGCCGATGACGATATCGTCTTGGGGTTCGTGTGGTTTATCCACTCCGCTCTGGTGCTCGAAAGGCCTGCCCTTCTTCTCCCAGCCATGATGACCGAAAAATAGCAGACCCTCCCTTCTCTTCCCCTGTCCCCCACAACTCACTGCCACAGATAAATAGAGATACCTGGGAAGAGGGAGGGGTGGGCAAATGGTGGTGGATGGTAGCTGATAGTCCATGAAATAGTGTGGTGGTGGAGGCTTTCCTTTTTTTTGGGTTCTGCTATTTAAACCTTTTAGACTTATAGATGACATCGGTAGTCACCTCGGATCTTTCATAGTTGGTTCAATCAAAAAATAATTAAAATAAATAGGAAAAAAAAGAAAAAAACTAATTCTTATTTTCTTATTCCCCTCTCCCCTCCTCCCCCCCCTCCCCCCCCTCTTTTGTCAAGCCATTTTAATTTGTAGGATCCTCCTCCCCCGGAGACCGATTAGGCTGAGGAATGGAAGATCGAGAGAATGTCCCAATTTAAACGCGGGCGTAGGAATGTGTACACGAGTCCCGCGGTTCATTCACGCTTGAGGCGGCGGAGGTTCAGGGGCCTTTTCAGCGCAATAAAATCCCCGAAGAAACCCGTCCACGGTCGGTTCTGAGAGGAGAGAGAGGGGGGGGGGAGAGAGCAGGCCAATCGAGCCGCCCGAATAGGGCACTCCGGGATCGGACAAGAAGGCAAATGGCCCAGAAGGGTAGGTCAGAATAGGGGAGCAGACCCAGAACGCCGGTCAGAAGCGGAGTACGATCGAGGACCAGCAGAGTGTATCCAGCACTGTACGGAGGACAGAGGACAGAGAGACAGAGAGACAGAGAGTACGGAGTATAGGGGACCGCAAGACCAGGGAATGTCCCGCACAGACTAGAGTGGTCCATCTGTGCCGTGTCTGAGGGGGGGCGCTAAACCCCAACCGGACCCGAACAGACAGAAACCAAAAATCCCCCAAAAAATGGCAAGAAGCAAAAGAAAAAGGGCGGCCCCAAACAGGACGCCAAGCAATAAACTCACAGTGCAGCGACCAAGGTTCGCCCTGAGTGTTTCAAAGTAGCGGGGAAGGCAGATCTCAACGATACGTCAAAGGATATACCCGCGTGGGGAGAGAGAAAGACCGCCGACGAAGGGGAATCGATACGGGCAGGAAACCCATTGTCCGTCGTGACTAGTTTGCTGCTCGGCATTCGCCCACTCTATGGAAAAAACGGAGGTTCATCAGACCTTCAAGAACTCCTAGCCCGCGACGCGCAGTGAGGGTGAGGAGGGTGATGAGGGCGATTAGGGTTGGCCGTCCCAGGCAAACCCAAATGTGGGAGGGGCCCACGGGGACGAGTTTGGATCCCTCTTTATTGGTCCAATCAGGACCCTCCCCGGAGGCAAAAGAAACCAGAAAAAAAAAAAAAAAAAAGAAAGAAAAAAAAAAGGGAAGGAAAGGAAAAGACAAAATGAAATAAAAACAAAATTGAAATAAGGGAGGGGGGGGGAAAAAGAAAAGAAGGGACATCCCAGTTGTGACGATTCACAGGGATTGGGGGCGCGCGCACCTCCTATCCTCTGCACTCCTGCCCTGTTCCACTAAGACGAGATGGGATGAAGTGCAGGGGGGGGGGGGGGCTTTGACACGGGCCATAGATGGTTTAGCGTGGGAGGCAGACCTTACTTCGTGGACCCTCAGGAAGGGGAAGCTCAAAAGAGGAATTCAATAATCAATAATTCCACAATAACCCCAATGCTCATTCTCATGCGTTGCCCTTCCAGGAACCTCGAGCAACGACCCAGTGGCTCAGGACCAACGGGCAGGACGCCAGTCTGCACCCGAGATAACCGATGCCGACTTGAACGGCAAAAATCGAGGACAGGCTTGTGTAGCATGCAATGGGACCCCAGGATGAAGAGCCTCGATCAAATGAAGGTTCAATAGAGAAGTACGATAGCGACCAAATGTCAACCCCCATTCAAAGGCGTCCTCTCGAACAGAGCCCGTATCAATAGCCTGGACATTATTGACGCCTGCATTCTACCCGCCTCATTCTCCTGTCGCTCATGTCGCTACCAGTTTGGGGAGGGGGAGAATTGAGGAGAATTAATCGGGAGAGGATCGAGGAATTCACCCCCGTCGGGACGGGCGCAAAAATGCGCACGATGACGACGTTGGACCGTGAACGTAGTAAATGCAGCACCAGTGCTTTCTGTCCTCCATACTCCGTCGAGCATAGTTATCGCGGAAGAATAGGTCGTATCGCGGTTATGGCTCCGGGATTGGCCGCGTTGATGGGAGAAGCAGCCCTTGAAAACATGTGTCGGCCCTCGGCTGCCGTCTCGATGGACGACTGGACCTACTAGACTACTGGACTACTGGACTACTGGACTACTGGACTACTGGACTACTGGACTACTGGACTACTGGACTCCGTATTCGGGACAACGAGAACCAGTGCGAATCCATGTGCAGAGACCAGGAGCCACGAGCGAGGAAGCTCCAATCTTCAAACCCATGATGGCCGGCTCCATACCTCACTAGTGAGGCCGACTCCATCGGGCTTGTGGAGGATGTACAGTGCGCCGACCAGGACTCCACATCGTGCGCATCGGACTTCCTCCGCACCCGCCATTGGCGTTTGTCGGTCTGGGGGAGACTTTCTCCGAGCCTGTCGAGTCGATCGATGGAATCAGTACTCTTGGCTGTGTTGGTGGTTCTTGGTTACACGCTGTATTCCCTGGGATCTCGAGGGGGAAGGGAGCGCAATGGTGGGTGGGGAGGCGCCGCACGGATTGGGATTGTGGTACAGGAACCAGCAGCCAACAGCCCATCGACGGAACTCCTGCAGCAGGAGAGTTTTTCGGGGGGGGGGGGGGGGGGGAATCCCAGCGTTGTCGGGGCCATGCGACCTGTATCACTGTTTGGTTGAGACGGGGCAGAGGGAGGGAGGGGGGATGTCATTTCTCGTATTTGTTGGCTCTCCAGCCTTTTCGGCTCCTGCAAGCCATGGCCTCGTCGGCCCCCTCCTTGTCTGGGAAGGTGAACAAGGCCAGCTGGACAACGACGTCAGAGGGCGGGACCAGGCCATCCCGCCATGGAGAGGCAATGGGGGGCAAATGGGGGTCAAGTAGGGCATTAGCGGCGCGGCTCCTGCAATAGCGCGGCAGATGCGACCGCTATCCAGAATCGGACACATCACAAGAAGGCCCGAGTTCAGGGCCGAACAACTCCTCCAACTCGGTGGAGCACGCTCTCTCTCTCTCATTTCCTCCTTTCCTCGTTCCCTTCTTTCCTCCCCAGGACTTGGTGCCCAGGTCCCCGAAGTCTCGAGTCGGGTTCAGGCCGAATTCGGGCGCCAACCACGAAACCCCCTAACTATTCCTCGCTCCGGTCTCTCCTTCCAAAAGCCCTAATCATCTCCGACTCCGCGCCTTTCCTTCTTCCCCCCCTCCCCAAGGCACGCTAAGCTTCGGGATCACAAGGATCTGAAGAGCCGAGGGAGGCTGAAGAACGATGTTCCCGCGAGATTAAACTTCCCACCATCCTCGATCCATGCTCGTCGTGTTCGGGCTTCCGAAAGTGTATATATTATGATTCCGTAGCGCGAACCTTTTCTGGCCTTCTTCTCTTACACTCTCTCCTCGTTGCCCCTCTTCCATTAGCCAACCAGACCCTCATCCTTCAGATTCCAACCAACAAGAACAGATGGACCAGAAGAGCACCCACAACCAAAAAAGACAGAAAAGACAGCCACCGCCACTGCGGAGAACGTGTCGGAAATCACCCATGATCCCGAAACCATGGGCCTCGAAAGTCCCTCCCCTTCCCGTCTCCCATCCAAAACGCCATGTCGTAGGATCCTCTACACATCTATTGGCCTCTCCACATTCCCGTAGGACCCAAACCTGAGCGAACGCGCCACGAACCATGGTCCCCATAGGTCTTCCAGAGTTCCAGAAAACCACCGAACCAGAGGCGTTGCTGCCGAATGCGGTGGTGTGTCTGAGATGCTTTCCACGGGTCGCGGGCGAGGTTTGTTCAGGTGTGCCTCGATGGCGACCGTGGGTCCCTCGGGATCCATCCCGAGGGAAGGTAACACGCAAACGCAAAATGGCTTGTGGATTGTCGAACTATATCCCTACCTGGTTGCCCGGGCGGCATGCTCCGGCGTTCATGTGAGGAACATGTTTGCAGGCGAGGGATCCTACCTATCTTTACCCCCCCCCCCCCCTAACAGAAGACTCCTTCAGCACTACGAACCATACGTCGAGGATCCTAGAAAAAAAAATAGTCTCTCAATTCGGGAGAGTTTTGGGAGGGTTCGGGAAAGAATCACGAACCAAGTTTCCCGACATCACATCCCGTCTTAAATTTTCCTCTTAAGGATTGAGTCCGGACCGAAGAATGGA